ACCTATAGTCTATTAATATAAGAACTCTCGAGAGCTATAGCTATATCTAGTTTCGCTTCCTTAGTACTTCTTTTCTTTCTAATTATATTAATCTCTACCTTAGTAAGTATAATCTAATAGTCTATACTCTAATTATTTATAATAATCTTAGATAGATTAATATTAGTCTTATTAATTAATATTATCTAGTCCCTATAGTTCTAGTTCTACGTTCTACTAATAATTCTATAGTTATTATAGTTCTAAGTACTACTAATAATTTTATAGTTAATATTACTATAGTCGCTAATTACTTTCGCTAAGTTTATAGTATCTACTTATCTATCTTCGATTATATTTAGATAATTTACCCTAGAGAAACCCTATTTATTATTAGTAGCTTAACGAGTATTTAATTCTACTCTAATTACTTATTAAATCTTATAAGGTAGAGATAGATTATTATAATTTATAGATAGATAACTATTCTTACTATACTTAAAGTAGACGATAGTAGGCTTATTATCTCTTAACTATATAATCTTTAAGAGATTAAATTGTAATTTCTACCTATTACTATCTCTCTTATTAGCGACCTAAGCTAACGATCCCCTATATATTAACTTCTTATATAGATCTCGTATCGAGTCTCGTCCTAAGCCTTATACTTATCCTATCTATATAGGAGGGGCGATCTAGATAGAGGGTATACTTATATTATTTATATAAAGGCTCATCTTTTTAAATCTATTCGCGATAAGATTAAAGTTTCGTAGGATACTCTCTTAAGCTTTCGTATCTACTAATAAGTTTATTATACTATTTTTAGTTATAGTTTAGTCTTAGTTATCTTCTTCGTTAGGTACTCTAGTCGCCCCCTTTAGTATATCGACTATTAACTTAAGAGTAAGAGTCTTCTCTTATACTATTAAGGCCTTAATAATACTACGAAAATTAGAGTCTATTAGTTCGTTAATTATTATATCTATAAGGTCTCTCTAGAGCTATATATTATTAGATCTTAATCGTCTTAGGATACTTTTAACTTTCTCAATATATTTAGAAATTATAGAGATATCTTATATAAGAGTCGCGATATCTCTAAATACTCCCTTATAATTCTTTACGAGTTAACGACGAGAAAAGCGCTCTAGAAGCTCGATACTAAGTAACTCGAAGCTATCTATAACCTTATCTTTAAGTTCGTCGTACTATAGCTTAGCTTATCTAGTAAGGTGTATCGCGAGATCTACGGCCTAAACTTTAGAGAACTCTTACTTACTTTCGTCGCTAGTATAAAGGTATTTACGAAGCTTCTAAGTGTTCTTAATTTATCTAACGAATATAATAGAGTTAATTTTACTATTCTCTCTAGAGAACTTATCGATAAGAGTCTCGAATATAGTAAAGGGGGTTTCGATATAAGATTCGTCTCTTCCCTTAAGTAGTTTAGAGAAGAATTTCTTTAATCGATCGACTTTAATCTTATAGGGCTTAATGGGTTTATTCGATTTCTAAGCTAGAGAATATAGCCTTAATTCTATTTCTAAGAATAATATAGATATAAGTACTTAGGTTGGAAAATACGACCTACTTCTCGAGATCGGCTATAGTACGAAATTCTCGAATAATTATATAAGAAATCGGGTAGAGTGTAGGGTATTATTCGTATTTACATCTAGATCCTTCTTAATTAGGTAAATCTCGTTCTATATAGTAAGAAGATGTTATAGTTACTCTTTAGTTAATATAAGGCGCTTCTTATTAATGTAATTCTTATCTAATAATAAGGATTTATCTCTCTTCCCCTAATTAAGATTTCGATATCTAGAGAAGGAGAGCTTACGTAGATCTAAATTAAAGGTATCTAGTCGACGATTTCTACGCTTTCGTATTTAGTAGATAATCTATTGGTAACTTCGAGATTAGGGTATAATATATTGAATATCTAGAGGTTCTAAGGGCTTCGTGTAGATATTAGATTAATCGATAGGTTATAACTCGATATTTCGATTAGATAACATTATATATTCGATAAGAGGTAACGCGTAACGCGTCTCTAAGTAGTAGGTATAGTGCTTATAAGGGTATTTTATTTTAGAGGGAGATGCGGCTAGTCTATAGTCTTTTCTAGTAGGTATATAATCTAACTAATACTATAGAGTATAGGGTTAGCGGTAATAAGAGAGGATATTTGCTAGTAAATAGGAATTTATTATGGACTCGATACTTAATAGAATGTTTAGTATACGCTAGTTTATAGGTTCTAGCTCAATTCTATTAGCTGTAGCGCTTCGACTCTTATACGCTTAACTAGTAATCGTAGGTATAGACGCACTCGACACTACGATCTAAGATCTTTAAGGAGGAGTTTTAGTGTACGGATTAGGCTAGGTTCACTATTGATGGCTGTTCATAATAGACAGGAAATGTAGTGGTATGAGGAGTACGCAAGGAGTGGTATGTTCTAGGCTAGGAATAATGGAGTGTAGGATTCGACTATCTACTATAGGTGGCAAACCTAGGGACTTGGCGCCAAGGCCCAACAACACGAAGCCACTATCCTTTTAAATGAGCAGGTAGCCCGATGGAAGTGGGGGTCAAGCTTCCTTAGGCACTAAAAATGCAGTGCAACGTCGATAGCCTTGCGTTTGCCTCGACGCGTTTCTCAGCCTCGTCCTTTCATGGAACCAGCTTCCGTTCGAGAGCGTACTCTAAACATTCCCCTCTCTTCCTTTCAATCTTGGCTGTTCGTGTCATCAGGAAGACGCTCTGACCTACCACCTAAGACCTTTAATATTTGACGAGAAGGCAGGCCGCTGAAGGATCGAGGACTCCAGAGTACTCCATCACGCTGACAACCTCAGGCTGCTGCAGTGAGTGACAGAATTCAGAGGGTCATGAGCTTGGAAGCGCCTGGAGGGACTAGAAAATGCAGTGCACGGTGCTGCAAAGATGCCCAATGTGAGGCTGGGTCTTAGGCTTCTCTATTGGCCATCATGGGAAATCAAGACCCAATCTCGAGGACCAAAAAACACTAAAATTGCAGCGTAACAAACGCCTACGGGACGTGTAGGCATGTGATTCGGACAACTCAGATGAGATGCATCTGTGGTCGCTACCTAGGTACGTCAGGTGGGATGAAATGAGGTCACTTCTTGCACTGCATTTTTAGTGGCTCTCCGTCGATGGCCAAAATGGAGTAACAATACTCTGTAGTAAGTGCCCCCATCTTTTTGTCTTGTTAGTGGTTGTCGTAGTCCGAACCCCTCGCCGTCCACCCCTTGCCGTTTGAGAGATTTGCAAGAATGCAGCGTTCGACTAGTAGATTAGGGAAATTACATCATTTTGTATACTCGTGCATCCCTTCACTCAGCCTTGTCACTCATCGAAATCGGACCCATGCTTCTGATTCTATACCACTGTAAATGGATCCTACATTCTCTCCCAAGTCCAAGTCGGGGTATTACGCTGGTGATCGAGAGGCTTCAATGCAAGATCTTCAGGTTATGTATTTACGATGAATCTATTAGGAGCTACAACCATCGCGCACCAGAATCGCTGTTGCAAAGCAATAAAGATTCGACCGTGGTTTGGATTCAGTCCTATAAAGAAATGAAGGCCAAACGAGTGCTTACGATGGGTGTCCTCGGACAGAACGTCCTCATAGTGAGTAAAGAGTTATCGAGTGTATCCACCGTAAGGTCACGTTACTCTATAGATGTAAAGTTGTTTTGGTTTAGCATGCTAACCTCATCTTCGGTTGCATTCAGGATGGTATAGGGTAGTATCTATAAGAACATGACATTGTCTATGGAGATGCAATATGAATCATGTAAACTCTGTTACGCTTGTTGGCTTAGCCGGATCTTTTTCAATCGAGTCTGTGGTCATCTCTTCTTCATAATGCACCTAGAACTCGGTTGTGCGCAAAATACCGTTCTATGTCAGGATCTTCTCCTCGTTGCCATTCGGCGCATGACCCCTAATCTGGGTATGGCAAGAGGTCTCCCAAAATGCATTCATCGGAAAGCTTGAACGAGCGTTGTCGACCTTGTGCGCAGTTTTGCTTGTGGCCCCCAGTCTTGTTGCATTTGCAACATGACCACTGCTGCTCGTCCCCGAAAAGACTCTTGGGAACCACTTCCGTGATATTGAGTACATCGTGGATGCTGAGGCTGTGAGAATGGCTAGTGAAACCACACGCGACCGATAACCATCGGCTTTAGTTGTGGCTTGGCAGTTCGACATAGGTGATATGATTTGGGATCTCCAACATGAACTATTCAGGAATTAGTTAGGGGAAAGTTGAGGCTCTGATGACCTACCAATAGTAGAGACAACCATGCTCGATGTTCCATGCCGAGGTAAGCGTACCTCAGGGATGGGTGGATAAAGCGGTCACGCGAAGTTCAATTGTAGCATAGCGACCCGACACCTACGATGATCAATATTTTGACCTCGCACATACAAGTTCGAACTTTTCGCTGATAAACTCTCGGCCTGCTTCGCATCTGAAAGACGGGTGGGCAGCTTGGATGGCAGATTACCCACTAGGCGCAAGAGATCCAATTTTCCAAGTAAAGTGTGTTTCAGCTCTCATGCAGCGTGGTCAAAATATTGCAATCCACGACCCAATAGTACCATTCCAGGTCTTGGCTGTGGCTTCTCAACCATCCCCGTTTGGCCCACCAAGACGTCTCGTACTATGTTGAAGTTCCCCAAAACATCCCGTCGGAAAACTATACCAAGCCTTGCATGCAGCTGAATCAATGTTATTGATGATTGAACATAGGCTAGTCAAGATCCGCCCGGGCGCAAACATATATATATGAGATCCTTTTCGCCATATACACCGCCAGACGCTGCGCCTGCGCCAAAACGTTGGCTCCTTCTCTACCTGCCATACACTCGTCGAACTATAAGAGGAGCGGTCGCAGATGTCATAACCTGGCTATTGGTGCTCGTATTCACTGCTCCCGGACATCTTTTTGCTTTCACTTCGATCAAAACATCATATCATGAAGGGTGTAATCGTCACTGAAGTCGGCGCCCAACCGACAGTTGTCGATAACCTTACGAAACCTGTCCCAGCTCCTGACCAAGTGCTTGTCAAGTCAATCTGGGCTGCGATCAATCCGGTGTAAGTAGTCATGACTGGTCGAGCTCTCACCTTTGCACCCAATTTCGTGGGGTTGTGGTTGTCTACATATTTCAATTCGTCCTCCTCCCAATCCTAACACTGCACAGTGACAATTACATGGTCGACTGGGGCATCCTCGTCGTTGAGTGGCCTTTCGTACTAGGTTGTGATGCTGCAGGGGTTGTGGTCGAAGCGGGAGAGGAAGCTTCTTCCCGATATGGACTCACCCCTGGTACTGAGGTGTTTGGGTGTACCAGACTGGGCCATCAACAGTATTCAACTGCTCAGGAATTCTTCTTGATGGATGCGGCTGTCACCTTGAGGAAACCCAAGAACATCTCTTTGGTCGAGGCTGCGACGTTGGGTGTAGGTAGTGAGACGGCTATGTTAGCACTTGTTGAGGGTCTCAAGGTTTCGTTTGGCAATCCTAAGCAGGATCAGGACGAGTGGATTGTTGTTCTGGGCGGCGCAAGCAGCGTGGGTAAGTGCGCCATCCAACTGGCCCGCGCGGCTGGTTACAAGGTAGCAGCATCTTGTTCCAGCAAATCCGCGGACGAAGTCAAGGCACTCGGTGCTGCTACGTTTGATTACAAGCAGCCATTGGAAGCGCAAGTTCAGGAGGTTTTGGAGATGACTTCAGGAAAGTTCTCCAAGGTTTTCGACGCTGTCGCAGCAGATGATCCACTTATCGCCAAAGCACTCTTCAGGGTGACCAACTCGCCGGACAAGCGATTTGCGACGACGAACGACTGGAGCGGAATTGGCGACTTTGAGGGCGGAAAATCCTACCTGACACAATTGGGAGCGGTTGGGAGACCTGAAGCGACCGAGCTCAACAAGCGAATTGCGAGCTACGTCCCTGTGATTATTGGCGCGATTGAACGAGGGGACTTGAAGCCTGCTGACTATGAAGTGATTGGCAATGGTTTGGAGGCTATGATCACGGCATGCAAGCACCAAAAGTCAGGGGCTGGTGGTTCCCGCAAGGTAGTAATTAAGATACAAGACGAATAGCGGCACCCCATTTTGAGCCAGTCCAACTTGTGTTGGCGCCACCCTTTTACGCATAACTGAATAAGTAGGTACTTCAGTAACTATGCTAATATCATCCCAGTTGACTCTGACGCCTGTTTTCAGCCTTGGCATGGAGGAGACATCCGCGCTCCAGCCTTGGACCCACGGAGCTCTATCCGGACAATAGCTTGCCACTCAAACAGTTGCAGATCAATAACTAGCAGAATGCCATCTGAAACCTCAGTCTACTACTCCTGCTTCGCTCATAGAGTGCATACTGATTACATTGGATGCGAAAATACTTCTGGTGCAAATTTAACTGAGTAAACTTGTCTTCCAAGGTATCTAGGTCGCAATATCATAGTCACATTGAGCGGAAAGTCAGTCTTCTGAGTTCCATTGGTCTCTCTTCCGATTTTAAAGTTGATTGACCTCCACTGAACATCAAGGCTGAGGACCAAAAAACTCCCAAAGAGCCCCAAGAAAACAGGTTTGTCGCGCTCGAACCAACATCCACTTTTGAAAATCATCTTCAATGATGGCAAGAATTCTCCAAGTTTAATAACCATATGTTCCCCGCCATGACGAAGATATTCTCTGTCTCGTGGGCTATGACTTCATACGTCCTCGTTTTGTCTTCAATCAAAGACCAGCCGCACCTTCTTACCTGTTCACTCTGATAATGGCCAGATTTTAGTTAAACAGGGAAATGACCGAAAAGGTGGCAAACCGGGGGCAGCAATATCTAGATAAAAATTACAATACCAATATGTTAATTCCATCATCCTTCGTTAGGATACAATGCAATGAACAATATTAGCGCCCCAATCCTGATCAATTGCCACTTTCGTACATTGCGGAATCTTTTCAGTAATCTTGTGGCGCAGGGGAATTGTCTTGATTTCTTTAACGCGAGTGCAGATCATCAGTTGACGCATGAAATTGACTAAGCTTTCAGTGGATACAATATACAGAGTAATGATCGTTTAGCGCCAACTATTGTTATTGAAATAAGAACCCATACTGCTGAATAGCACGCACAACGAACAATTCGACTATAGCCACCTGTTTAGCCCTATGTGGTTTACGCCCATTCCTTGTTATCCAACATTCTCCTTGCTCCAACTGGCGGGCGAGCTCCCTCTGTATATGGTCGACCCCGCCCGAATTCATAGCGTGGGAGCAGGCTACACGCGATAAGCTTGTCGTTCATCGCGATGGGCCTTCGTCTCATGATATGCCATATTCTTTCTACGGGTATCTCGAACCTCGTTAAACAGTGCAGTGGCTGCATGAAGTAGTCTGAGCAAATGTAAGTATAAGTCTCCTCGCCATATAGAAACGTCAATTAACTCACGTGCTGATAATTGCGAGAATGAAAGTACCCCATGGCAGGTTACAGTTCACTCCGTCCGGAAGGCGGTTGCGTAGTCTTCGAGAGCAAGGGCCGCTAGGACCACCGTTTGGCCGTGTAAGGACTGCCACGGCGATGAACCCTCCGACGAAGGCGATGTCGAAGAAGATCCAGATCCAGCGCAACCGTTTCGAAGCCCCTCCCTTGAGGCAAAATCTAATAAGCATAGAGATCAAGGTGTATGCCACGGCGGCGGCGAGGATACCCTCAACGGCACCATTTGAGGTAGAAGCTCGCCGAACCGTACGGATGATTTTGTAGAGCCGAGCGGAGAACAGGCCAAGGGATACGACTGAAGATATGAATTGGAGGATACGCATCAGCGTCTGGAAAAGTCTTGACTTTCTGACATTGGTGAGGATCGACATAGCTAATTACTGAGAAATTGTTTAAAAGAAGTACTAGAAAAGAGAGCACTAGATTAATTGTTAATGTTGATAGTCAGTGTAAAATTTGAGGATCGCAATCAAACTAGATATAGGAATAGGATCTCATTGTCAACGCTCTTTAACTGGCTGCTACGAACATCTCGGGTGACGTTCCATAGCATCATTGAGACGTCACGTTTGGTGCGGCGCGAGACCATAGAAAGGTTTTATCACTTTGCGGCAATGGAACCCGCTTTCGCTAAAATAGAAGGTCTTTTTCGTGACAAGAAGCCTGTTTGGAAGGCTGAGTACCAAGTTTACAAAAGTTCGTTCTATTCAGGTGGAGCAATGACCTAACCGCGGAAAAAACGATCCGAGCCAATAGACGAATATGTAGGTGGGTATCTAGGTATGCTCAGAAGTGACGGCCCTCGATACCATGGTGATCAATTCCTTTCAATGAATTCAACACCTGTCGTGCCCTGTTCCACTTTTGGCAGGTGGGCTCCTTTAGCCTCCATGGCCGTTTTCTCGTCAATCTCATTGAAGATTGCTCCCACGCCCTCTAAACTGTGTCCCAATGTCTCAGGGAAGAAGAAGTAGAAAATAGTTGTCTCAATCGCGATCCACACCACGAAGACCAAGTAATACTTCCACCCGATATTGTCTAGTCCAACCGGGTTGACAAGCTGGTTGAAGAAGAGGGCAATTTTATTTGTCGATACGAGGATACTCATTCCCATGGCTCGCATACGGAAAGGCAAAATTTCCGCAGGGTAGAGGTAGAACAACGGGTTCAGGCAGATGTTGTAGGTCGTGTAATAGATGAATATGAGACCAAGAGCCGCACGACCTGCTGCTGGGGAAGCAGTTTCGTTGAATACAGCCACACAGATTGTGAGAGCCGAGAAGGTGGAGAACATTGCAATACCGCCAAGTACGAACATCTTTCTGCGACCAACTTTACCGGTCATAAAAGCTGCGAAGACCGCGGTGCACCAGTTTGTCGTAGTCAGTAGTCCGTTGATGAGGGTTTGAGTGCGTTGACCTTTGATGCCAATGGTGCCAAGGATTTTGGCTAAGTAATAGGAGACTAAACCGTTGCCAGACCACTGTCCAGCGACCGCGAGTGTGCATAGGATCAAGAGCCTTTGTCGATTCGCAGGAGAGGTGATAAAAAGCTTCATACCAGCAGCCTTGATCGCCTTCTCGGCGTGAAGAGTTTCCGTAATCTCGCGGTACTCAGCGGCAACGAGATCGTCATCGGGGTCACCACCACCGTGGTATTTGATCAGAATGTTCAAAGCTTCATCACCACGGTCCTTATAAATCAGCCAGCGAGGGGACTCCGGGAGGAAGAAAATGAAAATGATTTGTAGGATTGCAGGCATCGCCTGGATTGCCGTAGGAAGTCGCCATGCCCAGTTGCTGCCCATCCTGGCGGAGCCATAGGTAATCCAAGCCACACAAAGCGCACCCAAATACCAACTAGTATTGTAAAGTGCTGTGAAGACTACTCGATGCCGAGGATGTGCGAGCTCCGAGATCAAGATAGGACCAGTGGTCAATGCAAGAGTAATCCCGAAGCCGACAATAATCCTGGCACCGATAAATACACCGATAGTATTTGCTGCAGCTTGCATAATGACGCCTCCAACCATGATTATACTACCAATCAAGATAGTCCAGCGTCGACCAAATTTATCCGAAATGGGAGCAGAGAATGGCGTAGAGAGAATGGCTCCTAAAGGGTATGAAGCAGACATGAATCCAAGGATGGCGCCTGAGGGACGATGGAAGGTCTCCTTCCATGCATTGACTGGGGATAAACATTTAGCTTCAGACATGGTCGCATCTCCTGAAACACTCACCTGATTGCAAACCATTCAGCAGCGAGCTGTCAAAGCCGTTCGTAGCACAAACAACAAGGCATGCTGGCACCAGAAAACAATAGAGATGGCGGACAGAAGCATCAAAAGACCAGTTATTGTACTTTTCGGAAGCAAGGAGTTCGGTGACGGAGAGCTGACTAGGCCGTTCCAACTCCTCGGAATGGTTCACCTTTTCAGAAGACATGCTAGAGTCAGAGACTAGTAATTTGGAGGGAACAATGAAGGGGTATGAAAGATCTCCCACAGCTCGCAGTGTATGAATGATAGCTGGGTGTCAGAACAAGGAAGGGACAGCGATATATATACAGCTTGACCGTCGCCAGGGCTGCCCGAAAATTGAGTTCTGTCCCATGCTCAAGCTTAACTCGATGCTATAACGAACGCATCTTGAAGGGTTTCGCTTGGGGAAGGATGTTCTACACGATTCAAGGGCTAGACAAGCATGGAAAGAGCTAGGCGTGTTGGAAAGCAGAAAGTTGGTGGTTGACTGCCTCGGAGAAAAATCCAGCCTCGCCAGCTTTTCTCTCGTTGCCGCTACTCCCCGCCTCTGCCGCCATTCCGCGCAAGCAAGTTTTATAGATGCCGCCATTCCCCACAGCCACCAGCAATGAGTGCCATGCTTTAGTTCACCCACTACTGCACAATGGCCACCTTTTAAGGAAATGTGAAGCTTAGACATCTCATTCGTGAATCTGGTGACGATAGAAGGACACCTCCTAGTGCCATACTGCTAGCACGGTGGGGAGTGTCGGGAAAGGATAGTTGCCAGGCTGGTGATGGCGGTCATGAAAAAATATCTAGACTCTCTATCATGGGGTACGAGTTCTATTTCCCGTCCTAGAGAACACATCATCGAATAGTTTCCACAAAGAGGCTTTGATACATACCGAAGAATCAATTCCGAATTTTCTCTTTTCACTCCCATCAGCACGCTCCCAAAAATCCTATTGCAAGGAACACTTCCACTTCAAAGGTCATGTCAACCACCAACATTGCGCTCCACGCAGGCCGGCGCAGGCTCAAAGATAACACACCAGTGCCGGTGGTAAATTCGAGTGCCCATGTAGCGTTGACAGAGAGTCGGCTCGGAACTCGAGCTTCTCGTCTGTTAGTAACACATGTCAACAAAGTCGAACTGGATGATGAATTAGTCAGTCTCAACGAGTATGTCCTGACAGATCTTGCCCATGCTGTTATGCTCACACGTACGGGAATCTTCGATGCACATCACGGCCGCGGTATCATCCAGGCTCTCCTCGATCTTCGCTCTGGCAACACAGCTGCTATGCTCGCCTGTGATCCTGAAGTGGGAACGCTCGGCCTGCAGATCGAGCAATACCTGGAAAGGGTCCTTGGGCCACATGGCCGCGATATCCAGCGTGCTCGGAGTCGCATTGATCAGAAGGCTACCAACTGGCGACTCGTTAACCGTGCGAGTCTGACAGAGGTCATTGATGAATTGATACGCCTTGGTGTTGAGATCCTGGCCGCTGCTGAACGAAATGCGGGCGCCCTCATGCCCGGATACACACATTTGCAGCATTCCCAGCCCACCACAATCGATCATTACCTCAATGCCCATTACTGGGCTGTATCGCGCAGTGTCGACCGGCTCCTCAACGCCTATGATCGTCTTAACCTCAGCCCACTTGGCGGTGCTGCGTATAGCGGGACATCATGGCCGATCAGCCGCATCGAGACCGCTGCCTACCTCGGCTTCGACCGTCCAATTCCCAATGCCCGAGATGCCGGACTCGCATCTCTGGATATGGGTGCTGAGCTCGCCAGCGTTCTGGCTGCGACACTTTCTACCATCAGTCGTCTCGCCTCGGACCTGAACTACTGGTCCTCAAGCGAAGTCGGCCTCGTGTGCATCGATGCCTCACTGTGTGGTACCTCGAGCATGATGCCGCAGAAGCGTAATCCAATGGTCCTGGAGCGCATCCGGGGCCTCGCAGGTGCTGCAGTAGGCTGGGCTGCAAGCCAGCTCGGCGTCATGCACACTGCAACATCCACAGATGTTGACCAAGCATACATTCACAACCTACTACCCGGCCAATGCGCCGAGACTGTTGGGGCTATTGGTTTACTGCGCGAGGTGATTGCCACAGTGGTGTTTGATGTGCCCAACATGCGCATCTCTGCCGGCAAACATTGGTCCACCGCTAGCGCTCTGGCTGATTCCCTCGTCGGCTCGCACTGCCTGAGCTTCCGCGAAGCCCATGAAATTGTGGCTCATCTAGTCGCAACCCATGAGAAGGCCGGCGTTCCAGGCGGTGAGCTGCGTGACGAGCTCATAGAAAATATAACCCTGAAGACCTACTCAGCTTCGGAGTTGAGAACTATCCTCGATCCGGAGGCATTTGTCTCTTCCAGAACCAGTTCAGGCGGGACTTCGCTCGCAGAGCGCAATGCACTTGCGAATGCCGCCTCGGCCGATCTTGAAGACAAGAAAAGGAGCCTCCAGTCTCGTATCCATCATATTGCAGAGGGCCTCGAACGGCTTCTAAAGGATGCACAGTCACTTACCTCCATTATGAATGCAGCAACCGATCCCCCACCAGATGCACCATCGTAGCACCCACATTTGACAGCGACTTCAACTTGTAGCTACCAGGCTCTGCCACTCATACTGTAAGTATGGTAGCCAAGACGGAAGTGGAAATGCAGCCTTGCATCGCTTTCTGATGTGTCGATAAGGTGGTGGATTTGACAACAAGATAGCTTGTAATGGTGGTCATATTAACATACATGCTGTCACCTTAGATATCAAGATTTCTCTGCGAATTTTGTGAACAAACAAATAACTCGACTTATAGCAATCATGTATAATCAATCGCAGCATCCTCTTCTTCGTCATTCACCAAGGACGAGTCAGCTAACGTACGGATCACGTTAGCATATGTTTTGCAAGAAGGGTATTCCAATGACCAGTATTCAAAGGTGTCCAACGACTTGGCAACCCCAGCTTCCCATCCATAAGGCATGTTCACCCAAGTCGACCTCGTGGCGGCGAGCAGAAGCGTTGCTGCCTTTAGTTCATTTCGAAGTTGTAGCCACGTTCCATGGTGCCGGTGGCTGATACAACTGTGTTGAATGTATCTCAAGGCATTGAATAGTGCTTTTTCCGCCAATGGTTTTATCACAGGGCTACAGTCGGGCTCGTGGAGAGCAGCGAATAGAAAAGGCCTGTGCATGAGCTCCAGTGCGCGATAGTAGCGTCCGCGACTGAATTGTTGCCACTCAGTGCTTGTCGTCTGTGGGACGTCCGGAAACTTGATGGATGGAGGGAGATGTTCTCGAAACGTTTCAGTTTGCCGCTCAAACTCGGCCACGATGGGTATGAGCAAATCGACACTAGGAAACCTGGAAGACTGGTCCTTGGCATTGATATGTTTGGAAACCACCTCGGCGACTTGATCTGTGATTCGTCGAAGAGCGATCTCCGACAGGAAGAAGTACCAACTATCCTCCTCATGAGCAGCCCATTCGTCTGAAGCTATACTTGCCGCTTGGGGTGGAGGAGGATATGAATCCAGAGTTCCGGGTTCCCTGAGAGCGGGAGCGCTGATGGGTATTTCGGCTAAGATTTCCCTACTAGGATCAGATACCGAAAATATGGCACGGATTTGTGATAGACGAACCTTTCGGATTTATAACATGTCCAGAACAAGCTCGAGTATATTTCTGGTGTTCCTTCTACCGAACCCGCACTGCATAAAATATGAGGACAACAACATTCCTTCGGCCGAGAACCAAGGAGAGATACATACCCAGTAGATACAAAAATCTGGAGCGATGATCCAGCCGCATGGAACATACGTAGAGCGTGCATGGGCTTGAGTAAATACATGTGATAGATTCTAGGGCGAGATTGCTTAGCAGAGTGGAACGATGTTGACGAGCCCACTCACCCGGCAAGGCAAAGGCACTGAATCGCAAGTGTGCTGACGTTTGACATGGCAGAACCTAAACGTTTTTCAGCAGCGACGAAGTATCGACAGCCCAACCTTAGGCTTGCAGATCGGGAAGTTGAATGGGAAGGGCTGTGGAAGTCTTGGCCTGCATCGAGGGGCTCAAACTCCATAGAAACAGCTCCTAAGGCACACGTGAGCAGGACAAGACAGGTCTCCAGGTTGAACAGCGATCCATGCTCATAATACTGCTGACAGTACTGACTGATCACTTGTCGACTAAGTATTGGGTTCTTAATGTTAACTCTGTTGAAAAATTGGTCGATAAGTGGTTCAATATCTGTTCTTTCTGTCGAGATATTGATCGAAACGGACGGATCCCATGAAGACTCAAAAGTTCCATGTGTGGCTGTTCTGTTATCCTGCGTGAAAAGATCGTCGAGATAGGTGTAAGCTTCAGAGCCCTGAAAATCGATAAACCTGAATTGCTGAAGCGGAGAAAGAAGTCCATTAAATACAGGCCATTGCAAAATTTTATCGGTTGATGCTCTGAAGCTCGCATCCAAGTTTAGGGTGAAAGCTTCACGCTTTGGTTCGGAGAACTCACCACCCTTGGAATGGCGTGCAACATCCAGCTGCTCTTGAATGCGAGAGATGGCTGGTTGTGGCGAGAAGTTGAGAGACGAGGAAGGATGAATATCCCTCAGTAGACTTTCAATCACAGACAGTTGACTAAGAATCTTCAAAGATGCAGTATCAAAGGTTGATGCATCTTGCTTGGTGTACTCGCACGGAGTTCCAATTTGCTGACAGGAAGAACAACTCGGCCTTAAGTTGTCGCTACAAGCAGAAATATCAGCAATTTATTCCATGAAGGCTTTGAGATTTATGTCGCGTACAATACGACGCAAGAGTCATGGCTGGCCGCCTACCATTTCCGTTTCCTTTCGCGGCATACCAGGCATGCTGCCACGGCTCGCCGTCGGGGATACCCAGTCCTTGGTAGTATACGCCTGCCTTCTTCATCCATCACATAGTACAAAGGAGGGTGTGCGTGACAGAGGGTAGGTGGCAAGATTTGCTTTCTGTAGAGTAACGAGGAAATGGTCTGTAGAATACGAACGAAGAGGGACCTCGAGTTGCGTTCCAGTCTAGACTACAGAGAGCCAAGACTCAAATTCGGAAAGTCATCCGAACAGGGTATATACCTACCCAAGGAGTAGCAGACGACCTCTTCTCAGTCTTCAGGAGTAGTATTTGACTGTAAAAAGATAATCAATAGTGCATCAAGAGCTTTGGTACTGTGCACAGATATCACTCTGCATGTCATCCTGTCTGTGCCTAGTGAATGGTGAACTCTGCTGAATAGTCAGACGCAGTCCCGGACCACTCGCAGGCTGAGAGACACTAAACTTGCAGTTTCGGATGAATGCAGAGGCCAATGATCTTAACCTTGAAAGGTATTGGACTTGTGGTGCGAGTAACTTGAAGTGAGCGTCATCAAGAGCCTCGAGACAGCAAAAATGCAGAGCTTCCGGCACGTTCTCGATTGGTCGGAGTTTTAATTCTCGGACTTTAAATTAAGCTTAAAATATAGGCAGTTTCAGGTGCACGCGAGTCATTCAAGTTGCGGACACGGACAGGATCATCCCCTGCGGAGAAAACACACGCGAGGAACCCAAGTTCACCCATCAACACTCCCATCTTCCACCGCTGATTCCCTTACAACACCTGCGTGCAAATGTGTAGTGAGCAGTACCCGCCTCGTCAACACTGAACTCATGAACTTCAACAACTCAACCTCTTCTGTTTCTCATCTACAAGTACGCCCATCATGCTGAGCACCTCTCAACCCATCTCCGCCTTCGCCAACTCCTCTGCTCCCATGAATGTTTCCTCTGCACGCCAGATCCCTTCCCGACGTCCAATCAGCAAAGATGGAGAGAAGCAAGCTATCTGGGTACCGATGCTCAACAGTGCCTCCAAAGGAAAAGACCTCTCAGAGAAACAACTCATTGTACTTGGTGGAACTCCCGACCAACAACGAGAATTCCTGGAGCAGTTAAACCCTCCCAGTTTGCGCCCGCGATATCTAAACAATGATCGACGAAGACAACCACGCTCCGCCCCCATATCAAACCGCTATGCTCTCGGGTACACCTACCATGATGTGTTGGATGCTGACCAGGAAGACGTCCTTGCTCGATTGAATGTTTACATGCTCGCCAACCCAAGTGCAAGCTTTGCACCATTATTGAAACCCCTCTTGACTCCCAAGACCGTCAAGGACACCCTGATCACCATTCTACTCGACTGGTCAAACCCTTTCAAGTGGGCAAGACAACTTCGACAATGGATTCGATTGCTCCGGTCGGTCATCTTGTCCCTGGATGAACAAACAAAGATTGAAATGGAGGAGACCATGACCGCCTGGAAAGAGAAAAGAGTCGGTCCAGATGCCCCTTCTGCTCAGCCTGGTGGATCTCTCAGTGCAGACCAAAAGTTGATCGCCGCCACTGTGCCACCGGGACCAGGAGAATGGGATGAAGGTCTGGGCATTCCCTTGTCCGTGGTATGTGTACAGGCAGAGAAGATTGAGAAGATGGAACGCGACTATGGTTGGGGAGAAGATCAGTTCGATTTTCTAATGCAGTGGTTGAGATGTGTTCTTCTCAAACACGGTGCATCTCTTGTCTACACTGCTACATTCGATCCAAATAACGTTCGGACACTGATCCACACAAGTCTAAGCATCCATTCATTACTTAAGAGAGAAATCGCCAAACACAACATCATTGATCGAGATAAGATCCTCGTTCCCCCAAATTGGGATTCTTGGGGAAAGATTCGAATTCTGAAAGATGGCTTCGATCCAGAGGTTGTAGGGGATGCATGGTCTATTGAAATCCAGGAATCGCCAGAACAATCTCTCGATCTCTCCGTCAACACTACAACTCCCCCTAATCAGAATGGTAGCGCAAACACCGAGAACGAATCAGCCGTTGATATTTTCGAAGCCACTCTCCGTAACCCTTCCGACTCCCGCCCAACCTTCCAACCACGTACCGGTGATGAGGTGGTCGCTATCCCATCAGTGCAAGAATTCCTCCAGGCACAGTTCTCTCACCTCGAGCAACTCAAAGCCGAGGACGAAAAAGCAGAACGCAAATCCCGTAAAGGCGCCCCAGCACCGACCGGAGCGGGCGGGTCAACGGTTGATGGAAACGATGATGGCGGAGTGGTCGGAGTGTCAAACCCTAGAATGGCCGAACACATCGGACCCTACCAGATCAACGTTAACGGAATTGACTTTGACGCCGAAGAGGCTACGAGAAGGTTACTGGAGCGGGAAAGCGAACGAAATGCAGCCACCGCCGCAGCGGCCAATAACAGACCCACCACATCTACCTCGACACAGGCTGGCCCAGGTTCCAGCACACCCATGCGCAGAGCCAACAGCGGCGTGGGCACGGGTACGGCGACGGACGGAACGACAACGCCATCAAGCTCTACGAACAATGCTGCTGCTGCTGGCTCTGGCGTACCAGGGGGCGTGAGCAAACAGAGTAACGAGGCCATGTCGGCTTTCTTCGCCAATCTGATCAAAAAGGACAAGAGAGGTGCTGTCAGTGCCGGCGCTAGTCCCACGCGTGTGCCTGGTAGTTCGAGTCCCGCTGTGAGAGGTGGTGCAGAGGAGAAGAGGCGGGAGTCGTGAGTGAAAGAGTCATCAATGAAGGAGCCTCATATGGAGAGAGGGAGCGAGTGTTTCTATGGTATTGGTATCAACTGGATTAGAATACTGATATTGATGGATGAGCCGGTGTGCTGGTTGATATCTTGAGCGAGCGAGCGAGCGAGCGTTGGCATTTTCGATGTATCCCATTCACACGGAACAACATCATCACCTCGCAAGTTATTTTTCCCTCCCCAATGTTCTTTTCAACATCGTCCTCTTAACCCAACTCAAGGTACATCAACGTACCTAATTAAATCATATGCCTACTTGCCCATGCACCTCAGTTTACTGCCGCTGTAAAAGCACGTTTCAAGGACCGGCGACACCGGTGTCTTGCACTGCGGCCCATCAACAGCCTACGACGTCAAACAGTGCGACGTATCGTTTTAGCAAGTACTCGTTTATTTACACGTGGCCCTCAAAGTCTTGATCATCCGAAAGTGGAATCACCTTGTCAGCGAATCCCGCAATAAGGCGTCGGTGTTTTCCTCTTGCGACGCCGAACCTGACCTACAAATCATCGAACTTGGAAGGCTCGGCGGGTCTGTCATTGAGCCGCGCCTGATTGAAGAAATACTCGGTCATTGCGCTCTTGAACAATTCACTGACGGTGGCCATGCGCATGACAGGGAGCTTTTCGCAACAATGCACTCGAAATTCCACAGCAGCAGCAACATGTTTGTGTCGGCTCTCACAGCTTGAATATTTATGCTGCCTCTGTTGAATAGGACGGACCTGTCTATGACCCACAAACGTTAGTCTTTCATTGGCTCTGGTGATTGATTCAGCGACCAAGACACTTACGGGGCTTGACTGTTGCCACCCACCGCTATGGGAGGATTGGTTTGAGTGAATATTCGACCAATACCATCTCCAAGTGTATAACTGCTCCTGAACTCGGTCTCGATGTCACCTCTGGTAAATACCGCACCGACAATAGGAGCCGCTGAAAGTGGCGTCAAGGTGCTTATGGCCGAAATGAGGAGCACCAACGCGGCACTTTTTGTGCGAATTCAAGACATGGCGGTGGATGGTATAGAGCCTCGCGCTGCCTCAAGATAAACGCCAATCTCCTTGATGTTGAAGGGTTGTTTGGACAATAATGGATAAAGTGCCGATTTCGATATGCATTTCGAGCCGTACGAGATTCCAGTCAGGCCGATCGAGTAGGTGATTGTAGCCAGACCCTTGACAATGGCAAGATTGTTGGTGTTTAGTTTCAAGAACTTTGATTCTAAGCGATCCAGTGCCGAATCTGGGTGTTGTAGGATCTGTCGACTGAGCCATTGAGAACATGCAATCACACATAGGCAATACATTGTGCCCACGGCCACAGCCACCGGTGCTTGCCAATTCGACAGGAGAAAGTACGTCCCATGGAAGAATAGGGAGCTTTGTGTGAGACGCCCGGTTCCTCGTGGGTTCTCCCACACGAAGTGCGGGTTTGACTTGGTCGCTTGTGGGAAAGGGAGAAGGACTTCCAGCCATGATGATTGGGATCTCTCAAAGTCTCTCGTCCTATGCCAGGTGGAAGCTGAAAGAAAAACTCTTACTAAAGTTGCAGGGTTCGGAATTCTGGGAAAGTCAACTCCGGTGAATGGAAGGCAGTAACGATCATCGTTTGAGCCCAATCAATCTTCTAAAGTCGATGCCATTCATCCAAGATGAGGCTGTAGGACCCTGCGACCTCATAGATCTTACGGAGTTCCTGGCCGCATCACCGCCAGGTGTATCAGTTCCCGCGGTGTGAGATGTTACCCTTGAGTTTGATTGGTGAGGGACAGACATTGAGAAATACACTGAACCGTAGGTAGCTAGTAGGCTAACGGCGACGGGAGTAGGAAGATGGGAGGCATTATGATTAGTTGTTTAGATTCTCACTCGTTAGAACATCAGGTAGTTATTTCGCGCCACGGTACACGTGCGTTTGTACTCCTGGTAGTCCACTCCATATATTACGAGCATCTCTCTAGTTATCTACCTAGTATGCATGGACTATCATAGCTGTCGTGAGTAGTGATTTAGTTAGAGAGATGGGCCAGCCTTCAACCCCACCCCAATTCACCCCCCTTCTATCCACATTGAGATACAGCCTCGGCTCATCCTCGTCCGTCAACACGAACGACCGGCTGGCCGATGGCGTCATCCGAACATCAAGTTTCCTGCTGGGTGCCTAACTTCAACCAAGAAATGAAATGTTTAGTCTCTACTAGAGTGCAGAGCCACTTCAGATTTATACAAATCCTGGCCAAATAGATAGAGGAGTAGACGTATATAAGTACAAATGAAATATACGAGTCCAATGTCAGTCTTCCAGGTAGTTCTGGTCCAATTGGGGCCTTGGTCGAACCACAAAGGCCCCCCCTCTAAGAAACTCAACCAAGAGCACGACGAACAAACGGCTAAAGCGTAATCGGAGTCATTATTATCTCGGCCGCGGATATTTTGTTCGCGTTTGTTCCTCCTCATTTGCTTCATTATTGCCTTGAATTAAAGCCTCCAACCTCTTCGGGGTTTTTTTTTGGTGCTTTAGACTGGTAATCGATATCACTTTGATAATATTCGTGAATGGTCTCAATCCTTTTTCTGACTAGATTGAGTTTGTTTCAAATGCTCGTGGTTTGAATCTTTTACTACACCCATAAACGTATTTCCCCCCACCGCTATTTCTTACGATCTGGATATCTAACTAGCAATTGTGAATTGAAGTTGTGATATACTTGTGCGAAAGCAATTGGGAGAGAAAGCGAAGGATCGAGAAGAATAACTATCTGCATATCTGACGCCTTCGGTCTGGTCTATCAGATCCGAAAAGCACAGAGAACCCTTCTTCTTCCTCATACCGAGATTTGTTGTCAAGAAAGCCCGAGACTCAAAGAAACTCGGTTAAGAGGGCAAAAGCAAAACTAAATTATCTATCGATCTACCTCCATTCATCATGGCAACCCAAGGCCCGACCACAGACTCGTCACCGCCACAATCGCCACCACCGACGAACCCAACAGAGCCCTACCCACCATTCCTCGACGTGAAACCACCGGCCGACGCACCGATCAGCTCGGCCAACGGCACACTAATCTCACCGTCGGAGAAGGAAAAGGAACTGGCCGCGGAGGGCAAATCCTCGACGACGCCGGAACCCGAGGAGCACATCCATCTGGAGTTCCCAGCGAGACTGCCGACACCGCCATTCATCCACGTGCACGGGGTGCCCAACTTCCGCGACCTGGGCGGGTATCGCTGCAGCCCACCGCCTTCCTCGTCGTCGTCATCGTCATCGTCGTCCAACGATGATGCCGGCAAGATCTACACGCTCCGCCGCGGGATCCTGTTCCGGTGCGCGCACCCGACGCACCTGACGCCACAGGGCCTGGAAACCGTGACGTCCCAGCTCAAGATCAGCAGGATGTACGATCTGCGCTCGGGGCCCGAGATCGCGCGTCTGGCCACGACGGTCGCCAATAGCCCCGCGGCCGAGAACCTGTATCCGCTGGCGGACCCGAACACGGGCACGATCGAATCCTCCGCGGCGCCGGGCTTGGAGAGAGTTTTCGTCCCCGTCTACCAGAGCGAGGACTACGGGCCCGTCGCGCTCGCGCGCAAACTGCAGTGGTACACGGACGAACACCGGCATGATGAGGCGAGCGGGTTCGCGTACTCGACCGGCTTTGTCAATGCGTATCGCGACATCGCGACGCATGGCGCCGACGCGTATCGGGTCATCTTTCGGAGATTGTTGGATGTTGCTGCGCGGGGTGGAGATGGGGCAGATGGGGCAACGGCGGCGGCTGTTGATGGTCCCGGGTTGATCTTCCACTGTACGGCTGGAAAGGACCGGACGGGTGTGTTTGGTGCGTTGATCCATCGGCTTGTCGGCGTCGACGACGACACTATTTGTTGGGAGTACGCGCTTACCGAGCCTGGATTGGGACGTTGGCGCGATCAATTCATCAAGCGGATCTCTGCCGGTGGCTTGGGCGGTGGGGGTGGCAAGCCATCTGCGTTGGGGACGGAGAAGAAGAAAGATGCTGGCGAACCCGCCGAGAAGATCTACCAGGGGGATCGCAAGACACCGCTGTCCAGGGCTGAGGCGGCGAGGATCTGTGGTAGTCGTGCTGGGAATATGCGTGCTTGGTTGACTCAGGTTCTTGATGGGGAGTTTGGTGGGGTGGAGAAGTATTTGAAAGAGAAGTGTGGCTTGTCAGGTGAGGAAGTGAAGCGATTGAGGGAGTTTTTGACTGTCGAGGTCAATGGGGAGGATGAGGTTATCGCAAAGAGTGCGATTGAGGGGTGGACACCGGAGGGTGGTGTGGTTGATTGATATCGGCGGGTCTTTGATATGAAAGGAGCAATGAATGGGAAGTTTGGATGAAGAAGATACTCCACGACTTCAATCGAAATACGGGGGGGGTATACACAAGAGCCATCTCAACTATAGAGTTGGTGACAGAGGTGATAGATCTCCAGCGCAAGTACACTTTGGTGCAGCTATACTATGAATAGAGTTTCTCAAATCGACTTCCAGAACGTTGACAGGGTAATGATTAGCTATTCGAGAGGTCGAATAATCATAAGTAATAGCACAACGTATTTATTCATAGGTTACTCAGGCCGTTGTCCACTTCGGAGATTTGAACATGAAAAGCATTTTCTTGCGTAACCAAAGCAACGCGCGCATTGTATATATGCAGGTCGGGTACTGAGTATATGCCAACGCATCAGACCTCCAAGACTTGCTTGGCCAGTGATCTCAGCCTCCTTAGTCGAGATGTTGTTCCCGAACACCAAAAGTACCCGCTATTTGCCATTTCGTCAGTCGCGTTAAACCTCTTCCTCGTTCGTATCATCCAAGATCGATTTTGTAAATCGGGTTCTTTTCTGCTCCATTTCAAGTCACTTGATCAACCACTTGACCAACCACTCCAAGGATCCAGAAGGAACGCAACCCCCCAAAACGGACAATAAGCCTCTCTATGTTTGACACCGGCGCTTCCGAGCACTTCGTAACGCATTTTTTCAAAATGAGAAGGTAGTCTTTCCCCTTTCCTCCTAGTGATTCTCCACCATTGTATGGCAGAGAAAATATATGTGTATATGCATGAGCGGCAATCAAACAAAAGCCAAACTGCAACGAGGAAACAAAAACAAAAGGAGTTGCACATCGACAGTGTACGACTCAATCATATCTCGACGTCCCATCACCCATATCAAAGCGATGCTGCGGCAGGCGTTTGACTGGCGGTGGGAGATGATCATGTTTGGCCTGGACCTTCATCTTGGCCGCGACCTTATGGGAGTCGAGTTTCGAGACGTCGAGTCCATTGGTCAGGTTCGCACCACGCGCATCCGGTGCACAGCAATCGATGCCCTTGATCCAGCGGTCGTTCAAGGCGTCATGGATGCTGCAGCGCTTGTCTGGATCTGGATGGAGCATCTTCAGAACACACCTGCGTTGGGAGTGGGAGGCAAGGGCATTGAAGATCGGGCCGCATTGTGGGTAGGTGTTTTCGTCGATGATAGTGGATGGGGTCGCAGTTGTGGAGGGACAGCCGTCCCCGCCTTTCTCGAAGCGGTCGAGAAATGCTTTCCATCCTTCGAGAAACACGGCATAGTTGACTTCGTTCTTACTCGTGCTCTGCCATGGATTACCGCACAGACACATGGTCATGTAGAGGATGCCGCACGCCCAGACGTCCAGTTTCGTGGGGTCGTAGTCCCGGTCATGCGCCAATACCTCGGGCGAGATATACGGTTTCGAGCCACAGATACCGGGTGCTGATCTTCTTGGAGTCCTCATCCCTTGACCACACAGACCTCGTGAGATGGCGACTCCTGGGTGGTCACCACAAAACACTTCTGACACGCCGAAATCGGTGATCTTGATGTGTCCGTCGTCGGTCATCAGGAGGTTTTCGAGTTTGATGTCGCGATGGGCGATTCCATGGTCGTGGAGGTAGCTGACTCCACGTAGGACTTGCTTGAAGATACAATTGCGATCCTCCGGCTTGAAGTACTTCCGTTCCACGAGGCTGAATAATTCGCCTTGCTGGCAATACTCCATGACATGGTTCCAACGGCCGTTGTTGGTGCAAAGTCGGACCGTTCGCACCACGTTCGGATGGTCGAGAGACTTGGCAATGGTATATTCGGATTTGACTTTGCGGACGTATTCTTCCTCGGTCTCTCTTGTGGATTTCTTGCGAAACTCCTTGACAGCGTAGTAAGGTGGGTTATCACTCTTCTTGTCTCCTTTACGAAGCATGATCTTCACTGTGGCGCTTGCACCCTTTCCGATTTCTTTCTTTCGCCCGAATTTGGATAGTGGGGCGAACTCGGACTCCAAGGGACAGACATCGACAACGAAATCGTCCAGAGGACTCGCGCTCAAACGGCGGGATTTCAACCCTGACCCCTCCTCTGCGGGAAGGGAGAAAAGTGAGGATCTTTCAGGCTGGTTGTAGATACTGCCCCAACTACCCGTTCGGTGGACCGAATTTGGTCTGGGAGGGGCGAGATACTTTGACTCTTTGTGAGATTTGATCTTGGACAAGAGGCTGAATCCGCTAGAGGACCGCGCTGGTGAGGGAGGCGTGCTGGTCATGACTGACATGTCTGTCGAGGGTGTAAAGGACGACAACGTAGGTGGTGCGAATGCGGCACAGAATACCGCCCACTCGGAGTGAGCGGGCTCTGAGAAGGATCCAGCGCGACGGCTTGTCTGAGGGTTGGGTTGGAGGTTGGACGTTCGGAGAGGGATTGAGCGGGAGCTGACGTCTGCGGTTTGACTCGGAACTTGGAGACTCAGGACTTTGTGCAGGAGTTGGAGAAATCCCAGAAGAGACTCTTTTGTCTTTGTTGGGGGGAAATAGACACTGACAGAGACGAGCGGACGCGGGACAGATGGAAGAAAGCTTGACAGACCTAAATCCGTAGGAACGGTGGGTGATCCTCTTGCAAGCACGTATCAGAATGCTCAAGCCCGATATTTTGACTTTAGGGTATCTTATGGACCACCAGTGGGTGGCGTTGTCACAACGTGGTTCAAGGTTGACTTTGATAGAAGGGAAGTCAACCTGGATGATATGAACAGCAGTTGAAGTAACCCACGAGGTGGATTCTTGATGCGAACCACGCTGCACAATGACCGAATGGTGGGTTTCTGCTATGTTCGAATCGAAGTTAAGCGAGGAGTTTGATGGTGACAGGCAGGAGTCGATTGGTGTAGGACTCGAGGATCCTGGGTGGGAAAGGGTCGTATTTCTGAGTCTAGTTCCTGTTTCTCCAAGGCTTGGAGGTGGTATTTATCCTCGGGATGTTCCCATGTGGACTGATGGTTAAGAGAAAACAAGGTGGGTCTTTTTCAAGATTCCACGACCTTGCTCGGATGGGCATTACACGGATCACCGGAGGATAGGAAGAGAGGAGCGTGGGTCTGGAATCTTGTTGAGTTATCAGTTAGAATAGAGATAGGACATCAACGACGATAAACATGTGAGGCATGTGCAATAGATTTGTGGTCAGGCTGGAATAACATGCCTGAAATAGGTGTAGCGGATCACCAGATCGTGTCGGGTATCGGCGACAAGGTCAGGATTGGAAGGTAGAGTAGTAGGGTATCTAGATACAAGTCGTCGACTCCAGTGATCTTGGAAGGAGAAGAGCGATAACGACGTCTATATATTATTTTATTCTAAATACCGCAGCAACATTCCCAGTATCTAATAAGAACGCCATTCACCCCTCCCACGCCGATCATCATTTCAAGAACTCGGACTCGTGCTTCAGCTCGCTTGAGACATCGCGAACCCCCAGCATCCTGCAGCCGGAGATGCAGCCAGACACGCATGCTGCAATGCACGCCCTCAATCGGTGAATTGTAGGTAGGACAGGCTTGCTGCACTCCACAGCCAGGCTGACTTGGGGGCCGGGGACTGAGGGGCCCTCTAATTAGCAAGTCAAGGGCGAGGGAGGGTCTGCCCCTCATTTTTCACAGGTTGAAGCCTCAGAGAGAGAATATTGGCATATCAACTTTACTGACTTCCAAGCCCTTCCAAGATGTCACCCAAGGGCTGGGCTTTTAACCAGACCACTGGGACAAAGAAGCAGGATCTAGGCAGTTTAGTTAAAAACACCCCGGGGATCGAGATGGAGGCCATGGAATCTTCAGCCAAGGCCTGGGTGACTATTAAACCGAACCCTTCGACAGTTCCCACCTGGACTCTGAGGGAGGCGCGCCCGAAACCCAATCCATTTGACCGCCGGAGCTCAGTCACGGAGTGACGAATTAACCAGACTCCAGCTTCACTCCAACTCCATGCTTGCTTGCCCTGCAGTGCAGCAACTTTCCAGCTTTGCTTTAGTACCAATTCAGATAAGTCGCTGGACACGGGCAACAAAAAGCAAAGACCCAGAGGAAAGCAATGCGCGATTTAATTTTGCTGGATATGCAGGTGCATTTATTGAAACTTGCCCTGTCCTCTGTCCTCTGTCCTCTGCCTCTTGCAGGCTACTTTCTCCGGTTGAGTCTCTGCCCATTCGGAGTGCCTGGAGCTGGGGTGCTTGGAGGTTACTTGGGCGTTGGCGGTGCGTGAGTTGGGCTGTCAGGCTGCACGCAGTGGGTGCGGGCTGTCACTACTCCTTAGCTGTTAATCATGCCCCTCCTCCGCACTTTTCCCAGAGGCTCACCTGTCTCTTGGATATCTAGTTAGGTACCTAGGTACTTAGGTAGTTACCTAAGCTAAGCCGCCCTGCCATCCATAACCCCCAAAAATGAGTATCTGAATTCGTCCATCTGCAGCCCGAGGCCTGCAGGTGGTTGCCAAACAATAATCATCACCCCCATTTCAGGGCATTCGACTGACTGGGATCGAGTGGTAGATATCCTGCAACCTGCAACATGCAAGCCTGCTGCATTCCAAGTCACGAGGCAAACCCCACGTTCTCTCTCTCCCCTCAAAACAACAAGCCTTTTTCTTGACTCTGGATGCTTTGTGTGACGGTCAGGCACGCGCGAATCGTTGACCTTACCCAGTGGGAAAGGCTTTGCTCTCCCGCTGTGCCGCGGCTGCAGGAGCCTCGAGCGTCCCATTCTTCCAACTGGCACTCCCACGCTCGATGCACCTATAAGACTCGGACTTCATAGAAATGAAATTGCAAAACAATGCATTATCTTCAATGTCGTAGGAAATGTTCTCCTTGGTTTGTCCATCACCCAGTCACCGCTGATTAGAAAGTCGCTACTCTACTGCATAATTGTCTCGTCCCTTCACTGCAAGCTTCTCCACTTCGCCTCGAAGAAAACTCCCCAATCTTTCTCTGCTATCCACTGGTCATCCCCTGTTCCTTCACCGCTCGTGTGCCCGTCGATTCTTTTGACGAGTCCATCACTCACACGAGTAGTTGTCGATTTCCGCTTCACTTTTCAATGGCCTGCACGCGTGCGCAGAAATACGACTGCTTTCCTGTTTTCCACTTCCCCGGCATGCATTACTCCTGCTGGTGATGTCCATGACCATTCAGGTCTTCCATCCCTTGACTTTGTTCTCTTTGCATGCGGGCTTCAATTTCACGCAGTTGGCTTTCTCGTGCAAGCAGTTCTTGTCGTTTCTCATTGATCTCTCGTTGCACCTTGACTTCAATTTCTCGAAGCTTCTCCTCTTCACGACGAAGTTGTTCCTCCTTCAGACGCACTGACTGGTTGGCGAGGTCTTCTGGGTTGATCGACGAATCTTGGCCACTGTAGTTCAATCGTTAGTCTCATACTGCAAGAAAAGGGAAAGGGGCCAGGGGCAACACGTACGATACACCACCATCCACACTCTTGCTGAGTTTCTCCGTTCGATAGTTTTCATACAGAAAGTCGTGTGTAATTTCCTTCAGATCTGCAAGGTGGGAATGAAGAAGGGCACTGCGAATAGCCAGGAAGTCCGAGTGACGAGGATTGTCCACCTCAACAATACCCCAAGGGTACTGTCGGGCTCTAACACGTCGTCCACCATTCTCAATCACATCTTCCGATCCAACAATGGCAAATGGCATCAACCCTCGTAGTTCTGCATTCTCCTCGACCGTATCTTCGTCATCTTCTTCGATATCATAGGGGAAATTGTAGACCGGGATGCGGTAATGTTCAATATCTTCCATGACTAATTTCTTGGACTCGGCCAGTTCGGCAGGGGTTAAGGAATCGGCCTTGCCAATAACGGGAATGACATTGACACGTGGTGACAATCGTTTCATCAATTCAATGTCCAGTTCTCGGAGACCGTGTCCCGTGGGGGTGATGAAGTAGAGGAGGGCGTGCACGCGATTGTCGCGGAATCGAGGATTACGCTTGATACGAGATTCTTCGGCAAGGATGTCATCGTATTGTCTCTCGAGGTAACCGACAATTTCGCCGAATGAGGCTTCGTTATCGATGGAATCGCCAAACCCGGGAGTGTCGACAATGGTCAATGAGACACGTGTGCCTTCCTCGTCCAGTTCAAGCTCTGGTATTAATCTTTAGCGTTCTGCAGCAGCTGTATATCCTTTCGGTTGACCTACCAACTGTGACAGGCTTGATCCTTACACCTTCCTCCAGGTGTGCGTTGGCTGCATCATCGGCGTCTTTGGGTTGGAGGACTCTTCTGCCACAGAGGGTATTGACAAATGTGGTTCGTCCTGGAAGGTATTAGTGGTGATCCCGTCAAGAGGTTGAAGCGATCTTACCAGTGCCTGATGCGCCACACACCATCATGGAGAACTGGATACCCTTCTTGACATTCTTCTTTCTCCGAATCTTTGACTGCGCAACGCGCATCTGTTTAGTAGAGAACATATTGACGAGTTTGAGCGACGGAAGAAGTATAAGGGAGGACAACAGAAGGGAATGGGCAATTGAGATGGAAATTAGGGGCGTAGTGAAGGTGACAACGTACCGCATTGAGAGGTGAAGACATTTTGGTGGTGTGGTTATTATAGGTAAAGTTTGAAGTCAAAAAGGCGCTGGTCGAAGGGAAAAGGGGGTCCGGCAAACAGAATAGACACGATCAACGGGAGGAACTGCAATAAACAGAAAAAGTCGTTGAGATAATGAATTGTCGTTGTTGAACAGATGTAGAGTCTACAGTGAGTGTAGATTGCAGGTTGCAGATGACAGTCAATTCAACTCCGTCCACTCTGTCAAAAAACTAGGAATAGGGATTGAATTAGGGGTAACCACCTCAACCAAATAACCAATAGTCGTGCCTGCCGCATGTCGCTGGTTGTCCATTATTCCGGGGTCGTGCCTTCTTGGTTCCGGCGCTTTCCCTTTTCTGTCACATTTCTTGGCAATAGCCATATCACGTGTTATCAACTTCGCGAGCCTCAACTGCACCTTTCCAGCACTTGGACCAGCATCAACAGTGACTCCAGCAATACACAATCCCATTGCACGTCCAACTCAATGATGATTACCTCGTGCAATTGAGGCTCAAGGACCCGACGGGTACACCACGTGTTTCCCACTCTTCCTCAATGAGGTAGGTCATTCCTCCTCGTCTTGATCTCATCCATTCATTCCACCGCCATGGCCCAGCATGTCCACCGCAGATCGGGAAATGCTCGACGTCAGCAGTCAGTCGACTTTCCTCGTTATCCTCCCATGAATTCCACAACTCAGACTCAACCATCCATGCCTGCTCCCACCCCTATACAGCCTCCCCCAAACATACTTTCCTCCGACTATGAATCAGACTATCAAGGCTATCAATCAGATTACCCGACCAGGCCTCCTCCCCCTGATCGCACCAATGAAGAGCTGAATCTTTCAGTACTCAAGCGTCACAATCCACAAATAACAGCCATTCTTTCAATAGCTCCCTATGCTGTGGTTTACGAATTCACCCCTGCACCAGAACCTCAATGGACAAAGACGGGGGTGGAAGGGTCTTTATTCATCTGTGAACTTGCCCCAGGACCTTATGGTGAAGACAGATATTCCGCCATTGTTCTGAACAGACGTGGTCTGGATAACTTCGACGCAGAACTGAGGGAGGGGGAAAATGCTGGCGTTGAAATCACTGGAGAGTATGTGATTCTCAGCTTCAAAGAGGGCCTTCAGCAGAAGATCTATGGTGTTTACATCTTCCACGATGGTCCTGGAACATCAACAGAAAACGCCCAATTACACAATGGTGACCTGATGAAGAAACTTGCAGACCATGCTGGTGCTAGTAAGCATGCTGCTGAAGCAGCCGCCGCTGCAGCACTGGCCGATCACACCAATGGACATATGCAAGAAGCCGAGGCCAGTATAACAAATCAGTCTGCCAATGCACCTTCTGCTGCTGGTCAACAAATCACTCTTCAACAGCTATTTGGTCAACAGAGAGCAGCAGACTCGGCTTGGAGTGTAAGAGCACATGATTATAGTCAGGCTCCTCCTTCAGAAGGACAAACTGCTTTGGCAGATTTGTTCCGAAAGGGGACCACTTCTCAAACGGCGCCTCAGCAACCAGATGTCCTGGGAGACCTCTTTCGTCGAGCTGGATTGGGCACGACGTGATTACACGCTCGAGCGATACTATTCGTTCAGTTGGCGGCATGAATTATGAATTAGGTAATTTCTATAGCCTAGCCTGGTATCTCTAGCCATGGATGGATTTGTTTCTTGGATCGTGCATGTCAGTCTTGATCCCACAACTCCCTGAGCCATCCATTGACTCGTCGAACCACCAAATCACTTTGTGTCAGACACCAAGCATGCATCAATCCATCCGTCTCGTCTATCCGAATTCTCGGCGATTTATTCCTTCCATCATCGAGCTCATCCTTACCAGCATCGTCACCAATCTTGTCGTCCTTCTCAATAAAGCCCGTCCCTCCTCTCGTGCTGAGAATCTCCTCCCTCGTCACATCCGCCACCCAATGATCCCGTCTAGCAAACCAGAAAAACAAGCTCGGATTCGACTGATCCACCACCGCCCCATCCCCAGCAGCAATACCCCAAACCTCATTTCCCCAGCTATCTTTCCTAATCTCCCTCAACTCACACTTTGCCATCTCCAGCGCCTGGCACACACCCCTTCTACTGCGCAGAAACGCCACTGTTGCGACCAACCCATGACTGGCAGCTTGCATACCTGTGGCGCGCTTCACAAGGACCTCGAACCATGCTTCCGAAAGGAACTTCACTAAGACGTTCTGCACGAGTCCCTGCGCTAGACTGGGCAGGAATGGCAGGAATGCCAAAAGTGGGCTTGCGATGCGCCCAGACGAGGAGAGATGCAGGTCTTGTATCGTGGGTGTGAGGAGGATACATGATAGGATTGAGTACTTTGCTAATTTTGGTAGGGAGTCCGCGGCTGTTGCTTGCTGTCGATATTCATGCCGTAGCCGCACTAGCTCAAGTGCAATGTATGCGCCGACGCTGTGCCCTATCAGCGTCACTTTGAGGTTGATATCTGTATTTCTTGTGCTCGTGTTCGTAGTTTCTTGACTATTCAATGTCTCCGGCCCTGACCGACTCAATCCTTGCAAGGAATCGCACTGCATCCGTAACCTACCAAGCAGATTCTCTAGCCGTGCATAACATAGCTCGACCTGCTCAGCAAGCGAGTAGATCCTCTGCACGCTCCGTGAATCTTGTTTCGCCGTCTGGGAAGCAGACGGAGAAGCCGCGACATCAGGAAACAGCAGATCCCTCAAAGCCTCGCGATCCCGTTGCTGCTCCTCACCCTCTTCAACTCCCCGAGCTCCCTGGCCCCTCTCACTGCCGGATCCTGCCAACGGCGCCGCAGTCCAATCCTCGACCTCGAACCCGCCGAGACTGAACCCCGCGACCACCACCACGGGCCGCGCAGACACGTCAGACAGGTCTCCGCCATCACGGCCGTTGAAGCCCTGCACCACACCCGCCAGAAACGGATGGTAGTACGCGATCAACCCCGGGTTGCCGGTGATGAAGAACACGAGGTCCAACGTTCTTGCATCGGATGTGGAGGGACTGGGATCACATAGCGATGCCGGCATGTGCAGGAATATATCCGGCGAGACGTGGGATTTCAATCGCTTCATAATTACTGTCTGGCGCTGGATTTTTTTTCTCTCAAATTTCGATGGTTGATGTGGTTCAGTGTTTGGCTTGCCTAAGGGGAAATGATTGATCTCGAGAGAAATATTTATCCAACTAGCCCGCCGACACGCGTTGGGCGGTCTGTGGTGCGCGTGCTGTTGAAATGTGGGCGTCGAGGGCCACTCGATGCTAATTACCGATGGCTTCCTCCTCTTCTTGATTTCGATCTTCAAGCACAACACTCCATCTTGGTATCGATTATACTCCGTTGGTGATGGCGAGGAATATTTGGCTGTCAAAACGTGCTGGGTGATTAATCACTAGCATATTACTCAAAGTGGAGCACGATGACATCGGCATTGGACCCCCATTCCCTTCTAACTAACCACTCACCTTCGATGTTGGGCGGGCGGATGGTATGACTTACTGGAAGATCTAACCGTCCCTGCTACTTGGGATATATCACGACACAAAAGAAGCAGAACATTGGAGACCAAAAAAGGTGCTGTTGGCTATGGTAGAATCTAGCTAAACCTGGTCTCAGGACGCCTTGTGCCTTCCAAGCGAAGGCTGAGCCCGCATTCATCCGCTTCTCGACGCGGGGATCAGTTAATCATACATGTTTCAAGCTTTCGAAGATCGCATGTGCCTGCTTGCTTGCTTGCTTGTTGGGGTATCCTATAAACTCAGACATGAAAGGCGTTCAAACCCAAAAAAGAAAACAGAAAAACGCTGTGATGCCGTAGTAATGGAGTTCAGAGCCACCTACGGGACTCCCCCTGATAGATTGAGTTTCGTCGTCCATAATCGGCGTGTTTTTTTGAACGTATTGCCAGGTCGGGTCCTCGCCATTTGTATCTCCAGCATCTGAACCATCTACCCATGGAGATTTGACATTAGTACAGCGGAGGAAGACGATCCTCATTTCGAGGATAGTCGATATGTTCCACGGCCCCATCGACCGTAGAACCAAGTCCTGGAATTTCATTGGCGCGATGGATTCCAAGTGACAATGGTATTTGCTGTGTATGCATCGAGCTTCTCTGAAGTGGAAACGGAGGTAAATTCCCATAACTTACAAGACCAGAACCTTTACTGGAACCGGATTGAGGTGTGGAAACCCCATTGACGTGATTTGAACTTTGACCGACCTGAAAATGAGGCGATTGAACGAATGGGTTAGCATGTCCCATAGCATGAGGGTTTTGTGCCAGCCTCTGTGCTTGCTCCTTCGCAAAGAATGCCGCAGGATTCTCTCTGAGGAGTCGTTGGTCCTGAAATTCTTTCTCTGCGACTCTTTTATCCTCATCATCAAGTTTTTCATTGTCTTCTCGCTGGAAAGTCTCTGTCAATTCAATGTTTCGGATGTAATTAACACGCTTGATGATCTTGTCTAACACGTGTGGATCTTTCCCAATATGTTCGTCAAACTCCTTTTGCTCTGTCTCCTGCACAGGAAATAACCACTCTGCGATGTTCTTCGAAGCGTGTCGGGCGAAATTCTTGTGATCCACAACTCTTGAGAACATCTGTTTCTTGAACATGGCCTTGTTGAACATGACACCTTCAAAGGTGCCGCCTGCTCGAAAACGATACACGAGGACCGGCTTTCTTTGACCAAGACGATATGCTCTTCCTATTGCCTGCTCTTCCCATGACGGATTGTACATGAAGTCGAATATGATAACACGATTTGCACCTTGAAGATTCATGCCGAGTCCACCAGCTTTCATGGAGATGAGGAAAACATCATACCTGCTAGTATTGTTGAACTTTTTGGTCATATTCTGACGATCCCCAACTTTGGTGGTGCCATCTAAGCGAATGTATTTGCATTTCATAGCGAGCAGCATCTCCTCTAGATAGTTCAACGTTGGAATGCTGTGTGAGAAGATCAGAGTTTTGTCATCAATCTTGACTGCCTCTCGTATGATGTCATGAACCAACCACGTCCGATAAGAGAGGTTGAGATTTTTGAGATCATTCATGCCCTGGGATCTGTCGAATACTTCCAGGACTCTCTGCATGGCTTCGAGCATAGGACCCTGGGTGTCGACTATCATGTCAGCTGGTAGAGGGCTTTCACCGTCGAGATTTTCCTTTTCGCTCTGGATCTCATTCTCCATTTCTGATTCGTCCCCAACTGCTTCTGACTTTTCGAGGAGTTCGCTTTGGCGGTCGCGTAGCTTATCATAGCAACATTTTGGATGGTTGCAAAGTATTTGAAGAATGGCAATCCAACCCCACAACTTGGCTTGGGCCCCACGTCCCCCGGGCTCAACGGTGTGTTGCATGTACTGCACATATGTGTTGTAGGCTTCCTTTTGCAAATCAGTAAGTGGGATGGTAATAAAATATTCTGTCTTCGTCGGCATATCCTTCTCAATTGCTGAAATGTCTGCTCGATTGATCTTGGGATCGAGATCGCGCTTGAGAACATGTAACTTTCGCAGGGCTGTACGTCTTTCGAGTGGCGTGCTTTCTGCATAGAGACCCTCGCTGATGGGTTCTGAGTACTTGGATCTGAATTGAACCATGGTTCCTAGATAGCCAGGGGCAATCCAGTCAACCATGGTATGATATTCCTCAAGATGATTGTTCAACGGAGAGCCTGTGAGAGCGATACGACTCAGTGTCTTGAATCTTGAAGCAGCTCTATTCAATGCTGATTTGGGGTTTTTCATGTTATGTGCTTCATCCGCGACGACAAGAGCTGGTTCCTCGAGGAGAATTTTCTCCAACTTCGAGAGATTGCCTTGTTGACCAATCTTGGTTGGATCCTGGGCTGCGTTAATTATCCTGACAAATCTGGTATAGCTGATAAGTAGGACACCCCCGTTCTGGGACCAGAGTCTGAGACTTCGCGGACTTTGAGAATCATGTTTGTGGATCTCACCCAAGATGTACTGATTTGGTGACCACATGATAAGTTCATCAAACCAATTCTCAACAAGGGCAGCAGGACAGAGAATGAGTGTCTTTCTACTGCGAGACTTCAACGGAACATGGTCTCGGATTCGAGGATTGTCGCTTCGAGCGCACTGGGCGATTGTGACAAGAAGTGAAATAACCTGCATTGTCTTTCCCAAGCCCATGGTGTGAGCAAGAATGCATCCCTGTTGCTTTGGATCTTCGATAATCTCCCGCCACATGAATTGGATACCTTTAAGTTGGTGAGGCTTCACACGCGAGGCAATATGAGGGTCGAGGTAGACAATGGGTTCGGTAAAGTTGACAGGACAGAGACTACCGCCCTTGGCTTTGGGCATTTGGGCAACTCTTTTTTCCACAGCTATGCGACGTCTCTCCTGTTCTTCTATACGTTGCTGATCACTTCGTTGTTGTTTGTTCGCTTCTTGACTCTCGGCAACAGCTCGCTTGCGCTTCTTGATGGATGAAGGCGGTTGATGGAGTTCTACCACATCGGAGTTGAGATCATCACTCCTATAAAGGTCCGTATCATCCAGGGCTGAATTGTCACTGATGAAAGCTTCACGCTTTCTCTTCTTGTCACTTTGAGGTGTTCCTTGTAGAGAAGCTTTTTGTTTTGATGCACCGTTGGCAATATGCAGGAAGCGCGAAAGCAAAATAAAGAATCTCCACTGGGTGGAATCAATGCTTTCAAAGGCCTGGTTGATTTGGTCTCTCGAAGGGCCAATTTTACCGAAAAGGTTCTGTCCATTGTGATAGACCATGAAGAGTAAGACAAGTTGGGAGAGAGTTTGCTTGGCTTTTTTCTTATCCTCCTGGTAAGCAACAAAGCCCTCCACAAGTAGTTCCCGCCCTAGCTTGTTGTGCTCTGGGATACCAGAAGTAAGATCGACGAGTTTCTGGACGGCATCGCGATCAAGTTCGACGTAAACAGCCTTTGCAAGAGCTCTTCGACCATCGGAGTTGTCTTCTATGAGAGCCCAGTCAGTGCCTTTGATCCCATGAAAATCTTCAGCCCGTGGCATATCGCAACCAGAAAGATTTGGACCACTCAAGTTATCAGTCAGCATGCTGAAACGCCTGCAAGCTCTCGAGCCATCGGGCTGTGGATTCAACTCCGGCGTGCGAACATTCATATCCGAGCTTGCACTATCGCCATGCTTCTCAGCTGAGGGAGGGCTCGACTTGGTCAAATCGATGGCGGAGGATAGTGACATTCCTTTTGAACGGTACTTGGATGGGATGAATTCTGGTTTGTCGTGATGATCCGTATCAGAATCGGATATCTTTCCTGACTTTGCTCTGTCTAGATTGAGTGGTTCAACGAATTTTCTGCTCGGTGTGATTGGTGCCTTGGAGTTGAGCTTTGCTGGAGATTTGCCTTTATCCGCGAACATTTTGCGTTTTTGCCTAGGCGTTACGATGGCATCATCAATATCAGTTTCAACATCGGCATCGTGGTCGTGTATTTCGTTACTGGCTGCTGGGTTCTCCTGGGGCATCAATTGCTCGGGTTTAGCCATGGTTTTAGCTGCAGGGGTTGTCTTCTCTTCCTTGAGAATTACTGGATTCCACACATCCTCATCGCCGTCAGGTTCATGATGTATAGATCCTGCATCGGAACTATCGCTCAAAAATTCAGAATCGTCCTCATTCATGATATCGTCTGAGTCAACGTCTTCTTCACCATCCTCGAGCGGAGGCTTCTGCGTAACAATCTTGTGCTGACGTTCGGCCTTGTTCGGCCGCTCTGGTTGATGATCGGAAAGCAGAACCTGAATAGTGTACACATGTTCTTCGATGGAGTGTAGTGTAGGCTCAATACTTTGACATTGGTGTTTGACGTCGGAAGGCTTATGCCACGTATCTTTGAGAATTGCTTCCTTCAATTTTTGGAGTTGCTCGGTATGGCGATCCCTCCAAAATTGACAATTTTCTAGAGCTGCTTTTCTGCTTTTCTGCTTGGCTGACCGCATCCACAAAAGATATGCCTTCAGCTTGTGTTTTGGCAGCTTTGTCTCGCGCCACTCGCTTCGAAAGGCTTCCAGTGTCTCATTGATTGTAGACTCGACCGCCGCAGTAGTCATGACTGAAGTGGAGATCTGCTTTTCTGCCTTTTCCTGCTCAATTTCGTCCCAGGTTTCTAAGTCAAATTCTCCTTCGTCCCCGGAGTCGCCATATACAGGGAGACCTTCCTCGTGTGTTGCGACAGGATATCTGGCCAGTAGAGATTGAAATTCGTCCAGATCAGTGTAACTCTGCGGTTGAGCACCATCATCATGCTTTGATGGGGTCTTCAAAAGTTGTTGAGGTAGCTCATGACGAAGCGAATTCGGCAGGACCGCATCTTTTAACAACTGAGGGAAGTCGGTTGCTGTGCGTACGACTGGTCGATTTTCATTATGAGGGAAAAGAGTAAACAACTGCTTTGAGAGCCCCTGGGAACGTTTCGGACCGTAAGGTATCTTCAGAAGAGATCCATTCTCGGGATTTATCAAGGTCTTTTGTCGTAGGAAATACTTCATTTGCCTGGCAATGACTTGTTTTCTCCCAGGGGTCTCAATATTATCCGCGATGTAGAAATCTTCTTCGTTATCCCCGGGTAAGACGTAGAGTGGGGTGCTCCACCCAGTTGATAAGCGGACATAGAAAGTATCTTGAATAGGCTTGGACTCTTTTGAAAGATAACTTCCTTGCGAATTGCTGTCTCTTTCCTCTGTGTGTCTGATCAAGGTAGGTACAACCCGCTTTTTCGGGGGTTTCTGGACAAGGTGACCATCTCTTACGACAGGGACAATGATGGCCGGGTCGTTTGCTTGATAGTTTTGGGATAGCTCTGCGTCCACACTGGCCTGCAGAAGGTCGAGTGGTTCCAATGATCCTTGAATTACAGTTGGTACAGACTTGGAGGTAGTTGAGTCATCCTTGATTGCACCCAGCCTAGCCGTGGTGGGAGCCGAGTTCTCCAAATTGTTAGGAGCTGCTGGTGTCGGTTCATATTCTGTTGCTCGAGGTTCACGGAGTGGAGTTTCGGGGTTTGTGACTGGTGAATGTTGCAGAAAGGTGAAGTGGTTTGTGCCAAGTCCAAGGCTGGATGAAGGCGAATGTGTTGGTCGACCAACTTGAGATCGAACCCGGTCGATAACTGACAGGACTGGAGACTGGGGTGGGAAAGGAAAATCCAAGTGCGACATCTGCGGCGCGGAGTGAAGTGGGGATTGGAGCCTGGCAATGGCATTTGCTTGAAAAGCTGCATGTTGGTAACTTTCGGAGTGAAGGCGCAGATGGTCGATAGCTCGCATGATCGCTCTTCTCTGCCCCAGTGAAGTAATCCCCAAGTCGTCCCTAATGGAAGTCATGTCGAGTGCTAACAGGGTATCCCCGTTGACATCGTTGTCACGAAATCTCTGTTCCAGATCATCTCTGTGTGGGATAGCTTGCACAAGTCTTGCCAAATCAGGAATTGATTGCGTAGAAATGGCATCCTGACAAAACTCCCGAATCACCTGATCAATAGACCAAGTACCGGGATCATTGTCCTTTCCAACACCAGTTGTTGACTCCATGGTGGAAGTCATATCATGGAGATGATACGACCTGACCACCAGAAGTTGATGATTGAAGAGAAAACATGCGGAAGAAATCCGATGTCAAGAGTCGAGGAAGTGGTGGAGAGAAAAGAAGAGAAGATCGGGAAATAAATGAGTTGAAAAGGAAAACTCGACCTCGCTGACTGTCACTGTCACTGCAGAGACGAGAAGCGCATGTCCACTGCCTCACGTTCTCGAGTGAAGTCCTTTGAAAAAAACCACAAAGGAGGAATTGGTCGAGAACCATGTATGAGGAACCAGTGAGTCTTGGAAGTAGAGTTGGGCAAACTGACAAGCGCTTTGGGTCATGAGATTTTCAATGCCACTACTTAGCGTGGAGAGGGAGGCAGAGATCTCTTTATTCATTTGCAAGGAGACGGCGAAAAGACAGCTGAGTGTGAGAGGTTTGCGATTCTTCATCGTCCAGAAACCAAACGCCTTTCAATGTCGACGTCCGTAGTATGATTCTATGCCAGTGGATGATTGGGGAGAGGCTTGAAAAGGCTCGTGCCTGGCGCTAAAGACGTTGGTTTCGCGAAACTTCAAGTGCAAGTTCTCCACGCGAACCACTTAACGCGTCTGTAGTAAACGGTAAGTCTGCCGAGAAAGCCCCTCGGCTGACTAACCAATTCTCCGATTCAACTTTATCCGTGAACGTATGTCGTGATTGAGGTTTGCACTGAGCCGAAATCTTTGCAATGCCTCTTCATTAACCTCTGATTCTGAAATTCACATGCTGTCACTATACAACATACTCTTCCTTGAGACCACATACTCTGCCAGGGAACTTGCGAGTAGATAACTCTCAAGGAACCGTCTGCACGTTACCATGGCTGACAACATCTACATATCATATCCCCCACCATTGACTCCAGAACAGGAGGAATACCTGGTTCAGACAGTCAAAAACTGGACCATAGAGCACGCCCTTACCGTGCGGCCTTCGACAGCAATTGTACCTAAAGATATTAATCCCAACAATGTACTGGCCACTAATGCACCTGTCACTTTGTTCCCAAGTCCTTTCCCCAAGGCATGTTTCGAGCAGGCTAGAAGTCTTCAAAAGGTATATAATGAGCTATATGCTACTATTGCTAGCGATGAAGAGTGGCTCGAGGATATCCTTCAGGAGTATGACTTCTCCCATGGACCGGTCGATTCCAGGCCAATTTTCATAAAATCAGACACTAATATTACCACAGACTAATCAAGGTTGACGACTTCCTCGCCAATCTATGGAAAATCCACCTGTCCGTCAAGGAGGAAGGTTATGTCCAAGACCTATCACTAGGGATGTTCCGGTCAGACTATATGCTCCACACTCCTGGGGATAGCCCTCCTTCTCTCAAGCAAGTGGAATTCAACACGATATCTTCCTCGTTTGGAGGACTAGCTGTGAAGGTAGCCAAGCTACACACACATCTAGCCACTTATCCATCAGTAAAGCGGCCTCTTGCATACCCATCACATCCACTATTCGCCCACTCGGACCAAACCAATTCTCCTTCACCTTCAATAACCACCATCGGACATCCTCCTCCAAATGATGCAGTAATCACGTTAACAGCTTCCCTCGCAGCTGCCCATGAAGCTTATGGCCCTTCAAAGTCCAGGCCTCAACTGCCTACGTGCGTCATCTTCCTTGTACAAGATGATGAGCGTAATGTCTTTGATCAATACGCCCTGTCATCGGAGCTATGGAATCAACACAAGGTCCCTTCGTTCCGCCTTGCAACTAGCAAAATTCTAGCCTTGACAACAATCCCTTCTAAGGACGAGAATCCAAATCGACCCTTGATATATACTCCGCCTTCCTCACCAGCAACTCAATACGAGATCTCGGTTGTTTATTTCCGGGCTCTTTATGCTCCTGCTGAATACGATGCTCCCACCTCATGGGCAGCGAGACATCACATCGAACGAAGCGCCGCTGTCAAATGTCCCAGCATTCTCCTACACTTATCTGGATCCAAGAAAATACAACAAGTGTTGACATCACTGCCTCCCGATACCGATCATTTAAAAAACTTCCTCCCTCACTATCCCGAGTCCACACTGAACAGTCTCAGGACGACATTTGCACCACAATACTCACTATCTTCGCCCGACCCTAATATCGAGCCTGAAGGCGTCCGCCTCGCCCTTTCCCCCGACAGCGCGGCGAATCATGTCCTGAAACCTCAACGCGAAGGCGGCGGCAACAACATATACCGTGACAAAATCCCATCCTATCTTCAATCGATACCGACGTCGCAATGGAAACAATATGTTCTTATGGAATTGATCCACCCACCAACAAATGCCAAAAATACTGTTCTGCGAAGCGATGGTCAGGTTGTCGGTGGAAATGTCATCTCTGAACTCGGTATCTTCGGAGGCTGTCTTTACCGAAGTGGGAACGGAAGCAAGAAGCCGGAGATCTTACACAATAGTGAGGGCGGATACCTTCTGAGGACAAAGGGCAAAGACAGTGATGAAGGCGGTGTCGCGGCTGGTTTCAGTTCGTTGGATAGTATAATTCTATACGAAGATGCTTAAATGGAAAACGCCCGGAGCGAAGTGGGATAGACTCAAGTAACACATCCAGAAGTATAAGATCTCGCCATAAGTGAGGACTGACTGACCAATTGAGTAAAGTGAGATTAAACCAGATGATCCTTTACCAGTTTAAAAGATGTCGAATTGACCTTCAGATCACTAAACCCTCAGATTATCAACAATAATGTTGCTCAGTCCCGTCCCTCCGCAACAAGCACATCTTTCAGCACATTGACGACAATCTTACCCTTGGCACTACGACTGACCATCCTCTCATAAGCCTTAACAACACATTAGTCACTCCTCATGATACCGATACCACAATACCACTTGGAAACTCACCTTTAGAGCATCTTCAAACGCCCACTGGGAATCAATCGGCACGCGCAAGGCCCGATCCTCACACAAAACCCTCAACCTCTCCAGGCTGTCCAGATTACACGCCGAAGCGACTTGGACGTATCGTCTGCTCCCAGAACCACCCCATGCAGAGCAGACGACATTCCACAGCATATCCCTGACGGCGACAGCCATGCTTCCGTAGCTGTACTCCGTGAAGGCGATGCCGACGGTGACGAAGTGTCCGTCGGGTTTCAGGAAGGCCGCACTGTTGTTGTAGAGCTCTTGCACACCGTAGGCGTCGATGATCATCTCGAATGGCTGCTCGGCGTGGTTTTCTGTCAGGTGCGATGACACCGAGGGGACGGATTTGCGGTCCAACACCTACAATCACGCAGATACATGACGTTCGATCAGCTACCAGAGCTTCAGGACCTCCTGTGGTTTTGAATACGCACCTCGTCCGCACCCAGCTCCCTCAGCAAGTCCACCTTGTCTCCCGAAGAGATCGCAACAATATACCCTCCCTTCCCAACCCTATCACGAACCATCTCCGTAACAAAACACCCAATTCCCCCAGCGGCCCCATTAATCAACACCCTCATCCCCTTCGCCAGCCCCTTCGCCACCGCCGCATCCAACACCGCCAGCGCGGTGCACCCAGCGATCCCCAACCCTGCAGCCTCCACCATCGAGACATTCCCGGGCTTAAGCTCCACGCCGTCACTATCCACGACGAGAAACTCACACAACGACCCTTGACCCCTCAGATGCTCGGCGACGGAAACACTGCCGAACACCTGGACGCCGGGCTCGAAGCCTCGCGTCAACGGCACAGCCGCGCCGACGCTGACAATCTCACCGCTGAAGTCCATCTCCGGGATGCAGGGTTTGCGGCGCAGGATGCCCGGGCAGAGTTGCATGAAGATCGAGCCGGCCGGGTTGAGCGCGGCGTGGTGCACTTTTATCAGTGCCTGAGTTGGCGATGTGAGTGTGGGGAGGGCGAGTGAGTCGGAGAGTGTGAGGACCTGTGAAGGCAGGCCTCGGGTCGTGTGCTGCCAGCCTCGCATGATTACGGTGTAGACTGTGTTGTTAGGATTGTTGAAGGGCTATTGTTAGTGTTGGATGCGGCAATGAGTGCATTCCCATGTCCTTTAATTCAAACATATAAGGCCATCAGGCAGCAATAACGAATATCAGTTCTCAATTCAAGTGTACCTAGCATCAGCGCGGTTTCCATCACGTGGACCGTATTTCCTCTCTGACGTTCGTATCCTGTAGTACCTTCCCTGGTAGGTACCTACTTAAGCATTACATTTCTTGGACGCTCAGGCTGCTGCATTATTGAGTCCGCTGAATGGGCAGGTGTACGCCACAGGGTGTGATGGCCTTATTCATTGTGTCCATGTTTCACAATTGCTGCTGAAGTTATGACTAACCCGGCCTTTGCAGGGAGATGTTTTCCACGCTCCGCAGTTTGTGAGTCTGAATAATTAATTGAAGATGGATTTTCAGTGTTGATTAAAAATATGTACATAGGTACATATGCCTGAGTCTCAGGAGGGTTGGGACGGGGGTAAGGAACCACTAGCTCTGGGCCGATGGGGCGTGTCGGGTGCCACCATCCTGCCACCATCCTGCCGGGAATACTGCAGGATCATAACGGTGGCGCCCGAAAGGAAAAAGAACAGCGCCAGAAGGTCTTTGTGCGCAATTCACCATCCAACTAGTTACTCGTAGATTGTGACTGTGAGTCAGCGGAACCCTGATCGATAACGAATATGATGGATCGTCGTTTCAATTTCGCAGATCCTGACTACCTAGGCAGTTACATCGCTTACACTGGATGACTTGTGGACGGGTGTCAAAAGGCGTTGGGGGGGTGGCAGGTCAGTCATCTCGCTATCTAAGACAAGAGGCACCCAACGACTTAGGCAAGTTATCCCGTGCTGTACTCGAGGTTGGATACTCGATCTGCCCTAGCTAGCAAGATAGTCCCACACAATAGTTCGATGACGAAATCTCTAAACCATCTGTAGATATCACAGTCTTGTAAAAAGGTAACTCGACGAGTACTGTAGATAGAAAGAGAAAGAGTTCATCCCGCTTAGTTTTTCTTCTAGCACTTATCACATTAGCCCCGCAAAATCCAGGAAAGTAGTTTCATCTTCATCTTCACCTTCACCAGTATCCCTTCCAAGCAACGCACAAATAATCATGGCTCTGCGCAATATAACCCTCATCGGCGCGAGCGGGCGCCTAGGCGGCACAATCCTGTCGGCACTCCTCGCAGAACCCAGTTTTACCGTAACAATAGTTGCCCGCTCATCATCCAAAGCGACGTTCCCATCCGGCGCCGCCACGCAAAAGGTGTCGGACGATTTCACGGAAGAAGAACTGATCCCCGTTCTCCAAGGCCAAGATGCAGTGATTACGACCGTCAGCGGCACGAACAGCGCGCTGCAGACGCGGATTGCCGACGCGGCGCTCAAGGCCGGCGTGCAGCGCTTCATCCCCGCGGACTTCGGCAGCTTCGACTCGTCTTCCGAGCTCTCGCTGCGCATGATGCCGCAGTATAAAGCCAAAGGCGACGTGCGGGAGTACCTCGAGGGATTGGCGGAGCGGGACGCGTCTGGCAAGTTTTCCTGGACGGCGCTCGTGTCGGGCCATTTCTTTGATTATCTCGACGGTGGCCTGTTGCAGGTCTTTCCGGACAGGAGCTACGCGCGCATCTTCGACGGTGGGGACATCAAATGGTCCGCGACGACCTTGGAGACGGTTGCGAAGGCGACGGTTCAGGTGTTGTTGAAGGCGCAGGAGACGAGAAACAAGAGGCTTTTCGTTCAGAGTTTTCTCATCACCCAGAATCAGTTGCTGGAGGTGTTGGAGAAGGTCACGGAGAGGAAATGGGACGTCGAACATGTCGAGTCGGAGAAGTTTATGGTTGAAACGAAAGCCTTGATCGAGAGGGAACCCGGGAATGCTGTCGCCAGGGAGGATTTGGTTGGTGTCGTGGGTATTGTTGAGGGCAACTGGGAAGAGAAGGATTCGTTTGCCAATGCATTGTTGGGGCTGCAGGAGGAGGACTTGGAAGAGGTGGTCAGGAAGACTTTGGGTTCTAGTAAATGAGCAGACACCTTTAAGCACTGGAAAACATGAATTGGTAAGGTCATCCTAGAGCGATATACTTTAGGCAGGACCTTGGTTTTGGTCCATGTGGGCAAAGGGGGTGAATGACGAGACTCGAAGATTGGAAAAATTAAAATCTCAGGCGAAAGAGTGATCGAAATTATGCTCCGGACAAAATCTTCGTTGGTTCTCCTTCCAACATCTGGAGATACTACATATGCTGGACATGCAAATGCCAAGTCCGGTGAGAGTCCCTCATTGTCTCTCCTATGCTGCCCGATCTCCAGTATTATGAGCATGCTTTGCATGCAAATCTTCTACAGGTGCATCAACATGATAATTCATTGTCTTGCGCATATCGCCCAGGAAGCAGCAAGCGATACATGCCACAACGCCAAAGACTGCGGCGATGATGTAAATATTGCGAAGTGAGTCGGCGAATGCTTGTTGCAAGGCCGCAACGCCTAGCGCAATGATCGATGGTGAAATACCAGGCACCGCCGCCAGAGCCTCGGGGTCATTTGTGGCAAGGGCTCCGACGAATGCAGGGATGGACGAGGCTGGAAGACCAGCTCTACCGCCCGCTGCGGCAACATAATTCGGGATCTTGGATGTTAAACCAGATGTCAATGTTGCAGCATAGATTGCAGTGAAGACTGTAGCTGCCACCGCTCGAGATGATGTGGTAACTGCCGTTGCTGTCGCAATGAGGCTGTGAGGGGTAGAGAGTTGAACACCAGTAATGATGAGAATGAGAGGAGAGCCGAATCCGATACCGGCGAGGGCTGAAAACATTAGCTGATTCAACTGGTGTCCAGGCTCAATTGTCGCGAGACCGACAATGCCAGCCGTGAATAGAAGGTAGCCGACAAATAAGGGTTCTCGAATAGTTCGGAATTTGGTACTGAGGGTTCCCCAGAGTACAGTGGCGAACAGACCAGCTACCCAGTAGGGCTGTGAGCGTGCGACGAGGAGGAATGGGTCGGTTTCGAAGAGGGAAGAAGTCCTAAGGGGAGAGTCAGTAAGTCCTAGTGGCTCAGAGGAAGTATCCTTACATGACGGGATAGAAGACAATGTAGCTAAACAGCATAATGCCTTCAATGAAGATGAGAGCAACACAGATAGCGAATGTTCGGCCTCGGTTCTTCCCACCACGGAATAATTCATGATTTAGGATACCGGTTTTAGTCCCCTTCCATTCGTAAACGCCAAATCCAATGAGGATAACAAGGCCGATAATCAAGGTAGACAGAGTGCGCGCGTTTGTCCAAGCGTACAAGTTGCCACCCAAATTGAGTCCAGTCAGAAAAAGTGTCAAACCAGTTGTGAGTAGGCCGCATCCAGGTAGATCGAGATGTCCAAGCTTCTGCCAGAATGACAGATGATCTAGTCGAGTATGTCGCTTTGGTGGGCGATATCCAAAGAATATTCCGATGGCAGTAATGCCCCAGAATGCCATTTGAATCCACTAGAATAGTCAGCATATCATGAAAATGGTCAAAAGGGTTCTCTGAGCGTACAAAAAAGTTGCGCCATCCTGTATGAGGGTTGCTTTTGGTCAATGCTCCAATGATCAAAGGACCTGAAATTGCACCACATGCAGCCGCGATATTGATACAAGCTTGGATGACTTGTGGAGACATAGTTAGCATACATCGCATAAGTGTTGACAAGGTTGAAACACGTACTTGGTCGCCATTTCCTGGGCAAAATCTCACTGGGTACGCAGTAAGCCAGTGGCACTGCGGCAAAACCAAAACCAATCAAGGTTTGTGCCGCGATGAGTCGGCCCATGCTGTTCGATCCAGGTGCGATGGCTGCACCCACAAAGGAGACTACACAAGATCCAACGAGTAAAGTCTTTCGAGCTTGGAAGGTGTCTGAGGCTGAGGAGATCACAGGTCCAAGGACAGCTTGAGCCAACGATAACGAGTTTGGCACCCATGTTTGGGTTTCTGGGCTTGCCAGATCTTTGCCGATCCAGTCAAGCTAAAATAAATATGTTAACTCACGTCGCTTTCACCAAGGAGACCCAAATATGGGGTGGGACGTTAGGACGTACCACTGCTGGAGGACCCTGGAGCGCTACGACTTGGACGTAGTTCAGAAGCCACATGGCACCAAGCGCGAGCCAGGTCCGCATATGAAGTTCGGGCTCTTCCTCATCATCATTGTAGCTGAGATTTACCTCGTCCGGGGTTTGCTCAAGATGCTTTTCATTTGTGGAATAGTCTTGCTTGTCGTCCGTTGATAATGCCTGTACGGGTACCGTTGTTCCGAGCTCCTTGTTTACAGCTCGTTCTGCGGTATTGTCGGTGGCCATGGTTCACGAATTGATGGGCAGAATGAGTGGCGTGTCAAAGTCGAGAGAAGATGAACACAACAACGTGGGGGCAAGGGTACACTTTTGTAGATTGATCCGGTTCACACCCGCCATGTCAAATCGCCAAAGCCATGTGCAACCTGACCGGCTAGACTTCTACCGAGTATTCGCAAGACTAACCTTGGTCTTTGGAGAATGAAGTTGCAGTCTGGGGTGTGATAGGGTCCCCGCAATTCAGCGAAGGGCGGGAGCGCTAAGAGGTACCATAGCGTTGCCAGACCCAGCACAAAGGCCTGGGACATTCTGTGGGACATCAGGCAAGCTGTAAGTGAGCTGTGCTCCCTTGTAGTGCCCTGGGCATAAGAGTCTAGGTACCTAAGGTAGTTTGGTACCTCATGCGGGTCAAGTCCTACCCTTAGTCTTCTGGAATCCCCACGGGAATCAAAGCTGGCTGGTTTGCTTCACCAGCCAAACACTATACGTACCCACGAACCAAGCATCCCACAGAATCCTTGATGAGGCTGATAAGAAGCATCTTGAGGGTGTCGAGGTCGAGCCAAAAGTTGCACGGTTCAAAAGTTAGGCTGGCTTCGGAACCGAGCTTGGGGAGTCAAAGGTCCCACATACGCCCACAAAAGGACGGCAGGATGGGATAATATGCGGGGAATGCGTCCAGGATTCTGGTGGGGTGGTCCTTTCTACCCGATATAACCCCAGAACTGAGTTGGATGTGGTGGTACCACAAAGCCTGCCTACTACCTTGGTGGCGAACGGGGAGGTTTCCTTGCTGTTATTTTCTGTCCACGAATGCAGGTGCCGAAACTCATATTAAATGATTACTCAGGATATCGTCAAGTCATCTATGAAAGATATCAACTTGTCTGCATTTTATGATAGCAACAGAAAACAATCATACCTAGGTGGTCGAGTTTGTGATCCCGCATCCGGCGACCTTGTCTCCAGCGTAGTACTGCTATTCCTACGGTGTCCTGATGCCCCGATTCCATGATAAGCTATTGGACAACCGTTTCAGATATTTCGGTACTTGTGACACGCTTAGTCGTAGCAGCGCCCTATTATTTTCGTAGACTGTTGTATCTTTTCACTGTGCTCATGATTTAGATAGTCGAGGCTGGAATGTGGGGCGAGGCTGTGCCATTCAAGTTCCAGGTATTCGGTACCCTTGGAAAAACAATGGATCCTCAATACTACTGGGAAGCCATAGGGCAGACTCTCACCTGGAAAGCCAGTGAAACCCCTCTTCATCCTCAATGTCTCGCACCCGACTGGCCAGTTGTCTTGTGCATGCGTGGACCCGTCTCAAGCAACGACAGGGTGCATAATTCAGGGCCGGAAAACACTCTCGAGGAGCCTAAACCAACTCCGCCATCTTTCTTCAGCCGTAGCAAAAGCGCCGCGTAGGCTTTCGACGTCAAGTACTGTGCCTCCAGACTTTTCTATCCGCAGTATCGATGGTTCCCCATGAGCATCGTTCATATCGATTGTGATACAACAATCTTCAATACATGTTTCTTCCTCGAATGCATCTAAATCTGCAAGCACCCAGTGTGGCAGTTCACTTGCCGGCGGGCCAGTAAGACTGCGCTTCTCCGGCACAAATACACCAAATGAACTTGGAGCAGGGAGACCGTGTAAATTCAATCGCTCCACGTCATCTGAGGAGCATAGAACTTGTTCCAAGTCCGGATCCCACCAAGCTTGTGGCAATTCTGTGTCTCTCAGTGCCGCGTAGATAGCTAGCCATGCAGCATCAAATAGTGAGCCTCCATGGCTGATGCACATGATGTCGATGTACAGTGTCCAGTATGCCTTGATTTGTGGGTCGTTGTCGACGCCAAGTTCCGGATCCTGCGATTCGATAGGTGGTATGTAAATGATCCCAAGTTGCGAGGGGTCAACTAGTTGTGATGTGTGTAGAAGTGAAAGAAGTCTTTGAGAAAGGGATTGGGCCTCAACTGAGGGCATCGTATTTGCGGCGTGTTTGGGTGAGCAGCCTGTTGCTAGCTCAATATTTGGAACGAGAAGGTTGTAAAGTGAGATCGGGTTGTAGCTATGACCGTGCACATCTGCCATTTTGTTGCGATCATCACGCCGGACTGGAGCGGAAGAATCGTATGATTGGGATGTCTTTGTAACTCTGAAATTTGCGATCTCACTGACAGGAAGAATCTGCGCTCTTACACCACACACAATTGTGGTAGCTCCAATCTTGACCAGGGAAGATCCATTACAGTGTGACAATGACCCAATATTCAATTGAGTAGGCCTTGCTTCAGCCAATCCTCGACCTGAAGGCCGACGAGGTGGATCTTGCTTAAGATGAGCATGAAGCAAGGCATTCGGGGAAATGAGCGGCATGGTGGAGGCAGGGATCGAGGGGTTTGGGAGGGGTTGCACATCGACCGAAGGCATTTTCGCCGGCGGATGGGGTCTCGAGTTCCTTTCAGTCGGACATAGTATTCAGGTAGTCGCATCAACAGACCGGCATGGACATAGTTTTGGGAGCATGGATGTTAGTCTGCGACATTGATTGAATATTCTCAATTCATGTTGTATGTCTGGCAAAACCAGATGTTAGAAGGCGGGGAATGATTCTTGGCACCAAAGGCGGTGTGATGGTGCTTGTCGCAAACACTCGCTGACACTGGCTCTTCCCAAATCGCCCAGTCACCATTAGTAGTAGCAATATACATGCCCCCATAGGCGTCTACCTTTGCCAACCGACGGATAACGGTCGCACGCGATGTAAGCCCGGCATGTACAGCCGGCTCTCTACAGAAGGCCCAGTCAGGTGAGTTTTCACAGCTGATTGGATCGAGTCATCCTTACGGAAGTATTTGTTCCGGTGCCAGCCGTGAATCTGCCGTGCATTCTAAGATTTTGTCAGAGTGAGGCACAACCTTCGGAGGAATAAGCTTCCGATCGGATCGTGGCATGCAGCATCTTGCTTCATCATTGGGTGCCAGCTGAGCAAATTGACCCCAGGCATGTGGGGGGTTCCCGTTGCCTTCTATGCTGGTATTCGGAATGACCAAGTAATCCATGAGATCGTCCTCTCTCAGAAATGCTTATTGTAGCTCGAGATATGCCGTTTGCGTTCCCGTTGACAAGAGACACCGGAGAAGTCTTTCCTTCACTACGGAGCCCTGTTCAGCTCTGAACCAGGCTACCTTTCACTTCCGAATCTTGAAAGCCATAAAAGAATTTCTCACTGCCAGGAAATAACCCAACGTCCGTCATCTCAGTAAACTCTCCCAATTCGAATCAAGATTGGACCGCATCACAATGGTTAAAGAAATCGACGTCCTGATCTGCGGCAGCGGCTCTGCAGGCCTGTGCGCAGCAGCATGGCTTGCCATCTGCGGCATCAAATCTTTCAAGATCCTGGAGAAGCGCGATGGACCCATGGAAATGGGCCAGGCCGACGGTGTGCAATGTAGGACGGTGGAAGTCTTTGAGAGTTTTGGCATATCTGAGGAGTTACTCCGAGAGGCATACCATGTTTTGGAAGTCGCATTCTGGTCAGCTGACGGGAAAGGGGGAATACATCGAACCAGCAGGACGGCAGATACTCAGCCTGGACTGTCTCACCAACCACATGTCATACTAAATCAAGCCAGGATAAACAGCTTACTACTCGACCTCATGCACCGGAATGGGGGCAAGCCGGTAGAGTACGGTTACACGGTAAAGAGTGTTGATGTGGATGCCTCACTGGTTGATCAGCCATCCGCACATGCTGTAACAGTCATCGCCGAAAAGAATGGCAAGGAAGAAACGTTCAAGGCGAAGTACGTACTGGTAAGTTAAAGGTTAACATTTCTTCTGTAATTGCCAACTAAAAATCTTGTAGGGGTGTGATGGTGCTCACAGTGCAGTCCGGCGGTCACTGGGATATCAAATGGTCGGGGATACCTCAGATGCAGTCTGGGGAGTGATGGACATCTATCCACGAACAGACTTCCCAGACATTCGACGAAAGACAACGATTCACTCCAGCCATGGCAGCATTCTAGTAATTCCACGAGAAGGCGGCTCAATGGTTCGCTTTTACATCGAGTTCCCCTCAGGAACCAATGTTAAGAGTGTGAAGCTGGAAGATCTGCACGAAAAGGCGCGCCAAATCTTCAGCCCATACACAATGGAATACGCAGACACGTATTGGTGGTCCTGCTATTGCATCGGTCAACGCCTTGCCGATCATTTCACAAAAGACAACCGAGTATTCCTCACAGGCGATGCATTTCACACACATTCGCCAAAAGCAGGCCAAGGAATGAACGTCAGCATGCAGGATGGATACAACATTGGGTGGAAGTTGGCAACAGTGCTCAAAGGCGGAGCCAAGCCAGATCTTCTCAAGACATACGACCTAGAACGTGGAAAGACAGCAGCGGACCTCATTGATTTCGATCGTTTCTTCACAAAGCTCTTCTCGAGCAAGCAGAACACATCACCTGAGCAGTTCAGTGAAGGATTCATCAAGTCAGGCAGATTCACAGCAGGCTTGACGTCTAAGTACGAAGATTCAACCCTCACATCAAGCGGAACAAGCAGGCAGGAACTAGCTTCCGAGATCGTGGTTGGGATGAGATTCCCCAATGCTCAAGTGGTGCGATTCTGTGACGCAAAAGCGATGCCTCTCATTCAAACCTTGAAAGCCGATGGACGTTGGCGCATCATGTGCTTCGCGGGGAGGATCGGAGAGACAAGTACAGCCTCGAGGTTACAAAATGTAGGTGAACTGGTACGAAGTTACACAGAGAGCAGAAACTGACATTTCCATCCAGATCGCGGAATACCTAGATTCACCACAAGGGTCAGTCCACAAATATACACCTGGGTCGGCAGATATCGATAGCCTGATTGAACCAATTGTTGTGCTCCACGGAGACCACACCAAGCTAGAGCAAGAACACATCCCCAAGTATTTCTGGCCCGTCACAGGGAAGTGGCAGATGCGAGGTGAGAGAGCTGAAAGTCCCCATTCACGAGTCTCACTGACCAGCTTTAGACTTGCATAAAGTCTTCATTGACGAGAGGAGCTACAACTCAGGTGACGGAAAAGCTTACGAGACATATAAAATTGATTCGGATCGAGGAGCTATTGTCATTGTGCGACCTGACCAGTGTATGTCTATCTACATTCAAAGTCTAATTTCAGGTCCAGACGCTAAGGGTGTGCAGATGTCTCCAAAGTTCTCTCCATCGAAGACACAGCAGGCATCGGTGCTTTCTTCGACGGCTTCGCATTGCCAAGGCAGGAAAATGGCGCATGATCACGATAGATACCAGAGTCGCTCTATGCAGGTGAGATGGCTTGGGTTCTTGAAGTCCATCTACCCATTGCCATTCCAACCACCCGCCCGAGGTCATGATCTTCGTGATCATAGCCTTGTCCCACTCTGCCACAACAATCCGCCAATCACAATTGAATTAACAATTGTATGCTGTCCAACAACCCAGGCAGCGGTGTACAGATATTTCGGCGAAAACACAGTCCATATGAAGAGGTGTTCTCGGAGCATTGTGCAAGCCACCATGACGGCCAGAGTATGCACACAAGCAAAAGTAGTAAGGCTGGTTAGCAGAAAGAACCAACGTCCTTTCCTCAAATCAGCATCGCTCAGCAATTGGAGAACGCCGAATGACCACCATATCGGTCCGCTCCAGTTGCTGATGAAGGTTAGAATGCCGACTGCAACCACATTGTATCCACTGATCCCATTGTATGCATTTGAAAGGTCCACCGTGGCGATAGAGTTTGTGCCGCCCAGTGTGAAGAACGAGGCATATTGCAGTAGTAGCGCTAGGATTGTGACCTCCCCAATTGTATATGCTCTTGCTTTCCGAAGTAAAGCGAGTTGAAAGTTGAAGAATAAGAACAGCGGAACAAAGACCGTTCGAGACTGTGTGGCCATGAATATCGTGACGATGTCTTGAAACGCACCGAGGAATGATTTGAAATGCTCCACGCTTTGCCATGGGGCTTCGTAGTATATTGAGCATGCGCCGAGATGCGTCAACCCGAGGAAGACGACTTGGGCGAGTTTCAAGAGTGCGTATTTGGCCACGAAGTCTACCATCGGATTGAAGATGGAGAATGACTGAAGGAGTTCCGGGGCGTCTGCAGCAGTGAACGCCAGTTTGAAGAGAAATGCCGAGACCGTGACCATGACTGGCAGAAAACCCATCCGTCGCGATCCCATCCACTTGGCTGCCCTGACGGTAAGATTGCTAGATGGGATCCCGTACGTGAGTGTCACCAGAATCCAAAGTAGCCAAGAATTCGGCTTAACGAGCTCGGTGATCAGATCCGGGTCGCCGGCGTATTTTTGGCCTGTTTGTCGCCATCTTCGAATGACACCAAGTAAGGCGAATGCGAGGAATGTTGCACTCCTCCCGGAGAATGTTCCGTTGCTCGAGAATCTGCTACCTTTGACATAGAGCAGCATGAGCCAGCCTCCAAGTATCCAATACCAGAACTGATGCTCTTCCTCGACGTAGCTACTTGCAAACATCGTGAGTATGTAAGTTATCAACACGAATGTGAGAAACAATCCGTCCATGCCGGCTTGGAAAACACCTGGTACGAACGTAGGAAGGCAGCAGAAAAGACCAACTGCCCCTAGTGCTATACCGATGTGCATATTGGTCAACCCGTAATTGCTAGCAGTACCACTCAGTACGTCTTGGGCTTTGTAGAGGAATGTTTTCAAATCCACAATCGAGTTGGGGCTCAGGGACCCCGGTTGAGAAGTGCTGCGGGTAGCTGAGATTCGATGCCAAAGACATGCGAGAGCCGCAGAATCGCTACCTTTGTTGAAACAATCATCTGATAGAGTACCCTGCTTAAAGTCGATCGGAAATGTAGCTTCTGCTATATGGTGGATTTGCTCGGCATTTTCGTAAAGAAGCTCATACTTGTCAGTCTGCACTGTCCAGAGTTCAAGCAAACGTGGAATGATGATGCCTAGATTATTTTGAGGCACTGGAAAGCCTAGAAGAGCAGCCAGTGTAGGTGCGATGTCTGATTGTTGCACAGTATCGTAAAAGCGGTAGTCAACAGCGTCCATGATCGGGCTTGTCTGACCTTCAAATGCTGTCTTGAATTTAGGGCTGATAAAAGTCAGAGCTGTTGAGACCTCGCCTGCAGATGAAGCACCATGGTTGCCACCTTCGTTCATACCGTGGTCACCTAGAAGTACAAGCACGCAAGATTGAAGGTGGCTCTTGCGCTCCATGGCCGTGTAAATATCCTTGATTATGCCGTCCATTTCAGATTGTTTTTCAGGCATGTTAGGACCTTTTGGACCAGTCTTGTGTCCAATATGGTCCAAGCCGAGGAAATGGAGGGTCATAGCAGACCAATCATCTTTGTCCAATTCAGGGTCGATATGTCGTGTGACATTGTTGTCCACTTCAGTAAAGTCGGAAACGAAGAAACTCGTGGTCCCATCAGATCGCTCAAAGAATCCTGGGAACAACCGTAGCCAAGTATCGTCTCCATACATTACTAATTTGCCACCCTTGGCTCGGATTTGAGCCAGCCAGGAATCTTGATCCTTCAGAGTCGAGGTTGTGTCTGATTCAGCAAAGTTCAGTACCAAGTCCACAAAGCTGGGTACGGATCCGGTGGTGATAGCCTTGACCCGAGGCATCGTGATTGTCGGAGGACTTGCATGGCCAGTGAAGGGTATTGCCGCTCCATTTCGAATAAGGCTCTGAGTAAATTGAAAACCCGATGAGTTCCCGAAGACAAAGTCACTTCTGAGAGCGTCGACCACCATAAAGATGACACGATCAAATGGGGCTGCCCTGCTGGAGGCCGACGAACCGACCGGCCACTGGGCAAATCCTGGCAGAGATGCTTTGTGGGGGAAAAACCCCTGTGCAAATATTACCAATGCGGCAATGACGAACGCATTGGCAGTAGCGATTGCATACTTCTCAGACTGGCGGAACATTTTCTCCGGGGAATTTTTCAACAGAATGCTGGTGATTTCTTTCCACCTTTCGCCGTCTTCTATGATGTTAACCTCTCTATCATTGTGAAAGCTCCCATTTGATTAAAGTTCTCAACTGAAGAAAGGCAAGCTAGTTTTGTGATGCAAAACGAAAATCTGGTACTGCTCGGAGCGGGGGTACAGAGATGGAAGATAGATGGAAGATAGGTGTAAGCAATCTTGAAGCCTGATATCAGAAGATCCAGAATAGGAGTGTAAACAGCCGCCAAGCCGGGTACCTGAATAAGGACAGTGAGGTTGCCGCCCTATTCAGTCGGCCCGGTAGGAGCTAGACTCATTCAGTTGGGCTAGTGTTTTTGGTCTCATCTGGCGCGTCCCTCTTTGATTCCTCAATGCGATACCACAGGGAATTTATGTCTTTGCATAGTCAAAAAATATACCATCGTAAAGTTTTGATTGATCTCTACTTCAGCTCTTTCTCTACTCTCATGACGAGCTTCGGGCCCATCGACTTGACACAATTTGAGTCTCCCCTTCTCCGATCACAAACACTTCTCCCCAACTCTGCCTACCAAAAGTGTTGACTGAACTGTCTCTCTAGAGTGGCCCCTGGATTCAACTTCCTCGGACTGTCTGAGGTTGATCACAACTTTGTAGGTGTGATTGACTCCTGGACGTGTGACACTTCTGCTACTTTATCCTCTTGGTTCTTCTTCCTGCTCGGCTTTAGTGATTCATGTCGGATGCTATCTGATTCCAATGAACTTACCTGCGATTGTCCCGCTTAACGAGCTCTCTCACGATCAAGGTAAAGATAACGGCCAACACCGAGAACACCGAAGCTGTAATAAAGCCCTTGTGGTATTTTGGCCCGTCGGTCTGCTTCCAAATGATGAGTATAAGCCAGATACCAACGACATATGCACTAGATGCCATCGCAGCCACAACGATGGACCGTTTCTCCTCGTCATCGGCAACAATTTCGTTGCCCCAACTATAATGTGTTAGGTCATTGGGACGGGGAATCCTCATACACGTTTGCCACGGAAACTTACGCCAAAGAAATAGGGCTTATCGAGTTCACTTGCCCTCCTATGATATAGCAGGCCCAGCGCCACCCTTCTGGTATGTTCCACACAGCCAAAGAAGTCCAAACGATGAAGTTTATCGTCTATCAAGTCCAAGAGTAAGCAATCTGTTTGAAGTCGTGTGAGCGCCAGCAAGGCATGCCGAGACTTACCGCTGCCACTATGAGTACTGGCCACCGTCGTCCTCTCAAAACTCCATCGGAAACCCAAGCATAGATCAGTGTACTGACAATTGACATGCCAGATGTCGCAGTGGGATAATTATTTATTTGGGCAATCGTATATTTCTTGGTTGATTTGAGATATATGGCAAATATGGGTTGAGCATTTCCTGCCGCTGCCGCTCCGCAGAATCTTCATGAAGTTCAATCAGTGTTGATTACTGGGGAAGCAGAAACACTTACAAGAACACCAAAGGTAACAGGTAGATTTGCCAAGAACCGAGGATTTTAGCAACTTTCGCTTTTGTGAATGGCTCCTTTTTTGGTCGGCCAACAAGTCTGGACTGCGCGATCAACTTGTCCTGATGCCTCTTGTCAGAATTGCAAGTGCTTGCTCTGTAGCAGGTTCACTTACATTCTCGTTGAGGTAAAAGACTCGACTATTGCTTGGGGAATCAGGATATAAAAAGAATCCTGCGAATGCGATAGGGAGAGATATAACACCGTCCAAGATGAAGAGCCTACCCGTTGATATCAGTAACTCGACGGCAAGAAAACACTCCGAAAGGCAACTCACCATTGCCAGCCTTTGAGACCGTGTCGACCATCGATACTGCTCAACGCAGCCATGAGATATCCAGAGAACATGCCAGCAATCGAGGATGAGACGGCAAAAATGGAGGTTCTTTTGCCCAGTTCATCCTTTCGATCTGTCAAATGATCTGGTTAGTAGGTATTCTTGGGCGAACTTATCTCGGATGAGCAATCCGACTGCAGAGAGTACTCACACCAGGAACCGAGCAAAAAAACAATTCCGGGATAAAAGCCACTTTCTGCCAGCCCTGTCGCACAAATCAGTAAACCGCCCGAACGAGAACAAGTCTCCTTGAACAAAGTCGCGTCACTCACCGATGAAAAATCGTAGAGTGTACAGATGACCTGGTGTCGTGCACTTGGCCAGAAGCATTGTGAGTACCGACCAGACAATCTGACACAATTTAGTCCCAATTGTAACACCTCATGGCAAGAGCCATCCTCACCTCAAGACTAGGTAACCATATTGATGGTCGCACTCGGGTTATAATGATGTTGCTGGGAATTTGGCCGACAATGTAACCTGCAGTCCAAGTAGTGACTGCGTAGTTCAGCTCATTTCCGTACATGTGCAGATCTTCTTTTCTGTTTTGTACCTCTACAGTCAGCAGATGTGGTTTTCATGCTGCACAGGTGGAAGTATTGGACCTACAAGCCGGAGACGAAAGCATTGAACAAATTCGACTGGTCAAGATACTTGATAAAATAGCCTTTTCGAACACAATCAGTTGAGTTGTCCCACACAACAGTACACCAAAAACCATGAGCATTAAACGTACCAAGGCAAGCGATGGTCAAGAATCCAGTATCGAGCTTGAAAAGAAACTTCCTCTCTTCGGGCGATTTGTCGAGAGTATCCCAGAGCAAGTTGAAGCCTCGTTTCCGTGGCTTCTGTTCCTCCTCAGAAGTGTTGTCGCTAGGAAGCACCCCCAATGACGAGTCATGATCTTTCGACATTGCGATACCGTCAGTGATTGTTCAAGATTGCATTCGCTGAAGCTGTTTTCTCAAATGAGATCTTCTGTAGAACACCAGGGACCCATGTCTGCCTCTCACTGTCTTATAGCTGCATCAACCAAACATCACATGATGACTACCGGCCTTGATATTGTCCCAAGGCGTCTCGACCCACGAAGACCCGAGCGGCATGCGAAAACGTGGCTTGTTGACGTGATCTATAGCCGACTTTCATTTGATAGATGCTTCCGAACAGCCTTGTGCCGACGCTGTCCTATACTAGCGTCTGAAATACACCATCATCGGATTCCGATCAAAAACGCCGACTTGCCGACCTTCAACACCATACGACTACTAACCATGTCACCTGACTTACGCACTGAACACAATGCAGGAGTAAATGTTGCCCATGTCGTGCCTACAGGATGTGCAGAGTCATTGGAAAAGGAAAAAACCCTTCAAAGCTCCCATACGGAGCGTAAAAACGGGATTCACTGGTTTTGAGATTACCAAACGAGAGCTCGATAGAAATCGACAACTCTGACAGCAGAGTACAAAGTCAAACGAGTCTCCCCCTGGCTATTTATCCTCGATTTCGGAGTGCTGGGTCACAAAACTCAACATGGAGCCCACAACCCTGCAGAAGCAAGCGAACGCCCGAGGCTCGGCCGGCGGATTTTCTGATGCAGCACTCGACGTATCACCAATCCCAGGGATTGAGCGTGAGAACGCGAAGATATTCACTCCCCTACGCATAGGAGACTTGAGATTACAGCATCGAGTTTTTCATCCGGCCATGGGCCGCTCGAGGTCCATCAATGGTGCTGAAAGTCCATTGGCCAAAGAATACTTCTCTCAGAGAACCACCGCTGGCAGTCTGATGATCTCTCAGGCTACAGGCATCACAGCAGATTCGGTCGCGTGGCCGTGGGCGGCAAGCCTACATAATTCAGCTCAGCAAGCAGCTCTTGTTCCCATCATTAAAGCTGTTCATGAAAATGGGGGATATTGGTTCCAACAGCTCTTTCACGTTGGTCGATGCACGACACCTGCCCTTGTAAAACGCGCCCGGAATCAAGCAGGCTTATATAACCCACCACCATATGGGTACCGACCAGTATCATCCTCGAATGTACCCGAATCGGCAATCAACACCCACTCAGGGGAAAGTTCGGGAGCTCCCCACGATCTATCCATCCAAGAAATTCATGATCTTACGAACCACTTCAAGAGTGCTGCAAAAAGAGCAGTGAATGCTGGCGCGGATGGTATTGAGGTATGATAGATATCACTTGTTGCATCCACTTTACGCCGACTCATTGATCCCTACCCAACTAATTCCGTTGGCCAGATTCTGGCGGGCAATGGCTGGTTGATCGACCAGTTCTTGCATGACAACATCAACAAACGTAACGACGACTATGGTGGAAGTATCGAGAATAGGTCTCGATTTGCCCTTGAAGTGGTGGAAGCTGTCGCGGAAGCTGTTGGCTATCAGCGGATCGGAATTCGCCTCAGTCCATTCTCCTTGTAAGTTTGAGTGTACTAAAAATAGTTGATACAAAATACTGACATATATCCTCGATGACAGCTTCCACGAAACCGATGGCTCACAGCCTCTAGAGCAAGTCCTTCATCTTTCTGCTGAACTTGTTCGCCGCGGAATTGCCTATCTCCATGTTGGGCAGGGAAAGTTTACCCGCGGCCTCAGTCTTTCGCAGAACGTTCAACGCTTGGTGAGCAAAGGAATTGCTGCTGAAGACATTTCATTGCGACCTTTTCGCCAACTACTTGATACCACTCGTCCTATTGACCCTCTTCATAGTCCGGCCGCACTGATAGGCAATGGAGGTTACAACGGCACCTCGGCCATTCTGGCAGTTGAAGAAGGCCTGGCAGATGGTATATCCTTCGGCAGGCGTTTCATTTCGAACCCAGATCTTGTTAAACGCTTGCAATTGGGCAAACTATTGACACCTAATAACACCTCCACCTTTTACAGCCATGGAGCCGAGGGTTTCATATCATATGACCCCCATGACAACAAACATGATGGCTCCTCTGAAACTTCATTAACATCAGACGACATCTCATCAGACACACCGCCGTCTGCCCCACTCGTCGAGCATGGCAATCGGAGTGTGGCTATCATCGGCGCTGGGGTCAGCGGTATTGCTTCGGCTGCCGCATTCAGCCGGGTTGTAGGCTTCGATCTACACATATTCGAGCGTCAGAGTGCATCGGGAGGCGTTTGGCTCTATGATACTCATCGGGATTCCGTACCCGTGCTCCTTACTGAGAATTCGACGGTGGATGGCACGACTCCTAGATCACTATCAGGAGAATTGCCAGTCACAGAGCCATACAGCAGCCCCCAAATCCAAATTCCTGCAGCTGCACTAAATCCCAAAATCCGAGTGAACTTTCCTTACAATGTTCTCAGTCAGGGTAGTATGTTCGAAACCAGCTTGCTGCAGGAGCCTGAGAACCTCTCCTTGACTTGCAAAGACATTTCAGGCGCGGTAGCACGGAAAGCCAAGGACTTCGAGCATCTGATTCAATACCAAACAACTGTTGAGAATGTCGAAAGGCTGGACAATGACCGATTACGCCTCAGATTTCGTAAGAAGAACCCAGACAACACGGATACGTGGTCAGTTCAGGACTTCGACCATTTGATCGTTGCAACTGGCCATCATTCGGGTCCACTGGCTCCGCACTTTTACCCATTCTTGTCGGAGGTGCGGCCACCGTCGGTGTCGGGATATCGAGTACCAGCATTATATCAACACATATTTGACATGCATAACCCAGCTACCATTGCATTCAACGGAGTACCGAGCGGTCCGATTCCATGGCTTACGTGGGAGAAGTCTGCATTCCTGATAGCATTACTCTGGTCTGGGAAAATCAAATTGCCCTCCAGGGAAGATCAAGAAGCATGGGAAACGAGGCGAGTTGCACAGACCGGGGATCGCAAATTCCATGCTTTGGAGGAGATAGTGGACCAAGTCCTGTACTTCGATGAGCTCAATGAGCTTGCTGAAGACTACCTTTTTACCGACAACCGGGATGACCTTCTGCTGCGCAGCTTCCCGTTCAGCTTGGTGTTAGAGATCATCAACTCAAAGAAGTTTCATGCTGAGTCGTACAGTGGTGTTACCTCCTAGCATCGGAGTCTCCGTGGACAAATACTGAGTGAAAGGCTAGAAGTGATGAGCTAAGCCAGGGATGAAAGTTTCCGGTTGGCCAAATGCTGCAATTTTCAAAGCTAGACTCTGTAATAGTACTACTATCACTGGTCAGAAACTCTTCGACTGTTAGTCAGCAAGGTATATTCCATCGTTATTCATAAGAACAATGAATCCACACCATTCATGAATGTTGTTTCTCAGCCTTGCTGCATCTAAACGATCCTTTTCCAGTGACGTTTGGTGCGTCGCTAGGACGAATGCGACAACGATAGCCCTTCTTTGAAAACAGCTAGAGGATTTCGTGCCCTGAGAACAATCTGGGGGATCTTTTTCACCTTGCTCCTTTCTTTCTCGGCTGTGCTACCTAGAAAATATATGCGCCCTCTAAATCACTCTCACAGCACGCTTTGGCTTTGCAGATCGTCTCCAACTTGTCCTCAGTTGCAAGTCTGAGAGAGCTGATTCCATACTGGTACGGCAGCTAATTCTGAAATCATTCATTAACTAGCCGAGAGAGGGACGTGAACTACAGATTTGGTAGGGTCTCAATTTGCGGGAGGTGTTCATCTTCTCATTCATAATCCCAATGTTGCAGATCAGGTCTGAGTTTCGCGGGCATCGTCAACGGGCATCCTGAGTAATGGCTCAGCGCTTTGACCGGGGCTTCTTCTTTCCCTTCCTATCCAACGTCATGGTCTTCCCTCTGCCCGGCGTTTTTGGAATCAAGTAGGTGTTCCCATCCGTGATGGCGACCGTGTGACCATTGGTAACAATGGTCTCGATCAAACTCGGAAAGTCGACCTCAGCCCAGTTCGTGCACGTTAGCCTACCCCGTGTTGCATTGGTGGTCACAAAGGACACATTAGCCGGCCGCCTACTGTCCCTCACAATCATGTTCACGAACTCGTTATAGTACAAACACTCGAGGTATTTCATGCCTCTGTCGGTGGCCACCTTCGTCTCGAAAAGAATGTCGAATGAGGGTTTGTTATCCGTCATGACGACAAAGACCCGCTGTTCGTTGGCAGGCGGACTACTTGAAAACCTGCAACGATGACTACTTGAGCGTTGATGACACAGAATAAGCAGAATTTATTGTAGACAGGTAATTCATCTCTGCTTTCCGTCTGTTGGAAGATTGTGTGAGTTGGCAGTGTCAAGGGACATTGAGGTGTTGATCGGTTGATTCGCGACCCCAGTGCTCTGTTGTCCAAGATCAGATCGGGAAAGTTATCCGCATTCCGCCGCTTAATCTGAACGAGTGGCAGGTCTGTGGCCGCTTTTGTAGGCGGCTTAACCCACAACCTGAATGCCTACCTACCTGGGTGCGAGTACTGGGTACTCGTATATGTACGAGGTGTGTAGCATACAGAAACCGAAACTGCAATTTGAAAACGACTGTTGTCCTCTGTGAGTTTCTACTAGTGAATCGCTTGCCGGATTTCCTACCACGAGTGAAAAATCGCAAATCGCCCTATAATTATTGTGCTATCTATCTCTGGAGAGGTTAATCTGAGGCGTTATGGACCGTTGATTCCACCATGTCCTTTACGAAGCTGAACTATTGCCCCTCGCTTCTACCAATTAGTTCGATATCTACTCGTACCTAAAATTTGTGGCCCATTGAGTCGGTGCTTCCAAGTGCCGACAGCCCGACTCCCGACGGACTTGACCATCAGGTTCGTAGTTCTAAGTATGTTACAATCCCGAGCATTCCTCCGACCGACCTGCTCTCCCCAACACCATCTACCAAGTCTCAAGATCCATTCTGACAAAGCATCCCAGGAGCCAGTCCTCGTGGTAGGCGAGGTAAAAAAAGATCATGGACGCTGGACCACGTTTTCAGTCATTCGCACACCGATACGGACAAAGCTAAGCTTCGAAATTCGAGCCGCCGATCACATCATAACACGGGCATACCAGCTCCTCCCTGCCCTGATTAGCTTGAATGCCGCCTTGCCATCTTCGGCAAGCTTCCATAAACATCGGTTCATGCAAGGCTCCAGTGCCATATCAAACAGCGCGTCGGAAACTTCTCCGTAGAGAAAGGTTACCAGCTCTCTGTTGGTGAAGCTTGGCCGATTTCGTTGATAGACTGTCCTGGAAAGAGTTTTCTCCGCCAGGATGGCATAAACTTGATTTAGCCGAAGCTCCTCACGGTTAATGCAACTTTTGATCTTGGATGGAAGATTGTCGAGTTTGGCACCATGTCCTGGATAACCTGCTCGACATTGTTGATCCTCCATGTATCGCAGAGAGGTCAGATATGCACCAAGATCTTCAATGACGGTGTAGCCATGTCCGAGCACGTTGTCGCCTGTGAACATTGCCTGTTCCTCCCGCAGAATAAAGCACATATGATCGACGGCATGTCCGGGTGTGAATACTGCCTCGATAGTCGCACCTTCCACGCTAAAAGTCTGCCCATCTTTGATGGGCAATTGACCCAGATCAGGACAATTCTTGTAGGTCTGTGAAGCCAGCATGGGATACTGAGCAACCAAATCCGGAAGCCCGCCAGTGTGATCTTTGTGCCAATGTGTAAGGAGGACATGAGCGATTTCCAGACTGTGCTCTTCCAAATGTCGGACTAAGCTCTCGACCCAAAGGTGGCAACCCTAAAAGGGGTTTAAAAATGATCATGCACCCGATTCGACCGGTTGGTCCTCATGATCACTCACCTGACCTGTGTCGATTAATATCCTGGATTTTCCCGTTCCAATGAGATATGTGTTCGTGCCTTGCAGTTGCATCTTACCAGGGTTGCCTCCCAGTATTCTAACAACGCGATCTGTGACATTGCCAACTTGAGGGAGATCAGGAACTTTGCCTATCTGAGCAACAAGATAGTCATTGAAAACAAGAGCAGCAAACTTGGCTTCCACTTTTGTCACCGTCGAAGTCATCCTGAAAACGCTACAACTGTGGTACCTGAAATGCCAGCAACCAGAGACGAAATTCTCTGCCCTTTCCAATGGCCACCACAAAGCAATATACAGATCGACTCAATTTTCTCAACCCAGTCACATGCGTAATTGACCGAAAGATTGATGATCTCGATTAAGGGACCATGACGCGATAGACCGGCTACTTCACTCAGACATATTGTTGCTGATTCTACAAGTAATAGTCTGCAACGTATTCCATACAATTATTTGCGACTTGTGTGTTGAGGTGGATTGATTGGCTGGGGGAGCCACGATACCGACTCCGAAAACCGACCCCGAGGGGATCCTTCCCGACAATTTTCCAACGGCCAGTATCACCCCTCGGACCAAGGCATGAGCTATCGGACTGTCGAAACAACTTCAACAACTCGGGATGACGATAGGATGATTACACGATCTTCACTGAGAGTGATGTTCCATCTTTATGCCGGACAAAACAGCGCGAGAGAGAGGTTCAAGCCTAAACCGATCCGGGCAGTTGTGTGTTGAAAATCAACCTCTACGAACTCGTGAATAAAGAGCGTTATCGAAGTGCAAACTCTGGTATCAATGCTTTCGTTTCCTGTGCGGTAAGTTGGAAGGTTTGGACGTATCGTCGAGCCTTATCAACTGGAAAGTCAAGATAATACCTCTTAAGTGGACAGATAGGCAGGAGCGTTCCTTATCTCAATTGCGTCGTTTAAGCCTCTTAAAAATGGATACTGCGAGTCAGTCATCGATGAGCTCGTTGGAAGGTGATTTTTCGACCAGACTTCTTCTGTTCAGCCATGAGTTTCCCAGCGACGACGTACAGGAGCTCTTTCGCTCGATCCATCGGCACTCCAAAGGGCAGAGATTTCCTCTGCTTGCGGCCTTCTTGTCGAACTGTGACATTATCATCAAAGAAGAGGTGGCTAAGCTCCCAAAGCTTTTGCAAGAAAGTATCCCTTCTTTTCAAACTGTTACCGGACTTGCTCTACATTTCTATGAGTTGAGGAAAGGTCCACTTAGCGGATCCTGGGAGGGTGCCTTCTTGTGCATTTATCAGATTGCCACACTGATCGGGTAAGTCAATGCTTCCAAGAAACCCATATTCGGCTGCAATCCATGCCGAACTGCTACTGATAAGAGGGACACAGCTATTTCGAAGCCAAGGGCATAGACTATGATCTTCATGCTGGTAATACCACAGTGGTTGGAATGAGTATTGGCTTGTTTGCGGCTGCTGCTACAGTCGCAGCGTCCTCCTTAGCCGACCTGGCATACAATAGTGCTGAGAGTGTTCGTGTTTCTTTCGCATTCTGCGTACATGTTGGACGAATTTCCGAATTATTGGAAACTAGGGGTGTCGATGAAAGAGACCCAAGCTGGGCATATGTGATCACCGGACTGTCAGCGGATGAAGTCCAGGAGCAACTGGATAAGTACAACGACGAAACCGTACGTATTAATTCATCACTCCTTGTTTTGCTCCAGAGCCTTTCGCCCCTGCTCTGGTTCACGACTTCCAATTTCAGAGTATTCCAGACGCGCTAATCATGTCAGTTATCTCAGTCGACATCTCTTTTGAATAAAGTCACTATCAGCCACACGGACAAGGGCTCAGTTGGCGTGACTGGACCGCCTTCCCGTCTTCAGCACTTGTTCCGGCACTCTGATGTTCTGAAATACTCCAAGCACTCATCATTACAGATACATGGTGGCTTATGTCATGTTCAAAACGTTTACAATGGCGATGACGTGTCTATCACTCTCGAGACTGCGAAGTTAAAATCTTGGCAGGCTCGGCCCCTGAGAATACCACTGTTATCACCGCACAGTGGACTGCCATTCCCCGCAGATCACGCTGCACACCTTATCGAGCTGATCGTACAAGAAGCTTTGCTGAAGCCTTTGCATTTCGATAGTTTGATTAGTGGGATCTCTGGCATACTTTCAAGTCCGGGACTTCTGACTTGTGATGTTTTCCACTTCCGAACATCCGTCATCTCCCATGGTCTATTATCAACACTTGAATCAACCCTATCGAGAGTCAAGCTTCATCGACAAGATGTGGTCGAATGGCTCAGTCAAGACTTTGCAAGTCCCCCACGATTGATACGGGATTCCAAGCTTGCCGTTGTTGGCATGTCTTGTCGGATGCCAGGAGGCGCCAATGACACGCAGCTCTTTTGGCAGCTGCTCGTGGAAGGACGTGATGTTCATACCACGGTTCCCCCTGATCGTTTTGATTTGGCCGCCCACTTTGACCCAACTGGAAAACTCGATAATTCCACAGACACGCCATTTGGGAATTTCATCGATAGCCCAGGGCGGTTTGACCCGGGCTTTTTCAATATGTCTCCAAGAGAGGTGAGTGACCGATCAGTCATCTATTTCTGCACAATATTCTTTGGCGTAACAATGAAAGTCCTCAAAAGATGTTAGCTGATCAATTTATGCAATGAATCTTTAGGCCGAGCAAACAGACCCAATGCAAAGGCTAGCACTTGTCACAGCCTATGAGGCTCTCGAGATGGCGGGGGTCGTGCCTAATAGGACTCCCTCATCGAACTCCAAACGTATCGGGACTTTCTACGGCCAGGCCAGTGACGATTATCGCGAGGTGAACGCAAATCAGAATGTCAGTACATATGGAATTCCCGGCACCGAAAGAGCCTTTGGTAACGGACGGATCAACTATTTCTTCAAGTTCGGCGGCCCGAGCTTCAACTTAGACACTGCTTGTTCATCCGGACTGGCTGCAGTGCATGCTGCTTGTACATCCTTGTGGGCTGGTGACTCCGACCTTGTTATTGCGGGTGGCCTCAATGTCATCACAAATCCAGACATTTACTGTATGCTCACAAAGGGGCATTTCCTCTCTAAGACGGGTCAATGCAAGGTCTGGGATAAAGACGCTGACGGCTACTGCCGCTCCGATGGCATTGGTTCAGTCGTCATCAAACGTCTCGAAGATGCAATTGCTGATAATGACAATATCCTAGCCACTATCGTTGCCGGAGCCACCAACCATTCGTGTGATGCAATTTCTATCACTCATCCTCATGTTGACAATCAAAAGGATAATTATCACGAGGTCTTGTTCCAAGCAGGTGTCAATCCCCTTGATGTAAGCCATGTTGAGCTTCATGGAACGGGCACACAAGCTGGTGATGCAGTCGAGTCGCAGTCTGTCCTCGAGACATTTGCACCACTTATACCTCGCCGCCGGCCGGACCAAAGACTTACCTTGGGAGCACTCAAATCCAACATTGGACATGGCGAGGCTGCAGCTGGCGTAGCCTCATTGATTAAAGTACTCCTGATGTACCAAAAGAACCAGATTCCCCGCCACATCGGGATCCGTGGAGAGATAAACCCAGTTGTGGCAAAGCACCTCCACAATCGGAATGCTGGACTTGTGTTCGAGACTACACCATGGCACAAGCCTGAAGGAGGAAAAAGACTTGCCATTGTCAACAGTTTTGGTGCTCATGGTGGGAATACAACTCTTCTGCTGGAAGATGCTCCCGAAAAGCCGGACTCTGGAGCTTCTAGAATTGATCACTTCAAAACACATATCGTCGCAATATCTGCAAAGAGCAAAGCTTCACTAAGAGGCAATATCAAAGATTTACTCGAATATCTAGATCAGGAACCAGTGGCAACCAACCTACTAGCGAATCTGTCATACACCACTGTGGCGCGGCGCATTCATCATCCTCGACGAATTGCTAGGGCAATATCTAGTGTCGGTCAACTGCGAGACTTTTTGAGAGCATCAATCGAAGTCTCAGATGATGTGCGACCTTCCAGTGCCTCCAATTCGAATATCGTCTTCGCCTTCACTGGTCAAGGCAGCTTTTATGTGGGGGTTGGTCAGCAACTTTACCGACATTTCCCTGGCTTCCAAATCCAGGTCCAGCAACTTGACCGTATAATGCAGCGACTGGGCTTTTCCTCAGTTCTGCCAGTGATCGATGGTGAGGCTAGTGAGGTTGAAAGAAGCACATTATCGCCGATCGTGTCACAACTAACTATACTGATTCTACAAATCTCCTTGATCCGATTCTGGCGGCTGCTCGGTATCAAACCAGATGCTGTGATTGGACACAGCCTCGGTGAATATGCTGCCCTGGTGGCAGCTGGGGTGCTCTCCGTCGCTGATTCTATCTATTTGGTTGGTGAACGTGCAAAACTTCTAGAAAAATATTCCGAGCCCAGTACCCATGGAATGCTGTCTGTTCGTGCCGATGCTGCCACAATCAGACGAGTTGTGGAAGATCGCGTGCACTATGAGCTTTCATGCTTGAACACATCTGAGGATACCGTCGTCAGTGGCCCAAGAGGTGATATCGACCGAATTCGCGCAATACTGGAGGCTGAGGGGTTGAAGTGCCTTTCCCTTGACATCCCATATGCCTTTCATTCGGCTCAGCTCGATCCAATCCTGGATGATTACGAGAAAATTGCCTCTCATGTTTCATTCAAGCCGCCCGAGATTCCAGTCATCTCTCCATTACTAGCACAGTGCATATTTGATGGAAAAGCTATCAGTGCAAAATACCTACGACGAGCCTCCCGAGAGCCTGTCAACTTTGCCGGGGCTTTGCAGGCATCGGAAGCAGCCGGAATAATTGACGATAAAACCATTTGGCTTGAACTGGGGCCTCACCCAGTCTGCAGCTCGTTCGCCCGCAGCCAACTACCTAATATCAAGGCGCTTCCATCTTTAAAAAAGAATGAGGATAACTTCACCACAATTGCCAATACCCTAGCGATGTTCCATGTTGCTGGTTTGAATGTAAACTGGAATGAGTATTATCGGCCCTTCGAAAAATCCTTCAACCTTCTTCATTTGAAACACTATCATTGGAATGATAATGATTATTTCATCCCATATACTGGGATATGGACCCTGGAAAAGGCGCACCACACTAAAGAAAAACCTACGAGCACACTTGCTCTGGCTCCATCGGTCTCGACATTGCAAACATCATCGGTACAACGCGTGATTTGTCGAAGATGTATCCAATTCAACTGCCAATTTAGTAGCAATCACTGACATTCAGCGGTCTGATTTCTTGGACACCGTAAAGGGTCATACGATAAACGGACGTGGTGTTGTGACAGGAGTAAGCACCCCGTACTCATCTGCTCTTTTGTTTCCTCAAAATCCTCTAGGTTTCTTTTATGACTAACACCTTCTCCATAGTCAATTTGGGCCGATATGGCGCTCACCATTGGCGAGCATCTATACAAGCTATTGCATCCTAATATTGATGAGGTGTTCGTGAATGTGGCTAATATGGCCGTCACTGAGTCTCAAATTCCTCACAACGATCAAGGGATCAATGCTAAGCCGCAGTTCATCCAGGTGGAAGGAAATATGGACCTGGCTGAAGCAGCTACAAAAATCACATGGTATGCATTGAACTCTGATGGCATTCGCTCCGATCATGCATTTGCATCTGCCACAGTATACTACGAGGACCCCCGATTATGGAAGAATCAATGGCGAAAATCGACACATTTTGTGACGGACCGAATTACTGCTCTCTCTTCACTGGCTATGACAGGTGTTGCCAACAGACTTTCTCGCAATATGGTCTACCAATTGTTTCAGAACGTCGTTGATTACGCAGACAGGTATCGGGGCATGCAATCTGTGGTTTTACATGGATTAGAAGCCTTCGCCGAGATCGACCTCGTCGAAGATCGTCATGGTACATGGCATACACCTCCCCATTGGATCGACAGTGTCTTTCAGATGGCCGGCTTTGTCATGAATGGAAGCGATGTGACCAACACTCGCGACTTCTTTTACATCACACCGGGTTGGGACGCCCTGCGCCTGGCAAAACCCCTCGAGGCGGGCAGGCCGTATCAGAGCTACGTGCGCATGTTCCCCTCCGAAGAAGAGCCGAACTTATTCCTTGGTGACATTTATGCCTTACAAGATGGAGAAATTGTTGGCATATGTGAGGGCATAAAGTTCAGAAAAATACCTAGAGTGCTAATGTCGCAACTGTTTTCCGGTGCACCAAGGAAGTCTCAGCAGTCTCCCACGGTGCCTGATAAGAAGGGTGTTATCAGCTTGCGACCAAACGGGCTCACAAACTCAGCCAAGCCCATCGGTCCGTTGCACAAGTCTGCGAAGAATCCCGCAGCAGAGACTTCCCAGTTCTCATCCGCCAATCTGGTGATACCAGAGCCAAGACCCGAGATTCTGCCTGATCACACCCCAAAAACAGGTTCACCTGAACCTGCAGTGACACCGGATGAAGGAGTTGGGGCAGTACAGGCACCTGAAGTTGTCACCAGTGTCCTAGCGGTCGTTTCCCGCGAAACCGGGATCGGTGTCAAAGACTTTACGCCCGATGCCTCCTTCAATGAAATGGGAATAGACTCTCTGATGTCCCTGGTGTTGTCGGAAAAGCTGTTGCGCGAGGTCGGTGTTGAAGTCAAGAGTGCAACCTTCCTGGAATGCCCAACTGTGGGGGAATTTACAGAGTGGTTGACGCAGTATCATTAGATTCAAGTGGAGTTGTTAAGCATTCAGACTTCATTTGGGACGTTTGAGCAGAGATCTAGATAGATCGTTCCATTTATTCCAGTTTCAATCAAGTAAATCGTAGTTAGAACCAAGAACCAAGAACCCTTTGCAAATATCCTATTTCTCTCACCCATGAATCTAATGAATGAAATGTCAACATTAGTACCATGACGCCATCCTCCATGACGCCAGCACCTCAATCTGTATGCGAAATTGCGAACCCTTGACCATCGTATGCAGTCCATTTTGCCGTCCCAAAATCCCTCAGAGCCTGGTAATGCTCCTTTTGCGCGGCCACCAGTATATCGGCCATCAATTCAACGTTGATCATAATACCTCATCGGACCCAACTAAGACGATGACCTGCTTCCGTAATAGCTTCTCCAAAGTGGGCAGACGCGCTTTTCCTCCTGGCCTTGGGATCATCATGGTCAGGCTCTCCTGTAGCCTGTACTACTAACAAAGCGGTTGAGGAATGATCCTCAATCACATGTGCAAGCAGCTTAGTGGCGAGCCACCCCAAAACCCCTGGCTCATTCTTGAGGTTTGCTTCGGCCGCTGACAGGTCACCAGTGGAACCATGAGATGTTAGATCCCGCCCGACTATGGCAATTATCTCCCACGGGCATCGTGGATGTAGCCTGCTTATGACATTATTGTCCAAGGATAAAAGAGACTTGGAGTCCTCGACAAATGAGACTCTGTCCGCCAGGCTCGAGTGAATGTTAGCCTTGATAGCTTCAAATTCAGCGTTTACTGTGGAATTCGAGTCTACAAGTTGCACCTTGCCGTGAGAACGAAGGTCCAAGACTTCCAACTCGACGAAGTGATTCTCAGCAAGTTGAAATCCGAGTCTCACCGCGCAAATTCCGTCCTTGGTTCCCATGAAAGGAACAATAATGCGATACTTCCCACGACTGGGCGAACCTGGGCGTGAATTTCGGTCGCTTTGCTGAGTTCCAAACTCGCCAGGATTTGGCGCAATCATAGTGTGGTTGTGAATCCCAGGACGGTGACTTGGAGACGAAACATTCCAATTGAGCAAAACACCAACATTACAAATTCGACTCGCTTTGTAGAAAACATCCTTAGCAAGGTCGCTGAATTGGGTATTTGCTGAGGGAGCTGGAATGACAGAATCCAATGGCTGGGTATACTCGTCCATTGTGCCTGTCTCAGACCAGGGGAGGAAGATAAATTCGGACCCAGAATTTTGGGCATGTGCAATGATCTCGTCGCTGAAGGTATGCAACGGAACCACTGAGAGTTGACCATTGATAGCAACACCAGTATCCTGAGAATGTCCGAAGGTGGTAAAGGCTTTGATGACGGGGTCTCGAGCAGCAAACTCCCCACTCTCGCAAACTTTCATGACAGAGGAGTCTCGCTCACTGAGCTCCATGAGACGTAACCCGCAGATCTCTAGTGGTCGATGTCTTGAAAATGCCGTTTTATCTTTGCTCATGTGCTCTTGATCCGCCGTGCCAGTGTGTGATCTCTCCTTCGTGAGTAATGGAAAGGCGACTATTTCGGGTGACGAGCTAGCATGGTCTTTGCGAGCTAACAGACTAGTCAAGGTAAAGATCGATGAGAGACTGTCTAGACGAAGATAAAACAGCACCTTTTGAGCAATATCGCCACCCGGGGTGGTGGTTGGGTTTCTTTGCCTCACTGGTTCCTCGCTTTGATTAGTACTGTCTCCGCTCCAGTCAAGCTTCCCGTCTCTCCAAAGTTGAAGTTTAGTTCGATACCATGGTGGGTATATCCAAAGGACAAGCGGTGTCGTTGTGAACGTAGTGATGAGGGCCATCACGACAAAAATCGTAAACGTTCGTTGACTAAGAATGCGTGCCTGGAAGCCGATGTTCAAAACAATCAACTCGACTAACCCTTTACACGACATTAAGCAGCCGATGGCGAGCGATTCGCGCCACACAAGCCCATTCAATCGAGCCGCAACAGTTCCTCCTACGATTTTCCCAATCAGCGCGATAGCGCATACACCGATCACATAGCCCCAGACAACTCCACTATCCAGAAGGCCTAGATTTGTGTTTAGGCCAGACAGAGCAAAATACAGGGGCAACAATAAGACTGAGACAAGGTCTTCGATCTTCTCTTGAAGTTTAATAGCAAAAATACCATGGGGACAAATGATTCCAATAAGAAAGGCTCCGAAGATTGCATGCACGCCAATAATCTGCGTAAAGAACGCGGATGCGAGCACGAGCATTACCGTTATTGCCACCACCGATTGTGTTGGTCCATTAACCAGGCTTCCTGTTCGACGAAGTAGCCAAAGAAAGGCCCAGCGAATAGGAAAGGCAACAAAGATACAATACCCAGTACAAACAAGTAGTATCCAGAGTGCCGTCAGGCTCGCTCCTGAGTTGATGAGAGTAACGCAGAGCGCAAGAAGGATCCAGCCAACAACGTCGTTGCCGATACCAGCTGAGAGTACGATTATACCCACTGTTGTACCTAGTAAATTAAGGGATGTCAGAATTCGGCAGAGTACTGGAAAGGCCTAAAATTCATATTGTGTCAGCTATATAACCATAAGAAGAAGTCATCTATTGAATGAGCTCACAGTGATAGCCATTGCAACCCCGATAAACAGTAGATAGATAGAGAACTCGACTTCAACTACCCCACTATCATCTCGAAATTGATGGTATAGTCCATACGCGATCGCCGCACCCAGACCGAAGGGCAAGATCATTCCCAACAAACCAACACTGAGTGCCACACGCCAGTTCCTGTTGATCAGTCTCAGGTCAACCTCAAGCCCAACAAGAAAGAGGTATAGAACAAGGCCTATGTTTGCTGCCAGAGAAAATGGAGGCATTGAGGCGATAGGAAAGATGTGCTGCGTAAATCCAGGAATTCTCCCCATCACCGAGGGACCAAGTAGAATGCCTGTGATGACTTCTGCCATGACAGGTGGCTGATTGATTTTGGCTAGTGGCCAGTGTAAAATGCGAGTAAACCCTATAACGATGCTGGCCTGGATTATGAACAGTACTATTGGATTTTTGTCATCATATGCACTGGGATTGGTCCCTTCCAATATGCCCCCTTGAGAGGGTACTCGATAAGTACTGTTGGCTGCGGGTTCTTTCATAGTTTAGTTCATTGACTGGTTGTCCTGGGGGTTCAAGTGCAGTCTGATATGACGGTTGTAGAGCAGGAATGTCAAAATTCTCACAGGGAAGTAGGTAGTCAGTTCATGACCGGGAGGAAGCTGTTCCAGCTTCTTTTCTATATTCGAAAAGAAAGGACTGGTGTAACTAGCAAACTCCGTCACCGAATATCCCAAGATATCAAATTCAAACCGACATCTCGGTGCGCACAGGACATGGGCTTCCGCTTCTCTTTACTTACTCCTAAGACATCAAGTCGGAGTCCGAGTAATCGGCATACAAGTGATGCGAGTCAACAGATAAGCTGGCGTAGCGCATATCAGAACATCGAGACCCTATAACAAGAGAAGCTGAGCCTCGTTGTTGAATTAATGGCTCTCGAGTTCGAGATGAGTAGCAATTAGGTGCGAGGAACACAAAAGCTCTCCAATTACATCAACCGCAGTTCAGAGAGCATTTTCGCAAACTCCATATTCCAAGGCAAAGATACAGAACTTGGGCTTTGCACTTGAAACCATTGAGGTGGAATCAATTCTCCTCGTACCTTCGCGGGTGGCCAACGAAGAAAGGAGATTATGATTCTTGTGAGATGCATCGTTCGGTAGCACACACTCCCAAGATGACCTTGCTTCTCAAATTCCCTGTCAGTACAAGATGCGCCAACATGCAGTTCGTCATCTTTGAGCTTGTATGCTTTCTAATAGTCTTATCGGAACCAAAAGAAAATGAGCGATTGTCGAATGCGAAAATGAAAACGGGTTCTTCTCGAAGTCGTCGTTGCCGCAAATAGACCATATCTAAGAGCTTGAAGAGTTAGGCTCACATCGGGTAGTGATAAAACCGCGAAGTACCTGGACCATGGAGTGAAGTTTCATGGTTTTACAACATCTGCTGACTGACCATGAAGCGCGACTTGTATAACGCGACTTTTTATATTCAGTCGTACAGAACCACTGATCAAGCGAGCTTGGTAACCAACTGAATCATAGATCAAATGACCACGGAATACCCTACCCCGTCCACCATTCTACCGCCAGCTGGGACAGAGTGGACTGGAAATAGCTTTCCCAACTCCAAGTCACACAACAACTCTCAAATCTGGGTATGACAATATCTTTGAGCGCGCGGATCGCGATGCGTGCACTGAACAGGTATGAGTTGGTTTGCATGGTAAAGACAAATGACATGTTGGCTAAAGGTTCAATGGCTTCATGATATCTGATTTGATGGCATACCAGAATGGACGCAAGCCGAACGGCACTCGGTCGCTGCTCAAGAGACTACAAAATCGACCACTAGCGATAGGTTGACACAAGACTTGGACTGTAATATCATTAATATTGGGAATAAAGTGTAATGATAGAAAGTGCCCCAGCTTCGTCGAACCAAGACTGTCTTCCAGTCCCGATCGCTGCAAGCAGAGCCCAAAATCTGACGCGAGCTAGCCAGCTGGTCAACCCTTGTATTTAGTCACGAGTTTTATGCCCGTGTTAAAGTAAGTTCTGAGTTGGAGGGCATTCGTCAGGTAGATTCAGTGATTTCCACCTTCTCCAATATTTGGATATCCAAGTATCGTGTCTCTGCGAGCACATATTCTAGAACCTAGTGTTTTATGTCGTATCTATGGAGATTCTGAGCAATCATGTATCATATTGCACAGCCGTAACAGCCTCGTCGCACAATTAGGCTTGGATTTTCGCCTAAAAGAATCCTCAGGAAACCTTGGCTTGAATCAAGACTTTAGATCAGACACGCCTCGTGGTCGCTTCCATCGTGACAGACTGCAGTTGAGATCTCAGCAAGTGATCAAGATTTTTGAGGAATTCGGGTGCTTGTCGTCCTGAACCACCGCCTCTGTACCGCTTAGCAAATTGTAAAATAATCCTCGCGACTTTTGCGAGCTCCTCTGGAACTCGGTCCGCTACGAGCGATTCGGTACCTGCATCGCTCAAACTTGACGACGAGTTCACACTGTTGATACTGCTATTGTAGCTGCTCTCAAAGGGCGACATGTGACCATGGCCGAACTCGTCCTCGACAGAGGCTAGGATACAGGCCAAATCCGCATCGGAGTCCGGCGTCGATTGGACCGAGTCGGAAACATCGGATTCCGATATCACTAGTATGGTCCTATAGACGTCGAAGATTGAAAGGAATACGGCCGTGGTAAGTAGTCCGATTTCTGGACTGCCGAAGCATGGGCACACCAGTATGGTTGACAAGATGCCAAAGGCGTTGGTGACTGTAGTCATAGCATCACGCAATCCAAAATTTTGTCCAATCTGAAGTGGAGGCGCACACCCTTCGTTCCGATGTCTGGATCTTGCATGTTCCTGCTGGAGCTGGAGTTTCGCCATTGCGAGTTGTAGCTGTATTACTGTATTTACAGAGGCGATGGCGCAATCGGATCCCTGTGCTAAGCCTTCGGCAACCGTCCGGTTGGCGAAATACTCACCAGTAATTGTCGATCCTTGCGGCCTCGACGTGGTGATGCCATTCTGTGAGTCAGAATCGTTATTCCTAGGACCGTCAAGGGCATGGTCTTGGATCGAAGTTGGCGACTTGGACTTGCCATCAGGAACAGGGGGGTTCGCTGTACTCGATTTTGACTTTTGCTGCGCGGCGATCGACATCCACTCTCCGCTCACGCCACTTGAGTTAATATGAGGGGCATGGCTCGGACCCCGTGAGGCTGCTGCCTCGTTCTGGTTGACTCCTCGCGAGCGGGCATAGCCTGTTCTTCGTGCAGGGCTGTAAAAGCACGGATATCCAAGTCTCTCGCAGCGTCCACACAGGGGTTTCTGCTTATCGCAGCGGATTTTGGAAGCAGCACATGTATCGCAAGAGTCCTTGAGTTTAGGCATCGCAGCCCCAGCGTTGTTTTTTGAACCTGCTCCAATCCGTTTGTTACTTGTTGCCAGCATTCTGTGCTGACTGGGGTCCATGGCAATTTCACAGCGCGCCGAGGACAGAGGATGTTCTGGTAATGTCTTTCTAGTCGTGGTTCAAGCAGAAGATCATCTAGCAATGGTGGATATAAAGATTTTGATTGAGGATTCATCCAGGGAAAGCGTTAGATCGTGTTGTTTCCTGAAACCAACGAGTTTAAGAGAGTGTGTTTCTCGATTTACAGCGAGTAAGGCCAACAAAACTATAATTTACAGCATTCTGCTACACTAACAGCACGCCATGCAGGGCAGAGTCACTTCAGTGTGCTGGCTGATGCTGCATATAGAAGAATTGACAATCAATTGCTTTAGTGGGAGATAATGCAGAAATATTCGGCGCCAATCGCAGTGGGGACCAGTCTGCGTGAAGGCGCTCTGATCCTTATAGCGAGCGGATACGAGAAGGCCCGGAAGTGTCATACCGTCCAAAACGGCAAGACCAACTCGGAAAGCTCTGAAGATGAGTGGCCAGGACGTAGCGAAAGGTACGGATTTTCTTAATAATAGGGGGATAGCTTCAAACCAGGAATATGTGCATTTAGACTCGCCAGTGAGATACAACCCATCATACGTATTGCCTCGCTGATGTCGCAATTTGGGAGCTAAATTATCACAAACCACTAGCCTTGATGGACATGAATATTGAGGAACGGAGCAAAAAGCTAATGCGCCCATGGGTAGCAGATTGTTCCAAGGATAAGTATCCCTCTTCTTCAGGTAGGCATCGAGGTAGGAGCATCGCTATCCACTAAGTGGCTAGATTTGTCTTGTTTTTCGCCCTTACTATTCGTACAGGATGACAGGTGTGGGGCGAAATACGTTGCCTTTAGCAAGCCCAATAAATTCCCATTGGTACTCTGTCTTAGTTTGATGGAAGTCTTTTGTTCGCTAACCAAGCACTCGCGTGGTCCAGTTGTCCCTACGTGAGATTGTTTCGATAAAGTCTTTTGACTATTTTTGCCGAATGGTTGATCCCGCAGACTTGTTTTAGTGGACAGCGAGGAAGCTCGCTACCTCTGGCTCTCGGCTAGATCGGTCAGACACAAGGTAAGAAGGGCGGACAGCCTAGCGGCCACGATCCAAGTAGCATCAGCTGAAGATCTTTGCTCGAAACTCTTTCCGTAAAGCGTGGTTCAGTGGAGGTCCAGTGCCAGCAAAGAAGACACGATCACTTTCTGGGATGAGGCTCGCCCCAGAGACTGAATGTAGCACTCCACACCAAGCTGGCAAGTGACTACCACTCGTATCGTCCGTAGGATGAAACTGTAGTTCAACACGGTCAATAGTTTATGAAGAAAGCCTTCTGTTAGCCAGGGCCGTTCACTCTTTTTTTGCCTGCAAGCCTTCAAGAGGTACCCCGGAGAAAGATGGAAACAACGACGTCTGACGATGTGGGACCTTACAGGGCTTAAAATGCTCTTTTTGCAGCATGCTGCCGACTCCCAGCTAATGCTCGTTCCCTGCCTAGGTAGTGGACTAAACTTCGCGAGGTTCGCTCATGCTTAGCACTAATGGGTTAGGAACTAATGGGAGTGTGCTTGCCAACCCCCACGTTCATCTACAGGCTCCTCTTTTTCTATCGTGAAGCAAAGTTTCGAAACTTCTGAGAACACGAAATTTATGCACATGTGGTGCTGAGAGGTGCTAAATATCAATTCGCCTATGTACCAACCACATTCAGGCTGTAAAGACGGGCTTCTGATGTCCGATGACAGTCTAGCGCTTTAAGCAAAATTACCCATATCTCAGTCTCCTGTACCTCACTGCCCAGAAGCGTTTCAGTGAGATAGAATTATTTTTTCAAGTTTACTTCCTCTGCACTTAAAACGAACTCCTCATAAATCATCAGAATTTGAACATAATTCGATCAGGTCTGGGGAGCTAACTAGAAGCACCTGATCGTGGCGTCCATGCACTACATAATCAATCAAGATCATCTACAAACAGACACTTTGGACGAACATTGGCCTTTGGTACCTCCCAGTACCCCAAATCTGCTTCAAGATGTCCCTCAGTACTCTACTCTTTTTGAGCTAGATGACCTGGCCTCAACCCACTACAATAGTGCCTTACCAACCAACTTTCCACCATTTAGTGGTACAACACTCACTGAAAACGGCCCCTCGCCGTTTGCTACAAATTCTGGTAGAGAGATAGCGATGCTGGATTTGCCATTCGATACTGTCACTACAGATTCAACAGACGTGTTTTCTAGCTACGTTCCCACTCTTCCAGGCCTTGGCAGTATCCCAACAAGCGCTGAGAAGCAAACTGATTTGCCTGTCGCTGAGGATCGGAATTGCTTGACCTCGGGCGGTTGTTGTTTTGCCTTCGCTAGCAGAGCCGTCAAACACCTCCATGTTCCTTCTTCGCTGTGCTTATCAACAGTACAACCGGAAGATTCGAGCTCTAGAGCCAAGCAGCTTGCACCTCGAACAGCAGATTCTGTGCTCATTGCGAACAGTGAAGCTATCCTTGCAATGATGAAAATCTTGCGTTGCTCTTGCTCCTTGAAACCTCAACTCCAAATGCTTTTGGCCACAATATGCGACAAACTTATAGCATGGTACTATGCTGTGGCTTGTGGGAAGGAGAGGTTTGACTTGAACTCAACACCCACTACCCCTGACCCGAAATGGCATGTTGACTCCACAAGAAAAGAACGTGTCTTACGCCGATCCGTGAACATCGGAGAGTATTGCCTTGAAGATGCTGCTGGAGTACAGATCATAGCACGTGTGGTAATGTCTCATCTGCAAAAATTGGAATATCTCATTGTCCTGTTGTCAAAGCGAATCAAAAGTTCAAACACAAACAGTACACGACAGAATGTGGACCATCACTCCTCTTTCCACTCAGACCCGAAAGCTGTTTTTGGGATATTTAGCCAGAGTCTCACAGCTTATCTCACTGGGCAATCACAAGCGGCTCAGAAGGAATTAGAACGTTTGATTGGTTCGTAGGAATCGGGGCAATTCTTGTTCAACTGCTGAAGGGGTCATTATATCCAGGGGTGATGCGGGAATCAGCCTCTTTCTTAATGGCAATATTACCTACGAGTGGAAATTCTTAGACTGCATACGGGACGCATCAGGGTACTGCAAATACTGAGTTTGGTGCAAGAATCATGTCAGCCTCTTTTTATCGGCATTTAAAAGCACCTCTGCAGGGGTACATTCTAACCGGCCAGCGATTTCCCACAGCAGTCGGAAACCAGAAATTCACTATGTTTGAATGGGTTATGGCGTGATCAATCTAGGTTGGCAGAGCCATGTGACATGAGTCCATCAACAGAAGGAACAATTGAAAGTTCCGTGTCGAAGCTACTTGCCTAGTCATAATTCACGCCACCGATCAGCATGGGATGAGTCTGAACAGTTTCCATCCATGCCTTGAGCAAATACGTCCACAGGGGATCTAACTAAGCCACTTTATGAACGAAACTTCGGCAATACCATTACTCGCTTCAAGCATTCTGAATCTGGAATGTATCATATTAAGTCAGTTTGTGATTGGCACTGCCAGCGCGGATGCCGGCACCAAGACCATCATATCTGTCCTCAACGGCAAACTATTTGGCAACAGCAAAAATAATTGAGAATCGCATGACTGGGGTGTATGCCTTCACTTCCTGAGCTTTGAGTCCAGCGCGATCGAGCAGACTAAGCCACTGTTCGAGAGTACGGACTTTGGAGCCAAATATTGCAAGCATCTGAATGTCAAGACCAATGGGGTAGAGATTAGCACCTGTTTCGGCCAGTACTACTTCATCCAGGAGGATCTGTGAGTCCGGGCCCAGAGCTGGAACGATATTCTTAAGCAATGCAACTGCAGGTTCGTCATCCAGGGTCTGTAACACCGCGTTCAGATAGTAATATTTGGCACCTAATCGGAGACTGTCAGAGTGATCACTGTCAAGCGGAGAAAGAGGACGACGAATTTGATGAGGACATGAAGGGGAATAAATGACCGACCTTTTACTGGCTGAGGAGTGAACACATCATGTCCAACCTTTTCGACACCTTCAATTGGAGGTGAGAACTTGACTGCCTCCGCTCGGTCCTCGAGTACGATGCGACCCGCAAGCTCTGGATAGGCTGCTAGAAGCCGTCTCGATTGAAGACCAACATTGCCATTTATGTCAACAAAGATCTTTCGATCCTTATCCGTGGATGCGATTGCCTCAGAAAAAGGGATGGCACTAAGCCAATCTCCTTCTTTGTGGACGCTTATTACACCTTGTAGTAGCTTAAGAATCTTGGGATTGCCCTTTGCCCAGGCAAAGAAATTCAAGTCAGTGTCGACAGATTTATGGAATGAGCTTATTCCGTTGCCTGGGCTTTGATAGCCGTTTTCCTCAAGAAATTCTGGAAGAACATGGAACGCCGGGTTGCTCACAACGCGGAAGAATTCCAAGGTTGATGCGATGCCGGAGTCTGCCAGCGTTTTGGTATGCTGAGTCGCAGCAAAGTGATCCTTGTTCACTTCTTTGACAAATCGGTGTCCAGTAAAGTAGCGCAGAAGGCGCCGCACCAATTGAGGGTCGCCACCGGTAGGCTTTGCGAGCTGATCAATACTCAACGGCGAATCACTCTTCGCTAAGGCCTCGAATACTCCTAAGCTGTTCCCGATTTTTATCAATGAAAGCTGGCGACCCTAGATGAAGGCACAGATTAGAATATGCAGAAGGGTTGAACGCTTGCAGAAGGAATGTGAGGGCCTCATACTGTATCAGCTAAACGTCTCATTGTGTCATGGGGAGTTTCCAACTTTTCTGCTGCCTCGTGGAAGGTCTCGATCAAGAAATGTCTGCTCGATTCGTCTAGAGAGAGTCCATCTCCCAAGACTGGGCTCAGAAGTTTTCCTAGAGCGGGGTTTTGAGGTGTTGGGTGTCCGTTGGAACCTTCATTGGACACATGGGATCCATTGATACCATTACTGGCACCATTTGTGGTATGGCTGTCTCCGTTTGCTGTACCATTGACGGAAGAAGCTTCTTCAGCCCCGTTTTTCTTTTTCTCCGTCAAGAACTTGTCAACATCGGGAGTGTCCCTCTCCAAAAATCCAACAGAGAACAAGTCAGCCTTGCGAAGCTTTTCAGCTTCCCCTCTCTTCAGACCTAGCTTTCCGCGTTCCAGAACAGCCACCCATCCACCGATTGAATCTTTGGTGAAATTCTCGACGTTGATAATGTCTTCGTGACGTAACATTTTTCTTCCTCTGAGAACATTCAAGGCATCCGACTCCTCAGGTGTAAGGCTCTTCTGGATCTCGTCAATTGCTGCATTGGTACTTTCATCGTTGGCATCGATGTTCAAGTTGGCGCTCTTGAGCTTCTGAACGAGAGACTCTTTTAACTCAGGGTCGATATTCAAGAACGAGCGAAAGGCGAACTCGATTGTCTTAGAAACTACTTCTTGAGTGAGTCCACCCTTTGTGTCGGCATCAACAGTTCCCTGGATGACTGCAGTAGGTGTTAGTGAAAATCTGCACAAGCAAAATGAGCTCCGTTAGGAAATTTTGACTTACCGGGTCTGAAGAGATCGAATGCCCTGTCAAAGCTCTGTTCATCAAAATCGCTCAGAACTGGTTCGTCTCCAAGCCTGATCTGCTTGAGGGCGCTGCTAACTACAACCAAGAAACGAGTGTAGCTGGTCGCTGTTTTTTGTGAGTGCCACTGAGCGGCTTGCTCCTCTGTCGTGTCGCCTCGAATAGACGCAGAGATAGTAGTTGCAGCGGATAGACCGCCGTGAATTGCTAGATGGACACCCGTGGAAAAGAACGGGTCAATAAATGCTCCTGCATCTCCCACTACACGAGCGTATGGGAATGCATAGTGAGAGGCACTATAGGACCAATCGGAAGCTGACTTGATCTCCGAAACAAGCTCACCTTCGCCGATGAGCTCTTTGATACCAGGGACCAGATTAAGAGAATGGAGATAGAAATCTTTGCTAGAAGGTGAGCCTAACTCTCTCTTCTTTGCCGTTGCCTGGTCTTGATTTTGCACAATACCCACAGACCAAGTTCCATCGTGCAAGGGGATGAACCACACCCAACCAGCAGAGTCTATGGAAAGAAAGTTGGCGTTAGCACAGCTCAAAGCGGAGAAGGTGAGGCTGCTGAAATTGAGAAATTGTTCAATCTTACCTTTGAGGGCCTCAAAATAGGGCGAGCCTTCTCTCTTGGTGCCCGTGCCATACGCACCAGCACCTTTCCAGTAACCCCAGTTTGCAATATTTTTCAGTCCTTGGTTGTAGTGCCTGTTCTTCAAATATTTCGTGCTGAGAAGACCTTGTCGTCCACTAGCATCGACGAAATATTTGAATGATATCTTCCCAGTGGTGCCATCCTTGCGCTTCCAGGTAGCAGCAATAGGTTGACCCGGATTAGCGAGAGCAGAACTTGTGCTCTCGTCTCTACTCTCGAATTCAATAGAGTCTACCTTGGTTTGATCAAATATCTTGGCACCAACTTCACCGGCATGCTTGAAAAGCAGCTCATCGCCCTCAGATCTGATCACATTCCAGGCGTGTCCTTGGGGTCCGCCAGCCGCGATGAAATCGGTGTCTGAGAAGAGTTTAAAATCAGCAACGTGATCTGAGTCTGCACGAAGGGGGTGCTGAAACAATCAAAAACTTACAGGCCTCTGGACGTGACCAATTAAGTTTGAAAGCAGCACCATTCTAGGAAATCATCAGCATCATGATAGGTATAAACAAGATATCGGAGTTGTCATGGGGCCTAGATAGTGGCCAAGGTAGACCCACCTTGATTCTAAACCCGTGCGAGTTCCACTTTTCATAGGCGTCAATAAGCTTAAGATAGTACCGCATGGACGGAAGCATGCTTTCGCCAATGTGGTAGCTACGAGTTTGTCAGCGGTAAGAAGCAGGAATATGGATACCACCGCGGGCAGTGGACCTGGCAATGGCGTGGTACCGCTACTGGGGGTAAAGTGGGAGAGGACGCCACCAGATCTGACTTACCGAGGAAATTTGTCTGCTTCCAGAACTACCACATCGATACCTTCGAGGGCAAGTGCCGACGCGGCAAAAGACCCACCAGGCCCACCACCGGCGACCAGAACCGTGGTGCTCTGTGGTATATCTGTCATTTTGATAATTTGAAGGCAAATGTCGATAGGTTGGCAGGCCTTCTAGGTTCTCCGGGCACAAGTATATCGGACACTGGCAGATAACGGATATGCAAGATACTGCTATTGTTCTCAATTTGCGAGGGAGGATGTCTTTATATCTTATTTCTCTTCAGCACCGGTCATTGCCATCTACGGCCACTCATACCGGCCTGATATTCTATTGCATCTTCCACCATCCCGTGAGCTTATTGCGAATCACTTGTTCTAGGAGTCCGATTCAATACATTTGCTGCGAAAGAGCTCAATCGGGTATCAAATACTTCGGCGGATCGGCCAATGGCTGCACAAAGCTCGCCTCCTATTGGATGCCACAGTCTCTAAGTGTAAATATATCACCTCGATATCCTCCTCGGATTCCGAAACCTCTCTCAAGAATACAGCACACATATGGCAGTGATTCTTTATACCAAACCTATCATCATTACAACAAAGTCGCATCAACGACGGTCTGCTCAAGCCACAGACCTTGAAACTCTCGCTCCCGTTGCGCCGATTTGTCTTTCATGATCCGTTGGAGCGTATTTCTCTTAGGAATCAACCCAAAGGTACGTGGGCCTGGTCGATGTGTTGCTACTCACACATCGACAACTATGTAACCTCAATAGCTCTAAATTTCGGCGCAGGTAAACATTTAACTCTATGAACCATGTTCTGCTCCGTGAAACCCACATTCCCCCGGTTCACTTCGTGCTTCCCCAGTAAAGGGAGGGTCATCAGATTCTTCCACCTCTTTTTGATGGATAGAAACTGACTTCAAGTTTTCGTTCTTCAATTTGGAAGCTGTCTGTCGACTGTGCGCCGGCCCCATGGCCGTGGTCTCATCATGCTAAGTATATGTCAAGTATTCAAGCTCCGAAAATCGACAGTCGACACCACGCATGGCAATCTCTCAACTCTTAAAGGGTAGGTACTCACTGTCTTTGACATAACTCAGGCTGTTAACTCTTCTGATAGTTGGGCATCTTCACAATCGGATTAGGCAGGTATACACTTAAATGTTCCCTCTCTCATGATGGCTCCATTCGAATTTGTCAATCAGTTTCCATAATGTTGTGGGATTTTTGCTAGTGATTTATTATTAACGGTGTAATATCATGTGGGCGTTTTGCTATAATATTGTGTAGATAGGACAGTCACAGAGCCTGCAATTGATCACAGAACGGCGCAAGGGGACTTTTGGTCTGGAATACGATGCTCCCGAGTAGTGCGGAATTTGAAGCCTTTGGCCATAAGTTGCTCAGAAAAGGTCGCTGACTTCTAAGAGGTGAGCAGATGACTTTCAAAGTGGAAATGGCAAAACAGAATTCACAGATATTAGTGTACGGGGACTGCTACCGAGAGGTTTGGAAGGGATATACGCCCGGTCCGTCATCTGAAAGCTTGCTTGGGATTTTCATGTGGACGGCGCCACGCAGCATGAAATTGTAGCAGGCTATGGCTCAATCGTCAGGTAGGTAGGTGAACTACGACTATCTAGGTACTCGAAAGAGAGCCTCTTGTTTGGAACGAATGACACTAGCATACTCCACAATGTTCTACTTCGTACTTACTCCGTACCTGGCTACGGGTATGCGCTACGGTCCGAAGAGACGATACGAAGTACAACACCGACGGGAGACCAGGATTCTCTACCCGTAAGATCATCTTCTACAGGATCAAATACGAGCGGGACATTTTCGAAGGATCTTCCGCTACTGCAAATTTCACGGAAATCCCGCAATACTATTGCACCACAGATCGCAACAGGCATGAAACGCCAAGCCGGACCCTGATATTCAATATTGGGACCCCGGTGCATTGCGTTATTGCTTTCGCTAATGAACCTTCCACCCAGCTCTGAGCCTTGGCTTGAGCGAATAGGAAATTTCCATAATGACGAATAGAGGCCCAAAGTCATCCGTGGCACTGCACGACTTTCACCAGCTTGCGGGTGGACACATGAGGCTGCACGAGACAGCCAGCAATTAATGCTATTGGAGGTTCTATTCTTCCGCCATTACCCTGTAAATGGCGTTCGTTGCATTCCAGAACTACTCGACCTGGTGTTGATCATGAACTATCACTAGTTTCGTTGTTTGCTGGTTTCGTTTCGTCTAAATTCCCCACCCTGATAGAGTAATTCTCGAAGGTAACACTTGACAAATACATCACGCAATATTTAGATGTTTGACGATAAAATCTGGATCTTGTTGAGAGGTCCAGCCATGGGACAGGGAAATTGAGTGATGAGTTTCACAAGAGATAGCCTATTATTGACTTTTCATTCTAAGGTGAAAGATAGTCGCTTCATCTGTTCCTATTCACATGAGAACTCATAGTGAAAAGTAAGGGACACTGCTCACGTAGATAAGAGCATGATATTGGACAATACCCTGTAGTTAGAGTGGCTCCTTCTCGCCAATGTTCCAATTGATCATTTTCATTTGTGCGAGAAATCGCGGCAACCCCTTCATGTCACAGCCTTGTCCACAGCCTCGCCACACCTTCCTCGTACTGAGCAAGCGCACATCGGATTCCGATTGTCCACCCCAACGGGACAGACACTTCCGTAGCATTGCCGCTTCACGGATTCCGATGTTCTATAGTCCGTTTCAGACGTGGCCGAGAATCACGTACCCGGCGGCCTTGGGATCGACATATCCATGTATGCCGTACCCAGTCTGCATTCAATGGAACGATTGCCCACTCACCATAGCAGCCGCTCCCCTGACACGTGCCGCGTGTATTATTGGACAAAGCACGCAAGATTTGTTAACACATGGGGATGATGCTTCCTCCCAAGGACTATCTATATACTTTAGAAATCAGCTTCACATTGTCGCAAAATCGATGGGTTGATGAGCATACATTCTGCGCTGATAACGAGACTGTTGAGTGAAAATGTACGCGGCTGATTATTTCAGATATACCACCATTGGGCACCTTATTCGAGCATCAACTGGAGGTCGAATTCTGCCCCATGCCAAGATAACCCTTGAAGATCATGTCACAGTGATCGAGCAGACTACAAGGCCTGTCTCAGAAGAGGTTAAGACACAGAATGGAAACGGACAAACCGACAAGGATGCCTATCTAGTCGATTGGACGGGTCAGGACGATCCCATGAACCCAAAGAATTTTGCAATGCCTGCGAAGATCCTCATTGGGATTCAGGTATGACCAGTCCCAAGGATATGTTCGGAAATCACACTAAAAGATTGCCACTCAAAGATTGGCCTCTTGACTTTCATCGTCACCATCAGTAGCTCGGTTTACTCAGGCGCGGTTCCTGATATAATAGCGCAATTCGACTGCAGTGCTGCTGTTGCATCACTTGGGTTGAGCCTCTTCGTTATAGGAATTGGGCTAGGGCCATTGGTAAGTGCTGGACCAAAGTACTTGAGGCATGCTAACCTTCCCAGCTCTGGGGCCCGGCCTCAGAGATCCCTAGCATTGGAAGGAACCTGATATATCTCCCGAGCCTGCTTGTCTTCGTGGCGCTGCAGGCTCCGACCGCTCTTGCCCACAATCTGGGGACCCTGTTGACCCTGAGATTCCTTGGCGGGCTCATTGGGAGCCCTGTTCTTGCGGTTGGCGCAGGTAGTATGGTTGATGTATTTGAGCCACGACATCTAGGGTATTGTCTTGGCATATGGGGTTCTATGGCCGCTTTAGGCCCGATCCTGGGACCTGTAATCGGAGGATATGCTTTCCAAAATCTCGGTAGCTGGCGCTGGACAATCTGGACAATCTCTTGGATGAGCGGCGCTGTGCTTATTCTCATCACAATACTTCTTCCGGAGACATCTGCCGATAAGTTGTTAAGTGACAAAGCTAGAAGGATTCGAAAACAAACCGGCGATGAAAGATGGGTGACTCAGGCGGAGAAATCTGGGGGAACAACCCTCAGGAAAGCTGCGAGGGTATACCTCATCCGGCCCTTCGCTCTGCTTGCATACGAGCCCATCGGTATGTTTTTGACACTCCAAGGTGTGGACCCTGCTTACTCTGCTCAGTGTTGCTACTATCTCTGCACCTTGCTCTGGTCTATGGGCTTGAGTTTCTCTTCTTCGAAGCGTTTCCATATATCTTTGCTGGGATATATGGCTGGAGATCCGGTCCCACGGGCTTAGGGTTCCTGGGTATATTCGTTGGCATATATCTTGGATTGGCCTTTCAATTGTGGTTCATCCGATATCGGTATTCCGCTCTGTGGGCAACACTCAAGCGTCCTCCACCTCTCGAAGAGTGGCTCTGGCCAATGCTTTTTGCGTCGTTTTGTGTGCCTGTGTCCATGTTCTGGGTCGGCTGGAGTGCAAAAGTCGAAGTGTAAGTTCATTGGGGCTAAAGAATTCCGATATTTGCTCACCATCCTCCTAGTCATTGGATAGTCCCGATTCTTGGGTCAACATTCTTTGGCTTTGCTCTCTACATATTCTTTGTAAGCTTCCTGGTAACATCAAAGCTTGGTCTCTAACTTCGAACAGCAGGGTGTGTCGACTTATCTCGCTTTCGGATACAGGACACATGCAGCATCAGTGTTTGCTGCCAACGATTTCTTGCGTTGTGCATTCGGAGCCGCGTATGTTCATACCCTACGTTGGACATTACTTGGAGCTAATGATTAAATAGATTTCCAGTGTTCTCAACAGCCATGTACAAGAACTTGGGCGCGGGATGGGCTAGTAGCATTCCAGCTTTTATCTCAATCGTCTTAATCCCCGTCCCATTCGTGTTCTATCGCTATGGAGCGAAAATTCGAAGTTGGAGTAAGTATGCCGATTGAAGCATACTTGTAGACTCCCACATCCCAAGGAAGCAAACAATCTTGGCCTGCGGGAGGTTGATATTCGAGAACGGTGGTCTTGTAGCCAACAGCCCAAGGCTGCGTCAATATGAGGCAGTCGCGAAATATCTATGGTTTCGCATAGATCTACAGCGATACAGGCTCATCGGAAAATGCTCGGCGCCGATCAAAGTTGATAGACTGCTCGTGGAGTTCGGAACTTACGAAGACAAAGTTTAGTACCTTGGAAATCGTGATAGGATCAATCAATACCCCTGTCGGTTTGCTCGACGCGTTTTGATGACGCGCACTCACGTGACGATTCCCCCTCACTCCACGGTCCTGCCCATGATTTTGTCTACGGAAGCACGCTTTAATGGATATCCTTTTAACACATTTTGTGGAATCAACATGGAGAGCGACTTCTCCGTAGAACGATAAGGCAAGAAATGCAACTCGGGTACCATGGCGCAACGTCAGAGCCTTAGGTTTGAGATTGAACCTGCAAGTCGATTCGCGAATGTACAAGCTGCAATACGGCGGCCACGAGTGAGTGATGAAGGGAGGCTTCCCTAATTACCCGTCTAACGGATGGCTCAGGAAATCACATATTTCTCCTACGATGAGAATCATGAGTTCCGGCATGATGCGTCCAGCCTACGATACTACTATCCGCCCTCCTTGCCCTCCGATCTGAACAAAGGCTTCGATACCTTTCGCCAACTCGATGACACAGCAGACGATCATCTAGACGGTCTGTTAGAGTCTATAACGGCCTATGAGAAGGAGAAAGGGTCAAAGGTGGAAACTGATATCATTACATGGCGAGGTATGATGACGAAGGTGTGAGCATATCGTCTGAAGCTATTACAATACTTATGGCTCGAGCAGATAATGATCGTGCCATTCTCGAAATTGGATAGCTGGGAGATGAATGCTACTTTGTTCCAAGGGACGGTCTTCGTTGAAGAGAACCATAAGAAGAAACTATCCTCCAGAGACGACCAGTACTCAGCTGTCGCCCACCCAGGTGCAATGTCTCAAGATCTCATGAGCTATTGGGGATACAAGTTCGAAACTCTTGCACTGTTGAACGAGCCATGGTGTAGCACTTCACGAGAATATATCGACTCTCGTGAGGATCAAGTTGTGAGCAACTACGCGCAATACTGTTCGATAGTCCGGACGGGCTTCGGAAAAGTCAAGATGATCATTGGTGGAGAGGTCGATGCAGTATCAGACCACAAGCCAGAAGACAAGTCGCAACCAATCAACTGGGTTGAACTCAAGACATCTGCCATTGTTCGGAATGAGCGTGACCAGATCAAGTTGGAGAGAAAGCTTCTCAAATTTTGGGCACAGTCGTTTCTCCTCGGTGTGCCTAAAATCGTGGTTGGGTATCGTAGTCAGCAAGGTATGCTAGAACGTCTAGAAGAACTTGACACGCAGATGATCCCCGAGAAAGTCCGAATGAATGGAAAAGGCTTGTGGGACGGTCAAACATGCATCAATTTTGCTGCAAGCTTTCTTGAATGTATGTTCTGTTCTTTTCTTTTCGGTTTGGCTGTAATTGACAGATCTGACAGGGCTGCGAGGAGTCGTGACCACAGACGGAGTGTGGAGGATCCAGAAACGAGAGAAGGTGCCCTTCCTCGAAGTGTTCCAGATTGAAGAAACTGGACATGGTGATATCCTGTCACCAGCATTCGTTGACTGGCGCACAAACGGTCTGCCAACGCAGAAATTGCAGAACGAAGGACAACATCACCCAGTGGCGAAAGAGGTCGACCCAACCTAAAATGTGTCTGGCAAGGCTGCAGATCGATGCAGAGTCTTGGCTAGCACGAAAAGCTCGTACGTGTCACTCAAGTGAGCAGGCTGGCTGGGTCGTCTTGCATTGTCTTCGTAATATTCGTGGACACTCGCGGCGAACTCGACCCAGGTAATTTACGCCTTCGCTCACCAGCCATGTTCTTCTTATGGCCACGACTTGACAGATGGCCCGCCCATTCTTTGTCAGTCATTAAAATCTTCTGGCAGGTTTCGCATTTCCTGGAAACCCTCTGGGTACCAATTCTGCCTTCCAGAATAGCTTGTGACATCTGAATGGCGAGGGTTGAGAGACTTGCCGGGGCAGGCAACTGCTCCCCCTTCAAGAAAAGATTAACGATATCCGCTGATGGGATAAAAACAGACGACTGCCAGTCGTCAAGAGAAGTACCATCAAGCAGGAAAAGCTTATCTAGTTGATTGGCTTCCTTGAGGGCGTCTGCAAGACGAATGCGGATGTAACGGTTCTGCCGCTTGGCATATCGTCTCGTACCCGCCCTGACCAACTCAAGGGCTTCTTGTAGCTTCTGTGAAACAGGCTCTGAGTCGACCTCGGTAGCTCGTTGGTCGAAATAAGGCTCCATTTCCTTATAACCGATCGAAACCCAAATACCTTTGCTTGTATCAACCGAGATACCTTGGTGAGCTAGATTCTTTTTGAGCTCCACTAGCCCTTGAGCTTCCTCAATTAACCCATCTTGAACCATTGCATCAACACGTTTGTTCAAGCGGTCCTTCAGGATAGAGTCTTCGGCTTCTAACCATAAGAGCAAAGTTGGAAACCGCAGGCCTTCTAGGCGATGCCCAACACTTTGCAACTTATTTTGGTCCTCACTTTCTTTGGCCGCTTGACGATGCTGTTGCTGCTCTGCGTAAATGTCCGACGGTTTCCTCCCGCTTGTGAGCCAGATCTGGAGCGAGCGTTGGATTTTGCGCCTGTCGTTTGGATGCCAACGTGAAGCCATCTCGGGATCCACCTCCTGCAACCTGGCATAGATTTCTTCGGTAGACCGGGACAAGATTGGCCACTTTCGCTCTTTTTCAATATCCGACACGTCAGAATCACCATCATGCTCAACTTCCGATGCCAGGGTTGCGTCCTCGAACAGAAGCGCATGTGTGTAGTAATGAGTGCCACCGACAACAATGGGAAGCTTTCCACGCGATCGGATCTGTGTGATGATATGGGAGGTCTCCTTTACGAACTCCGAAACCGTCCACGGTTTCTCTTCCAGGCCGATACAGTCAATCAAATGGTGTGGAATGCCATTTCTTTCAATTTCAGGTATCTTATTGGTGATGACCGGCAATCCCTTGTACATTTGCATGGCGTCTCCATTGATTATTTCGCCGTCGAATCGAGTCGCCAACTCAACCGCCAACTGCCAAATGCGCTCAGTTAAAGATCGGTTTTCTCAAAGAGTTGTCTTCACCTTTGATTTTCCCGTACCGGTCGCACCAATTATGACCAAGAGTGGATCTTTTGGCGGACGGGACGCCATCTTCAATCCTTGCCGAACAAGTAATGACATAGAATAGCCCCCTGGTAGCCGGGGTTTAGAAAGTAACTCTCCTCACCAACTGATCATCGCAGCTGATCGGACTCACATTGACACTGTCGTAGAAACAAGGCCTCTGAATGTGGATGCTATGTATCACTCAGCCAGTTCATCGATATTGACTTTCGGTTACGATCTTGCGTCAGTAAGCGCTGTCTAGCGATCGTTCTGTCGATCCAGAAGCAGGATTACGTCTGGCGACTAGTAAATTAGAGGAACAGAGAAGGTTTGGTGCCAAGATAATTTTCAGGTTCCAGTGCAAATCCCCGGCCACGGATTTTCCCATTGTTCCGATGTGCCGAAAGTCGTGTTCGTTCAAAAGTTCCCTCGAGGACATCTACAGCACCTCACTATTCGCACTCAGCCAGAATCCGTGTTTCGCGCATTACTAACCTCGAATAGAGCTCCGTTCTACATATCTCTAACCGCGTGAGTGCGGAAGCAAGATGGGTGACGATAGGATCCGCCACAACGGTTAATGTTACCTTGCACCACCTGCACCTAGTCACTGTTTCATGTCTCGCATTCGGTCCCTACGCAGGTCGCCTAATTTCCATGTTTAGGGCTCCCTTACCCCTGGAGCTGCCACGTCTTTCTGAAACCCTCGAAATCTAATGACACCGTTGTCTCGACTACACGCCAAAGTGTTACACCTTTACAAGAATGGAGACTTCTCTAGATGAGCAAGGTATCTGGAATGTGGAGAAGGCCACTGCGACAAGATTGCTTGAATCCTCAGTGCAACCGTACAGGTTCAATGCACTCATTATATCATGGTCAGGTACCTCTGTACTTCCTTCAAGTCGAGTGCATTCCTGTTTGTTTAGTCGTTTATCAATTCAACGTCGTTCTTTACTTGTACACCTGTTGACCAGGTTCCATTCTTTTTGCCTGGTGCAGACATTCTTTTTGCATTTAAACTTATAAACTTTATCTTGACATCATGATCTCGCCTATCTTGACACTGTTACTTGGCACAGCTTCGCTTGTTGCTGCACATCCTGTTGCAGAGAAACGCGCTGTGACACAGCTCGATCAGGCTGCTTTTGAGGAGGCCCAGCAGCGGGATGACACTGCTACGAGGGCCTTCTCGTCGGTCCCAATCAAGGTATGCTCACCACTTTTAGCCATCCGAGTGAAATGACTAATGCAATTGCTAGACTTCCGATGGGAAGTGTTTGTTCGCAGACATTCTCTCTGGAGATTTCCGAGCAAACCTGACTCCCATTCAAGTGGGCGAATGCAGTGGAGACACTGGCGCACTCTGGGATGTCATTACTGCTGGAAAGCACAATGACCAACCTGGAACCATGCTGATAGTTAACACCCTCGTAAGCACTTACTATAGGAGCTACCCAATAAAGCACTAACAGCGGACAAGACACAAGCCTGCTTCAATTTTGATCCTCGTCGGGCAGCAGGAAATCAGGTGATTCTATTCTCCTGTGGTGGACGTGCTGATGGAGGTAGGTTTCTTATGCTTCGTAGCACACAAGGCATGAGACTGACATTATGATGTCCAAAGGTGGTGCTGTCACAGATTCCCAGCTCTTCCCGTTCACAGGATCGGCTGGACCTCTGGCCTTCTCGCCCAAAAACTCCGCTGGAACGTGTTTGACAGTCAAAGGGGATGTGATCGACCAGGCTCCCTGCAATACTGCAGACTTGAATCAGTCTTTCAGCTTTGGTGATGCTACGGCTCAACCCAGCGCGCCAGCAGCTTCCACAAGCGTCCCTTTCACAAGCACCGCTACCACCACCGTACCTGCCCCAGCGTCCACTACTACAAGTGACGCGGTATCATCCGTCGCGCCTGCACCGACTACTTCAGCAATTGCAGTGACAACATCAACAGCCTCTGCTTCTATCGTGCCGGTTTCCAGGGCTGGAGGCGTTCTCAACCCATCTGCAGCCGCTGAAGCAAATCCTCGCGATGAGACAGCTACACGCGCATTTTCGTCTGTTTCTATCCAATCAGCAGATGGCCAGTGCCTCTTCATCGACAGAACTGCCGGTGACTTCCGAGAGCTCTTAATCCCAATTGTCCTCCAGCCATGTGATGGCTCCGCTGGTCAAAAGTGGGATGTCATCACCGCCGGAAAACACAACAACCAGCCAAAATCTGCATTGATAGTGAGCGCCTTGACCCAAGGCTGCTTCAACTTCGACCCTAGGCGTGCTGCCGGTGATACAGTCATGATCTTCAGTTGTGGAGGCAGGGCAGACGGCGGAGGGTCTGTCACAGATAGCCAGCTCTTTGCTTTTACTGATGGAGAGACGAGCCTGAAACTGCAGCCTAACAACGGAAAGGGGCAGGTGTGCTTTGCCCCGAACGCGACTGGGAGATTGGATCAAGCGACTTGCAGTGATGATCCAAATCAAGTATTCACCTTTGTCTGAGAAGGATTCAGAGGTACTTCCTAGCTGGCGTCAATGATACTTAGCCAGGCTCACTAGCTGGTGAACCGAGAACGTAGGTAGTTTCTTCAGTAGTATCAATAGCGGTGATAGCGACATTGATACTAGCTTCTCTAGCACGTGTCTCTGTTAGTCTAAGTCTTCTACATAGCTAGTCTTCTTAAGCAGAAAGTCGATTTCGTCTTTAAATTTCTACTGAGTTCCAGAGTATAGCTGTTCATGATTAGACTCTAATCCTCGACTCAATACTTTATAGACTTATTCCTAGTAGTAACAATATTCTGGTCATACTCTATACCATCCTGAATAATGTCGAGATTTGCACTACTTACTAGGGAATTTAGACGTTTCTGATTCGACATACTCTCGCCTTTGCACTTCCACTTTCTTGAGATCCACGATCTATTAGTACCTGTATTTGAAGAAAACAAATGGTCCCGTTCAAATACCAAAAATAACGCAATGAGTCTTGTGGCACTAGTCGATTGTTGTCAACTCCCCGGCCTTCGCCGCCCCCTTACACTGTGTGAACGCCCTATTACGGATCTGCTGCGTACTCCCCCCCTGATTTTTTGCCCACCACCCTACCTGCCTCCCAAAGGCATTGTTCGCCAGGTCCATGGCCCGCTCCTCCGGTACAGACCCTTCAGCGCTGTCTTCGTGTAGCGTACCAAACGTCTCGGCAACCTCCGCACCCACGTCAATCGTCATGAGGGCGCTCCAGTAGCAGTGCCGAAATGCGTCGCCTAGGCCATTGTGCAAGGTGCTGGATTCAAAATTGGCGATTGCGGCGTTGTTAGCAACATCGGCATCGGCGCGGATGTCGAGGCAGCCTGAGATGTGGGTTGACACAGCGCAGTAGACCAGCTCAGCGCCAGTAACGTCGAGTCCGAAAATACCACGTTTTGTCCGTGGGGTTGGGCTGGCAGTGATGTATCCTGTGAGAAGGAGAGCGACTGAGAATGTGGAGAAAAGGGATGGCTTCATGTTTTTGGGGCAAGTGGGTGGACGGGTTGTATCGCTCCAACGGGTATTTGGCTAGTGATCTGGAATTTTTCCTCCTGAGGACGTCTTCTGTCTCTACAGATATGTTCGAGATGAAGGTTTAGCAAGTAGTGTTGCAAGCATAGATTGGTATGTCTGTACGCGTGAGGGCAACCAACTCTTTTATACTCAGCAGGACGCTTACTTGCGACGACTAAGGACATTCACTCTCTTCACGCTCTCATATCCTTACGGAAATGCGACTCATCAGCCTCAGTCCTCAGCTTGAGTAGTTGTAATCAAGCTCAAAAGCTTTGACTCAAGGTATAGTAGAGCATTTCACGGGACAATGTCCTGCATGCTCTGATTGGAAATGCTACTCTATGTGCAGTCCCCCTCCACCTAATCTGAGAACTCAGAAGTACAACTCCTTGGTCTGGTCACAGGGATACAACGACACAAACAGCTGGAGATGGTTTCTGATTGATACTGAGCACTGAATCTAAAAACCTACTTTATGTTCCCAAGCAATCTCTCTCCTTGCTTCTTCATTGTTACTTGTCGCAGTCATTCGTATATGACGCCTTGGCAATTTTCAGCCAGTTGGGGCTGAGCCTGTGGTGGCCCATCCAAGGCTTTGGGGCCGCAATTATTTTGTCGAACTAATCACAGCTGAGAGAGAGGCTGCAAATACTCGCGCTTTCCATTGTGTCGTTTTGGTCCTGAAAATTCATGTTAGTACTAGTGCACTGCCAGCTTCTGCTACAAATTTTGTTCAACCTGAGCGGTTCAAGAAGGCCAGAGGATGCATATCCATTGATTCGATTTGAGAAACTGAAATTGAAGTCACGCAGCCTGCAGATAAATGGAGCCTTCTCAAAAACAGGCGTTGAAATACATAAGGATGAGTTTTAAGACTCTCGTTATCAGAAACAAGAGATTGATTGTCGATATTCTTGCATGAATGAAAATTTGGACGACGCAGATCAGGAGCCAGCCATCAAGTTTGAATTCAAATACATGGCAGATTAACAGAGCTAGAGATGGCCAACTGTTTTCTATCCTCAGAGTACTATGTATAGTGGTAGGCATGGAGAGCTAATTAACTTTGGTGAAGGGATGATCATTCTGTCCAAGCTGTAGCTTTGATCTGAATTGGCGAACTTGTGAAACCATCTTCGCGACTCCCGGGGCATTAGGCTGGAAATAACTTTCGAGCCTCCAGCGCTTGCCACTTTCATCTGGGTAAGAGTCGTTCGGCCATGGCCATGCATGAGGACCAAATTCGTCGTAGGGGTGCCATACGAGATCTGGACCATCCAGCACAACGTGATTTAAGTCGGAGAAATTGCCTGTGTGAATCACTTGGCTGAAATCAGGGGTCAGCTTATAAAGCTGGCCTCTTTCCCACCCGAAAACCCTGGCAATCTTTGAAAATTGCGAAGGCTCCTATTTGCTACCAGAATCAGAGTCAACCTGGACAGCAAAAGTGATTTTCTGACTAGCAACTGACGGATCGCCTTCCACGGTGACTTCGATGATACAGATTGAGTGGCAGTAATTTTCTGCGCTAATGTCCAAGTTAAAATAGAAGATTGGTCGCCCATCCATGTACTTAGAGTCGAATACAGTTCGATTTCGATTGGTAACGCATCGCCAGGTCTACTAGTAATGGTCTATACCTCTTTATTGTTTCGTATGGATTCGATACCGTCAAGGCAGTTCTACGTTACAGCCCGTCATGCGTTCGATATCCTGTTTGATAACCTCAACATCCTCCATAACACCACTTCCGGATGAGAGCCGAGCAAATACCATCCCACGCCAGTTTCCATCCATATCTAGTACCCATGCGCCCGAATCGCTAGCTTGGACGAAGGACTGGTCCCTACCGGCAGGTTGAGGACGAGCAGGTTGAGGACGAGGTTCAGGGGTAATTTCCCACCCAGTAAAAATAATCTTCTGGCCCTGAGAATTGGACAATACAATATCTGTCTTGAGATGACTGATTATACCTGTCGTAACTCCTGTCGTGCGCCCTCTTTTGAAGACTCTGTCGCCGAATTTAGGACCTCTCGCGGACCAGGATTTGATCTCACCATCAACTGGCTGGTAATAGCGCTTTGTAGAGGAGTCCAGATCGTCGTTAGTTGTAGGAGGGACGAGTTGAGGGTCAGTCGGAGGAGGGAGAGTATTCAGCTTCGAACAGCGATTAGTTACTGCCGATAAAGACCAGTCGTGCAAATTTTGTATTTGAAAGCCAGAACAAGCCCGGAGGGACCCAACACGTGAGTCAAATTCATTTATGATTCTCTTTTGTGCCTCTTGTTCTTCGATTTCGCGTGTCCAGTCATCGATCCATTTCTGGAGGCGTAGGTCGCCGGTCCACTCAAACCTTTCCTGTAGATTTTGGAGAGGAGCGATCGCAGTTTGAAGCGTGATCTGAATTGATTGCAGCTTCTGTGTACGGTCTTGATCGGACGGAATCACGGTCTCAATTTGAGAGGCCTGGTCTAATCGAAGACCATTCAATTCGTGCTCGGTACCTATAACTGTTCTGTAACAGTGGAAGACACTCATGATCATATCTTCGGTACGGCTATCCTGGTTTCGTAGTCTTATACATCCGCCCGCAGTTGCAGATGTATCGACGCCCTTTGGTGCAAGACTGGAACCCGGTTCGATATCGGACTGAAAAGCGGATGTTGAGAGGATATTTTCCGCTGGATCATCTAATGCAGAGAACGGATGTTTGGCGGGGATTATAGTGACTCCAATGCCATCTAAACCAACATGATCTAAAATCGCTTCAATCTTCCCGGTCAGTGTCTCCCAAGCCTTTTCCGTGTTTCTTGGAGCTCCGATCAAGATTGTGGTCGGATTTTCACTCTTGTTGGAATTTGTGCCCCAGCTAACCACTGATATCGTGAACCACTGGAGTCCAGAAATCGAATCGAAAATTTGAGGCCTTATGGTAGGCCAGAGGGGCACAACAGCCTCGTCTGGACCGATTGGTCCAGGCCAGTGAGCCTCGAGAGGGCTGGATTCTGCGGGCTGATTCATGTTGTACAGTCAGAGATGATCAGATCGTACACACAGAGCGTGCTCATGAGCTAATCTACGAGTACTGAATGAGAAAAGGGTGCTGCTATGTACACCTTAGGTTTGCATGCGTCATACCTTGGGCAGCTGTCCGCCTTTTAAGTTTGGCCGCCTTCTCTGCGTTGATCCACTTTTCTTGCTTGACGCCCGAGCTGTTGCCAATAATTTACGATGTGAATTGCAGAAATGGCGAGATGGGTAATATCATCGCGACCTTGAAACAAACAAACTCTCTCCTGACCTCTGAGAGTATTGCAAAGGGCTCACTTAACTTGAAATTTGCTAAAAGCTTCGGCCTTCTGGGTGGTGCAAAAGGTAATGCTGAAATAGAAGTCAAACAAAACGAAGAGATCCAAAACTACGATCTAGAGATCGGCCTAGTAGGTGTTTACCTTGACACCGACCCTGAGGTCAAGGTCCCTGTCACAGTGCGGGAGTTTTCGGATAAGGTCATGACAGCTGGACGGTTCATCAAAGAAGGAGTGCCGTACACAATAGAATTGACGCCTCTAAGATACTACCCAGGTCTTTCCGTCGCTCTCATGTACGACGCTATCAGCGAGGCCGAACTAGAGGATATCAAGTCATCCTACAATAAAATGATGGGATTAGCAAATGGCTTGTATACGTTGTTTGACCGTGTCCAGAATGTCGGCCAAAAGAACTTTCCAAAGTTCTGCAGTGCCTGTCGCAATATCAGAGACAATTACGATCTTCTTATAGGCAAGATACGAGGCTCTCTGGGAATTCTGCTTCAAGAACACGCTGAAGATAGCCCCGATCGAAGCCAAAAAATCAAGGACTTTCTATCTTCAACGCTTCAATCGGTCGAGGAATACGAAAAGATTTTGCGTGACCGGAAACGGACTTTTCATGGGTATGTGAACATGGTTCAACTCGCCAAGGACAATGGATTCCCCATGGGGTCTCTCACAGACATAGAGAGCGCCATATTCGGCAGTCCCCCAAAGCCTACGGCGCTGATGATAGTCCCTTCAAAAGCCAGACTATCAGAGCTCAAGAACTTTTACGTCAGGCTTAAATAGAGATTGAATCAGTTGCTGTATCCTCCAAAATCGGATACTGTAGAGACGGTGACAAAATTTGAATGCTTCACGATCCTAGCAGAAGTAGCAGACCCCGAGGAAAGCAGTAGCGAAACCTTGATTTCCGCAGCAGACCCTGCCTTGAGAACAAGTCTGGGAGCACTAGATTGGGACGATCATGCTCTGCTCCAGGCTTTTGATAAATTCATAGCTACCAACACTCCTGTCTTGGCCTTGTATGGCTTTCCATCTCTGTTGAGAGATCCGTATGGATGGAGGACATACGGGCAGCCTGATTGGGGTTTTCTGAACAACGCCTCAACTAACACGCAATATCTCGGTGAGATCTCAAATCAAAAAGCTCATGGACAAGGTATCATGCAATTTTCCACTGGGAACACCGTGACAGGCAGTTTCTTTGTAGAGGCACACCCGATGGTTACGGCCAGTCGTGGGAGAAAGATGGCGAGAAGCCAAAAGAAGAGGGCGTGTTCCTGAATGGTGCACTGAATGATTCAGCAAGCTTAGTAAGAGTTACGGCTTACAACGGCAATATCCCTGAACAGTCTGCTGTTTTTGCGATACCTGGGAATGAGTTGGTTGGGCACGATCCGTCAACGGAAGCTCTTCGGGCCGTTCTGTCTGCTCAACTGGCAAAGGGCGCGAATGTGATGGGTTGGAAGTCTGATATCAAACGTATATTGAGGTCGATATGGGATGTTCCACAAAGGGTGAAGGACATTGAGTTAATGAGAGCCAACAAACCAGCCAAATGCTGGCGCACGGACTCCGCGACTTATGTAGAGGCGCAAGGTGGCCGACTCATCGACGTCCACCATTTCGAGTTGCACGGTGTTCCAGGGTTTTATTCGCCTTGGATTAACGGCTACGTTATTTATGGGCCAGATCATGAATTGAAAGTCATCAGCAGCTTCATGAAGATCAACGACCCAGTTCTGATATCAGCAAAAACATCATGAGCATAGGTCGACTTTCTGACTGACATATCTTCACCTTCCACGGCCAATCCCCAAGGATGTTTGCCAATAGCATGTTGCCATCAGCAAGGGAGACTCGAAATAGCGGGTATCATCGTGACGGATGCTTCTCACGTTGTCGAGTGTAAGAACTCATTGTAAAAGACTCTGATCATAATTGGCAGGCAAGTTATAGTTGATTCGGAAAATTCCCGTTACTTGACGCAAAGGTCATTGTCGTGTGATATAAGCGCCATTTGCTATGAGAAGGGGAGGCCATAGCTGGTCATGTTGATATCACAGCTTTGGTGCAAAATCGAGTTCTTTCTTCTCAAACAGTGATACCGCATGTGCCGCCATTCCCCTGCGAACAGCCGAAGTCAGTCATCTCTTGCTTCAATGTATTCTCAAAAAGAACTTACCAGGAAGACTGATAGCCTGCTCCGCCAGCACCGTAATTGTGTATTAGCTGAACGCCCTGCCTCTGTTCGCTCTCAACGCGACCTCCTCCGACTCGACTCGCTATTAATTCAAAAATAAGTATAGAATCGGATAGGAGTGGTAAAAGTCCATTCGCAAGGAGGTCACGGCATAGAACTTACGACGCAAGCCGACATTTTGGCTTATGACCTGCAAATCTTCCGGCCTCCCAAGCTCTGGGCAGAGTTGGCAAGCTCTCTGCTTTATTCGTTCAGTGCGAGATGCATCGAGCACTTCATCGTGGTCGTTGTCTAGACGGACGCCACCAATAATGATTCCACCGCCTAGTGGCCTAGGGAATACGTGCGCAAACTCATTCTCTGGAAAGAGTGCTGGCTGGAACCACACATGCATCTTTTTGATAGCAGTTTTAGGTTCTCCAACGAGAAGGGTATGGCCCTATAAAGTGGTGAGATAGGGATTGGGAGTTCACGTAGCGACGGGCTAACTCATACCTTTGTTGCATACACATTCTGGTCTTCCACACCGCCCAAGGTCTTCGCGCCCAATCCGGTGCAGTTGAAAATGGCCAACGCAGTTGGAAAATCCGAAATCACATCATCAATATGATTGTACGAGCGCCGCACTATCTGAACTTTTGCTTTCAGGAGCTTTTGCATGAGCCTACAAGTGACACAACATAAGCTCCAATGCATCATCAATCTTGGTAGACGACCCTACCAGCTCAGATACAGTCGCGAATTGAACATAAAAGTCGCCAACTCCAGACCCCAAGTGGCACCTTCAGGGAGTTCTTCCTTCGGCGCTGGTCGAGTTCCTCCAACCAGAGCCTCGTACCACGGCTTCTCAGTCGGGTCCGAATCTGGCCCGTACACCAAACGGAAAGGAAAGCGCTCGACACCACTTTCTGGCGATTCATCCGCTATGCGCAAGAATCGTTCAAAGGAGAATTTGTCGTACCACGCATGCCTGTTCCACACCGGTTCAAAAGAAGTCCAGTTTGCACCGGCCTGTGGAGAGCAATATTCAGTCTGCGAGACATCACCAGGGAGGAATTTTGCGACAAGCGTAATTTTGAGGTTTGGAAATTTGCTGTGTAGTTCCAGGGCAGTGGTGAGACCAGCAACACCTCCGCCGAGGACGACCGCGGAACCATTTAATGAAGGCATCTTTGATTAGAATTTCGAAATGCCGACTAAGTTCTGGAAACGAAGCAGTCGAAGGGTCGGAAAGTCGGTATTCAAGACTCGAGTTTTTATCCTTCACCACAATTAGGTATTTAGTACTCGCCATAAGGCGTGCTACCCTATGTTGACTCTTTCATATCATACGAGACCTCTTTATCGCGCTTGAGTCTTGACCAATAAAAGGACGAATTGCCCGCTGTGATATTGTAAATCGCACATTGATTATCTCCCGAGCTGCTCGGATATCGTCGGTTGAATTCTTGTTTAGCTTGGCCGGCCGTGTTTTACGCGGCGTTCAGCGTATTAAGTACGCCTAGGCTTACCTAAGTCAAACCTGCAGTCTTGTTGACGATGGTGCTAAATGAATTTTACTATCTAAATCTCAGAACTTACTGCTGTGGGAATGCATAATTTCCCAAGCTGAAGCGCACAATCAACAGGGTACGAAATTTTGGAACACATGGAGGCCATTATTCGTGTGAAATGATCACGGTAAAGTTGGTTCCCAGAGCTTGTCTCCAGCGGGCTTTTGAGCCCATCTTCTTCTCACATTCTCGTCACAACAATGAGATGAAGGAGCCATGCCATCTGTTATCTACAAATTCATTTTTAAACCATCACCAAATCGCCTTTGGGGTGTCCGAGGAAATCATAGTATTGTACGAACCGACAGTACTATCCAGGCGCCTCGTACTAAACTATGTCGGGAGATTCATCGGCGAGCTCGCTTGATATTGCTTATCTTGGAAGTTACGTCCGTCCGATCAGTAAGACCACTTCAATAGTTGCATTTGCGCTTTCTGCTTGATCAAGATTGATATTGAGTGCCTAGGTGTTCTTTAGAGATGGTTCCGTCTACCCAACGTTAGATTGTTAGTGGTGTTTGGCTCAGACGTCTTCATGGAGGCCAGGAGAGAAATCCCTCTGAGATCGAGGATTTACCTGTCATGTGTGAGACTGAGAATACTCGTACCTGCGACCATTCTTTCCGTTACGATGGCCTGACTTGGTCGGGAATCGCCGCTAGAGAACTTGGCATGACTACCCCTCAGGCTCTGGTTCATGCCCTATTTGCAAAAGGCTCTCTGGGCCAATGCGCATTCAAGCTGACTATGCTTTTGCATGCTCCCTAACCGTGACAGGAGACTGTGGGAATCTCCCCCATTTGCGGTTGTCCGCATAGACGGCATGGCTATCTCTCCCTATCTATTTGGATCCGCTGAGCCTGCTCTCAGTAGCATTTTCATTGGTGGATGTTCACTTTTCGTACCGGGAATGGGCTGGCTTGCAGTACCTCGTACATGCTTAATGCGATCGTTATAATGCTTGGAGCTACACACCATTGACACATCATGAGGAGACACAGCGAAATACTGGATTTGCTCTGGAAAGGGTCCACCCAGTGGATTTTCTTAAGTGAGCTCAAGCCCCCGACCTCGCTCAAGATTCCTTCTTTCTACCTGACGCTCGCTCGCTCGCTATCACATCATACCATCTATTCCAGCTTAGACTAGGCAACTCGTGGGACTCTGGTCAGTCAATATGCACTTTTCAACATTGATTACGGCCTCACTAGCCGCTTCACCTGCTTTTGCAGAGATCTTGTACAGCGTCGTCGTCTTTACCAGACATGGCGACCGCACTGCCAAATTCTTCAAAGATTATGGCATGACAAACTTGGGTGCTACCCAGATGTACGAGTCTGGTGAGTACTATCGACAGCGATATGTCGAACAGGGTGCTTCCAACAAGATCCTGAACATCTCATCGGACAAGGCTACCACCAGTCAGATATGGGCATCCGCTCCTGACCAAGGGGTCTTGTATCAGACTGCGATGAACTTCCTGCAAGGTCTCTACCCTCCCCTCAACGATATCAACACCCAGCTTAGCACACAGACCTTGACCAATGGTACCGAAGTAACTTCACCCCTGAATGGCTACCAATTCATTCTGGTCCATGGCGAAGATACCACCACGCCAGACACAATCTGGATCAAGGGCGATGACCAGTGCCCGACGTATAACACGGCATATGACTCGTACCATGATAGTCCTGAGTACAAAGAGACGCTGAATGTTACAGCACCCTTTTATGAGTCCTTTGTCCCATTGCTGGGAGATATCATGGGACAGGAGAATGTCACATATGCCAACGCGTATGATGTGTTTGATCTCCTTAACGTTGCTTCTATACACAATGCTTCTGTTGCTGAGAATATCGAGGGTGCCGATTTGGACCAACTCCGTTACTTGGCAAATCACTGGGAATGGAACCACAACTACAATCAAACTATGCCAGACCGCTCCATTGGCGGTATGACCCTCGCTGGAGGAGCACTCCGTCAACTTCAAGATGTTGTCAAGGGCAAAGCAAAGGTCAAGTTCAGCCTCATGGCCGGCAGCTACGACACACAGATGGCCTTCTATGGCTTGACCAATCTGACTGCTGCCAGCCCCGATTTCTTTGGTCTACCAAATTATGCAGGCAGCATGGCATTTGAGGTCTTCAGTGAAGAGGACAATGCTACTGCATTCCCCGCCAACCCAGACACCGACCTGCGAGTGAGATTCCTCTTCAAGAACGGAACCACAGATGATGCATTGACAGCATTCCCTCTCTTCGGTGGATCTGAGCTGAGCCTACCTTACGGCGAGTTCGTCTCGGAGCTTTCGTCTCGCAGCATTGTAAAAGTTGAGGAGTGGTGCACATTGTGCCAGTCAGACGCAGGCTTCTGCTACGAAACTCTACATAACTCGGAATCATCCAACTCAGGATCTGGACCAACAGTCAGCGCTGCAAGTGGCAAGTCTGGACTATCGAACGCCGCTGCTGGAGGAATCGGTGCCGGAGTTACACTGGCTGTTGTCGGAATCATTGGAGCTTTGGCTTGGTTACTCACTCGACGAAAGAGGACCACGAACCCTGACCCAGCTGTTGCCTCTCCTGCGTACCATGCGGAGGAGAAAAGGTCGGATTCGAGTCAGAGTGAGATCTCCGTGTGATTTAGCTCCTCATCAAGAGGCGAAGGCACCATGACCCTCTTTTTCCCAGAGCTAGAAGCTTGCGAAGAGCTGTGCAACTACTGTCCTTTCCACAATAGCTTATATGTTATTACCTATGAATGTACCACAGAAAATTATAGCCGCAAGCGAAAGTGCTATGCGCGATGAGACAATAACCTCAAACACATAACAAAGAGCAATTAAGCTAGACACAAAGAAATGGACAGTTGTCGCTGTCAATATCGCCATCCTAGACACAAACTATCTTAAAAGCAGCATGATAGTTTGGCATCACGTGACTCAGTTCTCAGGGCAGCAAGGAAAATTGTTCTCGTTCAATTTGAACTTCTAAGTTCCCATGATTCTCGCATTTGACATTTAATTGTTCACGTACACAACGCATTCATGACCACGCACCACTATCCACAATCAACCATCTCATCGTCCGAGAAATGGCAGAAGTAGTCCAAGCCCGGACCATGTTCGCGCCAGCCTCACCGTCCAGGAAACGATCTGCGTCACCCGACCAAGATGCCGCCACCGAAACCACTAACAACGCCCTCACCACAAGGAACAACGAGTCCTCTCTGACCTCCTCTGAACCCCCCACCAAGAAAACAAAACTCATCCGGCGAAAGCGACGGCCAGCGCGCCCACAAGTCGACCCATCGACCATCAAATCCGAACCCCCACCACAAACCGGCACGATCTTCAACATCTGGTACAACAAATGGTCCGGCGGCGACCGTGAAGACGCCTACCTCTCCAAGACAGCCGCGCCCTCACGCTGCAACATCCGCAACGACTCGGGCTGGACCGCCGCAGACAAGACACCGGGAAGCTACTTCTGCCTGTTCTTCGCGCGCGGCCTGTGCCCTAAGGGCCATGAGTGCCAGTACTTGCACCGGCTGCCGACGGTGTTTGACGTCTTCAACCCCAACATCGACTGCTTCGGTCGCGACAAGCACAGCGACTACCGCGACGACATGGGTGGCGTAGGCAGTTTCATGCGCCAGAACCGCACGCTGTATGTCGGGCGCATCCATGTGACGGACGATATTGAAGAGGTTGTGGCCAGACATTTTCAGGAATGGGGCGAGATTGAGCGAACGAGAGTCCTGACGGGCCGGGGCGTCGCTTTCATCACGTATGTCAACGAGGCGAATTCGCAGTTCGCGAAAGAGGCCATGGCGCACCAGGCGCTGGACAACAGCGAGATCTTGAATGTGCGGTGGGCGACGGTCGATCCGAATCCTCTGAGTGCGAAGCGCGAGGCCGCCAGGATCGAAGAGCAGGCTGCTGAAGCGGTCAGACGGGCGCTGGGCGACCGTGCAGTGAAACAGATTGAAGGACGAGAGACGAGGGAAGAGACGGACCAGAGAAAACTCGAGTCCAGCTACGGTCTGGAAGGCTACGAGGCTCCAGAATCAATATGGTACAACCAACAACAAGGCCGCGCGCTGGAAGGGCAGAGATTGGGAGAGACGGGGCTTCTGGAAGCACACCCTCTGCAACCAGGCCAGGATGGCGGGGACTACTCTGAGCACGTGGGCAACGGCCAGCAGCATACGGGTACTTCTACGGGCATTACGGAGAGCAGCGGTGGAGGTGGAATCCTTTCGGGCTCGACACTGGCTGCGTTGAAAGGCTACGCGGCTGCGGGTGGACGGACACAATCTCCCAGCACGCAGCCGGCGAAATCGGCGGCTTCTGGAGGTCTTTTGGTCGGTTATGGCAGCGATGACGATAGTGATTAGTTTGGGCCATCACTCAATGGAAATGATAATCGTTTTGAATTCGTTCTAAGGGTCTCGTTCGCGACAGAGAATCTTGTCTTCGTGGCATGAATCTCTTCTGTGTAATCTCCACGAAGAAACACGGTGTACGAGCTTTGCCTTTCTACATGTCTTGATTTCTCCAGCACGTGGGAGTCCAAAGCCACAACCACGACAACCTAGTCATGTGTCACACACCACACATCAGACATCACATATCACAACTCGCTATGCTTGATGCCCGCCTCCTTACTCAGGTCCGGCATGCGCATAATAACAACCACCAGACTAGTCCAGCCGGTGAAATGCTGCGTCCTCTGCCCATGCCCAGTCTCGGGATTATACTGTTCCCACGCGAAGCCCGTGCGCTCCCACTCATCAAACACATTCGTGACGAGATTCGTGCGCAGCTCGGTGTAGATCTTTGCAGCTTCGGTCTTGACCTTCGTGGGCGCCGAGGGGGATTGCGCGACCGCCAGCAAGTTCTTCAGGATCAGGTAGTTCATGTTGACCCATATGGGGGAGCGCCAGTAGTTCTCGTCGGTGCCGTAGAAGGGGGAGGATTTCGACAGCGAGCGGACTCCATATGGTGACCAGAGATGTTCGGGGTCGTAGATGAGGGTGAGGATGTGAGGGAGGTTAGGGTGTGTGGGGGCCATGAGGCCTGTCATGAAGGGGAACAGACTCACGTAGCCCTTGTGGCAAACGTGTACGGAGTCTTCGTAGTCATCGATTGTGGCATCGCAGTAGGCTTTGTGTTCGGACGACCAGTGTAGGTCGTCGATGTTGTGGAGGATTGCTTTGTGTTGAGCGCTGAAATCGGATGCGTCATCGGGGTTAGACGTCAGGGGAGCGAGGCGCGATAGCGTGCTTGCCATCAACCCGACCCAGGAGATTAGGTCGGTGTGCAGCTCTCCTGGATGTGGTGGCTGAGGGCGTGGATAGTCATCGAGGCCGGATGTGAGGATGTGCTGTGGTGTGCGGCCTCGCCAGCGGTAGGCTTCTTTGGTGGAGAAGGCTTCGCGGTCGTAGGATCTAATATCACCGAATTGCGTCTTGCGGAACCAGTAGTACTGGCGCTTGAGCAATGGATAGAGGTGCTGAAGTTCCACCTTGACTCGGTCCGCATCTGTGGCAGAAAGAGAGCCAGATTCCAGCTTGTCGATCAGAGTGTCGATTATGAGAAAGAGGGTGGGCGGATTGGCGTAATGAGGATATTGGACCTGGAACTCGGGTGGGACTTTACTCCGAGCCTCGAGTCCAAGAATTTGCTCTCTAGCGATCCACCCATCACTGTCAATCAGATTGAACCATGACTTGACAATGTCGATTGTGATATCAAGATCCCATTCAATGATTGGAATGAGATGAAAACCCTCGTCCCATAAAAACCCACGAGGGAAAAATGGACGTGACGGTACGCTTGTGAAGAGTTCGACAGCAGGATCATTGACCACTTCTGCTTTTGCTCGAGCTTGAGCAGTTTCCTCCCAGAAGCCTTCATTGTCCTCGTCGTATTCTGAAGCGTACGAGCGGTCTACTAGAGAGTCGCCGTAAAAGTATCCAATACCGCCAAATAGATTCGAGAACAAAGATTCCGAGAGAGAGGTGAACTTGGAGTCCGTGAAAGGCGCCAATGGCTTGAAGATCTCCTTGAACTTGGATTGGAAGGACTTGGATGTTTTGGAGATTGCCTTTGTCAGGGTTTCAGACGTGACCTTAGGCCCAGAGTCCGAACTGAAGAGTATGTCAAATTCAAAAGCACCAACGAACACTTTCTGAACCATATGAAAATTGCCTGGACCAGGATCCTGCATAATGGTAAACGTCTGCCACGGAGGAGGCATATTTTCTTGACCATACTCCTGCACAAAAGTGTCGACCTGTTGCTTCAAGCTGGCGAACATGATGTTCTTAGCTTGCCAAATAGCTTCTGGCGGTATTTGCACACTGCCCATGAGTGGTCGATCGACCGGTTTCTTGTCCCATGCTGGATGAGTTTTGTATGGCAGTAAATTTTCCGGTGATTCAGTGAAAGTCAAGTCGAACTCACCCAGATCAGTTGTCTGGCCGTGTATGGTAACAAATCCTTCAGAGTCCGGCTCGTCAGAAGTGAAACCAAGCTCTCCTAGCCCTTCCATGCCAGCATAGAAGACCAATGTCGTAACCAAAGTCGCGGGTGCATCCTCACGAGGTACACCCTTGACTCTTGCGGCCCAACTACCACCATGTTCACCCCCAGGGACCTTGACGAAGTCAATCGTCAGGTCTATTTTGTTCCCTGTGTCATGTATAACCTCACGACCCCCATTGCGGGCATCGTACTCTTCCCAACCATAGCCAGCCATACCTTCATGTTGCTCGCAGGTGTGACGGAAATTGGTTTGAGCCGATTGATAATTATCTGTATTCGCCCACAGGAGGCCTGTGGTCAAGCTCTTTGGGAGCCTCGGTCTTACGCCGAAGTACAGGTTCGGCCTGTATGGTCCCCATAATAAAGAGGCGTTGGACGCTGCGTCGGAGGCATTGGTGAGATCAGCCCACAGGAAGAACAGAGCACAGACGGCTAGCAGAAAGCTCCATCGCCATAATAAGCCTCTAGAAGAGGGCGCCATGTCGTTCAACAATGGTTTCGCTAGACTTGTAAAGTTTGGGGAAGTGCGTAGTATTTCTCGTATGTTGATCGTGCCAGTGGGACTTTTTGATACATGTGGCCTTGTCCCAAATGATACGTCATGCAAGAGCACTCAGTACGGCGAAGCAGTCGAGGGGATTTTACGGCGGAGTATATGACTCCTCACGCATGACGATAGAAAGGGAGACAGCCTCGTGAACAACGCCACAAACACAGGGCGTTCCATTGTCGGACTCTAAAGAAGTCGTCATCGTCTAACCATAGCGGCCACGCGGATGCTTGTTGACAATCTACTTGTTAGTTGCAACGACACGACACGCAGCATCAAGAGTCACTTTGGGCACAATGGATACTGGAAGGAAAAGTCACGACAGACACAATCGGCACAAAGCTCCCATTAAAACTATCTACTTGCGTCGCAAGTTGCGACGAAGGAACGCCACCAGATCAACAACCCTCACCTCGTCCTCCTCCTTGGAGGGGCTCCTCACCTTCAACGCACGGTCTCCTGCGCCACTGCGCACGAGGACCACCCAAAACCCAACGTTGTTGTCCTTGGACAACGACTCCAACTCCTCAAAGGAACAGCATTCTTCTGACAATTCGGCACTGATGCCGGCGGCCCACAGGGTCGACACAAGGTCGACGCACGTTGTTCTCAACGTGCCCTGGTCAAAACTGGTGACAATTATGTCACACCGGGCGAGCGCTGATGCCGCTCTGGCATCGATGCCAGCAGAGCGGGACCCCTTCCCACCGAGGAGGGATTGGACTTGCGTCCTTGTGTAGCTGATCAGCTCAGACACGTTGAGTCTGAGGCCGACACCTCGGATCGAACCTCGTTCGTGCTTGGTCTGGTACTCCGCGATGAGTGCGTCGTACCTCCCGCCCACAACGAGCACCTTCTTGGTGCTGGTCTCGATGCACTGAAAAACAATGCTTCCTCGGTAGAGTTGCTCTGAGTTGTTGCTCAGAGGAGCAATTCGAATTTCTGTTTGTACGTTCATTCTCTTGATGAATTGAACGAGTTCTTCGAGACGAGTCAAATGAGGATGTGCTCTGCTGAGGTGTTCGCTTTCGCCCAATACCTTGGTGAGTTGTTTCCGAACTTCATCGAGAGAACCTTCAAAGTTGAATTTAGAGAGGTCTGACACACATGTTTCTGGGATATTGAGAGCTGAGCCACGCAACTGTTCACGAACTTCTTTCCATGTGACATTCCCTACGTTCAGGTGAGAGAGTGCCTGCTTCACTTTCGCGTAGCTGGAGTATTTGATTCGGCAGAAATCCAGGATGATATCCAGTAGATCGCCATGGTTTAAATAGATGATCCAAGATCGGATTGCCAGTGCTGAGAATTCGAGCAAAACCTCATCAAGAACTTTGATCACCTCTGCTTCTTTGATGTTCAAGTCTCGAGCGTTGTGGGAAATGAAGTCAAAATCGACCTCTGGTACTTGTATGGGTTCTTGTCCTGGCGCGGTGGCACGGTATACTTGACCAAAGCAGAAAGTCTTATTGTAACGACAGCGTGTCTGTCCAAGCGATCGCGCAAGTGGAAGGGTAAGATCAGTTGGCAGTTGAACAACAAGACCAGCAGGATCAATGAATGTGGCAGCCTTTTCATAAGAATCTGCTTTGGGAAATATTCCTGGTCGGGTTTGTTCAGTAGCTCCGTGGCGACGGAAAATGTCTCGCAATTGATCACCCATAGACATCAATAGCATTGAGCTTCCAGGTGTAACTCCAACGGCGTTTTTGTCTTCCCAGGCAAGATTTGAGACTGCACTGTTTTTATGGTTGAACAATTTGGTGACCCAAGACTGATATTCTGCAGGATTGTCTGCTGCAACTCTGTCAATGTATCGTTGAAACTTCTCATCCTCCAAGGGTTCAGGGATCAAATCGCTGACCAAAAGTTCCGCTGCCTGAGGGCGAAGATTCACTTTGTGTTGCACCAGTTTGAGAATAATCTCACCCTGCTTGCGGTACGGTTCGTCATTGAACAGTGCGGGAAGGGTCGGTTTTGGGTTTCTCAATGCGGTCAACAGTAGTGATCTCTCCATATCTGATGTGAAAGGACAGCACATCTCAAAGAACATGATACCGAGTGAATACATATCTGCTCTTGCATCATATTTGCTACCATGTTGATAGAGTTCTGGTGCAGTATAACCTTTTGTCCCGACTCCAGTTGATCTTCCAATAGTCATTCCCGCATCAGCCTGCTCTGCTTTCGACGTTGCTTGACCAGTTGTCGCAAGTCCAAAATCGCCTATCTTTGGGTTGTCATGAGCATCAAGAAAGACATTGGCCGGCTTTAGATCTCGATGAACCACGCCGATACTATGGACGTGAGCGAGACCTTCGAGAATGCGTCGGAACAAGCGCCAAACCATATCCGGATCGCGATGCAAACCTTCGTCAATACGATTGTGCAGAGTTCTCTTGTCGCAAAGCTCCATCTGAATGTAAAGCATGGCCTTCTCTGGAATTTTCACTGGTGGAGTAGACGGACGTCGAAAAGGGTGCATAGAACGAGGACCAGAGGAGTCTGCAATAGCCCCTCCTTGGGATGAAGATGCAAAGGGGTTTGTATCGGTGAACTCTGGAGAGGTGATGTCCTGATCGGTTGGTGGTTCTGGATCAGTGCCAAAAACATCGTCCTCATTATCCCAGCCATCTTGCGAGTTTGCTGCTGGAGGAGTCTGATAACCAAACAAATTGCCGTTACTCGAATCACTGAACTCAGCGCCCTGGTTGCGGTAGATGGAAGGCTCCATAAAGTCGTGACCAGTACTCAAGGGCATTGCTTGTCGTCTGGAGACTGCTGTTTGCTGAGTTTTGGTGGAAGGGCGTGGTCGTTCCAAGGACAGATTATCGTTCTCAATCCAGGAAGTGTAGTATCTCACAATGTAGGGATGGTTGAGCTTCGCTAGCAGTGTAACCTCACCAACAATATCGTTGAGTTCTTGTGGCGAAGTGCTCTCAATGACCTTGACAGCATAAAACTGGCCATCAAGCTTTTGGCGTGCGCAATAGACATTACCAAAACCGCCTTTCCCGAGTTTCTCGATTTCTTCCCATTCGGTATGATACTTGCTGTCAGTCTTGTTGCTCTGTCGTCTCTGGCGCAATGGAGTTCCTGGTAGATTCGGTGACTCTCTTCGAAAGATCGCTTCATGTGTCTTCCGAAAGAAATCTCTATGAGACAATTCGAACGCTGTTGGCCGCTTAGCGGGGTTGTGCTGGAAAAGGTGCTCCAGTAATTTCTCAGAACTTTCCTCCAAGTCGGTGCCTTCCAAAACTTGTAGCGGAGAGGTGTACATCTCCTGAAAATTATTGCCGAGCGCCATTTGCACAATAACTTTTCCAAGATCCCAGATGCAGGTTCTATTTGTGCGTGTGGGGTTGCTACCATTCAATTCTGGTGCAATCCACAGAGGTGAGTCTCCTCCAACGACGGCGGCAGGGTCACGGGCTTTGTTGACGAGATCTCTAAGCTTTGTACCGTATCCATCTGACAATTTCACAGTAATGCCACCACTTGGAGAAAGGAAGATCAATATATTCTTCGCGTGAACAGCAGGATGAACATAACCTTGCTGATCGAAGAACATCAATGCATCCACGAGTTGGCGAGCCCAAGATCGAATCTTGTTTGCGTTGAGTGGACCCGAAAGCTCGAGTAAGTCTGACAACGATCCTTTGTTTGCGTACTCAGAAAGTATTGCAAGATTCCATGAGGTTGAGCCGTCATCAAGATTGACGTGTTCGATTCGGTAGTTGACAAGATCTACAACATTCTGGTTGCGATGTTCTTTGGAAGACTCAAGAAGCTGTTCGATCTCTTCCATCCATTTGTGCATATCCTGTTTGGCGGCGATCGACTCGGGAATGTAAATTTGTTTCAACAATAATTGTGGAGCCTGGACTGCATTTGCATCCACTCTGGGAGCAACGATGGTGACCTTCTTATCTTTTCGTTTAAGAATGACACTCCTGCCAGCGACTGCTTTGAACTTGAATGGGAGGGTAGTCACCATGTCTCGAGCAACCATTGACTGATCGAATGTGACGGGTTCTTCCGGGGCGTCATAGAGGTTGGCATTATCTTCGGCAGTGGATTTCCTCGAAAGTGTCGATTTCTGACGGCGTTGCTTCTCACTTTCGACCTGGGTGACAAGAAGGTTTTCCTGCTTCTCGGCTTCATCGGCTTTTTGCTTTCGAGCCAATTCCTCTCGTTCTTGCAACATCTTCTTCTCCTTGGCTTCTCGTGCTGCTCGTTCTTCTTCGAGACTGAACTCCGTCTTGCTAGCTGCTTTGGCGATGATTGTCTCATCCAGAAGATCCATTATGGCATTGTTGACCTCGTAAACGGATTCGCTTCCACGATGTAGACCGGGGTATGTTGAAATGATGTGGTTGAGTTGCTTCTTAAGATCTGGGTCGTCAGGTTGTACTGCCACAATGTCGATCTTGGGAATGACTTTCGGGTACTCTGGTGGCAACTCAAATATAAGCTTGACAAAGTAATCATTGTCTCCCAAAGGGCCAATTCGGACTTGAAAGGCTAAGTTCTCTCGGGTCTAGGGTTTGGTTAGGACAAGGGGTGACTTCAACTCGCCTCACTTTCAGACTCACCTGCCAGGCATTCTTTCGTCCATGGACCACTTCGAATTCATCGGGGTAGATTGCTCTCGTTGTGAGGAACTCGTTACGTTGGACTTCAGGATAACCTGCAATTTCTTCTTCAAGTTCTCGATGAGACCTTCCGAAGGATGGCTCTGCCATGTTTGCTGGTTCAGGTTTTGCAGCCTGAGGGGTGTGATTTTTGTTTCGCTTTCGTGCGGGCATGGTGAAAGATCGGCCAAAGAGCGCGTTGCCTTCTGAGTAAGGAAATACTAGATGAATTCCTTTGTTGTGATCGAACTCTCGGCGTCATCCCCAACGAGGGGTAATTCTGCCTAAGTCTGTCGCAGCGTTAGCTGCGACTACCTACACCATGCTTGTTGTTCTTAATCCTTGTCGTCAATTGTTGGTGTTGGGTACAAAAGAAGTGAGCAATCGTGAAGCCTGACTCACAAGGCAGAGGCTCTCAGGAGGCCAAGACTTTTTTCGGAACGGAAAAACACAGTGGCCGACTGCTTTTCACAAACCTCCACTCGAACGTCCAGTTCGTCGCCTCTTTCTCTGGCTCAAACCATCAAGCAGGGCAGCGGGTATCTGTTAAATCTTGTTTCCAGGCTCTTGAAAGTAGAGAGGCGTTCCGGTTTGTGCCTCTGCAGCCTCTCAATCCAGGTAGATTTGTTTGGCACTTCTTATCTACCGTTTTTAGCCCAACACTACCGATTGCCTTCGACAAGATGGTGAATATCACTGAGAAGATCAAAGAGTACGGCACCGATCTTTCCAAATGCTTTTATCTCGAGTCTGATGCTTCAACAGGATCGAGGCCGAAATGGCCCGAACTCAAAGTGGGTTCCTGCAGGTTATCGTAGACTGGCAGTCCAGATACTGATAAGTTGCAGAAAACAAAGCCACAGGTTTGTCTAGTTTCGAGAGATATTGCTCTACAACTCTGACGAACGCATTTCAGAATATCATCTCGGATTGTTGAAAGGGTGAGCGTTTGATATCCCTTGTCGTACAAGTCTTTGCGTGTTTGCTCAAGAAGGACAGAAGAGCTGCTCGTGAACAATCGTTGGGCATGTGCTCTCCCCACGTGACCTAAAATCACGTGCATCGCTCCTTTCCTGATGACAGGCAGACTATGTTTGGCAATGGGCTGCTTGAGCAATATCAAAAGGGCCATCTTTCACAGCCTCGAGACTAACTCCAAATCCTAGAAAACTTGCTCGACTTCGGGCACAGCTTCTGGAACCGGCCCCTGGTGCAGGCTCTGGTGGCGGCGCAGGCTTCGATGTGTCCAAGTCTGGCGATGCCAGAATAGCGCTTGTCGGCTTCCCATCAGTGGGGAAATCAACTTTCCTATCAAAAATCACCAAGACCAAGTCTGAAGTTGCGGCATACTCCTTCACAACCTTGACAGCCATCCCTGGTGTCCTTGAATATGGGGGAGCAGAAATTCAGATTCTTGATCTTCCGGGAATCATCGAAGGCGCTTCGGAAGGCAAGGGTCGAGGACGACAGGTTATTAGTGCGGCAAAGGTACGTCTAATACAGATACTTCCATGCTGAGCGGGCAGTCTGACGGTATGGGAATCCCAGACATCTGATCTGGTACTCATGGTCCTCGATGCGACAAAACGCATCGAACAGCGTGCCCTCCTCGAAGCCGAACTGGAAGCCGTGGGGATCCGACTGAACCGCTCTCCACCCAACATCTACCTCAAAGCGAAGAAGGCAGGCGGCATGAAAATCACCTTTCAATCGCCACCAAAGAACCTCGACGAAAAAATGCTGTACAACATCCTACGCGACTACAAGATCCTGAACTGCGAAGTGCTGGTGCGCGACGAGAATGCCACGGTCGACGACTTCATCGACGTCATCATGAAAGACCACCGCAAGTACATCAACTGCCTGTACGTGTACAACAAGATCGACGCCGTGAGTGTGGACTTCCTGAACGAGCTGGCCCGAGAGCCGAATACAGTCGTCATGTCGTGTGAGTTGGATCTGGGTATTCAAGATGTCGTGGAGCGGTGCTGGGAGGAGCTGCGGCTCATCAGGATTTATACGAAAAGACAAGGTATTGAACCGGACTTCAGCGAGGCGTTGATCGTCAGGAGTAACAGCACCGTTGAGGATGTCTGTGACCAGATCCATCGTACGTTGAAGGAGACGTTCAAATATGCGCTGGTATGGGGTGCCAGTGCAAAGCATGTTCCGCAGAGGGTCGGATTAAGTCATCTCGTCGCTGATGAGGATGTCATTCAGGTGGTCTCGGCATGGAAGGCGTAGGACGTGGACCGGTAATATATCTACTTTTGCCATGACCACGCTCGCAGTTTTGAAAGAGACAAAGGCCGAGAAGATTCCAGCTTACAGCAGGGCATGATACATGAAAACCCACGAATACGAATGAAAGTCCTTGCTCTAAGGTCGCTTATCTTTTCCCTGTGTTCTATCTCCTAGCATGTACTCATCTCCTCTGAACCCACACAACCCCATTCACCCCATTGCACACATAGCTAGTATCAACACCCAGCCCTCTTTGGATCCAAGCCCGCGACACGTGCAGACCTGGCCTCTCCATCAAACACAAACTCACTCATGAGCATCCCCGTCGCAGGACCATTCTGAATACCCCAACAAGTATGTCCCGCGGCAAGGAAAACGCCATCCCGCTTCGTCCTCCCCACCAATGGGCCCGCCACCGCCCCCTCGACCTGCGGCAGATAACATGCCTGTCGCACGGTGACGTCGCCGTCGCGGATCTCATCCGAGAAACTCGCGCAGTAGTCGATGATATCCTGACAGCGGGCGTCGTCGACGGCCACTTCGGCGGTCGAAGCCGGCAGCGGGGCGAGGTGGTCGCCTTCGCCGCACGCGTAGATCTCGCCTTTCGGGCGCGCGTAGATCTCCGGGGTGACGGTCATGGCGCGGGAGGGCGAGCCGGTCTTGAAGTTCTTGGGGAGGGAGATCGACGTGAATAGGCAGTAGGCGGACACTGGGCGCGTGGGCTTGATGGTCACGCTGTGGGCACGCAGCGAGCCGATCGGCGCCGAGGGCAGGATCGTCGACGTCCATGGCCCGGCGGTCACGATCACGTCGGTTGCGGATAGTTCTCGTGCTGTGCCCGTTGCTTTGTCCGTGTATTTGACAGTGTGCGTGTGCGTTCCTCCTTCGGAGGAGTGGCAGGCATCGTCGATGATCTCCGTGGCAGATCCGAGGATCACATTCAGTCCTTTCTCCTCTGCCAGCTGCACCATGCTCGTGGTGAACTGGTAGGGATGGACTTGGGCCGTGTCCTCTGGCGACCCCATACTCTCGTACGCCCGCACCGTCTCGTCGGCAACCCAGTCCAAGTCATCGGGGAGCCCGGCCTTGCGTAGCCGTGCGTACGACTCTTTGCTCCGCTTCTGCAGACTCACACGTGCATTCACGTCGACGTTCCCGTCACTTGAGACATCGGGGCGATGCAAGCCTCTGGTATCTTCTCCGTGACCCTTCCCACCATTCACACTCCCACCTTTCCCCTCTCCATCGACCTTTCGCCCCACCAGGTCAATCGACCCAACGCCCACGCCGCGATATCCCCAGCGCTCGGCGCCGCCGTGTTCTCGCGCGAGCTCGGCGTGCAATTTGAAACTCAAGGGGACTAGACATGATGGGTAAGCCCACAGGGCGAGTAGTCCGCCCGCTTTGCCTGACGCGCCACTTGCGATCGCAGTTGCTTCGATCAGGTGGATTTTGTGTAGTGCTGGATTGTAGGCGGCATGGCGGGTTAGATAGTAGGCTGTTGTGGAGCCGATTATGCCGCCACCGATGATTACGATTGTCTTCTGTGGTGGGTTGGTTGTCATCGTTGGACTGTACTTTCAATTTTATGTGGGGGTCAATGGGTTCAAGATGGTGGAATATAAATTCGAGGAATCAAGAGGTGGGGAAGTGGCGAGAGCGATGACGATGACGACAAGTGTCTTGCACGACTATTGATCATGCAAATAACCCCATGGCCACAGTTGATAAATAGGTATGGATGGTGCGAGAATGAGAAGTATAGAATGTCATATATGATATTCGCAGAAATAATGTTCGCCTCGCATAGTCGAGGCCAAAAAATCTAGGTTTGAAAGTATGATACAATTATTTCAGCGTGTCGTGGTAATATCTCTGACGGGTTCACTGACTACAATACCTGGGCAATTAGCTCATGTAGGAAGGCTCTAGAATTTAACTATTTCCATAGTCTAGAGCATCGATGCGTTGCTTGAGAGTATTGAGGACTATATACTGATTTTCAGCAGCAAGAGAACAGACTAAAAATTCATCATTGATCTTGAATGCTCCTAGCAATACATTTGTCAATCTCATCAACTCAATCCAATTCCCCAGGCCTCCATGAAGACCGAGGATAAAACATCTGGTGTGTTAATTGACTGGGTCATCATTCCTACGAGTGGGGAGCAACCAGAAGCGGAGAACAATCCGTTGTGCGATTAAGTCCGATATCGATGTGAGTGAGATATGAGAGGGTAACCTGATGATTGATCCGATTTTAGACATCTTGTCATAGTTGCAGCACGTATAGACTTGTGGTATACACATAAACCCCTTGCTCCCAACCTTGAAAGTCGCATAATCACACATCTAGTCAGACTTCGTGCTCGAGGTTTTAATTGTTGCAACTTGATGTGCGAAGCTCAACCCTTGGGTTGGCCAGTATTCACGGGCATTCAAGCACGGTATGTTGCTGGCTCTTCCCAGGTATATGCTTCAGGTCTGCTCCTATGGGTAAACACGGTTCATTGGATGCCATGATAGGAGAAAAGTGACCATGCTCATGCCCATAACCTCAAGCCACGAGGGCACGATCCACTGGGTTATGGCAGGTCGTAGTGGTAGATTGTTGAGGCGGCCATGGAAAACTGACCCACTGAGGTTCAGTCAACGAGATCAAGGGATGAAACCTCTCCTTGAGCCATATCGTCCCTTTCCACCCCTCGACTCAGCTCGTATGTGAAGACAGTGAAGTCCGAATACGTCAGCATGAGTCTGTAGCGACGACTATTTTCAGTTGTCTCCCAAGATTCGGCGTGAGCAGGAATGGTCCATTTTCGGTATTCTGAGGAATATTGTGAAGGACGAGCACCCTTTCCTGTAGGTGAAAGCCTCTTACGCTTTGCACGCCTCGCTCCTCGTGAGCTACTCTCTGCTTCGTCTTCGTCACTAGATCCGAGGTTTTCACTTGATCCATGGTCTCGATCCTTTAGGCCTAGCATGACTGGATCAAATGTGATGGACACGCCGTCCAAGACCCCATCGCTCCCCCAAGTGATGCTATCGTCGGCATCAGGGCTCTGGCTCTTCCGCTGCTCGCTAGTTCTACCCTGAACCGGTGAGGTCGCAATGCCAAGTAATGGTCTCACGGGTCGCAACATCTTGGATTCTTGTTTCCTTGTTGGTAGTATCCAGTCAACACGTAGTCCTAGGGTCCCTGTCTTGCCGTTTCTGGTCAATGAACAAACAGCACATCTGCCAATTTGAGAGGCAACGATGACAATTCCCAGTTCGGGGATTTGCTGGATTATGTTGAGTCTCTCGAAATTTCCTAGACCCCCTCTCTCGATGATGGGAGGTAGTGCTTGCTTTAAAATGTTTGCGCAAAATAGATGTGGTGACTGCGCGTCTGGGCCGCGCAACATCCTCAAGTTTGAAGCACTGCAGTGAAGCAGAGGAATATCGGGTACTGTTGGATTTTCTGAATTCCTGCGCGTCCGCGGCCTTGGTATGGTTGTAGCACTTGAGACAGGACCCTTTCTTGGACTTCCAACCTCAATTGAGCTGACTGAGGTTGGAAGGAGAAGTACAGCATCATCTTCAACAACTTGTTGATTTTGCTGTGCAAGGCTCGATAGAGAGGTTATACTACGATGATCCGATGATGACAAGTCCTCGGTCAACTCATCCGAGCTTGATTCGCGTTGATTTTCGTCCCCCTCCCCGGACATGGAGTCGTCCTCATGAACCTCAACCATCGTCAAAACTGCAGGATCTTCAGTATGGTCGCTTCCAATCGAGGAAGCAGGGATAGAGGAGACAAATGAAGAGTTGGTAGCTTGGCTATTCTGAAAGGCAATGGGCTCAATCGGGTTGGAGCCCAGCTGATATGTAGGAAATCCATCTGTATCATCATCAATAATATCATCGGAATCAGACCAAAAGTCCGCTGCTTGTTCGGAATCAGCTAGATCGTCCGAATCGTCCGAGTTCTCGACCATGAGAGGATGAGCATGACTATTACCGGGAGTTCGGAGTCGTACGATATTTGTGATATCGTAGCTCTCGGTACCAGCATGGCCATGATAGGAAGGAGCTCTGGAATGACCGCAGAATTCTTCCATTGAGCGAGCAGTGCGGAAGCATCGGGAATCCAAGGCAGCAACAGCCCAACCGCCCTCGCGGCGTCTTAGCCAACCAGCACGGATATTCTTCTCGGCAAAATTCCAGTCTTTATGACAGAGACCTCGCCAGATTTGCCAGACTTTGGTATTGCCGTCAATATCTGTGCTTATTAGCCATTTACCGCGCAAATCCTGTTCGGTATTGACAAAAGCCACGCTTGGTATGTTTGCATCATGGCCTTCAAGACCAGCGAGTGTGATTTTGTAGTTCTTGTCTCGAGGCGGGGTCTCAATGTCATCAAACACGTCCCACTCATGCCATTCAAGATATTGGTCAGTGTCATTATAATCGTCGTCACCATCAAGGGATGGTCCAGCAGGATAGTCCCCACCTGATAAGGCGAAAGCGAACACGGTAACCTTGGCACATGGATCATCCTTTGGGATGTGATGGGGAGTGTTGGCGGAGACCGCAATCATTCGAGCCCGAGTATGAATTGACAAACCCCAAGCCGATTCATAGACCCATTCGGAGAAGAACGGCCGAACATCAGTCAGATCACCTGTCGCGCTGGTGGTAAAGCGAAAGGGTTGCCTTCGAATGGCTTCTTCGATGGATTTGGTGTAGTAGGCCGTGATATTGCCCGAGTCAGTAGCGAGGAGTAGAATTTCTTCTGTGCCAAGATCATCAACTATCAGATGATTGATCGAATGAGGTCGGTGAAAATCAATATAACCCTGGGCATTTGGATTGGCTAGGGCCGGAGCAATCGCAAGTTGAGCCCTTCTCCCCATCCTTTGAAAGGGAAACTCGGGCCTGTAAACAATGACATTCTCGTTGGAAGCGACGAAGTAGAGATTGTATCTCTGAGATAGCGCGGTCAGATTATTCCGCCAATGTGATAAAGGGGGCGGTGTGTATATATCGTTCTGGGTGAATCTTGACCTTCCCGTCTCAACACTACCTAGTCCAATGTTGATTGATTGGAAAGATCTTGGGTCGACCTCCATAGCTCAGAAACAGGAGATACGGAGCTTGGACTGTAAAGTCTATTTCATAAGTTGGATAAGGGGTTTTTAGTGTAAACGAAGGGTGGCGTGGCTTCCAGAGCACGTCAATCCTCACACGAGTCCCCCACCTTGTGCTGCCTGTGGTAAGATATTGAATATCAGGCAATGGAACGATGCCCCGGAAAATGTCTCCGGGCACCCCAGGCCTGCAGGCAGATGCAGATTCTCCTGGCAGTGCTGGCTTAAATGCCTGGATAATGAAGAAGACGACAAATCGACAAACCAGCAGTTTGGACTATGATTTTCATTAAAGGCACCTTTATATATCGATGGTTGGCTGAGGTGTCACAAGCAGAGAAGCATCGACTATGTTCAGAAACCGGACGTAAGATGCGGGAACAAGCTGCAATAACCGAAATCGAGGTGTTCAATTGAACGGAGTCAGATGGAGGAGATGATGCAGGCGCAGTCCATTGAGCCGTTATCTCAACAGGGGCCCTGATGTCGTCTGTTGACAATAAAGAATAAATATGTGAGATGTTGGCGTTGGTGTGGGTGTCTGATAGTTTAGTGGTGGCCTTTGGAACTCATCAATCACCAGTGGCACCTGTAACCTGAAGAGAAGATTACATGTCAACTCATCAACATACACACCCCTCTATCCAAGGCCTGTAACTTTCCACGAGGGTGTCCGAGGTCCCAAAGTCGACGAGGGGTCGAGCAAGAGGATAAGGGGAACCCACAATACCTGCAGGAGGTGTTATGCAGATGGACCAAAGAGTTGGGCTGTTCGTGTTACCGGGGGTTGAGATCGAGCGTCTTAAATGGATCCTCTGAAGCCTCGGAGACGCCGCTAATGACGCATCGTCAACCGGGGTTCTTTTCCATCTCAGTCTTTTCCATTCTTCAAACCAACACGTCCCCTGGAGACTACGAGTACACAATATCAACGGGGTATCCATGTGTTGATGATTCCATCCCCAACCACTCACATCGCCGATACTTGCACTTTGTCGCTCGCATTGGCAACACAAATTCCATCCCCAGCTTTGGCATTGTCTGTTCAAGTCTCATCCACCAAACCCACCTGAGAGTCAACGCGACTCCAATTCACCTATCGCCCAATGCCCTTGGAGATTTTGAGAGATCAAGTTACACAACATCGCACTATTCCCGCTCTACATCTTTGATTGATCCAACCCTGATCTCACTTTCGAGTCTCTCGCCATGGATCTCCTAGCCACCGTTCGGAAGGAAGGCTCCCGGGGTGGTCGCGCCGACTTCAAGTGGTCCGATGTCCAGGCCTCCTCCCATCGAGAAAACTACCTGGGTCACTCCCTCATGGCTCCAGTCGGCCGCTGGCAGAAAGGCCGCGATCTCAATTGGTACGCAAAAGGCGACCAGGATGCAAAGGACAACCCCGACGAGGATCCTGCCGCAAAGGCTGCAAGAGAACGCAAGGAAGAAATAAAACGAGTCAAGGAGGCAGAGGAAGATGCCCTTGCAAGGGCCCTGGGTCTGCCGGTGGCCCCAAGAAACAACCCCAACATGGAGGAACTAGGCGGTCAACGCGAGGTTGGAAGGGTCTTGAAAGAGGCGGCCGGTGACAACGACGCTGCATCCTCGAGGGGCGTGGGATACGGCCGCCTTGCAGGGATCGACAACCCCAAAATGGACGGCACATCCACCGAACGCATCGAAGGAACCTCGGGCTCCAATGACAATGAACTTCAACATGCGCTAAGGGAGTACAAACGTAGACACGGTGAGCAGAAGTCTCATGGTGGTCGCCGGCGCAGAAGTAGAAGCCGAAGTCACGACAGAGAACACAGACATAAAAGAAGAAGCGAGGGTGACCGACATAGAGAATCACACAGAGACACAGAGAGGCACGGTGGGCAGCGATCCAGAAGACGGCGTTCGTTCTCGCCCGAGAGGCGGGATCGTGAGCGCTCGCGCTCCCCGAGGAGTGGAAGACAAGAGGAACATGGTCACCGCGACAGAGTCAGACATAGACCTTCTGAGCGTCAAAGCCGAGAAGCTCGCGGCCGGCATGATGACCGAAGACGACACGACAGGGATTGAACAATAAAAGACCATCCTAGTATTAATTCATATGCAGACCGAGCGATGCATCGAAAACATCGCTTTCCAAGTCTTTGATATCGATGTCAACCACACCCAAGCGACTGGCACCACCTCCTTGTTTGGTGATGTCAGCAGACACACTGGTCTCCACAAACTCCTCCAGCTCTTCGCTCACTGTTTTGAGCTTTTCTCGCACACTAGCCACTCCCTCCACGCCTACTATGTGACGCGCAGGTGGATTCTCATGTCCGCCGATAGCCGTCACTGCGTGGATGGTTTCTGCAATGAGCTTTTCGGTGTGACCCGCACTCAGTGGAGGATACATGCTGACCACTTCAGGACGACTGAGCAGCCACGGCCCACTCTGTCTCTCAGCCTCGGATGATGGGGATTGAATGTCAAACTCTGGTGGTGGTGGATGTTCTGCTCTGATGCCAGGTAGACGATTGAGCAGACCATCCAAAATGCCTCGAAACATGGGTGCCGTTTGACCGTAGTCCCTCGAATATTCTTTCATTGGTGGAGCGGATGTCACTTGGTTGGTCAAGATGCCGATTTCCACGCTGGGTTGGACGATGGTCAACTTGATATTGAACGGGGCAATTTCGTATGCGATGCTGTCGCAGAAACCTTCCAATGCCCAGTTTGAAGCACAATACATGCTCAATCCGGGAGTTCCAAGGTGGCCAGTAATTCCGGTGAGGACGATGATGTGGCCGTTGAGTTGAGACCGCATCTGAGGAATCACAGCTCTGATGATGTTCATGGGGCCGAAGAAGTTCCTCTCGAATTGGTCTCGCACCAGTGTCAAAGTGCGGTGACTTGCTCCAAGTTCTTCAATGGTGCCTATTACTGCTTCACTTGTGCAGCAAAACAGTATGTCCACCCCACGAAAGGTATGAACTCCTTCTGCAACCGCTGCCTGACAATGTGCAACATTCCTAAGTATCAAGTCAATATCCAAAACAGGCTTGCCTTGCAAAGGATTTCAATGAGTGACAACAATGAATGACTTCCAATAAAATCCCACAAACAGTTGTGATCTTACCTGATATCCAGCCCAACGACCTTCAGTCGATCCTTCCAGCCCGGACTCCTCCCCACCTCAGCTAGAAAGCCCTTGAACTCCTTACTCCGTGCCCCATCGTTCTCGAACTCTGCTTGAATGATCCCGGACACCACGTAGTCCCCATGACTGAGAATCTGGCGCGCGATGGATATCCCAATGGGCGAGTCGCCCGATGTCACCAACCAGACCCGCGGTGCGTTATGCGTGGGGAATTGCGGTGTTGGAATCGGAGCCGATCCATTCGCCATTGCCAATGCAGAGCCGCTGCTTCGATGTCAGGGTCTTGCCAATCATGGTCTGGGTCCAAGACCAGATATCATTATGCTATTCGATGGCGCAATGACGACTTGCAAGGCTGGAGATGTTTCCCCTTTAGCTTTGACAGTGACACGAGACGATGCGAATCTGAGAAGAGACGGCTTGAAACCGTGATCAGCTTTGCATGCATAATTGGACTGCCGTTGTCGGCTGTTGGAGGTCGAAATGCCGCCAAGCCGTGGACGGAACACCTCGGCTTCGGAGCAATGATTCCCCGACTCGATTGCGTCTTGGTTTGGGAAAAAGTGGCGGGGGATTTTGTGGTGTACCCAAGTCACTGCAGTAGTACTACCAGGAATTGGACTGCCACTCTGTCCCCTCGACCGACAACCTCTTCTTTCTACTTCCTCCGATCATCAAGTTCCTGGATAGCTAGCTTCACAGAAACAAGATGCCGGAAAATAGTGGTCGCGGGGCACCTGCTGCCGCAAATGGGCAGGAGGGAGGTGGAGGAAAGGTATCTATCCATTCCGCTTGACATGATCACGGTTTGATCTCGGTGCTAATCAAAGGCGTTCGCAGTCGATGTTCCAAACCATTGTTCAGGGCATCGCCATTTTCGCCGCCACCCAATTCGTTGTCAACCAGTTCTTCGGCTCCAAGACTGCGTCCACTAATGGAGGTTCTCCTGCCAGCAGCGTCGATTTCAAAGACCGACCGGATGCGACCGCCGTGGCCAACTATTCAGCAATCCCGTTGAACATTGTCCCCATCTGGCCTGAAGACAGCTCGCTCGATGTCAAGATTTACGTCTCATCGCTGAACACTCTTCCTGCCTTGAGCTCGCTCCCGAAGGATAGCTTGATCCTCGATGAGAAGGATTTCAAGCAGGGAGACTACAAGGACAGCCGCGAAATTGAGACTACGATTGCTGTTCCAAAGGATGTTCAACATAACGCTACTTTGTGGGCACATTTCTTCGTCGGGCTGACGGGGAGTGAGATCGATCCGAAGGCCAAAACATATGATCCGGCCAAGGCATATCACTTCCAGCGACCCTTGAACCACTACAACGCCAAGAAGAGAGTTCGCAAGTTGAAGAACTTGCTTGACAAGAACGCGGAGCCTGAAGAGGAGGTGGAAGAGCCCCAGGGAGTGCAAATCGCTTCATACTACCATCCGAATTTCACGTTGGCGTTGATACCCAACACTGGGACCCAAGCTTGGCGGCAGATGCATCCTGCCATCCGGAGCAATATTGTTTTGGAAGGTAGTGGTGCACGAGATGCATCGGGTCAGAATGGATGGTACTATCCTGTTTTCTACCTGAACACGTTTTGGCAATTGCGATCACATATGATGGAACTTAACGACACGGTCACCGAGGTGCCTCTGAAGTTCAAGTTGTACAATTTGGTCAATTGGCAATATTCGATGCTGGCCAGCATTGATGATTCGATGAAACAGCAGCAACAACAGGCGGCATTTGGTGCACCGTCACCGACTGGTGGAGATGGTAGCGAGATGGAGAAGTTCAAGGAGATCTTGCTCGACACGAATTCGTATCTACTTGGTACGACATTTGTCGTTAGTATTTTCCACATGGTCTTCGAAGGACTTGCATTCAAGAGCGATATCGCACATTGGCGGAAGAAGAAGGATGTGATTGGCACATCTGTGCGGACCATCCTTGCCAACGTGTTCATGCAGGCCATCATTTTCTTGTACCTGGTCGACAATGCCGATGGGACCAGTTGGATGATTCTGGCAGGTCAAGGGTTTGGTATTCTACTGGAAGCGTGGAAGATCACCAAGACGGTGGATGTCCGCCTCCGCGAACCAGGACCAGACTCGTCGTTCAAGTTCCTGCCTTATGTTATCACCTTTGAGGACAAACACAAATTGACCGAGAAGGAAAAGCAGACGCAAGAGTATGACCAAATCGCGTTCCGGTATCTCTACATTGTGGCCATTCCGCTTCTCGGGGCGTATGCTGTGTATTCACTGGTGTACGAAACGCACAAGTCATGGTACAGCTTCGTGATTGAGACACTGGTGGGCAGCGTGTACGCGTATGGATTCTTGATGATGGTGCCGAGTCTCTACATCAACTACCGGTTGAAGTCTGTGGCACACATGCCGTCCAAGGCGATGACGTACAAGTTCTTGAACACGTTCATTGACGATCTGTTTGCATTTACGATTCGAATGCCGACGTTGCATCGGCTGGCCACATTGAGAGATGATGTGATTTTCTTCATCTGGTTGTATCAAAAGTACAAGTATCGGGTTGATTACTCTCGAGTCAATGAGTTTGGGCAGGGGGGTGACAGCGATGACGAGGGCGAGGGAGCGGAGAAAGTTGAGGGAGATGGTGAAGGTGTCAAGAAGGCGTTGGACCAAGACACGAAGCTGTTGAAGCCTAGTGCTCCGGTGGCTAGTGCTACGGGGGCGGAGAAGAAGGCGGGTGCGAAGAAGAGGAAGTCCTGATGAGGGTGGGTTGTGGGTGGAGGATTGAGATGACTTGGGTGTTTGGTTACCTAGGTCGGGGAAAAGGCTGGCTGCCACTGGCAAGTCATGATATGCATATAATGTGTTGGATGGTAGTGGTGAAATGATAGCATCTAATGTAATTAATTACATAAGCCTGGTGAAGAGGCAGGTGCGAGCATGCCCCTTCCTTCTATTGCTTGGTAGGTATCTACCTATGGATTAAAATCGGCCCGTGTCTTGATTCTCTTGGCAATACTAGTCCAGCCGATCCGGAGAATATCACACTGAGAGCGATCAACATGTCGACACCCATCTCCATCACGACCAAGATCGAATTCAAATTCAAATTCATCGCCCCGAGCCGATTCCCTCTGGCTCTCTCCTTGATCAAGTCTTCCAACAGAAAGGGTCAGATGCAGTGAAGCACACAAGATGCTCCGAATTAGGTTGGAGTCTATTGGGACCCTTGATGGATGGCTTGGAGGCATCTGCAGAGGTGGTTGGAGGGATGAAGCTGGCGCTAAGAGGGGCATGATTCGGAACCCTGGAACTTGTCCATCACATCTTCTTTGGTCGAGTTGGCGGTTGCAGCACGAGTAAGTGCTTGGCCTCTCTCTTCTCTCTCTTCCACATCTTCCGTCTCCTCCGTCTCTCCCACTTCCACTAAACATGCATTTGTTCCTGGCTCCATCACCCCCTCCATCCAATCAATCCCCGTTTCCACCATGTTTTCACACAACTCTGCTCTTCTCTTTTCTCTCATTCGTCTTGCCCTTCATCTTTTCCCTCTCGGTCCGCTCCATGTCGCACTAATGCCATTCCACCATCTGCAGTTGATCACCACAACCAATCTTCAACCTCCTCCAAGCGCTGACAGTACGTCTCCATTCCTTCCTACATGCCTACCCACACAACTCGACTTCCCCAAGCTGTCCTACCATTGCTCAACCACACTCGGTAGCTTCTTGGTCGTTGCTTCTGCACTCAATATCACGGTGAGTTAGTCTGTAAGTGCAATGGCAATTCCTCCACACGCGCGGTCAATCTTCGTCACCTCTATCCCTAGTCCTAGCTTCCCTCTCCGTCGCATTCCCGTATGGCTTCAATCCTGTGATTCTTCCCTCTATATCGCACTCACCATCCCCCCTTCCTCCCTCCACCTTCTCCCAAGAGGCTCGAGTCCCTCCATTCCTCCATTCCTTACATTCGCTACCCTTTGTTGCTTGGTTCAAGAGAGCTGGTCCTCTCGATTCTACAAACTATTGAGTACCGGTTACCTCGTGTGGGGGCGGTTTGGCGGTCATTGAATATATGACCTCTCTACGAAACGAACTGTGCTCCAATAGCTCCCATCAAAACAACAGAGGTCCACCAGAGACCTAAACAGAGGCCCATTACTCCTTCTCCATCATCCATCTTACACTACCGCGCCCCAGACCGCACTTTGACTTCCTGCTCCTTCTTTGCTGGTGAAGAAGAGAGTCCCCATAACGGACGACGCAGATATGTCCTCGTCTCCGGTCGAAGCATTGGCGCAGTTGATCTCAAGAGGAGAAGATGGCTCGGCTCCAATCCAAGAGCTAATAAAGAGAGTCAACATCCCCATTAACAGCACCACCCCTCCACTCCTCATCGAAGCCATAAAACAAGACCCCTTCAAGGATTCAGCAAAGTATGGACTACTATATGTATACGTCGGACTTATCTTGGTCGTTTCAACAACCCTCATGCGCCTCTACTACTATTGGGGTGACAAGATTCGAACCGCTCTTTACAAGGAGGAAGTCATCAATTCGGCCACCACTATCAGTCCTATGGGTGCTTCACCCGGCAACCTGTATGGTAATTACGAATTACCCAGCGCCGCCAGCGAGATGACGGATGCTTCCAACCGACACTTCTTCCCTTCCAAAGGTCCCCTCGTGCGCGAAAAACCAAGGCAACAAGCTGCAGTTTCTGCTATTGCTCCCATCAATAATACCATTGCCTTCTTCAGATGGGTCTTTTATAGACCCATCACTCCAATCCGAATCGGCAAGACATTCACCTTCACCTTTCCTTCGCTTGGTGTTCTGGTTATCATGGCAATCGGTCTTGTCGCTTCTCTACTCTACTGCTTCCTCCCACAACCACTCTTCTACGAATCCATGGCTTACGGTTCCCCTCCATTGGCCATCCGAGCTGGAATGATGTCAATTTCTCTATTACCATGGGTTGTAGTCTTGGCCACAAAGGCCAATCCCATCTCCATGTTGACTGGAATCAGCCATGAGCGACTGATCGTCATTCATCGATGGACAGCTTATCTTTGCACAATCTTCGGTATTATCCATGCCGTCCCATACTGGGTCCAATCTGCTCGAGATCCCGAAGGTTTCGCAACATTCAAGCTCTACTTCAATCAGAATTGGTGGATATTCACCACCGGCATTGCAGCTCTTGCACCCCTCCTCTTCCTGACTATCCACTCACTTCCTATCTTCCGAGCCAGAGCATACGAATTCTTTGTCATCCTCCATATTCCAGTAGCATGGGCTTTTGTCGGCCTTCTCTTTTGGCATTGCAACAACTATTTGACATCATGGGCTTATCTCTATTCAACTGTCGTCCTGATGGCGGTGTCCATGTTTGCTCGTCTATTCTACCTCAATTGGATGAACCCTCTCCGATCTTCATGGCTCATCGGCGAAGAGTCCGCTGTCACCATTCTGCCAGAGAATGCCCTCAAAGTGACCATTCCAACCCAGAAGAGATGGCGTCCAGGTCAATATGCCTACTTAAGGATGCCCGCCATTTCGGTTCTGGGCAATCACCCCTTCACCATCTCCTCTCTCTGCAGTATGGACTTCCCATCCGAATACGGTGAGCAATACCGAGATATGACCATGGTATTCAGGCCATTTGAAGGCTTCACGAAAAAAGTTCGTGATACGGCCATCAAGAAAGGTCCCTATAAAACATATCGAGCCTTCGTCGATGGACCTTATGGAGGCATGCAACGCCAAATGGCTTCCTTTGACAATGTTGTCTTCTTCGCTGGTGGTAGTGGGATTACTGCCATTGCTAGCCAACTTCTTGATCTGATCAAACGGATGCGTGATGGAAAAGCAACCACCACAAAGGTCCATGTCATTTGGGCCATGAAACGACCAGACATTATGGAATGGTTCAAAGAAGAATTGCGGATATGCAGAGAATGTTCCCCTCCAAACTCTGTTCAATGCCATTTCTTCATCACCGCTGCCAAGCGTTATGAACCTGAACCTGATATCAAAGAACATCGTCTTAGTGGTATCCGGGACAAGATCTCCGATAAAATTCATAATGCTGGAAGCAAGCGCAACTCGGCTCTTGTCATGATGGAACAAGAACCCGAATTGAAGCGTGAGTTCGAGGATAGCATCACTGCTCTTCCTCAGGCCTACATGGCCGCTCCTCGTCACCTGGCCCCACCAGGACAACAAGACACTCAGACCTATTTCCCTCCACCTCCTAGTAATCGGTTGTCAACGCTATCACAAGCACAAGCTGATGCCACAAGATCATTTGACTTTGGCTTTCCGCAAACACCCACCAAATTTCAGAAAAATCTTATGCGTTTTGCCTTTTTACCCACAAATGTCATCAGTCATCGCCGTGATGGCTGGCGGACAGAGTACGGTCGTCCAGATATTCCATACATGCTGAAAGGTCTCAGCAGGGAATTTGGTCGTCGTACCTGTGTCTACGTTTGTGGTCCTCCAGAGATGCGAACTGATGTAGCCAACACGGTTGCACGTTTGCAGAGTACAGTCTGGAGTGATCCCGGCAAAGATGAGATTTTCTTACATGCGGAAAACTATGCCATTTGAGTTTTGGTGCCTTGTTGTTGATGATGTCAAGCGATTTATTAGAATTTTTACTGTTCATCATACGATACCCTTATTATTACCCAGCGAGGAGTGGTTTCGGGTTTTCAGGTCCCACAGGTCTCACGACGTTTTCTTACACGATATATATATACTGCTACCACCACCACCACCACCATCTAATGATTTAGCGAACTGGGGAGGGGATGATGGTGGATTGATTCGGATTTTGATTCGGATTTGAGATATGATACCCCAGGCAGAACTCAAGTGATGTGCAGTGATGACGGGGCATGGTTTGAGAAGGGACAAAATAAGTAGCTCAGTTTCAGCTGAAACCCTCTCTCTTGAATTTACAAATCCCATGTCATCTTGATAATAAAAGCCCTCCCTCGCTGTTGCAATACGTGCCGCGAAGATATCTGGTATGAGTGCATACCCTCCCGTCCATGTCCCCTTACCGCCAAGTCAACGAATGTTACGTGTTACATGTTACATCTTCGGCAGATGGGACATCTAATTACATGACCTCTGCATGCGGAGGATGAACCCTTAAGTAGACATCGTGGAGGCGAGGAATGGAAAATATTGACCCAGGCCCAAGACCAAGACCCCATCCCGACTCGATTCACCGTACCGAGCCCGAGAACCAAGGTAGGTTAGGTACTTAGCTGCAGCGATACTAATATTGCACGCACTCCATACAGAGATACACACAAACATACACATTCGACGAGACGAGACAGGACGACGCCCCACTCCGCCCGGTGTAGGAAAAGGCTGATTTTCTTCTTTGTGGGGAGGGGGAGGGTTTTCTTACGCTTGGATCTCATGAAAAGCATGTATGGGGAAGGGGTAATGCGTGAGTGGGCAAAGTACCTAATGGTCCCTCGGGGTTCATGCGTGTGAAGCGTCTTCACTGATACGGGGTATGTGATACGTGATACGTGATACGTAGTGGTACGTGATGTGTGATGTGTGAGGCCGGATATTGGATATTGAATATTGAATATCGAATATCTAAAACACCGGACGTTAAACATCGAATAACAATATCCGGACTCATCCCATTCACTTGCGCTTCGACCACGGAGGGTGAAAGGTTCCATCTCATCTGTAGCTAAAGACTGAACTTAGTGACGGTGTCGAACGGGCACCTTTCTCTCGCAGACACTGTCGCTGTCGCTGTTGTTGGAGAAACCGTACTACACCCGCCTTTCCCTTTCCCTTCCCTTTCCCTTTTCTTGCCTCGCCCTCCGCAAGAAACATTGTGGAAACTAGCATCCTATCCATCACCCGCAAACCTCCCAGCGCGCCAAGCGGCCCACGCTCTCTCCGGCATTGCGGACGATACATAGGAATCTCGTGCCGTGCCTGTGCCTCCTGCCAGAATCGCTCTGTCCTGGTCCTTGTCCTTGTGCTTCTGTCAACGCAACGGCGTCCCAGCCCTCCACTACACGCTGCGCCCAGATACTGCCGATGGCGGTGCCGCGGCCTTCCGAGAGGTTATAGCCGGCGCTGCTGCTGGAGGTGGCGGTCGTGCTGTTCGTCGTCACGAAGCCGATCAGGTCGTGGGCATGTGGGACTGGTGGGTGATGTTTGTGCGTGCTGTGTGAGGAGAGGGGGAGAAGGTCGTTTTGGGGTTGCAGCTGGAATTGGGTTGATGGGGGTTGTGTGGGTAGTAGATCTTCAGATGGTGTGTATATTGGGTTTGATTCTGGTACTGGAACGCTATCGTTGTGGATGCTGGTGGATGGAGCCTTGCTGTTGGATTTCTTGCTTCCTCCGGTAGGGTTGCTCTTCTTGGATTGAGGTATGATTTTCGGGATCTCACCGTCTCCGCGTCCGTATGCGCTATCGGGCCCGTATTTGTCGATGATCTCCTTCGGGGCATTCTTGGGTAGCACGTTGACGCGAAAAAGGGATTCTCGAGGAAGTGCGCTCTTTGTGGCAGGCATGCCGAATCGATTGATTTTGGGCTTTGGATAGTGCTCGTTTTGTTTCAGCCGAGTGGTGCCGTTTGAGTGCGAATCTACGAGGGCAAGCCAGCGACTGTGTAAAATGTCGGCTTCTGATGTACCGGGGTTCGATGATGAGCTATTATCGGCTGTGCTTAGCGTTGGTGGAGGGCGTTGTGCTGCCGGTGGTAATCCTGAAGACCAGAGTTGTTGCGGCTGGGTTTGTCTTTCGCAGTCTGATACTGTCGTTGGTTGTAAGTCAATTGGCTGCGAGACTTGTTTGGGTGCTGTGGTGGGAAGTCGGTAAATTCGAGCCCCTCGAGTTGGTGTACCGCGATCAAGGAATGTGATGCGTATGGTCAGTAGTGCTGGATGAGCTGGCAACTCAGTTTGAGAGGGTCTGGCGATTAGAGACTTGGTCGCCGCGGACGTCAGTTGGGTGTAGCTGCTGACTGTTGAAGGCAATGACATGTCTAATACTTCAGCCTCGCTTTCAGGGCTTGAAGTATTGCGACGTCTGGCCGCTTGCTCTTTTTCGGTTTCTGCCTTTGCCTTTGCCGCTTTACGTTGTCGCTGTGTCAATGGAGGCTGGTCACTCGTTCCTTGTGTCCTGTCTTCCTTATGAACTGCTTTGGTCTCCGACGATGGGGGCCCACTTTCGAATAAAAATTCCCAATCACAGGCCCAACCACGGCCGATTTCTCCGATTCTTTCTGCACCTAAATCAAGTTTGTCCCAAGCAACCCGACTTTTAGGTGGCCTTCGAATCCATTCATCAAACTTCCTCTCACTTTCTGTACGATCCCATGCCTTTCCTGCTTCGGTGCCTGGAAAGTCGGCTGGAAACCAGGGAATCTGTTGTTCAAATGCCAGTTGTTGTTTTTGGTTCAGTCCACCAAACCGCGGAGTGCCACCTGATGAGAGAGGGTAATACATCAGCGATCGCCATACTAGGTCAACACAGAACCATGGTAGGAGGACGGTCCATTTGCCCTGCGAGCTCGTACTTGCTTGACCAGTTGAGCTTTCCGCCCTTGATGCCAGGAGAATTACTGGAATTTGTGGATCCTTCTCGTGCAGCGTTGGGCTTTGTCCGGGCGGAGTAAGTGCCCTTCGTCGACTGATCGCCTTTTGTGAGGGCAGAGAATTACCCAAAGCGAAACGAACCTTGTGCGAGAACAGACGGGACGATGTCAAGGTGTTGTCAACAGGCCAATTTACCAGTATCTCGTTCAACTCGGGATGGTCAGGATCGTTGGGAATTCTGATTTGAGTCGGAGGGTGATTGAGACGAGGGTCTGCAATATCAAAAGAAAGTAAAGCATTCTGTGGTAATAATCCCGGATTATTGAGTCCAGCTAGAGTTCTCCAGATGTGTGAATGAGAGTTTGAGGATTTAGGATTCTCTGGTACGGGGCGAAGGACGCCCAAGAGGGCCTCTGTGGATCCTGGACCTTGAACTTCAATGCTTCCCAACTCGAATCTCAGGTCTTCAACCAAGACTTGCGGTTTCTGCACCTTTGCGACCGTGATAAGCTCACTCCAGAACTGATGAAAAGCGGAAGGATGTATTTGAATCAGTATTTCGCAATTCAATTTCGTTCTTGTCCGAGAATGCGAATTTGACTGATTTATACCATCAGGTCTTGAGGCATCATCCAGGACATCTACCGAAGCAGGAGCTGACTTCATTTCCGCTTTTGGCGTTTTCACAATGAAAAGCACCCTCACCGGAGCGACAGGCCGGTTTTTGTTGTCTCTTTCATGAACCCAGCCTTCTGCAAAACGGGTCCCTGATTTCCACTTCTTTTGAAGTGCTGCAGACAGACTTTGAGGCACAAACCCAAGGGCGCCTAGCAGACTCTGTATAGCCGACTCCGTTCCACGACAAGCAACGGATGACATGTAACTGCAATCCCAGGCAATGCATCCACGTTGACCAGCAGCTCGATGGCTAGGACGATAACTTTTCTCTGTGGGGCGTAAAGGAATGGCTATTCTCCATAACGGTTCTGTTGGGCGAGTCATGTGGGCTCGCTTGGTGTGCCATAGATGTGTAGGGAGCCATGTTTTATTGACTTGTCTCTTCTTATACTTGACTGTTGCCCTCGGTGCTTCTGTCAGTGTGTTCTTCTTCAACCGTGGTATTCGCGAGATCAGGGTGTGGTTCTCTGGGTCGTCTTTCTTTGCATTCGCCTTCGCGTCTCTCTTCTTCTGGCGGACTGTTTTGGACTTTTGGTTCAGGTTCCCAAGAAGTTTCGCTCGGTCGAGTCTGAGTCGTAGTTTTCTGGAAGGGGTGCGTCTTCGCTTGGTCACAATCGGGGTGTTATCTTCCGTCATCTATAGCCATCCTGGTCAGCAACTGTCAGCACACAGTATCTGGGCATAGTAGAGTGCCACTCACCTCACGTTCTGCTTTTCTCCGTAGTCGACGAGGGACTTTTTTGGCATTATGACTGGCAGTCCTCCTCCTCATGTGTCTTGGGACTTGTTGGAAGGCTCTCGACGTCAAGGCATTGCGAGAGGTGCGCATGCTTTTATCAAGGGCACTAATCTCGAACTCTCGCGCCTTGATGAAGGACGCAATATTGAGTTCCCCATTTGCGGACACAGATGTACCTCGCTGGGTAGGTATTGCCCGCGCATCTTGTGCTTTTTGTCGTTTGCGGGCTTGTGAAGTCAAAGTCGGTCTATCGAACGCAACTTTGCGCTTCTTGCCTGCGACTTCGGTAGGCGGATTCATGTCATCTCATGTCTTGTCGCAACGTCGAACAGTGTTTCCTCTTCAGACGCGTCAAGAGCATGCAATTTGTGACACCAAGACTCTTGTTGAACTTTACATCACAGGTTGCCGCTTCAGTATAGAATGCTTGGCATCCTTAACGCACCCTAAAAGCGGCATCTAGCTACTCCGTAGGATTTGCACAGGGTCCATGGCTTCGGCTCTTTAGATGCTAAAGGCCCCTCTTCAAAGTTACACGGGCGGCCCTCCGGCCCTGATGGAGTGCCCCATTCCGCCAGTGTTCCCCTCCCGACTTGGAGACGGATGCCTAAAAGCAAGTTTTGACCTCTGAAGACCCGCCTACATCTTTCATCTGACCTCTGTCGAGCCTGGGAACTGCCATCAACGCGTGCCCGGGGAGGCCTTGTCGCAAAGTGAGCGATACTTTCTCACACTGTCGGCTGGAAAGGAGATATTCTGCGAGACCATGCACCTCCCTTTTGATTTCCACTTTTGCCTTGCGTGGAAGAATGAAATATCCACGATCATCACCCGCTAGTTGCCCACAATATTAGAGTTTGAACCCTGAGTAGTTGGAGCTGTCAAAATGTTGCTAAGCATCCATGTCGGCGGCAACAGCCATCAGGCCGCGATGAATGTGACGTACTCGATTTTCCACAAAAACTGCTGCTGCCCGTTGCTGCTGACTGTCATATCGACGGTGGCAGTAACAGAAAAGACAGGAAAGATGTAGCTTTTGCGAAAATTTCTATCGCACGCAGAGCGGGACTTGGAATCTGGAAACAATCAACACGAATGTGTACATATCATCATATAATAACATCCATCACAGCCTCGACACTGCACAGCTGGATGGTCAGCGTGATGGGTATGTCGTCTGCCCTACGATCGCGGTCGAAATTTCAACATGGGTCCATCTCGATCTGCACCAAAACAGTCAAAGATCTGGAACTCATCAACTCTTTCACGACCAAGCTCAAGATCCGATCCGCCACCACCCTTTCTTTCCTTCCCGTCCACCTCCTCGAAATCATAAACCCAGAGCACCGAGGCAATGGCGTTTCGCATCTCCATGTACGCAAACACTCTGCCTACGCAAGATCGACTGCCCATGGAAAAAGGACACATGGCCTCGCGTGCCGTCCTGATGTCTTCTTTTGTTACGGTAACACCATCCTCATTAAGGTTGGAACCTGCAATCCATCTTTCAGGTCTGAAGCTCCATGACTCGGGGAAGGCATTTCGATCATGGTGCACGACATAGGAAGGAACTCCCAGGACAACGCCCTCGGGAATATACTCTCCATCAATCACAATACCGCCTTTCATGACTTCTCTCGGTAGTTGCGAAGCCACGGCGGGGGCTATACGAAGCGTTTCTTCGATACATGCGTTGAGGTAAGTGCAAGAATCCATCTTTGGTCCCGAATGTATGTCTTCGAGGCTCGTGAAAGTCGATCGGATTTCCGCCTTTAATTTTTGCAGCACAGATTGATTCCGAGCAAGATAGAAGAAGATCGCAGAAAGTGTCGTTGCAATCGTATCAGCCCCGGCACCGATGAGGCTGAGAGTGTCACCTTGAAGCTCACCAATTGTGGGCCGCATACCTGTTTTGGGGTCCGCATTGTTAAGGAGGTAGTGCATGAGGTCTTTCCGAGTGGAGTCGACCTTTTGTTTCTTGCGTTCTTCTTCAAGTGCCGCTCTTTCCTGGAATTGGGAGATTGCGTATTCGACGTTTCTAGCATTGTCGCGAGCTGTCTCGCCTCCGATCCACTGCATGAAAGTGGTTGTAGTCAAGGGGAGTAAAAGTGGAGCATATGGAAGGTGGGCAAACTTATACGGATAGTTTATTGTTAGCACATGGGACACGTTTTCCATGTTAACAATGGGTTCGCTTAGAAAAGTAAGGGGTCTGATAACTTACCCAGTATCCAAATTTGGTTCCTTCCGTGACGATACGAGGCATTTCCCGATATTCTTCACTTCCCAGGCAATTGTAGCCTTTGCCGAATACCAAATTGCCCATGATATCGTAGGCTAGCCAATCAAGATACCTGCTCATGTTTCGAGCGGGACTCCAGTCTCCATGATTGTGGCTGTCCGATCCTTTCAAATTCTCCGGGAGCTCTGGAGAAAGTCCCGCCTCCGCTCTCAGGCCACTGTCGGACCCAATGAGTTTGATAAATTTCCTGACATTGTCAATGACAAAGAACTCAGTCTCTCTGAGTGCCGCTTCGGAGAAAGCGAGATTGAGAATTCGACGTCTGGCAGCATGTCGGTTTTTGTCAATCTCTGTATGGGTAGTGGAACCTCCAGCTCCACCGTCGAGAATCTCATAGAATTGAGACTTGCGTACATTAACAGCACGTGAGCCATATATTTGATGCAAAGCCGATGGACTGCTAAATGACAGACTATTGGGTGAGGTGCGAACGATAGACCCTGCAGTGGTGGTGACAAAAAGTGGTTAGTCGTCGCTTTGTAAACGTGTCGGTGCCAGGGGCAAGTGACAGTTGGCAGCTGCAGGGCCGGAAGTCTGGAGGTCCAGACAAAACTGCCATGCGATAAGGGGCGGGACTAGAGACAAAAACAGACCATATTTTTCATGGTCTCTCCAATTGTTAAGGTGTCGGTTGCCCTTGTAGCATTGATATACTAATGGCCAGCCAGATATCTTGTACGCAAGAGGCCCAGGGTATTTTGCCAGTGGGTGGAGTGTCAGGCGATATGCTGTGATGAGCAAAAACTAGGTGGTATCCACAACAGCAATCAGACTGGGTATGAAAAAATCTTCGATACGGGGGCGTAGCTGTGGGCCAAGGATGGGCAAATTCAGCGGAGGTAGCGAGTACTCACGGATAGAGCAATACCAGAGAGGATGATCTGAGAGAGGGTGGGCAAGAAAGCCAGAGCACTACGTGCAAGGCCGTGATCCATGATCAAGGCAAATAATGTTCGAGGCTAGCTGGGGAGCATATGCGTCGTTCAGTCATTCGAAGCTGAAGAAAAAATTCAGACAAAAGAGTACAATATTGGATATGTGTGTACTGGCATTGTTTGCGACTCTAAGTATCCAGTGTTGTTCCGATAAAGGCCCCACAAGCTCACTCGACTGAGCATTTGGCGACAACAACGACCAGTCAAGGGTGCATTGGTGTGCAAACGGCGTTCACCAGGACGAGTAAAGGAGGGTTAACAAATGATTCTCACGTGCCGATCCAGTTCGGTAATGAGCAACCGCGGGCAATTATTTCGATTCCTGACCAAGTGCGAACCATGTCCATTATGCTTCGGCGTGAGCACGTTGCTGGGCAAGAACCGCGTGGCCCGTTACCTAAGGAAACTAGCTTTCTCCCAAGAGGCCCGCAGAAAATGCCTGTGAGAGTTTACATACGGAGAGGTAGAATCAGACACTTACCGACATGAGGCTACCTTGCGACCTGAAAGGAAACCAATGATATCGGATGCAAACAAGTCCACATGTCGACAGTAGAGGATCACGTTTCGCTTCTATCATTCGTGAGTGACTAGGAAGCGAGAAACTAGCCAAATGCATCTGGAGAAGTATTGTAAAGTCAAACTATTTTATCGGAAGGAATTTGTAGAGATTTAAGATAGACCTACGGAGTACTCGTAAGAAGTTGTGCCCAGGCATTATTACTTGGTAATGCACTGGGCTTGAAGCATCCACGAGTATATCATGGAACATGTAATACTAGTTAGGGGTGGATGCTTAAGCACTAAAGCAAGGCTTGCAAGGAAGGCTGAAGCCGGACAGGGAACAGGCATTAAACCTGCCACATGCGCTAAGCGTCTTCGAGGGGTGCAAAGTCGCAGATGATGTGAGAGAAGATTCAGGCCAAGTTCGGAGAACAATTGCTTGCCTGAAATTGACATCGCGTAGCACTTGCTTTGCCAGGCCTCGATCAGATAAGAATGTTGATCATTGCCAAATCAAGCCAGCGCCAGCGCATCCATGTCTTCAAAGTAGCTAAAAACTCTAGTCGGATCCGTGCATGCAAGACTAAGAAGTAGACTTTGAAGTTAGTGGAAAGTTAGGACATGGGAGAGGATGGCCGAGGCCACCCGATAGATTACCGAAGCTCACCCAAGTCTGATGATCCCTGCAAGTAGAAATACGAAGCGACATGGGTACGGTCGCTCTGGGAAGAGGTTGCATGTTTAGTCTACATTCGCCTTTGCATCGTGCTTTGGAGGATGAAGGAAACTGAAGATTTTGCCCAGGGGCGATCGAATCAAAATACCACGCGACCCTCCCTCGCTCAAAGAGTGTGCGGGTTTTGATACGGCCGCTTATCATCGTTGCGTTGGAGGATCGTCGCGAACAAGGGAGATGTCGCAAGACATTCGAACAAAAGAAGGGAACCTTACAAGTAAAACTCGGACGGTGCTTGCCATCGAAACGAAGAGCGGGATACAACACCGCAGTGCAGACCCCTTGAAACCAAGCAACCGCCTCACAAGATGTTAGAAATCCATCGACAGAATAGTTTTAGTAAGATTGCTGGGGGCAACATAGCCTGAATCCTTCATGTGTGCAAGACCTGCGTATGATCTTTAGGCCAGTTGTTTAATGTTGAAAGGGTATCAATTCTAAATAGAGATTAAGTACGACTAAATGGCTGGCTTGAACTTTTGTGTATGTGTGTATGTATACAGATAGAGGGATGCGTAAAACCGTTACGAGAGAAAGTATCCAGCAGCTTGCTAAATTTGGTATGCATTCGTCTTTCGTCTCACCTGCTGCTCTCGCCATCAGGATAGTCATATTCGACATGCATCTCAAAATCACGCCTCTGGTACACCCCGTTTTTCCTCAGACTGCTCGTGGATTTGTCGTCGCTAATTTCGTCATCACTTTTTGTCGTATCGCCAGAAAGGACATTACGACTCCTACCATCTCTATCACTGCCGACCCCAGTGCTGCTCCCTCCAACAACATGTGTGGTGTATCGTGCGACATCATCTGGGCGTAAACGCATGTTGTTGGAGCTGGCTAGGACACTGCCGTTCGATCGGGTCTGTGATTTACTGTCATCCGTCTTGCTTTTCTTGCTTCGTCCAAAAAACCCCGACGTTGTAGAAGACTTGTTGCCTGACTCGTTTCGGCTTCGTGTTGCACTGCGCTGAGCTGCAGTCATTTCGATCTCGCGATCGTTCAGGATCATGCCAAGTTTGCCAGTCTGCAGGTCTGAGAGGAAGCGGCGCACACTAAGAATACCAGCAGTCGTAACTGACATGTTGATAACAACCTGGTGGAATATTTGTACATATGCGTTGTACCACGTCTTATCATCCGAAGACAGATATGCAGGTAGGAGCGCAATATAGGGAATGGTGACCGCACAAACGCTGGGTGATTGTGTCAATAAAGTACCCAGAAGAATTAATATAGGAAAAGGACTTACACCAGCCGCACTCCAAATAATGAAGCGACCAAAACTCGTAGCGAGCGAGCCATTTGCAACTTCCAGATGACGGGAATAAAGTAGCAGGCGAGAGTTGCATCAGTAAGAAGGGTACCGACAGCGATAACGTAGTAGAGTTTCCCTTCCGCCGTGCATTTCTCCTTAGTAAATTCCCATGAGCGAGGAACACCGCATTGAAATGCAATGGTGAAGAAAGAGAAGAGAGTCCAGATGCCAATGACAATTTTCAAGACAAGACCAGAGCGCTTTGTTGCCGATTCAGACACGATGCGCTCAATCATGAAAACTACAGATATCTTGGCCAGTGCCTGAATGATGATTCCGAATAGTTGGGAGGCATAGATATACTTGGATCTTCATCAGCCTCGAATGTAGGAGGATATTGAACAATCAACCTGTACCTTGTAATAGCTAACCAAGTTGGAGGAGGAGATGACATCTATATGCTGTCCAAGCCCTTGGCCAACAGCACGTTCCGTTAGGACGCTCTCCGGTATGATCAGTAGCTGCAGTGACAGAGTCAGTATTCTATGAGCATATCTGGCGGAAGAAATTTGGATTGCGTACCACTGCGAGTGAAAAGGTGATATCGTCCCAACTCAGTTCTCTCTTTTGCATGTACGAAGAATAAGATCGAAGGATGGAGAACAGGATTGTAGTGAACATGAAGGAATAGGTAATGACCACGACAATAGCCCCATTGTTATCAGGCCCATGAGCAACCAGAGGTGGGTAAGTAATCCGCTCAGACATAGAAGACATGATGTTGTGGTATCGAGACGATCGCAACGACGTTTCACAAAGATTGAGATGAGCGAGATGAGATGGTCTTTAAGCGTCTGAGGTACTCCGACTGCAAAGCAACTTGCATGCAGAAGCATCCCACGGGCTCCCCTGCAGAAACGGCAGCTCAGAAGGGTAAGACTGGTGTTATAATCCACACGGATAGACAAGGGAACAATTCCCTGGGTCGTTTGGATTCGGATGAAGCAGTGGCACGACAGCCACCAACTATGGGGAGAATTCCTGGTAAGCGGTTGCAGGCCTGCAGCCTTTGCAAAAGAGAGAAACCATCCTCAATTCATCCAGATTCTTCAGTGATGAGCACGGAGTTTGGGGCGTGTGATTCGGGAAGTCAGGCGCACGCAAGTGGCACTTGATTAAGACGCCTGCCTTGTCGATTCGCCATTCGGTGGCTGGCAGGGGGGGGTGTCGAGATTGCACTGCTTCAGAGCGATACCTCGTACCGTACTCGTCAGAAATGTCTTTGTAACGGTAGATGAAAGTGCCGTGCCGGTATTGGCTACCCAGCTCTGGCACCAAGCATGTCCAAGAGTCCCCCGGAAGTGCTTCGTAATAATACTTGAGCTTGGGCCCCGTGGTTTCCAGCTCTATTCCGATCCACCCACCTCAAAAGCGAACGGCTGACATCTGTGCTTTCAAAGTTTGGCCTTCCATGCAAAGTATACGGACACTGGGCAAGCAGAAGCCAATCCTATCTCCATGTCTTCACGAGAGGGACACAATCCAATATGTGATTATTATGTTGTTTTGACTCACCGTACCACGTATCTGGAAACATGAGTGTACTGAATTGAGACCGTCTACACCTGCGCCCCGACTCCCCGAGTGCCGCGTTCCTTGATTGACTGAAACAGCACGGGACAAAGCTTTCCAGGCTTCGGGGGACTCGATAGCAGGTATCTTCGGGCTACCTAGCGCCCGCCAAGTATCAGGTCAGGCATTGAGACTGGGGACGAGGGACCACAGTTCACTGAGTTCAGAAGTGCGGTACGGAAACGAATGGTAACACAGTCCCGGCGCAGATCAGGCCCGCTGCACCTAAGAGATACTAAGGAACGGGCCGCGGATTAGTGACTACGGAAACACTCGCCCCGGGTGGGCAGCTTAACACTAAGCAAGCTCCATGTAACCTTCCAGCCTAACAATCCGTCCAAGCGACCAAGACCTCAGATGCCTGTGCATCAGCCTGTCAAGCCCAGGTTGTTTCGCGCATAATGGGTGGCCCCCTGAAATTCATGTCAAGTCGAGGCATGGTCAGCCACTCCGCAGAAATCTGGTGGCACTTTTCCGATCTGGCAAACCCTTGATCGCATTGTTCACCAGAGCATCGACTATCCATTTTGAATCAAATCAACTTCTTTTGTGACAGTTAGATCGAGAACGAACGAGGCTACGGGCTCGTCATCTCGGTCGCCTTTGCAATGGAATTCCGCAACCCCGGCCTAGCTGTCAAAGTCGCGTCTTTACTCGTACGAAGTAGGTACTAGTACTAGTCTTGGTGGTCTGCAGTGCACCCAGGTTGGCCTGCTAGTACCTCACCACTGTGACCATGTCCTTTACCCATGGTCGGTCTGACCACAAAAATCAGAGACGGCCATCCACCCCCACCTTGCTAGTCAGGGTCTTCTTTCAACGAGTCGAAATCAATTGGATCCCAAGCGACCAAAGCCATCTGCATAAGGGTGCGTGGCAGGCCAGGATGCTTCCCCCTCGTGGCTATTTTCTCGAGCATTTCCTGATTCTTCATTCATCTTTTCTCCGACCTGACTTGCTTGACCTTTGTTTTCTTTCTATCCCACCTTGATTTTTGCAGTTGTCTACGAGTACCATCACAATGTCGGAGACCAAGGAATTTTCTCTCGAACAGGCCCGTGTCAACGATGACACGAGCCCTGGCACAGGTGTACACTCCGGCAGTGCGAGAGCATCACAGAAGCTCGATGTAAGGCCGATTCCTTCAGAACCCGTGTTTATCTTTTGGTGGCGCACCCACTGACTACTGCGACCAGAGATACCTATCGTTGAAGCCTGCTGTCGCATTCGCTATGACAGTTTTGTCCTCATGGACGGGTATCAGTTTGACAATTGGTGGTGCTTTTTATAACGGTGGACCTACCACCATCATCTGGGGAACGATCTTAGCTGGTGCTGGAACGCTTGCCATTGCTGCCTCGCTTGGTGAACTGGCTTCCATGTAAGGACGGGAGTTCGTCTTCGGAATTTCACGAGCTAACAGGGCCGGCAGAACACCTGTTGTCGGCGCACAGTATCGATGGACCGGCCTATATGCACCTCCAGCCATGTCACCAGCTTTTTGGAGCTTAGTACAGGGTAGGTTAATCAATATGCCCCAGAATATTGAAGCTGCTAACAATTCATAGGATGGTTAACCGTAAGTTCTACAGATCGCAGGAAACACTGCAGACATGTGGATGATTTTGACTAATGCCAACCAGATCTTCTCCTGGATCGGCCTTTGCGCCGCTGTGCCCTTCGTCTCTGCCCAAGCTGTTCAAGGTTTAATTATCCTGAACTCGGATACATATGTACCGGAAAGATGGCATGCCACACTACTGATGTGGGCTTTCCTGGCCACTCCGGTATTGTGCAATGTTTTTGGCCGGAAACTCCTCAAGGCCGTGGAAATCACTGGCGGTGTTCTTCATATCATATTCTTTATTGTTGTGGTCACCGTGTTGGCATGTATGGCGCAGAGGAGTACAGCTGAATTTGTCTTCACTGAATCATGGTTCGGTGCAAGCGGCTGGGAAAGTGAGGGTGTTCAATGGTGTCTCGGACTTATCTCTATCACTTCGGTTCTTACTGGTGAGTGCTTCCCTCCTGAAGCGATCGATTACACAAGGAAGGAGCAAATTTGTTAATGCGTGCTACTCTGCAGGCTTCGATGGTGTTCTACATCTCAGTGACGAAATTTCCGATGCTCCTGTCAAGGTACCTCGAGCTATGATGTTGGCCGTGGTCATCAACACAGTCTTGTCGCTCGGATTCTTGATTACCCTTCTCTTCTGCATCGGCGATGTCGAAGCAGCCTTGAGCACCCCCACTGGATTCCCTACCATTCAAATTCTTTACCAAGCTACAGGCTCTAAGACAGGCGCAACTATCATTGAGTGCATGATTCTCTTGTCAACTATGATCGCCCTCTTTGGTGTCTATGCCTCTGTGTCACGTCTCACGTGGGCATTCGCTAAGGACAACGGCCTACCATTTTCGGAATTCTTCTCCAGAGTAAGCCATTCCTTGTAATCACCGGTCTCGCAATTGTACATCGCCAGTCATGTTGATTTCCCAATATCCTATCCTTGACCCCCAAAGGCTAACATCTCTGCTTCCAGGTTCACCCGACACTCCATATTCCACTCAACGCCCTGGGCCTTGTAACCACCATCTCAGCATTACTCGGCCTTATCAATATCGGTAACACCACCGCATTTTTCGCAATTCTAGCGCTTGCCACCATGGGTCTATATCTTTCCTACGTATTCCCATTGGCATTTGTCCTCCACCGAAAGCTTACAGGCCAACATCCACCTTACGGTCCCTTCCGGCTCGGCATCTGGAGCATTCCCGTTAATATTATAGGATTGTCGTTCGGCATCTTCATTGTCATCTTCCTTCCTTTCCCAACGACCATCCCAGTCACTGCTCAGAACATGAACTACGCGGCCCCAATTCTTGGAGCTGTCATGTTGGGCGCTGTTATCGACTGGTTCATCAGTGGACATAAACGATTCCAAGTTCCCACCAGCATGCCTGAGCATTACCAATAAACAAAAAGTTGTCTCTTTTGCGACCATCGTCATTAGGTCTCCATGGCGCTTTTCTCAGCCCAACTTTTGGGGCTCTTCTATTTTTTCCACTTTTATTTCAAGGGCGAAGGGGAAATCTGGATGGACAACACTCTGTTTTCTACAGAGGTGACTCTATCTACTCCCTCTTTGTACCAGGCAGCTCATCAGCAATCAACCACGCGACATTAGGAGAGAAGACGAGAAGAAGAATCCACAAACAACTTCCCCGTGTCGCCAAACGGCTCCACGAGGCTTTCAAAAACCAGATCTCCTACATACTTTAGACAGTGAGCGGCGCTTTTCTTGGGGGGATTTAAGGTATGGTGTAAGAGGTTTTCGACTTTGGGTTGAAGCATTACTATCAAACCCTCTCACTCCCTTTCAACAGAATTCGTCGATTTGCCTACTCTTCTATATAAGTCATTTAACTCACGACAAATCAACACCTTGCCAATCATGCACACGCATATAATGATATATGCATATGTATATATACAGTCAAACGTATATACTGTCTCATGACCATGAGCATCAGCATCATCTCTCACCCGCGTGTTCGCCAGCTACTATTGAAGCATAATATCCTGAGAACGGAACATGGCGGCAAGTGGGTGAGGTGGACCGAACGGATGCAACGGGCAGTGGGAATGATCCACGACTCCATCTTCCGACATCTCTTACAGTAGTAACCTAGCTAGCTACTACGAAGAAAACAAGAAACTTTCTTAAAACAAAGCAAAAACTCTTAATCCAACCTCCCAAATGATCCATCTCAAGCCATACCATACACACCCAAGCAACATCCCTCCTTCCTGCTTGGTTGGTACTTGGTAACATCCGCACCATCCGAACAAAACGATTCCCTATCCGTACACTACACGATTCAACGCCCAACACGCTGGCAGTGTTCTAATTACTGTACCTGAGATAAGCAAAGAGGAAAGAGAAAAGAGAAAAGAGAAAAACAAGCAGTTGGTGGGGGGCCGGGTGGCCAGGGAGTCGTCCCACATTCCGACGGAACGCAAAGGGCGGATATTCCGTCGCGCGTGGTGCGCTGCGAACACCACAGTCACCCACTTAGTCTACACAGTCCATCCACTTTTGAACAAACAAGCAATCATGTCATCCTGCAACTAGGTACTCGTACTATCCGTCCAACTGCCGAGAAACCAACCCAGGGAAGAACGGGGAAAAACTCTATGTTCCATAATACTTAAGTTGATACCAAGGATCAAGGATTCCGTACTCTTATTCTTATTCTGACTTCCCAAGAGATCGATGGCCCATGATGGCCCGAGACGCTACCAGCCAGACACCCCACAGAGGAGGAAGGGGGGGAGATAACTCTATAGCGACGACAGACTTTGATCGATTGAGGAGCGGAATGGAAATGGGAGTGGCAATGGGAGTGGGAGGGCTTGGCGGTGGAATTCGATACTACTAGGTACCTACCTAGGTAGGTACCTTTCAATCTCAGTACATCCGTGATCGTGATTGGTTTCCTTTTTCAAATTGACTGTGTAGATTGATGGGGTGGTGTTTTAAAGAGTTGCAACTGGTTCGAGGGAGGCATTTGTTGAATCATCATCATCATCATTCATACCAATAGACTATCGTAGGTAGGCATTGGAACACTAAGACATGAGGGCATCACCACATCAGAACATCTTCAGTTCTTGTCATTTCATATCTACCTATGTCCAATAAGGCGCTTTCAAGCCCGTCAACGAGTTCAAAATACCCTCGTGGTCTCCCGTGTCTTCTTTCTTGCGCTGGCCGCTTAGTTCCATCTGAATCGCGCGGTGTACATGGACCAACCAGTCGACGTAGCTTTGGGCTTCGTTGTTACGGTCTTCGATCAACATGCGTGCGTATTCGAATTCACTGCCGTCCAGGCCTTGTCTTGCCAAGGTGAATGTTGCTGATTTGGAGCCGCGGATGGTCGAGAGGTAGGCGATGAGATTCCGTGCTTGTGCGTTGAGATGAGTTTCAAGTATTGGGAGGCTATTGAGCATTGGGTCGAGTTCCTGGAGAGATTGTTTCCCTTCGCCGAAGAGATCTTCTATCAGATTTGGTGAGGTTTGGGCGTGAAGCCAGATCAACATGATTTGCCCATTATCAATGAGATACACGCCTCCTTCTTCAACACGAGCGAATGATGCGCGAAGTGTTGGCGGAACAACAAGCTGGAATGTTTCGGGGTTGGCAAAGCAGTCCTCTGGCTGTAGATTATGTAGAGCGTATATTCTTGGATACAGATATAAAGCACTCTCTGTAACACCAGCGGATCGTAACAATCGTGCAGAATGTACACGGCGATCTGTAGGTTCCACACCGCCTGGGGAGAAAAGTTAGTCATCAGCATGTATCGAGAGGGATGGGTCGACAAACCTTTGAATGCACGGCTCTTTATTAGACCGAGCGTATACATAGCGAACTCCTTGAGATGTTCTGGGAGTACTAGCTGGCCTGGAGGATGTGAGCCGGAGAAATTCTTGCGATATCCAGATAGAACATCAATCGTTCTTTCCGTAATTGCAGCACGAAGATCCTTCAGAGATTTTTCTGATATCTTGAAAGAAGCTTCTTTGGCAATTATGTTGACGACTGCATCTTGATCAACGGTACGCATGGTTTCGGTGGCACCTTCATTGACTCCTGCAACAACATTGATGCAGCGTACTCGTCGTTGACCTGTAGCTGAGGTATACAACAAGGCTGCTTGGAAGTGAGCATCCAATTTGGCATCCAGCTTGCCGTCATAAGAAAAGGTAACTCCAATAGCTTTATCTCTGTCAATCGTACCAAACTCAAGATCGGCCCCAAAGGTATGTTGAAGGAATGAGCCGTAGTACGAAGAAACTTGAAGTCCATTTGAACACCTCACTTTCATCAGTGCCTGATAGCCTGTTTCTCGATGCAGTGAGTGCTTGATTTCGTCTTGGAGCTTCAAAGAATCTCGAGGAGCGACAAAGTTGGGATAGTAGAACATTTCTCCACCCGTCAGGCGAGACATGTGTCCAATGGTTGCAATGTCCATATATCCACCTCCAGCGGCAGCTAAGAAGAAGTCGACGCCGATACCAGCAGTTACCATGGCACTGGCAGTCTTCTTCCAAAGGGGGTGCTCAGTGGTGAACAATTTCTTTTCATGGTCAGTATCTCGACCTTTCCCATCGTCACGTAGATGTAATCTTCCAGGACCCCAGGTCGGCAGTGTAGATAAGGAACAGATGATTTTGCCTCCAGTAGCTGCCAGGGCTGCCATTGCTGCATTGAGAGTGGGCAACAAGGCTGGTTCAGGGTTCTTAACCAAGGTAAACATGGTGGGGATGGATTGAAGTAGGGAGGTGATGACATCTTTTGATTCATGAGGATCAACGAACAGTCCTTCGGCCAGAGGTACGAATGGATCATCAAGGTCTGTCATGACCATCATCTGTGCAGTCGCCAAGCCCGCTGTGAGATTGTAAAATTGGACTTCTTTATCATATGTCACAATTCCTATCTTGGTACCGATTGGGAGTTTCGAAGTTGGAGTCTCCTCATTATCGTCTTCTCCTTCCTCTCCATCTCTTTCGTGTCCATAAAGTGCATCCAAGATACCTTGGCATACCGAGGCAAGGAGTCCTCGATTAATGGCCTCTTGAGTGATATCCACCAAGAACAACCATCGAAGGGGTACAGGCTCCTTTGCCCAGTATTCTTTCGGCACCAAGTATTCGACCGTGCCCAGCATCAATTCGGGACGCTGTAGTCGATCCACGCGGACTCCAGAAGCATCTGTAGGTGCAAAATACTCGGGAGCCACGTCGTTGGGAAAGTTGCACATATTGCATACTAATTTACTGCCACCGGATCTGAAGGTCATAAATGGGTTGATGTATGTTCGACATCTGCGGCACCTCGGAGGGCCTGCTTCACCAAAATCCAAGACAGGTACTGGTTGTTCTCCTTCCTGCGGTTCGGCGAATGGCTGTAAGACGAGACCAAGAGGCAGACCCGTCGATGCTAGTGCTTCCTGGGATGAAGGAATGTTGTTGACCGTGAGGCGCGCATACTTTGGTGTAGAATTGCCCTGGTCATGGGCGACAAAAGGGACGGCACCGGGTGGAGGGAGATGTTGTTCCATACTCGGGTAGATATTCGTTTGATAGTGTTGTGTCGCCACATCTCTTGCTCGTGCCACACTCGGTATCTGTTCAGGGTCGACACGACCTTGGGTAGCCACCGCCTCTTCTCCCATGCGTAATTTGTCTGCAGAATTGACGAAATCTGTCTGGCCTGGCGGACCTGCTTGCTGTTGCGGGACATGCTGCCCAGCACCATAAAATTGGGCACCAGGCGGTACACCCTGCTGTGAACTATCCACTTGTGGTGGTACTGGACCCGGGGTCGAGGCAATATCATGATGTGCATGGCGATCCTTCTTTCTGCGTGGTGCATGTGCGGAGCTAATTTCGGCTCCAGCCATTTGTGCGGTCAGTCCATTCATGGGGTCTTGTTGAGGATGAGGCTGCCCAGCATAGGCCTGCTGCTGCGAATTTGCATAGACCTGCTGCGGGTTGACCTGGCCGCCATACTGTTGGAAGGTGGGTTGAGGACTCGGGGATGGTTGGAAGGTCGGGGGAGTCTGTTGTGCTCGAGGGTCGATGTATCTTGGATCTTGGTTTGGGGGAAAGGTTTGGCCAGGGGCTCCACCTTGATAGGGGTTGTAGGACATGTTGCTCGTAAGTCGATGAGGATCAAGGTGTGGATGGATAGGTCTTCATAATGATTTTTATTGTCCGCAAGCCACTGTGGGGTTGTGGCTGATCCACGGTCGATGGTGGATGGAGGATATACAACTTGAAGGGGTGAAGACCTGTTTGTCTCTGGTGACGATGACAAGTGATAGATAGGTGTCCTCAATGACCGGTGCTGTTGTTGTGTACAAAGTGTACAAGTTCAAGTGGCCTGGCAGTTGGTCGCAGTGGGGACTTGGAGTTGCAGACTGAACAAGTTTCCTCATCCAATCCACGCGTCCTCAACTTCCTCACTCCACGTCTAACTAATAATTCCCAGGATCTTCAATTTATGCTTGATTTGTATCTCCACACTGGTAGTCATCAAGGCCTACGCAGCCAGACTTATGGCACCCAGTTGCATGTGCTTACTGTACTACATTTCGACCAGAGGGGATGTTGGATGCTCGGTGTCCTAGTCGAATACTGGCGTTGGGAGTGCTCAACTCTCAACATCATTTCGCGTCTTTCGTGTCCAAGGTACAATTCGACTGACGCTATAAAGAATCACCCAGCACTCATCCCAACGCCTCATGTCCCTCTCGGATATACATGTCCAACCCATATCATCGCCTCGGACTCACGTTGTTGATTCTCGAGCTGACTCAATATCTCACTTGGATAGTGGCCAAGGCGTGTCATGCAGCCACGACGTCATCTTTCTTTTTTTGTGATATTACTATATAAAATCCGGCTTCAAATTCTCGTGCTTCATACATTCCCGAATATATATACCTACTAGGTAAGTCTCAAGGCAGCAAGAAGCGCTCGGACAAATGTCGCTTCTAAGCAAGCCGACGAACAAGTGCATGCTTGCCCGGCGATACCCCCATGGTTTGGCTGTTCTTCTGGGCGCTTAGCGCTTCCCCGTTAACGTCGTTTGAGAAATCTATTGTGGCGTCCCTGGCCTGCTTGGACCATCACAGCGTGCAGAGCCTTCCAATGGCGTGTTCAATCATTCCTACTTCTCAAACGTCTGCGTCTTTACTTAGACTGCACAAGTCACTGGTCGCTGCTGAGATTCTCGGCTAGTTCTTTTTGGGGTACGCAAGCATCTGAGACCCACGGTCAAGGCTGGCCCGCTCTTTACCGCTGATATGCAGAATGAGTCTGTTCACGCTCTCTGAGCATATTGGAGAATGCAATACAGAGACCGACTCTTCATCTGCTGTCCTTCCCACAAGCCTGAAACACGTCCAGGTCACCCTAGATCGCACGACCCTCGCACTATTCCTCCATGCTCGATATCACATATGCTCCCCCTGTGTTTCCTCCATGTCCTTTCACCAAACTGTTCGCCTCATTCAGCATTATCCCCGTCTTACTGTAGCCTTGAGACGTCATGACCATCGTTCATTGCTGATCCAGATTCATTCAAAACCGTATGTTTACTGAGAGACGAGAGAACTGGAAACCATCATGTCTACGATAACCAGGACCGGCTTAACGACCATTTTCACACCTCCACCAGAGTGCAGTTCATCTTGGACCTACGAACAAGAATTCTACAACAGTGTACCTGGGGGTCTTCTTCTACAGAATGCACTGTCGGTGACAGTCGACGCAAAATGCTTCCCACCTGGGTTTGGATATATTGGAAGAGTGCCCTTTCCAACTGAGGTCTACAGTCCTGGCGCATGTCCCGGCGGATATGCTACGGCGACATTATCATTCAACGGAGACACCACGTTGGGAGTATGCTGTCAAAGGTTCGATCATCTCCCACCTCCCACCTCCCACCCTCACAATGACCCAACGTCTCAACTAACAGAGACAACCCCGACCCAAACAGTGGATTCTCCTACACCAGCCTGTTCAGCGAGAAAAACCAATTCAACACGACCACCGTCCTGTTCGCAGGATGCACGAGCATCTACTCAGCCGAATACGGCAGCACAGTGGTACCCGCACGCGACGAACAAGACCTGAACATAACCACCGTCAGCGGCCCTCTGATCATGTGGGGCCAACCGATCAGCATCGAATTCCAGCAGAAAGACCTGACCCTATTCACCACGGAATCCGCTACAGGCACTTCCAGCGACGCCGCAACAGCCCAACCCTCCAGCACAGCCAGCCAATCCGGACGGGGACCGACAGACCCCGGCCTACCTCTACCGACAACGAGTCCAACATCCGACCCCGGCAGTCTCTCCACGGGCGCCAAAGCCGGCATCGGCATCGCGGCAGCAGTGTGCGCCGTGGCGACGCTGCTCGTCGTCGGATTCATTCTCATCCGCAGATGCAGAATGACCAAGCGCCTCCGCGCCCAGGCGATAGCTGCTGACGACGACAACGTCAATAACAGCAACCAATGGCAGCGCAAGGAGTTGGACGGATCACCCTATCGAGGAGAGCTCGCCGGGTCGATGGTCGATACAGGAACCAAAGACGCTGCGCCGGCAAGGGCGAGTCGGCGCGTCGAGCTGGAATGACCTTCGTGCCGTCGCTGCGGCGTCCACACATACAATGCGATTGCGGCCTGCCCTGTCCAATAGTGGCTGCGTTTGGATGACAGTGTCTTTTGGAAATCCGCAGGTGCCACGCGTGTCCTCCGTTCGCACACCATCACACCGATTCATCTAGATATTCTAGTCGACACCACCATCACGACGGCATCCTCGCCATTCAACCCTGACGTGCCACGCCACGGGATAAAAAGAAAAAACAAGACGCCAGAGCGCGCCGCGCTGAAGCCAATCTAGAAAACGTGTCAATCACATCGAGGTGGTCCTTCGCCGAGACAGCCTGTACCGTCAAGGCAATGGGCGGATTGTTGCTATTCACTGTGCGGATGTGCATGCATATAGCCTGTCGATAGGAGCCAGGGAGAGACGAGGGAGGAATGGCTTGCCGAGGGCGAGGCATGTGTTCCAAGCTGAACTAATGAACTAGTGAAAGGAGTGGGAAAAGGTACCCAACGGTCTTCTCTTCAGTAGTGAGGTAATCAGGCACTCCATTTGAAGAAGAGATTAAAATGTTCATGGTTGAAAACATTGTATTAAGTATCATAAAGTCATTCGTGGATATCTTGTGCGAGAAAACGACGCACTTGCAAAAACACAATATACAAGTTGTTGTTACTGTTGATTTATCCATGATCTTACACGAATCCTCCAGGCATATTACCACCATCTTTCTGCCTGGGATCCGAACTTCCAGGAAATGGCTGACTGGGGACATAGGGCATTGAGACTCGATTTTCTCGCCTTACTTGACCAGTATGCTCGCGCTGCTGGTCAGGGTAGGGTGCTGGGGCGACACCCGTCTCCTGGCCACCGTACGTCTGGTACTGCTGTGGCGGTTGATATTGGTAATTTTGTTGTTGTCGGTGGTCGCCATAACTTGAGGATGCTACACCAATCTCACTAGTATGATAATAGTCGTTGTGAACATCTGCACGGTCATTATCGAATTGCGCGATATGTGGTCGTGACATTGGCATGGATTGGCTATTTGCCAACAGGGTTTGGCCCTCATCAACGTCGCCACCAGCAAAGCGTCCTTGCAGAGCACTGTCGCCGTATGCTGTTGGGCCGTTGAGGTTTGATAGTTTCTGTCCATTCTCGGGATAGGGGCTGCCAGTGGTCTTCCTTGATAGATCGTAACTCGCGTCTTTGTGTCGGTGTTTGCGGTCTCGCCACAGCCACTTCGCAGCTCGACCCGTTGCCTTGAACATATCCCAAGGATTGAAAGCATCCCAGATTGCCTTTAACCCGAGAAAACCTCCCTTGTATGATCTGTCTCCAGGAGTCTCACCAGGGACGGTTTCTGCGATGTATGTTTTGGATCCTAGTGAATACGGCCTCCAGCTGAAAGCCCACAAATGCAAAATTGCAAACAGAGCCATTTCGATACACAGCAACATGGCTGGAATGCCAACCTTCAAATCCGGAGTTTGTATCTGGTTGTTCGGCTTGACCGCCCCTGAACTGGTTAGGAAAGAGATGACCATTGTCTGCCAGAAGCTCAAAAAAATGACCAACTTGATGGCCAGGACTTTCAGGAGTGGTTTGTGTTGTTGGATATCCTGTCGCAACTGGATGTAGAATTGGATCAAACAGTACATGGCAATAGTGACGGCGATGGCCTCAATGACCATGACCCAGATATGGGAAAAGGCAGGATTCAGCGACTCGAGACAATAACGATCGAAGGCCTGAGTGACGACGGCAACAATCGTGCAAAAGACACGAATGAAGCAGTATTGAAATATAGCGACCCAGATGACATTGAACCAAGTCAAGCCGCTCCTCGGTGTGCGCAGCCAACCGGCCTCAGCGCCTCCGGTACATTTCTGGAAGTACTTCATGGGCCAGACCCAATTCTTCGGCGTTATCGAACGAAAGTAGATCTTTTGCTGGTGCAGGTCGGCGGCGACGTATGAACAGAGCAGACTGAAGAAAGAGGCGATGGCAAAGGCCTCGTAGCAGTCTCTGAGGACTTCGAAGTAGACGCTGTGATTGTAGTAGTAGAAAGAGAGGAAGGAGACGGCGGCGTAAACGGGAACCATGAACAGGATGCGGATGATGTGGCGCTGTTCAAAGGGTTTGAGGTAATGTGTTGCGTGCATGAAAATGAGGAAGAAGGAGACGACGATGGCGATTAAGCTGAAGACGGCGGACAGCCACAGGCCCAGGCGGTGGAAGGTGTAGTCATGCCATATGGGATCCTCGGTGATGAGCATGTCCTCCTCGGTGGTATTGCATTGTGGCCACCCCATTGTTGTGAGCTTGTTTTCGACTTCTGGTGTTACAGACTGGTTCGCATTGCTTTGCGCCAACCGCGCTTTGGGTAGAGAGGGGGGAAGAACCCTGCGCAGGAGGTGACGCAGAGGAAGGTGGGGTGAGTTGAGTCTGGAAAGTGCAATGGGTTCGTGTAAGAACGAGTGGAAGGTGCGTGTTGTGGTCGTCAAGTTCTGGGAAGGAAGGAAGGGGTGATGGAGGGTGTCGACCACCAGGGGTTACTGGTTGTTGAGCTGGACGTTTGAATCTGGGAAGAGACCGTGAGATGGTGAGAGTGAGAATCAGACCATTAAGAGGGCCAGGCTGAAGTAACAAGGACTGCGCCGCAATGAGATGAGAGACTAACGAGTGTGAAGTCTATCTTAGCTTAGACCATAAGATACTATGTATGTATGAAGAGGGAAGAATTCGAGGTCTATACCCAACACGGGGTTGAGTATGACCGCCCGGACAATGCTGGATTGCGTGGCACGGCCGCAGGGTCTACGAGGACGGTCCTGCTCTTGAATTTTTCTCCAGATTTATGCAAGATGCAACGCCAACCGAAGGCTGAAACCCTTAGGGTGGCTTGGATCCCTGTCAAACCATTGTCTCATTAGGGTGCTTTCCAACAAAACCTGTGGCTCTGTGAAGTTGGAGAAGCTGTTGAGTGGCGGTTACTGGGATCTTCACCTTTAGGGTTTCCCAGTAACGATGATTCCTTTGAGCTTCGCCCAGCCGCCCGCCGTCCGAGGGGCCCTTGGGGCACAGAAAGGACTCAGAGGGGTGACGACCAAGGGTTGATGGTTGTACCGGGGGTGACATCCCACCATTTATTTCTCTATTTGCTACCTGCCAACTGCGTATGCATGCCCGAAACTTCCAAGCCCCAAGAGATGTCAAGCACCACCAAGCACTTTTCACCCCAGGTTCTCAGGTGATGGTAAGCTCACTGCCACGGCTGCTTGTTTTTCTTGCCCACGCAGGTGCTAAAATTAATCCAGGGCTAGGCGGGATGCCTGGAATGTTCATATTCCCCATGAGCTGGGATTTCCATTCATGTCCACGTCCCAACTGCTCGTGATCATTTCATATTCGTGCTTGAGCGTATCAGAATCTATCGTCGCTCTAAAGCCTCACACTCCTCGACTATGTAATCCCACCACTTTTGGTGGTTAGGTCGGTAAAATAAAATATATGCATGCCAGATCCATCTGCAGCCACCACCAGCACCCTCTCACGAAACACATATCAAAAGATCCTACAATTTGCTCTTCGATGCCGCATCATCCACAACACAGCAATCCTTGCCCACGACAGCCTCGACCGAGGGCTGATGGTGCTGCTCGGCGACCAGCGTGCTCTGATTGAAACTCTGCTCGCTAGGCGGCACGTCGAGTGCCGGGTTCTTGTCGAAGAAGTTGACCGGCTTCAAGCTCACCTTGATGATTTCACAAGGCATGACGGGGAAATCCTCGATGCGCGGCACGTGGTTGATGCCGAATTGCACCCACACCACGATATCCGTGTCCTTGACGTTGTCGTTGCGCTGTGCCCAGCTGCGCACACCAGTGCCACCCCGTGACTGATTCGTGTACCATCCGCCAGCGTATAGCTCGCGGTCTTGGTGTGAGGTGACGTAGATGTTGTGGTCGGCGAATTCGGCCCGCTTGTGGTGGAAGGAGGTTGGGTGGGCGAGGATCTTTTGGAAGTCTGGTACGTGGATCTTGTACGCGACAGGCTTGCCGTTGACGGGGTTGCGAATGCTGGCGTTCTGGATCTTGAACGTTCGGTTCACCGATGTGTCCAGATCAATACCGCTCGACTTCTCCACCACCGTTTCAGACACCGTGTAGCCGATGCCGTGGGGGTTCCAGTCCTTGTCAATAGGCATGGCGTGTGCTTCATCGTAAACGAGTCTGTTGTCGTGACCCTCCAGCATAGGATCGACACGCAGACTGAAGATGTGTTGATGGTGTACGGCCAGGACGCCAGGATGTACCACGGTTCCGAATGGAACACCAACCTGGTCGAGTTCGTGATCGACTGGCTGCGTGCTGAGGATACCAGTAGCTCGGGCTTCGTAGATGACTTCTCCGGCCTGGTTGAACATGAATGCCAAGATGTATTCGTAGTTGGAGACCGTGATGATGCTCTGCAGCACCAATTCTCGATTTCGCACCACCGCCGCTCGACCGGTTCGATAGTTGGTGTGCTTCCAGCCAATACCAGCATCCTGCTCATGAATGCAGACACAGTTCTCGAAGGGTGTAGGCACGCCCTTGTCATCCGTGAAATGTGCGGATAGATATTGAATGTGGCCCAAGCAATCACATCCGAGCTTCAAGTTGTTGGCCATAACACCGGCACCGGCATCACCCAGGTCGAAGGCCTGCTTCTTGTGGAATGGGTGGCGGGGGTCTGCATATGGAATACTCATATCCGAGAGTGAAAGACGATAGAAGAGTGGTCTTCCATCATAACGAACATCATAAAGAACCATACCCTCACGCTGGTTAAAGCCAACCAGGAAACTCCACTTCTGCCATCGCAGAACATGGCCCGTCTCACCAGTCGGGGTCAAAGAGAATGAAGCACCTTCGGGTTGTATCACTCGTAAGGGTTTGATATCCTCTCGAAGTGGGTGGTGTTCTGGAATATATTCGTTGGCGGGCTTGGCCTGGTATGGTCGTGGCTCATGGATTGTGTTGTCGGCGCCCGTGGGCAAGTAGTCGATGCGAATGACTTTGTAATCAGTGCAGTCAATCACGGGTGAGATGGGAAGTGGGAAAGCGTAATGGTTCGAGTCCAGCTCGCTCGAATTGGCGGGATCACGCATGTACAAGAAAACTTGGAAGATTCGCTCGTCATCGTTGATGCCGTCGGAGCCTGGGGTTGTCAGTAATGGAACACGACGGCTTGCAAAGGAGCAAAGAGTCGTCTCCTACCATAAATCCAAGGGTCGGCACAGACAGCGGTGCCTTCGGGAAGCTGCAACTTGGCGATGGCGGCTTTAACGCCTTCATCCTCGAGAGCATTCTTCTCCACCATCAAAATCTCCTCGTAATCGGCATTTCCGTGCAGATTTGGGCCGAGGCGGACATTGCTCTCGACCTTGCCGGCCGAAAGATCCACAACCGCCTCATGGAATCGATTCTGAAATATATCATGTCAATGTCAAGCACTGAGACACCAGTCGTCGGTCACTTACGGTGTTTCGGATATAATATGACGTAAAGGACTTGCGAGGGATAAAGGGCAACGGCGAACCACTATCCCGGGCAGCGAGATAGGGGATCATCTGCTTCTTGGGAGGTTCATCGAGAGTGATGATCTTGAAGCGAAGGTCGGCGTTGGCTGGCCATACCGACTTCAACAAGTCAGCAGTGGTGGCGATCTCCGATGGAGTCAACGGAGCAAGCGGGTGGGTGACGGTCTGCTTGGCCGCTGCTGGCTCAGCAGAGAAGTCCTGTGCGACGGCTGCCATGGTTTGATTATGTTATGATATGGTAGCCAGATCTCGAGAGTGGTGTGAGAAATCGAAGAGGGTATGAAGAACAGAATGGAAGGACGTATGTTATAGATATCGACAGCCAAGAACCTAGGTAGCCAAGTGAGAGGCCCCCTCGGCTCAACTTGGCGTGCGAGCGAGCAATGGCCCTGGAGGATGCAACCAATGAATCATAAATCCGCTCCTAGTCAAACGCGTTCAAGTTGTCGACATTCCAGTGTTGTGGCTCACTGTGGGGTAGACTTCATCAAAATCCCAAAGAGGCAACAGAGATAGCTGGCAATAATAATGAAGACGAGGCATACAGCGAAAGCGATTATCACTTGTCATTATCAAAAGGCAGTTGGCACGGTATTGGGTGCAAAAGCTCGAATCTAAGCCATGAACAGCAATTCTAGCCGTACAGCCACTGAAAATGGATTTTGTTCGCAATCAGTTCGCTTTATCTGTCCCACCTCCCATCTCCCGCCAATCATCCCGTCTTGAGTTAATCCAGCCCTCCTCGCCCTTGTCCGTCACGACATCCACAGTCATGGTTGTTGATATACCGAGTACATGGAGGTCTGAGATGGTCTCATTCATCAACCCAGCCAACGTACGTTGAAGATGTCCCATCCCAGCTAGTGTGCTGATGCGAAGGGCTTGCCGGATATCTGCCGCGTATTCTGCTGAAGATCCGAAGTAACCATTCAATTATTGGTGAAGGGTACGGTCAACCAGAATCGATAGAGCGGGCTGGAATGATCAGTTCATCTTTCCTCTGTTGGTATGTCAGTGGCGTGCGGGACTTGATAGAATCTTTTTGGACTTACGGAATCCGGGTCAGGTATATTGGTCGAGCGAGACCGGCTTCACCAACAACATTGCCGAATACCTGGCTCAGTGTTTCCTTTGAGCGAGCATCATCCAACATGATTCGAGTTCCCACCTCGAATGACCCATTCCCATAATCTTTCAGCTCCGCAATCCCTATCTGGGATCGAGGCCAATTGGGAGGTGCATCCTTGATGCAGTCCAGTTGTTCAATGAATTCCTCCATCGGCAATGAGCATGCTGCCATTTGAATTTTGAAACCCTCATTGGCGTGTGACGGAATGTTGATTCTCTTGTTTCCATCAGGCGTGTAAATAGACAAAAGACCCCGGTCGAAGATATGGAACGTTGCGTTGTGTTTCGATGCTATATAACCTGCACCTCCACTCTCCCTCAAAACTACCAGGCTCTCCTTGATTCTGTTCCCACTGACAGGGGGTTCTGGAGCTCGAGCAGCTGCTTGTGCAACAGCTGCTGGGGTCGGGATGGGATATGCAATTGGCGCGGGAGGGGGAGCAGTAGCCGATGGAAAATAAACCAGACCTGGAGGTTGTGGCGCCGGTGCTGGAGAACTACCATTCGGAACACAGAACATACCAGGATTTCCAGCGCTAGGCGGGACAAAGAACGCACCAGCTTGAGGCGCTGGGGCGCAGGAACCTGCTCGTGGAAAGAACGAGTAGGGCGGTGGTGGGCCTCCTGCTGCTGGTGGTGCTGCAGCACCAGGAGGCTTGCCTTGATTTGGTGGCCCCCCATCTTTGGTCACATATTGGTATTGAGTCTTGCCGGCGAAACCAGGTGGAGGTGCCATTGCCGGCAGGCCAAAGGGATACATAAATGGATTCGCCATTTTTGATGTTGGTAGAAAGTAGGAAGTGGCCGGCTTCTACGGTCGAGATGGTGAACAAAGATGGTTGGAGTGCTGATCTACAGCTGAGGATGGATGGATGACCAGACAGATTTATAGTCCTTCCAAGGTCCTGAGGGGCACAATCCTGACGCCTTCGAGCCGTGATTCGAACGTAATTTCCCCATGACTGAGCTTACTTCCCAATGCAGCAAACGACGATGCACTCACAGTTATGCCTGTGCCTCCAAGAACAAAGAGATATTCGTTTCAGACTGCCTCATGTGGCTGTCATGGGACATCACAGACACGGTCGACCTTGACTGGAATACCAAAAGCACTCATGACCATCAGCAGCTTCCGAGACTTTATCCAGCAGCGACGACTGCCAATCCATCATAGATTTTTCGCTTGACTCTGGTGAAGTTGTCGGCTGCTCTGGGAGTCATACCACTAACTGGTACCCCTTCCACAATGATTTTACCACTGCTAAGCTTTTTCACTGCAATCATTCCGTCAACCAATAATGTGCCTTCACCTCGAAATTCCGCAAGGTGACCTTCGAGTGCAATGAGTCGTCTCAGATCGGCCAAACGTAAATCGCCCACGTGGATGGCCGTTGTGACGGACCTTGTAGAAGCAGCAAGACTCGCTGGTAAGATGTCAAGCAGTGGCTCTAGGCCTTTCGTGGTTGGAACTGCAGTCTGCAGAGAGGCTTCGCTGTCAAGTTTCTGTTTCTTAGTCTGGGGATCATCATGTAGGTTGGAAGCTTGACTATCCACCTTCAACTGGCCTTGCAAGGTAACGACACCCATATTCTTGACATTCTGCCATTGCAATGTCTTAGCAAGGTCTCGGCTGAGCTTGACAATCCATGCATTCGTATCGACGCTTGCATCAATGATTTGACCTTCAGAAGGAGTAAATATCTCCACAGTTGGTTCATCTTCTGCTCCCACCACCTTCATGCCCAATAGCTCTTTGCAGTCGGAGGCCAGTGAAGAAATTTCTTGACTGCTACCTCCAACGAGGATTAGTTTCTTGGGACCAATCAACGGGATCAGCATTTGTAGACTTCGTTGGTCGTGTAACCCCGCAAAATCAACAAATGCGAGTCTGGCATTGACCAAGATGTCTGTGGTGGAAAACACGAGTTTAGCTGGGCCTTGAATACCTTCGGCCTCAATTTCGCCCTCAGCTTCGGATTCCTCTGATTCCGAGTCTCCTCCGGCAGGGCTTGCTGAACGAGTACTGCGGCCATGGAAGCGTTTGTTTTGACCGTCTTTCTTATTGTTCGCATCATCCCATTTTCTCTTCTGTCCCAACAAACCACTGTTTTTGTCATCTCTGGCAGCATCTTGCTCTTCCTTTTCTTCCTCTCTCAGAAAGTCTTCTGGCTTAATGAAATCACCAAATTCATCTCCTCGTCTTCGTGCGTGTGTGTAAGGAAAGAGAGCATTCCTGCCCTTCTTATTTCTGACATCGTAGTCATGAACACCTTTCTTTCGGAGCAAAATGCTAATTCCAAGATCGGCGTCGCTCAACGCAAGCTTATTTCTCGCTCCATGACCCAAAGCTGAGGATATGTTCAATACTCGGCCTTGTTGTTCGTTGTCTGATTCATCTTCGGATGAAGAGCTGGATTCGTCGTCCAAGTTGTCTTCCGCAGCACCTCCATCTCGTTCCGTCGGAGGCAGAAGAGAATCCCACATTTGTCGCTGGGTGGCAACATACTGTTGATATCGTTGACTCTCTTGAGTGCTTAGTGACGCCTTCTCGGCGATGGTCAATTTAAGCGTCCTCCCACCACTGTGAACTTGCTCCAACTGCTCCCCAGATGGAGCCCGTTCCAAAGCTACACCGTCTCGTCGCTCCTCGTACCATTTCCAGAGTTCGTGACTGGTGTTGAAGACCGTAGAATTGAGCTCCGTTCTCTCGGTTAGGATGATGAGGTTTTCTGGCCTCTGCGTAATTTCCAGCAACAAGGACTTCGAAAATCCCCAGTCCAAGGACAAATCACTAGCAAGAATGACTCTGGGGCCTTCGGACTTTAGCAACTTCTCTAGTTGACTTTTTCGTTCAACGAGCTTGACATTCTTGAATTCGAATGGCCTGCTGGGTTTCGATCCATTATTCACTTGCTTGCTTCCACTTCTTCTGTGTGTTTGACCTCGACTGGTATTCTCATCATCACCCTCGAACTCTCGTACAATGCTATCATCCATCCATTCCAGCAAACTTCTAGCATGTCTCAAGGTGGCATTTCCTGATTTGCTGGCCATATAGACTTTGGTGTTTCTGAGGAAAGAGGCATTCGACTCATCCGACCATGCCTTTTCCAATATCCAGGCCAACTCCAGAACGCGAGCACTGGAATCTGTCGGTATAAGTACTGTGCCATTTTTGGAGATGCTACTTCGAATGTGTCCAAGCAGTGCATCGTCTCGGGCTTTGCGGCCCCCAGACAGAGCGACTCTGGTTGCACCCACACTGCTACACACGAGGGCTGTCGGCTTGCGCAGTTGTTCGATAACTTCGGCACCTCCAACACCACCGAACCATGCTGCTCCTGCTATTACATTTTCTCTGGCTTGATTCCAGTCCACAGCGTAAACAATCGATTCCATGCCATGTTGGATGTGCCATATTGTCCCACCAAGTGTATGACCAGAATTATATGCAGTCAGGGTCAAACCTTCGAGCGCAGGAGAGAATTGAGAAGGTGTAGGTTGGTGCGGCTGTGAATATTTCAAAGGATTGATAAGTGAGAAGTATTTGTTGATCTCTTCGAATGTAGGGGCTTGACGTAGGATATTTGAGCGAGATCGATCATCCGCACCGGAGTTGTCTGAGCCCGGAACAAAGGTGGCAGCTGCGGGTGTGGAAGAGTACAGATCTTGTAGGAGGGTTCGTCCAAAGGCGATGACGGGGGCGGTAGCGTAGACAGGAATCTGAGTAAAGAGAGGAATGTGTTTGCAGCAGTGGGCAAAAGCACCAATATGGGAAGTGGTAGCATGGGTGAGAATGATGAAAGATAGAGCTGAAACATTTTTCTCTATTTCAGCTAACTGCCGAGGATCAAATCGTTCGTCCCATCCCACATCTACCAGGACTTTGACACCGCCATCGAGCTCAAGAATTGATTGGGAGGCTCGAGTACCAGACTGTGATCCCAACAAGGGAGTGAAAGTGAACATGGTTGAGTCGAGTGAGCTGCCTCTTTCGGAGTCATTAATTGAGCATTTATGGACCTTGGAGGATCTGACAGTACGTCCTCGACAACGAAAATTGACTGTTGGGCATGATTGTCTGTTGAATGAGGTGATTCAAGTTTATTCGCAACAAATCGCGTTCGCGTGAGGCAGTCGCAGAACGGGATACAAAAGGACAAACTGAGCAAATATGCCAAGCGTCTGCTCAATCCAAAATGGGTTTGAACTCACCTTGATTACCAAAAATCTCTAATCAAAGCCTCTAGCCAAAGTTGTTTAATCTCCACCAAGGCGGTGCGTCCAACAACCTCCGTCATACTAGTAGGCTCCCCAAGAGCAATGAGGTGAAGAGCAAGTAATGTCAGTGGAATGCGTGCTAATCTACTTGCCGCGTCAATTGCCTAGATAGACAGTGTTCGGTAATGCCTAATGAAGGTGTTCGACCATATAACCAGTTATTACTCTGTCAGGACAGGTGCGATGTTGCTCGAAGAACAGTCTTTCTGGGTCTCTTCTTTGCCCCAGGCTCCTTTAGCAGCCACTCCTGACCTCCTCTCGAGTCAACCGCAGGACTGCGCCTGAAGGAGCAAACATGAAGTATTTCGGCACCGATACCCCCGAAGTCGGAGCAGATCGGCTAGATGACCAGCAACAATCTGATGATGCGGAGAACCGGTCATTCTCTCACAATCAATGTATATGATCGGAGACGTTGGTCGCCTGACCGATGCTACCTTCCAAAGGTTAACATCGCTAGCGCCAAACTGTCTTCATTGCAGTAGGATTCTCTGTCCTCTCTTTACCCGTTTGAGCAAGAGAGGTAGGGGCATAGCCTATCTCGCAATTATCCTCCAAACAGTACCTCAGATCAGCCTGCCGCCTGCGTTTCTCCAGTTTGATCGTCATGAACGGAACCCTTCTCAGAAGAGTACAGCAAAAGGGCAGACTTGGTCGAGTCTGCCGGCCATCACCACATACTCGAATCCAGCTTCAACCTCGGTGACATGCCAAAAGAATGTCACATTCACACCCTCTGGCGCACTCCATTGTCTTTAGCGAGATCCGGGGTTCCCAATCACTTGAATTCGGAGTAATGAAGGATGGACGACACCGCTACCCCGTGTGGGGAAATATGGGACAACAGAGAGCACAATGTATATAAGCCATCTTCATTTACCTCGTGCTCTTGGAGAACCATGTCGCTCCGAACAGGTCTGACTTCGATACTCTTCCGCCCTGCCGCCTAGATTTGATTGTCATCCCGCGGTCAGCCAGCATTCACATATAGCAACGATGGCGCCAGCAACAGTCGAGCATGTTGAGGGGCGGATAATGCCTGAGACCGCTCGATTGGACGATGCTGTCTTTGCGAAGATGGCTGAGACAGTGGACAACTTTGGCAATCTCACTCTAGATGCTCAGCAAGGCACTGAGTACGAGCACAAGATGACATTATGGCAAGCAGTCCGCATGTATCCAAAGGCCTCGGCATTCTCGATGATTATCTCGCTATCTCTTGTTATGGAAGGTAAGTCAGCGGACATTTACTGTTTGAGAAACAAGCACTTTTTCAGAGATATCTCTTGGAACGCTAGAACACACCCCCACTTACAATGGCTTCACAGGTTATGATACCGCATTGCTTGGGTCCTTCTTCGGATACCCTACATTTCAACGCAAGTTTGGGCATCAACTAGCAAATGGTACATACCAGTTGAGCGCTTCCTGGCAATCTGGGCTTCAAAATGGTGTGCAGGTCAGTTGTCCAGCGTCCATCTGACTACCTCGCCTCCTAGTCAAGTGTCAAGACTAACATATTCATGATTCAGGTTGGCGAGATTTTGGGACTGTGGGCTGCAGGGACCATCGCTCAAAGATTTGGCTACAAGAAAACTATCATTGGTGCTCATATTATGATGATCTCCTTTGTATGTGGATATTGCTCTTTGTGGGCCGCGCTTTGGGTACTGATTCTCCGTAATGCAGATCTTCCTTACTTTCTTTGCGAAGAACGTTGCGATGCTGTTCGCAGGATGCATTCTTTGTGGGTTGCCATGGGGCGCGTTCCAAACCCTGACGACAACGTACGCCGCCGAAATCAGTCCTGCACCCCTTCGGCCCTTTTTGACCACATACGTCAACATGTGTGTAAGTTTTCTGGATCCAGCTGCTTTCCCGGATGAGAATGTGTCTAACAATACCTAGTGGGTTATGGGCCAACTTATTTCAGTCGGTGTACTTCGAGGATTTCTCCATCGCGCGGATGAATGGGGATGGCGTGTTCCTTACGCAATTCAGTGGTAAGTCAAGCTAGACTGAAGCCTTTACAGGCTTTGTGATATCTGACTCTTTGTGATGCAGGATGTGGCCATTGCCCATAATTGTGGGCGTCATACTTGCACCAGAGGTGAGTGTCTAAGATTTCATCATTTCCTTCGGACAGGCTTGATTAACAAATACAAACAGTCTCCGTGGTATCTAGTACGGCAGGACAGGATTGATGAAGCGAGAAAAGTCCTTAAGGGCCTCGTGAGTGCCAAAAATACCGACTATAATGTGGACCACCACATCGCACTGATCATCCATACAAATGCCCACGAAAGGGCAGTCTCTGCAGGTACATCGTACAAAAACTGTTTCACAGGAATCGACCTCCGGCGGACAGAAATTACTTGCTGCGTTTGGGTGATCCAGGTCACTTGTGGAATCTGGTTTGGTGGCAATGTCATCTATTTCCTCCAACAAGCAGGCTTTGACGCACGCAAATCTTTCGATTTTGGACTGGGACATAATGCAGTCGCGTTGGTTGGCACGCTTTGCGCGTGGTGGATCATGCAATACGTGGGACGTCGAACGCTGTACCTGTATGGCTTGGGAATCAACTTCACAATCCTGGTGATTGTGGGCTTCTTGGGCATTCCGAAACCGAGCAGTACCATTGCCTATGCCACAGGATCTCTACTGTACCTCTTTACCTTCACCTACGATGTCACTGTAGGCCCAGTCTGCTATTGCATGGTAACGGAAATCCCCTCGACACGATTACGCATCAAGACTGTGGCCCTGGCTCGAAATTGCTACAACATTGTGAGCATCGGCGCCAATTTTCTCAATAACCCAATTCTGAATCCCTCGGCATGGAACTTGCGCGGTAAGGGTGGATTCATCTGGTGCGGGTTTGCCCTTGTGTCTTGGATCTGGAGTTACTATCGGCTACCGGAGACGAAGGGGCTGAGTGCCAATGAGCTGGATGTCCTCTTTGAGCAGAAGGTCCCAGCCCGTCGCTTCTTGAAGGTAAAGGCAGATCCATTCAGATCTGAGAATCTTAAGGCTGTTCAGCTGGAGGCAACCACTCCTGTGGTAACACATCTGGAGGAGAAGTAGAGAATTAATGGAAAGGGGGGTGAGCAGTCTGCAGAAGAACATCAGGTCGCTAACCCATCAGCACCCACCACATACCCAATTCATTCAACCCAGCCAGTAGGATTAGGCCCAAATACGACGTAGGGATGTGTATATCTCATCCCCAATCCCCGCGATGTGGTTTTGGTTCCATTCGGTGATGACCGTGATCGGCTTCCCCAAGAAATCGTGGGATCGTGGTAGTAACCCATAAAAGCAATGTAACCGCCAACTCGGTGAAATATTCGCTAGATGGTTCTTTTGCTGACAACTGTGGACGTGCAAATCCACAGATTTTAAGTACTCAAGTAAACTATGACTCGACAGTGCATGCATTCGTAAAGGATCGACAACTCCGGATGTACAACGACGAAGGCCTTCCAATCGGGTTGCGAAAGGGGTACGCAAAGCCAGTGCACATAAGGAGTCATGCGACCAGGACGACTCTCTTTCCTTCTACCGGACGGCTATCTTCATAGTAGCCTTCTGCCCTTCACAAGTCTTACCAAAATACCTTGGTTATTGAAAAGTCGAATATTGAATTGAGTTTTTCCAGCACCTGTGTCAACATGAGAATCTCGAAAGACGTACCCAGCCAAGATGCCAGCGCCGACCGCACCGCCATCATCGGCGGCCGCAGCACCGACAAATACCGCTTCACAGTGATCGCCGAGGGCCTGCTACGCTACGAGTGGGCGCCGGACAGCGAGTTCGAAGACCGCCCATCATCGTTCGCACTGCACCGCGACCAACCGGTCCCGGAGTACAAAGTGCGAGAGACGGATTCTCAACTCGAGATCTTCACGTCCAGATTCCACCTCACGTACAACAAGGAGGACTTCACGCCGTATGGGCTTTTCGCCATCGTCGTGGGAGACACGCGCGCGCCGTGGAGATATGGAGAGGTCGATTCGCGGGGTAATCTGGGCGGGACGGCGAGGACGCTCGATGAGATTGACGGGCGCATCGACATGGGGTTTGGGATTCTCTCGGAGAAAGGGTCGGCGTCGTTGGATGATTCAGAGTCGTTTTTGTTCGAGAAGGACGGTTTTGTCGGTGCGAGAAAGCCAGGGCCCGGTCGGGTCGACGGCTATCTGTTCGCCTATGGCCATGACTATCGCGCTGCGGTAAAGGCCATGTATGCCATCTCTGGTTCACCACCTTTGCTTCCAAGATGGTCGTTAGGGAACTGGTGGAGCAGATATTACGAATACTCGACCGACTCGTATCTGGCGCTCATAGAGAAATTCAGAGAGAGCGAGATTCCGCTGACGGTGGGAGTCATCGATATGGACTGGCATTTGGTCGACGACCCTAAAGTGATTAAAGCCGGACAGACCGGCTGGACAGGCTACACGTGGAACAAAAAGCTCTTTCCGAATCCCCCAGAATTTATCAGTGAATTACACAAGCGCAAGCTCAAGACGACACTCAACGAACACCCGGCAGATGGAATCCACAGCTACGAAGACGTGTACGAGAAAGTCGCGAAGGCGGTCGGACAATCGCCAACCCAGATAGGCCACAAGGAGCCAGTGCCATTCGACATCGCCGACCGGAAATTCCTCAAGGCGTACTTCGACGTCCTCTTGAAATCACTCGAGGACGACGGTGTCGACTTCTGGTGGATCGACTGGCAGCAAGGTCCATATTCACGTGTCAAGGGTATCGATCCATTATGGATGCTCAACCACTATCACTTTCTACACAATGCGGAGAAGAACCCGGACAAACACCCCTTGATCTTCTCCCGGTATGCCGGACCAGGGAGCCACCGCTACCCCGTGGGTTTCTCCGGTGACACGGTCGTGTCGTGGGCGAGTCTGCATTTCCAACCGGAGTTCACGGCCACGGCATCGAATGTGGGATATGGCTGGTGGAGCCACGACATCGGTGGTCATATGATGGGAGTCAGAGACGAAGAGCTACTGGTGCGGTGGACGCAGCTGGGTGTCCTGTCACCAATCATGAGACTGCATTCGACCAAGAGTAGATGGATGAGCAAGGAGCCTTGGCAATTACCCCAGCATCTGGGGGATATTATGACCGAATGGTTACGGTTTAGGCACAGATTGCTGCCGTATTTACATACTATGAACGCCAGGGCGGCGATTGATGGTCTGCCGTTGGTGCAGCCGATGTACTGGGAGTATCCAAGACGAACGGAGGCATATCAGCACAAGAATCAGTTCCTGTTCGGAAGCGAATTGCTCGTGATCCCGATCACAGCACCCATGGATCCCAATGTACGACTTTCCAAGACCAAGGGCTGGCTTCCTCCGGGAAGATATGTCGACTTCTTCACCGGCATCGCATATGATGGTGATCGTGAGTTGTGGGTCAGTCGGCCATTGGACCAGTATCCTGTGTTCTTGAGAGAAGGATCGATCGTACCTCTGGACCACAATCTCAAGCCGACAAACGGAGGAGAGAATCCTGATGGGTTCGAAGTTATCATTGCAGTGGGGGCTGATGGACGGTTCGAAATCCTGGAGGAGGAGGATGAATCGAAAGGTCGTGCTGCGAAGGATATTGACTGGCTTAAGACCACTATTATCTTCACTCAAGAGACGGGCACTGTGGAGATCAACCCCGCTAGCAAGGCCTCAGGTACCAGTGAAAAATCTCGAAACTGGTTGCTGCGCCTTGTAGGCCTATCCAAAGTCGGCAAGATTGTTGTTCAAGGTGGCGAACATGTGAACAGCAGTGAGTCAAAAGTCTCTGAAGTAAGCAACGGCGTCTTGATCGACATAGGCAAAGTGGCAGCTGGAGCAAAGGTAACGATAGACATTGGCCTCAAGAATCCGAGGTTGGATCTAGGCAAAGATGACACTGTGAACTCGCTGATCGAACCCATAATCATGAATGCACAGATTGGGTATCCTTTGAAAGACGAGATCTGGGAGATTGTCGATACTAAGAAGGGCACAGCAAACTCGGCGATATTAAACCGCCTGCAGACTTTGGACATGAATGACGATTTGAGAATTGCCCTTGCGGAGTTCCTCGTTGACGAGGTTTAGAAATGACTCCCCAAAGATATCGGATATCAAAAGTATTGGATTTTCTCCCGAATGGCGCGGTTTGAATAATTGGATGGTCCCATTGCTCACAGTCAAACAAAAAAGTTTTTCTGAATCCTGTTTTGATATTTGGCCAATTGTTCCAATGCAGCTGGGGTTTTCTTAGCCTGGATGTAACGCAAGCATTTGCGAGGCAACATCGAGATAGACGAGGTCACTCTTCAACCGGTGAGGATTGATAGATTCTTCCGTGATATTGTGTGACCAAGCCCACTTATCGCCATTCTCAGCGTCATAGTCGAAAGCGATAGGGTTCTCGAGTTCAGTAACTTCAAAGGTCACACCAGCTTCATTCAGCAGTCTTCCGATAAGTACGTCTTCATCCTCGTCCGATACTGGGTAGGTTTCGTACTGTGTGACAATGGTTTTGACAGTCTCCCAGGACAGCGTGTAAAACTGGCCTCCAGGATATGCGTACGACCTTTCGCCCTGAAGTCGACGGCCAATGATAACATGGCCAATACTGGTCGTGTCGTCTTGTAGGAGATGTTCCAGATATTGGTGATAGAATGTAGGAAGTGCCACAAACGAGTCGTCGTCCATCTTGGAAATCATTTGCCATGACTGTCCGGAGTTGACAATATGCTTCAAGCACTCCACCGACTTGATGGTATTGGCGACATGATGTGATTCTTCCAGGTGTGACAGCACAATAATATCTCCATATGTCTTATTTTCATGTTCTATGACAGGCAACCAAACGTCCCCAGGATCTGAAATGACGAAGCGAAGAGTGAACAAGGAATTCGAATATGCTTTGCCCATCGTTGAGCGGATAATGTTACGCCGGCGTTGTGAAGTGGCGGCCGACATAGTGGCTATTAGCCACTGAGGCTGCGCATGCTTGCCGGCTCCAAGACTCAGCCATGGCCGGAAGTCTAGTGACTGTAGCAGAAAAACACAGATCAAAGAAGAAAAGAAAAATATAACAACCTTGGAGTTTGCGTATTTCTTGACAGTTGACATATTGCCTGAAGAGAGAGTAAAATTCAACCAGCGTCCTGAAGGGCAAACGGCTCGTTCGCTGCGTCCATATTTATGACACGGGCGAGATCTCACTAATCGTAAAGTGAACGGAACTTGAACCTTGAAGTCGATTAAATCTCGCCAATTATCTTTAACGAGAGTAGAGACCTAGCCAGGGGCGACCTGAGACAGTCTATAGTGGAGCCGACATGGGTTTCTTCGCGTGGTGTGCGAATTTCCTCGAGTTGCAGTTGGCGCAACAAAAGCATTGTCCCATGGATTTGGCCACATGGCCCTGACTCCGGAAACTTACTATCAGCTGAGGTTCCTGCGGTTGCGGGAAGTCGTAGGAAAAAGACGCTTGAGATGCTGAACGTGTGTGCACGGACACTGCCGTTGCGTGGCCAGAAGCGAAGAATTGAAGTGTAGGCTAACTATAGCTAAGCGAGTGAGAAAGATAAGAAGACAAAACCACGCCGGTCCGAAGCTAACTAAGCTTGGACCATGCTTCAGAATTCATCTTCTTTGTTCATTTGTATCCTGCGGACTATATACATTAGATTGGCATGACAACATTAGGGATATTAGATACTGAGATCATCGGCGGCCGTATGGTTGGCAGTAGCCTGTGCGGCGCCCACAGACCATTTTCATGCCACTACAGATCAAAGCAATTGGCATAGTAAGTAACTGTGGAGGACCAATCTGAGAACAAGCCGATAATACCAACTTCTTGAGCCAAGACATCAATAACGTTGTATGCTTGTCCATCATAGTATGTAATGGGCGCAATTGATGCATAGTAATAATCCTCATTAGCAGCGACCTTGGACAGAGGGCCGGATCGTTCGAATGACCAAGCAATGACATCAAGGCCAACCTCTTTTGCGGTGATCGCATAGGAAGAGGGAACGATGGTGTCATTGTTGGGGCCACCCACGGTCAATAAGTAGTTGATTGGGGGTGCAACGACACTGACACCACTGGCTTTCAATGCTCCCAAGCGGTTCACCGCGACAGTAAAATTGTCTGGAGTGTCACCATCTTCATCCAGGTAGACGAGTTGCTTGCCAAATGCAGGGAACTCATTCAGCCACAGATAAATGTCGGCAGGTGTGAAAGACTGGAACCAAACTCGGCTTGGGTCGATACCTTTTTGAACGAAGACGTTCATCGCGTCTCGTGCATATTGTGCCTGGGTGTACCCGTTGAATGGGAGAGGTACAGCCTTGGGCGGAGTCTTCAACTCCGGTGTGAAATTCCGGTATCCCGGGATTGAATCGACCAGATCGATCCACTCAGGGAAGGTCAGCACCTGGCCACATGTGTCATAAAGCTCTGTTCTCCAGGCTGGGGTGCCATGCTGATAGTCCTCGACATTCGTTGCAGTCTTATTGAACCCATCCATCTTGCCACATAGCGATTTGAATTCTGCTGTAGTAATGTCGCTGGTACAGCAAAGCGCTGTTGCTGGGTGAGTGGCGTTTGCAGGAGTGAAGGGAATGCTGCATTTGGCAGCTAATTCGGGCTTCAGAAGAATGTTGGTGGTGGTATGCAGATCGCAGATGTCGTGTCTGCAAACCAGCCCACGGTCTGCAGTGAATGAGACGTCGCACTCTAGCACGCCTGCACCCATTCTGGCGCCGGCCAAAGTAGATTCTACTGTCTCCTCGGGAATCTGCATGGTGCCACCACCACGGTGACCAATACTCCAGCTCTGAATTCCAACGGGCTTATTTTCGCAGGCGACTAATTTGTCCTTCAGGGGGCTTTCGCTGACATTATGAACGAGGTAGTAAGGACGAGGTCCAAGCGAGACAAGGTAATCTTGTCCTGGATAGTGACGACGATCAAGTGGAATGCCAGCAACCAAAGATGTCGCAGCAGCCACCACGGCCAGAGAACTGAGTTTCCCGTGCATTGCAAGATGAGGTTTGATCGATTCACACTTGGGGAGACTTGTTTGGGCGAATGCAGAAGAAAAGAAGAACGCGAAACACCCCGCTTACTGCTGGGGACTGGGTTACCTTTAAGACAAAATGCCTGCCTAAATCTTTTCCCATCATGGTTCCATGATTTTTAGGGAACTCCAGATCCAGCATCGTCCTCACGATGCAGAGTTCCACGTGGACGAATAGAAGCTCCGAGTAGGACGTCAGGATCTCAGAGAAGTGGGAATGGGACGGCAAGGGAGCTTGGGATATCTTTGGTTCTTCGAGCTAATACAACGCCGATCCTACCTCACAAAGTGAGCTCTGCTGATGTAGAGATAGTAGAAGCTCTGGTATCGACAAATAGCAGAGCAGAGTAGGTAACGTGTAAGCTGTACCTGCATGTTGCGGCAGAGCGACCTCGGTAGCCTGGGATAGAGGGTGGTTGAAAACAGCTCTTAGCTCTGATAACTATGCTCGGATAAGTAACAAGCTTGAGACAAGACAAGGTCCGAGCAATACCCCGCTGATACAGTGGTCTTGGCTGCAGCTGGAGCTGAAGGTCAACCCAATCACACAGGTGGCATGCGGCTATCCTTGAGATATTTAGTTAGAGTGTTGAGGTAGCTCGCTGTTTAGTTGACCACCTTGTCATAGAGCTGCCTTTTCTGGCTGATTATGAACAAATGAATCAGAGCCGGAGTACCTAGGTACCTCTGGAGAACCGCCTTCGGTCGTGGCGAGATCCTTCGAGGACAGAGCCCTCTGAATCCGAAAAACGCACCAATGAAGACTTCAATTGAGAGCACGTCTGTGTCAATAGGTGCGATTTATTTCCTGATCGATTACTGAACTCATCACAGATCTTTAGTCCAGGGCGTCAAGTCAGGCAATGCATAGTTACCACAGACTCGAGACAAAAAACACTTGTTCATCAGAGCTCAGCCGTCGATAGTCAAGGCCACCAAAGTCTAAGCTCTCTAAAATGGGCAAGTACAGTCAAGGCGACTTGGCATGACGTCTGGATTCCGCTTCCTGGCAGCTGTTGCACCTCGCCTACCACTGCCACTGCCACTGCCCATCCCAGTTGTCCTGGACACCTTGGAAGTTGGTGGCTCTTGGATGGCCTTGCTTAACAGGTAAGTCCTATCAATTGCCGTCTCGCCATAAGGGACACACAACGATCATTGGAGTTGTCTTGACAAACGGAAATGTTCCTCCGCAGTTCACAATCGGGGTGTTGATCAGATTGCCGAAGCCGAGTTCGCGTACGCACCTGCATGCTGACAAGACTTTGTGCAAGAAGGGTTTCGTACCTGCCTTTCACAATGTTATCTATGAGTTGGATTTATCCGGATTGTCTCGCGCGAGAGTAGGTCTTCTATAGCCCGATCACAGCAGGTGCATGGAGAAACTTGATGGCTCATCACTCGAGGTCTTCCATCCTCGATATTTGGTTCACCCGATGAAGGATTGCCGTAACATCTCCATGCTGAACACCGTCCCATGGTGATGATGTCCTCATGACTGTGTCAAGTGGACGTGATTGAAATCAAATACAAGCCACACGTCGAGCAATCGATTTGAGCGTGAACCAAGACCAGCCCAGGCAGAATCTCCGACCCATATGGTATGCGAACTCGGTGTTCGCGCAGAGTAAGTATGGACTAAAGTTGACATTTTCCACTTGGGTGAGTTGAAAATATTCTCATATTTTCAAGTTCTACCTGGAGGCAATCAACAAGAAACATTTGACACTGCTCTACCCCTCGGTTATCGACGGTACATCAGATTTGCCAGTGCTGGTATCTCCGGAAAAGCAGATTCGCAACCGGCCCACTGAAAATCATCATTACTGATAGTCAACCTTGACTATATGTTGTTTCTGTTGTTTGACCAAACGAATACTACGGCACTGCACAGCCCTCACTCATGATCGTAGGTATTGGACCTCGGCACATAGAAATACTACGCTGCTATCAACTCTAAGGCCATGCCAAGTCGAGGCTCCACCTCCAATCCCATCAGCAAAGTTGGCATTTCCAGGAAGGCCATTCGTTTCCTCGTAGGGAGCCCCTCAATTGCCAAGGTATGGCCTATCATGACCTTCCAAAATCAGTTACTACGAGTATAGAGAATTGTTGCTAATATCATTGGCAGTCCCCGCAAAGCCTTGTGTCGCCACACCCGTTCACGATCATCAAGTCAAATGGTAGCCTCCGACAACCTTAAAAAAGAGACGATCGTCATTTCCAAGACTTCCAAGACATAAAAGATAGATCTTTCAAGGTACCTACGAAGTACCACCAAGATCAACCATGGCGCAAGGTTGGTAATGCCTCTCCTTTTGCTGGCCCATTGGCTAGGGAGCTTCGACTCCACACTCGTATCAATCACCCTAAACTGTTCTTGACTTCAAGACTTGCGGACAGACATGACTCAAGAGTAGTTATGGCGTGTGACCGCCCATAAAAGACGACAGCGGAGCAAACGAGAAACACGTAAGGGCTACAGATTGTCGTTCAACAGCTTCCTTTCCAAGAAAATGCTCCGGGGTCACTTGTGATAGTTGTCGGCAACACTTCACTCTATCCCTGGAGCACCTGTCAATGTAACCTCCATTCTCCCATATCTGCTTGGCGCACGACAGAGGCTGTGGCACTTTCTCTGGGGCAAAGGTAGTATACTCATGCTGTGGCGATGGCTATAAAGCTGGTCAATTCGTCTCTGCAATTCTGGATTGACGGAGGAGTCGTCCAGTCTGGGGAACTAATAGAGATCAGATATATCAGCCATTCACCATCATGAAGTCCCTCGGTCTAGCCTTATTGGCTTCAACTTTGGCAAATGCCATTGAGCTTCCTCGTGCTGAGTCAGAAGGCTTCACACTGGAACAGTATGAAAGCGGCTTCGTTCATGAGACGCTCATGGGCGCGAAAATGGTGAGTTTGCTGCAAAATGAGAACATTCGCTCGACTGACATGAGTCTAGTCTTCCTTTGCTCAACATCGTGCCGCCGGAGAATATGAATCGGAGCAATATCCGGCACTGAGCGCGCCCGCCAAATGTGAAAACGGCCTGGCGGTGGTCGAGTATGGTAACCCCAATCAGACATTTAAGTGTAACAATGTACGTCAACCCAGCCGTGTAACAATCTCGCAAAGCTGACCTTGCAAGATTGACCTTCTCGACTTCCGGAGCCATGCCGATCTTGGTAGCTTTATTGGAGAAGGTTCCTCTTCCTGGGGTTGGGTCTCTGACGATGGTCGGGAATTTGTTGCCATTGGCCAGGGTGATGGAACAGCATTTGCTGAAGTGTCTCCGGAGGGCAAACTGGTCTATCTCGGTCGATTACCTCAACAGTCCATCTTCTCCCAATGGCGCGAAATCCGGTCCCACAAGAACTATGTCATTATTGGCAGCGAAGCGGTGGGCCATGGTGTACAGATATTCGACTGGACAAAGGTGTGTGGTCGAATCCCCCTCTCTACCTGGATGTCCTGGAATACGTTGTCTAACATAACCTGCCTTAGTTGCTGACCATCGACCCCGCCTCACCGGTCAACTTCAGTACCACCGCCGACATCACCGGACTTTTCAACGACCTACCTGTCGGTCGTGTACACAACGTCGTACAAGGTCCAGAAGGCGCCGATTGGGTTGCCGTGGTTGGAGCTCAACCAAGGAACAGCACGTGTCGCGCGGGTCTGATCTTCGTCGACACCACAGATCCTGCCAACCCGTGGTCGCCCGGATGCGCCGGCCAAGACGGCTACGTACACGACGCTCAGTGCGTTATCTACCACGGACCCGACCAGAAATACGAAGGCAAAGAAATCTGCTACGGCTACAACGAAGACACTCTGACCATCTACGACGTGACGGATAAATGGGGCGTCAACTCGACGACCATCATCTCCAAGACCTCATACGTCGGCGCCCGCTACACACACCAAGGCTGGGTCCTCGATCTCAACTGGCAAACCCACTTGCTCATCGATGACGAACTCGACGAGGAGTACTACACGGGCCCAGCTGCCGACCGCTTCCCCGTGACGTACATCTTCGACATCACGAACCTCGAAGCCCCGAAACAAACCGGCATCTACAAGTCCAAGGCCTACTCGATCGACCACAACCAGTACGTGTTCGACGGCCTGAGCTACCAGAGCAACTACGGCGCGGGATTGCGGGTTCTAGACGTCAGCTCCATCCCCGCGGACCCGACCGGCGACAGCGTTGAGGAAGTCGCCTTCTTTGACATCTACCCCGAAGACGACCATCTGCCCAACGGCGGCATCATCGACTTCGTCGGCACCTGGAGTCACTATGCCGGCTTCCCCAGCGGTAATATCCTCATCAACACCATTGAACGCGGCGCCTTCATCGTCAAGATGAAGCAATTCGATAAGCGCGGTCGTGGCGCCCACTACAAGAAACCCAGAAACATTTAAGGTGTGAGTATCGTGCATGCATATGCTGGCACTGTCCGCTATACACTGATTCTCGAGTGGATGCTTGGTGCCCATTGGAAAACCACTCGGCTCTTCTAGTCCACTTATTGCATGCAATACATCATAGCACCAAAAATCTGTCCCACCACAGCTCGCATACAGATTATATGGGAGATCAGATATCTAACGACCATAATGAAATGATAATTAAAAGCTTGAATAAAAAACAAACCCAATCAGGATTCTGTTGATCCACCAAAATTGCAACGTGTTTGTCAAGACGACCTCGTAGCCAGCTAGACGCCAGTGTGTGTATTCTCTTCCATGTAGTAGGGAAACCGAAAAAGTCTCTCCTCGAAGTAAAGCATGTTCAACAACCCGTCTAACACATTGCGGGTGGGTGGGTATCCCCATTTCGGCCCTCATGCATTCATTGCACAGCAGCCCAAGAAGGGGCCGGGCGAGGAACGAGAACCACACGATAGCCTTTCTATGGTTTGGGGATATTCGGTACAGTATTCAAGTTTATCCATGCATTAATCTACAAGACTAGAAATTAGTAGTGATAGTATATAATCTCAGCGGGTTGAGGTTAAACGGAATCGTTCATAGTCGCCGCGCGCCCAGAAGATCGATCAACTATGTATGTATCCAATTTTCTGTCCTGACCCACTCAGCTGCAGCCACCCGATTAGATGTCGGGGACGGCGATGTATTACAGATTCCTCGTGACTGTGATTATCCACAAAAGAAAAAGATGATCGCACTCTCTCAAACGACCGACTTCTCCGCCGACTCCGTGATCTCACCGGAGTGGCTGTCGCTGGCGGTGGGGGGGATGTACGAGTCCTTGCGGTGGCCGGACGACTCGGGGTCGTAGTTGGGGGTTCCGGGGACCTCGCCGGCGAGCTCCTCGAGGGTCTTGCGCTTGGTCTCGGGGATGAGGAGGGTGGTGAAGATGCCGCAGAGCATGAAGAGGGCGAAGATCTGCATGACGTGGTTGAGCCATGGGGACGGGTTGTCGGTCGTGGCGTGGCCTTTGGTACGTAGCGGGCCGAACACGACCTGCGCGATGATGGCGCCGACCTTGCCGGACGCTGCGGAGAGACCGTGCGATGTGGATCGGTACCGTGTCGGGAAGCATTCTCCCGGCACGATGAAGGTCGTCGCGTTGGGCCCGAAGTTGAAGAAGAATTGCGCCAGGACGTACAGGGCCAGGAGCGCGTGTTGCGAGAGGTGGTGGTACGCGAAGCCGATGACGATGAAGAGGACGGTTAGGATCACGAAGCCCATCAGCTGGATGGGTTTGCGGCCGATCGTGTCCACGGTGGCTACCGTCACCCAGTAGCCTGGGATGGCGCCGGCGCAGACGATGATCAGATTGCCGACTGCGGTGTTGCGGAAGATGTGATACACGTTGGATCCCTTGGAGTAGCCGATTGCCTGCAGGATGATGGAGTTGTTGAGACCAAGACCGTAGAAGGCAACATCGAGGAAGAACCATGAACCAGCCGTTCCAATGAGGACCTTTCCGTGTCTCCACTGGCTGTAGTGGCGCCAGACTGTATCATGGTTAGCACATGTCTTTTCGATAGTGAATAGAAAGCAGTTCTTACAATCAGCCCAGCTTGCCTTGGGAGGAGCAAGTCTCTCGCGAGAGTCTTGGAGTACACCAGCACGGCTGACCTCATCAGGCTTTCCCTCGTGAGCACCCGACTTGTAGGCCTTGACATCCTCGACAGCTTTCTCAGTGTCTCGGGCAACATCGAAGGTGTATCGAGGGGTTTCGGGGATGGTCAGGCGGAAATACAAGGCAATGCATCCGGGGACTGCACCAAACCCGATGATGACTCTCCACATCTTGTCGACTGCAAGTAAGCACACTCCGTCACAGGCGGCGACATTCTTGGCGGTAATAAGAGATTCCTTGAATCCCGTGGTGACGCAGAGTGCGACCATGGCAGCAGTGAACTGGCCAATACCTTGCATGGCAAAGACAGAGCCCATCATGGCACCTCTCCATTTTGTTGTTGCGAACCTGCAGATGTTAGAGAATGTGTCCATGCAAATTCTGATGCTCTGAATGACTTACTCGGAAGTGATAATGGAACTCAATGGATAGTCACCACCAATACCGATACCCATCATCACACGCCAAAAGATGATGATACCAACAATCGAGATAGCAGCAGAGTCGGAGGAGAGAGCTTGAGCCAGTGTGCAAAAGATGATAAGGATGAGTTCCAGACCATACATCTTCTTTCGGCCAACAACATCGGCGAGCCATCCGAAACCGACTTGACCGAGGACCGTACCACCGGACGTTGCAACTTTGATGGCAGTATCGGAGTTGGAGGGGATGGTACCAGGCTTGGTTGCAGCGTCTTGCCAATAGACAACACCCAACATGGCTGTCACCATGTTGATGGCGAAAATATCGTAGGCATCGGTAAAGAAACCAATACCAGCAACCACGATGGCTCGGACGTGATACCAACCAAAAGGTGCTTTGTCGATTTCTGCGAGAGCCAACCGTCTTCGCTCATTGGGGTCTTGAATGTGAGAGAAATCATTGTGAAAATTGTGGAAAGCGGCGTTTCCGCCAGCAGTCTTGGTCGCCATTGCTTCGGATGCTTCAGGTTCAACGAGGACTGTACCAAGAGAACCAAGCAATAAGACGAAGGCTTGATTGTGAGAGAAAGTCTTGGGAGTAAGAGATTTCCAAGACGGAAAGCGACGCCCTAGTTATACCTTGGTGACATGGGTGACATCGGGTGGAGAACGAAGCTGCAAAGATATTCCACGGGTACGCAGGCGACCTTGAAGGAAAACACGAGAGACAAAGGAGGGGTGGAGACGACTAGAGCGTATTGAAAAGCCAATCAGGGAGAATCTGATAGACACGGTGCAATAAGAAGGAAAAAAAAGCCACCGACCAGAGTGGAAAGAAATCAGCCTGAGGAGGGTCGTACAACCGAAGTGATGGGTTGCCACGGCCATTCACGATGACAGGGTAACTTCCATTCACACATCGGAGTGCCCTAGTTCTCACAGTTAGCCTGGATGGGTTCTTCGCTAAAACGGGTCGGGCTTCTCGAAAGAGATCATGACAGGCAGTGGGGAGGCGGAATGCTGAGAATGCTGAAAGTTACGGGCGTGCGCTGCAGCAAACCAGGATGGACCTTTGGGAAACGTGCCCGGGGATTGAGTGAGAGCCTTTTGATCGAAATCCGTCTGGAGAAATCGCTACGACGACGGCATCAAAAGATCTGAGACTGTATTTCTCAAGTCTACGATCTGCAATCTTGGTGATATCAGAAATGGTCCATCATGACGACGTCCAAGACGAAGAATATTGGAGGCGTAGAGTCAAGACAGGACAAGATCTCTAGCGAGAAGAAAGGGCCATGGCATTTCATTGGCATTGAAGGATTCCAGGAGGACAGGGCCTCAGCGTAACTCTTGTCTGATGCTTGTCGGATGCTTGTTGGAACGCCTGGACCGTCTCCACCGAGGTTGCGTTGAAGAGGGTCTCTGGTGAGATTGTCGAGGCTGTAAAAGTCTGCTGGTTGGTGAGTCGAGGGTCAGAGTGGCGGGCGAGATGCTGAATTGGTTGAGTCGATGCACGAAAGAATACCAACCACGTTTCTTTATGATTGGCTGTGAATCAACGTTCATCGTTGTGTTTATCGCTTGCCAAGAATTCTCCGATAGACTTTCCTTCATTGGGACAAGTGTTGTTTTTAGCCCCGTGCAGGTCAACTAAGGCTTCCTTGACTCCCAGCAGGCACCTACGAGGAGGGACGGATCATTCGTGACGAAGTACGGGGAGTACATTAACTCCTTGCATCGCTTTCCACAGATACGGATGTCTATGCCACGTGAATGGCTGACTAGACCATCTAAGAGCGCCCTTCAAGTAGGATGCCCTGAATGTCCCAAGGCTGGTCTCTTTGGGCAGGAAAGCAAAACCACATATCACGACTTCAAGTCGCAAATGCCGTACAACATCGTGTCCAACAGCTTGAATGGGCAATCCAAACAAATCGACCATCCGAATTCTCTGCCAGTCTCGTGTCTGCACGTCTCCACATCAAGTGGTTTTGGAAGGCCGCACCCAGCCAGATGTTAAGTCGGTTATATTCCCGACATCCGTCTCAGCACTGCATCTTGAGCTGCAGACCATATCTGGACTGATGGTCTACGACCTTGACGACATCACAAAAGGCTGACAACCATCTGAAGCTCTCTTTCCTTGCAATGGTCACATCGCCGACTCACCGGCTTCAACGGTCACTACAAGGTATAGTTCTCATATTTCCCGTCACTCATCAAGGCATTATTGTCTTCCAAATCACTTCTGTGACTAATCCGCTGAGCCAAACCCTCCTCCTCGTGGAGTCCATGTGGGCACTCCGTCAGAAGGAAATGGGAGAACGTTTCAGGTACTAAACGCCCCAGGCGTCGCGTTGGATCCGCTACGCATTGAGAGATTTTCTCGTTGCTACAGCCTGTCAGCTGGGCGGAAACGTGATCTAGTCTATTCTTCTTCCTTTTCCTGTCTCAAGCATGACTTTCCAACATTGGAGCCTTGCGAGTCGTGGAGCCCGTCGTGTAGAGCAAAGCGGTTGCAGCCCGTGCTTACATTCCCTCACTCCATCTACTCAGTTCGCCACCTGAAAAGCACTCCTCACCTACCGCGACCTCACTGAATTCCCGAAAGGTTGCGTACTTGATGAAACCTCTAACGCCCAAGATGAATCCAAGACATCCCCGGCTGAAATATTTGGACGCAGTGGGGAATAAAAGGAGGAATCTTAGCCCTCAACGTCTCATAATAGGGCTGCGACCATTTTACACGCCGCAGGAAGTGCTTGCAGCAACTCTAAGCTAAGACAGCTACGATGGATATGGTGCTCGGTATCTCAGTCCTCGTTACTTTTGGTCTGGAACGACTGATCTGCTCGTCAACGGAGCCCGATTCGCGTGCTGATGCCAAAGAAATAGGAGGAGGAGGAGGAGGAGGAGGAGGAGGAGGAGGAGGAGACAAGAATGGCACTCGATGGCTCTTGAACGAGTGAATAGTCAATAATACCATTACCACAGGGGAGAAAACAGCATTACCTCTTCCATGGGCCACACGAGTAATTCTGGAAAGACATACAGTCGATGCAGTAGTAGGCATGTTATCTTACTCTATCAGTCACCAGTCACCCGGTCTGTAAAAAAGCGCGATCTGGCTTGTGAGAATTAATTCGTGCTCGTCTGGTAGGTACGCACACACATTTTTACCAAATCCTCTATGGCGCAGCGTAAGAAAACTAGTAGGCTAGTATTATTCTAGGCACACATTCTATCGCTATAGTCAACTTCATCAACCTGGAAAATCAGTCGAGATTTCGTGAGCCATCTATCGATTTCAAGTTACACTCCTGCTTCGTCGACTACTGTCCTTATCGTCCTCCAAAATCCGTATGCCATGCTGCCGTTCGTCTCTGAGAAACTCTGGAGGTGACGTAACTCCTTTCAGGCACCCAAGCTAGCAGCTCAAGGAACGGATCAAATCGAGGTTGATATCCGCGGTCCTCTCTTTCCCTCACGAGATGTCAAACACATCGCTCGCCACTTCACAACCCACCATTCACAGCCTTCTTGGCCGAGTTTCCATTCGCCTTGGGCGCAACCAGCTTCGCCAACCCAGCCTTCAGAGCCCCACTGAGGCCAAACTGGGTGTCAATACCCTCGACACGATGCGTGCTGTTGATATTCTTGACCAACGTGATTTGAAAGCAAGTGGCACTGCCCTGGCGAGAAATGATGGTCGAGTACGCGAGGAAATACTCCCAGATGCGGTACCAGCGGACGCCGTACTTGGCCTTGACCTTGTCCTGGTTGGCGATCCAGTTGCGATACCACCGCCACAGGGTCGCCGAGTAGTGGACGCCGATGGTGTCGATGCTCTTGACCTCGAAGCCGGCGCCCTCGAGCGTGTCGACGACGAAGCCTAGTGGGGTGGATGCGTCGGCGCCAGGGAAGATGTACTTGTTCATGAACAGGCCCCATTCGAGATCCTCGTACTGCCAGAACTTGCGGAGCCCGGCGATTTGTAGGAAGAAGGTGCCGTCGTCGTCGAGCATATCGTTGACTTGGCGGAAGAAGGAGGCGAGGTGGCGCACACCGACGTGCTCCGCCATCTCGAGGCAGGTGATACGTTTGAAGCCGCCTTCGGGGACGGGGATATCGCGGTAGTCCATGCAGAGGATGTTGCTTTGTTGGTCGGTGATGCCGGCTTTGCGGAGCCCGTTGTTGCCCCAGGCGGTCTGGTTGCGGCCGAGAGTGACGCCCGTCACGTTGGCGCCATAGTTGACGCTGGCATATTTGGCGAGTGTGCCCCAACCACAGCCAATATCGAGCATCTTGTCACCAGGCTGGACGTCGATTTTCTCGCAGACAATGGCCAGTTTGTTGTCCTGAAGTTGCTCCAGGCTCTCCTCCTTGTTGATGTCGGAAATGATACCGGAGGTGTAGATCATGCGAGGGCCAAGAAACCAGCTGTAGAAGTCGTCGCCACGGTCGTAGTGGTCTCGCACTTGCTCCTCGTCTTGAGAGCGAGTGTGCAGCAACATTTCGGGAATGAAGCCTGTGAAAAAATGCTTGAAAAGACCCATGGTGAATCGGAAATTGGCCCAATCGTGTCTGTATTCGAGAATCTCGAGTGTGTCGCCCTTGATGTCGACCTTCTCGTCAAAGTACATTTCTGAGAATGTCTCCATAGGGATACGGTTCTTGCCATAGTATTTATCACGGTCCTCTTGAGAACGGAAGGATAGGTAGTGCTCGATGGGGAGGCCGGGGTAGCGAGCCTTCTCGTTCTTTCTAGGAGAGATGGATGATGCCAGGGTCCAGAAGATCATCAAGATGGGGATTGAGGTCAAGAGGGCGAAGAAGATGGTGGTGTAAAAACCACCGTGGAATTGACGGGCCACCCACCATGGCACGATGATGAGAAGGGCAAAGAGAAGGTAATTGTTGAAGGAGTCACTACCGGATGCATCTGCTGGGAGAGGTGCATTTTTGATGGCAGGGAACTGGAGGGTGGTCAGTTATTACTGTGTATAGAATTGAAAGAGTGGTACACACAGAAGTGGTGCGCACACCATAATCGGCAATGGGGATCTGCGGGGGAGTGGCAGTGGGAGTTTCAATAAATTCAAAGTCCTCAGAGGACTCTGAATGTGTTTTGACCATGGTGAATGATTATGGAAGGGTACAGACAACCTCAAGATGGACTGGCAATCATTTCATGGAAGATTGAGGACAGAAGTCGTATTATTTTGGGTCGTCGAGAGAAAGTGGCGGTGGGGACGAAAGATGTCAAGAAACTCTGAACTCAGGGACCAGCTCGAGTGGCAGTACGGGATAAGGAGATGCACATGTGCGTCTGTTGGCGTATCATCAGCAAAGGACAAGCGGGCGGTGTGGGCTTCGAGTTCCTAGGTGGCCTTCGCTCCCTCATCAAACCCGCTGAATCGTAAGTACAGCTTACAGCTAGCACCCCTAAAGCCGTACCTGCATGAGATAAAGTGGGGGGCCAACAGGGCTTCTCGAGGACTCCAAATAAAAAAATGCTGGAACCTATTTTCTGCCAATTCGGGACTCGAGACAACCACTTTGAAACCGATGATAGACGCCACGCTGAGCTATACATCACTAGCGGGAGATTCACCAAATGTAAAGATTCATCGAGCACGAGGTACGGTAGAAGCAACAATGCCCGATTCAATATCGGTATCTCATTTATCGTACAAGTCTAAAGCCTAATCATCGTCTATCTTGCCTGCAAAGTCTCCCAGTAATATATCATCCGGTGCTGGTCCACGATTGTTTCGAACTGCCACGTAAATGTCAGATAGATCTCAAGAACAGCTGGTAGAATATAACTCACCCCATTCGGTTTCAACCCGGAAGAAAATCCACATCCATCGACGCATCACCTCCAGCATTTCCATCAAAAAGATGCCACCTTCCAGGTCGTTGAAATGATCCAGATGCGGAGAAAGCTTGAAACTCCAAGTACACCGAAGTAAAAGATCGATGCCGATAGCCGTATAATACATCTGATGTGCGTGAAAATATCTGTGTCGTCGTAATCCGTAGGGGTGCTCAGGGTTGTTTCTCTCGCGACTCGATGAGAATAATGATAGATCCCAATCTTTGGCTACATCCCAGTAGAACGAATAAAATGAGTTCAGAAAAACGAATAGCAACCTGGCCATGTTAGAACACTCGACTTGGGGATTCACCTTGGTCAACTCACCACAACCTGAACAGCCCTGCCTCCGTCATATTGATCTTCTTAGGGTCATAACCTCGTTGCATGGAACTTAAAATAATCACGGGGAATGCGGTCGAGTATTTCAATGCATTCGCCAAGTGTTGACCTCCCCACCCTGATGTAGCCGTCCTATTGCGCCGAACTCGAAGAAACTCGATCAAGCATTGACGGAGTCGGATCATGCTGGGTATACTGATAATCAGTGGTACTAAAAACGCACCACCACAGCCACGATTGGGTCGAGCAGTGCTGGCAGTTTTGGACGACAACAGCATACAAGTCGAGACAAAAAGATCTCCCAGAACTTTTGCATAACTCGTCAGCACATCCGCCAGGATTATATCACCAAATTTCCCATCTTGCACTTCGGCCAGCCCACCCAGACTAATTCTCTTCAGGGTCGTCAAGAAATGAAGTCGACCCGATCGTGACATGCGTTTGACAGGAACAACGAAGCAGAGAATGATAAAAAGGAGATAGGACTGTGGCAAGATCTGCCATGACAGTGCGGCAGACTTGGAGCCATGTGTGACGATCCAGAACAGGAGGAGTGAGACGGCGAGAGGAATCGAAAGGAGTGTGGCTAGTCGGTATGTTGACTGATGGTAAAGGACACTGTTATGCGATTGACGGGCAGGGTATCGAATCAGTGCTGGAACATCCTGATATCCCAGGGTCAGCCAGAGTGAGGTGAGTGACAAGACATTTGCTGCACTTACAATCTTGACCAGATGCAAGTAATGAAGATTGAGACCCCATGCCCATATCCCCAGCACCACAATAATCGCAACTCGGTAAGGGAGAGGGAGCACGAGACTAAATGAATCAATCTCAGACTCAACAGCCGGGTCACCGTCCATGATGAAACGAGGCAATCATGCTTCTCTGAGGGAATTCAAGGAGAATCTTCAGGTCGGTAGTAGAAAACTGATCTCCGCAGTCTTCACGGTCGAGGTGTCTTGTGTGCCAGCAGTCAGTGTTGAACAGGGTGGACTTCCAAGTTCTCCCTCGTCATCGCCAACTCCAAATTCCGTCTCCCCAAAGTCCCAATCGAGAATGGTTGGGTCTTGGCATATGTCTACGGCGGACTATACGGCAACACCACGTCAGCCTCGGCTTGTCGTTTGGTCTTTGAGCACTGATGATCCAATCTTCAATTCAAACACTTGCTTCACCAACACATTGGAAGCTCCTGAGTATCTCCGAGGGTGGATTCAGTGAGTGTACATCAACAGGAGCGCATGTACACACCACGCAGCGGTCATCCCAAGACCTAGACACTGACACTGTTCCACAGACATGGCGACCACCGTGGCACACCCCGAACCATCCACCACATCACCGACAGAATACCCCTTCGCGCCGTCACCGGACATTCTACGCACACATCAAAAGGACGCATATATAACAGGCCAATTATCATCACAAGCATCGACAATCCTCCGTGCATTGTTGGGCGCGCGATTCGCACATAAATATTCCACAGCCACCAACAATCTCAGCGAATTACTGTACCTCTGCATAACGACTTTACTCGGAAACCGCACACTCGGGGAGGAATACTGTGACGTGATTCAAGTGGAGACTGACACACTGCGACTGGCCGGCTTGGGCAGACGGGTCGGATACATCGCCAGTGTGGTGTTTGCACCATGGATGCTGGGCAAATCCTTGCCCGCATTGCGACGTCGACTGCGGGAAAAGCTGGACTGGAACATCGAGCATGCGAAGAAGCATCGACGAGGGAGCTCATCGCGAGGGCTTAAGATTCAACAATACATCCTCGAACACCTGGATACTCTGACGAGTCCGAATCCCATCTACGCGCTGAGTCTCGCGACCTTCTATTTCACCGGAGCATACTACCACCTCTCAAAACGACTCTTCGGCCTACGCTACATCTTCACCAAGCAGATGAAACCGGACGAACAGCGCGTGGGCTATGAAGTCCTCGGCGTCCTCCTCGTCCTGCAAATGGCCGTTCAGTCCGCGCTACATGTCCGACAAACATACCTCTCCAACACCAACGACGAAACAACATCCCTTGAAGCCAACGCGACCAGCAACGCCGACCAAACCTCCACAACCGCACTAGTCGGCAACGGCGTCGAAGTGCCCGTCAACACGACCAACCTCCTGGGGCACTCGCCCGACCAACTCCTCGCAGACATCCACATCCCAGCCCATCTCCCACCGGGTCTATCCACCAACACCGCAACACCCGTCCTCCCAGACAACACACCGCGCTACGACATCTCCGACGACGCCGTCATGGCGTGGATCCCCGAAGGTCAGCAGCGCAAATGCACGTTGTGTCTGGAGCCGTTCCGCGACCCCAGCGCCACCACCTGTGGCCACGTCTTCTGCTGGACCTGTGTCCAGGACTGGGTCAAGGAGAAGCCCGAGTGTCCACTGTGCAGGCAGGCCGTGCTGCCGCAGAAGATTTTGCCACTGCGGTAGTTGAGTTGAGAGTTGAAATGAACTGAATTGAGAGAGCTATATCTCATGAGCGAAGAATACCGGCGAATGCTTTTTTCTGCCATCCTACATGTTTCTGTTGGTGAATACCTAGAATTGATCTATGCCATATTACTCCCAATCATAGGTACCTACCTAGAGTACATATATCAATATCTACCTAGTCCATCTTCTCCCCCGCCGAGGAAGAAGAGATTGGTATCTAACATGTACCATACCATGCCAGACCACCCTACCTACATACCAAGGTAGTCCGATCACGCTTTTCGTCCTTAGATACCCTAAGGTACCATCAAATGCATTCCCATGACCTGGTAAAGCAAGAATCAAATATCATTGAACAAGGATTTGTATTGCATTCATAATAGCCGATGGCATCCACAAGAAAAAAGCGAACCATAGCACACATTTTTTCCACTTTCCACAAACCCGTTCCCCCCTATAAGCGCGCCATTATTTATATACCATGCAATGCGGGTCCCTCCCTCTCATGTACGATAGATACATGGCCACTCTCAACAGCGAAGAAGCACCACTCTAACCACCCGCCCTCCTAAATATGTATATGGATATGTATGCACCCCAGTCTCCGGCAGCTCTATTCAAACAACCTCCTTCTTGGCGATTTTCGGACTATCGTCCTCCTCGGCCTCACTGATCAGACCCTCGAGCTCAAACTCCTCGGCATCGCGCACCTGCTGGCTATCGGTGGCGCGATGTCGAGGGAGACGGACAGAGCCGTTCGGCTCCGACGGTAGCGCGATGTGGCCGTTTCCGACCGTGGAGCCGAGTCTCGACGCTTTGCGCATCGCGTCGCCGCTCGGGCCGGGGATCGCGATGCTCATGTTTCGGCCGTGCCGGGATGAGGACGATGAGGAGGAGGAGCCACGTGAGGACACCCCGTTGCTCTCATCCTCGGGCCACGTGTGTGCCGCGTAGAGGTGGAGTAGGATGTTGACGAAGAGGTATAGGAGAAAGGCGATCGAGTACAGGATTAGGATGTAGCTGACGTGCGTGACGTCGGCTTCGGAGAGGAAGTGCATTTGCTCTTCGGTGGCGCCCATGAAGAGGAAGCCCGAGGCGTAGAGGAGCTGTGGGGATTGTCAGTTGTTAATCGAAGGGCTTGAGGGCTATGGATGTGGAATGGATCTGGGAAGGACAGGGAAGAAACTTACAAATGGTGGGAGATGTTGCCAGCTGTTGACCTCACTGGATCCACGGCTGTCCTTCAGGAGGAACGAGACCTCGATGATGCGACTCGCTCCGGCGGCCATCAGGGTATATCCGAAGACGGTGTGAACCATGGTGCTCAGAGGAAGGTCTTGAGGATGCGCACTCATGGCCCATCCGGTGATCAGGAGGACCATTCCTGGCAGGATATTGCGTTTCGGCCGTCCGGTTCTTGAGCGTGACAGCCACACTCCGAGTAAACCGGCACACCACCACACGATGCCCATGCTGGTGTGTTGCAAATCATTCTTGACCCATGGATGACCCCAGCGATGCTCGGTGAACGTGTTGACACAGCCCCATGCGGCGATGATGATGCTGTCGAAGAACTCCTGACTCCTACCCGTGCTGCGCAACCATGCTTGGCCCACCAGCAACAACAGTGTCATGACAATCCCGTATCCGATGAACGCAGAACCCATGATGAAATGCGCCAGACACTGTCCGAGGTGATCTCCGCGACAGTATCCCATGGCCACGATCCCACCAAACAGCATCTGCACCCACGAGACAACGGGCATGGCTTTTCCGAGCCATCCATGAAGCATCACGACACCCCTTCTCCCACTCTTGCCGACCTTGCCGCCAAACACTTTGCCTATCCATCCGCTTTTCGTCTCCAGATGTAGTTTAAGCCCGATTCCAAGTCCGACTTGGATGATCAACATCAACACTAAGCTGTTCGCAAAGCTGGCGTGGATGTTGGGATGTTTGAATTGCCGTCCCTTGTGCATGTGCCCTAGGAAATATGCCACCGTAGCGATAATCGTACCGACGATCTGTACCGGTACATGCCACCTGCTCCTAACAATGCCGAGAACCATGCCATAGGGGAATATGAGCCCGAATGATAATACCATCAGCAGGATGTGTGTCCATAGTCGCGAATCGAGGGGATCGGCTGAGACGGCCTCGCCTTCGGGGATCTTATCGGCATGACCTCCATGGGCAGAGGTGGGGGAGATCAGACACGTCAGTGAGAATGAGAGGCCGATGGCCAGTGCCTGCGGAGGACGCATCGAGGGGAGTTTCCGATGGACTGATGATGTTCTCCTTCGCAGGAGATGAATGCGATTTATTGGGAAAGGCGAAGAGGTTGGAGATGAGGACTATTGCAGAGGCATAGTGAGCAGGCTATGCGTTCTGGGAATAAGTCGGTCAAAGACTGAAATGGGTGTAGACTTTGTGATGGACCAAATTCAAGAAGGCGAGAAGGGAGTGTTCAAATTGCACCGAGTAACAAAGTCCTCGTAATGCATCCCCGCCCACAATTCCAGAAGGACTCCTGAACTCATGCTTCGAGTTAGACCGGCGCCCCCGGAACTACGGGCTCCGCCCTAAACGCACCTATTTCTCGAATCACCTACTCCCTTGAACCATGTCAGCGAATTCCTGGGCATTTTATGGAGTGGTACATCAGACCACCACCAGATCAATAATGATGATGGTCATACCTAGAATCACGAAAAACGCGTTGGAGCGAAGCCTCAAGTTTGATTAACGATGGTGACATTGTTTCACAGTCTAGAGATACTGATCCATTCCTCAATCCGTCAATTCAGACCGACATAACCCGTGAAGAACTCTCGCTCAATCTTGACCTTGTACACAAACACGCTCTTCAATACCACATCAGATTTCGAAGACGACCAATCCAAGACAGCGCTGCGGTCAAAGAGACCCGAGGAGAAGACCCAGACTTGAGGGCACAGGCACTGACAAAGGATGAGACTCCATACTAAGCGGGTTCGGTCCTTGAAGCCTGGGATGTAACTCGAGGATTTGCCAAGGTATACTCAGGAAAGCGATACCAGTTGTCAGGTGAATCACCAAGGCACTCGCCGACGGGGATTGCTGAAGAAAGGTCAGTCAGCATTGAACGTGCTCAGAGCGAAACACACTTACCACGCCATCCTTTCTTTGCTATCTGTGGCAGGATGTGTTGGGTCAGATTGATGGCCGAAAACCGAATCGAGTCATGCTGAATGAGAAGCATATTGCCTGAAGCATCGGTGGCATTGAGAGCAGCATCAGTGGCATTAATCATGGCGTTAAGGTCACCCTCATGCATCCAGTCGGTGGAGTCCGTGGAGTAGCCAACGATGTGATATCCCAGATCTCTCATATCTCTTTGGCAACCACCATTCACGCTGCATTGAAGGAATGGTGGTCTCATGTACGTGGGATACTTGCCAATGATGTTAACTAGGGCTTGTTCATTTTTCGCCATTTCAGCCCTACGATCGTAGGTTGACAAGTTGTTGAGATTGAAATGTGACCAGGTGTGTGAAGCTATTTGATGGCCTTCTCTGCTCATGCGGCCAATTGATTTTGCTCGTGCGTCGGTCTGATCCAAAGCTCCCAGGCCATTGGCGATGCCAGTGACGAAAAAGGTTGCCTTGACTCCAGCTTCGTTGAGAATGTCGAGAAGTTCATCGGTGTTTTCGGTAGGGCCATCGTCGTATGTAAGTGCAATAGTTCCATTCACCTTACATCTAGTGATGAGTTGGCCGTAAGAAACTCCACCAATGTTAGGACGAGCATCATTCAAGGTGTTGTATCCGCTTGGCACAGCCTTTGAGTCACAATACCCAAAGTCTGGCTGGCATTTGGCGGGCACAGCACAGAATTCCGTTCCATTACCCTTCGGGTCCGTCAGCACCCGCGTGATCTGGAGAAGCAGGGGACTTACACAGAATCCATAGATTGAGCAGCATTCCAAGGTGCCAGGGCATGTCCTGTTTCCATTGGTAGGACCACATTTCCTGTCGTCTTCATCTTGCCGGATCTGAAGGGGTGGAGTGAGAATTCCAGAGATGTCCCAGGGATTGATGGTACGGGTCTTCTCATGTAATGGCTTTGCTCCCTAAGCTGAGAGCGCCATAAGATTGAGGGTGGAAACCAAAAAGAGTGCAGGCTGCATGATGAAGTTGATCAACAGCTTGAGCCAATGCAGCAACTATGAATAACAGGGTGAAAAGAAAAAGAGTGGATGATCAAGCATGGGTTGGAATACTCATGCAATGTATCGATGCAGTCAAGCAGTATGGAAGCCGAAGCACAGTAATGTTGTGGGTGAGAAAGAAAGTATGTGTGTGTGTGAGAGAGAGAGAGAGAGAGAGAGGAGAGAGGAGAAGAGAAGAAGTAGAAGTAGAAGAGGGCTGCAGATGGACAAGCGCGACTTCCTCGTCGACCTTCTTCTGAGTTCGCCACCCAGTTTGTTTTGGCAAGCACGCGTCGCCGTGTCTGCTTCAAGTTGGTTCAAGGCAAGAACGATATTGTATCTCTCAATGTGGAATGTAATTGATCTCGTTCTACTTGGTCTTCATTAAAGGTCAATGTTCATAGACTCCATATGTAAACTTGGCCCGACTGCCTGCCGCACTAAACTCCCTATTGAAAGGATCCTGGGATATCATTAGTCTTTTTCTCCTCACTTGGTGTCACCGGCACTGAATGAAATGTGGAGTCTGCTGCCTCGTTCGTAGCGGTTCGAGATAGGCTTTGATCCTTTCCATGCTTTGTCTCTCCTGCTTTCTCCTCAAGCGAGATCTTCTCAAATCCGTCCGATGGAGCCTGGGCTTCAACCGGTGATACTACTCGCTCCGGGTTGCGCGGTGGTAGCGCTGGAGGAAGACGTCTGGGTACCTCAACCACTCTTGCTCTTGTCACCACCGGCACTGCCGTCTGAATTTCAGCATCTGAATCAACATCCGAGAATGATTCCCGGCGATCAGCGTCGTGTTCCTCTTCGTCTTCTACCAGCTGACTGTGTTTCTGGGGAGTCGTGTTTATTGTTGTAGAATCTCTCAAAGCTGTCGAACTTTTCCTATTGGGACTGTGTCCAGCACTCTTGGTTTCGTCCTCATCCGTTTGGGTGCCTCGATCAATACTGGCAAGGCTGTGGGTACTATCTCTCCAAGTTCGGCTTCTGATGGACCCATCCACACTCTGGCGTGAAAAATGGGTATAAATTGGACTGGTCGGAGATGGCTTGAATTCGAATGCAGCAGCACTGGGTCTTTGGTGCGTTCCTGCCTCTCTGATATTCAAGCCTTCGGCCTCTAATGCCTTGACACCAAATGGATCTGGGTCATCCTCGGCGGGGATACCAAATATTGGGCCTGAAATTCTTGATGTCAGACAGACAAGCGATCAATGGTGTTCATCCCTTACCTTCGTTGATCAATTCCATATCACTGGGAGCCACTCCATCCGGCAGGAGGCTGTCATCCACAGCATCCCCCTGAGCGGCTTTTAGTGTATCCATCAACACTTGATACTTATCCACTGGTGGATGACGAAGTTTGCCATTGAGGATATCGGCAACTCCTACACGCTCTCCATAAAAGCTCTCGTTCTCATCAGTCCTTTCGATGACCATATTCCCTTCAAGAGCGACTCCGGCATACAGTCCACGGCTCTTGACATAAGACCAAATTGGCGCTTGTCGCTTGACAACTTCTGTATCAAGTGTTCCACCCAATCCCAGCGGACCAGCAGCCACGCCTACCTCTGTGCCCAAAGTACACCGCAGCTTTGTGAATGCTTCGAGAGCTTTGTAGGTGTTGATGACGAGGACTGAATCATATATATCGACGCCTATAAGAAATCCCAAGGCCATGTTTTGGGTATGGATTCCACTAGGAGGGCTCCATTCACCCGTCTCCGGATGTCTCCCTACAAGAACGCCTGCACCTCCGGATCCCCCAAGTACCCAACCGTAGCGCATGGTTGTGAATATGGCCAGTCCAACGCATTTTTGAATGACCTTCTGTGGAATCTTTACCAGAACTCGCTGTGTGCCCTGCGGGATCCCGACTGCGGTCGCATCACGGGCTTCGATCTTTTTGGCAGCATCCTCTTCTATTTGGTCATAAAAGCCATCCTTGCAGAAGCCTCGGAGAATCCGTGCGGCCTTTTCAGATTCTTTGTCTAGGGTAGTTGGCCAGAATGCTTCAGAGCCAACTCTGTTGGAGAGTCGGTTGACTGGTGCGCCGAGTTTGTCGACGACAGCATAGGCCTTATTGAAGCCAGGTTTCAATCGATTTTCGTACGTTGTACTCGAATAACCTTTCGTTCTTTGCCATAAAGTTGGGCCAGGCTTGGAGGTGGTTGAGGCTGAAGATGGGGTTGCCATTGTGACCTTCGAGGTCAACGGTTGACAGATCCAATGCCACCGAAGGGCAGGTCACGACGGTGTAGTGGGAGTCCACAGATATGCTATTGACATGCCTGCACTGATAAGCTTGAGAAAATGTTCAGCAGAGGATTTTCCGTTGCGCAACTCCAGGTATTATTTACTGATGGTGAGCCAGCCGCATTTCTCGCGCAAGAATCCGGTCGTAGCCGGATTGGCAGGCTTTGATGGAAGGAAGTGAGCAGCGTCGTCATAACCTGGGGGTCGCTTTGACTATCCCTAGCGGGTCGAGTACCGGCTAGTAGACTAGTGGTGGGCATGCTGAGTCAAGCTCTCTAGGCGCTCCAGTTTGACCCGTTGGGCCGTTTCCCGCTTAAAAGAAATGCACGTGAAGCCCAAGGTATTGACGGAGTACGAGATAGGTCCATGCAGCTACGATCCTGTCGTCGCCAACAGTCCGGATTAAAGCCTTATGATAAGCTCCCTATCACATCTACCAATTATCAATTGGCCTCATCTACAGTGTCTGGTTCCTGTTACCTCCACCAATGGTTGAGTAAGACAAGTGAACTTGAGCCAAACTGGTGCCAAAGTGTGCCTCCAGACCTCGGCTCAACAAGCTCACTCCAACTGGCTCCAGGCTCACGACGGAGACGACTAATCAAAACCCAAACGTCCGAATTACATTTACATCCCGATATAAAGACATTGTCCTGTCTACTTGTCAACATCTATAGAGGCTTTCACTCAAGACTCTACAACTTAGTATCAAAGCCGCGAAAATGCCACCAGTTCCACCTCTATTTGTTCTTTCGATTCCTCCCGGATCTGTCGGGTCTTCGACGTCTTCCCAGCAAGGAGCATTCGTTTGCACACAGGCGGCACCTCAGGTCTATGTCCTGTCATTCTCAAGCCCGCCTGATAATCGATTGACTCCGGCATTCAATTCGACATTCCATTTGGCTCTCGACATCATTGAGCAACGCCTGCCCAAAGGAGTGGTCATCACAACATCATCCATCACCAAATTCTATTCCAACGGTCTGGACTATGAGAAAGCAATCGCAGATCCCAACTTCTTCGCTGGAAGTTTGTTTCCGCTATGGAGACGTCTCATTACATATCCCATGCCGACGGTGGCCATGATCAACGGTCATGCCTTCGCTGGAGGACTAATGACAGCCATGTTCCACGACTACCGTATCATGAACCCTCACAAGGGCTTCTTGTGCCTCAACGAATTGGACTTTGGCGCCTCACTCAACCCTACCATGGTGAGTGTGTTCCGAGTCAAATTGGGCATGACCACTTTCAGAAACATGGTCTTGGAAGCTAGACGATATCCGGCGTTGGAAGCACTTAAGGAAGGTATCGTAGATGGGCTAGGTGGTGCTGACGAAACATTGGCATTCATTAAGGAGTTTAAACTGGTCGACAAGGCTCAAGGAACATCATATGGCACAATCAAGGAAGAACTGTACCGCGAGATCATCAGGGATATCGATGAGAGTGCTGGCCACCCTCAGACCGTGGCAGCCAGAGATCTGGACCGAAACCGCAGAAACTTGGAAGCGAAGAAGAGGGTGGACGAGTATGCTGTTGCTGTTGGTGCGCCAAGGTCAAAGTTGTGATCTCCAGCCTACCTAGGTATGAGGCTGTGGTCGAGGAGTGATAAGGCCCCTCTAGCTTATGACTCTTTCTTGTATCATCACCGTCTGCTTCGTCGAGTTTTTCGGAAATTCGGACTCTCGTGCAATGATATTGCCCGAAAACATTAGATGTCTTTCGTTGCCTCCTGAGCATTGAGTGACTCCGTAGCGTGCATGTATGCCACGGACTCCAGGCAGCAGTTATTCTTACGATGGCTCAGACTGGGCTGGATGCGCATTGACATTGGACGAGAGATATTTACCACCGTATTCGAGTCCGATCTCGCATATATTACCTACCTAGGTACCCGCTGTTCAGGAATCATCAATTCTCAGGCTGCCCTTCGGACTTTATGCACCCCGGAGTGGACAGTCTCAGGTGGGAGTTATGAAGCTGGAGGGGACTGAGTTATGCAATGCTTGGCTGCTTTATTTGGGGTGCTGCTTCCGGGCACCCTTCCCCCCAAAAAGGTTACTGCGTAGGCGGTCCAGAAGTCGCCACGAGCGCCCTGGGTGCCCCACGGAACCCACTCCAGAGCCACGATGGGTTAGAAATACGAAACCGCGCGTTACATGGATTCGTACCTAAATTGCTTTAAGCATATTCCCGTCGAATCTCTCCCTGAAATCTTTGTTTGAGTTCTGGTAGATGGCTATTGGGGTGGAATACGAGGAACGAGGCCTGTGGTGCGATGATTCATGATTCATGAAGACCGAGCTCAACTGCGGTGCCACTACATTGGCCACCCTCAGGCAGCTGCAAGCCTACAAGAGTGCCCAGGTGGTAAATTCAAGACTCCGAGTCAGCCCAGATGCAAGATGGCACTGCAGTGTCTCCAAGTCCACGCTCGGAGATGGTGTTTTCCGTGCTAGATTCACTGGCATGGATTTAACATCAGAATCGCTGTGCTTTTCATAGGCCAGCTTAAACAAGCGAGGGCTTTAGCGCGGACCAAGAGGCGAACAACGGCAGGTGTAACCCGATCCCGCCGTGACGGTCACTTGTATTCCCTGGTTGACTCAGGCCTTTGTGGCACCCGAAGACCCTGTGGCTCCTCTATGATTATTATTGTTACTCCTCCGGCCCCGAATACACAGAGTCCGAAGGTTGAACTGCATTTTCATGACTGCATCGACTATCCCCCTAGTACATAGGTAGCATCCCACATATTCACTCGCTTGCCTTCCTTGTATCCTCACCAGACCTTGTCATTCTTGCATTGCAGATATTGCTTTTCGGATCGTTCTCATTCTTGCTTCTGTTCTACCCATATATCCTTACGACACTTAATTTACCTTGCCGCTGTCAAGCCTACGCGTGCTGCGAACATTTCACTCTAATTCACCCACCATCAGCCGCGCCCATATTCATACCGTTCTGAACATCCTTCCCTTCCATCCTACCAATCTCACCATGTACTAAGCAACAACTTCAATATCCATATCGTTCCACGACATTGCTGGGGAACTCATAACACCCGCCTGCCATGGATCCAAATGGACAGGGCGACGTGACCAGAGGGGCCACTTCGGTGGAAGAGAACATGGAGGAGAAACAGAGATCAGCCTTGGGAATAACTACAGAACATCAACTCGACACCGAAATATCAGAAAAGACTCCCAGAACACCAGTCTCGGCCGCTCCAAAATCCCCAAATTCTCCCGTATCTCCAGACTCCCCTTCGTCTGATGATTCTCGCGCCGTTGATCTCAGGAAACTCGATTCGGAAATCGTTCAAGTGCGCGAAGTCCCAGAGGGCGACGCTGCTCTGGCTCATCTGCCTGAAAATGAAAGACTGGTTCTCAAAAGGCAGCTGGATGTTCCGGATGTCAAAGTCACATATTTCTCCCTGTACAGATACGCCACGACATGGGACAAGGTTTTCATCGCTATTGCGGTCTTCACCGCAGTCGGAGCGGGCGCGGTTATGCCATTGATGACGGTGATTTTTGGAAACTTGAGTGGCCAATTCCAAGGCTTAGCTCTAGGAACTGCGCTGAATTTCAAGTCGATCTTGAACACCTACGTTCTCTACTTTGTCTATTTGGCAGTTGGAGAATTCGTCCTAATCTATACGTCGACCGTTCTCTTTATCTATACCGGCGAGCACATCACCTCCAAGGTCCGAGAACAGTATCTCAGAGCGATCCTGAGCCAGAACATTGGCTATTTCGACAAAATTGGAGCTGGAGCCGTCACCACCATGATTACTGCTAATACCAACCTGATTCAAGAGGCCATCAGCGAAAAGGTCGGTCTCACTCTCACTGGAGTCGCGGCTTTCTTTGCTGCTTTTGTCATTGGCTTCATCAAGTTCTGGAAACTTACATTGATTTGCATGAGCTCCGTTGTAGCCATTGTTGTTCTGATGGGCGCTGGCGGTAGAAAGATGTCTGGCTGGAACAAAAAATCCCTAGCCGCATATGCCATTGGAGGCTCAGTCGCCGAAGAAGTGCTTGCATCCATTCGAAACGCTGTTGCATTTGGTACACAGGACAAACTGGCGAAACAATACGACATTCACCTTCAAGAGGCACGACATTGGGGCATCCGTAGCAAGGCTGCTCTTGGCTGCATGATCGGATCTCTTTTGTGCATCATCTTCCTGAACTATGGCCTGGCTTTTTGGATGGGATCTCGATTCCTCATTAGTGGTGAGACGACCTTGGCTCAGATTCTCACCATTGTTTTGGCTGTCATGATCGGCGCCTTCTCTTTTGGAAATGTTGGGCCAAACATACAACATTTTGCTGCTGGTGTGGCTGCGGCATCCAAGATTTATGCCACTATTGACCGGGCATCCCCATTGAATCCATTGTCAGATCAAGGAGCGACACTTGAACATGTGGAAGGTGCTGTGGAACTCAGGAATATCAAGCACATCTATCCTTCACGAGCAGAAGTTGTTGTCATGGAAGATGTCAGCTTGAACATCCCCGCAGGCAAGACCACGGCTTTGGTTGGTGCATCTGGTTCGGGCAAATCTACGATTGTTGGGCTAGTGGAACGATTCTATGACCCAGTTGGAGGTGCTGTCTATTTGGATGGTCACGACATAAGCACTTTGAATTTGCATTGGCTCCGTCAACAGATTGCTTTGGTGCAGCAAGAGCCCGTCCTCTTCAGCCAAACCATCAAAGAAAACATCAAGAACGGATTAATCGGCTCCAAATACGAAGAAGAGTCTGAAGAGAAACAAATGATTCGAATCATTGACGCTGCCAAGAAGGCCAATGCACACGACTTCATCTCTTCTCTCCCGAATGGATACGAGACTCATGTTGGTGAGCGTGGTTTCCTGTTGTCTGGTGGTCAGAAACAGCGAGTTGCAATTGCCAGAGCAGTTGTCAGCGATCCCAAAATCCTGCTACTGGATGAGGCTACGTCTGCACTGGATACTAAATCGGAAGGAGTCGTTCAGGCGGCTCTCGATGAGGCAGCAAAGGGTCGAACCACTATTGTCATTGCTCATCGCTTGTCGACGATCAAGACCGCGGACAACATTGTTGTAATGCAAAATGGGAGAATTATCGAGCAGGGTACTCATGATGAGTTGCTCGAACTCAAGGGCGCATACTATAACTTGGTCTCTGCCCAACGTATTGGTGGCGACAAAGACGATGATTCTGAGAAGGACGTCGAAGGCGGTGATGAAGAAATGGCTCGAATACAGTCCAAGAGATCTGCAAGCTTGGCAGGTGTCGATCCAGACGACGAGAAACTCGCCCTTGGTCGGTCCAAAAGTCAGAAATCTATTTCGTCAAACATTCTCGCCGAAAAATCACAGGACGGTCAGGCTCGATACTCTCTTGGCACATTGATCAAATTCATCGCTCGCTTCAACCGCACAGAATGGCGTTTGATGATGGTTGGATTCTTCTTCAGTTTCATTGCCGGCTCCGCTCAGCCTGTTCAGGGTATCTTCTTTGCCAAGTCAATCGTATCATTGTCTCAGCCGCTCCCTGAAAAAGCAGACCAGATCCGCAGTGATATCAGCTTCTGGTCACTGATGTATTTGATGTTGGCATTTGTTGATCTCATTGCAATGGTCGTTCAAGGGACTGCCTTTGCCTATTGCAGTGAGAGTCTAGTGCAGCGGGCTCGCGATGGTGCATTCCGGAGATTTTTGAGACAAGACATCTCCTTTTTTGACGAGGAACAGAACTCTACAGGTGCCCTAACGTCATATCTATCAACCGAAACAACACATCTGGCCGCAATTTCTGGAGCAACTTTGGGCACGCTGATCAGTTGTACTTCAACGCTGGTTGTGGCTGTCGTCATATCTCTGGCAATTGGCTGGAAGTTGGCACTTGTCTGCTGCTGTGCTCTTCCTGTTATTCTCGGGACTGGATTCTTCAGATTCTACATTTTGGCCAAATTTACCGCTACCGCACAAAAGCATTATGAAAAATCGGCTGGATACGCCTGCGAGCACACCAACGCGATCAGAACTGTGGCTTCCTTAACCACTGAATCGGAAATTTATGGCGAATACCGACGACAACTTCGAGATCAGCTTGGTGTATCTCTGAAAGCCAACTTACGTAACTCGTCATTGTACGCAGCTTCACAATCAGCAATGTATTTGGCATTTGCATTGGGCTTCTGGTATGGTGGCCAGCTTATGGCAAGTGGCGAGTACACTATGTTCCAATTCTTCATTGTCTTCTCCGAAATCATCTTCGGAGCACAGTCTGCTGGAACAGTGTTTTCATTTGCTGGAGATATGTCCAAGGCTAGAAATGCAGCCGCTTCGTTGAAGAAGTTGTATGACCGTCAACCCACGATCGATCCATGGTCAACGGACGGGGAATCTATCGAAACTGTTGAGGGCTCGATCGAGTTCCGAGATGTTCATTTCCGTTACCCTACCCGACCTGATGTACCTGTGCTTCGTGGCCTCAACCTGATTGTCAAGCCTGGACAGTATGTTGCACTTGTTGGTGCTTCGGGTTGTGGAAAATCGACAACAATTGCAATGATGGAACGCTTCTACGACCCCTTAGCGGGCGGGGTCTATATTGACGGCCTGGAGATCTCGAGGCTGAACTTGAACGACTATAGGGCACAGCTTGCCTTGGTCTCACAAGAGCCCACTCTGTACCAAGGCACAATCAAGGACAATGTACTCCTTGGTGTGGATAGGGGGGAAGTGAGCGACGAACAAGTCATTCGTGCGTGCAAGAATGCTAACATTTACGATTTCATCATGTCGTTGCCGTAAGTTGTTCCGTATCCCCGATTCGATTTCATTGACTAACAGTAACAGTGATGGATTTGCTACCGATGTTGGAAGTAAAGCAGCCTTACTTTCAGGCGGTCAAAAACAACGTATCGCAATTGCTCGAGCACTAATCCGCGATCCCAAGGTGTTGCTCCTCGATGAAGCAACATCTGCGCTAGATTCCGAATCGGAGAAGGTCGTACAAGCCGCCCTTGACGCAGCCGCCAAAGGCCGAACAACCATTGCTGTAGCACATCGACTCAGCACGATTCAGAAAGCAGACGTTATCTACGTATTCGATAAGGGCGTCATTGCCGAGTCCGGGACACATTCGGAACTGATGGCACTAAAAGGAAGATACCGAGAGCTAGTCAGTCTCCAAAGTCTGGAAAAACAGCACTAAAATTGCTCTTGGCCCTCAAGAGGACGCCAGATGTTGATGATGAAGACCATGATGGGTAGTGGTTGTGAGTGTGGCAATTCTTTCGTCTGCTGCGTTGAGCGCATGCTTCTGTTCCGTGTATATCATTACCACCAGGCGATTGAGGATTTTTCGGGGAAATGATAGATTTTTGTAATTAGATGGATGAAGGAAGGTATGTGGATACCTGAATGCAGAGTTGATGTCCTCAAGCCTCGTCGAGGACAACGATCTGGGATAGCTGGCCTGAATATGATTGGTTTGGTTTGTTGGCCCAGAAGACGTGGATGCTAATGGACTGGGAGTGACGGTCCCAGGGGTGAAAGGAGCAAAAGCAGATGGAGATCAACATCTCTGCTCGGCCATAGACACTCAATAGTGAAAGGCTGGGGTCCAGTGTCTGAGACCCCCTTGCATTTTTGGCTCAGAATCATGAGAGAATATCAATCAGAACCACCGTTGAAACACCACGCCGGTTCCGCGTCTGGTTTCTGTGAAGCCTCTAGAAATACAACACTCGGTATTTGAGCCCCGATCCCCGAGAGCTCTGGCCATCGATACTCATACTCATACACAGACTAATCATCCCCCACGAGCACACCCCTCTCGTCCAACACCTCGGCGACCCGCTTGCCCTCCCGGTCCGCGATCAGCGATAGCATGCCCATGGCGGCGTCCTTGATGTCGTTGTACCGCCTCAGTTGCGCGATGTGGCGTGTGAAGATCGCTTGGGCGTCGAGGATTTGTTGGTCGTGGGTCGGAGATTGTGGTCGTTGCTGTGGTTGAGAGTCAGATGGAGATGGAGATTGTTGCTGTGGTTGTGGTTCTTGCTGGAGGGCGGCGAGACGCGATAGTGTGGTCGTGAGTTGGGTTTCTAACGAGGCGAGTTCGGCTTCGAGGGCTGAGATTGATTTAGGAGTGGGTTTGGGTTTGGGTCTTATTCGTGTTGTTGTGCCCTGGCTTGATGTTGGACTTGTCTTGGTCTTGGAGGTTGTCGAAGTAAGTTCCCGGTGAGGAGTCCCACGGGTGTCGACACTGGGAGTGATGCTACCCAGGTCCTTGTTGGTGTTGTTACGGGCGGTGGGGAGAGAAGACTCGCTCATGCCGCTAGTCCTTGCATCTGGCGCTTCAATTCTTTGCTCGTCGGTTGTCATCCTGGTGGTGTCGTAGTGGAACGGCCGAACGCACATGTCATGCTCACGATCACCTGCAGCCTCGTTAGGTTCGTATCAGAGGAATCGCTGATAACGAACCACTTAGGCTCCCTCCTAGAGAATTTCCCTACTTGTGATGCAGTTCATGGTATTGCGTAAACTTTGCCCTTTTGGTATGTTCACAAGCGAGAGAAGGCCAGGATTTTACCTTTCGTACCGAAACCGAGGGGCGGGGTTCGGATTTGTTGCGAGGCCTGCAAAGTCGGAATGCAAGCGAGTACGAGCAAGTTGGTGTTTGAGTGGTCCGAGAATCGAGATGCGGCGATCGCTTTCGCTTCACTCTGTGCTCGCTCGCAAGGATACCCTCACATGGGAGGGTATGGCCTCGATGGTCTACGAATTAGGCAGTCAGGCCCCTACTTAGTGAGCACCGAGGGAGCCACGCCTTTTGGACTTGGTGAAGAGAGTTAATTACCTAGTACCTACTAGTCTTATAACTTATACTGATCTTAGTATAAGGTTAGGTCAATTACGTCGCTGTTTTAATACTAAAGATAGGCACCAGCGACCGAAATAAGGAAGTGACATAAGCAGTGGAGCCGAGTACGCGTTTGGTAGTATCCGTATCCATATCACGGTTGAGCTTGTATCCATTCTCTGGTTTCTTGTCATTTCACAAGTCTAGGAACAACTTGGAAGTCAAGATGGCAGAAACAGCGCCAAAGAGACAAGCATGCACGGGATCCTGCCACTGCGGATTGACGCAGTACATTGTGTATCTCACCCTTCCGCATCCCTTCTCATCATCGAACCCACCAAAACCAACCGACCAAGAAATCTATCGGTGTAACTGTACCACGTGCCACAAAATGAACATGTTCCACGTCAATCCCGCCAATCCTGCAGACGACTTTATGCTCCTCTCGCCACTGGATCCAGATCACGGATTGAGCACCTATCAATGTTACGAGATGAGAGGGAAATACTATTTCTGTCCGAAATGTGGCGTGAGGTGTTTCACGTTTGGTGGTGTCGGCGAGACCATTTTTGTTGATTTGGGAAAGATCGAAGTTGGCGATGGCAAGCAACTTGAACGGAAGAGAGAAGTATGGCATGCCAAATGGGATGGAGAGGAGGAGCCCATACCGTATCTTTCTGTCAATGGGACGGCGATTGATTATCGAGAGGATTTCGATCTACGTGTGCTCACCGAGCAGAAGAGAGTGCAGTATTTTGATGATCGAAGTGAGCCTGAGGAGAAGAAGAAGCCGGCCAGATGGGATCGACCTCACTATGGTGGAAGTTATTGATTGATAGGGATTTATACGATACGGACAACGCTAAATAGATACTTGTATTTTTTGTTAATAGTAAATACTAAGTAACAAGTCTAGCTGAAACATCAACTCTCTAAATAAATGCCAAGTACTAGTTAGTTACCTAGTAGTATATCTACAGACTTCGGGAGACAGGGGCGTGGCTTACTCAACTACTGATACCACCTCTCTAACTTCACTCGTTTACCTGCATGATCTCAACAACCAATGACCCATGTCTTACACGGGCGGGCACAAAGAGAGCATACCACACTTAAGGTCACACTTCCCCTCTAATCCTGCTGAGCAACACATGGGTGCTGCTGGATTTCATAAAATGAACCTGGGGCCCCCATGGCGTCCACTCATTTTCTTACCCTGAGTCGGGTTCCCAATCCATCGATGCTGAATCCCTGGTGAGTCCACATCATGGCACTTCTCTCGCCCATCACCACAATCCTCTCATCCATCGTCGTGTATGCAATATGGTGGCTGTACCGTCTCAATCGGAACATCACCTCAATCCCACCCGAGGCTCTTCAACTTTCAGGCGAGCCTTGGACCAACGATGACATCCGAAATGCATGGAACAAGTTTGAGAGAGTGGAACACGATTTCACAAAATATCTACCACCGAAGCAGAATCGACGATACGTCGTCTTTGGAGGGTCAGGTTCGTCTCCCAATTCCTCTCCTCACCCATCCACCGAAGCACCATGGACTGTGCTCGCCCACACCACTGACTGCATGACAGGCCTGGTGGGCGGCTGGATCGTGGAGCATCTGATTCTACGGGGCGAGGACCCACGCGCCATTCGGATCGTCGACCTCGCAGCACCCCGGCGAGAACACGCCGTCAAAGAGCACGTCACCCACATCAAAGCCGACATCAGCGACGCAGCATCCGTCGACAGCGTATTCTCACTGCCCTGGCCCAAGGAGGTGGCAGATCTCCCGCTCACGGTATTCCACACGGCCGCCTACATCCAATCCGGACACCGCAGCAAGACCTCCCTCCCCATCTACCTCCGAGTCAACATCCAGGGCACGCGAAACGTGCTGGACGCCGCCAAAGCCGCGGGCTGTGACATTCTGATCGCGACGTCCTCGGCGTCCATCGCCTTGAAAGCCCAGACGGTCTTCTCCTTCCTCCCCTGGCGGCGATACCCGGATGGATTCATCCAGGTCCACGACAACGCCGAGGCGGAAGATTACGATGCGCCCCTCCACCGCTTCGCCGGTTCGTACGCTTGGTCCAAGGCTCGAGCGGACAAGATGGTGCGAGACGCCGACGACAAGAAAGCCCGCTTCCGCACCGGCACCATCCGGCCAGGCCACACCATCTACGGCCACGGGGACGAGAACGAGAACAGTCTGCCAACCAAATACCTGATCCGTGGTGGTCTCCCAACGTGAGTCTAGTCCAGCTAACATGGTCTTCTCAAGGTCCAACACAAACACTATCGGTCAGACACGCAGCTAACTAAACCCCCCTCCGTTTGAACAGATGGCTATCAAACTTCGCCCTGCAACTCGTATCCGCACAGAACGTGTCGCTAGCACATCTACTGTACGAATCGCGAATCCACAGCCACGACCTGGGCGGCCAGGGCTACGCGATCAGCGACGCCGCCAACCCACCGATCCGGTACGCGGACCTGGAACGCTTCCTCGAGCTGCTCGCGCATCCGGCGACCCCCGTCCGCTGGCGCTACGTGCCGCCCGTCCCGATCATGCTGCTGGCGTATCTGAACGAAGTGTACGTCACGCTGCAACACGGGTATTTGTCCTCGATCCTGCCGCGCTTGTCGCCCGATCTGGAGTTGCTGCAGCCTGCCATGTTCAATTGTGCGAACATGCATGTCGTCTATGGTGGCAGCAGGGCCCGGGAGGAACTGGGCTATCGCTCGACCCACACGACGCTCGAGGGCCTTTATCTGATCGTCAAGGAGTGGAATGATAATGTCGAGGCCAAGATTGCTGCTGCGAAAATCCCTCCGCTCTGATTCATTGTGTCAAGCTTCAGCCCTTAACTCCGCAAATGCCCCCAACCATTAGTCGTGTTTTCACGCGGGCCAAAAATGTCACACTGTCCCAGAATCTAAACGTTTGGTAATAATTTACACCGACTGCAGTTGAAATAACAACCGCAGCTAGGCAATATTATTTTATGACAAAGTACTAAACATAGTGGTTGCTCGTAGGAGTGAGGAATGTAGGGAGAAGATGCAGAGGAGTATTCGGCTTGAACCATCCCACCAATCACGGCATATCCACACTCTTTGTTCCACTCGTCTTGTCAACCATCGGCGGCAGTTCACCATCGTAATGTACCTTGAGGGTCGTTGGAAACATCCAGTACGAGCTTTGGTCTTCTTTCATGCAGACGTAGCCTCCGAGTGGTTGAGGAACCTGCCTCAAGGTCAGCATTCAGTCCATTGATAATCAGTGCAACTCCATGTTGGACTAACCTTTTTGATCTGTCCCTGAGGTCCTGGAGCTCTCCTGAGGTTTTGCAGTTTCCCAACTGTTTTGAGCATTGATCCCAGGGCCACCATGTTGATGTCCTTTCCCAGACAAGTATGGATCCCGATACCATAATGGATGTATGACTCAAGCGGCCGATCGAGGCGTACCTGGTCAGGATTTGGAAACACTTTTGGATCGTGTGAAGCAGCAATGAAACTGGCAATGATCTTGTCCCCTGGTTTCACTATGATCTGTTTCCCGTCTTCCTGGAAAACGTGGCTGACTTTGCTTCGACGAAGATTCCCAAAAGTCCCAGCGATTCGTGCCCCTTCTTGCGCATATCGTACCAACTTATCAAAAGATTCCTGACTGTCATCTCTTGATAGTCGCTGAATTTCTGGCCAATGGGATATCCCTTCACCTAGGTAGTAGTCGATCATTTGTGAAAAAGCCTGGGAAGGGTGTGGTACCATCGCAGTTGCTGTCGGGAGAATCTGACTATAGGTCATAGCGCTCGTCGTCATTCCTGTATCTTTCAGGCGACGGATCAGATTAACACCATAATTCTGGAGGGTGTTGTCGTTTTCCCGGAAACTGTCGAAAAATTTGGCAGCAAAGGATGTCGCTGTGATTGACTTGACGTTGGCCTCAATCAACTTACCCAGCATCGTGGCCACTTTCTTCGCCACGACCAGGAGAGGGAATGATTTCGCCGGATCGAAATCAAGCAGGGCCGCAGTAAACATGACACACATTGCCATCCACAGCTCGTGCTCAGTGAAGATACCTCTTGGATTCTCCGCCGTTTTCAAGGGCAGCAAGAACATCTTGGCAGCAAAATGAACATGGGCCAAATTTCCAACATCTCGCGTGAGATCAACTTGATTGAAGTTGGCAACTTTGCAGCTTTTCTCATGAAGGAGCCGGAGGGTGGTCTGTTCGTAAAACTTCCTGATATCATCACGCCATGCCTCTTGATATAAGAGTTGGCCCATGGTTTGACGCTGCTTCTGGTGGAAGGGACTATCCCCACTCATACAAAAACCCTCAGATTCCATGCCCATGATAGGACCAAGTTTTTCAGCCCAGAGAACAGGAAAGTCTTGGGCTCTCTTGAGCATATATTCTATGTTCTGATGTGATGAGATAGCCATCATTGGAGGAATAGAAGCAGGCTTCCCCCAGTCATAGTCTTGGTATCGATCCAATGACTTCATTATCTTTGCGTTTTCACTTGGAGTTGTCATAGGATCTGGATAATTCATTTAGCAACAGTATCGAAGGGAACCTCAACAGTAGTAATTGGGAAGTAGACTTACAGTGAGCATAAATGCTGTCGGGTTTGAAATGCCGGGGCAGCGTGCGAAGCATCAACTTGTAGAACACCGCTCCTCGACTGATGCTCATATCGTAGGCAATCTCATTGAATCCCCAATTTGTCATTGAACCTGGGTTCCAATCCAAGGTATAGAATCGGTCTCCTCGAATCAAAGTAATGGCGTCCGATAGGATTACACGAGAGATTGTGTAATTCGGACAAATTCCAACACCTGGAACCATGGGGTCCTTTATATCTTCGATCGCGATACCGGGATATATCTCGATGTGATCTGGGTGTTCATAGAGGTGCCTCAGTTGGCTTACAATTTGCGGGTCACTGTTGATCTCTTCGAAGGTTTCATATTTTTTGAGTCCAAAGAAATGCCTGTACTCATTCAAGGTGCACAGATTCCATGATCTGGACTGCATGATGCCAAGCATGGTGATTGCTCGCATTGACTTTGGGACATTTCTCGCACCAAATGATCCAGCCACTTGGTCAATTCCCATGGTCATGATCCGGGCAAGATCATCATCGTTGAATTTGCCATCGGGACCCCGTTTGAGATTTGCAAATGGTCCTTTCTGGGGATCTTTCGAAAGTGCATGTTCGAACTTGCCCAAACCCATCAAGAGCTCTTCACAGGAGGCGCCATGGGGTGACTTCCCAAGTATGTCTCGCAGGATAGCTTCAGTCCATTTTTCATCCGCCTCTCCAACACAGGAATGAAAGCGGTAAGCCAGGTTGAATTCCGCACTAACCTGATTGCCAATTCCTCTTGGGGTGACATCTTTGCCATAACGGGAAGTCATATCGGCCCTTGGATCTAATTGCCATGAGCTATTAGTGCGGTGCATATTCAGGATGGTCGGAAGGTAGTCGTATAGCGCAATGTTGATGTATAGTCCGCACGTTACGAGTCGGCCAGTTTGGAAGAGGTCATTGTCATACTTTGCCCATGCAGCTTTGATTGACTGTGGAGACCCTCGATCTGATGGCTTGGTGAATCTACCTTTTTCATTGATTGCAGCGAGCTGCTGGACGACGTAGTTATGAAAGCGATTGAGCAAGATGAGCATGACGCCGCAAGCCGGCGGAAAGGCTATAAGTCGTCCTTCCGCGAAGCAGTCGGCTTTGATTCTCCCATCCTTGAAAGTTCTCATCTCATTCTGATCTTCCTGAGTATCACCGTATAGAATTGAAAGGTCCAGGTAACTGGAGGTTGTGCTGATGCTATTGTCAATATGGTCGGTTTGGAAACAATCTAAGAACGAGTTAACAATGAGCATCGGAATGCCGCATCCATAACTCACCATGGATGATGAGGGAGGCCCAATTGAAGAAAATACTGGAGATATTGTTTGGGTGTGGCTTGAACTCCTCTCTCGCTAGCAAGGAGTCAAAAAGCAGTCCCGGATCTGGGAGAGCGGCTGGTTGGATTGTCACCAGGTCGATGGAGCGAGCATATGGAGTATTAGCAGCACCAAGCTTTGGGTAGAGGTACGAGTTGTTGGACCCGTCGGCCGAACGATAGCGATATTCATCTCCTAGGTATGTCAGAGGGGGATGGGACAATGAACTCCATATTTTGTCCTGCAGGAGCCTTGTCAGGTTCACACGATGGGCCGAATGATCTGGGAGACCTGATACTGTTTGGATGACCTGCTCCATGAACATCTTGCGGTCATTCTCAGGCTTGCCGCTTGCCTTGGCTTCCAGAATCTGAACGGCTGACTTCAAGTCATTCGGACCTAGAGTTTTGAGATCAGCCAGAATTCCAGAGTCCTGCTCCTCAGTCCCAACGTATTGCCCGTCACCAGATTGGGTAGGTAGAGGACGTAGTGAAGCATGAATCAGTTGAGCACATTCTTGGAAGGTTCGCTCAACGTCTTTGCGGCTCGGCATGGGAGTGTTATAACGCGGCTGGAGAGGTGATGCTGGTGGAGTGATGGCTTGTGTTGGGTTTGGGTCAGGTGTGAGGTCAGCGTTTGCATGACTTGGGATTGTTGGATCTCCCGGCTGTGGATAAATGGCCTCATCCAAGGCAGGCATGGAGGTTTTTTCGGAGAGTCATGGCTAGGAGTGCTATGTCGTCTCCTGACTCTGGAAGAAAGCTTGCGGAAGAGTGCCATTGTCGAAGTGTTGCAAGGGGATGATATAGGGTTAAAGCGAAGGTGGAAAAATAATGAATGGTTAATGCTGTGAGTACTGTTGAGACTGTTCTCCAGCTGATGCAGAGGATATTAGAAGATCAATGGAAATGTGTGATGAGGGAGGGAAGAAATGCAGTGAGGTCAAGAGACCCTGAAAGGTGCTGCATGGCGAATTTGCGGGAAGGAGCATGTTCATTTGAACATTGAGTGTACCTGCCGTTTGCTCTTGTAAGAATCGGACTCCATGACCGCTCCTGTAGTCGAGAAGTATTCGTCGAGCCAACATTGCTCAATATCGTTCTTTGGTGTTTCAGATGACGGCAAGAATTTCAGGAGGGTGCCTGCATGGGTAGCCAGTCTCGATCACGTACTATGTCCACCACTTGGTGAACCTGTGGCCCTGGTTAGTGAATTTTAAGGTCTCTCATCATTTTTCTTTAAGAGGCACGACTCATGCTGTGGATTGACTTGTAGCGCGTGGACGTTCAGACGCGTTGTGTTGGGACAGTCTCTTGTCACAGCCAAGATCAAACAGTAATGAACAGAGGAAACTAAGATCGATTGGATGCCCATGATCAACCGGAGAAACTAGGGAATTCGCCCTTGAATAGTTCTGTTAATCAGCCTCCCACAATCATGGACGAGGAGCGAAGATGGGTCATGACGCGTTGGTTAGGTGATTGAGGTTAAGCACCCAACAGCCTTGGGCCGAAACGTTTACTAGGCAAAATCAAATTTGGTTAGTCTCAGCCTCGTGGACCTTGGAGCCTCCCACTGTAGCATCAGGCACTTAACTCAGGATTAAAAACAACGACAGGTTCTTTGCGATGGCAATTCTCATCGGCTGCTCACTTCAATAAATGGCGTTGCTCACCATCCTCTCGATAGGATGACTTCTCTAGAAGCAACTGCAAGCCGCCGTAGTGCGTTGCCTGACCTGCTCTGCAGCAAAGAGTCAGTCATTCTGGGCAGGCACGAACACCTCAACATGACGTTTCTGACCTCTTTCAGCGGACATGTCATCGAGAGTCAGGAGTTTTCGTCCGGTATTGCGACTCAGGTACAAGAGGCAGTCGCTACGATATTGCACCTCACCGCCGACCGCTGGCAAGGCAGAATGTAGTCAGCCGAGCAGCTTCTCTCAATTTAAGAACCGCCATTCCTTGTCTATCACTCGAATCAAGTATCAATTACTTATCTAGACATTTTCCTCTTACAAAAACCTTACACTCTCTACCAGCACTTGCTCAAGCCCAAGAACACCATTCCCATGGCTTCCTCCGAACCTATTCGCCCTCATCAGAGGAAGCTGTTCGTGCTCTGCTTTGATGTGTGTTTTTCTGAGCGTCAAGTATCACACTCCCTTCAGAACTGACGAGGAATTCAAGGGTACGAATAACAAGTTCAGTGGCACAGAAAAGGACAGTAATATCCTCAAGCTGTACCGGATGCTCGATCGAACCGATGCCAACGTTTACACATTTTACCAGCCAGGCATTGGAACATACGTCGCTTCTCATTTTGTAAGTCGATTTCACTCAACCTTCTGGCATGCGCTGACTTCAAAGATGCAAAGCACTTCTGCTGCAGGACGTGCGAGGTCGTGGTATTTGAAAGTCAAAGACTCTGCGTTTGGCTCATCGTTCGCCGAACATGTCATGGGCGCATACCGATACCTCATGAAACACTACAGTATCGAAGACGACCTTTATCTCTTTGGCTTCAGTCGCGGAGCATATACCGCCCGATTCCTTGCTGAGATGCTTGATCAGATCGGCCTCATCAATGCTGGCAATGAAGAGCTTGTTCGCTTTACCTGGAAAACTTATGCAGATTGGGCCGCAAGGAGAAACGATGGCACTATCAAAGCACAATTGAAAGAAGACAAACAGTACGAGGTACGGAGCTTTTACTACAACTTGTCTGAACATTTTTGCTTCGTGCCTACAGCCTTTTCAACATTTTTTCGAGAATAGCGGTGCTGACCGGTCCACTGACAAAAGTTCTTACGGGGCTTTAGGGAGACTTTCAGTCGACCTGTGCGTCGAATTCGCTTTCTCGGTCTTTTTGACACTGTGAACTCTGTTCCCAAATTCGAAAACGCATGGATGCAGCGGACCAGATTTCCTTACACTGCGAAGCCATCTGCCAAGGTTATTCGACATGCTGTATCAATCGACGAACGACGTGCCAAATTCAGGCAAGATCTGGTCGCTGTCTCGAGGCCACAAAGTACTGTCAAGAAGGCCGAATCCGCATCGAGGAATGAAACGGACGCAATTCATCCTTCCAATCCTGCAATCGGTGGACAAAGTGAGGAAGTGCAGTCAAGCAACTCTCCAAATCTAACAACAACTTTGTCCCGAGTCAACCCGTCAACTCACAAACGGCTACTAACGCCCAATTTCCCTCAATTCCCCAAATCACTGTTCAAAAAACCACCACTACCGAAAGTCCCAATTCGACTCCCGTCAATTCCAAGAGTGACAGAATATACTCCACGCCGATACTCGGGTAGTGACCAGGGTCAGGACGTTAACGAAGTGTGGTTTGCTGGCGGTCACTCTGATATCGGTGGAGGCTGGCGAAAAGCTACGGGGGAGACTTGGCCGCTGAGCCACACACCACTGGTCTGGATGATCCACGAGGCTGAAGCAGCAGGTCTGAAATTTGACGCAGAGTATTCCTCCTTGGTTGTGCAAGATCTTTCATTTCCGTGATGCTGACACCTAGCAGGAAGATGGCAAACTTTCTGTGCATTCCCGAGTCAGTTGACGAAAATGGTGAGCGAAAAGAAAACCCCAAGATTCGCGAAATATTCCTCCGAGCGTTACAAGAAAGCTACCGCAATGGAGTGATTCACGACTCTCTGGAGAAGGGACCAGAAGTGCCCGCCAGGACCGCCAATTTCTGGAAGATGATCGAATATCTACCATTCCGGCGGATGGATCTGCAGCCAGATGGAAGCTGGAAGGTCATCCGATGGTGAGTCCCACTGCGAATCATGGATAGAATGGGACTAAGTTTAATGCAGGCCACTCCCCATGGGTGAACCACGCGACATTCCGAGCAATGCCAATATTCATTACTCGGCGATTGAACGGATGAGGAGTGATCCCGACTATCGCCCAGGCAATCTAATTGTCGGAGGTGGTGGGCGAGGTGTCCGCATAGCGCCGGCCGAGTTTGGGATTGGCAATTGGGAGCTGATGAAGTGGCCGGGAGATCCTATCAAGGAAACCTTTGTACGCAAGACTGGGAAAGCTCAGAAGATCGACCATGACGAAAGCCAAGTTGGTGAACGTCAACACGACACGCTTGTTGAATCTCCGAATGAAGAGTGATGAGGAGCATGGGCATATCGACAGTGGTTATTTCCTGGAAGAAGAATTGGAGTTCACAGTCGCCAGACTTACTGTTTTCACAAAGACCTGAAGGATGAAGGGGGGGAACATGGAGTATTGGAGCGATTCAAAGTATATTCGTATTGGAAATTGCAACCCTAGCAGCAATTCATTCAAACATACTGCGAGTCTGCGAAGGCCCCTGAAACGGACATCTCCCTCTCCTCAGAGTTCTCAAGACTGTGTCAAATCATGCCTTACTGGTCGAATTGGAGATACCCAAGGCGTCAGCCAATCCCGCGCGCCTAAGGGCAGCAATGACATCAAGCTCAAAACTCAGCTTGTTCGACTGAAGAGCCTTCTCGTAATATCCCAGCGACTGGTTATTGAAGACGGCCGTCTTGCCGACGACATCAATGGGCAGAATGCCACTCTTGTAGTCTGTGAAAATCATGGTCACGACGGTGGTCTGGTTGGTGACGGCGCGCATGTCGAAGGAGTTGTCGCCGGGCTTGAGGACCAGGTCTTCGATCGTGGCGACTCCGACTGGTGTGCCAGCCACGGACATGTCGAGGGTGACGGTGCCCATTTCGACGCTCAGCACGGTCGGGTTCGGGATCGTGATTGTGCCGTTCGCGTTGGCGCCGTCTTCTTGCTCGCTGGTCAGGATGTTGAACGACGTCAGGTTGAAGCCTTTGAGGCTGTTGAGACCTGGTGAGTGCTGTGTTAGTCGTCTGTGCTTTTTCCTGGTGTTCTCATGGGAAAAAAACTAGACTTGCCTTTCAAGGTGATCTTCTGGTTATAGTTGACGTTGGTCTTGGGGAGGCCGCCCTGCTGGAGCCCGCCTCGGCCCTTGAGGTAGATGGAGTACTCCTCGGTGCCCAGCACGGTCATCGTATACTTGGTGTATTCGGTCATGTCGGCTATCTGGACACGTTGGTCGACGTGGCTGACCGTGCCATTCTCGGCCTTGACCTTGGGGATGTCGAGATATGCGAATGCAGGATCACTGTCCTTGAGATGCAATGAGCCATTGAAGGCCGCGAGCTCAGGGTGATATTTGGATGTCGTGCTGAGCACGCTGTCCAGCTCCAGTGTGAATGAGTCTGGTGCTGGGTCGGATAGTGACATCGATGTGATGTTCAGAACGCCTTTGTTGACTTCTTTTTGGGCCAGATTTGGGTATCCGACGTAGACACTGCATAGAATAGTTAGCGGATTTTCTTGGTTTATCTTGATGGTAACTGACATTGGAAGGACAATGACGAGCACGACGGCGATAAAAATCAGCAGGTCGAGCCACCAGAATCGCGCGCAATGACGCTTGACCTTTTGGCCCAAAGATGCTTTCTTCGGCGTACCGTCATTCTCAACATGAGTGGTGCCGTCTTGTTTGACGACTTCTTTTGCCATTGTGAGATTTTGACTTCGTTCGGTCGTTTTGTCAACGTGTCAAAGATTCTGAAATAGTCTCAGGTGTGTATAGATAAGCAAAATGTGCTGGGAAGAAGAATGGGATCGTGGGGGAAAAGTCGCTATGGGGTCACCCTGTGCAAAAGAAGGACTGGGAATAAGCGAAGGATGGAGTAAGTGCTGGAGATGATCAACCACGAAGAAAAAAGTCTACACATTGATTGTCGAGTCCTGATCCCCGGCGTTCAAGTAGCAAGTCAGTGGCCACTGCTCATGGTTAGAAGCATATCAGAGACCTACCCAACACCAATTGAATGGCTTTCATGGGTCGTGTGACACACTTGATGTTCAGTGGTGGCTGCCAGTTTTGCCAAGTGCTTCTTTCTCACATGCGTCGGTCTCTGTCCGACTCCCAAGATGAATTTACAATACGTACTCACTGCTGCAATCAAACGCAACGACCGAGGGACAGAAGGATGATTGTAGCACATGTCAGTGATGTGAAGACAAATTAAATTAGTATAGTACCTAATAGAGTCACGTTTGGCCAGAGTGTGTAGTAGTAATTCTATCCAGGATGATCCCCTCGTCCACTGGCAGGCGCAATCGAGAAGTTACGTTGAAACTAGAACTCGGCTGTTACATCGGAGTGGCCAATCAAAGAGGCAAAAGCAAGGTTTAACTAACTAGTGCCCGGGGCAGTGTCCACAAAGGTCAGGAACCACCGTTCACTATGCTCCTTCCGGTTGACATCCCGGGGGGTGGTGGCACCTTTAAAAATTTATAATTTGACGAGCGAGCTCTTGCCGCTCCAACTTGAAGGTCTGGAAAGCCTGGGGTCGGTCGGCCTTTCCCGCTTGAGGAGTCGATAGCGTGAGTATCCGTACTCGCTGTCCTCTTGGGCTCTCCGTCACTTCCGCTGTGTGCCCATGGCCCACTTCAAGTTTAACGGTCTGCCCTTGCCCTTGCCCTTGCCCTTGCATGCACGGTTTTTTAAGCTTCCTTCCGAACCCTTCCTCGAGGTTCAACTTGCCCATTTCTCTGAAACTCCACTACCTAACTAGAATTGCTGCTATTCACAGCCTCGGCCTTTCCATTCACGAGGCGCCTCATGCTTCCTCCCCAGTCCTCGTAACATCTGTGGCATCGAGGCGCAAATTAAGGTGTCTCGGATTGATCCGAAGTAAACTAGGTGTTGTGACTACCAAGTTCCTCTTACACCGTGATCTTGCCAACATGTCCACGATGACTTGGCATGGTCCATTCCTAACGACTAAATGACAAAATTCGAGACGATGCTCTTGGTTTCTGTTCCGAGCCAAGCAAATCTCTTGCTGTTTAGCGTCGTCGCCAAAATGCATCATTGAGCCACTAGATACCGATTTCTCGAAAATATGCCTCGGTGTTCTCGGTAGCAGCGCTTCTTCTCCTCTCGAAAGACTGCTACCCCTCCCGTCCATCGCTTAGGTAGGTATACAATTGGTCATTTGGCAGGAAGACAATCCCGCCAGATAGTAGAGGATCGATTAGTGTGCTTGTTGGGAGGGGACTCGCTATAGCTTGAGTGAGTCTCTCTTGTGTATTCAGAGGTGCTTATCCTCTCTTGCAGTTAGCCTGATGTAGATCGATACTAAGATGACGAGTTCGGGCCGTTTGCTAACCCATCTAGTACTCCGTCTGGGGTGCGACAAGTCCATAATTGTTGAGTCCCACCGATGAAAAGCAACTGCGGAGTGATTCATGCACATGTCAAGACGTCGACTCGTAGTGCTTGTATATACCTCGGTGCAACTGTCACATTGACTATCGATCACCACCCTAACAACGCCTGGAGAAGCGCCAGCCAGGATCAGCGCGGATGCTAGTGGACTTTTGGCCACACCCCACCCTCCATGACGAGGTGGATCCCAGCTAATGCATGGCTGGTTCCTGCGGAATTACGGGGAGACGAGGCTACGTGTAACTCGAGTGCTTTCAGATCTTTTTGGGCTTGATTATGTATGTACGGACTGATGCAGAAAATAGGAATTGTCGTATCTCGTCATCAACATCGAGCTACAATCCTTGCGACAGTAGCTCTCCCATGTTTGATCCACCATGTAGTCAACTGATGGGCCCAGGAAAACTAATGTCTTCACTCTCAGTCTGATCTTTTAGCGCGATCTGCGCCAACTGCTCTTCCTGCGACAATGCATCGAAAACCGCTTTGTTGTAGTCCCATGCCTTAACGCATTCCACGTCCCAGTTGCATTTCTCCACCTCCCCATACACGGGATGATTGTACCTAGGGTGAGCTGTCGGCCAGTTGGATGCGTGATAGTGATGCTTGACCAGGGCATTTTTCGCATTGTGGTTGCCCGAGTCTGAATGTCCTTGGCCTGCGGCAAAGGCCTCCACCGTGAGAACCAGCACACCTCCAACGAGTTTGGATTCCACCAAGTTGTGAAAGTAGTCCCAGTTTACACCGACTTGTTCTTTGCCAGACATATACGATAAGAGAGCCTTGGTGAACGCCGAAGGTCCAGTCCCACTGATAACTTCATCAAATCCCAGTTGGATTTCCGAAATCGGGACCTTCTGATCTATGGCAACTTGATTGAGCCATCGTAGGATGTTGTTAATCAACACCATCATGACAGGTAGTCGCGGTTTGCACATAAAGGTCCATTGACAAAACGATTGTGATTTCTTTCCCAGTATTGTGTGGTTGTTAAATTCAGGTTGATCAATCTCGACCCCAATGACCATATCGATTTGCTTTTCCGAGTAACGTTGGGGAATGAACCTGTGGATAGGTTTCAACGCTTCGACATCGATATCCGTATATACACCACCTTCGACGTACATGACAAGGTACCGCAAAAGATCTGCCTTGATAATCTTCAGTCTCAGCGACTTGTACATATAGATGATGTCCAATCTGTTGAAACCAGAAGGCCCAAAATGCGTCTCAACGTATTGGACATCGTTCTGATCTGTCAATACCTCGTATCTATACTCGGGGTTCTTTGCCGTCCACGTCCGTGCGACCGACAGGTCTCGTTCTTCGAACCCAAGGGGGTCAACTTTCCAAGTTTGCCAGATTTTGCGAGGAAATTGGCCTGTGCTTGCAGTTGCTCTATACGAGATCGAAGCACTGAGTTCCCCAAATGACCCAGCGGTGGACACAAGGATGATCAGAAGTATGCAAATGGCACAAGCTGGCAGGAGTCTTCGTACTTGCGGTACGGGATAGACCGGCCTACGCGCATACATATTTTCTTCAAACGAAGGTGAGTAGCACAAATTCAGCAGAGAAACGAGCGAGCTTGGTGGAATTTTTCAGTATCTCTAACGCACGGAAGAATATGATATTATCATCAAGGCTTCGAAAATAGACCTCCATCTTCACATGTCCATCTCACAAGCTGGAATCCCCATTACCACTATCCCAGCATAGCGCTGACGTCAAGTTTAGTCCTCCTCATTTGTCTAGGTACTGCTATCGAATTATTCCGATACTTTCAGTCTTTACAGGTTTGCTAGAAAATCCTGCTGCCATGCCCTAGATCTCTTGTGGAGTCATCCTTAGCGGAGTCCACTTCCGCTTTAGGAATCGCTTCAACCAGGGTAAACAAGGCGCTTGCAGGGATCGAAAAGCTTTCTTGCAACATCATCCTCACACTGGTCCCGTTTTCCTCCTGTTTGGGCAGTTTATTTGGAACCTGCAGACTCGCTAAGTCCCTCCCCGCCCTGCTAGACGACTCATTGCTATACGAAGTACGCAGTACTTCGACATTGCGGGACGGTGGGGTACGTCCCTCTGCTCAACTTGCCGGACGATCACGGGGGAGAGCTCTGCACAAGCTTCATGGCGAACATCTCGGCTCCCCACGATCATGGGGCCCCCAGACAATGAAAGCTTGTATACCCTTATCGAGTTTGTACTCTGATACTATGTCAACTTATTTCGCATGACCGCCATGCAGTGTTATCCGCGATTTGATGGCTTGACCTCACGTTGGGGAGATCAAGGCAATCTTGCGACATGAAGAGGCTAGCCTTTCAAGCTATCAACAACGGTCGGCTTGTAGATGCGTGCATCATGCGCCCATCAGCGATCTGTCGGTCAGGGCACCCATACTGCTGACCTTGACCCCGGTCTAAGTGGGTCGTTACCGAACGTTGCCGAGGTCTCCGCTACAATATTCGGACAGAACATGTCAACTCATGTGATACTAACGAGAATACTGCTCTCGGTCGGATGATTCGAGTGAAGGTCCAGCTCTAAACTCCCGTAACGAAGCTCTACTACCACAGACTAGATGGCATGTGATAGGTATCCAGCTCTTCTGCAGAGCCTAAAGGGTCGAGTTCCCTCGTAGCCACTGACATATCCGCGGGGATCATCCTATCATCTGGGGTTGGTGCAGGTGTGACTCGCCGGGGACACTACCTTTTTTAGACAATGCAAATGCTCCTACATGTGTCTATGGGCCTGTAAAGGCCATGAGTCCATGACGTGAAGGAAATGTACCAGGAGAGCCCAGCCCCCCGTAGCATTCCGATCAAGACTCGGAGAACTGCAGATATCACATCTGCCAGTCATCCAAATCTCTATTGTCGCCTTCCCATCATCTGTTCAGTCTGCTCTACAGCTGGGAGATCTCTTTTTCATCACACAGAGATGAGCTGAAAGCCTCTCAGGAAGAGGTTCATGCTTCCAAAATGGTCAAATCGCACGAAGGCATAATCGGCAATGGCTACTGGAAGCCAGTCAAGGCTGATACAGAACCTTCCTCGTTCAACCGAGCAACAGAATGGTGCGGCAAGGCCATCCGCCCATCGTTCCTCAGAGACTCAGACTCGACATCTGCCAGGAAGCGCACAGCATATCTAGATGGCTTGCGAGGCTTCGCAGCGCTGTTGGTATACTGGGGACATCACGAACTATGGGCACATGATTCAGAAGCTATCCTCGAGAACGTGTATGGCTACGACTCGCAGTACTATTTCGTCAACTTACCTGGTGTACGGCTGTTCTTCTCAGGGGGCCATCTGGCGGTCACAATCTTCTTCGTTCTTTCTGGATATGTTCTATCTGCCAAACCACTGACGTACATCCAAGCTGGGGAACAACTTTCGCTGGGAGACAATCTATCTTCTGCACTGTTCAGACGCTGGATTCGTCTACATATCCCACTTATCTGCACGACGTTCTTGTTTATGAGCTCGTGGCACTTGTTCGGATACAAAACAGATACCGAAGCACAGTCCAACTTTCGCGATGAGGTTTGGAACTGGTACTGCGAATTCAAGAACTTCAGTTTTGTCTTCCGAACAGGTGGTGAGCCAATGTTCTCATACAACTTCCACACGTGGTCGATTCCCGTGGAGTTCCGCGGCTCTGTCGCAGTCTACACAGCACTGTTGGCATTTTCAAGATGCACGCGGAACGCTCGGCTCTGGTGCGAAGTCGGACTTGTAATATACTTCATGTATATTGCAGACGGCTGGTCCAACGCGGCTTTCATAGCCGGCATGCTCCTCTGCGACCTTGAACTCCTTTATGCAAGCAGAAACATCCCAGAGACGTTCAAGCCCCTGGCACGATTTAAACACACCATCTTCTACTTGATGTTTTTCATTGCCCTCTATCTTGCGGGCGCTCCTGCTTCAAGTTCTGACATACATGTCCTAAAGAACTCTCCTGGGTGGCATTATCTCTCGTATCTCAAGCCGCAGGCAGTGTATGACTATAAGTGGTTCTACCTTTTCTGGGCAGCCACATTTATGGTTGCTTCAATCCGACATATTTCGTGGCTGAAGCGCTTCTTCGAGACACGCTTCAATCAATACCTCGGACGCATCTCATATGGATTTTACTTGGTCCATGGCCCCATCTTATGGTCTTTAGGAGACAGAATTTACGCAGCCGTTGGCTGGTCAAGAGAGCCGCATGCAGTGAATATGCCTGAGTGGATAAATTTTCTTCCTATAACGAAAGCTGGTCCATATGGTTTGGAGGTCAGTTTTCTTCTTCCACAATTAGTCCTACTGCCGATTACTCTGTGGTCGGCAGAGATTGTGACTGTACTCTTTGATGAACCCAGTGTGAGGTTTGCACAGTGGCTGTATGGCAAGACATTGGCTCCTTGCGTGAAGGCTTAATAACCCAGAAGTTTATGGAGGCGGATTTGTGTTCCCGAGTCACACCGGCTGGTGTTAAAATCGTCGTGTGATATTCCCCGGAGCTTCTGTAGCAGCTCACGCGTTCGGCGTGAATGGCACAGCTATTAGTTTAGGAATATAGAGTAATGCGTTCCTTTTGTAGCGCGGTGCGTATTGGCACAAACAGGACCAAAAGGGGATCCAAGTAGGAGAATGAAAATGGGGATATTAGTAGGGCTGGCGAGCGAAGCAGGGTAGATTGCAGCATGAGATCGTGGAGTCGTAAACCGGTTTCTTGATGAATGGTAAACTACTGTGATATGCTCCTAGTAGATTTTAGCAGCCCACTAAGGCTTTGTAAGGTGATCGCACTTGCATCCCCCCTCCTGGAGCGGCACGAGATATAACATCCTTCCCACCTCTTTCCCTGCCACAGGCTTTTCGGTCTTTCTTCTTCTCTCATGATCTAGTTGCAAGTCTTCTTCCTCTCGTTGTCAGAAATGCTACTCAGAGGGGTGTCCCGAGTTTCGGCTCTCGTCGGCCTCGTCGTCTTCGGTTTGGTCATTTCCACAGGATTTTACGATCAACTGTTTCTCGCGTTGTCATTGAGGGGTGCACAATGGGCACAGTGTCTGAGTAAACTGTCATCGACTGGAACCAAAACAATGGTGGCACAATCTCATACAGAGGTGTTCTCCAGGACAACTAGAACTAGCCAATACTTTCCCATCGAGTTTGGCGAGGAGGAAGCAATGAACCCCAGCATAATTCCACACCCTTCACTGGCTGATACCTGGATAATCACTGCACAGCGCCGACCGACCTCCGGAAGACCATCTATCTGGTTCTCTGAACTTGTTTGTGAGGCAAAGCTCAAAGATGGCAAGCTGAGTTGCATCAAGGCTCCATCGATCCTACCGATCGCTGCTACAATCGGCGACAATTGTGTTGGTGACCTGGATTTCTTTGGTCTCAACATTGGGCCACACGACGCCCGAGTCTTCTATGGTCCACAAAACCCATATGCTATCTACGGGTCGAATTCTGGTTATACTTGCTTTGGTCAGTGGATCCAGGATTTCAGGGTGCTTGTGGACTGGGAGATGGAGCTGCACATCAAGTCAAACTTCAGACTCGGCACCGAGCTTACACGGCCACCTCCATTCAGCGCTGTTGAGAAGAACTGGTTCCTCTTCTGGGACAAAGACGGAGACACCTACGTCCATTACGACATTTTCCCACAGCGAAGTTTCGCCAAATTGAACAGCGATGGATCGGTCGGCCTAGATCTGGCACCTCTAGCAGCAGGAGCCGGTGATCACAGCTGCATGACTAGAATGATGCCAGAGCTTGCTCCTAGCCTTGAGTCTATCCATCAGGCCACCAACAGTCTTTCGATCACGCTTTGTGACCGGTCTGATGATTCATGCCAGCCAAACGACTCAAACACCTACATCATGACGATATTCCAGCACAAGAGCTTCTACTACTACCACAGTGTGTACGAACCATACGTCATGCTGTTCAAACGCAACTCCCCATTTGAGATCCAGGGTATCTCTTCGAAACCGATATGGATACGTGGTCGAGCAGGGGCAGGTGAGGCCAAGAGGCCGCCTGGAGCGGAATACGAGAAATTAGATTCTTGGAACCAGACTGAGATGATCTATGTCACATCAATGAGTTGGAAAGAACAAGGCCAAAAATATCATGGGTATTTGGATGATGTACTCTTCCTTGCGTTTGGGATCGAGGACGAGCGAACTGGCGGAATTGACATCCTCGCGGGTGATCTAGTGCGGGATATTGAGACCTGCTCCACTAGTTGAGTAGGAAGCATGAATACCCATTTTGAGTTTATTCTCATTTCTTGTAGTGCGGCTTGCGATGCGGAAGTGGTGCTTGACCACTACCCTCAAAACCGGTCATGAGTGAGACAGCCATTCAGCCTTGTCCGAACCTAACGGCTTTGGCATGACATCCCAACCTACTGAAACTCCCTCGATCGATGCAGAATGCCGTACAGATTTCAAAAGACCAAAAGCCGACTCTCGCTCTTCCAGACAATTCTCAGGAACATCATATTGGGTGTCAAAGTCTTTGCACTGAAAGCCAGAGTCACCCGGATATTGCCCCAGACTTCTGAGATACTTCATGACCCCCGCGAGACTGACATCAACTTGATACGAACCGCCTTCCGTGGCTTGACGATAAAGTGCCGTCAAGATACCCGCCGCTAAGAAATACCCCCCTGCATGGTCAAGAGCCTGGCATGGCATCGGCAGCGCAGCTTCGCCTTTACCGTGGTGTTCTGCCTCGGAAACATTCATTCCAGAGCATGTTTGCACCAGTGAGTCGAACCCTCTCTTCTCTTTCCACGGGCCCTCTGGACCGTAAGCGGACATGTTAGCACAGATGATCCCTTGAGGGCATCTGGCAGCCAGTTCTGCTGAGGACAATCCTCGAGACGCCAGGCTTCCCGGCCTGAATCCTTGCAGGAACACGTCTGCCGAATCCACAAGCTCAAAAAGTTTTTCCTTCTCTTCTTCAACCTTAATATCCAGCCTTATTGTTCTTTTCCCTCGGCCGAGATCTCGATCAAGTCCTGGCTGGTCAGGCAGGGTTGGACTTGTGACCCAAAGAACATCCGCGCCGTGCGCGGCCAAAGTCTTTCCAGCAACAGGCGTTGCAATCACCCGACTCATCTCTACCACTCTCAGCCCTTGTAGACATTTATCTGCTCCTGCACCAGCAACATGCTTGTGTAGTCCGACCGGCCCATCAGCAATCTTTCGAACAATGATAGGAAAGTCATGAACGGCTTTCGCCTGTGGCAGGATGTCCCATTGAGCATAGCTCCTCAATGCGGATATCACTATGCCGGCGTCGAACGCAGCAGTTTCAAGCTCGACAGAGTTCCACTCTGCGATCTTCGCGCCCACTTCTGCCCTGTCTGCCTCAGCGCTACATCCTAGAAGAGCGCGTGCGCCATCACGGTGGACGGGAAAGCCATCATGAACCCGAACATGCCCATCGGCACTTTTGTGCAGACCTCCGATCGCGCCCCAGGGCGGACGACCGATCTCACCGTCGATCATGTAGAGTCGCTCGGATTTAAATTCCACCACCGCGTGTTCTCCTGACACGGTCGTGCGAGGTACTACCTGGGATTTGTTGCGGATCGAATGAACAAGAGCAGCGAGAAGTGCTGTGAGTGCGATTGATGATTGCGCCAAAACTCCAATCTTGAATGATGATGGTAGTCTGGAGTTGGCATTGGGTAAGTGAATTGAGTCGAGTGCCACCTCGGGGAGACTCAGATGATGCCACAGATGTCGCAAGCTGTGCTCAGAGTTGATTTGGGCTCCTGATTCCATGTTGCCTGCTTTTGAGTTGGTGGTGGTTGAATCCGCAAAGTGCATTGATATCAGGCCGAGGTTGTTCTTCGTGAGTTCTTATGACACCAAAAGCGCGAATCAAGCTCCGCCTTAGGGGTTCCCTCAGGCAGGTCTGCACCTGATGCGCTCCCTCAAACTTAATTTAGGCATGACTCTACGCTTCCGCCCTGCCACAACGACGTATTCGCGATCTTCGCGACTCACAGCAGCGTATGGGATGGAGAGCACTTAGCGATCGAAGAGGATGGACCTCGCTCTCTAAATCTCGAAAGCTAGAAAGCTGGAAAAGCAAGATCAGGATTGATGGGCGCCAAAAAAACATAAATACACGGACCGCGTTTGCCATCATTGCGTCGCGTTCAGCCTATTTGGTAAGCATAAAGTCGCGTAACATCTTGGCTAATCTCTCGGGCTTCTCTAAAGCCAGGCTATGTCCACATTCCTCAAAAACCTCTGACGACTGCACATTTTCCGCTACCTTTTCCATCTGCTCTTTAACCAGAGGTCCGAAGAACCTGATAATCAGTCAGCAGTAAAATAAATGGGCAAGAAGAGGATGGCAGCGCTATCGAAAACTTACTCAGGAGCTCCAACTGTCATAACTGGTATTGTGAGCTTTTTCTTCACTTGCGACTGGTTGAACTCTGCGTTCTTCAACGCTGCTCTGTAGGTCTCCAGAATGCCCCTCAGACCCCCTGGTTGCTTTGAGTACATGATCCATTCCTGTCGAGCCTCCTCTTCAATGGCACTGGGATTATAGCACTCGGCAACCATGAAATGCGTCCAGAACTCATCCTCCTTGCCCTGAATTAGCATTTCCGGCAGATGTGGAATGAAAAAGAACGGGATGTGCCACAGCCAAACACCACGCTGGTCGTATTGAGCGGCCAAGTTCTCGGGTTTGAAATGAGTCCATTCTTCCAAACCAAGGCCGCTCAGAAGCATTTCGCAAAAGGACAGCGAAAGGACACGCTCGCGATACACAGCGGCCAGCGCATAGGCGAATTCGGCACCTCTGTCCTCGCCGTGGACATGGAACTTTTCGTGTCCGAGTTGAGACATCAGTACGGCGAGATCGTGCGCATTTGTTTCGCTGTCGTAGCCGTCGGAGGCTGGCGGCTTATCGGTGGCGCCAAACCCTCTCAGATCAGGCGCAACGACAGAGAAATAGGGCGTCAAGAGCGGCAGGATCTTGTACCAGTAGAAGTTAGTCTTCGGCGTACCATGGACGAGTAATAGTGGAGGGCCCGACCCAGCGGTAATGTAATGGTATTTCAGGCCTCGCACTCGTCCACGTGTATGCTTGACGGCCTTGCCATCGTGATCAAAAAGCTCAGGCATAGCTTTCGAGTACTTAGTATGGTCGAGAGAGCGCCTAGCATCTCGAAGATCCGAGATTCGCAATCAACCTCTGGCATGTCTTATATACTTAGTACTTTCAAGGATTATGCTTCTGATGACGTTTTTCCAAATAGGGGAATCTTCGGCGCCCATCGATTAACTCAGATACTCACTCACAACCTTCGTAACAAATATGCTATGTTGGTACCTACAAAGTACAAAGTACTTAGTACCTGGGTAAGTAGTACTTGATTTCTAAGTACTTAGTATGTGTAGCAGTACTCTCTCTGGTTTTATGTCAACTCGGTCGAAAGAGTCAATACCTGGGATGGTGATACTAAGTACTGAAGTCTCGTAGTTACCTAGGTGCTTGGTGTTTATAAGTCGTACCTGACTCGCAAATCTTTTGATTTAACTAGGGCCGCACTTTGGTACCCAAGGCCCCTCCGATGATTGAACGACAAATGGAAAGACCAACCTAGGGAGGCAGAGAGGCAATGAGTATTGTACTCTTTCATACAAAGAAGCTCCCATTTTAGTCTACTGCTGAGCATTTCAGTGCTACATAGCTGTACTACAAGCTAAGTATTAACTTGAGTAAAGTACTAGTACTAAATCTGAAGTGTACGCACAATTCTTACTATCTTTCTTCTCAGTCGGTAATAGCAGTTCGTATTGTGGTTAAAGACCACTATATGTATTATGTCATTCAAGTGCCAGTCGTGACTAAGTAAGCAGAAGGAGGCGGCGCAATAGGAGACACGAGCGCATCCGTGTTGATCCTAGCGTAGCCAAAGCTTGCCTGCGTGGAGCTGTGAGGAGGCAATCTGATGTCATTACCCTGTGGTTGACCCGTCTTTGTTGATGGGCCGAGAACTTTTATTTTTGAGGTGATATTGAGGACTAGCACGGACTGGAAGCCCTAGAAACACAAAAAACAGGACGACGAGATCCGATAAGGCCATTTCGCATTCAGAATAATCAGTTTGTGAGGAACGATGGACGAAAATCACATCTACCAATATTCCCTGGTAAATGCCTTGATGGCGGGAGTGGTTGATTCTGGACTATCTGTCCAAGATCTCCTGTCCAAAGGCAACCAAGGCATCGGTACCTTTGCACATATGCGAGGAGAGCTTCTCATGCTTGATGGGGAGGTTCATCAACTTCTTGCCGAAGGAAAAACTCGAGTGGCCGATGAAAGCGATCAAATTCCATACGCAGTCGTCACGCAATTCGTGGCCCAAGAAACCATCGAAGTCCAGCTCAAATCGAAGGACTCGATAGAGAAGGTTTTGGATGGGTTCAACAAGCACTCGGCCAATGTCTTTATGACCTACCGCTTCCAGGGAAATTTCAGAACACTCAAATGCCGTACGGTCAAAGGCCAGGAATACGACGGTCAACCATTATCCGAAGTTGGAAAGAACCAGCACGTCCAGGACTATGAGAACATCGAAGGAACCATCGTCGGCTTCCGGTCTCCTGAAATATGGCAAGGTTTCTTTGTTGCTGGGGAGCATATGCATTTCCTTAGCGCCGACAAGACCGTTGGTGGTCATATCTTGGAGCTTGGAGATGCAAAGGGCACAATAGGGGTGGCCACATCCACCAATGTGCACATCGAGCTTCCGTCATCTCAGAAATTCAATGAGACAAAGCTAGCCCTAGATAATACTGGTATTAGGGCGGTCGAAGGATAAGTAGTGTGAGATTGCAAGATCGTCGACGGACTGCAAGATTTGCTGGCTCTTTTCTTACTGTTAAGGTTCAGTTAAGGCCAGCCATATTCCAGCCCCGACTTCGGCGTTGGCTCTTAGTCAACCTCTTATAAGCTTTGCCCCCGAGAGTTAGACCGGGTGGTGTGGCAGGCACTCTTGTGGTCACCTTCCCGAACCGATTGTTACCCGCCGACTTACGCAGGCTTGCTACTTGCTACTTGAGACCTGACAAGATTCCATTTTCAAAATGCTGGTTTGTTTTACATCAAACAGACTGATATCTCATACTGCACAAGATTCCAGCGGTATCTTTAAGTATCATGACCTCTTCACCCAAAGAGCGACGACGTAGGTGGGCACCCAAGGTGAAAACCGGCTGTGGAACCTGCAAGTGAGCACGATGATCCAACGATAAAAGTATGGAAAATCTAACTTGACTGTCCAGGATCCGACGTAAAAAGTGTGATGAGGCAAAGCCTCGATGTCTTAGGTTATAGTCACCTTTTGTTTTCGGCCGACCTCTGAGCTAATTCATCCAGGTGTGAGAAAGATAAATATACTTGCGATGGCTATCAAAGCACCGAGTCTGCGATTGATTATCGCCAGAAGAAGCCCTTTCCTTCTTTCCCGTCAGCTTTCGCACCTACGCTGCTCGACTCTCCTGGAGCATTCGAGGGTCCCGATCGGCTGAAAAGCCTGAGCCAGAACAACCTCCATAGCTCTGGCACTCGTCGCCACTTTGAAAGCACTGTCACTCTCATAGAACCTTCAAGCCCATGGAGCCAAGGTACAGATCATCTTTATGCTAGGTATTTCTTCCAAAAGGTCGTCCCACTGTTTTCGACTACTCGTTCCTGGCGATTCTTCTGGCAATATACGGTCCCTCAAGTAGCATGGCAATATTCATCCATTCGTCATGCAATGATCGCCCTTGCAGCTGCATGCAATTCTAGTATTTCTGCAGTTGATCGCACGAGGGTCTTACTGTTGAAGAAAAACCTTTCAATCCGAGAGTTTTCGGTTGAGCCTGCTACTTCGGACACCGCATTGATCCTATGTCGACTGCTGACATGCATTTCTCAATGCACCGAAGACTGGGGAACCGCTGCGATGCACATGAAAAATGGAAGGAAGATTCTCAAGGAAGCGTGCCTCAACCGCCCTTATCAAACAGATTTAATCAGATTGATGGCGCCCACATTACTCGGGATCTCTTCAGATGCAAGTGAGGATAGCGAAATTGTCGGACAGATGAAGTACGACAAACGACAATCTTTCACGTCTCTGGTATTCATCCGCAAGCAATATGGACAATTATTGACATCTCTACATAAAGCCGATTGGCCATTTGTTGACACCGATACGAACGCCCTGTTGCTCCTAGGCTGGAGCACAGTGACAAAAGCCAGTAACTCAATGGCATTTCCAGAGATCTTTAATGTCGCGTCCGACGATCCTCTCATTCCTGCGGCGCAAGTTCGAGCCGCTCTACTGACTGAGGGGAGACTCCTGTCTCTCGACCAACTGGTAGCTCTATGCTTAAGATTGTTTCGCCACGGCAGTGATATATTCGTCGACTGTACATCAAGAGACTGGAATATTCTCGGAGACTGGAAATCCGACTTCAGGCTGGTTGTGGACAATTATGTTGCTCATGCGATAGATGTCGAACCCCGGACAATCGCAGGCACTTTCTGGCACTCAGAGAGATTCTATTCTCACTGTACAGTGGAGAGACACTTCAGGGAGATGGGTGAGAGCAGTGACGACGTTGACTATAATAACCAGGCTTCAGATTTCAACCCATCCAATGGTTCAGTGAACGAATCGGTAGATGACAGAAAAGGATATTACCTCGAGCATGTGTGCCCTTACCGCAGCGGATTTACACCCGCTTGGTACAGTTGAACGACCAACCCTGAGAATCATTTCTTTCGGACCCAAAGTCGGATATCAAAAACTAAGGACTTGCTGTTTTGATCATGGGAATGATCGCCGATCTCCTGCCGAGCACGGTTGACCCGTGCAAATATAGCCCACTCAAGTTGCCGTTTCTCATGAACGAGGAGTACTGCTCTACTCTACCTCGACTCAACAATACTGATCAATCGCCACAACTGAGGATATGCAGAATATCTGCTCACTTCTGTTTTCCAATTGACCTGAGCCCAGCTCCAAATTTACCCAACGCCAGTGTCGCCGGCCAGCCGAGTAAAATGACCAACCCAGCAAGCAGGCTGTTCCCACCCCCGTATCCCAAGCTGCGATACACCTGTGGTGCAAAAATAGGGAAAGAAAAACCCATGATATTCGACAGGACTCGACAGGCCGCATTTGCAGACGCTGCGTGGTCAGTAAATTCGTCCAGTAAGTAGGCGATTCCTGCCTGCGACCATGTAAAGCTCCCAATGGTGAAAACACCCACACCAAAATCCACTAACACCCATGAGCCGCCTTTTCCCACTGCCCACCCGTACCATATCATCCCAATTGGCATGAGAAAAGCTCCAACAATCATCATTGGGACGCGCACTTCTGGGGTTGGTTCAGCTTTCGCTCGGGCCGACGACCGTCTCCAAATAAAGTCAGTCAAGCGACCTCCCACCTGGGTTGCAATGGTAGCACCAGCCGCGATGGAGATGTAGTGCAAGCTACTTATCAGAGCTGATTGATGGTAAATTTCGATCCAAAGCGTTGCAAACGTGGATAAGGTTATGCAGTAAGTCCCAAAATTCAAGCCAAGCAGGAAAGCAAGCATCTGAGCGACTGGCCGCTGTATCAATATTAAGACTGGCCGTCGCAAATTCAAGGCTGGCCTTCTGTGGAATGACGCGATCATTGCAGAACCTGTGCCGTTCTGCTTCATATTGGATCCACCAGTCTTGCACAGTTGGAGGTGTTGCAATACCGGAGCATATGTCTCGTGTAGCAGGAGTATGCCAACGATTATGAGACAAGCATCAAATATGGAGATTGTCCAGAATAACCATTGCCAGTGAGTATGCTCTGCCATGATGCCACCGATAATCGGGCCTAAAGCTGTACCTAGATACGGTGCAAACGTAGCAATGGCTAAGGACTTGCCTCGCTCCTCTGGCCCGAACATGTCGGCTACGATAGGTCCGGAAAGCTGAAGTCATGTGAGCTCCTGTTCATGTGTACTTCAGAATGAATACTTCAGTCTGAGAAACTCACCGCAATCCCCACGCTTGCACCAGTGCCTGCGAGAAACCGTCCAGCGGTCATCAGTCCAATCGAGTTCCCCACAGGACAGAGAGCATTCCAAAGGCAGTACCACAAGTTGCAGGCGATCCAGACAGGTCTTCTACCATAGGCTTCTGAGAACGAAGCAATGGGTAGAGGACCGATCGCCAGACCTAAGAAATAGACGGAGAATGTGATTTGAGTTACCGAATCGCTCACATTGAGATCATGAGCGATGATTGGAAGTGCGGCTGCCATCACACTTGCAGTCATAAGGGTTACCAGCTGGCAAAGCGAGACCAGCAGCGCAATGGTTATTTTTCGATGTCGTGGCCAACTGCGCGGCATCTCTGGATTGAAGGAAGCCTCTTCAGAGATACATTCCTGTGTCTGAGTGCTTGTCAGTTGGGTGGATTGTAGAAAATGTCAATGATATGTTGATATGATGGGGGATTACCGCTGAGTCGTGCTCAACCACAGCTTGAGGCTGGTTAGGATTCGCGTCAGACTCAATATCCTCCCTGCGAGTTTTGGTTTGACTGTGGCTACGTGTAGCCTTTTCGATATCTACATTCTTCACCCTGACAGTAGCCATGTCCTCTGCACTGCTATCCATCTTGTAGATAGTGAAACATCATAGCATTAAAGAGGCGCTGGCACTTTCAGCTAGACTTATGACTTAATGTTATCACCGAGATGATACTTAGTTGCCTTGTCCTTTTCGGAGATCAAAAAGGACGACTCAGTTACGACCGAAAGCCGATTTTCTTCCATTGCAACAATGGGCGTACGTCTCCACAAGTTGGATATCGTCTACCAATGGGAATAGCTGCAGCGTATGGTAGCTCATTTTCCTGCCAACAACGGCATACGTCCACCAATAGTCCTCCATCGGTATGCTGGACTATCGAGACCATTTCTTGATCATGTAACTAGCCATTCATATATGAGCCGTGGAGCCCGATTGACTCGATTATTGATGGTGGCGACCAGACAGTAGCATCAGTATGAGCTCTCCGAAGTCGCGGATGGAAGCTCATCCACGCTGTTAATCACATGCATGGCACTTGTAAAATTGAAAATTGTCTAATCAACGCTCGAGATATATGATACGGACATCGTACAGAGTGCTTCCACAATATTAGTGAGCATATTCTTCAGCCTGTGGACACTTCGGACAGGTTTACGTGCCATGGCGAGATGGTTATCCCGACAAGGCATTCCTCCGCCGTCTCGTCAAGTAAAGCTGCAAAGTAGATGCCAATTAAACCGAAATTTACCTATCTTGTGGTCGACGAAGGCGTAGTGCTTAGCTACATCTAGCCCTGAAGCCGCTATCGCTATATAGTCTTAGATAGCGGATTGGGCTGCTCTCAAGCTACCAACTACCGTGAACGACAAGATTGGCGAAATGAGATAGGATACCTAAAGCATATTAGTTCAATGCTCTCCTTGTCACAACCGGTAATGCTGTACTTACAGTCAATAGCTCCGCGATATTCTTCTCGTCTTCGTCCTCGGCGTCACTCACTTGGATAAGGGTGATCAGTTTCATAGCTGGTGGTCCTGTCGGCATCAACATCATGGTGAACCACAACATAGGGTCTTCACCAAGGATATCTGTCCTAGATGCTAGAGCGTAGATAAACGCGATCGACGCTATCGGCCACAGTATGAAGCGCACGGCGAGTATGAATGTGACGGTGACCCAGGGCAATTTCCTGTTTTCACTCGATCTTCTCGCTTCGTTCCATGAGGTGTATAGAGATACTCCTGCCACGACCACTGGGAGCGGAACGAACAGTCCACCTATGCTTTTCAAGGATGACGTGAACCATGCAGTGAAAATGCCACCCTCATAGGTACTGTTGAAGAATGCTCGGTGAAGAGAAGGCACCAGACCGATGACCGTGCCGATGGCTGCTCCTAAAAGAGGAGCATTAAAGAAGTCAGAGATGAACAGCAGCCACCATTTCGCACGTGGCCCAAGCCTTATCCAATGTTTGCGTGGTACGATGGATGCTCTTCGATTCTGTACTGGTTGCGCCCTCACTTGAGATTGTTTTCGGCTTGATGGGAAGAAGGAATTCTGAGCAAAAGGGTCCGCAAATTGAACTGTTGACGGGCGGTCGTTCAAGAGGCCAGTTTCCTCGTTCACTCTTGATTGTGAGCTCGGATCATCCAGATCGTCATCGCTTTCGGAATCGTGGTCCTTAAATTCTTCTGCGGCATGCTCGGAATCAATAAGCCTTGGCCCAACCGCAAATGTTAGACAGCTTGAGACGGTCGCGAACACCAGGAAATAGGACTTCGCGCGCTCAACAGCAGCTCTAGTGGTTTCGTCCGTAGTAATGAGCGACTTCAGAATGCCTGTGTCATTCAAAGCGGCAACCAGTAGCAGAGGGTAGCTAGTGGTGTTATTGAACATCAGAGCCACCGTAGTCCAATCTGGCATCCCTAGGACCAAATGTGCAAATATCCCAATGAAGAAGGAAATCAAATGGCAGACGATAGCCCAGATAAAAATAATCAGATAACGCTGGGCAGCTCCTGCATGCAGCTCTGAACCGATTTGCACAATCAGAAGAGCGGGCAAGAACATGCGCACACATATTTTTGAAATGGCTTTGGTATTCGCTGGACTTAGCAGATTTAGATGAGCGGCAACGCCGCCATAGAAGATAACAAGCAGAACCGATAGACTGGCTTGGACAGCCGCCAAAAAGGAATCCAAAAGCCCGGTGGGTGCCATCATGGAAGTCTAGAGTACAGTCTGGGTGAGGGAGCTGCAGACTTGTACGAGGTAACAAGAAGTAATAATGGTGCCGAGCTCATGAGAAGATAATGATATTTGCTTTTGCAGCTTAGCCACCGATGAAGCATATCATGCACTTCAATAGTAATCACGACATCGCTTAGCTCCAGGACTCGTTAAGGCGGGGTACTAAATGCCGACGATCTCAGATCTTTGGGCAAATCCCATGGAGCACTAGGAAGAACTTACGATTAGGGTACAGGACTAGCCTTATCACATTTTCCCCTGGGGATAACGCTCAGTATGTAGAACAGGAGATAACTTGATGTTCGCAGAGTTCTAACGTTAGGTAGGATCAAGGTACCGCTTCTAAGCTACATATCTCCACAATTGTGACACTTAACCTAACCTTTCAAGCTCCCTGGGCACCTAAGGTACCTCGTACAGGCCCAACATCTAGAGACAAATAGCTTGTTCTGCCACTAATGCAGCCTAGAGGGCTAAGAATTATAGGTACCTTAGGTGTCTACCTAGGTACCTAAAATAGGTGAAGGCTGGCCAGAGCAACAAATGCAGTACATTTGCCAAGATTGTTGCGACCCCCAAATTACCCCGCACCAGTATCAATGGATAACTCGTTCCAAATTCTGCTGAATGGTCTGTCCTGCACGTCACCAGAGCTCGCAATCGAGAAACCCGAAGAATTGTGTAGTAGATTCGGATCGTTTCAAACCTTCCTGAATCCTACCTATCACACCAGTAACAATGCCGCAAGATCCTGTCATAACCTCTGTCACCGACTTGGCTTCATCAGACGCAAAATGGGTGTCGCTCAAGAAAGTCGAATACATTGATCAACTAGGCACAGCTCGTTCATGGGAAATAGCCGTTCGAAAGACAACAGCCAAGTCCGGCGTCGATGCCGTTGCCATTGGAAACATCCTACTTCATCCTTCCAAACCACCGAGCACTCTTCTGGTCATCCAGTACCGGCCACCGATCGGCAAATTCACTGTCGAATGGCCAGCGGGTCTAGTCGATGAACATGAGTCTGCGGAGCAAGCAGCTATTAGAGAAATGAAAGAAGAGACTGGCTATTCTTGCAAGATCCTTGATGTCGGCCCCGTGTTGGCAAGTGATCCGGGGCTTGCCAATGCTACACTGCAACTGGTGATGATGGAGGTGCAGCTGGACGAGAAAGAGAGCATGCCCGAGCAAAAGTTGGACGAGGGGGAATTGATCGAGCGTGTGGTTGTGCCTTTGAGTGAATTATATGATCGACTGATGAACTGGAGTAAGGACGATAAGTTCATGGTTGCTGGCAAATTGTTCTTCTTTGCGGCAGGACTACATTTTGCAAAGCAAGGAAACTATATTTGAGCTATAGCACCACCACCGTGGACCAGATTCATCGCTCTATGGAGACTTCAGCTCAGGTTGTCTATGTGACCTCTGCAAACTCCATCGTCAGTGTCGAACAGCATCATCGGAAACTTTAATGTCATTCTGGGACATTCTCTTGAGGATTGAGACAACCACTTCCATTCACGGGCCTGCACACTCTATACTGGATACTTTTGTGGTTCTGGACGAGCTCAAACTCTTTGCAAGTCTTGCCAATCTGATGTGTGGACATGCGCACAAGAGTGCCTATTCATCGAAACCCGTCGAGCCTTCGAACAGCAATCCATCGAGGTCCAGAAATTCTGGACAGAAGTAGACACTTGAGCGGAGTACATTTGAATATGCGCAGTTGGCATCAAACACTAAAGACGCACCCATTTTCCAGCGATGTGAACAATTCTTGTCCCGCCTAGCGATAAACTCTTGTTTGTTCTCAGGCGATGTCACGGTAGCGAGAAATTGTGGCATGTTCGGACTTTTCACCAACTGAAGAGCTTCTTGGGCTCGTATGATGTGATCATCGAGCAACTCATCTTGGACTGCGTAGGGACTGAGTTTGATATGGTAGAGCACCAGGGCGGCATAACAGACTGAACGACAGATATAGAACGGCGCTAGAGACAGCTTCTTCTCCTGAGCAAGCTGAATCAGTCGTATTGCATCTTCCCGGGCTCTCTGCACAATATGAAACGATTCTGATGACAGGGGAATATCATCGTGGAGAGCGAAAGACCATAGCTGAAGTATGGAGCCCAAGAAGAATATCTCTTCCATGTCACTTTCTTGTGGGAGGTTCTTCCTTCGAAGTTCGTCGAACTGCCTGGCAAAGACATTGATTAGACTCATTCGGGGAATAGGGTCAGCCAAACCGGAGCCATTCGAAGCTCGAGCGCCAATGGCTTGACTTGATTCGACCGTGAGGTGCGAGATCCTACACAGCAGAGAAAGCCGTGCAGGCACTGAAGGATTTTCCAAAGAGGTGAGCAATGAATGATCTGCTAGAACGGATGAGGGAACACCCAGCCTGCTGGCAAGGATCTGATTCACAATAAAGCAGGCAATCCAGGTGGTGCACCTGATATCTTCATCTTCCTTGCCGTTCCTTGAGTCAGAGTTCAGAGGATAATCGGTGGCGGGCCGGTGTAGCCCGATTTGCAAAGCCATTTGTGTTGCGATTCCACCGTAGATGAATGATGGATCGGATTTCTGGGAGACAAAAGGAAACGGCCACATGCATAAGATCAACAAAGCTTGCACAGCCTCTACTGTTGATGTGCTTGGATCAAGGATTTGGCAAATTTCGGCCCGTACTGGGTCCTCAAGTTGTGCTCGGTATGCGTCTGGGGAAGCCGCTGAACAGATTATCCAAAAGAGCAGGGGACATCTGTTGTATACCTCATCTGGAGATTGGTGCATCTTGAACGGCAGGTGTGGATGACATCGTGTGAAATAAATGCGAAATAGCTCGTTGGATTGAGTGACTGTGAGGTGGAAATCCCCAATAATCTTGTCGCTGGCACTGCAACTTGGCAGCGAAGGCACTATCTGTTGTGACGCCAGGTTCGGGTTGGTTTCTAACACGATCGATGCTGTACATTCATCGTCGTTCAGCCAGGTCGAAGTGGCTGACGCAAGTCTAGGGATATCCGTGTCAACACTATCGCCCCTTGAAAGAGAACTGTTCAACTCTCGTAGGTGTGTTACTTCATTCTGCAATTCAATCAGCCTTCTTCGCTTTGGCGTTCGTCGAAAATTGCTATTGAATGTGCAGGAGAGGTTGAGATTGCGACACCGTGTGCAGCCATTGGGACGCTCGATGTCTGCATCACAGCCCACTTTCCATTGACGACAGCGCACGCAGGCTTTAGCTCGCATATTCCCAATCGCTCGTGCCTATTCAAGTAAATGAGACCCGATAGTTAGACCTGCTGTGCATTGCGAAATCATGGCGGGGTGTTGCTCATCTTAAAGAAATGATCTTGCGAAGAAAGGGAGAACATTGCGATATCGCAATGCGGGGGCTAGCATGGGTTCTGCACGAAGCCCCCGGAGGGAGGATGGCACTTCTCATCCATGCCGTTCCCGCTTTGATATTTCGATCCATTCGACAGGTACCTCCTAGCCCGGTTGCGAGAGCCACAGTACTGTAAACGGTACTGTCTTGCGACGCCCAGGCATCCCACGGAAAAGGTACTGCCCATTTAGCTCGTGCTTCGGCCTTGCCCCTTTCGGCCTTAGTCCGAAGCCTTTGGGTCACAGTGATCGCTGCCGGAGACTTTGTCACACTCCTTCCATTTGACACTAGAAAGAAGCATGGCGAGAAAGCGTGAGCCAAGAGCGTGCGATATTTGTCGCAGTCGCAAGGTACGATGTGATGTATCAATAGTAGGTTCGCCCTGTTCGAATTGCTCAAAAGCGTCTGCCATCTGTTCCCTGAATAGTGCATGGGGAAAACCGCCAGCAGAGCAATCAAAGAGCACTGTGCCTTCAGCAAATATCCACACCTTCAAAGTCGATGTACCAAAGGCACATAACTCGACTGGTGATGGCGCATTCAACACTGTTGGTGTGATTGCAAGGCAAGAGCCATCAGAAGACGCTCACCCGAATGCTGTGGGAGATCAGTCCAAAGATGTTCAGGCTGCGGACTCAACAGTATCCCAGGAACATCTGGAATTGCCGGACTACATCACCCCACTTCCACAGAATATTGACCGGCATACCATACAATTATTACGGCAAACAGGAGCTCTGTCAGTACCTACGAACGAGCTAGTCAGTGAGTTGCTCCGAGCTTTTACTTGCTATGTGTACCCTTCATTACCGGTCGTGGATCTTCTTGGCTGCCTTGAATCGGTCAAAGTTAGAAACGACAACACCGTGAGCTTGTTATTATTTCAGGCTATTATGATGTCAGGTGCTGCATTTGCAGATATACGTGTTTTGCAACGAGCAGGATTTCAGACCCACAAGGAGGCTCAAAGTGCTTTGTTCCGACGTGTCAAGTTGCTGTATGAGATGGATATAGAATCATCACCAACAACAATAATCCAGGCCCTGCTTCTAATGTCACACTGGGAAGGACAAGTCAATGACACAAAGGGACGATTTTATTGGCAAGGAGTTGCACTATCATTTGCCATCGGCATAGGTCTAGACAATCCCCAATACTATTCAGGTCAGCCAGGTCAACATCAATTTCGTCAAAGGCTCTGGGCCTGTTGTGTCACCAGAACTCACCTCCTTCCCTTATTGGAGCGCCGGCCAATATCGGTCAAAAGTCCAGACCAGGATATCGAAGGCCTTCGACCACATATCTCCGATATCAACGGACTAGCTTATGCATTTGATCATTATGGTTTACGCGAGGGGAGGGAAGAATCAAAAATCCTCGAAGAATTATTCATACAGAAGTTGAAACTAGGTGTTATTATCCGAAGCATTTTTGACTTACAGTACGAGCGAGGCGCCTTGCGGCAAATTGATGTCAATGATGGTTTTATGGTGCTACTGCCAAAGTCCACTGCCACAGGTGTTGACATGCTTGTGTTGGACCGGCAATTGAACAATTGGTACAAAAGTTCATCTTCCTGCAAAGACCTCGCTTTCGGCCAGGACCACCGCAGGAATGGGCCCGTGGTAGGTGTGCACACTGCGGTCGCGGAAATGCTCTATCTGACTGCGTTGTCCACGGTCCATTTTCCACAATTACTGGCCGATCAGGATGTAGGTTCAGCGGATGAAGCACTTCAAAAATTCTCACGCCTAACCCTACGCTCTGCTGCAAGACGAATCACAGATATAGGAACAAGCCTCGCAGATTCTCAGCTGGTAGCATTGCTACCATGTGAAGCTGTTGAGGCATTCCTCGTTGCATCTATACAACATATCAGAGATATGATGACAACCGAAACAGACCTACGCAATATCGAGTCACTCTATCTGAGACAAACCCTGCAGATACTGGCCAAATTGGAAGGCAAATATAGCTCTGCAACATCTGCCATTGGCTTCATTAAGTGGTTTAAGAATGGGGATTTTTTGCGCCAACCTGCCGGACTAGAGGACCGCGTGTTTTTGATGACTCGCTGGGGCCATGATCTTTCGATCTCCCATACCAGAGAGAAAGAGGGTAGCGCTGCTCCAAAGGCTATTTCTCAAGGGAAGTCTAATTTGTACAGCGAGACACGGCCAGTCGCAGTTGCACATGATGCCACCTTCCAAACCACCTTCGACAGCGATGGCTTCCTCACTAGACCCCATGATCCGGTCCCGAATCTTGAGGGCTACTCGGAAATACTGTTGACGACCATGGATTGGTCGGAAGTTGATACTGCAACGTCAGGAGGACAGATTCTGTGATTTGACTTACGAACCGAAGTTGTATCATGGTCCGGCGGGCAATCACGAGATTCAGTCCCACCGGACTGTCCGTTTATGTCAAGGTCGGAAACTGGTTAGTTTTAGAGCTATTCCAGTCTATGTCTTCTAATGCGGCACGTCTTCTTTGAGATTCCGGGTGTCTCGCGGTGTTCAATGAATTCTAGTGCTTCGATGGCAACTGCTGAGTAAACGTCGGATGGACCACCAGAAATGGTAAGTCCGAGAGCACGAAGAGGCTTCTGGGATCTTCGCTTACTATTGGGTGGTGTTATTTTTCGCTTATGTATGGTGGCTTTCATTGGTCAATACATCCGTGTACTCGATTCTCGACATCGATCGTGGTCCAGGCCAGGAGCTCGTTGTACCGCAAGTTTTCGCCCGTGCGATCCACTCTCGGAACCGAATACTTGGGGCTACCCATATTCCCCATGGGGTAGCGATATCTGGAGTTCGTCTAACTAGCATTGAAGTATAAGATGATGGTCACTGGCAAGTCTGGTGTAGCTGTTCTATCGGCTGAATCAAGCAGTCAAATTTCTCAAAAAACAATGGCAGTCGAAACACCAGCAACAGCAACCTCTACCAAGACCATGAACCCAGATGTGGCCATGGCACATGAAGAGAGGGTCAACGCTGATCCTCCGTCGCACAATGAAACCTTTGTTGACTTCCAGGCCTACGAGACACGAAAAATCGATCTGAGAACTGTCTTAGGGCTGTTGGTATGTTATTCCAACCTTTTGAAGAGTCTTTTACTGACACTCGGAAGGCTCTTGCTATTACCTATGAAAGTTGCCTGTTCTCATTCGTACTACCCGCTTCGATCCTCCTGGCAATAAATCAGGATATTGGTCCTTCGAACAATATCGCATGGGTTGCCACTGCCTGGGCACTTGCAAGTGCAGTCATAATGACCATTGCAGGCCGATGTAGCGACATCTTTGGCAGAAGGAATTTCTTCCTTACTGGGAACCTCCTAGGCATCATCGGTTGTGCCATCGCCTGCAGGTGAATGGGTATATTTCTTGACTGCTATCTTTGGCTAATGAAGCAGAGCGCCAAGCGTTTCAGTGCTCATAATTGGTAGCTCGTTTGTGGTAGGTATCAGTCCATTATATCTTAAGATAGAAGCTGATCTAACTCCAGGGTATTTCAGGTGGGTTGCAGCAACTGGCATATGCAGCAGCAAACGAGATCGTTCCAAAGAAGAACCGTGGGCAGACGATGGCTCTCATGACTCTTGTTTCCCTACCCGGGTCAGCTTTCGGAGCCCCAATTGGTATGTTGCTTCCACTTTTGACCTTGAATGTATTATCTCATGATCATCTCAGCATACCGCATCATCACTGTAGCCTCATGGCGATGGACATACTACGTGGCTCTAATTGTCAATACTCTTGCCTTTATTCTTATTCTCGTCTTATACTGGCCTCCAAACTTTGTGGGACTTCACCCTGAAGGTAAGACAAGGTACCAGCAATTTTTGGAGCTAGATTTCTTGGGCCTACTGCTATTTGGAGGCGGCTTGACTGTCTTTCTTATCGGTGTCGGTTTTGGGGGCAACCCCTACCCGTGGACGAGTGCAATCGTCTTAAGCACCACCATCATTGGCGGCGTTTCCGTGTTCGTGGCATTCCCAATCTGGGAGGTTTACTGCCCAGATACAGTCACAAAACTCTGTCCTCCTACACTTATGCGAAATGTTAGGGCTGTCGTCGTGCCCATAGCAGTGTCTTTCGTTTCAGGGATGGCTCTTATGAGTACGGGCATTCTGTGGCCACAGCAAATCCAACGTCTCTTTACCACCGTCCCAAAGACCATCGGCTGGTATGCCTTGGCTGCCAATGGATGTGCGACAAGTAAGTGTTCCTCGCAGTAACTCAAAACACCCAACTTACATCGCACAGTTGGATTTGTCATGATTGGTCAAACATTCGCGAGTGTGCGAAAAACCAGATGGCAGTACATTTTCGTTGTTGTAATGATGGCAATCTTCCTGGGACTGAACGCAACAGTCAACCAAAACACCCCCGCGCGGGCAATCGTCTTTGTGGGTCTCGCCAACGTCATGATCGGAGCGACGAACTGTATCAGTGTTTTAATAGTCCAACTTGGTGCTCGTGATGAAGACATTGGACTTGCGACAGGGTTGGTCAACTCCGTTCGGGGAATTGGCGGTGCGGTAGGCGTTGCAGTCTACTCCAGCCTGTTGGCAAATCGGGTCGCCAGTACATATGGCCCTACCATTAGCAGCGCGCTCCTTGCAGCTGGTTTGCCGGATTCTTCGCTGACGGATTTCCTCAGTAAGTTCATGAATGAGGGGGAATGAGCATTTGACTAACCTACGCCATAGCTGGACTCCCGACAGGCAACATTATGAATGTTCCTGGCGTTACTCCGTTGATCATCGACGCAGGCTTAGAGGCACAGAAAAATGTATTTGTGGGTGCTTTCAGGCTTATTTACTGCGTGACGGTGGCCTTTGGTGGTGAGTGATGGCTGGGAGTTGTGCACAATCAAAACTGACATCGATTGCAGGGCTTGCAATCATAGGCTCGGTCTTCGTCGCGAGCGTGGACGATAAACTCACTCAGTAAGCTTATCCGCGAATGGCCCCGTCAACGCAGATGCTAACCCAAGTTTCCTCACAGGCAGGTCAATGTTCAGCTTGACCGACCACATCTCATTGGCCATGGGAATGGCGAGGCTATGGTATTACGCGAGAAAGAGTAGCCTATGAGAGACTCGGAGTTCCTTACCGAAACATAGTGGTGCGCTGGCTGTGGGTTGGTGAGTGTGTGCTTATTCCCGGTTGAGCTGCCATGCTGCGCTATGGCAAAAATGTGATATACGGCATTGTCATCGCAGTAATTATGGATGAGGAGTGTGTATTGCCATACTTCAATTTCTAGGTGCCCCGGCCAAAATAACAGGTGTCAAAGCAAGATTTGTTGTCAAAGGGCGAACAGAGATCATCCGTACAGCTCTCACGGGCAAACGGAATAAAGTTCTCGTTCTGTCGTTATTCCACAGAGATCAGCACAAGCAACACATTCATGTATGTAGCGAACAAATGGCTTCCTAACAAGTGCTGTGCCCCATCACAGCATCCTTTGTAGAGTTTCAAGCTGAAGAAGAAAACGCGACGTGTCTGGTCTGCTGGCCGATCACGCCTTGGGCGTCGAGGCAGCAAATAGTATAGAAGTCTATCGACTCAATGATAATGAGGGCGTACTCACCGAACGAATAGGCTCTGAAGTTCATGTGCGATCGCTCGCTCTAAAGTGAGGCACGAGTCAAGGCTGCAGAGGAATTAGGGGGTTAACGCCAAGAAAAGGCAATTTTTCCTGCAAAGGGGTTAAGCGAGGCTGAACACAAGTTTGATGTGAAGAGGTTTAAATGTACTTCCATCACCCACAGGTTACACCTTGTGTCGTTCTAGTGCAAGTCTTAGAGCATTGAAGCCCTGTGTACACAATCTCTCGATAGGAGGACTTGAGGCTGGTATTCTCACTTACCAGCGGATGTTAGACCACCCTCTCGTCGATATCGGTCTTCAATTTGTCTGGATCCTACCTTCAGAATACTCACTAGGCTTTCGGCATCTGCACCCAGAGAAATGGCTCGCGTCGCCGCAGATACGGCCAAGCATTTGGTAAGTCGTCACTTCAAGACACGACACGCCCCTGAAATTGTTTACTCAATCAGCAGCGTCTACTGACCATGGTATCTTGCAGTCACTGTTCATGGTCCTGAATGGTCTCGCCACGGTCCTCATCCAAGGCTACTCAATTCGCATGAGCTTTGAGTTCGCAATGGCACATCCCGCATGGGCTACCGTAGGCTACGGTCTCTATCTGGTCTTTTATTACTCCATGTTTGTGGAGGAGAACCAATTTCAACTGGAATCACTGAGAATTCAAGCAGGCAGTCCAACCCGGGGATTGCTCAAGGGCTGAAGCTTGTGATATGAAATCAAGAAACAGATGTTTGGGATGGCGGCGTCAAGGCACAGCGCAACGAGAGACTTCCACAGGAGTTCTGATTATTGGTGAAAAGGGGTTACAGCCTGGTCTTGACAGATTTTTATTATTGTCCTCCCTATATCTTGCACAAAGTCATCATCTGCTAAGTGAGTGTACTGCGGTCAACCGGAGCCGGGTAAACCAGCTTTGAAGTTATTCTTCTGTCCCTGTTCAAATCTGCACCACAGCTTGTCCTGCCTCTTCCTCGGCGGTTCTCACACAGCCCGGCCCTCACCATGGTCGCCGCGGAGACTGTTGAGAAGCGACTTTCATTCCTATCCAGACGTTAGGAATAAGGTATGGCGCACCGCGATTATGTTTTGTCGTGCGCCATAAGTTCACAGTGAGATGATTTGTGCATTTCTCCGCATGCCGTGAAGACACAGAGCCTACGATGAAAGTGTGCAAGTTACATGCGGAATGATGCAAAGATCATTTCAAAGGACCCTGGCGTGAAGGGACATCCAATCGGCCTCGAGGAAGCCTCGTTACCTGATCGGGGAGCAGACGCATGAGATACTCGCAAGAAGTACCTCGTGATTGCAATGGCGCAGCACTTCTTGCGAGTATCTTATGCGGCTACTCCCCGATCGTGTAATGAGGCTTCCTCGAGGCCGATTCGATGTCCCTTCGCGTCATGTTCAAGAACCTAGTTAGCGATGAGAGTATCATAGTATCAAATATGAGGGGGTAAGAGATTCAACGTTACCGCTTCAAGGAGCTGATGAGTCAGTTCAAGAGTAAGGAGTACTGCGCCAAGCACATCGGCTCCGCCATCGATGAAGACCGCACCCAAGATCGCTTCAACTGTCGTCGCCATAGTCTTGTCAGAGATCGCGGTCGTCCCTTGATTCAAGATGACACATCGATCTAGATTGTTCCTGAAACCGACGGCGGTCAGGTTCGCATTCCCAAGCAGGGCTTGCTCCACCTGGGTCCACTGGCCTACTTGATGTCAGTAAAAGCTGATGCGGTGATCGAACACGCTTACCCTTGCTCCTTCCCGTGCTGAACCAAAGCCTGCATATGTTTGATTTGGCAACGGTGTCCCCAAGGACTGCCATTCTGTCGTTCTTATGAACCCGGATGAATTTCCCTTTCCACGTCAACACATGGCCCGACGCCTGTAAGGCCTCGAGGCAGAGTAGCTGATTCGTGAAGCGATGGTTGATGATCTCTTCACAATTTGCAACTTTCGCTTCTGTGGTCGCCATAGCTTCTTTGTATCGTATTGAATGTCGATATGGAGTAAAGATATTGAAAACGGTGGGAAAGTGCTGATATTTGTTGTTGCTGCAGGACAAGTTTGAGAAGTTGACGTCTTTTATAAGCTCATTGGGATTACAATGAGGGTGGGTGGTACGGAGTGGCTGGTGAAATCCTTAGGCTGGGAAGCGTCCCAACTTCGTACTTCAAGTTACTGGAGGCCCCTCGACCAGCAAGACTTGGCCCAAGGCGCTCGGTAGGCGCATCTTCTTGCCAGCCAGTTAGTTAGGTGGTTCACAAAGCCATATCATTGGAAGTTCAGATGACATTGCAAAAATGGCTTGTTTATTCTTAATGATGTCATTTACCAGAAAAGATAACTTTGAATCTATACATTAAGATTGATGGTGATAAATATGAAGCTGGCAGCTTTTAGATGAATGAACTTGGTCGGCTGCAATTACCATCGCCCACTACCATACCTGTTTCATTATGCGTACAATCCATTCTGCCACCAAGCGCACCTGGAGTTAGCCGCATCATCACGTTGCTGCGTGGTCTGATTCCAACCAATACCGGCGATCATGGCGTTGGCACCGTACTTTGGGAAGTTGGGCAACCCACGGCCATTGGGATTGCCATGCATAGCGAAATTAGTCAAATAAGCCTGCAACTGCTGTGCAACAGGAGCAACGAGGCCAGTGGTAAAGTTAGTAGCTTCGCCGTTCCAAAATGTGTAGGCGAGGTCCATCGCGTGAAACCCTGGCGGAACCTGGAATTCATATGCGTAGGTATTGTTGTTAAATCCCTTGTTGAGGTAAAACGTGTTGCAAATGAAAACGAATTCTTGGACGATCAGAAACGCCCGGCCCAATGGAGAGGTATATGGTTGACCTCCCGAATATGAAGGAGGGTAGAGGTTGTTGAGAATATAGCTTGTCGTAGAGTTGGTGATACCAGGAAACACCTGATTAAGCCAAGTTGCAAAGTCGGCTTCGGTTTTGAGATATGGGGGAGTGAAACTCGCGGACTCGAAACTGTTGTGTCCGACCATGATGGAAACATCTTTCGCAAATCTCCCTGAGGCGAGCAGGTTTCCCGGCAGAGTAGGAACGATGACTCCATCGACCATCGGCCCGTACGTAAAACTGCCAAACGGAAATGAGTATCCCACTTGGATCGTGTTCGCCAAAATCACTTCAGCAGAGGATTTCTGGCGGGCTTCCGCAAGGCTGTTGACGCCCAGAACTTTGAAGAAGTTATTCGTGATATTTTCCGCGGCAGCATTTGTTCCAACCGGGTCGAAGCCAGGGGATTGAGGAATGGCTTGCTGGAACAAGACTGGCTTTTGACCTCCAAAGGCTGTGATCTGATGTGTGATTGAGCCGCCACCCGCAGATTCTCCCATAAGGGTGATCTTATTTGGATCTCCACCGAAGAGGTGAATGTTCTTCGAAACCCATTCTATGGCCAGTCGTTGATCATAAAGTCCCGCATTTGGCGTGCCCCCAGAATTTTGGAATGTTGGTCCGGCAAGCCATCCAAGAGCACCAATCCGGTAGTTAAATTGTACCCAAATAACACCATCTTCGCCGCCGGCCTGACTAGCTTTAATGAAACCGCTGGGATTTCTTAATGCCTTGGATCCGAGGACATAGCCACCGCCATAGAACCTAGCATTGTCAAAATGAACTCGTAAACGACCTGGGGGTTCTTACCATATGACGACCGGGGCACCCCCGTTTTGAGGCTTTCCAGGTCCGTGTCCAGGTCTCCCAGCTTTATCAAAGATGGCTTTCGGAACAATGACATCCAGAAAGAGACAATCCTCTGTAGCTCTTCCATCAGTCTGATTGGTGACATCATGGGTCCTGAGATACTCTTGAAGAGCGTTGTTCGTAGCAGTGTAGTCGAAGGAGTCCAGTGTACCTGTGACGATAGCTGTTTGGATCGCACTCCCAATAGAGAACCATCCATAAGGAAGGGCTTGTGGACAAATCCTGCCCACACTCCCATTCTGGACAACAGGGTCTCTTCCTACTGGCGCTACAGGAGGTGCAAATCGCAGGTTACCAACTGGTGGCTGACCATATCGTATGTTGGTGAAGTTGTAAGTTTGACCAGTTTGCTAGGTACACGGTCAGTAATTGTCAGTATTGTGTAATGCTTGTACTGGCTGAAGTACATTGAAACTTATCGCCTGATGGACCTCATAACCAAGGTCGACTTTGGGTAGCGCCTGTGGTCCTGGGCCTCCCGGCACGTTCTCCGTCGTGAGATTTTGTGAATAGACACCAGTAATGCTGCTTGAAAAGAGCACAAAGCCTGCAAATGCAGGGGATCCAATATACCTCATCTCGGCAGAATTGCAGCTCGTTTCTGGCTGCTGACCAGACAAACATTGGTTCAAGGACTCGGAAGGAAACCCTCCAACTTATATCCATTTTCTTCAACCATCACTTGCAGACGATCTTGCAGCTTCCGTGCTTACAATTCAAGACTGTCGTCCGTTCAGCAGACCTTCTCCGCGATCATGCCATTGCAACCATGCTATGTCTCTCCGAAGTCTGCACTGAAGCTGGTAGATCGGAGATTGCACGTCCATTCCTGGGGAAGGCTTTGGGGAAACATGTCGTCTATCGTGCGGGGTATTAGGTGTTTTCCATACAAATAAAGAGCATCAACCTGGTCACCCATGCAGCTACATGGTCATTAGTCCTTCCTCGGCTTCTGAGAGATTAACACAAAAGGTCATTGACTGACCACTGCCTCTGGGGGCCTTAAGAATTAGGAAAATGGTTCGACTGACTTCCACCGGAGAATCCCAACCCCAGATATGTTCTTGATTTCCACCGGAAGATCTGGGAGGCTCAGCAGCTCAAAAAATTGCCGGCATTTTCGACCCTTGATGCACAAATGCACGTTCAGCTGCACAGCGAAGGAGTGAAGTTCTCGGTCCTCCTCAGGAAGTATGACGCTTCCCTTTGATGGATCACCGAGTGTTGTAGGACCGCGAGAAATGGAACGCGATGAATGAACCGTGATCGAAATTGACTTGCTAGCTTCATCGAGGCTTCGATACTCGACAGCATGCGGAGTGACCGGTGGTAGAGACAAAACTTCTGGTCTCTGGAGACCCACCTGGTCAAAGGGAATATCGCTGAATGGCGTCCGTCAGCCTTACCCTGTACAAAAACCTGGACTTTATCCACAATTTGCTCAAGTGAACCAATTCCATACTCGTGAACATTGAAGTTAGTCTTCAGCATAACGATCACCGAGAAAGATTGAGCAGAAGAAACAGCCTGCATGAAGGTTGGCTGCATGTAACGAGCACCACAACCCGGCGCCTTGGTTGACGTAGAATAACAATGTATGGACTAAGTCGCCATTCTGAGACAGAGTCTCGAGGATCAAACCAAAGCTAAGACGCAAATTCCAGAAGAGTTTATATGCAGATATCATCCAATTACCGTGTGCCTCTCGGAATCGAAAAGCCTTCCGATCGCTACCTTAGGACAACCGAGACCCGACCAGTATCAATATCTAGCGAGAGCCCCGAATACGAGCCCACAAGGCCAAAAAGCCGAGGAGTCTGTAGCCGACAATAATGGCCAGCATTATGCCAAACCAGTGCCAGGTTTTGCCGTCCTCGGAAGAATACTTATAAGCCTCCAAAATTGCAGTACCCCTGATCTTGCCCTGACTTTCAAGATCACTCTTGTACATGCAATAATAACTCGATTCTCCAGATAAATCACAGCTGTAAACAGTATTCTTGAACTGATTGACCATCATTGCTTGAAAAACGTATGCCTGATAGTCAATATAATGAAAGACATCTGACAAAGTGTCGGTCAGGAGATATGCCATGGAGGATATGGAGGATATGCTTACATTTCCAGAATACATTAAGTTTACCGAGTGGTACGAGGAATCCTCCCACACTCATCCACAGCCCATTCGCGAACGCGATGGCCGCTAAAGCGACCACAAATATGGGGAATATCGCACTAAGAAGCATCACGAGGCTCTCAGCTGCCAGCAAGTCCAGGAATAGGAAAAGAACCCAGATCCAGAATCCCTCGGCTGTCTGGTGAAAGTTTGAAAGCCAGTAAGTGATCACACTGAAGATCAAGGTGATCAACAGCAGCCAGGGAATCCCAATCAAAAAGTTCGAAACCATGAAGCTCAGAGGTCCGTAAAGACCATTTGCGTACTCTTTATTGAAAGTCCAGATGTCTTCGATGAGACTTGGTACGTATGCGACCGCCATGAACGACATGAAAGCCCCACCAAAGAAGAGCGCATTGATAAATGGCTGGATAGATGACTGAGTGTAATCCAGACGAAGCCAGACTGTACCCATCAAGATTGCCAAGCCCGTGTACATAGCAACGCGTGTACCGTATGCTAGAAGGTCGCGGTAAGACTTGATGAAGTTCCGGTGCAGCAAAACCATCGGTGCAGCAAGTTGTGAACCATGACTCGATGACTGTATGTGATCTAGGGATCCGGCTTCATTTGGTTTCTCATTGACAAGCATTAGTTGGAGAGAATGATGCATCTCTGACTTGGTCCAATAATCATGAATTTTCTCCAGGTCCACCTTTCCCGATGGCATATCAGTGAAATCCGTATTTACAAGATCCAGCAGAAACTCGGCAGGATTCGTCTGCCTCGGAATAGGAGCAACATGTTCAAAATATGGCACAACTTGTTCGATGGGACCAAAATAGCACGTTTTGCCATGAGACAACAGAAGTAATTTGTCGAAGAGTTCAAATGTCGTGGTAGAAGGCTGATGAATGGCGGCGATGACAATCAAGTTGTGTCTTTTGGTTACTTCCGAGATCATTTTCATCACTTCGTAGCTTGCGGCAGAGTCTAGGCCGCTGGTTGGCTCGTCAAGGAACAGGACCTTGGGTGAAGTGACCAGCTGGCTGGCAACGCTCACACGTCGTTTTTGGCCACCGCTGATGCCTTTCCTGATTGGAGTTCCAATGAATGTATCTTGTTGTTTCTGCAGACCGAGAGACTTGATGAGCGATTGGACAAGAGCAAGCCTGACTTCCTTGCGAACACCATGGAGCGCCAATCGTGCCGAAAAATCGACCGTCTCCCGTACTGTCAAACTGCCGATGAGAGCGTCCTCTTGTTCAACGTAGCGCGATAGTCCACGCAGGCTCACTTTAGTGATCGAATTGGAGTTGACACAGACTTGACCTCCCCACTGAACCTTTGATCGCATTGCTAGGACATTGAGCAATGTTGTCTTCCCACTGCCGCTTGGGCCCATCAGCGCAACTAGTTGGCCTGCTTTCACTTTACCATTGCAAGAGTCCAGAATAGTGAGGGGCAGCTTGGATTTTCGGTCCTTGACATTGACCGTAAGGTCATGCCATGAGAAGGATTGGACTGAAGTATTCGTAAAGAAGTCGGAGGGAACAGACTCAGGGTCTATGTCTGCCATGATGATTCTGCTTGATGCGAGGACTACTCACAAACAGCAAGAGATTGGTGACGGAAGCAAAAGCTTTGAATACCATGTGAAGGAGTACTTGTACTAGTTGTTATCTTTCCCAGGTCGCCCTTTTTATGATCTTGCGTCGAACGTGGGTTATTGACTGAGCGGCACCGGAAACCCAAGTGACCGGAATAGAATATACTTGGGCTCCAAATTGAACCAGGTGTCATGCAAAAATGAAACTGTATTGGTGGCCTGAGTGCTGGAGATAGCCGATACAAGCATGTGGAGGCAATTCAGCCCTCGCTTGGTTCAGCCGTTCTTGTGGACACCGCATTGATCCCCGAGGAACCACGTGATCGAGTAGTATATTCATTGCACTCCACAGTAGGATCCCGAATCTGGGGACACCGGTTAAGCCTTCGGCGACCACTTGAGCTTTCATACAACTGTAGAGCCCGATGTGTTCTTCAACGATTCATCGGTTGTGAGGACCAGTCGCAAGCCATTTCAGCAGGGCTCAGTTCGAATTCTGAAAGTTGTTCGCACCATAAGCTCCAGCGGCATACAACCACTGAACTTTATCAGGACGGACCTGACGTGCAGTCTACTCAGCCTCTGGAGTGAATAGCGATGCAGAGTGGTCGTAAAGGGTCTTCCGTATTTTCGTGCCCTAGCCAAAGCCAGTACTTCCCAGAACATTCAGTTCTCAAAGCAACCATTCAGGAGTGGAATGATGGATCGCAAAGCCCAGTAACAAGGAGTATGGGAGGTGGGATTGACGCTGGAAACGTGAAACTGCTTTCGTTAGCTAAGATTCGATTCCGTTTTCAAGACAGTGCACATCTCTCCCACTGGTCTCCCCTTCGGAAAGTAGACTTAGTACTTGAGAGACATATCACTCAGCTGGTCTGCAACAATCCAGGTAGATCATTTTCTGGTTTTCTAGTCTCCACCCATCGCAAGCTAACACCTGACATTGCTGTCCTTTGGAATGCATTCGTTGGTCTCTTCTGCGGTAGCAACGATATCTGGAACCCAAATGGAAAGCATGTACAGTGAAGACGCGACCGCATTTACCTAGATGAGAATCACGGAATCCGCAACAGGATTTCATGGACCCCTTGAGGTGCAGCACACACGAGAGTAAGAGGCCTGCGTATCCCAGGTATTGCGATTTGGACAATATGTGAGGTCGGGACATACTATGCTTGGTGCAACGAACATTTTTCAGCTGAGCCAATGTGGTTTACCGGTAGAAGTGTTTCGTACATGCTCAGAAAAACTCAATCACTGCACCGTCTCGACTGCAAACTTACATAAGCGCAGAAAATGAGGCATCCACTGCCACCAATGATAGCTGTAACTCAGCACCAGCTGGGCGATGCTTCCAAATGCCCAGGATCACGACGGAGTGCAAACACTTGCTCGTCCACTCTGAGGCTTTTTCAGCCAGCCGGTTCGAAACATGTTGCCAGGAAACGGGAGGCCTTGAGCCTCCGGCTGAATTAGAGTCAGGATTGGACGGGTAATTGCTCCCATACAAGTGATGCTCCAACGGTAACTAACTGGCAATTACAATTGAGGAAGGAAAAGAATAGAGGTAGCCTTGAAGATGCAGTCAGATAGGGGGAGTGGGTGACATAAGTGATTTCAGCTTGATGTTTCTCAGGTGTGGCGGAAGCCCAGTTTCTCCATGCTGAACGAGGGAAGGTAACGCTGAGAAGATATGAGACCAGAACCGAGGGAGGAAGATGATGATCTGCAAATCCGGACATGGTAGTCTCTCATTACGAGTCCAGAGCAATCCGTAGTACTCGTCAAAAGTCCAATTATTCGTCTCCTGGAGGGATCTTGTTCTAGTGTCGGTCTTGCGTAGCCTTGGTTGCGATTGGCAGTCAGCGCGATCGTTGCTGTCCATATTTGTGACGGGCTCGCGGTGCGATGATGGAGACTTGCTACTCCGTACTCCGCCCGGAAGACAGAAGCCTGTGTCGTTTTGATCCTGGATTGATACCAGGTTCGAGACTTTCATTAATAACAATTACAGGGGTCCGGTGTGTGGAACTGGCGCAGAGATTTCCGCCAAGTACGGGAGAAGCAAGCCCACCGGGCTGTAACACAGCGCCTACGAAGTACTTCGTACTCTGGATGAATTAAGATGTTCGATGGTACGAGGTATCGGTTCGTTGAGTGATACCACGCGCGAGAGTCGAGAGCTCAGCCCTGTGCAGGCCCAGGGTATGAGGTTGCTGACGGTGGTTCACTGTGATACACAGCTGGGGTTGTGACACCAATTAAGAAGCGAGCCCTGTTTTGCAATTTCGTCAAAGTTTCTTCCGGGCTTAAGCCAGACTTGGCTTTTCCCTTGGCGAGCTCGGCACATCTCGCCATGTTCTCCTGAGTGTGTGATGCTGTGGCTGCTGATTGAGTTTACACCCATCAACCACCGAACGTAAGCTGAGATACCTTTTAGTATAGAAACACCATCTCAGTCTATTTCATACGCTACAAATTGATAGGCGTATAGACATATAGATGTCACTTATCAAACGGCTGGTCTTTGCCTTCTTCTCTGAGAGTTGTTGAATACTGCCTGACAGATCTCCACTCTTTTGTCCCGCAGGTTTCACTGGCTGCTTGGCTATTAATCTTAACCGTCAATCGGTGCGACCACTTTTTCTTGGTACACACTCCACGTCTTTCCACTCTTCAAACGAGAGTCTTGTTCTCTCGGCAGGTACTTGGCCCTCTAAAGATGGATATCTTTGTGCTTGGCCTCTCCTTTTCCAGGCTTCGTCTAATCTCTGAAGCAATGATTCACCCACATCACTTTCCCTCTTGCAGTCAGCCGTAGATCCACCCCCGACGCGCTTTGTTTGGCACGTCCCAGTAGGGGATTCAGGTCTCCCTACCCTCGGGCGTGATCAAGTCGGCGATGGATAGATATATTACAAGGCGAGGCCTAAATCCCCTCTGCCCCGGGTGAGTTTTCGTCTCTACGTTTCTTCCGCCAGCATCATCTTTTGAAAGCATTTGCTTTCGTCCTTTCGTTATTGTATAGTCACTCCTTTCATAATCTTTCAGCATGAGGTCGCTCAATTATTTGGCGGTCCTTTTGCCGCTTCATTCTTTTCATGCCCTGGCAAACAAGCCAGAATCGGATGTAATCGTCCATGTCACCGAAACAAGAACCGTTACTGTTTGCCCCATAACAGAATGGTTTACCTGCGAGGCCGATCTTCCAACACCACCCCCTAACAATGGCGGCGGTCCAGCAACGACAACCCCTTCAGGTGGAAATGGTGGATGGGGCTCCAGCAGCCACACCGCCAGCTCGTCTGGAGACAATGGAGGCTGGGGTTCCAGCAGTCATACCGGCGGATGGGGTACCAGCAGCGGAGTAAGCACGACCGGGGGACATGGTGGTGATGGCGGTTGGGGATCAAGCAGCACCAGCGCAGGCACAACTACTGGCACCACCACTGGCACTACCACCGATGATCATGGACACCACGGTAGCAGCAGCACCACAGCCGGTCAACCCGGAACAACCTCCAGCCACCACGACGGATCTGATAGCACAACTTCATCATATAGCCACTCAGTCTCTGGAACGACCTCTGGTACTGCCACCACTACCACCTATACCACCACTAGCGGCACGACAACCAGCTCTTCTTGTGGACCAACAGCAACCAAACTCGGTATTGAGATCCCAACATGCTTGGACAACACCCCATCGGACCGTAGCCGCTGGTGCGGAAAGTCTATTGACGATGATACTCACACCACGTTCAAGACTGGCAAGACCAAGAAATTCACATTGACCATCACTAAGGAGAACATTGACTTCGATGGCTCCCTTAAGGAATCGTTTGCCATCAACGGCAAGACTCCTGGTGAGCCTATCGTTGCCAACTGGGGCGATGTGGTTGAGGTCACTGTTATCAATGGACTATCTGATAACGCAACCACTATCCATTGGCATGGTATCCGACAGGTTGGCACCAATGATCAGGATGGTGTCCCCGGTGTCACCGAGTGTGGTATTCCACCAAATGGAGCCAGAACATACACATGGCACGCATCGACTTACGGAACCGGCTGGTACCACTCCCACACATTGGCTCAATATGGAGGTGGTATCCGAGGACCTATCATCATTCACGGACCTGCCACGGCCGAGTACGACTACGATCTTGGTACAGTCATGATTGATGAGAAGTTCACTCAGACTATCTTCCAGATGGCATATAACATTGCTCGAGTCCGAGGAGCCCTACCTGCCGCTGCTAACTATCTCCTTAATGGAAAGAACACCTCTCCAGATGGAACCACAGGTGAAGCCAGCAAATGGATTGTCAAGAAGGGCAAGAAGCACTTGTTCCGCATCATCAACAGGTAAGCACTGGATCCGAGTTTATATTAACGTCGCTAACGATGTTTCAGTGCCGCCCAGAGTGCGTACGCCGTCCGATTCGATAGCCACAAGATCAAGGTCATCAGCGCCGATTTCACTCCAATTGTCCCATATGAGACCGATACCCTCTGGATCCAACCTGGCCAGCGATACAACGTCATTCTTGAGGCAAACCAAGTAGGTCTATCCCAGCTTTCACCATGTTCCAAGCTAATATAGTACACAGGCCGAGGGAGCTTATTATCTCCGTGCTGTATCGCAGACTGGCTGTGGTGCTACATCCAACAACAATGGTTTGGGTAACTCCAACGGTATCTTCTCCTACGAAGGTGCATGCGGTGCCACACCAACAAGCAGCAACGCGACCATTGTTACCGCAGGTATCTGTAACGACGAACCGCTTGCAAGCCTTGTTCCCCATGTCAAGAAGTCTGCTGGATCCCTTGCCAAATTCCAAGAGAAAGTCAAACTTCTACCGGCTGGAAACGCTGGCACCCAGAACTTTGATGGCTTTGGACCTATTCTCAGATGGTATCTGGGAGGAGCCTCGACCGATCTCAGCACCAACAGCGCTACACCTGCTGGCAGCAAGACCATCAACGTGACATTCGAGGACCCCACTCTCAAGACCTTGTCCACACTCCCCGGCCTTGCCTACAACAGCTCCGTCTACGGAAACACTGCTGTGCTTGATGGACCTGCCAATGAGTGGGTTTACTTCGTCATCCAGAACAACTTCCAGACATCCCACCCCATGCATCTCCACGGTCATGACTTCTCTGTCTTGGGCCAGGGCCGTGGTGTTTTCACCGCAGATATGGTTGGTCAACTCAAATTCGACAACCCTATCCGACGTGACACTGCTCTCCTCTTCGGCGGTGGTTCCCCACAAGCCTTCGTGTCTGGCTGGACTGTCATTGGTTTCGAGACCGACAACCCGGGTGCCTGGGTTATGCACTGCCATTTGATCTGGCACGCCGACGGCGGTATGGGTCTCCAGTACCTGGAGCGTCCCAGCGAGATCAAGGACTACTATGATGATGGATTCAAGCAGGAGTGCAAGGCCTACGAAGACTACAAGTCCGCTGGTGGCGCCGAGAAGCACCAATATGAGTCCGGTCTCAAGCGTCACTTGAGCGGCCACCAAGGCCTCGGCCACTCTCACGGAAATGTTCTCCGCCATTAGAACGGTTTGACGACCCCTTGAATTCTTCCTATGTTAACATATTCTCGCTCGCACGCACTCATACAACTGAATGTCAAACTCTGAGCACGCATATGTCACAATCTCTGCACGCATACATCATATCCTTGCACGCATTAGAAATCTATTGATATACTATTAGTATATGAAGCAATGCGAAAATTAATACTTATATGATGTACTCTTTATAGCGGGACTACGCGGTAATGGAATAAATCCTGTGTGCTTCGACTCTAGAGACTAAAAAGCGGTCAGGAAGTGAGTGATTATCTTCGTGCTGCGAATTATTTAATTGGACCTCCTCCTGTATCTACTTTACACATGAGATTTCGGTCAGTATTTTAATTTCAATTCTTTTCAGTCTCATGAAGCATGCAATATAGCATTTCCCAGTTACTCATGATTCATCCAGGGCGACTTGGGCAAGATGCCATAGTGTGAGAATGAGTATCAATCAGCACACGACCTGGCAGAGCTTCGGACCGACCCAATCGCTCGATGTTACACAGCTCGATTCGAGATTGCACGCTGAGTTTTACTGACGAAGATAAGCACTACCGGCCTACACCTATTCCTCGCTTGCTTTGCTTAGTATCACGCGTGATGCTTGATCAGAATGTATTATTTTGGTCACTACTCCACCGCTCCCGAGGTACTTCTTGCGACTGAATGCTCCATTCGCGCAAACAAGGATACCTTGTCTGCTGACTCCAATCGTAAAGCCAAGGCTCAGGGGGCGCGTCCCGTCATTAAGCGAAAATCTCTCCTCTTCGAAATTCGATACAAATTTCGGCCAGTCGTTTGCACTAATCCTCAAATCAATGTGGAATCTTAGTTGAGAAGTGGATGACGGTATTCGTAAGTGTGTACATCACATCTACTCTGCCGTCTAGTGGGTGGCAGATATGTGGTATGATTGCTGAAATCTTCTGATCATGTCTCAAGCAGCTCGAGGCGTTTTTGAATCACCTGATTGCATGTTGGGTTTCACTTCGTAGGGAGGAAACTCGCAATCGGGTCAGTCAGGACTGAAAGATTACGAGTACAAGAAGCTGAAAATCTCTGAGGCCCATCTAAGTAGTAACTCTTAGATCCGTTGCGTCGACAAGTCCACCCGGATCTGTCTGCATACTGTCCAACACACCATCCCTCAGAGCACTGCCTTCTCCTTTGATTCGTCTGCATGGCGAGTTCCGCCGATCTCCTTTTCCAGATGTACCTCGACGTGATTCGTGAAGTACTTGGAAGGGTCTCTAACAGCCACTGCACACGCCATAGCAATGATGCCGAAGGGTATTGAAGCCAGCCAGGTGATGCGGAACCCGTATGCATATCCCAGTCTAGCGGCCTCCACACATTCCGAGAACACCGCTGTGGAAACTGTTGGAACTGTGGCCGCCTGTTCAGGAACACCAACAATTGTCAACTTCACAGCTCCGATCAGCGCCTTCATTGTCTCAGGGGCAACATTAGCCTCCGTCGCGGTTTGGGTGACGCGGCTGACTATCTGCTTGGCCGACACCTGCCCGAATATTGATGAGAAGATGACGGAGCCTACTGCTCCTCCGAGAGATCTGAAAGTGCCTATCAGCCCTATCGCTACTCCTAGATCTCTTTGGGGCACATGAAGAGAGGCTGTGGTATAGCAGTTCAGTGTGATCCATCCGAAGGGTAACATCGCAAGAAACTGTACTGCCATAACCCAGTTGATATTATGTGGGGTGATAAGTGCTGCAAGCCCAAAGAATAGCGTTTGCATGAAGACTGAGAACGTCAACTGAAAGTGAACGTATTTGATATAGTGCACAAGACCAGGAATGATGACTCCGCCCACGAGCTGACCAGCACTGTTTCAAATTAGCAAAGATTTGAAATCGGCTGAAAGACTCCTTACCCGGAGGGAATGGAGTACACCCCGATCTTGATGGGATCGGCCGTGTACAGGAACAATATTGTTTCAGCGTTCAAGGCAGATGCTGCGAAGAAAACCATTCCCGCGACGAACACCAGCATGAGCAGTGCAGAGAATTCCCGGAAGCTTTTGAATAAGTACCATGGGAATAGTGGATCTTTCGCCACAGTGAAGTCATAAACAAAAGCGCCCAGGAAGACAGCAAACCCAAGGATTAAAGGTGCAAGTGTGCCGGCATGACTCCAAGGATAGGTATTTCCCCCAGAATTGAGTCCATATAGGAATACTGCCAGTCCCGAGACGTAAAGGGCAGCACCAATGAAGTCGAGCTGTTTGAATTCTTGCCATTTGGTGAGACCATCGGGGCGAGGATGACTTGGTGGAAAGTATACGAAAAATGTGCCAACAAGAGAGAAGGCCCCATAGCCCATCGCTATGTAGAACATGATCCGCCATGTAGCATGCGACAGGAGTGCATTGGCCAGAAGTGTACCTGCAATCGCCCAGCTTGCAAGGTTCAATTCCGTCCACGCAAGGCCAACACCTCTCCACTTGTTGGGAAGAATCTCAGAGATGCCTAGCAAGTTCAGTCTTTCTATCTGAATGCCTTCACACCAAAATCATCATCTTACCTGCATATGCGACAGAGACCGTGCCAATTGAGCCTCCCAAGATGACCTCTCCTGCGATCAATTGGTTCATCGACTGCGCACTGCAGGCAATGGCGCCACCAACAATAGTTAGGAGCTGACCCACAAGAATAACATAACGACGACCGAAGACATCTGAAAGGCGACCAGCGATAGAAAAGCCGACTGCGGCAGCGGCCCCCCAGCCTGACGGAATCCAGAAGGTGATATTCTCTCCTCCAAGCTTCTCGCTCAGCTGTACGAGGATAGGTGTGGCAAGGATGAAGCCAAAGATGATGGGGCCAGTGAAGGACGTTCCTAGGAACAACGCAGACAAGATTACGGATAGACTCAATTTCTCGACGTGCTCTGGACTGTCCTCAAGTGCGGCCTTATGTGGGTCTTGATAACCAAGAGGGACATGGTTTGCAGGTTCATGATGAGCTCGCTCAATCTCTGCCTCCACTGTCGCCTTATGCTCCGTTGCGTCATGCATTATGTAGTAGAGGTCTGCGGTTTCGACTGTGCAGTCTTCCGGAACCAAGCCCAGCAAAATCTCGCTTCAGAAACACCCTGGCAGGAAGAAAGGTGCGGGCATATATACCTCACCCACATGATGGTCTGGTCTACTCCCCCATGGTGCTTTTAGACCTGGCCCCGCCTCGAGGCTTGGAGATCATTGTGCAAAAGCTTGGGTAGTGCTTATTCGACTCTAGCCTTTTCGTAATGCTTCTCCGGTGCGGAGGAGATTATCTGAAGGCCAGTGGAGCACTTACCGAGGATGGACGTTGGTGGCTCAGTGACAGAATGATGTTGCGGGGTGAGGCATTGTCGTATGCTACGCAATAAGTGCGAGAAATGCTGGTGGCGTTACACAAGCATTCGCGAGCGGTGTTAAGAAGCCTGGCAAAATGCTTGTATGAACTAAAGCTGACGTCCCAGCCAGGTTCCTAAACCGCTTGCTTGACACGGCTCCTATTCAGAGGAACTTCATAGCCATGCTTACTGACCCAAGTCTCACGGAAGTTGATCAGTCTATTGTCTGAGCTTTGCTTCTCTTGCTTGAACATCTTAAAGAAGCCCCTCCATTTTAATGATATGCGGAGAAATCCCGGATTGCCTCCACAAATGGGGCTACACAGCAACTGCCGTACAAATGTCGTGCGGAGAACAATGTGGAGAAGAGTCCGAGGTAGGCCTGCTGTGGTGTATCCTGAGTCAGTACCTCCTCCGTGGTGCTCCTGCCGGAGTGTACTGCTCTTTCCTTGTCTTATCAAACTTCCAGTGCAGGCTTTCACCAACATAACCTCAGCAAGGGTGCGACAGTAATTCAAGCCTTTGTTGCTTTAGAGAAATGACGAGCATCACCAGCATAGCAGCACTGATACTGTTGGTTGTTGGATACTATGTGGTCCTTTTGACATATCAACTGTTCATTTCCCCACTGAGCAGGATACCTGGCCCATGGATCACGCGAATTTCCAGTGTCCTTGAGGCAAATGCGCTGAAAGATAAAAGAAGGGCACAATGGGCGACCGACCTATTTGCGCTCTATCCTGGTTCCGTGGCAGTGCGGACGGGGCCAAATTCTGTCTCTTTCAATCATCCGGATGCCGTGAAGGCAATTTATGGTATTTGAGATGTCGGCCTGCACAGGATGTTTCTAATTGTCGTTTCTAGGACATGGTAAGGGTCAAGAAGAGTTTGGTAAATCAAGCTGGTACGACGCCTTCTCAACGACGGGAGAATCCTTGTTTTCTACAAGATCGAAAAAACGGCATGCGATGAAGCGACGAATGGTGGCACATAGCTTCAGCATGCAGTCGCTCTATCACTTTGAGCCGTATGCTGATACCACTATCGAGATTTTCCTGCGAAAGATGGATGAGTTCGCAACTACCAGCCAGCCATTTGACATATACTTCTGGTTCGAACTTTTCACAATGGATCTGATGGGTGAACTTGCATTTGGCCAAAGCTTTGGAACCTTGAAAGCCGGTCAACCTGCCAGGTACTCAAAACTTGTGGAGCTCTCCCAGAGATTCTCAAATTTAAGCGGTATGTTGCCATTTGGAAAGTATAACGTGCGAGTACTTAGTTTGGTGCCTCTGCCATATGTTCAAAGCTTGTGGAGAGCTCGACTTGAATATCTTGAGTACGCAAGGAAAGCGCTGGAAAAACGTTTTCAGGATAATCGGAGACAAATTTCATCCAGTGGCAAGCCTCGTCAGGACATTATGCAACGATTTATCGAAGCACAAGACCCAGAGACAGGCGCACGAATGGATTTTCCGGAGCTCAGGGCCGAAGCATCGTCCCTAATGTAAGTTTATAGTCCATACCTTGTGATATAGGATGATTTAATAGGTCTGCAGGGTGGCCGGTGCATCAACTGGAAGTGTCACCATGAACTGGATGACTTATTACCTCTCCAAAAACCCTTCCGTCAGGTCACAAATCATCCAGCAACTGGAAGAGATGTTTCCCGACAACCTCGATGCTTCAGCACCTATTCCATTCTCGAAGTTGAACAAATTAAATCTTCTTGAAGCCACTGAGATAGAGTGCCTACGAATGCACCCGCCAATAGGTTATGCCATGCCACGTGTGACCCCCTCTGCAGGGGCTGTCATCTGCGATGTCTACGTCCCAGGCGGTGTGGATGTCGGCGTGCCTGCAGCCACGATTGGTCGCAATGCCTCAGTTTATAACGAACCAGACACCTGGAAGCCCGATCGATGGTTGGACGAGAAGGCTGACTTGGCAACGATGAAAATATGCTTCCTCGGGTTTGGCTATGGCAGTAGGCAGTGCATTGGACGAAATGTTGCGAATCAATTTGTCATGAAGCTGATGGCATCGTTGTTGCTCAGATACGAAATCGAGTTGGAGGACCCAACTCTAGTACTTGGGACTAAAGAATTCACCATTCAGAAGCCGGACAGGAATTACAACGTAATCTTGCGACCCAGGAAATCCAGAGGGTATCCGGAAAAGGCAATCCGTTCATAGGTACTAGTATTTGAAGTTTGTGGCAAAGTTCAGACTTCTCGCTGTGCTCCCTTTTTACTGGCCCCTAGCTAGAACGAGGCTGCGGACTTCAACATAAACCTGTCGATAGAAGGCCGAAAACGTCTATCATCATTTATGATTGCCAGGAATTGGTGCATAAGTTGTGGTCTGACAAGATCTTGATTCTGCTAAGTGAACTAGGTAAATCTGCAGTCAGATTGGCTTGTCCTGACTACTTCCGTCAGGTTCGATCCTAATTTCCCGGCACGTTCTACCCATTCCTAAACCAAAAGTCAGCACCAAGATCTTCACTGATAAGAGGGCAGGATGAAACAAACGTCTATGTCGTTGTTAGCAGGGTTCTGTTCCCGGCTTAGGACGAATAAGGTTGTGAAGTTTGAAGACTGTACGATTGCCCAGTCGTCGTCGTAGTCTATCTCATGTCTTAGTTTATGATCTTCCACATTATGCGCGACAGGATGAGCGTCAATCACTCTAAATTTCGACATACCTTGCACAATGTAATTAGGACCAGGGCAGTCCGGCGGAGGTTGACCGGGGAACTGGACGCGAAAAACACCCTCGTCACCATAGACCTCGTCGGCTTCTGATGCGGTTCCACTTATTTCGATACTCTGGTCACCAAGTTGACATCCATTGAAAACATTGACGGTGCCGTTGTTCTGTGAAATTGTCAATTCGCGGTTCCGTTCTTCTGAACCGGATAGGCAGGCGCTCACATTCAAACTATATTCGGCAAAGATGCAAGTGCAACCAGCAGTAAATGGGGCGACTGTACCCGCAACTTGATACCATCGTCCTAGATAGTCTTCCAAATCGAAATCATCGTCAGGCTCGGGATAAAAGCATTGACTGAATGGCGGTTAGCGACCAGCACTCTGGCTCTGGGAAATACTGACCCATCCCACACCGCGTCAACTGTCCTCAATGTGTTGTCGGAATTCTCATTGATACTCTGCCGTCTGAGGTGGACGGGGGATGCCAGTGCAGCTACGAGCAACCACGGTGTCAATTGTAGTGCTAGCATTTTGAAATTTGGTCTTTATCTGATGTCTTGCCTTGTTGTCAACTCTTTTGGCTGCTGGGTCCAATTTATCTTAATAGTTGGCTGCTATATCCAGCACTGCTTCGAGTCATCACAACGTTACGTATTAACGACATAGCGCCGAGGCGCTTCCCAGCGTATGTTTGCGGCTCTGACGCGTATATTGGTATTTAAGAGTTCCCCAAACTCTTGACTTTCAAAATGCAGCCTATCACCACGACAGGGAGCTTGAGGTCGCCACATGGCCGCTCAGTGACCACGACGCCAAGTGTGACATCATCGCCACCTGAAGTGATTTTGATGAAGAGTTCTCAGCATCCCAAAAATGCGATGTAAGGGAGCAGATAGAGGGTTCTGCACCTGACTCGACAGAACGCCATGCTCCAGGACAACAGACCTAATTGGGCATCCATGGTAAGCAAAATGTGGTTGCCGGCCCATGCAGTTAACCGCATTGTTCGATTTGAAACCCGCTCGGAAGTCTTTCACGGTCTCCACAGCCTACCGCCTACGTCTATGGTTGTTATTATGTTATTGAGTTCACCGTTGCAAGAGTAATACTAGGAAGATATGTTGGCCCTGGCCGGGTTGATTCTGGGTTATGCAATGGCACAGACCTCATACATCTCACTCAGGATCAACAATACACTTGTCCTAGGGAAAACAAAGCATCAATTCTAGCCTACTTGCTATTCAGCCCCCGTCTGATCCGGGGTAGAAGTCGCTTATTCCGGCTGATGGTCGCCTGAAAACACTAACACGAATTTAGACCTATCGGAGAAATCCCACACAAGCAAACACATCATAGTCTCACCCTATCATGCACATTCTGGAACCAGAAGCTGGCTGTTTCTGTGCGTGGAAGCCCCGAACTCGTCTGAAAAGGCGCGGGGTGTGGAAAGCCTTGCTGACCTGGACGTGACTTTGTGGTCGGTCGGCCGAGAAGTACACATTGAACCAATGTCTCGATATACTTATTTCTGTTAATCCCCCTAGCGTTGAAGATTTTTGTTTGACTTGACCATGTTTCCCCTTTTCTCTCATATCACACACCTTCAGGTTAATTGTTGGAAAGCATGAAGTACGACTTTGATGCTCCTGGCGCGAAAGTGCTACCACCAGCGAAATTGGCGCACGTTGTCCTGCGGACAAGCAATTTTGCGCCAATGGTGCAGTTCTACAAGACATTTCTAAGTGCCTCACCAGCCTTTGAGAACGATACTTTCTGCTTCATGAGCTATGACGAAGAACATCATCGAATTGGCATTATCAACATCCCCATTGTCGGACCAAAGAATGTCCTAACAGCGGGCCTTGAGCATATTGCCTTCACCTATGACACGCTTGATGAGCTAGCCATGTCTTACCTGCAACGAAAGGAGAATAACATACGACCGGTGTGGACTACAAATCATGGTGCGACGACGAGTATCTACTATAAAGATCCTGATGGAAATATCCTGGAGACCCAAGTGGACAACTTCGACACCAACGAGGAGACGAATGCATTCATCATGTCGGAAGCCTATCAAACGAATCCAATTGGTGTGGACTTCGACCCGGAACATCTGGTCAGTAGACTGAAGTCAGGAGAGGACCATGCTTCCATCAAGCGTCGCACAGAAATTGGTCCTAGATCAATCGACACTGTCCCTCGCGAGTTTGTAGGGGATGTGCACGCTAGCCCGTAATGGTAATTCCTATTAGATCTGGGTTTCACAAGGATCCGATCATGCCACCAGATCTCTGGGTTGGCACATGGAGCAGATAGATATGGCACATAGGGCGGGCAGAATGGTAGTTACGGAGGTGAATACATGGGGAAGACCCTCGGGCTCCCACAAGTACCAGATTTGGCTTGCCATACTTCAATGTTCGCAAGTCACCAGTGGGTGCACCTCATATTATACACTAGCAGCAGTGCTTTAATAAACATGATATATCTACCAATGACGCCGCTGCTGGAGCAACTAGCATGATTTGATAATTTTTGGTTTGGTTAGCGAGTCTTGCTAACGCTCAGGGGTATGTTAACTAAGTTAGTTACCTAACCTCCAGCTGGGGATCCCCGCAGATTCCGGTCCAGATGGGCGTGGGGAAGGGCGGCTTCAATCCGTCTGCTACGGAGTAAGTAACTAGCTGGATCGCACGGCCTGCCACTCTTCGACGCCTTGTCTTCCTTCACCTAGCTAGTGCATCATGTGCAGCAGCCCTCAATCTGAATCCCCGGCCGAGAGCCATAGTCACGTTCCTGGGGGCTTCCATTCATGCAGTGAGATGACTTCCACTGATTCAACGTCTCCCAGGGCCCCATTTCTGTCCACCACGAGAACGTCGTTAGACTCATCTCTCGGTCGGGTAAGCTGGTGGTCACGAGTGTCAGCTAGCCGGCTGTACCCTACCATGATGATCATGTCATTGACCTCGTTACATTTCCATCAAGCAAACATGGAATAAAGCTCCGCGTTCTCAGGATGACCATTTTGATAGGGCCATGCTCGTGCGGTATGAGACCTAGGCTGAAGAGGAAACTTTGCCAACGACAAGGCGTACACGACTTTCTGTCACCACTAGACTATGAAATTTTTTGAAGAGGGCTAGCACAGTCATGCATCTTAGTGGCCGAGGACGAGCACCATGATCATTATAAAGCGAGCAAAATACCGAAGGTATTTATTATACATATGGGTGATTCTGTGGATGCTATTGACCTGAAGCGTCTTCTTACTATTTTCCACCTTCTCTGATAATTTAAAATATGGACTCGAGTTTCAAGGTATTGATAGTGGGAGCTGGAGTCGCTGGACTTGCTCTAGCTCAGATATTACGCAAGCATAACGTGCAATTCGAAATATATGAAAGGGACAATGGTACGCGTGGTCAAGGATGGTCTGTTGCATTGGACGAGTAAGCCTAACCCAAGTACTGCTCGTCCTATTTGTCCGACTCGGCTGACATTAGTGAAGATGTCTCACTAGATTGAGCGATCTCCTGCCTGACGACATTGGGAGTCTATATAGCACCAGCGCCAATCAAAGTACTGGTAAAGCAGACGGATTTGAATTCATAGATGGGATAAGTCATGAAACACTTGGTGTTGTCGGAAACGTCAGGGAAACCCATTTTGGCCACAACATTTCTGCCAGTCGAGATTTGTTTCGCAAGATACTCATGAATCACATCGACGTACAATATGGAAAACGCTTCGTGAAATACGAGGAGAATCAAGACACCATCAAGGTGCTCTTTGAAGATGGAGAAACAGCAACTGGACATCTGTTGGTAGGTGCCGATGGGGCAAACTCACCTGTCCGAGGTCAACTTATCAAAGGCTTCAAAGCAACGCCAAGCAGCTTTGCGACTTTGCATGGAAACACGGTACTAGGCAGACAGTCTTTCGAGCCCTTGATCGAGAAGGGGAATACCGGAGTCATAGTGGGTCAAGAGGGTTTGAAGTTCACACTATTGCTGTTAGAGTATCTCGACGACGGCAAGGCATTGTTCAATTGGACGTGCAGTTATAAGAGCAATAATCCTCAGTCTGACCATCAATGGGCTGATACAGCGAGCAAGGAGGCATTGTTTGAAAAAGCAATTGATGTCGTCGGACATCTCCCTGAGCGTATCGTGGAAGCAGTGCGAAACACCACTCCAGCTGGGGTTCATCAACCGCCGATCAAATTGTTGGAGACATTGCTGCCTGATCAGAATCTTCCTCGGGGTCGAGTCACTCTGGTCGGCGATGCGGCGCATTCTATGGTAAGTCCTCACTCTACATGGCATCATTGTGTTGTGATGTTAACTGTCATCCAGGTACCGTTTCGAGGCATGGGTGCCAACACCGCCATCTTGGATGTATGCGATTTGGCAAGCGGGATCGTGCATGGGATCGAGACTGGAGGTGATCTCAACTGGGTGCTGAAGTCATATGAGAACATAATGATACCACGAGGGAGAACCAAAGTCCTTGAGTCGAGGGCGACCGGTGAATCTGATGATGCTCTTGAAGTCTCGGGTGGTCGCCTACAACGTGAAAAGGCCGCAGGAAACGTCCTTTGAGAAGTTGCGATTTCTGGTAGTGCCAAAATGCACCTCAAAACTTGTTACACACTTGAAGAGTGATTAGAAGTAATTTGCGCCATCAAGTGGCCGTGAGGAAGTAAGACGTCGGGTTTGATACCAGGCGAAGCGGAATGAATGGGACAGGCACCGAGTATTCCCCTGCCCCCAAACCGCACAAATTCCCAGGATGGGAAAAGCAAGATCAAACGCAATTGCGTCAGTCCAAACATGCTGCAAGCCGTACCAGGTACCACATCGTCTAAGTATGGATGATTTTCAAGTTTAATTGCATATCAGCAACAACGGTGCCTGGTTATTGTGAATGGTTCTCCGGGCTGAGTTCATAGAAAGCTTGACTGACTTGAGTGGTGTGGAAAGCCGCCAATCATAATCTAACTGCGCCCGAATATACGTGTTGATCTGCGTAATATGTTACGCGCTAAGAAGATCTGCCTTGGAAGCCCCAAACATGTATTTCTTGGGCGGCACGTAACCACTCAATCAAACAAATCTGCTCCCAGGAAAGATGGAATCATTAGAAGAGGGTGGACTAAAATGGGACAAGGCTGTTGGGTGGGTATGCTTCATTTGACTGATTAATCGTCATATAAGATACTTGTATATCCTCGTCCATGCACCGTAGATCCTGATGACCACCTGTATGAAGATTAATACCTCGCACAGCATCGAAATTATGTATACCTTGTACATTTCTTGCATGCTTCCCATGCTAGCACTCGGCTTGCCGTGGCCGCTAGCCTCTCGCCAAACAACGCTCGAAGCCACTACCGACCGTCTGCTCTTCTCAACGAGTATATCGGACTTTCTCACTGCTCGCGAATCCCAGAGCCCACCTGAACTCAACTGGGAGTCCAACGGTTGCTCATTTTCCCCGGAAGAACCTCTAGGGTTTGATTTTGAGCCATCGTGCCAGCGACACGACTTTGGCTACCGGAACTATAAAGCCCAAGAAAGGTTCACTGATGAGGGAAAGGCAAGCATCGACGACAATTTCAAGAAGGATATGGACAATCAATGTGCCACAGAAGGACTACTCAAGGATGTATGTGGGGGTGTTGCCGATTTATATTACCAGGCTGTGGTCAATTTTGGGAGTAAGCTTAGGAGAGATGAAGCGCTTGTCTAGAGGAGACTCGATATTAAATGGACAATCGTGACTATGAGTGCGATCCCTGTGCGTGGCGATATGGGTTCTTGGATTCGTATTCAGCTGTTGGCAGATTGAAGGAGATTTCCTGTCCAACAATCGACGTATGAACTAGAATCATTAGTCGCAGTGGGGAGGAAGCTTGGGGACAAGTCTTCAGCCCCAGCTCAGAGACGCGAATTTGTCGTTGAAAGATCATCCATTTGCAAAACATCGCGGGCCATGTCTCGGACTTCCATAATTTAATCATGCCTTCACTCACTAGTCTCGACTCGAAGTTTGGTACCTGGATTTAGAAGCTCAGAGTAACGACACGACACGGAAATAAGACGTCCGTGGAAGGGTATTTTTGTCTGGGTTTCTTCAACCCGCCCAGCCAAGTCAGTAATGACGTCAATTTTGCTTCAGCATTTCTTGTGGGTAACTTACAACATTATGCTCAGGTATTATTGCACAACTGTGTGGCATAGACCAGCCGAAGGAGTTAAAAATGTTGGGATGACTTCAATGTGTTCTAGTATGCGATCAAGCCATGCATCAACTCGGATACAAAAGATTTTGCTGATACTGAGAGACCGAGAATAACTCCCTACCAAAAGGCCTCGCCACTGGAACCAAATGCACAAACCTAAATCAGGACATATCAGCAAGTATAATTAAGGTTAGCTCGCCTTAATCACCCGAGTTCCCGGCGGGCGGACGCGGACAGCTTGCAATAAATCATCTGGCGATCCGATCACTTTTTTTCCAAGAGCATTTGAGATATGCATACCTAGGTACCCGCAAATCTCCCATTTCATTACATGTTAGAGTTCTGTTCCAAGTTGACGATTTTCCACCTGTATTAGCAATCCAACGTCATTGCTGGTTCCCCAATCGGAGGAACTAAGATAAACGCGCAATACTCGCCACTGTTCACCTAGGACTACGAGGAGTAAGTACTCTGTACGAGATACGAGCTCACAGGGTTCGTATGATTACGAGCCGCAGTCGCCTGCTCCGTACACGGTGGCAGTGTAGACGCGGTGATAGTAGGTTTCCGTGCATTGGCAATGTTCTAGCTCAAAGCATTCGTAGTTGAGTTTCGCAACCTAGAGTAATTCTCCTGCAACTACTGTTTCTAGCTACTGCAAGGGCTTCCTACCGGCTTATATAATCGCCTAAGTCCTTGGAAACCCATAGACCCAATCACAGTGTCTGCCAAGCTGTGTTATGTAAGGCAACCCTCGTTCCTGTCAGCTCGAGTACGTCGTACGCTCAAGGTAGCGATTGGTTCATCCACGAGCTGCTGCACGCCTTAGAATCGCAGCACATTGAAGGACAACAAATGAGTAGGGGTTTCAGGAAGCTCTTCTTCCTGGTCGATTTCGGAGGAATGGAACGCATCGCTCCTGCAAAGAAAGCTCAAGCAAGACGAGCTCCTGGCTACTGGATACATCAGAGTTCGAGCATTCTCAAGCAATTCACTCACTTGGCTCGTTACTAAGTAGTGTGTAAGGTTTAAAAACAGAGGGGCCTGCATTTGGCCCCGTCGGATTTGCATCCTACCGGGTACAATTGGGTTTCCGTCGGACGTCCCTCAACCATCGATTGCATTATTAGGTCGCGTTGTGACTTGGCGATGCACGGTCGGCACCCGGACCACTGAAACCTTGTTGCGACTGACAGTATTTACCTGACCACCTCAGTAGCTAATCTCCTGTTCATCTGCCTCGAACTTTCTCCTCCAGCAGAATTGTAAGGCACAGCGCAAAAACAAGTACTAAGTATTCAATATCTGGTTGAAACGACTTCATTTTGCAGCCTACGCTCGCGTGAGGACCCCCTCATCGCCTCGACTGGCTAAATGAACATGTCTTCAGCATCAGAAAACCGTCCACCGAGCCCTTCAACAAATACTCCCATCGAGCGTCTAGCCACACACACAACTACCAGTAGTTCCGAAGGCCCGGCTTTCGAACCCATTCGAACCAGAAAAACGAGAGACACGGTGGACTATCAGTTTGAACACGATGACGATGCGACGCGCGATGAGCTTGCCCGAATCGCCTCGATCCTCTCTGGCAATCGATCAACTCGGACTAACACTACCCCAACCCTGCAAAGACTTGACACCGTTGCAGGAATGGGAATCGAATCACCAGAGTTTGACCCAAATGATCCATCCTTTGATTTCTTCCTGTGGATGAGGAAGTTCATTCAGCTACTAGAGCAGAGCGGCGTCAAATTGAGGAGAAGCGGCTTCACCTTCAAAAATCTTACTGTCTCTGGAAAGGGCGCCGCTTTGCAGCTTCAACAGAATGTTGGATCCATCTTCATGCAGCCTTTCCGTCTTCGTGAAGCATTTAGCCACCCCCCTGAGAAGCAAATTCTACAAAATTTCAACGGACATGTCGACAGCGGCGAGCTATTGATTGTGCTTGGCCGACCTGGAAGTGGCTGCTCTACTTTCCTCAAAAGTATTTGTGGTGAACTTCAAGGCTTGAATCTATCCGATGATGCAAGCATCACCTACAGCGGCATTCCGCAGGATGTTTTCTTGAAAGAGTTCAAGGGTGAAGCGATCTACAACCAGGAGAACGAGAAACACTTCCCGCATTTGACAGTTGGCGAGACCTTAAATTTTGCTGCTGCTTGCCGCACGCCTGCCAATAGAGTACTTGATGTTCCTCGAGACGATTGGGCAAAATACATGGCATCGGTGATGATGAATATCTTTGGGCTATGTGAGTACTCTCCATCACCTCATACGACCTCCTCCATACCTCAAGCCATTTTAGGAACCTTGTTGCTAACGGAATCAGCTCATACACGCAACACCAAAGTTGGAGATGATTTTGTGAGAGGCGTCAGTGGAGGAGAGAGAAAACGAGTGAGCATTGCTGAAATGGCTTTAGCTGGTATGTGCCACGTACAACTTCTCTTGTTTGTTTGCTTACGTACTATCAAGGCCCCCCAATTGCTGCTTGGGACAACTCGACGCGAGGTCTCGACTCTCAAACTGCTCTCGAATTTGTCCGATCTCTTCGAATCGCCGCTGACATTGGAGGCCTGACGTCACTTATTGCGATTTATCAAGCATCTCAAGCGATTTACGATTTGTGTGACAAGGCTATTGTGCTTTACGAAGGCAAGCAAATCTACTTCGGGCCTGCTGATGGTGCTCGTGCATACTTTGAGCAGATGGGCTGGTATTGTCCACCGAGGCAAACTACTGGTGACTTTTTAACGTCAGTGTCCCACCACTCTCAAGGGAGAAGTACTGACTTTCTTCTAATCTAGATCGGTCACCAATCCGGGCGAGAGACAAGCCCGGGAAGGATTTGAATCCAGAGTTCCTCGTACTGCCGAAGACTTCGAGAAGCATTGGCTCAACAGCCCAGAGTTCAAAGCTTCATTAAACGAGTCAAGCAAGGCAGAAGACGCGGATCAAGATGGCAGAGAAGCCCTCCAAGATTTCAGAGAATCTCATAGGCAAATGCAAGCTGATCACACTCGACCAAAGTCGCCTTATGTTATTAGCATCCCAATGCAGATCCGCCTCTGTACGACCCGGGCTTACCAAAGACTATGGAATGATAAAGCTTCGACCATGTGAGCCTCTCAATTTCCCTATGGTACTTGGTATCTTTTTATACTAACACCATGCTACAGTGCTGTTGTCTTCAGCCAGATCGCACAAGCTCTCATCATAGGTTCTGTCTTCTATGGTACTCCTCTCTCCACCGGCAGTTTCTTTGCAAAGGGTTCCGTTCTTTTCTTTGCAGTTCTACTGAGTGCCCTTCAATCTATTGTTGAGATCAATACTCTCTACGCTCAACGGTAAGTCTCTTCCTCCCATGCATGATCAACATCTTCAGAGACGAGGCTAACTGCCCTCACCTTGATGGCGAACGCAGACCGGTGGTCACGAAGCATAAATCATTTGCCCTCTACCACCCCTTTACAGAGGCTGTTGCAGGTATCGTGGCGGATTTGCCTCAAAAATTTGTGGTTACTTCCGTCTTCAATTTGATTCTCTATTTCCTGGCGGGCCTGCGCGCAGAACCCTCGCAATTCTTTATCTTCTTCTTGTTCAACTTCATGTCAATGTTGACCATGTCTGCTATCTTCCGGACCACTGCGGCAGTCACGAAAACCATCTCGGCAGCTCTGGCTATCGCTGGCGTCATGGTTCTTTGGATTGTCATCTACACCGGCTTCACTTTGCAGCGGTCATATATGCATCCGTGGTTCAAATGGTCCAGCTGGATTAACCCTATCGCCTTTGCTTTCGAGAGTCTTCTGGTCAATGAGGTGCATGGCAGAGAATTTCCTTGTGCGCCAACAAGTCTTGTACCGCCTTATGGTCAAGGGTCAAATTTTCAGTGCGCCGTGGCAGGTGCTGTGGCGGGCGAGATCAATGTATCCGGAGACGCGTGGGTCCAATCATCTTATGGCTATTCCTACAGTCACATTTGGCGGAATTTGGGTTTCCTTTTCGCCTTCATGATATTTTTCTATGCCGTGTATTTTATCGCCAGCGAGATCAACTCCGATTCGACCTCAACCGCAGAATTTTTGGTGTTTCGAAGAGGTCATGTTCCGGCTCATCTGTTATCCAAAGACCGGCAAGATGAAGAAACCTCAGCCATTGCCGAGAAAGGTGCTCCTGCAGAGAATCCAACAGACGGTGCGAACGAGGAGGCAGTCACAGCTCTGCCAGAGCAGAAGGATATATTCACCTGGCGTAATGTCACACTCGACATCAAAATTAAAGGTGAACCACGAAGGCTACTCGACGGAATCTCAGGCTGGGTCAAGCCGGGCACTTTGACAGCCCTTATGGGGACATCGGGCGCCGGGAAAACTACACTGCTCGACGCTTTGGCACAGAGGATTAGTATCGGAGTTTTGACAGGCGACATGGTAAGTACTCATACTCATCCTCTAGTCCTTCTCTTGATATGTACGTCGGCTAAGCCACCATTCAGCTTGTCAACGGAAAACCACTCGATGCTTCGTTTCAGCGGAAAACAGGCTATGTACAGCAACAAGATCTTCATTTAGAGACCGCTACTGTTCGCGAAGCACTTCGCTTCTCAGCACATCTTCGTCAACCCAAGTCCGTTTCCATCCAGGAGAAAAATGACTTTGTGGAGGAGGTCATCAAAATGTTGAACATGGAAGCGTTCAGCGAAGCCATTGTCGGCAATCCTGGAGAAGGCCTGAATGTAGAGCAGCGAAAGTTACTTACCATTGGAGTCGAGCTTGCAGCAAAACCTGCTCTTCTTATATTTCTTGACGAGCCGACTTCTGGTCTGGATTCACAAAGCTCTTGGTCTATTGTTGCATTTCTTCGCAGGCTCGCGGATGCTGGGCAAGCCGTGTTATGCACTATCCATCAACCATCCGCCATTCTCTTTCAAGAATTCGACAGGCTACTTTTCCTGATGAAGGGTGGGAAAACCATTTACTTTGGTGACATTGGAAAGAATTCCAGTACACTACTCGATTACTTCGAGAGGAATGGTGCGCCGAGATGTGATGATGATGCCAACCCAGCAGAATACATGCTTGAAATTTGTGGCAAGAAGTCCGATCGTGATTGGAGTGAAGTGTGGAAAACAACACCAGAGGCTCAAGGCGTTCAGGAGGAGCTCGAACGACTCCATCAAGCAAGGGTGGACGAGCGTCCAGCCGATGATGGATCTCGCTCGGAGTTCGCCATGCCACTATCATCACAGCTTTACTATGTTACGGAGAGAGTCTTTCAGCAGTATTGGCGGACTCCTTCTTACATTTCGGGGAAGTAAGTGGCTCAACACTTTGAATTGGAAATACTGTGCATGGCTAACTTTTGTTCGTTCAGGTTTATTCTCGGAATAATGTCAGCTCTTTTTATCGGCTTTTCATTTTACAAGCAGAACTCGACGTCAGCAGGACTCCAGAACACGATATTCGCCATCTTCATGCTTGTGACGTGAGTGGTAGCTGCCAATTGTCAAGGAATAACTAGCTAATTGAGGTCGCAGCATATTTTCCACCCTTGTTCAACAAATTATGCCTCGATTTGTGATTCAACGGTCGCTCTACGAGGTTCGGGAACGTCCATCCAAATCATATTCATGGGTAGCCTTCTTGGTTGCCAATATCACAGTGGAGCTACCTTATCAGGTCGTGCTTGCAATCCTGATGTGGATATCATGGTATTTCGCCGTTTTTGGGAAGAACCAAGACAATGAGACTCGAGGACTCATGCTACTTCTGGTCATCCAATTCATGCTCTTCGTGAGCACGTTTGCCCACATGATCATTGCCGCAATGCCGGATGCGGAGACAGCTGGCAACATAGCCACCCTCCTGTTCAGTATGATGTTGACTTTCAACGGTGTTTTACAAAGTCCCACAGCCTTGCCCGGTTTCTGGATATTCATGTGTAAGTATTGGCTTCGACGGATTTCATCTTTTTATCTCTTGCTAACAAATAGCAAGATCGCGTCTCACCAATGACGTACATGGTTTCCGCATGGGCTGGCACCGGGCTGCGCGGCCGCCTCGTCGAATGCGCTCAAAACGAATTAGCTATTTTCGACCCCCCTTCTGGACAGACTTGCCAGGACTATCTGGCAGATTACCTCAACGCGGGCGCCCCTGGCCAGCTATATAATCCCACTGCGACATCGGGCTGCGAATACTGCCCCCTCACTTCGGCTGACCAGTTCCTAGCGGGTACCAATATCTACGCAAGTGAGCGTTGGAGGAATTTTGGCATTGGTTTTGCCTACATCGGTTTCAACGTAAGTCAGGTCTTGTAAGAGTACCGGTGGGACATTCAGCTGACCGTTCATGAAAACCAGATCTTTGCTTGCATTGCTCTTTACTATCTTTTCAGGGTCCGGCAAGTCAGTATCAGTAGTCTAGCAAAGGGGCCGGCACGGATTGCAGACCTAATCTTCAACCAGGGATTCAGGCGGATTTTTGCTCGGCATTCGGAGCCTACACCGGCAGGGAAAGAGTCAGAGAGCCACAAGGCTTTCTAATCAGGGGTAACCTATAATTTTGATTATCAACAGGAGGCAAATCCAGGTTGAGGGTAAGGTTTAGTCATGGGAATGTTTGATTGCGTGAGAGCCAATCTACATAGGGATAGTTGTGTGTTAATGAGGGTCACCTATAATATATTGGCTGTTTTGTCCTGGGGTTGTTCAGATCACGTGCTCTGAAAGGGGTTGAGGTTGGAGCAACTCTTTCTGACGAGAAAACGGTCAACTAGGTGTGCGCCACCTAAGAGAACAGAAAATCACTTAGTAGTACGATGAAGACACAAGAGCACGAGGAGCAACCTCCAGCCAAGTCTAGACATGATGGCCGTAGGGAATAAGGCACGAAATTCGAGGGATACAAATGGCGCCTCCCCATTGCCAAAGCTTAGGACGAGGATGCTTGAAAATAGATGGTTCTTCAGTCACTTGTCGACTTCCTGTTTACTTTCTTGATAATGTTCTGCCTCTGTCTTCTTGCTTCCCTTGCCTTCCTTCTAAGCCCTGTGTGTCTCCCCTTCTATTATCCTGGCCTTTCCTGTCTACAATCCTCTCTTATTGTCACTCTTTTCATCATCTGTTCCAGCACGCTTTCACAAACTAACCTTCGACGTCAAAATGGTCCAATAAATGGTCGGCCAGGACTAAAAAAATACTATCGTACCAGAATTCAACAGCACTGGAATCATCAACGAGAACACAAGCACCGTTAGGACTATCTGATCAAGTCAGGAGACGAATCTAAAAATGAAGAGTCCACTATCTTCTCGTTGTCCACTTCGGTATTTTGATATTCTTGCTGAAGTCCTACGCCTTGAGTAGGTGGTCGAAGATGTTCAAGATATCATGAAATTTGGGGTTGGTGAGTGGAATATAGGGAGCTTCTGGCTTCTCGAGTAGACTGCCTTTACCATCGTCATTGGAGAAGTCCACTTGGTCATCCTCGAAGCAGAAGAATTCTTCACCATCTTCCTTGGTTTAGGTCATCAACAAAGTCTCTCCCTGCAGCATGCCCTGTTGGGGTTCTACCGTTGCTTCTGATTCCCGTCTGCGATTTTTCCTCCGTACTACTTCAGGCCGCCGTAGGAACGCTCTTCATTCCCATCTTGTCCTTGACTCATTGTATTTATCTTCCTTCTCACAAGGTTCTCGATCCGAATTCACGGCTGAGCAGACCAAAGTATGTTGTAATGTATCACTGTGACAGCGTGATCAACACGCAAGTTGTACAGCTGGGAAACTGAGAATATTCGTCGGCTATTTGACGAGCTGTGGGGCAGGGCCAGACCAGAATATTGAACTTGGACTATCTCGACGATGGCCTGGAACAAGGTGTGGGGTGCTGAACTGGAGGGAAGAGGAGCCTGGATCTACCGAGTAATTGAAGACCTACTACGTAAAACGAGGTGTGGGGTTGTGTTCAGGAGCATATCGACTTGGTTCGCCTTGAGAACTTCAAGTACTTAGGAAGCGATAATTTAAAACTTGGCTGTGGGGTAGTACTAGTGGCCTGGATCAAGCAAAATGCCACTGCCGTCCAGCTAGCTGGCACTACTAGTTAATGATAAACGTACATCCGGAACCCTCTTCCTTCTAACTAGGTTCATCGTGGAAGGCGATTCACAAGCAAACGTTTTTAAGGTCGAAGGTGCCTGTCGTAGAAGTGATCAGGTTTAGTGTCTCCTCTTCTAGGATGGCCCATCGGCTCGACTTAATGTCCTTTCCTCCTGGAAAAATCCCATTATCTATCATGAGTGGGTGCTTCCGTGTGGGAACCTCAGACTTGGATCAGTCACCGTCTCACAGACTTAATGAGAGATAACCAATCGAGTCCTGCTTCGGACTGGAGTACTCGGTAGAAGTGAATGATGTATCGAGATCGTCTTTCTCCAGGTCTGCACGTGGCGTCAACCCCAGAGTGGAGGCCCCCGAGGCTGCCACGAGCTAAATTACTAGGGACGAAGTGGAGTCGTTTGATTATGACCTGTAAACAGGGAGTTATTCCCTCAACAATGAAGAAAGATCTATGAGCCTGGGTAATGATCCCGGCGTATCATTCTTCGGGAGAGCTACTACGGTGTATGTCGAATGCATATCAATGACAAAGAGTGGCATGCCTGTGTGACGCCACCAGCCTGTTACTCTTGTTGACGGGCATGCACGGCAGCAATATGTAAAGGGGTTTGGGTGCAAATGAATTGCAAATCAGTACTGTGTTCTGAGAAGGCTGACCCCTCGTGACACTTGGTGGTCATGGGAAGGCCCGCTCTTGGCCTCTGGAGACGACATATAGTCGGCATTTAGAAAAGAATCAGAGTCAAGTTCAATATTGCAAAAGTAGTACTCAAGTCTTCAGCCAAGTGAGAGTCTACGACAAGTGTTCTGAGTTTGAACGATCACTTAGCGACCTTGGAGAAAGGGACTTGGACACTCATAACCCTGTCCACATCCGTCCCTCATCCGGCAGTTGGAATGGGCATTTGCCGCCACTGTCGATACAACAAGTTAGCCTAGCGGGTAAAATCCGTCACATCAGGGCCAACCCCATGGGTAAACCGCGAATTGTTTGGGGAAGCCGCTAAGATGTGCATTGGACATCCATTTAAACGATGAGCTTGTCACGACAGCTGCTGCGGGGTGCCTCAAGTTGTTGTCAATATTTAAGACGTCTGCAAGACCCCATCGGGCACAAGGACCCAAGCTCTCCGTTCTTGCACTGAAAGCCTTCGTACAGCGGTCGCTGCTTCTCATTGACTCTCCTCCCTCTTCGACCCGACGTGTCACCATCCACTCATCGTAGCTATTAGCAGTTGTGAGCCAACTGCCAAAATGGGCCTCGGAGTGCTAGAAGGTAAGGGAAATTTTGATTAATCGCCTCAATGGCATTGTCGGTGATGAGCTGACCTCCGTGTTCAGATACTAAGCTTGACCATGTCCCTGGCACTGTGCTTTTGAACGATGAAGCAGCACACTCCGAAGCTGTTACTCAGGGTCTGAAGCACGGTAAAGGAAGAAACGCACATATCGTGTTATCTCCTCAGCCTAGCGAGGACCCAAATGATCCACTGAACTGGCCTCTATGGAAAAAGGAAGTTAGCATTGCTATCCTTTGCCTTGGCGCAATGCTGAACGCCGGCACTAATGTGTGTGGGATCCTTCTCCGATCTGAAGACTTTGTCTAACGCGAACAGGGCCCATTCCTGAACGCTTCTTATTACTCTATGTCTCTTCAACTCAACACAACCATTAACACAGTCGTCATGGCATCTGGATATAATCTACTCGCTGCCGGCTGCATCGGCCCCTTTGGTAGATTTTCCTCGTCCTGCTCAAAGAAAAGCTCAATTCTAACCAAGAACCAGTCTCTGCATTCAGCCGAAAGTATGGAAAACGCCCGGTCTTCTTAGTCTCCACGCTTTTCGATATCGTCGGAACGGCAGTCGGCCAGGCAAAGATCGACTACAAATACCTCCTCGCAGCACGTATTATTCAGGGCTTCTCCACGTCCGCCTTCGAATCTCTGATCGTCTCAGCGGTTGGCGACATGTACTTTGTCCACGAACGTGGCCTCCGGATTGCCGTCATTAATTTTGTGCTCAATTCGGCCTCCAGTTTGGCTTCAATCATTTGTGGTCAGGTCTTCCAGAGTCTCGGTTGGCTGTGGCTGTTCCACATGTTCCAGATATTTCTGGTACTTCAGTTCGTACTTATGTTCCTATTCTGCCCAGAATCGACCTATATCCGTGATTCTCGATATGACACCGATGTCGTTGTTAATGAGAAACTGGAAGAACTCGTGGTAGTGGAACACGAACACAAAGCCCAGGAGGGCGAGGCAGGGCAAAACCCACTGGCTACTGTTCCGGCAAAGAAGACATTCGTCCAGGAGCTCGCAGTCTGGACCGGCGTGTACTCACATGACAATGTGTTCAAATTCCTCCTAGGCCCTTTCCTTACTCTACTCAACCCTGCTGGGTGCTACGCTGTCCTTGCCTCTGGTATACTTAATAGCTGGTACGTATTGGCGAAAGCGGATCTATGGCATGCAGTAAGCTAACAAACATGAAGGTACGTCGGTTCAGCCATTATCCTAGCCGGTATCTTTTCTGGTCCTCCTTGGAGCTTCGATGCAGCGCAGATCGGCTATCTCGGTGCAGGCCCGTTTGTTGGAGGTCTCATCGGCTCCCTCTTTTGCGGCTTCTTCGGTGACTCCTTCATCAAGATCATGACAAAGAGGAACAAGGGTGTTTAGTACGTGCTTCTCTGTTGTTCCGCCCCTTTCCTGCTCCATAGCGCTGACTGGTCTATAGTGAACCAGAATTCCGCCTCGTGTTCATGCTTCCAGCTGGTATCCTATGTGGATTTGGAATGTTCTTCTTCGGTTACACACTGTCTATGGGCTCGGCGGCCGTCCTTTGTGCCTTCCTTCAGGGTGTGATGATGGTTGGTGTCTTGATCGGAATCTTCGCAACCCTGTCCTATGGCCTTGACTCTTTCAGAAGTCAGAGCAGCGAGATTTTCGTCATGAACATGCTCTTCAAGGTAAGTCAATACTTCTCTAAGATGTGATAGGTGAGTTGATCTCACTGATACCTTGCTACAGAACTTCATGTTTTACGGCCTCTCCAATTTCGCCAATCCTTGGGTCGCGAGCAAGGGCCCCAGAGAGATTATGTATGTCTTTGGTGGAACCTCGGTTTTCCTGTCCATACTCGCTATTCCAGTCTACATCTATGGCAAGCGCCTTCGAAGCTGGTGGACGAGACATGATCTCTTCGTGACCTTGAAGATGCAAACCTCGGGACCAGAAAGCCACATGGGCTGAATTAGTGGAGTGCTCAGTCTTTGGTCTCAGCAAGCGGTCGCATCTCCAACACTTCAAACACAGATCGGGCAGAGAGCTTACTTACACCTGACGCTGATGGTTGATAGCTTGGGTTGTCAATTGTGGGACTAGCTAAGTCTCAGATTTATACTCGTAATGGAATCCATCGAGATTATCATCCGTGATACTTGTAAATGTTCCTCTCCAATATTTTGACACCAAACTTGAGAGTGTCATACATTTGGGAGAGAAAGATCTCGCTGCTCCTGTAATTAACTACTTTAATGTCGAACCACTGAGACACTCCTCAATACACCACGCAGTGATATCTCGTATAAGACAGTCAAGAAGAGACCAGCAGCACCCTTCAGTTGTTCATCATGGTCACCCACGTTTCTACTTCTGCCTTGAAATCTGGCTCGTACAGCCAGCTCAGATCAAATTCTTGCTTGGGAACCTCATGTTGAGGCTGTGACCCAATAGGGGGAGCCGGCATCCTCCTCAAATCGATCTGCTTGTTCAACTCCAAGACCTTGCCGATCCGATCCTGTCGGTACGATTGCCATGTACCTAGCGCTTCCTCGAGCTTCACCTTGCCCCTCTTTGCTTCCGCGAGTAGTAGGGCAAACATGTATACATCTTCAAAAGCTTGGTTTATTCCTTGCCCAGCACTGGGCGGGATTGCATGCGCAGCGTCACCCAAGATAAGGACTCTTCTTTTGTCGGACGCCCATGTTTGCAGTGGTGGAATGACGTAAAATGGCCAAACGTTGATCTTGTCATGGGGAATCGATTTTGTTGCACTGATGGCAACCTCGCCAAAAACTTCGGCATCGGTTTGGAGGAACTTGACCAAGGATTCCTTGTCTGCAAAGAACTTTTCCCAGCCTTCACGGGTCTGCTCTTCGATGGGTCTCTGCTTTCCGAAAAACATTTCAGATGCGTCAGCCTTCTGCGGCGCGATGACAAAAGCGCCCTTGTCCTTTGAGATAAAGGTCAATGGCTTGTCGATCTTGCCACCAGGGTAGACGACTTGAGTCGCTGGAACTGCAGCAGTAATTCCAGCCATTCCGGTAAACTTGGGTTCAATCTCTGGATAAATATGTTTCCGTACAGATGAATGAATCCCATCTGCGCCAATAAGAAGCATGGCTTCCGATTTCTGGCCGTCGGTAGATTCCCAGATAACATGATCGTTGGTTTCTTCAACGACGCGGAGATACTTGCGATTGAACACGACCGATATTCCTTTGGCGAGGACGTCCGAAAGAATACTGTCAATCAGTTCATGTCGATAGATACGATTCGCTTGGTAGCCATATTTTGCATTGCTACCAAATTCATAGGTCTCGATCAACTCTCCACCGGATTTCAAAAATTCGAGAGATTCGAAGTTGTAGCCTCTCGATTGTACTTGCTGGTACAAGTCAAGAGCATCAAGAACCTTCAGTGCATTTGGTGATAGCATGACAGCGCCGCCAATGTTCAAAGGTGAAGCTCGCGATTCATACACTGTTGCCTTGATTCCTTGTTGGTGCAAGGCCAGGGCAAGAGTTAGACCGGACAGCCCGGCGCCGATGATCGCGACTTCGTTTGTCATGTTTGAAGGCCGAATTGGTTCCTATTGATACTTGTAATGTTCCTATTTCTGCACGATACTCGCACGGCTGTGGGCAAATATGTTGTAGTGGTGATGTTGCAGGCATTATCGTCGTGCGAAGCAGCTGATGATTTATAGATTGCCCCGAAAGGACGCCTTACGGCTCTGTTGGAGGATACCATTACATTTCAGGCCGATGCAAACAGTCAAGCTCAAAAGTGGCTATGTTATGAGCGAGTGTCCGAGCGTGTGGCAAGAACCTTTAGGACGTGCCTCTCGGCGATGCACTTAGGAGTCAGGGTTTAGCAGGGCAAATTTTGCCCGCTATAACTTTAGCCCCATATTAGTCGACTAAGTGAGAGTCGCCTCGAACCATCTCTAATCTGTATAATTGAAGATCGTCCTAGCCGTTAACCGTCATTTTCCCTCCTCATGTATCACAACCAAAGTCCATCAACACCCATGAACGCCCTTAAATAAGGTGCTACGGCACTCACTTCTCTTATATCTTCCGTGGAAGTTGCCTGTGGCCATAATAGAAATGCAAAGTACTGACATATTTACCCACAGCATGTGCTACCTCGCTAGAATAATCCGTCATCAATGTCGTGTAAGAAACAAGAGCTCATGATCAGACCGCTCCCGTTGAACATGTCAGCAGAGGCAGTTAGGGCACTGTCAAAAGATTCCCCGAATCTTGAGTTATGAGGCAGCGTTTGTCACTACCAGACAGCTGGTCTCGCTCCAACCAGAGTCATCATGAAGCTCAACGTCTTCCCCTTTTTTCTCGTCCGTCCGGGGGACGAAAGTTCGGCCAACTTACGGCATAGTCAGACATTGCATAATCTCCACGCCATCCCCCAAACGGTCGTTACATTTCTACTGGTGCTGAAACTTTTTGGCATATCATTGAATAAGTCGCCCTTGGTGCTCTGCATTCTTTGTAATGACCTGGTTGTGCATCAGCGGACACGAGCGGATAAATGTTCTACTTCAAGTACACGAGGAAACACATCCATGTATAATAACCATCGATGTGCCACCACAAAGATGTCTCCAATCTATCATCAGCACTTCAACTCCATTCAAGCCAACACGCCAACGAATAGAGACACCAGAAGACGCGCAGGAATCCCTCGGACGAAGCAACGTGGGCACAGTCACTGACAGCAATGGCACAAGGTCAAGGTTCTCACGTCCTCGTAGTTGGGGCAGGTTCCATGGGATTGATCACGGGCTATATCCTCCAGCTAGCAGGAGCCAAGATAACATTTCTCATACGCCCTCATCGGGCTGAATCGTTGGATCGACCCCAAAAGCTTTATAGCTATGACGACAACCAGCTGAAGACTTTCACGGGATACGACTACATCACCAATCCATCAGATATCTCTGGCACAGACTATGATTTCATTATTATCACGCTCGATGGTGCAGCTTTGAAAAATGAGGTTGGCGAAACCCTAGTCAAATCCTTGGGGAAGGCAGTCAGAGGAACTAGAGCGAAGATTATATTGGGCACTGTCTTTTTTAACTTGATGCCGTGGTTCTTGAAGACAGCCAACCTCGAAAGTGAACAGGTTATCAGCGGTCAGCTCTGGATCCACATTTACCCGACCAGTGCTGTCACATTGCCTGTCCACGGTTCTGAGGATGTGAAGTTGATTGCTCAAGCAGATCAGGCTTACACAGATTGCCTTGGACAGGGATTTTCCGTCGAGAACAGTTCACCAGCCATAGCAACAGCATTCGCGGATTTGTGGAATTCCAGTGGTGTCTCGAAATGCGGTGTGGTTCCCAAGGAAGAATCAGCTGTAAATATGACCTCTTTCTTCCCGATACTGGCAGTATGGGGGCTCTTGGACTGGCGAAACGCTCAGAAATTCGATGCCACAGATCCACTTTGGATTCTTGCTGTAAAGGCAGTGAAAGAAATTCAAGGACTTGGGCTTCATGGTGCGGTAGGCCAGCAGGCAGCAGCTGCTACAACTGAGGCGAGCTTAGTACAGGTGTTCGCTGGAATGGACAAGGTGATGCCCCTGAACTTGGAAGAGTTCAACCGGTATCATCACGGTGGCAAGGTTAACACTCAGGATCGTGCCCTTCTGCACGCTTGTATCGAACAGGGGGATGCCGAAGGAAAGTCCATGACCGCATTGAAAGATTTGGTACGGCGTATCGAAGCTCAAGCGCCCAGAGAATAAATCCCACAATCGGATGGTTCCAGATTTATCTGCATGCAGGCTCATGGTTGACATATCAGCGATGGCTCTGGCCATGGTGAAAATATCACATGTTGAACTCAATCGTTCCAATTCGAGGGCGCGCATCTACGCTCGGGAGAACTTTTGATCCTTAATAACAGAAACAATTTCTACGTCATATTTATTTGACTTACTATCGTAGTACTCACGAGATTCTTGGCTGTTTGGTATGGCGCGGAGAAGCGTCATGCCCAAAAATCTCCATGCTGTAGTACTGAATACTGACTACTGCATACACCTGCGACAACACTGGCGTAGCATGAATTTAATATACCTTAGGCTATTCACGACGAGTACCCGAATACTCTAATGCATACGAAAATCGATATGAACAGCACCCAACATATCACAGAGGAGATGCAACAATGCACCCCTTTCGACTCTGCAGCGCTGAAACCGTTAATATCCCAAATAGGAGGTCGTAATTCTTGACCACCGGCCACTAATCAATCTTAACTCTGTTAGAAGATCTGCTAGTGGCAACGAGAGAAAGTCGCCGAGAATGAAGTATACGACGCGAGGGCGTTACCTGCCGTCTCGGCTGCGCCTAGATGGAGACTTTGGCGCACCATTGGTAGTTTTCACGCTCGCAGAGTCTGGGCTAATGACGAAGAAATTCTCTTTGGCTTAGGGTCCGTGGACTGTCCGGGCTTGATTTTGTCAGAATCATCTATATTCGGTACACAGGATGACGAACCGAACAATTTGTTGGCTTGAAAACAGGGGGAAATCTCGTAGATAAAGCTCGGCTTTATTTACGATCACGAACGGGCTCGGCCGAGCTGAGGTAATCTGATAAAAATGCGGAGCACCCTACCACAGGCTCGCAACACAGGCCATGGCCAGCTTAAAACGCCCCCAGATTTGAGACGGAACTTGAAAATAAGCGGCCAATCAGAGCGTTACCAACATGAGCATACTGCTCGCCTTAAAACATTCCGATACCTCAAGCAATGGCAATAAATATCGCAATAGGGCCCGCACTTTGTACCAGCTCAAAAATCCGATCAGAACAGCGACGTCTACGACATATATTGTTACTACGATCTCAGACTATCAAGTTGCCAATTTCTTTCAGTAATCATAATTGAAATGCTTCCACAAATACTCCTGCTTGGAGCTACTGGCCGTACTGGTCGTCTGGTCCTGGATGAAGGGTTGAAAAGAGGGTACCTTGTCACAGCCTTGATTCGCAAAACAAACACAGACATACCTCAACACTCGAACCTTACAGTTGTGATAGGCGACCCGTGCAAAGCGTCAGATGTTGAAGTTGCGCTCGACAGTACGAAAGCATCAATCCCCATCATCATCATCAGTACGTTGGGACAAACACGAACATCAGGAAATCCTTGGGCCGCAACGACTTCGCCTCCTCGCTTTATGGCAACTTCAGTTGAAGCAGTGCTATCAGCATCGCAAAGCTTCGCCGAACCAGCGCGAATTCATAAATTGGTGATTCTATCGAGTTTCGGGACTGGAGACTCGTTCGCCAGCCTGAACTTCATGATGCAATGGATCATGAAAAGTTCTAACATGGCTCAGACTCTGGAGGATCACAACTTGGTGGACGAGGCCGTAAAGGCGGGACCGCTCCCGTTTGTCCTAGTACGGTCCGCAATGCTCAAGAGTGGGGATGCTGCTCCTTTGAAATTTTATGGAAACACAGGGAAAGGCTCGGGGATCATGCCTGGTACAAACATGAAAAGTATAGCCAACTTCCTGTTGGATCTGACGGTGGACGACCAGTATGATGGTACAACTCCAATGGTCACGAATTGATGCGGACTTTCGTTCACTCTCCATTCCGATATCGAGGATGATATAATGAGCAGGGATTTTCATATATATGAGTATCAAGGGGAGCATAGTTGGGAGCATATTACCCATATTTCTGTTGGCGCTACTTGAAGATAGTATCAACTGGAATTTCCACATATCTTGGTTACCCAGGCAGATAGCCTGTCGCAGCCTGCCTTGATTAAGTGAAGCGGATAGGTTGCCCCTGGAGTTTATCGAATCTTGAAGATCGCGAGGAATATATCATGTTGAAGAAGCGATATTTCAAGAAGTAATTGAAATCATGGAATGGCGCAAGGAAGGTCTCACCATCGTTAACGAGGAAGATAAAGAAAGGAGGGAGTAAGTCATAGTATACGATTGATATATTCGTCACAAAAAGAGCCTACGCTCGACCGTAGTTGATGCTTGGCATCGGATTTTCCCAAATGGGTGATTCAAAATTAATTCTCAAATAATGGATATTGTACAAATTTGTCGTGCAAGCTAAACGTGAAAGAACGCGTGATAAGTATTGTTCCATGTCAATTGTACACTTGCAAGCCGGTGTCATCTCATAGTAGGTGAATAGAAGGTCAAGTCTTCCAGCTATGGCGGCGCAATCACTCGCAAACCATGACCCAGACGATCTCAGCGACACATCATCGGTATCCGATATCCTTGATACTCGCAACGACGAGGGCTGGGAAGATGTCGAACAAGACGAAGAGTCCATCACAGTAGTTTCACTTTTCAAGGACCAGACCTTTCCTAGTGCCAAGGAGATGCTCAATAATTGCCGTGACAACCATGGATTTGATATTTGGAAATTAAGGCAAGAATTTGGTGACTATTGCCACTTAACGGATACCAACTCATGCTAATGTGTCCATCATCTAGATCTAGATTTCCTGGGCTTGATTAGACTTGTCAACTACGTTCGTTCATCAGTCAAGGCGGGCAATACTCGACCAGATGTGTCTTCCAAGTTACTGTTCGAAGATGAACAATATCTCAAACCAGTACTTGAAGATGACGCTTTACTGTTCAGTCTTGACGACGTGTTTGAGGACTCTGCGAGCGGTGCTGCTCCGACGACAGAAGTTGAACAGCTTCGAGAGGAACTTACATCATTGCAATCCCAGTTCACGGCGTACCGTGAGCAGGTGCAGAGCGCGCTATTGAATCGCTTGGATGATTCTCCTGCTACTCCTGCTTCCAGCAGCAAGGCCCCCGCCGCACAGAGCACGAACCAGTCCTCAAAGCAGGAAGCCTCAGACAATATCGAGGCAGGATACTTCGAATCATACTCGTACAACGCAATCCATGAATCGATGATCAAGGACACCATTCGGACTGATGCTTATCGGGATTTCATCTATGACCACAAGGAGTTATTCAAAGACAAGGTTGTTCTCGACGTTGGTTGTGGCACCGGGATCTTGAGTATGTTCTGCGCAAAAGCAGGAGCGAAGTCTGTCATTGCCGTTGACAATTCGGCAATCATTGACAAAGCGCGGGAGAATGTGTTTCGCAATGGTCTGCAGGACAAGGTAAGATGTCTAAGAGGCAAGATTGAAGAGGTTCAGATGCCAGTCCCAAAGGTGGACATTATTGTGAGTGAGTGGATGGGTTATGGCTTACTCTACGAATCAATGTTCGACAGTGTCATCTATGCGAGAGATAGATACCTCGCGGACGATGGTCTTATGGTGCCATCTTATGCAGCTCTTCGAATCGCACCTCTAGCGGATTCAGATCTCAAGGCAAGTCATATAGATTTTTGGAGAGATGTGTACGGATTCGACATGACAGCAATGCTGGAGAAAGCTAACGAAGAAGCATTGGTCCGAGTTGTGGATGAGAAAGAACTTGCGGCTGAAAGCGTTGCCTTTTTAGAGCTTGACCTCCACACAACGCAGGTGGGAGATCTGGTCTTCACAAAGCCGTTTAACCTCAAGTGGAAAGAGGGATTCAAGAGCCTCGAGGGCTTCGTGGCTTGGTTTGATATCATCTTCGGCACGTCAAAATCTCAAAACATCAAGCCTGGAACCACGGCAAAGGAAGCCAAATCCCAAGGCCTCACAGCATTTTCCACAGGCCCACACTCTCAAGCAACACATTGGCAACAAGTGATTTTCTTGATTGAAAATTCTCAGGATGAACTCACGGCTGGCGATGAGGTCAATGGAGAAGTAACATACGTCAAGAAAGACGGCAAGGAGCGAAGTCTTGACATCGAGATCTCATGGGCAAAGGGCCAGGAGAAAGCACAGAAACAGCTATGGGTGCTTGACTAAGTTCCGCATCGAAGGATACCAGTGCAAGAGTCTTGTTATCTGAGCTTGCGCATGCCGTATGCATGGCTTTTCATGTCACTGATGAAACAATAATGCGGCACGACTTCAATTGGGGAGCCATCTCCTTCTAGACTCTCTGTCTTAGAGCTTTAAGTTGATACACCATAGATCGGGCGTGACGGAGAAAGGACACAACCTCGAATTTCACGAGTGAGATGATTGTGTACCCTCCCTAAAATTAGCACTCCTTTAATGAATGTTGCTGGATCAACACTCGATCATGCAGTGAAATCATGCCAAGCCCAATTTTACACAAGTTTGGGGATGAATTTGGAATCTTGTGAACGGCGCCAATCTCAACTCTCTACATGTAAATGTGCTTTCCGTCGTCTATATATCTTAAGGGCCCGAGTCGTCACTCTGGAACCCCCCCTCTCTTGTCTCCTAAAAGTGTCCTTCCGGGCACACTTCAAATTGACGAGAGTCAAGTATTTCACACACCTCAAGCTTGAAAATGGCCGCGAACATTAATATCACTGTTGAATTCACGTGAGTGACGAACCTCCGATTCAGAGGCATTGCTGACGGTGGAAAAGTGGCGGACTAGAGATGTTGTTTGACAATGTCCCCAAACATTCTGTGTCGCTATCAAGTGAGGCAGCCGACGGGAAACCGCCTACCGTTGGCTACCTGGTCACCTACCTATGTGATAATCTCATGAAGGATTCGAGGAAAGAGCTTTTTGTCCTTGATGGAGCCGTGTAGGTCGTTAAGTGCCCGTTCATCAATGAAGTCATGACTAATTCGTCGTAAAGGCGTCCAGGCATCTTAGTGCTCATCAATGATTCGGACTGGGAACTAGAAGGCGAAGACAAGTACGAATTGGTTAACAATGATAATATTCTCTTCGTCTCTACACTACATGGCGGTTAAGGCGGCCTCTCTGAATCGAAGTGCAGTGGCTTGGGCAGCCTCGAATCGGCCAACGTTGAATATGTCAAAACAACTAAAACCGGACTATATCATCATGACATCTGGGGGTGCATCAATTGTTTCCTCCATGGCTATATCAAAGCACATCACACCACATCGTGCATTCTGAGAGTAAGGTCCTCGGCATCATCTGGAGTCTTGTAACCGGATGATCGTGGCTCTGGCGTGCCTGGACCACTTCCAGGAGATGCAAGACCGCTGCGTGGGCCGAGAGGGCTTGCCAGGCCATTACCAAACCCTGGGATCGGTGTGGCAAACCCGCTTGGTGGAGCTGGTGCTTTTATCCCTTCGGGAGAGGCAGGAACGATCTCGGGTGGTAGATCTGGGATCTTGATGCGCTTGGCTTCATTGTTGTAGCTCGCGGGGATAATCTAGATCACTTCAGTTCGATGTCTCATGATTTAGAGTAATACGACCAACCTCGATAATTTCATTGCGTGGGAAGGAAAGGAATGGAATGTCAGCGGCATTGCAAGCCATCAGGTAGCCATAAAGTACCCGGAGAACACTTTCATGAGCAATGATGAGAAGATCATTCTGTTCTCTTTCCAGTTCTAGGATGATAGGCTCCAGACGCACTGCAACATCGTGGTACGACTATGTTTGTCAGTTCATCGTCAATATGCAATAAAAGTGCCTGGCTTACCTCAGCCCGTGGAAATCTGTGATGATAGGGGTCGAGATCATGTTTTAACACCTCATCGGGATAATCACGGCGAATTCTTCTTTCGGATTTCTTCTCGCAGACGCCTGGGTTCAGCGCGCTCATCTGTGATCTCTGCCTCACTTTGTAGCCCTTGGCTACCAGAAAAGCGGATGTTTCCACGGTCCTTCGTCGGGTTGATGTCCATACTATCAGAGGCTTCAGTGGGGTTTCATGCCCTCCTTTCTCCTCAATGAGTCTTTTCTCTTCTTCTCGATGCTTGATGAGCACGTCTGTCATTTTCTTGGCATAGTCCTTGCCCTGAGATGACAGACTAGCATCCGCCTTGAATGATTCTTCTTCTAGCGTTGTCCCTGCACGCGCAAAATACGTATGTCGTGCCTTTATGTGAAGATTCATCAGGTAGAACACAATGCGGTGGGATATGTAGCCGAAGCTTGTGTTGTTCACAACGATCCTTTCTCCCGCATTGATCATCTTGATCCAGTCCAGGTCAAGTTCCTCCATTGTCTCGAAATGAGGTATCTTGGCGGACATTCGATTCAGGTAATGTTTTACGGCATCACTTTCTGTCCAACCCTTATAATCCGGCGAGGAAATCTTGACACTGCGAACGTTTTCCTCAATGATTCTTTGGTCGTCACAGTTGGATTCAATAAATAGGCACTTGATGTCGTGCTTAGCAAACTCTTTTGCCAGTGACTTGCGCCCAGCTGACAAGGGATTAACAGCATCGTAGATAGCGATCTGGCCGTTTTCGTGATTTAGAAAATGATAGATGTCTTCTCTGCACTTTTTCAAAATCTTTTGTCGAAGAAGTACGGAAGATGCTGAGGCATTGACGAAGAAATAGTCATCGGGAACATCTTTGCCATGTCCGACGATAGCTCTTCGGTAATCACCGAGATGGAAGATTCTGGTTTTCACACCCAACCATCGCAAATACCTGGCGAGTGCCACAGAAATGTGCGTCTTACCACGAGCTGGAAGTCCTACGGTGGCTATAGCAATCCGGCCAGCGTGGAACAAACGCCCAGACTCTGTGCTATAGAGTTGAGCAGGAGCCATCTCACTTTTCTCTGGCAAGTCATGGATAGCATCAACAAAGGTGCTTGACTTGCGTCGATAGCGGGGCGCATTCACCGCTGACTCGGCTGTGAGTAAGGTATCCATGTTGGCAGCCTGTTGAGATCCTGGCTGGTGATGTTGGATAGGATCCCAATCTGACGAAAATTGAAGACCCTCAAAGCTCAACAGCAGCTCATTGCAATGAAGAACAGCTCAGTGTTTCGCACGGACAGAAGGAACACCTTTGAAGTCCCGCGCTACTGGTTGGCTCGGGACGAATCTCAGCCAGATAAGAGAATGAGACCTGCTTAGAAGCAGCAGCAGCTGTTTCTCTACTGGACGTCTCCTTTGCTGTTCGGCGGAGCTCACAAATTGCAGCAAACTGTAGAGGGAATGTAGTACTTTGAGCCCGTGGTCAGTGTGATAAGAGACAAGAATTCCGGAAGTTTGAATCTCAGTACGTTTCCATTATTCATGGGAAGTTGGGAGACTATCACGGCCGCCGCTTTTAGCCCCATGCCACGCCAGGCCTGAATTCTTGCGATTTGACTTTGGAGTCGTTTCTTTTTTTATATAAGTTGAAAATCAGTCAACTCACTCGTTAGGTGTGCTCAAAGTGTGAGATGTTTCTTTAGTGAAAGATCGCGCGCGCATAGCCATGGCATTCATCGAGCCTTTCATTATTCATGAGGGCCGCGTCGTGAAAATCAAAGCGGCAAGATAAATGGCCATTAATGGTTAGTGCTTGGCAGCGGCCTTGAGAAGTCAAGTCGTTAGATTTCAGAAAAGTAAAGCTCCAAGTCGCCAACAATCATCTGTCACAAGAGCACGACTGCTCATCACTCCTTGTCCCTCCCTCACTTGTATCGACTCCGGGAGTTTCAGAAATCCTTGCCACAACTCTACTATCCTGTCGTCAACGCAGATTGGTCCCATACATCCTTGACAATGGCTGTCGCCCTGGAGGAGAAATCGACATCTCCGCTGTCCTTTCTTTCTGACAATGTCCTCGCTGCAGCTATCAACGACACCTATTCCAGCCTTTCAGAGAAGAGGAAGCTGTTAGGACTGGAAAATCCTGGCACAGTTGATAACATTGCGCGCGAAGTACAAAAAGATGTTCTCCTATCTAATTTCATGTTCTCTGGCCTGCGTTGCGACCTCCAGAAGATCTTCAGCGTCGCACCTCTTTTCCGGTTACAACATGGCTTTGCAATGGGCTCCCAGGCCTTACCGCCCTGGCAATTGATGGCGCTCTATGGTAACTCAAATGTACGCTTCCCCTTTCTATCTTCTGCGAGGTTTTTGTGCTAATGATCTCATTAGCTCTTCTTGCAAGCCGCCTACTCAAGCGACAAGTCGTTGACGGCCTGGGGGAACCTGCGATGGTCACCCAAGTTCGTGACAAAGACACAAACTGCGATCGATCCAAGACAGGCACAGGCTATGGTACAAATTGATAACGAATACACTGGTGACGATTTCTCCGCATCCGTTAAGGCCATCAGCCCTTCAATCCTCGAAGGCGGCCTCACTGGTATTGTCATTGGCAGCTATTTACAAAGCTTGACACCCAGATTGGCCATTGGATTGGAAGGTGTTTGGCAACGCGCTGCTCTCAACTCCAAACCCGAGACTGCGATGTCCTATTGCGCAAGATACAGGTCAACAGATTGGATTGCAAGTGCACAATACCTGGCCCAGGGTTCTCTGGGAGCATCATACTGGAAACGCTTGACAGACAAGGTCGAGGCCGGTGTTGATTGTCAACTCCAATTTGCACCTGGCATGGGTGGTGCCGGTGGTATGTTTGGCAATATTCGACGCGAAGGCACGACAACTGTTGGTGTTAAGTACAGCTTTGCTACCTCAGTGTATCGAGCACAGATTGATAGTGCCGGCAAATGTGGTGTTGTACTTGAGAAACGTGTCGCACCGCCAGTGACCTTGACCTTTGCGGCCGAGATCGACCAGTGGAAGGTGAGCAATATCCATTGCCAGTCATTCCCCGAATGCTAACCATGATGCTAGAATACGCACAAGCTCGGTCTCGCCGTTTCTCTTGAGGGCGCTCCCGAGGAACTGCAAGAGATTGCCGAACGAGCGGATCAGAGCGCACTTCCTCCACCAATCTAAGCTGTACAGCAAAACCTTCCTCCTTGATCTCAAGCCAACGATTCTGAGAAGAGAGCCTCTGCCACAAAATTCACCCGTTGTTTTATTACCTCTTCACTCTCGAGCATGCCCAACACTGGAGAGAGAGTCCTTTATGTCTGGCGAGGAAAAGAAATTCATCATCACCTGTTTACCGCAGGCGTTCGAGTTCAGTGACATAAGCATACCTGGACGACTCGGAGGGGATATCATGGTATGGGCTAATGCCTAGACACTTTTTTGTACATTCATGACCAAATCTCGTGAACGAACCTGAAGCGCAAAAGGGTTCAGCACGAAATCTACCCTGTTGCATAATAGAAGGCCCTGTATCAACACATTTTGTGCGCTCTTTATTCATTCCTGCCACGCTTTCTTCGTCGGAGCTGTGTGATTTTCTTCTCTGCCTGCCTGTAAAGCCCTTTGCTGCGGTCAGGAGATGGCATCCAAGTGCCTCGATCTCAAGTATCATGGAGCAAGGTGGGTCGGCATCTCGTTCCCACCGTTGCTGCACTCGTATATACGCGCAAGGGACAATGACTCCCGAGCGATTTTGACGTCCTCAGCCTGGCACACTGGTTGCTTAGGTCGTCGTAGTCCAGGCGGAGCCCTGCAGGCGTGCGTTGTTGGAATGTGCAGACGCAATGGGGGACAGTCGGGCCGGGCGACAAGGCGCCAGCCCCATGCCTGGTCTTTTCCGAATGCTTCAGATGCTGCATGCATGCGTCCTGCTTCAACCGTTCAGGGATTGGGTCTGGTGGATCTCCCACGGCGAGCAGAAAAGTAGAGCTGTCTCAACTTGTGCTCGTGCATCTATCCGGACCCTAAACAGTCGACATGGGCACCTGGCAAATGGAGATCTCATCATCGACCCTTTCACATGCAATGCAGCGCGGCAGCGCTGGGGGTTTGACATATTCTCTCGCGCAGGCAACACGCAGCTACCTACCTACTGTACATCTGACTACTCACCGTACACCACCCTCCGGTCGTTGTCTGCCTAGTAGAATACTCAGCATTTCTATAAGCGGCTAGGGGAGCCGATTGATGGACCTTGGGCCAGGGGTGAATGCATGAAAGCGAAGTAGAGCCGTGCCTCTTGGAGGGAGGCGTGTTTTTTTTTTTGTTGGGCTGAACAGTTACGAAGGGAACAGGCGTCACCCGACATCCGTACAGAGGTTCTGAGATGGGCTGTCTTTTGCGACATATCAGATCTTCGAGCAGGTGTCGCTCATGCAAGATTATTCAATAGGGGTGAAGAATCGCCAGCCTCGTCGTAGTTTTCTGGGTTCCTTTTAGTTCGTTGGACAGGTACAGAGGTACCGGGGCGACAGTTTATCCCCCCGATCCACTTTTTTGGTTTTGGGCACCATGTGGGCGACTTTTCAACATATCATGCCAGTGGGCTGGGAGTTGGGAATTATCTACGAACGGGTCTTAACTTCAAGGCTCCGGGGGTCAGGGACTCTACTCGAGGCGAATGGAATCGGACCCGAAGAAGTCCACCTTTGGACTAACGAGTGACCTTAAACAGGCAGATGTCTGCAGGTGCATCGAAGAGTGAGGCGAAACTACGGGCGCCATCCTTCACGAGTTGCCGATTCATGGGAACATGTGTGAGTCAATGCGCATGCCTCCTCCATGCCCTCTACTACGAGTCCTACTACGTTGTGGAGGTGTCTGCGATGCTACAAACAGAAAAATGATTCGTGAACCGGCGGCCCGAAAGCTGAAAAGAGTAATCAGCAATATCGCTGCATTGTGTTCATCTTTGGGCAATGTAACAGAGGCATGCAGCGGTTTTGGAGAGGGCTTGCGTCAGGCTGCCGAAACACGAACTGAAGTTGAGAACACCTGCGTTCTTACATTACATTTCCAGACACCGTGATGATGGCTGACAAGTTATCAGCTTGCATCCAGGGTGGCAGAGGTGGATCTCGAGATCGACATCATCGGAATCATTTGTGCATTTGTGTGTAACATATTTGCCGCTCTCGTTTCAACAGTTCTCATGAGAACGGCAAGATTGATATGTCTCACGGTGAACGTGTTCACGGATCCTAACAGGAGGTCTAGAGCTAGTTGAATGTTTATTTACAATGCTTTTCACCAACTCAATCTTGTGCGACAATGCAAGACAAGACGTAAGCTGTATTTGGATTGGAAATAGTCATTCATGAGATGGCATCTGGTGACATGAATAACGGTGGGCTCTTGTGCATAACTGCTAACTACTAGCCTGGGGGAAAGTACCAGGGGCGGCTGGAGGTGCTCTTTAGGGTTTTGCATCTCAAGGGAAACTGGGAGCCAGTCATGGGAATGACATTCCGGCTTCCACTCTGCCACCCGCCACCAGCCACCATGATCAAGATTACGAAGTAGGGACAACTGGTGCAGACAAAGAAAGTCCACCCAACACCTCGTCTCAACCATCAGGCTCGCCAGAGCAGTCGCTGGACCATCCAGGGAATATCAAGATGCGGAAAAGCTTCAGGAGGGCAGCTCGTATGACGTTGACCTAATCCCTGTAAATTGGGACTGTTCGTCTAGCGACCCGCCACACCCATGCTGGGCCTAAATGATGCCCGTGTCCTTGTGAGGTGATGATGCTGTCCTGGGAAGAGGGGGCTGTGGGTCATCATTGGGCTGGATGTTTGGGAGCACGGCAGCAAGAGCCGTGACCGTGACCGTGATGGTGGCCGTGCCCTTCTGCTCAGTCAACCACATCTGGTAGCACACGGTGGGCAGGGAAGGTAAGTTGAGAAATTGGTTGACAGGCAGTGAACATTGGGCAGGTCCAAGAGCAATGAAAGGCTGGGCAGGGCGAAGGAGTTTCAGCAAGGACTGTGCGCGCAATCCGTGGGTCTACAATTGGCTACTATGAGCTACGGATCGTGGTACGGATACCTCCTCAAGTCTTCCAGGGAGCACGTGGAAGCGGCCCTCAGCTTCGGGAGATTTGGGTTGACATCCACCACAAATGACGAGCCTGAGGGACGAGGTCCTAAGCAATTGACATCTGTGAGGCTGACCTTTCCCTCGGAAATGATGGCGTTGATCATGCGCAGACGGAGTCAACAAGGAGGAGAGATGATTGTGCGTCGTTTCAACTCGTTTGTCATAGTCATAATAGCCCACCAGCATGATTAACCAGCAGAGAGCGGGAAGGTGGATTAGATGATAAATGAAAGCCATCCAGGTCTAAAGAAGCGTCTGCTAATAGGCCAGCGTGTTCCCAGTCAAAGTGTATTTAGGAGGGACATGGAGCGCCATGGAGGCAGTATGATGGACGGGGTTCCACCACCGAGCCTTAGTCCTTAGGCGTCATGCTTTGCCCGCCTTGCCGTGGTGGGAACGCAGCGGCTACAGCCTACTACAGGCTTTTGGTGGTTCGTCAAGGTCGAGCATGGAGTCCATATTAAGAATAATAATGGGGAACGCGCGCTCCAGCCTTTTCGACCAGCATCATCTGACCTGCAACGACTTTCTCAGCAGCAACGACGCAAAGCAAGCAACAGCCTCTCGGTGCCCAGGTGTCTGCTGCGTCTGCTGCTGCTGCTACTGTTGTTACTGCTCTTTTGGATTTCCACCCTGCAGTGCGTTCTGCACCTTCTCACTCGTCAGTCGTCACTCCTGGCCTGGTCCATCATGACTCCATGGTCACCCCTCCTCCAAAACTTGAAATTCGTCTCGAGATTTCTGCTTGCTTACCCGCCGCCAGTCCAGCCAGTCACTTCTCACGGAATCATCTGTCTCGGAAAGAACCTGACCAGCTGCATGATGTGCATTGACAGTCAGGACACCAAATGCCTTTGTTCACAGATCGAGTGAAAGTGAAGACTGGGATTTCATATCTCATGTAGTCGTCGTGTCATGCCCAGCACAGCACAGCAACCAACATTTGATATGACATGACAGTAGTCCTGGAAGTAGTATTTGTAGCAAACCTGATCCCCGCCCCGAGATTCAATAGAAAACACTATTCCTGTGACCTGACCTGACCTGGTCTCCTGGGGGCGACAGACTCTGTTCGGGTTTGATGGTCCGCTTGGCTTCGCTGCGCCTGCATGAATGACACTCGAATTTCTCTGAACTGACGTTGAACCTGAACATTATTATTGTGTGAACCTGACCTGCACACATCTTTGGAGGTCAAGTGCTAATTCCTTTCAAGTCAGTAGGCCTCAAAAACCATTCAGAGGCGGACCATACCAAAAGATCGAACCTACACGGACCCAGGCCCAAAGCCTAAGGCCCAACTTGAAGCCCTAAACCCAGTCCCTCCCCAGGTCAGGCCGTTTATTATCATCCTCATTCCTCCCCCATCAGCCGCCGCCTATCCTGCCTGCGCTCTCTCCTCTCCTCGCTCCTCGCTCCTCTCATCATCAGCCAACGTAACTGTTCCTGCACCTGCACCTGCACCTGAACTGTAGCCAAGGATACAAATTAGGTACGCTCCACCGTCCTTTCCCCCTCTATTCATCCAACTGCCAGTGGTGCAAAACACTCTCTCTCCTACGATTATTGTTACCTTTCACAACCGAGAACAAAACCAAGTGCCCTATTCACCTGGACCTGTTGCTCTTCCTGTCCTGTTCCTGTCGCCTCTACTTCACTTTCCTACTAACCCAACTACACCTACCTCACTCCTAACTCACTTTCTAGACATCCGCATCTTTACCTCTGACTTGACCAGTCACTGATCCATTGCATCCATCTTCCAAACCTGAGAGAGTCTCTGCCCGCTTGCAGTGCCGCACTCCAGGGTTCATCCACTCAACCCCCCCGGCTCCATCATTGCTGCACAAGTTTCCACACCTCATTTCGAAAGCCTCACCTACGCAAAGTGGGGAAATTAGCGTTTCTTCCGCCAACCCTCACCTGCTCCCGCACCCTCATCTTGCATACCCAAACCTCGACCATCTCTTCATCTCGAGTTTCAACGCCCAAAATCCCTTTGTCGTTGCGACCCTCTCCTGTCTTCACCTCTACGCCAACACCTCGCTTCCATCACCAATCGTGGTCACCTTCCCTCTGACCTGCTCCATCCTCCTTGGCAGCGTCCCTACTGTCTTTTTGCCTCAAATCCTAGTCGCCAAAGTGGATTCCACACTCCCTTAGTCCTCGACGATGTCGCAAAACAGGCCTGGAGGAGTCTTTTCGGGCTTGCGCATGGGCGGTATGTTCATTTGTCCCGCTCTACGCCGTCATCCTCCTGAGGGGTTGGCTTTTCGAGCACGTGCGCTGACATATCGTTGTAGAAGTGGTACGAGAAAAGGTGCAGGATGGACTGACCGGCGAGACTCGAGAAATGCAGTATACGCAATGCAAAATCGTTGGCAATGGTTCATTCGGTGTGGTCTTCCAGACGAAGCTGTCTCCCAGTGGAGAGGATGCTGCCATCAAGCGTGTGTTGCAAGACAAACGATTCAAGGTCGGTCAATACTTGATCACTTGCGCTTGATAACATCTATGGAATTGAACTGACAGTGAATAGAACCGTGAGTTGCAGATAATGCGGATTGTCCGGCATCCCAACATCGTCGAACTGAAGGCCTTCTACTACTCCAATGGTGAACGCGTATGAGATTACCCCGTTCCCTATTACCCCATGAACCCATGATCTAATCATAACACCGAGCAGAAGGATGAAGTCTACCTCAACCTTGTCCTCGAGTATGTTCCTGAGACCGTTTACCGAGCCTCGCGCTACTTCAACAAGATGAAAACCACGATGCCCATCTTGGAGGTCAAGCTCTACATCTACCAACTCTTCCGCTCCCTAGCCTACATTCACTCACAGGGCATCTGCCATCGAGATATCAAACCTCAGAACCTTCTCCTTGATCCCACAACAGGAGTGTTGAAGCTATGCGATTTCGGAAGTGCAAAGATTCTGGTTGAGAACGAGCCCAATGTGTCCTACATCTGTTCACGTTACTACCGCGCCCCCGAATTGATTTTTGGAGCAACAAACTATACCACAAAGATCGGTAAGAGGACAAGTCCAGCTGCTTGGGTGTCTGCTAACTGGATTAGACGTCTGGTCAACTGGCTGTGTTATGGCTGAATTGATGCTGGGCCAACCTCTCTTCCCTGGCGAGTCGGGTATCGACCAACTTGTCGAGATCATCAAAGTCCTAGGTACTCCAACCAGAGACCAGATCCGAACCATGAATCCCAACTACATGGAGCATAAGTTCCCCCAAATCAAGCCTCATCCGTTCAACAAGGTCTTTCGAAAGGCATCCCCTGACGCCATTGATTTGATCTCTGCTTTGTTGGAGTATACACCAACTCAGCGTCTCTCGGCCATCGATGCGATGTGTCAGCCTTTCTTCGATGAGTTGAGAGATCCCAACACTCGTCTTCCAGATTCTCGTCATGCTAGCGGTAGTTCCCGCGAACTTCCCCCTCTCTTCGACTTTTCACGCCATGGTCAGTATTCCCTCGGTCACAAATATTGTATGTCGTGATCTTGCATCTGACTCTTCTACCTAAACAGAACTCTCCATTGCTCCACATCTCAATACCCAACTTTGCCCTCCTCACGCACGAACCATTCTCGCATCCAAAGGTCTAGACATAGACAATTTCCACCCACTCTCCAAAGACGAGATGATGGCACGACTTGATTGATTCAGGAAGGGCCTCGAGTTCTATCACGAAATTACGTCAGGAGGGATTTTGACCATTGATATGCCCATCATCGCACTCATGTTTGCTGGCATCGACGCCAATGGCGCTCGATACATTCCATGACTTGGCCTCAGCCATTGTGTGTCTAGATGGACGTTTTAAGCATCGAGGAAGGCATGAGTCCCCAAAAAGCATAGGCTTTGAATACAAAAGGCCACCTGGAATTGGAGAGGTGTGGGGACGTTGCAAAAAGGGACTTGAGCTGAGCGTCTACGGAAATTGACCGACTATAGTCCGGCAGGAATTTTGTACTCGGGTCGATGGGCTAGCATGTTTACAGCTATGATTGAGGTGAAGAAATTGACTTGGAGCACAGAGACTGCTGGCGAATGAGGTTTTGCTAACAATATGCAACAAACCGCATAGCATGTGACCCTGCTTATGTCATGGATGGTAGCGGACAACCCTCTTGTCGAGGGCCATACACCTCTAGACAAATTGGATCACAGAAGCTCGATGGTCTACATTGACCACGGGCCTTTCTTCTTTATGGCCTTGATCCATCTCTTGCTTTTGTGTATGGTTTTTCGTGATCCTGTGAAGTCCCGAGTTGAGCCGTATTACTGCGTTTTGCTGGTACACTCATTACACTCGGGCTGGTATTGTTATGACTTCAGGAATCGAATTCCTTGTGAGTAGTAGTTATTCTTGGGCCATCAAGCATGTGATGTATCAACCACGTGACACTGAGGTAATGCCAAGCCTTTTGTTTCGCTGATGCGCGTCAATGGTCTCCAACGTTCGAAGACAATCTCCAACGCGCCAACCCCAGAAAACTGTCCCAGGAGTGGTACCTATTTCACTCTCTCTTATTTATGTGAATCGACCACAAAGAAACTTCTAAATCATATTACGTTCTCCAAATGGCCGACTACGATAGAAGACCGCGAAGAGGAGGCGGCGGCGGTGGAGGACACTTCAATAACCGCAAGAGAAGATACAGAGGTACAGATCTTCCCTTGACTCCTATCAATCACCTTTCTCATCAGACAAGAGGACGATTATGACGACCGAAGACAGCCGCAGCGCCGTCGATATGAAGAGCCTCTGGCTGTTTCACTCCGCAAGCAGGTCTTGTCAATTGCCGAAAATGTGAGTGAACTGCGCCTTCTACAACAGACAAGGTCCATGCTAATTTTCCGCGTAGCCCATCAGACGAGCCGAAGATGATGTGGTGGCCATTGCAAAGATCCTCGCTGAAAATTATTTCGACCATGATCTCATCTCTGGCTTTCTCGAGTTGGTAGTGCACCTGTAAGACTGTCACCCCTCCAGACTGTCGGCGCTGCGACTAACTGACCTGCAGGCCGCAAGAGCAACCTCTCAAGATCCCTTTTATAGCTGCCATCGCCCTCCATGCAAATGCTCTAAAGCCTGAGATTACCACTGATGTCCTTACAAAAGTTGGAGAGGATTTGCAAAAGCAACTAGACCGCGGTGCATGGAGAGAAGTGAAGCTATACCTCCGGTTCTTGGCTTGTCTGCAAGGCATATTTGAAGATGAGGGAGTTTTCAAATTATTGGAGGAGTTGTTCTCACGCGCTGCAGAACTACAGATGACATCCTCGGAAGACGTACACAACCCATAACTCTCATAGAAGGACGTCTGCTAACATCTGGATCAGGCCCTGGGACTGGAGCTAGTCAAGGTCATTCTCCTAACAATACCATACGCAATGTCGTCCTCTGCGACAGGACTCGAAAGTCAAGCATCTAGTCTTCTTGAAAAGACCGATATTATTGCGTCAACGGAGCATCCTCTCGAACCGTTGGTTGATCCTTTCTCATCCTCGAACTCTGGAGGGACCATCATAGCGGAAAATGCCCTTGCAATGCTCCAAAGACATATGCAGGAAGAATCAAAGAATTCTTGGGAGCTTGCATGCCTACCTCGACCATGGAAAGGAGGCCGTTCGGCAGAAGCAGAGGAATCATTGGCACAAGCACAAAAGCATACTTTCCCATCGATCATTGTTCCTGAGACAGTGATGACCGGACCTCGCTCAATTTTCCCCGAGGTTTATCTTTCAGTTTACGGCCAACAAGATATTGAGACAGTGCCCACAGCCTCGGACACTGCTGCGCTACTAATTCGTGATGCATTGTCCGACACCATCAATGTCCTCCACTTCAATCGCAACGTCGCTGCAAAGTTCCTCATCGATGTCGATTGTTATTTCGCCCCCGACACATTCGTGAAGAGAGCCACAGCTTTTGACAAACTACGCGATGTGGCCGGTGATAAGGCAACATGGAAGCCCGAGGATGTGATCGTGGACGCGACCTTTGGACAGCTCTTCCAACTACCAGCCCCCGAGCACAAATTGGTTTACTATCACTCGGTGTTGACAGAGGCTTGCAAGCTTGCCCCTGCTGCAGTCGCGCCTAGTTTGGGTAGAGCAATTCGATTTTTGTATCGCAACGTGGACAGGATGGATTTGGAGCTATGTCAACGATTCTTGGACTGGTTCGCCCACCATCTGAGTAATTTTGGCTTCACGTGGAAATGGACTGAATGGTACGTATACTTCCTGGGTCGCAACATATTGTACTGATGGATGAAAGGGTGGAGGATGTCAAATCATCAGATCTCGATCCCAAGAAGGCTTTCATCGTCGATGCGTTGGACAAAGAAATTCGACTCAGCTTCTCGAAGCGCATTAAGGGCACTCTGCCGGAGCCTTATCAAGCATTGATATCTGAAGAGAAGGAGAAAGATTCACCAGACTTCAAGTATAACGATGATGCCACACCATTTGCAACACAGGGTCAAGAGATCGCTCAGCTCATTCGGAAGAAAGCTGCGAATGAAGAATTTGGTCCGCCCTTAGAATCTATTGAGCAGGAAGCAGCAAATGCTGAAATGCAAGAACCCCTGCTTGCTTCCACAGACGCCTTTGTCACCTCGATCTGTTGGGTTGGTTCAAAGTCAATGTCACACGTTTTAGCCTGTATCGAGCGCTCGAAGGAACGCCTTCTCGCCCTCGGAAGTGCCAGTTCTAATGCTCGCAAGCAGATCATCACGTCCGTGATGGCATATTGGCAATACCAGCAAGGAGTGGGTGGTGTGATCTTGGACAAATTACTCAACTATCAAATCTTGACACCAACCGATGTGGTTGAGTGGGTGCTCATCGATCATGTCCAGAAAGGAAATCTACTCGTTAGAGCATGGTCCTACGAGGTCATCAACATCACCACAAGAAAAGTTGCAGAGCGTGTCAGAAGTATCGTCCGAGCAATTAGACAGCCTGGGATATCCGATGAGCAGAACACGCAAATCCAGGAAGCGTTGACTCGGGAGCAAACGAGTATGGCGGCTCTTTTTGAGATGATCGGATCCGCACTTGGAGAAATCCAGGCCAACACACAAGGCCTCGATAGTGACGAGGCAGACTTGGTCGCGCTGTGGGCCAATAGATGGTCGAAAGTGTTCCGGCGCAGGTTTACAGTCGAGGAAAGCTGGGTCAAGGAGGAGTTGGCGAAGCCCATCCCTGTTGTCGAAGTGCCTCCGCCATCGGCTGTTCAGGACGAGGCCATGAATGATGCACCTGGTGCCGCGAACGGTAGTGAGGAAAATGCCGCAGAAGTTCAGGTCGATGACGGGATCGAATGATAGGCAGATGTCATTTGGATGCAGCTAATCGTCAATTCTGGAGTGTAGCAATAATTCAAACCCCTTTTCTGCTTGATCGCTGCATAATGCTTTGGAAGTCTTGATTGACGCTAATTGGTGCAGAACTAGGCACCTTTTGGGGAGGGGGAGGGGGGGACAATCGAGTGGATATGAGCCTACGTGCTCTGCACAACTGGAAAGATTTGTGCTCGCGTCTATGATGATGCTGTTGGTGGTGAGTCTCACCGGCAGATGGCCATATCCAAACCGATCTATGAAGGGTGATATGGCACGATCAAGCGCTTCTCTGGTATGCACGACTCCCTCCCTGTCTCCCCAAGGCCGGTTGCACGTACGTCCAAGACAGATTCCGCACGGAGGATGATATCGCCCCCGCTTGTGCCGAAAGCTCACGACCTCCCTACTGACAGAACGTATGAGCCGCGAGGTCCTCGCTCAGAAGCGCTGGCCGCCCGAGATGTCGGACGTCTTGCCATGGACTGTCTTTGCCCAGGGCGGGCTGGCAGGAGATTAGGGCGGGGACATATCCGAAGCATGATGTAGGCTACCTAACAGGGGCGCTTGATCGAGGAGGTGCCAGAGGTCGATATCGAGACTCGTTGCGCACATGGCTTTCACCCGTTCGAAATGGTCCAACTGTTGCCGTCACGGTATTAATGCGCCAGTTCCTGTAAAGTTAACACGCTTAAAATTCTGACATATCACCAAACAAAACATCCCATGACAATTTATCCTTCAGGCAGCGATTGATTAAGAGCTACTGTACGGACAGCGACGAGATCCTAAAAGATGAGGAGACCCCGATATATATCAATTTAACGGCGGTGCCCATATGTGGCTCAACAGAACCTGTGACGTTAGATTTAAGACCAGCGGTCTCCGCTAATATTACGAGCTTTAAACCTGGTCCTGCACTCTTCAGTACCAAGGACTAAGAATTCGAATTCAGATTGCATCCGGTGTGATGATGAGGCACGTCAGGTTGAGATTGTGCTGGGGACAAGGAGTCTATGGGGTCTGCCGATGGTGAGGGTGAGGGTGAGGGTAAGCGATTCACGATAGATATGGAGAAATTTCCTTGATATCATGGTATAGTCAGGACGTTAGAGACTGTTCCGCGCATGGGCGCTTGGCCAGTTGATTGTATCTTTTGATGGCGGGTCTGTCCTTTGTCTCTTCACGGCTGGGAGTGGAGAGGGTGAAGTGCAAGAGCGCAAGATAGGCCGACCCAAACTGGGGATGTTGTCTATTCTTGGAGTACACCAGTTTCATGAACAAGCTGGGGGTTGGCGTGGACTCGGACACCAGAGACAATAAGTATTGATAGGTCCTCCTTTTGTCTTGTACACATCGCGACACGTTAGCGGATACGGAGATCTTCCAGGCCGACAGACGATCGAGTCGAATCTCCCAAAGGCGATGGGTGCAGACAAGGTGAAGCTTTCTGGAGTCATCTTGATCTTGTCGATGATCTCTCTATCACTCAGGCGTCCTCAAGGTCTCAACAAGGAAGCATAGAGCAGACTGTAAGTTGAGTGAGAGTTAGGAGAAATTCTGATATTGATTTCGATGATAATGAATGTCTAGACATGGTGTTAAGACCAATTCTTTGTTCCCCACCCAAGCGCCGTGAATGCATGCTGCTCATGATCTTGTTGAAGATCAGATAGGGTATCAGGATGGATGAAAGAAAAGCAAACTCCTTGCCAACAGCAGAGAGTCGAGAGCGATCAGTCCACAATCATTCCCGTTTCTCTTGGCCGTATCCCCCCTTTCCTTCTAGATTCTCATATGTCTTATCTTCAGCCGATCTATTCCTAGGCCCACGCTCGGCCAAATCTTCCTTCAACCATTTCAAGACGAGCTCACCTAACTTGCTGTTGCCACTGTTGTTGTAAGAGTCTGTCTCGGCGTCGTACTTTGCCATGGCACCCCATTCCTTGACCTTACCCAGGTGCATGTGTGCAAGATGTGTGGGCCAGCCAACGAGATTGTCGAGGATGTGGGTGGCATAGACGACGGTGGCGCCTCTCGTTTCTGTCTCATTCCTCAACCAGTAAAGGAAATTGCTTCGACTCAGTAGATCCAAGTCGACTGTGATCTCGTCCAATAGCAGTACATCCCATGGTTTGATCAGGCCCATGGCCAATTGAACCCTCCGTCTCTCGCCGTCACTGACCGCATGCATTCGCCAGCGTAAATCGATATCAAGAATTTTCACGAGCTCGTCCCGACGGGCAGAGTAGTGTTTGCCGCCCACGGAATCCAACAGGATGGGGACAGCAATGTCAGTACGTACAATAGGGTTTAAGACCCATTCCAGCCCTAGATAGGTCACGCCTTCGAGGCCGGCGGCGAATGGGTCGACCCCGGCAATACGAATTGTCTCGGACGGAGCAAGCCTTTTCCCAGACAGCAGCCGGAGTAAGGTGGTCTTGCCGGCGCCATTGGCCCCAATGAGAAGCGTGCGGCTGCCAGCAGGCAGGTCTAGGTTGATGCCTTGTAGACCTAGCGAGCCATCCTGGAACTTGTAATCCAGGCCCTTGACCGTGATATCGGGTTTGGCGGGGAGGTCGGCTGGAGAGTCTGAAACAGGCATTGTTCTCGAAGGATTGATTCGGGTTCCTGTTGATGCAACGAGTTACAAGTACCGATATCAGGCGAAAGCCAGAGCAGATCTATGGGACTCCGTAAGTCTCTAGTGGATTTTGAGTCGTTGGTAAAACCAAACGGGTTCTTTAATTTTTTGTGGTCGATAAATCCCTGTTGTCCAAGACTAAACCCGTGCTAAGCCTAGAAGCTTAGCGACCGAAAGATAACCTCGTGATGTTCAAAAGGGGTACGAGGTAGAGAGCGAGCACCGGGAGAAAGATCAGTCATTCACACCCCAACATGTTTCTCTAAAGGCTGGTCGTTTCGCCTCGCACAGATGGATTTTCTAGAAGATTTCTCATTTCGGAACCGCTGTCCAATGAGTCACTCCATCGCCCACTAGTTGTTGTGGAGTAATCAAACCGGCCTTCCTGTCCGATATTTGCCGGCTGAGATCTTCCGGATCTTCTTCGTTGCTCTAGAACAAATGTTGGTTCCTTTTACTTAGCGAAAACCATTTACTCCATTAAGCAGTCCGGGCATCAGACGCAAGGGCCAAAGCAGCCATTCCCATGTCTATGCCCATGCAATGCGACTCCATCTGACTCTGAGATAATATCCACTAATCGTTAGATCCCAATGGAGGTTTTACGTTGGATAGACAAATGCTCCTTCCTGGATGGAGTCTAGAAACCCTTGTGCACATCACACGCCACCTTGAACTCGAAGATGGAGTTCGAGAGAGTGTGGGCGCCCTTTGCCCCATGAGCCAAGATCTCCGCTCGTTCGACTCCACGTCGATCACAGTGGAATGGTTTTCAAGATCTCAACGTTCTCGAATATCATGGGTTTTCTGCCTCAGTTTTACAGGACGTCCTTCATCGGAGATTCGTAAATAGACGACACCTGTTTTGCGTACGCTCTCATGTGTCCAACATCAGATCAAGCCTGACCGTCAAGCTTTGGCTACATGGTACCCCACTTCTGGTGGCTATTACAATGATCATGCCCAGCTCTGCCCAGACTGTCCGGTCCTCTTGGAATCTCTTGGTAAAGTCCTAGTTTTGCTGCTTCTTCCACGGTCAAACACCGACCCCCGGATTGTCACTCGATGTCGATAGGCCCGCGTAGCTCATCCCGCCTTCTCGATCGGCATTCTGGTATGCTTTGAGGTTCGAAGGTGACATCGGCCGAGCAGAATAGCGGCCTCACTCACCAGCATGTGTCTCCTCCCCACCAATGACAACTCGTCCTGTCAAGTCTCTGCAGCCTCAGACGTCTTGTCAGTCCACGGTGGATGACCAGCACGACCTGTGGCTTGCTACAAGACTTTCTCGGCCATGCTTGAACTGGCACTCAAGCTCCGCCATGAAGCAGTCAATACGAGCTTCTATTCGACCAGAAACTTTGATGTCATGCTGATGCTCGAGGATAGAAAGATAGGACGGGAACGACGGCAACAAGGCTGCTCGTACTACATACAACCATGTATTCGATTGATCAGCTGTTGGCCCAATACACTGTTATCTTTTTCACGATAATCCCCCATGTGTAACGTCCACATCCATGGACCCTTGCTTGTACGTCGTCGCCTGTGACACCCTTGTACTCCAGAATCCATCCTCTTGGTGGGGTATTCCTCGTTTTCCTTTCTGTTTTGTCTATTCCTGGTAGGTCGTGTAATTTCGTGATCCATTGTGAGATCAGCCGTCTATCTTCTCCGGGTGAAATCGCGACCGTGCTCTTGCCCCCAACCTTCACTGGGGAAGATAAAAAGGCACGTCCTCCCCAGGTGTTTGTGTAGACCCTCAGCTCACACCACAGACGGCTCCAATAACCTTCTCCTACCTGCTTCATTCCAATTTCTTTCAATACAACCTCTTTACAAGTATCCTTACCTCTCAGAATGGCCGAACCAACTCGGGAGCCCGCTGACCCCATCGTCAGAGGCACTTTCGCGACGGCCAAACAATCGCTCTCTGACCTCTTCAAATGGAAGCAGCGAGTCGCCATCACCAATGAGGCTGGTGAAACTCATTGCGAGTGGCAGAGCCCACAACCTCTGAAAAACCCCATCAGCCTGTTCGCTCAGCTTGACGCAAAGGGCTGGCTCTTCTTCCTCGTTGGCTTGTCCGCCTGGATGGCCGATGCTTTCGACTTCCACGCCTTGTCTATTCAGACCGCCAAGTTAGCAAAATATTACGACACCAGCAAAACCAATATCACAACTGCCATCACGCTGACACTCTTGCTCCGCTCCGTAGGAGCCGCCTTCTTTGGCGCTGCAGGAGACAAATTTGGGCGAAAGTGGCCCATGGTAATTAACATGCTGGTTTTGGGCCTGCTCCAGGTTGCCACTATCTACAGCTCCACATTCAGTCAGTTCTTGGCGGTTCGATCTCTTTTTGGCTTGTTCATGGGTGGTGTCTATGGCAATGCCATTGCAATGGCGCTTGAAAATTGTCCTGTGGATGCTCGAGGACTTATGTCAGGTATCCTTCAACAAGGATATTCGCTCGGCTATGTGATTGCCGCCAGTTGTAACCTGGGTGTCGGCGGCTCGACAAATTCCTGGAAAACGGTTTTCTGGATTGGCACCGGTCTCTCGATCGCAGTTGGTCTTATCAGAATCGCCTTCCCAGAGTCCCAGCAATTCACCGAGGCCAAAAGAGAAGGCAAGGGTAAGACATCTCCTTCGGCCTTCTGGGCAGAAACCCGCAAGATGCTCAAAGAAGAATGGCGCATGTGCATTTACTGCATCATTCTGATGACCTGGTTCAACTATTACTCCCATACGAGCCAGGATAGTTATACGACCTTCATGCTAACCCAGAAGGAGATGAACAACGCTCAGGCTTCGCGCGCGTCCATACTCATGAAGACTGGAGCCTGTGTCGGTGGTTCGATCATCGGATATGCCTCTCAATGGATCGGGCGACGTCGCGCAATCGTTGGCTCGGCCTTGATGTCTGCAATTCTCATCCCAGCCTGGATCCTTCCCACCTCCGAACGCAGTCTTTCAGCCTCGGGCTTCTTCATGCAGTTTTTCGTGCAGGGTGCGTGGGGTGTCATTCCAATCCACTTGAACGAACTCTCCCCACCCGCATTCAGATCCTCATTCGTCGGTATCACCTACCAAATCGGAAACATGATCTCCTCACCCTCAGCACAGATCGTGAACGCCATCTCGGAGAAGACCTTCGTCAAGGGCCCAGATGGCGAGCCTGTTGAAGCATACGGCCCAGTTATGGGTATTGCGACCGTCATCATCGCTCTCGGCATCATCGTCACCACAGCCTTAGGTCCAGAACGCCGTGGTGCAAGATTTGAGCTTAGCAAGCCCGCCGGTGTGACCGAGACCGAGCTCCGCGCCAAGTCCATCGATGCTGAGAGCGCCACTGTCCAAATCGAGAAGGCTCAGGCTACCCAGGCTGAACATGTCCGGGAAAAGATCTGAAGCAATCCGTGGACTCGAGTCTCGGAACAAGGTCAGGAGTGAGATGGAGAAAGGAAATGCTAAAGTGCTGGCTGATGGACGATCGCTGGCGCCTAGCGGACGTCAGAAGTCGTGGATCATTCAAACACGTCTTTCAGCTAATACTCTACCTCGTACGCTGTGATCATTGAGCACGGCCGACGACAGGGTGGGAAATAACGTTAGTGATCCACGAACTCTATCATGCCCTGGGTGGCTGCATTGTGCCGATGAAAGCCGAAACCGGGCTAGCGGCTTATTTACGAAATTGACAACGTCAGATATTTTAAGACTAGCGAACAGGATCCAGACGAGTACTGAATGATATAGCTTACTGAAACCGACACGAAGCGAGACAGTATACGACTCAAGAATGGCTCGGGACCTTGAGGTCTGCTGGACTCTGATACCCCATGGCTTTATATTAGTTCCGACCTTGAGCAGATGGTATATGACACCACTTATGTAGCATGAACCATACCTCTTCTTCCAGATCTATGTTTCTCTGTTTTGACTAAACTACAAGCTTGCACTGTAGAAAGACAAAAGCCTCTTCATTTGTCGGTCGGTCGGGTTAGGTTAGGCTTGACACTGGCTCTAGATGGGGGGTCCCTTTGTCTGGATTCAAACAGAAAGGCGCTGTTGCTGTTGCAGACATATAAGAGCCTGACTGGCCATGGCTGGTAGGTCTCCTTTTTCTTTCCGGCGAGAAACATCAGTGCTTGAAATGCAGCTTGCCATATATGTTGCTAAGTAGGTAGGTATTGTATTTGTCCATGGTGCTCAGGTTTATTTCAATAACATCGTCATCGGTTCCTCTGTTCATGTGTGGAATCGGAAAGTCACAGATGGACAGATACATCACAATGGCGTGGTCTGTCTTGGGTAGGGGCGCCCGTGTGGGTGCCGTACTCATCAATAATTTTGTCATTATCAATATGCTGGGTATCTTGGTATCTTGAATTCGTCCTCATCCCGCAATTGCGGCCATAAACATGCTCGCTTGCCCTGTTGCCAATAAATGCACTGTGTGATCCCAATTCAACTCTGGAGCTCAACGAAAACCATTGGTCATATGATCCTGGTATGACAATAAAAGCAATCGACGCGCCAGGTATATTTCTCGGATGCTGAGCATGGCTGTCTGTTGTGCGTAAAACACGTTGCTCTGGTTTCGAACCCGCAAGATCAATGAAACTCCATTCAAGAGAGATCTCACTGGCAATAGTTGGCAGGAAAGGGCCCTTTGGTACCTCTTAGCTCACCCTGCCACCAGTCGTCCGTACTTTCCGTCTTCTTGAGTACACGAATCCTGTCACCTTCCCGGAAGATCAGGTCACCCACACTCTGGCCGTCAAAATCGTACAAAGCTGTTACGAACAATGATGGTTGAGAGGGAAGTCTTGGAGGTGGGGGCGGAGGTCTCTTTTTCTGCGCAATAGAACTTGAAATGGCAGATGACAGTGATGTACTCGACGGCTGCCGGTCACGTGAGAAATAGTCGACGTTTGGTCCGGCAGGGGAGAAAGACATCGGGGTCTGATAGAGTGAAGTGGATGGCGATGGACTTGGAAGGGTCTCTTGAGGGGTTGGTGGAGAGAGTAATGACAGTCCGGATGGGGAGGAGGCAATCTTTGGTTTGTTATCGTAAGAAGGGGATGGAGGCAGGGCTCTGGCGGGAGAGACTGATTGCGTTCGATTGAAAGCTGATGTAGCACTGGGACGCCGATAGCCATTGGTATGACCTGGACCGTGGCCGTTTTCCTGATTCATGGGCATCCTAACCGCCTTCCCGCTGGCCAGGAAGGGCAATGACTCGGCTTCTTGCTGGACAGGTTTGAACGCATCATCCCACATTCGGATTACCTCATCCATCGGCGGGGCCGGGGAAGGGAAACCCTCCTCGGAGCAATAAGCATGTAACATGGTGTAGTAATGCCCCAAAAGACCATTTTGGATCTGAATCTGAGCAGCGAGGAAGTGAGGGAGCAAAGAGAAGACAGAGGTCAACAGACGGGGTAGACAATTCCTCAAATGATCATCTGCCGCTTGATATGCCTCTGTAGCAGCAGCCAGGTCGGCCTGGGACTTTAGCAAGGCGGCGTTATCCCTCTCGGAGCGCTTTGTTTTCTTGAGGGCACCGTCCACCCGAGATTGATATCTCTCAAAGTCCAGCTTTCGGTCTTCTCGTTTCTTGATGGTCTTTCTGAACAACTGCAGATCGTCTTTCGCGGACTGAGCAGGTTTAATCAGTCTCTCTTCGACTTGGTTGAGGTCTTCGGTCAAGTCCTTCTTCAGGTCGCCATACTCATTCCGTATTCGGTTTGTTCGGCGGACGATAGGTTCGGGGGTGAGAACAGCAACATGGCCGTGGTAGTCCTCGCCGGCCCCAACGATAGGATTGTAGAGAGCCTCAAACTCTTCGAAGATGCGATGCTGGTGGGTCAAGATGGAAACCCAGGACTCGCTCCAGGCTTTGGATGCTTCTATGATCTGAATAGGTAAGTTGGTGCAACAGTGAGTGGTTGGGAGGGCAAAGAACGGACCTTGGCCAACAAATGATCGGCCTCGTCAAAATCTTTGAGCAATACGGAGACATTATGCTCGTCAGCACTCCTCCTCATATATTTGCCAAAGTGCCGCTGAACGCTTTGCATTTTGGATCGACAGGCAGAACCAAGTTGTATGTAGCAAGGCAAGGCCCTTGCGATAGGTGGAGGGCGTCCAGATTGAAGGAAGGAGCGAAACGCGGAGGGTCAAGAGCCGGTCCACGAAGTCTCAAGGTGTGGAGATGGACGAGTTCGAGTAGAGGGGTGAAGACATGCAGAGACGGGTAAGGTGGATTACAGGAAGGATAGCGGTGGTGCTGGTAGCAGTGGAACTGGCCAGCAGCTGGGTCAATCGAGACTCGAGAGTGGTGGAGGCTTCAAGGTCACGAAAAGGTATCACAGTTGAGCATGAGAAAGGGTGGTAGTTGGAAGCAATTATGGATGAGATGGAATGGCAGAAAACAAGGCCGGGGCAAAATGTGGTGTTTTTATTACGAGTATCTCAATCACGATTTGAAGGCAAGGGTGGTTGGTGGCTTCAGTCCCCCTGAGAGGCAGTCCTGGGGATGATCATAACAAAGGACAATTGTTCAGTAGTGGACATTGGCCCCAATTAGACTCATAGTAACAAGAATAAAAGTATTGCCAGTGCAGGAGGAGCACCAGGGTTCGTATGTTCCGTTTCACTTCATTTCCAGGAATCCAGCCTCAACAGACGCGCGTAACTTGAAAGCCAACGGGTTTAATTGCAACTGCCACTGCCACTCCCACTGCCACCTGCCAAAAAACACCTGACCGAGCCTGAAAGTCACGGGCTTGGGATGGGGTCGTGCTTTGCCTGCCACCACTGCCCACTGCCCCCCGATGAGACTTTCCGCCCGCGGTACGATCCACTGTAGGATTACGAGCACCGACTAGGGAGATGCTTTCCTAATAATGGCATTCCAAGTCTTAACCTGATAAGGCCCTATTAACGGCAGCTTCCTTCTCAGGCTTACCTAACTTCCCTACCTGCTCGTAGGGACCGAGTTATTAGTGCCTGCGCCTGCCTGCAGTGGTACTTACAAGTTACGAGTACCTCAGTCGCGTCTCCATCGCGTCTCCCTCATCACCACCCGCAATATCCCCGAATGCGACGCGTTGCTAGCGACCAACGACATGCACTGTTGTATATCGAATCATGATGATTCAGTATTATCATGTCAACACTCACTTGCACTCCTATGTCCACTCCTAATCTGACCGTCGCTCCCACCCAGAATACTGCCCCAGTCCATGAATACCAATGCCTCTACACCCGCGACCTCCACAAAAAGGCAAAGAAATGGCACGATGGTTCTCTTCGCTTCCATACCTTCAACCAACGGGTCATGGTCTATGATGACTCCAAGAACTTTATTGGTGATCTTCACTACAGAGATACCGAGCCATTTGGAGAGGGTGTCGAGGTTCAACTGGATCGAGGTGTCAAGGTTGAAGTTGGTCAGCTCTCTGGTCGATCAGAAACCGATCTTTCCACCATCCTCGAAAGACCTCGAACTGAGCAACCTGCCCAACCCTCAAAGCTGTTGCCCTCACAAACCTCTCAGCGCCCTAAATCTTTGATTGAGGTCCTTGGTCCTTCCCAACGCCGCAACGGGCGCTCGAGACTACCACTACAATCTCCATACGAGCAACGTCAGTCTTTGAACGTCCATCATCCTGCTACACACCCTGCAAAACGACCCAGACTTTCAGCCGTCAAGGAAAATCACCAGCAGGCGGATGTCAATCCCAACAAGATCTCGAGGTCTGATGGGACACCTCAGTCTTTCCCTCCCACGCTGGCGGCTTCCAGTATTTTGCCCAGCCGCCTCCCACAACGGCCAATGCCTTCTTCAAGTATATGCTTCGAGGAGGTTATAGACATACTATCTGACGAGGACGCACCATCCCGCCCTCTGGCTCCAAGCAAAGCTCGCTCTGTACGCCAGACCACTTCCGAAGCACCCACACCTGCAGCAGCACCTTCAAAAGCGGTAATAACAAAACCCAATCTGCAATCCAAGCCCGCCCGGAAGGGAAAACCTGCACACCCCACGGGTATAAAGCAGAAAACCCGCTTGAAGGACACCCAGGAGCGCCCACAATCCGAAACCTCTCGTGTTTCCATGCCACCACGGCTTCCTGAAGCTCGCTTTGCACGACTCCTCTTACCGCAACATCGGCCTCGAGAGAAGTTGACTTGTGTGTTGTCAGGCTCACCTGGCCATCTGCTAAGCCGCCGTCCCTCAATTGCTTCTACTGCAAGCTCTGAATCTCCCCAGGAAAGTGTTCACTCACCTATACTGGTCGATACAAGCTCACCCGAAATTGACATTTCTGCTACCTCTAAATTTCAGATCGATCTCTCAGCCCAAAGAACTCCCAAGAATGTGGTGTCCAAATGCTCGCCTATACCTGTGGACCGCAGTGCCAGCTGCTCCAGTCCTTTGTTTGTCCCAGAGGACCATCCAAGAGCGCCGTCACCTTCGCCTGCTGTGATTGCGAGCCCGAACATTGCTTCAGCTAACACCATTGAGGCATCACCATCCACAGAGTCCAATAGAATTCAAAGCAGAGACCCAATTTTCCACAACGATAGTAGAGAAACACGTGGTCCTATTGTGGCAGGCTTCGAGATGTCACAGACTCAGCCCGAGCAAGATGAATCAGCTACAAGTCTCCTGCATGCTGGTCCGGTATCTTTCCCCATTGCGCATTCTCCCCCGCGGAGCCTTCGAAGGACGTACTCCGCAAGCAACGCCTTCGAGGACGAAGCCCTGAGTAAAGACTTGGGCGACATCACTGTGCCAAGGAGTCCATTGACGGTTCTAGAGAACCTGAGCAGCAGGCGTAGTCCAGTGAAGCGAAAATCACCTGCCAAACTCTCTCGATGTGCTTCTGATACTGCTGCAATGACATCTCATACCAACGTTTCTGTGCAACAACAGCTGGAATCAATTCCAAAGGATGAGATCGGGCCGTGGACGTCAGAAGAATCTTTTATTCTCTTCGATTGGTGGCCTTCGGCGTTGGAGACGCCCGATCTTTGGAAGTTTACAACAAAGGTGTTGCAACCGGTAAAGAGCTTGCCTCCCATCCCAGATTTCTCAGCCCGTATCACGACGGCACGACAGCTGCTCAACGATATTAGATGACTTATGACTATAGACAAAATGTGATATGCACACTGATTATGACCATTCTTTGATGATTTCTCACGAGCTCACCCCACCACTGTACCCAAACGTGGCCGAATTTCCGATATCTCGCTAAGTTGGTAAAGCCTCGTGGTAAATTACCACTGGTAATTGAAGGCGGCCTACTCCGATGCAAGGGTCCCCACAATATCATGCAAGCCAATCGGCAAGGAAGTTTGTATCAAAGTTCACCAAACGGGGGCCTCCAAGGAGAAAAGACTGTGCTTTGGGAGACGCTTATAAGATTGTGTAACTCTGCATATCACTCCCAACCGCGGCTATTCTTTCGTTGTGCGTCAAAGGTCAAAGGAACACTTTTGTTACCACAAAAGATTTGATCTGTGCTCATTCTACAGTGGCTGAAGTGTGAGTGAGCATATAACGATATGATGGCTACCTCGACCCTAAACCCTCAGCCTGTGCCCGAGGGCTCCAACAGTCACTTTGTGTCCTCTCGAAAAACACAGACTATTGCAGAAGAGGTTGAAGCATCTCAGATCCACCTTCGCAAGCGTCTTGACGGTGCACTGACAAGACCACCACCAGGTGTAAATGCTGAAGAACTTCCCACTGTACCTTTGATTGATATTGGCCCCTCGCTTGATGGCGATTTAGCATCTCGAAAGGCAGTGGCATATCAAATCCGGGATGCATGTGTCACGACAGGTTTCTTCCAGATCAGCAATCATGGCATTCGGCAAGAATCTATGGCACAAGTCGTCGAGCAAGCACGTCGATTTTTCCATGAACTATCGGACGAGCAGAGGCAAGCACTGCATATCAAGCATTCAGCACTCATGCGCGGTTATGAACCTCATGACGCAACGTATGTCAACACAGACGACAAGGGCGGTGCTCAGAAAGAAACGAAGGAAGGTTTCAACTGGGGTTATGAACAGGGTCTTGACCCTACAGGTGGAGACGGAAAGTACGTCGAACTTGATGGCACTTCTCCCGATAAGACTGGGTCAGGCAATGTATGGCCAGCAGAGCAAGACTTGCCCGGCTTTTACAATGGACTTGCGGAATATTATGGTCAGGTGCTGCAGGTGGCTCGACACCTCTTCCGTCTGTTTGCTTTATCGCTCGATCTTGAAGAAGATTACTTCGATCCAGCCACCACACATCCCGGCGGAATTGCAAGACTGCTGTACTACCCAGGCCAACCTGCGCTTGAAAAAGAACCAACCGAGGAAGAGGCCGATGCCGCCAACAAGCTTGGGCTCGGAGCGCACACCGACTATGAATGTTTTACACTGCTCCTCTCTTCATCATCAGGCCTCGAGATTCTCTTCCCACCCTCCCCCCTGACCAACGACCAGCCCATTTGGCGGCCTTGTCCTGTTCGACCAGGAACTTTGACCATTAACGTGGCGGATTTCCTGATGCGATGGACCAACGGACTGTACAAGTCGACGATCCATCGCGTTGTGAGCAAACCAGGTAGCGGCGAGAGATACTCAATCCCTTTCTTCTTCAGTATCAACTACGACAGCGAGGTAACCGCCCTGCCAGAGCGTTGTGTTGGTAAGAGTAATTTCCTCCCGTTAAAGGCTGGCGAGTATGTCCTAGAGAGACTGCGGGTTACGCAATAAAAGGGGTGGGCGATGGAAGGTTCGTAGTCCATTTCTCAATCTCGCAAAGGGCATATGCATGATGCACCGGATGCGTCTCCGACCTTGAGTATCTAGTATAATCGTTCATGATCAATGCTACTCTCTTAGGCAAGACATAACTTGGACCGTCCTATTCTAGCTCAAGTTGCTGCGTCACTGATTCTGTTGTCTATTCTCGGGAAGGAATATTGGGCGTCCCATGGACGCCTGGTGACAAGGAGACGCTCAGGCTGCCTACAAGTATCTAGTCACCACCCACTCAATGTTCTCCAACCCTTTCAGATACTACCAACCCCTTTTCTCCAGATCAAGTGTGCACCGGTCTCACGAAGCCTGCCATTGGCGGCCCTGCCCGCAACGAAAGAGCGACCTTAACAGTCCAAGTGCGAAATCTGCCGAACAACATATATACCCATCGACACCAGGCGTCTCAATCAGTACCTGGCTCAACCACCATGGCCGACATTACTCTCACGACCGCGAACTGGGCATACACATGGGCAATCTTCTACGCGACAATACTCCTGACGATATCGATCTCGACATTCACGCCGCTCGCACACACGGTATGTGAACAGGCCGGATTCCCACAGCCACGGGACCAACCACTGCACGTGTACGTGTACCTGTTCGCCGGGTGCCAGTTCATGCTCGGGTTGTCGCTGGCGGTGCTCGAGGCCGCGGGCGAGTGGCGCGCCGTCAGTGTCATTGTCGCTTGCGCGCTGCCCATGGGTCTGCTGGGCACGACGCTCTCGGCCGTGAAAGGCGGTCAGGGCTGCGGGACGGCTTTTTGGTCCCATGCCTTGCTTACCTCGATTGGCACGACGGCCGGCTGGAGGCTTTTGGTGGAGAATTGGTGACCGAGAGGGGTTGGATGGCGAGGGGAGGGAGACAAGCAAGGAAGGTGAGTGTGTGGGAGGAGTAACAGGGCCGCTTTGAATGTGAGATGGAACCGTGAGTAGGATTCGATTGGTGCCTTTCGACATGGATTTCTGCACGGGTATATCACTGGTGCCTCTGTTGGGGTCAAAGTTCGGATACATGAATTGTGAATAGCAGGCGCCTAAGTTGCTAAATAGCGAGAATCTTCACGTATATACTCTATCTTGCTCTCTGACATCTCGAAACCTTGACTCTATATTTTAGTATCAAATTATCACAAAGAGCATTCTAGTTTTAGTATCTCTAAAGTGGTATATATCATTGACTACGCAGTATAGCAAGTACTAATACTGAACTCCTTCCACGATCCTATATAAAATTATTCGTCACCTCAGTATCTTTACGAGGATTCGTCCTTAGAGCACCTCGGTATTAGAAACCTATCCACCAATCTACGACATGATAGAATAAATATATATATATATATAGACACACATAGATCTCAGAAGGCCGACGTATAAGATACTATGTCTGCAAGCCAAAGGAACGATTGGCCAGATGTACCGAAACCTTGAAATATGAAGGTTTGCCCATACGAATAACCGCGGGGAAAGGCTGTGCTGTCCCTCGGTCGAGACATACTTGAACAAGATTACTATACAACCATCGACGTTTGTCCACCTTCTGGGTCTTCTCTTGGTACTTCGGTATGTGGATTCAGACTCCTAGAGTTCGATGATCAATCAATCAGGTCGTCTCTTCAGGTCGTGTGCTTTTATGTACTGGCTCACTCCCCGCTCTTGGGAATGTCTGTGATTTATGGGGATTAAGACCGTGCATATACATATATATATGCTCCGAATACCCATTCACTTCACCTCGACTTGATACGTATCCAATATCCATAGATCAAGCAATCTCCCCTCTTCCCCCGTCCCCTATCCCTCCCAATCCTGCACTCATTCCTCGACCTCACCACCTCCAACCCAACCCAACCCAATCCAGCTCTCTATAGAGATACATGCACTACGACCCGTACCTCGCACCACGCCCACAGGACACAATGCCGCTCCGCGCATCAGTATTCGTCTCGCCACCGATCCCATGGACGGCGCCGAGCGGAAAAGTCGGCGGGCCGTGGTCCCCCATCTCCAGCACACTGATCCGGACCACGACATCGGCGGTTCTCGTCGACACGCCCATCACAGAGGCCCAAAACGCCTCGCTCGCAGACTGGATCGAGCGAGAACTGTCAAACGGCACCGAGAGGCCCGCGTCGCTTGACTACATCTACATCACGCACGGGCACGGCGACCACTGGTTCGGGACGAACGCGCTGAAGAGGCGGTTTCCCGGCGTGCGCGTGGTCGCGACGCCGGATGTCGTCGCGCACATGCGCGGGCAGATCGAGCCGAAAAGCTTCGCGCGCTCGTGGGGCAGCCAGTTCCCCAAGCAGATCGACATGGGATTTGTGCTGGCGGAGCCGCTTGCGGCGTCGGGGGAGTTTCAAATCAGGGACGGCGTGACGGACGAGACATTCACTCTGCGCGCCGTCGAGGTCGGACACGCCGACACGCACAGCAGCACGGTGCTGTGGAGCGAGGATCTGAAACTCGCGGTCGCGGGTGACGTCGTGTACGGGACGGTGCATCAGATGCTTGCCGAGGCCAACACGGCGGCGCTGCGGAGGGAGTGGATCCGGGCCATCGAGACGGTCGAGGCCCTGGGGCCCGTGGTGGTTGTCGCCGGCCATAAGCTCGCGGATGAGATTGATGGGCCTTGGCATTTGCGGAATTCGAAACGCTATATTGAGGACTTTGATCGGTTGATTGAAGGTGGTGAGGTCGGGAATGCTAGGGAACTGGTTGCCAGGATGAAAGGGTTGTATCCAAGTCGGTTCAATGAGGGTGCATTGGTGGCTGGTGCGGTCGCTGCTTTCAAGGTCAAGGAGAAGCAGAAGCAGAAGCAACAGGCCGGAGGAAAGTTGTGACCTTAAAATGTGAAAGCACCTGAATAATATCATGGAACTCACGAACTAATCGTAGTTTATAACACAATAAATATATCATTAACAAGAGCACTCTAATATATGCCCAAGAAGTGTGATTCGTCTCGGTCTGTGGGTATTGCTCAGAAACCAAGAGAGTTTCAAAATCGCTCAAATTACCTGGACGCCAGTGTGATGCTGTATGCTGAGTGCTGTACACTAAATAACAGACAATCGTCAACTCCTCAATTCGTTGAATATGAATGGCATTATCACTTGACAGGCTTTCCAGAAAACCAGAACACCCTGGACAAGACTCAGGGGGAACAGGAGAATGCCGTTCTCCATGATCAAAACCCAAATACTTAATAATGCGACTCTGTAGAAGTGATCGATGAGAACAAGAGGCTGACGAATGATGCCACCTAGAAGGGCCACTGGACCATCAATACAATTTCCGCCCCTCTGGAAATATCGGAAGCAGCCTTGCTGTAGATATTTGAGCTGCCAGTCACCTGCAGCGAAGAGTGAGTACAGAGCTTGGGCCAGGATGTTGATGATGGATGTTAGATTTTTGCGACGCCAATGGAAGGCGCGGAACTGCTTGCGAACCATGTCGGTCTGAGCGAGGTCTGGAACGGACTGAGGCGATAGTAATTCGGAGATCAAGACCACATCATTGAGGGCTACTGTCATACCACCGCCCGTGAGTGGGTGACGCATATTTAGAGCGTCCCCCAGTATGGCGAAGCCAGGGGCTTTGTTGGTTGTTGCAGGCAGCAAAGAGTTTGGCATGCTCCGAAGAGGTCCTTTCTCCAAAGCAGCTCGGAACGATGGTTGAACTTGTTCTGGGAGCGAAGGTAGGACAACCCTTTCCAGATGGCCTTTGACACCTCCATTGGCAGTGGAGGTAGATTCAAGACCCTCCGGGATATCTACTAGCGCCCTCGTTTCATGTGTGCCAATCTGATAGAGCAAGACTGGTGCGTTATCACCCAGGCAGACAATACCATTCTGCGGCGTAGGCAGAGGACAGTCGATAAGTTCGAGACCCCAAAATTTGGATTTGACTTGTGGTGCGATATGATGATATGATTTTCGGAATTTTGAAGCATAGCCATCGCAGGCGACGGTCAAGGACGCGAAAAAGAAGTCCTTTTGGGTTTTTCGAGTCATGGCTTGGACACCGAGTATTTGGTCGGTATAAGTGGAAGAGATTAACGTAGTAGCCTCAGTCTCGAAGACCGTTATGTTAGGGTGCGCCAGGGCAGCCCCTCGCAACTTGGAAATGAAACGGCCGTGGTGGAAAGCTCTCCCCTCGGGTCGCCGGTGGGGTTTGTGTTTCTCTGAAGGCGGATTTGCATATAGATCACCAGCGGCGTTGGCAGGGTATGGGATCCGAACATTCTCGTCGTAGTATAGTACAGTATAGCCAGTGACAGGGATGGCGTCAATGTCATCAAGAGTATGGCGCAAACCCAGTTTGGTCAAGGCCTCGACACCTCCGGGTTGAAGTAATTCACCAACGATACGATCTGGCTCTTTTAAAGATCTCTCCAACAATATGACACTCCGGCCTTGATTTGCAAGGGCAACTGCAAGGGCACAGCCCAAGACTCCAGCGCCGATGATCAAAACATCGGCATCGTGATGGATCCTCCTTCGTTGCTCTTGGGCATCTACCGGGGTCTCAATAGAGGATTCGGAGGATGAGTCGAGGATGAGCGGCATTGCCGAATGATGTACAATGAGGCGAGGAGAGAATATCAGTCTTCACTCATGTGGCGGTCAAGGGTGGTGGAAGATTAAGGAAAGGAGGAGGGATTGATTGAAGATTAAAACAAGTTGACGCAGATAGCACGAGCGACAGGCGTGGTCTGAGATGTGGTGTGAGTAGTAGTGGTAGTAGCGGCGATGATGATGGTGAGTCCTCGTACTTTGCGGCGGTCAGACTCACGGTGGATGGTGGATGCGTAGCGAGTGTAGACGCAAATGTTGGCCACCAGCGGAATTATTGTAGCTTGAATGAAATCAGATTAAGAAAGGCTGCATGGTCTCGAAATTCTGAGAGGGAAAGCGCGATTGAGTTGAGAAATCTAGTCACGTCTAGCGTCTCCAGAGAATGGCGAAGGGCCAACCAGGGCTACAGACAAAGATCCTGGACGCTGGGGTTGGTCAGGGTGGTCAGGCCATCTTTTGGTGCATTTTGCACATGCAGGAACCCTTTCCATCCAAGATTTCTCAGATTCCGAGTGGCACCAGCTTCATTCTCTCCGGGGCCGTAACTACGGCGGATCATACAAGAACAATCCTCACGATTACGGTGGAGTATACCATCTCTCATCACACATATCTTGGTGACTCGGAGAGGGCGATCAAGATGCAAGGAATGCTCGGAGTAGTTTAACAATAATGGTTCACTGCTCTTTAGTCTGCTGTGCCTCTCATCGCGAACTCATTGCACACGCTCTCCACTCGTTCTTCCACCGCCCCTGGTGATTTTTTTCGTCGTGTATTTCTCTTGTACCCCCAATCCATAGCTCCTTCTTGTCTTCTACATCGCCCTAGTGAGAACAAAAATGAATTCCCTCTTCGTCTGGGATGGCTTGCCGAGTCCATTTGGTACCAATCTTTTTCACCTGGACGCCATCGTATAGGAATTGTAACCTCTTCGACTGCTCATCAAATGCTGTTCGAATGATGGTGTCATCATTCTCGCCTTGTCCCTGCTGAACTCCTTCAGAAAGTCCTGTATCTGTAATGCCTCCCATGCCACTCAATCTGCAGGGATCATGCAACCTTTGTTCCTGGCTCACGCGCTTGCACCTTGAGCAGACTGTGCTCGTGCTACATAGACAAACGCCAAACAATTTTGGTGCCTCATAATCCAAAAAACATATCCCACTAAATGCTTGCTGTCGATATGTCAAATCTCACTGTGACTGCAGCACAGGAAATCAGCTTCTAGTTAGGAAAAGTACATTGATGTGCTCTCCCACGTACTCTTTGCATCCTATCCTGCTCCATCACCGTACCTGCCTTATGCTCAGTCTCTGCCCGAGGGGGCTATTAACATCCACAAAGGAGCCCCTAGCCACCTTTCCGTAGGGACTCATTTTCAGGTGGTGTTTCACCTCCAGAATTGTTGAGTCCTTGGGTCTCCGTGACGGGCTTCACTACCTTCTTGTTCTTCTTCTTTTTCTTCTGAGTCTGCCAGGCACTGTTCGAGTTGATGTTGTTCCCAGAGCTCAAAGCGAGACCGTATGTCGGTAAAGTCCCATTTGTTCTCGGGCCCAATACCTTGTCCTGTCCATGAAAGGTTCCCTCTCCGCGGAGAAGAGGTGACGTAGGTCTGGCTGTCGTCTCGGGAGAGTCGCTCATCGACCTGTACCCTTCCACTTTGGGCGACGGTGTGCGAACCTCCTCAACTGAAGAGAGCTTACGATCCAATGGCCAAGCTCCATTTATCGTTAACCTGGATAAGCCAATGCCCGTCAGTGCATCCGAGTCGATTCGTCCCTCCACGCCGGACAAGTCCTCTCCAAGTTTGATCGGTTCCTGCAGTGGTGGATGGCCCACGGGAACTCCGTTTGCAATCGATTTCTGCCCCACCTTGAGTTGAATTGCCCTAGGACTATGAGATGGACTTCGTTCCCGAGCAGTGAAATCAAGGGCGTCCTGTGACTGCTCATCGGAGCTTGAAGGCGTGTCGAAAGCAAAATCCTCCGACGTTGAAGCACTCAGATTCATTTGCTCGTCGAGATCATGCGCCAAATGATTTTGGCGTCTCCTTCGAGGCGAATTGATAGATCCATCAACTACCAAGGGGCCCGTCCTTGGCTTTTCCACCTCTACTGCCGAATGTTCATTTTGGTTCGCTTGTGAATCTCCTCCAGTTGTTTGCATACTATCATTGCTGGCTGACTGCGATGAAGGGCCTTGGGGAGCCTGAGAGGCTCGTATTGCCGCCGATGCTAGGCGAGGAGATAGTCCACCGTTTTGAATCGCCAAGCCGGCATGTGAAGGGATGGGTGATATAGTCGTACTTTGGGTATAGGCAGATAAAGAGGGGGATTGACCAACATAGTATCCAAGATACTCAGCCGGTCGTCGCCCTGCGTCATGCATCGAGCCAGACAACCCGAAAGCATGTTCTACGCCGCCAGCCACGTGCTCATGGGAAGTCGATGAGGCGGACGACCTGCGTCCGACAAGAGAATCATGAAATCCGGGGACATCTGGCCTCGAGTGAAACTGTTGAAGCGAAGAGATTGGCATCACCCGAGCTGGCTGTGAATGGGCTCGCAAAGATCCGCCGGTGGCTGATTGTGTCAGCGAAGTACGCCGAGAGAACCTCCTACTATCAGGATACACTGTGTTGACCCGGGGAGACGGCGGGTCGGTAGCGACGCCTTGAGACGAGTGAGATGCCATCAAATAGGGCGACTGGGGGGTGAAGCGTTGCTGGTATAATGGTGCCGATAGAGGCGCGCGCCCCACACCATTGATTTGGCCACTCGTTGCATCCAGGCCATCCTCATGACTGACAAATGACGGATAGCCCGTCACTTGGGTGTATCCTGATCCAAGAAGGCCCCGCTGCCGGAGTTCTCGCTGATGAAGCTGCATCCTCAGTTCCTGTTCTTGAAGCTGCAGATACTGGTATTGCTGGAATAGCTGGTCATGCAGGAGATGTTGCTGATGTTGCTGTTGAGCCTGCAATTCCTGTGTCGTCATTTGAAATGGCAAATTGCGAAGATAGGTGGAGGCACGTCCAGAAGGGTTTGATGATCTTCTGCCATTGACGTTACGATTTGTATGACTCGCATGCCTCCCCCCTCGTGCCCCATTTCGACCACCTCTTGATGGTTGCGTGGGTGCCTGTGGGATTACCGGACGGGAGGACGGAGGAACGAATATATCAGAGGGTTTAATCTCTTCAGGGGCGTGCACGAATTGTTCGCAAGACGCATCAAGCTTCCCCTGTCCAAGGAGATCAAAGGCACGCCGCAGCTCCAAGTGAATTCCGCGCATGGATGTGTCATCAGCCGTGTTGGCGAGGTTTCGGGAGATGTTGAAAGGCTCTTCAACACAAAGGCGATTATCCTGCAATAAATGCCAGGATTTCTCAACTTTTGGTAGCACTTTGCCGAGTCGTACCGACACCACATTGTGCTCGAAATCTAGCTCGTGGCCGTAATATCGGAAAAAGTGAAAGAGAAGCTCTCCCAAGGATGACTTGCTCCGAGCACCAAAATTTTCATAGTTGGCTGTGTCTCGATCAAAGGACACGTTTACTCCAGCCAGCAACTTGGGTTCCAAGGCCGCTTGCTGCAAGGCCGGCAACACTGGAGGATCGCGAGTTTGGAGGAAGTTTAATGCAAGGCAAATCCATGTATAGGAGCTGAGAGTGCCTCCAAGGGCTATGGGGGTATCAGTACAACTCATCTGGATTGGGGTAAATTGTGACCTACCAGCATCATTCAATATTCTGCGCTTGGCCCAGTATTTGATGATCATCGCCAATGGGCGTACGCGACTATCAATCGCGACGTACGTCCGCACCATCTCGGTATTTTCCAATGCTAATGGGTTGTTGACGTTGATGTCACACGCAACCTGTAATTCTGGATCCCAGACCTTGACGATCGGTACCTTGGCGCTTGAAACGCAGACGACTCTTTCCATACCATTGTTTGCAAGTAGCTCAGCAATTGAGCAGACATGTTCTAACTCCTTGCAGTCCGTGGTGATACAAATGTCGACATCAGAGTCCGAAGTCCCCAGATTGTTTCCTGTTGACCCGAAAACATTGACGGTAATCGAGGAGTTTGGCCAACGTGCCAAAAGGATGCGCTTTAATTTTGCAATAAAGTTTGACCGGCGTTCTTCGCTCTCTGGTGTAGGTTGGAGATCTTGGTAGAGTTGTGTCATCTGTTTAGTCAACTTCTCGTCCTCCTCATGAGTCAACCGCGATTTCAGATCCCCTTTGTCCTTGTCCAACGGTTCGGGCCCGAGTGAATAAGGAACCCGCCGTCTTGCCCTTGCCATACCGGTCTCATACTTGCAACCTCCATAACGTTTTCGTACAGTGGGTGGAGTGTGACTCCTGTCTGAGGAAGGTTGTGAGCGAGGGGACCCGTGTTTCAAGGGCTGGTCTGGAGAAGGAGAATTTCTCAGGTCTGATCGAGACTGTGGGCGTTGGAAAGGAGTCGAAGGCATAGATTTGGATTGTGTAATTTGTACAGGCACACTGCGGTGGATAATACCAGAACCCCTCTCCATCGTAGATGAAGAGAGTGCTGAGGATGGTATAGTCATCGTCGAAGAGGCAGACTGTCCATCATTTTTCGACAACGGGCAAGTCATAAGACTGCTCAGACGGTGCAGTTGTCGAAGTGTTCCGTCGTTTTCCGTCACGTCGTCTTCAAACAATTGGTGGATTGTCAGAGCTCTTTGTGGGCCACTCCCTTTCTATGCAAACGCGCCAGTAGCCGAACGGGGCCTTGAGCTGGCTTCGAGAATTTGGGCGAACTGTAGGACGGTCCGGTGGCGAAATATGGCAGTTGGTCGGAGCAACGACGACGGGGACAGAATAGACGTTTGGGAAAAACCACAGAGAGGATGTCGAGACCCTTAGGGGAGGCCTTCAAGGCCAGGTGAGAAAGTGGTGAAGAAGAGTGTTGCAGGATCTGAGTAAGCCTGTCGCTGCCAACGAGGCGGTGGCTATGACAAGGAAATAGGCTGGCGCAGGTAGTCTAAGTCCTTTGATCAGAATACAGGGAGCAGGAGGTACTGAGATGCAAGACCAACTCTCGAAATAGAACGAGGGTTTTGTTTGAAGTCGTTGGACTGAGACAGGTGAAATTGTGCAGAATCGGGGGGTCCTTGAGGGAGAGGAGAGTAGCGCAGTTTGTGAATTGCAGAACTGAATATGCTTGGGAAAGCAATATAGAAATTGTAGACGCGTGTTGAAGAAGGGATGAGAGGAAGAAAACGAGGCTGAATGCCAAACAAAAGGGATTGTAAGAAGAGGAAGATACAGAAGTAGGATGGTGGTTGGAAGGGTGCAGGAGTTAGTTAGTAGCGGTGTTGGTAGTGGTAGAGAGTGGTGCAGCAGCGGTGGTGTTAGATGGTGGTGGTGGTAGTGGGTAGTGGTAGTGGTAGTGGTTCCTGCAGTGGCTGCCGCAGATTACAAACTGCAGTGGCACTGGCAGTGCTTCTTTCAAGTTGTCAAATTGGGGTTTGGATTACACCTGCTCTGCGGACTGCAGTTGCACTCGGACCTGTGAGTCGCAGTGGGCAATGGGGCAACGGGCAATACCTAACTAGTTAGTGGGCAGTGGAGGTTTAGTTAAGGATACTCCGTAAGGGTACCTCGTACTGCTGCTCGCACCCAGGTACCTTGGTAGTCAGGGCCTAATTTGAACCTGCACCTGTGCCTTTAAGTTTAGGTGCATTCTAACCCGCAACATATTCACGTTGCCCGTGGGCACAACCCTCGAACCCTGCTGCTCCCACCAACGGGCTGCCAAGCGTCATTTGTGACTGACCTCAGACTTGGAGCTGCCTTGTTCTTTCACCGATTGACTCAGACGTATACGCCGATTCCTTGTCTTCCATGTGTAGGACAAGTCAAATGAAACTACGAGCATGAGCACCAGCACGAGTATTTGTTCATGCTGTGTGTCATTTATCCGGTACGGATCTACTCTGTACCTTGATCCTTGGGCATGAACCCTACCTAGGTAGGTACCCAGGAGTCGGCGTCACACCCCAAATACCGTACCCAACTGAGGGTTGCTTTCACGAGTACCTTGGTGATGATGGATTATGTCATATGCCCCTGATTCCGCGCACTGTTCTCTATTCCTGTCCTGCACTTTCATCGTCGAGCCAAAGCCTCCCTGATCAGACTCACCTTCTCTAATCAGTCAGCAACTGGGCAATAATGACGAGCAATATCGACGAACCGCCTAGTGGCCGGCCCGTTTGAAGTTCAATGATAGGCCTGTTGGTATATATCGCTGACATCTAGTAGGTCAAGTCCACGGTGTAGCTCGACGGCTTTTATTGCTGCGCCGTCGGTTCCCAATTGCGGTGAAGGCTGTACGCCGACACTCTAAATACTGCATTACAGGTCTCGACATCAGTGGCGCGTGAGTGCCTCTCGATGAAGGGATTGCCCAAGAGCGCAATATTGCGAATACTACTGAGTCCTCAGTGCCCCAGAACACTCATTCAACTGTGTTGTCGCGACTTGTAAATAGCTTCCGCCAAAACGCGTCAATTTCCTTTCAGCGTGTCGTGCCGCAATCAACACGTGCTACGACCCCGAATTACACTTGGCCTAAGCCCGCGCTAAGTCACGCCTCCTTGAGCCCACTTTGCCAACCGAAGATCTTCAAAATTGAATTGACATCCCTCACAGTTCCCATCAAATTCACTTGACATTATGCTGTCAACCAGCCGTAGCGAAACAAATCCGATTTCAATAGTAGCACTCTCCAAGGATCGCAGCTGACAAGGTCCAGAGAGTTGCCCGAGCAGGATTTACTGATGTGTGATAATGTGCTCCCTATTTTAGCTTCAGGTTCTTCGGGACGACTTGGTTCCAATAATAGTACCGCACCATAATTGCTCCCGGCTGACTCTCAAACGGGAACTTTTGTCCTTCACCATCATGATCTTAGACGATGAAATTTCACGTTCCACCAATTGGCTCATTCTCTTTCCAGCGACAGTTCGACGTGGGAAGACTATTCATAGAAGTAAGTTACAAGACCTACTTTGCATGCATACAAATACCCTATACTCGGTACATCAGACCTCAGCAGATCTGTTGGACAGATTTCCCCACAAGTATCCTCCCACACTGAATGATGGGGGGTATAATTCATTGATGTACGAGGTACTTCAAGTTCCATTGGGTTCTGAATCTCGGATCGAAATGCAGCCAGAAAGTCAATGGTGCACATCGGTACCACATCCGCGACAACGTCACTCAGATATGATTGCAGTAATCAGAATCGAAGCGCTTACAGCTCGAACCTGATGGGGTCTTTGTGCTCAGGATCCTGATAGCGACTCCGTGCACCCGTTTGTTTCTACAACGTGGGAAAGGCCGAGGACGGAGTCAGCAAAGTGCCCAGCTCTGTACGTTTGGATGGCAGCTGAGTGCCAGGCATCTGCCCGCAGAGTGGCCTATTGAAGGCTGGTCGTTGTGCGATAAGCCAACCCGCCCCAAGAAGCAATATGTCGAGCATGAGATAGATGCCTTACCTATTCACGGTCTTCTGGATTGGACTTCGCCCTGTCTCGAGAGAGTCTATCGGCAAGTCATCGAGCAGCCTCTCAATTTCCCATATGGAGAACAATTGTGGTATATCTGCAAGTACAATAATATCTCTCCTAGGATCGAGTTGATCACCGAGCCTAGGTATGTACATACGTGTGGACTGTTCTAATCTACGTGATATCTGGGCCCCTCTAGTCTATTAACACTTGGGCAAAGGACTACTCAAGAAGGCGAGATATGGGACTCGGAAACAGACAATGGCACTCCAGCACTGTAGCTGTGGCATCACTTCAGGATCGAGGCGTGTGGTGCGTGTACGCAAAGACTCCGAAGTCAACATTTGAAATCAGAGATTTATTACAATCCTACACAGCTACGAGGTAGGTATGTATCTACCGGAGGACGTGGGTAGTAGGTAGCCACCTTGGTACGAGGTACGATACCACCCTTGTTGATTATCAGGCGACAGAACCGACCTTGAGTGGTAAGGCTAGTTGAGAGCAGTCGTGGCTAATAAGCACCATGTGGGTAGTGCTGGGGGATGTTTGTTCCTTTTGTTTTCTAGCTGGCTGCAATCTGCGTGCCGACGACTTGAGCAGCAAACCGAGCCATGGGTGGCAATGTGTATGTGTACCGAGTATTCGAAACTCAGCGCCATCACTACCTCGTGCTGGCACTTTAATTGATGGACTGCGAATGTCCTCAACAACTTCAATTCAATGTAAATTGGTGACTTATGAGCAGGACAAGGAGAAGAGGGTGCTTCACTCGCTCTGGTCCCACTCGTTATAAATTGACGCTCAAGCCGAGCTTGCCCGTACCTGTTGATACCGTAGTACTTGGGACCTACCTGCCTAGGTATTTAACTCAAGCACTTCTTCGGATAGGCGCCGCGGGCACTACTGGGCACAGGGAGTATTCGGAATCTAGCAACCTGAGGGTGCCTGAGCCCGTGCCCGTGCCCGTGGCCATGCCCATGGGAGAGTTACCTACTGACTGCCAGGTTTGGGACTCGTAAAGTTGAACCGCTCGAAGGCTCTCGGCTTTGGACCTTCTCCATTCTCCTCAAATTTCTTTTCTCCCACCCTCTCCACCTTCGCCATCAATTAGCACCACTGCCAACTGCTGCATCCGATAACTTTTTCCTCTTTTCATTTTCTGTGCCTCGCTTCTTTCTTTTCTTTCGATTCCTGACTCAAGTTGCCCGTGCATCCGTGTGCCTGTGTCGCCCGAACCTCCATCATCACCTTCTGCAGGCTTTGCTTCCCTGTGGTGCTGTTCCTCTCCTCCGTATCTAGGTATCTTTCTCCGGTTCCTCTTCGTAAGTAAATTTGCCTCCCCCGTGGTGCCTCGGGCAATTCCACCGATTCCTGTCCTCAATGCGTATCCATTGGTTCGAGGGTGGCCGATCCTGATGAAAAATGGCCTTCTCTCCCCACCTAAAACCTCGCACCAGACACACCAAACCACTTCAGAAACCACCCCCTCTTTCTTCTCTTTGCATGCGTTTTCCTTCCCAATGCTTCCATTCACTGACCTTGCTTCTATCATAAGGCGCATCTATTCATTCTAATCATTTCGACCAGCCACTCGTATCGTTACCCAACACCCGCCGCTACGGCTCTTGCGCCTCGTTCTTGTTGTCTATAATCCAAAAATAAGCACCATCTCACCTTGTCCCTGGCGGACCATGTCCTACTACGAACCACAGGCATGGCAGGCGCCTGTCCGACAGGCTTCCTGGGAACAACCACCCCCTCCATCAAGATCAGGTACGTACCTGCCGCAACCATCCGCTTCCGCATGCTCACAAAATGTCAGGAGCCAGCTCCACTTCACAGAGAGAAGACACAACTGCATTTTCCATCCAGTTCGAAGGTGCGTTACCCTATCCCAATGCGAGCATCCTCCTGATATTAATGCTGAGTAGAGGTGGATCGAGCTGTTGATAATCTCTTGAAGAGCGGGAAGTTTTATTCCCCATCGCCCCGAGCAGGCTCGAATCCTGGCTACAGATCTGGCAATGACTATGGTACCGTTAACCATCCCTTGGCCAATGTGAAAATGTTAATATTGTGCAGCGCATCGAGCACATCATGGTAGACAGTCTGTCGGCGATTTCGATCCCAGCCGCCCACACTCGGGTTCAAACATGCAAAATTTCTACGCATCTCAGCGTCACCAAGGTCATCAGGGTCACCAAGGCCACCAAGGTCATCAAGGGAGACACAACGATGCTGATCAAATGCTACAAGCGAAACGGAGAATGGCAGCCCAGCGAGAGCGAGAGCTCCGTAATTACCATCAGGAACAGCAGTATAATCGAAGTAAGAATTAGCATCAACATCTACCATACAAGCGTTGCTAAGCTTACACCAGGTGTTCTAGCAGAAATGTCGTCCAACAAGTCAGACCGATCAATGAGCCCGAGTACTCTCAGTGAGGAGGGTCGCCGCGATCTGATTGCACGCCAACATCGTGCACTCTATGGTGGAGAGGGAGCTGCCTTCGTGGGTCAGACTCCGTATGGTATCGAGGACATCAACACCCGAGATCAACCTGGTAGTACTCCAGCCAATACATCGACTGTCGCTCGAGGTACTTCTCCACGATCAGCCGATCCTTTTGGTGCTGCCGGACAGTCCTCGCAGACCGATCAAAATACTGCCGCAGGGCAAGACGCTTCGAGGCCCGAAAAAGCAGGCTCTCCTTCAGGCCAGGCCGCTCCAGGATTTGGGTCTTTCGATGCTCCAACTCAGTCCTCAGTCGGCAAGTCGGCTAGCCCAACATCCGGGGAAGAAATCTCTCACTCGAGACAGATTTCGAAATCGACGACAGCCCCTATATCTGGCGGTATGGGTCCAATTGGCTCAAGGCCAAATGCTCAGCCGGCACCTAACCAGTCGCTAAACAAGCGTACGACCTCTCCTCTACCGTCCTCGTTAAATTATAACTTCGGAAATAACGAACAGATCAACGATCGAGCTCCATCATCAAATTCAAACTCGAATGCGCAAAAAGAATCTTCTCCAGGTTCGGGCATGGGAGCTTGGGGCACCGGAAGCGGTGTCTGGGGAAACAACAAGATTGGTACAACGTCTGTATGGGGTTGAATGATTAACGAAGAAACGAACGGAGCACGAAGCGTGTTGTATGCATGGGATCGTGTTGTTATTCCAGCATGTCTTCGGTGTATAGGGCACTCCATGATGACGGAGATTTGTTATGCATGCTGCGGTCTGTTTGATGCTCTTGCATAGCGTTTATGGGAAGGTCACTTCTCATTAGGTTCATTCGTTGGGGCCAATTGTGGAGTTTGTCATGTCTCCGTGTGAGGCAATGAGTGGGTCTAGGGTGGTTGTGAATATAAAAAGTGGTTGGCAGAGGATTTTCAAGCACGGACGTTGGGCATAAGCGGTTGGGGGTAAGGAGAGATCGGAGCACTCTTGCCGCTTCTCTTGATTCTTTCTCGTTTTCTGCTGCTATAAAAAGTTGGGGTCTTCAGATATCCCATTCTCATGTATGGATTGGTTTTGCTTGAATGGGCATGACTATCAGGGTTGTTGTGGGCTGTTTGGCAGGCTTTGGCAAAGCATGGCGTTGTTGGTCTTGTTTTCCTTTATGGTCCTCGGTCCTTCTGATTATGTGTTGGGGTTGGGATCTGTTTGGTCATTCATGAGCAGAAATGGTCTGTTGTGTGCTGCGACTGATTTTGGGAGTTGCGAAAAAAGTGGTTGAGACTCAACACCCTGCGTAATTGGAATGTGCTTGTCATTTTGAGGTTGGGTTCCTGATGAATCGGTGGGATTGGTCTTTGGAGGTCAGGTTTTGGATGCCATATATTTGGGTTGTCACGCATCTCCTTCACAAGCAGGTTATGGCTTTCTGAAAGGAAGGCACATGGGGAAGCGAAACAGCGCGCTTGTGAAGGAGCTATAGATACCCAAATTCTTCATTTTTCCCAAAGTTTCTCATCCTTGAGATTTCAATCCCGATCTTGGATCATTCTCGTCGCCTTAGTTGCACTCTTCAACCCCCACGATTCAACTCACGCGGGCATTGCAACATCGCCGTCTGAAACGAACAAGGCCTTCGACCCGGTTTTTCCTCATCATTCAATACCAAGCGACCGTCGCGCGGCGCTCATGGCTCTCCCTCGCCAACTCAATAACTCGGATGCCATCACGCGACTCCCCAGGCTTGACAGCAAGAGGCGCTCCGCCACGTATCGCGTCCGCCACGTTCTCATAGAAGCCCAGCCATCGCCCTGGGACCGTCGGGTACCGTGCGCTGTATGTCTTGGAGAGCGCGTCATACGTCACCTTGGAGGTTGCTGGCTCTCGGGGCAAGATGTCGCTGGGGTCGGTGCGGCTGGTCAACAGGCCGTATAGGTGTTCGGGCTCACTCCCGAATCCCGATGATGTGGGCTTCTGGCCGTCGAAGATCTGTTGCTCTTGTGCACAGGTGCCGTGCTGTTATACCGTGGAACAGGGCTGATCAGCTCAAACAAATTCGACAGAGTGGATATTTCCTGATTTGCTTCGGGTAGTCGTCTCGAGTGATCGAACTCACCTTGACAAATGTACCCCCCGTGCCTCGCACGAAATACTTGAGCTGGTCGGCCATCGGCGAGACGATGTTGGTTTTGATCGTGACCAGCAGATCTTGTCGTGGAGCGCCGTACTGCAGGATGATCGTGAAGGTGTCGTCGATGTCACTCTCGACGCCGCGAAGGGCGCGGAAGAACCCTGTGACGGACTCAGGGCGTCCGAAGAGAATGAGCGCTTGGTCGATGGTGTGGCTACCTGTTTGTTGTTCTTGTCAGTGGTTCGTCTGGTTGATTTGGAAAGCGGCCTTTGCAGTGGTGTCGTCGTTTGCGATGTCGAGGCTGGCTAAGGTTGGCTGTGGAGCTGACTTACCCAGACCGAATGCCATGCCCTGTCCGGGCGAGTATTCCTTGCCGGTCATACGTGCCACCCACGGCGGAGAGTCAATGTCATAGTGAATCTCGGCTTCTTTGATCGTTCCCAGAGCATCTTTGTCAATCAGAGCCTTGAGTGTTTGGAAATCTCCGTCCTAAAACGAGAGAATGGTTGGCTTTTTGGTCATTGGAAAATGGTTCCCGAACCTGCTTGAAGTGGAAGAAGGGCAAATCATGAAGCTGGGGGAGTATACCCATCTCCGGTTCTGAAAAACGGTCAATACCAAGCCCTTCTCCTGGGCAAGGGAAATCAGTTTATCTGCTTCCTCAGTCGTTCGTGTGAACGGCTTCTCGACCACGACTAGTTAGTGCACAGTCAGCATCCCGAGCATTTGCATCTTTGTGGTTTGGGGGATAACGACCATGTTTTCCTGCAAGCAAAGCTTGTTCAGCAAACGAAGTATGGGTATCTGTATGGCTGCAGACGACCACCAGCTCTACATCAGGGTCCTTGAAAAGCTCATCCACTGTTCGATAATGCTTCGCCTCTGGATGGTCCACCGTGCAATGCGAGCCGGGCTTAGCACCAGCCTTGTCACTGGGTGCCTCTGCGCGCTGCACGAAGCATGCGATTTGTAGATCTGGATGAGCAGATATGAAAGGCACATGGAAGCACTTCGTTGAGAAGCCGTACCCTATGATCCCGACTTTGATTGGTGCCATGTCGGGCTTTGTCTGGTTTCGCCAAATTTTTAGATACAGGTAAAGTTCAGCTCAGGCTTCCAGCTAGTCGGGCGTTAGTGACCATGGCAAGGAAGTCGAAGGCTTAGGAGCCAGATGACTTTTGACCATTGCCCATATCGTACACCTCCGTAGAATACCCTGGTTGTAGTATGAACTTTCTGTCATTGACCCTGGCTTGTACGCATCATCCGGCTAAATGCAGGGAAGCATTCAGCCGGATTTTCGTTCTTTTCGCAGGTGAAGTGCTCACGGAGAAATCTGGAAATGGCAAAGCGGGGATGCAACAGGCATGGGGAAGAGGGATAGGGCTGGTCTGGATTGCAGACCGAGATCTGATTGCAGGTCGTTTACATAGTATGTGGAAACACTGTTGCACAAGCGTTGATTAAGATCATCGGGGAAGCCAACCGTGCTCTGCCTGAGTAGATGAGAGGTAAAAGTGCCGATGAAATACTAGATTCGGTCAGACTGTGCATTTCGGGTTTTTCAAATGGGCTCTGTTCTTTGATTTCACTGGTGTATTGTACAAGGAGGCAAGAACGGTATTGGAACTCCCTTTTGGGGAAGCATCATAAGGCACGTTGAGCGACAGGGTGTTCTGCACCGGGACATTGTCTGTGGTTGGACCAAGCGACAACCTATGCTGGCAGACCTCTGGGATCCAGTGGCTCCTCTAGTGCGCAAAGCTCGACTATCATCTGCAGCCTGCACGAGACTGCGAGGCTGAATACTGGGCAGGACATCCTTATATGAACATACCCTCCCCATATATCTGAAGATAGATTAAGTCACAGCTTCCTCCTGCATCAGTGGCAGTCTCACATGTGCAGTGCGAGAGACATCTCAGTCGCCGAACCCGGCCGAGGTATGCTCCACCTCCAGAGCAGAAAATGCAATCGAAGCATCACCTAATGAACGAAACGTCATGGCAGCGTGGTGAAGTCGATGCTGTGCTTGGTCGAACCGGTAAAGAGTCAAGATCGCTTCTAGTAGAGAAGAATGAGGAAAGCGGAAGGTCAAGTGCTGGTGGGTGTCATACGAGCCAGAAATGGGTCGAGCAAGAGAAATGCATGATGGAAGAACTGGCTCTGCGACCAGAGAAACAGGACACATACATTAATGTCGGGCCGAATGCGCGCTCTCTCTCTCACTCGCGTTTTCGAACATTTGATACTATAGAAATTGTGCTCTTGCGATATTGGGAAGCGAATGAGACATCCGAAACATCCGCAGTCAGATGCTCGTGTTGCGTTGAGCGTATCTGTCATGACAGATTCCTTAACAGCAAGAGCGACATGAAAATAAATGGCAGGTTCGTCAATTGAGACACATTTTCTCGTAATAAGGAGTAAAAGTTCCACTCTGTAAAGCCTGGACTGTGGTGGTCTGATCGTTCAGTCTCGTCGTACTCGTAAGAGCCTTAACTAATCCCCACTGATATGAGAATCTGTTGAGACTCGAGAGGCGAGAACCTTAGATCTTGTGGGTATTCTCAGTCCACCCCACAAGAAGGGGTATTGCCCATGGGGGCCATACTCCGTAAGGTGGCAAACGGCGCTTGGGCAGTCCATAGTACGAATCAGGCTGAGTTGGTGTCCCCGGACAAGCCCCTGTGAGTTTCTTATCCAGTTTAGGGACCATAATTTCAGACATGATCTGGGGTCAAAATGTTGACAGAGAGGAAGGGCAGATCAAATCATCATTGGGCAAATACTAATTGGTAGCAACTCGCTCAATTTGTGTCTTTCACTGACCTAGAGCCCTGGAAATCCGTTGCAACTTGTAGAGCTACTTGTCCAGAGAGAGGGAAAACCATAAGTCAATAACCCCCGATAAGAGATGCCGAACAAGGCCGTATTGCAGATAAGGTTCTGGAGGTTCATGGGGAGTGACCTCGAGCCAGACTCTCAATGTGAATCGAGTTGTCACTGTGACGGCCCTCGTACAGATGGCGACGTGAAACCAAAGTTCACGAAGATGGCGCATGGAATTTTCGAAATGGCTTCTAGGCGAACTTTTCTCGGGCGCGATACTGCACTCGGATGCATGGAATGATTGCTGTCAAACAATACACGGTCCTGCCGGTCCGGCCGGGAGGCGTTCGTGTTGGACCTTCTGCGAGGCAGATTGTGCATTCTGATAAGCATTGGCGATAATGATACGAGAATCCAGGACAAAGAATAGGCAGTAGGAACTGGACTATTTGGAGTCCTTCATCTTGGGCGGGATGACTACAGAACAGAAGAGCAGGAGTCAGGGTACAGGTCCATTAAATCCAACATGGTTGTTCCGTCACGGAGTACTCTGTATAATGAAAAAGACTCCACACGCAGAATAATTGGATACAGATAACCCCGTCAGGATAGTGATGATCGCTTGGATTTGTATGGATTCAATTTCCAGGCATCTTTATTGTCCCTCTTGACAGGGCCAATAGTACTGAGGAGTGGAAGCTGGGAAAATCCCGGTATCTGGACTCGGTAGATGGAACCATGTACAGAGTCTCCATGTGGAATACCAACCGATCCAAGCAAACATGTGGACTTCTTCAACAAATCTTGCCCACGTTTGTGCGTTAGCTTCACAATAACCCCAGGATAGATCCCCCAGTCCATCACTTACTCGTACGGAGTTACAATTCACTTCGTTGTGAGAATGCCTACGATATCGTGCCTGTTGTTTATCCGTACTGCCGGCCAACTTACTGCCTAGAAATCAAATGCTCCCCAATTCACCTTAATTTGGTACCTGGCATGCTCGTGTTCGATTCGACTTCGATTCGAGTTCTATGCATGAACAAGTCTCCTAGCTTGGTGACGGAATGTTCCAAGCTTTTGCCCAAGGATCGACCGGGACTGCAACTACTGTCCTTGTCGTCCATGGCATACGCAAGACAAGAGCCTCAGCTGGTTTGCTATCTTCCACAAGCCCTTTCTGGACAACTGCCGTCTCTGTAATATTTCGTACTGAACCGTCATCCTCAGGTTTTGGTCAGCCAGACGACTGCCCAGACTCGCCGGACTCAGATCAGATGGTATGGTTCGTCGATATCATCTCGCTCCGACTGCGGGTCTTCTGCTAGTAAAGATGTCCAATGGCTTTGAAGAAATTGGTCATTCCGCTCCTGGTTAAGTTGGGTCTTGGCAGATGTCCTTCGGCGGGCACTAGTGTCTAGATTCCTTGGCGCAGTGACTTCCTCGTTACATTCCCTCGTGTTTTCTCGCTCTTGGAAACCTGATTCAGCTTATCCTCCGTACATGGCGGTACAAGGCGTCTGTAGCCAAGCTGTAACAATGTGCCTTGGTGGTGCTTTTCTTTTCTTACAATGCTATGGACAAAACCAAGCTTCCGCCTGACCGAACGGCAGATGAACCCACTTGCTGAACCAAGCCTCCCAGGTTCCTGGCCAATGTCACGTCTCCATGTCTCGAGTCGTGCATTCTGGAAGAAGTGTGTTCCATATCTGGATCTAGCCGGATAGATTTGATGCCGTAGCCTGGCGCCATCACAGATTCACTGTGCATCAATCTCTATCCGTACCGACTACCTCCGTGCCCACTCTGGAATCTGGGCTAAGAGGCGGTAAGGTCTTCTGCGCCAAGAAAAGCCACCAAGCGCGGCATTGGTGATTTCGACATCAGATACTCTAACGACAGGATGATCCTGTGCCCATGTCCATGACCTGAGATACAACACATCCCATGTCAGACCCAATGCAAGGCCGCAGTCGCCCCAAACATTGGCGATATGCTATGTCCTTGAACGGGTCATCTCCATTCATCCGGCCTGATGAGGCTTCCCCGTATCTTGGTTAGCCCAAATTTTGTTGAGCTGCAAAGATGTATCTTTTTCAGGATCTCACCACACCATGGCTACATGGTTCAGGTGGGTCTGGGGGAATTGATTGGAGCAACCTGGAGCAGGGTCTGGAGCATGGGGAAGATGGACTCGTGCTGAATTTGTACCCCCGCCGCCCGTGCAACGATACACATCTAAGTGTCACCACTTTGTCTATATAATATACACCCTGTCCATAAGATTGTCTCTTCAAACCAACCCGTCTCCCAACCTCGGACAGTCGCCTAAGTTGTGTGCTTCTAGTTTTTGTGATCTACGTCGAGCTTCTCATATTCAACGTGTTGAAGCATCTCTATCACCACTACACAACGTACACCTCTTTGTCCCCCACCCACGATGGGTCACTCATCAGAGGTCGAGGTTCCCATTGAGGGCCCGGTCAGCAAGGAGCACAATGTCGAAATGGTTGAATCGGGCTCAACGAGCTCTCAAGATATCGGCTATGATGCAAAGGCCACGGCCAAATTGATCAGGAAGATCGATTGGGTCCTACTTCCCTTCCTTGCATTACTCTACTTGCTCAGTTTCTTGGATCGAACAAACATCGGAAACGCTCGTCTGGCAGGACTCGAAAAAGAGCTTGGGATGAAGGGGTTGGACTATAATGTAAGTTTATCTGTCTATGTCTTGGTACTACAGTTTCCTGATGTTGCCTAGATTGCTCTTGCCATCTTCTTTCCCTTTTACGTTGCTGTCGAACCGGTCTCAAACTTGATGCTAAAAAAGACGCGGCCTTCTCTCTGGATTCCTTCGATTATGGTCGCATGGGGAATTTGTACCACTCTGATGGGTTTGGTGCACAATTTCGGGGGCCTTCTTGCTGCTCGTGCTGCTCTTGGTATTGCAGAAGGTGGTTTGTTCCCGGGTAAGAATCTACCAAGCGATATATAACGAACCTTTACTGACTCCACTAGGCGTCACCTATTACATTACTCTCTGGTACAGACGTCATGAATGTGGCTTCCGGATGGCCATCTTCTTCTCAGCCGCCACAGCAGCTGGAGCTTTCGGAGGTCTTCTGGCACGGGGCATTGTCGAGCTGGATGGTGTCGGTGGGAAGAGTGGATGGGCTTGGATCTTTATCCTTGAAGGATTAGCTACGTTCTTCATCGGTTCGTTGCTTGCTACTGAGTTTCGGGCTCTCAAAAATTTCTAACATTTGTGATTCTAGCTATTTTGGCATTTTTCGTGATGCATGATTATCCATCAACGGCCAAGTTCCTCACTACAGAGGAGAGGAACGAAGTCACCCGTCGTCTTGAACACGATCGCAGCTCCCTGGCAGATGAGTTTGACCTCAAGTACTTCTGGCACGCCGTCAAGGACTGGAAGATCTGGGTCCATATGTTCATCACCATTGGGTAAGCACTAAGATTTTCGACTACCACAAGAACACTATACTGATACGAAAATAGAATCTACACTCCTCTTTACTCCTACTCTCTTTTCCTGCCAACCATCGTCAAAACTCTCGGATACACCAACAACACTGCTCAGCTGATGACTGTTCCTCCATATATCGTTGCCTGTTTCTGCACCCTCACCGGTGGCTGGGCAGCCGATAGACTCAAGACTCGAGGTGTTTTCATGATCGGCTTCAGTCTCGTTGCCATCCTCGGACTGGTTCTACTGCTCGCTTCCCAGAACCCCCATGTCAAGTACTCCGGATGTTTCTTCTTTGCCATGGGAATCTACCCCAATGTACCCCAGGGTGTCGCCTGGAACGGCAACAACATCGGTGGCAGTGTCAAGCGTGGTGTCGGTATTGCTATGCACGTCGGCTTTGGTAAGTCAAACTATAGTTCATTTTCTGGCTATGTAATAACACTAACAATCACTCCAGGTAATCTCGGTGGTGCCATCGCAGGTTTCATCTATCTAAGCAAAGACTCGCCAAAGTTTAGAAATGGCCACGCCATTCTGATCGGCATGATCTCCATGAGTATCTGCCTCCAAACCTTCATGACCCTCTATCTACGCCGCGAGAACGCCCGCCGCGACCGCGAGTACAAGTCACCATCTGAGTACTCGGCCCAGGACAGACACGCTGAAAGAGAAAAGGGTGACAATGCCACCTTCTTCCGCTATACCTTGTAAAGGTAGCAAGTTTTGGAGATCCACATTTTACTGAGAGTCTTGCGGGTCATCGTATGAATGACTTGATGACACAAACATGTTCTGGGATATAAGTAGGGAGCATAGAAAATAACATTTTTATTGTTTGTTATCTCTCAGTTCACGTATCATTCACTTGATTGCAGCAGTAGCATGGCCGTGAATTACAGCATCCTCAGAGTGCACAACAGTGAGCACAGATGCATTGGTCGAAGGGGCCAGACTTATGATGTTCAAATCTCAAGTATCCCGGTTGTCCCACCCAGACGATAGGGGTTTCCTGGTAATACTCGTACATCAGACCCGGGCCCGGTCTGCACGACATTCAATAGTTTGGAAACGGATAGATCCTTGCCAGATCTACCGTGTACCAGTATCGCTATCATGTAGGCAAGAAGAGAGGCCATAGGGGTCAAATGCAATGAGTGGATAAGTTGTGGAAATTAATACTGGAAGAGCCATTCTCGCTTCATCGGGGGAAATACCTTTCAGAGTACGGAGTACGCATCTGGAAAGAGGGCCAGAGTGATGCCCGATCTGTCCATCTCAATTTCAATTTCACGTTGAGGGCTGGGAAAGAACAAAATGTCCTCGAGCATGTTCCCTCCATTGCACCCGAGAGGAAATGATGGAATGACGAAAGTCGAGATTGGAAGGTGTGTAACCTCCATTTTATTCGAAAGGAGGTCGACAAAGCATTGGCAGGGAAGAAGTGACCAGCCTTTCAACAGATGCAGGGACTAACCCGGGACCCACGTTATCTAGCACACTTGTATTCCGCACAAATAGGAGTACAAGCATTTCCGATGCTTACCTGATGATCTCTCGTAACCTAGACTCGGATACCAGACCAACGGTCATGGACGTACTCGGTACTGGGAGCGGACAGAGGCATCAAGGTTGCTTAGATCGCGGACATGTCCTTGGCAGTGGGGTAGGATGAGGAGGACAGCCACAGAAACTTGATCGACAGCCGCTTCGACCCGTCCCGTCCGTACTAGTTCACTGGACTTAGGTCGTCGGCGACAGGGAAAAAGCATCCTGCGCGAAGCATCTCCTCGGACCTCCTCTTCCTCGGATGGATATAGCCGGTGCCCTGGGAAGTCTGTTCGGGGTGGTGGACACGATCCACCAGCGAATCGGAAGCCGCAAGGTCGGCAAGGCGAACCTCAGCTTCGAGCTCGTACGATACAGAACATATCTACGTCCGGGGGAACAAGAGTTGATCGCTCTGGGTGTCAGGTCTGAACTCTGCTATCCGACTGCCGAAAGACTGATAGAAATCCACTCCGCGATACTGGATTGGTTCGAAAACACAAAGTTCAAACAATGGTTGGCGGGGAAGAAGGCCACGCTTCCCAACTGGTTCTTGGACAAGAAGGCGAGTGCTTTGAAGGAGCATATTGACATTATCAAAGAGACGAGAGATCGTTTGTTTGATGAGCTGCAGGGCGAGGTTTGCGATTTTTATTTCTTGAGTTCGAAAAAAGTATTGGACATGCTCTGAGATCTACGAGAGCAGGGAACTTTCAATCTTGCTTCACCTCATGCAGCTGGGGTGAGAACATTCCTCGGCCGTGACAACAGTGATCGTATTCGCAATCAGAGAGTTCAAGATTTGGCCAATAGTACGTACAACTCGCATGGTTTCTCACAGATTGACATATTGATACTACATTCGTCAAGTCAATCATATGCTTCAAGGAATTAGCAGACAATCGAGGCGAATTCAACAAGAGATTAGAGAAGATCCTGAACCGCATGAGTTGCGAAGTTTTCCCACCAACTCGGGACGTATGTATATGGAGAGGGTTTTCGATGGTGGCAAGAGAAAATATATTCGGAAAGGGGACGTAAAAGTGGAAGTCCAGAAGTTCATCTTTTGGTAGTAACGGGCACGGATTCTTGGTGAGGTATAGCGACCAAGGATGGCAAATTCGAAGTATAGTATAAAGATGAACACTTTTGAGTTGTTGGGATATTTGGCCTCCAGTGAATGGAGCATGATAGCCAAAGTAGATTGGGGTAGGTTGCTCGGAATGAAATCGAGGACAACAAATGCGGTGCTGCAAAGACTTTCAAAAGACCTACCACGACGTCGAACCGAATAGACCGGTGGCCCCCTTCATAAAAGACTCGGGATAGGGTTGATATAACCCAAATGTGGTGAAGCTTTGATCTGTGCTGGTGAAATATGTTCAGCGGTTTTTGTCAGTGCTTGAGAAGCTACACAGTGACTTCGACGAAAGGCACCAATGTCTGATCAGTGATATGTTACCACTTGGTGACCTCCAATTTAAAAGAAGGCTTGATCCAAGCGTGTTGGCCATTAGGCCTAAGCACTGATTGACCACTTCAAGCTTTGCTCTTCGTTGGTAAAAGATACTTCGTTTGTACAGCGCGGTGGGTCTCTCTCCATGATCAGCAATACTTCAGGTGCATCATTGGTGGTCTCCGGGACTCTGACCGGGCTTGTTCGATCAACTTCAATTCAGAAATCGGTTGGCTACCCTGAGCAAAGAAGGCTTGTGAGATGAGACCTTGAAAGGGCAGTGGCAAAGCTTTAGAAAGGGAGGTGCCGGCACACTTTCCCAAGCGAGATTAACTAACTCAACTCCGAAGTCGGCTGCTAACAGCGACTGATTGTCCAATCGGAGTAGGCTTTTAGTAAGACCGCGGCAGAAAGCTCTCCAAGTAATTTTTGGCCTCAATGAGTCGCAGCATTCGCATAGAAATTTGTAGATTTCATTCTCGTCGGATTTATTCTGCAGAATTTCCTCGACATTGTGTAGTCTCCCTGTGACATATGCTATGCTATACAGGTGATATCCGGCGGTGAATTTTTTGTCTTCCCTTCGCCGTGGTTACCAACCCTTAGAGCCTCCGGAGTGCGAGTCATGGTAAGTACAGTTAGCGAAAGATGAATAGAATGCGCTGAGACGTGTATAGATTTCCAACACGTTGTCGCAGAGGCCACACCTTTTGAGGCGGCTAATCCCTCAGCACCAACAATGGCTACAGCGATCCAGATTTAGTCGCACAAGTCAAAACCTCCAAGATGTCTTCCACGCGCAGCGAGAAGATCCGGTGGCCTCGTCGATTCTCTCCTCGCTAAAGACCTCTCCCCGGGTCCCTCAAACGCTTACAGAAAAGATCGTGCAGCGCTACGCTGTGGGCTTACCCAAGGACAAATACGTAAGATCGGGAGACTATGTGACAATTTCACCACACCATTGCATGACTCACGACAACTCATGGCCCGTCGCGATGAAATTCATGTCGATCGGTGCTTCCAAAGTGAAAGATCCCAAACAAATAGTGACAACGCTAGACCATGACGTTCAGAACCGCTCAGAAGCAAATTTGAAAAAGTACAGACAAATCGAAGAGTTTGCTAAGAAGCAGGGGGTTGATTTCTACCCGGCTGGAAGAGGAATCGGTCATCAAATCATGGTCGAAGAGGGCTACGCGTGGCCAGGGACATTAGTGGTTGCGAGTGACAGCCATACAAATATGTACGGTGGACTAGGCTGCCTTGGAACACCTGTAGTGAGAACCGATGCCGCAAGCATCTGGGCCACTGGAAGAACTTGGTGGCAAATCCCACCTGTCGCCAAAGTGACTTTCAACGGGGTACTCCCAGCAGGTGTCACCGGCAAAGACATCATTGTTGCGCTCTGTGGGCTCTTTGACAAAGACGATGTTCTCAACCACGCCATTGAATTTACTGGCTCGGAAGAGACTATGGCTAGTCTACCTATTGATTCACGGTTGACCATTGCGAACATGACAACGGAGTGGGGAGCTCTCGCTGGACTATTTCCGGTAGATCAGATGCTACAGGGTTGGCTTCGGGCAAAGGCCACCATGTCTGCTCTTGACGAATCTGAAGGTCGAACAGGAAACCCGCGATTCTCCCATCCCAGACTAGACGAGCTATTCGAGGCCAATCTTGTTGCGGACAAAGGAGCCCAATACGCAAAACAGCTCTACCTCGACCTCAACACTCTTTCTCCATATGTGTCAGGACCCAATTCCGTCAAAGTAGCCACTCCACTTAATGTTCTTGAGGAGCAAGACATTAAGGTCAACAGAGCTTACTTGGTCTCATGTACGAATTCGCGAGCGTCAGATCTTGCTGCTGCGGCCAAAGTCTTCAAGGACGCAGCAGCAGCCAATGGAGGTCGGATTCCCAAGCTAGCAGAAGGCGTCAAGTTCTATATTGCCGCCGCATCATTACCTGAACAACAAATTGCAGAGGACGCGGGCGATTGGCAGACTCTGATTGAAGCCGGTGCCATCAAGCTCCCTGCTGGGTGCGGCCCATGTATCGGTTTAGGATCAGGTCTACTTGAGCCAGGTGAAGTCGGTATCAGCGCGAGCAACAGAAATTTCAAAGGACGAATGGGAAGCCCTGACGCCAAAGCATATCTCGCGAGCCCTGAAGTTGTGGCTGCAAGTGCTCTGAGTGGAAAGATCAGCGGTCCTGGCTGGTACCAGAAGCCAGAGGGTTGGTCTGGGGTGGTCCGAGGTGAGGGTGACGGCATTAAGGAGGAGGATCGTATGATCACCGCCGATGAAGCATTTCAGAAAATTATTGACCAACTCGACGGCATGATTGAGACAGCAGAACAGACATTCGGTGAAGAAGAGCAGCCGGTAGTAGAGCAAAGCACGGGCACTACCCAAGTGTACCCAGGATTTCCGGAGCGAGTGGAAGGGGAGATCATCTTCTGTGATGCCGACAATATCAACACAGATGGAATCTACCCTGGAAAATACACCTACCAGGACAATGTTTCTGTGGAGAAAATGGCCGAAGTCTGTATGGAGAATTATGACCCGAAATTCTCATCTCTGGCAAAGCCTGGAGATATTGTGGTGAGCGGCTTTAATTTCGGGACAGGAAGCAGCCGCGAACAGGCCGCCACTGCTCTCCTAGCGAAGAAGATCCCTCTGGTTGTAGCAGGCAGTTTTGGCAACATCTTTTCGAGGAACAGTATCAACAATGCTCTCATGGGTCTCGAAGTTCCCAAGCTTGTACAACGCCTTCGAGAGACCTTCTCAGCGAAGAAGGGTGCGACCGGCACCGAGATCACAGAGCCTACAGGCAACAAGGAAAGCCAGGAAAGTCTTGACTCACCACCTCCAGCACCGACCAAAGCCATCGAGCACCAATTGACCCGGAGAACGGGATGGACATTGGTTTGGGATGTGAAGAAATCACAGATTGAAGTCACTGAAGGTCCAGGTGGGAAAAATTGGACCGAAAAGGTCGGAGAGCTGCCACCTAATGTGCAGGAGATCATCGCCAAAGGAGGTCTCGAGAAGTGGGTCCAGAAAGAGATCGCAGCATCATGAGTGATGACTCGAGACGAGTTCCACTAGGTGTGTTATTGAACATTGGACATACAATCAACATTTGTCTTGCCCTAAAAGATGCGACAAGTCTTGGACGGAGCTAGAATTCAACAAAGTTGACAAGTCGTTGACAGAGGAACTGCACCAATGAATTGAACCGGGAGACACCGTCAGCATCCTGTATCCTCGAGTTGACCAGGTTGCCACAAGCCATGCTCTTCCCCATACACAAACACGAGCCACCGTGAACCGGGTCAAGTCTACTGTATCTTGCATACATCAATGGTCACAGGTCTTGCGCCCGGCGAGCTGTCAACATTTCAGCCCTTGCTACCTGGGGCCCGCTCCACCGAGGACGCGGTGCTGATAGGTTTTCACGCCCATATTTTGTGACCGTCTTCGTGTGAAGGAGGTACAGCTTATAATGGAACAGCGCTACCAACCACAATTTTTGGCTCTTGGATGAGATTCGCGGAAGTCTTGGAGCTCGGCCAAAATACAGCATCAGGCGTAGAAGAGGAGAGTTGGCTCATCGAGTCTCAATAGTAAGAGTCCTGATCTTCACAGTTGAAGGGACGGAGGGATAAATGTCGTCATAGCTGAGTGAATATATATGAAGATATGGATTGAGACACGTATCATGCGGATAGAACTTTAATTTTCTTGAGTTACACAGGAAATGTATATGGGCATACGAGGCTGTGTCAAGGGCGGGTAGTGACATATCAGCTTTGAGCTAGATCTCAAAAGGGATTGGTAACCGAGCCATTAGTGAAGGTACACTAAACGCGAAAACACGTGATGGCAAGCTTTTGACGCGAGTAATTTTGGAAGCTTGGTAGAGGATTGAGAAGGTGCAGTGGGGGGACGTTCAAATCTCTCAGACATCCTTCCATACAATCCGTCAAGCCATCCACTACAATTAGTCGCGTTTTCGGCCTTGATTGATACTAAAATAAACATTCCATCTTCTGGCAAGCTCCATATCCAAGTCGAACTCATGGGCACCCAGCACTTTGTGCATTGGACTTGAGTAGGAGATCAACAGCTTTAGATCTCAACCTGCCCTTCCCTCGCATTGGGCTTTGGGAAGCACTATGTTCTCCTTGCTTATCAACTATTTTCATACTTGTAAGCCTGTGAAACACTTGAAGGAGCAACGACAAAAATCATTCAGGGTGTTGCCCGGCCGCATTGGGATCTCCCATGCGTTAGCCTTAACCTTGCCAGCGATTACAACTCAGGCTGCGACAGAGTTTCTCCCCTGACTCCCTGCACAGCCCACCCTTGATCCTCCGGTAACATCGAGAGCCTCGTCAGCTTTCCACTGCTTGCAACCAATAGTTGATGTGCACGAACCACAATCCCAGGTCCACTCCTCTCCTTTGGTATAATATCAATCTGCTCACCCACCACCACAATCATGACCTCTCTCCATCCAAAAAAACATACGTCGCTTGCTGACCATAGTCGCCCTCGACCGGGCCTCGTACTGTCGCTTACTTTCCTTCAAAGGACTCTCTCATATCACATTCATTAGCATCTACTTCAACATCTTTTGAGAGTTCCCAGTCGGTTTTGTTTTCTTCGCCATGGTCGCTATCCCTACGTATTTACTAGCTTCGTCGGCCATTTCTCATCTCGGCTCTCTTGTGTCTCGCGATCCAGTACCAGTACCAGCACCTCATCCTGATTCTTCCAGTAATTCAGCGTCGTCTTCAACGGCATTTGGCTCCGTGTTAGGACCTCTCATTTCTTCCCAATTTGCCGATCCGGCCATCATTCACGTCGATGGCACTTCTTATGCATTCGCCACAAACAACCGAGGCGTTGGTTCTGATCTAGTGCATGTCCAAGTCGCAACCTCAACTGACAACCATACTTGGACATTGTTGGAACACCATGATGCTCTGCCTCAGGTTGGCGCATGGGAGACAGGTGTCCGTGTATGGGCACCGGACGTTGTTCAGTTGGTAAGCATACCTCAATCATTTCCAACCATCCACCTCTAATACCCTCCTCCTCAGGACGACGGCTCCTTCGTTCTCTACTACACCGACGAAGTTGCAACGAGCAGATCACACCATTGCATCGGCGCCGCAACCTCGAAATCAGTATTAGGACCCTACACCCCACTCGACCAACCCCTCGCCTGCCCCGACGTCCACAAGCTCGGCGGTGCGATCGACCCCGACGGGTTCTACGACCCATCCACCCACAAGCGATATGTCCTGTACAAGACCGACGGAAACTCCCTCGGCCACGGCGGCACATGCAGCAACACGATCGCACCCATCATGCCCACCCCGATCATGCTGCAGGAAGTCTCGATGCACGACGGCATCACCCTGATCGGCAACGCAGTGCAGCTGCTCGACCGCGACGTGACCGACGGACCACTGATCGAAGCACCCTCACTCCACCGCTCGTGCGAAGGCATCTACTTCCTGTTCTACTCGTCCAACTGCTTCACGACACCCATGTACGACGTCGCATACGCGACCGCCACCAACATCAACGGGCCGTACACGCGCTCGAACCATCCATTGCTCATCACCAGCGACTCGAATCTCGTCGGGCCCGGTGGCCTCGATATCATCCGTGGTGGCGACATGGTCGTCTTCCACAGCCATCTGACCGTCGATAACGACCCGGCCATGAAGAAGAAGGCCGAGAAGATCTCGCATGATACCAACACCCCGCTTGCAGACGTCAAGCTGCCGCTTGTCAGGGGTCTGTGGACCGCCAAGGCCACTTTCTCGGGTGACACTGTTAGTTTGGCGTGATGCTGAGGCGACTATATCTATCTACTTTGCTGTTTTCGTTTTTTGAAGCGTTCAAGCGTGTTTATCTATCCCCTTTCCAGTCTACTTGAGCCGTTTGGCGAGCATGCGGAGTCTCAATATTTTACGTATACCCATATATTCTGTCAATATTGAGATTTTACACTCGATCTTAGAGATTCTTTTTTCCCCAAGAGCGTCGCATTAAACGACTACCTAGGCTCCAGGACCTACTGCTGTCAAGTAACGGAGGATCCCACACATATCAATGTTGCAATATAAATCACTAGCTCATTATCTTCGTTATTCGTTACGCTTACGTCTAGCTGGATATGTATCTCAAAATGCCCGAATGACGCGCTATGCCTCGCCTGGATCACAGTTCACATGCTGCGACGACCACCACTCATTAGATTCAAAAAGGGAGCACTGCATGCTGAAAGTGTGCACCATGTATAGCTATAAAGAACCGCCATGCCGAAGGGACAGGCCAGCATGTCGATTTCCTCGCACATATGGAGCTAGAGCCGCTCAGCCCACTCAACCCATCGCCGCACCACTTCATCGACACTCTTGAGGCCGTCTCTGTTAGCCTCAATCTCGAACCACTCGCGGTGTTCACGACCACAAGCCTGACAGTCAGGCTTTACCACTCGCTTTTCTTCGAGCTCCAAGTGGATCAGGCGCTCCACTCGATGCACGTGAGGCACCTTGCGACCTGCGATCATGCTGTTGGATGTCGATAACGCGTGTGCCTTGGGGTTTGAGGATGTATATGGATAGTAGCGGATCAATGTAATGTTTTGCCCGCATTGCTTCGTCCATTGTGACATGCGTCGGTGCACATTGGCTGCGCGTCCGATTTTGAGCAGGATTGTGCGTTGCTCTGGTGGTTGAGACTCCTGCTGCCGTGAAGGTGACGATTGAGACATGTCTGTTGGGAAAGCTGAGGCATAACGAACGGAGGCATAGCGTTGGAGTGTTTTGTTCTTCTTCTGGGCTCGTGTCGGGTGTAGGGAGGGATAGAGACCACCATATTCATTCTCTTCGACATCATCGTCGTCATCTTCGAGGAGAGACGAAGCGGTTTCGTCGTCCGGAGTCGAGTCCTCAGACTCCGGGGTCAGCCAGAAGATATAGATGTAACCGGCATCATCTGCAGCAGATATAGGTCGAGATAGCTCACTGAGTAGACGTGACGTGGTTTGTGGAGAGAGTGATGATGGTATCAACGATAGAAAATTCTGGGTTTGACTATGGCTTGGCGAAGGGCCCACGGAGGGCCGTGGAGGAGTAGGAGCTGAAGCAGATGGTCGTTGTGGCGTTACCGGTGGGTTCGAAAGAGATAGAGCGTGCATCTGAGGCTGCGGTGCGTATTGGCTCGCATGGACAGAAGGTTTTTGCGGCCTTTGCGATGTCCTCTGGGGTGGCTCGCTATCGTCCTCACTATCGGCCTGTAGACAACAGGACCACGAGAACTTGATATTTGAGCCTTGCTTACGATCTGGACGACTGGGTCGTGGTCGTTGTTGAATCATATTGTCTGGGACAGACATCAAAGGGCTCTGCATTTCGTTCCAGCCAGAGGGGAGGGTATCTCTGCGCTTGGGGTGCGCACCATCTTTCCTATGGCGATGGTGATGCTTCCTCTGTGGATCTTGGACCTCTTCATCGATGTCCAATATGCCTACCCGTTCGGCTAGAGTGTCAAGACTTGATCTCTCCTTCAAGGGATGCAAGCTAGTCCTCTGGCGGTTCTTAGCCACCAGTTGCTCAGCCTGGTCCTTATGGTGGTAACAGAAGAATGCTCCTGCGTGCTCTTCATCGAGGATTGCAACTACCCCGTGTCCTCGGCTGGGTGACGGGGAAGGAGAGGCATGCGGAGAGGAAGCCAGAGCACGTCGGCAAGGACGGCCTGTTGCTGTAATGCCTCTACATGTTGTGGCAGGATTTTTCGAGTCGGAGCGGGGCAGAAGGGCTTCAGGACTTCGAGCAGCGATTGTCATGTCCAAGAGAACGTGAGTCTTCCTTGCCTTGATAGTCAACGTAACGCGTGTTGATTTACGGAGATCTTGATGGGAAAAGAGGGAACTAGGAAGGAAAAGGACTCAAGCTGCAGACAGACGGGTGATATGTGCAGTAGGATCAAGTTGTTGGTCATGAATCACAGATGGTGCTCTTACCGATTGTCACTTTGCTTGACTGGCAATGCATTGTGGAATTTCACTCAATATGATCGACAAGTTCAACTGGTTCTGAGATTCAGGCACCAGGCACATGGTTGGAATTTGAAGGCATGACTGATTGGACTTGGGTGACGTTCTTTCGAAAGTCAGTCGTGGCTGGGACATGTAGACCTCCAGGGATTTGGGCGGCAATGCTTTAACTGGGGAGGTGGCTGGGGGACGCGTCCAAGGCCGGCCCGAGGAATTGGTAGTCCTCGCCACACTTGCCCTGCAGGAACCTCATTATCAGGTGTACGCGCTAAGACGTTGGTACTGTTTTCAGCTCTCTGGAATCGTTTACAACTGCGACAAATGATCAACAGTACCGACATCTTCTGCGGCTCGAGCGGACACCGCTCAGAGTTGTAATGCGGTATTGTGGCTCATGAAAATACATGTCTCAACCTCAGTGTCATGAAAGACCCGGGCATCGAGAAGGGCCAAGGTCGCATGCATCGTTCTGGGTGCCTATCTGTTTCTCCGAGTTCTACCTCTAGTTAACATTGTTCATCCCCCCTATCTCGATGATGCTTAAGGCTATATTTGGTTGCATGGCTTTTTCCTGCAATACTCTAGACGACTCAATGCACGGTTGCCCATCCATTCCACCTTCCCAATGTATTGCTCCTCCGAGCGTACCATGTGGGCAAGTCGCAAGTTATGCTCTTCCTACACGAACAGCATCTGAGATCCCTGGTTCTGGTCTGTTCCTTTTATTCCCTTCTGCAGCCATAGGCTTGCTACGCTGCTGGCAAGCATGCTGAGTCACGTCTGCCGACTTTGATTGATTGTTCGGCTTCTGCACCGCTGAGATTGCATGCCAGGGCGAATCTTGAGCTTTCGAATCCGATGAGGCGGGCCGCTTGATGACTTGAAGATGACTGCCATGCTCTTCAAGTTGGATGTCAGTGTGATCTTGCACAAGTATTGCATCACACTCGGCGATGGTCTTCGGGTTCTGCGAGAGTTCGGGTTGATGAACCTCGCCAACATACTGCAAGATTTCTTTTGTCATGGCTGGATTGATGTCAGCCAGGTATCAACATAGGTATGCCACCACTCACCGAATTTGAGATGCACGCAGGCAGTGGTAGGACAGCCAGTGACTTTGATGATTCTCTGTGATGCACCTCACCAATGCAAAGGACGACAACAAACCTGATCTGATTTTCAGTGGCCATGAGGGTTTATGTAGAAAATCTACAACCTCAAGCTCAACTAGCCGAGGATTTTGTAATTCCCATTTCCAGGTGTTGGTCCTGCAACCCAGCTCAGGGGCATGAATGCCAGGGAGGACGCAACAGAATTGCTGGTCTGTAGATGAATGAAATTTTCAGATTCCTTCTTCAGGAATGATAGCAGATGCTCTCCACAATTTGTTTGAACACTTCTTGTACATGAGGCAACTCTCACGACTTTTACGATGTGGACCCAAAGCGCTTTGAAGAGGACGGCACGGACTACGGAGGAGTCGGAGGTGAAAGTACCAAGATCTTTGCCAGCCTTACCACGCACAGTTAGTACCTGGCGTAGGTACCTACCGAAAGTCCCGAAGGTATCTAAAGGACCCAGTACTTGGTAGCCACTCCATGGTCGTCGCGCACTGGGGTATCGAGACGATGCGCTTAGCCTAATACAGGAATCTGAAAAAGGCGCCCTGGCAGGCAACGAATTCATTCAGTGCGTTGGGTCTATCAGGAATCGCCACATCTTGCTAAGGGCCAGACTGACGACGTACTACCCTTGCCCAACGGCTCGGGCCCTGAGAACTCGAGGCGACAGCTGATATGATACCTATCCGTACGTACTCGTCAATGGTATCTTTGCGTGTGTCCGGGCTGCTTCCCTCTTCTACTGATCGGGCCCTTCCACGGCCGTTTCAACTGTCTCCCGACACCATCATCCCCTGCATATCTCTTCCCCACGCCTACTAGTATTGAGGATCTCGAGCTGAGAGGGGGTCCGGGTACCCCTGTACCCCTGTACCGCTTCTGCCCACTAACCCCCTCTGGCAATCATGAAAATGGGTGGGCACTGCATCGACAGCCTCATCGATGGTATTGGGACTCTCATCTTTTTTTGTTTCTCTTCCCGTGCCTGACCTCTTCAATTCTGGCAAGTAGATATCGAATCTTCCTTTTCGCGTCTAGATCTCATCCGACTCCCAGTCCGCTACCAGAGGTACTAGCAACCAGTCTCCCCTTTCCTCTGCATGCAAGCCTCTCAACCTGGTGTTCGCTGCTCAATTCTTCAATGACTTTGAATGCTTCTTAAAGCATTTCGATTCGCACATTCACGATGCGTTCTGAACTATCGTCGATTCCTTACACGCCTGATAGACCAATAAATGCCCCCCGCATTAAGCCGCAACTTTGGGCGCAATTTCGTGCGAAGATCACCTTACTTCGTACTCAAGGCTACACAAATGACAAAATCAGAGCCGAACTGAAAAAGGATCCTGAAGCAATTAAGTTATCCTTCGATCCAAGGTACAGATTTCTGCTCTCCTACGTCTGTTAAACTCATGCTAAGACATGCAGCACGGGTCAGCTCAACGGGCAGTTGGATAAGTGGGGGCTTGTCATCCGCCAACAAAAATCGGTCGTTCGTGTAGGTCAGGCGGTAGTGACAGATGATGGCCTCATTTTTCAGAAATCAGACGCAGAGCACTCCGAGGACCCCATCGGCCAAAAGGTGGCTGCTGAGCACAAATCTTTGTCAGAACATGTATGTTATGGCGACTTTGATTTCGTTCAATATGTACACCAAATATCCCACTAATTTGTGCTAATGCTCATTGACCGACAGGATGAGGACGCCTGCGGACAGAAAAGAGTCTCGACGAAGGCCAATTTACCCTCACACAGAGATCAGAGAGGGGCCGCAGAGCAACCAGCTGCTACTGCGATCAAGAACTCTAAGCGAGCTGGTGAAGGAGACATCAACTCTAGCATTGGTCGCTTTCTGGATAATGACCACAACCGCGACACCACCACACGGCAAGCATCGCTCTTTCTGGAAACCCCACCACTAGACTTCAACGATACATCTTCGAGCGGTGGCGAGTTCTTAAAGCACGGTATCAAAACACCAGATACATCGATATCACCGCTTGTGTCGATGACACAATATGACCAGTACTTGGATGGGGAGTCTGGTCTAGAAGAGTTTATAACAGCGAGGATCATGAGAACATTTACACGGAACCTACACTCACTCTCACCAACACACCCAAACGTTATTACGATCTCAACCTGCCGCGCTGTCAATGAAGCAGCGGAGTTCCTTGCGGCTGTAGGGATCTTTCGGGATGCTTTCAACCTCTTTCACCTCGAGTATATATCATGGCTGAAGCATTTGAAGCGACTTGGACCACCTGATTTGGGCATTGTTGGTGGCATGGCTACAGCTGCTATTAACTGTGCTCGCACGTACCTGGCCAGTAGGTCCCTCGGTGACCACCGACAAATGCTCGTGCGGCAAGTTTTATCCGAAGTTATTGAAGAACTGACGAGAAGGAATTTGGGGTCCAGCCTCGACTGTGTTTTACTACATTTCTACCTTTCTTCCACTTGCGATCGTATGGAAGATTCTGCAATCTACGACTTGTCGGTAAAGCACCAAGTTATAGGACTTCGAATGATTTTCGACCTCTGGGGAACATCCTTCAAGATAATAGCGAAGGACAACCGGGATCGCGAGCGTTTCTTCATGACCAGCGCCGTGGAGGCCTCTCTGACCACAAAAGCGTCCGAGCTTGTTAGCTGTAACGTCAATTTTTCCGCCTGTTCGCTTTGGCTGTCTCGAAATTCGATCCAACCCTCAGACCGCGAACGCTTGGTGGGACATGTCAGAGATTTTCTTCGCTTGTGTCAGGCACACATCTTTGCAAATAGCGATCAAGTGGACCAGGCCATTGGACACTTGCCAGGAGCAGGCGACAACAGAACAAAGGAGTTCGCCGGATGGCTTCTCTACTGTTACATCACTCCAGAACTTCTGCTCAAGACAGTGCCGTTGGATTGGAAGTTCGTCCAATGGGCAAACCAGACCGATGAATTACCATTCAGTTCCGTTCTCGCGCTAGCGATAATAGCTAGTAGCTTCCCAAACATCCTCAGCGGAATGCTGACCGACACATCTATCAGCGGCATGTGGATGAGAGCGGTTGACACATCTATCAGCGGCATGTGGATGAGAGCGATCAACTCACTCCTGCAATCGTCTTTCGCATACGGGATGATAGCCGATGCGTACCTCCTCAGGTTGACATCTCTAAATGGTGGCAACGCAGGAGATGTTCCTGCTGGCCTCACTACTTCAGCTCTGATGACATCAATACTGAAGTATCACCTACACAAAATGGTCGGCGCTCAGCAATCCAAATCACCTCTACAGACGACAGAAGTTCTCCGCCAAACCTGCAACTTCTATAGATCTTTAGAAACTCTACCACGACCGTCAGCCCAACCAGCAGCTCCCCCCCCTCGTCCGCCGCCATCGCCATCATTACAGTCGGAACTGTCAGTAAGCAAGAGTTCTCAACCCAGTGTGGTCATCTCATTGCGGTCGTCAGTCAACACGATCCGTTCATCAATGAGTTTTGACCAAAGACAGATGATCGAACTCAAATTGCGCCTGCGTCAGGGACTTTCGCAGGTAACCAGACGCAGCAAGGACAGCTGGTTCTCGACAAGATCCTCGCATCAGTCCCGTGACGAGGACAGCTTCGAGAAAGTGACGGGAATGCCGTACATGGACTTGTCGGCGATTCCCGGCGAGCGCAGAGACACGCTCATGACCGAGCGTATTGAGGAAGAACAGAGCGACGTTGAGATGCAAGACTGATGATGGACTTCGTCGCCTCCGTAACGCCAGACGGATAATGAACCCTATTCTCCTCCACCATATTTCCTCCCAAGGGGTTGCACAAGTGGGAAAGAACAAAATGACCGTGGGAGCTGCGCTCTCCACTCTTAAAGATTATGCCACCATCGCAGCCCACACCGGCAGCAACACGAAGGGACGTCGACCCAAGATCACGCCGGTGAAGACTTGGAGTTCCAATAGGCGAGGTTGCTGCTTGCAACCCATGGCACGATATCTAGAGACTTCCCGCACGGCCGGGAAGAGGAGAGGTCCTGAACCACACCTACCTAGTCGAGGATGGCCAAGGTCAACATATGCGTGAAGGGAAGAACTCAGTTTGAGACTACAGGCTTCGGCCGTGATGTCAGCTGCCGCGCGAGGCTCTGTCAACGAGGCTGAGAGCCTGTCGATAGTACTGGCTGTCCCACCTCCCGCGGGCCGCTAGTCAACTAGTACATATAGGCAGTGGAATCAGATCCCGATTGTGGAAGTATGTATCAATATAACTCAATCTCACTGATTTTATTTCATGATGACGACGATGATGATGATGATGATAGTGTTATGATAGTCACATACCATATTTGAGTTTCCTCATATATTCAAAAAAGTCCAAGGTAGTGAAAGCCTTGGAAGTAAGAACGTACTGCCGTAAACACATATCCATCAATGTAGCATAGCATAGCAATGCAATGCAAATCAGCGTGAACCTCAGCCAAAAAGCCCCCGGGTATTTTCAATAATTCATATCAGATACAACCTTGCGCACATGCAGGTAATCAACATAACTCAACACAGTCTGCATGTATGAGCCCGCCCAATGTGCAGTTCCATCGGGAGACACCTTAATCCAGCTTCAACCCGCTCAGGAAGTCCAACGCCTCGTCCTGGGCGCTCTCGAGCTGGGAAATCCTAGACTTCAAACCCGCCGACTCCAACTTCATCATGCCCACGACATCCCACGCCTCATTGGCATGCAGACCATGGCATTTCGAGCACCCGTACGCCGCATCGTGGCCGGTATGGCTCGACGAGGCGGACTTCATGGATGTGGCTGTCGACATGGCTTCCGAGAATACGCTCACGACGGAACTGGCATCCGAGGCGATTTCGGATTCAGCGGAGGAGGAGGAGATGTCCGAGATTCGGTGGCGGCGGTATTTGGATTGGAGAGTCGAGTCTTGGTCTTGGTCTCGAATTGCGTCGTCGTCGTTGGATACCATTCGCACACTTTGCTGGTTTTGTGACAATTGTGTGTCGAGCGATGCTCTTTGGCTCGCGAGCTGGGCTCTGAGTTCTGCGATTGCTTTCTCTTGCTCCAGTGCCCTTTGTGCCATGTCTTCTAATTGGAATTTCAAATGTTCATTGCGTGTATTTGCGGCTTCCAGCTCATCGGCCTGGGATGTCTTGGTGGATGTCAGCGCCTTGACAGATTTCTGTTGTTCGATATGGGCCTGCTGAAACCGACGTACTACTCCTTCCGCGTTCAACTGGAGGTTTTTGAAGGTTGATGGAGAGAAATTATCGGGATATCCTTGTGGGAACAGGGCTTCTCGTACGTCGAGCTGACTCAGTTCATCTTCTTCTGCGAGATTGGGTGAAGTGGGTGACACCGTGGTGGACTTTCGGAAGAAGTTGAATCTCGATGGGGCGGGAGTGGCAGGTGTTGAAGAGATTGAATCCCTCTGAGGGCGTCTTGTGAAGGTATCCACCGACTCCTGACTCGTCGAGAACAAGCTCTCCATGACGCCGACTTCAGCAACGGGGTCGAGTTTTTCCTTTGTTGGAGACGGGATCAAGGAGATGTTAACTGGCTCAGACGATCCCTCGAACCAACTAGCAAGTTTGTCCACGGCTGAAGAGTTTCTCTTTTTTGCAGTTTGTTCCTCTGGCGGTGTCCGAGCGACCTCGAACTGAGCGGCCTCGGAGACTGAGACTCTTTCTGGGGATATAGATCTTGTACTCTGAGGACGCAAGAATTGCGGGAGGGCAGAGGATCGTGTGGGCGAGGAGGATTGTGATCTGGTAAACAGTGGGGGGAGGGTAGTTGCAGTTCTCGAGCGTTGATGGGTATATCTTGTAGGGGTCGAAGCAGGAGGTGGAAGAGATAAGGGAGAATCTTGAGAGACAATCATTGGGAAATAACCTGGATTGAGTGGTGTGGTTGTCGAGGTGTTTGCGGATTGAGACATGAATGCAGCCATGTGGGATGATGCAATTTTGGGCGTGAGAAGTTGGCGATAGGCGAGACTGCTGAATTGGTGCTTGTCGATCACCAGGTGCTCGTGGCGTGGCGTGGCGGAGCAGCCAACACTGCAACTTGAAGAGAGCTGACTTGTTGATGGTTGACCAGAGTTTGGAGCAGGACTGCTTCTTGTTCAATATAATCGGCAAGATCCTTCCCTTCTCGTGGAGTGGATGGTCGAGTTATTGAAAACAACGGTGGTTATCCGTGACAGGGACCCCGCTTTCAGGCAACTGTGGGCTGTCAGTATTGAGTGCAATATACCGACAATCTCAGACAAGATTGAGGTCTGCTAGTAGTGAGTGACAGCAGCAATACTTTCTGAAAGATGGTGAACAAGCACAGCCGTGACCCGAGCGTCTTCTGCCCGCCTTTTCTATTATCTGTTCCTGGATGATGGAAACCTGATGTTGAGTTCCAGTTCAGGGTCGGCGATGAAATCAACGTGGTTGGAAGTCCTAAAAAGTGGGGAAGGGCGGCCCATGCCCACCACCCTCTGGGCCAGTGACTCAGTGACGCCCCCAATGCCCAATACCCACCTAGCTATCGCCTATCGATGCCGCCCAATCCTTGGAGCTTAAAGCCTGGACCCTCACTGAATTCTCCACCCATCGTCACCAATTGAACGCCACGACGAGGCTGGCGAACTCTGTCGCAAAACTTGCACTTGGTCCGAGCGTGTTTCAGCATCATTTGGAGAAAAAAGGATCTTACACTCGTGTTCCTAAGAACCATTCCACCGCAAGCTGGGATCTGGTGGAAATTAGAAGAGAGAGCCCCTCTCATTAGCATTGCGTGTGACCCTAGAAATGTCCATATCCAGGCTTTTACAGGATTAAGAGGGCGGTTTTGAAGGAAACGCACCAGTCAATGGTCATCGTTGAACATTCTGGCTCTCGCACGAGCTAATCATCGTCGGCAACTGACAATAAGCTCACAGACGCAATGGCTAGTCTTCTCAATTCTTCTTCCCTTTCTATCTACCTGGGTTCGCAGTGACAATGACTGGTCGGAGGAAGTATCAGATACGACTACTGCCATCTACTGCACCAGTACAGTTGTCCTGGATTGACCTATTATTGACCACCAACAATCCTTCCTGTCGTCCACCTCGAGACAACCTTTCTCCCAAGCCAAGTTGAATCTTTCCGCTGCGCTTTTCATCGGCTGATGAGAAGGTTGCCGATTTGACTTGAAAGAACTTTGCAGCAGGGAAATACTTCCTGTCCCCAGATTGTACTCCGTAGCAAGAAATGCCCCAACGGAGAAAAGAAATGTTTAAACCACAAATTCGCTCACTTGACAAACTTTTCCTGCTCGTAATAAATCCAAGACTCATGAACATCCTGGTGCATCCTGGCCCCAGGCGCTGCCAAAGTTGGTGCTGTTTCTGACCCTTAGTTTGGGACCATCATTGTCTGCTTGAGCGGATGATGCTTCGTCCCTCCCATTAGTTCCTGTGTCTTGACTGCCGTTCGATAGCAAAGAATCCTTTCTAGAGCGCCTCGCTGCTGCGGCCTCAGAGAGTTTGGCATCTACCAATCCCAGAAATGTACTGGAAGCTTCACTTTTGGCACCAGGATCAAGCATCAGTGGGCCCGTAAGAGCTGGATCTTCTTCCGTGGCATGTACAGGGTCTTCCTCCATTTCGGGTTCTTCCTGAATGATTTGATCCTTGACGTCTGTATGGCGTCCCGCCTCGGAACTGAAGGAAAAATAAGAATCCGAGTTTTCGGATGGCCGGAGGGGTGGTCTTCTGGTTGGCACCGGAGCATAAGGCTTCTCTTGTCTGGGTGTTATGCGCTCTGAGCTCGCAGAGCTTGAGACGGTGCCATCAAAAGCCATTGGAGTATGTCCAGCATGTCTCTTCAATTTTTCATCCAACGGTGAGAGGAGCCCTTTGATCTCGACTTGCATTAACCCGTCTGCTGGATGCTTAGGCCTGGGAGAAGGAGACTGTACAGGACTAATGAACTGAGGGCTCGCTACTTTGTTAAAGGAGGAGGTCAAAGCTGTCGATCGGAGTGTGATGCCGTCGAGAGTCTTATCCACTTGCTCGATAGGTACCGGAATACTCTCTGCCCTCTCCTGAGATGTTGGAGACACCTCCTTCGTCAGAGGTGCGAGTGGTGCATTTTCCGAAATGCTTGGCAGATGTGCTATGTCGTCGTCATGAGAGAAAACTCGAGTAACGGGTGGTGTAAATTCGGGGCCTTTCCAGACCGGTTGAGCTAGGTGAGTCGCCGGCTCTGACAGAATGCGACCACGGGCTGGACCATTGAAGCCATTGTATGATGCGAATGATGTCCGAAATGAATCTCTATTTGCAGCTGAAGAGTCGTTGCTCGACCGTCGCTTGGGATCTCTGGCTCGGTTGATCTTCTGTTCCAGCTCCTTTATACGAGCTTTGAGTGCTGTTCGCTCAATGTCCCAAACTCTTCGTTCACTCTCATGTGTTTCTCGGAGCTGCGTGTTCAGCCTCCGACACTGGTCGATATAGGCTGAAATATCAACTCCGGGAACAGGATTGTGGATTGAAAATGAATGCTTTGGCAGCTGACTTGCTGAAGCAACAGGAGGAAGCAGGGGAACATGGGTTGTGGCAATGGAGTGACGACCGTGCATGGGTAGATTCTGGGTAAACCGGACGTTCTTAGCGGAGGCATCGTTGCCGTCGAATTCAGACAATGAACCCATGGCGGTGTCTTCTTGATTCAGCGGTGAGAAGTTGTCCAGATCGTGTGCTAGAGCCGGGGAAGGGTCGAATGCATGTGTTGGTGAAGCTGGTCGAACATCCATGAGGGCTGCAATTGGATGATGTGCTCTGCAGAGGGAGAGATGGAAATGAACAGGGAGATGCGGCCACTATCAGGGAACGGTCGAGAACTGGTAGCTGTAATGGAGAGGCTAACCCTAGAGTACTGCTTCTATGAGAAAGGAGTGAATATGGTGCCGTGCTTGGGTACACGCTGCAGTTGGTGGAAGAAGAGCCGAGGTCGGCTAGTGACTAAGATGGCTGGCGAGAAAAAAAAGATGTTTTGAGATACAAAAGGCAATTTGCAGATGCACAATGAAAAGTCCTGATGAAGAGGCGATGGATGAACTTGATAAGAAAGATGGATGAAGCAGTATATTCTGCCAGTGTCAGTGAGTGCGTGAGATGGAAGGAGCCCACTAAGTATTATCGTTGGCTGGAATTGAATCTCGTGGCAGTCGATGTGATGTGTTGGAGCAACGCAACTGCGACTCTGTGAAGACCGTGACTATGGAGTACTTGCAGGCCGGTCGGTGCCCACCGTGACGGTAGGCACGAATCATGGTAGTGGTGATGACGTTGGCGGGATCGAACCTACAAGGTGGGTGCGAAGCAAGCCTAAGGATGAATGGAAGCAAGCCATTTGGATGTACCCGTACCTCGTACGGATAGTGGATACAGAGTCCAAGTGTCCCCGTGAAGACTGAAGGGTCAGATAATGTCAGGGTCCGGCTGTCAACCTTCAGAATTAGTCTTTAAAGGTTGCACCGGGGCATCGCTTGACGATTCTTGGGCAGCGCAGATCTGGGAACATGTCACCAACGAACATGGGATGCGCTGTTGAAGTCGACAGTAGCCCCCGTCCGCGCCGCAGGTCCCTGAAGCTAAGTCCACCTAGTAGAAAGGGGGTCCGCTGCACCAAGAACAGCCATCCACTGCCAGCGGCACACATTTTTTCAAAAGAATTCACGGACCAACACCGGCACGTGGCTTCGTATTCCCTCTCACGACTCACAATCATCGTCAAGGTTTGAACGCTGGAATTTCACCATAACCTTTGGCTCCGTGATATATCCACCACCATACCCATGCGGCCTATGAACCCGATTGCCGACCATCAAGGAGTATCTATCTGTGGCCTGCATGCGGCCTTTGCCAGAAATCCCACATGTGATACACGTGGATGTGGCAATAGAGAAATGCACAATCGCAAGCGCGCTGAAGCCATATTGGCGTCCACATGTCGGTGATGTCAGTTCACTTCGAAAAGGTTTTCAAATGCATGTGCATGTTGACACTGAACAAAAATCGGTGCTCTCTCGGGCATCATATCCTTCCGGCAGATTCACGATAAGGAATTTCAAAGGACTACGTCGTAGGTGCTCACTAATGTGATCCTATGGCCACGGAGTGTTATACCCAACTGCTGCTTCCTGAGACTAGTTTACTCTTAAAAGTTATGCCCTGTCTCTTAAAAATGTCCTGGAGGTTCTCAGTGATGCTCACACTCTCGTTCCATTTACAGATGGTAATGTTGATTGGAGCACGTAAAGCCGGCTAAATCTTCTACTCGATGGTATAAGAAGGATTATTGCAATGCTCTTGATTTGGAAAGCTTTTGTTTGGAATAGGATGTTAAGGTATTGGAAGATACAGCCATCTCGGCAAGATGCATATTTGGTGTAGACTGTCCCATCAACCTTGTTGACTCTCGATACTTCAGCCCCTGCACCACTGGTTAAGAATGGAAAAAGCAATCAAGCCTTCCCGGTTCCTAGGAGTATGCATCGCTAAAAGAATATCGACTTCTTCACGTTCAGGTTCCCACTATAGCACGTATTTATGCGGTGGCTGCGACCTCCTCAGAAGTACCGTTGGTGCCATTTTCAGTGCTCTCGAAACCCTCGGCGCCATCTTCCTTGCCAGGGCTATCGATGGCAACTTTGACAGCAATTTCACGACCTTCAATCTGTTTGCCATTCATCTCATCAACGGCTTTCTTCTGTAGATCTTCAGAGCCAAGAGTCACGAAACCGAAGCCACGGCCCTTGCGAGGCTCGTTGCGGGCTTGAAGTTTCTTGACCATGAAGCGAGGGATCGGGCGAAGTGCAATCTTTGCAGAGCTGGGATCGTAGGCTGCAAACAATTCCTTGAGCTGTCGTGATTGTTAGTTGGGTCATTCTGAAGGACGGACAAAATACACACCTTCTCCTCGCTAAGGTCATAAGGAAGATTGGCAACCATGACCTTGGTGGTAGATGGGATGCCGTCCTCTGGGGGCCCTCGCTGCTTTGGTGGGCGAGGAGTCCGGGATTTGGCATCCGCAGAGGGAGCGGCTTGCTTGTTGGCCTCTGCGGTAACATCGGTCAAGGGGAGTGGGTTTTCGGCGAGATCGGTGGCGGGAGCGGCGGTGCCATCCTGGATGTCAAGTCAGTACAATTGTGTGGATGTGAGAGATGTGTCAGACTCACAGATCTGGCTCCTCCACGAGCACGACCGCCTCGTCCGCGACCACGGCCGCCACGGCCCCGACCAGCGGATCTCTTGCGATCAGCATCACCTTCGGCGGCGGAGTCGTTGCCAGTGGCGTTCTGCTCAGGCTTGCGGGCAAGTTGAACAGAGACCTTGCGTTCGAGGATATCCTTGCCTGACAGATTGGTGATGGCTTTCTCGGCCTCGTCTGCGGTCTTCAAATCGACAAAGGCATAACCGACGGGGCGGTTGGTGCGTGGGTTGACGGGGATTGAGGTTGACTCGCTGGATTGAGATTATATTAGAGAGGAATTGATGGAAATGATGAGATTGATGACACGTACACATCATAGCCTGAGAAGAAGGTCTTCAATTCCGCCTCAGTTGTCGCATAAGCGAGATTCCCTATATACAATCGACGACCTTCTGCGGCAGAAGCCAGAACTGCTTCATTGTTGGCAGCAGAGTTATCCTCCAGGCTGCTATTCTTGAGGTTATCTGCAAGGTTGTCGACGGCAGAAGACATTGTCGCTGAGGCACAAGTGATGGGATTTGGGGGATCGAGGACTTGTGAAATGGAAGAACTCAGGGAGCTGAAGGGCTGCCTTGGGAATTGATTAGATGAGGGGTTGGAAGGGTAGCTGGGTGCCCTAGATTCAAAGTGATTTTGAAGATGAGCGCGGGTTGTGATCAGAAGAAGGATGAATTGTTGATGGAAACAAAAGAAGAGAAAGAGTCAAAGGGGTGCCACAGGCTGAGAAAATAATTTAGCTTGGAGGGTTAGGGTGGCAGTTGCGGTGGAGGTTAGCGCCAACACTAGTCACGGAAGGGAAGAATGGAAGGTGATGGGGTGTGGGAAAATCAGGTGAATTGCGCTGGGTAAGATGCCCTTAGCCACACAATAATAATAGGCAGGCCCAGGGGACAAACGAAAGAAGTTACGGGGCACGGAGTAACTGGGTACCTAGGTACCAGCCAACAAGGCGGTGACTCCCCAAATGCGAGGTCACGCTAAGAAATTAACTCGATGCTGGATGGCAACTGCACCGCATGGCAATCGCTGCTACTCGTATGTTATGCAGCAAAACTGCAGGACCCAGGCTGCATTGATTTCCGCCTTGTTGGTAGGAAATCTCGGCTACTACTAGCAGGGACAATGGAATGTGGGAAGAAGAATACAGGTCGGGGCCTTCCTTGTTGCGGCCTAGCCTCGCCTGGGAAGCAAATCATCCATCGTCTTTCTCATCAGCCACAGCAGTTTCACGTGTGGTGATGTGCTGATCTTCGTTGTACCTGGCACCTTGGAGAAGTGGCAAATGAACTTCCAAGTCATCTGCACCATGGTGTTTAAGGCTATTGCAGCATCAATTGGTGAGTTTGTCTTTTCTCAGCCTGATTTATCTAATGCTCTACCAGCCAGCTAAATGGAGGTAGCCAGGCACCCAGCAGGCAGGCAAACACGTTTGGCGTCACCATTCTCGTAGCACAAACTACATAGGTAGTGCTTAGCCTCGAAATGGGCGTCAATTTGTGTAATACGCATCGATGCCTGCCCAGTGTGAATAGGTATATTACGCCAGGTAGCGCGAATCATGTAGACTCTTACAAGGCAACTTTGCGCGAATCATGTAGACTCTTACAAGGCAACTTTGATTTCAGTAAGAGTCATGATGTTAAAGGCATGCCTTCTGTATTTTGCGAAACCCTGCATGAGTTGGTCAAGGTCCCCTCTCGTATTGCTCTGCTCTCCTGCACTTCGGGCGCCGTATTGCCTTGCCCCTATTTGAATTGCCAGGATAACCTCTGGGCCATGGTCAAGGAATGGAACTAGAAATGCAGGATAGAGTAATCTTACCCTTTCAAAATGATGCAAGAGTATGAAGCATGGAGCAGTGCTATGAAATGGAATACTAAAAGTCGAATCTTTTAGAGGCGAACATGGTTCACATGGCAGATCGACAGCCTTTAATGGAACCCTTTCAGCCTTATGAGATGCACTTGGGTGGCACTACGGGCGGCCTGCAGGCAGTTGAGGTTGAAACTCAAGACTTTCTGCGGGCGCTACTCGTACCAAGGTTCCCTTTGTGGCAGATGAGGCTGAGCGATCGCGGCGCGTCTCAGCTTCAACACGAGATGGAAACCACTTGAGGCTGCACCTCAAGCTGAATGTCCCTCGACTACATCCGCTCTCTCTCCCCTTGTAAATACGTTCTTTCCTTTTTGCATTGACCCGATTCCTGTACAGTAGATTCCTCATTTCCTTACTCCTTCCATGTGACTCTTGTTCCTTACTTTCGCTCCAGCTCCTCAGGCAACCAAACGACAGCCTCGATCTCCTTTTCTCAATACTCCCTCAAGCAACCACCGTCACCACACAGCATTCGATCTCCTCCAGCCAATTTGGGCTTCTGTTCAACTTATCTCATTCATTCATTGAATTTTCCTCTCTTCAACATGCGGCTGCAACTTGACCACTATGGTCAGCTCAAAACCTACATCCATATAGGCCAAGCGGCGGTCCTCTTCATAGCCTGGGTCTTGACAATAGCACTTTTCACAAGAGATGGTACAACTGATGGTCGAGTAGGCTGGTACTTCGGGCTTGTAAGGTGTTCAGTGTGTTAGCCCGTATAAGTTCTGACCCTGTTAGTGTTTCCTGACGATTCCCATCCTGATATACTTGGTCATGGTTCCAATGTGGTCACGAGCTCGCAAATTCGCCAATGTCTATGCCTTTGCCTCCTTGGACTCCCTCTCTGTCTTACTATGGCTATCAGCCTGGGCTGCTGTGGCATCATACCTCAATGCAGGCAAAGGCAAAGGCGACAAAAAGGATGCCGAGGGGTGTGACAACTTTAAATTCGGCAGCCCGGGGCGATGCAAACTCAGTGGGGTACTCATCGCCTTTGGTGTAATTCAGATGCTGCTGTTTGCTGCCACGGCATTCTTCTCATTCAGGGCAGTCATGACGTTCAAGCAGACGGGCATGATGCCAGCCGGTCAGATGGGAGGGAAGCCCAGCGATTTTTCCGCCCAGAACCAGGATGCCTTCTCGAGTAACATGCGGACAGATGAGGAATTTGATGAAGATCGAGAGACTGGTGGTCGTCCAGAATACAACTATCAAAAGCCCTCTTTTGAAGATGAGTATGCCCCTATTCATCAGAACGACCATGATGACATGGCTCATCTGCCGCCGGCTCAGGCACAAAGTCCTCTGAATCAGTCGGGCCTAGGCATTCAATCATATGACACAAGCTACAATAGCCGATTCGAAACGCAGCAGACTTCAGTTCGATGAAGCTCTTCAGTCTTTATCCGAAACAAAACGCAAAGGTTGGGTTCAATCGAGGCGTTCCGAACTCATCTTTTGAGTGGTTCACAGGAGTTCATTTTGGGTCATCACAATACCCAGGTGGTTACGTTTTTTGGCATAGATAGAGATGGTTCATTTTCAAAGCGTCGGACGGTTGCTTGTTGGGTTACCCATGCCATTCCATCGGTATCAGAGGGACGGTATGATACTTGAATAACAATCAACAAGATTGTACAGTTTACAAACATTCATACATCCTCATTCATCATGCCCTACATCCCTATGTTCGATTCTAGAACTACCTGAACTCTCACATAACCCGAGTGCTCCAACAGTATCAGTATCAGGCGTCCAGGGCCCAATATTGAACCCAGGGGACAGCCTCGCTGCAGATCCGGCCCCCTCTAAGCACGGAAATTTGACACCCATGGTTATCCATTCCAATGCTACCCACACGCCCTGTCCTGGAACTTGTCAATGCTTTCCATCGGGCAAGGTAACGTAGTCAAGCGAGTATTCGCTTCCAATCCCGATGCTGGATCCAACAGCATAGCTCCGGAGCCATGGCAGCGTGGAGGGCATGCACTCAAGGATGAAGAAGTCAAGTGCTGTCTGAAACCTGGATAGGAAACGACCTGCGAAGACCCAGATGCAGTAGTTAGGCATGCACGTATGAGTTGGGTGGTTTCTATTTGTTATGCGGCCTCGATGGGATTGTCCTTCGGTATTGAGACTCCCCATAAGATACGGCTAAACATGAGGTACCTGTTGAGGGACGTGAGATGACAGCGTCGAGAACTGGACTAGGTACTTTGGGGTTTTTTTGGGTTTGAATTGACATTTCAATTGTGCTTGATTGAAACTACTACTGTACACATTCATTTGCGTTCCCGATTTACTTCTCATCTCTGGGGCATCTCCTTTCTGCTACCTCTTTTCTGTGCTTGGGTCTTCATCAATAAATAGCTCCACAGAGTTTTGCGGTCAGAGGCTCTTTACATCCTTCAGCCAAGGTAGAAGTAGAGAGCTCGTCACAGCTGCAGTGCCTGCCATTGGGACATGATCTCTAATCCACTATCTTGCAATGATCGTGATTTAGCCTCTGATTTAGTCCTTGTTGGATATTGTGCATGTTCATGTTGATGAAAAGAACTCCATAATCCATCACTTTTTATGATGTCTCAATAGTCCCTTAAAGCACCATCAAGATTGATCCGCAAATATCGTTCCATCCTGCTCTTTCTGTCGATAGACATGATCGCATATTTTGGGGACAACAAAAAGAATCGGTGAGAAACGAAGGGTATTCCTGTCCTGTGCCTCCAAAAGCTCTTCAAACATGCTGAAACCAATTCAATCTTTGCTCGTGTAGATGACCTCCACGACTCGCGCCTTGACGCCTGTACAAGTTCAAGCCATACCGGTCATAGTCCAACATAGGGAAGTAATCTCCCAAAAATAAGTACCAATAAAAAGGTGCGTGCGCATTCATTTCCAGAACAAGGCGAGATAGAATCATCCAGTATTGCTACTGATCTCGAGCCCACGACATGACTTGTCGTAGGAATTGTTATCGTTGTCCATATGAATAGTGATGTGCTGAAGGAAATGCCTCGTCATGAAAGTCATTAAAGATATGGGTGGGTGATAGCCTCGCTTATCAGCTCCACCCAGATCTGGGTTGCTGGTTGCTGTATGCTGAAATCCTTCTCCAAGTCGTCGCGCACGATCTTATAATAGGATCAAGTAATTGCTCGGAGCGATACCGGTATCACCGTTCTCCTTCTTGGCTTGCCACCATCGCCCGCTGACATCTGAGACTTCGAGGATTTCATGTTTGCTGAAACTTATCTCGTTGGCGTCGTCGGGATTGGCCTCATAGCTGTAGATGGCCTTGGCACGATAAGGATATTCTGTTGGCTGTGGAGCCTCAGCCACCGGGGCAGGGGCGCTGGCTGTGTTGGCCATCGGTTGTGCCGACGCGCGTGCGGCCGAGCCTGCTGGTCCACCTGGGTAACCAGAAACGGGAGACGAAGTCTCGAAGCCATTTAGTTGAGCAGAGGTGTACATCTGTGGGGGTGGAGCTGTTGGTGTCGTGTCTGAGCGGTAGACATTGGTCATGCTTTGGGCTGGGCCACGGAAATCGCCACCCTCCTTGTTGAGAGCGAGTTGGTCGATGAACATTCTATGCGAGGCTTGGGGAGTGGAACCAAAGTAAAAGACCCAGATAACCTGTGTCTTGTGAGCAGGGAGATGACCAAGCCGAAGAGTCAACTTACGGTGACAATGGAGAGCAGAATGTGGCCAGCAGCGGCAGCTTCCATGGCGCCCTTTGGTGAGTATATTAGTTGATTGACGGTGGATGTAGTCATGACGATGGCTGCAGACAGAAACCCGACCACCTAGGTTTGTTAGCGTACGCGAACGCAAACATTGAATGTAGGTCTGTACTTACGGCGATACTGTAGATGTGACTGGTGTTGGTTCCGAAGACGACTGTGACGCCCACGATACAGCATAACATGTAGGCAACACTCCACCATGCGTACTTGGGGAAAGGATCATTGACATCTGCAATGATGGAAGAAATGAATGCAATCACCCATGCAAGCTGTTCACGTGGTTAGTGGAGGGGCTTGAGAGGGAATACGAGTGGTACTATACCAGAGCGATTGAGATTGTGGCCAACGCGAAGGGATCCCCCACAATGTTGCCAAAGGTGAAGGCCGAACTCCTGCGATATTCCACCATGTTGTCGTACTTTTTCAAAGATGGTGAATGCAGCGATCCGTACCCGGGCATGAAGGACTGGTAGTATTGACAGGAGGAGTCGAGAGAGACTCCTAGAATCGATTGAGAATGTCAAGGATGCAGAGACCGAGGGTATTCAGATGTACTCGTACGAGAACTCGAGGTCTTTCCGCGAGCAGGCTGGTGTGGTAGTTGGACCGGGCGCAGGAGGCTGAGTCGATGGATGGGATGGCGTGACGTGGTAACCCGTGAGTTTAGGAGAGAATCGATGCCAACGACACAGTCGCGGATGGATCACAAGCCAAGAAGACAAACAAAGTGGACTTGATCGGAGTCGAAGTGACGACAATGAAAAGACTAGCGATTGACAAAGAAAGAACGGGTTGGTCCAGTTTAGAAAAGAAAAGATGATGCCTGAACGAATGAATGAATGTGGTCCTGGTGTTGGAGGTTCAAGTTGGTTGGGAAGTCAGGAGGAGAAATGATCAGAGCACCGTTGACTGGCAGGGCAGGCAGGTAGTGGCCATGGCCAAGGTCCCAGGTTCGTGATGGGAGGATGGCAAGAAATGGCATTGGCAATTGGGGGGTGCCGAGGGCGGCCGGGGGTATCAGACCATGCCTAAACCAGTGGCTCTAGCACCGATAAGCCTCACGAGGAGCCCGTAATCTGTTTCAAATTCAACGCGCCTTCAGAGTCGATCGAGCCTCGATGTTCGTAAGCTCAATCACTCGTCGTCTCTAGATTTTGAATTTGCACTCCCTTGTTACGAAATGGCTATTTGATCTCGTACCGAGTCGGCACACGCAGGTCACGACATTTTCGTCGATCATTTCAGCTACAAAGTTGACAGGAGAAATCGTGGGTGGCTGCTCTTTGTGAGAGGCCATGGGTCTTGGGGTCTCAACCCTCAGTCTCAGGTGCCGAGTCCCAGGCCTGCCTCTCACCCTCGCTCAGAAGCAGCACTGAACACGCGTCGGCTTAGGCACAAACAAGCGCTGCGTGGCACGTAAACACACGTCCCACATCAGAGCCGCTCATTAATTCAGACTTCATCTGTCTACTTACTCTGTACGGTGGAATTGAAGTCCAAGGGTAATTTGGCAAGAGGGAACAAATCTCTTGTTCGTCCACACCGAGATCAAATGGTTCCTCCTCTCCATCTACGCCTCATCGCCCCTTGGATCCCTGACACCCGGATGGCTGCTCATCCGCGAACGATGCTCCATGAAATGAAACTGATCTTGACTCGTGCGAATGATTGGATCGCGACGCGTCTGAACCCTGGTCGCTCTTCAACCAACGTTCTCGCCCAATCCCGATCAATCCACTCTCTAGCCCCTAAAAAGCTTGTGGTTGTTCCCGCAATCCTCTTGACGAGGCTGGAGATTTGCAGTCCGTGGGCACTGAGCACTGAGCACTGATCACCAACGAGCACTCGCCACACTTTGTCATTTGCTCCTGCGATGTGTGGCGCAATGTTGATCTTGAATATTCTGTCCCAATTAGACTATTATGCCTCGACTTCTGTTGGTGAATCACCCGAGAGAGGCCAAGAATCTACCCAGTATGTGAGCCTGGTCCTCAATGCCGGTGTGCGACCTGCTGCTCTGGCATATGTGATATGTTCATGTCATTATCGCAAGGTCAGATACCCCTCGTGATCATGTTGCTACAGTCGTTGCTTCAGATGGACCAGCAATGATGTCAACAATTGTTACAGTATGCTGGATCGTGCCCGTCAGTCCAATTTGGTATCCTACTTTGGGACGCCTTCCAGAGGCTTACGAATGCTGTGATGCTGTGACTCGTCACAAGTATCCTTGTTCGTCTTTTGCTCTTCTTTCCCACCGTATGACGTTTCTTTCAACATCGGCAATCCGCGATTCCCAATCCTGCCACATATCACCCATGCCCACGATACCCGTAGTCACCCACCATTCGAGGCAGCGTGCACTACGCTCTCGAAGTTCGCGTACTTCTTCCTCCATTTGAAGCTCGACCATCCGAGCCTTCTCCAGTCCTGGACGCAGGGCAATCAATTTGGACGTTTGCACCGCGAGTGGGATTTGTAATGTTTGAAGAGAAGAAAGTCGCGAAGCTGTCTCTGGATACAATGATGCATGAGCAAGCACAACGGACGCTAGAGTGGCAAGGTCCTCTGATTTCGGTACGTCTGAACCCCCTCGAGAAACTGTAGCAAAAAGATCTGGATGAGTAGATGCTGGGCTGGTGATTAGTTGTCCTGCTTTCAAACAAAGGGGCCGACATACACAATCGATCTATGTCTCGAAGCACCGCACCAGCATGTCCATCAAGGTTCTTGAGATTCTTCAAGCCATCCTCAAGAATTTCGAGTTTTGTTTGAATTGTCTCTTTAGCTTTTGCTGGTTCTGTCACTGGGTAGGGTTGTCCAGAATCGTTGCTCTTGCCACTAAGTAGGAACTCAAGTCGATGCAGACGCGTTTCTAGTAGTGCGAGAGTTGCGCGTGCAGCAACTTCAGGATCCGCGATTTCCGCAGACATCTTTACCCGAATCACAAAGATCTTCAAGAAGTTGAGTTCAATGTTGGATATCAGTAATTCGAAACAATTACTGCCCTGCCGGCATCCAAACTTCCACTTCAACTTCAGAACGTTGATTTGAATCGCGTGCAAATCCTGTAAACATAGCAAACAGCAGAGGGGCAAACAGGGCAAACAAGGCAAACAGATTGCTGGGCAGTGATTACTTAAGCAATTCACGTGTGGTTACCTATGTTTGAGTGAAATTTCTACTGGACCAAGACTTCAACTTTGCTCCGGCCTGCAGATGTCTCTACACCGAGTAGAGCTGCTGTTCACAGAGACGCTCGCATCAGTTTCCTATACTAGGACCGCTGTCTCACTTTGATGCGGAAATAATGGTTCCACTTCGGCTGGCGTAACACAGTGACACGCTCTAAAAGATGGCTGGGAGAATGTCTGGCACCCAACCTTCAGCTCAAAATACCATTTGCTGTTGCAAGCCACCCAACGAGTCAGGGTTTCCATCTCGCCGTTTAGCGAACCCGAGCCGCTACCGGAGCTTGCCTAGTTTTCCAACGGAAGACCTCAAATCGACACGTTCGAAAGTACATTAGCGGGGTTTTTCGTCCTGCACGTAAGCGCATGATGGCCCTCGGAACAAATAATCCATCGACGCAAAGGAATAATCTATTGTTGTGGATAACTGATTGTACGTGAGATGTTTCCGACAATCTCAGTATGTTTGCCTTCAGTCTCAAGATTCATGGTAGTACAATCTCGAAGATTTCAGCACCGAGTTTCGAAGTCTGTTGGTTCGTCGAGGCTTGAAGCTTCACACCCATTTGGGAAATCCCTGTCAAGGCTACCCAATCATCAGGCGTCGACGCTAGCTTTAGACCTCGACCAGCCGCGAATATTCGCAGTTACGAAATGCAGCTATGTTCAAAATCATGGGACCATGGATCGACCACCTCAGTCCAGGTTATCCTGGTTTTTGCACATGGTCGGTCGGAGCAGACTTCACGGCCGAACCATCCTGTCAAAAAGAATGCCAGCAGCTCGCCGTGAACTTTCTCTTCCACACCTTTGCTTGAAGCCTTGACCTTCATCGACAGCTCTTAGACCTCACACTGCCCTTGCTGTGATGCCACCCGGCTCTCGATCGCGAGGCTGCAACACATGCGCAATGGCCCCTCCAGATCCTCATCGCTGGACTTATACCGATTATGTCTGCTTTCTCAGAAGCCATGGTTTTCACAATCTTGCTTGTTTGGACGACTATCTTCGATGGGGAGCCGAGGCTCGACAGAATTCTTCGATACCGCAACCTCAGAAATCGACATCCATTCTACTGGAATTTGGCACCACCGGCCTGAGAACTTCAGACCTTACCGAACCTTCCAAATTGAGACTTCTGCTGAAGGAATGGACGAAAAACCGGCCTGCGGAGAGCCCTCAGCTCCAAAATGTCCAAGGTCGGATTATCATGGTCAACAACATCAATCCTGAGATTGTGGATACATTAGGCGGAATCTTGAATATTGAACCAGCTTTCTTTGCGTCTCATATAGCTGATCCTGGCCTCGGAAGCCTAGGAGAAGTCCACACCGGGTCACCACTCGCCTCGGCAAATCTTCGTCACCAAAAGGATTTCTTCAGCCTCGAATATCCATGCGCTTTTGTTCCTGCAAATTGTGGTAAAGACGTTGATATCGACAAATTATACTGCAAGGGGAACTATCGTCGGAGAGTAGAAGTATGCGGCAGATACGGAAAGCAAAAAGTTGCTGTAGCCCGCCGAAAGATTTCATTCTACATGAAGAAAACCCTGGATCCATGGTTATGTGAGTACCATTCTTATATGTGCTTTCAACACAACCCATCGATCCCCTGATGTGTTCCTCGAAAGATACTAACTCGTTCAATAGGTGTGGTATTGGTCGATCCTCCAGTATCATTTTTCACTTTAGGAGCCGAACCCGCATTCGGGGCCTATTCACCATCCCAGAAGCTCGACGTAAGCGGATTTCAAGGTGGTTATCTGGACTTCCTCGAAATGCGAAAACCAGTCAACAAAGATGACCACGACTTCCGGGCCTGTGGATCGAGACCCATGTGTCCCAACCCCTTCGACGACCTCTGTCGACACTGGCAGATCAACGCGCGAGAAGGGAGGTTGAATCTGACCGACAAGAACATTGTCAACATCATGAAGCCAGCCTTCCAGATAGCAGCGAGCGAATGCGTCAATTTCTTCGACTATATCCGAACCTCCCTAGAAAGCCAGCCGATATCGACATCCCTGGCGCAGGACGCCATCAAGACGAGAAAGACGCTCGACAGGTGCATCGCGCTCGATTCGATGCTAAGCCGATACAAGCCGATCCTCACAAAGATGAAATCCTTCGTGTCCAGCGACTCCGACCTCACCGACGACTATCGCAGTCTTTTGATCGACTTACACCACTACCGCGCCGAATGCGACTCCCAGATGCAGCACATCCTCGCAGTATCACAGTGTCAAGACACCGCGGCTTTGAATTCCATAAAGGGCGAATCCGTCCGCCACGCCGATTACTCGCGATATCTGACCATCATCGCATTGATATATGCTCCGTTTGCGCTCGCTTGCGCCATCTTCAGCCTACCGCATGACTTTGCGCCTGCTGCGCACTACTTTTATGGCTTCTTGCCTGCCACCGCTGGTGTAGCCATTCTATTCCTTCTCCTCGTGCTCCCTGAGGCCCGCGACCCGCTGCCCAGCATCAAAGCTGCTCTGTGCGGGAAACTGACGAAGAAAAAATTGCTGGCACCCAGGCCACCTAGCAGTCGGGCCAGTGTTGGCGAGAAGCGTATTGTCGAGGAAGTATGAAAAAGGCACCCTTACTGGACCTGGTATCGTTGAGTCGCTCTCGTCGAAATCAAGGGGCGAAATCAGACCTCGATAAGCTTTCGCCTTAACCTCCGTCATCTGACTCGGATAGAGTGCCACGATCGGGATTATGATTCATCGCATTTCCAGAACTAGAAGCCGACGCTCTGTCCTGCCTTGCGGGTTTCGGACTAAGGATTTGGTCTACGAAGCAAGAGTCAGGAGCTGAAGCGAAGGAAAGAAGGTACTTAATTGCTCTCATCCACGCGCTTTCAGACACCATTACATCCACCAGAAGCTTGATAATATGAGGTTGCGTTATCGAGATGGTATTTATACGTGCGAGAAAGTCCTCCCCAGCGGGAGAAGACACTCGAATACAGATACGAGGGTACCGTTTCCTGGCAACAGGTGCTGCAAGATCACCGATCTGCGTACCGCGTTGGGAATAGGGAAGATACATCCTACGTAGTATCTAACGGCGGGAACCACAGGACCGCGATACTATATCTCGTTGCTACTATGAATGACACGTGTTGAACCATACTTCATGAGACTCTGTAACAAGCTCGAAGTCCTTGCTAGCTTCTCTTAGACCCTCGCAAGCCTCACATCTAGTCGCAGACATTTGGTTTTTCCTTCTAAAAAGGGTGTTGTAGTAATTTTACAATATTGTCCCTTGCTAGCTAGCTGATGAGACCAACACCAGGGGTATTTACATATAAAGGACAGTAATATATACATATCTGACACATGAGGCATCGGGTCACAGAAATCGAAAGGTCCATCGATGGCAGCTGACAAGAAAATTCACACCTCGACTTTCGTCGGGATTTTGACATGCCCTCGTTTCCTGTCCTCTCTGGGCACACCATACCTGAACCCAGGACTCTGAACACCTCGACCGTCAAGACCAGTTCCTTGTCTGGTTGCCTGGACCTCGGTGACGATGAATTGCCATCGATCGGTGTCGACTCGAGTCTTCTTGCTCTCTTCGTAAGCCTCCCGTTTGGTTTTGGCAGCGTCTCGATTCTCCTTATCCTCCTTAAGACGTTCGTAGTAGCGCTCCTGACGCCGACCACGATCAAGGTCTTTATCCTTCGCGTACGCGATCAAATGTGGATGGGGAATTCGGCTGTCGGCGGGTTTCAAGACATATTTCTCCCGCCCAGGTTTTCCAATTCTCTCAGGCTTGGTGTCCTGCCACGGTTCAACAGCTCCTGTGCCCCCTTGGCCAATATCCTCAGCGTCTGGTAAGCGTGGTGCGCCACTGAAAACGCGACCTGCGTCTGTACGGTTGAATGCTCGAGATTCAGATGTTGGGTAGAAGAGTTGAGTGAGAGTGAGAGGATGTTGTTCGAGATCATTGATTGGCTCGTGGACGTCGAGTGGTTTTCTGGTATTGGGGTCGAGTTGGGTAACGGGAACCATTGCATGGATCGCCCTTGCGTAGGGTATGGCGAGTTGTTTTTCCTAACATCGACATAGGTCAGTGTTTAATCGCTTCAAGTCAATACAAGTAAGGTCACTGGGGACTCGGCAAGAGTTCAGAGAGTTGTAATTTGTTTTGTTTAGTTCACCATGCTTGGAAGTCTGGAAGACTAATCGATTTTGTTGTTCATCAGGTAATTGCTGCTCCAGGAGCAACGCGTGGAGAGAGTGCAAACTCAAGTTGGAACTCACCTCTGCCTTCATCCGGTTCTCTACTTCCACCAGTCGAATGACAGCAGCTACTCTTCGCATATCCACACCCATTTCAGCAGAAACTTGCCGAATAGATTTCTTGTTCACTTGTACTCGTCGCCATATTTCCAGTCGCATCTCTTCCGATAATATACTTTGGGATGTAAAATGGACATTCATGGGGAAAGGTCGCAGATCCTCAGCGGTTTCTTTTGGAATATCTGAGCCCTCGGCAGCTGCGTCCAGTGCTCTCGAATCAGCTGTCTCCGGTGTTGTTGAAGGGTTGGCTTCACCACGTTTGGTCGCACGGATCAGATTCCCTGTTCTATCGTATGCATTGAGGTAATTGGTAGAGCCCGGAAGAGGATGTCGAAAGACCTCCCCAGGGCCTTCGAGCCATTGTAAAAACTTTCTTCGATGAAGAGTCGGCTGACGTTGAGTTTCCACTGCGAAGACTGCTGGAGTAGAGGAGAAGTTGCGCCTTAGACAGGACTTGCAGTGTGTTCCGCTTGATGGCTTTGGGAGGACTGATGTTGATAGACAGGGTGGTGCTCGAGGAGGCATCTTGCTCTGCTAGCACCTCGGTGCTGGAACGTGTGAGGCGGTCACAATAAGTACATTTGTTCACCCTAGTAGCAGTGTGCTGTTGCAGGCGAGTGGTAAGTAGAGTAATAAGAAAGGGAACAACGGTGATCAGGATGTAGAGAAGCTAGAGTTTGTAGGTCTGGGTGATCTTTTGCGGTTTTGTTGGAATAATTTCAGGAAGAGCACATATTCGGCTAAGTTGCCTTATCAAGGTATTGGTTTGGAGAAGTCACGTGTTATCACTTTCCTGCCCCCTTTTGCCCTCCCCCATAAGGCTCCATTTGGTGTCGACTAGAGCGACAGCCAATGTTAAATGAAATCTTCATCAGTCATTAAAGATCTTTGACGAGACCAACTATAGGCCATCCAGTCTCTATCGTCATTATAATACATTTACAACCCTCATCACAGCGTTGATGGATGGTGGACAATATCACACCTTAGACCCTGATTGTCCGCGTGTTCCCAGATTGCCAAACGCCTCGCAAAAAAGCAGTACTAAAGCAAACCCAAAGAGCGACATAAAGCTCGGCTGATGCAACAGACGACTCATCGTAAACAGCCCTCGCGAAGTACTGATCTGCGTAATTTAAGCGATGATAGTTATGGTCTTCCGGCTAGCCGTTGGTACTGTTCGACCACAGGAGATCCGAGACCCCAAGACTCGTTCATGGTCGGTGGTCGAGTGCGCCTAAATTTTGCACGTTTTGTTGTTTGGGGCGTCCCAGGTGTATGGTGGATCATAGGGCTGAGTTCTTCGTCTGTACATCTGATGGAGAAATGAGGATGTCGGCCAGTACTGCTGAGTGGTTGATACTGAAAGCCTTCTAGATCACCATCGGTATTCGTCATGTCGACCGTCCACTTGCGAGCGATCACCTCACCCTTTGGTCCACCTCCACATGCGCCGTACAATGAAGTGCTGGGCGGAGAGTTCACTGCAAGAGCGAAAAGATTTTGTGGCTCGGTATAATCGGTCACATAGCCTTCTGTTGTGAACTTCCAGCACAAGTATCCCAAGGCGGTAGCACTGAGGAGGAATGTTGTAGAGAGTACAACATAAAACAGCGATTGCCAACCTTGTGTTCCACCTGAAGCATAGTCTTTGTAAGTATACATAGCTGGGAAACTCTGATATTGAGGTTCGGAAAGTGTTGTCTCGGTATAATTCCAATCATGCTCAAAAGGACCGTCTTGGCTCGCGAGCAAGAGGGTGCCCCCAGCAAGAACGCCAAGTGCTTCGCCAATGGTTGGTTTGGTCGTTGGGAGAGTAGTCGGTGTGTCTCTGTCATATTCAGGGATATACTGGGTAAGCAATCGAGCTGATGATGCATTTGCATCAGAAACTCCATTGTTCAAGGCAAGTGATCTGATCCCTGTTGGTTCGTGTTATTTGAATTCCTGGCATTTCGAACAGTAATAGACGAGACTTACATTCACCTCCAATATCCTTCCAATCACTATTCCACACTCCAATTGGCGCATCAGGTCTTGTTCGATAGTAAGGTAGCGTATTGCGCTTATCATCGTCACAGTGGACCGTAAGCAGACCCCCAGATTGTGCAACCTTATAATAAGTAGTACAATTGCGATATAATGCTGACTTAATGGTGCAAAGAACATGTTCGTTGGTGGTAGTGTCTTTCGGAGGTGTGGCGAGCAACGAGATCGCGGGAGGACCCCAGACTGAGGGTATGTGGACAATAGTATTATACTCTGGAGAGATCATGTTAGCACTATTTCGTCAATTGGGGAGCACTGTATAGATATACTCACCGATGGGGATTTTTGGGAAGAAAGGGGTAGTCTTAACCTCTGCGTCAGGATCAAAACCAAAGATACTATCGACGACCGTAGCATTGGGCACGTAAGTGGTAACATTGGTCACATTGACAATCTGTAAAACGTTGGTCAGCGAAAGGTTCCGACAATGAATCCCAACAAAAGTAGCATGTCACTTGGAATGGTGTGCGATTGAGTGCTCCAGAAGCACATTCAATATGATTAAAGTGTACCAATTCGCCCGCTTTGATACCAAAAATGGCGCCCCATTGGAGATGTGAAAAGGGAATGGAACTCACCATCGGACTGAGCTCTTCTGCAGATAAACCCACGCAAAGAATGTTGACGATGGGTGCTGGTAAGGAGGCTTGAACAATATATTCTCCTGCGCCCTGAAGATCATTAGGTTGAAGAATATGGTTGCTCTTTTCTCTGACAGCCTTGAAAATGCCTGCGTGTGGCATGGCCATAGTCACATTCTCCACAAGCCGACCGTGAGTAGTCGAATCAGTCGTGATATTTTCTCGGCTCGGAGTGATCCACTGGCCATTGACAGTTGTATTATCGTACAGAACGGCCACAGGCAACGGACGATGATCGAAGCTGCTCGCACTGTCTGTGGTATTGCCTGCCGCAACACTCTCTGTCCAGTCTCTAAGAAATGACGACAGGAAGGAGAACCCCATCCCTGCGTGTTTTATTTGGAGGCAGGTTGAGTTCTTGAAGTCATCGACTTCGGTTGTTGCAAAGGGGACTTCGCAAGTGTATCCAAGATACATGGCATTTGCGTAAGATGCTCTCACGAGCCCTGAAAGACTTCGCTCTTGGATGGGTCCGAATTTAAGCTTGGGCGATACAAGTGCTTCGCTCGCAGTGGTATACCAGGTAGTGCTGAAGGCACTGATCAACACAGTGGCACCAATAATTGAATTGGCGTATCGAACAGACTGCCAGCCGACCAAAAGACTGCCTGGCTGCATGATCCATGTCCTCATGTTCATCTCAGCAATGCTGATGCCACCCGTCCCATTCGCCCTCCAGAACGCACGTCGTGTCAGGACTTGACCCAACAAAGCAACGAATACGGTGACAAACGATATCTCGACGGTCTTGGAGAAGATGGCACTGAGCAATGAAGCATTTGCAAACGACAAGTGTCCGTTCGTGCCGACCTTGTCGCCCCATCTCGGCTTTGCTAGCGCAATCCCAAGGAAGATACCAGAAAACACGGTTGAGTAGATTGCTAGGAGTATAAGAGGTGCTGAAATCCACGACCAAGGACTTGTAAGAATGTCCCTCTGCGTAGGGCATGCGGCGTCGACCTTCCTCGGTGATGGAAGTAACCCCATGTCTGAGTGTAAGCTGCCAGGCGTTGAAGGTCCGAGGTAGGCAGAGGAAGCCTGGTAACTTGGTATATTATAGAACTCTGCCGTCTTGCCCGCATGACCAAATGAGACGTTCTCCTGGCTTGCCACGCGAGCAAAGTTAGCTGGCGATAGTGAAGCCGGACTGAGAAGCCCTTCTGTAGTGGTTGATCTTGTTATCCCAACTGGGACTCTTTTAATTTGAGAAGGATGTCCAACTATATTACCGAGGCCTAGTCCACGAGTCTTGGAACGGTTTGAATCGGTTTTGGTTTCGAGTCTCTCGTCATCGGAAACCGGCCGATGACCATCGTTATCTGCCATTGAAGAAGGCTGATGTGTGTTATGTTGTCCTCCAGCTACCTCCGGATCAGGACTATCGGCGTATTCTGGAAGCGCTGCATATCGTGGATTTCGAGGATTGTTCAGCGCGTGGATATCCATGGTTTATTAGAACATCGACGGCTTTGTAAATGATAGTAAGAATTACAGGTTGCAAGCCACACAGTGAAACTTCTGTGGCATGAACTAAGACATCACAAGGCATTGCTGCTAAATGTAAGAGGCGATGACTTACCGCATTGAAATTGCCAGCCACAATCCGACAAGCAGAAACTGGGCCTCAGTGGAGGCCTCAAGTCTTGGTCATCTCAAAAAAAGAGCACCAATCTGACAACGCCCCGCAGAGCGGTCGTGCAGAATCATACTACAAGGAGTTTTCGCATCGCCTCATGTCGGCCAACACTGAGATCCAGGGTGCACAAGCGACTAAGATGGTTGCCGCACGAATAAATCTGCAACGGCCACGCATTGAGGGACAAACTAGTCAGGGTGGGTGCCCCGGACATATGCGAGAGGTTTGACACTTTTCTTCAACAGACTACCTGGAAGGAGTAGTAGACATGAAGAATGGGTTGACCCTATGAGGCAAGGTGCGAGGTCATCTCGTTCTCAAAGATGTGTGACTCGCCCAGTGAATCTAAATTTCATGTTGGTCTAGCATTCGTGAGGAGTGTAGAGTACTTCGAGGTAGTCGTAAGAAATGAGATAGCGGTGGAGGAGGGCCAGGGACGGATAGCCCTAAGTGAGGGCCAATATGCTAAACATGGAACAGTAAAGTGGGTTTCTCGGGAAAGTCTGTTGATCGCTAACCAAACTGGAAGCAACCTCGCCTTCAGAGCTTGCTCACCTTACAGTGCCTAGCCAGCTGGCCCTAGGCGTGAAACTGTGCTTTTGTTTAGTGTAACGGGTTCGGCGGAGTCCATGCTGTTGATTTCCAACGTGGCCAATTCCGCCTTTTTTGCTCTGTCCTGTCAAGGCTCTCATATATTTGAGCGTTTCGGCCCTCCTACGCCATGAGAACGGAAATGGCGGCCGCAACCTTAAAGGGCAATAGGCAGGCTGTCTATAAGCCTTGCGCAAGAAGATCTAGGCCTTTTGGTTGATGTACAATCTCGGTCGAATACGTGACGCAATCAACGAGGCTGCTCATCGTTTTGCCTCGTACTCATCTACTCAGCTTGCTGTCAGCCCTGGCCTTTGAGTATAACTCTTAGCAGGGCCATCACAGATGACAGGAGGATCGAGTTCAAAGATCCCTGGTAATCAATAAGATTATGGCTGTTCTAGGGCAGGCAGCTAACCATGATTCGGTCTTGCTGCTTTAATTGAGTTTCCTTACCACTGAGCATCATCAAAATCCGTCCGAGAAGGAATCAGGAGTGTTACAGGATAACCCTATCTATGTAGGTGTGCCCCTCAGATTCCGCCTGATGTGAATCATCTCAATAAGCAATCAACCTTTCCAAGTTCTCATCGCTTCGGCAAGGATCCGAGGCATGCCGTCATTAATGCTAGAGGGTCAATGAGATGAAACACTGGTGCAATTAATGCTGGTCTTGGACGCTGGCATCGAGGTATATGATCCCTTTATCTTCGTAGGGCTTATCGTCTAATCTGCCCCCGGATGTCCTGACCGAGCCATGTGAAACTTGGTTGGTACTTTGGTAGTTAAAATCTTGAGCTTTGTCAAACACTCATGCATGAGCATTTTGATTTGAGGAGTCATGGTCCGCGAAAGTCAAGATGTTGTAGGTTTAAGGTGGCGCGGTAAGTAAGACGATCGTAGTGAGCTCTGTGGCCGGTCCCAAATTCTCTGTTGGCTCAACTGATGCGGATATTATAGCCCTGGTGCGTCGAACATGACAAACTGAAACCGTTGTACACCCACGTGTATGTGCAGAGCACAAAGAACTCGTGAGCCTGAAGAGATGACATTAGGCCTGATCTATGGCAATGGAGTCCGGTGGTCGATACTGGTGCAGCGCCATTGGACATTCTTCCACAGTGCGGATCTGGAATAACTGAGGACAACGCACACCAACACTGCATATTCGGTTAGTGGTCATGATAGGCAAGCAGGGGTAAAGGCTAATCAACATGAACATGGCGATCGTGCTTCGAGATCAATATTTATCATTGATGCACCACGGCATGGTTGAGAAAATGATTGCTGGAAGAACGTTGCTTCTGCCCATATCGATCTTGTTAGGCATCCAAGCTTTTCAAAGCACGGAGACCAGGGTGTTGCCGACATTCATCATATCTTCCTATAAGCAGATTTCGATCCATTTGGAGTGTCAAAATGTGCTTCATCGAGCGTCATGAAGTAATCCATCCTCACAAAGAAGATACTAGACTTGTAAAGAATTTGTCTTCAGACGTTTCGTGCCGATAATGATCGAAGCTGTTGCCACACCTCAATATCTAACAAGTCTTTGCTCCCATTGAAGGTGTATGCATCAAGTGCATGTCCTAAAGTTGACGTGTAAGAGCTCATGGTGATGAAAGAGTCCAGATCTCCTGCCTGTCAGCCATTCGAGACTTGAGGTATACGTGATTCTCAGAGCTGCGAAGTCAGCCTCGTGCTATTGAAGTTGATGTTCAGAGATCGGATGACATGACTAGGCATCCACCAGTGCTAAGGTCGTGATGTAGAGCGTCCCTTGAGCGCGACAACCTGTCCGTGGTTCTCTTCAACCTTAGCCGTTTGACTGAATCTTTCCTGCACGAGTTCTACTGCCACTTAACCTCTAGCCTACCATTTGAGCAGCTTGGCGCACTGAACTCGGACGCGCGACTCTCATATCTCCTCGATTGAGTTGTGGACCAACACGGCAAGTACTGCTGTTATTGCACGTTTTTCAAGAGCATTATTTCTCAGTAGATGTGAATGAGTAGCTGAGGTATGAAGCCTTCATTGGTTTGCTTTGGATGTGCCATACTTTGGACATTTGCTTTGCCGGCTTCACGCAGTGCAAATCTCATTGTGTTGATTGTATGATTGCCCAGCAGGTGCATAGCCCAATGAGGTCTGCCATTAAGGGTGTATAAGTAGGATTTAATACCCACCAACTGTCAACAAGACTTACCTGCTTCCCCAGTGTGGTCGGACGTCTGCTGGCGAGCCTATCGGATCGGTTTGGATTCTGTTGTCAGCATAAACATATATAGAAATCACGCAGATGAAGCGACTTGAAGTGATTCGCGGTTGAACGAGCGGCACACGAATGATGCCTCACCCCAGGCTAGAAACGGGATCGTCGGACCAATTTGGGTTAAGAAAGGCATGCAACTCCCAACCAGCTTTGGATAAAGGGATCCTAGGGTATGAGGTTCTTGAGCATGTGCGAAGAAGCATTGCAAGACAATGATGTGAAAGTTCGACTTAACCGGCTCCCGCTGGCCTTTTCACCATCCAAGATGGTTGCGGAGTAACACGTGATCTTGCGGACAGTGACCGAAAGCACTGCAGGGTCCGTGACATCGACTTTGAGCTTGAAAGCCTGGGGTTTTATTTCACTTCTCTATTCATTCCTGCGATTTACCAGAACTGTCACTTCCCCTCGTCCAATTCTCACAGAATTCGAACAGCCGTTCGATTTAAGCGACCCTCTCCTCTATACTCTCGAACACATCACGAGTACTCGCGACCTCTCTCGAATCCTCATCGCACTCACTAGTACAAAATGGTAAACCCCAGTTAAGCCCAGATGCGATGAGTTACCAGACTGACCCTCTCAAGGGTAAACGAAAAGGAAGTTCGAAGAAACCGGCTGGACCGAAGAGGGTACGTCAACATCCTTGACCCTCCAACACTGTGCCCTTTTAACAGTCGAGGAAGTCCGCAATCCCAAGAATCCAGTTTCACTGACATGACGCTGTCCATCTAGCGAGAACCCCTTGCGACAACGTTCACCTGCCTGTTCTGCAACCACGAGAAGGCGATCCAAGTGAAACTCGACAAGAAGGCCGGCGTGGGCAACCTACACTGCAAGGTCTGCGGCCAGCGGTTCCAGACGGGAATCAACTATCTCTCCGCCGCGGTCGATGTCTACTCGGACTGGATCGACGCCTGTGAGAACGTCGCACAGGAAGCTGCCGCAGAGGAGGCAGCAGACAAGAACTTCAGCGACTACGCGACGGCGAAATCGGTGAGGAAGACTGTCGCGGGCGGCGGGGATGAGGAGGACGACGGCGCATATGACGAGGAATACTGAGGTCTTTTTCTTGCACATGACTGGGCGGAAGGGGCAAACAAATGACGAAATGCAACATCTATCAAGCATTATTACGCGCTGCACGACTGGAGTCAAAGGATATCATTTAACATTGACGGGAAGGAGTCTTTGTGGGCAAGGGAATCTTATTTTCGTACCAAGCATGTAACAACATCATTTTCGATAAACGAAAAAGTCATTCATAAGCATCGAGATTTAGCAACGGTCAAGGCCTGCCTCAAGCAAGATACAAGCGGTGCATATTATTGTGACCTCTTCTCTCTTCCGTCATTGAGCTGAGGTGCGACATGGGACGTGGCCGGCACCGGTGCCATGCCATTTCATATGAACCACACTTGTCTACGACTACCTGAGGGGTCCAATAGATCAGATTTGATTTACGAACAACTCTGGAGAGTAAAAGAAACGCAAGACTACTGCCTGAGGGGTCCGTAGATCAAATCTGATTATTGGACGGTTCTGGAGAGTGAAAAACAAAGACTACTACCTGAGGGTGTCTAGATCAGATCTGATTTTTAGACGGTTCGGGAGAGTAAAAGAAACGCAAGCAGAGTGTAGGCAGGTCAAGGTAAGTCCTCACCTGGGAATGAGAGAATGGTGTAATGATCGTACGACAGCGAATTGGAGATATCAATGCAGCTGGGACGGAAAAGCATCAATAAAGCCCATTCATGAAATTGCTTGCTCGCTTACGCCTTGTATGGTGAGTCTGTGGGAATGGTGGATAGTCATCCTCCTGATGAAACCATCAGCAGAGCGACACACCACGAAGAACTCACAAATCTATCGTGGAGATGGCTCATTCTTTCCCCTTTCCCCAGCAGGAAGGACAGGACATGAGGGAATAGGACTGAGGTGCCTTGCAGGCCACCAGGCTGGACTGAAGATGTTGTCTGAGCGCGTGGGTGCTACACGAATGTGGTGATGGTCTATAACCCTGAATCATCAACTCATGCGCGGTACGACCGACGAAGGTGAATGAGAGTGAGTCTCATGGTCAACCATTACCTCCCATTGAATTCTGGCAATGGCTCTAGAAAACGACGAGCGGAGAGAGCTGATAGAAGCGGATTGCTTTGTATTGTTTCTCCATTGCCGACATATTTCAACGGCTGCGAGAAGCTGCCAATCTGGCTAGACAAGAAAAACCAAGCTTGAACGAAATTGAGACGGACTCCTTGATTCCTAGGAGACTTGGGTGGCGTCAGACGGTCAAGAGTTGATCTTAGGAGTTCACGACCCATGGTCACCAATTCAACCCCTTTCACCAAGGTTATCAACGAGACCAAGCCTTTCTGCCAAATTGACAATCGAAATCTCTGATTTTCGTTTAATGCTGATCCGTGGTCATCATGATTGGGCATCTGACAATGTCATTTGTTTGAGGATCAATTAAAGAACGGACACCCCGTAAACGTAAGGACTGCCCATTCATAGGGCGGACGTTTTCAGCCAGATGGATGGTCGATGGCTAACTCGATTCCGCCTGCACCTGTGATATGCATGAAGGGGATGCTGTTCCGATAACTTACCGGCAGGTCGGACTTACCACAACCAATCAATCCGGACCCAGTCAGGCAATCCGAAACAGGGAGGTTGAAAGGGAATCCTTGGAAGCTCTTTTGGTTTTCTCAACATTCCTTGAGCTTGTCCTCCCTCCCGCCTTTTTCCACAACAAGGCGTCGGTCAGATGAGAAGCGAGAAAAATCGGTACGACCGAGAATAATTTGACATCAACTTGCTCCGAAGGATCCGTAGAAATACGGAACTTTTTCTAGGTCACCAGGCACTGAATGTCGCATCGCATGATCGAATGCAAGATCTCAAGCCGCATCGAACAGGGGGATGGGAACGCAGTGTAAGGATAGTGCGATGCTGAGTTGTGGGAAGGCTGAATATTGCATGTCCCAGATCATGTACTTCGTAAAACCTCAATGAGACCTTCCAGACTACCAAGGTAAAAGAGTGGTCGGTATTTTATTGTTGTAGGCAAGGTACGGTACTCGGTACATCTGTGTCGTGGTGGTCTTACATACAGTACCGAGTACCTAGATACTGGTATCCGTAATCCATTCTCTCATTCCCAGCCACCAAACTCGTACTCGTCATGATACGAGTAGCTTGTCCTTTTATTCTCGGAAATGCTCGCTTGAGTTCAAAGTTGCATTGTTGACAGTAAGAAGGAAAAACGGGGCTGGAACCTTTTCGAGGAAAGACAACCCTTGTTCCCGCAAAGTGTCGCTAAAGGGAACTCCCTTGGGCTCCTCACGCTGATCTGCCCCATCTGTGCAACGCTGGCCAGTGAGACTTCGCAAGCATGATTGGTGAATCACGCCCTGGGCTGGTCGAAAGGTGAGGGGGCTGCCGGTAGCGGGCAACTAAGGATCTCGCTCCACAAATCATGGATTGACAACGCATCAACGCTTGGATCAAAGACGGCAAGCCAGATGGTGCGAAAAATTGTGCGAGCTGAACTGTTTCTGTCCAGTTGATGTCAATCCACTTGCTCGTAAAACGCTTGGAAAGCGTGACTGAATCAGCATGCTTCCCAATTACCTCCCTCTCATCGGAGATCGGGATCATGAGGAAGGTGCAGGAAGAGTCAAGGTCAAGGGCTTGCGTCTATGGCATGGTCGGCCTGAAGTGCACGGATTCTCCGTGTCTCCAAGATACAAGGTCCATGAGAGCGCCTTACAATTACGGGTAGACGCGTCTGGACGTTTGGCTTCCTCATCGTCACTATCGGAATTTTCTCTTCGAGTGGCTGTACCGTTTGGAATCAGCAAAGGAGCTCCGCAACCCCTGCGCAAGACCGCCTCGCCAACCGTAGAAGGTGCTTCCGCGCGTCAAGCAGCTTAGGAGACTGTCGATCAGCCTAAAGACTGGTTGGAAAGCTTGTAGCAGCATTTCCGGCTGCGGTTGACATTCCTTACGGCCTTCCAACGACAGCCGTGGTTGACCTTGCACTGCAATGCGACCTTAATTTTGTACATAGGTAGTTCGTGCATTGCATGGGCGGGAGCGCCCTGCGTCCAGGCATGCATGCCGAAAGAATATTGGATCAACATAACTGCAAGTCCTCTGTAGTAGCCTGACATATAATGGGGATTCCCCCCTTGACAACCTGCCAACGACCATGTGGAAATTGTTTGAAGGTTTAATTTATAGCGAAGTATGCTCAGTATAGCACTCAGGCCAACCGTTCGGATACTTCTTGACTGTGCGCATCCGTGGCTCAGAACTCTAACGAAGCTGTGGTAAAACCGCACGGAGCAGTCAAAGCGGAATCTAGTATGTCGGTGTCAAAAAGTTCGGCACCGGGGAGTCTCCCAATCATCACAGAAGATTGTAGGTATTCATCGACACTGACATTTATTGATGCATCGACTTGGCTCCCGACAAGATTTCATATGGTTGTTCACCAAAACGAGGGAGATAGATCGCCAACAGCGGGTTTACTCAAACGATCACAAATCTTTGAAGTTCATATAATTCGCTCAAGAACAGGTCGTCCTGGACCAACCAGGTAGGGCATAGCTTTCGTAATAAATTACCATGGTGTGAGCTGATCTTCGTCTTCGTTTTCGCGGTTTCGTTATCCGGATTTTCATATTGAGGTCGATCAATGTTGTGCCCGTATGGTTTGGTATGTGTAGTCCAAGACACGTGCCAATGGGGGCAAGCCATTACCATGACTTGCAGCAAGCGGGGACGCCTGGACCATGGTGAACTTCGGCTAGGGCTTCTTAGGTTAAGCCTGAAACTTGAAAATGGGGGTTGAAAGTCACGTTTAGCCCACGCGCTGAGTCGCTGACTGATGGTGCAATATTCTTGGTCACGATTGTTTGGGTACGCTGACTCCGTAAGCTGGGAATTGAACGTCTTTGAATCAGGCTCGTGGTTTGAAGGTCGTGAAGATCTCAATTGTATTCTGCAATTAAATGAAATATGAAAAAGAATCAATCATCCAGCAATTGGAGAATTCAGCGTCGTCGAAACCTAACAATTTTTTCATGGCGGTTTCATAGATCGGCTTCTAGATGAATGCACGTAATTCAGTTTGGATGGTGCTCTCTGCTTGTTGCCGCCGTACCTCACTCTAGCGTCGAGCCAGATGGCCGCAAGGAAAGCCCAGGTGCCTTCGTGCTCCTCCAACAGAACTGCAAAGAGGAGAACACGAAGGAACGGTGGATAAGGACGGACGAGAACAACCAACCTTTGGTTTGTCCTCATTGAGTGATCTGAAAGTCCTAGCGTGTCGGCATCGGCTCTTGCCCTCTTGTCTTGCATTTCATCTTTGGCTTCGACTCTCAACGGCGGGCCATTCGGTTGGAATTTTACATTTCTGGCGAATGTCGGCAAGCCAGTGACCAGGCCACGGGCCACAGAAAAACTCCCACAACAAGCCTACAAGGGCTGGCCCTGTTTGTTGTCACTCATCACCACAATGGCGTTCTCTGACTGGCCCGAACGAAAGCTAACCTTAAGCAGCGCCCTCCGTTCCGGACCAAGCACGACACCTCCGGGGAAGGCTAACGAGACATTGTGTCTAGGTCCAGAAAGGTTTTTGTCGCTGGTTGGTGCCACTTGGAAATCTTCCGAGCGTGTGGCACAAAGCCTTCATCCACGGCCGACCGAATCGCAATACACGCCTTGGAATTTGCAAAATCCTGGATTGAGTAACGTTGGAGCGAGAATTAGACTCTTTGAAAAAAGAGTCTTGTGTGCTCGTCACCGGGCGAAAGTCGTACCGATGGGTAGACGAGGCGCGTAAAGTTCTTTCAAGGCCGGGAGGGTCCAAAGGACACAGTGCCGAAAAATCCCACAATCTATTAGGCAAGAGACACAGCGATCAGAGAGACTGGAACGAGTTAGTAGTAGTGGTATTGTAATCCCGAAAGTTACAAGCTCTCAAAAGAAAAGTCAAGGGCGGCAGACCAGAGCGGCGTGGTTGGGGGCTGATCGTGATAGCTATCCGTACTGATACCAACTGATAAGCGGGACCGTGGTGAATAGTGATGGATACGGGCATCTGATGGGGTAGGGACATTTGAAGAGGATTGTTTTTGGCGTGGAAGGTTACTAAGAGTAAGGTGGTTTTTTTTACGGAGTACTCGTACGTTTGGATGTCGTTTGTGGCTTGATACAAGGGTCCGATTGCCAAAGCAGACCAAGATGTGGGCCTACCGGCTCTAAAGGTGCTGACTCTGGGTCTTGGTAGAGGCTGGGGGCGTGCTTTTCCTTTGAAGTTTTGTTGACTGACGTCCGGAGTGCGGAATACTGGGGAGGCTCTTGGAGGAGCTAGAAATGATCCTGGAACCCCGGGCTTGTGGGAAATCTGACAGTGACAATCATGGTCTCCCACCGCCTACCTAAGAGGACGGAGCAAGTGCCCTTGTATCGTGGACGGAAGTACGAAGTACAACTTTCAAAAGTCGCGGGTGGCAGGGAAGGATTGTTCCATGCCTAAAGAGTTCTCGGACTATAGAGCTCAGGCCCCGTGCGATTCAACTTACCCGCTCGGGAAAAGTGTCGCTGTGTCCACCCTGCCAGTGCCCAGTCAATGTCAGGATTAGGGCCGAGGGCCCCGAAACCCCTCCCTTCAACGCCCACAAGTTACAAGCCTACAACCCGCCCACAAAGTCAGACTGAGCGACCAACCACTTGCACCCGCTCAATACCGTCCTTGGAATGGAGCCTTTTTTCCCTTTGGACTTGGACGTCGCCCACATCGGCAGCCCTTGTCTTGAGGGCGAAAGTCCGCAACTCCAGTTGACTCCACCCCGGGGGCTTGATTGAGCTCATTGTTCGGTTAATAGTGCGTTGCGCTGCCACATGTGAATAAGGATGGGGTGGAAGATGGAAGGTGGCAGGAAGGGAAGCTCTACTCGTAGTCTCTCGGGTCTACGAGCAGGACCTACCGAGCACCTCGCACCATGATTCTTTACCTAGGAGGGCCAGTCTGGATGCCTAGGTACTCGTACCGAGTAGTTCATGCTTCTCTACAGTTTCAACGTGTACATGTAGATCGGACGGATCCAGGAATACGAAGTCTCACGTTGGTCACAAGTACTGTCTGTAACTCTGGTTGTCAGGCCGCGAGAGGTTGGATCGAGAAGGTGCTCACAGAAAGCATCCCAGCCCTTTTTCTGCGCCTGGCCGGCCATCGTCCATCACCCATGGTCTTTGGATAATGGATACCTCGTTCGTACTGGACTGGCCCACTGGCCAGTGGCTCATCATCCACTTGGTAAAGCGTGGATCCCTGCTGGCTTTCGTGGATCGTAACTCGCGAGCTGCGGGATCGCAGCGCCATGGGCGGTGGACCGGGTGTCATTGAATCATTGGCGGGCTGGATAAGCAGAAGTCCACCCAGCTGCCCTCCAGTGGAGGTTCTTATCCTCACATCAAGGCTTGAGCGGCTTCCTCTGCCTTCCCTCTGGCTTTCAACCTTTTTGCTCTAATGCACCCACCTGCACACCCTCTTGTCCTCCCGCTCGGCTACTGTGCGCACCGTCTTGCATTCCTGCATCCTGCTTCAAACCTCGTTGCCTCTTTCTCCAGATCTCCATTGACCTTGTGCTTCTCCAATCCTGTCGTCCACTGCTCTATCTGGCACCTCAACGGCATGGCCTAACTGCGCGTCACGTTCTGCTTCAGGTTTCTGTTCTATCGCAACAAGTCTTTGCTGACCATTTGGTATGTTCCAACCTCAATCCCGCTTGAGCCTTGGGCCGTGAGAGCAAAAAAACTCCGTGGCTCGTAGCCCACACTCCCGACCACCACCTGTCCTGCACCACTGATGTGCCTGCATTCGATACTTCAGTCCTCCGACCAGATCTCATGCTAATTCTTCTCTGTTCACTCGCTACAGTTTGCCGTTCGTTGACGACTTTCATTGCTGACGGATTTCCTGCGCACCTACGGGCGGTACAAGAATACCATCTGGATTGCAAGTGATCACGTCAAGGCACGCACCCGAGGTTCTTGCTTTCCCACTCGCCGCTTTGCTCTTGTGCGTGAGCCCAACTGTTCCATCATTATTGTCTTTCTTTGTTGAAAAGGCAAACTGTTGGTCTGGTCAAGTTCGGACGACCAAAACAGGTTGAGGGCTTCGCCGTATCTATACAGGACTGAGACGGGGTTTGAATCATCGTTTTGTTCTCTCGACCACGTTGATTCACTTTGACAATCTCATAGCTGTTCGCAATTTGAGGGGTATCCTTGCATTGTGTGGCTTCGCAAACAACCGCCTTCGACTAACGAGGTCGGTTTCCGGTCCATCCAGATCTATAAGAAGATCGAACTGAAGAGGGGGTGTACTTGGGGGTAGTTCCGGTTCAAAGACGGGCAATCTCTTGAATAAATCTCGACCTAAATTCGTCTGCCAGCCTCACAAGAAATATCCCGGGGGGTTGGCATATATCATCCTTTCCTCGCAGTCATCTGCTTCTCGGTGGACGTCTCCATTGAAGTTTGTTGAGCCTCTCGGCCAACACCCAAGCCAAAATGAACCAGACTCAGCCATACATGGACATGCACCCGGCTTCGCATATTTCATCAGGGCCATCATATTCCCATTCCGCATCGACTGCTCCTATAGGACATTATCCACAGTATCAGCAACCCCCCGTCATTCCTCCTGCATCTCAGCATTATGGACCAGCTCAGACATACGGCAGCTATGGATACGCAAATGGAGTGACGTCTCCACAATCCGCGAGTGGTCCCATTGGGCAGCAAGTGCAATCTCAGATTCCATCACTACCAGGTAGGTCGATCTCACATTACAGACGCCAGATGTACCGAACTAACTTCTCCCAGCGATGATGGCCGGGCCCAACTCCCAACATTCTTATGTTCCGCAGGCCCCAACCTTGCCCGCGCCGAATTCAGGAACGTATGCACCAACCCCGCCTTTTGACACCACCGGCCAGATTGCGCCTCCTGGAATGAAACCGAGGGTTACAGCTACTTTGTGGGAAGACGAAGGAAGCCTTTGTTTCCAGGTTGAAGCCAAAGGTGTTTGTGTGGCGCGCCGTGAGGGTATGACTGACCGCTTCTCTTGGAGTGTGATTCAAATGCTTACATGACTTCAGACAACCATTTTATAAATGGCACCAAGCTTCTCAACGTTGCTGGTATGACTCGAGGCCGACGCGATGGAATTCTTAAGTCAGAAAAGACCAGGCACGTCGTCAAGATTGGTCCCATGCACTTGAAGGGTGTTTGGTAAGTCTCGCCGCCCAAATCTGACATAAATGGCTTGCTAAGACTGTGAAGGATACCATTCGAGCGTGCGCTTGATTTTGCCAATAAGGAGAAGATCACTGACCTCCTGTATCCATTATTTGTACACAACATTGGTGGTCTATTGTACAACCCGGAAAATGCACCTAGGACAAACGCCGTGGTTGCCGCGACTGAGAGACGTCGCATGGATAGTGTGGATTCTGGCAGGCAATCTCAACCTGCTCAAACACCTTCCATGCATCATCACCACAGCATGCAAGGTACCGGACAAGCACCGCCTACTCCTCATTCTATTGCTCCCCATCCCAATGCAGGACGCCCTGGCATCGATCGTGCGCACACCTTTCCCACGCCTCCAACAAGTGCCTCGAGTGTGTTGGGCATGAGTAGCCAAGGGAACTCATATGATTGGGGCAATCAGAACATAGCCAACGGCGCACCTACAGCACAGCCACTCTCCATTGACACGGGTATGAATGCTAGGTCGATGCCCACCACCCCTGCAACCACCCCGCCAGGTACAGGTGGTCCAGGGATGCAATCGTATCACAACCAACCAACATATGACTCAAAACATTATTACAGCACCACCCCGAGTTCACAAACCGGTTATGCTCAACACCCAGATGGGAGCCGCTATGGTCAGTCCATGCCTCCTGCTCCTTATGGTAAGACCGATATGGGTCCCCCCACGGCTCCTGGCACGAGTAGTACTGGTGCGGATGGCCATGATCATAAGGCTGATGCTTATTCTCAAGTCTCGGCTCAAAATCACGGCTCGCAGCATGACAGTGATCATCCAGACAGCGGTTACATGAGTGCCAATGCATCTGCATACAACACCAATCGAAATCAGTACGCATACAACCCAGGACCAGATCATCCTCATATGTCACCTGAATTGTCCGCTTCCCCATCTCACCAAAACGGCTCTGGCCACGCCACTCCACGAACCTTACCCTCGGGTCAACCCCAATGGACACCTGATTATCACACTCCTCCGAGGGGGCCTCCATCGAGTAACTTGTATAACGTGATGGGAGGTGCTCGCACGCCCGTGGGGGCTGGTCCTGGCGACAGCTATGGCAATCCGGCATATTCGGGTGCAGGCCATCCGACCGGATTGACCTCTGCGAAACGTGGACGCGATGATGATGACCAAGATCGACCAGGAAGTCGGGACTATGATGGGTACGATTCCAAGAGACGCAAGGTGGGACGATCAGACACGTTTGGAATGCCTCTTAATCCTCCACCTCATATGCAGGCTATCAAGACTGGTGGACAACGGTAGAAAGGACAGAAGTCCATCTCTTCATGACGGACGTGGTCTAAGTGTTCAACATCTGGCAGCTGGAAACCTTACTTGCAGACACCAGCCGGTGTTTTCATCCCAAAGAACGCCACATGATGACTTATTCGAAAAGCGATTACGAGATTACGACGGCGATAGCTAAAAAGAGATCAAAGACTTAACGAACGGAACAAGCGCGCGTTGTTTGCTTCCAAATTTATAACGACTTTAACGATACGATTTCCTTTTTGGAGCGCTCGCACACGGCGAAACTGATGACTTAACTTCCAATGATTTTGACTGCGTAGTCAAAATCTTGGTATAGATGTTTGGACTCCTTTCCTTCTGTGTATGTGGGACGATATACGTGTGGATGGATCACGATTGGGACGAATGGCTATAGGTCCTGGGCGAGTTTGAAATGCTTCCTTATTTGCGGTGACCCCAGAGAAAAAACTACACTTGGCTTCCGTGCTTGACTCTAGAACGAGCTACTTCGGAAGACGGCTCAGACATGGTTGTTATTGGCGTGCCTGAGAAGGTTTTGTATGGGAACCGTGTGGCCATTGCTACCATAATCGTGACATCTTTGCCATGACATGTCAAATAGGTAAAAGCTTTATTCATAATCACCAAATTTATGAAAACTCCACTTCTTTAGATTTATGGACAGTGCACGAAAACACGACGATGCAGCAGCAGACAAGGGAGTCGGAAAATCTGGTCTCAATATTCTCCCCACAGTTTGAATCGTCATATACCAAAGTGAACGTAGTCGTGGCATCGTCCCCATGAGTGAGGCTTTGCTCCGTTCGATTTGTAGAGAACGTCGTCAAGATCATCTATCTGGGTACCTACATCTACCTTTTGAACGGCAATGGATCTGTTGGTGGTAAGTACGAACATGTACGAGGAGCAGATGGTTGTCAGAAAATCGGAGGGTGAGGGGATGTGCCAAGACCATGTCTGCAGCGGATCTTGGCATCGCACTTGCCCCGTCCGACTGCACCACAATATCGTTGAATTTGCCTTACTTCCCTGTCTCGAAGAAGGCTCTTCATCAACACCACCGTCAACTTATCAGCCATCGCAGCAAGATGTAAGTCTACTCCTCGCAATCGGGACGACCTCGCCTCTCCGAATTTTCCTGGACGATTTGAGTGGGAAATGACCACGCCAGAATCGATGACGATTGGACACAAGCTGAACAAGATTTGATTATAGGGTCAACCTCACCACCCAGAAGCGCCTCGCTGCGTCTGTCGTGGGATGCGGCAAGCGCAAGATTTGGCTCGATCCTAACGAGGTCAACGAGATCTCCAACGCCAACTCCCGACAGACGATCCGAAAGTTGGTTAGCGATGGACTTATCATCCGCAAGCCTGTTGCCGTTCACTCCCGAGCCCGTGCCAGAGAATTGAATGCCGCTCGACGAATTGGCAGACACCGTGGTTTCGGTAAGAGAAAGGGTACATCTGATGCAAGAATGCCTAGGTATGAGATAGACTCTGATCAATTGGGCTCTGGGGAGCTTTGGGTGTTTGATTATTGACATGGTTCGACTACAGCCAAGTCCTATGGATGAGACGCCTCCGAGTCCTCCGACGCCTTCTTGTCAAGTACCGTGCTGCAGGAAAGATCGACAAACATCTGTACCACAACCTCTATCAACTCAGCAAGGGTAACACCTTCAAGCACAAGCGTGCTCTGGTCGAACATGTAGGGAGCCATTCACTGAATCTGAGACACTGGGATGGGACTGACACCTCTTTAGATCCACAAGGCCAAGGCTGAGAAGACCCGTGAGAGACTCCTGAAGGAGGATATGGATGCCAGACGTGCAAAGGTCAAGGCTGCTCGTGAGAGAAAGCAAGAACGCCAGCAGATCAAGCAGAGACAATTGGCCGGTGAGGATGAAGAGGAAGAGACCAAGGAGTAGATGATGGTCATGGTGAAACGATGATACGGAAGTCGATAAAAGGCACTTGCTGATCTGGTAGGCCGTGTGAGAAAGGTCTCCGGGCGGCTTCAACGAATGGGCTGGGCGTGTTCATTGAGTTACTGGACTGGTCACCCAAACAAGCGACCTGGTACAACTGGCCTGATCGGTTCTGCATAGATACTTTCACACGTTAAATCTGTGAGCGTGATTTCTGAGGCGCAATGAAAACAAAATTTCAACCTCTCTTCAATGTGGTCCATTTGCCTTGACCTGCAGTGGTGGGATATAGTATTCTCCATCTGCTGGTGGATAAAGAAGTGGAAATCTATGTTTGGGCAGGCGCCCGTAGAGTCGATGGATGGCTTGTTAGTGCCGAAGCACAAATATCGCGAGAAATGAATAGCTGCCGCTCATCTATGAGAGGTCTTAGCGGACACGGTCTATTCTTGCTCAGACCAGAACCTGGCTCACTATGTACCTAGGTATCTGAACCATACTCAAACCAGCACCGACATATGCCCGAATTGTGAAGTTGCCTGGCTGAAACTCAACAAGATGCTATCAAGTGACTGTTCTCTGGTTATGGTAGATCATCTGGGAACACAGAAGCCTGAAAGGTGGCAGATCAGCGGCACTCCGGGCAGCTTCATTAACAGCCAGAGGGGTTCTGGGTGAAGCTCGTCTGTCGCCAACTTGAATTCTGTTGGCTGGCAGTTCAGAGTGCATTAAAGAGCGTTACAGCTGCCCTAGCCCTGCCAGTGTCTGCATCACCCCTTGTTCGCTTTGCTCGCGTCTAGTTAGGTAACCAAGGCGTGAATATCGATTGATCACAGAGTCATCTGTACCAGCCTGCCATCTCAGGGATACATCGAGTGGATCAACTGCTTCCCTTGCAGCTTCGTACACCAAGGACCATCTTCGGAAAGCTACCTGTTCCTTCCATTCCATGATTTTCATGATTCTGCCCAGTGCATTCCTTTTTCGAGTGAAATCACCACCGGGGAACAGTTGGCCAAGGTTCTTTCACCAATCTTCATTTCATTTCTCTTCGCATAGCTGCACGAAATCAACACCCCTTTTACATCTCCAACTCAGAATTCTTTTCACTTAGGGGTGCCCATTTCCAACCTCGCACACCGCCAATCGCGTCATCCTCGTCACCAAATAACACCGAGCCATCTACACTTAAAAGTCTAAACAAATACAGAAACTCGGAGCAGGACCAACAGACGGCGGACACGAGGCTGAGATCGTGTCCGAACAACCAACTACGTTTCAGCTTCATTAGATGATTCTGCTGACATCTGCTTAACTTTCCGACTTGTGGTACCCCATATCCTTTGATCATGTTTGGCGGAGGGTCTATCTGGGGTAACCTAGGTAAGTCTTGTCATTTACATTTCTTTGCGTGCTGGTTAGAGTAATATCGAGACCTTGTTCACACTTCCGCTATCACCTTCATACGTTCATCCTTTTCGGGGGGAACCAGCTGTGAACCTTGGAAACGCGATCATATGCCTCCACCACCCCATCAGTCTTTGATTTCGTCCATGGATACCTCGCTTGAACCGAGGCACCTTGCTACTGCCCCAATCTTGGTGCTTTTGCAGCAAGACATATCCATCTTTTCCGATGGTAGATCTCCTGATCATTGGCTTAATCTCACAAAGTGCGGCACTTACAAGAGCACGACCAAGTTTCACGACCAACCTTTGAACCTACAAACCCCATTTCTGTCTTTCAGTTCAAGCGAATACAATCGCTGTACAGTTTCTGATCATTGCTAGGGACGCCGGCCGAGTCACTGGCAGAAAGAGAACGACCTCCTCCGGCAAAGCCCATACCGCTCGAATTCCCTTGCTATGTACCCTCCAATGTGAATGCGAGCTTGACCAGACAGCACATGAATACTGTGCGCCAGACGCTTGCTTCAATCCGCAGACCTCTTGACGTCAAAGATTCACACCTAGAGCACCTCAACATCCAAGTAGAGCAGGACATCGACGTCGCAAAACTGGTATCCGATGACCGCTTTGAAAAACGTCCTTTCCTCTACGATGCAGATTTGACGGCCATGCTTGCCGAGCTTGAATGTGATAATGAAGAAGCTTATCGTGAAGTTTTGCGCCTCCCTCCACTGGAGGGGCACAAAAAACCACGCTTGACATACGCACGCAACTTTTTCGTTAATCTGGAAGATATGAGTCGCTATTGGGACAGTTCCCAGGACAACTACTACGAGGTTGAGGCTAAGGATCCCGAATCCCAGACTCAGACTACCCAATCCCCACCAAATGCAGCAAATTCACCGAATTCAGCAGATGATCAGTTGGCCACGAAAGAAGGCGAGAATGTGACAGGCACAGTGTCTCAGCCACAAGAATCTCCCGCCCAGTCGCAGAGCAGCAGCGTTGCGAACACAGGCTTATCTGCTCAACAAGCAGCATCGGATACAATTGAGATTCCTACGCGACCCAAGATGAAGCAGGTCTACAAGGGACCGCGACTGGGAAATGGGGAGCAGATGGCTCCATCAACACGAGTCTCGGCAGTAAGGAATCTGCTAAAAATGGTCGTGCACAAATTCAATTGTCGGGACCTTGAAACCAATCCCAGAGACAGGCTGAGATTTGCGACGGTCAATGTTCCATCAGTCTTTTACAGTTGTTGTGTCGCCAGAGTGCCTGCGGATATGCAGCTCGCTCGGGCGAGAATGGTGGAAGGTCCAATCATGGCAGTACATTCCAGATCCGAGGTCAGATTCAAAACCCGTGAAGGCCTGCAAAGTCCGAACAGCGACATTCTGGGTGAACGGTTTGACTTATTCCGAGAAGTGGGTTGCCTGTTGCTTCTTGCGAAACAACGTTCTCGGGAAGGAACTCAGCCCGTCCAGCATCCCGCTGAGCATGAGTGGTGGGCTTCGAAAGCTCGTTGGGGTTGTGGTGAGACCAGATGGGGACAATTGGCGAGCGAAGTGTTTGAAGACGAAGATCCCAGCTGGAGTCCAGAAGAAGCATCACTACAAAAGAAGAAGAGAGACCAGGATGAAGAGCAAGAGAGGCTCGTAGAGGCCGCCGCCGCCGCGGATCTCAAGAATCTCCGTACTGACGACCTGATTGCACAAACCTCTCCGAGCGGTGAACGACCGAAGAAGAAGAAACGGAGTGGGGACGGCATCGGCAGCGGTGGCAAGAGCGGCAGTAAAATCGAGTACAAGGATGGGAAGAGAGTCATGTTTACACCTCCGATTCGACGCAAATGGTATCTGGATTGGACCAAAATCCGACCGAATGCTTCGACTTGGGATGAAAAAGTGATCTACCGCCGGATTGGCCAGAAGAGCAAAGAAGACGGTGGAGATGGGTGGGATGAGGTGTTCCTACTATCGGCCGCCAATCATCATGTTTGCATGTTGAAGCTGCAAGTACATGAAGAATATCTCGAGTGGTTGGAAAAGGGGGAGGTGGTAAAGGTTGAGAATGGTAGCGTGAGTGAGGAACAGAGAAAGCGAAATGTTTTGTACGTGACTCGAAGTCGGTGGTATGATTTGTTCGAGGTCGAGCAGAGAAAGGAGCTCCTGACAGGGATCTGGAAGGTCATGTGCTGGGTGAATCGGTATGAGGTACCCAAGCAAGAGATGGAAAAGATGGAAGAGTTGAAGAGGAAGCAAGCTGAGGATACGGGTGATCACCGCATGGAGATATGAGGTACACATGAGCTATGAGCTATGAGATATGAACTCGAATGGATACAGGACCAGCGTAGCATGGAGAAAATAATGAGATCACCGATGGTACCCCTAAAACTCAAGGCATAAGGGTATTGCGACGGAAGAAAAGGAGGGCGAGGCTGAAGCTGAGTCATCTGCTGAACGCCCCTCGGACCACCAGCTCAGGCGGAACTCAATATCGTGCGTCATTTTATTTGCGGCGGGGTGACATTTTTTCTGCGCCGTTGAATCGAAGACTCATACCTCAGGCTACTTACACGCTACTTACAAACGCTATCCAGCTTGCCTACACCACTTTTCAAGATTCTCTCTTCCTATCTTAAAGCATAAGTCCTGAGTCACACTGACTCTCCGTTCCAAGATGCCTGCTTCAGCAATCAGCTTCCAGCACAAAGGCGCTTCTCTGCAGCGCGAAGTGTCACGTAGCATGTCCTTTTCGACCTCACCCAACGACACCTTCCACGGGCGCCGCTTGTCTACCAATAACAGTGCCGAAGGCACCTCACCGAGTCTACGCCGGACAGGCACACAGGGGACTCCAAAACAGTTGAAGCCTTTCCGGGAACAAGACATCAAGATCCTGCTCTTGGAGAATGTCAATCAGACTGGCAGAGACATCCTGACCGGTCAAGGCTATCAGGTCGAGGCCTTGAAGTCTTCCCTACCAGAAGATCAATTGATAGAAAAGATCAAGTAGGTTCTATCTTGATGCCCACTTCGACCCTGTGTCAAAAGAGCATTCGACTAATCACTCACGATTCAGAGACGTCCATGTCCTCGGCATCCGTTCAAAAACCAAGTTGACAGCACGAGTCCTCGAAGCGGCCAAAAACCTCATCGTGGTCGGATGCTTCTGCATCGGCACGAACCAAGTCGACCTGAAATACGCGGCACAGCATGGCATCTGCGTCTTCAACTCACCCTTTTCCAACTCTCGCTCGGTCGCGGAACTCATCATCTGCGAGATCATCTCACTAGCACGCCAGATCACCGACCGCAGCAACGAAATGCACCGCGGTACGTGGAATAAGGTGTCGGCCAAGTGCTGGGAGATACGCGGCAAGACGCTGGGGATCATTGGATACGGGCACATCGGGTCGCAGCTGTCGGTGCTCGCCGAGTCCATGGGCATGGACGTCATCTACTACGACGTGCTCAACCTGATGGCCATGGGAACCTCGCGACAGGTGCCCACGCTCAAGGCGCTGCTCGAGCGCGCCGACTTCGTGTCATGCCACGTGCCCGAACTGCCGGAGACGATGAACATGATCGGCGCCGAAGAGCTCGACTCGATGAAGACGGGCGCGTACCTGATCAACGCCAGCCGCGGCTCCGTCGTCGACATCCCCGCACTAATCCATGCGTCGCGCACCGGCAAGATCGGAGGCGCCGCCCTCGACGTCTACCCGTCCGAACCCGCGGGTAACGGCGACTACTTCACGAACGACCTGGGCCCGTGGGCGGAGGACCTGCGCTCGCTGAAGAACATCATCCTGACGCCGCACATCGGCGGCTCGACGGAGGAGGCGCAGTCGGCCATCGGCATCGAAGTCGCCGACGCCTTGGTCCGCTACGTCAACGAGGGCGTCACCACCGGCGCCGTCAACATGCCCGAGGTCACGCTGCGCAGCCTGACCATGGACGAGCCCAACCATGCCCGCGTCGTCTTTATCCACCAGAACGTCCCCGGTGTGCTGCGCCGCGTCAACGAGATCCTCGGCGACCACAACGTCGACAAGCAGATGTCTGACTCGCGCGGTGATGTCGCCTATCTCATGGCTGATATTAGTAATGTCAAGGAGAAGGATATCGCTGAGCTGTATCGCGAGCTCGAGGGCTTGAAGGATAAGATCGTCACGAGGATTCTGTACTGATTGGTCGAGTGCATGTGTTCTGGGCCTTTGGGGGTTTATTACAATAGCGCCATTCGCGTAATTGACCGGGTAACATGCTCGATTGAATATCTTCGGCTTCCTGGCCTTGTGCTGGGTGGAAGTGACAGAGTATAATGTCTTTTGGCAGCAAAAAGGAATTTTCCTTGGAAAGGAAGGTATCAAAATGTCTCAATCTCGCAGGCCAGATAACTGGACCATGAGCATGGCTTGTGATTGTGCTTGATGGACCTGAAAAAGCCTTCAACGGCTGGTAATTTGGAATCTGGATAGAAAAAAAGGGACAAGGTCGGAGAAACTGGGGGCCTCAGGCTGTCTATTCATCACGACGACTATAGAGGGATTGTTCTTCAACAAAAACAGACTGACGGACCCAATCAAAACTAAGATGAGGTCGTACAATCAAGATACCCATGAATAAAAGAATTTTTTGGAAAATCGGGGTTATCTGACTCCTGAAGCTTCGATGTGATTTGCCCACCTTAGCGTGTTGTAATACTTGTTCAACTACCAACGCAATAGCAGTAGCGCCTCAGCAGACCTGGAGCTTGATCGATTCATGCATTCGTGTTTCGTTCTGGTGGGAGGCAATAGCAAGGAAAGCAGTCGCCCGCCTCTAGCTCTTCCAAAAGCTGGGTTCGGTATATCAAAAGTCTTGAAAGCCTCGATGCGCAAGATTGTTTCTCGTCTGGGGAGCGTCCGTGCCCCAAGAGATGGATTTTTGTGTATAAAAGCCGGGAATAGATTCGACTCAAAATCAGAGGGTATAAAAGCGGTCGCCGAAATCACCGAGTCCAGGAACGATATAACTGTAATCATTAGACCTCCCCACGAAAAAAAACGAGGATGTTTTAGTCCAACTCACTTGTGTGCATCAAGACCTTGATCCACAAAGGCCGTAATGACCCTAACCTTGGGGACCTTCTTTGCAAAGTTTTCGATTCCTTCAGGACTCGCAATAAGGTTGAGGAAGAGGATGCGGTCTTCCGGGACACCTTTACTCTTCAAGACCTCGACGGCCATGATTGCACTACCACCAGTGGCAAGCATCGGGTCGAGTAGGAGCACCCATCGGTCCTTGATATCGGGAGGCAGCTTATCATAGAAAAGCTTGGGTTTGCTGGTCTCTTCGTTGCGTTGAATGAGGATCTTGCCAATCCGGACAGACCGACAGCATTCCCGTAGGCCTTCTTCCATGGACTCGCCTGCTCGCATGATCGAGACACCGCAGATCTTGCCCTCGAACCGTACGCCCACATAGTCTTTTCCTACTGGGGATGTCACGGTGTGGGTGACAACGGGGAGGTGGTTAAGGCCTTCCTCAACTAGGAGGCGAATGATTCGGTTGGAATAGAAGATGAAGTCGGCCCTCTGGGTGTTCTTGTCCCGAATCATGGTCAGAAGGGCGATCAGTTGTGGGGTTTGCGGTAGGACATGGACGTTCTCTTGTTGGACTTCTCTTGATACCGTTGCCGTGGGCTTCTCTCCCTCAGGGCGATAAGAGGGTCCAACCCCAACTGCGGGTGACTGGACGCCATTAGAACGTGGAACAGAGGCCATGGCAGCACAGAGAGGCGTGGAGTCAAGGGAAGGAGACTGAGCTTCAGGTGGTCGCGTGACCCGTCGAGGGGAGGGAGAGAGTTTAGAGGCTGATTGAGAGCAGAAAAGCTACGGATCCGAGAGTCGAGATATGTCGTTTCGAGGTGGGAAGAGAGTGTGCCAATGCTTCACAGCATGCCAGCTTCAGGATAGTAAGTGAAGGAAAAATGTAGTGTTGACACTATTTGGGAAGTTCAGAGCCTCGACTCGACGTTCAAGGAGGATATCAACTGCAGGCCATTGAGTTTATGTTGATATTCGCCAGGGCACATGCGTGGGATGGAGGAAAGTCACTTATCGCCCATTGGGGAATACGAAGGGAGTGGTGAGGGGTAAGCAGGCTCGCAGGGAAAGCTCTAGGCGTGAAACTCGGAGCTGGCCGATAGCTGGAGGGGTCAGCTTTAACTGGCGTCAGTCTCTTTGGGATTGTTGATTTGTTTATACCTTTGATGTCATTCTGTTGACTTGGCCCAGGGGGCTATCCCCGTACCAAGTGATCACTCCAGGCTTGATGGCCTCCCATTAGGGACCAAATCAGCTTCTCTAGGTACCTCTCTTGACCGCCTGAGGGAGAATACGGGGGTCCCTGGAGGCTTAAAACTGTGGCGGTGATTATTCGCTGCCACTTGGGTCGACCCCAGTTTAGGGCATCACTCTATCGGGAACCGGGCAGCCACCACCTGCATCGGGACCTGTCACTGGTTCCCCATCTTCATGTTTTGTTTCAACAACAACTCGTACCATTTCTAGACATTGAATTCATTCAGTTCAAGTTTCCCTCCTACGGCTCACCCTTCCCACCTCAACTTTGATATAACCTCTCGAAGTTGATGATGGCCACTGACACCTCTCACAATCTACATCGTCCACATCCATGAGATGAAGACTAATTTACTCTTTTCTCCCGCTGCTTCAACATTACTCTCACCCTCAGGCTCAGATGATGGACTTCCAATCATCGCGGCGCAAAGCCAATACATATGGCAAGGGTGGTGCCAGGAAGATCTTGGTGCATGATATCTTCGATATAACCTCAGTATCCTCTCGAACGCCCTTGTCTTCTCAAGACACGCCTTCAAACGCACTCTTCAATTCATCCTCTCCGACAGATTACCCTCAGTCCACCGCCCCAGTCACCCAGAATACGTGGACGGACCGTCGCGATGTTAATTCGGTGGTCAATACTATGGACCTGAGACCAACAACCCCCTCAAGTACCACCGGCTCTTCCCCATGCTCATCTACCAATACCCCTGCTGTCGATATGTTCGATATCCAATCTTCTGGCGAGGATGCGCCATACAAAATCAATGGACCATTGAACAAGAAGAGGAAGGTCATTCCCGTACAGTCAAGGGCGGACTCGGAGAGGATCAACAAAGATAATGCGCGACCTTACTTGGGCCTGTCTAAACAATCAGATCGCATTTCCAAAACCATCAGCAAACCCTCCAGTCTGAAAGGCAACCAGAGTGGCGCCACCAAGACCGCTTCAAAGCCGGTCAAACGTCAACAACCTTTGGCGCGCACATACGTCCCTCAGAATTCCATACCACGCAAAACACGTGTTAGCAGCGGATCGTCAGCTCACTTGTCGGACACCTCGGCTTCTTCACCAAGAGTCTCGCGGCAGACAACGCCGAAAAGGAAGATACAACTCTCAGATGATGGATCAAACAATGCTTCCAGTCCGAGCGATCTACAGATGACCTCACTGAGGCTCACTCCCGAACGGACTGTGCCCCATCAGCTTTCTGAAGACATGGAAATGTCAGATGGTGGTCCAGTTCAAGCCACTCCGCGCAAGGGTCGAAAGAGGTTGATTGACAGACTTGACGGTCCTTGCGCAAAAGCACCGGAGAAATCAGGCTCCAGCATTGGGGATAACGACTTCAGCGCGGGAGAGTCTTCATATTCTCAACCTGTAAGCGGCTATGCTTCCCCGGCTCGAGGTTTACAGCAAGCGCCTGGGAACGAGAACGGCAATCTCGCGACAGAGGAGCCCAAACCTGCTCCTCCAGTAAGGATGCCACGAACATATGCAAAGCAACGCTCTCATCTGAGCGACATGCTGGATAGCCTGGAGCCGAGTAGTCAACACTCTTCGCAGCAAAGCTATTCTCAGCCCACGTCCTTCACAAGCTTTGCCTCTCAGATGGATTTGGGTTTGGAAGATGATGACAGCGAAGAAGTCAGCTCCTTTAAGCAACCCAAAAGTATACATGAATTACGCCGTGCGGGCGCCATCACCAAGTTCGACAACGAACTGTCTACCGTTCTCGATGAGGTTGAGTCGGGCATCAAGTCGGCACGCATTCGAGGCTTGATTCAGCTTCTGAAAAAGCTGGCCAACATGACTTTCTTACGCCACTTTCTGGACTCAGGTGGCCTTGCGAGGTTTAATGAGTGTGCTGATAGTACTTTAGATGAGGTGAGTGGTACACTGATGATTGCAGTGTTCCAAAGGATGACGTCTGCCACACATGTGTCTCCGGAAACGATGGTACAGATTCTGGCTGCGCTATACCGACTACCTAGTACTTTGGGCACCACGCATAAGCCACTATCGAAGGTGGCAAAAGATCGTAGGCAGAATCTCCCCAAGCTCCTGCTCTCAGAGTTGAATGAGTACGAAGACACGAGCTCTTCGCAGGCGGGCCACCGAGCCTTGCCAATTTCACTCATTTTCTATACTGCGCTAGCAAACACTTTGCACCCACTGGTCAAACTCGGAGAGCACTATCCACCTCTACCGTCACCATTGCTCGATGACATTTTACGGGCAGTTATCGCCATTCAGAAAACCTTGAATCTGGAGGCTGAACGAGAAGACAGCACGACAAGTCTCAACACCCTACTCTCGACATTGGAGATAGCGAGTTTTAGTCGAAGCCTCGTGACCGTGATTGAGAGGAGCGCCCACTTTCCTGCGCTTCGTGAAAGTTTAGCGGACCTAATGGAATGGGCTCGTCAAGCGCAGCAGCCTCTATTGGAGCAATCATGCTTGAAGTTCATTGTGAGCCTAAGCAACAACCAACCCGAAATTTGCAGCCGTTTCGCCGAGGGACCACTCATTGCTCGAGTTTACGCGGTGGTCGATGATCATTTCTGTCGCATGGCAACATCGGCTGTCCAAGCTCAAGAACTGGATAGTGAAAAATTGGATGCTGCAGTTCTCGCTCTAGGGTGTTTGCTCAATTTTGCAGATTGTGCTGATGTGGCGAGGGAGAAAATGCTGGAAAAGGATCAAAACGGGCGTCGATTAGTGGACGGACTGGTCGACATCTTTAACAGCTATGTCGACCTGACCTCTGAGGTACGTTGGCGCCCCTGGCCCGAGGGTCTCGAAATTGCTAATCGTTTTCCAGGCCGATACCATGGACCAAACACAGGTTCTCATTCCATTGGGGTACATTTCAATGCTGCTTTGCACATTATGCCTGAATCCACAGGCGAATGAGTTGATCGCTCACTCGACCAAAGGCCCCGGTCTGGAGCAGTTGTTTTTGGCTGTGGAAACGTTCCTGACTCCACTGCGTCAAGTTGAAATGGATCTGGCTGCCAATGGAGGATCACCTTCTGGAAGTTTTGAACGTTTCATGGTTATATACGAAGCGGTCAGACAGAAGGCCGCCTAGAAGGGTGGAAAAGACGACTACGCCCTGGTGTATTTTTCTATTACAGTGTGTTCACGATCGACATGAGCGAACTTGACACCGCGGGCTTGGATTAAGAGGGCGGGACTGGGTTGTCACTAAGTAGGGCATGTTTGGTAGATCTGGCGACCGCCCTGTTTGAGGAATAAAATACCCGAGCATCCTTTTGCTAGATAGGTACCTAAGAATCAACGAGATGTGACGAGTACGGTATGTAAAGTGGTACGCCCAGGCACGTCCGAGTCGTTGTTAACGTTCACCCGCTATGGTACAGGTACCTACTCGTCAGCACCAACCTTTGGTACAGTAGCCCTTGACAGTGGACAGCCGATCCCCGATGTATCTCCCCAAGTACCTTGTACCCCCGTCTCGTACCTCGGGAGTCGGAATCCTGGTCGATGCGATGCCACGTCGAATCGCCTGAGTTGACCCGGCCGATGGTCTTAATAGCCCAGATGGATCATTGCTGTCAGAACACACACCAAATATTGTCACTACTGTCACTCCTTGGTATGACCTAAACAGTCCAAATGACCATTGGTTGGGGACGGTGCTCCCCGCCAGCTTGGACCAACCTGCATCCTATCCCAGCTTGGAACTCTTTTTTCCTGTCGCTCAAACCACCTCCGAACTTGAACGAAATGAGTCCGGGTCAGATGCTTTCTCAACTACCGCAGCCCATGTCATCGGTGCCCTCTCGAAGAATGTCGGTGAAGTACTAGACTGCCTCCTGTTGAACAACTTGGAGCCCTCGCCCCTTCTCACTCACTGTCAGACTCGGAGAGAAAGATCGCAACTGCATGCATTCGCCTTGCATGTGCTCTTGCAAAATAAATATCAAAAAGTTCAAAAGTTGCGCCTCTGGACACTCTCGCCTTGGTCGTAGTTCCGCTACACCCGTCATCGTTCAATTCTCATTACATACCACTTTTGCCATTCCACGCTATTCATTTGCTGCCTGTGAAGTCTATTCTCTCGGGGGATCCTCCCCAGGCTTTCCACCCGTCCGTCCCTTGCCCTTCAGTTTAAAGCAGATATCCTTACCGCATTACCTCATCTGTGCCTGGATTTAGTAACCTAGGGAACTTTTTTGCGGCCACCATCTTTGTTCGAACCACCCTCGTCTTCTCTCTGGCGCTCGTCTGAACCCTTTCGCTTTGTTTGGCTCGACCCATAATACTGCCTCACACATTATCACTGCAGGCATGGCTCCCTCGGTGAAGCAGCGAAAGATCGCAATCTTGGGTAGCCGATCCGTCGGTAAGTGAGGCTGTGGGCTGCCGCTCATCATTGCCAGCTGGTGGGGTGACAACAATCAGGCTGACTTTTTCCCTCTGCTTGCAGGAAAATCATCCCTCACCGTACAATACTGCGAAGGCCACTTCGTCGAGAGCTACTACCCTACCATCGAGAACACTTTCAGCCATGAGATTGTGCACAAAGGCCAGACATTCCTGACCGAAATCATCGATACTGCGGGACAGGTACGCACAACAATCAAGAGAAGTGGGGGTCATCTTATCATTCGCTGACAATTCAGCAACAGGATGAATACAGCCTGATGAACTCGAAGCTGTACATCGGCATTCATGGGTACTTGATTGTGTACTCGGTTGCCTCGAGGCAATCGTTTGAGATGGTCAGGATTATCAGAGACAAACTTCTCAATCATCTTGTACGTTATGCCATTCGAACAATCGGACAAGGCAGCTCAGGCTAACATCTCACACAGGGTGCTGAGTCCGTACCAATCATGATTGTTGGAAACAAGAGTGATGTCGACACTGCTAAGTCCAGAAAGGTCACCGCTGAAGAAGGTCAACAATTGGGTGAAGAGCTCAAGTGTGGCTGGATAGAGACCAGTGCCCGTATCAATCAGAATGTCTCGAGAGCCTTCGAGCTCATGATTGCCGAAATTGAGAAATCCCAGGAACCTGATAAGCCTGCCGGGGGTGGGAAGTGTGTCCTGATGTGAGGCTGTGCGATCAGCCCGCGTGCACAAATCCACGGAGTCACACAGCGACCAACAGTGCAGTCCTCCGTCGGGATACTGATGTGACATTGACCATCGAGTTGAATGTACGATGTCTGCTTGCTTGCATTACGCGGCGTTCATAACTAATGAAGGGATGACTGGAACGAGAGGACGGTGTTTGAATATTACTGCATCAGGGATAGAATATGTCGATTCTGGATAGAAGGATGGCAGGTCTTTTTTCACTGTATTTTCCCAGAGAAACGGTTGCGTTGAAGTCACACGGCCAACTTCGAGACAGAGAGACTCAGCCACGAGATGGACGAACGGGCTTGTAACTGCTATCACTATGACTACGCAATTCAAATGATGGCCTGTACTTTGGACCGTGCTTCATTGAGCCCATGATGATGTATAGCTTCTGGTATCGCTTTCAGTCTTTGCATAGCGCTCTCTGCTCATCCTCTACGACCTGCAACGGTCGCTGTGCTCATCTGCAGTTTCTCCCTAAAGCAAGTGCGATAATTTCTCACTCCTTCCCGTTCCACCCAATTGTCACTCACGTCTCCTGGCATTCAAGTTCTTCCAGACCACTGAGCCTTACTCAAGCTTCGTCACGACTTGAACCAAGGTTTGGAATTGCCTTCGAGTATTCTTGGTCGGCATTCCCCCCTCTCTCGAACACTCGGCCGACGTTAACACGTTCGCAGCTGCTCATAGTTTACCAGTGGCTCACAGATGTCAATAAGAGTCTGGTACTATGTTCTCGGGTCCATGGTCAACTTAAGAGACTGGTAGCCATGAAGCAGCAAAGGAGGCTTCACTTCTTCTATCGGCCGAAGCACAACGAAGTGCAGTCTTCTCGTCCCACATGGAGAATGGCTCAAAGCTCGGCTACTATCTCCATCCGCGTCCAGGACTCAGGACTCAGGAACACCGTTTGGCAGCCTGACGCCGGTTGCTTGAAAACTGCAGCAGCAAGGCTAGTGCCAAGTAGGACTAGTCAGGGGTTCGGTCGCTATTCCTGGGGTCAAGTTCTCCATCATGACTGGCCAAACAATCCCAGAAGTTCCCCCCCCAAAAGTCAACTTGGAATTGTTTCTGCTGCAAGACAGATCCAAATGTCGCGTGGCGGCGTGGGAAACCCGTTGGCTTCTTGCGGGTACGCCACAAGAGATCCCCTCCTTAACCGAGAGTCGCGCCGATGTCTCTGTTCTAGATCCGGAGCTGACTGAATCTGACCAAGGATCAAATGCCACCCCTTTTGGGCTCCTTGGAAAAGTTCTATGGCCAAGTTAGATACATGCGTCCGGTCAACATCCTACGAGTACGACGCCAGTGAAAAAAGGTTGACTTGGCTTCTTTCTTTTACTCTCGTCTGTTTTTTCACCATCTTGTACAGTTCAACGACCTTTTCCTACTTATAATTCGTATACTGCCTGGAAGAGGCCCGAAACCCCACCGAAGATTGACATCCATAGAAGTTATTGAACCATCTCTACGTCTTGTCAACGTCAGAACAGGATGACATGATAACGCTCGGACTCTCAGATGAACATCGAGCAGCATCGGCTGTGGAGTAGTTATGGGTTTGCTCATCATGGCCCTGATTTTCTTTCTGGTAAAAGGTGCTCGCACAGCTCTGGGCTTCATCCGCCGCCCACTGTTTCGTGTTCTGGAGTTCTTTGATCTGGAGCAGTCCATACCTCTACCTCGAGTGTCGGCAGATCCTGACCTAAACCACACTGAACTTGTTATTGAGGAGCCAGTGCAACCCTCAGCTGCACACTTGGGAGATCCTGCAGCGTATATCAAAGTCGCCTTACCCCGATTCATGCGACCTAAGGCACTGAGATACCATCCGGATCGGGTTCAGTCAACCGCATATCTCGACGCACTACGCGGCTATGCTGCATGTGCAGTGGTCATGTTCCACATGCACGGATATCCAGAGGGTGGCATCATGTATCAACCCATACTTCGCCTCTACTCGGCTGGCCCTGCCATGGTCAACCTTTTCTTCGTCATCTCAGGTTATGTACTGAGTTTGCGGATGTTGAAATTGATGAGGGCACAGCAATCTGGACAGTTGTTGGACTGTCTGGCATCTTCAATGTTTAGACGATATCTCCGACTATATGTCCCCACCGCTTTAGCGACCTTTCTCACAATGATTATGATCCATCTCGGTTGGTGCAAAAAGGCGTTGTTACTGCCAACTTGGAGCCAGCAGTTTTGGGACTGGCTCATGGACGTTGGATATTCCAGTAATCCTTTCGAAGCTGTTGCTGGGTGGTATACTCTGGATGGATATCGGACGAAATTTCTCGATCAGATGTGGACTATACCTGTCGAGTTTCGTGGAAGCATCATCCTTTTTGCTTTCTGTACAGCAACTTGCAAGCTTTCGACGAGGGCCAGAATATGGACTTCGTTGGCCATCATCACTTTCTCTTATTATTGGGAAGTCATATATGTTGCAGCCTTCATATCTGGCATGTTGATTGCGGACGTGTCTTTGAGTTGGAACCCAAGCCGGCAACTACAGACGAGACTACCACAGCAACATGGAGGTGGACTTTCTTGGGGCCACCGACATCATGGGCTAGCCATAGCTCAACAATGCGGTCCCATTTGCGTTTTCATTACTGGTTTGGTACTGCTTAGCCAACCCCCAGACCTGGGAATCGAAGGCCCGTTTCCCTTTCAATACCTCATTTATGGAATCCCACCACACTACTCGGACGGTGCGGAGCATTTCTGGCTCAGCATTGGGGCGATCATGACCATCGCCGGTATCGAATACTCTCCAATCTTGCAGAGACCCCTTACCTCGGGAATCTCTCTGTATGTAGGAGAACTTTCCTTTGGAATTTATGCCGTGCATAACACACTTCTATGGGTATTGTATTACGAGTTAATGGCTCCTTGGAAAAAGTTACACTATCCGGATTCGCAGTGGATATATATCCCAATCACTGTTGTGATGGCACTGGTGATCTTTTGGGCAGCAGACTACTTTGCACGAGTGGACAAGAAAATTGTCGCCTTTGGGAAATGGCTCCAACATGAATCCTTTGTGGAATGGGAGAGGAATTCCTAATTGTATAGCTATATACAAACATATGTAAAATGAAGTCGAAGTATTGGAACCCAACAGTGGCTCGGTTTTGATAGCGTGAATGCATCAAAACACCTTGAATAGCTACTGATATGCGCGTTTCATATGTCCCAAGTATCTTCTTTTCATTTGGCATGGGTCAGTATGATAAACATGATAGAAACCCTTGGGGTGAGTCGGCGTGACTCACGAGGCTCCGGCCAAATTTCGCGGGGCAACAATATTTCTTAAATCCACACGTGCGCTTCACGTTCAGGAACTCGCTTGCCAATTTCCCTAGACAGCTCCATAGAACTCTTGCAGTTCTTCTACTTTGCCTCCTCTGTTTCTTTCTCTCATTCTAGTTCTCCGACACCATGATTGACCCACAAGATCTCATTGCCTCCAGGTAAATTCCCCCCCGCAATCCGTTTGTGACCACGCCCGCTCACCGTTGTGTCCGCAGGGGAGGTGATCCCAAGAAAGCGATTGAGAGCCAACGCAGACGATATGCACCGCCAGAGGTCGTTGACGAAGTCATTGCGCTATGGAACGACGCATATTCGAGTCGGTGCCACAATTCTTCCCTCACTTCCGCGAGCACAAAATGACTGATCCATTCCGGCTACCCAGCACGTTACAATGCAACTCAAGTCGGCGCGAGGATCAATGCAGTGCAGAAGGAGATCGGACAATTGAAGAAGGTTCGACGAAGCCTTTCCCCTTTCCTCGGGGAGATCCATGTGTGGATATATGGCTGGAGAATGCTAACGAGGACCGGTGGAACCAATGTAGGCGAAACAAGACGCCAGCGAACTCCTACAGAAAAAGATCGATCTCGAGAAGGAGAAAAAACAGGCCGAAGACGAGGCCTTGGAAAAGGAGAAGCTCAGAGACCGCAAGTGCAAAACCATTGGCAACTACGTCCATGACTCGGTCCCTATCAATGACAACGAGGTAGGTGATTTGTTTCCTTGACGAACGCCTCTGTCCGAAAGGCTGAGGCCTGGGTCGCGAATGAGCAAGCTCTGTGTACTGACAATAGGGTCTTCTTCCCGCCGCTTATCAGGATTTCAACGAGGTTGTCAAGCAATGGGCGCCCGAGGGGGTGACCGTCGAGAAGAAGGACTGTCTATCACACCACGAAGTCATGACGCGAGCGGAGGTCTACGACGGCGAGCGCGGCGTCAAGCTAGTCGGACACCGGGGCTACTTCTTGCGCAAATGGGGCGTACTGCTCAACCAAGCTCTGATCAACTACGGCCTGCATTTCCTCTATGCCAAGGGATACGATCCCATCCAGCCACCCTACTTCATGAAGGCAGAGTACATGGCCAAGACGGCACAGTTGGAGCAGTTCGACGAGGAGCTCTACAAGGTCATTGAAGACAAGGACTCGGAGGATAAATATCTCATTGCCACTTCCGAGCAGCCTTTGTCAGCCATGTTTGCTGATGAGTGGTTGTCGGAGAAGGAGATGCCCAAGAAGTTTGCTGGCTATAGCACGTGTTTCAGAAAGGAGGCTGGTTCCCACGGTAGAGATGCCTGGGGTCTCTACCGAATTCATCAGTTCGAAAAGGTGAGTTCCCCTCCTGGGCCTTCGCTAGCTGTGCTTTTGCTAACATGATTGCTATCAGATCGAGCAATTCTTGTTCACTAAGCCTGAGGACTCGTGGCAAGCACTGGAAGATATGAAGACCACGGCAGAGGAATTCTACCAATCACTAGGTCTTCCATACCGGGTCGTGGTGATTGTGTCCGGGGCTCTGAACAACGCAGCTGCAAAGAAGTACGATTTGGAAGCTTGGTTCCCCTACCAGGGTGAATACAAAGAGCTAGTGTCATGCTCAAACTGCACTGACTACCAGACTCGAGAGTTGGAGATCCGATATGGTCAGAAGAAGGGAGCCATCGACACAAGAAAAACCTACGCACACGCTCTGAACGGTACCCTTTGTGCCACCGAACGCACACTTTGCTGCCTGTTGGAGAACTATCAGAAGGAAGATGGCTTCGAGGTCCCCGAGGTGTTGAGGCGATACATGCCCCCTGGCACGCCCGATATCATCCCATACACGAAAGAGCTACCCAAGGATTCGACTACCCAGAAATCAAAGCCTGCAGCGAAACCTAAGGCTGGAGCTGCTGCAGACGGTGGAGCGAAAGCGAAAACACCTGCTGATAGCGTGGCTGATAAGCTGAAGGACCTGAAGACTTCGGACTAAGACTGCGTGCAGCAGCAGGAGAATCAGAGACAGCTTTACCAACGATGTGATGTGGATGATTGATGACGAAGACATGGCCATCATGAGGGTAGAGATGGATCACTAAAGTAGACAGCGTCTAGACTCAAAGTTTTCCAGATCCAATGTCTAGTTTAGTCCATAGAAGTGCAACCAGTGCTCTTCACAAAGTTCGTGCGCCAAAGCGTGATGACTCATCATAACCGTCGCTAGAAAATATTGGAGCAAGGCTGAAAGATATCCACGTGACTGTACCTCTATTTGCCTGCGACGCCAAGATTTACTAGCCCGCCCGCACACAGCGCAACTTGCCAATTTTTGAAGATTCGACATCCTCATCTCAATCCCACTACAACATCCACCCACAACCACTGCGACAAGACTATCTATCCTTTGCACTGCCCAAAAGATAGACTAGGTCGCAATCATGGCTGTAGGAAAGTAAGCACACCCATTCCTTCTCGATATTCCTCGCAGGACCGTCACACCTCAATCCAATATCCCAAAAACTCAGCAACGATATCCACCTCAATCCTGCTTTGATCATTTGGAAGAACCAAAGCTCACCAGTTGTGTCTAATAGGAACAAGCGTCTTTCGAAAGGAAAGAAAGGCTTGAAGAAGAGAACTCAAGACCCTTTCACACGAAAAGACTGGTACTCAGTCAAGGCTCCATCCACCTTCAACACGAGAGAGTATGTACACACCCACTCACCCACGACCTACACGAGATGGAAGAGACAAGGAAGAAAAATAGAAATGACTATCAGGAACAATTAGCTTACAATTGATTTCATAGTGTTGGAAAGACTTTGGTGAACCGCACAACCGGTCTCAAATCCGCAAACGATGCCCTCAAGGGTCGAATCTTCGAAGTCTCCCTTGCCGATCTCCAGAACGACGAAGACCATGCCTTCCGCAAGGTTAAGCTGCGAGTGGATGAAGTCCAGGGCAAGAACTGCTTGACCAACTTCCACGGACTCGACTTCACCTCTGACAAACTCCGCTCTTTGGTACGGAAGTGGCAAACCCTGATCGAGGCCAACGTGACCGTCAAGACCACCGATGACTATCTCCTCCGTCTGTTCGCCATCGCCTTCACCAAGCGCCGCCCCAACCAGATCAAGAAGACCACCTACGCCGCCTCTTCGCAGATTCGCGCCATCCGCAAGAAGATGACCGAGATCATCCAACGCGAGGCCACCAGCGTCACCCTCGCCCAACTTACCGGCAAACTCATCCCCGAGGTCATCGGCCGTGAGATCGAGAAGAGCACACAAGGCATCTACCCTCTCCAGAACGTTCACATCCGCAAGGTCAAGTTACTAAAGGCACCCAAGTTCGATCTCGGTGCTCTGCTTGGTCTGCACGGTGAGAGCTCGCAGGATGACTCTGGCCAGAAGGTCGACCGCGAGTTCAAGGAGCACGCACCTTTGGAGAGTGTTTAAATAGGTGGTCTGCCGAGCGTGATACTGCTTTGTGAATGGGTGGAATCAATAGAGTTCCAGATCATCAATGCAAGTGGGAAGATGTCATGGGATGAAATGAACGAAAGGGGAGCAGAGGGTTTCTCGTCGAAGGTGGTGGTGAGAGCCAAAATACAAAACGCCCACGGCATGCCCTCTTCGCTGGTCTTTACCTCTTAAGGGTATTGGGTTGCCAGAACATTTGCATGTCAGGAGATCAAAACTTTACTCAACGAACGACATGAAGAGATCTTCCTCTTCATTACTTGAGGGGAATTCTTTCGTGGCTTTCACACCAATGTCTTCCGGCGCAACAGACAAGGGCCAATGCTTGCTAGCTAGATAAGTAGCATGGCATTGCATTTTGCAACAATTCGAAAAAATTCTTCAAACGTGAACGCTCGAGAAGTATATGACTGTTCCACGTGGATGATGAGTCGTCGTAGCCATATCAATTCTCTCCCTTCCTATGAGCACCTCCGGATTTATCTGCTACCGAGAAACCCATAATCTACCGTACATTGGCGCTCACACTTGAGTTCGATTTATGGAGTAGTCCCACGAATCAAGAACAAAAGGAGCTGCTGAGAACCATGCAAGATGCAAACGATTGACCACCCTTCCATTCCAGTCTAACCCAACCACAGACCAAGCCCAGACCCATGAAAGGGATTCCACATCTCGTCCACCAAAGTCACCCAGCGAGAACAACCCCAGACACACACACACACACACACATACACAGTAGCACGTAGACAAAAGCGTCATTCATGCACGGCGCTCAGCGCTCAACCCGCCCGATCCACGACCCTCTGCACCCACTCGACGACGCCGGCGCGAAACTCGTCAAACCTCTCGGCCATGACCCAATGGCCACAATCGCAGTCCAACAGCTCAAAGCGCGGGAAAAACCGGCCAATCAACGGTAACGCCTCGTCCGAGACATAGTGGCTCTTGGTCCCGCGCACCACGAGCGTCGGACCCTCGAAGCGCGCGGCGTCCGGGTCTTTGAACGGGAAGTCCGCCATCGCCGGCAGCGACTTGGCCAGCGTCGGCAGCGGGATCCGGAAGCGCAGTTCCGTCTTGTGCGCGTGGTGGTGGTCGCCTGTCTTCTGCGGCGTGGTGGTGGTGCTGGTAGAGGTATTCTTTGGCGGCGGCATCTTGACCAGGTTCGTCAACAGGAACTGGCGGATCGAGACGTCGGATTCGTATTTGGCCAGGATCTTGTCCGCGTCGCTCTGTTTCTCGATCCGCTTCTTTCCCTTTTCTTGCTGCTCTTCGATCTCGCGCATCGCGTTCACGTACTTGCCAAAGTCGGACTTCAGGGCCGCGTCGACGGGCGCGTTGTCCACGGGGATCAGCGCCGAGTAGTTCTGTGGCGAGCGCAGCGCCAGCGTCATGGCGACTTTGGCGCCCATCGAGTGCCCGATCAGCGTGGGCCGCGTGAGATTCTGTGTGCGGATGAAGTGCTCCACGTCCGTGGCCATCGAAGTGTAGTCGTGCTCTGGGGAGTGTGGGCTGTCGCCGTGGTTCCGCAGGTCGAGGTTGTAGACCGGCCGTGAGAGATCTTTTGCTAGGACTCTGGTTGAGTGAAACGTCGAGGTTAGTTCTTGGGTTTTGTTTTGAGAGATGATGCTGTGAAGGGATGTGCCGTGTGCATTTCTTATGGGGTTGAAGAAGAGTATGCCTTACTTACTCATCGTGCGATTGTTTCGCTGCGACCCGAATAAGCCGTGCATCAGAACTATGGGCGGCCCTCTGATGTCTGTTGTCTCGGGAGGGTCATGTCTGTGAAAAGCGAGGTCGATGGCTTCCCGTCGAGACTGCGAGCTCGAGAAGTATCGTCGTGCCGTGTGCCGGCATGGCGAGACCAGGTTTCTGTGCATTTCAGGCTGCAAAATGCACGTGTGTCTGGATATTAAATTGTCGACAGTGATATCGAGAGATGTTGGGGTTTGCTCCAAAAAGTTGTATGACCATCGGTGGAACTTCGGTTAATGTTTTGCACAGGCATACTTGCAAAAAAGCGGAGGTTCATTCATTATTCGGATTTTCTTCATTCAGGGACTTACAAAATGGACCCGATCACTGGTTCAATGTTTCCACTAGAGAAAATCTCCGATTGTATCTCGGGAGCACGTTCCATCCAAGATGCAATATTGCCAGCCTCTATCGCTTTCCATAACCTCTGGCCCGATCAAGCTCAAGCACCCTCCTTTCACAAATCCAAGCATAGTTCACTCATGGCATCTCTGATAGCACCTTCGATATCATAATCATCTTTCTCATCGTTTGTGGTGACAGTGTCTTCGACTTCTACCATAACACTCTGTTGCAGCTCCTCGTAGTTTTCTCCTTGCTTTGGAAAAGTATTTCTGCTGGTTCATCTTTGCTGGAGCCTGCTCTTGCCATTAAAGCCTGAAGTACTGAGACGACATCTTCAAAGATTTGTTCCACACATTTAGCATCGACACTGGCGTTTTCTGCTGGAGCTGGAAAGGTGAACTCGGGCATGGCCTTGGCTGGGATGGTCATCGAGTTGGTTGTTTTATTAAGCATATCATTTGCTTGAGCCAGGGCGTCACCCAATTTTAGGATGCAGGAGCGTGGAATGGTGATATGTCTGGTAACTTCATCGATGGAAAGCTCTTCATCGGTAGTCTTGGAGGCAGCGCCATTCTCAACCGTGTCAGTGGTCTCGAAAGAGGTGGTGGAAGAGGGAGAGCTTGGTGAAAATGGAAAAGACCCTGGAATCATCGCCGACAGTGTGTCAATGTCCATGGTGTTCAGCGTGTTTGAGATGCAATTGAGTGTGGTGGGTGTGCTATTTGGAAGTTGACGCGTTATGCAGAGCGTTTCTGAATTGTTCAAGGAGGACGATACCGATTAAGGCTTGAAAGGCGTAATTCCAGAGGATTTACCAGTGGTCGATATGGAGCAGGACTTCAGTATTGTTCGCTTGTGGCAATGGCGTTAGAAATATAAGAAGCATATGCCAGTGAGGCTTTTGTTTTGACAAGTTGATACAGTCCTTTGTTGCGTCAGAGGCTGAATCTCGGCGGTACCTTGCATCTATGTTTGATCTTGATAATGCCAGCCGAGTTGCCGGAAATTCTGCCCGTGCCGGGAATATAACGTTTGTTCCTCAGCCTTGTGGCTCTCGGCAATTTGGCTGCTTATGTGCTTGAATTTCTTCAAAGGAAGCATTCGTGATTGTTGCAACGGTCCATCGTTTGTCCAACCGACAGTCTATGAAATGCCCAAAGACTTTTGAACGTTTGAGAAAACAGCTCCTGCCTTGGATTGTGCTCTAGAGGCACCAAGTGCGATCTCCTCTGTGAGAATCTCATTGTCCTGCTTCATAAGCTGTAGAAACCGCGGACGTATGTCTCCAAGCTCCTTGATTATGGCTGTGGAAACCATGTCCTTTAGCCCTTTCATAGAAAGATTTTGATTGTCCCGAGCAATTTCGTGACAAGATGCAGGGATCTCTGTTACGTGCTTGTAGATCTCAATGAGATTTGAGACACCAGGCCGTGTCTCTGGGTCGTACGAGATCTCCGTCAACGAATCTGTGACAGCTGCCCTCAGCTTTTGGCGGATCTCTTCTGGCGAGTCAATAATTGAAATTCGTGATCTTGGATCAGTGTCTGACTTGGACATCTTCTGGGTTGGTTTTCTGAGTGACATGATTCTTTTTCCAGGGACGACAACTGCCTCTGGAATTGTGAAGACAGGTTTCCCATCAGCTTCCGTCAGGTAGGAATTAAAACTTCGAGCCAGATTCCGAGTAAATTCAACATGCTGCAACTGGTCGTGACCCACTGGCACAAGTGTCGTGTCATAGAGAAGAATATCCGCAGCTTGTAGAACAGGATAGGAGAACAGTCCAAGCTTCAAAACAGCAGTAGCTTCATCAGCATCCAATGATGTCTCATCAGGAAGATTCAATTTGGACTTCCATTGCGTCATTCGGGAAAGGTAGCCAGTCGAAGCCACGTTGCTAAGTATCCACATAAGCTCACTATGATGGGAGACATGGGACTGGAAGAAAACGGTAGTTGTTCCTGTGTTCTTCAGACCTATCGCGAGTAGGGAAGCGAAGGACTCCTTTCGCAACTGCTTCCGTTGCTCCTTGGGCAAACTCGCAGTGAGAGCATGAAGATCAACAATCGAGAAGTACTGTTCTGTTGAGTGTCTGGTGGTGGCTTCTACGCTAAAGCTTGCATCATGGTAGTTTTTCCATTGGCGGAGTGCTCCGATATAATTTCCCAAATGAGGGACACCAGTTGGTTGAATGCCTGAGAAAACGACTTGGGGTATTTCTGCCGATGTGTGGGCTTCTGCCTGCGTGTCACCAAGCACCAAGTCACTAGCAGCGTGCTTCGTATCGCTTGCAGTACTTCGTTTGTCTAAGGCAGAACTTGTCGTTTGAGGTTGGTAGCTCTTTCCACTGGTATAAAAGCTTCGAGACCCAGACCAGAGGGACGGCTGCTGAAGCAATCTAAGGGACGGACGGCAAGCGCGAGAAAGCATCATAAAATTCAAAGGAGTGAACGCGTCTCCAAGAGCACGCAGAATGCAGAAGAGTACAAAAACAATATCTCTCTAAGTCTGATGAAAGGACGAAGATGAATTGAGGATGCTGCTCAGGTGATAGATGCCAAGACACAAAGTTGCATGCTATGATTTTTGCGGTACCGTAGTGGTCGACAAGGCTGCACCACCGAGGAGAAAAGGGGCAACTCTTGTTCGTGTAACTACCTAGGTCAAAAATAAAGTATACGTCTTCTTCTAAATACCCATCTGAAGCATCTATATAGGAGAATTGTATATGTGACATCAAGTAATGCTCACATCATTAGTGCCAAAGGGCTACGTTGGGTAACACAGCATCGGGTAGTCAAGATCTATTGACCCATTCCTTTAAGAGAAAGATGCATTGATGCGGCTTTTGCTACGGCGTGCACCATTGTTAGGTTGATAATCTGTCGCCGCCGGTGAATCTCAGAATTTGTTCACAGAACTGTCTTCTAAGCCTTCGTCCACTCTGCCTTAATTAGGTCAGCAGCTTTCTCACCGATGCCATAACTACCATCAGTTAGCAAAGTGTTCAATGGTTCCAAAAAGAAACGCTTACGCAGGCATCTGAGTATGACCACCGTGCAAAGATGGCATGGAACTACAATCTGCAACCCTTAAACCTTTCACCCCTCGAACATTCAGCTGCGCATCGAGCACAGCAAACTGATCCTCCGCAGCTCCCATCTTGCAGGTACCGGCGGCGTGATAGCACGTTGTTGCATTTTGCTTGACATGTGGAATCCATTGTTCGCGGGTTGTGAAAGTATGGTGTTTGGCAGCTGGCTAAGTTTTAATAACGTCTTTGGTCTCAGACTGGGTGAAGCACATACTCTGTGGCCAGGAGCCCTTTACAACATCTTTGGTTCCGGCGCCATTTAGTACGATTTCATTTCCCAACTGACAACCCTCAGTCAGAACTAGCATATCAAGAGGATCTGAGAGATAATTGCAGTCGATGATCGGGTTCTCGGATGGATCAGCGGATTTCAAGGTTACTGTTCCTTTTGAACGTGGTGAGAACAGCTCAGTAATCATCGCGAACGCATGCTTTTTATCTGATTTCCATTAGCGATTGTTGACATCTCAAGGTACATACTCACCAATCGGGTAATTATCGTACTGCTTCGGGCTGTTTTTGAAAAAGCGTTGGTCAGCAAGATCGGTTGTGAAATTCAGAAATGACAGGATTTTTGAGCAGCTCTATCAACGTTGAAGGGAGTGGTTGCTTGGAAAAGCCTCATGTGGGACAGCTAGGGACCTACCCGCCATAGAGCTGTGTCCATGTTAGCTACTGTATTTGCTGTAGTATGGAAGTTGATTTACCTCCGTGGTAAAGAATTCAATGTTTGGCTGCTTTTGTGTGAGCCCCATGGGATCGCGGCATGACTCCGTTTTCGCCTTCTGCCACAGTGGATCATCTTTGAGTCGGTCATCGAGCCTTGCGAAAGCAAATGCTCCGAAGGGGAAAGTTGACAGAACTCCAGTTTTCTTCTCTTTGTACAACATATAAGCAGCCATTGCGGCATCGCCATGGTATCTGATAGGTTAATCAGTAATGCACAAAAACGTTGTCCAAGATAAGCACGTACACTAGGTGGTCATTGGTAAGTCCATCTTTGGACACCTCATAAAAAGCAAAAACAATCTGTTATACGTCAGAGGTGCGAGGCGCAGAGAATATGAAGTTTACGAACAAGATGATCAAGTAGGTTCTTGCCAACTCCAGGAGAGTCAACGAGAGTCTTGATGCCCAGCTTTTCGAGCTCTGCTCTCGGGCCAATACCAGAGCGAAGCAAGACAGCTGGAGAGCAATATGCACCTGTCGAGTATTAGTTGTTGTGCCTCTCTTTTGGCTTTCGGTTCTTACCAGACGAGACAATTATCTCCTTTTTTGCACTCACATCTCGCTTTGCACCGGTTTTGTCGACGAGAGTAACGCTAGTTGCTTGTAATTGTCCATCCTTTTCTTCAAAGTTGATTTTGTCCACCAGTGTCTCGACGACGATATCAATGTTGTCCTTATGCTGGTCGTTAGTTACAAAATCCGCTCCAGTCGTTCGGATGCCCTTGTGGTGTGTCCTTGGAACGTGTCCACATCCGTGAGGTGTCTCGCCATTGGTGAACATATCGTGAACCAGGGGCAGTCCTGAAGATTCCATGGATTTGAGCATTAGTTGAGAGATAGGAGCAAGATCGTGAGGTTCAGTATGCAACGGTCCATTGTAACCATGTGCCTTTTCATCTGCCTCGAACCATGATTTGTTATGAAATGTCTCAGCCTAGAGACGTCAGTAAAATAGGCATGGGACCATGACATCCCTCCCACCTTGCGCATATATGAGAAGAACTCGTCGCCGGACCATCCAGGAAGACTGAATTATTTAGCTGACACTCATAAATGGAGCTCAGAAAACTCACTTCCAGTCGTCATAGTCCTGCTTACTTCCCCATATGCAGAGCGTACCATTCACGCCTGATGAGCCACCCTGGATGAAGGTATCAGAGTAGGTTACTTCCATGGTGATGCAACAGAGCATACCAGAAACTTCCCTCTGCTGAGTTTGACCTGTCGTCCATCAACACCATCCATTTCCTCCGTAACGAGATTCCAGTCGGTCTCGGAATCGAAGTTCTTCGACCATCCTTTATGAGCGAATTTGGTCAGTCGTGTTCCAAACCAGCTAGTGACAACAGAGATGATTCGTCGCTTACCGCCGACCATATGGACATTCTCCAGATCCTTGTTATGAGGGCCAGCCTCGACGAGTAAGATCCGAGCATTGGTGTTCTCCGCAAGCCTGCCGGCGATCACACAGCCTGATGTCCCTGCACCACTGACCAGTCGTGTCAATGAGGCAGCTCAATTGCACTTTAGATGTTCACTTACCACACAATAAAATCATATTCCTCATCCTCTGTGAGACGTCCGGGCGACATGATGGGAGGTTGCTCTGTGATGTCAAATGATCGAACCGGAACGGCTCGAGATCCCGTATGGAGTTGAATCGAACCGTATCGTGGTCGGATACCTGAGCAGACATTGGTATATATCAATCGATCTGCCCGACCATGGAAATATTCCACACTAATGGATCTGACACTCCATGCTCCCCATGATGGAGGCCATTCCAAAACTCAATCCCCGGTCCCCTCAAAGGTCCTAATGTGTAACTGTTCTGAGATTGGCTCGTTCCAGTGGTAACCCCGCAACTTTCGCAACATTCCGAGTCCCCGAGTGAGGACGATGCATGCGCGGAATGGTTTCCTTCCCCATCATTCTCCCCTAGTCTCCCCTTTTGTCCTTTGTCCTGTTTGGGGTATTACATAATTCCAATCCTGGATGCCTCACTCTTCCTGTATTCTTTGTGATGAGAGTTGTCTCTTTTCTATGTAAGTGCCCCTCGGGCAGCCATAATACAATCCATGCCTTGGCTTCAATGAGTCCAGATATCGCAAGTCTGCGACCGAGGTTTCCTGGTCTCGGCGGAGGCTTCCAAGATGTACCTTTCAAGATCGGCGCTCCTCTGAGTAATTGTGCGTAGACTCAGCCCAGCACTCGAGGCGAGTCCCCGTGGGTACCACGGGTGAGAAGTGGGCCTTGATGCCGAATTGACCCTATACATAATAAATTAGATCCCGGTCGTGAAGATGATTTCTGCTGGGATGTGAGGTCGTTTTGTTGGCTGTACCTTGGAATTGAACTGGCTGTGCTCCAAGGATCGGTGTTCTCGCTGTAATTAACAGGCAAGCGTAAACAGAAGGCTCCATTACCGTGACGAGTGCCTGAGACACCTCTTGTGGCATCAAAGAGTTTCACGAATAGCAAAGGACCAGAATCCTGGCGGAAAACGTATTATGTGATACGTAGTACCTTACAGCTAGTTTGTGTTTTCAACATCATGGCCTTCGCTGTTATCAAGGAGGGAGAAGAACAAGAAGAAGGCTGGTGCTGGTAGGTATCGCTGGTCAGCAACCTGGAAGCTAAGACACTAGCCCTATTGAGGTCTTCAGGCATGTATATATATTGATGTCCCGGAGCGAGAATTTCCCCTGAAGACCTCCATCTGGAATTATTAGGACCATCCTTTTGGCCATTCTTATCCTTTTCCACCATTCGATAAAAGAGTGGTACTGCGCAGCGACAGCCAAAGTGAACTTTGTCGAGAGAGCAATCGAATCCTTGATGCACTGTCCCATTAGTTTCAATGTAGGTTCAGAGGGTCAAAATAACTGTTCTTGAGCACGAGACCACTCAAAAGGTCGACCTAGGTAGCCATAGCAGTCAATCATACACCTCTTAAAATCTATGCTAATGCCACGCGACGTCCTGCCTCGGTGAAGCCATCTCAGTCCCGATATAACTCTTACATCCCATTATCGTTGTACAATGCAGAGCCAGAATGCTGGCTTAAAATGGAGCTTTCACAAGCGGGGAGTATATTTCTGTACAATGATCTCCTCTCACAATTGTTGCCTCTTACATCCACAAGGGTATGCTTGTAGGTTTCCAATCACGTGAAGAAGGTCTGCTCGGCTTGATCTCTTGTCCCATCCCTGACGTCTGTGACACCTACACCAGGGCCTCTGACGCCCTGCTTGTGCATCATCCGCACCAAGTCACGATTGCCTGCGGCAGCCTTGTTGAAGCCAAAGAGTCGTAGTTTCTCGTCCAACTCCTTCTCAAGATTTTCAAATTGCTTGTCCATGCCTTTTGCCACATCTATAGTTGGAAGCGAACGTTAGTACTCAATCAAAAAAGCTGCACGGGGCCATAGCTTACCAAGACCCTCGAATTGCCAAACATTTGCCTTCATGCCCACGCCGTAGAACTGCCACTTGCGCACAAACGCTAACCAAATCTCCACTACAGCTGGGTCGCCATCATAGATGGTTAATAATCTGCGTCTTGTGATTCTCTCGAAGTTCTCTTTACTCTTTTTGAAGATGAATGGCGACCTTGGGACGGTCCACCGTTCAATTTTCTTCGGTAATGGAACGGGTCCCGAGCAGGGCAAACCGAGCCAGTACGCAGCGCGCACAGCAAAATCAGCGTAGAATTCGAGGTTGCGTACACTGTAGGATCGCATCTGTAGTGAGGCGACAGGAATCCCATGGGTAGTTTTGTGACGGAGAGGAGTGCGGAACGCGGCAAGGACATTAGGTGGAACATTGACTGTGGCCGGGTCGAGGTCGTCATGGTCTTGCTCTGACGGTTGTGGTGTTATAGTGGTGATCGGTGCCTTCGTTTTCTTTGTAGAAGATACCATTGGAGCTCTGGAGCCTTTTTCTGCTGCAGCTTTGGAATGCTGTACGGTGGTCTTTGGAGAGTCGATCTTCTCCTTGGTTGGTGGTGGTGATACTTGAGATCCTTCGCCATCTGGCTTTGAACTTTGACTACTCTCTGTCTCCCAAGGCGTCGGCTCCTCATCTAATCCCTGTATTTTTCTTGAACCAACTTCTGGCATCGGGAACCCTGCAGTGATGTCTTCCGGGGGTGAAAGTCGGGTAATGCTGGAGGAGAAAGGCCGTATTTGTCGGGTTTGCGAGCGGAGTAGTCTCGCACGTGCCAGCGATGAGGTACTCTATATATTCGAGTCAGTTAAAGAGGGGGTTCTTTGGTGCAGCGCATCTCTGCATGCGGGAGAGAGGCGACATACCTTGCATGTTTGACAAGTATTCAGAGCTGTCCGGAGACATCGTGGTACCGACATGCTAGGCCACAGCTCTTCCTAGTGATCTCTTGAGATACTCCAAAGAGGTAGTTCTGGAATGCGCAAGCTCGTGCAGATGGCTGCGAGCTGCGGAGCGAAGAAATCACAGAATCGTTAAATGGATTACATCCTGCTCCTTCGGCTGGGGATCTTGGATGATCTCCGAAAAAGATATCCTTCGCTTGGCAGAGAAACGCCTGTTCACGTGATCAGGCTGACCGTATCCTGCTGCTTGATCTAACTGCCTGATTAGGCATTTAAATGTTGCCGCTTCAGAGATGCATTGTGTAGACGTTTCAGAAACCTTCATTGAGAAAATGCATGACACCTTTTAGAACCAGCACCCTTCACGTGTGATTCTCGTCTTTAGAGAAAGGGTTGATCGATGGGGCTGTCAGCTGAAGAAGTCCAGCGATCGGTTCATGTTCATAACAATCACAAGCCCTCGACTCACATGCAGGCCATACACGATCAGGTAGCCTTTTCCCCCTGGTCTGCTACTGTTCTACCTGATGGTTGTTTGACTTCCTCATGTGAACAAGGGCTGATGATCCTGTAACACTTTCTCAAAACTCAAAATAGCACTGATACATGCATGGTTCTTTGATGGCTGAGTTGATCGTAAGACGGGTCTCTCGGGTTCTGTTTGACGACAGTAGCCATCGCGGCACCGATAACACAGGACTGGGTATGGAGGACTATTTGAAGGCCCCTATTCTCCCCTTTTCATCATAATTGTCAACATTAACCAGCAAAGACAATCAAGTTCCAAGTTCTATTAGTCAAAGACGAAACGGCCACCCATCCCAAGTCCCAGAGTGGAACACTTGTCACCCACGACGACCACGAGGTTGTCATGGATCTGCAACCCTGGCTTGATGCAACCAGCCCAGATAGACTCGGTGTGCATGATGCCTGGGCTGTTACTAAGACCGACGATGCCTTTGCTTTTAGCAACCAAGTGGGCATTCAAAAGGCCTCTATGGCCTGGACTTCCGCATCAGAAACGAGGTCGCCATGGACGGCACGGTCACTCGAGGTATTGCAAAGGAGGCGACTGAATTCAGGAGCGGGCATGATTTTAGCTTTCTCTCACACTGGAACAAGTTCAACTCGATCGAACAGAATGGGAATACGCTCAGGTCGCCAAATATTTAGGCAATGCCACACGATCAGACCAATTCCTTTTGAACTCGTCTGCTATCAGCCAGGGCGAGTACCAGCATATTCCCAATCTTCACTTTTATCACTCAAATGAACCCGCCTCATTCTCAAGCAACACCCGTTGCCTGCTTATACGCAGCCTCAGCCAGAGGCTCGCCCAACGCGGCATAAGGCGGCATAAAAGCCTTTATCATATCCGCATTTGTTTTCGAACGAGTAAACACTCCCCGCGGGTTTGAAAAACTTCGGAACCCTTCCACTCCATGATGTCTGCCCATGCCGCTGTTTCCTGAACCGCCAAAGGGTAACGATGGAAGAGCTCCTTGTAAAGCCGCACAGTTGATCGCCGCACCGCCGGAGTTGGTGTTGTCGATGATTTTATTGGCGGCATCGATGTCGTCGCCGAACACATACAGACCGAGAGGTCGTTCGCCTGCATTGATCTCTTCAACGGCAGCGTCGATGTCATCGTATGGGATGATGGGGAGGATGGGACCGAAGATCTCGTCTTGCATCACCTCGAGATCTCGCGGAGGGTCGACGAGGAGTGTCAGCGGAAGCTGTCGCTTCGTGTTCTCTGTCTGTACCTCGCCACCGAGCTTGATCGATTTCACACCAGCCTTCTCAGCCTCGCTGACCAACCTGTTGATTCTATCAAGGTGACGTTGGGAGATGATTCCAGTGTTGTCTGCAGATGAGGTATAATCGGCCAGTTTCGACTTGAACAGCTTCTCTGCAGCATCGGTGAACGCAGCCACCTCGTCTCGTGGGACCACGACATGGTCGACAGATATGCACATCTGGCCATTTTTCAAAAGTTTGGTGCCTATTATCGACTCAACGTTCTCGTCGTTGACGGAACCCTTCTGCATGATGGCCGGGCACTTTCCACCAAGTTCAAGCGTCACAGGCACAAGATTCTTTGCGGCTTCGGCCATTACAAGCTTGCCCACTGCTGGGTTGCCTGTATACAGAATGTGGTTGAATTTGAGCTGCGAGAAACGTTTCGAGAGCTCCAAGCCGCCGTTCACCACGGTGACAAGGTCCTCGGGATAATTCTCCTTGATCATCTTAGCCAGGAGAGCGCCAGTTGCCGGCGTAAACTCTGATGGCTTTATGATCACACGATTTCCGGCAGCGAGCATCTCACATAGTGGGCCCAGCGATAGGTCTAGGGGGAAGTTCCACGCTGAACCAATGAGCTTAAGTTTTCACTAGGTAGAGGAGAACAACTTACGGACAATGTTCCCAATGACACCTTTGGGTTGATACCGCACTTCTGCAGCGGCATCCCCAAACATATGTGGATCGAATTCTCTGAAATCAGCAGCCGTCCACTTGTCGATTTGGGACAGTACATAAGCGGCTCTCCCTGCCACACCCAAGATCTCCACCAAATCGACAGCTACCTTTGGGTGACTGCCAAAATCCTTGTTCATGGCCGCCAGGATGGCTTCTCTGTTTGAAATGACCATCCCAGGGATCTTGCCGATGTTGGCTTTTCGTTCTTCGAGGGAAGGACGCTGATTTTTCAAAAATGCTTTTTTCTGGAGCGCCAGAGCATTTTCAAGCTGTTTGATGGCTGCGTCGTCCGACATTGTGACCACTTCTTCTCCTATCTTGGTTGTCGTTCTAATGCGAGAAATGTCAAAAAGACTTCTTTGATTTAAAACTCTCCACCGAGAACCTGTTGCGGTTATAAGCCGAGACGTATGTTTAGTAGACTGTTGGACGCCTTTGACAGGCGAACTAGTTGAAGACTTTTGTGAGACAACGAGATATCTTGGTCCTTAATGTAGTTATAGCATGTACATAACTTTATGGAAGTATTCGCTAGCCGTGCTGGACGCCTTGAGGGGCCCAGAGTCAAGTATTTACCTTGGTTAGCACGGAGGTGGGGTATGGGTAGGTAGCCTTGAAGGGAACCAGAACGATCCGAGGTAAGTGTATCACCGTGAGTTTGTCATGGTCCCCGATTCGTCACCACTCCCACGGCATCAAGAATACGCTTGCAATATCATGTCCGGCGGACGAGCCTGCTGAAAATGGATAACAGAATCGTAGTTCTCATCCGGTGTGATTTTTGTTCCCCGATGTCAGGTCGCATTACGTCGGGAGGATGACTCGATAGGCCTAGCCTCGAACGATGGAAAGTCCACATGGTGGCAACTGCTGGATGACCAGATAATTCCAATCATCGCAGTTAGTATGTGTTACTGGTGACAGCGTCGAAACTCGAGCCCTACATGCCTGAGGTATAGCACGTAGTCTCCTAATTATGGACACCTACCCAAAGACTGGTAGGTACTTAGTAGGTACAGACGAAGACAGCCGCCCAAACCAAAGGAGAAAGGTGGGAATCTGACGCCAAGCCCTCCCTCGTACCCACAAATAAGCCACATCTTTCCTCGAGTCATATTCTAATCCTCCAGATTTTCGCTGAAAATATTGCCACAGATCGATACGCCCCTCCGGCGATCCCCAAGTTTCGATAGCTCAGTGGTAGAGCGAGAGATTGCAGTTATTTCTAGACAAGTTATCTCTAGGTCACGTGTTCGAACCACGTTCGGAACTATTTTTAGTTATCTAGGCTATGTTTGCCTTGTTTTTTCTCTTTTTGGACGATCGAAGTGTTCTCAACACGTAACTTGGAGATCTACCCAGTCTCGAGTTAGTCCTTTACTTTAGTTCCTTATAGTAAGCACGAAATGAATTACATGACCTATTGGTCTTCAGCGGGATCTTAAGGTGAGCACCATCCACCTAGCTAAGATGGCCAGATCACGAGACACGACAATCAAGTTACACGGTATCAGGCATGCTCTTGAAATGATTGACCTATAAGTTTCTTTTTTTTCGGAAAATACAGATAAATAGGTTTGATGGCATTCAAATGAACTGAGCCTCCTTAGGTCTTCTGTACCCCTGGTTGAATACCCTCTTTTTCTGAAGGCTGGCGGTGAAATGTTTCTATTCGACATGACCGCCCCAGATATCTATTCTGCTTGCAACTGAGAGGAGTTCCTACTCCAACTCAGATTCACGATAGTGGTCACAAAGGGGCAGTGGAACAAATAGGAGTCAAGTGATTGATTTAGACATTGATTTACTAAGCTTCATGATTGCATTGCTGCCAACTATCTAACCCATACTCGTTTGTGTGATTGTGTCCTAACGATGGGCATATTCAATCCAACAGGTCCAAATTACCGATAGTAGGGTTTCGTTCTCAAACATGTCATCGTTACAAGAAAGGCCAACTGGCCACGCAAGGAATTCGTAACTCTTGATCTCATACCAAATCTCATAATGAGAAGAATTATCTTTCTAGAATGATAATTCCTTCCGATGATTCGATCCAACAGGAATGACCAGACTTAATAGACAAAGAAAGTCTCGTATGAAAAGGTGAATAAGTCGTATCCAAAGCACCAGTAAGCAACAACATAAAGCTTGCAGTGCTAAAATAGTGATGTCTGGCTGCGGCCGCCCAAAGACGGACGGTTCGAAGGTTGAACGCCATTAATTTGTCCTCCATTCTGAGCCGAGAAGTCACCGATTCTTCCAAAGCCCTGGAGAATGTCGACGCCTTCATCATTGTCAGATACATCATTCTCGAAAGAGTTGAAGTCAAAAAGATCATTTTGCGCGTCCAGTGCTGCAGTGCTGTTCAGAGAACTCTTGAGCGGAGAGCCAGTATTGGTCACTCCAACAGTGGCTTTGAGAAGATGACCACGATGAGGAGTCCTTGCATTCACTTTCAGCATGCTTCCACTCAACTCGCCGAGGACGACTCCACTAGTCATGGGTCGGCCAAGCGAGCTTCGCTGTTGATACATTTTCAACGGGGAGGAGGTGAATGCTGGTGTGAATGGTGTCAGAGTGTTGACAGGATCGGAGAATATCTCAAAGGATTCGTCTCCAAAACCAGAAGGTGTAACAGCCGAGTATCCAAACGGACTACTTGGGTTGATATCAGTCTGCCAAGCGCCATTCCCCTTCATTGGAGAATTTCGAAAATCCTGCATAGCTTGCCGATGAAGATGGAGTTGAGTATTTGGGGAAATGGATTGGGGTGGCCTTTGGGGCTTCTTGAAGCGGACTGCTGGTGTCACTGGATTTGCACCCATGGCAGGACCAACACGTACGGGAGAGGACAGCTGGGCATAATCTCCACCAAACGAGCCGAATCTGGTGTGACTAGGAGTGAGATCGTGAGAAGAAGCTCGAAGGCGAGCTATTTCCTGTTCTGCTCTCCCCGCACGCTTCTTGTTCAATGGCTCAATGTCAAGCTCCGAAGTCAGAACGATTTTGTTCTTGTTCGGTCGCAGAACAGAGGACTCGATAGACGAAAAGTATCCGCTATCATCAGGTTTGTTTAAAGTGATCTTCTGGCGATGTGCTGATGATGGTCTTTGAATCCGGTTAGTAGGGGAGGATATATTGCGACGATGGCGAGATCCAACTACAGGCGGAGAGGAATCCAAAGCCTCTGGTGGCGACGACTTGGGTTGTGGAAGGGATGCCATGGAGACTGCTGCCTCTTGCTCATTAAGGGCAGGGTCGGACGCAGGCAAGGTGGCATCGGATGAGAGATCGGGAAGTGCGGGAGCAGTCCGAGGTCTGGGTGGTTCGCTTGACTGGTTGATAAAGAGATTTGGTGTCATAGAGCTAGATAGTGGCTGTGCCATTTTCATGAGCTCAGGGCGCATGATGCCAGATTGCATTGACATATTGGACGAGTTCCCTCGACGAGTTTTGTCTTTGAAGAAGCTGCTCTCGGTTCCAGGTTCGATCATCCAGTAGCAACCCTTGCCAGCATCACCCTTGGGTCGTTCTTTCTTGATGAATGACTTGTGAAGCGACAAGTTGTGTCTGATACTGTTATGCCAGCTTTGTTTTGTGTCCTCGCGATAATATGCGAAAGTGTTGGAGATCCACTCATAGATTTGCGAGAGTGTCAACCGTCGATTGGGTGCCCGCAATATGGCCATCCCAATCATTTGGGCGTAACTGAGATTTGGCTTGTTGCCGTCGTCGACCACAGGAGGCATATCCTCGGGTGCTGGAATGTCTTCTGAAGTTGATTCGTCTTGCCTCGTGCGTTTGAAGGACCGTTCCACAGTTGCCTCTGCGTCGGAGTAAGACCTCTTGAGAACGTTCTTGCGCATGTATGATGGTTCCGGGAAGTCTACGAAGGTCTCGTGAGTTGCAGATTGGGGAAGCATGTTCTCCTGTTGATATGTGGAGATAGTACTGTCAAACGTGGTGAACAACGATTGTTGTTGCATAATTGCCATTGGGTGAAACTGTGGTTGGGAAGGGACAGCAGGGCGTTTGACTGGAGAGTCAGTGTAGATGTTGGCAGTAGGATGAGGTAGCGGGATAGAAATGTAGTTTAGGTTCGTATAATTGATCTCAGCCTGGGTATAGGGCTGACTTTTCACCGGCGACAGGTGTTTTTCTGTCATCATTGTTCTATTGAGAATCATCTCCGATGGTAGCGGGGGGTTCCTCATAGGTTGAAGGGGCATGGCCGAGGGTTGCAACTGTGGTCGTGGTTTATTGATGGGTGAATTGTTGGCTACGACTGGCATCGGGTCCTGGTGGATGTGAAAAAATGGGTGTTGACGCGTCGATGCCATGTTGGCTAATGGCGATACCGACCCTAGGTATCCAGAGAAGTGTGATTCAGGGTCGAAAACGCGTAAAATTCGTCGTCGTGGTTCCCATTAATCAAGTCGTCGAGGCTGAAGTGACGATGCAGCAAAGCAGGCTGGTGACCAAAAATTTCAACACAGGTAGGCTGTAAGGCGACTTTAATTTAAGATCAAGACTTGCAGGAAGGGAAGAGATTTGATGGATGTCAGTCAAAAGGTAGTTGTCGAAGGCTGCTGGCTGGGTGGTGGACGTGTCTGTGCGGAACAAGCTGGAGTCGGGCTTTCTGGACTGCGTTGGATCGAGGGGCGAAGAAGGGTACCGTAGGAATGCTGAGCCTCCGGAAGGGATGGCTAATGAAGTCGAAATGGTCGTGTACAGCATATATCATGCCATCTTGGTGGGATGAATCAATGATTGAAGGGTAAAGACAAAGAGTTTAATTGTTTACAGCTTGGAATAGTCGAGCGTTGAGTGATGCAGAGACGAATCGCGGGTGCGAAGTAGGCGAGTAGGATGCGTGGAGAGAAGGCGGGCTAGTGTTATAGAAGAGGGACACAAGAAAAGGTTGGAGGATTTTCGAAGTGGGACACTGCTACTGCTACTGTAGACACGGGCGTAGATTGTAGGGCTTTGGGGAGTTGGAAGCAAGAGTTGAGCCTGAGGACGCGAGCTTGAGGTCAGATTCAGTTCTGGGCAGTGACGCGCTCTAGTGGTACGAGTTGGAAGTGGGGGGCATGGCCCATGGCTTGAGCTACTAGCGGGCACGCGCCAACTCGTGACTTCTGCTAGGCCAGACTTAGCCCTACGGACAAGAAAGGTTTGGCGCTACGAGTGCCTCTTTCACGGAAAGCCAATCCTGTCGGCTCCAGTTTGCCTCTGAAGAATTTCCAGATACCGGACCCAATCATTTCGCCATCTCTTCTGACGTGGAATGCTCAAAGACCTCAGAAATTGCCCACCAGTTCCTGGCCTGTGTCAGCCATCACCTTCAGCGTGCTGGTAATTGGGCACATCTATCAATAAGATTCTCCTCAGCAGCCTCTTCCGGGTCTTGCAATGTACTGGAGTGCTTCTCGGCTCATTTTTCCCACCCTTGTGCGGGCTGATCCAGGGTTTGCCCTGCGACCGGGGGGCGCGTCGCGCGTCGCATGGCCGGATCAATACTTCTTCCATCAGTCATCGGGCCCTCAACTTGGAATGCCTGTGTTGCAAGTAATTCCGGATCACTGCCAGGATCCATGGACATTTGGACAATGTCCATCCCAGGCTCCCACAAAAATGCAGCCTGGGCATATCTTCAGATTGAACATGAATCTGCCATTATCAGCCCAGTTGTGGGTGGACATCCATTGACACATCCGACACCTGCCACTAATGTGGCTGCTCTAATTTGCCTCTTTGTCTATATCCTCCCTTCAACTGACGGCATACTCTGATAAGGGAAGACCACACCAGGCCACCTCAATTGTCCACTTTTTATATTCAACCCTTGTTCCATACTTCCGATCCAATCTGGAGAAAGCCTTCGTTGACGCTTTTTGACATGCAAAATCCCAGCCAGATGTCCCAAGCCACGTTGTATCTAATTCAATAAAAAAGACTTATTGAAGAGCCATCCTTGTAACTCCGTCGGTTATGCCCACAAATGCCGCTCATACGCTTCAGATAATCCTCCAGTCAATCAGGAGTCCAAGAAAGTAAAGAGATTCGTATGTAATATGTTCAACGCTCGGTCCGCATCTCTCTCTTCAATGACACAGGTGATGTTGATCTCACTGGCCCCTGTGTAAATTGTTAGCATGCTCGGTTGGCACTCTGCACAGTGCATTGAACCCTACCTTGCGAGATCATCTCGATATTCACATTGTTTTCTCCCAGAGTGGAGAACATCCTGCCTGCAACGCCTACCATATTTTTCATTTGCTTGCCTACCAGACTCACGATTGCCATCTCGGGAATGACATCGACGGTGCCGAAGCTTCGGAGCTCTTCAATGGCCCCACGAAGGTCCTGATCCACAATCTGATATTCGTCATCACCACCGCCTGTGTACAAGGGTGCTTCCGAATGCAGCGCCATCGACATGTTGACCTCGCTCGTCGAAATCACATCGACCGACAAGCGCCACTTGTCCAGCGTGGCGAATATCCCGGCGAAGAAGCCGTGTGACAGGGAACGCTTGTTGGAATGGATGTTCATGACGAGGATCTTGTGTTTCATGGTCACTGCTGTTGGACGCTTCGGGCCTCGACGCTCACCCAGATAACTGGAGCTCCTTGAGCGGAACAGCTTGGGATCATGTCCTGATGACGCAGAATCAAACTCGGACCCCGAATCGGGATAAATGATGGTGCCGCTCCCTCTGGGGTTGATCACGTTCTTGATCCGTATGGGAATCCGTGCTCGAATGACTTGGTCCATAGTCGAAGGATGGATGACCTCAGAGCCATAGAAAGTGAGCTCGGCAGCCTCAGCTGGGCTGATTTGAGGAATCAGCTTCGCTGTAGGGACTTTCCTGGGATCGGCTGTGAAGATACCGTCCACCTCTTTCCAGATCTGCAGCTCCTGCGCACGCATTCCCACGGCAACAAGAGCAGCACAGAGATCAGTATACCCTCGGCCAACTGTGGTCAGCAAACCCCGCGGAATGGCCCCAAAGTAACCTGTAATAACGGGAACTTTGCCCGCGCTGTCTTGTAGTCTTTTGGCCAGAGAGGCCGCCACATTGTCATAGAATTGCTGATCCAGACTGTGCGGCACTTTGAAATCAACGACATCGGCAAGATCCACGTAGAATGCTTCAACTCCCCTATCTTCCAAGAGTGCAGTCATGAAGCGACAGCTCAGCTTCTCGCCCGTGCTCATGACTTTGTCTCTGGATCTCGGGCTGGTCTCACCCAAGGTCTGGGCAGCTTCCAGTATCCGCGCCACCAAGGCACATTCTTCTTCGATCTCATCCCGTAACCTCTGTCGTATTTGTTCGGCGTGTATGTAGGCATCGGCGTTTTCAAGATGGTCCAGCCGGACATCGTCGATCAATCGCTTATATTCTTGAGTCTTGTGATGTTCGGCTTCGGATGCGGCTCGTAGGAGTCGGTTGGTGGTACCTGCAGCTTTGGTACTACTGGATCTCTGGTGTTAGGAGTCAATGGATGTCCTTGAAATCTTGGGGATCTGAGTCATACAGCTGAGCAGACTATAGCGACATCCGCTTCAAGTATACTGGTTTTGACGACATTGACGATGTCCTCAGGGAATTTGCCAACACTTGTACCTATAGTAGTCAGGAAATGGACCTATTGCGCAGGAACTGGAAGTGGAAACTGACCGCCAAATTTTAGCACATTGATCGCACGAACAGGGTGGAATGTCTCGCCGTTGACAAGTGGGCGGTTCAAACTTTGGCCATTGGCGGTAGGATGGACTGTCATGATGGCGCTTGGAAGAAGTTATTTGGGACCAGCGTGACCATGCTTTTGGGAGAGTCTCGAATGTACTTAGGTAGGAGCTATGAAAAAAGAATTATGACTCGGCATGTAATGAGATCTGGTGGAGTGAAATAGAGTGCGGGCATGGGGTGACCAACTGCAAACACCACCAAGGGCACTCGGATCTGGGCCTCCCAAGCCTCCCAAGCCTCCCAAAGACGAGGGGAAATCCCCTCAGCCGCCGATATCGAAGCCCGGCAGAATAAATTTCTGTTTTTTCTGGGCGGTGACAGGTGGTGTATTGAGGGACAAGCCAATCGGTCGATTGTGAATTGGGGGGCTTGGATTTCTCCCGTGACTCTTTGCTCCGATGAACGATCGCATCATCCCGTATTTGGTTTCCATTTAAAGGGTTGATCCTCGTACTCGGCATAGAATGATCAAAGCCCAGCGACAACCATCATGTAATGCTTTGCCTCCTCTAACACATCGCCGTAAATGTTGTGATCAATATCTCACTATATGGCAACCCATACCAGAAGATCGTGTTCATATCCTGCTCTCCTTTGCCCAAGAGTAGCCTCCACATTCCAGACCAGTTCTTGGCATTCTACGTGGACGGTGGACCGCCATGTCAGTGTCATCTCATCTCACCGTGATTGCGTACTTCCAACTTCAAGTTCCAGGCAGAACCTACAAAGCACCTAGGGAGTCCTACTAGGTGCACAACTCATCACTGACGCCTCATCAGGAAGTGCCACATTCAACAGATCAACTAATCCGAACTTGATGATGTCTGGTCCCAGCCACACTAGCCTCGTGATCATCTTCCACAAGGCGACAGTGTTTACCAAAGCCGCTGTTCTCGTCACCAAGTGACAAGTTGCACATTTCCTTCCCTTGAAAACTGTGAAGTGACCGCTTGATCAACATCTCCAATTCTTCCTACGATACTAGATCATGGGATCTCCGGAGTCTGAAGAATATCTCCGTTGTCCGTACTGCGGTTTTCGCAGCCGCGACTTCGACCATCTGGAAATACATTGTATAGAAGTCCATACTTCGCAACAAGAAAGCATACCCCGTCCTGACAAGGACAATAAATCCATGTCGCAACCGCCTTTGAACGACTTTGAGTTGGCTCAGCTCCTTGCATTTGAGGAAGCTGGACTCCCAGCCGAACTTGCCTTGCACGATGTTCTACATGAGCCTTCCACAAAAACCCGTCACGATGAGGAAGGTGCGAATAGTAGCCCGCTGCCCGTACCTCAGGCTCAGTCCAACGATGGGGACGTTGATGAACAATGGGTAGGATGCTTCTGCGGTGAGCGTGTACATGTCCTCGAGCTCGATGCTCATGCCGACATGCATGCCCAGGAAAATCTGTCCGGTGTGGACATTGATTTGACCTCCGAGACACGCATGCCCCAGCCGTTGACTACAGAACACCATCCGCATAGTATCACCAAGTCTTTTACTACGAGCATACCTGAGTCACTTCGCAACGTTGATCAAGCACCGAATCGAACACCTACAAGAGGTAGCAAAAAGCGGCGGCCTTCTCTTAAGGAGATCTTTCTGGGCACATCGGCATCGCCAAAGAGTAAATCACCATACAAGGCAGTGTCGTCTAAGCAGGGCAAGACACGCCGTTTGGGAGTAAGTCTGGCAAACAAATATAAATTCCTTGTGTGGTCGACATGGCTAATAATGGACAGCGTGCTGAACTAGGCCCCTTCGCACATGAGCACCAAATGCCTGCCTGGCTCCACCGAATGCTGCAAGAAGGCGCTAAAGTCACCATCACTAACAGGATCGGTTCAGACGGTACTTTGCAGCGAGTCGAGACCATCGCCAACGAAACCCCCGGGCTGGTTCCAGTCCTTGCTCGTCTTTCTCAGCTTGACAAAACCGTTGAACGGGCCTTCTATTGCAGTCCAGACGTATGCCATGTGGCCAAGATGCCCAAGGAGGGAGGTTTTTGCGGATATCGAAACATTCAAATGATGGTCTCCTACATCCAGGCTGCTGGTGCCACTGGCTCTTCGCGCTTCCCTGGCAGGATTCCAAACATTTTGAAGGTCCAAGACCTTATTGAACAGGCTTGGGATATGGGATTCAACTCCATAGGTAGAGTTGAGACTGGGGGCATCAGATTGACACGCAAGTACATCGGAACCCCTGAAGCCCAAGCCTTGTTTATGAGTCTTGATGTTCCATGCGAAGCAGCAGCATACACTAGTACCAAATCCGTCGAGGCTGACGAAACCATGATGTGTGCTGTATGCGAGTATTTCGATGATGAAAGCACGGAGGACAATGATGACAAAGTGGTCATCACGGAAAAGCCCCCAATTTACTTCCAGCATCCAGGCCATTCAATGACTATCGTTGGGGTGGAGTGTAGATCCGATGGTCTTGTCAATTTGGTGGTCTTTGATCCAATGTTCAACCCCAGTGTGGATCTGAAAAGACTTGCCTTGAGCACGAGTCGAAATTTCAAATGCAATGCACCCGAAAAGTTGATGAAGGCCCATCGAAGAGGAGGCAAATACCTATCAAAGTATCGTGCCTTTGAGTTGCTCAAGCTCACATCGAGCACGCCTTCCTCGGAGGACTGACACGAGTTTGTCCATGCTTTTTTTTTTTTTGAGCGGAAGAATAGAAGGTCTATTATTGGCAGTGTATGAAGAGGATTATGGTGTGGCTTTTAAAATTCACAATTAGCGTTGCATAGCGATGGACGAAAGCGCATGTCAGCAGACTTTGACAGTGTCCTCGAGGAATCAAGGAAAGAGATTGTGTCTCACCTCGCAAATGAGCCATCAAGAGATTTGGCCTGCTCACTACCACTGTCCAATCGAGGCGTTATGCAAATGGCGTTATACTGAAACTGAAGCCTTAGGCCGGGCTGTCGCATGAGTCATTTCATTCGTAAATTCCGTGGTATGATACTACGTCTTTGCGAAGAGGAAGGAGATACTAAACTAGCCTTGAGTTGCAGTCTCCATTGTCTAGAAAGGAGGTGGCTAACTGATCCTGAATCCATATCCTCGTGGAACAACTTTGGTGGGACCAGTTTCCACACCGCGCCCCATGGTGGTCAAATTCTAGTCGAGGAATAAAATAGTCAGATAATCCCAAGCGTGCTCACGTCGACTCTTAACCACCGGGACTCAGCGCTGCTGATTGACGTATTCGTTGCCTCATAAACCACTAGACCAATTATTTATACTGGGAATCACTCTAGCAACTGCAACTTTCTACGTTTTGCATCCCTCTGATTCTGCGACATGTCAGGCCCTCAAAGTCAACCCCGACCAACGACACTGAACTTCATCACTCGCAACGCCAACAAGTTGTCCGAGGTGCGCGCCATTCTAGAGGTTGTACCAGGCTTGCACTTGCAGAGCCACGACGTTCCAGAGTTGAACGAAATCCAGGGCACGATTGAGGAGGTCGCGAGAGATAAGTGCTCAAAGGCTGCTGCAGTGGTAAGTATCCCGCTTTCTTATTGGGCCACCACCCATGGGTTCACATGCGTGAGTGATTAACTGATCACTACATGAGAGGACAACAATCTTCCTTTTGGTGGTGATGATTGATTGTATCTTGGTCATTGCTGATCTCGATATTGCTAGGTAAATGGCCCAGTGCTGACGGAGGATACGGCTCTTGAGTTCCAGGCTTTGAAAGGACTCCCAGGGCCATATATGTAAGTCACGATCTACTCGATATCTAGCGGGTGCCAAAGTTTGCTAGAATAGCAACTTGATCTCCACATGCAGATATAGGCTTTATATTGAGGAGTATCCCTACTCACGAGCTACACTAGAAAATACTTCCTCCAAGCTCTCGGTCACGAGGGACTGAACAATATGCTAGCCGCATATGAAGACAAGACTGCCTTTGCAGTATGCACATTCGCGTACTGTGCCGGACCAGAACACGAGCCCATCCTCTTCCAGGGCCGGACGCAGGGCAAGATTGTGCCTGCAAGAGGACCCGGCATCTTTGGTGAGTTCAACCCTTTGTACTGCACCAAGGCTTCAAGAGGGTGACCACACTCATTGATGGAATCAGGCTGGGATGCAGTGTTTGAATATGAGGGCGAGACGTATGCCGAGATGGACAAGACAGCAAAGGTTCGTAACCGCTCCTCTCCGGATCCTTTCCCTCATCTGCCTATAGGCACAGATATCTGTCGTTCCGGCCTTGGCTGCACTCCTACGGTTTCTCTTATCGACAGACCTGCCCGGGTGATGTTGCTCCAGATGCGTTGACTAACAATTCCCTCCGACAGAATCAAATATCTCATCGAGGCAAAGCCCTGACCAACCTGAAAGCCTGGCTTGCAGGCGGTGAGCAGGAGGCTTGAATGATCGACTTGAACAGCTTTCTGGAGATAGTGAAGAATGATTTAAAAATCATCGCAGGGGCGAGAGGCTCAATCACCGTCTCCTTTCGCTTCACGATCTTTCAACCAGTTCTTGACCCACTGCAGTATCCGCTCAGCATTCTCTTCAATATCTTCTGCCTCTGTGCTCTTCAATTCTACCACTTGGCCCTCTTCTGTCCAGCCTTCCCTCGCCTCGTCCGCCACGACACCGAAGATCTCGGCGTCCATGTTTTCCTGCACCTTGGCGTCCTTGTATCCTCGCGAAGAGAGCCTGTCGTAGAGTATAGCCGTTTCTTCGCATCTGAGGACAACAACAAGATCGACCCACCGTATGGCAAACCCTTCGGTAGAGTGCCAGTCGATGATCCAGCCGCCATTGCCCGCGCCATCCTCGATCTCCTTCTCGACCTCATCCATCAGTTTATCTTCATCCACGATCAATGTCTGGAGCTCCTCATCGTAGCCGGAATGCGCCGAGCGAGTCTTCACGAGATCGTTGATCGATAGGTGCTGGAGGTTGAGTGGTGGGTCTGATTGTGATGCGAGCGCAAGGATTTGGGTGCATGTCGTCGTCTTCCCGACACCCGGTGTGCCTGTAATAACAATATTGGGTAAAGCACGCATCTTGACGGCCTTGCAACTGGCTTTTGTCAACTAAGAGAGAGGCCTCTCGGACAGTTTGTTGAAAGCCCACAACTTAAGACTGCATCAACTTTTTTTGTGACCCGCAGTCAAGATCTGGCAGATCTTCCCCTCAGCTGACTCGCGTATGAAGAGCACGGAGAAGTATTGGTACAGAAGCGCAGTGTCGACCATAACGACGACAATCCATCGCGTTGTGTCTTTCATCACATACTCCCTACCTCGTATTTGAGAATTCTTTGGCCTAGTGACGAGGAGCTGTGAATTGTCTTATTGGACTTCTGATCTTCTTACACTACATGTGTTCAATGCTAGCCTCCTAGTCTCGCAACTTGGTGACAAGAGGTCCACAGTCCGTGGCGCGAATCCCTCATCGTATGTCCACGCCCATTGATTTCCTGCAAGACACAAGTAGAACAATGCTATGTGGATGTATTTCTCCTATCCAATCCCGAGGAAATCCTCAACCATCTGCGGTTCCTGCCTTGACCATACAACATTTGCCTTTTGGGCTAATCAAGAAGTAATTCTCCATTTCCATCGACTCTGGTGTCGTCAGTTCGGAGAGCTCAAATCCGCGACATTCGCGGAAGAATTCAGCCAGTCCATGCCGCAGTTCCATGAACGCCAGGTGAATCCCTAAACAGATTCGCGTGCCTCCTCCAAATGGTGCGAAGGCATATTTCTGTGCGCCAGAGAGATCTCGTTGGTAGAATCGATCTGGGTCGAATCTATACGACACATCAGTCTCTGCGTTGATTATCATTGATTAGGAGGATTCCTTACCTTTCCGGATCGGCGAATATTGCAGGATCTCGGTGCATGGTATAAGCCTGGGTCGTCAACGTAACACCTGGTGGAATATAGAAATCCTTAATCTGAATTCCCTTCGAAGGCGTGGTGCGAGGTAGCGCACCAGGTGCTGATCCGTATAGCCGCAATGTCTCTGTGATGACGGCGTTCAGATATGGCAGCTTCTCCAAAACAACATCATCGAAGCTGTCTGGAAGGTTGGCCACCTCGTCCTCCAGCTTCGACCTCACAGCCGGATGCTGCAAGACGGCCCAGACGGCATAGGTAAGGGTGACAGCCGTGGTTCCTGACCCTGCAACTATCAATGCCGAGGCCTGTGATCCTAGACTGAAGTCTGTTAGGCTTGTGCCTTCAGCACGACTCGCGTCTATCAAACCACTGATGATGTTGTGTTTAGACAACGAGCCCTTGCCAGCTGCGTGGGCTGCCGACAGCCCATAATCTACGACCCTCTGCATACACGCGTCGCATTCTCGAATGAATCCGGGTGACAGGAGTCGCATGATCGGGTAAAGCCAAGGGACCTCTCCCTGAAGACCCCAGATCTGTGTTGCACGCTCTAGATCATTAATATACTGACTTTTCTACGTTCAAAGTTAGAATTTGGAAACGCCATACTTGGCAGAAATTCATGAAGTTTGTAGCAATCGAGAATGGTGCTCGAAAGAAGGGAATTGTGGCTTACTTGGCCAGCCTCCAACAGGCAAGACTCTTCGCCAAATGCCACCCGGGCAATGACATCGGTAGTCATCAAAGTCCACCATTTCATGACGTCGGATGGCCCTTTACTTGCGTCTTCCTTGATCCTCTTTACAGCAAGCCGGGCCCGTTCTGTCACCAGATCCTGAAAATTCGACAGCAGAGAGGATCTACTGAACGGTCGTGCCAATAGCCTCCGACGGGCCGCATGCTCAGGCACATTGGTCATGCCAAACACGTTGTCTTCAATCCCAGGTGTGGCCAATTTGTACCAGTCAGACTTAACGAAGCCACTTCCGATACGGTGAACCTCTCGAAAGGCATCCAAGTCACACACATTGACTTCTCCCGGTTCCACCCTTACGACCGATCCATATTGCTGATGAAGGTCGTGAACATAGAAGGCCCTCTGACCGGTCAAAGTCTTGTACTTCAGTACCACATTGGTAAACCTTGAATGCCATGGCCCTGGTATCGCATGTAGCGGGCCGTATAGTCCTTTGCGGAGCGCCTATGTTACTGTCAGCTCTTTGGAGTGTGATGTCGAGAACGTGGTGAGACCTACCCAAACAACTATGTACACTCCTGTCAGTATTGTCAATGGTAAGAAATACCGGAAGATGTCATTAGGAGCGTTCAAGATCATTGTGGCTTTGCTAAGATTGTAAGGGCCCGTAATCCTGTCGTATTATTGTTTGGCTCTCTCGAAGTTGTGAGAAACTGAACAACAACTACTTAATCTGCCAAATGAGAAGAGGATTCTAATCTCGAATATCTGCATCGGCATTCTGGAGAAACACGGGGGTAAGTGCATCGGAGTTTAGCGTTGTCCCTGCTTGATCATCAGTTCAAGAATTGTGAAGCTCACAAATATTGGAAACTGGATGGGGATGGGTACTCCAGGGTGGGAGTCCTCCAGACCAATCCAGACACAATCTTGAACGGAAAACTCTTTCCAGAAAGGGTTAGAATAAGCCGACAATTTGCACTGTCAGGACTGGCCTCAGTGTCAGTTGGATAGATGCCGAGTTTCATTTTTCCTTCTTGGCCAAGGTGAACATCAAGCTAACATGTCGAAAAGGATCATGGATCGGTGGAAATTTGTGGGTATCCAAGTTGTGATGTTGCGGCATTCACCCAAGGTCTTCCACTTCTACCCCATTCTCGGCTCTCGGCCTAGACTGCGGTTGGGAACTCCTCTACTATAAGACAATGGAAAAGAATAGGTATATGAGTTGACGCATACTCGTATCACAGGTGTCTCTAAGTTTCTCAAATACCTGGTCGGCTCTGGGTATTCCACACAAGTGATCCTACTGGGACAAGCAGATCAGTACCAAATCAGGAGTAAGAGCGATTGAAGATGGGCTCTATCAATGGCACAAATCAGGACTATTCTCCTCTCCCTGACCCAACCATCCACATCACCACGCACAATGACTCTGGTCTGGCAGTCATTCATAGCTCTGAGAAGCCCCGGATAATAGCGTTTCCAGAGCACAAATATGCCGCGGGAACATTGTACACAACGTCAGAAATGCCGCCAAGTTTGAATAACGACATCGACATCAAGCTTCACCAGGATCTTGTAGCACGAGGCAAGATAGCTGCGGTCAACCCGAATGGAACAGTCTGTCGCTTTGCAGATTTCGCTCCAAACAGCAAGGGATTCATGCACCGGACCCAAAGTCTCGACTATGGCATCGTGCTGGAAGGGAATGTGGTCCTCGAATTGGATGATGGCAGTCAGACATCCTTGACACGCGGTGATGTGGCGGTTCAGCGTGGGACCAAACATGCATGGAACAACCCGAGCCAGACTGAGTGGGCGAGAGTTCTGTTTGTTTTGCAAGATTGTCAACCTCTCATGGTCAACGGAATGAGGTTTAAGGAGGACTTAGGTGCTGCCACTGGGCACGTGCCTAGTAGTGGCAACGATGCAGAATGATAGACTCGAAGGTCAATCAGCGAGTCACAGGGACTTTTAATGTCGTTTGAAGCCTGCATGCAGCCCCAAAATCCATGCAGCCGAGTCTGAATAAATTTCATGTCATTCTCAAAGACTTTCTACCGCCAACTTGCGCTGTTCGAGTGATACAGTAATGATGGTGAGTTAATGGGTAAAAATGGTGTCTGGCGCTGGGCATAATCTAAGCCTGAAGTGGTTGGTACTATGCACCTCAGTATTCCGTAGCCTTGTTTCATGTTCAAGTTCGTTGTCACCTTTCCAGAGGGGCGAACGAGCCTCATCAAAGACGATGTAAACCTCAAACGTCCACAAGTGTCTGAATCTCAGAATCGAGCCTGAGTCCTAATATATGCAATGGCCGAGCTGCTTGGGGTCGCCTCAGGCGTTGCAGGCCTGGTTCAGTTAGCCTTGGTCCTTTCTCAGGCGTCCCACGAGTATGTGGTGAAAATGCGCAACGCTCCCAAAACAACATCACAGTATCTAAGGGAAGTCCTCGCCTTGAGCCATGTTCTTCTCCAGCTGGAGGAAGTGTTATCTTTACCAGGAGTCAAAACTGCCTTGACGGTCGACCCCGACCTCCTGCCCAGGTCACTCATATCAGAATGTCAGAAGGAGCTCGACGCCGTCAAGCAAAAGCTGCAGAAACGCAGCGGCCCGGCAAGTGGCTTCAGGTCAAGGTTTCGAGCTCTCTCGTGGCCCTTCGAAGAGAAGGAGATGAAACAGATCATCGAGAACCTGTCGCGATGGAACAATATTTTCAGCTCTCTTGCAACAACATGCAATTTGTTAGTTCCGGCTGCTCCTGTAAGTGGCACTGACCATTGATGAAAATAGGCGAATTTCCAATGGTGCACTCGTTGCGACCCAGGAGAAACAAAACGGTCTGTTTCATTCCTCGAAGATTGTTACTCGCCATCAAGATATCAATTTGACACCAAGCAGATGATCAACGCACAGCTGTGCTGGATTGGATCCACCCCGATACTTCCGCCATAGATAATAGCTATATCCTTCAAAACTACTGCGAAGATACGTGTTTGTGGATCCTCCAAGACAAGAACTATCTTGACTGGCAGGATGGCGACGGAAAGTCGTTGTTTTGTGTAGGTGGACGTGAGTATTATGTCGAGACGATGCATTGTGCTCGATGCTAAATCCTCTTCTGCAGCTGGCGTCGGCAAGACAACATTGACGTAAGACTGTCTCTGGGATATCCTGCTCAACTAACATCCCTGTAGCTCCTTTCTTGTCAATCACATAACCACGACTAAGCCTGCTGCCGCTCACGTTCTTTACCACTATTTCAACTTTCGGACGGAATCTAAACACAACAAGGTTGACACTGTGACCAGAAACCTCCTTCGACAACTGCTGGAGATGACCGATCGTCTTCCGGAATCAATTCTATCTCTGTACGAGAAGAACTGTCAGGCAAAGTCCGAAATAACTGACAAAGTATGGATTGACACCTTATGTAATCAAGTCCGCGCATTGCCACTGGTTTTCATTATGCTTGATGGTTACGACGAGTGTCCCGATCGATTTGGTCTAAGTAGACTCTTTAGAAGTCTCAAATATACCGCAGCAAAGGTATACATCGCTGGACGACCCCCTTTTGATTTTGACACGGATATCAATTCTCATGGAGAGATCGAAATTCTGGCGGAAGAGGAGGATTTGACGACCTTCATTCGTTCAAGGCTCGGACGAGATGAAGAATTGGAATCTCTGCTAACCACCTCTCTCATTGATGAGATCGTTGCCACATTGATCGAACATGCTCAAGGAGTGCAAGTATCCTTCCTGATCGTATTGCCAAAAAAAGCTGACGACCCATGTCAGATTTCTCCTTGCGAAAGTAGCTTTGGACAATCTTACTGGCTTTACGACTGTCCGCCAGATCAGAAAAGCCCTGCGCACTGTGCCAAAAGATCTACGCTCAGCCTATCAAGCCACCTTTGATAGAATCATGGCTAATCAGTCGGCCAAGCGCAGTCTTGCGCTGAAAAGTCTGGTATGGGTGGTGAGCAGCCGACGTCCGCTGCAGATGACAGAGTTGCTTCATGCATTAGCGATGGAAGACGATGACACAGAGGTTGACCCCGACAATCTCACCACGTCCAAATCAGTGATTACTGCATGCCTGGGCTTTTTGGAGCACAACGAAAGAGACAACATTGTAAAGCTTACACATGCCACCGTCCGAGAGTTTCTCGATCACGATTGCTGCGATGTTCTGCAGTCATATGAGCTTGGAATTGCACGGATCTGTGTCAAATATCTTGCGCAGCCAGCCTTCACACGGGAGCCTTGCCCAACGTTGGCAGATCTGCTTACCCGACTCATGGATTTTCCACTGCTGCCTTACGCAGCGTCCTACTGGGGCATTCATGCGCTCGGAAATCAAGAAAAATTGACGGTGGAAATATCCAACCTTTTACGCGACCCAAACGTTGTGGCCAATGCAGCACAGGTATTTCATTACTTGCGCCGGACAAATGGGCAGTTGACAGAAAAGGCCTTCTCTGAGTTACCCCAAGCCTTCGGAAAAATGCATCTGCTGGCGCTGTGGGGCCTGAAGAACATTGCCGTACTAGAATCACCCACTTATGATGAGATTATAGCACCAGACTCGCTTGGATGGACCCCTTTACACTGGGCTGCTGCCCGAGGTCACTCTACAATGCTGGAATTTCTGTTGTCACGTGGGGCTGATGTAGAGGCTCAAGACTTCAGACACTGGACACCAGTGTTCTGGGCTGTGTTCTGGTCTCGCCTGGACGCTCTACGTTATCTGACCGGAAGAGGGGCCAACATAATGTCAAAAGACACCGACGGAAATACACCACTCCATATTGCCGTATCACGGGGCAATCCGGAGATATGTGTTGAACTTCTCAGACAAAATGCCGACTGGTCAGCAAAGTCGACATCCCTGGGTTCACCTTACGACCAAGCAATACGATCTCAGAACCCCATGATTGCTTGCGTCTTCTTAGACCTCTTGAAGCCTCATCCCATGGCGGTTATGTCAGGCCAGACCTCTGAGCAAACAGTTCTCGAGCGATCCGTCGCCTGGTTCCCTACAGCACCCGGCAGTGTATTCAGGGTTACCCTCGAGGGTGAAACGACAGCCGCAGAACGGGCAGATTGGCCACGTCCACTGTTACCAAGACTGGAACAATATGCCGCAGCTCTGCGGGAGAAAGATCCTCACAGGCTGTGTCAGATTGGCTCAGATGTAGCTTTCGATTGGTTCGCCAAGGATTTGATTGATCAAGACGACTATGTGTCTGGCGTGCTATCTTTCGCTATCCTGACAGAGAATATAGAGATGGTCAAGGCGCTGATAGGGATTGGTGTCAACCTCAACAAACCGTGGTCACGGAGATATACCAGGATCTATGCATATCAGTTTCCGACTCTCTTCGCGTCTTATTTGGGCAACTTGGAGCTTCTTGAGCTTCTTCTGTGCCACGGAGCGAGTGTTGATGTATCAGATTTCCACGCCCGGAATCCACTACACTACGCAGTGATATTAGGTCATGAGAAGACAGCACACAGACTGTGTCTGCATAAGCAACTGCTGAACGCACAAGACAAAGAGGGGAACACAGCTCTACACCTGGTCTGGACAAAGCTACTCCGTGCACAGCATGGTCATCAATGGCCGAGCAAAGCTCCAATCACAGTGACGCCTGCGGAAGTCGGTGAGTTCCTTGATCTTGCTGAGCTCTTAGTCGTAAGTGGATCAGACCTCAATGTTCAGAACAGATCCGGCTTTACATCTCTACATAATGCTGTACAGACCGGCGAAATTGAGTCTGTGAAGAAGCTGATCAAGCTCGGTGCTGATATGAATGTTCGAGCACACCAAGGAGATTGGGTAGGAGGACGACTCTTCAGACAGCCCATTGATGAAGGCGCCGAGCAAAAGCAAAGTAAGTAAACAAAAATTTGAACACCCGAGACTTGCTAACATGGAGATAGAATTCAACGGTGACACTCCATTTACTTTGGCTTGCAATAACCACAAACTTGGCATTGCCTCTATTCTCCGTGAAGCCGGGGCACTCTTGCCAAAGGACATGGATCTAAGACATCCATCGTTGGAAACAGCAGTCGCAAATGCCGATTTATCTGCCCTACGAATTTTGTTTTCTTTCAGCTCGGCATCGCATGTCGCTGGCCATCGCCGGGTTGATGATTTACCACTTTTAGTAGTCGCTATACGCGCCCTTCACTGGGTCATGGACAAAGAACACCAAGATGAGACAGACTTCAGACCACCCTTCATTGCACCAAGCAATCAAACAGACCCGGCCGAAGCTGTTGAGAGATATGGCTCGGTCATAGACTACCTCCTACGTGTGGGCCAAGATCCAAACGAGACTGACAATACTGGTAGCACGGCCCTTCTCGAGGCCTTGAAGGACGATTCTAACATCGGAATTGTCGAAATGCTTCTGAAACGCGGTGCCGACGGCCATATAATTGATGATGCTGGTAACAATGCCCTGCATGTTGCTGCTGCGTGTGGATCCATACCCTACGTAAGGCTATTCTTATCACACAAAACAGATCTCAATCAGAAGTCACACAACGGTACCACACCAATCTCTCTAGCTGCAGCAAACGGCCATGAAGACGTAGTATCACTATTTCTGGCAGAGGAGATATTCGATTCTCAGATTGATTCCCAGGACACATGGATTCTCCTTAGTCAATGTTACAATGTGATAAAAAAGGGGGGAATTGAACAAGCGCGAAGCCTTCTAGCACAGAGCCCACCGCTCACGTTCGTAAATCGAGCAGGCAGGAGCTTACTCCACATGGCCGCAGACGCTGGTGTGGAGGAACTGATCTCCACTCTGCTTTCAAGAGGGATAGAAGTCGACGTCCAGGATAACCGAGGTGATACAGCTTTGCACGTCGCGGCAGCATCCAAAAATCCCAACCCTGCTGTGATTAAATTGCTCGTTGACCATGGAGCAGATCTTGAGATCAGGAACTACGCGGGAGACGCATACGGAATCCATCGCATTCCGCATAATGCATTGTCACTGCACATGGCCGCATATGCGGGAAATCTGGAAGTAGTCAAGACTCTTATCGTCTGTTTCATCGCAAAGTTTGGCGAAGAGAAAGTATTGGGGGTGAAAAACACTGTTCCAAGGTCGCCTGGTCCGACGAGCTCGAAAAGTGTCTCCGAGTCCTCATCGTTCAAGCCGTCAATCTCTCGTGCCAACTCCCCAGAGCGCCTCCTTTACCGAGAACCACCAATCATCGACGCAACATCTGACGATTGCGGCCGCACTCCCCTTATGTGCGCGGTGGAGGCCGGAGGTGTCGAGTTGGTGAAGTACATGCTGGAGATGGGAGCCAAAGTCAATACGAGCGGTGGAAGGGGAAGTTGGGGGTTCACTGCGCTTGACCTCGCACTACCCGAAGGTCATCGCAGAAGGAATTATAACTCGAGTGACGATGGGGAGCAAGAGGTGAAAGAAGCCAAAACCCCAATGGTCACTTTGCTTGAGAGTTATGGGGCAGAGGTTTTTGACTGGTAATAAGTAGCGATGGCAGAATGCTCTTCCTATTCATCCGGCGTCTAACCTCCTTAAATGTGGTGCCAAATGCTGATCATGGCCACGGTCGTTCGGTGTGGTACAGAACGGCTTCCAGCCCCGAATGCTCAGTGATCCGACGATTGATCCATTAGGCTGGTGGACATGTTCCAATCATCCAGCTCGAAGTAATCCAAGCTCGACAGACTTGTCTCGAAGTGCGACAAATCCGGCATCTCGCCATCAGGGAAGAGGTCCAGCATTGTCGGATCAAAGAAGGGACGGCACACGTCTAGTGATTCCTGCTGCTCGAAGACGTGTTCAGTAAAGTCGTTGTCGTCAACTATTGGGTAGAGTTGATCTGCATGTTCCGGTTGACTCTCCTGGCCGTGATCTTGTATCATACGGTGAGGTGGCGATTGTTGATGAGCTGAGGACTCGGGTATACTGGTGTTCTGTGAGCGAGTCTGGGCCGAATTCGAGTTCGTGTGCAGGAGAGTATATAGTCCTCCCTCGGTGACAAGTTCTGGAGCAATTGCCGTTAATCCGTCCTCATCTCTTGAATTTTCCTGCCGTTGAGCTTGTCCAGGAGACTGAATGCTGCTATCTTGAATTCCCAGATCCTTGTTCTCGTCTCCACGATCTGCAACGCCATCTCCTCGGTTGCGGAGGATCGCAACAAATCCTAGTATCGAAGTTCGTGCATAGGCCGCATCGATTTTGAAATCGATGAGTTTCTGGATGTCGACGTTCTTGGGCTCATCCTCGAGGATTGGGGCGTGGCTTTTGTGAATATTGTATAGGCAGCCGACATGGATTTCCTGAACGAGGCTTCGTTAGTGGTTGATATTGTAGTTCCAACGATGGGGGTTCATACCAGTAAGGAAGCGAATTTCCAGTACTGCGACATTGTACGAATCATTTTGGTATTCGCTTTGACGTTGGCAATTGCTCGCGCTTTTATAGCAGGGTTCAAGCACCACATGAAGGGGATCTGGATAGCACAACCACTGTATGCCGCGTACGCGATGAATGTATGCAGCACACTCTGTCCTGTGGCAATTGTGGCTTCGATTAAGGCCGAAGCTGCACTTGCATGCTCAAATGCGACTTGTGCTGAGGCCTGTCGGGCGGAAGACCAGTTGGTATCGCCGGCACTCCACGAGAAAAGGGGGACGACAGAGGCATGCAATGCACTGAGAGATTGATGATAGATGACATTCAGCAATAAGATGTTCGTAAGCCGATCTGCGGGTATCGAGCCAATGGTGGAGGGTGTGAGCTTCCAATTTGATCGTAAACTCCGCCACCATATCTTTAGATCGTCATCCAGCGCATAAATGCCCGTCATTCTTTCGCTGATACTGGTCTCGGGACACTTAATCAGCGAGAACACGGTCGCCCTGTAGGAATCAGTCAACAAGTCATGCAGATCATGCCAGGGATCAGCTCCTACCACAATGTCATGGCTTTTACCATCTCGGCATAGATGCCACCACCACTGCCACCAGATGCGAGACATACGGGAGCCCCTCGAGAAACTCCTGCCTCAAAATCTGCCTCTGGCCAAGGAAGTGGCAACCTCGTTATATCAGCAACTGGCTCGAAGAGCGACAAGTTCTCTCCCAATGTGCAATGTGCGAGATAACATGCCCACAAGCGCCGACGTCGTATCTCGGACTCCAGTGAATTCTGTGTATGTAGCTTTGCAGAACCAAGTCCCCGAATGTGAAGAAGGCCATATGCATTACCTAGTATCAAAGTGAGCTTATGTCGCCAGCTCCAAAGCAGGGGCTTGACCTACCTTTATGTAGATAACAAAGCCTCCATGATCCCTGACTATACCAGAAGAGAGCGAGAATTGAGAATGTTACGATATTGTCGTCGCAGAGGTCTTCAGCATCGGCAAAGACCAGCTTCCCAGCTCGTTTGGCCCATTCGATCATGAAGCCGTGGTTCTTCAGCGATGGTTCTCCATGATCATCACGATAAAAGCTGGTGGCTCAAAGTATTAGCTAAGGTTCAAGCTGGTGACCGTGGATAGACAATACTTGGCTGCCCATGCACAGACACTCAAGACCACATGAGGATTGGCCTTGCCAGATCTTAAGGACTCCAAGAATAGTCCTTTATGCAGTAGAAGACTAGCATTGTGCGCCTTCTCAAAGTAGACCTCGACCAGGGTAAATATCAAGGATTGTGATATCCCCAGGTAAGAAGTCTCCCTTGGGTGGTCCAACCGGAGTGGAGGGATGAAGGCATTACTCTCCACCGCTGTTGATACTGCTGCACCTCTGCTGGCTCGGACTTTCTTTCTGGAAGCGCCTATCGACGATGACGACGATGGCGGTGATTCATTCATGCGGATCGAAGCCGTCACAAACGCCGGCTTTCGAGCAGGAACTCGATCATTATTGTATATGCAAGTTCTTCGCAATCTTGAACATCGATTGCAGATTGGACGCTCGCCTGAGCAACGAGTCTGTAAGTGTGTATGTTAGCCATGGCCTGGTCGCATGGGCTTTGTTGTGAATCGTAATGCACCTTTTGGTTTTTACATGTAGTGCAAGCACTTTTTGGGCGTCCTATGCTTGTCCACATTAGATGAGTTGTTCGTGCGTAAGATGAGGATTATGGAAGAGAAATAGGGCGAGGAGCGGGGGCATACAATGGAAATAAAATACACCGATAGTTAAGAAACTTCTGTCCAGAGCACCCAGAGAGACTCGGTTAGTCGGTTAGGCAAGAACTGCCACCAGCACCTGCTTCCCGCGGTTAGGCCAAGGGACGGGTTGGCACCAACCACCTAAAGCTAATCATTCGGGGCACCCTGAACACGCTCGGATGGGATCTGAGTGTCATGATCCTCGGACAGACGGATAGAGTTGGGAGGGACAGGAACTCAAGCCCGAGTAGTCGCACGGTATAGATGATTCTTAACAATAGCTACTCGTGGTGCGAAAGGGTTTGCCTACTTAGGAGTTATTGGGCAGTTAGGACTAATCCTAGTTGGAACCCGCATCGCATGACAATGCCCCTTTTTCTCGGGGTCATTACAGCCTCGTAATCACAACTGGCTATCTTAAAACACCTGGTCTTGCACATCCTTTCTACAGTATGTATATCTTTACAGTAGGCATGTCTTAGGCCCTTCTCACCAGACATATCTGCTTTACTACTTGTGATCGGCACGCGCCTATTGCTGGTTTGCGACCAACACTCCGTGTGGAATATAGAAGAATAACAGCTACACCCTTCCACTTCAACATCGATGGATGTAAGAGACAGTAAATATTCAGACCTCAGGGGGAGTCGTCTTTGTCAACCTCGGTTTGTGGATAGTTTTGTTCACGTAATTGGTCAGGTAGTGGTCCACGTCCACAATGAAAAATGCAGCGATAAATCCAATCCCTGTGAATGCCAACGTTGCCAGATACACAAATTTGAATGCTTGAGCGTACGCATGTTTTGTGGCGAGTCCAAGAGCCGCTAGAACTGATTCATTCATTCCAGGGACATTTTCAAAAGCGGCGGAAGTGCCGTTGCTTATAGCGATGAAGAGTTGTGGAACGCTATTGGCAGGAAGGCCGGCAGCTTCAACAGCAGGGATGATTTGTTGCGGGAGGGCCGTTGTCAATCGATTGCTGTATATCGCCAGAAAGATACTCACTGTAAAGTAAAAGATGATTCAGCCACGAGACATGTGCACTGCAGAGGATCAAACTTACCCGCAACGGTACCGAAGACCTGTCGAGTTGAGCTGAAAAATCCCTGAGCGACGCCAATGTCATTGGGAGGTGCCACAAGTCCAGTGATGACAATGGTCACCAGCTCAATCCATCCGACAGCCAAACCGGCTAGAACCGTAAATGCGATGCCCAGTTTCTCGTTTTCGTGAGTTATAGCTGCCATCCCAGCGCAGAACGTCACAGTCAATAGACTTGCGGTGACAACTTGCCATTTCAGATGCCCTAGGGTTCTGAAAAGAGGGGCAAAAATAAGCTCGCCAGCCGTTAGAGCAATTCCTGTGGTACAAGAGATCAAACCAATTGTAACTTGATCCGTCGTAAACAGTGTATTGATTTGAATAGGCCAAAACACGTTAAGAACGACCCACGTCATTTGCATCGTGGAGCCCACAATAACACAGGCGGCGATGTTTGGTATCTTGAAGAGCTTTACTGGCAGTAAAGGCTGTTTGAGCGGGACGTAGGTCTCATACAGCGCAAAAGCGACTAATGTAAGAGAACCAACTGTTAGGGATGAAATAACCTGTGCACTCTTCCAAGCGTAGGTGCCCTGCGCCCATGTGAATCCCATAAGGACGAGTATCAATCCAGCAAAGTACAAGAAAAGGCCCCCATAATCCATAGTCTTGACTTCTTGCCACTTGGTCAGCTCACTGTTAATCATGTGAAAATTAGGTGGGAAGTAGCAGGCGAAGTATAGCAGGACCGACAATCCGGAGACCGCTACATTCAGCCAGTATACGCCTCTCCAGCCCATACTGGTTTGAGCAACCATGGTGCGTGCAATCGCGGGACCAAATCCGAGGGATGGCAGGACGCTCACCGTGATTGCAGCGTGTGCCCAGTGTCGATATTTGTTGGGGACCAATTCGTGTACAATGATGGGATAGAGGAGGGCTGTAGCGCCTCCGATGCCCTGGAGCGCTGAACCACAAACAACAACATTGACACTATTACCCTTGGCACAGATGATAGCGCCAATAACGCCAACAAGTTGTCCTCCGATGAGAAAATATCTTCTGCCAAGAATGTCTGAGAGACGGCTGAAGAATAGGTGCAATACTCCAGTAAAAAGGCTGTACATGAGCGTGACCAGGTAGATGTTTGGCGAGGGCCCAATATCGGCATTAATGACAGAGAGGATGCTGATAGGCATACCGAAGCCAATAAAAATGCTGTTGGCTAGGAGCACTGAAGCGAAGAGAGATCCGATAAGGCGAGGTGAACCCCAATAGCCCTGGAGTTGAGAGGCATCTTCACCAACATCATTGCGATGTAGAGAGTCTTTGGAGTCGACCTTCTCGAGGTGCGCAAGAGCGACTGCCTCCTGCTTGTCCACTGTGCTAGTGGTGTTATCAGCCATAGTCGTTTGAAATCCGGTAGCTACACTTCGAAGAACCAATGCTGTCTGCCCAGAGGAAACGTTGAATAAATTGAGGAGGCACTGGAGATTGTCGAACGTGCATGGTGCATGGAGGATCATTTTATTATTGCCCGTCTTGATTGCTTGAGGCCGAGCCCAGTCAAAAATATCGGTGCTTTGAGCTGTTACGACAGTGGTCTTGCGATGTCGAGAACCATGTGCCTGACAACATTTCCATTCTCGCAATAGTCTGGTCCACTTGGACATTTCCCCACGGGGCTGGCCTGCACACAAGACCCTCCCCAACCTTGTACTTAGAGCAAGCCGAAGTCCGGAAAAGAATACACGAGCCAACCAGCGATAGATTACGAAGATGACTTTGCCGGCGGAATACCAAGCTTTCCCCATCTACCTTGAATCGATGGTTCACTCTCACCGGCAGCTTTGGTAGTAAAGGCCAAAGAGGAGCACCCGATTTGCTATGGCTGTAACACTTTTATGCTCTTGCTCGTTAATTCTCATGTGTTGTGTCCTCGGAGCAAAGGATGTCGAATTCTTGCAGCGTTCCACTAAGCGATCGTTTCCGTAGCGGGATTGGCTAGGCGTTGGATGATGCCCCAATACTATGGATGGCAATTAAGCAGCAGATCTCTTTAGATTGCTTGCACGAGAGGTGATTCTTTAGACCCGGAATGCATGCATATTGCCCCTTTCTTCAATATAGTCACCCTCTACCCGGAAAACAATGTTCCATCGGATCCGACATCTTAGCAAGCGTTTTCTGGTAAGCGTAGAGGCAATTGTGGCATTTCAAGTCTTGCTCTTTCGAAAAATGAACCAGGACTGGCAATATAGGTACTGAAAAGTCAGTGTAGCTAGACAGCCCTGTCGAACCTCCCTGTGAATAGACCAACGAAACCAAAGCAGTACAATCAATTCCAATGGCATCCTGGTTGCACGTGGCGGACGATTCAGATTTCTCGCTACGAAATTTGCCATATGGGGTTTTCAGCACTGCCGATTCTGGTCCACGAATTGGTGTTGCCATCGGAGAGTATGCTCTAGATCTGAGGGTGCTCGCCCAGGAGCACGTGTTCGACGACCTTGACTTCAGCGTCGCCACCCTGGAGGAAGCGACGCTGAATGCTTATGCAGAACTTGGAAGGAGCGTCCATGGAAAGGTCAGGAGGAAGTTACAGCAGTTATTGGAGGAGAGTACTCAACTAGGAGATGTGCTGCGAGACAACCAGGAGCGCCGGACAAAATGCCTTGTCCCGTTAGATAGTGTTTCCATGCACCTCCCTGTGGTGGTTGGGGATTACACGGACTTCTTCATAGGTATCCATCATGCCAACAATGTGAGTGGCGAAAAAGATGCCTGGTTGTCTAGACAGCAAATAACTGACAAAGTGGGACGACACAGTGTGCGGATTTCTTGAAGCCTGGTTCGGATATCACAGGGTTGATACCTGGGTTTTGGGACACACCCACAGCATACCATGGCCGCTCCTCATCCGTCATTGTCTCAGGCACTCCTGTGCGTAGACCTAAAGGTCAGTATCGAGAATATGGGAAAGCGGTATCGACACTCTGTCAAAAACTCGACTTTGAGGTCGAATTTGCGGCGATTATTGGACAAGGCAATCAAATGGGAGACGCCATCGACGTTGACCGTGCAGAGGATCACATCTTTGGGTTCGTGATGCTAAATGATTGGTCTGCACGAGACTTTCAGAAAAATGAACCCAGCGCTCCTTTCAGTTGCAAAAATTTCGCGACTTCGATCTCCCCATGGATCGTCCCTTTCGAAGCCCTTGAGCCTTTTCGCATTCCTCCCACAGAAGCTGGGGTAAGTTGATGCCGACGATGCAGCCAGTTGTTAGGTAGTGCTGATTTATAGCAGCGTCCGCTTCCTGACTATTTAACTCAGAAAGAGGTCAACTCGGCGTATGAAATTCCGATCAGAGCAACGCTCGAGAGTAGGGACTTAGCCTTGGTTGAATGGATACAGTTGACTGATATCTCGCCAGGTAACTCGGAAAGATACCAAGTGGCGGAGTGCAACACCAAATTCGTTGTCTTCTCCTTCGCTCAAATGATTGCTCACCACACTCGTGGCGGGTGCCCACTAAGACCAGGCGACATTCTGGCTACTGGTACAATGTCTGGACCAACCCGTCAGGAGCTAGGCTGCTTTCTCGAGCACTCCCAACCCTATGAAATGGTTGCGAGTGGGTCAAATGGGGGCAAGATAATTCGAACCTTTCTCGAAGATGGGGATGTGGTCGAATTCACTGCCCATATTCAGCCCAAAGACGGGGTTGGCAATGTTGGCTTCGGACTCCTTAGTGGTCAGGTGTTGCCTGGGAATTGATTCGTCTGGCTTTCGAGGTTATAGACGGCTGTGGTCCGGCAAGATCCAGGATATGGCGGATGCCTATGCATGGTTGGACGTCTCACATAGATGACTCGATCCTTGTTCCGGTGTCGTTTCTTTTGCAAGCGCAGAGCATGTTGGATGTGGAGGACACCCCCATGTATAGTCGAGTAATTTGTACCACTGATTATGGTTGATCAGCTCTATCCCACACTTCATTGTACGCGGACCATCCAAAGCGTACATGAAATTCGTCGGTCGGAAGTTCCGTGGCTCTGAACCGTTAGGGCTCAGCATTGCTGAACTCGGGAGGCCTGGCGCTGTCCCCAAGTTCAAAGCCGAGGATTGAGTAGGTATACTACTCATAGATAGTCGAGTCAGGCTAGTGGCAAAAGATACATAAACTGGCAGAACAGACGCAAGAGTCATTGAATTCGAGATGGACTTCTTGTCTTGCAGGTGCCCAGGAGTTGGCAGTCTTGTTCAGCCTTGGTACCGCCTAACAGCCAATCAACGTACCTGGGGGGTCCTTCCCCAACGCATAACTCAATGCGCCGAGTATACTCCATGTCCTGCAACCGTCTTGGCCTGCCTCGACAGAGTCAATCTATATCCACATTTGTACCTCTGTCTGCCCCATGCATGTGGAGGATGGTCAACCTGGGGATTAATCTGGGGCTGGCAATTCTGGCCCGAGTGAAAGGAGGAGAAACATGGTTTTCGAGATCAGCTACCGAGGTATTTTCGAGAGATCTCGTGGTATATAAAGCGTGATGTAAGTCGTTTCTCGAGATAGTTGAGTGTCGATCCCTTGATACTCTCAGAGGCGAGGAACTCCTTGCTTCCTGAATCTGAAGCCAAGAAAAGTCTACAATATGTCATCCCCTGTCAAGGCCTCCACAATGGCAGAGAAGCCTATTGACTCAACTCACATTGAGAAAAGCGATCCCGCTTTATCAGTGTCATCTTCAAACCGAGACGAGGAGAACTCCCCACGAGAACCTGGTCAGGACTGGACTGATGAAGAAGAGAAGAGCCTGGTGTAAGTGCTTTCGATTTTGATCTCCCAGACACCCAGCGGACATCAGAATTGGTGGATCACTCAGCTACGTCTTTCAGTCAATACTCCACCCGGTATTCTTTGAGCACGGCGGGCGACAGGGTAGGAAATGGCGTTCGTGATCCACGAATTCTGACATCCGCTGGGTGCAAGATTTGCTGAACTGACGGTTGCGAATAGTAAAAAGGTAGACTGGAGGGTGTTTCCCATGCTCTGCATAGTTTTCGGATTGAGTCTGCTGGACAGAACAAACATCAGCGCTGCTTATATTGCCGGGATGAGCACCGACCTTCAACTTACCGTGGGAGCCCGGTATTCCATTGCGCTACTGGTCTTCTTCATTGGTTATGCACTCTTTGAAATACCCAGCAACTTGGTCATCAGAAGACTTGGAGCACAGTGGTGGTTGAGTTTTTTGATCGTTGCTTGGGGATTAAGTGTGCTTGGAATGGGGTTCGTTCATAGCTGGGAAGCTCTCACGGTGTGCAGAGCGCTGCTGGGCGTTTTCGAAGCTGGCCGTAAGTCCTATCACCGTCCTTGCTGGAGGCGCAAATGATGTATATGCTGACACTCCACAAAGTATTCCCTGGCGCGATTTTCATCATCGGCTCCTGGTACAAGCAGTTCGAGACTGCTCGCAGGGTCTCGTTATTCTACATGGCTTCTCTGCTGTCCTCCGGCTTTGGACCTATCTTTGCCTATGCCTTGTCACTGATTCGGGTCGGAGATGGTATCTATCGGCAGGGGTGGAGGTGGATCTTCATAATAGAGGGCATTGTCACCGTTGTGGCAGGCATGGTAGCCCCGCGATTTTTGGTCGAATTCCCCGAGAAGGCCAAATTTCTGAACGATCGTGAAAAGCATATCGCTAATGCGAGGCTTCTGACGGACAAGAAGGCGCGAGCACATGTGGAACCGACACTGAAGGAAAGTATGAAGATGTTGCTCGACTGGAAGCTCATCATCTATTCCTTACAATACTTCGTGTCGGCTTCTTCAGTGTACTCTCTGGCATATTTCAAGCCCATCATACTGCGACAGGGAATGGGTTTCTCATACGCTCTCTCGCAAATTCTCGCTTCACCCCCATACGTCTTTGCCATTATCATGTCGTTGACGATGGCGTGGGTGAGCGACAAGTACCGGATTCGTTGGCCGATCCTGTGCGGTCAGTCCGTCACCGCCATCGTCGGACTGCTCATTATCTTGTACTGCAAGCCCCCTGGCGTTCGGTATTTCGGCCTCTATCTCGCCATTTTTGGCACACAGGCAAACGTTCCGGGTACGCTGGCTTACGGGCAGAGCCAGACTGCCGACGTGAGAAAGAAAGGGGTGGTCGCTGCGGCCATGATCAGCGTGGGTGCTGCCGGTGGTATCACAGGCAGTACCATCTTCAGAAGCCAAGATGCACCGGTGAGTTAGTCCTTTTTCCTTACAGGTTTCACCAGAATTCTAGGGTTCCTGCTGACTGTTTCTTTTAAGCAATATCTTCCGGGGATGTGGGCCACGATTGCCATGCAGATGGTGTATTCGATTGCAACATTTGGGTTTAGCATGTACTTGAAACGAGAGAACCGTCTCGCCAACGAAGGTAAAAGACCTGCATTGGAGGGTGTGGAAGGCTTTAGATACGCACCATGAGAAATGTTCATATGGGGAGGGAGTTGTTGAGATCTAGAGGGCTACGTTATATAGGATCTGATGTGGATTAGCGCCGTTTACGACCAAATATCCATCCTACTCGTACGGCTGTGTCAGGGTCGAAGCACGAACAACGCCAGATGTGGATGGCGGCCACCCATCCACGAAATGCTAAGTCGAAGAGCGAAAATTACAACATTTTGTAACGATAGGTCGATTGCCAAATTCATACTGTGTTTTGTGAGAAGTAGCGAGCAACTTCCAGAGTGCAGTGCATCGTCGACGGAGATGGGAGGAGTGTTTAGTGGATCAACTTTGATAAAGCAAAGGCTCAAGCCATTGCCGCTGAAAACGCGACATGACAATGCTGATCAGGGGAGAGCAAGGAGATCCAAGGTACACGTTTTCGTCAGCAGAACCTGTTGTTCGATGAGCTCCAGAAGATCGTTCGCCAAAGTGCAGATAGTCGAAGACCACGGTCTGACTCCTGAGATTGTTTGTGTCATGAGCACGGAGATGACGATCTCCTGGAAGTTGATTGGTATTCATGAGCCTGGAATAGTTGTTCAAACAACGGAGGTCGATCATGTCTGAGGTTAAGTTTGGTCAGAAGCTCTTGCAGGCCAACGTAAACACGGAGGAGGCAACAGTTGGGTGAAACTGCATCAAACAATTGAAGCAGATGAGATGAGAGGTCTTGGTAGCAATCATCTAAACAATTCGTTGGGGTGTACGCTGTGGATGAGAACGGGGAACTTGAGGTGTTAAGTCTCCTGTCAGCTAATATCCGTATGTTGCACACAATTTCACCATGGAGAATTAGGGTTTCTGATTTCAGCAGGACAAGACCAGCGATGGCGTCAGATGCAAAATGCTCGCGAGGATAAAGGGTCTTTTCTGCAGCGGTTACGAGGTACTCGGTAGGCATGTCATTGAACGTGGTTAAATGAAGCCATCGTCCTTTAGGGAGGTACCGAGTCTGAGCGCCCGGACGTGATGCCCTATCGACCACGGTCCACGATCCACGCCCCACGCCCCACGCCCGTCCACGCGACCCTTCGAAGCGCGTCTGGCTAGGAAGGTGCCATTCAAAGTGGCAAGCTGGATTAGGCGAGCCTGACTCGGAGGCAATAAATGAGGGATACGCTATCACCCGGAAGAAATGGATGCTAACTGACTCTGGCCTAGACGGCGTTTCAACGCGCCACTGGAATTGCCCATCTGCACACCACAATTGGGCTGCCTCGTGGTGTGCCGAATCGCCCATTGGTGCCCTTGACTTGAAACTAGCGAGATGTGAGACCGATCATTTGAAGAAGCCTGTCTGCTTTCGGCGACGAGATCGACTGACGGACCTCACGAGGATTCAGACTCAAGAGTAAGAGACCAGTCGATACGGATAGATGGATCTCCATTTGAGCAGAAATCTACCGAGTTTGTTTGTGTTTCAAAGTATGACAAAGTCTCAGTTTCGCTGTTTGGATTCTCCTTCCAACAGTGGCCAGTGGCCAGTGGGCGGAAACACAAGAAATGACTAGTCTTGTTTCAGCAACAATCATCAATGCTCTCACAGTACGGGTACTCGTGCAGCACTCGGGGTAGATACGAGCACATCTTGATAGGTACGCAGCAAGATTTAAGTGGTCTTCGCATCACCAGAGAGGATTACGTGGGCGTCGTTGACACCCTGACTTGCGGGCATAGGAAGAGACTCTAGGCTCTCTCGAGGAAGAGGGGGAGCGGATGGATCGCCTATCCAGGCAAGTCCAAGATATGAGTACCTCGCTTCCAGCGCCTGAACAATGTGCGATTCTGGGATTTCTTTCCTTCGCCCTTGTCCTCCAATCGAATCTCGATTTAGGTCACCTGCACGTCTTCACACTAACGTCGGTTGGTCATGATGAGGCCCCAAATCGTTACAATTTACTCATGACTCGTGACTAACCATCGATGAGAGGCTGAACATCTTGTCCTCCCGCGTGAATCCGAGGATAATGAGCAGTGATCACTCAGCGTTTCCTCTAGGCGACTGGGAATCTAACATTGTTGATCTTCCACAAATACTCTGTACACCGGTGGTGCGCGTGCTTTGCGTCACAGCAGAAATCAGTTAGGCGATCAAACAAGCCGGGGGGGATTGACGCAGCCTTGGGGGGCAGATGAAACACCTTCTGCCGCACCGTGCGCGAGTAGCAACGGGCCAGCAGCCAAGTCGATGCAGGAGGTCCGGGCTGAAGGGGTCAAGGGACTTTTCCACAATTCGCCATCACCATCGCCACCACCTGACGAGTAGACTCTCAGAGATCTATTCGTATCTCCAGGCCAGGCTCGCGTGTTGGCTGTTCGGCTCTGCGTAACTATTGAAGTTACTAACGAGATTCAAAACGTGGATATTACGGCCAAATTGTCAGGAATGCTGGTCATCGCGATTTACTAGCTCGGACTTGGTGCTCCTCGAGACCAGGAACCGGGGTACGAGGGAAATCAAACCACTGTTCGTTAAAGTACGGATATAATTAGGCTTCACTCCTGAGGCCCGAATGCCTCAGGCTGAAAAACTTTAGTTTGCCCAGGCCTGACAAACCCCTACCGTTGCCGAAAGCATGGGGGGCAGATGGCCCTGGGTGCCCTGGATTTTAGGAGTGGGCATCTGTCTTTTCCACTCGGTTGGGCGAGTCGTGCGCGCTGCCATGACCCGATCTTTTGCAGTGTCTGAGCCTGAGTCTGAGTCTGAATCGGATTCTGTCTTGGTTTCCCAACCCGGGTGCTCCTCTCGTTTCTGGTCCCCTGCCTCTGTAGCCACTCAGTCTTTGGCCCTCCCACCCACCTAAGTGGTAGCTAGTGACCTGACACACACCACTGCCACTGGTCTGGCACTGGCATCTGCATCTGCAACCGCAACCGCAGCCGCACCTGCAACTGCAACATTTCTCCTCCCTCCACCTGATTCTCTCACATCTCTTTCTTTGTGCCATCACCCTCCACCTCCTCCCACCTCCACTTCGACCAATCTACGAGGCCTGTTTATTCAAACACGACCTAGCCGCTCGTTGCTTGCCTATCTTATTCTGCTTTTTCTTGTAGAATCTCTGTACCGCTTGCCTCAAATCGTCTTTTGCCCATCCTTCCTCACTCCGACTTGCTACTCACCTGCACCGGGCAACCACGTCGCCAAATCGCACACCTTTTCCTCACGCCTTACCCATCGCGAGGTCATTCGTTTAGCAGCTTTGCCGTTCCTCACCTTCGAACTTGACACCACGCTGAATCCTCAAAACTCGACTGAGTCGAGGCTTGGAGAAAGAACTGGACTTTTCGGTGGACCACACTGCTGTTGAATCATTCTCTCACTTGCTCCGCATACTCGGATTTGGAGCTTCACCATGTCTACAGCTGTAGCACCTCCAGTGGTTGCTTCACTGCCGCCGCTTGACCATAATCCGAGCCCTCGCAGCTACCCCCCACTGGCTCCCTTGAGTTCGATCTCATCCAAAGAGCGATCAGTCGAAAGGCAATCGGCCACGGAATTCAGCACTGGTTTCAATCCCCACGAGAGAACGCCATCAGATGGGAAACGATCCCCAAAATCGTAAGTGATCCTTGCAAATGCCCATCGTTATATAAGCCTTGAACTCATTCCTTTGATAGCCGTGGAAGTGCGGGCCATCCCAAGATAATTGTCAAGAAAGAGCCTCCCGCTTCTCCTTCCCTTCAAGCCAGCACGCGCCACCGACCGAAGAAGCTGGACTTGAACACCAACACTAGCTCACTATCAAATGGAATCAACTCTCGGCCATCGGCAACTCCAATGACGGCGGGAGGTGGTTTAGTCCTCCACGATGTCGGACTGGCCTGCCTTTCACCCGGGTTCCAAACTCAAGACCCGGCCATGCGGGAACAATTAGAAAGAAGTATATCGGTGCGAGATCAACAGAGATCAATCATTCAGGCCAGATTACTCAAATCCGCACGAGGCGACCCTTCGGATCCAGGTAAGCCTTCAGAAGAGTCGACTGGTGGGCCCAAAACCACTGGCAACAGCTCGAAGAAGCGCCCTCCGCCAGGCTTGTCAATTGTTCCACCAGCTGCAGAGCGTTTTGCCAACGAGCGAGTCATTCAATCTGCACCATTAAACCAAACTTTCACTGGAAGAGACGCCGCCCCTCCCTCGAGACAGATTATCAATCAACCGTCCAACCTCTCACAAAATTCCCAGATCCACCACGTGCCTGCCATCCAAACAAGCAACAGATTGCCTCCGATCAGTGACGTCTTTGGTGCAAGTGAGCTCAACCCAGGTCCTAGTCGACCCCCATTTCTGCATGCGAATTCAACCCCTTCACAGTCTCATGGCCCCCCTCTTCCGTCTCCTGGGTTTCCCCCTCAGACAGCACACCCCATGTCTCAACATCAGGCGGCTATGGATCGAGCTAGAGAGTACAGGTCTGCAGAGGAAGCTGTACATGACATGACTGGCGGCCGTGAGGAACTGTTGCCCAAGATCGTGCACTACGGTGGCCATCAGCCTCCCACACCTCCATCCCCACACCCGGGACGAAAGGACAACTTAACTCCCAGTAAATACCAACCGGCCAGCATTTCAACCAGCCGAAGACGAAGTCGGAACGAGTATGAAGGCTCTAGCCCTCCTTTGGGCTCTGGACGAGAACGAGTTCGGTATAGTGGGCCTTTTGGTGAAGGACGCGATAGTCCAGCTACACAAAGGGCGAAAAAGGAGGAATTCCTGTCCCTGTGCTCGCGAGCGTGGGATCTTTTCCACTCTTGATGTTATCGATGCACTTTCATATTCTCTTCTACATTCCTCTTCATTTGACGACAAGGATTGGCGTAACGCGGCGCAATGACTCTCCTATTTCGAACGAGTTTTTCTCCGATGGGACAGTGATGTTCTGAACGTTTTGCGAGTGTTTTGACGCTTCGGGGAATCTTGTCGGGCCAAGGCATTCAGGCTTTTGTCTGCAAGGTTCCATTTCATTCCTGATGAAGGATTCTCAGAGGGCAGCACACTAATGACAAAGATGAATGAAAGGACTGGGTGGACGGGGACTCGTAATATAATACCACAAGAGATGAAGAGACTTGACGACCTCCGGGCTTCGGAAGAGGGATCACTCAAGGGTGAATTTGGAATTAAAGGTCTTGGAGCTATGAGCCATATTTGATCTGATGTGTTTGGATTGATGCGTGGCGTGTGAAGGCTTCTATAGGTATCTTCTACATAACGATTTCCACTGCTTTGGGAGTAGGCAGGAGTGGGGATGGGATTACAAAACTGGAAAGCATCTCCTGGGTACTCAAATCCTGTTCCCCTACCAAATGACGTGCGTGAACCAATGCGACCCAACTACGTCGAGGAGTAGGAGCTCTCAGCTTGACATTAAGAAAGGGCATTTGGTACAAGGATATGCCCTCCTCGAATTTCTCCAACATGCTTCCTCGTGGCAGCTGGTCTCGGACTGAACTGGTGGAGTAATGTACTCGAAGCACCGTTGGAGCCAAAAAGTTGGGGTAGCCCACTGCACGAGAGGTATGGCAGTTGTTATGGATGGGGCAAACTGGCGAGTCTAATCTGATGAGGTTCCTCTGAACAATATTTGGAGATTTTGTTGTTTTATTCAGATAACTTCAGATCTCCTTCAGAATTCATCCATCTTAAGTCTTCAACAAACACTGGTTCGTCCCTCTTTGTAGCGCCAGAGTCGTTAGTTGGACTGCTCGGGACTTGGAACCTGATTTGGAGAACAATCCTGTCTCTTACTCGAGGCTATCTCACATCATATCATCCGTACTCCTTAGACACTTGCCTCGGGGTGGACGACTGAACGGTCACTCGGACCAAGCTGCCGTGTTTACTGCTACTGGAATCGAGATCACGATTGTTTTCGATTAGTGCTATTCTTGGTACCACGATAACCACCCCTGGAATCACCCGCTCTTCCCAGCAAATCCCAGGAGGGCGAATACTCGTAGCTTGCGTCCGTGGCCGTGGCCGCCTTGCGACAGCTCGATCCATCTACGACCAGCAGACTCAGAGGGTACCCGCGACACAGGGCCGATCCGGGACCCCAGTCGCGATGCGGGCTCAAGTCCTCGAAGCATTCAACCAACCATACACATTTACCTCTTCACACCCCACGCCGAGAACCCCTCAAGGCCATGACGTGCTGATCCGCGTCAAAGCCGCTTCATACTGCCACACCGATGCCGTCTTCGCGTCGGGCCAGATGCAGCAGGGCCTCCCACGGATCGGATCGCACGAGTTCTCTGGGACCGTTGAAGCGCTGGGTCCCGAGGCCGAGAAGGTTGCACAGACCAAGGGGATTAAGAAGGGCGATCTCGTGGGCGTCCCGGGCAGGGCGTATGGGCCGTGTGGGGATTGCGCCGAGTGTACGGACAATGGAGGCGATTTGGAGGGGTATGGTGTATGGTGTCCCCGGGCGGGCAATCTGGGATTGACCAAGGACGGTGGGTTTCAGGAATTCTGTCTTGCGGATGTGCGCCAGGTCGCTAGGGTGCCTGAACAGGGTGAATTGAGGGCCGTCGAGGTTGCGCCGCTCATGTGTGCAGGGGTCACGATATGGAATGCGCTCGAAACGGCGGCCCAAGATATCAAGTCTCCTTCTGGGGATGCTGGAGTGGACGGGAAGTATGTCGCCATTATCGGCGCGGGTGGTGGGCTGGGCCACTTGGGCGTGCAATTTGCGGCAAAGCTAGGATGGAAAGTTGTCGCGGTGGATACAACGCCAGCAATGGAGATGTTGAACGAGGTGATTTCGGATCTGGGTGAGGACGGGAAACAGGTCACGGTGGTGAACGCGTTGAGTGATTCTGTGGATGCTGTCAAGCGAAAGATTTTTGGTGAGGCTGCTTCTGGTCGTGAAGGTGAGGTGGGTGTCGACGCTGTTCTCATCCTCCCAGAGTCGCAAGCAGCATTCGACTTCGGCATGGGCGTACTCAAGAACCACGGGACGTGTGTCGCCGTAAGTTTTCCGAAAGATGGGTGGCGCTTTAAGCCTGGTGACCTGGTCTTTCGACACATCCGCCTCGTAGGCGTCCTGACCGGGAGGAATCACCAATTGCAGGCAATGGTCGATTTTGCAGCCAAGAACAATGTCCGTGCCAAAATCAGGACATATCCGCTGGAGCAATTGAATAGATTGGTGGAGGATTACCACAAGGGAGTTGGTGGCAAGCTTGTGGTCGATATGGATTTGGAGGAATAATGCTTCATATAAATCTGATTTAACAAGGAGACATATTTCTTCACCTGTCTCGTCTTGCTCTAGGCATGTCCCTTGCGTCTTTACCCTTTTCTCTCTTGATCTTCCGCTTTTCAGCCTTCTCACGAGCCTGCTTGCCCATGCTCTGTAGTCTTTCTTCGTTGATCAACTTCTTGACCTCTGCATCCTTCAAGTAGTACGGCTTGGATTTCTGGCCAGCGCTCAGAGCAGCCTTCTCTTGTTGCTTGTGCTTGCTTCTGATCTCATTTTCCTTCTGCCTGATCTCGGCATTTCGAGCATTGGCTTCCATGGACATGACTTGGCGCTTCAACTTAGCTACCGCTTCCGGATCCTTGGACTTCTTGATCTGAGATTTCAGCTCTAAAATCTCGGACGCTTGGTATGCCGATAGGAAAGAGTAGTTTTTGTTCGCTCTGTCAACTGCATTCCTGTCCCGGTTTGCAGACATGACCGTTGGGTCGAACCGTGGATCTCGGAACTTCAATGCGGCCGAGGCGTCGAAGACGGCACGTTTCCTCGAAACAGGTTTTCTGGCAGATTCGACAGCCGGAGCGTGTTTGGATGAACGTTTTGTCGCTTGAACAGGAGCCTCCTTGGACCTTTTGCGAGTGTCAAAAAAGTCATCCTGTTGGTTTGCATGATTTCCCGAAGACTCTGGCTGATGAGTATCGGCTAGCTTCCGCTTTCGAGGATTGGGATGAAAGGACTCCTGAGCTTTGACCAATGCACCGAAGCTGATTTCGTTCAAGGATGGTTCCTCATTGACGACCGAGTCGGCTGCTGAGGAACCCTCTGATTGTCCATCTGAATCAGAATCCTCAGAGCCGGAGGCTTCGTCTTCAGGAGTGTCATCTTCGGGGGCAGATTCGTCTAGATCATCTACCTCATCCTCTTCATCGGAGATATCTTTGTGTAGTTGGACAGGGCGATCCAACGAGCGGGGTGCAGCCATTATCGTAGTTCGGGATATCGAGTCCTATGGTAAGCGTTGTCTTCTGAACTTTTTTTCTCAGAGACATGACGTCGGCGAAGGAGGAAGTGGCCTTACCATATCAGGCTAGTTTACTCCCCAGAAAATTAATCAGCGATGGACGATTTCTTGCGCCCCCGGTCATGTGACCCAGTCTGATATCGGCTGCTCGCGGACAGGCTGCAGTACTCGTAGGAGAACCTCATTTTATTTCCTGTGGATAAACATTGAGTCCTCTTATTTGTAAAGCCTTGCCGCGAGTCTACTGTTCGTCTAACTGCGTGCTGTCTCTGTTACAGTGACAGTGGACCTTGCGTCCAATTCATTGCATTCACCATACCCATCCTGGACACTTCACGTTCTTGGATTTGCGGATCGCCACAAAAAGTCGGCTTCACTTTCTTTATCCTATCTCTGTCTTCTTCGTTGTCACCCAGACTAACAGCCTTTATCAGTGGCAACGCCATCTCTCATCATTGGGTTTCCTTCTTGGATCGTCTCCGTCGCTCATCACCATGCCTCGAAATCGTCGCAGAGCCGGAGGACGACACGAGGGTAATCCATCACAGAACAATCCCAACATCCCTCAGAATCATTCTTTGCAAGGCCAGCCATTCTACGGTCCTGCCTCTATTACAATCTACTCTGATCAACCAGAACAAAGACACCAAGGTGAATATAATGGTTATTATGATTATGAAAACGAGGACAGGATTAACATCTATAAAACAGTGGATTCTTGGAGATCATATCGAAACGATGGCCACAGCCTTCAGTCGTCCATTATGACACAACCGTATCAAATTTTGGGCTCAAACCCTACGCGATCGGCCATGAACGTCAACGCTCCTGCCTTTACCCCGTATCAGCCTCTCAGGTTAGTTCATAATTACGCTCGATACCCTTCATATCGAGTTGACAAGCCATACAGAGTGTCAAACGGTGCTCGTGAACGACAGGCTGTACATCAGATTCGCGACCTACATCAGGCTGCTGTACCGAGATATTCTCTACGCAGCCAGAATCGACAATCACAGCATTTCATCCCAGCCACTGGTGCATCTGGGCAAAGCCTCCCGCATTCTCGTGATCAGCCGATTCCCTCGATAGAGTCAGGTTTCACTCAACTCGCCGCGTCAAATACTCTCGTCCCCTCATCACTTCCTCCAAAAGCACGTCGGACCTGGTCTCCTCCTAAAGTGACACCTCCCAAGCGCCCTGCAGCGGCAAGCAGCTATCTCAAAAGAGCTGGACAAGCGCCGGAGGTCATTGACTCACCCAAGAAACTTTTGGTCATCCTTGATCTGAATGGTACTCTCCTAGTCAGACCAAATACTCGCACTAACCCACGAGCGTTCAAACTCCGGCCAGGGGTCACTCAGCTACTCGATTATCTCTTTGCCAATCACACTGTCATGGTATACTCCTCTGCTCGACCAGAAAACGTAGCCATCATCGTCAATAATCTGTTTCATCCTAAGCAGCGAGCCCAATTGGCAGGTATCTGGGCGAGGGATAAGTTGGACCTCAACCAGGAACAATACCTGGGCAAAGTGCAAGTCTACAAGAAGCTGGACAAAATCTGGTCAGATAAGGCCATCCAGAAATCGGCTGGCAGAGGAAACAGATGGGACCAAACAAACACCGTGCTAGTTGACGACAGTCGCCTCAAGGGAGTCGCCCAACCCCATAACCTCGTTCAAATCACAGAGTTCCTCAACAACGCTCCAAAAGTAGGCGATGAGGCTATTCGTGCTTGGCAAATGAATGAAATGGCCATTCTCCAATCCCTGGAACAGAAGCTTGAGCAACTCAAAATGCAGGTCGACGTCTCAAGGTTGATTCGGGAATGGCAATCTGGCAAGCGACAGGCTCCTGGTGTTGTTGATGAAACCATTGATCAAAAGACCCAAGAGAAAGTTGAAGAGCAGCTGATTCGCAAAGGCAGTACAGTGTCGACTGTTACCGAAGCTGCCAGCGAGTCCACTCCTCAGCCTGAGCAACTTACCTACCCCACTCCACCAACGCAGCAAGCACCTCTTTCAACGAAGAACCAATCAAAGCATCCTTCGGCGTTGGACCTACTTGATGCGCAGATTGATGATGCCATGAAGAACACTTCTCTTAGTGACAGTAGTGATCTGGGGAGCGAATCACCCATTGACGAAAGTGTTTTCAGTGATTTACTCCGTGGAGGCGGCACTAGGATTTATCAGGTGAAGGATATGCCCAAAAAGTCGACTGTGAATGTCCCACCAACGACGGAAAGCTTGGTTGGTTGACTAGGCCCCGTGTTTTGTCCACAAAATCTGACCACAGATCTTGGACGAAATCGATCTCATGATGATAACGACATTGATAACCTCGAACGTGCTGAATAATGATTAAAGGGGGCAGGCGGTAATGGAGCTTTACTGGGGTAGAACCCAGCTCAAGAGGCGTCCACACGACGTGCTCTTCTAGGTTCAACATTTGTTACACGAAAAGAGCCGAATGCGTTGATCAGGTATTTTCCATGTTACCTGACTCAAGGGCCAATAACCTGATCTGTATATGTATGTGTATCTACACTCTGCTCAATTGAGCATCGGATTTCGAGCTCGGGTATGGGCTCAAGTGACGAGTACACAACCTCAACTCTCCACACATGTGTGTCGCTACCTAGGTAGGTATGTGTGCGTCTAGGTCTGCAGAATACATTGAATGAAACTCCTCGGTATTCGATCTACAGGAGACTCGCGCCCAAGGACAAGTTTCAGAAGAACACTTATCCATTGCCCTTTACTATTTCGCGTACGTTCATACGTAAGTAAAGGCGAGATAGGATTATGAGAAGCGACACCAGGCAACATACCTAGGTCGTTTGACTACCTGAGTAATGTTAATGCCGTGGTTGAATCAACTAATGCATTCAGCGTTTTGCGTCTACTGTCAGCCGTTAGATGCGTCTAGCTAAATAGCTATATAGCTCAATGACTGTTGCAATGACTGTTGTAAACATTGCTCGCGTTGTGCTTAGTGACTAACCATGATTGCTGTCAATTTCCAGTCGCTGTCAAATCATCGCCATGGTCCGGTCCTGCCCCACGAAAGCATAATTGCATTCGCTATTTTGACGCCATGCTGGAAATACACAGGTCGCTGTAAACATCTCCCTCATTGATTTGACAGATCGTTATAAAAACCCTCACCCACCATTCTTGACACGTTCGGGCAACTCATCCCACAGTGACTCCGCCTCAGTTTCCTTCTTCGCTGCTTCTGCTGGGAAGCCATTGATCTCAAGAGCCTCTGCCTCTAGTCCAGCAGCCACGTGGATCCACATAGGCTCACCCCACCTTCTAGTTTGGTGGCTTGCTGCTTTCGCGCACTTCAATGCTTGCTCATCCACAGTTCCTCGGAACATCTTTTGTTGCATGTATATCAAAGCAAGTGCAGTGGTCATCGTGCTTCCTGTTGCTTTTCCAGCATCCATGGCACTTTTTAGGAATTGCTTGACGGTCAAGGTAGTGGTAGACAAGATGGATTTCATAAGCGAATAGTGAGCCTGTATGTATTTGTTTGCAGAATTCTCTGCAACTGGTCTTATGTTGCTCAGGAGCACTGAAAGTTGATGATGCTGTGGGTGCTGTGGATTTTGGATAATGAATGCAGAATTCATGGCTGCAAGTAGACGGAAGTTTTTAGTGGCATCAGAGTCTGTGTAGTAGGCATGCGAGATCTTCTGGTGAGTTTTGAGCCCTTGAGTAGGGGTAGTATGCTGTAGAACCAGTCTGAGAGTATCTGACTGATAGACTGTCAATGCAGCTGTTGTGTCGCCCATACCCTGTAGGATGACGCCCCTCAGATAGAGCATACCAGACACCATGCTGGATGGGAAGTTAACACCAAGGCTTTCCGATATCCGAGACAGCTCAGCAATAACCCGTTCAGCCCTCTCCCATTTGCCCATTGAGCACTGCATGAAAGCGATTAGAAAGAGGAACTGGGCTTCCAGCAGATTATTTCCGATGAATGCACGATCCGATTGTTCGTAGTTCTCAGCGATTCCAGGTCGTTGCCAGCCTCGTACAAGGGCAAGACCAGTTTTCGCATATTTTTCGGCCTTCCCATCGTGGCCATTTTTATGAGCGGCGCTGTCAGCGCTGAATAGGAAACCCAAGGCTTCAGCTTCTTCTTTCAATAACCATAAAAAGCCCATAAAATGTTTTCCATTTTTCTCGAATATGTGCCCGTTCGTTGAGACTTGAACGCCTGCCAAGGAGCGTTTGGAGATGGGGAGATAGATAAAACCATCGTCACGCCAGTTATTATGGCCGATTGCTTCGTAGAGAACATTCTGCACAATTTTGCGCTTTTGCTCTGTCTGGACAATATTCCCCTCTTGAATGCTTGTTGCAAGATCAATGAATTCCATGATAATAGTCATTTGAGGAATGGCTTCAACGTCAGGATTGAGCTGTAATGCTCGAGCCTTAGCCAGGGTTGTCTGGGTGGCAACAATTGCCTCCTGGTTGGAACTGGAAAGGTGTAGCAACGATTCAACCACAGCAGCGAAGGCGAGCATGACAGGATCCGAGTTTTGGCGAGCGAGATTGGAGATTTTGGATAACTGTGATGTGGAACTGTGAACATCACCAAGTGATGAAGAGGCCAATGAGAACATGGCGTGTTGGAATCGAAACAGATATAGCCAAGCAGTATGGCGATACGCTTCAATGTCGTCAATCATTCTCTGTATATCTCTCAGTGCAGCTTTCGGTTTCGATTGGTATAGCACTTTTGACAGTAACAGCTGTAGCTCATATTTGATATCGATGAATTTGTGACGCTCACACAATTCAATGGCCTTACTAAGTTGCGTTTCAGCCTCATCATAATTTTCGGTCTCCTCGTAGAGAACTTGTGCATATCGAAGGGAGGTCTGAGCTTCTTTGAGGGGTTGGAGCTTGAGATTTGAAAGAGCCGATTCAAGACAGCCAAGAGCCAGTGCTACTAGCTCCTGATATTCATCGGTTACCTCAGGCAGCTTTCGTGCCATGTCCAGGTAGTCCTCTGCAAGAGCACATAGCAGAGTGGGATATTCAGGCTCAAGGTAGTCGGGCTGAGATTCCGGGGGTTTCATGACGGGCTGTTTGGGGGTGGTATTGATCACGACAGCTTGTAAGACACCATTCTTGCTCTGAGGCGTTGCGCTCTGTGTTTGGTCAGATATCGCTGCTAGAGGTGGCCTAGGCGGTTTCTTCTGTATCTCTTCAAGCGAGACTGTAGTGTTAAGGGGCTGACTGCTTATCGATTGAGGTTTAATAACATATTCTTGTTTCAACTTTGGGGAATGCTGTGGCTCTTGAGGACGAGATTGCTTCGCTGATGAGAGCTGTCTTTCGACCTCGCGCTCACGACGCGTTGAAGATTGAGGGTGAATAGGCTGTTGGAAGGATGAGTGTGACTGAATGGATGGGGATCGGTGTTTCTGAGTAGGTATGACAATCTCGGAATTCGGCTGAGCGGGTGATCGTGATGGCTGGTTCTTGTGGTGTGGAGGCGGCACTGGCGGTTGAATAGGGACTTGGACAGGAGGCGGTGGCTGATGATGTTGCTGAATATGTTGCGGTGCTCGCTGAGCTTGTGGGGTCACAATCTGTTGGGAGTGATGAGTATGCCGCTGAGGATGGCGTGGATCTGTATGTGAGTTTAAGGACGGCTGTTGATACAAAGGTTGTTGAAATTGGGCGAAGTCGTTGCGAGAGGGCTGGGTTTGATTTTGATAATACTGAGGATAACTCTGCGGCAGCGATTGAACATAAGGCTGCTGCTGAGGGTATTGAGTGGTCGAGAAAGGCTGAAGGCTTGGAGGGCGTGGTGGTCGAGGTTGATTCTGGTAGGACAATTGATGTTGGAGATTAGGGATAGGCTCGCGTTGTTGTTGCTGGCGTTGGTGGTGGTAAGGCTGGGTCGAAATCTGAGGTTGGGACTGATACTGAAATTGGGGTGGATGAGAGACCTGGACTTGAGGATAATTCAGATTGAGATTGTCGTCGTAGAAATAGTCCATATTGGAATTCACGTTCATGGGAAAATTGGGATCCATGGTGGCGACAGCAGCCACGGAAGGCACGCAACGCACTTCGGCTTGACTGCCTGTCGTTCCTTCCCAGTCTTCTGCCAGACGCGATCACAATTTTGCGGACACTGTCTTTATCAATGACGCTGCGTCTCCGATCCGTCTTCCTTACTTGACTTTTACTGCAAATTGTAAAACGTACCCACACCCATCTAGACGATCTTTCTCAGTTTGCGCAAGCACGGTGATGTTGGTTGCTGACGCCAAAATCCTGAAACCTAAAGCCCCTAGACGCGTCGAGCACAAGCATAGTTCTTCTGGTGCAATCGTTTATTTTTGTGGTGTCGGAGAGCCTCCTACCCAGCCCATGGATCTTAAGATGGACTGAGATAATGAATCAGTGACACAAGGCGAAGAGACAGTATTCCGCCTTCAGGTTGAGTGAGGATGGAGGAGGTTCAATTCCAGGGTTAAGTGGTTAACATGGTCTAAGGGCCGGCCCGCTGGTAGCGTCTACTAATGTTGCCCCCGGCAAGCCTTTCATCTGGTTTGAGTTACATTTACGACCAGTCCAACGCGTTAGTGCCGACTAACTAACTAACCAGGAAGTACCTCGGACTTTCTGATGACATGTCGATTTTCAGTTACAATGTTCAAAGGTATCAAAATATGAATACCTACCTATGTATTTAACGTGAGATTGTAGTAGCACTACATCTCCATGGAGGCCTAGAGCTTAAACGTTGGGCACAATAGAAATGGCTATCGACACTTTCCATGTGCTTTTCCAGTACGCTGAAGAACACCCCATTATCACCACTCTTGTATCTGCTACATTCTTAAGCACACTGTTTTCAATGTCTCCAGGGCGGATATTAGGCATTTCCAAACGAAAATACTATCATGCTCAAACGACGTTGAATGTCAAGCTGAATGATGGCCAGAGTACATCGTTTGCCGAGTTTTGCAAATCCGTCGTTCCAATATGTCGACTCAACCCATTATTGTTCAATGGGCATCTCCAAACTATCTGGACCGTGTTTAAGAAGGAGCATATTCCAATCTACTACAGGCGCCACATATTTCAAAATGAGGATCCCACCTACACCGGGCAATTCTCCGTGGACTTCGTCACTGCTCCATACAAAGGCAATGATCCGGCATTACCACCACGAACGACATACTATACGGACCAGGAGTTTGCAAACATAGGATCTCTCGACACCCGACCCATGCTGGTCATGCTGCATGGACTGAAGGGCGGCTCTCATGAAATCTATATCCGACATGTCCTTGAACCCTTGGTGGGAGATGGAGGGTGGGAAGCCTGCGTGGTGAACTCGAGAGGCTGTTCAAATAGCAAAATCACCACCAGTGTTCTGTACAATGCCCGTGCTACCTGGGATATCAAGCAGACGGTGCGATGGTTGAAGAAGACCTTTCCCAATCGCCCACTTTTCGGCATAGGATTTTCATTGGGAGCCAATATCATCACTAACGTAAGTCATCCGTTCTGCCTTCAGTGGTGTGAACTCATCACTGATTCGGTTCTCTTGGGCTATCTAGTATATCGCGGAGGAAGGCAGTGACTGTGTTTTCAAGGCTGCCTTTATCATGTCGAGTCCGTGGGACCTACAGGCAAGTAACTTGGCCTTGCAGAGAACATGGTTCAAGCGAAACGTGTATTCCAAAGCCCTCGGCGCGAGCATGAAGGCACTCTTCGAAAGGTGAGACATCCCTTTTCTAACGCACATCATGGCACTGACCCTTTTGTTCAAATAGTCATGTCGACCAGATCGTAAAAAACCCCAAGATTGATGTTGATGTTGTGCGAAGCTGCAAACATCTATATGAATTTGACCGGTATGCCTTATGGCTTCTCTCAATATCACCTTTACTAGGAGATACACTGACGCTTCATAGACACGTTCAAGGTCCGACATGGGGTTACCCTACCGAGGGCGCCTACTACCGAGACGCATCTTCCGTGGACTCGTTACTCGCCACAAGAATTCCATTCCTCGCTCTCCACGCGGAGGATGACCCAGTGAGTCGGCTGGCCTTGACTCAAGGCGCATCCATGGCCCGATATTGACTCGTCCTACCCAGGTAACTGCAGGAGAGGCGTTGCCGCGAAACGAGGTTCAAGAAACCCCATATGGCGTACTCTGCACAACGGAGAGTGGTGGCCACTTGGCATGGTATGAACTCGGAGGATCCAGATGGTTTGCAAAAGTGGTATGTAACCCCGAGTTCTCCATCGTGTTTACTTGTTGCCTGCCATGCTTTCCCTTACCCTTGACGCTTTGCAACTCGCTGAACCTTCTGGCGCATCTCTCAGACCACTGCATACTTCCAGAAATTGGTTCGGGAAATGGATCTTGACTCCTTTTCTCTGCCTCCGGGTCTTGATGCTATCGACCTCGAAGGTCGGATCTCGAGACCCAAGCGTGAGCCGCTGAAACCGGTCTTCGAGCCAATGAGGAGAAAATTGCATGTCCCCACCGCATAGAGCGATGTGTGCAATACACATAGACCCGCAGCTTAGACAGATGCAATAGACTTAGAGCATAGACCGATGTTGCCCCACAGATTCGGTCCTCCCTGCCACTTGAGTGTGATTTCAAGCAAATGAAACCCTCTTCTTCGACTTCGCTGCATTTTGTGGTTTCCTCTTACCAGAACTTTCGTCAGTGGCCTCCTCACCCTCCGCACCACCTCTTTTAGCATCCCCATGGCCACGACCAGCAGGTCCCTTGGGGCCCTTCTTTCTCTTGACCTCGGCCATCTTGCCCTCGAGAATCTCGCGCTTCCCCTCCTTTCTCTTCTCGGCCTCTTTCCTCCTCGCCTCCCGAACCTCCTCCAACTGCCTTTCCCGCATGATCCTACTCTCAATCTGGCCTTCTTTCTGCGCATTCACCAGCGCCAGGATCGTCATCATCGACTCCCGGTCGTCGATGAACACCTTTCCCTTCTTCTTGCCTCGCGTCGGCTGTGTTACGCCCGCGGGTGTGATCATGTTCAGCGTGGGGAGGTTTAACTCCTTGTCCGTGTAGACTCTCTGCTTCTTCTTGTAGGCGGCGCGGGCGGCGGATTGCGAGGCGGCGGTGGGTTTTGTCTTGACTTGTTTGGTTGGGCGGCGGACTTTGGATTTGCCGATGGTTGATGGGCCCGAAGTGGCGGATTTGCGGGCTTTGGGGTTTTTGTTGTTCACTTTTGTGGCTGTCTTAGAGCCGGGAGGTTTCGGCGCCATTGCGGAAGCTGTTTCAAACGTCTAGGTCTATTGGAAAAATAATTGTTTGAGAATGAGTTGTGAATTTGATATGCACCGTCTTGCGGTGTTGTCTAGATCACTCTGGCGGGCACATTCGAGTTTGCGAAGAATTAAAAAATCAAGCCGAGGTTGAGCCGCTGGAGTGCACTTTCAACTTCGGAACTTTATTGCTCCGAGCAATTAATTGGAGAAAGGATACTTTGGAGAAGCCTGTTGAATGGCAGTGGCATGAGTCTCAACGTCATCAAACATCACCTCGCCGACTCCGGGGAGTGGAGCTTTGGTGTGAGCACACGAGGCTTTTGCATGAGCACATTTTCATAGCTGTTGTTGAAGCTACGCATTCAGGTACTCCTACCTCTGCTCCTCAGACATCATTTCATTGCAGACCAGGAAGAGGTCAATCTCGACTTCAATTCTTGACGACATCTTCACATACATACATACCGGCCTCCAAAATGCCACCGCCATCAACAATCAAAGACATCGCACCTCCCGAAGCCCTCTCCACCATCGCGGGACAAGGCTTTGCCAGCGGTGCCGTCCGCTTCGGATCCATCTCCTTTCTCGCACACCTACTGCTCAACGCGCGACACCCGGTCTACCGCAGGCTCACGATCCAGTTCAAAGTCTTCATCCAGATTTCGTCCATGATTCTGGGCGGGTGTATATTTGCAGAGAAGCGAGTCAGCGAATTCAACGATAGCGTGCGCAGGCGCAACCGAGCGCTGGAGAGGTCGAGGCGGGCGTGGAGTGAGGAGGCGGAAATTCGTGCCATGGTGGAGAATAGGGAGAGGCTTGCAGCAGGAGCAGCGACTTCCCCTTCTTCACCGGGCGGTATAGTTGATAAAGTGAGAAATCTCGAGAGAAGCAAGAGTGAGGATTGAGCGTTCGGCAATACGTTTGGTCCGGAATCTCCAATCCACAGCAAACACATGGTCTTTCACAGGCAAGTGCCGTTGGTCTCGTCATACCTTGCCCTCGAGCCCGAAACAACAGTGGGATATCTACCCTGCAGCTACACGAGAGAATCATGCTTGGAGAGCAACCAGTCAAACAGCGGTTTTGGCTCTGGTCTTCATGGATCGTCCAAAGCTCTGTGCTAGCTTTCCGTTGCTTTGACAAGTTACAGCAAGCAATAGTCTTGCAAGAGCCCCGGTTGGAAATGCCTCCTCATAAAACCCGAACCCAACAGCCAAGGCTCTGCATTGAGGAGACTTGGTCGACCAAGTGGACGAAACCAGCTAGGCATACGGGTAATGGTTGACGTTGTTTACTGACGAAACTGAGCTGGAGATCTATCAATATATGAGAGTCGGTCCTCTCTCATGGCTGCGTCGAACAGAGGTGTCGGACGATTGGCACGAGAAGAGCCAGCTGAGCTACTCCGTGCTTTCCTCTCGCCGGATATCAACTCGCGTTAAAGAACCACATACGGTCTCACCATTGATGTCGTGCTGTCAATAAAAGCTGCGCAGACCATTATATGAATGATCCAACCGTGTCGGATATGCCGTAAAGGAGGAGACATTATATGGCGATTTAAATCTTCGAACATGACCATCACATGTCTGTCGGCAAATAGCAACAACAAGAAGAAATAGTCTTATTACAAGATATGTATATATGCAGGTCTAAAATCTCCAAGTGACAGCTTGGGTCGTCACTCTCCTTTGTTTCATTGGGTCCTCGAACCACACCATATAGCAATCCCAGTCACCGTAGCGCCGTCGCTCAAAGCAGGGGCAGAAATGGACCAAATTTTCCTTAGACCGAGAAGATATACACTCATTCACGATTGCAAGCAATAGCGGGACATGGGGTGCCCTCATCAGGCGTCATGCTGCTCCACCAATTCGTAACTGTACTTTTTCTTCAAACCACCGCCCCACCTCATCCACAGCGGCACTCGCGAGGCACCTGGAAACCGGTAGGCACCGACACGTGGACTCGACCGCGGACTTCCACCCCGGCGCCTGGAGGCCGAGAGACTCAAGACGCGCGAGTAGAGCGACCAGACGAGGAAAATAAGCGTCAACCCGACGGCCGTGCCGACCACAACGAGCAGCAGCCAATTCTTGCCCATCCAGAAGATGAACTGCGCGTCCTTGCCGTGCCAGCTATCGCCCTTGAACGTGTTGAAGAAACTCCACGGGTGCTTGGTATACTCGTCGGGCATGAGGACACGGACGCGGCCCGGCCAGGTGTCCTGGTCGAGATGGCTATGCTCGTCGATCCAGTTCTTCCAGATCACCGAGAGGAACAAAGGCCCCGTCGACGCCATGATGGTGATGTAGGGGAGGACCCAGGCGCGGTCGGCGCCCTGGAGGGACTGGATGATGCGGAGGAAGAAGGGGTGCTGCGGGACGGAGCCCATGGCGTCGTTGCTGATGCCCGTGGGCACGGTGCGGCGCAGCCAGGCGTTATAGGACAGCAGGGGGTCCAGGCGCCGCTTGCATCCGTCGTCCAGGTCGATGTAGACGCCGCCGTGATGCGCGAGCACGAAGTAGCGGATTGCGTCGGCGCGCTGGATCGGGTGCTTGTAACCCGTGAACGTGGGCAGGAACCAGGCGTATTCCTTCTCGATGAACGCCTCCGACTTGGCGTCCGTCCACATCATGTATTCGTAGTCCGGGTGCAGGTCGATGCATGACTGCTGCGCGGCTTTCCAGCGCTCCGGGATGGTTTCGTTCTTGTAGGTTTGGTGGATGATCTTGGGGATCAGCCGCGGACGTGTGTCTGGAAGGGTGGAGTTCGGGGAGGGGATTTCTGCCGCCGCGATGGCATCGCCCGAGGCATCTTCGATCAGGAGTGCGAGGAGGGTGGACACGGCGTGGAGGAGGAAGATAAGGGTTGCACCGGCGATGACGAGGAATATTACAAGGCTGCGACGCATGGTGGTCGGTGCGTTGTGGTATGGTGCAAGCGGACGTGAGAGGTGAGTGACTGGCTGACGGCTGGATGGGAGGCAATCATGCAGGCAAAAATTGCTGCAATGATTTAATATTGATTGATCTACAGTCAAGAATGAGTGGCGGAGGGGAGATTGATGGAGAGTGAGTTCAGGGGCGGCCCTGGTGGTGGTGGAGCATTTTTTCGGTAGACGATGGTATGAGTAGATTGAGGGTGCGTCTGTTGTCAGAATATAAGGAAGAGACAGAGAATGACAGCTGTAGTAGCGAGAGTGCGTCAGTGAAGGGAAATGAAAGACTGCAGCCTACATGGGACAAAAGTGTAGCTAGTGATGTCTAGCAATAAAAAAGTTGTTTGTACAGGCATCCCGAGGATCACAGCGGAGAGCCTGAGTAAGACGACATGTGTTTGGTGGCACGAAATGTGGCAGTGCATAACGACGTTATTATGCATACGGGGTACGCCGTACATAATGCACAATCCACTTCAGGATGTACATCGGTCAAAAATCTTGACGGACCTAAGTCCTATCGCATCTTGTTACCCAAATGAGTAACGAGGCATTCAGCAGATGTATAACCATCAAAACGTACTCGCTTACGAGTATCCAAATCTGTCCCATTCCATAATCATTGACGATGAGACACGAGCACCTAGGCCCATGTACCGTTGTTTAACGACAGATCACCAACCTCGCCTGTTCAGCAGCCAGGATAAGTTGCTCAAATATAAACTGAATATTCCATACTATGTATTCACCCAATAACGTCTGCTCCTAATCTATACCCTGTTCATGTTAATATGCATGGTCTCGCAAACAAGACCTCTATCCAGACGATTCATTTCCATGTTCGAACTGTTACGCGCAATCATGCCCTACCCCCAAGTTTGGTAGATAGTGGTCCTCACTCAGCCCATAACTCCGTAACCTCATCCCTGTATCAATATATAGTCCTCGTAAATATGGACAGTCGTATTCCATCTGGGTATCATTCGAAATCTGCCACCCGCCAATCGCATGTTGATCGTAATTCTCATCTCCACAGGTCGACGTGCTCATTATTCCTCGTCATCTTGAGGTATCGGAAAAACATGGTGTCGTTTATCTTCCAATTTTTCATCAATATAGTCCAAGACTTGCGGGTTCTCGTTGGTAGGAGTTCGATCAAGGTGGACTCTTTGCATCATCTGAGCAACAGACTCGGGCGCCAGTATCTGCGATTGAGCACTGTTGCCTCCACTGTCATCCTCCCATTGCTCGCCTTGAGCTCGACAGTAGTTTCGGAACAGATACTTTTGCAATCTTGTCACTTGTACGTTCCATTTCTCTTCCAACGTCATAATCACCGCTGCTACATCCTGTTCAGTGAACGAGCCAGCGGAGGAGACTGAACTGCTGTGTCGATGCCCGTGCCCATGTCGGTGATGCTTGCCTGTCAAGGCGCCTCCAATGACCTTCTTGAGTGAATGTCCACTTTTATTCGGCTGAGGACTTTCTGTCCGCTCCATCGAAGCCTCAACTTCACGCCGTACCCTCTCTATCGCCTTCGCGCGGTCTTGATCTAACGTCGGCATGTACAGTAGAGTGAGATTCTTCTCAAGAGCATCGACAAGAATAGTGAAGCTCTGGAGATTGATGTCGTTGTGCTCACAATGAATTTCCAACAGGGTGTCATTCGTTTTGAGTACTTCTGCCAGTGTGGTGGCACCTTGCAGCCCAAGCGATTGATATTCAATCCTCAGCAGTTTCAAACTTCGATTATGCGCCAACCCTCGCAGTGCTACGTTCAAGCCAATGCCAAATCGGGTGGCATCGAGGTGGGCATGTTCTCCGCTAATATTTAGCTCTTCAAGAGTGTTGTTGGTCGCGAACATTTCTTTGAGAGCCTCGCATGTTTCCATGGATGCATCATAGGGCAATGACGCACGCGAGATATCCAGACTCCGTATTGTGGTATTTGTTTTCAACGCCTGGATCAATTCACGGAAGTGGCTTTCCTTCTCAAAATCCATCATACGCATACTCAATGATGAGGGTCCATGGCTTTGCGCAATCGTTTTGTACAATATCGAACCACCCACTTTCAACCGATTTTCGTTGGCGCTCACATGCATGGCTCTGGGTTGGCCATCTTCTCTTGTCATGGACCTGAAAAATGTCGCAAGATCCCGGCCATTCAATCCACATTGATCGACTTGCAGTTCTCGGAGAATCTCGGACTTGGGAGTGGCCAAATATGTCGATATCGAATCAACTGTTTGTTCGTTCAGCGTTGTTTGAGAAAGATGTAGCTCTTCTAATCTCCAAGCGAAAAGGGCATCCGGTGCAACTAGAGGCTCCGGTCCAGCAGTCTTCTGCACTCTATTCAGGTTCAGGCGGCGGATCCTGCTAAAGGCACCAATGGCTCTCTGGAACAGTTCGGGACTAAAGCGCCCTTGAGCACCCGATATATTGATTACCTCGACAGTATTCTCTTGGACTGCAAGGGCGGATAGCAAGACATCAATATCATGGACTGATAAGCCGCATTCACCTATCTCCAAAGCCCTGAAATGACACTTGCGTTCAGATGCAGCATCCACTAGATGATTTAGATCGGTATCCGCAAGCTTCAGACCCGTCAAGATTAACCAATCCACATTGGTGAGAGACTTTTTGCAAAGAGGCGCCAATGCTTCTGGAATGCCGCAATTAAAGGGTTGCTCATCATCAGCGACGACCTGATGTGGGATACTGTATGAGAAATCCAATCGTCTTAGCCGACGGCTCTTTAGTGCGAGCCCTCGAACCTCTTGGCACAGTACAGGTAAGTCTTGGTGGCCCGTTATATTTGTCGGATGTCCAGAGCGGGTGGTTAAACTGTCTAGATCAGTGCCAAAGATATCATATAATTTGCGCAGAGGGCTTAAATTGATCCGAGCGAAGGAGATTGAACTGAAAGATTCGTTGTAACGCAGCGACCTGAAGACAGCAAGTAATTCCAAATTGGAATAAGGTGCACTTGTTGACGGCGCGAGGAGTTGGAAGCAGGGTGCATCTTCGCATTGATAGTCCACAGAGTAGCAAATTCGGGATGTGTCGACATCGTACGCAGCGCAATATGCGATGAGTGTCCGATCAAAGCAGTGATGGTCTTCTTGGGGATAGTTGGGTGGGTTCATCTTATCGTCAAGCTCTTCAGGGACATCGAAAGTAAATGGTTGGCGAATCCATTCCGGTCGTAAATACTCTGAGGTGAATCTCAGCCACAGTGCTATATCTTCAGCGGCGGATGACGCCAATTGTAGGGTATATGGCTGGCCCAATGGGGACTTCAACAGCAGCTGAAAGTTGTCTTGTTCGGAATGCACTTTTATCGCCGTCAAGTTCACAATCCCGTAAGAGCTCGAAGAGTCCATTTCACTCAAAGAAGTGCTAGATGACCTCGAGGACGACTTGTTCAAAGGGACTAGATGTATCTTGTAAAGACCTATAGCCACGTAACAGATGGTCGAATTAAGTCTAGTCAAATCTTCAGCGGAGGATTTGGTGTTCGGTTTGGTAGTAGAACGCTGCACTGCTTTGAATACACGGAAATGCTCGGGGTCATAATCCCGATCCCGGTCCAGAACACGAGCGATGGACTCAAGCGTTTGAGCTTGTACCTGTCGTGACGAGCCCGCTTGGCTTGCCTTTGCAGCCGAGCGTATTGCAGTAGTCCACAAATCCGATTCACGCAGGTCGGTGACTTGAAATTGCAGAACTGAAAATTTTCTTGTTCGTTCATCTAGATGCGCCACCTCGATGGATGGAACTGGTCGACCATCGTCAAACTTACACACCGCGATGATTTGTTCCAGAGGAATGGCTGACGTGATGTCGGAGTATGTAGCAAATTGGAGTTCCTGGTATGAACTGACGGAGGATGACCGGGGAGCATGACCCCTAAGGCTGGTATAGGGGATGCTAGGAAACATTTCAATGGCTTTGGATTGATTTCGGAAGCGAATTAGATGTGACTCTGTCAAGACCAAGAACTGGGTTCTTTTTCGAAACATGTTAGTGCCTCCTGCTAGTACTTCTCCGTATTGGGAGACCTTATCACCCAGGAGGCCTTTCATGCCAATGTCTCCATCCTCTGCCAATGACGAAGCCTTGGAATCGGATCTAGTCAGTGCCATCTTTTCATCCTCGTCGAGCGAATGGAGGGAGCGGATAGATCCAAAGACGGAGGTCCGATTGGATTTTTGAAGAGTTCGAGGCCTGACCTTGGGGCTAGGCTGTTCCGGCTCAACAGGGCTGGGATTGTAGTATTCATCGGAACGCTTCTCAGACGGACTCGTGGGGATTTGAACGGAAGGAGTTGCCTCGAGCTTCGGCCGGAAGAGGCTCAGGCTCTTCCTCCTTCGTTTGTCTGCCATAGGTGTCATGCGAGACCTCGGCCCCGTCCAACAGTCTAAGGTGTCCCAGCAAGCAGGTATGAAATTTGAATCTCAAGAGGTGTATACTGGGGAATGTCACATATTCTCTTTTCTGACCATGGCCATTAGCCCTAAGCCGCCCATCCGCGCCACCAGCTCTTCCTTCACATACAAAAGCCCGCCGAGGGCGAAAGCATTGTAGATCTCAAGCGAGGAGGCGGCGCAGGACTGAAGTTTTTGCGAGTTTTCAAAGAAACTTGTCTCTGGCAATCGGTACTGAACAGGGCGATAGTGGGGGCCACTTGAGTCTAAGTCGAAGTAAAGGCCGTCTACGTGTATTGGTCGCAGCAGGGCTGGTAGGGTGTAGATGGAAGGAGTCGTAGAGACAAGGAGCAGACTTGGTGAGGTTAAAGAATAAAGGACTTGTTCAATCGGGGCCCGGACTTCGAAGAGCGGATGAAGCATCCACAGGCCATGATGAGAGTAACAGGGTTGGTCGGCAGTGTATTGCATCCATCTGTCAGCGCTTCGCCAGGCGCCGATCCGGTGCTGTGATTGACGGACTAAAGTTGGGAACAATGACAAGATAAAACTAGGTGTATCCACGTCGATGAGGGCCGGGTAGGTGTGCCCCGTACGATTGGCGAGTGACGGAACCACTATAGGTGGGATGAAGTCAATGCCACCTGGGCAGCTATTCTGGTCGTCATCTCATCGTACGAGGCCTGCATGCGGAGCCACATTGTAGAAAGTCTGCTAGTGGGAATACGGCTAGGTGTCCTAGTTAATGCCTAGGGGTGGCCGCGGATGACGTGCTTTAGCCAACCCACGCCAACTTTTAGGTGCAAGAGTGATAGAGATGGAGCTGGACGCCAGTACCCGCTCCAAGCTGCGCCAACATGGGCATCCTTGGAGCGCATTGTTGCCATTACTAGCACGTGTCTACCGATTCCGCATGACACCTGCCACAGCAACCTCTGAAGGATAACGGATGCCACATGCACCTCCAAGTTTTGCCAGCCTTGCCAGTGAGTGTCGATCTAGATACTGTAGATATCTACGAGTCAGGGAACCATCAAACCGTATACCAACTCTGTACGAAATTAGTCAAGAGCCGTTTGTGTCTCAGCCAATACATACATTCGAGACGTCTTCCATGTCCTCGTAAATAGCTACTTAAGGTGTCTAGGGTAGATATGTAGGTTTCTATGTGCATCCCAGGCCCATTTCCCAGTACTCTTACATTATACCTCTTCGCGATAATGATTCTACATTCACCAAAGCCCATCTCTATACTACAAGTGGCTTTTCCTGATATAGTACAACTTGCTCTCGCCGCGAATCGGATTCATCCTGCTCTTGCCGCCATTTTTTGCCTCGACGACTCATATCAACCAGTTTTTGAATATAGAATCCAACCGCGCCGTCCTCAGCCTGAGGAAAAGTCAACACTGCCCTGCGTCGACCCTTGCAAAGCGTGTAATTACGTTTTCCCAACGCGGGGCTCTGAGGTTCTAGTTGATATCTCACAGTCCACGAGACTGGGTCTTTGATGTTCTGTGGCCGCACCACCCTGTCATCTCCAATGTAATTTTGCACTGTGAGCTTCCATGCGAGAACGTCTTTCTCTGGCTCCGGCAATGTCTCGGGGTTCTCAGCTTCGAAGGTCTTCTCCGAGGGTTTGATACCCATCATGTTCTCGAGAAATGCAATGTTCTCTTGGACATCATCTTGTTGGGTGGCTGGAGTGCCATCCTTTTCAGTTGTGGGTGGCTGGCTAGCATCAAGACCGTCTGCCATTTTGACTTCTGGAGGAGACCGATGGGGATTGAACAGTCGTTCCTCGAATGCTTCAATTTCGCTCTTATTCGTGGTCTGGATCTTACGGATTTCATCTTCGGTCACCGGCTCTGCGAAAATATACATATAAGGCGGGCTGACCTTGGTCGCTTCTCTTGCCTCAAAATGGAACCGAATCGACGTCTCTGGATATTTCGCAGTTGCTTGGTCAAATATATCGTTGAGCAACTTGAAACTCAATCGAAATTCCTGATCACCTAGCGCGGGGTCCGCTTGGCCATGGAGCGCGAGGTCCATTTCTGGAAGTGGGATATACTGAAAGCCGAAAAGTCGCTCGACATTGTGGAACGCCACAAAGATGCCATCCATTCGGCCCATGCGCACCTGGAGAGAGTATTTCAAGAACGCCGCTCTGATCATGTCATAATACTCGCGTTCATAGGACTCCCAAGTACCATATCTATCCTTGATTTGATAGCCCTGTCCTGCTTCTGGATTTGAAAGCATCATGCGGACCCCCGCAACGGCACGTGTTTTTAGATCAAAGACTCCTGTTCCGGGCAAGCGAGGATCGGCACAGTCGAGTTGAGACCGTAGCAAGAATGGGCCCAGTTGGGAGTAGTGATATGCTTCACCTTGCTGCGACTGAGGCTGGCTTGTCTTGTCTGACTCAACCGTTCTTCGGTACAATTCAAATTCATCCTTTTCTGATGTCAACAATTTTTCCATCGACCGTCCGAGACTCATGAGAACGTTAGCCGAGTCAAACTCTTTGTCTGCGTCGACAGCATATGTGCCATCTTTCCATCGCAAGAATATTGCGTTTGGACCTCTTGTCAGCTTGGTGAACGAGGAATGATCCTCACCAAATCCACGCGATACGTTGTTGATGGTCAATGGTCGGAAGCTCGAAAGTAGAAAGTGAAAGTGGGACAATATCCCCGACATGCTTGAAGTAGACCCAACATATCTACTTTCGTGCTGCAATGCGATGTTCCGCAGGTTTTGATCTTCCGAAGAAGTGGTATATTTGTTGAGGGCATCAAAGTTGAATTCAGAGACTGGCATGATGTTCCCAAGATAGGGGTCAAAATTCCATACCCGTGATCTGGGATCTTGCAGCTGATAGACCCCAGGATTGAACAGAACTCGAGACAAGTCATAGCTCAACCTGGGAACTTCTGGCGTAGTCACAGATATTGGATTAAGTTGGTAATCTTCAATGGTGGCAAATTTACACAGGTCTGGATCAAACGCTGGCGTCCAAACTCTCTCTTCTGGATTCTTGATTTTTGGGGCAACGGCTGTGCGGGTTCTGGCAATGGGCTCGCGCACTTTCTCGCGAATATTAGCGGCCACTCTCCGTACATAAAGACGAGTTCTTGGTTTAGGACGAGCTTGAGTTGTGCCGACCACTTGAACAGGAGTTCGTGATTTCGGAGGAGGTTGAACTACGCTGATCGCAGGAACAGGAGTCGTTGACTTTAGAGGGCCTTGATCTGCGCTGACCACTTGATCAGGAGTCGGTGACTTTAGAGGCCCTTGGTCTGCGCTGGACACCTGAACAGGAGTCGTCGTCTCAGGAGAAGCATGCTCTGCATCGAAGAAGCCCAGGCGAGAGAGCAACTGGTGCGGAACTGACTTGGCTGAAATGCTGGTGCCAGGTTGGAGAAAGGTAGCGCGCTCAGCATTGAACTGGGAATACAACGTCCCAGTATATACCTTTTCTATCCTCTTTACCATACGTTGTGCCCTAGGTTCATTATCTGTGACTTTGATGCCACTCGCCTCCAATACTTGATCAAAGGACAAGTCTGGTTGGTCTTGCGCCTTGAGTGTTCTCCCCGTTCTTGTAAGCCGCCTTGAAAGGTCCTTGAGAACAGCAATTCCATCTTTTTGGCTCGGTGTTAGCACCACCGGTTCTGGTCTGGGTTTGGGTTTGGGCTTGGGATTGGGATTGGTTTTCTGTTTCTTTTCGACGGCATAACTATTTCGTTGCACAAGACCCTCAGCAGCCAAGTGTTGGGCCTGGTATTTGCAGGGTCTTAAGATAGGCCGTCGCTGGGGAGTATGGAGGCCAGAGAAAAGATGTCGTTTGGAGAGGGGGCAGCTAGAAGACAGAAGCGATTTGGTCTGAATGTACGATTGCTGGCGTGGATTGACTTTCCGGCCAGCGATGGCTAGCATCTGGGATGAAGGGGAGTCGCTCGAGAGGGCGTATTTCGATACGTAGTCTTACTCCAGCACAAGATTCGAAAACATATGACATGTGGAAGGGGAGGAGTTAAGAGGTCATTATGTTGTTCATAGCGCCATTCAAGTTGTTGATGATCCGTAGAAGAATGCGGGTTTCCACGTCTCCAATTATTTTTTCTCCTCAAGCAATCATGACACGCGCTCCTTCCCTCTTACGAGTACGCGTAAAGTTGCTTGACCTTGACAAGGCCTTCTCTGCCTAAGGATCTACCTGAGTTAGCGAGCTATCTGCCTAACCAGTAGGCACCAAATGGGTGTTCCAGCTACCAACTACGAGTAAGCACTTGGAATCACCATAAATTCGCCGTTTGAACAATTGAGCCTCCAACCATACCAATCATGCAATCGACAAGCTTCGACGGTAAAGTAGGTCCCAGATCGAAAGCTGTCAAAGGGCAAATGTCTTGCTGTGCACAGATATTCATTTCTAGAAGATTTGCTAGCCTACGAATCCAGCTCACCTCGCTATGCATTCTACTGCTAAGCTACGGTCTTACTCTAGCTCGATAACCACAGTGTGTGACATTGGGCAAGGTGAGTGAGACCATCCTCGTGGCGGTTCTATGTGCTGCATATTTGTACGTCAAAACATTGTTGAGATAAGTATCGCATACTCTAGAGAGTGATTTGACAAAATTTAAAGATGCCTAGGAACACAAGTGGATGGACTTCTAGGACGAAGGCTAATCTTCGACTTCTATTGTCACTGACCGGAGTGGAAGCATCAGTCAGCTTCATCACCTTCCGGCATTGTTGTTGAAGGAATATTATACGCTCGTCCTTCTTTCGGCTACTGGCGAAAGGGGAAAGCTTATGTCTATGTCGCCGGCGCTGCGTCGTCAGCATTGTGCGTCACACCGCACTACTGATGGCCGGAAAACTTCATAATCCTTTGGAGAAGGAGCTTTTGGACTGTCGAGCTATCCAATTCCCCTTGGAATTTGTGGCTTGAATTATCCGAATGTTCAGCTTTGTCTCGACTGACCTTTGCACAAAGGTAATCTCTAAGATGCAGCAATCAAAGGCATATTAGATGTCTTGGGACTATGTTATGCTCAACTGTTCCCAGCAGAGCCACGTTATCGAATCCTCCGACCATCGTTGACACGAACAAAGCTCTCCTGAAATAAACAGATTGACTCCCTAAACGGACACATTGCATAGCCCTCTCAAACACGGACATGACAATTAGCAAACTCGGCCAAGTTGTCGATACGAGCAGAAAAGTTGATTAAGGGAGTTCAGTACTTCTCGAGATACCGAATGACTTGTTCGGTTTTAGTAACCCCTGGGCATGAGGGCTGCAAATCCGAAATCCTTGGCGGGCTGTCTCTCACCAACAGTTAACCCTAAAGCAGCCAAGATTTCATTCCGCTGTGTTTCAACCACAGCCAAAGCCGCAATCAGGGGCGGAAAGCCTCGTGTTGACCTATTTTCCAGGCGAAAATCGAAAGAAGAAGATGATACATTCAGAGCTGTGCTGCAAATCTCCTTACCAGGCTTCTTCTAGCCACGGGATGGACTCGTCAGGGTTCAGCACGCAACTTGCGTTGCAGCCACTGGTTGGCTCCGAAAGGAAGTTGTCTTCAAGACCACTTTTCTTTCATCAGTTTGGGGCTTCAACACAGCCATCATGGATACAGGAGTCATAAATCCGATTCCTCCTTATCAGTCAAGGACTGCTCCTAGCTTCTTAATGTGACTACTATGCACTACGATAAGCGATTCACCCTTGCTGCAAGTGAAGAGCATCATGGCATCAATGCACCACGCAGGTAAAGATCTTCAGTGCATTCCTTACTTGGCAATGCTAAATGTGAACAGGTAATCCAGATGCAACAAAACTTCAAAAGTTCTACGCTCCACTGTGCACAAGATGGCCAGTATTGACTTCGATTATGGTTGCTCTCTTGGCCTGTGTTGTAGTCCTGGAAATCGGGCTGCAGATAGGACTGTCCTTGGAAGAAAAAGCAGAGCATCAAATTCAAGTACGCAGACTGAGAAGACAGATAGAAAATACCTCTGTTCGAGTTACTAGCGCTGTCAAACCCGCGGTTTCTTCTTCCACATCCACAACTAAGGGAGTGATACCAGGCCCGAGCTCAATCTCGACACCATATGCTGGCGTTTCTTCAGGGACGACTCAAAGTTGGGTCGACTGGAATGAATCACCGGATGCTTATGTCGATCCACGGACAAGTTCTGCTAGAGTCACCTCCAGCAGACAAGAGCCTACCGAGACCTTGACAAATCAAAATAAGCCAGAGTACTATGCCAATCCTCAGTCCACTTCAATTCGAATCACTTCTAAATCGCCAGTCAACAAACCTACCAGCGCCTTTGTCGCACCGGCCACTACACAAAATGCCGATCATTTCGTCTTCTCCGACTACGAGAGCAGTCTGTATGCCCAGCCTTCAACAACAGATCCAGATAAATCATCCCCTGTAACAAAGTCAGAAGATCCTTCTGCCATAGGAGGATCGGATAAATCACTCTCTACGTCATCTAAAGATGTTTCAAGGATAATTCAAGCGTACAACCCCCCTTCTAGTGGCGATGTGATGAACCCTAGTGTTGTTACGACGCAATCATCGTATGGTTCCAATGGTTTGGGAAATACGCAAAGGACCTCCCTCAGCACCCTGATTGCCTCGCTCCCAATCTCTGGGTCCCTTGCGGAAGATCTACAGAGCCACTCTTACGCCTTGATAATTACTACAAAGCTTGTGTCTGATTTGAGCGGCCATGTTTTCACATTCATTTCGACTGCAACGTCTCGCTTCCCAGAACCGACTAATTCGGAACAGGTCGGTCCCATTGAACCTGTTCCGACAATCACCGTGGACGGACAGTCGCCCGACGAGGTAGAATTGGGGCTGACAATCTCAGGATTTGAATACTTTCGAGCCATGTATCTACCTATAGTGGTGGCGGTCTTGTTGAAACTCGGGTGGAATGTCGTGTTCGCAGCTACAAAAATGATGGAACCTTTTTACCTGCTCTCAAAAGAGGGTGGCGCTTCAGCGCAAGATTCTCTTGTCGCGGACTATCTTATTTCGAGTCTCTCCCTCGAAGGACTGAGGAACCTGTTTGTCGGCCATCCGGTCGTCGTTCTAGCCAGTCTAACATATATCTGCATCAGTACTCTGCCTTCCTTGGCCACCCAGGCTACCACAATTAAAGCCATCGGCACTTGTTACTCGGAGACGGGCCAGACACATTGCCATCCAATGTGGGAATTGAGCATCACATATGCAAGAGTCCTGCAAGTGGTGCTATGCGTGACTACTCTGCTCATTTTAGCGATGATGGTCTTATCCTTGCGTCGACAAAGTGGCGTTTTCTCGAACCCGGCATCGATTGCAACAATGGCTTCCCTCCTGAACAATGATGATTTCATTTCCGAAATCCGAACACTACCTCAAAGCCCCAGCCGATCGTCCGTTCTGCATGCCCTTGGCCGTACCCAATTCACCCTCGCACACCATCGCGCAGCGTGCGGGCACATGCGATATGGTATTGTGAAGGCCGAGGCAACGAACCAAAAACAGGAGTATTCTGTCCCCTCGAAGCCACTAGAGCGTCGAAAACCCACATCTCATGATGAAACTGGCTCGCTGTCACAGAAACTCTTCGTCGACGTGGTTTTCCTACTGGCAATCCTTGCACTGCTCTCTATCATTGTGGCATACTACCTAGTCCACGGTGACACTCCTTTCAACAACTTTTTCAACCATAGCCCACTACGTAGTCTCGTCTTGACGCTTACAGCAAGCATACTCGATGGTCACTGGAAGCAGCTGGAGCACGAGGTTCGCCTTCTGACACCTTACCGTCGATTATCTCGCGGAGCCGCTAGACCTGACGTCTCAATCCTCATCACCCAGAACGCGACAGCTATCACGAGCTTCTTCCCAGCACTGCGACAGGGGAACTTCTTCCACGCGGCCATCGCATTCGTGGCAATCTTGTCAGACGTCCTGATCGTTGTGATCGGCGGGGTACCATTCTCGTCCGCACAATTTCACATGGACTTTGTGGTGTGCACCTATATCAGCTGGATCATCTTGGCTATCATGGCGATGATGGTGCTGGCTTTGTTCAGGTGGCGTGCACAGAACGAGAGGATGATGAGCTCGCAAAATCCGAACACCTTGCTCGCGGTCTGCCAATTGCTATGCAATAGAAACAATAGTGTGCGTGACCAAATGACTGGAACCGAGAAGATGAAGGGTAGTGCTCGAGACAGAATGGTCAGAAGGAGCAGTGTTCGCTACTGTGCTGGTTGGATCACGGAGGAAGATGGATCCCGAAGATGGGCGGTTGAAATACAGAAGTCTCCCAAGCTGGAAGCAAGCCAAACGTGAAGAGTTGTTGTGAATCAAGGGGCGGGAGTATTTCAGCTTCACGAAGTAAATTGGGTGCAATGATCAATGATTCATCTTAAGTAGTGGAGAACCTGCTTAGTTTAGATTTAAATTTAGCAACTTATGAACTTTTCATTACTTTGGGACTGAAGAGAACAAGGAGATTCTTTCAGAAGACAAACATGTCAGAGTAGAAAAAAGGAGTTCCGATGGGATGCAATCACTCGCCTTCTCGTCACCAACCCAAGCAAGGGTCGTCCGTCATCAATATCAAAGAAATTTGGCACCACCGGCCAGTTTTCAAGCCATTGACGGTAGTCATGACTTGCTCCTTGGAATCTCGAACCGATATCGCTCCAGGACCACTGTGATTGGCAATAACGGTGGCCACCCAGCTAAAATACGAGACAATCACAGTGACACTTTCTTCATACAGCTCATTGTGACGCTGCCCGGTTACAATGTTCCTAAGAGTTGTATTTGCGGCGTGTCGGGCTTGCGGGACCGGCGGCAATTAGCCTGATTATTGGCGATGGGTGCCGAGGTCGAGGAGATATAGGATATAATGCGCGTTTCGCGCATGGGTCGTGTCGGTCTGGTCGAGCTCAATGATGTGGACAGAGGACTCGAGCATGGCTATGTGTTTACACATGGTTGAAAAGACCTGTGTGCTTCTTTAAGAGTGTTTGTGGGCTTCGAAGTCATTGTCCGCAGAAGCGCCGACCACGACTATGATTTTCGGATCCATGATTGTTCTCGAGTTGTTCTTGGTCATTGGATGTTGAGTTTGCCTGGGCTTCTAGACGGTGAGAAGTGGCCAACCTGATTCTCGGAATAAACTCCGAGTGCTGACATAGCCGATCAATTAGTTGAACGCATTGAAGGTCTAGGGTTGTCGAATCAACGAGCTTTTCATAGAAATACAGTTGTATTCAAGCAAAGAGCAATTCAATGCGTGCAACAGGAGTACTCTGGACACGCGGTCTCCGCTGAAAAGTCTTAGTCTTGAATGAAGTCCTGTCACTATTGACAACTTGGATGAAGGCTTCAGAGCAAAAATCGCATCTTTCGAAGTGGTTGTCCATCGATCAAAGAGACACACGGTTTGGGTCGCGTGAGTGTTCTACACCCAACTCAGATAAGGTGACTATGCTGAGGCCCAGGAGTCCAGGTTGTTCAAGATAACCCCCTCGTCTTGACCTCGAGAAACGAGCCTGCCGATTTTGAAGACCGACTCTCCTTGTTCCTCAAGAGCTTTCTTGACTTCGCCAGAAGCTGTTTCTGATACGACAAGGACCATGCCGATTCCGTTATTGAAAGTCCGGCTCATCTCTTGGCTATTCACCTTGCCAGCCTTTTGAAGCCAGTTAAATATTTCTGGTCGAGGCCATGCTGCGATGTCGATCTCTGCGGAGAGTTCTTTGGGAAGCATGCGAGGAACATTTTCAGTAAGCCCCCCACCAGTGATATGAGCCATGCCCTTGATCAAGTCGCGCTTCAAAACTTCTAGTAGTGAAACAACATAAATTCGTGTCGGAGTCAACAGAGACTTGCCCACTGTAGTATCCGAGTTCCAAGGCGCAGAACTTGAGAAACTAAGGCGGGATTTTTCAACAATCCTTCGAACCAAAGAAAACCCATTTGAATGAATACCGCTTGATGCAAGACCGAGGAGCACATCGCCTTCAACCATGCTGTGCAGGTCGGGCAGCAAACGCTTCCCTGCCGGGACGTCGAGAGCACCAATAGCGGCGCCTACAGCATCGTATTCAGTACCTGCCAACAGTCCAGGCATCTCAGCAGTTTCGCCACCAACCAGAGTACAATTAGCAATCTTGCAACCTTCGCAAACACCGCGAACAAAATCGCTGGCAATGTCCACATCCAAAATACTACATGTGTAGCAGTCAAGGAACATTAGTGGCTCTGCTCCCTGCACGACCAGATCATTGACGTTCATAGCAACCAAATCGATGCCGACCGTATCATGAACATTCATGGCATGCGCTATCTTCAATTTCGTACCAACGCCGTCAATGGCGCCAATCAACATCGGAGACTTCTCATTATAACCAGCTTGCACAAGGTTGAAACCTCCGCCAAACCCACCAATGATGGCGTCCGCTCCAGGTCGTGAAGTTGATTTGACGAACTTTTTGATTCGAGACACTAGGTCATTGCCTGCATCGATGGAAACGCCAGCAGAGGCGTAGGTCATTGCCGATTCCTCGGGTGCCTTCGCTTCTTCCTTTCTTTTGAAAGCCCGATGACCAATATCCTTTCGGAAATGCATACCTTCGAATTTGATCGTATCCATACCTTTGTAGGCTTTTGCAACTGCTTCTTCTAATGTCTCTGCAGTAGAAGTTGAGGCAATAACTCTTCCACCAGTGGAAAGTATGGTTTTGCCATCCTTGCCCGTTCCCGCGTGGAATACGAATGTGTCTTCGGGTGTCTTCTGTAGTGTTATTGGACGGTTCTTTGCGTATTTGCCAGGATACCCTTCAGCAGAAGCCACCACGGTTGCTGCGAACTTAGATTGAATCTTCAAGTCCACCCCATCGAGCCAGTGTTCAGTGCATGCAAGCATCACTTTTGCAAGATCGGTATCATCACTCAGGAGGGGCAGCAATGTCTGAATCTCCGGGTCTCCTCCTCGAACATTGTACTCCAAAACTTTTGGGCCGTTTTTGGTGATCATCAATCCAGTAAAGAGGAAGCCAACAAATGGCATGCCCTCCCTCCTCATGCCGTCAATCGTCGGCTGAACAATTTCTCGATCGACTTGAGCGATCAACTCTTTGGATGCGACTCTGGTAGGGGCATAACACCCCATGCCTCCGGTATTCGGACCTTGGTCTCCGTCGAGAGCCCGCTTGTGGTCTTGAGCAGGAGGTAATGATCTTATGGTGTAACCATCGCTAAACGTAAGCACGCTCAACTCTTCGCCTTCCAGAAATTCTTCAATCACCACTTGAGAACCCGCAGTGCCAAATTCTTTTGCCACCATGATCTGTTTCAAGGCGTCCTGTGCTTCCTTCTTGGTTGTGGGAATTATGACTCCTTTTCCGGCTGCCAAACCATCTGCTTTGATAACAACATCATGATCGACGGTGTCGAGGTACTGGGAAGCAGACTCGTATTCATTGAAATTGCGGAAGGCGGCTGTAGGAATTCCATGACGTTGCATGAAATCCTTTGAAAAAGCCTTCGAACCTTCCATCTGTGCAGCCTTTTTGCTTGGACCGAAGCAACGAATGCCGACTGCACGAAAAAACCCTTCAACACCAGCCACCAATGGCGCCTCGGGGCCCACAACAACGAGGTTCAAGCCATTTTTCTTCGCATGGGCCACTAGTTCTGTGAAGTCATCGACAGGGATTTTGACGTTGACAATATTGTCCGCATCAGTGCCGCCATTGCCGGGGGCAATATGAACAACATCAACTGATGGCGATTGTGCCAATTTCCACGCTAGGGCATGTTCTCGACCACCGGAGCCAATGACAAGTATTCGAAGACGTTCTGCCATCTTGCTTGCTAGTGTGTGTCCTGCGAGTTAGAAATGATCAGAGGCTATTCATGAAAAATTGGCAAAATTGCCCTGAAAAGAGCCAAGCAACTGCCACAGCTGGAGTTCTTGATCCGTGACTCGAGAAGGAGAGTCGCAAGACAAGATAGAGTGCTCACAATTCTCCCAGTGTTGACGGTTCTTGCCAGGCCTCGTGCTTGGCTAGGCTGAGTACCATATGCCAGAAAGGGAGGATGATAAGGATCACTGATTTCAACAACAGGCCATGTGGACTTACCGGTGCAAATGACACAAAAGTCCCCTTCAAGTTACTATGAGCCTTGGTCTGGTTAGCATAACAATCCTCCAGGAAATCAAAGCATTTTGGATTTGACTTTTCACTGGGGAAAAGAAAGTCGAACTTTTTGATGCCAAGGATTGAGAAATCTGCCAGCGTTCCACTCCTTTTCGGAATGCCAATGACGCCGCCCTATGCTGGAACATAGTCACGTGGTATGTACGGCGGACCACTCGGCTCTCGCCACAATTCAAGTTAGACAATCTCCATAAACAGGGCTATTAACTCAATTAGTTGATCTCTCCAAGCTGGCAGGGCACTGTTCATTTCCAGCACGAGGCGAAGAAGAGACAAAAAGTGCTCTAAGCACCTCACCCTCAATTAGGTATGCGCCATAGCCATTTGTGCACATGATCTTGAGGAGTACTCGATGTCACAATACCACATTTGCCCGCCCCGCAATAATTATAATGCAAGCGATGCTCGCGATGGTTCAAAACAGTGGCCCGTATCGTCCCGATGGAGAAGCGAGGCATCATGATTCGCTCCCGCAAGAAGCAGCTGCCTTTCTAACACGTCCCGTTGATCTTGGTTTGCCAGCGTACAACTTCTTCTAAGAGAACCATCGCAACTCGCGAGTAGCCATGTCCTGCCAAGGCACAATCGTGCCCTCTCCTTGGCCAAATTCGTGTGGGACGTTGCTAAGGTCGGCGAATGACTATGGGACGCCCTGGTGTTTCAAGAGTATAATAAGAGACATCACATCGATGGATCCCATGACGATGTAACATTGTGCGTCCACATCCATGATGCGTGCATTTTATTTACTGGCAGGACTCGCCATTTCACAGGTCCAGAGTATCTCACACAGTTACGAAATCAAGTTGCAGCTTCCCAGTCGGATGCCAGCATGGGCCGAGCAACTGTCACCAGGCCTTGCTGCCTTTAGCCTTGAGCTGGACCGCTGGACAGATTGGGCAGGTAAGGAGATAGGGCAGCCGAACGAGTACTTCAACCAACTACTGCTCAATCTCGGGGAAAGAACAGGACAGATGCCGTTTATAAGAGTTGGAGCCAATTCGGCAGACCGAGCCACTATCGATCTCGACGTCAAGGTCGTCAACGCAACATTCCCGCCTGCTAATCCGATATTTCCCAATCCCGAGGCGGATCATATCTTTATCGGACGCGACTTTTACGCCCTTTCGGGAAATTTGCCCACTGGGACCCCCTTTGTCTGGGGTCTTAACATGAAATTACTGAATTTAACTGAGACAACTGCCCAAGCTCGGCTCCTTGCCGAGTCATTCCATGGTGCCCGAGCAAATATAACTAGTCATGTAAAGCTTGCCAATATCGAGATTGGAAATGAGCCTGATTTCTGGGGCCCAACTCGAACTCCCGTCAGAGGAACCTTGGGGCCGAGCTGGGACGTTGTCAACTACACAAACACGTGGTTGAAATTCGCTAACACTGTCAGCAACGTGCTCGACCTCAACTGTTCAGACCCCTCTAGTCCAAGACTGATGCCCGGGTCTTTTACTACAAGGGAAGCACCGGAATGGATTCCGGAAGGCATGCTACAGGCCGGCCTGTTAAATAACCCCAACCTCAGCTGCGAAATATCTCATGTCTCTGGGCATTCATATTCGGGAGCTTTCGATCCAAGAATCATCGTCAGACCTGGGCAACTGATGGACAAGATTTCTATCCGTACCAATATGTCGACAAGGACTATCGGGCGTATCGCGGTCCGTGCCTCTGGCTTAAAATATCTACTGGTATGCCTGTCATTGAATCAATATCTCGCAGCCTGCGGACTAATGCAACTTTAGGGCGAGACAAACTCATATGCTCTGTAAGTTATGAAACTAACAAAGCACATAGTGACAGACCTAATCAATGCCTAGTCACGGACAGCCAGGTCTTAGCAACACGGTTGAGAGTGCCCTGTGGACGACCGACTGGCTGCTTTTGGCGGCATCGTATGGTATTGAGAGAGTACATCTACACCAAGGCGTGGGCTTCCGATATAATGCTATCCAGCCAACCAGTAATGCCGATGACGGGCTCAACATCACCCAGCCGCACATATTACCCTCTTATTACGCCCTTTTGGTTGTCAATGAGGCAATCGGAACTTCTGGAACTGCTTTCATTGCCGAAATACCAACTACTAATTTGACCCTTACCGCCTATGGAATTTGGGAGGAACAGCGGCTTGCGCGTCTCGTGGTGCTAAACACGCAGATATACCTTGGGACCGGCAACAAGCCCAGCATCAATGTAACATTAGATGGCCTGTATGCAGGTGGTGCACTGACCATGAAGCTGCTGCAGACGGAGAAGACGACTGCCTACACAGGCCTGTGAGTGGCATGAATAATCACGCTGCCTTAGAAGAGATACTGACATCAACAGGACTTGGGCGGGCCAGAACTTCGAGACAGCTTCCGGTAGACCAGAAGGAAAGGTCGTGGAGGAGCAAGTCGAAGAAGGCTCATTCAATCTCCCAGCCTCGTCCATCGCATTGCTTACATTGGAGGACTGAAAAAGGCCCCATGGAGGAACAATGTTAGGACAACTCAACTCTCACCTCATAAATTCCGCTACTAACGTGGCGCCCATTGATCCTACATCAAAGCCAGCGCCGCAATAGAGTACATTGCTGCCAACAACCCATTCCAGGTCTCTTGCATCATGAATGTAATTAAACAGAATGTAAGGGAAAGAGGCGAATGTCAGTATATACGCTACATTACCCTCTCTACGTCGTTTCTCTGCCCATGTCGATCTTAGACTCCCTATAGGATTCATGTGCTGCAAGCAGAGCGGGACATGCATGATGACTTCTCAAGTTGGGCTGCCAATACTGACATCTTCGCCCTCTAGTCTGGAGAACAATCAGATAACGACAAACATTTAGCCGCCAAGGTGTCGATCGCTGCCCTGGTTTATAGTGGAGCTCAGAAGATCCTTTGAGCGCTTTGCCTGGTCAGAAGAGAGTACGGTCTTAGAAATGTCCCTACACTACTCCTTACATCTCTCGAAAAAGCGTCATACGGGGAAAGGCAAGCAGCAGGTCCAGGAGAAATCAATCAAATCCGACAACATCAAAGTTTGAGAAATCTGCGCAATTCACACTGGCTAGGAAGGATACGATGCTGCTCTGTGCTTCCTTGAGATTTCTATCGGCCAACTGATCATCACAGATGAAACCCATCTGACCACCTGGATCCCGGATGTGCGTCTGTCAAATACCGTCCATACTAGTTAGTACCAGCCCCACAGTGGAGGACTGTCCGATTCTTTACCTCAATAAACTTCCTCTTGTTGTAACATTTCGTACTACCCACTCGTTTATCTAGTCCAGACATAGAGTCAACTTTATTAACTCTAACATGCCGCTGCTCTTCCTTTCTGGTTAGATCATCAGGATAAGTTCGACTTAAGCACTTATTCACAGTACGGATGTAGTCGACTCGCCGCGCCCAACTCGACCCCAGAATGTCGTTCACCGGACCTCGGGAAGCCAACTCCACACAATCAGGGGTACCCCACATGTAGCTCACAGCGTAGAATGGTGAGAGCAGACGCTAGATTAATCCACCTCGCACCCGTTCTTTTGGGTCCCTGTTTCCCACAGCTTTTCATCATCCGCGGTCCGTCCCAGACTGTTGTAGCTACACCACGAGAATTTATGATCTCCAGCAAGATGATAGGGTCTGTCACCAATTACCACTATAAAACCCCTCGTCGCCAAAATCGGAGTTGTGATCATTGCCGACGTTACAAGCGAGCCTGCGATGCTGCTCTCTCTCAATGGACGGGTTGTTCGAATTGCTTGAGGCTGGGCAAAACGTGCACCTTTGAGAGCATCAATGGACACAATCCATCTACTAAGAAAACGAACGCCCCGCCCAAGCATCATGCCACTTTCAAAGAATCTAGCATCGAGCCCACAACCAGAACGCTCAGTGCTGGAAGATCCAGAAAGCGCACTACATCTTCACAAGCACATACGGATCAGCACTACTCGAAGAATGAGACGGCCGCTCCAGGTCTTCCTCTTACTTCTTATTTTGATCGAATTAACAGTATTGAAGGCCTCCATTGCCAAACCTTGACAAGACATGACCAGGTCGAATTCTACCCGAACGCCCCTGTACCTGATTTTGTCGATACAGCGACATGGGATTACGCGCAAGACGGGGTCTTGCAGGTTCATTTAGATGAAGAAAGATCCAGTTCTCTGGATGCGGCCGACTCTCTCTACTATGATCTTAGTACTGGGGCCGCACTTGAAACCCCAGCATTCAGCTTTGAGGATCAGATCCTGGGTGGGGATACCAATGTGCCGGACATAAGAGCATCGACACAGGACGTACCTCGTTTCGCTCTACCAGGCCATTATCTGGCAGAACAAACCAACAAAGCCCTGATCTCGACAAGCTTGAAGCATATCTATTCTGACACTTTGGAAAATGCATTGTTGTGCTGGGTAACGGAACAAAGCTGCCCCTACAATAATGAAGGAATTTTGGCAAGTCGGCCGCGGAAGCTGTTATTTGCCAGGACGAAAACAGTCAGTAAACATGGCATGGTTCGTCGAATTCAGAGACTAGACCGTGCGTCTTGTGTCTTGACTGAACGTCCTCTAACACCAAGAGAGATTCGGCTTGCATCCCGTGCTCTAAATACGGTAATAATGGCATTCGCATCCCAGTGGTCCCAGCTTGAGGGTGCTAAGTCATCAAACTTGTTCAATGGACATACCGGAGGACTTGGTCAACGACATTTCCAAGAGTTTGAAGAATTGATTAGTGCTTCATTATTCGATTTTGCTGAAACCAAACTGGCGAGTTTCGATCGATCACTCCAAGTGACGCTGTGGAATGAGGCCTACCAGGCGTTGCAACAAGCCATGGGTATAGATTCATTCCAGGTTGCATTCGCACAGGTAATTTTTGGTTTCACGCAACGGCCGTTATCGTCCGAAGACTTCCAACGCGTCAAGAATTATGGACAAGAAACCAACGACTATTTCGGATCAAAGACTTGTCAACCAACAGGATCTGGCGGAGGGGTCCCGTGGAGTGACGATGGGCACACCGAACGATCTGTATCAGCCTGCACTGAGAACGCGCCAGAGTTCTCCGAGACCCAGGAACTGCTAGACTTGGACAAGGACCCCCTTCACCTGCGCGACTCTCTCATGCGACTCTCTGCTAAACGGGTAAAACTCAGTACAATAAGGCCTCAGTCTACTAGAACGCCGATATTAACTGAAAAGAATTCTCCGGACGAAAATGAGTTTCTTGCAGATCGAATGACTTTTAACCAGTTATTCTGGCTGGTGATGATGTGCGACACACTATCTGCAGCGATCAATAATCGTTTGCCAATTGTATCAGATGAAGATTCGATAATTCTGTCCGAAGATAGAAAGATGCACCGGACTCAAGGCTCATTCCATCCTCAAAACGGTGCTATACCTAGTGCAAGATCATCGAACTCGATTCCACAAGCCCGGGATGATACCGAGTCAGATGTGGAAGACAACCCTTGGGGAATGTATTTTCTTGGGAGGCACTCCGAGGCAAATGCAGTGGGTGCCATGCAGTGGCCTTTCTCGAAAGAATCGGCAAGTGTACTACTCTCAGAGGCTGCACCCGTCAAGGCTCTTCTGTATCGAAAGGTTAAGCAATTACAGAATGCACAATTCCGTCGTGCATCGGCGATGAAGCTTGAACAGCTAATCCAAGGTGCGCTCAAGGTTTATGAATACTGGAACCAAAACTATGGCAAGTTCATCACCACGTGTATACAGCATCATGATGAGCTGCCACCGCAAATTCAGTCATGGTATTCCGTGCTGACAAGCCACTGGAACCTAGCATGCTACCTACTGTCCGACCTCATTGAGGAAGTCGACCAAGCTGGAGAGACAGATAAACGCCATTCGGCGATACGGAAGTCATGTTCTCTTTTGTTCCATATCAAGCGGCAAAGCGCTTTCGAAATGGGAGATCTAGGTCGAGTTGGCCGAGTGAGGCAAGACTGCAGCTTCAGCCAGATGAACGACTTCCATCCGACCGTGAATGATGGCGCGCTTCTCACAGAGCCATGGACGGAGATCATGATTCGCTCCTTCGCCAGAGTTTCGGTGCAATTCTTGACCTGGCTTAGTGAGATTGACCACCCATTAAACACTTCTTCGCATATGTGGGCTCCTGGAGATCAAGACCGCATTTACGCGAGCTTAGGCGATTGTGTCGAAGCTCTCCTTGACCTGGGTAGGAAATCAGACATGGCGTTCTTACTGGCGATCTCTTTGAAACGCAGAATGGTTCGATTTTCGCCAGATTAATGGTTTGCTTTAGTTCTACAGTTTTGCAACAGATGGATTTTGTCAATGTCAGGCCTTGATTTTTAGAGCATACGTCCTTCTATCAGCACTAATAGCCATGCAAAGTCAATGCCTGAGTCTTGTTCACTCCCTAAGTTGAATGTAGTTGCTGAGACTCCTCGAGATCCCTTGTGTCCAGACATCATAACCTCGACGCTCATCGAGCAGCAAATCTATACTAATTTCCCCCACTTTCGAGGTTCGCATTGATGGTTGCCTCCATTGTTGCCCACAGTCCCAACACTTTAGGGTCGCCGAAAGGGAGGATCTGTGTTGCGATCATTCCTCCAACACCCCTATTGCGATCAGCCCACCAGAACAGGTTGGGTAGGCCGGCCCACCATGCCGTACCTTTGCTGTGCACTGCACTGTCCCTCAGGTGTAGGAAGAATGTAAGACCCCACCCTTGGGGAATATCATGCGCCTCTGGGTATAGTTCAGGCAGCGCATTTGAGTACTCTGGCTTGGGTGGTAGAATACCTTGTCTTGCGAAATTTGGGAACTCTGGGATTTGGTTTGTAAACATGGCCTCTACGGTTTCTTTTTTGAGCAGTCTTGTGTTTGTCGGGGCGTGGACGCCATCATTCAATAGCACGCTGATGACCTGAGCGTATTGATTAGGGCGCGCAAAGCAACCTGCTCCTCCCTGTTGAAATATGGCGTCCTTTTCGACCTGTGTTGTGGCAGCGAGGGGGGCGTGGTTGAGGTGGCCGTCGATGGCGAGCTTAAGATCTCCTGTGTGTAGGTCGCGAGAGTGCATATATGCAATCTTCTTCATCATGTCCGCGGTGGGAAACATGTTGATGTGCGTGATTCCTATTGGTTCAAAGATGTACTTTTGGAAATAATCATTGAGGCACATTCCAGAGACTCGTTCGACACATATACCTGCCCAATCGATGTTGATTCCATACTCCCACACCTCACCAGGCTGATTGACGAGAGGCTGGGATAGATAATCGTGCTTTAGTCCAGAAAACTCGTTCAATCCTACGGCGCCATAAAAATCGTTCAGGCGCTTGTCGAAAAAAGAATAACCAAAACCGGCTATCGTTATTGCTTAGTCAAGATCATAGAAACAACAAAGTGGGAACATACTCACCCGTGTGAGAGAGAAGCATGCGTAAAGTGATACCTCGCTTCTTAGGGATCAATTCTTTGCCTTGAATGACCTTTACTTCCTTGAGCTCCTATTTTGACACAACAAAAGGCATGATAGTCAGTATGAATTGTAGAAAACTATTCGGGAAAAGCCATGAACCTCATAGAGGGATATTCCCAGGAATTCCAACACAAGACCATGAAACTTACAGGACAGAGCTTTTCCATGAGTTCAACATCGTCCAGAGTCAAGAGACCTTGCTCAACAAGCTGCATACAAGCAATTCCCGTGATCATCTTGGTGCAACTAGCAATCCAAAATGAGTGCTCGGTAGTCATTGGGACATCTATGCCCAATCCAGAGGTCCCCGAAGCATGTTCAAAGATTGCTTCACCTTGCTTATTGACTGCCACAAAGACGACACCTGCAGCATTTCTCACAGGATCACGGGTCGTGTCATTCATAAGGCTTCGCAAAGCCGAAACTCCGGCTGATGTTATCTTCGTCATTGTTTAAACGGGAGTGCTAGCTAAGTGTAAATGTTTGATGAGATCTCCAAGCTCTGATATTAGTATGAGCCCTGATACTAGTATAATAGTCTTAGGGATGCATGCGAATATGTTCTCTTGTTGCCACGCTTTCTTTATCTTCTATATCATATTCAAGGTTCCAGTCCCCCACCAACCCCTAATGCTACGAAGGCTGAGAGGTATCCTCTCTGTCCTTTAGCACTCCTTGAAATGGCCCGCTCAAATGCAGCAGCGACTCGGGGTGCCCCTCTTTGGCCTTGAATGTCAACACGATCCGCCTCTCGGAGGGCATGTGCGGGAAGATCTGGGGCTCCCGGAGGAGGCACTGTGCTGCTGTCCACAACTCCGCCTTTCGACCGTTGCAATGGCTAAATCGATCCACTAAGTCTTGAAGCAAAGCTTCAAAAACGATTCCTGTGCACGAATTGTGTTCTGGAGTGATCTAGCTCAGGGTAGAGGACCCTTTAACCATTCTATCTGCGGAGCCAACTTGGATACGAGGCGGCTCCGCTCTTGGCAAGAGGAGCCGCTACCAACCCTTTCCTGGAACGGAATGGTAAACCATGGGGTGAATCTAAAGTCAGCGTCGAATGACCCAAGTACCCATAGATGCAGAGGAATGTGCCCAGGTGATCCTCTCTTATCGGTTTAGTAATAATACATTCTTTACTGTACGTGTAATTTCAGCTCTCGGATGGCGTTTGATTCGTCCGACGACTTGAAATGTGACTTCTTTGTGGCGCATGGCTTGCGACGATGACAACCACCGAGACTTGGCCACACTCACGAAGCAGAGTAACAAAGATCCTGCTCTACGAAGTTCTGTTCTTTTTTGGTATTCGAATCTTGCGACTAGATAAAAGTGGGTGAAGAATCATGCTGCTTTGCTTCAACGACTGGGGCTCTCGAGGCCGGGAAGAGGTGTATCTGCAATTTGGACCTGTACATTTCCAACTGCTGTGGGAACCCACGAAACATAGAGTGCGAAACACCTGAGAGTTCGCTGGGCTGTCTTTGAGGATTAAGTGTGCTAATAACAAAGATTTGCTAACATGAGCTGCGTTCTATCACAATTGCAATTTGACGACAGTAACCATCTTTTCCAAGACAATGCATAACAATTATTCAGATACCTATATCTCTCTCCGCAACCATTCTTTCCAGTAACATAACACTCTTCTCAAGGTCTGACAACCTCGAATCCCTTAAATCCCGTCAGGTAGCCCCTGATCTCCGCCCCATAGGTGCCCAATCCTGCCGGATAACACACGAATTCTCGAGCCTTCCCAGGGATACTACCTCCCATGTACGTACTGCGTTTGGCTTTGGGAAAGAGCGTTTGTTCAGCCAAACCTGCGATCCTTGCCTTCCACTGCTCGCTCGCTGTGTCGGTGGGATTGACGAATTTGATGCCCTGTCGCGTGATCATATTGATAGCATCACGTATCCATCGACCTTGAACTTCGACGCACGAAGGCCCATTGCAAAGAAGCGTTGGAGCATGAGCTGCGTAGACATGGAACAAGTTGGGATAACCTGCGATGGTAACACCAAGGTATGTGTTGATGCCGTTCTTCCACTCATCGTCAAGGTATGTATCATTGATGGATTTTAAGCCCATTTGAGTGAGACCTCCAGTCACGACGTCGAATCCTGTGGCCAGCGCCACAACATCAACCTCATACTCTTTGCCATCCGTGGTTTTAATCCCCTTCTCGGTAAATTCCACGATCTCATTGCCCGAAGCATCACTAATGTCGACAATCGTGACGTTCTTCTGGTCTAAAACCTCGAAGTAGTTCTGTTCTAGACAGGGGCGTTTGACACCCCACGGATGAGGAGGTTCAAGTGGACAAAGTAGATCTCTCTTGATCGGGTCGGTCACACGCGCTCGTTGTTTCTTAAGCCAGAAGTTATAGGTCTCTCGGTTGGCCTTCTCGTCAAAGAGGTAGTCCTTGTAATTGGCAAGCCACAGATGGAACCCTCCAACTTGCCACAGATCTTCGTAGAAGGCCTCTCGCTCCTCGGGAGTATCATCAAACGTATTGCGCTCGCAAAGGTCATAGTGAAACCCCGCAAAACAACGGTCTCGGAACTCATGGATGGTCGGATAAATTGATTTCAAAGAATCCTGTTCTTCCTTTGTCAGGGATCTCTTTCCCATCGGAATTGCGAGATTCGGAGTTCTTTGGAAAGAATACATTTCCTTCACTTCCGGGCCCCATTCCTGGGCGACCTGAACACCCGATGCTCCAGATCCAATGACTGCGACCTTTTTGTCCTTAACATCGACTCCTTCGTTGGGCCAGAAAGAGGTGTGATGGATGATACCCTTATAATTCTCAATGCCTTTGAATGGAGGCACATAGCGCTTGGCTGCGAAACCGGTAGCGGCAATGAGAAACCGAGCTTTTGCCTTCCGGCCATCAGATGTACTGACAGTCCACCTTCCCGACTCAATGTCAAATGTTGCTCCAACGACCACAGTCTGGAAAGACACATCTTTAGAGAGGTCCAGCACCTTATCAGCATGGGCAAAATATGCTTGTAGTTCTTTCCAGTCTGGATAGTTGGTGCTCCAGTGCCAGTCCTTGTAGACCTCGGGAATAGGAAGTTCGTATATGGGAACTTCACTGTCTACCCTCGCCCCAGCTTGGAAAGGTCAGCATCGTGCATACTTGGAAAGAGTCTGGGGAGTCGAACGATAGATATTCCATCTCCAAGTTCCTCCGAATGATGTACCAGCATCGTACACCACAGTTTTGTAACCGGCTTTACGAAGTTCGTACAGTAGGTACGTGCCACCTGCAGCACTAGTCAGTACATATCTTTATTGTGCAACTGGGGATGGTGAGCTTCACCAAAGCCGGCTCCAACAATCAAGACATCCACGTCCAAGTTGTCAGCATAAGGCCCTTCACTATTGCGACGATGGGCGAACTGGGTCAGATTGGTTTTAAGAGTACTATTTGCGGGGACCTTTTGTTGTTCCATTTCTGCTGTGTTATTACTCTGCACTTATCTGTTCCTTGAGGGAATTTTTCTGGCTGTTGAAGATACGCGAAGTGGCATCTTTTGTATCGCATCGAGCGATAGCTCCAAGCATTTATTTCCTTGACAACTTATCTGCTGGAAATATGCGTGGCATCAAAGCAGATTGAGAGAGAGAGCTGTGCCGGTCCGAATGTTGAAAATCTCCAGCCAACCCGCTTTGCGGAGAAGTCTGGAGTACTGTACTTGGGTGCGGAGCCGCCGGAATATACTTACTTTGATAGTAGTTCAGCATGCTTTAAGCAATCCGGACACCAGGAATAGTCATCTTGAAATCTTGAACTCGATTCATCAACTCGCCAGGAGCCTCGCGAAGACTCCGCATATGTCCCAACGCGGAACTTCACTCTTAGATTTCCGGCAGTCCGGGAAACTGCTTTCAATGAGCCTCAACGCGCCAACTTCGTATACTATCTGGGAACAAGACCATTGAAGTGACGAAGGAGACGTAGAGAGTCCCGGATTTAGTGACCTAGCGGTCTCGGTTCGTGGGAGTTGGTTAAACGGAGCTGCTCGATTACTTTGTGTAAACATCCTGGTTTCAGGTCTCATCGACCAATCCTGTGGTCGTTCTTCTTGTGTTGCGTTGTGATGACAGTCTACTCACATACAGCGATGATGAAGGCATGACCTCGTGGCCTTCATTGAGCATGTACAATTCATAGTGGCTGAGGAGCATCTAATTTGTGATCTGGAGATGATCCTCCGTAGTAATCCTCAATATTACGAAGGTATCACCAGTTTGCACCGTCACTTCTACCTGCGGATTTCGTGTAGTCACTGGAGCTTTAGAGTTGTCCTAGCGATTGTTGTGCCAAACAGCTATGAAATTAAATTTGCAGACAATCAATTTTACATGCAAAGCTAGCAGTAGATAGGGAGATTGGGCTTACACCTCCCCGCCTCTTTCGTTAATCCCTCATCCTGTTGCGGATTGATATCCACCTGTTGGCGGAATGCAAATTCCTCGCAAATAACATCTGTGCATAGTATGACTGGTTCAACCTCCAAGTCAAAGAATCCCCGTATTTCTGGCAACAACATTCTCCCAAAAGTGTCAAAAGTGAGAGAAACTTCCAAAGTGTATCTCCTTGACAACAACCCTAGTTTGTATGATGGCTCCTGAATGAAAGATGGGACATTCAAGTCGAGTTCAGCCATCGCAACGTAACAACGAGACGATGCCAATCTTGCTTCGGGCCGGAAGTAAACACCATGACGCTCGACTGTTTTAATCGGGGCTGGATTGAATACAAGCTGCTCATCTTCAAGCTCCGTGGTCGGTTGAGCCTTCGTCGTTGAAAAAGAGACTTTCGCTCTCCACGTGCACTTGACATAGCATTTTAAAGACTGCCTGGGGTCCCAAGGCGTAGGATCTTCAGCTGGACGTAGCAAATTCAATGTAAGGCCAAATGAAAGTGGCCCGCATGAAGCGGTATTTGTTTTGATGCGGGCTATTGGATGCGACTGAATCTGTTGAAGAAGCAATGATAGCTTCACTGTGTGCTCATGGCGTACCCTTGAAAACCAACCGTCCCCTACGTTGGAGGAATAGTGGAAAGGCCTCTCGATAAAGGCTCGAAGCCTACCATAGAATTTTGGAACTTCGACGTGCTTTGTGAGGCATCCGATTTGTTTGCCCGTGGAAAGAAATTCTGCTTCAATCCAATACGAGACTTCACACAGTCCCTCGACACTTTTTTGGTTGTTGCAATATCCACTATTTCGAGCTTTGTAGGCATGGCCTCTAATGACTTCTGATCGTGGAAGATTTCTGTTCGCGTCGAATAATCTTAAAGCACCGATAGGTAGGTAAAAATGGAAATCCACGGTGGTATTGCCAGTGATAGGATCGTTTTGGAATTCAGCGAGTGATTTGATATCAGTCAGCGTGATGAGATCTTCGATAGACGACTCATCCTGATGGGAAACAAAAATAATACCTGTAAAGAATAGTCAGAATGTGTCACAACACTTCATATCGGTAGACAATTTCTCACCTCTGAATTTGAGGTATAAAGTGTCAAACGAGTTATCTTCGAAGGAACGTGCTGATACCACAACTCGACCACTGACTCCAGTATTCTCCTTACTCTCTTTTTTGCCGAGCTGTCCTGCAATCGATATTGCTTGAGAAGTTCTTATCTCTATATTAGCATACATTATTCATATAGTGACCTTGCCATGGATCTCATTTCACACCTGTTCAACCCACACCTACGATGTGTACCCTTGTGTCTACGAGTGATATATCAAATGTTGCTTGAGCTGAGCTGTCTACAAACGTAAACATCAGCACCTCCTTTCTGACTCTCACAGAGTACATAGAAGAGTATACACTGGAACTGCCGCGATGTACAGCGGAGCCGCCCCCTAGTGTCAATCGCTCGAAGAGGGTCAAATAACAGTAGGTAAGTCTTCGAACTTTCGCTCGTCCGTTACTTACAAGCGTCAACTACCTCGTTGCCATTCAGTAACTTAAGTTTTTGCTCCATATAGTCAGAAAGTAAACTTTGAATAAGTTGAGTACGTTCATTCCGCATGCGCGTATGGAGTACCAATACCTGCTCCGGATCACCGAAGCAAACAGAGTGCAAAGCCCTACACAAGGGTGGGAGGGTGGAGAGCCCAGTGCAGATCCCCCAGGCAATCCATATCAATACAGGAGGGGCTTCTGCTCCTACAGCACCATCCCTCCGTGCCGGGTCAAAATTGACAGCTCGAAATTGACAATCACAATCTCAGTTGAGTTCCTCCAAAGCTCCTAGCGTCCTGTCCTATTCCTTTCCCGCTGGAGTATTGGCCTTCGGCGATGCTAAGATTGCTCGGAAGTCAAGGACAATAGGTTTCAAGGGAGTCTATGTCAAACTGTATATAAGTGGCTTCAAAACACGAATTAAATCCTTTGCTTTCTACCATACGTGAGGACAGATTTCTCACATCACATCATTCCGCTCTGTCCATTGTTTACCACTTCAATCATTAATACTCATCCCTTGCACTTGCTGCGAAGAATTCAGCAATGGCTACCAATGGACACAGATTGTCTTCAGACATAGAAATGGGAGAGCAGGCCAAGAATGACCATCAACAGCCTGCCACGCTTTCTTCTGAACACATTGAGGTTGAGACAAATCCAATTGCCGGGGTCCAAGCTGCGCTGGGAAATCCGATGCCCATGTATGATATTCCTCTTGCCTCCAGCACTGTTGTGAGAGACACATGCTGACATTGCACCATTTCAGGGCGTTGCTCGGCTTTCTCATGTCGCTCACTCCCGTAACAAACGCTCTGATGGGATGGCGAGGTGCTGGTGGTCTTGGAGCGGCCGAAATGCAAGTCTTTTTTCCTCCACAATTTGGAAATGAAAGATGAGACTTACCATATAGCAGTGGCGTCTTCTATTTTTTCGGTGGCCTCTTGATGATTATTGCATCCTTCCTGGAGTTTTTCCTTGGCCACACATTCCAATTTGCGGTGTTCGGGTCATTTGGAGCCTTTTGGTTGTCGTTCGGGGCCACCTTAACGCCATACTATAGTGCGGCGGGGGCGTATCAGCCTGATTCACCAACTACAGCATTCGCAAATCCGACCTTCAATGCCACGTTCGCCTACTTCCCATTGTATATGGCTTTGCTGTGCTTCATATATTTCATCGCCTCCCTCAAAACCAACTTAGTGCTCATGTTAACTTTCCTGCTGCTCGTTCCCATGTTGGGGTGCCTGTCAGGAGTGTTCTTCAAAGCCGCCGAGGGCATCACAGCGACAAACCTTATGACGGCGGCAGGCGCCTGTGGCTTCGTCGTCTGCATTTTATGCTGGTATCTACTCACTGTGCAGATCTTGGCTTCTGTTGCATTCCCTCTAAATCTACCGGTCGGGAATCTGGATTGGCTTGTGAAGCGGATGAAATCCAAGCGGTCTTGAAAAGCATGTCCACTTCGCGAGGAAGCCGCGGACGGAAGACAAAATTGCGGAAGGCCGATTGATCTTGGAAGTGGATTTGTAGAGGTGTGATTGCGCAAGGATCAGGGACAGCTTGTTAGGAGAGATTGGGAAACAGGAGCCGGGAACAAGACAAGAGTTCCAACAATATTAGTCGTCTCTGGAAAATATCCTGATGGAGAAAATCACGCAAGTAGCGGAAATGAGTGTCGTGTGCACCTCTTGGTATGGCAAGTCTCCTATTGACGTAGGTAGCTTATACACATCTACCTAAGTACCATTCGTACCTCCTGTGATTAAGATGGTCTCCGAGAACTCGCCGCTGATAGAGTCTTCGATGACTTGAATCCCATTCACCTCTTTCAGGTGAGCTTTATCCTCATTAATGACATATTCGTCAGTGTCAGCATTGTGCCATATTTTCGGGATGGGCGACGACAAGGCCTTTGCTTGAGAGAAGGTGGTCTGCACCAAAAAGAGAAGACTACGAGGTCGGATTGTGGTAAACATAACCTCGTGCCAAGACGGCAGGTTTGCCGACTCATAAAAACTTTTGGCGGAGGACGATATTGAAGTTGCTGATTGGTCGAACAGACCATTCCCACCATTGTTGAGTCAAGATAGTAGAGCGCTGGTTTGAATATCCCCCCAAGAGACCAGCTACTGGCACGAGGTTCGCAACTGATCGAAGTACATTGGATTTTATACATCATTCCTTCGCCAGACAGCCACAACAAACTAACCATAAGTCGGTGGTCGGCTCTGGATATTTTATCTTCCCATTTTCCCCAGTGTCCTCGATCTCGCACCCCACTACCACAACGCCCTGGGAGGGCAATACTAAGCTCACAATGCATTTGATAAGTCAGTCCTCTTATAGCATTGAACTCAATTATATCCTCGAAGCTAACCTGGACCAGGGGTGCCATGCTCCTCCGCCAACATCGGTAAGTCGCGACATTGTCAATCCCAGCATAAAAGTTCATTAATCCTCACATTCTTTCTTCTCCCCGGTCCAGGCCCTGGCTTTGATGTGATCGGCCTGGCACTATCAATGCACCTGGAACTGAGAGTGAGCATCGACCGTAACGCTCCATCAACACCTGACAACCCACTGAACTGCACGGTAAGCTACTCAGGCGTCGGGGCGGATAGCATCGACCTGAACCCGGAGAACAACCTCTTGACCCGGACGGCGCTATATGTCCTCCGGTGCCACAATCAGCACCACTTCCCAGGCCAGACGTCGGTGCACATCAGCAACCCGATTCCACTGGGTCGAGGATTGGGCTCGTCCGGCGCCGCCGTCGTCGCAGGTGTTCTGCTCGGCAACGTCGTGGGAGACCTCAACCTCTCAAAACCGAGACTCCTCGACTTCGCGCTGATGGTTGAGCGGCACCCAGATAACGTCGCCGCGGCGTTGTACGGCGGCTTCGTCGGCACGTACCTCAACGAGCTCGATCCGCAGGACATGGCACGCAAGGAGGTCCCGCTCTCAGAAGTGCTCCCAGAACCCGCTGGAGGCATCGACACCGGACTGACGCCGCCCATCCCGCCCGAGAACATCGGCCACTATCGCCGTTTCAACTGGGCCAAGGAAATCAAAGCCTTGGCCATCATCCCGGATTTCGAGGTCAGCACAGCGAAGGCCCGGGAGGTGCTGCCCAAATCCTACTCGAGACAAGACATGGTAAGTCGAAAACTCCCCCCACCCTCCGCTTGATTGACAGAAGGAACAATGCTCAATAAAAAAAATTCGCTTCCACATATAGATCTTCAACCTCCAGCGCCTCGCTCTTCTCACCACAGTTCTCTCCGACAGCCCTCCGGACCCAGAATTGATTTACTCAGCCATGCAAGACAAGATCCACCAACCCTACCGGGCAACTCTCATTCCCGCACTACCGGCGATATTATCTTCAATGTCGCCGAAAACGCACAAGGGGTTGTTGGGGATATGTCTCTCTGGTGCGGGACCAACAATACTGGCGCTTGCGACCGAGAATTTTGAGGCGATTGCTGATGTCATCATGGCGAGATTCAAGGATGAAGGCATTTCGTGCCAGTGGAAGATCCTGGAGCCTGCGGAAGATGGTGCGACACTACAAGAAGTCCCCGGTGATGTTGAAACATACCGTATAGAAATTGGTAGCAAATGAGTGAAAGGTTTCTAACGTCGAGGGCCAAAACATCAGAAGTCGTGTGCAAATCCTGGGTCCAAGTAGCAGTGCTACACAGACACGGCCATTTCTACAACGCATATTAAAAGGTAGAAGTACGAGATTACTCGAAGAGAACCGCTAGCATTGCATTCTAGACAATATGAGAATGTTGCTACTCATTGAAACTGCTAATATCGAATACATGCTCCAATGACTCTGACCCCGCTTGAGTTATCAGTTGCGGTTCTCATTTGTGCTAGTTCACCACGACTTTTGAAACCTTGCACTGCGTTGCACACGCTTCTAATCTCCACCGATCATTTGTCTCGTCGTGATCTTGACTTCGTTCATTGCTGGTTCTAGAAAATTGCTGCGTTGGAGGTGGAAACTCAAGTATTCCAGAATACATGAGAGGTGTTTAGAAGCACTTGCGATGGACGATGGAAGGACCGCTCTCATCGTATTCTTGCTTGGAGATCCACATCTGCTGGAAGGTCGAGAGGGATGCCAAGATGGAACCACCGATCCAGACGGAGTACTTTCGCTCGGGGGGTGCAATAATCTTGACCTTCATGGATGAAGGTGCAAGAGCAGTAATTTCCTTCTGCATGCGGTCGGAAATACCTGGGTACATGGTGGTACCGCCGGACTTGAGCCCAATTAGCTTGCGTACCTTAATTTTGAGAAACGAAAAAAAACTTACCATGACAATGTTGCCATACAAATCCTTTCGCACATCAACATCACACTTCATGATGGAGTTGAAGGTTGTGACATGGATACCGCCGGATTCGAGACCGAGCACGCTGGGTTGGAAAAGAGCTTCAGGAGCACGGAAACGCTCGTTGCCAATAGCGATGACCTGTCCGTCAGGAAGTTCGTAGGACTTCTCCAAGCTGGAGCTCTGGGCGGCGGTCTGGATCTCCTGTTCGAAATCGAGAGCGACGTAGCAGAGTTTCTCCTTGATGTCTCGGACAATTTCTCGTTCGGCAGTGGTGGAGAAGGGGTAGCCGCGCTCAGCCAAGATCTTCATTAGGTAGTCGGTCAAATCACGACCAGCCATGTCGACACGAGAGATGGCATGAGGGAGCGAGAAACCTTCGTAGATGGGGACAACGTGAGTGACACCATCACCGGAGTCAAGCACGATACCAGTGGTACGACCAGAGGCGTAGAGTGAGAGCACAGCTTGGATGGAGACGTAGAAAGCGGGTGCGTTGAATGTCTCGAAGACAATCTGTGTCATCTTCTCTCTGTTGGACTTGGGGTTGATGGGGGCCTCAGTCAGGAGAACTGGGTGTTCTTCTGGTGCGACACGGAGTTCGTTGTAGAAGGTATGATGCCAGATCTTTTCCATGTCATCCCAGTTGGTGACCACACCGTGCTCGATGGGGTATCTGAGGGTCAAGATACCACGCTTGGACTGAGCCTCATCACCGACATATGAGTCTTTTTGGCCCATACCAATCATGATACCATGGTGGCGAGGTCGGCCGACAATGGATGCTGATCGAGTGTCAATTGGTGCCCGGATAGGATGATATCGCTTCAATGCGGGGCAAGAACTTACGGAAAACTGCTCGTGGCGCATCATCACCAGCAAAGCCAGCTTTGCACATACCAGAGCTGTTGAAGTCATTGTCAGTATCAGATCAGTGTCATTTATATGTTCCTGCCCTTCCGATCGACCCGTAGGCACTATCCAAGGGGTGATTGAGGCGTAGGAGATGAGGGGGTGCAGGCAATACGAGGGTCATGCCCTCGCACCGGCGGCATGCGCTTACCCATTGTCAATGACGAGAGCGGCAACTTCTTCTGTAGAGCGAGAACCATATCAGTATATGTCCTTTCGAACAGGAGGGATGATCCACAAGCAATTGAGCTTGTGTAGAGTCCAGCTTACCTTCCATGGTGAGGGATTGTTTGGAGAATTAAGAAGAGGGGTAGGTAGGATGGAGGTCTTGAGCAGTCGGAGTTGCGAGAGTGTACAAAGCACGAAGGGTGAAAGACAACCTCCGAGAAGACGAGCAAGGAGATTGGATAAAGGTGTCTTAAATGAAGATGGAGACAGGAAGATGGGAGTGTTGCGGGAGAGTGAGATGGATTTGAACACAGGCAGGCGGTGGGAAAGGGCCAGTGGGCAAGGGACGTCCGCCAAGAGCTAGCTGATTGAGCTTAAGCAGGCGTCCGTACTAGTTCGTCTAGCAGCCCAAATTCATACACCGTCACAACTTGCAACTGGCGATGCAGGACTCCGTACCTAGGTAGTGACTAAGTGGCTAGTAGAACGCCCCTTGACGTGACGTGTTGGCAATCGAGTAAAAGTCTAGAAGGTTGGGCGATCCTGCCACATTAAAGCACAGGAATGAGGCCATGCTCCAGCATTTATCCTATGAAGATACATGCCCCGAGGCTCCATCAATTCCAAGTGGCGTTGGCCTGTATGCTAGGGCCGCGCAATGCGCTTTCCTCACCACGAACAGTGCCTCGTCATTTACACTGTGGACTTCAGGCAACTGCGATTTGATCTTCTGGGGCCTGATTACAGCAACATTTCTGAGATCAACTCCAGCTCGGTATTGCTGACCATAATCTGCAAGCCTAAAAGGTGCGGCGGCCGTACTGGTTATTTTTGGAACCCCGCCATGGTGATCTTTCAGCCGCGTTTACTGTCATCATTAATGACATCCAGCGTATCCGTACACGGTGCCCTAGCCACCCCGTATGCTTTCAAGGTGCACTTCAACTCCATCGACCCCCTATATTGGAGAAGCCGGAACCATGGCATGATTTGTTGGGTCGACTAATTACCCACTTGGTTCTTAAGTCAAGTCTAAGTGGACTCAGGCAAAAGCCATTTATTTGGATTGTGTATCAAAAAATTAGGTAGACACTAAATGAACTTCCAGCCACAATAGCGGGGAACCTTGCCTGACTCGGATTATCTTCAACCCGCCAAGCCCGTGACCATTCCGCTAAAAATTGCCACAGGTTTCCAACGCCACACCATCACTGGACTTTCGACTGAACTTGAAGACGCTCCAGAGCAAGCAGCCAGACCTCAGAGCATACGCGACCAAGACACTCATAAACGACGAGATATGCACACATACACACATACACACGCTGCGAGGACATCAGATTCCCAGCAGACAATACTGTAATATTCCCCAAGATTTGACAAAGCAGTCACTTCTCGAAGGGTACAGAAAGTCACAGTAGGTACTAGAAGAAACGCCTGAATCCGAAAAGCCAAGACCATCATCATCAAAATCACTCCAACATCCAGCCACTGCAGGCTCGTCGATCTGGAGCACCAATTCAACTGACACATCAAGTGACATCTGTGATTTGAACATTTAACGTATCGTCATTCTTCATTACCAGATACCTTCACCAGTGTAAAAACTTGAACCGCCATGGCTGACCCAGGCTTGAATTCACTTTTATCATGGAGTATTGAGAACTCCGAGGCTGGTCGAACCTCAGACCAACCGACACGTGAGCCGAAAGGACTCTCTGCAGATGCTCTACGGGCATTGATGGGAGGCCCCAGTGATGCCGACCTGATGCGCGAATCCATGGCCATCATCGCCTCAGATGACCCCGAAGTCACACACGAAGTGAAGATGACCGCCTTCGACAATTTCGAGCAGCTGATCGAAAATCTCGACAATGCCAATAATATGGAGTCCTTGGGCTTGTGGACGCCTCTGATTGCTCAACTCGACAGTTCCGAGGCAGACTTTCGCCGCATGGCAGCCTGGTGCATCGGCACCGCTGTTCAGAATAACGCCAAGTCACAAGAACGGTTTCTGGCCGTCAATGGCGTTGAAAAGATTGTGAAAGTCGCTTTGGATGACCAAGACAAGACCGTGCGGAGGAAGGCAATCTATGCTTTGAGTTCCAGCGTGCGAAATTATCAACCCGCGATGAACGAGGCTGTAAAACGGCTGCCAAAGGAGGTTACTGGACCCGATCAAGTATCGGCAGCCGACATGGATGTCATTGACGCAATTATGGCGAAACTGAGGGAGGCAGAATGAGAATCGCAGAGATCCGCTTTCTCAAGATAGGAAGTTGCCTGAGTATTCTACGATTGGATGGTCAGGCTTCATTCGGCATACGAGTGTGCCGAAAGGGCCACTCCACGTGTATTGAAAGGTCTCTCCTGGGCCTGCCAGTGGCAAAAGCCTAGTCACTAGGCAAACATCAAGACTGGGCGAGTCAAGAAGATATCTTCTTCTCGAGGCACCACCTGCCTCGCCTCTGTGCGATGGAGATTTCTTTCCCGACCACAGCTACTTAGAACGAGCCAGAGGCGATGGCTAGTACTCTGCATAGCTCGACAGGCTCCACGCTCTGACTGAATGCCCTGGGCCCAAGAACATAAAAACAGCCACGGCAATCCGTGGGCCGTGAGCAGTAATCAATCCAATCATGACAATAGTTATAATTTCCTGTTGTGCTCAATATCGAAATAGTGACATGTGAGAATCAATGCCTCGTAACGCCAGCAATGGTCTGCCAGTCGTCACACCATGCATGCCTTCTTGCTTGACTCCGTTCCTGCTGTGTCTCCGCTAGCGTGAGCTCTTCACCTCAAATCCCAGCCCAATATGACCCACGGCCATTACAGCTGCAAGTTATAGGTATAATCGTCCTCCATATTCTGGCTGACCCACAGCACGACACTGCTGAGCATAACCAAACCGTTAGCCAGCACATTCGCGACGCCCATGTAGACGGTCTGCACGGCGTAATCCTTGAACAGGTATTTCAACGCCATGACGGTGGCACTGCCGGCGAGGCCACCGGCCATGAGCGCAAAGCCGAGGAACAGCACGGTGCGGGCCTTCCAGGCAACTCCATTCCCACTATACGAGAAGCTGTCGGCGGAGAGGCGGGATTTCTCGATGCTGTTGATCACCAGCATGCCCAGCGCGGAGCAGATGAAGGGGATCCAGTCCACGAAGGTGATGTGGACGTCCGAGCCGTTGTAGCGGGATTTGGAGAAGACGCTGGCGTCGATGAAGAAGAAGAAGCCGAGGGAGAACTGTTGAGGAGTAGAGAGAAGAGGTGTTAGTGTATTGATGCTTTTATAGTGTGAGGGAGAGGCTGCGGTTTCTGCGTACCAGTGCGCCCGCAATGTAGACGCCTGCAGTTCTAGTGTTGGCGCTGTTGAGCCATGCTGGCTTGGGAAAGCGGAATAGGCGGTCGGATGACATGGCGAGGAAGGTGGAATAGAGATGTGTCGACTCAGGCTGTCTGACCTACAAATGATGAATAGAATTGACTGAGAAGGATGCTGCAAGACCATAGAATTGGATGGTGTTGGTGAGAGGGCTGCCTTGAAGCTGGCAATTTAGATGTGGCTGGTGAGCCGTGAAACAGCCTGAGTGGCTGGCGTGCTTTCGGATAAATGATTCCGTGCCCGCTTGACGGCGGCCTGGTCACTGTAAGATATGACATATTTCAACTTTACACATGGAATTTGTTCGAGCCGTGGAAATGATATTCGAGATCTTTATATGCAAGGAACCTATGAGTACGAAAAAGGACCCTTAGAATTGTAAATGATAACATGTGTATGGTATAAGAGCAACGCCAGTCAAGAATCGCTAGTGGTAAAGCTATGAAAGCTATACCAATCCAAGGATCCGGCCGATCAGTCGTAGTAGAGACTGGTTGCTGCTATAGTCCCCACTGAGCTCATAGAAGAGAGAGCGGGAGTTCTCTGACTCTTCGAACTCCTCATCAGATCCTGAACCATTATACTGGTCTGTGGCCATGATGTCGACAAGGTCCGAAGGACAACACACCACGACCAAGACAGTACCTGGCATACTCCCACTAGTCGTCTTGATCTCTCTCATGATTCGTGCGTGGTGTCGCTCGACGTGCATGCAACTACTGTGCATCACTTTCCATTGAAGAATCAGAAGTCCTGCTCTTCCTTAAAGAACCGGCTGAAGCTGATAATGGTGCCGTATATCAGTAACCCTCCAATGATGGACATGATCATGGCCTCGGTCTGAATGAGTCCTGTGTGGGCGAGGAGGACAGGCAGAGCTTGAGAGGGAAATCATGTTAGCGAATTATCATTGTCCACTGGTGAATAGACCTACCAATGCCCATAACCACTAAGAATCCGGTTGCGAAACGACCTAGATCAATCCAAGCATTTGAATTGCTCTCGATGAAATCATCTGGATTCGCGCATCTCGACGCTATCCAGTTTGGTACCGGCGCAAGGACATAAGTTGCGACCACGAGGAGAGTGAGGAAGTTATGGAATAGGGCAGCGGAGAGGATAACAAGAAGAAAGCCAATCGCCAGAACCTAGTGAGAGTATTAGCATTCGCAGGGTTTTCGGTCTCTTCAACGAGCAGTCTTACAAAAGAAAGTGCAATGATTGTTTTCAATCCTGCGGCCATGCCTGCCTGATGTTGAATAATCCTGCGATTTGGAGGTCGTCGGAATTGATGGCGGCTGGTGCTTGGGTAGGGAAGGGTAGAAGTTTGAGGTCCTGGAAGAATAGTCTCAGTGCAACGCTGGATCAATGACAGACAGAGACTGGGAGTTTGTCTAGAAACTTGAAGAGGGAGTGAACCATCTGTTTAGTGTTGCTGGTAGTGAATTGAACGAGCGATGAGGTGGTGTGGCTGGGGCGGCACCCCAAGGAGTTGGAGGCATTGGCGTCAAGCGCTTGTGAAGTCCGCCTAAGGAGCCTAACAACGAAGAGGTTACCGGCCTAAATAGGGCTGGTTCGTGGGGACCTGCAGATTCAACTTGAGGTCGACCGTGACTGCGCGTCAACCTCATGCCTGGATAATTCATTACAGTATTGAACACCGCCGCAAGCCAAACCAATCTGCCACCCTTCAACCTCACCACCACAATTCCTCCATCTTGCTCATCTATTTCTTTGCTTGCTCCTCAAACACCTCAATCACAATGTTCAGGAACAATTACGACAACGACTCGGTCACATTGTAAGGCCTGTCCAAGTGATTACGTCCTCCATACTGCCTCAGACTAACAACAAACTAGTTCACCCCAGGGTAGAATATTTCAGGTCGAATATGCTCAAGAGGCTGTCAAACAGGGCTCGGTGGTAGTCGGTGTTGTCAGCAAAAAGCATGTCGTCCTTACCGCCGTCAAGGTAAGCAATCCAGTCCACTTCCGGGACTCTCTCAGATCGCTCATCCCGAACTAGAGAAATGCAGAAGAGCTCTCATCATACCAGAAGAAGATCGTTGGTGTGGACGATCATCTCGGAGTCGCCTTGGCCGGCCTTGCCTCTGATGCCCGCGTCTTATCCAACTTCATGAAGCAACAGTCCCTGTCCTCCAAAATGACCTACGGCCGCGCTATCCCCGTTGAACGTATCGTCAATCAGATTGGCGACCGAGCTCAAACGAACACACAACATTACGGCAAGAGACCTTATGGCGTCGGATTATTGGTTGCTGGTGTTGATGATCTCGGCCCTCATCTGTTTGAGTTCTCGCCTTCAGGCTTGACACAAGAAATGCTAGCCTGCGCAATCGGCGCTCGGAGTCAAATGGCAAGAACATATCTAGAGCGTCATCTGGACAAGTTCGCAGACTGCAACCGAGAAGAGTTGATCAAACATGCTTTGCAGGCACTCAAGGAAAGTTTGGCGCAAGACAAGGAGCTTACGATCGACAACACGAGTTTGGCAGTAATAGGCATTTCAGAAAAGGATGGGAAGAAGAAGCTAGAACCTTTCAAGTTGTATGATGGTCCTGACGTGGGTCCGCTGCTCGATGCCAGTCTTGATCAATCAGGTGAGGATGCCATGGAGACAGATTCTTAGGCAACTTCATTAGAGTGCATCTGGCATGGCGTTCGGAGCGAATGATCAAACACGGTGGTATCTAAACGGAGAGACCAGAGAATGGACCGATTGCATCATAAGCTGCATTGCTGCTGTGTCTATTCATTGACTCTGTTATGGTTCGATTCTGTTCCAGTCGAGTTGATATCTTCCCTCGGCAACCTCATACTGTCGCAACGCCTCGACCACCTTGTCTGTACTACTGACTTCCACCAGGATGTTTGCCAATCCTGGACTAATGAAACCCTCTCTGACGCTGTTCCTGACCAGTTCTAACAGACCGTCCCAATACCCATTGATATTGACCACAATAATTGGGATCTTGTGAATGCCCAACTGGTTCCACGTGACCATCTCCATGACTTCTTCCATTGTGCCATAGCCCCCTGCCAACGCAACGAAGCCAGATCCTGGTCCTCCAGCCTCAACCGAATGAGCCATCATTCGCTTGCGAGTGTGCATGTCCGGAACGATCGTTGTGCCGCCAAACTCGGACTTGGGGACGATCCAGGCATCGGGGTCCTCGTTACTGTCGATTCTTTCCAATTCCGCTTCACTCATGGTACGTTCAGCTTCCTTGGCCGAGTGACGACTAGTTGAGCCTCGGGTCGTGGCGTCCTTCTCTGAGCGGATCAAAGCGCGTGGGATGATGCCTTGCACCGAGTCAGGACCGGATAGCGACACAATCGTCTTGGCCAATTCGCCCATCACGCCCATAGTTCCTCCGCCATAAACGAGCTTGTAACCTGCCTCTGAAAGGTGCTTCCCCAGCGTGCGGGCAGATTCAAGGTGTGCTGGGTTGAGACCTGGAGAGGATCCACAGCTGGTGAGAAGCTTGTTAGTGGGATGGCGGATATATAAACAACGAAAGATATTGGGCTCTTACAAGACACACACCACCGGCTTCTTCTCTCCAGATGTCAATTCTCCTTGGGGTACGGACATTGCTGCCGATCTAGTTTTGCGCTGGACGCTAAACGGGGCTTGAAATTGTAATTATTTGAAGTCGAGTCCAAACCTGCGCAGAAACAACGAAAATAGCTGCTTGTATTTCTCAGATCTTCGCACTTGGCCGCACGATTCACGCAAATGTGAGTTTACACGACGCTGAACTTCACACAAGTTTCACAGTCTGGAATAAAATGAATGTTGGACAGAGTGAAGCAGAAGTTTTGGGCATCGGTGTCTTCAGTACTCACTAACCGCAACGTGTCGAGCATACAATCGATGGATTGGTCTATGACTCAAAAACATGACGTTGCAGCGCCCCATAGGCGGGAGAACCGCACCGCACTGGCACAGCGTTGACAAGTGTGTCCATATATCGGGGCTCGCCGAGGCATCAAACAAGCAACTTGAAGGCGAAGGCGAAGAAGATATGAGTCAGGCATACTCAAGTAGTGTAGAATCGAGAATCATTCTGCTTCACTGGAGGAATATGAAACACATATCTTTTTCAGATACCTACTTAGGTATGCAGGCCCTGCCTTCCCCAGCTTGACGGAAGTGCAAGCCCGGGTACCGAGGTAGCATTCCGACGTGTGCACTGGACTGCCCAGGTGCCCTCCAGTTGGAATGGGACTCGTTTTACGATTACCCGCTGGAGTACGAATACGTCGATGGCGATGGCGACCAAGCACATGACTCTGACAGTGCGGCGACAGGGCCGTCTTTAGGTTAGGCACTGTGAGATGCTTCAGTGCGGTGCCAGTGGTTCTTTGTTTCTGTGCTTCTGATGCACTTGCCTGTTTCTATCACTGCAAGTACGGGCAGTAGGCAGGCAGGGTTCCCGCCCCAGCATGTACGGGGCGGCGCAGTAGGCCAAAAGAACCGTACAACCAACCCTCAAGGTTGACTTTTGACTCCCGAGTCCTACACTGGCGCTGATGGCCCTTTGAGATGTTTAGGGTTACCATCGCTTATTAAAAGATTCCTCCATTTCTCATCAGTCTTGGCTTTCTTATGATAGTGAGCTGCCTACACTTGAGGCCATCGCCCAGGTGTGGCAGTTTCCGTTCCGCGAACCTTCCACTGTTCAGATGTCTAACAAGTTAACAAGTGCCTCGAGGATTCTTCCCTCGCCCTTCTCCGTACACCTTCTTCAAGCACCGGTTTCTCGGAACTTTCTCATCTACTCAGGCTCTGGAATCTGCCCGCTCAGTCCAACTAAGCGAAGCATGTGTTGGCTGGACCTTGGATACGAGAACCTTACAAACTTTAGCACTCCTCTTATGCCTGGGTTATTCGTATCAAGCTGATCTTGGCCCTCTCCAAACTTTTTGCCCTTCTTCTTTTCCGAGGTTGACGAGATAAGGTGTTTGAAGGCGCAATCCCGCTCTCATCACTGGCCATTTTTTTTCCTTCCCAGGTTTCCTTTCCTCCCGCCCCTGTCCCATTGGATTGACCACGGCTCGCATCAGCCTAGAGCCAAGTCGCAATATGCGCCGGGTAGCTATTGAGTTAGTCGAATATCGGGCTTTGCCCGTCCAGAAATGGCTCTAGTCCATTTGTCCATCAACCCAAATATACCATGCCATCCGTGCACCAATAGCGTCTCATCGCCCCTCCCAGCAGCTGAAAAAAAGGTACCCCGCTTCACTGTAGGGCTGTCCAAGTTACCGTCAGCACTTCTGTGAGGGCAGCGTTCGAGGCAACATGCAGATACGCAGATACAACTCACCGACACTGGCTGCATGTCATCCTAGCTTCCCTTGGAGCTGCTGCCATGCCTCGGGTTCTGACAGTACACAAGAACTGTCCGTCCCGCTCACTCAGCCTCTTCTTTTTCTTTTTTTCGCGTTTCCTCCCACAGCCTGATTCTTTGATAGAGCTCGCCGTCAGGTTCAAGTTGAGAAGATCAATCCTGGTTCTGCTCTGCGCGCTTTGCGCTGCACCAGTCAGCTTCTCCAACCATGGCCACCACCGAGTCCACCACCACCGATTTGCTAACCACCACAACCACCACACCTATTTCAACGACCACCACAACAACTAGTCCGACAACGACGACCACGACTACCTCGCCGACAACGACAACTACGACTTCAACCACCACTAGTCCGACCACCACTAGTCCGACCACCTCGACTACTACCTCAACCAGTAAGTACTTGCTGTCGGGCCATGTGCTCAACGTCCTGTTTCAGCCTTGCAAGCACCATTTTGCCTGGAATCAGTTGTATAACTCTTGAGCTGTGGCAGCTACCTCAAGTTCCACTACAACATCCACTTCCACATCTACCACTTCCTCCAGCACCACCATCAGCACCACCCCAACAACATCAAGTACTACACAGTCAAGTATTCTACCCTCTCTTATCTTCGTTTTTGCGAACATTCCCAGCGGCTCATGCTTATACCACCCATTGCACTGCAGCCACTACTACTACACTGCCTCCCCCTACAACATCAACAACAACTACCACTACCCCCCCGCCGCCGCCTACCACCACAACGAGTGAGTATTCAACGGCACCTAGTCTTTCATTCCCCGACGTAGCTTTTTTCATCCTTTTCCTTCTAAGCGTTCCTGATTATGAATGCTTTCCCAGCTTCTCCCTCTACTACTACCACTACTACCACTACCACTACAACTTCCCCTCCACCCCCTCCAACTTCGTCTTCCAGCACTACCACATCTATTCCTCCACCCCCTCCAACATCATCCAGCGAAACCAGTTCAATCCCAATAACAAGTTCAGCTCCGCCAGTCACTACTACAACGACGACTCCGCCGCCTCCGCCAACTACATCTTCGGAGCCACCTCCGCCACCTCCATCGTCAACCACTGAAAAGACCACGACCACCACAACCGAAAAGCCAGTTGTGATCACTACTAGTAGCGCAGTAATTCAGTACTCAACTCACACCTCGTTCGTTACAGAGGTCCTCCAAAGCACGGAAAATGGTGTTGCCGTGTTTTCGACTGTGACCTCAGTGGTGGTTGCCGAGATCCCAACTGCAACTACAAATGTTGCTGTTTCGTACACGAGTACTCCAGGAACTACACCAAGTGTTCTTCCGCAACCAAACAATGGTGGCGGTAGCAGTGGTCTATCCACGGGTGCTAAAGCAGGAATTGGTGCTGGTGTAGGCATACTCGTGCTTGCAGCCGCTATTTTTGGTGGTTGGTATAGCTGGTATATGAGGCGCCGAAGAAGGCGAAGCTCACTTGATACAAGTGATCGATATACGGCTACACCCAGCATGGGTGAATATGGTGGCCCTATTGGTGGCAGTGCCGCAGCTTCAGGGCTAGGTGCTCTAGGTGCTGCAGCTTATTCAGATCGCTCAGACAGGAGATCGGAATTACCTTCCCCTCCTCCAGCACGATCGCCTCCACCTCGGTCAGCCGATCGACTTCTCCCTGGAGCTGCAGCAATTCGATCCTGGAACTCTGGCTCGCCCCCGCCTCAACAGGACTCTTCCCACATGTCCGTATCAGATGCAAGCGAGTATTCGCAAGGCGGGAACACGCATCAGACCGTCGGAACAGCAGGATTCGCCAATCTGAATGAATTACACGAGGACCAGCGAAACGTCTACCAACTTCCAGATGATCAGCGAAATGTCTATCAACTTCCAGACGATCAACGGAACATTCACCAACTTCCAGATGACCAAGTCATGCCAGCGTCAGCGCATCAGCGCCATCTCTCTGGTGGGTCCGGTGGCTTCAACTCATACCAGCAAGATGGGTATCAATCAGGTCCTGTTTCTAACCAAGACTCATATGAGCTACCAAGTGGAAGCCCGCCATCGAGCTATCGTGGTACGGATCGTGAAGTTCCACTCCATCAAAGGCAGCCTTCTGATAGGGTACCCATCCGTCCGGGACATTTCTCCCCATCACATAATTTTTAATGCTACGTAAAATGAATATAATGCATTTCAATCTAAAATCATCAAGTATGGCTGTATTCGCAAGAGGTTATTACAAGAGCTAAATTTACATTTAAGCTTTGCTCGTAAAGCCGTCAGGTCAAAGTCACCATCGATTACAAGTGGCCCAAGCTTCTACATACTCGTAGGGATAAGTAGAATTGTGATTTCGTGGCTTCGGCAAAGGAGGTCCAAGCTTAGTATATATCGTTCTAGACTTTTCTCAATGCAACCACACGAGTCTAAATCCAGGGCGAAAGCGTAGCTTCCATCACAAGCAGAGTTCCAGTGAACCATACACTATTGGAAAGAGCACTGTCGAACAAGTGCAGTGCCATACTAAGGTTCATCTATTCAACCGCATCTAAGATGTGCTTTCAAATGCGGTTGTGTCCACCAAGAGTAGAACATTTTGGTCCAGCGGCTCGGTCATTCAGCTGTACACATCGACCAACGTACCACGTAATGGGTAGAACAGCTATATGCAGCGTTCCAGCAATGACAGCGTTTTTCAGTAACGCTCCATCTGCCGTAGATACGTCACCGATTCTTCTCTGCGTTGTTTCTAGGCTAGACGACCTGCTAGGAATGGCGAAAAAAGGGCATGGGACATTCCATGGCAATAGTGCAGCTGTGGCGACATCCAAGATTATGTCGCTGGATCTGCGGCGAGAGCAAATGAGTACACCCGGCTTTCAGAAGGCTGCAGGATTCAGTTGATTTTCTGTCCCATCCCGATACCAAGGTCGAGAAGAACGAGGAATCCTTACTGTTAGCGAACTTTGCGACGACAACTGATGTCGAGGCACATCTCCGGCTTCCTCATATGTCATTCCAAGAATGCAGAATAAAGGACTGGTGGCCCAAGCATGAATCTCCCTGATTGCCCGAATAAAGATAACATCAGTAGGGTGCTTCCCGCCTACGATGTCGATGATTTGGCAAAGCAGACAGAGCCACTCGATACCAACTCCTTTAATTACCTATTCGAGACACCTCGCCTACTATATCTGGGATTTCATCACCCAGCAAAGACCGAAAAATCATTTTAGCGTGACAGTGGCCCCTAGATATACTGGATTCAGTACCAAGGATTACCGTGTTGGACACTTCACGAGCCAGCAAAGGTCGAACAGTCATTTTAGCGCCCGACCCCTAGATTTACCACATGAGGTTCAAGTCTCTTCTTATCTGGGCTTTCCGTATCACAGCAAAGGTAGAAGGGGCCGCCAAAACCAACATTGGCCACAGCCGGGCCTCGAGAGCATCATTGGCTTGCAGCGCCGCCATCGGATGGTTTATTTCCTGCTTGGGCTTTTCGTGACCCAGCAGTGATAGGATCTGGTGACGATCACGGACCAAGACTTGGCTGACCTGGAACATGGCTTTCTCACTTAATCTGTTTGTGCCCAATTCATTGACTTGCTGGGTCACCCAGATGTCTTGCCCGAAGACACTCACATACGAGAGACACTTCTGTTCTAAAATTCATTACCATAGCTTCCAAGGACCTGAGTGCGAGGTAGTCAGTCCTAGTAATGTTTGGAAACCGGGACTGCAAGTACAGGAACGTCTACCGAAGTTGCACCGAACCCCTCAAACTTCACAGCCTCGCCCGGTCAGGGTCTTCATTGTAGCTGCATGTGCTGACTGAGCTCCGAGTCATGCTTGTCTCAGGGTTTACGAGTCTCATAACGAAATCAACACGTGCGTGTCTATGGATGACTTCACAGTCTGGGTTTTCCTCAGTGGCTCACGTTGAATTTTCTTGGAGAGGGAGTATCCAAGACTGCGTGCTTGACAGTCTATCGACCTTGAACACTCGAAAGATGCGTTATATATCTCTCGTGCGGCGCGCGGTCTACATGGATACTGCGTATACCTTGGTCAAGGTCTGACACCGTAGTTGACAGCAGGCCCAAATCTAGCCAGCTCATCTAGAGAATTGCAACAGCTGTGCCTCTGCAGCCAATTGACTCCCGGCCATGTCATGCTGTTGCCCACCTCTCCCGAGAGCGTGGTGTGTCGTCGTATTGTTCACAGACATTCGCTGAACAGATATGGTACGTTCAACTATGAATGAGAGCCTCATGCGGATTTGATTCCTGCGAACCACCACTAGCCAGCTCTATTCAGTCTTAGCTAGGAAGAGTCTGCACTTCAATGGTAGCTAACATTGTGCATCAAAGTTGGACATGAAAGTGGCACGTAGACAATGATGTGTCATCGATCTTCCTGTTGGTTTCAGTGACAGACTGTACTTTCACAATGAAGTTGCATGTGTCATCCATTTGGTGTGTTGCTTCCACCAATCCGTCTCTTCCCGCGCAGTTTTATGTTTGAGTTCTGAGTGTGCTCAGCTTTCAAAAGTCCTTGTAAATAGGCTTCCCGATCACATGAGTCTGCGTGTAACAAGCTCGTTAACTCTAGGCTTTCATGATCTTTCAGGGTTGACTGGACCCCTCTTTTGGCCCTGGTGATAGTGAACATGGCAGGCAAGGTGTTCTTTCACTCAATGTTCCTTCCTGTAAACACACCACATTCTTGTCATCAAGAGGCAGGGCCTGAAGGTGATGCCTATGTCTCACACTTGTGTGAGTCCGGAGGCTTGGTGATTGCCCGGATATCCCGCAGTGAATGGTAGATCGAATTCTCATATTTAAGAAAGCTGTCTCATGTAATTTCGGACGGAGTTAGAAGCAATCCATACTTACATTACTCGTCCTCAAATGCTTGCCAACTGCTGCAGAGTGGACAACTATTCTCCTCTTCGAATGAATGCAACTGTGGAATGAGAATGCAGCTCGTAGCATTGTCCGAGCCACGAGACATAGATATTAATCTGCGTCGTCTGATACGCAAGAATCCTCGCCTTTCGTGCTGGAGCCCTCCATCGCCGCGGCGACTGACCATTTCCCATCGTCAATAACGCCGCTAGGGTCCTGCCGAGACTCTGTGAGACCCCGTACAGGTCTTCTTTGATCTCTCACTCTGACTTTACTAAAAGATCATCTTGGGTTTGGTGAGGATTGGACACTTTCCCTCCTGTTAGGGGGCTGGTGTGGTCACCAAGCTCGCCTCTGTGGTCAAGACAGAGCATAAGCCAATATCAATCGTCTTCCCACTGTGATTGTTTCACAGACATTCTTCCAGAGTTGCAGAACATCAGGGAGTCATTGCCTTGGACAAAGAGCCCCTCACAGAGCCTCTCAACAAGCAGAACCTACCTTGCCAGCCTGGAGGCTAGATTTTCCTGGACAGAGAACAACGGATACATACAGCCCACCTTGGTCTCGACAATCTCAAAAGAGAGCCAAAAAATCTCGCAGGTAAGTCCATTCTTACCTGGGTCAAATCCTCGTTGTCTGACATACCTCATCAGTCGTCTTCGGTGAGCAATCTGATAATTATGGCCCAGCCTAGCAAGTCTTCCTCCACGTCCAAGGACAAGTATGGATATTCCAAGGAGTTTTTGCAGAATCAAACAATGCATGTCAACCATCCCAAGGACTTGTTTGGATTCACAAATTTCCAGACGGGAATCTTTCAGTACCCGGAGTCGTATGAGCGTACCAAGCACGTTGAACAAGGTAAATTGATGGCGTTCTATGATTGGAATTCCACAGTCGAGCTGACCTCTTCGATAGAGTTAGATGTGCCCGAGTCCGGAGAAGAGCGAGAGCAAGAACATGCGGTGGTTGAGACCAGACTCATGACCTCGAAAGGTAAGCAGGAGCGATTTCTTATGCGAGAACCATGACTGATAGTCCATAGGCGAGACTGCAGCGAAAGCAATTATGGGACGCATCGTCAATGACAAGCCATTTGACAACGGTAAGTTTCGTACAAACACGATCGGTCTATACCGGTATCTGACTGATAGTATCTCAGAATCGAAGAGCAAACGCGACTCGGACGAGATCACATCGAATGAAGATGCAAATAAGATGCCCCCACCTGTAACACCCCGTCGAGTCCGATTCGATGAAACCGTGCGAACTCAGGTCATTCCTGCTCGCTTGAATCCAGACCGTGCCGAACACCGCTTGTCGCAGATTAGGTCCGAAGCCAGAGGTCCACGTGTTCAAGAGAATGTAACTGGAGTTAAAAATGGCCCAAAGGTTCTCACTGCGCGTCCACGGCAGGGTATGGGAATCCCAGAGACTCTGCAACCCACTGTAGTAGCGCTCGCACAGTCCAGAGCTCAGATTGCTCGAGAGGTTGCATGGTCCAGAGCTCAAGTCGCTCGAGGAAACGAGGCTACAATTCGACGAGCTCAAATTGCTCGAGAAAACGAAGCTGAAATTCGACATGGCGGCGAGGAGGCACTCGCTGCTCGAGAAAATGCAGCTAGAATTTTGCTATCACTCGCTGCTCAGCAACGCGCCCTTGAACCTCGTGCCGCCCATACAGCTATTCTCCCTGAATTCGTGCGCATCGTACGAGCAGATCATTACATGAGGATCACGCATACTACTCCAATCGTCCACATAAACGAGCAGAAGTTCGTGCAGTTGGATGACCATCACTTAGTCCCAGCCTGGACCGATCCTCGACTTGTTGTCGGAGATAATACAACCATTCGAGAACGTCGAAACGCGAACTGGGACGGGGAGAAGAAAGATGGCCGTCCACGTGTCCTCTGCTACCTATTTCCATTTGGTGCTTGGGAGTTCACACCGGAATTGAATCGACCAAAGAAACCACCACTGGCCTTTGAACCCGAGATCCATCACGGCCACATTGTGATCAATGGCAGGGATAAGGCTTTGAAGGCGTCTGTCCTTATGCCTGTGAGGTGCAGCACAGATATCGAAGGATGGGAAATGGAAGCGTTGTACCGTTATGATACCAACCTTTGCCACCAAGATTTTATTGATCGAATGGTCGCAAATCTCCCCGCGGGCAAATCTATTCCCACCATAGGTACTCTCAACCACCGTCGACGTCGCGATCGATTGAAGATGAGGGTAATACCATGGCCGACCCCAAATCACCTCAGCTATTCCGACCAGCAGATTTTCAAGGAGCTAGGTCATGTGGGAGTGCGTCAAAATATCACCTGGAACCTACTTGATTTGACTAAGGAACAAATCGAGATGCACACCGCAATTACATACGGGGGTCACCTCGAGCGGTCTGGAGGGAAAGCGCAGGACTATGAGACGAGGGTGACTAAATTCCGTGAGAACCTGAGGCTGGTTCGGAGTCAATACGCCGATAATACTGAGGAAGTTCGCTTGGTTTTGGCTAATATCTCCATCGGATTGCGGTCGATGGGACATCAGTTCAGGATTGAGGAGTGGGCGCCAGGTGTGTTTTGGCCCGGTTACTAGGTAGTTGGTAATAGCGAGCTGCAGCGGGTGAGAGATTTCCTGGATTCTGGATGGAGCTGAATCAGGGGCAAAGTGAGATGCGTTGAATAGGAGAAATTGAACACTTTAACCTGGTGGCCGCCGAGATAAGATACGTGCGTGAACAAGTCCGGACTGGTGATTGGAAAAATGCATCATCGTTGTTCCTCAGACGAACGCTGGTCGCACAGTGGTAATCGATGTAATCTCGATAAAAGGTCTCTTTCTGCGGCCTTTCGTCAACAGAGGTCAGGCGAGCACTCATTCAGGAGAGGTGATCTTCCAGAGTTGACTGCCATCATGCCAAACTGTGCTGTGGAACATCGTGCCCTTCCCAATCTGAAACATCGATGGTAGTAGTCTGGAAGGACGGTCTTCCCAGTGAGGTGTGATGTTGAGAGCGTGAACCAGAGCCACAATCCCATCCACCGGGTAAACATCGGGACTACGTCATCTATGTGGTGACATTCTTTTGTTCCTGCGGTTGATTGATCGATGGCATTGGGAACTCTCTGACAGAGTCATGCAATGTTAGGTGCCAGACCACAGCGTCGCACTCTACAGCTACTACACAATCTCCGGAGCGGCAGTCTTCATCAGACACAGTCGCAAGTGTCCAAGATGGCCGACAAAATGTCCACACTATCCCCACGGGATGCCAAAGTCACCTCGATCGAACCCATGGTGAGCCTTTTTTTGGTGACATAGGCTGGTTGCGCCGGGCCATGTCATGGCTGATCACTGCAAGAAACCCAGAACCTTGACCAGGCCAGATGGATCACACTGAAGAAAATCAGCTACAAAGATCCTTCGGGCAAGGAGAGATCATGGGAGTCCGCAGAAAGACAGGTGAGGACGAGAACCATCATTCAGATAACAGTTTTGATACGTTCCAGACAAGAGCCAAGAACAGCACTGTCGATGCAGTGGGTGTGGTGGCCATTCTACATGATCCCAAGTCCTCCAAAGGCCCATCGATGCTCCTCCAAAAGCAGTTCCGTCCACCTGTCGACAAAGTCACGATCGAAGTCCCATCGGGATTGATCGACGAGGGGGAAGATCCCGCCACTGCAGCGATACGAGAACTCAAAGAAGAAACAGGCTACATTGCCACCATACCCGGAGATGCGAAGGCAGCAGAAGGATTCGTCATGTTCAATGATCCGGGATTCTGCAACACCAACACTAAAATGATCTTTGTCGAGGTTGACATGACAGATCCTCGAAATCAGGAAGGCAACCTCAAGCCGGAGATGGAAGAAGGTGAATATATCGAGAGCTTCAGCATCCCGTTGGACAATCTATGGAATGAACTGGAGCAATTGGAGAATGATGGATATGCTATTGATGCTCGTGTTGGGACTTTGGCACAGGGTATGGAGGTGGCCAAGAAATGGAAGCAGGTCTTGGATAAACGACCCTCATGATACCTCTGCATGCTACCATTGAAGTCTCGCAGATAGAAAGGACAGGCGATTATTCTCATGCTGGCTAGGAAGCACATCAAAGCAATTCAATGCTTGTTGTAAATTCCCCATTTGGGGACTTATTCCAGGAACACTAAACCTTTTTCATACATTTTCATCGGAGAATTTAATGATTCGTGCCAAATGATTCGCCCCGTACAAAAAAGCATCAACCCAAATGAGATGGAAAGACAACAGATGACATCTGTCCCTTCAAGTCGGCTACCCCCCGGCCCATGTCGCATGGCTGCTGTTTCACCCCACTCCGCTGACTTGACGAGTTTACCATAAGGACCTGCTACTGAATAACCGTCTCCGGCATTCACACAGAAAATCCAATGGCCTAGTTCAGCGAGCAAGCTACAGCCACAAAGATACACTTATACAATAACAGCAATATGGAGTCCCTATCAGAACCTATTCCCATGGGGGGACACTGGACCTCGATGTTTTCCGAAGGCGAGGATCTGACATGGCGACTGATACCCTACATACTTGTCTGGGCTGCCTTCGGTTTGGTATTCCTCGTACGCAGTCCTCTCCAGCTGTCACAAAAGAGACACATTACTAAACCGCTCTCGATCTCCAGATATGGCTATTCATTACACTCTTCGTGCCGGAGCCACGGAAACCCTTGCCCTCAGAGAAAACTTTCACAACCATAGAGGCCACAGGTAGCGTAACAGCGCCGGAGCCGTTACCCTGCTGGTACGACAACCTCTCACGGCGGATCAATGCAGCGAGGAAAAAGCAGGAGCAGGGGGGTGGGGATTCAAAGCCACATGAGAAGGAGTCCGATCTTGAGAGCGAGATCGAGCCGGCCGAACTCTTCATGACACTCGTCGTGCCTGCGTATAACGAGGAACACAGACTTACAGGCATGCTGGAGGAGGCGGTCAACTTTCTCGAAAATGCATACGGGACAGGAAAGGGCAGCACTGGACCGGGAGATATCATTGAAATCACAGAAGACACAGAATCCACAACCACATCCACGCCCACAGGCAAGACAACAAGACGGCGGAAAGCCAATGGCACTTCCACGTCGACGTCGACGTCAACATCCAAATCCTCAACTTCCACCCCGTCCACCTCCACCTCCAAACCCACTCTCCCATCCAGCGCCACCAAAGGCTGGGAAATCCTGCTCATCGACGACGGATCAACGGACAAAACGCTGGAAATCGCGCAGGAGTTCTCGCGCGTGCACATCCTCCCCAAACAACCGCGGCGCGCCTCGGGGCCTTGGACACACCGGTCAGAAACCGCGGTGAAGATCCCCGCCGGGTCAATCCGGATGGTGTCACTGGCGCAGAACCGGGGCAAAGGCGGGGCGGTGACGCACGGGATGCGACACGCACGCGGCGCATACGTGGTATTCGCGGACGCGGACGGCGCGAGCGACATCGCGGACCTGGGGAAACTCGTGACGGCGTGCCAGGAAGCCGAGGACGGTCGCGGCCGAGCCGTCGCGGTGGGATCGCGCGCGCATCTCGTCGGCTCCGCCGCCGTCGTCCAGCGCTCCGCCCTGCGTAACTTCCTCATGCACTCGTTCCACCTGCTGCTGCGCCTGATGACGCCGCCCGCGACCGCGCGCATCCGCGACACTCAGTGCGGGTTTAAGCTGTTCTCGCGTGCGACCCTACCGTTCATCGTGCCCCACATGCATATGGACGGTTGGATCTTCGATGTCGAGATGCTCATGCTCGCCGAGTTTGCCGGCATCCCCGTCGTCGAGGTCCCCGTGGGCTGGAGGGAGGTGGTCGGCTCCAAGTTGAATGTCGTCAAGGATAGTGTCGGCATGGCTTGGGGTTTGGCGCTTTTGAGGCTCTGTTGGGGGGTCGGCATCTATAGACGTTGAAAAGCGATTTGCTATAAGGATATGGATCTTGGGACTGCGGGACAGGGAACGGGTTGGAAATCACATATGGAATGGTGGTTTGACGTGCGAACCTAAGTAAACAGCTCACGATTAGGTAGATGGCATTTGAAGTATACCCCTGCCCGCAGATGGCATAAACTTTTGGCTTACTGCTATGAATTGTGGTTCAATTGCTACGAATTTATACGCAACCCGTCTGATTCCTCTCCATCTTCCAGAGTGTAGCATAAATAGTATAAGGTGATGACGCCTCGTGTGTTTATTGATTCGTCTAAATCTCACCAAGAGAAATCAATCTCAACGGAATTATCTGTTTCTTTTACTCTATCACTACAAGAAAGCCGAAGCCAACCTTTGTCACCTCATATAATCCAATATATCATCTCGTAGATATGGCTGAGCCTGAAATCCTCTCCCACGCACTCTCCAACTTGCTTTCAATCATCTCATCCACGGGTTCTGTGCCCACCTCACTGACACCAACGCCACTTGATGCCTTGATCGAGCTTTCGCCCGAGCGTGACTGGTGGTCTTCAATGTTTTGGTCTAAGTTACTGGCGTAGATCACAGCCGCAAAAGCTTCCAGCTCCCGCACTTCAGCTTCCGCGGTGGACACGTACTCATTGGGGGGATTGTTTCCGTTGCCTATCGCATGCGCTTGACGGGTAAATACGGCCAGAAGATTGGCCAGCTTCACTCTGGGTTCTCCTGGCACGACTGTGACTGCCGAGTCAAGTTCCTGAATGCGAGGGTGTGGTATATTTGAGAGTGAGGAAGAAGGTGATTGTGGTTGATGTTGTGGATATGCCTTAGGGATGATGCGGCTGTCGATGAGATGTGAGAACATGGATCCGAGGAGTAATGAATGAATTCTGGTAAAGGTGGGAGAATCGATCAGGTCCGCTGTTTCATCCAATAATAGGCGCAGAGGCCCTGTGGATGTGTCCACATAAGAGCCTGCACCATGATCCAGAAGGTCGCCGGAAGAGTGACCTGGAGATGAAGGTGGTGGAGTGATGACACCCGATTCCACCAGTACGGCTTCTTCCTCTTCTCGGGGTGGTAGGACGTAGGGGAGCCATCGAGTAGCATATCTCTGCTCCTCGGTGTTGCCCTCCACGTGCTTCCGAACAGAAAGAACCAAGTCGCTCAGCCTTGCAGCAGTGATGCCTTCACTGGGGGAAATATTTGCAAACACCTCTTCTACAGCTGTTCGCACTCTGGCCATGATCTGTGCATATCCTCTATGCAACAGGTACCAGGAGAAGGTCAGATATCTCCGATTGGTTTCGAAATCGTTGCCGAAACCGGTGCCTGCACCTCCGTTATCATGATCTTCGAGAGAAATAGAGTTGGCCCGGCCTGGAGGAGGTGGCTGGGTTAGGGAGATGACGGACGATAAGTAATTGAGACGACCCAACAGGTTCAGTTGAATCCGAGTCAGGACAATGAGAAGAGACAAGCTGTAGATTAAGGTAAAAGCTCTGGTGATAGAGGTGACCTTGACTTCGGTCCATAGTTGTGCTTTGGTCCTTCTCGGTAATGATGAAGGTTGGCCAGTGATCTGACTGGTGTGGGCGAAACTGGTGGTTTGGAAACTGGATAGACTTGCATTATCGCCATCCTGTATACTCGAAGCCTCCGACTTTCCTTCTCCTGAAGCACGTGCCAGCCTTTCGGCCTTCTTCTGTTGTAATTCATGAGTCAATTGCTCGACTGGGAGTTCTTCCAGGATATTCTCAGTCAGTGTGGGTAGGAGTGCGAGGACAGTGATTGTACAATCCGTTTGGTTTTGTTCGAAGCGCCGCCGGATGCTGAAAGACGATTAGTTAGACTGGGAGAAGCGGATATGAACGCAGGGAAGAATTGGATGTTGATTAGGCGTACTTCTCTTTCGCTATCCTGTCCATCTGCATGCGCTCTCTGGCTTCATTGATCTTGCCCAGGACATACTGACCAGCGAGATATGTGACACCTATGGCGCCAGCACCAATGGCAATACCATTGCGATTCCGCCTGAGCCAGCGTCGTGTGGCTGATATCATCTTGATTCAAGTATGAAGTATTCAAAAGAGCAGGCTGGGGCTCTATGATGATGAGGTGTCTGCAGACAAGGACATGACCGCAGGCAAAGAGATGAATTGTCACAAAGTCGAGTAGTGGTGCATCGACAGGTGACTCGGTGGACTGTTATAGGGCGAGAGAGAAGGTGTGAAATACGCGATGGGGAATGTTCACTTTTGGTATTCCTGATGACATTGACAAAATTCGGGAACCAAATGGGTTGGCGATGCCTCGGCTGTGTTGAAGAGACCTGAGATGGAGTCAGGCACGGAGGAGGAGCAGTGGTGATTGAGATAGGAGCATGCCCGCAGGAATAATCAGATGGTTGGGGTTTGTGAGGTCAGTGCCTGAGGGGTGGTCTCCGTAGCCAGTCCAAGGTACCTGCTCCCAAAGTAATGCCACCACATGAGTTTAACTAATCGAGTTCTCCTTAGGCGTAAACCACTCATTCATTAGGTATCTAGATGCCTATAAGGATCCGAGGGACGTCACCTGTAACTCGTTCCAAGAATTACTCGGTACACACCTGCATTGCAGCCACCGATTCTGCATGGACCCCACCATCAAGTCTCCATCTCCTGGACACCACAACTTACCAAGTCAATCTCGCTGACCGACCAACTCCCTTGATTCTGCCTATATACAACTCGTCACCGTCCACATTCTGCCTCAGCGCAGCGAGCCCAAAAAGGGTCTATCACAAGCGAGTCATGATCTGAACAACTTCTCAAACACGGGCGCCACTCTGCTGGCTGCTCAATTGCCTACAACCGATCACTCATTTCGTCCCCATCAACAACCACCCTATTCTCGGGTTCCTTCCACCCGCCAGAAAAGACCCTCGTGCAACCTGTATATATACACTTCCGCTGTCCTCCTCACCTCCCCAGATCCCACACCATGGATCCCGGTCAGCACGAGTATATATTGGAAGTATTCGCCGACCAGACCTTTGTGAAGGACATCGTCAAAGGTAGAGACGCACCCCACTCCCCCCTCCTCCTCAGTTATCCCCCTTCGGCGGATAGTGAACCTCCCTATACAAAAAAATAATACAGTGAGTTAAACAATTTCTTTGTTTGTCACCAGGAGTCCTCCATACGATTTTCTTCCACCGATACTTCCCACCCATCAGGCCGACACTATACTCGCCGACCGCCTCGTCCTCACACAGTACATCATCTCACACGGCGCAATCGCTGCCCATCCCACTCCCCTCGATTCTCGACCCGCCCGAGATCTCAACGGCCATCGACTCCCATACCGCGCTGCTGGTCTCACAGCTGACGTCCCCGACCTCGTCCAATTCCGGCCCTGGCGGTTCGAGGGGCGAGATCGTTGTCCGCTTCTTCGATCGCAAACGCCGCCGCACAGGCATCACCACAGGCTGGCTGGGCCGTTTGGGGGGCGGAGGCGGCCAGACGGACGAGGAGGTCTGTTGGGAGGAATGGTGCGTTCAGGTTGTCGTGGCTCGGCCGCGCAGTGAGGCAGGTGAGTTGAGTTTTCGTCTAACCTACAAAGACACCCATCCTTCAACCATCGACAATGAATGGTTGTTCTATTCTTGCACTGGCTGACGATGAATATTCGTCATCCGAATACAGACCGCATTAAAGTGAGAAGAGCCATGGAGTCGTCTCTACAGAAGACGGCTATGAAGATCGTCGCCATTGTAAATAGGGATAAGGATCATATCCCTCCCATTACCACCAGTGATCAGAACCCTTTCCCATACCGGATTGCCGTCAATCCTAAGCAAACAGAAAACGTGGAACGTGGATTTGGTGGCTGGAATTGAATCGGAAAAAAAGTTGTGGGAAATTATGGAGATTCTGCCTCTGATACAGATTATCATTGTTTCCTACTAGTAGCCCAACTCAGAATTACCAACCAGCAAAGGAGACCGGATACTCTCCGGCTCTGACGCCTGTCCAAATTTCTACTAGCAATAAACAATACTCAATCCAACCATGTTTCGGCTCTTCGACCTCTGGGTCTTCGTGCTGTAACGTTGCCTTGCTTGTTTCACAAATGAAGCGGTCTATGGTGCAAATTCACAAAATCTCTCCCGCCATCCTCACCTGATCATTATCCATACGGCTTTGTGTTGTCGTGCCATGTCGACCTGCACTTGGTCTCCACAGCTTTCTTTGGGTCGTTCATGTTGTACTGTCATGACATATTCATAATCGTTGCAACCATGCTTGACATTCGGACTTGCGAGATAGGTCGGCTCAAGAGTCGAAGATGTTTTTCAATTCTCGCACAAAGCCCTTGTACTCGTGTTTGATGCGCTTACTGGCTTTTCAGAGCCGCATCGGCTTTGCCTCGCAAATCGGCCGAAGCATTGCCGGTGCTGCTGAAAAAGCGGGAGAAGACAGGCTGGAGGAAGGATCGGAAGACAATCTGGGCGCCATTGGTAACGGGAAGAGCCATCCACAAGATCAGGATGAACTTGAAGGTGTAGTAGAAGGCTAGACAATGTGTGAGTAGAGAATTAGATGAGTATGTGGAAACAGGTAAGCATACGGAACCAGTATACGGCGTTGATCAGGCTCTCAAAGACATTGAGGAAGGCATACACGACCCAGTACTAAACAGTTGTCAGTTCCAGAGGAGATTTTATGATTCAATGTGGGATAGAAAACGCACCGTCAACCATTGCGTGTCATCAACCTTGCTGGTGCTGAACAAGGCTTCCAATGAGTAGTAGCCGGGAAGGATGAATCCAGCGAAGTTGACTAGAAACTCGCCGCCAATGTTGAAGAAGACCAAGAAGAAGTAGAGACCGACTAAGCCGAGAAAGACGTAGACCTTGGGAACATTGGTCTGCTTCTCGAAGTTGTTGAGCGCAGGATATTTGGAAAGCTGCAAGTTGAATGATTAGCTTGGAGTGCAATAGGATTCGTGGTTTGAAGACGGAGTGTGATGGGAGTCGACGGTAGATTCGGTGTAGAGCTTGCAACCTAAATGACATGTGCACACTTACTTCCTTATCGATCTGCGAGATCTGATGTTGAGCTCGGTCCTGGAAAGACATTTTGAGATCGGATAGAGATGATAATCTTGGAGATCAAGTAGTGGTGGGATTGTGAGATGAATTACGCTGGTGAGATGGATATGATCTGGTGTTGAAGAGTTGGTAATGTGGGATGAAATGTGGACAGATTGGAAAGTGGAAAGGCGGATGCAGTAGTGGAAGGAGCCTGAGGAGGTGACGTTTGAGCTCGACTGCACTTCCAGTTGTGCGATTGACGATTGTTGGGCGGCAGGTGAGGGTCCTTGTCTCGATGCTTCACCCACTTGGGAACGACCTCAAGGTTAGTCCCAAAAGGTTTTGTGAGGTGGCATCCCACTGCGTCCCCCTCCTGAAACATGGCGGGCAGTGATTGCACTGACTCTGCAATACAGGTACAGCTTGGATGACGTAAGTCTCACGTGATTCACAATCCTCACGGCGTGGAACAACAACTACCCGAGCCGAGCTTGGCTTGGCGACCCGAACGTTGCCTGGGCGATCGAACAACAATCCGCATAGTACTCGATTCATCAAACCATCTTGGACAGCCACCAGACGTCGCGTAAACTGCTACGACCAAGCATTAGAGTCTTTGACAAAACTCCACGAGTGCCACCAGTACCACCAGTGGGACTCTTCATCACCTTCGTCGACCTTTCATCGCCTCATCGGTACCGGCACCTCCCAGCAACGTATCAACACGTCTGCATCTGCGTATCCCGCACCCTCACCGATCACCACCACTGAATTCCTGCTTCAATGGCAACCCGTGGATGACGATAACCGCTACACGCAGGACAAAGCACCAGCCATTCTTCTTCAACGGAAAAGTGAAGCTGCTCATCTCCGCGATCCACTAAGCTTGGACTACGACCAGCTCATTGGAGTTGTTTGTTTTTCACCTTGACAGCAGGCTAGGCTGCGCACAGTTCATGATGGCGCAAACACCCGACAAGATGGAGGGAGCTATAGAACCTCCAAACGATGTCCATACAAACAAATCGTCGTCACATAAAGAAAATCGTCGTCCAAAATCTCGCGGTTCTACGACAAGCTCAACTACCGTCGCATCGGCGAGTAATTTTCCACCTGCTCAGCAGCAGCAGCGTCAACAACAGCATCCCGACGACCCGACAATGCCTCTCGATCAGCACCCCTTCTATATTCAGCATGGCCACCACCCAGCGTCTGCTATATACGGTCCGAATCCAGAAGAAATGCTGCTTCATTATCAACATAACATCGCAGCTGTACAAATGCAACAACAAACTTTGAACCAAGCCAATGGCTTACCACAGCATGATATGCGACCCATTTCCCAACAGGGCTTCCCAGATATGCAACACTTCCCTGTGCAGTATCCTCATGGCATACCCCAATATGCTGTCCCTCCACCCCATATGCATCAAATGCGCCATCAGTCTGAGCAATTCGAAGGTTCTCCTGCCCCAGAAGATTCGAATACTGAGAATGGTGGAGCGAAGCGACGGAAAGGAACCGCCTCAAGCGTTGCCAACGACCAAGAGCTACGCAGACTTCTTGCCCAATATCAAGGAAAATCTTTGAAAGAAGTGGCTGCTGAAGTTCAGAGGAATGAGGGTGCAGGTGGCAAATCTGAAAAGGCCAAGCAGGTCTTTGCAATGCTTTGGTATGTATTTCATGGCTTGTTGGGAATTGCCCAAATTAATCATCTCCAGGCTCCAAGAAAATTGCGAGCGATCGTCAAATTCCGTTCGTAGAGACCGTGTCTTCACACGCTACACAGAGCGCTGTGGTAATGAGCGCGTTCCTACTCTCAACCCAGCATCCTTTGGCAAGCTTGTACGGATTATCTTCCCAAACGTCCAGACCAGAAGACTGGGTGTGCGTGGCGAATCGAAATATCATTACGTCGATCTATCACTCATTCAGGACGACGAAGATCGTCAATACGTCCCTGCTCCATATGAGAGGCCTGGGACTGCTAACGGAGGCCTACACGTCAGAACGAATTCTGCTGCAGATGCGAGCAAAATCTTTCGTGCCCACGTCTCGCCACCAATTGAGCGCCCAATGTCGCGAGCAACAATGGAGACAGCTGATTTCCCTGCTCCTAGCGCTGCATTCTTACCCAAGGAAGATACGACTGAGCGACCTGTTGAGCCCGAATCGAGAGACCTCGTCAAGGAAAAGATCGACTGCAAGCATGCAAACACTCCCACAATCAGATTTCCAATCAAGACCATGCACGCCAATACGGTCGCCGCTTTGCCATCTCTAAGACCAAATCTCCCCGCGTCTATAGCGACTTATCTTGCAATGCCCTCGACTAATTCCCTCTCACAACTATCGACTTCGTCTCAAGACACTCTAATCGAACTTCCGGACATCCACGCATATCTCACGGAAACGAACTATGACCATACTATTGCAGAGGCGTTATTTCACCTGTATCGTTCTTACTGTATTGACGTTATCGATGCGTTCAGAAAATGTAAGGAAAAGCCTTTCTTCAACCACCACTCGGCTTTCAATGGCAAGATGACAGTCCCTGTTTCGAAATTATTCTCAATGGAGTGTCTTGCACCCTGGATCCAAGAATGCGACATGCGGATGTACAAACAAATTGTGCGATTTATTGCTCCCCTGGCTGTCCAAAACGTCCCAGATATGGTATGGAATGTATTTGAACGAATTGGCGCCAAGCTCGTTACCCACTTGATATCTGCTTTCGAGGAGAAGTGTCCGCTTCACGTCGTTGTTGCAAAAGCCGTTCCTGCGGCGAGATTTGCACATTTGTTAAAGAAGCTCAAAGGTGCGAATGCTGCTACACTGCAGCTGAGCCATATGCTAGAGGATACACAACAACGAACGCAAATGTGGTTGGATCTCATGGCGATGGTTGATCCCGATCGATTGGTGGAAGAAAGCATGCCTCCACCTGAGAGTTTGATGAAGATGCAAGCCATGCTGAAGGAAGACATGCGGCCACTGATCTCACCTATGGATGGTGAGTTAGTACGTGCTGCCGAGGACGATCCCACAAGTGCATATGCAACTTTCCTCAAGGAACAATTCGACTATGAAACAGGAATATTACCAGCAGAAAGTGATGAGGATCCAATTCCGCTACTCGAAAGATGGATCAAATGGTTGGAACACCTACCACAGATTTTCAGCGCTCATCACCCCCAATGCATGGTTGATTGGCATACACGATTATGGAGAAGTGTTATGATGCAGATAGGTCAAGCAGGCGCCCACAGCTACCAATCTTGGTGGTTCGTGGAGTCCTTTACAACTCAGATGCTGAACTGGATGACTGAAATGGAAGGACTGCTTATGGAAGAGAAAGCTCAGAGCGCTGCAGATGACAAGGAACGAGAGAAATCAAAGGAAGTCACGATCCGAGCAGAACCATTTGAGAGCAAAAAGCGAAAGCGCTCCCGAGAGGATGACACAAGGAGTGCGATTGAGACAGCTGAGCTCGGAATCCCACATGCGAAGAAGGTCGACATAACCTCCAAGGAGTCGCCTGTTCTGCCCACCAACCGACCTGAGCAACCAATGAGCCATGAAGTGGATGACGATGAGACCGATGCAGAATTGGACGAGCTCAGTCGTGGTGGGCCACTGGACCTACCAAGTTTTCATACTGGTTTGAGCAGCCCCGTCAAAAGAGCACCTGGTGCGCATCCACATGACGATAGTGGCATCGATCTTGGACTCGACATAGACGCCGAGGCTGAAAAGGAGGCCAAGAAATTCAACAAGAGAGATTGGCTCCTTAGCAGCGATCCAGTCGATTCGCCAATTGGGCTGGGTGTCACGGTCTGACCTCGGATCACCATCTGCGTGCGTGAGATCGCGAGGCATAATGTGACTATAATACTGGGAGCATATTAATCTGGGGACTTGTCTGGAATTGGAGCATGTGGTGATGAGTGAACGACCTGAACGACGAGATAACGACTGGCAATGCCGATAAAATCTCGGGAAGGGGGACAATATCAGGACGGTTATAATTATACCTTTGGGTGCGGTGCTTGTCACTGCGAACTATTAATCGGGTTTGAGGTCGTTGAAGTGGTCTATACTTCATGTGGACGGTTTTTTGTTTGTTGTGTTTGATAACCCTAACATGGGCGGGTTCGATTTGAGCTAAAATTTGTGTACTTGCGTTCCATTTCTGGAACTTGAAAGTTAGCGATCAGAGTTGCACAGATGGTGAGGATGGTGGATGAGTATTCATTTTGTTTACATTCATTCCGTATTACTTTGTGGAAAGGAGCTCTCTGCTGCAGGTGGACAGTTTCAAATTCCACCAGAAAATAAACTTAAAGCTTGGCTCCGACTCGAAGAGTGTAGGAGACGAATGTGAACAACGTATCATCACCACGTGCATCACTACCCAGTTGTCCACATCTGGCATTTGTGGACAGTAACAGCTTCCATCGTTTCTTTAGATGCTTTTGAAAATTCTCTTGCGTGTCTAATAACTGTCTCCATTGCGTTGTATGTCGTGGAAATTTCCCTCTCCTCAAACCCAAAACATAGCATTCACCGTTCCAGAGACATCAACTAAGCTGTTCAATGGCGAAGAAAACCACCAAATCCGCGCTTGCTGCGAAGCAGTCCAAATCAGCTCCAGAGTCATCAAGGCAGCCAGGAACTTCATCGAAGGCTACCATCGCACCTGTCAGCTCAAAGCCACCGTCAATCTTCTCCAAACTTACCGACATTCGAGCTCAACGAACGTTTCAGCTGATTCTTCTTGCGGCGCTATCAGCGCCACTCTCACAGCTCAACTTGTCTCCAGTCTATGGTGCGATCCCTGCCGGTCTTTACCATCGATATGGAGTCATTGCATCTTTTCTACTTGCTGTTGGGATTCGGGGATATCTACCCAAAGCACTATCCAGATGGATCGCGACCTTCTCTTTCTGGATTCCAACTTTCCAATTTCTGCTGTTTCAATTGAGCTCGTCACTTGGGAATCCCGCTGGTCCAGTAATAACCGAGCTTCTGACAGTCTACCCACTCATCACTTCCTCTGTCTACATAGCTGTTGAGTACTTTGATGACCTATGCTACGGGACCACAAAGGCGCCTGCCGGAAACACGGTGCCTGCGATGGGACTATTTGTCCTCTTCACAGTCCTCCAGAGAGCCGCGAGAAGTACCATAGCCTCATTTAGCGGACCAGGCTTTCTCAGGTCCCGGGTAGGGTTGCAGCTGATCATTGGCATGTTGTATGCTATGGTTATTCCCAAAAGCCTTGTTTGGCCAGCCTTTCCCTCCGTCGTCATTACGATGATCGCCAATCCACATTGTACACTCACTAAAACTACTGAAGTTTTGAACAATACTCTGGGTCTCTACGATTACACCATCTTGGAACGTCAAGAGTCCATCACAGGATATATTTCTGTGCTTGAAGATAATCAGAAAGGTTTTCGAGTCATGAGATGCGATCATAGTCTGCTTGGCGGGGAATGGAAAATTGATTCAACTACAAAGGCCGCCAACAAGGTCGGCGATCCTATTTACAGTATTTTCACCATGCTAGAAGCTGTCCGTCTCGTTGAGCCCTCATCCACTAGTACCGAAAAAACGGCGTTGAACATTGGCTTAGGGGTCGGCACTGCGCCTTCAGCCATGATAGCTCATGGGATTAACACCACTATTCTAGAAATCGATCCCGTGGTACACGAATTCGCTGTCAAATACTTCAATTTGCCCTACAACCACAGCTACTATATTGGTGATGCTGTTGCTATTGTCGGTAGCTCTGTTGCCAATGCTCAATCGAAGCCAGAAACTTCTGAGGCCGAATCATACGACTACATCATCCATGATGTTTTCACAGGTGGTGCTGAGCCCGTCGAACTATTCACCGAGGAGTTTTTAGCTGGCCTCCATCTACTTCTCAAATCTGATGGAGTCATTGCAATAAATTATGCTGGAGACCTTTCGATGCCATCTGCATCTATAGTCTATCGAACGATTATTTCAGTATTTCCATCGTGCCGAGCATTCCGAGAAGAGGCCGCACCCGTCGCAGGCACCAAACAGGACGACTTCACCAACATGGTGTTTTTCTGTCGAAAGACTGACATCCCTGTCAACTTCCGAAAACCAGTCGAGACAGATTTTCTGGGCAGTCGCTTTCGGCGCGAGTATTTGATGCCGAAATACGAAATTCCATCTTCAGTCTTCGAGACCAAAGGCAGTGTTCTCAAAAATGGCAAGACGAAAGAACTGGAAAAATGGCAAGCGAAGAGCGCCATTGGTCACTGGCGAGTGATGAGAACAGTACTCCCAGATGCCATCTGGATCAATTGGTAGACTATGCACGTGCTCAATTACTCCAGAGCGGCTATGGCCACCCCTTTGGCCATAAAGGACTCGAATCGAGGAAGAGGAAACACGTCACCTTCTAGTGATTGTGCTTGGGTGCCGGCCACCGTTGTGCAACTCTCTGGAATTTCGGAGCATTCTTGAGCACCATTCCCTCGTTTAATTGTCCAACTTCCCTCCTGAATATATCCTGCCATGGCGTCTGGCTTTCTGGTACAGCATAACCACCTTTGGCTTCCAGCTCATCACGCCTCTTCTTCAGCTGATCATGTGGAATCAAGATATTGACCGTTCTCTTGTTGAGGTCGACTCGTAACCGATCACCATCCCTGAGAATTGCCAAGTTTCCACCAGCAGCCGCTTCTGGACTCGCATTTAGGATGGATGGTGAACCAGAGGTCCCTGATTGCCGTCCATCTCCTATGCAAGGAAGAGATGTTACTCCTTGTTTAATAATATACCCTGGAGCGTGCATATTAACGACTTCGGCCGCACCAGGATATCTAGAGAATCAAAAAGGTCAGCGTGCGTGTCCAGAATATCGGTAATCCAATTGATCTTTTCTCTGGAAAACCTCATTGTCTTCACCTCGATGAGCATTGAATGGTTCACTTACCCAAGGGGACCAACTCCACGAATTACGAGGATGGTCCTGCGGTCAATACCCGTTTTAGGATCGTCAATCCGCTCAATGAAATCCTCGCGTCCATCGAAAACCACAGCCTTGCACTCGAAGGCATTGGGGTCTTTAGGGTCCTCTAGAAATTCTTTCCGGAAGTCATCTGAGACCACAGATGTCTTCATGATGGCTGAGTCAAAAAGGTTGCCAGTCATATGGAGGAAGCCGGCGGATGTTTTCATAGGTTCCTGGTACGCCTTGATAGTTTGTCTATCCCACGTCTGCTTACCAGTCACATTTTCTCGAACTGTCTTGCCGTTGGCAGTCACAATATCTGCGTGCAACTTATTCTGCTGGAGTAGCTCAGCCATGATGGCAGGGAGGCCGCCGGCTTTATAGTACTCTTCGCAAAGCATTTCGCCTGCAGGCTGTACATTTAGTAGGAGGGGAATGTCGAAGCCAATAGTATCCCAGTCATTTAGATCAAGGGGTACACCAATATGCTTTGCTACGGCGTTGAGGTGAATCGGGGCATTAGTGCTCCCACCAATAGCACTGTTGACAATGATTGCGTTCTCAAATGCCTCTCTGGTCATGATGTCACTCGGTTTGCGGTCAGAGTGTACCATTTCCACGATTTGACGACCAGTTTTATATGCGCATTGCAGCCGTTCTCGATATGGGGCGGGAATTGCAGCTGAGCCAGGAAGCGCCATACCAAGAGCCTCGGCAAGAGCGTTCATGGTTGATGCTGTTCCCATTGTGTTGCAATGACCAGCCGAAGGAGTACTAGAGGATACATGAGTCGACCATATCTTCTCGTCAAGGAAGTACTACTTACCCAGAAGAAATCATCGCCATAAGAGTCTCGTCATCGATCTCTCCAGCGGCATGCATATCTCTAGCTTTCCACAATACCGTGCCAGAACCCATCTTGTCGTTGGAGCCGAGACGACCGTTCAACATGGGACCGACGTTAAGACATATCGATGGAATATTCTGAACGCAGGGGTTTAGCTAAGAGGGAATATTAAGTGCAAGAGCCGAAACTTACCACTGTGGCCGCTGCCATCAAGAAGGCAGGTGTCGTCTTATCACAACCCGTCAAGAGCACAACACCATCGAGAGGATAAGCGTGAAGCAGTTCAACGAGCCCCAAATAAGCCAAATTCCGGTCAAGCGTGGCAGTCGGTCTCCTCGAACTCTCTTGTATTGGATGCGTTGGAAACTCAAACGCAATCGCACCAGACGAGCGAATCCCCTCGCGCACTCGTTTCGCAAGCTGCAGGTGATATCGATTGCAAGGCGCCAGATCCGAGCCCGACTGCGCAATTCCGATAATGGGCTTCCCCGAGTTCAGCTCCTCGTGAGTAAGCCCATAGTTGAGATATCGATCCGTATACAGCGCGCACATCTCCTTATTCTCATCGGCGTTGAACCAGTACTCCGATCTCAACCTGGGTTTGGATCTGGGCTTGGTGGCTGTGCCGTTGGTGCTGGTTCCGACATCGAGATTTACAGACGCCAATTTTGACTCGAGCTCCTGTGTCCGTTTGCGTAAGGCTTCCAGCTCCAGCTTGTAGTCCTCGATGTCGCCAATGCCGTGTTGGTGTCCGTCACTTGGGCACGTGGCACAAGCTTCGGGCTCTTTTTGGCATGCCATTGTTTGTAGTTGTTGAAGATATAGATTGTGTTGATGTCGGTGGATCCTTTGCGCGCAATGTGTCTTTATGCAGAGAGACGCAATCCAAATTAAAAGAACAAAAAGGTACAATATCAAGTGCTTATTATATTCAGCACCAGAAAACAACCTCTGCCAGGAGAATAAATATTCGACACGAAGCGGGGATATTCAGGCTGTGCCTTGGGACATTTGTCCTTGAACTATTCTCTCAGATTCGTATTCAATCGATCTAAATAAAGAGGAATCTCTTTTGAAGTGTTCCAATGTTGAATAAAATATGAAACAAGAACAACTCGGACCCTAGGAAACTTCAGTTGATGTATCTGTGACCCAGCCCGCCATGCTATTTACCAGTGCGCGATGAGTACAATTTGGAGAATCCTGCTTGCATCTCCAAGCGCCCCCAGTGGCCACCGGCCACCCACGGCACGAATCCCGCATCCGTTTTCCACAATTTCTTCTCACGTGCCAGTGGGATGTCGAATCAGAGGTCTGCCAATTGATTTCCTTGCGTGACGTTTCCACGAATCGATCTACGTGGACGAAGGTTCGTGGGGTTGCGAATTCTACCCGTGTGTCCCTTGGCTTATTGGCCTCGGTGGAAACGCCGCCGAAGGAGACACGAGGGAGAGATGGATCGGCTTTTCGTGGGGAAGGTTTTGGACATCCGACATTATGCTGGTCGTTATGTTGGTCTGCGCGAATTAATTACCTGCGGCTTGATGCTGCATGGAGACCGCTCGTTGGAGAGCTTAGGCTTTTGTGGTCCGAGTCTGTCCAAGGGCGGCAACAGTAAGTGATAAGGATGGATGGAATGGGGTGCTGTTCTCTCCTTTCGTGGGGTTTCTCATTCTCCTCTGACTGTGCAGACAATGCGGCATGCCCACATTTACCGACCGCGATTGTTGATTAGCCACACGAGCCGACGGGACACTAGCTCGACACGTCGGGTGATCTTTCTTTTCTGATTCAATATCAGAACCTAGTCACATCGCCCGATCCTTTTGCCTTGGTCATTCGAGCTGATATCGATGACACAGCCTAGCCAGCAGATACAGAACGTTATTCGTGAATAGAAGGAAGTGGAAGACGATTCTGTCGCTCTTAACTTCTCTGGACGAAGGTTTCCTGGCTGAGAGATCCAGGGTGAGAAATTTGGTGAGGGTGGTATTGCTGCCTTTATAATCTCCAACTGTTGGGTCGAAAGGTGAAGATAAGGGACGTGTGTGGACTGTTATGGTGTGCTCAAGGAGAGGGTGTAAAAGTGAGTCGAAAACGCTCCAGGTCCGACGGTCGGCTGGCGCAGGCTGGCATTTGCCCCAAGGCCGAGCGATGGCCAATCTTTGAGAAAGTTGCAGGCTGTCTTTAATCGATGGCACGGTCTTTGGTGACGAGAGAGGGGATGTGACACAGATTGAGGGATCCTCACACTCACGAGAGAACCATCGAGAGCAGTGAGGTTTTTAAAGAAGCGGACGCTGCTTGAGTGAATCTTGAGCCTTGGATCTTGAACTTCGGTCAGCTAGCAGCAACCAAAAAAAGGGGAGAAAAAACAACCCACAGAGTTCCAAAGAGGCCAAAAACACTCCTCACCCAAGATTTGTCAGATGAGGAGTGAAGAGCACTGCGCAAGGAATGTCTCTTGAGAGATTCAAACCCGGGCCTTTTTTTTTGAACGATTCCAACCCGTCTAAGAAGCGTCCATTAACTATGAAATCTGGTATCAGCAGACCAAGAAGTGGATGTCTCCCTCGCTGTCACTCCCACTAACTATGAAAACCCTAGAGCCCAAGAAGCGGTTGGCGACCTCGCGGTTGTGGAATGTTGACCATAGCTCCCGAAATTGAGATATATGTGCTTTCAGAACGAGTTAGTGGCTTAAGGGTGGTTGGTACCTAGACAGGAAGGTGTGGCAGCCATATTGGTGGCGAGTCAACACTTGTCTGTGGTACAGAGGGGTATGCGGCCAACTCGTTTTATCCCATGCTCCTGCACATCCTTCTCGACTCGATTGAACTCGCAAGCAGTGGCAATATATTTATTAGGAAGGATCGACAAAAGCACTCATGCATGGACAACCGTAAGATTCCTTCCATTCATGCACAGGTAAAACTGGCAGGCCCGATGGAGAGGCTTGTCAGAGTCCTCCAAACCACCGAGGTAGGTGCCCAAACAAGCAGACACTGTGCAGAGAAAGGGTTCACAATTGACTTGAGGAACGCGCAATGGGTGTTAAACCTCACGACAGAGCATGGTCGGAAATGTCTATCAAGAAGCACAAAATGAGGAGCACGTCGGTAGCCAGTCGTACCATGCCATCCCAAAGTTCCAAGCATGGCTCGCAGCTCCTGCTACTCATGTCACTGTGTAGGTCTGCTTGGTCGACGGCATGAACTGACCAAGAATGGTTGCTTACCATCTGTCTGCCCACGTAGGATCATGCCCGTCCAAAAATACTGTTCAAGCTTGAGAGATCGCATGTTTAGGCCTCATCGAAATAGCTTCTGAACTGGTCTGAGGCTGAGCATTCTGCATCCCAATCAATCGACTTCCTCCAGATACCGCAAGACCTTCGCTCTGGTCTGATCAAATGGAGCACCGTTCTTCATGCGGAAGTTCAATAACATCTGGAGGCCTCACCATGAAAATTGGCTCCGTGGAGATGGAATTAAGCATGACGAAGAAATGCCATCCGATAACTGCGGTGACCTGTGACGTGAGATGGATGGCGGAATGACCTTGTCAGCCTCGCCTAATAGCAAATCCTACCTCGTAAACTATGATGCTTCGCGTCGCAAATGAGACCATGCTTGGAAAATGGTAGCGACAAGGCCGAATCAAGTGCCTTTCACACATTCTTACGAATTGCTGACTGCTTGAAATACAGCCTGGGGATGGTACGGAGTACAAAGGAGTATTGCGAGCAACTAAGTCCACACCAAGCATACCAGCTTAGACGAGATTACTTCCCCAAGATCAACGAAAAATAGCCCCCATATGGAAGATACCGGAGTGGCTCAAGTCACTAACCGACAATACAATTTGGCTAACCTCTCGGACCATTCAATGATCGACAGAGACATGCAATCATGACATACGAGGTACCTCACTGGGCATTACACGACTTCTCAAATTGTGCAAGTTGTGACGAAGCCAACAAGACAAGATAGCTTGTTCATCATTGGCTTTGCATCGAAATGTTTAAGCGAGCAATGCAAGATCCATTATTGAGATTTGAGGCTCGAGAATTCCATTTGATGGCCCAAAGTGCTACCGGCCCAGACCTTCCACCAGAGCGGTTGCTTCAAGATTGTCAGAGGCACAATGAGACTAGGGCAGAACTGAGAGAGCCAGAAGTCTAGAACTTCAGCACCATGGATCCAGAGCGCTCCGAGACTTCTAACAGCCAAGCAATTTAGGAGCAGCTTGGCAAAGTCTCGGAGACCTACGGGTCCCTCCAGCAAGGAATCCACTGCCGCCTGGGGATGAAATGCTACCAAATTGATGGGCGTCTTGCCCGTTGTGCACCTCTCCCCTGAAGAAGAACCACTGGTTCTACGGGTCCGGATTTGGGTGGCTCTAATCCACTTGGAGCGCAACGGGGCTCAACGGGGCTTAACGGGGCCACCCCGTTGGTCTTGGCTGTCAGATATATCTTGGCGCCGCGCTGCCATCGCATGCTTTTTTGGAACCATTGGGATGCTTGTGCTTCTTGTCGTCCATACAAGGGTGTCGATCAACGGAGAATGCCAGTGACTAGGGCACCTGCAGGAAAGCCGTTGAGCACACGGTCAGGCGTATCCATCACTCGTCAGCGAAAGTCAGCTCACGACGACTGTTATTCATACTGGCTGGCTGGCAGTGCATCCCAAAATAATAACGCTCAGTTATCGTCATTAATCACCAGCCTGGTCAGATCCTATCATTCTATTGTTGTCAAGGCCGTCGCCTATCCTGGTCAATGGTTTAGCGACTCCATACAACTTGACTGTTGGGGGTTGTTTCATGGCTGAGGCAGAACAACGCTGCAACGAGCGACTATGCCTTGGCGCCTCCGTTCCTCCTCCGCCCATGGACAGTGGAGTCTCGAGATTCCTGCCTTGCCTCTCTACACGCGAGTCGCCGAGGGCACTCTGGAAACATAAAGACGCTGATGCCAGCTTCGAACCGAGAAAATGATCAGACCACTCCTTTCCCTTGCATCTTCCACATTTTTATTTTCCTAACGTATTGCGCTGCTGTTTTGGGTTATTCATTCACTTCTCCAAGTTAACCTTATATACTATCGCTTCTGTTCTTCCACAATGTTATCCTCGATATTCCTCATTTCAGCGTTCCTTTCGACAGCCTGGTGCTGCCCAAAGCATGACAACTACCAATCACATCCTCGTCTCGGCCGGAGACAAGTAAGAATAGACGTCGGCAGGGAGCCAAAGGATTGGAATTATGACCATTCCGCCGACTGGGCCACTATCCGACCTGGTGAGTAAATCCCATCCCGTGTCACAACTCTGGTCGTGGTCAGTACCGCTAACGCAAAATAGAATATGCCCTATGTCAATCCGGTACACATCAATCACCTATAAATCTTCCCGGGCAACAGCCTTCTACTCTACATATCCCTGATTTCTCCGGATACAAGAACGAAGCGATCCCGGGGAACTTCTTCAACTGGCAATTCGCTCCTGCCTGGACACCCCATCACCCCGAGGGACAGGTTGAAGGTCTCCCCCACTTCAAATTCGACGATCAGGAGGTGTTCAATATCGGGTGGCACATTCATGCACCGTCGGAGCATCTTGTCGATGGCCGCCGCAGCAAAGCCGAGTTCCATTTCGTGCACGTCAATGCTCACGATGAAGAAGCTGCAGTCATCGGTATCCGCATCGGAGTTGCACCTGCCGGGTCCAACCACGAATCTGCCTTCGTCAAATCGCTCGGTCCCATGATCCACTTCAACGACACCTCGCAACTTGAGGGCCTCCAAGTCAACATGCGCACTGCCATTGACGAGGTTGGTGGACTCAGCGAGTTCTGGACCTACAAGGGCTCCCTCACCACTCCTCCTTGCTCGGAGGGTCTACGGTGGTTCGTCCCCAAGCAGGAGCTCCTTGTTAGCGAACATCAGATGGTTATGATCCTCGCTGCCTCACGCTTCTCACACCGTGTTCCTCAGGACGTCTGGCTGCACGACATCAACCTATAAACGAGTTGCGAATCGAGGTTTAAAGTGGAGGATCATATACCTAACTTATAGAATCATCAAGTGCGTACGGATTGGCTAAGAAGAGGAAGTCAGGCAGAACTGGTCGAGACCACTCTGGGAGGGGCATCATATCATGACCCCAGAGGCCAGCGTCCCCGGTTTGTATGAAACCATGTTTGGTCTAAAAGAAAAAGTGTCGAAACAGTTCGAAAGCGTTGGGAGCTCTGGAGTTTACCACCAGGAAACAGATATGATTGTGTATCTTGGAGCATTTGTGTTTTTGCATGGGATGATTTCGATTTTCGATTATTCTAGTTCTTTTTTTGTGATCATTTATAACTCATCTTGTGGGTTATCACTCTTTTGGCAGCATTTGAGCGAGAAGTTGATGAATTCAAGAGGTTGATGAATTCAGGTGCCGCACTCGGACAGAACCAAGTGATCAATAATCAACTCCAGAGATTATGTCTTCGATCTGCTCTCGTGTTTTTTGGCCTCTGTGATTGCGTTTCCTCATGTGGAGGTCCATGCAGGGTAAATTCCTTTGAGCTGATCCCATCTGTCTACCTACCTACATATCATGTTGCTATATTTTCTCGAGCTCAGAGCTATGAGCACGTTTGGTTGAGCACGCGCAACATAAGGGGAAGACGACGACGCAATGTCACACGTGAATCATGCGTATCGCTGGACCATCCCAACCTACTCTGGCTGCTTCCTTGTCCGTCCACGGTAACTTCGAGACATAGGCGACTTCGTAGCATCACTTGGGGAAATTGGAGTTCCGGACTCTAGAGTCAGGTTTGAGTATGGGTCGGTGTGATCTGATCCAAACATTCAGAGACACTCCGCTCCTGGGAACTGCGCACAAGCCGACAGTCCTACAATAGTGTCCCGAAACCTAGGACCACTCTGACAAGCGCCGTTTGTTCCCCAACAATCAGTCCCCGAATCTTATCTGATTTGCGAAGTGGGTTTCAATATTGTTTGGTGTCAGAATGCCGGGTTTTCAATTGGTAGGCAAATGGGTTTACCGCCACATGGTGGAGGGAAAGAACACAGGGCATATGAATTCCTTCGTAGTTAGGATGTACCGAGTGCTGCTTCTTGGCAAGGTCAGTGAGATGGCCTATTTCATAACTTCTGAATAGCGTCCGCAACGCTTGACTTGTGGCTCGAGGCTCAAGTGCTGAGATTAGAGATACTCTCCAGTTCAGCTGCATCGGACAATGTAGTCCTGGGAAGACGCTCTATCATGAGATCTCGGACAAGGCTTTTAGTATAGGAGTGGAAGTATAGCTGATAGCCGCGAACATTTTCACTGAAAATGAGAGCAGAGGCATGATACTCATACAGTCCACTGCGATGACGGCTCCCCATAAGTCTACACTTCATCATCAATCTGTCTCAAGAATTGTCGTGCTCGATCTGGTGTGGTAATGATGCCTTGTTTGAACTCCTCATTGTCAGAATAGCCGGCAGCATTTGTATAAAAAGTGCCGAGTACATACAACGAAAACAATGAGCTCCTCTTTGTGGATTGTGGATTAATCAGCGTTGTCTCAAGTCACAGCACATACCTCATTGTAGCTCGGTACGAGATCCAGACTCCGCCAAGAGGGAAGGAAGTTTCAGATTTTACCCATGTACTTGCCCATTTACCACAAGAAGCAAGATTTGTCACATCGAGAGACTAGGCCAAAATATCCAGATAGTGGATGGAGATAGTAATCGGTACTCGTTTGTTGAGAATCCCGCTCACTGGGATTGCTCGATTGATTTCTTCACGGCTAAGCACGAGAAGGCTATGTTCGTCAAACGAATTAGAGACCGCAAGTATCATGCCACAGAAGATACGGGCATCAGATACCCTCAGGAACAATGAAGTCATAATTCGACCTTTATGTACTGATGACGGTGGACAATAACATTTGGGAATAGCTGAGTAGCTAGTGATAGAAGTCCAAGTGAGATGTAGGTTTCACCTTCAACGACAGGAACATTGGGTGACGGTTGATACGGCAGGTAAGCCGAGTGCACCAACGGCTAAATGCCTGCATCACTAGAGCCTTGGCATGTGATATCCCTATCTAGGTAGGAAATGTAGTGCTGCAGACATCTGCAGTAGCTGAGACTCGCGCAGCCAACAGACGCGATTCGGCTTCCCAAGCCAGGATCGATATCACAGACATACATGACACGACTGTTAACCTCCCTCATTAATGCACGGCAACCACGTATTTTCGGGCATCATGCAAAATTCGTTTGCTCTAGCCATGCATCTCACAGTCGATACGTTTCTCATTCAGCAAGAGAGCGGTCCTTGTACCACCACCAGGTGAGCGTTGAGCAAATCTCAGCCGCCGTTCGAACCTTCTTCGACCGCAAAGAAAAGTTCCGCATATTCCATGGCTCCACAAACAGTACTCGTCCACGTACGAAAACCCATCGGAATGTTGTCGACACCAGCAAGCTCAATCGCGTGCTCAATGTCGATGTTGCAAGTCGCACCGCATTAGTCGAGCCCAATGTGCCGATGGATCGGCTTGTGGAAGAGTCGTTGAAATATGGCTTGGTCCCACCTGTTGTCATGGAATTTCCGGGCATAACAGCTGGAGGAGGGTACGCTGGAACAGCAGGCGAAAGCAGCTCTTTCAAACACGGGTTCTTCGACCGTACCATAAATTTTGTGGAAATGGTACTTGCCGATGGCAGCGTGATAAGATGCTCCAAAAATGACAAACAAGATTTGTTCGATGGAGCAGCTGGAGCGTTAGGTACACTTGGTATTACAACACTACTTGAGCTTAAGTTGAGGCCGGCCACGAAGTATGTTGAGACCACTTACCATCCAGTTTCTAGCGTTGCTGAAGCCGTCGAGAAAACCCGGCAGATGACTTCTGATCCTTCTCTCGACTATGTGGACGGGATCCTGTTTTCCAAGACTCAGGGTGCCATCATAACTGGTCGTATGACAGATGAAGCAAAACCAGACAGGACGATGCAGACATTCAGTGGCGCTAAAGACCCGTGGTTCTATCTGCACGTTCAGGACAAGATCTCTAACCAACAGGCGCCCGTCATTGAAACAATCCCTTTACCCGAGTACTTGTTCCGTTACGATCGTGGTGGTTTCTGGGTTGGGGCTTCAGCGTTCCAATACTTCAAGATGCCATTCAATAAATTCACCAGGTGGTGGCTTGACGACTTTCTGCATACACGCATGATGTACACTGCACTGCATGCATCTGGACAATCTCGAAATTATGTCGTTCAGGATCTTGCATTGCCATATTCGACAGTGGAGGACTTCATTGATTATACCGATGAAAAATTTGGTATATATCCTTTATGGCTCTGTCCTCTGAAACAATCGCGCGGTCCTACAATGCATCCCCATTCCACTGAGGTTGAATCAGATGGCACAACGCCCAAACCGATGCTCAATGTTGGGCTGTGGGGAACTGGCCCTGCAAATTATGATGAATTCGTGCAGCTTAATCAGGACCTCGAGCGCAAACTCCAGGAATTGAATGGTATGAAATGGCTGTACGCGCACACCTATTATTCGAAGGAAGATTTCTGGCAGCAGTTTGATGGTAGCTGGTACCAGGCACTGCGTGAGAAATACCAAGCTACCTCGCTGCCAGACGCCTACGAGAAGGTCAAGATCGATGTGGAGGCGGAGAAAGCAGCGACGAAGCTATCGTTCGGAAAATCGTTACTGCAATCGTGGCCACTCGGTGGCTTTTACGGCATCAAGAAAGCCATCGAGAGTGGCTCGTACAAGCAGGCGAGGGCATCTATTTGGAAACAATGGCCGCACCAGTACCAACGCCTCGATGGAAAGGGTAAATGAGTGGAGAAAGATATACCATATAGACCATTACGCAGCAGCTGTTACTTTTTTCGAGGCCTTCCTCAGACCAGACAACAAGCTTATCGTCGAATTCAACATTAGATTTCCTGTCGAGCGCATTGTCGACTACTTCTCTATGTGAGTCTTTCCCTTTGCAGTATATCGTTTATGCTCACTACCTTAGGTGTGTCTTTTGATTCATCAGTGAACCCTGTTCAGTATCGTCGTACCTCGTGTTGGGGCCTCTCACTTTGACAGCAATTCGGTATGCATTGCGAACTTCTTGAGTGTAAGGCTCCGGTCGCTCTGAATTAAGGTGACTGTCAAGCGTGGACAACCACACTTTCAGATTCAAATGTGATTCAAGGTAGGTACAGTCTGTCCGTGGTTTCACCATCCAGGCTGTCCTCCATATGCAGTCCAATCTGTGTGAGTCATCTGGCCACCAAGAGGAATCTGCCCCAATGGATTGGAAACAAAGCTCATTCCTGGTGGTGTCCACGCGTGTCCACTTTGCGATCCCAGGCCAAAACTCATGTTAGAGTCCACCAGAGCAGGAGGCATGTGCGACAGTGGAAATTCATTAATTTCCAGGTTTGTGCTAATGCTTGCCTCTTCCATCTCGAGGTTCTGAAGGTCGCTTGCAATCCTCGCTAGAGCATCTTGGATGGAAGATACAATTTTTGGTGTGGTGAGCTTTTGCCCAGCCAATGTCGAAACCGGCTCGCAAGCTTCCCATGCCTGAAGGATAAGCTTAGTCAAGAGCTGGAAAATGGCACTGGTTCTGCTGAAATGAACATGGAACCAAGCTTCCCAATTGTCGCTCATTACGTTCCATGCATGTTGAGCCTTTTCCATGGTTGGCCTCCTCCGCAGGTCTTGAGTGACTTGATAGTACGCTGGGAAGGGGAAGTTGATTTGGTGTAACCAGATAAACCCCTTCGTCAGAGGTGCGGTCATTATGACAGTGTCGCACTCGAGCATCTCGAGCGCAAATCCTGTGGCAGTATCAAGTTGCATGTCCACCCTCTGTTCGGTCGAGCTAGACAATCTGAAATTTTGTTCCATAAGATGATATTTCGCGAGCTGCACTTTCGCCGTCCAACTTGCCATAAAATGTACAGGATTGCCATGATCACAGAACTTGAGATAACGGTCCTCGATATTTGTACGCAATTGAACGATACGATCATTATCGAGCGTGAGAGCGTTGTCGAACTGCTTCACAAGGGCCTTGAAGGCAGAGCTGTCAATGTGGAGATGGAATGCAGCATGTCGAAGATATTCACCGAGTTCACTTCGGATGACTGCAAAGACTGCGTCGGTAGGGTTTGTTCGTGCCGCTGGCAGGACCTTCATGTCTAAACGGAGGTCGACGTCATTCACGTTGAGAGGAATTCTGCAATCCCAGGTCGGATCTAGCGTGGCAAGGCCAGATCCAGCAAGTTCAGACATACGTGTGTCGAATAACACCAATGACCACCACAATCTCCTGCGCATCTCCGCGTCAAAGGGGCTGAAATTGGCTAGAGCTTTCTCACTTTGAATCCCCATACGCTGTGCTAGGCGTATGGCAATGGCCAACATCGATGCAAGACTCTGACGAGTTGTGTCAGGCCTGATGGATATCTAGATATGACTCTCAGCTCAGGAAAACGTACATCGCACGTAACAACGGGAGCTCAACTTACCAAATACAGAAAGAGCGCAATCAAGCAATCAAGATTGTTAGTCTGCAGAAAGTCACAATTCCATAGCGCCTGTCTGCATCCCAATTGATACCTCGAAAGCAGATACTTTTTCGATGATCCGAACATGGTCTGACAGTCTTGGGTGGATAGACTCAAGATGGACATACAGTAGATACTAAAGATCAGCGCCTCCAAATCAGGGTCGATATTAATGAGATTCGAGGCTGCCTCAATAATGCGTGTCTGCAAACTGTTCACGTGCGAGACTTTGAGTAGCGGGTTCACGTTATCGATGTAGACTTGCCAGAGCCTGAATATCTGGATAGGTTCGGGATGTAAAGCCAGAAGATGACCACTATTTTGATAAGGTCCGAAGAACAGATGCTCATCCACTTGGACTTCTTGGTTTCGGACTCCTGCCACAATCTTCTCTCGCAAATCATCGCATGATGAATCGCTGTCATTATCAGGATCTCGAAACTATGTCTGTCATGAGAAAATTTCCCCTGGACCCATGGTGCGTCGACTTACGGCATGGCTCATGGCGTGAAATACGTTCCTGGGACAAGATTAGCAGCGGCTAACCATAGTTTCTTCCGTAAAGCATACTTAGGCTCGTAACTACTTTCTTCCTTCTCATGATTGGAAGAAGTCGAAGCTTTGTCAGCGACATGTTCCATCTGCTCAACTTGAGAATCGTCACTAGAATCCACATTGAACGAGTCGTCCCGCCTTGGTGGGTGGAGTGGTTCGAATGGGATTTTGTGCTGGCGAAGCAGTTCTTCATACTTGTGAACACGTTCTAGTAAGGCCCGTTCACTAAATCGGCGTCTGCGTGGAGCAAGTGTCGCCTGTGTACATTGTACACGAGCTTTGACACAGTTGCTGCAAGGAAACTTGCGGTCGCATTTGACCTTTCGTTGTTGACACGACGTGCATGCAAGGACACGCTTGTGCCTTGAGGATCTCAAAGTTACTTCTTGGCGGCCGCTCATCATACCCGACGATTGAGCGCCGTCTGTCGAAGGTAGCATGTTCATCAGACCGTATCACGCCCTTTCCAAGGCCATCAGTTGTCAAGATGCGCACTTATCATTTACATTAGGGGAAAGCAGATGCAATGTGGGCATTCAGGTTGGAACAAGATTCTGGCGGACAACCTGCTCCTGAATATCCGGCAAGGTGTACGACAGAAGCATCTAGAGTAAAGCTTTCTTGAAGAGGGTGTTGACTCATGACGTGAACACGGGAGAACGTTGGCTGATATCGGGCTGGCTCGTTGGGTGCTCGGATTCTGCTATTGCCCGGCTTTGAGTTAGGACAAGCTTTTCGGCTCTCACTTAGTAGAACTAGCGGGAGTTTGATGTGGGGTATACAATGCAATAAAAACTCGTTATTCGTCAAGGCCACCTGGCTAGTATACTAACCGCTTGTTAGAGCCAACTCGGGATTTAGAAATGCCCGGGGGGTAGTTGGTCGTTCTAACAATCAAGATGGAGCCATCAAGGAATACTCATGATACTAAGTAATGGTAATAATGTCATCCTGTGATGAAAATTTGGGAAGTGTGCCTGATATAAAATGACAGCTCGCTGCTTCTATGACTCTTCAATTCGCTATGCATTCCTTTCGCTTTGTGTCCTGATACCACAATCCGCTGGCGAAGCATTTGACTCATTATGCGTGTTCTCATTAGTGGTGCAGGCATCGCAGGGCCTACTCTTGCTTGGTTTCTGGCGAAGACTGGTACACATATCGATATTGTTGAGAAGAGCTCTACTCTCCGATCCAATGGCAACGCAGTTGATTTCAAAGGCCCCGCGGCAACAGTTATCCGAAAAATGGGATTATTAGATGAGATCAAGCGTGCGAGTACGACAGAGAAAGGCACGCATTTCGTTCGCCATGACGGGGTACCTTTTGCAACCTTCCCCGCCAAGGAAGGTGCTTGGGAAGGGCAGTCGGCTAGTCTTACTTCGAATATTGAAATACTTCGTGGAGATTTGGTTGCGATTCTTTACAACGCAACAAAAACCCTTTCAGATGTCCATTACCATTTTGATACCACCGTCAAGGATGTGATATCCAATGAGAAAGACAGCGTCAAGGTGGAACTAAGTAATGGTGAAGTGCGGGAGTATGACGTTCTAGTGGCAGCAGATGGACAGTGGTCTAGGCTTCGAAAGAAATGTTTCCCATCTGATAGTGTCCATGTCATAGACATGGGCATGTACGCCGCATACTGGACGATCCCACGCCTGGAGACCGACGAAGACTGGTGGAGCATCAATGTGGCCCCTGGCTCAAGGCTGCTGAGCATCAGACCAGATCCTCACGGAACCATGAGGGCATTGGTCACTCACATGCCCAGCAACAGGGACCAGAAGAAGCTGTGGTTGGAGGCGTCTAAAGGCGATAGACAGACTCAGGAGGAGCTATTGAGAGAAGAATTTTCTGACGCAGGATGGCAAGCACAGAGAATTTTGAATGACCTGGATCAAGCACCAGATCTATACTTTCAGGCCATCCAACAGATCAAAATGGTTAAATGGTCGACTTCTCGTATTGTGTGCCTCGGAGATACAGCGTATGCCCCAACGCCACTCACAGGTATGGGTACATCGTTGGCTATGATTGGCGCCTACATACTAGCAGGCGAATTGAGCAAGCTTCAGGACAATGAACCCCCTGCAAAAGCGCTTGAAGCATACGAAGCAATCTTTCGCTCCTATGTTGAGAAGGAACAAAACATTCCCTATTTTATTCCTGGAATCGCACATCCCAAAACGAAATGGAAGAAATGGCTACTTGAAATGTTCTTGTGGGTGCTGTCGAAGGTTGTGGCACTTCCCTGGGTCTCTGATAGGATTGATGAGGGAGATAAAGACGAATTCGCTTGGCCACTGTACCCCAAGCTCGAAGAAGAAATTCCTGACCAATGTATACCTAGGTAGTCGTAGTGTGGGTGTTCTGGAGGAAATGTAAACAGCTGGTGGTTAAACATGTTAGTTCTTCTCTGCTTGTCAAGTAATGTTTGCCGGTGTAGAACTTATGAACTCTGTCATTCCAAGACATCTAGAACTCGTGTCTATGAGCAATGAGTTGGTGAGGATCAATAGGTCGCAACCCTTGATGTACGGTTTTTCGTCTCGATCCTTATTCCCATCACTCGAGACGATGCCCCTCACTGATGACATGCGGACAGACTGACGCTCTACCTCTAACCACCACTGGTGCCGAGTCGAATCATAACCACCACTCATTTACCCTGCTGTTGTTTAGCTAGCCTCTCCACCAATGCACTTGCGTGATCTTTGATCTTGTTAAACTGCCATGGCCAATCAATGACATATAGAAATGGCCTTAGATCGTGTCGGTTGTCATCTGGATTCTGGTAGACCATGAGCCATCCAGTTGAAGATATCGTTGCCGATTGCATGGGTTTTAGAAAACTTACATATGCACTCATATGGACACTTGGTGTTAACACTGTACTCTTGTGGCGATTCAATGCACTGTAAGTAAATATCGGTTAGTGTTAACTCTTTTTTAAGCCTGTATCTATAGGGCTGCAGTGGGCTTTCTGCTATCAACCATAACCGCTTTCTTGCCGAGCCAGGTATAGAGGTACCAGGAGCGGTTGAAATGCCTCAGAATCATGCTTCACTGCCGCCAGATCATAACGGATAGAAGACTTACTAGAAGCGGAAGAAACGCATGACTTTGGTTGCAACTTCCTGAGGACCGTAACCAGGTCGCTCTCGCCACTCAACTAGGAGTCGCAAGTAACAAGACCAGGGTCCAAGCTTTTCAACCTATCACCATCTTTAGATACAGAACATAGCATAGTGAGTTTGGACAAAGTTACCTTGCGGAGGACTCCAAATGTGCTCAGCTCGTCATATGTCATACCCATTTCAGACTCAGATTCGTCGTCCTGCTCCCCAGCGGACAGAGGGGTAAGTTCGGCTGACGGACGAGCATCAATGAATTCCTTGAACAGAATTAGTCTTGAAATTATGTAGACGTGTAGAGGACCACACACCGTGATGATAGGCATATCCCACTTCTCTCGTGCCCATGCCAGGAAAGCTTTTGCATCAGATTTGGAGATACTTCCCTGCGACGTGTGAGACTCTCGGTCGACTCAATTGTTCACATGACCTTACCAATGGCGCAATATCCCCGGATGAGCAGTCGTATTTCGTCAAGTAGCTAAGAAAAAAAGCCTTGTAAGCATTGCCGAGCCATTTATGTCGAACATGGAGATACATACCCACGAAGAGCTTCATCCACATTGCCCGAGGATACCTAGTCTACATTTCAGTCTTCAACGCATGATAAATAAGAGCGGCTCGAAGACAATGCTCAAGGCAGGTGAAAGCAGTTATGTGCCCTGCAAAACTGTTCATTGCCTTGAGTCCGCTGCGAGTCGTGTGAAAAATACTTACCACGAGTAGACTTGCACCAGCTCTTGGCAGCTTGCGAGCCGTTGTGCTAAGCTGTGCCATCTATGCCAGTGTCCAAATTAGCTTTGCCCAAGAAGAGACACAATAGAAAGTCTCATCAGTGACACAGTTTGAGAGCTGCACTCACCTCATATGCAATGACCATTCTGTTGCGTGCCTGGATGTTCTGTTTTGCGAGATTCTCCTGCAAGCCCTTGCAGTCAGTCGTGTGCGTTTTGCTTTCCCAATGGGAAAATTGGCAAATAAGTAAGATGTGCGTACTGCATTGCTTCCTCCCTCAACTTTAAATTTCGGCTCGAAGTTCAAGGCTTGTTCAATAATCTTCTCGTGCGCATTAACAGTGGCATCAATGTTGACATCAGAGTGATATGCACCAATACGCTCTGCTAAGCGTTTGGAGCGCGATCTTGTGTGACTTGCACTGTGCTGGGTTGCCATGTAGCATGTGTGAAGTAAACGCTTCACAATGTCTTGCGGTGTTTTGACTGTGAGGTTCGGTTCCCCTGTGACACGGCGCAGATCTGATAGCGCGTTTTCATCGCCGGAATTGATAGATTCTAGGACTACTTGAGCCATACCAAAGACGAAAAGTGCCACTGTGGCGCTGTCGAGACCTCCAGAAAGGGCAAGAAAATACCCAGCAGCATTCGCCCGAGTAAGGTACTGCCACAGAAAAGCTGCTTCGGCCCTAAATATTTCTTCCATCGGGTCGAGTATCTTGAGCGAAATTTCGCGAGATAGCTGTAATTGGTCTGAGAGCAGAATATCGTCCGCAGGGCAAGATAAACTGAGATCGCACTCTATTCGGGGGTACTCTGGCTGTGCTGCTCCTTGCACATTTCGTGAGATGCTACTCCGATAGCTGCGGACCTCCTCTAGATCAATGGTGGCAGTGATAACTTCAACGGGTTTCTGCATGTGATGAGTTGCATTCAGAATGACAGTAACCTGGAACTCGAGTACATACCAAGGAAAATTGTGTGGATTGGCTCGATACGTTAGCAGAATAATGGACAAGCTCATGGAAATTTGGTGGCACACCTCATGACACGGCCGTTGCACAAGACCATTGATGAGCCGTCGTACATCATTCTGGCTTCACCGTCTGGTGTGGCATAAGGTCAATTGCCATCAACGAAATTTGGGAATGCGGAGAGGTGAAGAGAAGAACCCACCAATTCCGGTTGCGTTAGCGTAAATATACACCCCTCCAAGCTTTCGGGTGCAGTTTTGGATCAGGGCGAGTCTGGTGCTGAGTTTCCTCAGCTCGGCATGTGAAGCACTTGAGTTGACGATGACCTCTACACCATTCAGACCCATATTGGTTGACGGATTCAACGGCTTGAGTAAAAAGTCAATCTTATGTAATTCGAGAACGGTAGTGGACAGACAGCACGGAGTGACTCACAGTGAATAGCTCTTCACACGTCTCGCACCTTATAGTTTTGGTCAGCATCAGGTCCAGCATCATTCCGTTCAGGGACCATATCCCTACCCTACGGACGTGTCGAGTGTGGAAAGCACTGCATCACCAATCGGCACTGTTTTCTGTCCAGTGATGTCTCGAATAACCTGCTCAAGATAGTATGTCTCGACTGTTCTCGGCTTTACCCAGGCCGTGAAATGGCGGGCTTCACGGTATAGGCCGTCATTAGCAAGGCACATTTTTGGCCGAATGAAAAAGATCTTCCTGTAAGTAAGGAGAATGCGGCAATTATATCGGACGTTCTGACCCAGAGTATCAGCAAGAAATCCACCAACCTGGACTTAAAACTTACTCGATGTCTCACGCCCATGCCAACATCAATCAGCATGTCTTTCGTCATTGGATTATTCAGGATCTGAGCAACAACCTCCCAACTGTGAAAGAAGGTGTCACCCTCGACTTTTTGGCTCGATATCAGCAACCCTCCGCTTCATAGTGCTTTAAAGGATGAATTTGACTCACGGTGATGGTCAAGACATCCATATCCAGGAATTTCCAACTGACCAGATTAGCCTTGGCTCCCCGTATATCTGTTAATCATGTGCAAAATACCTCTGGCCCAGTACGGAGCTTTGCACCTTGAGCTTTCGCGAGCCGGATGCTTTCCAATATTCTCTGAAGATTTCCTTTGAAATCAAGTGGCACACTAGGAAGCGTCGCACTTGCGACGGTAATGAAGGTCATATTAAGCTACCTTCTTCCGTCTCAACCTGAGAATGAGTGATGTTGAATAAATCGACCGCGATTATTTCCCTTTGCACATCAACTGAGTATGGGCTCAGCCACGTCATATATTTCTCAAGGATCTGAGAGCTTCAAGAGACAAACCGATGTGATATTGCTGGGAAGAATTTCCAGACTATGACTCGGCATGCTGGTCTTGAACGGCCGATCATTCGGTAGTGATGTGAATTTTTGATTGCAGTGGAGCGGAATAAATAACCCCAATAGTGGTAGAAGGCCAGTTTCATGCTAGCCCAGAAGCTAGCGTGCCTAGCCTCGCTAAATACTTACCTAAGAGGCCTCGTATCGGTATGCGGTACCTCGGTTTATTGCATCCGTCACGCCTCTTCTTGTGTGAAAAGGGGTTGACGTTATGATTGTTTCGGCCGCAGAGTGTGAAGCTTCATCCCAGCAGACAAGAAAATATCTTATTTCTCAAGTGGAAGAGAAGGTATTGAGATCATGTCAAGACTTCAGCCATGACTCTGTCAATCACAGTTGCTAGAAAGGGCCGTCTTGGGAGCAGAAAATCGAACGATGGATGTACCACTTGCAAAATCAGAAAGGTTAAATGCGATGAGCTGCATCCTGCCTGCAGAAGGTGTCTAACAACAGGAAGAAAGTGCGATGGTTATATACGCAACACAAATCTCACGAAGAGTGCGCTAGCGCATGTGATAACTCCTACTACATACGCAAACCTGGAAACTGCTGAGCTGCAGTCCTTTGAGTTCTTCATGCGACGATTTGTGCCCGGTTCGACAAAACTGGTGGACGCGCAATTTTGGGATCAACTTGTCCCTCAGCTTAGCCACTCAGATCCAGTCATCTGGGATGCTGTGATCGCTTTATCACGTCTAATGCAGCACCCCCAGTATTCTCGGAGATACACACTGCCAGAGCGCACCAAGCCTCCTGTGGTAGATGCAGAACACCGGAGGGCGTTGACTTGGTACGGTAGATCGATGACAGGCTTACGCCATCGCATGCAACAGACTACAACCCCATCAGCTACTGATATCATATCTTGCATTTTGTACATTTGCATAGAATGTCTGCAAGACAACATCTCAGAAGCAGTCGCGCTCTATCAGCGTGCAGTTGCAATGATGAGAACAACAGCAAACGGAGAGGTCGCAGTTTGGCCTACGACACAACTTGAGAAGTCGATTGGAACCGGAGTAAGAGATTTGTTGCAGAACATGGCAGCATCGCAACGAATTCCTACCCTATGGGAAAGAATCCCTGATCAATACGGAGCCACATTCGAATCTCCCCTTGACGCTAGAGAAGAGCTTTTTGTCCTGCTGTTTGATTCACACGACTTTATTATGGATAGTATCAAGGCGATCACCATCAACCAAGACAAAGACTGGTCACCTCCATCAGAACTGGTTATGCGACAACAGTCACTCCAAGCAAGATTTGAAAAGTGGTACCGAGCACTTGAGAATTCAAGGGCGATGCTGGGTACAACAAGGACCCAAGATGAAGAGTCTGAGGACGAGGGCTACTCACTTCTCCTGGTAACCTACGGCCAGTACTACATCACTTTGTCCAATATCTTGAACATGTATGAGATAGCATTTGATAAATTCAACGCCCTTTTCCAGACGATGGTCGATCACGCCAGCCGCATCATAATTCCCCAAAGCAAAGGGCCACGCCCGGTGTTCATGTTTGAAACTCGATTTATTCCCCAACTATTCTTCGTTGCAACAAAATGCCGTCATCCGACGATTCGTCGACAAGCAATCAAGCTACTACGACTTGGGCCAGAAGTCGAAAATACTTGGAAAGCAGACACTCTAGCCGATATCGCTGAACGAGTAGTGGGGACCGAGGAGTCAGGTAACATCAATGGCACGTTCCGCCTGGAGCCCTGTTCTGTGGGACTTCCCCCAGAAAATCATCGAATGTGTTGGGATAGGATCACTGAGCTTCCTGGGTCTGATGGCCAACCAGCAAACTTCCATCAATTTGTGATATGGCAACAAACCGACAATCATACATGGCTACCAATTCACCACATGGTTAACGTGTAAGCGGGTATAAAAATGATTATCCCACAACTAGAGTGAACGCTCACTCGGCTTTGCATGGTTCATGGATCCCTATTGGTACAAGTTGGTGATACCTATTCTCGTGGGTTATGCAGGAGTGCTTTCGGAAGCTCTATCCACAAGTCTCCATGTGTGTTCAGCCACCTTGTTCAATTGCTCCTCAGGGAGTACAGCTTTCTTAGCCACCGGTTGGCCCTTGTGGTTGATGTAGCTCCAAAACCGACCTTCCTGGTCGCCCGTCGTTACCTGCTGGGTGACACCATTCAGCAATCGCTCTGCACAAGTGTCCGGTGATACACCAACGACACTACCCAAACCATTCATCAATGGTCGTAAATACCATGGCAATTCTCTGGCTAGACTCGTGTTGACCAAGCCTGGCCAGGCGTGGATAAAATGCCTTTTAGCGGTACCCTGCTTCTTCTGCTCCGCCACCCAATATTGGACCATGGCATCATTCATGACCATGCAATGGTTTGCAGCCCTCGCGAGACTGAAGTGCTTCTTCAGGTCTAGATCATCCCAGTCGAGCTTGGTGGGATTGCCATTTATCGAATCAAAGACGATAATGACCTTGGCGTCCTCCTTCAACACTGGCAATAATTCACGGATTAAAAGCTGCTTGCCGTAGTAGTGCAGTGCCATCCTTCGATCAATACCTTCTGGTGTCTCTGTCCTTCCTGCAGTCGTCATAATACCCTGGGTCATGATGAGGAGGTCCAGCTTCTGCTCCTGTGCCGCTTTGAATGTATCTGTATACTGTTTTATCTGGCGCATGGAAGTCGCATCGAGTGGTCGAAACTCCATGTTAGCGTGAGGGATGTTTTTGGGCTTCGTTCGACCACTGATTATCACTGTTGAACTTTTGACCTCAGCAGCCACGCGACAGGCCATTCCATAGCCAATACCGTTCGTGCCGCCTACAACGATAGCTCTTATGGACATATTGACCAGGCAAAAGCAATCACAGAATTGTTCAACCTGTTCTTGATGATGGAAGATTCGATTGTAAAATAACCGCTCGTCATGAGGAAATGTATTGAGTATTTGAGCCTTGCTGCCTGGTCATGGACTTGTGGCTGGCGGAGATTGAGGTTCCCATGGAGCGCCTCAAAATGCCGCGTCTATTGAATGTTTACCGCAAATAGGCACCCAATTTGTTAGTACTACCGGAGTTAGACGGTTTGCAGGACCCTTAACAACATGGTCTGCATTAAATCCCTTTGAGGTACCTCGAGATCGCACCAGTGCGGACGGACCAAGAAACCATTCTTCCAAAACAACTCTTGACAACCTGGAAGTAATGGGAGCCGTCAGAAATCAGCCACCTAGCCTAGAGAGTCCCCATGCTTGCCCACCAAGGTACTTTGTGTAAGATTTTGAGGGGTTCAACTTGGTGAGGAGCACAAAGCAACCCCAAGATCACTGCAGGAGATCCTTGTTGATCACCCGTCCAGACACGGCTGCGGTTGTAGACGGGAAGTCCAAGAATCCCTACGTCATGGTTTTAACTACGGTATTTTTGTGCCAAATCTTGTTTGAAAAACATCAGCAAGACATCACCCAAGGTTTTATAGTGTAGTGGTTATCACTCCGGATTTTGATCACAAAATCACAAGGTTGAAACCTTCCGGCGACCCCGGTTCGAACCCGGGTAAGACCGTGAGTATCTCCCCAATACTGTATCGAATAAACATGCATTAACTCTCATGAAGTCACAAATTGCTTCCTACAATTGGCACACTTTTTTTGACCCCTATCTCTTGCAAATCAAGTAGATTGTCTTTGTTGAGTAGCCATGGGCAGCGGGCGGGGACTTTACAAGCAGCGGCCATATTGTCTTTACCCTATCCACTTAGGTAATAATTACGGCACTTAAAATTGTGAACGTCTTGGCACCGGACTTTCATTAAACCCTGCGCTGGGATCGTTCTGTATCATCATCTGTGAACAGCTTGAACAATCACGGCATAGCCGAAGATCGAGAGCGGTTTGCCAAAATCCCAAACATTCTCCACGAATTCTTCTCATTGGGAGAATTTGTTGCAATAGCTCAATGCCAGACCATTACCTACCTGGGTAGTGTAATCCGGGTCCTGACTGTGACCAAGATTCTTTTTGGGGAATGACAGTCGATCGCCACGCCGCCAAAATACCTCTTGTAATACCCACCAAATTCTCTGGAATAGCCTCCGAGGCTTGCACCTATAGTGCTTGTATGATGCTTGTGTTTCTGGTGTTCTCCAATTGATGTCATAAACCATGATGGCTAAATACCAGGTTCGTGGTTGGCGTCGTATCTGCTCAGGAAAGAACGATGCATGTAATCCATAAAGAGGCGATGTGTTGTGAAATGAAGCTGCCGAGCCGAATCTGAGGGTGGTGATCAAAATCGTTCTGGATGACAGACACTCTCTGGACGCCACTTCTTATCGTTGCGCCTCCAATACGAGTAGCATGCCTCGCAGACACGTTGATCATCAAGAATTCGAGAATGACTTTTGGTAGATGTCTCCTTTTGACAGTGTATGTTCACACAAGTGAACGTAGGACTTGTCTTTGCCTTTTCACGCAACTTTTCCCGCAAACACAGCTTTTCATCTCTCATTACACCACGCGAATTCCAGTAGTTCCAACACGGCTTACATACGCGATGCTCTCTGATAAGGAACAACTTGAGAAGGTTTTTCGCCTTCTTTGACTGACACGCCTTGTAAGTGCAAATGAGAGATTCAGACCGGCCCGTAGCAGATAAGAACAGTGCATCAACTTCGTCCCTTGGCAAAGACCCGATATCCACTCCCTCTAGATGCGCTTTGCCACTCCTGACTGAATTCTGTATCCTCTTGGCCTTCACTTGCTTCTCCTTCTCATTCGCCTTCCACTTCTCGATCAAATCTTCAGGTATAGATAGTTCATCTGGTGGTGAGAGGTCAAGTCCAATGGTCTGTAGGTCAAAGATCGTGTTTGCGCCGAAGGCATTTTCAGTGTGTCGAGAACAATCGGCCTCTTCAGTATCCAAATGCATACGTTGACTCTTTGCATGCCGTCGCATCACGCGGATGAGCACATTCGGCTTTTCATCATCTTCCTGCTGACCGCGAGCTTTCTTTGCACGAATCTCTCGACTTGAATGGGAAATGCTGGTGTGCCCAAGATATTCTGTCTCGTTTTCTAGTGGAGCAGGAGCGTGCCTCTTTCTTTTCGGCATGGTGCTGTGGTCTAGATTTAGGTAGTACTTGACAAGAAGCTTTGGACATGCATGTGGTATCAATAGAGATCCGGTGTGAGACTGGGGATAGGTCGCATGTAGGTATGTACCAGCGAAGCAGGGTACGCTCAAATATATGTAGTTGCCGAAGAAGAAGACTGCGGCTCTAGCTGTAGACCAGGTTAGCAAAGTCCGTTCAATAAGGTCACATTTTTTAACGAAGTGCAACTGCCTCACGAGCTTGCGTGTCACCTGTTATAGGTAGACTAGCCGTTTCTGCGTAGGCAGTTGTAGCTCGCTTTGGCAAAGCACCCTTCACATATTTTAAGATGTTCGAGAATATGTGACTGCCTCACAGCGTGATTCTCACTGGTGTTGGCAGGTTCGCTCGCCCTGTGAAGTGCAGAAGACTGCGGCGGCATCGTCATGAAATCGTGGATGATTAGACGAAAAAGCATTTGCATCACGATGTGAATTACAGCAGAACAACCGTGTTGACATCAAAGGTCTTCCACCTTCGTAATTAAATGGTCGCCGCAGTTGTTATGAGTGAGAAAGATCCCGCAGCCAAAATAAAGCAGCACTCATGGAGTACTTTGTAGTGCCCATCTCTCGTTGATTAACTCAAATGACATCAGTATGCATTAGCGTAGGTTTGTTCCAGCCCTAGTGCATTCCCTTTCCACTAAAACAATCAATTTCAGAAACTCCGTCACGCCTTTCCAGCACGACAAGGAAAGTGAACTAGCAACTCCAGCCTGGTAATGCATCACTACTCCTCAATTCCCATACGGTTCCAATATGCACTCTTCACCTTTCTGGACGCAGGAAATACAAGGTACACACGCTCCTTCCACTCTCCTGGAAATTGTCAGTCACCACATACACCAATACATAGTTACCATGGAGCTGATGCTCAATTCGCAAGGCGGGTACTGTATCAGGTTGTTGATACCACTCAGAGGTGACGCAGAGGAGGAATTGAGGTAGTATACTTACGGAACACACGCAAGTTTCATAACACGGCAATGTATACAAATCCGCCTTGGCCTCTGTCGCTTGCTTAGTTTGGGCCACGCAATGTCACCTTTTCTGGGTTGCGCATGGGATTGCATCAGCTCATAGTAATCCGCTTGGATTGTTTTATGTGAATGGAAGTATTCGTCCACGTTGATTGTACATCCGCAGTTCAGCTGCCTGTCTCCGAAAAACTCCGTTGCAAGGTCTCCACCTTGTCGACACATATTCAGGAGCTTATAAACAACGTCAGCGATGGGCATAGCATAAGCATCTATCAGATCGTCATTGCGAAGTGGTAGAGGAAGTGGAGCCCCAATGGTTGTACCCTTCTTCCGAGCGTTGTTGCACCGAGAGCGAAGAGCATCCGATGCTAAGTGTTCTGATGGCACGACATATCGAATGTTCGCGTCCTCAATACCTTCGCCGTTGCTTCGCCCGCCTGTAGTCAAAGCGGGACTCAGAACATAGATAGATCTCTCGTTCTTGCGTACGGCATGCTCAAACGGTGTGCGGTCATATGCTGAGACAGCAATCAGGGAGTCGAGCAGCGAAATGCAAGCGAAATGCACCTTGACAAATGGGGTATCAGGGTGTGCTGTCCTATAGCTTGAATTGAGAAAGGGACTGAAGGCCTGACATTCACTTGGATGTGTATGTAAGGGATAGAACATTCCCCAACCTCTGCGTTCATTAGTTAGTCTTTATGGAGACTCAATCAAACTTTACCATGAACTCACAACTTTTCACACTGGCGATTATACCTGCCCATTTCCACCGATCTGAACAGTGCCTGAGACCAACCATCCTGCGAGGCAGCTGCACGAGTGTTTGCGACTTCAGTAATATCCTCACTGCGGATATCAATGTCACTGTCACCATCAAAAATTGAAGTGCGGTCGGACTGCTTGCTCTGTGGCTGCCGAGAGAAGTCTGCGTGTTCTTGAGCTGTTGGAGGTAAATAAAAAGGACGTTCTTTGTTATCATGCAGGTCGTCGTATAGATTCAGGATGGACTCAAGCTGAGACACGAATTGCGAGCCATCCGAAGGCTTTCCAAGAAGAAGATGGCGTTTCAAGAAGTCTGGGTCCTCGGGGAGCCATGTCATCACCGGGTACCTTGCAATGGAGCCGAGGTCCTGTTCCTTTGTTCGGACTTCTCCCGTGCCGTCAAACCAAGCATCCGGTAGCACTTTTCGGGGCAGCACCAACCATCCTCCCTTGGAAGACTTGAGCTGCAGGAGGTAGATATCAACCGGGTTGAGAGCGGAGAAGTGGCGCCCACGAATGGTGGCCCTTAAGGAGCGCTCATTTTTGACCTTACGGAGTTGAGATGTGCAGGACAGTTCTCCTTTCGGTGTAACTAAGGCGACAGCCATTTTTACTTCGACGCAGATCATATCCTTAGTTTCGTTGTGGATAAACGCAAAGTCCCCTACCGCTGGCCTTAACTCCATTTGTCTTGCTTCGTAGTCCTGGCCATGCTGTCTAAACTGTTCACACAGCTCATCAACCCACCAGGCGTCAGGGTGCCTGTCGAATGTTGGCGGCATAAGCTGTTTGATGTCGCATGGACGAAGCGGTGGGCAACGATCGTAACGCATATCACTGAAGGAATTAACCCTGTACACAACTATCAATAGTTTGACTTAACACAGATAATTCTTAGAGAGCAAGAAAGTGGGCATAAAGGCGAGGAAATGGTGGACCTACCAATGCGGTCGCTGTTCACTGCCGAATGCCAGCAGATTCTTCAGCTCGTTGGCCAAATGACTAAGAGGTATCGCAAATGCATCCGTTGTCAGAGGGGCAACATGAGCCACGCGGGAATGATAAGATGTTCCCACAGACTGCTTGAATGTGCATGTACGTTGGTACTTGAATCTGTAATCAAGGAACCAGGAAGGGACGAGTCTAACATGCCGTGGTGTGTCTGTAGAATATAGAAGAAATGCTGCTGAATGTCGTTGCTGCAGGCGGCTAAAGGAAACGAGAGCTTTTATTGATTCCTGTGGAGTTGCTGAATAGTAACACTCTCCGTGGGCTTTGAATTCGAGACCAAAGACATCGTTCACGTCTGGATGGTGCCTCTGCACCTCAAAAAGACGCTCAACAGCAGACTTGCTCTGCAGTGGTGGTGCCTGAACAAGGAGGCCGAAGTCAATAGCGGCATTTTCCATCCCACTTAAGAAAGGGTCAACATGTTCCTGAACGATGTTGCACATCGAGCACTCGGAAGCAGTAGCTGCTGATTTTATCAGAAACCTGATAGTTGCCTCGAGAATCAACTCAGTACGAGAAGGCACATGCTTCTCCATGCCGGGAACCACTCTGATTTGTTAAAGCTACACTTTCTTAAAGTGATTATGAAATGAACATAAAATTGGTCGATCGATACAGCGGTCTAGGAGCTCACAACGTATTTGTACTATACTATGCGACGTAGTAACAGCAAACGACTGGAACTTGAAAGTCTGTATCCGTATTTACGCACCTGCTACGGACGAATGAGTGAAGAGCTATCAGCTCCATCTCGAAGATATTTACAAATGGCCTGGGAGTGTGCTCCGAACTTGTTTTTCTCGTGGACCATCCGACTATGACCACACCGTGGCAGTCTTCCATTGGATATACTCACTTGGAGCTACTTTTGAGGAGATTTATGAATCTATATTATTTCTCCAGTGCTTTCTGCTATGTCCTGGCTAGACCCGATAACCGATGAAGCGCCCAATGGCATGTAGAATGCCGAAGTGTGAATTCAGTCACCACCGTCCTCATCAGCTTCTTCTTCTGACACATGTAGCTCCTTTTGAACGAGATGATACGCTTCTCCCTCGCTAGCTGCTTTCATATTGGCCAGGACGAGTCTTCTTTGTAACTCAACGAAGAAGCAGAGCTTACTGTTGACGTCGTGGTACAAGTCTTCTAGCCTTCTGACAACTCCAGCGAGGCCATTTGTCTGACGCCACTGATCGAAGCTGGCCCACCCAGACAAACACTGGAAACTTAGACTCCCCGCATTGACTTCACCACATTCTCTTCTCATGGCCAAAGTTGGTCCAATGTAGGCTGCTGAAGTGAGCAAGATGGTGACAGATCCAGTTTTCAACCCGTTCAAGGTCGGAACCTGGCTCACGTCAGAGGCCAGCTCGACGTCCAGAGGTAAGACACTCATGTGTTGTGGAACCATCCCATAGCGACTGGTTAGAGCTGCAAGGCGGTCAATAGGCTTCATCGAGTTCCACCTCAATCTTTCCCCATCGGACCACGTCGTGTGAATGTAGAACAGACTCGGAACTCTAGATAGAGCGACCCTCGCTTCAATCAATGCCTTTTCATTCCGCAAAGGTGCAGCACGATGTGGATGAACCAAGAATACCTGGAATAATCTCAGTGCTGAATTCAGCGCTTGACGACTCCTGCAAAATGCGGCAACCTACCTTTCCTGAACCCTGTGCGCAACACGCCTCAGTCAAGGCTAGGGCCATGCGAGATGAATCAGATATGGGCGATGACCCTCCTTTCCCCCGGAAATCCCAAATAGCGTTCGTTATAGTGACTGCCTCACTGACTGGGTCAAAGTGAGACCACTTCGCTTCGGGACTGATTCTTTCGAGTCGCTTAAGCGAATGCTCCGAGTCTTCCATGACTAGTTTCTGACTAAAGAACCGTTTCAGCTTAGAGAAAGAAGTATTCGATATCGTTAATAAGCGGTAAGGACGAGAGTAGAAAGAGATTGTCGACCGTGGGAGTGGCTGTTGGGCTGGTTTCTGCTGAATCGAGGTGGTCTATGTGTCATTTGTCTACCACTGGTGACACGCTGCATAGTTCAGTAGGCGAGAATTACTAGAACTACTAGGATGATTTCTCGGTTTCAATATGGAATGGAACCTAGCGCTTCGGTTGGTGAGAGCGGTGAAGGCGAGGCCAAGATTCGTGATCGGACGTGAGGACACAGAAATGTTGACCTTCTTACATACAACCAATCGCAATTTGTCGCCCACTATAACAAAGCATCTGAGCCGAATAGTTCTGTCTAGAGAGGCTTGACTCCCTGTTGGAGGGTGGTGGCTGCCCACTGTATTGAAGTCGATGCTCATGCAAAAGTATTGCTGTAGCTCGCCGTTAAACGGAGCGAATATGGTAGAAGCCGCCGACTTCATAGCAAGGAGACATCTGTGTCCTCATACCAACGTAGTACAAGTGCTCTCTCTTTAGCTAGACCTTGCAGAAAGGTTGAGATAGCATAAGTCTGAGACATCGTTCTCCACTGTGGCCGATCAAGACATCGGAGAGACATTGACGCCCTCGTTTTTGGGATCTAAGAGTTCCAAATTGGTCGGCTTCACCGCTGGTCGTAATGGAAATTGAACTTTGTGAGGGCGAAGATTTCGAGAATTTATTCCCCAACCAAGTTGTCGGTATGAATCGGCTGGCAGTACGGTAACTCTTATGAGGCCGACTTGCAGCTTCAACACCACCGCATCAGAACAAGCAAATATCATCACATCAACAAAGAATTGAGGGCCTAAGCCGAAAGTACATTGAATAACGACTTTGTTACAATTATTGACTGCCTCTACGCAGCAAAATTACTCACCAAGTTGCTGAACAACTTCGATTCTCGTGAGAATGGCAACTTCCTCGACTTCCATCCACAAAAGGGTCGTGTCAAATAAAGTTCCTATGTCGCCATCGTCTGGTCAGGTCGCTGCATTTTTATCCGTTGTTTTAGACTATACGATCTACCTGCGTCGACTTACGCGTCCTTCGGACCAGAAGCAAATTGTTTATGAACGGAAGACCGCGCAAAGTTTCGTGCAGACAATTTCCGAGCCTCAGGTGTGGCCCCTGGTTCAGCAGGTCGCCGGTGAATACCGTTATCCAATGTAAGTAGTAAGTCTACAAGCACTCGTCTGTTCTTGACAATGAGTCCAGAAAACCTGCAGACAAACCATGGTTGTTGGAAGAGGTCCTTACCCAACTACAGGTTGCAGCACCTCCACATGAAGTGCTGTTGCCTTCAGACAGCTTTGCACAATGGCAAAGAGATAGGTTTTGGCATCGAGTGGAGCTGAATCTCAGGTATTTAACGTTTGCCTGGGACAACGAAGACAAGGCTGCAAAGGCAAAGTTGAAAAGCGCTAAAAATGGCTTCGATGGACTAAAGCAAGTTGTCGATGAGATGTACAAACACATAGAGGAGGACGAGGAGGAGGACGAGGAGGAGGACGAGGAGGAGGACGAGGAGGAGACCTACAGTGGAAGCGAGTCTGCGGTATAAGATACTCTTTACGCGTGTCGCCCACAGCTAAATTAAGCTTCAGCCCAAGCTAGCTACCTTTATGTAACTAGCTGTAGGGAGGCAGAACAGGTACTTCAGCTACCACTTCGTACCATAGGTGACAAGAGCCTCTATGCCTACGGCGCTTCCAACACTGGCAGCGCTTCGGAAGTTCTGTTTGTCATCGTCTCAGAAGGGAGAAAGATGGGGCCAGCGTTGGCAAGTCATCTTTGCGTGACGTTCACCTTTGTACCTCAGTTTGTAACTCCGAATGGATGGATGTGTCTACACTGTTAAGTGTACAGAGTTCAGAGCTGCAGGGGAAGTGAAAGAGAATTCCGAAATCATTACATGTGGGCGAAACGTAACACCGTCCCGTATGCTCTCCATCTAGAGATCGTGGCACCAATAACTTAAATTCAAACATGATCATATTTGCCTCCACATCGGTGTCATCTTTCTTTGTAGTCTCCATAACCATAACCACCCCTCTCATCTCTGATGCAACTCCGAGAAAACAGAGGAGGGCGCTCAAAAATATCCAAGATCCTCAACCTCGCCTGTCCGCTCGGTGATTCCTCGCCATTCAGTTGTGATACTGTTTCTTCCATTTATTCCAAAGTTGGGTGGGGATTGTTTTGGTGACACCCCATTCTTTGGGGTAGCCTATGTCCATATCCGTTGGTGGGAGCTCATTGTCCTGGAGAGAAAGATCTTCGCGCTTAGGCCGTGCTTGCCCGCGGCAAACTCGGCGTACCTCGATGAGTAGTGGGTCATTCGGGGCCTGTTTCCTGGCTGTGATGAAGTGGGACTTGGCGCTGGGCGAACAGAGGAGATCGAGAACCTGATACATTTGCTCAATGTCCTCCGGGGTCCAGTACTCGTCGGCGGCGGGCTATCACATCTCATTAATAACAGAGAATGGTTAAATTTGGGGACAGTAGTGCGGTGGTACCTGTTTGTCCTTGGCCTGCGGCTCACTCTTCTGCTCTTCACCCAGAGCTTCATCGGTGTCGACGACCGCGGGAGCCTCTGTGATCTGCAACTGTGCATCACCGTTACCATCGTCTGTCACTTCCTCAAACCCCTCTGCCTGATCTTGCTGGCCGGGTGGTTCGGGCGATTGCTCTTCGTCGACATACTCAGGATACTCGATCAAGGCGGGTAGATGCTGGTCCTGCTCGACACTCTTCGGCTCGAGGGCCTTCCTCGCGCCAAACAAGTTTGAGACGTAATTGGAGACGAACGACATGCCGTTAGCCTGTCTGTCGACCGCGGGAGGGTCCAAGGGAGGGGAGGTAGGGGCAACGTGCTAAAAGGGGCGGGGACGTCAGCATCCGTTACACAACCCTTTACGGGACACTCACCGATTCATTGTATTCCACAAATTGCAAGCCCAGAGAGTCCATGACATCGTGCAAAAGTGCGAGGCTATAGAGTGCCGAGGTGGAATCCTGGTGCTGCTCTCGCTTCTCACGTATGGTGTCCATAAAGCTCTCTTCCAGTGAATAGAAGTGGGCTGGTGCAAAAGCCTTCCACTCACCGCGTAGGAGCGCATGCTTGGCTTGCTCGCATATATCAAGTCCACCGGGCGACAGAGACAGATCGGCGACGAGCTGATCTGCTCTAGGCGTGTGTTCTGTAATCGGCAACGGCGACAGGGTCGCCAAAGCGAGTGTCGAAGGGTCCTCTGCCGGTGCGGCCGCAGGTTCAAGGGGGAGGAGTTGGGCCTGTTGCAAGAGTGGTGAGCGCGGCTGTGGGGATGGGAAGGCAACCAAGGCGACTTTCGAAGGGTCCTCTGCTGGTCGAGGTGTTGCTGGTGTGGCTGCAGGTTCATCAGGAAGTATTTGAGCCTGCTGCAAAGGTGGTGAGCGCGGCCATGCGGATGGGAAGGTCCCAGGGGGTTGCGGAGCTCGATGCACCGGTTGATAAGATGCGGGTATGACTGGAGGCGCAAGCGGCGGAAATCGGGCCATGGGCATATTAAGTGACAGAGGCTTAGGCGCAGTTGGAACTGGGGCTGGTCGGGAAGCTTGCGGCGGTGCCGGGCGCACTGTTGGCCATGGACGACCTCTGGGGGAAAGCTGGTCGGCCGGGTCGTCGATCGCCAACCGACTGAGTGGTTGCAGGACGGAAGACAAGCGAGGTGTGACAGTGTTGTGACCAGGGCCCCCGCTGACATTGGCCGCAGGCGCCAATTGCGCGGGAGCTGGAAATGAGGCCAAGGCCGCTGGCATAGTTGGTATCGCCACGGGTCGAGGTTGCGACGCACGCGGCCGAAGGGGGGGATTTCCCTGCTGCTGGCAGTCGAACTGGATCAGAGTGTTGACCTTCTCCCACTTGGTCCTGCCTGCACCACGGGTGGACACGCGCCTCAACACCAGCTCGTCCACGAGGCCCGGTACGACCATGGCTCCAAAACGCCGCATCATTTCACCTTGGCATTCCAGCCTCACGACCGCAGTCACGAGATCCCCATGAGCGGACGCGGCGTCGATGGACTGGCCACGGCTACGTAGGTATGCTAGAAGTGCTTCTGCGGAAAATCTCGCATAGTGTTCGCGAGTCTCTGCCTCCACCGCCAGGACGATCAACTCAAGTTTTTTGGTCCCGGCGGGGGTTGTGACTTGGTGGAAGAGCCGTAGCACCGAAGCCAACTCCGGGGCGGGAACACGAGCCAGCCTGACTCTGGCCTCATCAACGTTGAAGGGGACCACCGAATCAGTTCCGGCGTTGCTGGGGGTCGCCATGAGTGCGTATGAGAGGTTGAGGTGTGAGGGTGGAGTCGGGCTGCGGCAACTGCCCCGTGGGGATATACCGAGGCGCCGACTTGGAGGACCGATTGGTGAGAGAAAAGGATGCTGGAGTGGCGACCACAGACCTGTGAGCTGCGAGAGGATTGGTGGGAGGTTTTCGCTGACCTTTGATCGTCACTCACTCGGGGGGAGGGCCCGTTGGAGAGGGATAGAATTGCTGACCGTGGAGGACGACCGGAGCCGTTAGGAGTGCCCGGCCTGTGCAGTGACTGACGTTGCTGGAAAAGTATGAAGGCGTGGTAGAGAAGGGTTTCACTAGCCAACCGCGGAATGGGTGGCATCAACTCGTATTAATAACCACACATAGCCACAAGAACTCCAGTGATGGGTTCATTCCTCCATAAAGTTGTCAAAAGCGGTCGACAAAGTTCTAGAACGCCACTCCCCATGCATTCCGGGAAAACGTGGATCCTCAGTTTGCCCAACACCATAGATCCCGTGGTACTGGAGGTACAAAGACATCTGTTGATTCTGGGTACTGCAAGAACGGGGGTTGAAAGAACATTGAACAAACACACAATCATACAGGCAGCCCGGTTTGAGATTCGTGGTTAGCCGTCGGCGTGTGGAGAGGGACCGCAGCAAACAAAGAGCTGACGCATTTACACACAACACCGAGCAAACGAGATACACAAGGTCTCCTTCGGCGACCAGCAGGTACCTCTGACAGCCTTGCATGGGGTTGTCCCCCATCCTGGGTTCCCCAAACTTGGTAGGTGTAGAGGAGGCACAGGGCGGGCATTCCCGGGTGAAGAGATGTATCACCGACCGCTGTGAGACAGGCACTGACATGTTGTCCAGTGTGGATTTTTGAAGCCCGCTTGTGGATATAGTGGCTTTACCGCCTGCTTTATGAGTTCGCGCGGTGAGCCATTGACGGTCGGTTGAGGCCTTTGTCCAGGGCTTGCAGCGATCCAGATCGAGACAGGGTCTCACTGAGACCACGTCGTGCTGTTGGTGTGGGCACCCCCCCAATCGACACGCGAACGGGGACGCCCAACGAGACGGTGCCGCCTCAATTATTGTGGCCGAGTGTTTCACGTTGTGGTTGTCGATCTGGACTACTAGTAGGCCGGAGGGAGCTGGAAAGGGGGGTTGTACACAAGACGGGACTCGAACCTGATGTCGCTACACACTGGCACGTGCGGGAAGCCATGACGTGGTTCGCCTAACCTCCCCTATGGAGGGGAGGTCCTAGGGCGGCAGCGTTGGCCTCTCAACGTCGGGACAAAATCCCGCCGCCTGACGTCGAGCCTGACTTGTCCTGGTATCTTGCAATTCCCATCTCTTGATCCCCTAGACCTCCATCGATAAGACAGGTCTTGGTCGAGTTCCTCGTCCGCTTCAATATCCGACGAGCGTCCCGCCACTGTCTTTGAACATGACAGCTGCGTTAAGGATCGGCCGTCATTCGTGATCACCGAAATGATTCTGGTGTCTCCAGAGAGGAGTCCTTGGAGGCCCCTGATTTCCCGGTCTCGTAGCCAGGACGAGTTTGGAATATACCACGGTACGAAAATCGTGCTATGGGGACATCCTGGACGGACAGCATCCTCCATCCAAGTGGCTGTTGCCAACTTGAAGATTATCAAGTCGGCATTCAATTATTCTCTGAGCCTTGAGGTTGATCGCCTCGGCCCAGGAACCTCGCTCAGTGCTTGATATCTCTGAGCCTTGGGTTCGTTCCCTTTGGTTCTATGCTTGGTATCCCGACCTGGCCATGTCTTGTGCCCCGTGTCTGTACCATACCGGGAGCTCAGCCAGTCTAGATGCTCGTCTCAGACAATCATACAGCTGCTGAGACAACGTGTTGACCGTGTGAGGATGGAGAGGAGCACCGCAGTGGTTCATAAGTCTCTACCTTTCCCCAAGCCAGGCACGTATTCCGTTTCGACTTCCAATTCCAATTCCAGCTCTACTTCCAATCCCCATTCCAATCCCGTTCCCAATCCCCATCCCAATTCCATCTTCAAATCTTCGCCTTCAATACCGCCCCAATATCCAGTCCCCGACGCAAAAAGATCAACCCCAACACGCGACGTCTCTACCGCCCACCGATCTCCTTCCCCTCCAGGCTCCTCGATTCCAGCATCGACCCTTTTCACCTTCGTCCCTGCTCTTCTCAACATGGTCACTATCAACCCTCTGACCGCAGAAGCCGAGGCACGTGCGAAAATGGCCGCCAAACGATCCACACCGTCAACCACCGCACGGCCATGGACGCACAAGTTGTTGAACATGTTCTCCTGGTCGAGTCTCCTTTCGACTCCTAGTGCAACTCAATTAATCGTCGGCTCTGGATTGCAAGGCCTTAAGTACTACAGCTGGGACATCACCAAAGCTCTTGTTGTCGAAAGTCTTCCCCGGTTTCCGCGCTTCATCTACAACCTACACCCCACCACCAAGTGGCTCATGGTCATCCTGCCCGTCACTGTCGGCACGAGCTGGTTCACGGCTGGTAGCCTGGGAGCCGGCTTGTGCGAGAACAAAATGGTACCGGCGTGGGCCTGCCCAACCGAGATTTCCTACGCCGACATGGCCAAAGACCCGATCCAAATCGAATATTCACTCCTCAGTTCTGTCGAGGTCCCCGTGATGGACTTTGGCGACGCCGTCTCGAAGCTCCACGATGTCCACACGATACAGCCATTCGTCGGCGGCCCGAGCTCCGAGCATATGTGTAACGATCAGCTACTGCGTCTCCGCGAACACCTCTCGACTTTCTACGAAGACCTCCGGACGACGACCGATCGCATGCAAAACGCGCTGTACCCTCAACCCTCTGAGGACAGCTGGCTCGGCTTCCTTACTCCTTCACTCTCGGCCGCTCAAGAAGCAAGAATATTTTCTCAGGTGGTGAGAGTGCTCCATAATTCCTCACTAGCCACCAAGCTCGATCCCGTATACCGCCACCTCCCCACCCTGGTCCAGACGATCTTGAACGACACCAAGTCCCTACAGATTATCGCGTCCTTCCTACTCGAAGACACGGAGGATCTGGACGACTGTCTTGTCAAGGGCAATATTCATCAGTCTGGGACCGGTGCCAAGCTCAAATGGTGGGACCCGAGGAGCAGGACTTGGGCTTCGGTCCTGCACGGAAGGGAGGAGGTGGCAGCGACCATCGCCCGTGAGGGTCGGGATCAGTTCAACGACTGGTGCATCATCGCTACTCGAAAAGTCCGCATGTTCGTCCGCACACACGACGACGACACGCGCAAGGTGGCAGAGATCCTCGACAGCTTCTCCCACGCCCTCAAGATTGGTCCAGACCATTATGGTTCGCCCGTCCAATATGTCGACATGCTCAAAGGCTGGCACGCGGAGCTCGGGTCCATTAGCGTGGAATGGGCTCTCGAGTTCCTCGACCAACAGCAGCGTGGACGCGACAGCCGAGCTTCCGGTATCTAGGACGCCAACCCAGACCACCCGGACTGGTCAAGCTCCTCCGTGGTGTCGTTTCCAGCCGGCCTCTTGCCACGAGGACCTTGTCTCATTACTCCGCGGCGACTTTTCCGGTGCTCTCGAACACAATATCACTTTTCTGCCGGCTGCCGGTCCTGTGAGGCGACATTACCACGTCATACTGCTCGACGCAATATTTTCCTTTGTCATCATCTGGTTCCATCGATTCTTCAACGCCATCTTTTCTCTTTGCGAAGTGCCCAGTCTAGACGGCCGGCGAAGTCCTTTCTTGTTCTTAGGTTGGACTGCAGTGATGTCTGATCAGACGGGCTATTGTTGTTTGTATTGTTGGGCAGATATCCGAAGTGGGCACGAGTCAAATCGTTCCTCGCTCGATTCGGACTCTCGACTCGAGTTCTATGGATGGGGAGGGCGATGAATGGGACTTTGAAAGGGCTATATGTCGCTTTCGGGAACGTTTAGCATTACTGTATACTATGAATCGTCGAACATTAATTACATCCACGTTGCAATTACTCCACGGGGCGTTGGGCAAATTGTGACAGAAGCCAAGGCGCCTTGCTAGGGTTGTTCTCCACTCACCCACGACTCCGTCATATCAATGATGATGTCGTTCGACCTATCTATATAGTAAGGTGGGTAGGGTATCCTTCGCGACACCAGCCTTGAGAAACTTTGCCTGAAGAAAGTTCCATTTCTGTAACTTTTGGTGGTAGTGCCCCCAGAATTGTCAAAGTATTCCACCAATCATAGTCGAGTATGTGCGGAGTGTGGAGACGGAACAAGGTTGTTCCTTTGTCTACGTGACGGCTTCGCTCGATTTCTGCTTGAAGCGGTATTCTCCAAACCCTTCCCGAACTCCCCGCATTACGAGCCTGACACTCGTGAATGTAATGGATAACGTTTAGTAGTCACATAAAGCATTCATGAGTCTTTCCAGTATCTATAGCATGGTGAAAAGGTGAAAACTTCTCGTACCCGCCGACATACAATCGATCGCCGCAGGTCTCGCCCAATATTGACAGCCACAACCTCAATGCATCCTCTTCCACCTCACCCTGAAATCCCATTCGTCGCCCTTATTCACTGGCCAACCTCACCGGCCTCGTTTGCATCAGTGACGGCCCTACCTCGACGTCGACTGTCATGAGGCAGGCTCCAACCCTCTACCACCTCCCACGTGAAGTTGCTGGCCAGTGCCTGTGTGATCTTAAGCCTCGTAGGAAAGCTCGAGGCCTGGTTATCCTGGTGGTGGATGGTTAGGTATTCTTGGTACTCTCTCGCGGATCTTCGGATCTCTTCGAGCCGTCCATCTACCGGGAGGTCCTTGTGGTCTATCTTGACATGCGACCAGCGGGATGTGACACGTTGATAGCTCCGGGGGCCTACGCAAAGGTGACAACTCGTCTGGAAGTGCTGTCGGTCGACAATCGAGGATGGCGTGACCAGGTGAACGGGATCAAGGACCACAGCTACCTCATCCACGGACATCTCCAGAGGTAGACGATACTCAAACGTTGGGTAGCCCAGAGAAGCTACAATATTCTCGGGCTTCCCCCTCGGCGGCTGGTTATTCGCTTGCCTCAGTATGTCGAATTGGATACATAGGGTCTCGTATAGCGTGAGAGATGCATGCTATAGGTTGAGGCTTTCGTTAGTATTTTGCGACTCTATCCTTGGATATCTGAAATACAAGGATAAGGACTCACCTGGAGAAGACACGGCGGCTGGTGCTTTACACAATGTTTTGGAATAGGCATCCCATAGAGACGGAGTGTCTTGGCACCTGAAATGCAAGTATTACGGCTGAAGTTTTGATGTTTCTCCTCCCACAAGAGATGGTGCGGGTTGACACAGAGTCCATGGTGGCACAAGTGCGATCCGTGCATCTCGGGAAATTGACTGGTTTTGTTGCTAAACATGGTCGCCAGGTCCGTACAGTAGCGGGGCCATTGGTTGAACCAGGCCGCGGCACGGGCATACGCCATAGTCATATCGTCGAGGGAGAAAGTCTAGGAGTATTCGAGTTAGTATTGCTATCACTGAGATCAAGGCGAGTTCTCCCTACCATACGGCTTTCCGTGGACTCGTCGACGGGGCACCACGCGGGTTCAAATTGGTCCATCACGTCAAGAGGCGCCAGACCCACCCAGTGGGCAGGGAGGATGACACAGGTACCGGCATGAGCTCGTCCGACTCCCCAACGGCGGAGGAGCCTGTCAGTATAGTTGTTGAAGGACCGAAGACCACCCTCTTGGATAAAGTACACCCCTTTTTGCTGGTTTTTGGTGGGTGACATTGGGAACTTGAACGACTCCAGGTCGACCTTCACCACTGCTGTTGTCTGGCCGTCCGTGGGGCGTATCTCTTGTTCATGGTGCTCAGCCACTGGCGCCGTGGGGAAGCTTTGCACGTGGGTCGCACTCAAGGCGGGCTGCTCGTCCCCTGACGTTTCCAGTGCCGCCACTTCCGCCACTTCGGCCACAGCTGAGGTTTGAATGGCGATTTCGTCCACCGTCTCCCACCGCGTGGAGTGAGGTTGGGCCCCGAGGCGATCGCAGGCGGACTGAATAAAAGCTCTCCACTCGAGCTTGGTCTTGAGGACTGTCTGCATCGAGTCACTGGTTCCAAGGGTGGGCTTATGAATCCAACGGATCCAGGACATGACCCAGAATGCACGGCGACACACAATGTTCCAGGGGTTGTTTGTATCTTGCGCGGTATCTTCCCAACAGCGACCTGACTGACGGCCTTCAATCGCGAGGCGAGTGATGAACCTGATTTCGTGATCGTTCACGTCCCACCCCTCTTTGTTGACAGTGTCACCGACATATCGTTGACTACAAGTTTTCAAGGTGGTGATCGTCCGATCCAACTTCCAACGATGCGAATCTCTGCCCTGTAGACAACCATATGGATCGTGAGGCGAATCCAGTGCCTGGAGGTCGATGGAGGCGCCTTGGGTGTACTCTTTGTAGGCGACCACGAACCACGTCTGATTGAGCATCTCAACCACGGCGTCGCGGTCAGGGAACCCCGTCATGCACAGCATCGACTTGAAGAGGTCCATGCGGACATCGCTGTATGTGAGGTTGAGGGAATCTGGGGTGCGTGACCGTGCCGGACCTGACACCGAGATGGCGTTGGCGCGATCGAGGTTGGGAAAGGGAGTTTCAAAGTGGCTGTCGGGGAAGGACTTTGGAACGAGCGCCTCTCGCATCATGTAGTTGCCCTTGCTCTGGTAGGCTGAGAAGGTGTGTCGGGGAGCCTGCGGTGGTCAGATCAGCAAAGCGTCCACCTTCGCCAACGTCGTGCACCAACTCACCAGGACGGCGAGCTCTTCATAAATCACCAAGGCTTTGACGTTGGCCGCCAGGGCCGCGGTCAGATATTCAGCCACCACGAGATTGTCGTCTTCGTCGTATTCCTGATGCGTCCCTCGCTCCCCCGGTGGTCGGTAAAAGGGAAGTGGGTGAAGAGGTGGTTGACCGGCCCAGTCGCTGAGTCGGCCGCCGGGGTCGATCTTTACACCCAGATTACTGAGCGTTGTCAACTGAGACGAAGCCATGAGGTAGTCGGGAAGGGATGGTACAGGGCTTGATGTGAGGGCGGTAGATCGATGCAGTGGCGATGAGTGTGGGTGGAAAGAATGGGGAGGGGAAAGAGACGAAGCCTAAAAATCGCAGGCGGCAAATCCCTCCCCTTTCTTTGGAGTTCAACAGCAGGGGCTCAGAGGCGATGGGGCCACATGTTCGATGCGTCGGCGCGGAGCTTAGCAAGAGGTCCCTGAGGCAATCATGTCCTCGTCATGATCAACCTTCAGCCCCATCAGTTGGGCATGTCCGCTGGACAACGGGAGGACATCTGAGCAGGCATGTGCCTGTGAAGAGAGCCCGGAAAATCGTCATGATGTTTGCTGACCGCCGCAGGACCCTAACCCCCCACCTTTTGAGCGAGGGGAGAAGGCTGCAATACTCCGCGGCTGTGGTGGGCTTGACAAACGGTCATGGCGCGGACCGAGCTAGACCCCTGGGGTCAGCTTCATGTAGCACCGGCAAGATTACCCAGGCTCTGTTCATTTCTGAGGCTCTCAGTCCCAATTACGGTCGTCTGGTGGTGCATGGTGCATTGATATTGGAGTCCGGCCGTGTTGGTCAGGTTTCCAACCATGACCCACCGGTTCTAGGGGAGGTCGAACCGCCAAAGTGGGGTCCGATGGCGACAAGTGTGCTGAATTCCCGCATGGCACACAAGCATGACCAGCACTGGTCTGCGATTGAACCGAAGACAAAGAAACGCGCCTGCCTGAGACGCACCCCACGGGATCTCTGGCTGCTTGATCAAGAGCGTCGAAAATGAGGCTGGCTATTTAACGATAGGTCACGTCTGAACTTACCCGATGGCCGCCGCTACGAGATCCTTGATCATGATACCAGAAGTCGAATTGCATCGTGATCTGTCGCCATGTCCACGCGTGCACGTGCCGCTCGAGGTGAGACCTCAAACAACAGGCGCCGTTGGCTTTCGAGAGAGATCTCCAAGATGTGGAACAAGTCTTGACGAGGCCTCTGGAGAATCAAAACGATGGGTACTCCAGGTCCAACTGGATATTTGTCTGAACCGACTGACATAGTGTCTAGGATCGTAAAGAGACCGCTTGACTCATCTCCTTGGACACCACTGGTATGTAGAGTGGCCGGCCGAGGAATTTTCGGTGCTCCGAAACAGTCCGCGTTCGATGTTCGGGGGTCACGGATAGTATCCGTGGTTAGACTCGCCAAGACGACCTCTGGTTGGCTGCCCTCGGACGACGTGTGCTACCACTTTGTATCTCGTCGGACCAGGAGCCTGGTTCAAGCCACGATCGAGTGGACCATGGGGACCAGTCTGGCAGAGTACATGGCTGTTCGGTGCAGCCTGCAAGGATCGGTTTCCGTGTCACGGAACAGAGTTTGGCCGTCGTCCGGCGCTCAAAAAAGACCAAGACGACGATTGGGACCCGTAGGTCTCGTGATACCACAACTCAAAAAAGGACCTGCTGGCGACCGGGGAAAGGGTCCCTAATTTGACGACCGCCGCGATAGACGACGACCTGGACGCCTCATTATTCGCTGATGGTCATGGGGCAGTCTCGGGTCATTGTGCCAAAATGCTCGCAGAGGTATTTCCTCGTGCTTCGACGCCAGGTGCCATGAAACTAAAATCTCGCTCTTCCTCCATGACGAGATTCTCCTCCGTGGCTTGAATTTTTCACCACGACCTGGATTTTCCGAGTCTCAAAATCGCACCCATGGTGGGCAATGGCCGGGCCCCTCGGAAACAGGCGCCAAGTCCACTTCTTCGGTCAAGGGATGGGGTTTTAACGCAAGTCATTCCGCTCGCGTCGAGTTTGGTCGAGAATATTGTGTACATGAGCTCTAGAGAAATGCCGAGCCTCCCTAGACGGCAAGTTTCGAAAAGTGAAATCTATCTCGTCAAAAGTCGTATCGAATTTGGTAATTGTGATCTCATATGGCGCGTATGTAACACGGCTGTCTGGCCATAAACTCTCTGGAGGTGCTGTACGATGTTGGCATATTAGTCGCAAATGCCCACAACTAGTGACTCTGTATTGATGGTTCATGGTTCTCGTTCCTCTCGATGATATAGACTATATACCTACCTGTTTATCGATCTACGATCTCGCCGACAGCGAATTAGCTCATTCGATGTCCCCTCCACCAAGCCGGCCCGGTGGACACCTTTCGGTCTGGACTACTGTGCCACGCGGCTCCGCGATCTGAACATCGTCAAGTCATCCCCTCCCCCCCCCCCCAACTAACATTATAATAGCACTTGACAACCGTGGAATCGTGCTGATCAACATAAGCACAAGAAGAGATGGGGACGTGTAAGATCTATGTCACATGGATGAAAGGAATGAGAGAAAGCAAGCTGTATTAGCTGAAGTGAGTCACTTGAAGTAGTGTCAATTGGTTATTGGGCTGTCTCTGTCTATCTATAGGAAGAGAGAAAAAGAAAGAGAGGGAGAGCGAGGAGAGTGGCAGGGGGCAGTGGCAGTGGTGCCAAGCCCCACGTGACCTCACGTGACTATGGATGAGAGTTTCACAGGGCGAGGAGAATAGCTGATATGCGATGGACACCCCAAGTCTTCTTCAGTTCTGCGGCCGAGCTCATCTCAGCTTCAAGACAGCGTCCCCGATCGGACCTCCGACTGCGACTGAGATGGTATGAGCTGAATCTACACGCCCCCTCTGTGCACTTTCGAAGCAAGGCTTCCCCCCGAATAGCGTGACCTCCAAGGGATCCAAGCCAGCCGGACAGTCACATCAAGTGTCTTCCACAACACTCCTTCGACCCATGTGCCCGCGGTGGATGAACCTCTCGTGGCTCCAACATTCGACAGTGAGAGGGTCTACCGCTTGTGGCGCGACTGGGCCACTAGACCCACGGCCTCCGTTGGCCCCCCTCCAATCCAAGGAGTCTTCCACTAGAGTGTATCACGCTGCACTTGGTCCATGCGGTCACCATGGTCAGGTTCGCTCGTGCCGTCCTGCTCCTCCGAGGGAGGCAAGAACGCCTGTCTCTCCCCCAAAGGACCGTCACCTGGTGGAACACTCCCGTTGTGCTGTGTTCCTCCATGCCGAAGGAGAAATTCGTGGTGTGCTTTGCGGTCCTTGCCAATCTTGATCAAGCTCAATTCCACTTTGAGAAACTCGTAGTGGTTCTCCCGCCAGATGTCTCGCAGTCGTGCTTCGGTGAGGATAGATGAGGTGTAGAGCTCGCGTACTTCGCTCGGTTGTTCGAGGTACCACTCGTGGTAGGATGGGATGAGAGGATTGCTCACGTCACTTTGCTCTCGTTCGAAGTCTGGAAGCTTGCCGACAAACGACGAATGGAGTTGAACAAAAGCGTCCAGGTCGACTGTGTGGACGTGGTAGCCCCATCGAAGAATTGTGCAAAGGTAACCGCACAAGCCGACAAACTGAGGCAGCGGGAGGTCTTCGCCCCCGTACTGTGCCGTCATCTCACTGTGTACCTGATTGGTATGCCTCAAGTCTCGTGTGGCTGGTGCAGTGGCTCCCTCGTCTTGGTCAGAGGGGTTGCCGTCAGTACGCCTTCTTTTGTTTGGGGGCAGTGGTTGGGGCTCCTCCGAGTCGTCACGTCGTCTAGGCGCCATTGTCGACTGCGGCAACGTCGCGGCACTGGTGAGATGGAGAGCAAACGGCGATGCAGAGCTGGTCGTGTTGCTGTCCTCCTACATGCACCGCACGTAGAGAGGCAGCGAGATTGTGTCGACACCAGATTTTGTGCGGTGGAAGCCTGATTTCCGGCCAAGACGGATAGCTACACCAACCTCCCACCCCGGGTGGGTTTGTTCCTCACACAAGGAAGAAAGTTGTTCCTTTGTCAGAGGGGCCTTGTTATGTCGGAAAGGCCGTTACAATGGAGCAGGTGCGGCAAGGGCAAGCACGGCTTGCTGGCATAAAGACTTTGCTATTTGCGCAGGACGCAGCAAAGGCAGTGGAAGGGTAACGAGTACATCGACGTGCATATGGCCAAGCTCGTGCTGCTGCACAGGGTATATCAGGAGTCATGCCCCATGAAGGACAGTGTGGTCCACGCACAGCCTTGTCCATGTCCTCCACCGGCCTCCAAATCTAGAACCCCCCTTTCGTCCTTCTCATAATGGACCCTGCTGGTCGTGCTTCTACAACATTACCGAGTGGTGATCAGTCTTCAAACGTGAGTCCGCGTCCTGTTTTCCGCTCGCTAGATGATATCAACGCTGACTGTCGATCCACAACAGGAAACATCCTTCCGGCCATGCTGTGTCCGATGCGCCCAACTTTACCAGGAACATCCGTAAGCCATGGGGCCCTCTCTGATCGACGTCCCTACTGACTCTGACGATGACAGCCACCTGCAATGTGACCCCTACTTCCGAGACCAGAGGCCAAACGCCGGAATGAGCCGGGCCGCGGCGTACGGGTGCCAAAATTGCCGCATGTATAAACGAATGTGTGTCCCGGTAGGTTGAAACCCCTTGGACCCGTCCTCGATCCCATCCAAGTACTGACCAACGACGAACAGGTTGCAGAAGAGTTTCGGGAGGACCTCCACGAGCTTCAACGTCGTGCGGATGCATTCGTGGAGGCAAGGAAGAAGGGGTTCGGGTTCCGTGAATTCTTGAAGTTGCGAGACATTCAACAACGGTTTTCCAGGCGTTGTAAGGTGACGCGTCCGCGACAGCGGCGGGGTCAAGTTCGATAGGTGCCCTGGGGAAGTTGTGGTGGAAAGACAACGTTATGCCTGGTGGCAATGTTGAGAGGAGCACAGGGAGTTCCTCGCCGTCCGGTGTGACGGATTTTGAGGCAATCTGCAACACGCGGCCCCGATCAGGCCATGTATCAAAGTCATCGCAATAGCAGGCGGCTGCCACGTGGATTGTCCTCTTCACTCTCAATCTCCCACACTAGAAGTTAGAGTCCCTCGCGGTTCTGCCCAAAGGGTGAGCTCGCTACCCACCCCGGCACTTGTGAACATCTGGAGACGACCGCGAAACCTCGTTCGGTATATTAAGTGCACCTGAGCACCGGTCGTGGTATAATATATGACCGAAATTTGCCACAAAAGTCTGTCAGGTCTGTTTCCGATTCAAGTAGTGGTTGTCGGCCGGGACGAGTCGAGGCCTCGATCGTTGTTCGATCATGCCGTCGCACAAATAGGGGAGGTTCGAGAATAAGTACAACGTCCAATGTTATGCATTACAGTGAGATGGTCAATTCGAAGTTGCCGTTTGAGGATGGTGTACCTCTTGTACAAGTAAGCTCGTCTGGCTCTGAGATATCAAGCTCTACCGACCTAAGTGTTCTCACAACGGTTGTGTGGCATCCGAAACCTCAACACCCAATAACAGCCAAAGACATTCCGAAATCCACAATTCCGCACATTTCCCTGTCGTATGTGATGCAATCAGCTCGAGTGGTACCCTTACCACGACAACTCCGATAGATGTTGAGCAACCATCCCCTCCCGCTGCCGCAACTTCCTTCTCATTCCCGGATCCTAGTCGCCGCGGCGGTTTCTCTTGTGTGACCCAGATGGCTCCTCCGCTTCGTCCAGGTCCGTGTTGGCTCGCTTTTCACCTGGAACCCGTCAGTATATGGTCTGCATGGTGCGGACGACAGTTGAACCTTACCTCGTGGACCTGGTTGGGCTGGTGGTACGGTGGAGAATTCTCCATCGTCCCCGTTGCCATCTGATGCCGTGGTCTCTGACTCGTCATCTCGAGCCGCGCTCTTGCCCTGGGCAGCCTGGGTTACGGGCTGTGGTAGAGAGCTGTCGGCCGAGTTACCGAGCTTGGCGAGGGCACTCAGTCGTTGAGTGGCGGCACGGAGACGGGAGCACTGCTCATGTAATCTCTGACGTTCAGCCGTCGATGGGTCCTCGGTCCCGCCGATATGCACTAGGTCCTCGTCATCCAAAAAACTCACGGACTTGAAGCTCAAGGTACTAGGCAGTTTGGACAGCAGCTCCTGAGACATCGTCTGAAAATTGATCTTTTGCTCCATCTTGGCCTTGAGGTCCTGTATTCTCACATTAGCAGCTTGAAATCCAACTCGAATTGGTTTCTCGACTCACTTGACAGTACTGAACGGCACACTGAACGACCTCGACCGCCGCGAGCCGGTCGCCAAGCATTTCCGGGGGAATTCGTTGCGCAATGAGGCTCTGGACGTCGGCTTGGCTCATACTCATCCCTCCATGCGTATTTCGGTTCGTCGAACTGAGTATGGTCATGACCTCGGCCACCACTGCGCGAGTGATCTCGGCGTGGCGGGTCGTAGGGATCTCAAGCAAGGTGGCACTCTGGAAGATGGGTGCTGCGTCGAGTACCTGCAGATCCTGAAGGACGAGGTCCTCGAACCGCCGATGGAGCGCCTCGACGGCAGGAGTGATCAAGTACTGGAGGGTCCCTTGGGCGATTGACTCCTGGAACAAGTGCGAGACTAGGGTGACCATGAACTCGGAGATGATCTGCAAGATCGAATCGAGATAACCCTGGACGACATGGCGCCAATCGCGAGTCAACCGACGAACGACATCGCCGGCAACCGCCTGGTTGAACTGCCCCGGGGTTTGTTGATTGCAAAGAGTCAGCTGAGTCATCGTGTCTGCCAGGAGAGAGTCGTAGTCAATGTGACCATCATCTTCATTCGTGGCACGTGGAGAGACCTTTCCCGAGAGTCGTTCGGACTGAAGACACTCTAGTATGGCGGCAAATTGCGACCGAAAGTCTTGCAGGACGGTCACAATTCGTGTTTTGACGTGTGTTTCGGGACGGTCAGAAAAGAACAAGTCGTTGTAATTCCCCATCACGGCGGCGTAGACATAGTTGTAAAACGGCGTACATTGTGTACCGAGGATCCCACGAGTCTCCTTGACGATGAATGAGTTGTTGACGATAGGGAGACTGGCGAGCCGAACCTGCAGTTGGTCTATCTTAATCGCGATATCTTGAAGTAGGCCGGGGAGTTCTTTGGTGATGTGGTCGTGGTAGATTCGTGTCAGACGTGTCTGGAGGTTCACTGCCCCTTTGTACTCTTGTTTGATGTCTTGCCATTTATCCGTTGAGAGGTACTCGGCCTCTAGTTGTCGACGTTCGAGAATACTTACGTCACCTTGCTGAGGGCCTCGATTCATGACCACATGCCAGCCGAGTCCGAGCGTATGGAGCTTGTTCTGTAAGACTTGAATGTACTGTTCTCTGTCACCAGGGTGATTTTCCAACTCGTCCGGCTTGGTGACCACACCCAGGGTACGCCGGCCTTCTGGGTCGACCTCTTTAGCAATTGCGGTAATGGATTGAACCGCGACCGAGGCTCTTGCGGACATGACCGCGATGATGATGGTCCTCTCAGGTCTCATGTACTCGCGGACGAGCTCCTTGACAAAGGAGGCGTCGCCCAGAGTCTGTCCGGGTGCTTCGTTTTGGAACAGCCCTGGTAAATCTACAACGCTCAGGTTGAACAGGAAAGGCGCGATGTATGTGACTTTGAGGACATCAGAAAAGAAATTCTGTGTCTTTCCGCGGGCCATCTCCCTCGCGGCATGTTTGACAATATCCCCGAACTGGCTGATGTCCCTGCTGATGGTGGTTGGGACTGCCTGACAAAGTCGGGCCTGGTCCTCTGTGCTTCTTGTAGGGTCTGGTTTGATCGAGACCTCTACGATATGCTCCGGGCCACTCCCTGTGCGTAGATTGAGTTCTGTGGCGAAGCGAGTGCAGAGACCCTCATGTACTGGGAACTTCATCCCTGTCACACTCTCCAGTAATGAACTCTTGCCGCTACTTTGATCACCACAAACGATGATCCTAGGAAGGTCGATCTCATTGGCAAGTTCATGTTCCCCCTTGAGGTTTTCCACCACCGCCAGGAAGTCGGCAATGACACGTTGTAGCGGCTCCATCTGGAATGCAGGTATCGAGCTAATGTGGATAGGTACCTGGTCTGAAAAACGGTCTTGCGATAAGAAGTGGGTTGAATGGCGATTAGCCACAAGAATTTAGGAGGAGAAAGACTTGTGCGAATGAAGACAAAGAGTTGGACAAGATCAGGCGTCTTTAGGCACGTTATAGGGGTTCGTCGCCAGTGCTGTCCAGTCCCTTGGAAGCATCAACAGAGGAAAGGAGGAAACCCCAGGGAAGGGTGCGAACAAACAAGCCGCAGGCAGATATTGTTATGAACCTGACTGAGACCAGGCTGGGCATAATCAAGTGCAGCGCCCACAGAAGGCCTGCGCCAAGCCCCAGTCAGAGAGGCAGTTTGGCGACTTGAGGCAGTTTCCCTTGTCACCAGCACAATCGTGACGACGTCGCGCCTCACAACCGCACAGCAACTTGAAGGTGGCTCTCGACCGATCGTCCTCGTGCCGTTGTCTGGTCGAGCCATATCTTTCAAGCTCGTGCTGTTTCACAGTTTAGGTCTCGAAGGTCCCTCCGAAATCTGTAAGTACGACAGTGACAAGCGATGGTGGCAGAGGGCCTCAATTGGGGCCCCGGCGGGCTTCCCACCGAAGAACAGACTCTGGTTCATCTAAACTCGCCAAGCTCATTCGCCCAAGACACGAGGTCAGACAAGAGAACCATCAACGCGCGCAGGGAATATCGTGCTGCCTCCCACACCGGGAATGTTCAATGTTGGAAGGTCGGTAGCGAAGTGTCTCCCATGTCTGGGGTTAACAAGAAAACCCCAGCGGGCAAGGCTCGGCTCTCATAGACACATAGCTATGCGCCGGTTGAATACGGTTGGCACACCTCCGGCAAAAGAGCAGGAGAGTCTGGCAAGTGTGGCTATATAGAACAATGTTTTCTGTGCTCGGAGTAGGCTATTATTGTAGGTTCAATTTGGTGATGAAGAAGCGAGGATAAAGTGACGAAGACCAACATATTTCTAGTTAAATGAGGGGACGATGACTCGAGGAATGAGGCTGGCATGTTCTTACCAGACCAATGGGGGTGGAAGGTGACTAACTTGGGTGGGTAAAGTGATATATTATGGGGCACTAGCATTCGGGTGTAGCTTAAAAAAACGAAAGTTTTAGGTGCTTGATAGCCTAGAGTGTGTCTAAAGAGGTGGCTGAAGGGTCCAGCTAACTGTGCCGAGGGGCTGCCGCGCGGGCCGAAGTCCTCTTCTCCTTGTAGCCCCCAGGGCCGCCTGAGTACCTACTCTAGGCGATACCCACGACTCGTCTTTATACATGTGTAACGCCCATTATTGGAAAGAATTTTTCTGCGTTATTTGCTAATTCAGTAGCCATCAGAGTGATCCCTCAGAATTTCCGCCAGGAACCTCCCATCCCTCCTTGTGATCAGGCAATCAGAAAAGAAACCTTCAACACCATCACCTCAGAACCGCCTCCACATCATCGACCACCTCGTAAAGTACTCCCTCCCGCCTTTGGAATCTCCCCCCCTTTTTTTCAACATGACCATTCCTAAACTGCCAGTAGGAATCATTCAGGTCTGGCGAAGAACGAACTTGCTGTGTGGTGAGGACATCATAACTGCCCAGTCGACACTTTCCCTAACTTTATCAGTTCCCATTTGTCCTTGCATGACTGACGATTCATCAGCCTTCTCGCCTTGGTTTTCAGAAGGGACCCCCCCAGGAAAAGATTCTGGTCCCGGTGAGCTCAAAATATAAGTGTCAAGATGGCCAGAGTCATTATCATCAGCACCTGCTTGGGTTCCTCCCTGACCGCCGGCGCCGCTGGCAACGCTGTGAATAGTACCAAAACTAAGAGCAATATTTTCCAGAACCTCATGATCGATAGAAGTATTGCTCGCACCAACAAGGGAAGTAGCTGCTGTAACAGGAACCTGATCTACCAGTAGCACTTTATAGGCACTCCTAGACACTTGGGGTGTGGGGGATTGTTGGTGCATTTCATCCGGGCTATCCTTGGGGTTCAGGTCGTCATCCTCTTCCTCATCACTCTCCTCCTCATCACACTCCTCTTCATCACCCTCCTCTTCATCACCCTCCTCTTCATCACCCTCCTCACCACCCTCCTCACCACCCTCCTCCTCCTCATCATTCTGGTCATCGCCATCAACCATCGAGACGTCGGAGGAGGTGTCAAGCAAGGCATCAGGGCCATCACCAACCACCACCACGGCTGGGTTGACAGGGTCATTGTTCATGCGGTTCGCCTGCGGAGTGCTCCCACTCAGTGTGACCGTCGATACTCTCTTGTCGTCGCTCCAAGTTATGGCCTGTTGGGCAGGAGTCAGAGAATCTCGACTTGCGAGCTCTTCGTCGACTAAAACTTGCCGACGACGGTAAACCTTGACCGCAAATTTGAACTTTCTGGTGGCACTTTTGGCAACTTGTAAACGGGTTTTCAGTTGTTCCTCATCCCCTTTCCCTTGTCCCTGTCGATAAGAGCTTATCAGGGCAAGAGCACCATCTCTGTAGAGGAAGCCGACCATATCGGCCAGCCGCGGTAAGCCAGATTGCTCGTCACGTTGATCCACGTCCTCAAAGACCTCCAAGGCATCCTGTGTTGTTTCCAACAATTCAGTCCACGGTCGTTCCAGAGGGTTCGATTCCATCGCCTGAATGAGTCGGTCCTGTAGACCCTGTATCAAATCTTTAGGACTGTCAAAGACTTCGCCGTCCCAGTCATTTTTGACTTCTCCTTTATACATCAGGAAAGGAATCTCGATGGCGTTCATCTGAAGTCTGTCAAGGCGTTCATTGCTCTCCTTCCGTCGAGTTATAATGTTTGGTCTTCGTATCCCGGGCGCCATCCTGCTTGGACACTGACGCGTATGTCTGTTGAAGGCGAATTAAGTGGTGTTTGGGAGCGGTAAAGGTATATGAAGAGGAGTTGGCGAGCTTCTACCCGTTGATGACGGAGGCAATACTGATAACTATAATAGTATCCGCCAGCCGGTGAGCTCGGGCTTCATCCCTGGAAGTTTGATGACTCTTTGAAAAGAACATCTCACGGCCTGTTTGACGTTCACCCCGTCAGGAACCCTGCATAGTCTCCTCCGATCATCAGCAACAAAGAAAGCTTGGCCGTGAACTGCACGGCGTCGGTTAGGCACTTCAACAAAGTCCACCGGATAGGACTGATCAATGTTACATTGGACATCCAGTACGTAGATAGATTTGTGACCCTGATGAGGTCAATAGCGTTGTTGAGGGGAGGTCGGTAAAGTAAGACGAAGGGGCACGATCGACAATAGGCGTACTTCTAGATTCATTCTGATGCTTTCTCCGCCGTAAAAATCGTGGCCAAGGCACTTGTGATTGGGTCTAGTTGAATGGACCTTGTACTCAATAAGGCCCTTGGAAGTAAACTTCGATAAAGCGTCTGTGGTGATATAGCGATGAGTAGTGTAGTCCAATGATATTAGCGAATAGTAGTTATACTCCTTGCCGTATTCGGGCATTGTCTACAAAGGACGATTTATGCTGTATTTGATCTGCCTTTTCTTCACAATTCACAAGCGCTGAGATGGTGTAAACAGCTTCGGACATCGCCCGGCAGTGTCGATATCAGCTGGAAGCTGGCGCTCAGATATCGCCCACCGAGTATTAAAGGATCGATAGCGAACACCAAATTTGTAAAGAAAACATCGATTCATAAAAGGGGCTACGTGGGAAACCGCGCCACCATCGTCACAGAGCAAGAGCAAAGACCCCGAAAATTTCATTCTCCCACCACTTGTGACTGATTCGTCTCCCAGTAGAGATAGAGGCATGCCGCCCTTTTGTCTGTCTACCCTGGTGCCCCCTCAAAGCCCTCTCTCCCCTGTGCAACACCGACGGCAGTGGCCCACGACTTCTAGACATTTTGGGTGGTTTGGCTTGCACTTACAGATCTCAATTCCACTTGATTTCCTTTTCCAACTTGGCGCTGTCCCAATAGCTGGTACGAAGTCCATATATGGCACCAGAGTTGAGTCCCAGGGTGAGAAAAGACGTCAGGTTTGTAGTAGATTTGAGCCTGTTCGGCCTCTTGTGTGATCTTGGCTTGTATGATGGCCTTGAGCACCGAGACCACGTCCCCACGATCGACAAAGTCGCTTGTGTGAATTGAGATGGGGATATCATCGCCGCTGTCTTTACCCGTAGTAAGTACTGTAGCTTCAACGCCCAGTCGACCTTCAGCTGTTCGGTGTGCAACGATGGACCATACTTTGTCAAGATTCTGACGACTGACAAAGACGATCCATTTGCCACCTGTCACACCGTAATGGCGGGCTTGACTGAAGAGGGTTGCACGAAGCGACTTGATATCCCGTGGGGCATTGATGAGTTCCTGATGATCTTCCTCTTCGTCATCGGTATCCAGTCCGCGGAAGTTAGAATCGTCTTGCACCAGACTTGGGCGCGATAATAGAGCTCGATGGTATAGTTGCCTCGGGACACCAAAGATGGCACATCTGCCGGAGGAGCTAGATGTCCCGCCGGGTCCTTGATGCGGATGTGTTCACCAACAGGAGTGCAGACTGCGGAAGGGCGGAGGCGAGCCAGAAATTCGTCCACTTTTTCGTCGGCGCCGCAGAGGAGACATGGGTGACGGAAGGACTTTCTGTGATTGTGGCGGTCTTTGGAGCAGTGCCGGCAGAGGCTGAGGAGAGTGGTTGCTTGGAATCTGCCATGACGGCGGTGAACAGGCTATGATCAGACGAGATGAGGCTGGCGATGAAAAGGGGGGATTCTGATCTTGTTAATTACTTTCCCCAGGTGACCATGCTGCACTTACCAGCTCGATTGAGTAGGGAATTGGTGTTAGAGTGTCTGGAAGTGGTAGGAAGGAAGAAGAGCCTTGAATCACGAGATCCAGGATTTTAGTGGTCGAAATTGAAATTGTTTGCTCCTGGTGGCATTTCCTACTTAGGGACAATTTCAACGCTCCAGTGAGAATCGTGTAGCGTCAAAGAAGGTGACTCTAGGTTTGACATACCCCTTTATTCCTCAAGCAAGGCTCCATGCCTGCCTAAAATGAGGCGACACAGCTAGGCATGCCGCGGCTTCTCATGCAGGGACAATGCAGAAACAAGGAGCGGCCACCAGGCTTTCACAGCCTCGTGGGTTGAGCTGTAGAGAGAAGCATCGAAATGAATGGTCACCACAAAGACCGTCTCTTTTTGACGAACTGTGGTCCTACACAACGCCCGCACTGGGACAATACAGCAATCCTTTGAGGTCTCAACAGGAAAGTCGCTTGCTCCTGTTATGGAAGGCCATAGAGGAGTGAGTCGGGCCCTATTGTTAGATCTGCTCTTTGCTGATAGCAAGGGGGGAGTCGTTCAACAGGGTCTGGCCTAACTAAACATCGCGTCACAGCCGCACGGAGCAATCAAAGGAACAGGTGAACCTGCAGATCCATACAGCTTAGTGCAATACTCATCCTCAAAGGACTACCTCTTAAGTCCCACGCAGGTGGTCGTGCGGACAGGAGGCTCTCCTCTTATTTCCTTCAAGTTCGTTAGCCTTGGTCAACCTGCCACAGATTCACCTACCGATAGACTTCTCATTATGGAAGAATCCAAAATCGTCGTCAAGACGCCGCACAGCGGTACGTTCGCTCTCAAAGCAACGATATACTGCGTCTCAGAGCTCGAAATTGGTCAGCTCACAGAGCTAGCTATCGCACACGGTGTGGATCGACGTGGCTGTTCAACTCCCGCCTCGCTCATCAAGAAACTCGGCCAGGTGTCGCTATTAACGACCACAAAACACTACAACGTAGACTTCTGCAGGTCGCTAAAACTCACGGTACCACAGCGCTGCACGGCTGGTGAGGTGCGCGAAGCCCTCATCGCACATCTCAAGGTCTTTCAGTACCTACCAGTGGAACCATACATCGGTCCAACTGTCATAGAGATCTCGAAACCTATCCCTGACGAGGTAAGTTATTCTCATAGACGTCTTTATAACAACACGTTGCTAACTTATCCGGCCAGACTTACCAAGAAAACATCCTCGGTGACAAGTACAGCCACAATGGAAAATATCCCACACAAACCACCGCCGCCACCACCATCGCCACCACCACCACCACAACCAACAAGACTATCAACGAGCGTGGGGCTTCTCTCCGGTTGTCTAAATGGGCGCCAAAAACTGTGGCTCAGACGCTCGCACCGGTCCAAACACCCATCAAGCCGCAAGGCCAATCTGCCGATCGGGACAGATCACTCTGGGCGTCAAGGTGGGCCCCTGGTCGATTTGTACTCGTTGGAAAGAGAGTCAGCAACGCAGCACGAGCCACCAGTGGAGAAAGTCAGGCAACCCCCCGGACCTTGGGCAAGAGACAAGCACAAGAAAACAAATAAGCGTAAGCGCCAGTGACAGCGTAAGCGAAAGTACAAGAACAAGTACGTGCGAGAACTTACAAGATGTTTTCGACGAAGAGATCTAGCCGTTGAGTCCATATCACGGCGGGCAAAGAAATCTCGAAGTATTGAGACACTTCCTCCCTCTCTCTCGGTGGAAGTCTCTCACTAAACAAACACCAAACTTGCGGCGACTAAGTGAAAGCGCTCCGATGGATCGAAGGACAGGAGATTTCGAGGATTCAACACATGGAATGGATATTTTATGCATGAGGGGCTGAGAATGGGGACCATAATGCACCTTTTGCAAACTTGCGGAGAGAGCTATTCCCCCTGTCAGAGATGCTTGTCTTGTTAGTGACCTGATCAACCACTTTCAATTCAAGTTCCTCAAAATGGGGGGGGATATACTGGGAATCTATGATGTTTTTTGTACCTCCTACTTTGTACCTTAAGTACGCATTTCTAGACTTTGTCGCCGGCTGGGGAATCCTCCTTCCAATCTTTCTCTCTGCAGCCCCAGCCGGCTTGGCATGGCTTTCCAATCATGGAACTGCCTTCCTCTCTCTCTTTAATTATTCTAAATTATCTAATTACGATACATGTTTAGAACGCTCGTCCAACCTCTTGAACTTAACTTGTTCTTTTTTGCATCTTCCGCGACTAAGCAATTTTTTTTGATATTGTAGTAGAAATTCAAGTATTGCTCTGTATACCTTTTCGCAGCGTGAATTTCAGTACCAAGCAATATAATTGCACGGTACCTAGTAGGTCTGTGTACTCTTGTCAATCATGACACTCTCAACTCATCAGAGTGGCAACACTGTAGCATGAACCAATGTTAAATACCTAGGTAGTTAGTTAGGAGTAGCCCGAATGCCGGTAAGTTGGGCCTCAAAAATGATTGTTGGAACAAATAACATCGATGTCTTTGATGATAGCTGCCTAGGTATTCCAGCATTGGTACTGATTCCTTCAAGCAAGAAAGAACAATCAGCCTTGTCCTGGATAGCTGGGGCAATTCTTTAGGAGTGGTGCACAGTCGCCAGTCTTCGTGTCGCTCAGGCATCAGACAAAACATATTCGCTTTCATCCTCATCACACTGTCGGACACACGTGTGTAAATACCTCATACCTAGGTTGTCAGTAACTTCTCCATAGGGGTGCATCATTGGAAGCTCTGACACAAACTCCCCAGGTAATTAGTGGTATCGTCAGCAGCAACCGGAGTGGTGCGGTCAAACGAAGCGTCATCCTACGCCGCGAGACTGACTTGGAAGGACTTGGAAGGCACCTTCCGCAATTCACTCACCATCATGTTGGGGGTACCACAGGCATTGTCAAGAGTACGCCCCAACCGTGTCTTCAGTTCATTCAAGTTGTTCTCCAAGCTAAACATCCGCCAACCAAAGGTGCTTCAATTGCAATCGGCATTTTCCATCCCAGAAGTTTTGAACCCGTGGGCTCGCTTCTCCAGCAACATGACTTCTTCAACTAGCGGGATCACTTCATCGTTCGCAGCTTCATCTTCGCTAAGGCCACCAATTGACGACCCTGAGATCACCTCGATCCTGTCCTTCTGGTTCTCCAACCGCGAAACCAGCAAGAAATGGTTCGGCGGCGGCGAGAGCTTCGACCAAGAGATCCGCGCCCAGTTCGCCTCCCTCGTGACGCAGGCACGCAACGACCAGCTCGATCACTGGACCGAAACACCACAGGGCAGCCTGGCGCTCATCCTTCTCCTCGACCAATTTCCCCGCAACATCCATCGGGATTCGGACCAGGCACACGCTTCAGACGCAAAGGCATGCCAGGTCGCGGTGGCGTCGATTGCACGAGAATTCGACAAGCAGATTCACGCCACTCCTGCAGACTCGGACGCAGAGGCAGAGGGCATGGGCATGATACAGGCACTGTTCTTCTACCTGCCCCTGATGCACGACGAGTCAGTCATGTCGCAGATCGCGTGCATAGCGCTGTCGGAAGCGTTGGTCACTCGATGCGAGCTCGCCAACGATGACTTCGCACGCGACTACGTCACTAGGAGTATCTCTCATGCCAAGGGACATCGTGATACGATCGTCAAGTTTGGGCGGTTTCCGAAAAGGAATGCTATCTTGGGGAGGGAGAGTACGGAGGAGGAAAGACTGTTTCTTGAACAGAATCCAGGTGGCTTCTTTTATTCTGGTCCTCATTGAGCGAGATACGGAGTATGCCTTCGCTTTCATTCGGTAAGATGTTTCAGTTCGCTTTCTTCGATGACCTTCTACTTTACAAGATGAGCTTCTTCGTCGATTGAGGAAGAACAATCATTGGCATCAGATTCGGTTGGGAGATCACATCCAGCGAGGAGTGACTGTCAAGCCACCGCAAAAGTTGGTATAGATGAGAGAATATTGTACAACAAGTTGTTTTTAATTAGAGATCTCTTATTTACAGACTAGTTTTCGGATTTAAGAGTCCGATGTCGACCTCAGTTGCACCCACATCCTAAATGTCCTCTGTCCATGGCCCCATGGAATACCAAACTGTTGTCACCGGTTTTTTGGCGGGCCGTCCAAACTCTCCAACCCTTTCAAGATTGGTCTCACTTGATCCCAAACCTCTCTTTGGGGATAATAGCAAACGTAGTTCCGATGATCGCCAAGATAGATGATACCAAGAGCAAGGCCCAGCAACCCATGCGCTCTTTGGCACTGATTTCTTTTCCTTCTGAGCTGAAGATCTTGAGATAGAAGCTCACTGGAAGAATGATACACACAGTAAAGCAGAACAATGATCCCAACAACGCCATGAGACTGTCAAAATCTGGGAAGAATATCGCGAAACCCAGCTGCACCAGATTCGCCAGGATCCCAACGCTAGACCGCGCGATACGATGCTTCCAGCTCTTCTCGCTCCGAAGGCGTGCTTTGGGATCCATCTGGCGCAGATCAATGTAGAATTTCTTGTTGATAGTGTCCTGCATTGGTCGGTTGCTGAGTGGGATTTTGGTGATGGGAATGACGGCAATAAGCATGACAATTATGAGGGACAATGCATGGGGGTAGGCTGTTGAGCGAAGGATGTTTGCCGTCACCTCGTCCATAACTCTTTCTCCAAACATGAGGTAACCCAAAACTGCCATTGAGGTATCCAATCCATATGTGAAAATGTAGGTATATCGAACAGCTTTGACATATTTTTGTGGATGGCGCATGTCCTTATAAACGGCAGGAAAGACACTATGGCCACCCCACGGAGCCATGATCAGGCCTAGACTGAGAGGCACCGTCGCCCAGTTTTCGGGAAAGAGATATGTCTTGGACATCTCACGAAGCGATCCTGGGGCGTGAGGCTTTATGAGGCCATCAGCGAAAATGATGACAACTATAGACAAACAACAGAAGATTCCAATGACACTGGTAAAACTCAGGTATTTGAATGGGACGAAGTTCAGTGGGATCAACCCAATGGAGATAATGATTTTCCATGTAGTGTTGTCGAAGACAGTGAGCAAAGAGCTCATGCTATCTGCGAAGAGTATCACCAGAGCAACATTTGCACCGGTCAATTCCAGGATGAACAAGGATTCGACAAAGTTTCTGCCCGTTGTGTCAAAAGCAAGGAAGGCAATATCTCCGTAGGTGGATGAGCCAGTGTTTGTGTCAAGACATTTAGCCAGCAGCTTTGCGGTGTAAGAGGTGGCCAGGGCGGACAGAGTGAGGAATGTCAGACCGAGCACCCAACCTGCATATTTGATCCCCAGAGGCAAAGCAAGTATGCCAACTCCAATCAGGACGTTTGTTGAATTGAAGACAGTCATGGGCACGGTAGACTCGCCGACTATGCGCTGGATGACCTCTCCATCGGGACGGACTTCTTGCTCAACAACTCGGGGAGGTTCCTCTTCAAATTTGTCGTCCAATCCTTCTCTGGCGCGCCTGCTGGCCTCCTCCTGCTCCATAATGAGTATGGAAGCACGTTGTCGAGCGGTCACGGTGAGTTTTGAAGAGATACTTCCAAAACTGGTGGCATACAAACTGGGATTATGAGCGCCAGGACCCATGGAGCCGAAATGCGATCTTAGAGTCTGTCTGCTCTGGCTGGGTAGCAGTCTAGATGCCTCGGTTGGTGCATCGGCTTCTGGCTGGTCATCTTGGACGGCAGAGCTTGAATCATGGCCCATCTGGTAGTGTAACAGCTGTTGCCTCAACAGAGACCTGTTTGGGGCCGTGGACTGTTCTGCAACATCTTGCACAGCTTCCGGATCAGTATCTTGTAGAGTGACAGAGTTCCGACGCACGGGAGTGATCTCTCGAAAGCCGGCAGCTCTTTGTAAGGATTTGGCAAAGTTATCGATGCTATTTGGGCCACCCATTTGTCGGAGAGAATCGAATCTTTTGCCCAAGGACGACTTCCGCCTCAACCGTGCACCATCTTCTTGTCCATCTCTTTGGGGAATGTCTCGTGGAGTAGAAGTGGAAAAGAATCTTTGAGGCTGGTCATCCTCGGGCACGGATTCGAGGGAGCCGAAAGAACTTGCTCGGCCATGCTCATAGGTATTCCAGTCAGAGGGGGGTTGTTTATTTCTCTGTGACATGATGTTTGTTTAGTGGGAAAATGGGAGCAGTTTTGATGTAGTGCTGGGGTTGGAAACAGGAAGAAGCAGGAGGTTCAGAACATGATCTCATCAAGCAAACTAGTGTGACAAGACAAATACAACACAGAAAGCCACCAGACAAGAAAAATTTGTTTGTAGACCAGAAAAATATGCTAGGTCAGTTGGTAGTAGACATCAGGTAGCAGCAGGTACATGGGTAATCAGGTCAGTAAAGACCTTGTCGACGCAGGTCATGAGCCGATGATAGCCAGAGTGGTGCTCGTAGTGCAGCCACTGCATCGCATGGAGGTCAAATGGACTGAGGTTTGTTTGGCCAGATAAGAATGTCACGCAGCGGGGAGGGGTTCTTCTGGGCTCTAACTTAGGCGATGGGTGGAGTTTTATGGAGCCCTAGTTGGCTGCTAGGGTGCTCAGAGCCTCTAAAGCTCAACGGTGGGGTGGCCAAAGCCTGGCTAAGAGTGAAAATCACAGGGTTTGCTTGATTGGGTGGCAAAAGTCTATGGCAAACCTTGGAAAGCGTGGCCAGCCAATTTGGCATTTGGCAGAAAAGACTCGGAAAAGAAAAGAGCGGGGGCAGCGAATGCAAAAATTTGAGTCGGGGTTTGATAAGAGACCTCGTCCATACACGTGATGTAACTAGATTGCCGACCAGAAGAAATGGACCATACCGGTGCGGACCGAGGTTTTTTCCGACTGTCACGTGAAGCCAGAGTTCAGTGACTGACGGTGACTCTTTAGGGGTCATTTTAATTCATATGGGGTCAACTTAGGTGATCTTTTTTCCTGGTCAGCCACACATCTTGGGGCCTGGCACTGCCCGCACACCTCGCCCACCTACCTAGCCTGTCCATGCTGCCAGTGGCCTGCACTGCCTTGCCTCCTACTCCAACGAGTCTGAGCCTCTGAGGGTGTTTGTCTGTACATGCAAAACCCACAACCTAGTTACAACCCAACTGGATACCCACATCCCTCCACCAGCCAGCATCCACGTCGACTGAATACACCAGGACTCATCCTCACTAATATTCACTAACCACAAGTCCTGCTGTCTGAATTTCAACGTCATCCCTCTCAGTCTTCTCTCGACCAAACCTCCTACAATAACCCCTCCCCTCATCCCACATTCCACCTTCAATCTTTTTTGACTCTTCGCAATTTTGTCGATTTCTTCCTAGCCAGTAGGCCGCCTCTGGTCGCCTCCCGTTCGCAATTATGTCGGCTCCACAACCAAATGAAGCAGAAAAAAACATCGAGATATGGAAGGTTAAAAAACTCATCAAACGCCTCGAGGCTGCTCGTGGCAATGGAACCTCAATGATCTCCCTCATCATCCGTAAGGATCCCCGACCAGAAATCTTGAGACGCACTTTTGTGGTATAAATGCTAATGCCATCATGTCGTTACAGCCCCCAAGGATCAGGTGTCTCGTGCCGCCAAAATGTTGGCCGAAGAGTTCGGTACTGCTTCCAACATCAAGTCAAGAGTCAACCGCCTGTCCGTCCTCTCCGCCATCACCTCCACCCAACAGCGTCTCAAGCTGTACAACAAAGTGCCTCCGAATGGTTTGGTCGTCTACTGCGGTGAAATCATTACCTCGGAGGGAAAAGAACGGAAGATCAATATTGATTTCGAGCCCTTCAAGCCTATCAATACATCCCTGTATCTCTGTGATAACAAATTCCATACCGAGGCTCTCAGTGAACTTCTCGAATCCGACCAGAAGTTCGGTTTCATCATCATGGATGGCAATGGTGCCCTATTTGGAACCCTGAGTGGTAACACCAGAGACATCGTCCACAAGTTCTCGGTCGATCTCCCCAAGAAACACGGTCGTGGTGGTCAGTCAGCCCTACGTTTCGCTCGTCTGAGAGAAGAGAAGCGTCACAATTATGTTCGAAAGGTGGCAGAGTTGGCTGTCCAGAACTTCATTACCAATGACAAAGTCAATGTCGCTGGTATCATCCTGGCTGGTTCTGCAGACTTCAAGAACGATCTGAATCAGTCCGATATGTTCGACAATCGTTTACAGTCCAAGGTCATCAAAGTTGTTGATGTCTCCTATGGAGGTGAAAATGGTTTCAACCAAGCCATTGACCTCTCTGCTGAGACTTTGAGCAACGTCAAGTTCATCCAGGAAAAGAAATTGATCGGCAAATACTTCGAAGAAATTAGTCAAGACAGTGGTCGGGTTTGCTACGGAGTTGATGATACACTCAAGGCTCTTGAACTTGGTGCGGCTGAGACATTGATCGTCTACGAAAATCTCGACATTACTCGTTGGGTTATCAAGGCTTCAGATGGTACGGAGAAGATCCTCCACACCACAAAAGCCCAAGAAGTCGACCGTGAACAATTTATGGACAAAGAGACTGGTCAAGAGATGGAGGTTGTTGACCAAACCTCCTTCCTGGAATGGCTTGCCGAGAAATACAAGGACTTTGGTGCAACTCTGGAATTTGTTTCCGATAGATCCAGCGAGGGCAATCAATTCGTCAAAGGTTTTGGTGGTATTGGTGCCATTTTGCGTTACAAGGTCAATTTCGAGCAGTTGGCTGATGTTGATTCCGAGGATGAATTTTACGATGATTGACAATCCAATGACCTCGCAACAGAGGGCGAGGAGGTGACCATCAAGCTTCCGGTACATAATGTGGCACAGCCATATCAGAATGTGGTCTACAAGGCAGCCTCCTCCAACTCTGAGCGTCCCAGCGACGCAGAAGCCTCTCACTTGAATTATGGGAGCAACAAGCACGCGACCACCCGCCGGTCGCACTTCAACCATGTCAAATATCTGGACACCGAATCTGGCACATACCGCCGCGCCGAGCGCACATTGACGCCTTCGGCAACGCAAGACATCAGTTTGGTCCATGGTAAGTTTGAATTCATTGGATCAATCACATGCTAGCAGAAACTGATTTCCTCTCCTTACAGGACATAGCAACCTTCGCAATATGGTGATGGTCTGAGATGATGACGGCTTTCGGGTTCAGTTTCAACAAGTGTCCCAGCGCCAAGATGTTCGAGTTCACCTGTCTCGAACCACCATCAGGCATAAGTTGAAGACCACATCGAACCCGATCTAAGTCCAAAGCACCGACATCTCTTGTGAGGCATGGCCACGTTTCTGTCAGACCGTTGGCAACACGTTTCAGGGTCTCATCGTTCTACTGTCATCGAATCTATGAATCAAAACGGACTTGAAATTACTTGACTCCCCACATTCGTCAAACTGTCTGCTCAAGGCCAGCATTTCCTGTCCACGCAACTCAACTCATCCTTCTTGCATCCGACTTTGTCGTCCGCACGTAACATCGAGCTCTCATTCACTATCCAGATCTATGCATGCACAATCACCGAGACTTCTCATTCAGGATCCCAGATAGCCCGTGGTTGCCCATGAGGTCCCTGTCGAGGGATCTGAACAAACGTTGGTTGAGGTCTCGTTTTTACTAGCCGGACGGTCCAAAACCTTACCCTTGTATTCTACCTAGGTAGCCAGTCACTCATTTCAAGAAAAACCCTCACAGGATCAACACCATTCAGACAGCCAACAACCGGTTGTTCATATTCCAAATGCTCACGCTCAACTAGTGCTTTCATATTCATTGCTCTTCCCCATTCGTCTGCAACTGATCGACAAATCGTCCTAAATAGCGCAGACTCTCCGTATACGTTGCCAAGCCGTGCAAAATACTCTTCAAGTTCGCGTCCAAATCATTGGTATCATGGCCGCCCCCATGGTCTAGTGCTATTGCCTCCCTTTGACCTTGAGCGTTGTCCTCCTCTGTATCTGCCTCCTCACACTCGACGAAAAATACATAATGCCAATTCCGGCGCCGACTGGGCCTCGTATCAATACTAGTGAGATTGAAACCATGGGTCTTGAAGACCGCCAGCGCATCCGCCAGCGCGCCAGGCTTGGTATGTGGGATCGTGAACGTGATGAGGGATTTATGGCGGACATGTGCCTTGGTGGTGCGGTTCTCGACATCATGGTTGTTCGTAGTGGTGAGCTGTAACCGCGAGACCAGTGCGGAGTGGAACGCAGGATGTCGCGGCCGCAGGCGCGCGTTGCGCAGCACGAGAAACCGCGTTGTGTTATCGCCGGGCGAGTCTTCGATGTTCTCGGCTAGGCACGTCAGGTTGTGTTTCTGACCGGCGAGTCGTGAGCTGATCGCTGCTATTGTTGCGCCGAGAGCTGGAGGTTCTGTATCTGCTCCTGACACTGTTGAAGGGGCAGCTCCTTCACGTGCGACTAGAGAAGCCGCCGCTGATGTGCTTCCCAGATCGATTCGCTCCACGACGCCCGCGGGGAAGTGTTTCGACAGGAACCGTCCGCATTGGCCCCATACCTGCGGATGTGTGTAAAGGGTGGAGATGGGAGGATATTGACGGGCTGGTGATCTTTCCGGTAAAGGCGACCATGAGGACGAAGAGGCATCGACGGTCTGAGAAGGATGCACGAACAAACAGTGGTGGACGGGCAGGTAGTACTCGGCGCAAACCTGCAGGTCTGGATATTGAGCGGTTGTGCTGCTGTCGGTGTTGTTCTTGTCGTCGTCTAGGCCGCACTGGCCTAGGAGATCGAAAACTTGCACGACGGACCCGTTGGTGCTGTTCTCGATCGGGATCACGGCGTAGTCGTAGGGCTGGGAGTCGGGTTGTCCTGGTGCGGATTCTGTGGAAAAGGAAGAGGAGGTTCGCTGGACCGAAGAAAAGATAGATGTGAAGGAAGGTAGTGGCTGCAGTGTTATCTCTGGTTGTGAATTTGGTTCCTCTGGGTTTGTTCCTTCGGGTGAGAAGAGCTCAATGGCCGCCTGGTGGGAGAAGGATGCCTCGGGCCCAAGATAGGCGACTCGAAGGGTGTCTTCGTGAGGCATGGCCAGAGATTAGACTCCAAGTCAGGTCAGGCCTCAGAAGCCTTCCTCTTCCCTAGAATCATCAAGGTTGTCTTTTTCCCCTCGAGATCACACATCAACACATTGTTGACTTGGGTATTTTACCCCAATTTTTTTACAATGAATTTCCCCGCAGTCGGCACTCATCCCACCATGGGCCACTGCGAAAGTCAGCGTGTCAGTGGTATAAATGAGAGTTGGTGGCAGATCAATAGAAGTGCAAAAGGCGGGTTCTGTTCACTACGACCCTGCCACTGCCTAGCATGTGTAGCCTAACTGGTTAGAAGCTCTGATGAATACACATCTCCACCCAGGTAGCTACAACCTACAGGGGGGTCATGACATCTTGCGCAAGGCTGTTAAATCCGAACCTTAAGGGGGGAGGATGACAAACGCTATATGTAGGTAATCCTTATACTGCTATCAATAATCCAAATACACAAGGAGTCGATCCCTTTGGTCCTTACTGCGTTAAATTAAAAGTATACCTAGGTCGAAGGTTGGAATTAAAAGTGGATAGCCAAGTGGTAGGGGTCGTGCTTATAAAGATAGGTATCCATCCCAGGTCACTGTGCTGTGTCGACCCCAGGGAGTGAGTGAAGTCCCGGAACATGAAATGGGGTATATATGCATGTCCAATCCTGTGCGTTGTACTGTGTTCCAATGATCCCGCCATGATGCAAAGTTGTGGAGTATCCGACTCGTCTACTCACAAAAGCAAGTTCAACACTTCTCAAACGCCATTCCAGCCTTCCAGTCATTGTTTGACTGCATCTCCAGTCTTCTTTCTCAAGAAAACTCGCTTGATTCCGCTCATGTCACTCAGACTCATGCGGCTCTTGGGCCGAGACCCAGGCATTAGGCTCGCTCGACGACTCTTGGAGTCTGAACTCGCTGACGCTGTACTGGTACTTGGTGAGATGGTTCCCACACTGGCTGGACTTGATTTTGGGCTGGAACTAAAAATGGAGGCCCGCCGACTTCTTGGTGTCGAAGCAATCGTGGTCGTGGTCGTAGTAGTTGTCGTGGGGCCATTTGTGATGGTTTGAGACCCTCCACTGACTGCCCTGGCCTTGCCAACGATTCCTTCGACCCAGGCATCACGATTAGTGGTAGGCAATCCTCCATAAGTAGTTGCTCGTTTGCCATTAACTCTAGGTCCAGCAGCACCCAGAGGTGTGTAACTGGTGCCACCAGTGGTCGGAGGGGTGACCACAGTAGTGGTGGTTGTACCCTCGTTGACTATAGTCGAAGACCTTGCCCCTGAAGATGTGTTGGGATCCGCGAAAGATACCGCATTCGATGGTACATTTGGATCAATGTCGATGATTTCGGTGGTGGTTGCGCCATTAGAACCCGATGTTGTCATCATTGTTGGGGTCATCGTTGTGAACGATGCCGGAATTGCAGGGACAGGCGGGGGCACCCAGCTACTATCGTTTGTAACCACACTATCACCACGCTCAGCTGGTCGTGGTTTTGTAAGTACATTGCGAGGCTTCGTCACTTGTAGGTTCGACGGAACGCTGCTGTCGAAGCCTGTCTGGGTGATGATTGGTGACCTCGACTTTCTTCGTCCCTGGCTCCCAGAAGCTCCACTCGAACCGATCGAGTTTACAGAGTCTCTTTTGCCGCTGACTGGAAAGCTGGCTATCTCAAGTTGACCCTCGCCAGTTGTTCGACTGCCATGATGGAGACTGTATTCTTTGAGATATTCTCCTAAATCAGCCCATCCTCCTCCAACCCGAACCATGACTCGGTTGCCATCTCCAATAGTTCGTACAAAAAGCTTTACAGGAGGAGTATCTCGAGCTTGTCCAGCCCGAGTTAGATGATAGAGGCGGATTTCCGAGTCCCCAATGCTACTTCTTCGACTGCTGGGTTCATTTCTGACCGCTGATAGGGTCAACGCCGGTGTAGGGGTCGAAGCACGGGTCGATGAGCTGGATGAAGTTTGAGCCAAGCTAGAGGAATCGTTGTCCTTTGCCAATCGAATCTTAGTCGGTAGGCTTGTAAGTAGATCTTGGATTTTATCATCTAGTGACGCAGTCTTCTTATGCTTCGGTGTGATCAGTTCTGTAGGCATTCTCGACACTTTGCGAGAGATTGGCTCAGATCCCTGTTCAACAACTGGTGTCACAGATCCTGCACTTGAGATTGGCGTGAGTGGTGAAGAAGCGCCTCCCATTGCGATGGTATTGCGCTTACTTGATCTCCTAGGAAGACTCGGCAATATAATCGGTGTCAAGTCCTGTGGCTTACTCCGAACTTGTAGAGGCTCCACGAGTAATGAAGGGGATGGTGAGGGAAGAGGGGTGAGATCTTGGGTATGGATAAATGGCTTCAGATGGGCTGATGGCGTTTCCATCTCATCGGAGCGGGGTTCGCTTTTGGGAGACTCATGTGAAGTCAGTTGCTGCAGTGCTTTTGAAGGGGTGCTCGGGGCTGGAGACTCTGGCATGTTAGAGAGCATATCCCAGCTTGCGGATCTTGTCAATAAGACTCTCTTCAGCTGATGATTGGGGACGACCTCAATCGAGGTGGTCGAAGCTCGCTGAAGCATGGGTGGGCGAGCACCTTCACGGAGTTTGATGAGTGGTTTGGCACCGAACCAGACCGAATCTTCACCATTCGCCTTCAGAGGACTCTCCACAACATTGATCTTCGGGCTTGGTAAGACACTGGTCCTTGTGACATCGATAATTTCAGCATTAGAAATGTCGGAAAATGCCGAAAAAGTAGAATCGGCTACGGACACTTTCGAGGCTTCTCTCCTGTGACCTCTACTTTCGGGCAGAGCGATCGTCAATGAGGGTTTTCTTTTGACCTTTAAGTTTTGTTCGAGCCCGTCCAAAGTTGATGCATCAGGGTCGGAAGGCACCTTTACCGTGAAATGTTCGCTCGGAGGCTGATCAGCATCAAGTACTGTCTGAGTTGACGTCGCACTGCTTGAAGGTGCAATCTTCTCCTGCGTTTTCGATATATTCTTCTCAGGAGTTGAAGTTGGGGATGGGGATAATTTGTTTTTCAGAGCACGTTGTTGAGCATCGACCACCCATGTCGCATAGTCAAGTTCAACTTTCTCCATTCTATCAATCCAATTTTGGGGAAGTGAGTCTTCTTGTCCTTCCAAGATGTCCAGAAGTTGATCTGTTCTCCGTCCCAGGTCTGCAACCTGCTCTCCTAGCCAGAGTTTCTTGTGCTTATATGTGGAATCTGTTATGTTTCGTGATAGTTCGGGATCACGGAGTTCTTGGATGGCAGACTGAAGCCCCGACTGAACAGTAGCTAGTCCAAGACGAAACTTTGGCAGGCTCCGCAGAACCTTTAACCGTGTATCCCATTCGTCGAGAAGTAGGTTCAGTTTAGCAAGATCTGGAAGAGCTTGTATAATGGTGGCGGTAATAAGGGCAGTAAAGTCACGCATCCTTCCATAGCTAGTCCGGACCCCAATAGGTCTTATGCTGATGGATTCCCCCGAATTTTTACTGTTGGCCGGAACGTGAGCTTCGAGGACGTGATCCTTGATTTCCTCAATACCCAGGCTATCAAGGTCGTCTCTAATTTCCCCGAGCCTCTCTTCATATTGATCAACCAGATCTATGGGTAACGAGCCCAGGTATTCCACGCTGGAAGTTTCCATGTTTGGTGGAGGTGTAAAGCCGAGACCAAAGGCTCGTTCTCTCTTGCTGGGCCACCTCCACTTAGTCACTTCGGTTCTCCATTCTCGTAACTTTTGTGCAGCGAAAGCTGCCCTTATACCGATTTCGCGCTCAGCTGAGGAAGCATCGATGATGCTCGAAGTGAGAACATCCTGCGCGGTTCCGCCCGGTATCGTCTCAGTGGCTCGAAGCGCCTTTAAGGTCGAATCTGGTGAGAGGTTGGCCAGTAAAGGATCCAACTCTCTGATGGCGAACTGGGCTTTGCGGCGCGGGGACCGTGATGGAGATTGCGATTCCGTGTCAATGGGAGGGTCGAAGCGGGGAAATTGAGCGTTGGTAGGTGTTGTGAGAGCCATTGCTACCCAGATGGTTATACAGGCATGAGCAGACCAACACTCTCACAGGGTCTGCTGTTCTTCGAGACTCGGACAGCCAGCTTGAGAGCAGGCGTGCAGCATACTGGAGCAAGGTGGCAAGGCAAGGCAAGCCAGGCAGAAGTGGGCTTAGAATGCTCGGTAGAATATCGAGGCAGCTGGAACGTTCATGTCTCAATCAAAGTGAGGAACATGCATCGCCGTCATCTCCAGGCACCGAAGCAGAGTCACACGTGTTGAGATGGATGATGTGCAAAAGGGATCATATGAAACTGGTATCAGATAATGTGGAGATGGACTGATTCTAAGTCAAGAAACTTGAATTCGAATACCAGACTTGGGGATTTCAAGCAGAGAGAAATTCGGCCAGAACCAAGTATCGCATGACGCCCAAAGCCGGTTAAAGTTGGCCCCTGTCCAGGGTCCCTGGGTATTCTGTTCGTAAAACTCCCACGAACTCCATGCCCAGAGTTGCATTAGGCAAGGATGTGAAGGCAGATAAGCGAGAAGCTCCATCAACGCGCCTTGAGTACGGACTAAAGGCACGCCCGAAGCATGACGCGACGCGACGCGACTGTGCCCCCCGGGTTCCTGCCGTTTGCTTAATTCTCCGCAGGTACCAGGTGCTTCATATCTAAGATAATTCAAGGTCCTCTGGTCACAAAGTCGCTGGGAGCCATCGCTTTACAACCGCAACAGTAATGCGCTTCAAGTGCCAGATCAAGAATGTGAACCTCTTTGCGAGTATGGCCCCTGTCATGTCAAGTGTGATGCTCCCTTGCACTCACTAACAACTCTCCAGAGTTTTGTGCCTCCCTGGCCTCCCTCGGTCAAATCGCCTGGTGTCGTTTGAATGATGAAGATGTCCAGTTTACCATTGTGCCCGATAAAGGTAGTCAGGTATGGTCGGTCCTGAAAATCGAAACGGTGTTCGACATTGAGAGCTATATTCTTCAGTCGGCTTCAGAGAAAAACACCATCAACCTCGAAGTTCCCATCCAAGCCCTTTCTCGGGCACTGAGGTCGGCGTACGGAGCAACATCAACACAAATTCGGTTGACCAAGAAAGACAATGTGCCCATGCTGTCTTTGACCATCATCACCAATACATTTAGCAGTGGAAACAATGCCGTTGCAGTCCCGGCCGCCGCCACTGAAGGAGCCGTTCCAGACGAATTCGACTTCAACGACGATTTTGCTGCTCCATCAATGACACCCGCCAATCGTGGTGGTCCTCGAGAAAGAGAAACAATCATTACACAAGATATCCCCGTGAAAGTCCTGTCAATGGAAGTGGTCGAACGAATCCACCAACCGCGTACTCAAGAGCCAGACGTCAACATCTACCTTCCACCATTGGCCCAAGTAAAGACCATTTCCGAGCGATTTACCCGCCTTGCTATAGCTACTTCCAAGTCCTCTTCATCCACTAGCCCTCGCCTCGAACTCAGTGCCAACATGCATGGCTCTCTAAAAATATCACTCAAGACCGACGCTCTAAATATCACAAGCCGCTGGACAGGCCTCACCAACCCAGAACTTGATCCTGCACAATTTCAAGACGGACTAGAAGGTGTACGAAACCACCCGAGTACCAAGATGAAGGAGCTCGCCGGCCCCAATGGTGAAAATGAAGCCGGTTGGTCCAAAGTGAGAATTGATGCCAAAGACTGGTCCCGAGTCCTCAGTGTTGGGAGGGTCAGTGCTCGAGTCATTGCATGCTTCATCAACGATGGTGGTCTGGTCATGTATGTCTACTTACCCAACGATGAAAATGGCAGTGAGGATGAGTCGTGTTTAACGGTAAGCCTGGGATCCCTCACTTGTGATCCATGAGACTAATACAGTGATGTGATGGACAGTACTACATCAGCTCCTTTGCTAGCTAGTGGCCCACAATCCGGCATCTTGATTGCTTGATGCTCATACGAACACGAAGTTACGAAATGACGAAAGACCCTGCGATGACTAACGAGCCAGCTCAGAGTGGAAATAATAATAATAATATACACGATCACCATGTCTTGTGAGCCTAAAAACGTTGTCCTTGTCTCCTGGTCGAAGAAAAGACATTGGACCGCGAATTGAGCACATTATCAAGCTTTGGTTGCCATTCCCTTCACATATCGAAAGACCTGCAAGAGCGAATGTAAGCGTTTGTGGTATTTGAAATGATGTCACGTACCTCGTGTCCCTTGAAATCACCAACAGTACTGATCCTTCTCTCGTCCCAACCACCCATACCCAGAACAACCTTATCTATCTTCCCGTTCAAGCGGCATCCTCCCATAAGAGCAGGCCAAACCCATTCAACCAACCAAACATACATTTTGGTGATGCTGTCCGTGTTGTTCTCCACATGTTCAAAGAACAAAAACTGGCCACCAGGTTTTAATAGAGCCTGCACGACGGCGATGGTAGCTGTGAGTTGACTCTGTGGAAGGGAGCACAAAGATTTGATCGTGACCACTGTATCGAAAACACCCTGCTCAGGTAGGCTTGATGTTGTGCTGGACAGGAGACCTTGTTGCTTCAGTGCGGGCAGGAGACTTCCTGGTTGGCCTCCAGCTTCGAGCAGGACAACTTTCCCAGCCAGGTCGTGCTTGGCTGCCATCTGGAGCAGTCTGGGATGGAGAAAGGCATTTGGCTCTGCTGCATACAGCTTCTCAACATTTCCCGGACTGTAGTGATACATCTGATCACCACTTCCAGGACCGAGCTCGAGTACCCTGCCATGCGCTCGAGACAAGAGATCTCCGATATGGTTGACTTGGGTAGGAGTTGCTGCCATTTTGGGACCGACAACCGCCCAAAACTTGTCGAACCATTTTGAGCGGAATGTGGATGGGGAAGTGAGCAAGAGAAAGGGGCTAGACAGAAAGGTAATGATCAGGTAGACAATGGAGAAACAGATCAAGATCCAGGGTTCAGAGTAGGACTGAAGACGGATAGAGAGTGGAACACTCATTTCGATAGGAAGCCCAAGGAAAATGATGAGTACTTACGGGCAGGAAGATTGAAGATGTGGCAGAGACTGGGAAGGTCATGAAAAAGATACCTACCTGCATACCTAGGTAGCTAAGGTAGTTGGAGGGCGCGTCCTGTCAAAACAAGAGAGACATGCCAGAAACCCGCATCTCCTCGTATTCTCAAGAGGGTTCAGGATACGAACCTAGCTAACTAGGTACCTAGGTGATTCAGGTAGTGGGTTACCTAATACTGCTACCTGCAAGGTCCAAGTGAGAAGCCCCTCGGCAATGAGGGGCACCCAAGCAGTCTATCAAAATTGGCCCTTCGAGGACATGTCCGTTCCGCATAATCCACGCCTTGCAGCGAGCCGTGGGGAAATTTTATTCTAACTGGTTGTTGGCGGGCACGCTGGATGGAGGAAAAATGTTCGGTGATGTGATGGTGATCGCCATCGTTGTTATTGACTCATTTTGATCTTTCTCAACATCTATTTTCACCACCTGCGCTTCCACCTCAACCTGTACCAGATTTGCAACGCATCGCCATGGCTTCTTTAATCACCACCATTCAATCCAAGCTGGGCTATTCATCCCAGAAAGCCCTTCTTCTCGGCGCCGGCTTCGTCACAAAACCTACCGTTCAAATCCTCGCAGACGCTGGCGTCGAGGTCACTATTGGTAAGGCTACTTGGGTATTCGTGGCATACGTCTCGAGATCTACCCTGCTAACTTGGATCTGCTTCAGCCTGTCGGACGCTTGAAAGTGCCAAATCTCTTGCCGGAGGCATCAAGAACACTCGCCCAATTTCTCTCGATGTCACCAATGATGAAGCACTTGATGCTGAGGTTGCCAAGGTCGACCTTGTCATCTCACTGATTCCTTATACCTTCCACGCCACAGTCATCAAATCTGCCATCCGCAAGAAGAAGAATGTGGTCACAACCAGCTACGTCTCACCCGCCATGCTCGAACTCGAGGACCAGGCCAAAGAGGCGGGCATTACAGTTTTGAACGAAATTGGTCTCGATCCCGGTATTGATCATTTGTACGCCGTCAAGACTATTGAGGAAGTCCATAAGGCTGGAGGGAAAATCACTTCCTTCCTGTCATATTGCGGTGGTCTGCCAGCTCCTGAAGCCAGTGGCAATCCATTGGGTTATAAATTCTCCTGGTCAAGTCGAGGTGTGCTTTTGGCCCTTCGCAATGCGGCAAAGTTCTACAAGGATGGCAAGGTCGTGGACATTCCTGGCCCTGAACTTATGGCCACCGCAAAGCCCTACTTCATCTATCCCGGCTACGCTTTCGTCGCCTACCCCAATAGAGACTCCACTCCGTACCGAGAACGTTACAACATCCCAGAAGCTCAAACCGTCATTCGTGGCACGCTACGATACCAAGGTTTCCCCGAGTTCGTCAAAGTCCTCGTTGACATTGGTTTCCTCTCAGACGAGGAGCAATCTTTCTTGAAGCCCTCCGACAAGCCCATCACATGGGCCGAAGCTACACAGAAGATCATTGGAGCCACATCAAGCAAAGAGTCCGACCTCGCATGGGGTATCTCCTCCAAGACCTCCTTCACCGACACACCCGAGAAGGACCGCATCATCAGCGGCTTGAAGTGGATAGGCGTCTTCTCCGACAAGCCCATCACCCCTCGCGGCAATCCTCTCGACACACTCTGCGCCACACTCGAAGAGAAGATGCAGTACGAGAAGGACGAGCGTGACATGGTCATGCTCCAGCACAAGTTCGAGATCGAGCACAAGGACGGCAACAAGGAGACTCGCACAAGCACTTTGGCCGATTATGGTGATCCAAAGGGTTACAGCTCCATGGCCAAATTGGTCGGTGTCCCTTGTGGTGTCGCCTGCCTGATGGTTCTTGACGGTCGCATCAAGCAGACAGGTATACTCGCTCCTGTCACTTGGGATCTGGCCGAGCCTATCCTCAAGGAGTTGAAGGACAACTATGGCATCTTCTTGACTGAGAAGACCGTCGACTAAACATAGCCAACTGCATGCCAAAGAAACGCAGAAATTGATTGTAAAAGCCACAAGGTCAGGCGAGAACATCGGTTTGGAGACAGGTCTCTTACGTGCTCAGGTAGATAAAATCACAAAAGTACTTCTCTACGCCAACACACCAAGAGGTCAGGTTAGAGGAGCAGTAAAGAGTTCTGATTGCCCATTTCTTGATACAAAGTTATCAATTATTGCCAGAGATGGCCTTCCTTCTTTCTCGTCGTTTCTGTATCTTACAGGTCCTTGTTCTGGCCGCTTCCACGCATGTGACTTATATCTGGTAGCATGGATGATCGCGTCGAAGCGCGACGCGGTGCGACAAATGTGACATCTAGCCAGCTGTGTCTCGGCTTCTTCAACCAGGTAAGTGGTCGAGATGAAGTCGACCAATTATGTTTCGCTCTTCGACTTCAAGGCCGGAGAGCAGTCTTCACCCAACATTTTGCATCGTTGTGCCTTCCCTGATGTCGAGTGACGTCGACCAGATACAGTGTTTTGATTGACCGTGTACCGGAAGGTAACATCACGGAGTTTCCTGCCGGCGAGCTTGCTTGTAGCACCGTTGCCTCCATCTGTGAAGGTTTCAAATCGGTGAATCTGTGCTGTTGCTTCGTGCTGCTTCCTTCTTTGACACTGACAATGCGGTCGCCGATTTGATGGCACCTCGGTCGCCGCCGGGCAGTCTCTCATGGCTTCCAGGCGCTTCGAGCCCAGCTGCCAGAGCCCCTGCATCATCTTCAACCTCAACCTCACCCTCGTCCTGTTCCCCGTCTCTCGCCTCAAGAGCACGATATTTCCTCCGGCTCTTCTTACTCTTACTGGCCTTCTTCTTGCGATCGAACTCCTGCCTCTTCATCACACGGCTCTCATCCCCCTTCTCCAGCAATTCGACCTTCTCCGCGAGAATGCGACGTGCGATGTTGTAGTTCTGCAGGCGGGAGCGCGTCGCCTGCGATTTCACCACTATTCCCGTGGGCAGATGTGTCAGCTGTGCGGCGCTGTTCGTCTTGTTGATTTTCTGACCGCCCGGCCCGGAGCCTTTGAGGTAGACATGTATGATGTCGTCGGAGGGGAGTGTTGGACGCGGTGGGAGAGGTGGTGTCTTTTTGTGGTGTTGCGCGCTGGTACTGAAGCGCTGCAGGCCTTGGTGCTGCGGTGGTCGGAGTAGACGTACCGGTCTGTCAGGCATCGTGTGGACGGCATTGCTTGTATGGCTTGTGCCCTTTGCTACTAGTGATACGGCACTGCTGCTGGTCCGCAGCGTGAGCCATGACTGCGGGAGGCGAGGCATTTGCTGAGGCGCATCACACTTCACGAGTCCCCCCCACTTTAATCTCATGGTCCGAAAGACATGATAAGCTATACACGCACTCTGAATGATACGGATACTGCCTTAACGACCTTGGACGAAGGAGCTGAGGAACTGGAACGAGCGTGTAGTTCTAAACATCAAGGCATTTTCAAGTTCACCATGTTGTTCGAAAAGGCAGGTAAGCCGGAACCCTGAATATTTCAGCCTCGTGGTGGTGAAAGTCTACGAGGCTGCGAGTCGACAGCCCGCTACTCGATCAAATGAGTGGTAGAATCACTTTAGCTTGGGTGCTTAGAACAGCCTGTATCATTCACCGATGTACATTACCACCACGCCTCTCAAGAGCATCTCGCCATGTCATGCGCGCAACTCTGCTCATACACATCTCACATATTGCCAGGCTCCCGACTTCAAGCAAATCTCTCCCACAGTTCTTGTGCGTAAGCATTCAGAACTCCATTCAAGTTACCAGACTAATCGCGCCAACTCAATCCATCACGCCCACTCTGATTATGACACTAACTTCCAAAGCCTTCGCCTCCCTTATCGCACAAGACAGACAAGTTCGGCCAACGCGAGCAATCAAAGCATTGCGACCTTTCTCCGCACACCAACTCCGAACGAGGATGTCCCTCGTCCATAACTGGTTGTGCACCGCCTTTTCTGCTTGGACCTCACTTCCGGCCTCCACGAGACTTGGGGAAGCTTCAGCGGTTGACGACGAATTGGAGTAGAAATTGGACAGATAGTTTGCCTCACTGTGGCTTCGCTCCTGGTGACTGCTCTGCATCACTGGCGATCTCGCATCAACAACCCAGACCTCCGAATCATGACTCAGGCAAGGATTTGGGGGCTCGGCACCCGTCACGCCACCGTCACCATTTACCAGATCCGAGAGAGTCTTGGTCACGAACTTATATGTTTTGTGGAGCGGGTGGGCGGGAATGTGCTCATGAGACTTGTGCTTAGGCGGTTGTCTGTGTTGTTCGTAGTCCGCATCTGCGGAGCCAGGTGGGAAGGTAGCATGTCCGTGGGGTAATCGGCATGGGAAAGACGTGATGAAGTACACAGCTCGGTCAAGGCCATATCGAACCTTCTTGGTGACAATTTCGGCTTGGGGAGATGATTTTCCGATGACGCGTGGGGTCAATGTCAGCTCGAACTCTGCCCATGCTGCCAATGGATGTTCTGGACTCGAACTGGTAGCATCACTAGTCGATAGGTGAATCCTGATGTCCTTCACATCTAGTTGGGGCTTCGTTTCATCATTTAGAATATGATCGGTGACCATGCTGAATTCAGCACCCCGAATCCCGCCTTTGCCCATTCCAAGGGGAGTGCTTTCAATCGCGATCTTTTCGCCATCAAATATCCTTGGTCTTGAACGTGTAGTTGGGACAGGGAATGTCTTGACCTTAACCCAACGATCGGGAAATGGCTTCTTGCTTGTGTCATCCAGAGGCACAACATTTGGCGCAGAAATCCAGCCCATTGATTCCTTAGCACCATGCATAGGGGCCAGAACTCGACCCACAATGCAAGATTTTGACCACCAACTACTGCCATTGAGAACAAATCCCGAGCCGCGAAGGGGGTGGGTTCCATGACAGTCAAGTTTTGCTATCGTATTTGGATCGGTGTCATTTTCAAGTAGCGTGGAAATCAGAATATCGCAAATGGAGTTTCCGGGCAATATCAAGCCGGACAGCCAACTATGAGAAAGCCAGCCACCCACTGTTGATGAGGTGGCAGGTTCCAAGTCCACGTAGAAATTTCCAAGTGGTCGTGTAATATTGGCTGCTGGGGCATTCTTGGCCCTTTCCGCTATATCCACACAAGAGACTGCGTCCATTAAAAACCTATCTCTCTCCTTTGATTCTGGTTGACACAGCTTCTTGCGTAAACTTTCTTGAATCTCAAGAGTGCGTGGCCAGCCAATATTGTTCGCAAAACGTATCACACCAGTGACCATCACTTGTGGTTGACGTGGGAGGGCCGTGACATCGCAAGAATCATAAGTGTACTTTGTGTCGGGCTTCCTGCTCTCGTCGTTGTGGGAGAAAAGCTTCCCTATGAAGCTTGTGTGAGGCTCCGGGGATTTTGCATGCAGAGCAGGTCTTGTCGCGTGTTGACTGATGTGACCTGGTTTCTCGATCTTTTTGATGACACTCAAGGTTATAAACCTCCTTGCAAGGACGAGGTCCCAGTCAACCTTGAGGTTGCGGAGCTTGTTGAAATGATGTATTTCGTCACTGTTCAATTCGAATGACTCTGAGTGCATTGCAACACCAAGCCGTAGTGCAGCATCTAAGCGAATCACTAGTTCAACAGATAGTAGCAGCTGGACGAAGAGCCATTTCCGCTCTGGCTCAACACAAAAGTGGCTCGTTTCGCTGTTGTAGTGGGTGGTGTTGCTGTGCAAGATCTTTCCGAGTCGAAGTCTAGCTTCCGGTATGCTCAAGTCGAGCCAAGCACCAGGCGTCGTGAGCACTTTGACTAATGCTTCGATCTGAACTTTGAGACCCGAACTCTCATGTTTGATTTCATGGCCAATTTTCCTTGGTGGGAAGAGTATCTCAGAAAACAGGTGAACGTGCAGTTCAGCGGAGGTGATGTGGTCAAGGACAGTTGTTCGCCAGCCAGCATTGACGACCAAGTCTCGCCACTTCTGTATCACCTCGAAGCGGTCGGCTATCGTGCTCATACTGAGATCTCTGACACCGGCAGCTTTCCAAGCGTGCGGTCCGCCTTGTATGAGCTTGACCCGATCTAAGGATGGTGCATGCTTGCCGATCTTAGCATCAAGCTCTTCGTTCTCTCTAGCAATAGCAAGCTTTTTGAAAGCCTCCATTGCCGGAGCATGGGAGAGAGCGAGATCGAGCTCAACGTCTTTGCCATGCTCCTTTACATTTTCATCTTGGATACCATCCGCAACGGGTCGCTCGAGGAAATACCGCATGCTCACGGTCCCAGGCTCTTGGCCTTCCAAACCAAGCATGTTAGGCCTCTCAAAGATTCCAAGCTCGAACATGGGTCTCTTATTGGTTTCCAGCCTTTCATTTTTCTGCACCGGTGGCAGCATGCCCGGCTTCCAGTCAACTTCGTCCGGTATTGGTAAATGAGCATGAAGAGTTGACAAGGCAAAGCTTTCGTGCCGCAGGTATCTCCGATCTTGAAGATCGGATGTCTCAAGGTCATTGTTCCATGGGAAGAAAGCCTGAGGAAAGTAACGGCCCCTTCGTCCCTTTTCGAGAGTGAACTGTGGAGCGCCAGAAAAGAGCCCTTCTACATCGGCTTTGGTCAAACCAGCCTTGCTATTTCCTCGGCGATCATGTCCATGCTCGTGTTCTAAAACCCCAGCTTTCACAGCGACCGCAGCATCAACTTTTGTATCTCCTGTCGTTGTGATGGCTTGCCCTATTGATGAGTCGGGCTGTCCATTATGGGTAGGTGAAGAATTATTTACGGCAGGAGGCTTTGGTGCCATGTGAGACTCATCATCTTTGTTGAGATCCAGATGCAATTCAGCGATTTCTGGCTGTACAATTTTGTCACTCACACTGGATTGTTTTGAGGCATGCTAATCTCTGACTTCAGCATTTTCTTTTGCCAAAGCAATTCTAATGCTGGAGCAAAAACTTGGCGGAAGAGGGCAGGGCCGTACTCACATCTCTCTGCTCAATAACAGGCTGCTTCTTCTGACTTTCTATCTTGCTCGCACTGTTTCTCCGACTCAATCGACGAAAGATCGAGGGTTTAATCTCGGTACGGTCAGGCTCAGCCGAACTGCTTCTCTTTGTGCCAGTCGAATCCGTTTCATGCCGAAGATACTTCCTTGATGTTTTTCGCGAGAGGAAATCCATAGTGATGATTAATCTTACCTAAGTACTAAGTATCGTTCCGGTGCAACACCAAAACTAAGAGCTTTTGTGGAGGTTCCTGGTCAGACTTGCGAACGAGATGAAATTGTACAGAATCCAGGTGCAGAGATTCCACTTAAAACAACATTCTTCGGATTCATCTGCGCTGCATGATTCAACGCGTGGTACAAACGGTCCGGAGACGAGCCAGGCGATGATGGTCGTGTTCTACCTTTGTCATGAGCTTAACCTGGTTCCTGGAGAAGCCGGCACCTGGATGTGGCATAAGGTCATGTAACAAAAGCGAACCAGGTTATGTCAGCTTGGTGCATGCGCCAGTTGGGTGATAGTCTCGTCGCCACGGGCATTGCTACCCACTTTTCAAGTCCCCAGCCTAGGGACTTCACGTGAGGAGCTCATTAGCCAAGTTTGAAAATATTGGTGATGTCACAGGAGCTGTGGCAATATGACTTGAGACTTGCAGGGCACGTGTTACACCAAAAAATTGTTGGAAACTTGAGGTCATTCATTACCCAGGTTCTCTTTGTAATGAAACCATGGGACGATGCACCCGGTTAATCTTCCCACTATCCAAGGCCCGAAGTGAATATGTACCGAGGTGCTTGCTGCTTCAGCATATCAAGATCCGCTAACCTTTGTGAGCCACGAATTGTGCCGCTTTCAAAGACGCCCAGATTTCTTCCTGGTCTGATCAGCCTCTTCAACTATCCAATCTTCCTGCCTAAGTATGCATGCCTTTATATGTAGCCAGGCCGATTTCAGGCCCTCTGAGAACCGCTTTGTCAGGACAGCTTCTTCTCTCGAGCGAGCCTCTATAGTCCTTCCACATAGACTCAACCGCAGAGAGCTTCGACGTGAAGCTGCCCGCGATTCCTTTAAGGGGCGTTCAGCCTGATCTGGCTCTCGGGGACGAGCTTATTGTCCTCGACATAGACTTCCTCCCAACCGATAGTCCAATGCGCCCCAGACACATCAAAGAAGTTCGCCTCATCGTTTCGAACCTCGTTCAAGTAGAATGGATCTTCTTGTGACTTCCTGATGTCCGCCATATCCTTGACAATAAATTCTGCCACGCCGTCATAAGGCGTCAGACTCAGCGACTTAAGGTCTGGGTATGCATCGATGGCTGATTGTTGCAACGTGTCGCTTGTGTGGTACTGGGGTGGAAGATCAGTGGGAAGAAGAGATGACCATGATGTTCACCGACCTGGGTGTATTTGAGTATACCATACTTTTGTATCAAAGGCCGCACCAGTGGGCCGTGTATCTCACTCCAGTATCTATTGAATTCCTCTACACTGAGACCTTCTTTCCTCTTTAAATATATCGATACTCGGAAGACTTGAGTTTTCTTTGCCATTGCAGTGCCTGTGCTCTTATCGTCGATATGGCAGGAAAAGTTCAGCGTTGGATGCTGATGTCTAGGTAAGCAAAGGGACATAATACGTGCGATATAAGTATGTCCACCATACTATAGAGGTCCATCTCATTCTCCACCATGTGTATTCAGCTCATCTACATTGTAGGGTCGAACATCTTAATCAGCACTCTCTGCCAAGATAGATTTCTTCGGCATGGATCCCGCTGAACGGCGTCTGCTTACGGCTTTGCTGAATACCGATTCACTCTCCACCTTCCTAAATGGTTTACAAATTACTAGAGCCAAGAACCAATTTCAGGAGGCGGCAGGCTGTTGATTTTGATGAGCTATTGAAAGTAACAACCATGCTACTCACTCGAGTCGAAGTATCAATCAGAATCTTGGCCTATGACTGTTGCCCGGTGGCATCCTTGATTCTTTGGTAAGCATCTTTAACCTGCTTTACATCGTTCAATGTCTGGAACCACTTCGCGATTAGAGGGTGTTTGTCCAACGTCAGTCCTGCAAAATGATGCAAATAGATCCATGGTTGAAAGTGAAAGTCAACTGCGCAGTAGCCTCCAGGAAGAATACTGGCACCATCGGTTTTTTTCAGCTGCTCTTCCAAGACATCGTAACATCGTAGTGTCTGGGCCTGGTAGCGCGCCAGAGCATCTTCATTCTTGACCGGATGGTGCAGCCTGGCTCGCAGCAATATTACTAATGAGACTCCTGACTCGGGCATGGTGTGAATTGTTCGCCTACCTGAACCAATTGCACTGGCCACTCATGGGTGCCAAAGTTGTAACCAGGAAGTACATCCACTTGTCGAAGTCAACATGGTCCTGCTCAGTGCCACCTCTCGGTCCAATCATGTTGTCGTTGTCGTAGACGCGCCGAATGTAGTCCATGATGGCGCCGGATTCCCAGGACACAACGCCGGTATTCGGGTCTTCCAATGCGGGAACCCGACCATTCTCGTTGATCTTTAAAAATCGAGTCCCTTTGACTCCATTCTCCGGGTCATCACCGCCTTCCCAGAGTTGTACGTCGTATGGTACCTCCAAAAACTCAAGCGCAATGGCTACTTTGATCAGATTAGGCCCTTGTGAATGGGCATGGAGAAGAAGTGATTTAAGATTCCGAGCCATGATGAATGGAATCGATCGTAATGACAACTGTTGATATTTCAGTCTGCTTGATATCGGCTGTTGATGTTGATGTCGATGATGATGATGGTATATACCCTCCTGAACTGGCCATAGTAATCAACTTATGTACCTTCAACATATCAGGTTTGGATATAATGTTTTCTAAGCGCAATGAAATCACAGTTGCAAGTCAACACCGTCAACGCGCAACGCAGCATAACGAGCAAGTAGTGTAGTTCTATGAGCTTTGTCAGCGGTTCAATTGGAAAAACATGAAACTTACTGCGACAGATGGAAAAGATGGAATCAGATCGTCAACACCGAGCTGAATAAACACAATCATATCAAAGAGATACTATCATGCTCGTGTGTTGTGCAATTTCCCCGCATTCCGCTCAGCCAGGCGGTGTTTGTGAAACCCGTTCGCGGGATGCGGCATCTAAGCTGAGGCACCGCTTCGTAAGTCAGGAAATCTGCTACATGGTTCATCGCATGGGCGGAAGGGGGACAAGTATGTATGGTTCGGCTCGCCTCTTGATTGAGCAGATGGCAACATAATCCTTTATCACATACGCCCCCTTCCCAGTCGACGCAGAACTCAGAGATCTGTGACAGCCATGGAGCAACTCATCACCCCAATCAAGCACCTGCAAAAGCCCCTGGAAATTGGAGACATCACGCTGCGAAATCGGTTCGGTATGTCCTCGGTATCTCGCAATCGGTAAGCTCTGTAGCAAATAGCTTAGTGATAGGAAAATTTGACCGAGACCAGGGCTGACGGCACTTACCCTAATGCACTGAATGGAGAGTATTTCTACCAGCGGGCTCTTGGAGGGGCGGGCTTTATCTGCGCAGGAGGTGCCCTGATCGAGCCTCAGGGCACAGCTATGCGAGAAACACCTCAGATCGACACCCACGAGCACATGCTCGCTTGGAGACGGGTTGTCGACAGAGTTCATGAAGTCCCCGGAGCAGTTTTCTACTGTCAACTGTGGCACTGTATGCTCCACCTGGGATATGGCATCCCATGTACATATCGCACACAACTGACCTGCTCCAGGTGGACGTATGACTTATCAGGACGCCAAGATTCAGAAAGAGTATGGCAAGCCCACCATTGCTCCTAGTGCCATTCAAGCTCGTATGGGAATTGCGCCGGATAATGATGGTGTTTATGATTTGGAACCGGGACTAGATAAGGGATATTCCAAGCCTACCGCCATCGAAAACCCGAAAGATGTTATAGAGCAATTCCGTAGGTCAGCAATTCTGGCGAAGGAAGCTGGATTTGATGGAGTTGAATTACATGGCGCCAATGGGTACCTCGTTTCTCAGGTAAGCTAGACCAGCTGAAGTAACATCTGCACACGGTCTTTCAGCCTTTGCTAATCACTTAAAATTTGGCAGTTCCTGGATGACACTGCAAATATCCGAACGGATGATTATGGTGGGTCGGTAGAAAATGTGAGTAAAACGGTCTGACCCTGTTCTGAGCCCGTGATGACACGCCCAAGCGTGCCAGGTTCGCACTTGAATGCATCGATGCTCTGGTTGAGGTATGGGGTCCTAAAAAGGTCGGCATCAAATTATCTCCCGCCACTGGACGCGGCGACTTGGGTATGCCTGTTGAGAGGCAGATAGAACAATTCACCTACCTGATCAGAGAGTTGGATAAACGTCCATTGGCGTACATCAACCTTGTCAGATATTTAGGCATGTTCATACACTTTGGACGGAAGGAGCGGTCCCTGCTAACCAACGTACAGAATGGATGGACATGGAAGTGGATGGCAAGATGCGTGGGCCCTTGCACCCTGTCTGGGCGACCTACCGCCACCTAATCAAAAACGCGAAGGTGTTCTTAAATGGAGCCATTTCACTCATCGAAGCGGAAGAGCTGCTCAAAGACGGAACGGGTGACTTGATCATCTTTGGTCGTCCCTGGCTCGTAAATCCTGATTTCGCGAGTGCCGCGATAGCTGGAAAGGAAAAAGAGCTTCAATTCGAGTACAACTTTGATGTGAGTGTTGTATTGCTTGTCGCGACTCAAACGGAGCGAACCCATGTTGACAAGTTGACCTTAGTACTTCGCCCAGTACCCTATCGGAGACCCAGCCAAAGGCTATACTGATTATCCTTTCATCACGAAGCCAGATTACAAGGCCCCAGGTCTGAAAACATAATGAGGATGAGGTTGGCTCGACTCAGATACATCATTCGCGAATTGAAACAAGAGGCGTATCGTACGAGAAAGTAGGAGGAAGGAACGTAGTTCCAGAACAAGCTGTATTCTTAAATACTCGTAGCTCGATTAAGAGTGGCCTAAAGCAACCCCAATAATCTACCTGTCTATCCGCTGTGCTTAACCGCTTCGGGCAGGTCAGCCACCTAGGAGTAGAGAGGGCACGTACTAAATACGATTTGGGGCGACATTGTGCTCAGATTTCGGCTTTCCGGGTCCAGTCTCGCTGGTGGTTCACACGTGTTGTGCCGCGAGGCAAGCAATGGGTGTTTTGAGACGAATTCTCTGGGAACTGCGATGATAAGGGCGTGAGATAACTGTTCACTACGCAATATGCCAGCACTGGCAGGCCCTTCCGGCCACTGTCCGCCCAGCTCGGTGTTTCTCAACTGCGGTCTCTGCGTAAAAGATCGCGGATCCACTAATGGCCGCCTGTCGAGAACGCCGTGCTACTACCACTGGCTTCGACAGGACTCGATTCAGGAGCCACTTTCGCTACGTGTGTAATCAAGTCGACGGTGCGGCTCTATTTCCATGCCCCAAGCGCTCCGCTTTGAAGGCCGGTAAGTCGATGATGCCTACATGGTACTCATATAATGCTCTCTGGCCATCATTTGCGAGCGCTCACACACGTCTCAAGTCCTCCGGCCCTGGCAGATTCATGCTCCTTATCCTAAACATCGCTTAATTTCTTCAAACCCATAGCGAGAAAAGATGTCTATCGACAAATCGTGGTCGGGGTACAACAAGGGCATCGAGCCCGACGATGGCTTCGAATGGATCTGGCAGGATGCTATCCCGGCTGATCTGCCCGGTCGAGACCCCGCCGTTGTCTACATTCCCCTCGGCTACGAGAAGAAAGTCCTACCCAAGGGTTGGAGGAAGACACCTGAAAACAAAGCCCTAGAGCTTGATATTATCTTTGAGAAAGACGTTGAGTTTGTTATGCGAGACGGTGTCAAAGTACGCCTTTTCCCGGTTTCGATGACCCTACACTCAAATTCTACTCATGCGATCATTTGGCTTTCGTTTCGCAGGCCTCCCAACCACCTTGACTTTAATTTGCTGATCTTCGCCTTTTTTCTTCATAGTTATACGCTGATATCTACCGACCAGCGGAGATGGGTGGGAAGAAGGTTCCCATCATAATGCCATACTCACCATACGGTAAAGGTGGAGGAGGTGCAAATCTGATGGACGTTGTCCCGTATCGTGTTGGAGTCCCTAAGAGCCGACAAAGTGGTCTGGAGAAGTTCGAGGGGTGAGATAACCTTGGTGGATCTATCCCTCCATCTTTGTGCGGATCTTTTGCTCAGTGCTCATTTTCATTGCTCTCAGACCCGATCCGAATGAATGGTGTAGGCGAGGCTATGCCATTTTAGACCCCAATGCTCGAGGTTCTTTCGACAGTGAAGGTAATCTGCATTTTTTCGGAAGAAAGGAAGGTCAGTTTGTGTTCGGCTGACAAAGCGTCATTCGGACAAATGAATATCTTGCTCGAAGGAGATATTATCGGTTTCTGACTGCTAACACCGTGCTTTACTTCATTACAGGGGAAGACTGTCACGATCTTATCGAAGCTGCCGCAAAGTTCGAATGGTGCAACGGTGCTGTTGGTATGGCGGGTAACTCCTGGCTTGGGATTGCACAATATTGGGCGGCAATGGAGCAGCCGCCTTCGCTAAAGGCTATCGCTCCATGGGAAGGGTTCAGCGACATGTATCGCGAGCAACTTCGTCGTGGCGGCATTCCCTGGTCACCCTTCCTGAGGTGGGTTCTGATGGGCATCCCAGGTATGTTTGCATTTGACAACACCCATATGCTACCATTGATATCTGTGATATCTGACATGTGAAAACTGCTTGTAGGCCGCGGTCTCCAGGAAAATGCCACACTGATGAGTGAGAGCCGAGAACATTGGGATGCCTACTGGGAGTCCAAAAGGGTCGATTTCAGCAAGATCAAAATCCCGTCCTATGTGCTCGCCTCCTATTCGTCCATGCTGCACACGGTGGGGTCTGTCCGAGCCTTTAAAGAAATCGATTGTGACCAGAAGTGGTTGCGTTTCCACCCCCATCAAGAGTGGTATGAAGATTATCTTCATAGTTCGGTCGACGACTTGGATCGATTTTTCGAGCGATACCTGAAAGGCAAATCCAACGGCTGGGAAGCAACTCCGAAAGTCCGGGTCTCCATGTATCGGTATGGCGAGAATGTGTGTATAACCTTTAAGTATCCCCCAGACATCTTGTGGTACAACCGCCTTCCCTTTTCTTTGCTGACCGGAGATTTCCGTTATAGTACCCGGTGTACGATCAAGTCGAAGAAGATTATCCAATCCCTCGGACCCAGTACACAAAATTATACCTGGACTCAGCCAAAACTTTGCAGAATGAACTCAGTCTCACAGAGGCAGTACACTCATATAATTCAACCACGAAAGAAATGGCGACGTATGACTTCATCTTCCCAGAGCGAACAACACTGGCTGGGTTCTCGAAGCTCCGGATATTTGTATCGTGCAAGGAACACAACGACCTCGACATCTATGTCATGCTTCGTAAATTGTCCGTTGACGGTGAGCTTATGGAGCAATCCAATGTCCCTCTCCATGAGCTGCCTCCGTCTGTCAAGTCGGTGAAGGATGTCGCCAATGTCAATCCGACAAAATATCTAGGGCCGACAGGTATCTTGAGAGCATCCCACCGAGCGATCGATGCAGACAAGTCCACTGAATATCTTCCATTCCACCCACATCTCAAATCCGAGTACATTTCCCCTGGTGAAGTGGTACCATTGGATATCGGGATATGGCCTATGGGAATTGTGTTCGAGAAGGGTGAAGCCCTCCGATTGCAGATTTCCGGGAAGACAATGGTTCTACCAGAATGGGACAACCCCCATGTCGCTCATGCAGAACCGAATTTCAACAGAGGCTTCCACAACGTCCATCTAGGTGGGAAATATGCGGACAGTTATTTATTGGTTCCGAAATTGTAATAAGGCTTCAGTGTATCCTCCATTACAACATCAGAGCAAGGTAACAACAACCTTTCCTGCGGGAACGAACGTCCTTACAGCACGGTGTGTTTCGATCGAATGGTGCGCTGAACCGTTGGTACATGGCTTCCATGGGGATTCTGCATAGTAGGCTACACTTGGCGATCTGCTCTTTATCCGTGACTGGAACACGCGTTTGTCGAGACTTGGGCTTGCAGCTTTGAGTTGCCAACAAGTAGAGAAAAACTTTTTCGTAGTCCTAAAAGCTCCGATTCATTTCCACTCGTGGCTAGATCAGATTCTTTTTCCGAAATCTCAACGAGTCCTAGATAGTTTTGTTAGCAAAGCATCTTCGACATCAATACTCCTGGGGAAAGAATGCAGGGAATCTGGCTTACTCAAGCCACAATTTCCGATATCCCAGTACCTGCCGATCCGTCTTAAAACGAGTTTTATGAGCTGGATATGGTGGCTGTGGGTTGAGGCCTTGTCGACCACCAACGCTGTGTTGATCATTTCAAGTGACGGTCCAACGATGGTGCAGGTGATAAAAGGGCAGGATTGGGCAATGAACTCCGGAGCCCATGCTTGCATTGCTCGGAAGACGAGATGCGAGTCGAGGGGCGTTGGATTTGGATGAGGCGATTGATCTGCGGTTTGTTCATCGTGGGTCAGTCGTCGCGTTTCCCTTGCCTTTCTCAGCAGGACGCGAACCCTAGCAGGTCAGCTGAATCCTATATTTGTAACGTAAATTGCAAGGCGGAGTTCAACATACGTATGCAGCATCACGATCATGGAGATGATCCAGTTATAAGAGGCAAAGTTTCTCTCGTTGAACGGAAAACCCGCCGAAGTTAGGTCGTACTCTGGCGGCAGTAAGAGCATGAAAAGTTGTAGCGTTGCTTCGAATGTTTCGATGTCGTCTAAAGTTGTGTCTGTATGCAAGAGGAGATCATTCGCCCTGGCCATTAAGAAAGTGGAGATGAGAAACCAAGCTCGGGCACCAAGATGTAAATGGTCGGACAGAGTTTCCCAGATACGTGCTGTGTTGGTATTGATCATTGTGGAAGGAACAGGTGTGTCAGCAAACCACTCGTTGTCAGGAATAGGTAGCAAGACGGCCATATGCTCCTTGTCAATGCAATAAGGGCGTCTCAAGATTGTGGAGGAAAACACATCCAGCTCCCAGACAGCCCACCATGCCCGCCTTTTTTCTTCGGTAATGACCCACTCTTCTGGCGTCTTGCGCGCAACCTGTGGCTCCTGTGGTTCGGCATCAATGTTATTCAGGTCTAGTTCTAAGGCAAGCCGAACGGACGACCCTATGAGGAACCAGCAGGCAGTCGATGGTCGGCTGGTTTGCTCATGGAATGACAGTAAAATACAGCCTTGCAGTAGGGCCAGCGAAGGCTGCCAACGATCTTCATGAGAGAAAGCTGCATCATGCAATGCGCGTGCTTTGGCGGCGAACCTCTGGCCCCTTGTGATTGGGGAAGAGTTGTTGAAGAAGAGTGAGTTTGAGAACCGAGATGACATGGCCATGACGCCGTTCAGGATAAAAGCGTCTTCCTTTGTCAAATTCTGATAACCCAAGCTCTCATCAGTCAAGGTTTTGAACCTATGCGTAAACGTTGGCAGGTGAAACAGCGGGAGGAAACACTGTACGCGTTCGAAGAATAAGTCGATCCTGGACGTCAGAGTCAATAAACGTATGCACCTGGTGAAACCAAAGGTCTTACAACTCATGGACCACTTCTGTAGGCATACGTAGGTCGTGAGTGTCAAGCGTGCTGTTATTCGGGAGTGTTACATTGGCAACCGATTGGTACGGTGGACCTGGTTCGACCATGATGAGTTGACTAACTTTGGTAATGGGGTGATATAACTCTGACGGGGGAATCGAGGCGGCTTACCTGACTCTAACGGAGGCAAGGTCAGCTCGGAGTCATGCCAGCCCGCTAGAGATGCCCAAAATGCCAGGTCTGCATCCATATCTGTTGAGGGTGGAACTTCGCACTCGTTGATCGCGCCGACCACTGCGTCTGGCCAACTCCCCTCAGTACTGAACTCTACAACGGTAGGTGAGACCAAGACGTCCACTGAAGCATCACAAGACGTGTCGGCTATTGGCCTAGGCAACAGCTGCAGATCTGGACGTCGTCTCTGTAAAGCTCTCTGCAGCTGTTCCACGTCAAATTCATCTAGGAGAGGATCTTCATACTACATTTAGTATCTGGAAGGGTGTCTTTGCAGGCTAGAGTAGAGCATACCTAGTTCGATCCCGGAGCTCGATTGTCGGAGTTGATTTAATAGTGTTCGATACCTTGCCCCAGTCGATGGCCGTCGCCTTTGCGCTGGATAAACACATGAAGATTTTCCTTTGATGCACCTTGTACAGCATGGACGTTTCCGATCACCTAGTTGACATAAGTTCTCTAGTCAGATTTTCATTTGTTAAAGTTGGTTGGTCGGGAAGAACAATCTTACACTTGCTCTTCTTCCTACGTTCGCGTTAGCACGGATTGAAAGCCTCATCCCATCAAGGGAAGAAAACAAATATTCGTTTTACCTGTTGCATTGATCACAGGATCTCCTGGATATCACGGTCGGTTCACTTGGCGTGTCCGCCAGCCAGCCGGACCAGTTGGTGTCAACATCGTCTTCGGGAGAAGTCATGGTCTTTCAAGAGCACAAGATGCTTCTGTGAGATTGAGAAGGATCACAGCTTGATTCTCACCGCGTAGCTGTTTTAGGTGTGCGGGTAGATAGATTCGAGACTGGTTTTGAGGCTTCACAATCAGTTTGCAACGCCTTAGCAGTCACAAGCGATAATAGGCGGGATTGAATCAGGTTAGGCTTGAAAAGGCCAGTCAAGGAGCTAAGGAGCCACCTAAAGTTAGTGTCTTCCCCGCTCTTCATCCCCAGAGTTGAGCATCGTAGGAGATCAATTAACTAGTTAGTTAGGTATCGACCTCTTTCCGAAGCAGGTACGGATAGCTGTCAACTGCTATCCGATACCTCGTGGCCCAGTGTCTTGGTAAGTTGGTACTGGCGGGCATCTACTAGGTAGTTGGGTTACTTGGTGTGGACGGCTGAGTCCATGTCTTGGGACTCATCCACCACTGCTCATCGCCGGTCTTCGTGAACGCCGGAGTCATTCAAGCTGACACACCAAGTGCCATCTGATGGCCACCTGATCTGGAGATGGTGGACCACTACTCGACGGAACGCTTCGCCCATTATCGTTCAATACGCACTTGGCCATTCACTTCCCTATCTGAGCAGCAGCTTGGTCCGGTATTGCATGATCAAAAGTACTCAAGATTTGCGATTTCCTCTTGCCAGCAATAGATGCAATGTAGCCCGGATCCTCGTTGTGCTACGCGTTACCTGGCTCATGAAGTCAGCATTTATTCGGCAGGCTTTCTTGCTTAGCCCATGTCAGGGCGTCTCTAGGAACGAAATAAATGTACACGGGTAGCTGCGGACAGAATCTGGTAAGTAGGATATTAAGGTACAGGCGTCTCCTCGTTCTCATCATAATACAGTCGTCCTATGACAAGCCAACACTACTACCGAGTACTGAGTATGCCCTCGTGTACTTTTAACTAGGAGGCGCCAACCTCAACTGCAGGTGAGTCCACAATCATTGGGATGGCCGGTTTTCACGAACCCCGGATTGTGGGGAACGGCCATGCCAAGTGCCAGGCGGCCACCGCTTCCCCCCCCTTCCTCCCCAAGTGTGTCAGATGGCGAAAGCGTCGAGTACAGTCACCCGGCTCCACTTCGAACACTTTGCCTGAAGGGCCTAAGACGCCTATCCCTTGCGTCGGTGGGTGGTCACTCGTGGGCTGGGTCCAGGTCCATCCTTTTCTGACAGCCCTGAGGGATCAAAAGGGTCTTGGGCAGTTGTCCACCAAAAGTTTTGAGTAGGGAGTCTGCGAATGACAACCCTTATGATTCTTTGCCACGATACAGGATTTCCCGGAGCACGCTCAACAGGACATTCGCCGGATCTTCCACCATTTGATTGGCCCTCCACGCGATAAATCGATCAGGTCTGACGAGGATGCAACCGTCCTCCTCGATGTCCCTGACGTTTTCCCACTCCAAATATACATCCTCCCAATCTTGACGGAACCCGATCGAATATGCGACTACTGGAATCTTGAGATCCTCTGACGATTTGGTGGCTGCCTCTTTCCAAAGCTCTCCTCCAATGCCAGTCAAGACTGTAAAACTGCCCTTGCCGGCCAGGTCGATGGTGGAGATGGGCTGTTCCGGGATCGCTTTGTTCAGCCATACGTGTGGCAATCGCGACCCTGGGTATGTCGATCGAGTGTGATCAAGGATAGGGTCCCCTTTGAGTGGTGGCATCGCGCCCTGGTCGGCTCGATAGACAGCACCAGAGGCATATCGCTGGTTCATCTCAATCCCAAGCCCATGGAACTCGTACCTGGTTCCTTGAATGCTCTTGAAAAAGTCTTTGCGACGTTGCCGCCCCGCTGGACTATTCATAGAGAGTTCCGCAAATGCGGCGAGCCGCTCTTCAACGCTCGCTTCAAGAATCCCGACCGATTTCCACAGTGGAAAGTGATCCAGGAAGCCCTGGAACGCTCTAGTATTACGGATTTGAGTCAATGATTGGATCGATATGCGCTAGATCAAGCTGGCAGTCTCACCTTGACACTACGCCGGCTCCGACAGGCTGCCTTTCTTCCTCGTATGACTCCAACAATCCAGGACCGGCCATACCTAAAGCCACATGTTAGTCAAGTATTTTGACATGATACTCAGATTTCGGATCAAACCTACCCTTGAGTACATAAGCGACCTTCCAAGCCAAATTAAATGCATCTTGCACACAGGTGTTGGAACCAAGCCCATTTGCAGGAGGGTGTCGATGCACGGCGTCTCCCAAGCAGAAGACATTGCCCATTGCGTACTTTTCAGCCCATATGTTGTTTACCAGCCACTTGCTGACGTCAAGAATCTTGATTTCGACCGTCGCGTCCCCAATTATTTGTGAGATTCGTTTCTCCCACTGTTCACGAGTCGGCGGCACATTCGCTTGGTAGCCTGGGGCGGGAAACATGATGAAAACCCACTCGTCCCATGGCTTCACCATGCGCGGAAAGCCGATCCAGGCGAAATCCGGATGCTCAAGATCATGTTGATAGCACCAGTGTAAGTTACCCTGTCTGTGTCTGATGAACTTGCTTAAGTCTGCCTTAACCAAAACGTTCCATGCCAGACCCCCTCCTGGGTTCTGCTTCAGGGGCAGGTCAAGTTGTCGAAGAATCCGACTCCGAGCCCCATCTGCACCAAATAAATAGCGGCATCTTATTCGATGGATGGAGCCAAAGACATTGTCTTTGACGATCACATCAACCTGTCCTTTTGTTGAATCATCCTCAAATCTCAGGAACTCTGTATTAAATCGAGTTATGAAGCCGCTAGTTGCGGCCTTGCGGATGAGAAGTGGCTCGAGGCGTGTCTGCGGAAGGTCGACCGGTTCACAGGGGCTCGCCTCTGCGTACTTTGCTTCCAAAGCTGCACCATTGCCCCAGGCATAGAGACGTGCATACTCTTCGCCAGCCATACTATAGCCCCAGCGGGTATGCATCATGCTTTCCTTTGGGCTAGCCAACTCTCGACATTCTCCCTCCAAGCCGATATCTCTTAGACATTCTACGTGAATGGTTAACGATAAAAGCTGAGTGACTTCCCAGGATACGACGGGAACCAACCTAAAGCAGCCATATTAGTGATGTGAGCTCTTGGTGTCTCTGCCGTTGTAGAGGTCATCCCAATAACTATTCCTTGAATGCCTATTGAGTGATCGTTAGATACGGGGGTCGTCATCGCCTCTAGAGGTGTATGGATTTGAGAACAGACCATGTGAACCCAGGAAACTGGCCAGAGATCCTCCTGCCGGCCCAGTCCCAACAATAACGACCTGAGTCACATAGTCTGGCTCGATCGGAGCATCGTCACCTGGCATAGTGCTGCCCATTGTGTGACAGTGCCACGTTGATAGGATTAAATCCGTGAGCCGCGTTAAAGGGTTCAACGTCTGGATATGCTTGTGCTTAACTGGCTGGAGAGGTCAGCAGCATTACGAAATATACATACTCGCATACTTCCCTATCATATACGCCTGTGCGCACGACTGCGGCACGGCGCTATTTCCGCGCTTAGAAGCGTGTGCTGGTGAAGATGTAATCAAGGGAGGGAGCACGGGAAAGATATACCCCGGTTGATTCACAACTTGCCTTGCAGCTACGTATATCGACTCTAGATGTGATTGATCAATTCTACGGGGAGCACGGTCCCGTGGCTCCAATATCTGCCAAGCTGACTGCACCTCCGGTGTGCGACATTGCCGGGCGATGAATAGACGGGTATGACCCTCGCTCCAGGCTAACAACCGTGATAGCTTGATGGTGGGCGTTAAAACTTCTCATTTATCTCGCTGTAGTTTTCTCTGGCCTTTCGACTCCCCCCTCCCTGCCAGAATAAAGACCTTTTAGGAGGTCATTAAGCATTTCCCAATGTCTAAAACTCTTGGACACGACAAGTTTAATCCCTACGTTGCTTTTGACTTCAAGGCTGCCAACGAGAATTATGTAAAGAACGTGTTCAGAGATCAAGATCCTCCAGTCGGCGCCAGCTCTCGAGTGGGCATCATCACTTGTTGTGACGCCAGAAGTAGCCCCGACCATTTCTTCCAATTGAGTCATAATCAAGCATTTATCATTCGCAATGGGGGAGGAAGAACGAGCCCGCCGGATGTGATTCGAACAATTGCAAGCATTGAGATCTTGAGTGACATCAAAGAAATCATGATCATTCACCATACCGGTAAGAAACATTGATTCGCCGTCGCATCCTCAAGCTTCTTCCGGCGGATCGAACCTCCTTCTGACAAGTTATATTATACTGTACAGATTGTGGTTCCTTACACTGCAACGATGATTTCTTCCGAGCAGCGATCGCCAAAAACGACCCGAACATGAAAGATGGGCCATTCTTAGAAGGTGCTGACTTGTGGACGCAAGGCGTTGCGTGGGTACCATTTGATTGGAAAGAGGGCGAGACAGAAAGGCAGGTGCTAGATCGGAGTGTCGTGGATGATGTACACTTTCTCCGGCGCCATCCCCTTATGAAGCCATCAATTCCTATCACGGGCTGGGTATATGACGGATCCACAGGGGCAGTTGAAGAGATCGACTGTGGACTCGAGAAAGGACGTGATCCCAAGCAACTCGAGCTCCTGCAGGCGCAAATCGCAAAACGGGTGCAGAAGTAGATTCATCTAATCTAGGTAGACACAATGCACGGCTATATGTGTCTTAATGGAGCTCCCTTTTCGACTGCGTGTAACGAGGCAGGTGAATGAAAATCACGGCTAACCGAAAACTCATCAATTTTTCCACTTTTTGATTTCCCTTGAACTGCGGACTCTGTCGTCCACCTCTCGTTAATGGCATGAACTATCGCAACGGAAGGCAAGCTGGTTAACTCAGTCTAGTTTCCCCAAAAGGTCCTTCGAACGACAACTAGCCTCTGTTCGACTAGTATCCAACAGGTTAGCTAGCTCCGCAAGCGGTGTTCACCAGAGCCGGGCCAAGAACGACAACTGCTTGAGCATAAATCACGACAATCCATCGCGTATTGTAACACCCTTGGGACGATTTCGTGTTACTATCTACTGCCCGACCTTAGCAATTCGATAGAGCCTACAGTCAGTTTTGACCGAGTATGTCATCAATAGCGAAAGTACCAGATCGCTACATGATCCATGTGACACTCTACTTTGCGCCTGAGAATGTCCCATTCGCTCTAAAAGCATGCAGAGCTTTGTTTGATGAAGCATGGAAGGAACCGGGGCTGGATTTTTGCCAGATCGTACAAAATGCAGACGAGCCTGGCATCATTCGAATCCAGGAAGCGTGGAATGCATCGCGCAAGTATCTTGACGAGGTAAATACTTACAATCTTTGGCCAACGTTGAAAAGAGTTCTTCTTCGCTTTTCCTCAGAAAGGTTAAACAAAAACTTTTTGGGATTCAACCCTTCTGATTTCTTCTTAACAGGTTCAACTGCACAAACCCTACTACACACCATACTTGGAAGCCACTGAGCATCTGTGGTTGAAGCCACGTATGTATACGCACTGCACCAAATCCTGAAAAATGTGGACCATGTACTGATTCCCTTCCATCAGGCGAGATTGTAATCTTCGAACGTATCTCCGGATTCACGGCGATGAAGCCATCTTTTGCACATGATGACCTGAGACAGCAGTGAGACACTTACGCATGCTCGTGATGCAAAGCGACAAGGAAGCACTACTCCGAGGCGTATATGAACTATTCAATCGGATTAAAGCAAAATTCCTCAAAATTCTCCGGAGAAGATTTTGCACTGACGTATATCAATTGCTGCATATCCTGACCCTTGATCCAATAGCCTAGTATGTCTGCTGTAATAGCAATCTCCAGCAGAAGGAGTATTTATGGGAGAAACCCTTGAGCGAGGATGGCTTCAGATCGAATAATTACTTCTCGAACAGTTTCAGGATATGTGGGGGACTTCAGGATCTTGTTGCTTGACTACTTAGTAAACTCTGCGTCAAATGACTTTTATAGAGCACCACAAGCCTTCTATTCCTTCAGTCACGCTTTTTGTTAGGGGCTACCAAGAATCTCTTGCCTAACTCTAAGATATAGCTCTCCTTCAAATGCGTGAATTGGACCATCTTTTGGCCGCCAGTAGAGAGAATATATACTATGAGTCTAGCTTGAACTCTGGATATGAATTTACCAAACCACTTTGACTCACCGCAATATCTGTAGCTCTCTTTGTTCTCTTAAGCCTGATGAAAAGCTTAGATACTCTCACGCATGACAACATCAGGTACTTGCTTGCTCTTTTCTGTTTCATGATGCTCCTCGCGGGCAACTTCACCATTGCTGTCAACAGTCAATTCACTCGAATAGAGTTTGACTTCGTCCGCATCGCCAAAGATCGCCGCAAGCTCTTCCAGAGGCACTGATCTAGTCTCAGGAATCCAGAGCCAATATAGAACGGACCCAAGGGACAAGACCACGATGAATACCTATAGGGCAGCAATGAGTGAGTTTGTCAGCGATGATTGCCAGCATTGGGTGCATCAAAGAGGCCATTGGATCAGACAAACTCACCAGCAGAAATTTCCAACCGATGTTCTGGAGGGCAGTGGGGGCGGCTTCGAGATAGAGCAGGTTTGCCAGACTATTGACAAAGACGCAAAAGCAGACGCCTTTTGCCCGAATATGGGTGGGAAAGATTTCAGTGTAAAAAGGGGCACCACAGGACTCGACACCAAGGCAGTAGAATATGACGATCATGTAGAGGGCGGCAACAGCCCATCCGAGTCCGACTTTATTAGTTCCACTGGGAGCATAAACAGCCTGCATGGCAGCGAGAAGTGACAATGACACGATACACCCAACGAAACCAGTCATGATGAAAGGCTTGCGTCCGAAGCGATCACACATAATTGCACCAGTAAGCGATGCTGGGATCGAACCTGAATCAATGAATCAATGAGAGATCTGGAATCATATCCAACTGTCGATAGCAGGAAAGCTTACCCGCAATCCAACCACATTGGAGTATAAGGCTCTGCTTGACATTGAATCCGAGGGCCGCGTAGAGGGAAGGACCCTAAAGTTCCGTAGTATTAGTCTCCATTGTCACAGAACACTTTTATGCTGGAACACTCACGTAGGCAGCTGCAACAAGAACAGCAGTTGTCTGCCCAAGGAAGGTAACCAGGCAAGCCATAAGGGTTCGCCTTCGGTAGGAAGGCTTTCTAAACAAGTGAATCCATGAAGAGTCCAGGGTTCTGTCGAATTCAAGCTGTGTTTTCATCTGGAAGAACTCCTCCTTGACATATTCTTGGTTCTCAGATGTCGGATCGTAATGCAGTTTGCTAACAATTTTCCATGCTTCTTCTGTCCTTCCTTTAGTCAACAAGAAGCGCGGAGATTCTGGCGCGAGGTATAACGCGACCAGCAGACCCGCGGCCGGCACAAGGCAGATACCAAGTGGAGTTCTCCATTGGACGCTTGGATTCGTTGTGTATGAGAAGGCCAGACCCATTAGAGAAGCAGTGGTATAGCCACAGGCGATTGCCACACCAGTCATGCCGACGAAAAATCCTCGTGTCTCTGCCTGGGAGAGCTCGGAGATATACATGGACGCTGTAATATGCGCTTAGTGTCATTCTCTCATTCACATGCTGTAGATGCGCTCCACATTATAACATACTAGTAGCAATGAAGCTGACAGCAGCGAATCCATGAATGGTTCGCGCAACGATGAACATGGCAATGTTCTGAGCTGCTGTGACTAGAATACCACCAAGAATGTAAAGAGCTGTCAAGGCATACATGGTCGGCTTTCTGCCGAACTTGTCGAGGGCCCAACTTGAGACCAATACACCTATACAACCTCCTGCCTATATCGAGAGCATTAGCATTGCTATTGAGTTGGCTTAATGATAAGATATCGAGGTTGATGTCTGTACGTACGCAGAACAAGCCCACAGTGGTTCCGCTCAAGGCAGATGCGTTCGCCGCGGGAACGCCTTCAGCGTCAAGCAGGTGCATGTACATCAAGAAGGTTGGCTGGCCGAGTGTTGTGGCAATCTATGACATTCGCAGTCAGATAAATATGTTTTCAAACGAGCAGGTATAAGGTGACGAACGATTGAAGCAGCATAGCCGTAGGAGTAACTCCCTAGGGATAAGAAGCAGCAGCACCAGAAAGTACGCCAGTTCAGCTTCTTGTGATTTGCAGAGAACCCCATGTTGTGTTATGGTTACAACGTCGTTGTATTCTTACAAAAATTGGTGATCTGGTCTTGAAGACTTGATACATCGCTGAACGATTAGGTCTTATTTGAAGCAAGTGGACTGCTTGTTCTCTGTCACGGTCTTCAGGAGTCCCGAGTACGAGCGACAAGATCAATATGATCTCCTTCTCTAATGCGTGCACGGGCCACAGCCCAGGGACAGAAATACGGGTTTCGCGAAAACCGTTTTTAGTATATCTGATCTAAATACCTGTAGCTCTTATGCGCACCATCGATTGTTCTAGACCGTGAATGCTGTGTAGGTCAAGCGATCGGTTATTGTCTCGCCGACTGGGTTCCGAGTTGCGGAGAGTCACTAATCCCCCGTTCTACCGGTCAGATATTGAAAGACATGAAATAGTCAACATCCGACTTCACCACCAGGTCTTCGTTCCGGTACGAATTTCACCTTCCGACACCCAGATTTTTCATCCATTGCGTGAAGCATGAAGTCAGAGAACACCCACAAGCTGGGGATTGCCACCGTCTCATTGGGCTGGCACCCATCCCATACGATTGAGCGCAAGATTGACAGTATAGCCAATCAAGGGTATCTAGGGGTAGAGATCTATCACCCCGACCTGGTCACATTCGCAGAACAAAACGGATTGGCACATTTGCAAGCTGCTTCCAAGATAGGAGATCTTTGTCGAGCCAGGGGTATTCAGGTCATCGCGCTGCAACCACTCTTCGATTTCGCGGGAGTTCTCACACCATTGGAAGATCGACTCGAATCTGCGCGTCAGTATGTTCGCTTGGCCCGCGCCTTGGGAGCCGGTATCATTCAAGTCCCAAGTACGTACGAACCAAATTCTATTGGTGATGAGAACACCATTGTCGAAGAACTCCGAGCGCTAGCCGACGTCGGCAAAGAGGAGATTCTCGAATCTCCGTCATCTGAAGCAATTTTATTTGCATACGAAACTCTGGCATGGGGTGTTCATCATGCCTCATTGGATGACGCGGTCAGGATCGTCAATCTCGTGGATCGGGAGAATTTTGGACTCTGTCTGGACACGTATCATGTCCTGGCCAGGACTTGGGCAGACCCACACTCCGCCAACACCGGGTCTGGTATCATTCCAGGAGGGGTCGCTGCCCTTCACGCTACGCTACAACGCTTCAAAGAACAGTGTCCTGTGGAAAAGATCTTCTATGTCCAGCTGAGTGATGCTGAAAGATTGCAACAGCCTCTTTCCCTGGGTCATCCAGGCTATAAGTCAGAATGGGCTCATTGGGATGCGACCATGCACTGGTGTGTCTGGGGAAGATTATTCCCATTTGAATCAGAGTTTGGCGCTTATTTTCCAATGGATGAGATTCTCCGCCTCTGGCTGAAAGAGAAAATGTGGCAAGGATGGGTGAGTATGGAGATTTTCCACCGCGATATGGATAAGGAGTCGGTGGGTCCGGAGGTGCTTGCGGAGAGGGGCTACAAATCGTGGTTGAAAATCAAAGATCGCATTGGTCTAGACTAGCGACCTTTCTAATCGTGCCACTTAGTGGATCCTGACATTTGGTCTGTTGCTCAAAAGCATACAGTCCGGCCTCCACGAGGGCCGGAAACGGCGGCATTGAACCTGAGAGTGAGCCTTCGTAAGTTGCGGGCTGATCCATTAGTTAGCAGTTATCATAACTATCGTCTGCAGAAGAACAATTCAGAAAGTACCATAAGCTTCAGAGATCTCAGAACTTACGATTTACGTATTCAATGTTCCAGTGAAGACGATGCACATAACGGATCACCGTGAATGTTTCCCATCTGTTGGCTCTCAATAGGGGATGTAAACCGATGTTGAGAAGGGCCCCAAGCATTCAACCGTAAATTAATAGATAGAGTGAGAATTTCCTATCGGCCATGCAGGTTTGAGCGTATAGAACATAAAAGACAGGTTGGCTAAAAAGGGGCCTGGTGCAGGCAGCTGAATGCTGGTCATGTCAAGAGCTTGTTGGATCTAGTATTGCACGACCATTCTTTCGTTCAATCACCACTTTGTCATTCCGCCATCAACCAAGAAATCCTGACCGGTAACGTACCTGCTGGCACCACTTGCCAGGTAGATTGCAGCGCCGATATAGTCTTCAGGTACGCCAATCACGCCCAGCATTGTGTCATTCTCCCACTGCTTGACGATATCAGGATATCCCGCTGTCATAGCTGTCAGAGTATATCCTGGGCTGATCGAGTTGATCCTAATTCCACGTGGTCCTAGTTCCTTCGCGAGCTCGGGTACCATTCCCCGTACTGCTGACTTGCTTAGAGCATACACACTTGAATTGTGAGTCTTCACTGCTACCTGAGCTGCCGTGCTGGCGATCACAATGATGCTTTTGCTTGCCCTCCCGCCCGTTCCAGCCTTGCTTTCACTTTCGGGGCTGATCATTGCCTCTACGGCAAGCTGGCAAGTGAAATACACTCCCTTGACATTGACACTGAGCAGCCGATCAAAGTCCCTCTCTTCTGTATCAGTGAAATCTTTGAGCTGGTTGATTCCCGCGGCTGCAATGCATATATCCAGCCCATCGTCGCGGCAAAATGGCTTAACCGTGTCCTGAAAGCCTGCTTTCAATTCTGACACAGATGAGACGTCCACCTTACGGTACGCCGTGCGCACTCCCCAGGCTCCTGAGATCTGTTCGAACTCTGCTGATGGCGGTGCAATATCGAATACTATGATGTTCGCTCCCATTCGAGCTAGACCAATGGCCAGAGCAAGTCCAATGCCTTGGTTCCCACCAGTGACAAGCGCATTGCGTCCGTTGAGCATAAACTTATTTCAGGTGTTACACAGATTCAAGGCTTCCAAAACTTGGGTACATACCTGATCCATTTTTGCCGATTCGGTAGTTTCAAACTGCGGGGGCAAGAGGCTGATGATCGTTTCGCTCAAACTTCAAAAGTTAAGAAAGACACTCTTAACTGAGTTCTACTCAAGAAACGGCATTCAAACTACCGACCGCGGGAAGTTAAAGTCGTATTCATTAAGCAGATGCTTAGGTAACTTGGACACGAACCGCGGCTTTGGTGGGTTCCGTTACTTGGCTGATCGAAAGCATCGTTATGCTCAACAGTCTAACAGCAGGATGGCAAACCAAATACTATGGTCTTTAATAGTGTGAACTCTTTACACGTTCGTTGAAAAGTTATTTGAACCAGCTATCCAAAGCTCTGTTCTTTCTGAGGGAATTGTGCGAAGGCAGAATATAAGCAAAAGCAAGAATGGCAGAGTTACCATCTTTCACCAAAACATTCCATCGAGATGTCTATCCTGGCATCTCACCGAACCGACCAGAGCTATCAGCGGCCGGTAAAGTTGTTGTTGTCACAGGCGCAGGTGGGGGAATCGGAAGGGCAATTTGCAAAGCGTTTACGGAAGCTGGAGCCAAGCATGTTGCCATGCTAGATCTCAATAGCGAAGCTCTGCAGTCTGCAAAGGCAGAAATCGAGCAGGATTCAGAGTGCTCAATGTCTAGCCTTCACCTATTTCCTGTTGACATCACCGACCAAGCTGGGATCAAACAAACATTCTCGATCATCGAATCAGATCTCGGGAGTGTGAGCGTACTGGTAAACAACGCCGGCTTTCAAACCATTCCCACTCGTTATCGTGACGCAACACTTGATGATTGGTGGAAGGGCTTTGAGGTCAATGTCAAGGGGAGCTTTATCGTCACACAAGAGTTTGTACGGCGCGCAGCGCTAGCGCGTTCAAAGATCCCTGCGCCAACGTTGATCAACATATCGAGTGTATTGGCGCATTGGGGCATTAGACAAGATCATGTAAATGGTCATACCTCTTACAGTGGCGCCAAAATTGCAATGACACGGGCGATGGAAATTCTCCAACAGGAAGAACCGTGGTTACGAGTTTTCAATGTACACCCAGGCCTGGTGGCTACAGCTATGGCTGTCAAATCAGGTACAACTGCGATCTCTCTCGACAGTGGTAAGCCTCATAGATATCTCTAATTGCTGCTATGGCTAATTCACACCTTCAGTCAACTTACCTGCACACTTTATTGTCTGGCTTTCTAGTCCAGAGGCAGATTATCTCAAGGGAAGGTTGTTGTGGTCGAACTGGGACATTTCTGAGCTACAGGAACAGCGACAACAAATTTTGGATCAGGACCTGTTTAGGGTGGGATTGCATGGATTTCCATCCCGATGAATATGGACTTTCGAGCCATTAGCATTGTGTGGCAGCAGTAAACTACATTAGGATATTTTTTTAAACAAAAAGGATGTCTTTCTCTATTACTTGAATGAGAACATAGTGGCCTAGATCCTTAGGGATCATGCCGGCCTCAGCTGGTAGGTAATTTCGACGTTTCACTCCCCGAGACGCCTGCCAGGTCAAATCCATGTGTCCACGCAACCTTGAGATTTAACTTCCAGATCTTCCACACGCCGTCCTCTTTCACCATAGTCCAGTGATACACACCGCCTGCATCAAAATGCTGAGCTAAATTATCTCTGTCGTACAGCCAATGGGTGATACAGTTCGATCTCACGGCGGCAGTATTGCCATCTTGATCGAGTGAAATGTCAAAGTTGCTACTTTGCAAGTGACATTGTGGGTAAGTGGAAACTGATGGACCCCAGGCCCATTCGCCCAAACCCTTCTTGCCTCTATAGCTCCCAAATGCGTAGGTAACTTCAGCGTCCTGGGCGTAGAGATCCTCCCATTTCTGGCGGGCATCGAGATCGGTGAAGGCTTGGTCGTGCAGAGCCGTATAGCGGTCTAATAGAGTTCGGATAGCCTCGCGGTCTTGAAGGGTCTGCACAGTTCGCTGAAGGTGCACCACGAGCTTCTCCAACTCTGTAGATGTTGTCATGGTGCAAGTCGTCCACCAGCTTTAATATGAAATTGGCCAGAATGCTTCCTCGGTTTGTCGGGCATTTGTGTCTCACAGGCAGGTTATTGGGAGTGAAGAGCCCTTTTAACTTGGAGTGTAGACAATATATCACGTAACTTGCCGTCACCGAGAGGGCCGGTGTTGTAAAGACCGTGTCTCCTGTCCACAAGCTAGCCGGGCTGGGCAACACCGAATCTGATTTGATTCATCGTGATAGCTGATATGTATTCCCCTCATTCATGCTTCAAACTCATATCTTCGTGAAGGACTTTTAGTGCAGTTGTTTGTCCACATTAGGCGAAAGCAACAATTACGGTGTGTGAATTCTTTCCTAGGAATAGCAATTTTTCACCGCGAGCGTTCCTCCATCATGAGAAACATGTGTGAAGAGCAAAATGAGAGAAAAGTGCCTCGAGCATCAACACTGTCATCCAACAATGTCATCCTTTGTCGAAGCAAGAGAGTCTAGAAAAGGGGCTAGGGATGGGTAATGCAGGTATCGCAAGGGTGCAAACCGAGACAGTAGGGTCGCAAGCGGACGTGTGCTTGTCACTATAGCTTGGAGAATGCGTACCGAAGCAATAAAACTCAATGTAGCAGCAGAGTTCTGCATCTGAGTATTCGGCACTCGCTGCACAGACAAGGCTGTGGTGAAATTGGCCAACATACTCATCAGCTGGAATTGTTGGAAAAAGGGAGGCTGCTTTTAGCCTTGAACCATTTGTGGCTTAGCGTATTTTGATAAGCGATAAGAAATGTCTTGGCGGAGTTTCTCCGCCATTGCATTTTCCAAACTTTTTTTGAGTTCATTGCGCAGGTCTTGCCCAACTCCCAAAGTTGCTTTCACCACCTCCACTAGGCCATTTCCTGCTCTCATCTGTTCTAGCAAGATGTCTTCAGACGAAATAGTATGGCAGGTCATTAACCAGCAGTTCTGTTCCTTCAAGCTCAAGTGAGTACAACCAAATGAAGCCACTAGTCACCCAGCGAGAAACAATGGCTGACAGTTGACTTTTCTCTCCTCATCAGGCTCAATACAAAACAGCAGACCTTCTGCAGGAATGAATACAACTTGACAGGGTTCTGCAATCGACAATCGTGTCCGCTTGCCAACTCTCGATATGCGACGATACGACCGGATCCTGAGACAGGAGCACTGTGTCTCTACATTAAAAGCCCGGAACGAACACATCTGCCTTCAAAATGGTGGGAAAAGATCCGATTGCCAAACAACTATGAAAAAGCACTGGCGCAGATCGATGAAAAACTGATCTACTGGCCAAAATTCTACATCCACAAGTGCAAGCAGCGGCTCACGAGGCTGACGCAGGTGGCCATCCGACAGCGGCGACTGGCCAAGGAAGAGGAAAGGTTGGGAGAGAAACTGGTACCGAAGCTCGCGCCAAAAATCAGACGCAGAGAAGAGACAAGAGAGCGCAAGGCCGAGAGCGCTGCGAAGGTCGAACGGGCCATCGAGCGAGAATTGATCGATCGATTGAGAAGTGGCGCATACGGTGACAGACCTATCAACGTCGAAGAAAATGTATGGAAGAAGGTGTTACGGGGCCTGGAGCGGGCTGAGAAGGGAGAAGACCTTGCCGATGAGGAGGAAGAATTGGAAGAAGATCTCGAAGCTGAAGTCGAATATGTCTCCGACTTTGAAGAGAGCGAGGGTGAAGAAGAACATGAGATGGAGGATTTTGATGACTGGCTTGGTGGTGAGAGTGCCGATGAAGAGGATGATGGGTCGGATGCATCCGACAGCGATGAAGATTCAGAAGACAGCGATCAAGGCAGCCAAGATGAGGATGAGGATGGGGAAGCTGCACCCGGCGGGAAGAGGAAACGCGCTGCAGCGCCACCGAAGCCTCGCAAGAAACCTGGTCGGGTTGAGATTGAATACGAGACCGAACTACCGCCAAGAGAGCTCACGGTTGCTTAAAGCGCACGGAAATAGGAATAGCAGTTACGAAGTCGGCATGTTTGGAGCGTTGTCACGGTATATTACGTTGTTAGACTAGAGGCAACATATGTCTCAAAAAGCCTCGAGTATTCGTTCCTCAGGCTCCAATAATCCAAGACCTCAGGCCAAAAGCGTCAAACGTTCCATGGCTCCACGGTAATGGTAGGCTCAGAATCGACCTATCTCATAACCTCACTACTTCTGCTTCTCACTGCAGTGTCTGTATTTTCACATAGATCTCCAGCTTCTCGCTTAGCTGCAATGAAAAGCACGTCCGCCTGCTCGACCGAAGTTTCCATGCAGCTGACTACATCTTCAGATTTGATGCAGTACATTGGATTTTTGTTGGTGAAGGACGTATCCAGTTTTCCTTTGATCAAAGTGGTCGTGTTGATTCATTAAGCAGATGACGGCGATTCAAACGACTGCGGTGTCTTGGAACGACCAACATCCTTCTTCAGAATATCGTGTGGGCGGATCTGACAGATATCGGCCTTGCTCTGTTGAGGCAGACCATGTCGGTCTCAACGCAGGAAAGCGTCCCTTACCGTCCGTCATCAGCAGGACCAGCAGGAATATCAGCCTCCTCCTCTTCCCTTTTCCGCCTCCTCTTCTCCTGTCTCGCCATAGGATGCTCACCATCTTCAGGGACCTCTCCAGCCTTCAAACCCAAAGCCCTCCGTAGCCTCTCACTCTCGCGCTCCTTGGCCTCGGCTAACTCATGCACCTGATAACTCTTGAGCCGACTCTTGGAACCGGCAGCACCACCACCGCTTTTCTTCGAACCACGCTCCATTTCCTGAGTCAACCGTTCCCGTAGCTTCTCCGTCTCCTCTTCGATCTCGGTTTCGTCCTTGCCCTCGTCCTCCAAGGTGTCGTGGAGTTCCAGGACTTTGACTTCGATCTCCCGCAGCCGGTCGTGTTTAAGGATGTTCTCATCGGGCTTGCGGGTCTTTGGTCCGCCTCGATTGTTGCCGTCAAGGGTATATGGGACGCCGACGCCGGCGTCGCGTGGTTTGAGGACGGAAAGATTGCGCTGTACGTAGCCTGAAGTGCCTGAGCCGCGGGGAGTTGAGAGGCCGACGTTGGACGACATCGTGTGGCTATTGTCGAAGGGTTATATTTTATGACTTAGCATAGACGAATGCGAATGAAAGAGGCACTGGTGGGCGTCACAATATAATTCATTGGCAAAGGAAGGTGCTTAACTATGTAAACTTGCAATTCAAGAAACTTGAGACTGAGAGTCAAAAAGATCGAAGGCTTGATGCAAACCGGTTATCCGAGGGGGAATCATTCTTATCGCCACGTGATCAGGAGGTTTCCGAACTTCGACCCGCTGGAGATTCAAATATCCGACCCAATTCCACGCTTCTCCAAGTCAAATGGTCCTCCCTCCTTTTCATTTCAAGTATCGACAAGCCACTTCTTCAAGAATGCGACTTGTGTTCCAGCGTTCTGCTCGAACAGCCGGCCTGAGTACGCCTCAAAATGACCACCAGGAAGCAAGTTCAGCTGCTTAGGCTCTCTCGCTCTTGCAAACGCTCCAATGGCCAGGTCTGCCGGCGTCAACACGTCCTGAGCTGCGATTGTCATCAGAAGTGGGGTTGGTGAGATTCTCTCGATCAACTGCTGCGGCTCATAACCACGGAATAGCTCGATACTTCATAGAATATAGCGGTCAGCGGTTGCTATGAGCTGAAGATTCAAGGCTGGCAGTGAGTACTCACGATCTGACAGTCACAGTGTTCTTCCAGTTCGATTTCTTCTCCCAGGCCGAGAAGAATTCATAGCTGTCTGGGGTAGGTAAGGCGGATGACTTCAGGGGATCCGCATCAACAACCGGTACAAAGCCTGGTTCCCCACCAGTTGCCCTTGTGATTCTGTCTATAACGGTCGCGATGTCAGTCTGGTGCCTCAGGGGATATTGCGAATACCATCGACCCACTCACCAGCTGCGAAAACACCATTGAATCCCACAGCAAAATCGGGACGGACAAGGCGGTTGAAATTGTCCCATCCACTGACAAGAGGCGCCTGGCTGAGCACGGCCTTGACTCTCCGATCGACGGCGCCGACGTAAAGAACGTGGCCTCCACTATACGACGAGCCCCAGATGGCGATCTTGTCTGGATTAACCTCAGGTCGTTGCGACACATAGGTAATGGCGTCGGAATAATCAGAGATTTGAAGTGACGGTACGATCTCCGACCTGGGCTGTCCCTCGGCGTGGTCGCTGTCTCCGAAGCCACGGTTATCGTAGACCAACGCGGCGACGGGAAGCTTTGAGGTAAATTCTGCTGCGAATGTATCGAGGTCCATTTCCTTCAGGGCCGAGAAGCCATGGGCAAGCACGATCGCGGGGAGCTTGCCGCCGCTGTGGTTGTCTGGGGTGTAGAACCAACCACGTAGCGTGACAGCGTCATGGGTTTTGAATTCGATATCTTCCCTACCCATCGTTCGTTGATGATGCGCCCGTAGAGGCGATTGCGGGTGATGCGTCAGAAACTGTCAACGTGCTTCGCTTGCTAAATGATAACAAGAATCAAATGAGTCCGGCTATGTGGGTTCACAACACGTCAAAGAATGGAGCAATGCAAGAAACGAACAATCAGTGGTACACAGACAGACAGATAGACAGAACCGGAAGAAAGGAAGCCATGGATAACGTTCCCCAGTGGGTGAAGTGATTTTATGAAGGAATTGTATCATTAGTTAGACGCTCGTCCCACTTCTCCTCTTTGGCCACATAAGGTAGGTAAGTAGGTAGATAGTAGCTCCCTTTGCCAGAAGTAGAGTAAGCTACCAACACGTACATTCATTGGGGTCCTGGAAGATCTGGTTTCGAATGGTGGTGTCTGCTTTAACTTCGACTCGACCCCGCAATTGGTGTCATCGGCATCAGCATCCAGCGGGAGCGCTCGTTCGGTGGTTCCGCGAACCATTCTGAACGTTTCCCACTCTAGGGATGAACTGAATCAAACTTTGACTTCTATTTTAGCAGACAGGGGAATTTATTAGTGGCGGCATCAATGCGTTGATTAGTTTCCACGGACTCATCGCTTCCATCGTACGCTTCCGTCCATGCTGTCTGCCCGGAACCGCTCTCGACGCGTCCGTTCAGACTGGACTAGAGAGAGGTCTTGCACCACTGACTCGTGAGCCCCCATCAGCTGTGCGTGTTCCAACCAAAGAACGAGCAGGTGGTGTGAGGTGGTCAAATTGCTAGCGATCTGTACTGCGTACTCAGCACCACCGGGACCGCTCGAGGACAAGTGTCATAACCGAGGGCCGATTGAGTTCTCACCGTCCAATTTGTCCACTCCTGGTGCCTGTATCGAATCAGACTGACAGGCACAAATGCAATATTCCAGCTTCCGGTAATTGCCAAGTGACGTGTTAATGCATGTGTCCGTCCTCGCCATTCTCGACCAGACCGGGGTACAGCATATACCTGCATGACGCCAATGCAGGCCGTTACATGTTCTGCAATCAATCCTGATGCTTGCTAGGACCCAAGAGAAGTGACGATTTGTGAGTGGTGATTCAGGTGCCAAAAACCCCCGAACCGAGGGTAGCACTCTCATGCCTTTCGACTCAAAACAGGATGATGTTCAACTCAGCTTCCTTTTGTTCAAAAGACGTTTGGCCACGTTGCACCAGATGAGGCCTATCTGAGATGGAATCGACGAGCACGTATGAAGCACATTCTGGTTTTTACTCTTATTTTTCATTAGACCAAGTACCCAATTGTGGTCGGTACAACTATCATGGCACTTCCGGCTCTACCTGCGGTTGCTCCTTCACGGTTTCTTTGAGCTGCCCATCCCTTCTGGGAGCTATTCTGTATTCTGAAATCTAACACAACCCATTGACTCAATTCCCCTTCAATTCCTTTCCAATTGTGGTATCATTTCAACGTTATTTCTTGTCTTACAATTAAGTTTTCTGCCACTCTTGAAAACATTATCATTTGGAGAAGACTTTGTCGCTGTTATCGAAAGATGGCTCCGCTCTGTTGCCTGAAGCAGTTATTGTAAAGATGGCGCGAGTCTGACGCAGCCAAGCATTAAAAAAGTTGAGAAGATGGGTGGTGGGAAGATGGCGCATCTATTGACGCTGCCAGGAGGTGTTGGGGCAAAGGTCAGTGCTATCAGGTGTTGTCGATGGCGCAAAGTTCGGTGCAGCCGAGTGTTGAAGTCAAATCAGACAAAGGCACTCCTTGATCGAGTGGTCGCTGCGCAGAGCGAGACAGCGAGACAGGTCTCAATTCCGACGTGCTGCCCAGATCTCATCTGGATGTCTCATGTCGATGCCTTCATCGCCGGACAGATCATCCTCCTCATCATAGGTCAGCTCGAACCCGTCGGTTGGAGCAACTTCCGGCTCAGCTTGAGCCCATCTTGATGCTGCGACGGACTGCCATTGAGCCTCTTTTGATTTGGTGCGCGGGGCGGCAGCACTTTGGAGCATTTGCTGGAGTGCTGTTGATGGCAAATGCTGGAGTGCTGTTAATGGCAAATGCTGGAGTGCTGTTAATGGCAGCACTCGCTTCGGCTCATCCGGGTGTCGTGTGTATTGTGTATAAAGGCTGCCTGGATGACGAGCAGCAACTGATGAATACGTCGTCGACTGTGAGATGTTCGACGAGGTGTTGGAAGATGATGGCTTGACTTCAACGTCAACAGCCATGTGAATTGAGAACACCCTTGTGTGGGAGGGGTATTGACAAGGGATGCCTTCTGGCAAAGGAAGCGCGTCTTCCATCAAGCTGTCGCCGTCGTCGAAGAAGTCGTCGACAACGTACTCCAATTCAAAGTCCATGTTGTCGTCATAGAACTCTGATGGGGCATCGTTCATGGCGACATCCCCATTGTCAGCCACGAGAATATCCTCTTCATCGATCATCATCATATCTGGACCATCATCGACGACACCTTGGAAGCCAAAGGGTGATGATGGCTGAGAGGTCGACGGGGTATAAAAGGAAGAAGAAGAGACAAAGGAAGGAGCCGGGGACGAGGCTCGGGATGAGGTAGGGAAGAAGAGCTCGTAGAGCTTTGCGTCTCTCTTGCGCTTTTTCTCAGCCTGATACCCAAGGGGGTATGTGGCGAGACGATAGTCTGCGCGGGCACGAACACTGAGGGTAGCCTGTGCCGGCTTTGGTGCTTGGTTGACTCTGGATAAGCGGCCAGTTCCGCGAGGTGAAAGGCTTTTGGCGATGCCTGACGCGACTTTACCCTTGAAGGACGAGACGACGCCTTTCAGGTATCTGAGAGCCTGCTTGGCAATCATATTGGCGGATTTGCCGAGCGCAAGGAGAAGGAGAGGAAAGAGAAGGGAAGGCCTTGAAGAAAGGACGAAGAAAGGAGGTCGAGGTTTTGAGGGAGCGAGCAAGGAAGTACCTGTTGGCTTGCTGCTGCCGTGGGAGGGAATGAGAAAACAAGATCGAAGAGTTCAGGAGGATGAGCAATGAAGATTGAGGTGGATGCTATTCAAGAGCAAGTTCAATGGGCAGGAAGCAATACGAGTTGAAAGCGGAGTCGGAGCTTTGGTAGCAATAACAATCGTTCAATTTGAAGCAGTGAGTTGTTCAAGTTGTGGGTAGAAAGAGAAACGACGCGTGAGATGTGATGGGAACAAATCAATAGACAAGATCTCTCACCTGGCCGGACTGCCTTGCTTCACTGAATTGTGTCACCCGCAACCAGTCACCCCTCCACGCAAAGCTGGGGCGGAGCGGGAATCTTGGCACGTGGGTGAAGGAATCGAGTTGCAGTGACAACGCCATCGGCCCAAACGAGTACTGTACCGCGTTTGCATTGCTTATGATTGCTCATAGCTTGCCTGCCAGGGAGATCCCTTCTCTTATGGTGTCCAAGAACAGCGAACGGCCAGCACCGAGACCATGTGCAGCAGTACGGTCAACAACATACGTAGGTATGCAAATTCCACCCGTGACTTTTGTCCTTCTCTGGGCGGTCTCCTAGATTTGTTTATCTTGTCAGCCTCGTCTGTTCACGCAGCCGTTTTTGTTGCACATGGGCTTCCATTCGCTCGTTATATGCCCTGGCATCAGCGTAAAATCCTCCCAAGGGATACAACCAAGCCTCTCAGGTCCCTTTCTGGACGTGCTTGCCACTCTAGAGGGTGAGTCGATCATGAACGGTGTGGTTATGAACTTAGGAGTGTTAGCCTGTCTTTTCCCTGGTGCAGGCCAGGCTTCTTCCATGTCGCTCATACCAATGGCCGCTTGGATGGCTCGCTATGCAATCTAGCGCAGATGTGGTTTAGTCTCTCAGGTTATCTAGCTTTGAAGACGCCCCGATATCTTGTTGGCATTGTGAGTAAGTTGATTCCACAACAACGGACAGCCGAGCCCATTGAAGCTCCCTGCAAGCTCATACTTTGTATTGCTTTATCCACGAGTACCAAGAAGACAAATTATGGACGACAGAACGCTGGAGTTCATGATTTTGTGTCGTTGGAAGGCCACAATCTCTCTCATGGTCTATCCACCATCGAAGTTAATGTTGTTGTGGTAGGTGCGCTCTGGAGGATTGAGCCCCAGATCTATGGTCAAGAATCCGTCATCAGCAGGAACATGTTCCAGCTTGTTCTTTCTGTAAAGTACGAGATCTCTGAAGGGTAATATCGGCTCCACCAATACCCATTTTCAGCTATGGCAAGGTCGTAATCTTTTCGCTCGAAGGCCAGACATTCGTCGCCCACTGCATATGTCAAGTTGTTGCGGTATTGCTCATCCGCTGGAGTATGATCGCAAGGTACGTCCATAATAAACTTTTAGTGTCTTGAACCTGACCAAGTTGCTCCGTTCGAGCTACGGAGAACGAGGGTACAGGTACGAGCAAAGGATACAGCACCTTTTGGGACACGGTTAGTTCTCCATCTCGCGCTTGTAGAAGACACTACAGTTCCGCAAGTCGTGACAATGCGATTCAGACGTCGATGAGCGTATGCTTGCGATGCTCGGACGAAAGTGATATGACTCTTGTCTTGTCCATCGCAGCGTGTAGAGGTAGTTAGAAAGGTGAGCTTCGAAACTTCGAGAGATGTTATCCATAGTGTTTACAAAACAGGCTTGGCCCCTGCCAACAACCCCCCGAAATCTCGGAGCCCCCGAGGCGGAGATTCGCGCCAACAGTGGAACTCGGCGTTGCTGTTGAAGACACGCCTTGTGTCTAATCTCTCCATTTATCGGCAAGCTTTCCATTCAATATGGAGATATGTATATATATATATTTTTCAGTACCAGGTAGGTCTGGTAGAATACTCCCAAAAGGTAGTGATTTCGTTTTAGTCGAAAGACCTGCATAGGAATTCCACAAAAGGTCCGAGTGTCAAAATTCCGGGCATCTGCACCGTGTTCAATTCAAAACTCGAACAATGGCATCGAACGTGTATGATGTGATTGTTGTCGGAGCAGGATTGTCGGGCTTACAAGCAGCGCTGGACATACAACAGGCTGGATTGAAGTGCCTTGTTCTGGAAGCAAGAGATCGTGTGGGTGGTAAGACACTCTCATTGCGTTCTAATATTTCCGGTCAGGCTGTCCTCAAGTCGGAACTGGGAGCGGCATGGATCAACGATACCAACCAGAGCAGCATGTGGAAGCTTGCGCAGGAACTCGGTCTCAATACCTATCAGCAGAACATCATTGGAGACGTGGTGGTTCAAGATACCGATGGGTCATTGATCAAGTTCCAATATGGCGATGTTCCCAAGTATCCTTCGGTGGAGGACACTGCTTCATGCATCGCGATACGAGATTTAGTCCATGAGGCTTCCGTCTCTCAGTCACCGTCGATCTTCTTGGATGGTCCACACCGTCAATACCTCGACACCATCTCCTTTGAGACATATCTGCGAGAAGCAAAAGTGACTGCGAAAGGATTTGCGACGGCACAAGTCTGGACACATGCTATGGTGGGTTGCGATCCTAGCGAGGTTTCTGCCTTGTACTTTCTAGAATATTGTGCTGCAGGTGGCGGCTTGATGACTATGCGAGGCGATGGCAAGCACGGTGGTCAGTATCTTCGAGTTCGTGAAGGCACGTCCGCATTCGCGGAGGGAATGGCTCAAAAACTGATAGCAGGTTCTCTGAAGCTTCAAAGTCCTGTAGTGTCAATAACACAAGCAGCAAGCAACGGAAGCGTCTCAGTAACAACGAGAAGTGCTGATACCCGAACGTTCCAGGCCCGCAGAGTCATCATCTCCGTGCCCACACCAGTGTATAAGACAATTGCATTCAGTCCACAGCTTCCACCAGCGAAGACGGCGGTCACAAACCGTACACGGTACGGCTTCTACACAAAATACAATGTGACATTCCGCCGTCCATTTTGGTTGGACAAGAACCACTGCGGTTTAGCACAGTCGTTCATCGGACCCATTTCGGTGATTCGTGACACCAGCCTCGATGACGGCAAAACGTATTGCTTGACATGCTTCATGGGAGGCAAGTTCGGGAGGAAATGGGCAGCACAGGATGCTGAGGGAAAGAAACGCTCAGTTCTGAAGCAAGTAGCGGATATCTTCGCCGATGGTACGGACATCAGTGATCTCTTTGTAGAAGCATTTGAATCACCATGGATGGAAGAGGAGTATTCTGGCTGGGGTTGCCCATGCCCTGTGACGCCTCCAGGGGTCCTGGCAGAGGCATGGGACGCTATGTGTGCGCCATTTGGAAATTTGCATTTCGTGGGCACAGAGCTTTCAAGAGTCTGGAGAGGCTACATGGAAGGTGCGGTACGGTCTGGAAGTTCAGGTGCCGCAGAAACCCTGTTGGGCTTGAAGGCTACCAATCCGAAGCTTTAGCCTTCTCCTTTCCGGCTCTGGCCTCGGTGAAGCAAGCAAATCATACACCAAGAAGAGAGGTTGAAGTGGTTTAGCTACCGTGGGAATGTCTCTTCAGGGACTTATCTCAAGTACTTACAAGTTGGTGACCTGTCAAATCGGCCTAGTCAATTACCTCCCCTTCAGAGCATACGGGACGATGCATGAATACTGCTTGACAAACAAGATCCAAGGGACACTTCGATGAGTTATGGAAGTTGCAGATCTTGTTCCATATATGTGAATAGTTAGGCAGGTATGACTACACAAGACGAGTAACCAAGCATCGCTGGAATCCCCTGGGTAGTTGCTTTTGATCCGTACGTGGCCTTAGATCACCATGACTGAAAGCAGGACCATCGCGGGCGGTATCTGTACTATGACCACTGCTATCGTAAGCTTGCTGAATCAGACGATGTCTACAATCTAGAAAGCAGACTGGAATAAGTAACTACTTGGCGAAGCAAAAGAATATATGCCAGGTATTTTGTAAGGGAAATGAATGATGACGTTGACCATCTGGAGAAATCGATGAACCTCGATGTTGCCCCTAAAGGTCAATAATCCATTGTCCACTCGTTTCCCTCTATGATCCTTCGTAAGGATTATAAGTTAACTTACCAGTACCGGGACACACCTTGCTGGAATCCGAGCTACCTGGTTAACTTCGCAGGGGAAGGCACAATGGCACCGGAACCCCATGAGGAAATGCTCAAGCAGCTTCTCTCACCCTCAACACATCCACTATTCTCCTTACCGGTATCACCATGTAAGCCTATCATAGATTCATCACGCATCAGCGATCTATCACTGCACCCGGTGCTGGAATCATTGCTGCATATTCTCAACCTGGACTTACCCAGTGCGCATTTTCTGCTCCGGCACATGCAAGCCGCACCAGCGTATGAAGCCATGTACCTGCATGGCATCTTACATCGAATTGAAGGCGACTTGGACAATACAAGGGCATGGTACAGGGATGTTCAGGACTCCGATGTGTTCAGGGCCGTGTGGAGTGGGGAAGGCAGTGGTTTTGGTGGCGGTGACGAAGATGTGACAAGGGATCAACAGGCCCATTCTTCCATAGCTGACGATGCCACTACCGACAAAGACAGTGAGAATGCAGCTCCAGGAACCAACAGCATGAAAGTCCCTATCGAACGTGCACTTTCATTTATTGACCAACTCGCCAGAGCCAGGGCACCGATACGATCAGGTCACATTGCGCCGGCGAGTCTCATCCATACTTCGCTAGATGAGCTTTCGCGAGTATGGCAATTTTGTAAGGAGAAATTTGGGACCGAACCGGTGGTAGAAGCTTCCAATGTATGGGTGTCCATGGCCGAGAAGAATGCAGATATCGCCGAGAAAATGATTACAGGTGGTGAAGGATGGAGGGAATTCTAGATGCCTGAAAGAGGGTCTTGGACAAACGAGTTCATCATTGGCGTCGATATCGTCAAACCATACTTGATACGCATGCTGGATGCCGCCGATCTCCAAAGGGCAACGAAATAGGGAAGAGAGTATTAAGTGTAATAATTCATTGAAAACTGAAGCTATTGGATACCCTCAACCATGCTCGTCTGAGTGTCAGCTCAAGGTCTTTGCTGACAAGAATCATCGACCAAGAATACAGGTGAAAGTGTTCAGGAACTAGTTGATGTGATTCACAGTAATGTCGCGTGTTGAACTCTCAGGGCATGGTCATCCTCCACTCAGGCATGACGGTGTTGGCTCAAGCCATTGCTCTCAGGTCCAAGCCTATTTCTTCTCTCCACTGATAGTGTTGGCAAGGTCTAAAGCAAGTCAATATGTCAGATATGGTAACCAAATGAACCAAGGAGATATCTTACTCGCAGCAGTGTTGCTAGCAGCTTTCAATGCATCTGCGGCAAGGTTCTGTGCCTGTTCCAAGTATGTTTGACCTTGTTGACCAGCTGCACCAGTGTTTGACTGGGCCTGTTGGCTCAAGTTGGAAGCAGTCTCTTGTCCTTGCTTAGTGAGGTTGGAAGCAGTCTCTTGGACGTTCTGGCCAACAGCACCGAGCTTGTCAGTGACAGTGTCGGCAGATGAACCGGTCTGGTCAGAGAGCTTTTGGCTGGTTGACTTGCTGTCACCTGGGGCGCATAGTGTGTTAGCAAGGCTGAAAAGGCTGGAAAGGCTGGACCGTGGAACGTGAGGGCAGGGCGGGTCCTAACCAGGCTGCACGGCACCAGCAACGCTGTCGGCAGTGTCAGTGACACTCTCCTTAGCCTTATCAAGACCGGACTTCTGAGAATCAGGTGTAATGCTCTCGGAGAGCTCTGGTTAATATCATGCTAGTCAGCAAACGAATATACAGAAAGCGAGAAAGCATTGAGAAAGCCTTGAAAAACATGAGGACATAGACCTACGGTCAGTAAGAGGTTTGCGGCCGGTGTCAGACATCTTGAGTTGGATCTGGAGATGTGTTAGAGAGAAACTGTGATTCAATGAATGTTTGTTGAGCAAGAAGAATGTAAAGCTCAGTGATGTTTGAAGCAGAGTGTGAGAAGAAGGAAGTAAAGAAGCGATTCGTATTTCACCAGAGGTTTAAGGCTTGGAACTCTCGCAATCGCAATTGCCATGCTGCATCGCGACTCCCCAGGCAGGAGGGGGGTTTACGAGGGGAAAGCGCCTTTACGTCATTGTAAAAAGGAACATGTATCCGAGTCGTCACCGCGGCAAGTGACATGTGACAAACATCCCTGCTGGTGGAAGGAACGATTTTAGGTTCGAGATTGGCTGTGGTAATTGTAGAACCTGGAAGGAAATCTTCATTCTTTCTTTCTCGATATCTAAGGTAGTCCTGAAGGCCAAAGACTTCGTCGGAAACCCGAAGAAGAATTGCACGACCCACAATCCAACCGCTTGACCGTTCGGGATGATGCAAATCACTGCAAGGGGTATCTTCTCGCTCACTTAATGCCACACAATCGATCGATCACCAAGCCCCAGGAAAGCCGCCTGCACATCATCTCCACATGCTCATGAGCACTGTGTCTCTTATGTTGAGGCTGGTTGCTCTGCTGCAGCGGCCTCGGCCTCAACTGCTTTCGGCTCATCCTCCAGAGCGGGCTGCTTCCCTGCGCTGCTGAGTGCTGACCCTGTGCCACCATATTCCTTTGGCAGCAAACCTCCCAGTCCTTTGACCTTGCTGCTGGACAACTCCGCGGCCAGGTTCGCAGCGTTGCTCATCGGATGGAATTTCTTAGCGGTCTTTGCAGCAACGAAGAGCTTGATGAAGGTATAGATGAAGCCCATGATCGCAGGTACATTGACGAAGAATTTCTCCTTGAGCAATTCAGGGTAATTTTGAGCAAAGATCTTGATGGTTTCGGTACTGGCAGCTTTTACAACTGACTGTTGACGAAGGAAGCTGATGGATTTGTAGTCATGGACTTGGAAGATCTTGTATGGATCCCATTCTGCGGTGATTGGTTTGGTGGCCTTGTCAATTGCGAGCGCTTGCAATGCCTCCTCCATCAGAACCACTCGCCACTCGATAAATCTAAGAGGTGATCAGTATACTCGGGTCCATCCATGAATGATCACACCATGACTTACTCTGCCAGGTTTCCAAAAGTCTCATCGACATTCTTCACACGACCATAAATGTTCCAAGTGAAGACTTCTTTGAGTTCCGCATCGTCGGCATCGGCATCTCCAAAGGTCGTCACATAGCCCAGTCCTTCGAACTTGGCTCGATTGAATTTTTTATTGAGCAGATCAAGAGGCTTCATCTTTGCGCGCCATTCCAGAGTCTTTGTTAGCTGATCCTTGGCACCGGCGAAATCCCCATCATTGGCATTGAGATATTTCTGTAGGATGACCTGAGTTGGGATGTGTGTTGCAGGATCAGCCAGAGTGACACCCCAGATTTCAGGGTGGCCCTTGGATTGCGCCAAAGCCCAAAGGTCTTCGATTGGACTGGCTTTCTTCTCCTCTACTGGCGCTGGAGCGGTTGCTTCGGTAGCCTTCTCACCACCCCCAACCTTGTCTGCCGTTCCCTCTACTTTCGCCGCCTCTGAAGCAGGAGCGGTCGTTGTGTGCACCTGCAATCAGGTCAGCTTTACAATGACATCAAGAGATCGCACAGGTCATATCTTACTGGAGCAACAGGTGTCTCCGCAGTAGGTTTCTCGGCTGTAGAGTCAGGGACTACACTTGAGACCTCTGCCGGGAGCGTTGTACTGGTTGGAGCAGCCGTGGTTTCGGGCGTCGTTGTCGTGCTGGTGGGAACAGCCGAGGACGTCTCGTTTGTGGCCATTGTGGTTGAACGTGCTGGATGGGCTGAGAAAGAAAAAAAATTGTCCGGAGCTTAGGGAAAATGCTGACCCTAGGTGGACTGACTTGATTATGACGATGATCCTGGTGTTAATGACAAGGAGATGGAGTCACAAAGAAGAGGCGTGATGGATGGAAAACTGTTCTGCGAATTAGGTCTCAATGAGAAATGATTCGAGTTGTCGACCAGAGCCTTGCGATTGACGATTGACGGCGTATGGGTGGTCGAATTGGGAGTGAATGTCAACAAAAGGGGGTCAGGGTGGTGATTCTTTGGGTCTTAGGTAATTCGGGCCAGGCAGTCCGTATCCGTAGCCGCTGGGCGCCCCCGGGTCATTAGTACGAGAAAACCGTTACAGGGAGAGGAGGTTTGTTCTGAAGAAATTTCTAAGCCGCGCGAGGGCAAAGGCACGTGCGTAATGAAATGACAATGAGAAGCAGACTGTGATCCTCAATCACAACAGAGATTATCCTCTGTGGTTTCAAAGTCGTTGTTTTGATGCACATACATCCAAGTCTGGTGCCTGCCGTGAAGGGTTCTCGGGAGATCTTATCTGATGAACCGCCAAGACGCGACCATGCCGAAATCTGGAACATCTCCTCTCACGATGGCGCGATATTGAATGGGTATCTAGTACGAGTAGCCTGTACGAGTAGGCACCTATTTAAGCCACGCTGGATAGTCGCTCTGAGCAACTATCGATCAATCACTGTACCCCGGCGGTTTCAATGTTGTACGGACAGATACATACCTACCTAAGGCATGTACCTAATGGCGACCAGACATTTCAATCAGCCTTTTCCGTAACAGAACAATGAACCACTTTCTTGACGGATCTGGGTCGGTCAGGATTTCTTCACGGTCAGGCTCGGTGCACAGTAATTGTCGTCGGAGCACAGCCAAGACAAATAGGTAATCAACAACAGACATTAAACTCGTGTTGTACTTGTATGATGATGATGACACACCTGAGAATCATTGAAACTGAAAGCAAGTATTAGACGTGGATAGAAGTAATTGATTGGACGTATATCTATGCTCCTTCTTGTCTTCTTCTATACCCAATGGTGGTGCTGGGGTCGCATCCCAATGGACCACTGCATCAGGCGCTTGACTGACGAGCAGGTACTGGAGAGACGGGCCAACACCAGGAGCCCGTCCTGTGCAAGCCGCCTTGGCTTCCGCTGCTGGCAGCAAGAAGCCATCCCAGACCCAAATCCATCCTTCTTCTTCATCATCGAGAGTAGACAAAAAAACTCATCATGCGGCTCCCACTGCATCTATTCATTAAATTCTGGACCATTCTGGTCGTGAGGAAAACCCAATCCCATTGCGGTGCGTGTCCATTCTCCCAAAAGCAGTGGGTGAACATCCAAAAAACACATCAAAAGCAAAGTGCGCACTTCTGCTCCGGGTTGGCATGTTGGTTCCCAAGCAAGCCAACACCGAAAAAACAGACGCGATTGTATCATATTCATAAAATCACACATCTCCGGTCGAGTGGCTGATCAGCTCTCTTGTCCTCTCACATTATACCCCCTTCCTGACATCGTTCGAATTCACAAGGTGGAAAATATCCTCCTCGCACTTTCGCTCACTCCATATATATCCCCACATAGATTTGCCCGTTGTGTGCACTCTGAACCCTGCAAGTTGAGAGCCCTTTGTAAAAAGCCGACAGGTAGAAAGTAGAAATTCGTGTATCCCTTCCTCGTCAAATTCATAGCGAAGGAGCTGAAATATCCAAGAGGTCTATGTGCAACAAAAAACAACGAACAGCGGCACTCAACCCTGATATTGATTGGTTGAAAGTTCAAATCGAAAAAAAAATCTTTGGTTGAAGTGTCGCCTAGCCACGGAATGACCGTGGCAACTCTGGGGTTTCACAAGCTCATGGTCAACCATTCCCACTCTTGGCTATTGCCATGAGGGTTACCGGGCATGGTTTGCATACCTGGAGTTATCAATCCTCCTTGCATAACAGACGCCATGGTAGTTGCACCTGCTGTGACGACCGTACTAGCTGCTTTGGCTCTGGTGATGGCGGCTGGGACTGGCTTTGTGGCTGTCATGTCAAGCATGTCCGCCTCACTGCTTGAGACCTGAGTACCATTTGTTACAGGGAGCGTGCTTGTGGAAGCACGAGACTGCCTCCTTTGGCGTTTTGGCGTCACTTGCACCGGTCGTGTCAAACTGGGGCCTGGTTGCACAGCCGGCTTGGGGGGTGCAGCCGCTATTGGCACAACTCCAGGTTTTCCGCCAATTGTACCAGGGGGATAACTGGTGGGGGTGGTTACAACGGAGCCCGAATTGGTAGATCCCTGGGCAGAAGCTGGGGAAGCCGAATTTTGCTCACTGGCTGCATTGCCAGACGTAGGCGTGGTCGCGGGTGTTTGCTGTACCGAGTTTTTCCTGGTTGCCTTCTTTGACGCTCGAGTTGCTGCTGATCCGATGGGCATCGTTGCTCCACTACCGCGATTTCGCTTCTTGATCACATCAGTTTTGAGAGATAAAGGTCGGACGACACCGTGAAGCTTCAAGAACAGCCCACAGGCATTGCAGAGAGGGTGGCCCTCTGGATTACGCCTCCACAACGGTGTGGTTTGAGTGAAACAATTGGTGCATGTCGTTGGCACGCCATTCTGATCGGTGTTCTTGGGGCCAGGGCTGTTTGGCCGAGAAGGCTGACGGCTGCTAAACCCAGATTCTCCCGGTGAGCTCTCGGTCGACTGCATGTGATGAGCAGACAAAGCAGGTGTTGATGTCGTTCGAGGGATCTTTTGGCGCCGCAAATCTTGATCTCTATTGCGAATGTCACTAATGGAGGCAGCGGAGCCGTGGGTACGGCTCAGAATCGAAGATCCCCAGTCGGGAGGAGAGTTGACCATCTCTGTGCCTCCAATGCGGACTTGTTTGTTGGATGCACCATACCGTTGCATACTGCCAAACTCTGCGGCACTGGGTTCCCATTGGAGACCAGAGTTCAGGTCCAAAGTAGGATCGCCTATTTGGCCATAATCCGATTGTAAAACCATACTACGATCACCAAAAGTTGGTTCATCGTCTTCGTTGTCTGAGTCGGCTCCAAAATGGAATAGGTTGTCGTTGCCACTCATTGAAACACCAGGAGAAGCACGATGCCCGTAGTCGGGAATCAGAACTCGTGATGGGTCCACGTGCTGTTGCATTCCAAAGCCGTTCATGGTTGGTGCTGAGCCGACCCCATTCATGGGGGCGTACAGAGATTCGCTGTTGGAGTTGTAGGCGAATTGAGAGGCTACAGAAGGCATAACCTGTTGCGCTCTCTGTGCGGGATAGAAGGGCATTGGTCTCGTATGCCCGGTGTTGTGGTCGAAATAGTACTGTGGGGTATCACCCTCATGGCCTGGTTGAGGTGTTGAGACGGTGGAATGGAACCCAGACTGAGGTGGGGAATAAAAGTCGGTTGAGTTTAATGACGAAGGAATAGAAGACTGCGTGTATATGTTGGAGAAAGGACCATTGGTTACCATGGGCGAGGCGGCTGGGGAAAAGGTGAAGTTCTGTTGATACGGTCCGGCGGACGTAAGAATGGGGTCATCATGCAGATGGAACGAATCCAAATGAAGAGACATTTGACCTTGAAAGTTATGCTGGTTGCCGAAGTTGGAAGGGGTTGGTTGATCCAGTGCATAGTCAGGTAGACCAGTGTCGATGTCAGCTCCTGTTGCACCGTTTGGTACGACAATTGGGGGCACTTGAGGGGAGAATTCAGCAGGTCGTTTGCGGTTCTATGAGAGCCCATTAGTATATATGCAGAACAACCCACAAGATGAAACTCACTCCGCGCCTCTCGTCAATGCTGGTCTTTCTGACTCGCCTCTGCACATAGTCGAACTCGGAGGATCTGTTCAGGGCGATTGATGTCTGAGGCATTGACGAGGGTGGTAGATTCATGGGGATCTGGATTGCTGGTTTGTTACGAGGGGTGATCCGAATGCCAGAGCCTTGAGAGGCTCTGTTCTGGATCAGACCGTCTGTCGGCGCAGGCGATGTGATGCCCGCGGGCGAAGCAATAGAACTCGGAACAATAAAGTCATCGAGATTCATTGGTTCAGACGTCAAGTCCAGGTCGATCTGCTGCTGGTCAACAGACCTGCGTAGCTGCTGAGCGATTCCGCTTGGAGCAGACATCTGTGGCGGGCTCTTGACCTTTGTCTGTTTTGCACTATGGAGTGAGTCAGTACCGAGTTGTAGAGAGTCGTCAGCCGCTCGGGCATTCATGTCATACGCTGCCTGTGCTGCTTGCATCTGCTGCTCTCGACGACGAAGGTTCATGGCCATCATTCTCCACGTCAGATTTTCCATACGCTCTTGGTTGGGCAGTCGAGATTTTGTGCGGCTGTACAGCTTCCATATCTGGGTGCCCAGAGGGTCCTGTTTCTGCAGTTCATCTGGGTTGTCGAGAGTCGAGGAAGCAGTGTCGTGGTCGTCCCAGTCGGCGAAGGCAGAGTTCCGCAACAACTCATTTCGAGCCTGGGAATCGGGGGTGGAGAGATCCAGATTGGAGCTTGGGGTATCGTTGGACTTGAGCTTGGTATTGGAAGCGGCAATGTGAGAGAGATTGGAGGGCGACAGGTTGGTGGTTGAAGTATGTGCAGTCAAACGTCCCAAGCTGGACCAAGTGGAAGAATCAGTGTCATCAAGACTCGTGGAGGGAAGTTGTGCAGGGGATGGGAAATGGTCGGCCGGGGAGTGGACAGCGGAGGTTGCGCGTGAAGCTGCAAGTCCCCCACGTTCACCATAATCTGCACCCAACATCACCGGGGGTCGTTAGTCGTGCAGAGTCGCGTGCAGCAGGCTTCAGGCTGAGATGCAGTCACAGATTGGTTTCATCAGCAGAGGACGAAGCCACAAAAGTCGAAGCGAGAAGATGTCTGGTGTACGGATGGTGAGAGAGACGGAAGGGCTTGGGACGAGGACGAGTAGAAAATTAATTCGCAGCAGCGTAAGAGTGTCATCACCAGTTGCATGCGCAATGCATGAGACAAAATCGAGTCGAGCGAGCGAAAAAGGCACGCTCGCACTGACACTGCACGGCGAGAAGGGTTCGGCACCAAGGGAAAGAGGTGGGAGGGTTGACGACAGAAGGCAGAGGGCCGAGGACGTGCAGCCTATGATGGGGCAGTCTGATGGGCCCGGAGGAAGCTTTGGGGGGAGGTGTTCTGGCAGTGAACGGGTCAAGGCGCAAGCCTGGATGGGCTAGTGGCTGGATGGGTGGGCCGGGATCTAATTAGGGCGAATTGCTGCATGATGGAGCGTCGGCTTAGAGGAGGGTCTAGTTATTAGACAGCAAGCGATCGTGGGCTTCTGATGGGCATAGCCCAGGGTCACGGTCAGGATTAGCCATGACATGGGTTGGGTTGGGAGACCACTGGCGTTGGGCTTAGCTTTGTGGTACACCGGCGCATCTGCTGGAGGGACTTTGGGGGGGCACTGGAGGGGAATCTGCGGCGTGCCAGTGCGGGACATGTTTTGAGTTGCAGGCACCATGGCGTTCAACCAACGGCCCTCTGGAGGCCAAGCGAGACGATGAATCCCGAGAAAGTACATTAAACTTGTCACTAGCTTGTCCCTCGGACGGATAATCTGTAGTCAGAAAGTCGCTCGAGAAGGGGTGAGAGACTGAGAGTCTGCACATGAGATGGACTCGATTGTAACGCCTTCCAATTACAAGGTTTGGTGTGATTTGTCGGCTGATCGGTAATGGTGCTTCGAGTTCATGTTCTCGACTTTCGAGTGAATATCTGACAACCAGAGGCATTTCCTGTTCTGGGAACCCCATCGGCTACTCAATTCACTACACTTACCTCAGTACTGCTGAACGCTCGAGGTCGGGAGGTAGCATCTACCTCTTTTACCAGCATCCGTGTTTGCCTTTGCCTCCACTCGCATTTGCCGTTCGGTTGTGAGCAAAGTAACATGAGTCAAATTGGTCAGTCGCCGTCACGAGCCATCTCGTACGGGCGACAACATAGTTGTCGAGAGCAATGAGTACGGCTAAGTGTTGTCAAGTAAGCTTTACTGCCTCTTTGCTACTTCGTAGGTACGGATCTACTAGGCAGGGAGCATATCCCGTGGTGAAGGTGGCACGGAGAGAGTTATTGCAGTCCAACCAGGATGATGATCGGGATTGAAGTGAGAGCAGAATAAATATTTGATGGGCACGGGTGGGACAATTACGCAGGACTTCTACCGCACCGGCTTGCTTTATTCGTTGTTTTAAGTTCGGTACTTGTAGGGGAGTGTACAGTAGCAACGCCATTTGTTGTGAGCACTCGCTTCGAGACCAACTTGATTAAACTTGCAGCTTGTAAACATGGGTGGCCACCGGGATGGGCGCTGCTAAGGTTTGATACTCGGCCATTCTCGTGCAGTGCGAGTGGGAGGAATTCGAAGCTGAGCCAATTCGACCGCGGGCGGCTCGAAGGCTGAAGATCCCAAACCCGTGGGCCTCGGGCATGCATTCCAATAGGTTTTCCATCACAGTAAAGACCATATCGTAGTGGCCATCCATACTTCCAACCCGGCGCCAGGACGTTGATCAAAAGGCTCATTCAATAATGCGAGATTCCTTGGGACACAAGGCTCAGCAGGCTCAGAGGATACTTGGAATGTGGAATACTTCACATGGTGGCGCGCTGTTGCTGCAAGGAGTCCAGGGCCCGAGAGGCCCAAGGAACAAGGTTAACTGGATGTGCGTCCCGGGCTCCCAGTCAGAACCAACGGAAGGGCAGGCTTAAGCGGCCATGGCATGCACTCGTCTGCCACCACCCACCGCGACCCAACCAAACACAGTCCTTACTCAACCCTTTAGCGTGGGAGTGTTCATCATAGCCGACCAGGCCAAAGCGTGGGAGAAGCAACCTATTTTCTCCGATGGCCTGCGCCAAGGCAGCCCGTACCCATGGTCCATGGTCCGACGGTCCATGGATCCTTATTCGTCTCTGGCATTTGAACCTGAACCTGAACCTGAACAAAGTCCCCAAGTCATCCGTTCACTGTCACTTCCCTCCCCACCATTATTACTTGTAGCAATTACACATAAATCTCTCGGGGTGTCGACTTGATCCAGCAGCGGATACTATATTGGGGAAGTCCACAGATACAGGCAATAAATGGATGTATACTTAGCCCCTAGTAGTTGGCCTTCCTCAACACATACGGATAAGTACCGAGTCATTGGCCTTGTCAACGTCAAAGCATGTACCCACAAGGGCGCTGACCACTGCAATGAATGCCTGGTCCAGTTTAATCCCATCAATATAGGCTGATAGTCGATGATTATTGTTAGAATCATGATTCATTTGTTAATTGCAGTGCTTTATCTGACGAGGACGGATGGCCCTCATCGAAGAGTTGGGGGTGGCATGCGCTTGCAGCCTTCCTACCATCCAAGGCCCGTGGTGCAAGGCTTACACTGTAGTCCCAAGTAACGAGTACAGCCTGTGTATAAGTTCATGCTGCTGGGTACCCTGAATTCTGGGTCCATGTTCCTTTCGGCATGCCTAGAATCCACTCTGCGCGTGCGTTGCCATCATTATCGACTCCACCAAGGACGAAGGATTAGTCCCGGTTCAATGTCCATATTCGGCTTCTTTCACATCCCGACAATGGAGATATCCATTGCTCTTTCACCCAAACGGGAACAAGTCGGCATCGATTCGCACGAAGTGAGGGACTGTTTGATGCGGGTACGGGTAATACTCGTTGGGGTTTACTCCGAAGTACCTCCTTTCCTCGATGAGGCTACGGATAATCGATTGTGTCCAAGTCGCTAGTTGATATGACATGTTAAGAGAATCGTCGCCTGTTCCATGATTATCACGGAGGCGTGGTATGACATCCACGGTATTTGGAATGCCCGGTACCTGTAGCCGCCTATGGCAGTTTCGAAATTATGTCGGCTAGTCGTGGCCCTCCAGTCCCCATAACCATCAGAACCCTTTTCAAATTGTCGGGTCCATATTGGGAGAGCTCACAAAACAGTTCTTGGTGAGGATTCTCGAACGAGACCGAGGCTTTCGACTTGATACGATCAGAGGTCGGGTCAAAAGTGTGTAATAATGATTTAGCCACCTCACGTCCGAGATGCGGGCTGTCTGGCTCTCCCGGAAGTAGTTGTGGAAGGTCCAGAAGCATGTAACTTTCCCACCACGTCTCCACATTTGCTTCTTTCCGTGGCAAAGATCGAGGTACAGGGTACACCCACTGAATGCTTTCCTCAGTTCGGTCCGGGTGCAGACTGGCTCTCACCACATGTATTTGTACATGTGAGAAGTGAGACTTGGTTCTCGACTAGTAGAGTGAACGGAACCCCCCTGTTCTGCTGTCCCACTAGCATACTCGTACATTCCTTCAATGTCGACTTCATCGAATAGACAAACTCAGTTGGCAGGTTTTCAAGATTCACGTGCTCATCTAATACTCAGAAGTGGTGCTAATAGGCCAAGTAGCTGGAGGATGGAGCTTTCAGGGTAGATCCCACGCCACCAAACGTGTTGAAGTACGATGGGCCTTTGAGACGGCAGATGTGGATTGGACAACTCAATCATGTCCAGAGCACTCCCTTGATGATGGAAGCTTGCCACAGCGATCAGACTCGACATGTCTATGTCGATACCCGTCTTACAGTGGGCATCCTATTGACCCTTAGGGTAGAAAGTCAGGACCACGCCCACTTCTCGGGCTATGTCCACTTTGCTAGTACTCTCCACGGGATGCTGCCGGTAGACGGTAATAGCCCTTCTCATGAGACTCGAGACTCAAGATCTGAGAGCGTTGTTAGCATTTGGTTTTCCGTTGAGAAAGCATGTGCTCTCTTGAATAATTTCACATGGCTCTTGAGCCTTACCCACGTCCATGTCTTCTTCATCCTGGTCGGTTTCCCGACGAAGGGAGAACAAACTACAATCCACAGTCGCGCATGCAGACTTATTTGGTGAGCAAGTCCGACATTCGGCATTTTCTGGTCCTTCTTTCTCTCCTGTCTACGTCAAATCATGGCACTGACCAAGGCCGCCTCCCTTTGATCATTGGCCTTATGAGGCCGTGTCTATTCCTTTGCAACCACTTGCGGATAAATGCTTTAGCCAGTCGGCCTTGTTGATCACAATGTGCACAACCTATGAGGATGCTTAACATCTTAGCGCGGGGTGTCTTTATCGTCACCCGTCTTGTTGATCGTCTAGTTAAAGTGGCTGCTCGTTTTGAAGCCAGTACCCTTCTTGACGTACTCGTAGGGAACCATTTATCATCTCATGTCAAACAAACTTTCTTGACATTGCCAAGCTGGGTATTATCCCAAAGAACATTAAACTCTCCAAGGGTGGAATTGCACCCATCGTCTGTTGCACCAATCGTATTATAGTTTCCATGGCTAACGCGTCTTTGGAAACCAAAAACTCTCGGATCCGGATGGTTCAGACTGCTGCATTCCGTCCCCGTGCAAGCCATCTGAGGGTGTGATATCACGCTGCAACTACGCATACAGCTGAAAACCAATGGGTGAAATTCTGTACTCTGTCGTATTCTGACGACGACGATGCCTTCCAGGCTGACACCAACATACATGTGAGCCTCTTCTGTATACCTTTTTGTGGAGTCAAATGTGTATAGCATATAGCGTTTCCAAGATAAAACTCAGGAAGACTTGTGCCGTAAAGCCTCATGAAGGTTATTGTTCTACCCCGTGTCGAGCACCACAATAGTCAGATCCCAACTCCAGGGTTCAGAGGCTGCGCCCGTTTGCTTTAGACGCCCTCTGTTGATACTAGTGTATATGTATCAAGCTTCCAGACACCCCTTTCCCAGGAGGTATGCTGGAATTTCAGACCAATCCTGTGGAAGTCAAAACACCTATGTAGTTATTTGGGTATTAGGTTCCTGGGTGAAAGTCGTAGCAATGTTGTAGCCAGCAAGTCATGGATACCAAAAGCGACTGGCGAACATGATTCCGGTCACGAGTTGATTTTCGAACCTTCAAATGAAACACAGCTCGTATTCAACGATGTTGACGAGTAATTAACAGTGGAACATGTGTAGTATCCTCTCTATTAGTTGCGAATCAGATGGATTAATGCAAAGAGGTGGGTCTAGCAAGGGAATGATATCCTACCAGACAGGTTCCATTGTTGCAACTTGCGACTCATAGGTACCAGCACAACTTCATCTTTGGAAACTCGACCACTAGTAACGTCACCGAGTAGTTTCTTGAACGCAAAGTTTGGCGGCATGGATTAGTGACTTTCAATGTGCCAGTCCACAGAAAAGACTTATGTTTGAAGACAGATTGAGTTCCAATAGCAGTGTCGGGATTAGCAATATTCGTTGTCGTATTCGGGGCGGATCAGCAATGTTGTTGATTCGGGTTCTTGGGAGGATGGGTTGCGTTCGTGAATCGTGACGCTGCCCACCGTCCGACTCTCCGTACCCCATGCCGTCCATCCCTGGTGATCCACTTGTCACTCTCAGGCACGCGACCACTTCGGTGAATGACACCGAAGATAGATCTGTAGCTGCCAGATGGAAAAAGAAAACAATGTCTTCAGGTCGTCGACATCAAACCCACCTCAAGAAATTACGATGGGACCCTGAGGTGTTCCAGAACAGGATGACCATGCAGGAGGCAAGTGCATCTGGACTCAGCTTGACCGATAGAAGCCCGAAGGCGAGTGACATGTTCATCTGCTGCTTGACCATCAATCGTGACTCGGCTTTGGTGGCCGTACGAGTACTCGTGTCGTTTGACAGAAGTCCCACACCTGTGACTTGACCAGGGTAGGTGCTGGCTAGTGGGGAAAGTCAGATGCGTTAGGTGCATATGTTGGGTGATTAGCTGCATGATTAGGGGCGCCTCTTAGCCCACCTCAAAGTCGGGTTAAGCACATGTCGCTCTTCCCGGCCTGTCCTGGGCCTCCTGTTGGCCGCAGCTACCAGTTCTGGGCATTCTCTTGTCCGGCATTGAGATTTCTGGAGTCAGGCCTCAACAAGGCATTATCCACCGATCTCAGCCTGGCGGTGCCCCACGATCATTTCCAGTACTCCGTCGTTTGACACCTCAGCAAAATATTGGTGGATCATTGAGCGAAATATGTTTGATCGTCAACATTCTCTAGTCAACAGAGACGAGCGTAAAATTGCGATGATATCGAAGGGAATTTTCAGACATCGTCTGCATCAGGAGACGGTCGAAAGGGAGCCAGGATGGCGCCTCCGGTGCAAAGTGGTGCAGGAGAGTTTCCCCACGCTAAGGTCGACTCAATTCCTGCTCCTGCACAACCGCCAAAGCTGGCGAGCTTACCCTCCATGGGCAGATCCCCAAGTGACAAGAAATAGAAGTCTCTCTTGGTTTTTGGTGACCCCCAAAATTTGTGAATAATGGAGTTTCGTCAAGATAAACTAGACGCAGTCCGCTTTTGCCCGATTGTGAAGCCAGTCCCGTAGTCAGGAATTGCCTATGATCTTTCTTGGAATGCGCTGGCGCAGTCGCTGTGAGCCAGAAGACAGTGTGTAATGGCTTTAGGCAATGTCGACGAGATATGGGTTGAGTAGTCTCTTGGTCGCTGGTGGTTCAGGCTATGCGGATATGCATGTCCCAGAGCACTCGTACAAGTAGGCCACTGCCTGTGTCATGGACCTTGGCTTGTATTACAACACATGCGATGCGTGATTATGCTGGTCAAGCCTGCCTTGATAATTGCGGGAGTAAGGCATCAGTTGTCTTCGGGCCGATTAAGCTGGTGCAAATGGCGCCAGCACAATTCATCGAACGGTACCGACTGTAGCGAGGGTCATCGTGCCTCAAGAGTTGTACTGCCATTTCTGGATCTCCCCAAGCAGGTTTCAAGGTCCAGGCATAATCCTTCGCCGAAGTGGTCGACGCTAGAAGGCGGTTCAGAGGAGTGTTTGAGCAGTAGAGCAGACACATTGTGGTTGTCCTAGTGCTCGTTTGCTCTTATAGCAAGCTCAGGGTGAGGTGTTCTGATAAGGCCGTGGAGATCAGCGGGCAATGAAAATTTTCAATCAAAACCAAACGGGTTTTAGTTGGTCGCTTCGTAGATAGCAGAAGGCTCAGCTGCATCCCAAAATCCCCAGGTGTCGATAAGTCCTTTGACCTTACGATAACAGGGTCGTTTCGTTGATCATTGAGCGATAAAGAGTCCGGGGCAAGTGGCTATCGGTTCAGCGTCCCCGGAACTTTAGATCACGACAACAAACCATCATCAAGCCCAGATAACCAGGGCTTTCTCATATCTGACCTTGTGCTGTCGAGCATGTCTGTATTTGTCTATTAAGTGGACATGTTCTGGCTCTTATCTGAGTTGTGTTGGATAGCCCTGCTTTTGATTACTCTATCGCAAGGCCCGCAATCGTTATTGCGTGCTCAAATCGCACAATCAAAGTGGCATTGTTGCAATCCTTGACCGCATCACCGGCCTCCTCGCTGCCTGCCTATCTGAGATTGATACCATTCAAGGTTACTCATGTAAACCATATCAGTCCTCTTATCCAGGGTTACTTCCGGCCTTGCCTACTTTCTGCACCACACAACAAATGTAGTTGGGGTCGGGGAAGACTATAATCTCCTGGTATTTGGTGCGAAGTCTGAGTAATTGGACTTCGTCATCCTTGGACCTTGGGTGTTCTTCTTCAACTGACGCTTCTTGCCTAGATGTGGAAGAGTCTCTGTAGGATGCTGCACCTGTCATGCCGGAATTCCGAGATACGCTTCCGAGCGTCAAGCCCAGGGAGGTTGCGTTGTTCACGAATTGGAAAATGGAGGCAGCCAGTATTTCGACAGGTTCCTGTTTGCCTCGTGAAGGATCCTCCACTTGCTGAGCTCCATTACCCGGCTCTTGCTCTGTGACTTTGCTAATCAGCTGTTCATCTTGTCGTGATGTCGATGTTGACCATTGATACTGGGAGGTTGTGTTTGAGGAGAGTTGTTTGTCAGAGGCAATGACACCTGTAGCTCGGATGATGGAGCCGTCGGCTTTCGATAGGATCATCGTAGCTTGTACGTTGGGGCGATCTGTCAAACCCCGGAGCATCGTATCGATAGAGGAGCCATTGAGGCTGTCCTAAAACCACCGCTCATCAGCAAACATCTTTCAACCCTAGGGTGTCTTGGGAGAACAAACTCGCTCGGCCTGCGCCATGTAGATGGGAGACGTTGTGAGGACCCGGGAAGTCAATTTCAGTCCACGTGCAGCCTCATACTACCGTGTTTCGCAGTGATCCCTGCTTGAAAGGGCTTCTAGAACGCGTGACTTGCGCAGAACGCAGCCGGCCGTAGACGCGTCGGAACTTGAACCGCAGACTTGGTATGGAGTCAAGCCCTGGAAGACGTTAAGATAGCCTCACAGGGACCTAGCTGATGGAGATCCGGTGGCGCAATCGCACTCTAAAGATGTCGAGCATGAGAGGGGAACAAGGCTTTGGGATGCTAGAGTTTCTATTACGAGCATGAAATATGACTCTCCGCAAGTTTGGGATTTCGGTGACACAAGATTCGGAAACGTGAATAATTTGGACAGGGTGTTGACCGCGCGGGCCGTCCCGTCCAGCTCACGCAATTCAGACTTTCAAACATCTTTCTCCGTGGAACTCGACCACATTTTTTGGTGTGAAAATCTGGGGTTCATCATCATCATGTCGCCATTGAACTAGTCATTACCTCGTACTTTGGCCTACTCACGACTGACTCGGTGCCGTGTCGGACGTGGGGATCTCAAAGCTTGACATTAACAGGGTCTGCCACCTCTGATAGCCCATTTCTACTACCTTGCAGATCAAATCGAGATTTTCTCTGAAGAGGTACCGAGCTAGGTAGGCTGATTTTCACCATCCTCAAGTCACAAAATGGGGTCTAGCGCAAAGAAAAAGAGAGAGAAGAAGAAAGACTTCCAAGTGAGCCTCACCAAAGTATCAGCCACTGCCACAGTCATGAAACTGACCTCCTCCATAGAAACCAAAATTAAAGGTTGGGAAAGCAAGACCCAAGGCTGCAAACTCGACTGACACGAGTTTTCGTGCTAAAGGTCAGTCCTCAGATCTCGAAGATTGACTTGGGTGTTTCTAACCCCTATCCTCAGCCATTGTTTTGAATCAACAACTCGACATCAATGCTCCGACAGAGTCGGCCAAGTTTCTTCACCAATTATCACTTTTGACTTCTCGGTCGGACTCTCAAAGAAAGGACGCTCTGGGCTACTTGACGAGTTACGTGACATCGACGCCAGAAGGAGCTACTTTCCCGACGACTGCAAACTCGCTTCTCACCTCTTTGTGTCCACTCATCCTTGATGGTTCGACGGGTGTTCGCACTCAACTCTTGAAGCTTTTCCAAGTCCTACCAGCGGAAGAAGTAAGAGATCATGTTACCAAGATCTTACCCTACATGCGAGCCGGTATGACCCATCTATCAAAGGACATCCGACTTTCTGCTGTGGAATTTCTATCCTACCTGATCAAAGCAGCGGGCGATGAGCTCGTCTGCAGTCCCGGCGGCTGGAACCAGACATTGGAATGCTTTACTACGGTCCTCGGTTGGAGATCTTCAGATTCAAGCAAATGGTCCGCAAATAAAGCTTCCTTCGGAGGAGACATCAAGTCCACTGCTAGAATCATGGCCGTCCTTGCCGAGTTTCTCCGGGCAGGCTTAGTCTCTAATACTGAGTCAGACTCGAACATCAATGCAATTGCCATTGACTTTCCCTTTTGGCAGACCAAATCGCTGGCAATGCCCTCGAAATCAAACGCGTATTCCTATCTCAACCTTTTTGGGTCCCAGACCGAGGTTGACAACCAGATGCTTGAAGACCAGGAAGATAGATTGGAGATCTTCTCCAGAGATTTCGAGGCAGTAATCCTGGCTGGTATAGACGCAGCGAAAAAGGAAGGCGGCGAGTTGGGTCGCTCTTCAGGCTTACTTGTCAAGATTCTCAGTCTTTCCAACAATGGTTGATTTGAAACGCCATAATCTGGTCGTCGCTTGTCGAAAAGAACACCATCCTCTGTCTGTACACAGGCCCGCCGAACTCTCAAGCAGCAAAATCAATTCAAAGTCTGCTGTCGATGGTGATCCTGATTTGGACCATTGAATCCCAGACCCGAAATGCTATGCGCACAAAGATCTTCGACGTGCAACTCAACTCCGGGACCAGTATACAGATGAATCTACACTAAGTTGATCGTGTGAAGGAGGTATGCAAGTCTTTAGACTCATCTCAAACTCCTATTAAAAATTGTGGAATTGAACGAGGCGAAAGAGATGATAACAAACAGGTCCATGTACAACATTAATTGTACGACATAAACTTCAAGACCATCCTATGAGAGTCGATGTTACACAAAGAAATCAATCTTCTTTCCACGACCATCTTCATATCCTTATCAACGCCGAAATTATCAACACAATACTCGTCATCGAGACTACCGTTACCAGACAACTGACGTTCAACAGCAGACAGTGGCTAATTCGGAGCTCAACATTGTTGAATTTATCTTGGAAGCCTATCCCACATACGTCACCGCTGTTGCCAATCACTTCTCACCAGGCAACTTCACCTTCTCCCACTCCTCGCTAGTCACAGCATGCCACTCATCGGGATCAAACCAGCCGATATAGTTCCTGTCGCCAAAGCCACCAATCCAATACACTTCCTTGACGACGATCCTGGTCCACAGCCCCTGATGAGCAGCCCACTTCTTCCCGGGGAGCCACATGACACTATCGCCATGAGCACGGGTAAAGCAACCCGGGATACCTTTCTCGTTGGCCTCGTCCTGCGGAATTTCCTCGAGATAGCCGACGAGACTCAGACGCGGCAGATTGGCCGCAGACCAGGGCTGGTGGTGCGTAAGATGGATGTACTCGTCCCACCACGAGAGGGACAGCGAGACGTTCGAGCCCGCATTGGCGTTAAGTGTTGACGTCGAGATCGTCAGGGACAGGACGGTGGGGTTTCCACTCGACTCTTCACACGACGCGATGTACTCGGGAAGCCCGATCGGGGTGCGTGCAACGTCAGATGGGATTCGGGAGGATGTGATGTTCTCCGGGAACACGGTGGTGAGCACACCGGATTTCGAGAGGGCCAGTAGTCGTCGCCCGAGGACGGTCGACTCGTAGCGGGAGGGACGTAAGATGGAGGATATCCCGTCGTCGACGATTGGGCGGTCGAGTGATGCTTCCGTCTGGACTTGTAGATGGATTGGTTGTTGCGCCAGCTTCATCTCCAAGTCATGATCAACTGGCGCTGCTTGCACCGATGTAGTCAGAAGGAGGAGGAGCGTGGACCCCGTCCAGAAACCGTTGGGCAGATGCATTATGTCGAGTCTGTGTGATTCTCCCAACTCTTGAAAACTCCTTGCACTCTTTCCCAATATCCAATATATATGTATACTTCACACCGTCGACCAAACCACAATTGATGCCGTTATAGACAATGATGCCGTCGGAATTGGGCCTGCAAGTTTACTTGGCAGATGCTAGCGAATGGCTAGAGCGATAGGGATGGTCAAAGTAGACACAGAGTCGACCCGGCTAAGCCTCTGGCTCTCCTCCTCTTGCTGGCTGCCAATCGACTTCGCCGTACTCACTGAGCACAACGGCGATGCGACGCGGTATGATGCCTGTGCTGGATGGTAATGGAGCTACAGCACCGATCAATATGGACTCGGACGCTCCAGGCAGGGAGAGGACGTGGGTTGCCCTGACTAGTTAGTACCCAAAAAATTGTGGTGCAGTCAACGTTCCAGGTGAAGCAGTACAGCTTCACGAAGAGTGCAGGACAGACTATCAATCAGCAAGGCAGGCCTGGAGTGAACAAGCAAGCAGTGGAAAGACAGCTACGAAGTGAGCAAGGACAGTAGCAGCAGTGGCAGGATGAGGAATTGGATACTAAGTAGTTAATGTATTTGCAGGCAAGTCGAATCAAGAAGAACAAGAACGCCGAACGGTCGACTTTCAATGCACACATGACACACTATTTCGACCGCCCGTATGGAACCACCACTGGCGAAGCCCTCCATCTCTGGGGGGTCGAGTGATGGATGGGCCAAGGGCTCGAAGAACTCCAACCCATTTCATCGCCTATTCCTGAACACTCAAGGGGACCAAGAACTTGGCCTTCAAGCCTCCGCTCGAGTCCCAAGCGAACAGTCGTCTTCTCAACAGCAGCAGCAGCAACAACCACGAGAAGTCTCGACTCTCATCTCTCGAATTCACGGAAACATAGTTAAGTGGGGTGAAGAATGGAATGCAAAGGGAGCAGACCACCTATCTGCACGGCCTGGTTCAGAGCATCCTCGGACCGAGACCCCATCTGCTCTCGCTACTATGTACTGGTGCGCTTCTCCTCATCTTATCTGATAATCAGCGATATCGGTGGCTTGGCTTGGCGGTCGCTTTGGGGAGAAACTCCAGCTCTATCTAGGTAAGTACGTCGTATGTACATGCCTAGCAAGACGGAATTCCACGAGCTTTTCCACGGCGAACGGGGCGGATTGGGCCTCGGACTGGAAACACAGTCCTGCTCCTTCTCGCCCAGCCTGCCGGTGCTAGGCGCCGTTCGTGTATGAGGAGAAATGATTGGGCAAGATGCTGTTGAATGGGGTTGCCGTGGTGTTACCTGCCAGTGGTGCGATGGGGATCACTGATGGGCGATATTGGGAGCGCAAAATTCTGGACGGGCGGTGTCCAGTAGTGGTCATGAATGAGTCATCAATCATGTATCATGTGCTAAAGGCTGGTTCGGGTTCTTGTTCACCTATTCTTTCGCCAATGCCCATTGACTGTTGTTTGCCTGAGGTGAAATCCTGCTGTACGGATACATGTTCAGGGTCGTTAACCGGCTAGTTCATCAAATACAATACAAGTTTAGTCAGACAACATCATCAGCGGGTCACAATATCCAGGGTTAATAGATGGGAGAGAGCAATATATCAATATGGAAGATTATCTTTGAATGGTGAACACAATTAAATTCGTGGGACTATACAGTTATGCTAGTGTTGTAGACAGGGGGGTGAGGACGTATCTAAGTGATGGTTCAGGCACAGTATGTTTGATATTGTACTCTGGGTTCAATAGCTCAGAAGGTCTGGTTCGTTTGTGATGTGAGAATTAAGAAGGGTGCCTTGTTGGCTGGGGAGGTGGTACTGTAGATTTGGTTTGGGCTCTCAAGGCCGAAAAGGCTAGAAAGCCGCCATAGATGCATGCTGTCGGAGATATTGCGCTGCAAGATCTGGAGCAGACGATACACAGTGAAGTGCCATCCGCTTACTATCGTTTCTGTTTGGCAATGCCATCCTTGATGCTGCCCAAAACTTGGTTCCTTGTTGCATCTGTCTTGGATTTGGGTCAGGACAGGGTCGAGATGGGTCGTCAACCAATTCGCGGGCAATCTGATCATCAGAGTCACCTTGCAGAATGTACCGCACATGGTTCTGCACACATTCCGATTTGGATAGAGATCTCTTGTGGCCTCTTGGTAGTCGTCTGAGGTATTCTTCACTAGGTGCGTCGTAGTTTTGAGGTGTGGGGGTCACGCTCTGACTCGCACTGTCCATTTGTGAAGACAACGATAGCAGGATACGGACAGCGCTAGCCTCAAGACCGGTGGGTGGATTGTTATCGGAAAGCTTCGCCACAGGCTCTTCACTGCTGCCATAACCTTCATCATGAAGACTTGCGACAGAGGAGTAATGCTTATTGCTCAAAGATGAAGTACCGATACCATGCGAAGGTGTCGATACTTGCGTCAAGGGTGAGGTGTATTGGCCATTGCCGGACAACTGTACTCGGGGCAGCGTAGAAGGAAAGGTTGACCATGAAGAATTCGAAGATATTGACGAGGATCGTGATCGTGACGTGCCGCAACTGACATCAGATGTTACGGATGCCGGCGAAAAGACAGATGGCGTCGTCGACCTACTGGGGTACTCCTGAATCGTCTCTGCAGGACGTGTCCAAGATCTCACAGGTAAGGCAAACGGCTGTGATCGTGGTGGAGGGCATCGATCTAGATTCGCATTCATCATGCATTGTCGGCGCATACTTCGCAGTGCATCGACTGACGCTGAGCATCTCAAGGCAGATCGACCACCAGGTGTGGATGAATGATAGCCATCTGCAATGGGCGGTGTGCTCTGTGGTGTGGGGAGATTTTTCAACTGTGGTTGGCGGGGAATTGTCCGAGCGGGACTCATTTGCACAGGTGTTTGAGGAGTGTCGGCTTTGGTCGACTCGGTATTTCGTGATCTCAAAGAATCACAAAGACTGATATCGAGAACGGAAGCCATCGAATCCATTTCTGGGCTCGACTCATCCACGTTGTCTGATGATCTCTCGGGATCAGAAGACAATTCGCGATAACCCGGTACAAAGGTCTTCAGAAAGTCTTGGGTGAAGGTCTGATCCTTGACCATCTGAGGATCTAACCTGTGAATAATGTCTGACCACCAATCATCGGTGAAAAGGTTCTGCTCCTGGGCCTCATCAAGATGAAGCGAAGGAACCATGTCAGCTAAAGAATTGCCAGGACTGCCCCCAGAGGTACTGGAGCTTGCATCTGAGAAGTCGGCTTGGCATTGTGGTGATTTGTTGGACAGTCGACTGAGAGAAATGACAATTTTGCTCCAGTTGTCAAATGATTCTTTCGGGATGTGAAGGCTGTAGTCAATGAGATGGAGATAATCTCTCTCATTCTCGTTGATCTCGTTGCTGCGAAGACCAGATATCTTACTCCAGGCTCGAGCCGAGTAGTTACGATCTTGCAGATACTTTGACGCAAGCATGAGAGCTGAAAGGAACATCCGACGACCACACTGCATCGCACGGCATTCTCGTTCCCGGGATTCTCCAGGAGAACTACGAGAGGTTTGTTCCAAAGCGCCCGTGGGTAGTCGGGCCTTGAGGAGGACAAGGTAGAAGAGTGCGACTTGCAAAGTTGAGTAGCTTGCCCTGGAGCGTTTCAAGGTCTCTTGAATGAAGACTCTCAAAGGCAAAACTCCTGCTCCATTGAAGCAAGTCGACATCATTGGGGGCGAAGCCGACAATGGCCAGAATGCTGTGATGAGTCTTGTGGCAAAAATGATTAATAGTGTCACGAAATGGTCCGTACATTCGGTATCTCGGGTAAGCTTGCATGGTGGGGATTGGCCCTTGGTTGAAGCGCTCCTCCGCCGATTGCATTTCTGGAGTTGAGGCTCGGAGGCTTTTCTTCGAGGAATCGAGTCGCTCCGACTGTTCGAACATCGTTCAGAGCGTTCACGAGAGATCGAATGGTGAGCTACAGGTGGTGGGCATCGATCAACAGAGACGACGCTCTGGGTTGCGGTGCCTCCCAGGTTCCCTGCTTTGGTGAGTCTGATCAGGTGCTCCTGAAGCTTTGCGGGGTACTCTTCTTTGGAGCGGCAGGTATCTCGATCCTCTTCGTCCAAGAAATCGGTTGGGTCGGTAGCATTTGTGGAATATGTGTGAATCGATGAATCTGAAGAGTAAGAATCATGGTTGGAATCGGTCACACTGACGGAATCGTCAGGAGAAATAACACTGTGTTGATCGACATCGCTGCGGTCGGACCCGAGTTTGTAGTGTGGTTGAGGCCACGGCTGTTGTTGCTTTACAGATCCATAGTATGAGCGAGTGCTCGATTGAAGCCAGTCGGAGACGTGAGCAGGAACCTTCTGTCTGAGACCATGGTTGAGGGGATCAATAAAATTCTCGCTGCCCATATTGTGCAGCGGGTGATTTTCCAAACCTCGAAATTGAGGAATGAACAAGGATGAAGATGGCGACTTGCTATCTTCTGCGAGTAAGAACAAAGTTGAAGTACCAGGAGGGAGACTGGGACTTGAGATGGTCTGTGTCGAACCACCGCGAGTCAGAGAGCAGATTGGCTGTTTCTTGATACAAGACGACTTGATAGAAGAAGGACAGTGTTGACAATCGAAGAGAACCCGTTCAAAGTTGGATGTCTCTGGTAACACTGTCCTCGATCAAGAACAAATGGTCCTGGATGGGGAGGATCAAAACAGTATGCGACTCTGGCGGTGGACTTCGACGAGCAGAAAGATCTTGTGATATGTTAGGTATAGACCACCAACTCATACTTGCTTGTGATGTCGGATTATGACTGGATGTGAGTGGAGATTCGGGGTATGAAAGGTGCCGGTAGCGTTGGAGGACGACCAGGCACTTATCGGCAGGGTGTTGGAAGTGATTGAGCGATAGGTGTTGGCTGCGAACAGGCGTGAACAGATTGTATGTGTCGTTTGAGGTAGATACTAGATTCGGTGGTGTGAAAGTGAGATGGGATTCAGGTGGCGGATTCGGTCAAGGTCGAGCACGTCTTTCGGCGTACAAGGGTGGTGGTGGTGATTGGCAAAATGAGGAAGATCTATGAAAACAGAGTCTGAGGCAGACATTGCGAATTGAGTCAGTATGATGCTGTTTGATTCATCCATGGTTTGCGCAATTGTGCTCTTCTTTCTTGAACCGGTCCGTGGCAAATGGTGCGGCCTCGGATTGAGAGTTGAGTGTTGAGATGCTTACAGATGGACAACCAAAGGCACAAAAATGTGTCTTGCGTGTGAATGCGGTGAATTGTTGATCTAGATCACAGGAGGATCGAATACCGTGCAGCGTGTGCTGCATATCGTGAATTGGGTCATGTTGGCTCGTTGGTAGAGAAGGAAATCGGGTAACAGTGGTCGGCGGGCCTGGGGTGCTATATGGCAGAGGCAGAGGCAGAGGCAGAGGCGGACGGGCGAGGGCTGGGCGAGGGTCGGGGGTCGAGGGTCGAGAGTTGTGGGCAGTTGCCACACTGCGCCGCTCTGATCATCACCGGATGACTCAAAACCCCAAGTCCAAGTCCAATTCCAAGTCCACTGGGCAAGTGCAGGTGCGAAACCCGCCTTCGCCGCCCAACTCGACCTTCCCAAACCAAAACCCAAACTCAGCCAGGCCCTCCTCGTAGGTACCCATCTCCATAAGCTGCCATCAATAATGCCAACACCCTCACTGCCAGGCAGGCCGCGACACCATCCATCACCGGGTTGCATCCACACTGCCAGGCAGGGAGATGATGTAGAGTCACTCGTTACTGAGTCTAGTTGTACAGAGTCTGATAACAGGACACCGTTGTAAAAGGAGTCCCTCTAATTCATCTCATCAACATCCATAAAATCACTTCCTGGCTCTATAATAGAACGCTTGCCTTGCGCTGTGCCTGTCTTGAGGCTACGAATTTTGGTCTGCCTCCTTACTCTCCTTACTATGACTAACTACCTAGGTAGCTGGTGGTTGGCGGCAATAACTATTGATTGCTTCCTAACAGCTCGCATCGCATCACATCACTGATTCTTTCCTCAAGATCAACCTTTGATCAGGTCTCAGCATGGCATCTGGTACTCCCGACTCTGATCGATCTGGGAAAGCATGTGTAACACGATCAGAGACGTAGCAGCCACGAGAGATGCAACACGAAAAAGCAAAGCAACCATTATTGGTGCACCACCACTTACAACAAATCACGGCATCTCGCTGTCCAGGATCAAATGCGAATCGAACCAGTCAGGATCCCTCGTAATTATGAATCATCGCCAGCCTGATTCGCCCCCAGGGCCTAGGGCCGACAATCTTTCGTTGGCCAGTGCCACGAGAAGGTTGTGGTGTGGCCCTTGCACTCTGGGCAACCTGGAACTCCTCCCTCTGCTGCCTAGGAAAATTCAAATCCATCCCCAGAATAAATTGTGACTCAAAGCACTTGGTTTAACCATGGGCGGCAAAATTCCCAGGCTGCGGCAAACGCCACTTCAACTCAACCACTTTTCAATATTTCAGCATGGCTAGTCAAGGCTATGAGTGGGGAGTCAAAGCTTTCTGACTCTTCACGTGCATGTCTTTCGTTTTGTCCACGCTCAGCTCGCAAAGAACACTTCAATGTGGTCAAGAATAGGTAATCAAGCTGCGCCCAAGAGCACTTAGTTTTGGGGCCAGCTCAGCTCGGAGCCTTCGTGACTCTCGACTGACAAACGCCTACGTAGTAATCACGCAGGCACGGTGATGCAGTCCACCGTGGCTGCCCTTACAGTATCATTCGGCCGTCTCTGAACCTGAGAACTGTCCTGCGAGAGCGGCGCAGCTCCATTTGCTCTGAGTCCAACATCCGGATATGTCACCTTCGCCTTTGGGTTCCGAACTCTACTCTTGACTCGGTCCTCGTACTCAGGGGAGCCTAAAGGGTCCATCCATTCTTGGCTTAATCATACTTTCCTACCTGTTCCGAGAATACCTGTTTGTTGCCTAAATCCCGTCTCACCAACCATCAATTTTGAATTTATGGGTTTATGAACACTTACGTTGTCAATCTTGTACAAACTACGGGTGAAGATCTCCATACCTGCAGGCAAGATGAGAATAGGCCTAGTCTGAGTGTCGAAGATGGTTGTTAGCAGCCAAGATCATCCAAGCGAATGATACTCGTCGATCACGTGCGTGTCACGTGAGGTGCATAATTCTGCACAAGTTTGCCCTGGGGCCATCAGACAGACCAAACTGGCACAGTTTGTCATCAGCTTGTGACCTTCAACCGACACCCGTGGTAAATGTCCCGTGGCAATCGGCTTACACTGGCTTGCTTCCATCACCGCCGCTGCATCGCGTCAGAACAGCTGCCCAATCCGAGGCCCTTTGGTGTGTTTCGTCAGAAGTTTCAAAACGGACGAAACAAAACGCCTTGTGAGACCTAGGTACTTACTCAGGTTCGTCCGGATGAACAGGGACGAACTTCTCCCTGTCTTGATCTGGTCGTTTATCTCATCTCCATCGAAGATCGGATAAAATCACTACAGATGCGTCATGAAGCATGCCTTCTCGTGGTGCATAGTAAAGCACGACCTTTCGGAGCGGGCTCTCAAGTCATCCCGTCGCCGTACTTGTACCACACTTCTCGCTGATTTATTCTTCGGCCGACAGTGGTGCTTACTCTGATGAAGGATTATCGCATCGTCAACTTCGACCATATCGCCGCATGATCGTTGCACCCACCTAGGCACAGTCCTCCAATGACAATATCGGCTGTGCACACCTTCAGTCTTTCCAGAATGTAGGTCCTGTCTTCCAGAAATCAACTATGTTCACTGCTCGCGAATGTGGGTTCTTTACAGAGGTCGCTACTCGTCGGCCGTGACGACCCACGAACAAAGTAATCAGCAAGCTCCTCAGCGTCATGCGCGTGTCCCATCTGGTCTACACTCGCGAGTCGGTAGTGAGATACTTCCTTTAATGAACTAAGCTCCGTGAACTTCCCCAGAAGCATTCACTCGTCCAATACCACACATACTCTGCCTGTCGCTATGCGCGCCCTGTTGCTATCTAGGTTGGTCATCAATAACATCTACCGGACTTACTTTTGTCTTGCCCACCAGAAATTGCTCCAGACAGAACCAGATCCCACTTACATGGTCTGGACAATTGCAGACCCACCGTCTGACATGATGAGATGGCGTATTCGCATCATCTTTTCTCGGTGTGGATGTCACTGATTCAGTTCTCAGAGAGTCGTGGGCGAGAATATCATGTCTGCCTAATCGTGAAACACGTGACCAGCCCATACGCCAATCAGATCCATACTCCTTGCTGGTGCTGATGTTCGTGGCCAACCTACCGCCTTGGCCTTGGATGCTACAATGGACGATCCTGAGCATCACCAAATCGTCTGCCTAGTCGTAGAGGTGGTCCGAAGAGGCCGGTGACCCCAGAACCAAGTGGAACGCTGTTTGAAGAGCAGTGGCGACTACGATGTGTGGACGGGCTGCGTGCGGTCCACCAGCTAGTGAGTGGCGTTCCATGACTCTCTTGATGTGGTGTTTCTCGCACAGGAGTTTACAGCAGCTCGTTGTTTGACACATGCAGTGTACGGCGCACGAAAAATGGAACCGGTGAGTCGTCAACCCCGAGACTAAATCAGACTCGTACGGCGGCGGCAGCAACATGATTGAATCGAATTTGGCAGCCTCGCCTGTCCCCAATGGTAAGTTCGATCGAAGTACGTTGTTGCCCATGTCATGCTCGAGGACCTATGATCTTGGCCAATTTGAGATTTGGTCAAACACAGCTCGAGATCTTGCGGGGTATGGAACGACGATGATATTTGTCAAAGACGTGTTTAGTTAGCAGGGCGCAAAGAGTACACAGTCACCTGCCGTTGTGTGTCGTGGGATTTGGCCTCGAGCATGTCGGCCAAGAATAGCGAGAAATGCCATGACTGAACTGCATTCAAACAATTCCAAGAAGTAATCGGGGGTATAGAATAATCCTTCCATTTCTATCGTGCTTTTCTATAGTGGGATCATGGTTTGATGCGCGGGGAATTGGAGATATACTTCATATCCGCCGTCTCTGTCGCTCCACAGACTCTTTTGGTCCCCGATACCTCTCTATCCAGACCGCAATTGTTGTTCGCAAATATTCTTACAACCCAAAAGTCCCAGCCCGAGTACGCGATCTTTCGAAAGCCGGTCGTTTGCGGACGGTCGTTCTTCGATCTGTCCTTTGTTCGGTCTAATGACCGACAAAAACCTCCCATCAATGGCACCTCACCAATTTTACATCGATCATATCTTGGGCGTGGTATCATAATAGTGTGCCATCTCCAACCCGGCCCTCTTGAACCCGCACTTGACGTAGAAACCTTCATTGGCCTCGCTGCAGTCGAGAATGCTCTTATAACAGCCGACCTTCTCTGCAACAGAGTCGAGAGCCTGGATGATGCGCAGCCCAAGTTTCTTGCCCTGTTGATTCTTTGCAACGGCAATATCCTCGATGTGTCCGACCAGTCCCATGTTGTGGATGAACTTGCGCTCGACGATGACGGCGCCCGTGCCCACCACGGTCCCGGACTCGTCGCAGATCACCAGGATGTAGTACGTGTCGTTGCGAGAAGAGATGAAGTCGTATCGGGCATCGAATTCTGCTTGTGTGGGTTCGCCGACGGTCGTGAGCACCCTCAGTGTTGGAAGGTAGCCTATTGTCCATTTGGTCAGTCACTCTGCAGTCATTGCATTTCCATCCCATTGCCTCCTATTCTGGATGGGATGTGGGGGTCTAGTAGTGGATCTCTAACATACCTCCAAAGTAATCACTCCTTCTCAACGGCCGGATGGTATAGCCCGTGGGCAAGGTGGCCTTGGTCTCATCGCTGATGAGTGTGGGAGAGAAGAGAGGTGTGTCATCTTGATCTGCAGCTTCTGAAATCGCAGCTGCGTAAGCCGGTAATGTAGGTTCCGACGGTGCGATTGTGGTCGATGCTTGTTTCGTTTCTGCAGGCGTGGGTGTGGGTGTATGTTCAGAGGCAACACCGTTACTGAGGATGCCGTTGGTCTGAGGGATAGCGGTTGTGGGGGGTTCCGGAGAGGTCATTTTGTTCACGACTTCTGCTGCGGGCAATGTTGTTGTGGGTATGGACGTTTCCGTAGATATCTGCGACTCTGCCATGATGAGAGATTGTCAAAGGGATGATCGACGGAGTAGGATATGGGAGAGCTGAGCTGAGACAGGCGCTCGGAGGAGGTTCAGTCAATAGTCAATGAAGGGGCAATGCTCTGATGTGTATTTCGGCGACCGAGTTCAGCGATGAAGAAGGTTTTGGAACACTGAAGAAAGTAGGGATGGAGGAACGAGTGTAGACGTATACTTGGTGATTGTGGAAGGAGGGTTGTTGAGCTGCTAGATCTTCAACAACAATGGAGTCAGCTCCCGGCCTGACAGAACTGCAAGCAAACCCAGCCTGGGGTCGGTATGCACAATTGAGGCTTGAAACATTTTCTGGACACAGCCTCGGTTAGACTCTCCATGCGATCTTCAGGGGTGCGCCTATTAATAACCGAAGCTTCCACACATGCTTAACACTTTTACTGAAACTGAGGTTTAGACATCTGCTTCGTTCTATCTGAATCTAAGTTGCTACAATCTCTATTAGGTCTATTGATGCAGAAATGTAATTCGATCTGGTGCATCCTCGGTCAACGAGCATACCGACCTGAAATCCCCAAACACTTCCCTTCGCGATCCAATAAAGTCTTGGAAGTAATCCAGTTCAACCGCATGCTCGATTTCTTCGGCCGGTGGTAATCCAGGTGGTCTCACAAATCCGTCATTAAGAACAAGTCGCACAAACCGAATTTTCCTGTCGTCTATGGTTTCACAGACGATCCGTTCCAAAACTAGTCGCCCTCCCATTGGGACCACGTCGCTTGTCCTCCAGTGCCGATCAGTCTTAACATGGTCGGTTGGCAGTTCTTGCTCCACCAGCGGCTCATTCAGAAGTTGCAACGTAGCCAAAACTGGCACGATATCGCCGTCATGGACGAAACTGAAATACGCATCCTCGGATGACTCATTCATCAAGAGTCCTCTTGTTGCGTTCAACCAAAGCCATCCCATAGCTCCAGCGTAGTCGTTCCCTGGTCCTGCTCTGTAGAAGTGCAAGACGTCTCGAGCATATTCAAAGTCCAGCCATTCTTGATGCGAAAAAACCTCACACCATGGGCTCGAACCCCTCGCCAGAATCTCAAACCCACACATCTCCATCATACTGTAAACGTCGTACATGGAAAATTCCAGGCCGCTTGCATGTTTGGCCAATCTTTCTGCGATTGGCTTTGTAAACCTAGATTGCCATTGCGCAAGCATTGCGTATCCGGCGTCGTGGCCCCTGGTTGTATCTCGAATGTATCTCCAACACGTGTCTCCAGGTGTCAGGGTATCGCCAGCTCGGTCCTCGGTTTCGGGGATGATTTCGAGCTCAGCGGCATTTTGAGAAGCCCATTCGGGACCAAAAAACCCATCAGCAAAGTTTCGAGCGGTCTCTATGTCTCGTTCAGAGCCACAAGACCAGAACTTTGTGCGTCGGTTCGTTGGGATCAAGTGGTCGTATCGTTGGCGAAATAAGTTTCCCGTGTTATGTGCCTGTAGAGTTCCAGCATAAGGGCCACTGGCGGTGAGGTTCTCAAAAGCAGGATCACTCGGATCTGTGAAATATTTCCACGATTCCAAAAAGGATAAAGGACCGTCCAAGGTAATATCAGGGTCGTGCAGGCGACTTAGCAGTTGTAGATGTCGCGCACCTGCATTTTTCGTCGGGTATCGCTCTCCATGTCTCGACAACATGTGAACCTGATCAATTCGACATGCGCTCGGGAGTGGTACATCTGAATAGGCAACCGAGTTTCTTTTAGGTATCCAGGGGCCATTACCCCCAAGGTGATAAAACAAATCCCAGTTGGCCGATGAGGCGACCTCACATCTCAAGACTACCCTCAGAGATTTAGACGTAGAGCAAAGTCTATTCCTTATGTTGCATAAGGTTGGGAACAGTAAATATGCAGAAAGAGAAATGAGTACGATCCAAGACAGATGGCGACGTACTCGCCGAGGGGGGACCATTGGAGGAGAATGCAGAGGGAGAAATGCCAGTTTACTGTCAGGATGCATGCTTTAGAAAGAATAGAGAAAAGAAAAGAACGACTCTTAGCACCTCACATGACTATTCTTATAAATTCAGAGAAGGTGGTGAAGCAAACTGAATGCATGAAAAAGATAGACAAAGACGGTGAACTTGAAACCGCTTGGAAGTCAGGAATAAATTTCTTGGGTCCTCCTGCCCGTGTAACGACTTCACGCTAACGTCAACCCATTCAATTAACCATATTCCTATCTCCGTCTTGTATCAGGGCGGAGTTCAAGAAAACCCATTTGATGAGGAGCGCTCAATAAACATCGAAGTCGTATGTGATAGCAAAAGCGTGAGACCAAATTTTGTGACAACAGAAGCTTCAAGGCTGCCTCAGTAATGAACCGGGGGTGATGGACAATGGCGCCTCCCCTCCCCAAGTCCACGAATGACATACACTGCCACTTACACCGGCGAGATGGCCGTGGTAAAGCCGTGGTGCATCCCCTGGTGTTCTCTGTGTCGTCAAGGTGCGGAGAAATGCGACAGATTTCAGAAGCGGTCGGCTCGGGCTTGAGAAGCCGATGTTGATATGATGCCAGTGCAAAGGGCTTTATCAATGTTATGAAGTCCTGAGTTATTCTCCTCCTGTCACACATTAAACTGATTTTTACCTAGCGACCATAAGCCCTCGACATGGGCTCAGTACCAACAGCATCGATTTCTGGGGGTTCCCATACTTTTCCAGCGCCGAAGCCTGGGATTTATGTCCCTGCTGTAACTTTCTTCGACCCCGAAACTGACACTCTCCGACCAACGGAACAAGCAAAATACTATTCTTATCTGGCAAGTACTGGTCTAACAGGTCTCGTCATCCTGGGCACCAATGCAGAGACCTTTCTGTTGACTCGAGAGGAAAGAGCGACCCTCTTGAAACTGGCACGTCAATCTGTGCCAGACAATTACCCCATCATTGCCGGTGTTGGTGGTCACTCTACAGCCCAGGTGATCGAGTTCATAGGGGACGCCCATGCGGCTGGAGCAGACTACGTCCTCGTTCTCCCAGCGGCGTACTTTGGGAAACAGACGACACCCGCTGTGGTCAATAACTTTTACACTGCGGTTGCAAAAGCCTCTCCACTACCAATTCTAATCTACAACTTTCCAGCAGTGTGCAATGGTTTGGATCTTGACTCCGACACCATCGCTGCACTCGCCCAAGCGAATTCTAATATCGTGGGAGTGAAGCTCACCTGTGGTTCCGTTGGTAAGATTACTCGATTGTCCGCAACATTCGAACCCGAGAGGTTTGCCATATTCGGTGGCCAATCCGATTTCTTGATTGGGGGATTAGCAGCAGGAAGTGCAGGTTGCATAGCTGCGTTCGGTAACATCTTCCCCAAGACTCTGGTCAAGATCTATGAACTCTGGAAGGCAGGCAAGCATGATCAAGCATTAGCACTGCACAGATTGGCGGCACACGCTGAAAGCCCTACTAAAGCGGGGATCGCCACGACGAAATATGCTGCAAGCCAGTTCAGCGCGAAAGCAGCCGGTATTCCAGGAGATCTGGAGGCCTTACTAAGGCCCCGGCAGCCATATGAAGAGCCGGCAGCCGCAGTGAAGAAAAAGATCGTCGAGGTCATGACACCACTAGCAGAGGTTGAGGTTACCTTGTAGCCGTGGGTGAATATGCCTGGGTATCTTGTTGAGATCTTGGACATGTTCAGTTGTCCTACTGCAATTCTTAAATTCGAGAATGCTCAAATCTGTTTGAAAAGAGTAAAACACCAGCAATCTTCGAATTGAAGAATGGACTGGTATGTTAGACTATCTGCTCCAAGCACGTTAGGTACCCTCGAATTATCACGTGCGGTGGTTTTAGGGGTGATGGCAAGCTCCTAAGATAGGAGATTGGACAGAGACCTGCAGAGCATCTTTTCCAAATGCGAATTGAATGGTTGTTGCTCCTCCGATTCCGCCGCATCGTTCATACGTGTGACACTGACGCCGCGACGTGAAATGGAGTTGGCAACCGCCATCCTAGGAATATACCTCTTACTCTCACTAGTCTTGGTGAATGGTGGACGAGAATTCATGATCATGTCAGCCGGGAAGCAGACACTGGCGCAATCCCCAACTCGTCTTCTCCAGACCGCGAATGAACAGTACGATACTGATGTCCCTGGGGTGCCGACGGTTCCGAGGAAATACGCCTCACCAAGTTGCTGGGTCATCAAAAGCACTAGATAGGTGACGTTGCCTCCGTATTTGGCGTCGCTTTTTGACCAGTGGATTTCCGTGCTTCCCTTCCGAGTGATCCATGAACCGAGTAGGTACTCATGGCGTTGCTCATCATACCATCCTCCTCTTCAAGCAGCTGGGACTGAGATTGATCTCTTCACCACTGCAGACTTCTGAGGTGACTTCTAGTCAACCGCTTCCAACATCATCAGCTACTTTGAGACCGAACATCCTTCTGCAATAGCAGCAAATCGTATCATCTTCCATTACTGTCCTGTTTATTATTACAGTCATCGGCATCGTCCTCATAGGTAAGTCGGTAGCTGAAGAAGCAGGAATAGGATCCTTCTTCAAGAAGCCAGGCAACGACGAACCGTCGACTCCACCAGAGAATGAACTGCAAGCACTGATTCACGACGAGGTCCTCGTGGCTGCCACCAAACTCAGCAAAGACCTGGCAACTGCCACTCAGCAGCTTCGCGATGTTCAAATGATCAAGCCTCTCCAGGAAACGACTAGTAACCGCCAAGCAGAACCTACAGTATAGACATCAGATACCAGAGTGCAGCAACGAAAATCCAAGCAGATGCGAAGCCTCTACGCTTCTAGCATCAAGAAGCAGATGAAACGGCAGCCCTCATGCAAGCAGGGTAAGTCGAAATGGAGCTACGAGGGCGTTGTACCGAACGTGAGGTGTTTTGCTCAATGTTTGGCTTTGAGCTCGCGGACAAACCATTCAGGCAGAAGAAGATCACAAGTTCTGAATTCGACAGGTTGTTCGGTGACATCAGTCCTTCTTGCCGATACAATAGTTTAAGGACCACGCGGGAACATATGAATGTTCATTGGAATGAAAGTGTCAGGGACATATCGCATTCGAGGGAGAAAGTCAGATTTGAGAGGACAAGCAGGCAAGCATTACCGCCTTGCTATCGCCGTGGGACATCCCAGGAGAAGCCGATGGCCTGTTGTATGAGCGTATGGTACAGATGGGTATCCGGTTCGTCAGTATCGCCAGTCGTGGAGAAGTTCTTGATGTCCGAATACCTTACTGAGTATCTCGTTTGGCATAACTTTTAAGCTCTCACCCACAGGAAGAACAAAGCTTAAATTCAATACTCGGAGTTGGTCCGTGGAAAGGCCATGTATGTTATTCGACGGGTTCTTCATTCTCAATCAATGTTCTGTAGCGCTATCCGTACATGTGATGGACGTTCAATTTATTGAATAGGACCACGACTATGGCCACATTCGACCACATGGTAAGGAGCATAGAAAATAAATAGGGAATTCTTTCTGTTTCCGGAGCACAGATACAAATAACGTATGATTCATGAAGATCACCATCGTCTTGCTATCAGTGACCCAAATCCTGATCTGGATAAGAGAAGGTTGCCGGTTCCTTGACGGATGGTGGGAGCTTTTCCAATCTAGTCGTGACGGGCGCGAGCGATAGGCATCATAGTCACCGCCCCGGCCCATTAAGCGTCCAAGTCAAAGCCTGGAAGTTCGCTATTTGCTGCAGGGCCACGAGGTGTGCCCACTAATGCGATGGGCTATTAGCTCCCGCAATTAGCTCACTGACTCGCGCCCGGTGGTTCCTTCCATGCACCTCTTTTGGTGGTCACAATCACTGGCAGTTGTTCACTTATCGGCTTGTCGGTCCTCAATCTCATCGACGTCCACAAGGCAAAACAAGCCATCAACTCCCACCATTGTCCTTCCTTTCCATGTCACTCTGGAGTGTATGATCAATTTCACGTCTCATTTCCACCACCAAGCACTCTGTGCAGAACCGAACCAAACACCACAGGAAAACTCACCCATCTGACGCAAGTCTGCAGTGCAGGTGTTGCGTTCGGTTGTTCAACTAGAGGATCCATTCAGCAAACCCTAGCCACCTGTGGCACCCACTTTTAATGCAAGAGGCTGGTCTTCCATCTTGATTCCATACCGATACGAGTACTAGTACTCGCTACTGGTCGTATATGAACCTCACCCAGCCTCTCAAAAACGCATACTTTGTCCCACACGAGTTTTACGAAATTTCCACAGCAGCCACGCATCCGTATCACAGGCCTGGCGCCATTGCCACGTTGCTGGCACCATGGCGTCGGTGCACAAACAGTCAGCCTTGTCATGGCTAACCATTTGGTCAACTCTGTTCACGCTGCTTGCATTCAATGTGATAGGCACCACAGCTGCAGATGAGATCAGGTGGATCAAGTACACTGGAAATGATGGCATCGTTTGGCTAGATGATGCTCGCAGACCTTCATTGTATACTCAGAATTTTGGTGACTGTCAGGGGGACTCCCTCATCAACGTCACCCGCTTCGACGCGGCTTATTACAAGGATAACATGACTGTGCTCTTTCACTTGGAAGGCAATTCTGCACTTGCCAACGAAGATTTGATGCGTGAGTTACACTTCCCAGATTAGGTGCTGACATCCGCTAATCTAGCACTTCCAGTGTATATCGGAGTTTTCGCTTATGGCGAGTCTCGCTTCAACCTTACCTTCAATCCTTGCAATGCCAATATCGACAGCTTGTGTCCTCTCAACTCTTCAATTCCGATAACTGCGAACGGTATTATTCCAGTAGCACCATCAGATGTCGCTAACATCCCATCGATCGCGCTGACTATCCCCGATTTTGAAGGCCAGGCCATCCTGCGAATCTTTGCAAATTCCACCGAGTCTCAGATAGCGTGCTTCTCAGCTGTCGTCACTAACGGAGCCACCTTCAGGCACACTGCCGCTGTGTCCTCGGTTTTGGGACTGTTCACAGCCGTTGCACTGCTGTCGTCATTCGCCGTTACAATATACGGCCAGAGCATTCCTGAGACCAGGAAACACTATGCACATTCCATTTCAATCTTTGTGGTTTTCTCCGTTTACCAGCATATTTTCTTTACTGGAGGACTCTCTATGAACTGGCCCAGTGTCTTGGTCTCGTTCTGGAGCAACTATGCATGGTCGGCTGGTATAATCTACAACCAGAAAATGCAGAACTCGATCAACCAATTCATCGGTGGAAACCGTGGAAATATCAGTATGGTGGGCGCTGCCCAAAGTGGTGAAAATGCGGTTGGTCTTGGTGGAGGATATCAGATTTCTCAAATCTACAAGAGAACATCAGCGATCCTTTTTGAACCTGCGAGCACATTTCGACTGCCAGACTTTGAAGATGTCCTCAAGCGAAGACAAGTCGCAAACAGCACAGGACCCTCCTGGTATGGTGCCCCTGTGTACCCCGGACTGCCGCTGCCAGGAAATTATTCAGGCTTCGCAGGAACTCTGGGTCAGATGGAGATTCCGGCATCCAATGCCTTTTTGACTGGATTGTTGTGGTTTCTGATTCTCATTGCCTGTTTAATAGCACTCGTTGTGCTCATAAAGCTGGCCATTGAGTGCTTGTCCAAGCTACGCTGGATCAACAGTGACCGCCTTGGTTTCTTCAGGAGGCACTGGATTTGGTTTACTGGTGCGCTAGTGCTGCGAGCTTGTTACGTTGCGTTCTTTATGATGATGTTCCTCACAATGTTCCAATTCACCTTGGGAGGTGCCACGAGTGTAAAAGCAATAGCGGCGGTGACGTTTGTGGCCTTCCTGGTCGGCATGCTAGGTGTCACTGTGTATGCACTATGGTATAGAACAAAGTCCGAGCGGCTATCGGAAGAGTCAAGATCTGCGGGAAAGGCCGAAACCTCGATACCACAACCCAGTGATGATCCTGAACAAATACAGAAGTCCCCCAGTTGGATACAGCGCCACCTATCTAATCTGGACTCTGGACTCGTCCACGTGCATGATGATGAAATCTACACAACAAAGTTCGGCTGGCTAGCCTCGAGGTTTCGTCGCAGTCGATGGTGGTTTTTCTCGGCCTGGCTGCTGTATGAGCTAGTAAGGGCTGCTTTTTACGGAGGTGCTGCAGGCCACCCGTTGATCCAAGTCTTTGGGCTTTTGGCTTGGGAAATCATTGCGCTGGTTGCGATCGTTCTTTTAAAACCATTTGAGAGCAACCGCCTCAACATCCTCATGGTGTACCTTTTGGGATTCAGTAAGGTCTCCACAGTTGCTCTTTCATCGGCATTCGACCCCAGATTCAAACTCGCCAGAATCCTGACTACGGTCATCGGGGTTATCATCATCGTCATTCAAGGTCTGCTCACTATCTGTCTAATGATTGCTATTGCTCTTGGAGCCATTTCGAGCTACATGTCTCTCACAAGGTATCATGAAACGATAAAGCCAGCGTCATGGTTGAAGAACCGTACTCGTTATTTGGCACACATAGACCAGAAGGCTACTGACCAACCCAAGCCTCCACCACCACCGCCGCCACCAGAGCCGGAGTTCCCCAAGGAACCATATTTTACAGTATCTACTGTTCGCAGACAGCCAAAGATTTCCGATGAAGATCCCGATGATCCAGAGGATACTGCATCGACGAGGCAATCAGTCGAACCGGGAATGGGTGAAAACAGCGTCGCTAATCTGCCTCGTAATTCCTCAGTGCGATCTCGACCCAGTTCATCGACCTTACCATATGGAGCGAGGGTGCATAGAACAAGCTGGAGCACTCGAGATTTCCAGCAATTGGACTTGAATACAGCTTCGAATGCCCCTCACTCTCGCATGAGCATGGACAGCTTGCATGATGTTTCCATGAGGCATCGTGCGGCTAGTCTGAGAAATACCTCACGAGATTATCCTGATACGATAGTCTCGAATGTCGCGCCGGTTGAGGGGAACTACAGAGGACACGGTAGAACACAGTCTATGAAATATGCGCCGAAGCGGAACAGTTCCATTGTGGACGAGGAAAAGGAAGCTGATATCGACGCGATAACACCACGGTAGTGTACGACTTTGATGAACATATCTTAAAAAAGGGACAATATGCGATAAGACCTGCCGTGCAGGATCTGATTCCAGGTTTTTATGCATCAGATACAGGAGTATTATGTCTTTAATTCTATCGTGAGTATTGGCAATCAGGTAGCTAGCATCTCATGGCGCAGGTTTTGGGGACACACGTGTCCCGGAGGATGGTAAGCTGGACATACCCTACCTTGATAGGATCAACAGCCAAATATGTGATTCTCCAGAGACATGTCCAAACTGTAAGGATTCTGTCTGCTACTTTCCGGAAGCACGCAAGGGGCTGAAGGTCGTGAAGCACATATGATGAACAACGAGATCGCCATTTTTGTCTATTGGGTCCACCCATCCATTCTTGAGCTACATGCTTTTGGTCTGTAACTGTACTCTACTAGAGGCTGTGGAGAGATGTCTTCCATCATCATCAGCTGGCCTCTCTATCATACGCTTCGCACCGAGAGATCACTTTCACCACAACGCCCCGCCCGGGCTTTCAAATGATCACCATCCCATATTATTATCCCCTGTGCATGTATCTACTGGGAAAAACCGTCCCCATCACAGCGTCATATAAGCCTGCAGAACCTTTGTTGCATCGGGGCTCAGCGTCGCGTTGACCGTCTGTCCGATCCTGCCGTTGTGGCGCTGGTCCGCGGCCTTGAGATACTGGCCGACCCATTTGCGCAGATCCGTCACCTCGGCGAAGGGGTCTTTGACTGGTGGGCGCACGGTGTTGAGCTGTGTGAAGCCGACGCCGAAGCCCGAGTCTTCGACGTCGAGTTCGGTGATGTGGTCGTCGGCCTTGGGGGGCAAGGGGGGGTCTTCAAGCAGTTTAAGCAGTGCGTTGCGTGTTAGGGGCCAGCCCTTGGGATAGCGGGTCACGAAGGCTTGGGAGTCGGCAAGGGTTTTGGTGAAGGATATGGCTGCGACTTTGCGGTCCAGAGGGCGGGCGAGTTCCTGGGTTTTGGGTAGGATGATGCTGAGGTACAGCTGACGGAAGATGTCTTGCTGAACGCGATCGGTGGCTGCGATGAAGAAATCGGCTCCGAGTCCCTTGTCGTCTCGTGATGATACAAAGTGGTAAAATCGGATGAATTTGGATGTGAACGACTGGGTCTGTTTGTTTTGCAGACGTGCGAGCATGATGTTCAAGATTTGTACCCAATATTGATCCAATGCGGCGGGTGGGAAGGTCGAAATGACACCTTCCAGCAAATCAAACCCGAAATTTTCGTAGACCTTGGTCGATACCAACTTCTGGAAGATTCCCAGGACGTGTTCGACTTGGTTGCCACTGACCAATTGTTGTTGGGCTCGAACAATGATCGCTGAAAGAAGCCTTACCAGAGCTGGAACATTACCACGCTGCTCCCATAATGTGGGGGCGATGATTGGCGCGATCAATGGCTGATACTGATCAGGTAAAGGTTTTGATGGCTCAGCCTCCAGCAAAGCGGCCATCAACTGGAAGACGTAAGGTATAAATTCCTCGACACCACCCGATAAGATGGCGACTAATGGGTTGAATAGAACGGCCCCCAAGGCTTCTGACTGCGCTGCTGGGGTGAATCTGATAAGGGCGCCAATGCTTTCGAAGTGATAGTAGTAGAATCTGGGATTGCTGGGATTTGCTGAAATGATGGTTGTGATGGTTGTGAGATGCTGTAAGACGCTCTGAGCCACGGCAGAGATACCCTCTTTGATGACTATCAAAACTCTCATAATACAGCGCATGAGGAATTCATTCTCTTGGATTTTTTCCGGCGCTTGATCTTTCTCAATGAGACTAAAGAGATGCTCGAGCAGGCTTGGTGCCAGTGGCGTGATATTGGATGTATCGATGACTGGCTTGCCAGTGTCGTCCGTCAAAGCCAGCACCCTCTCGACTGCCACAGCGGCGTATGTGTACACGCAATAATTTGGGTTTCCGAGGTGATTGACAAGGAGAGGCATGACCGACTGCCACTGGTCTTTTGTGATGACACTTCTGAAAACGTACAGGTATTTAATGGCATCAACCTTGAGCAGAGGATGGGTATCATCGTTTTGCAGATCGAGAGCGAGGTTCTTCGAGAAGAAGTCGCCAATGTCCACGAGGCTATTTGTCTTGGTGACGCCATGAGTAGAGGTCGTGACACCTTTGGATGCAAGCGCAAAGAACAAACTGACAGCCATGTCCTTGGCTCGCCAATTCTCTTGTGGGTTACGCGAAAACTCGTCCAGGGCTTTTTGGACATAAGTCATGGCTATACCTGTCACGGATTGTTCAAATTGGTCACTGAGTTGGCGAAGAAAATCACCAGCAGCTCGTCTCCGAGTTTCACTGTCTGAACCTTCAAGATCGCGTCGAATAAACTCGATCGGTTCATCCTCAAAAGTCTCCACATCAGAATCGCGTAAAGCGACATTGGGAAGGATGACCTTCTCGATGATTTGTGTTTGGGTGTTTGCGTCGCCAAAGGTCTGCGCTTGCTCATTAATGCCTCCGATAGATGTCAAGAATTGCAAAGCCTTGCTGACAAGTATGTCATTTTTAGGGTCTGGTCCAGTATTGGTCAGCAAATGCCATGAGCTTCCCACGAAGTTGCCAACATATTTGGAGAAGTCGTCGTAGTATTTGCCAATGTAGAGTGTTAATGCTTCAAAGATGTTTGCCTTTATGTTTTCGAGAGGACCGGCTTCCGACTCATCATCTGTGTGTAGGAGGGGGTTGTCGTATTCCAGGTACTTCTTGAGCAGCCCGGAAATGCCCTGGAGATTGTCTTCGAACACGGGGGATAAGTCTTGACAAGAAAGATCATAGAACAACTGCATAACGAGGTCAAGCTCGGTGAAAGCATTTTGGAGGGCAACCTTGTCATTACTATGACTGTCGATGTAGGCATCGAGATTCTGCCATAGAGTGAGGAAGGGTTGGGCAAACTTAGAAAGTACGTGGTTGATCTCAGTGAATAACTCGTCCGAGCGGAACAGAGGCCGCCATCTTGCGAAGATTGAATGTGCAACTTGGAGCACACCGGCATTGACGACAGGATCATCCTTCTTGAGTCGAGAAATGAGGTCATCCACCAACGTATCCCAGCGCTCCCAAAAATCACTGTCAGCGATGACACTAATGGCCTCACCGAGCTGAGTTTGAATGCCTCGGGGTACAGCGATCATAAGCCCCACGAGCTCGGTCTTGATGGCGGTAACATCTTGTTGAGGTAGTTTGTAGTTTCCTTCCACATCGGTCCAGTTGCGCTTGATAAAGTTCTTGAAGAAGAGGGCGCTTGCAAGTCTCGTGTTATACTGGAACTCGCTAGAGGCAGTGATATGGAGGAGGAGTAGAGCAAAGCCAGGCTTCTTCTCTTCGGCTCTGATTTTGAGTTCCGCTGATTTGGGAGGGCATATTAGTATTTGCATCTGGACAGAGAGGTACACGGTGACTGACCTTCTTTGTTCTGCCTGGGATCAAGACTTGCGTCTAACAGCTGGGCGAGAGGGGCCAATGCAGCCATGATTGTCGTGAGAAGTCGGGGTAGTTATGAAATCGTTTCGTACTCAGCGCATGGTGGGGAGTGCTTCAGAGATATGTCAAGCGTGAAAAGAGCAAAGAGATAGAAGAGATCAAAATGTGAGAATCAGGCAGGATATTCTTTTCGCAGGAAATGATTTGCACCAGCGATCGTGAATGGAGTATGGAAGCAATCGATTGAAGGCTGAATCCTCATTAATGTGGTTTTGTTTACCACCGTCGGAGGTCGGCATAATAATGATTTCTGTCTGCCACTCCCACCACCACCGCCTTTGGGCTGCGTCTCAAGCGCCGGATACTTGGACGGAATACATTACGGTCGATCATTTGACACTTCACAGTTATGCAGAACTCCAGGACCCTTAGGCTGTGACGTCTTAGGTATCTTAGGTAGCCGTAACCAACGTCGTCAACTTCAACATTGGGTTTCCACAACGGCACAAAAGCATAAAATATGATTTTGACCTAAGTGAAACTCGGATCCATTGGACAGGGCATTCAAGAAAAGTCTTTTCCAAAGGTCTGCGTGCATGTCGCCAAAATGACATGGTCAGGTCACTGCGTCGAAAGAAAATTCTGATCCTGACCAGACAGGACGTTGAAATTGTGCAATTACAGGTGGGAAAAATGCCATGTCAGACGTTGAGGTCGCCACCTGGGGCACCGGGCACTGCCAAAGACCCCATTTTTTCTCTTTTGCAAGGCGCGAGGCGCCTGCCCACGGCCCATTGCCCACTATTAAGGGACCCAAAGATGAACGCCCCAGAGAGTCTTTTTGACTGAGAAATTTGATCCATCCGACTTGGCTTCACCAGCTAAACAGATGCCTACTACTGTACATGCAGTGCAGTGCATGTCACAATCTCAAGTTTCAACTCACTGCAACCCCGTCTTTGCATACTACACCCGCCTCAATTTCATTCCAACATTCCACCCCATCTTTTCCCTGGCGATGCTTCATTTCTCTAGCTCCTTTGATTGCTAGCAGGATATTGTTCATCCACTACTTGATACTTTTTTCAGTCCAACTCGAACCGTTCTGGCCCTGGCTCAAACCATCCCCCGCGAATAACTCAGCCCTGAGGGTGGATATCCCAGGTGTAACCACTCTCTTCATCATCATCATTATTATTGCGCAACAAATTCTATCATCACCACAATCATCTTCACAAAAGAGCCTCCCAGAAATTCAACTCTCCCAAATGCTCAAAGTCCGCCCTCGATAGATCTGCTCCATTCTGTCTATCCAAGCTCAGGTAAGATGTTCCATTGATGAAGCCACTTACCCCTAAGCCTTATCGATGCCTGGGAAGACCTTGCAGATAAGATAATTGGCTAGGCTTTGTCACTAATCTTCCCTGTCCTCCATCACCACCCTCCTTGATATCATCCGCGATCACGGGCCTCCATGTAATCTGCACAGCAGTCTGACCATGCTTGTCTTCATATGTTCATTCAAAGCCCTGGCTCATTAACTGATTCTATTCCAGGCAGGACAAACATTAAGTCGTATGTCGACAGAAAATGACTCACTAGAGGGAGCGCCCGTCGATGCTAGGCAAGATGTGAATCCCACTGGCCCATCTCCATCTCTTCAATCTGTCTCGGAGCAAGATCTAGATGGAAATCTCACAGCCTCATTCAGTGGTACTCCCTCGGAGAAGTCTTCGGTTACTGGATCGTTGCTCAATTTACATGAAGTACTCAAACAAGGCTTTGGATTGAGCGACTCTCCTGACGAAGCACGTCAATGGCTTCTCACTTTCGGTAATCACAAACCAGGAACTGATGTCTCTTATCATCTCAAGAAAATTTCCCAGCAGATTGACGAGGAATCCGATGCCACAAGCTTTCTTTCGTTGTTGAACCAATGGCTTGTTTTGTGGTCAGCAAAGTCTGACCGAGAAAGAAAGGAGAACAAGACTTCCAGAACTGCCTCTCACAAAGAGCAAAAGAATCTCGAATGGTTGTTACGATACACTTCTGATTACCTTGCACTAGGACACCAGAGTTCCACTATCCCACACCTCGCTCAGACTGTGCAAGCCACTACAACAATTTGTCTCAACGCTAGTCGGTTGTCAGATATCAACTTGGGAGTTGCTGTTCTGTACACCATAGCCGCCAATTTTGATTTCCCAGAGAGTGGTCTGGAACAAACATTGGTGGTTCTATGTGCATCAGCTGCAAATCTTCCCGAAACACCGGATCACCTCTTTGACTGTGCAAAAATCTTGGCCACAGGTTGCCACAGTCTACGGGTTCTTGAAGCACTGGGCGCCTTTATATTGACCCCAACCTCTGCCAACAACAGCAAGAATCTGTCCCATGCCCGAGGGGCGACTCGCATCTTACGCATACTTCTTCTAGAGAAGGAAAAGGGTGGTGAATTTGTCGTCGAATTGGAGAGCGTCATTGACGTATTGTACACTGCTAGCAGTCAGGGCATCCTCCGCCTCGGCCATGATATCCTTAGTACATTGCACTCACTCTTGTGCTGTGAGGCGAGGCACGAAGAGATCCTAGAGCTTGACTTCGGCAAAATTGTCGAAACTGTGCAATACTGTCTGGAGGCGAACCCACTTGGTTTTCCGCCCGGCAGGAGGGAAAGCCTTGTTTTGTTTCCCACACCGCCACAGGAAGATGATAATCGACAGTACGAGCGATACTTCCGTGATCGAGAAGCAATGGCTGGAAAAATCGGCCAAGACCTTGGACAATTATTTGAGTCTCTTCCGCTACCTTTTCGTGGTATCATCGACACATTCTTCCTCTCGTATCCGCAATTTGCTGAGTCTTCTCAGCTGATACTGAGTCTGAGCAATTTGCAGAATCGTTATTTGGAAGGCGACAAAGATGATGCCAGGAAAGAGTATGCCGAAAAGATTTATGACAATATTGTCCAAAACACTACGCTACCACTGGCCTGTCGCCTGAAAGGGATCGAAGTTGTTGTGCACTCGGGAGATCAAATAACGGACGCTGAAGCAGAACCCATGCAAGTGAGCACACGAGCTTATGGCTGGATACTGGATAAATTGCTCAACCAAATCGATGTTGAGCAAGACCGACAAGTTTTTGGCACACTGCTGAGATCACTTGAGTATATGACCGGCAACTACGCAGCGGCAGCGAAGGAGGCCGCGTTGACCATGCGGACTCTGGAAAAACTCAGCAGCCTCATATTAGTCGGTCCAAGATCAGGCTCTTGGAGCGGCGAACTAGCTATCTCGGCCACGAATGTCCTCACGACAATCTTTGCTTACAGCATGCATACCGATGCACACGCTGCGGTTCGAGCATTCGAGATTTTGTTGGAGGTCGCAAGCCCTGTGTGTAAATCCCGAACTGCACGGCTTATCTCGAAGCGGTTACTCTTTCGACTGCGTGCCGATGACGCGGGCTTCATCTACATCAATGCTACCAGCGAGAGTTCAAATATTGCCGCTGCCTTGCTCCGAACTCGGGAGTCGGCGGAGGCTTTTACGTACGAGATTCCCACGACGCAAAGACACTCAGCTAGTAGCACGAGCTTGTCAAGTAAATCGGAAGCCAATGATCCTACTTGGATCTACCCCGATACTGAAGATGTTGATTTCCCGTTTGCTGGACGCTCTTCAAAGATACTCAATGTTGACCGTGGTGCCGGTGCTGGCGTCCAAGCCGAACTAGACATGGACACCTGGCTGATGAACATCATCACATGTCTACACACTGATGTGGATTGGGAAACTTACGGCTACACGATCGTTCACGTCGCGGCACAGCTAAGCAATATTTCATTGTTTCTCAACTCCCTGGAAGCGGTAGTGAAGCTTCGGCAAGTGCTCTGTGGACAGATTGTCAATGCGACTTTTCGCGAAGCGCCTCAACCGAGTGGACTGAAGAAATCAGATGTGGCTATATGCATGTTTCACTTTCTCACTTCATTGATCCCATACGCGACGATGAAGTCAGAATCCATCCAGAAAGGGTTTGGAGACGATCTTGTTCGTGCATTCATTTCAGGGCTTGGCGCAGCATGGGAGGGTACGTCTCGAAATTGCATACATTCGTTGTCTGTGTGCAGTCTCGAGATACCATCTTCGGTGGCCTCGTTATATCCAACAATCATCGACAAGATGTCCAAGAACATGACTCAAGCACATCTTACAAGCCACATTCTTGAGTTTCTCACCGAGGTTGCTTTGCAAACCGAAATGCATTCCAACTTGAATCCTGATGAAATCCAAATAATATTTGGCATCTGCATTCAATTCCTCGAGAAGACTCGCGAGCAACATCAAGCATTTGTGACATCACCACCAGGTAGAATGAACGCAGGAACACGGCACAGTGGAATGAATTTTCGCCGACCACCATACCGAGCAGCAATGCTGGTAGACAATGGACTGCCACAATACGCAGCCGCGTTGGCCTACCATAACATGATCTTTTGGTTCTTGTCACTTCGGCTCGAAAGCCGGGCCAAATATGTATCATGGATTGTGCCTCGCCTTATCTGGAAGAATTCCAGGGGAGAAGAGACGATAGATGAACAGAGCCAGGTGCTGATTGACATGATGCAGAGAACGGCATATTCCGATCTTGGGGAGACAACTCCAGATCCCGATTTTGCTGGGCCAGATGATGGGCCAGTCTCCAACAAATCTTGGATCGTGGGTTTGAGTGTCATCACAGCGGCAACATCAGGACATACCGGCAAGACACAAATCACTAAGCGACAGGCATCAGGCACGACGTACGCCAGTTATCAGCAGCGTACTACACGCCTTCCATCCCATCACGCACCCAGTCAAACTCAGATCCGCCACGAGGAAGCGACAACCGAAATATTGCCATCTCATGTACTGCTTCAAATGATGGCTAGTGCGGCAACCACCAGCTTAGCTGATCAGCCACTTCAATTGCCGCAAGAAGACTATGTGACTCGAGCCTTAGATATGTTTGATCGAGTTCCGACTGTGGCCAGCCACAAGATAGGAGTTATGTATGTCGGACCTGGGCAATTGACCGAATCAGCATACCTTGCCAATACTAGTGGCTCTCCGGACTTTGAACGTCTTCTGGATGGCCTTGGCTACACAGTGTCGTTGGAACCACCACTTCGATTCAATCCACAAGGATTAGAATATCCTCGGGACGGAGAGAAGACAATAGCATGGCGTGATCGGGTGGCAGAAATCGTGTATCATATCCCAACCTTGATGCCGACTGAAGCAGACGATCCTCAATGCATTACCAAAAAGTCGCACGTCGGAAATTGTCATGTGAACGTTATCTTCAATCGATCAGGAACGACGTGGAAGATGGATAACTTCAAGTCACAGCTCAATTATGTGAATATTGTTATTAAGCCAGCATGCCGCGGCAGAGCGGAGGAGGATTTGGAATTTTTACCAGGGTTCTATTGGGTCCAGGTCATCACCAGAGATGGGCTGCCCAATTTGTCACCGGCGGCAGAACCCAAAGTCATTTCAGCCGAGAAGCTTGCGCAATTCGTTCGAGTGTTGGCAATCAATGCCAGCCAGTTCTGTCTGACTTGGAATACCAAAGATAGCGACAGAGAATATCCTAGCGAGTGGCGGACCAGATTGCAGCACATCAAGATGCTCAAAGAGCGGGTTTTGGCTAAAGCCGCTGACAAGCAACAGTTGGCAGCCTTGACCTCGCCTGCGGCAAACTCTTCTGCGCCAGGAACATCGAGTGGTAGACGAACACCAGTACCTCGAGACGAATCAACTGCAACACGCAGAGATGGGATGCTGGCAACTCAGCTTGATTTCAGTGCTTGGACGCTCTAATACAGATACCATATCAGAGCCTAAAAAACAGTAAATGGAAATGGGAACGGGGGAGATGGATGGGGACTGGAGGAGGCATTCAATACAAAACAGCATGGAGTTGGGGCATCAAAAAGTCCTGTGTGATACGGACCGGACCACAAAAAGCATTGCATGAGCAGGTTACAGGAAAAGTTTGTGAATTTATCTTGTCAGGAGCCGACAAAAGAGAGCTCGTTAATGTGTACAGCAAAAAGTGGGCATGGACATCTTGACCTTGACCTGGTCTATTTACCAAGCCGAGGAGTGAGCTCATGTAGACGGCCAAAGATAAGAAATGGTTCTCAAATAACGACGTCCAAGTGTGTTGTTGAATGCCATCAAGTACTTGTGTACCTAGGTAGGTAGTAAAGTGTGGCGTCGGAGTGATATTGGCATGTGCCACATTGACGACGTCACCCCTTCAAGTTTCCCCGCCATCATCATCTCGTCCGTCTTCCCACTGCCAGTGACTGCACGGGCATTTGCACCTCGAGTAGGCATCAGGAATTCCTGAACTCAATCCAACAACACCACGCCACTGGTATTGAATTATATTAGACGCAATCATGCGCATCGGTTTCCATCTACAACCATCACATATTCTATAACTATGGCATCCGATAAGTCTCCCAGGCCAGGTCCACCCTCCCCATCAGCCTCCTTCTACGACATGTCCGACGACGAAGAAGGCGGTTACAATACCATCACTCATGCCGCTACCACCAAGGGCGTCAAACTCCTGTTCTCTAAAAGCAAAGTCTATGTCCATCCTACCCCTTCGGCCAAAGACAATATCCCGGGCTTCATCGCTCTCGTCCAGCAAAAGTCCGCCCCCCTCTCCTCCGACCAACGTCCCACTTCTTCCGACTCGTCCAAGAAGACCGCCAATGCTGCATCCTACCTCCTCGCCTGGGTTCCAGAATCCTCACTCGCCCAAGATGGTCTCAGCACCTACGTCAAGGTTGACATGAAGGACAGCGGCTCACCTCCCAAGCAAACATATCTTGTTCCCCCTCTACCGCTCGCCACCACCTTTGACGAGTCTCCTGTTGGGCCCTATGCATTCTCTTTCCCTTTATCTAGCATATATTCTATTCACGTACGGCCTCCGAGCTTAGGTTGGTGGTACGGCAGCATAGTTATGAACACTCGTGCCGGTGCTAGTCTACCTGCATTGTTCTTCCACGACTCGGAATGCGAGAGTACGATATTACAGAAGAAGAAGCGAGCCCGGGAGTCCTTTGACCCCTTTGGTGAAAATGGAGAACTCTTTTGGGGTGGAGACGAGGTCTTGCGATGGCTTAAAAGATATGTCAATGTCGAAAGGAGCACGGCTGAGCCCTCAATTTACCTCATCGATCCCACAGAAGAAGATCGCCTCGGCTTTGGGCAAGGCCGCAAGTCCTTGGAAGGACGAGATGGGTCAAACAGTCAACCTGCAGGCTCCAAACAAACTCAGAAGCAACCGTCGGGACCTGGAATGGACCCTTTGACCAAAGCTTTGAAAGAAACAAGATGGAAGATCCTCGAACAACTATCCAAGGTCACCACATTTACGAGACGCACAGCCGAGGATCTTGCTAACAACAAGAGTATTCCCCCTCAGGTACGGCGTCTGATACAGAATCCAGAGGTTCAAACGTTGCAGGATGAGTTCGACAGCGCAAAACTCTATCTCGCCAGATGGGCAATGAGTATTGCAGAGCAGGGTGAAAGAGACAAGAACCAGAGAATATGGACAGCCAGAGACGCACTCGATTCAGAAGAAACTAGTGTCGGCGACTTCGAGATCCTCGACATGGAAGCTGGCCGAATGACACTGAGTGATAGTAAGAGACGGCCGGTCAATCTTCAGGAATGGAAGTCATTCTTCGACTCCAAAGGTAAACTTCAGATCACGGTTGATGAAGTCAAAGAACGAATATTTCATGGTGGTCTTGACCCAGAAGATGGTGTTCGAAAGGAAGCATGGCCATTCATTCTTGGTGTTTATGATTGGGCCAGCACAGAAAGTGAACGGCATGCCTATATGAATAGCAAGAGGGACGAATACATTCAATTAAAGGGAGCATGGTGGGATAGGACTATGGAAGGGAATGCGACTCCCGAGCAAGAAGAGTGGTGGAAAGAGCAGAAGATCAGAATCGGTAAGTCATCTTCAAAGCATCATCATCGATCCTTGCCTCATAATCTCGCTGACCTTGCCGCTCGCCATGTAGAAAAAGATGTACATCGAACGGATCGGCATATCCCCTTGTTTGCGGGTGAAGATATTCCCCACCCTGATCCAACCTCCCCCTTCTACAATCCCGATGTTCCAGGTACAAATGTTCACATGGAACAACTAAAAGACATGCTTCTCACCTATCTCGAGTACGACACGCCACCCTCAGAGACTTCTGCCAAAGGCAAATCCTCCTCGAAGTCCTCTCAGCCACGCTATCAAACTCGAAATCCACACCCGCAGAATCTTGGCTATGTCCAAGGCATGTCCGATCTGCTTTCTCCCTTGTACGCTGTTTTCCAAGACGATGCCCTTGCTTTCTGGGCATTCGCGAGCTTCATGGTCCGTATGTCCCGGAACTTCGTCCGTTCGCAAATTGGGATGCGCTCCCAACTCGCTACGTTGGACCAGTTGGTCCAAATTCTTGATCCCAAACTTTACCTCCATCTTCAATCTGCCGATTCGACGAACTTTTTCTTCTTCTTCCGCATGTTGTTGGTTTGGTATAAGCGAGAATTCGAATGGTCTGACACTCTACGGCTTTGGGAAGTTCTGTGGACGGATTACTACAGCAGCCAATTCCATCTCTTCATCGCGGTGGCGATCCTCGAGAAGCATCGTGATGTCATTATGGACCACCTCAAACACTTCGACGAAGTCCTCAAGTATATCAACGAACTCTCCGGTACGATTGAACTTCAGGAGATCCTCTTCCGGGCCGAAGGCCTATTCAAGCGGTTTGAGAAAACGGTGGAAGCCATCGACCGTAAGAACACCTTCCCAAGCCCAAGCACTGAAGAGGAAGGGGTGAGGCAGAGAAAACTCGGCGGCCTCGCCGACGCCACCGAGTCTCAGAGCACGAACACGACGCAGAAGAAACTCAATCATAACAACGCAAGCAACAGACAGGCCATCATGTCCGGCCCTGGCGTCCCCACATCGAAAGCGCAGCAACGCCAGCAACAATCCACAGGTGCCGCCGGTCCATCTTCCCCGTCAAAAGGGAGACAGATACAGTCTAGCCCTGACGGGCAAGAGAACAAGGAGAAAGTCATCACGCCACAGCTCCGGCTTCTGCTCAGCAGGAAAATCATCACGCTCGATCCGACGGAGGAGGACACGGCGGCGTCCCGGACGCGGGCGAGCGGGTTGAAGGACTAGATGATGATGACCGCTCATCACGGTTCGGTCCTGGTAGTAAAGAGTGTTGTGGCTTTGGCTTCTGGTTTTCATCCAAGAGATGCAGAAGAGCCGGCTTTGAGTTCCGGGGGATGGAAAATAGCATGTCCTGCCTGCCTTACATGTCTTGACTGTTAGACTGCAAAATACGTGTACACCGCTTATATATACCGTTGCTTGAGTGCGGTGGGCCCGACCAGCTACCTTGCGCCGCCTTTGAGGGGTTTCCATGAGTTTCAATGAGGGATGAATGCTGTACTAGCAATCTTTGGTATTGCTCTAACACTGCTATTCCGATTGTTAATGCGATAATGCAATGCTGTAATGTATCTGTTTCTCATCTTTATTCATGTTGAGCAACATTCCATCCTCGATTGATTCAACGATTACCCGGTGTAGGACCACTTCTTCAATGGACAGATATAACGAAGATGAGAGCTTCCTGCAAAGAGCCATCCTTCTGACAGCTCACACGCCAACTTTTCGAGCTCGAGTTTCTTGACCCAATTTATCTTCTTCACATTGCCATGATGCCGAATCTCTCCTTGAGCGTAGCTATCTTTCTCTCCGTCAGAGCTCGATTGAATTCTACATTTCCAGGAATGTAGACATCGCCAAGGTAATTGTCATAGCGGATGAAATCACAATTATTGCTTGTTTCTGAGGGATTAGCAGTCGGTAGATTGAGATGTGGGCACAAATGATCTTCAAGAAGTGATGCAACCTTGAAGTTGGCAAAGGGGGTGAGCATCGCGGTGTCTAGACGTGAGCGTTTCGAGGTGGAGTTGGGTAAAACGAGGAAGTCGACCCGGGACTCTAGCCAACCAGAGGTATCAATCCAGAAACTCGATTTGTCTCCCTCAGATTGTAAGGTGCTCGCAGCTTGTGCCAACACATCTGATATGATTGAGTCGAGCTTCTGCCTCTTGGTGACAAAACGGCGTGACGCAGTGAACGGAGTGATCAAGAAGATTGGAAGTGTAGATGGAGCCGAGTTGTATCTGTATCCTCCGTCACCTGTAGCACCAGATTCAAATTGATTGGTGGCCGAATCATGAGGGTAAGCCGTTTTCCTGATGTTGTGAACCAAGTCGATGATAGCAGCTTTCATTTCGGCCTTGAACTTGTTGATGGCGCGGTCACCGTGATTCTTCTTGTCAGCGAAAAACAACATGAAATCGACCAATCCGAGCTGCAACACCAAAACGGACGGGCGATAAGAGCTGAACGACCACGGGCGCGAGAAATGTGCCGTCGATGGTGAGCCTGAACGAAAGAAGAGGCTGCCGATAGTCTCCGGAGAGCTCTCACGTGGCAGGAGACCCAGCTTTGATGTGGGAATGAGAACCGTGTCCACAGACAGTCGCTTTCGAACGAACTCAGTCCAGGCAATTAATCGGCCAGCCATCACTCCGTCATCTTCGTTAGCTGCAAAAGCTGTGAGTGCGGTTTCAGAGCCGACAATTTCGATGGTTTTCTTTTCTTGAGTTTTCCAGCAAGAAAGTTTGGCTTGGACAAAATGGCCATTGGGACAATAAAAGAACGGATTACGCAGAACCGTTCTGGGGTGTTGACTGGAAGATTTCTCAAACGTTCCAGGCTGCAGAGGCTTGTCGACCCAGATACCCTTGAACTCCACTGTACCACTATCGGTACCAGGGCTACCAAGATGGGTGATTTTCACCTTGTAGGCCTTTGAAGGGTCCAAATCATCGGCAATTTCGATCATGCCGAAGGCATTATCATAACCGATATAGTCGTGATTGTCATTTACCTGGACCAGCAAGCTTACTTGGCGGGAGGGGGGTTGATTGGGACTTGCTGGCTGGAGGATGGCATGATCGGTATGTCGATCGACGAGTATTCTCTCCTCTTTACCTTGATTGATCTCTTGGTCGTCAACGCTGATATTGCTCAGCTCGCAATAAAGTGAAGTGGTGTTTGTAATAACAAATTCGAGGTAAGAACCTGAAGCAAAGGTCAGAAGCTGGATCGAGACGTGGGGAGCAGCTCGATGGCTTACCAGGAAGGGCGGCATCCCGTCTCAATTGGTTTGCGGCGGTGGTCCATCGGCCGACGAACTGCAAAAGGATCAGCTATGAAAGATGGTCAAATGTGAAGGCCAACGCACGTGGAGGAACTTGTGGCTGGATGGGATGAAAGTATGGCCCGTCCTGCCCATCGCCTGTCGAACGAAGCCATTTGAAAGGCGGTTGGGAATAGTCGAACCCGGGGGAGTGATCGTCATGGCGGCAAAAGTAAGCAAGCAGGACACAAGCAAAAGGGCAATGCCCATTAGCATACGGATGGAATTGAGAGCTTCCATGATGGGCCGCTAGACCATCTTGAAGGACATTCTGAAGTGCAGTGCGGAGGACAAGTAAAGTAAAGAAGGAGAATGGGATTGAACTGAATTGAGGTTGCTGTGAAATCGAATGAGAATGGTCCTTGGTCGTAACGTAACGCGTGAGGTTGAATATGGCCTCCGACGCGTGCTTGCCAATTAACCAGAGAGTATCTGATCTGGTAGGCACCTGCCCAAGTAGACACAAGTGAACACCTTCATTGATCACAAATAGGTCATAGTCCAATTCTCATCATCTTAATTCTTCCTGGATTGAGCCACTCCACACTGGCATCTCCAGGACAGATGGACTTGGCAAAAGATACTCATCCCTCATGAAAAGAAATATATCTTTACATCCAAGCATCCAGAGCAGTCATGGTTCACTGGAGAGGTCAATACTGATCAGGACCGATCCCCGAAGCCCACGGCTCTTTCAGGGAGGGTATGTATCAAGATTCAGCATGTCTCGTAGGTAAGTGATAAGCTACCTAGGTACCTAGGCTTTCAAGTTATCTGCTTGATCTTAGGACACATGGAAGGAGAAATCTGATGGCATTTGAGGTCGGCGACTCTCGTTAACTAGGTCCCGCCGAGGTGCTATTCGTATATGTTCTAGGCCCCATTAGGGCTACTCTTGCTTTTAGGACACATGGAAAAGGATGAAATTCGTGCCGCGGGGACGCCAAACGCCACCCGCCCGGGGCGATACGCTAAGACCCCTGGGCGCCCCCAGCAATGTCCAGCCACTAGAAGTCTCCCTTCACGACGATGGACAACAGCAACCTTCAATTGAAAGCACAGCTGGAGGCGTACCAGGAAGGCATTGGTCATGTGCACCAGTGTCAATATGGAGCAAACTCGAACCCCCTCCATCCTTCACTTGAAACGATCTCGAATCTCAGCGCAAAGCAGCTCGAAAGGCTCGACAATAAACAGAAAGCAGTCTTGGTCCCATTCACTCTGGTGACTGGACTCCAACAAGTCTCTAGGGAGACTGCCTACGAAGGGTTACCCCAGACTAACCGATTATGCCAGTTCCACACCCTCCTCCTTACACCGTACGATATGAAGTGATCTTAGGGTTCGGTATTTGAAAAGAAAGAGACGGTACGCAGAACACCTCCTGTTCTGGACATTCGACGTACCTCTCCTCTTGGATCTAGGGACTTTTCTACCACTACTTGAACAACAGCGCGCTCTACTGCCATCCGACTTGAAATGCCTACAGCAATCATAGCCACCACCCTTCAAGCCGCTGGCTTATCGACTCTCTCCAACGTTCTCGCACAATTTATCAAAGCAAACAGAGAGAAGGTACTCTTCCACCCCAACCCTTCTCATGCAATTCCTAACCTTTGACAGAGATCCTATGGCGTCAACATCCGAGCCCTCCTCTCCTTCGTCATCTTCACCCTCATATCATGTCCACCCAACATCCTCTGGCAGGAATTCCTCGAGCAGAAATTTCCTGGGTATACATACCATGCAGCGACTGGAGAGAAAATATTGGACAAGGGCAATACAGCGCGAAAGCTTCTGTTTGATCAGACCTTGAGTGCTTTCGTCAACACGGTAGCTTTTGTGGCTGCTATGGCTGCATTCAAGGGGAAAGGTCTCAGAGGCATCCAGAGAGAAGTTGAAAGAGTAAGTCATCCCAAACGGTGCGCAGCAAAACTGTGAGGAGCACCTGTTGACACGTGTAACCATGGATAGGATGTCGTTCCCCTCATGATCAACAGCTGGAAACTTTGGCCAGTAGTCGCCATCATCAACTTTACCTTGGTTCCCGTGGAGCGCAGGATCATTCTCAACAGTGTTATTGGCCTTTTTTGGGGTATCTATCTCAGTCTGGTCGCAGCACTAGATTGATGGCGTAAATCTCTTTGTTGGCATCAGTTCGACAATCATCAGATCGCGCCGGAGAGCCACGATGACCGACTGAGTATCAGTTGATCTTCAACGACAATGCAGTTCCGGACCGGGCCAGTTCTCCCATCAATGAGCACCTCTCTGAGCGAAGGCCAGCGCCCCTGGTTTACAGACTGCCCCTGCAAGTGGATTTGAGACCACTAAGGAATTTCAAAACTCACTGTCGACACCATGAGCCTCGGCCATGCTTAATCCTAGATCATCGATGCTACTGCACGACCAGGCCTTTGGCCCGTTAGTATGTCAGCCAGTGACGACCACGACACAGATGGAGCATTCGCGCAGGAAGCGAAGCTCCAGCTAATGGATTTTTGGGTGGGCTTTCTTCTGCACACTCGGCCCAAGTGAGCCGCGCTTGGGGCCAGAGCTACGCAAGCACTCACGTGGCCGACACTCCTCGAAAGAAGTATGGTCAATCGAACCTTCCACCATCAGCACATTGATAGGCGAGCAGTTCTGCTTGGGATGCGGTCGCGTCATCCGTCTTGAATAAGCACGCAAGTAAGCAAGCAAAGGCGCCCGATGCCCTGTTTTTTGGAGAATATACATATGACATGCACTCAATCAATCAATGGACCGATCTGAAGATGAGCTTTCTCCACACAACATGTCGAAATCAAGCCAGCACGAAAGGCGCTTTAGCCCCAGTAGATTCAACCTTTCCATGTCCAAATCTATAAGTAGGCACCACGCAATTTTCAACGGGAGTGCATGATGAATCTTTCTTCTCGTTTGTACTCCAGGTCAGGTCAGCTCAGGCTTCCCATCGATCGTCTCATACTTTGACTCGCCACTGTATTTGTATCTGTTGTTGGGGCGGGGCCAGAGTCTGTTGGATGCGTATGATGACTATCGCCTCCAGGCTATGTACCCTAAGATATGTAGGTCGTGAGATGTTGAGCGAGCAATACAATACCAGGTAATTACAAGGGTTCATCCACAAGGATGGCGTAGAGAGAGATCCCGTCATTACCAGGAGTCACGCTGACTGATCAAACTCATCGCCACTAGCATATGTGTGTTTTGAAGGAAGGAAGAAAAAAAGACAAAGAGAGATCGCGATGGACGCTTTGCGTATTTCTAGATCCCGCAACAGGCGGTAGCTGTTCCAATATATGTGTATGTATTGATTGTATTTATCCGTGTGTGCAGATTCCAATCCCGTTTCCATCCGCTCCAGCATCCGCAGGTATCTGCAGGAAAGGAAATGTTCTCCTCATAAATTCGTGAAAAGGCCGCACATGAAGCGGTCAGGCTGAGGTTCGGCCGCTGGAAACAATGCCATCCCATCCATTCAAATGCCGATCCAAAAAAAAATTTCCCCACCCCAATATCGAATTACGTCCGTCCATATATAGGTGTGTGTATGTGTATGTCTGTTCTCGGCACTGGAAATGTTTTGTCTGGTTGTCTGATGTTCCGACCATCGATCCCGGTAGAAATCCACAGGAAATGAAATGAAATCAAATCATAATCAAAAAGCCAATCGCCTGCCAAAAAGCATGTATGTGTATATTGTACAATGTTCTTCCCGCAAAAATGGTCGCTTGAGAACGGGTATCGTGCATGTCTTCTCTTTCTCTCTTCCCGTCTATCTATCCCGTAGAGCCTTGTTCGCTGCTTGGATCATCATCGCTGGTTGCCCAGGCACATCCAAGAGCTGAGCTCGTCGTTCATCGTGAATGGAGGTTCCGAGGGTCGTCAAGTTGTATGCATGTGCGTTTGAAGTCGTAATAGTTCGATCCGCGAATTTCACAATTCGCTCAAATCATATGCGGGCGCAAGGAACAGTCTTCGTCTGCTTGACTTCGTTCTCCTGATTCATTCATGCCAACAATATATGCAAAAGTCCTGTGTCGTCGTGTTCGCTCGGTAAATGTGGTAGTGTGATGTGCCGCTATGCCGACCAGTCATGGCAGTCCAGTCTCCCTTTCCCCTTCCAAATTCATCTATAGTACAATGGTTGTGGTGTGAGGAGCTTAACTTCATGCGAAATTATCCCCTTCATTCAGAATCAGCCTCGCATTGCAAGTCATTTAGTTTGTGCCGAGTGTGAGATTTAATGATTCCACAAACTCACACACGATCGAGTAGCGGAGCACTGGCGTTGTTCCGGGGCCGGTAAAACGTCCCGGGCCGTTCTTTCTTCAGCCTCTCCCTCGCTCGGGCGTGTTCCAGTTGCGATTCTGCGTTCTTTGCGACAACGGAGCTGCCGATTCCAAGACCCATACCAAGCAAGTTCTTGCTCAATCCTTCTTTGACCTTCGGGGCTGGAACCACTTTGGTTGCCCGCAAGCTCTTCTTCCTCTCAACCTTGGCCTGGTATTCTTCGATTGCGAGAACAGAATTCCTTCTCTTCGGTACATCTGTTCTAGCAAGAACTCTCCATGCCTTGAAGCTTACATTTTTCGTGCGTACTGCAGTCTCCATATCAGTCGACAAAGTCGCCACTGTACTGGGCCATTGGGTCTCTTCTTTAATCGACATTGGGCTGACTGAGGCAATAGAGGCACTTCCTGTCGATCTATGCCTTGAATGAGGTGTTGTATTCCCAGTCTTGCAAGATCCGCTACAGTAAGCTTTGGTATTCTTTCTAGCTGCTTTCGGGCTGATGAGATCTTGTGGTGTGGGTAACTCCACTGGAGAAACTGGACGTCGGGTTACAGCTTTTGCATCAACAGCTAATAACTCAACAGCTTTCTCCAAGTCGATACCGGAGCCGCTATCACACATGGCGAGTGCTTTCCTCGCTCGTGTCTCTTCAAACCCCAGTTCTTTGACAAGTATATTCATGGCTTTATCGACAGGATCAATCACTTCAAAATTTGTCATCGCAGCGCGTTCTGGTTGTTGGAAAGGTACTTTCGGCCCTGGAACTGCATAGTGCATAGGAAATAGCGTGGCCCCAAGCTTTGCACTTACAGTTGGCGCAGTGGCTAATCCATAGAAAGCCGATGGATCCGCTGAAGGAGATGTGGGTAGGAGGTTAGCAGGCCCAGGAGCGAGATTTTGGGGATCACAATCGGGACGAATCTCGAGACTGGTATTTGCCGTAATCATAGTTGAAACTGGTCTTCTCTTATTCATCGAAGTGTCGATCCGCAACGAGTGGCCAAGTATCACCGTCCCCGAGTTGGAGGGAGCAGTGTTTAGTGTCTCATCGAATGATCTTGTTGGTCTGTGAGAAGGAACTCTTGGCATGGAAAATTTGGCAGCTTTCAGCGCGGCCTCTTCCATCACTCGGTCTTGATAAACTCTCGAGATGGCTGTCAGAAGGAAAGTAGTCCGACTCTGTCCTGGAGGAGGCACAGGCCAATTCGTCGTGAGACCCAGCATATTCGCTTGTTCGAACAAGCAAGAAGAAACGGAAAGCACGGTCTGCGGTCCAAGTGTTACGAGATAGGCAATCCACTCATTCAGGTGCTCCTGCTCTGAAGTGTTTTGGCCCACTTCCCAGTTGTCGAAGACACCGAATTGTCTGGCTTCTTGCTCTCGTCCATGGAAACCACTAAGAAGACTTTGTAGGGAATGCCACAATTCATTGATATCTTCGAGTTCGGCGATGCTCAGGCCATTATCGTTCCCAATTCCGAAGCCTGGTCCACGTTTCTTGTTCTTCGCGGCTCGGGTGCCATTCAGCCAATCAACTTGTGCCTGAATCGCATTCGCTTGATTGCCAAACAGGACACAAAATGTCCAGATGCGTAGGAATGCATTCTGAATATCAGCCCTTCTCTGCTCACTGCGTCCAAGCAAACCCTCGAGTGTGGCCGGCTTAAAAGATGATGCGTGCTGCTGGAGAGCATGGTCTCGAACAGTCGCAAGGGTCTTGAAGTCATTCATGAAATCCTTCAAAGTGAAAATGTCAGAGCCCTCTTGAGCTAAGATGCTCCGTCGGAGCTCCCAAGCAGGACGCGATGATTTAGCGATGATATGGCTGACTAGGCTGGATTCGTTTCGCTGAAATGTCCTCAAGAAACCCTTACTAACCATTGCTGCGGAGGCTAGGTCGTCCAGGTCGTCCAAATTGCTCATGATCCTGTGGATGACACTTTCCGCCGTGGTAGCCGATATTAGGCTTCGTGACTGTCTCTGGTGACGTCTAGTAACCTGTAAGGATTTTGACATCGGAATGGAAGAAGGTGCAATGTTCATCGTGTGGCGTTTCTGAAGTGCAGGAGTAGTATTTCGAAGGCCTACATTTTCCGAAGCGGAGCGTTTCCTCCTGTGGTTGGGTGCTGCTGCCTTGCCTCGCTGTGCGTCTCGGATAGCCTTAGGTGTCCAGGCTGGCAATTCCAATATCGACTGCCCGGTCGAGGCACGCCTGATAGAAGTGGTTCGCTCGGGATGAGAAAATGTTTGCTGAGAGAGTTTGGGCGTTGGTGGTGACTTTTGACTTTGTCGACCCACTGATTTGACGGGCTGGCTAGAGTGGCTGAGAAGTAGATTTGGTGCAGATAATGACGCAACCTTCGTCTCATCTGGACCTGGAGGGAGTGGTTTGTCAAGATTTAACGGTGATGGAAGGGCGGGACTGACAGGTGGCACCTGCGCTTTCGATCTCGAACGATTGGTGCCTTCGTGGGAGCCACTGCTGGTGCGAGAAGAAAATTGTTGGTTCGATTTTACGATTCGGATTGACGGCCGTTTCTTGGTTGCTGGAGCTTGGGAGGCTTCGGCCCACGGCTCAGGGCAGGGCGAATAGCTTGAGCTTGAAGACTGTCTGGTCACCAGAGGAGAGAAGTCACTCTCCCGTTGGCTGGTTTGAGAATACCTGGAAGAGCCTGTAGAGTCGTTCCGGACGATGTCGAGATGGAGGTTGCTGTACTGATGCCCATAAGCCTTCTGGTTTGTCAAGGCCTGTGACCGCAAATCTGTTCTGGCGGAACCTGGTATAGCAGAGACCGAAAACGCTGCGTTTGCAGATTCTAGGAGTTGTGCTGCTCGTTCATCTGGACTAGGATAGTTGGTAAATTGGTCGAACAAGTCTGAGAACGACTGAGCATCGATTCGTGAAATGTCGGGCAATATGAGCTCGGGCTTGCCTTTGTTGACACCGCCATTGGTGCCGGACCTTCTGAATAGGAAGGAAGAGCGGTCTTTATTCAAACGTAGAATGGAAGTCATGCTTGAGTTGATGTAGGTCAATGCCGTAGGACCAAGCTCCCACGGGGCCCTGCTGTCAAAAAGTGCTCGAGAAAACGTTGAAGTTGCAATGAAGTCTCAACCCACGGACGCATTGCGCATGGATGAAGGATGGATCGGTGCGACGAGCAGGGTTGGAGTCGATTGAAGAACGGCAGTTCCTAGGTCAAGGCAGTTTCTTTTCGCTTGTCGGATTGTGCAACACTCAGATCCGATCATGCTTCATCTTTCGATTTGAGTTAGGTGGTTGGGTTCGACAGCAGACCCAAATAGACCCGTGCTGGGAGGGGACCTGGGATTATAGCCAAGTTGGACGATTCTGGGACCAGGAATGACCAGGCTCGCTGGCTGGGGCTCAAAAAGAGCTTAGCATGTCGAAACCCAGGTTCCAGTGGCGCGGGCTAAAGATATCAACGCCAATGGGGCGAAGTTAAGGCGCAGGCCTCCTGCTGGCCAATCTGGCTGGAGGCCGGTTCGACCTTGCGGCGATTGGCACTGAGGGAGGGCTGCCTCGCGGCGCCCTCCATTCGTAGGGTTCTGACCAGGGTCGAAAGACGGTTGACCCACGGAAGTTACAGGGGTCGCACAGTTTAGGCCTGCAGCAGAGCCCATGACATGGCTAGCGAGCCTTAAAAGCTAGGCTTTGTTAGCACTCCAGTGGTGGCAGGGAACACGAGAGGCCAAAAGGTCAGCCAAGGGTTTAACTGGGAGAAGCAACATGCACGTTTCTTGAGCATGCTGTTGTCCTTCCGCTTAGGGGACTTGGGGATCGCTAAAAAGCAGACCGCTTGTCTCACAATTCGTTTCTGGTTGTCCCACAAGGCCGGCCAGAGGAGCCGATTTCGTGCACGGGTGTCGTGAGAGCCACTGATCCAGCAGACCTCAGCTGGCAAGAGCCTGCAATGATTGACCGTTTTGATTAATCTACCATCCTTTTTGGGAGAATGTGCGACTCTGCCAGATGTAGCGTTGGATTACTCGTACCTGTAGAAATTACCGGCGTCGGGATTCCGTAGCTGGGCTTGACTCTGCGTGACAACAGCCAGCCCTGTCGTGGTCCGTGAGCAATGGACAGTCGCTCAGTGGGACACCCAATGCCTGAAATGAGTGCGGAGTTTCTTAACCGAAAGTGAGGAGGATCACGTTATTACCGCTTACCGAACCACCAGCGGTTGGTCCACCCTCTGCTACTTCGTCCTTGAAAGTTGAGAGACCTCGCATTGAGTTCAAAGCAAAACCCAGCTTGTCAATAGTAATAATCATGCAACACGGCTGAGGAGAAAACCCTATCTCTTGCATTGTACCTGGTACCTGGTTCGAGATGCCTCCAAAAGCAAGTTTCGAGGTTATCCAATGCGAAAATGGAAGTGGCAAGTAAAACATATGCACATCACTTCAGAAACGGGATCTGCCTTTGCCCAGGAACCTTCGCATGGCATTGTGTTCAATTGGGCAGGACGGTGGAGGCAAAATCCAACAGGCCACTAAAGAGCCTGACCCAGTATTGACCTACAAATCACGGTATCTGTGTCTGAGTGTCGGTGGTTTCCATAGCGTATTCGTCCCGAGTATCTTGATGTGCAACGTTACTCGTACGACTTCGGATCAAGTCAGGTCAGATCTGTGCCAGAAGTGTTCTCCGTAAGCCGTGCTGTTCAGCGACAAATCCTATGGACAAGATTGGAGGCGCCCAGGGGGGTCATTTCTCAGGCCATCACGGCGGATCAACGGTCAGGAAATGGAACCAAAATGAAGCCATGGACAACGTGTCGGTGCCAAATCTCCCCCTTTCAATAAAGGACTCTAACAACGTTGTTAGTCACTGGCTCGCTTATCGCCTTCTGAAATGTACTAAAAACGGATTACATTTGTCTGACTATGGAGTACTAGTCATTCACCTAGGCTAGGTACCTACGGAGTAACCGAGTCCGTAAGCAGTAAGAATTAAACAAATAATGGTTGTTCCATTATTGCACCGAGGCAAGCCATATGGCCAACCACAATCTCCGATATTCTCCTGAACATCATTGTTTATGATAAAACAAACGAAGCCTGACTAAACATCATCCAGCTGCATGGGCAAAGGTGACGTCTGTGCATCTCGGATGCATTGAATGGTGTCCGTAGCTCCTGGGTGGCTCCCACAAGGCAAGCCACATTGGCCTGGCCAATGTTAGAATTCCACGTCCTATGTGATATGGAGTGTTCGATCGCCAGCTAAATGTGATGACTCTGACCAGAGCTTGGCCTTCTTCTGTAGGTCTTCAACCCGCCGGAGGAGACTGAGCTTGCGAACTGATGGCCAAAAGTTCAGCCTTTCTTCCAGAGAGTCGGTGACACCACAGATATTTGGCTTTGAGTGGGCGGTCATAGATCAAGACTGATGCAAGTAATCGCCCTACCGCACTTGAGCCTTTCCAGGAACGGTGTGCCTCGAGTGGAAGCTGACCGGCGGTGTTACCCAAGGGGTTGTATGTATGGGAGCAACCTTATCAGTCAGCCGATCATACCGGGCCAGAAGGGAGGAGTCTTCAAACAAAGGCATCACGCCCACATGTTGCTCAATGATGGGATGGTCACGCCAGACAGGCTTCGCTTCTGTGTAGTTTGTGCATGTAAAAGTTTGAGGAACTCAACACAGCCATCCCACACTCAAGGCTTTTTCCTCTTGGCCATCAATTTCTTGTAGTGGTCCTTCTTACCACTTGTCGTCTTCTGCTGGATTTCAGCATATTTCCGCTTGAAGCGGCCGGTCTTGTTCTCGGTGGCCATGGCTTCCTCGACAAAATTCTTCATGCGGTCCTTCTTGTTGATTCTTGAGCTATAGAACTCTGTTGGTCCTTCAATGACCGTACCTGTTTGTGAAAAAGTGGGGATCTTCCCCTTGCGGTTGTTCTTTTTGTAATGTCGATGTGGGTCGAGAACAGATCGCATTTCAATGAGCTGGAGGTCTCGCTTTAATTGAGGAGTAAGATCCGTTTTCGGGAGCCCAAACCATTCGGGGCCGGCGTTCAGCTGATCGTTCTGGTACAATCAGTATAGATCCAACGTATGGTCAGTGATAACATTGAAATCAGGAGTAAGTGAAAGTCAGAGTAACTATGAAAAGAAGCTCTCATGATGGCAGGGCAGGCCAAAAAGGACTGCTAATCTGCGTCAAGGAGAAATTTGGGTATTATTTTCCTCATGTGGTTGATGAGAACGAAGGTGAACGGTGAACGTACGATCTTGCTTGTTCTCTTCGGTGCTTCGAGAGATCTCAAGTCTGTTGACAGTGGCGCATGGGCGGACCAGGGCCGGATCAGTGCCTGTATGTCGGTCTGCATAACGCCCCCTTTGTCCTTCAGGTAGGATGTTCGGTCAAGCCCATGTTGCAATCTCGGCAGACTGGGAGGAGGTGTCAGCAAAGAACTCTTCGTATCGAAGAGAAGATACGCACGGATTTCTGTGTTTCACTGAAGCTTGACCCGTCGATATGCTGACTTCGTCTTCATCATTAGTGGGCAAAACTTGACCTGCCTTTTCGCGCAATCGTGATTCTGCATCAAGCAAGAATTGATCGATTTGGGCATCAGTGAGGACGTCAGTCGTCATTGCGAAGCACGATCAAGGGGCTTCATGGATATGCGAGTAGATCCTGTTCGACTCTGGGAACATAAGCAGTCCTGCTCAGATTCTGTGCTAGCTTCCACTGCAACTGCAGCCAAATTCTGGATTCAAAAATTAATTCGTGGCGGGGTGGAGTCTAGTCTGGCATTTCGAGTGGTTGGGTGGGAAGGTTTGCCGATAAAATCTACATCACGTGATGAGACTATTTGTTTCTAAATATACCCCCGAATCCTACTTCGTACCGAAGCCTACAAGTGGTTGGTGACTGACGAGGCTGCCCAACTTGAATTTAGAGCCCCTGTAAAAGGATTTTATGCTCGCACTATTGCTTTGAATGAAGTCGCGCAGGAGTTCCAGACTGCCGGCGCGAGAAGTACTGTTCTGTTCCGCTCCGCTCCGTTTTGCAACTTGAAGCTACTATATACTCAGCGCCACGCCCGAAGGAGGGTTGGCACATGAGCTTGATGATCGCGTTTCGGGATCACCAATCAGACGTGTCGTTCAGGTATGAGGATCTGGCGGATAAGTAGCTCAAGACGCAGTTGTTTCCAGAAATATAGATGAGGATTTGTACCGAGTCCCAGTCTTCATTAGATAGATGGTATCAGGCTAAGGAAATCCCGGGTTTTTAGGTCAGTGGCCTTAGGCCACCACGGTATTTCACACTGCTGGAGCCAAAGAGATTAGAGACACGAGTACCCTCTGGGCACTTCGCATGCCAGAATCCTCTTACTGTGACTATCTCGCCTGAGGATTCAATAGCAAGTTACCACTTACCATCCTGCTCCGAACCTAGCAAGCCTCCCAGTAACAACCCAGGTCTCTGGTCTTGAGAACTTAAAGTCTGGGTATGGAGTTGCAATCTCTGCCCGACATGCACAAATGAAATGCCCAGATGGAGTTTGGCATAGAAAGCTATTCCATCGGAGGGGTATCGACGATCCATAATGCGTCTAACCCCACCGACTCACTCTTTGTGGTGACAATCATCTCGGGCAGTTGACACATGGAATGATAGGAAGCAGTGATGTCTCACAATGTGAAATGTGGTTGAGGTCTTGGGCAAATTACGTACATCTTTGAGGATACAGTATCGCCATGATCAATTCCAAGCACCAAGAAGCAAAGTTTCTGTGCATTTTCCATCCTATATCCCGGGCCACCCAAAAGGTGTATCGAACCCCAGCAGAACGACAAGCAGAATTGCACACATTGACAATTACAACTTTTCCAGTCAAGCCGTCCCATGTGGTCAAATTGTATTCAAGCTGATAACCTTGAAGGGTATGTACCAGGCAAAAGCCGCGACAGGTATGTTTGTTGCGCCTGATAATCTATTGCTCAGCCGTACAACTTCAAATCCATGCTTACCTAATCCAGTGGTGAGATCGAGCTGGAGTAGAATGACAACGCATAGCCCTGAGGCGGTGTTCATCGGTGCCAGGGTCATCTGCAATGATGCCCAACTACGATGCCATGAATGCAGCCTCGTTACATGGATAGCGACACGACCTCAGCTACCTCGCAAAGTCGGTCAGAATGAAGCGACTTGATTTCCCAAACTAGATCACACAACAACTCTGGGGCGTTTGCCTATGGTACAGATGGCGGTGGGTGTGATATGAAGTCTCAACAATTGGACTTTTCCCAGGTCTGGAAAGACGAGTCGAGCATCAACGCTTCCATAGTCGATGTACCTAAATTAGAGTTGATGAAATCCACGATGGACCATGATCATCAGGAACACATCTCAGGTACATGGGACAAGAGGGTTCATACGTAAGGCACAGAATGAAGGAAAGCACTCCTCATGTCATATGATAGGACCCGTGCTGCTTGTTGCGGTAATGGTGTCTTGACTCAATCGACGTGGCTGGCAGAGTTTTCTGTAGCGAACCCGGGTCGTCTTGTACCTGAAAACAACCTTGGAAGCCATCACCTGAGCAAATCAACCTGGAAAGTGAAGCAAGTCTATAGGGCGGAGTGGGAGCCAGTAGCAGACGTGATGTGGCAAGTTGTCTCCATCATTGGTCTTTGAACTGGGTCGCCCGATTGGCCGCAGAATGGTTTGTTTACAAAAGCCATCGCGAGTGAACGAGGCTCTGGTGACAGTGGTACTAGTAGACGATGAATTGCAGCCCGGGAAAAGGACGAGAGAAAGGCATATAAGAAGCAATGCTGGAGATTACAGAAGTCGAGAGGCGCCCGCGCCCGCACTGGCAACGCTGGCTGAAGAAGCAATACCCCGCCCACTGCACTCTCTGTGCCTGTGCCTGTGCCTGTGCCCGCTCTTTATTATACTACCACCGAACCCCAGCCTCTTTTGAGCCTCGCTCTCTCGCTCCTGCCTTGCGAGTTCCAGGTGCACCGAGTTTTGCACGCACTCATCGTAACTTCCAGCCGCACACCGACTTTGCTTCCCTCTTCCGTCATCCATCTGGTCTCCATTGTCCCTTGTTTCTGCCATACCCAGCTTCTTCCACGTCTATCGATTGTCTCCATCGTCCTACAAATCCCGTTTCCACGCCTTTGCGCCTACCATAACTTCCGGCGCATTTGACGGACCAAAGACAGCAATCGTCCGGATACTCTACCTCGAGCTCTGCAGTCGCAGCTCAACCTCATCATGGCTGAGCGAAAGGTCGACCCTCCAGTATATGATCCCGGCAGTGGATTGGGCCATTATGGTGAGTCAAGGACAATGGTATTGTCTAGGTGTGAACAAAGACTGACCTATGTGGATATACAGGAGCAAGCGCAGCAGTATGTAACCTCCCTTCTTTTGTGAACAAAGACACCAAGGGGCCAACCTTGCAATCTTTGCTCGTTGGCTCCCAAAGCTCTCAAAGCCCGATGCCGTGGGCAATGCGCGACCCATGCGGAATTGCCAATCGAGCATCATCCACCACTCCCTTCGTATTCTTAGCATCCCGCATCACAAGAAGCTAACTCTGAGGCATCACAGTTGTCGGCGCAAGGTTACGTACCCCATACTGAGCTCTACTCTGGACTATGGTCAAACGTAAGGAGAAATTCCAGCCTCCAGCAGATCATGGAGAGAGGACTAAACCATCTACTTAGATCAATCAAGGTCTGACCGGACCCTCTCGCGAAATCCTGGCAACATATTGGCAACAGACCATCAATCACCTTGAAACAGACACCCATGATTTCAAAATCCACCAGCTACCACTTGCCCGCATCAAGAAAGTCATGAAGGCTGATCCAGAAGTCAAGATGATTTCAGCGGAAGCCCCCATTCTTTTCGCCAAAGGCTGCGACATCTTCATCACTGAATTGACAATGCGCGCATGGATTCATGCTGAAGACAACAAGAGAAGGACACTACAGCGGAGCGATATTGCTGCAGCATTGGGAAAGAGTGATATGTTCGATTTCTTAATTGATATCGTCCCCCGAGAGGAGAGCAGTGGTCACGGAGGTTCTTCAAAACGCCCAAACACCAGTGGACAGGCTACAGCAACCCAAGTTCCCCAGCAGCAGCCGCCACAAATGGCCCCACCAGATTACGGTCTACAACACGGATCGATGGGACCGCCAGATAACCAATATGGAAGACCTCAGATGTATCCTGGACACATGGGTGCCGATGCACAACAAGATAATCAAGGCTATGGGCAGGCCCCCCCGATGTTTGCTGGTGGCGATCTTTACAACCCTTATCAAGGCCAGTTTGGAGGAGCCGGTGCACAACAGGTGAGTCTTCCTCGTTCTTAAGCACTGCGAATCTTCATCTTCCTACTCGTTGATTCTTTGAATCAAAATTGATTTGCTCTCCCAACTATAGATGTATACTGGGATTCCTGGGCAACGTCCACAGAGTCAAGGCTACGGAGGACCGAGGCCAGGTACAGCAGGCAGGAACGAGCAGGTCAATGAGCAGGCATATGGCCCTGGGTGAGCTGCAAAAGAGCTCAACTGCGAATATGAATTTCCTTCCACATAAATTGTCTTGTCTTCTGCGACTGCAACAACAACTGAGATGATACCATGGGTTCCTGAAAGAATGTACTTTGATTGGTTCGTTGATTCGAAATCAGTGTACAAGTGGATTCGCCAATGGCGGTCCTATGGAAAAATGCATTTAAAAAACAAGAATGATAATCTTTTTGGTTTCTAAGTCATTTTGAAAACTCTTGCAAACCTCTGTATTCTGCATGATGTCGCCATCGCCGATGAACATCTCCTATCTAAATTGTCGCCTGCTTGGGGGCCGTTGTGTCCCAAACGACAAAGCATGACTCGAGAGAAGCGCAGACGGAAGGATTTGGAACAGTCCTTGGTATGATACATGCCATAGACATTCTGCTATCAACCGATGTCAACGCTAAACCGAAGCGTATCGAAAATAGTCCCAAGTTATCACTAGCACACAAAACGCCCTCGCATGACATGACCATATGTTTTTACATCCCGGACCGGCCAATCCCGCTCATCTCCCACTGTGCATGAAGCGGTTCTGCAGCGCGGCAAAAGTATTCCCCGGAGCTCTACTCCCGGTGCTGCCGTGATGGCCGAGTCCGGGACTCTGCGTCCCTCCACTACTGCCGCGATCGCTGATGGTGGTCGGGCTGCGCACGTCGACGTGCACGACTTTCTCCAGCAGCTGCGGGCCCTTCAGCGGGTCGACGTTGCGGTATTTCTTGTTGCGCAGAGAGATGTCGTAGAACTCGTCGGGCTGGTCGGTCGACATGAGCGCCACGGTTTGCACCAGTTCGTCCAGCGACTCCAGTAGGATCGAGTTGTTGGGGAGTGTCTCGACGTAGGAGCGGAAGTGGGAGATGTCCATGGAGAGCTGTGAGATGGACGTTGTGGTGATGCGCTCGATGGAGGGGTTGAGCGGGAGGGAGAGGATCGAGGACGCGGTGTATGAGATGGCGTTGAAGAGCATGAGGTCTTTGAGAGAGGACGGGAGCGAGAGTAGGACGGAGTTGATGATGTTGCTGAGATATCGCGTCAAGGTGAGGATGTAGTTGGAGGGTTCGGACGGTGGGATCCGGCTCAGCCAGTCGTACTCGGCCGTCTCGATCAGGTCGGATACCTTGCTGTTGACGAGTTCGAATATCCGATTCTCGGCCGTCTTCTGATGGGTGAAGAACTGGGATGTGGCACGCAGCGATACGGCTGGGCCGGGGCTCAGTGAGGAGGCACGGGCGGTGGAGAGGAGAGATTCGAGTTCGTGGCATGCGGTCGTGAAATGGGATAGATTGATGAGGATCTGCACAATCTGCCCCAGGTACTGAGACGACAGCTTTGAGACCAGGCTTGCGCACACTTTGGTCGTGAGCAGGTCGTCCAGAGATGCCAAGAGCTGAGCGTCAATCTTGGAGGTTAGTGGTCCCGGAGCATCGTCCTGTGAGTGAAAGAAGTAGAATTGGTTGAGAAAATTGCGGATGTCGATGCAGCACAGAGGGTACATCTGTGAGAATGGGAAAACTGTGGGGAAGGTCATCTCCTGGACTGGTCGGTCGGGTGTGTACCATGACACATTGACGACCTTCTCGAATTCTTCAGCGTTTTGTATGGGCATTGGCATGTAGTCGTCGGTCGATACGATCTCGACGAAGTCTTCACTGAATCGTTGCTCGAGGAGTTTGGCATAGCTGTCGAACAAGATCAGGACGAATTTGGAAATGGCGCTCGTGTTGAAGTTGAAGGAATTCATGGTCTGAATAAACAGCGAGATGAGGTTTTTGATCTTTAACAGATGCTCGGCGTTGTCGACCGCACCTAACGCTTTGGACATCAGACTGATTGCTTTTTGGCAAAGTGAGTCCCAAATTTCTTCGACCTAATTAGATTTTGTGTTAGTCCGCGGACAAGTATATTCGATCGAGATCCATGAATCATTACTTACGTCTGTGGTGGATCGAAGGTCAGGGACTTTCTTCATCGTAGCCCGTTCCATGATTGCAAATCCAGCGATATCTTCCAGTAATGAATGCAGGTCACCCATTTCTTCATCGACAAGGGATATTGAATTTTGCAGCAATAAGTCTCGTTGTGCTTTGCGACTGGCGCTATAATCTTCTTTGAACTTGTCCATTTGGCCCAGAGATCTGTAGATATGCAAAGCCTCAAAAAGCGGTGTGAAATCAACCTCGAGATCCTCACTTTTCAGCAAATTCAGCTCTTCGCGCTCATCCGCCACAAGTTCAATGGCTGAGTTCAATCTGAAGTTAGCCAAGTACTGGTTTTTCTCAGCTCTCTCCTTGTGCCTCTTTTGGCGCAGGTCTGTATGATAGAACGACAGCTCTCCTAAATACTGAGACATCTCGCGAACTCGAAAAAGCCAGGTATTCAGGTCGGCCATGACGGCTTCGGCAATTGACTTCTGGGTAGCGGGCACAGAAGACTGAATGATGTCGCTCAATTGATACTGTGTCACGCTTTGTAGATGGACGCTTTGAAGTTCATCTAGAGCTCGCAATGCCGCGTAGTGTTTCTTCTGGTCACGTAGTTCCTGAACCTGGTTTGCCAACCGAAGGACCTCTAAACAATCTTGTAAGGCATGACTTGCCTCGTCAATATTCTGCCTAACACCTCGAGATTCTACCAATGCCTTTTTCTGCTCGACTAATGTCTCGGTGCTTGCTTGGATAGACTGGTTGAGTTGCAGAATTTCATTTGTCAAAGTTACCGTTCCTTCACGAATGCGGAGCAATTGCTGAACAGATTTCACGAATTCTTGGTGGTTCGTGTTACATTGCCTCTCGATCTCTGCCTCTCGGGCTGCTGCTAGATCCGACAGCTGCCCAAGTAGGTGTGAGGTTTTATTGCCATAGCTATAGTCCTTGATGTAGGGAATGAGCTGTTCCAGTGTGTCTGCATCTGACGAGGAAGTCACAATCTGTTCTCATTGTCAGCAGATGCTTAAATGCCCTTAGCTCACGTATGGCGATGGCGTACTTGTTGCAGGACGCTATTCATGTCATTCCTGTATGGGGCCATTGATGGCATTGTGTTCAACACGATTGATGGTCTTAAATACCCTCAAGTCCCGAGTGGTTGAACGTCTCAACTGGATACTTGCTGGTGGACCCCTATTGATCTCGCTCCTTTGCACGGTCACACTTGTCGCGGTGTTGAATCAATCCGTTCCCTCGAATTGCGCAATTCAGAGTCATGGAAAAGTGTTCTTACAAAATGACTTGCCAAAAACGTTGTCTTGAGTGCTGTATGTTTGTAGCCTCGCAGAGATCCTTTGACCAATTCTCTGTAGTTCACGGAACGGCGAGAGACGCCTGACAGTAGTCCCACGCTATCCGCGTTTTCGGCTAGCGTCTGCCAAGCGTGTCGGTAGAACTTCGGCCCGAGCGTCAACGACAGCTCCTTTCTCAGATGTAGATATCACAATTTTCTTTCTCTTGTCCCTCACCTCCGTCATAATCATCACAACTTAGTTATATGATCCGACCATGGAGGTGCGTGGATCTTTGGATGTGTCGTACATGTTGGTCAACTCTCTCGGGCTGCGGGACTATGAGAGGACGTGTGCACTGTCCACAAGTGGGAAACAGAGAATCAAATCACTGAACGACTTTGAGAGTCATCTTGACCTATGTGAGGACCAAAAAAGACAACCCACTGACCACAGCCTGCAACATACCTTTGAGATACATCACCAGTACTTGTTTGGTGATCGTGCGTGCGTGCTAGTCAGGAGAAAACAGAATTGATATTGCGTTCATTTGTGTTGAGCTGCTGCTCTTTTTCAACATGTTGTGCACAAGCCGTATTGGCTTCGTGGAATGGTCATGGTCCATGTTCCAAGAGGCTGAGCATTCGCAAGCAGAAAACGCATCGCTCAGGTTCTTGACGACTAAGCGGAACATCCCCTCGGCGATGTTGTCGCTGGTCAGGTGAGTGCTGTTTGCCAAAGCTGCCAAGCCATGGGCACTGCAGAATGGGAAGGTAACAGGAGCTGTGAGGTTGAAAAATGGCAGGCACGCAGCAGCTGATAGAGCATTCTCTATGCTCAGCGTCGCGATCCCATGAGTTTTGGTGGTCGCTCGCATACAATTTGTGTGCGCAAGACCTGACACCACCGACGCCCTCGTGGTCTGCGTGAAGCCATCGCCCTCGACAACCAGTTCTCCATGTCATCAGTTGGTCGGCGACATCATCGTTGTTGTGAATTGTCATCGCACCATTCCCCGTTCGGCGGCCACACAACCCAGCCGCTCTTTCCTCTACTCAACTTCCCACCTTGTCCCTCTCTCTTCTCCTCTCCAACCACTTTTCTCATCCTCTACCACTTTCATTCAGTCATTCCCTGTACCCTCAGTCTTTGAGCATCCGCTCTATCATTGGTTTTCCTATCTCATCACACTCTTTATCCCTGTTTCCCTGAAGACTGCATCTCTCATTGAGCAAGAACTCGTGTGGGATTCAGGTCAACTTCAAGGTAAGTCCAAATCTGGTGTTTTGACTCTTGCAACTTGCCTTCCTTTCCATGGTTTGCAAGTTTCATGTCCAAAGCACCCTCTAGTTTGTTTTTCTCCCATCAAAAGCATCGTCCTCATCCCCCTTCCTGAGACACCACCTCGTCATTGTGGCAGAGTGGATTGTCATCCTTGGTCTCTGACAGTCGGTCTTGCGAAAGGCTGAACTGGGCTATCGACACAACCCATCAACAACAGTATCCCCTGTCCCAGTATCAACGTGTGCATGACAAATTCATCTAACAGAAGCTCCTGAAGCAGCAATGTCTCGCCCTTCCGGTGTTGCCATGGCTTCCAGCCCTCCTGCTTCGGATGACACCAACTCTGTTGGAACTCCATCCACCAACATCACTGCCTTCACTCCCGGTGCTGCTCCTCCTGGCACTGCTGGACGTACTTCCTCTGGCAACGAGCGTCGTGGACCTCGCAACCTTGCGCCTTTGGACACTGCTAGGTAAGCTCCTTGGCTACAGATTCGTCCACTCTTCTCACATTTGCTGATATTCAATAGGACTGGTGATGACGTTTTCTTGTCTGCTCCAACCCCTACTGCCGCCACTAGATTGTCTCCCACTGCAGAGGCCTTCACTCCAGGCCAAGCTGCTTTCAATCTTCCAGTTGAGCGTACCGAGTTCGTCACTGAGCGTGTCACTCCTGTCAAGAATCCCGTCAAGCCAGTCAGCTTGCTTACCAAAGGCATCGAGAATTATCGTCAACTTTCCATGAAGAACAAGAACTTCAGTCTTCCTGCCGAGGCCGTCAATGCTGATGGTGTAGCCACCTGGCGTGAACTCGTTCTTCCCTATGCAGACCTTGTCAATGCTGAAGTTCCTGACGTTGTCACCCCTGTTCGTGTAAGTGTCCAATCCTCAACACCATCCTTGACCATACCGCCTGTCTAACCTCTCCTTCAGCGCTTCTACACCCAAGCTGAGATTGGAGGACCTGCTCTCAGTCCTAAGAACTGCCTTGCTCTCACACCCGAGGTTCGTTACCGACAGGAGTCTGACATGCGTACCAAGATCAGTGCCATGGGCATGCGAGTGGCTCTCCGCGTCAACCATAGAGTTGTAAGAGATGTGATGGCCACCGTTGATCTTCAAGAAGGTTCTTTCACCACTGATGAACACGTCTTCCGCTCCTTTGTCGTCGCTGGTATTCCGCACGACTTTCCCACTGCTGCCATTGCTGCAACCTTCTCGGTATGTCTTCCCTCCCATACTTCTTGTACCTCCACTGACCATTTAGCCTGCCGCATTTCCATCCTTGAAGTACATCAATGCTGTTCAGGTCATTCGTGATGGTGCCTTTACGATTTCCTTTGGTGATCTTCGTGATGCTCAGAGAGCCTACGCTATTGTTTCATACCTTCACCATGATGCTTATGCACACTACCTGAGCCCCAAGACTCTTGCTGCCGACCTCGGCCAGGATTCAGTTATTCAAACTGATTTCCATGCTCAAGTCATGATCAAGGTCATCTGGGGCGAGCATCATGTCATGGCTCGGGGTGTTCTCAGCGAAATCAGACGTCTTCTCAGTCAATGTGGTGACATCAAAGCATTCCACGCTGCTCCCCGTCAGCGTCCTGATGAGGTTCCCAAGGACAATCGCGAGCTTGTGGTTGAGTTCTACAGCACCAATGCTGTTGCAGCCGCCGTTGATGTCCTGACTGGAGACTATGGAACAGTAAGTGCCCCTCTTGCAATTCATTGTCATGTTACATGAACTAAATGTGCAAAAGTACCGCATTGATGCCAGCACCTACACTCCTGATGTTCTCAATCTTTTTCACCTTCTCGATGGCCGCAAGCCCCAGGATTTCGCGTTCACCACCCCTCTCACTACCCTCAGTGTCACTGGTCGTTCAACTGTTCCTGTTGATCCAGACTATGACCGAATTGCTGCTGCTCTTCAGCGTGGTGCCCAGCGTGCCAATCGTGATGGTCGTCGCGTCAATCATAATGCCAATCACAATGTTGTCGATATCAATCGCATCACTGCTGGTGTTGACGTGCGCACCACCGTGAGTGAGTGTTGTTCGTCCTTTCCATCTTTCTTGCTAACCTTTGCCAGATAATGCTCCGCAACATCCCCAATCGCGTGGATCAAGCCCTCTTGAAGGCAATTATTGATGAAACCAGCGCTGGTTGCTATGATTTCATGTACTTGCGCATTGGTAAGTGTATCTCCTGTGTTGACTTTGATGCGCACTAATCTCAGCTAGATTTCGCCAATAATTGCAACGTTGGCTATGCTTTCATCAACTTCATCGACGTGAGTCTCATTCATTCACTTCAGCTCAAGCAATTGCTAACCTCCTCCACAGGCTCAATTCATCCCTTCTGTATGAAACTTTGCCATTTTTGAGAGTTTGACTTTACTAACCTTTCACAGTTCGTCATTGCCCGTGCTGGTCAACGTTGGAATTGCTTCAACTCCGACAAGGTTGCAGAGATTTCCTATGCTAGTATGCTATCCCTATTGCCCCCTTTGGTTGACATCTCTGACAACATGTCACAGCCATCCAGGGAAAAGACTGTCTTGTTTCCAAATTCCGCAATTCGTCCGTCATGCTTGAGCACCCTGCTTTTCGTCCAAAGGTACGCACAATTCTAACAGTCACAATGAGCAGCACTAATGTCTTCCAGCTTTTCTTTACCCGTGGCCACCCAAATGCTGGTCAGGAGGAGAAGTTCCCATCTCCAGACAACCCCTCAAAGATGCGTCGCTCTGTCGAGAACGCTGAGCATGTTGGTCTGTATCCCTCTCGTCTTCTTCAAGATTCCCTTGAACCTCCAGTTTCCGGAACCCCTGTCAAAGGCTGCGCAAAGTGTTTGGTGTTGGAGAAGCGTCATCGTCTGTTGGCAATTACTTCCTTTCCATACCCAGCCCCATCTCCTAAATGCACAAAGTGTTCCATGGTGGAGAAGCGTGGCTGGTGTTCGCCCCCTGCTCGTGCCATCAAGGCCATAGCAAAGTCAACCGTCTATGTCGACACCAACTGCCCAACTGATCCCTTCTCTGGCATCGTCACTCGTCCTCTTCCGTGAGCACAACATATCCTCACCTCTTACACATGTGAATGAAGGCTAACTTTACTCTCCCTTCAGGTCTTTTCGCCCCTAGGCAAGGTCAAGCCTATCGTGAAGAGCAACGTCGTCGTCGATCTCAATATGATCGGGGTACACCTGGCGCAGACATCGAGCTTGGAATGAATCAGCGTTTCAGATTTCAGGATCCAGCCCTCTCACCCATGAACAACAACTTTCATTTTCATCATCCAAGATACTAGCTCAACATAATTCGTGGCGCTGGTCGTTCCATAACGTTTCAGGTCACAGCCGTTGGGTTTCGGTGTCTTTGGAGGTTGTTGAGAAATGAAGCCTGGAAACCGTCATCTTGTCTCCTGGAAAGGCACAATCTTCATCCATGATCCCCCTGTTTTTCAAGAAAGCTACCCACTTCCCCTAATACTGCAAGTTTTCCTATGTCATTTCACAAAGCTGGGTTGTCTTTTTCGCCCATTGAGGACATCAAAGTTCATAGCAACTTGCAAAGATGCAAGAAAAGAGTTCGCAATAATGATAATGAAAAAATTGCAACCAAACCCTGTCTTCTGCCTGGTGATGATTTGCACGTAGAGACCGGCATCACGCTGCCGGCGGCCCACAAATGTCTCTAGTGGGTGCCTGCATTCAGAGTGGGGATTCATTCCCCAATTCTGCAACTTGACTTTAACGACTACAGGCCAGCTTTTTACGTCTTTCATACCCTGCCAATCTCCGATGGCAACATAAGGTCGCTTGCAACAAAACAGGCTTTTCTCGTTGTCTATGGGACGACCACTGTGGTGGTTCAGTGAGTTGATAGCATGGCAGGTGTGGCACGCCGGGCACGTGTCTCATTGACTTCAGATCGTGGAAAGCCCAAACGTGAAAAAGCTGGGTCACCACGAAAAGTTAGACTCCATCCACCAAGAGGACGCAAGATCCAGTACTCCCCGAGTATCGTACAGACAGAGAAATCAAGTGTCACAGCCTCATCAGCCTCAAGTCCAGTGGCCAGAAGTAGAATTGTGGATCGAACAGATTTAGCCGACTCACTCCAGCTTCTCAATTCGCTCTTCGTGCGCAACAAGAACCAACACCGCAATCAACTCTGGTGGAAGCCATTCTGCCTACTTCGAAATGCCACCCGGAAATTTGTGAGTCTCCAGACACGAGAGACTGAGCTTCAGAATCCAGCTCCAGTTAATGCAACTGCCCCAGTCTCAGCCGCAAAAGACTTTCGCCGCCGCTTTGAGCTTGAGGCACAAGTAAGGCGTGAGAGAGAGATTGTGGGCGAATGGATCCGCGAAGTGCTTTGTCCACGGTGTTATGTCGTGTTCTCGGGAGTTGTGGCGGACACGCAATTTGCGAATCTTGGTGTTGTGTTGATGGGTGTGTTGAGCGAAATCGCGGGCGTGGTCGGGCTTCCGCGAAGTCGGACAGCAGAGACAGACGAGCGAGAGAGTTTAATGCAGCATGCACAGGCTACGAAAAAGCAGGCGAGAACTCTTACGGCACACAGTCTACATGTCACAGGACCAGACAGAGGAAATCTGGTAGAACGGGTGTATGACAGTGACGATCTAGGTGAAGTTGTCGAGCGGCAGAAGGATTCACCCCAGGGAAAGGGGTCTACAACAAGAGGACACACAGATGATGACACTTGGCTGCCACCATTGTCTGCTGCGGCAGAAGCCGTGGTGGATGAAGGTACGAGATTGGGTACGGCAATAGATCAGTGGCCAAAGGATGATTCTCAGTCACAGGATGACGATGCCGAGATGGTCGAGGAGTCTGCGGATGGTTCAGCCGCTAGCAAACCCAAGAATTCTGCACCGAAGAACAAAGGGACAGCCAGACCTGTTCTGCAAGACCAACTGACCAAAGCATCGACCAGGTCCTCCCAGAGTACACCTACCGCAAGTCCTCCTCCGCTATCGTCCAAACCTAACAACAATGATCCTACCATTCTATCTTCAACACCAAAGTCTCAACCAGCAGCCGTCAAGGCGAGCGCACCAACTCCCACGGTCAAGGCGAACGTGTTGAAGAAGCACAAGAGACCGAGCGAGCAGAACAGCCCCTACTTACCAGAAAAGAACGTGGGACAGTCAACTGAGAAGCGCAGCGACAGCAAGAGCATGGGAAAGAAGATCAAGAAGAAGAGAAACGCCATTGACGACATGTTCGCTGGATTTGGATGAATGTTGTCGCGGAAAACACAACCCTTACACCACCTCATTACAATGGCGAGACCCATGAGAGATTGGTCTTTTCGGATTTTCTTTCTCTGCACATCGTTCACCCCTCTCACTGAAGGATCCATCGCCGTACCAAAGAAGACTGAATCATTGGCATGGGTGCCCTCGCCCTGGAAAACCGGACAAGACAAAATCCGAGGAACGAGTCAAAGCCATGGAAGGCAGAGAAACAGGGAGCTGGTCACTATCCCGAAGACTTTTTTATTCTCCCAGCTATTGTTGCCCTCCTCTCGGTGGACCTGATGTCATCCTTGGAATGAAATGATTGGCTTGGCAGTTCAGCACACACTGGTCTAGAAGCAGTGGAGGACGCATAACATAGTGTTTTGATCCTCCACAAGAGAGCGAAGTATTTGGGATCGAGAAGAAGCCGTACGAACGGATGATTTATGAGAGAAAACGGAGATGAACTACGTTTGGAGATTAAGACGCATGGTTCAGGAGGTTAGTGATCTGTTGGTAAAAACAAGTTGATCATACTGAGGTTCAAGCAGTAGACTACCTTAGTAACTACGAAGTAGAGTTGAACTCAATGCTTGGTGAATTGATCTTCTTGTCACCAGACCCAAGGTCTGTTCCCAATGGGGTTCTCACAACGACAGAGAAAGTTCGATAGAGTACACTTGATGAACCTCCCAACCCAAATGGCGGGCCGAGCTCACATGCTTTGCTATTCCACCCTAAAAGCACAACCCAGGCTCCATTGGTGTATAATAATGTAGCATGTATCACGTCATGTATCTCATAGCATGCACCCACCGCTTGTGCATACTCCATCGCTATGCCGAAAAGGGGAAGGGAAAAAAAGAAAATGCTTGCAACTTGTAGCATAACCAGCTCACTGTGTCCTCAAGCTGCTGCGGCGATGACTGCCATGGTGTTGGTAGCCAGAGTTGTGGCTGAACCCGCCCTTGACTGGTTGCCGGTATGGTGAACCATAATACATGTTGATGATAGGTTTCTGTGGGAGCGCGTGCTGGAGTTCCTACCTCCGTCCGTTGTAAGCGTCTTGTAAACCCATCGGCGGCCCGCCTCCTCGCATTCCACTTTCACTTCCTGATCCACCATTATATCCATGATCTCTATCTGGTGGAAGATGTGGATGTGGGTGGCGTTCACGATCCCATTCTCTGTCTCGCTCTCGGTAGCCCAGTGCTCTGTCGCGATCGCGATCTCGTTCCCAGTCACGAACTGGACTTCGGCTTCGCGGGCGGCGATCGTACACGCCTGGAGGAGGGTGAGGAGCACGATCAGACTCATGTGTGCGGCCTCTATCTCTCGCAACACTTGAACCATTGTCTTCATAGCGAATTGGCTCATTATAACTAGGCATTGGACCATCTCTACGACCCTCGCCATATGGCAGATGGTCATCTCTTCGACGAGGTTTGGGAGGAATGTTTCTTGAATCGGGATCAGCAGTCGAATACTGTGGGATATATGTATCTCGATCATGTGGATGATTGGGACGCCGAGAATCAGTACCTTGAGGGGCACCTCCTGGAATACGTGGCCGTGAAGCTGGTGGTCCTCGACCATCATCGCGGTAAGCAGTCGCATCTGGAGGGCCGTGGCGGTATGTGTCCTCGGGCACAGGTGGACGAGGAGGCAGGGCATATTCCACGGGAGGACGACGGGCATGGCTATCATCGTATGGTTGTGGTGGGCCGTGTGTGCGTGGCTGATCGTATTGTTGTCGAGAGCCATGGCCATACGAAGAGTGATCTCGTTGAGGTGGAGGGCCTCGATAATCTGCGCCATGTGCGCCATTCTGACCATGTGGTCCTTGAGGACGTCTGTTGTAATTCCCATGATTGTGTTGGCCATTGCCATAATTTCTGCCCCCACCTCCAGGCACACGGGGGCCTCTTCCACCTTCATGAGGAAGTGGTCGACCATTGATACCCCATTCCCCCTCGGGACCAACACCGACAGAGCCGCCGGCTGGTGCTGGTGGTGGTTTTGATTTCTGGTCTCTGAACTTTTTACGATCGAGTTCGTGTGATTCCTCGAAGGTTGGTAAATCACCAGGTCTTGCAGGGTATGGCTCCGTGTGGAAGTAAGGGTGCTCAAGAGCGTCGATGGCATTGATTCGCTTCCTCCAATCAAGTGTCAACAACTCAGAGAGTAAAGAGAGTGCAGTAGGGCTGAGCTCAGAGAAAACCCTAGTGATGGTTGGAGACTTATTACCAAATTCAGTCACACCATCACAACCAGGAAGCGAGCGCCATCCGGGCAAGTTTTCATCAGTGGGAGAACCAACAAGATCAAATATGAGATGTGCTTGATTGACATCGCTGTTACCAGCCAAGATCGGCTTGCCTTTGTACATCTCACCAAACACACATCCCACACCCCAAATATCAATGGCAGTAGTGTATTTGCGAAGTTGTAACAACAGCTCTGGTGGGCGATACCACCTTGTGACAACCAAGGTAGTGTATTCTCGAGTTGCGACACCGCCGCCGTGGCCACGGCGCGGAGGCTCGTCATCATAAGGGCGAGCAAGACCAAAGTCTGCAATTTGGAGGATTCCCTTGTTGTTGATGAGTAAGTTTGCAGCCTTCATGTCTCGATGTAGAATTTTGTTCTCGTGAAGGTAGGCGCAACCTTCGAGGAGTTGCTTCATGTAGCATTTCCTTTGCGGTTCGGTGAAATGGACATTGGGATTCTCAAGCAGGCCAGATAAATCATGATCCATGTACGGCGTGACCATGAACATACTTGGTTTGCTGGTAGCGCTCTTTGGTCTTTCAACTGCCATCTCCTCAAGTTTCAGAACATTGATGTGGTCGAGTTGTTTAAGAAGTTTGATCTCTCGAAGCGCAGTGATGGGAAAGCCATCCTTTTCATTATGCATTAAGATCTTTTTCAGGGCAACCAAATTTCCTCTCTTCTTGGACCTTGCCTTGGAGACCTCTCCAAAGGTGCCCTCACCGAGTTTCCCCAGGTACTCGTACTCTGTAATCCTTGAGCAGCCATGGAATCGGGCTCTCCCATCGTCAAGCCTTTCGAGAGTTTTTCTGGAGGTCTGCGCGTCGCGAGACATGGCGAAACCGGAGGCTTGGGTAGCAGAGCGTAATCTCGAAGTCGGCGTTCACCAGATCATCGAAGTAGGTGAAGAAAGGATGCGTGGATAAATGGTGATGGATGAGGCTGAGCTGAACCTATGAGGGCTTTTGCTGTCGCTGTCGCCGCTGTCTTGGAGAATTTGTTTGCTGGTGGTTGTCAAGTTGGCCGCGGCCGGTTGTCTGCAGACGATATCATGATCTATGGTGGGAGATTTGGATTATGTCGACTTGCACCGCCCAAGAGCGAGGCTTGGAGATGATTCAGATTGGCGGGAGATTTTCAGATTGATGGGTGGGAATGGATCGTGGATGATAGAAAGATCTCTATGTGGCAAGTGAGACGAAACTAAAATCGTTAAGTCAAGCGCAGGCAGTATGGAGTGAAGGATGTGAATCAGGGCAGTCTATTCAATGTCGATGTTTTGACATTCACATCGGTACATACTCCCACTTCCGGGCTCCACCACACGTTTTGCATGCGCCTGCCACACCCCAACTCGATCGACCAGATTATGACCTGGAATATCATTGTTCCTCTCCGGTCACGTGTGCTCACTATTCTTTGAGGGCTTCAAGCCTAATGCCCATACGCTTTTTCAGCCTGATACACTCGACCTGATGTCCACGACACGAAATGACGAACGTGTGCAGCTCTCAATTTCGGGTGATTCAGCATACTAATTCTCTGCTCCAATATATTCGCCAATGTCTAATATGCACTGATGTAGGCCTCCTTGGTCACACCATGAAGGCTTTGCAAACCACACGTTTGATGCCGCCAGCACAATAGGAGCCTCTGCTCCGGAGAGCCTCAAAGCCTGCAAGTAGCGCTTCAGGCTGGACTTTTTTCTGGTCTAGGCATGCAACTGAAGACGACTGGATAGGGACAGGGCTTTTTAGGAGCATGCACATTGCAGAGAGGCTCAGCAAGCCTCGCTCTCCACCTGTCACCCTGGCACTCCCGGATAGCCATCTACTATTGGCTTGTGTTTCAGCCGCTTCGTGTCTTTATAGCCTCAAGCCCCTTCAATTAGACTTCTTCCCATCTGGTACTGTTACACGGCATACAGCCCGATCCAGAGCAACAGCCCTCTTCTGCGTTGCGCTGAACAATGGTTGGCCACTGGATTTTCTTTCAACAACACGTCCACAGAGCTAAAACGCCCCCAGGGCTGCGCAGTGAAGCCGGAAGCAAGAAAGTTCCAGATACATCGATGGGCGATATATGCCTGAGCCTAAGCACCCCCTGTTGTTGCGGCGGACTTATATATTGTCTGGAGTTCCCTGGGGTAGTCGGAACCTTGGAATTCTCTCATCATTTGTCATTCAAAGGTCTTGCTTCTGATTATTATAGTAACCTCGGATTCGTTCCCATCCCGATTCATCTTCACGGGGCTGATGGCAGAGACAAGTGTCATTCAGCAGGGCTTCAACTCGAATGCACACCCAGCCTATGGCCCGGCTGGTCATTTCTATTCCCAAGCCAGCAATCTACGATCACATGTCAAGCGGCTTGTGGATCAATTGAAGCAGACGGACCCTTCCAATGCTTTACGAGTTTATCTGGAAGATAGTGTACATGATTTTGGCCATTTTGGAGAAAAGCGCCTTCAAAATCGAAATGCAACTTCAGAAACACCGAGGCTGCGAGCACAAGATCTTCTATTGTCTCTCGTCACAGTTGCGGATCACTCAAGCAATCCTGTAAACCGGCTTACCCTGGGTGACGTACACTTAAACGACTTTCTGTCCGATCTGAGAGAACAGCTTTTTAACACTGGTGATCTGATGATGAGTATTTGGTAGACCAGATTCATTCCTCGAAAACGCGGGGCTGACAACACCACCCATAGTTGTTTGGCACCAACCCCATTTGCAGACGTCGATGCTATTATGTCATTGAGGTCCAAGATATTTGGCACACCTTCTCGTATCCGCCGAAAGCACGAAGCTCCACGAGTCGGTGTGATCCTTACCATTGACGAGTACTGGCTCTTTGGCAATCAGATTCGGGAAGATCTGCTCGGGTTGACAGAAACAGAATTGGACGTCTTGACACCAAATGAAGACTTTCACGCTCTAGGTAAGGCCATCCTGGCTCGATTCCAAATCGGTTTGACAACTTTCCATTAGTTTCGGACCGCACATCATTATTTCGCGATCAAGGGTGGACCATTTTTGATTTCGAATGGTGCTGCGTTGCCCCAGCATGGACTTGGTGGTTCAATATGTACATCTGGGCATTTCATACCACTCAACCAGGGGTCGAAAAGGTTACTTTGTACATTCAACAAATGAATCCCAGCTGCCAGGTGTTGCTCGCCTATAAACAGACTCAGGACGAATCATATTCGAATGTGAGAAAGTTCTTAATCGCTTCTCGAACAGCATTTGATGCAACATCTTTGGATCTGAAATCACCCCAGGTGGCTACAGTCCATCTATTGCTATCAATTCTCTTCCTTCTTTGTGATGGCAATACCAAGTTCCGAGACTCCTTCTTTCAGCGCATATCTCACATGGTAGGTCTTACATATGCGCCTCATTTGCGATCGGTGGTGTAGAAAAATATGCTAATGGCTGCTTTTGTCAGAGGTTGAGCGGTCGCAAAAACCCTTCCCGCTACAAGATCAATTTCCTCTTGCATCTGGATGACCACAGGCAGTGCGCACTTCGAGGTCTACAAAGAGCAAGAGATCTGGTACACGACATTGAAGACTTTGCGAAACGGCCGTTGTCCGTAAGCTCGCAGGCTTTAGACAGTATACGTGAAAGATGTGATGAACTCGGTACGAACCTGAGGAATCTTGAACATGACCTCAGCAGCCTCGAAGGGATGCTGATGCAGACTCGTGACATGGTGAGTAGCACAAAGGTCACAAACTGTACACCTCATATGTAAATCCTGACATATCAATCACAGATAAAGCTCCAGATTGACCTACAACAGCTCACATACTCCGGTGTTATTGCTCTTCTCGCTGCAGTTTACTTGCCCTTCTCGTTTGTAGCTGTAAGTGCATCTCCCCTCGTAATTACGATCGAGCAACCAACATTAATGATCTAGGCCCTGTTTGGAATGAATGTCAAAGACCCTTTGTGGCAAGCAAATGCATCACAGTCGATGAGCATAACCACGGCGGCCGTAGGCAGTGCCACTGAACCGAGTCTCCAGAATCCGACGACAAATATTGTCGCAGCCATTGAAGCGATCACAACGTCTACGACGTCCAGTCTGGTCGCAGAAGCTACCACGACCCTTGCCGAGGCTTTCATTGACGCTCTCGAGAGTCAGCCAGGCCCATATCTCTTCACCTTCAAAAACTTTTGGTATATCGCAGTCTCTGTGACAGCTGCCGCCATATTCTTACCCCTCTTAATCGGCGGTGCTTTCCGAGAGACGGTTCAATTTTCCTATAATCACAGAGAAATATGGATAACACTCGTTTTCATTGTTGCGATAAGCGGCTCCACTACGCTCAGCATATTTGAAGGCTTTATCGCGGCATGGGCTCTAGGAATGCCACAGGTTCTGTTAGCTTTGATCATGCTTCTTCGGAAAGCAAGAAAACCAAAGAAGACCAGGCGCTTGCAACGATGGATTGTTTACGCATCAATCCTGGTGGGCTGTATCCTTTTCGACATTTCTGGGCGTTCTTGGGCCTCATATCCCAGTATCTCGCGAGCCATATCTGGAGAAATGGGAGCCGAACTTGTCTTGCCATCGTTGACAGGCATTATAGCCCCATTTTGGCTCGTAGGGCTCTGGTTCTGGAACGATAGACCTCTTCCCAGTAATAGGGCTGAGATTGATCGTATATTTGATCGGAAACCACGACGCTGGCCGCCACGAATCGTCCTGCATTTCATTTTACTGATTCGGGACGGTTTCAAGAATCTGCCAGTTTCTCTTGGACATTCTTTGTTTTGGGGCATTATATGTGGAGGCGGCATCAATGCATGCCTGAGTATATCCTTACCCACCACCTTATACCTGGGCATGACGTTTACATATTTTGGACTGTACAGTCTTCTTGAGTTCCCAGATTGGCATGGGAGGTGGAGCTCGAAGAATGGGTTCATTTGGTTTTTTTTCATCTGTGTTGTCGCCTGTTCTGACATATTTTGGTGGCATTTTATTTGGGGAGTTTATACAGGTTCTCCGGTTCTGTTTCCAGTATTAACCTTAGTGGCTATTAATTCACGGGCTGTACGACGAATCTGTCGTCGCATTCGTGGCGGAGCTTCAACAACGGTATCAGGCGATCAAGCGCAGCAGACAAATCCGGGCGATCAACACGTTTGATGAGACTCCATGACCTTTGGACTCACTCGGATCAAAGCGCGAGTGAGCGCCATGGCTTGAGATGTAATGATTTTGTAGCCTAAGGAGGTGCCGCAAAGGCAGCAATAAGTAATGAAAATACATTTGTCACTTGATACTAAAGAGGTCCTGATATTGCCTTGGGCTGAGAACCACCTTTCTACACTTTGGGCGATACTATGTTTTACTCGACAATGTCGTAATATAGTCAGGAAAGAGAATGAGAAACCCACCGCTCGGGATAGAGGTTCGGCTTATTACACAGTCACGTGCCGTGCCAAGCATCGATCTCGCAGCTCAACTTGCATGTCGAGACCTCAGTGGGATGGTCCTTTGACAGCGATCACGTTCACCAACAACCACAACCGCCTTAAGTGTACGCCTCTATCTGGGGTTTCTGGTCATCGAATCTTCAACTGACATCTCGCGCAGATTTGAATTCTAGGAAATGGCCGGAGGCACGCACGGCAAGCCCATCTGGAAGGGCAACCACCCCGTCCGACAGATCAACCCGCAACGACCACTTTATCGGTTTGCCGCAACTGGCCTCGGAGCCGCCATGTGGTTCTTTGTAAGACCCTCCGCCTGAGATACCAGCTCTCAAGGCAACTTGGCTGACCAAGACAATGCAGTTATTCTACAGAGCGAAGCAGGATGGCGCGGCACTGCTTGGATTAAAACACCCTTGGGACCATTGAGCAGGAGGGTTACGATGAAGAGAAAATGAACATAAACTCCGAGAGAAGCAAAAAACATCATTGTACATATTCACCAGGGCATGGTATGAGGCGCAAGGGAATATACAATCGCCTGTCAAACTGGACTTCCGACCACGAACATTTCCTTGTGAACCGAGCATCGTCCCGCAACTCCGGTTTACTGATCAGGAATACTATCGACGAAGCTCAATATACCACTGTTCGCAATTCTGATCCGGTCGTCAGACCGCTGACTTTATTACCGGTAGCGTCTTTCTGACAGGGAAGTGGCTTCGAATACACATTCAACTTGGATCCCCAATCTACAAGTTCTATATTCTACCAGAATAGAGATGATTCCTGACACCATGCTTTCCGGCCAGCACAATCAATGCTGCAAATATTCACCCTGCTTGCCTGGACTCTTCTTCTCGAACAGGTAATGGCTCACTCCCCAAGTATCCCCACCCTCGTAGGCAAACAACTCAGCACAAGCCATGTAAAAGACCTGCCAGCGATAGAACCACATCCCGGCCTTTTCTTTACCATACGTCTCCTCCAAACCGGGCCAAATCTCCCTTTTGCTCGCGTTCATCTTGCTCAACCAATCCTCGCACGTCCGCGCATAATGCTTCCCATTCACCCACCACTGCCTCGACAGCGTCAGGTCATCTTGGAAGAAATGCAACAGATCAGCACTCGGCATCGTCCCGCCCGTGAAGAAATGCGTGCTCATCCAGCCTCCCTCAAAATCGTACGGCGTGTCCTTGTGCGCGAAGATGTGCACGAACAGCTTTCCGCCCGGTCGCAGTGCACGGCCGAGCTTCTGCATCAGCAGGGCGTAGTTCTTCATGTGCTCGAACAGCTCGATGCTCACGACGCGGTCATACACACTCGCCTCGAACTCGTGAGTCACCACATCGCCCGTCACGACCTTCAGGTTCGTGAGGCCCTTCCGCTTCGCCTCGCCTTCGATGTAAATCCGCTGCGTCCTCGAGTTGGAAAAGGCCGTGATGTTGGATTTCGAGAACCGCTCTGCGAGATACAAGCTCGCACTGCCCCACCCACACCCGAGGTCCAAGATGTCCTGGCCGTCCTTCAGACCCGCTTTCTCGACGTACGTCTCCAGCATGGCGATTTCCGCCTGTGCCAGCGTCTCGCCGCCCGTTGGGTACAGACAGGAGGAGTACTTCATCCTTGGGCCAAGGCACGCCTGGAGCACCGACGTGCCTACTTCGTAGTGCTGCGTGTTGGCCTTGTCGGTCTCGATGGCGATGGGCCGGCTGCGTAATGCGGCCACGTATGCCATCTTACGCTCCCAGGCTTTGGACAGAGACTCGGACTTGATTGTTTGTATTCGGTCGGCTAGTTGTCGGCGGATACCCAGTCGGATGACACTGGCGGGCAGCCAGCCATTGTCGATGAGATACTCTGCATGAACTCAGTTCAGTTCTTTCAGAGTAGATTTGATGCTAAATGTTCCTCCATTTTGCTGTAGCTTACCTGTGGGATCCATTGCCAGAGCAATATATTTCCCAAGTGTCGTAAAGATGGGCTAGCTAAAATACTGTGCTTTGCTTTACAAGGTCCTACAAGGAGATGAACAATTGAGGAAGAAAATCTGATTCCAATTAGAGGATGGAGGATGGCAACGATAGGATCCACACAAGGGCTCAGATGTCTTCACAAGCTTATGAAACCCTAGTAGTCTCGATATTGTCTTGAGTTTTGACCATGTGCAAAATGCTTCGGAGGAGGAAAGTGATGACGTCGTTGTTCATCGGATTGGGGCAAACGCAGCCTCGTGGTTTCCTTCTTTTCCCTCACAGGTTGTTGAACCACCCGTGTTCCTCATGAGTGGCTCTCACGCAGGGGCTACGGCACTCACCTTGATTCTTGTCCATGAGATGTACATACAGTATCAGCACGCTGTGAATCTGGCCGGGAGTGGCCCAATGGGCAAATGTTGGATGATCATGATATATTTTGAGTGATCAGTCCATCGTATCATCTCAACATGTGATGAACGGCTGCTGGGTAATGGACATCACTTTTCGTTTTCGTTTTATCCCATTCCTTTGGCTTATTTGCTAACCAGAATATCCTCCGCGATTAGTTTATACAGTTTCCGTTTTTTGGGATGTGAAGGCCGTAGGTACAATTTTAACTTGCCGACATATTTGGCCAGGACGGGTAGGAAATATCGTTCTGCAAGATATGCGCCAGCAAAGCCTGTGGTCGCAAGTGCAAGCAAGAATAACTCGTAGTCGAGTGACATCTCGGTCAAGTCCATGAAATTTGCTAGCCATTTGGCCGGGTCGAGAAGCATGTACAGTGACATGAGTAGTACTACGACTAGTGTGACAACGAATGGCACATTAGCAGTCATAGATTGGCGAAATGGTGGCCCAACGCTGAGAACAATTCCTGAGAGGATATATTGGAAGCAGGACACCAGAAATAGCGCAGTGTTTTGCGAGTTGTCGACACTTGATTTCTCCTTGTCCAGCTGAGGAGGTTGATACCACGGTTGACTTTGCACAGTCTGGAATGCAACGAGTTGCACCAGGATGCAGAGTAAAATCTGGCCAAGGAGTGGTGTGAGTACTTTTCTAGAGACCAGACTCGCAGTCGGGCGTTTAGTGCTCAAGACTGGATATGCTCCTGTCCAGCCCATGAAGATTGCTATCGGCAATATCAAGGCCAGATCAATGAACAAGAATTGAAAGTCGCCCAAATTAGAAGCGGATGCATATAGGAAGCTGACGGATGTGAACTGGATGGCCGAGTACAGACTCATGTATTTGAAACAGCAGAAACTGGTGACAAGAGCTGCACGGCCTTCTTTTATGAGGGCTGGGACACAAGAAATGTCAAAAATGTGGCTCGTGAAAGGAGCTGCCACAGAGGCTTCGGCTTCTGAGAGAGAGACACCAACGTCAGCAGCTTTTAGTGCACCGCAGTCATTGGCGCCATCGCCACAAAAGCCGCAGCAGTAGTCAATGCTTTGTAGCTTCTCGACCAACTCATGTTTCTCATCTGGTGACATGCGAGCGAAGACAGCACCCTTCACAAGCATGCGCTCCAGAATCTCCCTCGAGCCGAAATCGACGATCCATCGGAATGCATCACCTGTGACGGCTAGGGTATATTCTCCGATCGCCAATGCATCATAAGGAGCTGCATTGTCGTCCTCGGTGGCCAGTGGTGCGGGGAGAAGAGTATTTTCGTCAAGCTGATAGATTGGATTGTCCACACTTTCCCATGTCAAGCATGCCTTCGGATCCATTTTGTCTCCTTGGATGAAATGAGGGACGAAGCAGTGGGCATTTCGATCAATCAAAGCACATTCTCTTGCCACGCTGATAGCGGTAAGAATATTGTCGCCTGTGCACATGACATTGCGAATCCGAGCTTCGTTCAGCTCTTCAATGATCTCGGTCGTGATATCTTTGAGCTTGTTCTCGAAGACTATGAACCCGATCAACTGTAGTCGTGACTCAGCAGCCGTGCGATCCATTAGTTGAATCTCCTCGGAGCTGATTCTGGAAGCATACTTCGAGGCGCATGCAATAACACGAAAGCCTTTGTGCGTGTAGTAGCTGAGCAAGTCATCAAAATCGTCAGGTATGCTTGAAGCCGTACAGATATCTTTCATCACTTCTGGTGCACCTTTGACATACACATTGGCACCAGGATCTCCATACTGGCGGACGATGACGCTGGCTCTTCGAAGGTGCGAAACAAAATCGAATGAGCGAAGGACACCAAGCTCAACACGAATTGGATTACTCGTCTCTTGGGAGTCATCTAGGTCGTACTCCAAACCCTGAGGTGGGCGAGCAACGCTGGGAGCCGGATGATGAGTGCCTGGCTCAATAAAGTGGCTGGTATTTCGTGATCCTTCCTCGAAGGACCATTCGGTGAATTGGAACATTTTCAAGTCGAGTGGGTCCCCGATCAGCTCATCGTCCACAAGTCGCAATGAATGGCAAGATGCCATGGTGTACAACATATTCTTGTTGACGCGATAATCCACTGTAGGATCGCGATCATAGGATGCTGGTGGAAGAACTTCGTGTGCCTCCTCAAGAATGTCCCCAAACCGAATTTCTGGATGTTGAACAAGCCGAACTCCCAGCACATCAAGACCGTCTTCAGTCAACGTGCCGGTTTTGTCAAAGCAGACTATGTCAAGTTTCCCAGCCACATTGACCCTCTGCGGACTGATGCAAAAGATCTGTTGTTTTTTGAGTCGAGATAATGCAAAGTTAGTCCCGATAGTAAGAGTTGCAGGCAGTGCAGGTGGAACAACGATCGTGATCAAGTCTAGGGCTCGGACAACGATCAAATGCCACGCCAATCCAAGTTTAATGAAGTTAATGAAGGATGCGATGAAACCAATGGTCGCAACACCTCCCATGACTGAGATGTAGCGGAACGAGTCACGGTAGAATTTGAAGCCAGAGGGTTTGGGGAAGAGCATCGAACGGACGAGGGCGCCTTTGGTAGTATTGAATCCGGTCCGAACAACCAGCGCAAGTGCAACAGCCTCGTCATCGTCTGTGTCTTGCGGACGTCTTGCACGGATTATCTTTGTACCACAGAATAGAAAATGGCGGGCAACACTGGGGTGTATGGATGTCGCTCCAAGATCCACATAAAGTAGTGCTTCATCCGTAATTGGAATTTTTGATACTGGAATCGATTCCCCTAGACTTGATAAGCCTATGTTCAGAGTGTATGAATGTAAAAATCATACCTGTCAACATGCTCTCGTTGATGATGCAATCTCCTGCAAGAAGGAGACTGTCACACGGAAGTTGAGACAATGACGGATCAGATACTTCATACACATCGCCCGGTACAAGATCGCCAGACACCGCAGAACGCCCTGAGGAGATGTAAGGATAGTTCGCATACTAAAGGGGCTGAATTCACCTACAAAAGCCGTTGCGCAGGACACGCACATCGCACTCGAATCGTGAAATCTCTCTGAGTCGTTCCATTGTCTGTCGGGATCAGCGTCTAATTGCAGCCGAGGGGAGCTTGTGAACCTACAGATCTAGTTTCGATAACAGTGGTAGTTATTGAAAAGACCGAGATGAGGAAGATGGCAGCTGCGTAGTAGTAGTACTCGTCGGCCGACCACAAAATGAGACTGGCGATTTGAAATACGTAAAATGGATGAAATGCCTAAAAAGATTAGAAAGCGTCACGAGCGACATAAAGCCGATAGGGCTAACCTCGTCAAGAAGCAGTTGAGCAATCGGTTTTTGCTCAATTTCAATCATGTTCTTGCCAAAGACTTGATCTCTCGGATCTCTCTCCTCAGAGTCCAGACCTTCTCGAAGAGCTTTGACGTCGGTCCATTGTGGATCCCACCAATCGTTATTGAGGACAAACTTGTCTTGAACAGGGTGAAAAAGAAGGCGCATATATCTATAATTGAGGGAGCGTAGGACAGGTAAATCTTGATCGTCATCGTAGCGATAGCTGTTGGTCTTTTCTTTCTGAGATGGGGTGAAAACCGTGGACAGGGGATGGCCATACTCTTGTTCTGAGATGTAGTGGATGGAAAATTCGCCCCATTGGTTCTGAAGTCGTTTAGTCTTTCTTCGCAGCAGTTTCTGTGGCGGGCCATAGCTCACCTCTACAACGACCCAAGAGCATTTCTTGAGGGGCGCGGGGGAGCCAACAATGGAGATACGCCAGCTAGGGACCCAACGAAAGACGAGATAGCCAATGCCAGCAGTTAAGACGCAGATCGCGATATAAAGCATGAAACCAAGGGAGGATGTGGAGAAGCCGGCAATGACCATGGTGAGGTCTTCAGTCTCAATGTACAGCTTTTGACTGAAGCTACCTCCATCATCATGTTCTTGAATGTCGCTGCGAGCGGACTCATGGCGTCTAAGTAGAGGCTGATCGGAGGACGATCGTAATCTCCCAGACGACTTTCGTCGCAGAGAGTCCACTTCCCCGGCCTCCAGATCGTGATCCGTGATGGCTATGTTTCCATCCTCTTCATCACTGACATCTAAAACGGCTTCCTCGTCGGAATACTCGGGAGTTTCTTGCTCGTCTTGAAAATAGGTAAAGCTGGATATCGATCCTTTCCGCTGCCTCGGCCGTTGATATGCGAAGCCAGTCATGCTACTCGGCACGCTTTCAGAAATGGGCCCGGAGAATAGCTGGAAGGTGGGATCAGCATAAGCGAAAGAAATAGAAGAGAGTGCAGTAGCAGACCTCATCGGTAGCCATTTCGACCTCGGAGACGAAGCTGGCACTATGACAATGATTAGCATTTCAACAGCCTTGCTTAGATGTTGTGAACAAGTAGCTCACTTGCTCATATTGGAGTCGCGGCGACGCATTGTTCGGCGCGCAGAGCTGCTACGCCGGAGCGCAGCAGATGAAGGTCTTTCAGGAATATCCATGGCGATGAACAGAAGTACCACGAGGGCACGGGGATTCGAATGTTCAAGACATGGTACAGTCGAACAAGCAAAGATTGAAATAAGGAGAGAAGTACAGATCGATAGATTATTCGATGTGCTAGATTGCAGTGCTGGTCAGGAACTTTTTCTCCCTCTGTACGTGCAGTGATCGAGTGAGTTGTACTCAGGTTTGGAAACCCTTTTTGCTACAACAATAATGGTTGGTGGAAGGAGAGGTGTTAGTGGAGGCGGGACGCAGCTATGATGCAAGAAATTCGATAAGCCGTGGGTGGTGGTCAATCTGACTGGCCAGGTACGCACCCCGTAGTCAAGTTGGCCGTGGGCGTCAAGCATGCTGTAGTTGGGGGAATCGCAGGGCCCGAGGGGCCTGTGCAGCCTAATCCAACAATGCCAAGCGCTCGCCTCTCCTCTCTCTTCACCAGACTCTTATCGCCTACCTAGGTAGAGTGGCCACTGACTCACGTAGTGATGGTGTTGGTGGTGGATGTCCATCCCACTCTACAAACTGCATTGAAGTCCGTCACGGGTCGACGGATAGGCCAGTATCCTCCCAGTTCTTCTGCAAGAAGTACCGGGTACCTGCGATTCCTCTGAGCAAGGTAGTAATGGTGTTGCAGCATTAGCAGAATATCCCCTAGGAACTGCCTTGATAGTAGTCTAAAAGTGCTCCGTCGACGTAGTAGTGGCTACCTGGGAGCCCACTGGCTTCTAGAAGTCTGTGTTGGTGGGTGGACTTGAGATTTTCCTCACAGGAATACCCTCATCCTCTCCCACCACTAGTCACCACTGCATTGCACGACGACCACCATCCGAGTTGACAACAATTCTTTCCTCCCTTCTACGTCAACCCTTTTTACCTCTCCCTCTTCTGGCAAAAATCTCTTTTTCCTTTCTTATCCTGCACCACGACCCAGGGCAGACCCATCTGCTTTTATACTCCCTCTACCCCAGCCCTTCTTGCAGAGTTTGAGCCACTATTTTTCTCCAACAGATCCTGCGGGCCAACCAAACCTTTCCACCGCCATTACTCAATTCCCAACAACCATGGCTTCAGAAATTCCAAAAGGCCGCTCTCAGGTCACTGCACCGTGAGTCCATCCTGAATCCCCCTTCATCACTCTCTGTCCCTCTCGTGATCCTCAACTAACATGGCTTTACCATCCAGAACTCCTCAGAACAGTATGTTTTCCCCCTCGTCCGCCCACCCGCACTCTTTCACTCACCCATTCTAGCTCCCGCCACCAATGCGCCGATATCCTCTCATGCGCAGGCTCCTACGATCGGTGACATCCAGGAAGGTGAGAAATATAGCTGTCATATTCGTCTACGAAATGCTGACTGCCCGCAGAGGATCTTGACCGTGCCGCCGCGGCTTCCATATTTGCCAAAAACCCGGCTCTAGTCTCCATGATGCAGCAGAAGCTTGGTTCTCTCATTGGCCGGCCTTCCGGTTACATCGAGTCCCTACCAGAGAATGTTCGTCGTCGTGTCAGCGGCTTGAAGGGTATCCAGAAAGACCATGCCAAACTCGAGTCTGAATTCCAAGAAGAAGTCCTCCAACTTGAGAAGAAATACTTTGCCAAGTTTACTCCCCTGTATGAGAAACGGTCGGCTATTGTCAATGGTGAAGTCGAGCCCACTGATGCTGAGGTTGAAGCCGGGAAAGTCGACGATGAAGATGAGGAAGACGAAGCCGCGGATGACGTGGATCAAGAAGACAAGGCGGCACAAGAAGACGTCAAGGGCATTCCAGAGTTCTGGCTTACCGCCATCAAGAACCAGATCTCACTCGCTGAACTCATCACTGATCGTGATGAGGAAGCTCTCCGTTCATTGACCGACATCCGCATGGAATATCTCGATCGACCAGGCTTCCGCCTCATTTTCGAGTTTACTGCAAACGATTTCTTCACCAACAAGACCATTTCCAAGACATACTTCTATAGAGAAGAGAGCGGATATGGTGGCGATTTCATCTACGATCATGCAGAAGGTGAAAACATTGACTGGAAGGCCGGAAAGGATCTCACCGTACGCATTGAGAGCAAGAAGCAAAGAAACAAGAGTAAGAAAGAGCCTTTCCCCTTCTGGATGCAGTTGGATTTACTGACGTACTTCTAGACACCAAACAAACCCGAGTGATCAAGAAGACGGTCCCCACCGAGTCCTTTTTCAATTTCTTTTCTCCTCCAGTTGCCCCAACTGATGATGACGATGTCGCCTCTGACATCGAAGAGCGGCTCGAGCTCGATTATCAGTTAGGCGAGGACATCAAAGAGAAGCTCATCCCTCGTGCCATTGATTGGTTCACGGGTGATGCCTTGGCCTTTGAAGAATTCGAGGACGGCGAGGATGCCGAATTTGACGACGAAGATGATGAAGACGAGGAGGACGACGAAGAGGCAGAGTCCGACGAGGATGATGAAGAAGAAGGTGGTAAACCCCGATCTCAACAACAGTCCGAGTGCAAGAATCAGTAGGCCAGTGTATCGAGTTTGAATCAATGCAAATGGTGCATCGTGGATGTAATTCTACTCGTACAGCTTGGGCAGAGATTGCCTCGCATTGCTGAAGCCGAGAAGCAGCAATCTTGTTGTTGAAGCACGAAGGAGCAAGCGATCGACAGGCCTGTGGTCTTGTTATGACCAGACCCCATCTTTGACCCGCTTTCAGCATAATCGGCGTTTGAGATGCTGGGGAGGGCATCCGTAAACCGAAACGCATGTGGAGGGAAGCAAAGGTAACAGGCGATTGTACTAAGCCCAGGCGGTCCTTTTAGTTAGTTGTTCAGTTTTGCAGTGGTGGCGTTTGAGCAGTATTGAACCATCCAGCAACAGGGACTATCCAGTACCACAGTCGTGTCCGCCATTGCGAAAGTCCCCCAGGTAGTGGTGTCTATTGAAGTCCCTACTAAGAACAGGGCATTAATACCAAAAGTCTTGTTTATACGTTTCGGGTATCTCTGCTGTACCTAGGCAGTCTCAATAGGAGATAACCCAAAGGCCAGACATGCCAATAATGAAGGACCCTTGAGGGTGCATGGAGTTTATTTTATTCCGTAAAAAAGGGGGTATTCGTCCCAGTACCTAGGTAGTGAGAGAAGTCTCCATCGGTGGGCGGTGAGTGATGCTACGAACGATTTCTTGGTGGCTACGTTGGGAGCCCAGGGACTAGGGCAAAAGAACTCAGGCTTTAGCGGTACGCAGATGCCTTGACCTCGAGTGCCTTGGCTGCCCAGGTGTTCAACACCCAGGGGAAAGGGTAGTAGGGGGCGCGTTGAGATGAAAGAGGAATAGCGTCAATGGCGTACCAGTCGGGGTTGGTTTCTTTGCCATCGGCGCCGGGAGAATCAACTACAGAGCAGACAGCGCCAGGATCTGGGCGGGCAGTCACCTTCGTTGGTATAGGCACTGGCACGGGGCTTGCGGATACCTGAAAGAGCACCACTGGGTGCCACTCACCTCCCCTCTTGACCACTAATCACCGCTCAACTCGCCTGACTTCGGTTAGCCTCCTAGCCTCCAACTGTTGCTAACTTTCTGGCTGCGTTCCGGCGCGTCTCTCTCAAAGTCCCTGAAAGACTTTCTGACATGTTCCCCAAAGATTCTAACACGGCCAGCCGCACCTGATGCCAATTCAGCCATCAGCTATCAACATTCCATCCCTCTATCTTTCGAATCTCTGAGCCCACGGTATGCTTATTTACACTCACTCTTCTCTGCTGACACAGTTACGCACTCCTCGAATTTGGTGTGATCGTCACCGAATTACTGTTGACACGTCTTCTGCTTAGATCCCCGAATCGCCCAATCCGACTACATGGCTCCCATCGCAAACAGCAGTTGATTTGATTCCTAAACCCATTCCTTTCAGCTCCACTGCCCAATATGGCCAGTTGGGAAATAGGTACTCGGGCCTGGTTCCCCAACCAGGCCGAGGGCTTCATTCCTGGAGAGTTGGCTGCGAGAAAGGCAGTTGGCGATGGAAAGATTACCCTTGTTTTCAATCTCGCCGATGAGTCTCAGCACACGGTCGAGACCACCGAAGATGCCTTGCAAGACACCCAGAGTGCCGCTCTTCCTCCCCTGATGAATCCTCCCATGTTCGAAGCCGCCGAAGACTTGACCAATCTCTCCCACTTGAACGAACCTGCCATCCTGCAGGCCATCAAGCTTCGATATGCTCAGAAAGAGATATACACCTACTCTGGTATTGTCCTCATTGCAACCAACCCTTTTGCCCGAGTCGACTCTCTCTATGTACCTCAAATGGTACAAGTTTATGCCGGCAAGCAGAGAGCCTCCCAAGCACCCCATCTGTTTGCCATTGCAGAAGAGGCCTACACAGACATGTTACGAGACACCCGGAATCAGACTGTTGTAGTCTCTGGTGAGTCCGGTGCAGGCAAGACCGTTAGTGCCAAGTATATCATGCGATATTTCGCGACTCGTGGAGGCCCTGGCCAGTCCTCAAAGAGCACCAAAGGCAGAGCCGATGCTATCAGCGAGACCGAGGAACAGATTCTGGCAACGAATCCTGTCATGGAAGCATTTGGTAATGCAAAAACTACAAGAAATGACAACTCTTCTCGCTTCGGAAAATACATCGAGATTATGTTTGATAAGAATACAGACATTATTGGTGCCCGCATACGAACATATTTACTCGAACGCTCTCGTTTGGTATTCCAGCCATTGAAGGAGCGAAATTACCATATCTTCTATCAACTGGTGGCTGGTGCGACTCCCCAAGAACGGGAGGAGCTCGGTCTTCTGAATGTCGAAGAGTTTGATTATCTAAATCAAGGCAATGATCCAGTGATTGACGGAGTGGATGACGCTGCAGAGTATATAGCGACGAAGAAGTCCATGACAACCATCAACATCTCGGAACCCACACAAAGAGAGATCTTCCGAATCCTCGGTGCACTCCTACACTTCGGTAACATCAAAATCACTGCCACACGAACAGACTCTACTCTTTCTGCAACCGAACCTGCCCTGGTACAGGCATGCCAAATTTTGGGCATCGATGCGACGAATTTCGCCAAGTGGACGGTCAAGAAACAACTCATTACCCGCGGAGAGAGAATCACCTCAAATCTCACCCAGCAACAAGCGACCGTTGTTCGAGATTCGGTGGCAAAATTCATCTATTCAAGTCTTTTCGATTGGCTAGTTGAGACAATCAACCATGGCCTAGCAACCGAAGAGGTTCTACAACGACTGAACACCTTCATTGGTGTTCTCGATATTTATGGCTTCGAACACTTTGCCAAAAATTCATTCGAACAATTTTGCATCAATTATGCCAACGAGAAGCTTCAGCAGGAATTCAATCAGCATGTCTTCAAACTTGAACAAGAAGAATACATGCGTGAACAAATTGATTGGACTTTTATTGACTTCTCTGACAATCAACCGTGTATTGATCTTATAGAAGGCAAGCTTGGTGTCCTATCTCTCCTTGACGAAGAGTCGAGGCTACCAATGGGATCTGATGAACAATTCGTCACCAAGCTTCACCATCATTTCGCTGCAGACAAGCAGAAATTCTACAAGAAACCAAGATTCGGAAAGTCTGCATTTACCGTCTGTCATTATGCCCTCGATGTCACCTATGAATCTGATGGATTCATTGACAAAAATCGAGATACTGTACCAGATGAGCAGATGGAGGTGCTTAAGAACTCCTCCAATTCTTTCCTAGTGCAAGTCTTGGAGGTCGCTGCGGCGGTGCGAGAAAAGGACTCCGCTCAAACAGCCTCCAAGACTGTTGCAGCTGGCGGTGGTCGACGAGTTGGTGTGGCTGTTAATCGCAAGCCCACCCTTGGAGGCATATTCAAGAGCTCTCTCATAGAGCTGATGCAAACTATCAACTCTACTGATGCGCACTACATTCGTTGTATCAAACCCAACGAGGCAAAAGAATCTTGGAAGTTTGAAGGACCTATGGTTTTGAGTCAGCTTCGAGCTTGTGGTGTCCTTGAGACAGTCCGAATCAGTACTGCCGGTTACCCTACTCGTTGGACTTATGAGGAATTTGCGCTGCGATATTACATGTTGTGTCATTCATCCGAGTGGACCACTGAAATCCGTAAGATGGCCCAGAATATCTTGGTCAAGGCACTGGGTTCTACAGCTTCAGAGAAGCGCGATAAGTATCAGTTGGGTCTCACCAAAATCTTTTTCCGAGCCGGCATGCTAGCCTTCTTGGAGGACAAACGTTCTGCTCGACTGAAACAATGTGCCATTATGATCCAAAAGAATCTGCGGGCAAAATATTGGCGACACAGATATCTGGATGCTCGCCAATCGATCATCGATGTTCAATCTGCCACTCGTGCGTTCATTGCGCGCCGGAAAGCCGAAGAAACCAAACAAACCAAAGCGGCTACAGACATTCAAAGGTTTTGGAGGGGACAAAAGGAACGCAAGCGTTACAATCAAATTAGAGACGATCTCATCACATTCGAATCTATGGCCAAAGGTTTTCTGTGCAGGAAGAATATCCTGGAAACTCGGGTCGGAAATGCTGCAATCACGATTCAACGAGCTTTCCGTTCGTGGAGATCACTTCGTGCGTGGAGACAACATCGCAGAAAGGTCATCATCATACAAAATCTCTGGCGTGGCAAAGTTGCTAGACGTGACTACAAGAAGGTTCGTGAGGAAGCTCGCGATCTTAAGCAAATATCATACAAGCTTGAGAATAAGGTTGTTGAATTGACTCAGAGTCTCGGCACACTGAAACGAGAGAACAAGACCTTGACTTCTCAGTTGGAGAACTACGAAGGTCAACTAAAGTCCTGGCGCTCCAGACACACTGCTTTGGAAACACGATCAAGAGAATTACAAACAGAAGCAAATCAAGCCGGTATTGTAGCAGCGCGTCTCAGCGCACTTGAGGAAGAACATGCCAAGCTGCAAACCAGTCATGACGAACACATGGGAAATGCAAAGAGGTTGCAAGATGAAGACAAGAAACTCCGGGAATCCTTACAAACGTCAAATAATGAGCTCGAAAAACTTCGACAATCTGTCTCAACCCATGAGAGCGAAAGGGGTTCCTTACGTCAACAGATTAACGAGCTGCAAGATCAATTGGAAATCGCAAGAAGAGCACCCCCGCCTCCGCAACCCAGCACCAACGGTGTCAATGGCGATTATGCTACCGCCAATGGCAACGGCCAGCCAGCCAGTGGTCTTATTAATTTGGTCTCGTCCAAGAAGCCTCTCAAGAGACGAAGTGCTGGCGCGGCTGAGAGAAGTGAGATGGATAGGTACAGTGGTGCCTATAATGCTCGACCTATGTCGATGGCCATTGACATGCACACTAAAACTCTCTCTGGCTCTACCTTCAATCCAGGTTTGGACAGTGTGGAGATGGAACTTGAGAATCTCCTTGCACAGGAAGACGAACTCAATGAGGAAGTCACAATGGGCCTCATTCGAGGTATCAAGATTCCACAGCCTGGAGCTAACCCTGCTCCAACAGACAAAGAAGTCCTCTTCCCATCCTATCTCATCAACTTGGTAACTTCCGAGATGTGGAACAACGGGTTCGTCAAGGAGTCAGAACGATTCCTTGCAAACGTCATGCAATCCATTCAACAAGAAGTCATGCAACACGACGGCGATGAAGCCGTCAATCCTGGTGCTTTCTGGCTGTCCAATGTTCATGAAATGCTATCATTCGTCTTCTTGGCGGAGGATTGGTATGAGGCTCAGAAGACCGACAACTACGAGTACGACAGATTGCTTGAGATTGTCAAACATGATCTCGAAAGTCTGGAATTTAACATCTATCACACATGGATGAAGGTGTTGAAGAAGAAGCTTCAGAAGATGATCGTTCCTGCCATTATTGAATCTCAATCACTTCCAGGTTTCGTCACCAACGAGAGTAACAGATTTCTCGGAAAGCTGCTTCCTTCGAACAATACCCCTGCATACAGTATGGACAACCTCCTAAGCTTGTTGAACAATGTTTTCAAGGCAATGAAGGCATACTACCTCGAAGACTCCATCATCACCCAAACCGTGACCGAACTCCTTCGACTGGTTGGTGTGACCGCATTCAACGATCTCCTCATGCGCCGCAATTTCCTCTCGTGGAAGAGAGGCTTGCAAATCAACTATAATATCACACGAATTGAAGAGTGGTGCAAAAGCCATGATATGCCTGAAGGTACACTCCAACTGGAGCATCTCATGCAAGCGACTAAACTTCTTCAACTGAAGAAGGCCACCCTCAACGACATTGAGATCATCCAAGATATCTGCTGGATGCTATCACCGAATCAAATTCAGAAACTTCTGAATCAATACCTTGTTGCCGATTACGAACAACCCATTAATGGTGAGATCATGAAAGCGGTGGCCTCGAGGGTTACTGAAAAGAGCGACGTTCTACTTTTGGCTGCTGTGGATATGGAGGACAGTGGACCCTATGAAATTGCTGAGCCCCGAGTCATTACAGCACTTGAAACATATACCCCCTCATGTAAGTTTACACCCATTCTCGTTCGTGCTCGGTGCCGGAACAGACCACGATACTGACATCTCAAACAGGGCTTCAAACACCACGACTCAAACGACTGGCAGAGATTGTATCTGCCCAAGCCATGGCTCAACAAGAACGAGGGGATATCCCAGAAGGTGCCATTAGCGATACTGAGGCTGTCTAATTCAAGTTCCACATGTGGCTGTACAAAAGCTACGACGTCACGTCTCACGGTTAGGTACAGGAGCACTGTCGTGGATCAACGGATTATCATCCACGTCAGGAAAAACCTATGGAGGAACTGGTTTCAAATCCTTCGCGTGACCAATCCCAAGCGAACATAATCATTTTGGGCATAGCATTTGGTGTTTGGAGAAAATCGGAGGTCGGGCAACCTGGACCTGAGTGAGGTATCCAACTTGGAAGTTCCTGGACTCAATAATGTCCTCGATGCATTTTTCCGTCCGGCATCCTGTCGGGATGTTCGAACCTGCATTTTGTGATGCAAGATGGTCTTGAGCTCGACAAGGATATGGATTTGTTCTCAGACCTTTGGTAGAGGCCACTAGCATTGTCAGCTACTACTGATACAGCGTTTCCTTTGGGAGAACGGTAGCCCTCTTTCAATTTTCAATGGAGTTGTGCTTGAGCGTTCACTCTTTGACGTCTTACTCTCTGGGATACTACAGCTGGCAAAGAACGGACTAGCGGAACAAACCATAGTATGTAATGATGATGTGCGATTGGATATCTCATTTCCTTTTTCGTTATTCTGTCTGATCATAGTCGTGAATTTAGACGGAGCCACCTGGTGCCACTAATTCGTACCTGGTCACACAGTTCACACGATTTTGTAGACAAACTTCTCTGCGCTAACCTTTCCGTCCTGCTGATCCTTGAAGCCCGACAGGATGTCATCGACGCCCCCTCTCTCTCTGACACGATTCGGCTTGATCTTTCCGGACGACAATAATTCGGGCAGCATGCTCAAGTATTTCTCCCAGAATGCCTTGTCCTTGGGGGTGGCATCACCGCAGTTGTCAAAAGCTTTGTATTTGAGCGGTCGCTCGAACGCCGTGTACACGATTGTGCTTTCCAGACGGACTTTCGAGTTCTGGATCTCTCCAGAGTCGCGGATGTGGCCGATGGGGAGCAGAGTCACGATATGCCCGCCCTTCGTGCTGCTCAGGGCCTTCGCAATTGTTTGGGGAGTACCCTTCTCGGAGATGCAGTCGAAGGCGTGCTGTAGCCCATCGTGGGTGAGCTCGCGCACCTTGTCGGGCCAGTCCTGCTCAGAATAGTCGACGACGGCGTCCGCACCCAGCGACTTCAACAGGTCATGGTTCTTCTTCGAGCCCGTCGCCACCACAAACAGGCCCGCGAGTTTCGCCAGCTGCACGGCATACTTGCCTACACTGGAGGTGCCGCCGTTGACGAGCAGCGGAAACGCACTCTTGGCCGGCTTCGAGGGCTCCGGCAGCTGCAAGCGTTGGAACAACGCCTGCACGGCCGTCGCGAACGCCAGTGGCAGCACCGCAGCTTCCTGGAACGACGTGCCCTCGGGGATTTCGTAGACTAAACTATCCTCGATGACAACATACTCGGCGAACGCGCCACGCGTCGGCTGCACCGTCGTGCCTTGCACAAAGCCGGCGACGCGCTGGCCTTCGCGCCACCGCGACGATCCGTTCGTGTCCGAGACTGTGCCTGCGAAGTCACACCCGATGATCCGACCTGCCGGCACTGCGGCCATGGCTTTCCAGTCCGTCGGGTTCTGCGCTACGTAGTGCACTTTGACCTGGATCTCGCCGGCCGAGGGCTGAGGTCGCTCAACGCTCTGTACCGCGGCGGTCTTGCCTTCGATGGTCACGAGGGCTTTCATTTGAGCCATGTTGGATGGCGAGGGTCAGATGTCCGCTGAAGTGGAATCTCAATCGCTGCGGTGGTTGCGAGTGCAGGAATAGTAGAGTGGGGGAGTGGTTCAATCAGAGTCTCTCAATTTGCTGGTCTTGGGGGAAATTGGATCATTGATGGGATGGAAGTACCTAGTAGTGTATGTGTGCGAATGGCTGTTTTCAATAGCTAGTACTTGACCTCGGGTCAACGATCGGATGTCAGGAACGATGACGTTGCGGAGCTTCACAAAATTCGAATTAAATATTCCATGATCATGAATGACATGTGCAAGCTTCGCTTGACATCAGTGATCTCCAAATTCTGCATGGACAGTCTGCGTCAGAGGGTACTCTCTGTCTCTTGCTACGTCTGATCGTCACAAGACTGGTGTATGTCTTCCGAGGGTCGATAGCGAAGAGATACCCAAGGAGGTCGACTGGCTGACACTGGCAGCCTCAGGCTCGATCATGGCTCAGGTAAGCAAAGAAAACCACTAAGCCCAGTATGCACTAGTGCAGAATAAGTTCACATCCAAACTTCAAAGTGCCACCAGGATTTTTATTGGGATGTCAGACTATAGTTCACCATAACTACAAGTTCTCAACTGGCGATACATTTACTTACCCGGGAATTGGACTGCATCCACTGAGCAACAGAACCCGCAGTCATGAGTGGTGATAGTATGGACGACGTCAGGCTTGACCAGCCGGAGGACATCAACTACGACCACGGCGAGGAGATTTTATTAGGTGGGAACAAGAAATTGGTTGTGGTGAGTGCTGCTTTCCCGGCTTTTCTGGTCCCTTGGCTTGTCCGCAATTGAAACCTGGACTTCTGATTTGGTGGCCTGTGTTGGATGTTCCTCTTAGCGCTGGGCCGAACGTCATGTCGAACTTGGTGGAGGCTCACGGGCTTGACAATGAATGATTCATGGAGTGACTAACAGATTGGACAAACAGCTTCCAGGAGGATCTTCTCATGCAGCGTCGTTCCAAATTGAGAAGGAGGATCATACGTTAGGCAACGCATTGCGCTACTTCGTCAACAAGAAGTATGTCTGCTTTCCAACCCAACACCGGATCAGTTCGACTGCTGACCCAAAGCGTGTTTGAACTAGCCCCGATGTCGAGTTCTGTGGGTACACGATTCCACATCCTTCCGAAACGAAGATGAACATCCGAATCCAAACATGGGGTAAGTGAAGGATGTCGAAAGACTAGATTTCCCGCAACATCTGTTTACTAACCATTTAGCAGAAGACACCAGTACCACCGCGACAGATGCTCTCCGTAAAGGGTTGACCGATATGATCGAGGCATGCGATGTCATTTCTGAGAAATTCGCGGACGCTCGAGACGAATTCAATGCTCAAAATTCGTGAATGGGGCTAAGCCCTGGCTTCCCTTTATTTTATTCTGCCAACGTGCATTGCGGTGGCGCCTTGGAGTCTCTCTTTTCAAAGCTATGTACAGATGGTTGGGTTTAAAAAGGTTGGGAGGATGCTTCAATTCCGTCCCTAGAAATCGATTAGCACAAAATACCACGCAACAGTTGACTCGACATCGTACCTCCAAGAAACCAGAAATGAAGTTCTTCGGTAATCGTGCATTTTCGTCTTCCTCCACCCTAAAGTATTTCATCACATGTGTACTTTGTTTCCAGAAGTTCAGTGTTTCCTGTCGATTGTCCCGCGTCAGTTGACAGTCTCTCCACCTTGTGAGATGATGGGTGCCCTTACTTGAAATTCGGCGTGGTTCTGGGCCAGAAGCACATCGACTGCCTGTAGGTGGTTCACATATCTGTGCTTCTCAAACTCTTGTCTAATTTTCGTTCGGACCTTGGAAACGGGCATGTTCAAGGAGTACATGGTTTGGATCTCGGGGCTCTTGAGGTCGAATTGTCAGTGAAGCCGTCTCTTTTGATCACTCGTCCCCCCGGATTTCATACCGCTCTTAGCCACTCTCTATAGGACTTCAGGACTCTCCGGCGCGCATCTGCTGAATTAATTGCTGAAGTCATCGATTAGCTACGTTGGATCGAGATTGACTCCCCCGAGAGCCTCTGAACTCACATGACCGCGTCATCTGCGCGAGGTATGTTGGATTGATCGTCATTTTTGGAAATCGCAGTTCATACCAGAGCTCGAATGGTCGTGAGAAGCCAGAACAAGAACCAGTTGTAGCCACGCTCAACCTGCGAAGTCCAAGTTGAGGTTCGATAAGTGGAGCTTCAACCACCCGGCAAACCTGCATGTATTGTGGGAAGGATGGTGGCTAATACTTGTAGTATGGCACTAGTTAGACCGCCCGCCCTCTGTTTCGTAACCCCTCCAATTTTAGTGGTCGCAGCTTCTTCACGCTTACTTGTACACCGCCCTGAGCTTCATGTTTTTATTCTGCCATTCATCAGTCAACCAGCGTGACCTCAAAGCTTTTTTCAATGAGAAATTAAAATTCCAAGCCTTTTCAACTGACAGTATCACTCGCATTCATTTCTTTGCATTCGTATTAACCAGACGATCCTCGCTCAGATATTGTATTTAACCATGGGATCAGTTGAGCGAACCGTGCCCCAGATGAGCTCCCGCAGGACTCACACACTTTCCCGTATCACAAATGAAACAAAGGTTCAAATCTCGATTTCGCTCGACGGAGGCCCTTTGCTCCCATTCGAGACATCTGAGCACTTCACGGAACCCATATCAGCAGCCCAGCAAAAGGCTCATCCAGATGTCGAATTTCCTCTTCCCAAATCACATCATGCAACTCAAATAACTGCTTCCCAGCAAATCTCCATTTCAACAGGCATTGGTTTCCTTGATCATATGCTTCACGCCGTATCGAAACATTCCGGCTGGTCCTTGGCTGTTCGAGCAAAGGGAGATCTTGTCATAGATGACCATCATACAGCTGAAGATGTCTTTCTCGGTCTTGGGACTGCTTTCAATGCTGCTCTGGGCAAACGAGTTGGCATCGTACGGTTTGGCAGAGGCGATGCTCCTCTCGATGAGGCCTTATCTTGGGCTGTCATTGATCTATCCAACCGGCCATACAGTGTAATCGACTTTGGCTTCACAAGGGAGAAAATTGGTGACCTCAGCACCGAGATGCTGACCCATGGACTGGAAAGCTTTGCTCAAGCAGCAAGCGTCACCCTGCACGTCAAGACTGTCTACGGGCACAACAACCATCACAGAGCGGAAAGTGCTTTCAAAGCTCTTGCGGTGGCGATCAGACAAGCCTGTGAGAGAAGGGCAGAGGGTAGCGTGGGAAGTGGAGATGTTACGAGCACTAAAGGGGTTCTAGGTTCCAATGTCAACAACTAGGAGAATGACGACATATATCCTTCAATCGAGACTGGCATCGAGCCAGCAGGTATGCGACATTCGTAGGACGGATCAGGGCGAGTCTGCACGCCACCTCTGAATCACTCGGAGCTTTTCGTGAGAGACTCCGGTAGCATCACCAGCGCCAGTCATGGACTGGCTATCGAGACTCGCCTCAATGGGAGCATAGCCTTAAACAACCACAAAGCAACAGCCATTACGGAAGTCAAGTCCCACAAGCTCCCCGGCATATTGTCCAAGGTATCTCCTCCAGCTCAAAAGGTTCCGATTGGAAAACAGTCCCGGTTGGTTAGCACAGCGCCTGTGGACAAGACGTCTGCTGAGTACAGCCCTAAGAAAAGGATGAGGTCGAAGTTGGAATTCGACCTTTTTGCCGAGAAGCTCACTCCTGATAAGTCGAGAGTATCTCCAGGGCGCTCTAGGGCAGCTACAGCGGAGCCCCGTGTGGCAACATCCACGCCCAAAGCTGTCGCTGCGAAGCCAATTCTGAAGAGAAAACTGCTGCAAAGCGAAGAACTTCCCCTGGGTTCCAATGCGCTGTACAATGCAGCCAGAAAAAAGCAGCAACAAGTCGAGAGACAGAAAATGAGGCGAGAAGAGATCATTTTGAGCTTGAAAGCGAATAGCGGTTGAGCGTGACACAAAAGAGCTTCCAGCAAGTAGCTAAAGGCAAGGCCGTGAGCTAATCACTTGAATATCAACAAAATATGCCTTTCCTTTCGCTTGTGCGAAATTATGCAATATAAGCCTTGGCTGTTCTGCTGTTCCTCTGATGTAGATACAACGGTGACCGGATCCCTCGATTGATTTTCAACCACCCTAATTTCAAAACCCGCAAAGACACAATCCGACCCAGCTGTGGATGACCATACCCAGAGTCCTGCAGAAATAGGACCAACCACCTGCCCGCCCAAGACGCCAATGACCAAACGATGACATTTCATACATTTAAAAACTTGTAGTTCAAGACCACAATTAACCCAGACCGCCCCAAGCGCCCCGTAGCCTTCGGGCAAGCTGGATGTCCTTCTGCATAATCGTGACTCTCTTCCCATGTATGGCACACAGGTTAGTGTCCTCGAATAGATGGACGAGAAAAGCCTCGCTTGCTTCTTGTAGGGCTTGGATCGCCTGACTCTGCCACCGCAGTTCACGGCCTGCCGAGAACGGGAGAATGGACTGTGCAATTTCGCGGACGAGTCGCGAGAAGGGGAGCTTCAGCATCAGCAGGTCTGTCGATTGCTGGTACCGTCGGATCTCTCGTAGTGCGATTGTGCCGGGTTTAAAGCGGTGCGGTTTACGTCGTGGGACTGGGTCGCCGGCTGTTTTATGCAGTCAGTATCATTGGGAGGTAGATCGGAGGAAAGGGCCAGGGTTTGAGTACGTACGTTGTGGGAAATGGGGAAGGCGTTTTCCTCCCGTCCTTGACCTTGGAGACGGATTGGTTCGAGACGCCTGCCCTTTCTTGGGTGTGCCAGCTCCGCCAGAACGTCGGCGGGTGTTCTTTGTCTGTGCCATGTTGGGAGGTCTTTACACAAGATGCTACCGCTTTGCGATCATCGGCGGAATGGGGATGAGAGTCAACTTGCGCCCAGTTTGATACCCAGTAGGTGGGGGTCTCGGGACTTCAGGTAGCTGCGGATCAGAAAATATGGTGTCGGTGGTTCTTTTTAAGATAGCGAGTTGCGATGCTGGGAGAGGTGGAATGGAAGTCGTGGAATGCTGTTGGAATGTGTGAGTGCTCTTTCGTTGGCCAGGGTACTCTCAAAAAGTCGCGTCGTGGGCGCGTTCGCAATTAAGTGTTCGCGATTAGTGGCTGGTCTCCACTAGTGTCATACTAGTGCCTTAAACTGGCTGAGACCAGCAATGTTAGCGTTCGCGCTAGCTACTAGCAATTATCCCTCTATCGATTATCTTTAAGCCGCCTGAGGCTTTCGCAACTTCTCCCCATTCTTTCCTTCCTGGGTGACACCCTCTCCAACTCTCAACGGCCATCCTCCATAGAGGCCACCTACCATCATAGACTTTTCTTCCTTCGAACGTAGATGAATTTTTCTTTTCCAATTTTGTCTCCCATTCCACCACCAGACAAGATACATGATGATTACTCGGGTTTACGCTCACCCATTCTGACTCAGTCCGTCCTTGCGCCCATCTACACCCTGGTTCAAAACCCCGAATTCTTCCAAGACTTCTCCCGCCTCATCCTACCCTTCTTCCAAGTGATACCTTGGACCATGGCAGCTCTACTCGGTGGTGGAGAAGAGGCTTTGGGTCAACTGGGCCAGTTTCCTCTGGAACAATGGTTCTTTGAAATGCCACCTTGCACGCGCTACTGGACCACCGCGACCGTCGTTACATCCATCCTCCTGCAATGCAAGGTCCTCACACCATTTCAGTTGTTCTATTCCTTTAGAGCCGTTTACAACAAATCTCAGGTACGCTATGGCTGTGGGGTGGACTATTGAATCTCTCTAACTATGGTCTAGTACTGGCGACTGTTCACTACCTTCATTTACTTCGGCCCGCCCTCCATGGATCTTGCATTCCATGTCTTCTTCCTTCAGCGATATTCCCGACTACTAGAACAAGGCTCGGGCCCATCTCCTGCTGTTTTCTCTTGGCTGTTGCTCTACGCATGCACATCACTCCTGGCCCTCAGCTCATTGACCACTTACATCCCGTTCCTTGGCTCAGCATTGTCAAGTACTTTGGTTTATATCTGGTCAAGGAGAAACCCCGATACTCGCTTGAGTTTCCTCGGTGTTCTTGTCTTCACGGCCCCATACCTCCCATGGGTGCTCATGGCGTTCAACATGTTTATGCACGGTAACATCCCCAAGGACGACATTATGGGTGTCATTGTGGGGCATGTCTACTACTTCTTTGCTGATGTCTGGCCCGGCATGCATGAGGGCCAGAGACCTATGGACCCTCCGGAGTTTTGGGTCAGACTCTTCGAACGTCGAAGAAGAGATACCGCTGAACAAAACATTGATGGTGATGTCGCTGCCGCGGCTGCTCGGCCGGCTGAAGTGCGATGAAAGCAGTATCTAGAGTCTCACTCTCAGAACAATTGCCTAACCACCCTTACTATTTCTAATCAGGTGTCTCGGCTCGTAAGGGAGAGGAAGGTGGAACTGGGTCGCCATCTATCCGAAGTGGGAATTGAAAGTGCCGGGGCACAAATGAACAATCTCGGGCAGAAAGATTACTCATGCACATATCTCCAGCTTCAATTGCCAAACACCTGAGTGGACGGATGCCAATTGAATCCGGTAGACCCTGAACACACCGTTGTAATGTTGTGTCCGGAAACACTTTGCCACACGCGAAGTCTACGAATCTCACGCATGTCTTCGGTTTGGAACGCAGCACATCATTCTCAGTGTTTCTAGCCCACGACTAGTCACATGGCAAGTGTGATGAATACCATACACCTTATCGACCAAAGATTCTCCTCGAGTTCGACTTTTAATGCCATAGCGGATGGCGTTAGACGGCGGGCCAGTGTTACGCATCAAAATTGGCAAAGAAATTGTTCGCCTATGCCCATCACCCAACATAGATTGCTCTTTCAACATTGTTCACAACACCTAAAGATTCGACCAACTGCATTTCATGTTTGATATCACATATCAATTATTTGAACTGTATTGATTGCCTTCTCCGACGGAATCTGCATAACCGCCTCTAGCACAACTCCATGATATTCCAAGCAAGCTTCATCTCAACGGCCCGCGATGTGTCTAGAAATTTCGACGACATCCAGGTCTTTCTTTTGGGGGGAGGGCGGCCTCCCGGGAGCTATCGGTCAATCACAGGGAGATCTTTGGGGCGATTATCGTCTTGATCGGATGCCTGGAGCTTAACAACGGCACTGGGGATGCTTCGAGAGTTTTCCCAGGAAGCGTTCTACGAGTATCTCCATCTCATTCGCCTCACTTACTGGTGTTGTTACTTGATACTCATGCTAGACAACCTCACTTCCCAGATCTTTGTCTTGTCTACCTTGCTTGTCCTGTGATATTTTGCCGTCTACCAGAGTCTCCACCCTGGTTCTTTGGTCCTGTTCGACTTACTGGTCCAAGTAGTCGTCGTGTGACTCAAATTTTACACTCTAATCTCTTATTGACCTCTGCTCCACGTATCATTTCACTACACTTGATTTCGTAGAGCCTCGGACTGAGTGTTTGCTTCTCGATCTTCCGGGTAGCGACCGACCAGCAGTCACCACTGTACGCCTCGGACAGGGGCTACATAATTGGAGTTCCTTTCGCACGAGACCACTAGCATACTGGAGCTCGAAGATCTCCCCAAAAGGCTAACTATTTACTTTGACGGGAAAGTCCACGCTGAAGTACCTCGGTTGAAGTGCGATAGATGTGGAAGACGTCACGCAATGCACTGTGCATTTCACCAATACTAAAGCCGATGATAGGCCGGTTCTTCGCAATTAGGGAAGAAGAAAGTATATGTTTGCAACTCTGATCCTGTTTGTTAGCCATGCCGAACTTTCGCTGCTGATGCCTACCATAGGAAACTAGGAGACTCTGGCGGCTTCTCGGATACGTTGGAGTCGGCGAACTCCTGAACAATAGATATGGCCTCGCTAAGTGACAACGGTGACAACGGCACACAGCTGCGAACTCTGTCTCTGAGACGAGATGAGCAAGTTCTCCAGCAACCGTCGCTTGAGGGTCACGAAGAGAACGACGACGGCCCCGGCCTCGATCAAGTTGACCGTGGCCGTGCAGCGTGGAGGATGCTCCTCTCCGCCTTCATCTTCGAGTCCCTACTTTGGGGTAAGTGCAGAACACTAGGCGATGCAGTCCTATACCTGACCATGGTCAGGGATATCATCCATCCCTTCTTCCTTCTGGTGTCACAGCGTTGCGGTTGAAGTTCCACCAAGTGAATCATCCATACTTACCAACCTGATCTCCTCCAGGCTTCCCACTATCGTTCGGGGTGTTCCAGAACTACTATTCCCAACTGCCCGAATACGCCAACCAGCCCTACGTCTCGGTCATCGGGACCGTCGCCTCAGGCATCTCATACATGGGCGCCCCGATCATCATCCCGTTCCTTAAGCGCACGGGCAAATACCGTGTCTACATGATATGGGTCGGATGTGAGTTCGAGATCTGGCCCCGCCCCTTCCCCAGTCCACCCGGTTCCTAAAAAATCAAGTACACACCAACTGACAGGCAGAGTGGAAAAGGGAGCATCTGCATCCTCGGCATCCTAGCGAGCTCCTTCGCCCGCACACTGCCCACCGTCATCTTCACCCAGGGCGTCATGTATGGCGTGGGTTTCACTGTCTTCTACTACCCCATCATCGGCATGGTGAATGAGTACTGGGTAGCGAGACGGGGCATGGCGTACGGAGTGCTGTGCAGTGCGTCTGGTTTCTCCGGGATCTTTATGCCGCTGACGCTCGAGGCGTTACTGAAACGATTCGGGCTCCCAACGACGCTGAGGGCCGTGGCGGTCGGGTTGGCTGTCTGCACGGGCCCACTGATCCCGTTGTTGAAGGCTAGGAAGCAGCCGGCGAGGGCGGTAGGGGAGAGGGATACTTCGGGTCCCCGTGCTACTGAGGTTAGGGACGACTCGGTGCCAGAATCGACGACGGACTGGGGTTTCCTGCGCGTCCCGCTGTTCTGGATCTACACGGTGTCGAACCTGATGCAGGGGCTGGGCTATTTCTTCCCGGCGCTGTATCTCCCCTCGTACGCGACGGCCCTGGGTATGAGCGCCACGCAAGGCGCACTCTTGCTATCCATCATGAGCGTGTCCCAGGTCCTCGGCCAGCTGAGCTTCGGCTACCTCTCGGACCGCCGTTTCTCCGTCAACGTCTTGACCTTGACTTCCACGTCCGTCACGGCCATTGCAGTTCTAACCTTATGGGGTCTGGCACGGAAGTTTCCTGTTCTTTGTGTCTTCACTATGATCTATGGATTTTTCGGAGCCGGCTATACGGCAATGTGGGCGCGCATGGGGACGGCCGTCACGAGCGATGGTACTGCCGCATTTGCTGCTTTTGGGTTGTTCAACTTTGGCAAGGGGTTAGGAAACGTTCTCGCTGGGCCAATCAGTGGTGGTCTTTTGCTCAATTCCGTCGACACGGTCAAGTACGGCGCTGGCAGATATAAGGCTGTTATCCTCTTTGCTGGATCGTGCATGCTGGCAAGCGCAGCGAGTGCAACGGCGTCTTATTTTCGGCCTTGGAAGGCTTCTACTGCACGTCACTAATTTCTTAGGATTAAAGTTAAAGTGGCTTGGATGTTCGATGTGGAATACAGAGGAAGACGTTTTACGAGCCATGAAGATTTTGTATTCGTTCTACTGATTTATTGCCCGTTTGGGTGTGCTCCCTGCAATCTTGGCATTGGGAATTCTTTAGATCGTTGCATCTTGGGTTCATGGTCTGGAATGCTCAATAAGGAGGGCTGAAAATGGACGAATGATCTCGGATACGGACTCATCTCCTCCAAAAGCCCCGCCCCTCCGGTTCCATCATACATCGTTCTCGTTGCATTTATCATCAATTCACGTCTGCATGTCACTGTAACCTGGCAGGTTGGTTCTGGACATTTTTTTCACAAGTCTACTTGAAGACTTTTCCATCAGCCCATTCGTATGACTTGCCATTGACAGTGATTGGCTTATCCCACGACCATTGATCGTCAACGAAAGCCCTATCCTCAGGTTTGCTGGGGTCAAGTTTGGTGAATTCATAGGATTCCCAGTCTGGGGCAACATCGAAAGCTGGGAGTGCTTCATCACCGCGGACCAAGAAGGCACCTTGAATGGCCGAATCATTTGCGACTCCATAGACCGAGGCGGCACCAAAGAGGTACTTGCGCGAAGCCTCCAGACGATTGAAGAAACCACCTAATTAACGTGTTAGCCAACGGTGTGCTCAACAGCATGGAATAGATCTTACCAATGAGGTTGGAAGTCATGAAGACTTGTGTCAACTCGTCGTTGTACTTGTAGTCAACCTTCCACAGCGAGTAATCCTCCGGTTTGTATTGCTCCCAGAACCAAGGCAACGCAACGGATCGTGTGTCTTCGTTGGAGTACTTTCGCTTCCAGTCATCCAGAATAAGAGATGGCTTGGCGAGAGATTCGAGAGGATGCTTGGCCTTGACTTCGGGCTTGGGCTCATCTTCTTCTTCCTCCTCCTTTGCAGGCTTAGCTTTGGGGGCCGCAGGAGTGGCAGCCTTAGCAGGCTTGGCTTCCTTCTTTGGGGGAGTGTACTTGACAGCCTCGTCAATCAAGATTGGCTCCTCAATGATTGCCTTCCAGATTGGCTGGTTGACAATGGTCTCGAACCACCGGGTGGTGTTGGGGTACTCGGCGCGCCAGTCCTTGTCAAAGACGTATTGAAAGCCACGAGAGGCTTGAGAGGCAAGGAAGAGATCTGCAAGTGTGATACGCTCACCGACCAGGAAGGTGTGAACGAGGAAGTGGTTCTCCAACACCTTGATGACATCAAGAGTAGCCTTCTTTGCATCGTCGACCGATTTCTTGTTGTAGGGATCCTTTCCAATGAGCGGACGGAACCAACCAGACAAATTTGGTAGGACCTCGGAGTTGGAGAAGGAGAGCCATTTGACGATAGAAGCGTAGTCTTGCTTTGTCTTGCCAAGGAGAGTGGTCTTTTCGTTCTGAGAGGTAACTATTGAGGATCAAGAATCAGTGGGAGGACTTGAAAGATATGAAGAGGACTAGAAGAGAGGCCATGGATGGAAGAAAGTCTCAGAATGTGATGTGGTCAACAAGAATATTCAGACAGGGATAACTGTTTGATATAATATGGCTCATCTTTGACAGGGAGGAACAAGATTCGAGAGAGCCGGAAGTGAACATACAGTAAATAGCAATGGCAATGGCCTCAGTCAAGATGAATCCATTAGAGCCAACGAAGGTGGGAACTCGGTTCAAGGGATTTAGCTTGAGGTATTCGGCGCTGACATTGGGAGGACGAGTCTCGACAAGCTCGATGTCAAGGTTGTTCTCCTTTGCGACGACTAGAAGAGCAGTTGAGCGCGCATTGTCCTGGAAGAAGTGGGTGAGTCAGTCGATGGATATTGCTTTGAATTCACGGTGTCATGATTATTGGGGAAGCAGAAACGCACCTTGAAGCCGTAGAGCTTTCCGAAAGACATGGTGAAGGATGTTTAAGAGTCCAAGTGAGGGTTTGAGGTTGGTGAGGTTGTGGTCAATCAAAGTAATTCAGTCACAGAGGTAGGATGGTGATTGAGTTGCAAATATTTTTGAGGCGGTAGGCGGAGGCAGGAACGGGGCAAGGCTTGGCAGAATTGATCGATGAGCAAACTGCGCCTTCCAATTGCAACTTCAACTTCATTCTCTCTGGCTCTGCAGCTTCAAGTCGCCAGCCCTTACGATCCACAACACGGTTCCCTGGGGCAAGGCTTTAGTACTGCTTCTGCCCAAAGACTGGCAGACAGTTTAACCTGCTCAGCGCCATCCAACATGACAAAAACATCCATACAGCACCTCTCTTCCACCTCCAGGCTCTCATGGACTTGCTGCCAGTGCCGATCCCAATCAGCCTCACTGCGGCCTCAATGGCGACAATCTCAGGCATTCTCGACGACTACACGCTCTGAAGCCAATACTAGTATCCAAGCAGAGGACGAGATTCGCGCCGCCCCTGAAATCGACTTTGACAAGCCCGACCTTCCCAAGCAAGTTCCTGCTCGCATCATACCATCGTCCCCGTCCTACTTCACTGGATCTCCTCAGCTCAATGACAATATCCTTTTACTGCAATCTTTGGTCGAGAAATACGCCCACGTACCCACGGTCACCTCGGAGCACACACCTAGAGCATATTGGAAGTCGTTGGGCCAGTATCGTTCCTCACATGGAGAAAGAGTATCTGCTTCCAGCTATTCCAAGATTCTCCAACTCTTAAATCAGTTGAATAGAATTCACCCATCATTTTGTCCCAAGGAAGTCTCCACGATCATGGAAAGCTTCCACCGTCCCGGAATCGACAGGGTGTCGGAAGCGAAACCTGGAAAGATTGATCAGAGCGGCAGATCTCTAGGAGTTGGCCGGAGGAAGGAGGCCACGGCCAGGGTGTGGTTAGTAGAGGGTACTGGCGAAGTCTTGGTCAATGGCAAAACCATCGCCCATGCTCTTCCTCGGCTCCATGATCGAGAGAGTGCTCTGTGGGCTCTCACCATTACGGAGAGAGTGGACAAGTACAACGTGTTTGCCCTGGTTGAGGGTGGAGGCACAACCGGACAAGCAGAATCCATCACTTTAGCATTGGCCAAGGCATTGTTGGTACACGAGCCAGCCCTTAAACCGGCGCTGCGACGAGGTAAGCGAGATTTCTCCTGGAACTTGTACATCAAATACTAATTCGGAATTCAGCTGGTTGTGTCACTTCGGATGCGAGACGTGTTGAACGAAAGAAGCCCGGACATGTCAAGGCACGAAAAATGCCTACCTGGGTCAAGCGATGAGAAAGAGGCTACATTTGGCGCCTGGTGCCTCTTTCTTGTACCACATTTTCTCGCCTGTGTGTATACTAAACTTTGTACCATGTTGAAATCTTGTTGCAAGTCCAATTTGTCTACATTTCCTTTCCTGGGCGGATGCTCAGTGCCTGTGAAATTGATTTGAGATCATTTCTTTGCCCAGAGTGAGTTGGTCTCCATTGTTGGCCGGTTGCCTCGTGGAGAGAGAGACAAGCTATTAATGGTACCTCGCGTAAAACAACCCTCCTGTGAGCATGGCATCACCTCTGAGCCTCCCCGGGCGTCAACCAGCCTTGTGCCGCTGTGACACCTTTGAAGAATAAAGCATGATGAAGAGCACAAAGAAAACGTTAGCACGGGCTTGGCTTATTATGTGTGACGTTCACACGCCGACGACATTTGACGGTCAGGCATATCGTGTCACACAATCTGACTTACCAGACATCAGGTCTTTGGATCTGATCCAAGGCGGATCGTACTAGCTTTAGAGAGAACAAGAGAGTGGCATCTCAATCATCTGACACATCAATACCATATGTATTCCCGAGTAGAAGCCGAGGGCTGTGGTTGAGACCAGAGCTCGCATACCGCATGCCGCGGCCGTTTCCAGATTCCAATATTTACATGTTCCTTTAGGACCACCAAGTTATTTGAGCAATCCCGCTAGATAAAATGAGCATATGCAGGTGTCTTGAGTCGCGAGTCGAGTCATGCAACGATTTGTGGTTATTCCGTTCCTGAAATGCGGGTCCTATGCACGCAAGATTTGCATGGCCAGGGTTAATGTCAAGTCGATAGACCCTCGTGCACATGAGCAGGAATTGTGCTCATGTTATGAGCGAGCGCAGAAGTCGGAGTTCTAGATGTTTCTAGATTAGAAATCCTCCAGGCGCGGTTGGTCGTCTAGAGTCACGATCGAGTGTGAGAGAAGGCTGGATACGAGGTGCTGGGGATAGAATGCCACAAATATAGCTCGATGGCGCGGGAGCACTCGCAGATTCCCACACGGAATCAGTGTCATCGGTGTTGAACAAGCATGAACATGATCGCCGCGGACGACCAACGACTGGGTTGAAAGCGCAGAATGGTGCCGCACCAGGCCTGGTCGATGCATGACGATACAGAGTATCCGTATACGTAATGACAGAGCGATGGTCAAGCCACTTCTCCTGGGTACGAGTTGCGGGTACTGGAGAGATGAGGTCGATGGCAAATCTTTGATGAGGTGTCCATTCCTCGCAGACTCATAGTACCGAGTACCTCGTAAGCAGGAGCTCAAACAGGCTGGAGACCTGAAACACGCCCGGTCAAGCCACTTCAGACCTAACCAGATGCCCAAGCCACTACCTCGTACCAAGTAGAAACCAATCTACGAAGCAGGATCAGCAACGCTAGCACGAATACGCAATCAACAACCTCGCCAAACGTGCTTTCGGCACTTGGGGAACTCTGTTGGAACCCACCGGTTTGAACAGCACATCAAATTGACAGAGGCCCAACAAGGAACAGCGTGTTCACCAGCGTGAAAAGTCAGATCCAGGGTTTCGGCCGGGCCTGCGGAGGTATCTCGACGACTAGAGCCCATTAGTCTCAAAAAACCCCAGGTCTGAAACAAATGAAGCTGCAGGACTCCTTTGGTTCACCCTTGGCTGCCGTTGCACGGGAATTTCTTGATGCATCTGAGATTATGCCCAAGTGTTCATTGGCAGTCTCCCTTGGACTATGGACCACCATACAGGGCACGCGAGCCTAGTGGGAAATGAACAAGAGAGGCGGAACTGGATCAAAGCCATTCAGCCCCGATGGATACCACACGATGATATTGTCCATCCATCGATCACTTTCACGAGTGCCAGAGACATGGAGAGATGATCTCTCCAACAAAGTTATTGATTCTTGACAGGTCAAACGTGGAGGTTTCGGATATGATGGGAAATGTCATACATGTCATGGCACACCAGTGACACCGACACCACATACGAGTACTTGAATCCCTCGTCGAACAAACAAGAGCGAAAGCCGCCAGCCTGAAAGATCCGACCATCAGTCCATCAACTTGGGTCTCGATGCGGGTTGCCGCTATCCGACTGGCTCGGCACGGCAAGGCGTCACTTGCTTTCTGGCCCCAAAGAAGCCCTCAGCCACCACCATGCCTCTGGCTCTGGGGACCGAGGGCCCACGACGGATCAGCAAAGATCACCACCACTGTGTAGCTATCGAGCAGTAACTGGATAAGGTGGTGAGCATCACTTTCACACTGCTTGCCTCATGGCCAGGTAACTCAATCGTCTCAAAGATTGAAAGCGCAGCCAAGGTAGGGGATTGGTCTGGTTCTCACCTTGCAGCAACAATCGGCGACTTTGCACCCTGCCTAAACTTGAACCAGCCTTTTCGCCGGCTCCTGCAGCATACTTGAAATTACTGTTGCTTAGACTCCAGTGAAGGCTCCTCTGGGTACCTAGGTAAGTAAGGGTCTAGCCACAGTGCTGTGCCTACTGTCCCAAGCCAATAGCCACAATTGCACTTGCGCATGATAGACCCTTTGGGGGCTCCAGAGCAATCCAACATATCGGAAATATCCATTCTCATGACTCTTTTAAGTTCCGACGCTGGAACAATCCCTCATCTCACAGCTAAGCGATCATCTTGACGAGTCAACTAGATTTCCGCACTTGTTTTAGACATCAAGTGATACTCTGAGATCGATGGCAGCTGCACTGACCAACTACTCTACCAATCATCGTCACCATGAGGCTTTCCTTGACAGTTTCCTCGTACGGATCTTGAATCAAGCGCAGGTCCCTCTGGACAATTGTTTCCAGTCATTAGCCTAGAAACAGGGAAACAGCGATCCGGGGTCTTGTTCCGAAGCGCCTCAGATTCGATCGTGTGTACTCCGTAGGGGCTCCCAGAAAGGACTAAAGGCAGCCAATCCCTAGCTCGATTTTCTAGGCTGCTCAGCTTGCATTGTGATGATACTGATTCCCAAGTGCGTATGGTCTACAACCTTAGCCTGTTTGACCCTCTGGAGAAGGACATGGTCCCCTGCTGGTGGTCCTGGCACGCCACACTCTAATTCTCGCCTGACGCACCGGTAACTGGTGCCAAAGCTAATTGACAAAGCCTGTCGGACCATCGATGGGCTGGGCCTGTCTGTGTTCAAGCTTGCTGGCTGTGGACATGGACGGTGGCAGTGACTTCAATCAAACAGCACCGAGTGGTGACTCGTGAGCAAGGTCCTTCAGACTTCCTTAACAAAGTCACAATCTGCCCAAGCATCCATCGACCGACCGACCGCCAGCGGGGATGGACCCATCTCGGGTTCATCATCCTCGTTATGCCCACTTCAAGTTTGGAGCCCTGGGAGGGTTCTTCCCATATCTTTCCATGGAAGCCTTCCAACTCTTCTCAAGCTGCCCCACTACGAGGACTAAACTACGAGGGTGTCATCACTTTGTCCACCCATGAACCCTGAATCGAAATGATGGGCAGCGGCAGAGCTGCCACTTGGAGACCTCCCTTGAACTCGAGTCGTAGAATTGCCAGCCCAAGACCAAGCCCTACGGATTATACGACCGGGACCATTATTGCCCAAAGATCCATTACGAGGACGGCCAGCAACCACTGACCGGCGTCAGCCAGGCCACTTTGAATGATGGAGCCCACTGTCCTTCCTGTCTGAGTCCTCGATTCCTCGGCCCCAGAAGCACAGTCCCTCTTGTGGCGCTCGCCCAACGCCAGGCGAGTCCGTTTTCCCTTGTGCTCCGGCAGTGGCAGAGGCTCACACGCCTTGCTTGTTGGCAGGAACTTGCTGAAAACATGTCGCCCGCGTTTGAGAGGAGTCCTTGCAGTCCTTGCAAACTCAACTTTCACGTAGCAGGACAAGCGGCCCTCTTTCTGTCTTGCTAGAATGATCCAATGCGCCTTTCCCTAACAAGTTCCCCGAGCTGGGCTCAATTCCTGTGTTGTGTTGTGTACTCTTTTATGTTCCCGCCTGCCACCGCAGCTGCAACTGCACCTTGTATACGTTGCGTCCTTCCACCTCCCATGATACCTCCTTCCTAGTCTCTCTCCTACCCAACTTTCTCTCTTTTGACTTACGAAAACGCTCTTTTCATTTCCTTCGTGCGCTCCTTTGTTTGAGTGCTTACACTCGTCTCTTAATACTCCATCGTCGTTACGCCGCATCCCAGTATTCTGAGACACCCATCCCCCACTCGCCCTCAACGTCACGTTTCATGCCCTACGACCATACGATCTTTGCACAGGACAATTGTAGACTGGTGGCTGGGGCATCGTTCTCTCATTCGATTGGGAACTATCTTTGGGACGAGGCATTTTGCAGTCATTGGTCCATGCTTTCGATATCGACGCATTGAAACCCGCTCGATACACGGCCACTCTCTAGGAGCCTTGTATTTCGACCGCTTATCATTAACCGCCACAGGCGTGTATAGCCTTGCGGGAGTCTACCACTCGAGACAATCTGCCACCCTATTCCTGGAGTTTGGAAGGAAGGCTGTCAGAGGAATTCGTTGACTTGGATGAGGATTGGTCCCATTGTCTGGCTGGAAAGAAACTTTTTCCAGAATTCCACCTCCGATCTGATACGACAGATCCTCCCAATTTGCAGATCTCCACCTCAAGATTACTCGGGGTTTGTTTTATGCAGAAGCAAGGCTTTGCCAGTGGAAAGGGAGAGGCACTCGTGGTCCGGGAGAAGGAGGTTCTATCACAGGGTCTCACTTTTACTTGCAACTGGTTGTGGAAGTAGGCTGGCATTGTGGTCATTCTGGCGTCAACGTGCAGCGCGAGATCTCCTTCATGGACGGCAATGACCGTCGGCGCTCGCAGTATGGACAGCCATACCATTCGCAAGCGCAGTCAAGACCACTGCCTGGACAGCCCATGGGTCCACCATCTGGTGATCGCTATTCACAACCGACGACACCTGCCCGAAGTGATATTGGACGATCTTCAATGACGCGGCCGTATCTTCCTAGTTACGCAGGCTACGGCTATCCAGATCAGCAGTACAGTAGCTCCCAGATGCAGGGCAGTAGCCCGATGCAAGGTGTGGAGATGCAGTATTCACCTGCTTACATGCAAGATGCCTCGAGGCAGCAGTCGGTACAAGCATCCCCGTCGCAGCATCAACAGCAGTTTGCCCAGTATGCTCAAAGTTCTCTACTTCCTCCCGTGGGACCAGCTTCGCTCTACGATCCTATGAGCTACCAACAACGGCAGTCTGCAGCAATCGAAGTCATGGCAAGCCAGCTAGCTGTACCACAATACGTCGGCCAAACTGAACATGGCGGTGTTGGCGTTGGCGTTGGTACGGCGCCAGCCCACTACCTGACCACCCAAGCAGATACAAGCACCTACGGTTCGGTGGCAGTCACGCGGCCGTCACTCCCTCAACCATACGGCGCGACTCAAGCGGATTATCCCGGTATTGAACCACCAGAAGCTGAAGATACCGGTGCTCAGAGTGCCCAAGAAGCATTGGATGAAGGCTTGAGAGAATATCAGCAGCAATTGCGTTCTACATTCGACTCCATCATTGGTGGTAGAGTGACAGAAGCGAGTGAGAAAATTTTGGTAGTTTCTCGCTGGCTAGTTAACTCTGTCACGACTCTTGGTGAGAGTGAATCTCTCCCACGAATCTTACCTGACGTTTGCTGATGAGTTACAGGACTACATCACGATGACGAGAATCGGCATAACGAGCGAGTCGAGCTTTGGCGAGAGTTCAACCTGTCTTGGGAGGCCCTTGGTCAAAAACAAAAGGACATCACCGAAGAAGCACTGAGAACACGAAGACAGCCTGCAGACATACTTTCAGCTGAAGCGATAACAAATCTGGTCGACGAACTGATAGTGTTTTGCGATACTCTCGAACCTTATGGACTGGTTGATTTCGAAATGGGAATCTGGGAAGAGCAAATCACCAACATTTTTAGCGTGTGTATTGACCTCCTACCTCGCAATGCCTCCACCACCCAAACAACTCGAGCACAAGCAGATCCCGTTTGAAAACGACCTCACATCGCTCTCATCCTCCACCGATACAATACTGTTTCCTTTTGTCGACGAAACTGACGATCCGTGTTATGACATCCACTATCTTTCCCTTTGTTTGCGACGGATTATTGTTTGACGATTTTATACCTCTGCATGATATATGAATTGTATGACTAGCACGGTCTTCGCATTTTGCATGATGTACGATTATGACTGTTTGAGCGAGCATCGAATTATAGCTCGCCAACAAAAGCATGTCACCTGGGATGGAGATATTCTTGGGAGGAACCTGACTCGCGGTGACGAGCTTTGTTTTGGTCTATAAAATTGGGGATGCAGGAAGAAAAGGAGCCGTGTATATTAGCTGGGTTTTCTTTTATTGTTTCTCTGGCTGGCCTCGTGTGTTAACACCTTTCGGCATTTTGTTTGATTCCTCAAATCTTCCTCGTGTTGCAAAACTTGAGGAGGAAAGAGGACACGTTGGGCAGGCACGAAAATCACACGAAAGCATATGTTATACCTCGTTCACGAATGATGGTTCAAGATGGATGGTTTTCTTTCTTTCTTTTGTTACTGTTGTGTTGGAAAGCAACGCGGATGAAGAAGATAGCAATGAGATACACACTGGTGGCGGATCTGTTGATCGCTGAACCATGTCGACATTTTATCATCGCCTTGGGTTCTATTTTTGCTCCTGATTTTATTTGCTTTCCAAACGCTTTTCCGACATGCTCGATAGATAACAACGTCGAAGACGTGATGGAAAACCCCCTGGTTCGTGTGGGATAGGGGTCCAGCCAGCACTGCAGGGGATTGAGCAGACCAGATGACTCGGTGGACGCTTCTAGACTAACTGCCTAGGTGGTTCACTTCCAGCGAGCGCTGTAGGGGATATCCCTGGACACCGGCGGCGGCGGGCTTCAACGGACGAGAATTTTTCTGGCCGGGGCATGCCCGTCAATTTTTTTCTTTTCCCTCTTTCCTCCCTGCATTCTTTTTCCGGACATGTTTTTTTCTCTGTGCGAGTAGCTGCCTCGCCTCAATTGGAGGCTAAAACTTGAAGATTTACTTCGTGCCCAAGTTGGTTAGCTAGCCACGATCGCTATGGACCACTTCGCTATTGCGGATCCATGCCGATGATCGCTCGGTAGCCCAGCGCGAACCAAGAAGTACCAGCCTCACCTTGTGAGCTCAGGAGTCAAAAACCTTGCCGTTGTCCCTTCGGAGAGGAAAACCTTAAAGCCGATCAGTAGTAGTATCGTTCGCCTTGCCTCGCTTCGCTTCACTTCACTTCACTTCACGTCGCCGAGCACAAGCACAGTGTTCAGTTGGCATTCCTCTACTCGGTCTCAGCACACACGACAATGGCACGACGTATTATCGTTCGACCGACTGAGTGGAGTGTTCGTGCCCACGTTCCCTGGATTTGGATTCTGCGAAGGTCAAGACTTGAGACCATCGATCGCAGGAGTGACAAGACCTGCCTCCGCTGGGTAGGCATCTGGTATGAGTAGGATCTAGACGGGTGCCCAAGGGGACTCAATGACACGTATGGATGTCTACCAACCCAACCGATGATATTGGGCATCGAAGTTTCTCTCGTGCCCGGTTTCTTCGGCAACAAACAAAAGCTAAAATACTTGCTTCTGCCACTTACTCACTTGGCTTTGTGAGAGGGCCCCGAGGTCGTCATCATACGAGTCGTTCATAGTCCTCACCTGGCTGATCGGCTAGAAGTCGTGGGAAGCGGAGCTTTGGGAGGTCGCACATGCCGCCATCGCCATCGTTACGCTAACTAGTACGGCGGCTGGCAACAATAACCTCGGCGCGACGTTCGTTGTCACCTCATGATGGCTGGCACTCCCGATCATTTCGGTGTCGTTGACTACTAGCCACAACATGTAACGGAGAATCGTGTCGTAGACCAGATACGAGCAGTTCACATCATGTGCGTCTTTGACCACGGAACTCCCTCCGTTCGTACGTCGTCCCAATTTGACAGACGAGCCGACTAGGGGTATTGCGTCTTTAGCGATCTGCAACTAGACAGCTAGCTTGTTTGCACTATAAAGGTAATCCGTCCGAAGTACAAAGTAGGCAGGAGAATGGAATGATAACAGCACAAAGTCTGACTTCGGTTTTCCCTGTGCTCCGCTCCTCATGAGTGTGACTGACTGGCTATGATGGCTTCTTCGGGCACGGAGCTGGTGGAGAATGTCTGACTGATCTTGGAGTAGGTCAAAACGGGACGGAAATCCTTCCATTATTGTTGACAGATGCCTAAGTACTGACATGGAATATTTGTTGCCAAAAGGTAATACGATTGTCGGTGGGAAGGAGTTCGTTCAATTGAATGGTCAACCAAACTCATTTGGGTTACTCGTTGAGTGCTTCATGCGACCTGATTCTTCGTCTATCACCCGTTAGAGGCATGTCGAGATGGAAGCCTTGCCTTGCCCCCTTTTCACACGCCAGCCTTGTCAACGCCCGAGGACCATCAAGCCTGGCCCAGTCACTAACAACGATGTCCATTGTACTCAGGGCAACTTGGCATGTGATTGACTGCTTTCTTTCGATCCCCATCGGTATTATCTATGTACTTGTATCGCGGGGTTCCGCATACCGACTCAAATTTCACTGGTGCTCTGCCTGGCAGGTCGATCAATAGGTGCCATATATTACTCTCGCCGAGTCCCTGCTGGCTACGAGATAGCCATGGCGGCCACGAGGCGAAGAAGACTACGCAGAGCACGAAAACGATGAGTGAGGATGGGACGATGCTTGGATAGGTGAGAGGCGGTGCTCTACTTTGCGATTGTTCTGATGTTTGTTCATGAGTCACGAATTCTCCTTTGCCAGGGCTGATCTACACATGACTGACTGCCCGCGAGGCAACGGATTATACTGAAACGGGTGCAGGATAATGAGACGACACCGTCGGGGTTAGGGAATGAACAGGAACAGGAACAGGTAACTAAATACTCCTTGAGCGGTCCCCTGAGCGCCCCCCTTCCACCGTGATTTCGTGTCGGATTGCAGGAAGGCCAGAGAATCGCCGCGCTGCGTGCATAGCTATGTATGCGACATGACTCTCGACCTTCTTCGCTGGTTCTCGAACATACGTCCAAGAATCTTAAAGCTGATATGCCAGATAAGAAGGCAGAGAGCGGCACGGGAGGAGGATGAAAGGCAGAGGTCAGTCCCCAGCCCAGAGTGGTTCCGCGAAGGAATGGAATGGGTACGTCAATGGATGACCCTGTGATCTACCGTCAGCACCAAGCTCTGAGTAGATGCGCTGCGCTCATGACTCTAGAACGGCTCTAAAAGAAGTACTGCAGGAGGAGCGTGTACCCAGGGTTGGGAGCTGCCTGCTTCCGTGTCTCGGGCGGAGTCCTTCATTGCTCTATCGTTTTCTCTGATCTTTCTACGCAGCAGCCCTGTGCATTCATCGTCATCAGGTTAGTTCTTGACTGCAATGTTGAACTTCAGGCAACAGAAAAAGTTGTGTCCAGCTTTAAACTTTGTACAATCTCCAACCATGCTTCATTGACACCATACTATACAAATTAAAAAACTGTAAAGCCGGGTATACCAAATGAGTTAAAAAGCCAAATATGAATCTTACTCGTTGAAATTGGCTGAATTCGTGCATCCCTTTTCCCAAGGCTTCTACGCCTTCCACTGTTCAAGCCAATGGTGACACTGGCCAACCAGCAGCCCCGGGGGATGTGTCTACCTCCATCATGCTTACACCAAGTGATGTATGCCTGCCAGGAGGATTTCGTCATAACGCCATGCTCTTTTGAAACGCTCATATGCCTTCAAATTCCATGATGAAAAGGAAAGAAAAAACAAGCCCAACAACGATCGACAGAGTGAACCACAGTCAAACTTGTGTCCTTCTGCGATCAAAGCCAGTTTGCTCAGTGTTCAACATCACTGCAGTTTGTCCTTCTCAGTTGCTGTCCTCGGTATCGTGCTTTCTGTCGGAGCTGTATTAGGAGGGTGCTGAGACTCGCCGTCGCGGTCCGCTACTACCGTGACTTGTGGGTCAGGGATTTGGATGTCGAGGTTTAGATAACCTGTTCTGCGTAAGGGTATTATTTTGACTCCATCTCTTGCTCCAACCGTGTGATTCCAATCGATTAGCCACTCTTCCAACGCTTTCAGTTGGCTCTTGACACCAACTGGTCTGAGATCTTCCCAAAACCAACCCGTCATTAGTCCAAGAAAGCCATCGAACCAATTCCACGCCGAAAATGGATCGTAGGCAACACACAAGGTCTGATTGATATGCTCAATCACATATCGAAACTCTTGTTCCTGCATTAATGGGTCGAGGATTTCGGGGTAAATGTTTGAGAAAGTAGGAGCTAGGTCACCAACAACCATCCAATCTCTTCGGATTCGGATTATTCGTGTTGCGGTATATTCGCGCGAGTCGAGGGGAACATGGGGATTCAGGTGTGGAAAGCAGGGGTGAGATGGACCCCATGCAAGCTCTTCAGCGACGCTGCCCTCATTATCTTCAGTGTATGGTCGTGTATCGTCCTCTTGAGATCCGCTGCCACCTAGGTGGCCATTCAGGTTTCCTCCAGCATAGGCGGAAGAATGCAGTGAAGCCGCTGACTGAGCATGGCTCAGAGATCGATGCGATGTGATGCGACGAGGAGGATGTAGAGCCTCATCTAGTGGATTGACACCATAGCTTTGACCTAGGACTGAGGCCTGCTGGGCTTCTAGGTCGCGATCTCGTGGATTATATCTTGAGGTAGATAGATGTGTTCGGTCGGGTTCTCGAACACCGTTGACCTCTGGCTTTTCGGACTCAATCATCAGACCGGCGCCCAAGGGTGTATCGTCTTGGAGATTCGCGCGTTGCTGATTTGAGGGAAGAGGGACACTGGTTCGATCACCTGCAGGAGGACCTAAACGGGGGCTATGCTCGACTATGGGGTCTGTGGGAGAATGCTGGCGGGAGCGGCGCTGCTCTGGGAGGGTGAGGAGAGTGTTAACTTCGCCGGTGCCGGTGTCAAGGGACGAATTCTGTCGTTTATGATGAGAGGGATGTTGGACTGGAACCGGAGTTGGGCGAGGGATGTAATTGATTGGGAAAAGGACCTTGGACGCGGTTGAACGATTGTCGGGAGGAATGACCTTCTTTTGGCGAACCAGCAGAGCTTCGAGGAAAGATCTCCTCTGGACTGGCGGTTGAGGCTGCGCCAGCGTCAAATCGGGTGGGTCGTAGGGAGTGGCAGAAGGACGATTGGCGGTGGAGAAGAAGGAGGAGTAATCGAATGAGGTGGGAGGGATGTTTACTGAAGAGTTCACAGCATAAGCATCTCTGGCAGGTTGCTTTTCAAGCGCCCTCGGTGATAGGTATGAGGACGTTGATGTTGTGGGATCCGTGATGGTGATGGGCTTGAATTTGGTGGTGAGAACGAGAGGGAAATTGCAGGTGGAAGTTGCAGTAACGGCGGTGGTGCCTGTGGGAGCGGCAGCGGCGGTTGGCGGGCAGAGGCTAACCACGCCTGCATGGATTCATGCAGGAACAATTCTTTAGCTGGAGCCAAATTCTGGTCCCTATTCCTGGTCGTGTTCCTGATACTGTAGACGCCGACACTCTTTGAGAGCATGCTGCTGTGATACTGGTTGTGCCTCGTAGTTGTTGGCGACAAAGTTCTCTGATCAATCCAAGAAATCCAGACCTTTGGACATTCTGGCGAGAAAGTTCCGGTGTCAGTCAGTGTCAGTGTGGGTGTGCCCTAAGCTTGAAGCCTAAGCCTAAGCCTAACAAGCCCGAAAAGTACGGGGACGGGGTACCTAGGTACTGTAGTCTGTGTCTAGGTCTTGGTCTGGACTTCAAGTTGGATCTGAGGAAAAAAACTACTGCAGAAGCGGAATGACAACTATTAGTATAGGAGGAAGTCAAGAACCCTTTTGCCTGGTTTCTGAACATATTCCATTCAGGTCCATATGAGAACTCCAGACCAGGTACGGACTACCTTACTCGTACATAAGTAGGGCGTGACTCGTGAGTTCGTGTGTGTGCCACCATCGCCCGGAACCAATTGCCCTCATGGTTTGAGCCACTTCTCACCATATCCATGTTCACACTCTTCGTCCTCCGACTAATTGCCAACTGTTCTTCCCCCCAAGCGATCCGTAGTCTCATCGCTTCATCCCCTTTCCGGCATGCTGCCCACCCTCAAGACTCAAGAGATCTTCACTTGCACCTGTTGGGGATATCTATGCCAGGGGCATATCAAGTCTCCAGGATCTTTGTAGGACCCCCATCCAGCCGTGAACCACTAAGAGAGCATACGGAGAATTGCTAATCACCTTTTGCCTACAACTATCCGGCTGCTATACCGAAAATTAAATCGTCTACGTCCGTGCCCGGTTCCCACTGTACTGGTTGGGGACTTACTAGGCTCCTGCGGAAGTGCAAAGCTGCCCAAGTATTGAACTTTAGTCAGTGCCAATCTTTCCACTTTGTCCTCCCTGGAAAGGGGAGTCGATTGTCAAGGCACACTCCATCGCGGAAAAAACGAGACCACCTTGTTTCTTCTCATTGCAGCTCAAGTTTCGAGTATGATTGCTCCAAGGGAGAGCATCGACGGGTACATGTCTTCCGAATCAATGTGGACTGATGAGGAGTTTCATGGCTTTCCCCAGAATGACAGCATTACCCCATCGTCTGTCAATGTGTTCCATTTTGCTGCAGATCAAATCTTTTCTCTAACTCACCTTGCCGCGTCGCGCTAGCTTGCGTGGCTGCAGACCCGTTGGCTCGGTTATTGGTCGCCTTGCGAGCGGATCAACGTGCATGAACCATTCTCGCGAATTGTCCATCTCAATGTTCGTATGCGGTATGACCATTTCCGGATGTCCTTGGACTGATTTCGCTTCAAAAAACACCATTCCTTCACCAGTTGGCAATCTACACGGGGCTTTCATTCTGCATGGGTACCCTGCGGCTATCAAAACGCCTGAACGGTGATCATGACTGCGATGAATCCCGACATCATCAAGGTCTGCCACGGCAAGATGTACCGACATGATTGATTCGCCGTTGCGCTTGCGCTGGTTGTGGAGCTCGCCATAGTGCTTTGCTGAGGACCTGTTGTTGAAGGGTCTTTCGAACTTGCCATGGACGTTTGTGCCGCATCCGAAGTGCTGATTGACTTCGAATCATATCCGGAAGTTGAGATGTCAGTAACATTGAGCACCGGAGGAAGGCTTGACTGGGTTGGTATCGCAACGGTAGTCAAGAGAGGGTTCGACGTTGTGGTAAGAATAGTCGCTTCTGGTCCGATCGTAATGGGCACGCCCAAGATTGCACAAAGCTCAGCCACCACGGAAAAGGTATCTATACTTGGTCAGTAGTGAGTTTTGCTGGTGGGTATGATTACTTAGTATCTGGGGGCCATCGATTTGCCTACCTTGTTGGTCCGCAACATCGCAAGAGGCGAAGGTGCAGTTGTTCATCCGCTCAATATACACATCATTCGCGCAAAGACAGGACCATTCACTAGACACGAAGTCAGTCCAGTCGTTTTATTTCTGAGCTTGCAGTCAGTGCTAAGCCTCACCTCTGGCTACAATTCGTTGAGCTCACGTTTGCAATACATGAGAGCTTGCATTCAAGTCAGCTTGATATCCAACTTTGGACTGCTCGCCAAGGGTTTCTTACAGCGCATTGATCGACATCGTCCTGAGCGAGACCAGGAAGAGCCAGGAGTGACAGCGTCAAGATATGCATCAACATCATGACTTTCTTGGTCTTTGACACGAAGGGAACTCTAATTCATCTGTTACGTTGGTGCCATGCAAGGTCAGAATCAATAGTAGCCGATGTTGGAGCCTCCGATAAGAGTGTATCAGGGTGCGTAGGTATTCTTAGGAAAGTGACGATATGGTCTAGGTCGTGGATCAGGAGGAGTGTATGGATATGAATTGGATGGAAATCCAGGCAGCATTCATTCGCACCTAGCGGTACGTCCTGTTCTCAAGTTGGGAGATCGGTATCAAAGGCACATCATTGGCAGGCGCCACTCAGTCTCTTTCCATCCGACTGTCAAGGTGAATCAATCAGGACCCAATTGTAGCGGGGCATTAACTTATGATGAGGATTGTTCTCTCACTGAAGAATCACAGATGCATGAAGCATGGGCCACCAGCACCCTCTATTTTACAGACTTCGTATGACGTAGTGACACGATAGTGGAGATACGCTACACTTGCGCTTCAATGGTTTCGCCGTATCAATGAGCGGGTTGTCTTGCATCACGTGTGACCATCAGTCCACACCTCCAACGTGGTCATCAGTAACTCCCAGCTGCCATCCATGACTCCCGGAGTTTCTCTCACAAGTGAGACCGGAGGAAGATGAGAACGATTTTTGGAGTATGTTTAGTTTATATCATTTAGAATTACCTAAGTAACTCCGTCTGGTTTCCCAAAGAACTATGAATACACTCCTTCATCAAAGTCTTATAGTAGTAGTGTCATCAATCTCGTGGCTGGCAGATTTTCCCCCATTGTAATTATGCTCCATCCAATGCAATGGTATCCAAAGAGCTCGCAAATAAACAGAAATTTGGTGCATCGATGCCGTTTACAACGCAACCATAGTCGCGAAGATAGCAGCGATCAAAGCACCGCAGGCACCGAGACCGCGAATTGATGGAGCACTGTTGCCAGAGCTGCCGGTGGTTGTGGCAGCAGCGACAGCCTGGATACCGAAAGTGGTACCGGTGAGAACTTGAGTCGAGCCACCAGTGGTGACGGTGGTGGTGATGGTGGCAGGAACAGGAGCGGCGGTGGTTGAGCTGCAGCCAGACCATGTGCCAGTCCACGAAGAGAAGGGGCCCCATCCAGCAGTCCAGGTTGTCCATTGATCGCAGTTGATGCCGTTGGCTTTGGTTCCCCATGGCCCGAAACCACCTGGGCCACCTGGGCCACCTGGGCCGCCGGGACCTCCATGACCACCCCAGTTACCTGGGCCACCCCATGGGCCGGAGCCACCCCAGCCGCTGGGAGCACCGGGAAGACCAGTTGAGCAGGCGGAGACCCAGCTTGACCATTGGGACGAGTCCCAGTTGCCGCCAGGGCCGGCGCCGGGACCGGCGGTGATTTGAGAGGGCCAGGCAGAGCCACCTGATGTAGCACTGAATGTGGCTTGTTGGGAGTTGGTGACGGTGACACCGGCGTTTGCGCAAAGCTGTGCAACTGCACCATAGATGGCTGGGGTTCATGTTAGTTTGGTGCACTGTGTAGAAAGTTGGGAGTGAAGGCGACATACCCTCTTGATCAGTTTGGTTTGTGCATGAGGTCGCAACGCAGGTGTTCAATTGAGAGATGGCGGTTTGGTTGGAGCAAACGCAGTCCCAACCACTGGAGGAGTCGCAAGACGTGCCATCCCAAGATCCCAGACAGTCAGTGAACTAGGACGAGTTAGTAAATGATAAGCTTCGAAAGCTGCGTAACATACAGTGCAGGAGGGAAGCCATGCAAGAGCAGAGGAAGCAAATAGGGCTGCCGCCAGAGGGAGAGCAACGGAAGACTTCATGGTGTATGGGGTGAGACGAGGTTGAGGTATGGGTAGACGCTAGAAGAATAGTCTATGTCTTGAATATTGCTTGAGGAGATGTGGGCAAATTGCTGGAGAAACAAAATCGAGAGTATGGAGCAGAGGAGGAAAAGATATAGAAAATTGAAGCCCCCGTACCACCGCTCAGGCAAGCCGACCAAGAGGTTGGCCGTTCGTGTTGTGAGCGGCACAGCCTTGCTTGAGCGGCCGCAGTGAGTGCATTGCTAGGGCAGTCAGCCGTTGCTTGGACTCCGAAGTTAGAAACTTTGCCCTTAGTGCGTAAGGGGTCGGTGGTCGGTGTTAGGAGGACGACACGTCATGCAAGCGGTGGGCGTCGCCAGGTGTGTGTCTAAACGAGAAGGGCTAGGTGATAAGCAAGGGAAGCAAGGGAGCCAAGGGCACCAAGGGGCATACCCAGGCACCTAACAGGTCGGAAGATTTGAGGACTCTTGGGACGGGAAAGCCTATCTCACAGGCCTGTTGTGGTTGGCCTGACAGCCCGAACCCAAGCTCTGGGTTTGCCAAAGTCCGACAAGCTAAATCTAGCACCTCTAGACCCAATCTGGTGCCGGATAGTGGCGATGATTGCATTGTTTCGGTCGTTTCATTCGTCTGCTATTTGCGGAATCTGGGGAACCGTATTCTCAGCCTCAGTTTGACCCAAAGATTAATTCTATGAGGTACTCGACGGCCATGTAGCTGGCAATATCTTATTACGACTACGAGATAAACGGGTACGAGAACAAGCACATGCAAAGCCTACAGGTCAAGGGAGTTGGAATTATTGCTTTCACCCGCAGAATGAGGCTATGATGGACGGCGAGGAAAGCAGGCGACAGGCGATACACCGTCCACTCCGTGCAAATCAGACGGTGCTGGTGGAAACAATTATTCGTATCAGGCAATCCCTCTCTGATTTCCTTGTCATATTGCATTGTACTTGGTGGGATCGAGTAGCCAAGAACAGAAGCGTTGTGCAACCACGAATATGTCCGATCGCAAGTCAAGCTCAACTTGAACGCTGCGTAAGTCATTACGAGGGGACACACACATCTTGTCGTCAACAATATTATTATCGAATCCTCGGGCGACATACCCTCAAGGACGGACACAGTACTCGGTAGTTTTGCTCATTAAATTCGTCACAAGCTTCCTCATCGTGCCAATGCCAATGTCTAACTAGTGACGATCACCAGGGTACTCGTCCGAGTAGTGACACGCAAGACTCAAATTGGGCTGCAAAATGTGCCCTTCCCGATCTACCATCGATGATAAGAAGTGTGGGAGTTTTCGTTTGCCTCGGATCGGATATCGGTGTACAACCACCGACTTGACGCGCCAACCTCCCCGTGATCTACAACATGGGATTGGTGGACATTGCATTGCCAAGGGTGGTTGTCGCGGACCCTGTCACTCCTGGTCATCCTCTGGTGGTACGGAGGACTGTGTCTCCCCAACGGGCAGCCTCTTGGCCCCGCGCTCCTCATCTGATGGGAAATTCGTCCGGTTTCAGCTGTTCAACCTTTGAAGTTGCCCTTTTCCCGTTCTTCATGGGTGCTCAAACAGATCCGGCTTCATGTTGATCTTACACAATTTCGCCAAACATCCGCTTAGTTGCAAAAAAGATTGAACCCCCTCCAATATTCTCATGTGTGTAAAGCCAATCTCTTTGATAAACTCCAACTTGGAGTGCTCTGAAAGTGTCGGGATTGTCTTAGTCACCCGGAACATCGTGCTGATGATGTCGTGCGACGAATATCCTAGATCCCTACATTCCATGCATGCAGCGTCAGTGACGCGGCTCCATTCTGCGGACTTTCTCCTCGTGATCACTTACCAGAGTTCTGTCAGCGTGTCCACCGCGCTATCAATCTTGCCCTCCCAACAGGCCTTGACCATTGCTTGCACCTTGACTGGATGTGGGCTGTCCACGACTCGGAACACATTGTCACCACTGACGAATCCGAACCCTGCCCAAGTGCTTTGTAGGTTATTGATGGCCTGACGCATGTCTCCTTCAGCACTGAATACCAAGGCGGCCAGACCATCTTCGGAATATTCCACCTTTTCTGCTTCCACGATCTGCATAAGTCGCTGGACAACTTGCGCGTCTGTGAGCCTCGAATACCTCAGAATGGCGCATCTCGATTGTAGCGGTTCAATGATCTTATTTGATTGATTGCATGCGAACGCGAACCGAGTCGTATTGGAGTAGATCTCCATGGTTCGTCGTAAGGCTTGCTGTGCACCCGATGTCATGCTACCACCAACAGTTAGACCCAACTTGCGCGTGTGTCAGCTCATCCGATCATGACATACCTGTCTGCTTCATCCAATATCACCAACTTGTGACGGCCGGGAGGCAACGTCACCTTCTTTTGTGCGAAGCCTTTGATTCTGTTCCTTACAACATCGATACCTCTTTCATCGCTGGCGTTCAATTCGAGGACCGCTTCTTTGTACGCGTCGCCGAGTAGGGTTCGAGCAAGGCACAGGACAGACGTAGTCTTGCCAATACCTGGCATCCCTGATATGATTACGTGGGGCATGTTGCCATCTTTTGCAATGATTTTGAGGCGTTCAATGGTTTCTGAATTGCCGACAACATCGTCGAGATATACTGGCCTGTATTTCTCAACCCTATTCTCAATCAGCGGATTGACCTCAAGAGGTGCACCTTTCTCACCATGGTAATTCGTATTCAGGTGTGGCTCCATTGACGTTGGCTTTCAGGGCCTTTTTGGCACCTGCAGACGACGATTCAGGCTGTCCGGACATTTCTGTGAGTCAATTTGGAGGATGCTTTCTCGATGAATACACGCTGCGATTGCGTTCGTGGAAACTGGATTTCTCCAACGCTTGAGAAAGATTTGGTTTGGCGCGGGGCCACGGCGCGTCAGGACGCGTATAGTGGTTGTTGGTATTTGGGGCTCCTTGGCAGCGTGACCGTTCAGTCTACTCCGAGTCCTCGACAACGTGACCTACCTATACGGAGTAGGTACCCAGGCAGGTACCGAACTTAGGTACATGACGGAGTATCTAGGTACCTACCTAGGTATTCAACCTACTCGGAAACTATGAATGTCAGATAAATATCTTAGATACAGTCATTAAAGAAGGCTGCCGAAGCCTACCCAGGTACCACGTAATTGAAAACTGATTTCTTGGTGCCACCCAAACATGATCAGTGAAGTTTAGGTAAGTAGTTAAGCTTTCTACCATCCTAAGCTATCTCATGGTGAGTTGGTAACTAGCTACCTGGTCCTGAGATATCCTACGTTCGGAGAGAATGACGCAATTGTACACACCACTGTGTACACCAAACTCACAGCTTGAACTTGACCGTGTTCGTAGTTGGTGCTATACAGGATGCCTGAATTCCATGACGGCCAGTATTGAGAATGCTGACAAGAACGCAGTCCAGCACTCTAGCGACACTAATTACGCGTGGACCTTTAACTTGTATGATATTCTGGCCTGTCAAGTCTCCATCCTTGAGCGCTACCAGTCCGTCTTGCCCTTGTCAGCGCCTTGTTCTAGCTGGGGAAGCATCAAGGGCTTTTCGGAGAGGTCTGTGACCGGGTCACTCGAGGCAGGTGCTGCAAGTTTAGACCACAAACTTTTCCCATACCTCCCAAAGGCGTTCTCGGCGCCGCCGCAATCCAGGAGTCTGCGTTGCATTGTGCCTAATTGAAAGGGGAATGACTCCCAAGTGCCCTGCCCGTCAACATCCAAATATACCACAGTTCGATCGATGTCGACCTTAATTTCCTTTTCGTCGGCAACCAACTCCCAGAATCTCGGGCTCTTCATCTCGAATCCTAGCAAGCCCAAATTAGGCTGGTTACGCGCATAAATGAATGCAAAGGACTTTGCAATGACACACTGCACACCAGCACCCTGGAGTGCGAAGACCGCGTCCTCACGACTGCTACCACAGCCGAATGCTTCGCCGGCCACGATTATAGTATGGCCATCCTTGACGCGTTGACGAAAACCCGGGTGTGTATGAAACAGGCAGTAGCTGCCGAGAATCTCCTTCGTGACATTGGCGTGTAACGCACCTTCCGCAGGTGCGAGTGCGTCTGTGTCGATAAAGTCACCCAAGAGTTGCACTTTTCCGCGAATCATCGAAGACAAGGATCCTGGTTCGACATCGGGTGACGCAACTCGCACATCGAGGTCTGCGAGAGGACTGACCTGCAGGTGGGATTTCTCATTGGACGCAGTGGTCTCGTCTGTGCTGCTCTGCTTTACTCTCATCTCTTCGGTTGATATACTGGGTTTGGCTCCGGGCTCGACATAACCTAGCTTTGACGGTGGGTCCTGCTGGAGTCCAGGTGTCATGTAGTCATGTAGCCGTTGGATGTCGATGGCGTCAAGCAGTGAGCCGGGATCTGTCACCTTCATATCAAAACTGCTGGCTGCCACGGTAACTGCAGACGCCAGATTGCCGAAAGCCCCTACCAGATTTCAATTAGTATTCTGGATCTGCTGCAAGGAGAGGAGTTGAGCTAGTAATACCTGGGCCCATCCTATTCTCAAAATTGCGATTCTGGCTTGTCAACCAAGTTTCCCCCTTGGCAGCTTTATCAGCGGAAGCACCAACGCAGTAACTACAGCTTGGGACGCCAATCTCCCACCCAGCTCGCTGATAGATGTCGACTAGTCCGGTGCTGCGTAGTTTGTGTAGGATTGGGAGAGATCCAGGAATCATCTTTCTTATTCCAGTCCTGACCGGCTTTGCTCCCCGCTTCATGGCTTCCTCAAGTACTAATGCTGCCAGTACGAGATCCTCCTCTGCCGTCGTGCATGCTCCAATAAAACAGCCTTGCAATTCAAGCCCAGCGACCTCACCCACCGGGACAACATCATCGGGCTTCGGATACCTTGCCACGAACGACTGAACCTGAGCAAGGTCTATAACGTGCATCTCGACATATTGGGCGTCCGGGTCTGGACGAAAATATGTCGAATGTGATCGATACTTAGGTTTCTTTCGTTTGTTGATGAACTCTTGCGTGGTTGTATCTGGGACGAAGATCCCAGTTACACCTCCAAACTCCTATTCAGTCGATTAGTGGGTGACTCGGCTCATTCTGGCTACTTAGAACACTCACTGTAGTCATATTTGCAATTGCAAATCGAGCATCACACGATAGATACTCAATCCCTGGCCCTGTATATTCCACTACACGTTCTGCAGCCACGGTATTACGCTTGAGTTCCTTGAGGATATACAGAATGATATCCTTTCCTGATATACCCGGTTTTGGCTTATTGACGAAGCGAATCTCGACTGTCTCTGGAATCTTAAACCAGGTCTCGCCCGTGACCAGGGACAAAAGTACATCGGCAACTCCAAGCCCTATCGCAAGACAGCTAACCGATCCGGCCGAGCATGTGTGAGAATCTGATCCTATAACGAGCATCCCGGGTTGGGCCCGCTCGCGGCAGAATTCGGTGTGCATAATTGTATACTAATCGTTGCGAGTTAGCTTTAGTCCAACTGTAGCAGCGTTTTTAGGCATTATATTAGTCGTCTTAGAGACCTACATTCATACCCTGGTTTTCTGTCATCCTGAATTGTCTTTTCGCACGCTCGGCCGACTCAACGTAGGGTTTGATTTTGGGGTGTTCCATGATACGAGGATCGACGAGGTGATCTCCAGCAAGCCAAAAGCGATCGTTTCGATAAATGCCAGGCTTTCCTAAGCGATCGTACCATCTTTCCATACCCTGTCCGCTGTTAGTTAGTAGGGTAGACGATTAGTGGCAAGAGGCCGTCTCGGTCGCCCTGTAAATCACCTTGAGTACAGGGGTGCACTTACCCTCCAAGAGAACTCGGATGCAATGATCCAATCAATGTCCACTCGAATCATATCGCCCGGCTGGACTTCACCTCTGCGACCGACATCGTGGGCGGCAAAGATCTTCTCGCTCAAAGTCATCCCTCTCCGCCCACTTGGTCGGACAGGCAGTGGAACCACAGGCTCCCTGGCCCTATCGGCCGAATTCAAGGCCTCAAGTTGGGCTGAAACTAGGAAAAGCAGCTCCGCCGTGTCTTGTTCAGAGAATTGTTCGCTGTCATCTTGACGCAAGCCAAGGCCGCCAAATTGTGTAGATGTCATGCCCAATTCATGAACTTCCAGCAAAGCGTTGGCCTCGAGGGGATATCCATGATTGTGAAGGGTGAACGCGAGAGTTTTCAATTGTTTGAGAAGATCGGTCCCTTCGTGAAGCCCAATATCACCTTCCGACGCCTCATATTTCTCGGCCACATTGATCCCTCGACTGTCCTTCAGCAGCTTGACTATGCTCTGTGTTTGTCTCGAAAAAGGCCGCGCAATGATGACATTTCTGCCTGAGAAGGGCGTTGACATATTGGGATACCAGCATTGGTTGCTGTACAACCATTCTCCTGGCACAGGAGACTTACTGCCGTGGCACTGAATCGATGTTAAAGGCCTTGTACATTATGGGTCTGTGTCATCCGTATCACTCGTGAGGCGTACCCTCATTGGCCCGGTGTATGTACTGAAGGCTGCACGCCGATTGGGCTCTGCCCTCGGGCCGGAGTGTGGCGCCCTATCAATTTACATACTTTGTTGGGAGTAGCATACGACACTTGCCGGGCTTCACCAAGGCTAGATGTATCCTGAGTCCTCATGGCTCTTAACAGATTGGTGATGTCTGGCGTTATCGTCTGTGATGCTTGTCAGGTTACCAGAATCTGATATTCTAAGGAAAATGGAAGACACACCGGCCGCAAATCTACGTCGTATGCTTTTAGGAGAAAGTATAATCGTTGTCCCAGGAATATATGATGGTTATACGGCTCGTCTCGCACTGGCGGCAGGTTTCGACGTGTTGTACATGACTGGAGCTGGCACATCCATGTCTCGACTAGGAATGGCAGATTTGGGAATGGCAACGATGAACGAGATGGCAGACAATGCGAGCATGATAGCGGGTATCAATCGATCGATTCCACTCATCGCGGACGCTGATACTGGATACGGCGGTCCGTTGATGGTGAGACGGACAGTACAGGAGTATATCAAGGGAGGGGTGGCATCCTTGCACCTTGAAGACCAAGTCCAAACCAAGCGCTGTGGACATCTTGCGAATAAGGAGCTTGTGGATGAGGATGTGTTTATCTCAAGAATCAGAGCAGCCTCGCTCGCCCGAGATCAGATGCCACATGGCGATATTGTCCTCATTGCGCGGACAGATGCATTGGAAAGTCTGGGCTATGATGCTGCTGTCGGTCGTTTAAAGAAAGCCATTGCCGCTGGGGCAGACGTCGCTCTTATGGAGGCTTTGACGTCAATTGAGCAGATGAAAGCCATATGTCATGACTTGGCGCCAACTCCGGTGATATTGAACGCGGTGCCAGGGGGAAAGACACCCGATCTGACCGCCAAGGAAGCAGAGCAGATGGGTTTCAAGATGATCGTGTTCCCAACTCTCGCTTTGGCTCCAGTTCATGAAGCGGTGTTAGGCGCGGCCAAATACCTCAAGGACAACGGAAAGGTTCGGGCGACAGATATCCTGGCCAAGGGTCCCAGAGCACTCTTCGAGGTTTGCGGTCTCTCTGAGCTCATAGCATTTGATATTTCCGCCGGTAGCCAAGCCTTCCAGAGCAACGCATAGAGATGCGTATCGGATGGTGAAGGTGACGTGTGTCGCAAGACGGACAATGGCCATTGATCTAGAAGACAGAGCTTGTAGGTAGATGCACAAGCTGAAGAAGCAAGCGTAGGATACGTTCTCCCATCGCTCCCATTACATGTTGCGATAACACTTGACTTATGCCAGTAAGACAAAATAACTTCCATTGATGGTCAAGCTGCAGCATCATTAAATCTAGTCAAGTTCTCGTACATCCGGTGCTGAGAGGTACTGCTTGATTGTCACTTGAATTGGAAGTGCTACCTACAGTACCTAGGTAATTAGTACGAGTAGGCATTTAAGAACCGGACTCGCGTCGGTTTACACTCGGACAAACACTTAGGCTCGCGTAGTTAGGCTTGAGCAACTGTCTAACTTGGGTAACCAGTTAACTATCTCTAGGCTAGGTAATTAGGTCAACCCTACTGGGTACATGCCTAGGCATGGGGCTAAGTATCTGGGGTTTCCTGGAGTTGCTTCCCCCGCTCCCGAGGTCGTCTGTGCACCTCTAAATACCTCTATGTGCCACTCTAGATCAGTTGAACCAACCGTCAACCACTTCATCCCCATATTGTCCGCCGCGGCGACGCGTGCCAGCAGATCTTGAAGCCATTAATCAAAGATGTATGCCCGAACACTGGCTCCGAAGCGTCCAAAATCCCCTGGCATCATTGGCCCCTCTTCAAATCTTGTTGAATCTGCACCAGACAACTTCGGAGATGTAACGAGTCACGGTCGAGTTGCAAAGCGAAGGCGAACCGCCTGTCAGTCATGCAGACAATCCAAAGTAGGTACGCATCAGAGATTTGGGTGCATCTTTAGGCTCGCTCGTTGGGAAGTTCGTCAGCTTGCCTCGCAATAGCTGACTTATCGTGCACAGCTTCGTTGCGAGGGTTCAGCCAACGGCGAAAGGCCATGTCAACGATGTTGCGAGCTCTCCCGACCGTGCATAGTCAACGCCGACGGCAACACGGTCAAGAGAACGTATGACTCTCTATCTACGCTCTTTCTGCATTGTCATGACACTGCTGTGTAGGGTATCGCATCCCACAAGAAGTCAAGAAAGCCAACCAGTTCGAGAGCTGCCCAAGACTGCCCAACTTGAATTTACAACAGCGCCAGACCCAACAATATATGGATGCAACCTGGCAAGCGCACCAGAAATTCTACCAATTGTCGCGTCCGACATTGCATGGATATCAACAAGTCATGCTTCAGGCAGCCCCTGTCAGCCAACAGATACTTCGGACCGCCTTGCCACGACGAGTTCGGGGCTTCCAGTCTCGAAAGATCTGAATGAGGGTGCTTCTCTACAAGATTCGGGTGCCCAAAGCGCGCGTACAATTGATTCGGTAACGATCAGTGCTGAAAGAATTCGCCATTTTTTCAAGGTGTAAGCACATATTTGTTGCCCAATCATGACGTTGCTAAAACTACGATCAAAGGTATTTTTTGTACTATCACCCATCGATGCCCATTCTCAGTCCTTCACCCTCTGCCGACGCCCTTTACGGGGTTTCACCTCTTCTCTTCTGGACGATAATTATCACGGCTGCCCGCCATGATAGAACGGACTTGGCTCTGCTGGAATCCTTGTTGCCGGCGGTGAAGACCTTACTTTGGTCCACGGTCGCCCGACCACCACACGTGCTACCATCTTTACAAGCCATGACTGTGTTATGTGTCTGGCCTTTACCGGCTTCATCATGGAGTCAGGATATTACTTACATACTAAGCGGCGTTCTGAAGTCGGCCGCTCGGCAAGTCGGATTGCACCGTCCGGAGGTATTGCCTCACTTCTATCGGCAGATGCACTTCTTCAACCAGACTGAGATACGTGATGCGGTCCGAGTCTGGTGCTGCATCTATATCTCTATCGAAAGGTAAATATCACTGAAATCAGTGGCATTTCCTCATCCCTCGTGATGATCGCATACATACTGATAACAAATCTCTTCCTTCAGCGTGGCTGTTATGATGGGCCAACCACCATATATCCACACAGATCGTACGATCGAGCAGGCATCAACTCCGTCAAACCAGTACCAACTACCAAAATCCTTACATCGCACCATCTCGATGCAAATGTTCTGTAACAGAATCCATTTGGCTATGGCCGACGTTGACAGGCTGGAAGGGACGGCATCCCACCTTAATCGGAGTTCATTATTGAAATCACTGGAGTTCGAGCTCCAGGAGATAGAGCGCCAGTCCGGAGAACTTGACTGTCGTAGGTACGATCATCCTCATCGCAGGTCCCAATCATTAAACTCGAACAGCTCAAGCCCAAATTGGCCTCCTGCTGGTGGCCTTTCAGCTTCGAGGCTACTGGCTGCTCGATGACCAAGAGTCGTCATCCCGTCGAGAAGGCATGATTCGTGCGTATGACACTGCGATCGAGTTAGTGGCCCTCATTGAATCGAGGGAGAAGAGTGGCCACTCCTTCAAGTATCTCACGTTATTATCCTCCATGGTGTGTTTTGCAGCCGCCGTCCTTGTCTCGAGAGTTATACACTCAAGCTATAGCCAGCTAGTCAACACCGAGAAAGGACGACAGACTTTCAGCACATGCATATACATCTTCCGGCAATGCAGCGTTGAAGACAATGACATGCCCGGTCGGGTTAGCAAGACATTGGCGCAACTGTGGAGTATCCACCAAGGGTTAGACAAGGACTGCAAACAGCCTCCGCGCCTTAGTCTCAAAACTCGAATGTTCTTCAGTATCGTGCAAGACTCACTATGGCTCTGGCGCGAGATGTACGGTGGCCAAGGAGCACCATCACTCCCACCTCCGTTTATGCCAGGCACGCACTTGGGTCCATCGTCGTCTGGACTGCCACTTTCACCAGCTGCGTCAACCACATGTTCCGAGCCCAGAAGAGGAGTCGACCCATGCTTGACTTTAACGCCCATGCTGAGGGCAGACGGGCAAGAAATGAGTATGACATGGGATCTTGGGCTCTTCGACCTCAACAACATGGCGTTCGATATGTCATTACCCGATCTTGATGTGGCATTGTAGGTACAAAGGAGTAACGGCAAAAGATAAATAATTTCATAAGTCAGACATGGATTCAACCAGCAAATGTCACGTACGGCGAGAATGAGAAAAGGAGCTCACTACTCAATAACTGCAATACAATATGATCATGAAGTCAGAACATGAACTACGGCCTAAACACAATGTCCTGTCAAGGTGCTCTTCGTCACCTTTCACTCTCCAAATCATGCTTGTTGCCAATGCGTTGTGGCTAAGCGCTCGCGTTCCCAGCAACACACTCGAACCAAAAATTTGCAGTGGTGTGTAAATACTTTTCAAAGCATACACTAATGTCAGGTCCTAGGCGAATCTCAATTCTTCGAGGCTATCATAAATTGACCTTGTTGGATCTGAATAACGACTAGTGATGCAGAGGAAAGGCTCTTTGTCTCTTCGCCTGCATTTTCTCAGTACTGAAGAAGCCTAGCGTTCGAGAATTCCATCTGTGAAAAGAGACATATAGCAGACCGAAGCCCTAAGCAGCAGCTAGCACTGGGACTGGTCTATCCCTTTCCTGAATGTAGATGTTCAGGTCGATAATCTTAGCCGAAAGTAAAGCGTGGACCTTAACGGGCCGATTTGGTTCGGCCAAACTCAACTGGAACGTTTGTATTAGTTGTCTGCTATAGACTCACATTTGGAGGGAAGGCGACGTACCTCAAAGAGCCCAAATAGCGTTGATATTGATTTGTACAATTCAAGCAAAGCAATGTGCTTGCCTATACAAGCTCGTGGTCCATAGCCGAACTCGATGAACTTCCTCTGCATGCCGCGAAGCCTCTCACCAAACTCCGCCTCAGGTTCGTCGGCCCCTCGCAGCCAGCGCTCCGGATTGAATGTATCAGCATCCTTGCCAAAAACATCCTGGTTACGATGGACGGGCCATGCATTCACTCCCACAATAGTACCTGGCGGTAATTCCTCCCCGGTAGAGAGCACCAGACCGCCAGCACCCACTTTACGCTCCAATTCAACTGCAACAGTGGGATGGATACGAAGCGCTTCCATGATGACCGCGTCGAGGTAGGCCAGTTTTTTTACCTCACTATACCGGGGTGGGTATGTCAGGGCGTTGTCGTCAAGTTCCTTCTGCAGCTTGCTCATCACCGTGGGTTGCTGTAGTACGAACATCAGAATAGCCGACAGAGCAGCTCCTGTCGTGTCGGACGCCGCAAGCACATTGGTACTCGCGTAGGCTTTCACCTGCAAGTCCGAGACCACGTCTGGATGTTGCTGCTGTGCGTCCAGGAACCTTGAAAGAAAGTCCGGTCTTTCCAAGTCACCCTTTTCCTCCCCACTGGCCCGCTTTCGAATTCGCTCATTCGTGAATGAAACTAGATAGTTTGGGGTCTTAACCAGTGCCAATAGCAAAGGGTTCTTTAGGAGGAAGTAGTCAATCCACGGCATGAATCCGACGGTGCCAATATATATGAATTGCATATCCAAAGTGAACATCATATTGTTGATGTCCTTTGCGGCATCGAGAAATCCAAATCGCTTGCTGAAAGTGGCCTGTCCGATGAGATCGAAGGAGAACCAGTGCATCCACTTGTCGATGGAGCATATCCGCTTAGTGTCACCTTCGACGTACTCTTCTCTCAGCCGACGGGTAAGCCTATTAATGTTTTCGTCCACAATATTTTCGTAACCGAGGAGCGTGCTCATGGAAAAGGCTCCAGCAATTGGTCGTCTCCGCTGGGCATGGACTTTTGAATCAATCGCGGCGATGAGCATGGGAAGAACTTCACCCTCAACTGGATTCTGCATGGGCTTGACATGGTCGCTCTTATCCAGATTACTTTTCAGTCCCAGGATCAAGTCGAGAGCCTCCGGATCCGCCACAGATACGCAATTGGGACCTAATCGCACGACTGGGCCGTACTTTTTGTGTAATCGCAAAATCGTTTGTTCACGATGCCCTCGACACGCGTCGACAAAGCGCCATACGTCGGTGAATCGTGCCAGAAACGGCCCAGGGATTTTTCCCAGTCCGGGAGTGAAGTAGTTCAACAAGAGCTGGCATATCACCAGGCTTGGAACAAACACCAGCGACACCTGCACCAAGGTGGAGAACATTTTTCGCCAAGTGAAACAGTGCTTTCGTCTCAGCCAGCAAGATTCGAAGATTCGAACTTCTAAGGATGGAAATATTTTCTCTGTCTTCTAGCATGATGTTTGAGGCGTTGACGTCTATTTTGACCATGTTACATCCATTGTCGATCACAATGCTAGAGTCTTGGAGCGCAGAGCATTTGAGGCATCTATCTCCCCGATTGGGCTTGTGGGAATCCGTGAACCGATTGGACAGTTCAGCCATGGATGACTGGGGAGCAATTGGATATCTAGGAGCAATCTTCTCCGACCCCGAAACCCCCACGATTCAGGAATGTGGGGAATGAATGATATCTGCTCTGTCACTGCATCATAACACTCCCTACTCAGAGAAAGGAAACTCCCATAGCGAATCAGGAGCCATTCATTGATCAACCCATTTGGATCTGTCATCATCGAACAGCTGTTGTATATGCTCTCTAAACCAGGCTCGTGAGACCAGTATTCAGCTCCAGTCTCAAGTCTAGAGCAAAATCAGCGTTCGAGTCCATCTAGGGCATATTCAGACAGGCATGGAGTCTCTGACTTCAACTCTGGACGCAGCAAAGCTTCAACCTGGAAGTTCACACCTCCGCAAGCAATTGCGCACACAGAAAACACTTGACTTTGAGGGATCAGTGGTTCTGATCACCGGTGCAGCTTCCGGCAAGTGCATGGAGCTCATATGGGGGGTTTGGGATATGTTCTGGCTGACCCGTACGGCGTTCCGCAGGAATTGGACAATGTGCGGCTTATGAATTCGCGTTGCATGGCTGTCAGAAACTATTTTTAGCAGATCTCTCGAAATCTAAGCTCGAGAACACCAAAGGTCTGCTACAGAACGACGGCCTTTATCCTCAGATGGAACTGTACGAAGGAGATGTTTCCGATGAGGCGTCAGTAAGAGGTATGATGGAGCATTGTGTGGAGGTCTATGGCAGAATCGATGTCGCGTGTAACAATGCTGGAATCAGTGGCAATTCTCAAAGAACAACCGACATTTCTGTACAAGATTTCGATCTCATATGCGCGGTGAATGAACGGGGCGTAAGTTGCGCACGATAGTTCTTAGTGCAAGGATGCCGTGGTGGCTGATGGTTCAATACTGATCCCTCAATAGGTCATTCTCTGCGAGAAATACGAGCTCGAGCAAATGATGCGACAGGACGTCTCATTCGGTAACCAGCGCGGAGTCATTGTTAATACAGCGTCAATCGCCGGTCACTGTATCATCCCCACGGCCTCGGCTTACACCGCTTCCAAGCATGCCGTCGTTGCGTTAACGCGATGCGACGCCTTGAGGCATGCACAAGACGCCATTCGAATCAACTGCGTCTCGCCTGCTGCGACCTGGACACCAATGATATCGGAGAGTGTACTGCCAAAGGAGTTTATAGAGTTGGGAGCCAAAATGGCGCCTATGCATCGATACGCACAGCCTATCGAGATCGTCAACGCCATACTTTTCCTGGCTGGTCCCAAGGCAACGGCAATCACTGGTGTCAATCTACCCGTAGACTGTGGTAACACACTTCTACGATGTATCTAATAACCTTCATAAGTCGTAGACGAGTTTGTTGATATAACCAAGAAAGATAGTCTCAATTCTCTTGGAGTCGACTACGGTGTGTAACCTGTACATGTTTTATGCTCTGCTATAGTCGAAGGGCAAAGTAGAACCGAAATCTTGACTTGTAACGCATCAACCTCAAGGAAGCCTCGTGTAGTAGGTTCTGTACTCAGCCGATGAGTATTGGCCTATCGGTGCTTCGCGTTGACCGAGGCATATTGGTTCGGGTTGACGGCTCTAGTTTAGTAGAGTCTTGGGTGGAATCTCAATCTGGGCATCAACCATTGTATTTATCAACTCAGTCTAACAGCTCCACCAGATGACACTCCGTACACTGCTTGAACGGATCTCTTATCTTGCACAACAAAGTAGAGGAATATGCAGTCTCTAAGGAACGGATGTGCACTCATCACTGGTGCAAACTCCCGTAGGTATCAAGACCAGGTCTTGCCCCATGGTCCGTCATCGCATATTGCCGTCAGTACTAACTTCTGCCTTTGACAGCCACGGGATTTGCCATTGCGCTGGCGTGCGCTAACCACGGCTGTGAGCAGATCATTCTTGCGGATGGCTCGCCGGGGGAGTTGCAAAGCTTCCGTGACAAGGTGCTTGGGCAGTACCCTTCCGCCGATGTTCATGTCGAGGCATTCGACCGGTCAATCGAAGATGACGTTGACCGTGTATTTTCAGCAATCCGAGAACGGTTCCTTCGTATTGACTTTGCTGTCAATGTGGTCTGTCAAACGCAGGCTAGAACTTGCCAGGATCTCAAGCCCACAGCACTGGATATCACCCAGTACGATCGGAACTTTGCTATATACCAGAGAGGAGTTCGTGATAGACAAAGACCTGCCATGGATACCTTCTAGCTGACTCTTGTGTGACCAGCTGTTCCTTATCGAACGGGCCCTGCTCCGGCAAATGCTCAAACAAGACGTGCTAGACGCTACAGGCTGTCGAGGAAGCATCGTCAACGTGGTGGACTATGGGCCGATACCGACCTTGTCAAATTGCCCTATCGTGGCAGCTATCGCCAATGCGATAGTCGGAATGTCTAAAACTGATGCGTGTGACTTCGCGCAAGACAATATTCGGGTCAATTGCGTCGCTGCCAGTGAGGTTATGATCACCAAAGCTGAGACCGAACTACCTGGTGGTGTTCCACTGCCGAGGAAAGGGAGAACGGACGATGTTGCAAACGCTGTCATGTGGCTTTTGTCATCGGGAGCGAACTGGTTGACCGGGATGGTCGTTCCTGTCGACGGAGGTCGCAGCTTGAACCATTTCTGGTAGATATTTATGGGATATTCGGATTCATTCGTCGGAGTCCTGATCTGAGAGCTATTCTTTCAACTAAAATTCACATTTGCGTGAGTGTAAGAGACTTTGTGTATGACTATTATGTCAATGTAAGCACTTATGCTACTGATCAATTACTCGTAAAATGACCCACTGCGACCGGGTAATCCAGCTTCGCCTTCCTCTCCCAAGTGGTCAAATTCCACCGCACCCGCGCCCAGATCCCCATTTCTTGTCTAGGTGGAGGAGAGTAATCTTTGTAGTTGAAGTTGGCTGGCTGCTTATACAGGAAGAAGACATATCGATGTGCGGAACTGGCTGATGGGGGCTCCGGTCCGACGTAGTTTGAGATAAAGGGGGTCGTTGTAGTCAATGTATCTGACAACCCTGGCGCCTGGAGATCGGACTGAATCCAATGCAGTATCGGCGAAAGAAACGGTAGGCAGGGAAATGGAGCATCAAAGTCGAGGCAGATCACAATATATTTGGCGGTTGGCGATCTCGCTGCATACGAGATTTTGGGAGCAGAGGCAGCATCTATTAATGTGCTGATATGTGAGCCGTCTGATGGACCGGACATAATATGCCGTACGCACCTGATCGAGGTATATAGTCCCCATTTTTGATGTTTTTACCACCAAAGAACAGGGTGAGAGCCTCCGTTGTGTCATTTTTCTTTTGGAAATCTAGGAATAGCTCCATGCCCTACACTACTAAACCTTGTAATCAGATCGTCCGTTTCCGCAACATGAGATAGAAGCAGCAAGCTGGCAACCTGATATACACCCTCAATTGAGGCCCATGGAAGCGATCGCTGTTCACTGATTGTGCAAAACTCAATTCCGATTGGACGTTCGAGGCCGACTTTCGCGGCTGTTGCGATTGGAGGACAGATTACATTACAGACTACAAAGCAATGCTGGGCATATGGATCGGATGCTGTGCGGGAGAGTGGGAGACGATAATGGAATTAATAGCGTTGCAGGGTGCGAGTCCAATTTCATTTGCCATGTTGCCATGTAATGGCTTGCTATCCAGGTCTACTGGATCTTTGTACCCGTTCTTGAACAAATTCTTATTTGTCCGCCAGGAGACCTCTAGACTTGAGCACGTCACAAAGAATTTGTTCAATGTTCTCATCAGGCAAACCAAGTCTTGAATTCCATAATTCCTTCTTCTTAGAGAATGCACAAAACCCGCCATAATTCATCATCATTACCATAATGGCCTCTATCATAGCCATCTGATATGTGGGACCTCTCCCAGGGTCAGATTGCCATTTTTCTCGGGCAGTATCATGAAGGACCCTTTTGCTCCCATGCTTAATGTCGAAAACATTGCTGGTCGCATCTTGCAGAATCTTGAAGATTTGATTTTGAGTTACGGTCGAGCTGTTGATATGGATATACTTGTTGATCGTTTCATCCAAGTGCTTGTCGGATAGAACGGCAGAGATTGCTCGGCTGATTTGCTCCATGGATGTGACTTCGAAGGCTTCTTCGCCCCCATCATAGACTGTTAAAGTCTTCGCAGGCAGATCGACGCCAAACACTCCTGGAATATCATACATGGAATCAATATACCCTCCAACAACCACTCCTGTCCAGGAGAGACCTGTGTCCTCCTTGGATTTGAGATATTTGATAACCTCTCGTTTGATTGCTGTTTGTGGAACAATTTTCACAATGTCCTCCTCGGAGGTGTCGCATCCATATTCAGAAGGGATGAAACGCCGCACACCGGCTTCGATAGCAGCATCTATCACTGAATATTGCTTGTCCAGGTGATAATGCTGAATGCAGGAAATTACGGCGTCCTGTTCTTGCATTGCAGCCACGAGAGACTCATGAGAGTAGTCTGTCTTGATGAGTTGTGCCCCGTAGTGATCATTGGTTAGTCGAGCAATATCAGGCTGAGGCAGGACGAATCCTGAAAGTAATTTGGCTCGTTCTGCAGCTGTAGAACTGTCGCGACTGAGGATCGATACCTCGAAGCCTGCTCGTACCAGAGCCCGGACGACGGCGGCTCCTGTCAAGCCAGTTCCGCCCATAACAATGACTTTCCTGATAGGAGCTGATTTTGACGGCATGGTTTCGGTTTCTGAGCGTAATGACACCTGAAAGAATACATGCAATGCTTGAGAACTGAGGATTCTTGACTACTTAGCGGATATGGTCCGCCCTCTAGTAAGCTCGCATGTTTATACCTTGTCCTATAGCCATCGAAGTAGCACTAACGACCCATCAAAGCACAAGACAACGCGGGGAGGATTTCAACAGCTCAGGGATATGTCTCTGATGTCTGGTTGGATATTTGCTTACTCGGCCCGACATGGTTGCTCACATGGGATGTGGATTGTCAAAAACCCGCTTGGACTGAGACCTGCCTGCAAACCCCGAAAGAATCAAGGGTGAGTAGAACATTTCGATTCGTTCAAACACCTGAGAGCTATGGCCCTAATGATCACACTTGGGCAATAATGAAGCCATGTTCTCGGGAGAGTCTATCAGTAGGGTAACAATCGTAGTTGATACTGTAGGTTGGGATGCTCGGGTTCTGGGTAGTGGGACGCCGTCTTCTCGCATTCGTAGTGAAACGGCAGTGTGTCTCTGATCCGACGTAGAATCATTGTCCATCTTGATTCTTTGATCCGACGTAAAATATCGTCCACCTCGATCCTCACCAATTCCTTCATGACCCTTATACCAAATTGTCGAAGTCCATGTGCTATTCCTGTCCCAAAACCAGTAAGATATTTATCAATTAATATTCGACATTGCCAGCATCTGTTAATCGTGGGATGCCGGACGATGCTTCGGCAACCAGTAATCGGCACATTATTGACATCTCCTTGTCCGGTGCAAAATTCCGCTCCATTGAGTCATGACGTTAATACTAGTTCAAGACGCCTCTCACTCGCTCCACGAGCCATGGGGAAACATAGGTAGGATCGCTTCCACAATGGTTGTATGAGTGTGTGAGTATCAGGCAATGATGCGTCACTCATACTCGTCATCAGAGGAATATATGCCTTGTTCTACCAATCCGATCTCCGAAACGGCGGTTGGAATGGAGATATAAATCACGTTTCGAGAGATATAGGTATTTGGGCGATATATATTCGTGAACTAGCAATTGAAGCACTCTCGCCATCTACAGAGATTTATCCAAATTTCTGCAGAGTCCCTTGTCACAAGACTCTTCTTCCATGCACAAATCCACTAGAATACTAGGCTACCTCCAATCGAAGAGCACTAGTCTCGTGCACCGAGCCATTCAATTTGATTCCATCAAGCCCAAGCAGCAAGGTCTCACATTTTCGACCACAAAATCCCTTGGATCTCAGTCGCCCTTCAGCACAGCCGACAAGCTTGAGGCACACAAGATGTCCAACCCGTCCGGCACAAAGGTCGACGCAACGACGAACTTCCCCAAAAATACCGGCGCAACACCGGGAGAAGCCTTCGAAGTCCGCCAGACAGCGACAAGCGAAGACTACAAACCTGATCCATCCAAATCTCTCAAGCTCAACCCGGCGCGACAAGCCCTCGTCGATGACATCATTGCACTGTATTCATGCAAACCGACCGTCGAGCGCGTCAAGCGGTACACACCTGACTGTGTATACGACGACCAGTTCGTGTATGCGAACGACCGGTACAAGATGGCGGGCCAGTGGTTCGCACTACCGAAGCTGTTCAACGATTCCAAGAACGAAGGCTACGAGATCATCAAGAACGACCGCGACCTGATCCAGTTCAAGAACGAGCAAAGCTGGACGTTCAAGCTGATCCCCAAGACCGCCACTATCAACGCCTTGGTTAGTCTGAGCCTGGACCCGGATAGTGTGGGTGAGAACGAGGATTTCATTCGTATCAAGTATCATAAGGACCAGGCGAATGATAAGGATTATTCACGTGAGTTTTGGTCTTCTCAGACCTCTATGAACCCAGATTTGTGCACATTTATCCTACTAAAGTCGAATATAGATGAAGGAATTGGTTTCAGCTTCAAGAAGTGGCAGGCAGATAACGTGGCGAAGTGGATGGACAGCAAGGAAGTCGAAGCATTCATTGGCGATAAAGATGCCGCGAAAGAGACGGTTAGGAAGTACGGCGATGGGACTGGTGATGCGCCTAAGAAGGAATTCTAAAGCCATGTTCGTGCCGTGCTCACGATGACTCGTGCGATCTTCTTAGGAATCAACCCACATCCTGGCGACATCTAAGTTACAGATCAAAAGACGTGAATGCGGCGATTGTGATTGACTTTGAATCTTCATTCAGCAGTTATGCGAACAAGGATAGAAAAACTGCTTCGCGTTCCAGGGTATCTTCCTATAATACAATAAAAATAACTGACCCATCCATATTCCCCATAACAGGAAACAAGACTCAACAATACAACTTCCCACCCACGCTAATGATTCACCCTGGTAAAACAAGGAAATGTTGTTACAGCTCCACATCACCACGCATCTCCGGCATGGATAAACTATTCAGTGACCAAAAGCCATACCGGGATGCCAACTAGAGCGGCGCTGTTCCGGCTGAGCGGCCGACAACTGGTCGACGACGGAGTTATTACGGCTGGCTGTGATGGTCTCTTCGTTACCGGGTTGAGCCTTCTGGAAGAGTCCCCGACGCAGAGGCACGTCGTAGATCCGGACGGGCGCTTGTGGCTCGTCGGTAGGGAGGAGGAAGTCTGGGATGTATTTCTTGAATTGCATGTTTGCTGAAGAGAGTTTCGGAGGAGTGCTTGAGTAGTGATTTGATGATAAGGGGAAGTTGAGGTTGTTGTGGTGTTGCTGGGAGAGTTTATGGGTTGTTTATTCTTTGCTATATGCTTGTGCCGGTTGTAGTAGAGCTTTGAGTGATCAGACTGCTATTGATCAGGTCTAGGTGTGATGAGCATGGAAGATGTAGAGGCCAAGTATGTTCTGGTCTGCTGTGCGACGTGTTTACATATACTTATTTTTCATACATAATCTGAATGTAGTCACACTTGCGTCATCGCGACGCGAAAATGTATGCAAAAATGTCTCAGTCGGAAGAGGTCTTGAGACTATGAATAAGCTCGCAGAGAAAAGTTAAGCAACAATTCTTTCCAATACGAGAAGCTTGGTCGCCAGGCTTGCCGGAAGTTCGGAGTTGCTGAAAAGTGGTTGTACAAAAGATTTTCCATTGGAGTTGAGCGATTTAGTATGCTGACAGAGAATGACGTCAATTTCGAAATAATCTCAGCCTTGAGCTATTTCCAGGGTTCCCAGCCTTGCATTCGCGCGCTTGTCTCACGGGGGCAGGGAACAGAGACCGACTCTGTTCTACAACCGCTGGTGTCTATGTCTCGACTCAGCAGTCATACGCCAGCCAGTGATGTGAGAGTTGTTCAGCGCCATTAACAGTTTTCTCCAGTATATCGTCTGCAGGGTCCTACGTCAGCTCCCATGCTCGTAATCTTGTCATTGTGCGCGTAGAGGAGAAGGCAGAGGAGGGAATTGCAACGAACAAAATCACTATGGAGTGTTTGAGATTCCACACATTCGCGAGCAATATTGGAGCAGACTGAAAGGACTGATCAGCAACCCTTGTAAGCTCCAAATTCCCGACAACGAAGAAAATGCTTCATTGTGTAATAATGTTATACATAGCTCTGCCACGAACATTCTATGCAAGTCTAGATCGGAATGGCTGTCAGAATTCATCCTGCAGTGGGATAGCGAAGATAGTTTGGGTGGAGAGAGCTGCCTTTCCACGATGTGTTGAAGCCGTTAGAATCAAATGGTTCGTGCCTGCTCGAATTGGTATAATGCACAACGTGCGTAGACGGATTAAGTGTGACATGACACTTGAAATGGTGCAAAGCTGCAGAGCCGCAATAACCTGCGGTTCTCATAGCATGAGTGTCGCCTCCGATAGCCAGGATGTTGATAAGTCTGGAGACGAGAGTTATTGCTCCGACTTGAAGACCATCTATCATTCCAACCACCTCTTATCGTTTATGCAAGGTCAATTTCGGTGAGTTGTACAAAGTCTTGACCCTCATTAGACCATTCGCCATCAACATCCAGAGAACATTTTGTCGTTTTATTTCCCTCAACAAGGCTGACCTTCATTATACCCTCCGAAGTCATTAACTTCCGCACCCAGAAGAAGGGATAGTATATCGCGTGACTGATTGATTGGGTGATGAAGGAAACAGGATTGGATGACTGGGAGGAAGAAATCTGTTCCATAGGCCGCACGAGAGTTTGTTTTACTTTGAGATTAAAGGGATCAACGATGTGGGGTCTGGGCCGCATGAATGCTACAGGTCTTCGTACCAAGACGAGGAGCTTCACAGTATCATGTGTCTTAACGAGGTCTATGGAGCGAACCATATTCAGCGGCCTGATGAAGGCGTAACCACCAATGATGGTGGAAGTGATGATCCCCAGTCGCCACGCGACACTGACAAACCAATGAAGCTCGCTGTTAGGATCGTATGCATCGTAGTTGAGAAAGGCAAGGCCACAAGCACTGAGGAGACAGCTTCCAGCGATGATATAAGAGGCCCCATAAAGGCCTACGTGTGAAGGAGCTTTGTAAATATTTGTTTGACCTTTGTTGTAGAGATGTGTGGCAAACCAGCGCTTCTTCAACTGGTCGTTCTCGAGTTGTTCATAGGCTGATGGTAGAGTGGAATTGACATCTCTAGGCCTGATACGGGATGTTCTGTCTGTAGGCGCTGTCCGTGCAGGGGTTGTTGGAATTTGTGGTTTTCTTGGTTTGGCAGCACGTATTCTTGATGTCTGGAACTGCCGAGCATGGCCTGCAGTACCGCGACACTGAGCGAAAGCTGAACGAAACAGTGATATGGAGCACATTTTTAAGGTCCGGGGTGGAGGATGAGGACGAAGGTTCGGCGAGACAATACAACGACGATGCGAACTTTCTCGAGCCCGTTATGCAATGGGGGAGGAGGAGGAAACGTAGTTCATGCGACAACAACTCCGAGTTACTGCTCGTTCATGGCTGGTGAGATGTCGAACTCAGAAACGATTATCGATTCAATCTGTCTGGTAGACTCGGAGTTCTTGGAGATTCTTATACCACTTGGAGTACTGGACATGGTGCCCATGGATTTCAGTACGTGGACTTTAGAGGAAGGTGAGCCGAGCTGATCGTCAGGCATCACAGAAGACGATCACTTGTCCACCAAAGCTACCTAGGTGGCTACTTAAATGCCCTTAAACTTGTCACAGCCGGAAACTCGGAAGAACGTTGAATACAGGACTACTGTTCTAGGAGTCCTGGAAAAGAATGATGAAGAATGTGAGATCCGGTCTAGACAGGCTTCTACACACCCAACCAACTCTTCCTAAGAGTTCCCAAGATCTTTTGGGCATTGTACACAATATTTTTGCTGTGGACTATGCTACCGCAAAAGCTTCATCTAATTCATCAAGCTTCAGCAGCTCCATTTTAGAGGTGCAACCCGGAGTCTCCTGGCCCCTTGATGGTCTCAACACCCGCATCGTGTTGAATTGCTTCAAGGAGTCGAGGAGAGATGCCCTGACTGTTGTTGTCCTCCACAATCCCAAGAAGTTGGACGAAAAAATCTTGCCGCAATACCTCCATAAGGATGTCACTGGAATCAATCATATAAGATGCTGCATAACGTAGCAAACCTCCATATGGTTGGTCGTCCCCCTGGCCTCTGGTGTATTTGGACTCAATATCGGGCAAGCTTGAGGTCGTGACGGTGGCCCAGCCAAGTGAAGCGATTCTAGCAATGAAATCGAATAGTCTTCCCTGGGAGATGGTAACCAGATGCAGACCCTTCTTCGTGTTGATGTCTCGTTGAGTGGTTGAAAGTGAAGTCCACTCAAAAAGAATGGCATAGACTTTTGCATCGTGAAATATCCTCCGCCAGAGAAGCCCTTGCCCTTGTGCTTCTCCTAGACGTTCTCCAGCAGACAAGACTGTAACACTATTCGTGCTGTCGACGGCAAGTAGTGCCTCGATTGCTTCCAGGGCTCTTTCTGCAACCTCGGTGTTTTCGGAGGTCAACCACAGAGTGAGTAATGTCTGAACGAGGTCTGAGCTTGCCGCAACGAACGAGGCTCCGCTCGGGGTATCCGCAGCCTTCTGTAAGTACGCTATGCACAACAGCTGAACAGCAACCGAAGGTGCTTGTAAACCTTCTTCGAGCTTCTCAGCCGAGATAGACTGCTTCAATTCGTCGAAGGGAATGAGGGAGATGTCCCGTTGCAGAAGCCGAGTCAAAGAGCGAGGGTCCTGTTGTAGCACCTGGAGTAGGGCTTCACCCGTGCTGAGTAGCTGCCACAAGGTTGATCTGGGTGTTGAAGTGTCGATTGACCTTTCTGCACGTTTCAATACATCTTCATCAAGAGTCACGCCTTCTGTTTTGACTTTTTCGAGATGAGAAAAGAGCTCAGTGAATAGGGCATCTTGGTCTTCCACATAGGTGTCCATGGTGATATGAATTTAGATGAGGGATGCTAGGATTGACTGAGCTGAAAACATCACCCAACCATTACTGTGACCTCACTACCGAGCTATTCATCTCATGGTTCTCAAAAGGGTAGACTGTCGATAGCATTTCTGTGTCCCTAGGGATTTATCTTCTAGGCGTGGTGGTGTTGCGCGTGAAATGGCAGCCTTGTCCCTTCCCCACTCCGCGCCTTCCCCTCATTCTCACGACTGCCAAGAATTTGTTCAGCCTGGTCACTCACGTTGGCTGCCCTCACTGCCTGCGAATTGAACTTAGATAGATTCCATATCCCTCAAGGGAAACATCACCATCTCAAGTGTAGCACCTCGTGGTTCTCACTCTATCACTGATTCCCTCACTTTTCCAAAATGGCCGACCCTCAACTGAATCCCCTGCTCTCGACGAAGCCATCTGACGCTGGTCTCACCGTCTCCCTCCATCCTCTCGTCCTCCTCACAGTCTCCGACCATTTCACCAGACATTCAGTAAGGAAGCAAAAGGGTCCAATTGCTGGAGCACTTCTTGGCCAACAGAAGGGTCGAGAGATTACAGCAGAATACGCTTTCGCCACAGACCTAGTCCAGAACTCCGAGGGTCAATGGCTTTTCGATGTTGCTTGGATGGAGGACCGGGTGCAGAAGTGTAAATGGTCAATCTTCAGTTTTCAGTCGACTCCCCAATTAACGTTGATATAGACCGAGACGTTCATAAAGCACCTGCACTGGAATTTGTGGGATGGTACACTCTGTTCCCAGAGTCTGGCCCGTCAGCGGCAATAGTCCCTCTACAACGACAAGCAATCACCTTCTATAATGAGAGCGCCGTGTTATTAGCCCTGCATCCGGAAGCTATTGTTCAAGCTGATACAACTAATGCCCGTCTCCCTGTGTCACTATACGAAAGTGTGGATGAAGTTGAACATCAGAAGGATGAGGGCTCAATGCAGGTTGACGGCGACGAGTCAAGCTCATCAGACATCAAGTTCCGCCCACTGCCTTACACAATCGAAACCGACGAGACTGAGATGATCGCAATTGACTATGTCGCCAAAGGCGCAGGAAATGCCACAGCTGTAGTAGAGACCACATCAGACATCACCGCTCCACCTCCACCTCCAGAGCCTGTGACGGATAAGAAAGGCAAGAAGCGCGCAGACACGCCATCAGCTGCTGCAGTCGCAACATCTGAGACTGGTCAGAACTCGACCAACGGTGCTTCTGAAGCCAATCCACTGATACCGGAGGAAGAAGATCAGATTGCTAGCATAACCACGCGGCTCAACTCGGTCAAGATGCTTCAGACACGTATCTCTCTCCTCCGACAATTCATTCAATCCCTTCCCCCATCCTATCTATCGGATCAGGCATCCTCCGAGGCACCTGACCCTTCACATCTTCCTCACCTGCGCAATATTCAGGCTCTCGTGACCCGCCTCTCACTCTTAACGCCTGTGGAATCTTCATCTGCTATGAAATCACTCTCCGCCGCCACACAAGCTCAATCTAACGATGTCGCATTAGCCAGCGTGCTCTCTTTACTCGGCCAGGACATTCAATCCTTGAGTGAGCTTGGGCGTAAGTTCGCTACAGTGGAAACCCACCGAAACTCCAAGGTAGGCAAACTTGGAGCCACTGGGCTGGGTGGAGGTGGCGGTACAGGGAGTTTGGGCTCCAAAAGCGGAGGCGGAACAGGTGGCTTCGGCGGCTTGGATGAAGGTGATGGTCGATTTGGCGGGCTTGCTGGGCTAGCTGGATCCGGTCCTGGTCGCGCTATGCTCACCTGAATGACGAAAGCAAATGTTCTGTCTCCAGACTAGAATCAATGATGATCGCTGCGTGGGAGACTTGCAGTGTCACTGAGGGTCCTTTCCAAGTCTAAGCACTAGGGAAACTTTCGCGAGCGAGGAGGTGCACGAATATACTCGCTATTATCGGCGCTCGGAGCAGGCAAACAGGATATGACCCCCTTTCGGACTTTTCAACTATTTCAATATCTACGTCGAAATGGTTGAGAAAGACCGCTACTCCTGCTCGAATGACTGACACAACAACAAGGCTCACCAAGATCAGTCCGGACTCCTCTGGTCAACCTTTTCTCCCCGCTTTCAGTCGCGGGAATGCAGCGTTTCATTTTAAGCAATTGCAATTAACGGTTACATATCCTTCGGCCGCGGTCGATGCGGAATCGGGTCATAGAGGGATCGGGCTTGTAGACATAGACCATGTCAGGCGTGGGGCAGGGGTGGAGATTGGTACCGAGCCACAGGCACAGATACCCACCCACCTAACTGGAGCATAGCACAGCACAGTGGTAGGCGTTTACTGTCCACCGAGAACTAGATAGCTCTGTCGTGAAGGACGGGAATGTCAACGACGAATACATGATGAGAAGTTGTGAAAGTGATATATACACTTGAACCCTCTTAATCACGAAAAGCACATACTGATCAATCACTGACAAACAAGGAGAAGAAGTTTCGAGACGGTGAAATCATAGATGTTATTTCTTGCCCCTCGGGATCTATCTGGCCGATCTTTCTGTACTTGAAAGGCGTAAATTGAGGCCTAGTATCACCGGGGATGGGCTCTCCTGGATCCTGCTTGCGCAGCCCTCCTCTGTCTTTGTATCTCACCCTCACTCCAAAAGTAGAAAACCATCCTGCTCTGTGGTGCAGGGAAAACATCTGGCTACATGACATGTAGCGTCGTTCAACTCAATTCGATCAATCAATCAATCAATCAATCAATTCACGTCCATTCAATCCCTGTTCTGATCCCTTCGTTCAACTCGTGCCCCCTGTATTGGGAAAAGGGGGATAAATGAAGCCAATATATGCGGTCTCCCAATATGCTTCGTAAAGAAGATGCCTTGAACGGGAACGATGCTGGCCTTGGCGGATGGTAAGACATATTCGCCCAAGAAGTAAAGTGTGTTTTGCATTACAACAAATCGGGGCTGATCTTAAGTCATTAAACTCTGAGTGGTAGGTCGATGATGGCTGTTAATAAAACATGACAAAAAACAACATGGTGTTGTCGAAGCTCGCTTTTTGTTGCTCCCAAGAGAATAAAATCGTGCTCTGACGCCGACGCTCATGCTGTTTCGTGGTAGAGAAAAAGGCGCAAATGAAGAGAAATATATGTGCGTGAAACTGACACAACAGCAATGAAGAAAATATGTTGCTCGAAACGAAACCGACAGGCCAATCATCCTATGTAACAAGGACATCGACAGGTCGATGATTCCTTCTCGTGAATAACCGCAAGTGGAATCGTTTCTTGGTCTGTTCTTCGTCGCGAGCTGGGGGATATGGAGTCCTTGGCGCTTCCGCCTTGGATGGTTGTACTTGGCGGGCTTTCGTCGTCACCGGTAAAGGTGGTGGAGCGTTAGATGTTGAAAGACTTCTGCCCTTGTCGAGAGCAGTTGTACTCTTTTTCTTGCGAATGGTCTTCATCAGTCGGCTTATGTGAAGTTGTTTTGGATCTTCCGAATTATCAATCGGATCTGCCGGCGGTGGAGGAAGGGATTTGTTCAGATCTGGCGCTGAGAACCGAAGTGAATTGACGTTGTCCATGGATCTCAGACTGCTACCACTTTGAGGTCTTGAATAGCCGTCGGTGACCAGACGAAGAGTTCGCTTGATGGCCTCTGTCTCTAAAGATGGATTCGTGGTGTCAAATGATCTGTGTAGGCCCGAGTTGGAAGTTTTCCTGCTCTTGCTCCGTAACTGAGGGTCGTTGCGGTGGACGTTTCCAGGTTTCTGAGAACTATTATAGGACTTGCGGGCGGCGTCTGAGAATCGGCGTGCAGAGTCTGCTGGCGTATATCCAGCGCTTGTAAGAGGGGTTGAATAGTCTTGGGTTGAGACTGTGTCCCTGTGTGAGGACAGGGAGGGAGTAGCGGTATCTGGATTTAGATGAAGGAAATGTTGCGTGACACTCTCGGTATTGGAGGCATCGATTCTTTGTGCCGGTGCAGATGTCCGCTCCGACTGCTTCAGAGCCTGTTGTGCGGCCTTGCCTTCCTGGATTTGAGCTGCGATATATTTGAGAGGATCGTCCGACATATCATCCGAATGTGGGACATGGGCGAGGACCAATGTACACGAATATTTCAGCTCCGCCTCGTCCTCGTCTGAGAAAAACTGGCGCTCGATCCATGGCGAATCGGGGACGTAGTGAAGGTCGTCCGGTTCTCCGAGATACTTTTTATGAGTCTTCGACTGGCTGGGGGTTAGATGTGTTGTAGTGGAGTTCTGAACGAGGATTAAACTTACCCCAGTGCCGATAGACAATGGCACCCTCTTGCCAGTAGCAGCCATCGCAGTTGTGGTTTGAGTCTGAATCTCAAAGCTGGTCTTTCCAGCCCGTAGGGCGGTGCGGCGCGACGGACAATGTTGGTTCGGATTGGGAGGTGCTCTGGGGATGATTCGGTTCAAGTGTCTTGATCACAATGATCCAGCTCGGAAGAAAAGTGAGGATGTTGCAGTGTCACACAGAGAGCACCGGATAAGAAGTGAATAGTCGAGTAACACGAATCTCATGAAAGTCACTGTAAGGGCCCGGGAGCAAAAAGTGAAGCAGAGTAAGAAGGATCAGCGAACGGGCAAGAGCCGGAAAGGCAGGATGTCACGGCGCTGTAAGAACAACAGCAACAGCGGTCGTGTGCATCGCGACCGACTGGAGGGCGAAGTTTCATAGAGATCAACGAGTGGTAGTCAGCATGAGGTTTCAGTCTGGAGCTGACCTTCGATGAAAGGGTAATTCTCTATCTTGTGGGTGGGCCAGGCTAGGTAGGGTTGCCAGTGGTGGCTTGTCTGACCAGCTGGAGATGAGGTTAGCATCACAACAATACCTCGTATGAGGAACATGGTCGCTGGCTAAGCGAGGCTCGATTTCGGGTGATGATGAAGTTTGAATTGAGAACGTGTGAAGGTGGAAAAGGGACGTTGGGAAGTGTGATTGGAGCTGGAAATTGGGATCTGGAAAATGGGCACCAGGGATCCGTATTGCCTCCCATCGAGGCCCCGGTAGCCTAAGTTAGCGCCCTGGGTCCCCTGGAGCGAGATCATGCCACTAGGCGTGATAGGCAACGGGCGGGCCTAACGAAGGACCCAGAAGGCCTCTGTTGCCCACTGGTGGTCCCGCTTGACATAAACCTTGCCGGACTTGCAAGGACCCCGGCCAGGAGATGCCAGGGCCCAGAAAGTGCAATATCCCGCCAGCCGGCGGACTGCTTGCCAAGACAATGTCGTTGATTGTCTTTTGGCTCCCTCGACTTCAAATCTCCCAGAGAGCTCAACTCCTGAGTCTAAAGGCTAGAACACGGAAATGATTCTATTTTCGACCAAGGCATGGAAAATCAAGCAGATGGCATCAATTCCAACGGGTCTCTCCCTGTCTTGGGAGTTGGGACCTGGGACCAAGCAGGCATTTTCCCAAATGGTCCAACAAAGATCTGCCACTACCATCACCCCCAGACTTCTTCAAGATGTAGACGCACACGCCTTCCACAAATTCTCCGAAACTTCAACTGCATTGCATTGCATTGCAGTCTGCAGTAGTATAAGTTTCGGGAGCAACTGCATGCATAGTCCAACCACAGCATTTGAGATTGACATGTTCTTCAGCAGTGATGAATACCCGGAACCCGTAGCGAGCCAGGGCTCGGATCTCTTCGCTCGTCACAGTGGTAACTAGCCTCGCCAACGCTCCCGGCTGAAACAGTCCAGATCTCTCTTCACACCCCTAAGTCAGGATAGACATTCGTCTTTGACGAAAACTGACCTCACCCTGTCCCCATAGCGAGGATTCCATGGCCGTCCTCCTTCAGCGTGTACGAGTAAATTGTCAGACCCGATGTCGCCCTCTTGGATCCTCCTCTCACAGGCCACGCTGTTTATCCTGTCTCGATCACTTCGTCACCGGTGGGGGAGTAATCTCTCGTCAGATTTGCCTCTTTTTTGGGGGTGCGTCTCTTCTATGCGGAAGACCCGGGAGTCGCGAGTCAGGATTGGGCACTGCTGGCAGCATCGATAACAATGATGCTTGCCATCATTCACGTTGATCGCACTGACAGAGACATCCACTGCCACCCCGCCTCCCATGGATACCCAGGTCCGATCAGCCAAAGGATTCGAAAGTCGTGAGAGTGACCACCCGCCGCGGACGTTTCAGGTCTCGTCCTCTATCCGTATCTTCAAATCTTATCGGCGAGATGCGAAGTTATCTAGGTTCCTACGGAGCACCTATGGAGTACGATCGGTAGGTGTTTATGCCATTTACGGGAAGTTTAAATTCTTCTGCTACAGCCTATGAGCTCGACCAGCTGGGTTCATTTGTTGACGTGTGACTGTGCCCGTTTCCCCGCCTTCGTCATTAAGATCAAAGGGGTATTCAACGCGGTTCATACGAAGTACCCTGCTGCAGACCTACAATATGGTGCTCTGCCTGGATCTCGGTATGGATACAGCTACGTAATTACCAAGACTCTTTGCTTGAGATATCCCCAGGATCTTAGAGAACGGAATCAGGACATCTTTGTCACAGGGACGTACTCAAAATACCGAGCATAGCTGAGAACATGATTCACGGGAAAATTCGGGCTGGTAAGTTCTCATTTGCATTTCTGAAGACCCTTTGATGGACCATCCTTAACATACAGGACATAGAAGTAGGCTCATCTCAAAGGTTGTGTCCACTCTCTTGGTCTATTCAGCTTCAGGTCACCACAGGAAGCCGGGAATAGCTATTTCATACACGTGTCTGCCTTGTTGGTCCAATTTGCATCGAGCGTCCTTTTATCCACTATTCTCTCACAAGCACCCATAAGCTGGCCCCAGTAGGATGTTACGAACATTATTACACGGATCATCTCCAGCGAACCGCGATCTGATATTGTTGCTTCTCAGTCCTCAGATATACTCCCATGCGGCCACTCCCTGAGTGTAATCAACCGCTAGTGCAACGAACGGTAGACACCCGGTCCGGTTCACATTTGACCCAGTGGAGTTGGAGAAGTCCAAAAGCACTTGATACCGGCCATCGTTATGTGGACATGCTTGTAGCCCATGAGGTCCAAATGCTCTGGTGGCATTGGCACTCAAATGGCCAATTCCTTCCCAATTCGGAGTTCCATCAGTGGTGTATTGGAAGGGACAAACGATTGAATCCAATGGTGGAAAGCCTGAATGGGGCTTTGTGTAACCGATTTCACCATTGGGCAGAGCGAATATGTGCTGTCCACCAGGGACGATCACGTCCTGTTTGGAGTTCAACGTTAGTCTTGCACTCGCGTCGCGGCGCAAGGGTTTGACTTACCATGCCGCAAAGACCAAAGGCGGTTAAGTCTCCGGGAGGACAGTCACCAAGATCTTGAACGAGCTTTGGGCAGTACGATTTAGTTTGACCACCGAGCCAAAACCGGAAATCAGCAGCGTTGATTGGGAGGAAATGTATTGGAGAACCTGACCGAATGGCGACTGCTGAGAACGGAAGCGTTGGGCGGCTTTGAGAAGAGCTGATGGTTGAAGTCGAGTTGCTCACAGCACCACTTGTGGTCTCTGCTGAAGGCTCCGTTGTTCGAGTAGTGTGGGCAACAGAAACAGTACCGGTGGAATTGTACACAGTAGTATAGATTGTGTGATTTGCGTAGCTGGCATTCGAAGTCGTGGGTACATCTTCTTCAAGTCGAGGGATGGCCGCGACCAACAAGGCTTCGACAACGAGAGCAAGGAGAAGGTTGATGAAGTGCATATCTGCTGATCGCCCTGCGTTGAAGTGCTCAAGTGAATCGATTGTGTAATTGACAACAAGACAAAGTCGTGGATGAGTCGGAGAAAGTAGATGACTCAGTGATAAAGTCACAATCATGGAGGCAATGATCGAATGTATACTTCCAAACTCGATCCTTCCTACCTACCAAGGTATGTACCTCGTCAATGCATCCGCGGTCCTGCTTCATGGCAGTCAGACAGTCGCAGTTACCCATGTTCTGTGTGACTCTTGCGACGGATACCCTCTGAATATCCAGGTCCCGAATAGATTGTGGAAGGCCCACCATGCGAATGACATATCTAGAAATTTGATATATCACTTTGGAAGGGCGGCTCTACATTGTCAGTCTAAGTCGTCATCGCAAATATCCTCCCTTCCCTCCGTTATCTGTCAGTCTCCGTATGCTTCAAACGCAGAGGTCTACTTTCAAAACCCTTGTGCAAGGCCATCGCTCTTACTCGGCATGATTTGAGAGCGAAACTTACCAAGCAGGTGCTCTTCAATCACCATCATAATCATAGACCATCCGAACATTGACCGTTTCGCCATTCTTACTGGTGACATTGACTCGGCGTGTATGCTTCCTTTCTCCGTCAATCTCCTCGAAACCCCACAAGTGAGTGGCTGTCCATGCATCATCTGGTTTCTTGCCGACGGCCTGGATGAGCATGTCCTCACTGTCTCCTTCCAGCCAGATACCGTCTGTGCCGCTGGCGCCGACATCCTTGTTGCTAATCCACCGGCTGCGGCCTTCAATATCACCAAAGAAAGCATCGTGATTCTGTCGCCACTGCCAATCAAGGATGTATTCTTCGGTCGTCCCAGGAATTGACGCCGCGGTGGCAGTTTGTTCCATGTGGATTTCTTGTTTGGACGGCTGACTGATTTTGAGTTGCACTGATGCTACACTGATTGCCTTGCGTAAAAGTGCATTTACACCTTGCATCGCGAGAACCTGGCTGAACTCATCAGACTGGATTCCGTTGAGCTTCCATTTACCTGCCAAGTTCTGTAGCGTCTTCTCAGTAGGTGCGGCCACTTTGGCTTGTAATCCTTTGTGTTCGGCCTTTAGGTTCAGGAGATCCGGGATAACATGTCTTCATTTCTATTCCATTTGTAGTGTTGACAAGATCGAGGTCTTGATGTCATCGTCAATGTCAATAGTATCGTCATCACTCGGGATAGACATGCACTTCATCTCAGTCCAAAGACAAGTAGTAGGTCAATCTTCAGCTAGTGTCGAGATCAAATGCTTCTTTTCCCAACAATCTCAATCGTATGCGATTGTTCTGCCAATTGATCCAAGCAAGTCCTTGGAGCAGTGAGTCTGCTAGGTCGTCAAGCTTCCCAATCCCACCATTTGCAGATTTCTTATCCCTAGCCTCCTTTTTCCATACAGAGGTGAAATCTTCCGTGAAAGGCTGCAGTTGCTCACTGACAGTAAAACTTGAGTGTTTTGCTTTCCCTTCCAGCATTCTGCAAACCAGTGCGATTTTGGCTTGCTTCACATCTCGACTGCTCAACCTCTTCCCCTGGGCCGTCTTCGGGGAATCAGAGCCCTCTAGCCAAGATCCATTCACTCGTGCAGGCTGCATAGGGTCGATATGCAGATTCAATTTTCGCTCCCCTGCCAGTGCGCGCAGCACTGCGTAAAGCATACCTTCGAACACTCCCACGCGGATTGTCCATTCCTGCACGCTGGCCTGTCCGCCCGTTCGGAACCTCTGTCTTTCTATCAGAATCTGATTCGGCTTATGTGTTTTCAGCACATGATCAATAAACCGATAAGCATGTGCAGCGAAATCAATGGGTTCGAAAGACTCCTTCTTTGCTTTTGCACCTGGTGCGGGCCCTGATCGAAGCCCATTTTCTTCTACAGGAGGGCCAGCTTTCCTTGCCTGGACACTCGTAGTAGACCCCTCGGGCGTTGACACTGATAGACGTTGCCATGTCTCGATCATTGGCTGTCCATATTGATAAAAGCCATCTGAGCCCAATATAGCCGGGGCTTTGATATGGGCGAACGCAAGATTCCGGATTCCCATGTCAATACTCAGCAGACTCAACCCAGTCGATGTCTTGTCAAGAGGAGCTGCCTTGTCAATCGCTTCGCGTATGCCGGCAATACGGACTGCTTTGGTGCCTGATGATGGCGAGCCTATGATGGTGGCCAATCTCTGCAGTTTCACAAGCGTGAGACTCTCGAGCCATGACGTTTGCGCTGGCATCGAAGCCCTAGCCCAGAGATTGAGGATTCCTCGGTGCTGTTAATGGGATCGATTTCGTGGTAGTTTCCCTTTGGATAAGGATCACCAGTGCGCAGTACGTGTGCAGAGCAAAGGTGTCTCACGACGCGTTCTAAAACGCGTCGCCACGTGACAAGAGCCACTACTTGAGGGGGCCTCAGACAGAATTGAACGGTAGAGAAAGGATCGTGAAGAGTTCTATTAAAATGAGTAAAAGAATCCCACCGGATGCGACGTCTTCGCAAGCTCCTGATGAACTTCTGTCAGAACTATATGACTCGAAGAGGATAAAAGGCAAAATGGAAAACCCCTGCACATCAACTCCTAAAATCAAACTCTCCACCAAGATGATAACCGCGTACTCCATCAGTGAAGGACGGGGTATCTATCTATATACAATGCAATGCCCAAAAAAATAACAAATGCGGTGGTCTTCGAGCAATTCGTCCTATTCAACCTCAACGCCCACATCTTGCTCGCCATCGGCTGTCAAATACACCATATCCGCCCAAACTCGCATGTGAATGACCGCAATGTGGGCCAGTTTTCTAGCCATATCATCCTCAGTCGGCATCTGTCGCCACTGTTGGAACTCATGCTGACTCCCTTGTCGAATATTGTGGTGACGCTTCTGTATTTCCGAGATGTTCAAGGTCGTCATGTTGTCGAAGACGTGTGCATGCGCCTGTGCAGCTCCCTCCAGGACTGTGGCAAATTCCTGTGCTCGACAACCATTCAATCTTTCATCATCAAATTGCATCTGTAAGTTTCTTGCTGTGGTTTCAATTTCCGAGTCGGGAAGAAAACACCCCACGCGTTTGCAGACACTGAAGGCTGCGTTCGTGAGCTCCAGCGCGATTGCCCCGCAGTGTTGAGACCACATCTGCGCCATTGTCTCGTTGGGGTTCATGTGTCCGTCGGTCAAGTCCAATATCCGACTTTGAAGATCCTTGATGCGGGTCCCCAAGATAGGATGTAGATCGGAAGGGTTGAATCGTGAACCCACCAGCCGCTTAATCTGTTCGTCAAACACTAGTAGACAGATGTTGATGTGTATGATGTCTTGTATTTGGTCTCGCATCGCGCCCAGACGAGGAACGTCGTGTTTAAGGGTCTCTGGGAAGTTGGAATCGGCATTCACGCAGAGGTCAACGAGACCGTGAAGCATCGCGTGCAAAGGTGTCGTGCGCGCGAATTCGTCGCCGTTTTTGCAACTTTGATGGTGCCCGTTGACATTCTTCAGGAACCATTTTCTGGGCTCTTTCACGTTGAATCTCTTGTTTCGAATGCGAACCCGAAAATGATCTTTCTGAAATGCAACCGTGTCTTCGATGAGATGATAACGAAAGCTGCGAATTTGATGGTTGGCCACGTCAAGCTTCATGGCCTCCAGGAAGTCAAACAGCTTCTTGATACCATCCACGAGCGCCTCCATGGAGCCCTGTTCAAACCCCTCTCTGATCTTTTCCGCCATCTCTTGCGCATAAATATCGCGCATTGGCGCACAGTGGGTAGTAAGAAGCTCGCATAACCATTTCCCTAAGCCCACCACATTTATGACGCCATAGGTAGCCATCTGGGTAAGCAAAGGGATGTCAAGGTACTCTGATATCTGATCTTGATCTCTATCGGGGACTAAGATGGTCAACAGCTCCTTGAGATTGAGGAATAAGTCTGGAAGTCTGGGATAAAATTTACTCTCAACAGTGCTTACATCTCCACCAGACTTAGATATCGCTTTACACTCACTGCATGTCTGGAGAGAATTGTAGTGTTGTGTTATCCGAAATTCAGCCACAAGGCTCTGCCAATACAGGACTGCCTTCAGTTTCTTCTTTTCCCCTTTGAGACCAGAGACGGGGGTGAAGTGAAGGTCATGGTCATAGTTTAAATCGACTCTTAGATTTATGTTCGATTGTATCAATGTTAAATCTAATTCGCGCAGAGAAGCTTTCGTGACAGGAGGCTGATATGGCGCGTTCAGGAGTGCCTGCACGTCTGCTTTGGATATGCAGGGAGGAATGATGATCCGATTACCGGGCTCATTCCCACCTCTTGCGATCTCCTTGTTGGAGACATCGGCTGTCGAAGGCTGCAGGCACCGCACTTCATTGGGTTGAGGAGGTTCAGACTGCTCTTCCGGGAACTTACGAGTTCCTGTATTGTATTGCCGTCGTGAGTATAGTGTCGCATCCTGACTATTGTCTGCGTGGGTGAAACGCTGGACGTGAGCATTCTGCTTCATTTTAGAGGACGGGACATGCGACTTGGAAGGGGTGGCATGCTGGTGTCTTGTATTTGTAACGAGGTCGCCTTTTTTTGATGATGTTGGCGATTTCTTCCCTCTTGAAGCACTGCCCCTGGCTTGTTTGTTCTCCATCTCAGCGCCACTTTCACGATCTTCTTCGTGGGCTTCTGCTGCATCGCATTCTCGCATTCTTCAGGCTCCTTCATGTATGGTAAAAGATCGTCACGCAGAATAACAGGGCGAACGCCCTCATCAGGATGGGATCGACCGTCGAATCATTTCATTCTGGGAGCCGATGGTGCGCTTTTGGTTATGTAGGTAGGAGTGTTGGACAAGGGATTCTGGATAGGATCCACAAGCCGCCCAGCTGTAGAACAAGGCTCCTGTCGTGGCTGGCTCGCGCTATTATACACCGAGTGAAGGACGTGGAAATCAGCGATGCACCGTCCGATGGCTATAATAGAACCAAACAAGAAAAACACGGTTGTACGAAGTAAGACGTCTGGAGGCCGTTTACTGGTCCGTGCCCCTAACACTGCCCCAGATTTCAAACACGCTTTTGTAACAAAACCAGGAATAACATGAGAGATGGAGAAAAGAATTGCTTCACTACGAAAACCCACCGAAGTCTTGAAGCTTAGAAGAGGTTCCCTGCCCCGGCATCCGGATGGGAAGGACCACGGTGTGATTAATCTATCGCGTCGGGGTCCAAACCTCCCTAATGGCTGCACGGAGATTACTGGAGTGGCCCAATCATCCATACCCAGGGATGAGGGAAATCTAAGCAAGGCGTGAGCTTCCAAGACATTCGCTGCTTCTCTCCCGATGCTCTCTATTCGTATTTTGGAAAGGGAAAAAACATCTGTGTATCTCAGAGAAGGATAAAAATCATCCTCACAGATGCAGGCGTCGAATGACTGCAAACCAGAGCGAATCATGGACAAACAAAAGGAATGTGGGACCGCCTAATGGTACCTGGGGCACCGGGCGATATTGAAAGCATGGCTTTCGGCTACGCAGACGCTCAAGTTATCCACACCTGCAAGGTATCTCCTGATATTGTTACGAAGTTCCGTACTTCGTACCGAGTATGCCCTGCTCCCGCTTTTCTGGATCAACGTATGGTGCCCGTTGATCTTGATACCCAACTTCGATGCTAGCCCTACCTGTGAGTCCAAAACAATACCCATTCGGAGCGCCACACTGCAGTCACTTCCTTGGCGGAGCTTCCATGGAAATAAACAATTTCAGAGTGAGGCGCAGTGGAGCCGGATTGACATCAACCAGCGCTATCTGAACTACTTAGAGGGAGGCTGACTGTTATTGTGTCTTGATTCTTGAATATCCTTTAAGAACCTGGCAGTGATCGCCCAGTCGATCTGCTTCACTCTGATGTTTCGGGCCTCTTGTGAACCTCTTGTCAAAGAGTAACACAATGCCTCAGCATCGGCAATATCATGGCACAGAGCGCATGTTCGCTCAAACTCACGCTGCTTTGAGAGGGCGAGGGCACGGGAACCTACTCGACTTCGGACAAAAACCTGTACCAAGCTTACACCGTTTAGCAACACTGTCTCGGCAAGGAGAAGCAAAAGCAACTGCAGTGTTCCCTCTAGCAGGTCACAAGGACTGGCAAGAAGCAATACCTTGTCTGCGACGTATGTGGTCCCCCAGAATGTCACGAGGTCACACATTGGAAACATTCTCCATACCAAAAGGAATTCCTCGCCAACTAGATGATGGTTGCAAGCCAGTTTGGGCTACGACATTCTTGAGTTCAACGGTTGAGCACGGCATCCCGTGCTGTGAGGGTCGACCACCTTGCCCCAAGATGATTTGCACAATGTGCACACTTTTCTTCTCTCATACCCAGTAGGCTACTTGCTCAATACAGGACGATTTAAAAGCTGTGGTGCTTCGAATTTCGACTTGCAATCTTGTCTCACTATCGAGGTAGGACCTAGCAGCCTCATACCGGAAATGCTAGGCACGATTGGATAGAGAGTTGTGCTCTGCCACCATCACCGAGTGCTGAGCCAGGAGTTAATTCTGCTTTGGTATGAAAGTGAAGAAAGAGATTAAGGAACGGGTTGCAACCTAAATTTTCGTTCTTCTACGTAAACCAATTGACACATGCATCCTCTGGGATAGGAGTTTGACAACCAGTGGCAGACCCAACTACGGATCTTGAATTTTGACCACCACCTTGCGAGAGCCCCCTGCACCCGATACCTGGTGATGATATGCTTTAAGAGCATCATCGAAGCCACCCTTTCCAATAATCTCGTACTCGCTTGGTTTCAGTTTGCCGGTCTCAATCAACGCGACAATGAGTGGGATGTACTTCTCGATCTTGTCATTTAGTTCTGTACCTTCAGGTCGACCAATTTCTCCAAGTTGAACTTTGTAAGTTCTCCCACCTTCAAAGTCGTGGATTGTTGGGTTCCAATCATTGGTTGTCGCAAAGAACTTATCCGAGGCTTTTATTGCCTTGAATAACTGCTTGCAAATGGCTGGGTCGTCGGAAGCCACCGCATCAAAGACTTTCGAGGCTTCGCCTGATGTGATGTCAAGGACTTTCTTCAATTGTTCCTCGAGCGGAGCCTTGTAGTCAAACGGAACTGCGCCTAGCTCTTCGACAACAGAAGAAGACTTGCTGGAGCATGATGCAGCAACCTTGTAGCCACTTGCCTTTGCCAATTGGATAGCAGCCTTTCCAACGCTACTCGCGCCGCCTAGAATGACGACCCATTCGTCCAAGGCTGCAGGAAGATTCTTGGGATCGGGAAGGGGAATATTGAGCCCTGCAAACAAACCTAAGCATGCTGTTTCCACACCAACACCCAAGGTAGATGCCTCCACGAGAGATATATTCTTCGGTTTGGGGATGGTGACGCGAGCATCCATCAGGTAATATTCTTGTCCAGCTGAATACCCTTTACAACCTAGTCTGGTGCAGCCGAACACTTCGTCACCAGCCTTGAGTCCATACTTTTCTGTTGCTTCATTTCCGGAATCGGTGATGACACCAGCAGCATCGACTCCTAGGACAAGAGGCCAGTTAACAACGAGAAGACCGTATTGACTCATGAACGCATCCCTGAGTGATTGTCAGTAACTTATCTTAGCACATGTCGACCTATGGCGCCAGAGACGATGTTTGCACCGCATGGGCAAATCGTTGACCTACACAGGATTGATAGCAGTCCAGATAGACTTGACCAAGACTTGATCAGGTCCGGGTACTGGTACAGGAAGATCATCGACAACCTTGGGCTCTGCGCCAACAGCAGTGAATACAACACCCTTCATGATGGATTGTAATTGAGAGGTGGCCTTGGAAAAGGAAGATAAAGATTGGTGAATAGTGAAAGCAGATCGATTACTCTATCGGTTCTATATAGACGGGCACGAGAGACGAGACATGCCCATAGAGCGTATTCAAGCAGGCACCAGATGCCACGCATAGCCGTTGAATCAGCAGAACTTATCTTCAAGTCTTCGCCGTTTAGAGTTGAACAACGAAGCCAGGGATCGGATTTTGGAAGACGAACCAGATACCAGCTCCGAAAGCTAAGTCGTTGAAGGGTCATGCACAAGCGGCCTGAAATACGAGTTCGAGATGGGGATAGGTCAATTTGGGGAAGCGACCTATGCTAATTCATCACCTCCCCTTGGTTTGCCTAGTAGGCTCTTCATTGATCATGGTCTGGAACAACCACATAGGGGAAAGCTCGCGGTCGTATTCAGCAGACCTGGAGATGGAAATACGAGCACGTGCGAATTGCGAACAAAAGTTCCGTGGTTTTTAAGTCTGCTATGACTCTGAGGACAGGGGAATAGACCATCCGTGGCAAAAGAGAAGCTATGATGGGAGCTTGAGAATAGCATGTCCCCAAAATGGATAACAGCTTCTTGATACTGATATGTTAATACTCTTGAAGACAAATAGGCAACATAGGGAGACGAAGCATTCATATGAACAGACACAAGAGGCTCAAGGGGGGGGTACCGTAGCCAGTGTGCCAAATCTGAAGTAGGACGATAGTTTGGGCACAGGATGGTAGCGACGGTAATCGGTGAAATACTCTGCCGTAGGATTATACTGCGGATCTCGTATGGGTAGAGCGTAGTAGTTACCACGTGAGCTCGCCCAACAACCCAACTTTTTTCGGAGTTGTACTGTCCAGAAGCGGGAGCTAAGCTGGGGCTCTCAACTCGCTCACTCGTACGCCGCAGGGATACTTCTCAACACCACCAGCTTGACTTAGTTTTAATCCTAATCAACGTACCTCGTCCGTCTGCTCACGCTATCTAACCTGCCTTACATCCCTACGAAGCCCTCCCCTTCCTCAGTTGTCTGCGTATTCTTTTTCCTTCTGCCGCAATGGCGGCCAGACAGTCCGTTCGGCTGCTTGCACGCCAGATCACTTCGCAATGCTCACACTCCCAAACCCAAGCTCGCCGGGCTTTCTCCTACACCCCTGCCTCTCTGGCTGCACAGAATTTTACGATGCCTGCAATGTCTCCCACTATGACTGAGGGCAATATCTCAAGTTGGAAGGTCAAAGAGGGCGACTCCTTCTCTACTGGCGATGTCCTGCTGGAAATCGAAACGGACAAAGCCTCCATGGATGTGGAGGCCCAGGAAGACGGCGTGGTGGCTAAGATCTTCTCCAGTGACGGAACCAAGGGTGTGAAGGTTGGCACAAGGATAGCCGTCCTTGCAGAACCCGGTGATGACATCTCGAGTCTTGAGATACCAGCAGACGAAGCGAAACCGGTATCCTCAGAAGCCGACAATGTGAAAGGAGGCAAGGATTCTAGCTATGAGAGCTCGGGTGTTGAAAAGGAAGTCGAGGGGACACCACAGAATAAGAGACCTTCAAAAGACAAGCCTAAGACAAGTCCGACCGGGCCAGGCCAGAATCCCAAATATCCCCTATACCCCTCCGTCATTGCTCTCGTCCACGAGAATCACCTCTCCGACGCGGACGTGGCCAAGATCCCTGCCACAGGACCGAACAATCGTCTACTAAAGGGCGACATCCTAGCCCATCTTGGAGCGATTGAGCAAGACTATCCCGCGGAGCAATCAAAACGTATCACCCACCTAGGTCACCTCGACCTCAGCAACATCAAGATCCAAGCACCACCAGCCAAGTCGCCCGCCACATCTGCAGCAGCAGTAGCATCGGAGCCAGAGCAGCCCAAAACCACCTCTATCGCTCTGAACATCTCCCTCTCGGAAGTCCTCAAAGTCCAGAAGCGAATCAAAGACACCCTGGGCCTCTCCGTACCCCTTTCCACCTTCCTCGCCCGCGCCATCGATCTTGCCAACGACGACCTACCTCTCGCTAAAGGCGCCAAACCTTCAGCAGACGCCCTCTTCAACGCCGTCCTCGGCCTCGACACCATCCCCACCACATCAAGAGCCGCATACCTACCACAGATCGACGCCTTCTCAATCCCCCTGACTCCCGCTGTCTCAAGGCCATCCAGAGCGAAAGTCCCCGATATCATCGACATCCTCTCCGGCAAAGTCATCCGACGCACCGCGGCGTCATCACGCTCCACCGCTCCCCGCCCGGCAAGAAATATCACCACCACAACCGACGGTGCTGTGAATGTATTCAGCCTCTCCGTGCCCGTGGGAGAGGAGAAGCGCGCGCGCACGTTCCTCGAACGCGTCAAGACCGTCCTACAAGTCGAGCCTGGTAAACTGGTGTTGTGAATGTCCCACATCCCATGCTTCTCGGACTGTGGCTGGTAGAATACGAGCTCGATATTCCCAGCGGACAGGTTGGCGCGTATATGGATGATTGGGAGACTTCTTCTTTACGTAGCGGTTGGCCAAAATTCTAAAGAACCAGGTGTGAGCTTGGCTTCGTCCGTGTAGTACAATATTATTAACAGCAAGTTGGCTTTGGAGAAACAGGAGCGTACTAGCCAAGTGCGGACCGTGAAGAAATCATTCAACTACAATAGACGCAAAGTAGAACTGTGCAATGGATTTTGACTCTAGGTCTTCAAATGTGTCGCATTCATTGTGTCGACTAGCTCACCGAGATCATATCTGGTGCCAGGAGAGATGAATTCTTCTATCACTGTGCTATGTGGCAGTATCTCCTAGTCAAGTCTCCCGCCATGCGCCAACGCTCGCGAAAACCTATGCCCAGTAATAGCAGAACAACTTCATCAAGACCTAGTTCCAATTGTGATCCATCCCTGCGCCATGCCCATCAGCATTCCTAACTCCAGGTCGTGTCATACGATGATCATAACAATCTGCTTTCATTCGCTCGCTCGCTCGCTGGGCACGCACTGCTGTTCCGTCCGTTGTGATGCCGCAAAGCTGTGATGTGTTCGCTCTCAAGATTCAACCACAGAATGAATGTAAATAAGGTGTTCGCCCAATCCAATTAGCCAGCCAGGTGCGCCAATCTCTGTTTCTTAGGAAACGCAAGCGCCGCTGTACAAGTTTCCCAATATGTGTCATGGAATATTTCGTCGTTGAGATCTGGGAATTCTTGTGATAAAAACTTTTGGGGTAAAAGAATTACTGGTGTTGTGAATTTGCACATGTCTCGTAAACTCGGAGACTTCGATCGTTAAATTTTGGTGTCGAGAGAAGACAGATGAAGTTGCTGTCGTTGGGATCGTGCCATTATCGAATCGAACCCCAGTCTCCCAGTCTGCCACCCGACATTCCATCACCAGTTCTTCCTTCGTTACCCTTCTTGCCGAAGACTCTCCAGAACCGGAGAGTCTCGTCCCCAGCTCCGGTCACAACAGTCGTTCCGTCAGGACTGGCGCTCAGGTAAAGAACACGGTAAGTATGACCAGTCAGGCTGACAACTTGCTCCATCTTTGGATACTTCCAGACCACAATCTGATTCTGACTGTAACCATGAGTGCTGACTATCTCATCACTGTTCTTGCTCCAGGCCAAATTACAAACCTGACTTCCTGTATCAACTTCTTTAACAAGAGTTCCAGTTGAGGTATTCCAAAATTTGATAGACCGATCGGCAGTTCCGCCACCAGATGCCAGCAGGTGATGTTGATGAGGACTCCAAGCAATGGCCTTGACCGCCGCCACATGGTTGGAGAATCGATACAAGGGTGTTTCCGAAAGCTTGTCCCACACACAGAGTTTGTTGTCGTTTCCACCTGAAGCGAGCTGGCCATCCTCGGTGTTCCATCGTAAGCCACATACTTCTTGCTTGTGGCCCGCCAAACGGCGGAGATATTGATCAGGACTTCGGACATCTCGATGATAAATTAGGCGGTCTCTTGAACCTGATGTCAAGATATGATCATTCCAAGCGAGAGCTCCAACACGAGCGGAGTGACCCGTCATGGTCCGTAGTCGTCTACCTTTTTCGGCATCGTAGATTTGAACAAATCCTTTGTGAGTACCAATAGCAAGATGCGATCCACGTTGAATCCAAGCCACCGATGTCACCAAATCATTGTCGGGTAGCTTGCAGAGCTGTGTCACCTTGCCAGTAGCACTGTTCCACATGTAAACGCAAGAGCCCAAGCCAACACCAAGTATGTTGGCAGAGCCCCAATCCACTAGATTCAAGTAGAAGTCGTCCGCCAGTTCAGGAGCGTCCAGCACCTTGTAGGGAACTTTGGCTATGGGACGAGGCTGTTTGCGGGGTGTTTGTAGAATGGATTGTGATGAGTAATTTATAGGCGAGATGGAGTATAAATCAGACCTGGCATTCAGATTGATTATTCCTGGATGCTTGCCAGTTCTAGATGACGGTGTCGGATGACCAGATCCTATCACTTTTTGAGGAGATTTGTATGAAAACATGTTCTTGTGAGGGGTTGTGGGGGTGATGGAAGTAGGTGCGGCAGTGGCGGATGATGGTTGACCAGGAGGTGTTTGTCGTCGACCGAAAAGCTCGTCTGGTGATAGAGATCGATAGTCCTGGGGAACGGAGTCGCCCATTAATTCATTTCGGAGGACTTTTGAATAGGTTCTATTGGCTTCTTCGGTTCTCTGGAAGTGGAGTTCACCATGGGGCGTCTTCTTTTTTGATCTTGAGGGGGTTGCGGGTGATCCATCATCATGGAGAAGGCTGTAGCTTGCTTGTAAATCTTGTCCGTCTCTATTGGGTATGAATCTAAAAAGAGCATGAGCCGGGCACTTCACGAAACCAGACCTTCGAACTCACCTGTCTCCATACACGCGCTGTCGCTTCCGACTAGGACTTCGGCCTGGAGTCCTCTCTCGCTGTCTCCCAGCGTTTTCTATTTCCTTCAACCTTCGATTCAAGGCATCGGCTTCCATGGCTTCAGTGGCTCGTTGGACAGCACTCATGCTATCAAGTTTATCTAGAAGCCGCCTACTTGAAATTGTCGGAGGGGTCTTGGAGCCAACTGGAGTAGGTAGAGAGGGTGTTGTTGGGCGCTCGGCGTCTGTAATCATGATGGAGGAGGGTTGGTTGTCAGCCATGTTGACTGGTGAGTTGTTGTTTTGGGGACGGGATTAAGCGGTTCGATCGACTCTCATACAGGTGAGCAGACAGTAAGGGACGAATGAAATAAGAGTGAGGCGGTCTAGACGAGGTTGGTGATGAGGCAATACAAGCAACAGTTGTTGAAGCATGTATTCCAGGAAACAGCGGCGAGGGACAATGGCTCAGATTCGACGTGGCGGTCGACTTCTAGAAGCCTGCTTCCCTATATTTATGATGAAGGCATGATGGACGAGATAATTTGTAGCGACAGTATGAATGAGTGATCAAGGGACGTGATGAGGATATGGCGCAGGCAGCGTGGCTTGAATGTGGTGGTTGACGATCACAATCAACAGTGATGGGATAGAATTGATGTGGTTGCGGTTGCGGTTGCAGGAGCACCTTCCAGTTATTCGCATTCAGTAGGGGACGGCAAGAGCAGCTGCCACCGCCGACGGAGTACAATCCACCACGCGCACTTGCCCACTTGTCCTCAGCGCACGCTTGCCTCCCGGATCGCCTCCAGAAGCCTTGGCACGCCGTTTCCAGTCTCATTTACAGCTTAACTTGACGATATTCAGAGGGTTCATCTAATTTATCATGTACAATCCATCCTTGGGCAGACATTGGACTACAGGAATACTACTTTGATACTATTATTCCCATCTACACATATTTTCATCGATGGTAAGAGCTTCAATTAGGTGATTCCAGCTCTTGGCCCGAATAGGAATCATAACAAAAACACTTTACGCGGCCGTTGAAGCGACCACTGTTAGTGCTCGTACGGAGGTGAAGAGATCATTGGTACACTAATGATGTACTGAGTACTTCGAGGTTCCCATAGAATGTCTGAAGCGGCAAGTTGAATAACATGGAACAATCTTTGTCCCCCCTTAGACAGTGTTTTAGAGATGCTTGCGGATCTGATGAATGATTCGGCGAGAGGGCTGTTTCAGATGGCTCTCCAGCCAGTTGGCGCTTGCGAGGCTCAGACCGGGAATTTCCTTAAGTTAGGCGCTTGGGGCTGCCGAAGACGATGGCCTTATTAACAATGATCATGATGATGGGGAAGCTCAAGCTTGGACTTACTTAACCTCTAGCTGGTAGGGGTTGCCTTTTCCGGCGTCACCTGCGGGCCAGGTGCACGCCCACGCCATCACCTGCAACCTTGAAGCCTGGTTGCAATCCCACTCAGTCCAGAAGTACGTGCATATATCTCCAATAGACATCCCATTGATCGCCTTCTCGTTCGTACATGCTGCTGCGGCTTCTGTCGAGATCTTTGCCCGCAGCCCGCCCATATTCCACCATGGCCCCTGCCAGCATCAAGGTTGCTGCGAACGATTTCCTTGATTTCGTCAATGCTTCTCCAACACCTTTCCATGCGGTCAAGTCTGTCAAGGAAAGATTGAGCAAAGTGGGCTTCAGAGAGATCAAGGTCAGTTAGCAAACAACCCAAGGAGCAAAGTTGTCACAACTGAATCCTTCAACAGGAGAAAGAATCATGGTCGTCTGCCTTGAGTCCTGGTGGTAAATACTTCCTCACGAGAAATGGCTCTACCGTCGTCGCATTTGCCATTGGCAAAAAGTGGAAGCCAGGAAACCCTATCTCGATGATCGGTGCCCATACCGACTCGCCCTGCTTGCGAATTAAGCCAGTGAGCAAGAAGCAAGGCGATGGTTTCCTCCAAGTCGGCGTTGAGACGTATGGCGGTGGACTATGGCATACCTGGTTCGATCGAGACCTTGGGCTGGCAGGACGGGTTATGGTACGAGGAAAAGATGGCAATGTGGTTCAAAAACTCGTTCATATTGACAAACCTATCCTGCGCATTCCTACCCTAGCTGTCCACCTTGACCGTCAGGAAACCTTTTCCTTCAACAAAGAGACCCAACTGTTCCCTATAGCCGGTCTAGTCTCAGCAGAACTCCAGCGTCAGGATGATAAGAAGAACAAAAATTCACCCGATGAATCAGAAGACGAGAGCAAACCCTTCTCTCCATTGAAAGCCATTACAACCCGACATCACCCTCATATCGTCGAGCTCATTGCTACAGATGCCGGAGTTACCCCAGAAAATGTGGTTGACTTTGAACTAGTCCTTTACGATACCCAGAAGGCTGTTCTTGGAGGTCTCAGCGATGAATTCATTTTCTCCGCACGGCTTGACAATCTCAATCAGACATACTGTGCAACCATGGGCTTGATAGAGTCTCTGAGCTCCTCCTCTGCTCTCGAGGATGAATCATCTATTCGCCTGGTTGCATGTTTTGATCATGAAGAGATTGGAAGTATGACAGCCCAAGGTGCCTTTTCTGTGATGCTTCCCGCCATCATTCGCAGACTTTCTGTCTTACCGTCTTCGATCTTTGCTGAAGACGGGTCCGAGGAGTCGTATGATCATGCCGGCGAGCCAGAGTTTTCCACGGCCTATGAGCAGACTTTGTCGAGCTCATTCCTACTTTCCGCTGATATGGCACATTCCGTCAATCCCAATTATGGTGGCAAATATGAGAATGACCACAAGCCCGAAATGAACCAAGGCCCTGTCATCAAGGTCAACGCCAATGCCAGGTATGCCACAAATTCCCCAGGCATTGTGTTACTACAAGAGGTTGCTCGAAAGGCCAGCAAAATGATTGCTAGCGATCCCGAGGGTGTTCCACTGCAATTATTCGTAGTACGGAACGACTCAAGTTGTGGAAGCACAATTGGGCCCATGCTCTCTGCCCATCTCGGTGCACGAACACTAGACCTTGGCAATCCTCAGCTATCGATGCACAGCTGCCGTGAAACTGGAGGTGCTGATGATGTACACCATGCAATTCGATTGTTCAGCAGTTTCTTCCAGCACTATTCAGCTCTGGAGAAGACCATTTTGGTTGACTAATCCGAGTCCTCTGTATGACAAGTGCTCGGTGCTACGTGCGACCACCAGTATCCCGCCCTAGGGAAGGTGGTTACAGGATGAGCAGAATTGACTAGGGTCCGTCGACAGCTAATTTGATGGAAATTCTTGTGCAATCCATGACACAGGTTTCTTGCGAATATATGCCCTGTTCGCCTCTCGTGCCTCTCGGACGATCATCGCGATTTAGGCAGGCGAGTCTTTGACGGCTTATCGGCGTGGACGGGACAAACTGCAAGACCAAAGACACTGGAAACCACTCGTAGACTGATATGTCCCATGCTAGATTCTGAACAGCTTTGTTCGTTGCTTATTTCTCAATGCTTCTGGTAGTTTCTTGAGATCTTACAGAACTGGCAGTGTACAATGGCGAGGGGGAATGATGGGCTACTGCGAGCCTACGATATATTGAACACTGCAGGACTTGAGAACAATTCAGTACACAATACAAAATAGCCCCCGCCAGCAAGATAGCCACATTCATTAGCGAATGGACGACATCAGATCCCAGAAATGCGGGAGTCGTAAAGCTAGATAACCGTTGAGGATTGAGATAGAGGTGGGGCATCTTAAGCCGTCAACCGACCCAGAATCAATAATTTCCCTTCAGCATATCTCTCGCCGGCAACATGTCTGCCCCAGTGTATCTCAAGGGCGACAAAGCTGGATTGAAGCAATTCTTAGACAAGTACGATGTCTGTCATTGCCCCATACCTTGCAATCATCAAAACCACACCCAATTCATGACACTCGTCTATTCCTCCACAGAAAGATGCTAATAGCCATGGACAGGTCTTCCTCTTTGACTGCGATGGCGTTCTCTGGTCTGGCGACCACCTGTTCCCGGGCAGTGTTCCCACGCTGGAGATGCTGCGCAAGAAGAACAAGCAGGTCGTGTTCGTGACCAACAATTCCACAAAGTCCAGAGGTGACTACAGAAAAAAGCTGGAGAGCATGGGAATACCTGCGACCACCGAAGAAGTCTTTGGTTCGTCCTACTCTGCGAGCATCTACATTTCCAGGATCTTGCCACAATCACATCCCCAGCTGAAGAAGAAGAATAAAGTCTTTGTGGTTGGTGAAGCAGGAATTGAAACCGAGTTGGATTCTGAGGGTATCCCTCACATCGGAGGGACAGATCCTGCCTACAGAAGAGATGTTACCCCGGAAGACTACAAACTACTGGCTGCAGGCGATCCTTCGGTGTTGGACCCAGACGTCGGAGTCGTCCTTGTGGGCCTAGATTTTCACTTCAACTACCTGAAGATGTGCTATGCCTACCACTACATCAAACGCGGCGCCATCTTCCTAGCGACCAACGTGGACTCGACGCTCCCATCTGCTGGAGCTCTTTTCCCAGGCGCGGGGAGCATGTCTGCACCTTTGATCGCCATGCTGGGAGGTCAGCAGCCCATGGCATTTGGCAAACCCAATCAAGCCATGATGGATGCCATTGAGGGTAAATTTCAATTCGATCGCAGTCGTGCTGTCATGATTGGTGATCGTGCCAACACTGATATCAAGTTTGGTATCGAGGGGAAGCTTGGAGGCACACTGGCCGTGCTGACAGGCGTCACCACCAAGCAAGAATTCCTAGAGGGCGACACCAGACCAGCGTACTATGTCGATGAGTTGGGAGATCTTCTAGAGGGTGCTTAGCACCAAGGGGGTAGCTATTATGCGGAGACCACTTTAGACCACCATAGAGCACAAATCTCACTCCATGTGAACAGATCTCGATCTCGATCTCGATCTCGAACCATTTGAGTCATAGAGCCATGAATTCTTTGAAGGAGCGCCCAGTGTGCTTCATCGTTACAGTTCACAGTAAAGTCTTCCTACACTCGTCAACTGACTCCCTTGACCTCCCGAAGACTCCGTAAAGTTGCTAGCTCTCCCCACCCAAGTTCCAGTATCATGGTTTCCAAAATATGCGTACCGCTCAACCCATGGACAAGCATCCAACCACGGTAGAGCATCTCGGATAAAAGCCTCCACTTCCTGAACAGTAGCTTCGCCATTGCCCATGCGGGTGCAGGCGAATTCATTTAGCCAAACCGGCAAGCCGTAGGTTGAATGCCAGTCCTCAAGAAAAGCGCGCATGTCGTTGAACGACAGCCCATACCAATGTACAGCGAGAAAGTCAATGCCATCTTGGCCACCCAACTGTGACAAGAACGAATTCAACCAAGGCTTACTTCGTCCAACATCGCTGCTCATGCCAGGACTACCGAGGCGGAAGTTGAACTTCGCTTTCGCCGGGAGCACGACCTGCTTCCACAGCTCGACCGCCTGCTCCACGGTCATGTTCGCCTGCTCAGGAATCTCCGGTTCGTTGAAACCGAGGAGGGCTGATGTCTTGAAGCCTCGATTGTTGATGATGTCGCTGAGGAACGCGTCGACGTCCTTGACGTTTGCTGGCGTTCGCACACATGGAACCCACTCGACTTGAGACGGAAGGGATTCAGGCACCCAGACTTCCCAGTTGAAAAGCCATGTTATCTTGCCGGTGGTGATGTATGGCTGATAGAGTTGAAAATGGGCTGCAGGTTCATTCCACGGCCATCCTAAGCCTCGCTTTTTGCTTGAGTTCGTCGCTGTAGTTGGTTGAGATGAAAGTGCTTTGGGTTTTGGGGGAGGCGGCGGTGGCCTTGATTTCTGGTCCATGATGCTGGTGTTCTACCGACACTTGCGAGTTCATTCATTCACACGCTCTACAATGATGATTTGACCCACCTGTGGATTAGCTACGATATCGTTTTAACGGTCGAGCTAGGGAGGCGTGGACATCACATGCAATCCAAATCTGTCTGGAGAACTTGGAAAGTTGGCTGCTTCAAAAGAACGCGCGTATGCTCTGCCCTTCAACTCCGGTAAAGCATACGCCGTGACGCGCTCTGGGAAATTCGTGGGCAACATTGAACACGTTACAACTTCGAGGCACCTAACGAGAGTACTTAGGAACAAAGCTCCGTGCAGGATGTGTATATCGATGGGGCATACAGAGCAGTCGAAGTTTTTCGAGAAGTAAACCATGATGAGCTCAAGTCGAACCTTCGGCGATGGATCCCGGAATGATGAAGAAACACTAATTGGCTCTTGATCATTGACAGAAGCAAAATAGCCGACGGTATTGTGATGTTGGGGGCAAACCATGGACGACTACTACGAGTTCAGACCCTCTCCGGTGGGTCACATATGGTTTCGGCAGCCTTGAACCCGAGATCCTGCTTTAAGACGATATACTATACGTACGGACTCGACGTGGCACGGTGAAGCTACCAGCGACCCGATAGTTCGGAGATTGTTAGCGGACCCAGAGATTTCCTGTTATCATCAATTTTTGCATCACGGAATTTCTTACGATAGCAGCTCATATGCGTTTCAGCAGGACAAGTCCCGAGTGTCCCAATTGACAAATCCTTCTCAACGTCTTAGGGACCAACTCAGATCTTGAAATTCATCATTTCATCTCCCCGATCACCAACGACGATGGTGACTCGGTCGGTAGAAGCTGAGGGGGTGCTGGCTCGTCTCCCTCCATTGGTCATGGGAGGAGCCGGCTTCAGCTATCAATTGAATTCGAACCCAGAGTCTTTACCTGCCGTGGAGATCATAAAAAGAGGCTTCGATCTAGGCCTGAGAGCTATCGACACCTCGCCATACTATGAGCCCTCGGAGCAGATAATGGGCGCTGCCCTATGTCATCCTGACATCACCAGCAAATATCAAAGAACCGACTACATCTTGATTACCAAGGCTGGCAGAATAACAGTGGATAAATTTGACTACTCTCCGACCTGGATCAATCAATCAATAGCTCGTTCATTACATCGTTTCAAAACGGACTATCTGGACGTGGTCTTTTGTCATGATGTCGAATTCGTCACCTTCCAGGAAGCTATCGAAGCAGTTGGAGCATTATTTGAACTGTCAGATCGCGGAGTGATCAGATGCGTCGGTATATCGGGCTACAACATCGACTTCATCATTGAGGTGGCCCAGAAAGTCCAGATCAAGTACGGTCGGCCGCTTGATGTGGTTCAGATCTGGGCACAATTAACATTGCAAAACACGAAACTCGAGCAGAAAGGCCTGAGCGCTTTACAAAAGGCGGGTGTTGGAGCCGTCTTTAGCTCAAGCCCCCTGGGCGTTGGACTGTTAAGGAACGGGGGAGTCCCTCTGGGAGCACTTGGAAACTGGCATCCTGCGCCTCCTGAGCTAAGAATGGCGGCACAAAGAGCAGCTGAGTTCGTAGAGACTCAGGGTGATGTGTTATCGTCAGTGGCCCTGCGCTTTGCAATCGCTAAAGCTCTGCAAAACTCTCATCCGGGGTTCACAGTTTCAACTATCTTCGGAGTGAGTTCGATATCGGAGGTGGAGCAGAACGTGGCCACTGCCCGACAAGTGCTCAAAAGCAAGAATGCAGATGTCGATGACCCAGCCTCAAAGCGTTCTGCCTTTGATCAATCTCACACTCTAGACGACGAGGCTATCAAACGAGATGATAGACTGTATGAGGGAGTGAAGAGGATATTGGGATCCTGGCTAGATTTTGACCTTTCCACACCCCATGCCACCACAGACTCGTCGGAAGAAAGAGGCCAAGCTTCCAATGGGGAACTTTCCGGGCCTTCACATTCCATCACTAGCCGTCTATAGACTCTGCTTAGGTAGGGACAATGCAATCAGACCATCATGCACCACCAGCGTACATTATTTTCATCCCGCTGAATACGCTCGTACACAACGGGCAGTCCAGATATGCTGAGACTGCATCGTGTCTGGCTGTGGTAAACGGACCGCTTTACAACGGTGGTTGAAAGTCGCCATCGTCGACAGAGATATCGATGCCAATCTCAGAACTCGATACGCTTATCTGCAATCCACAGTCACATTCCTGTTCACACCCGTATCGTTCTTTTCCACCCCGGGAACCCATACTCCAGCCAGGTTGTGCTCGTCGCAAGTTGAGGTGCGCCAGAAAGATGACTCGGTGCCTCTTCCCAGATCATTCACTGAACAAATCGAACAGTCTCCGCATAATTTAGAGAGCTCAGTATCATGAAACATGTGCACACGCTACCTCGTCTTGTCTTGCACAACTTCGAACTTGCCCGGCATAGCCTCGGGCATTGCTAGAATGCTTGAGAGACCTTCCCCTCCTTAGTGATTCGTTCCGTGAAGGGGGTTTTGCTATTCGATCTAGCCACTTGGGAAACCGAGTATGTAGCTTCGCATATTCAATCATGAGTTGCCGGACAATTATTCGGCAGTGCCAATCACTCACAGAGGATGTCCAGGCTAAATGATAGGGAGGTGGTCCAATAGGACTCCAGTTCTGAAGCCTCAATACCACGTCTTGGCGGACCAGGGTTCCTCAATTTAACCCGGCGGATGATTTATGAATGATAAGCTTCGCCCTCATCGAAACTCACTCTCCACCATCCTTACCAATTAACCAGCGGATCTATCCCCGCAGAGAAAGCCTTTTTCCTTATGGAGGCTCCCCCTAGCCATTCGGCTCCACTGGGCCATGCCATCGATATGCAAACCGCGACGGCTGCCAGACCTCGCAAAAGAACGCGCAGAGCTTGCGATAAATGCAGTAGCCTCAGGGTCCGGTGTGATGGAGATGCTCCTTGGTAAGCGAATTGAAAGATGCTCTCCAAAACTAAAGAGGGATCGAGCTGATGGTCTGTCGTGAAGTCGGCGTTGTCGAGGTAGGCATACCCAGTCCTAAGAGACAGGGGATTGAGCAGACAATGGCTCTGACAAGCAAGGTTAGAATATGACCAGGAATGCAACTATGCCAGAGATATTCGAAAACGAGGCAGAAAACCCAGCGTCAGACCAGGACCGGGTGATGGGATAGACATGCACGATGGTCGAATTTCAGAAACCCACACCCAAATCGATTTCGACATCATTTACCCTGATCAAGAAGAACACCACGACGCCACAGATCCAGGCTCGAATCCCGCTGACGATCACGAGAGTACCAGTATTGATGGCAGAAGCCTGCAGCTCCAACCTCCATTTTTGCAGTACCGGAATGCGTCTTACGATACCATTATCCAGTCCTCAGTGGGCGACAAGGATGGTAATCTTGGATCTGCCATTCCACAAGTAGTAGACTCACCCACAGAGCTTCCACGTCGAACGAGTCAATTCATGCAGGATATCAGCAGTGTCCTCAGCCCGCCTCTACCAACAAATACAGGTCTGGTTAGCTCAAGACGTGAGCGCCAATCGTTCGGTGCCTCGTCCATATCAAGTCGCCCCATTGGCTCCAGAGAATTTGGCTCAACCAAAAGCCCCTTGAAATGTCTGGCGCCTGTATTGCCCCTCCTTGTGGGCATAATCAGCCCGGATGAAGCATGCGAGCTATTGGAGTTCTACTTCGATGAGGCAGGTAGCTCGCTGTTCCGGGTCGCATCGCCTTACGTGTTGACACACGTGCTGAGGAAGCAGTCGCTGTTGCACCCAACACAGCCTCGTGAGACAACCGCAGCTCTTCTTGTAACCATGATGTGGGTCAGCGCACAAACAGCGGATATTGCCGTCCTTCTCATACCCGGATCAAGACCTCGGATATGCGATGCCTTGCGCCGGCTATGGATGGAATTATTAGAGAAAAGAGATAGAGATCACTGGCATCGAGCTCCAGGTATGAACATGAAACTAACTGGCCTTGTGTAGCTCTCGGCGGCATTGGGCTGACGTTTTGCAGGTGGACATCTCGTTTACCAGCAGGACTGTTTCAGGCGGGAATTTCGAAGTGAAGGCTACCACAATCGGGAGACTGGACCACCAGATGAAGTGATCGATGATGTACTCACATTCATCCTGTTATGCATCGTCATATCCGGCGGCGACTTCAAGACTGACTGTATCCCATGGTGGAATAAAGCCCTGAGGTCGGCCCAGCGCCTAGGGCTCAATCGACAGGACGAGAAGTGTAATGCATCCAGCGCCACTTGTGTCAAGATCTCCTGCTCAGCGCACAAGCCGAGCGCGACGGAGACTCTAGCAAGCATTGAAGCACAAGAAGAGCGCCGCAGAGTGTTTTGGCTACTGTTCTGCCTCGATCGACATCTGGCTCTCTCATACAACGCCACCATGGCGATTTCGGACGACGAGTGCGATGTCTTCACACCTCTACCCGATGAGATGTGGGAGAACCTGGAGACCATCCCGATGGAATTGCTGACACGACGGTCATACGGGCCGAGCACCTCGGTCACTGGTATTGGATTCTTCGAGTACTTTTTACCATTAATGGCGATACTCGGCGACATCATCCTTCTACATCATCTCAAGAATCATCCACGATTTGGAGCACTTGATGACCAAGCGGCAACCTCATCAGTCGAGAACCTCTTGGAGAACTGCTCTAGGAGTGTCAACGATCTGGCTACTCGCTATGGAGTCGAACGAACCGATGAGAGCACGCCGAGTGGGGAGCTGCTCACCCCGAGTCCGAACGATGGCCAGCCACACGATCCCTCGATCAATATGCGAAGGTCAAAATCACGCACGCAAGCGCAATTGGTTACAGCCTATGCCACGTTCATCATCCATGTCCTTCGAGTCCTCCTATATGGTAAATGGGACGCGGTATCGATGCTCGAGAACGACGACGGCTGGATAACGTCGGTGGAATTCATGAAGTGTGCCTTCCACGCCATTGCAGCCTCGTCTGCCGTCTCACAGATTCTCCGCCGCGATCCAGAACTCACCTTCATGCCGTACCTCTTCGGCATCTATCTGTTACACGGAAGCTTTATACTCCTGCTTTTCGCCGATCGCATGCCGCAGCTTGGCCCCAATGAGTCCGTCGAGAAGGCCTGCGAGACCATCATTCGTGCTCACGAGGTGTGTGTGGTAACTCTCTCAACGGAATTTCAGAAACGTTTTCGCAAGGTGCTCCGCTCCACATTGTACAGCGTCCGAAGCACCAGTCCAACAAGTGAAGAGGAGATCATTGCACGGCGCAGAGCCTTGTCTCTCTATCGATGGACAAAAGGTGCTCGGGGCTTAGCCTTGTGATCTTGGTTCAATGAAAGGAATGATAAAGTACTAAATCCCTTGTTCTTTCATCGCAATCCGTCTACACTTTCTTCCCATCTCTCACGAGTTTGGGAGGCTAGCCATTCGCATCTACGAAGAATAAACTCTACAATATTTGCCGATCCTCCGCCCCTTGCTTCCCGTTGTCATGCCTCATGATGCTCCCCTCCGCAAAAGTGGGATTTCAGACGTTGCCTCGGTGGATTGTAAAGTTGAAAAGGCAAGAGGCACGTTTCCCACAAGAGTTCTGGTCATTCCACAGCCAGAGTGACATGTATTCTCGACCTTTAAGTTTTCTCAACTTCATGGACTTCGCCGCCCATGTTTCGACCATCCCGAGTCTGGACATTTTTCTCCTCATCCAACTTGGAGTCTGCTGTGTTGACGATCCCAATATCGCTCTCACCGACTAGATCGGCAGGAATGCGGTAGTAGGGGACAAAATTGACACACATGGCGTAGGTCAGGGCGGCTACCATGAACTAAATTCAATGATACATTAGTAAGTGCCTTCAAACACAACAGCCCCTCATACGACTAACGCTGCAGTGGGTATTTGGGGGAGAGCTTACCATCTCAGGAACCACCATGGCTTTGCCAGTGTCGTTGTATATATCGGCCACTTTTCCAGTCAAAGCGGGCACGCAAGCACCGCCCAGGACGCCTGCGACAATGACGCCCGAGCCGCGTTTGTAATGGCGGCCCAATCCACGAATACCGAGAGCGACGATCGTTGGGAAACAGACGCTCTCGAAAAACAAGACCATGAACAGCATGGCCAGTCCAGTGTTCTCCCTGGTTCCAGTTGCGGCCCCGAGGAAGATCACCACACCGAACATATATGCAAGAAACACCATTCTCGGTTTGGCGTACGCCATGAACAACGTGCCAGAAAAGCGTCCAACTGTAAAGGCTCCTTGAGCGCCCGCCAGGAACTTTGCAGCCAACGCACTATCGGTATTACGTCTGGTTTCGACGACGTAATTGATGAAATAGCTGGCCACCGCAACCTGGGCTCCACAATAGGTGAATTGCGCGAAAGCAGCGTGAAAGAGACGATATTGCTTCCGGAATGGCAGTTCAGATCCCTCCACATGGGTCTCTCTTACTTGAAACTCCATGTCCGCATCAGTCACCTCTGGGATATATGAGGCGAAGAAAACAAACGCCAGGATGAATACGAAGATCGCAATGCCTAGGTACACCCATTGGACGTTCTTCAAAGCTGCTACAGAGTCCTCCGTTTTCTGGAAGAACACATACGAGCCTAAGACCGGGCCCACGACTGTCCCGACCTAGGAAGCATTAGATCTGTCTGTACAGCAGAAGCTCAACTGACTCACCGCGTTAAATGCTTGCGCGAAGTTGATTCTGATCTCTGCCCAGCGCGGGGGCCCACAGACCGCAAGATAGGGGTTTGCAGCGGTCTCCAAAGACCCCAGACCAGAGCCGATGATAAATGTGGCACCACAGAATCCGCCGAAGGAGCGATAGACTCCAGCCGGCCACATCATCAGTGCCCCAATGCCATAGAGGCAGAGACCGAAGATGAATACTGATTTGTAACCCCAATGTCTCAGCATCCAGTTGGCATAGCCTAGCGAAGCCTGCCAAAAGTCAGTCTACACCATTTCTTAACAAATTCTTCGTCAAACCAGCGGATAGGCCCCAAAATACGCCGCTTGAAGTCCTGACGATCTAGTTCGCGTGATTCCGAGGGTATTTTGAAAATGTTTGTTGAGGGTGTCGAGCAGTCCATAGGCGAAGCCCCAGAGGAAGAATAGGACCGTCACGATGGTCAATGGCCATAGAGATTGACGCAAAGTGAGTTGTGCAGCGACAGTAAGGTCTGTGTTCTTGGTGCGAAGGGCTGATCGCTTCGAAAGCATCTTCGCGAAGGCCATTGCGACTATCTGGTCTTTTGAAACGACACTTTGAAGACGAGGGGCACCCGACTGATGAAGAGATGAAAGAAATCTGAATGAGATGTTCAAAGACCTGAATCCTTGGCCTTTTGTAGGATCGACATCTTGGTCTCTTCCCCCCAGATGTGCTTGTGGACAACCCCGCGTTCTTGTCTATCGAGCGGAGCCTTGACTCTATCTGCCGTTGCTTTGAGAGGCTGTTTTGTGGAGCTTCAAAGACCACAGTGGAAATGGTTTGTTGCATGATACTCATGGCTAGTTGCATATGGTAACATCTGACGGTTATCGTGACGAGGGAGGAGTCGTCCATACCCAGACACCGTAGATTTCCAGAACCATCTCCGCTATACCGGGATTTTTCTTGAAGTAGCAGGAGAGCGGCCGCAGCCTGCAGGTAAGCTCATGATTGAGTTGTTCAAGGTGCTCACTGGGCAGCCAAAGCAGGGGGGTTGCTCTTGGATCTCGGCCCTTTCGGTGTAATGATTGTTCGCCTGGGAATCACTCCCTCAGTATAGGCACATGACGACAGCCTGTGGTAGGGTAGAGTTTGACATTACCTCAACAAGGACATGGGTGTAATATCGTTCGATGGAACATGAAGACGTTTTGAGGAAATGCAGGCTTCCAACCCCACTGGAGCCAAGTCTTCTAGTCCGGGGTTTGAAGATCAAATAACGGCGGCGGCTAATTCTTGATTTGAGGATCATCATCATGCTGGGATATTGATCTTCGTCGATGAAATCAGCCAAAAACTCAATCATTCATAGAATACTTGAAGGAGACAAAGAAGCGGTGGTCATTGCATTGAAGCACTCCTTGATTAGGTGATCTGTCCATGCTAACATGAGACCATCTCAGATTCGTGAGTTTGCTCGGAGACCGCATACAAGGCTTGACCGCATGCTAAGTTATCAATACTAAGTATCTCAGACTGTGATACTCCTCTCGAAAGTTGGAATTGCTAGCATGATCATGTTGAGCTTATTTGTCTCTCAGCTGGCCCGTAGATTCAAGATTTGTATCAATGGTCAAGTTAATTACATTGTTCTTCTTCCATCTCATCAGCGTCTCGATTTCGGGATCCCTGTTAGTATTTGAAGGATAAACGGCACGAGAAATGGATTCATACCACTACACTCTGTAATTCAATCTTACCTCTTCATAGTCCATTTCCACTTCGAGATCTGAGCTTGTCGCCAGTGGTTCAGTACCATTGTCGAGTCGTAGGGTGGCTCATACTTCATCTTGTTCTTCTGAACCACGACCTAGTTTAGAGCCCCCCAAGATGGTGTCGAGCTATTGGACCATTTCGTTTAGAATCAGTGCCGAAACATATAATAGATGAGTTCGAGGGTGAGACAATACCACTCCTGAGAGTACAGTAGTGCCATATCCGGACAATATAAGTTTCATCCAGCAATGGTAGGATATGTTAGTGAACCAGAGCGAATCAAGGGGCACAAAGTCAGGACAAGTCAGGACAAGTCTTTCGTATTGCATTCGGCTTTAAAAAACTCCGTAGTAGTTGCCAGACCTGATTCACGCGCCTACAAATGATGTTGAATCTTAATCAAACATGATGTTCCTGCGGAAAACTCCAGCATCAGGTGGGCACTGTAAAGCAGGAGAGCTCCCGATGTGGGCTGGACTTGAGCGCATGATCACTGATCATGGTATCATCCGGACCTTTAAAAAGATTGGCGGTCATTGTCCTTGCAAAAACCCTGAGAGCAGCTTTTTGAGATAGGCACCATCTTGTTCCTTGACGCCCAAGAGGTCATTGTCAACTTCAGAAAAGAATCCGAGTCGGTCACCAAAGCTCATCTTCATGAGAAACCCTCTGACAGCATCGGCCGATGTGTCACCTTTATCCAGGGCCTCCTGGCTTTTCCTAGCGGCTTCGGCGGTGTCGATTTTGAACATCGGCCATGGTTTCTCGGGTGCCAATTCTTTGGCATATGCAATGAATTCGTTCTGTGTCGCAGCGATAGTGTGGATCAGCAACCTCTTATTTTTGAATCGATCATCGTTGCGATGTTCAACGGCACTTGCAACTGCTTTCCCAATGTCTTCTCGGTGCGTCATACTGAGTTTTGCCTCACCATCGTCAAAGAACATTGTCGGCTTATCACCCTTTCCGACCGCATTAACTATCATGCCAATGCCCAATGCCCAGTCCAGAAACAGGCCAGTCATGATGGCAGTGTAAGTCGTCTTCGTGTCCGAGCTTGGGATCTTCGAGAATAGGTAATCTTCCATCTTGGCCTTCGTTGCCACAGAAGGGTTGCCATGAACTTCTGGGACCCTCGTGTCCAGTCCAAAGCAGGAAGGGATAATTTGCTCAACACCTGCTTCAAGTGCTGCATCAATCACCTTTATCTGTGCATCTGGCTGGTCACGGTTGATGAGGCTGACGACGCTTTGATGATCTCTCAATGCTTCCGTGAGACCTTCGGTCGAGGAGAAGTCAACCTCGACAATGGTGATCTGGTCATTTGAGGTGAACCCTTGCCTTGTTTTCGATGCGTCCCGGGTCACCAATGTTATCGAATACCCAAGTTTGAGCAATTCTTTGACGACTACTTGTCCCAATGTCCCATTAGGCTGTAGAAAATTAGTAAATCTAACACGAATGATATGTCACGATCATTGAACTGACCCCCACCACTGCAACTTTCGTACCTGTAGTACTTGCCATAGATGTGCCGTACAAATAAATAGCACAATTGAATTATTACAATGCTCAGAGTGGTGCTAGTGCTTAGCAGTTATTGAGTAGACAGATCTCAAATCACAAGTAAATAAACCCGAGGAGTAGTCCTCATATGTATTCGCCTAGCTTTGTGAAGCCTTTGATATCGCAGATGAGCCAGTCTCGGACAAAACGGGTGGCCCTATTGACCCCGGTATCTGATCACAACAATGAGAAACATCGAACCGCGGCCCAATCGGAATAGGCAACTTAATAACTGCCCCATGCTTACCTATATAGGCATTCTTTACGAGTCCGAGGGCCTTTTGAGCGCTCGGTCTCACTGAGGATATGCCAAAGCAGGTAGTTGGTAGGCCCGCCGACATACTGTAAAGTGTTCCCCTTCTCGGCAGTTGAATGTGTCAGCCATGACAAGATCCACGATTTATAGGGCAGCCTCGCTAGCCTTCGCGATTCGTTCTCGAACCCTCTCGTTGGCATTTTCGATCGCCACACGCGCGCCTCCCCAAGCCTTTCTCCTATCACTCTGGAACAGTCGCAGAAAATGAGGACTATATATTCCATCCATCAACATCTTACAGAATTCCTTGTCTTCATACCAGAACTTCCACCCAGTCAACCCGTAACCAAGATGATCGGATATATGGACGCCAGCCGCTTTCTCAGCCCATTCGGTCCACACTTGCGCATCAACAAACCTAGGATCCAGTTTCCCATGCGCGAGGATCCTATTCGCCCAGGCCATGTGCTTTGCATAGGACATTTGTCGCTGTTCTTTAGAGGGCATCAACTCTGGCTTCTTCCAGTATTGTGCAATGGCCTGTGATGCCAAGTCAGCACTCACAAAGATGGGAGTATGAAACGCTGCGAGTCCTGCAAAGGCGAGACTCTCTGGAAGATCCATAGAGAAAACGTTGCGGTATAGCCTAGGTATAGCCCTTTGATGCGGTCCTGCTTTGCCGGTGATTGTGGGGATGTGGCCTTCGTGCGATTCCAGCGTCGGGTCGTATTCCCCCAGGAAATCGTATCGCCAGCTATACCCCGTGCACCAGACAATGACGTCGACGTCAATCACAGAGTTATCTTCGAGCTCCAATTGCCGTTCTCCATTTACCTTCCTGAGCCCTGCGACTGACTCAATTCTGCCACTATGAAGTTCTGCAATGAGACTGTCGGACACGATGGGTAATGCATGAATCATGGATGGGGAGTCGAGTTTCCATTCAGGTTTGATTTCAAATGCTTCATCCTGACGCTTCTTGACGTACTTGTTGCTGATGTTCTCGGCGAAACTGGGTGCCCATTTGGCCATGGAAAATTGGATCTTCGTCATTCGATATGTGACACCCTGGTCTAGGATATTTCCATTTGGCATTTTTCTCGGTATCTGCAATAATCAGAGATGCCGAGCCAAAATACAGTGTATGGCCTTTACCACGAGTGCACCATGATGGTGCGATAAGTACACTTGTGAAGCAATGCCGCAAAGAGCTGTTGCTGTGTCGGCTGCGGTATTCCCGATTCCAACGACCACGACTCTCTTGTCTTGGAACATGGCTGGTCTGTGGCCCACAGCTGCCGTTAGAGTCTTTGATTAAATAAAAACATCTCAGTATGGATGATACCTTTTAAAGTCCTTCGAGTGCAGTATCTCTCCTTTGAAATCTTCTTGTCCTGTGAGTGTGGGGATCTTCGGCATATTATTGGTACCATTAGCAACGATTAATTTGTCAAATGTCTCCCGAGCTTCCTTGCCGTCAGATGTTCTCAAAGTGAGAGTCCATTTCTGCTGTTCCTTAACGCGATCGATTCGGAGGACTTCAGTCTTTAGACGAAAGTGGCTCTCAAGCTCGAAGTGCTTGGCATAATTGTCGAGATATTGCTGGACTTGCGCTGCGGAGGGGTGCGAGGGAATATCTGCGACTCGTCAGGGGTAATGGACATTGGTAGCATAGTCGCTAGGGAAGACTACCATCTGCGAAAGGAAAGTCGGTAAAGCAGCCCTAGCAGCGTCAATGCACAGGTCGACTTGGAGGGACTACCAACTGACTCTCTCTTTTGATATGTTTACAATGGTGGCTTGATTCCAATCAGTCCTTAAGATACAGAGCCACTGTGCACAAGCTCACATTCTAGTGCTGATGTTTGACTTGCTTCTGTAAATCTCCAAAGCCCTCCAATGGAATCATTCTTCTCGAAACCAGTGACATCAAAACCCTCTTCAAGCAAGTTCTTCAACGTGACAATGCCGAGTGCACCTTCCAAAAGGATCCCATTTCAGTATAAACGACAACATGAGTGACCATGAAACAGGTGGACCTACCCAATCCAATGATAGCAACAGTAGGCGTTGAGAGCGCCATACAGGGCCAGATGTTGAAGTCAGTTACGATTCCAGAGTGCTACTCTTGGGAAAACAGCGAACTCCGTCGAAGTCGAGCATGCTGGACAGCCCTGATCTTCTTGTACTGATTTTTTCCAAGAGCCTTCTTTGATAGCTGAATAAGCGAGCTGTGGCGCTTACTGCTTACCTACTAGACAGTAATGTAGAATGCTATTGCCGATTTCGGATTGAGGGCCATAAGCCGCCCAACTTGTGACATCTTTTTCCATGCAGCTATCCTCGCCTGACGCGGTTGTAGAATAGTCTCAGTCTGTGGCTAGTTGCTGTATTCGTGGACTATGTTTGGATCTCGATCGGCATCATTGGCGCCATGAGTCTTGAACCCACATGGTCCTCATTCTCATTCGCATTTGGTAAGTAATGGAAATGAAAGTTCCGCGACTCTACAGCGATGTCGGAGGTATGAATATCTTCTTGGGTATCATGTCGAGGAGCAGATATTGTTGATGGGAGACGGCAAGATTGCGACCAACTAGATAGTTCTATGGTATCCATCAAAGCAAGGGCGTAAGCTGGTGGTTAACTACCTCCCTACCTGAGGTCGAAAAGACTGGAAGCTTACTCCCTAAAAGTGGTCGGGGTTGCCCAGGTGGTCCGAGACTCCGAGCCGACCACGGGTTTGAAAACCCGCTTGATCCACTTACAGGGGCATGGCTTCAGGTAGGAGGCGGTCGAGGCGCCCCAAGTCTCAGGCCTGCCATCGGGTCGTTGTCAAGCATGTTAGTCAATCAAGTCAAGCACATGTCAAAAGTACTTTATCTGGTCGACCTCACCTTCCATCATCCGTTTCCACCATCAGATGTACAGGCTATTGATGCTGACCTAGGATATCTTGTAAATTCTTTGTCCTTACCATGGCCCATTTCTCATCGACACAATATAATTCAATTTCTAAGGAATATGACGCCGTGAATGGATTGCCTATATCAAAAGCCATCGTGATCAATGTCGAGCGTGTATTATCTCCACACATCAAAGGTGCAAAGGTATTAGAGCTGGCATGCGGGACAGGTTTTTTCACGCGTCATCTTCTCAGATGGGGAGCCACTTCAGTTGTCGGAATTGATATCTCGCAAGGAATGATAGATATTGCACAAGCTGATTTTTCAACAACACCTGATGCATCGAAATCCAAGTTCATGGTCGCAGACTGCACACAGCCATTCGACGTCGGCGCAGAAGGATATGATCTTGTGTTCGCAGCATGGTTGCTTAACTACTCTCCAGATGAAGCTACAGCGGCCGCTATCTTTGAGAACATTTCAAAGCACTTGAAACCTGGGGGTCGGCTAGTCACAGTGATGCCACACCCAGAAGAAGACCCGATAGTAAGTCGTGTGTGGCGTTTGAGCTCTGTGGCTTAACATATCATGATGGTTAGATCGCTCACAAAGTCCTTTTAGGTGTGCATAAACAAGCTCGATCCCGTTTTTGACAAAAAGTACGGATATAAAGTCGTACTCAAAGAGAAGCTAGAGGTTGGTTATCTTGTGCATTTATATTTCAGTACCGACCCGCCAGTGGACTTTGGGAATTATTTCTTACCCAAAAGTGTCTACGAGAAGGCGGCCAGAACCGGAAACATGAAGGGCCAGCTTTCTTGGGAGGATATCTCGCTCCCAAGTAACCACGACGAGGTCAACTCATATATGGCAGAACCAGTGCCGGAACGCTACTTCGATGACTGGTTGCAATATCCAGATTTTGGTATTCTTGTCGCAGAGAAATGACTGGGCAGATAATGATAAGCTGCAATTGCGTGTCCTTGTCCGGTGAAGGACAATGGCTCAATATTCGAAGGCAACGATTGATGTTTATACATCCCAGCTGCGGGTTAGTAAAGTCGGGCGTCTTTCCGCACATCATCATAATGTCAAGGCCCACTCACTTCTTTGAAAGCCTTGCACGAGGTTCGGCATCTGACAATCAACGCAGGCGTTGCAGCCACCGGAGTTCGTGAGCTTGATAGCCTCACTGCAGTGGGCATGAAGTGCCATCTTGTCATCTTGTCATGTTGTCTGCCTTTTATATCTCTCTCTGCGACTCTTCTCATCATCTATTGTAAGTTGCAAGACTTTCTATAGCTGATGTCCCTATGTCCCATGCCCCAAACTCTGGTTCTCTTGCGTGCGACACCTATCTAGCCATGACTTGTTGCTTTTGTATGGCCAAATACTGACCAGCAATGGCTCGTGGTAAGAGTATGGCCTTGTTCTAGCGAAGCTTCAATTGGGTTCAGCTCTGGTTATGGTCTTCCACAGTCGAATTGATGTATTTTTTATGAAGAAAGGACAATCAAGTATGAAATGCTTGATCGTTCAGCTTCGCCCACGGCTATTCATATGGCTTTGTTTGAGCCTCAGAGGTGGTAGCCTACCAGCACAAATGACCACCTCAGACGCTAAGACAAAGCCTTGACAACAGCCCGGGGAAGCACGACATTGATTTGCTTGTAGAAGATGAGACAGGGACAGGTCTGATCCCAAGTCATTGATGAAGCCTGTATATTAGGTTGCGCCCTTCTCGCCCGGTTTTGAAGCCCATCTGGACAGTTATACTGACCACTATTGTCTCCCATGGGTCGCAGCGCATGGGGATGGCCTTACCCCGTGATAGCTCAACGCCGAGACAAAACGAGATCCTTCTGGATGCCATTATCGTGGACACCGAGTGCTTTACGCCGAGCCATTGCAGAAGCAAGACTATCCACTAGGCTATGTCCCAGATCTCACTCTTCACTGTCTCTAACAACCCTTCTCACTATCTGTGGATGAGGATTCGAAGTCGCTAGACCCTTACCAATCACACAGATACTCTCGAATTCAGTAGATTGAGGTGCCTATCATGGAGCGATACAAAACCCACTCCAGACTATGTGCAAAAGCAGCGCCCTTCATCCCACGAGCACCGCTTGCGGTAGAGGTGAATTCGATGCCGGTTGCGATTTCGAGGGCCGTGCCCTTCGGCCATTACTATCAACCTAGTCATTCCCACGTTGGATATCCATCACAAGAACTAGAACAAGGCCACCCCAATAATGCACTCGAACAAGCTTACATTCCTCCAGGCCCGACCAATGACGACTTTGAGGCTGTACTGCCTCAAGGGGATCGACCTAATCCAGTCAACCGCCTACTTCAACTCCGCCATATCGTAGGTCAGGGGCATGCACCTCCAGAGGCATACGAACCTGGTCACTATATCAGCTCTAGCTTGAACCCAACAGCGCTGGAGACCAATCCTCACTGTCCTCCTGAGCAGTACCTTCTCAGTCAAATCAATCGAGAGGCCGAACACAACGATCCTATGGGTGGTCCTAGAAGAGATTGTTCCCACGCCTCAGGTTCAGACAGCGACATCAGCTCTTCAGGTGGACCAAGCACCGTGACAGTCGTTCCAGCCAACCACAACTATGCCATCACGACTCTTGAAGACCTGGTTCGCGAGAGCGAGAGCGAGCGCGACATCATGATCAACAACTTGAACGCGAACGACATTAATGCACAGTACAATAGGCCTTCTAAACCCGGCGATCTGATCCCCACGGCGATCTACTCTCCAGGTGGCACACTGCTTGGACTGGTGTACTACCCTACCTATCGCGACTTTCGATCCGAATATGAACGACAAGGACAACCGCAGCAAAAGAATCAACAAGCGCGGGGTAATAGAAAGTCGAGTCATGTTCGTACTGGACCTCTTGTGATGGCGACCTACACTGGCGCCTTCGGATGGCGTGCCAATCCGAGAAGATCATATGCAGCCACGAAATTTGGCGCAGTGGGTGAGTGGTTGCTTCCGCAAGCGGGGGATCAAGAGGGTGCGTTAGAAACGGCTGCTGCAGACGAACACGACTTGAACGGGGTCGAGGATCAGAATGGCAAGATTTGAAATGACCGCGGGGGAAGGGGGTGGAATGTAAGAACAATTTGTCCGTTGCTTGGAATGCAACTTCAGGAACAACCATGGTAGTTGGAGTAAAGAAAGTGCTATTGGAAAACTCTCGAGTCACCCTGAAACCAAGTGCTGACTTGCTTTCCATTGGACTAACGCCTGATGGGTATCAACCTCGTCCGTACTGAAATAGTCACAAGCCTTGTCAAAGTGTCCAAATGAAACTGGCGATTTGCCAGTCCAGAATCGTGAAAATTCATAAACTCATTCCATGTCCCCAGCAAGCCTAATCCCGTGATCGAACGCATCCACCCCAAGCACAGACCACCTTTCTGTTTTCAGCTTTCCGAGGCCGAGACTCCCTTCCTATCAACAAGGCTGTTGTCCGCGTCATTCATGACACTGGCCCCCGTAGCTTTCGCAGATTCTGCGCCAGACTTGGTCTCATCTAGCAGCGGAATGCGGTCGATGCTATTCCTTTTACCGTGACCGCCTTCTTGGGGTTTTCCATCGGCATCCAATGGTCCCAGGGGAGGGCTGAACACAGCGTCTGGACTGCTTTGCCACTTTGCAACATCTCGTTTCATTTGCTCGAGCTCTTTTTGGAACCGCTTGCCAAACACCTCCATGTAATAATTGGCACCATTCCAAACACTCCAGCTAAAGACGGTCATGAGAAATGCGGAACTACTCCAGCGAGACCAGAACCAAATTGGACATGGGAGAATGGTGAGTAGCGCATATGAGTATTGAATCAGCATGAATGCTGGCTCTTGTAAGACTGGAGGAAGTCCAATAACCGCTTTGCCAATCCAAGAGTTTGCGTATGACTTCCGAAGCCAGGTGAAAGACGTGGGACGTCCCGCGGCTATCTTTTCGCGCCTGCGAACAGTGATGAAGAAGTGATATGAGAGTTGCCAGATAGCATAAGGTACGGTGGCCCATATCAGCATCGCACCAAGCGAGTAGTGTTCAGGGGAACCAGCTTCGCTAAACTTGATATCATAAACCGCTGGAAACCGGTCACGAAGGATGTCAGCCGGCGTGAGATGAACAAGGCAGTGAAGAGTCACGGGTGGCATGACGTGGATAAAGAGGCTCGTAACCTTATCCAAGGAATGAAACACCAGCGAGTTGCGCCACATGGCAATAGCCACCGCATTGTTGCCATACGCCAAGCAATACGTGCTGATGAAAAGGCGTTTGGACCTCGGGGCAACCCAGATCGTCAACAAGCATAGCGCATTGACAAAATAGCATAGATCTGCCAGAAAGTAGTGATAACCTTTACGATGATAGGTGTAAAACCGAATGGGCATGAAATAGGCGATCTGAGCAGTGAACCAGAAGTAGAAGTATTGGGGGACACCACCGATAAGATAACCACTGATGAAGACATTCAGGACGGCGGAAATGAAGGAGACTTTCTCCTTGAGAGAGATGGTCGCTGTATCGTTCCATCTCTTGTTGATATTGTCAACAGATTTCTTCATCCGGCTCCGATACTTAGCCAGCTGCTCGTCGGTGGAGGGAACTCGTTTCCGCCATTCAGCCACGGCACGGTCTTTTGCATTGTTGCCAGTTGTCCTTATTCTCTCCTGGCTTTTGGAGAACTTCTCTTTTTGTGCGGAAATAGTAGCCTGCCAACGATCAAGTTTCGACGGTAAGGCGAGGTTATCGAAGATGTCGAAGAAGGTCAGCCTATCTAGAGGTACATCCCAGTCTTCCTGTAGGGACTGGCTCCCGATATAGGACGAGTTCCTCGACAAGAGGTAGGGACTGCTTGGAGTGGAAGACATGTAGCCTGGAGTATGTGAGTCTGGAGCCTCTGAAACGTTGCCTGAGATGTCTGGCGGGGTGGTATCATCGAAAGCTGGAGGTTCGGATTTGGACCGAGGAACGGATAAAGTGTCTGACATGGTGAAGCATGCGATGGTAAATGCGGATGGGCACGATATATAGGAACGTTGAGCAGGCAATGCCCACTACTGATACGGCAAATAGTTCCAGAGCGCTCTCACGACTTGACGTGGGGATGCTAGTTTCGAGATCGCTCAGAAGACGTTCAGACTAGCAGCATCGTATACCAGCTGACCATCGATATGGGTGTGCCACGCATTCTTTGTGTTGAATGATATGCTTTATTGTGATGAAGCGTGCTGGAGGGACGTAAATTCACTGGCCAGCAGCCTGAGCATGCCCTGATTCAGCAGGTACGGCCGATCGCTGAGCAAAGAACGCATAGTATTGCCAAGCAATACGGAGGAACTTTGGGCCCGCGCCCGGACGCGAAGGAACTACTTGTTCGCATCAAACTCCCACTCCAAGTTCAGGCCCAGGATTACTGATGGCTTCAACCAAGAGGTAGCGAAGTACGTCATACTTACAGCTAAAACCAGAAGGGATAGCAAAGGCGTAACTTGCCTGTTTCGCCAGTGAGCGACTGCTTCTACGATGATACGAACATGTTTCTTGAATCCTCCACGCCCTTAGTTCGACGTGGATTGCAATGGCTTACCAAGACAGATAGTTATCCCTCCCCTATATAACAGATTAACTTCCAGTGTTGGCTTCAAAAGCAGGTAGGTCAAGATTTCACTTGCGAGTCTGGTGGGCATCATGGCAACATCACGTTCAATCTCCATTACCTATGTCCCTGCGGACTGTGGTTCCATCATCCCTGGGAAGTCTAAGGCACCCAAGGCCTTCCAAGATGTCGGTATCGTCGAGAGACTTCATGAAGCAGGTTTCACGATCATTGAAGAGCACCACGCACTAGACAGACCGGCAACATACATCGCAACAAGTTTCACCCCGGGCGGTGTTCGGAATGAAGATGCCAATATCTCTGTCTGCGAGCGTGTACGAAGCACCATTGCAGGCAATTTGAAATCTTCCTCCAGCCAGATCCCATTCCAACTTATTCTTGGTGGTGAATGTTGCATGTCACCAGCCATTCTCACCGCATTGTGGCACCATGCGGATTCTCTTTCACCTCCACAGCGAGTTGGGCTACTTTACATCGATGCAGATACTGATCTCTCATCTCCAACTGACCCTGGCTGCACAGGGATCTTCGCGGGCATGAATATGACCCATCTTCTCCGGACGTCTGGCGCTATGCGGCGCATGGAACAGTTTTCCCGCTCTTCGGGCGAACCTGTCTGCGATCCCTCCAATATTGTACTTTTTGGCATGAATATGTCTGCCTCGGGAAATAAGTCGGAGCACTTTGCCTACCTCTTCGACAACAGTTACAAAGTTGTCAGCTCGGCATCCGTGGCACGGGCCCCGGAGCAACGTGCGCGGGAGGCGCTGAAATACCTGGAGGATGAGGTTGATGTTATAATGGTTCACTTGGATGTTGACTCTATCGATCCGCAATTGTTTCCACTCGCGAATGTACCGAATTTCACAGGAGTGACATTTGATGAGATGATGCAATCCCTGGGTGTATTCCTGAGGAGTGACAAAGTTATTGGGTTGACGATAGCCGAAGTCAATCCAGACCACGACCCTGGGTTGAGAATGGTGGAGCGATTGACGGCGGAGATAGTAGATATGTTGGGGGCACGAGGAAAGTGATGGGTTCCGAGTTACTGTTAATACGTGGACGCCTAGAGTGGCCCTTTAACGGAATCTATCAAGTGAACCCCCCTATCAAATACAAAGTGGGGCTCAAGTCTCTTTAGTATTAGCATGTGCTTTGATACTGCGATAACATAATCAGAAAGGATGAAATACGAGATGTCTGTCGTCCTTCGGCTGATTAGAGCAATGGTACGAGGAGCCCATATGACGGCTTGTAGGGAAAAGGTACAACAGGATCGAAGTATGGTATTCTGCCGCGAAGTGAGATCAACGCTGCTTTACCAGTGGATCTGATAAACCTGGTTAGATATTTGACTACTGTAATAGAGGCGACGAAAGCGCTGTGGCAGATCAGCACGTGACCGAAGCCGAATCTACCATTCAGTTGGAGATGGTTTTTGTCTACTGCGCATCCCGTACCACGTCGATGACCTCCAACAAACAGTTCAGTTTGTACACAGGGTTTATTACTGTACAATAACCATATCCTGGCTTCAATTGACTTGTCCCGTTGACCACTTCTCTCATTCTCCTTAGACCCACATTGTCCAAACTTCTCACATCCAAGAACGCAATCGTCTTTTCCTTTTCAACCCCAACAACATGGACCGCAGTCTGGATGAGACAATAGCTGAACGACAGGTATGTTGGATTCCTCTTCTCTTGCCTAGAATACGCTACTAGAGCCTTGGTCTAACATCAATGTAGAGGCAGCCGCGTGGCCCTCGTCGTGGAGGAGGCCAACCACCACGCAGCAACAGAGACTACAACTCCAATTCTCGCAATTATCCTCGCGATGGCATCAGAAAGGTACCATCCTCGACACTCTGTCTGCCTTTCGTCGATCTTTGTTCTCACAATCTTTGCATAGGTCCGAACCTCCTCTTCCTCTTTCCTCCATAACAACCACCTGTCCTGCCAGTCGGGTTGATTGCCGCTTCATCTCCAACATCCTCTGATGTGTTGCTTCGACTTTCGATCCCTATTTCAGGCCAGGCATGTTTGCCCTTCACTTTCAGCTAACCACGTATTCCCCCACAACAGTCTACAAAGGATGACCGAACAAACCTCGATAAGTAAGGGAAATCCATATTGAACGACATAGGCACTGCTGACTGGCTCAGCGACTGGGTTCATGACCGATACGAAGACGACCCTGACAGTATGCAACACTCCGGTGGCATTCTGCTATCACATGTTGACACTGTTTAGCATCACGCCGGCCCTATGAGAAGCCGAGAGAGCGAAGGGATCGCAGAGATGACCGTCGCGAAGACGATTACGAGCGCACCAAGTTGGTCTTGTCGATCCAATCTGCAGGTTGCTGAGGCTCACCCATGTCTAGAGAACCACCCCATGCCAAACTCCGAGTTGAAAATCTGAACTACGAATTGACTGAGGAGGATATCTACGTATGGCAATCCGTGCAAGTCCTTCCTCATGACCATCCTGACCAGTACAGGATCTCTTCACCCGTATCGCTCCGGTTCTGGATGCGAAGCTTCGCTATGATCGAGCTGGGCGATCTGATGGCATTGCCTTTGTCACTTACCAACATGTGGAAGACGCTAGAGTTGCAATACGTGAATTCGATGGCGCCAACGCAAAAGGACAACCAATCCGAATCACACTGCTTCCACCACCACGCCGCGACAATCCATTTGACAGAGTTGAGAACCCGAAAAGTTTGTTTGACCGAATCGAGGCCCCTGGTGGACGCGATCGAAGAAGAAGCGGAAGTCCGATTGGAGAGCTTGATGATGACCAGGGTGCACGCAGACGAGGTCCGGGGCCGCGAGACAGAAGGAGTGATGTTACAAAGCCTGCACCTGATGGTATCGATCGTTATATTCCTGGACAACGAGGAGGGAGAAGTTCTAGTCATCGTGGTGGTGGTCGACGCCCAGGTGAAAGACGCGAGCGTTCGACTCGAGACAATGAAGGTCAGAGGACGTCCAATGGGAGACCTCGGAAGACTGCTGAAGAGCTTGACGCTGAAATGGACGATTACTGGGGCGGCGGTGCTACTAAACCCGAAAACGGAACTGGCATAGGCGCTGTCCCGACTGTCTCTGGACCTGTCGGCGGTGATGACATTGACATGATTGAATGAAAAATTCATCCGAGTTGTTGATTTATCGACGAGACTTTCAGGATAACGGCGGCATGTATTGTAATGAGACTGAAAATCGACGGCCTGGAAAATAACACGATACCGCGGAGGGGTGGAAAAGTGGAACTTTCAGCCTTTGGAGAGCTATCGACGGCAATGCAGTCACAACCAATTCACTGCTGCGCGCACAATTACAACTTGTTCTCGAGACAACTTTGCCAGAGCTGACCCTCGCTTCAGTGCAACACACTTGTCTCGTATCTCTACTCAGTCCTCAGTTCTCAGTCCTTGGTGTGTCCCTTGCCCGGAAATACAGCATTCTTCTCTATCCTCCTAATTTCGAAAGCATGAAGTCCTCTACTGTATTCAATCCCTCGTCCGCTCCACTGCCCTTCGTGGCACGTGGAAACATGATGTACCCATGGGGACCCCCGGGAATGATTTTGACCACCGCCTCACCACCCGCCATCAACCACTTCGTACTCATGAACATGGTATCGTCCAAAAGACAGTCCTCGGTGCCACAGGTGAATAGCGCTGGGGGTAATTTACCCCTGAGCTTTTCCAAGTCCGCAAACAAGGGGCTGACAGAGGGATGCCGTTTCTCCTCGTCTGTCATTCCTGGCAGGAACACTTTAATGTAGTGGTCCATCAAGTCCCGATCCAGTACCAAGATCTCCGACTTCTGGAAGTTATACACGAAAGGTGTCCAGATCATGGAATAACACCCGAAGTGTAGGAGAAGACCCTTGAATCGGAATTGCGCGTAACGAGTATCTGCATGTTGTAGGAGATGCAGGGCGACCAACGCACCAAGATGTCCACCAGCACTTTCGCCGCCAACGAAACCCAGGGGAGCTCCAAACTGCTCCTGTGCGTTGTCGATCAACCACTCTGCCGCATCGTAACAATCATTGGGCCCGGCCGGGAAAGGATGCTCAGGTGCCAGTCGATAGCCAACTGAGAACGCCAGAACGCCTGTCTTGTCGGCAATGTCCTGCAAGAAGGGGTCCTGGGATTTTTCATCTTGTAACACCCAGCCGCCTCCGTGGATGTGGAGAAACACCGCTTTTATCGGTTTCCCATTCTGCGGGCGTAGAATTCGACACGGAATTGAACGACCTTTGTCCCGAGATGGAATGCTCGTTTGCTCTGCTGCGTCCAAATACGTGGCCTTGGGCAAGGGTGTTTCGCCTGCAGCCCGCATCTCTCGATACCTTTTGGCACCAACCTTTGAGACAACACGACAGATCAATGTAAGTATCAACTTATGCATCGTTGAAGTGAGCTAATTGAGTGAGGGACGCCTACCTCATACCACTTGGGTCCTTTGGACATGATATCCATCAATGACTGATTGAAAGCATGCGTTTCATCTGATATCGCTGCTGAGCCGAATAGGCTTGAATCAATACTCAGTGCGCTTGCCATGGTTTCGATTTCAAATTTAATTCAATAGAACGTCAAAGACTTTGAATATTGGTTGATGGTTGCTTGACACGTGTTTATTTATCGCACATAAGACAGTTTATTGTCAGTAACACTCTGGGGGGTACTAAGAGTATTCTCCTTCAGATATATTATATACGCAGTAGTATCTTGAAAAGCCATGGACCGATGGATATCTCCGCATCGCTGACTGATTTGTCTGTTCACCATCTATGGAGGTACCTATGTTTGTATCACCTCGGCGAGCTCCTCTTGCTCATCGCACCGTCATCAATGGGGTAGGCGTGCGGGGGCCATGGACCTTTCACCACCCATACGAGTTCGTCGCGGTGGTCAATTAACCGCCGCGGAGTTTACCTTGGTAATATGCTTGGGAATTCAAGCACTTGAAAGTAGCAATATACCCGCTATCATATCCTGGCAACGTTCCAATATGACAAAAGAAATCAGACCTCCGCGGTTATCTAAAAATGCTGCAAGTCGATAGGGCTCAGCCTCGGATCTAGAGGTGTCCGTCAAACACGATAAAAATGCCAAGCTCATATGGCCGGAAGGCTGGCGCTAGTGCTAAAAAGGCTAAGGTCGGGTCTGCTCCAAATACTGTGCCCTCGTAGGAAAATGCTTTGGAATCTTGCACAAGATTACTTCGAGATCTCGTATCTCCCTGAACAATCATCGCATTGGTCTGAAAGGGAGAACGCTGTGAGATACTACATAGTAAGTGAGAGAGTATTTGATCATCGGTCGTCCGAGTTTCTCACACCGCCGAGATTTCTTATTTGGCGAGCAAGCCGGGTGCCTCTTGCTTGAATTGGACGCGTGTCAACGCTGTGGAAGAAATCATAGACCTGGTCTGAGAAGTCCTCGAGTGCAGCAAGACTTTGCCGTTGCGTCTTTCTCATGGACGAGGACGAGCTAAGGGACTTCCTCCCAACCTCTTTCGGAGGTTCGGGAGGTGGATTTGACCCAGAAGCACAGATCGAGGCAGCGAGGCGGAAAGTGCCTGGGGCTGTGAAAACATTGAAACCCGCCAAGTCGACGAGTTCGAAGGACGAAAACAGCTCGGATGATGATTCAGACGACGACGACGACGACGAAGATGACTTTCCCACAAGTCACGAGATTGTCTTCAAAACACATAATCGCCCCATCACCACAATCACTGTAGATCCATCTGGATCACGGATGATAACAGGCTCGACGGACTGTACCATCAAACTACACGACTTTGCTACAATGACGCCGAACACTCTAAGGGCGTTCAAATCTGTCGATCCCTCGGCGACCAAACCGGCGACAAATTCTGAGACTCATCCAGTGCACATCGCGAAGTTCAACCCCAATTCACCTAGCCAAGTACTTGTCATATCCGCCACCCCTCAAGCAAGGATACTGTCTCGCGACGGTGAAACAAAGGTCGAATTCGTCAAGGGTGACATGTACCTTCGAGATATGAACATGACCAAAGGCCATATCAGTGAGATCACATGCGGGACGTGGCATCCAACAAATTACGATCTCTGTGTCACAGCCGGAACGGACAGTACGTTACGGGTTTGGGATGTCAACATGCGAATGAAGCAAAAGGATGTCATTGTCCACAAGTCGAAATTGGCAGGTTCTGCTGGACGGAGTCGAATGACTGCCGTGGCATGGGGCAGTCAAGTTGATGGGGGAAACAATCTCCTGGTCGCAGCGGCCCTAGATGGCACAATCTTGATGTGGGGGGGAGAAGGACCGTACACGCGACCAAGCGGCGAAATTAATAACGCACACACGCCGAACACCTGGACGAGTGGCATCGACATAAGTGCTGATGGTCGCTTGGTGGTCACGCGAGGTGGCGACGACACAATCAAGCTCTGGGACACCCGCAAATTCAAACAACCCGTGAACACGACCACACACACCTCGACATCGAGCCAGTACCCAACATCAAACATCCAATTCGCGCCCAACTCATCCTCCATCATTACAGGCTCCGAATCCGGCGATCTCTACATCCTCAACCCGGCAACACTCAAGCCTGAACTCGCCACTCCAATCACACCGGGCTCCTCGCTCATCACAGTCCTCTGGCACGAGAAACTCGACCAAATCCTAACAGGCAGTGCCAATGCAGAGACCCACGTACTCTTCAGTCCGAAGAACCCTCCAAACACCAAAAAGGGCGGTGCCTTGATGATCATGTCCAAAGCGCCGAAACGACACCACGTCGACGACGACCCAACACTCACAACCGACATGTCGCAAGGCGTATCTGGCGACGCGATCATCAACCCGGGCACAAGCAGCGAATCCATCCAAGGCCGCAGCACGTTTTCGTCGCGCCACCCGACCATCGGACTCACAGCGTCGGGGAAATCACGCGACCCGAGACGGCCGCACATTCCGGCGACGACGCCCTTCTCGAAGAACGCGCCCGACGAAAAATCCATCAGGGAGCGCATCCCGCTCAGCTCTATGCGCGAAGAGGATCCCCGCGAGGCGCTGCTCAAGTATGCGGATAAAGCCAAGAATGACCCTCTCTTCACGAATGCGTGGAAGGAAACGCAGCCGAAGACGATCTATGCGGAGTTGAGTGATGAGGATGAGGATGTGAAGGAGCCGAAGAAGAAGAAGGTCAAGTTCTGAAACGGGCATGTGTTTGTAACTCGAGAAGGGAAAAGAGAAGCATATGTAATTCGAAGTTCGCCCCGTACATCGGTGCTGTCATTAATACATAGTAGCTCGTTTTGCTATGACTTTTATCCGCTCCAAAGTTCGTACATATGCATGTGATTGGAACGTCCCTTCCTCAATAGCAAGAAAGCGTGGATCATGGTGATTCAGCCGCTAATCGAGTACAAGATCGAAGATCCAAGACGATAAAAATGTCTCCCATCCCAAAGACGATACTCATACAATGCAACTCCAAAGCCAGAATATCCAAATCCCAAATGTCCAAGTAGATCCATACCCCCATCTCCTGCGTTAGATAAGAGTCATGATTTCACTCTTTCAAAAAAGTGGAACAGTAGGAGGCTGCTCCTTGCTGTGCCCCCGAGTCGAGTAGTCTGTGACTTTCTGAAAGGGTTTGCACCTAGTCTTGCTTGAACTTCACGGGGGTTTCAAAATGCCCGAAAGTTTGTCTTGGGTGTCTGGAGTCATATCCTAAGGGTCTGACACAATGTCCTGAATGTCATTCATCATGTGTCATGCTTTCATCACTGGTATCTAATCCGAGACTGTTGGAATACTTCCTTGCGGACACCGTCCCGACGGTGAAATTATACTTTTGAATCATGCTGTCTTGAAAACGTCAAATATTGGTATGACCCACTTAGACCTGCTTCTCCGGATGGCCCATGATAGCTTCTTTGATTCCCTTTCTCGTTGGGCGTACCACACGCTTTAGACCGATCCAAGGTGTATTGATTGGCGATTCGCCAGTGTAAATGAGAAGATCGTACATGAAGCCCCCGAAGGTGCAGCCAATGAATGGACATATCATAGGGACCTGATAGAAATGTAATATCAGTATAAACTTTCTTCAATAAGAAGGCCTGAGAACAGGCGAACTGAGGTTGACGTACCCAGAAATAGTAGTCACCCGCGCTCCACACTTCATGGCCATATCCCACAAAATACGTGAACAATCGTGGCCCGAAATCTCGAGCAAGGTTAATCGCATAGCCAGTTTCCCAGCCGAGAGTGGCGCCGATGCCAAATATGAGGAAGAATAATCCGATGGGAATCAGGTTGCCAGCACCAAGGTTGGCATCATCCTTCATGGCGAAGATGACAAAGACCAGCACAAAACTTGCAATGATCTCCGAAAAGCACTGACCAGTTTTGCTGAGAAAGGGTTGTGGGTATGTATTGAAAACACCAGCTGTGGCGGTTTCGGAGTAGCCAGGCACAGTGCGAATTCCAGGACCGCCCTCGAACTCGTCAATTGCGGATTTGTAATTTCCGTAGATGACTGCCGCACCGCAGAAACAGCCCAGCACCTGTGCGGAAGCGTAGATGGGGAATTTCCACCAGGGAAATTTCCTGAAGAGACAATTGACGAACGTGATCGCCGGATTGAGATGGCCCCCAGCACAGCCAGCAACGTAGACTCCTAACATCACACCAATGCCCCATCTGTACAGGTTTAGCAAATGCTCAAGACCATTTGGAATGATGGACTTACCCCCACGAGATACTTTGATAGTCCCCTTTGTTCTGACTCGATGCTGGAAGATTTGGATTTGCGCTCAACATGACTTGTGCCACACTACCGTCACCAAACAGGATCATGATGAATGTACCCATAAACTCTGCGAATGGGTCTCGTAGTGTATGTCGCACTCGACTCCAGAACAGATTTTTGTGGTGCTGATAGTCCTCCTCGGCTTCATCGTACTTCAAGGTATTATCAATGGGAGGGCCGTGTTCTGCATGGTAAGGATAGTCATTGGTACTCTTCTTGCGGAGATGCTGATCATCTTCGCGGTGTGCAAAAGTGACTTCGTCGCTGGCTGGTTGCGATGAGGATGATGAATGTTGGGCGCGGATGACAGGCGGGTGAGAGGTAGGATGCTTTTGCTTGTCAAAATCATCCATGATGTTTGATAATTTATGTACGAAGTATGTCACTGGGGAAACAGGATTGTAATGGGAGGGAGAATAACAGGTACAGTTAGGTGAAGAAGAACGATGAGAGGGGCAAGGCATCAGCGCACGATATCAAAGTCAAACGCTCTGCTTATGTATGAGTAGTATGCTCATATGCGACCCGAGGCTCCGCTATCTCAAGCATCACATCACCAGACGGAAAAAGTGTTCGAATCTCATCCCGTGGTGGGCATGGCAAAGAATGGCTGCTCCACTGTTTCCAGAGACTACCAATATGACCACGCCACTCAGGCCTTCTTGGCCTGTAGCCTCGACGAATTTGTGATAGAGCATGCAGCACGAACGCTCTGTGCAGATGAGCTAACGTTTGAGACGCGGGGAATTTCGACTAGGACCAGGGGCTAAAGAGTCTCAATCGCGGTTGTTGCAATGGAAAAGCATTCATTTAGCAATGAATTGATGGGAATTTAGGAGGGAGGATTTCTGATGGTGGTAAGCAACGTCAGTGGCACTGACATCCTTGTAAAGATGGGGGCGGTATAGCTCCCGCAATGGGGCGCCCTCAACGGCCAAAGCTGCTGATTGGATATGTATAACGTCATGTATCGACCACAGATACGGGCGCCAAGAAAGACTGGTTCATGGGAAAATCCATAGAAGCCAGAGCCCACAGGGTTGCTTCGAATAGAACAATGTGTGAGGCTGGCAGAGAGTGTCGTTCTCCATTCACCGTTACAAGCGCCATGGCTATCAGTCCGGGATATTGATTGATCGACAATAAATGATCTAACAGAGGAGCATTTTGAGCAAAATTGGATCGGTGTTCGTGTCAAAGGCAGTCCGAAGAACTGATGTACGAGACGCCAGATGTTTCCATGTAGCCTGGATCGTCGATTGTCCAAAGTCCTACCTTATTTCTCATGCACATAACTTGTGATTCTAAGCAGGTGTAGCATTATTCATTATCGAGTTGAGAAGAAGCTCCGTGCTCATGTTCGCATGAGAAGTGCGATGTCCGAATTGACCTTTGGGCGCCTTTAATGCTCAACAGTCCTGACGTAATTTGCAAGGCGCAGATCCGCCGTCGTATTCATCGAGGAACATTCGCACACAGCATCATGGGCCAGAAGCATACAATCACTGGCGAATAATGATACCTTTGAATAGGCAATGCTTCGAGGATATTCAGCAGCTCGATTTGGTGCTCTTTGCAAAGCGTTGGTACCTGGTACATTGAAAGTGACCAGACAAGACGACGGATAAGATAGCCGGGTTCACGTGGAGATAAGAAAGATAAAGAACATTGCCAAGGATGAGGACAACTGACGCCATCCTCGGAGACGACATGAGATTGGGAGATTGGGACTGCGACCCCTTTAAGTATTGCTTCGAGCCTCAACCGCCGCCATTTTCTGATGGCCTTCTTGATCTGAAACTTTCTCTACGACAGAGCTTCAGATGGAAGCAAGAATTATCCTCATTGGGCAGGTCAACGGATTCATGTCCGTCTCCGACGGCCTGATGGAACTTTTAGGTCTCCACAACCCTCTGGATGAGGGGTAATTCTGGTATGAACAAGTCTGAATTTGTCGTTCGGGGATCAGGAAAATTATGAATCACGACATACATGTCTCGTGGACCTCCAGGCTTGTTTCAGTCCTTGTTCTTACTTGCCAGAAAGCTTTCTTTTAGCTTCCTCCTGCTGTATATAATCCCAAGATTTCAAGAAACAGAACCTGTACAGAAAAGTAGTCGCCGTTTTGGATTCGAAGAGCTTGCGCCATGTCGGATGCAGCCACAGCAGCAGCAAATACCCTACGGGCGAAGCAGAAGCCACTCAAGGACAAGTATCGAGCAGAGCCTTCGTCGGCCCTCGTAACGCTGTCCTCCTCTGGGAATCTTGATCCCACATCAACTAGCCTGACATGTTCATTGTCAACTGGAGCAGCGATTAGGAAGGTTGCAGGCCTGCACAAGGCGGCGGGAGGAGAGGGCTTTGACGCCTCGGGAGAACTTTGTTCGGGAGATATGCTCCTCGAATCTCTTGTCGCTTGTTTCGGAGTCACAGTCCGTGCGGTAGCCACCAGCCTCGGAATACCTTTGCAAGGGGGAACAATCATTGTGGAAGGAGATCTCGATTTCCGTGGGACTATGGGTGTGAAGGATCCAGAGGGCAACGCTGTGCCTGTGGGTTTCAAGAAGATCCGATTGATTGTCCGACTGGAAGTTGACGAAGAGCACCAATCGAAAGCGGAGAAGCTCATAGAGCTCAGTGAACGATATTGCGTTGTTCTTCAGACCTTGAAGGGGGTGGAAGTGGAAACAAAGCTGGGACATGTCGGTCAAGCCAGGCCTGATGCCAGGAGTGAAAATGGTACTAGTGAGAACCCGAAGGAGGAATCTGCAAATGGTCGAGATGTGCCTGCAAACGAAGATGTCATCAGGTTGAATTGAAGCTCTAGAATTGGCAACAAAGATATTGGGAGCTGGGCTCTTGAGACAGGCCGAACATTAAAAGCGGTGAAAAACTTGGAATCATCCAGTCTGCACCCATTGCAAAAACCCGTGGTTGAATTCTGGTTTCCAGCTTCAGTTCAGGAATTTCGTCCCCTGGTCATCACTAGCCCCGTCATTGACTGTCCCCTCTGCAGTTGCCATTGCACCTGATCGGGGATCTAATGCTTCAGAATATCAATAGTCAAGGAGCTTTATGATCTAGAGATAGTGCTTTTAGTCATCGATCTTTGTGGCATGTATTACATCCCCCAAAGAGGCTGTTTCATGAACGTGGACAAGTTTGATCATTTGGAGCAACCGTGGTGTCACCTGATAAGGCTGGCCTTGGCAGGAGTTTGAGATCAACACTCATGGGTGAGGCTGCGTGGCTGATCTTGTTGCGAATGCATACCTAGGAATTCTACGGTACTGGTCGAATGTCTCTGGTGGCGACCCGAGACCAAGCATGCCCGGTAAGTTCGATTCTGATGCCCATGGGAACATTCACATTCGTTTCCACCTTGAGATTTCAGGGTCTCACTGGGAGAAGCTCTGCAGGTGAATTCTGATTTCAAATGAGCAGCGTGAAACAATCAGTGACAAACCACATAAGCGACGGTCGATGTGGTTATGTTTCACCTCATCGAATCATCCCGGTGGTTTGCATTCAGTGAATCATTTCACTTGTTCTTCACCACATACCTCGTCATTCTACCCTCCATGTCTACCTATATAAACTCTCATCTTCTCCCTCCCATTTTCTTTCTCCTTCCAACTCTCTCTCCACACCATCTCTCCCCCTCTCCCCCTCTCCCCCTCCTCCTTCTCAAGCCTCCCTCTTCGTTTTCTTCATCCTCCCTCGCTACTTTCTTTGCATCTCATCTCTCTCCTTAACCCTCTCAGCTCCTCTCCTTCAACAATTTTCATCCTTTACCAAACTTGAAAGCTCCTCTTATGCCGATCGGCGAGAAAGAAGTTTTACTCAACCTTTACCACAGATGCATTCTGAGAGCAGCAGATTCCAATGATGTTGAAATTCAACCATTCGGAAAAGTGGTCGACGACGAAGAAGACTGAAAATAATGAATCGCGTGACTCCGACGGTGATTCTGAACAGGACGACATTATAGGCGACAATTCTGGCCTTACATATTCAACGCGTCGTGGCCACAAGAATGACAAGGATAATGACGAGACTATCGAATTGAGCACGCTGACGATGGCTCTCTCCACTGACAGCAATGATGAGCTCGCCGATATGCGGTCTGAAGTTATTGAAGAGGGCGACTGACACCACACTCAGTCACACCAAGATTTGGGTATTTCTTCACTATGTCCTTCCTAGTTTTGTCCTTCTCATATGCCAGTCTTGTTGTGCTGGAGAAACTACTCGTATCGACTTGATGAACTGGATGGAGTGATTCCCATGTACCGGCGTTCGTGACAAGAAGTTTTGCCCATACTGGACCAGGGACATCACGGGCGTATTGGTACAGCCCGTAGATGGTGATTGTGATTTTTCGATTGCCAGCTTCTTTCAGGAGGTCTCCAGAGGGAGGTGGTACGTTTTCGCCGCCATCGAGGGTACTATGGGGCTCAATGATAAGACTCCCCTTCCCAGTATATATAGGTAACTAACGGTCACGCTTAGTCACTGGTCATGGCACAAGTTGAGTTCGTGATGCGCGAATCAGTCAACTCAATGGGTGACTGAAGTTGCTGCAAACGAACCCAGGCATGGCTGGATGGCGAGACCATGATTGCAAATATGTCTGTCAAATACTCGAGACTTGACACCTCGAAGATCACAATCGAAGAAGTCAACAATGACATTGAGGTGATGGCAGCCCATTGGAGCGTGCGACTAGGAGCTCAGATGAGAAGATATGCAGCACTCAACCGCAGCATGGCTGAGGCTGATCACATTTGTCGATCAGTCGCAGTTGGCTCCGATGATGGAAATGAAAACGGGGTTGTGATTCCCAAAGATTTCTATTTGCTGCCTCGCCTCAGTCAGACGATCCAGAACATGACCCAAGATGCCGACTTCATGTACAAACTATTCGACCCCGTTTGCAATGATATCTTGGAAGCGATTGAATTCTGGAAGAAGTCAACATCACAGAAGCAGAGTGTTGTCATGGCCAAGATACAGGCTTTGAGTATCGCGTGCCTTCTTTCAAGATCAGACACCGATCATCGGGTCCAATTTGACCCGTTCATTGGATTTTCACAGATGCGGACCCAGACCTACGACGTCAAACAAATCAAGCTCACTGCTGGCATTGCGAACAATTTCAGAGCCGCACCCAACACACCAAATGCTCTCTCATGCTTTTGCATCAAGCAATGTGGCAACTGTGGCGACCAATCTAAGCCATGGCTTTCCACCTGTTCGACACAAGATTGACGACAACCTGTACACGAATTTGAGCTTTGGTGACTACTTCGGAGATATGGGAATTTGGGATATCGCCACTCACCAGCGAAGGATTTGAAGACAAGGCGTGGTTTGAACCTGGAAAAACACAAGCTAAACATCTCTCCTTTTGATTCACATAGCCAATCAAACAAAATGACTAACCGGAGAGAACTGTTCTTTGTTCTTTGATTTCGTTGTCCCCGCAAACCCTTGGCATGTCTGATGGCACTTCCCACCTCCTACTAGTACCTAGGGAGGTAGGTAGGGACCTCAGGGCAGCGCGCTCCCGGTTTAGTTGGAGCCTTTTCCTTCCATAATCAACCGTATTGAATCGCCCTATCAATGCGGGCTTCCTGCGTGATTTCTGTCGGACTGAAATACATTCCGGGAGGACGCCTTGTAAAGATCAGTGTCCACAACTGCAGCACCCCCAATTCTATGGACTTTCGTTCGGTAGGCGGTGGTATTTGCGTGAGCGGAGCATGCAGAGGGGTATGCTCTGGGTATTTTTGGAGCGCATCAGATGCTGATCTGGTGCTCGTCGACGTTGAACCAGTGGAGGGGAAATCCTGAATGAAGTAAATGCAAGCATCGATCGTAATACCGCAGCTTCGTCTCACAGCTGTGACCATGAGCACGTGAGGAAGATTCATTTGTGAGCTCCGGCAATCATATAAGTAAGCACCCAGAACCCAGAAATCTTTGTTTGGTCGAGTATTGATACAGAAGCTTTCTCATGCTCATGGCTATTCAACTTTCCTCACCAAAAGGATAGTTGAACTTCAACAACCCATTCAGACCCCCCACCCAGCCATCATCAGAATCAGCACCAGCATTAACTCGCCGCATGATGCAGGGTATTCCACCTGTGAGAATCCCGGCTTCGCTCCTCACAGTCTCGCCTGAGACCCGGAGTTCAGTGCCAACGCCAATACCATCTGTGCGTCTTACACCATCAACACTGACTTCAACCTCTCGACCACGATTCTTTTCACTCAATTTCAGAGTAATAGGTGTTGTTGCTGGCAAGACAAGCGGTCTGAAGCTCAGACTTCTTGGGCATATTGGAGTCAATAGTAGAGAAGACACCAGTGGATGAATGATACTACCACCACTGCTGAGACTGTACGCAGTACTACCAGTGGGGGTGGAAATAATCATACCATCGGCAACAGCTTCGGTGAGAAAGCGGCCACCCACATACACATCGACAATAGCAAGATGTGGATCTCGCCCTCTATGCAAGATTACCTCATTCATGGCATGCATGTCATGCAAAACATCCCCGTTGTTGCTCAATCGATTGCCTTGGGCATCAAACACCCCGACTTTGAGACGCTGTCGTACCAAGATTCGAGCACTTCTTGTTGAGCCCATTGACTTGCCCCTTACAGAGGACCAACCCGTGAAATGGCTTTTTGATTCTGGCAAGTCGGGATCTTTATTCTCGATGAGAGCCTGACGTTCAGAAGCAGATCCGGACATGTATACCTCGCGAAAAGCTCGTTTATGTTCACTGAACTTCCACTCTCCCAAGAAACCCAAGGTGCCCATGCTGAATGAGAGAATTGGGGGAACTTTATCTGAGGTTGCAAACAAAGAAGCAGCGTGCAAAATGGTGCCATCACCTCCGAAGGTGACGACCAAGTCTGCTTTCCGGTGGATTTCTTTTGCGGATTGAGTGTTGTTCGCCGCGGTGAATGTTTGAGCTGGTAAGTCGCGGCCTAGATTTGCCGCTACTTGTGGCTCAACCAATATATTGACGTCTGGATAGGTGGAGGTGACATGCTTGGCGAACTCTTTGAGTGCGTCGGTAGCATCGTCTGAGCAGTCCTTTTTGATCAACAGGATGTTCCGAGGAGGCTGATGCCATTCAAGACAGAGGAGTTCATTGGCAGGAGTTTGCTTCAAATGGAAGCCTCCACGATCAGGCAAACCGCTGAATGGAAATTTGTTCGAGCGGGGAATAGTGGAAGAGAATGGTCGATATTGCGATGATGAGAGTAGAGACGATGCGCTGAAGATGGCTTTGTCTTTGCGTGGAATAAATGAACGCTGAGTGCTGGGGAAGAGAGATCTAGTACATATGAGTGTCGAGATCCGTAATTTCGGCGCGCGCCTGGTCATCATCAGGAGTGTCACGAAAGTGTAGTTCTGGTCGTTGATGGTTCATTCAGAGAAGCGAAGTTGAGTATGGTTTGCAATGGCCAAGCTATCCCCAGCGGCGAAAGCGACTAAGGCCAGACCAAGTGGCAAGGCGCGAATTGCTAATATAGTACATAAGAACGATCCAAACGATCTAGTGAAAAGAGCGACCCAAAAACCAAGGAGATATATCAAAGCATACAGGTTGAAAATAGTGTCGAGTTTCGATCTCAGAATACGCGAGGAGGTGATGACACCGGTCACATGATTCTATCACGTGACATTTCTCATTGCTGAGTCAGCCGGGTTCGGCGTCACGGATAGAATGCAGCCGAATAATAAGCGTGCGGATCAGGCGGACGATGACCACCACTTGCACGTCGTCTGTCCGCAGCCTCATCACTGCGTGGCATCCGGCAACATTGATGGAGCGTGCACAAGACACACTCAGACTTTCAGCTTCTACCAAATTGACAAACTATCGATTCTCTAGAATAATGACTCATTCTTTTTGACGTCTCTATCGTTTCTCGCTCCTCGTATTTCGCTTTCCTCTGCAACACAAACCTCGAACAATGACATCTCTTCCCTGACACATTTAGTGCCTAACTCCGCCTACAGATTGGTGCCTGGTACAGCCTCCACCAGATGCCTCACACCCACGTGCCCGAGACCAAACCTCAGTGCAAGACATTTCGAGGATACTGCTCCTATAACTATCGATCTCCTTACTGGTAGCCTCTTCTTGTTGTCAAACTACCCCCTTGAAACCCAAACCACCAGACGATCATGGATACCACCAGTGATGATGCGCTAAGAAAGCGCACTTCTCAGTCCACTGCGAAAACCAACGGGCATGACAATATACCCAAAACCAATGGAGTGACGAGTGATCTACTAAAGAAGCATGGTCATCCCGCAGGAGAAATTAAGCATGGAACATTGACACAGATCGTTCGGGCAATTCTCCTGACAACATTCTTGAATTGTTGTACGTTCAGCATCGCTGCCACACAATTCCTTGGTGCGCCTCTGTATTGGTACAACCGAGACTATTACTACGCATACATGGCTCTAACAAAGCAATCTTTTGGAATCTGTGGCACTGCAGGTACCAAAGTATTTGCCCCGACCAAAGTTCGAGTGAGTTGGGACCCAGAATTAAAGGGACAATTTCGCGTCTCGAGCACGGGTCGATTGGAGACATCATTCCCAGAGAGACTGGTGTATGTCGCCAATCATCAAGTCTACACAGAATGGCTATATCTCTGGTGGATAGCGTACACCAGCCGCATGCACGGACACATCTACATCATCCTCAAGGAATCTCTCAAGTATGTCCCAATTCTCGGTCCTGGTATGATGTTTTATGGATTCATCTTCATGGCCCGGAAATGGGTGTCAGACAAACCACGTCTACAACATCGCCTGGAGAAATTAAAAACTCGACATAGCGGCCCGCTGTCCGGTTCCTCAAGTCTGGACCCCATGTGGCTATTGATCTTTCCTGAAGGCACCAATCTGTCCCGCAATACCGTCAAAGGTAGTGCAAAGTGGGCCGAGAAGCAGGGCATTCCCAACACCAGACATGTACTTCTTCCACGAAGCACTGGACTGTTTTTCTGTCTGCAGCAGTTAAAAGGCACAGTTGACTGGGTGTACGATTGTACCATCGCGTACGAAGGCACTCCGTAAGTTGTCTTCTTGCTATCCGAAGTTCCGGACTGACTTTATCCCATAGAAAAGGGGGGTTTGCCCCTGAATACTTCACCATTCGTTCCACCTATCTGCAAGGCCGACCTCCCAAGTGCACGAATATGTACTGGCGACGATTTGCCGTTTCCAGCATTCCACTCTCCGACGCCAAAGAGTTTGACGAATGGTTGCTAGCTCGATGGCGCGAGAAGGATGATTTGTTGGAGCAGTGGTATAACACAGGTCTCTTTCCAAGCGACGTCAATTCTGCAGATCAATCAAAAGGTATATCTAAGACCGGCTTTATTGAAACTGAAATCAGACTCAACAGCTGGTTGGAGATCGGTCAGATCTTTGTCGTTCTCGCAGCTGCGGCCCTGGTGGTTAATGTGGTTCTGAAGTTCTTTGGGTTGTTTATGACTTTGAAATGATTGATAGATTGGTGTCGCCACTGTTGGTCCTATGGTTGGGTCCTGTTCTATGTGGCTTCGGATAATTACGAAAATCATGATGGCGGAAGACTGGTTTGCATTGGATGAAGGAGTAGTTACCTAGAGACCTAGGTACTTATTGGGCTGCATAAATCTGATACCTGCCAGAGGACAGAATGCAAATGGGTAGATGATGCAGATTCTGCTGGTCTCATATAGCGGAGCGCTCTACTCTAGACAACGACTCAATGTTGTCGATATGGCTCTAATTTCTTAGCCTCCATGTCAGTTACTTACCTTAGCTATCTAGGTACCTAATGAATGGCTTTGTTGAGACCCCCTAACAAGCATAATCGTCGGCCGAAGACCGGAGAGTAAATGGTCCGGTCTTGGCACGGAAATGACAGTGCCCCTCAATTCGATGCCGATTCTTCCCCTCACTACTGCTGCTGCTACTGACTTCATTCCGTGCTTTCCTCCATTGTCATTGTGGGTGCTGGATTACGCCTTCTCTCGTCCTCCTTTTGCTGTTCGTCTAAACACAAATTCTTCTTAGATTCTCGATCATCACACACTCTTGATACCTCAATCCATCAAAATCAATCTACCAAAACATACCGACAATATGGTCAAAGCAGGTCAGTCGAGTCTCGGTCCTCCTTCTCCCATCCCCGCACTTCCTAGGGTTGAGATGCTGCTGGCTGCATTTTGTCAGCACGTCTTCTCGAACCATTGACACCGAACCTACTCAATAATCCCTCTTCCCTGGCTCTAAATCCCCAATCAGCCATGGAAGTTCAGCAACTTCTGACACCTAAGTCCTATAGTTGCCGTTCTCCGAGGAGACTCCAAGGTCACTGGCCAAGTAACCTTCGAGCAAGCCGACGAGAACTCTCCTACCACCATTAGCTGGGATATCACCGGTCATGACCCAAATGCCGAGCGAGGCTTCCATATTCATCAGTTCGGTGACAACACGAATGGCTGCACCAGTGCTGGACCTCATTGTATGTCCGAACCCTCCTACAGACTACAAACGAGAGAGGTTATGGGCTGACAGTTGCAACAGATAACCCACATGGAAAGACACATGGTGCTCCATCCGACACTGAACGTCACGTTGGTGATCTAGGCAACATCAAGACCGATGCCCAGGGAAATGCAAAGGGCAGCGTCACCGATAGCTTGATCAAGCTCATTGGTGAACAGAGCGTCCTAGGTGTACGTTCTCCCAACTTGAAACCTCCTTTGGATTGGAAGTGCAGAGAGCTAATATTTGCACTATAGCGCACTGTTGTCACCCATGCTGGCACCGATGATCTCGGCCAGGGCGGGACCGAGGAGAGCAAGAAGACCGGCAGCGCTGGTCCACGACCCGCCTGCGGTGTCATTGGCCTCGCCGCATAAACCCACCTAATCTGGAACACATTCATCAACATGCAACTTGTCAGGAATTTGTCTCCGAGTGATCTCCATCTGAGTCTCAAGCAGTGTACAACTTCCAAAGAGAGATGTTACAGATAACGCTGGATGACCACTTCTGTGCCAGAGAATTGTCTTGTTTGAGAAGTTATGTCCTAATGTTCACGACAACACATCAAAAGCTAGTCCTTGTGTACCAAACTCTGTACGGTAGATAGCAAGCAACATAAATATCAAAATGGTCGTTGAACACAATATATCTCTATATACAAAGAAACATTCTTTTTCAAACTTTAGCTCTTCATGACACCAATGGAGGTACGATTAACAAAAGAGATGGGATGCTCTTGCTTGGATGAGACATCGAGGTCATCAAAACACAATCCAGGGTCTCCATCCACAATTAACATTGTAGTTAGCAGCTGTGCAATGTCGAGCAAGAGTCCGGTCCGGCACTCCACAAAAAATATATCAATAACAATGGTATATGGTATATAGAACGATGTCGGAGCAAGCTACTACGAGCGAGAGAGACCACGCAATCCTGTCGTTGCTGTCCCTCCTCCTCCTCCTCCTCCTCCTCCTCTTCCTCCGCCCTTCTCATCGAAGATGCTCATATCTCAGACCAAAGTCGCAACCAACCAACAAACCAGACAGTGACTCGGTCAGTCACTCTTCCCCACCCTATTTCGCGTCCATGGGGGATAACCGAGCACACCTACATACAGAGGGGCTATTGCAAACACGGTGTCATCCATCGCAGTGCCAGTGCGGTTGCTGTCCGGGTTCGACAAAGTAGACAGACAGATAGGCAGATCCTGATCCAACCGAAACCCCGTAAACCCCCGCCCAGGTTCCAATGCCAAATCCAGAGAGAGTCCAATCCTTACCGGCCAGCTGTATCTCGACGTGAACCTACAGACATGCAGTCGCCTGTTCTGTTCAGTTCAGGTCTGCTCTGGTCTGCGTTCTCAAACATCAGACAGACTGACAGACGGACAGACAGCAAAAACACGTCAACCCAGTCTCCCTCCTCCCTCCCCTTCTCCCTTCCCATTCAATCTACCAGACCGCACAGACTCACGACTTGACTTCGGCCGCAGTGACAAAGCGCTCGATAGGGGGCCGGCCGAGTTTCTCCGACTCGATGGCCAGGCCTTTACTGGCGTCGCTGGCGACGAGGACTTCCGGGTGGGCGGCGTGGCCGTTGGCCGTCGCGGGGATCTCGGATACGGACTCTTGCGACAGTGCCTGTGCGACTGCCTCATTCATCTTCTTGACGTGCTCTGGGAGAGGTCCGGATTGCGGGAGTGCTGGAGGGTGGGCGTGGGGTTTGCTTTCCGTCTGGGGTTGGGCGTCTGATGATGTTGTGGGTGGTGCTGGGACGGCGGCGACTGCTGGTGTTGGGTTGGTGGGTGCTGCTGGTTCTTGTTGTGGTTGTGCGGTCTCAGGGGGTGCTACTGAGATGTTGCTCTTCGAGGAGAGATATTCGGCCGTCACGGCTGGATGGGCCGGTTGGTGATCGGGCAGGTGCACGGCGGAACCGTCAGCTGCGGCTCGCAGATTTTTGCCCTCGGTGTCGACTTCCTTTGCGGGCTCTGTGCTGGCTGGTTGTGTCACCGGTGGAGGTGCTAGCGATGTCGAAGTCGGCGATTCTGCAGTCTGGCTTTCGGGCTCAGTCTTGTCGGTTATTATGGCTGCTTGAGTCGCTCCTCCTGGTGCGGCCGTCTCCGCTGCAGCTTCGGCTTGTTGATGTGATTGCGCGGTTGCATTCGTCTTTGCTGGTTTCGTGCTTCCCTTGGACAGTTTGCGATCTGGATGGACTGGTACTTCGGTATAATCTGCTGCATAGACGATGGGTAATTTGGCCTCGACATCGCTGTCTGGTCTTCTCAGCTTGCCTTTCTCAGCACCAACCACCAGTCTTTGATTATCGAGCCAGAGAGCAGGGCCTTTAACCCAGCCTTTGTTTCCATCTCTTTCCAGTGCCGTTCGTGTCTCGTCGTCCAAGTGTGGTAGATCGCCCCAATTCCACTCGAGATCACCTCCGTATCTTTTGGGGAAGTCCTTGGGATCGATGAAGGTGGAGAGGGTGGATTTGACTTCATGTTTGCCGAGAATGAAGATTTTGGAGACGGTGACTGGATCGAACCATCGTTTGATCCAGCCCCAGACGGTGGGAAAGAAAGCGGGTGCTCCGATTATCTAGTCGAGTCCATTGATTAGTTTCAGAATGATAGAGAGATGGCTCGCTCAACTCACAAATATCCTGTCAAGTGTCTCTGGGTAGTGTGCTGTGGCTAATACACTGGCATCCTGCATGTGGGCTTTCAAATTCCAAAACTGCGTCAGACCAACACCGGAGATGTCGACAATGTTGGTAGAGTTCGTGACTGGGACTTCTGGGTTGGGTCGTTCGAGGGTTGAGACGAAAGGCATGACGAAATTAAGTAGATTTTGGTAGAGAGCGAACAGAGGGATTAACTTTGCAGGAGTGGCGAGGGTCTTGTGGTAGGGAAGGCTGTCTTTGTATGCTTGCGACTCTTTCTGGTATTTGGCGACATTCTTGCCGTCGAGGCCCTTGATGTGGTAGACGTAGATGGGAATGCCTCGCTTATCGCGGTGGCCGGTCCACTGAGGGTACTGTTTTGAGGATGAATTAGCTCACAACCCCAGAAAGCGCAGTGGATTCGCAAGATTGCACTCACCATCAGACGGGCTCGCTCGTAGAAGTCGACATCAAAGTGATCGTAGAGCTCGACGACGCGCTGCTCCTTCATCCATTTCTCGGTGTCGGTGAATTGTCCAATCGCGCCTGCGATGTCGAACTTGCGGGCTCGCAAATAACGACTTTTGGGGAGATTTGCAATTAGTATCCAGTGTGGAAATGGGATTGCACAATGAGGTCTTACAGCAACGTCCCGTCGTCATGCGTGGGCTTCCCATTTATCCCGTCAGGCGACCACCAGCCACCCTTTTCCAACTGCGCCTTGAAATCTTCCAGTCGTTGTTCTTGTGCAGGCGTAAGATGGTTTAGTGTCCCAGTAAGAGGATCGGTGGTGGTGGTCTTGGTCAAGGTGTTTTGAACGGTGGCGGTCGAGTGTTCGGAGTGATGCGACTTTTGGGACTGACTGGTGAGGGTCCTGTATAGATTCGTCGCCATGTTTCCCAAACAGTCTCGTGGTGTTTTTCCCTCTTGTGTGGAGAAGCCAGTCAAGTGGGAAAGTTGGAGTATCTAAATTAGCTCGAGACCAACTCGAAACTCTGAATTGTTGTCGGAGGAAAGTTGAGTGACTCTCGGCCGTTGGGTGCGCCCGCCGTTGAGCCTCGTATCCTTCTATTCCAGAGCCGCCGACGAAGAACGGGAGGAGAAGAGCGACAGCGACAGCGACAGCGACAGCGGAGGCTTAATGGAGGGGAAACCTGTGGAGAGGAGGAGCGAGCGGTGCTTGGCTTCAACAGGATTTAATTAGGGAGCAGGATGAGGAGGAGGATGAAGACACAAGAAAGAATGAAGAAGAGGATTATTACAGGATTACAGATGAGGTTATTGCTACTAAGAGTAAGTCCAAGATGTCAAGAATCTAAATGTAGCAGAGTTAGGTAATTGTCCCAGAAACTAACTAATTCAGGCGTGCCGACAGATGCGAGGAGATCCCAAGAGCTAGAGAGGAATGGTGCTTAGGTACGGGATAGTGTGAGATGAGATGAGAAGAGATGGATGTCCAAGTGCTATTGACTCGCACGAGATCCCACAGATAAGACCGACGAGTACAAACACCTCGTGTCCATCATGGTTAAACTATATGGTTCGGAGTGACCGGCCGCGGACAAAGGGCGGTTCTACGAGTAAGGACGAGAGGGGATGAGATAGGCAGAGCAGGCATGGGGACACCTGGGGCATTCATCTCGGAATTGCACGTATTATTACTATACAGGCCCAAGAAGCCCCAAGCAAAAGCCGAGCGGTGAGTGCAGCACGAGCAACAAGTGGAAGGGAGAGTAAGTAGGTATCAGCGTCAACGTCATCGACAGGAAGCTCATGGAACAACTTGAAGTCAAAACTCTGTGATTGCTGATATCATCATGGCAATCGTGCCGCCAACAGCCGCCGTCTCGGAGCACCAACAATTATGGTCCCGGTTCCCCATGCCATCCATGCAATGCACAACCATATCGACTTTTATCCAGCCTGCATAATTTACCCACTCCATTTCCATTTATTTGAAGGACCTTCATGTTCCGATTCATTTCGTAGAATGTCAAAACTCAAGATTAATGGCTCATAGCTGAAGTCAACTGGCGATGACTTTTCATTCGCCTGTCAGCTGAAGTCATGAACCTTGGTCTAGTCCCGAGAAACGAGGTAAGCAACCTTGTTATGGGAGCCCAAAGGTTTGGTGCCTCGGAATCTCGGGAGGCCTCACTCACGCAAGGCTGGCCACATGCAGAAATCGGACCAACCCAATCTCATGTTAATTATAACTATCATCATCACGTTCAAAGTCATGGTCAAATTCTCTCCGGACCGGCCCATTTGCTAGTCATCCCTGTCTCAAGAGGAATCGTCTAGCTCAGGCACCTGCATCATGCACGTTCGCATCTGCCGGGTTCCAAACCACGGTCTGGACATGGCTAGCCCTAGCCTCCACGGACTGAAAAGAAACCTCATCTAGTCCTCAGTCAAGTCTCCATATTCCCACATACCGCGACGTGCTTTCTTGGCCTCTTCTTGTAGTTTTCCCAGTTGGCTCAGTGTCTCAGTTGCCTGCCGTTCCCATCCCTTGAGTTTCGTCGGAATCATAGCAAGACCCTCGCGTACCACTTCAGCATTGATACTTTCTTCAATCTTGGTAGAGATCTTAGGGTCGAAAAGCGTAACGTAGAGTGTGCCATCGACAATATAGTCGACATTCGCTACCAACTCTCGACCATCAGTCTCCTCCCCAATAAAGCCTACCGCATCCGGTAAGTATTGCTGCGAGGTGGGCAATTGTATAAATGACAGCACTGCATCGGTCGCTTGAGGCTTGAGCTTTTGTGTCGAAAATTGCGGTTGACTCAGTGGTCGTAGTCGAGAGAATGGTACCGTCTCCGAGTTGCCATAGTCGAGATACGTCACATCTACCTTCTTGCCTTCACGATCAACCCTTCGAACCTTGGCTCGATACCATTCGTTATCCACGGTGAATTTGCCAGCAACAAGATCTCCAACCTTGGGAGGTCCTGCTAATGGCTGGTCGTTGGCTTTGTTGAGATGGAATGACTTGAACGCATTCATCAACTCCGTCAACGCCCCAGTTCCACTGCCAACTTGTTGGATCTTCAGTTTTCCTGCCTCGTCAACATGGGTCACCACCACATCACGATAGTCCTTTTTCCGTGGAGCGGCCTCGGCAGCATCTCCATTGGTTCCATTCGAAGGCACTGGTTGTTCTTCCACCTCCGCATCTTTGCTAGGATCCCAATCGTGCCACATTCCTTTGCGTCCTTCCTTGGCCTTTTTCTCGGCCGCAAACAGCTCATTCGCATTGCCACTTTGCTCAGCAGAGTAAGCATGTACTTCAGCCAATCCTTCTTCCACCAGTGCTCTAGCAAAGTTCTCGCGTCCAACGTACAGGGTTCCAATAAAACCGCCGACTTTGTCCGTGGTTTCCACATCGATTTCCACATCTCTTTGCAGAGTTCTGCGATTCGCGAATTCCAAAGCTTCCTGTCCAAATGGCTCAGCTGCCTCACCTGACTGACGAGCAGGCTTGGGAGTGCGAATTCCAGAAAGGACGAACGTCAGCTTGGCATTCTCTCGAGGGACCAGTACCACAAATCGAGCACCAGACCGCACAAAGTCGACCACAGCTGGAACTTTCTTTTGACGTTGTAGTACTGATGCTTCCATCTTGGCTTTTTGTAGGCTTTCCGAGTAATCTTGATATTGCTTGGCTGCAGGGGGTTTGGATGACCAAATACCCTTTTCATCTTTCTGAGCGGCCTCTTCGGCAAGAAGGAGAGCATCATAATCGGGAGAACGGTCATCGTCATCTCGGCGATGTCGAATCACTGAGACGTATCCGGCCTCTACCAAGGCCAAAGCAATGTTCTTACCATTGACCGTCACAGTTGCAACTTCTTTCTCTTCAAAGCCCTCCGAGGCCGGTTTCTTGCCATCGATACTGACTTTGACGTGTTTGCCAATCAGTCTCTTTCTCGCGAATTCCTTGGCCTCGGCTCCAAAAGGTGCCTGTTTGGGATCCGACGGCTTGGGTTGTCGAATACTTGAGAGGGTCACCTTTCGTTCATCACCAGAGCGAGTTCGAATGAAGATGGTTTCGGCATTCAGAACTCTTGAGACTGTGAAATCGGCATCTTGGACTCCAGAAGCTTTGGAAGCCGAAGTACCGGTGAACACACCTTTTCGAGCATTCTTGGCAGCGTTCTCTGCTTGACGGAACTGTGCCATATCATTCCCAAGTAGAGTAACGTGCTGATCATTGGATCTAGCCAGCCCAGCTTCGAGTAGGAATTTGGCAATGTTGCCCCTGGGATGAAGTACATTGGCGATGAGTTGATTCTGGGGTGTAACTCCCAAGAGTTCGACTTGTACCTTTCGCTGGTGTAGTCTTTCTTCCACAAAAGCGTGTGCTTCGGTGCCAAATGCCTCTGCGGGAACTTCCTTGCCTTCGGGTGTGGTCCTCTTGGTTGCGGGGGTTCTCACACCACCTAGAACTAGCATGGTCTGAACATGCTTGGTTGGACTCAAGATCACTCGAGCTATGAGGCGATCACCAGTCAAGACACGCTCAACGATGGCCTCGACTTTCTTCCCTTTGAATTTCTCGACCAGGGCATTAGGATCTGAAACCTCTGAGGAGTTTTCTATCTGTCCACCTTTTGACCAGACACCCTTGTTATTTGACTTTGCTTCGGCTTCGAGTGACTTCAGCTTATCAAGATATGCCAATGCAGTCTCGTCATCCTCTTTCTTGCCTGCATCTTCTCGAACCTTGGCCCAGCCCTCTTGGACAACCAGGTCGGGTAGGTCAGGGCCATTGGGAAGCTTGACTCGACCATATTCTCGCTTGGTGGTGGGTATTGCGTAGAGGACTTGGAATTGAATGACTTTGCCCAATAATAGCTCTCGAATGAACTCGCGAGATTGGAAGGCAAATGGCTGGGAGGGAAATTGTTAGCATGCATCGAGGGTATATTAGGGGCCATGGTTGAGGATACCTCATCACCTTCTCTCTTCAATCTTGGAGCAGAGATATAAGCCAAAGAAAGAGTACGTTCGGCACCTTTTTGGTTAGTGATGATCAAGGTGTCACCAGAGAGGACACTCTTGACTCGAGCCTGAAGGAGTGCCATGATTTTGGAAATGCCACAAGGAAAGGTACTTGATATTGAGGGAAAGGGTAAAATTCACGGATGGGCGCTATGCAAGGAGCAGGACTTGAAAGGGAGGTTCAGAAGTGGTATTCGAATGCAACAGAGTGGTGGGAGGGAGGGCAGGAGGTCGTGTGTGCACAGTAGAGAGGATGTTCAAGATTGGGAGCATTGAGAATGTTTGTTCGTATGGAGGATGGAAAATGGTGGCATCTCATTGTGGGGTAAACCGTAAACAGACTGGCTTTAGCTAAGCATCATGATCTTGAACATTTATCAGATGACAGCTGAGCTGGACCTGGATCCCAACTTTTCGAGGGGTTCATTTTGACTGAGATCAATTTACTTACGGCGGGGGGAAGATTTGATTAGGTCGGTAGTTGAATATTGAGAGATAGATAAAAGATTAAGATGGAAGAGCTGCTCTGAATACAAAACGGTGCCTGCCACATTCTTGGGTCTGCCGACTCCCTTCCTTCCTTGTCCGACCGCTCCTACCCGTTCCGGTTTACAATTAATGGGTACCTAATGGGAGTGCGGGGTCGTGCCTTCCATTTCACCACCTCAGGCTCCAATCTCACCAACAATGGCTATTGTGACCGAGTCCAGGTACACAGGTACAACACAGTCAAGTCCATATACTCAGATAGCACCAGATGCCCGAGATGAGGTCTGGGCGGAGAACAGCGACTTGTGGCCAGTCTCCTGCCCAATTCAGGGTCTTATCTCGAGTGCTGATAACTTGCGGGGTATCTCCAGTAGAACTTAAATGCCAGAATGGCCTTCGGTATAACAATTGATAATTACATGCTTCTTTGATGAATGAAACCTCCCTTTTGTTTAAAAAGTATTATACGATTGCCCTAAGAATCCAAGTCGCTCAATTGTGAAGCATAGAGACAGTCGGGTACCTGTGTCTCTATTTCAGAGCGACCAAAGAACGGAACAACCCTTGCCCCTTTTCCAGTCCAGCCTCGCCTTTCACCTCACCTTCAACGTAGCAAACTTACTTACCTTACCATGAATAACACCGACACAACCCATCGAAAAGGCATCATCGGTAACCCCGCCTCCAACAACTTCTGGCTCTATGACTCCAAGGATGGCTTCGACCTCACCCACCCACCAACACCAACAACACCCCTGGCTTCGGGAACCACCACCGTCAAACTCCAAACCACCACACTCCCCATCACCATCTCCGTCCAGAAATCCGCGCTCGTCATAGTTGACATGCAGAACTTCTTTCTCTCCCAATCACTCGGCCGACCCAACGACTCCAAGGGCATGCTCGCACAGAAGCAACTCCTCGACCACGCCATCCCGGCGGCGCGCAAAGCCGGCATCCAAATCATCTGGCTGAACTGGGGTCTCATGGAGACGGAACTCACCAACATGCCGCCTGGGACACTGCGGGCACTCGGCTTCGAGTCTGTCCCAGCGGAGCACTTCGCCCAGTGGGCCGAACTCGACGCCTCGCAGAGACAAGGCACCATCGACTCCCACGGCGTCAACGAAGGATGCCACACTTTCCCAGCACAGACTGTCAAGACCGAAGTCTCCAGACCCACCAAAGATCCCCGTCTATACCGCGGCTTCGGCTCCGACATTGGGGATGTCACACTCGACGACTCGACCGTGGTGCCCGCCGGCAGATTGTTGATGCGTGACACGTGGAATGCAGACTTGACGCCAGAACTGCGCGACAACTATGAACGGCAGGGCCTCGCGTCCACGACCAAAGTCCCCGACGTCTGGATCCACAAGAATCGCATGTCAGGCCTCTGGGGCTCCAGCACCGCCTGCACAGAATTTCTCGACAACCAAGGCATTCGAACCCTCCTGTTCGCCGGTGTCAACACCGACCAATGTGTCGGAGGAAGTTTGCAAGATGTAAGTTCACCCGGCAACATCGACTTTGATTCGATTCGATCCAATTCGTTGTTCTCGTTCCCATCCCATTTCGTACTGACACTGAGTTTCTCTGCTCCACCAGGCCTTCTCAAAAGGATACGACGCAATACTACTGACGGACGGTTGTGGTACGACGAGTCCCACGAGCAGTCAGGAGAGTATCGAGTTCAATTCGGCCAAAACCTGGGGTTTTGCGACCTCGTGTCGAGATTTTGCCCAGGGGGTTGATGCTTCGCTTGCTTCTTGAGTAAGGACTTGACTGGCATTGTGAAGGATTTGTTGACGGTGTATTTACTTATTTAACAAGGGCAGACACTGATGGACCACTTGAAATCTGATACGTATTGAATTTCTCATAAAAGCAAGATCGCAGTGGCCATTTTGTAACGTCCCTCCGAGTTTCGAGAATCTTTGTGTGAGTCGACTGTTTCAGTGGGCTCCGGTCTGCTTAAAGGTTGGGATTTATGATACGGAATGAAATCACAGTTCACGTGAGGGATCGTTCATTCCTTGAATCTCCAAGTTAATTTTAAGTTCAATTTCAATTTCGGTTGCAAAGTTCAGTATTCAATCGTCAAGACTACCTAATGTAGCCTGCAATATGGGTATCAATTTACATTCATATGTGACCGTGACGAGTGATAATGAAAACCATCAATCACGACAACGATCCCAAAAGCCATATCATTCTGACATCCATAGCTACATTCCACTCTGATCCATTTCGGAAGAAAATCCTATGTCACGCGTGATCTGATCTGATCGAACACGCTCGCTCACTCACTGCGGACCAGGCTTCCGGTACTGATTGCGGGCAGCCGTTTGGGCGTCTCTGGCGTCTTTGTTCTGAGTCTTCCACATAGCCCGGTCCTCGGCTTTGCGTTCCTCTTCCTTGGTGGCATACACGACACGCTGCTTTTGGACTTTTCGCCCGGCCCGAGAGCCACGTGGGCGGGTTCTCTTCTTGGGTTCCCCGGTCGAGGAGGCGGATGGTGAGCCTTGTTCTTCTTCTGCTTCTTTATCGTCGTCGTCGTCGTCGTCGTCGTCGTCGTCGGCTTCTCCTTCTCCTTCTCCTTCCTCGTTACCCTCGACAGGACTGCCGTTCTCAACTGGTGTAGTCCTGAAAGGAGAGATAGACAGAGGGTAGCGAGCTGATACGGGGGTAACCACGGAAGCAGGTGAATCAAGTGGTCGGATTTGGGCCGTCTCAATGTCTATTCTCAGCGATTTGGAAGGATCGGGGACTATTTCTTTGCCTTTTCCTTTGTCCTGTTTGTCCTTGCTGATGGAGTGGATGAGATCCGCGATCTTCTCGGCTATTGGAGAGTCAGCGGTGGCGGTTGCGGTTGTTGTGGGCGGTGTGGCATTGCTGCCAGTGACGATCAGAGGCAAAGCTGGGGTGGTTTTCGGCTTAGAGGGTGAAGTTGAGCTTGTCGTTGAGACAGCTGGTTTCTCGGTGCTGACAGTGGTATCTACAGGAGTCTTGGATAGGGTAGGGGTCTCAGCGCTGGAGACAGCAGCTGATTTGGATGGGGGAGGGTTTCCAGCGCTGACAACAGCAGCTGATGAAATGGTGGACTCCTTTGAGTCGGTGGTAGGATGCTTGGGGTCTTCTGCTTTGGCACCAGTCGATGCCCAGATATTACCCAGAGCGGACCCGGTCCGAGGAGAAGCATTTGATGGGATACGACCACGGCCAGGTTGGATCTTCGCGCCAGATTGAGCGGAGGATCTTCGAGAGGCTTGTTGAGCAACCGCAACCTCGCTCGGATTCTTCGCACTGATGTTGAGCTCCGGCATCGACTCAAGCTTCGGAGCGAAGGCGGATTTGGGAACGGGAAGTGGGAAGTTCACAGCTCGCCTCGATGGCCCACGATATACCTCGGTCTCCACTGGACGCTCAATCTCCCCCAGGAACTGTGAGAGCAAGCTCCTCGTCTGTGAAGTCGTCTCGGCCGGAGGCTTTCGGGATTTTGGTTCTTTTGTTTGTTCGGACTTGTGGCTCTGAGGGGTGGCCGGTCTGACTTCGCCTTGCTTGGGAGTTGAAGAGCCGAGCGCTGGTGCTGACTTCTCAGAGGCGACAGCCTGCTGTGATACTGTCTTTACCGGAGTCTTCTTTGAATCCTGACTTTTCTCTGGCTCGGATTTGATAGGTCCAATGACAGCTGCTTTGGTTTGATCTTGCTCAAGCTTTGAATCAGGAGATGTTTGCATGTTCTGAACCTTATCCTCCAACATTTTGATCTCGGCATTCTTTGCCTCGATCAGCTCCAAAGCTTCTTTGAGCTTCTTCTCGGAATCTTTGAGAAGATCTTCATTGTAGGTCCCTTTGAGCATTTCTTCACCCAGTTCATTGCCAGTATCTTCGAGCTCACCTCTCAATTTGTCGCATTGCTTTGTCACCGCAGAAAGCTCATCCTGAGTTTTGGTTTCCTTATTTTGCTGGGCAGAGAACTCTGCTTGCATGGTTTCGAATTGCTTCTCCAAATCGTTGATCTTGATTGCGGCGGTCGACTCCTTCTTTCTAAACGATTCTTCTGCCTTGGCTTGGGCACTTTTGTCACGACCAGAAACTTCCTTCAGTGCCTTGTGTTGCTTATTCACAGCGTCGAGCTCCTGACCAAGTTTCTTGGATTTTTCCAGGGCTTTCTCCTTTTCCGCCTGCAATTGCTCAAAGTCGGCCTTTGGGACTGATTCGGTGGTAGACAGCTGTGCGCTGAGTTTTGCTTTCTCGTTTTCGAGATCTTTGACAGCTCTTTCTTGCTCAGTGGACCTGTTGAGGATCTTTTGATTAGTTTCTTGGAGTTGTTGAACCTCAGTGCCCAGTTTGGACAATTGTTCGGAATGAGCAACGGCTTGCTTGTCATTGACTCCTTTGAGACGGCTGATCTCGGCTTTGAGTTGATTCCGTGCTTCGTTGTGTGCAGGGGACTCTTGTTGGCAGAATTGCTCTTTTTCAACCAATTGTTCCTTGTGTAGCCGGGTTTGATTTTTAAGGCTTTGCTGCGCTTCCCCCAGTCTTCTTTCAAGAAGTTTCCGCATAGCACGAAGGTCAATCATCTGGATTGAGCAAAATACCAGGGCGATAGCTAGAACGAGAACAGAAGCAAAGAATATCAGAGTAACTTGATTGGGAGTTTTGCGACGAGCGTCCAGGTGAAGTTGCTCAGCAGCCAAACGTTGCTCGAGTATCGAGCGAATTGTCGAGCTGGTTACCGAGCTGAGTATCGCGCTGATTTTCGAGACGATCTTTTGATCGATTGTTGAGCTGATTGTCGGGTTGATTGTCGAGTTACCATCGTCGTTGACCTCTGAAACCGTGTCGATTTCTACGTCGACAGTCGAGACTGTCAACGGTTTCAAGGGCATGTCGTGCAACACGAGAAGTGACGGGAATTGAACACCGGGGCAGATTGGTTGAAAGATGGTGTGCTCTATTGGGAAGAGTGCACAAGTTTCGATCAAATTGAGGCGCGCGGCAATCCCTTCATTTGAGGGGTAGATATCGCGGCGCTCGAGGAAGTAAGGGGTTTGATGATCGAGTCTCTCCAATTCAGGAGGGTTGAGGATCTTGTTCTCTTGGATGGTGAAGTCAGGAGCAGGGCACAGCCAGCCGTTGAAGACGACGACGCTGGCCCAGCCAGCAATAACTCCAAATTGCGACAGGCGTGAAATTAATGACATGGTTTATGATTTATATTGGTAACGATGTTGTTCTGGGGAAAGGAAGAGGAGGTGAGGCGAACGTGTGGGCGGAATTTTATCTCGTTGATGAGGGTGATTGTGTCAGGCTTGTTGTTCTGGCGACAAAGGGGTCAAGAAGGATGACGAAGAGCGAGGGACAAAGACTAGCATCCACAGGCTCAAGGAAGAGCACTGGGGTAGTAGCCTTGTCTTTGATGTCTCAAAATAAGCAACAATGCTAGTGAGACTTGTGCTTTGTGTGGATTTCCCCAAAAATATGGAGGCTGACGATTGTGTTGTTGTGTGATTGTTCTGAATTTGAATTTCAAGATATCTGAGAGAAAAGTCGCAAGAGGACAGCAGTACAGATCAGGTGGTCTTGAGTCAGGGCCCAAACACGATGATCTTGTCAGTTGTCAGGATCGGAGGGGATGGGTTAGAGAAGATGTTGGTAAGATCGGAAGAGAACAAGTTGGGTGGAAGGTGTGGTAGAGGGAGGAGATGAACAAAGGTAGGAAAAAGTGAGCGACAAGACACTTTCACTGCCTGGAGAAGTGAACCATCAACTTGAAAGTGAAGACAAAGTATTCCATACTCATGATCATCCGCCTCAAGCAGCAAGGCTTCAGCTCAAAAGGGGGTAGTCAATATACAATTACCAAGAGTGCAATGTGGGCAGTCATGAAGAGAGAGACAATGATGGCACGAAAACAAATAAAATAAAGAACCGATGAGCTCGAGGTCTCGGAATGGGGTATCGATATTGTACACTCACTGCCACAACCACAGGCAATGCCATGTTTATCCTACCTAGGTAGGTGCGAAAGATCCAGACCACTTAGCACCCTAAACGCCTGTAGTGAGATGTAGCCTATCTCATCATATATATGCTGGGAACAGTACGGCCGTCATATTCATTGGTTCGGCATCATTCCTTCGTTCAGACCATCGTTCAAGATAAAATCATTAAAGCCCTGTTGACCAAACTCCGCTGCCCAATCCCATTCAAAAGTCATGGGCATCTGCCATAGATCTTGAGGGACGAAAGGTTGTTGAAAAGAGCCCAAATTAATTGGTGACATGGTAGAACTTGGCAAGGTTTGATTCTGCATGTCAGGACTGAGACCATTATTGGTCATCATATCAAGATAGTCGCTGTCGAAAGGTGCCAAATTGGAGAAAGTGACACCAGGATTCATACCATTCATATGAATGTTGTTCATCGGTGTGTTAGGTATGGCAGTCGATGGCAGAGTGGAAGCGGTACGCGGTGACCCTCCATTCGCGCTTGACCTTCGTGAACCAGCCGCACGCCCATTGAGTTGTGATTGTATTTGAGACATGGCTGACTGATTTACTCGGAGAACTTCTTCAGGTACTAACCTGCGCTTTCGCTTGGAGCCCTCCTTCTCCGCTTTGTCGATAACCACTCGGGCGATACGAGCAAATTCTCCACATACTGTCAGCATGCGGTTGAGTGAACCAGTATCCTCATCATGAGAGACGTTCGTTAGGAAGCTGACCACAAGATCCATGAGCTTGATATCGGCCCGGGCGCGAGTATCCTGCGGGTTTTGCAAGATATTGGCAAACAATGTAACCAGTGCAGAGACTGGGAAGTACAAGACAAGCCAGACACAAGCAAAGTCTCCTTGTGGAATATATTTGATCAGATGAATAGAAGCTCGAGCAGCTGAAACACAGAGTGCAGCAGATGAAAACACTCTTGGATTGAGTGGTCGAGCGTTGAGCCCCTGTATGGCATACTCTGACAGTCGGCTGGTCCAGTAGCCATGATGGACCGACATTCGATGGATTGTTGTTAAGCAATTATAATAGGAGAAGTGGAGGACAACGATGTGGAGGATGAGAGGTGCGTGAGCAGTTTTGATTTCGTGCTCCGGTCGGAAGTCGAGTGGGATACTGTCCTTCCATGCTTCCAATTCTTTGTCCAGTTCTCCTATGGTATTCAGGAGTTCGCCATCACTCTGCTTCGAAGCTCTGACGGAGTACAGCTGACGGTACACCTTCGATGATATGATTGCAAACTCACACATGAGACGGAACAAATTGATTTTGCCCTTGCCATCTGCTAATGGAACATTGCCAATATTATCCGGAGGATCTTCAGAAGGAAGCTCAACGTTCATGTCGTCATCATCTTGCGCAGGCGGTCGACCGGCACGGAGACAAGTATCCTTATCGAGTAAGTATGCTATCCAGAAGACTCGTTTGCGCTGCTCAGCCTCGATCGGGTTCAAGTTGAATGCGGAACCGCGTTTATGTAGACCGATGGTATGTGAGCATCGAATGGCGGCTGATATGAGGAAAAACGAGGGCTGGGGATTAGGTGTACCTTGAAGGAACAACGCCATCCCGAGGAGGGCTTGTACACTGAGAAGATCAGTGTTTCGCATCGTCAATTCAGTAATGACTCCCATGGCATTCTTCAGGTACAGCCAAGCTTTCTGGTCATCTTCTTGTGGGACCACATTACTCATGACCCGGATTCGGTAAGCTATCGCCAACGCAACATTGATGCTGGCCCACCATCCACTGCCTTCGTAAGGGTCTTTGGAGTATTGTTTGTCGACGAGGTGCATGAAAGTGGGTTCGTGGAACAAAGGAAACATGCAGTTGAAGTTCTCAAAAAAGTCCTTGAACAATGACAAGGCTTCTTCTTTTGGTGGGAGCGGTTTGAAGACACGGCGAACAAAGATGTCTCCGAACACCTCGGGTTTCCAATATTGCCACTTGTTGTCTTCTTCGTTGACAGCGTTCTGGATCGTTTCCTGGAAAGACGAATCTCCAGTCTTTTCATTGACCCACTCGATACCTTTTGATGAGAATATTGAAAAAGCCGAGGATGAGCCTGGAACGTGTTAGGCTATTGGTCCATGGTTGGTACTACATGCGAAACTCACCAATGTATCTTGTCTCGCCAACATTGTTCGTGACCAGTGAACACATGGCCTCTGACAAATTTTCCACTTCTTGAGCAGTCTTTTCACCTTCGGTGCTCGGGGAACCCACGGTGTCACGGGGTGTATTGTTTGAATCTGGTTGTGAGCCGGGTCTTGGAGATCCCTCGGCCATGGAGGCTGTGCTACTCTTGACGCCGGCGGGAGAGTGTGTCCCGTTGACGGGAGTTTCTTTGGATGCGGCAGAGGCCTTCTCGGCCAGTCGTTTCTCCAACGTTCCAAGATCTGTCCTGCCGGCTTCTTCTTCTGTCAACAGACCGGACATGCGCAGCAGAGATTCCATGCGACCAAGTCGATTCTCTAGACCTTCGATATATTTTGCTCTGTAAAGATAGTTAGCCCCACTTGTACGGTCTTCCTCGGTATCAAGACCTACCCTTTGGGAGGATTTCGTTTCTTCTCAACCTGGGTAAAGACACATTCGGTTTTATAGTTGATACAATGGCCACATTTGGGCATCTTCCCATCACACTTGATCTTTTTCTTCCTACACATGTCACAAGCCTACATTGAAAATGAGAAGAGTGTTCTGTCAGAACTTGCAGATGTTTAGAAATCATACCCGGGCAATTCTCCTGCGCTTGGGATCATTATCGTCGAGACCATCATTGAGATCGCCAAAGTAATTCCCGGGGGGTAGGGTCGCAGGTATAGGGCTTCCGTCGGGATGATAGGCGCCGAATATCTGAGGAGGTTGCTGCGATACGAACTGATTTATATCATAGCCCATGGCATCGATACTTCCACGATGGTGATCCATGGTGACTCGGGTGCCGTCTCTTGCTCCTGCTCGGGTCTGGATCCGACGATGACCAAGTCAGGCTCGTTATAACAGATGGATACAGTCTTTCGAACGTCAACTATGAGGCGTGACCAGCCAACAGGCTCATCCTGCAGGAAGAGGGAAGAAGGTTGAATCGACAGGAAGTTAATCGCGAGCAAGGTCGGGTCGGATGTCGAGCAACCTGCAAATACAATTGTTGGTGCTGGTGGGCTTGGGGTGGGGGAATAGAAGCACCGGTGCTGGCATGAGTAGAAGTCCAAGCTCACGAACTCATAGTGAGGAGGGAGAAACGGAGGCAAGACGGAAGTTTGAGAGAATCTGAAGCAGAGCAAACCCGCAGCCAGGGAAGTAATTGGATGTGGTATGAATTATTAACGCATCCAAGTGGCATTGGAAAGCGATACGAAGGAATTACGAGACGAAGGGCGGAACAGGACCAGGGGTGAACTGGGCAAGCCGCCGCGCAGTGGCATACGATTGAAGTGGGTGCAGGGAGGGGAGGGGAGCACGGGGGTGCGGATAGGCCATTTCCCTAAGGTGTGGGCATGGTGTGGGCATGGAATGACGAGGGTCGGAGCCTGAAGCAGTGAAGACTCTAACTAGAGTGCCCGAGAGCCCTGTTTCCTGCAGGTGGCAGCCCTGAAGGGAAGAACAGCAAGTCGACTCTGAAACGTCGCGGCAGAGCTTCAGGCCTCAAGATGGCGCAGCCAGGCACCTACATTTGTCCCCTGTCAGGCACTAATCCTGGCGTGGTCCCGGCGACACTAGTGACTCTTGGGTAGGACATTCTGGTTAAAGATTGGCTTGGACCAGCCCAAGATGGTAACCATGCTCAGATGGGACGTGATGCTAGCCCCTCGCTTGGGTTTTACCATTTCAGGGTCATTCTTTTGCATTTCCTGACGTAGTCTATGCTGACTCTCGGGGTTAACGATGACAGCAACCTCTTGATCCATGGAGGTACGACTAAGTCATGGCACAGAACGTGTATCAGGCTTGATTTTCCACACATTTTTTCGGGCATCCTTGTATCAGCCGTATCAGACTGTTGCGAGAGTCTAACCCAAAGTCGTTCCCATGGTGCCATGTGTCGAGGCTCTTTGTCTTGGCTCGAGCCTCGAGAGTCGGCATCTGTCCACTGTCCTCTGCTCTCTACTTGACATTATGGAGTGTGGGTTTGCTCTAAATGTCGACTCAAAACTCTACGACAGGCCGACTCTACGACTACACCCGACCGATTTCTTCCTCATCCATGGAGTTTCCGAGTCCATGTGATAGAAACGGGGTCAAACCTTCGCTAGGTAGGTAGATCACCAAATACTCCTTGCCAGGTGCTGAACCTTGACTTGAGGTCATCGGTCAATACGAGTACATCCTTGGCCATCCACGACAAAGCTTGATCGCGATCGTGCTGCAACTACCGTTCCGCGTATTCAAACCGAGTCTAAAAGTAAAGATCCACATTCTGCATGGTCGACGGATTGCGGAGTGAATAGTCCCCGAAATCTCCGCCGCGCCCGAGAGACGACTTTGTCTCCGTCCGGGTGGTTCGATTGAACGAGGCCATCTTTCATCCAACCATCCGTACGGCACGCGAATGGTACCGAGTAACTCGTACATTCCATCTGTAGACATGGAAACTGCAGGAAACCAACAACCTCACTAGCCATCAGTCGCACTCAAACTAGGTCCGACAGCCCGACCCCGATATCCCAAGTTCTCAATGGTGATGGTTCATCGTATTTGGGCCAAAACCTGAACCCTGCTTCATCGTGAATACCTCTTGTTAGATCTCATCTAGACCCAAAAGGGTTCGTCTGATCCAGCCCTGTTCTGACAAACCACAGGCTCTAAAGTCACCAGCAATCCTGAACATGGTAAAGCGAACGAGTTCCAACCTCCCAAGATTGACGTTCAATCCTTGGGAAGAGAAAAACCAAGGATGGTTTCGGCCGAAAGACACCGCACAAACGGGGTGATCAAAGTCCCTAGACTCCATAGGTAGCCATGCAAAGTCACACAGCTATCGGTCGAGTAAGTCGTCCACCTCCACGGACTTTGTTTTCCATCCATCATCGAAGAATAATCAATGAACGTCCATCCGTATTTCCAATCCCCTGTTCGTGCTTTGTAAATTCCCTTTCCCTCTCTACCTGCTCACCATTCGTCCGCCGTGATGCATTCCCCAGCCAATGGAGCATTACCCGACGCCGCCCGCACATCCTCGCTCTAGAAGACCGAAAGATAATGGTCATCCTCCCATCATCTCAACTGGATCGCCTAGCCCTCTCCCAGGATTCCCCACTTGGGACCTTTTTTTCTGATAGCAAGTGGGAAACGAGGCGTTCGGCTGAGCCATTTTTCCCTACCTGTCATGTTCTTCCAGTATGGATACCTGTATCATTTCCGGTAAGCTACATGGGCAGGTTCTGGAGTCTGGAAGGAATTGAATTGAGAGTCGAGATCGATAAGCGTGGAAAGTGGAACACTCGGTGAGTTGATCACCTGGGGTGGATACCGCGTTACGCTTTCCCTTTTCTCGTTCTCTCGTTCTCGTCCATCGACTGCGAGACGAAAATACTCTGCAGATGAGCCTGAGGTCTTTGTTCCTTTGCTTTGTTCTTCAAGTCGTGTGACTTGCGAGGGTCTCTGTTGCTGCCACGTGAGTCGTGTGGTCCACACGATCGTTTTTGAGGTAGGTGGCAAGGGCTCTCTTGTGCCCTTTGTTTGTAACTTAAGACTTGGCGATCCCGGTCGTCCATGGAAGCAGAAGTGGAGTTTTCGAAAGAGAGGAAGAAGAAGTATGTCGCTAATAGGTAAGTACAGCTGGAAGTCTACATGGGAAGAGCAGCGATTGGACTGGGTTGTTTATGTAAGAAATTGCATTCGCATTGTGGTCTGTATCAGTACCTTGTGGATCTACATTCAATCACTCCGAGAGCAACCGGTTAGTTGACTCTCAACTTGGGTAGGGATGAATCTATCATTCATCCTATCATTCAGTGCTTAGTATTGTGCTCAAGTCTTTGACTGGCCAATCTCTATTCCAGTGTGGTTCACGTTACTCCTGCTCAGCTTAGACACAGTGCCCCGGCTGACGCCCTCAAGCCTGTTCTCCATCTCATAACCTCCCCATGTTGTCAACTTTTTGGCATATCATGTGGATGGTGATATTCTGCTTCTTGCCCTAGGGTGTAAGACAGTCTCATTCATTCTTCCTCGGACTCGTCAGATTCATCTTCCGATTCCGATTCCGACTCATGGTCAGGTAGCTCCCAAGTTGCAGGATATCTTAACCTGGCCACGACAAGCTCGCTCCGAGTAGAAGCGAACGTGGGATCGCTTTCCAAGAAATGTTGGCCTAGTGGAGTGCGTAACCACCCCGGATTTCGTACGACCCAGTCATATGCGACTCGTTCTTGGTTGCCTTGTCCGGGAACAGGCTCGAATTCGCGAGGAAGATCTGGACGAGTGGGAGCAACTTGGTGTTCGGCCAAAATATTCCGAATCTGTTGCAAGCCTTCTTGATATAGCCTTTCTCTTTCAGCATTAGAGTCTGTGTCCGACAGATCTTGATCGGGATCTTCCCAGTCTTCGCCGGCATTTGATCCGTCTTGACTCGGGAACTGGGCTTCAGGGTCCCCTGCATCAGAGACAACGTATGGTTTACCATCGCTTTCCGACTGTGACTCGTATGCAGTGTGCTCCTGGCCATCATCATCGGCGTAATTCTGGTTTGGCGGGGACCGCCTGCCCAGACTCGAACCATTGTCGCCGGAAGGGCCAGATCGAGGACTGTCATCGTGGTCAAGGAGCGCTCTCAAGTCTTTGTCGGCATCATCGAGTTCCCTTCGCGACCCGTCGTCGAAGTCGGCGTCTTCACCAGTCCACCCTGCTTTGTTGGCGTCGGGACCCTCATCCTCATCAAATGGGATATTGTTGTCAAGCCATTCACCTGCAGGACCGGGTGCCTCAAACTGATCGGCGTCCGCATAGACGCTTTTGTTCAACCAGTCTTGGTGAACCTGATCATTCCTCAGACGTCCGCTTAGAGAAACGTTGGGATCGGCGCCTGGTCTGAAAGCATTGCCGAACCGATCTTGGCTGGCCACGGTTGCAACTGGATCCCATGCCGAATGCAAAGTCTGATCTTGTGGGACTGGGGTGCTGTTGATCAACAATCCACCCTGCTGATAAAAGTCCCGCACCTCTTCGTCTGTAAAAGCCACCGGTCCATAGTTTGGCTCATTCCACCGGTCGTCTTCCTGGAAGTCTTCCAGGGGTTGTTGTGCTTCTTGGAAGTCACCCATGTCACCAACATATTGATTGTCGAACTGCGGCATCATAGCAGGCACAGTATCAGCTGGTTGAGTCATGTCAACGTCATCCATATCCACGTCAGGATCTTGCCAGTCTCCATCCTCATCGCCATTTCCATCGACTGTCATTGGCTCTGGAGAGCCCTGCTTGGAGTTTCTATCGCCATACAAGTCTCCAGATTCAATGCCCTGCTGAGGTCTGCCAAAGCCTGGAAACGCCACGGCTTGTTCTGCCACCGTTGAAACTGGTGCTTCCACCGTGGTAGCCGAGGGAAAGCCACTGTTTGTAGGCAGGGTGGGTTGATACCCGAATCGGTGGTCGAAGGCACTGGCGTCTGTCCCGTAGGCATTTCCGAACATGGCTTCCATGTTATCCTCATCAATCAGGACATCATCTTGTGCTGGATCATAGCTTATTCGAGAGTGAGCCTCGGCGTGAACTCGTGGAGCTTGTTGCGGGCCGTGATGACCCCCAGATGGTCCAGGGAGAGTTGTGGCCGGTGGATTGGAAGGAGCAGACGGGCCGTCACGGATATGTTCCATGTCATTGTTGTATTGCGGGCTGGGATTTGCTGCATCTTGGATGAACATCTCTTGGTCTTGAGGCTCCTGAGGAGGATTGAAAAACAGCAGAGGCAGTGGAGTATGCGCTGCTTGTAGAGGAACATCTTGGGCTGCTAATCGCATCGTTTGAGCCTCCTGTTGCACTCGTGCTTGTGCCTCCTGTTCCGCTTGTGCCTGAGCCTGCTGAACATATCGTGCTTGAGCCTCTCGAAAATATCGTACTTGAGCCTCCTGATGCGCTCGTGCTTGTGCCTCTTGTCCCGCTTGGGCTTGAGCCTGTTGAAGATGTTGTGCTTGTAGGGCAGCCTGATCCTCTTGGGCTAGTTGGAACTGCATTTGGCTCAGTACATCTGTCATGGCCTGCATCGAGAAGAATTCTTGTTCCTGTTGTTCAGGTGCCTCAAGAGTGTGGTTTCCAAGCGTTGGAGCCGCCGATTTAGATTCTTCATCGGCTTCCAAGTCGATAATGACTTGGAGAGTCTCGCTTGTCGTTTGTGCCGGTTCTCTTGCCTTCCGTCGACGGACTGGGAAATCAATCTCGTCATCCCCTGGCGTGAAAGGAAGGGGCACTTGCGCTGGATCGATCTCAGCCTGTGTGGACTCGCAGCTGGATGGTGCGGGAACTGTCGCCTCCTGTTGAGAATCGGGGAAATCAACTGCATCATCTCCTGAAGTGTAAGGAAGCGGTATTGCTTCTGGTTGGGCCTGTGGAGGGGGGTCAACGGTGTATCTTCCAAGAGTGAAAGGGGCGGTCGCAGGTGCTGCTGGTTGAGATGGGACTTCAATAGTGTACGGTCCAAGCATCAGAGCAGCCGGTGGTGTAGGCGCTTGTTGTTGGACCATAGAATTAAAGTTGAAGTTATATCCCGTACCAGGACGAGGTGTCGAGAGAGAAGTTTGATGGGTATTGCTGCCTCCAGCGTCCATTTCGGACATGGTTTGTTGGAACAGCGATGGTCGATCGACGTTGGTCAATTCTCCAGCTCTATTTCCTCTAGCCCCTGCTTGTACACGCGATGACAGTGAAGCGGGACCTCGCTCAGATCTTCCACCTGTGCGGGTATTTCGACCATACGGACTCCACGCATTGCAGGGTTCTCGAACACCCTGAGGGCGTGAGTTTCTCGATGTACGCTCGTTGATTAGAGCCGCTTGTGGAGGTACTGGAGCAGCGACTTCGATATTCTGGTTCTCAGCTAATGGGACAATACCACCAGCCGATTCATTTGAGGAGAATGCTTCTTGAGTCTGCCCTGATTGCTCGCTCGAAGTCTCATCCTGGTTCCCGTTTACAGATCTTTCTTGAGCCTGCGCCACATTGTTTTGAACAAAGGCTGCAGTGAGGTTGCCGTCGTCCGCAGAAGATGATGAGTCGCTCTCCCAATCGTCTTCATCGTCTTTTTCTTCAGTCGAGGTGGGAGGAGGGTTGTCGGATTTGGGTGCGGCTGGTGGATTGGTCTCATTTTGAGATCCATGAGCGGAAGGAGTCTGCGCCTTGCTGTTTTCAGTCAAGGCTGCAGTTTGTGGTTCCGCGTCTTCAGGTGGTGAGGTGATGCTTTGTCGCTCACCTTCATCGTGAGACTTCTTAGGTTGATCGTCCGAAGGGTCATCTTGAGATCCATAAGTAGAATGGGCCTGCGCCTCAGCATTTTCGTGCGAGTCAGCAGCAAGTTTTTCTTCGTCAATTTTTGATTCGTCAAACAGAGAATCGATCTCCTCAGCCTCGTCTCCAGTTGGCGCTGCCGGAGATTGCTCGGTTTCGGTTGTGGCGGATGGATTTGTCTCATCTGTGGTGTTCTCGACCAGTTTGTCATCTTGCTCGTGGGCTCCAGCGAGAGATGTGGCCTCTTGGATCTCCTCAGTAAGTTCAGCACCCTCCGTCTGGGCGGGGAACTCCTTTTCCTCCTCAGTAGAAATCTCAGCCTCGTCTTGAAGAGATTCTTCGACAGTGGCTTGAGCTGAGGCGTCTGTATTGCCATCTTCAAGCTTTGGAGAGATGGTTCCATTCTGCTCGTTTTCAAGTTCTGACTCAACAGACAATTGAGGGTCTTCTCCTGTGGATTTAGAGACCTCTCTGTTGGACTTATCGGCACTAATCGGGGCAGTATTCGAAGTCTCTGCTTCTGGAGATCTTTGGGATTCTTCATTTGTTGACAATTCCGGAGGATGCTGTGTCTCATCGTCATTTGCAGTTAGGTCTTGAGCTTCTCCTTCTTTTTCGCCGCTCTCGCCTTCGGAACACGATTCAGTGCTAAAATCCCGAGACTTAAATTTTTTCAGGCGCGGCTTCTGCTGGTATGCTTCATTTTTGAAATCTTCCACACGCTGCAATAGACGGGGTACAGTAGCATTGCCAACAGATACGGTTCGAGTCTCAGCTCGGCGTTTCCCAGCAGCCACGTTTGATTGCTTGGGAGAAGAATTGGGACTCTCGGCGTCGCTTTCATCATCGAGGTCAGGCATTAGAGGGAGACATCGACGGACTAGACTCTCTGCACCTGGAGGTGGTGGATTGCTGTCGTCATCGTTGTCGTCGTCATCGTTGTCGCCTTTGTCATCTGAGTTTTCATCTTCATTCTCAGAGGCAGGTTTGGACCCGATCGCGTCCTTCTTGTCTTGATCATCCGTCGGCTCTGGGCCATCAACTTGACTGGCTGTGTTCGATCCAGAAGATTCACCACCGGGAAGACCCTCGATGGCTCTGTCTTTGCCCTTTCCGCCATGACCACCTGCGGAAGAGTCTGGTCTATTCTCGATTTGAAGGTATGGTGCTGGACCATTGTCAATTGCCAGTGCTTGGCGCAGCTCCTGTCCTCTAACTTCTCTTTGGATTGCCCGGCTGGACTTGATATCTTCCAGGTCTTCTTCCAGAATCACAGTCTGTCTGCTTCGCTGGACTCTTGCGAGGGCATTATTGTGCTCAAGTGGCTCATATTGTTCATCTTGAGCTATTTTTGTTGCACGCGCTGTTTGTTCGCGCTCGAGCGTTCCTTGCTGCTCTAGATGCTGACGCTGCTCTTGTACGTAAACTTGCGGTCTCAACTTCGCCATTTGGGCACGAATTTCAAGGGCTTCGCGTCGCTCGAGTCGCTCGGTGTTCCTCTCAAATGCCATGTCACGTCTGGTATTCCAAGTTTGATGACACATGTAGAAGCAACTCGAGATCATATCGCACAGTTTGAGGATTGTGAAGGTTATGGACTTCACAAGCGCCAGTAACCCTATGCACCCTAACAAAACTACCTGGATGACCCGGACCACGAACAATTCTCCTTTCTGGTGTTGGAATTCGATCATGAAGTCGTACACGACATCAAACCAAGAACTGATCGTTGCTGGATCAGGACTGTTTGTCAACAAGACTCGGACGGCTGCCAGTAAATACGGCGCGTCGTCATCTGGTTGGGCAGCTGGCAGTAGAACAGCTGAGTTGTCGGGTCTGTACGGCTTCTTGTGCAGGACAGGAAACACAGCAGGACAGATCGATTGGTGTGTGAAGTAGGCCAGAGGGATGTTTAGGCACTGGTCGGATGGTATTGGAGTGTCGGTGCTGACATCGACAACCTCAGAGGTGACTTCCATGACGGGTTCCTCCTTGCCAGAATAGACGACTGTGTAGTGGATCACAGAAGTTGTTGCGGTCGGAAATTGGCCAACGGTTTGTGTGGTGGTTATGACCGTTTTGGTAGGTGCGAGCCATTCAGAGACGTCAACGTCTTTCTCGGTTGGTTCGTCGAAGGTGAGTTGTTCCACTGGAGGGCTGAAGTCGGTGAGATTGGGGCTCGAGGACTGGAAGAAGTGATACCAGCCTCGGTTTGTACCTATTTGATATAACGGAATGGCAGAAACACCGAGACTCAGACCTGCAAGACCTGCAGGCGTGCCAGCGGCTTGAACCACGACCGCTCCATATTGCACTCCTTGTTGCGCCAGAGGTGCTGCGTATTGCACCAGGCGAGCAATATTAAAGGCGGCGGCTGCTTGAGAGAAGAAGAAGAGGAGGGAGAGGAGGAGGATGGGATTTGAGAGGAACTTCATCTTTGCGAAGTGGGGATTGTGATGGACGATAGAGATGCCGGTGTCCACTTTACTGGGGCTTGGGTTGCCACGAAGAGAGTAGAGAGAAAGGGTCAATTTGTTGTTGTTCTTTCGAGAGAAGAGTCGTTGTCTTGTTTGAATTGTCAATGGGACAAGATGTGTTTTGGTTTGGAAATTGTTGCTTCAACAAGGGTAGCATGATGGTTTATCTGTCGATTTGGTAAACGAGAAGGATGGTTGAAAGGTTTGTGGGAGTGTGACAGAGAGGGAAAATGCCAGAGACTGGGATTTTAGTGTGAAGCGTTTGAACAATGCAGGCATTCATTCACTGCCTGTGTAATAAATTCACCAGTGAGGCAGTCTTTGTGAATAGAGTCACCACTTTCACACGTGAATGAGCATTGGTTGCCGCGACAAAGTCGACGCCAGTGAAGGACAATGGGCCGCCGTCTTGAACAATGCAGCACGAATAAACACTGTGAATGCCATCAAGACCTTCTCTTTCATGGCCAATCCTTTGGTCTTTGAGTCTTTTTGCCTTGATTCTGATTGTTCTGATGCTGGTGGTCGTCCTTGTACGGACGAGGCTCGCGATCCAGGGGCCCGCCCCGGGTAATGAGCTCCGACAATCTCCACCAGCATTCAAGCAGAGGCCACACAACATGATGAAGTCGATGGATATAGAATGGCTATGCTGTAGTCCCTTCGCCAGTCTTGTATTTATTGGACAGATGATTATCTATTCACCCATGTTTGATGTCTCGCATTCAATGCTTCAGCCTCAAGGTTGATTTAGACAATGAAGGCCAAGCCTGACGGGGCTGTAACAAAACATGACGGTTTTGTGACAAGTGCACCAGCCACTTTTTCTAATGACACGAAAAACCAATACCTATCCAGTTTGAGCTGTCATTTTGTAGATCGTATGATGTCGATGGCTTGGACTTCGATTCCCAGACTCGACTGCACATGTCTTGATGCCTGGGGGATCTAGGCATGGATGTGGCCTGAACAGGGCAACCTTTAGGTCTGAAAACCTGTTTCTGTAGACCGTGCTTTTCGAGTGTAGCCAGGCACAAGTATCGGGTATATCTATGCGAACATCTCTGGAATTCTTTCCCGACCTATTCTGATTTCTCATCTCCAACTAAAACGTCTTAGACATCAAAGAAGGTCGTCTTCCCAGAGTTTGATCCAGCCCCATTTCCCCCAACAAACAACCACTCTACCTTAAACATATACATCAAACATGTCTGAAGACGCAGGCTTTTTCAAAAAGACATCTGAGGCAGTTGCATCTGCTGGAGCGTCTGTTGCTGGTGCAGTATCTGGCAGTCTCTCACTGGGTGCCAATGCATCTCACAAAAAGACAACTACCACCAAGACAAAAACTACGCTTCCTGCCGGCGCGGGTTATGAACAACAGCAGCCTATTGCAAATGGAGTGCCAGCTCAAGTTGGTGGTGGGCAACAGAAGCGCCTGACTCAGCAGCAGGCCGATGCTTTGTATGAGGAGAGGATGGAGGAGGAGTATGCGAAGAGGGAAGGCGGTGCATGAGATTGTCCTACCTTCGCATTGAGTACTTTTCTAAAGACCCGAGTCCATTTCTTCTTGAATTGGAGCTTGGTGAAGGCGAACGACCACGCCCACGGATTCAAATCTCTGAGACAAACGACATATTGGGGTGGCGAAGCTTAGAGGTGAGACTCGCAGCATTGTAATTTTAGAACGTTTGTAGCAAAGTCAACTCGATATCTACATATATGTGTCCTTTCCTGAGCGAACTTCTCCCCCATGATGTTCTTTGATGGCCATGTCTCTTTGGCTTCGAGTTCAAGTTGTCAAAGTAGGTAAAAGAACATGTGACGTCATCGTACATGGCTTCCTGGGAGGCCCATTCAGCAACTCACCTATCACAACTCGTTTAATTTCACTCTGGTTCTGTGTGATTTTTGACGAGATTCCCGTAAGGTCCGAGGTTCAAGTTGTGCAGTTCACACCCGGAGAACATAGCAGCGAGGCCAGAACTCACCTCGTTCTATCAAGGCTGTACATATTTATCTACGAAGATGGCACCAAATCTTTCCCAAGCGATTGAACGGATTGATGCTGCTCATAGCGAAGACCCCACCAAGGTCGACATCGATGGAGAGCCAACGCCATATGAACTGATCTACGCCAAGAAAATGTCCAAATTCCTCGAACTTCATACACCGAATCCGGACCCGTTACTGGCTACAGCAGCACGAGCGCAGCATTTTCGGAGATGGGAGGTCCCTCGCGATTCGTATCCCAGGACGAAACCTGGCTATTTTGCTTGGAGAACCTTTCTCAAGAAACGACAAGCTGATCAGGTTCGGCAGCTGTGCTTGGATTGTAACTACAGCGAGGCAGAGGCAGATAAGGTGGCGGCTCTAGTCGCCAAGGAGGATTTGAAGAAAGGTGAGGGGAAAGGCGATGCAGATGCTCAGATTATTGAGGATGTTGCATGTCTCGTGTTTTTGGATGATCAATTTGACGAATTTGAAAAGGTCAGTATGTGTTGTTAAGGATTCTGCTTCTCCGGATTCTGTGGGCAGTCTAACCAATCTTTTCTTGCTAGGGCCATGACGAGGAGAAAATCATCGGAATCTTGCAAAAGACTTGGGTCAAGATGGGAAAGCGTGGACAGGATCTAGCATTGCAAATGGATCTTAGCGATCGAGCAAAGGAACTGGTGGGAAAAGCCCTTGCTGGATAATAAGATCTTCAATATCACCCAGATGGCTTACTTTCGGATCGCGCTTTCTCCCCGTATAGAAGCCGTATGTACCGGGAATACCAGGTGCACAGGTATCAGGTCGTCCATACGCCATAAAAGCAAGATGAGAGCATCTTGGAATCACTGCAGGAGACCAAACGAAAACGCCACCTGAACTCGATCTGGAAGAGCGGGATATCCGAGGATAATATGGGACGAGGCTGACATTGGCAGTGGGAACAGTCAGGCTATGTGCAATCCCACCTCCCACCGTGGGACCGGACACCCTCCTGTGCACGTATTCACAAGTCATCCAATAAAACATGTCCAACACCGGTCTTATGTCCAGCAGTTCAGACTATGAGCCACTTTTGGTCATTGGTACTTGTGGGAATCAGACTGAATGAAATCTCCCAGTTCACGCCTAAATTGTCAGGCAGCGTGCTTCGGAGGTATCCTCGGATATCAAATGAGAAAGCGAGTTCTGGGGTAGACCATTGATCAAGTACTCACCACCTAAATACGTAACTAAGGTACTGTATACTCATCGTTCCCATAGGAAGTATTCAGATCGGGTTTCCAAGCCCAAGACACTTCGGTTCAGGCCGTCAGCGTAGTAATTACTTAGACACCTAGGTAGATGCCAATCGGGGAAAGATAGGAACCACCAGGACTTAACGATGTAAAATGCGGAGTCCAGGGATGTTGCTAGGCACGAAATGGATGCTGGTTCACACTGCTCCGCACTCCGATCAACCCCACCTAAGCCGAACGGTCAGGCATATTATTGTACGACGTCCGACAACTTGAAATGTAAAAGGCACGAATTCGTCCCGGGCATTCATTAACACGCCTCCAAGTTGTCGAGATTCTTTTTTACATACTAACTATATTCTTCCCGTGCACTTTAGTCACCGAATATGACGAGCCCCTACGCAAAGATCGATTGCCACTCCCACTATCTCCCGGAGTGAGTATTCTCTTCAACCATACCCTGAAGGTTGGACAGTAAGGCTGACATCCTCGACCTAGAAAATACCGAGAAGCACTTGCAGCAAATGGCCACAAGAACCCAGATGGAATGCCTGCCATTCCTGTAAGTTGAATCCAGGTTTCTGCTTGACTACTTCTCCGACCAAGTGAATACACATCTTATTCTACTCTACTCATGTCACTCGTTACTCAATTCAACTACGAAAGTCTAATGACCATCTCTGTTCCCAAATCTAGCATTGGGATGAGCACGAGCACCTGGAGATGATGAAGGACATGAACATCACAAAATCAATCATCAGCGTCAGTTCCCCGGGCTGTTATCTGAAGAACGGCGAGACCCAGCTGGCACGAGATCTTGCACGACACGTCAATGAGGTAGCGTCCGACCTCAAGAAGCGAAGACCCGAGCAATTCGGATTTTTCGCCTCTCTACCCCTAGCCGACGTCGAGGGGTCCCTTCAAGAAGTGCCCTACGCCCTGGACGAGCTCGATGCAGACGGATTCGTGGTCATGACGAATTTCGGCGGGCGGTATCTGGGCCACAAAGACTTTGACGCGATTTTTGATGAGTTGAATAAACGGAAAGCCGTTGTTTTTATGCATCCCACCACACCCTGCTTACTCGACGGCACGGCGGCGACACCCATCACAGATTTCCCACGTCCCATGTTCGAGTTTCTCTTCGATACGGCGCGGGCGGTCATTAACCTGTTCTTATCCGGTACGGTCAGTCGGTGTCCAGATATCAAGTTCATCGTGCCGCATATGGGAGGGACTTTTCCACCACTGATCAATCGATTTGCGACGATTGGGTCGTTGCTCCAGTTGCCCAATGTCGACCGGAATGTGAGTCCGAGCTGGGTCAAGGAGCGACTGAACTCGCAATTTTACTTCGACACGGCGGGTTGGGCTTTCCCGGATCAGATCAAGGGCCTACTTGAGTATGTCACAGTGGATAGAATGTTGTATGGCAGTGACTACCCCTTCACGCCGGCGAAAGCCGTGGGAGTGTTGTCTGGGGACCATGACACCCACATGCCCAAGGTTTTTCCCAATGAGGAGGATAGAGAGAAGCTTGCAAACAAAAATGCTGTCAAATTGTTTGGCAAGAAGTGATGTAAAGCTCAGACATAGGGATGGTCTCAGGACGGATTGTCCGCGGGTTGGAAATCGAGACATCGAACCCGACCCGCCACCCTTGCCACGAGGGTTGAGCAGCCAAGGGAAAGTGAAGCGTTACTAGTACCATAGACTCCAATGCCATTCATTAAAATCGTCCATGGGTGTTGGAAACTCGATCTTTGAGACGCCAAAGATTATGGCTGTGCATAGTGGTGGTCGATATCTTTTGCCCGGAAGTTGAGTCCGAGCCTGGGCATGCCCACCTCGTTCCTCGGCAGCGTCATGGTGCAACACTTGGGTGAAGTCATGGCATTTCAAGGAAACCAAGGAGTGCCTGGGTGTTCTGCTGGGCATGGGGTATAAGAATAGAGGAGGTCGCGAGCCGGATGTAATGGCATTGTTGATTATTATCTAGATCATTGGTATTCCATTCTGATAACTATATTGCAAGCGCACCTACCATTGAATAAGACCGAACCTATCACACTTTCAACGAGATATCTTCCAACGATCATACCAAGTACTAGTATTTGACATCATAAAGCCTTGAGAGGCACAAGATCTTGAGTCACATCATCAAAATGTCAAGCACCCTCAACGGTATGCAGACCACGCGGCCCTGAGCAATGAGGGGCGGTCCTGACTAATAAATCAATAGCCCCAGAGACAACAGCCTCGCATTCCGAGCTATTCGGACTCACAGGACAGAAGCGACCATCAACTACAGCAGGTTCCGGTCCCGGGACAGGAATCATTGGCACCAGCGGACACGCAGGAGCAATCAACAAGGCAGCAGACACATTAGGATCCGGGTCCATAGCCTCATCCGAGACGGCTGGCATGCAACAAGGTGGAAAGAGCAATGCAATCATTGGCTCTGGAGGAGAACAATTCACACCGAGTCAGGGAAATGGAGATGTTGGTCGAGAACGACAAGAGAAGAAGAGTCTGGTTGATAAATTGAATCCATTGAAGTGACAGAGGGTGCCGAGGTTGGGGGAAAGAGAATGTTGATGATGATGTAATCTGGTCTCCATGATGAGCATATCGGGACTGGACACCAGGTATGATAGAAGGTGATTTTCAAGCAATAATGCAATGAACTGTATGATATGATAATTATTTATTCAATTTCTGGGTATTATCCTGCTGCTTCGTCTTGCATGTTACGGAAGGGAAGGTATCTGTAAAAGACGCTGAAATACCTTGTGGCCAGTGGCCACCGTGACGCCGAGTGGAAGCTAGGGGTGCTAGTGCCTAAGCAACAGAAGCTACGGGGCATCTTAGGTGGAATTAGTAGCGGCCAAGTGTGACTTGGGGGCGCTAACCCTGCGGTCAGACTCCCTCTAGAAGCCCTTAGTGCACCGTTATGGGCAAGTGCCATCTGGGTAAAAGTGGCAGGGTAGGGATCTCAATCCTGCTCCCGCCTCGCCGCATCCGCTCTCTAACTTGGAATGGATGATTGACACTGCACTGACTACCACTACTCTTCAATCTTGTTCTCCATCCCACTGCCAGTGCTCGGGGTATTTGCCATCTATCATCTGCAGAGCTCGACGTCACTCAAGTCCTACCGTTTTATCAGAGTGAAACCTCACAGCAACTCTAAAGGAACCTGAACAGCAGAACGAGGTCGCCTTTTTGTTACCAGCGGTCGGTCAACAAGTTCCTGGCGCGCCATTCCCCATTGGCAACCAACACAGGACTTGCTCCCACTGCGCGCTTCCAGTCCAGTCCACCTCAATCCAATCATTCCCCTCAACTAGACTCGTCTCACTATCACTCATCAACTCAAGCCCAAGCCCCCCTTTGTCACCAAACCAATTGCCCACCACGGCGTTGACGACCATCAACAATCGCGACGCTGATCCAGACAAGATTGACTTTGCTCCTCCGCCTCAGTTTTCCGGTTCAGACGTCGCTTCTTCCTCAGGTCTATCAGCACGACCTCCACCTTTCTCCTCCCTCTACTTTCCTTCTGCAGCCGAACTTGATCGCCTGAGGGCCACTGTTGCCGAGACTGCTTGCGACAATCCGCTCGTAACTGCTCCGGCGCCCTCCTTTGAGGAGGCTCTCGCCGACGACGAAGCCGAGTCCAAGGCTCAAGCCGATTCAAAGGCCACCCTTCCGCAGGACTCAAAGGCCCAGTCTTCAAAAGCAGTCGTCGACGAAGGAGAACCTCCACCTCCCTATACCGAAGGTTCGAGTCCTTTAGACTCGTTTTCCTACGTCATGGCCACTGCCGGTGGTCCTGCGAGTATCATCACACAAGTCCAGCAAAGTGCCGGTCCTCCTATCAATACTCTGGGAGGTAAGATATATTGTCCCCATTAATTTCACGGGGTGCGAGGCATACTAACGTCATACAACAGCCGGAGAGGCTACGGATGAGCACATCACTCTGGATTTGAGGTAAGCCAGTTACCCAGTACGCAATCGAACCTTTAACTGACACGGTATAGAGGAACGCAATTCACATTATCTCGCGATGAGCTACTGACACTTCCCGAATTTGTACTATTATCATTATTCCCCAATGGTCTCCTGCCAGACGGTCATATGAACTCATTCCACGATGGCGATGTCTATCCTGTTGATGTAGGTACCATTACACCTGCACACGTTTTGTCCATTCTTAGCAATCCTTATTATTACATGGGAGATTTAACGTATTTTTCGCAGTATGACCCAGCATCGCTTCAGTATATGTTAAACTTCTTTCGAGACGTTGCTCAATCCATACCATCCACAACTCCATCACCAACCACACCGCCCGATGGCGATGCCAGGGAGATCACACTTGAACCTCCCATGTCATCCACCAAAGACATGCTTCAAGACCGAGCAGGTATCATTGTCCTGAGAGAGGATCTCGATTTCTATGTCATTCCTCCCAAGCCAGATATTGAACAAGCTGAGATGACCGAAGTCAAGAGAGCGGCGGGCAAATCATTACTTCGACAGAATGGAATCTTTTCTGGACTGAAACGGAGTGAGGAAGCTGGCACCACTGAACAGCATCTGATAGAAATGCTGACTGCTGGGTAATTGAATGAGACTCGTCGACTGTTGTGTGCAAGCTAACGGTCAATAGGGGGTTCAATCACGATGACGCATGGGGTCACCGGGCAGGGGAACCCAACAAGGCCGTCATCTGCAGTTTAGCACTTGCTCGACTACGCACCGATATCAAAGGTGATTTAGCTGGGGGAAATGCAGTTGGCATGGCCCAAAAGCTTCTGCTCTTCTGGCGGAAACCAGCACGAAGATGTTGGTGGGAAGGAGTTGACCTTGACAACGTTGAAGGAGTCGAGGGCAGTGTCAAGGTGTGGATTCGAAGAGTATGGACTTTGGAGATGGTGAGCATCCCACAATATATCTGGAAATCGGTCTCGATGCTAACATGACTTACAGAGTGTCATTGGATTACGGTGATCTTAAGAACACTGTCTCTCTTTGTTTTGTTGCGGTTGGTTCAAGAAGTGCGAAGTCTTCAAAATCGATTTAGTGATATCCCATTGGAAGGCATTACTGGGAGCATTTGTTGCGTCTGTGGTGCTGGAATGGATATGGCTTTACCCATTTTGAAACACCCGAGAACGATGCTCCTTACAACGGCGTCATTGAACAGGGCTAAGGGTCTGCCAAAGTGCTCGATCCTCAACTACAGCGAGAGGACTCGGGATCTGAAAAACTTTTATACAGTCTTTAATATTTACAGATAACCCACGCTAAGAACATGTTGGGGACTCTGGTGGTAGGTATATATGGAGTAGGATGCTTGCGGGATTGAAGTCAGAACTCAGAACTCAGCATCCCGAGCCCCGAACGACGTTCGTCTAACTTGATTGTCCGCTCAGTTATTCCCGACTAGATAACTGCAGTCCTGTCGTCCTGACACGTGATCACAAAGACGTGGCTTACATAATAGTCGCGATCTCAGGCTTGGCATTCTAAAGGCGAGCCGACGTCGCGACTTTTGAATGTCGATATTTCCGTGAGAGAAACCAACACCACCGTTCACAAGTCTTAACGAAACACGGTGCCACTGTTGACATCTCTGGAGCGCATGAGCGTCTATTCTCCCTAAACTTATCATTCTGGCCATGTTGTAGCGATCGTTGCCGTTTTCCACCATGGCTCCGGCGCAATCATTTGTGACCAGCTATCCCCCGCGGGTTCGACAATACGCCAACACCCTTCTCCAACCTGCACCACCAACACAGAATGTCGCCCCTGGTGGCCGAACTACGAAGAGAGGCACTACGATAATCAACTACGCCGACGATGCATATGATGAAGATGACTTTGAGGACAGCGAGGGACCTCGACGACCTACTGGATTGCGATCCTTACGAAGGGATGACCCGGACAAGAAAGACGCACCGCCCGTCCGACTCGGGCGAGAACTACATCACCCCGTTGATCTCCAAGCGATATACAGAGACTGGATCATTAGGAGGACTGCCCGACCAGTGTAAGTCGCGCGCTGAGAAGAAACTGTTGTGAATCAAGACTGATCAAGAATTGCATTAGTAGGACGGACGCTCAATCACATATCCAAGCCCAACTTCCTCTGACACTCATCCCCATTCGAATCGATCTTGATGTTGGTCCGCATCAACCAGACCCTCCATACCCTATGCCGCGCACCATCGACCCAACTGCTGCCTCACTCATGCCTATGTTCCGACGACCTGATCCATTACCTGGTTACAAAGTTCGAGATATCTTTCTGTGGAATCTCCATGAAAATTTGATGACGCCGGATGATTTTGCATTGTGCTTTGTCAGGGATCTGGACTTACCAAATCAAACTGCCGCCGCCATGAATGTGAGCCAGCAGATTCGAAATCAATTGGAGGACTATGCCGGTGTCGCCATGCATCCGTTGTTTCATACTCAGCCGAAGCGGCGAGGTCAGGTGGCAGAGACGACAAATGCCCCCACACCTTCAGTCCTCCAGAATGGAAGCTCTCGAGATGGAACTCCCAGATTGATTGGAGCCTCGATTTCGCGACCTGCCTCAACGGCACCAGGAACGCCAGCTCCGCAGACACCTCGACCTCCTTTACTTCCCCATGGGGCGACGATCGCAGCAGTTGCCTCGCCTATGCCTGCCCCAGAGATTGCACCCGACCAACTCGAAGAGCCATACGACCCTTACCTCAACCCCGATGATACCTACCGCTGCATCATAACACTGTCTATATATCTCTCATCCAAACTCTATCAGGACAAGTTTGAATGGTCATTGCTCCATCCGCCGGGGGCTGCAGAAGTGTTTGCCAAACAAACGTGTGCAGATATGGGATTGAGTGGTGAATGGGTCATGGCCATCACACATGCCATTTATGAGGCTGTCTTACGGCTGAAGAAGGAAGCGTGCGAAGGCGGGATGATCATGATTGGGGGAGGCACTTGGGGTGGTGGAGAGCTCGACAATCAAGCGATGCGACACGAAGAAGGGGCAGGGTGGAGGTATGACATTGATGACTTTGGAGCCGAGTGGGAGCCCAAATTCGAAGCGTTGAGTAAGGAAGAGATTGAGAAGCGTGAAGGTGATCGAGAACGACAGCTCCGCCGCTTACGTAGAGAGACGGCCAAATTCAGTTCGACCTCGGGCATGGTACTTTCGGCACGAGAGCAGGAAGCTCAACAACGTGGAAGCTACTTTGATTATACTGGTGTCGGCACGGGAGGCGATGAAACTCCTCTCATGGGTCGTGGCGAGCGGAGCAAGAAGAAACGACGATTCCGATCCCTCAGTCCTGTGGCAAAAGCGCAAACTCCAGAAGGAGGAAGTTCGGCGGGTGCTGGTTGGGGTGGCGAGGGCAATCGATTGCAAGATTATGAGAAGCAGAATTGGCGGTGCAAGCACTGTCTGATATGGGGCAATGCCATTTGGGCAGTGCGAGATGGACCACTTGGACCAAGAGTGAGTTATTACTTGACGTTGTCATGATTGAGGACGTGTTAGTCACTAACTGATGTTTGAACAGACACTTTGCAACAACTGCGGCTTGATTTACGAACGCGACAGGAGATTGCCGGTGTGGTCCAAGGAACTACATCGATTAGCACAGCCGCTGGGACGATGATACTTGGGTACGACAATGGTTGCATCACTCTTCACGGATTCATGGGCATTTGGTAGCGCGAAGACCATCCTAGGAAGAGGGTTTTATGGCTTGGAATGGCCCGGGATTGACAGCAAGGCGTTCTTGATTAACGGGCATGCTACTACTAGTTAATTGGCAAAGGGAGCCATTGTGTGCTCATGCCTGTAACACTACTTGGGGCTTGAAAACGGCGCTGTCTGTAGGTAGGATTGAGCCGATGGGAGAAGAATGACCCAGATGCGTTCTAGATACCTTGTGGAGGATTGGGGAATTGTATGTACTCTGTATACCATGGTTCCTACCTACATACATCATCCATGTAGGCTCCCATACTACATACAGTATATAGTAAAGTGATAAGATAAGATGTGCTGGAGTGCGGGCGCAATCGTGGAAGTTGCGGGCAAATCAAATGACAGTGGCATCAAGTTGGCGGTCGCGACTTCCCACCTGCACCCTGCCGGCGAAACTTGAAGTTGATGCCAGATCACAAACTCAACAACAACATCTCCACCACCTTACCTCGCACACAACCTTCTCAGAGAAACCCCGGTATCTTCCTACTTCTCTCGACCTTGGCAATAGAAATGCGGTAGAGCAGCTGCAAGTCCAACCACATCACTCCTCGTTTTTCCTATTTCCCCTGTTGTCACCATTAAAAGCCACCGAGGCTGCCTTCTCTTCAAACATGGTACGTTGAGCCAAAGCTGATGATCCTACGTGTCGCATGAGTGCAGTTCTTGTCATTCTGAACCGGGGAGTCTAAAGACGATAACAACAGTACTGATTTTTCTCTTTCTACAGGCGCAAGTCATTTCCACCTCCGGCCACGATGACATGATTGTATGTCCCACTCCTAGATCATCCTTTGATCTCCTCTGGCGAAGGCCCAATTTCTATAGAACCCACGGTCATCCTTAAGCCACATTCGAAGCGAGACAAGAGAAGAATATTACTAACCGTTCGTTCGACATTTCCAGCATGATGCCGTTCTAGATTACTATGGTCGCCGTCTAGCAACATGCTCGAGTGACCGAACCATCAAGATTTTTGAGATTGAAGGCGATCAACATCGGTTAACAGAGACATTGAAAGGGTGAGTTCCGCGTTACCTCAAGAGCCGCATTTTCTGGCACACCTCTAACACCACGGCCTTATGAAATAGCCATGAAGGAGCAGTCTGGTGTGTATCCTGGGCCCATCCCAAATTTGGCACCCTCCTCGCCTCATCCTCATATGACGGCCGTGTTCACATCTATCGAGAAACACCTTCATCACAAGCCACCTCAACGACTCAACAATCTGCTCAATCTCAATGGTCTCTCGTTTTTACCTCCACCATTCACACCGCCAGTGTCAACATGGTCGCATGGGCACCCCCGGAGCTTGGATGTCTTCTGGCGTGTGCTAGCTCCGACGGGAATGTCAGTGTCCTAGAATTTCGCGACAACCAATGGTCTCACATCATCTTCCCTGCCCACGGCATGGGTGTTAATGCTGTGAGCTGGGCACCAGCAGGTGCACCAGGTGCCATTGCCCGCAAAGATACCGGCACAGCAACTGCAAATCCCGCATCAGCATCAACCACAACTCGCCGATTTGTGACCGGAGGCAGCGACAACGCCGTCAAGATCTGGGATTATAATACACAGACGCAATCCTACGAGAACACACTGATACTCCCACAAGGTCATAGTGACTGGGTGCGGGATGTGGCATGGAGTCCCACGCTCTTATCCAAGACTTACATCGCCTCAGCCAGTCAGGACCGAAGTGTCAAGATCTGGACGAGTTCGAACCCCAATGATCCCTCAACCTGGGCCCTGGCCAAATCTCTCGAGCTGGACGCTGTTCTATGGCGTGTCAGCTGGAGTCTATCAGGCAATATACTGGCTGTTTCCGGCGGTGATAATAAGGTGACACTATGGAAGGAAGACCTAAAGGGGAACTGGGAGGTGGTAAGGGAAGTCACTGAGTAGCGCTCGGGAGATGGACCAAAAGATGACGCACAGGGTGGCACTAGAGGAATAGCCATCGGGAAAAGTCTGCTGGAGATGTAAAATGCTAGAGATTCACCCTATGTTTGTTCCCCTATCATAGAACGAGGCTGTACGCAAAAGTTCCATACCATGGACAAGGAGAACTGGTCTCTACCTAAGATGACAACTCGTATCAAGGAAGTGTCGAACTAAATCTGGCAACTTTGCATCTTGACCGTGGTTAGAATAGAAATGCTCCACGTCAAGTATACATTCAACCCACAGAACCCCAATGTTCATGAGCCGATTACACAAAGACAGGCACTGAAAATGGAGTTCGAGTTAGATACCTAGGTACTTGCTCATCTTGCTACATGGGGAATTCTAATCTGCCGGCTGCCGCGATTGTCGAGGCTCTGGGAGCTGTTCCAGTCCGATGCGGCGAAGTGGAAATTGAGTACGGCTTGAGGTGGCGGAAGTTGGAGTTTGATGAGCCGAGCGCAGTGGGCGGACCTCGTTCGGGGAATACGTATGATTGAGAGATGCGTCTATAGTATGTGGACATTCATGAAGCCAAAGACAGTTTCACAGATCCGGCATTGATGCGGAGACGGAATAGAAATTGTAACACAATCATACAAACATGTAGAAGAAGATAACTCATGTCCCTACTCGTACATCGCTGGGGTATCTGACTAATTAGGTAGGTATTGGTTGTCCAGGGTCTTTCTTCTCCTCCACCTGGGCATTAAGAGTATAGGCATTCCACTCCTTGTCGATTCGCCTCTTGCCATCCGCATCACCTTTCCACCCCTGCTCGTCGAGCTTGAGTTTCGTCAAACGCTTCTCCATCTCTCTCGATTGTAGATTGGCTTCCTGAATCCTTGTCACGCAGATGTCACGGCCCAAAACCTCCATGCTGTGTGAGACTGGTGGGCCGGACGTGCTGCCCAGCAAGGCCCATCGGAGATACTCATACAGCAGCGCTTTCCACGTTTTACCCGAGACAGTCTCGTCAGGTGATTTCCCCAACAGTCTAAGGGTTTCACTGTGGGTGGTTTCAGTCCACTGTTCCTCCGGTATGAGCATGAAGGTGGAGGCAGCAACACGGAGATGGTGCAACATATTGGGTTGACCATAACTGATGGACAAGTCTGGTAGTACTTTGGGCGGGCCGAGCACGAAAGCAGAGAGTCGAGTGGCAAAATCAGAGGGATTTAAATAAACCAAGGATTTCAAGCGTAACATGTTCTCCAGAAGATCCTTCAATGGCCGACCCCCAGCGAAAGCCAGGAATTTCTCAGTCCCGTATTGTTGATTCAGAGCATTGGCCAGATCTCCGACAATTCCGTCCAAAGCTTTACCACCCTCCTCGATTTTCGCTCTCATGTGATGACTCTGAAGATAATCAAGTTTGCTGAAAGTAACAATGGTGTTGCCCTTGGTGAGCTTCATATCGAACAGCTCGATCAAACGTTCGACGTTCATGATTTCTTTCTTTTGTCGGTGGGACCATCCCAGTAGAGCAGCAAAATTGATGAGGGCCTCGGGAAGGTAACCTCTAGCGCGGAAGTTGGCAACATCAGTGTCCATGTTGCGTTTACTCAGCTTCTGGCCTTTTTCGTCAACCAGTAGTGGAACGTGGGCGTATTTGGGGGGAGTCCAATCGAGAGACTGATACAAAGCAACATGGAGTGGTGTGGAAGACATCCATTCGGAACCACGAACGACATGGGTGATTTGCATATCATGGTCATCACACACATTGGCCCAGTGGTAGGTCGGATAACCATCCGACTTGATCAGAATTGCATCTGCGTAGACGAGTTCATCAAGCGATAGGTTTCTGAAGGCGTGCTGGCCATGACCGCTTGAGCCAAAGACCATGTCCCTGTACCTGGGCCAGATGTTTGGGGCACGGAAGCGGACGACGTGCTGTTCCCCGGCATATGCTCTCTCATCGGCCTCCGCTTTTTCCAAGTGGGTACATTTCCGATCATAACCTAGAGGGAGACCTTTTTCATGGCGAATGCGGTTGAGTTCATCCAGTCTCTGGGGGCTACAGAAACACCGATACGCATGGCCCGAGTTTAAAAGGAGTTGGATTTGAGTTTTATAGAGGTCCAGTCTCTGAGACTGTCGATAGGGACCGTGTGGACCACCAACGAGAGGCCCTTCATCCCATTGCAAACCGGCCCACTTTAGGTCTTCGTACAGCTTTTCCTCAGCTCCGGGAATGGTTCTTCTCGCATCTGTGTCTTCGATCCTAAGCAGGAATTGACCATTTGTGGCTTTTGCCAATAAGTAGTTGAATAGAGCGGTTCTAATGGAACCAAGATGGAGATTGCCGGTGGGAGAAGGAGCGAAACGAGTGCGAGCTGGGGAAATTGGAAGCTTCCCTCGCTTGGTGGAGGGTGTAGGGGTCGAGAGAGAGGGTGTGGTAGAGCAGTTGCGGGCCGACACAGAGGGGGAAGGCTGTTTACGTGTGACCCAGATACTCCGGCGAGTGTGGGCAGTGGCGCGACAGGAACTGCATATCCATCGAGTGGCAGGGGAAGCGGAGGATGTGATCATCGAGTTGATGATTAGGGATAGCCTGTAGTGGGTTGTAGACTCTAGTAAGTGGAAATGGAAGGGGCGAGAAAATGCGAGATGTGAAAAGGAAGGTGCGAGTTTGACTTTCATGGCGCAGCCTCGTAAGGCGAGAACCGAGGGCTCAGCCTTGCCACGTTCCTTGAGTCTGCGTCTGCATATGACAAACTCTGCGCCCCCGGCTCTTTCCTGCTGGCCCCAAACCTACAAAATTATTCATCAGTTTCATCCCCCTCCCCATCTGACTTTCATCCCCAATTTCTGCCTGGCTGCTGCCACTTCCTTGTCTATTTGATTTTCTTCCAATCTGACCTACTTGGTGAACACTGCCCTCCTTTCCTCTTTCTCAATCAACACATTCCAACGCTTCATAACTCACTCAACATGAACGGTGCCGGCCCTACCGAAGAGATCGATCTCTACGCCATTCTCGGTGTCGAGAAGGATGCCTCTCAAGCAGATATCAGAAAAGCGTATCGAAAGGCCGCTCTCGCACACCACCCTGACAAAGTTGCCCCCGAACAGCGCGAAGAGGCCGAAGTTCGTTTCAAGGCTGCCTCCCAAGCCTACGAAATCCTTTATGACGACGAAAAGCGACACCTCTACGATGCCCATGGCATGGCTGCTTTTGATGGCTCAAGAGGACCTGGAGGTATGGGTGGAGAAGTCAACATGGAGGATATTCTGAACATGTTTGGTATGGGAGGAGGTATACCAGGAATGGGTGGCATGGGTGGCATGGGTGGTGGTGGGCCTCGCAAAATGCGCCGCTCTCCAGATGAGAACCAGAAATACGAAGTCACTCTGGAAGATCTGTACAAGGGCAAGACGGTCAAATTCTCCTCCACCAAAAATGTCATCTGCTCCAAATGCACCGGTACTGGTGGTGCTGACAAGGCCAAACCAAAAGAATGTTCGGCTTGCAAAGGTCAGGGCGTCAAACAAGTCTTGAGTCAGGTTGGCCCCGGCATGTTGACCCAACGGATGGTCGAGTGTGGTGCCTGCGAAGGTACAGGACAGGTCTTCAATCCCAAAGACAAATGCAAAAAATGTAAAGGCAAGCGAACTGTGGAGGAGAAGAAACAACTTGAACTCTACATTCCACGCGGGGCACGAGAGGGTGACCAGATTCGTCTAGAAGGCGAAGCCGACCAGATTCCCGGTGCTGAACAGACCGGAGACATTGTCTTTCACCTGGTGGAACTGCCACATGAAACTTTCCAGCGCACAGGTAATGATCTCTCGGCCAAGTTGGAGATTTCTCTGGCCGAGGCTTTGACCGGCTTCCGCCGTGTAGTGTTGAAACACCTTGATGGTCGTGGTATTGAACTTAACCACCCTCAAACTCCCGGTCAAATTCTACGTCCTGGAGAGGTTCTCAAGGTCCACGGGGAAGGTATGCCATTGAAAAAGACCGATCACAAAGGCGACCTGTACCTTGTCATCGAGATTTTGTTCCCCGAAGATGGCTTCTTTACCGACCCTGCAGCTTTGGACAGCCTGCAGAAATTGCTGCCCCCTCCACCAGAGGCCGTCGAAGCAGAGGAGACAGACGAAGTCAGCTTCGAGGTTGCCGATATTGATGATATTGGTGGTGATGAAGCACCAAACCAGTGGGAGGATGAGGATGGCCCACAACAAGCACAATGTCAGACACAGTAAATGCCTGACGGGCCCAAACTGCCGCCTATCTCAATCCAATTCGTGGCTACACCATTTTTACGACGTGATGAGTTACGAACTTTGATCGGGACAACAAGGGGAGGAGATGGCTTTGGTCGACCCCATTTTCTACCCCCATACCCACTATGCTCACATCTTCCTCCCAGGATCTGATGGGGCAAATCCCCTTTATGCATTGGGCGGTGTAACTGTTTCCAAGTTGGACATGAATGAAAAAGCATTTTCCTGGCGTTTTACATAGATTGAAGATGTGGACTGGCGAAGGTATCTCTTTCCAACATGAACAAACCAATCGGTCAGAGATGCATTCACCAGCGCTTGCATGAAATCTGCAAGGACGCAACGAGAAGGATTTTCTATAATTTATCTACTCTTAGCACACAACTCAACGATTAGATCAGCTTTTCCACCAAGATCATCGGTTGCATTAGGGACCAATCCGTACATTTTGTTTTTCGGCCTCATGGCTAGTATTCTCTTACGTCATCAACAACTTTGAACGATCCTCTCCTATTGGGTGCCTACTATGGCAGCTTGCAGGTTAGGCAGTCTAACAAGACCAAAGCCATTCTTATGACTCGCTCCTGTATGCAGCATCACGTATGGCACAGTGGACTCAACATAACAATCATCTCTTCCAGGAGATTAGCGACTGAGAACGCGGAGTGTCTCAAGAAATAGCACAGCCCAGCAATGGCCATACAGCGCCTCCACTAGTCAACCTTTCGTGAGTCATGTTAGCAGTGGGACAGACGCCTGTTCGTGACTCGATATTAGTCGCGCCAATAGTGCAGCAATCTTGTTGCGATTAATTAGTTCTAAGTCTGCTATGATCCCTCCGAGTCTTCCTTGTTCATCCTTCCTTTCATGAGAGCAGGTAAGCATCTTTCGACATTGGTATATTGCGACTTGGTGAATTGTTTGGATATTACAAACCAGTGGATTCAATTTGAAGTGCGTTCCGCAATCAATACTGTTGAGATCTGGAGTCTTGAAAACCCCCCGCGGGCCTAGCGCAACTCGCAAACCCTTGAGATGTCGGCTGGTGGTGTGAATAATCAAGATTCCAAGCTGAGGTCTGCGTCAGATGATGTTGATAATGACCGGGAAACCACAACGACAAGGCGATACCCGAGACGTAATCGCAAAGAAGTACTAACAACGAGCAATAAAACTTCTACAGCGTCCGTATCTATCATTCACAAGGCCTCTCACAAGCGCAAAGCCGTGTCGCCAAAGCCGCCTGGATCAAAGTCCGAATTAGGCACGATGGACTCATCTTTCAAAGAAGAGAGACAAGTCAAAACAAGTAGAAAAGCACCGAGAAAGCAATCTGGAAGTGACCGAGGTATACGAATTACTGACAAACATATCCTCTTTTGGGGCAGTGTGTTGTCGAACTGGAACTTGGGATCAACGTTTCCGGGCAGCAGACTCGTGGAACTACTCATTCCGCGTCTGGTTGAGCATGGAGTCGAGCATCCACGTCGGACTTCTGTCAGTACTAAATTGCTCGAGCACCATAACTTTGTCTGCGGTGAACAGGCCATGATGGCTTGCAAAGCCTGGTTGTTTGAAAAAGGCCCAGTGCTGGAACAGGACGTTGAGGAATTGCAACTCACCGACCCGAGTTCCTTCTTCGACGTTTTCCAAGACCCGGCAGCTTTCTCGGATGTCAGCCTGCCCAGGAATCTTGGAAGTGCAAGCGATCTTCTGGCGAAAGCACGTAAGACGTACTTGTGGCAGATTCTCCTCAACTCCAGTCCTCGCCACCAGAAAGGCTTGGGACGCAAAATCCCAAACTTTTCACCTGACATATGGAGCACTTCATGTGTCCCCATCGTGGTCAGTGTATGTATCGCTCGTGCTGAATGCGAAGATGAGCTCAAGAAGCTGTACCGTCATGTTGGAGATCGGAAATTCGTTGAAGGCTCTCCAATGGATCGCATCTGGGGTGTGGGATTGAGATGGGATAATCCACTCGCAGACGCGGAAGAAAATTGGAAGGGAACGAATTTATTGGGCAAGTGTCATGACCAGGCGGCTGCGTTTTCTAACACTGGAGACTTTTGAGGGCGTCGAACTCGTATGGCGAGTGCCCGCGCAGGATTTATTTGTCGAAGAACCAGGAGACGCCATGCGTGGCTTTGGTGGGTCATTGTGATACATAGGAGTTGGGAGTTTGTCATTGGTTGTTTTATTGTGGTTGTATCAAGAATGCTGCTTGTAACATGGTCTGTCTCTAAAATTCACTTCATAGTTACCTGACCACTCTTGTTTCAATCGGTGTCTTCTTGTGTGGTTCGACACCAACAAGGCTGACCAACAGCCTTGCCGAGCTCGGTACAATAATCGACCGTAGGATGTTAAGTCATGCAATATGGCCCACCGTATCAATTTGCGAGCAGATCCCGCAAACTTGTGCCTCACATAAAGTGCATCATTGTCCATTGCCTGCACTGCCTAGTCCAAAGAAATCAACACTGCATACAGGCCAAACATAGCCGTCCTCAGGATCGTACCGAGCATATCAGCTCGTGGCATCCAACGGCTTGTCCAAAGATCAGTCGTATAACACAGGGGACAAGAGTCTCCTGGTTACAGTGAGTTCTTTTCTTCTCAGCCTACAACATGGCAGACAGAACGAGCAGTTTGCTGAAGAGACCTCACACTGAAGACGGCGATGGAACACAAAAACGTGCCAGATCCAACGATGGATCTCCACGTCCGACCACCCCGAGTGCGCCGCCAAAGCAAGATGTCAGCCAGATGCTGGCAGCCGCAAAAGCCAGAGCTGCGGAACTAAAAGCAAAACTGGGAGCTGGAAAGTCTTCAACAACAAGTGCACAATCAACACCATCCTCTCTGCCAAGTGCTGGTTCTGCTGCCGACAGAATAGCTGCTCTCAAGGCTCGAATCGCAAGCGCCACGAATAAATCATCTTCGGCTACGCAAAGGACGTCCGCGTCCACACCACCCGTCTTCAATGATGATATATCCAAAGCACGAGGTGGACTGGATATTGGCCTACACCCTGCATTACTGGCGGATGCTCAGCAAGATACACAGCGATCAAAGACACGAATGCCGCAGCCTAAATTTGCTACCACCATGGGAAATCGAAGAGCAGAAGTGGATGGTTCCAACAAGAAGGCAGCATTAGATCTTTCTGGGCCTTCTCTTGAAGAAATAAAAGCCAATCCTTATTTCGACCCTAGTCTGGGCCAGGCCATGGCGAAAGGGAGGGCATCCAAACAACTCATCTTCAATCAGAAGGGCAAATACATTCAACAAGCCGCGGCGCTTCGTCGACAGGCTCAACTCGAGGCTGTGAAGAAGAGAATTGCAGAGCGTGCGAGACAAGCTGGTCTGGAGGAAGATTTGGACACGGACAGAGCATTCCTAATTCCTGCCCCTCCAGATATCGAGTGGTGGGATGAAGGCTTGGTAGATGGAAAGTCTTACGACGTGATCTCCGATCCATCCAAACTCAAGATCGACACTACCGACTCTATCATAACCATTTACATTCAACATCCTGTCCTCATTGAACCACCACAAGAGAAGAACAATCCCGCCCCCAAACCCATGTATCTGACATCCAAAGAACAAGCAAAACTTCGTCGCCAACGCCGCATGGCTGACCTCAAAGAAGTCCAAGCTAAGGTGCGACTGGGTCTCGAACCTCCACCACCACCCAAAGTCAAGAAAGGCAACCTCATGCGCGTACTCGGCGAAGAAGCCGTCAAGGATCCCACTGCAGTGGAAGCACGAGTAAATCGAGAAATCGCCGAGCGAAAAACAAACCATGACCAAGCCAACGCCGACCGCAAACTCACAAAGGAAGAACGCCACGAAAAGCTCGCGCGCCAACAGGCCGAAGACGCCGCCCACGGGATCCACGTGCGTGTCTACAAGATCTCTAGCCTTGCCAACGGCAAACACCGGTACCAAGTGAACGTAAATGCAGACCAAAACGCGCTGACGGGTGTATGCATCATGCATCCGAAATTCAATCTCGTCATTGTCGAGGGCGGCGAACACAGCATCCGCAACTACGACAAGCTGATGATGCAACGCGTACACTGGACGGAGATGGAAGCCCCCCGTGCGGTGCAGGAGGGCAATCGCGAAGCCCTGGCGAAGTGGCTGGAGGCGGAGGATGAGGATGGGAACTTACGCGACCTAAGTCTCAATCGCTGTGATCGTATCTTCTCCGGAGAGGTCAAGCAGCGCCAATTCCGCAAGTGGCTTGGTGCTCGCGTCTGTGAGACCGATACCCATGCGAAGGATGTGCTGACCAGGGCCAAATATCCTGAATTCTGGAATATTGCGAAGTCGTGGACGGCGGACGAGTTTTGATTTGGTTGTTGATGATAGTCTTGTAATCATGAATGTGCCGAGCGAGATGCAGAGAGAGGCCGATGGACGGAATGTCAATTGGCGGCAATGCGCTACATACTGGGTAGCATTGACAGTCCCGACACCATACACTTGAATATACTACACGATCGACGCCAATCACATATCTCCATCAGGTAGTGAGCAGGGACATCACTCACCGCCTGCTGTCCCAATTATGGCATATTATGTACCATCAATGATTCCCTTTCTGCTGTTCATAGGCCCTACTTACGCAATGCATGAACTTGAACATCGCCCACTTCATCAGATCCTGTACCGTGAAATAGAGTTACATAACAAGATAAACAAACATCCTCGTTGATTCCCTTCTCCGTCTCTTCCACAAGAATGAACCGGGAGTACCACGTGGGCGACTTAGTTCGCCCTAGGTAGACATGAAACATGGAACACGGCCAGCACAATGCATCGATACATACGCACTACAAATGAAAGACGACATGGCAGAAGCATACTGGATGAAAACGACTTTTCTTCTCAATCGTCGAATCTACCTAGGCACCTACTGAGTGACTTCACGAACTACCTTACTCCGTACATTGACATATCTAGTAGAAAAAGAAAATATGGACAGACACTCATACTTTGAAAGAACTCCAGGCCCTGGTGGCATAGCATAGCACATATGTGGATGTGGGAAAACGAGGAAACCTCGCATGGGAGGGGAAAAAGTATTGTCCAGGCGCCAGGCTCCTCTCTTCTGACTCTGACCGCACCATCTGACTGCACTTCGACATGCGTCCTCTGACGATTGCTCTTGGGACTCAGCGCAACGCTAGCAGCTCCATCAGCTCTAGACATGCTCATTCAGCGGTCGGGCTTTTTATGTTCGACAACACGATTCAGATTTCGTGCCGCGGTCTCCATGATCCCCGCGATTTTCTTAACCTGCTCAGCGGCGTAATCCCAGTGTCCCTCATCGACAGCGTCACGGATGGCAGGGAAGAACGCCTCGTCGTAGCCGCTCCACAGCTGGGGTGCGAAGAGAACGTGTTTGAACTGCGTTCTGTTGGCTAACCCGCCGCCTTCGGCCAGGTCGAGGAGGTCGGTTTCGAAATGCGCGAGGCGTTCGTTGTGCTCAATGCGCTGTATCGCCAGGGATCCGGACTCGAAGCCGCCGGACCCGAAGAAGAAGTCTCGCCATGTCCCGTCAAAGGAGTGGAAGGCATGTGCCTGTTCTGTGAGTACGCTTGCGGCATTGCGAAGAGGGTTGAGGTCGAGTGATGGGGAATCTCGCTTCTGTGGAGAGTTGGCTTTTGCTTGGGCGTATGTTTCCAAGTCATTGATGTACTTGTCGAGGGCTTTTGCATAGCTGTTTAGATCGAATGGAATGATGGGTTTGTCTGCTAGTTCGAAGAGAAGCAGCGCCCAAATCTCGCCCATCGCTTTGTGATAGAAAAATTCCGGGTCACCGAATTTGGCCATCCATTCAAAATTGTCATAACAGCTGTGATATGGATACTCTTCCCCCTTGAAGAACATGTCAATGGACGAGGTACCGACAATGTCCTGGAAAGCGACATAGTCGCTCCCAGCCCCGAGACCGGCTAAACCTTGAACGCTGTTATTCCAAGCCCCACCAATCGAACCTGCTCCAGAAGGATCCCAAACTCGGTCCAGAACGCGGACGAGGGCTTTTTCGAAGACGGGTGAGCCAGCAGCGCGGAACTCCGTTCCTGAAACGCCAACATCAACGTTGAGATAGGCAACACCTTCGTTGCGAAGCTCGGCTTCACGATTCTCGACGTGCTCAGTACTGCCAATGAGGTTGTATTCCTCACCATCCCAGCTAGCGAACTCAATGGTCCTTCGTGGTATCCACCCAAGTTCGGTAAGCAATCCAAAAATCCGGACGACTTCCAGCATAACAGCGGTGCCGCTACCTGGATCGGCAGCTCCTGTGCACCACGCATCACGATGATTGCCAACGATGATGCGTTTTTGAGGTTGTTCCCAGCCCTTGATCTGGCCAACGACATTGTAAATTGGCTGTTTCTTTTCTTCGTCCTGAAGGTTCTTCAAATTGACCTTGGGCGAGGTTCCATCTCCAGTCCAGTACTCAGTTTGTGGAGTGCCTTTCCATTGCTCTGTCATTTGCACACCGTGCCCTCTGATCGAGTTTAGCAGATGTTTTGCGTCATTCCAGGAAATCGGTAGTGACGGGATTTTGTTTAGACCTGGGCTATCCTCCGGCCTTAAATGTTCTTTGTTGGCGGGAGTCGATGCCCATCCGGGAGTCAGAACATCACCCACAACCCAAGACATAAGACTGACCGCTCCTCGCTGGACCGCATCATCGGGCATGAATCTACCATTTGGGAAAGTAGGCCCTTGAACGAATCCGTCTTGCGAAGGGTCTGAATAAATAATACAACCCACAGCTCCCGCCAGCTCAGCGGCCTTGACTTTCAACGCTCGGTCGCCCTGTGAACCGTAGTAGCGTACCAATACGATGGCATCTTTAACAGATATGCCCTTATCTGCAAGTGTTTGAAAGTCTTCTCGCGAACCGAAGTTGGCGTACACAAGACGACCAGTGACATCTCCGGATTTTGAATGTCCATGGAAGACAAGTGCTTGCTCCTGAATCTCCTCAAGATATGCCTCCCATTTCAGTTCTTCAGGTTCCACGATTGCGACTCTTCTACCATCCTTTCTCGGGTAATTTAAATAGACGTCAAATCTTTCCATAGATACCTCTGTGAGGCGAGAAGCTTTAAATGATTCGGCCACCCACTCTCCGAGGACATAATTCCCCTCGGTGCCGGCAATATGCGGAAAGTCTGTTATGTGTTTGAGATTCGCCTGAATACCTCCGCGATCGTTCATGTGGTTCTGAATAAACAATCTTATAGATTCTGGATCGAACATCTGACCCATTCCCATTCTGTTTCTCGTAAATGACAAGACGTCGGAAGCTATAAGTACATAAAGAATGCCCATGATCAAGAAAACACCAAAGAGTCGACCGATGATGACAACGCGGTTTGAGTCGAGTTGCTGGTAGTTTATCTGAGGCCAAGGTATGTTGGAAAAGTACGAACGAAAGGAAGGCAGCGATAGGGATGAGAAGGAGTTGGTGATACTGGAAAATCGTTTGGATAATTGGTAGCGCAAGAGGGAACGATTGGAGGATGTGTCACTCAGAGGATCTTCTATATCCATCTGTTCTATATCTCGACGTCGTTCCTCTTCCGATTCTTGCTCAAGCCCGTCCAACGAATCCAGACTGCCCCGAGCAGACTCAACGGTCGGGGGTTGGTAATTCCCGTGGGAATCATTGCGCAAAAGGCCTTGTCTTTCGGCATCGTCACTGATCTCTTCAGGGCCGACTCTCGATTGGGAGGAGGTAGGTCGAGAGGAGGTGGCTTCTTCATAAGAGGGGATTGGTAGGTGCTCGTAACGTGATTTACTGTCCATGATTGCAGTAGCTGAATGGGGGTGTCAAGTGATGTCCCGAAGGACGCACTCGGGCTCGGGCTTATTGTTGGGTCATCAGTAGGGAGTTTTATTGTTGCCAGATAAAGGATCAGGTCTAAAGGCAGCGACCATGGTATTGATTCGCGATGTATATGATGTGAATAGTATCAACGATAGTCTCACCATGATCGGGTCTTGAGACTGGAGAGACTGCGCCTCCTGGCAAGCGGCCGGCCGCCGGAACAAACCACGCACCAAGCTGAGGACCAAGAGATCCAAGCGAAGTCGTCGTCAACCTGCCAAGGTCTTGTTTTAGTATAGTCCGTGCTAATGACCACTAGTGGGCACTAGTGAGCACCACTAGCAGTGATAGTGCGGATTAGGTCAATCTGGCACTTGGAGATATGTCCTGTAGTGATCGAATCTCCCTCCCTCTTGGATCTTTCAACAGTCAGACTCAGGGTACAGCTCTCGAGAGTCTCTTCACCTATCACTATCCCGTACTGCAAGCAAGGTGCTACACGAGATCAGCCATGCTTGCTCAGATATCGAATAAATCTACTTCTCAAAGTAGGATTCAATTGCTGGTGTTTTCAGTCTCTTTGCAGCAAAACCATTTCCCATCCTGGTGCAGATACAACGGGTGTCTAAGAGCGGTCGGGTGACTCATCGTCGGATTATGGCATCTGATACGCCAAAAATGAAGCATTGGCCCTCTAGTAGGGCGAAGTCATGTGCTCCAAGCTTCAAACACATCGAAGAGTCTATCAAATGCATGAATTCGTGAATACACTATCTAAATTGCTTGTAAAAAGAGCAGGAAAGTAAACCCAGGCAAGAACGATCAAAATCGGGCAAACTCCGATGGCCGTCTTCGCCATCGAAGAATTACACGCAGGACTTGCCCTTCACGAGAAATCTCAGAGGAACCGAGAGTCCATGGACTCCGAATGAGTTTCGTTCCGGCTGTCAAGCTTGGCTTACCCCAACTGCCCGCAATATCGCCCACATCCCGAGGTGAATACATCGAAAGATACCGGGGAAATCATGGGGCCTCAAATTGATGCTATGTGGGAGACTAGTTACTCCCTTGTGCCCTAGCCCGTCCAATGCTACCTACTGTTGCTTATATCAACTCCCGAGAAAGGGCGGTGATGATTTAGTTGTTGCCACAGCCACAGAGTGAGCAAAATAACAATAGCGTCTATTCTTTATCAGCATGGAACAGAGTCAAGGTATTGCATCTCATGGATGTGCTCTTGAGAAGTAGACTGATTCTCCAATAGTGTACGGATTTGTCCCAACTCAACATAATGACACATATCCTGCAATTGATCCCACGAAATCTGACTACTCTGGCAAAAATGTCCTAATAACAGGTGCATCTCGGGGCTTGGGCCGCGAAATGGCTCTTTCTTATGCGGAAGGGGGCGCCTCAGGGATAGCGATTCTTGATATCCTAGACTCTGCTCATGTCGAACAAGACATTGTGAAAAGCGCTAAGGCAGCCGGAAGATCCTTGCCCAAGGTAGTGTGTCTGAAAGTAGACATTACTAATCTAGCCTCTGTGGAAAGCGCGCTCAAAGCAGTGGCCTCGGAGTTCGGAAGCCTGGATATTTTGGTCAACAATGCTGGATATGGATCGGTCTATGTGCCAGTCCTTGAATCTGATCCTGAAAAATGGTGGCGCAACTTCGAAGTGAATGTCAAAGGAGTATATCTCATGGTGAGAACCTTCTTACCGCTTATTCTGAAAGGGCAGGACAAAACGATCATCGTCCTTTCCAGCATCGGAGCACACCACGTTGTCGCAGGAGGATCAGGATACGAACCAACGAAACTCACCGTCTTGAAGTTCAACGAGTATTTGATGGCTGAGTACGGGTCTCAGGGCTTGTTGGTATATGCCATAGCTCCTGGTGGTGTGCTCACCGATATGTCATCCGATGCTTTCCCTGCACATCTTCATCATCTACTTCCGGACACGCCACGGTTAGTCGCAGATACGTTGACTTTTTTGACAAGGGAGCGCAGAGAATGGTTAGCATCTAGATACGTGGACTCTAAATGGGACATGGAAGAATTTATGGCTAAGAAGGATGTGATCGTCAAGGAGGACCTCCTCAAAGTCCGCTTGCGGGTGTGAACGGTTCATGAGGTTGTCATTCTATAAACCACAGAGAGAGCTTTCATATTAGTTCAGGGAATCCAAAAGCTCATGACAGTACTTCACATACATGATTGATTCGAGAGAGCCCTCGCCAATCTTTCGTGGGCTTTCCATTTGCAGCCGGAACCAACGTTATCTATTCTTGTCATTTTAGCCACGTGGAATTTAACGCTACTATGGGCACAGCGGGCGGTTCTGTGAGCGATGGAGAAGTCACCGTGCGAATTCTGCAGGAGAGAACAGCTTGAGAGCAGTGTTAATGAAATGGTGGAAAGTCAAAATAGACGGACAGCGGATCACAAGAACGGGGGCAATGTACATAGTAGCCAGAATGACGATTGATATCCTGCCAGATCAATCTCATTGCAGGCGAGAGCGAACCTGCTAGGGATCTCATATAAGAACGATATTCATCATGGTCACAGCTTTTCGAATCTGACACGCCATAGTAAACAGGCCTTAATAACATCTGGTTCTCGGTGAAAAACAGATAGAATGATGTTGACTATGAATGGCTATCAGGAACTCAAATATGTGACGAACCAGTCCCTCGAAAGTGAAATGGAATCCTCCTTGGAAGTCGTGTAGGGCGAGAAGTGGTTCCCTTTGATGATCTGGAGGGATTTAGGCTCTTTTGCTGCGTCAAACGCCTCCCTTTGACCAGGTATGAAATCGCTCTCAGCGAGAATGAACAAGAGCGGAGTTGGTGCAATCATTTCGATAAAAGGCGTCACATCAGTGAAAATCGTTGGTTTGTAACTCTGAAGGGTGAGGCGCCCTTTGTAGTTGCGAGTCTCTTCCGGACTCAACTGGTCGATATACGCTTTCTTCACTTCGTCGTTCGCTTCTTTCACAAAAGGGATATATCGGGCCGGTTTCCCCAAAGCTCTGTTCGTGCGGTCTTCGGCCAACTCCTGGTGGTAGCGATCCATGTCGTCGCCATATCCACCCATACGAGCACCAGTCATGGAGGACCACTTGATAACTGGTGTCTGTGATACCACAACTTTGACTCGCTTATCGAGGCCGGCCACTGCCAGGACATCTCTGCCTCCCAAGCTAGTCCCCCATATCCCAATGCGTTGCGAATCAATTTCCGCCAGGCTTGTAGCATAGCTGATCGCATTCTGCCAGTCCTCCAACCGACCTATGTGATCGACCTCTTCACGTGGTTCACCCTCGCTATCACCAACATTCCGATAGTCAAACCACAGTGCTGCAATGCCGGCCTTGACGAGAGCATCGGCAAGTTCAGGAAGAGTCCACTCTTTCAAAGCACCAAGTCCGTGTCCCAGGATGACCAATGGATGTTGTGTTTCACCTTCGGGCAATCGTAGCAAGCCACTCAAGGTGAGTCCATCTGACAGGAATTCAATGTTCCGCTGCTTGTCATTGTGACCGTTTGCAATCATACTTGTCCGGAGATATAGATTTATATTGGACTTCAATAACTCTGTGTGTTCAGATGTCCATCAGACATATAAACCCAGGTTTCATAGTCTCATTGAAAGCATTTTGTATATTCACTACAACACAGACAATACTTCCCTTTTGGGTTGTATCCTTTCTGATTGGCTAGGTTGGTAGAAATGGTAAAGCCGTTCACTTCGCCGCGATCTCCGGGAGGCACCAATGTACCCCGCGTGCTTGGACCTCCATCCCCGGCTCCCAGTCCGAGCAGATTTACTCAACCCCACCGAGGCCTCACGACACTTCTTTGGTCGCACAATGCAGTGTGGTGAAGGAGTGTTCCTTGTCGGAGCCTTGAGAATCCTGGGATTCACATTGATGCATTGAAACCTGGGAGTCCTCTGAGATGCCTTTTCGAGGGCAAGCAGAGCATCACGATCACACGATGTCACGAAATGGAAGAGCTAGGAGACCAATATCATGCCTACCATGTCGGGGACGGAAGTATATCACTCCGTTGAATGTGGTTTCGGTTTTTGTGTTAATTACCTGACCAGGTTGAGATGTGATCGTGCGTTGCCAGCATGTGGTAATTGTGTCAATCGTGGCGACATCACAGCTTGCTGCTATGTTCCAAGAAAATCAGAAGCACGCTCAAAGCCGCAAGAGTCGTCAAATCTTTCGGATGCAGCACAAGCAAGGATAGATCACCTGGAGAGTCTGGTACTCAGTCTGCTGAAGAATGACCAGCAGAGACAGCGTCAGGTCGAAACCCCTTCAAGTTGCATCGAAATCGAAAATGATGCAAACGATGACGAAGAAAACCATCCTTCCGAGGCCCATCAGGATACACCATTATCCAATAAACAAACTCCCATCAGCACTGCGAGGCCTAGTTCGGCCTTGAATATTAGTGCAGACCACAAGCAGACCCTGTCTGTTGATGATGGTCACTGGGCCTTGCTTCTGAATGAGGTCTGTTGATCGCATGCGCAATTCTAGCGAGCCAGCTCTGACATCAAAATTATCGCAGATTGGTGAAGTCCGTTCACATATACGAGCGCAGCAACAAGAATATAAGGACCAGACCAAGAGAATATCTCACCTACTTCGAAGGTCATCAGAGAATATTGGACCTACATTGCTCTTCGGTTCCTCGGGACACGCGAGCCGGTCGGAGATCCTTTCGCAACTGCCTTCACGATACAGTTCAGACATCATGGTTACAAGGTTTTTCTCTCATATGTATCCAGCAATCTGTAAGTAGAGTCGTCTGTCACGAATGTTCTCCTTTTGCTGACTCTGGACAGATGTCCTGCATGGACCAACATTTTACAAGCAGGTAAGACATATGCTAAAAGATGCCTTCGTCGTTGGCTGAGTTTCTCTTGCCTAGTACGAAGGATTTTGGAGCGACCCAGAAAACAGTCCAACTGCCTGGATTGCTCTCCTATTCGCAATTTTGAGGATCGCAATGCTGGACTACCTAAGAGAAGGTGATGAGCCTGTTGAGTGGGAGGGAAAATGTCATGATCTTGCGTCGACTTATCGAAATCGGTTTACAGACTGCTTGCTGATTGCCGACTATACTCAACCGCAAGAGTTTCTCATCGAAGCTCTAATCATGCATCAATACGGCGAGTATGTTGGGACCAGGGATGCCAAATCAAGTATGTGGGTACTCAGCGGAATGCTCGTGAGACTGGCGATGCGTATGGGTTACCACCAAGAGTCGCAACCAAATCTACCTTGCAGTCCATTTCAGGTATGATTGTCAATTAATGATTTCTTGTGAGATAATATTGACCGTTGGATCAGATAGAGATGAGGCGCCGAGCGTGGGCATTCATCCGACAATGCGACATACTCGTATCGTTTCAAATGGGTCTTCCTTCTATGATAACTCCACGCTTGCTCGAAGCGCCTCTTCCACGAAATATCCATGACGACGATAGCTTCAATGAGGATTGTTCTATCCTTCCACCAGCACTACCCGACTCCGAACCAACACAAGTATCCTATCTAATCGCAAAAGCGAAATTAGCCTTCGGACTAGCCCGTGCTTTGGACGAGATAACTGGCAGTGATCCAATAGGGTGGGAACGAATACTTGAAATCGATCGAGAATTGAGACAAATATACGACAACGTGCCTAATTACTACAAGATCGGTCAGTTATCCACCGAAGATTCTCTGGTCCTGGTTTCCTGTCGGTTTGTTCTATCCAGTATTCATCACAAATCTCTCTGCACCGTGCATAGTAGATTTCTGGAGATTGCAAAATTCGACAGCAAGTTCATCTACTCCAGAAGAGTGTGTCTGACTTCCGCCATGTCAATACTCAGGTTTCAGGCTATACAAAATCAAGAGATTCCTGTGGATGGTGGCTTACGAAGTCTGACCAATTATCAAACGTCCCTAGCGATACACGATTACCTTCTTGCTGCAACAATCCTGGCGGCAGACTTGAGTTCGAGTAACTCGGAAAATGCGACGAATCAACAACCATTGCCCGGTGTACCCACGAGGTCTGAGATGATCAAGGCGTTGAGGTTGAGCGCACAAATCTTTGGTCAGATGCAGAATCAAAGCATGGAAGCCTATAAAGCAGCAGATGTCCTTGACATGCTTGTACGAAAGTTCGAGGGTGGGGATCAGAACTACATGAGAGGTTCGAAAGGACCACAGAACCTGGGTCAAGGGCCTGTTTCAAAATCCAACATCATGAGACCACCTCATGTCTCTTCCAAGCGTCAGACGTTACTTTCCAGCTCTTCAGATATACCCAACAAATCTCCTATCATTAGTCTAAGTTCTGGAATAAACCTAGACTTTGCCGGCCACAAAAGCACACAGCAGCCATCGCGTACGCCATCACGTCTGGCTCAAAGCACTAGCTCAGAATACTTGGCTACAAAAAGACCAGGTACGATAGAGTCGTCGAGTTTTGATATACTCACGAGCTGGCCACAACTCCAAGATTCAGGTTACGGTGCGCCTGGGACCTTTATCCCACAGATGTTTCCAGAACTTGAAAGCTCGGCCGACTGGATCACGCCCGATCGTGCAGATATGTCAACGGTGAGTTGTTGAACCCCTTTGTTCTGCTACTCGAACCGAGCTAACGCAAACACCTGAACAGTCGATCATGGAAGAGGGCAATTCGAGTGGGCCAGACTCCTCAGCGAATACACAAGGTATATCATATTCGACATCATTGGCTCTCACGGATCCTATGTCTACACTGTGGAACTTAACCTCATGAGCCCAAGGAGCATTTCTGAGAAACATTGTAAACTATGATCTATGAAAACAAATTTATTGCAGTAACATATGCCCGAGAGACTCTCAAGCCTTAATGAAATATCGTACACGCCGCCATCATGACTTAATGTTTTCGTTGATTCTACAGCAGAACGATTGGTGGTTTGACACAGTCCGTGCAGAAAACGGCAGTAGCTACAGTACTGAAATCCAGACGCTTTCTGCAATTCCTGGTGAAACTGCATAGTAAGTAAATTGGGAATCGCCGCGTAATCCGATTCATGTAACAATCCTGCCCGTCATCTCCGTCATCTTTTGTTCCTTTGCCACGGGAGAGTAGCGGAGAGGCGGGGTCATTTCATTCCACGTTCCTTCCAGCTCATGTTGACTCTACACTCCTTCGATGTTCCCCAACAGATGCAAGTGCGCGTGGACAAATGCATAGGCGGATACAAGTCCTCGGTCTTTCATACTGATTCGCTCAAGCCAGTGGGTCGACAATGGGAAAGAACCATGTGAAAGCCATGACCCCAATTGTCAAACTCCCGACGCGATCCAGAGGATGGTCTGCCCACTTCAGATCTTCATTCTTGAAATTTATTCTTCAACCAGAGACTCAGTGCTATCATATTTATTTCAAACGAAGAAGAACTAGTTTTCGTTCAAAGGCCTCGATTTTAATTCCTTCAAAGCCAACAAGCTCGCCCTAGTGGTAATCGTCGCTTGCCTTTAAGTCTTTGCTGAGCCCAACCATTGTTTCCGCTTCGTTTCAAGAACACACACAGTCATCTTCTGGATCTCAAACCCACGAGAAAAATGCCCAACGCCGGAGGTCTCACCGACCGTGAGGCGGCCATCGACGCGATGATTCGCTTCGTCTGCGCTCTGGACGAAGCAGATCCCGAGCTCTCGGCCTCATCTCTGACGGAAGACGCTGTCATGGATCTCACGCCCTTCAAGAAGATTGGCATGGACTATAGCGCAGTGGAAGGACGAGACTCGATCGTGCAGCGCCTGATGGACGCTGTGGGCAAACCACTCGACACAACACACTGCGCTACGAACATCCGCTGTACCGTCACGGGCGACACCGCCGAACTGACCAGTTGTGTCATGGCGCAGCATTTTCGTGCTGGCCAGGGACCTAGTCCTGAGTATCAGGATTACTATCTCTTTGGGAATCAGTATAAAGCTAGCATTGTCAGAGAGGGAGAGTTGTGGAGGATGAGGCATTTCTCCATCACGCCGGCTTGGGTGCAGGGAAATCCTGCGGTTATGAAGGTCACGTAATGGGCTAGAAATCATGAAAGATAGTAAAGGAGATGGGATGTCAGACCTGAAATCGACAATGACACATGAGATCATGTTCAACGAAGCTTTCTCATAAATGTTGACGTTGTTCATGGATCAGTGTGTAGGGAAAACGAACACTGAATTGGATTTGGCAGACTACATACAAAACAGAGACCTCGATTCTGTTACTAGCTTATTGAGCCTTATGCATGTGACTGACAATCTGCGAATCGAGCGGCTGGCTTCCCATGCCCCCGTCCTGAATATGTCAACCGCGTATCTGCAATCAGAATAGCAAGTGAGACAGTACAGCCGAGAGCAGATCGTGAAACCAACATTTGATCAGGAATTATGAGACCCACTTTCCCGACCACTGCACAATCTGAAAATCCCCATCATCTGACTCGGATATCACCCAACCGTTAATCTCACTAAGGAAGAAGACAAAATGAACGAACAGGACTCCGTCCTTCCGCCACGACGGAGATAATGGGAAATGGGCTCGCCGAGGTCTTTAAGCGAGATGGGTTTCCCCGCACAAGTTTTCAGGAGGTCGAGCCTTGTTGCGGGGAAGTCTGACCACACTTGGGCGCATCTGACCCAACGAGAGAATACGGAGCATGAAGAGCAGAACCGAGAAGAAAACCAGGGTTGGCATCTGGGGAAGCGAGATAGTGTGATTTCTGTCCGGCCGACCACGAACTTCTTTGCCCGAAGCTTCCGGTAGTGTGCTTCCCCATCCATCACCATTTGGTCATGATCCATCAGGCCGGGGTAGTGAACATCTGGTGACTCGCTCCGCATGCGACCCGACGAGATATGAGGTGGTCTTACAAAGCGACGAATAGTCTTTGAGCCTTATCAAATCGTGATAAAGTGATCCTTTGGGAAATAGTACTCGTCTGCTCATGTGAGTCCTACTCTTTGGCAGAGACGAGAGCTATCTGTGAATGAATTGTTCATTTTTGTAATAATGGCATTGTTATCTGCCATCCTGGAGACCTCTCCTACCAGACTGGTACTCATTGTCACTGTTGGAATTCTCTTGAGCGTGATCGTCCGAAGCTTTCTCAGGGAAAAGAAAACCATTCCCAAAGGTGCAAAGCCGCTACCAGGTCCCAAAGGTGAGGATTCATCGCACTGGACCGACCAACTATCCAACTCACCGTCAACATTATAGGCTGGCCAATTGTGGGCAATGCATTCTCGATCCCAAACTCACACGCATGGTTGAAGTTCAAAGAATGGGGTGACGAATACGGGCCGATATACCAGCTCCAAGCCTTTGGCACGACGTTGGTGGTTATCTCGAAGGAATCCATCGCCAATGATCTTCTCAGTCTCCGTGGAGCAATCTACTCGGATCGACCGCCGCTGATCATGCCCGGCCTGATTTCCGACAATGGATTTCTCGGTGCCGCGCGTTGGGATTCTTACTGGCGACGGGCTCGAAAGTTTACGCAGTCGATGCTGAGCACGAGTAACATCCAGCAATCGATACCAAAGCAGACGACGGAGGCGAGACAGATGGTGGTCGATCTGATGAAAGACCCTGACGAATATACGTATTGGCTTGAACGCGCCGGTGTCATGGTTTCCATCAAGCAGATATATGGGCTTGATGAGGAACGTGGACCGGTGGAGAAGAAGCATGTCCACGGAATATGCGGCTTCATGGAGAATATCGAACGAGTTGCTATTCCTGGTGCCTATCTGGTGGAGTTCATTCCTGGGCTCCTTCATCTGCCTACCTGGCTCGCTCCATTCAAGAAGGAAGCAAAGCAGCTGGTGAAACAGCACTGGGATTACCTCGCGCCCTTGGTGCAGACACAATCCACCAAATCTAAGACCAACCATCCAGAACAGCCTGAGAGTTTCTCTCAAAGATTCTTGAACAACAAGAAAGATTGGAATCTCGACGACCGTGAGATCGTTTGGGCTCTCGCAAGCATCTATGGTGGTGCGGCGGGTACTTCTTCAACTGCAATGCAGTCACTCATCTTGAACATGTGCCTATTCCCAGACTGGCAGAAGCGAGTACAGGATGAGATAGAACGAGTCGTGGGCAATGAGCGACTGCCTGAGTTCAACGACTCCAGCAGTTTGCCCACGGTCAGGGCAGTGATCAAGGAAACCATGAGGTGGAGGCCTGTTCTTTCTGGAGGTTTGTCAAGCGGTCCCATGAAGCCCTACCCTTTGGCATGATGATCATCTCACTAACACACGAGGTACTTTTCCAACATCTAGGATTTCCACATTCCGTAACCAAAGACGACGTGTACGAAGGATACCATATCCCCAAAGGGGCAGTAATCATGCCGAACCAATGGTCGATTCTGCGCGACGAGGAACAATATCAGGACGCCGACTCCTTCAAGCCCGAGCGATGGCTTGAACCATCATACTTGACCTACCAAGAACCATTAACAGAGTATCCGAACTTGAAGCGATTTGTCGCCTTCGGCCACGGCCGTCGGATCTGTCCCGGTCTGGAAGTCACGGAGAAGGCACTGTTCCTCCAGTTCTCAAGCCTGCTCTGGGCGTGTAACATCAACCGAGCGAGGGATTCAGCTGGCAAGGAGGTTGACATTCCGTTCTATGATTACACGGGCGTGTCAATCTCCACGCCGCGGAAATTTCGATTCGCTGTGGAAGAGCGGGAGGCGGGACGCTTGAAGCTCATGGAGGAAGCGGCTTTGAAGGACCATAGAGCTGAGCTTGCCGCCTCTAAAAGTTCCTGAAAGTGGTTTATCACCAAGGGTTTCGTGCCCCTAGTATAAATTGGTATTCAATCGTGAATCCGTACTCAACCCAGGTACCCGTTTAGGACTGGGTCTTACTACTTTACTTCACTATAAAGTGACCTAGCTCAACTCTGGCTCTTCTTAAGCTACTTAGCCTACTTAGGCCTAAGCTTCATCTATTTGTCTATCTCATCAACCGTGCTTAGTGCCACTTCTAAACCTGTACTTTTGTTGTAAATCCAAAATAGCGCCTTTCTGTTCATGCATGAGGCCGTTCGCCAAGATATCTAACAAGCGCGTCAGTGTTCTACAATCACTGCCACCGCATCGCCCAAAACGGCATGTGGAAAACTCTTTGTGTTTCTGACTTCGTCCGGTCCTCCGCCAAGAGTGTCCATCAAGGGATCAGCCAAATCCCCGAATGTGTGACTCGATGTGCCTCACATCGACTACCTTCCTCTGGTGCATTTCGGGGCATATAGACCGCTAGGGTGTCTGTATGGCAGAAACAGGTTTAGACAGATCTCGGGAGGACAACGAAATGGCCATCACCACGACAGATCAGCTCGAGCAATATCTCCTTGTTAAACAGATGCGTGTTAGCAAGATCACGCCTGTCTCTGGAGGCAGCTCGAATTATGTCTGGCGCGTCGTTACCACTGAAGGTCAGAGTATGCTCATCAAACACGCCGAACCTTTCCTCGCGGCACACCGTGATGTGGCTTTCCCCTTGTACAGGATGGACATTGAAGTTCATGCCATCAGGACCATCCCTGGCCTCATGCCTGCTGACGAGACGGTGCGACTTCCTGGGCTGCTGGATTACGACGAGGAGAACCACGTCCTCAGGCTCGAGGATGCCGGTCAAAGGAGCTTGCATGATTGCTATGACGACCCACGGCTCGATGTGCGGCTGGTGGGAGAAAACATCGGCAGGTGGCTCGCTCGACTCCACAAGGTCACGACAGACGAAAGTATCCGATGTCACTTCACGCATCCCGTGATGAAAAAGATGTATCGGTGGAACTATGAAAATCTGGCGGGCGCGCTGGAGAAATACGGATTTGACTCGGCCTTGGGAGAGCGCATCAATGCCAAATACGGGGCGCTGCTCGACACCGATGATGTCTGTGTGTGCCACTCGGATATGTGGCCTGGTAACATCCTCCTTGGGGATACTGTGGGCAACGGCGCCATGCCGCAAGTCACGGTCATCGATTGGGAAGCGGCGCGAAGAGGCAATGCTGTAACGGACATTGGGCATTTCGCAGGCGACGCATGGTTCCTAGATCGGCTACGCGGGGGAAGGGGCTTACTGGATGCTTTCCTGGGAGCATATTCGAGGGAAAGACCGTTGCGACAAGAAGAAAAGGAACGAGTCCTCGCGCAGTTTGGAACGCACATTTGCTTCTGGCCAACCGTATATGTAGGTAAACGGACTCAGGCGCGACGGGAGCTTTGGAGCTTTGCTAACACTCACTCTGTCGTATAGCGGTGGATGGCCGACAAGCACAAAAGGGAGGCTGCTGTCTATGGCAAAGCTGTCCTCGAGAATGTAGAAAGTTGGAATGTACAGTGGTTTCGGAACAGTGACCTGGAGGTTCTATTTCGAGAAGAGGATTGACGGCGATATTCAGGTCAGGACACAGCAATGGGCCTTGGAGACGCCAGGCTTCGGTGCCAGGTACTGGTGGAGGAGGATGATATGCCAGTTGAAGGCGTGCGGCGACCCTAGACCGCAAAATCAAGACGAGCACCAGTCACTTCTGCGTTTGAGAGTTGGGAAATCTTAGAGGAGGTGAGAGGAGGGTGAGTCACGAAGAAGTAGGTTTGTATCGTGGTTTTCGAGTTGGCAAATATCTGTAGTTTAACCGACCCGACACGAACGTTCTCACTAGTAAATGGCCCCCCCGCATTACTTCCGAGATAGGACTGTCGAGATGGCTGCGTTTGCTCCCACCACACTCCGAAGGCCAATGACTTCTTGGGGGGAAGGGGGAAGCGTTGACTCCCTTCGCCGATCTCAATGAGACTATGCAACAACGGAAGAACCCTAGGATGGCCAGGCTAATTAGATTCCATTATCGTTGTGCTAGAAATGAAGGTGGTGAATGGAGAAATTCTATGCCCTCCAAGAGTCAAGACACTCACTCAGTCCACTTTAAACTTTCGGACTAGGAGTTCGACGCCTGTGATATCAGAAGGAGACGCTTGTCTTGTCCCGAGGTCTAACGGTTTAGCATATCAACTTGAGGTGATCTTTGATTGTAATATCTCGCTCGCTCAGTCTCGCTCGAGTTTTCCCCTTGGGTCTATCTAGGTCGTCACCCGCAGTGTCTGAGATTGCAATCACCGGGGAACGTGTACACTACCTACAGTCAAGTCGAAATAGCCATCAGAATGTCCACCACCACCAGCACAACGCGCGACTCGTATGACAAGATCGCAGCACGCAAGCAAGCGGAACGGCAGAGCCTGATCCCCGAAGCATGGCGGCTCCCCGCCGAAAAGCTCGCGGAATACACATCGTCGCCCACGGCGAACGTGCTGCACGTGCCGCGTGAAAGCGGCATCTTGAATGAGCGCGAGCTCGACATAACGGAGAACCACGATGCCGTATCGCTGCTGGAGAGGTTGCGCAAGGGGCCCAAGGACGGCGGGTTCAGCTCGGAAGAAGTCGTCGTCGCGTTCTGTAAAAGAGCCGCTTTGGCGCAGCAGTTGGTATGTGACGAAATCGTCCGTTGCGGGATTCCTCGAACATTGCATTTTGGTTGCCTGGTGATGTTAATCGTGAAATTCACCAGACAAACTGCGTGACGGAGATTCTCTTCGACTCGGGCATTGCGCGTGCAAAGGAACTCGATTCCCGCCGCGCGGCGAATCCAGATGAGGCCTTGCCTCCGCTGTGGGGACTTCCGATCTCGCTGAAGGACTGCTTCAAGGTGCCTGGCTTCGACGCATCGGCCGGGATGATCCTCTTCGCTGAGAAGCCGGCGACCGAGTATTCTGCCCTGCCGAAGCTGCTGTATCAGCTCGGAGCGGTCTTCTACTGCAAGACAAATGTGCCGCAGACGATGATGACGGCGGACTCGGACAATAACGTGTTCGGGAGGACGCTGAATCCGAACAACAAATCATTGACCGCTGGGGGGAGTTCCGGAGGCGAAGGCGCATTAGTTGCGATGCGTGGGAGTGTGTTGGGGATTGGATCCGACATTGCTGGCAGCATTCGCATTCCCAGCTATTGCTGTGGCACCTATGGATTCAAACCATCCGCCAATATCGTCCCGTACGCAGGCCAGACAAATCCAGCTGCAGACGGGATCCCAGGCATCCTACCCGTGGCGGGTCCTCTGGCGACCAGTATGAGAAGCTGCAATTATTTCATGCAGGTCGTGATGAGCAACCAGCCGTGGAAAATCGATGTCGATTGTCTGCATATTCCATGGCGAGGCATTGCGGCGCCAGAAAAGGGCAGCAAGTTGAGAATTGGGATCGTCGAAGATGATGGCATCCTTACTGCTACGCCTCCCGTACGCCGGACCTTGAGGCAAGCGAGGGAGAAACTTGCTCGAGCTGGTGTGGAGATTGTAGATATCAAATTGCCAGGTATAAAAGAAGATAGCGCGACAATCTGGGCTTCATTCGCCATGGAAGGCTGCAAGGTCAGTGTTACCCAAGAAAACCCATTTGACCACTGCACACACTGACAAAACATCACAGACGGTCCTGGAATACATCGGAGCGGCAGAGGAACCATACGTTCAATCTGTGCAGAACATCGGGCTGGTGGCGATGAAATCGATGACCATGGAAGAACTCTTCGCGTGGAATGTGACACGCAGCAAGATCGAGACCAAGTACCGAGACCTCTGGCTCGAGAACGACCTCGACGCAATTCTGAACCCTCTGACCGCACACACTGCTCCCCCTCTGGATACCTGGTCGTCTATATCTCAGGCGATATGGAATCTGGTCGACTACCCTAGCTGTATCATTCCAACTGGGAAAGTCGAGGCAGAGGATGTGGTCGACCAGGCCGCCAAATATGGCGCTGACGATGAGAAGATATATCAACTGTATACCGGCCCTGAAGATTACAAGGGCGCACCGACCGCTCTTCAATTGATCGGCATGAAACAAGAGGATGAGAATCTGACTCTGTTGGCAAGTTTTGTGGATGGAATCTTGAATGAAAATTGATGTTAGATTGTTGTATCTCATACAAGAAATATATGACTGCGTCATTTGGCAGACAGCCCTCGTGAGCTTCTTCGCCTTAACAATCCTGAAGTGGTATGTTCGCTCTCCATACTCGTACCGATGCCGGAATCTGGATGAAACGACCTTCCTCGAATCTCTTGCGAGTCGCCTTCGTCATCTTCATCGTCGGCAACCTCATCGGCGCCGACTTGCTGCGTGATGGCATCATCATTGTCTGCATCCCTGCTAATCGCCGATAGCGGTGTCTCATCAAGAGTCTTGGGCGTTGCTGGCTCCGTGTCGTCTTCCTCAGTCTTGATTTTTGTACCAGTATCCGATTCTTGGTCTGTCTTTATCTGCTTGACCTCAGATCCCTGGTTGATCTGCTTCGGCTGCCATTCGTCATCCTTCCCCGCGGCTAAAAACGACGAAATCAACGCCCAAGCAAAGGCCATGGTCGTAATGCTTATCGTATAGAAGAGAGTAGTGAAAATGGCAAAAGCCGTCACACGATAATTATAAATCAGATAACGTAGCCCCTGGAATTTGGCCCGGAAGACGAGCTTAGCACTGTAGACTTGAAGAAGACTCGTGGACTGAAGTTCAAGCCGGGCATGGGATGGAACATTTCTCGACCCTCGTGGAAAAGACAGCAATTCGAACATGGGAACGACGAGATGAGACGAGTCCAGATCTCGAAAATTGAGCAGATGCCACGGCAGATGCAGGAAAGTGTGGCTGAGGGAGACGACTGGGGAGGCGTAGGGAAGGATTGCAGGTCGCCGAGAATGATGTAGAACATTGTCCGCGGTGATGTTGGTCAACCATGAAAACAGTGGATCGGGTATATTCTTTGCATTCGTACCGGTTCCCAGGAGAGACAAATCTAGCATGAAATTGCCAGCATCAAGGTTGACTGGTGTGCGTGGCATGTCCAACATTAGGTCAATGTCATATGCTTGTTGTGGGATCAACGCTGAAGTGTCAAGGTCTGTGGTGGCATGAGGATGGAGACCATGATCGCCATACTGGAGGTATAGAACGCGTTCAAGATTAATCTGGGGGATGTAGTTGTAGTAGAAGAAGCCATAGGCGGTGGACGAGATGGTCAGGAGGACGGTTGATGTGGTTAGAAAGAGAAGCGTGCTGAGATAGGCCTTGATGGCGGTGCGGGAGGTAAGCAATCGAATTGGAGCCAGAGACAAATCCTACGCCATGTTGTCAGTTGTACCTTTCGTAAGGGTCTTTATGGTTGTTGCTTACCACTGCGCGCTGGATCAGAGAGGATTCCATCTCCCCATCATCACTGTAGCGAGATTGATCCGCCATTGTGAGACGAGTATACACGAAAAGTGCATCGAAGTCTCAGTCAACTGCCATCTTCCCCAACAGATCCATAGTCGCTGAGTCCGCGCTACGTCGACGGAAAGCAAGCACAGACGAATGCAATGCTGTCAAGGATTGTTTTCCCCGGGTGCATGTGAAAGTTGAAGTCTTGATTGACCCGCGCAATTGACGCGACACGTCGAGTCGTTACGTCATAACACGTGGTCAGTCACACTATGCTTTGGGCACATTTCCACGAGAAACTGCGAGACAAACTCGACGAAACAATTTATAACATACATTAATTTAATCGTATTAAAGTACTTTGAGCCTGAGCCTTTTGTGTTCCGTTTAGCATGCTCCGTATTCCGGTCGTCCTGCTGATACCACGCAGAAGTAATGCCCAATAGTTTAACTCCTCATGCTTGAAAATAACAGTCACTGAACCATCCGAGCACTTGTAACATTAGTCTGATCACCCAGGGGTTTTCCTCAATACCTCACCACTCTCTCCCAGATAGGTGCCTGTGCCAGTGTCTCTTCGTTCCAGACCAACTTGTTCTTCTCGTCAAACTCGGCGTGCTCATCAGTGCTCAGTAGTCCAGCTTCCTTGTTGTCGTGAACTAATAGCTTGCTAACTCCACATTTGTCCTGTGCTAACCAGATGATAGGTCTAGGAGATGTGATGGCAGGGTTCAGGTAGGCTTGCTCATACTCTTCCGAGGTGTAGGCTGGCATCGGCATCTCAGCATCAGCTTGTGGCACAATAGACTTATTGGACTCGTAGTATTTCTGCACCAATGGTTCCAGACGACGGCTGAGAGCGTTGAATGGCTTGGTCTTGGGTTGAGGAGCCTTGCCATCAACATGAATCTTCTCAGGTACGGTGGTAGCTGAATGCTCCCTGCTTGATGGCTCGCCGGTTGGTTGCTCTTGTTTCATTTGGTTCTCATCGTCCAAGTTCTGATCTATCAACATGTTGCTGAATTTGTTTTCACTTAGCAGATCCATAGGAATGTGTTGTTCGAGTGGCGCAAGGGCTCGGTCGAGAAGAATCTGGAAGATGATGACTGCCACAAGGAAGACCACCATGACGATCAATGGGCCAATGCTAGCTCTGCTCTTGCTGATGCCAATGCCGAACAGTCCAATCAAACAGATTGACGACAAGTACACACCGACCAAGAGTTGTTTTAACCCGCGAGTGTAAGATTCACCCTTCATGTCGATGTCATTTCCGAATACAAACAACCAGTTGTATCTGAACATGATGTAGAGCAGGCAGAACCCAATCGTGGAGAATCCGAGAATAAGAGGCGAAATGCACGAATAGGAGATTGCAATAACCCCCAAGTTCGTGAACTTGGGATAAGTCGACCCCCAGCCGATGCCAGCAAGTTTCACAAAGCGATTGAATCGCTTGCGGGGTGTCTTGTCCAAGAACTTGGGACCCAACCAGCTAAGCATCAGCAGGGGAACAATGTTGAGAAGTTGAAGCCCTGCCTGCATAAGACCGAAGAGGATGAAATAGCTGATGTAGAAGTTGGAGGCTTTTGGCAGATTCTCAGCCAGAAGAGTAGGAGCAGAGCCTGGGTTCTGCACAATTTGTGAGGCCACAGCGGAGGCACCTGGGAAGAAAGTTAGTCGATCAATTCAAACTTGACGGGGGAAATCTTCTCACCTGAACTGAATGTCGTGATTAGGAAAACCTGGACGACCTGGAAGGAGAAGTACCATGACTGGGTCTTCAGCTCTACCGCGGAGAGAGTAGGCTCACCCGCGAACTTGGCGAGGAGCCGGCAGAAAATGGGAACCAATGCCATCAAGACGGCAAGCAAGACCACAGGTAAAAGACCAGTAACGACACCAAGAATGACCGAGGGGATAGAGTTGATGAAGCCAAGGAATGGCACCTTGTTTGTGAGGTAATTGATGTTTGACAGAATACCGACAAAGGCGACAGGAATGGTCCAGAACAAGATCATCAACCAGATAATGATTGTGGCAAGCAAGATCTTGACCTTTCGAGAGGCTTTGGTGACGCTCAGGTTCTTCCAGACAACTTCTTCGGGTTGAACACCGATGTAGCGTGGATCAAACTTGGTTCTGGACTCTCGACCGACAGTCTGATAAGCATGATGTGCGGCAGATTGAGAAGAAAACTCAATAAACGCTGCTGTCAACTTGGCATGCTTCAGATCCAAATGCTCGGTTTGTTGTTCACCGACGTGTCGGTCCAATTCCGAAAGGGTGCCTCGGCACCAATTGAGAGTATCGACCTTTTTCCAGAGTTGGGGCATAAGACGGTGGGATGGTCGTTTCTTGGCATCAATCCAGTGGTTGGGATCATTGTTTGCTGCTGGGGCGTCGTTCTTCTGCTTCTTTTCCTGCTTGATACGAGCAGCATTGGCCTGTTTGATCATCTTCATCTCGGCACCTTCAAGTTTCAACGCAGTCTTTGTTTGCAATTTGACGTCCTTCTCGAGCTGCTTGCAATCTGTTGGAATCCACACCTTTCGTACACTGGCTCCAAACATTTGTCGGAGTGCTTTCTCCTCGGTGAACTCCAAAGGCAGGCCCATGATAAGCAAGGTTCGGGACGAAAGTCTCTGTGCATGGGCAGCCGACAGGAAATATGCCCGACGCAAGCCAATGAAATTGATACGTTCACGGGCAATCAACAGAACAACAAAACCAAGGAAAACCCAAGCCATGAAGGCATGAGCGTAATATCTGATTGGATTGGCGATATTGCTCATGCTGAGTTTGTCCAACTGCTCTTGATTTCCACCACCCGTGATGTTGACGGGGAAGAGCACGGGCCATGTGACACAGCAGCCGACAAAGCTGATCACGATGAGGACTTTGAAGAAGCGTAGCCAGAGATAGCCATCGAGGGAGTTGTGCTGTAACACGTAGGAATCGGGAAGAGCAGTGCGATTTGTCAGGATTCCGAAAAAGCCTGCTCCCGTGCGAGGAGTTCTTCTCTCTTGGATCAGGAGGCGCTCATCGGATCTTGGTCGATAAACACGTGCTTGGCGAGCTCGTAGAATCAGAAACAAGGTGAAAGCGACTGCTGCGATGATGAGAGTTGGAACCAAGGTTGAGATGATGCCAGAAAGAGAATTCGAGCCGCCATCACGATTGCTGCCTTGCGACTATGTCAAGAGAGTCAGAAGGATGAAAATCATTTTATGGCATGAGTCAAGTTACCTGGCGAGGATATAACACATGAGTCCGTGTGCTATCCATGATGAGAGTGTATGTGGTGGAAGGCTGACCACGTCTTCAAACCGAAACGATGATGAAAGAAAAAGGATGGGAATGGAAACTCCAAACCGTCTGGCAGTGGAAAGGAGATGGGCCAGGTGAAGAAGAAGGCGCGCCACGAGTGTGGTTGGGCGTGTGTGGAAATATGTATATAGAAGGAGACTGGGGTGGAAGCAAAAGCATTGATGGCGCACGCCCAGAAACGGTATGACGATGCTTGAGAGGAAGGAATGAAAGCTAGCACCAAGGCTGATCACATCGGTGACTGTCACAACTTCACAAGTCAACGAAGGTATACTTCCGCTGTGCCAGTGTGGCTCCATCATGACAAGCAACCACTATTTGGATTGAGGCTTGTGGTCTGAATGCTAAACAACTTCAGCTGGCAATGGCACCAGGAAAGACGTCCTACGGTGATGTCAGACGCAGCAATGTGGATTCTACAGGGGTGCCAAAACCGAAATCTGCAAATTAACAGTGGCTGTCAGGGACACGGAGAGGGATCGATCGACGGAATGCATTGCTTGGTGACACGTTAAAAAAGTTGGACAGAGGGCACAAGGCGGAAGCTCCTTCTCGGAGATGGAGGCGGTGATGTCAACGGTGGATGCTCCTTCTTGCCGGGGTGTCATTCCACACGAATCATGTCCACCCACTAACTCGATTGACTTTGACACTTTGTGTGTCGGGATCTGGTCTTCAAACCAGGGAAATCGTCTTTGCTGATTCTCTCTCCCCAAGGCCACATCCTTGAGAATCCGTCCATTCAAAGCATATCGGGCTCACAGGAGAGACTCGAAATGGAAGGGATTTGGACGAGTCGGGACTCGGGATGCACTCGAAGATTATCCGTCAGCGAAAATAAAGTATCACATGTGGGGGGGGGGGGCGGTCGGCCCAGTGAAGAAGTGATGGACCACTAGTCCACTCGCCTAACCTTAAGCAGTCAGTCTAATCTCACATTGGCTTGGACCACTGGCATCTCAGCTTGGTTGGTTTGTATCGACGGGTCTGGCCACTGTTCAGCCTGACATGGTCTTCATTTTTCGACCAATTTGCTTCTGCTCTATTTGACACCTGTGGTCCATCAGAAATTGAACATACCGAGTAGGACACAATGCTCAAACGCCACATACTGAACGGTGTGCTCAGACCGCTGAACATATGTACAGCCACAGCCACTACGGAGCCACCTCGAAACTCGGTTATTCGTTGCTTCAAAATATACCTTCATTCAAACCATTCTATGGTACACAAAAAAGGTGTGGTGGATAAGTTTGACAATTCATCGTAGACAAACCCAGAGGCTGGTGTGCATATTCCCCATTCTGCATGCACCTCAGCCCTTTGGTCTATCCCACAGTCTTGCACCATACCATCGACAAGAAAACGCCTATGCTGCCTGGTCTTGGGTCAGTGCCATTAAGATAACATCACTTTTAGCAACATCCATTATCTTGAATGCCACCGCAAAACTCCCTCATTGCTCATGCTGCAATTACATCCTTTTTCTTTCCTCCCTTTCCTTGCAATGGGCTCCAAGTGGACAGCCATCCAATCCTCAACCCTGGCACATTGAACCCATCACTCCATCGTAGATATGCAGCGCACAGCCAATGGAAAAATGCCCTCACCTGGCATAAGACGTCGCGCAAGAAAATTTGTACAAGAAGCTGACTGGTTCATGTCCAGTCGGTATTGGCTGCCCCCTTCCTCCAACTGCTTGGATTTCAACCTATTATTATGCTACAACCTCGTCCCCGTGATCATGCGCTGTGCTGTCGCCAATCACCGGTTCAAAGAGAAGTCCGCATGGCCTGTTGGAGACGCTGCTGCATGTTGCTATCAGGCGTGATCGACTCCCAAAAGCCATACGTGGTGTTTTGCTGCAATTCGAGGAAGAGAATGCTCATACCCCAAACGTGTGGCCGCGCAACCGTGAGTCTTTCATACACAACACGAGCAATTTGTTCTCGAAGTTCTCGTTGTGCTTCGTCCACGGTCCCACTTCCCCACAAGTGAAGCAACAATTTGCAGAAGAAGTCGGTGTGAGTGTTGGGGTAGCGGATCTGGTCAGCAATCGCGTTCACCAACTGATATCGCCCGCTGTAGTCCAGTCCAAAAGCAAGTTTCATCAAGAATGAAACATGCACTGAATTGGGATCGAATCTTCCAGGCGCGCTGTTCAAAGCTTCTTGGCCAGTAAAAGGGACCAGAGCCGTGATGATTTCCACATTCTTGGGTGGAGCAACCGCTGATGCTTGTGTGCTATCGACTTGAAGCGCGGCCTTGATTTGTTTCAACCCGGCTTCAATATCCATGGTTTTTTGGACGATATTGTGAATTGTTTCCTTCAACCCTTCGTGCTCAAGTGGCGCATCAAGATCGTGAGCGAGAATCGGGTTTCGCTTCATTTCATCCAGCCGCTCGATTTTGAGTCCAGGCGTCATGGGATCAGGAAGGTCATGATAGGCCGATGGCTTGGCCGTGAGAATGAGGTTTCTCAATTGTGGAATTCCATATGAGATTCTGGAGCAGAAATACGAATGGTTCTCGCAGAGGAACTCGGGGTAATCATGGAGTAAGACCAAGATGCTTCTGAGCGTACCTTTGTACAGATCGAGGTTCAGAAGATCAAGTCCAGGCGTCTTCGACAATTCCGAGATATACAACAGCAGTAACCCGAGAAGTTCTCGATAGCTGTCCCACCCGCGTTGATTGTTCGCTCTGAGAATTCCACCGACAAATACTCGGTGTAGCACAAGACTGTGCCAGCCATACGTAAAGCTGGGAAACCATGCTGGCTGCAAGGATTTGAAGCACTTCGCAAAAGCTAGCATGAGATCATTGTGATCGGGTGTCTCCTCCAGTCTAGCTGAGGAATATTCATAGAGCATGCTGGTGAACAGGCGATTGAAGAGGCGTTGGTGGAAAGCCACCCCGCGCATGACCTGATGATGATTGAGTATCAGCACCAGAACTGTCAGAATATTCTGAAGATATGTGGCTTTGTTGATTTGGACAGCTCCGTTATTGTCCCCCTGGAACCTAACCAGCAAGATCACAAGTCGAGCGAGTGCGTCGGCATGAGAGAATGCAACGTCCACACTACCCCGAAGGCTTTGCGCCTCACGCTCGTAACAATCAATACAGGCTTCGAGACACAAGCGCAGAAATTCGGTGAGATCTTCAGTGCTATTGATCGTCTGCTCTTTGTGAAGCTCCTTGAGGAACGCTGCGCAGGTACCTTCATTTGGACCAATGTTCTCAAAGATTCCCACCCATTCGTCGAAAACGTAGCGCATTTGGTCTTGCTTCACCTTGACTTTGTCGGGGACATCAACGCTCACAAATTGTGAAAACCCGTGTGCTTTCAACTTTTCATTGATTTCGGTTGCCAATGGGACCTCAGAGTCTTCTTTGAGCCATGCTGACATGGCAATCATGCTGTTGGCAAAGTCAGCACGGAGCGCTGTTGGCTCATCGGTGAACAAGGTCTGGTCCAGTATGTCTGCGAAGACCTGTAAACCATGGTGATTGCGAGCTATTAGTACCGTCGAGATGGCGACGTCGACTCTGGCAAACTCCATGAGACCCACAGCCAGCAGAGAGACCACCACATTCGAGCTTCCCAATAAAAGGTCTTCGTTGGCTGTCATCCAACGCAAAACATCCCGAATGATGAGCTCGGAAAGCTGGCAAAGCTTGGACAACAAAAATGCCAAGACCTCCGCTTCGAGAGATCCCTGCGGTGGCTTGGACACAAATATGTTGCATATCTTCTCAGCAATTTGCCTAGCCAGCAAATCAACTGCTGGGCGAGTCGATGAGGTAAGGACAATTAGGATTTGGCGGAAATCCTGAAATATGGAACTGTTCTTCTCCAAATCTTTCAATCGGGTCGCCTCGGATGCGCGGGCCGCTTTCTGGACATCTTCGATAAGGATGGATATTCTCTCATGGGGAGGAAGTGCTTCAGGAAACCCATTAACACGGGGCTGTTGCAACGCCGAGAGAATACGGTTTTCCTGCTGCAGTAGAGGACTCTGGTGTGGCAGAACAGGTTGTTCAGCTGGTGTAGACAGAGTTGGCATGGATAGGGCTTCCTGCAAGACATCGGGTATTTGTCGTCCAGTAGAGTCCACGGATGGATTGGGCACATGGTTGGCGCTCATTCCATGAACCCGGCGATCGAAGTCTTCATACACAGCTCTTTGGGCATCGTTTAATCCACCCACAGTTTGCTTGTATGGTTCAGGGATCCAAGCTGACCAACGGTTAATGCCAGAAGGAATGAAGTCTCGACCACCACCCTCGGCAACAAATCGACGTCTCTCTTCCAGTTCAGGCTCTATGACTTGATCAATCTCGGGGACAGCGCGTTGCTCAGCAGCTTGCTCGACGAAGCTACAGGCAAGGTCCAGATTGTCATTGACACACATAAGAATGGCACCTTCCGGTAAGAGTTGCTCAGGCAAGTCTTCCTGCGCTGGTCGGCGAATATAGTTGGAGATGCTCATTCGGAGAGGCTCTTTGCAAGTGACCAGAGCCAAACTTCCTGCAAGAGCTTTGACCATGTGGCGAGCAGCTTCGCGATATTTGTCTGCATCAGGTTCAAGGGCATAATCCTTTGCCACGAGTTGCGCTGTAGAAATCGAGGCAATGGTGATCGATCGCTCGACCACTGGCGCGATGATTTCTTGGATGGCTTGATCAAAGGCCCGATAGATTATGTTCTTGACCATGGCCTGGTCGGCAGGGTTGTTTGAAGTAGGTGGATACTTGAGCACCTCTTCCAAATTCGGAAGTGTCGCCATAATTTCTGGAGCTGATAACCGCTCACGCACACCACGATTGATGGCACCATTCAATGACATGTCATCAAAAGACTCGAGGCCGTCCGGCAGACCAGATAGATTGGTGATTTCGTCATCCGCTTGTGGTCGGTCTCTTATGAGTGTGGCAGGCTCTACTTTCTTGAAATCGATGGAGAGATCTTTACACAAAACCTCAATCTCGAATTTCAAGTTCAGTTTGAGTTCGGCAAAATGATACAATTCAACCAAAACCTGGATAATCTCCATCAGCCACGGATTTGGGGGCATGAACACGACCGAGCGTGCACTTTGTGCAAGAACTTTGCAGGTAAATGGGATTACCAGTATCAACCGTTGGGTCTCATAACCTTCAATCAAAAGGTCGACGAAGTAGATATTGCGGTGTTTGATCGGCTTGTCTTGTGCCAAAGTCAGAGAACCAAGCCAGCCACCGAGGTTCTTCAAATGACTTCGCTCTGTAGCAGAGTTGATTGTCGATTCAGCACCCATCATCTTCGCGACACTGACGTAGGTCTCTCGAATGATTTCTGAAAGAAGGAGAGGATCATCGGCTAACTTGATGAATTGCATATACATCTCTTGATTATTGGGTTCCAGCCTAGCACGTTGCTCGACGAGATATGATGCAAACCACTGGTAGTGTTCCGAACTGAATGATTCCTTCAAATCTGTAAACTTGGTTGACATATTGTCCTTGGAAAGGTTATTGATGACAAAAAGAATTTTTTCTTGAACTTTCTGATCAGGATCTCGGAAATTTGATCGAGGTGGTGGTTGATCTGCACGCAACCCTCGAAATCCTCGACCAGTATCAAGTTTTGTGGGCTCTTCACCATTAGTTGTGATTGCTTTGGTGGTTCCATTCGTGCCCACACCATTGCCGCTTGCTTGTTCTGCTCTTAGGCCTTCTTCTGCCCGTTGCAGGATTTCTGGATGCTGAAGTGAAGGCTCTTGCAGTAGTAAACTACAGAGGCCTGGCCACTCGGCAAGCTGATCACTAATCTGCAACAGCGCCTCGATACCGAACCGGTGCATGAGAGACTCGCCTTCATGGTCGCGGACAGCTCGCAGTATGAGAGCAAGACCAAATTCTCGTGGGATGGAAGGAAGTAGCTTGTACTTGATGATGCTGCCGAACAACAGTGCAGTCTTCTCAAGTGCATCTTCCGGGTATTCGTTGTAGCAGACATATTCGTCAAAAAGGCCATGAACAATGCAGCAGAAGAGATCTTGTTGATCGGGATCTCGAGATGTTTTGAATCTTCGCATCTCATTGACCATGTCACGGATGGACAACTCAGATCGATACATCCTTCCAAAGAGTTCCGACATTTGCTTGTCAATTGCTTCAGGAAGCTTGTTTCCTTTTTCCTCGCTGCTCTTTTCGAGAACATCATCGAAGCCAGCACCATAATTCATCAGCCGCGGATATGTCTGGAGACAGGTGGTCTGGGCAGCTTCAAGAAGTTCTCGGTTGTCGAGATAGTCCTCTAACTTTTCGAGTAATGTATGGACGGTCCGCAAACTGAGTGGGGTTGACTGTGGTGCGGTTTCGCCTCTCTGAACACGGAACTCATCGTCCGCTTTTATTCGAAGATATTTGCATAGGATCATGCCAAGATTGGGTTGGGCCTCAGCTGCCTCTGAAATGTACTTGTCAAGGTCGAAGTCTGGCACCGTCTTGTTTCGAATACAAGCAATGTCTAGTGCCAATGGGTTGGACCAGTGCTTCAAAAAGCTCTCAGTCCACCCAAACTCCTCAGCTCGATCGTAGATCGTCTCTGTCTGCCGAGGATCAAGCTGAAAGACAAGGTGACAGAGGTCGAACAGGAATTGCGGATTTTGAGATGAGAGTGTATCAAGGACTGGTTGATAGCCAGGTCGTTGTTTTTCAAGAAAGACACTGAAGCATTCGGCGATGAACTTCTCTTGATCAGCAGCCCATGGCTTTGCGTTGATGCGAGACAAGTACAGCAGAAAAATCGCTGCATGAGACTGATAAACATCGTGTAAGATGTCTAGACGATCTTCGCCATCAGGTGCTGCATTTGGTCCAAGCACGATCTCAAAAATTGCCTGACAAGCGTCCGCAGAGACATAAGGACTCGCAAGTTCTGCGTCGAGTAATTGCTTGGTTTCGCTAGATTGATTGTTGAACTCTTCCAGCGAAAGACTGGAACGGAGGTTTGGGATTTTAGTGACTTGAAGCTCCTTTGGTGAACCAGCCAGGTAGCCCCCCAAGAATGAAATCTGAGTATCAGGATTTTGCCATTGGCCACCCCACAACTTTTGCAAGTCAAAGGATGAATTCTCTGCTGCAGGCCCTCTCAGTGCATTCAACAGGCGCGAAAAGCAATCCCTTCGCAGACGAAGTCCAGCTATGTCGAATCCTTGCACGACAATATTCCAATCCAGTTTCTTTGGTTGAAGGGCAGTCACCAGATGATTGATTTCGTACTGCTGGTTGAATGAGAAAACTAGAAACAAAATTGCATTGGCAACCTCGGCCTCATTCAAAAGTCCATTCTCAAAAGTGCCGATAAAATCCTGAGCCGCTTGCTTGCTTGCTAGAGGTTTAGGGCCACTTCGCTGTAGAGCACGTGCCAATTCCCGTGCATCGTTTGGCAAGCGTAGTAGTTGTGAGGACGTCAAGGCAGGGCTGAACTGGTCTGGCTTTAACGCAGCATAACGTGAAGATAAGGCAGTCCAAAGGTCGATTTTCTGCTGCTGAGTGTTGATACCTGTCGCGAGAGCATAGTATTCGATGACTGAACAGATACAATCAATGGAGAAGGCTTGAGAATTACCACGGTTTTCTGCGAGTGTACGAAGCGACGATGCGGCAAAGTCAATCAGAAAAGCTTCGGCCTTGGCTCGTAAATCAGTTCGACCACATCTTGTAAAGGCAATAGCCAAGATGACTTGAGGTAGTGTGTCATTAAAGAAGTGTTGAATGAAGGTAGTAAGGTCAAAATCTCGGAAAAGATCTTCTTTCGAGTTGTCTATTGCTTCAGCAATCTTGGAGGACTGCTCGTAGTCCCAAAGCACTTTGTCGAGTTCCTGTCGGAGAAGTTTATAGCTGCCCTGATCAAAGTCTTTGGCACCGGAGAAGATGGCAGCCGAGTTGAGGATGACAGTTCGGCGGAAGAATTGTGCGAAGACCTCCATGCCGTTTGAGTCGAGGAGTTTTCTGACCTTTTCTGCTTTACTGTCCCACTTGGCTTTGCCCTCCCTCTCACTGATAGTATCTAGCAAGAGAAGGATTTGAGTGGCCGAGATCTTGGAGAGAGAAGAAGGGGGTGCAGCTGCTGAGCTCACGTTGGAAGATATGCTAGGAGAGCGCTCAAAGTTGAGAGCAGTGGGCGAACCAACGCCAGTATTGCCAATCAAAGAAGGGGAGTATGCACCACTCCTGCCGAAAACACCACCACCTCCGGCCCCCAGGGCTGGTTGAGAGAAGGTGCCTGCAGTGCCTGCAACAATCGACTGGGACGGGGTGATCGTTCTGGATCTGGGGGATGTGATGGAGCGGGATTGATAACTCTGCAGCTGATGAGCGCCAGTTTGAAGACCGGTGATGGGCGAGTTGGAATGAGATGAACTTGGAGGCGTGCCTCGGCGCGAGCCAAAGCGAGCAGTGGAGCTAGCCACTAAAGGAGGGAAGTTGTTGGAAGAAGGAGAGATGGAAGAGTTGTAGAGGTCAGCGTCGGAAGGAGTTTGAATGTGTTCCCTGCGCGTCGCACTGGCACTGACACTTGCAGAGGTTGCGGACGTGGGTGCAGTGGTGTTTAGTGTCAAAGGACGTCGGATAGAAAACGGCTGTCCCCAGGGCGACTGCTGGGGTCGTGACTGCCTGGAAGAAGTTTTATCGGAAGAAGAAGCAGTCGAAAAAGAGGAGGGGTTATCGAAGCTCATGGGAAGCGATCATGACCCTGAGAAGGCAGACGTGGATGGAGGAGGTGGATGTTTGTTGAAAAGATGGGTGATGGTACGGGAGGCTGCTGCAGCGGGGCGCGGGAGCAGCAGAGACGAGCAGAGGGAGGGAGGTCTGAGATATTCTACAGAAGAGGTGAAGATGGTGGAGAAACGCGTGAAGTGAGGATTAATAGCGTGAGATGAAGATGAAATTGATAGTGAAGGTAGAGGCAAGTGTTAGTTGTGACTTGTTCTTTCACTTCTGTACTAGAAACTCCACAAATCGATAGAGACGCTGCTGGCACTTGCGAGGATTGCTGGTCTGAAGAAGGCTTGGCTCACGTGACTGCTATTACATAAGGGTGCATTGTATCCATTTGAGGACCATCTCAATCACGTGAGATTGAATTTCAATTGTGGTGGTCATTGCAACTTTCTCCTATCCTATAAACTCACACTCCAAGGTCTTGGCCAGACTACCTTGTAGAATCTCATGATCAACCCATCCTTGCTCACATGGATAGTCCTGGTCCGAAGTTCAAGATTGATCCCCCTCGCTGAAAAAAGAACGAGCACGAGATTTCAAGATCCAACCATCCTGTCACACAGGCCTGATTGAAATATAGAAGCAGAATCATTTTCAGGAAGCCCAATTCCACATAACCCAAACCGTCACGTCAAGTCCTAGCCTTCTTCGCTTCCAAAGCATTTCCCACAGCGCCCAAGTCAGGATTCACTTCATTTGCACTTCGCTTCTTTGCCTTTTGGGATCCAGCACCTCGACCAGGCTTCAGCCTAGGCCACGAGTCAAATGGACTTCCCTTCTGTGAACTTCTCGAACCTTGCTCTTCAGGGCTGCTGCGGTCAAGAGCTGCCAGCGTGCGCTTTTTGGTTCTCATTCCACGTCCAAGCTTCGATGCAGACTCAAGTGAAGTGGAAGTCGAAGGACCGTCTCTTGCATCATCAGTATCATCTTCGATATCCGTGGCTGCTTCTTCTTGTTTTTCTTCCTCTCTTGCGCGTTTCTGAGCATCAGTTTGGAACAATCGCTTAGGTTTGATTGAGCGGCGAGACAGAGTTTTGAGAGGTTTCACTTCAGATGCGCCATTGGCGGTGTACTCCAAAAGACCCAGATCTTCCTCGTCAATTGATTCTTCTTCATCCCCTCGATCGGTGAAACGTCGATACACCTTCTTACCGCGACTAACAACGATTAGTAAATCTCAGTTGGAACTGCAGCAATAAGAACTTACAATACATAAACCATGCCTTCATCCTTGTCGATGGCATCAGTAACTTGGGGGTCAATCCTCGTCCTGGCGCTGACTTTACGGCGTTTGGAAGTTCGCACAACTGTAGGCGGCGTCGTACTTTCGCGGTCTCGCTTGCGCTCGATGAATGGATTGGTCAGGGTGTGATCAGCTTGCGGCACACGATCGCGCGAGTCTGTGAATATCTGAATTTGACCTCCGTCGACATCGTTTTGTCCAGAGACTGTCTCAAGTGAGAAGCCATTGAAGCGCTGGGGTTTACGAGAGCGACGGGGACCTGGCTGAACTGGTGCCAGTTGAGCAGTCATTTGCGGTTCTTGAAACAAAGCTCTCGCAGTGGTTGTCGCATTTGCGTTGACGCTTTTCTTTTTGGGTGTCTTCACAGGAGTAGGTAACATGCCGTCCAGGATTGCTGTGGTTGTAGACGACTGAGGTTGAAGGTGTGAATTGGATTTAGTGGGTGGGGGATGAGTAGCGGAGGACAGCGATGTAGGATTAGGAGAGGGGGGGGACATGATCTGAACGCGGCGCAAATTCCTTGTCTTGGGAGTCACTTCTGGTGATTGAAGCCCTGCAGCAGTCTGTGTCTTGGACCTGGACTTCGGAGAGCGGGGGGTGGTTGCTTGCTCGACTCTGGAACTGCGGCGAGGAGGATCTGGAGTAGTTTGCTGGCTTCTTGATGTGGTTTTGGTCGCAGCGCGGGTTGAGCGCCTGGTAGGAAAGTAGCTCGACCGATCGTATTTGGCACCATGTAGGGGACTAGGAGGTGTAGCTGGACTAGAGAGAATTTGTAGGGGAGGCGTGGCAGCCATTGTGAGTGAATGTGGTTGCGCTGTCGACAACACAGTGAATGGTCAAAAATCTTGTCACACGCAGTCAGCGCAAGGCTGTCCAAAATAATCCAAATGCGCTGACAGCAATACCAAGGTATATCAGGGCTATAGGGACACACAAGAAAGTGCGATTAAGGATAGGACGACAGCAAGGTCGAGGGCGGCCAACACCATCGACCATCGCAATAGCCGGAGGTTGGCATTCAAATTGCACGGGGCTGGGAACATTGCAAACTAGCCAAACCAAGCAAACAGTGCAAACAGTACTAATGCCTGTCTTGCAAATATGCCAAGACCTCGAGTACGCGCTCACTACCGTGACTCGCGTAGAGTGTTGGGTATGAGTTTCTGAGATCGAGTACCCCTCTAACTGTTGCTCCTGGTGATCCATAATAAATCCGGTCGACGATCCCATAAATATATCAATTCTTGTTCATCATGGATCCAGATTCCTCCACTTTCCAGGAAGATCAAGAAGGGGAATCCAGCCTTTGGGATTCACCCATCAAGCCTAGTCAGGATAAACCACGAACCACTTACGAACAACAGGAAGCCAGGGACTTGGAACTACGTCGTGAGCTCGAAAATATCCGTAAGGTCAATGAAGCCATAGAGGGAGTCATCGAAAGCCTTGGAAAAGCCAAAGCCAATATTAAGGTTCGCAAATACGGAGTCAGTACACAATAACCAAACGCTAATAAAGAGACAGGCCGTGAATACCACAGTCAGTGCTGCATCAACATTACTCAATACTTGGACTCGGATTCTTTCTCAGACGGAGCATAATCAGCGTCTCATACTTGATCCAAATTGGCATGGCGCGACCCAGGATATTGCCAATATTGAACAAGAAGCAACTGAGAAGCAGAGAGCAGCGGCACGCCAGGAAGCTGAGGAACTAGAACGAAGATCCGCGGCCGCTCAACGAGCCGAAGAAGAGGAAAGACGCAAGGCTGACCTGCTGGCTAAACAGTCTAAACCCACCAGGGGAAAAGGTTCAAGCAGGATTGGCACTACAGGAAGAGGTTCGAGTTCATCAACTTCTACTTCGTATGTCCAAATGGGTGGCTCAACGAACACTACGACTGGCACCAGAAGAGGGACGAGTTCATCAAGAAGAGTCACCTCTGGTATCGGTCGAGTAGGTGTAGGCCGTGGCGGTAGAGGTTCTGCGTGAGCTAGTTTCTCGCTGTCCCTCACACGTTCCCACTCCAATACTGGTGTATCTAACGGAGCACACCCAACCGCAACTCATCAAAGAATCTCACATCCTAGTCCTGCAAGAGACAGAGACTTTGTGATTCAGACTATTGTCCAAAAATATGCACAGATGTTGAGCATCGTCGATTGTGCAACTCCACAGCTGTTAGGCAAACAGATGCACCATATTTACCTTATCAAATGCCTTTACTGTGCTTGAACATGCCATTCTACAGTCTTCATTAGGGGGTGTCTGTACGAGAGACTGGTTGAGCAGCAAATGTTGCAATACTGCATCATGGAAAGGCATACTCTCCATATCATTAAGGAGCACAGGCGTGCGAAGAAGAGCAAAGAATGTTATATGGCCGTCGATTGAGATTGCCCCACGCCCTGTCTAAATCCCAGTACCAAATGAAATCACAGATCAAGATCAATGGCACGTTTTTCGCGCATCGATCGGTCTGCTGCAAGCACCACAGCAAGAGAGCGGATAGCATCATTCATGTGCTGGGTTAAGTCATGATCTTCCCGAATTGCTTTAAGCAGGAAATCCTGCTCCCGAGCGCAAAGTCCATAATGATCAGGCTCACCAGCCATGGACAACATCTTGTCATTTCCATCAGAAACGTGGTTCACTCGGATCCGAGAAGTCCTCGTATGACTATTGATGTCTGAAGATCCTAGACCCTCGTCCATAACGATGGAAACCGAGCCTCGTGGTCCAAAAACATCCTTGACGAAATATGCGGTTTCGGAAATCATGGGTCCCCAACCTGCTTCGTACCAGCCTACTGAGCCGTCTTCGAAAGTCACCTGAAGATGGCCATAATTGACCTGATTCGGATCGATCTCGTCCGACAATCGAACACCCATGCCACGCACTTGCACTGGACGACTGTCGGTGATTTGCAGCATCACATCGATATAATGTACACCACAGTCAACAACAGGACTTACACTCTGCATAAGTCGCTTGTGAATGACCCAAGCATTGCCCGTCGAGCGCTGGTTGAGATTCATTCGCATAACATACGGTGGCCCGAGGTAGCGTGCCTGCTTGATGAATTCTATCCAACTCGGATGGTGTCGCAGGATATACCCAATGACAAGTTTCTTCCGGGTTCGACGTGCAGTCGCCACGACTCTTTCTGCATCTGCGACTGTGGGAGCAAGCGGTTTCTCGACAAACACGTGGGAACCAGCTTCCATTGCCGCCACAGCATAGTCTGCGTGAGAGTCGGTGTGGCTGTTTATTGAAACAACGTCTGGTCTGAGTTCCATAGCAGTCTGAAAGTCAGGTAGCAGGGGATATTCTTTCAGCTCCTCGGGAATGGTTATTTGACCACGATCCACCAGCCCAATAATAGAGAATCCTGGATTTTGATGGTAGGCCAGAGCATGGCTATCTGTTAGCAAGTTAGCGCAAGGCTTTTCGTCGCATGCTCCGCGGCCAAATCATCGCAATATCACTAAAACAGTACCACTCACGTCCCATTTGCCCCAATCCTATCACAATCACTGTCTGCACCTCTTTCTTCAACGCAGTCCTGTTCGCTTTTTGAGATGAGTCGTTATCATCATAATACGACATTATCCCCCTTTGGTGGTTGAGAAAATAATTCCTTGATCCACAGAACAATTGAAAAGGCCACTGAGCTCGAAGGGTGTCGTGTGTGGTTCCTGAATCGCCCCTGTCTTGATGGGTATCAAGACAATATCAGGGATTTTATGTTTAGTACCAGGGCAAAAGGAGACCTACTTGATAGTACAGGATTGGTCAGTTTTCGACCTCGGACCTTGCCTTCGGAAACGGTTGCATGCAATGGACATGTTGCATTATCACGACAAAGTTGGCAGTGATCACCAGAAGCACGACCGCGGGCATACGCGCCAATGCGGGGGAGCCCGGCCTCCAACCATCAATCAACTTCGAAATACAAGGGTTTCATCTAATTCAAGATCTGGCATAAGATCATGCGGATCCATTTCTCAGCATGGAACAATCTATGTCTTCATTTTATCGTGAGAAAATGCTCCTGGCCGCTGGAAATCTCTACTCTCCCATGACACGCGATGGTCGAGAGCCAATTGTACCAAGATCCGATATGTATCTCAAGACATAAACTCTGGATATGGCGTTTCTGTCTATCGACATTACAGTTCGGGCGCTGAGGAATAACTACTTCAGAGTCTGGCTTTGACGACCATCTCCAGCTCTTTTGCGTCTCTTTTGGCCCATTCCTTGATCAACTTCCGCACGATCTTACCACTGGCTAATTTAGGGACTTCGTCAACAAATTCAATGCCTCCAGCTAGTCTTTTGTGCTTTGCAACTCTTGTAGCAACAAAGTTCTGAATGTTTGCGGCCGTGGTTCTTTCCGTTGCACTCTTCTGGAGGACGACATACGCCCGTGGTAACTCCTCACCGTGCAAAGTTATACCCACCACGGCAGCATCCGCTATGTCCTGATGTTCGAGCAACACTGCTTCTAGTTCCGCAGGAGCAACTTGGAGTCCGTTGACTTTGATCAGCTCTTTCTTGCGATCTACAATCCACCACTTCCCTTGTTTGACCACAGCTACATCACCGGTCTTGAACCAACCATCAATGGTCAGACTCTCTCGCGTGGCTTCTTCGTTCTTCCAATATCCTAGCATGATCTGTGGACCTCGCAGCCATAGTTCTCCAGGCTCCCCGTCGACGATCAGATCTTCATTGTTTTCATTCACCAGTCGAGCTTCGGTGTTGGGGAGGAGGCTTCCTATACTTCCCGTGAAGTCCTTTGTGAATCCCGGAGTTTTTATTCCAGCGCAGGTCGTCTCTGTCATTCCCCAGGCTTGACAAATGACCATGTCATCAAACCGACTCATCAGATCGTTTTGAAGATCACTCGACAATGGGGCTGCCCCTGAAAGATAGTGTTTTACACTGCTAATATCATATTGTGATATTTCAGGTCGTTTAGCCATCATGACCAAGACGGGTGGCACTAGCTGAATCGATGTTATCCTAAACTGCTGGATATTTCTGAGATAATCTTCAAACACAAATTTGGGCATGACATAGACTGGAATCTGCAATCTGCATGCAATGTTCATGGTGAAGAGTTGTGAATATGCGTGATAAAGAGGAAGAAACGCTAGCCATCGTTCAGGCGGACCAGGATTCTGGATGGAATATCCTGTTCCCTCAAATTTACTATAGATGGTTTGTTCGGAATTGGCGATTAGGTTGTGGTGAGTGATGCAAACACCTTTTGGGAGACCTGTCGTCCCACTGGAAAAGTTGATCACCGCAGTGGTATGTAACGCTGCCTCGCCTTCAAGCAGATCCCACCCCCATGTTGCAGCGTCGATCTCAGAAGCTGCTATTACACGCCAGTCACGGACACCGGAAGTTGTGGGTTGTGCCGAATCCGAGAAAAGGAAAAGCTTTTCAAGTGGGATATTGGCTGATTTTGCTGCGGCGAGCCCGGTCTCCAGCAACGTCGGATGAATGAGCACCACCGCTGCACTGATTGCTTTCATCTGGTGTGCGACTTCATGGACTGTGTACACGGGATTCGCACCAGTGAAAAATCGTTGCGAGCCTGCCGCCGCGAGGTATGCCATCGGTACGAAGATGTGATTGGGGGTGAAAACCATGATGGCCTCTTGTTGCGAGATGCCTAGTCGATCAAGCCCGACCGCGAACCTCTTGATCCAGGACAACATTTGAGCTGGCGACAGGCTCTTTGAGGTATCTGTGGCATCTATCCATATCGGCTTTTCTGAAGGCGATACTCCTGGGGGAAAGAGATACGACAGAATATTGCATTTCGGTATGTCAAGTGCCGGCCACGGCGACGTGTATGGCATGTTGATGGACTGATAGGATTCTAGGAGCGGATTTCCATGCTGCTGTAAGTCACCCTCTTATGCGGCATTCATGTCTTAATAAGCAAATCTTGACAAGATATTGGCAATTCCCTACACTCAATTCCGTCGTCCAAATGTGTAGTCAGCAGCTCCGAGTACCAGTCTTCAGTTGATCTTCAGGAACACCAACCGCAAATTGATTACAGTCCGATATTTCCGAATATATCAACAGCCGCTGTTCGAAAAGAACGGCTGTAGGCGAATGAAACTGTTTCGCCCCTCTGACGTGTTCCGAATTGCAGTATCATCTCGACTCTATGGCAGGTACACAGGTCGTCATTCCCAACCCAGATATCGCGCCGAACGGCATCATATGACGGTTTCAGTGCTCCAAGCAATCTCCGTTCCTGTCGTAGAGTAACGCGGACCGAAGCCTGAACGTACGAATCATCAATTGCGTCGAACATCAGCCAGTATTATGGTTGGCTTAGATGTTCCTATGGGGTAGCGCTTTTGCCCCTAACCTCGCGGACCTTGGCATGTCCTTCAACCGCCTTTGACTAGCCCCTCGGGAGTCGTATATTCGAGACTATGGGCCATAGCCTTCGACCGGCTCTCGTCGTGTCATTAATCTGAGAACCCATGGTCTTCGCATTATGCAGTTTCGTTGCGTTGCAGGACTCCGGGAAGTCCGCAAAGGTGCAGGCCTCAGGATCTAGTGCGTAATGATGCTCGGCAAGAACAATCCGCGATCTCCAGAAAGCCATGATCTCCGAAACGACCGCTTCCTCCGCAAAACATTCACTTCCACATTTCAAGAACAAACACACATGTCACAGCCGGAATGTAGATCCTTGTATCGATTCTCACGTGAGTATTATCGCTCCTCATCCCCTTACCAGTGGATATCCAGCGCTGTGCCGAAGACTTGGGTCTTCCCCGTCTGTCGCCCCGAAACCATGGATACGCTCCAGACCGGACTCGACCCTTGAAGTCTCTTCTCCAGAGATTGGGGAATTGGAAATTGTGCGCCGGCTAAGGTGTGGAGCCTTGCAGTGAAAAATGACCCCGAAACGCCAATCGAGATCCATTATCGACCTGGGGCTCTTGGGGGAAATGTGCGTATAAAATCCGGGGTTCTCCAGGCCACATGGTCCTGCTCAACCGAGATACACAAGCTGTGTTGTCGAAATGTTCAACAACATCGAGACCAAACGGAAGCCCGCTTTCGGGAACTCGAAGCAATTTACATGGTACAATTTTTGGATCTGCTTCCTCATAGCTCTCGGTCAAGTGGCGTTCGGCTACAATGCATCAATCATCTCGACCACCATGGGACAACCATCGTTCTTGTTGTACATGAAGCTCCGAGATCCGGTCACATTCCTGCCTACCTACAACGCCTCCGCACTTGAAGGAGCACTCTCGGGTATCTTTTTCGTATGTCTCCTTGGTCCTTCACGTGGCTTTGGTTGCCACAAGCTCATGTTTCTCTTCTAATGATAACAGGCTGGATCGTGTATCGGCGCTCTCACCTCCAGCTATGTCAGCGACAGATGGGGCCGCAAGGTCGGAATCATGTTCTGCTCCACACTTGCCATAGTGGGCGGCACAATGTGCTGTGCGGCTCAGAACGTGGGAATGTTTATCGCTTTTCGCTTCGTCGTGGGAATAGGAGCCAATGCATTCGTCCCTGTGACTGGGGTCTATGTATCTGAGCTTGCACCTCCTGCTTTGCGCGGGTTCTTCGGCGGCTTGTGTGGTGTGTTCATTTTGCTGGGATATTCTCTCGCCGCATATATGGGGCTAGCATTCTTCCACTCAACAATTCCGGCGGTTCAGTGGCGGACTCCATTGGGTTTGGCCATGCTTTTCCCCGTATTGATGCTACTACTCCTGCCAATCTTCCCGGAGTCTCCACGGTGGCTCTTACTCAACAGCCGAACTGAAGAGGCTGAAAATGTGGTTCGGAAGCTCCATCGTGGTGGGGCTGATGATAACTTTGTCCGAAGTGAATTTTATCAGATGCGCACACAGGCAGAGTTCGACAGAACGCAGAATTCGTCTTGGAAGGAGCTTTGGTCGACGCCATCCTACCGAAGACGAGCGCTCACCGGTATGCTTATTGGTATCTTCAGTCAATCGTCGGCAGTGGTCGTCATCAATAATTTTTCACCCATGATTTATGCAGCCTTGGGCTTCGATGTTGAGGAAACCTTGATTCTACTTTGTGGTTGGATCACTGGTGGCATTTTCGCTTCCTTGATAGGTAAGCTATCCTCAACGCTGAACAATCAGGGATTTCTTGATTAACAATCATCACACAGGTGCATGGCTGATGGATGGATGGGGTCGGCGACCACTGATTATCTTTGGGTTTTCAGGCGTGCTTGGATGCTTGATTATAGTAGCAGCGATGATTGCCTCTTTTGCAAGCCCTGTCCCAGAGAATCCAAACAAGGCAGCATTAGGCACTGCAGTCGCGTTCCTGTAAGTGTCTCCTGAAAAGACAAAGCATAGATATTCAGCAGCAGCAAACACTAACTGGGGTCAATAGCTACCTGTATATCTGGATATTCGCTTCATGTCTCGATACGGCGATTGTTGTCTACATACCAGAGCTGTTTCCCAACCACCTTCGAGCAAAAGGAATGTCTCTGGGCATCGCTTCCCTGGCCTTGACCGATCTCGTGAGTTCAACAGGGGACATGTTGATCGAAGCCGTCCTAACGTGAAATCAGGTCCTGCTCCAAGTCACACCTACGGCCATGAGAACGATTGGCTGGAAATTTTACCTGGTGTTCATCTGCGCTACGACGGTAGCGGTGATATGGGCCATCTTCGAGGTCAAGGAAACCAAAGGCCTACCTCTTGAAGAGATTGCCGCTTTGTTCGGCGAGCGAGAGCAGGTGACAGTCTTTGCTGCAGATGTTCATGTGGACCATACGAAGGACGAAGTGGTTGTTGGCTCGGATGTAGGAGATGTCGAACACCGTGAGAAGAGCCAAGCTCAGACTGTTGAAGGGAGAACGATCCCAGAGGCTTGAGAGATTAGTTGAATTGAGGGTAAGTAGTGCGAGCTAGTCACGGCCATTTTGAAGTACTGCTATCTAGACACTAAGGTCGTGATTGTAAGACAGTGGTCCAATAGCCAGTGGCGAATTCCTTCAAGAGAAGCTTTTGGCAGATCTCCAGTAGATTTTATTCGAGTGAATTTCTTACTCAATGAATAAGACTACTTCATAGTCGGTATAACTTCTGAGGGGAACATTGGAATCATAAAACAGCATACCATCAAATAGAATATGCATGTGAATCCCAGATTTGTGACAACGCCTGATGCACTAAGCTAGGGATTCTCCTTGACTAGGACGTTCCAAAAAGTACCCAGGCTCGAGGCTCGAGCTTTTCGTGGCCTAGGACTTTAAACGAGGTGCTTTGAGTTTTGCGCTTACAATGATGACTGGGATCACAAGGCTGTATCTCCATGATCGACCCACGGCACAGGGCGGCACCAACTCCGTTCCAAAAGGAGAATAGACCCATTGCCGCTTTCACCACCTTAGGGTGGCAGGCGCAGGCATCTCTTCTTCTTTCAATGCTGGTCAGCAACGTCAAACCGCAGAAACAAAACAAAGAAGGGGATTAGGGGCTCAATGTCTGCTGTTTTAACGAGAGACACCTAAGTTTCAGCCCGCACAATCTCGTGGCTGTTTGCGCGACAACGATATCCCCATTATCAGATCAGACCACTACGCAACAAAAGTAAACAATGGACTTTGCACCCTACCAGGACGGGTCTCCTGAGTTGTAAGTATCCCATAGTACATTTCGTTCAATATACTAACGAAGACGCCATTTAGGGAGCGCGCTCTATCGCCTCCACCCGGCAAAAGAGGCTCCTTGGAATCACCACGAGTTCGATCTCCTCCGCCTCAGAACAGGCCTTCCCAAGGCATCACACGTGCCATCTCAGATGTACAATCCCTTCCGCCGCCGAGCTCCTTCTCCAACGATGCGTTCTTAGGCGGTTCGTTATCGCGAGAAGAGCGAGGTCAAAATCTTGAAGCATTCCAGACGAGTCTACCAATGCGTCTGGATCACGAAGCCATGCTTGCGTACTTGCTGCTTCCTCCGGCCGGAGGTGTACTTCTGCTCATTCTCGAGCACAAGAGTGACTATGTACGATTCCATGCATGGCAGTCTAGCATGCTATTCTCCGCCATCTTCGTCTTGCATTTACTCCTGTCCTGGTCGAGGTTCCTCTCGTGGATTCTTTTTATCGTTGACCTGGGTCTGATTGGCTTTTTGACATTACATGCGTACCGGGATGTAGAAAATCTGGATCATTTCGAGGTTCCATTTTTCGGCCATCTCGCCAATTCGTTTGTCGACAATGAATGAACGGGAGTTTGAGGATTCTTGCATCGGGGTTATATGGATAGGGGATATGTGAAGCCTGGGCAGGGCCTTTATTACGAAATAATCAGTGATTCGATTTCTCATGCCTCACGGAGCCTGGCTATACAGAGAAACACAATGGAACCCGTTCGGAGTTGACCTTTAGGCAAGGACGTGGAACTCCGAGCAACACCAGTCTTATTGGACTTTAATTGGATCTCATCAAAATGAACTTGTAAGCTGTCTTTCACAAACCTATCAGTTATTATTACTGATGAAGAGTAGAATTATGACCAGAAAAATCCGCATCGGAATTCTTGTTCCATCCTCCAACACTGCACTAGAGCCATTGGTCTATGCCATATTATCTTCCATTCAGTCAGAAGATATCTCCATATCAGTGCATTTTTCGCGCTTTCACGTTACTAAGATCGACAGTTCAGAATCTGCTGATGCACAATTCGAGCTTGAGACGATATTGGCAGCCGCTCGACTCCTCGCAGATGCACACGTCGATGTCATTGGCTGGGGCGGTACATCAGCAGGTTGGCTTGGCTTCAATATTGATGAGAGATTATGTGCCGCCATAAAAGCCGAGACCAAAATTCCAGCAACCACTTCAACGCTGCCCTCAACCAGGCACTTTCATTACTCGCAGTGAAGGAGCTTGGGTTGGTAACACCGTATGTGGAGGAGCTCAACGATAAAATACGCTCAAACTATCTCAAAGTAGATATCGTGATTAGAAAATCACAAGAACGCCATCTGGGAATTACGGACAACAATGAGATTGGTGATACTAGCTACCGGGCCTTGGACCAGATGGTCCTGGAAGTGAGAGACCAAGGGGCTAGGACAGTGACTACATTCTGCACCAATCTGCATGCAGCAAACCGGGTGGAATATTGGGAGAATTGTCATGGTATCGTGGTTCTCGATACGGTCAGCACGGTGGTCTGGGGCGTGTTAAGGATTGTTGGAGTTGATACTGGGCTCGTCAAGGGCTGGGGTCACCTGTTTGAGATAAAAGAGACGCCATCAACATCGATCTGATCGCCGAGCGGTACTTAGGTAGTATTCAAGTTCAGTCCACATAATGTTTCCAGCAACGTTCACGTGATACGAAATTGACGTCTTGGCAGAATTACATAATGTGGTTGCTGGGCCAACGCCATTGAACGGAGGACACCCAAACAATCGTCACCTCGAGTTCACATGTACAACCACTCCCGTCAAGATCCGAATATCCAATTTGCTAATCATAGTTCATTCCTACTTGATAGAGCACAGACTCTATTAATGCCCTCTGACCAGCCTGACTGTCCGGTATAGTCTCTCGAGCTTGCGGTCACAACAATAATCCACACCAAACCGAGCAACACATACATTAACCGCTGGCAAGATGCCGGCTGGCGCCGCCCTCGAGTTAGATGGGCCTCCGACTGTACCTTTGTGTTGTAAGTCGTTCTGTTATACTGATCGACTGAGCCGATTTCTGACCATAATCTAGTCTCCAACAACTTCTGGGGACGAGAAGATGCCGGAGTCGAGCCTCTATTGACACGAATGCAAAATGCCCGAACCACCTGCGACGAAGTCAAAGCCTTCTATAACGCGCGCGCCGCCCTCGAGGAAGACTACGCCAAGAAGCTGATCGCCCTGTCTAGGAAACCTCTGGGAAGTACCGAACAGGGTACATTACGAGCAAGCCTCGATGTGGCCCGTGGAGAAACCGAGTCGATGGGCAAGCAGCATGCATTGATTGCCCATCAAATGAGAACCGAGCTGGAGGAGCCGCTGGCGGCGTTCTCTGGAGGCATGAAAGAGCGCAGGAAGATTGTGCAGAATGGAATCGAGAGACTGCTAAAGACCAAACAACAACAGACTGCACATGTCTATAAAAGCCGAGACAAGTACGAGCAGGACTGCTTGCGTATCAAAGGCTATCTTGCTCAGGGACATATGGTCATGGGTCAAGAGGAACGTAAGAACAAGTCAAAGTTGGAAAAGACCCAGATAAACATGGCCGCAAACTCGAATGAATATGAGATGGCAGTCAAAGTTTTGGAGGAAACAACCGCCCGATGGACGAAAGAGTGGAGAGCAGCATGTGATAAGTTTCAGGATCTGGAAGAGGAGCGACTTGACTTCACAAAGTCCTCGCTCTGGGCCTTTGCAAATATTGCTTCAACAGTATGTGTCTCCGACGATTCTTCATGCGAGAAAATCCGTCTGGCTTTGGAGAATTGTGAGGTTGAAAAGGACATCATCACCTTCATCAAGAGTTGTGGAACCGGCCAGGATATACGTGGTGCTCCTCGTTATATCAACTTCTGCCGTGGGGATGCCGATGCGGCCTCGGAGATTGATGAAGATGACAACTACACAGTCGCCCAATACTCAAGAACCACCAACCCAGCTTTCAGATCTTCATCTCCCACACATTCTCATGCCGCTACCAGAAGCACTCGGGACGACACTCCTCAGCGTATGTCCGAAGAGCCAACGGGTCCGGGCGAGGACGATATGCCAACTCCATCCAATGCCAACAGTGGGCGGCCTGCTCCGTTGAATTACAAACAACCAACGCCTAATGTGCCACCGAACTATTCTCCTCAACAGCATGGTCATGTTCCAAGTGTGCCACATAATCAATATCCCACTGATGGGATGACCATGTTCTGCAGAACTGATCTTCCCCCCTCGGTGAATGGTTCTGCATTGTCGTCCAACACTCGACCAGAAAGTAGGGACAGCCAAAGTGAGTATTCGGCTCCTAGCTCATTCACGAGTGCAGAACCTACTTCGGGAGCCACTTCTCCGACCAAGATGGCCCCGATCAATGGAATTCCATTACCAGGCATGACATCTCCAGACAAAAGTGTGGTGAAGAAGAGATCAGGCTTCTTTAATAGCCCATTCAGACGAAAATCACGGAAGGAACAAGAAAACCCAGTCACCAATAGCTCTTCGAATCGGAACACGTGGAATCTTTCTTCATCAGGCAACGGTCGAATCAACCTCAATCCAACAGTATCTAGCACACAATCTAGTCCGACAAAATCTCCGACTCGTCAGATCCAGAATCCATTCAACAGAAATGCCAGTGCTGTGGCTCCTGAAGGGGAAGAAGCCGCAGATCCTCGAGCTAGCTTTCAGCTGAATGTTGGGAACAACGTTTTTGATGTAGCCAGTCCTGATGGTCAACAGTCCACACCCAAGTCGAGTGCACAGAACAGTCGCCGAAGTCAGTTCCTTCCACCCTCGTCTATCGGAGATGACATGCACGATCCAATTGCACGAGCCCTTGCAGATCTCAAGAATACCTCTGGTAGCACAGGAATGTCTAAACAAGCTAGCACAAGAGTTGCAGTTGATCGTTACCATGGAGTAGCAACTCCAGCTCCAGATCAAGAAGTGGCCACAAGACCAGCAATCATGAGTGCGGAAAGTCAGGCTAGAATGGCGGCTCAACGTGGGACGCCACCTCCAGCGTATGATACTTCAGGAGGAAGAGCTCAAAGTGCTCTGGGAGTTCCTCAGCCTGCTCACACTAAAAAGGAGATGTTGAATCGAACGCAAACCTGGGGAACTGACTCTGTTGTTTCGGCTCCCAGAGGAAGCCAGCAATCAAGACCTGGAACACGTGATGGACGAAGAAGCCCGGGTCCCGGGATGATGAGGGCTGCCAGTCCACAACCTCAGCAATATCAACAGCGGTCAAGGAGTCCAGCTCCCGGCATGGTCGCTCGAGGTGCAAGCCCACAACCTCAACAATACCGGTCTCGAAGTCCAGCACCTGGAATGCAGCGAGCAGCTAGTCCAAACCCTCAAAACTATCAGCAAAATCCCAACATGCGCGCCCGTAGCCCAGCCCCTGGAATGATGCATCAGAACTCAGGTTCTCAAAGCTCCCAATATCGGGCAGCCTCCCCGAATCCCCACGCCAGACAACCTAGAGGTCCACCAAACCAAGCGTCACGGCAAGGAAGTGGTATGGAGATGCAACTCAGCTCACAAGATGTAACGAGGTACGATGGAACGGGAAGTGGACGTAACAGACAGAACATGAGACCAACCTCCAGCTTTGGTGGTGATCGTTACCAACAGCCTCAGAGTCAGGGGTATGACAATGGTAGAGATCCAAGAGGCAGAGGTAGTGTTGAAATCGAACTACGCAGAGAGAGGAGCAAGAGCCTGGCCAACATTCCATTCAGACCAGCCCCACAACAACAAGCCCCGTTGTACTATGGTAAGGCCCCCTTTCTTCCAAGCCGAAACCCCATATGGATGAATTTATCAAGACTCACTAACGATATTTTACAGCACGTGCAATGTATTCATATCCAGCGGCGATCCCAGAAGAACTCAGTTTCAGCAAAGGAGACATCCTCGCCGTCATGAGACTACAGGACGACGGTTGGTGGGAAGCAGAGGTGAAGGAAAGCGTCAAGGGTGTAAGGGGAGGTGGGATTGGTCTCGTGCCGAGTAACTATCTCCAGCGCTGTTGAAGCAGTCGTTATTGATTGAGCGCGTGTCTTGCTATGTCCTGATTCTTCGGCAATTGTAAATGAAATGGGAAATGGGCAACGCAACGTAACAGTGGTATTTGAGCCCCGGGGACCATCAAGTCGAATAGGGAATGCGTTGGAATGATTTGTACTAGGTGTGTGTGTGTGTGTGTGTGTGTGTTTCAGCATATCAGAGAATTGCCGGTGATCTTCATTTCCTCTGCTTCTGCTTCTGCTTCTACTTCTACCACTTGTTCTACATGCGACCAGAGCAACCTTCTTCCCTTCCCAGCGCGCCAGAATGTCAACAGGAATGTGGATGCAGGAAGTGTGGAGGATCTGCCCCACCATGATGTCCAAAGACGGATACGAGAGGACAGTGCAAAACAATGATTTTCCGGGGTAGTAGCAACCCTGGTTAGTAACTAGTCATCTGGACCCGGGGGCCAGGGGGGTTGCCCATCTTCTATTCTTGTTCTTGTTTTTTGTTTCTCCCGGGCTTCTATGCACGCATGCACGCACACGCGCACGCGCGCACGGACATATGGAAGCTGTGTGTGGCTTAGGGTAGTCACGGTCGGATACATGTGTCGGCATAGTTGTGAATACCTTGAGTAGCCAGTCCATTTCTCTCATCTCGTTGGGGAAATATCTCGTACAGCACCGCCAAAGATAATTAGAAGTGTTTGAATAGGCAGAATGCAGACGAACAGACGGACAGGTTCCTTAGGCTGGCCAGGTAGCCAGGCCTTGCCAGCCTAACTAGGCAGGCGTTTTCTTTTTCTATTGTTTCCGTTCACGCTCACGTTCAGACGGAGATGTAGGCTACGAGGAAGCTTGGGTTGTTGCGCGACTGCATTTTAACTACTTGCTTTAATTAATCAAGGCTGTCGAGGAACATCTGTGCTGGAGCGTACTTGTGGTGTTCGGTTTCACGGCAATGAATGACTATGTTAAGTATACTTGGTCCGTTACTCATAGGTAGGGAATACAATATGGACGTGGTGTACTTTGCAACAATTTACTAGAGGGGATGAAGACGTTCGCTCCGCCCTCACGTTTCAAAGAACCTACCTACTATCGACGACGGTTTCCCTCTTCCGGAAATCACGAAGTTGATGTTAGTTGGATCCCCCAGCACAGAAAAGCCCCACGAGAAAGTCATCATCATCGCTCGATGAATGTCAATCCCTGAGGACTCCCCGAAGTTCTCTCGTGATCCAGGACTCATAAGAGGCACGGCTTAGAGCGCAAACATTCGTATCCCAACTCGGCATATGTTGTTCATTTTTACTCACTCACTCCACTCCACTCTCCACGGCGGACTCGGGTCTGGGGTGGAAAGCTAGCTAGCTACTCGTAGTTAATTCGTCGTAATAATGGCTAAATCCCCAAAGCCCCGGGGGCCCGAAAGGACCGCCGCAGTTCTTCCGAAAGTGTGGAGCGCGACAGCGAGGCTTTCGGCAGTGCCGGCGAATTGCCCCATACCCTGGCCTGCTGTGGCCTGCAGCATGCAGGGCCTCAGCGAGCAATAATAAATATTGGAAAGAAAGTAATACGAGGCTGTTCAATAGTGGTAGCCTAATCAGATCACTCGTCGGGATACGATGCAAAGGCGACTGCCGAACTGGCAGGCAGGCAGGCCTCTGCAGGCTCCCCAGAGGAAAGCAAGAAACCCCCTGATAAATTTGAGTTGTGTGCAAATTAAAATCATCATCTTGATCAATTCGTGAAGTGCTCCCCTGGGGCTGGTTCATGCTGGCAGTCATTGGAGTGTTCGGACCGGCACAGGACACAAAATTGCCTGTTTTGACCACATCTAGTATCTCACACTGTGGTTTCAGGTCATCATGATCTTCAGGCAGCCGGCAGGTGAGTCCTCCCTGGGGAGAGGGGTTGTCATCATCATCAAGCCTGGGAGGGAGAAGAGCTATTATTCACACGCGTAAGAGAAATCAGGGGTTTTTGGACGCGCAGAAGGCTGGGGGGCCAAAGACAGGAGAGAAGGAAAAAGCAGTGCCGAATTTGGGCGGCCAGTTTGAAAGGTACTTGTACGTTGCGCAAGACTGCCGTATGTAGCGAGCGAGAAGCGAGAATGGTCAGCCTAAGTTGAGTCTTACTTGACTGTCTAGGTGAGTCTGAGGCTGGTTCTGGTTAAGTCAGACAAGGGAATAATCGATCACCCAAGGAAAGGACAATCAGCCTGCCACCGGAACATGAGAAAGTTGGAAGGCTGTGTTGTTCGGGTAGGGTCCCCGGGCGTGTATGCTTGTAGGGAAACACGTATTTGCAGATTGCACCAGCCTCAAAGAGTCGCGATCTTTGGCTATGGTCGATCGTTACTTTTTACCCCGTATGGAGGGGTCGGGGTCCGGAGAAATAAGTGTCTGGCATCATATGGCCCTTTTGTGCCGCATCATGGTCCATGGAGGAGGAGAAGACCAGGCGAAGAGAAATGTCCATGGACACTCCTTTTTCACGCGGGACGCATAAGAAGCCACAGCACAGCAGATGCCCCCGGCCATCATCAACCCGTAGTAATGTTGCAAGCTAAACAGTACCCGTTTCAGTGCTGGCAAAGGGCGCGAGCGAGCGACACACATGTTTTTGATTTTTCGATTTCTCCTTGGATTCAATTTGTTTCTCCTTACCTCGTATCTCTTAGCGAGCCAGAGCCTGACTCTCTCGAGATGAGTCGGACTCGGAGATGGCCTCGGTGTTTGACACTGCAGGCAGGTTGACTTCTGTTAAGGTTTTACATCAGATTGATAGGGGAGGAAACCCTACCTATGTAGGTAGGTACCTCGTACTCTCATCACTGTCTGGATACTCGGTAGGGTTTGTACCCGCGTTTCTGCTGCAGCAAAGACTTTGATCCTCACGTAAAATTGCCCAGGGACCGTGGTACCTGATACATTTAGTTGCCTCGCTTCTCTTTCTCGCCATGATCTATCCCGCAAGCTCTAGCTAAGTCAAGTAGGCGTTGGGAGAACTATACCTAGGTAATTGCTAGGGACGGTTTGCGGATCGTATTTGTCCAGAAGCTACGAAACTCTGTTTGTTTGCTGCAGTGGCCAGCGAGCCTCCTTTGAGACTTCCGCCGGCACTCCGGGGTATACCCTTTCTAAGGTTTCCATCTAACTCAAATCAATGCTCCTCCCGGGGTGAATGATTCGTGGTGAGCCGACTGGCTCCCCCGGTAGCACCGCCATCGAGAAACACACCGGTTTTTCTCCAGTTTCTCGATTTTGACCGTTGCAGTGGATATCATTGCTCGTCACTCGAGATCGATCCTCCTTTTAAACTTTCATGATTATGAGGGCTGGAAACCGCTTGGAAAGCGAGGCCGACATTCTTGCTCGAAAGTCGAGATTGAAATGAACAAGACTCCATAAATGTACGTACTACTCTTGTCGCGTGTCTCGCGTCTCTATCTATGTATAGATACAATCCCCTGGTCTTCGTAGTGGATACCGCAATAGGAAATTCCATTTCTTGGCCGAGTGAGGGGAAGATATACTCGGGAGAAGTATCGGGGTTGGACCTTATTTCTGAATGTGTATAGGTTTGAACAAACCCAGACTTGAGGTTCGATCTCAAGTATTTGAGTTGCCAATTGCAACATCATTTGTGCTGACAGCAAGTGGCCATTTTAAGCACCTCTTTGAGAGCCAGAACAATTACTTCGAGTACTAGCACTTGTTGGTCGCAAGCTAGGCGTGCCAATCGATAGCTTACCAGTAGGCGCATGCACGTGTAACGGCAGGTTACAACCGCTAACCATTGACCACCGACCAGGGTGTGATAAATAACCATGCCCACTGCTAAGCGAGTGCTCCGTTGGGGACCTCTGTGAGTTTAGAAGTTCCTGCTAATTCGAAGCTACACTTTGAACCACCTTCACTGCCACTGCGAATGTCATTGCCAGCAGACCAGTGTCACGTTCTCCGAGGGTAGCAGCACGCCACCGGTGAATTCCCAGTCTAGGATGTATCGAACCTCTACTGAGAAGTCTGCATTGTAATGATTCTGGTATAGAGAAATACATAGATTGTATAGCGAGTGTTTTGCCTGAAAAGCTGGCTGAGCTATATCAATCACTTTTTGGTACTCAACAAGACAGTAGCAATGCTTCGCTGCCCGTGTGGAATTGCGCACGGTGGTTGTCTCATAAGAACGTCACCGATGCCTGGTAGTGTCATACATCGTAATACATGCACAAAACACCTTTTAATGTGGTTACATTTCGTAAAGTGTCAAAGCATTTGTTGCGTTCGAACAGAGCAAACACCTCTCACTGGACTTTGAAATAAGTGCTGGGAAATTTGAGGTTTTGTATAGAGCTGCCACCGGGTAACGATTCCCGAGACGTGGGAAGCGGTATCTCTCCAGTGGTCACGCCTGCTGAAAAGATATTGCCAAAAGGCATATCGTCGCTGGGAGTCGTAATTGTAGGCAACTCAGTCTCTTCAATGCCCTTGTCATCTTGACTGGTGGGTAATACCTTTTGGATGCATTTGCTTTCTCGGAAGTAATAAAGTGGATGTTCAAATCCTGTGACCGTGCTCCAGGTGCCCGTAGGACATGACGTCTGAAGGGTTGGAAGTAGGATGCATGTCCATATATTGTAGATGTTGAGGATCCTCTGAGAAACCCGTATCAAAATATTCTTCTGATTGTTGAATGCCAGCCCAATTTTGCATTGAGTTGTAGTCCCACCGGTTCATCATTTGAGGCCCACCGATAGGACTGTCCCAACTATTGCTCCAATTCAAAGAGTCGAACATGTTGTCCATAAAAACCTCCTGATTGGCAGTGTTCAGCACTTGATCACTACCGAATGTGTTGGCAAATGAAACATCAATATAGGTTGGCTTGAAGTTGGGTGCTGCAGATGACGGCGCCGGCATTTGACTGGTCATAGAAGTTGGCGTATTCATGCTGCTTTGGAAGCATTGATCTTGCTTCTCTGAGATCTCGGGAATATGCTTTCTGCTGCCTTCCCACAGTCTGAGTACGACTTCCAGTGACCTTTTTGCAGTAGTTGACCAAGGTTGGAGATCTGCCAAAATGCCCGTTGCCAACTCCACTTGACGTCGACTCTGTTCGACAACCTCGTGATTTAGAGGATCTGCATATAGCGAGAGTAACGGTACCATGACTGCTTGATAGAGTAACCAAGTGGCGTTCCATCCCGATATCTGGCAAGCTTTCTGTGCCCTCCAGGTAGATGCAATATCGTTGATGAGCTCCGCGGAGAGCTCTCTACAGAGCTCAACAGCGGTCTTCTTTTCCTCACATAATTTCTCCCAGGTAATCTTTCTCATCGAATACCAGAGTAAGACAGGTCTGTGGAGAATGATACGATTCGTCAGGTAACGCCATCTCATGACGTTCTTGAGGACAGAAACACCAGGTAATTCAGCCATATTAGGCTGAGGAGACTGGGTCTGGATAGAAGAATGCTTGTACCATTCCAGATACAACGCATCAAGTGCGTGACGTTCATGCTCATCCAGAAGCGGAGAAACAGCGAGACTATCCTCCATCCGAGTACTTATCACAGCAAAACGAACATTCTCTTGAACGAGTGTTAGTAACGCAGTTGACTGGCCCTGCGATTGACATATTAGCATGGAAACAACGTTTGGTGTTGTATATGTACTTACTATGGATTCTTGAGGGGGCTTTGCGGTAATGGCGAAGCTCATGCGTCCCATACTTGGGCGGCCTAGGGTATTTCCCACCCAAGCATCGAGCATGAATACACACCACCATATCCTCCGCCTCATTTCAATAGAAAATGCTGCTTTTTGCAACTTTGCAGGCCCCACTCCCTCCGTATAATCGCGGTGGAGACCTAGCATAGTGGCAATCCTGAGTGTGGCACCCATTATCGCGTTGGCTTGATTGGGGGTTTGTAAGTAATGGAGATAAAACCCGCTCAAGATAGCCAGTGCTTGGACTGTTTCAAGATGGGCTGAATCCAGTGTACTCATATCCAGATGTTGTTTGGCGCGATTGAAATATGTCTGGTGAGTCGTGTCTTCTGAATTACCTGCTGCCACACTGCCCATGGCCAACACGGTGTTCAGTAAGAGTTGCCATCGAGAATCTGTCCTTTGACCGGCCATGTAGGTATCGCGGAAAGTTGTTTCTTCAATCAAGGGAATGAAGGGATGAACGTAGGTGAAATAAGCATTGATCATGGGAATTTCATCCCACGCAGAAGATGAGGAGTCCTCTCCTCGTGCGGCATCTTTTCCTTGTAGCTGGGACTCTGGAGGAGGCGAAGCTGCCCGGCTTGGTACGATACTTCGTTCTGGTGATTTGGCAAGGCACTCTGGATCCAGCCATGTGATGACTCGAAGTACAGCCATGACGGAGGAAATGCCGAGGTACGAGGAGTTTTGTTTAACCGACAAGGAGAGCATGTTAACATCGTCAGTAATGCCTGGCATTGCAGGGTTGCTTGATTCAAAAGCATCGTTGGTGTCATCGGGCATTGGTTGTAGCTGCTCTAGGCTGCCAGCATCGGGATTGACCGGCGGGGGTTTTTCATCCACACTTGGAGTTCTGGGTGATGGTGGGTGAAAGTTGTTGGACTTTGAAATGAGCTCTATGAGCCTATCGCGCGACATGTCCTTTAGCTGATCAGGATGAACGTTTGGAAACAGCTTCTGTAGAACAGCTCGATATTCCTGGAGTGTTTGTGAAATCTTTTCTACAGACCTGGAAGTCACAAAATGAGCTTTGAACCGATCAAGTACTTGTAGAATGATGACTGACCTTCTTGAAGGCATTTGCCTTTGCCGTGGTTCGGTGTAATGACATGATGCAGCTTTGCGATACCACTGACAGGTCTCACACGGGTGCTCGCCATTACACCGGATCTTTCGCCTCCTACAAGGTTCGCAAGCGCGCACTGTTGAAGTTCGTCTCTTGGCCGCGGAAGAGGTTGTCTGATCAGCTTGCTCAGGACTAGCATATTGCGCGGTCTCAAAGGTGTGAAACATGGTGAACTGAGAGGTGAAGAAGTCAGAGATGGTTAGGGTTGCAATCCCAGAGTGTTAGTATGTAATCTTGGCATGAAGACGCGATAAAGCCTGTCGAATGCGAGGGTAGTATCAAGGCGCAAGCGTGGTGGTTAGACGAAAATCTGCAAGCAGATGCTGACCCAGGCGCTTTTGAGGTGAGGTTCGGGTTGTTTGGCCCTGGCGAATAAGACCATCTATGACGATGGCTACTTTTGTACTTGGGGCGACAGGATCGAACTTTTTTGGCGGAGGAAATTGGTGTTTGAAGGTTGGGTGGGAGTGATACGGTGGGGCCAACTAGGATGATCTAGCATAAGCTCATGGGCGATTCTGGGTGAAGATCTTGTTACGGCGAAGTGAGCTGGGGCAAGAGACAGGTAGAGCAAGTACGACAAGAGGGAAGAGGGAAGCAGATCAAAGACATTTGAAGGAGCAGCAATGGATCTTTTTGAGTTATTGATAGGTTTGTACGAGTTCAGAGATAGGGTACCGTATAGGCAGGGGACAAGACTGCGCGACTAGCATGACAGTAGCATGAGGTATACAACAACCCGGTCACAAAGTGGATAGCTGGACGGGTGGAAGTTGAAATGGTATCAAGAATCCGGGGAAATTGGTTGACATGATCGGCCGCATGAAGGGTTAGCGTGACCGAAGTCGACCAGCATTGAGGGGAGGAGCCGGTGTGTTTGAAAAAGACATCAGAGGGACATGACGAAGGGAATCGAGCAGTAGACACGAAACCTCGTTCTGGTTAAAATTTGATTGGAGACGAAGGTGGTGGGATATGTGAAAGTGGAGGCAGTGTAGAACGGACAGGGGTTCAGGAAGTGATCTTGATTCTGGAGGTCAGAAGGGGAGTAAAGTGGTGTGGATGAAGAATGGAGCTTTGACTGCAACTTGAAAGTTGAGTGGCCGGTGGCGGGCCTGGCAACAAACAGGCTGGCAGTGGCAGATGCCAGGATTCCAGAAAGAATGGAATGGGAAGATGCAGAGAAGGTCGAGAGAAGGGAAGAATGAAGATGGGCAGCAGGAAGCTAGTCAATAGATGCGTCACAACGGCGGCTAACTAAGAACTCGAAGTCTAGATACGAGTACTAGTAAGTACGGTAGGTACGGTAGGTACGAGGACATAAATAAGAGGAATTAAATGACCAGGGTTCAGCCGAACAATAACAGCACAGCACATGAATAGGACACGTTAATTGTTGATGAACTAATGTATCTCTTAGTAGCCTGGTGTCTGGCTAACTTAGTACTGCTCGGTGGATGGCTCTTTCCTCATGCCATCCGCACCTGCATGTGCACTTGCACTTGCACTTGCGTTGGTTAAATGTCAATAATGCTCACAAGATGCAAGTGCCTTCCAGTTCGTGCTTGTTCCTCAGGCTTTCCTTCCTTCCTTTTCTTTTCATTTCTGTTCGCTCCTTCTCGAATTCTGCCGTTCATGTCCCGACTCCCGCGTCCGAGTCGCGCCAGTCAATTTCTACAACAGCCAACCTGGGTCTCGTCCTCGGGGCCAGGCCTAAAGTAAAATAGTCTGTAATCTAGTGCACTATACCGAGTATTTGATTTTGCCATATGGCCAAACTTCCCTGCTCCCTGCTCCCGACTCGTACTCCATGCTCCTTGTTCCATGCCCAGCCTCCACCTCAAACCACATGGCTCGAATTTAGCAAAAACGTCTCAGCAACCGAAAATCAGCCATACAGCAACTGGGTTTGGCCTGCATCCACCGGCAGTCATGACCTCTCTGTACGATCCCTAACCCACTCCCAGCGTCATCAATCATCAATGCCCTTGCCATCGCCATCCTCTCCCTCAATACTCCATTCTCTGGCCCCATAAGCTTGTTCACCCAGTGCATCGAACTAGTCCAATTTCATCACTTGACAGTCTCAGACATCGACATTGCACCATGACCCTTCTCAACCGACGATACTATTCGTAGATACACCTACCCTGCCTCGCTTTCGTTAGGCAGGCTTGATCTATCATCCTTCCCACCAATCGTAATAAGAGATTCCCTACCAATCCTGGTTAATTTCGACAGTGCCAGGGCTCATTAGGCTTATTACCTGCCCTGTCCTGCCCTGCCCTGTCCCTCGTAGGCTTGTACCCATGAGGGACAACGAATGGTCCCCACTGGCCGACAACCAGACTCATTCTCCCGAGGCTCGCTCCACTGCCGAAAATCTCCCAATTCTCAATTGCTCTGCTCGTTTGGAAGCTTCGGCCACGGCCTGTCTTCCCAACTCACACTAAGCAAGGCTTGAGATCAGACACATCTCATGGGTCTTGTTGAGAGTTGAGTATCTACTCCGTAGGCCACGAATACTCGGTCCAGGCATCGCGAGGACAGAGTGCACATTTGGTGAGCAACGACCCTGCTTTTAGGCACGACTGCCAATCGGCCGCATACTTGTGACGAGCGCCGATATTCAACCGCCACCCAGAACTCCTTCCACCCACAAACACCATCAAGTCAGACCATGTCATCCTTTGAGAATCTCTGCAAGTAATACACAACTCATCTTACTCTTCCCAAACCATTTGGCTGGCCCCAGGGGACATCCTGTTTGGGCAGATTGTCTTTTCAGGTGGCCATTCTCATCCCTTCGCGATTCATCTTTGAATCAATACTGGTAGTCCCGCCCTGAATTGACTAACTACTCCCTCCATCACATGCGATGCAACTCTGCCTAACGGCTAATCTGGACCCCGTATTGTGGCCATGCCATCCACTGCCAACTACCTCGTACTCCGTACGAAGTAGACTGCGAAACTTTATCTCTCGCCTCCCCTGTCTCATTGTTCCCCTGCGCCCAAGTATGTCCAGTCTAGAGGTTGACTGCCAGCCTTGAGCCCGCGGACTTGAATAGTCTGCGTATCTCCCGGCACTATGTCGATTGCACTATCACTAAGGTGACATCCTTCACGTTCCTCAAACACCAGACACTTGACTGGCCGCTCAGCACTCACATGCATCTCATTGCCAACGACCTTCACATTCACTTTGCGTGAAGGGAATGGAAGGTACTTGAGTGGCTGGGGCCAGTCGGTGTCTCGGGCCACCAATTTACCATTCAACCAGATTCGTGCTGCGAGGACATGGGGCTCTTCCTTCTCGTTATCTATCACTCCTTTGAGAACGTCCGTAGTACCATTGGCCTTGACGCGGATCCCTTTCTGCACAATCTTCTCCTTGATTTCCTGCCCCGTTCGAACCGACACAAACTTGACCTCCACGTCAGCAACAATGTCAATCAACTTTGAGCTTACCACCCATAGCTCCCAGTCCTGCGTTCGGGGCTCTCGGGCATGCGTCACACTCCAATCATGATGACTCCGGCGGACTCCAACCGCCACGGGGGCCAATACACGGGCCATCGCGTAATATGCTGGTTTTCTCCGTAAGTAGTAGTCGACGATCGACCAGCTGGTCACTGGCCAGCAATCATTCAACTGCCACACCAAGGCTCCGCCGCAGTGTCTATCATCACCCCACTGCTTGCGCCAGCCACGATAGCCAAACATGAGAGCCTCGCATTGGATCAATTGTGTCAAGTGGATGTAGGATTCGAGTGATGTTGACGTTCTGACGTTCTCCACCAGGTAAGTGGCGATCCGTCGCTCATGTCCATCTGCTTTGTTGTGAAAATCGAGCACATGACTCTGGGGGTAGAGATCTTCTTCTCTCTCCACAAACGACTTGATCGTGGCAATATGTGGGAATGCCTCCATCCCAAACTCGGAATTAAATCGTCCTCCCAGAGAGTCAAAGATCTGATACTTCTCCTGCGTGCCATGCCACACATTCCACTGATGCATATCGCCCACGGTGGGGTCCGAGCTGATCTTCCCATCTCCCCACGGCGACCCCGGATGGTAGGGAATCCACGGGGCCTCGCGCGCCGATACTCTTGGAAGCAGCGACTCGTAGATGTACCGCGCCGGGAAATCCGACTTCAGCCAGTGTTCCTCGTTCTTGTCCTCGTAATCGTAGGTCAAATGCGCCGACTCGGCCACCTGGTAGTCTTCGTTGTTCCCGGCAAATATCACAATGCTCGGATGGTGGCGAATTCTCCGAACATTAGCCACCGCCTCCCGCTCGATCGATTCCAATATATCCGGGAAGCAGGGGTAGTTGCCGCAGCCAAACATAAAATCCTGCCCGCAAATTTTCAACCGTTAGTATGGGGATCCATCTTCAATTCATTGTCCCGGGAGCAGGCCCGGGGAAATGGAGCTGGAGATTAGATTTTTGTTTTTCTTTCTCTCGTATCCATCGTGTTCGTCACGTACCTGCCACACCAGAATGCCGAGCTCGTCGCACACGTCGTAGAACTCGTCGTTCTCATAGATCCCTCCGCCCCAGATCCTAGCGAAATAATTCAATCAGCAAACAAGAACTCATCCAGTAGTAGCGTCTTTTGGGATAGGGGGGAGCAATGGTTAGGTGGAGCGCATCCGTAGGGCTTTTCATTCTCTCTCCCCCACATACCTGATCATCTTCTGGTTCGCAGGAACCATCAACTCGATCCACGCCCGGTACTTCTCCGGGGTAACGTTGGTCAGGAAGCTATCGGCTGGAATCCAGCACGAGCCGCCGCAGAAAATGTCCACGCCGTTGATGCGGAAGTAGAAGGACTTGCCCCGAGCATCGGGCTCCTGGACGAGCTGGACGTTGCGGATGCCGATCCGCTTGCTCTCTGCGTGTAGCTCCGTCGCGTCGTGGAAGATGCTCGCGCTGACGGTGTATAAGCTCTGCCTGCCGTAGCCGTTGGGCATCCAGAGTTCGGGATTGTCGACTTTGAGCTGGCCAGAAGCTTTGCCGTTCGCTCCTACTTCTGTGTCAGTCGAGTCGATTAGTTGATCTCCCAGCTTGATTGTCAGTCTTGCTTTGAGGTGAGGATGCTCTGAATGTGCTTCGACGTCTATGCTCGCGTCGACCGTGGCGGACTTGTAGTCGTCCGCAATCTTGACATCGGTCCTCAACTCGGCAATCCTGACAGAGTATATCTCCAGGCGCACGGGTCTCCAAACACCCGCACAAACCAATAGCGGGCCCCAATCCCACCCCCAGTGGTATTGGGCCTTTCTCACGGCCAGCCTGGCTGTGTCACCATTGAACGCCACGAATTTGTGGTCCGGATGCTGGTCTTTGATCTCTCGGGCTCGGAGGAATGCTGACGCAAATTCGATCTCTAGATCCAGATCATACGCGCTGCCATGAACGAAATCCGTGACATCCACGCGATGAGGCAAGAACATGTTGTCGCTCTCCAGTATTGTCTTGCCTCCGAGCTTGACAGTCGCGAACGTATCGAGGCCATCGAACGCGAGCACGGCTCTCGCAGTACTCGCCAACGATAGTCTCGGAATCGCAACCCGATATGTCCACGACTTCAGGCCCACCCATTCGGCCTTGATTTCGTTGAACCCGATGAAGGGATCCGCTAGTTTCTTGTTGTCTATCAGGTCTTGTTGCACCGTGGAAGGGACCTTCTTGACTGGTAGCCAGGAGTTGGAGCCGACATCGTCGGTCAGCTTGAAAGACCATCCGAGTGAAAGGTCAATGACCTCGGCGCGGACAGGCGTGTTCTCTGGACCAGATACGTCTCCCATTGTAAAGGGCGAGAAAGAACAAATCACAATCAAGTGGGAGTTGAGAGTAGGAAAGAAAAGAACTTGTGTCTCAAACCAGGGATTGTTGATGATTCTTTAATGGCTGTACAAACCTGAACAGGCATGCAACCCGAAGGAGATGATGGGTAGAATGGGGTATGTCCCTTTGAGACAATAAATGATGCGCGGTCTCATTTCCTTGCAACGCAACCGTGTCTTGCACACCGTTTTCGCACCTGTCTGGGAACACAGGCCCACAGATCCCGAGATGAATGGATCTCAAGACGTAGGCTTTCAACGACTGCAAGTAATGGAAACTTGAGAAGTGGATTGAACAGCTTCAACCTGCCTCGGATGGGATGAAAGAAGTCGTTCAACACCCAATAACAACCATGACGAGACCGGGCGGAGTACAGCCGCAGATGTGCCAGCTTCTAGCGCGGAGCTACATGAGTCCGCGCTCAATTAGGAATGGTCGAATCTACTGAGCACTCAAGTATATTTGGCGACGGCGGGTTGTGAAGCCTCATCGGTTTGGTTTTGTCATACCACTTTGTGGATGAGTTTCCAATTCGACATGAGGTCGCAAACATCATTTGATGACCGCTTTGCTTATGATTTTCATAGATTGAATTGCTTCGCTCAGACACATCACTGTTTGTATGTAGATAGAAGCAGATAACACGTCGTTGGGACAGTTGAACATATGTACTACCATCCCCAGGTCCCCGGACCACCTTTCATACGACCTTCCAATTCACTCGTCACCCAACCGCCATAAAAATCACCTGAAGCACGTCAATAAGCCAAAGGAATCCCAGCATAGAAACTGACCTTCCTGGGGTGCGACTTTCTCGTCGTCCACATAACAATCCCAGGGAACACCGCTGGCGTAAAAGGAGAGGTATCCCTTGATGTCCTTGAACGCCGGAGTCGGTGCTTCATAGCTCCAGATCTTGTTATCGATCTGCTCTCCGGTGGCTTTGTTGGTGAGACTCCAATATGTAGCCTTGCCTTTCCATTCACACAGTGACGCCTTGTTCGGTATCTTTGTCAGTTTGAAGGATGAGGTGATGGAATCTCGGGGGATGTAGTAGGCTATAAAAGACCCTGTTACTACTGTGCTTATTGCAAGCAACGATCTCATGGGAAGCGATCATGACTCGAGAGCTTGGATTGAACATTCATCTTAATATTCGTTCAGACCTACTTGGTGGATGTGTCGTCTCCAACGCCCAATATGCTGCCGTTGTATCGGTCACGGTTTCATTGCCCCATTTGATGACCAGTCGCCTTGCTGTCAACTCTAACAACGGGGGTCGAGGGAAATTGTGCACGTTCAGCTTTGCTTTGGCGGCCATGATTATTGCTGATGGAACTAATAGTGAGATATGTTGATGGCCCACCTGGTAAGTATTTAGATGAGACTGAATATCACCAAAATGAATGACGACATCTATGTTGTCTGACATCCTAATTTGGGTTTAGTTTTTGGACCTGAAAGACTTCTCCAAAATCTCCAAACTGGTTGCACTTTCTGGGAGTAATGGAAACTCGTATTATTGAGCCTGGTTGCCGCCAGAGTCACATCAGGATAGGGAATGCTTTCTAATTCCATAAGTCGAACGTTGTGCGAACCACGGCCTAACGACAACACCGATTCCCTCAAATCTGAGCGGTCCTAACCCATCGAAAATAGCAAAGTGTTGCGACATCTCCCATTGAGGCATTGCACACACGAAAATAGATCGGCTTTTACAGATTCTTCTGCGGTTTTAGCGATGTTGGTGTCAAGCAAAGGCCTAATCTGGTGTCATCTTGAAACATAGGTACTTACTCTGTGGAGAGTCGTTGTCGGTGAGACTAGGTTTTCGCCGAAAATCATACACGAGTCTCAGACTTACTCCGTAGATACCGAGTACCTCGTAAGGCTACAACAGTGGCAGGAACAAACATGGGGATGGCTTACCAACTGGGGGCCTCGCGCCTCTAAATCGTGATTTCTTCGAAACGGCCGCCGATTGTGGACTCCGGCCATGTGTGTATGGCTCCACAAGCGTTGGATCAGATGTTGGTGATCAATAACTCGTAACAACCATTATTCGCGTGTTGAAGTTTGATAGCGTTGCCTCTTGCAATGTGTATAATTCGTCGTTGCAGATTTGCTAGCATCGACAGGAAAGTCGGATCTTAGACACCGTCGAAACCGGCTTGTTTGTCAAAAGACGGGATTACAGTGTGGTCGCAATATTAGGAAGTTGATGCGATCATGTTCTTGCGAACAGATCCTTCGTGCCTGGTCGTCTCATCTCATGTCCGTGGATGAGATACCTGTAACGAGTACTACATACCTGGTAGGTATCTTTGATCGATAGGATTGGTAAAGTCCGTCCGTGGAAAGTTTCCAAGCCTCAAGTCCGGCGGTGCTTGGCCCCTAAAGTTAGCAGCTTTAACCGCCCACTACTTCCTTTTCAGCCAAAGGATCATCACCATTGCTACCTGATTTTGCCATCGTTTAGACAAATACAGGTCGGTATCAACAATTCCAGCCGGGGGGATTGGACCTGTTGAACCACTGGAGCCACACTTCTGTTCAAAAGGCTTCCAAGTGCTCCAATCCACTGGTACAGCCACATTGATGGATCCCCAATATCCCAGATCCTGTCCTTCATGATCCTATCCCAAAGTAGTGAGCTTCGCTGCCTCTTTACGTGCTGATTGGGGCTACCGAGCGCTGAATGGCCACTTGACGGCATTTGAGGCTCTTTCTCAAACCCTTGGAAGGCTTTGTTCTCTTCCTGCCTGAAATGTCGGGCGAAGATTCAACATGTCCGACATGGCTGGCCCCAATGTTCGTCTTCAGGCGAGCCAGAACCGTTGGATGCTGCGAATGAACCACTCCTGACTACGAGTGCCTCCCAGCTGCCATGGAGAGCGGATCAAACGACCGATCTTCCCGGCATCTGATCGTGAAGATCTGGTAGTCTTTAAAGGATGTTGGCTTCCCATGTCCCTCATAGTGGTTTCTCGAACGTCTTTTCATCCGCGTCAGAGGCTGATCGTACCTTGCTTCGTCGAGAGCCATGCCGCCACCACCAGTATCCCCAATTTCTATCCCAGCCGCAAAGTATGGCCAAGGTCCGACTCAGGACGAGGATATCGTCTCACCGTTGCCGCCTGATTCGGTTTTGGGCAATGGTTCACGGAGACCCCAAGCTTTCCGCGTCAAGCGCAAGCCAGTTCCTCGGCCTCCTCCAGCAAGATCAGCTTCATACCGACCAATCTCAAGAGACTCGAGACCTGAATCACGATGGTCGAATGGGTTGAGACCCGAATCGCGAAGATCTGGACGTCCAGAATCGTCCAGGAGTTTCTCCGCTGGCTTCGCCTGGATTGGTGAAGCGATTCTCTGGCCAACGAGAAGACCTTCACAGCGCTCGCCCAGGAAGATCGAGGAACCCCAGATGAGAGAAGCCACGCTACCCCGACGTTTCACGTCAGTCTATGATCCTCGGATGGAGCGTGGCTTATCAATGTATGACCCGGACCTCGACATCAATCAGCATGTGGAGGAGCCCAAGCTCGACTCGACTGTACAGAAAAACTTGGCGATGCTTGATATGACATGGACTTTACCAAGCTTCAAATACTCATATGTTGAGTCACAAACTCGTACGAGTATCGACATAGCTCTTGCTGCCGACGAGCCATCAGAGTGGTAAGTACTCCCATCTCATTGGATCTCATGTGCTCAACATGACCTAGGCATATATCCCCATTTTCACTCGGAATGATCGCACTTGCATTGGTGTGTAGTATCTTCCTTGTGGCACTCGATATGACCATCGTGGCCACTGCGATTCCTGCCATCACCGATGAGTTTCACTCCCTTGACGAAATCGGTTGGTACGGAAGTGCGTTCTTCCTCACCATCGGCTCCTTTCAGGCGACATGGGGGAAATTGTACAAGTACACCCCGTTGAAGATCTCATACCTAGCTAGTATCGCCATATTTGAGGTCGGATCATTGATATGTGGCGTTGCAAAGGACTCCACTACTCTCATCGTTGGAAGGGCCATTGCAGGAATGGGTGGTGCAGGCATTGCATCAGGTGCATACATCGTGATCGCTTTCTCGGCACCACCAAAGTATCGTGCTATGTTTACGGGTATTATGGGCGCAACATTTGGTCTTGCGTCGGTCATTGGTCCCCTTTTAGGAGGTAACAAATCCCTATCCTTCAGTACATCTTGACCTCTTTTGCTGACGTGACGTTACAATAAAGGCGTCTTCACCGATCAACTTTCGTGGAGATGGTGCTTCTACATAAATCTCCCAATCGGTGGTGTAGCTACGGCTATCATTGTGGCCTTCTTTCATGCACCAGTTCAGCCAGAGCCAGCAACCCGACGAGAAATCGTTCTTCAAATGGACTTTCCTGGAACTTTTATTCTAATGGCCGCCATCATCTGCTACCTACTGGCGATGCAATGGGCAGGAACAACCAAGCCGTGGGATGACCCATCTGTTATTGCCACTTTGGTATTGTTCGGCCTCTTGATTGTCGCCTTCATCGCCGTCGAATACTACCAGGGGGAGAGGGCTCTGCTGCAAGGCCGACTCGTCAAGGATCGTACCATAATGGCAATGTGCGCTTACATATTCATCGTTGCTGGTGCCTTTTTCACCCTCCTCTACTTTCTACCGATTTATTTCCAAGCAGCACTCAATGTCTCGGCAGCGAAATCAGGAATCGACAACTTACCTTTAGTGCTAGGAGTCTCCTTATTTTCAATTGTCTCAGGAGCCCTCCTATCCGGTTGGGGGCTATATATCCCAATGATGATCTTTGGGTCTACAGTGGCCAGCGTCGGTTGTGGCCTTATTTACACTCTCGATGCCGATTCTACGTCTGGGAAATGGATCGGTTACCAAGCCTTGGTCGGAATAGGACTAGGCCTCGTCTTTCAGATCCCCGTCATCGTGTGTCAAGCAATATGCGAATCCTCAGACCTGTCATCAGTCTCGGCGATCGTGCTATTCTTCCAGACAGTGGGAGGCTCCATCTGGATCTCGGCAGCCCAGGCGGGTTTTGCAAACAGGATGTTGGCAGTTCTCCCTCAGAAAGCGCCCGGTGTCAATCCAGCTCAGGTCCTCGCAACAGGTGCTTCGGAGCTACGACATGTTTTCGACGCCGAACAAATCGACGGAATCATCTCGGCATACATGGAAGGTCTCCGAATTCCATTCGCAATCTGTATCGCGTGTGGATGCTTGTCTTTTATTGTGTCATTTACTCCCAAGTGGGAAAGTATCAAGGGAAGGGTGAAGATGGATGCAGGGGCCGGCTGATTTCGGCCGTTGGGAAACGAAACATAATGATAATGCTGGTATTGTATAATTGATATATTTACTAATTGACGAAATGGACAACATGGAGTTGAGCAACAGCCACGTCGCTTTTCATCGGGGACCACTTCGTGTTTTGATGTGTGACAGGCAATGACCTCGGCAAACCTAAATCCGATATTTACTGATCACAACCAGTGTGCCAGACACTCGCCAGGATTGTGAAAAGCCTATCTTCATAAATTGGAGAGCACCACACTTCGGGAGAATTGCTCCCAGTGACCCCCACCAATCACCGGTCCTGCTGCACGCCTACCACTGATGGCGACATCCACCGAGATTTGATGGCAAGAAAGATGACTACGTCAAATTGCTCCCAGTAACGTCCAAGAAAAATGCCCACCGTGCTCTCGGTGATCATCGGGGAAGAACGTACACCTTGCCCCTCCGCCTTCCATCTCTTGATTTTTTGATCACCGACGACGAAAGCCTTGTGAGACACCAAAGCTCGACTTTTACATGTTTCAAAGATCTCAAGCTGCCTGCAAGTCCTTCGTTGTCAACATCAACTCCAAAGTCAGACCTGTGCTGCGTCCTTCCCTCTGTCAGAATCGATCTTCCCTTCGGCACGAATCAAGATGGGGTCTCTCCTCCTAAGCGCAGCATCTGGCGCCATTTTTGGTTCTGCGATTACCGCGTCCGGCGTCTACCTGCCATCGGTGATTGTTTCGCAGATGGGACTGACCAACTTCCACATGTTGAAATCGTTTCTGGCTGCCAGCGCGTGTAGTGCACTTATAGTCATTGGGGCGAATCGAAGCGGATTTGCCAAGCTGCAGCACCGATCTGATTCTTCATACGGGTGGTTTGCGAGGTACGATGCAAATATTGTCGGTGGTCTCCTTCAGGGTCTGGGGATGACTCTGACTGGCGCATGTCCTGGAACCGTTCTTGCGCAACTCGCTTTAGGGATCAACAATGCTTGGAATATCGCGGCGGGTTGCATCCTTGGAGGTATCGCATTCATCAAACTTGAGAAGCAAATGAAAAGGTCTACCGCATCATCACGAAATCCTGTCCCTCTCAAACACACCGTCCAGGATAAAACTGGCTTGTCAACGACCTCTACAGTCCTCATCTATGAGGTTCTATGTCTTCTGATGATTACCGCTGCCACATACCTTGCACCAACAAGACAGCACTGGTTGAACCCTATTGCTGGCGGCCTGTTGATCGGCATTGCGCAAGCGACATCGGTGCTGTTTACACGAAAAACATTGGGTGTCTCCAGCGCTTACGCAGACATCGGTGCATACATCTGGAGCTTCCTCAACGGCACGGCTGGCCCCGGCCTATCCAACATCATCTTCGCGTCTGGCGTCGTCACAGGTTCTAAAATTATGTCTCAATATATTCCAACGGCCAGTGAATCCGGGTCACCCGTTTCCCTACCCGCCGCAATTGTTGGGGGATTTGTCATGGTTTTTGGTGCCAGAATGGCTGGTGGTTGCACCAGCGGCCACGGTATCAGTGGCATGGCTACTATGAGTCTGAGCAGCTTCGTGACGGTGGCTAGTATGTTTGCTGGTGGCATTGGAGCATCTTTCCTTCTGTGAAGAAATGTACGCTTCACCTCCTGCGTTTGCTACGACGATCGACTCTAGGTCCTGTGATTCGATCTCCATCTGCATGAAACATATCATTCAATTATTTTTGCTACGTACCTTGTGCCACGATTGTCACTGCTCCTGACAAACGGCCTTGGAAGTCACATAGCTCAATTTGGCCCCGCCATCTTTATCTACATAAGATTCCTACCTGGAGAGGCTCCGTGCCGGAATGCACAAGCGGTCCTCTCGCCCAATCCTGGCCCAGGACTTTTTGCTCTTCGCCTGGCTGTGGCACGATCATGACAAGGCTGAAAAATCTGCCTCACATATTAAGTGAAGGCATCTTTGATGAAGTCAATTGCAACTGTTCCGACTTCGAGAACTCATTTAACAGAGGTCGCGCCAAATCACATCTTTGAAGTGCACAGCTTGAGTCGCAAGCCACCCTAGGTGAACAACGTGAAGTATACATTGTGGTCAATCCAACGCTGCCGGGGCATGTAGTCAATGAGCAACACTCTGCCCACGGGAATGTTGTCCAAGGACCAGGTCCCTATAACTATCAATAGCAAAGGTTTTGTTCAACGCCAGCACTCATGTTACAAGGCATTATGAGTCCTGCTACCGGTCGGATCATACTCCCCCTGTTGGAGCCACAGCAGGACCACAGGACCGGCAGGTCACGGGACCGCCTAATGATGCGATAGCTTTGTTTACTTCAAATAGATAGATACTCATTACTCGATTCCAGGAGGGGCCTGGGAATCAATCAACCAATCAATCAAGTCTACAACAGTTCATGTCCTGTTCTGTGAGATCAACCCATGCCACCTCCGCTTTGGTCAACGGGTTAATTAACCATCTCCGATTATCACAACAATTCCACGGTGTACAAAATGCGAAATATGTTCGGACAGGTCAGAGATGATTATGACTTTGGCGCGTGCTCAAAGAGGACGACGACCACACTAAACACAAATCCATTCTCAGCGCAAGAGCTGCAGTACTAATCAACCAGGCCACTGAAGACTTAAGCAGCCAAATTACCAAACGTTAGGTGCTAAAGACTTCACGACAGAAAGTACCAGATATTCCTCTAGTGTATGTTGGACATCAAATCTTCGTGTATCGCTGTACAACCAATACCAAAAATGATACTGGAACACCAAACTCTATTATAATGTATCTCGATAGCCGCTCGAATCAAATGCCATGTGGTTTCGTAAATGCTACCACCCGAATTTCTCCACGCAAACTTCGATATTCCACCCTTCGCAGGCTAGTTGAGAAACCATGTTTCTGATATCGCGAACAAGACCGTCAGGTCCAGAGACGATGACGCATATCTTTTCTCTCTTCCGGTCTTTGATGCTTTTGGGAGGGAGAGAGTGATAAGATGAGCTCGATGAGCTCGTTGGAGCATCTTCTTGTTCTCCGAGCAGAGTGTGGGTCGACGTATCGAGGGTTGTTGTAGATGAAGAGCTTGATATACCAATAGATGTAACCCACTCCCAGAGTTCGCTCTTCATGTCAGGTCTTCCGCCGTCTGGTCCTGGGCGCCTTGTGTCGTACGTTCGAGTGATCAAGTTGGTGACCTCTTCAAGGTTATCCTCCTTGGCTGTGTACTCCATATCAAGCCTCACATTCCGACCGTCAAAGCCGAATGCACTCGCCTTCGGGACGATGGAGATCCAACGTTTATGTCTTGGATCTTGGCGAACCCAGAAGTGGGAGAATTTTCTGGTGTCAAAGACAGATCCACAATCAAGCACTGTTGGCGTGTGTTTCGATCCGTCCTTGTAGACGGTCCGCAGGTTGACCACTGCATTGTGTTGGTTCTGCTTCTTGATTTGATGGTGCCAAGCCAAGGGGTATGTCACAGCAATTCCACTTCCACCAGCAACAAAGCATACACGATCAGAATGATTTGCAGCTTCCGGTGCATGCATTGCGCCATGAGGGCCTTCTAGGATTACCTCACAGTGCTGATGGTGACGTGCATAGTTGAGCAGGTCAAGTGAGAACCCATCGATTGATCGAATGATCAATTGCAGTGGCCATGATTTTATACCCACTTCTTCTGGGGGAGCAGGAGAAGCAATAGTGAATGGGTGTGTCTGGAAGCGATGCTTCGTGCCCATGCTTGGTACTGTTAAGAAAAGATGCTGGCCAGGTTGCCAGCCATGATGAAGTCCTGTTCGCATACCAAAAGTCCTTTGCTGTAAATCAATGTCGCAATGAACTAGTACAGTTTTCTCATCTGGAGCCACTTCCAATGTAGCAATGAATTTCCTGCTAGACAGAGTACTCCGCCAAAAGACCCTGTCAATCGCCCACACTAGGAAGGTGGCGACCACATAAGGCTTTGCTGTGGGATAATGAAAGAACAGAAAAACAAGCGCAGCTGCTTGAAAAGCTATGTGCAAACCGAGAAACGCTTCATAATACAACTGACGAAACCAACCTGTACTAGTGGCATAAATGACGAAGTAAGACAAAATTGCCACAATACCGAGGTAGACTGTCGGAGAAGTAAGGTAGATAATAATGGTGTAGCCCAAAGGACGAAGTATAGTATACCAAACTGTGAGCATTCCGAACATATGAATCACAGAAAATATGATCATCCATTCGCCTAGCCGGCGATGGAACAAATTGAGGCCCTCATAAGACCAGCCAGTCAGAAATTTGATCGGTTGATTCGTCTTCGCCGCCAGAATGTAGAGTACAGGCAGATTGACGACGAAGAGGAGCCCTGCCCGGTCTCCAATGATGAATATCCATTCTAGTTGCAGGGGAGCACGGAAAAGTAGATAGAACAAGTTCAGAGCCGCGAACAAGAGAATTGATATTGTTGTAGCATTATCCGGCAAGACGTTTACCCGGGATGTCAAAGCATAGATAGGACGAGGTTGATAGATCAGACATGCCTTGAGACGATTGAGGAAGGCAGGACGAGGACGAAGGACAGTTTTTTCGGAGGCGAGCAATGGCGTCGTCTCGGTGTTCTTCGTAGCAGGAAATATAGACGCCTCGTGAAGAGTGCTGCTCGAGGAGGAGGAAGTGCTTGATGACGAGGTAGCGAGGATATTTGACGCGTTATGTGCCTGCCTCTTTCTATGCCATCGTCTGGCTCTGTGATATAACGTGACTGAGCATGAGATGGCTATGATAGAGCCAATTGCGAGGTAGTACGTGAGGATGAACTTGCGATGCCAGAGGATGGCTGCGATGATCCTGCGGATATGCTCCGGATCGAGGGTGCTCGGAGGACCATGGCCTCCGCTCTCTTCCAGGGCCTTGAGAAGAGTGCCTGTAGATTTCAGAGGCAATCGAAGGATCTTTGAAAGTTCCGCAGGATGGAGTTCGTCCATGGCCTGGACTGTTGGTCAAGTTGGAGGCTCGAGGGGAGGAGAGAGAGAGAGCGGGCTGCAGATTGATAGACTGAGCAGGCAGAGATCTTATCGTATCTGATTAGATTTGATTGCCAAGCCCGACATCGCTTTGAAGTCTTGGCAGATCCTTCCTTTCTTCAGCCTTATCCCCGTAAGGCTCTCCAGGGCTAAGGCTCTTCATTCATCATCACACATATATTCCACACTTTCAAGCGTGGAACATTGCAAATGTACAGCCTTCGTTGAAAGCTGGCGATGTTTAATCCGACGTGCTTGTACATTCGATATTAACGCAATACTTATAATCGGATGTCAACTCCGGTTTTACAGATGTCTAACTGGTTGGTTGGTAGGCATGGAGAGCCAGCAATGCTCGCCGAGTGTCTCAAAATACCAGGCTACACGTACCTACCGTAGGTAGGTGCTCTAACGTGAGTATTAACAGTCATTGCCAGGAAGTCGATGCACGAGCCGTCACCAGGACTTCGAGGAATTCCCACATTCCTGCTGTGAATTGCCGTCCAAAACACCACATTCCACGCATGGTTTGCTCACCTATTTGTGTCAACTTGTTGATATACCTGTTCGTTCTTCCTTTGTCTCGACTCAATTATCTCAACATAACCAAGTCGTGTAAGTTTGACGAGTCTTCAAAACTATTAACGACTTCAACAATGTATTCCAAAGGTTTCAGCGGCGCTGCCGCACTCTCCGGCCTCGCCATGGTTTATGCTCAAGGCATGGGCTCTCTCCCACCTTGTGCTGTGAGTTTTCTCTTCAGAGGTTTCTTCGTGTTCAAAGCACAAACTGACAAGATCATTCACAGTCAGGCGCCATTACACAAGCCTTGGGCTCAACAGGATGTGCCCTAAGTGATACTGCATGTATCTGTGCCTCCCTGGCGTTTGCCAACATTGGTACGAGCATTGCAGGCGCCTGCAGTCCTGAAGATGTGAATGGTGAGTTATTGCCCCTTGAGATCGACTGTAGCTGGACACTGACATGAACCAACAGCCGCCATCGCGGCCGGACAGACCATCTGCGCCGCAGCTCCTTCCGTCTCGAGCACCACCAGCAGTCCACCTCCAGGTGAACCCACACCAGATCCAAGCGTTAACAACGATGTGGATGTAACCTACACCACCGTCTCCGGCACCTTGACCTCCACAACAATCATCCCGGAGACTACTCCAGCAGTAAAGACTACCGAAAGCACATCCCCTTCGACCATGCATGGGAACGGCACTCATACGGGACCTTTGACCACCACTGGTACTATCACCGTTCATCCAAGTGGTAGCGGTCCACCTACAGGTACGGGTGCCCCACGACAATCGACATTTATGGGTGAAGGAGCCACTGAGAAGGTACATGGTCTTTTCGCTGGTGCCGTGGGTCTTATTGGTGCTTTGGCTTTGGTTTAGAAATTGCATGGTGTGGAAGATGGAGCAGGAACAGAGATCGCCAACTTGTAAGAACACGTGGCTTGAAAACAGGTAGATACCAATGTGTTGTGATCGGTGGGGTGGTAGATTTAGGGACAGCATCATTCTCGAGAGGTCTTAATATTTATTATCTGCCATAGTATGGATTGCCTAGGGACAGGTGTCACGCAAGGGATAATTTTAGCTAGAAGATGCGACAACTTCGATCGTAGTGAAAAAGAATTTGCTTTGAACTTAATTCTGCACTGATGCCTACCTAACAGTGCAGTGTTGACCATCTCACTCCCTGCGTAACTTCCACTCAAATAAAGGGCGATCGAAGATATAAGCCAGGTCTCGGCGGGATGATATGCTAGTACTTGAGGCCTCGAACTCTCATGCTCCTAGACCACGCCGTCTCTGGGGATCACGATCAGCAAAGGCATTGGGACCTTTTGGTACTCCGACACTCGAAGGTCCCACATGAACGTGTCTGTGACGCATCTTCAATTGTTGCTCGACCTCCAATTGCTTCCGCCTCTCCAATTCCTTGACTTTCTTGTCTCTCTGCTCTTGCAGGTATTCCTGATGCTCACGATGTCTCAATCGTCTCGCTCTTTCAATCTCCCTCGCAGTGATGAAGACCTTCATTGCTAAGTGTGCTCTCCGAGACTGTGTGAGGTCATCCCATAGCAGGTTGATCGTGTCAACACTAAGTCTGCAGACTCTGGCGAGGAGACGGCTCTCGGCAAGGTTGAGGGCTGGCTTCTTTTCGAACATGTTGCGGAGGAAGACTCGTGTCTCCGGAGTCATGCCTAGATAATTTTTGGTTCGACTTTCGATCATGGAGGAGTAATGGCTCTGGACTTGCGCTTCGATCCCGACTCTCAAGACGGGTGATGGTCCATACTTGCAGACATGGTGGAAGAGGCGTACACGGCAATCATAGTCGACAATGCTGAGTATTTGATTGAGTTTGCCTAGAAGTCCATGAGGTAAGTCTAGACCCTCAGGCCATTGTAGCAGGGTTCCCACTGGATCCCAAGGAAGGGTGGTCACGTATGAGATTGAATTGGGATCGATGATTCGTAGTGGGTGTAGACTCTGGAGACCGATCGCAGGCCCAGGATTCCTCCGGTCATTTGGAAGGACAGCGTGCTCGTATACATCGTCTGCTGATGAGAAATTGTGCCTGAAAGCTCGTCCATAGTGGGCTGGCTCTTGGTTGCTGGGTACAGGCAGACCTTTTGACTCCGGATTGGGAACGGCTTTGAAGGTCAGTAGCCCATCTGAATCTCCAGCTTTCAAAAATTGATCGACATTCTTCTCCAGGCGAATCATCGAACCCGATTTCTTGTATGCGTTAAACATCTTCCTCGTCTCCAGCATTAATCTGACCTGTGTCGTTCGCGGTTGCTGTGCAACGATTTCTTCGGCGAGAAGTGTCAGGTCATTCAATTGTGCAGATAACTGGTCGAGGACGTCCTCCTCATGGTTGACAGAAGTCGCACGGGGTGGAGCATACGGAATCTCTTGTAATGCTTGATGGGACAAGGTTGGTCCTTGGTTGAAGGGGTTCCGGGGGTCTGCCCCTAGGTCGAAGAAGAACGCCATGGCTAGACGAAAAGTCGAAAGTGTGGGAGAATGACGTTTGATGTGGAAGCTGAACGACTCATAAGATTTGCTACAACAGCAGCAGAGGGAGAAGGGGTGTACCAGTGACGAGTGGTCCTGGAAGAAGGCGATTCTGGTTGCTGCGCCCTGGCATAAACGACGAGACAAAGATGCGTTGGCGATTCTGCCGCAGAGATGAATGGTAGAGGACCATCCCAAGTCCCCATGGCGACGGTCACAACTGACGGCCAGGGGCAAGAACAATACTAACCAAGCTTGGACTTGTCTTCAATGGTCAATAGAATGTGGCAGTATTCACACTCCGCGTCAATAAAAGCGTTACATTCACAGTGAAGCGCGCTGAGTCAGTGTCGGATTAACTTCACAGTCAAACAACAGATCCACACCTACGAACGTAGATCGAATCACCTACAAGCTCTCAAATCACATTTGCTCAGTTCAATTTGTTGAGTGGTTACTAGTATTGTGAGCATAGCTGATGGTGTTGTACTCTTAAGCTACTACATCGACCACAAGTAGATAAAGGTCATAAAGGGGCATCTGCCTTCACTTGATGTGCCTTGTGTTCGGTGAAGCCTTAACCCTGGAAGTGCAATGTGGCAGTGGCGTAAAGTCTTGCCGTAGCGGAATCTCCGACAACTTGAAACAAACACAAGCCAAAGTACTCTCGGTTCAAGACTGCCAGCTCTCTGACCAGGTCTAATCTAGCAATCATAAAGTCAGGTTTTCACGCCAAACATATACAACCGTGTCTTTCTGGCAGCTAACATACCTGTCAAGATCAGGTCGGCATGATCCGAGCAAGGATATCCGATCACCTGATCACAAAAGCGAAGTACGTGATAATAGCGACCGTTTTTCACCATGTCCAAGCATCTATCTGAGAGGGGGATTGATGGATAAGTCCATGGGCTTGAACTCGACCGCATTCCATATGATCGAGCACTTGAATTTTTAGTGTTCTACTATCTCCAAGAGATAACACGTCCTCCACAAACGCTTTCCGTACAGATTGAAGTGCCGAATGTGCGCAAAGACGACCGCTGTACAGTCATCCTCTTTGCTGCGGCCTTCCACCCAGCCTTTTAAGCGTTCAGTCAACGGGACTTCGCCTTCGCCCTTCACAACGAAATCATGGTTGATGATAGGTTGTTCGGCGAACGTCCCGACGCAGTTTTTCACTGTGCAGGTAGGTACCGAAGAGGGGCTGCCTCGAGATTTGACAAAAGCGAGATCTCTCTCATCTTAAATCGTGGGGCACCCGCATTCACTATTCGCGTACTTCTCTCGCGAGCAACAAATATCCTAGAAATGGAAACTGTCGCATACATCCACCAATCTTGGCACGGCTATGTCGCAATTAGGGGTGTTGATCATAACCGCCACCACTCAAACAGTAGCACCATCCTCCAGGAGCTACGCCCAATCAAAATCCAAGCATTAGCTACGTTATCCTCACCGAATGTCTCAGAATGGTATACTAGAGCCACAACTGAGATAGCGCTTCATGTTTGTACTCCTATACCCCAACTTTTTGGAGATTTCCTCTCCATGCCAATGCTTGGCCATGAAGTCCTTTTGGTTCGGTTCACCACTCTCAAAGTACTAAAGACCTTAGGACAAGGCGATCTTTGCTGAGCTTGTACTTCTTGGACATCAAATAGCATCTTGCCGGTGGCGGGGCTTGCTTGGCAGAATTCTTTGTTGATAATGCCTACGGAAAAGGCATCAAGTGCTACCATATACCCCGGAGTTCCTCCACTATGGGGCTCCTTGGCTTTGAGGAGACGTGGTTACCTGAGGTAGGTAGGAGTTGGTGTCAGCTAAATTGTCGTCACTGCGCCCTTTTTCGCACAGAAGCGCCTGAGCATTCCTCAATTCTCACTACCCTCAGACTCAAATCACTTCGATCATGGGTTCAGCAGTAGCAACAACGGCCCCCAGCCGGAGGAAGGTGAGAGAAACTCCAGTCAAAGACAACTGGAAATGCATCATGATATGCTTTGCTATGTCATTGGCCAATTGCCAGTATGGTTATGATACAGCGACCGTGGCCGGATTTCAAGCAATGGTAGGCTTTCTGAAGGTCTACGGATACAAAGACCCTAAATCCAAGATCGGATGGAACATAGAGACTGTTCCACAACAGCTCATCAGCTCATTCCTTCAAATCGGTACCATCATCGGCGTTTTACTTACGCACCTCTTTGCTCGTTACTATGGTCGCAAGCCTGCGATTTGGGCCGCCTCGCTTGTCTCGTTCGTTGCAGCGGGTCTCCAAGTTGGCACTGAGAATCTCATCGGACTCTACTTTGGTCGCTTACTTATTGGGGCATCCAACGGCTTCTTCATCACCTTTGCAAATATATACACCGCAGAAGTTAGCCCGTCCCATCTTCGTGGCGCTATTGTCTCCTTCTTTGGAATCTGGGTCAGCATGGGTGAGTAGTTACAGGTTTTCAGATTTCCTTCCCGGACTAATCAACTGCCACAGGAAGCATGATGGGCGCCATTGCCAACCAGTACTCGAAATCGTACACCAACAAACTCTGCTACCAAATACCTCTAGCAAGCCTATTCGCTATCCCACTCGGATTAAGTATCCTCATGTTCTTCGTTCCCGAGTCTCCGAGATGGCTACTGGTCCATGGAAGATCAGAAGAAGCCCACCGTGCGCTTTCACAGCTACGGGGAGATTCTTTCGCCGCTCACCCAGAGCTCCTGGAAGAAGAGTTCATGGAAATGAAGGAGGGGATCGAGCGAGAGAAGGAATTGGCCACAGCGTCATCCTTCATGGACATGTTCAAAGGCACTGACCGTCGTCGGACATTTCTTTGCTGGGCGGTTGTCCTGTCGCATTCCTCTTCCGGCATTTCTCTGATTGTGGCATATGGAGTAAGTATTTCAAGGACTTGTTCCCCACCAAAAACCATTCGCAGAAAACTGACATACCTCCCCATTGCAGACATATTTCTTCCAGATGGCCGGTGTCCAGAACCCCTTCGTCGCCACGATCCTCAAGTCCTTCATGGGCCTTGTCGGCGTCGCAATCGGCATCTACCTCTCATACAAGAAGCTCGGAAGACGATCCATGATGCTCATTGGACATTCGACCTCTGCTGTATTCATGGCGGGAATGGGCATCGCGCAATCTGTAGCACCCGGCACGCAAGCGGCAGGTAAAGCCATCGTTGGATGTGCGTTTTGCTACCATTTCTTCTACAATGGCTTCTCGGGCGCGCAGAGCTATCCTGTCGCCAACGAGTTGGTCAGCTCCCGGTTGCGTGTCGTCTCGATCGGAACGGCCACCGCTGTGAATATGGTGTTTGCATGTTAGTTAGTCCCTGCTACTTCTCCTCATAACCACCACCTCTGTGCTAGCTAGCAACTGCCGACCAACCACCAGCCGGCAGCTTCTGACTGACCACCATTCCACAGGGCTCACGGCATTCACAATGCCATACTTCATCAACCCGACGCAACTGGCATGGGGCGCGAAAATCGGCTACGTCTGGGCTGGCAGCAACGCCGTGACCTTCAGTAAGCTTTTTACCATCTACGTGGCCCCCCCTCTCCCTCCCTTCCAAGAAACCACCACCGCCAACACCACACCTTATTCAACACTCCTGATCACCAACTCCAACTAACCCTCCCACTCACATAGTCTTCCTATACTTCTTCCTCCCGGAGATGCGCAACCGCACACTCGAGGAGATCGACGAGCTGTTCCAGGAGCGCGTGCCGACGCGCCAATTCGCGAAATACCAATGCGTTTCGACCGAGCGCGCGAGAGAACAGGTCATCCGGAACGTCAAGTTGCAGGGTGAAGATGCCGACGATGCCGACTTGGCGGGCGCCGAGCACAAGACGCTCGAAGTCGAGCATCGTGAGCTTAAAGTGTGAGTGTGAGTTTGAGTGTGAACGTGTGATGAGGTTGGAAAGGGTGTGTGTTGTGATTGTATGTTGGTCGATCGGTGAATGACGGGATTGTGAGTGTCTCGTTCTGAACATGGCTTTTTTATTCCATCCTTGTTTTGCGAGCATAGACAGAGATCGAGATCCCTTGAGCCAGAGCCCTTGCTACCTAGTCAGTAGATTTCCTTTATAGGGGAAAGGAAGAAGTGCCGTGGTTCCTTCCACGGTCACATTGTTCGACGTGCATAGCATAGAGCCTTTCGTCGAAGCAGTGCTTTTGTGACACCGCCCTTCCAAGAATAACAGTGCTTATGACTGCAGATGCAGAGAATCTGATGTCCTTTGGTGGTACATGTCGTTGTGTGACAAAAAGTAAAGGCGATGTAGAATGACGCTCATAGGTACTAGAATGTGGAAGGACATTGTGTGAAAAAAAGGTATCATCTCTTTGCTTCAAGAATATAATACTATCCGCCATCAGCATCATGCGGCCAGTTGCCTGACTATATACTCGTTCTTTTCAGCCAAATACAATCGGACGATCAACCGACGAAAGAAACAGCTCTTTCAGGTTGGTGGTCAGTGAGCAAGAACTCCTTTGCTTCTTCCATCCACGCTGCAGCATGCCCATGCTCTCGTTAAGACGGACAATCGTCCTAGAACTTGATGCACTGCTTGGCCACACCTCTTCCATCCTTCTCATCATCCACCCATTATCATCAAGTTCCGATCAAGCCCATACCTCATTCCATTTCTTTACCATGCATAAAGTGTCCGTGAACCCCAAAAACATCAAAAATTTAGTCAGCCCTTACGTCCCGCAGAACAGTGCACCATTTTTCCCGATCCCACGGAGAAGAGCAACTATGTGATCCCGCCAATCGACTGGCACTGATGAACCAGCTGTGTCTGCTTCCTGAGATCTCTCTTTCTTTCCATGCTCTGTGTGCCTGTTGATGAACACCTGAAGAGTAAATACATACACCGCCAAGAAAATGCCCCAGCAAAGGTTTGAAGAAAAGTTCCTGGCATGAGACCAGGGCGCGAACATAAACACCGTGTAAATGGGTATTGATCTGCCTGCCTGCATCCAATCAAGACGAAGATGAGTCAGATCATGACCCGAGGAGGGAGCCGTGTGGTGTTTGTCCTTCTCTCAAACAGGCCTTTTATCTAGCTCGAGCTGAGGAGGTAAGAGATTGAGCAGAGAAGGAAAAGAGTAGGGAAGACTGTTCGCCGATTTTGGAGAGGTGACCCATTCAACAGACTCTCATTGTCAAAGACGGCACCGACAATCAGACTCAACCATCAAGCATCAAATCTACCGACTCAGAACTTCTCACTCGTAACTGCCCTCGAGACGGTCACTAACAACCACGCAATAAAATGAACAAACTTCGTGAGCAACCAGACGAAAAGCCTCAGAGCCATGACGAGACCACCCAATGCCGATCTCGTCACGGCTGGCAACTCCTGACCCTTGCGGTCACCAGACTGATAATGACCCAATTTCTCGAGATCGAACTCGCTGACCACGACTTTTTTCGTTGCCTTGGCTTTCTTCTTTGACGCTTTCTTACTTTTCTTACTGCTTGTTGTTGTGTCTGCAGTCATGGTGGTCTTTTCGAAGTCCTCTGGGCTGCGAGCTTCCTCAAGGTCCCCATCAGGGGAATCAAGCGGTTGTCTGAAGCGGCCGAACCACGTGCGGCCCTTGCCTTTACCGTCCTGGGACGAGCCAAGTTGTCCACCACCTCTGACATCGCGTTCGTGGTTCTGACGCATCAGTTTGGCTTCTTCTTCGGCGTCTTGGCGCTCGGCGATCGTGGCGTAGAACACGCTTCCGGAATAACTTCTCACACTTCCCGGCCGTGTTGCTCCACTGCGCGGACCGACACCATGATGAACTGATGAAGGTCCTGAATTGCCCAACCTGCTGGGTGGTGCGGGCCGTGGCTTCCAGACCTCCATCGCACCAAGTGTCTGATTGGTGGTTGAATCGCCGATAGCCACAGCCAGTATTGCAGAAACGATACAATCGATACTGAAGAGTGAGGGCATCAACTCTAAGATTGCATTGGCGTCAAGATGGAGGATCTCGGTCGTAAGATCGAGCGAGGCAAGTGGGGTATGCTCAGGAGAATTATCAGTCTGAGGAATTGTGGAAAGTCGGCGAAGTCCCGCGCCAGCTGATGTTGGTGGAGACATGATGCCGCCAGTACGACTCGACGCATTTGGATCTGTGACTGAGATGCAGGGTAGCGGGCCATCCGTGCTGATGGCGATATGCAGGACAGGTTTTCCTGTCATGGAGCGAATCGTCATAGGGGAGCTCGGAATGGGAGACTTCACTGCAAAGTCTCCTGCTATCGAACCACGGCCGATAGCTGGATGTTCAAGCTCATAAAACCCAGTCCGGGAGTTAAATCGTAGATTGCAGGCTTCCTGTCTTGCGGCTCGACGGACGGCTTGGGCTTCGATGTCGTCTCTGTCAGTTGGTGCTAAATTATGCTCCTTGGCCAAAGCGGCGGATTGATTAATGGCGAGCATGGCGGCCAATTTGGGGAAGATGAATGCGACAAGTCCGTCGTTGGGTGGCAGTCGGCGCGCTGCGGGCTCGATGGGGCAGAGCACAATATCACGGCTCGAAGTTGTTTTGCGAGGACACGTCTTGGACACGGCTATCTCGTTGGTATCGTATGTCTGTAGAGTGTAAAATGGGAGAGAGGGATGGGCGCCAAAGACGAAGGTTGCTTCATCAATTCTGTAGAGGAGGTTAGCGTTCAAACTCCCAGGCAAATCAACAATTCCATCTTCAGTCCAATGATTCGACCTACCGAGCCATTTCAAGATCAAAAGCCCTGATCCTGTGGTCGGGCTCCGTCCCGTGCGAGGCCTGCCACAGTTTCTCCAGCTCCCGATGAGTCGAGATCATCGGCGTCCCATTGACGCTCGTACCATCGGTCGGAAAGTTGAGCATACTTGGTGGGCCACTCCTTAGACCGGGAGCAGCAGCGAATGGTGTAGATAGGCTACTTCGATACTCCTCTCTCGCTACACCAGGGCCGAAAGAGAGGTTGCCAGTCAAGTAAGCTGGGATTGGCCTGGGAGGGACATAGTTCTGCTGCTTGAGTGGGACGGAGGGGTCGTACGTGGGGAACATGGAGCGGATCGGTACGATTGGGGAGGGGTCCTTCATTGGGGATTTTCCGTTGGATGAGCCTCGATGACTTTGATTCTGGCTCTGCACCAACGTCGTAGCAGATCCGGTTCCCAGAGATGACGAAGGCGGTGGTGAAAATGTCGATGGCTGATAGTTCGAAGGGGTATATGTTGCGGCTCCTGCTGATTGTGATTGTGATTGTGACTGTATCGTCGGTTGGGAGGGTGTCTTGCCGTCAATGGGCGAAGTCGTGGTCACCGCCCGCCCAATGTCCTCTGGTGAAGGTGTTGAGTCTCTCCGTACATCTTGGAGATGGATGGGAAACTGAGGTAAGGGGGGTTGATCATCCATTTTGATGACTATGGATTCTCCGCCCGGCGAAAGACTGGTTTCTGACGAAGGCATTACACTGACTCTGTGTAGACTGGGTGCCCTCTTGTGAGGGTTTGGCACTGAGATTTTGGGCACCGTGCTGGGGAAGAGCGAGAAGCCCTGGACTGAGGAGGCGACCATTGTATCGAATATATTGCTCGGTCGCAGGATTTCACGTTGGATCGACGGATAATTAGGTGATCAAGAGGATAAGCAACAGCAGACCAGCTGCAACGAACAACAGAAACGAACAAGTTGATCGGGTTGGAGGAGAGAGGTTGGGAGAAGCGAACAATGGAAACTGCGAAACGCAACAAAATCACGGACGTCGTGTATGGCCAGCAGATACACAGGGTAGCAGAGAAGAAGTGCAGGAGCAGGAAGGTCAACCAGGACGCATGAATGGAGATGGAGGAAAGGACATGCATTGATGTCGGGCTGGGACCGGTGAGAGAAAGGGACTCCCAGACGTGGCCTACCTTGATTGAGTTCGTGGAAGGGGAGAAACCAATAATGGAGGGTGTTGAAGGATATTGCCTTGGCGAGCGTCTACCGGCTCAAGATAGTAGAGAATGCAAGTCATTGAGATTCGTCACAGTGGGAGCGCCAATGAGACAGCGCATGGTAAGATGAACGAGGGATGGAGGGAGAAAAGAGAGAAGAAGTGTAGATGTGGTTGCAGGAAGCTCAAACCAACCCGGCGCCTACGGGTGCGTGTCATTGGGCCAGCTATTTTCAGCCTCCCCCACTGCCGTCCGAGGCCAGCAAATCAAAGGCTACAGATGCATATCTGGTCAAATACGAGGAGAGTACTCTGTTGGTTGTGCTCCAGGCCAGGCTTAAGCTCAAGCTAACCACGACTAAGCTACTCCATCATATCTTGATCATTATCAATCTAAGAATGCTTCAGATGTCCATCAACACTGTCTCGCTAAAGCATACAATGATACCCTTTCACCAGTCGCTCTAAGCTGTGCGAACTGCATGTGGGATGCGTCGTTCCGTTTCAACCTCACGGAATGTTGAAGTCAACCACAATTCGTCTGCACGCGAGTCAGTCACAGCCCGTTCATCAAGAAGCAGTCAGCCTCCTCGCACTTACCCCGCGACTTGGCCGTTTTTCAATTTCTGCACTGATTCGTTGAATTTGCTCAATCCAACCACGGTAGGTTCCAGTCGAAGTTTGCCTGGAACCTTGTCAGTCATGAATCATGTGGGTTTTCTCAAGAACGCCTACCTCGTCGGGCAAATTCCAGAGTCTGGTCGATTTCGGCAAGGGTGCTGACCAGCGTGCCTCTGATTGATTGACCTCGGAAGATCAACGAGGCAGGGGCAACTTCAATGTTGTACTTGCCTGCCGGAGGAATGCCGATGCTGTTTCTTGGTCAACATGCCATACATCTCCCGAGAGAGATCTTGCTTACCACATGACCTTTGCGTTAGCACGATGTCCGAGGTAGCCGAGGGCGATCGGATACGACTGCACGGCTAGATGGTGGTTAGCTGCCATGGCATTGACTGGTACAAAAGTGCAGCAGACTCACCTGTGACAAAACAACCATGTGCACCACCACCAGTAAGCTCAACCACTTTCTTGACGGGATCCGACTCCTCCTTGAAGTCGATGAAATGCTCGGCACCAAGCTTCTTGCAAAGTTCCCGTCGCTCATCGCCTGTATCCACCACGATTGGACGCATTCCCATCGCATGCGCAAGTTGGACACCTTGAATACCGACACCTCCACCTCCGCCGGGGAAAACAGCCCAGTCACCAGGTTTCAGTTCCGAATTCTTGATAGCACTGTAGGTCGTTGAAGCAGAGCACATGACCGGACCGGCAACGTAGTCAGAAACACCCTAGAAATTTCATGTCAGGATGGATGACCTGGTGACGTTCTAGGTCGATACATACGTCCGGAATGAGCTATGAGAAGAGTCAGTGTTGCTCCTGCATCTTCCAATCAATTGACTCACGGTGGTGTACCGCTCTGGGCATGTGATATATTGTTTGTAAGAGCCTTTCGTCTCGTCAGTCAATGCCACCTCGAAGTACTGTTCACAATCGACGGACCATCAGCTTGGCCCCCGGTGTAGATAGCTCCCAAGCAGTAAGTTTCCCTTCCCGTTCTGCAGTACTCGCATGTATGGCAGACGTCTAGAATGGGCTTGATGCCCGCACGCTGTCCGACTTTGTAGCCCTTGACTCTTTCACCAACCTTGACAATGACACCGGCACCTTCGTGACCGGCACACTTGACTCCTAGCTCCGACATCTTGGGCATACCCCAGTCGTTGAGCATGAAGTGGATATCGCTAAGGCAGAGGCCCGTGGCATTCAATTTGATCAAGACATCTTCGGGTCCTGCAGACAAACTGGTCAGACCTTGTACACTCAAGCAGCAGAGGGTAGGCAGCTAAGACTCACCAACTTCTGGCACCGGGACTTTCTCGACCTCGACATAAAAATCTGGCCCCTCATTCTTCTACCACGGATGTAAGCTTCTGTCATTTGGACTTTGGGAGGTTCACCACATACCACGACGGCGCCCCAGCCTTCCTTGGGAATGTCAAAGGTTGGAGATGGGTCGGACATGATGCACGCTGGGTCAGTACGAGAAAGATAGTCCTGTAGGGACTTCAAGAACAAGATGAAGACGTTTGGAAGACGGTAGAATGGAGCAGGATGAGGTGGCCGAGGTCACGAAGGGGATAGGAAGGCCTAGAAATGGCAGTCGCACTTACGACACGAAGCGTAACCCTGAGCAAGCACGAAGACATCACCCACCTGGCCACCCTAGGCAGGAACTCACTGGTTTGTTTCGTGAGGGGTAGTAGCATTCATGCAGTGCTTCTATTGACGGCCAACCGTATCAGGTGGAGGAAGCGGCGGATGTTGCTGGCTAAGACTCGGCAAGCGAATATGAGCACCGCGTGCAACGGCCATTCTGTGTTCCGGAGCGCGAAAGACAATGTTTACCCCCGAGCTGTGGACGAGTCAGAAAGTTCGACACTGTGCATGACCTTGTTCCTCAAGGACACGAGATGCCGGGGGTTACAGTCCAGACGATTGGCGAATAATGGGGTAAAAGCCGGGTCTCTCCCCTTGCCATGGTCATGATCGCAAGGTAGGTGGTGTAGAAGGTGGCCAAATTGTACTTTGCACTGACTCATGCAGGTGAGCTCCCAAGCCGAAGTCAGCGTTTAGCTCGGTTACGGATATGTTCAGCCCTTCGAGTTCCTCAGATGGAGGTGTGGCGCGCGGGGTAGCTTCCTCGTATTCCGTCTCCCGAATATTATGTCCCGCAGGCCAGAGGTCCACTAGTGTAGAAGCACATCTTCCTGTACACTCGTCCGTATATGTCACCAGCCGAGGTCAAGTCAGCCGTCAAGCACTCAGAGAAGTTCATCAGCATGTAGTTAAAAGCCATGGAATTAGCAGGTAATATCAAGCAGGCACTATTGACTCTCGCAACAGGAATTGCCTCGCTCGCCATTTTAGCTCCTTCCGAAGCGCCTTCCCCATCATATCCAACCTCAATTCTGCCCCATGTACCTCCAAGATCAGGAGCCCCAAGGACGAAGCTATTCGTCGTCATCGATAGCAACGACGTTTGGGCCATCATGCTCCCAAGCCTCGACTTTGGTCCGGAAGATTCTGATTGCAAATCCACGCTTCTGGCACTCGACGAGGTTCGCGACTTGAAAGAACAACTGTGCATTCGTGAGAAGCACAGCTTGTAGCTTTTCAGTCAAGTTTCCGATCAACCATTCCTCCAGCTTGTCACCCTCCCCTTCAGCACCGGTGTCTTCGTCGTGACTCTGACCAGGTGGCTCTGCCATCTTGCCCATCTTTACAATACCTGCATTGTCCTTCCTGGAAAAGACGATCCTCGACATTTCAAGAAGGCATTGGATACCATAGGGTCGATATTGTGCCTCGATGATCTTTCGCAGGACCAATTTCTCGAGAGACGCCATGTTTAGCTGCTTTGCGATAACGTAGATGCTGCAGGATCGGAGTGCCTCTTTTCGATAATCTTCAGTGCTGACAACCCCGTCTAGTCGCTTGGGGAGACTGTCGGCACCATTCGGGTTGCTGATGATGAATGGATCATATTCATCCATGACTAGAAAGCTCACCACAGCTTCGAAATGCTTGGTATTGACCTTGGTCAGAAGTGGATGCATGATGTATGATTCCTCACCAGTTCTATCTCGAATTAAGAGTGTCTGGAGCACGGGTGATTTGTCTAGTGTATCGATACCGACGGTGAACTCATGATTGATACTGCCCACAAAGATCTTCACACGTTCGTCTGCTGGTCGGGCCGCTAAGGCTTTGAATGCATTCGTCTCTTCCTCGGATTTGATCCTCGGACCTCGATTGATGATGACACCTCTACTGTCAATTGGAGATGTTGGTGTGGGTGTCAGTGGCTCTGGGAACATTGAGGTCGGTGCTTTTCGCTTCTTGCTCGCACTTGCAGTGATATCCGATCGTGGAGGAATGTCGATATCGTCGTCATCATCGATGATGGAGACATCACCTGACGCCTGGGGAAAGAATAGATCGCTCTCAAATTGTCTGAGACGGGAATTCGCTGTGCGCGAGTCGGAGGGTAGGATTCGTCGGGCCATTCTTTCTGGAGGACAACGAGTGGTTCGAGGTTGAGTATTGGTTAAGCTCAAGAATGTTGGAACGTGGCCAGAAGAAACAGATAGGTGAGTAGAACTGGGAGGGGAGAGACAAAAAATATCCGCGATGATCAGGTATGGTAGTGGTAGGAAGGCTGGCAGAAGAATAGGTGAGAGTCTGGATGATGATTGAAGGTCAGATAATCTCACTTGGTCTCTGCGATGTGGTAAAATGATAGAGACGCTCGTAGAAGGAGAAGACAAGACGCAAGTGACCGAGATCAAGACCGTTTGAGTGAGGTCGTGATAAGATGGACGACCGGAAATTGAATGAAATCATGAACGGTGAGTCAAGGTCGAATAGTCTCAGTGCCGTCGATTTATGGATGTAGCAAACGAAGCAAACACATTGAAAGAATTGGGATGTGACAGACAACGACTGACCAAGGTCTTCAAGTGAGATAGTGATCAGAATATTGATTTCACCCTGGATGAAAAAGATTGAGATCAAGCGGCGTCAGCGTCCGTGACGAGATGTGAATTCATGCCAGCGACCAGGGACGGATCTGCACATGCTCTGCGCGAGAGAGCATGGGAACAAGGCAGGAAAGAAAGAAAGGTCAGTGGAACAGAAAAGCACGTAGACACTCAAAAGTGAGGTGGCCGAATCTCTCAATTTCCTATTTCTGAATCATAAAGAGGTCTGTTCCTTCCCAAATCCACAGGATCGAGTCGAAAACATAGTAGCATCGCCATATGGGCAGATAGATTGCCGAAAACCAATATAAAGTCGAGAGGAAAATATTCAACTTTGGTACAAATGAGCTGCGAGTTGGTAGGTCGCACACCATGTGTTGTTTCTTGATTGCATTTTTTCCCTTTTTCTCTGGCCAGAGAGAAAGATCAACGAATCCAACGGAAAGAGTGGAAAGCTGAAATTGCGCCAAACAAGGAGCTGATTAGAAAAGAGTAGGGTTTTCGATAAACCAGTAAGTCTCGGTCGGCCAACCTCGAGTTGTCTGAAGTGGAGTTTGTTGTGGCTGCTATCCAAGCAGTTTCACGCGTTCCGGTTTGGAAAACTCGTTGCTGTGTTTTGTGCCAACAAAGATCTGGCTAAAACATACTTGTCCTACCTCAACAAAAGCTAGCTCCAAACCCGTCGAACACTGCCTATGGATGATACACAACCACATTTAGATGACCTTGGGAGAGCGGCTGTTGCTGTACGTTAGATGGAGATGGTAAGCTTCTTTGTCCCTCAAAGAGTACACTACAAGGAATGGAGTGGCATAACGGCAAGAACGTCACACAACAAGAGCCCACGCTTGTTCTTACCTGATCTCGACAATGTCGTCGATATGATTGCACATGGCCACAAACAGGTCGAAAAACAATTTGCCCCCATTCTCCATCTCCATCTGCATGGTTCCGCTCCTCTTGAAAGTCTTACGACTTCGAATGATCAGAGCTAGGTAATGAGCGCGGAGTCGTGATTCCGTGTCCGGCGTGTTCTCGTACGCATACCGAGCCGATCGCAAGATCACGTCGACCTGGACACCAGACTGCAACCCTTGTTTCCGAAGAGCCAAACGCTTCAGTTCGTCCAGGCCGTACTTCTCGGCTGCGCAGTAGATGACGGTATCCCGGAGGACTTCACCGCCTGCCGCGCCGGAAAGGAAGATTGTGGAAGCACTGCTAGTACCTCCGCGACCACCCCCGTGTTTAAGATCCTGGTCTTCAAGGTCCCAAGTGTTTCGGCGCTTATTGTGCAACAAGCGGGGATAATAGTCACCCTTGTAGAGGTATTCGAGGACGCAGGATAGGACTTCAGGTTCTTCATCGGGCAGTTCCACCTTCTTCGAGCTGTCGTCGAGGAACTTGCCTTTCAAAGCAGCTGCGAAGTATGATGAATGACAGAGGATGTCTTCGTGGGCAGCGAAAAGACGCTGCTCAGTTCCAACAACCAGCGTCACAATGGGACTCGTCAGCGTACTATGATCAGGTTAGCAAAGCTTGCGCCCGGGAGGTGTCAGGTGTCTTGCGACGGATGTTGGCCTACCTAGCCACCGCCGAGTCTTCAACGCTGTCCTGCAACTTTCTCTTCACATGTTCGGGGTAGGTAGTCTTGGTGGTCTTTGACTTGACGATGCGACCCTCCCTGGTATTGAAAGATCGCTTGAACATCTTGTCGAAAGAGCGCATTAAATATATTGTCGAATGCCAAAGTCAACGAACGAGTGAGGGGGTGGAAGAGGAAAGGAGCGATCGGCAGAAGAACCTAAGTGTTTTATTGTAGTAGAGAGTGTGATAGGTTTCTGAGAGAGTGTGACGCGATGACAACAATCACAAAAGGGACATGTGATGATGTGGGAGCTGCGAAGTCTTCTGAATGACTCCCTCGATCGTCAGCCTCATCCGGTAACAGACAAATGCCGACAATCACAAGGAAGACCACGCGGAAAGACTCGACGAAGTACGGATCTTTGCAGGTTGATTGCAAAGATGGCCGGACGTCGCGTTATATTCTGCCTGCTCGAGCGTGAGGGGAGAAGAAGGGAGAGGTCGTGAGAGAAGCGAAACGAATTGATATAGAATCCGCAGGCGGCTAGGGCGACTTGGCAAAAGGCAACGAGGCTGAGCGGTCGAATCACATCTTGCAGGAGGTTTAGGCTCCTCAGGCCCAAGTTGATCCTTCAGGCACTGGTGCATCTCTGGAGAGATCTTTAGTCGTTGCACTGCCGGGGATCAACGGAGCAATGGGAATCGGGAGAAGAGTTCTTGTACTACACCAGATTCGTGAATGAAATCGATTGATGGAAAGCCAACTAGTTGATCACCTGACCGCGTCATGTGGACGCGTCTGGCTTCGTAGCTTGACGCGCCTGCCTGAAATGTGCCTGTGCTCAAACTCGAGGTTGACCGATGACAGTCGTCATGCAAGCTACCTGTTCCGATGATAATTCCAGCTCACATCATTTCCCAATTCTGATCATTCCTGTCTAAAGATGCCATCTGATTCGCCGGGGAACATCAGGGATGATCGTGCCGCTGCAGAATTCCATTCCCGGCAGTACACGAGCACACGAGCCTTGCAAAACACCCATTGAAAGAGTACGTACCCAAAACTTCTGGCCCATGCAACCATCAACCTTCGACGCATTGCATCCTGCATGGTATAGACACAAAAGTTCCACCCAGAGCATGCAAAAACCACCAACCCAGTCATCAAGTCTGCAGGAATGAATCATCGCAGCACCCTGGAGCTCGCTTAGTAGTAAGTGCGCATACGACTCGTCCAGCCATTGCCCTTGACGTTTTGCATTTCGAGCTTATCTTGAGGATGCTGAGCGTCAAGTGCAAGTTGCCTCATTTTGCGGGCTCTGATGCGTTCGACTATCTCAGGCGTGGGATTTTCGACAGACTCGGGGGTCGGCTTGGCTGTTCCGTTTCTCAGATCCTCGAATCGCTTCTTGCAGGCGTTCTGGGAGAAATTGAGTACAGGCTAAAAGATGTCTAATAAGTATCAAAAGTATAACAAATGTTGAATGATCGACAGACCTTTTCGTTCTTCATTGCGTCAGCAACCATACGCCACTTTTTGGATTCGATGTCTGCCGTCAAGCGTCTGATCTCTTTATCGGCCTTTTGAATAGCCTTGATCAGAACATCATCCTGTTCAAGTTGGTTAGAATCTAAGTGCACAGATTGGACCACATGACCTACATCACCCTCATGCCAATCAGTCAAATCAGCGTCAAGCAGTGCGTCATTTCGCTTAGCCAAAGCTTGCTTCAATCGTCTCCAACGTGTACCAATGGTCTTGGGATTGTACGCGGTACGACCTTGATCGATCAAGGCTTGTGCGATATCTTTCTCCAGGTAGCGGGCCTCTTTCATGCGGACGATCAATTCATCATCAGAATCAAGATCTGCCGTCACCTTCTTAGCCACTGCAGGTCGGCCACCGGAAACCTTCATGCGCTTTGTCGATTGTCCATCGGTCTCTTGTGGGGTATCCTTCGCTTTGCGCTTGCGGCGGACTTTGGTTTTGTCTTTTGTACTCTAGGAGTATTGTCAGTGTACCGAGATGTGAAGGAAGCACTTGGACAGTATGATACCTTGGGCTTACCGTTGTTTTCTGCTTCAGACCCAGCGTCCGCTGCATCATCAGTGTCCAGGATAGTGTCTGCGCTTATGTCTCCATCCGCATCCCAACCCTCGCCGCTGCCAGGGCAATCACAGATGGGAGCACCAACAACTTGAGAAGTCAAGGCCTTTACTTTCAACTGGATTTGTTTATGCCACGGGAATAAGAACTCACATTCGGGGAAGTAATCAAGGTCAAGTTGTTGATGACTGAAATATGGGAGGGTGCGTTGACTTTGCTTATAGACAACTTTTGGAGCAGGTCTATCGAGGATCTCGGCGGCCTGGTGGCGAATGGCGAGCTCTCTGACAGGTTGGTTGTTCATTATGGCACGACCGATTGTTGCAGTTGACAATCGAGGATCGATGGGGTCAGAGGGATCAAACTGGGGAGCACCGGAACTGGACTGGCCAGCAGAGTGGTAAATTGGCCGCGGAGGCCCCATTGTCGCGTAATTCAAGTTTGTCAAGACCTCACGCTGGTGAGATATCAAAGGAGTTTTGTTGGGAGCGCAAGACTTGAGGTGGGGATGGTTTGTGGAAAGAGTCGCGTCAGGAGTAAGAGACTGGTAGATTAAATGCAGCTATTTCACAGTTGCGACATGACAGTGAATTGGGAAACAGGGTATACGCTTTCGGTGACTGTGCAAGGCAGTGTCACGCGAGACGTGACAATAGATTGATTTACCTTGAGGCGGCCGCCCATTCCAAAGTGATGAATAGAGTGAATGATGTTCACATCCGGATCACAGTTTGACACTCTGGAATGCACATCATTCATTGAAGGCAATACATACTTCGTACTCATTGTAAAAGGATATTTGGCAGTGCTCTTGTCCTCGGCGGTTACCAGAAGTCCATTTATCGAATCATGAAATTAGTTGAAGGAATCAACAGTTTATTGGATTCTAGTCACAGGAGAACAACACAGTTCCTGATATCTCAGCTATTGATACCAATCGTATGGTGTTGATAGTCCAACTATATATTTCCCCAGTGTGCCGTCAGACTGACGTGGGGTTGTCAGTGGGTGGCAGTGCCAAAAACACTCATGACGTACATGTGGCGCATACAAACTGGTTTACTCGACAAACATGTGCTGTTCTTTGATCCCCGGGCCCTCGAGTTCCTGTCATCGTCTGATTATCGTTAAAAGTGGCTCCTAAAGTAGGCTGTTGTGGACGATTCATTTCTAGCTTACAAAGGATTTCAAGAGTTCGATGTGAATTGATGCGACAAGTGCAAATCGCCAGCATCGAGTGTGACTCTCACTTGCATTGAAGCCACAGCAGGAATTATGGAGTACATCAACTATATCAAGTCCAAGGCTCGCCTCGCAACAACCTCCAAGTCGGACACTCCTGTTCTATCTGAGGAAGATGAAAAATTCTTGGATCACATCATTTCTCAGGAGAATCCACCTCCACTTCCTGCCAGGCCAGGCTTGACCAGCGTGGAGATCAAAGACGCTCAGGTTGCGCTGATGGATGGAGCGGACAACATACCCCTCCCGGAGACTCCAAGTAATGAGGCCACAAAAGAACTTGTGGCAGAACCAGACTCGGAGACGAGCGCTGCTGATACTTCTCCAACCAAGGCAAAGACTACCTGGAGTTGGCTCAGACGCGACAGTCGCGAAGTCCAAGTCCAGCAGCGTGAACAGACGGCCTCTGGTTTGGACGCCATTGCTGCGAACCTCAAAAAAGCCGAGCAAGAGGATAGCGACGACACCAAGCAGGCCAAACGGGAGGAAGAAGACATGACAATTGTTCTCGAGCGACTCAACCTCGCAGCTGTCAATAACAGGGTGTTTTCAATCAGTGACGACACCCAGGAGCTGCTCCAAAAGTTCAACCTCGTGTTCAAAGATCTCATCAATGGCGTTCCCACAGCCTACGATGACCTCGAGTCCTTGTTGAAAAATGGGGACCGGCAGCTACAGGGAACGTTCAACTCACTTCCAAGCTTTCTCCAGAAGCTGATCGAGCGACTGCCAGAGACGATGACCAAGGGTTTCGCCCCAGAGATGATGGCAGCTGCCTCTGAGAGAGCCACCAAAAGCGGCATCAACATGGAGACTGCAGGAAAAGCGGCGGCAGTGGCATCTAAGATGGGGTTCAAAACACCTTCACTAAAAGAACTGGTGGGTAGACCGGCGGCCATCACTGGTATGCTGCGGTCGATCGTGGGCTATCTCCGAGCACGATTCCCAGCCTTCATGGGCATGAATGTTTTATGGTCCCTGGCACTATTTGGTGAGTAGCACGATTTTGTGGCTTCTCTTCGCAAGGGCTAACTTGATGTCAGTGTTACTTTTCGTGTTCTGGTACTGCTACAAGCGCGGAAAGGAGGTGCGGTTGGAAAAGGAACGTCAGCTAACAGAACAAGAGGTGGAGAAACTGGACGCCGAGTTCAAATCCAAACATGCAGGCGAGATTCCTACGACCACAGCAGAGAAGGGAGCATCAATGGAAGACGTGCAGGCAGGAATTAAGGAGGTTGAAGCAGCAAAAGCCGCTGCCGAAGCTAGATTGGCGCCAGACAGACCAGTCGACCCAGCGATCGTGCCTCCAACATCAATTCCTGGAGCCCCGAGGTGAAGATGGCTATGACCATGATGATCTATGTGGGGGGCCAAGCGTTTATGTTGTTCAATGATTGATGAAGAATGACCGATGAGTGCTGGATAGGAGTGGAGGCTCTTTATTCTCTTCTTCTTTTAGTTCTGTTCATTATTACCCTTTTTGTTTCAAGTTTTGGCTTATAGAGTTTTACTTAGCGGTATGGATAATTAGTTTCAGAACCAGTGTCGGTGGTTGACGTAGCACAAGGAGGGGTACAATTGTGAGATATAAGTAACTACGAGTATTGCACTGCAATCCGTTGATTTGCCTCGTACCTACCTCTGAGTCAAATGGAAAGTAGTGACTCAGAATGAAGCCAGGCCAGAACTACAACAGACAGATATGCTCGCTATTCTTCTCCCTTGAAGTGGAAGTTTGGCAGGGCATGCGTATATTTTCTGCAAGGTGGCCATGGCGTCGGTGGGTGTCAGTTGAAAACAATGGAGGGGCACCCGTCAGGCTATTGAGTCACCGGCGACAGGCTGTACCTTTTGATTGGCGGATCGCACCGGGAACTACACGTGATCAGGGTTCGGCGGGAAACCTTAATTGAAAAAAAAAAATTGTAAGGTAATGGGCAGGCACGAGGCCAACTGTCGATTTCGGATCAGAGACAAGAAGTAGAATGCCCAAATCATACTGCACGGATGAAACAGATGTGTTGTAATAGATCTAGGGCTTCAATGCATAATGTAACCAATGGCCAGCACCAACGTAGCGAGTAGGCAGTAGTGGGATGTTGCTGGTGAATTGTATCGGAAACATGAAGAGCGGTGTAGCACAGCCAAGTGGGGAGGGCGACCAACTACCAGTACCGCTCCCGCTGGCTGGCTGCCACTGGGCCCTCCGGCACTGGCACCTGGGCATGGGCCATGGGCGCTCACTGCCACCGTTTGTGAAGATATTACTATTAACCTTTTTTCTCCCTCTCTTCCCTTCTTCCTCTTCTCTCCCATAACCAACAACAATCTTACCCAACGAGTCTTATACCACTATTCAGAGCATCCATATCACTACCCATACATATATCGTTCGAGGATCATCTTTTGCTCATGGCCACCGCTGCTTTCTAGATTGCCCGGAGGCTCTCTGGCGTCCTGTCAGAGGGTCTCTCGTGCTTTTCTCTAAAAGTAGCCGCAAGCAAATCCTCGTTCAGATATATCTACTCTTTCTGAGGCCTCTACCCGCGTAGGAGCTTTCCCATCACAGATTGGCCTTTGAAATTGCTCTGCAAAACCCTCATCTAAGCACTTTGGTTGTGTCGCCTGACGACCCCGGGTGCTTCGGACAACTCGAACCCTCAACAGCTCACTCATCACTCACGACTCTCTCTCGACACCCCTCTCTTAACCCTATCCGATTACACTAATCCACAATGTCTCGAAATTACACCCGCAATGCCCGTGGCCGCCCCCCAACAATGGGCTCCACTCCCAAACTAATCAAGACCAAGGAAAACCCCAGCGCGGCTTATCAGCGACAGCTAAATAGCAAGAAGTCTAAGCCAGCCCCGCGAGCCACTGTCTCCAGCCGTGCAAAGAACAAGAGAAAGAGGGCAGACAGTACCTCGGAGGAAGAACTATCCTCAATCGACGGATCCGATACAGCAGATGATGCCTCCGATGAAGACAGTGAAGAAGACGCAGATGATGAAGATGACCTGCCAGCTGTCCCGGCCCCGTCTCGTTCACATCGTTTGAATGAGGCGGGGCGACCATCCCATACTCTTTCAATGGACAATGTGTCTATTGCTGGCAGCTTGGACAGCATGTTTGGTGAATACGATAACTACTTCGATGAGGACGATGACCCAAGACTTTCACCCGAGGAAAATCGAAAACGTTTTGAGAATAAAGTCTTTGCTGATTCCGACGATGACAACGACGAACTATATCAGGCCGTTGACGATATCAGCGACTCCGATGGTGACTATGACAATGACCGGCTTGAAGAGCAAGAACTCTTGGCCATGATTTCAGAGGAGGACAACAGTGAGGCGGATGATCTTCTCAATCAAATTGACGGTCTCTCTGCATATGGTTTCGGTGATGACAGCGATGCGAGTATCCATCGTCTTGTTTCATCCCAAGGTAGTGACAACGAAACCATCACCGAGCGCAGAGTCCATTTCGCTGTGGAAGGAGATCCTTCAATTTTCATGCGCTTATCTGAATCCCCTACCATGACTCGCGCTCTGTTACCATCAGCACTTCCGGACAATGGCATCTCACCACACATGGACAAAAGCATGCTTGGTGATGAGTTGGAGGACTGTAAGTTGTGTTTTTTTGATTAGTGGGAATGTGTGATGACTAACACAATATAGCCGACCTGACAGATGATTGTCTTCCTGAGCAAGCACATCACAGTCCGTCCAATCGTGCCGAGTCAGACAAAGAAATGTCTCCATCCGTCTCACCGCCATCCAAGAAGTCAACCAAGAAGACTCCTCGTCGTAGAGGGCCCCCTCGTGGGATCTTTATCGATGACGGTGAAAAGCCTTCGGGCATTCTTGATTCTTCTGGCAAGATCATTCTCATGACAAATCCACACTTGTTGGGAGATGAATTTGCCCGACGCTATGGAGCATCTCAGACGTCGAGTCCAGACGTTGGCTTTGCCGAGCTCATTGAAGACAGCGACGCAGGCGATCAAACAAATGATATGCTTCCACGTCCTACTGCAGATATCATGTTGGCAAGCTTGAATTCTGCCATCAATGATCCGTCCAATCTTGGACAACCCATTGGGCCATTGGAAGCTTTCTACCCATCTAGTACCATTCTCCTTGGAGATTATGTCCTAGATCCTGATGATCTTGAAGAGAATTTCCGTCCGGATGATGACCTTGGTGAAGATGTCATCAATCTGGATGATGTAATTCAGTTTGACGAGGAGACAGACGATGAGAGCATGCCGACTTCTCCCATCTTCATGCCACCTAATCACGCACTATCTTCTTACACGAACATGAATAGTGGTCTTGCACATCTCAACAACAACAATGTAACAGCGTTCCGACGCAATGCTGATCCAGCTTATGCTGCATTCAGCAATACACCATCTTTCCATGACATGGAGCTTTTCAGCTCACCGTTTTCGACACCGGCTCCTCGTCGGAAGCGTAAACATCTTTCGTCTCCCTATACCTCGTCTCATTACAAAGGAGTGACACCAGTTCAGCGGGTTCGGGATCCAAATCAACAACAAACCCCTGAAGCTGCCACTCCTGTGAAGAGACGCAGACTCATGACTTGATGAGATATGAAGAAACGAAAAATCAGGCCGGCTTCACTTCGTGACATGTCTTGTTTATGCCTTCTCGCCGGCTTGGGTGAGACCTGTATTGCAATAAGGATCATTATTACACAGGCGTTTGTGATCGCGACACTAGCGGTGGGTATCCTGGCAACACAGGATTTTCATTTTTCATTTTTCCTGTTTGAGTTTGTTACGACTTTTTTCCCAAAATACGAAAAAGACCACGGGATGAGAAGCTCCCAGAAAAGCAATGGGACTGCAATAATTGCAACTATATGTATGAGTGAAAAAGAACCAAATGGTCGCTCACTACTTACCTATACTCATAAACAAGGACATGCACTTTATCTTCGTGTTTGTGGAGACAGGAAAGATTGGGATATTATTGAGCACGATTTGTGTCAGTGTACTTTTTGCATGCAATGCTTTCTCATAGACCCATATTTAGCTCTCAATGAAGATGACAATTTTCATAATATGACTTTTGTGAAATTCTTCTCAAATCATGTCTTGATCCGCAACTGGAGTCTGTGGTCAATGATACCACCCTCATCAATCGCAGAGTGTCTGATAAAGAGCAGACCCCGAGGCTATCGATAAGTCTAACCAAAGGGTCCAAGATAGAACGAGGGAACCCCGGCGTCCTCGTAAGTGGCGCCACCCATAGCCTCGACAAGGCTGCAAAGCATGTGGAAATGGAGGGACATGCCTGCTGGAATTCTTCTCTCTGCCACCGCCGAATGTCACGCTGTATCCACCATGAAATCTCCATAATTATCTGACCCAAGGGAAAAAACATGTGCCTGATCTTCTTATATAGCGCAAAAGATGCCAGTGTCGCACCTTCCTTGACTCTTCGTTTTGATCCTGCCCTTGCGGACTCGGAAAGTGCGGTTGTTTGCCTTCGGGTTTGAGGTTGTTTGAGGGTCAGTCACGCACACACCTGCACCTGCACCCACACCCGCACCACCCTCGGGCCTATTAGCTGCAGCCTGCAGGTACGAGTCACGACCCCATCCTCCTCAACAACCTCCATCCCAGACATCATAATATAACCTTTCCAACGCTTCCTCTCCACCCGACCAAATCTCCTTGTCAGGGTACCACGGCACTGGATTCTGACATTTCCTGGTATCAGCCATAACCATGGCGTGGTACTCCATCCTCCCCTCACATTTGACCATCTACGAAACATGGATCATTCGGGCATTCGTGCGTACCTAAGACACCTCCCATTCTATCCCAACACATCATCCGCACCCACTCTGCTTGGTGCACATATTCGTACTTCTGCCGTCCCTCTCTACTGACGCCTCCTTCTCTGTGTGCCCACCAGATAATCCTCGCAATCATAAACATCGCACCCTGGATCCTCGCCATCCTGTACGACCTCCTCTACTATATCTTCCGCCGTATATGGCATGAGATCCCCATCTGGGGTGGCCGGGCACGCGGCGAACACCGTCCACGGGCACCGAGTCTGAGAGATCGGAATCGTAGAATGAGTTTCCGAGATATCGTTACTGGTGGTCCAGGAACGAATCCTGGAGCAAGTGGTTCTGGTCATGATGTTGACGCTACTTCGGGCGAGTATAGGAGAGGTGCCAGAGGTGCGAGACATCAGAAATCATTGAGTACGCAAAGTATTGAAGAGGAGAGCATCGAGGATGAGAAGGGGGATTCTTCAACTTGAGGGACGAGGTGTTTGATGAATATTGATGATGCTATGACTTATAACGAACAACAGAATAATTATTGCCATATTAACATCAACTTGGGCAAAGGCATGCTTTAGAAAGAGAAGAACCAAGCCTCAGGATATGACTCTGCAGGACGACAAAACTGTGGATTATACTTGAAAACCAAGCGAGTCCTTTGTATGGACTTTCTGGCCGCAGGCGATGGCGATCATTGTCCGTCAGTGTTATTCAAGTAGTGACCAAGTACTGTTCCAACAAGCCGATCGCCGGAAGAACATCTCCCGACCTGTGTCTGGAGATGTGAGCATTCACAAAGACTGCAGATCACCTCGCAAGGCCAGGCCGATCTTTCTCCGCCTCCTCCTCGGACCCGAGCGCGCGGGAATGAACTGAACAGACTCGAAGGAAGGGAGATGAACACGGTACCGCAGCAAATTTCAAATGGTCCTGCATCAGAGAGACGAAACTATCAAGCAAGCCGGAGCCATCGACATCGTCCCCGGCTCCCCCAGGAAGGAAATGCAAGACGGGACCGAAATAAGAATGAGAATGTCTTCTGTGCGTTCACGTACGTAGGTAGCAAGTAGTACTCGAGAAAGACGATGTATACTATATCTACGATGTCTATCTATAACAGGGTCACTTTCATCTCGAAGGGGAAAGAAGTCAGTAACGGAAACCTTTTATGACTGTTCTTTCTCTTCCCTCTTCAGATTAACGAATACATACTTAGGTGGGTAGATTAGCTAGTTTTCTCATTTCTTGCGCCGTTGCTACCTGCAATTCATCGGTAGATAGGCGGGTACTATGTTGGTAAGTAAGTAATTCTGATTGTACAAATGCAGTTGTTTTCCCTGCCAGTGTGGGTATCTTCCATCCAGTCCTTTCTCTGCCGTAGCCACTCATGACGCCCAATCCGCTGGTGAAAACATGATCCTGTTCTGTTCTGTCCTTCCCATTCGTTCAATGTCTAGTGAGCTCTGGATTAATCGCCCAACACGATTCATGGTAAAGTACCGCCTTGACAATGTGCTCTAACACACATCCCAACCTTTGTAACCCGTCTCCTCTCCCAACGCCAACGACGAAGGAAACCCGACCCTGAGACGCTGGATGCATGAACGGTGCAACAAAGTATTTTACAGGCCCTGCAGGAACTCCAGCTGACATTCTCCTCAGAAAATGGGATGTCCGTTCCCTCTTTCCTAGAACTCCTCGCCCTCACAAATGAGCCGGTCATGAACGGTGTCGATAGCTGCCGTTGAACGCGGCTTCGACGTCTTCGTCGCCTCCGTCTTCATCATCGTCTTCATCATCGTAATCCCCTTCACCTTCACGCACGTAGTCGTCCTCGTCACCTTCGCTGTCATAGTCGTCCTCGTCCTCGTTGTATTCGCCAAGTGGGCGCTCACGGAGAAGTGATATTTCACCGTCAGCGTCTGAAACTGCTTCGTCGTCATCCACAGCCTCGCCCTCTGGTTCTCGTCTGTTGGAGGATTGCGAGTGCGGGGATCGTGACGATGCCACGGGGCCGAGGGCTTCTTCTTCGGGCAGGTCCGGAGAGTGGAGTTCTGATGGAGTAGGAGCTTTGGAGGAGCTGGGAGGCTTTGTGGCTGCTGATTGTGATGAAGGTGGGGTGTTGATCACAGTGGTAGCAGCCGTCGACTGGGAACTTGGGATACTGGAGGACGTTTGAGGCTGAATCGGGGATGATATTGATTGTTGTGGCTGAGATTGATCGATTCCAGGAGCGACGCTTTCCTCAGAAGCCTCACGGACTCGTTGCTTGGTACCAGCTTGCTCAGCAGTGCCCACCGACTCACTCCGTGACCGTTGCTGCTGATCCTTTTTCACAGCTTCTCTTCTCTCGGCGGCAAGGGACATTTTGCTCCTTAATCTGCCCGAATCCCTTGGTGCATTGCCGCGGAAGATGTTCTTTGCATTGGACACAGATGCCACGGAGCTTGCAATGCTGCCTTCACGATCGCTTCGCTGGACACTCGCTTCACGGCTTTGACTCTCAGCTCGCGAGCTGTCACTTTCATCACCGGTGACGCCGTAAATGGATTCCAAAACCGAGTAGTTCACACGTGTCGAGTATGTGCCGCGTGCTTCAAACATCTTTCGCACAGAGTCTGCAGCACTGCGCTCTCTGTTCGTTGCTCCATCCTTCACTGTTTCTCCATCTCCATCGGCAACATCACCGTCACCTTGAGCCTTACCTTTTTCGTTGAGGTAGCTCACATCACCCCTACGTCCGGGTCTCTTCGTCCCGTCCTTTCTCCTTCCCTTGCTCTGCGCCAGCTTGAAAGCTTCTTTTGCCGGGTCAAGACCCCGTGCTCGCATGTCGGCCTCTTTCAACTCTCGTTTGATTCGTTTCGCATGATCTTGCCGTAGCCAGTCTGCGTTCATGGATACCCAGACTCGTTCTTTGATACGTGATTCAACGTCTGAAAGTAGGCAGCTAGAGACGTCGTCGTCGTCGTCAAATTCGTCGGGTTTAAGAGTTGGGGAGAGAGACACGTTGCCTGTGTTCCCGGTGTTGGTGTTGACAAGTGGCCCTGGTAGACCAGATTTGGTGCGCTTAGGGGTCTCCTTGGGCATGCTATCGACCACAGTTGGGGCACTCGGGGCCGGACTCGGGCTTTGACCAGCGACGCTAGGTTCGCTGGTGCCTTGGATAGAATTTTCTTCGACAGATGATCGATCTGATGTGAGAGCTGGGGTAGCTGACATGCTTTCCGTGCTCTCAGCTCTAATCTCTCTACCGTCGTCGTCGTCATCTTCAGCCATGTATTGATATTCTGGGGCCAATTCTTCATTCTCTCGAAATGCTTGAGCAATGTCTTTTTCAATCTCCTTCTCGATCACCAATTCAGCTTCTGAAGGTGGAGGAGCCTTCCAATTGGCAGCACGGCGAGGTTTGCCTAACACGCTTTTGGCGGTATCAGCTCCGGCTGCTTGAGGCGCTTCTACTTCTCCAGTGATTGCAGGATCAACTGGTATCGGCCTCTGCGGTATTTCTGGAATGGCAAAACCTTCGGCATCTAGTCGAGGACGTTTGGAAAGTGGCTGTGATGGGTCTATGTCTCTCGTAGAAACGTCTTCGCCTTCGATTTCCGCAGCTGTTTCTGGTTGAGGTCCGTTCTTCGGGCGTCCGCGCTTCCTCTTGCTTGGTTTTGGGTTGTGAGCACGCTGATATGAGGGAGGGTCGGAGGCCACCACGGCGTCAAGCACACTGTTATCTCGGAATTCTGTAACAGAAAGCTTGCTGCTCTGTGTGTCCGAGAACTCTTCCAGTCTTTTGTTGATGGTTATTTCCGTGACTTTGGCAGTAAGAACGACTTCTCGCACGGTCCGGCGGTAATTGTTCATCCTCGCGGCTAGTAAAATTGCAGCACCGCAAACACCAGATGGTCGTCGTCCAGTTGACATCCAATCTCGCTTCATCCGCTTGACGATTCTGATGGCATCCATCTTTATCTTTTCACGATGCGCCTTGTCGAACTCGAGTGCATCCACAAATCTGCTGACTAGGACTTCAGGACCATGTGCCAGGAGGTCCGCACTAATATCTGCCTGGATGCCACCACTATCCGTCTGACCATATAACCTTCGAACAAGGTCGTGATACATTTTTCCAAGCGCAAAGACATCCATGTTGAGTCTTTCGGCAAAGTCGATCATCATGAGACTATATAGTGGTCGTCGTTCATTCTGAACCTGCTCATGTTTTCGTCGACAGGCAAGATAGAGACAGACAACGGCAACACTGTCAATTGTCCTCCCTTGTACGAAAGAATTGCCCCAGGCAAGCTTGAAGATCTGCATACCAGCTTCCACCTCTGCAGATCGGATCTTCAATAGTGTTTGATAAGATATCATGATGGTTCGTGCATGGGCCTCTGATCGTTCACGATTGACGGTAGGCTCTCGACCAGCATTACCCAGGGCTCCGCCAGGGGCATAAGTCCTTTGATGTGTTTGTGATTCGCCGACGTGGACACCAAGAGCAGTAATCCTGCCCGAATCTGTCTCTCCGAAACCTTGCTCACTGACTAAACCAGAGTCTTCTTGAGCAACGGCACCACAAGTGTCACAGATCAAGCCGTGTTCGCTTTCGACAATGTTTGGACGAGGACAGCTGGGGTTAGAACATTTCATCGCTTTCAATCCCGTTGGTCTAGTGGCTACAGGTGTAGATGCTCGCAGTCCGATGGGAGTGGTGGCACGGAGTAAGGGTGGTATAGGGCTGCCATCAATACGCCCTCGATAGACAGGCCGACGAATCGAGCCAACACGAGGCTTGGGAGCGACCTTGGGCGGCATGGTGAGCGCGGAACCTGGCCTGAGATGTTGAACTTGGTCTTCCTTTGTCAAGGAATCAGAATAGTTTCTTGAAGAAAATCAATGGAGCTGGAAACCATAGTCAAACACGTGACTGTGGTGGCAGTGAAGTGACTCCAGGTTCTGAGAGATCGATGAGTCAACGGTGGTGATGCTGATGACTCCTGGAGGCCTAGACAGGCAGTTTGTCAGCTGCTTTTCAAGAGAACTGTCGACATAGATCGTAAGTCGTTGTTGGAGAGGCTGGGTTGGCCGAAAGAGGCATGCGATGAAAGAAATGATTGGTGGGTAATGGTATGGACAGAGATTTGGACGAGGATGGTGTTGGTGGGAGAATGTGGTGTCGGAAAAGTGGTTGAAATTTGCAGCTTTGAGTCAAGATGGCGGGGTTGCGGTGGTTCAAGTTGCTGACCCTCTCCCTTGCCAAGCCCCGACTTTTTGCCCTTCTGACCAGGAATATTCATGAACATAAACTTCACCAAGAATCTACGTTGGGGACATTGCCATTCACCATGGATATCAATAACCCTATTTCTTGTGTTACTTTCTGACATGTATTTTTCCTATTTTCGAACTCACGCTGGATAGAGTGAGTCACGTGACTTTAATTCCACTGTCCAAGCATGATTAGTCAGCAAGATACCTCGGGCGACTTGGGCCAGGGTGGGTGTACATTGCAGATACTGTCACGTTGTGATCTTGGGAGTATCTACCTCCCCTGAGTTTCATTCGGAAGAGTACCGCATACAGGGAGATCAGCCGAAGTAAAAACTATTCACTAGGTGATGCTGATTTTGCATTATTCCTGCCCAGACTTCAAGTTGTTCACCCTAGGACATAGAGAGTCTCAAGCATTCCATACACTTAAATCGCGTTTTTCGTCCCAGCACTCAGAGACGACATTCAGAGCCGTCCCGAGCTCAGATGCGTTCACACTTTCCCATGGCTGCTCGCTTTCGAAGTCCATGAAACAACGCTAACGCTAAGCATTGAACTTGTCTTGCCTGGAGGCGCACCCCCAAACCAAAACCTGCCGCAGACGAATCAAGCGTAACTGGTAGCAGAGTTGAGACCTCCTCCCGTCTCAATATTGTTGGTGGCCAGATACCACAACGCCACACCTGCGCGATTCTAACGTACGGCATTCATGGTTGGGCATAACAAAGCGTTTGGGACGTTGTCCCAGCCTCATCACCTAGATGAAAGGGGTATGGCCATTTGAGCGTTCCGCGCACGACAATTTTTATGCACAGGCCCTTCATGGTTTCCCATCCCACCATCAAGGATTGAAGCCCTCTGGTTGCACTATCAAGAATCAGCGTAATCCGATTCTACGGCGTGTGCCTTATACCTTGTCCCAAATCTCCGATTTTGTTGTTGTGTAGCCCATCAACGGTGGATATCAGAATATTGAGTGGTTTCAAGTCTGCTATCCCTTAGTAGATGGCGTCAAGAAAATCTCTCTAGGTAAGGCGCATACCAGTGTAGACCAGACGCTCTTTTTCAGTTCCGCAAATGCCCCCAAGCAAACCTTGACAATATTTGCGACCAATGTAGGGTCTTGCTCATGTTTCTTGGAAGAGACATCCTTGAGAGTCATATCCATCCATTCGAATGTTAGACAAAAGGGCTTTGGAGCCGTCCAATCTGAGGGATCATTGATGATATCATGCAACTTTCGAAAATTCCCAGACGATTCAACAGCGGGGATTTTGTAACATTTGTATTCCCGTAAAAGGCCGTCCCTCTAGATCTAGTTCTCAAGATGTATGCTTTTCACAACCGCCCTAATACGAGGATCAGTACATCCTCGTTCATGCAACTCAGGGACGTACCATGAACTTTGGGGGAGACGAGCCTGAACGCCACGCAGAACCTCGGCTTTGAAGACAGGGCTGAAGACAGTTCTATCACCGAGTTTTTCAACCAAATGATATGAATATCTGCTTCCTCGAAGAGTGGCCCCGAGACACAGGGCCATCGTCTTCGATAGAAGGGTGGTTTGCGACTAATCTCTGGATCGATGAATCTCAGCGACTTGAGAGGGAATTGCTCTACTTGTGTTCTCCGTTTCGCCGTATTGTGTTGCGTACTACGCCCGATCGGTCAAGCATTTGTGACGCCAGTTCTCGTCGAAAGGAATACCTTCATGACTCCCGAGCCGGAGAAGCACATTATCAAGACATATCCTATTGATCGTAATCATGATCAAGACCTGGCTAAGCCGTGACCCCACGCTGTCTTGATACACAAAGGAGCAGATATGGTCGGCTTTCCAGAGGCAGATTCAGCCCCATTGAGAAAGAGCCGATCTCGCTCTGGCAAACGTCCCGAGCATATCTTGGTGATTTGTCTCAGCGTACACTGATATCAGGCTCGCCCTCGACTGCGAATCTCGCTGCTCCTCATATTATATGGGTTGATTCGAGTAGCGCTAGCTCAACTAGGGATAATTTGATGAAGACAGGGAGGCCATCGTTGATGAGGCTGAGAACTCCTGAGACTATCTATAGGAGCTCGGGAGCTGTCTTAGCTACGTGACTGTCGCTCAGTGCAACTCTATTTCACAAAATTTGATGAGGACAGGCAATCTGAGGATCGTAACGAATGCTCACCATAGATTTTCTTACTGTGTACTTTTGGCAACGTTTGCAAGCAGCAGTTTCGCAAATGCTTGCAGATTGCTAGAAGCGTGGCACAATGGGACTGCACATGGCAAGATCTTGAAACACACTCCGTTGCCCGAGTGCCAGTAAAGACATAAACTTTTGTACAAGGGGACGCGTCGGCCAACAGATCGCTCAAGCATGCCCCGGTCTCTGTATTAAACAAATGGACATGAGGCATCTCCTCGATTTCTGTTGCTAGGCTTACAATTTGGCCACCGGATATACTGTTCAGACGCACGTCTTAGTGCTGTGGGCCATCCCTGAAGCGCTGGGCCCTCGACAGATTTCGTGGTCATGGTCCTGGAAACGATCTATTGGTGAGTGGTATTGCACCAGCTGAAATTAAACGCCTTTAGACCATGTAACGGAAAGCCGGGTGCTTGGAACTCAATTCCACCTCCTCGGTTGGCGATAGTCCTTCCAACAAGTAATTCCTTCGCCCCAAATCCCGTTGGCGATTTTCCCACTGACAGTAGAGGCGTAGCATGATGGCAGTCAGCCAGGTCGCAAAGACCATTCCAGTCATTATGCCGTTTCCGGTCTTGTAAGCTGGGGCATCTTTAGACAAATATACCCATGGTGAGATGATGCCGCTGAGACTCCCAATAGCAAAGAGCGTACCCGAAGCGCTTGCACGTACTGTAGCTGTAGCGCAATTATTAATGCACCAGCTGATATATAATGGTAGGCATGCAAACAAGCCGGGCAGTGCTAAGTAGATAGCTCCGTATTTGACCCATGGATAAGCGGGTGAAATAAATTCGAGCATCAGAAAGCCCGCAATTGACAAGGGGCAACAGCAGATGATTCCGAGTGATCGTGTCCGATATTTGTCCGAGAGCCACCCGATTAATATCGATAGGCCACAAGCCACGACCTAAATAACTTAGTATCGGATGTCTCTACGAGTAGCAGGTATACATACATAAGGACCAACCGAAAGGAGTTGAGATGTCTCAGGCGTATATCCAAATCCTCGAATTATAGTAGGTATGAAGACTGCACAAGCGTTTTGTGCTATACTTGGCAAGGGTCAGTCACACGCTATACGCAATCTCTAGACTACTCACTTCCCTAGAAGTAGACCTAAGCCGCTGCCGAGAACGTGTGGGCTTGTCAGGGCCTGCTTGATATGCTTCCATTTCGTTTTACCACCTTCGTTTGTACCAGCAGCATCGACCTGTAGACGATTCAGAGCCGTTTGTCGTTCTTCCTGACTCAGGAATCTGGCATCGTCTGGGCCATTAGGTATAACCCGAAAAGCTATAATACCAATAGCGATAGAAACTAGTCCCTAATCTTAGATTAGTCACATAGTGCGCTCTGACGGCGTATTTACTCGACTCACCTCAAAGAAATATATATTTCTCCACGTATGTATAAGTCCCCATCGAGGAATCTTGCTTAGCCCTATGGCCAAGAGACCGCCAAATGCTCCGCTAGATGCTGCAGCAGATATATAAATACTTGTTCGAAGTCCCATCTCAGCACGACGATAGCTAGCACCGTTTGTCAGCAATATCTAGGATAGTCTCGATCAAGGGGACGAAACCTACAACTGAGAGAGTAGCCAGATAATCGCAGGTGAAACGCCTCCTTCGGGTATTCCAAGAAAGAACCTTGCTATATAAAGACCCTCTGCAGTGTGCGTCAATGACATTAATGTAGTGATAAGACCAAACGTAAACACTATCATCGGCAACCAGACTTTGGTGCCAATTTTCTTGCAGATGATATTTGCTGGAATTTCAACAGCCGACCCGCTTATGAAAATGCACATAACAGCAATATTGTACTTATTGCCAGAGAGTTGTAGATCGTGTTGCATGCCTAGCAGGCGAGCATTCCCAATATTGCTGCGGTCAATAAAGTTGAAGATGTTGATGACAACGCACAAGGGCAAAAGGTGCATATCGGTCTTCCGGATTATCTGACTTGCTAGAGTCGTATTCACTTCCACGAACGTGTGTGCTGCAGCAAGGTCTTCTTCATTGATATCTTGAGTGGCGGCCTTAGACTCCTCGAGATGGACGGCGGTAGTCTGTTGCATATCTGGCTGTTGGCTTTTTCGCTGACCTGAAGATTCGTGAGTTCTATTTGAAGGCATCGTGTGTCTCGCCGTATTTTCACCAATGGCCAGCGAGTGCCAACTCTGATGCGGATGAATCGATATATAGTAAGAGATTGTCGGTAGAGATGTGGTTGCTCATGGAACTCGATTGTCATGACGGGATGCTGAGAGCTCGTGGATCTGATCGACCCGATCACTTCTAACCTTCGGTTCCCCGCAATATATGTGTGGATTTGCCCAACATTGCGAGTTCTGTAGCTCCTCGAAGCGCTCGTGTAAACGGCAAGGCAATTAGTCTGCAACCTGCGTGAGATGCCTCCAAATATCGTACAGTCGTACTCGCAAGTATCGTACCTGTTTGCTGTTTCCAAATTTTTACCTTGTATTTTACATTATTCGAACCAAGCATGTGGGCCAGCATACGGATGATGCCCCCACCCCCTCCCCGTACCCGACCCATCCATGCTTCGTGGGAGATCCCACGCAACTGCGCCATGACACTCCTGAAAACTTCATGTATCATATCCTGTACCTCGTACTAGCATTCTGACATTGTCGGCTCAAGAGAAGATCCTGGCATTGATGTACGTTGCTCTGATGTGGAGCCGCCACTAGAACGGTCAGAAGTATAAAAGCCTTCTAATGCAGCGTGATCTGTGGCACAGTGATCCCAAATTCGACACTACAGACACCATGATTTCGGCCACAGATGCTGGAAACGGCGACAGACTGATCATAGAACGGGATGTCGCCATTCCGATGGACGATGGCATTGTTCTTCGAGGCGACATCTTTCGGCCTGTGTCCTCGGATGAAAAACCTTGTCCGGTGTTGGTAACAAGTGGCCCTTATGGTAAAGGAGTACCATGGCGTGAGGGTTACTCGATTCAGTGGAACTTCATGACGTCGAAGCACCGGAACTTATTATCGGGTTCCTCGAAAGAGTATATGGTGTGGGAAACCCCGGACCCAGAGATATGGTGTCACTGGGGGTACGCCTGCTTCCGCATAGACAGTCGGGGCACCGGTCGGTCCCCAGGGTATCTAGATATTTTCTCTCCACGCGAGATGAAGGATTTCTACAACTGCATTGAATGGATTGCCGATCGATCGTGGTGCACAGGCAGTGTTGGCCTCAGCGGTATTTCATACTACGCTGCTAGCCAGTGGCTAGTCGCTAGTCTACAGCCGCCGCATCTGAAAGCGATGGTCGCATGGGAAGGCTTCGCGGATTGGTACCGTGATGTTGGTCGTCACGGAGGCATACAAAGTAATGTCTTTATGGAGAGATGGTTTGCAAATCAAGTTTTATCCGTACAGCACGGTTATCCGGAAGCAATAATTGATCCATGGTTGGGTGAACGAGCAAGCGGTCCAGATATATTGACCGAAGAGCAACTAGATCAGAACCGTGCGGACCCTGGTCGGGATATATCCGAGCGACCTCTAGATGACGACTATTATCGGCAGCGATCGGCAATATGGAACAAGGTTGAAGTGCCATTCTTAAGTTGTGCCAATTTAGCTGGACATGGTTTACATCCTCGCGGCAACTTCGAGGCATTTATGAGCGCTAACAGTAAGTATAAGTGGTTAAGCTGTCATCCAGGGCGTCATGAGGAGTGGTACTACCTTGACCAAGGGATGGATCTACAGAAACGGTTCTTTGACTATTTTCTAAAAGGCGAGCAGAATGGGTGGGAGAGCACGCCTCCAGTCACACTGAGAGAGAGACGACCATTTGACGACCAATTCACTGTCGTTAGGCATGAAGCCTCGTGGCCGTTGCCCAACACAAAATGGACCAAGATATTCCTAGGTACCGACGACCGTCAAGCGTCTACACTAAGTTGGTTGTCTATTGGAAAGCAGGGAAGTGTCAATTTTAACGCCAGTACGGGAGAACTTGTGTTTCATTCAGCGCCACTAGAACAGGAACTCGAGATTACAGGTCCAATGGCAGCAAAGCTTTTCGCGGCATCTTCTACCTCTGATATGGACCTCTTCCTGACATTGCGGGCGTATGCGCCCAATGGTCGCGAAGTCGACTTTGAAGGAACATTGGATCCGCGGACACCCCTATCACAAGGGTGGTTACGCGCATCTCACCGGAAGCTTGACATGCAGAAGTCGTTACCCTATCGCCCATTTCTCGCGCACGATGAGCAACAGCCACTAGAACCGGGAAAGCCTTACGAGCTGGACATCGAGGTGCTGCCCACCCATATCATCCTGCCCAAAGGTTTCACCCTAGCTCTACAGATTTCTGGCAAAGACTTCGAACGCCCTGCTCAGAATGCAGAGACGGAGCTTGCATGGGCAGCGCAGGGGGCCAGGGGCTCAGGGCCTTTCTTGCATACCTCTGAAACTGATCGCCCTAAGGATATTTTCGGAGGAACAACCACAATCTTCCTAGGTGGAGAAACGAGCTCGTATATACTGCTCCCAGTAATCACTAGATAGTCTGGAGCTGTTAGACCGGCCTACGATATACTTAGTAGTTACCTCTATCATCTCGATCACACCAGAGAGCCCCCAGCATAGCTGCAGTTCTGCGCCCTGTCTCGGGAATGAGCCTTGGTCTTGCCTGCGGCGACGAAAGTAGCACAGAGTTCTCGATTGAGTCTAGAGAGTGCAGTGCTATAGCACTAAGTATTCGAAGTTATCTATAATGGTATTAGTATTCATAATTATCCATTTTGCGCCAATTGACAGTCCTCTTCGAGTATCAATTGGCATTAATGACCACACAAAGTCGCTCGGCAGTGAGTTATGTAGTCGATCTCTTGCACTCATGGCTCCGAAAACATGAGCTACATGTACAATGAATCCCAGGTTGACTGCGCACTGTTAGAGCGTGTTATATATGATGGAGGTGAGCCGTTCTCGTCTCATAAAGCATAGACACACACTCCTTCCCCAGCGCTTTCGGATCACATAACACATGGTAGTCGCAACCCACTACGCAAGCTATGCCGCCCTAGGAAAGCTTGCTATCGTCACACCACTGTAAAAATGCGTCTCGGAAGTTATATCGAACCAATGAGACAGACTTGCATTGACCGCATCAGTTCTTGTCAAGACCCAGAAGCTAACTCAGACAGAACAGCAACGTTCCCAATACTCCAGACTGGTTCGATTACCAGGTGGTTGATGCTCCAAACTCCAGCTTCGCAGGTCAACAAGGCCACATATAGGCTTTTGCTCCAGTAGTGGTCTTTGTCGGTCTGCATCAGACCTTGGCCCTTTCTGAAGTGTTGAGCTTCCGCGTAACATTTGACCCTCAGTTGATCATCATCTGCGCCAGGAAAGAATTGAAAATTGCTCAGGGAGTGGGTCGTATCGAGAGGAATGCCGACGGTTTGCATGCAGGTTTGAACAATTGCTTCCCGGCCTTGAAGGATCGGTATTTCCATACCAAGCTTCGAGAATTTGGTGAGATCGAGAATGGCATCACTCGTGAAAGCCGACCCAAGTTGTTCTGAATCGGCGAAGTCGAGCCCGCCAGTATACCTCACCAGAGCTTCGACAGCACCTTCGCTCTTCGTGCTCAAAGCCATTTTGAATCTTGTACAAGGAACTCGTCTTTTTGTATGCTTTCCGGATTCTATGTGAAATGAATCGGCCCAACACGAACCGGCTTAGACCGAGCTCAGACTGCTAGATGGCGACGCTCTTGAGCGTCTTTTGAATGTCTTCTCGTTGCGAATTCAGAACCTAGGGCTTAAGATCGCTCGGCACGCGATAAATCCGACGTGGACGGACAATGTTGCTAGCACCTTGTACTCCGATACCCCTGGACACAATGGCACCAGAGCGCGGTAGGCTACTGCACCTGCCCGCCGTAACGACAGTGATTGTGATGTTTCCGCTTGATTTATCTCCGAGCACCTGACAAATAATTACTGTACCACGTAAGAAGTGTTCAGTTTTGTAGCTTGACGTGTATCTTTGACGAATTTCTGGAATCTGGATGCGGCAGCTCGGCTGACCTGGTGGTTGATACTGCCCCTGGTCAGGTGGTCCAATTCTACCACACGCTATACGCGCCCATTCTTCTAGTTCTGGTCATCCACGGTATGGTAGCTAGCTACAAAGGCCTCGAATGAACACCACTACGAGCTTACAGAATGCTGAGTCGCTAGATTATAATCAAAGGTGTCGCTTGTGACGTCGTTTTTATACTGATATCTACACCAATCGTCGTCGTGAGACCGAAAAGACTATGGCACCGCAGGTGTTCTCAACAGACCAATGCTTCGTGCCTAGAAGATAGCAAGCACATTGGGTGGCGACCCCACAGCTCCCGGTTGGTTCAGCGGCACGGATGTCAACAAGAAACTGTATCGTTTTACCTCTGCGCAGTGCTCGGACAAGGCCTTCAGATCCCAGAGCTCTCCAATGGACATGCCCATCAGCGAAATCAGGTAGGAGTGGAGCACTGTTATGCAGCGAAGGAGTCAGCGTGCGAGCCCCAACGACATGTGCAATATATGCGGCCACGAGGGGCTATGATACGTACCTAGGTCTTTGACCGTGCCCTCCTTACCATCTACAATGGGTGGCAAATTCCTGGTGCAATTGTGAGCCAGACCGAGTCATCGAGCGATTACATGAAGGGTATGGGGGCAAGCTCACTCGAAAGCAATCATGTCACCCGCCACTGCTGCGAAGTGCTTGTTCCAAACCCACTTAGCTGCGCTTTCAGTTCCTTCCACTCCTATCACCCGATGGGCTGACATTGCCTCGTCCTGTTGCTCTGCTGTCATGGCACCTAAGGCCTCGGTGAAGCCAGATCGCACGATAAGAATATCACCGAGCTTAAACTCGACTCCTTGGTGCTGGGCGATTTTCTCAATGTCTTCGATCTTGATCTGGTCGTTGTTGAAGAGATTATACTTGAGCCCGTGAGTATCGGCATAGGCCTTGTAGTCAATCAAGACCCCTCGAGCAACTACTCCACCTCTTTCATGCCAGTCTAAATAAGTTAAGCATTGGGTAGTCCTGATGGGCACCAGCACTAACGGTTTAAGGTTGGATATTGATGCTCCTTATCCTCATCTCCAAAACCCTGAACCAGCGCATCTTTGGTGACCTTGGCACCGTTGTATGCCTGTTGGGTGGCCTGATGGAGATAATGAGCTATATTTGTTAGCTATTGGGGACCAGAAGACACTTCGCATAGTGATGTACCAACCCAGACTGTCCCACTGGCTGCTAGTCTGTGTATTGAACGAAACCTCGTCGTCAAATGCATGACATGGAAAGGGAGACTCGGAGAATGCGAGGACCTTGTGCTCTGATGGCTTGCGCGCGAAACCAGGAGTCTTGATGGCCCCGAGTGGCCAGCTATATCGGTCAGAATTGATTGATGAGATACCGCGTCACGAACATATCTAAGACGAGCCAAACTCACTTCAGCGAGATTGAGATCCCGTCCCTGGCTTCTGCAAAGGCGGCTTGCACCACGTCTTTCGTCAGAATGTTAAGGGTGCCAAAGACATCCTTAACCCCGTTTTTGTCGAACAAACCCCATGTGCAGCCCTTGGGCATCCCTTTCACTGATTGAAGATATCAGCGGTGGTCCAAAAGAGGGTTTTCTGATGCTGCTTTCCGAACACACCTTCAGGAAGATCATCCCAGTCCGCTAATGCGATAGTCAGTGCTCCAACGTCATAAATTCAAGTCATGCCAGAGTTCCACCATTCTGTCACACCATGAACGGGAAGACTTACGTAGTTGAGCCATAAGGTCAGCTTTGCTCTCTGATTCCTTGGCAGGGTTGCACTGTTGAAACGTCGTCGTGTATTCATCTGCGCACCCAGACTAGAGCAGAGCATTAATTCTTTTAAGATGTCGTCCAATTCGGGAGGACATGCTTAACTTCGTACAAGGGCTCAGCATTGTACCGCCGTCGGAAGTCTGGTATTTTACACTAAAACTCTCTTTATACCGCGCAAGTTGGCGACAGTACTGCGCGATGTAGTAATGTGACCTATCGCAAAACCTTCGTTGCTTCGGATACAAGGCTGGAATGCTGGTCTTTCGGCTCGGAAGAGGGGGCGGGGGAGACATACAATCCAGAACCATGCCGCATCCGAGCGGGTAGCCATCCAACTGCTGAGACGCCCCTCGAGAACATGGTTCGGGGCCGGTATACCTGCACAGGACCTGGTCGAGAATGAGCGCTGATGTCGTATACTAGTCAACATAGTGCCGGCGTCTTTGTGTACCTAAGCAGTTCGAAAAGGGACGGGGCATACCAGTCACAATGGGAAATGGGGTACAGCACAGCTATTTTCCTGGAAACCTTGCGACCCGAAACACAGCAAGCTCTGAACTGAATGTGGTTGGACCTTGGTATCCCTGTCCCAGGCACGGCGACAGCTTGCTCTACATGCTGGAAATGTTGTGCAGATGGCCCCAGTCTCTGGCCTAGTCTCTGGGCCTGAAAGAGTCGCTAGAGTATCAATTTCTATCCCTAGTGCGTACGAACATTGGTACAGCACCGAAATGTCATCGGTCATCAGGGATTGAGAGGCTTTTTGGTGCGATGTGGGACCTTGAACAGCAAAAAATCACGACAGGCTTCATCTCTATTCATCAGCTTGAGTGACCATGATGGCAACGAGCCCGCAGATATCGAAGTCGATACGAACATCCACAAGCTCGGCAAAGGAGGCAAAAAGCAATGCTCTACGACCAGTATTGGGAGCCCGACGCCGGCAAAGTTCAGGTGGATTCAGGCTTCTCATCGTAGTCGGAACCAAAACCATACGTGGATATGGCTGAAAGTGCACTTCCTTTCCCAGTCCCAAGTCACAAGAGAAGCGACAGACAACAAGCCAAGAACGACGAGAAATACCAACTCGACTCTGAGACCACACCCCAAGAACCTGGAAGGTGTTGCATGATTCGGAAAGATGAACAGGCTGCGAGGTAGAGCCCGCACTTATGCCGCTGTTGTGAGACGTGCTGAAGGGTGTTGTCGCAAAAAACAAATATGGTATCAGACGAAATGCGATTTGCTAAGAGACACATGGTCCACATCAATTGTTATGATAGCACTGGAGCGACCTGGTTCTGGTCGTAGTGTAGCCACAGACAGGTCTGGCACCTTGATACACCTCCGAGAACCATCGCAGAAAAGATGCAAACATGTAATTGGGGGCTTTTGTTGAATAATCGCTATGCTTCACAGGCCGTTGCATGCCCTCCCAATCGTTCTACGCTACCTTAGGGATATTATTAGGGGCTCGACGGTCTCGGCAACATTATGGGCGTATTCATTGGTAGAGTCAGCAGCCTCTTGTATGCTTGGTGAACCAGTGACCTCGGCAAGGTCCTAAAGTCCCCACATGCCTAACTTAGGTAGCTAGAAGACTCACGATTATCCTTTATTAAAACTGAGGAGCCTGGAGAAACTCCGCTTACAATAGCCCCCTAATGTTACTTCTAACTTATTGGGGCCCCATGGGGTCGTTCTAGTTGTTTTCAAGCTGGCCAAATGCGTATGTGAGCCTCAGTAGCACTTTCTTCTTGTGCACTCTTTGCCTTTTAGTCATTTCTACCCGTGCACTTGCGATGGTGCACGCCACGAACCATGCCCACTCATCATTGCGCAAGTTGCAACACGTCTTTCCAACGAGCAGAACACCTGGCCAGACACAACTTGCTTCACCTTGGTCAAAGACCATACAATTGCCCAAAGTGCCAGAGGACCTTTTCGAGAAGGTGAGTCCATGGGTGTTTATTATCTCCCATTCCCCAGAGCGAGTCATCCTCACCACGCTTCCAGGGATACGTTGCAACGGCACCTGACAGTACATGAGAAGAGCGTAGAACTTGACACCAGACGCGTCCATCCGGGTCGAAGAGTCAAACGCGCCTGTTTGCGCTGTTCCACAAGCAAGCTCAAATGTGATGGTGCTGCACCTTGTAAGAGGTGCAGCGCAAAGCAAATCGTGTGCAGCTATGCAATTATTGAAAGCCCAACTACTGCGCAGACGGCTTTCCCTGACAGCCAAGCCAATGATGGACACGACGACCCCCTTCTACAATGGCAGCATACATCAGAAACCATTCTTTCGGTAGGCGAAAAATCCAATCTGGACGGGCTTCGGCTGAACGAGGGCCCCGCCATCGATACACAGCCTATCGCCAGTGAGGAAGACAACGTACGGGCCGACTACACAATCTTGTCAGGGTTTCAAAACGCAACAGACAGAGTTCATGAGTCTTGGGCAGCGACCAGCCATGCACAGCCCTTGGGTGGGCAAGGAACCAAGGGTACTTCCTTTGAAGCTTGTGTGATGACCAGCACCCAGTCACCAGGCTTCCAATCCGGTGACGTCCTCACGGGCACATCAGCTTTCGAGCTGCAGTCGACTGAATTGTTTTCCTTTGGCTTTCCAGCAGCTGATAGCAGTTTCTGGGATGACGGCTTGGACCTGGCTGCGCTTTATCACGGTACGTCTGCCGATTTCAGCTTCCCACTCACATCAAGCGAATGCGAGCCAGAGCATGACATCACATTGGATCCCAGCACGGACGAGCTGGACATTGATCTGTCCCCTCCTCCTCCACACACATTTCTGGATACCAGGTCGAGTCCGGATCCGCAGGAGGGTCAGGCCCTGAAATTTGAAGGCTATGTACGCAAGGCATTCAAGAGTCGACAGCAACTCTACCATACTGCTGACCAACGGGCCGAGTGTGTTCCGGGGCAGACCTCTCAGCATCACCATGGCTTGCACGAAAAGATATCTGATGCACCCCTCTTGGGGGCCTTCCCTATGGACCTTGCCCACGACGATGAAGAGCTGTGGGAGCCCGAGAATCTAGCTCGCGTTCCTACGTTAAACAGGGTGACGTATGACTTCATTGTGGCACAGTTCAGGGATCTAAATACGACTAACAATCACATTACCCAATTCGCGACTGGACAATTTCCTTGTCTATCAGCATGTAATGCTTTCACACAGCTCTTTTTCGAGAGCTTCAATCCTACCCTGCCCATGATCCACCAAGGAACATTTGACCCAGCCAACGAGCCTTGGCAGTTGGTGCTTGCTGTTATTGCCATAGGCTGCCGCTTTTCCCGAGTGGCAAAGGCTGTCCAATGTGCGGATCTCTTGCAAGAGCTTGTCCGCAGAGCATTTGACCTGACTGTAAGTGTTCTGGCACTTAGCACTCAAATCTCGAACCCCCGAAGTACTCTACGATGGTTTGACTGATACTGGTGTACAGGTTGAAAAGGAGTATAAGTCGACATGTGAGCCATGGCTTGCTCAAGTTGGATTGCTCAATCAGATAGGTATGCAATTCTCAAAAGACTTTCGACTCGTGGAAACGGCACAAGGGTTACGCAGTGTCCTCGATGTAATATGTCGAAAGGTAAACTGCTTCAAAGAGGCCGCGCGACCTTCGACAGCTTTGGAGTCTCTGGCAAACGACCAGGCAGCATGGATCTCTTGGGTGCGACAGGAGACACTGCGCCGATTGGCTTATACCATCTGGGTGAGTTATCGTCACCTCTGTAGCTGACGCCGTGAGGCACCGTCTGACAGTACTTTGCTTTCAGCTGATAGATAGCCAATACATGTTGTTCCTTGATCAACGTCCTCTGCTCCCAACGGAATTGCTGCGCACCAGCCTGCCATCTAATGAGCGTTTGTGGAACGCCATGACAGCACCGACGTGGCGCAAGATCTTGGGACAGAATGGCAAGCTGACATTTGTCCGCTGCGTCTAGTGCACACTCGCTGACGTGACTTGATAGACAAAGACCTTCCAGGAAACATTCGAAAAGAACTGCATCAGCTTTACAAAACTCGAACGTGCCGGCAGACACTGGGCGTATATGCAACTCTCATGCTTGTGATGGGCATTTTCCGCGACGCCATGGATGTGTGGCGTAGCTCGAGGTCTGGCCTCGGCGCTCATCTTGCTACTATGGAAGATCCCAGGCAGTATCCTGGCGAGTCCGTTCTCCGTCAAATCCCTATGGCCGTGGCTCAAAGAAGTCTCGAATTCTTGCAGATCTTATGTCCAAGAATCGAAGCGGTTCCTCACGACAGATCGCTGGAGTCGGTGCTCGCGCATCATTGTCATGCGGTTGGCATTGCCATACGATTGCCACTGAGTGAACTTTTCTGCTATATGGGTTATAGGGTGACCAGCGTTGACATCATGCATTGCCGACAGCGTCTGAAGACATGGTTTCTTCGGCATGAGAGAGATGCTAGACAGGTGGCATGGCACGCTGGCCAACTCTTTGGTTCCATTCGGCAATCCAGAATGCATGGCTACTACGAAGGTCGTGCAATGCTAATAGCTTGCTTATCGTTGTGGGCATTTGGTGACAATGCTGGGTCCAACGTCTTGGGCGAGGGTGTGAATAATGCGCCGACATACCGCCTCGATGACCCTAGCGGCCCGCAGATTGACGATTCTTGGCTGCAAGATGGTGCTGGGATGCGACCATGCTTGGCGGGCGTGGGCAGTATCTTAGGAGTGGACGGTGTTTCTCGTCTGATTCACGAAGGCTCCCGAGTGCTGTGTAGCTCATCCGTCTGGCCAATCTCAGATGTCCAAGGCAAGGCGCTCCAGATCTTCCACAACGTGCGCCGTGGGGACCGTGAGAACTGATCGATTTCCCACAACGAATCGGCCACTGGATTACAGCTCAGCCCAGGGCTAATCTGAAGCGCAGATAAATGCTGCTTTGAAATCGCTCATATAGCAGAGGAACTCCGGATACTGGTCAAAATGATCGGTGTGCCTGGCAGAATCAGCTGTCCAATGCGCTCGTATTCCCCTAAGACACATTTACCCAACATTACAATGACCGCCACGTCCATCACGATCAAGGTCGGGTTCGCAGCGCCATAGATTCATGACGACACCCCGCCCCCGTGCCGAAGTTCTCCTACCAAGTAATTCAAACACTAGCCTCGCCCAGTATTCTGGACAAGTCCCAGTCGTACAGGATTGACATGAGATGTCCGGGACGGTCTCCAACCTTGTCGCTTCGGTAGAAGAGACTATTTTATCATGGAATGCTATCTTGAAGTCGAGAGGAAAAGGCGCACAAGCTCCATCCTAAACACCTGGAAAGGCCCCACAGAATGCCTTATAATCTCAAGGGCAGGAATGTCCTGGTAACTGGAGGTTCCAGGTATGGTTTACACGGTGCCTGGTGTTCTGAAATCGTAGGTCCGAAAATTGACAGTGCACTCACCTCGGTAGGGGACTTGGTGCGCTCGTCGCACGCAAGCTAGCTGCGGAAGAATGTAACGTGGCCATCAATTACATCTCCAGTTTGGAGAGGGCAGAGAAGACAGCGCGATCGATCCAAGACGATTTTCATGTCCAGACTTTTGTCGTGCAAGGTGTAAGTATGCTCTCATTCGAGAAGTTGCGACGGGCATAACGTTCGATAGATACAGACAAGTGCTGACTAACTGCAACAGGATGTCGGCGTGCATGATGACTGCGTGAATATGGTTCGGAGGACCATAGAGGCTCTGGGCGGGTTAGATGTTATTGTTTCGAATGCCGGGTGGACCAAATTCACAGCATTCGGCAACCTGCACGCCATGACAGAAGCAGACTGGGATAAGGTGTGTCCCCAGTCACCGCTCTCTTTTCTGATACACACCGTCGACTTTGGCCTTGACATGTGGTATGGCATAGTGCTGGGCGGTCAATGTCAAGGGAAATCTCCATCTCCTTCGGGAAGCAGCGCCGACCTTCAACGGAAATGAGGAAGGCGGAGTCTTCCTGATCACTTCCTCACTTGCGGTATGTATTATCACATACACCCTGCTGTCGCATCGCAACCTGTGATTGATATTGGACATCAGGCCGTCTCTCCTTCTGGTAGCTCACTACCGTACTCTGTGACCAAAGCAGCAGGTAAGAACAACGAATTAATGATCATATATCGAGTGCATAGTAGGTATCTAACGACTGACCGGCGTATCCAGGCTTGCACCTCATGAAAGCTTTGGCTGTCACACAAGGACCTAAGATCAGAGTAAACGCAATTTTACCGGGCCTGCTGCTTACTGAATGGGTACGTACCAAGTCCTTGTTGGCGTATGGACATGAAAACTGATCACCATCGCTGCCATCCAGGGCCAACAATTTACCAACGAGCAGCAACAAGTAATGGCGGACCGAGCCACTTTAAAACGAGTCGTGAGTCCGGGGTCCAAAGAGCATGTTTTCGAGAGCTCTCTTCTTGTTGCGTAAACTTCTAACGCAGCCTTCTACTCTAGACCGATCTGGAAGACTGCGCCAATGCGTTCGTTGCAACTGCCAAGAACGGGTCCATGACGGGACAGGAGATACAAGTAGGTATGTGTTGGATGCATCGTGTCGTGTCGGTGCAAGAACTACGGATACCGCTCAAATATGCTAACTGATATAACAGATTCAGGCATGCTTATTCGCTGAAACTCTGTTAGAAGGATGCAGCAGATTTGTAGACTCGATATATATCAAGGACTCCCATCCAAAAGCTTAATTTTGCTTCGCGGCCGCTGGCTCGTGCTTCTTTTCCTCTTCGCGTGCAGGATTGCTCGACTCGAGTACATGAACACCACTTGTTTCGCGCCTTGCAAATTATCCAGCCATCCTCAATTGATCACCAGTGGCCCGTGGACCTCGTCGTCTCATTTGGTCTTGCATGGCCGCATGGAATGCCCAGCGTTATCATTGGCAGAGTCCTCTGGGTTGAAGAACCCCAATTAGGAAGATTGTAACGGGACAGAGCCCATATTGCTCATCACGCCGCCCCCCGAACACAAACCGCAGAGTACAGCTAAGCCACAGGCAGCCATGCGAGCCTGCCTCTGGTCGACTACTCGCCAGCCCTAGAGGATACCGTGTTTGGTCTGTGGCTGTGGCTTAGTGAGTGAGTTAGCACGTGTATCTTTTGATAGAAAGATGGGGATTGGGGGTGTAAACTTCATTTAAGGGACTGCGTGACAGTCGGACTTCATACAAGATGTTGGAAAGTAAGACCGGCAGAATTTCACACCGCCCGAGGGATGGACGACTACTCAAGTCGAGAACTCCAACATCCTCCAAGGGGTGCGGGGTATTTTAAACGCTGCATGAAACCAGCTGAAACCAGCCAGCAGCTGCACTTGGCAACCTTGGAAGGGGTGACAGAAAGAGATAATATCCGCATCGTCCCATGTTATGCAGAATTTCGTTTTCTGATCTGAAGGGCACGCTGCTTTAGCACTCCCAACCGAGGCGTCTCGGAAATGTCAAGGTTCCAGTGGCTGGAATTGGAGAGGCTGAGAACTAGGCCTACCGCCGTTGTCAGGTGCTATTTATTGAGACTTCGTTGGTTGAACGCTTGCCATTGACGCCCGTAGTCGGGGAAGAAGACCCGCGCCGGGAGCTACGACGAGCACTCGTTCCCCAAGCAGTTGGACATGAACATGGATGGAGACTGCTCACACGAAGTTTCCTGGTATAGGTACCTAGGTAGTCATGCAGGCTGAAAGTTACGGGAAAGGGTACACCTCTTCTGCCCTCTTTGACGTCATACAAAATGGTGCTAGGACTGCAGAGCAAGGAGAAGGATGACATAACAATTGCACTTCCAGCAGTTAACTGTATGATGCAGCGGACGGATTTCCAGAACTGCGAATACCTTGAAAGCAGCGCCAGAGAGGTTGTTGGGGGAAGCAAAAGCACAAAATGGCAATGCGATAATCCTAACAAAGAATATTTACATGTGATGACAAACTTCAAGTACAGTACACGGAGTCTTTCATGCATCTGCACTGCTGTGGTGGAGACGGCAACTGGAGAAAGAGTTCTTTGGTTGGCCTGATAGTTCGAAGAAGCGCACGTCGCTTGGAGGGTGGCAGCCAATGTCAGATGAAGGTAGCACCTCTGGTGGTGGAAGAGGAGACACGAGAGTCTAAATCTAGGGTGAGAAAGGGGTGATAGAAACACTCGCAGAGTTAGGTGGTCAGAGAGCAAGGTACGTGTGACAAAAGTGCGCCTGTGAGTTCATATTACTATGTAGACACGTATACCTAGGCAGGTACGTAGACCGAGGCAGGTACTCGTACAATACAGATGGTGCAAAGAACCAGCGCAATCATGAATTCAAGAATCGGTAGCTACGAGTACTCCTCAGAGCTTGAGGAACAGCTTGTTATGCCAGCGAAATGAGAGTGCAACGGCAAACTTGGAAAGATAGGTGGGAGAATGGCAGGAAGCAGAGGGGGAAAGGAAGGGAAGGGAGGACTTGGTAACTGGGATGGGTAACAGCGATCCGTCCTCCGTGCAGTTGCTAGGAAATCAAGGTGGGTGCTAGAGCAATAACAAGCCAGCTGCAGGGCCAATGGTGCGCGTGTTTGTATGTGTGGTGATGGGAGCAGGCTTTTGGAGAGGAGATTGAAATGGAATGACAAAAGACCACCAGTGACCACGGTGATGCCACCACCAATATCCACGTCAGACATGGCCCCTTTGATTTAGGCGTGAGGAGATCAGATCACTCGTAGTCAGTGCAGAGTTGCCGGGCTGAGATCACAGAATTCACAGGGAGTTTGGCCCGCCGCACCCAAAAGCTGCTGCTCTCCTCCCAGTGTCGCCCTCTCCCTCCTACTCCCAATTCCCTCACACAACTTTGCTGTACCCGACTCCCTACTGCTACTCCTCTGCACTGGTACTCTCGCCTGCTCTGCGCTCTCTACTCATCCACATAGTAAGTACTATTCCACTATCAATATCTTCGTCCACTTGAATTTTCCACTTCACCACCTGCACCCTCACATCACTTGCGCATTTCTTTCCCGTCAAAACTCCCGTTCAAAATGCTCACGTACTCATCTTTCCACTGTGATTGCTGCTCCATCCGACCTCATCGTCGCCGTCACCTTCACTGCGCCATTGACTCTAGCTAATCACCACCACCCAGTCTTCAACCACCTCAATTTCTTTGACTCGACGCGTTTTCGCATCGCTGGTAAGTTGTTGCCCATGGCTGCAATGCATTGACGCGTCAAACAACGCGTTTTGCTCTCAAGGCGCGAGACTCCAGCCTACTTTCCAACCTCTGCTTGCTTGCACTACGCCATCATCACCTACCATTTGCTGCTGCCCGCCAGCTTCTTTGCAATCGCGCAGCTGTCATCCATCTCCCATCCTACGTTACGATCATTTTACCCCTTGTTCTGAAAGATTTCTACTCTCCTCTCAGCGCATGCCAGATGATCAGCGAACTGACCATCACGCAGTCAAGAAATATTCCAGAACCCTTGAATTCTCATATTCCACTTACAACACTTCAACATGCCTAAAGCCAGCGCAAAGACCTCCAAGTCTAAGGGACGTGGTGCTGAGAAGAAGAAGAAGGGTTGGTGCTATTATTCCATCACACTTACGTTCTGCTTGGCTAATGTTCTAAAGACCCCAATGCTCCCAAGCGCGGTCTTTCCGCTTACATGTTCTTCGCCAACGAACAACGTGAGAATGTTCGTGAGGAGAACCCCGGCATCAGCTTCGGTCAGGTCGGCAAGGTTCTCGGTGACAGATGGAAGGCCCTCAGCGAGAAACAGCGAGAGCCCTATGAGAAGAAGGCCGCGACTGACAAGAAGCGATATGAAGATGAGAAGGCCAAGTACAATGTGAGTCCCCATTAGCAACAATCCACCATTTTCTTCAGGACTAACTACGTATAGGCCCAAGAAGATGATGAGGACTCCGGTTAAACAACTCATCTTGCCTCATTCGACTGCAACGCGGTCTCGCTATGATGGTATTGAATTAGTTGGGGGTTTTCCTATTGTCTTCATGTCTGTTACCATTGGTGGGCTGGTCAAAGGGGTTCCGGAAAGACGTCGTCCTTGATTATGCTTCAACATGACTGAGAATGCAGTCTCTCGAACACATGGAAAACACTGAGTCGTTTATGATGAAGTTCGTAGGAGATCATGAGCACTGCGTCTGCATAATATGACGAGGCATAACTAAAACGACCTGCTGTATACTAGCTCTTGTTCAATGTGACATCTGCCACACTACATCAAATTTTTTATCGTGCCGTGTCTTGATCTCGGATAAAGGTAAGCCACGAGTAGCTCAAGCGGACTGACTCGCATTCGCCACGTGTAGAAGAGCCGCTTTCATTGAACATGTAGATTGTCACATCGACTTTGCCTAATCGTCACATTTCATTTTCGGCCCCTTTTGTGACTCAATGCTTGGCCATTTGCCTCAGGCACCAGCAAGGCGCAAGCCAGGCATTTGTTTTGACCTCTCCCAAACACTTAAAGCCTTCTTCCTTCCTCTTCTTCATCACAGTATTCTGGCTCTTAAAGACCTTCCATCACAATCATCAAATGTTGATTTTATCGCCTGACTTCCTACTGGCTTGGAATCCGGAAACTCTCACCGGTTAACTCTAATATGCACGACTGACTACGCATCACCTTATTGGTAGCTATCAGAGACGTGGCAAAGCAGATTGTCATGCTGGCTCACTAAATGCTAAACAGTGCCGCAAGACGCCAACGGATCTGGAGGTAGGTAATTGCAATGGAGACTTTGACAGTACACGTCGAACCCCCCAAGAGGTTTCGCTTCGTTGGTGGTTCTCCAGAGAGCCCGCCAACGCCTACCAGGTAGGCTTAGGCACCAATTTCTGCAGCCGGACGGATACCTATTTCTGTTCTACAACAGCAACAATTTCCCATCCGCGAATCTCCCAAGGAGAAAATTGCAACTCATTGGGGGCCGAGGTCATTTAAACTTGGTACAAAGCATGACAAGAATCAGCAAAGTGCTTGCAGTGGGATGGTCCATGGGAACCGAGAAGTGTAACAAATCGGCGCATGTCAGGCCTTCAGTAGACCATGCAGCAGCGGCAGCAAGCCATTGATCTAGCCTACTGTCCGCTTGACACGTCAACCGCCCGCATGAAACTCGTCTCCACGTATTACACGAACACTCACTAATACCGCCACTATTCTCATTTGCTTCCTCGCTCAATCTCAGCACAAAAAGAGCCTCATCATCAAGGTTTGTTCGTTTGGAGGTTCTTTTTCATCTTTCAGTCATCCCTGGTTTTACCATGAATGGAGTTAATACTCGACGGAGAGGCTGCTCGGGCCCAGGACATATCCGACATTCTTAGTTTGATTCGAGTCAACGATCAAGTCAACATCCAGGATCTTACCTTGTCAATTACGAGATTGAACAACCTCAGCTGGGCGCTTCGTGAACTCGCGGGCCAAATCGACGCCGCCAAAGGCAGGGTCTCCAGGTCCTTTGCCGATGACTTGACCCTTCTTCAGAACAGTGTCGCTTTTACTCTTCAAGATGTTTGGACGATCCTAGGAAAGATACCCAAAAACCCGACGGGAGGAGATTATCGGCGAGCTTGGAAGGATGTCGTGAAATATTGTGCCGAGATGGGAAGGCAGTCTCTTCATTTGCGACTCGAAACCTATCAGTTATTTATCTACGGTTTGTGTAAAGTTCTAAAAAGGTATGAACATCTCGCCGATCTCGTGCGATTGATGCTTAGAGCACATTTCCAGACAAGTGTATAGCCGAAGCCAGATCGACACTCTACGTCACGAGATCAACGACCTTCAATCACTCCAACGTGACAACAGACGCTTAATCTCTGCTACGGATGCTTTTGCTAACCTAGCTTTGGTTCCAGCCCAAGCTGGTACGGCACACCGCACGATAGTGAACAGATAGTTAAACTGACAATGCGTAGCAATCCTCCACAAACCACGATCTCAAGAACGCGTGAGGCCACAGAATCAGCGTCCTATGTCACCTACAACCTCCAACGACAGCTATGACTCTCTCAAATACCAGGTGGCCCCTAGTCCACCTACGGGTTCTCCCACGACCACATTTTCAACCACATTTTCAACCACCAGCCATGCCTCGAGCGTCGAGAATGAATCTAGTCACTGGGCTTTTCATATCTTCTCCAATCTACCTTCGACTCCATTGGAAGAATCAAACGACATGTAAGGAGCAGAGATGCGCGAACAATACAGACGAGAGCTAACAATACTCTATCAGATCCCGCTGCGTCATAAAAGACGGTGCCCGAATTGGAAGGAGCTGGCCGGAGAGCGATTTCGAACCGATACTCAAGTTGTAAGTAGGCTGTGGTGTTCGGAATCAATCGACATCTGACCACTCACTATAGGAAGTTCCCTGGTGGCCTCCGAACGACTTTCTTTTGGAGAGCTCGAGACTTTCGTTCCAAGATCACATGCGAGTGGATAGAGGGCAAGCGCGGGCAACGATGGTCTTGCATGGCCCTCACCGATTTGCACTTGAGGAGAAGTGGACCATTTCTCTATCTGTGCAGACCCACTCCTGAGGCTGCAAACACGGTCTGGGCATGCCTCAAATTCACCGCAATTGAATGTAAGCTTGCTCTGACATCGCCAGAACAAGTCTCTAACCATAGGCTCAGGGCTTGTTATCTATCATTGCACCTTCCTATCACTACGATCACACGATAGCAGCAGGCATGTTGGCAATGAAACGGACCATGATATCGCGGAGGAAAAGAGCTATTTTGCAGGGTTCGTGTGAACGCATATACATGATATTTCAATTAAGTTGCTGATGTGTTCAGTACCATTCGAGATAGCGGATACAAGCACGCTCTACGCCTATATCGTGATCGAAGTACCGATGCGCTTCGACTGGAAGCTGCCGTTTCAAAAGGCGATATGGAAGAGTACGCTTGCCCAGGTCTTTTCTGGCCTACTACTGATCCCTGTTGCAGTGCGCCCATCTGGACAGCCTTCATTACTCATTGTATCACTTCTCCAACCTGGTGTCGCTATCCGCAGAACAGTTCGACTGTATACCTTGCCGACTTGAGACGCCACGTCTTTTCTTCAGAATATACGCCCCACGTTGCAGCAAACGGGGAACAACTTCTCGATTTTGAGACGATTGAAGGTTGGTCGTGCTATTGAACCATGGTCGAGTCCATCACACTGATTTTCGTTCTAGATGCCGAAGACTTTGTCAGTACCATCGAAGACTTCGGCGAAGAGTATCGCAAGGCACCAAAATAGCCTTTGACGACGCTGATTCATGACCTAACGACCATAATGATATGACGATTCGATGATGACAAAGGTGGCTAAATTGTCTTACTTCATCTTGATTGTCTTTCCAGCATTAGCAAGCGCCGCAAGGAGGAGGTCTCGTCCTTGAATACCCGGTTTTCTTGTTGTTGATTGTTCTTCTTCAGTTCTTGGCCTGTCTTCTCAGCTCAGCCTTTGTGCAACTTGCTTCACGGATCAGCCACGAAAATTTCTGACATGTAGTTCCTGGGGAGCGCGTAGCTCTACGAAGCAAAAGCGCTTGCAGATTTTAATAAATAGGATTTCTTTGCAAATACGTGGTTTCACTGGCAGATAAGGATATTTCCCAAGCGCAAAAGTCTTGCTGCTGCATTTCCATGCCTACCCCAGATTTTAATGACTATCAATATCACAAAACCACTAATCACGCGTTCGGATGTCTCCATTGCTGGGGGAGAACTTTTGATGACTCTCCGGTCAAAATCCTGAGTTGTACGAAGGTAGCATAATGCCTTTTATCTCCAGACTCCTATAGGCGATCGGCAAACACGGCATCTTTCCCCGGGAGATCGCTTAGCCGATCCCGGTCAAAACTTATCGGGCTTCATCCGATCCAATCTTGCGTCATTTGGAGAACAAGCACTTTGCCGGGAGAATTCGTGCATGCTTAACGGTCGTCCTGTAACGGCAGGTAGGTGACTGCACGAGGCGATGACTGCGTCTCCGATCCCTCGACTAGTACATTAGTAAAAGGGTTCAGTGAATCATGAATTCGAAAACGCACCGGACCCTTCCCGCTCCTTACATTGTTATTACTCTGGACCATGGCCAGATTGTTCAATCATGGCGCAGACAAATTCAACACCGGCAATGGATGAGCAGTTAGCAACTCCGGCCCACCACGCAGGCATGCCTTCTCAAGATCTTCAAGACCATGGGAAGAGGAAGACCATTCAAGGAATCTATGATCGATTCACATACATACCAGCGAGATGTCGGTATGATCCGCAGAAACCGTTTGAGTTCTCCATGGGATTGAACGTGCTGTTCGGTAAGACTGGGAATCAGTTATCCGCATCTTTTGACGTATACACTGACACATGTTTTCAATGTTTCATAGCATTCGCAGGTTGTTTCACAGTAGCGAATCTGTACTATACGCATCCTATCCTTAACCTGCTAGCCGACGAGTTCAAGGTCACAAACCAAGAGGCCTCCTACATTCCGACTCTGGCGCAGGCAGGATATGCTGCAGGCTTGCTCTTCCTGTGTCCGTTGGGTGACCTGGTCAAGAGGAGAGCTTACACACTTTGGCTTGTTTGGTTCACGGCTACATTGTGGTGAGTGACCATGTGTCGTGTATTATTGCAAGAGCAGCAGCTAATGGGCGGTCAAGGATTGGACTCTGTGTGACAAAGTCATTTGCCCTGTTCGGAGCACTCACCTTCCTTACGGGCGCCACAACGGTAACACCTCAATTGATGTTACCGTTGGTAGGTGACTTGGCACCGCCTCATCGCCGAGCGACCTCCCTGTCAATTGTGGTTTCGGGCATGTTGCTAGGCATGCTCATCGCGCGACTCTTGGCGGGAATCGTGGCTCAATTCATCGGCTGGCGATACATCTACTGGATAGCATTTGGGTTGCAATATCTGATTCTGATCTTACTTTATTTGTTCATGCCAGATTATCCAGCCACCAATCCCGACGAGACAATCTGGAAGAGGTATCCATCCCTGTTGTGGGATATACTGAGGCTCGCGGCCAAACACCCAGTGATCGTCCAGGCGTGCTTGATTGGATTCTTCACCTCATCTTGTTTCACGAGCTACTGGACGACCCTCACCTTTCTCCTCTCTGGGCCTACTTATGGCTTCAACTCGGTTGTTATCGGCTTGTTCGCTCTTTGTGGCATGGGTAGTATGATTTGGGGACCTATCTTCGCCCGAACGGTCATGGAGAAACACGAGCCATTATTCTCCATCATCATTGGCGAGATCATATGCATAACTGGAGTCATCATTGGTACGTACAGTGGTAAACATACGATAGTTGGACCTATCATTCAGGGTATTTTCATCGACATTGGCAATCAGACAAGCCAGATTGCAAATCGGACGGCGATTTATTCCGTTGCGGCGAAAGCGAGAAATCGGGTCAATACGGCATACATGGTCAGCGTGTTCTCAGGCCAGTTGATGGGGACTGCTGTCGGCAATTCACTCTATGCATCTGCAGGTTGGTATGCTTCTGGCTCTGCAAGTGTTGCCTGCATCGTTCTTGCACTCATTATTTGCTTGATTCGAGGACCCCATGAGAAAGGTTGGGTGGGCTGGCATGGAGGGGCTAAAATGCGAAAAGAACTGCCCGACGCCGTGCCCCAGAGTGTGCACGATGAAGAAGCTGTGCAGGCAGACGGAGAAACTCACACGGTCCCGAAAGTTTCTGAGAAGGGCACCTGAGCATTCACTATGACGAGAAACCGCAATCGCATCAGGTTCGGCCATTGACAATCCCTGATCTTTTCTGCGTTGCAACTACCTTTCCTCCTGTGGTTCGAGTGATCTGTAGGGAAAGAATTCCAATACTTGAAAGTGCGCTTGGGTCAGTATTGACAAACACGTGCGCACAGCCTGATGCCCAAGAGGTAAGAAAGCAACCTTCAGGCTAATCACCAGTCTCAAATGATCCAGACTCAAGACACAGCCTTGTCTGCGAGGTATGTCGTGATTCCCTACGTCCTGCACACTGAAAAGGGGCCACCCCTTTCCTTAAAATTATGTTGTGGCAGACATTCTTCGCGAGCCTCGCGTTGGAATTCCGACCAAGATTTTGCAATATTCAATATCGCAATGGTTTCTCAGCTTCACGCGCTCTCTCGTTGACCTGCTATCGTACAATCGTCCCCGATCATGGCTTTGCACTTTCATTTCGCTAGATTGTTACGAGTTCCGGCTTTACTCCTTTCTTTTGTATATATTCAGTATGCTTCGGCTCTCACAAGTTCAACCTATCAGCTAGACGCTGAATACTCGGGAAATAATTTCTTCGATGGCTGGGATTTCTACACGGTGAGTAATTCTAAACGGCATCAATATCATGGTGAAGCCTAACAGTATAGGGCGGCGATCCGACTGGTGGTTTTGTCACGCAAGCGCCATACTTCCTCCTACCACCAGCGTCATGCTCATCTCTGGCAGATACTACAGTCGATCTTCAGCCCAGTTGGCTGGGATGATCAATGCAACAGATGGGCGGCCAGCATATATCGGCTCTGATTTCACCAGCCTGATCGCATCAACACAGGCCGCCGGCCGGCCTAGCGTGAGAATATCAACCAAAAAGTCTTGGACTCATGGCCTCTTCATCGGCGATTTCAAGCACTCGCCAGCTGGAGTCTGCGGTACTTGGCCTGCTTGTAAGTTGAATTCAAAAGCATGTTTTTGTATAGAAGCTGACTGCTTGCGCTCCTTAGTCTGGACTTTGGGACCAAATTGGCCGTACAATGGAGAAATTGACATCATGGAGGGAGTCAATCTTGTGAATCATAACGGCATGACCTTGCATACGTGAGAATTGAACCAGCCCGTCTGAGATTGAAAGCTAATCCAGCAGCACCCCCAACTGTACCATCGCTGGTGACCGGAGATTGATGACAGGCCAGCTTCAGACAACCAATTGTGCATACTATGTAGGTGTGGTCCTGCAACTGGTCTCACCTCCAGCTGATTGTGTGTAGCCAGGCTATAATGTTGGGTGTGGCGTTAGCGACAACCGGCCTTCCAGTTTCGGGACAGAATTCAACGCCATGGGTGGCGGCGTATACGCAATGCAATGGACATCTGAATACATCAGAATCTGGTTCTTTCCCAGGGGGCAGATACCAAGTGACATCGTTAACAATAGCCCCAACCCAAACCCTTCCAACTGGGGTCTACCACAAGCTCATATGCAAGGTGCTTGCGTGATTGATGACCACTTCCAATCTCACAAGATCATCCTCAACAATGCGTTTTGTGGCGAATATGCAGGGGCTGCCAGTGTGTGGAACTCAACTACAAACTCTTGCGCTACTGCCACCGGCTTCTCGACATGCTCAGCATATGTTGCGGGAGTTCCAGGTGCTTTCCAAGCATCGTGAGTCTAGTAATGTCAATGCTATGGAACAAGCTAACATAAACTCAGCTACTGGGAGGTGAACTCTATCCGAGTGTATCAACTCGTGGATACGAATTCTCCTTCCAATTCAACGCCCTATGTCGCAAGCCAGCAACCCACACAAGCAACCCAGATATCGAACAACGGGCCCGCCCCGACCCCGACTGCCTCACTTTGCCCGACATATAACTTTACCGTCGTACAGTCTGGCGCCCTCAAATATGAGATCGAGTGTGGTGTGAATCCTTCTGGTTCTGACCTACCCAGGCCATATTCGGGATTCGTGGTCAACTCATTCGAGGACTGTGTCGCGGGATGTAGTTATTATAATAATAACATCACCTCCAACATCTGCGGCGGCGTTGCGTATCAAATCAGCAACAAAGCTTGCTATTGGAAACGAAGTGTGGGAAACACACCTGCAAATCCAGCTTTTAACGGTGCTCGATTGATATACTACGCATATCCTCAGGTCACGGACAACCCGAACAGTCAAACATCAAGCAGCACCTCCACCCCCTTCGTCTCTACCAGGGTCACTCCACAAACATATGCCAACCCAACGGTATCAACATCTACTTCTCTTTCGCTCATCTCAGAGACACCAGTCGGATCATTTACTGATGGTGTAGGTAAAGGCGAGACGACAACCTCCGATCCTGGTCCCCCAATGACCACCATCGTAATTCCTCCCACGACCATGTCCACCACATCGACAACGCTGACTTCCACAATGCGGTCATCGTTATCAAGCCCTTCTCCGCCCTCAACTACACTCCGGGCGACCTCTTCCTCAATGAGTGCCTCCATCGCATCAAGCGCTGCTAACCCTAGTACAACAAGCAGTAGATCTTCGGCCCCCACAAGTGCGACATCAACAGCTCCATCGACAACGAGCCATGCTACGGCTGTAATTACGCCATCGCTTTCCAACACTTTCTTTCCAAGTTCTAACACCCCATATGTCTTCCCAACTTCACCAGTTCCCACGAGCACCTTGATTGTGGTGTCTAGCTCAACACTATCACCGCCAACAACTAGACCCCAGTCTTCGTTTAGCTCTTCACCGACAGCGTTGTCAACACAAGCACCTGTGACAAGTACCAGCTCTTTACCGCCACCGCCTTCCAGCCGAGGGCCCTCTACAGCAGTAGCTTCCACTACACATCCACCCTCATCATCTCTTGTGGTTCCGTCAATTTCAACAACGAATATAGACGCGACGAGTACAGCAATCAGCATCATTTCCAGATCGACAAGCAACAAAGTCTCGTCTGTCGCACTAACTACATCGGAACCTGTAATTCTATCACCACCTGGGTCGACTCAAGTGCCTCTAGGCTCCAGTACGGCGTCTTCGATCGGCCCAGCGTCAAGCAGTCTCTCAACACTCGCTCCAACAACCTCTCAAATCCGACCTCGATCCTCAACCACAACAGCTGTAGTGACACAGAGCAGCAGCCTTGAACCACACTCTAGTACCCTCGAACCCCCGCTGTCAACTGTTCCTATCAGTCCCTCGAGCTTGACAACGACGGGAAATGGGAGTCCGACTCCTACCCCCACTCTACCAGGTCCTGCGGTGGTAGATGATTTCCGCTATGCAGGATGTCTGGGTCCACGTCCAAATTCAGCATTCGGGAATTCGTTTGTGATCAACGAGATTTCCTTGTCAATGTCTATCAACGAATGTGTCGACTTATGCGGTTCTCGTGGAAATTATTATGCAGCCATTTATGCCACGTAAGTGTTTCCTTCCTTTTTCTTGTTGGACTTCCTTCCGCCAAATCTCCAAAGATATCAACCGCGGGTTCAGTACTGACCGACTCATCTTATAGGCAATGCTATTGTTCATCGTACAACGCAACCATTCCCAACCCGGAGGTTGATTATATCAGATACCCAGATTCTGCATGCAACACACCATGTCCGGGCAATCCATCTCAGAAATGTGGCGGCATCGCTATTATTTCATCAACCCAACCCTCCATATCATTGGCGCTACTGCGAGAGAAAAGGCGGTTTGCCACCGAGAATGAGGGAGAGTTTATTCTAGTCACAGTCTACAATAGCACGGCAGTCGATCTCGAGCCTGGACTTTCCAGCTCCAGCTCGACTCGAGCAGCAACAGTCATGGGTACTTCAAGCGGCTCATTGACGAACGGAGCAGGAATCGGATCACCCTCAAGTTCAGTTGTCCTAGGATCCTCTTCTCCTAGCACTTCAAGCACAAGCTTATCGGCAACGATCTCGACATCAGTATCTCTAGTGATCAATCCCAATCTCGGCAGCACAGCGAGCACCATGGCAACCGCCGATTCTCAGTCACCATCCTCTACATTGGCTCTGATGACAACCTTGACCATTTCACCTGCCGGAACCATCTCTTCGACAATACTACGGCCCACCGTGATATCGACAACCTGGATAACGATTTGCCCCATTCACCCTTCAATCTGTCCGACACCGACACCCACATGTCTCACCACGACCATCACAGCTCTTCACTGCGGATGCACTAATCTCCCAGAGCCGAGCGTCCCCATGACAACGACTGTCGTGCCATGTGGAAGGGCATGTCAGCCTGGCTCGAATGGATGGGACTCACCACGAGTTGAGAGCCACGACAATGGCAACTGGAACGACTGGCACGATGTTGCTAGCGCGGACGACCAAGAAACACTCACGACACTCACGATCCCATGCACAGACGACATTCAAGCATTGCAAACGAGCGTGGAAGCGTGGTACCAGGCTCGTGCCAGCTCAGGGTCAGGGTCAGGCCCACCAGGAGCGGATCAGATTCACCAAGCACAACCCTACACTTTCCCCGTCTCGTTCCCCTTGTCTGGGGCAGCAGGCGCGGCACCCACGACGGCAACATTGACACTCGCACTGACGAATGGTTCCTCCCTTTCTTGGAACAGTTCAGATGGCAGTGATGGCTCCAGTGGCACGTGGACTGCCGCCGCTGTCACACCGTCCTCCTCTGCCGCAGTGACCTCGAGCGTCCCAATGGGATCTGCTGCGTCGCTTCGCCTCCCTCGAATACTAGATAGCCCGGTATGCAGCATTGCCATTTTCCTTTATCTGGCTGTCGTGGTCATCTACTTCGCTTGATATTGTACTAGTGGAGGTATTTACGGTGCCCCTTTAGATACTAGATTACAACTTGTGTTTTTTAAGAGCACGACTCATTTGTTTCATGAATGGCAGAGCGTCAATATGCCGCGTCCGAATTTTGCTAGGTGTAAAAGGGGTTTCAGGATTCCGAACTAGGTTTGTCCTGGAAAACAATATGATAGATTTTGGGTATCTTGAAACTATGTACTTGCTGTTACGATGCGTGCGAAAGTGCTTCAAAGTCTTACAAGCTCGGATTCTCATGCATAATGCCCCGATTCTTTTCACGAAGCAGCCTCTTCAGGCGTCGTCCGGCGTGCCAGTCCCCTTCCTTCCAAGCATTTTCAGCACGGTATGCTCGTCGTGCAATAGCTTTAGACTTTAACCACGGCACGGGTCCCTGAGACTGATGACGGGGTCTTGGGATGCTCGAGATTGACTGCGTCTCTGCACACTTTCATTCACGTGCGTCAAGTCCACCATTGCCAATCCAAGGAAGTTAAGATAGCAGAGGCCGATCCTTACCATTCCAGGCACTTTCGAGCACCTTCTCACATGCAGCGGTCAAGATGAATCGTCTCATGATCACTTTGGTGCCGCCCAAAGATCTCGACCGACAGAAATAGAGAACGACCTTCTCGAGTATACTCCAGCAAATGGGCTCACATTCAAAGGGTGAACCTGGCGTATTCTCGCGTGGCGAGATCACGACCGTCGCAGTGCTGAGACATACCCAAGCCAGAAGATTTGCGGCGTGTTCGTCATGCTCTTCCAGGGAAATAGGCATCAGCTCATGTATGTATTTTTCAATGTTCTGGGTAGAGATCTCCCAGCATGGCTCGTCGGAGGATCCCGCGAGAAGGGTCATGAGAAGTGCAATACAACAAGCTCGCTCGATTTTTGATAAACCTACTTCGCCCAGGAGCTTTTGACAATACTGCACAACCAATAGACTTGAATCTGTGGCCATGCGTGGAATGTTCGTATCATCACGTGGGCTCGATACTTCGTGCCATTTTGTTGTCGTGGGATCGTCGTCATGAGAGTCTTCATTCGAGGTCGGAAGGTGCATATCCCGAACTCTGCTCAGAAGCACGATGATGTCCGACCGGAGCCGTTTCTGCAAAGCCAGGAGTCGGAAACCGGAGGGTATGGAGTCGATCAGCTCTCCTGGTGTGAGAATCTCGAGAACTGGCCGAGTCGAGTTCGCAGGGTCTGTCTGCTGGCAAAAATCAGACCAAAAGTACTCGAGACTAGATCAAATCAGCGTGCTACACGTCCGCATTGTGAAAGACTTCTGACCTGACGATGCTTGGTCTCAACAGCTTGGGCCAACCCAAAGCATCGACGCCGCCCCTACTTGAAACAATCCTCCTCAGTGCGTGGAGGTGAACCTGGAATGCCACGAGGTCATTCCTGATGTACTGATATTGCTCTCAGTACTGGTACTTGCAATCGAAAGTGCAATCCTGGGATTCAATCATACCTCAACACATATCAATGCTAGGATTGCAAATAGCGTCGCATCTTCCAAGTCGGACTCGCCATCATCCACGAGCTTCCGAAGCTTTCCAAGACATTGTCCATAATGGTACATGGTGAGATGGTCGACTTGACCTTGAGGAAAGTTGTTGAGGGCCAACCGTGCCCGGGATAACGTCACTATCGTCTCGAACATCAACGGATGTTGTAGAGAATAGCGAAAATAACTCCTCACGATTCGCATTCCGCCATCGGGCGTGAAGATGTCAGGGCGAATTTTATGGAAGGGAACATAGTAGTGGAGGACTTGTACCCTGTATCAGCAGCTTTCGAATCGAGCGGCATAACTGGTGTAGTTTACTCACAGTAGTCTATCGCGGCAGGTATACTTTCGCGGAACTCAATTGGGTACGAGTTAAAAGGGTCATACCGAAAGCCATGTCTATCTCTTGGGAGTTTAGTCGGTAGGAGAGTCGCGTCATACGGCCCAGGTGCTTCGGCCTGATGCGAGGGTGGCTCTTGGCAAATTGAATTGTGTTCTTGGAAATTCGCTTCTGATGCAGTCCATATCCCAATGTCGGTCTCCGACGTGCTAGTAGAGTCGTCTTTATGAAAAGAAATTGGGTCGGGAAGGGTGCTTTTAGGAAGTTTTATTTCCAGCTGAGAATGCTCAGATTTGGAGCTTAACCTGAGGCTCGAGTTCAGACGTTTCCTTTTATGGATATGTCGTTGGACGTGAGAGCCAATGATACGGCGACTGGGTCCCTGTCTGGCTCGATCATAATGCTGGTTGATGAAGAGCAATTCGTCGTGCACCTTGGCTTTCTGTGGCGGGGGTTGTAAGTTGGATATGTAGCCTGTGAGGCTCTTGGTGTCTCTGGTGGAAATTGCATCACCAGAACCTAGATCCATGGTCTTCAGTCCGAATGTATGCAGCGATCCCGCAACTTGAGATTGGATACGTGCATACTAATCAGAAAAAAATCCAGATGGCTCCTTGAGGTAGTAGTAATAGAGTGAATGACCAAGAGGGCGTCGCAATTCAACTCCCGAGGGGCCTCTCGATCCAACGGCCATCTTGAAGATCTGATATCTCGGTAAGCCTTTTCGGTTGTTAGCGGTGTAGCTGGGTGACTACAAGGTAATAAGTAAGTACTAGTAGCTTGCGTCAACGACTGGACCCTGGGGGCGGTTTTCCCACTTATGTGGACCGAGGTTGCTGCGCTGACTAACATCTAAATCCTCTAAGTTAGCAACTCAACGGCCTAAAGTCGCCCTTGCATCTCATTCCCACTGGATGACGGTCCCGAGAACATGAGTCCTCTGATTCTGATCTAAGCTAGTTGCAAGATTTGTACTGTTCGGACGACAATCGCGCAATCGCCAAGGCGCTCGCTCCTATTAATAGCATATTTGATTTCCAGGGCACTATCTTGTTTAGTACTTAAGTATCTAGAGACTTTTTCGATCCAGATATTGACCTGAAGTGTCTAGTGTTTTTCTTGGAAAGCGTGAATGCCCGGAGTAAGTATTCTGTACAGAAAGTCACCTCTAAGAGATAAATGAATTCCCCAGGGAGACGTCCCTGAATCGACGTATCAAATAATTAGAAGTCCGGCTAAATACTACTCTAAGGAGGATAGCATTAAAGCCTCATGAAGCAACAGCCAATATCTAAAAACCCAATTACATCCACTTAGGGCTTAGTAGTAGCCACCAACACCCCTCTCTGTTCCCCCCCTTGTTAGTCCTGGAACATTATCTGGAGAATGGTAGTACTTAAGTAAGTATATAGCAACTCCAGAGAAATGGACTAACCTACGAGTTACTAACTTAGCATTTTGACTTAGTACTTAGTACTTACTAACGACAACCTCGACTCGCATGATTCGAGCAGTCATCAGCTTCTTGAATCATCCGCACAAATTGGTAACACTTGCGACATCCGTCGTAGGCTAGGACATGTTTAGCTACGGTATACGTCTTCCTAAAAGCGGCCCTCGTTTCTCATTCCTTTGTGGCACACTGCAGCACAAACGACGCCACCTGACAAGCCCCCACCAACCAGGCCATCGTCTATCTTGGTATCAATATGGGATAGCTCAACGACCGTTAAAGCTTATCCTTTCCAAGTAGCCGTGGACATGCTCGGTCATCATGCAATGCAGCACGATGACAAGCCATACGAGGCTCTTTGAAGCCCAGACAGTGATGGTAGAATACTTTGCTGTATTCGACGACGGATATATATACGATTGAGATGGCATGAGAGGTCCATAAAATCTAGTACTGGTCCTTACAACTCAGGAACTTGAAGTAAGAACTCGAAGAATTTCTTGCACGCAGAAACAATCATCATGGCTTCAAACCCTCCATCAGTGGAAGACCTCATCTCCCGAAACAGGTATGTTCATTGCTGTGGGAAACCTCTCGAAGTAGGGCCAGCGTTGACCGGCGAAAAGCAAGTATGCTGAAGGCTACACCAAGAGCCATTCTGTGGACGAAGTCACACGCGGTGTTGTGAAATTCCCATCCGTCATCATTGGTACTTAGATCTCCACTCGTCGAAACCCGCTGAAGCCGGAGGACTCGGCACTCCGTAGCTGACTGTACGCAGTTTCCTGCTGTGACCCTCGCTTGATTCCAGAAGAATACGGAATATTCTCGCGTGAAGGTAGGAACTATGTTGGCTCGAGGTACTTAGTAATTTGTATCATGCAGGCTGATGGGTGACGGGCTAGAATACGTCGTTGTACGCAACGCCGGCGGTCGCGCTGAACCTGCGGTAAGGGATATCGTGATTTTGAGCACCATGACGACCATCACAGATGTTGTCATCATACACCACGTTGGTATGTCACCCGTTGCGATCAGGGGAAGCTCTCAACTTCAAGTTTCATCTCCAATTCTTGGGACTAGTACACAGTGTTTCATGCTAATACTTAGTATCTCCTAGATTGTGGCATGACACATTTGACCAATGCAGCAATTCGTGAGAGCCTCAAGAGTAGAGGTCTTGGAGATGACAAGGTCGACACTTTCGAGTTTGGCGAAATCAGAGAGTCAGTACTTGCTTGCTTCCCCTTGGTTGCTGGTCGATGTCCACGCTAACTTTCATGTCTACTAATTTCCAGCCTTGAACAAAGTGTACGAGATGACCTGAAGTTTCTTGAATCGTCACCATATATTGCGAAAAGCATCAAGCTGCATGGATATGTGCATGATATGCTTGATTCGGGCCGTCTGGTCAAGGTATAAGAGATAAATCATTGAATGCTAAATGCTAGTAGATGTCAGAACTAGTACTAAGAACTAAGTAGTTGTATGTATAAAACCTTAGCATTATAGCTGCTTAACACTACTTAGTATTCATACCGATTTAGGACATCGCAATACCATTAGTATATTAGTACTAGTACTGTACTAGAAGTACATTATGTAAGTACTCACAATTATACTGTAGTGTTCACTGAAACGTAGCACTAGGATTTTTCAATCGGGGAGAGTTCAGCCCGGCTGTCCGCAGGTTTATCGCAATTTCTGAGGGTGTACCCACCTTACAAGAGTTTACGACCAATCCACCCCAAGAGCTTTCCACAGCAGGCACAGGGAGCATGGCTTGTCCACTGAGAAATCCTTGCGCCGCAATGAATCTTGCGATTAATATTCTTCGGCAGTCGGTTTCTATAAAAGATGTTGTGGTAGCTCAGCTATCACTTGTCGACAGTATCACGCGGTTGATGCTAGAAATCGGCAAGGTCGCTCAGATACTTCTAGCACGGGACTGAGTAAGTATAAGTACTAATTACTCAGTACTAAAACTTCCTTCTTGAAGTACGTACTAAGTATATTACTACGATAGAAGGGTACTAGTAATTCTATACTATATGTTATGATTCGAACTGTTGCCAGTGTCTGACCAAGTTGGTTCCTTGGTAGGGTGGGTACTAGAGAGGTTTACCAGAGAAGTAAAGGGAATCCCTATTCGTCGGACTGTATCTAAAAGGTAGGGGTTAGATTGATAACGAAGTTGACTACAAATAGTCCTATTTAGTGTAATAACTATATATATATTAATTCCGTGATCTATATACTCTATTTCGCCTTGTAATAGAGCTTGTAGAGCCCGGTAAACTACCGCTCCACTAGGGTCGAGCTCTATATAGAGCATTTCTGGGCGATATAGAGTTCTTCCAAGTTTCGTGATAAGGCTCCCTTGTCTTCGGCGCACCTTCCCTCTTTCGCTGGCCTATACCGTATGACCGTGGTTACGGTCTAGGTGGTAATACTATATTTATAGTATTTGTTACTTTATGTATATAGAATAGCGTCTGAAAATACTAATAAGGACTTAGTACTAGCGATGATGGATCTATCTATGAGTACAAGTAACTATATTTCGACGTAAGTAGTACTAACAAATCTATAACTCAATAAAGACTAGTGTAAGTACTAAGTACTCAATACCTATCGTCTTAGAGAGGCGAGGCTAAAGATTACACAAAAATTACCTTCTCTAGTTAGTATACTAAGAAACCACCAACTAGACTACTACTTAATATTCTAATCCTCGGTACTACTACTTTAATCGTGGATAAGTAGATCTCCATTATATAGAAGCTACGTGTTCTCACTCCCACAGAGATACTAAGTTTATGCAGCTCAAAACTACTTAGTATCCATAGTCAAAATAGTACAGTCAAGATTTAACAATCAAGAGAATCTATCCTGCAACGATCTATGGCGGGTTTCTGCTGAGTCAATAGCACGACAGGCTCGGCCATGGGTGAGCCAGAGTACGAACGGCGTTTACGTACTAGTAAGTTTTTGGTAGCAAGTACGAAGTACTAAGTCCTTAACTGAATTCGTACTCTGTCGAAATGCGAAATGAACGAAAGAGACGATAGTATATCAAATTCTGCATTTTTAATCTTTGCTTAGTGCTCACAAGACAATGGAGACATGGAAAATGTCGAGGCTTCTGCGCAACGTTGGTCGGTCCTTTGTCCCTGCCTAACGAAGCATGCAACATACGAAGTTGCTGTAGTTCTCACAGATGGGGACAACATCCTTGAACCTACTGATCTATGATCTACTAGTGCACAATGGTGCCCGACCATTGAGAACAGTCAACCTGAGTCGCAGTGCCAATGGCGAGGCCAACACCATTATTACCGAAGAATGCAGCCTGGGCACCGCTATCACTGCAGAGATCGAAATTGACATTGGCGCCATATTGGTTGGTGCCACTGAGACCGTTCTGGGAGCACAAGGGATTTCCTTGCTTGGGGCACAGATTGTTGATCATGACAACGATGCTGGTTCCTGCGTTGCTTAACTTGTTTCCGGAGGAATCGGTTTGGCCGGTAATCTTCCAGCAGGTACCACAAGCAGGACCGGCGCCGGCACCAGGCCCAACGCCGAACAGATTCTCGCTGGCGGCGGCACTGAATCCTGGCCAGGTGTAGAATGCACAGGCAGCAGTGTTCGTATTACAGTTGGGAGATCCGAATGTGTCGCCAGCACCATAGTGGGTAAATGAGGCTTTATAGGTAATTCCGCCTCCTGTAGCAGGGCTTGTTGAGGTTGAAGGCTTGCTAGTGCTAGTCTTGGTGTTTGCCGGTGGAGTGCTGGACGTCACTGGCGGGGCGGGCTTTGACGATGTCGCTGGAGGGTTTGGTGCGTTGTTGGTCTGGAGGCATTGAGAATACCATGGATTCTGGACCACACAATTCCAGCCTGTCTGACATGTTGTGCCTCCGGTCCAGCTAATTCCACCGCCTAGACGAATTAGTGTTCGAGGAGATTGGGAGAGTCTGGGTACACACATTGCTCCCAAGGTCCTTGGACGGCTTGAGAAAGTGCTGGGCATGCAATAGCTGTCGCAGCAAAGAGAAGAAATCTGGTGGTGTGGTGCATCTTGAATGAGTGTGTGCTTTTGTTCCGGCTTGCGGAGTAGGATTTGAATCAATTGAGTTGATGTAACGATCGGAATTCTCGACTGAGCGTGGGAAAACGAATGACTGAAGACAACGAATGAATCTCGATCGACGAGGAAAAGAGTGACTGGATGCTTGGGAGGCTCAGGTAATGCCGAAGAAGGCGAACGATGGAAATATATACTAACATCTATCACCTACCTACCATCTGTGGATTTTGTTCCCAGCGAACGAATGAGCTCATAACCTCAGGGGACAAGGCACATACGTACAAACATGGGCTAAGTACCAAGGTATTGAGCGGCTTACCTAGATCCTTACCCCTGTCTTTAAGGCCGTCATCACTCAAGAGTATGATATCGCAACTTCCAAGCGAGATCTGTATTGCGAAGCCAGCTGGATTACCCTTGAACGAATTGTCGCACCACCATTCAGAACTCAACTCGAGTGCACACGTGGTACGGGTTGAGAAAGCACAGGGGTATGAGGTAAAGGGAGAGACGACCAGGAATTGGGCCAAAAGAGTGTGGTTAATTTTGGTCGAAATGTGCACAAGTGTATCGGTACCGGGAATTTGATAATTTGATCCTGAAATCTTCCAGTCGGAGGCCAGCCGGGGTTCATCCATGCTCTGAAACAGGCGGTGGAAAGGCTTATCCTAGATAGACGAGCAAGATCCCGCTAGGAAAGGCCCATCAACGTGTTTTTGTGGGCCACACCTGGCTGGACATGAAACGCTCACTTGTAAAGTTCATAGTTGCCATTGATCACAAAGTAGCTTATGCCGGCTGAAGTCTCGGTACAGTGATTATGTGCTCTCATGGATGGCATTTATGCAGCCAGTCGGTGATGCTCTTTCTTTCGACCAAGGCGGGTCCATGCCGTGGAGCCCAATTTCTGGAAACCGGATCTAAAGCTCTCAAAGAGTCCTTGCTCATGTCGCCAGGGCCAACTCATTTTCCTTTGGATAGTCGAAGACTTATTACTGCTGTGGTCTCGTGATGTGAGAGCATAGATGCAGTTCGCATTAGACCTAGTCTAGATCGATTGTACCGACATCTTCTATGTATCGTTTCTGTCTCGCGGAAGTGGTCCACCACAAGTAGCCTGATGTGATCCAAGTTCTCAGCAAGAACGAAAGCCACCCACAGTCCTTCTGCGTTTCCCAACCCCAGACGGACTCGTCATATGCAGCATCCATTCGTACTCTTCGTTTCTTCTGATATGCATCAAAGACTAGCTGCACGCCTTTTGGTTGATACTTCTGCAAAATACGAGCGAAGAGAATGGCGTCCTCGAGCGCATATGCCGTACTTTCACCTTGCGGGGGCATTGCGTGCGCGGCATCTCCGAGTAATATAGCACGCTTCGATGCCCAGTTGCCTCTGGGTGCGAGTTTGTAGACAGGATATAGGGACCAATGCTCGGTCGCCTCAATAAGTGGGTCGAGGAACCTGATCGCACTATTTCCAAATCGGTCATGCACATTTCGTTTAATGCTTTCTTGTTCAGATCCTCGAGCCTTCCAGCCCTCCCTTGACACGACGTCCGCGGTCTCCATGACCCCTGCTATGAATTGCTGCTTCCTGGTTGACTCGAGGTAGGAAGTCATGAGGCTTCCACGTTGGGACTGACAGAGGCCTGTATCTTGCCATGGGACCTTATCTCCTTCTGCGAGATATGCAAAGCCGAATACGGTGGCGATACCCGTGTACTCCGGTGTCCGCTCTGTGTCTACCAGTTTGGATCTGACGAAGGAGTGTATGCCATCACAGCCTATGAGTATATCGCCTGCGAGACTGGTACAATTGTCGAATGTGACGGTAATCCTGCTGTCATCTTCTTCGAGCTTGGTTGCTTTTAGACCATACTTGATATCAATGTTGTCCAGAGCCAATGCCGTCTCCGAGAGAGCCTGTAACAGATCCGACCGCATGATCCTAAGTCCTTTGAATGCGGGGTCACCCACTCCTTTGCCAGTGTTCCCAGTAAACTTGATTTCGCCTAGTCGTGCTCCTGTGTAAATGGTGAAGAGCTCGATTTTATCGATGTCGGCGCCATAGTTGTGTTTTCGGATGCGTGACAAGACTCCGAGGTGATGGAGACAGCGCAGTGCGTTCGGTGTCAGGCCCACTGCACCTCCGATGGAGGATGGCTCAGGTCGAACCTCGACGACGGTGATGCTTGGTGGCTCGTCGCTCCATTTCGACAACGAGATTGCCGATGCAAGTCCAGCAACACCAGCACCGAGTATTATTATCTTCATTGTTCAGTGCGCAGTTCTTTTGCTTTCTGTGTGTCTCTGCGATGTACTCTTCATGTCGCAGTGTAGTGCCGATTCTTCGATTGTTCGAGGCATCATAGCAGTCCTTCGTAGGCCTTTATGTAGAATTCACTTGGCCTGTGGATTTTCCCCCTTTTAAACAGTGCTCGTATGTCATGTGAACCAGTGCGTGTTCCTGCTAGCTGCGTGTCGAGAAGAGGAAGGTGGTCGTATTTGCGGGATTGTGATTGGAGGGGTGACCAGGCAGAGCCCAATTTCCAATGTTATATTCAACTGCGGGGAGCACTGCTGTTGCATCCAGCCACCACTCCAGTGCGAATCACGACGAACCGAGGAAACAAAAGCGAGAAGAGAGTGGTACAATAGCGGCCTCGTGATGCCGAAGTCGGTGATGAATTAATTTACACAGCTCTCTCTATCAATGAAACGAATGATCCACGGGAGCAGTAAGCCACCCAGGACGCCCCCCGACAGGCACCAACATTGGTACCTGAGTCTAGTCTACAATACCATGAACCCCGAACTGGCTGACTTCGAGGAACCTCGCCATGCACCGTCCGAAGAGGAACAGTAACCGTGTTCAATCCATACAAGGCCAGCACTCTTGAGTCATGAATCGAAAAAGGCCCAGCACACCCCGGCCGAAACACAATAGCACCGAGGCGATAACCACAAAAATGCCAGATCAACCCAGACCAGCTTTGGTGGTCTTGACAACGTGCTTGATAACATCAACACCTCCTTGATTAGTCGCACCAATTCCCATACCACTCGACCAGCCCATCCTCTCTAGCATAGCCCGGCCTTTGTTGTCCGTGCCGATTTCTGGAGCAGATGCACCAACAATGTCACCATTCATGTATGTTGCACCAGACATGACACCTCCACCACCTCCTCTCCGCACCTTCACAGAAGTGAAAGTTCGACCGCCGCCTTGCCTCGGAAAGTACTTTCTGGTGTTCATCAACGCATCCACTTCCCAAACAGTATCAATTGTGTACACTGGTGTGTGGGTTGTCTTTGTTAGGACCGGAAATCGACCGGTTGCTTCTTTGCCCTCCGAGCGAGAGTGTAACTTGAGCGCCTTTGCCAAGCGATGGACGGAAGCTCGCAAGGTAGAATCCATTGGGGCCAGTCTCAAAGTGTCGACTTCCTGTGCTAGAAACTGTCTGATTTCAGCCTTGATTGCACTAGGGTTGCTGCGTTCTGCTGCCTCAAGGAAAAGAACCTCACGCTCGCGCTTTCGGGCAGCTTTCTTCTCGCGGTCGTTGCTCCAGGCATTCTGCAACTGCGCGGCAAGCTCTGGATCATCCACACCTAGCTCGAATGGTAGATCTTTCATGTTGCGCCCCTTCCTCTTAGGTCGGAGACTGGGACGATCGAAATCCATAATGTCGAATGCGCCATATGGATCTTGTTCCAGTGCATCAGCGAAGGCCTCAGCAGGTGGAAAGCTGTCACGAGTCCGCCTATTGCGTTTGGATTTGACCCGGCTCGAGACATGCTTCTTGGTTGAGAACGGAATGAAATCTGCCTTGCTAAGGAACTCGTCGTCATCGCCAGCACCGTCAATCTGATCATCAAACAGCAAGAGTTCATCTCCGCCGATGCCGAGCTCTTCTTGTTTAGCCAGCGCACGAGCAATCTGTTCATCTGTCATACGAGCCGTGTGTTTCAAGATACGCTCATTCTCGGCGTCCTCTGACTCGATATCATCAATCAGATCCTCAAGGCCATCGTCCGTACTTTCTTCGTCCACTTCGTCAACATCAGTATCGCCACTGGTTTCTTGTACCTTCATAGCACGTATTTCTTCGTAGATACGGATTTCAGATCTGGCTGTCTGAGAAATCAGCCTCTGGCGTGAAACCCATTTCGCATCACTTGCGGTCTGACCGATTGCAGTAACAAGATACTGTTGACCAGTTGGGCGGTCTCTGTGTCGTAAAACCTGGGAGATCTCGTCCACATCATCATCTGTGGTGGGTAGATCATCGAAATCACCAAGATCAGCTGAATCCCAATCGATAGCTTGATCAATACCGAGAAATGGACGGGTGTTGGGATCTCGTAACTTCGTTTGCACCTTGACATGTGTTTCTGCAGAACCATCATAGAACCTGAAATGTTCCTTGACCCCAGCTGCAGGACCGGACTTCGCACCGTGGTCATCTCCATCATCGTCATCGTCATCGTCGACAGCCATGTTTGCGATGTAGTCTTGCATGATGGCTTCGTCACTGTCGGAGATGGGCTTCCGAATTTTCGGCCTACCTCTTCGGTCGACTGCACGTCTTGGATATGCGTGTTTCTTCACTGGTACTGACGGCGAGGCAGCCCTCACGACTGGGGGACTAGACGGTGTGGTGTCTGCAACTTTACACTCTGATTTCGGAAGAGGAGAGTGGCTTGGTCGTGACGAGGGTTTTGAGCCGGTCACGGGAGTCAAGGTGGACTTCAGCCGACCAGCGAATACAATCTCTTCTGACACCTCTGACGAGAATGACTCTCTGTGTTTCGTTGGTTCTTGTGTAGACTGTTCAGGTTCGTCGACACGGTCCGAGAGTGCAGCCAATCCTAAACGTTTGACGATTTCGGCCGTGTCTTCCTTGTCGTCTGGGATGTTCTGCACTGCAACTTTATCTCGATCATCTATTTCTTTGCCTATAGTTTCTTCTACCTCTACCTCGGCCTCCTGCCGAGTCAAATTGCCTGCACTGACAAAGAGGACTCTTTGATCTCTGAGTTTTGTGTTACCCCAACCAGCATGACGTTCGGTGTTGCGGGCTTCTTGGGACATGCTAAATCCACCACGAGGTTTTGGATCAGAAAAGTCTTGCCAATCGTTGGATGGAGGGGGTCGATTGGAAGGGTTGGGTCTCTTGCTCTTTCGAGCAAAAGCTCGCTGTCGGGCCCCCATCTGGCGGGGTGTGAAGTGGCGGTTTGTGTTCAGAATCTGTTACTCTGTCAAACGAGGGGTGAAAAGCTCTCTTAAACAGGACGCTTGATTGATTGTTGGCAGTATGATGCAAGTGATATGCGAAACCAGTACTCAGCACTAATACACGCCATTATTGAATAACATGATCGACTCTGTGTCAGGAGGAGTCACGAACGATGAAAGAGACGAGACAAAGTGACTGAGCGGTTTCAATGACGATCAAATTACTAAAATCAGACTAGTCCAATGCGACAAACGCTAACGAGATCTAGAATCCACTAAACGCTTGGCAATGACTCTGAACCCCCGGAACAACCTGACCTTCCGTTTCCAGGCGCCTCCCTGCGCATCATTCCCTCTTCGCCGCCCGCCTGGCAAGGCTGACGTCTTCCCATCGATAACCTACAGTTCAAACGAAACCCAGGCTTACGGATCCAAATCATCGTTGTGCCTCTATCATTCAATCGAGGACATTGGAACTCCTGGGTTCTGAAATTTCAAACTCCGTTAGCAGTATTCCACACATCCCTAACATCTTTCAACCCTGGAAACCCTCCGAGCTCTATTCTACCACCCCCATCAACTGACCGCTACTGGCTACCTCCCACCAAGCCTCGAAATCCAGGAGTCATCGAGTTTGACAGGAGAACCGACCACATACATTCTGGTGCAGGGTTTGGCTTCCGGTCACAATCAGCAGCACCAACTCAATCCAATCGACTTGCTGCATGCGTTGTCCAATACTTTGCAGACCCTCCCCGTTCAGGGCATCATGAACGGAGTTGACTACAAACGCTTCGTGCGTTATTTTTACGACCCTCCGCCCAAGTATGATGACATGTCCGGTACTCCAGTGTGGCTACTAGGAGAGGAATACAAATCCACACCACCAAAGCCTGTTAGTACCACGGATCATGATGATGTCGTTGAGGTCGAGTCATCGAACGAGTCCCACGACCCTTCAGATATCAGCGAGTCCACGGCAGCCGAGATACAGCCCCAACAAACACAAAACACTAGCAGTGGCAGTTTCGATGATGCACAACATGTCTCCGGTAACGATTTACCTTCGTTATCAAATGATCCTGCCGATGGTGGGTGGCCACATGCCTTTTTAGATGACTTCGAGTCTCGAATATGGATGACCTATCGATCCAATTTCACTCTTATCCCCCGTTCACAAGATCCTTCCTCAGGCTCCTCGATGTCATTCTCCGTGCGACTTCGCAATTTGACTGAAAGAGAAGGGTTCAGCAGCGACACAGGTTGGGGATGCATGATTCGGTCAGGACAATCACTACTGGCCAACGCTTTAATCATGATACAACTCGGTCGTGAATGGAGGCGGCCCCAAGCGATTACAGCTCCATCTGCAAACACTTCCACCCCAGCCTCCTCGCAATCTGAAGCCCACATTCTCTCGCTCTTTGCCGACTCCCCCGACGCCCCCTTCTCTATTCATCGATTTGTCCAGCACGGTGCATCCGCGTGCGGAAAGCATCCTGGGCAGTGGTTTGGCCCATCAGCCACGGCCTCTTGTATCAAGGAACTCTCCGCAGAATGTGCTGCGGCAGGTTTACGTGTATATGTGACACCGTCGGCATCGGAAGTCTACGAAGATCGTTTCCGCACTATTGCGGCCACAAGCGCAACCGATGCAACCATCAAGCCGACGCTCATTCTTCTGGGTATAAGGCTCGGGCTTGACAGAATCACACCTGTGTACCATGAAGCTCTCAAGAGCTCTCTCAAATACCCACAATCAATTGGCATAGCAGGTGGACGCCCCTCATCCTCCCACTACTTCATTGGGTGCCAAGGGGACATGTTCTTCTACCTTGACCCCCACGAGACCCGCGCCTCTCTCCCATTCCACGCCAATGCATCAGAATACACAGAAGAAGAGATCGCAACCTGCCACACACGTCGGCTGCGAGGCCTACGGATTTCAGAAATGGATCCGAGTATGTTGATCGGATTCTTGATCAAGGATGAGGCAGACTGGGAGGACTGGAAGCGGAGGCTGAAGGAAGTCAAGGGCAAGGCTATCGTCAACGTATATGACAAAGAACCACCGGTACCTGGAGAGACGAAGGAAAGGAAAGAAGCCGTCGATGAAGTGGAAACATTTGACGATGAAGACGAAGATGATGAGACCGTCACGGTCACAGGTAAGGAAGAGGCCGAGGCCAAAGCTGAGGTACTAGGTCCGGTCTCTGATGCACCTGCTGCGGTCACCTCTGGCTCCGCCCAAGCACCCGCTATACCTCCAGCCACGGAGATGAAGACGTGAGGAATGAATGAACGACGGATGAGTATAATTTTCTGAACAGGATCACGTTGGGGTGTTTGGTTTCCACTTGGTCGCGCGCAGACAGGACTGCAATGCAATATAGGTATCAATCATATCAGGTTCATTTTGTAGAAGGCAGGGGAAAGTCGCGTGATATTCCCCCTCTCCAGTTTCCACAGACACATTGAATTCCCGTAGCTCAGTTGCAACCGACCCCTTCAGTCACACAAACCGTATGTCGTCTATCATACCACCTAGTATAGATGGTCATCCTTGCCTTGGCTTGCAAAGCCGGTGGCCGTTGAGTTCACGTGTCAGCCCAGCCGCCGCCCAAGGCCATCTGGTCGGGTGGGTGGGGAGCAGAATGCGCGTGCCAGTGCCACGCCCGCCTCGCCCGCCTCGCCGCCTCGTGGTGCTAGCGCGTCATCGTGGCCTCGACGCGTACCAAAACAAATGAATTTCAATCACCACCCGAATACTTTGTTGGAATTTGATGTGCCAGTGCTCTCGAGTCAAGTGTTTACAATGTTGTAATCTACTTTGGAAAAAGGAAAAGGATTGAATGTTTAGAGTCATTTTGATTTCATGCTTTGGATTTCTGTAATCATATCCAGACCTGCTCAAAAGGTCAAAGCTGGAGTATGCTGTGCTTGTCATGCCTTGAGCCTGGTGAAATAATTGTACATATTTCCCACCATGTCAGATGAAAAGCAGGAAAAGGCTCCTGAAAGCATGACCATTGATGATTGATGTGATGAATAAAGGCAGGACTCATGTCCATGAGCTGCAATTCATCTCGGTATTTCCCCATTCCCATGACGCATCATAAGTAATTGTGTTCTTCAAAACCCATTTAGAACACCTGTGATCCGATTGTGCCTCAACCCCATTGCATAAGAAATCACACACGCAAAAACCCAAGAACCCGAGTGACGACCCCCATGTTGGAACCCTCCATGGCTGTGTCACGTTTACTTGCTTTGGGAAGAGTACTTGGTAACAGCCTTGGTGCCCTCAGACACGGCGTGCTTGGCAAGTTCACCAGGCAGGATGAGTCTGACGGAGGTCTGGATTTCTCGAGAAGAGATGGTGGATTTCTTGTTGTATGCGGCAAGCTTGGAAGCCTCAGTGGCAACGCGCTCGAAGATATCTTGATGAGAAGTTAGAAGATGAAACAAGATCAAACGATTTCAGACTGAACTCACCATTGACGAAGGAGTTCAAGATGGACATGGCACGGTTGGAGATACCGGTATCGGGGTGAACTTGCTTGAGAACTATGAATGACGCGTCAGTATGTGATAAATGCGATGAATCAAACGCGATAGACTGAGGACTCACCCTTGTAGATGTATGAAGAGTAAGTCTCCTTTCTCGTCTTGCCTCTCTTCTTCTTCTCTCCAGAAGGAGCGGCGGCGGTCTTCTTGCCAGCTTCTTTCTTCTCAGCGGGAGGAGCCTTAGCCGGGGCCTTGCCACCGGTGGTGGGCTTCTTCTCAGCAGCTTTTGGAGGCATTTTGGATGATGGAAGTGCGAAAACGCGTAAAGGTGATGAAGATGAAGATGAAAAGTGATTGAGAAGTAAGAGTGAACTTGTGAGTGAGTTGTTGTGGATGGATGAAGAGAGAAAAAAGAGGAAGTCGCGAAGTGCGGATGGAGGATGGTCTTATACCAGGCGCAAGTGGGAGAGGGAGGTGTGGGTTGATCAGAGAGAGCGAGGTGCTCAGAGGCAGGGAGGACGGGTTGATCTGGGTAACGGACTTGGATCAATTTCTGCCTGTATTGTTATCGTGTCGTTTTTGAGCACTTTTGGTCCAATAGATATGCAGGATCAGTAGTCTTGGCAGTAAGATATCGTACGGCCGCGTATGACATGGGCGTATTGTAAAACACAACAGAAAGGTCAGTTTTGATCATCCACAAGCGCCACCTGTGATTGGCTGCAGTGGACTCAATGATCCAATAATTCGTGATTCTGATTCTGATTGTGATTCTTCCCTCCCAGTAGCCCCGTTCTCCGTCTACTGCAGGGTTGATCTGGAGGCGCGATTCTGCTCTCCCACTGCCCGCATCGCCTGCCTGTCCATGTTCTTATAACTTGCTTCCCTCCCACCCTCTCGTCAACGCCTTCCTTCCTCTTTTCTCTTCATCCATCCTCAACCAAGCATTCATCACTCATCAACTCACGTCTACCCAGACTAATTCCACTCTTCTTTCCCATCCCAAACCCCAATCCAAACAAACTTCATCAAAATGACTGGAGGAAAATCTGGCGGCAAAGCCTCTGGCTCAAAGAGCGCTCAATCGTAAGTCTCCCTCGTGCGCCTTCAAAAGAACGTGTTTCATCTTGGTCCTTTCCCTTGGATGACGCGTCTTCTGAACCCATCCACCTTCTCCATCCACAACCAATGCTAACTACATTCACAGCCGATCCTCAAAGGCCGGTCTTGCTTTCCCAGTCGGTCGTGTCCACCGTCTCTTGAGAAAAGGCAACTACGCTCAGCGTGTCGGTGCTGGTGCTCCAGTTTACTTGGCCGCTGTCCTCGAGTACCTGGCTGCTGAAATCCTCGAACTCGCTGGCAACGCTGCTCGTGACAACAAGAAGACACGTATCATCCCTCGCCACTTGCAACTTGCCATCCGAAACGATGAAGAGTTGAACAAGCTTCTCGGACACGTCACAATCGCACAAGGTGGTGTTCTGCCCAACATTCATCAAAGTGAGTTCACCTTGTCTGGTCCATCCATCCACTGTGCTAACATTCATTCTTCCAGACCTGTTGCCCAAGAAGACTGCCAAGGGCAAGAACCCCAGCCAAGAGCTATAGGCTTGATTTGGTTTCTGGAGCGGGTATTCAAAGGGAGTTTTCATGACATGCAATCGCACAATGGGGTTATGGGGTTGGGTTTGGTCCTGGCAAACAATCGGGCCATTTCAGACTTTGCTTTACGGTTCAAGGGTTGTACATTACATCCATGCTTAGTATCATCATGATCATGGATAGCAGTGCAACACGGGGTATGAGGAAATGCGAAAGGCAAGGCCGACAGGCTTTGCAATCTGGATCATCAGAGGCAACTTAGTCAATGATCCAATGTCAATGGCAAAACAAATCATCAAAGCACTTCTTCTCGTTCCATCATTTAGTATTCGTGAAAATTCATCCTGAGTTCTTTGAACGAATAGTCTCTTTAATGTTCAACCTCGACATTGGAGATTCTTGCAAGTCTACACAGACACGTCGAAAAAGCAACGCGAGTTCAAAGGAGTGAATCATCCCCCATCGTTTTGTCTGAGAACTGTAGAACAATTGGATCGTTCGCAAATATATTCGAACACAGAGCGAGTGAGATAAAGTCATCAAATGCAAGGTTCAAGAAGAAAAGAAGCTCGTGTAGCAATCGTGGCATCTGGGAACCCCGGTGACGTGCTATCTTTCTGCAAATCGCGTTGCCCGATATCTCCGGTCCTGAACCCAACACTCAACGAGGGCGAACCTATTAAGATGCACTGAAGTCTGGAGGCAATAAGTCTCAAGCATTTTCGCATTTGTGCTTGGAACAAGCCATGAGTTCTACCGTGGCCGTTCGATCATTTGCTAATATGTACAATCACAGTATGATCTGTTTCCCCTTGCTTCCTTCATAATCTCTTAACATACGCCCTTGATGGAGGAGGTATGTCTGGTGCTGGGAGATTTCTTTCATACTTCGAACCTGTGCAACGATGGTCAATATAGATTCGTGGCAAGGGTTTGAGGTTGGCCTTGATAAGTACCTCCAGGAGCCGTTGGTGGCCTGTATGGATCGGGGTGCTTCCATTTTGCTAATAACTTTTCTGTCTCATTGAATAATATCTGGTTGCACCGACGCGTCAGAGAGCTTCGAACATTCACAAGGCGGTACCCGTACTCTTTTATGTCTCGGATCATTGATGTTTCGGTTGGCATCGAATAAGGAGCGAATGTAGACCGCTTGGCCTCGCCAAAGATTCCGCTGCACGGCCCAGTCGAGGGCAAGCTTTAAAGACCGTCGGTACAGAGACCTGTGCAGTTATGGTCAGTGATTTCACAGCTTCCAGGAGGATGGAGGAGCAATACCGGACTGCTTTGACGTGAGGAGAGACGGCAGACATGACGTCGTGTCGCAGGCGCTCTCGCGCTCAAGGGCAGGGAAATGAACGTCCTCAGACAATGGCTGGACGGATTCGTAGGTTTCCGTCTCAGTCGCAACTCCTCGAAGGTAGGTGGCGGTGGTTTACAAGCACTTGATGTGAATCTGTAATTCCTGCAAGTCGATTGGAAGTGAGGTTTGAGAGTCAAGGCATGGCTTGGCGGACGGTACAGACAGAGCTCTTTAGTGGGGACTAACGTCGTAGGCACTTACTAACTGCTCGAAATAATGGCACAGAGCAGGCTTTAGAGCAACTAAAGCGTCAGTCGGTGTCGCCTAATATGACTTAGGGGCTGCAGCTCCTACCTAAGGAAACACCCAACTGGGGCTTGCATGGTGTCGCTTCCGCGGATCCAGTTTGGCAGAGCAAAGCCACTGGGCACTCACAAAAGCTCTCCTAAGCTTGCCCTTCTCCGCCGCAACGTTCCAGTTCGCGAGCAGTATCCGCGATTATTGAGACTGTTCTTCCACTCTCCCTTCCCGTCTATATTCCTACTCTTACATTGCGCTATTGTGCTTTTTCTCTCCTTTGTCTTTCAGCGGGCGGGCATACCGCCATCTACACCGGCAGGACAAAGCACTGCGCCGTTGTGAAGCATTAGCGGTTGATCGTCCTCTGACGTACATCTCGACCAGCTGTTCAAGATATTTCCTCTCAACATGGCGGCTCTTCGACTACGACGTGCCCCTACGCTTGGTTCTGGAATTGCACTTCCTAGACGTACAACCTCATTACAACTTCGTTCACTCTCCCTACTAAGATCGTCCTCGACACCCAGGCAAAAATGCCTCACCAGCTCCCCACTCCCTGCCGCAACTACATACACCTCCCTATCACGTTTCCAGCAATTCAGCACCTCTCCTGCCCACTATGCAGAGACCGTGGTCAAAGTGCCACAAATGGCAGAGTCCATCTCTGAAGGAACGTTGAGCAGCTTCTCAAAGCAAGTTGGAGACTATGTGGAGCAAGATGAAGAAATAGCTTCGATTGAGACTGACAAGATAGATGTCTCTGTCAATGCTCCCCAGGCTGGCACAATAACGGAGCTCCTCGTTGGTGAGGGCGACACTGTTACTGTCGGACAGGAAATCGCAAAGCTTGAGCCTGGTGAGGGTGGCGGCGGCGGTGCCGAAGAGGCCAAGTCAGAGCCCAAAGAACCCGCCTCAAAGGACCAGCCCACGAGCTCGGATCCAGAACCTAAGAAGGAAGAAAAGAAGGATGATACTCCACCCCCACCAAAGAAGGAAGACAAACCTGCACCTCCGAAGGAGGAAAAGAAACCTGCTCCACCCAAGCAAGAGAAGAAGTCCACCTCTGAAGACTCAAAAGCTGGTATTGATTCACCATTTGGTAAGGGCAACAGGAATGAGAACAAGGTAGGTCCTCTGCTGTCTATTGTTGGTGAATAACCGTGCTGAATCAATCCAGGTGAAAATGAACCGCATGCGGTTGCGAATCGCAGAACGACTGAAGCAATCTCAAAACACTGCTGCTTCATTAACAACCTTCAACGAGGTCGACATGGGAGCTCTTATGGAATTCCGTAAGAAGTACAAGGACGAGATCTTGAAGAAGACCGGCATCAAACTCGGCTTCATGAGTGCTTTCGCAAAGGCAAGCGTGTTGGCTTTCAGAGACGTTCCTGCGGCCAACGCGTCGATCGAGGGACCTGGAGGCGGTGACACTATTGTTTATAGAGACTACGTCGACATCAGTGTGGCTGTTGCAACTCCCAAGGGTCTTGTCACTCCCGTGGTACGAAATGCAGAAAGCCTTGAGATGGTCGAGATTGAGAAGGAAATTGCTGAACTCGGCAAGAAGGTACAGTTTTCTTCCTTGACCTTGGATAAACTGGACAACAAAACTAACCTCTACAGGCACGAGATGGCAAGTTGACCATTGAAGATATGGCTGGCGGTACATATACCATTAGCAATGGAGGCGTTTTTGGCTCCATGATGGGTACGCCAATTATCAATCTTCCACAAACCGCGGTGCTCGGCCTACACGCAATCAAGGAAAGACCTATGGTCGTCAATGGCAAAATCGAGATCAGACCTGTGAGTAATTCCACCGCTTCATTTGACTTCGACTGACCCTGTGGTAGATGATGTATCTTGCTTTGACTTATGATCACCGTTTGCTCGATGGACGGGAAGCAGTGACCTTCCTGGTCAAGATAAAGGTAAGCATGAAATTTTCATATTTGGTTATCTTTTCACTAATAACAATGTCAGGAATACATAGAGGACCCATCAAAGATGCTGTTGGCATAAAAGATTTCTTGGCTAGTGCTTCATCTGTACAGAACTCAGCTACCAAAATCAATCCATGACGTGTATCACCTTTAAATTATACATCCTTGTTCATATTAGTGTCTCGTGTTTAATGAACTTTCTACGTCTTCCTCTCTTCTCGTGCTAATGGGTGCTGAACGAGGTTCGTTACCCATCTTATCTCGCCTTCAACCACAGTTTTGATCCTCTCACCGTGCCTATATTCCCAATGGGGTGAACATTATGGTAGCGATGGTGGGAGAGGCCTCCCCGTCAACAAAAGATTGCATTCTTGTGAGGTTTCACTACCCATACTATATGAATCAAATGGTAGCGATGGTCGGAGTGTATTCCTGCCGTGCAACCTGATGCTCGCCCCCTTTCTCCCTTTCGAGCGAGTGACTACAGAGTACTTGGTAGCTATGTCGCGTGTCGAAATTCCCAGTGTACCAACTAGTATCAGGTACCTTGCAAGCATAACGGTTTGCAGGAGTTGGTACATACATGTTTTCCTACTAAATACTAAGTACTGATTGCTTGGTTCTTTCCTGGCACTTGATGAAATTGGAAATTTTCCCGGCGAAGTGTATGCCTGGCTACTTATTATGCAGGATATTTGACTGACTCCATGATCACTCGGGTACCTATGTAGTATCTATCTAGTGCCTGGTGGCAGAAAGATAGCTGGTCTAAAACTGCTCACTGTGGTGGAATTTACATGAGCAAAGATTACCTAATATATTTTCGGGATATCCGAAATTATATTCACAGTTCTCTCCAGCATCATCAGCCAAACCCGTTAGTTTCTGATCCCCTACCACATCTTGAAAATCCGAAGTGAAAGTCACAGACGTGCAGAGCTCAGGTTATCTGCAGGCAGCCCTAGAGGCAAAACTCCAACGAGTTTCCTTTGTTCCAGTCACTGCACCATATCGTCAGAAGGTGTTTGCCACGTTGGAGCACGCTGATGTCAAGTCCTGTAAGTTACTTATATGCGAGCACTACCTCCACCAACTTGAAGATCTCTCGAGAGGCAAACGGCTTTCCTCCAGCCTCTACTGGCGCTGTAGCGTACGCCGGGCACAGAGTCTAACATTATATATATATATATATCTATACTGTTTTTGATGGCACCCTCGTCCTTTGTTGACCTCATTGTTAGCTCATGACTGGCACTAGCTCCATGGTCGCTCGCCAAGCGTGTCATGGCAGCATAAGCAAACAGGGCTTGACACAAAAAGGATCGTTACCATCAATACCTAGTACCATCTCATCAAACAACTCGACGTTGGATTCAACCAACCTGAAGTTATGGACAAACAGATTGCGGGGTTGTCTAAAGATGTTAACGTACTTGGCCACGAAGAACGACAATGGCGGGAAGCTCTTGAAGAGAGTCAAGCAGAAGTAGCATATTACTATCGCACAGGTGGCTGACCTCGATGAGACTAACAAGGCGATTGGGAAAGCGTTCTTGGATCCCACTCCAAACCGACAATTCTAGAATTCAGCCTACTAAAGACCATGAAAGCCTACCAACGTCTAGATTTCGATCCTGACAATCCTCGATTCTCACACATGCCACAAAGTCTACAACTCATTAAATGCCAGGCCCTAGGCTTGGACTATGCTAGAAATGCACAAAAGACAGGTCCCAGTGGATGTATCCCGGGAGACTGCAGGGGAATTGACAAGACATTCACTAGGACCGTCGAACCACACAACACCTAGAGTGTATGGAAACCTGTCTCAAGCCAGAAGAGTGATAGGTACTCACGGATGCAGAAGATTACGTCGATGAGTGCAATAGCCCAAACCAAACCAATTGGCGTCCTTCCCCGAGTTCCAAGTTCTCCGGGCGGTCCAGATGGTTCCCCTCGAAGACTTTGGTACCTTTGGCCCTTCTAATGAAATTCCACGTCGACTAGCCGAATGCTTGGACCGTGAACGAATCGGGTATTCTTCAGTCCCAAGAGACAACCCGAGCCGTTTATCTACAACACCCGCGAGTTTAGCAGTGGGGAGACCGCTGGCTCCAACATATTGACGCTTGGCCTGCTCCTCTCATCGCCCTGGAAGCATGGGGTTGGTTGGAACACGAAGAAGTTCAGATCACAGTGCTCGGCCAAATTGCCCGGTCAGCCATTCAAGTCCTCCAACTTCTGGCAGTACCATTTCATGTCCATTGCAACGGATTATCGTTGATACCCTCAAGCTTTCATGATGTCGATCATGGAGGTAGCCTCGCAGGAACGATATGATACGCGTGACGAGCGCTAGATTTTGAAGCTGCTGCTTGAATACATGGACATATATCCTGGAAAGTGGTCTTATTCGTCCATCAACCAGGGATTCGTTACACTCGTACCGCTGCAGGTACCTGACACTTTCGCCAAGGCATTATCTCGATTTCAGCAAGGTGTACATGGATTGATGGCCACGGCGTCCACCCACAAACAAACAAGTAGCATAAACACACACAAAAAGGGATGACACCACAAAGACCACGGGGTCAAGGAGATCGTCGGAATAGATGTGTAACAATGAAATCGGTCGTGGTGTATGCTTGGTGGACAAAAGGTCTTTGCCTGCATACTCTAACATCAAACAAAGATGACAGAGGCATCTCACAAGGCCCGTCACCCTATAACTGAGAGCAACATGCACCAAAACAACCAGGTAAATCTCGACCAACCCAACGAATTGCCGTTCGAAACGAACCCCTGACTTATACAAATCTTCATATACAACAAATCCAAAAACATGGCTCAAATTCCCGTAGACCATGTGGACATACTCGCAGATACGGCTGACGACTTGCACATATATGACGAGGTGATCGATCTTGATCGGCTTTTACGCTCGATGAACCAGCCAGCTAACCTCGCTAGGAGCATGAAGAGGCGATATCTGGATTTCTTCGACGACAAAGAGACACTGTCAGAGCATGGCCACAGACTCTATGTGGAGGCCCAGAAAACAGAAATGCTTCAAACCAGGACACGTCGTCGTTTCCTCGAATACTTGGATGCTTACCAAAACCATGGCTATACCAAGGAAATCGATCGATTAGCCCACCTTGAAGGAGCCCTACACTGCCTGAAATTGTCGCAAACATTGAGTGCAGAGTTTGCAACAATTCTTGAACATTTATTCACCGAATTTGGATTGCACGAAGTGGCCGGTGAAATCCGGCTCGAAACAGCAAGATGGCGCAGACATTGCCTCACTGTGACCTGAGTTGATGAAATTGCCGAACGTCCATGGCTCCGTAGCTACCTGCATGAGTACCTTTGGGCCAAGCCAAACAGCAGTTTTTTGATGGAGCAAGCCGAAGCTGATAAGGTAGAGGACCCAGTTGCCCAACCCGACACTGTCGATTGTGCGGTCTGTCAGATGCCCTTGAAGGAAGACCCTGACTACGACAGCGGAAGGCCTCACATCCCATTGATTGAGCTAATTCCTGACCCGCCCTTGTATGTGTGCTCGACGTGTTCTCAGCCGTCCCATATATTTTGCACCATCAAATGGGCGAGTATCAACCATTACGAGAATGGCTGTCAACTTTGTCGTGGACCTTTGGACATGCCCCTCCTGATGAAGGCAATGGCCCAGGAGATTGATCGTTTAAACATCTGGGCTGAGAACATCGTCACCGTCTTGGGTAAATCCCTTGACCTTGATGACGATGACACGAAAGAAGACTGACCCTTGTTACACAGAACATCAACTTTCAGTAAGTATCATCCGCCCACCAAGCGTTTTGCTTTATTTCCAATCATAGTTGTCCCTAGTTGTAAATTATACCATTACCCTCTATCCTAGATGGACTCCCAATGGATGTGTTAGCTTCCTCTCGCGAGTTTGTAGGCATGAGAATTGAAGTTCCTCGTAGACAGCCCACAGCCTCGTCGAGGCCAATCCACCAATGACATAGGGCGACCTCCTGTTCGCCGCAGCCTTGCGCTGACTTGGCAGTTATCGACTCTGCACGCCCTGACATGGACACTGTACAAATGTTTTCTGATAGACACAAACCACCAATCCCAGCGTCGCAAAGCTTGCCGCTTATGAACAAACCCAGACCCCAATCCGTCGTCTTCCGTCGTACTTTGACATGCATGAAGTACTCCGCAGAGCGGGGAAGCTGCTCTCCACATGAGCTGACAGAGACCGAGGTACGGAAGCATTTCACCACAACATGATTCCTGAATCAGGCTAGATGACACCCTGGGTGGGTTGACACGACTCTGCACCCCTGGCCTGACTACGTGATTGTAACAGGTTAGGATTTGTTCATTCCGTCGACTGGCATCAGTCTTACCTGCAGAAAGAAGCGAGACCAGTGTAGAAAGCCGCGGTTGTTGGCCTGATCAGCACGGCGAGGGGTGGTTGTGAACTTCGTATTCGCGCTACTCAACACCGCCAAACTGCTCCGTCGTTTACAAACAGATCCTTCCATTCATTCATTCATCCCTCGAAGCATCACCTAAACAACGACTTCCAAAGGCATTCGTAGAAAATCCGTCCCCTCCCAAAAATGGCAGCATCTAGCCCCTTCGGCCTCGCAACAGCCGTCATCGGCACAGCGATCAAACTCCCCATCTCCGCCGTGCGATACACCGCCGCAGAACCGGTAGTGGCCGGCTCCCTCCTCTATGCGCTGACGCGCGCACCGCTCGAATACCGACAACGACTCCTGAGATTGCTCAGCGAGCGTGGCGGCCTCTCCGCCCTCCACATCGAGCGCCTGATCAAGACGTTGAAATACCTGCTCGCCATCGGCGTGGTGAGGCGCGTGAACCAGGCGCTCAATAAATTGGCGTGGAACAATTGGAGTTTGACCAAGCAGGGCACACCGTTCGATTGGGATGGGAAGAGGAAGGCTGAATTGGTCGTTGTCACGGGCGGGTGTAGCGGGTTTGGGTATGAGATGGTCAAGGGGTTTGCCAAATATGCGAGAGTGGTGATTCTCGATATCAGTCCGGTGCCCACTGAGCTGGAACGGCGTAAGTTTGAGGTCTTCTCTTTCTCTTCTCTTTCTGTCTGGGACGAGGGAGAAATGGTGGGATCGTCCCCGCTAATAGATCGTGCATAGTACCCGGTGTTCATTACTATCAACTCGATGTCACGGACTTTGCGGCCATCGAGTCAACCGCCGAGACGATCCGCAGAGAGCATGGTGATCCGTCGGTCTTGATCAACAATGCCGGGATTGGTAAGTGCACAACACCTTCCAGAGTCGAGACGAACAAGACTCTCCCCGTCCATTCTGCTTGATGCCAGGGCTCACAGTCTCCTTTCCTTCTAGCCAATGGCACTACCCTCCTTGAAAGCACCGCCAAGGGCACCGACAGAATCTTCAAAGTCAACATTGCTTCCCACTTCATCCTGATCAAGGAATTTCTGCCAGGCATGCTGAAGGCAAAGAAAGGCCACGTCGTCACCATCGCTTCGATGGCAAGTTTCATCGCCGGGGCCGGGTTGGTAGACTATTGCTGTACCAAAGTTTCCGCTTTATATTTATCGGAAGGTGAGGACAAGCCCTTTGATCCTTCAAGATTCCCCTTGTTCGGTTCGAGACACAAAATTCTGACCGGCTTCATAGGCCTCCGCAACGAGCTGCAAACCCGCTATGAGAACGGCTCCTGCATTCAGACGACATCCGTACACCCGTCATGGCACGCGACCGGCATCGTGAAGCCGTACGAGGATAAACTTGCGAGCGTGGGCATCAAGATGGACCCGGCGTCCAACGTTAGCGATGCGGTCATCGAACAGGTGCTGGCCGCACGCAGTGGACGGATCTACATGCCCCGTAATGTCGAGGGCCAGTCGAAGATACGCCAGTGGCCGCTCTGGGCGCAAGATTCGGTGTTCTGGCTGCAGAGGAAGATCAATGGGAGTCTGGTGTTGTAAGTGTGTTGGATGGCCTTCAGAAGGTTTAGTTAGGCGATCAAATGCATTCAGAGGTCAACAAGATTGAAACCCGGATAGGCTTCTCTAGTGGAATGAAATCCGCAAGCAATTATATATATGCTATACGTACTTGCGTATATAGGCATATTCGCTGCAACAGTCCGTTGGTGACCTGTTCAAAACCGGTGGTGTTGAGTACCTAGGCAACTGGATCAGTGGCCGCCCTATTTCTAATCTCGGCCTATCGTACCGACAAGGGGATCTGTTATAATGAAATGATAAACAAGAATCGCAAACTGTGGTCTCGCTGAAATCTAGATGTGGTACTGGTACTCGCTTTAAATCCGTTCAATCGGAAAGCCACATATATAGAGTCATGAACAATCTGCACTTTTCTCAATCCTCATCATTGAAAGACAGCCGAATGAAGCAAATCTTAGAGATCACTCACTATAACGCATGATTCATTGTGCTGTCGAACTAACCCCTGGCCTGTTCCCGTTTATCCTGTCTTCTGTTGATGTCACTACTCCAACACATTTGCAAGCCTATGTTGAAATCCATGGCGTTTGCGAGCCTCCTCTCCCTAGCCTCTATTTGGCCCCCGTTACATTTTTGTACAGCATTCATTTCCCTGCTGCTAATGACGATGATGAAAAAATCCCCGTGCTATGCTCCTCTCCGTAGAATATGATCTAAGGTCATCTCCGGCGTGACCTTCACAACTCTCTGTAAACAGCCCAGTCATAGTCCTCCCCAAACCACGATCTTGCTAAACCAGCTCCGCTCTCCGTAGGTTGACTGAATGCAACTTCGGTTCGATCGATCATCATCCCATAAATAAATTGATTCATAACACATTCAAGAAGGTTATTTGCAATGCCTTTGTGCCGAAAAGCCTGGCTGGTCCAGATTCGGCTCACACCCACAACTGCAGGGTATGTCTCCTCTGTGATGCTGATTGAGGAATGGAAAGAAGATGTCGGACTGGCGATTGGAGTCGGAATCTGTGGTTTAGGAGGAACATTTGCGGTGGTCTCTTCGCTTGGATCGAGTGCTGTGGGAGTCGCAGGCCCGGTGATCCGGAAGTGGCCATTCAATGGGATAATCTCGCCTGAAGCAGTATCTTTTGGCTTCACATGGTGTGCATTCGTAATTCGTTCTGCAAGACACATGCCCACACATTTATCGTCCACAATATGCAGAAAGACCTTGTACCTGTCACACTTCTTGTTCAAAAGTGGTTCCGAGTCATTTTCGCCTTCCGGTACCCGTTGACTCCAAAGCTCCTCCTCTTTGATATCGACACTCCCCAATTCCTTATTGATAATCTCCAATGCTTTCTGAACGGCGCGTCTACCCGGGAGTGCAATCTTCCGATCCACGACCACAACACTGCCGGGGATATTGGGAACTTCATAGCACCAACGCATGGCCGACTTCAGAAATGCCTTTCCAAGCTCAATACCGCTGCTATCCCTGTTGTGATACATGTTGTGCAACTGTGTATCTTCGGCCACAGAGGGAGTATATGACATTTGACATTGTGGACATGTGATTGGATTGAGGCTTTGGCCAAAATCTAGCACTGTCTGTGAAAGATTTTGTTTCGGAACTAGAAGCCTAGGTGGCTGGTGTGCTGGATGAATATGGGATTGTGTTTGAACTTGCTCACGAGGAGCCGTCGCGTTCAGCAGAACTGGCTGAGAGCTTTGCGCGCGTGAACTTGAGTTGTATATTTCGGAAAGAGGTTCCGAGTCCTGACGCGTTTCCATAACATTGACGAAGCTGGCCGACGCGGCATCGCGTTTCCGTTTGGCGTTCTTTTGATCCTTCTTGGTTTTTTCGAGGAATGAGAAGGTGGGCTTGCGAGCCTTCACATTTTGTGGCGTAAGTTGTAGAGTAGGTGGAGGGGATGATGGCGGGGTGATGGTACTGGAGCCTACTTCATCCTCCTGTGATTCTGCCGAGAAAATGGTGCTGTTCTTGCGTGATGGTGAGGATGACATTGCAGCAACACTGGTTTCGCGTATGGCGCGTTCAAGGTTGTCCTCGAGGTCTAGCACCACGGGAAAGGTATTTTCATTGTTGGTCGAGCTCGAGGTGGCAGCAGGCGCGCTCCAAACATTGTCGAGGCGTTGTCTCTTTGGAGGTCGGTAGTCAACGCCATCCCATGCGCGACGGACGTTCCGGCTATATGTTCGCATGAAGAAACCCCTGATGTGTGAGACGTGTCAGTGGTCTCAGACTATTGAGTGACAAGCTTGGTGGGAATAATGACTTACCCTTTGTAACTGTTGGTGACGGTATAAGGACTGCAGTAGGGCGTGATGATGGACGCGGATGGCATCGTCGCGTGTGTTGAGAGAGATACCAGTAAAGTTGCGAGTTGAATGATATCGAAGAAACGAGAATGATATGAAGATGCAGGCAGTGAATCTGCAGATGTTTGGTACAAGTGGACACGCGTTTTGGTTTAGCGGGACGGCTCTGGTAAGTTAGGGGCCCGTCCCAATCCGCAGATGGTGCCCTTTTGGGTGGAGGGGGAATAATTTGGTACGAGTAGCTAGAGAGCTGCTGGTGGACGGAGTACTCGTAGGGACTCGCCACGCAGGGGGGGCGCAGCCGTGCTTTAACTACAGCCGGGATGCGCACTTGTGCTGCAGGTTGATAGGCTCGGCCCAGCTAGCAAAGCTGTGGTGAATAGGAGGCGTTGGGGGTCGGTGCCCTGTGCCCACACTGGCACTCACAGAGAGAGCGTTGACACTCTGGGGTTCGATGACAGGGACCACCAGCTTCCTTGGGCTTCGGGCTGGGGATTAACTAGTCATGCACTGCACTCGAGATTTAGGTGAGTGCTGCAGCAGTGGTACTTGTACACACACTGGTAGTCGTAGCTTGGATAATACTTCTCCGTACTCTTTTAGGTGTTGATAATCAGGGAAAAATGGAATGGAGAAAAATGGCCTGCCCAGATCTGACTGAGAGTTATGATGAGGAATGTGCAGGGATTTATGAACTTGACCGACGATCGGGTGATTATGACCTGATCACGGGGAATAAAGGAAAGTCAATAATGAGTATTTAGAAACGCCGATTGCAGTGAGCCTGAAGCCTGCCCAGGTGGTGATGTGATGTCTCTGGATGATAATGGGCGAGCTTGAGACACGTAGTCTTAGGTCTTAGGCTTCAGTCTCAGGGCTCCAAAACGCCAGCCAGCGTCAATGATATAAGAAAAGCAACATGAGAAGAAGGAAAAAGGCAGGGCTCATTGATGCTCCACGTTGGGCTCCATTGAGTCAACAATCATCATGCTTTGTATCGAATCACCCTCCATTACTCATTTCCCCAGGCTGATGTTCTTTCTTCTCTCAGTCTGAGACTCTGCCTGTTTGTTGCCCACAAAGTTGAACCCGATACACGCTGTGCCTCGTGTTGCTCTTCCCCGTGGCCAAATCAGGGGTGGCTAGGCAGTTTTGTTATGGGCCCCGATGGCCCCAGTCCGACCGCCTAAATTCCCTCACAGCCAATGCCTGGCACCCGCCCCAGTGACACTCTTAGTCCTCGCAAATCAAATCCTCCTTGGACGTTGAGATCAAAGCACATCCAGACTAGCGTGATTGAATACTCTTTTGCCACCGTTCTTTGCCTGCTCTGCTGCTCTGCTCCTTCGAGCTCCGGCCTCTCGTTCTCATTTGTCTCAACTGGTCTAGATCGGGATCACGATCAAGATCGCCACAGCCTCCTTCAGGGAAAGCCATCCAAGTGAGCCCGACTAATCTTGCCCCAAGGTTGGCTGCACCAATGATCGTATCGCACTTGTGTCTGAGGTAAGTACTCTGTGATGTGAAATGCCCAAGGGCCCGCATATGCCTCAGACCAGCACGACAACAAAAGGGAGCCAGACCGGGCAAAGGATTCTGATTATCACAGAAGACACTTGGTAGCCCCATTGTTCTCTGTTTGTTCATTTGTTCGGGGGTCTACGAGCTCACCACCCTGTTTGTGCTTGATTTGGCATTCATCCTCGATGATGGTGCCACTAACTAGCAGAGGTCGATTCCAACTCAGCATGTCAGAGCCAATGGTGCTAACCGGCGAAGGTGCTGACTTGTTGCTCGGGCGCACGCCCAGGCCATCGAGTGTACAACGTTGGCGGTGACCAAGCTCGAGCACGCTGCGACGAATGGCGATAGAGCCTTTAATCAGTCATTTGGGCTGATTTGTGTGACACGTCAGTCACGGATGGGTCAACAATGAGGCACACGTCCAGCCACACCCAACCTCATGTGGAATTCAAGTTTGCTGTTACACAGCGGACACAAAGGTGGCTTCAGGCATCTGTCCTCAAGAATTGCCATTACCTGGAAGGATACTTGGTACTCAGCGGACTAGTATTTGACAGCTGTGCTCAATACTAGGTCGAGAACTGTTCCTGGTTGGGAAGCGGTCTCTGCAACTCTCATGGGTGTATCACCGTAGAAAGTCGGAGCTATCACGTCTTTTCATCTGGGGGCCCGCCTGTATCGTAGCTTTTATAATACAATGAGTGCGACTATTAGGACTGAATCTTTATGCATATAGCGAATATATATCAAAAGGACTCGTAGGGATCCTACCTAGGTGAGTTAAACTTGTCATCGTGGAGAATGCCTGGTTTCAACGGCGATGATTCGGTATCCTAATCTAAGAACCCTATTTATATCGCAGCTAAGAGGAAGGAAACCATTTAACGATACTAACCTACAATAGAGTAACACTTCACTATACATCATGTCACACTGGAGGTCGTTGGGCACAATAGCGATGGTCTAGTCGTTACCTTCGCACTAGATTCATACGAAACCGGAAACCAGGACGGTGTGGGGGGCCTCTTACGGGTCAACAAAATAGGTTGTCACTGACGCCTATTTCTTTGTGGGATTGACCAGCCGTAAGTTCATTCATGACATTATCCAGTGTGAACAAGACACGGCTTCAATTGATTTGGTATCTATACCCATCGGGCCTCGTGATAGAGGGGGTGCTCATTGTGCCCACCAACACCTCAGTGAGTGAACATGAATCGTGGGTTCTCGTCCCCCATTTCCGCAATCTCTTCCTCCGTCTTACCGGCGATCTTCCCGTCCCTCTTTCCTGCATTGCGCCGTTTGTTTTCAGCGATGAAATAGGCCCATAAGATGCTGTAGAATATGGTGGCCATTGCAACCATTGCCAGTGAGACGGCGTGGCCCCGAGTATATCGGGGTCCTTCGTTGGTTTTGTAGAGCTAATCGAGAATGGTCAATAACTGTTGGTGGTCAATACTTCAGTCGACTAGACTTACAAAAGGTGCCATAATTCCAGCACAATTACCTTTATTCAAGGTGTGGGTTAGCCGTGTCATGTCTGTGAAGGGATTGAAGCCCCATACCTATAGTCAATTGCATCCCTGTTGCAGTTGTTCGCTTGCCGTATCTTGGAAGTCCTAATATGGGATGTCAGCCAGCCCAAAGAGCTATAGAAAGGGGCTTCTTCGAGAGAGTTACTCACCACTTGGCAACCAAGCGAGTGGTATTCCCACTACAATAACGTCAGCACGAAAAGGACTGTATATCGTTGGTGTAGTGACTTGCCTGAGACATAAAGACCTGTGGCGACCAAGAAACAGCCAAAGAAGTGAACTCCTGGCGCAACATCAGCCAGGAGAATACCATAACCAATGATGCTGATGATTGCAAAGGGGAGGATTGCCAGAAATCGCTGCTGGTAGCGATCCGAGAAGTATGCAACCGTCAAATAAGTGATAGCTCCCAAGGCATAGCATGGAACAGTTAGAGCCTGAACTTGAGGCGTTGACCATGTCCCTAATCCCTTGATAATAGTCGGAAGGAAGGTCGAATAACCATACAAAAGCGTGTCAACACCGAATTGTCCAGCAGCAAACAGCCAGATCTTCCAATCCTTGAATGCTTTGATCACGTCTTCCTTGTGTAGAAGATCGCCGGAGGTAGTATGGCCTATCTGACGACGTTTTCTGACCAGCATCAGGTCTTTTTCCGCGGGCGTCAAGTAGTATGCAGTCTCAGGAGAGTCAGCCAACCACCAGAACACGATAATTCCTATCAAAACCATTAGCCACTTCTGAGAGCAGAAATGGATCAATTGTTCAAACCTAGGATGACACTGGGTATACCCTCGATGATGAGAATCCTGTGGCCAGTAAGCATGGGTCGATAAAGAACTTGAGAACCGGGCGCCTACCATCTCCAACCGGACTCGCCCGCCACGCCGTCCATAAAGCCAATGCCATAGGCCAGTAAGCCTCCCAAGCTACCGGCAATCGCAGCTGATACGAAGAGGTAGCCCACCCGAAGGGCGAGTTCGCGTTTTGTGTAAAACATGGTGAGATAGATTGTCATTCCAGGGAAGAGGCCCGCCTCCAAAGCACCAAGAAGAAGGCGACAGACAATCAGTCCGGCGTACCCCTGGACTAAACCAGTGAGCGTTGCTACAATACCCCAGCCCACTGTAATGGCAGAGATGAATCGGGAGGGTCGTAGTTTTTTGATAAGGAGATTGCATGGGACCTCGAGTAGAACATATGTCACGAATAGGATCGAGACCGCGGTTCTGTTGTCAAAGTCGTTAGCACACTCCCACTGATTATTGATTCAAGGGTGTGAATCTCTACTGAGGAGTAGCTGGTCAACCCGTGCCAACACGTGGAAGGATTTCGAACGTGGGCGTCAAGTTGTTGGCTCTTGCCAGTCTCAACAACACGATCGCGATTAAACAAGGCATGAAGAACTGATATTGATCTCTAGGCATCAAAGGAAGTTCACTCACTGGAATTGGGATCCATGTAGATTCAAGTCCTTCTCGAGGCCATAAAGGCGAGCATTGCCGATGTTGACTCTATCCAGGAACGAAACGAGATACAGTAACATGACAGGCGGAACGATAAATCGATCAAGCTTACGGACCAATTTTGCTTCGGCGACATGGTCGATTTCGGGAATGTTTTCGAGGTCTTTCTGAGATGCGACGATGACGTTCTGGGGCGCATCATCCATAGCTTCCACCTGCTTCTCGCCAGTGGCGACCTGTTCGATGGCCATGGTAATCAAAGAGTATATGGTTGTATGGAATATATGATAGCTTGGCCGTTTTGGGTACCATCAATGGGTTGACGACTTTCTCGAAAGCAGTGGAGAAGGCAACCAATGCTGAACACAACAATGCGTGTTTATACCAATATAAAGCAAACAGATATTGGAAAGGAGTACTCAGGGCGATTGTCTGATTATGGATAAATCCTCTGGAGATTACCAAACTTCAAAGATGGGGAAGCGAGTATACCAAGACTCAAGTCGCTCTCTTATCTCTTGTGTATGGAGACGGCTTATATCAACGGACTAGCCTGCCATCCATGGCCTGACCGGGTATAGGCATTATGATGCTGATGCTTGTCGCACTCGAAGATGTTAGTGGTCGTTGAGAAAGAGAAGGGTAGAGGACCACGCAGAGTGCTAGGCGTAGAACCGAATGACGCTCGCCCAGGAACGTGGCTTTGATTTACCAATAGGGCGGCCGCCATGAGCAGATCTTGGTGGAGGAAGTCTTTAATAAAGGCTCCCAGTGGTCAATAAGCGTCTTTAGCCTTAGTAGGCACCCGGTGTCTCGACAGAAGTGATAGGACGAAGGAAGAGAACCCCGATAGCTAAAGCCGTTAGCTGCATGCCGTTTGTGCTTAAAGGATATCGGGGTGACATCTGGTGTTGATTGTGACCTTGAACCCTGAGGCACGGGTCATTCCATGCTTTTCCATATTCGGATACCGATAACAACAGGAGTGGTGTCATTTACAAGTGAAGACGTTGGGGCTAAGAAGGAGGGTCTTTCGGGCATCCTCTAGGCTAGAAATACTGGTATGTTCCCTCCACACAGCATGGCTACCTAGGTACCTAATCAACTATACATTTCGGGGGGGCCACTCCATGAAATCCTAGCAATAGGCGAACCAGTCACGTCCGAACACCTGGGTTTTTGGGCGGAATTGTTTCAATTAGCCACAGGCTTCAGCCATCGAACTCGTCACGACCCACGGACTCAGCTCATGGACTCAGCTCACCCACTCAGACCTTGGTCGTCGTCGTCGTCATCGTCATCGGTCACTTCTCCAAAAATATTTTTGGATCTTGGTTTTCAGGCAGTCAAATTTCCCAGCTGCGCAGCCTTGATGTCTTCGTATCGAGTACCGCCAGCGTGGTCCGGCTTATATTGACCATGAAGTATCTCCTTGTTGGGTCGTACGCACTTGAATCCCATTCTTCCCAAACACATTGGCAGTCATCGATTGACAATACCAATACGGACACCGAATTCTACAAAGTATCATACCCCACGTGAGCACGTCCCACCTTCAGATCCCAGTCTCAAACCAAACCACTGCCCACTTTCCCCCATTCTTCAACAACACTCGGCTCGGTCGCGAACGATATCTATCAGATATCACGTATGAGCGCTCCTATCCAAGCCCAGTCATTCTCTTCGCTGAGTGACCTGCTTGCGAATCCGCCTCGGTATCCTCGAAATCCTACGCATCAAGTCCGCGACCCTCTTGTCCTCTACATTGTTCGGGTACCAGGTAGTCAAGGTGAGAGACCTACACCTGAAAAAGACTGGGTCTTAAAGAGTATATAGATGTTTTCCTCACCCCTCTCAAACCTCCCACCAAAGCATCCATCAGCATCGATGCGGTCCAGTCAAGTCTCTACTTCCTGCACGTAGAGAGGCCTGAGGATGAGGAGCTCAGACAGTCATTTGAGGCTACCAAAGCTGTAGAAAACCGATCTCCCGTTGCTGGGACCATTCAACGCAAGCCTCTGCCGAATGCGCCATATGCAAACTATCCTGCATCCCAGCGACCTCCAACTCCTCCCAAAAGCTATCCACACTTCCAACCACCCCTGGCTGACTTACCCAATGCGACACAAGTTGACCGGTATTCAAATCGGGGAACCAATTTGAGATTGAACACATCAGATCCATCGAAATCGAATCATGTTGCTCGAAAACCAATTGGAGCCCGGCCAATGATAAGCCATACTAGTCCTGGGAATGCCTCAAGTCATACCAGTTCAGAAAACATCGCTTCTGCCAGTGCTTTGGGCGTTGAGTCGCAAAAGCCCCAACTGCCTCCGAGGCCCATTCTAACACCCCGAGTCACAGGTCGTGCAGAGCTCGGGAACCACAGCCCTCTTACCACCTCTCCCACTCGAACCAGTCCGAGCACTGCTTTCCCCAACCTACCACATAGTGGTCTAAAGATCACGCTCATACGTCGAGATCCTGCCTCAGGAAGTCAGTGGAATGTTGGGGAAATTGTCATGTCCGGCATGTCTACACGGGAAAACCCTCTACAGCCTTTTGAAATCGAGCTCACCTCACCAGGCTATGGACGCTTCGCTCAAAACGACGGAACCGCAGGTCGACCGTTCCAGAGGAAGACTGGGTACATGTTGCTGCCCAACTCGGAGCCTTCCAATGGAGGGACAAAACGAAGCAACTCCACGGAATTACTTTCGACGGCAGCCAGTGCAGCGACGCGAAAGCCTCGGCAGGGATATTCATTTCTCTCACCTTGGCAGGGGACGTGTTCGTTCATCAATGGGATAGATGGGAGAAGCTTGCGATGCCGGCACATACTTCCAGGAGCCAACCCTTCTATGCCTGCTCTCGCTGCAGATATCGCCGAGGTTCGGTTCAACCTCCCTTGGGCAAAGCTCCGACCAAGAGACATGAACAAGCCACAAAATGATCGACAGTATCCTCCCACCTCACAGCCTGTTCGACCACCACTTGCGAGTAAAGATCACCATTGGAGGAGGAGTCTCCAAACCTTCACTGACAAGGCTCGGGTGCAGCTGGCCAAGACTGATATCTCAAATGTCCGATCGGCGACGCCCGAAAGTGCTAGAAGAGGTCCAGCTGATGATCAGTGTGCAAATGGTCAAGACCAGGAGCGGATGAATCTGGATCTCGGACGAGAGAGAGCTGGTGGAGGGTTTCAAGGGAACAGCGCAAAACTTGGCAAGCTCATCATTGAAGATGAAGGACTTAAGATGTGTGACTTGGTGGTCGGTGTTTGCATGGGTATCTGGTGGCAGCACTATTCTGGGGATGTTGCATAATAACCCAGTGTTGGGATAGCTGATTGTGTAACATCCAACTGTTAATAAAGTATGAATCATGAATCACGATAAGTACCTTCACCTTGTAGAACTGCACTACGGTCGACAAATGCCCGGTCGTCGCTAAGGGGTTTTATTGTAACTGGGTAATTGTAGGCAAGTTTCAGCCTCGTATCTAGACCCAAGGGCAATCTCACACATGGAGAACAGTGGGGTTTAGGGAGGAGATGTGAGCCTTGGCGGCCGCCCAATTGGCTCGAGTTCGCTTAGAAGAGTGCCTAAAGGATTGTGTGGTGCTCACTAAACACTAACTAATCGCCGCAGGCATGTCCACTTGGAGCATATGGGTATTCATCAAGTCTCCGAGAGACCTACCCGAAACCCAACGGAGCAAATCTTTAACCATCCCAGTTCTGGGTTGCACCCCCAGCACCTAGTTGGCGCTTATGCCTTAACTGGAACGGTCCATATCCGAACCAAACACCACCTACGGAGAAACTGCACGTCTACACATGACATGAGCCACTCAAAGTCATCCACGACTTCCAACTTGCAACTGCTGCCACACCCGTTGCACTCGCCGTACTCTTACTACACAGATATTTCAGGTTCAGACTGTTCTATCCGATTCGACAAAGGTGCTCATTATTCCAAAGAATAACTCATTCCCACACCATCTTCATCGATTGATCATCCACAGTCTACTTCTCGATTCCCGCAGCTCCCTGCTACTTGTGCACCAGTCTGGTACTGGCAGCCATAGGCACCTTCTGCAGAACCAACAACCAAGAGGTGGATGACATGAATAAGATATAATGATCATCATTGTGCGGTGATAGTTGGTCGTACACACCTCCTGTTTGCCTGGTGGACTGCTGGCTCTGGACGTTCAATCGCCCCGGTTGCAACAACTATGGCTGAGATGATTGCGACCAAGAAACTCACCACAAACGGAACGCTTGATGATACCTCCAACCATGGCAAAAGTGTTCATTCTCGCACCACAATCCCTGACCTCAACGTTAATGGCGGACCAGGACCAGCGGTTGAGACCAATGGCTCACCGGAACACCACGCCTCTGACCCAGGGAACACTCAGCGAGATCACTCACCGGATAAGCTCACGCCCTACTCGACCTCTTCTAAGATCGCCGGCGTGTTGAAAAAGAGTTCACAACCCAGTCCTAATATTTCCGTTGCAGGACTGACCGAGCAACCATCGAATCCTCTAGAGAAAGATGTCACTGATTCAGACACCGCCCTTCCCATCACAGGCACTCCCATAGTAGGGAGAAAGAGTGTGCAGTTTTCCCGGGATACCGAAGAGATAGACGCATATGATGCTGGTCAGACCACACCTTCGGGAGAACGTGGCGAAGGTGCGGATCAGGACAAGCCTCAATCTTTGATGGCAAGGCTCCGAGCCCTGGCCATTCCTCAAAGTTTCACTCATACGAGAACAGCCAGTGGTATGTCCATCACTGGGAGGACACCGGATGGCAAGGATCAAGATATGGTGTCAACCCCACAATCTGGTGTCCTTGCGGCGACTCTCGAAGAAGATAGTGGCGCGGAAGCTGATGCAGACGCGGATGCTGAGGAGAGTGCAGCAGAATACAAGCCAACATTGTCCGCGCCGCGCAAGCGTAGGAGGAAAGCGCGCCGTGTCGATGATATTGAGACCGCTCCTTCATCGCCACATAGTCCCATGCGTACTGGCATGAATAGTAACCCACTCAACTTCGATTCTGAACGTCCTCGAGTCCTTGCTCGGCGAGCCACAGATACAGATATGGGTCCTAGTCAAACTCACCAAGGCATGTCCGAAGATGAAGGTCGCAAACAGCTGTCGCGCGACAACAGTGCCTGGACTCCCCGCCATCCGTTACGTGGCCTGAGTTATGGTGGGCAGAGAAAACCTGGTGACTCGACCCCGGAAGGCTCCAGACGACCGTTGACGCTGCTGAATTTCGCCACAATCACGTCATCACGAGAAGGAGCACAGAGTGAGTCCCAGACTCCCAAAACACCATCGCGTCGGAAATTGATGACGGAGAGAGGCACGACGTTGAGCGCAGCAAAGTGGAAACAGTTGAAGAATAGTCTACGCTTACTGGGCCAAAGCAAGAAAAAGGAACGTACCCCTGACCACGAAAAGTCGGCCGAGCTCCTGGCGGAACTTGCTGCAGGAACACCTGCCGCTCTGATGCTCGCGAGCATGTTTCAACGGGATGAGCATGACAATCGAAGAATTCCCGTCCTCCTCGAACAACTTAAGATCCAGATCACAGATAGTGAAGTGGATTCAAAGTATAAAGACCCGGACCCAAACACCGCTGGTGAACGACACTTAGTGTTTCGTATCGAATTGGAGTATGGAAATGGCATCAACAGGATGAAATGGGTCGTCAAACGAACAGCTTCAGATTTCTGGAATCTTCACGTAAAGTATAGAATTTTCTACGGCTCTGAGAGGCTACGAGGTCGAGGAGACACGGGTGACAAATTTCCTAGCTTTCCAAGGAAGGCTTTCCCTTATGCTAAATCATGGCGCTGGTTTGACGACGAGTCTGATGAGGGGGAGGACGACTTGGAAGATGCAGATGGTGGTAATGCCACTGATACAGAGCTGAGAACCCCCAAGCTTCAACATCGTCCCTCATTCATGCCCAGCCGACGGAAGTCCAGTGTCGCAGGCATCCCAGACCCTGCAACTCCTGGTGGTGCAAAACGAGATGTCCGCTTCGCTGATAGACAACGAAAACAGCTGGAGCAGTATCTGCAGAAGATGATGAAGTTTCTACTCTTTCGCCCAGAGAGTAATCGATTGTGCAAATTTCTCGAGGTTTCGGCGATGGGCATGCGCCTTGCAGCAGAAGGGAGTTATCATGGAAAAGAAGGCTTCTTGACAATTCGCTCAGCGAAAGGGCTGGATTTCCGGAGAGCTCTTACCCCTTCCAATGTTACTAACCGGCACACACCGAAATGGTTTCTGGTTAGGCATAGTTACGTTGTTTGTGTTGATTCGCCCGAAGAAATGCACATATACGATGTCTTTCTATTCGATTCAGACTTTCAAATTCAAACGTCCAAACAACGTTTGAAAAATCATCCGCGAGCCAAAGAATTAGCTGGTGTTGCAAGAGAGTCCACTGGGCAGCATCATCGACTGAAATTAGTCAACTCAGAAAGAAAGCTCAAATTGCTGGCTAGAAATGAACGACACTTGCATCAATTTGAGGATTCAATTCGGGCGACAATCGAGACGTCTCCTTGGGCAAAGACCAACAGATTCGACAGCTTTGCCCCGGTCCGGCCAAACTGTTTCGCTCAGTGGCTCGTTGATGGTCGAGATTATATGTGGGTCGTATCTCGTGCTCTGAATCAGGCAAAGGACGTGATTTACATCCACGACTGGTGGCTAAGTCCTGAATTGTACTTAAGGAGGCCCCCTGCCATCAGCCAAAAATGGCGACTTGACAGATTGCTTAAGAGAAAAGCCGAAGAAGGTGTCAAGATTTTTGTCATCGTTTACCGCAACATCGAATCCGCCATTCCTATCGACTCACAATACACCAAGTTCTCCTTGCTCGATCTTCATCCCAACATATTCGTTCAAAGATCCCCTAATCAATTCCGGCAAAACACCTTCTTTTGGGCTCATCACGAAAAGCTCGTTATTGTTGATCACACCCTCGCATTCGTTGGTGGTCTTGATCTATGTTTTGGCAGGTGGGACACACCACAACACACACTTGTGGATGATAAACCAACTGGATTTGAACCGAGTGATCAGCCCAAGGATGCGGATCATTGTCAACTGTGGCCCGGTAAAGACTATTCGAATCCGCGGATACAAGACTTTTATGCACTTAACAAACCATACGAGGAAATGTACGACCGTCAACAGGTAGCGCGGATGCCATGGCATGATATTTCTATGCAGATCGTTGGACAGCCTGCTCGGGATTTGACCCGACATTTTGTGCAAAGATGGAACTATATTCTGAGACAGCGGAAGCCTACTCGGCCGACACCGTTTCTGTTACCGCCCCCAGATTTCAATCCTGCAGACCTAGAAGCTCTCGGCCTCGATGGGACATGTGAGGTCCAAATATTACGTTCTGCAGGTCCTTGGTCAATTGGAACACCCGAGAAAACAGAGCACAGCATCATGAATGCATACGTCAAGCTCATTGAAGAATCCGACCATTTTGTCTATATGGAAAATCAATTCTTCATCACAAGCTGTGAGACCGAGGGCGCCACGGTCCACAACAAGATCGGCGATGCGTTGGTTGAGCGAATCACCAGAGCATCAAAGAACGATGAGGCTTGGCGAGCTGTGATAGTCATACCTTTGATTCCAGGATTTCAAAATACGGTTGAACAAGAAGGTGGGACCAGTGTCCGTCTGATTATGCAATATCAATATCGAAGCATTTGTCGAGGGGAGTCCTCAATATTTGGTCGCCTCAAAAGTGTTGGCATCGAGCCTGAAGATTACATCCAGTTCTACAGTCTTCGGCAGTGGGGTCGACTCGGTCCTCGCAAAACACTCGTAACAGAACAGCTTTACATTCATGCAAAATGCATGGTCGTTGATGACCGGGTTGCCCTTATTGGTTCTGCCAATATCAATGAACGTTCTATGCTGGGCAATCGTGATTCTGAGTGTGCGGCTGTTGTTCGAGACACTGATATGGTGTGGTCAACAATGAATGGTAAGCCGTACCAAGTCGGACGCTTCCCTCATACACTTCGCATGCGGTTGATGCGGGAGCATCTTGGCCTCGATGTTGACAAGATTATGGAAGATGCCCAAGTCATGGAGGCTGAACATCGGAAGACCGAAGCCGTCAAAGAGTCCCATGGGAAGCAACCTCGGGGCGACGGATTTGGAAGCCATCAATCAGAAGATGACGATATGCTTAGTCCAATTGATAGACGAAACGCCGAGCTTCGGGAAGAACTGCTTCAGCGGTCGGAGGATCTGAAAAGTTTCAACCATGATGTGGATTGGGAACAGCAGGATAATCCCAACCTCAAAAGCAACCGCAAGCTCACTGAGGATTCTCGAGTAACTGGAAATGCAACCCACCGGCAAGATATCTCGGGTTATGGAGCCGACAACATGGCCATTGCAGAGGCTGCAGGGTTTGCTGTAGGCAGAGATACGACATTGGCCAGTGGTGCCAAAGAGGTGCTAATTTCGAACCTTGACACTGAGGGTAGAGCCCCTGTACAGAACCCTAGGAAGCACGGTGAAACCACACGTTTACCGTCTTATGTGGTCAAACTCGAAACTCCAAATCCACCATTGCCTCCTAGGCCATCCATTGGGGAGCGCATGAATACCGAACAATTAGGACTTCCCATGCTATCTCAACTTCCTGCCTTGCCACAGGAAGATGACACTGATATTGGTGGACCTCCTCTTGTTAAGCTTGGTTCTCGAGATTCTATACGTACCCGCCACCCTCTGATGAATGATCTCCGGCGACCACTTGTTGATCGAGACTGTATGACAGATCCTATTCATGACGCTTTCTTCTTTGACACATGGCATGCTGTAGCGGAGAACAACACGAAAATCTTCCGCGCTGTCTTTCGTTGTATGCCAGATAACCTAGTTCGAAATTGGGAAGACTATCATGAATACATGAAATATGAACAAAGATTTAATTCCATGCAGGGAAATGAGATACCGGACAACACCAAAATACCACATCCAGGACGCGACGGTCAAGACACCAAGAGTGGACCGCCTGGTGCTGGATCCCGAGCACCCGCTGCACAGCTGAAGGCATTGACGCAAGTTCCAAGTGATCTGGAGAAACGCACAGGTGAATTGAAAGATAAGGTGAAACACACACTGGGCGGTGAGACCAGGAATGAGAAGCAAAACAACGAGAAAGATGAATTGCGGCAATGGGCGGCTGAAGCAAATCAAGCTCAAGTTCAACGACAGGCGTTCCCTGCTCTCCATAGGCAGGAGACATTGACTGAGGAGAAATCTGGATTGCAGACTGTGCACGAAGGCCATACTATTCACGAGGAAGGGAGTGGTGAAGAGGACGATGTCAGCACCTCTCCACCTACGAGTAGTCCAAGCAACGATACTGCAGTTGAGCAAGACAAAGCACTTGCTGAAACGACCTCGAACTCGAATGCCACTTTTGTGGGCTATTCAGATGCACTGAACCAAAACTATGCACAGGGTTCAACGGCCACTGGCACTAATAACGGCAGTGGAAAGCGCCGTAGGAGGGCAACCACTCGATCCAGTAGACGCGACTTCAGCGCCACTGATGATTTGCCGAGCCTCGAAGAGGCAGAGGAACTGCTAGGCTGCATTCAGGGTCATCTTATTGTTTGGCCCTACGACTGGTACGTATCTGGGTCCATTTGTCTCTCATCGTGGCTAAAAAAACCCATTTTCAGGCTCGAAAAAGTCGAGGCCGGAAGTAACTGGCTGTTTCCATTCGACCAAATCAGTCCGATTGAAATATAGTGAGTCGCTCCATGGGTCTCCTAATTGTGTGGTTGCCAGCTCTGACTGATATTCTTCTTAGCATTTAATTGATGACCATAAACACATCCAGAAGCACAGCACAGGAGCATGGCACGGTTCATACATAGCATGGAAAAATAAGTCATTATTCTCAGCGCAGCATTGATCATACAACGTTTAGTAGTTGAGGAAGGACAGTTAGAGCTATTGGTTGACTTCCTGGTCAATGCGATCTATGGATGGAATGGGAAAGGTTTGAAGAACTTTTGCGAAGGCGAAGGCGGTGTACCACGGGGAGTATGTTTCTACGTGGTATGTGCACTGTGAAGGCACATCTCGTCTCGATGCTAGTGCCTTTAGCAGTTCAGCAGATAGAACAGACTATCCTTCGATTATCAGAGAAGATAGCCTTGCGCATGTATATTGTATATTGTAAACCACAAAGCATGGGAATCAACGAAGGTGTTCCAAGGGATTGAAGTTCTGTTCCGCTGAATCCCTGCGTTCTTAGTTAGATACTCTCTGCGAAGTCACTGCTGTGCAAGCGGTCAACTTGCAGCACTACTGTTTCTATATGTTAAAGTACTTTGCACACCAGTTAAGCCGCGTACAAAGTGTTCATCAATTGAGAATCGAAGTGGAAACCGGTACGTGTTCCAGATGAGGTTAGAGCAGCTCGTAAATTTAAGCTTGCCGTCAGCAGTGGACCGTGACGCTCGTATCATCGTATAACAAGGCTGCTCATTGCCAGGAAGTGTGTAATCCAACGTGTCCAGTTTGGCAAGCAAAGCATACCTAGGTATCACCTGGAACGACCTGGAATGGAGCTTGGTTATCTACATCCTTCACTCTTTGTGAGCAAAACACATGATACCTCCCTCCATGCTTTGCTGGCCAACACAGCAAGCAAGTATCCCAATGCCTCCTTTGGACAGCAGACTTTAGCATCGTATGTGACAAGCTAGACTATCGATATCGTTGTCGAGATGGCACGCGCGAGGATTAGCAAGCCCAAAGTTCGTTCTGGGTGTTTCACATGCAAGTGAGTCGACGTGTTGACACGACGCATTTGGTCTACCCATCTGAATCTGCACGCTTCTGACTGCCAATCGCATCTAGATCGCGCCGGGTCAAATGTGACGAGGCCAAGCCAGTATGCCTCCGGTGCATTCGAGCCGGCCGTGAGTGCGCAGGTTATCCTGATTCACTCTCATATCGACTTCAGGTGGCACCCGCAAACGATTCCATAAGCACGTATAACATACCATTCAAGGTTCCAGGAAGCCAGGCCGATCGTCAACTGCTTCACTACTATTGCTCTCAAGTCGCGTTGAGTCTGGCCAGCTATTCTGATCCATCTCTTTGGACAGAGCTGATTCTCCAACGATGCCATCACCAGCCTGTTGTTCGAAATGCATTGGTGGCGCTGAGCTCTCTTCACAAGGATTTTCAATGCGAAGCACCTCCTGTGGTCGATGAACTCAAGCGAGCTCACCGCCTGGTGGCTTCGCCGGCGAGCTTGACCATGATTGCAAAGTCACATCGACAACTGGCTCGGTACCTCTCTCGTCCGGACGCCAGTGCCGATGTCGCACTGATATGCAGCGTGATATATTTCATTTGCGAGGCCTTGCTAGGAGACTCTCAGCAAGCTATATGGCATCTCGATCGAGGGTTGGTCCTCCTCAAGCGGAGCCAGCTGAGCGGGAACTTTGATGCCACTTCTTCAGACGATCCTCTGGTGCCCCGACTGACCTCTCTCTTTGAACAACTTGACTGTCAGGCATGTACATTTGATGACCAGCGTGCTCCAATTCTTGTCCTCTCGCCACCACCTGAATTGAATGACAGGGCCTCGATTGTGCCGGAACAGATACTCGACCTTGGCCATGCCGAGCTCATCTTGATCAAGCTACAGAATAGGGTCTTTCATCATTTAGTGTCAAGTGTGATTTTCAAAGGCAAACCTCTGAAGGACTTGCCACAAAGCCTCATTCAAGAGCGATTGCTCTTAGTTGCTGACCTCCAGCATTATGGGGATCTGTTGGATGTTTTCGCGGAGTGGGTTGGTTACTCCACCGAAAGCCCACCGTCGCATTCGGGCGGATTTGATGAGAGATCGCGACAACAGTGGAAACGGTATCTTCTGCTTCGCATCAACTACCATACTTTCTACCATCTGATAAAGGACTGTTCCATGGACTTTTCTCTAAACACAGGAGTTCCTTCAGCCCCGACATCAGAAATGATTGCCAATATCAAATCGGATCTCGAGATGGACTTGAAAATTGCCTCCGATGCGGTCTCGTGGATACTACCTAGGACAACAACTCCACAAAGGACATACACACTTTCATCGCACCTCATTGCAGTCATCTACTTTGTGGGTGCTAAGACTACATCGGCTACCACACGACACAAGGCTTTTGAGCTCCTCGCACATCCTTCACTCTCTCATTCACGTGATGGGTTATGGGATGCACAGACAGCCTCGTTCTTCCTCACCAAGATGACACGCAAGATTCGGCGAGGCCCCACGCTGATCTCTCTGACGACATCAGGGATGCAGTCCAAGTATGATGAGAGCTCTGTCCAGCATCCGGATCAACTGCCGATTGCCAATTGTAAGGGTTGGTCGATCAATTTGGCGTTGTCCATCAGACGATCTCGAAGATGTCCAAGACCGGACTAACGCAGACTTGCCAAACTTGGATAACGGATTACGAGTGACATGCTGTAACAGACCTGTTCATGGCTGATCTGGAGAGCCAACAATGCTGCTCCCTCATCCGCGCCTAAGCTGCTGGCAACCCGGCCCCAAGCCATGAATTGTCGCAACTCCGCAATGAACACTTGTGTGTTCCAAGGACTTCTTCAAGCATCGATCTGCGCAACGACCACCCTTCCATGGTGAGCTAGAAGGTCAGGGTGCAGAGGACCGCGTCAACAAGGGGTTGGTTTGGCTCAGTTCCTGGACAGACCGAAATCCGAAATTCTACCATGGATTTTCCACGGGTGACGTAGCATACAACAAGAATACCAGTCCACACCGACGAAATGCACAAGAGCCTTGTCTAGCCTTTCCCTGGGGCCCAGGCTCATCCACGACGTTCGATGCAACATACCGAGTACTTCGTTATGTGAAAAAGAGTAACAAGTCGCTGCTGCCGACATGGTGTGTCCTGCCTGTTTGAGGCCTAGCACACGGACGTACCGGTTCCCTATGCCTACCGCGTGCCGGACCGACCGCACTCGCACCTCCGGCGATCGATTCTGGAAAAGCGACCACCACGCCCGACACACGGACGACACGGAAGGCAAGGTATAATACAACATTGCCCAACATGCGGCTTCCCAATTTGTCCTCAATCCCATCGCTAAAAAAATCCCTGGTGTCGAATACCCAGGTCCACGTACTTTGGTCACGAATTATTTGCTTTCAACACACACGAACATACCTCGAACCCTGCAAAGACCCAGAAACGGCATGTGCGTTCCAGAAATCCAGAGACCTGGGGGGACCCGTAAAGGGTAAATGCTAGAGGCCAGAGGCCAAAAGGCCATATCCTACAACCATGACAAGCATTGCAGGTTCCTCAGGCGCCAGAATCCGAAAAGTCCTACTTCCTTTCGGATTTTTCTTTTCATTTTTCTTTTCAGACTCTTCCCCTCGTTCCCAAGACTCGCACTTACCGCTTTGAAAGTTGCGACCCCCGGCTACTCGGTTCTGCAGAGTGTACGGGAATGTACAGTACGAGTATGCAAGGCGCGGCTGGGGGACATCGCGGCAGTGCAAGCGGCATGTTACTCTATATACTCTAGATGCAACGACCGATCAGGATCTGTTCCTGAAGCCCTTCATGCCACATGCTACATACCCCGTACCCACCACCGCACGCAGGACAGGACGGATACGGAGCACCGCTGGAAATCTGGGATTCAGGGAGCCGGATTTCTAAGGACTTTCTACTCAGCCTTATTGTTATGCTATGGGATGTGTACACTGTGTGCAGGAGGTCAGGCAACTATGTAACTAGATTGGGTGGGGGGATTGTGCATAGCAGTCTTTGCGCACCTTTCAGCGGTTCCCAGTGCTTTCATCAGCTATGAGTTTGATTTGATAATGACAGTATCTAGGTCGTTAGGTGACAAGACATATTGTCCCTCGCTAGCTTTTTCGTCTTTAGAGCTGCCTGGGACTAGTAAAGAGTTCACAGTTTCCTCTTGCCATGCTCTCTGCCTCTTTACAATAGATACAGTGACTCAGAAATGATGCGTCTCATTTCCTTCTTCTCCTCAACTGCACGACGACAGACATGATAACACAGCTACCGCAAAAGTCGCTCTAATAATCGCTTTTCAGCAATCACCTTCTTCCCCTTGAACACATACAGATAAGTAATAGATAAATGAGTATACCATGGAAAAAATGATGGGGTTTCTTGTTCGGGAGGTCTCGCGACCCCATAACACCATCTCGTCTATATTCTTTTCTTTTCTTCTCTGACAAGAAGTTCGATATTATATGTCGACTGTGTCAGAGAAGTAGTCTTCGCCACAAACAGTCAATATTGATGACACAAAAGGAGGAGTGAGAAGCAATAGCCCATCGTTAAATTGACGGGTAAAATGCTTCGAAGTGTAGAGTGATGGAGGTGGAGTAAGAACGTTCGATAGACACCTGTCTGTCTAGATCGAACGAGTGCTCAGATAAAAGAATGGATCAACCGCTCCTATAGTGGATTCTCTTGCAAAATTTCGAGGCCACTCGAGCTGTATGAAAGACAAAGCTCATTTTGAGCTACACACTCGTCAAAGATTTTGAGCTCCGATTGTGTGGCATGAGTCGATGACTTCGACACGCCCTGATGAAAATGATTTGTAGCCGAAGGTGGGTCTGTTCAGCAGCGGAGCGCGCCCAGCAACTGGTGGCCCTGGAGTTGAGAGCATTGCTCAATTGTCCAGGAGGACCTTCTCATCGAGACCCACTAATGTCATATGTGTGTACAGCAAATCAGGTCACCACCTGCACGGTAATAATTTTAACAGTATGGGCACATGGAGGAGTAAAACCGCCGTATTATACAGGTTGTCATTGTGGACATGGACCGATAGTGGCGGTATGATGGGTGGTGGGTTTAACGACAACAGAAAATCTTCTTCCACCAAGGTGAACTGTTCCCGTCGTGTTCGAAACCCGACTTCTCATTCGGTTGAGAGGCATTGGGTGCTGAAAATTGCTGGTTAGGTTGCATGGAGGAAGGGTTTTGGTATGTTGACATTCCTGCACCACTAACATTGGGAGTGTGACCTTTGGATGCGAACGGTGTAGGGTGGGGGACAGCGTCAGCAGCACCACCATGCTGTCTTCTCGCCTCGACGACTCTGCGAACGATGACTGGAGAAGGAAGTTAGCTTCGACAAGGGGTAGGTTGGCGGGATGGACATACGGGCAAAAGTCTCTTCAATGTTAACCATCTCACGAGCACTGGTTTCCATGAAACCGCAACCTTTGCTTTTTGCATATTCCCAGCCGACTTTGCTGCTGACCACGCGAGCGTCTTTCAGATCGCATTTGTTTCCAGCAATGATTTTGATGGGAGGGAATTTCCAGCCAAGCTCACGACGGCCGCGAACTTTGACACCCTTTTCTTTTAGCAAGCGGTTGTTTTCCTCGATTCGATTTTCTGCCTCGATGTCGATCATGTCGAGAAACCACTGAAGACCTTCGAGAGAATTGTAATTTGTGATATCGTAGACCAATAGAAAAGCATCCGACTGCAGATTGGAGGCAGCCCACAGACTCCGATATTCCTCCTGGCCAGCTGTATCGGTAAGGGAGAGGTAGTAATTGAGACCGTCTATCGTCCGGGTGACGGAGTATGAATCCTCGATGGTTGGATCGTACCTGGCGGGACTTAGTCTAGGTTGGTAAGAGAGGGGGAGTAACATACTCTGAAGTCCATTGCGATCTTACGAGACGGAGGGTAATTGAAGATTTACCACAACCGCCATCACCACAAATAGTGATTGATATTTTATCTGCCATGTTGATCCGTGGAAGTTGCTTTGGCGCTCGTCTTGCGCAGGAGTATCTCGAAGGCCGCGTCCAAGGGTAAACAAATAGCGAACCGACGATATTTGACGGGAAGGCGGGAAGTGGAGGAGGGGAGAGCAGGCGCGAGGGTAGTGATGAGGGAGGGACCGAAAGTGAATCAGGAGCACGGACGCCGTGTCAAGGTTGTGGTTGACAGCAAGGCTATTTTCGCGTTGGAGGTCGGAAAGTCGACTCTGCACCGAGATAGAAGTGATGAAATTGGAGTCGTAACGGGTGACGACGGGGCAAGAAGGGAAGAAGATGGGGTCAATGCAGAGAGCAACGAGTGATTCTGCAATGCAATGCAATAATCGGGAAAGTTGTGGAGGAACAGAGGCGGATGTTTTATCGGGATTACGAGGTTGGGTAGGACGTCGATCGAAATTAGCGAGGATGAAGGGATACGGATGAGTCGCGTGATTGAGGGGAGCAGTCGATATTGCAATGATGACTGAGAAGGTGCGACAATGGGAGTGTGATTGAATGATAGAGGAGGGAGGGATGCAGGCGAGGAACTTGAAGGAGAGGAAGGGGGAGGAGTGATGCGGGATGAAGTTTGATTTGAAGCAGAAATGGTACCAGTGACGAGGAGGACCGTGGTGAGTGTGAGGGTGAGTGGGAGAAGTTATCCGTCTGTATGAGGAATTTGAAAGGCTGGCGCTGGCTGCTGCTCCGTATCTTAAGGCGATGAGACAAGTGGACAGGATAGGACCCGGAAAAGAGGTTTGTGAGTCCACCAGGGAAAGGGAAGTGGGATGGGATTCAGGGACAGTGCCAATGCCAGTGCCGGTGGACTCTGATGATGGAGGCGTTTGAGTGGGTTTGATCTCGCGAGGAACAGGGGTTTCAATAGTGATGGAGAAAGTCTAAAAGGATGATGTAAATGTACAGATAATGGGGGATTTCCTTTGGAAAAAAGCGTGGACTCTGAAATCAAAACCAAGACCCAAACCCAATATTCCCACACGACGATCAGGTAGCAATGCCGAGATATATAATAGTCATTTCGAAGAGATACCAAGAAGGATGGGCACGGAACGAGGCTGGAAAAAGCGTCACCCTCGTCCGTCGTGCCTCAACGATGCCCAATCTTGCAACTAGTCGTCATTAGTAGAGTAGCATCCAACAGCGAGGCGAAGATCTGCAACAAAAGACGACTTCCACCGACTAGCAACATTGATTGGCCATGGAGTTGGCAAAAAGCACCAAACGAGAAGTTGGTCCAACATGATATTCTCGTTCTTTTCGTTTCTCGCACTCGAATTCAGCACGGAGGAGCGGTTCAACTACGAACCTTTGGGATAGAAACTCCGTAACCGACGACTTTTCAGTCTTCAGAGTTTGAAGACTCGAGGTCGCTAAAAAGCAAGGTTTCGGGGAAGCAGGTCGGTTCCAGGGGAGCCCAGGGAAGCCAGGGGCCCATGCTAGCCGTTAAACCTTCCCAAATGAAACGCCGAATCATCATCACACCTGCTGGTCAGGGCGAGCAGGGGAGCCCAAGTGCAGCCCAGGGGCCACCATTGACCTTTAGGGCCTCATTAGCAACCACGCCTTCCCAAGGGATCAGCAGAACATCATTTTATCATGGATTCATGGTTGATGTTCCGGTGGGTTTCTGTCACATCCCACATTGTCGGTACTCATTACAGCGTATAATATGGTGAACCCATAACATTATCCCGAGGTGTTCCCTGGCCTGGACTGCCTATAGATACCCACACATCCAGGCCCGAGGCCCAGCAAGCCAGGTGCATCACCCCTTGAAGCAAAGCATCTCTCCCTTGTACTTTTACGTAGATACCTGCATGCCTACCTGGTCCCAACCGTCTGTCACATTTTCAACATTTGTTATCGTGGTTTATCCAAGCGACGACTACTCGGTATTATCGGACTTCTTTCTTCTTTTCGCCCCTCCCCTCAAAGCGCCGAGGCTGCCAGCCTGCCACAGCCACATGGACGCGCATTGATCTTTTGACCCGCGCCTCGGGCCTCGATAGGCACCCGAGTTTTTCTGAACATCAGCCAGCCCTTTCCCCAGACTCCATGACTGCCTGAGCCGCACCTGCTTTAGTAATTCCGCTGATCATCACTGATGTGTCTCTATATCCACTTCTACAGCCTCATTGCCTCGACTCAAACCGATCCAAGTTGCGAAGGCAGCAACATTGCTCGCCACACGTCAATCCCATCTCTGATGTCGTCGACGTACCGAGTACTATCTGCAGTCCTCGACTGGTTACTGACCGCCCCCATGCATTGACATTCGCCTTCAGCCCTCGCTGTCTCAATGAGCAGGCGCCAAAACCCATACCAGGTAGGAGTACTCTGCCACTCATGACATATATGCCACCATATTACCGTCGAGGATTTCTACCACCATGCTTTCCTTCCAAGTAAGACAAACCCTCGTACAAGATGCCACCCACTGACCGCACTTCGACCTGCCAATCGCAAACTCACCATATCAATATAGCTCAGCAGTCACCAACATCACCGCCACCTTCTCCAGCTTCATTGCCTCCATCCACTCCTCCGACCAAGCAATCCCCTCCTTCGTGGTGGTCAAGACTCGGCGTCGATCATTGGGAATGGGAATTGTCCGCTGCAGTTCTATGTGTTGGCGCCCTCGCTGCTATTGTGGCAGTTTTGATCAATTATGACCAAAAACCTGTCCCTGAACTGCCTGTTGGCTTGACGGTAACCATCACGTTCCGCGCATGGTTGTTTGACCTTTCTAATGCTCAATTCCATTCCAGATGAACGCCATCATCGCTTTCCTATCTACAATAGCAAAGGGAGCTCTTACTCTGATATTGGCGGCTATCCTTCGTCAGGAAAAATGGCTGTGGTTTATCGATCGTCCCCGACCCCTAAGCACTATTGATTCTTTTGAAGAAGCAAGTCGAGGTCCATATGGTTCTTTGATGCTCCTCTTCAAGCTACATGGGAGGTATGGTTCCTCTCCCATGATTTCCGTGTCTTCAGCTCACCTTTGCCTGTTCCACAGCTTGCGACCGTTCCTAGCTGCCACAATTCTCGTCCTGGCTCTCGGTTTCGAGCCTTTCTTGCAGCAACTCGTTGCGTTTTCCACGCGTGACGTCCTAATCGACGGTGCAATCGCCTCGATTCAGACCCCGACTACATACAATGAATCTGTTGTGGGAGATTTGGGGGGAGCCAGCTTGTCTCTCAATGCTCAAATTGGTGCCTTTGGTGGTGCTAATGGCACCAACATAGCTCCCGAGTGCACTGGAGGAAACTGCACATGGCCAGAGTATAATACTTTGGCACTGTGTACCATCTGCAAAGATGTAACCTCGGAGGTTATGGTCGACAACGCGCGTTGGGATATGAGTTCACTTTTCCTCGAATTCGAGCAGGCAAATCAATCCTCTTCCTATCAGGAATGGCATCAAACTTATTCCTTCCCCAGAGGCAACAACCTCACGGTCGACTTCGGCCTCAGAATGGATAAAAGCTCAGATTCACAATCCACAAATACCCAGTGGGGGCTAAATTACCCTAGGCGGCGAGTCTGGCCCCTTAACATCGGGCCAGAGCTCGATAGCTCTTGGATTGATACCTGGGATAATGACACATATGCCGACCATCCTGCTCCCTTTTTTGCAATGGGCTATCTCGATCTCAACGTCACCGAAGATAACTCAGCTCTCCGCATTCAGCGTGCCACAGAGTGTATATTTAATCCCTGTGTGCGCACAGTATCTACGCAAGTCATCAATGGCATCGTGGAGTCAAAGGTCATAAACACTGACTATGGTGCCGTTTTCTTTGCGGAACAGAATCCGGACGGTATCAGTCTCGCTGGTGGTTGGAGAGCTACGGTGAATGGCACCGATTTCGAGATCGTTGATACTGGTGGTGTCGCGTTCGGCATGGGTTACGCTAACGTGCAAGGGCACGCATATCTTCTCATCCAAGCCTTGCGCATCGCGCTCGAGGGAAACACTACGTACAGCCTTCTGGGTACCCACTATCCCAGTGGAGAATCCGAATCAACCTCCTACGAAGGGACTGGGTATTCACAAAATCGAGGCCCCTGGAGTTCCGCCGGTCAACAAGCCATCGACGGCGCGGACAATTTCGCCCAGGTTGTCGAAGGCGTCGGCCATGCACTCACAGGCCGCTTCCAACAACTCGCCACAATCTCCGTGTCAGGAAGCGCCACGCGTAACTACGTCGTCATGGAAGTTCGCTGGATCTGGCTCATCTACCCGCTGGCACTCCTCGTTCTCAGCATCGCAAGTCTGACAGCCACCATCTTGGCAACACACGTCCGCCACATGGCGGTATGGAAGGAATCAACTATCCCACTCCTCTATCGCTATGCAGGCGACGGTCTCAATTTCCTCGCCGGATCAACGCAAGCACTAGGCCACCCTTCCAAATCGCTATCCAATAAAGTCAGCCAAATTGTCGACGAGGCAAATAAGGAGCTAGTGCGCCTGCGCCGCCACCAAGCCATCTGGACATTGGACTCGGAAACACCTCCAGAGAGGGCTGAGCAAAAGGAAAACGCGGTGGTGAATAATGACTTCCGCAAGCGAAGGTCTAACCCTCCGTCTCAGCCAGCAAGTTCGAGTATACCGATGGCTAGTCTGCCACCCAGACGACAGCCACAGCCACAGCAACATGACCCTCAAACACAACCTGCCGTCAACACAGCGACATAATACTGATACCCAACATTTAAATAGATAGATAGACAGATCGAAAGAGATCCAGTCTCAGGTCCAGTCTCAACCTTCCTAGTTGATGAGTAACACAGATAGCATGAAGATTATTATGATATATCCCAGCCCTCCTCATCAAGCAAAAAAACCTGATTGTCGTTCTCTCTTTTCCAGGAACCGACAGAATTAGAATAAAAATCAGAAAAATGTCATTGAAAGTCTATAACATCACGTATTCTCGCAGACTTACTTCACTTCACCGCCTTTCTCTCAGCCACGCGCGGTCGTTGTCGTCGTCATTGTACCACAGGAAAACAAGTGGAAGCACAGCGGCTACCAGTACGAGAGCTCACTGCTTCAGATATACGTACATATGTGTTCATGATTTTCACAAGTCGCCATCCATTCCTGAAAATGGTACCCTGGCCATGTTTGACGGGTTATAAGGAGCTATATTCATCTTCGTATATACACCAAGTAGCTAGCTAGCTAGCTAGCTAGGTAGATAGGTAGGTAGATAGGTAGGGAGATAGGTAGGTAGGTAGGTTGGTAGGTAGGTAGGTGGGGCACATCCTATCTGACGACACATCGACGTCCGTGCGTGGGTCAGATTTTGCTCTACATTCCAACAACGACAACAAGAAGAAGGCTGCACCTGGCCCGCCCCCACCCGATGCGAAGCATCTTCAAGTCTAAATAACCCTCAGGTGTCGATCCCAGCTCGTATCAGTAAGTTTATATTTTATATGCCCATCGCAAGTGCCGCCCAAAATGCCATTATCGTCGTTAAGGAAGTGTAAACGGGGGAGACGACTCCTCGATTTCCTCTGCGCACACGTGCAGTCCAGTCCTGTCCGGTTCGGTTACCCAAAAGTCGTTTGTTCGGAAATTTTGTTGTGGGGTTGTGATGAGGAGATTGCTTTCCGTGAACGCACGCACATCTTCCATGCTCATGTGTCGGCTATGCCGATAGCATATTGGCAAGTGCATCAGCCTTCGCTGGTACCCGATCACGCGTGCGTGATGGACATAATGTGTCGGCAGGCGTATACTGCGGTTGTTGTAGTCGAATCATGCGCGATTTGAGAATTAGACCCGAATTTTGGATACCTCAGCAAGACTCCCAGGGAGCTAATTAGAGGGATAAGTCATGACGTTCGAGGGCGCCAATTTTCTCAGTTGCTGAGACTTATCATCCATGAAGATGTTGGCCCAGCATGGTAGAATCGAGTGGAAATGCCAGAACAATCGCACCATTGCTCTGCCGGAATCAACTGTTGACGTGGTGGCGCGGCATTTCCGATTGCTCCATTACTGAATCCAGATACTGCTAAGTAGGTAGCACGTTCGCTTCATTAGGAGCCTCTTCGATCTTGGGTGGATGAGAACCTCGCCATGAATCATTAGCACCGTTGCTGCTAGTGCTCTGTTGTTTAATCAGTGTTGGGACACTTCCTCCCCGACCAGTTCCGTCATTCCTCCCCGACTGGGCGCCAGCGCGTTCATCACCGTTGGATGCAGGGACTTGGGTGCTGTAAGCTGGTGAGGTAGAGCTCTTATCACTCATGCCCGAATATTTCCTGGGTGAAACACGGCCATTCTGAAGATGGACAGTCACATCAGCCTTGTTGCCAACAGGGCGTGGGGAAGGATTGTGAATGGCACTACTCACCTGTTTTGCCCAACGAAGTCCACAACTGTTGCACAAGTCGCGATTTCCGCTTGGTCCTCGACGCCATTCCGGAGTTACGCGTGTATGACAGTTCGCACAGTCCTTTTCGAGCTGTCCGAGCCCCTTTCTCCTTTTGCGCTTCTTTTTCCTGCCAAGTAACGCCTGGAGCTCTTCAGCCAGTACTCGGTTCTGTCGCTCCATCTGCCTGAGTTCGAATTGCCAACTCGTGCTTCGCGTCGTTTTCAGTTCGTCGAAAATGTTTTCATCAGCTGCCAATGCTTCGTCTTGGTTACCAATACTGAGTCCGTAAGTCCCGGCATTCGTTACTGCAGGGTTGGGATTTGCAAAGCTCGAGGTGGTGGAGATGGTAGTATTCGATTTCTGCGCCCTGTTGAGTGTAGAGGGACCCGACACGTGCGTTGCTGGAGTACCTGACCCAACTGAAGCATGATCCGTGCGTGGAGATAGGGCAGTGGAAGAAGTTGATTTGTGGTTCAACAAGGCAGCTCGTGTCATCTTTAGCAGTCGCGTCTGAGCGAGGAGAAATGTCGGTTTGAATCCCGGTCGCGCATCGCCTGGGTAGATGGTTGTTTGTGCGTGTAGAACTTGTCCGCGTCGGTTCTGAAGATCGTGTTTGCAAGTAGCCTTCTGTCCTGATCGAGCAATTTCCAGCAAATTCATGAATGCTGGTCTAGAGTCAGGTCTCATCAAAGCTTGCATGCTCGTCCCAACGAGATCTTCTGGCAAACGGTCCAACAAGACTCGCGATGTGGAAGAAACGTGCAAAAACAATCCCGCCGTCGAAATCTTCGTCCAGAGCTCACTTTCACCCAGACTTCCTTCAGATGCCAATTCCGTCCGGTCCAACACATAGACTGGTCGTTCGCGACCGACGAGAATCAGGCACTTTCGACCTTTGCCTTGTTCGGTGTGCAAGGAACCATGAGCTTCGAACCAGGTATAGCCACTGTGTTTTCGACGAATTCTATAGACGACGTTGACCATGGCGGAGCTAGAGGCATCTTTCAATTCGCGAGTGACGGGGACAATGTCGCTGGGATGACAGACGGATGACAAGGCCATGCCGATAAGTTCGTTCGCATCATACTCGAGAACTTTGCGGCAGGCGGGTGAGAGATACAAAAACAAGCCCTTCAGAGACAAAACATGCACCACGTCGTCAGTATTCTCCAGTAGGATTTTATCCCAGAGGCGTCGCGAGAGTTCGGTCTCTCCACGGCCCACTGTGGTCAAAACATGTGAGACTTCGTCTCGCGGAATCGTTTGACCCATCTCTTGGATGGCCTGCGTTGTATCTGGAGTTGGCGGCAGAGCGTATGCGGGAAGTGAGCTACGGTTATAGTTGATGGCATAGCTTCCGTCTGGGAACGTTACATTAGCATGATCTGGACCTTTTGCCGGATTGTTACCCTTACCAGGATTTCTCCCTGAAACGGAACTAGGTTGCTCAACCAAGTCAACCTGAAAGCCAACGTAATACTTGAAATCATCCGAGTCGAAAGGAATTGGTATCATCGTAAGCAGATTCATGAATGGCTGTCCACCTTTTCGATAATTGATCAGACTCAGTTGGGCCTCTCGTCTCTTGCTGATTTGGTTTTTTAGATAGAGCACCGACCCATCGTCGACATATTTCCGTTTCACTCCCGGCTGTACCTTACCGTCAGGGGCTTGTAGGAATCGACAATTCCGTCCGAGAATCTCATGTTTCGTGTAGCCAGTAAGGCGCTCAAACATTTCCGAGCAATACACGATGGGTAAGTCGTGCTTCTCGATGTCACAAACGACAAACGCACAGGAGAGGTCTACCGGGCCGATATTGATCTCGGGTTTTTGCCTGGTCGCAACCCTCATCTGTGACTGTCAGCTAGAATTTAGAATCATAATGAGCAAACTAACGAGGACGCCGAGCATGTCAAAACCGCTGGAAGAATAGGCATTGGCATATTTTGAGGGCGGTCCGGGAGGTCCGAATGCTGTCAAACTCTGATCAATACTCTGAGCCGCAGGGTTGATGGAATTGGCTCCACTGGAAGTCGCTAATATATCGATGAGCAGAAAGTTGCGGTGTTATACAGGGTCAACTTACGTTGTGATTGCATTCGGGATGGCATGCCGAGAGACTGTCGTCTCGCTGGGGCTCTTTGCGTGTGTAATGGTGAAGGCATCGATGAACCTGGAGCGGATGTCGCGGGCACGGAGTGAGAAATCGCGCTTTGCATCTGAAGCGGAATTTGTGGATTTACGAAGTTTTGCGACATGGTGGTTGGGACCATGTCATCCACGCCTACGACTGATGCGTGCCTCTGGTTGTTTGCAGTTCCGGTATTTGGTGGCAGATAAGACACGGGAAAACTTGGGGCGATGGGCGAGGCTGTGTACATCGGACCCGGTATCGAGTTTGCGCCCATTCGGGCTGGAATTGTGTTTTGCGCCATGGCATCGTAATCCACCCTGGAATCTAGGGCTTGGGGTATGTAGGCGGGAGAAGGTTCGTTGGACATCATGGCTGGCGAATAGGTGTTAGCCGCCGACATGTCCCCGAAACGAGTATTCATCTGGGAAAAACGAGTGTCCAAAGACAAGTCTTCGTGAAGCCGACCTCTGAGGGAATCGAGAGATTTTTGTTGGTATGTCATGTCTGCTGAAGGCACACCAGCGATGGATGTGGGTATGGAGGGGTTTAGTTCATTGGGATTTGGGTCGAATTGAAAATTGGCAATGTCAGTGTTGGTAGAAGACCCAAATTCATGCATGGACGCTCTTCGAGTGTGGTCACGGCTGGTCTGTGGAAAGTCGGATTCGAAGGCGCGCCGGCGCATCAATTGTGCATTGTTCTGACTGATGATCTGGTGAAGACTCTGTGGCTGACCCACCATATCCAGGTCTATGGTGGAAGGGTCAACAGCGTCCATGTTGCCATCTTGATTGTAACCTTCCATGGACTGCATATCCACGATTGGATAAGGCTGCCCATAGTATCCTGGTAGGCCATTCATGATTGCGCTCACACAGACACCGTCGGTCCAGCTCTTGAACCTTGAAAGGTGACAAACAGATACAGTCGTGAGACGTGGAAGATGGGAGGTCGAGGGAGTTGATCGTATCGACGGTGATTAGCATTGAAGTGAGCGACGTTGGGAAGAGAGTTGGAAGGTCCCACTTTGCGGCATGCTTGCAGTGACGAAACTCCAGCAAAAGAAGGGCGGACTCGAGCGAAGGGACGTTGCGGGAGATGGTTGATAGGAAGGCGTGGTGTAGACCTGTGTATGAAGCAGCGACGTGGAGATAGAGAAATTGTGAGTGAGGGTGATTTGGTGGGCGGCGATGAGATGGAGATGGAGATTCAGATTCCAGATAGAGATGGGGAATTATTCGGGATGGAGAACTAGACACTGGGAAGTGGAAAGGCGAGCATACAGGCTTGTGGCACTCGCATCCAACACTAACGCCAGCGCCAACGCTTGTGTCTGGTCTGTCAGACCCCAGTGAGCTGCCAAAGCCCGAAGCTTGAAGCCCAAAGCCTGGTGTGTTAGGCTAGGGATTCTCTGCCCAGGTAGATCAGAGAAGCCCCAATGGCCTAACCCAGAGACATTGAGGGGCCCGGGGCCGAGGGGCCGAGTGTACCCTGCAGTCTGGGCAGGAGTTCAAATTGTGGCACAAACCAAGTGGCAGTCTCCGACCATTGCTCGCTAAACAGCAAGTGGTGAGGTAGGCTCGTGCCAGTGAAGCAGTAGCGTGCTTGAGGTGGGGATGTGCATGTCATGCCTGCATGGCTATGAATCTCTCGAAAGAGCCCTGGTTGTGATTTACTGAGTAAGTCATTGCTAGTCCCAAGTTGGGTATTTACTTGTGGTTGTAGAGATGGATGTGTTTTATGAATCCGGATTCCATGGTTGCTACCAACAGTCAAATTGACCCAGATTGGTAGATCAAAGACCCATGAATCTGGGAGGAACCTGTGGAGCGCGAGGGATAAATTCAATCTGTGGCTCCTGTAAATCATCCACAACTCTATTTATCATGGACCATCAATTTTTCCTCGAGGGCTGGTTCATCTCCAATTGCATTGCAATCATATACATCACACGAGTACATTATTACCTAGGTGCTCAATAACGCTTCCCAGGAATTGATCCTTCACGAGAAACAGATCTTAATTCTCGGTGGCTGACCACGTTGCATCCCAAACGGCGACTTGCACCAAGGAAGTTCTATGACGTAGGTGGGCGCCCCATCAATGACACGTGAGGGACCTGCAATATTTGACTGCCCATGACAAGCTGGAGATTGCTCTTTGAATATACCACAGTGCACGACCACTCTTTCGCGTTTGAAAAGTTCTGGCCGCCGTCCCAAGCACCGAGGCTTTTACCAGGAGTTTTTTTGGATAACCAAAACACTTCGACAATATGATTGTATTAGCGGATGTCCTCACTAGCTAGATAGATACCATTGAGGCACAAAGCAACATGATCGACGTTCGTGTCGATGCTATTAGTACAGAGCCACGCTCCCCAGTACTCCAGCTCAGGCTCATGCATCGTCCATGTCATACCGGACGATTGTTGTCATCACAGAATCCCCACCACAAGATCATACATGCTAACTTGGATATGCCGAGGGCTTGGCCAATATCGGTGCCATCTTTTCCCTGGCAAGTTTCTCCTGCTCTCGTTGCGCCCGTTCTGCCTTGGTGATCCGAGGTTTGCGTGTAGTCCCACCACCGCGAGATCCAACACCACCACCTCGTCCAGAACCACCTTCACCAGCAGTTGCTCCGCCTCGTCCGCCACGGGAGCCAGGTCCACCTCCACGACCGCGACCGCGACCGCGCTTGATGGTGCCATCGGCTCTGTTTGTGAAACGTCAGCTGCTGTTGGGGTTTTTATTAGGATGTGGGATACATACCTCTCGACAGCAGGCTTCTCTCCCTCTGGTACAAGAGGCCCACAGTAGACAAAGAACCCGTCCTTACTAGCCGCAGCTTGCGCTTCCCACAACATTTCGCTATCATCAACAAACGGATCGTCCTGGTCGTACTCTTCTTGCTTGCGCCTTCGTCTTCGTTTGGGTCCCGGTGCGTCAGTGCCACTGTTAGTCGTCTCCTGACCACCGTTGATTCCCGACATGGCAACATCGCCGTCGTTGTCCGAGTCACGCTCAATGTCAACACTGAGATCCTCGTCGCCACTCTCGCCCGCCGACGTCCCTCCGAATTTGCTGCCCGATGCCGATCGCTCCAATGCCGCTCCTGCTGCGGCGACCTTGGCTAAACGTTCCTTCTGAGCCGCCTGACGAGGATACAAGGCAGCGAACCCGTACTTTTCTTCTGCTAACCGACCAAAACTGATGACCCTGTTGTTTGCTCCCTTGAGGTCGATGTGAAGCACAATACTGGGTGCTTTTCCGCCGTCCTTGGCAGCACCGTCCATGCTTGCATCACCTCCGAACAAGCTGGCAGACAGAAGACCAGACCCAGGTGGTGGTGGAGGCGGCTGCTCCTTGGCTCGGGTTGGTTTAGGCGAGCTGGCACGAGTTGGAACTTCGGATGGGACCTTTTTGATCACTTTCCGTGAGCCTTGTTCGATGGGGCCTGAGTCGATTTCCATGCTGGATGCGTGGCCATTCATGAGCGGGGAGTGACTCGCTTTCCCGTTTGTCTGAGGCTGTGCCGATGTGATCAATGGTGAATGATTGGTCGGCGTTGCTGATTGTGGAAAGGTCTTTTGCGATGGAGGGTCGATGATTCCTGAGATAGCCGGTGATGTACTAGGATTGTAAGTCGGTCTTGGTGGTGTATGTAGGATTTGTGGGGACGGAGCAGGGGGTGGAGGATCAACCAGTTGGGAGATTGAAATGGGCAAGGACGATCGGATGGGATCGAACATGGGAGTCGAGCGGGAATTGTTTGACGCCAATGGCAGGGACTTGGGAGCGTCACGATTGTACTCATAAGGCTGGGGGTGGTGAATGGTCGGGCGTGGCATCGTCGAATCGTGTGTCAAGACGCCGGATTCGGCAGTCTTGGCGACCTCATTGCCTTTCAAGTTGCTGATAGAACTGTGGAGTGGGGAATTATTCAAGATGACAGGCTGGTTGAGAACTGAAGATTGCAAGGCAGGAGCCGAGTGACGAGGAATATCAATTGTGTTCTTGTTGTCCAGCTGTTCGATCTTGGGCTTTTTACGGGAGGTGGTCGTGACCGTACTCGAGGCGACTCGTGGTTTTCGAGGAGCGCGTTCTTTCTTTTCTGGATCTGCAGCACCAACATTTGGCTCCCGCTTCTTTCTCGGCTTGCGCACTTTGACGCCTGTGGCTGGAGGTTGGTCTTGGCGTGAGCCTGCAACTGTGGCTGGAGAAAGATTGCTGGCAAGGGAAGTCCGCGTGCTGGAATTGCCAGCAACACCAAGATTTGTCGTCATGCCTGTATCTCGAGAGTTGAGATGGCCAGCGAGTGCTGGTGTGCCCTCGGTGTCACTGGGCGGTGCACTTGATAAGTCGTTGGAGGAGCTTCTTCCATCTCCAACCTCCATTTTTAGTCCTGCAGCTCTAGTGATCTGCAACCAATCGAGACTTAGGCAGCTGCACAGCACATTGAAGCCACGGCTTTCAAGTCTCAGTTCAAAGGGTGTCGAGAGCACCGGATAGCGGGAGAGGGTGAGATGGATAAGGTGTAGAATGCAGGAAATTCTCTCTTTGAGGACGACGAGAGTGGTGGATAGTCGGACAGGAGGCAGTCGTGGTTGATTTACAAACCCCGAATGGATTGTTATGCACGTCGAAATTATTGCACAGTTCAAAGTTGTGGTCAAGAGAAGTCAATGTGCAGTCAAGCGGTTGAGAAGGCTAGCAACACGTCATGCGATGGCGGAAGGTGAAAGGACGTGAGACGAACACGGAAGCTGAGATGGGTTCGAATTCGAGCAGGAACACCAAGTAGCTGGACGAAGATGAGGGAGAAGTGAGAAAGATTGGGAGAAAGGAGGTTAAAAGAGAGGAAACGGTGCATGGAAGAGGGATAACCTATAAGTAACCGGAGAATCAAACAAGACAAGATGGTTTAGTGAATTGACAAAGGACGACGGAAGGACGGGGAAATGAAGAAGGGGGACTGGAGCAGAAAGCAGGACGAAGGCAACGAAACACCAGACTTTGAATAATTGACAGACCAGACAGTAAAGTGGATAAAGGGTGGTGGTAGTGGCAGTGGCAATACGATCCAGGGAATTGCAGAACACCGCGGTGGGTGAAGCGAGGAGAGGAGCCAGCTCTGAAAGTGAAAGCAAAGCGTAAGATCAATCATCATAGGCGCACCGAGGGCGCGAAAGGCAAAGAGCATGAGAAGGGATAGGCAGGAAAGGAATGAGATGGAGGCATACTGGGAACGAACGAGTAGGCATATCCGTATGGGAAGTGCCCCGAATGATACAGCGATAGAGTCAAGATGGACGAGCTATCAGCCGAAGCCTGAGGACCCAGGGTGAAATGAAAATGGTACACATCAAAAAGACGAAATGGCTCCAGGCACACAAGAGGTGAATTGGAGGAGTGGAAAATCAAAAGACGTGCATGCGCAGCCTGGGTCTGAGAACGAGCCCGAGCCTGGGCTACGAGGAGAGCGAGGCTTCTGTTACTCGTCCTCCGTACTTGGAGAATTGGGTTAGTCATGATCCCTTTTTAAACTTCACGCTCGACCTGTTGCACCCACGGCATGAGCAAAAGATATAGGCGTCATCGTCACCGTGCAAGTCTCGATGTAGGGGACATCCATGGATCACTCTCCAGACACGCATGACGAGACGTCCTTTAATATATCTTACATCTTTCGATAGTTGTCCCATCCATCAGTGTCTACCTAGATATTCTGTCTTGTTCCTCAGAATACCCAGTCATGCCTAACAGGGACCTAGCTCCGACCCACCGATCAGATCCAGAGAATCCCTGCTTCGGTGGCTTGATGCCAGGTCCCGGAAATCCACTCCGCATGGAGACCACTCCGGAAGTGACAGTGGTATTCTACCATATTCGGTTTCAAAAATTGAACATTCCAATTCGGATCATGTACAGTTGCTGAAGGTTTTGGGGTCGCCGATTTCATAGATATCAGTCGCTGCGACCTGAGAGCTTCAGCGATATGAAACCAACCCACATGTCACCTGTCTGGCATTGCATGAGGATTGAGGGGATACTGAACAACGGGTATGCCGAGCTAGGGACGAGGTACCTAGTCTCGATTAGGAGAACCTTAAAAACGACATGTCTTGGCACCCAGAATCTGCCTGCGCTCCAACTTGAAGTTGAAGTTGAAGTTCACGAGTTCCCATCCCAGTCCCAATTCTACAACGGTTACAGCTCGGCCACGTGCAATGGCGATCCCCGGCCAGCGGTTCGAACTGGATCTGGACGCAAATGATTTTACCGTAAAGCCTCTCAGTGAGCATGATCACTTCTCGAGCCCTGTTTCCATGATCAAGGATCTGCAAGAACACGACTCCGAGTCTCCTCCACCTCCCCCCGTCTTCAGGTCTACAAAGTCGGGCTTTCCTGAACACAAATCTCGCTTCAACGCATCTTCTTTCAAGCAGAGACAAGAGGGTGCGAGGGCGAGAATACCCCCAACAGCCGCTTCTCGTTTGGAACCCTCTGATAGAGCCATTACCCATCAGGTGGCCAAAAAATATGGTGTCGATTTTGACTCACAGCAGAAAGCGGACATAGAAGAGGAAAACAAGAGACGAATTGCTGAAATGTCTTCAGAAGATATCGAAGAAGCGCGTGCTGAGCTCATGAAAACACTCAACCCTGCCTTTCTCGAACGCCTGTTGAAGCGAGCCAATATCGACGAAGACTCTTCGAACCAGAATTCATGGCCCGAAGACGCAGAAAATGTCCTGCAAGGACACCCGGCTCATGAGAACGTTATCTCGGATCCTCCTGTCCAAAAGCCTGACCAGACATCTTCAGGTCCTACAGTCCATTTTCCTGCGCCCCCAAGATTGCAGTCGGAATATGTTCCCCTAGACACCAACGACCCTTCTTTCCTTTCTGAACTCAAATCCCACTACTTTCCCGAAATATCTCATGACCCACAGTCGCTGTCCTGGCTCCAAGACCCTACGGATACGGAAGAACAAGAATCATTATACAATCCTGAGAGGGATTCATTTCCCCCATCGGCTTTGCGTTTTGGCTTCAACGGCCGTCTGATTCCCCCAAAAGAAAGCTTAGATATCGATGTGAAGCAGGGTCTTCATCATCATGGTGACGCACCGAGCAGCGCTGGGTATACTATTCCCGAGCTTTCACTACTGGCCAGATCTTCTCTACCGAACCAGCGATGTGTGGCATACCAAGTGTTGGGGCGAATCTTGTACAGGATAGGGAGGGGTGATTTTGGCGCCCGCGGAAGCGACCTTCAAGAGGCGCTTTGGTACACCATTGAGCATGAAAAGCCACTCGAGGTTATGATGAGTGAAGCCAATCGTCAATCCGGCCATGCCAGTGCCAAAGCCTATGCCACCGAGGCTCTATGGCTCTGGCGGCAGGGAGGCGGCGGCGACAGAGGTGTCCTCAAACCAGGCCAGAATCTTGCAAAATAACTCACGAATGCGGTAGTAGGGTTTTTGCGCCCCTACACCCGAAATCTGATCAGGTGTGCTCAATGTTCACGAGGCAAAGGTGAGTTGCAAATCAGTTGACGATACTATTCAAGTCCTGATGTGTGACGCGCCGCACGTGGAATTGCACGGGTAACTCCCATTACACATATTCTGGCGGACATATTCCGTCCGAGAGATCAGTCGAACGCTAGCAATGATGCTAATCCACGACAATTTTTCTGGCCGGCGACATTGACCGGTTTCAGCCTGCATTTCAGAAAGATACTGCAATCTCGGGATAAAATTGCCCTCACTATGCTAGGTTAGCAGACTTTGTGAACTGCCCTCGAGGCATTACAAAGCGCTGAATGTGGCTGGTTATATGCTCGTATGTTCTACTCCGCGGATCTCATTCTATCGAAATAGGTCAAGCGTGGCTTGATTCTCCACCTACCTTTTCTGGACTAGTCATACTGCCCAGCCATCCGTGAAGCGGAGACTTGACTGCCAGCCAGGGTTCAATTGGCTTCTCCTGCTCTCGGGTTTTATCAGTGTCGCCGACCATATGGTATCTCGGCTTCAACGTCCAATGGATAAACGAACGCCAAAAGTTCTCAGACCTCACCCTCGCCATGTCGGACTCACAACTATCCGCGCTCAGACCACGACGAGGCCACACTTTGTGCCGACTCGACGGGAGGTTGAAATAAATTCTTCGCCTTGGACAGCTAGAGTGAGCTACCTACATATTGCTGTATCTTTCAGTCTTGCCAGTAGCAGCACGAGTAGTCAGTTCAAACCTGATTCTGTCTGTCGAAGTAGAAGTGTTTAGCTGCATTTACAACAACCGACCCTGCATAATTACAATTCAGCTCCTAGCCTCCCTCACTGTTGTCATCACAAGAGAAGTATCAGGACATCATGCCTAGAACTGTCCTAATCACAGGATGCTCGGACGGTGGCCTCGGCGCTGCGTTGGCGCTCGCCTTTCACCACCACGGCGATCGCGTACTGGCCACAGCACGAAACCCCTCCAAGATGGCACATCTCAAATCCCAAGGCATCGAAACCCTCACGCTCGACGTCCTTTCTGAAGACTCCCTCCAGGCGTCTCTAAAAGAGGTCTCAACTCTCACAAACGGCTCGCTTGACGTTTTGGTCAACAATGCCGGTGCTGGTTATTCGATGCCGATGACAGATGCAGACATGGCGGAGGCACAGAAAGTGTTCAACCTGAATGTCTTCTCCGTCCTAAGAACGACACAGGTGTTCTTCCCTCTCCTCCGCAACTCCAGAAATGGAGCGTTATTGGTCAACAACACTTCTGCAGCGAGTGTCGTTGGTGTGCCAATGCAAGGAATCTACAACGCATCGAAAGCCGCCGCGGCAATGATCTCGGAAAATCTGAGACTAGAGATCGAACCATTCGGCATCAAAGTGGTGGATCTCAAGACCGGTGGTGTGCAATCCAAGTTCTTTCAAAACGTCCTTGGTGGCTCGGGTGCGAAACTACCAGAAAACACAGCCTACGAGCTTGCGCGCGAAAAAATCGAGAAGGTCATGGGTGGAGACGTCAGCCTGAGCATGCTGGATGCCGACATCTGGGCGCGTGACGTGGTCAAGGACTTGAGTCAGAAGAACCCTCCTCCGCATATCTGGCGGGGCACGGGCGCGTTCAAGGTGTGGCTTTCCACTTTACTCCCGTCCGGAACATTCAACGGGACACTTCGGCAGATAGGTGGGCTGGACGTCTTTGCGAAGAAGCTCAAGGAGGCGGAAGCAGCACATGCGAAACAACGTTAGAGTACGATGTAGAAGGCTTTTTTCATGTAATGTAAGCATATCATTAAATCGATTATCGATGTCTCCAGTTTTTCGACAAAAGCCAAGAGAGCTCTCATATGCTCGACTGACTAATTCAATTTCATGTAATATCATTTCACATCACTCAAACCTGGAAAGACCGAGGATCTCAAATTCATTCACTTGTAGCCGACTTGCCCGTCGTCGCCAACTTCGAGCCAAGCGACCTCCAGTGCACCTTCCTGACCTTCAACCCAGCGTAAGCCAGCAAGCGATACCCGATCGTGACGCCCAACAGCGCCAGTGCAAACGTGGTCGTATCGACGTCCAACTGATAGAGATCCAGCACCTGCTCACCGGTCTCGATGGGACAGCGGCCGTCGCCGAGCTCCTGCGCCGGAGTGCAGGAGAAGTGGATGCCGCGCAGACTGTAGCTCGAGAGGGCGCCGACCTGCCACTTGATGGGGCTGATGTGGTTGATGGCGGAGAGGAACCGGTCGATGCCGATGCTCAGCACGCCGCCGAGGTGCACCGAGATGGAGAGCACGACCGTCATGACGCTGACGGCCAGCCCCGTGTGCGAGAACATGGTGAAGAAGATGATGCCGAAGCTCTCGCCGCACGACACCACGCAGAAGGACGTGTACGCCATCAGGAAGTACAGGCTCGCCGTCCGGTTCAACCCCACCGCGAACACGGTCAACAGGCTGAAGATGCACGACGCGATCAGCTCCATCGGGATCTCGATCGCCGAGTAGTACAGGAAAAACGCTTCGAGGGGGTACGTGCCGTCGCGGTCTTCGTGGTAGTAGATGTCGCGCTCGGCCGGGTAGAGCGCGATGCTGTTCAGCATGCCGATGAAGAACATGCTCGACATGGATTGCACGAAGCCGACTCGCGTCTGCACGGAGTAGTAGTCTGTTTTGAGCGGTGCGAAGAAGGCCGTCAGCACGATCCCTAGTCCGACCAGTTGGCTGATTCGCCCGAGGAGGAGGTTTGGCTGCCGGATCAGGTTCTTCATCCCTCTTTGCAAGAGAATGGGGAACGCATGGCTGAATGGGATCTGCGTTCGCATGTAGAGTCCCAGGCCGGCGGTCAGAGTCAAATGGGCTTCTTTGGATGGGGCCGGTGAAGTCATTGACCGAGGGGGTGCCAATACGATGTCAGAGGCCTCATGGTTCGGGGCTACTGCCTTTTCTTGAACGTGTAAAGACCCCGAACTGCGGCGTGAGACAAGGTCAAGCGCAAAATCAGCCGGGTTGGCCGACTCTGGACACATGTGGCCTTGGTTGGCAAAGGTTGAGAGCATATCCGATGCTTGTCCGTTGTACATGACATCTCCCCCTTTGGCGAGGAGGAGCACTCCACCAAACTGGCTAAACATGTCCGAGCGTGGTTGATGTATGGAGAAAATGATTGTCCTACCCTCGTTCGCTAAACCCTTCAGGACTTCGATGATGGAGAAGGCGGTGAACGCGTCTAGACCAGAGGTCGGTTCATCCAGCAGGAGAACACGCGGGTCAGTCAGGATCTGGACCGCAATCGAGACACGTCGCTTCTCACCACCACTAATACCTTTAACCAGGTCACTTCCGATGAGAGTGTCTGCGCAGTCTTTCAGGCCAAGCTTGAGCAGCACCGACTCAGCGCGTTCGATTTTCTGTTTGTGGCTCAAGAATGGCGGGAGGCGAAGACCTGCGGCAAAGTGTAGCGTCTCCCGGACCGTCAGCGACGACAGCAGGCCGCCATCGTCCTGTGGGACATAGGAGCAGATAGAAGTGACGACCTCATTTGTGGCTGTAGAACCATTCAGAAGCATCCTGCCCGAAATCGAATATCTGACAAGTGAGGAATCGTACAAGCGTCTCGCCATCGCATTCAAGCAGGAAGATTTGCCTGACCCTGAAGGACCCATGATGACGTTCAATACTCCAGGTTCGAACGTCGTGTTGATGTCCTCGAAGATACATTTCGTGACTTTGGGATTGAACAGCCGTAGACCATCCACCTCCAGCCCAAAGTGTTCGAGACTCACCCTGATCCCGTGTTCCGCACCGAGCGCTCGTCCAAGCTGCACACCCTCGGACGACTCTGGAGCTTCACTGCTGTGGATTTTCGCCATCTCCACCTCGGTCTTTTGGATGTGCAGTATGACTCCCGACAAGACGAAGAAGAAGATGACGAAGCCAAACAGCACGACAATCGGTCGCCATAGCCAGTTTGAGGGTAGATTTAGTGAGGCCAGGATATACGCTCCGGTATACTCCTTGCAGACTGGGTCGAGAAGTCCATCAGGACTGGGGCAATCGTAGACTCTGTTGTAAAATTCGTTTGTGCAAAGGGCACCAAATGCATAGAACTGTCAAATGAGTTAGCACATTTTGCGATCAAATGAGGAATTTTCACCCACGGTGTAAGCCGTCCATTTGATCCAGCGCAGCCAAATTGCGATCGAATGGGTGTTGGCGAAGAAGCCACAGGCCGTGCTCTGAAGTGTGAAGGATAAATTTGCGTAGAGTGACGCAACCATGAATTGCCGGCTCAAGGCAACGCAGACGGTGGCCAAGTTGACAGCAATTAGATGAAGCAGGAGCTGAATGGCGAAAAAAGTGAAGAATTGGCTGGCTTCAGATCGGAACCCCGCCATAAAGTAGAACAAAATCGAGTAGAACAACGGGACGGGCAAATCTTCCAGGATAAAGCGAGATGCACGCCTGCTGACGATAAAGCTGATGGGTTTCACAACACCCTCGATCCGCTCGCGATCGTAGGTCGTGATATCGATCGTCAAGCGATAGGTCTCGAAGAGCAAAATCAGATAGCCTTGCAGCGCACAGGCTGAATACATCGCTCCTTGCCTGGATCTGATGCCCGCCAGGTCGGTGTCAAGCTGGTAGAAGATCCAACCGCTCATGATTCCCATGCTCAGGGACTCGATCATGCTGGCGAGGAGACCAAGACGATCTCGACATGTGACGATAAATGTCCTACGCGTGTGCGTGATTGTCTCGTGCCAAAGTCCGCTGAGTTTGTTGCCCGAGCTCGTGCTCTTCCTGACATCGGAAACAGTGTAATCAGTAGATACCTGCTCCAAGGCATGGGATGGAGCTGTTCTCCAGGCTTCTTGAAGGCGATGCACCCGTTCGAGTGATGTCTTTTCCAAGTCCTGTGATCGAAGGTCTACCGCAGCAAGATCAATGACGAAATCAAATGGGTTATGGAAGGCGGGCATCCTATAATTGAGGGATTCGAAATACGGTAGACAACCTGCTACAGATCCAGAATAAACAGCCTCACCTCGAGAGAGGAGGATAAGGTGGTCAACGAGCGTCCAGATTTCTGATCTTGGCTGATGAACTGGGATGATTAGACATTTCTGTGGTCACAGCAGGAGTGTAAACTCACTGGTCATGATGACAGTCTTCCCTTTCTGGGCAAGACCCTTCAGCGTCTCAACCACTTGCAGTGCAGAAGCAGCATCCAGACCAGTTGTCGGTTCATCAAGAATGAGGACAGGCTGGTCCGCCAGCAGCTGGATTCCAATACTGGTGCGCCTCTTTTCACCACCACTGCAGCCTTTGTGAGCATCATCACCTATCCTGGTGGCAGCACATGCACTCAAACCAAGCTCTTGGATCACATCTTCGACCATCAATCGTCTTTCGCTTTTCGATCTGGTCGTGGACAGGCGTAGGTCAGCGGCAAATTGCAATGTCTCCCGAACGGTCAGGCTGGGAAGAAGTACGTCTTGCTGCATCACGTATGCTGTTCCGGTGCGGGAATTGGACAGTTGATTGTTCGATGATGGCTCCACTGGTTCATAGTAAATGCTTCCCGATTTCTGAAATGCTTTATCCTTGACTCGGTGAGAGATGGCATTGAGGAGAGATGTCTTTCCACTACCACTTGCCCCGATGATCGCGGTAAGACTGCCGCCCTGTAAATCTGCCGAGACATCTCGTAGGATGTGCTTAGGGGGAAATTTGGCACTCTGGTTGAACAGCTTGGCTTGTAATGCGCTCAGGGACGAGAATGGCGACAAAGCTGCTGGGTCGACCTTGATGGAGAGACTTCGCACTTTGACATGAACTTGATAAGTTTCTAGGCTAGGCGGTTGGCCGCTGGGGGGCGATTCGCTGATAGACGAAGTAGACACTGGCTCATGAGAATTTTGTCTTGCTTCCACGGCTTCAATACTTCCCTCTTGAGCCTCGCCCTCCGCCATGACGAAGTCAGCAATAGGCGCGAGTCTATCGAGAACCAGACTTCATCGTAGTCACTGCTTGGACAGTGAAAGCCTCATTCCCATGAGCACTCCGGGTATTCAATTTAGGTCATCAGAACGAGTTGTCCGGCACGAGTGGGATGAAAGATGAATCGATTTCCGCATGAAGAGGTGCAGTGACATTTTGACTCTTGAGACTCGAGGTGCAATGACAGAGCCGTGCCACAATGAGCATCCCGAAGTTAGACCAGTCATTGGATATGGTGCCCCAGGCTTCTCCAAGCGATGCTACTTCATCAATTGGACCATTGTGTAAGCGAGGTGAATGTGTGTGTGGAAGGGAACTCTACCGAGTAGGTCGTGGTTCTTGGAGAGCAGGCATGAGCTAAATGCCCGAATGCACCTTGTGGGTGTTCGCTTGCACATGTGCGCTAATCAAGGCGTGGCAAGCTCTATGTGATTGGATTTGTGGAAGCTCGCTTGTCTGGACCCTCGACGAAATTGTGAGGCGGTCGAATCCCTTTATTTGAGTGCATGTGCTCCGAAAGTTCTGACCCGACTCAAGTACGGGTGAGTTTCAGAGCAACACAAAGGTGCTTCAAACCACCCATCTCGTCTCCTGCAAGGAGCGGTGGTCAGCATGCTGGGATCAGATTCACAAGAGCTGGCGGTCAATTGAATCTCGGTTGCTCGTCCTAGGCCTCGACTTAAAGTTGCGGTGACCTACGTAAACCCTTAAGACCTCGGTAAGCGTTAAGCGTGATGGTGCCCAGAAAGTGCCCGAGGGCCCCTGCACTTTTGTTCGTCAAAAGGGGATAGGTTTACGAGCACGCCACCATCGATCGGATCTTTTCAAAGGTCAACGTGGCTTTCGAGCTCGTCAACATTTGAGTTGTGACGCGTGACTCGCGATCTGTCATCAGCTGGTGCTTAATGACGGGTTTGTTCTTTCTCGAAGGCCCTGCTCCATAGAGTCCTTTTCCTCTTTCGCCGACCAAATGTGAGATGAGGATTGTCTCGATCTGAAATTGCTCACCTTGATCGAAACGCGCTGGATGTGGAAGTGCACTGTGACCATCTCCCATACCATTGAAGGGTCTGCACCCAATATGTTCTGCTGCGTGTTGAAGTGATGAACCCGGGGTATAGGTCATCCCGTTTCTGCAATCAAGATGCCTAGGTATTTGCCTAGGTAAGTGAAGAACCAACAACAAAAGACGCCGGTACAGGAAGCATGGCCGGTTCCGGAGCTTTCATGATGTCATAACCAGCCCCGGTCGTGCAAAAATGTCCAGCAACACACCGGCTCGCAATTATTAACTTATTCACATACCGACTCGGTCCTTGAATGCAAATTGTCTCGTTTAAGGCATTTGATATGTGCTTTTGGGATCAGCCATGTCGAGATACTCATCGATACTACGTGGTTCTGGTAACAATCATCAGGCTTTCGACAAAGAAAATCTAAAGTCTTTCGAAAAGAACGGGCCGGCTGGTAGAACACCCACAACGCAGCCCATTCAGGCCTGTACCTAGGCAAGTCCACCAATCGCCTCACATCGCAGTTGTGCCGACTTCCGAGTAAACAGGCTTCAACCTTTACAAAGGGAAGGTGGCGCAGACAAACTTGGTGCCTCAAGTGCCCAACAGGCATGAATTTATCTTTTTCAACGTCCACGGATGCCTTTTTAAGGAGGCCAGATGCGGACTGTGGCAATAATACCGCTATATCCGACCCCTACAAATTTATTCACACGCCCATAGTGATGCAGAATGTTTTTATTTATTCTTACTACGTTGCCCCAAAGATTTGACCGTGGTATCTTTTTGCAATACTCAACATTTTTGGTGCCCTTGACTCGAATCTGCCATCTTATGGGACATGACGACCGAATTGAAAAGAACGCGCACGGCTCCTGAACAGAGTCCGGAGCACGCTCAAAATGATCAACACTTGAGCCGTGCCAGATCTACACCAGAGGATGAAACCAATAATCGACTGTTTCCACCCCAATTCGTAAGTTTTAATCCGAACCCAGCCAGCAGGTGTCCCGTCATTTGCAGTGAGCAAAAAAGTGCTACATTGTCTCGCATTTTGGATTTCTTTAGGCGTGATAGCTGACTTAGGGTACGTTAAGCTCGACGACCATGGATCGCACCGCTATCATTTTCACTCCGATGACGACGAGATCATCGATGAGGATAGTCCTTCTGACTCCTCTAGCCAAACCGTAGACATCGATGACAAGGAAGACCGAGATGTCGAGGCAAATCGTCCGCAGATAAGAAGGGAAAAGTCAACCAAGTCCATCAAGGACGCAACACTGGTTAGAAATCTTGCGTACTTCTCCTCACTACCGTGCTGATAAAGATCACAGGTCAGTTGGGAGTCTGACAAAGATCCTGAAAACCCGAAGAATTGGACCTATCGCAAGAAATGGGCAGCAACGTTGATTATCTCGGCATTCACCTTCATCTCACCAGTCTCCTCATCAATGACAGCACCAGCTCTTAATGTGATCGGTGAAGATCTTGGTATCAATAACAACATCGAAAAATCACTCACCCTGTCCATATTCGTTCTTGCTTACGCCGTTGGGCCACTACTGTTGGGACCATTATCAGAGATTTATGGCCGAGTGATTGTCATTCAGTTAGCGAACTTGTTCTTTCTCGTCTTCAACATTGGATGTGGATTTGCTCAAACCAAAGGTCAATTGATCGCTTTTCGGTTTTTAAGCGGCTTAGGGGGCAGTGCTCCTCTGAGTATTGGCGGTGGTGTCCTCTCTGATGTTTGGCACGCAGAGGAACGAGGGAAATCGATCAGCATTTATTCTCTTGCTCCACTACTTGGACCTGCCGGTTAGTGATATCTAGCCGCCTCCTTCAACTAAATCTCTACTGACGCAAATAATAGTCGGGCCTATCGCAGGTGGTTTCATAGCAGAAAATGTGAGTCTTCCCCTAAAGTGATCTTCAATATCTGACTGGTTCAAGACAACATGGAGATGGTGCTTCTGGTCAACATCCCTTGTAGATGCTGGAATCCAATGTCTAGGTCTGATCTATCTTCGCGAGACATATGCACCCAAGATCCTAGCAATCAAGGCCAAACGGCTTCGCAAAGAGACTGGCAACCCCAAACTTCACACCGAATGGGAACTCCCCGATCGAACCTTTGGTAAGGTCTTGAGGACTAGTCTCGTTCGTCCCTTTCGTTTGCTGGGTACACAGATCATCATCCAAGTCCTGGCGCTGTACATGGCCTACCTGTATGGTCTCCTGTACCTCGTCTTATCGACATTCCCATCTGTATGGGAAGGCATTTATCACGAGTCGGTGGGCATCGGTGGGTTGAACTATATCTCGTTGGGGGTCGGTTTCTTCATCGGTGCACAATCAACTGCACGAATGAACGACAAGATCTACATCAAGCTCAAACAGCGGAATAACAACATCGGACGGCCAGAGTTTCGAGTGCCACTCATGATTCCTGGTGCGCTGCTTGGTATGTGGCCATCCGAAATTTGTCGTGGGAATTGCTAACCAAACGACAGTGCCTATCGGACTCTTCATTTATGGGTGGACCGCAAACAGAAACATCCACTGGATTGCACCCAACATTGGTGCAGTAATCTTCTCTGCTGGATCTATCATGGGCTTCCAGTGTACGCAAACCTACATCGTCGATGCGTACCCTAGATTTGCTGCTTCAGCAGTTGCATCGGCAGTTGTACTCCGTTCGTTGGCAGGATTTGGTTTCCCGCTGTTCGCACCTTACCTGTACTCGGCGCTCCACCTCAACTGGGGAAACTCGCTCCTCGCATTCGTGGGTATCGCAATTGGTATTCCGTCTCCATTTTTGCTTTGGAAGTATGGTGAGGGACTAAGAGAGCGAAGCACATACGCTGCCGGATGAGATTTGATAAATCCACAATTTTTGACGTTTTCTATCCTTCCATGACGCAGGATATTTCCTAGATAGTACCCGGACCGTACCGAAATGACATACCATTTATCCACTTTCCAACAAGTCCCTCGGATGGAAAGCCCATGAGATTCTCACGTGATCTGGTCCGCTTCTAGATCATGACGACATGATATCGCAGCCTTGCAAGATTTGCGTAAGCTTGCAGGCCAGAACAGATTCCGGAGTGGAACTGGGAGGGATCTCTTCCATGCCGACCTTTCATGAGATTCAAGCTTTGCTTAGTTCATGCTTGTATGTTCATGACGACAATCAAGCATCATACAGGGCCAGCATCAAGGCTCGGAGCTTTCGTCTGTGGTTGATCCGGTGAATGACATGGCTTATGGAGGTCCACCATTTGCTCCAGGGGTGCTCGAATGTCTCCCTGAGGATTTGGAATCTACGCTCGACCATGCAGGTCCTATGGCAATGTGATCCGTGTCTTGTCGCGCGCAGAGCATGGCCCGGACGCTTCACTCATGTATGAGCTCATCAGAAAACGGCTCAAATTTCCTTTAGCAAGACTCCCGCGGAAGTCTATACTACGTGGTGTGGCCCGTTTGATTCTTTGCCATGGGGGCAATATGGCATCTGAGTAGTTTCGTGTGTGACCATGACTTATCTGGCAGATCCACATGTCTGCCCACCGTCTCTGCCGCCTCATCCATAGGCCATCAAACCTTCTAACCATATCGCTATCTTAAAACGTCACCTCGAACTCTGCCTTTCCATGTCGAAGCATATCCGTGCATCCGGGCTTTGATGACAGCATCGAAAGATCTTGCGGTAGTATATGTACATCCTCCCTGCCAGCTATTCCCCAGCGTTTACAGGTCAACCTTCGAGACCACACCTGCTGCACCAACATCAGCCAAACCAACTCACAACACAATGTCAACCCTCGACCGGCGCAACGATGCCACCACGGTGAATCCCTTCCGCGTCAACGACCGGGATGTGGTGATCCACCAGACGGTCCGCGGCGCCGACTGGTACTACGCCGTGTGCGCGTTGATGGGGGCTACTGCCCTGACCATTATGGTGCTGAGCAGGCGCAAGCCCCGCACGGACCGAATCTTCTTCTACCTGTCCTCCACGCTCTGCTTCGTCGCTTGTATCGCCTATTTCTCCATGGGCTCCAATCTCGGATGGACACCCATCGACGTCGAGTTCCAACGCAGCAACCCCAAAGTCGCTGGCAGGAACCGACAGATCTTCTATGCGAGATATATCGATTGGTGAGCTCAGTACACTGGAAAGCTAACTCAAATATGCTGTCTAACATTCCAATTCAGGGTCATTACGACACCGCTCTTGCTGACCGACCTGCTCCTTACCGCGGGGATGCCGTGGCCCTCGATTCTCTGGGTCATCGGACTGGACGAATTGATGATCGTCACCGGCCTGCTCGGCGCACTGGTGCGCACCCGCTACAAGTGGGGCTTCTACACGTTCGGGTGTGCGGCGATGCTGTACATCTTCTACGAGCTCGGGTTCGTCGCGCGGCGCCACGCCCTCGCGCTCGGCAAAGACGTGCACCGCGTCTACGTCAGCTGTGGCGTGCTCACGCTCGTCGTCTGGACTTTGTATCCCATCGCGTGGGGCCTGAGCGAGGGCGGCAACGTCATTGCGCCAGATTCCGAGGGGATCTTCTACGGCATCCTCGACGTCCTCGCGAAGCCTTGCTTCTCTGCCGCGCTGATCTGGGGACATTGGAATATCGATCCCGCGCGCTTGGGTTTGCGGATCCACGAGTTCAGCAATGAGGGTTTGAGCTCCGCCGAGCGCGAGAAGCGCGGTCTCCCGAATGTCGGTCGTAACGGCACTCCTGGCTTGCAGTCTCACGATCATGTTAGTCCTAGGGCGGAGAATGCTGCGGCTGCGCCTACGGTCTAAGATGGGATTGTGACGGAATGCCTGGCAAAAACCGACTTTGGAACCTTTTACACCACGTTTCGGAGTGATTTTTGTGTCTGTTCCATTGCTGAACATATTAACGATATTTGTTGACATCATAATACCCTCGCTGGGAATGTTTGCTACCTTCATCATGACTTGGGATGATAATTTCTGCCTCGTGCAATTTCTCAGTGTACATCTGGCTCGCATGATTTTGAGATGAAGTTTGCAACACGCTGTACACAGTTTTAACTGGAGTCAACTTGATGACTTTTTAAGATTATTATTTTATCGGTGGAGGTAACGAAGTTTGGAGCCCAGATCTTAATGAGTTTTAATCATGCATTATTAATTATATTTTCTTCTATATTTCGATTTCATGTTAAATACCATCTCGAACACACCCCTAACAATGTTTTCATCATCGACATTCAAGCTTTAGCCTACAGCGTAAATGGCATACCGTTCTACCTCCCTATACAGTCTTAAAAGTATGTCTGACTAACAGCATATGTCAACCATGTCAACCATGTCAACCAAGAGCAGTTTCTAGGAAACGGACGGACACGTGATTGGCTTTTCATGATGACCTGGAAAAGGGGTACAAGTGCTTGGCATGGTATTACAGCCTCGCTTTCTATTCAAGAGTTCCCAAGCTTCAATGCGATGATACGAGATACGAGATACGCAAGGCAGACTTCTGGTCCCTCAAACCAGATACGCTGTTGTGACCCAAGATTGCAAATCACTTGCACGGAGGTCTGTGTTCCATGTCCATTGACCTTGATCTTGAGTCCGCAGTAGGTTACCTAGACAAAGAGATTTAGCAACAGAAAGGACCCTTGGGCACCGAATGATTACGATCTTTGTATGACGCGCGAGCTTACCAGGTATAGAACGCTTCTCATTGCTCGGTAGTTGTGATGGTTCTCCAACGAGACTTTCACACTGTTCTTGTCTCACACTTAGCGGATGGCCTCAGCTCAAATCAGCCGTTCGTGATTTTAACGGTGTCATCTGACCAGGCGCAGCTTGAGACGCATCAAGAGGTCATGCCATGAGACTCTCGTGATTGTTTACAAATCGTGAGGCCTGTACGCTGTCTGCAAGCGTGAGATGATGTTGAAACCTGTAATTGTTTTGGCTTACCATGCGACCTTAGTGACGGTAGGTATTCTTCCGGATGGAAGCCAAGCCGGTGAGGCGATCGTAGCTCTTCACATCTGTGATCAGCCATTTCCGATATGATCTGTGCCAGAATAGCAGAGCTATCACCGTCGTGGGTTGACTTCCCAGTATTGTCGTTGTAGCTGTGACGAAGAATGATGAGATACTCCATCCACCACAGTGAGTACAAACCAATGCCGCGTCAGCATCGAGTCCCGTGAGCATTGCTCTCGTGATGGAACAATCAAGAAAGAGATTATTGTAACCTGATTGTGTGGTCGGACTGGTAAACTCAGCAACAATGACAGATATGTTTCAACATCATACTTCTCACCGGAGTGGAGTCAATTTGGATCATGTTTACCATGGAGAGTACTGGGTTACAACGCTGCATAAGGTGCCGCACACCCGCCTTTTTCAGGCACTGAGCGACGTTGCCTTAAGTTCAGATCGTCAGACGCCATGAAAGAATGATGGCATAGCTGCGAGGAGGATGATCGCCCGAACAGCGATGTTGAGCATGTGACCCTTCGGAGCAATGATCCTCTTGGCCGTGCGAATGTGAGTGTTGAAGGTTGACTGGGATATGATCTCAGGCTCGCAAGTGATTCTAGAGAGCCAGTATTCTTCAGAGGATGCGAGTTCATGTGTTGTGAGATCGTGCAACTCCCATCTCCGTCGCGACGTCAGCTGGTGGCACAGACATACCAGGGGTGAAGGTTATTGTTTGGTTGGGTTATTTCCTGCTAGGACGAATCCTCGTCCTCGGCAGGCTGAGAGTTCCAATTCCACCGCCATGTCAGTGTCGCATATATCTGACCGCGGGCCGTCTTTCCGGTTGCGATACTATGAGATAATTTGTGTCATCGTTGTAAAGGAAATTATGGTACGAGCCTTTCCCAAACTCGAGGCTCAGGGAGGCAGTTGACGCGTTGACAACTGGCTTGGTGATGGAATTTATCTGGAATCGGAAGGGTGACCTTTTGTAAACATGGCAGATGTGCGACCGAGCCGAGGATGGTTGGCACAGGCAGGAACAGTCCATCCGTGGGCTTCCCTTCCGGTTCCCCGCGAAGTTGACCTGCAGGCTGTGATACGAGGAACAGAGTCTGAGTCACCCCATAGATTCATTACATGTCCATCCACTTAGTTGTTGATGAATCGCACAATGTGAAGCTTGAGCGTAGGCTGGTCAATGTTGATGACACGTTGCATCCGGGACAAAATCCCGATTCTCTGGGAGGAAGACACTGCATTGAACTTTTGGACTGGTACAGCTAGGGGTTCCCCCTCTCAGGAAGACACCCCGGCGAGAGGTTCACGAGTCAAAACGAATGTGTGGCCGCAAGAAGGTAGATAAGTTACAAGGATACGTTCCGTCGACCTTGGAGCCAGGTCTTTTCATGACCTAGGGCTTGTCTTGGGCATGTGTAGACAGCAAGTGTCTGTAGCGTTGCACCCGATACAACTCGTCATTGCAAGATACAGTCGCGAATTATGCGACGGAAATGGAGGTCAATCCAGAGTACTGTGTATTTGGCCGTGGATAGAACATGCTGCTTCTGGCTAGTCATACAGCAAGATCAAGCGTACACAAACAGGCTTTGGACACAAGCGCCGATAACTCCGCCCACGACGCCGTTTTCTATGGTGAATTCTCACACGGGGCACTTATGATCGATGGAGGTCTCATGCCATGTCATTTCGTGCAGATCAAATCCGGGCGCGCTTCTGCGGACTAGCTGTCGATGCAGCTGGCCCGCCACGTGTTGGTACACATTGCTGACAGGGGCTGACCAAGGCTCCTTTTCCATCGCATTCTGTACATTTCTTGTTGTTCCTGAGTTGGTTGTCAGTGTCAGATCAAATCTCTGGAGTGCAGCTGCATCTATTCCAAGTATGAGTGAGATGGCTGACCTTGGAGGGTGTCCGGCGCAACCGGTGCATTGAATCCATCGCTTTTTATGTTCACACATATTGAGTGAGATGTAAGTGTGTTGGCTGGAATAACGAGGGGATTGCTGATAGATTGTTGAAATCAAAGTCGAAGATAAATCGCTGTCGAACTGTGATGAGATTGAGAAGTCGACTGCTTTTTGCCAGGACTGTCAGATAGGCTCGCATTTATATGGCCACGTTCGCCATGCATATGACATACACCATCTCTCTTCTGAGGTTTGTGCGATCGCAACACCCATTTGAAATACCTCAAATCCACGAGGAGGTTGTGTGCCACGACCAAAGGGTCGAAAGGGAGAGGTGCGATACGAAGGAGACCAGCTGTGACCTTCTCTTTCCGAAGCCCAAACATGACCGTGATGTCCACACGGAAATGTCGGCTATTGAGGTGTCGGCTAAAAACGGTATGGTCTGCGTATAGTGGTGTACTGGAAGGCGTGACCTAGACCGTGTGGTCAATGGCCATAAGCATGGCCTAGACGCGGCCACAAGCCCAAGGGTTGACCAGGGCTGGTAAGGTTCCATGAGAGTGATCGATCGTTCAAAGCCAGAGATGGAAAACATGCTCATCGACAGGTCAACTACTGCCTTGAAGATTACACGCATATGAATGAACGAGACAAAAAGCCCGTATCACCTAAAACAAGAGGAGACAGCGTGTCAAGCAGGGTGGAATGGAATGTGGCAAATTAAGCCTTCGACGTTGATTCCATTTTGCTTCCTCTGGGTCCCAAGGATATTCAGAATAGATGAACATGACGGAGAGACTTCTGCAGTGAAGTAGGGTCATGATATGAAGAGTGGCACGGACCTTTGGCTTGAATGTATTAGTTATCCTAGAATGCAATCCATTCATTGGACAACACAAAATACGACGTGTAGCGATGAAGAAGCCAGTCAATACGCCTGAACCATGATGTTGGCTCAAGGGTGAACCTGGGTCGTGCTCAACTGGGCCAATCGGTGCAGGTAGCACGACGTGGACGAGGTATACTGATCAGACTTGATGAGTTCAAGATACATCGCGCAAGATCTGGACCATGTTTGCGGTGGAAGAGCTTGATCCTCACCTCAAGATCATCGAAGTAGGCGAATGGCTTGTGAAAGGCTCAGAGTTCCTGAACGCAGCTCTTACTAGGTTGCTGAATTCTTTAGGCTGGGAGGGCCGGGTAAGCGCCATACCTAGAGATGCGAATGTAAAATGGTGATAGAAGTATGGACCCTCTGGCCACATTCATTCCAATGTCAATTCCGGTATTCGATCTTGGCGGCAGGAAGACCAACCATATCAGGTAGACTAATCTGGGCCAGTAAAGCTGCACGATATTTGGAAGCTGGGAGATTGGGGGAACTTGGGACTGTAACACTTCTCGATCAGCTCAAACGCCTCCTACAAGACGGTCGAGGTAGAGTGACGAGCGTTTACGGTCTTGAGCCTGTAGATGTTGTAGCCATGCGCGGCTCGGAGTGTCTGATGATTTTGTCTCGCTGGATTCACCATGATATTGACGGCGACGAACCGACCTGTAATTCAATTAGACCAGTATCCATGGATACTTGAGGTAAGCACGGGGTCTCGGCAGGTGATCAAATCTAGCAGAGCCCGGCGGCGTTCGTGATACAGGACAAGGAATGGCTTGTTCCTAAAGCAGATGGCGACATTGGAATCTCTACCACTCCAGATGAGATCCGCAATTGTACGGAAATTTGGCAAAGATTCTTGATCATAGGACATGATACATTTCCGACCTTGAGGACAAAGATGAGAATTGTGCGCTGTACCAAAACCAGTGGGTACACAGGGCGTGGGCTTAGCGACCAAAAGCTTGCTAGTAAAGGAGGGTACCACAGAAGCAATAGTACCACTGGAGAGGGTTGTGTGAGATCTCAAGTGAAGCGGTTACAGCTGGAGAAGGTGGCATTATGATCGTCCAACGGTTCAACAAGAACATTAGCATTGATGAAGCATGATTTACCAGCAAGGGATACCTGTAGAAGTAGCTAAAGGTAGAGGTGGTGGTGGGAGTGGCGAAGCACGTGTTCGTGAGTGAGCCGAGGCTCTTCCCGCTTCGTACGTATCGACGTCGGTTAAGCCCAGGCTCGGCCAGAGTGTTGACCTCAAGAAGCGACTTGAAGTTTTCGAGGACAAAAGCCTAGCCAGTTCAGCTTGTTAAAAGATGCTCTTGCATTGACAATATTTTACTGACAACTGTTTCCATCCATCACTGTCAAGTCAAAGAGTCCACGTGTGCAGCTGCCAGATAGAATTCCCCTCTCCAGGTGCGGCAGTCAAAACGTCACACGATGTCGTTCAAACCAGTGTCCAACATCAAGTTTTTTAACGTGACGAGCCCGGCACCATTCGTGGTACACGTGGAAATCAACAGACCTGAAAAACTCAATGCCTTCTATGAGCCCATGTGGGTGGAGCTCAAAAGGATCTTCGAGCAGCTATCTACAGATCCAGAGGTCCGGTGCATTCTGATATCAGGTGCAGGAGATCGAGCATTTACCGCAGGTGTGTAACAAACCTCTATTTTCTGGGAATGGAGTTGCAGGTATACTGACTGGCGATGCACCCTTAGGGCTTGACGTACAAGAAGCGGCAAAGTCTGGAAGTCCACTCAGCGCCGATGGCGGTGATGGGAAGAGCGATCCCTCACGGCAAGCAACCAACATAAGACGACATGTCTTCGAGCTGCAAGACGTTATCTCGGCAGTGGCGCGTTGTGAGAAACCGACGATTGCACTTCTGCACGGCTACACGTATGGCTTGGGGATTGATCTGTCGTCGGCCTGCGATATTCGCTTCGCCGAGAGCAGCACCAACTTCTCCGTCAAGGAGGTCGATATTGGCATCGCTGCTGATGTTGGCACATTGAGCCGCCTTCCTAAAGTGGTCGGTGGAATTACCAGCTGGGTCAAGGAGGTCACGCTTTCGGCACGACCATTTTCCGCCGAAGAGGCCCTGCGACACGGGTTTGTGAGTCGAGTGGTCAAGGGCAAAGCCAATTTGATCAACGAGGGACTCGACTTTGCCAAATACCTGGCGAGCAAAAGCCCTGTGGCTGTGCAAGGAACCAAGAATATCCTGGATGCGGCGTGGGGAAGGACTGTGGAGGACAATCTCAACTACACGGCAGTATGGAATGCGGCCATGGTGCAGAGCTCGGACGTGACGCGAGCAATCCTGAGTGGATTGCAGAAGCGCACACCAACATTTGAGAAGTTGTGAACCTAAAAGGAGCAGATGGACCATGGTCAATTTCAGTGACGCCACAAGGAGAAAAAGTGTTGATAATCATGGTGGAGTGGGTGGTTCCTGCATGCTGATCATTACGGAGTACTGAATCGACGGATGGAGCTTTATGACATGCAACATTGGCACGGGTGGAGAGAATACAGTGGAAAACAAGAAGTGGAAAGTTTGAAGATGGTAATGCCACCTGACTTGATTGGGAGAGAGAAAAGGGTTGGACAGGGAATTGTGCATCCGTATCTACTTGTGCCCATACATCGTGCCTTGATAAACCAGATTTCAAACAGGCGGTTGGTGAAACTGGAAAATAGGAAAGTCTGGGGCTGTTTCTATGCCAATACTTGGTAAATAGGCGTCTCTCTGGGCGACACGCTCCAAACGAAGAAATGGGCGTGCTGCCGGATGCTGGCGGGATTGGTGTGGTCGTTGGGGGCATCTAGGCACGTGATTATGGTCCTGTTGTGCGGTTTTGTGTTGATAATCCGTATCCATACCTGGGTAGTTCTTTACAGGGGTGCCCGTTCGGGGGGGGGGTTGACGGGGTTGCTGGGCCATTGCAGAACATCAACAAGTCTCGATTAAAATACTGTACCGAGTAGTGTTTGACACAATAAATCGTTTGAATTGTGTTGCCAACGACTTGCACACTGGCTATATCCACCTGCACGTTCTCTTGGTCCTCTGTCATACCGACTCCATACAGCATTACGGAGGTACACCTCCTTCGTAGAGCTCGTTCCTGAAATCGCTAAGGCTGAAGCCACCAAAGTCAACACCCCCCGGCTACTAGCGTCTTCCCCCTCCGAGTGCCACCACCAACTGCCCACCGCCCACCGCCCACCGCCCACTGGTGCCACTCCAGTGACGTCGTCTTCTCTTGCCCGCCGCGTCAGTACCGAGTCACTTCTGGAGCTTGGACTTTTGAGCTCTTGCAGAAAAAGAGAAGAGCACTGGCAGCTCCGTCACCACTCACATCATCATCATCCCACAGCCTTCCGCCCTCAACTTCTCCTCTCCCTCTCCTTCCTTCCTCGTTTCCTACCAGGCTACACACATCTTCCAAATTCTCCAACTTACCTAGCTATTCTACACACACCGCTCACACTTCAGCTTCACACTCCAACATTCTTTCTCTCGCATCCCGTATCTTCGCTTGCACCACATCTTCGTCAATATGGTGTCCCGAGTAGTAAATCTCGGCCTGAGAGGGTTTGAGGTAGCTCTATCCCCACCTATTCTGACCCAAACTTGGTTGCTGATCACCCTCTGTTCTAGTTCCTATGCACCCTCATCGTGTTGGCCCTGGTGGGCAACATGATCGCAAGCGCTTTCGCCGGCAACCCATCCTTGATCAACTACGATATGTTCGTGGCCGTCTTTGGCATGCTGTCATTGTTCTACTTGACAGCAATCGCCTTCAACGATTCCTTCACCGGCCACTCAATCATCCCCGTCGTCCTCGACACTCTCAATGTTCTCTTCTTCTTCTGCGCCGCTGTCGCCATGGCTGCTGAGCTTGGTGCTCATTCTTGCAGCAATCGGGTTTGTTTGTCCTGACCAGTGTCTCTGCGGCTGTACTAACTTGTGAACAGTCCTATACTGAAAGTAACCACATCACCAACGGTTCTCGCAACACCGGGGGTCGATGCCGAGAGGCCCAAGCCACGACCGCGTTCTTGTGGTTTGCCTTTGCCGCTTGGACGGCAAGCTTGGCTTTCACCTTCCTTGGAGCCCGAAGTGGTGGTGTCAATCTGAGAGGCGGCCTTGGACGAAGAGGTGGGCCAGCCATGTCTCAGGTGTAGAAAAGTGAGCAGAGGGTTCGATGTTGGGAAATGAGCCCCTACAACTTCCCACACATCTGCATCACGTATGCTATGAGACAGCTTTTCTATTATGCGAGCTTACTTGTACTAATTCTGCGACAGGCTAAATATCTGCCTCCTACGCCGAATCTGCTTGCGATGTACATACGCCAGTGGTGTTGGAGTCTCGGAGATTTGTCCCACGGTCTGATCATCTAGCCAAGGGAGTGTCGGTTGAAAAGTGCGTTCACTGGCTGGTACCCAGCGCCCGCATTGCGACCACAAGGCTCTCGCTTAAAGCTGGACGTCTCGGGAGCATGGGACAATCGAAAAAAGTAAACGACAGAAACAAAAAAAAACATCATGGAAGGAAAGAAATAAGCTTATGATTGAAAGGATGCTTTTATTGCAACGCCAGAGTACAGATAACCTTCACGGTTGGTTAGTCTTAATGTGTATGAAAAAAGGTCAAGGGGAGGGACAGGTCGATGCCATGGAGTTTTTTTCTGAATCAACAATAATATCGCATCGATTGTGGATTTTTGTTATGCGTGGCTCTGTCCAAACGATTGTCAACTCAGCTCTTGGTGCCAGTTGTGCTCTCGTGCATGAGCAACAACGCCGAATATATGGCTTGCTACTTGTCGTAGAGCGCCTACCCAGGTAGATAGCAATGTCACAAGTCACTACAGTCAAAACTTGCAAAAACACGCTCTCTGTTCCATGTCACCCCCTGCTCGGTGTGTTTCTGGTCGGTCCCTTGATCCATCCCGAGTGCAATGATCGTAGGTACGTGTCGTGTCGCCTCGAGCTTGAGTTGTGGTTAGCTACCGGTGTTGGTCCTTGCAAACAGATAGACCATTGCTAGCCGGCGGGTACTCCACGATACCTTCCATCAGTGGACTCTCGAGTGTCATGGCCACACGGTATTGCATCGTCCGGCGAAGGAGTGAATACATTCTTGAATTCAGTCCCGGCGCTTGCGGGTTTTGGCTGTCAATTTGAGGTATCGATGGACTTATATCTTGGGAGACGGCGATGCACCAAGAACACGCAGGAAGACAAAACAACGATGGAGCGACATGCTCAGATGATATAATTTACATTCATTTTTGAACAGGTTGGCCTTCTCGGACCTAGGCCAATCTTCTTTTAAAAGTAGCTAGCTATCGGTACTTTGCCACTACCAGTCCTCGCTTTGCCTTGCCGCGCCTCCACCTCGCTCCCGCTGTTGCAGTTAAGCAAGCATTAACCGCATCGAATCAACAGCCAAACACGATCATGCTCTAGTGACATTAGTGGTCTGGAAAGTGAGGGAGCCATTTGTATAGAAGGTCATGGTCATCCAGCCTTGACGGTCGGACATAGATCACCAGTTGACCCTCGAATCACATCATACAAAAGGAACGCCCCTCGTTTTTAGTAATGGATGGCTTGTGAGTAAGTGCTCATGGCGGCCTCCTTGAACGCCTCTGCCAATGTGGGATGAGCATGGCATGTTCGAGCGACGTCTTCACTGCTGGCGCCATACTCCAGGGCCAGTGTTCCTTCGGCGATCATCTCACCGGCATTAGCCCCGATGATATGGACACCCAAGATGCGGTCCGTCTCGGCGTCTGACAAGAACTTGACAAATCCGTCGGTTTCCAGATTCGTCTTGGCTCTCGAGTTGGCTGTGAAGGGGAAGCTTCCGACCTTGTACTTGACGCCGGCCGCTTTGAGTTCTTGCTCGTTCTGGCCCACCCACGCGACTTCGGGATGTGTGTACATCACGGAGGGAATGGCGCCGTAGTTGACGTGGCCAAAGCCCTTTTTGATGTACTCAACGACGGCTACTCCCTCTTCCTCGGCCTTGTGCGCCAGCATAGGGCCGAAAGTCACATCTCCGACGACGCGGATGTGGGGAATCTTGGTGCGATACTCTTGGTCAATGACGAGGCGCTTCTTGTCATCGAGTTCGATACCGATATTCTCCAAGCCGAGACCATCGGTATAAGGTCTGCGGCCGATTGCGACCAAAACGACCTCGGATTCCAGAGTTTCATTCTTACCACCTTTGGCAGCCTCCACCTCGAGCTTGACGGTTTCACCACTCGGGTCGCCCGATGTGACTTTGGTGTTCAACTTGAACTTGATGCCTTGTTTGCCTAGAATCTTTTGGGCTTGCTTGGCGACGTCAGCATCCATACCGGGGCCACCAATCTGGCCGAGGAATTCAACGACAGTGACTTGAGAGCCGAGACGAGCCCATACGGATGCCTGGGAATTGGATTAGGACACTGACTTGGAGGACCGGAAGGGTTCACCTACCATCTCGAGACCGATAATGCCGCCACCAATGACAGTGAGTCTCTTTGGAACCTCTTCCAGGGCGATAGCGCCAGTGCTTGTAATGACCTTTTTCTCGTCGATCTCGAGTCCAGGGAAAGGAGTGGATTCGCTACCGGTGGCGATGATGATGTTCTTGGCCTTGATGTCTGCTTCGCCCCCGTCTACGAGGTTGACCCTGACGGTGTGCTCGTCGACAAATGATCCAGTGCCTTTGATGTAGTCAACCTTGTTCTTTTTGAAGAGGAATTCGACGCCCTTGGTCAGACCGGCGACGGATTCTTCTTTTGCCTTCATCATTTGTCTCAGGTTGAGTTTGACATCGCCGACGTCAATGCCTCGCTTTTTCGTGTCGTGTAATATCTGGTGGTAGAGATGTGAATTGTTGAGGAGGGACTTTGAGGGTATGCAGCCGACGTTCAAGCATGTACCACCAAGGGCACCGCGCTTCTCGATGCAGGCGGTCTGTTTGCGGGTTAGAGACTTGAATCAGAGGTTGCCCGGACGCCACTGCGCACCTTGAAACCCTCCTGTCCAGCTTTGATGGCGCCGACATAACCAGCAACGCCGCCTCCAATGAAGAGAACATCATATTCTGAAGCTTCCGAAGCGTAACCTCTACTTCTCTGTTGGTTCTGGGAGAGGATCTGGAAGCTTGGGGCGACCCTTAGGTTTGCTGGGCCAAACTGCGGAACCTTGGTTGAGAGTAGTGACCGGCCGGTCCTGGGAACCAAAGTCTTGAGCATGTTGAGGATGAGTGGAGGGACAAGTTGAGAGGTGGCCGAGAGGGAAGAAAATGAAAATGGTGCTCTATGTCACCGAAGCCACAAGTCAAGAGGCCAACTTGCTGAACAATAGAAAGAGTGGTGGTAGTAAATGGAAGATAGTCGTCGTCGGAGGCGAGTTGGTGCTGCCGGTAGCAGTCGTGGTATCAAGCAGCAGGCTCAGAGCTCAACATGCAGTGCAAGCCAAACCCGGCTAGTGCGTTTGGGAAAATGCTGGCGAAGGGGCAGCCGCGAATAACCATCTATTGTGCTGTCAGACGACGGAAGGAGACAAAATGTGACAGGAATGTGCTGTCACTCTTTCTGTCAGACAGTGGAGCTGCTCCTTCCTTCGGAGTGCTTCTCGCTCCCCGACGCCTTCCCTTCGCTCTATCAAACAGAACCCTCCTACTAGTAATCATGAATTCCATAAAATCCCGCAATGCTTGCGTACTGGTTCAAGAGACATTTCGGCTATGGTACAGGCCCATCACCTTTCGTACTAGTAGGCCATTGATGATCAAGTACCAGTGCTCCATCGGCTTGTTACCCGCCACGAAAGCGATGTTGAGTTAAGGTTGCTCTCCTGGTATAAAACATGCTTCTCGTATGCTGATACCACATGAACATGAACACATTCTACCACCAGTCTGATATACAATCACTCGGCTGCAGAAGAAGTCGATCATGCAACAGCCACAGCAGAAAACACCACACGTCGACAAGACCAAGATTCCGTAGCTGTCGGGACCTCTCTTTGTTTGCTCTTTGCTATATCTGCAACTGCAAGGCTTCATGCTGGTTGCTGCTGCTGACAATGACTATTATGTTATGTATTTTGTGTTTGTATCCAAAGACTACCCAGGATCACAGCGATTGGTGTCTTGTTGGATGCGCCCCGGCGTGCAGGATGAAGATGAGTCGCTACCCGTTGGCTCATAAAGACACTGGTAAAGGCCCACCCACAAACGAGCATACTTTGAATTACTATGTCGACTTTGCTAAAGTGTGTTTTGACCTGTATCTGCCCGCGAACTGAGGTACGTTTGTGGTCATCTCATTCCCTCCCTTGGCCAGCTCAGTGTCGCTACTCTTGATGGCGTACACCGCGACAATGAACTCCTAAATCTCACTCTCCTCTGATTCATTCACTGCCTCTGACCTTGAGAACCACATCACTTGCGGGTCACTTCGCACCTCTTCTTTTTAAGTTCTCTTCTCTTATTGTATGTTTTGCTTCTTCCCAAAAGCTTTTTCATCATTATCGCTCGGTGAGCTTGGTATCCATCGACTATGTCTCCCGTTATCATGCCTCGTGATAGCCCGATCAGTGTTCGATTCATCGATCTCTACTCACATCTAGAGCACCGAATCGATATCGCTCCCAACACCGGTTTCCCTCAATTTTTGTGTCTCCTGACCGAAGTCTCCGGCCAAGTCGCTCAGCACATCCAAGGTGTTGCCCGCCCACCGATCCCAAATCAGGGTTTCACCACTTCTGACGGTCCATGGTGGTATCGTATCGTCAGATCTGACGGAAGTCACAAGCCTGCGGGTAGGGATGACGACGGTGAAGTGGTGTGGCGTATCTTGAACAGCGCAGCTGCCTTTGATTTCCTGCTCGGTGACATGACCATGGGCGTCGACACTGCGGGAGGTTGGGTTGAGGTCGAGCATGTAAGATGTCAATTCCCCCTCACTACCCACATCTGAGACTGACCATCAATCAGAACCAGCAGAAGACTCGCGACGAAGGAGAACTTATAGAAGTCAATCTGAACCAGGCACTGGAACGCGTCAAAGATACCATCCGTTCAGGCTACGATTCAAGAGTCACCAGTATGGAGTTTCAAGATAATGGAGAACCTCGACTTGGACCACAAGTGCCTCGTCAACCCAACATGGGAGGTGGCGCACAGGTCCCGATGCGGTTGTTGACTCGTGAATTCAATCTGCCTGTTGGTCGCCATCTCTACCCACAAACACATAGCGCACCTCACACTCCTTACGGTCTCCCAGACCTCATGACTGATCCCGACCTTCGGGGACCACCCACTGGTGTTTCTCTTCCTACCGAAGGAGTGAGTTCCACATTCGTCGGCTCGTCCAGCAACACCAATCACGCTCTCGTCACGGCCCCTGGTCAGCCCACCGTCTCCCCCTTTCCTGCATCTTCGCCTGTCTTGCCAGGTTCTGATTCCCTCCTCGGGGCTACGGCTCATTATGAGTCGAGAGAAACCCGCATGCACCTCCCGCCTGTGGTGGACAGCTCCGTTATTCGCGAGGCTGATGTTTTGGAGAGCTTTCCGCCTTTGGAGATGATCCCTGCTTCGACCATGCCCACCTCGACTGTGCACCAAGTCACGCCGGGTCTCTCCCAGTACCAGCCAGTCTCATACCCCTACGGACCTCATAGCACTCTTGCAACATTCAATCCATTGCCACCACATGATGTGGCACCTTTCCAATACAATTCGGGTCATTACTCCAATCGTGACCAAGGACCACCCCCAGGATTGTTTGGCCCTCCGCGAAGCAGAGGTCGTGGTTATGTGAATGATTACTCCTACCCAAAGAACAATAATGGTCTACGTGATGCTCAAAGCTATAGCAACGGCTATCAGTTTGGACAGCGTGATGCTTCCAATGATCGCCTCTATCACAAACACAACTTTGGTCAACGCAATGATCAGGGCCACGTCAGCGGAAATCGCAATGGAGGTCGCCGCAAAAGCTCGGCTGATTTTGCTAATCGAGCCTTTCGTGGAGATGGAAGTCGCAGTGAGAATCAGATGTACCGAGGTCAGACTGGTCGGTCGCGCAACCGCGCCGGTCCTGGTTTCAATATGATGGAGGATCATCAAGCTCAGACGCGGGAGTTTTTGCCTTACTCGGACTCGGCAATTCCTCCTCAATCAAATGCACAATATCATCCTATGTTTGAACCACACATGCAGTCTGGGGGATATCCGGGTATGATGGGTCCAGTTCAAGCCCACCCTCCGACCTATGGATATGGCGTGCAACCTCAATACCCTCGTGCCGAGCGAGATTGGACCACAGTCTCTGGAGTCAACACTGACCTGATGACCGAGTCCGAGATCGCTGCACTGAATCGACAAGGTGTGGAGCAAGCCAACGTTCAGAACACGGTGCCTCAGGTAATTGTGGAGAAACCTCAAACCAGTGCTGCCGTCCCAGCGCCGGTCCCAGAGCTTCCCAAGACCGCCACCAGGGCCCCGGCCTCTGTCGTCGCCAGAAAGAAGAAGAATAAAGAGCCCCTTCAAGTTCGTGATGTGCAAACCGCATTGGACGTTACCGTGACCGATCCAGATCTCGCCAAGTCGATCAAGAACGGAAGCAAGCCACCACCAGTGACAAAGTTCCCTGGCAAGTTGACCTTTGGCAAAGCACCACACGTGATGCCCATAAACCTCAGAGAGTCCATGGAGAAGCGCATCTCGGCTGCTGCCACGAAGCGTCATGCTACCCGTCGCGCCAACGAGACGAAAGCCAAGGTGCAGGCCGAGCAGAACCAAGTTGCAAAGCAAGAGCTCCGTGTCAAGCAGAATAACAACCGCGCAGCTCGCGCACAGCGTCGTGAGAGCAGGGTCTTTGGAAAAGATGATGCCTGAGCGTCCATCGAATGTTGGAGACTTGGATCAACACAACACATTGTGGGACATGCTGTGGTTTCAATGGTCTTGGAGGTAGTCTTGGATCAGAGCCAACATGGATTGGTCGTGGTTGGTTGGCCTAGGATGTGAATTCGTTGACAAGGTCAACTGAGATTGTGTGGGTATTCAAGGTCTTTTCAGGGATTCTGGAGACGAGTCGACGTCGATTGCCTGGATGTGGCTACATAGGTTCGTGTCTGAAGACATCACAAGGGAGAGAAAAAGGACAAGAACAGAACAGAGTGTACTCAGGTAGCTAAGGAAATGCATTGCGAGATCTCACTCGATGTTCAGCTACTACCTTCCCTTCACAACTCCCTTCTTTGCCAGATCCTTCGACCAAGTGTCGTGCACACCCGACCGGGGCCATATCGATATAGCACATCAGCCGTAACCATGTGTCCTCCTGTAGAGTGTGCTGAAACAATCAACACGGATCCTAAAGCAAGACTCCGAGCCAACATTCAGATTACGATATCCGATGCGCTGTAAACGACCTGTGTCTTGAAGAGCCGACACATTTCTTTTCCGCGCAGACGCCGGCGATGGAAACCGGAAAATAAGTGCGGCAAGGTTGACCTTATACGAATACGAGATTCGGGGTCACGTGTGAGGAGAAAAATGCGGGGCTCGCACGTGGTCCCCTGCTGTGTGAGCGCATCTCAATAATTTCAATTTCTCAAATTCGGTACTACGACCACATTTCCAGATAGATCCAGTAGGCTGCAGTTCTCAAGACATTCTCCTACTTATTAAAGCATCTATCCTGATCCAGCAATCTCGACCAACCAACCACCCATCCCCACCCCAACCACCGAACATCGAACCCCCACCGAAAAATGGCACAAGGCCTCCTCAAGAACAAAAAGGCCAGCGCGAGCACGACCTCCGCAGGCGGCGGCGGCGGCGGCAAACACACGACGAACCACAAAAACGCCTCGTCCACCTCCGGCGTCACCAAGAAAGGGTCGCGGGCCGTGACGCCGCGCAAGGCCAAACTGCTCAAGCAGGCCAAGATCAACAAGAAGTACACGGGCGGCTTGACGGCCAGGACCGAGGCCATGTTGGGCCAGCGCGCGGGACATCTCGAATTGCTGGGCCAGGGCAGGAAGAAGACTTCGGGTGCCGCGGGTGGTGCGGCCGCGGCGGATAAGGCGAAGGGTGCGAAGAAGGGCATCAAGAAGTCCTGAGGTGGGATGGGATTGGTGTTTATGAAGACGAGTATGCTCAAGGGTGCAGCAATGGCAGTGAGGGACATCTTGGGCTTCGAAAAGGCGGGGATTCGGTCGTGTCTTCCACCAGGCGATATCCCGAAAGTTTATCTTCATCTGCAATGATTCAAGAAGCGGTTGTGAGAGCTTTGACGCGGAGAAAGTCAACTGGAAGCGAATCAGAGAAGCAGGTGGCCAAGAAGCTTAGATGCAATCACTATCACGGAAAAATCACCTCGATGGCAAGGGAGCCTGATTGATTACCTGATCTCCTAATGATACACTCCGCATGACGGGAAGGACGGTCTGGAAACCATGCAGCACCAAACTCCACAGATCCAGACTCCATGTGGTATACGAACGATTCCGCAGCAGCAACCGCAAACAAAGACGCAAAGATTTCCCATTCACCCCAGGGCCCGAGCAGCTTCACCACCGCCACTTTCGGTAATGGCCTGCTGATTCAAGTCGGCCTTCAGCTTTCCCTTCCGGCCACCACCCTCACCGACGCCCATTCGCTTGGCGACATATTTCTGGGCAATGACTCCGACGGCCAAGCTCAAGCTCTCCTCCACCCACTCGCTGACCCATTCTCTGGGATCGATGCCTCCACTCTCGATGATATCCTCGATGCTCTCGGGCAGAGTGCCTTCACCACCGCTCGGTGCGTCGAGCCACTCGAGCCACTGTCCGGGGAGAGCTTGGGAGACGGCCTGGAACGCAATGCCGTGGACGGGGTCGTGCAAGTAGATGGCGAAGATGATTTCGGATTTCTCGTCCTCGGCAACCTCCTGCACTTGACCTTGCTCCTTCTCGGAGCTCGGGGCCGTGGCGAACAGGTCCTTGGAGACTGGTTGTGAAATCGCTTGGACGGCCAGGAAGATCTGACTGTCACGGGTAGGGTTCGACTCGGAGAGGGTTTCCGCGGCGCGCTTGGCCGCTTCCTCGAGGCCTCCTTTGGGAGCGAAGTATTCACTCGCATAGGATTCCGCCGATGCTCGGACCAGCTTGCTTCCTTCAACGGCGCCTTTAACTGCGTTGATGCTCCGTCTCTCACCGCTTCTCCACCACGGTCCGTCGTGCCACGAGCCCAACGGTCTCGAGAGTTCGGACGAGCCGCGCTTGGGTCCGGCTTCTTGACCTTTCTGGACGACCATCAGGTCACCGCCCTCGACCTGCGCCATAACACGGCTGAAGACTTGGTAGATGAGAGGATCGAGGGTGGGGTAGTTGGTGAGGTCATGTGTGATGTGAATTTGCAGTCGTTCATGGGATGAGATGGGAGGGGCGATGGTCTGCAGAATGTTTTGGAAGGTGGGTATGGCCATGGATCTGAGGTCACCACCTGCATGAGATTAGCATCGAATATAAAAATTGTTCAAACTGTCTGTCCTTACCAATACCTCGCAGCGCTCCCACATTGCCTCGCACCTGCTCCGCCCATCGCTGTGCCTCTTCGTTCTTCTGAATCTCCTTGACCGCCGCCTGAGCTTGACTCACCGCCGCCGACGCCGTGGAGAGTAGACCTCCCCACCAGCCGCCGCCCGCGGCTGGCGCAGGTGCAGGTGCAGGCGCCGGCGTAACGGGCTGTGACTCGGTCTCGACCGACTCCTCTGTCGTCGTGGTCGCGGGTGTGAAGCTCTGATGGAACGAGCGCATGCTGTCGCCGGATTTCCGCTGGCCGTTGCTCGACTTTTCCTCGCTCGAGCGGCCGGCGGGCGGGGTGGCCGTGGCGGCGCGGTTAGGAGAGCGACTGCCGGCCGTCGAGGGGGCGTTGGGCTTCAGCGAGGGCGTGCCAGGCCGGCTGCCCGGTCGGTGGTGTGCGAGGCTGCCCAGCTCCGCCAGCAGGTCCTGTTCCGTCTGTGATGTTTGGGCGCCACTGCCGCCGCCGCCTTGACGGGGGGTGCGTGTGGATGGTTTGGATGGTCGGGTCGTGGGTTTGCTGCCGAGGTCGTCAAGTTGAGCGAGGAGCTCGTCGTCGGTGGGGGCCGCTTTCTTCGTCGCCATGGTCATGAGGTTGGTTGTTGATATGGGGTGGGTGGGATGGAAGGGGTGGACGACAGAGTGGTCTGGCATGGGGAGCGTATGGGCTGTTCCAGTTGAAGACGGTGCCAAGGAGTGCAGCTGGTTAAACGGTCGTTAGCGGCTCAGGATGACGCCGCCTTTAGCTAGATCTGCACATATATGTTCGAAGCACTGCACTGCGAGCTCTACAGAATAATCAAGATAACCAAAGCCGTTTACTCTCTAATCTCAAGACTGATGATGGTACTGATTACCAAATATCAGGTACGCAAGTTCATAAGCACGTCGCTTGCTAAGTAATAGAATGCCTCCGATGGAAATGAAGACCCAGAGATCAGACAATAACACCCTCCCTCATGGTCTCCAAGGTCTTCTTGCCCACACCTTTCAACTTTGACAAATCATTCCAACATGTCAAGTCGGCTTCACCTTCGGCTTCAAACATCGCGTTCAAATACTCAACAATGCCTTCCGCCCGCTTTGCTCCAAGGCCGTTCAGGGTTTTGATCTGTGATACGTCTCGAGTATTGATGACATCAAGGAGATGCTGTGTCCGAGGCGTCATTGCGAGGGATGAAGGTTCGGTCAAGGGATCTGGAGACGAAGGCCGTTGTCTTCGCTTTGGCTTTGGTCTTCGAGGACGAGAACGGAATGAACCTCCTTCGTCGTCGCTGTGATATTCAGACTCGTTTCCCTCTTCGTGGTAACTCTCGTCCTCCTCCGCTCCAATGCCATCAATGGTCAATTGCTTGGTAGGTCTTCGAGGTAATGTGTCATCCTCCTCGGGGATGGCGACTTCGGATTCTTCCTTCTTCCTCGCTAGTCGCTCTCTCAGCCTCTCAATCTTGCCCTCCAATTTTGTATTCTCCGGGAAGTAGGGCTGTGCGAGTTCATACATTTTCAACGCACTGAATTCCTCCCCACGTGCTTGATGTTGTTTGGCCATGAAGAGGTAGCTCAGTCCTTCTGCTCTCTCTCCGTCTTGTCCCTCCAACCGCTTCTCGATGGTGTCCAAACGCTTCTGTACTTCATCCGACACCGTCTTCGTCGGTACGGGGTCTGGGGCATTCATCGCACGTGCTGCAAGGATTTCAGAGACCTTCTTCTCCACCAAATTCTCGATGGACGCCTGGGTCAAAGCTTTTGGCTCTGGCGCCCGTCGAATAAAGGTCGGAGTAGGACGTGAGATCTTGGAAGGGCGTGCAGAAAAGGTCGAGGCATCAGCGGCGCGTTTGAGAGGAGAAAGTCTTGGGGGAGCGGCTTTTGAGGTCACGCCCGGTTTACTTCGGTCCGAATATACGGAAAAGGCTTTTGGAGGCTTCTCATTCTTGGCCGCCGTGTCTCGGTTGGCGATGATATTGACATTAATATGATGTGTGAGAGGCCGTAGAGGCTGGCGCTGGATGGTCGGACCTTCCAACGGCACGCCCGCGACCGGACGTGGCGGGCCTTTGAAGATCGGCTCGTTCTCCACCTCACGGACTTCGATCTTTTTGGTCCGGTTGGCAAAATTCAGTGAGCTAAGCGTATCGAGATGATATGCCTTGACCGGGGCAAGGTTGAGGATCATGACGGTGAAGCCGTTATTTTGGCCCAAGGAAAGGATTCTGGTCATCTTAGACTCTCGGTAGGGGATTCGTTGTTGTTTCTTGCTAATGGCTTCGACACATTGTGCGAGGACAAATAGGGATTTATTGATGCTGGCAGATTCCACCATGCGATCCTTGCCGTTACCCGTTCTTCGATTGTCTTCGGAACCGGCAAGATCAATGGCGCAAGCCGTGGACACCCTAGTTTCCTCGGGTGTGGAGATTGTGACTTTGACGCAGAGGATGGCATGTGACCTCGAAGAGTGGGCGTTGAGTTTGGTGGCACCCGTGCTGCGGTTGGAGTTGGCCTTGTCGTAGAGGACCTCGAATTCCTTCAGAGACGAACAGGGAACTTCGGTGAGCCCAACCACCACGGTCTTGCCGCCTTCGGCTTCTCTGATAGGGAGACCGGTCGGCGTGCGTTTTTCGGGACCGTCAAACAGATCAAAGACGCGGTCATTGTAGATCTCGTAGTAGCTCATGGAGACAGAGACTGACGTGTCGCCTTGACTGCTCTTCTCCAACGCACGACTCTTGCGGTAGATACTGCTGAGGAGACGTGGGATCATTCCTCTCTCTTGTAGTGACTTGCCGCCTCTCATAGTGTGAGTCTTGCCCGTACCGGTAGAGCCATAGGCAAAGATTGTCACATCATAACCGAGAAAAAGGTGTTTGACCGTGGGAGTTACTGTATGGGTGTCAGTGGCATTTCTTGGTCGACCTAACTACGATACAACATACCCTCGGCATCAAAGATCTCTTGTTGAGTAGATTCTTGACCGTAGACGCTGTTGAATTGAAAACTGTATTCTTCGGCCAGGTTTTTGGGGTTGGGAAGCTTGACGATTGCCGGCTTTCCTTCGGGTCCATCGTGGGTGGTGAGTATCTGGTCCTTTTCGATTTCAGATTTGAGGAGAGGTCGTATGCGAGCGACCACTCGGACACTCATTTTGGGCTGGGGAGTTGATGGTGATGGAAAGATGCCTTTGTGCTGAACCTTGGACTTTCGATATGTGGGAGCAAGGCGCAGGGCAGTCGTAGTATCATCCTAGGTTGATGCCAAGACCGCTGTGGTTGCGCGGGGCAACCGTCAGCCTTGCGGGAAAGGCCACAGCCTTGCGAATATTCACATTCAAGAAAGCGCGTACTTACTACGAAGTGAATTATATTGTGCAAAACGTCGCAAAAAGAATACGACGACGAGTAGATTCGAACCCAGGATCGATAAAAAATATATGTGGTGACCTTTCAAAGTTCTCGCCCATTGGACTTTTTCATGGATCATTGCTTAGGACGCAGCCTGCTCACCATATTCAAGAGTACACCTGCCAATGACTATCGATCATACTCTGAGAACCCCTCCAGCCAACCACACCATCAGGTCTGACTTGGCAGGTCTTTCGGATGAATCTTTCAACAGGCTTGATGCGAGGGGATAATTCGGCAGTCAAAAATATATAGGTGAAATGGTGAATATATCAACTCTGGGGGCCCGAAGGGGGCATAGAATTACCATTGAGCTTTGGGCTTGTCCGCCTCTTTTGCTCAGAAGAACCAGCCATGCACTGGTAGAAGTGCAAGATTCATTGCTTACTTAAAGTAGCAAGGCTACTACACTACTCGGTACCATTCTCAAGAAGACAGTCGGTGTCGGATTAAGTACAAATATATCCCACCTCCAGGTTTCTACATGATGCGTTGCACCGGCAACCGGGAAGCAGCGGTGGTTTACAGCCCCCAGCAGCCCCGGGCAGCCCGCAACCGCCCAAACCTGCCCTCGAAGAATCAACAATTGCATCATCCCTCTTCACGGACCTCTTCTTGAGTTGGTGCATATCTGGAACACTGCAGTGCCACTTCCATACGATTGTGACTCTTGGAAACACTTTTCTCATTGCAACTCGTCGACTGTTGACTTGGGGCCAGACAAGTGCCAAGTGGCTATTCCAAGCGAGACCAACTGGAACCCAACACCTGGAACTGGAGCCCGAGGAGCCCTGGAAACCCCCCCAGAACCAAACAACAACGGTTTTCTCAGAGCGCTGCCACCCACTCGCCGCACCGCACGCTGCGTCTCATCGCATGCCATCGCATTCGTGCTGCCTTTGCCCTTACCATCAACGAATGACAACACACCACACCACGTCTTCTCTGTCCGTTTGCTGAAGCTCACCGTCTTGCAACCCAACTCGACAACCTGGGTCTCCGCGACCGCGCATCATCATCATCATCATCATCATCACTTCTGCACGTTATAAGACTCGACGCCAGAGTGTGATCGCCTTTACTTTCCAGACCCCTCATTTCCCTGAAACCACCTACTTTATGCGCTTCACCTTATAGCAATAACAGCCACTGGCTCTTTCTACTGTCGTCAAACCGCTGCTCGGAAACGCACCTCTTCAATCACATATCTCAATCCACCAAAAATACAACCCGACCCATTCCAGAACATCTAAACTCCCGACATGGCGACCGAAGTTGTATACCGAGAGACGCGTCGACGGTACCGGTGGCCTGAAGTACAGCTGAATTTATGGATCTTCATTGTCCTGGCAGGCGCATCGACCGTCTTGGGTATCAATGCTTGGTTCATATCCGTACAACAACAAATGAGAATTGGGATCCCATGGTATGTCGGGTTCAACTCTTCTCAAGAATCCTCCAACACTGACACTCACTCCTCACAGGCTATTTACATTCGCGGTGGTCACTGGAGGCCTCACTATCATCTTCCTCATCATCATCCTCATCCTCGCTGGCCGCCGTATGCTAATACCAGGCGGCATATTACTTGGCGCATTCATACTCTTCGTCCTCTGGGTGACAACACTGATCGAGACAGCCATCCAGCTGTACGGTCGCGGGAACGTCAACGGAAATTGCAACAACTATGTCACGGGTCAGGAATACACCGGTGTCTCGATAGAGACCTTGGCCTGGCTGACCCAGAACAACATATGTTCATGTTGGAAAGCTTCTTTCGCATGGACTATCATCTTGGCCGTCCTGTTCCTGTGGATGATGGTTCTATCCTGGCAGGTACAGAACTATGACTGAGCCACTCGTGAAGAAATCATTACGACCAACCACCCATGTCTGATATCTTTGGGTCATCTTTTGCCGTCATTACTTTCCTTGTGTTTTCTTAATGTCGACATGGGACAATTATGCCTGCCAGCCCACCTTGTGGAGAACATGCATTGATGGATCTTTCCTTGTTGATCTGATGGCCTTGCACATGATATGATATACGCATTTGGCATGGAGTTTTGTTTTCGGGTACCAAAATCGTTGGAGCGCGGTGGGATGTGGATGATCTGTACAGTCGAATGTCGGCGCGGAGCGGATTACAGTGCCGCTTTTCCATCTGGCTTTTGCATATCAAGGATGCCCATAGCGACAATATTTTGAGTTGGCTATCAAGATTGTCGACTGTGATGACAACTATGACAGTTCTGCATATGCTCTGAAATGTGTTGAATCCAGTACGTGGAAGTATGATCACAACCAAATCTTGCTCTTGTAATTTGAGCATAAGCTATCCCTATGTAATCATAAAATACGCCATCGTAGTCGTGGCCTCATCAGTCAGTCGGTCTCCGGTAATCCTCCTAACTACTTCTCCGCCAGAAACCTCCCAATCCTCTCATTCAAAAACGCCGTATCGGGAGGATTCAACCCACCACCCGCAACATGGCCCCAAGTACTCTCAATGACCTCGACACGGCCACTCTGCAGATACCCGACCTCGATCTCCGAGTCCTCCGGCGGGAAATACTGATCGGAGCGACACGGCAACAGGAGGACCTTGGCCTTGATACTCCTCAAGGCCTTCTCATATCTCGCATCGTCCGGCACCTTGTACCCGAGGCTCTTGACGCCCGTGACCTCCTCGCCCGGCATCGCATCCCCGACATCACCCAACTGCCACATGCGGGCCAGCACCAACAGGTCCTGCGCATCCCAGATCAAATACCCGTCCTCGCGGGCCTTCATCCACTCGTCGAGGCTCCCAAACGCGGCAAAAACACCTTTACTCCACTCGCGGTCCCGGAACCACGCCGCGCTCGTCAACCACGCGGCATACGTGCGCGCGAACGCCCTGATGCCGTGCTTGGGCACCACGTCCTTCAAGTTCTGACCCACATCCTCGCCGTCCGCGACCTTCTTCTTCATGGCGCGCCAGGCGATGTAGTCGATCGAGTTGGTCAGCGCGGCGATCGGGCCCTCGAGGAACGCATAGTTGTGCGCGGATGTGCGCGCGCTCGAGCAGATCGCCACCACATGCCCCACAAACTCCGGGTACATGACGCCCCAGTGGTACGCCTGCTGGCCACCCATGCTGAAACCGATGACGGCGAGGAGACGCTCGACCTTGAGGTGTTCGGTCAGCAGCGCGTGCTGTGCCCGCACCAAGTCCTGGTACCGCAGCTCGCCCGGCTCCGGGAAAAACGCCTTGTTGCTGTGGCTGCTGCTCTCGCCGTTGCCGAGCATCGCGACCACGATCACCCGGTAGTGCGCCAGTGCGTCATGAGGCCCGTTGGTCAGCGTCAGCGTCGTGTTGATGTGTCCGCCGTAGCATGTCGGGATCAGTACCGTGCCCGCCGTGGACGACGCGTTGAATTGTCGGTACGCGACTTTGACGTCGTGCAGCGTCGTCCCGTTGCTGAAGCTGAATTGTGGGATCGTGTAGTATTCGATCCCGGTCGAGTCATAGAGTGGTGGTTGTGACATTTTTGCTGACGATCGAGTACAAACTAGATGTCAATGTCGTCGAGGTAGATAGGGCGGTCAATCGCCTGTAAAGTCCTCGGTGGTAGATGGCCGAATGTGACGACAACGACTTGGTGGAATAAATATATCTCTTCGGTGCGGAGTAGCCTGTCTTCGTTCAGGAGTTGTCCGCTGCCGGCCCCAGCAGTCTATCCCCACTTCCTTTAAACTGTTGTTTGAGACTCGAAAGGTCTTACGTAGTTGACAGACAAGTAGTTGTCTACTTCCAGGCTTTGTTGTGTATTCACGCCTGTTGCCCGTTATGTGTTCAGAATCGGATGGCTTCGTACTTTGCTAGTGTCGATGACGAAACGGCTTGGGGATCCGTATCACACAGCCTTGTCTTGGCACAGGGAAGGGGGGGCACAACGAGGCTGAGAACAAATCTCGAGTTATTCACCCCGACAGTCACAAATTTGTCCTTCATCTGATTCAACTTGGTCAAATACACGATACTCTCAAACGGAGACAACTATGCTTCTTCCAATACTCCGATGCTATGCATGTTCGTGACTTCGTAATGCTGTACTTCACACAACGCCTGAAACCACCAACCTATACAATTATGACTTTCCAACCCTCGAACGAATGCAATGTCCAACTTGATAGAGAAGGATGCAATAAGCAAATGCTGGCTGCACTCAAACACCTACACCTCCATGATCCTTACTCTGGTCCGTGATTTAGTCTGCCTCGCACGCATCAACCTCAACTCTTCACCCATGAATTTGGCATCCCTCCATGACTCCTCCATATTGCTCATTCGAATGGCAGCAATAACAGCGAAAACACCCGCTCTGAACTTCTGGACCGGTCGTAGCTTTGCCTCATACTTTTGTTGATCCAGTGAGACGCCCATCTCACCCAAGATTCGAAGGTCAACTTGATTGCTGGAATTTTGGTTAGCAGGAGAAGGGAAGCAGGAGGCAGAGAAAGGGAACATACCATTGAGCTCTCATCACCTCGCCCTGTTCGAGGAAGCCTTTGCTCCAGGCGAGGTCTTTTCTCAGTCGCTCTTCCCTCTTGCATCTCGCCTTCAACCACATGATCTCCTTGATCAGTCCCTTCATCTCCTTCTCACGAACGTCATCCTTGGTGGATTTGGCTAACGTCAACGTCTCCAATACGTCTTCGTACTTGCTTTGCAGTGCTTCCAGCTCGGTCTCAACTTGCTCGGATTTCTTGTTTGCCCGGCTGCGTTCCTCTCGAAGCCGTCGGAGCTGTCGTTTCATTTCCTGAGCCTCGCCATCGCGTACCGTAAGGCGGATGGAGACGTCATTAAGTTCTTCCTGAGATTCTTGAAGCTGTTTGATCTGTTGTTTGAGATCTTGGATCTGTCGGTCGCGTTTGCGGATGCTCGCGGCCAAATCATGTGCGTCGGCATCCTCTTCTTGGAGGGATTCTAGCTTTTCGCGAAGGTTGCCCATCAGATCGTCCTGTTCGGAGATCTTCTGGTTCAAGGTCTGGATTTCATCATCACGAGATCGAACCAAACTCTGTAGCTCTGCAAATTCAGTGTCGTTTGAAGAGGAGCGCCGTGCCGCACGTTTCAGCTCGCGATTCTCCGACGACAGCACTTTGATCTCCCCTTGAGCTTCGACCAAGTTTTGGCGGATCTGTGCCAATGCCTTGGAGTGCGAAGGTGGTGGCGAGGCCGATGGAGATCTAGCCTTGTATTGGGAGAGCCGAGCTTCGTGCAGGTCCTTCTCGAGATCATTGACTCGCATCTTGAGGTCTCGATTCGAAGCTTTCAACTCCGTCTCGCGCTTGGCATACGCAGTCACATTCTCTCGGGCTTCGGTCAGGTCGTTTCTGAGCCCGGATGCGTCCGACGCTGGGGACAATACCACATGTGATTGATTCGCGAGCTTCTCTTCCAAATCTTTCACACGGGCCTCCAATCGGGCGACCTTGTTGCGGGCAGACGAGATCTCACGGTCTTTGACGTCGACTCCCGAGGATTTCTGGCTCCGAAGAGAATCGATCTCCGCGTTGAGACGGTTTTCCTCTTCACTAGCTCGCTCGATTTCCGCGTTGATCTCGTTCTCTAGGACATTGTTGGCCTGTATCAAAGCGTCGCGTTCCGATGTCAGACGTGCAACATCCTTTTCCAATTTGACCCGGGTCCGCTTGAGCTCTCGCTTTTCTTGATCAACATTGAAGGTGTCGTCGTTGGATTTTTGCATCTTCTCCAACTTCCTCTCAGACTCGTCACGTTCACGCTCGGCAGATTTCAAGCAAGAGCGGGCGTCTTTCAATTCCAGATTGGCCGTGGCCAGCTGCTCTTGCAAAGATTGCTTTTCTTGTCTCAGCTTCTGAACCTGTGCGTCGGCATGAGTGGAGGATTTTTGTTGCTGCATCTGTGCCATCTCATGCTCTTGTTCAATATCCGCTTGCAGGATCTCGATCTCGTCCTCTAGCTCAAGCACCTTCTCCTTGAGTGATGCCTGTTCTCGGATGGAAATGCGAAGTTCCTCCCGCGCGTTGTTAAGCTCGTTTCGGCTGTCTTCTGTGGCCTGTCTCTTCGTTGCAAGGTCTTGTTGTAGCTCTTGGATCTGCTTGGACAGAATCTTTTCTTCCCGTAGATGACGTTGGGTTTCGCTCTCCATGGCTTCCTGCAGCTTAGTCTCACGACCAGACAAGGTACCCTGAGAGTCATACAGTTTGTCCACCGTCCGCTGTAGCCCTTTGGCCTTTTCCTCGGCTTTCTGGGAAGCACTCTCGAGCGAACTCCTCAACGCCTCCCATTCTTCCAAGTCAGCGGCATGCTCATTCTCCTTGCGATTGACGTCGCGGTGAAGGCTATCGATCTGTTCATTGAGGAGATCGAGTTCATTCTTGTGCTGGGTGCGGAGGAGGTTGTCATTCTTTGCGGATTGATGTCGTTCTTCTTCAAGACTTTGCTCGAGCTCTCGAACGGCCTTTTGGGATCGCACAAGGTCCTTCTGAAGTTCGGCAGACTCCTTGGTCAAGGCATCGTGACGAGATTGAAGCAGCTCTTTCTCATCGGTCTTTTCTTGCAGATCTCGCTCCGCCGTTTCAAGTTGTTTGGCCATGTTGCTCAACTTTCGTTCGAGTGTGTCGCGTTGTTGTTGGGAAAGTTCGAGTTCTTGGTGAATTTTGCGTGTTTCAGAGGCACCTTCCTTTTCGAGCTCGCGCACTCGCTCTCGCAACTGCTTCTCTGCGTCCGACTTTGACTCAAGCTCTCCCTGAAGTGCTTCGTATCGCTCTTGCAGGTCCTGAAAATCGTCGTCCAATTTGTTCGCCTTCTCCTCTAGCTGTCGACTCAGACCCTTGGTCGTAAAGGATTTGTTGGCAATTTCATCGCGAAGTTCGTCAAGGTTTTCTTCGGCTCTTCTCTTCTCGTCAACCGCCTCTTCTCGATCTTCTTTTGCCTCTTGCAGCTCTGCTTTAAGCTGATCGAGATTCTGCTTCAAGTCTTCGACTTCCTCCTTCGCGTATCTCAGTTCTTCTTCCACTTCGACCACTTCATTGGAGTCTTTGCTGACCTCTGCTTTCAGAGAATCAATTTGGTCGTCTCGCTCATCGATCGCTCGGTCCTTCTCCCGAAGTTCGGCCTGCAGGTCCTCAAGCTCGTCCTTGAGTTTTTGCAATTGTGACTGCTCTTCCCGGGCTGCTTGACTCGACTCGCGCTCTAGCTTCTCTAACTTTTGGTCTTTAGCTTCAACTTCCGAGCGTAGTTGCTGAAGCTCAATTCGGATACTTTCGTCGACCTGTTTTCGTCTGATCCGTTCTTTAAATTCCTCTAGTTGTAGTCTGTACACCTCTGCGTCCTTCTCGGCCTGAGCAATATTCTTCTTGAACTTGTGCAGTTCACGTTGCATTGTGATGCGGTTGACTTTCAAGTCGGTGTTCTCCTTGAGAGCCGCCTGATTGAATTCACCACCGCGTTTGGACATGGCCTCTTCTAGAAAATGTATCTTCATCTTCAACCCAAAATTCTCCTTTTCAATCTTGTCGATGATATTTTCTTGCTCTCGTAGTGTCATCATGTTCCCATCATTGACGAGACCACCGCCATCGCGCGTAGGGAGTTGCGCCAGGGGCGTACTCTGCGCGCTGCTGGCTTGATGAGGCATGGGCGTATCGTCGGCGACATTGCCTGCGGAGCTGGATGTGTGTTCGGGATCGAGGGCGGAGAGGTCGCCGGGTTTTGACAGGGAAAATCGCGGCGTCGAGGCACTGCCACTTTTGCGGCTGGACAGACGCCTCGCAATGTTGTTCTTCGTTACGCTTTTCATCAAGGGAGTGAATTCTGATCTACCATGATCGCCATTTGGAAGTAGTCGCAGAGGATCACGAATTCCGGCTCCAGCTCTGGGGGTTTTCAGGTTCATGCCGCGGCCTTTGGCATTTCGCATCTGGCTGATGAGGTCTCCTCCTTGTGCTGGGACCGCGAAAGACTTCTCCGGCGAGAGAGAGTCGAGGCCATTGAGTGTTCTGGTGATGATCGACGCTTCGCTCGCTTGTGGTGTTCCAATGTAATCGGCCATGATGTCTGAGTGGTGCGCCGATGGAAGAGTGACGCTCAACAGACTGACTCAAGAAATTTGGATGAAGATGTTAAGGACTAGAATTAAACATACTGTCTAGTCTCAGACAAGTTGAATGGTGATGCATGGCACTGCCGGTCCTGGATGTTTATTGATATTCCGCAAAGGGAAAAGCGCATACGGGTGGTGCCGCCGCGGCCCTTGGCTTATTTACATAAGCCGGCGCTTGAGCATCATCCAGTTTTGCACGGCAAACTATTTTGTGGCAAAACGTAGAGAATATCGTCGCTGTCTTTGTGTATTTCTTCGCAAATCGTTCTTCTCGCAATTGACTTGACTGCGGCAACAATGCCGCCCTCGGAGGAAGATTTGGCATGGTTGAAGTCGACGTTCCATCCGATACCAAAACCCGCTCTGCCTGACGACTGCATTGAATACTCTCTTTACATACTGTCCGATTCACTTGATGCCAACAATGACTCGGAACTACGTCTGCGCCTGCGAGATGTCCAGAAGCAAGCGACTGATTTACAGAAGCGATACCTGAAAGATTACATCTGGCAACGCCAGGGATTCTCCCTAGAACTGAACAAAGAAGATGGTGAGGTCTGTTTGGACGCGCAAAGAAAGGCCGGGAATAGACTAACACGGTCTCCAGGCCTGAGTTTTCTCCGTGGACGTACCGAGTACGGTGACTCGGTCGAGGACGAATGGGTGATCGTCTGGATCTTGAGAGAACTGACGAAAAGTTTCCAAGACCTCTGGGCCAAGGTCACGGATAGCGATGGCGAGTTTTTGCTCATTGAAGCCTCAGGTACGCTTCCGGCGTGGTTAGAGCCTGAAGTGGCAGAGAATCGGGTGTGGATCAACAACGCGGAACTTCGAATCATCAAGCCCACGGCAAGTTCTCGGACTTCCAAGCGGACCGATGAGAAACTATCGTTACCAGTAGCCAGGACGGTCATCTTGACGGAGCCGAAGCGGTTGATGCATTCCACGAGTATGGAGGAGGAAGCTTTTTTTCGACTCCGAAACTATCCAGCGCAGATTGCGGAAAATATGCACCACGCCATCATCACCATCCCGAGAAAGATCGCTTTCCTCTTACACCAAAATCCATCATACATTAGCCCTGCTGTCGAAGCATTCTACCTCCGAGACCCCATCGCGCTCAAACCACTACAGTCCAAGGACAATAAGGACAAGATGACATTCGTCCCTGCAGACCTTGTCAACGTCAGCATAAAATTTCCGCGGGTTGCATATGCCCAAGTCAAGTCACAGGACTTCCCGCCTCCTGCGGTATTCAGTGGTGCCATGCCCTCCAAAACCGATTCGAAAGCCTACTCCCAAGCGAACACAGGGATGAAGGTGACGTGTGGTTTTGAGATGCTCGTATCTGATGCTCAATTCCAGGACAGGGCAGCTGTGCGGGAAATGAAATTATTACTCGAAGACCTCGAAACCGGTGATGAAGGATTACCATCCAATTCCGACATTGAAACATGGGATCAAAGAGAGGATGACGACAAATGGCTGGACATCAGTTTCGACGACCTCGACAACGAGCTTGGAGGTCGCAAAGGACAGACGAGTACGACCAAGAAGGGCAATTTCGGTGACAAGGCGGCACAGGAAAACCTGCAAAGGATCGTCAAGCAGTTTGAACAGTTCCTGAATGATGATACTGCGGGACCTGACGGAGCAGGTCTCTTTGACGAAGATAGTGATGATGACGATGACGAACTCGACGATCAGGATGATGACGATGAAGATGAAGATGACGAAGGAGAAGACAAGGACGCCAGCTTCAACGAAGACGATTTCACCAAGATGATGCAAGAAATGATGGGCATGCCGCCCGAGGTGATGAAGGAGATCATGTCGGGGGCGCTTGGGCCCGGGGCGCACGATCCCGCGAATCGTGCAAACCTGCGTCAACCCGCGGCCGGCACTGGGAAGGTGGTGAGGGAGGGGGACGATGCAGATGATCTGGAAGCTGGACTGAGTGATGGCAGTGCTGAAGACGAGGACATGCAGGAGTTCATGAGGCAGATGGAAGCGGAACTGAGAGGGACAGGCGTGCTCGATCTGAACCAGTCGTCATCGTCGTCGAGCCGTGGGAAGCAAGCAGCTGCCATTAGGGATACGATGAGTGGGAAACTGGAAGACATAGACGAGGACGGAGACGAGCTGTCTTCCCATGACGAGGATATCGACAACGAAATCGACGTCAATCTGGCGCGGAATTTGCTGGAGAGCTTGAAGTCACAAGCCGGCATGGCAGGGCCTGGCGGCAATCTGATGGGCATGCTTGGACTGGGTATGCTCCCCAGAGATGAACATGATATGCGTGATCCGGGTAAAGGTGGCGATGGGGAAGCTGGTCCTAGCGGAGTGCCGAGAGGTAAAAAGTGATTGCTAGTTACGAGGATTGCAGAAGACTAAAAGTGTATACTACAGAGCCTGAATTGAACTGGTCTTGTTCACGGCATTGTACATCGTCCAAATGTTATGTAGTATAACCATGGGGTTTGTTGTTGCCCGTTCGCTCAACTGAAGCTCGTGGGGTCAAACAGCCATCTATTCCCCCCATTTCTACCGAATAACGATCAACTTTTCTAAGCATCAAACTCCCTCCCACTAGATAAACCCTTTCACAACTGAGAAGCCAAAGGTCCATACCCACTACGTCCTGAAACCACGTTATAAGCACCACCGCGTTTGCCAAACATTTCTCGCAGATCTTCCACGATCTCCTGTGGGCGTTCCCAAGCGGCGAAATGGCCACCACTTGCATGCTCCTTCTCAAAGACGCAATTCCCGACCGTCCTTGTCCAGGTACTCCGCAAGACAGAGATGTCTCTCGGGAAGTGGCTGATGCCAATCTTGACGTTCGAGACCCATGAGATGATTTCTCGGCGACTGAGTCTCTTGCCCCAAAAGCCGCTGCGACCGTTTTCGTAATAGATCCTGACGTTGGCTGCGGGTCCGGCGGTGCTGAACCAGTAGATGCTGATCCAGGTGCAGACTTCCTCGTCGGTCCAAGGGTACGAGTCGGTCCAGTCGTGGAGTTTTTCGTAGATCCAGGCGAGGAGTGCGACGGGACTGTCGGCCAGTGCGTACCCGATGGTCTGGGGTTTCGTGCGTTGGAGTAGGTTGTAGCCAAAGCCTTCCTTCATAAACCACTCCGAGCGGTCGATGCCGTCCTTTTCTCGCTTGGTGAGAGGGACCAGCGCGTTCTCTGCGGCGAGTATTGGGTTCTTCAAGAATTCGGGCGCCACACCAACATCCATGTTGAAGTGTGTGGCTTTGGCGTGGCCGGGGAATAAGATTGACATTGCGCGGGTGATGCTGTAGCCCCAGTCCCCTACAATCATTAGCACTTGAACACAGAGACCCTGCTGAGGAGGTATAACTTACCGCCCTGGGTGACGTATTGATTATAGCCAAGTCGAATCATCAGTTTGTGGCACGTCTCTGCATATTGATCCATGGAGAAGCCGCGTTTCTTGCTTCCCTCTGAGAAACCATAGTTTGGCAGTGATGGCGCCACCACGTCAAAGGCAACTTGCCCTTCACCGGGATTGGTCAGGGAGTCTATAATCTTTGTGGCCTCGAGGAAATTTCCGGGCCAGCCATGGACAAAGATCAACGGAATAGCACCCTTGATATTGCTCTTCTTGTGAAGGAAGTGGATTCGAAGACTCTCATAACCTTCGCATTGAATGGAAGTCACGAACGATGGGAGCTGATTTAGCTTCTTCTCCGCCTGTCGCCAGCTGAAGTCATTGCGCCAGTACTTCGTGAGTCGTTGCACATCCGCAAGAGGAGCACCGAGGTCCCACTCGGCTGCGTCGAGCTCGTCGGGAAAGTGAGCATTATCGAGCTTGTCATTTAGGTCGGCGATGCGCTCGTCAGAAATTGAGATTTGATAGGGCTCGATGGGGAAAGCCATGATGGATGGATGAGACGGGCCAGAATTATTGTATTAGATGATTAGTATATGGAGAGACAGGGAAATATCTAGCACTTGTAAAGAGAAGTCGCCTCATATATAGATTGGACCTCGGGCCATGTTCAAACCGCGATAGGACTTTAGAACGCGGTCTTTTGTCAGCCGGAACCAGCCTAGGTGACCCTGGGTAGGCAGATCTAGGTAATGCAACCTGGATGAAGTCAAACCCTATCTCCACAAAGCAAAGATATACCCTTGAAGAGGGAATCATGCAATTGACGGCGGTGTGTCACCTCGGCCAAGTTTTATGCGCGTGGTCGAATCACAATCGAGGAGCAGTGCGACCAAACGTCATGTTGGTCATCGCTGTAGATTCCTCCTGCGAAGCGTGAGGATGCCTGCCGATGGAATGTCGATGTCCTTTACAACGAGGTCAAAGTTATTCAGTGATCATAACAGCCTAACCGGGCCATCGCAGCACGCAATGTTACACTCCTATCGTCGAATGCATAGACCACCAGCAGGAGAGCATGTTCCCATGCTGGAGGGAGCCTTAGAGAAGCCACGACATTAGCAGTCCAGTAGTACAAGTCGAGCTTAGCTCATCTCCGGCAAACCTTCCCCGAGAGTCAAAAGTGGCAAGCACGAATGGGTGACGCCTGCGGCCTGGCTCGGGGATCACTGGGGTTCAACAAGGCTTTAAAGCCAGCGCTGGCCCAAGATGAAAAGTCATATCATCCTCACATACAGTTCAGACGTGGATTGGTGTTCTCCTGGTATCAAGAAGCATGTGCATGCTTCCTCTCTTTCTCCCAAATCGCTGTTCACCTTCGATGCTGGCTGATCCAAACGGAGCCCCGAAAAACTTCACATGAATCGTTACCCCTCCAAGACTTTCTTGTGCAACAAGAATACCATCAGTAAAGGATGTCGGGCAACCTGGGAGAGCTCGGCGCCCTCCATAATCCCCGGAATGTCCAACAGATTACAGAAGCTGCTCAACAATACGAATATGATGCTGCCATTCCTCTACGATACTGGCTGCGCTCCGCGCAAGCCATGCTGAAAGAGGTTGGTGATTCGCTGACTACCCTTCTCCCACCTGAGAATTGTTGTCTGATTGACCATATAGGCAGACATCTACGTCCGCGAAGGAGATGAGGAAACAACATACCTATTGCTCTTCCGTCATGCCCACCTGATTCTCTCCCAACTGCCCGCTCATCCTCAAGCACGAGACAAGGCCAATAAATTGCTCCTCAAAGAGGCCGAGAAGGACGTGAACAACAACTTTAGGGTACTTGACCTACTGAAGCCCAGGATTAATGACCGATTCGAACGTTTCCAAAAAATCATCAAGGAAAGGGATGCCAGGAGAGCCGCCCATTCGGAGAGTCGGGCCTCCGCAACGTATACCTCGCGCCAGTCTTCTCTGGATCAGCGAAAGACTCAACGGATACATGGCCATGAGAACCAGGAATTGGCCGTCAAGATAGCACAAAAAGAGATCTCGAGAAGAGCAGCGAACCGAGAAGCAGCACTGACTTCAGGTTCTGATGGGGACGACCTTTCGAGGAGACTACAAGAGATTCGTGCCCGTGTTGAGGGCAAGGGTCACGACGAAGGTGGTCGGTCCGCTCGAGAGAACCCAGCCAGTTACCGCTATCCCAGTGTTCCCTCACACCATACACACACATTACAGAGCCCTCTGGCGTCCGAAAGGCAGCCCTTTAATGAGACATACAAACACTCTCTATCACTGCCGCCCACAGTTCCTCCTAAAGAGGGTGAAATGGCGAGCTTATCCGCACCGCCGCGTCCTGGCAAGGTCCCAGGTGTCCCACCAGCAAGATCTGCGACCCCAGAAGTGACCCAAATCTTTGCACCTGCAGCATATCTTGAAAACGGAACTCCACTCAGGACGGTGTTCCTACCACCCACCCTGCGGACGACGTTTTTGAGGGTAGCGCATAAGAATACAATGGCAAACTTGGAGACGTGTGGATTTCTAGCTGGCACACTGATCGCCAACGCGTTCTTCATCAGCCGACTGATTATTCCTTCACAAACCGCCACTTCGGATACTTGTGAGATGACGAATGAGTCTCAGTTGTTCGACTATGTGGACACAGAAGACCTGATGATTCTTGGATGGATCCATACACATCCGAGCCAGACGTGCTTCATGAGCAGTCGAGACTTGCATACACATGCGGGATATCAAGTGATGCTAGCCGAAAGCGTGGCAATCGTATGCGCACCGAATAAAGGAGACACGTACCATGGTGGGGACTGGGGAGTGTATCGGTTGACGGACCCTCCGGGCAAGAAAGCCATTCTCAGCTGCGAAAAACCCGGGATATTTCATCCACACGACGTTGACAATATTTACACCGACGCATTGCGGCCAGGACATGTGGTGGAGGCCAAAGGCATGGAATTTGAGATGGTGGACCTGAGAGAGCAATAGTCATGACGAAAATAATTTCTTGTGAGCGAGCTCCGCAATATAAATGGGGATCACTGGTCAGACACTGACAGGGCATCATAACATACGGGATTATTATTGTGATTACGGAGTACGTTGCCTGCCCAAATCCTTGGACAAGCAAGCCGGTTGCAGCTTCGCGAGCCTGAGGCAGGTCTGGATTCTGGGAGGTGCAACCAGTATGAATTGTCGATATCGTGTACTCGACGCGGACCCAAGGAGTTCAAGCACAGAGACTGAGAGCAACGCTATCCGTGTTCCTGTATAGGCTTCTGATCTACCTGTTCGAGTTGCGGACTGATACACGTTAGACGCAGTATTTGCAATAAGACTGCAGTACGAGGTAGTCTGCATCACATGCTTGCCCGAGCTTGAGTGTCAGATGCTCTGGCATGGTGAAAATCTGCCTCGAGTGGCGTCCACCAGACTCAAAGAGGATTAAAAGTGGTCCAGATGTCTAGCCATATTCATATCGAGGATAAGATAGGACAATCAGCAACTGATTCGAGAAGACAGCAGCTGAGGTCGGAGAGAAGCAAACGCAGGAGGGTGAGAGTGACCGGCTCGGGAATTTTTGAAGCAGTGGCCTTGTCTCGCCATGCTCCTAGTGAACGCCATTGGAACGCCATGGCGGCGCCACCAGAAAATGAGGATAGTGAGGCCTGCGGGGGAAAGAGAGATGCAACGGTCATGGCACACGCACACAAATCAGCGGCGCCGCCCGGGACTCCTCAGTCCTGGCTGGCACTGCGCCTATCTGTATGGATATAATCGGCGCCAATGCAGGAACGCGTCTCTGGTGCCTCGGCGGAGGGACATGTCCCGTACCGAAACATGACGGTTCCACGAGTGCCCAGGTGCCCAGTGTGCTTCTTCACGCAGTACAATCGAATGAGATGGATTCTCTATCGGTACCACGTCTGTTGTCTACTCCCAACTCTGTACCGCATAGGCATCATAATTTTCATCATCACCAGCAGCAGCAGATTATCGATGGTCGAGGCTGTGCAGCGATTGAAAATTAAAAAGGTCTCAAAAGATTGCGGATAGCTGATTGCAAGATCCCAGAGAGCCAGTGCCGACATGGATTGAGAGCGGATGATGGGAAGGTGGCTTTAGGTGGTACCTGGCTAAGCATCGCACTAAGGTGGACACGGTTAGGCGTGACCTGCCACCTAACCGGAAAGGTGCTTAGGCGGGAGGAGTCTTCTGAAACCAATTTCCGACTCTTCCTCATGCCCCCCAGAAGGCCTCACATTGCTTTGCCAGGCTGTGCTTCGCTCGCATTCTCCTGCTTCCGGGTTGGAAGGTCCACCAGCCAAACCTCAATCCAATGGCATGGGCACCCCTACCAGTGTGACCACCAACTGAAGCCTGCCCTGAGCTTGTCTCGTCTGTCCTCGCGCCAAGTGCCCTCGTCAAACCACGTCTTTCCAATTCGAGCCCGCAGGTGGAGTGGGTGCGTGTGCCTGGCAAGCTGGTTCCTGAACTCGCTCCTCCGTCCTTCAGGTGTTTTCACTCTGCTCCCTTCCTTCCCTTCTTGCTGCCGATATACACACTTTCACCACCACACATTCCTTTCCAACCCTCACCTCAACAAACCAACATCACATCGCCATCGAGGCAGTTCTATCGTTTTACATCATTTTAACAACAACGCAGGAACGTCGTATTATTTGGTCACTCTTTCAACCACCGCTTAGCTGCATTACTGCTTTGGCCCATCTCAGGGGCCTCCGCGTCAACTTTGAAACAACCCGCATTCCCAGCCAAGATCGCCCAGCTCAACTCCTCAAACTCCTCCAGCAACCACTTCTTCCTCTCAGGGTTTTGTTCTCTTTGTACATTCTCTCTGTTCCATCGTTCAGACAACAACAAAAGACGGCAGAGGAGCAGTGCAGGTCGCTGCCTTGAATCACACAAAGAACGACAATCTATCCCTTCGACCTCTCGTCCATCATTACATCCATCACCCCAAGCAGCTCTTATTTCGAGTTGAGCCTTCCTTCATTGCGACTCTCGACTCGATCACGGTCCATGCTGGCTTCTCTATATCCCAGCATCTGATCACTCATCGAAATCGCGTCCTCGATCTCCAATCTTAATCGAGCAACATACACTCACATTCACAATGTCGCACCTATTTCGACAGGCCATTGCTTTGGCATTAACACTCGCACTCACAGCGGCTCCCGTCATGGCACAGTCAGCGACAATCGCTCCCGGCGCGATTCAGACACTGGGCTGCTACTCAGACCCAGGGCCTGGACTGACAGAGTTTGGTGATGCCACTGGTCAATCATCGGGTTATTGTCGAGACAACTGCACAAACTTGGCCCAGCCTGTCATGGCCATCACAGGGGGAGTAACCTGCTATTGTGGCAACGAGCTACCTGCCTTGGATACCCTAGTGGACCCGGACAATTGCAACGTCAAATGCATGGGCTACGGTCTCGAGGATTGTGGAGGCATGGGATTCTATCAAATATACCTCACAGGTCTCGGTGCCAATGTCCACACCGCTCCCAACAGCACTTCAAGTTCCAGCTCTGGCTCAAGCTCGACCTCAGCCCCAGCGCCCACAAAGCCCAACGAGACCGTGTTCGTCACCCCGACCGGCAGCTCCGATTCGGTACAAAAATCATCTGATGGCGGCGTCAACAAAATAGGAATCGCTGTTGGGGTAGTAGTCGGAGTTCTTGTACTGGCAGGTATCATCGGAGCGGTGGTGTTTATCATCAAGAGAAAACGAAACCAAGAGATCGAAGAAGAGCATCGTCGTAATGCCGCCAACTCATTCTTGTCCGGCAAGTCAGACAAGTCCGCAACCGATCAACGACTGGATCCCTCAATATATTCACACCAACGACAAAGTATTGGCAGTATTGCCGATGAGCGAGACTTCTCAAGGAGGATCTTGCAGGTACGTTAACTCAAATCACTGGATGTGGTATTGAGTGGCTAACATTTCTCTTCTAGGTACGAAATCCGGATCGCGATTCAGTTCGGTCTGGCATGGCAGCATAACCGACCTCGTCACCCTGGTCGATGTCGATTGTTATCGTCTGCTCGTTGGAGTACGGTCCACGTCATATGAGGCCTACAACGCCTGCCATGATGATGGAACTGAACCAACATGATGCCCATCCTTACCTCTTACAGCTTTTCAACAACAAAAGCTCATAACGACGTGATCTGAAGATCCTGCAATCTGATTCTCCTGCAATATACGGGCTGCTTGCATTTCAGCAGTAACAATTGAAATGACTACGATCCTTCTCTTATTTACCGGTTGGTTTCCTTACGGGGTTATTTAGAGTAAGACGCTCCTTATCAGTGGCGGATGGCATAGCTCAGGCGTTGGTGGCTCGCGGTTTGTATCAACAAACTCGAAGTCCGGTTGTGTTTGGACAGTGTTCAGAATAGAAGGAAGAGGGAAGAGACGACCACCCAGTCGAGGACTTGTGGGGATGATTTCATGTGCCAGTGGTTCAATCATACACATCGGGATATATCGAACATTCGGATATATCTTGGGATGGCCACTGCGACCAAATCCCCAGATTATTATCTTGAGGATAATACCGTGACACAGTATAGGGGGGTATATGGATGGATATATATATGGCTGGGGTGAGACAGAAAAGAGAAGCGTTTTTCCGGAATCTGAACGGCTGTGTGAGAAGATCTCCCGTGGTCACGATTGGGACACGGGCTTTGTCTATACCCCTTTGCCCTTGTTTACCTACCTACCAACCTACTCATATTTATATCCAGAGTTATGACCGACCGATGGACGGATGATCGAAGTGATGGTTGGCGATGCTGTGGTGGCTTGATGGTCTTGGATGCCGTTTGTATTCCATGCCATCTATCATCCCGGTTCAGAACCAACCCAACCGCACGGTCATGTCGTCCTTTAGGTATTCTGTACTATTACTACTACCAACAACCCTAACCTTCCCATTACTTCCTCTTGCCGTAGACTCGTGTGCATCACCTGGCTTGTCTACCTAATGTAGGTGATTTCCTGTTGTCGCCTTGTCTCAGTAAACAGCCAGTTAATGCCTTTCTCACTCAACTTTCAGGTGCTCAGCATCCGAACCGCTTATCGATTAGCTAGGTACCTTGGGAAGAGGATCAATGGGTGAGTGAGTACAGCGAATTGAGTTGACTTGCGGCGCGGCTCCTGCTGCTTCTCTGTTCTCGATTACCGTCCCGTTCTGGTGAGTTTGGGTCCTTACACTTGTACTACTGGTGGCCTTGCCCGAGTATGGAGTCGAATCGAATCGTATTGTACCGTTTCGTTCACAACGTTGGACAATTTCCCCCTTTTTTAATGCCGTGTGGTCGTGCTTGAAGCCTTGGAACCATGAGTCTTGTTAGATATCTTCTCAGCCACGTTTCACATCTCAACCCGTGATGCCAACGGCCTTGAGGATCTGCGTGGTGCTCCAGCCTGGTCCGCCCGGTACGACTTCGCGCCACGTCTCATCGGGGATGCTGTCCCCGGGCGGCAAGATGGACCAGTTTGGCGAAGGCTCTGATTTGATCCATTTGAAGTCGTCGACTTGGTCCCACTGATTTGCTGGCTCGGCTTGTTGGTCTGAGTGGGGCTGGGAAGATGCTAGGAGGTCGGTCTATTCAAGTTGAGAGTGAGCGGTTGTTGCAAGATGAACGGGTTGAAATAGGGGTGCTTAGAGTAGAGACATACCTCGAATTTGGGCAGAGGGGAGAAACGGATGCCTTTACAGTCTTCGATGATGGGTCTGCTGCTGCAGTGTAGATAGACATCAACGTCCTGACATTCATGCATTCGAAACTGTCTGGCTTTCAGTACCAGTACACTGTTCTTGAGGCCGGTGATGTGGGCTGGACCTGCGACGGAGCCGCAGACCAAGAGCGAGGCGGTAGTGGAGTTGATCGTCAAGCTCGCGAACGGGCTAGTGGCGGTGCTGGGCACGGACAGGTCGACGACACAACTGCTGAGGCGTTGAAGATTACAAGGCGTATGCGAATGGAGGGCGGTGGATGGGAGGATGATGTGCGTGTTCTTTTGATTCGCGACCGAGATGGAGGTCGCGGTTGTGGACAGTGCAGGTCGGTCTTTGGTCGTCAGGCCTTCGTCATCTTCCTCGTCGATACCAGTTTTCTCCGCGGTGCTTGATGAAATCTGACCCGAGGAGGACGATTTCTCGTTGGGCGGAGTGTTGGGAAAGGAGGCATTCGGGGTGTCTTGGGAGCTGGGAGACAGGTAGCCAGGGATATCTCGGCGCTTCTGAGCAGCTAGCTCAGCGGCATCGCTCAAGGAGAGAGCCGAAGGACTCTTGTGGGTAGATTTGAAGGAGAACTTTGGTTTGGGAGCGAAGGTCTGTTTGGATTCTTCGAGTTTCTCTTGGAGTGCTTGGACGGCCTAGAAGTGAGACATGGTAAGTGGCCGTTCCCATGTTGGTGACCGTATCTCGGGATGTATGAATCTAGCGAGAGCACTCCATACCTGGGCATATGTCCTTTGGTCGTAGGATGGGAGATAACCCGAAGCATCCTTGACTTCGGAGGAGAGTCGCGTGATGCCTGCGAGGCAGTGATCAGTTGCGTCTGAACGTTCGCCACCGATGAGGGCAGTGTCGGCGAGTCGGTCCATCTGCTCCTGAAGGGCTGTGAGGATCATTCATCAGTATTGAGAGTATTATGCCGTTATACATAGCCAGGCCCACCTGTGATCTCCTGCTGGAAATAGTGAAAGAAACGCTGCTGGTTGGACAGTTCCGCCATCGTTGCGAGCGAGTTGAAAAGGAATCAATTGTAAAAAGGAATGATGGAGTAGACGATGGAAGGACAGGCAAAAGGAATGATAGGTATTGGAAAACAAAAAGAAAGTTCCTTGAATATCCTGGAACTCTGGTTGAGGTCACTTACTTGCAAGCTACAGCGTCATGGGAATGTCGATAAAGAGGGGCAGGCAGGCAGAGGTCCAACGGCGGAGGGCCAAGTGCGGGGTGCAGATTAGCTAAGGAGTTGGGGCTCACTAAGCCTACACCACCTAGAGGCCGCCCTTGCGATTTAGTTAAGCCTGGGCATTGGAGATGAGGCTCCCACCTAGAACCGCCATGCCAGTGGCCAGCAGGCCGCCACGCAGCGCAACTCCAGGGAAGAAGCCGCTGCAGTGACTCTCCTCACCGCGTTCCCTGGAGTCTGCATGCAAGTTGCTCATCTCATCATCCTCCAACTCCAACACGGCCAAAGTTTCTCTAAGCGCAACAACCAACACCACACTCCCAACTCCTCGAGGACAGGACCCTGACTATTTTCTCCAGCGACGCCGTCTTCCTTAACCCTCCTCCAGCCTGCATGGTAAAGATCAAACCCACGCCGTCTTTGCTGCGACAAGCCTGCCCTGCAATCCGCTCCCTACCCTATCCCTCTCACACCGCGGCCTCATCACGTTCGCATTTCCAGAATATTGTGAGCCCCAAGCTATGTGGTGAGCTTCGCCCATACTATTCCGTCTCGTTGTTCTCTCTAATCACTCTATTGCTAGACAACATTCTTACCCGTCTACGTCCTTCTCTGCCAGCAGAAGATACCTGCGATCTCATCGATGTCAACCCAGGTCTAGGACTATGGTCTCAGAAACTACATGACATCTTGAAACCTCGGCGTCACATCCTTGTCCTGCCGAATCTCAAGGCCTCCTCGCCTCATCTATCTACTTTGCTCGATGCTCCCAATTCAAAATACCGACATGCTACAGTCCTCGATGATGTCTTCGACCCAGCAAAGGGCCTCCTGTCACACTACCCACCATCTTCTTCTACCACTCCAAACCGTACCCAGCTGAACCCGAACGTCTTGATGACTGTCAACCTTTCTGGACCCAAGATATCTCATCATGGCTATATGGGTACTGTCTCTAAGCTGTTCATCAACAACCTCTGGCATTCACACTGGGGCCAGCGCGGCGACCTCTACCGACATGGAATGTTCAGAACCCTCGCCTGGATCCCTCACGAGGACAAGTTCGTCATCGTTCCACGCTCCGTAGCCCTTCGCCGTAGACAGAGTATTCTCTTGGAAGCCACCACAGCTGTCCATGAGCTTGCCGCACCCTCCAGGCTTGATCGGAAACACGTCGGCCAGGGCCAAAGATTCGCCGACATTGATCTAGAGGACCATCAACGCGTCAAGGCTTCCGAAGAGGGTTCGGGTGTTTCCACACCGCTATCTCGCCAGCAACCTCTTCCACCCCCGTCTCTTAACGCTGTAAGCCCAATTAAAGCTATTCGCCAGAAGGCTGCTTTCGTTTCTGATGCCAAGTGGTTGCCAGAACTGAGGGAATTAGACTCCTATGCCAGGGCACGGTACCCTCAAACATATAAGCAAGCCATAGCACGCTTGGAGGCCCAGGCCAAACCGCCCGAACCTGATGTTACGAAGAAGCCCAAAGTCTACTCTGGTGTAAAAGCAAAAGATGCATTTCTTCTTGAACACCCCAAGGGTAGGGATTGGCGTCGTCTCCTGGCCCGCATTTACACAGAGCACAAAACACGCTTGCGGGCCATTGATTTGGTCAATCAGCAAAGGCTACTAGAGCGCGAGTGGAAAGACGCCATCTTGACAAATTCGCTTGATGCTTTGTCTGAAAAGGATTTGCAAGAACGAGCAGACCTGCTAGGTTCGAAATTGAACAAGCTGGCCAAGAACAACAAAGTATTTGCAGAAAAAGCCATCGACGACTACAGAGCCTATGACCATCAGCCTCGAGTTCTTGCGTGGAACAATCGAGTGGCAGAACCTTTGTTGGTTCACAAACACGAATTCTCACCCTCAACTAACCAGATGGCCTTGTTCGATCTCGTTCCAACCGCCGATTTGAACCATCGGCTTGACACTGAAGAGAAACTGATCTGTTTTGGTCATCTCATGAGTTTTGTCTCGATTTACTCATCAAAGAGTGTGTATGAAGTCTGCTCTATGATCATCTCCGGTGACGTCGAAAACTTCCTCCAAACGATTCAGGACATCCATGATCCAACCAAGGGTGGATGGTATGATCTGAAGATGTTAAGAATCAGGTCGCTGCCGACCAATTTGTTTGTCGAGATAGCCGTCGCTTTTGAGCAGTGGCCCTTTCGACCATCGACTCAAACCCTAATGAGGGTTGATTCGTGATGCCCTGTCAATCCTTCCATCGATAACTCAGATTCCTTGCCAACTTATTGAGTGTCCAAATCTTCGAGCTTCATGCTTGTTCAATTTGCCAAAGCCAGCCCCGTCAGGACCTCATTTGTACTGACTACATTTGCAAATTCCTTATCCAAACTTGCCAAGCTGACTCGATGCACTGTCTCAGCATCGAATCCGCCCTTGTTGAATGCGGCTGTTGCATCCGACACGATGAAGATGTTCCTTCGTTCAACCACTGCAAGGTCCGCTGCTGCGCGAGTAGAAGTACTCACGCAGTGATCCGATGCAATTCCTGCCAAAATCAGTTGCCCAATCGCTTTGGACCGGAGGTGTGTTTCCAGAGGTGTATTGATGAATGCTGAATTGGTTGACTTGGAGAAGACAGTTTCGTATTCAGACGATTCGACTGGTTGAGCACATGGTTGAAAGTCGATTCCACCAGGGTGATCGCTCGAGTGTGGAAATAGCGGCGAGTCGGCATTCACGGACTTGTGGAAAACATGGATGATTGTGATCGGCAACGTGGTACTTGGTTTATCGTTGTACTGGCGAGCTGCTGAGAGCAACGATTGAACGTTGTTCTCGAAACTTGGTGTCGATCGCTCAGATCCGAAGTATCCATTAGAAGTATTCAGCCCGACTTGGATGTCAATCAGCAGTAACGCTGTTGGGGTGTTCGCCGCCGATGAGATGGTTGGTGGGTGGGACATCTTTGTGATAACACTGAAACTGTCAAGGAATAAGCGATAAGAATAAGGAAGGCTCGTCTTTTATATACGTTGGTTTTGAGTTCTGCCTGTTCAGCAGCTGGCCAGCTGGATATGTCAATTTCACGCCCTGCGATCCTGGCGCATACGGGTCATACAGATCGCCAATTGCGCGATGCACCTTGGCGCATCATGCCTATCTGTAGATAACGATACATTTCAACCAACACTCCCTCTCTGCATCGGATGGCTATATATAACAATGCTCAAGTGATAATTATGTAGCCTCTTCAGGAACGCCGAACAGTGACCCAGACATAGTGACGAGAAGGTGTGATAAAGACTGCGCCGTACACACATAGGGTGGAGTGAGCGACCGCTTACGACATGAGAACTTACTTTAAAATCCATTGCTTGCCAGTGACTTGTTCAACATCACTCAAATCGTTGTACCCTCGATCTCTGCCTGAGAATCTCGAAGCACGCCCAGAACTTCCAAATCTGACACTTGAAGGTGCGGACCATTCCGCAGCAGGACATCATGGTTGAAGATTCGGAACGACCAGCCAAACGTCTGAAAATGGACCAGGTAAGGTGATATTCTGTGGATTCAGTCCTTACCGGATGTATTCAGACCATCAGGTCTTCCCCCGTCAAGCAAACGCATCGTTAATGATGCACCGTAGAACAATACTTCAGACACCAAACAACCACATCAGAACAAGGGCAAATATCGCCCACAGAGCGGGCGAGATGGCAAAGGCAAGAATCGGCAAGCACTTGTCATTAGCGCTTCTGGTATACATAACAATGATGTGGGCATCTTTGTCACCAGTGACAAGGGCCAGGAAAAGAAATGCTTGCAGGAACTTGTCGATTTACTGGGCGAGGTACGCTCTTCATCAAGAGGAGCCATTGACCACCACATCTACTAATATTTAGATAGCAATTCGACCAAAGTGGCCAGGCACCGAGCAACGCGGAAGATGAGAAACCTCGTGAGGATCTTGATCGCGATATCGAAGCAGATATCCAGGCAGAGCTCGATTCACTAAAGCCAGAACGAAGCACTGCAAATGCGCCAGTGCAGAAATTGACATGCGTCGAGCTCGATATCCCTTGTGTTTCGTTCGTGCGCTTCCCAGGGGGATTGTCCGCCTCACATAATCCTGTGGAGATCGTCCGTACTCTCTGCGCAACAGCAGCGAACAAGGACTTTCAAGGACCTCGCAGTCGTTATATCAAGAGATTGACCCCAGTGTCTCTCGTGCGAAAGACGATGGCTAATGGGCTTGAGTCCCTTTGTGATGAGCTGCTGCCAGCTCACTTCAAGGTGGAAGACGAGAGATCAGTAGAGGGTACTGCGACAGATGATGCAGGAACACCTCAATCGAAAGGACTAAAGTTTGCAATCCGGCCAACAATTCGAAATAACAACAAGATCGACCGCGATCAAGTGATTCAGACAGTTGCTCCCAAGGTCGAAATACTGGGCAAGGGAATACACAAGGTTGATCTCAAAGGCTACGACAAGCTAATCCTCGTTGATGTCTATCGAAATATCATCGGCATGAGCATTGTTGGAAATGATTTTGAAACGTTCAAAAGATACAATCTTTCAGAAATCCACTCGAGCCATTTTGCAGACGACAAGACGGAGTCAAGCACTACGCAAGCCTGAATTGAGACCGCTAATAAGGGATCGTCCAATTCTTCCACTAGAAAGACAAGTCAACTTGCGTTCAGCTCTTCCCGTCTTCGACCGGCGCAGCATCAGCAGTCTTCGTTCGCAGCTTCCTCCAGACTAGTTTCCAGAGGTCCTCTGCTCGCCTTTTCCCCTCATTTTCGGTCCGTCGCAGAGTTCCTCGAGCAAGCCAAACTCCTTCCCACTTTCCGTGGCTTTTGGCTGGTGGTGAATGCATTTTCGGACTGTGTCGTTTCTTCCAAGCGTCAATGTACCCATCGCCAAATCTGACGGTCGAATGTGTTCTTTGTGGTTGTGAAGAGGTCGCCATGGTATTCGAAAATGTCGGTTCACCTGCATTATGCTGGGGCTGACCTGCCGTGCCATCTGTCGTTGATCGACCGGACTCCATATTCTCATCAGGAGGGGTCCAATGTCCCTCGCTTATAGCGCCTCTGCGCTGTGCAGTTATCCAGCTTAGAAAGCTGTCAGGCTCACGAAGGGATGAGTTATTGTCTGCCATAGCAGACGGCTTCTCCTTTGATTGCGAACAGTTTCTGTCGTCGTTATCAAGACTTTCGCTCCCCATGTTCTTCGATAATGTTCAAAAAGCTTCTTTTCGGTCAGGTGTGACAAGTCTTGCATGTTGCATAAACTTCCATCAATTCTTAAGCAGCCGGGGGAAGCGCTGAATCCCCTTTTAAGCTGCCTCGCCGGATTGCCACACCGACACCAACGAATCTCAGCTCCTCTACGATTGTCCAAAATCAAACAATTAATTATCCCAAGAACGAGAATGCTTAAACATCTATTAGAGATCAACTCTTCGAAATACTTCAGTCTTTTTGTTCTTGTAAGCTGTGTTTCGTTGTAGAGTCTTCGGTTTTCAGATCCCGGGAATGCGAAGTGACTGGAAAATCTGCATTGGAATGGCCAAACACGAAAATCTCAGGATGGCGTTGACAACTGCGACTTCACGAGCAAACCCAACGGAAAAGGTATTAATTTGGGAAGTACAATAGATCATGTTTGATTTTGTATCTATGATCCGTCAGGCTACTTACTATGCACGAAGGTTCCCCTGTACGCCCTGAGCCGATAGTCAACCCAAGCGCCCCAGCCTAGGTGACTGTTCCGTCAAAACAGATACGCAAACACCAGTGATCCCAATAACGGCCAGACCGCAGATCGGCTGTTCAGATCCGTCGCGGCGTTTGCGTGAGGCACTGTTCCTCCCTCGCACTGTGCTCCCACCAGATGAGACCCGCAAGGACAAGTCTCAGGGGCACTGGGCAAATGACGCTCGCTGGCCGCACATGGAGATTCCTGTGCGTTTGCGGAACAGCAGAAAAAGGTGGTCAGGTTGGGCAGTTCGTCAGCAGGACCACACTCAGCTTGATAGCCTTCTGGACAGCAGGTTGCCATGCCAGTCTCCGTGCCTTCGATCGATGACCAGAATGTATCTGGTGGACAGATGCCTTGGTCCTTACAATCCCCTCTTATTGCAAGGGTGTTGTTGGACTGTTGTTGCTGCCGATGTTGTGGGGCCGGAATGGCGAGAGCCGCACTGAGGTATGAGTTGGTGGTAAGGACAATTGCTATTATATATAGCACACTATAGGCTTGCGATATTGAGTTCAACATCCTCAATGAAAGTCTGGTAGTCTCTCAGAGATATTTATGCCGATCACTCTGTGTTCCTTGTGGCTAGTTGATCAGGGATTTCAATTCGATTCCTCTAGGTTTTCAATCCCAATGCGAAGGATACTCTCGTGGTACTGGATATCGAACATATCTTGGTATCTCTCAAACGACAGTTCCATTTTATATGCTTCTTGGTGTAACACTGCACTCCCCGTTTGTCTTACTCTTCTGGCAAACGGACATGGTGCAGAGAAACGTCTTTCAGGGGTGTCATCTCACGACGCAGTGCCTGTTTGAATCAACTGTCCCAAACGAACCTCCGCTGTTCCTCTAAACGCAAGCTCCCTGGTAGGGGACGTGATATTTCCTGATTGAAAGACTGTCATTCCTTGGAAGAGAAAGCTAGGAGGGGACAGCCATGCCTACAATTCATACTCTTTTCACCTTCGCTATCACCAGGGAACAGGCTTCCGGAAAACCTCACAGTGTACTGGTCAACCGCACGGCCATGTCGTCTCATATCGATGAAGACGTAGCTAACTAGGTATGTGATTTAGCGGCTACTTATACAACGTTCACAGGCATTGCGATCGCCCACAAACACCTGGCTTTCGCTTCCCAGCTCCGTGATACCATACACTCGTCCTCGATCAACATCCGATCTGCCACTATCATGTGCTGCGAGCCGGGCTAACTAGATCCCGGGACTGTGACTGGCCATGGGAGTTTGAGCTATGCCACAATCACTTAAAACCGCTAGGCCTGCACTTTACCTATCTCAGGGGTGCGGAGCCTTCTTCGTCGAGCCACTTAGGGCGAGATATTGTCAGGTGGCAACTTGTGGAGATACAGTGCTGAGGTCCCAGATATACAGAGCCATGGGCATGACGCGGAAAATCTCGGCCCCCGCCTTTTTTTGAAGGGAGTAAGGGGGTGCGATAATATTCAGGACACGCAGAAAAATCTTCGGAATTCCCGATATGCATTCATTTACCGCTGACATATAACAAGGGCTCCCAAAAGAAAGATATCTGGTCCTCTCTTCATCTTTGAACTAAACCCGTACGCTCCTCCCAACTTCACCTCAATGACCTCCCAGTTACTAAGAAGCATACCGGAACTTCGGGTTCTGGAAGTCGGTCAAATCATTGAGCAAGTCGGCATCATCGGCCTCGATATCCAGATTGATGGAGCCTTGGGCCTCTACAGCAAGATTGTCACGCTGGCGATTGCGCCAGATGAGCAGAGCGCGCAGGCCGAGCGCGAGCGCGATCTGGCCCGCCGCACAGGCCAGGATCAGCTTGCAGCCGGTCTGGTAGATGGGGGCCTCTTTGGCAAGGAAGGCGTGCGGCCCGATTATGTTGCCGACGCAGTACGCGAGGAACACGAACGCTGTGGCGGTCACGCGCTTCGTGTAGCCACCGACGTTGGTCGCGGGCAGTTGGAGCGCGAGGACGAGTGAGGCGACGAAGCTGCCGGTCTGTGGTTGGGTGGAAGAATGGGTTAGTCTTTGGGGGTCTGGAGGATCGATGGGTTTGGGAAAAAAAGTTGAAGGGTATATGGTGTTGGGTAAGTGGACTTACGATGTAATAGCCGAGGAGGCAGCCGACTTTGTTGGATCGAGGCATTTGCCACATGATGGTGGCGCCGATGATTGTCGGGCAAAGGTAGAGGGCCATGATGATGGTGCGGGAGTTCTTGAACTTGGAAGCCAGCCATGGACCGGAGAAAACGAAGACGACCTGGAACGCGCCCTGAGGGATCCCATATGCCGTTGCAAGCAGTGGATCACCGCCTGCAACGCCCTTGACGATGAGTTTGCCGAAATTCGCGATGCCGCCGTTGATGATTTCATTCAGCAGTGTGAAGAAGAATAACATCCAGACCTGCGGGTCACTCAATGCCTCGACGATTTGCGACCACTTGATCTTGCGGTTGTAGACGCCCGTGCGGTTGGTCTGACTTCGGGCGATCAGAAGCGCTTTTTGTTCCGGGTTGAACGCCCTGGACGACATGATGCTGCTGGGAAGGTAGAAGAAGAGTAAGATGCCCCAGAGGACGGTGACGCCGCCGCAGAGGACGAAGATGATCTTCCAGATGGGGAAACCCTTGGCGTGTCCGACGGCGTAGAAGAGAATCCCACCCGTCATGGATCCGACGCCGTTGAAGCAGTAGAACGTGCCTGCGCGGCTCGGCTGCTCGGCCTTAACGTACCACATGCTCACGATCATCATGAAGCAGGGGGTGATGACCGACTCGAAGACTCCGAGGAGGAATCGACAGATCGCCATGCCCGTGAAATTGTGACAGGAGGCGGTAATGAGCATGATCGAGCCCCAGATGAAGACGAAACAGGCGACGACGCGACCTGTCGGGTAGTGCTGCGCCAGATAACTCGCTGGCCATTCGGCAACCAGGTAGGCAAAGTAGAAGATGCTGGCTAACCAGGAGTATTGGTTGGATGACATGTTGGTGCTGGGAAATAGGTCGTAGACCGCCGAGTAGCTGAGAGCCTGCTTGTCAATATACTGCAGGAAATAGGTGCCGCAAAGCAGAGGCATGAGGGTCCAATCGATGCGGCGGATGATTTTCTTGTTGAGCTCTTTGTCCTCGAGGAGCTCGGCCAGGTATGCTTGAGAGAAGTTGTGCTCTCGCAGGAAGATGCCTGCTTCGTCCAGCTCTTCAACCTGACCAACATTCGTGGTCAGGGTTGGCTTGAGTTGGTCATCCTCGTTGTCGATGATGGCCTTCTCCTGCTTGCTGAGGTCCTGCGACTTTTCCGCCATGGTGTCCTTGGTCGATCGTGAGAAGTTCGACTGATGGATTCAGCTCTGTTGCTTCATGGAGACACGTTGGGACACAGCATATATACACCTGCGGATTGGCTTATCAGAGACCTGATCGATCAACCCCGCAAAATATAGATACGAGTACATCCTATCTCCAAAGCTGATATCAGACCAGCCTCCACTGATGCCGAGAAGCAAGATGCCTAGAAACATGGGTATCGACTGATTCGGGCACAGAACTGGGACCGAATGCCCGTCGGAAAGTCTAAAAACGGAGTATAGCGTGCCTGATTGATATGGAGAATGCATGGATAGACGATTGAGGTTTCGTCGGCCGTCGTGTACGATTTAGTGCCTCCTTGCCTCGATGCGAGGCTATCTCTCCACCGAGAAAGTCGATATGTGGATTGACCGCCATTGGTCATGGTCGGTGAACGAATGTATACTTACGTTGCCCACTTCCCATGATAACATCGCAGGAAAGATAGAGAATTCTGTTCTGAATGGGATTGAGCTCTCTGTAAAGACGACAGCTACAGGTTACATATGTATATCCTAGATTGTTCATTTCCGAGGCACTGGAGAAGTATTAGATCTTACCAAGGGGCTGGGTGTTGCTAACAACGATCAGCATCGTGCTCGATATCGAGTCAGTAGGTGGTTATGATAGCCGGGGCAAACATACTAGGCTCATACTAAATGTATCACCTGGATAGTTATGAGGTACAAAGTAGGGATCTCGGAAGTACCTCATAGCGCAGATATTTATCTTGGTCTGCCGCTATGAGCTTCCTGATGTGAATCTGGGTGGGTCAAGACCAGTATCCTCCTCCTTGGCCCGCGGAAGTTGTCCGATGTACTTCAATTGTCCAACTTCAACCACGTTTTCCTAAACATGGTGTCCCACGTGTGAATGCCCTGATAGCCCTGCAGTAGAGATATATCCCAATCTCTAGTCGAGGTCATGGGCCTGCTCATGTCAATACCCTCACTCTTGACGAGAGACAGGACGTCGATGTTTTGAAGGTCAGTTGGTCAATCAATAAATCCCAAGTCGGAGAAGCCCTCGGGAAACTCTGTCTTAGCCCTGGTTGCCACCCCTGACTGCCGACGTCAGTTACCCTACCCATTGATAGACATCAAGCTCGCTCTTTTCCGTCGGACCACATTCAATGACCGATCGCTGTCAACCAGGAAGATGCAGGCCTGCGATTGGATAATTGGTCGTGGCCTCTGTCTAGATCCATGCACCAAGTTCTCGCATATCAGTGACCAGATATCAACGTCTTGGGGTTGACATGTCCAGCGGTGCCACCAAATATCACACTGGTTTGCACAATATCGGAAAGAATCTCGTGCTGGACATATCGAAAACAACACGAAACAATCCCCATCCAGAGTCCTCCGTCAAGCGCTTCAACATGGGATCAATACAGGCAGAAGAGAGCCCAACTGTGACACTCCCTCAAGGGACAATCATCGGCACCGTATTGAAAAAGAATCTAAATCGAGAAGTGGATGCATTTCTTGGTATCCCATATGCTTTGCCTCCTGTAGGAGACCTCCGGTTCAAGCGTCCCGTCAAGGTCTCTCCATCGTCAAAGGTAATACATGCCACCGAGTATGGGCCAGCAGGACCAGGAAAGCAGCTTCTTCCGGGCTTGAAGTACTCGTACAGCGAGGACTGCTTGACCGTAAATGTGTTCCGTCAGAGTTCATCGTCTAGTTCTCCTGGCCTGTTACCTGTTTTGGTTTACGTCCATGGAGGCGCATTCAATCGTGGCAGTTCGGCGATGCACAATACCGCTTCCATGATCTCTTGGTCAGAGCAGCCCTTCGTCGCTGTTTCGTTCAATTACAGGATTGGGTCCTTGGGATTTCTCCCCTGCAGCTTGAGTGAGAAGGAAGGAGTTCTCAATTTGGGCTTGAGAGATCAAGAACTATTATTCGAGTGGGTGCAAGAAAACATTGCGGCATTTGGAGGTGATAAATCCAACATCACGCTGTCAGGATTATCGGCTGGAGCACATTCGGTACGTTCATTCCCCTCCAAGCACTGGAAACCCTGACGTGTCCACAGATAGGCCATCATATGATGAAGCACACTGAGGATAATCCTGGCCCATTTCATCGAGTCATCATCGAGTCGGGTTCACCAACGTCAAGAGCTGTGCGAAGATACGATGCCGCCATCCATGAGCAACAATTCAAGGACTACCTGAAAGAAACCGGCTGTCCAGCCGACACTCCTGAAGATCAGATCTTTCCTTTCTTGAGGTCACTACCCCTCGAGGTCATCACGCGAGCGCAAGACGCCGTCTTCGACAAATACAATCCATCATTGAGATGGGCATTCCAGCCCGTCATCGACGGCGACATCATCCCACGCGCACCGCTCGAGACCTGGAAACTCGGCAACTACTACAAAATCCCCATCATGACAGGCTTCTGCCACAACGAAGGGTCTCTCTACGTCAACAAGCAAATGTCGTCAGCTGAAGAATTCACGCAGTTCTTCCAAACCCTCCTGCCAACACTTCCAGCCCAGGACATCGACACCATCAACAAACTCTACCCGGATCCGGACTCCACCAACGACACAACCTACAAAGTCCCCAGCGCCATCAAGGGCGTCGGATCACAGTACAGTCGCATCGAAGCCGCATACGCACACTACGCGTACGCCGCGCCGGTCCGACAGACGGCACACCTGGCGTCATCCAACCGCGCCTCCCCGCCCACATACCTCTACCACTGGACGCCTCTCACGACCGTCGTCGGCGGCGCCAGCCACGGCGACAACATGCGGTACGAGACGTGCAACCCGGACGTGGTGTCGCGCTCCAAGAACCAGCGCAACCTCGCCGGCAGCCTGCACGCGTACATGACGAGCTTCATCTGCAACCGAGGCGACCCGAACGCGCTGGCGGGTGAATGGCGCGACCGCCCCACGTGGCAACCGTACCTGCATGATGAGCCCAAGACCATGCTGTTCGGCGCCGGAAACGAAGAGCTCATCGGTGGTGGCGACGGTGTTGCGGCGCAGATGTCCCGGGACCTGTGGGCCGAGGAACAGTGCCATTTCTGGTGGGACAAGGTCGAGCTGTCCCAGCAGTGAGTGAGTGACCGAGGAAATAATAACCCGACGGAAAGAGGAACCACCAAATTACATACGTATCCTGTTGTCTGTATCACTACTGGCCAAGAGGGTTTCATTGCATCTTGAAGGAGCGGTGCAGAATAAAACAAAATTCTGCGCCACTCACGGACAGATGTTCAGATATACTAGATATACGGTTCCATGATTAAAAGCCCATCACCAGTGTATTGCTATTATTGAACCACCAATCGCAAATACTGCCTGCCTAGATTAGGTAGCTAACAACAAAAGGCAGGTTCCCATCCATAACACTCAAAATGCAGTCGTTGTCATCATTACGTTCCACCACCTAGTTAGACCTATTCGTATCCATGAGCATTTTATGTACAACATCATTTCTGAACCTCCAAAGTTGTAACGCCTCCACTACCGAATTGGCGCCGGGACCATCTGGCTCATTTGTCCATTCAGTTGCTGCTGCTGCTGCTGTTGCTCAATTGCCCGGGCCTGCTGGGCCTGAGCCTGAGCCTGCCTCCCGAGAGCTAGATAATCACGGTTCTCGACCGTGACGCTTTTGGTCATATGGTTGACTTTATAGATGCCGACGAGCCGCTCGGCAAGTTCAAACATGTTGTTCCGCAGACTAATGACGATGAACTGTGCGTTCTTGGTGCGTTCCTTGATGTAGCCTGCAACAATTGAGACCTATGATCCAGAAGTGATGTAAGTATAGGTTTTCAAAAAATCAAAGGGATAGGAGGACTGGATACAGCACTTACGTTCCTGAAATCCAAAGCTGCGTCAATCTCATCCATGACATATAATGGCGTGGGACGGTAGACGTGAAGTGCAAAGACCAACGCCAGGGAACTCAATGTCTTTTCTCCGCCAGACAGGTTCCCGATGTTCTTCCAACTCTTCTTCGGCGGCATCACGCTAAATAGGATGCCTTCGGAGAAGGGGTCGAGACTGTCCACCAATTCGAGCTCAGCGTTGCCTCCCAGGGTGATGAGTTGGTACATTGATTTAAGATGAGATGAGATCGTTGTGAAACCCGTCATGAATTGGGTGAGGCGCAAATTACGCAGGTCTGTAAGGCGAGTCTTTGCTCCGTCGCGAGCTTTGACGGCGGTCTTCAGATCCGTGGTTCGTGAGGCGACTTCTTCGCATCGGCGTCGGTATTCGGCGATGACGGCAAGGTCGATGCTCGAGGCGTGAGAAATTTTCTCTTCCAATGCGGCAATGGAGGCAATCAAGTGATTTTTGGACTTGTCGAGGAGTTCATCGCGGGTGAATGTTTGTAGCTGACGGCGTGTAGTCTTTGGTTGTCCCTCCTCTGGAGCTTCATCTGAGTCTTGCGGCTGCTGCGGATCTTCGTTATCAATGTCCATAGCATCTGGATCCGCTTCAGCGACAGCCTCAGTTTCGGCTGGGGGGGGAGCGTCTGGCATTTCCTCTTCCTTTTCTTGCTGCTGTTCTTCCTCTGGACTAGATCCTTCCAGATCTGCAATATCGTGTAGCGACAATTTCGACAATTTCTCGGTCCAGTGGCGGCTCTTGCCATTGTTCTCAGCCAGAATTTTCTGATTCTCCTCAAGCTTATTGCGCATTTCAATCTCCTGGGCCCTAGTTGAGTTCAATTCAGTAGTCTGCGCGTCGAGATTCTTCTTTAGTGTCGCCAGCTCTTCCTTTTGATTGGCCTGTTCCTCTTGCGCCTGCTCAGCACGCTGTCTTGATTCTGCAGCCTCAGCTTTGTGGGCTTCGACATCATTCTCGAGTTTTTCCAAGTCCTTGGACAGTGTTTCGAGCTCTTTTTCTGAACTAGCCTTGGCTTTCTCATGCTTATCGGCGAGCTTTTCGTTCTTCGTCTTTGCCACTTCGGCATTAGAAATGTCCTCGTTCAATAAGTCTATTCGTTCTTTCAACCCATCAACCCTCGCCTTCTGACTACGAAGCTGAATACCTCCAGCTTCCATGATCTTGTCTTGCAATGCCTGGATCTCAGATTCAACGCTCGCAGTCTCAGAGTGCAGGCTTTCAAGCTCTTTATTCAAAGAGTCAATCTGCTTGTCCAGTGCTTTGATTTGAGAGTCATCGGCAGATGTTGAGGCAAGTTCAGCAATGAGATCCTGAACACGTTTCTCTGCATCGGCAAGATTCCTAGTGCAGTTCTCCACTTCTAGATTGATCTTCTGGATGGCGGTCTCCAATCGAGGGATCTCTTCTTGTTTCTCTTGAAGACTCGCTTCCAGTTCTCGCTGGCGCGTCTGGAAGGCCTCAAACTGTGTTTCTAGCTGGTTGCGTTCAGCTTCGAGCTTTTGTACTTGCTCCTTTGTTGTTTCAGCAACCAACTTCGAAGACATGGCTCCACGTGCGACACGAGTACCACCTCCACTCATGGTACCAGACACATCAATGAGTTGACCATCTAAGGTGACCACGCGCCATCGTTTAGCACCATAGGCGATCCGGTTCGCTTGCTCGAGATTTTCTGCCACCAGAGTATTTTGCATAATGCTGTAGAACGCAGGAGCGAATCGAGGATCCTTGGGTTTGATCAAGTCAAACAGTCGAGGGACATTTTCAGGAGTCTGAACTGGCGAGAGATCTCTATGGGCCAATTTATCAAGTAGGATAAAATTGGCTCGTCCTAAATTGTTCTTGCGAAGGTACTCAATGCACTGTTGACCGACCTCGACATTGTCAACAACCATATTCTCCAGTGCTGCACAAGCCGTTGATACCGCAACGTCAAACTGTTCGTCGATCGTGCCCAGATTTCCAAGTCGTCCATGGAATCCGTCAATTCGACCAGAATCCTTCAGTCGTAGGAGACCTTTGAGAACGTTTCCTTGGTTTTGTGTGGCGGATAGACTAGCCCGTGCATCATCGGCCTTTTGTCGTGCTGATGAAATCTGTGATCGCACTTCTGGTTCACTGGCGGCAAGTTTTTGAAGTGCATCCTGGATCTTCCTAACATCCTTTTCTAGTCGGAGTTTCTCGTGTTTACGCTGTTCGATTTCTTCGAGCTTTTCGCTTCTGCTGGATTCGATGGCCTCGATCTTTGCGTTGGATTGATCAATTGCTCTTTGACCACTGTTCGCTTTCTCTTTCAGAATGTCAAGTTCGGAGTTCGCAACAGCGATCACCGACTGCTTCTGATCGATCTTCTTGTTCCAGGGCTCTAAAGATTTTTGTTTCGAAGCGATTTGGTCTGAGAAGCCTTGGGTCTTGCCTTTAAGGTCGTCCCGAATTGCCGCTAGCTTTTGTTCTTCAATTTGCATATGCTTCTCAAGTTCAGCAACCTCTGAGCCTTTGGTTTCAATGTCTTCGGTGTGCTTTTCAACCGAACTTCTAGCTTCGGATGCGGCTAATCTGCTCGTGGTCGCAGTCTTTTCTGCCTTTTTCTGCTTGCCTGTAATGAACTTTCTTTTCTCTTCAAACTTGACATTTTCCTTGTCGTACTTTGCCAACTCCTTACTGAACTCCTGGGCTTGCTTTTCGATTCGTTCGTACTGCTTGAAGGCTTTGTTGTATGCTTTTTCGAGCTCTTTGATTGTGTCTTCACTTCCAGCATGTTTTTCAAGCTCGGCATTCAGCTGATCTTGGATTTGGCCGATTGCCTCCTCTGTCACCTTGATATTATCCTCGCATTCAGCGACATATATCTGGTACAGGGCAGACTGTTTCTCAGCCAATTCATTCTCGTCCCGGATAAAGGACAGGGCCTTGTTCTTCTTGTCCTCGAGCCCATTTTTCTCCTTTTCGACATGTTGAACTCTACCTTGTTTCTCAATGCAAACCTCGTTGAGGCTTTCCAACTCTACGGCGGCTTCCTCAATTGGTGTCTTGTATTTGGACGTGCCAATAATATCTTCCAGATATTCGAGGAGTCCGTCGTCATGCTCGTTGGCTGCCTTGGGCTTCATCTGAGCGATAGACTCGACTTCACCTTGGAGAATGAGAAATCGTTTGTGGTCTAAATCGATGGCTTTGTCCTTTAACAGAGTCGTGACTGTCGTGAAATTTGTGGTTCTACCATTCAGGTAATAATTGCTGGAATTATTCTTGAACGCTCTCCTCGAAACAACAAGTTCTGTATCAGGGACCACTTCATGTTTCCCACCAGGAAGGTCAATAATCTCCTGAAAGTGGACCTCAACCTCACAAAAGTCGAGGTTTGGATATTGGGCAGAGTTATGGATGAGCGCCGATATTTTCCCTTGTCGCATCTTACTGGCACGGAAGCCGAACACAAACAAGAGTGAATCAATAACGTTTGACTTCCCAGAGCCATTGGGACCAACAACCGCAGAGAATGACGCATGAAAGGGTCCTACAACTTGTCGGCCAGCATAACTCTTGAAATTGGTCATTACCAGCTGTCTAATGACCATTCGAGAGGTTGGTCCGGTGGGTTCCTCCACTTGTGGAACTGCTTGTGCTCGTGCTCTTATGACGATATCCATCGGCTTTTCCATCATCATGTTCATCGGGCGCGTGTCTTTCTCTTGCAACAGTGGTTGTGAAGGCTTCTTGTTCAATGCGTTCGCTGTTATATCATGCAACGGACTTGGTTCATCCTTCTCTGGCGACATGGAGGGAGCAGGTGTCGGAAGTGATGGCACTGGAGGTATGACGGATGACCTTCTCCCCTTTCGAGGAGCAGTGCTCGTACGCTTCCGTGGGGAGCTGGCTTTTGTAGGAGAGGATGGCTGGCTTGGAGCGAGTTCATCGCCAAGTTCGACTCCCTGAGAACATTCTAAAGGTGCAAGCGAGGTCCTGCGGCTTTTTGGAGGAGCCGTGCTTTGTCTTTTTCGTGGCGACGCTCGCTTGGTGGGAGAAACGGGTTCGTTATGACCCATGGTCTCTTCGGGATCGAAGATTTCGGATGGCTCAATCGCATCCCCAGTCTTGACTTTGCGCGTTCTCGCCGATTTCTTTGGCGAATCGCTAATGTTGGCTGTTGTCTGACGTCTGGTGGATTTGCGTGGACTGCTTCTCTTTGGCGGCGCAGGTGTAAACTCCTCATCATTATCTTCATGGATGAGGCTCAATTCATCGTCGGATTCTTCGACAACGACAGGGCGACGCGTCGCCCGACGCGATGGTCGTACCGGAGACTCAGCCGACATTCTGTATGCTGTTGTCGAGTTAGTATGTGGTGCAATGTGAATCTTTGGTGGGAATAAGATGTGACCATCGACATTGTTTACTTGGAGAGGCCGAAAGCGGGCCAGACGAAAACACGCTACCCAAAATTCATTCTCATGCGCCGCTTTATATCGGCTTCCCCACATCTCTATAGCGGCGGCTGAAGGTGTACGAACATGGATGCTAGGTCAACACTGCACACTACCGTGCTTTCGTGCGGGAAGAAATCGAACTCTCTCCTCAGGTGGTTAAAAAATGTTGTAGTTTCCTTTGATTTGAAATCTGAATTACGCATATGAAAAGTCTACGAAGCGTTGTACTCATAAAATTATAGGTAAAGCGATGCTTTTCCAACAACTTAACCTCCCAATCATCAGCATGTCGTCTACTCGGGCGCGTCCCTGCCACTCCGAACTTCAACCCATCTAAAACGGCCAAACCCATTCCCTCAAGGCCTTGGGATCAATACCTTCGGTGAACGCTTCGTTCTTACACTTTATCTGTTCGTTCAACAGCTTCTCCCTTGCACTTGAACCCCTATTGCCAAGGTTAGGCATCCGGTCGAGTGCATCGATGGCAAGGCTGAATCTATCGGTCTGGTTCCGTATGGCGAGCTCCAAAGGCGTATCAATGTTGCCCTTCTCCTTGTAGCCCCGGACATGAAGATTATGCTGGCCTTTTCTCTTATATGTCAAACGGTGGATGAGCCAAGGATATGAGTGAAAGTTGAAGATGACTGGCTTGTCGTCGGTGAAGATGGCTGTGAACTCGCGATCTGTCATTCCATGTGGGTGTTCACCATGAGGAATGAGTCTGAATAGGTCCACGACGTTCACAAAACGAATCTTCAAATCTGGGAGATACTCTCGGAGTAGAGCTGTGGCAGCGAGAGATTCCATGGTGGGCACATCACCACAAGCGGCCATCACAATATCTGGCTCTTCACCTTGGTCGTTCGATGCCCAGTCCCATATTCCAGCACCCTTTGTGCAGTGCTCGATGGCCGCTTCCATGTCCAGGTACTGAAGATGGTTTTGCTTGTCTGCGACAATGACATTGACATAATTGCTGCTTCGGAGACAGTGGTCGGTGACCGAGAGCAAACAGTTTGCGTCGGGAGGGAGGTAGATGCGAACCACTTCAGGTGATTTATTGGCAACAACATCGAGGAAACCAGGATCTTGATGCGTAAAGCCGTTATGGTCTTGTCGCCAGACAGTTGCGGTCAGAAGAATATTGAGAGAGGCGATCTTCGCACGCCACTCAACTTCCAAGGCCTTTTCGATCCACTTGCAGTGCTGATTGACCATCGAGTCGATGATATGGATAAATGGCTCGTAGCTGTTGAGTAAGCCATGCCTTCCAGACAGGATGTACCCTTCGAGCCAGCCTTCGACAGTATGTTCACTGAGCATCTCCATTACCCGACCTTCAAAGGCAAGGTTGCCACCATCGGCGTCTTCCTCGAAATATTCTCCTAGCCAGACTTTCTTTGAAGCTTTGTACACTTCACCCAACTTGTTGGACTCTGTCTCATCCGGCCCAAACAGTCGGAAGTTGGTGGGATTTTTCTCAATGACATCACGAAGGAACTTGGCCATGTTAGCCATGCTAGGTCCTTCATTCACACCACCTTTCTTGACGTCCAGTGCATAGCTGCGGAAGTCATTCAGCTGCAAAGGTTTCTTAATCAGCCCACCATTGGCCACCGGAGCTGCACTCAGTCTCTTGGTTCCTTCTGGAGCCAGTGCCTTCAATTCAGGGATCAGTTTGCCGTCCGCTCCGAAATACTTGTCTGGTGTGTAACTCTTCATCCATTCCTCCAGCACCTTCAAACTGTCCGGGTTGGAAGCAACATCAGGGATTGGAACTTGATGGGATCTCCAGTATCCTTCAAGATAGCGGCCATCAACTTTTCTTGGACCAGTCCAGCCTTTAGGACTTCGGAGAACGATCATGGGCCAGCGTGGGCGGAATGCTTTGCCCGACTCACGTGCTTTCTTCTGGTATTCTCGGATCTCAAGTACGGCCTTTTCGAGGGTGGCAGCAAAGGCTTGATGCATGGATTCAGGATCACTGCCTTCCACAAAGTATGGTGTCCATCCGTAACCGATAAAGAGAGCTTTGAGCTCGTCGTGACTGACACGGGCCAGAATAGTGGGGTTATTGATCTTGTACCCATTCAAATGGAGCACGGGCAGAACGGCTCCGTCTGTGATTGGGTTGAGAAATTTAGTACCGTGCCAGCTGGTGGCCAGGGGCCCAGTCTCCGATTCTCCATCCCCGACCATAGTCAGCGCAATCAGATTCGGATGATCGAACACAGTTCCGAAAGCATGTGAAACTGAATATCCGAGCTCGCCTGTGAATCATTAGTTTCTCGATCCAAAAGTTCAAAGAGCCTTTTATCCCGCAACGTACCGCCTTCATGCAAACTTCCTGGAGTTTCTGGAGTGGCATGGCTTCCAATACCTCCTGGGAAAGAGAATTGCTTGAAGAATCTTTGGAGACCTTCCTCATCTTCCGATTTATCTGGGTAGACTTCACTGTAGACCCCCTCAAGATATGATTGGGAGATGACTGCTGGAGCACCATGACCTGGGCCAGAGATGAAGAGCCCGTCGATGTCGTATTTCTTGATGAGACGGTTGAAATGAACGTAGGCGAAGACCTGTCCTGCATCCGATCCCCAGTGTCCGAGAAGTCGGGCTTTGAGGTGCTCGACTTTCAATGGTTCTTTCAGCAGGGGATTTTGCTTCAAGTAGATCATGCCCAAGCAAAGATATAAGCTGGCTCTCATATAGTCATCGGTAAGCTTCAATTCCTCTTTGCTAAGAGGAGTGCCTTCAACGGTAGAACGAGCCTGGCCAAAGGGCGAGATACTCTTCACTTCAACGTCTGCGTCAGCCGCTGGAGCCATGATTTCGATCAGCTCCTGTTGATCAGTTGTGATAAGATATATGACAAGTCCTTTGGAGAGAGACAAAAGGTAGGAAGGAGAAGCAGACAACGGACGCAGTAGCTATATATAAGAAATACGACGGCTGTGAGGGCTGCCGTCCTCGATCGGACGATGCAATACGTAGAATTTACCTTTCAAGCTCTTGCCACAGAGCCACAGTACAGAGGTACGTGCCGCCTGTATCTCGAGCTTTCGACCATGCACGTGTCCCCAATAGGAAGCAGAAGCAGCATACACATGTTTTGATCTGCATCGTCAGGCTGACTGTAAGTTTTGCGGTCCCCGGGATAGTGCAGGTAGAACTGTCCACTCGCAGAACTGGCTTGCTGGTGGCATAGATGGCTCCAGGCATGTTTCGCTGCTTACATGAGGAAATAACAGGAGGGAGACAAGCAAGACACAACGTGATTGGGTCAGGGTCTCTATCATGAGATGGTCGACGACATGTGGAATTCTTGGAGAGCGTTTTTGACAATACGAAGTCACACCATGTTGGTCGGATCAGGTCTAGCGCAATATGGTTTTGCCGAAGAAACCGAACGTTCCACGCAACCAAACACTCCCTTTTTATTGCCTCTAACAAACAGCTTCCAACAATCAAGTATGTTGCATGCACATGGACAACAGGCCCATGCTCGATCCGAGTACTACGTCTGGAGATCTTCTGGGTCAACTACCGGACCCTGCCGTTAGTCACCTCTGCATCCTCAACCGTGGTATTACTTACTCTGTGAGCCAATTATGGACTTGTCTAGCAATTTTCATCCTATGGTTCAGTGTTGTGAGTCGGATCTCGTTGCCTTGATTCTGATGATGGCCACCGATAGCACTTTGAATGGTGTTATGATGATCTTCCAAATCGTTGTTTCTCTCCTGGGATGGCTTTCCAGATTCAATACCAGCATCAACAACGACACAGGAGTATAACGGGTATTTCCTGTCCAATTGATTAACATAAATGGCGATGCATCTGTGATGATCAGTCAAAGCCCTTGGCGATCACTATTGTGTCCCGAGATTTATATCGTCCTGCGTTCAAACAATTGGCTTACCCCAGATTTGATCGATGCATGCAGCTTAAGGATCTCATGTATGCGAGTGATCAGATCAGACGCGGATCAGCTGTTATACCAGCCACCCAGGATGAGGGGCTATATGTTTTCGCCATGGCACAGACTGGCCAGCCTCTGGTTTGTTCTGAATGAAGGCAACCGGCGGGTGTCACTCCTTGTGGGTCTGTAAACCGCCATCTCGTGGCAATAATAAGGATGGCAGGACCCGTTTCCAGTCTTGTGTGCTAAACAGAACCCTGTCAATTCAGTAAGTCGAGTCGGCAGAGAGCGAGATGTACCTTTAATTGGCCGGGGACGGATGCCACTAACTTGGTATGCTGTAATGGCGGTTTCAAGCACTTCAACACCAAGATTCTTACCTCGTGTTAAGAAATAGCCTTTTGACACGTGATGTCTCTGCAAATCCATCACAGGCCCTTGAAATGGACCAATTGCAACATACTTTCTGCCTCTTCGAAGCAAGTCTTAGCACTGGATTGACGCGGAGCTAGAGTCAAGGTAAGCACCATCACCATCTGCCACCATACCGTACTGCGGCACTTTCGTCAGTGTTCTCACCATACTGAGATGGAGCTCGTCATTCAGAGCGAAGAGCATACAGTCATGCTGAGTTCATCACTTGGGGAAATGAAGGACCATCTGTGACGAGGTTTTGGCGACCTCGTATCCAAGCAGAACACTGGCGTAATATGGATTTTTTGCTGCAACGTCTCGACAATGTCTTGCTGTTTGAAGTACCCGCCGGTATCACAAGTCACTAACGATATTGGTGATGTTTTGTCGTGAAACCTGGAGTACTAATAATGAATAGTATATCGAATGTCTGCCTTGGCATCGCTAGGAGCATTCGAGTTCAAGTCTACCAGAGCTAACGCCTTGCATCGAGCGAGAAGAAGTATCCAATTACGATCAACTTCAGAATGACCGGAGGCTAATCTCTCTTTCCTATCTCGAACCAAAATCTGCGGAGTGCTAATGCGGAGATCCCCTCCCAGGCGCGGCACGCCCTCATACACGACTCTAGCTACTCCGGCCTTTGTCACACTTTCGCTCGATCTTATCGCCGCGTAGCACGATACGCCCAAGTCTAGGGTTGATCACAGCAGCCAGAGATTGTGATATGAACAATCATAGTCTAAATACTCTATATATGAAGCATATCATACATTCTGATTTAGCGCTCCTCCTGATCTTCCCCAGCGCTTTGTATATTTGATATACATTGAACTTCCCAAAATCCTTGCCTTTCAGCTGTCCCAAACATCCACTCTTACGCCGCCCATTGTTCCAAGCTTACCAATATTCAGTTTATCATGTCAACCACTACGACTACTCTCACCCAGGACGTTTCTACATCGCCAGGCTCAGCCGACCAATACTATGGAAAACTCCGGTTCATCCCACCTGGCCAAACACCCAAGGCAAGCCCTCATAACTTCCATTTGCCAGCCATGTCCGAATTTGGAGATGTACGGTTACAATCCCTGATAGACATGCGACCCGTCCCCACAACATCAGAGCTTCCAAACGCACCAGAAGGGACGGCAAGGCTCCCTTCTCACGGCTTTGCTGCCGTCAGACACCCGACAACACTCAACTCTGCGCCATACACCAAGGACAGCTGGAAGAGCCCAGCACTACTGAAGCAGTTCTACATCCCGGAAACGGAAGAAATGGTCAAGCAGATCACTGGAGCCAAAAATGTGATCACCGAATCTCTTCTCCTGCGCAGCGAGATCTGGTCAGAGACCGACGCACTCGCAGCCCACGCCGGCCACGGCGACAAGGCTGAAGCAACCAAGGAGGAAGAGGAGCAGACATCCGAAGCCACAGCCCTCGAACTCGGCTTCCCACAATTCATCGGATTTTCACCCACGACCGGCGGCGCCAGCCCCGCGCCGAAAGTCCACCTCGACTACGCACCCAACGGGGCACGCACGCACATCCGCAGATTCCACCCGATGATGGCGAGCGCCGCAAGCGCCGTCATCCGTGCCGAAGAAGACCTCCTCTCTAGAGGAAAGTCACTGCGCGACGACTACGCGACCTCCGGGCTCGGCCCACGCTGGGCGCTGTTCTCGATCTGGCGGCCACTGAAGGCGGTGACGCGCGACCCTCTGGCGCTGGGTGATGCGCGCACATTCCTCGAGTCCGACTACGTGCCGGTGATCGTCAAGACGCCGGATCTCGGCATCCCCGGCGAGAAATCCACCCACGACACCGAGAGTTACCTCGCGCATTGGTCTGCGGGCCAGAAGTGGTACTTCATCTCTAGGCAGGAGCCCGAGGAGGTGTTGGTCATTGGCCTCTTTGATTCCGATCGGGACGCCGAGACCGTCGCCGCCGGTGGCACCCTCCATAGTAGTGTTGATCTGCCGGGCACCGAGGCTGAGGAGCCCCGTGAGAGCTTGGAGTTGAGGTGTCTCGCTATTTGGTAGGATGGGATTCTGTCGTGGATTGGGGCAATGGTGGCGAGTAATGGCATTTGGTGTGTACAGTAGGAATACTAGTAGGTATGGCTATGAGATGAAACGCATGCGAGGTGGGAGTGGGGAGGATCTGGTTGGAGCGATGGGTTTCAATTTTTTTATGGCTATTCTAATGCAGTGTTAAAGATCACCCCTGGGGCTGCCCAGTGACAATCTGCAGTTCAGGAAATCCTCCGATGCAGTGCCTTCAATTTCTCGTCCCATTTTAATCTGACAAAAAATTCCATGACACAGTTCATCGATGCAGTCACCCCCTCACTGGCGGATCTGGGCTCCAATGGAGCTGAAATACTGACAAGCACCTCTCTTGGCAGCATCAACAGTCTCCATACCGCTGGTACTACTCGTGTCAAAGAGCAACCGATTCAGTGCGGTGTCTTGACTTTCAGCAGCCACACCCCCAACAGAAGTGAAGGGCTTCCACTCGGGTGTGCCTGGTTGACGATGAAGATTAGGATCTAGGGTGCGGATGAAACTCGTCCAGTAGCCCTGGATGAAAGGCACGACCCAGGCATTTTCAGCGCCAGGTCGAAATGAGTTTGGACAACCGCCGTGGACGTTTTCTGGACCCCAGATCGCGGCGATCTCCACCGTGTGCGGTACCCCTAGGCCCTGTTGTGTGAGGGCCGGGTCGCGCACGTTGAAGCGGTAGTTCCAGTTCTGCTTTGGGTTGCCGTGGCGAGCGAAGGCGGTGGAGATGAATAGGTTCGGGCACATGTATCGCAGGTCACCGTAGGCGTTGCTGACCTGTCTCCAGAATGGGCCGGAATCTGGGAAATTGGGACCCTGGTTGGGGAAAAGAGTGTTGATGCGTTCGAGGTGGTCGGTGGTAAGGTAGGGGAATTGGTCGTGCAGAAACCGGCTTGACTGCGCCTGCGACTGTGTGCCTCGTGGAGTGAAAACTGTGCCACCATTGGTGTCGTCGCCGAAGATTACGGGCACTTTGATGAAGTCACCGTGTGCGAATGCGTCGTATGTGTAATACTGTATCAGGTCGTCGTCCAGGACCGGGTTCCACATGAAAAGAGGAGCACCCTGAGAGCCCGGGTATGGGATGTTCTTGTTCTGGGCTTGAAGTTCTTGTGAAGTTTTGGATCGGAGGCAGGAGAGGGTGTTGACATCCGAATTGCCTGTTATGGAATTTGCACAGCCGACACGCTCCACAAAGTTGTCGTATTGATACTGGCTTTCCTCAACCGTGAGGACGGTTGCGAAGCTAACTGATTCAGCAGCGGCACCTACGAACAAGCCGTCATCGCGGCCACCGAATGCAGTGAGATGTAGAGCGATGGACGCAGCACCTGCTGAGTCGCCACCCAGAACCACATGGTCTGGATCACCGCCAAATAGTGATATATAACTTTGAACCCATTCGAGAGCCTTGCGCTGATCCCTCAGTCCGTTGTTCACTGTGGCAGAAGGGGAGTCGCTAATTTCTCGACTAGCAATGAACCCATACGGACCGACACGATAGTTGAAAGTCACAACGACGATTTCGTGTTCGGCGGCGGCTATCAGGCCGCTGCCATTGTAGTTGGCATTTGAGAGAGAATTGAAGCCGCCTCCTTGGATGAAAACGTAGACGGGTAATCTTGATCCAGTCGCAGCATTCGTTGGTGCATACACGTCCAAGAACAGACAGTCCTCAGACGTAGCTGTATTCGCTGGATTGTCGCCCGTGGCGAGACATATAGGGCCGTGCTAATATAGATTAGTCTGCTTTGGCTCGATAGTGTAGACAAAGTGAAGAACTCACCTTGTCAGCAGCTTCAATGGCAAGAATCTGATCATCAAAAGGTGGAGGATCTTGAGGTGGTGCAAACCTCAAGGGTCCCAATGGAGCAGCAGCATATCTCATGCCGAGCCACTGTGTGATCCCGTTCTCAAGCGGCACCCCTCTGTATCCTGCATACTTGAGACTGACAACAGGCTCAACGGCTGTAACGGCTGTCATAAAAAGATACAACAGACAGAAAAAAGCCATCTTCCCCGCCTGTTGACTGTTTCAAGCAGGATAGCGAGGTGTGGTTAGACGTAGCGTTATTGGGTGCAGCAGATAAATCTCGAAAGATGCAAAGTTTGCATTCTCAATGATGCACTGATCAATCCTGGGTCGAAGGTATTCAAGTTCATAATCAGGCACAGAAATGCTGGCTCGGTCGAATTTCTACTTCAGCAGAGATGGGTAGCTACCCAGTAGCTTATCAATTGTTTCAGTGGTGAGGGTCAGAGGCGCAGCATCAGTAATCTGAAGCCTATACATACCACATGGAAAAGAATAACGACAGATATGGATACACTAGATCAAATATAGAATGGTGACAGCGGACAAACACTGTATTGATGATCTAGAGATCAGTAATGTTTGGCTAGATGATGAAGAATGTTTCCACGATGTGTCGAAATTGCACGAGTGGAGCCAAAGCGGAACACCGTTTGCGAGCCTTGGAAGCACATCCCGTCTCACGGATCCCGTAACAGCTAACCTATGCGGGGAAGGTCGAATTCCCTCGCAAAGAAATATGCACCATCAAATCTATGGATACCTTCACGTCTGAAGGGCTGGAACCCCAGCGGGTGAATCATTCAGCTGGGGTCTTTGCTGCAAAGCATGGCCCAATCCAGTCGCGAAGATCAGCCAGCCTCAAACACACGCGGCCGTGGGCCTGAGTTTTCCACAGGTGAGTACGCAACTTGAACTTGACCTACTCCAGAGGCACAAAGCTTGCACCACTTGGTGGACTCGCAGGCGAGTAATAATAATGGACTCCAATTCAGTTCCGTCCGAGACAGGCACGAGGCTCGTGCGTCTGTTATTTTCGGCGTTGCATCTCGCAAAAGAAAAAACTCAAAATTGCTTGATGCCGTCAATACTCAGCTTGGCGCAGCTTCTGCAATTGATCTCCGAATGGTCTCCCAGCTAACACCATCGATGTTCTCTCCCTTCAACCTATTGAGCATCGTATTTTCGGTGACCGCGGAAACCGATTTGCCAGTAGCTAATCGCCGGACCATCACCGTGTCTTTGGCACCTGGAAATTTGGTTCCTTTGCCGCGAAGTAAAAAGTCCTCGAACCAGGCGTCCTCCTCTGAGCTGAACGGCAAGCCGACCAGAATGGTAGCTCTTGTCGCACGAAGCTGGCCTCCCTTTTCCTGATGTACTGTTGCAACCAGTTTCTCAAATAAGGACTTATGATTCAGCTTGTCTTGTCTCTTTGCGAAATAGTACGCTTCCGGCAGATTATTGGAAGATAGTAAATCGAAATATGCATCCACGGTCTTGGGATCCCGCAATGGCGGCGATACAGTGATGTAAAAGGCGGTTGCCAATGCAGGCTCACATCTCGGATGTTTTAGGAGAGAAAGGAGGACTTCGTCAGCGAAGGGAAGGGCGAGGGATGGATCGGTAAGGTGCTCTAGGGCTTTGGAGAACTGAGAATGGTCGAGTTCCCAAAGTCCTTGGACGAGGAGCTGGTATTTCTGTGGTAGATATGTCCTCCGGACGAAGACATTGTCTACACCAGTGATCCCACGACAGTCGAGTAGGACATAGTAGAGAAGGGCGAGTTTCTGCTCGTCGGGCGCAGGTGACTGGACGATTTTGGACCAAACATTCCTCAAGTCTTGATTCGACCTCGCGGGGTAGTTTTTCCTCGAGGCTGTAGAGAGTAAGTCGAGTTTGACGAGAGCTCTGATCAACTTCCTTACGTTGGGTAAGCCCAATCGACTTCCATATCCGATCGAAGAACAATTCGTCTCCAAATTCCCTTCGATGTCTCAAGATGTTCTCCACCGTTTTCTGATCCAGGGCATAGTCTGGTTTCTGCTGAAACACAGCATCAAAGTTGTGCCAGTCGAGGATCATGATGAATAGCAGGGGACCAAACTTGTATCATTCCAGGGCGATCGTAAGGCACAACCCTCGACTTATCATTATTGTACTGGGTACTCCAATCAACGCGTTGAATCTTGGAATCGACGCGAAGGGATCACCAAACACTCCACAGTATAAACTAGGGTCAAGCATAGATGCACTTTGGCAGGTCTACTTGGCATCCCAGGACTTGGAAGTTCAACTCCAACTTGCATGGATCTACCATAACGGATGTCCAGCTTGATGAGCACCTACGTAGCTAACGTCAGAACTGAGGCTTCATGATACTGAGTGTGCTCGCTCGCACGCGAAACTCGCTGCCGGCGTTGTTCCGGCGCTGTGGAAGACAGGAAGAAGGCCAAGCTGACTTCGCCTATCCAGACTTCCGAGCGTTTGAGCTAAACTCGGAGACCATGAACAATGATGTCAAAATCTGGGGATTATGGAGAACTCAAACCTGCACGAAGACGTTGGAGACCATCAACCCCCGCCTTTCCAACCACGATTTGATCGGAACGTCTGCTTCAGTCTTCAGCAGCAAATTGATGTTCCACCGGAGCCAAGCGTGTCTGTGTCGTCGATTCGCAGAAGGAGACCATCTTCATGTGGACGATAGCCGAGGTGAGTCTCGCTACATGGGGGGAAATTGATATATGAATCCTCTCCCCAAGACACCCTCATCTCAAACGGTAAGCTGCCTCAAGCACTGTTTGATGAGTAACCGCCAGTCAGTCAGATCATCTACCACAACTTAACTCGTGAATTATCATCCATCCATAAGGCAGGGATAACACCACATCGATTTTCAAATCGAGATAGTACTTGCGAAAACAATGGGCTCCGAAAACTACCCTCTTAAGAACAGTGGGATTTACCACAACCTACCGACCTTTGATCCGGCTCTCAAAGGTCTGACTGCGATAGTCACCGGAGCCAATGGAATATCAGGCTTTCATACAATGCGAGTACTGCTCGAGAGCCCTGATCGTTGGAGCAAGGTTTTCGCGTTGTCTCGCCGACCGCCCCCCAAGGAGATGATGGCCTTGTTGAGCGAAGCACAGAGATCCCGTGTCCAACATGTCGCGGTGGACTTCCTGGAAGATCCACAGAAAATTGCAGACGCCATGAAATCAGCCAATGTTAGTGCGGACTACATCTTCTTCTACTCGTACCTGCAACCAAAGCCTCCGCCAGGTACCGCCGTATGGTCCAATGCTGAAGAACTCGTTAAAGTTAACAGTGCGCTCCTGGACAACTTTCTCAAGTCGCTCACTATCTCTAGAATCACACCAAAACGCTTTCTACTCCAAACGGGTGCAAAGAACTACGGCATTCACATTGGTCGCTCGCGGACACCAGCGATTGAGTCTGACCCTCAGCCAGCCCATCTTGAGCCAAACTTCTATTACCCACAAGAGAAATCGCTTTTCGAATACTGTAAAAGCAACAACACGCACTGGAATGTCATCCGTCCAGCTTGGATTCTTGGTGCTGTGAATAATGCACAGATGAATGCATTGCTACCCTTCGCATACTACTCTGCTGTTCAGGCGCACAAGGGCGAACCGCTCTATTTCCCTGCTGACTTTGATGTTTGGCAATATGAGTCACACCACTCGTCTGCGATGTTGACCGGATATCTATCGGAGTGGGCTGCTTTAGAGGATAAGTGTAAGGACGAAGCATTTAACTCCCAAGATGGCGGGCCAATGACATGGGATCGCTTCTACGAGGAACTGGTGAGGTGGTTCGGCGTGGAAAAGGGTATTGTACACCCGGAGGAAGATCTTTCCAAGTTCACCGTCATCGAGGGAAGGAAGGGTAAAGACACACCTATGGGGTAAGATCTTCCGCGCTATCGCTTGACTGTTCAGCGGGTTTGCTGATCTTGGATTTTAGTTATGGACCCGCGCCAGAGATCCGTACTTTGTGGACTCTTGTCGATTGGGCCTCGAAACCTGAGAACGCAAAAGCATGGGAAGAGTTGATGAGTGCCTCTGGAGGGCAATTGACCGATAATCCTTTCAAGGACGTCGCTGCCAACTTTGCCTTTGGAGATGCCGCCTTCATCAAGGTTCAGAGTATGAACATGAACAAGGCGAAGAGACTAGGATGGACCGGCTTTGTGGATACTATGGAAGTAAGTAACAAAGGCTCACTTGCACTTATCATCATAACTGACTTGGAGGACAGGCTCTCTTCGAGATGTATTATGAAATTGGAAAGCTTGGAATGGTTCCTAAAATGAAGGTGGACAAAGCGAAGCCCCTAATCTAGGCTTCTACTCTGCTTCATGAGTTCTTCTATAGTTTGATATACTGCCAGTGATATAGTCTCAGTAGCAACGCAGAGTCCATTATCCAAAGGTGCTTACACCACGAGTCCGAAATACTTGTATATTGCCATTTTGGGATATTCTGATGTCTGACGCGGCTTCCACCCACTTTTCATGATCCAGATCGCCTGTAAATTATAGTCTGACAAAAACACTGAAACTCCAGACTGAATAGAAGGTTTCATTGTCTTCAGGCCGCATTGCCACATGGCCGTCATTTATTGGTTGCCCCATTACAAGGCTCTCAACAGGGTGGCCAACTTATGACTTGCTCAATTCTCTGCGCATGGCCTTAGGACCACGCCACCCCATTCCTCTCACCATTTGCAGGGCCAGATTTCATGCACCCAAGTGATTGGTTGGCCCCGGTGCCAGAGAGCCCAAAATTCCTTACCCTCACCTTGCCCACTCAGCCGTTGGGTTGCTGACATAGTTAAACGGGCGTTCATGGCTGGGGACGAGGTGAAGAGAAAGAAAACGACACATCGCAGACATGGTGAACCGAGATCCTCCAAATCACATCCTCTTCCCAACGATGAATCCACTGCAATCAACGCCCCCGCTGCAAACGACCGTTCTCCCGATATAAATGCCTTGCGCAGAGCCAGACTTGCCCATATTCATGACACCCCTCAGGATCTACCAGAAGACATGAAATATGTATACGAGAAACGAATCAAGACGGCGGCGCATGTGAGCGCGGACAATGAAAGTCGTCGCAAAACCACTACGGATCGTTCATCGGAACGAAAAGAATCGAGATCCTCTCATAAATCGAAACGTCGCACAGAGGAACACACGCGCGGCGAACGGCGCGATGAATCTGAAGACGACTATGAATACGTTTATCCAAGAGCAGACCCAGATAAATCCCATGGTGATATCCAGGGGAGGTCTTCTGATGCCCGAAGACCGCGGCGGCCCTCACCGAGTCATACAGGGACAAGAAAGAAGGACGAGTCGCGGCGAGAACCTGAACGCAGACATACCGAGCCGATACGTGGGAAGACAAGACGTGGTCAAGATGAGGAAGGGTACGCTGTTTCATACCACTCAAGACTATTGTTGGCTAACCCTGTTTATAGCGCGGCCACGCCTATTGCGAAGACTCACACAAATACGTCTCGGGGCGATGGATCCTCCAGCAAGCACGAAAGGCCGGCTTTGAAGAGAAACGCTACAGTGACGGCATCGCCAAAGACCGACGCCGCTGGTAGCAAGCATTCAGAACCCCCGAGTGTTCACAGCCGAAAACCATCTGGGGTACTTGGATCGTTCTTGAGCCCTCGACCACCGATGCCGCAGAAAAAGGTAGCGTGTTTGACTTGCGGGTCGGACGATGTGCCTATCCATCTATCCGCCAAACTACCATGCACACATCGAATGTGCCATTCATGCTTGAAGCGCATTTTTACCATGTCAGTGAAAGATCCCGCCCACATGCCACCAAGATGCTGCACGGAGCAGCATATCGATCTCAAGCATGTTGACAAGCTTTTTGACGACAAATTCAAAGTCCTCTGGAACCGCAAATTCGACGAATATCACACTAAGAACCGCATCTACTGCCCAGCCCGAAAATGCGGCGCCTGGATCAAACCGAAGTACATCACGACCGAAAAAGGCCGCAAGGTCGGACGATGCAAGCACTGCAAAACTCTGGTGTGCGCAACGTGCTCGCAGAAAATGCACACCACGCGTGACTGTCCGAAAGACCCGGAGACCAAGGCGTTCGTTGAGGTGGCCAAGCAATCCGGCTGGCAGCGTTGCTACAGCTGCTCGGCGATGGTCGAACTGAAGGAAGGCTGCAACCACATGACGTGCCGCTGCACCGCCGAGTTCTGCATGGTGTGCGGCCTGAAGTGGAAGTCCTGCGACTGCCCCTGGTTCAACTACGAGAACGTCGACGCCCATCTCGGTGACCCAGCCCTGGTCCAACAGCAGATGGACCGACGCCGCGACCAGGAGACCCGCGACGAGGAACTCGCCCGCCGCATGCAACGCATGGGTGTCTTCGACGCCGGAGCCCACCCTGGCCCCAACACGGCGCAGAACGGGTACTTCGCATTCGGCAACGGCAACGGCAACGGCGCGGCCGACAATTTCCTCCAACAGGCCCGAGAGGCCCTGACTGCGAATTGGCCGCAAGCCGGGCAAGCCGCGCGCGACCTCCTCCAGAACTACGTTATCGGCAGAGAAAACCGGCCGGCCGCATATCCTGGGGACGTGGCTGCTGCGCTGAACGCGATGAGGGCGCAGCCGCCTCAGCAGGTCAATGGCAACGTGAACGTTGTCGACGACCACATGATGCAGCCGCCGACTCCGACGCGCCGCGGCACAGCCTCGCGTCGCAGGAATGCCGCCAGAGATGCGGCCGCGGCGGACGAGCAGCGCCGTCTGCAGGACTGGGCGAATAGTGTGGCGAACTGAACTAGGTGGGATTGCATTGGCCAGCCACTTAGTTGCACTGAACTTTTCGATAGTGCTTGCGCAGTCTTACTTATCGTGATGTCGTCCGCCGGTGTCGATATCGACTCGTATGTCACCCGACCACTTTACTCGGCGCTGAATCTTCGGCTCTGGCAGGAGGAAAAGGACTCGATGAATTACCGGGGGCTGTTTGGCCGGAACCAAGAAGCGGCGGCAAAGCGGCGTCAAAGCGGCGGCAAAGCGATCACCGCCCTTATCGACGCTGTCCTACTCCGATGGGACCACCTCGTTCACCGGCTGCTTACTATTTGTTATTTGTTGATTGCTGTTTACATTTCCTTACCTGACATCATTCGACAACGACGACGACAGTACTCACGAAATGTGTTTCTGCTTTGCGATCTGTGTGCTCTGGGTTTTTCATGCTACGACATTCTGTGACTATTTATGGCATGCCTGTTCCTGTTTTTATTATCGTGCTCTGCTTAGCTTATGGCCTTCTGGAGACTACCACTTAGCTTGGAGCTGAGGTGGAATTGTGGAAATGTGATTGGGCCTGGAATGAATCGGATGTTATAGGATGTGGTTGCTGTACATGGAATGGAATGGAACTATACGTTGGCCAGCCGTGCAGTGCGATGGCTACAAAAATCTTTACGGACTCGAATAGTTTATGAACGTGATATCAAATATAATGACATTTTGTACTTTTGTCGAGTGGGTCTGTCTCTACGACTATCTTCTGCGAGACGTGTGATTACCAAACCATTTTGTCTCGAGTTGATGGTGTTGTTTGAATTTGAACACGAGTTAGGTTCATGAGGCATGCCTCTTCCCCCCCTCCGCCTAAATCACAATCAGGTTTGATTTTGAGATATTATGAGTCACTCCTGTGACAACCCGCTCCCTTTCAGATGCTTATTGTTGTTTGAATAGACCTTCGAGCTCCTTAGCCACGGCATCACCCACCTCGACGGTTGAGCTGCTGCCACCAATATCTTTTGTCGTGATACCCTTGTCGATGACAAGACTTACTGCCTGCTCCACCAATACACTCTCCTTGGGGAGGTTCAGACTGTACAGAAGTAACATGGCGACACTAAGGATGGCGGCCACAGGGTTGATGATGCCCTTGCCTGCAATGTCAGGTGCAGATCCATGGATGGGTTCGTAGATGCCGTTGCAAAGTCCCTTGCCATCCGGTACACCGCTGAGACTGGCACTAGGAAGCAAACCCAGACTACCGGGGATGACAGAGGCTTCGTCAGAAATGATGTCGCCGAAGAGATTTGATGTGACAATCACGCCGTTCAGTGCCCGTGGGTTCCTGACCATGATCATCGCAGCCGAATCGATCAATTGGTGCTCGAACTCCAACTGGGGGAATTCTTTTTGCATTGTCTCGGTAAATACTCTCCGCCACAGTCGGCTTGTCGCGAGCACATTGGCCTTGTCTAAGCTGAAGACTTTGCTGGGTGGGCTCTTTGCCAGTGCCAGATATGCTGCTAGACGGGTGATGCGTTCGATTTCCTTTCGTGAGTAGGGTTCTCGATCTTCTGCCCACTCGTTCTCGCCATCCTCGGGGTTGCCCTCGACTCTGTCTCCAAAGTAGATACCGCCTGTAAGCTCGCGGACGATCATGAAGTCGGTACCTTCACAGACGGATTCCTTGAGAGGGGAGTTCTTGGCCAGACTGGGTGAAGCGAAGAAACAAGGTCTTAGATTGCCGAATGTTCCCATTTCTTTGCGGAGTTTCAGTAGCCCTTGCTCTGGACGAACTTTTCCGACTCCATATTTGGGTCCACCGATTGCACCTAGCAGAACTGCGTGGGCTGATTTGGCAGCGGAGAGAGCCTCATCGGTCAATGGGTCACCGTGGGCATCGATTGAAGCCTGGTCTTGTAATGAACATCATGATATGTGGAGGAACAGGGAAAGGGAGACGTACACCTCCAAGTAAGTGGTCTTGAAAATTGAACTTGATATCTTTCGAAGACTTCTCGACGACTTTCAAGATCTGTCCATGGAAGACCTTCTGTTAGCACGACACAGTCCTCGCTTATGGCGGTCTTAAACTGCAAATTGGAACGGCAATGCTTCGAGACAAGGCATATCCCTCACACTGACACCCTTTAACCACAAATAAGACGTGGAATTTCACTGACCTTGACTGCTTCAGCCGTCACCTATCTTCTGATTAGCCAAGAGAAGGACAAGGAGTGAGAGATCCTTCCGCAGCACGATTGATCCTTTATATCACACAACATACCTCAGGGCCTGCATAATCCCCTGCGAGAACGACAATATTGTAGGTAGGCATCTTGTGCGGGTTTTAGCTTGTCGTTGTATATGTTGGAGGAAACCAGCAATATGGCGAAGAGGTGAATAAAATATCTTGAGCGTTGTGATATATCAATATCACCTGTGAGGCCTCCTGTTCTCGTCAAAATTGTTTAGAATTGTACCCTCCGTGAATGGGCATAAATTCACGCCGAAATCGGGGTGGCCGGTTGAACGTCGAAAGCCTTGGAGGGGCTCCCCAATGGCCCCCCACCAGAACTGAAGACGATACCGGCGTAGGTGATAAGATAAGATGGGTAAGGTTGGCAGGGACGAGGCACTCCTTTAAAAGCTCTTGAGAACTTTCCCAAGGTAAATTCCCTCGTCCTCAATACACGCCGGAGGAACGTACAATTCCGGTACTCATGTCTCACAATTACTCTCAGGTTTCTTGCGAGTCACGACTGTTGCTAGGTGGTATCCGGATCTAGATACAAGAGACCGCAACCACCCATCATGAGCTTCTGATCGGATTACATGAGCCTTTTGATAAGGTCCACATCAGACCACCTCTGCAGTGTCTGTGCCTGCCTGCCGACTTACATTGGTGCATCGATTGCCCTTGCTTGGTCTGTCCATGGTTGCTCTTGCCCTGGTGTATCATGTATCATGTATCTTGAGCTCTTTCACGCTGTGACAGACAGACTCCACGAGCACCTTCCATTTGTTCATTGGAGCAGTTTGAGTTATTGGGTACTCCAAACCTTGCTGTGCCATGTCTCATGCTGCATTCCCATGATGACGTGAACCCACAGATGCATATTTATTAACCTGAACACCCTCCTTTGGCTGATACTGACCTAGACATTGTTCTTTATTCTTTTCCACGATCTTTCGTTATGACTTCCACCACGGATATTCGCACTTCGGAGCTGAGAGAGCCCGTTGATGTGGCAACTTACTTATTCACAAGACTCAAGCAGATTGGAATCGACTCCATTCATGGTCTTCCTGGAGATTTCAACTTGGTGGCTCTTGATTACCTGGAGGGCCTAGGGCTCAAGTGGGTGGGCAATTGCAACGAGCTCAATGCCGGTTATGCTGCGGATGGCTACGCTCGCGTCAAGGGCATATCAGCAGTCATCACCACATTTGGCGTAGGAGAGCTATCCCTTCCGAATGCGATCGCGGGAGCGTAAGTTTGATCGTCCATCACCTCCAAGCTTTTGTTCTGAATGCAGCAGATATGCTGAATTCGTCCCTGTCATCCATATCGTCGGCACACCCAGCACGAAATCTCAGGCCAATGGAATGCTACTCCATCACACGCTAGGAAATGGCAATTTCCATACATTTGCCGACATGGCTGCTTATCTCGCCGTGGAAGTAGCCAAGTTGGTCGATCCTCGAGATATCCCTTCGCAAATCGACCACGCCCTTCGTGAGTGTTTCCTTCAAAGTCGACCCGTATACATCACTGTTCCCACGGATATTGTACAGAAAAAAGTGGAAGGCGAAAGGCTCAAGACCAACATCGACCTGAGTCCACACAAGAACGATCCGGAAAAAGAAGATTATGTGGTTGAAGTGATTTTGAAATACCTCACCGCCGCCAAAAACCCTGTTATTCTCGTCGACAGCTGCGCTGTACGCCATCGGGTGCTGGAAGAGACTCACGAATTCATTGAGAAATCAGGCCTTCCCGTCTTTGTTGCCCCCATGGGAAAAGGAGCAGTGGACGAGACCATTCCTCAATTTGGAGGTGTTTATGCTGGCGATGGCTCTAACCCTGGAGTACAGGAGCGTGTTGAGACAGCCGACTTGCTCATCACAATTGGTAGTGTCAAATCAGATTTCAACACTGCAGGTTTTACATACAGGACGTCGCAGCTGAAGACCATTGACCTCCATAGCACATCCACACGAGTGCGATACTCTGAGTACCCAGGTGTTGGCATGAAGGGCGTGCTACGGAAGTTGGTCGACATTCTACCACCACTCAGCATACAACCAGGACCTACACCTCCGCAAAACAATGTTCCCCAGGATATAGATTCTACAGGATCGGTCATCACTCACAGCTGGTTCTGGCCAAGACTTGGTCAATTCTTACAGGAGGGAGATATTGTCCTCACCGAAACAGGAACTTCAAACTATGGCATCTTCGATACTCGGTTCCCAAAGAATGTCACCAATATCAGTCAAATCCTATGGGGGAGTATAGGCTATGCGACAGGATCAGCCCAAGGCGTCGCCCTTGCAGCTAAAGACCTTGGTGGAAAACACCGTACGATCTTATTCACTGGCGACGGCAGTTTTCAACTCACCTGCCAGGAGGTGAGTACCATGATTCGACATAACCTCAACCCCATTCTTTTCATCATCTGCAACGATGGGTACACGATCGAAAGACTCATTCATGGTCCGGATGCGGGGTATAACGACATTCAGAATTGGAACTATAAAGACCTGCTACCAGCATTTGGGGCCAAAGAGGGAAATTACAAGACCTATCAAATCAAGACCAAGGACGATGTCAACGCTCTTTTCCAAGACAAGAACTTTGCGAGCGCACCTTACTTGCAACTGGTCGAGCTGTATATGCCAAGAGACGATGCACCTGTTGCATTGAGGAAGACTGCTGCGAATGCTGCGAGGCTGAATGCGAAGAAATGAGGGAGTTCGATGGATACAGTAGAATTGATACAGTGGAGCTGAAAAGCCTTACGGTTGAAACTAGATCAGAAGTCTGGAATTATTATTATCATAACCAGCATAGACCTTCTGAGAAGCTTAGCCAGACTGGCAGTGAGAAGAACAATCTCTTGTCCTCCTGGTCTTTGACGCCGCCATCAAAGAGACTGCACGTGACATACCCAGATGAGGCAGATGGGGTGACATTAAGCGAGACCCATCCGGCAAGAGATGCCTGCTGCTGCCTGTGGCATGAGTCCACGATGAGTCCGAGTGACTTGCCTACTCAGGCTGCCCCAAAGATTCCCAGCATCCCGCATGCCAGTGCCAGCAACATCCCCATCCATTCATCCCACACCTACACCCACACCCTTGAGGCTTTGTCGCCGTTGGGTTTGCGCGTTATCTTTATATGTTCAATTAGCACAAGCCCATGACCCTCTAATGTCTGATTTACTGTCGCGTCCCTTTCTGTTCTAGCCTCTCGGCGTTAATTCATAATGTCAGACGCTCAACCACGCCGACTAGTTTGTCCTTGTTGCTCATTGCCTTCTGTTTTTCAAAGTTCCGTCGTCAGGTGAGCCGACGACGCTGAGCCTGTGATCCTTTTGGTTCCGGTTCACCAATCTCTGATCACCCTTATATTCCGATGCCTTGCCGCTGTTGAGCCTGCTACCAGTCTCCTTGGGCCGCTCAGCCCTCAATTGTCCCTACCTGTGCTAGTTGTGAATAACCCAACGACATCGCCCACCATGGCCAACGATGATACTCCTCCCCCGAAAAAGGCCACTGGTCGCAAACTCCAAAAACGAAATCCCAAGCTGGGCCGATTGCCCTCCGCTCACATTCCCGCTCGTTTGCGCCTGGGTGATGATGCTCAAGAGGATGTAACCGCTCCGAATAGAGGCACGAACAACCCTGCACAATACATGCATCAATCCGTGTTCTCTATGATTGCCGCTGCTGGCTCTCGAACCGATTTCAATGCTAGATTCGACGAGTCAAGTGACAGCGAAGATGAGGCACTGGAGGAAGGACAAGCCCATACCGTGCCAACTGATCAGCCTGCCACAGCCTCCCAAACTGTCCCGCGTGAAGCCGGCAAGACGTCTAGTGACAAGAAAACCAAGCGTCTCTCGGGAAACCTCTTCCAGTCTCTCCCACGTCTGTCAGCAAGACCTTTGACCAAGAAATCAAAGGAAGCGGCCCAACAATCCAGCCCTAGTCCTCCAAGCGATTCGACTTCGAAATCGAGAAGAAGTAATCCACGGGACGCACCTGTGATGAGCAGAATCTTGACAGCCGAAGCAGAATTTCAGGAGAATGCCGAAGCCACTACAGAGATGACCTCGTCCCCAGATCGCCTAACCACAAGAAGCAGAGGTGAATCTTCACCGCAGACGCTACTTGCTTTGAGGTTGATGGACATATTCGGATTTGAAAAGCCGGAGAAAGTGGTTGCCGAATACCCCTGCTGGTTGCTCAAAAGTGTGCTCTTACAAGGCTACTTGTACATCACCAAACAACATCTTTGCTTTTATGCCTATCTTCCCAAAAAGTCTCACACTGTCGCCAAAACCGGATTTATGGCTAAGAGAGGTCGGAACAATGCAAGATACAGGAGATATTGGTTCTCATTGAAAGGGGACGTTCTATCCTACTATTCCGACCCTTCGAGTCTCTACTTTCCTACTGGACATATTGATCTACGTTACGGGATTGCTGCTGCAGTGTCTGCGGACAAGAACAAGCAATCGGATGCTAGAGACTTCACGATTACCACTGACCACCGAACATACAATCTCCGTTGTGATACTCCACAAAGTGCAAAGGAATGGGTGCAATCTCTACAAAAGACTATTTTTCGATCACACAACGACGGCGATAGTGTAAAAATTTCTCTACCATTAGAAAACATCATCGACTTCGAGGAAAGTCCTGTTGTGGAATTTGCTGAGACGGTGAAACTCAGAGTCGTTGAGAATGATGATTCGTACGCGATTGACGAGGTAAGCGAGAGATGGCCCCCATAGTTGAGTGAATGACTAATGGACGTTACAGTATTTCTTTTCTTTTTTCAGCTTCGGCGCTGATGCGTTGAGTGTTCTTCGAGATCTGATCGTGCAGGCTCCAAGCGGCCGGTCACCTGATGGCCAACAGTCATCGGCGAGCAGAGGGGAGCATAGCCCGAGTCCGAGAACAAGACCGAATCCTGTACGAACTGCTTCAGAAGGCGCAGTCAGCAACTCGAGAGCGGTATCTAGCCCTCCACTCAAGGAACCTGTAAAAGCAACGTTGATGCCATTCTCGCTTGGAGAAGATGGCAGAATGTCCCCTCGAATGAGTGGAGAGTTTCAACGTGGGAACAGCCCATCGCGCTCTAGTGGCGATTTTGGAGCTGAATATGGGCGAGCAAGTTTTGATCGGGGCCGTAGAAGTGGAAGTACTAGTCGACTTGACGTGAGCAAGCTGAGACGTACTGGACGGTCTCCACTTGCTCGACATCAGGACTCCGAAGATTCATACGTTCAGTCAATTGACAAGGAAACCGATTCATCCAATGCACCTCTGTCACCTACAGTCGAAGCACAAATGTCAGCCAGTCAGATATTGACACGAAGTGATATGTTTCATCCTCCTGCAGTCAACCGTATGGAAACACTTGTTTCAATGTCGAGTGATGCAGGCAGAAAATCATCTGAGATAGGGACAATACTCTCTACGTCTCCTGCCGATGGCAGTGCTCCAATACCGATTGGAGGTCAGATCGAAGTAGGTGGACGCTCCCCCAGAGATCGTCGCACCGCTTTACAGGATGAGATTGGGGATCTGGACCAGGACAAGAAATACTCCAGCTCTCCGACTCTACAGGACCTTGTCAAGGCAGGCTCTTACCCTTTACAACGTGCAGGAGCCTTTGCAGACTATTTGAAAAATCGTTCAACCAATATGAGGAAGCTTCTCGCCACAGAATCCATGACTTACCTAGAGAAGGTGTCTGGGATGTGGACCGGTGGCAGAAAACACTATGGCGAAAATGAGGGAGTCATTCCTGATGATCGAGGCATCGATCCCGAGGATGAGGAAGCAAACGTCGGTCATGGTGACAGGTTTCGAGCCCACTTTGCTTTACCTGCTACGGAGAAATTGCAGGCGACTTACTTTGCCTTCCTACACCGTGTCCTCCCCCTCTACGGCAAGATCTACATCAGCAATCGCAAGTTTTGTTTTCGAAGCCTGCTTCCTGGCACCAGAACAAAGCTGGTGCTACCCCTCAAAGATCTCGAAAATGTGGACAAGGAGAAGGGCTTCCGATTTGGCTATCACGGCTTAGTCCTTGTGATCCGTGGACACGAGGAGTTGTTCTTTGAGTTCAATTCGGCAGAGCACCGCGACGACTGCACCATCACATTGTTGCACAGTTTAGAAAGTGTTCGATATATGGGCGAGTCCAGCATAATTGCACATCACGACGAGGATGATGCAGAAATCGCAAAGGAAGAACATCGTCTTCTCCAGGAAGCACGCCGAAACTCTGCTGGCGACCATCAACTGGTTCTACCAGACACTGCTGAAGCGATTTATAGCCACGAAGAGCGTTCTGCGGTTCTTTTCGATGACCCTCGAGCAAGCATTATCAATTTCAAGCCGACTGAATCTCTACGCATCACCTGTTTAACTATTGGTTCCAGGGGAGATGTGCAGCCATACATTGCTTTGTGTAAGGGACTCTTGGCAGAGGGACACAAACCGAGAATTGCAACCCATGCTGAGTTTGGGCCATGGGTCATGAAACACGGCATCGACTTCAAGGCGATTGATGGTGACCCGGCCGAATTGATGCGGATCTGTGTGGAGAATGGCATGTTTACCTATTCTTTCCTCCGAGAAGCCTCAGCAAAGTTCCGCACTTGGATCGACGAGCTCCTCGTTTCAGCCTGGGAAGCATGTCAAGACAGTGATCTACTGATTGAGTCACCGAGCGCGATGGCGGGTATCCACATTGCAGAGGCATTGAAAATTCCGTACTTTCGAGCTTTCACCATGCCATGGACGCGGACCCGGGCTTATCCTCACGCATTTGCCGTTCCAGAACACAAGATAGGGGGAGCTTACAATTACTACACGTATGTCATGTTTGACAATGTCTTCTGGAAAGGCATCGCGGGTCAGGTCAACCGTTGGCGCAAGAAAGAGCTCGGACTGCGCAGCACGAATTTAGACAAGATGCAACCAAACAAGGTGCCGTTCTTGTACAACTTTTCGCCTCATGTGGTGGTACCGCCGTTGGATTACAGTGATTGGGTACGGGTGACAGGATACTGGTTTCTGAATGAAGCACAGGACTGGACACCATCCCCCGAACTGACTGCGTTCATCAAGAAAGCCAGGACCGACAAGAAGAAACTCGTCTACATCGGGTTTGGCTCGATCGTCGTGTCAGACCCTGCCGCGCTGACCAAGACAGTGGTGGAATCCGTGCTGAAAGCCGACGTTCGGTGCATTCTCTCTAAGGGTTGGAGTGACCGACTGGGTGACCCCTCCGCTGTCAAGACTGAAGTGCCCTTACCACCGGATATTCATCAGATCAAGTCAGCCCCGCACGACTGGCTCTTCACTCAAATTGACGCCGCCGTGCACCACGGCGGTGCGGGAACAACAGGGGCAAGTCTGCGTGCAGGCCTGCCCACGGTCATCAAGCCATTTTTTGGAGATCAGTTTTTCTTCGGGTCGCGCGTTGAAGATCTTGGCGTCGGCATTTGTCTCAAGAAAGTCAATGTCAGCGTGTTCTCCCGTGCCCTATGGGAAGCTGTGCACAGCGAGAGAATGATCGTCAAGGCCCGTTTGCTCGGAGAACACATCCGAAAAGTAAGTTTAATAACCTCCCCTGATTATACTTCTGTGGATCACGCCTACAGATAATCCATGCCACTTTTGGGTTCAGACACTAACGGTGAAACAGGAAGACGGAGTCGCCAATGCCATTCAAGCACTGTACCGCGATCTAGAATACGCGAAGAGTTTGGTGAATGCACGGGTTGCAACACAAGAAGCGCTTGCAAGCGCAACGAACGATCTCGATGACGGTAACGAAATCGAAGAGAACTGGACGTTTATTGGCGACGAGAGCGATCCGGAGCTGCAGAAGCGCATCCAAGACTGGGATGTTCCTTCGCGCGGACGTGGCCCTCGGGTCAGTCTGGATTTAGCTGCTGGGCTGCGAGCCGTCCAGGGGGTTGAACCGGCCAGGAAGAGTAGTCTCAATATCAAGAGATAGTCTGCAGTGCATGCAGTGACTGGAGGGAAATGAAATCCGTTGGGCGGAATTTTGTCCATGGCTGCGCGGATGAGAAGCCTAGCTTTCAGGTGCCGCTATTCCGGTGCAGAGTGGAAGGCAAGTTCCGAGACGCAAACGCTTGAATGCAAATCACTCGTGTGTGATGATGTGGAAGTTACACGGGGTACGAGCCATGATATCTTTTATCAATTCATGGGAAACTCGGATTTAGTCATGGAGTCGAGCGGCCTTGTTTTCCGGCGAGCGAGTCACATACCGGGAAGGAAGGAGCACGCAACCTTGCAGCAACATACATCGTACGGAAGGAGATGTTCGGAGTGGACTGCAGTGGGGCTTTCCCCAACTCTCGGGCGTTTTTAAAACCGGAAATGAGTTACGGTGGCTGCGTCCGAGTTCATCATGTTGTCCACAGATGGATGGCACTGCAAATACTGATGTTGATGTTGGATTTGGGCGTTTTGAGTGACGATGACGACGACGATCAATAACAATGAACGACTTGAAGCGTGAATCGAGATGACATGGATCTCACACCTCTGCAGAATTGAGAGTAGGATAGGATCGGATACGAGCAAAGACTCTCGTTATTTACTTCCGGTCCACGACTGGGCGCGTGGCCATAAGGCGGAAGCAAGAAGCGGAAGAGAATGCAGACACAGCATAGCGATAGATGTTAGTATTGATCGATTCCACTGCCCCACTCGTGAGATCAAGGCTTTTGGACTTTAAAAGCTGTCTGTGTTTGCCGACTGATGGCTTGAGTCTTGGCGGATTTCATTTGCCTAAGTTCCACGGTTGTCAACTAAAGTGATCTGCATTGTATGTCCGGAATCATTTTCCAAAGAGACTGGGCCCCACTGCTGCACTACACCGCATGACTTGCCAGAGTGATGAGACATCGAGGAGAGTTGGATTCGGGGGTGTGGGCCGGGTGTTTTTGTTGCAGCTTTCCCAGCTACGGATAACCCTGGATGGGATTGTGGTTGTCACTGCAGGAGTCTCCAGTAGGTAATAAGGATAATGATGATACGGATTAAGGCGCCGACGACAGGTATCAATGTCAAACTTACTGCACTACTACTTCGTAGGTAATGTAGACGCTCAGGGATATCGCGAAAACGTACGAGTACTCGTAAGTGACGCGCACGATTGTTCCATTCGTCATTCCACAAATCATGGCATTATTTAATTGTGCGGACAGGACAGATGTTGCGCACATTCACAAGCTGAGCCACATTGTTGGGTCCATGCTCGCAAAGATAGAGCCTGGAGTGGGTATGAGAATGGAGTATTGCCAAGGACATGGAGGCTGGAATATTCCGTAGGTACCTAGATACTCGTAGATAGAGATGCTGCTGTCTTGAACTCTTTTATGAAGCATGTCACGGATTCGGGTGTGGAGTACGGGTCAGCAAGGCGATGATCGATGATCGAGAGGATTTGAAAGGCCGACGGATCCTCCTTCTATCTCACACCGGATCGGTCGCGTAGCCAATAGTTGGTCAATAAGAAGAAGATTGGGTTGTCCATAGCCGATACCTGATCTTACGAGTACTAGGTACGAGGAACTCATCCTACCTAACACGTGGGAGCAATAGCTAGTGAGTGCGCGGACTAGACCTGGAGTAGAAAGCGTTAAGCTCAAAGACAGGACTGTCACGGCTCACTGCCCAAGATGTGAGAGAAAAGTCGAGGCGTCAGCGGTGGCGCACAGTCGACTAGAGCATGTTGGACATATCACAAGCAACGGAGAAACTTGGAAGCAGTTCTCCTTACGCTGTAATTGGATTGTGCGCACAGATGAGATATTGGTGGCGGCGATAAGTGGGGTACGTTTTCCGATTTCCATGGACGAAAAGAGAATCTCCCTACCTTCAAGCTTTCCATCGTGAGTACATTGGAGCATTGGGTTCGACGGTGTCATGTCGATCAAGCATAGAACTTGGAAAGCTCGTACCGAGACCTCGAGCCATGGGACGAATGTAACTAGTTGAAGGCGAAGTCAATGAGATGCTCGACGATATATGCTGACCACATGTTCTGTGCGCTTTCGGAACAATTTCGTTGCAAACCGTATGCGTCCTGTGCGAGACTTGGACTTCTTTTGCGTTGGAGAGTGTCACTAACAATAAGCAGGTAGCGGTAGCTACGGTTGTTCTCGCCGTCCAGTAGGCCGTAGCTGCGGGTAATGGGCGACCTAGCATGCTCGATCGTCTCACTCTCAGCTATGATTCGTTTTCCCCGTCACCCAAGTCTCCGAGGTCATCACCTTTAGTTCTGGCGACCATTCGTTGTTTGATGATTGTGCCGACGTTAAGCTCAATGAGGAATGTCTGCCCCGGGAGAGGCATATCCGCAGTTCTTTGATGAGGATCCACTATGGTGGGGGAGAAGTGAATTGATACGAAGTCCTCACCGTTTCTTCAGCACGAATGAAGGAGACAGTCTGTATTTTGTCGTCGAGGGATGTGTCGGGAGGACTCTTAGATGCCTAGCGAGGGACGAGGACTACTAGTTGTTAAACCAAGCCTGTAGATGATTTTATAGACGTCTAGATTTACTCCCACTGCACCTGCCGCATAATACTTTGGGTTCATAGGGAGATCACGTCGTAGCTACCTACCTAGATACCTAGGTACTTCGTGCCCATCAAGTTTGTGATTGTCCTTTTCACTGCACTGGGTGTGACTTATTATTAACGTAGTCGTCTGCGCCGGCAACTTTGACACTGCCTAATACCTGGGTCCTGGGTAGTATTTTGTAGCTCCTTCTCTTCCTTTCACTAATGACAGCCTACTAAAATTCTGCTATGGAGCAAGTCCCACTGGAACCCCAGACTCTTCGGAGTCTTCGCCCCCCCTCATTTCTGCGCTTTTAGATGAGAGATTCGTACTCTCTTCCTAGTCAGGTTGGACGTTGGTTGTCAATTGTAACTTGTAACTTGTCAGCTGGGCAATCCTAAGCAATCTCGTGCAGCGTCCGGAGCAAGACGACTTCTTTCCGTTGCCACCGTGCGTCAGATTCATTCGACCCTCACTTGGGATTTCTAGATACAGGTACCTCCACCCTATCCGGAGTATGTTTTTGATGTGTGTCTATGTGTGTACCTCGTATGCACTTCGACCGTGATTCCGTGACTGGCAGTGGAACTTACGGAGTATCCTTACGCCGTAACCAAGGTCCAGTATTGTACCATATTTCTCAAACAATCAAATTACGTGCTTCACGATCCCCGGGACCAACTCCCCGTACTCGGTAGGCTGTCGCCCTTCGGCACCATCATATCAATGGCAGTAAGCGAAGGGTCTAGATATTCATCCTTCTCCAGACTTGTACACTCAAATGGTTGCTGAAGAAATGAAGCTTTAGACCATCGGCACTTGTACCGAGTACTCAATTCTCAGGTCTGGAGTCTAGATCAGCCTATCCCACCTCGCCTCCTGGCCATCGGAAGATCCCTCTATCCACATCCTTTTTAAACCTGACTCTCATCCCACCACCCGGATCTCAACTGTCACTGATCCTCTCCCAGTCCATCAAATGCGACCCACTTCTCCGTTACTCCCGTAACTTCGAGTACTGCCGCGTAGTACACCCTGTAACTTGGAGCTTGGAGCCTGTCGCCTTGCCTTGGGTATGGAATACGCTGTGGCCTGCCCGCTGGGGGCCGCTTAAAACTTTACTCGTAGTTGTTCAATCACTGCAGTGCAGTTCGATGATATTCTTCAAGGTTGGTATTCATATCCGTATCCCGTGCCTCGACTGCCCGCCGCTACCCTTGGACCACTGGCATGCGCTGTGTTGGTTCAACACACCCGTCTTGCCGCTCCAAAACTCTCATGCTACCACTGATTCTCATGCCCTACCACACTCATCTCGAGATCAATTTGCGTCTCTCTCTCTCCACTTTCTGACCCGCTCCCGATATTCTTCCACTACTACATCGTTCGATCTAGACAAAACACCTCGGGTCCCACTACACTGGCTCACACTCGCTCTTTCTCTCTTCTCGTGGGATTTTGTGTTGTGAATTGCTTTCCCTTTCTCCTGTCTTGTCTCTGATCAATCTTTTTGGGTCGAGCGGTCATCACCCATCCCTCCTACCGCGACCTCGTCCCTCCTTCCTGAGCCGATGCGGATTTCTTTTCCGTCATACCACCACGGCGACGCACCATGAAGCCACTCAGCATCACAGCAAGTGTATCACCACCCTTGGCTGCGTCCTCGGCCGGTGTCACCAAAAACCCGCCTCAATTACCAATCTCCCGCTCAAATAATTCGACATGGGAAAAGCCTGAGCGCGCGCGTACCAGTCACGCTTGCGAACCTTGTCGTGAGCGCAAGACCAAATGCGACGGCGAGCGTCCCTCTTGTCGTCGCTGTTCACACACCGGAACTTCTTGTCATTATGGCTATGGCAAAGGCTGGAGAAAACGAAAGTAAATCTGCCTATACTTCCATGGCTGCACAATCTCCCCTCTGTTCCGCATCCTTACCCGCGATCCTGCAATTTACTGTATGGTTGTGCTGACCATATCCTCTTTGCCAGAACTGCTGAGGATCTCACTGCCACGTCGCGACGTCTGGCTCGATACGAGGCGCTCTTGGCCGAAATCCTACCCATGGTGTCGACTGAGGTTAGAGAACTGATTGAAGATGCACGCGATCAAGTAGGGACTTCAACCAATCGTTCTTCCCTTTGTCTACTTTGCTCACAGGTCATCAGGATGCTGCCAACTCAAATGGATCTGAAACGAACGAGACTGAGCAAGGATACCCGTCGATGCCTTCTCTCACATCAGAGTCCACAATGTCAAGCTCAAGTAGTCGACTACTACTTCCTCTACCTGTGCCTAGCCCTCTTACAGCAGTCTCGGCCAGAATAACACCCAGTCCAGGGACGTTTGACTCTGTCCCAACCCCCCCAGTTGTCCCCATTTCGGCTGGCCCGAGTCCTGCACCGGGCATGCCGTCATCGCAGTCCCGACTCTCAATCGATGCGGGCATGCTGACCCGATTGCCATCGATTACACCTGATGGCCAGCTAATCGACCCAAATTCACGCGAGCTTTCACCTCCGAAGCTACAACGACTAAATGAGGCAAATCCAGACTTCGCAGCTGAACGACTTGGAATGTTAACCGGATCTCCAAAGAGTCAGACATCGTCAGGAAGTAGGTTTGCTCACAAGGACCATGAGGCAAACAAATATTGACGGAGGAAAAGCGCCTACGCAATTATAGCACTCTCCTGGTCGACTTCATCGCCGATTGAATTTCCGACCAGTCCACCGGCAGATCTCACATAACACGTTACACCGCAAGGGTATCGTCTAACAGGTCCGCGAATTTTCCCGCCTGAATATTGACAAGAGAAAGGGCGGGGCATTGGCAGCCAGTCTAAGTCTCGGTCCGACGTTTGAAAAGGAAGAACTTGCAGAGCAACATGTTAGAGTCCGGGGGCAGCACGATCGACAGCGCGATAAATGTTTTGTCGGGTTCTGGATAAGTCGTCCGAAAATCATCAGCGATCACTACACAGCTTGGAATCCCTTTCCTACTGGGCGTTGTTGGACAAGAACATGGCAATTGTTGTCATTTCGATCCTGTTGGAATCGAGATCTTGTGCTTGGTCAAAGCCTGTGTTGGTTGGAGATCGGCCAGACTAACATGAAGATGGCAGTTGTGTGGAGGATCACTGGGGCAGGAGGAATGCCCATGAGTGCAACTGGCAAAAATGAAAAGAAATGTGGGAAGCAGGGGGCGCCAATGCTTTGTGACGCTTATGCAGGGCTTTGTGGAGCCTCCGACGTGGGTTCGGATGAAAACCACCGCTCTTCTCTCTCCCTCCGCCTCGGTAAAGCACCATCATTTTGATTGGATCTTTCGGCTCAAAATTCCATGCAACCTCACTTTAGCGGATACATATTCCGAATTGACACATCGTTCCGCTACAACCACCACGTCGTCCCGAACTCCGTGTTGCAACGTTGGTGCACATCATGCCCAATCTACGATTACGAGGACCAAGTACAATCAGGGTCGGGTATTTTGCGTCGGATAAAAAGCTTTCCTGGTGACAATTGGCCGGGCACAAATTTTGCCAGAATCGGTGGAAAACTGGTTAAGATCGACGATGAGACAGTGTGGCTTGTGAATATACTTCGTACGTGGCCGAGATCACTTGGTTCAACCGTCCAAGGCAGAATCTCGGGACGCAAGCCATGCAAAAAGCCTACGGTTCCTCCGCCGGAGCACTGGCACGTGAAGGATTCCGGGTGTCACGTGAGTCTGCCGTGCAACTGCTTAATTCTTGCTCCGCCCTACTGGTTCAAGACCAGAGTTGTGAGAGAGCTTGGTCGCTGGTCTAGAACAACTTGAAACAGATCTCATCCAGTTGGGCATTCCTTCCAGTGGGAGTTCTGGTCTGCCATTTGATGTTGATCTGCAAGTCGAGAGGACTGTTTGGAGGAGGAATCACTTCTCAAAGTCATTTTGATGAGACATGATGTATATGACAATGTTTATGACTACTAAAAAGTTTGGAGGCAAGGCACAATATCACGACATCATCGGGTGCAAAAGTTAATTGCTTGAGAATGACTTATGATAAAACATAAATAGAAGGAGGACAGTATGCTATTTGTCTACTCACGATACCAGTTGAGATAACCCAAGGTCAGGAAGAGACCGTCAAGAGCTCAAATCAACCACTTTACTTCTTCTCGTTCCAATTGATCTCAGAGTGAACCTCGCTTTAACATATGAAGTCGTTCATCTACACTGAGTGGTGTTATCAACCCCTCCAGTAGTCATATTGAACCACCGAGCAAGACAAACCCTAATTGTACTAGAGGCCTTCTCCTGGGGGTTGTTGCCGCAAGGTCGTATGTTCGCTGGAACTTCTTTTTTCAATTCACCATCAGTGCCTCCGGCCGGCTTCCAATCTGCTGTCGACATCTTTGGACAATTACAGCAATACCACGAAACGACAAACTCCAGTGTTATTTATCGACGGATAAGCACACAATGTCCGGACCAAAAACTCTGGAGGCAGTTTGCAGCGGTTGACGCGGGGCTGGCTAGCTATTGTACCATCCCTCCTCGACGCGTCGTGAAAAACGCAAGGCTGCCTCTTCTCACCACTCACATAAAAAAAACCCAGGATTTGATGCTGAACTGGAAATTGAATCATTAGTAGGGACAAAAGAGGCTCAATTTTCAAATCTTGACATTATAAACAGTCAAGCAGACAGGGGCCAAAACGATAGAAGAGGGAAAATGCCACCACCACCACCAGCACCGCCAGCAACCCTACACCCACTGCACGCGCAGCTCAGCACGTCACTCCTCACGCGGCACCACCTTGCGGTGTCGCCAGGATGGCTGAGCGAGTTCCTGTCGTCGCGGGGGCCGAACGCAACACTCCCCCCTCTGCCGGCACTGACGTCGACGGCGCACTTCCGGGTCCTGGCCAGCGACATCCGCACGTCGCTCTGCCAACAGGCATTGGACGTCTTGCCCGCCGACGTCGCCGAAGTCACGGTCAAGGAACGGCGGCTCGACGGCGCCGTCGTCGTGCAGGTCCTCGACGTCGTCGACGTCGGCAGCAGTAAGTGGAGCCAGGTCGAGGCGATCGAGCGCGTCGAGCGCGGCGAGGAGGTCCGTGGTCGCGAGGTCATCCGTACCGTTGCTGAGGATGTTGGTGGCGGTGGTGGAGGAAATTCGACTACGTCTACTTCTACGTCTGGTTCGACCGCTCCCACGGCGACAGCTACGGCCAAGAAACTCACCAGTGGACCGCATAAACTGCTCGTGCAGGACGCCCGGGGCACCCAGGTGTTCGCCTTCGAAGTGGTCAAGGTCCCGAAGATCGCGCTCTCGATCGCCGCTTCTGCGTCTGCGTCTGCGTCGGCTGCTGCTGCTACTACTACTGCAGCGATGAACCAGGCTCAGGCTCCCCTGCAGAACATGCCGATCGAGGATCCCGGAATGCTCATCGGATGTAAGCTGTTGCTTCGGCCGGGGACAGCGGTGCGGAGAGGTGTCGTCATGCTGAGGCCGGAGGATTGTGTCGTGCTGGGTGGCAAGGTCGATACTTGGGATAGGAAGTGGAAGGCGGAGAGGAAGGAGAGGCTGTTGGCCCTGGTGGTTGAAGGGGCTTCGGGTGCCGCGGCGGGTTGATATCGTGGGAATGGGAATATGGGGATGGGGTTGGAATTGGGCAGGCACGGAGGAGTACACGAAGAAACGAGTTATTGAAGGGATGGATGGATTACATGGGAATCGGATTTATGGGTACTCAAGTTCTGGCTCACTCTCAATGAGCTAGAAACCAGTACTTGGTCAATTGCTACTGACCCATGGACTCTGTGGGTTGCACCAAGGTCGATGATACACTTCAGCGTCAGCGTCAGCTTCTGAACTGAACTGGATCCCGGGTCGTAAAATCATACAATATCCTGGACGTCACCTTGAAGTCAGGAGCGAGTCCTACATATTTCGAAAAGACATCAACTATGATGAATCGACCGCGATGTCCACAACCCACGGCGCCAACATCTTCGCCTTCAACAAATCTTCAGCACGGCCCGTGCCTTCATATGCTCTCGACAGATCGTCAGCAGCAAGACTTCCACCCGGAGGCACCATTTTGTGTCCGTTGAGCACTGCCATCTCAGCAGCATACGATGAGTCGGATGCGGCGTCCCCTCCCACTGCCTGGGACAATTCCATCCAGCCTTGTGGTTGACTGGGCGCGAGCATGATCCCATAGAGCGCGTCGGTAACGACAGCCATTCGATCCTCTTTACTTTGTGAGCCATCGCGACGCTGGGAATTGCAGCCAATGAGACCTGCTAGGACTTTCGTGACCTGGATCTTGTCAAACACAGTGATGTTATCACTCTGCCTCAACGTCTTCAGGCTGTCCTCTACCGCCTCCAGCACATCTTCATCCGCGTCGAGCAGGCCCGTGACCCCCAGCAATGCGACTGCTTGGACATGATCTGGGTGACTTTCAATCACGTCAAACAGCTGAGACCGCGCTGCGTCCTTCTCCGCTTCGCCACCTTTCGCCCACAAGACCTGAGCCAGCATGCACACCACGTCCGGAGCGTGGTCGGATTCCTCGAGCGCAGCTTGGAACAACTTGATCGAGTTTTCGACTCCTTTGAGATGGCTGTGCGCAAGACCAGCTGTGATGTGTGCCGAGAGCCTCCATTTGCGTCGGATGTCAGCGTACGCAGGACCGAAGTCATCCGCGTCGCCAGAGAGGTCAAGAGCCGTCTCCGCATTGCTAATTGCTGGTTCGAATTCGGAATTCCCTAGTTGTACTCGAGCGAGATCTGCTTTGGCCTGGGCGAATCTCACTAATAACTCGTTGGACTCGGATTTCTCGTATTCCGCTTCAGCTGCAGCGCATACTTCCTCGAGAGCTTCGGCACTGGTAGAAAAGTCGCTGACTCGTTCTGCGAACAATGCCATCAGATGAGTGGCCACTGTGTCACCGGGTGTCTGGGTGTGTAATTGACGCAGGGCGAATAGCGGTTGAAGAAGCGTGCTGACTTCCAGAGATCTCGAAGGGTCCTTGAGAAGGTGGTCGAAAGCTGAAAGAGGGAAATAGCGTTTCGCAGGGAGTAGAGACGAGTCCGCAATTTCAAAAGCATGCATGAACAATCCTCTCGCCTCCTGCACTTTGCCAAATAATGTCGCCAGGATCCCCTGCCCAATCCACGCATCTGCATACTCTGGATCTTCAGATTGCGCTCGCGTGAACGCATTATTCGCAAGCTCATTGTCGTTGTTGATCAAATACAACACTCCCAGATCAGTCCACGTCCTTGCACTGTGGTCATTCAGATGCAAGCTCCGCACGAACGAGTGCTGCGATACTTTCGGGCTGAGCGTCATGGTCACAACGCCCAGGGCGTTCCAGAACTCCGAGTTTCCGGCTTCGAGCTCGATTGCGCGTTTGAAGCATTTCATCGCGGCGCGTAGGAAGCGCTGCGATTTCTTCCCCTGCTGAGAGCTTGTGTCGGATGTGGACATGGAGACATGTGCTCGGTGTTCCGCCCAGCCAAGATTGTACCAGCTCACGGCTCGAGCGTGGGTGTCGTTGGCTGATGCAGCGACGCCACGCTTGTGCGCGAGGACGGATGCAATGAGCCATTGATCTGCGATGTTGTTGTTAGGACATGAAAGCTCGTCGGACTCGGCTTCCTTGTCGTCCTTCCTGGACAACAGGTCGATATCGAGTTTATCCACCTCGCTAAGATTGTCAGAGCTGGCATTTTCTCCAGTCTGTAGCAGCGAGATGATAGTCTCGAGATTTGCAGCGGCTGCAGTGAATTTCTTGACATGGCCGAGGACAGCGCATGCGTCACCAACAGACTTCCACAGGTTGAAGATATCGGTGTTCTGCAGTACGATCTCTTCAGCAACGTCGAGTGCGTGAGCGGCAAGTCTGGATGCTTCGCCAAACATCCCCAACGCAACTTTTGCCCATGCGCTTTCTGATATTGTTTGAAGCAGTGCGATCAGCACACCGAATTCGCCTGGCTTGAGAGCGAGGACACCCTGGTAAGCAGTGATTGCTTCGTCGAAAGCGCCCATTTCTCGTTGCACGTTTGCGAGCATGTACTTCGCGAACCAAGTCTCGTCAGCTGGCAGACCATGTTCGATGCTCTCAGCCTTGGCAAACGCTCTCGTCGCAGCAATATGGCGGCCTGCACTGTGATAGCTCTCACCCAAGCCAACCCAGGAATAGTAATCATTCGGGGAGATTCTCAATGCGGATTGAAACGACAAAATGCTCTGTGTGTACTGCTGTTTGTTCATCTGTACAACTCCCAGCGCTGCGTACGGCCAGCTGTACGCCTGCTTCTTCGATCCCGGCGCTGGTCGCGCTTTGCCGGATGTGACCACTCGTTGAGCCACGAGTTCTACCAGGTCCCATTCCGATGTGGATGAGAATGCTTTAGCGAGGCGATGTGCGGCTTCGAGTTCTGATGTGGAGAGTTCGAATGCTTTCTGCAAAGCTACTCGTGCCCGGGCTTTGCTCTTGCCGTAGTCTTGAAAGTAGATGCCAAGGAGAGTATAGGCTGGAGCATAGTTAGAGTTCGATTTGATAGAGTCTATGAGGTAGCGATATGGGCCAGACTTGTCTTTGCGAGCGGTTGAAGAGGTATTCATCTGCCACAGGCAATAGGCGATTCGATACAGTGTGACAGATTTCATGGGCTGGTTCTTGACTTTCTCTGCTTCGATCGACGAGAGGACACTCTGGAGCTCGTCCAGACCGGTCTGCACTTCTCCGTTTTGCGCTCTACACCACGCCAGCTCCAGTTTGATCCGGACATTATCAGGATCGCGCTGAGCGGCTTGCTCGAGGAATTTGACGGCCTCCGCATGGTCCTCGTCGTCTTCGTAGATCAGTCCGACGCCCAAGAGTGCCGGTGTCAGCAGTGGTTTACGGTGAATGATTTCTTGGAAGAGATCCTTGGCCTCGGGGTGATGCCTTGGTGATTGAAAGGTGATGAGTGTATTTGCGAGGATGAGGTTGACTCCATCGAGGCTGTTTTGTAAGTCGATCGAGAATTGTGTCTGTGCATTGATATGTAGAGTCTGCGCTTTGCGGGCGATGTCCACTGCACTCTGCCATTCTTCGAGGCGCAAGTAGGTATAGGCCAGCAGTCGATGGCCCAGAAGTGAGTCAGATGCGTCCTCCAAGCCCTCATTCATGATAATCAATTGTTCTGCTTCAGACAGGCGGATGGGTGCATCCTCTCCATTATTGTTTGACTCTTCGCCCTCTGTAGGCACGTATGGGAAGGGTGAGGCATCGCTGTCAAGAAAACCTCTGAGAATTTTACTGAGGCCCTCATCGGGAAAATACTCGATGTAGTCACGAAAGATATTGACGTCCCAATGGTCGATTTCTTCTGCATCCACCCATTCAAGGGCTATCTTCCACGCCAGTGGATATGGCTGTTTGATGATTACCATGCCATTTGCCATATTGAGGACTTTATCTCGTTGCTCGGTCTTGGCTCCGCTTGGGAGTACGAGGAGATTGTCGTACATACGCTGGAAGAGCTTTTGTTCGATATCATGACGGGCATCATCATCTCTGGTCCAGTCGATAACTGCTGCGTATTTCTGCTCGATTTGAAACTTGCTAATTGCTTCATACTTGACCTGTCGGGTCACCTGGTCGATCTTGGAGCCTATACGTGTTCGTCTCTCTCCAATTTGGGAATTGATCCATTCCTTCTCTTCAGCCTGCGCAGATTCGAGAATACGTTGGTACGCTAGGCTGGGTTGAAGAACGCGGCCTTCGAGAATAGGATAGAGGTTTGATGTTGGCAGTATCAGTTCCAAGGCTTTACGATACTGCGAAGGACTTCCGTATTTCTTGGCGAATAGCTCATACTTGTCAATTACCGATTGACATTGGAGCCTGTCATCAGCTTGAGCGTACAAACTTGCCAAGCGGAAAGCAGCATCATGATATTGGTTGAGCTTGAGACTGGCCTGCTTCTCGTACAGTGTGATGAGACCCTTGTATGCCTGAGCATCTTGTGGCTTGAGATGGGCAGCTTTCTCAATTGCCTTTTCTGCGGCATCAAAATCACCGAGCTTTTCTCTCGCAAACCCTAAAAATAACAGGGCTGTGTGATTGTTGCCGTCTTCCTTGATCAAGTCTTCAGCCTGTTCAGCGGCCTTGGCAAATTGACTGGCATCAAGAGAAGCCTTGATAGCCTTCAAAGCTACTTTCGCTGGGGCCATGCCAGGCGGTCAGCATTCGAAAGACGTACCTTCGTATCAGTTCTTAGTTGGACAGGGGTCAAAGAAAATTGTGAAAGTTTGATATCAAGGGTCACACGAATCTTGGGTGTACGTGGATGGTGCGTAGGAGCCTAGGTTCAGTGCAGGGGACATTTTTAGGTCCAATCTACACAATTCAATCTCGGTCTCCTAAGACTCACTTCACTTTCATATCAGATAAACATGCCTGAATAGTGGATGAGTGGTCGTCATCACATTGAAAGCGGACTGAAGCCTGCCTTAAACTGGCAATATCGTGCGATCATGCAGATGTGGCGGAGCATTCAGATGGCCTGCGCAGTTTGGTACCATATCCGGAAATACCGTACGATTACGAATACGCAACCGTAGTTGATTTACGGGAGCGATGCCATCATCCAAGAACATGACCACGATGGCCATGAAATTAATCAGGATCTAGCAGTCTCGTTCACTTGATTTGTACTATATAACCACGACAGAGGCCCTGTCTCTCTACATAATATATTCCGCACAATCCTGTGCTCGCTTGCTCCTGAAATCAAAGACAAGAAGCTGTGTTGCAACATCAAACACACTTGCCGCATGCTGCCGCCGTTCAACTCATATTTGGTCGCCCAAGATGGCCCTTCAAGGCATCCGAATTGATGGCATCCGTTTGCGCGACTCAAGTGATCGAGAGGTGACCTTCAGAGGTATCAACGTTGCCGGCGATTGCAAGTTCCCTCGTTATCCGGATCAACCATCCCATAAGTCGGACGATTTCTTTGACGGTGCCGAGAATGTTTCATTCGTTGGACGACCATTTAATGAGGAGGAGGCACACGTTCACTTTGCGAGGTTAAAAAGATGGGGTTATAACGTTGTTCGATACATTTTCACATGGGAGGCTTTGGAGCATGCCGGCCCTGGGAAGTATGACGAACCATTTATCGAGCATACGATCAAAATCTTGAGAATCGCAAAATCATATGGTCTCTATGTATTCATGGACCCACATCAGGATGTCTGGTCAAGGTTCAGCGGTGGCTCAGGAGCTCCTCTTTGGACCCTATATGCCTGCGGTCTTGATCCCAGAACCTTTACTGTCAATCAAGCTGCCGTCGTTCACAATACATGGCCAAACCCTGCAGAATATCCCAAAATGCTATGGCCTACGAATTATACGCGTTTAGCGTGTGAGACAACATTTACCCTCTTCTATGCTGGAAAAGACCTGGCGCCGAATGCCATTATTGACGGAAAGAATATTCAAGATTACCTCACAGATCACTTCATTGGGGCTTGTGCACACCTCGCACAACGCATCCATGAAGCAGGTGGGCTAGAAGACGAATGTATCATCGGGTGGGAAACCATGAACGAGCCGCATCGAGGACTGGTCGGATGGGAGGACCTAGATGCCTTGCCGGACGAATTAAAGATGAGGAAAGGCACATGTCCTACTCCATGGCAAGCCATTCTTACAGGGTCTGGTCGTGCCGTGGAGGTTGATGTATACGCTTTCAATACTTTTGGGCCGTATAAAAGTGGGAGAGAGCTGATCGACCCAGAAGGTGTACAGGCCTGGTTGCCAAAAGATTATGATGACACGAAATATGGGTGGAAAAGGGACCCTGGCTGGAAACTCGGCGAATGTCTGTGGGCACAGAATGGCGTGTGGGACCCAACTCAGGATTTGCTGTTGAAGAAAGACTACTTCGCTAGCATACCCAAGTCTGGTGAGAAGCTGGACTACGAGAAATTCACCAACCTCTACTACATGCATCACTTCCGCAAATACAGAGATGCTATTCGAGCAATTCACAAGAACTCTATCATTCTAGTCCAGTCAGCTGTCCTAGAAATTCCCCCGAACATCAAAGGCACGCCTGATGATGATCAACGATTGATCTTCGCAACGCACTACTATGATGGTGTTACACTAATTCAAAAGCATTGGAACAAGTTTTACAACGTCGACATCTTCGGCCTTCTACGGCATCGTTACTCCAATCCAGTGTTCGCTGTGCGGCTTGGCGAGACTGCCATTCGAAACTGCCTCCGGGATCAGTTGATCGCTATCAGGGAGGAAGGCATGCAATACTTGGGTAATCATCCCACATTGTTCACAGAGATTGGTATTCCATATGATATGGACGACAAATATGCATATAAGACAGGGGACTACTCAAGTCAAACCTCGTCGTTGGACGCCAACCACTTTGCGGTCGAAGGTTCAGGTGCTCAGGGGTTCACGTGGTGGACATACGTTGGCCAGGTATGCTCACATGTATCTCCGAATCCAAGGACATTGCTAATTAACATAGAACAACCACCAATGGGGCGATATGTGGAATGGCGAGGATTTGTCCATTGTATCTCTTGACGATCAACTATTACCCAGCGGCTCATCAACTCTACCATCCGCCAACCCCTCCACACTCTCACTACCGCAGAAAAACCTGTCTTCCTCTGACACAACCCTCACCGAACCAACAGTGACACCAGCAAACCTCAAGAATGCTCTCCGGAGTCCTTCCATCACTCAACAACGGTCTAATGCACCATCCGACTCAACCTCGAATCCTAACGGCCTCCGATCTGCTGAAGCTTATGTACGTCCCTCACCCATCGCTACGGTGGGTGACGTTGTTAGCTACGGCTTTGACCTTCGTAGCGCAACCTTCAAATTCAGCCTTACGGCACCGAATCCTACAACAGAAGACGTCCCGACTGAAATCTTCCTCCCAGAGTTCCACTACCCCTCAGGCAAAATTGACGTCAGTGTCACGGGTGGTCGATGGAGGATTGATGTGGTTGATGTTGACGGTGAGGGCATGCAAATCATGAAATGGTGGCATGGTGCTGGCGAACAAAGTATCACTGTCAAGGGTGTTGTTAGAAAAGCCGGTACACTCCAGGTGGACGAGGATGCTGAAGCCGGGTACTTTGAGACGATGACCAAGACTGTTCAGAATTGTTCGGTTATGTGATGTTGTGATGATCATGAAATGTCGATTGTCAGTGGTTTGGCCGTTTGGGGAGTCTGGCTTTGTTCATTTTCTGAGCGGACGGAATAGCGTGGGAAATTATGATCGTCTCTTGACGTACAAATAGCAACACTTTAGCGTCGTTGGAACGCATGTACGTCGTTAACATCAGCTTGCTGTTGTGTTGAGGGATGGATTTTTGTACTGAACGTTTATGGACTCCACACCTTGAGTACATCAGCCAGTAGATACTACTTTTCGTCCATAACCGAAACCTCTGCGTTTGCGCTTGACGAGACGCCTTCGATATGCTCACTCATTGCATGCCCGGCATCGTCATCTGCAAGGGCCCCATATTCATCATCCTCGTCGTCATCGACATCTTCACCGTCATCATGTCCATCACCTGCATCCTTACCATCCCCATGGCCTCTCAGCTTCCCACCCTTCCGCTTAGGAATGACTTTCAGGAATGCTTCTCCCCAATCCCCGCACTCGAGGTATCGGATCATAATTTCGACGACATGGTTCGTCGTCAATACCTTCCGCGATTGCATCTCCAAGTACTCGCCGATCGGCAGCTTCGCAGTCTTGATGCCGCGCTCGCACGCTGTGCGATAGCAGATCCCCTTATGCCGGTTCTTGTCCACTAGACCGCCGACGATGTAGGTCGAGTAGGGCCGCAGGGTGCTTAGCGTGTCGGGGGAGTCGGAGCTTAGATAGATGATCTCGCCTGAGTCTGGTGAAGGTGCCGTAGATGTGGGCGATTGCTCAGGAGGAGTTGGGGGTGGTGCTTGGAGTTGTGCGGAATCAAGGTTCCCGGATGTGGTACTTGTCGTAGAGGAAGGGTCAGTGGCGCCTGGAGTAGTGGAAGGATGAGGCTGTACTTTATCAGTCGAGGGTTGACGTGCTTCGCTACCGTTCGTCCCCTCAGGTTCGGCTTCGGCGGGTTTGAAGATGCCCAACAACTTGCCTCCCTTGGGTCCCCGCATGAATTCGTGAGCTTTCTGCGCCGCGTCGACGAAACCTTCTTTTTCAAACGTCACACCCTTCCAATTCAAGTGGTACTTTCTGAGCACCGTATTGAATCGCTCTTCCAGCAACCCGCCCCATGAGCTGATCACCAGATGGGTCTGGAAGGGCGCACGCCAATTGTCCGAGTACGAACGTGTGAGCTGTGAACCCAGGGAGATTCGCTCCTTCTCCATCATCAGGTCGTCAAAGCCACAGTCTATCATGATCGTGATTGGAAGAAGGACCGGGCGTCGACGAGGAAGCGGTTGCTTGGTGGTAAGGGCTGTTGTGGCTGAGGCGCCGCCATTCTCTTGCTGGACTCGCTCCTCCTCCCTCGCATCTCGTTTCCGTTGTCTACGTTCCTGTATCTTCTGTTTCCGCTTGGCTTTCCGGTAATCCCGTCCTGCTTCCCACTGGTCTCTCTTGCGCTGCTTTTTGAGCTGGTTTTTGGACATGGGTTTGGCACCATCTTCGCCGTCCTTGGTGAGCGGATCTTGGTCTTTTGCCTGTTCTTTTATTGAGAGTTCGACATCTGAATTAGTGCACGAGTCTGAACCGTTTGCATCTGCGTCGTCAGCAGCATGCTTCTGTGGCTTACTATTCTCTGGGTCTGAGGGCGCATGTTCCGTTGAACGTGGCAAGAGAGCGGCAGATGGTTGTGAGTTTGGTGTGTCTTGTACGTGGGTCTCGAGCTTCCTGAGCTTGCTAGGCCTCTCTTCAGTATCCATGACGCCGGCGAGTCTCTTGTTCAACAGAAATCATGAACTACCAAGGATTGCAATCGACTCATGCTCCGAGTCGTCGAAGTTCGCAAAAAATGTCTGCGGCTAACTTTCTCGATTTGTGTTAGTGTCGATCTACAATCTTGGCGAGGCTGCGAGCAGACGCCGCTCCAGCCTTGCCGAGCCTGCTCATCATTCTCCGAGTTTCATGCTACTTCTACTTTGAAGTTAGGGTTATTTTTTGCGAAGCTCTCGCGAGGCCCATCATGACCATGTCATATAACGGGCTAGAGGCTGTTATCCTCTCGCATCACTGGAAAGGGAAAACGTGCCGCAGTATGGTTGCACAATATGTCCGCGAGTAGATCCACGCGAGCCGGCTTCGGTTATGCAGATTGGAGCTTGCTATATCAACTTCTCACATGTGCAGCAGCGCTGTACGGCAGAGCCCATTTGACACATTTGCAACATCTGCAATTGCTACCTTTGTCTTCGATATGTTGAACACCATATAGCATTCTAGGGACGAAGAGCGCCGGGTCAACAATTTCCTTCCATATTTTCCTTGTACCCATCACCAGGAAATTCTGCTGTCGCAGGGAAATGGCTGGAAAAAGATGTTGCCTTTCAATCATATTCAGAGAAGCGCTGGTTGAATTGTAGGCCATTGAGTTGGCATGATGTCAACCTTCGACCTCTCTGGGGATCAGGCTGAGCGCTCCAAGTCTGTGAGCCTGTGGGAATGCGAAAGCCGCGGTCCAATCCAGCATTAGCAGGATGCAAGGTACGTGAGGAGCACCATCAAAAATTGACTATAGACAAGCTGCCTTGAACGGTCCAACGGGATCTGACCAGGTGTTGACCGCCATTAAAGACCCGTGCCGCCATCCACCACGGCCCCAGACCAAGGAACGAGAGCCCAGCGAAGACACAACGACAGCAGTTGCTCGCTGTCAATCTCCTATTATCTCGGCCTCGTAACCAACAAGTGTCTCTCTAGTTTCTGGCCTCGAGATCCACGTCCAAAAGTCTCAACTTATTCACAATCAGTAGTCTCGATCAAGGATATTGGGTCTTTGTTGGATCTATCAAGTCTAGATGGCTTACATCAAGATCAGGCGCAGAGACTGGTACAAGAGCCAAGCTCTCATCCGGCACTCGGCTGACGAGTAATGCTGTCGAGTTTATATCCTGGTCTCGAAAGTTCTCAGGATCAAGCACCACTATCACAGTTCAGACTGCAATTGTCACACCAGCTGCTGTGAGGTTTCCGTGCTTTTCGTGAAAAACCTCTGGCACCAGTAAGGGCAATAGTGTGTGGCTTTCCATTGCCACTTCAATGCTCTTCTGCTCGGTATTGGAACTCATCGCCACCCCAAGAGGTTGATGACAGAAAGGCCTGTGTTGGTATCTGCTCTTGATCCGCAATATCCCGCTGTGCTTACTAGTCACATCTCTTCTTGTGTTTCGTGAGGCAACGGGAATTATTTGCACCTACCCTCTCATAGTCTGGTCAACAATCCGGCGCCCTATTTACCGGCAGAAGCTATCTACTGATGAATATGACGGTCCTTCAACAACACGATTATGGTCTCAGTGACTCAGATGGCTTCTTTTTCAGTCAAGACCAGAATTACGACAAACTTGTCCTAAGCCCACAGAATGAGTGGTAGGTATGTACAATTACACGGATCCAAGCATGGCATGTTGAGGCTTCTCTACGTTTCGGCTCTTCCACTGCTGTTAAGGGATCGGTCAATTCAGCGTCGATGTAGGACTAGAGAACCTACGGCTACTTGGAACCGGTCGAAGCTCAATTTGACACAGATGAGATACGCCGTCAGTTGGGCGTGTTGGGTCCAGGAATGGACAGGCCACCAACGACCGTGGTATTATGCAGCTCAGACGACTCCTGAACAATTACAGTACCGGCTGGAGCCATTGTTTGAAGACTCCAAATGTCTTGGGCGCAGATACATCTCCTTCCCTGGGCACTAGGGTAACACCATGAGCCAAACCCGAGGGAATAGCCAGATTCGAGGCTTATGTAACAGGGATGCTATAATGGTCAGCCAAAATCAAAGCGTGATCCGATTGGTCTCCACACATTCCGGAGTTGAATATGAAGTTTGTGGGGTCCCGAGGTTTGCTCTACCTCTACAGAATCGTGACTTCCGTAGGATGATGATTCGGACGAACAGAATCTGGGCTCCGGGAGGGCAAAAAGCGGGGCAGATGCGGTAGATAAAGCACGACTTGGACTTTACAGTCAAGTTCCATGTCGGAACGAGAGTCCACAGAAAACAGTCGCGGAATATCGCAACATGGCATCGTTCAATGCCTTCTACGTCGCACCTTGTGTGCTCATTCTTGCCCTGATATTAAGGATAATTCAGGTTGGTTCCTCCCAAGAAAGGGACAATATGACCGGATCACTGATAATCCCATGTTAGAAAGCAGTTCACAACTTCAGGTCGCCCTTGAGGTCAATACCAGGACCGTGGTATGCAGCATGGTCAAACTGGGCACTCAAATTTGCCACTATCACAGGGCAACGTATCCACTACGTACATTCGCTACATGAGAAGTATGGAAAATTCGTCCGCGTTAGCCCCAATGAGGTGTCCATCTCAGATCCCGAGTCGGTGACAACAATCCACAAGATCAATTCTGGATACGTCAAAAGCCCGTGGTATATCGAGTCGACGAATTTTCCGAGGCCGATTCTCTTCTCCATGAGCGATGTCAAGGCGCACTCCACGCGGAGGAGAGTCTTCGCTCGTGCTTTCACCAAATCACATCTGCGTCAGACTTATGAGTCAACTGTGCACTCAATGGTCCAGAAAGTGGTGGCTAGGATGAAGTCGGAGGCCGAACATGGAAATGCAGATATTCTCAAGTGGTGGACATTCATGGCGACTGATGTCTCTGCTCTGCTGATGTTTGGGGACTCCTTCAAAATGATTGAGAGGGGAGAGGTAAGTCGGTCCACCAGACGCCCTTCCATTCCCTTGTCGCCGCTCTAATCCCACCGAGTGTAGGTTAATGAGTATATTCGTATCCTTCAATCGAATTTGAAGGGCAGTGGGATTGGATTCGAATTACCGTGGATTCGAGCCATCTTAAAGTACATCCCTATCAAGAGCTGGCAAGAAGTCTTCAACTCGACCGGACTGTTAATGAAATATGGGCTAGAAACACGGCAGATGAGCAGGTCATCAGGCGATGACAAGACCATCTTTTCGAATTCAAACAAAGAGGCCGAGAAGGAAGGGGGCTACATGGACGAAACGGACGTCCTGCTCGAAGCCCAGGGCTTGCTCGTGGCGGGTTCTGATACAACTGCTGTGACGCTGACGTATTTGGTTTGGGCAGTTCTCTGCCACCCGCAATGGCAGCATGCCCTCGAGCACGAGGTCGCCGGACTAGCATCTGACTTCACGGATGCGGAACTGGAGAGCCTGCCGGTACTCAATGGCATCATTGAAGAGACGTTACGTTTGTATGGTGCCGCACCGGGCTGTCTGCCTCGGACGGTTCCCCCGAACGGCGCCCACCTTAAAGGCCATTTCCTTCCCGAGGGAACTGTCGTATCGACACAAAGTTACACGCTTCACCGAGATGCCAACGTCTTCCCCGACCCTTTCAAATTCGATCCTGGCCGTTGGATACCAAACAAGGAGAATCCCGCCGGAGGAATCCCAGCAACGTCTACCGAGGTAGCAAAGGCGATGTACTCGCCTTTTGGATTCGGCTCACGAACTTGTCTAGGTATTCATATGGCAAGAATGGAGATGAGATTAGCGGTAGCAGAGTTCTTTAGAAGTCTCCCTGGCGCACGACTTGCTCCTTCGGTCACTGAAGAGTCGATGGCTTTGGAGAATTACTTTTTGATCGCCCCTGCGAGCCATCAATGTGAGGTCACTTTGAGAAACTGATGAGGAAATGGATAAAGGTTACACTGGAATACCAGTCTGATAGAGAGTCTCTTGCTTTAGTCTTCCTTGTTGACTATCGGGACTGGCCTCCATGGACTTCACACCGCAGAAAGGGGGAACCCGCTCGAATTCTCTCGGCTTTTGGTCAGTCTCACTCTTTATCTGGAGCCACAGCTCGAGATGCGACGTTGCGGAAGGGTTTTGCTCATATCGACAATACCATTGACTGGCTGAACCTCAATATTGCTGGTGCATGGTACCTCAATTTCTTGGAGACGGATGTCGCCCGAGCGAGGTTCGGAAAAATCCCGGTGGGGTAAGGCATAAAGTTCGAGGGAATTCCTACCTGGGTGAAACTCCATTGTTCATGTCAATGGTGTGGAGGCATTGTTAGACATCCAAATAGATCCATCTAAGTCCCTCAAGCCATGCCAACGAAATTTACCATGTCATAACCGGATCGAGCACCACCATGGCCGATCAGGCCCAAGGCTCGGTCTCCGTGTTACCACAATGCTGCAGAGGTGTAGAATCCTGGCAATCACTAGATCGCACGGGTTTGCATTATGAAATCTGGGAAAAGTGTTTATCTGTGGCGGCGCTGTTCAAGATCGTGATGCTGTGCATACTGTGCTTTCGTATGAGTATGATTGATGCAAGTCGCACCTGCTAAAATCAAGTTGATAGTGCAGACAAGATATCGAAGCCGCCAATACCAGGGGTATTTCGCTGTGCTAATTAGCATTTACAGCTGGCAATACGCAACTCACGAGAAAGCCTCGGCTTCTCGACGACTGTGGTCCAAGAGAATGCGATTCAGCCACTTGGGAAGTCGCTCACATGACCCAGGAGCGGAGAGAATGCTTGGAAAGATGACACAGGCGTGCCAGTGATTGTTGGTCTGCTTCAGTTTCATGGGCGCAAGGACACGAGATACTTCGATGTGAAGACCAGCTAGTCCAAGACATCTTCACATTGAGCTATCATAGGCTAGCCATCATCATGCGCATGGGGCTCCATTATTGGAGCTAAGGGTTTCTCTCCCGGCCTTCCCAATGTTTTCCAGCCCGGCTGGGCATCTCTGGTTTCGGGGTTTTGGGATCTGTTAGAGCACAAAGGAAATCGAGGTCCAATGAAGATATGCATGATTTCTTGTAAAATGTGGTGTCGCCAATCTGCTCTAGTAGGCAAAAGCCCGAATCTTGGTCCCACTTTCATGAATGTTGATCGACTTTCCCAAGTCGGGTCTTTTCGGCATCGACCTCTCCTTGTTGCTGACTCCATGGAGGTGCCTGGTCAGAACATTATGTGAAGTGTCGGGATTTTCTCCGGGCCCTTAAATTAAGCCGTGTCCTTATATGGCTCCCTGATATGTTGATGATACATCTGTTCGGCACACTGATAGTGAAGCTCTCCGCAAAGAGGCTTGTGGAGTGCCTTGACCTTCTCAGGACTGGGATTCAATTCTCTAAAACTTGTTACAGGTGTTTTGTGAAGCGATCGAGTCCATAGAAAGAAGTATCACATGCCAGATTTGCAGCTCAGCATTCCTTGATGCCAGTGCCAAGTTACCAGCTATTGTAGACCGGAAAGCGCGGGGCGACTGGGCGTAGTGGTGGGCCTTCACCTTAGTTGGGCACAGAGAGGGATGCGAAAGTGATTCTTCCCCAGGAAAGCAATCTCTTCTTGAAAAAATGCAAGAAGTACGAGTAGGTAAGCCCGGTCGTGGCGCGAAACCTCCTTTGAAAAAGGCTAGTTGCTAATTCGCAGTCGAGACATGCGGTCTCTTCTAAGCTGTCGTCTGTCGAATTCTGATAACAATTTTTGCTCCTGTACACATCGGCGCTGAGGGTCTAGAATGGCCGTTGAATTATTCGATCAGGGGTTGCAACCCAACGATTCACCATGCTGTGAGACCCTGACCAATCTGTGGACCATGCCACAGAACCCCTGCTGATGACGCGCCAAGTCTCGCCAGACTCCTTGCAATGGAGAGATCCTTTGGTGCGTACCTGATCTGCATCAACATCCCATGCACCTTCAGGGCGGTTTCACGTTCAATTGAGCGCCTGCTGTTATGCCAGACAACACTTTCGCACATAGCCAACCCAATTTGTTGCCAGTGCAGTTAGACTTCGTGTCGAAATTGGCTGTGCTGGGAAGTCTCAGCAATGGGCCTCCTCCGGTAACGTGAGCGCTGCGTACCCATTAGGGCCTTTGTTCCAGATAGATGGAAGAACTTACTTCGTATGTAGTGACAGCTGAAAGGCAAAGGTTGGGCACATAAGATGATATTAGTCCAAAGTAGCACCTTGGCAAATTTCTCATACGAGCTCAGGTATAGTACCTCACGACTCACAACGGAGGAGTTGTATCAGAGTGGACTCAGGTGATAAGGAGCTTGCGCATGGTCTGTTTTCCCCAGGACCACAAATGAAGCGAGAAGTGGAGAGGATCGACGGAATTCTCCTTTGCGGTGCCACAATTGCTACCGGAAGGACCTGAAGAAAGATTCCGAGCAGTAAGAGAGGGTTTCATGGGCTTACGAATGGAAGAAAGAGGATGTTGTTGGTTGGGACGCGTTCTAGGCCCGAGACGAGGTTGCCAAATTTCACGGGCGATCGACCCGCCGATAAAATACCCCCTGCACTCCACGTTCTACAAGTCCATAGAGACTTGGCAGTGGTCGACACGAGCCATTTCCTTGTTTCTTCAAATGTCAATGATCTACACTGTATCCATACACGTCCACATCACCAGTGCTTCCTTGAGGCTTCTTCGAGGTCTGCTGGCACACTAATGGCCAGCCTTGATATAAGATCATCGGACATGCTCTTGAAGGGATAACGTAAGTCGCCGCATCCAAATGTACGAAGTTGCTAGCCCTGTCTCTAAAGACGCCACAATCCCTTGCTCCAGCCTAGTCTGAATGAAGACTCTGCGATAGAGAGGTAGGCCGAACGAAAGCCTAGTCTTGTTTCCGCTGGGATTATGCCATTGGCGTGATATTGATGATGGCCCTGACCTTGTCGCATGGCGTTGTGGATCTTTCTACCAGAGTAAGAGAACAAATACTCCAACGTCTCATCATTACGGAGCAGTAGTGATGATCGTCCTCAGACCAGGATCGTCGAAAGGTGCCTCGTTACCAGTCACAAGCACTCATAGGCATATCCATGCTAGAAAAGAGTATTTCCATACCGACTACCCTTGGATAAATGATAACACCAACTTGCAGCATCATCTCCTGCTTCAGATAATTCTCTGCACCAAGAGAATAGTGTCAAGCACGCACTTGTATCTTGTCTGCTCTGGAATACTCGACCAACATGACGGGCTTTCTCATACCGCCATGGTATGAAGTGGTGGCTCCGGGCCACGAGGATATGTATATCGCAAGCATTGTCTGGGGCTTCACGCTGGCCTGCGGCATGTTCACCTTCAGCAAAGCCGTCCGCCAAACCAGCGTCGCATGGAAACGAGCTCGTCGAGTAACTGTATATGCTTTTATGGTTTGGTTGGAATTGTTGGCATCAAGCACCATGGGGATACTATCCTGGCTTTTTCTTTATGGCGCCCTTGAACCAAGGTAAGGACAGTCTATCGACCACTGCTGAAGAGCCGTACTGACCCGGACTGAAATCCAGTTTTCAACTCTACTTCTTACTCGGTAGGAAATTTTCTCCCTTGAGTTGAGCAGGACCCTTAGCTAACTCTCTGACCACCAAAGTCTGCCTTTGGGTCGTTCAAGTAAGTTGTCCATGTCTAGACCCTCGAAACTATCTAGTAGGTACTGACCTGCTTCATTGCGTGTAGGTCCAAATGCTCATGCAGATCATCATCAATCGGATCGCGCTTTTGGTATATGACCAACGTCAGATAACAAAGCTCAAGTGGATTGTAGCCCTCATTATAGGCCTCATCAATGTCAGTGTTTTTTGCATATGGATTCCTGCACGACTACAGATATCGAAAAAGATTATTTTCATCAATGAAATCTGGGACAGGATTGAGAAGGTTCTTTTCCTGTTTGTTGACGCCGGGCTTAGTCTCTACTTCATCCATATGGTCCGGGCAAAATTGCTGGCCAATGGTCTCACCAAGTACACAGTGTTGTTCAGGTTCACTCTTTTCATGGTCGCTATATCACTGACCCTCGATGTAAGTATCCTATTACTTTTGAAATTACCTAGCTAACTTCTGCGACCAAGATTGCTCTTATTGGAACCATGTCATTACCTAACGGATTTGTGTATGTCTTATTCCGACCTTGACGAATCTTTCTCTCTAGAGATGAGGCATTTGTATCATCACTAACAATTGTATAGCTACGTACAATTCCACCCGTTGGTCTATCTCCTGAAACTCCATATCGAAATGAAGATCGCCGACCTCATCGCAAAGATTGTCAAGGCGACTAGTCCTAGCAGCGGTGACAGACCCTCTACGGGGACTGGTGCTGGTGCTGGTGCCACGCACTCACGCTCTACTCGGATGGCAACACTGAGGCCAGCGGACCACAACAGCAACAAGGGATACTCGGCACACATCACCGCCACTCAGCCAGAGAGCTATCGTGAGAATGAGGAGTTGGGACAGGAACAAAAGACGCATGAGTTTGGTGGCATTAGAAAAACCATCTCAACAACTGTGGTCCAGAAAGTGTCTGATGAAGATGAGATTGGGAGCGAGTCGTCTTCCACTCGCCATTTGAAGAAGTAGCTGGGGAGCCCAGCTTATTTGTGGAACGGTGCGAAGCTCTGCCCAGACCTTTCTTGGTACGATTTGGAATCCTGCACCACCGATCAAAATTATTGATATTGCCAGCCTGGGCTGAATTATACCATGTGATATCCCAGCTTTATCAACCAAGATGAGAACAGTTTGTACAGTAAGGACAGTTAGAATAGTTAGAATAGTCGACGGATACCCAATCTGATTGTTAGTACGACGTAGTAAACTTCTCGTGTATAATGGGCATACCTTTTCTTGGTGAAACGACTACCTAGACCCATCCAGTTCCCGATGTGGCTGATAACACTGCCACGAGGGACGAGGCTCGTTCTCAGCCTTGCTTATAGTTTTGCTAAGGCGCTCACCCTCGAATTTAGAGCCACTATAACTCTTGGCAGAATTTAGCGCAGAAGATGGCCAATCGAGCCAATCGACATCATTTCAATTGCGAGCTTCCACTCCAAGTCCTCGTTGCAGCCGCACCAACACCAACCTGCACTGCACGAAGGCAATTACCTCGACACAACAATGCCTCAAGATCTCCCGCCCACCGGAGGCTACGAGCCCGTCCAATACAGAGTTCGTCAATCCTCCCACCATTTCTTCGATCTCTCCCCTTCCCGCGCCTCGCGAGGAGCCATCCCCGTTCTAGAGTCCACCCCTCTACACATTTCCTCTCTCTTCCCTTGAACACCCTGCACTGTCATACCATATACCCATATCTCTGACCGCAAACTAACACGACCATCTTCAATCTCTAGCGCAACATCCCCGTCCGCGGACTACGGCCGGTCTACTACATGCTCGCGTTCGGCGCGGTGATGGCATACGGATGGCGGCAGACGTTCATCGGGCAGCGAGAGAAGCTCGAGCTCGGTCGCGAGAAGATCTGGGCCCGTCTGCATTTGATCCCACTGTTGCAGGCGGAGGAGGACAGGGACCAGGTCCGCAGACATTATGCCGATTTGGCGCGTGAGCAGGAGTTACTGGGCAGCCAGAGCACGGCGTATAATAGTGACAGGTATGTGACGATTTCTTTCCCCGTGGATTGTTGTGTTAGGGACGTTGGTTGGGTGTGGGAGAGAGAGGAACTTCGGGGGATTGTGTGTCGCTGAGCGGAGCCTTGGGACATGGGTTGGGGGGAAAAGATATGGGTATACCCGTCGAGTCTATCTGTGATCGGAGACGCCATGAAGATGGAAGCAGTGTATCTTTGTTGCAATGAATTGAAAGCTGACAACTAGTTCTCCTCCCTCAGATTTGTCCGGCCAACATATGCACCCACTCCCCGGAGCACAACTTCATAGTGAACCACAAAGCATGATCAAAAGAAATTCTACGCACCACACAGTATGTGCCCGCACGATTTGGACTTCTAAAGAAATCAGAATGCGCAGCAGCAGCGGATGTCTAATAAGCCGTCCGGGAGGGAGTATCACAGCCACAAGGTATATGGTCTTATGTCTGGGGAGCCAAGCAAGACAACACCTAGTTGAGCTTGATCACGATTGTACATAAAAACTAGGAGCAGTGAAGATAGAGAAACGGGGGGCGGGATGAAGAAGACCAAGCTCACACGAAGCTCAAAGGTTAGCTAGCATGGAGCATTTTCACATCTATGTACACGAACACACACGGTGGGATATCTTGAGTATCCATTTCCAAAACATCCTTCCAAGACTGTTCGCCAGCTCAGTCCAAGCAGTTTGATTTCTTCCTTCCTTTCTTCTCTATTTGCCTTTTCTCCATTCTTACTTTCTTTGTTTTTGTTGGATGTTTAATGGTGTCGCACCGCACCACTCCGGCCATGCACCAAAGCATCTAATCACACCTCTCTCGAGTCCACAAGCGATCGGGGCAGTACACAATACAGGTGTAGTTTTCCCGTCCAGCACAGCGCCAAATCAGCCAGCGAACATATCGGCCACGCCACCGAGATCGACATCATCGGCGCCACTGCCACCGCCGTCTATTGCGTTTCTCCCAGCATCGTCCACACCCTGCATAGTCAACAGCTCACGCTGTTTGTATTTCTCCAGAATGCGAGACTGCTGCTGACGCATATCGATCTTGCCGAGCTCGCTGAGCCGCACGCCTCGCACACCCTCGAGTAGCGATAGAATAATCGCACGCAGCTTCTTGGAGCGCGTGGCCAGCCCCTCTTGTAAGAGCTGTGTGGCGGCGTGGTCGACTTTCGCCTCCGTCATCCCCGGCAGGCTGAGGACCACGTCGCGCGGAATGAGCGTCAGAGGCGGCCGGTCGTGTGCAGGCGCTGAATCTGTAGCGGGGATGTGTGTAGGCAGACCGTAGGAGATCCAGATGGTGGCGATCAGGTGCGCATAATGTTGTTGGTGGTCGGCAAAGTAGCCGTCGTTGAGGCATGTAATGGAAGTCTTGAGCATTTCTGTCGAGATGAAGCCGCGGACTGCGTCGGCTGCTTCGCCGGAGATGTAATTCGTTGTGGCGAAGTCTGGAACCAGGCGTTGTGCCACGAGAAGCATCGTGTAGCAGCACCGTGTGTCTTTGAAGGCTAGGGAGTGGTCGATGAAGACGAGGAGTCGATCAAGGACGTCGGTGTTGGACAGGAGGAAGTCTCGCATCGACTGTTGATTTGGTTGGCCCAGGTAGGCGCCATTCACGACCGATTTCTTCGTGCTGAGTTGTTGTTCACGTTTGGGGTTCAGCCAGTGGGCCACCAGATTGACCGCTTTGTAAGTGGTTTGTCGGAGAACTGAGTCGTCTCTCATCTCGTCGCTTAGATTCTCTTCATCGTGCTTCGTCTGCTTTCTCTGATCCATGGCAGACCACTGACTGGAAAGCTTGGTGTCCATTTGTTGCAGAAGTGCTACCAGTATGGGTGTCAAAAAATCTTGCCGTCGAACAGGCGGACATTCATCTATAAGTTTGGGCAACATCTGCAGCATCACCGAGAAGTGGTGGGGACTCAATGGATCAGCGGTGCTAATGGCAGCGTTGGCAATCATGACAGGAAGTTGTTGTAAGCTGTAAAACGAATCTCCCAACCTGCCGAGAGTGTGGAGGATGCTGTAACATTGCTCCAGGTTGTTTCTAACCCTGCCACGGACTGAAGACGCAAATCCTTCGAGCGTTGAGCGTGTCGATTTCACCTTGTTGTGGAACTCATTCATCGACCCTGCTGATATTCCAGACTGCCAGTACCTATCTCGTAACAACCTCCTAATAACAAGCTGCGTGACCGGAGAAACATTTGGCCAGTGGCCCGGATCATGAAGCTGATGATTGTATCTCGTTAGGCTTAGTACATGGCTAAGCATATTTGGAATCAAAGGGGACCACAAATTGATGATCATTTCATGAAGAGGCGAGTCCTGTTCAAGTCTTTCTGTCGAAATGCTCAATAGAATCCTAGTCTCTCTGAGGGGCAATTTGGCAAATCCGTTGAGCATGTCCTGCTGGATTTGTGACCCACGTTCGTCGTATGAAACTTGTGACCAGTCTTCTGTGTTTGCAGCATTTATCGACTCCAGATAAGGAGCGACTTTATCGAATGCCTGCGAACGTGCAAAACTCTCCAGATTTTGAAGGGTCGCCTGCAATCCCTGGTCTGCCCATGCTGTAGCGAGCGGTTCGAGAAATCCTTGCAGCTTCGCGAGACGTTGCGAATAATCGACTGCTGATGCACGTTGCACGACCGAGAAAAGCGTCGATTTTAGATCGATCTGTAGTCGTTCATCAGCGTCGAGCTGATTGATTAGGTCGGTGAATTTTGCTTGGAGTTGATCGTAGAACGTGACGAAATAATCAGCATGCTGGAGTGAGAGCCTTCTAAGCTCGCTTACAGCATAGCTGTGAAGTTCATGGACTGCCTCTGCAAATAGCGGCGGTTGATGATGGCCGACGATGAAGGAGGAGAGAATATGTTCCAACACATTGAAAGCAAACTCGGTATCCTTCTGTAGAGCTCTGTTGGATACTTCAACCGCAGTCTTTATCTGACGGTGTCGTATCTGCGGATCTCTGAAGACTCTCTTCTTCATCATCTCTAGCATCCAATTCTTTCCGTTTTCTCTGACTCGATTTGCCAAATGCTCTTGTTCGGGTGTTGAACCATCTTTGTGTGCGGACTGCCAACGATCAAATCCTTTGAAAGCTGCATCGACAATGGCGAAATCAGCATCGGCTCTGAGGAATGTCATTGAATATCTTTCGTATCTCGGAAGGTCAAGCTGCTGCTCAATGGCTTGGATCTCATCAAGTAGGTCATCGACTCTCTTCATGACCGCCTGCATTGCATCCTCTAGCTGTGCATAGCAGATCCATTCAATCACTCCAGAACAAAGCCTACGGTAGTTGAGGTAGAATCCATGGCGTTCGGGAAATAGCTCTATCTCCTCGTTGACGAAGAGGACAACAGGATTTTGAGTATCTTCTGGTAATTGATCATACTGAATCAACCGCTCGGACGCCACTTGTAGTATCGGGCCAATGCAAGAAGAAACTGCAGGCGTCTTACGCCATGAGGGTACCTCAAGCAGCTTGACCCAGGAGTGGATCATTGGGATGGAGACAATAAGACTCTCATGCTCGGCCATGTAAGTTAGAAAGTGTAGGAAAGGTGTGAGATCAAGGGTATTTGGGTCAGGTGCTGTATAATGACAGATATGGTCCGACAGAAGCGACATGAGCTCGGATAGCTTTTTCGAGAGAACGTATTTGCTGCTGTCAATATCATCGATTGAGACGATGGAGACCGAGTAAAGCTGTCTCAATGTTGCAATGCTGTCAGGCTGAAGAAGAGGATGTACAAGTGCATGTACTTCGACTTCCTCAAGACGAATTCTTCCGTATAGAATGAGAAGTGCTTGCACGGCGCCCATTACCAGATCTGAATCATTGACTGTCAAGAAGTTGCATGTGGTGACCAGAGCCATAGAGTTGACAATGGAAGCAGTCATGATCCAGGCAAATGAAGATCGTAGAGCAGCCAGAGCTTTGAGGATGGTTTCTTTGACGATTTTATCGCCAGGTCGAGTTTCGAGGTTCTGAGTGAGGAATTGGTTGATCCTGCTGAGCCAGCCCTCATCTCCGCACCTCATATGTCGCGTGACATCCCCCATCTTGATGCCGCCTGCAAAATTGGAACTCGAGGTGTAGATTTCTACTACCGCTGAGTTGAGATCGCGACCACGTAGAATGGCAATACTATCGTCTCGTACGAAGACATCTTCGGAAAGGTTTTCGAGGACTGTCAGAACGAAATCTTTGTGAATCATGTCTCGCGACCACAACTGGACCAGCTGCTCGTCCAGATCAAACCAATCCAAGGCCCAACTTCTCTTCGCCATTTCGATCCATAACTCAGAAATCTTGTTGCGGATAAAGGCGAGGTCTGACGGGTCGATCGAGCGACCAAGTTCAAGAATACAATTCCGGATTTGATCGTTCTGTTCTTCGGAGAACTTGTGACCTTGATGGCGAATAATGTAGTTCAGTAACGATAAGCCGAAGTGGCGGACCAGAGGTGGCTGCGACCGATCTGTAGAGAGAATATAGCCATATTCGGGGGCATCATCACTGGTCTTCAACTGCTCCAAGTAGTCTGATGCTTGCCTTCGGACATCATTCTTGGTACTGGGGTTGTGGATGATCTCCAAGGCTTGTAATATGTTTGAGGTGTCAAAAGTGGTTGATTGTTGACCACCAGGCGCACCATTGGTCGCCGGCGCCGTTGACATTGCCACACGATTTGAACCTGCTACTTGATGAAGCTTAGGTGGTGGGTGTCATATCGGGTGGTGCTTGGAGAGAGACCAATACAGGCAGTCCCTGGAGACCGATTCAAATCAGATGCGCCACCGCTTGGAATTTTATATTGAGGCAGACCAAAACGCTAGATTATCGCTTTGAACCAAGACGAACTCTGGCAATCCACAATATCAGGCAGCGTTCGAGTCTTAGATCTCAGGATTTGCAGGTGGAGAATCCGATGGCGGTGACCGTTGTAGCTCAACACAAATAGACAGAGGCGGTTGACGATCTGAAGGCAGACAATCACGTGTGAGGAATGATGAAGCACTGAACAGTCAGATGCTGCCTAAGAAATGACTAGTTTGATGATTTATTTTGTCTACTGCAGATGGCACACGATAGAATCTGGGGTTCCAGGGGGCCAATTCTCATCCAAAGGCAGCAAACAATTTTAGCGCAACCATGTCGGCAGGAGCTGCCCAGAACGGAAATCTACCCGTGTCATTTCATCCCCTTTTCTGCTCCCTCCCTCCAGGCAGACGACTCCCAGTCATAAAACTCACGAAGCTCACCAGGCTCACAAGGGCTTCACTCACTCCCTTATCATTTCTTTGATTCATATGTAATGATCTATACATCTACTGTGCTGCAGGACCCGCCATGCCTCGGCCCATCTTTCGTGCCCTTCCTTCTCTCTGATTGTGATTGGCACCACCTCTACCTCTGCCCTGTTCTTTTCGCTTTCTCGCCCTCTGAGTCGAGACATCACCAGAAGGACCTGCAGTACTGCCCCCTTTACCACGTCCCCAACTGCGGTTGCCTCGGATCTGTGCCTGCCCCATGCGCCGATTGTCATGCGAAGCTTCTCCTTCTTCACTGTCGTCAGGGGTTCCACCGTGCCAACGAGATGCGGCAAGCGCAGGTTGATTGCCAGCATACGTGCTTGATGCAGAGTATTTCTTTTCCAAACGCTCTAGCAACCTTGTATCTCTGTTCATCATGATGGCCCAACCTTCAATCTGCTCATCACTCATGCCCGTTTCACGCTTCAAGTCCTGTCGTGGTTTTGAGACACGGGTTTTACTGTCACGTGAAAAGAGCTCCGCGTTGGCTTTCCATGCTTTGAACAGTGACTCTTCGTGGGGTTCGCCTTCAGCATTTGTCTCCGGCCGTGGTCTCCTGTCCGTGTCGATTGTCGAATCGACTGTGCCCCCAACGTCAGCAACATCGTAAGTATCATCTCTCTCGTCGTCATCTGAGTCGAAAGCCGCCAAAGCAGCCATAATTGCAGCTTTGCTGCGGGCATTAGTGCCTGCATCTTGAGGCTGGTCAATTGTCATCTCTTTTCGGCCTTTATGTAATCGAGATGATGATATTCTTAGCTTGTCAAAATCGTCGCCATCGAAAACATTCTTTCTCTGCGGTAAGAGTGGTGGTGTGGAATGAGGTGCAAGATCATGAGCCGGGCCATCATAGGATGTAGATTGTCCTTGGTGTTCTTCTGGGTTACGCAGGTCAGGGGGTAAAGATCCTGGTTCAAGAAGACCGGCAATGACAGCCTCTGTGTCGTCATTGAAGTGATCCAGGAGGCCGAGGATGTATTGATTTGATAAGTCAGGAAAGAGTTCATGTACTTGTGATATCTGTGACGCTTTGTGTATGTGCATCTCCTCGGTTGCGCTGGCTTTTCCTTTCCCCTTTGAGATCTTTCGCTTTCTGGGCGCAGCAGGGGGATGCAAGTGAAGGTTATTTTGGCGGTAAGTCATGAAAAATTCTAACAAGCCTTGCCCTCGTTTTCCACCGTTGACAGCATCGTCTGCTGCAAGGTGCCTCAGTATTGAAGTGGTGCAGATCAAACTTGAGCAAAGTGTCCGGCCGGCCGGTTTAGATTTTGTCCGTCGTTCAGATTCAGACTTCATATGATAGAGATGGTCTAGAAGCATTGAGCCATGTCGGGAACCATCAGACATGAGACTCCGCAGACAATAGAAGATATGCTCAGTGAATGCTTTCTGTAAGAGAGCTGGGTCCGATAACGCTAGGGTACGATCGTAGGCCTCCATGAGAGATTCAAGGTAATCTGATCCGGTCATCAAGACAAGGCCAGTTTCCGCGGACAATCTGACGAGAGCATTGAGACGTCTGTACGTATCCAAGAGCGTGGCCGACTTCAATTGTACAGTCAAGTCGTTCAGTGCTGTCTTCTGCACACTCTCTATCGCGGATGACAACTGTGATTTGTTCCTCTTCCACACAGCATCGAGTGTTGTTCTCCAATCCCCGACCCCGGAGTAGATCTGGCTTGCACGGCCAAGCAAATCAACGAGACCTGCACTATCGTAATCAAATGGCAGCTGAGTGACAAGCAGAAGTCTTCTGAGTAGTAGATACGCCCGCTTGAGCAACAGTCGCTCCTTCTGTGTCGCTGAGGAGGGCGACGCTTCCAGATGCTCCAACATCGAGCGGTGGAACGATGTCAAGAAAGGGATGCCACTCGCACTCTGAGAGAACTTGAAACTCCGAAATTGCTGGTCCGGGAGTCGTAATCGGTACTCGAGACTGAGAAGCCAGGAGTCGAGAAATCCTTCCCATTCGGAGGACGAGAGACTTGAGATGACATTCCGACCAGGGTAAATGATCAGTGGAGGAACCCCGCCCGTGATCCCTGGAAACTCCTCCATTGATTTGAGAGAATTTGAGATGAAAGTATACACTTTGCTGAATGAATTGTCCCGCTATGCTGCTCTCTGTAAATTGTCGAAATTTCTCTACTCATAAGTCATGTCATCACTGTCGTTGCGCCTGTGACTAACAAAGGCGGCAGTGTGGAAGGAAAGGTTCCCTATGCTCCACCGAAGTTGATGTGCAGCCACGCTAGACCTGTATTTGAGTTAGTGCAATCGCCAAGATTTCCGCCCACACGCAACTTTTTCTAAACATCAACTTGCACATCAGCACCTCGACGACCTCTCTTTTCCTCCTCTTCAGCCTTTCATCACTTTACCGAGCCACAGTAGTTCGAGTCTTGATTGGTGCCTACTCTCGCTCCCAGCAACACACTATCTCGAGCTTCAAACAGAAATCTTTTCAGAGAAAACCCAACCCACCACCGACAATCATCATGTCTTTCCAAAAACCCGAGAAGGATTTCGGCGAGGGCCCAGTATGTTTCCCTGTGCACGGCGCTTGAAGATAAAAAACAAGAAAGAAACAACAGGAATGAGGCTAACCAGAAACCTTCGTTCCAGAAAATCCACAAGATCCGCATCACCCTGACCTCGCGCAAAGTGCAGTCTCTCGAGAAGGTGTGCTCGGAGCTCCTTGAGCGTGCGAAGTCGAAGCAACTGCGTGTCAAGGGACCCGTGCGCCTGCCCACCAAAACCCTGAAAGTCACGACCCGCAAGACACCCTGTGGTGAGGGCTCCAAGACCTGGGACATGTACGAAATGCGCATCCACAAGCGACTCATTGATTTGAATGCGCCAACCGAGGTCGTCAAGCAGATCATCATCAACATCGAGGCCGGTGTTGAGGTCGAGGTTACTATCGCTGCTTAGATGTGGTAGATAGTCGAGATAGTCCAGTGGTGGACAAAAACATACATGTGGTGGAAAATGGGAACGGGCTACTTGTGATTACGAACAATTGCTGGCGACAGGGGATAATGCAGATTGTATTTGCTGCTCTAGCGGCACATTCTTTCTGCGCCATCGCACTAGACGGGGTAGAATTACAAGTTCAAAAAGAACGTTGTCTACCAAACATTCCATTTCCATTTCCATTTCCCATGACGCCCAACGCTATGAATACCACGACCAGTCGCTCTCGTTTTCCTATTTGTATGATTAGAACTCCTTGTTTGAAAGCCCAGCCAACTGGATATTAGTCGATAAACAGCATGCTTAGAAGTCGTAAATTGCCCATTCCCTCATCGGAGGCACGAGGGGAATTCTGCCATTCTGGAAACTACCGTGATCGAAGAAATACTTGTATTGTTCCTTGACCGCATCTGTGTATTGTTCCAATGCTCCTTGAATATCGTCCAGCTTATCTTCGCGGTTCAATGCGACCACTTCCATGGCAGCCGCTCCGTCCGGGAACCAGATCTTTTGGAATCCTTTGCGATCTGGCCGTCGATAGCATGGTTCACCATCCACGTATTCAACTCTTTGGCCGCGGTATGATACCAAGCGATCTCCGTTTTTCTGGGGAGGTTGAAATGGAAGTGATTGTGTGATCAGCACAGCGGCAGGAGGATTCCCAGTTAACGGGTGTGGGGTTGACGATGTGTTAACAATAGGCTTTGGTGGAGCCGCTGGTTGCGAAGAAGCGGGAGCTGTTGTTTGGTTTGCGTTGGCGGCCGGAGTACTGAACGGGTTGCCCCGAGTCGCAGGGCGTAATGTGCCAGGTGAGGTTGCATCCATAGGTTGATCATTTGGTGGCTGCTGCTCTACAGCTTTGTTGCCGAAAGGATTGGTGGGTTCTGATGGTTGTCCGAACGAGGGAGTGGCACTCGCACCAAATGCCGGTTGACCAAATCCAGAGGAAGTTTGGGTAGGTTGACCAAACGTAGAGGTGGGTTGTGAGCCTTGGCCGAAGCTGGATGTGGGCTGGCTTGGTTGACCAAAGGGTGATGCGGCTTTGCCGAATGTTGTGGGCTGGCCGAATGCTGATGTCTGTTGTGAAGGCTGTCCAAATGCCGATGACGGCTGTGTAGGTTGTCCGAATGTGGAGGCTGGCTGGCTTGGTTGGCCAAATGTTGATGATGGCTGTCCAAAGGTTGAAATCGATTGCAATGGTTGGCCAAAGGTTGAAGTCGGTTGAGACGGCTGTCCGAAGGCAGATGCAGGTTGAGATGGTTGCCCGAAGGTTGATGTAGGTTGAGATGGTTGTCCGAAGGTTGATGTAGGCTGTCCGAAGGTTGAACTAGGTTGCCCAAATCCGCTTGATGCCGAGGCTGCAGCAAAAGGATTTTTTTGAGCAGGTGTACCAAAGCCGGTAGACCCGAAGCCGGAGGAGGGCTGTGAAGGCTGACCAAACGACGATGTTGGTTGTGACGGTTGGCCGAAAGTCGATGCTGGCTGTGTCGATTGGCCAAATGGAGTGCCGCCAAAGCTGGGTTTCCCGAATGTACTGTTTTGGGTTGTTTGACCAAAAAGGCTGGACGAATTTGAAGAACTGCCACCAAAGACACCTGAGCCAAAAGAGGGCTTTCCGAAGGTTGAGGATTGGCTGGCGCCAAAAACAGAAGGTTGGCTTGGTTGCCCAAAGGTTGAAGTGGCAGGCTTTGAGAAAGGGTTGGCGTTCGAAGTCGAATTTGAGCCAAACCCAGAACCAGAACTGGTAGAATTCGAGCCAAATGGCGCATTTCCGGAGTTCGAAGACATTCCTTGAAACCCAGCGATGAATTGCTCTCTTGTCTTGGAGCCGTCCCAGTTTAGAAAGTCCCATCTGTTGGGGTGCTGCTTCTCTGCTTCTCTCATCATGCCACCGATATCATCGACACGGTTCGATAATTGCCTAATCTCAGAGTCGGCCTTGTTCCAAAGCGAAATTGCCTCTTGATCGGCTTCGGTTTCTTTCCCTTGGGCTGCAAGCTCGTAGAACCGCCATCTGACTTCTTCCGGGCTGTAATCTTCAAAGAATGATTTCGGTCCCTCTTTGACGCCCCATGAGCTCAAGATCCATTTTGGGCGACCTTTACCTTCCGTCAGGTCGCTTGTGATCTCACTTGTGGTAATTATGTATTCTATTTATGCCGATTCCAGGTCAGCATTTAATAAAACGGGAGGACATGAGGTGCTGTCGCTCGGAGTATTAGGGCACACACCTGGGTTATTTCCACCGCCCTGACGACTGCTACCGCCGCCCGAAAGTGGACTGAACCTGTTGCGTGAGGAGTTGCCTCCACTGCCGCCGCTAGGATGTTCGAATCTGCAGTTATCTGTTTCGTGCGTAAAGCATGTCAGTACACAATCATGATTAACAGTGTCAGTGACACGGCCTGTGGCCACTTACTGCCGAATCGACAATTGCCTTGGAGAAAATACTTGCAGATGGCCATTGTGTGAATTGTGGCCTGTGAGCCGTTTAATGACGAGAAATCGCAAGTGTCGCTCGTCGTGGATAATGGTTCTTGCTTGTCAAGCTTGCATGATGTGCGCGTGCGGTTGGTTGTGGAATTCCTCAGATAGTCCGAAGTTGCACTGTCTTGACTGAGAGAGTTTTCATACAACCTCCCAAAACAACTTGACAGAATATTAGAAACGACAAATTTTGGATATGTTTTTTGTGGTCATTACTGGTAATAGTATTACTGATTGTTCTCATAAGATCACCATCCGATCCCAAACAAAAGAAAACTCGTGGCCGTCAAGGCGTGGTCGTCGTGATAACCTGTTGGTCGTCTCTGATTGTATCGTAGCCGATTGCTGTCATGGGTGAAGAATGTCGGTGTATGTACAGATAATGTTGATGTCGTTGCAAAGTTCAAGAAACAAAGGAAATATTTGCGGAGCCGCCAGTCAAAGGGCCCCAATGTCGGTTCCGTCCGCCCAACTTTGAATTCGCGAGGCAGAACAAACGCGTGAGCCGAAATGGCTTAGCGTCGAGATTTTAGTGAGTTCGGCTCACTTTCCGTTTTCTGAGACGACTGACCTCCTCCCCGTCTCGGAACATCATCTCCGCCATTGTCTCATCTCACGTCCCTGTTTGAACTTCACACCGACTTCTCCTCCTCCTCCATCCAGCTTCAATCTCTACCCACTCGGAGGAAATGTGTAACTCTCAAAGACCGCCGCCACCTTTTGACAATCACAAAATCCAGTGACCTCGACGATCTTCCTGCCGACCGCACAGTTCTCATCCACCACCTCCGTCCGCATGATCCACAGCATACTGCATGTCATACTTCGCTCCGTTCCTGATTGCATCCATGTCAGCATCATTGAATCCTCAATCTCATTCCTCCCACACAAAACATGTCAGGATGGATGTATAGAATACTCACTTCCCCACAAGTCCCTCACTCCTCCAATTAATCACAGCCCACTCCTTATCCACAACGATATGCTCAACGATCGGAACGGGCAGCGAAACCAACACCGCCCAGAGCGGCGTAAGCACCTTGTCAATGTAAAACTGCTTCTCAGAGTAGGTTGCGGCGATGGGACTGCTGCCCTTGACGGTCCAGACGAGGCTATCGGAGAGAGCAGCGGTAAACGACTGTCCGAAGTCATCGAGCGCCACCGCTGTGAAGAGGGATTCGACGAAGTCCCGTGTCTCGTCTGCTGTCGCGTCGACCGCTGGCGGAGTGGGCTGGTAAGGATGTGCTTCAACCATGATTCCGACACGCAGTGCCGAGTATCCTGAGCTTGAGCTGTAGCCGTGATATAGATGCTGTTGTTGATTACGTTTGTGCTTGTGTTGGTATTGATACTGATTGCTGGCCTGGTACTGGTCAGAAGTAGACCAGACAGCCAGAATGGCCACCAGCAGCCAAATAACTGCCTCTCCCGGGGACTTCCCCAACGATGGTGTTAACATCGCTGATTTATTCCCCGGTCGCCCTTGAACAAAGAGAAGGAGAAGAGAGAGACCCTTCTCACCTAGCTTTCTAATATATGTACGAGGTATACGGTGTGCGCTCAGATTAGATTACCAAACCCGGACTTACTAGCAACTAGCTTAACTGGTGCCCAACCTCCTGATGGCCCCAGGATAGGACACAGTAAACCTAATGCTAGTCAACTACTGCATGCACGTACTACTAGTAATAACAATAACAGTTACAGGGCCCCTCTTGGACATGTACCTCCGAGTCCCCGAGGTACGAGTAGACAAGACACTGATACTTTGCAGACCTGTATCTGTACCTGTCTGTAAGTGTCAGAGACCCAGAGAGGGGGGGGCGACAACACCACCACCCGAACAGTGATAGCGATATTTACGTGGACACGCACACTGCGAATGCCCACCCGCGAGGTGTTGTACTCCGTACTCGAAGGTCCAAAGAGTCTACGCGCTACCAATAGCCGAGAGGTCTAAGGAGTAAGGAGCCCGTTGGGATACTTCCGTCGCCCGCTACTGCACCTTCCATGTGGGTCAGACGGTGTTGGCCAATATGCGTGTCCAAGTCGGTGAGCGGAAGCGAAAGTGAAGCGCCCTCTCAGGGATATTCGTGGTTCAGAGTACTCGCACTTTTGAGGTTCAAGGTTTAAAGAAGATTCATGGAGGTCAAAAGTTGTGGTGAAAAGGTTGAGTGAGTACTCTGATCAGAACGGGTCATCTTGCAGCCACATGACTGTGAAATGCTACCTAGTCAACAAGTTTCAAGTTTGAAAGTTCCTCAGCACTGCATGAGCAAGCGTTCATGCATGGGGCATGAGCTGACTTCACAAACTTGCTGAGCTCGAGCGTCTAAGTATCTCCACGTCCCAGAATCATAACCCATCCTCGGCATTTATCTCGTCATCTAGCTCGGAGATGAGATTGGATCTCACAGCGTATTGTTGCAGCGGTGCCAAGTCCTCGTCAGGCATGAGAGCAGTATTCTGAGGCGACAACTCATAACTTGATCCGTTCTCAAGACCGGAACTACCATCAGACACGCTCCAGTTCTCCGGTGACTCCATGCGTCGTGTTGCTAGCTCTGCAAGCACGTGGAGATCATGTAGACCTTGCGCCTCGAATCGAACACTTTTCTGCTCTGTAGGTGCCCCCTCGCCATTGAAAAAAAAGAATCTCAAATTCGGGTGCCCCAAGTCATGAGTAGGCGCTGGTTTTGGTTGCTCCGAATTGGGCTGGACATAATCAGGGTCCAGCATTTGGCGGTTTTCGTCCTGCTCCCATGCATTAAATCCATCAAAATCGGCGGGGTCGTCGGAGTCCGTGTCCACAGCAGTCACACGGATGGGAACCTTGTGCAGTGTGTCAACCCAGCCGTGAGGGAGGCGTGTTCGCCACGTGTTGACCCAGACTTTGGCAAATGTGTACTTGAACCCAGGAAACCTTTGAAGCAGCTCCCTCATGAAGCTGGACCTCGTAAAAAACTCATCACTTCTGAGCACCACCCATTTGGCAGCAGTGTATCTCAAGTGCGACAAATATTTATTCTTCATTTCTTGGTAGTAGAGCAGATCGATGAATCTGTCAAAGCTGGCCAAGGTCTTGACATTGTGTTCGTACAGCCCTCCTTCTGAATGGTCCAACAAATCCCAGATTCGTCTTTCGAGCGCATAGCACAAAATGCGATCGGGTTCATGGCTCAAGCTAATAAGCCAAATGAGCATATCGAGACAGCCTTCAAGAGCTGTAGGCCAAAGCTCATCGACTAAAAGCATCGTGATCTCGACATTTTGGGTATATGTCCATAGAATGTATGTCTCGATCCGATCTTCGGAGTCGTCGAGATCAGTAAGATTCAACAATGCGTTCTGAGTCTTCGCACGGTGATTCTGTTTCCGAGTTCTCAATCAGCTTCAACACTCCACTCTCAAGGATAACATGCTAGTCACTCACGAAATCGAAGTACAGTGATCTGCAGACACTTTCACGGTCAACCTTCTAGTATCGGCCGCAGCATTGAAGGGTCAAGTCAGGGTTGGGATTCGTAGCAAGATACCTTCGGAGCACGTCAGTAACTTGGAAACCTTCGCAATGTGTACTTTTGTCTGACAGGAGAGATATAACCAGATTCTCAGCAAGAGCAATGTTGGATTGAAATGTCCGTTGGGCGTGGCTAGGTCCGTCTTCCAGATTCGCAAGTATCCATAGACCAAGTCGACTCTCAACAATACCGTTTTCCTCGGTGTTCGGCGGATCAGGCGCACCATACCCTGCGGTGTCCTCCATGGCTTGGCTGTATTGTGTCAAAGGGGGTTCGAATTTAACCAACGATGCTAGGATCAAGTAGCGGTAAAGTAGGTTCAACAGACAAAGCCACTGCGTGATGTGCATCCGTAGATTTGAGAGTACGGGAGGGGAGGGTGTTCTGGTCAAAGATTGTGTTGGCGAGAATAAAGCAAAGCAGCAGATTCATATAGCGTAATTGAGCGACGAACAGATAATTAAAAGGAGTGTTTGGAAGTTAAGATAGAAAAGCTGGTGGAGATAAATGTGTTGGTTAGCCTCGACAAAGTGAACAAGGATCAGATCGATAGGCAGGTAAAGAAAAGGTGTGAAGTTATGGAACAGAGGGCAATGGGAAGGCACGTATCAAATATTTCGAGTCAAAGTCAGAGAAGGTGCCATTGACACTGGGAGAATGAGAAGTTGCATTCTTGACGCCACTGCCGTCAATTCGCCTTTGGACGTTCGTACCAGCCTCCTAGGAAGGACTCATTTCATAAATCGTACCGGCTGAGCAGAAAGGGTCTTCGCCAATTTGAGACATCATATAGCTCGATTGTCTTCGGGGCCAAATGATATTGAGGCATTGCGGCCACCATGTACAGTTTAGCTCTGAGGGACCTTTCCCAAGTATTGTTGCTACTGCAGTAGGCCACTGGGATCTCGTCTATGAAGCGCAGTCCACTACCATGGTTCCGCGTCACTTCAGGCTGTGTGGGAAGGGTCGGTTCGAGACTTAAGAGGGCAAGTATTTCAATCTCTAGTCGCCTCCCAATGACATGGCATTGAGTGTCTGGACGGATTTCTTCATTTCCGAGACTTATGAAGAGTAAAAGCTCCAGTATGAGTTTGCGCTTTTATGTCACTGGGATAGCGTTTGCCATGAGTCCGAATGGTTCATCTGTTCGATTGGTGGACTGAAGTCTTATTGTGGTACCAAAAGAGCTGTTGGGTTTTTTTAGTGCCAGTTGGCATAACCGGAGGAGCTTAGAACAATGAGAGAAGATCCTCGTTCGTCTTCTTAGGCCCTGCATTTTCCAATTGTTGCTTTGGTGGCGGTGGTTGTGATCCGGACAGATCCATTGAAGCGAATCCATTCATTATATCACTGTCAGACATTCCACCAAAAGCCGAAGAGCCGGATGGGCCAGCTGATGTGCCTCCGTTGCCAAACACTCCCAGTAGATCATCCATGTTGTTGGCAGGCTGATTCACCGTGGGTGAGGCTACCCTTTGAGGTGTACCTGCAAGCCCTTCGAGACCAGAGAGACCATTGGAAGGCTTCTCGGTCGAGGAAGCCGGTGCAGCACCATCAAAATCAATGTCAAGCAGGTTCTCAATATTGTTTTGAGATTCCGAGGCTTTGCCTTGTACCACTGCTGCAATCGGATTTTCCCGAGCATTTTCCATGGCCTCCTCGATGGCAGCTTGTTGTACAGCATCAGCACCAAAGCGACCTTGGCCAACAAATTGCTCCGGAGGCTTGTGATAGACCGATGCTAGTGTGGTGAGCTCACCCAATAGTCGCTCTAACAGTGCAGGAGGCAGAGATTGTATAGTCGTAGTGATAGGTGGTTTCTCGGAGAGGATAACATTCTTTGCCGCGTTTTGGTCTGTGGTATTCGATAACAGACGCCAATAAACGTAGGCTCGGTCGCGAATATCAGGATTGTCCGATTCGGCCGTAGCAGCATTTAGTACCTTCTGAACTAGACCCTGGGCGGCCTGGGGTCGTTTCAGGAACAATTTCACCACAGCAGTCAATATTTGCAATTGTGTCTGGGGTTGTCAGTAAATTGCTCAATAATAGCCTCAAGGCTATAACATACCTGGGTGAATTCTTCCCCAAAGCCATCCACGAAACCACCGAGAATGTCACCAGCATTGCTAATCTTTTCAGCATATTCACCCACAATCCAGATAAGTGATCCTCTGGCATTGGGCTCGTCAAGTTCATCTATGCATTTACACAGCGTCGGAATGATGCCTTCGTAACCAGGATACTTTCGGAAGATATCCTTGATCACCACAATAACTTCCTGGACAACATAGTTGACTTTGGTATTGATCAAATCGAGAAGAGCATTGACACATCTCTCACTTGCGCTTTCAATCTTGATTGCGACCTGGCCGATTGCTTTAACAGCCCTTCGTACGAAATCCATATCCATTTCAATTGCGTACTCCTTCAGTTCGGCCAGTAATTGATCAACGTTGGACTCATTAGCAATTCGTACCATGATTTCGAGTTTTTGGAATTTGAGATAAGGGGGGTCGTTGTATTTGCAGAAGAAGACTCGGATTTCTTTGCTGAGTATATCGGGTTGCTTTTGCAATAGGAGGTCGATGTTTCGAAGCGCGACATATTGTACTTCTGGAGCGGAAGAGACCAGGGTGACAAGGGGAGGGGCCATCTTCTTCAAATATGACTTTTGTGCCTCGTTCGGCAGGTACTTCATGTGCAGAAACACAGCCTTCACAGCGGAAATAACCACACTTGAGTTGACGTGTTGAAATTGTGGGGACACACGTTCGCAGATGTGTTCCGCTTCCTTGACATCGTTTGCTTTGTAGTCTGCTAATGTACTCAAAATAGTCACTCGACCCCATTCCGTACATTCGTTCAAAGCCATCAAAAGCTTCTTCAATGTGTTGGGCGTTATTTGGAGGGCGTTTGTCTCTGGTGCTGATTCACCAATTTCAGCAAGGGCTTGGACGGAATTGGCCACCACCATAGGATTAGGATCACCAATCATCTCTTGTAAGATCTCCAAGAAGCCGTTCTCCAGGCACATCGAAGGGTTCAAATCAAACAACTTAGCCACACAAATGGCTGCCGTTTTTCGAACGTATGGCGACTCGTCTCGTAAGGTCTTTCGTAGTGGCTCCTCCATGTAGTCAATCATCTTGTCGACTCGTATACAGCCCATGGTTCTGATGGCCAGGGCTCGAATGAGGGGGTTCGGGTCTTCCGAATCCTGGACAAAAGTGTTGACGGCGAGAATGCAAAGATCGGGGTGCGATTTGGCGTAATTCCTCGAAACAAATCAATACCAGAGGAGTCAGAGAGACAGGGACGGAACAAACATCAAGTATAAGTAGACCAATTTCTTCTGGTCAAGGTCCGCAGTAGCAATATTCTTCAGGACATCCGGGAATAATTGTGAGACGTCTTTACCCAAGGTCATGGCCATAATGGTCTTTTGTATTGCTTCTTTCCTAAATCATGTCGTTAGAAGATGGTTGTGGTGGCGAGTGAGGTCGCTGGGCTGCTCACCGTTCGTAGGCATATTGTGATCTGGCATCATTCGGTCAGCAAGACAAGCGGAGGGCGGAGGAGTTTAACAACATACACAAGTCCAGCGCGCAACTCGAAAGTTTCACCCTTCCGAGGAGGCGCAAAGGCGCTCCTCACCCGGTTCATCGCCATTGTCGTTAAGTCGTGAAGTAGATGGGGATGTCTTGATCGTCAATTTCTCTCAGGTAATGGGGGGACTTGCAGCCTATCGTGCCATGGCAAATGATGAATGAAGTCGGGAAGTAATCGAAAATCACACTTCCTGGGATACCAAAACGTGCTATCGTGGTTGGAGGGAGGGTTGAGGGAGGTCTGGAATGGCTCCCTGTGCGTGGTAATGCTGTACTTGTCGAGGGGATAATTGTCAGTTGACACCGAAGCCATGCAGTTCAGCCATGTAGTGGCGGGCGCACTTCAGCGCCAAGGTCACTTCCTGATTGCGGCTTAGTGGTGACGCTGTTTGAATTGCTTCCCTGGAGCATCATTCGCCGATGCTCTAAGGGGAAGTTCTAGTGCCTCTAAGCCTTCATGCCGGCTAAGGCGGCGAGTAGCTGTTTGTAGGCAGTGGGCTGCTATGTTTACCTATCCAGACTTCAGCGTTACACACCAGCGTCCAAGTCAAGGTATTATTCTATGAGTATCTAATTCTAGCTAGATTTTAAGTACGAGGACTAGGTATGCACCTCGTTATAAGCATATGTTGACCGCCATATAAGTCATGAATCAATCATCCATATGTATCAGAGAAATCTCACTTTCAAGCTGAAGCACGAGCAGTACCCAGCGCTCTCACCACATCCTTGCCTACTGCCTCTATATCCCTGACGATTCTATCCACTGTCTCCCTGACCGTACTGATATTGACCACCACTCGGAAAAATGTCCCCTTCTCAACTTCATGTCCCAATGCCGGTGCGAAGTCAACCATGAAACCCTTCCGGACTAAGGATCGTGTGATCCTCGATGTCACCACCGAGTTTTTCTTGCCAGCTTTGGTTTTATCGCCTTCAGTCGCATCTTTCGAGACGCCGTAAACCAATTTTTGACCAGGTGCGTAGTAGAAGCATACTTGCAAGCACGGCGGCGGGTTCTCACTGACAAGTAGGAAGTTGTGGTTCTTCGAAACCACATCCGCGAAATACGTTGCGATCGAGTACGCATTCTCGATCTTTGACGCGTATCCCAATGTTCCATAGTACTGCCAGCTGAGGAAGAGTTTCAGGCTGTCGCCACGGCGGCCGCACTGCAAGGTGAGATCTGCAAGATCGGTTGGTGCGTTCCAATCGCTCTCGTCGTCATCGACGGTGCTTTGAAGAGAGTCCTGGCCATTTGATTCCACCTGCCTCTGTTCTAAAGTCTCATCGTTCTCAGAATCTTGTTCCTCCTCAACATCGTGGAACAGGTAGCCTGCTCGCAATGTACACGCCCTTTCAGCCCTCCGCAAATCCTTCAGCAACAGGAAGCTGCAGGTAACAGGAACACCCAGCATTTTATGTGGGTTGATGGCAATGCTATCAGCCAAGTCCGTTCCTTTTAACCATCTTTGTCGGAGTGCGTCGGAGAATACGAAGCCCCCGCCCCATGCACCATCGATATGCATCCACAGCCCATGCTTCTTGGCAATCGCAGAGATTTCCGTGAACGGGTCGAACGACCCAAGCACCGTCGTACCTGCAGTTGCATTGACATAGAAAGGGGTCTTGCCTCTGGTCTTCTGCTCGATTACCAATTCCTCGAACCTAGAGGGCATAATTTGACCGGTCACTTCATCAACTGGAATGGAAATGACAGCAGCACTACCGAAGCCGCATTGTTGTGCAGCTTTGCTGATGCTGTAGTGGCCGTGTTCGGAGGTGAAGAGTACGAGGTCTAGTCCGTTAACATTGTTACCATGGATCTTTGTTTCGGGGTAGAGCGTATTTCTGGCAACAACGATACTGGTCGTGTTGCTTGCCGAACCGCCTTGGACATTTATTCCACCTGTCCTCGGACCTGTAAACCCGAAGAGAGAGGCGAGGGCTTTGGTGACATGAGTTTCTATAAGTGAGAGGACAGGGCTGACTTGGTATACGTGAACGTTCGTGTTCAGTATGCTAAGTATCAGTTCTGCCGCAATCCCTGGTGCAAGTGGCGCAGAGTAGAGTTTGTCAAGAAAACCTGGCGAAGACGTGTTGACTGAATATGACAGTATGGAGCGCAAGGAATGCAGTAGACCTAGCTGACTAGAACCATATTTAGGCAGAGATAATGTCCCGTCATCGGTGAGGGTGTAATTCAGCTCGGACGGTGATTTTGTGTCTACGAGAGAGGTTTCGTCCACATCATCATTGGCCTGATGCGCTTGTAGCTCTTGGTCGGCAGAGTGGAGAAACGGAACTAGTTGAGCAAGAACCGCTTTGAGGAGGAGTTCTATTTCAGTGGCTCGTGACAACTTATCTGTTCCATATCCATTGCTGGTGTTCCCGTTTGTAAGAGGATCATTCGTGCTCTGGTCTTGGTGTGGCAGAGTGGTCATGGTCTATTGGCAAATCTTATGCAGTGATGAGTGATGCGAGCGATCCTAGCCCTGTGAAACAAATAAAGGAATAGTTACGACGACAAATTCAATCTTGTTGTACAAACAAAAGACAGTTGATCAGGCGTTACATATTTTTCCAATCTCCATCGCTCAATTCTAATGAGTCCCATGAAGTTCGTCGATACATTTCTCGCCGAATCAAAGCCCGATGGAGTAAAATTTCTCCAAATGACGCAATATGCCATTTGACAAGGCTGTGGCGGTGGGGTCGGCATTTCAACAACATCCTCGTGACATAAGAACGCTATGTGCAAACAGCTGTATGGTTGGCTAGCATAGTGTGCATACCCATCAAGCATTTGTCGGAACCACAGCGTTGGAGCCTGTTCCAAACCTCGATGGCTTTGAGGTTGTTTCATGTGATTTGCGTTGTGCATGTCTCTCTCGCGCGAGCTGAATTGGAGTCTTCTTCTGTTTTGAGGCGGTCTCACCCTGTGTAGTCTCGCCTCCATGCCTGTCTTGACTTTGGATTTGAGAGGCTTGATTCTTTGCCATACCTCGCCATTCACCTGGTCGTCTCCGGAAAAGATCCATGGCCCAATTCTTCCAGACATTTCTTCCGAAAGGAGATTCTCGTAATTGTGTTTCACTTCCGGCCAGTTCTTTGGCAAGTTTCTCTTTCATAAAGTGTAAACCATCGGTGGCAGGATAGAGTGCGTCAGCAACGTAGGAACTTGTCAATTCAAGGGACAAGGAGACCATCTGACCAGAAAATTTGGGAACGAATTTTCGGCGGAAGGAGGCATTTAAGTCGGAAGGGTTGAGGGCTGCTTGAATCAGGCGAGATGCAGCGGGGTCACGGCAAAGAGCCATCAGGTCTTCGGTGGAGAGTAGCAGGAGACCGTCTTGAACCACATCCCGGGTTGCTTTTGCTTGAAGCATTGCTTGTGCCAGTAGCGAACCGTGAACATCGGTCTTAATGACTGGAGCTTTCGTTTGGCCTTGTTCAATATCAGTCGACGATTGGTCTTGCTTGCTCTCCACCGATGTGATACTCAGTACTGCGGACAAGAACGAAGAGTTGCTGTTCTCATACTCGGCCTTAATCAAGTCTGCCAAATCCTGCAAATCAACACCACGCACTCCAGATCGTTCTATAAGGACTTTAATCAAGCCCGTTCTTCTTCGAGCGATCAAAGTTGGGATTACTGGTAATAAGAGACCTTTCGCCTCCTTCAGATCATCTTTTCCAAGTCTCTCGAGGGTTCTGATTGCGACATAACCTGCGATATCGTTCTTTGCCATACTTTCCAGCTTTGGCTTCAAAACCACTCTGTACAGATTCTTGAAGTTCTTTCCAGATAGTTTCTGAACAAGAAGTTCCACCAAGTGCGAACCTGTTGGATCATAGATCAAACCCGAGAGGAATTTGGCGCTCTCAGAATCTTCATCTAGAGACTCATCTGGAAGCAACTTGCTGAACAAAGACGGCTGTTCGGAAGACTTGCTTTTATTGGAATCGGAGAGCTCAAACTTGAGCAGCAGTTGCAGGACTGGATTACCGAGAGGATGTGTCGCTAAGGCGCGTAGGTAGGTGGTATCGAGGGAAGATATAGCACTGTTAACCAAATCTGATAGCGCCTGGTTGAAACTTTTGGGCACTACTCGCTTGGTCTCGGAGACTTTGGGTTTTGTCGTCCCAGGTGTTTCAATGTTTTCCTTTTTCTTGCTTGCTAGCATAGCTTTCACTGATGTATCATCGAGAGGCAGTCCCGAAAGTACTAAGAACAATACCCGGATGGTATGAGAGGCAAATCGTTCTGTAAGTAGAAAGCCCATATTTGGTTTCAATTCCTCTGCTGCTTGCAGAAAGAGGTCCTCTAAGGATGCCGGACCATCTTCCGCATCGTCTTTCGATGATCGCTTTTCGTGACCGACATATTTAGCAGCTTCGAGGAATAGTGTTTCGCAGCAGTGACTGCCAAATCGATGCCGAACAAGAGATGTGAGATTTCCCAAAAATTTACTGAAAAGGCCTCGCAATTGAAGTGGTGTAGACAGTAGGATGATTTTCTCCAAGTATCGAGAGCAAGATTGACTCGACGCGACTTTCAACTCTTTGCCTTCAGTTTCTCGGTGGACAGCGTCAATGAACAAGATTCGATCTTCTTCAGACTCAAAGTCATTTGCTACAATCTTGTTATTAATATTTGTGTAGTATTCCTGTTCTTGAGGGTCAAGAAGTCCATGGAATTCATCTTCGATTGGTGGGGCTTCAACTCCTTCTGGCGCTGGCATATCGAAGCTGATGAAGTCATCTCCAGCGTCGCCTCTGACCACAAGTTCTTCCTCAAAATCTTCTGGTTGCTGGTCCCCCGGTTTCAGTCGTTTTGCAGGTTTTTCGGACACATCGTTGAGCTTTCGTTTCTTACTTGCTTTTTCTTCCCGCCGACCACGTTTCTTTTTTTCCTGAGGCATGTTGTGAAGAGTGATTACCTGTTACAAGTTGATGATCTGCGTGGATAAATCTGCTTCTGGCATTGGTGGTGCAATTTCATGCAATTCAAGAGCAAGATTTAAGGCTCGACGGATGTTCTCCAGAAAAGTCTTTGCCAAGAAATTGATCCTTCCGCCAATCGGATTAGGCTGTGCCGCGCCGCCGCCTGAGACGAGGCTTTGACACAGCCTTGCCAGGATGGCTTTGCTATCTTGAACTGAGACTACTGGTGTTTTGTACGTACAACGGTTCATCTAAAGCAACTTACTCATGCAGATTGGCAGACGTGTAGAAGAGGAGTCTCGCCTCATGTATTGTCTGACTAAAGTAGGGTTGATGCTGTGGTTGTGGATTGTAAACTTGGTCTCAAGACATGTCCAGATTGGTCTCTTTCGGATCTCATCATTGGTAATTAATCTGCTCAAGCGACAAATCATCCCTGCATACTGGCCTTGGCTACAAGACCAAGTGCTTGAATGTTGGAATACGGCGGCCCAACCTCATCATCCACCTCTCCACTTTCAATCGCAAGGCCAGTGGCCGATGGCGTGTTGAGAAAGAGGGCTAGTCCTTACCTCGTAATGAGGGGCAATGGAGCAGGCAGAGACCTCCGACCCATCAGGTCTCACCGGAAGAACTGGCCACGTCGCGCGTTGCGTTCGGGTCTCATTGGGGCTTGCATGAAGAGGCAATGGTCCAGAGTCTATAATGGATCTACCGGCGCAAGATTGTACGCTGATAAGGTATCTCACGCCGAGAATCGGTGTCGACCGTATCCTGCTGTGGTGGGCTGTGAAGGCCCGTCGACTCGCGTGCTTGAGCGTGGAGTTGATCAGGAAAGCGATTCTTCAACCACCTCCTTGTTCTTGAGTAGCCAGTTGTAGTTTTTGTTGCAGTTGCATCAGCTCCATCCTCTTCTTCTCGGAATTTTCCTGCAGGTCTTTGATCCTAGTCTCTGTCCTGGTGATTTCTTTGCCAATAAACTCGAGACGTCCATCAACCGCAGATGTGGCTTCGGTCTTATCCTGTTTCAATAGTACCGGTCCAACAAGTTTATAGATTCCGGCATCTTCAGCAAGTGAGTTGAATTCCTTTTGGACCGACTTGTTCTCCTGTTGTTGGGCTTCGAGTTTCTGGCGTGCGTCTATGGCGGATTGGAGATCTGGGTGAGAAGGTTAGTATCTCATTCCCGGAGTATGTTCAAGTATGACTAACCATCTTGAAACCTTTGCAGAGCCTCAGACAAAGTCTGCAGCTTCTTTCTGTCTTCTTCCATGGTGCGCTGACCAAGGATTGGTGTTTGAGAAGAACGGCGAGATTTCCAATTGATTTGTTGGCGAATGCCTGAAGTGGTAGCAGTGGGGTGACAGACTTGGTTAGTGGCTAGCTAATTGATTAGCGTTAACCCGAGGCTGTTTTCAACACGTCCAAGATCTGGTTAAAGCGCGGGGCAATCACTATAGTCAACTTCAACTTGGGGCAGGAGCCACCCGCTTTACCGCCTAAACTAAACATCCCACCTTCCCACTAAACATCGAGTCTAGACGTGACTAAGTACAAGGTCGCCGCAGGTAATCACTGCAACATCTGCCCTTCCACGTCTCAAGTTGTTCCGATCTTCGTCCTCCAAAGTACTTTTGTCTTTACTCACGACATACCGAAACAGAGATCCTTTTTTTGCACCCACAGAATCTCTGACATCCCTGTTTGTGCTTTATAGCGTCTTTGATCACAGCGCGCAACGACCCATCGCACTCCTCCATACTTCATCCTGCAGCCTTGGTGTTTCCTGATCAGGTCGGCTGGTCTTCACCCTCAGATACCGCTTTGATATACATCCAAAGAAAACTCGGAGTTACAATTCAGTCAAGGCGCGAGATATTGCGCCTCTAAACACCATGTCCAACACCGACTTCCTCGGTCGAGCAATCGACACCGTAAAGAAGGCGATTGATATGGACACCGCGGGGTCATATGAACAAGCATATCAACAATACTATGCCGCCCTTGAACTTTTCATGCTCGCTCTCAAATGGGAAAAGAATCCGAAATCAAAAGAGATGATTCGTGCAAAGGCTGCTGAGTATATGGACCGCGCAGAAAAGTTAAAGACACACATCCAGTCGAACGATCCAAACAATAAGAAGAAACCAGCCGCTATGGGTACCAACGGCAAGGCCGTCAATGGCGCTGGGAAGGGTGATGCAGGAGACAAGGACGAGGAAGATGCAGACAGCAAGAAATTGAGAGGACAGCTGACCGGCGCTATCCTGACCGACAAACCCAACGTCAAATGGGAGGATGTTGCTGGTTTGGAAGGTGCTAAAGAAGCCCTGAAGGAAGCTGTCATATTGCCCATCAAATTCCCCCATTTGTTCCAAGGCAAACGACAACCCTGGAAAGGTATTCTACTTTATGGTCCACCAGGTACTGGAAAATCATATCTTGCCAAAGCCGTCGCTACCGAAGCCAACAGTACATTCTTTAGCGTTTCATCCTCAGATCTAGTGAGCAAATGGATGGGTGAGTCTGAACGACTTGTGAAGCAACTGTTCAACATGGCAAGAGAGAACAAACCGGCAATTATCTTCATCGATGAAGTCGACGCTCTTTGCGGTCCCAGAGGAGAAGGCGAATCTGAAGCCTCAAGGCGCATCAAGACCGAATTGCTCGTACAGATGGATGGTGTCGGCAAAGATTCGAGGGGTGTTTTGATCCTTGGTGCGACAAATATTCCGTGGCAATTAGACGCAGCCATCCGAAGACGTTTCCAGAGACGAGTCCACATTTCTCTCCCCGATAAGCCAGCCAGAATGAGAATGTTCGAGCTTGCTGTAGGCGACACGAAATGCGAATTGTCCCAGACCGACTACAAGACCTTATCCGATCTGAGTGAGGGCTATTCAGGAAGTGATATCAGTATTGCTGTCCAAGACGCCCTGATGCAGCCTGTCAGAAAGATCCAAACCGCAACACACTACAAAAAGGTAAGCCCTGGGGATCTCATTCCTTCCTTTCAAGTAGTACAGTACTGACCAAGATTTCCACGCAACCAGGTGATTGTCGACGATGAAGAGAAACTTACCCCTTGCTCCCCAGGGGATACTGGTGCGATGGAGATGACGTGGGTAGATGTCGACTCGGAAAAACTTCTCGAGCCGCCGTTAGTTGTCAAAGATTTCATCCGTGCCATCAAAGCCTCACGGCCGACCGTCTCAGGCGAAGATCTCAAACGTAATTCAGAATGGACGGCGGAGTTTGGTAGTGAAGGTGCCTAACGCGCGAAGTTACAACGAAAGGGGTTTCTTTTTACAGCGATGTGAGAGGCAATGCAAGTTCGGAGGCTTTGAGTATCTTCTTGCTGCGTGTCAAGCAAAGGGTATGGACACAGGCCTGGACCGAATCAGCAGCATGAGAGACTTTTTGCAATTGACATAGTAGTATTCAAGAAGATATCGGATGGACATTGAAAGTTCCACACCTTCCAGCAGCAAAAGACAATGAATGAAAGCACTGGCGCATAGGCATAGGCGGCGGTCGGTTTACTTTTCTCCCCACTCAATCGTCCCTTTTACTTGGTGCAAAACAAACCTAACCTAGCAATGGATGTCAATCAGCTGTGATAAATTCTAGATCATACCTCAACGCTAGCCCCAGCTGTACGTGAACCCACACCTATGATGGGGGTGATGGAACCACGCACGCGGTGCCTTTAGCCGTTATTCATGAAATGCCTGACGCATTGGCTTGAGGACAACAAACTACGTCCAGTAACTTAGTCACGATGAGCCTGAGGCGGACCTGTCAAACTAGTTAGGGTGGATATTTCTGAATGAGCAGAGCAGAGCGAAGCGGAGCAGGCGACGAGATACTTTCCCCTGCATGAAGGAAGGGAGGAACTTTACCAACTCCGACGTCACAATCCGGGACGAGATGATAAATAACCTCAAGGAAATATCAGGGGCGAGAGAGATACCTATATATTTACTCTGCAACGCTAATACACAAACACGTCTACAGAGTAGCCCGTTGAGACATCGTCGCAGATCTGCTCGAAGCCGCGAGACGCCTTGCCGCGGATTCTGTGCTGGACCCAACGCGATGCATGGCTGAAATCCATCGTCAAACGGGCACGCTTGAGGATCAAGGTCTGCGGCTGCTGCTGCTGCGGCGGCGGCGCTTTGCCCATGGCTCTGGCCACGGTCAGGATGGTGCCTTGGCCGATTTCCAGGCAGGCCCCTTTCCCAAGCAGTGGTCCCTCGATTTTGGCTTGTGTCACTGCGGACGAGGATGGCATGGTGGTAGTCGGATCTGGCCAGAGTTTTTTCGAGGTCAAGGGTACCTCAAGTGCAAACCGTGTTTTGAGAACAGTCGGGTCCTTGGGATTTTTGTCAGTTTTAAAGCTGGTGTCAATGGGAGCGGACGTGTTTGGAGCTATGGTGAGTGATTTGTCTTTGGCAGCACCGCTGGCCTCGATTGTGAATGACGATATTTTTGATTTATAACACGCCCGACGAAGTCCCTTGTCCCGGAATTCCAAGCAACGCTGGCTCAGGACTGCAAATGTCGAGCAATCTCTGGTGTCTTTCAGAATCGGGATCCAGTAGCTGGTGATGCCATCTGCGGGCTCGAGTTGTGGGATTCTGCGCGTCATCGGTGCATCGGTGAATGGCCACCATGCTTGTAGTTCTTCATTGTGGTCGACGCCAGTGTCTTGAAGCATAAGTATGGACTGTATGATGGTCTTTCTGAGAGTTTTTTGGTCGAGTTGAGTATTCGGAACGGCATCAATTCCGTCCAGGTTTCGCTGAATGTTCCAACATGACTGCATACAGTCGATATCACCGATACCGTGACTGCATGTCTTTGCGGTATCATGTTGTCCTGGGGCCGGAAGCAGTGTGTCCTTTGAGCGCTTCTGAGCAAGGCGCAGCGCGTCCCATAGCGTTGTTCTCTGAGCATTGCCAGTACAGGCACTGACTTCTAGTCCAATACGTAACTTGAGGATTGGGACAAGTGGAGTTTCCGGCTTTGTACATTGCTCAACGAGCACAGTTTTCTGTGTTCGGGCGGGAATCCTCTTCCACGTCTTAGTCCCTATCATACCAATATATTGGTTCCCACTAAGTCCGAACTCATATCCGTCGCTGATGTAGTGAGCAGCAGAAGTTCCTGAAACCTGAAGGTATTTGGCAACCCGCTGCCCTGCCATTTCAATCCGTGTACAGCATTTTGCATTCACATGAAAAGGTTCTTGCCCAGCGTTTTCGGATCCAATCAATAGCTGCGACGACTCGAACAAGTTAAGCTCAGGTGTTGAAAGCAATCCGTTGTACGTCGAAACTGGCAGCTCTGCCATCCAATGGCACTCGACTTCCCGAGACTGATCCCGCTTCGAGTTGTCATCGGGCGAAGGAACGATGTATCCACGTTCCGTGCGAATCAGGCACCTAAGCGGATTTGAGTCTTGCGGACCATTGATGGTCCACAGCGGTCCCCAAAGACCAGCAAATTGTTGTAATGTCAGGGAGACCTTCAACTTGGGAGCTTCCAGGATCGTAGTATCCTTCACTAGAACCCATACAGGTCCACCAATGAATCTTTCCAAGCAAGCCAGATCTCGAAGGACGAATTTGTAGCCCTCTCCGACATCAAAGCCCTCACATGACTCATCCAAAGTGCTTTGGTCGAACCTGCAAACATGAGAACCCGTAAATGATATAAGTCCAAGCGCCAAAACCCTGTAAATAAATTTCAATGTTGATGATCTTCCAGAGTTTGGAACTTCGCCAACAGGTCTGATCTCACGATTGATATATTCACTCTGCGTGGTACCTTGAAGTCTGCGGGACAGATTAATACTTAGAGAGTCGAAGGTGACCCTTGCCCTGGCTGAGTATGAATCGGTCATTGCTGCGAAAGAGTCGCGCAGAGACCGAAGTTCATCGCTGGTGATAGCACATGCCAGAGCAACATCTTTACGATCTTGATCTTCAATCAGGATACTGAATTCGTCACCACAGAATCCCGTGTCATGAATGATGGAGAAAGCACCCACAAGCTTGGCCAGGCCTTGCTTGTAGCTGTTGTCGGTCGAGTTAGCATTCAACCATGCTTGAGATTCGCTCCAACGGGGTCTGTCCAAACCAAGAAATTGAACAACTCTGTGCTCCAGCTCCTCAAGAGATCGATAATGCTGTGACGTGTTGAGAACAGCATCAAGAGAATGTAATCCGCTCTCAGTGGTAGATCTTGCTGCGATGTGAAGGTCATCATCAATTGAAACCCCCATCGAATGCCCTTGTGATCTCAAAGGGTGACTCTCAAATGCAGGTCCATTAGGCGAAGCAAGGCTGCTGGCTGTTGAAATGCCAGCCAACACTTGATTCACTTGCGTGGAATGAGAAGCAAGCTCACCTAATGGTACAGTCACTTCGCTGGTGGTTGACTCTAGCCTATCTGGCAACACTGTGGAAGAGTCTGGTAGTGTTGTTCCCGATGTTTTTGGCCCTGTGAGTACAGAACGACGAGACATAAAACTAGGATATAAATTCTGGGTACCGCCACCAGAGTCCAGTACTGTTTCGTGGTTACTTGTCTTCGGCGACAATGACGTGACTCGTGTCTGCAATTCTGATACGCGTCGCCTCAGGTTTACATGATCATGTCGCCACATGTCTTGTACCTCAATGATTTGCTCTTCCATCTCGGCAAGATGCATCTTCATCTCCAACCAATCGGTTCTATATTCTGGATGGGTATCGATAAACGTAGGAGTTTCTGTCTCGAAGGGGTGCTTTTCAAGAGTATCGACGCTTCTCGGGAGATAGTCTTGACTTCTCTCAATCTCGAATTCGTCCCTCGGAAAAGGGTTCGTGTTCGATGCTTCGGCCACAGATTCGTTTGACAGCGGCTCCATGTCTTCCATCTGCATCATGCGCGGCGTACCCTCGCTTATCCGAGGTTCGAATGCAGTGGCATGGCGCCTCTGCTGGTAGTGTGGAGATTCTTGGACGCCCATTTTTCCTTTAACGTCGTCCGTCTCAGTTGCACCATCACTCGACATGGAATATAGTGCTGGGTTTCCGTGATCGATCAGATACTGTATTATTTCTGCTCCCGAGTCGCTTGTGCCGTCATGAACGTATAAAGTACTGTTAATCGTAGGACTTCTAGCCCAAAATTCGGCAATGGGCAACTTGACTTCGTCATCAAGATGATCTATATCATCTGGGCCTGAGTTTGAGAAGTGGGTGGTAGCATAGTTGACGGTAGCAAAGGCAATTGTTGGCTTATTAATGGCAGTCGATGTTAGTAAGTTTCCAGCCATGTCTATTACATCGACAAAGGCTTTCGTCTTCTCTTTTATACTATCATCTTCGTATATGGTGTAGAGGCAAAGAACTCCAATAGGCTGGATAGCCAAAGACCTCATTTCTTCCAATACCGGCAAAATGAGGCTAGCCACGACCCTATCACCGGATGCAGGTGCGTGCAGGATGTAGAATGTTTGATTCGAGTGTGGCATTTTGCATCGATGCAGTGCTATAATGCAACGTTATTGGTTTGCGACGAATTTCTCGAGTGTACACGTACGGCACTTTAGACCGACAAATGTAGCAACAGTAGTCATCGTTTCAGTCGCAAATAGCTGAATGAACGAATTGATCGAGCTCATGGTTGAGCCAATCAATACGATCATCCTATCATGGTGTCTGCAAGGTAAGGTTAATATAAAGCAGTATCAATAGCGCAACTGGATGCGTCGTCAAGAATCGTGAACGTACTTAAGAGGATACGAGGACTCATCACCTGCAGAAAGATCTGCAGTCGTGGGCGACATCGTTGGCGAAGATGTTGGACGTCGAATATGATTTCAACCTCTTTCGGTAGAAAGTGCAATGCGTCAAGATTGGAGATTCTTGAATAAGAAACAGAATTCCGAATTGTTCACATGAGTGAAGTAAGAAAGGTGGTCGAGAGAGGAGGGCAAGTTGGTACAGGCGTTGTTGTCAGGTAAGGCTGAGAGGCAGCCTCTATTCCCCGCCAGCTTGTGCTTGGGCATGCATTGCCCCAGTTGACCAGCCTGACTAGGTATTCTCGATCAAGCAACCATGATTGGGAGGTAGACAAGCTAGCAGAAGCCACCAGCAAGCGATAGCGAATCATACCAATCGAGTTCCACGCTGTCATACTTGCACTGCCCTCCGTAGGTAGGCTTGCAGACACGGCCGCAACATCGGTAGTGGCAGTGAAAGCCATGCCGTCGTTGATCTTGACAGTGTGTTGACAGACCTGAGCTCAACGAGTATTGCGTGGTAATCAGAGCTTATGTTCTCTTATACACACCTGAGGTGTTCTTTGAGGAAAGATAATTAGCGCTCTTGTTAGACCACACGAAGCCGCCAAGCAGTTCTGAGGAATGTCGCAGTGGAGCGCCAGTAATTAAAGGCCGGAGCATGTTATCCGGGGTTCAGTCGGCGGGGCAGCCCTTGATTAGCTATTTGGACCAGATGCACTTGTAACCAGATTAAACTAGAATGAACGCTGTCGATACTCTGCATCGAATACGCAAGCCATTTGAAAGTCTATGAGTTCACGTTACGATTCGAATGGCGAGAGGAAGCTGGAAGGGCCGGGTACTGATATCGTTTGAATACAGGGCAAGAACGAAGCCTGCGACGGAAAGAAGGCTCAAGAGGAAGGTGCTATGCAGATTCATGGTATCTAAACTCAAGTTAGGTAGGTACATTTTATATGAACTCAATACAGGTATATATGTATGACAGTAACTAATGCAGTAAATAGTCAATAGTCTTAAAAGGTATTGTTCGGGTCGTGGCCAAGAACCATAATCATAGGGAATGTCACATCATTCATCCCAGTCATTCATCCACTCGCTCTCATCGACAGCATTGAAGAGTACAATCTTTCCCAACCAATAAATCATTTCATATCATTTCAAACAATTCGATAGTCCCGTCTCATCGATCACTCCTGGTGATCAAGGATACAGATATCCCTTCTCGAAGTAATTCCCATACATGTCGACCACACCAGTGCGGCCTTTCGGATTTGAGTTCCTCACCACTTTAATCTCGCCTTTCCAGTGCCCTTCGATGAACTGCATGTCGATGTCGTTAATTTCGGCAGGTGCAGCGGGTCCGGAAGAAGTGGCTGGGCGAGAAGTAGACAACGTGCCATTGGAAGGGTCGGCTACACCTCCGTTTGCGAATGAAGTCGCGCCAGCGTCATAGCCATAGCCATATCCTCGCGGGCCTGCCGCAGAGGAGGGCCCTGAACCGCCTCCGTTGACGTGACCGTTAGTTTTGCCGGCACGATGGCGAGCGAGCTCTTGTTCGTAGGCTTGCTTGCGTTCTTTTCTCCAAGCTGCCAATTCTGCAACGACGTCGACTTCGGGCTCGTCTTCTTCGACCGCAGAATTCTGCTTGGGGTTGGAGGTTGGTGCCATCCGGTTTTGCATGTACTTTGGTGACAGTGGCGCGCCTTGCATCTCCGACACGATATTTCGAGAGTCTCCATTGGAGAAAGAGTTTCCAAAACCACTTCGTTGACTTTCATTCGAAGGCCTTCTGTTTCTACCCAGTGGTAGATTCCTTGGACTTTGCAGTGTAGAATTACCACCACCATAGTTCATCAAGAAAGGATTCAAAGTGCCATGGCCTTGAAAACTTCCATGTGGACTGGACGTCCCACTATTGTCAAACGAGGCATCATCTGGTGTTAGGAGGATTTTATCATCAAACCGAGCGGTGGGGAAATATTTCTCCGGATCGTGCTGATAGATGCCACACTCGTCCTTTTCCTCACCATCTTCTCCAAAGAAACTGAAATCATTTTGAGCCGCAGACCAGAGATTCTCACTGTCCATGTCTCCCGTGGAAGACTTGCTCATGCTTATGCGGTGACGTGAGTGCTGCCAAGCGCGCTGTGTGGGATCGGTTTTCTTCGCTCCAGGCAATTCCATCTCTAGAACAAGAGTACGGAGAGCAAACAAAGAGCGCGCGTGCTCAATCTCCGCCAAATGGCGCGCCTTTCCTGGTGGTAAAGAATAATCTGTTCGAGCCAGGAGATGTGACAATGCGGACTCGTCTGCGCAAGAAGAAATGAACGCTTTCAAAGCTGAAACCACTGGAGACGACTGCGGTACTTTGGTCGGAACATTGGTCAATATCAATGTTCGGAGGTTTGGGAGAAGGCAGGGGTGGAGAATGCTCAAGTTATTTGCAGTAATTTGCGGCGGTTTTTGACCTGGTTGGTAAGACTTGGCAGAAGTTCCAGCTGGCCGCTTGGAAAGAAGTGTTTCTATCCGAGCATGGCGATGCTGATTCGACTGAGGTATGTGGAGAGCCTTTTTCTGTTGCTGCCGTAATATCTGTGTGGGATTTGAAGATGCCGCTGGAGCCGTAGCTGGAGCAGAGGTTGTTGCTTGTGGAAGCGGATTTGCCGCATGCGGAACAGTTGAATTAGACTTGATATTAAGAGGAGCGATCAATGGTTGAAAAGTGCCATGTCCTGGATGGGGAGTCATGGGAGATATAGGCGAAGCTAGAGATCTTGTCGTACTGTTTGTCCCTGTCTCGTCGGAAATTTCAGAATCTGCTATCGTTGCATGGTCTCCCCCATGCTCACTTTCGAGGTCTGCATCGCCAACCACTTCTGGAGCATATGGCCCTTCTCCTCGGATGGGAGTCTGTGTTTCAACAACAGGACTACTCTCCTCAGGCCTGTCACCTACTGGGGGACTGATGGCAAAGTAAATAACATCTCCGATCAGCTCGGCCCGTGGTGCAGCCGGAGTAGCATCCATTTCGAAAATTTGATCCCCTGGTGGTAGTTCGACGGCATAATGTGCTGGGGCTGGTGCTTCCACAACATGCCTCTCCTCAGAAGGTAGCTCTGCTGAAAGTGGTTCAGAGCCTGCAAGCTCCACAACGGAGCCTTTCGGTTTGGGAACATCTGGGACAGCCTCAAGTTTGGCCGTGATCAAAGCATGATCTACACGCAAATAGGTCAAATTCCTACTTGCCGACTTGGCCAGAACCGGAATGAGTTTCTCAGCACCGGGAAAGCGAACCTCATCAATATAGCCGCTTTCGGTGTTCAGAGATATGGTACGGGCAATAGTTTTGACGGTATCGACAGTCCCTCCGTCGAGGATATGTAAGCGTTCGGATTTCAAGAGACTTGACAGTCCTTCGACAGACAAACGGTTCCCAGACACATATAAATGGGTCAGACCTCGATGAGGGATGTCTTCAAAGGCCAGTCGTCCCGTGAGTGGATTAGTCAGCTGCTTTAGAAGCTCACGATCGAGTTCTTCGCTGCGGAGAGCATCAAGACTGAAGAAGTCCGGACCTGGTGCCATTCCAACCGGCCAATCTTCGACGTTTAGGGAACCATGAGTGGTGGCTTCGGAAGGCAAGAAACAAGCCTGCATCAAAGATCTTACGGCCATATCTGTCAAGAAATTGTCTCGTAGATCCAACAACCGCACTCGAATGCCAATCGCATTAGCCAAGACTTCGGCCTCCCCATCTTTGAGACCGACACCACGTAGTTTCAACACTTGAAGATCACGCTGGTGTGCCAGGGTCGCCAGGACTGCTGCATCACGAGCCGGTGGGGTATATGAAAGGTCGAGGTAGACCAAGTGTGGAAATCGTGGCAAGGCGATAGACAAGCCGAGCGACGTGCTGTTGGGCTCGCTCGAAGCCAGTAGTAGTTTCAGGCCAAACGGAGGCAATGTCGTCTCTTCACCTTGTGACAATCTTCTATTGATAGTGGTAGATCTGAGCGCGATGAGGCTGTGGTGGTCGAAGAAAGGCAGTTTGGTGACGATCAAACTCTGCAGATTGGGGAGAAACTCCAGGACTTCGCGCAGCCATGTGGGGTGGGGACCGCCGTAGATTTCACTCAGGGCAGGGGGTAGGTGGAGGGTGTGAGTGAGGGTCCGAGTGGTTAATCGGGCTTTACGCAGGATTCTCTTGAAGCGAGTGAGGGCGACATAGACGGCGTCATTGGCAATGCCGAAGTGGGAGGCGGGATCACCCCAGAGGAAGGGAATGAAGATGGAATACCATTTCTGGCAGACGAGGCATGCTGAACAGAGGTCGCGAGAGGGGATCCAAGGCGCAATGATAGACCAGGCCTCACGACTAACCGCGCTTTCGTAAGAGGGAGGCACATCAGGTTTCATTTTGACATGTGAGAAGGTGTTGTTGCATGATGGGCTGCGGAGTGGGTGAGATTGTGATCAGGCGAACAGAAAAGACGGCGACATTTAGTAGAAGATCAATTGTTGAAAAGAACGGTCCAAGTTGTCCCCAGAGCTGTCGAGGTATTGATTGCCCTGACTTGGTGGTGAGGCAGACTAGACTAAAGAAATGCGGGAGAAATCGAACTCGAACTCGAACTCGTATGACGACGGAGCGCGCCGTGGAGACGACGGTTTTCTGGGAGTGGGAGAGATTATAGGTCAAGCCGCAAGCGATAGAGGGGCACCGAGTATCATTGGAAAGGGAATAAGCAGGGGACTTGAAATGGGGAATGAGAGGAAACAGGCAAAAAGTGACCGGGGTCTGGGAGTGTCACGTGCAGATCATGGTCCGTTGCCAATGCTCCAGAAATAGTATCAAAGGGAGCCTGCAAAGGGGATTTATATCACATGGCCGACCTTGTCGATCAACTGACGACAATTGATGGCTTGGGTCACATGGAAGAATTAATTCATGTTACACCAAACATCAAGTACACTGCATAGTAGACAGGTAGGGCTGCCATCATATTCATAGTCCCATGCTTCTCGAATATACTGCCAAGCCAAAGGCACTTTTACTACCACTCCCAATGCAGTTTCCCTGCCCCCAAAACTAAGTAGAGCCTGATTCTGCTCTAGGGTATCGCATATCCTTTCATTGCCATCTTACATCACATACAATAGATCCGTGTCTGGTTTCATGTTAGCCTCGAGTTTCCAACGTAGAAAGGACCATCATCACTTACTCAGCGGGTGAGAGCAGCTCAGCTGTGGTTTTTGGGTATATTTCGTCGCCAATTCGTCTCGAATGCTATTCAACAGCTGAACATAACTCTGGTGTGGGTTCTTCTTCAACGAAGTGACAAATGCCCAGCTCATCGCACCTGTCGCTTCTCCTCCGATCGTGGCATCCTGACTTGTCTGTTCGTCTTTGCTGCCGGACCACATGATGACATCAGCAGGAGATGTCTTGGTCTGCTTGTTGCGTTCGTATGTCGAGCTTCCGTTGGTGGCTTTCTTGAATAAGCCCATTGCCGTCGATGCCATACCTCCCAAATCTCCTCGAGCATAGGATGACACAATAGAGAGTAAACCTTGACCAGCTTCTTTGGCCAAGTTGGGTTCTTTGAGTACACCAGAGGTGGAGTAAATGTATGGCAGATCCAGTGCTGATCCAGAGTGGCAAGAGTCGAAGATTGCCGTAAGTCGAACACCAGGTGCTAATGTCTTGACCATGATTCTGTGCATTTCATCATCCACAATGTGACCATTGGTCCGGAAGTCAACCGGATAGATCACTTCATCGTAGCCGTCTTCTTCATCACCGTCCAGATCAGGTGTTTGACCACCGTGACCACTGTAATGGAAGAATAACGAGTCATTGGGTCGCGCGTCCTTGACAAGCCAGTGCATTGCCCGCAGAATGTTCTGTTTGTTGGGTTGTGACATGGGGTTTTGTTGGTCGTCGGTCAAGATAACCATGTCTTCCCTTGCATAACCAAAATTCTGGTTGAGATATGTAGACATGTTCTTCACATCGTTGATGCAGCCCCGAAGTTGACCTCTTTGACCAAAGTAATTGATACCAATCAGTAAAGCTTTACGCTTGCCCGTGCAATTGGAATATTGAAAACTGTAGTTCGAAGGCGCTCCATGACCAAACTGTTGGGGTGCGCTGGGAGGGGGAGGGGGATTGGTGCGGCCCCCGTGATTTTGGTTTGATTGTTGGTATCCCGAATTGTTGTACGTCGTGGGCATTCCAGGCCGAGGACCTTGAAACAAATAGTCAGTCAGTCTCTCTCATTACCAACTCTCGAGGGAACATACCTGGATAGCCGTTCGGTTGAGGGCTGGGGGAGCCATAACCGCCGTAACCTCCTTGTGACTGTGGAGGAGGGTTGTTATACCCATAAGGTGCTACTTGTGGGGGAGGTTGACCATAGCCAGGGCCATAGTTCTGATTGTATTGGGGTTGTGGTGAGTGCGATGGAGGAGGATATCCGCCCTGGTTGTAACCTCCAGAAGGATACCCGGGTTGAGGGGATTGTGAATAACCGTAACCGCCGCCGCCTTGATGCTGTTGGGCACCATAGCCACCTTGGCCTGGATAGTATGACATTGCCTGTGATGTAAGATCGACCAGTAAGCAGAGGTGTTTGTATATCCCTGATCGACTTGGATGTGCAGGAGTGAGGTTGTGTAGATAGGCAACTAGTAAGAAGGCGAAAGATCCTGCGGGCAAAAGAGTGGTGGTAAGTCCCTGATCACTTAACCGGAAAGGGTCCTTTGGGTGTGGAGTAATTCGGTACTTGTGTGGGACGCGATTGAGTGTGCACACGGGCGCTTATTGTCGTCCTCGGTAGGAGAGGAGAGATTTGGGAGAAGGAGTTGTAGAAGACCAGGATTGTCGTGTCTGTTAATAATATTGAGAGTGGGAGAGAACCTAGAAGAGAGGTGAAGTTGAGCCTCGCAGTCAAAAGATAGAATCGACACGAAGACACGGCCAAGAAGGTGGAGGAAGAAGCTGACGAAAGCAATAATAATTGTGAGGCACAGCACACCAGCACACCGATATCGAAAACGGTCATCCTGGTCCAATCCTCGGCTATTCGGAAAGGCCCTGACTGTCGAAGCACGGGGGGCATGACTGATCAGTGATGGCCGAGTCTAGTCTCCCACAGGCCCTAAGCAGTCAGCTTTTGGCGAGACCAATGCCCAAATCAGCCCCCGAATGGCTTCTTTGAGAAGGTGTTTGGGGGGATAGACAAGCCCAGGTGAAACCAAACTCACTTGGCCTCTATCATCATGATCTATCCCTGTCCCCTGCATTGGTATTAACAACAACCATCAACAGACCATCAATAGGTGTCTACTGCCCAGGTGGTTCAATCCGTGAAATCAACACAAGACCATTTGCCATACTCGTAGTTCATACATAGATCGATCTACTCATCTCAGATCTACCGTGCTTAGCAAAGTTCATCTACAAGACGGCCGTCAAAGCGCTTCACCCATCACATCACCCATCATTTTGGCTTGGAGTCAATGCCCAAGTAAACAACGTCTTGCCGTACCCATCTTGTGGCTGTGACAATCCATCCCAAGAAAACATCCACGTGGCATGCTCAGATTCCTCGCGTAGCCAGAGAGCCGTCATCGACGAGCCTAGCCTTTTCGCTTCCCAGATGACAACTCTTCCATCTCCCGACTCCATGTCCATGACATTTCCCAAAAATGATACAATCTTTCAGCCGACGCCACCACCCCCTTGAGTCCCTTCGACCACCAAATCCACACCCCCCATTGGCTCTCTCCATCAAGCTTCTCAACCTCAAGCTCAGCTCTGCTCTGCAGCATCTAACCACCCAAGTTCCAACCAATACAGTAACTCTCTAACCCATCAAGCCATTCCACCACGGCACTCCTAAGCCTCAAGCGACCCGGTCGAGGAAGCTGGTCGGTTGAGATCCACGCCAAATCGAGTAGTCGTAGCCCACACCGAGTCCCAAGGGGTCCCGAGGAAAGTGATTCGTCCAATCACGCTGGAGTGTTCGTCGTGTTCTAACTTCCCACTCCCCGGAAATGCCATCTGAGGCATTGACGGGGGCGGTGTCGTTTTGTTGCATGCAGCAGTCAAACCCTGTTGTCAGTCCCTTAACTAACTTCCCATCATGTTCATGGATGATCGGATCCATCAAAACATACTACGCGGTAAAGACGCCGGAAAAGGAAAAATCGATCGGCAAGCCCGTGTTGATCGCAAATGCTTAGCCCGACCTCGGTTCTGTCACGACTCACGTTCAACTTCAAATCAGACTTTCTGAAGCAACAATAGCCTTGAGGCTTGGACGTCTGCTTTACCTAGGTACTTTCTACTGTGACGGACCCTTCCACATGATTTCTTTCAATGTGGGGTGTTTATTCTATCTGAGGTGCTCGATGTTCTTTTCGTGACCTTGCTAGCCCGGTACTTTTGGAAAGGGTCCTTGGGTGGCTTGGGCCGGTCCACAGTTGCGCGCCTCCAGCAAAGCCATACGGATATTGCTGCTCGTCTAGAAGGAACACTCCGCCTCGGTGATATCATTGCGGGTTCGCTTCAGCACGTGAACATCGATTCCTCTTGACGCGTATGTCTTAGGTGTTCCAGGCGAGACTTCATTTGGCTGATCGAACATTCGAGACATGCTGTTCCTCGCCTCGAACTCGGTGTCTTCTTGGTGCTCTAATGCTGGTCTCATGATGCTCGTGCGGCACTGCCCCAATTGATGGGTATCTCACACTCACCACCGACAAGTTATACATACCAAAGACGCACTCATGACGAAGAGCCTCTCTTTGGCCTGCGACTAGCCCAAATGCTCTCACCGTCTGGGCATTCCTCGCCCTCTTCCTCTCAGTGCTCGCTGTGCTGCTCCAGGGGGAAGACCTCTTTGGGGTGCTTGAGGCTGCTGGCTTTCTTCGTTCTTGATCGTCTCATCCACACTCAGAATCAAACACGCCGCTTCCACTGCGGCAGAAATGGCATTCACCTTCACCAAAGCCGGTTCCCAGACAAACGCTTCCATGTTGTTGCGAACTCCTTCGAGGTCAAAATCCACACCAGCCCACGTATTTCCCTTGCGATGTTCCACCCTCAGTCGGTTCAGGATGTCTGTCGCATCAAATCCGGCATTGTCACACAGCTGTCGGGGAATGATCTCCAATGCTTTTGCGAATGCTTTGACAATTGCTTGCTGTTTATGGGGCACATTCTTGTCTGCAAATTGGTGCAGGTAGCCGGAGATTTCCATTTCGGTGGCGCCACCACCCGCCACAATCGTATTATTTCTCAGAGCCCGCTTGACAATCATGATCGCGTCGTGTAGTGACCGCTCCACTTCGGCGATGAACTGTTCGGCTCCACCTCTCAGGACCAAGGTACATGTCTTGGCCTCTGGGCAGTCGCTGAACAGGTTATATCTTTCACCACCGATTTGACGTTCCTCAAACACACCACAGGTACCCAGATGAGACGGTAGGATGTCGGAGCATGTCGATTGCATCGTAGCACCTGTGGCTTGGCACAATCTTTCCAGATCTTCGGCGGCCACTCTTCCGGCGCAGAAGATATCTCTGTCGGCGAAATACTGTGTGGCGAGATCGCCAATAGGTAAGCGTGAGAGCACAACCTTGGCACCGGTCTTGTATAGGGCTTCCATCTTGTTGTATATGATCTGCCATTCCGCGTCCACAATGGCCTGGTACTCTGAAACCTGCTCCACCCGCACCTCTGCGTTATCTTTCTCCGCTTTCAACTCCAATTCGACATTCAAGGCCACAATCTTGGGGTTCTTGAATGATTTGGGTTGTTGCTCGAAGCCTGCGTATGAAAAAGTCTTCTTGAACGCCACACCGTCAATGAATAGCGAGTCTTCCAGTGCGCCACCTGTGATCTTCTTGATGCCAATAAGTTTCTCGTTTAGATCGTCCTGGTCTAGTGAGAGGACGGCATCGACGACCACTGTATACCTAGTCAGCAACTTCCGTCAACCGATCATATGTGCGTACGCAGGAGACCTACTTTTTGTAAAGAAGCCCGCATTGCGATGGATCAGTTTACTGCTCATGGCGGTGGCAGCCAACTTCTTCAAGGTCTCGGTCTTGTTCCCTTCATTCGTACTGACACTGATCTCCTTGACCTTATTGATAGCCATCTGTGACGCTCTCCTCAAGCCTTTGATGATAGTCTGTGTACTGACGCCCAATTCAACCTGCTCTTTGATCTCCTTCAGGATCTCCCCTGCAAGAACAACCACACTCGTCGTACCGTCGCCCACTTCGGCATCTTGCGAGCGTGCAATGTCTGTCAGAATCCGGGCCGCTGGGTGGACGATATCGAGCAGGCGCATGACAGTGGCGCCATCGTTGGTAATGGTCTGCCTGCCGTTGGCATCCACGAGTAGTAAATCTCCGCCATAAGGTCCTAGAGTGGTCTTGATCGTATTCTGCACTGCCAGGCATGCGTTGATGTTTGACAGAACCTGGCCTTTGCCCTGAGATGCATCGGTGCCTGTGGTTCAAGAACAAATTTGAGTATTAGTGATATGCAGGCCTTGCGGATCATGGAGAGGACGACCCGGCAGGACGGTCTGTAAATGGGGACCACAAACCTTCTTTTAACACAATGATTGTGGGCGTTTGCCCTCCAAATGCTGCCATGTTGGTTCCGTGTTTTCAGAAAGGTGAATGAGCAGTATTCCAGGAATCGGTAGCGGGGTGATTTCTTGAATCTTGTCGGCCTGCCTGCGTCTCAATCCACAGAACTTTTTTGGCTTCGACCATTGAAACTCTTGGCATTTGAACGGTGGAGTATTCACGCGTGAAACGAAGGGGTGATATCAATGAGTCGAGTCATACTTCATACTCAACCAGCCCAGCGCCGGCCATATTTGATTCATAAATGGGAATACGTGTCATGAAAGGTGAATCATCGCATGATACATATGCGGGCCTATTGTCAAGGTGTTGTAACAACTATTCAACATCATCGCTCAGTTTCAACATATTCAACAACAATTTCCCTGCCGCTCATCCAGCACCGCTTGCTCTTACAGAAGAGGAGATATAAACCATGGCATTGCCAGACCATTCTGCTGACACCAGTTGCATCCCTGATGTGCTCATACCCTTCTTACAAATCATCGAGGTTGATCCGCGACCCCTCGTGGTCATGACTTGTGGAATCGCAGGTAGGCGGACACCACGCAGATTCTTCATACACTCCCAAGACAATGCAATGCCTAAAAGGCAGAATCCAAAGAGCATTGCGGAGATGTTTAAAACATGCTGGGGTCAAATTCACCTGACACATCCATGCATTCATTTCATTTATAATAGGCATTCATTTACGTGACATCCATCAAAAACAGGAGCCGGCAAATCCACGCTCGCCAAAGCCATCGCAAGTAACACGACAACCACAATCCCACCATTCACGCGCCTCTCAGTCGACACGATCCTCCACGCGCAGCACGGACTGTACAAGATCAACTACCCGGCCAGAGAGTACGGCACACACCTGACCAACGCGGCGGCAACCTTCCACTCGGAAACGATCCGCCTACTACAAACAACCCCGCCTACGAACCTGGTTCTCGACCGGTCCTTCTACGCGAAAGAAGACCGCGACGAATACCGCGCGCTGGCGGAGCAAGCCGGCGCGCGCGTCGTGCTGGTCTACCTGAAAGCCTCGAGGGAGGTGCTGTGGCGCCGCATCTGTGCGAGGAAGGCGAGGGCGGAGACCGAGGGCAGGGATGCTGATTCCGCGTTCGATGTTGGTGAGGAGCTGCTCGACACGTATTTGAGAGGGTGGGAGGCGCCTGTTGGGGAGAGCGAGGTTGTCATTGTGGTCACTTGAATAAGCACAGCAGAGGACCTGGAATTCGGGTTCCTGTATGTAAGGGTATGTATGACTTTCCTGGATTGATCCAAAAAGACTATCCAGTTGTTCTTGAAGCCCGAGAATCTGAGGAACTGTTTTTAACCATGTATGCGTCCACTTGGCATGAGTAGTAAGTAAAATAGTGACATAGACAGTTAGCTAATATGGACCAGAACTGGAAATGGTTGGAACCCCCAATTCTTTGGAAAGAGAGCCAGGCGGAAGAGGTCAACTCTTGCCCTGCCCTGCATTCCTCTCTGCCATATAACGTGAACCTGACCTCTCTCAAATATAGATTAGATATATCGCAGGTCAATATCACCACTGCTTAGCAGCATAATATTCATATTTGGGTGCCAGCTTCGCTCTCCACTTCCTGCCCCATATAATAAGCGGCACACATGTCAAGGCCACAGCGACACCGAGACAGCCGAGCAACACAAACATGTTGTAAACGCCCATGCCCTCCATCCAGGGCGTGATGGCAAAGACCAATATCGTGGAGATGATGTTGCGCACAAATACCACGGATGTCAGTGCGTCACCGAGAATCTGTGGGAGGAAGAAGAAAAAATTGGTTAGTTCACTTCGGTATCTCGTCGGTGAAAGGGAGAGAGGGAGTTAGAACTTACGAATTGATAACAATCCTGGCAGTAAGTCAAGGAAATATCACCACAGCCACCGATGGCGGCACCGATGAAGCCGGCACCTACAGCGTTGATCTGCCATGCCATACCCTAGATGAGGAAGACGAGGGTTAGCTTGGGGTTTTGGACATGTCACATTGTTTGTGGGGTGTATTTCCATCCATGACTTCAGGGTGGGACATACCTTTGAAATAGTCAAGCCATACATGAACAATCCAATGGGCAAGCAAACACCAGGGACCAAAAACAGCCACAATCTTGTCTCTGGTTCATAGATACCGCCTCTTCGCTTAGCAACCTGGACAATAAACCAGTCGTTCAATGGACCACCAAAGACCGAACCGATGATAGCACCAATCGCCGGTGGGATGTTCATGTTACCAACGCCGGCAGCGCTGAAATTGTACGGCTCGAAAGGATACAAACTCGCCTGGGTCACGGCCAACACGGCCAACATGGCGATCAGGAAACCGTACTGGAGCGCGGTGAACATGACGGCAGGGAACGTGACCAAAATCTGGAACGGCTGGTAGACGTGCATCCACACGCTTCGCTTCTCCGAGGTAGTCTGCTTGTCCAGGCTGTAAAAGGCGAGGCGTTTCTTGTACGAGTCCATGGGGATGGAATGATCGATTTCAACGAGACGTCGACGCTCGTTGTTGGCCGCTTCGGTCGCATCCACGGAAATGGAGCCACGAACAGGCGCTTTGGTCACGCTGTTGACTTTCGAGAGCTCGTTGTCGTCCTGGGTTGGGGGTGCCACGTCGTGTCCTTCAATAACTTTGGGAATGTATTTAGTCTCTTCGAGGCAGCACACCATGGCAACACTGTGAAGGTAAATCGTGATCAGTGGACAGGAAGAGGATTATGGAACGAGCTTTGCTTACCTGCAGATGGTAAGGAAGATGGTACACCACCAAAAGACCCATCTCCAGCCTTGAGACGAAACCGCGACATAGCCGGCGGCGACAGGACCGAAATAATTGCCTGAAATGTCATCAGTCCATGACCACATGACTCGATAGCGAAGCTAAAGGTACGACTTACCGATAATGACGAGTGTGAGGTAGATACCATTCATGGTTCCACGCTGGTGGACGAAAAACAAATCGGCAACCTACAATCCATTGTCAGTTTGACTGTTCTGGTAGCGTCATGCATCAAGTATTCGAAGAGACACTCACGGTGACCTGGAAAAGGGCTTCGTTGACAGCACCCGCGATGCCCATGATGAGATTGGTACCAATCATATCTCCCAAGGTTTTCATCTTGGCCTGCCAGATTGCAGAAGCCAACATGATAAGCGTGGTGATGATATAGATCGGCCGTCTTCCGAATCGAAGTGCGAATGGGATGAAAATGAGACACCCGACGGAAAGGGCCGCCATATTGGTAGCATAGGTGTTGTTGAGGTCGGGATAGCTGATCCCTAGCTCTTCATTGAAGATCTGCCATAGAGGTACCGAGACACAAAGCGTCGCAAACACCATCAATGCATAGAAGCAGAGAATGACCATGTGAACGCTCTTTCGGAGCTTGCTCCAGTTCAAGGGCATGTTAGGGTCTGCATTTGGTTGAGGCGCAAGCAAGATGTTCTGTCCTGCCGAATCTTCGATGCGCTGCGTGCCGGGAGGCAGCCTCTCGAGAGATGACATGGTGGATGGTGAAGCTCGGTGTTGCTGGTTGGGAAATCAAAGCATACGCAAAAGTTCTCAAAACAAACAAAGTTGCAACCAGTGTCTTTGGTCTTTTAAAGGCCGCAGGCAGACCACACGGTAGGAGCAGTCCACTGGAGGAGAGCTCGATAAAAGTAATAGAACTTATATGGACGACGACCTAGAATAAGAACCGACTCGAATTCATCGTGGTCTGTCAATCTGCGTTATCAGCCGTCGCTTCTGGTACTTATCTTCCATCTTGTCGCGAATCATCGACGACCTGGAACCCCAGATTAGCAGAGAGATTTGCCACGAGGTAGGCCATCTCCTTAGAACCCAGGGTCCGAAGCCAGTTCAGCGCCATGGGCTTGGGAGGCGGGGTTGGGAAAGGCTGATGCTGATGTCCGAAGTCCCAAGAAAACCAAAACCCTCCGTTTAATCAATACGAGAGGAGTTGGACGTCCTTCATGGTCCAATCAGTTGTATTAACGCTGGGTCGAGAACGCCTCTTAGGCTTGTTAGCTCTGAAGTGAGCGGGACGACTCGCAATGAAGGTTATCAAGGTTTGGGCCACCGCTCCCTAGGCATTGCCAATTGGGGGCAGGAACTGGTTATTGCTTCTTGTCTCGGTTAGATTCATTCCCTAGGCTTCACCTGTGACATGCTAAAGCCCGGCAGGCGGTCCCGCTAGGGGCACGAGTCAGCGAGCCCATCCAGATTGCCCGTCATGAACGAAAACTGATGCAAGTGAGCTATCAAGTACCGAGTACGGAGTAGTCATAGGGTACAGATGATGAAAGCAGATCGACTGTAGTACTGACTGTGGGAGACAGCTATTACCCAGGTAGGAGAAAATGTGTCTATCGCGCACGATCAGCACGTGTGGAAGTTGCTTGGAGGCGCGACACGAGGAGGGTGGACTACAGTTAGATACTTGACTAAAATCCTCGTGCCTGCCTAGCTGTGAACGGTTGGTGATATATCTATACCTAGTGAGGTACCCATGTCAACTGTTCTTAGACAAAATTCCATAATCAAGAGACCCGTCCCTGTCTACTTGAAAAAGTGATCCAAGGGCCCTGCACGCAACTCCGCCAGCCTCTCCTTTGAGCAGGCAAATTCTTGCCTGGGAAACCAGTCAAGAATCTCCGTCTCACGGCCAGTCAAGAGATTCGCAACAGCCTTACCAGACAGCCAGGAATGCACCATACCATATCCATTAAATCCAGCGGCAATCCACTCGCCTCCCACCGCAGGATCACACTCTGCTCTTCCCGAGATATCAGCAGTCAGGCGATCGACCACGGGCATATAGTCGCCTGTGAAGCCCATGATCCCAGTCCATTTCCTTTCCACCCTAGACCCTTCTGCGTTGGCGAAAACTTTTCCAGGAACAGCTTCGAGATGTCTGAGTGGATGTATGCTGAGTTGGCTGTCGTCGGTACTCCCAATGTCCTCCTCGTTCTCTAGTCCTCCCTGACCGAATCCTCCACCAAGGTATAAGGACCCATCCTCACCTGGAGATTGTGTGATGTAATCGAACCCATTTGCATAGATCGCACTCCATGAACGTGTGGCTCCAACACGTGGGAAGTCAGGAGGCATGGCCTGTACTGTCATTTGACCTCGCAGAGGCCACAACGCACCTCGGAGTGCTGGAAGTAAGTGTGCCGCATGGGCATTGGTACAGTGGATAATATGCTTAGTCGATATACTACCCCTTGCGGTTTGTATCTGATATGGATGTGTGCTTGATTGTGTTCGTTCCACCCCAGTAGCTGGTGTATGCGTCTCAAGCGTAACATGCCCCTCTTCGATGAGTTTTGACAGCACCACCCCCAGAAAGCGATATGGCCAAGCCGCACCAGCAGGTCCAATAATGCAGCCCGATGCATTAATCAGGCCTAACTCCTGCCACTCAAAGTCAGTCTCTCGGAATCGAAGCATTTTTTCCATCAAAATATCAAACCTTTAACTTCAACGGATCTTCATGGGCCGTCCAGTTACTTCGCTCTTCCGGGAAGTCTTCGAACCAATCTTGCAGGGAATTTTTGGAGGCATCCCATGCAACGGGGTCATATACTCCACAAAGAGCCTCCACTCTCCGTACCAAGCCTACCTCCCCAGCCTTGCCCAGCAATTCAGCCTCCTTGACAATGACGTCTAGATGTGACAATCTGAACTTGGTGATCTTGATGGCACTTTCCTTCCCAGACTTAGCCTTGAGCGAGCCATAATCAGAAAACGGTACAGTCTTGATATGTCCACCATTTCGTCCCGTGGCTCCAGAGATGGCAGCTCGAGCCTCAAGCATGACTATCTTCAGAGATGGATCTATCCGAGACAAATGTAGTGAGATGCTGATACCCGTAATTCCGGAGCCAATGATGACTACATCCGCCTCTGTAGGCAGTTGCTCGGATCGTTGATTCGCGAACGCATGTGGCGGATCTTGCCAGAAGGAGGGCGTTGCATTCTCCACAGGGAATCCGGGGTCCTTGTCGAGGCGGGCGGCTAAAGTCCTGAGTATTTCCGGAGAAGCCATTGCAGGAACTGGTTGTTTGATGGTTTCAACGGACGTAAGAATGCAAAGGCTTGTTCTCCTAGAGTGGCTATTATAGGACGGCGCCTGGCGTGTACGGCGCCCTCGGTCACCGTTAGCTTGATTTGGTACGTGCGTTATACTCGGCTAGCCTTTCGATGCGAGCGGGAAGGTGCGTTGGTTACAATGGATGATGGTTCGTTGTGACTGTCCGCTGAGCCAGGGATACTCGATCAGCGTTGGGAGCGGGTATGCACGCAGCACGATTTAGATCTGCCTTTGATGAATGCCGGAGGTATAATTCGTAAATGAGTGTATCATAACCTCATCTCATGAATAGTCAGCCCTGGTGAACAGGCTTGAAGATGCGTGCAACGTCGTACAACGAGGCAGCGCAAATCTCTTTCATTGAAGGGCGCAATCAACTTTGATTGGTGAAAGAGTTGGCGGAGAAGGGCGATGGCTTTTGATTTGCTCATAGAAGCATCTTCCCCAGTTCTAGAGTCTCGGACGAAGTGCAAATGCCGAGGAACTGAGTTCATGACGTGCATTGCTATGCCCAATAACTGTGTACTGGGGGGTCTGTGCCGGAACTATAAGATCGACAACTTACTGGCACTTATCTCCAGTTCCAAAGCTGACATCTGAGATTCGACAGGGGCAGTACATAAATCACTATTCATCATATATAGACGAAAGAAAGAGCCCTCCGATTTTCTGGTGTTTTGTCGAGAACCATCATACGTCGGCGATCATGGGTTCAATCGGTCATCAAGAGGAGCCCGCATCCTGGCAGATAAAGGTTGCTGAAAAGCAAAAACAATCATTCGCTGCCATACCCGAGGCATGGCGTCTGCCAGAATCGATCACTAAGGGACTGTCATACCCTTTGGAAGAGAAGCCGAACCGTTTGATCGAACTTGATATTCCCCGAAAGTCAGGTATCCTTTCTGATAAGGAATTGGAAATTACAGAACAAAACACAGTTGCTCAACTGCTATCAAAGCTAGCGTCTGGAGGACTGACGTCGGTCGAAGTGACACTGGCGTTTTGCAAACGGGCAGCAATCGCACAACAGCTGGTATTTGCGCCCGTATATCCCCCTGCTTGCCGTGGAGAGATTCTGACAAAGTTTTCTGGATACAGACTTCATGTCTCACAGAGATCTTCTTTGACGATGCACTGATAAGAGCCGAGTCCTTGGACAAAAGAAGAGCAGCGGGTGAACCACTTGGTCCACTACATGGCCTTCCCGTCAGTCTGAAAGATGGTTTTCAACTGGTTGATAAGGAAGCAAGTATCGGATATGTCTCCTTCCTAGGGAATAAGTCGGTGAAGAATTCACCCTTGGTAGACACACTACTCAACCTCGGTGCCGTACTTTATGTCAAAACAAACATACCTATGACGCTCATGACCGCTGAATCGCACAACAACATCTTCGGTCGTTGCCTGAACCCTCACAATACCGCGCTCAATGCCGGAGGCTCAAGTGGAGGAGAGGGTGCACTTGTGGCATTTCGAGGCTCACCAATAGGTGTTGGGACGGATGTGGCAGGCAGTGTCCGTATTCCATCACTGTGCTGCGGTACGTATGGATTCAAACCAACTTCCAACCGAGTCCCGTATGGTGGGCAGGCTATTCCGGGTCTTGCTGGATTTAAGCCTATTGTTGCATCCGCAGGTCCGCTCGCAAATGATTTTGCAGCACTCGAAATATTTACTAAAGCTGTCGTGGACTCGACCCCGGCACTGCTTGATTCAACTGCAATTGATGTACCCTGGCGGAAACTTGACCAACCGAAGAAATCCGGCTTGCGGTTCGGCCTGGTACCAGAGGATCCAGCCTACCCATTACACCCTCCGATTAAAAGAGCGCTCAAGGAAGCAGTTGCAAAAATCCAAGCTCAGGGTCATGAAGTTGTGACCTTGAGGTCAGATGAGACCAGGACATCTGATGCTATTGAGGTTGCGTTTGAATTGTTCAGCCTGGCGCCAGGTACCGCCATTCGACATATCCAGGCAAGTGGTGAGCCTCCAGTACCCTCAGTTGCGAAGAACCTCGGACCTGCAAATCAGGGAAAGTATTCATATGTCACAAATCTCGAAGACTTGGACACGCTGCATAAATTTGCCGCAGTCAGTGTGAAGCGTGCTGAGTTTGTTGAAGCCTGGCGTAAAATATGGGTAGAGCACAGATTGGACGCCATCATCGCTCCTTCCGCTCAGAATACGGCAGTGCCACATGATACTTTCGGATTCCCACCATACACCTGCCTGTTCAATCTTTTGGATGTAAGATGATGCTCCTCATGATGAGTGTTCCATCTACTGACCTATCTAGTATCCTGCATGTGTGATACCATACTCAAAGGCATCAAAGGAACAAGACAATGTTCCACTGACCATTCAATCAGGCCAGGCGGGACCAAATTGTGAGTCGCATGGTCATATCTTTCATCCCATGCTGATAAGCCATGTCACAGATGATCCCGTAGTTTTCGACGGCGCCCCGTGCTCAATTCAAGTAGTCACAAGGTCCATGCGAGATGAAGAATGTCTCGTCGCGGCCGGAGTGGTGGACGCTTGTCTCAAGTAGGTGTTCCTTCAAGTAGAGCAATGTCTTGCTGCTGCCGGTCATTAGGACGTGGAAAAATACAGACTGGCCTCGATCAAGAAACAAGATGAAGGCCAGTCCCTGGGCCACCTTTAGATATCAATGCAAGAAGACCATCATACAAGATCTCCTTGCCTGAATTTGCGTTGTAATAACGGCTGTCACTGCGGACTAGTACTCCTGGAAGTTGCCAGATCTTTACAAGGGCAAGTTCGCAGCGCGTGACGTGGCCCGAATACGCCACGTTCCAAATCTGTTGCAGGAGTTTTTTAATCAATTGTCGCGTATGCGCTCGCACTGCTTGCCCAGAGCCTGCATTTCCACCTTGAACAAACTCAGCCGAAGTTACAGGACAGGCTGCACAACCGAGAACGAGGATCGGCCAACAAATGAACTGCCCAAACGGGAGCTCCCCGTCATAGCGCTTTAACAGATCAAGGCCTGTTGCTAACAATGATTCTATTCGGGGGGAAGCGTTGGAGATGTGTTCTGGATCGATGACTTTCCAGATAAAAATCCTCAAGGCCAGAGCATAGAGCTTGGCGGCAATTTGACAGTTTGACAGTTTGATAAATGGTGGAACAACTTCATGTGACAGTTTGGGCTTGGCGGCTTGGAGGCGATCCAAGTCTGCAAGGCATTGTAGAGCAAGATCTTGATGATACTCCTCCAATGGAAGCTGTCTACTAAGCCAGGTGATTTGATAGATGATCAAGAACAGAGCAGGTGGGATATCTCCAATGACCGGACGGATGGGAGCACGTGCTGCATCGACCTCACTTTCTGAATCCCAGGCTTCAATGTACTTCGCAATTGCGCCAGTAGGAAATGCAGCAACGGTTGGCTCAATGTCTTCCGCCATCACCAATCGAGTTGCCAGGTGGTAAAGCACACTATCCAAGAGTGTGCGCTCAAAAATGGACATTTTCGATAGTTGAAACCGCGGAACATCGGCCATACTCTCTTCGAGGACTTTTCCTATGGCGCGATAAAAAGTCAAACTCGAACTAGTTTCCGAAGGATAGAAGTCCTCGGTCAGATCAGCAAGACGAACGATTGCATATCAAAGGTCAGGGTGGCTCACCTCGAAGATGCCCATAAAAAGAGAGCCGGCAAGAAAAGAGTTTCGTTCGAGTTGTGTATCGGCCAAATCACGCGTCACTTTGCGGAGACCTTGCAGCGCGCTTTGGGTATAAATCATGGCATCTTCTCTCGGGATCAAGCCAGCAGCTGATGCATGGAGAGCAGCTGGAGCAAGGGCGGCATGCATCACGAAGGCATTTTCACTGCTAGCCGCGAAAATGGAGTAAGGTTTCCGAAATTCCACGTCCGCCTCTGGGTAGACCAGAACATTCATATATGTCTCGGTCGTGTACCGGAGGATGTCGAAATCGCGTTTCGTCCTTAGTCCGTAGGGGCCACACCACACCGACGAAGTAAACGGCGAAGGTCTCAAGACTTCGATGACCGAGTCGCTATCAGACCCGGACCCAGAGCCACGCCGCGAAACGACAGCAGTAGTAGTGGGCTCTGATGAGTCTCTGGACTCTTCAGAAGAAGACGACGCCTCTCGATAAACGCACTGGATGTTTAACCGGTGGCACGCTGAACAGATCGGTCTCACCTCATCACACTTCTTGCGTCGCGTTCTGCACGTGCTACAACCAGTCTTGGTCCGCAGTTTCGGAGGCGGCCTGGTGAACCTCTTGGTCGCCATGACAGGTTTGACGAGGATTGCATGCCCTGATTTGGACATCCAAAACTCATAGTTTACTTCAGATGGTCATTACCCGTAATCGATGGTAGTTTTGATGCGTACAATGGCGGCAACCTGATCAGGTTTTGGGTGGGTTTGTAGTTGACTGGAGAACACGGTGGGCCGGTCGAGATGCAAGGTTAGTCCCAGGACCCTGTTTGAGATTCGTTGTGGCCACGATCCGGAACTCCAGCCGAGCCATCCTCGGAAATCGGCTACACCCCCTCTCACTGTTATTCTGTGATTATTCTGTCGCTGAATGCCACTGTTCCCCCGCGAAGCAATGGAGATAATAGACTGTGGCCGGGAAGGCATGCTTGGTTCGTACTTCGTAGTTAGCTCTAGGCTGATCTTCAATGAAATCAAAGTTATCATGTTGAAGTACCACTACACAGATATACCATTTACGGTAGCCCGTCCACGTCTCAAACCCACGGCACGCGTTCAGAAAATTATCACCAAGAATCTGTTTAAATAATGAAGGCTTTTTCTTCTCGTCTATAATATGAACCCCCGTCTAAGCTGAGAAAGGTATGTTTAGCCACTCCCAAATTCGCGAAAAATGTACTTAGATGCCCAGGAATATAGTGTGCTGAGGCTGCTCAACACCTGTTAAATCGTATCCCGCCCAGCAGGAAGTGATGAAATCCTCTTCGAAAAGGCGGTTAAAGTCTTCCGCTTGTTTCCTTGTGCTGTGTTGATTGTTTTCGTCTGATGCTTCTCCAAACCCTTCGTTCCGCGGCCGAGCAATGGCTACCTACCCCATTAGCCCGGAGGATTGATTTTTATTGCTCGAGTTTGTATTGTTGGTTATTCTGCGGATTCATGTAATCCATGGGCAGAACGTGCTGCATGGGCTGCATGTTATTGAGGCCGGTGCCCGCGCCACCGTCGTCCATGACGTGATCATGGCCCATCATGGTCGATGTGGGATCATGCATGAACTGGTGGTCTGTCTGCTGGGCCGTGAAGTCGTGAGGATCGTGATGAGCCTGTAGATGTGAAGTGTCTGCAAACGTCGGCATCCCCGCGGGGACGAAATTGTGTGGATTCTGCGCGTACTCCGAGTCGAGTTGCGCTTGAATCTGCTCCATGATCTGTGGGTCGATAGCCATGTCGTCGTAGGCGTGTAGGTGTGCGTCGGCGTCCGGGAGATGTTCGTTCGCAAGATCCATGGGTTGTTGGATCGAAGTGAAGTCGTGGTTGGTAAGGTGGTTGTTTGTAAGGTCTTCCTGGGGTTGCACGAGGACGTCGGGGGTGGGGAGAGGTTGTGGGAGTGTTGCAGGTGGCTCGTCAATGGTTTTACTTCGTCCTGGTCGGTTTTCGGAGCGCAATATCGGGGGTTTGTTGGTGTCTTTGCATTCTGGACAGTTCTTGATGACGTGGCTGACTGTTTCTTTTATGCGAATCCAATGGTATTTGGTGGCTATGATGGCTGTAGTTTTGTTGATTCCGCCATGTGCCTGGAGGTGGATTTGCTTGGCAATCTCGTACTGTGCCTGAGGGTCCGAGATGACTTCCTTGTCCTTCAACATCAGTTTCTCTGGAACACCATCCTGTCCTCCGACAAGTTTATAATGGGTAGCGGCACTCCTTAGCCGGCTTTTCTCTGATCTATCGGCTCCTTGCGGATAGAGTGAATGTCGTAGATAGTATCGAATTTTGTCGAAGCGTTCTTCTGATAGTACATTTTCACTCTCCGATTTGAGATCCTTTCCGTAGATAATCGCATCGACTGGTTCCTCGGAAGATTTCAGATTTCCACAGCCAGGGACCCTCCCAATGCGTTTAAACCCGAGTGAATCCCAGATCCTTGTCGATGCAGTATTACTCTCATACACTAGATTGAAGACAGAATATGAATAACCCTAGTTGAGGTTAATTCATCGTGTCAGCGATAATACGTAAGAACTGAAAAAGATCTGGACTTACCAATTGAGGCGCCCAATCCAGGTAGCATTGACCCATCGACTTTCCAACCCCCTTGTTTCGAGCGGCATGTGTAACCAGGAACCCACCATTGCAAACATGGCTACTTCTACCTGGATAATTGGGTTTCACATAGAAACTTCCGAGGCAAAGTTTGCTCCAATCGGCACCTCCACGCTCCATGTCGTTAACAGCCTCGATCCCCCCGATATCACCCAGAACCATGACCGCACCAAAATTTCCAAACCAATAAGGTCCAAACGTCTCAAGAGGAAGGGTATTGATCATGGGATAAGTGTCCCCGCCCTCGATTTCCCTGTTAAGACTTTCGCCCAGGTAGGCGAGAAGGCGCTTCGGAACAGCATCCGGAGAAAAGAATGGAATCAAAGTCGCAATCGTGACCCGATCTCTTAAAGTCACCGGTCTTGGGAATATCGACGATGGTATCTGTGGATTATCTGCAGTTGGGTACGGACCCTGGCCGGATGCACGATAAATCACGCCAGACTCTGGGTCCTCCAATAGCGCCGGCATCGTGAACCGCCCAGCCCACCGGATATCTCCTCAGCACCCGCGCAGTTTTGGAATTGTCGCTTCGATGGTCGATACTGATTAATGGTGTTTGATTCGGATGTGAATGGAATAAGGAAAAAAAGTTGAATTGTCGTCGTAAGAAACGGGCGAAGTGATTTCACCTTGGCAGTTGAGCAATGACCGATTGGCTGTGAGGGAACTACGTTGATCCGTTCCGAAAATCATTCTAAATTTATGATTGGAAGTTGCAATTCTCACATTCTTGTATGTATTAATTATTCTTAATATATAACGTATAGTACCTCTATCCATATCGTATTTGATTTCGTATCTCGTAATGCGTGAACCCTGACTTCTCAGAGTTCATATGCCATATTTGCGAGTGTTCAAGTTGCTTTGACTCGGTGGATTGGCTTTGTCCACTTGTTTGATTTGACACTGGGATCTTGTTCAGATTGGCAGTCGCCTGCCAAAATTGTACGGCTGGTATTGACTGTGGTCGTTTTTGAATGTGAATAGTAATCTGACCTATCGGCCGAGAATAGCATTCAAGATCCAAATTGAGGGAGACACACTGGTGTATGATGGGCCAAGTCTCCCAGAGGAGAGTGTGTTGGTCTTGAAGGAGAATTGCTTCGGCCGTATCAATCCTTGTCCGAGAGGTAGACATCAGATCGCTATCATCTATGACAATCTGTGAGTAAACCGATAAGCCGAACTTTGTATGCTCCTTAGCTGTGCGTGTTGGCAGTGCCAGTAGTACTCTGCTATCATTTGCCCCGAGACTGTGTAGGTTGGCAATAATACTGCAGTGATGCAGGCTGCCTGTAACTCGAGGTGTTTCGGCAACTGGAACAAAGTTGGGTTTGAGAATGCATAATAGCTTTATAATTTTTTCTCATACTCTTTCATACTCCACCGCTTGCTACCACTCATATGAGCAGGTACACCAACATACATGGGTGACGGATCCTTATCATCAAGTTGCGGCAGTGCAGATAGCTCTGCAGGCTCAGAGTAGGGAGAAACACTGCTTCCAGGCATTTCATAGGATCTGCCACTCGTAGACTCGGCGGGACTGATGGTTTCAGCCGTAGTCATTGAGTACGGGTGCATTTTGCCAACAGACATTTCAGTCGGTAATCGATTCGAACCTGTAAGCTCATACGGACGACCAGCTCGGAAGGCGTCCTTTTCCATGGGGGGCGGACTTTCAGCCAGGTCTGGCCCAGCACCACGTCTTCGCGTATATCGTTGACCAAGTAGAAAACCGCCAACGACAAGAGCGGTCACACCGAGAATAACCCCAATGGCAATACCAGCTTTGCTTCCTGCAGAAAGGCCTCCACCAGATCCATCACTTTGAGATATAGAGACTGTTCCAGAGGTCGCAGATGCAGGTTCGGTGGTGGATGTGCTCGAACCTCCAGAAACCAAGTCGGTGCTATAGCTTGTAGCAGAAGGGATCTCGGTCGTGGACGCTAGGCTAGTCGCTCCAACGATTGTCGAAAGAAGGGCATCAGTAATTGATGATGCTGTACCAGTGCCAACGGGAGGAACATCTGTCTATAATAGATAGGTCAGTAAGACCAATTGAGTAGTCATCCTTCAGTCAAACTTACTGTAGACTCGGTGGTTCCTGGTTCGAGAATGGTGGTAAAGCCAATGGTGCTTTGTATAACTTGGGTTGTGGTGACGGAGATTGTCGATAGTAGAGTGCTCGTAATTGTTTGAATAATTACTGGTCGCGCGTTGGCATCCCCTGTCGAAGTCGACAGAAGGGTCGTTGTCTGTCCTGATATTATGCTGGTGATGGTCGCTATCGAGAGGGCAGCAGGCTCCGTCGATGACGTCGTGATAACTGAGTAGACAGTCTGCACTGAAGGAATCACAGAGGTGACGGTTACGGCCGACACAATAGGTTGAGTTGCGACGGGCACAGACGACTGCGCGCTGCATAGTAAAAGAATGGAAAGCAAAGCCCAAAGGACTCTGCAGCTATTGATGGCACCCATGGCACGAGTGGTGAAGGCGGCTGCAGTCGCGCAATGTTTGGTGAAGCGAAATCGGTATACACAGTGCAGCGGAGGAGAGAAGGAGAGGAGAAGCTGCACGAGAACCTACCGTATTTTACTCGGTAGCATGGCATATCGCCTTTGCAGTAAAGAGGATAAGATTGTATGGAAAGAGAGCCCGGATTCAGGACGGCAGTGGATGCGGTGCCTCGTAGATGAGGCGATGCCATAGGCTCACAGCTGAGAACATGTTCCTTCCGAACTTCCTAGCGAGAGGGCGTTGGGGTTGGCATCAAGAATGAGGGAGATTTTCATGATGACAGGTTCGCTAAACCGATGGAAAATGGAAGTGGCTCAAAATGGTTCAAATGGTCTCAGAAGTAGATGACCTGGGGTGGATGATAATTGGTCAGCCTTGGACGCCATTCCTCCTGTTCTGGAACACACGGAAATTGCATCGGTTGATAAGACCCTTTTACGGATATTTGGATACCTATTATTATTTTTTGGGGCCCAAAATCCAGCAGCCACTGCTCAAGCAGCATAGTAGGATTTTAATTTGGGCTACACAACAGGAGGTACTCATATCGTGCGGGTTATCGATGCGTTCCAATGATGCTGCTTGGTGCATAGGTCAAAACGATGGATGATTGTGCCGGGTCAACACTGCGACGTGAATGCCCGGATCATTATGAACGTCGGCGTGATTACCTATGTAGGTCACAGCTACAGGTACGTAGCGCCTGTAAACCTGACCTTGGGAGATACTTTCGTAGTAACAATTCTGGAGGGCCCATTTCGAGTTGTCCAGTTCAGGTCCGTTGTGCAGGGTCGGTCTTTTGAATCCCGACAAACCTCGACGCGTTGGGAGACGCGTCATCGTCACGTGCATTCCCATTAAGCCGGCACAGCCACGCCAACGTTTAGTGGCAATCTCGTCAATGGTGCGTGCACTGTCTGAAAAACGGCAACATCGAGAGAGTGCTGTTTCGAATCCTTCTGAGATGCCTGTGATTTCAGTCGTTGAGAGATGCTCCGGTTAGATGCTCCGGTTAGATGATCTTGATAGTGGCGATCATTCAGGTTCGTAGCTCAACGATGGGGCTTGTATGGAAGAGGAGGCGATTATCCTTGTGATATCCATGCTTCACTTGCCCAGCTGCACGCTTTCGAGGGTTTTGTTGACAATTGGTAGAAGTTCGGCCATTTGATTGGAGTCTCTCAGCACCGCAGTCACATCGTCCCTACGGCCTGCTAGATCTTCTCGGACCGTGTCATATGCTTGCTCCTTTTCCACATACTCTCGAATGATCTCTTTCCTCCCAAAATCAATGTATATCCTGGTGTCTCGAAGTCGCAGAAGGACATTGTCCAACCTCATGAAAAAGCGACACAATAAGAGCAAGCGTGCTGGCATGACGCGAATCTTGCATGAAATCATTGCGATGCCATTATCAGCGAGTTCGTCTTCGTAGAGGATAACATCATCGAAGAACAAGATGGGATCTGGTTTCTTCAAAAGCTCTAGAGGAATAGGATCTGAGGAAGTGGTGAATTCGGGAGAGCCAGGGGCGAGATCACCTTTGTAGTCAGTGGTGTACGACCAGTCAAATGGTTTGATGACCTCTTTGATATCATGAGTGTCTTCCCGACTCTGATGCCATTCTTTGGAATATGCCACTTTCAATCTCTTCTCACCCGTCTTATCCACACGATCTAGAGCGCCAAAGGCATCAAATTTGATCCCCCAATTGGAAGCAGGATGTTCAATGGCTACCAAATTGTCGCCGAAGATCATTTCTGGCGGGGCAATCCCGAGCTTGGAAGTCATCTCCTCGATGGGCCCGGCTTTTAGAATGGGGAGTTTTTGCGTCGTCACACGGAAACCTTCCACCGAGAAGACTCGAGGTGCGTGAGCAGAAGGAGCGGGAAAGCTGGTGTCGAGATTGTCGCTAGTACGAGATGCATGGCCGTTAGTTGCCATGGTGGGTGAAGTGCTCACTCAATGTTTGGGTGGGTAGTGAAGGACAGAACCACGAGTTGAGCTGAGTTAGGGACAATCCTGTGGTAAGAGCAACTGTTTCAAGTCCAATAGTCGTTTCGTACAGTGTCGGACGAGGTTGACATGAAGGTGAGAAGGGATCATGTAGAATCATTCAAACAAGAGGAACTTCGCAGGACATCCGATTAGATAATGCGGGGGATGCTTCAGAAAGCAGGTGCGCTCCCAGGCAGTTCGAATTGGGGAAAGAACGATCGGTTGATCGGTTGCCCGGCCGACAGCACTTTATTGTGGCAGCCACTCACAACGCCTACACCTTCCACTTCATCATGACTTGAACTTCAATTTGAATTACACATTTTGAGTCAATACATTGATCTTCGACATCGACAATAGTTCATCACCCTCGGTCGCCATCATCCTCCGTCGCTTCTCCGCCCATGGCTTCTAAAACTCTTGAGGCTCGCTTTGAGCACCTCTCTGTCAACGACGAAAACGATGCACCTCCCTCCACGCTTCTGAAATCAAAGGTAAGTCGCCTTGCAATTCACTACAGTCATCGCAATTTACTCACATTGCCCTCAAAGGCTGCAAACCAGGGAACGATAGCGACTCTCCCCTCCAACCAGTCCCGCGCGAATCTCGTCAAGTACGCTCTGCAAGCCTCGAATGAATCTAGACAGAATGCCGGCCAAGTTATCACAACAACCACCATTTCAACTGTGCCGACCCTCCCTCCATCACCTCTTAGAAAGCCTGCACAATTCTCTCGTACATCAGATGAAAGCGATGACTCCCAACAACGGCACTCGAGTTCCACCAACTTCTTCGACCAGCCACAAGCCCCCAAAAACTTCCATCTAGGCATGTTCGAGATTGGAAAGCCCTTGGGCAAAGGGAAATTTGGCCGTGTCTATCTTGCCAGAGAAAGATCTTCGGGCTTTGTTTGTGCTCTGAAGGTGCTTCACAAATCTGAACTACAGCAAGGAAAAGTCGAGAAGCAAGTTCGTCGCGAGATCGAAATTCAGTCAAACTTGAGGCATCCCAATATCTTGAGACTTTTCGGTCATTTCCATGATAGTAAGCGTGTCTTTTTAATCCTCGAGTTTGCCGGAAAAGGAGAGCTATACAAACATCTTCGAAAGGAGAATCGTTTCCCCGAATGGAAAGCCGCCCAATATATCGCCCAAATGGCTGCTGCTCTCAAATACCTACACAAGAAGCACGTTATGCATCGTGATATCAAGCCTGAAAACATTCTCGTCGGAATTCACGGCGAGATCAAGATCTCGGACTTCGGCTGGTCTGTACATGCTCCTAACAACCGCCGGAAAACCATGTGTGGTACACTGGATTACCTTCCCCCTGAGATGCTCAAGCCGGGTACCTCAGACAACTTTTACACTGAGAAGGTGGACCTTTGGAGTTTGGGTGTTCTCACATATGAGTTCTTAGTTGGAGAGGCACCATTCGAAGACACTCCTGTCATGACTCAGAGAAGAATAGCCAGGGGAGAAATGACGGTCCCCAGTTTTGTCAGCTCAGAAGCCAAGGACCTGATACATAGAGTATGTTTAATTCCTTCTTTTGCTTCAGGCCGACGCTAACTATTTCTCAGTTGTTGACTCTCGACCCCGAGAAGAGAATTCCTTTGGATGATGTTATGCGTCACCCTTGGATTATCAAGCACTGCATAACGAAAGGGGGTGAACGACGACCATCGGGGAATAAGGATACGAATCCAGAAAAATCATGATCGAGAGATTTACAGCGAGTAACGAATTTCCTTCCTTCTACTATCACTATTGATTGAGCAATCATTTGATTGAATTGGCGTAATTCTCGACGCCGGTCCCCATTTGGTGCAACAGGTAGATAGCTCTTTAAGATCCGATAGATGACGCCATGCGGTATTGGACAGGCAATATTAGTGAACGGCCACAATTCGGGCTTCCTCAGCCAGTGCTAGGCTTTAATGGTACCATGATTCAACCATTCATATGATATTTGCTCGTTTCTCGCCATCATACAGTATGGTCCTTTATAGAGAACGTGGGATATCATAGCGACTCGCGGAATATTTTATTGTAGCACAGTGAACAAGCAACAAATACCAATCAATGAGTTTCTGGACTCATTCTCGGTTATTCTTGCTGCTTGCTAATTGAACTAGAAATATCGGTCAATCATATCCATTAATTTCTCGACACTCCTGAGCTAAAGTTCCAGCGCAGCATCAACGTGCTCCTGATGAACAACCTCAACACCAACATAGTCGACAATCGAGGAAACATGCTTGCCATCTCTCTTGGTCGGCGACATACTGCTCCGCATCGTCCAGTAAGGGAGCAGGCAGGCAGGGTGGCAACAGAGAAGGGATGAGTGTACAAAATCATAGAATTTCCTTCGAATCATATCCGTACTGGCTTCACATATCATCGTATCATAGTCTGCTATGTGCTATGCTCATGCAGCGGGAGGACTTATTCTTACTGAAAGACGCCCAACAAATCGAGTCCATAGGTCTTTTTTATGAACCCGTCAATCCATCCACGAATCCTAAACCATTTGAAACCATCTTGGTATACAGATCCCTGGACGTCGTCAGGTCAGGTAATCGGTCTATCTAAGCTCCCTCGCTGCAGGTAACTCGGCATAGGTACGGGGTGCACCTGGTGTCGAACTGAGCTCGGACCTCGACGTCGGAACCGACATTGAGGTCTGAGAGGTCAGCTCGTATCGCGATGGAGGAGGCGGCGGCGAGCCCACGGGTGAGACTGGGCTGGTGGCATGGTAATTGACGTGCGAATGGGCCTGGCCCGTCGGTCCACCGGCTCCGTATCCTGGATTTGGACGGCCGTCAAAGGGCTTCGGCACCGAGCCAGGATGTGGGTAAGGTGGAGGAACAAATGAGGGTGGTGGCATGGGGGGAGGGGCTCCATAGTGATAGGACCCTTGTGGTGGACGGTAGCTGGCTTGGTGTGCCCTTCGACGACGACGCATGCACCACCAGATTCCGGAACCAATCACTGCACATATGATTGCAAATCCTCCTACAGCGATGCCAATGATGGTGTTCCGCGAAAGGGTCCCTTCTGTTATACTTTGAACAACGCTTGATGTCGTTGATGTCGGCGACGCTGACGTGGTCCCAGTGCTTCCTCTTGACGCAGTTGATTGAGTCTGCGCTGATGTAGTGATACCCGCACTAGCAGAGGCCGATGCGCCTGAGGACAAGGCATTGTCAAGCAGTGTATTCCATACGCGTGCAGGGACTTGGCCATTGGGATTCGTGCTAACCGCGAGTGTAGCGATGACTGAGTCTTCGCAAGTATAGTAGATTGCAGATAGATCGGGGAAGGTGTGTGGAACACAATAGGGCCAACCCTGATTTGTGCTATAGAGAATTAGTGGACTTTTGTAAAAGCTGAGTGAAGACTGGCATACCATTTCACTGTGTTGGGATCCATTATGCAACCTTGTGGACATAAAGAGGAGGTGTAAAAGCCAACGAAATCGATACAGATCTGCTGCCATTCGCACTTCGCCTCGAGGCCGCCAGGACAACATCCAATTGCTCCGCTGGAAACAGCACAATTTCCGTAATTCTCACAAGTGACAAGGGCGCCTGAAGAAGAGATAAACATAGGGTGATGAGCTTGCAGAGTGAAGATACTCACCAGCTCGGCCGTCAATGTAGCCACAAGTGTAATCTGGAGCCATCAGAATCTGTCCAGAGTCTCGTCGGAGGAGGTCATGGTGGAGAGATGGTTTCGCTGTGGTCCCGGGAGCACCGATGAGGGGGTCCATGAAAGATTGATGTGCGTGGTGAGACGCGCCATCAAATGCCATAGTGACCGTAAAGATAGCCAACAGAAGCGATAGTATCAGAGTGTCCGAAATCATGGCTGGGTATGCAAAAGTTGAAGAACGAGTATGCACTGTTCAATACTCGACTAACTGGGTGACTGGCTTCGCCTGGGCCCGATGAGGATCTTAAGCTGCTGATGCACAGCACAGTATCTTGTCGGGCGTACATGCTGTCTTCGTATCGGAGCTGCTTTCGCCTCGTGTTTGTCCTCGCAACACGAGCTGCTGGCCTCAAGGCGTCTTCACCCAGACATTATTGTCGGAGATCTTGTCACCCTGGAAGCCACCAACCGTGAACCCTGTTCTCATGTTTGTAGATCATCCGGATTGCACTCCTTCCTTGCATATCATACAAATCACTGTGACCTGTAGATATATCAAGTATTGTATATGGGTCTCCCCGAGGGATAGTAAACCCGGCAAAGTGGCTAGGAGTAGATGAGTTGGCTTGCACGAGTGTCCAAGCTCTTGCCAACGGATCTGCTTGGGAAGAGATTGGCTAATCAACCTTCATGGGCTGATATCGGGTCTTGGTTTGACCTTGGCATCATTGGCATCGCGCAGACTGTACCAGGCCTGAGTAGGTTTCTATGGCACCAAAGCTTATGGGGTCCAAAAGCCAAAGAACCCTCGTATCTGCAAGAGCTGTTGTAAGAGAGAATGCTGTACCACTCACAACCATTCCATCTTCGGTCCAAAACTTCAGGATTGACACAGCCAAGATTATTTTAAGCGTCAATATGGTGGCATGTTCCCATCATACTCGTAAATGAACCAACATCAATGAGTTCTTTGGTGAGAAATGCCGGGATAGTCCAGATGCCTCAAGACCTTTCATAGAAAATGGAGCTGTTAGGGTTCAAACCACGTTATGATCATGGCGGTTACCCACTGACCAAATGTCAGGTAGCTCGTTCGAATGACGCCATAGTAGACTGCTTCCGCTAAGTATTCACCAGACGATTACCTTCTTCAATTGCTGCTTGAGAGTCTACACAGCAACAACCAAGTGTGAAGGGTCAAGATCCAGTTCGTTCATGTCATTTTATGGGAAGTCTCAATCGAGAGGATCACAATGGCTTTATCTGCTGCACGAAGACATTCGGAAGCGTGACCCGATATAGAGTTATTCCACAGACGTAGAATTGCCTCTTTAGGTAGAAATCGATATCGAACGACGCAATAAGTAATCGGTGGCGCCCAGTGCAGGGAAGCATTTTATATTGATATGATATTTCACGAGTCTGTTTCTCGCTGAAGAGAAACAACCTTGTTCCGTGATATTGGGACTTCAGAGTAAGCTTTGGTCTCTTCTGATTATTGCTGCTAGGAGAATTTTCCCTATCAATATCGTTCCCAGAATATCTCTTGCCGGAGCAAAATCGCCGAGGCGGGCTTCTCCATCATCGGATTTATATCTCTGACTTATTTCGCACTTGCGTCAGGATTGTTTTTTAAATTTGAGAATCAAAGCTGGAATCTTTGAGTCCTCATCAGTCATCCATCGAACTTGTTTCCGAACCCGTCGAGCATAATGGGGGACGCAGGTGGTAGTGAAAGGGGCATCCGGATTGCCATTGATGTGAGTTTATCCACTGTTCAGCCGTTGAATTTCATTTCTGTTCTGCTTAATCAAACAACTCGTGTTCAAATGCCTCATTCATGAGTGGAGAGGAGAGGATCAACGAGTCTCTAACACAGACATTAAATAGCGAGGAGGGACCTTCACTGATTGCGTCGGAAACCCTGGTACGGGACGCATGGAGGATGATATTATCATCAAGCTGCTCTCAGAAGACCCCTCGAATTATGCGGATGCCCCGCTGGAAGGTATCCGGCGCCTGATGTCCAAGTTCACTGGGCGAGAGATCCCGCGCAGCGAGGCACTTGATACGAGCAAGATCGAGAGTATTCGGATGGGCACGACGGTGGCGACGAACGCATTGCTGGAGCGCAAAGGTGAGAAGATGGCGCTTGTCGTCACCGCCGGATTCAAGGATTGTCTCGTGATCGGAAATCAAACGCGGCCCAAGATTTTTGACCTCGCTATCCGAAGATCGGATGTGTTATATCAGAAGGTCATTGAGATTGATGAACGTGTCACGCTCGAGGATTATGCCGAGGATCCAGAGCGAAACAAGACCCAGGTGGAGGCTAGCCATGAAGATTACAAGAGCAACGAGCTAGTGCGTGGTCTTTCGGGTGAGGTAGTCAGGATCTTGAAACGTCCAGTGGAGGACAAAGTCAAAGAGCAGTTGAAAAGTCTTTATGATGAGGGGTTCAGGAGTGTTGCTGTTTGTCTTGTCCATGGCTACACATTCCCGGAGCATGAAGCATTGGTTGGTAGACTGGCAGAAGAGATCGGCTTTGAGCACGTAAGCTTAAGTCATGTGCTCATGCCCATGATCAAGCTCGTTCCCCGCGCGACCTCAGCTTGCGCAGATGCGTATCTTACGCCGACCATCAAGAAATACATCTCAGGATTTCAGGCTGGATTCGAGGGCGGACTCGGATCAGAGAGTGTGAAAGAACAGGGAGGTGACAAGAAAGCTGCTCGTTGTGAATTTATGCAATCTGATGGCGGCTTGGTCGATGTCGACAAATTCTCAGGTCTGCGTGCCATTCTCTCAGGTCCAGCTGGGGGTGTCGTCGGATATGCTTTGACATCCTACGATCCGGAGACAAAGACGCCTGTGATTGGGTTCGACATGGGTGGTACGAGTACAGATGTCAGCAGATATGGCTCCGGTCGATATGAGCACGTGTTCGAGACTACGACAGCGGGAGTTACAATCCAGTCGCCCCAATTAGATATCAATACAGTCGCGGCTGGTGGTGGATCTCGACTGTTCTTCAGGAATGGCATGTTCGTGGTTGGACCTGAGTCCGCAGGCGCTCATCCCGGACCAGCATGTTATCGCAAAGGGGGACCTTTGACCGTGACGGACGCAAATCTTGTGCTTGGAAGGCTTCTACCCGACTTCTTCCCCAAGATTTTTGGTAAAAATGAAGATGAGGGTCTTGATCTGGATGTGAGCACGAAGCTCTTTGAGGAACTTACCCAGGAAATCAACCGCAAAACGGATAAAAACATGTCTACGGATGAGGTCGCCTATGGTTTCATCAAGATCGCAAATGAGACCATGACTCGTCCAATTCGCTCTCTGACAGAAGCAAAAGGCCACGATAGTAGCCTCCACAGATTAGCAACCTTCGGAGGTGCTGGGGGTCAACATGCAGTCGCAATTGCTCAGTCACTCGGCATCCGCCAGATCTTGATTCACCGATATTCTTCAGTTCTTTCTGCTTATGGTATGGCCCTAGCAGACGTCGTGGACGAGTCGCAGGTTCCGGAATCCCACGTGTGGGATCTCTCGGGTGGGAAACGTGACGGCCTGCACTCGAAGCTAGAGGAGTTGAAGCAACGATCACGCAAACGCCTTCAAGAGCAAGGCTTTGACAATGACTCTATTGAGTACGAAGAGTACTTGAACATGCGCTACCGCGGTACCGAATCTGCACTAATGGTTATCAAGCCGTCAGCAGAGGAGTCTAAGCATCTGTATGAAGGCGATGAATTCGCTTTCGGTAAGGCCTTCATCCGGCAACACGAACAGGAGTTCGGCTTTACGCTGCCGAACCGGGATATCATTGTTGATGATGTACGGGTACGAGGTATTGGTAAAGCCTTCCGTGGTATGTCAAAAACACCAGACCAGCAATTAAAGGAGATCAAGCCTATACAGGTTGCTAAGGACAAGGCCTATAAGACCTCAGAGGTGTATTTTGAGGGCGGACGCCAAGAGACCAAAATATATAAGTTGGAAGACCTTGAAGTAGGTACGAAAATCTCCGGCCCAGCGATCATCGCGGATGGTACCCAGACTATTGTGGTCACACCAGATGCAACGGCGTTGGTCATTGAGACACATGTGGTCATTAACATTGGCGACGAAGGTGTTGCGAAGAAAGCCGACACGAAGGAGGTGGATCCCATCTTGCTCTCGATATTTGGTCACAGGTTCATGGCGATTGCAGAACAAATGGGTCGGGCGCTACAAAAGACATCAGTGAGCACCAATGTGAAGGAGCGATTAGATTTCAGCTGTGCTTTGTTCGACAGCAAGGGTGACCTCGTCGCCAATGCTCCGCATCTGCCAGTCCACCTGGGGTCCATGTCCACTTGCGTTAGGACCCAGGCCAGAATATGGCAAGGAAAACTGGAGAAAGGCGATGTGATAGTTTCAAATCACCCAGAGTATGGTGGAACTCACTTGCCTGATATCACCGTGGTCACGCCGGCTTTTTCTTCAAGCGGGGAAATCGTTTTCTATGTGGCTAGTCGCGCACACCACGCGGATATCGGAGGTATCCTTCCAGGTTCAATGCCGCCTCATTCGAGAGAGTTGTACCAGGAGGGGGCGGTGATCAAGTCTGAGAAATTGGTGTCCAAAGGTAACTTTGACGAAGAACGCATCACAAAGATACTTTACGAAGACCCAGCGGAATATCCAGAGTGCAGTGGGACACGCAATCTTGCAGATAACATCAACGATCTGAAAGCCCAGATCGCGGCAAATCAGAAAGGAATCAACCTTATCAGCACTCTTATACAAGACTACGGAGAAGATGTTGTGCAATTCTACATGGTGGGCATTCAAGATAACGCAGAAAGAAGCGTGCGAGACCTATTGAAGAAAGTCAACAAGAAATTTGAAGGCAAGCATTTGGAGGCCATCGATTACATGGACGATGGATCTCCTATCTGTCTACGAGTGACTATTGATGCCGAAAAGGGAGAAGCCGTATTTGACTTCGAAGGCACAGGGCCTGAAGTGTATGGCAACATCAACGCACCTGAGGCCGTGACATACTCTATGATCCTTTACTGCCTTCGCTGTCTGATCGACGAGGATATCCCACTGAACCAAGGCTGTTTGAAGCCCATCGATGTGCGCATTCCACCTGGAAGTCTACTAAGTCCAAGTGAAACAGCAGCAGTGGTCGGTGGAAATGTACTGACCAGTCAACGTGTGACCGATGTGGTCTTCAAATGTTTCGAGGCTTGTGCTGCAAGTCAAGGAGATTGCAACAACCTCACCTTTGGATTTGGAGGCAACCTTAAAGGAGTCGCAAACCCACAAAAGGGCAGCCTTGGGTATTACGAGACTATCTGTGGTGGCTCAGGAGCTGGACCGAGCTGGAATGGCACCTCAGGCGTTCAAGTCCACAGCACTAACACAAAATCAACGGACATCGAGGTGTTTGAAAGGAGATATCCTGTCATTCTGCGCCAGTTTGGCATTCGGAAAGGCAGCGGCGGACTAGGAGCGAACAAAGGAGGCGATGGCGTTATTCGAGATATTGAGTTTCGAGTTCCGATGCAAGTCAGCATCTTGAGCGAACGCCGGACCTACAGGCCTTATGGCCTGCACGGCGGTGGTGATGCACAATGCGGTAAGAATATCTGGGTCAGGAAAATTAAGAAAGCCAAGAAAAAGGGCCTGGGTGGTGAGAATGAAGGAAAACAACGAGAGATTGGGGAAGGAGAGGAGTTTGAAGAGAAATATATCAGGTATGTCTTCGCGTTGTTTCTGATATCCGCGAGAGTTCGCCCGATTATCGGGGGCCCTCAACTCCTGCACTCATTGTACACTCCGAAGAAGTTGGCTGACGACCTGTAGTCTCGGAGGGAAAAACACTGCAGCCATGAGTCCTGGGGAGAGAATTATTGTCCTGACTCCTGGAGGTGGTGGGTATGGAAGACCCGGAGAGCAAGGCAAGATCACGGTCCGAGAAGATCCTGAGAAGCATTGGAAAAAGGGCAGCTTGGGATCTCGACTGGCGGAGTGGGAGAGCAGCTCTTGAAAATTTTGGGATCCTTAGACGGTTAGGAGGTGATGCTAAGCAGATACAGGACTGTACTCGGTCGACAGAGTACTTGTTAGGTACAAGGAGGCCCCCCAGTATAAGTCGCGATATTCTTTGGAATTCTCTACGGATTTCACCAAGCACACAGGCTCTCGAGGGCTGGGCAAATGTTGCTCGTTATTCACTGGAGGATTTCAAGTGGTTTGTTGCAACTTTTCTTCACCATCACCATCACCATCACCGTATCAAGGATGGTGACAAACAAGGACCGCCGTGGTTGGGAAATGCTATGGCAACGAGGTGTCTCCAAGTGTTTCCTGTAGATAGCTCACTATACTACAAGTTATGGATCAGGAAGGACTCTTAGAACGCTGTTCCACTTAGTATTGGGCAGAAAAATTGTTATTTACTATCTTTTTGTCTCGGTGCAGACGCGATACTTGCTTTCTAGATTACTTTTGACGAAACCGGACCGAGGAGGAGTCAAATATCTAAATAGAAGCCCTTTTCTCCAATACCAACGTATATAAGGTCGTCGTCGTCGTCATCTTCTTCTTCTTCTTCTTCTTCTTCTTCTTCTTCTTCTTCTTCTTCTTCTTCTTCTTCTTGCGATTGCTTCGCGCGGTTGCCCCTCGTTGCCATATTGCCCACGAGCCATCCGATACCCATATGATTGAATTTGAGAATTTGGCGGCGATGCTATTCACACTGATAGAAAATTCTGTTGATGTTGTCTTTGTTGATGTCCTTTTGGTGTGATACGGATATTGCTCTCCTCCACAATACTCCAGATTTCAAAGAAGTCTCCAGATTTCTTTGTGAGGCTTCTTTACTTTAACGCCTGACGTGCAGCGATGACAACTTTGATTTGCGCTCCTTCTTTCTCTGCCTTTGCGGACTTCACCATATCAGCGAGTCGCTTGGCGGGCTTCGCGTTGAACACTTGACCAAAGAAGAGCTCCGCGAACAGGGTAGCTGTGGTCTCGGTGAAGACGGCATTGTTTCTATTGACAAGGGAATTAATGACCTCGGACCGCATATCAGCGAGTTCATCATTGGTGACCTCAATAGAGAGAGCCAGAAGGGAAATTCATCGTTGTAGCTGACCTCCCTTTTCAATTTCATGTTGTGCAAAAACCACCCGTACTCAAATGGAAGCCTTTTTCTTGGTGTCCTGATGGTATTTCTGTTTTTGTTGTAAGGGGAAATCGCAAAGAATAGACGTGGTGTAAACTCGCGAGTGGACCAGCCACAGAGTGAAAATCAAAACTCGAGATGTGAGCACAATCCAATGTCGCTGTGTAACAGGTGTGCATAGAGTGCTGGGAAGTCCCTCCCGCAGCCTCAAATATCACCGAAACCCGCCCAAGTTTCCATATCAATATCTGGAATGTCTCCAAATCCGTCGATCTTATTCACCTCTAGAGGCGTGCCCATTTGATTGGCAAGAATTTGTTCGACCAGATCAAATCCGTTAGTCGCTTCAGATCATGATCCACAGGAAGCCTAGGGTCATCGGCTTGGATGAGACTCCCCACTTGACCGATTCTCCTAGCTCGGGTTATAGTTCACCGTCGATGTCCGTGGTAGTTTGAATTTCAGTCCTGAATACATTTCTACTCAGAAATGCCAGGAGATCTGGAACTGCTTTGTTTATATTTGAAAAGTACTGACGGTCGTTGAACGAGCCCTTAGTAGAAGACGTGACAAGTTCCACTGTCTCAGTCTGATCGACGCGGTGGATGCGTGCGCCAGATTGCTCACCAATCGATTTCGAAGGTGGTGGGTCCAAGAATGCCCCCCAATGGCAGCTGCGTTGTAGATTGAGTCCACACGAAGACACTGCGTAGGAACCAATACGCACCATTGGCTCTTTTCCGCTATTGAACCTGGCTTATAGGTTGCTTTTTTCCGTCGCATTTAGATGCGCGCCGTAGATAGTTCAGGGGATTGAGGGCTTGGAGTATTGCATATAGGAGCACTTGCCGGGCAGGGAGAGAAGTAAAGATGACCCATTTTTTCTGGTCGCTCAGGACAAATTGTCGGATGAATTTCATAAGAGCGCGTATCTTTGGAGCACCGAAGTATACCAACTTGCCTCCACATCATCCCCATCAGGAACTTTGAGTGTCTTGTTAACAGCACAATACCACCCAAGCATAGTACTAAGCAGATTGTTTTTCTTAAGGAGTTTGCCTGTCTCGAATGCCTTTGACTTTTTCTCGATATGGTAAATCAATGTGAAGAGTAGGAGAAGCATGCGGTAGTGTCTCCAACTCCAGCTAGGCCGGTCGGTCTTGGGATCATGCCGGGATTTTCTTTTGGTATGAATGTCAGCGAGTCCATGGTAAAATTCATGCTCGGCCTTTGTGAATTCGCAGATTGCAGGGCGGTGAACGAATATGACCTTATCATTGGGTTCATTGAGAAGCGTCCCGATCTTGTTGAGCTGATTGTTCGAAGATGGGGTGGTCAGACTCTTCCTGCGTACGTAGTGATCGAAACCACCCCAGATCCTCAGCTCCGAGTTCCACAGGGGCTGTGCTTGTACCCGCCGAATCCGTGGTCGATGTCGACAAAGATTTCCACTTCTTTGCATCGCTGTGTGTGAGTGCATTTGCTGCGCGCTTCGCCGCTCCTGAGCATATACCTCTATATATATTTCTCTCTCTAACCCTCTTGGCTACACTAGATAATGCCATTCCGTATACTTCATATCCCAGAGTGCACCAGATCAGGACATGCTGTTCATGTTTGACATGAGATATTTCTGGTAGTATACGCCATTGAGATCATGGACGGTGCCTTCTTAAATAAGGTAGATGGCGAGTGCATAGTGCTCGTGAATTTCCCATCTGCCCTTTTTGGGATCGCGCTTGTAGAACTTGCGCCTTTTCCGGGTCCCTTCTTCGTTGAGCACGCTTTCAGCCAGATTGAAACTCGTCTCACGTTTCCAGTCTCGGGACTTGCGGCAGTATCAGCAAGGGGCTTTGAGGCGTCGTTGTATAATTCATCGAAGTATGACATTTCCCACAATTATTCGGAGTATTAGCGATGCATTTAACAACGAGGCTGAAAGTATCGAGAAGAGTTTGAGGGACATTGCAGAAAGATCGAGAGAAAATATCAAAAGCGACGAGAAGATCGCCGACCGATACCTCGACGATTACCGAAGTATACTCGAGCGTGCAGATGCCTTACTCACATCATCCTATCATGAACTACAAGCTCGTGAAACGCCAGATATGCCTAGACCAAAGCGAGCGGAGCTCAGGAGAGATTTGAAGAAGATCAAGACTGCTGCTCGGAATATTTTGAGGCAACGACTGCTCCATACCACCGAAAAGAGTCGCATCAAGTACCATATGACTTCTAGGCGCAGCACTACGCCAGTTGGAGAAGCCCTTCTTCCATGCGATCACGCTCTCAATGGCCATCTGGATTTTGACAACGACCATTTGCAGGCTTGGGGAAATGTAAGGTTGACACAGCAAGCTGGTTGTCTGTCTTCGTTTCTTCTCGAGGTCGACGACCTGCATCTCAATGAACAGCCCGGTGGCAAGTTAACCAAAATGTGAGATCGGTTTATCTTGGATGTGCTATTAAACGAATGACGGGGACGTGTTGTGCGCTGTGCATAGATTACATCTGGAGGCCGTTCGCTCTCTATCTTTCGGTGGATGGCCTCCATCAAGAGTAAAGATGGATTCTTTGGCTGATGGTTATGAAAGACTTGTTGTAGAGTTGGGGGTTCGGACGTATTTTGAGCGAAGGTTGTGGCCATTCTTTCTGTCCCTGACTGTTTGCGCTTGGTTGAAGGTTCTGGAAGTGTAGCAATGCCATTGCTTCACACATCTCATCCGCTATCACTGGTTGCTGTTGATCGAGAGTCTCCACTTTAGGTCCTTTCCAATAGGCATTTTTTGATGTCCTGAAGCAAGTGGACCACTTCCTTGGCTGTGCTGATCTTGGCATCAAGGACTGGCCCTTGGAGACGCTATTGACAAGTTCAGTGGATTCTCAAACTTCCATGTTCTTGACACTCTCCTATTCGAATTTGTGGAAAATACATTCCGGACATGTGTAAGGATTTTCTTTTCAATGCTGTCGTTTACAAGCAATTACGGGAGTAGTTGTTAAGACTGTGATGGTGCACCGCCGCCCCAAAGATGCCCTGTCACCTATAGCCAGGTGTACATGGCGGGCTCCCAATCCCTAAGGTCTAAGAGAACCTTGAAACCATCCATTTACTCATTCCTTGTCTCATGGTAATCCCAAGAAGTCATTCGATGGGCGGCAGGCTCAAGCAAATGAAACCGACGGCAAAATCAAGCGGATGAGAGGAGATAAGTTGAGCGAAATAAGACAAGAGACCCATGGATCAAAGTCTGAGTCTTTTATGATAGTAAGGGTTTCCTCAAAGTATCACTCATCTTCGTCACTCGTTGCTTCGATGTTTGACTTCTTGAGTAGAGACTGGTCTTCGTCCTCATGGTCATCTTGGTCATCTTGGACGTCTGGTGTTTGTTGTTTGCCATATTTGGGCCGAGAAACATCTTCGCCCCTATCCTTCAAAGCATTTTCAATCTGAGGTAGAATGTCCATCAAGGCCGAATATTGTTCAAGACTCATTGAGATTCCCTGTGAGGCTTGTCAACAATGCTCCTCGAGCAAAGTGACTTGTTAGCACTCACCTTCTTGCCGGGTAGCCATTCATCATCCTTTTGGTAGTACTCACGGATACCAATCAATTGCCTGCCTTTAAAATCGGACAAAGTGACACGTCTAGCTTTCGAGATTTCCCAATATGGATTCCCGTCTGAGTCGACGAGAGGCTGAGAAGAAGGCTTGAACGAGGTTCCAGACGAAGCCTTTCCGCGTTTAGCAGGAGCGTCGTCAATGTCACTGTCGTCGTGAGTCTGGTTTGAGGACTTTCTCTTTTTGGACGGAAAAGGCATTCTCAAGATAGCCGTTGAGCGGCGGCAAGGTGGAAAAGTAGATTCAATCTTTGAGTAAAACCAAGATCGACGGTGATATTGGAGTGAGAGATCAAACGCGTCTCTGCAAAGACGCGCCTAAAGTGGAAAGAATATACCGCGGCAAGACACCCGTGAAACCCAAAACGTCATACTTCTAGAATCTTGGCACTATCACTCAAAGAGGTTAGCGCCAGATCATAATCCCCTCCTCGCTCGACTTGCCCAAATATTTTGCCTTGCAGTTCGCCTTCTGTCGTCAATCATTCACTTTATCAAACAGACTGCAATTACTCATTCCCTCCCACCTATCCAACACTCTACACCCACCTACAATTTTGTCATTCTCCTGAGTACTCTTGAATCGCCATAAAATCCATCATACACATCCACATATATCAAACATGATGTCTCGGAGAGCTCTTCTAAGCGTTCCGCGCATTATCACCACATCGGTCCAACCCTCCGTCCGCCCTTCACTCGCATCACCACTTTTAAGGCCTGCTGCCACACAACCATCACAACGAAGATCATATCATGAGAAGGTTTTGGACCACTATTCAAAACCTAGAAATGTCGGAAGCATGAATAAAAACGACTCCGACGTCGGAACCGGTTTGTCTCTCTATTATCCCCGAAGCCGAAGGCCGCGCACTCCACCGCTGACGACCCGATTGTTCCTTGACGATGAATACTGATTATCAATGTTGTATGTAGGTCTTGTCGGCGCCCCAGCCTGTGGTGATGTCATGAAGCTCCAGATCAAAGTCGACCCCAACAACCAGACCATCGCAGATGTGAAGTTCAAGACTTTCGGCTGCGGATCGGCAATTGCATCGTCATCGTATTTGACGGAATTGGTACGCGGCATGACTCTCGAGCAAGCCGGAAAGATCAAAAATACGCAGATAGCCAAGGAGCTCTGTCTCCCCCCGGTTAAGCTCCATTGCTCGATGCTTGCTGAGGATGCTATCAAGTCTGCCATCAAAGACTATACCCGCAAAAGTATGCAGTATCTTATCACAGGTGATGAGCAATTGACTAATTATCTTCCAGACCCTCGTGCTAAGGCAACTGATTTGGGATCTGCATCAACGATGCCAAAGATTGAAATCGAAAAGGTAACCACGACAGCAGGCGCAAGTGCAACAGTATAAACCCATGCGATTCCACAAACACCCAGGTGGCAAAACCAGCCCAAACTGTCTATACCTGTAACATTTCAACGTATTGAGCAAATGATGTCAATCGTTCCAACAAACAATCATTCTGTATTTTTCAAAGGTGCTCGAATCACGACTCATCTCCTATCAGGGTCCCGGAGTCCTCACATTTGAAATGCAACGGTCTTTCTGAACGGAGTGGTCGGGTACATGATCAAAAAGAAGCGGTGGAGGAGAACGGAACACGCAACTGACGGAGGGAATACGTTCAACCCACATCTCCATGGACCTTGCAGAGGGGAGGACAAGGGAGGAAAAGTGAATGTTATTGAAAACATGCTCTCGCTTATACCTTTATTCGTCTGACTTTCTCAGCACTGGAAAGTGTCGAGTTTGCTATTATGCAGTGTGGTTATTTTTCTTTTGGGAGGTTTTGGGGGAACTGGAATCTCACCCTATTCCCCCATGAAGTTGGTGTTTAGCTAGGTCTTTTCCTTCCTCGATAAATGAAATACGGAAAAACATTTGAAAAGTATTGGTACCGTGATCTCGACGTGATGCACTGCTGGCTGCTACTCTCGTCTATGGGGGATCGAGAGTCAAAAGTCTGACAGACTTCTTTCACACGAATATTGCATGCCCACGTTTATTGTATTTCCACGTTTATTGTATTTTGTCTTTGTTCTCTAAGTGCAAGGTCTGGAGGAGCAAATTCCCACTCCCCGCAAAGTCATAAAACGCCAGTCGCTTGCTGGGAATGCTTCAAGTTCGTGTTGGTCTTCATGACTCATCGACAAATCTACCCTGTTCGCCATGCGCTAGGTCATCTCTGACTGCCACGTCTCCATATCATTACACATTGGCTGTCAAGCGGAAGTCTCTGGCCAAATCTTCTGCACTGAGTCGGGCTCGGGTAATGCACGGATTACATCTTGGTTCTCGGTGAAAGATGCAAAGGGGATGTCGATGCAGACATGTGCGCACAGGTGACTGGAATGAAATGTCAACCGCTTATGCAGAGTCTGGAGAATTTCCATGCCCAGGCCCATGCCCGATTTCCCAAGATACATCATCATACGTGGGGAACTGGAATATGCTGGCAGGGTGCGGCTAGAACTCCTCCATCATGTCTTCATCCACATCATCAACTGTCGTTGTTCTTCCATTCCCACTTCCACTCACCTTCTTGTCATCATCTCTGGCCTTCTTCAACTTCTTAAGATATTCAATGTACTCCTTGGTAGTTTCCATGCGGTGCTCAGAGTCTTGGATGTGTTTCAGTAACAGCTGGAGGCGTAGAGTTTGGGTACTGAGCGCAGTATCGACTTCACTTTCATTCATGAGAGACACCGAAGGAGGCAGAAAGCGCAGAATTTGATCTCCATCATCAGAATTGACGACGACAGCGTGAAGAGCTCTCTCAGCGATCAGGGAATCAAGGTATGCCCGAGTCTCGGTCAGATCTTGTTCATCAGCGAGCATTTTGTTTGCCACTGCGACCAGTGGAAGAGCTGAAAATGTTCGTCCCAGACGAATGACTGTGAATTTTCTGAAGGCCTGGTAGACTTCGACCATGAGTCCGTAATTCCCATCTTCTTGCCACAAAGCGCTTCCCGCCTCAATCTCAGTCCGCAGCTTCTCGATGTCATTGCTCACAAAAGCTTCGACAATGCAATCATATGGTTTGGCGAGGGCTTTGAGATACTTCAAAACTCCCTGCGAGATGTTCTTTGGAGATTCTGGGATGGAGCCCTTCAGAATCAAACTAAGAAGTGTCCATTTCCGATATGCCTCGATTTGAAGCATGCTTACTGCATTTTGTGCCGTAGGCGTAGAAAGGACAATCTCCAAGAAGAACAAAGCGTCCTTGTAGCGTCTCACAGCCAGGTAAGACAGCGCACCTAGTAGATAATACTCAAGGAAAATTCGAACGGTGATGGGTTGAGTGAGACCTGTGGCTGGGTTGAGGTAGGTAGAGTTTTGATCTCCACTCGAACAGAGGTAACTTTTCGAGCGATTGTCGAGAACAGTAGGAATGTGATATATTGGTTGATCAAGAATGAGGATTGCTTCCGTATATGCCTCTGCCAGAAGACAGAGCCGAATGAAAGCTCGATGAGTGGAAGTCAATATTGAAGATGTGCTATCAAGCCGAAGAATGACTTGATGAAGTAGTTGAATTGCTGGAATGTAGTTTGAGGTTTGTTCCGCACCAAGGGTCACGATGTCGATGATACGTAGAAGCTGCGTACCACAATATCGCACCTGGATAAAATCGAAGTCGAGGAGGATTTGGGTGATGTATGGCCAAAGAGACCCTTCTGGTAGGACGCTCGATGGAAGTTGGCGAGGTGCGGCTTTTCCGCTCGCGGCGGAAGTATCGATGCTCACGGTCAGCAAGTAGAGGAATGTGATTGTGTGCGTGGAGGGTTGCAATGCCTATGAATAAGGTCAGCTTTTATTTTCATTGTTTTCTTCGTGTGCCATACATCAAGCTGATCTCTGGCATCGAAGTCTTGTGCGGAGAGTTTGCTCAACTTCGACAGCAAGTCCAACGCTTTCTGCTCGAATTGACCTTCATCTGCGAGAAGCAAAGCAGGAGTCAGAGCTCCGCTGTCCTCAAGGATCTTATCCATTGAGGCAGGTCGCGTGAGCACGCTCGAGGCTCGTCAATGGTTATGAGGCTGCCATGTAAATGGGTGAGTTCTGTAGGGTTACGAAACGATTCGGGATTTGAGATATTGGTGATGTGAGGGCGGTGAGCAGTGACGGATATCCTGTTTCAGGCCGGACCGAAACGGTACGGGGGATGAGAAGTTCTTGAAGCGTGAAGGAGATGTTTGTGGTGATGATATCAGAAAAGTGACAATTGTTTCAAGCTGGGCCTGCGTCGTCCAGCCTGATCGTGCCTGCCCGCACTTGACACGCCAGTCAAACGGTCTTCCCCAGTTTCTTGGCAATAGTCATGTGATTATCCCCTTTCCGCATCTTTCCCCCGAGTTTTTCACTGAGTTGCTTTAGCCTCCCATCAGGCTTCACTACGCACTGTCAAACACTTCAAGTTGGCACGGGATTTTCGGTGAAGCGAACAAACGACGTTTGATCCAAACAACGATGAACGGTGTAGTTTCACATTGATGACTGGATTGGTTAAGGTTTCAATCACCCCGGCGTGGTGAATCATCCTCTCTCATGGTCCGAAGTTCTCAGGCTATATAATCCCTCTTTCTCTCCCTTCCACATGTCCATTCCTCATCAATTGTTTCTTTCCTTCTCTCTGCCCATACTTCATTCCTCTTCGCAAGTTCTTATTCAATCTCCATCACCTCCTCATCACATGGTATAATCTGTACTCATCTCGCCTCAATATCTCCTACAAGAGAACACCGATCTCAACATATCTCTTTCGTCTTCTTATAATACGGCATAATTCCTATCGATTTCGCCTCGTCGATTGGCTTCAAAAAGGACACCGTCATCAAAATCTGTCTTTCGTCTTTGCATACTCATAACATGGCATCATTTCTAACAATCTCGCCTCATCGCCCAAGAGGGCGCAGATCTCAACAAGCGCCATGGCACCGATGATATTGGTGTACCTTCCAGCATCGAAAATAAAGATGATGCTGATGGTGCAAAGTACATCGAAAGTGCCATTGGCTTTGCTCTTGAGATCGCCATGAAGACTGAAACTGTTGGGCACTTGAGAATATGGCGCCCGCCGTATATATAAAAAGAACTCTACGAGGAATGCCGCTTCCCTGAGCACAAGTCAATGTTGCAAGAAAATTCATCCCATCCAAATTCTCCAAGGATGAGAACGGACTCGGACTCAGAATGTATCGCCGTGGTGGTGTTAGCAATGCAAGAGTCTCACTTGTTGCCACATTCAACAATGCTTCTAGTGAACACTGCCATACCGGAACACTTGATTGGCATCTTGACGTGAAGCCTTACTTCAGAGAAATCGAAATTATCAAGGAGACTACATGGAAAGTCAAAGATGTGAGAGGAAGCCAAGGGTGCTGGAGACATTCACATCAAGTGCAACTTCTTTGGCAAGGCTGCAACAACCGATGTCTTCAACCGTGACCATGATTGGGCCACGCCTGATGCCCACGCTCCTCTGAATTGGATGGCCAGCCTTCGTTTCGCCGATGAAGATCGAGTGATCGAAATAAAGTTCAGTTTTCCTGACGCAGGGAAGCGTGATCAATTGAAAGAGATCATCTATTCGCTAGGCAAAGCCGGACACATGCCTTTCAACCCCTTCCGCTCAGAGAAGACCGGTATTCCTCTCGTTCAGTATGGAATGATTCGCCCTGTTGATGAACTCGCCAAGTGCAAATACAACAACTCGGATCAAGAATACGACTTTGCTATGTATACTGCCAAGAACACCTTCAGTAACATCAACGAATACGTCATCCAGCATGCTTGTGGAGAATACCAAGAGTGGACATATCAGAGAAGTGTGTTCGAGAACTGGAGAGATGGAAAACACGATTGCAGTTTTGTTGCTCTTCAAGGTGACATCATGCTTGTCAAGGTCAAAGTCAATGGTGTCAAGTTGGATAAGCTTCCTCTTACCAATAATGTCACCCTGCAAATCATGTTCACTCCTGAAGGCATTTCACATGTTGAAGGCATGCAGAAAGTGAAAGCAGCCATCAAAGAAGATGTCCTCCATCTCGCAGGTCCTGATGAAATAGCACTCCTCGTCGTCAACAAGACAGCCGAGCATTTCAGAGGAATGTGCTCTGTCTTCCCTAAACAAGATGGTCCTACTTTTACCTGCACTATTTCTGCCGAACTTGATGACAGTCATATCAAATGGCAGCTCCACGCCTCGTCTGAGATGACCAGCAAGCGGACCATCTGGAACCAACTATTTGTCAACGAAGACGCCTGTATTGAGCCATTCAATGACCCTTCCGAAGCTTTCAAGGAGTTCAGCGATGTAGAAAAGGCCATGATTTTCATGGAAGAATGCAAGAAAGCCCAACTCAGTGAGTCTCAGATGGCTGCCGCTGGTGTCGCTTGTTTTCGCAACGTTGCTGGAGCAGCCGCTATCAAGGCAGCAGCAGGCACCGGCAAGACAAGAGTGAGTTCTGTTGTCGTCAATTATTTCTTACGAATCGGTACACACGTCATTGGCATTGCTACTTCAAATTCTGCAGTTGATGCATCCTACACCGGCATTGAGACGCTACAAGCCACTCCGCTCCCTGTCGACAATGAAGACCAAGATCATAACCAAAACGCTGAAGAACAACACGCAGTTCCTGAAGATCCCACCAATGTATCCTCTGGCCACGATGCTTTCCTCGAGGAAAGTCCTATTCGCTTTTACGCTTGGGCAAACGAGGTATCAGATCTCAAGCACGCGGGCCCGAGAATACTTCTGGGTTGTTGTAAACAGAAACCTTCTCCAAGGAAGCCTTTTTGCCACGGTCGGCAAGACAGGTGCAAGGAAAGGTCGAATTGCGAAGATGTCATACATTGGCGAGTACACTCGCAAGATGATCTCCGATGACCGTGTTGCTGTTGCTCGAGTGACTCCAACAGCCGAGGAAGTTGCCGAACACAAAAAGCGGACTGTTCGTGCGAAGAACTAAAGGGTAGATCTGTGCTCTGTCACGTGGTGATATCTTCCAGGCACGGGGCCCTCCTGGAGGATATTAATGTAGGTAGCACACTTAGATTCCTGGAGCTCTCCACCGTCAATAAACACATTGTCCTGATATACTCCTCTCATTTTCCATGACCCGCTTTTCGCGACTGACATCCTCCTATTGGACTAAATGAAGAGCAGATGGCATATTTGTGACAAACAGGTATGGATTGTAGACTGAAGGGAATGATAAAGCAAGTCTATTCTGTAGATATTTCGCGCACAGGCGGCCACTGCAAATTAGCACTTCAGACCCAACGTCTCCAACATAGTATAACAGCTCAACATTTGGACGAAGCAAAAGCAAAACGGGAGATCGGCACAATTATGGACTCGGATCAAGAAAGATAGAATTTTATCTTGTATCTATCTACTTCAGAACTCTATTTCTTCTCCTTCTTCTCCACCTTGACTGGATTGGGATTTCCCTTGTAGACGAGTGGTTTCCGATCGAAGAAATCCGCCCTGATCTCATCAGTGACTGCCTTCCTCCGAGCCTGGAAGCCCGCCACATATTCCTGCAGGTACTTGATGCAGATCTGCTTGATCTCGCCGGTCATCATCTCGCCGGACTCGTAGGCCTTCTTGATTCGTTCGAGCTCGTCGTCGTCCTCAAGGAAGAACGTCAGATACTGGAAGGGCACATCGACTGCGGTGTTGCCGCCCAGCTCGCGCTGCTTCTCGGCCGTGTCTTGGCCGCCGGAGAAGGCGAAGCGATTCACTTTGTTCTTGATCTGGTTGGGCGTGTCGGTGAGGAAGATCGCTGATGAGTCGACGCTCGCGGACATCTTGGAGCCCGGGCCTTGTAGTGCCGGCAGGAAGATGGAGTGGATGATGGATGGCTTCTTGTATTTCATCTTCTCGGCATTGTCGCGGCACTGTCGGAAGTATGGGTCTTGGTCGATCGCGCAAGGTATCAGGCAGGGGATGGTCCGCACCGATGGGCCTGTACCGAAAATATGGGGGAATGATGTTGCGAATGCGGTTGCGGATTGGATGGCGCAGAAGAAGAATTCGCCGACGTTGTTGCTGTCGCCGAATCCAAAGGTTCCTTTGATCTGGTTGATGGTGATTCTTGTCGCCATGCGTGTCACGTTCTCGTAGAATGGGCCACCCATGAATCCGAAATCCGAGAAGATAAATGTTTTGGCAGGGTCGAAGCCAATGGCGATAATGTCCTTTGCGTTTTCCTGGGCGAATCTTTGGCAATCTTCCACCTTCAACTTCTCAGGAGAGTGCATGAACTTCTCGTCGTCCGTGAGCTGAATGATCAGAGGACAATCAAAGACATCCTGGAGGTACTTGGTGAATTCAAAAGGCACCGAGTGACCAACGTGCATACTGTCGCTACTCGGACCTCGACCTGTGTAGAGGTAGAAGGGCTCTCCTTTCTCATAGCGATCCAGGATTTTGGTGAGATCTCGGTGTGATAATACGATACCCCGCCTCATAAAGCGATGGGGTCTCTTGCCGGTGACTTTCTCGAATCGTTCTAGTAACTCATCTGTGACCGGAGTAGCTCCGAAGTGTTTTGTGAGTTTTTCATAGTCCACTGGCAGCAGTTTACCTGTCGCGTCGACACCACCAGAAACCTCGAAGGGTGTGATCTTTTGTTCGATCGGCTGTGCAGGTGCTTTTTCAGCAAGGGACAAAGTGGTGAGATTGGGTGGCTGACCCGGCTCATCTGCTGGAGTAGCCATGCTTGCGAATACAATGGATTCCTTTAATCTTCTGAAAACCTACACTTTGGCTCTAGAATATTGTTATGGAATGAGTCAAGGGCGAGCAGGGTCACAGTATGGCCCGCTAGAATTTTGGTCAAAGTCACTGTCACCCCTCCTACCACTTAGGGCGCGGATAGGCCCGACTGATATCTTGGCGACATTGGATAACTCAGCCTCGATGGGCACGTGATCATGCACCAGACTTGGCCAGCAGTGGACGGAATAGATCGCCCGCGCCGGGTCAGTGCTGGAATCAGGCATTCCACCTCCGCAGCCAATTCTTTTCCATGTGGCTTCTCGGTCTTTACTCCAGCCAGTCCGAGAGAGCTCACGCGAGAGGCAAAATCACTTCATCACCATCACCCTCTATCTCCTAACTTCCCCTCTCTTGTTGTCCACGAACTGCGCCGTCTATAGTTCTTTGCCTCACACTCTTGACGCAGCATGAAATTTTACGAAAGCTCTTTCAATTATGATTATACCTTTCCCGCCGTCACCTTAGCCTATTTTCTCAGGTACCCGAACCCTTATTCAAGACATGTCTTGAGTACCGATGTCATTGATCGCTATGTCGATCCCGATACCCAGCGGTTACACACCCTCAGACTTCATCTCAAAAAATCGAAAGTCCCTGCAGGCATTCTGAAATTTCTCCCTGGTGGACTCGCAGGACCAAATGGCTCCAGCCAAAGTTACATTCTTGAAAGAAGCACAATTGATGTGAAAGAAGGTTGGATGGAGACTGAATCCAAAAACATGGAATGGACTGGAATTTTGAGTGTTGTTGAACGCCAAAGCTATAGACGGCAACGTCTCCCAGACTCTCCGGCAATCGATGGGCCCCAACCGAAAGAGACCACATCCTGCCGGACCGTGGTCACTTTTGTATCAAAGCTAGGTCAGGGCAAACTCCTGGGTCGCAAGAAGCATGACCAAGCAAGCAGTTCCGAGGATGATGAAGCCCCCAAACAAGGATTCTTTGCTTCCTGGTCCACAGCTGGCATTCAGAGAACTGTCGAACTTATCGGCGTCAAACGAACCAAGACCGCCTTGATCAACGGAAAGGAAGGCATGAATGTTGTATTAGAAAGACTGAGAAATGGAGGGGTGGTTGCAGTCCTGGAGGGTATGAGAAGAGATCGTCAGGAAGCCCTTGGAGGCCCAGATGGTCCCTATAAACGGGCCTGGCTGAAAGGGCCGAATGGTGACCAAGACTCCGATTGAGCAACTCTCATAAGGTGTTCTTTGTCAACACTGACATGAACATGTACCACTACTACCTATAGGTTGATTTTTCTGTATTTTGGGTCGAGCAAGGCGCTGGGAGGCGGAAAACTTTTGTCTCTATTATCTTATGGTTGGAACAGGACGTACCAGCACAGATGAGAGTCTGTAGTGGGACGTAGAAACACGAAATAAGATCCACTCTTTGTACCAACTGCAATCTGAGGTTGAAATTTCTCTTACCACTGCACTGGAAGGAGTTTTCTGTTGGTCACTGGAAGAAAATTGTTCCGTTTTAAGTGAGGCAGGAGCGATGGACTCGAAGCGTTGACAAGGCAAGTGCTCCCCAAAACCATCGGGATCTGATCTGGACTGACCATCAACCTTGCAGACGATCATCAGCAACTTTGATATTAATGGCACAACCTCACCGCCTTGAATATTCACTGGGTTGATGAGGGTGAATATCGTGAATCTCTGAGCTGATATGACCTTGCTATATCTGATGATGGAGTGAACACATTGTCATCTTACCTTGTACAACCTTTTCAGACACAATCCTTCCGCCATTGTGCACAGTCATTCATTTCATCACTCATTATCGCGACTGCTTCCTATTTTCATTCATTTCCAACCCAGTGGGCCGTTATGGTCACTCTCTGCCGCCGTTCGTGGTGGTTAATCGCCCTTCAATTGCTCAGTGCTTTTCAAGGGGTAGAATCACTGAGAAGACACAACCGACGCGGGGACGTCGCCGATGTACCTCCGGTGTCAGCCTCAGGATGGACTGTACCTTTGAGAGGAAGCACGACATGCACTCCTAGTGGATTCTGTAAGTCCAAATCACTACAGGCCACCCTTGACGATGTATCTAATGTTCCCCAGGCACTAACCTACTTACCCCGCCACCCCCAAACAAACCACTCTCCTACCTGGCACTGGCTCGTGGCATTTACACATACACTTGCGACGGCCGTGGTGTCGGTGAGGTTCCTGAAGTTCAATCACAATCCACGCAGTTGTACGACGCAGCACCTCTCATTCCCGGACTTGTCGACGAGGAGGCTTTCCACTCACTGGTTGAGCGGCTGTACCAGTTCGACTACATGAACATCAAGAATTCGACAATGGATTGCATGGGTACAATTGGAACAATCAACGATACTGCGCTCGTGAACCTGTTTGAAATCGCTACGTTTGAAGCTCGACCTTATGAGTTTGTACTCCCACCTGAGGATTTGGCATCCAATGGAGTCTGGGCTCATTCACGCAGTCGTGCCAATTCTTGGGACATCTATCGCGTCGAGGTGGTCGGTGGTGTTCCACCCGTCTGCAGAAACGAGGCTACAACGATGGAAATTGGCTACGCTGCAGAATACTGGTTTTATCACTCAGAAGGGGAAGACTTGTTGACAGATGTTGATGACGATGATTCGCAGAATACAGAGGAAGACCCACGAACCACAAAGATGATTATATGAAGTCATATGAACGGGGTTCAGAACTCAATTCAAGGGTTTGGGTGAGCGAGGGATTACTGGTGCTGGAAACTGGCAGGGGACTGAAGAGCTGAAACTGATGACCCAACTTCTTCACCGGGTGAGAAGCACATGGCAAACTAATTCTACCAACACTGGATCAAGTCGGGGAGATTTCCCAACATGGATGATTTCATTTTAGCACATGGGTGCGCAAAAATGTCATTTGTCGGGACTAAAACAGCATAGCTTCTTTGTGAGAGTTTAATATCCAAATGGAAGGGGAAGGGGACATTAATGCTACAGGACTGCCCAATTCTGGTAGATAATACGAACTCAGTGTACTTGAGATCAATCACAATCATTTTCTCTCTGGTAGAGACTATCCGAAAACGTGAAGTGGGTTGGAAGGGAGGTGTTGAGTACAAAATGATGGCCCAACTAATTGGAAGTTTGAAGGCGACGGGCCATGGCTTGTTCCCAAAGCTTAGTGAACACTCAACACGGAGTTCAAGTTGGTCCTCCTCCCACCGTAGTAACTTAGTGCCGAGATGCCCCCCAGTCGCCCACCAGTACCCCACCAAGCTCCTCTGGAGAGAATGAGTGCCGCGTGGAAGCGTTGCCTTTAGCAGTAACTTAGGCGAGGCTTCAGTGACGTTTGTTGGCAAAGGCACCGCCCAGAGGGCCATCCACATGGTGGAGAGTTAACCTCAGAGCCAGGCTCACTACCGACATAGGAGCGTATAAGCTGGAAGCCCATGGGTGGTGTTAGGTGGGTAGTCTCTAATTACAAAGGCACTCGGCGTGGTTTGCACACCAACTGTCCTTTAGCCTTCGGGCCTCGAGTCCACCGTCACTATTCACTTTACCCATTTTCCCCTCCCACCTCTTTTTAAAGTCTCGTCACTTTGAGATGACTTGCAGACGCTTCATCCCGCCGCAGCAGTCATCCTGCTTCACACGACACTTCATTAGCCTAACCAATTCTGCGGCTTTCATCTTTGGTTCTATTTGACCTTGATCTTCTCTCAACACCTCTAACCCTCCACTGACGCAACTTATCATTGCCCACACCTCGTATTCACCCATCGATCGATCCGTCTACAGACACTGATAGTCTTCCCTGTTGGGAGGCTTGGCCTCACCCATCAACAACTGATAGTGCCCTGCACCTCGTGCGACCACAAGCCGCTTACGATTTGAGCCTGGAGATGCTCACGCACCAATTCAGCGACTATTGGTGAAGAATCAACTGCGCTTCTAACAATCACACTCTTCTCTCTTAGTGAGGGCATAACCCAAAACCAAATCCCGTCCCTCACTGGCGGGTCATATCCTGTCCTTTGAGCAACTCCCTTCCATTACTCCACCATGTCGTCCACCATTAACGATGATGAGCTGTCCATGTCTCTTCCTCAAGGGGACTCGACTCGAGTACGCACCTCACTTCCTCCTGTCGTTTCCCCACCTGCTAGGTCAATTGCAGGGCAAACACCTGTTTCCGAGTCCCCAGGTACCGCTCGAGCGATGAACCGCCTGCATCAATACAGTTTTGTCCGCAATATCGGAGAGGGCTCCTTTGGTAAAGTGAAGCTGGCTAGACACAAAGTGACCGGTCAAGAGGTAGCAATGAAGACCATTAGTCGAAGGAAATTGATCAGTCGAGATATGGCGGGGCGCATCGAGCGCGAGATCCAGTATCTTCAATTGCTTCGACACCCTCACATCATCAAGCTCTACACTGTGATTACGACCAAGACTGACATCTACATGGTCTTGGAATATGTGCCCATGGAATTGTTTGACTACATTGTTAAGCATGGTCGTCTTGGAGAGGCCAAAGCAAGGAAACTGTTTCAACAGATCATTTGCGCAGTCGAGTACTGCCATCGCCACAAGATTGTTCATCGAGATCTTAAACCAGAAAATCTGCTGCTCGACAAGAACATGAATGTCAAAATTGCCGACTTCGGTCTCAGCAATATCATGACTGATGGCAATTTTCTCAAGACCAGTTGTGGAAGTCCAAACTATGCTGCACCTGAAGTTATTGGCGGAAAATTGTATGCTGGTCCCGAGGTGGACGTTTGGAGTTGTGGTGTTATCCTTTATGTCTTCCTCGTTGGTAGACTTCCCTTCGACGATGAGTTCATCCCTGCACTGTTCAAGAAAATTCAGGCAGGCACCTTTCACATTCCTTCCCAGACGCCTCCAGGAGCGGTGAACTTGATCAAACGATGCCTCCAAGTACATCCCGTTCATCGAATCACCATTCCGGAAATTCGACAAGATGAGTGGTTTATCAAGGATCTACCTCCTTACCTCGTGGATCCAGTGGAGGAGTTCTTGGATACCGGTGTTGATCCCTCCAAAGCAATTGATCCTAGACAACTCGCGCCAGGCATGTCTCTCGAAGTTGTTGAAAAGATACACGAGTCAGTTGTGGGTAAACTCGGACGGACAATGGGTTATGCGAAAGAAGATGTCAAGGATGCACTGAGCAAAGATGAACCGAGTGCTATCAAAGATGCATATCTTATTGTGCGAGAAAACCAGCTGATGGTCGACACACCCCAATATCTGGCTGAGAATCCCGAGTTGGAGTCATTCATGGCTTCTTCCCCTCCAGTCGAACCCAATTATCCAAATTTCCCGGGCTCACCTCTCGCTGGGCGGAAATTTGAGGAGGTCAAACCTCTAACACCTTCGAGAGGAGACGCACACAGAGCAAGTCGCACGCTTTCTGAAACCCCTGTACCTGTGAAGGAAATAGAGAAGCCAAGAGTGTCGACTGTTCGCGCTCTTGCCACATCCTTACCCCACGTCCACGAAGAACTCATGCAAATCCGCGAACGAGCCAAGGCCCGGGGTGATGATCCAGATCTTGCCCTTCATCCTTCCCAGGATACTGACAAAAAGGATCAAGAAAGTCCTATACCTGAGGAAATCAAGGACGCAGAAGGAAATCCGATTTACCGATCCAAAGAAGAGCAAGAAGCTACCTCAAGAGCTTTGAAGCCCCATTCAAGATCTGTCACCCAGTTGAATTCTTTGCGTGAGACCAAAGACAAACCCAAGGGTTTGACAACTGCCAGCCAAGATGAGAAACGCCCCGCTGCTGCAAAGGCCAAGACTCGAAAATGGCAATTCGGTATTCGATCTCGAAACGAACCATATGAAGCGATGAAATGTTTGTATGCAGCACTTAACGCACAAGGCGCAGATTGGGCTATAACCCCATGGCTAAGGCCAGACGTTTTTGCCGATGGTGAAGACGAAAGAGATAATATCCCGGCCTTACCAGTCGACCTTGCTCCTGGAGAAAGACACACCATCCTTCAGCAAAGATATGATTTCGTGGGTAGTGACTATTACATTCCTCGTGATAGTTACAACATTCGAGCTCGGGTCTTAAAGAAAGGAATGCTCATGCCTGGAGAGGCGCCATCTCTCTCAGCCCACAGCTCGGCCGTGAGTTTGCCACAGGAAGCTCAGCATCAATTGAAGAAGCACATCGAACAACTTGGATTGTACGCAGAAGATGACCTCAAGTCTATGTTGGGCGTAAATCAACTGAATGGCATAAACGCTTCGAACGGCTCGTCATCCAAGACCAAATCCCCCTTGAGCAGTGGACACAGTAGCCGACAAAATACTGGTCCCGGCGACTACGGTTCCCTGGGGCAAGACTCTTTCACGGGTCCAGGACAACCACTGAGTCGACCGGATAGTTTGGCGGCATTAAACAAGAAGATCCCAAGCGAAAACATTGGGGTTTGGGTCTTCCTCGACATTCAGCTCTACGCATTGGAAAGTCAAACCTTTGTGGTTGATTTCAAGTGCGATGGCTATCAGAATGTCATCTGGCACGATCCCAAGAAGGACCGTAATCAGAACAAGACACCTAACAGCAACAGCGCCGTCACAAGTCCTGCGACTAGCAGGCCAGCTAGTGGGTTTGGAGAAATGAGTCACTCAAGTTCCGATCGAGTGGATGAGGAAGGCACGGGAGGATATTGGCGACCAGTTAGCAAGCGATACAAGAATCTGGAAAAGGAGATCTCAAGTCCTTATCCCTATCTTGACGTGGCTAGCGATCTGGTTGCGCAGCTGGTGAGTTTTTGACCATACCACTCAACTAATATCATGCAATTCCTAACTTGCAACAGTGGGGCGGTAGTGCATGAGCGGTATCATGAAGATTCAGGACAGCATGGATTATGTTGCGTGTATGATTCAGAATTTCCAATTCAACAGATCATGAAGTATGAGGCGCTCGGGTATTGATGGGTCTGTAATGGAATGGGCTGGCTCTCTGAGTCTCAGGGTTGAAAAAGAGGATACCCTGAAGTAGTATTATTGTTTAGAGTGAAATAACTGATTTCGCCAGCGGGTGAGCATTCAGAGAGAATTAAAATGCATCACTTTGCTGAAATAGATAGTGACTCACTAAGAACTCATAGCTTGATACATCAAATAAGCCATCTACTAAACAAAACGCAAGCTCGCTACACTTTGACCACAGATGGAATTGTTCTTCTTGCTGACTGAGTCTAGTCGCCCCAGCAAGCGCCTTCACATCTGAGCATTACATAAGCGGGCCCAAAGACTATCACGTGACACCGATTTGGAAGACCGGCTTACTGCGAACCACTGACTTTAACTTTCAACAACAACAACACCACCACCACCATTCACTTACTCTTTGGGCGTCCCTTCTCACAGGCGCATCTTCTCCAGTCAGCTAGACTGAAGAACACTTATAGGAGTTTCAACTAAGAGTCGCCTTCCCGTGATCGAGGGACTCTATTCGACCCCGCCCAGCAGGTTCTCTAGACGACACATTGACATTCCCAAAAGTTAATCGACATACCCTGCTATTCCTAGAGGCCACGAAACACATCAACTGGAGTTTGATGATATTCGAGCAGCCATGACGTTGATATCGAAATTCCGCGCTTGGTCGTCAAAGTTGACCCCTTACTTCATCTACCTGCTCCTTTCAGCAACCCTGGGACCACTACTGTTCGGATACCATCTTGTCAGTACAACAATCTGCAAATCATTCCTCTTTCCAAGCTCTTCGGCTCCGAAAGCCAAATTAGTGGCCACGCCGCTAACTTCTATTAACAGGCAGAACTCAATGCACCACAAGATGTGCTTACTTGCGTAAGGAAGATTGGAATACCTAAGACTCCGTCATCAACACCGTTGAACCTGCCTCAATGTATTCCAATGGATGCCACTCAACTTGGCCTTGTATCCTCAATCTTTACGCTTGGCGGCTTGTTGGGGGCGTTGGCATCGGGATCTTTATCAGCCCGCTATGGTCGACTGCATGTGATGCGTGTGAACACGATTCTTTTGGCTTTGGGCCCATTGGCTGAAGCGTTGTCTCCCAACATTGGCGCGTTGGCATTTGGACGCTTCGTGTCTGGTCTCGGTGCTGGCGTGTCTGTTGTCGTCGTGCCAATTTATATCAGTGAGATTGCTCCACCAGCTGAGAAGGGTTTCTTCGGCGCATTCACTCAGATCATGACAAATATGGGCATCTTTACGACGCAGTTGCTAGGTTACTTCCTTAGTCATGGCTCGTTATGGAGAGTCATTCTCGCGGTTGCGGGTGGCATTGGCGCAATTCAATTCTTGGCCTTGTTTGGCGCAATCGACAGTCCGAAGTGGACAGCAGAGAATGGAAATACTAGACAGGCAAAAATTGATCTACGCAAAATCAGAGGTGAATCGGCCAACATTGACGATGAGACTGCAGGTTGGAATGGTGCCGATGATGGTGATGGTAAGCCAATAAAATCCTCTCTGCCTCCGAGATCTCAAGGAATATACAATCTTACAAAGTTGATGATACAGAGGAACAACGAACCCTACTATCTAGCCCCGATGACAACCCATCTCTCTCCAAGCCCGGCAAACAAGAGCCACTGAGCATTATCGGGGTCCTCCGTTCTCCCACCAACAACCGGGCCATCCTCGCTGTCGTGGTGGTAATGATGGCCCAACAGCTCTGCGGCATCAACAGCATCATTATGTATGGCGTCTCACTCCTCGCAGATCTTCTCGCTGCAAACTCCGCCCTACTCAACATCCTCGTCAGCGTCCTCAACGTCATCGCAACCACGGGCTTCGCTCCCCTCGCCGACATTCTCGGTCGCAAAACAGTCCTCCTGGCCAGCATCGGCGGCATGGGTACCTCAAGCATCCTCCTCGCAATTGGTATGCGTGCCGCAATCCCCATCCTTTCCGCCCTTGCGGTTCTGCTCTTCGTCGCAAGCTTCGCCTTCGGTCTGGGCCCTGTCCCTTTCATTTTAGCTTCGGAGCTCGTCGGCCCTGAGGCCGTCGGAGCAACTCAATCGTGGGCCCTCGCGGCGAATTGGATCTCGACGTTCATCATCGCCCAGTTCTTCCCTCTCGTCAACGAGCGTCTAGGGCTGGGTGTCGTGTACTTCGTGTTTGCTGGGCTTGCGGCTGTATTTTTCGTCTTTGTCGGCTGGTATGTTCCTGAGACGAAAGGGAAGAAGGACGCCGATGAGGTTTGGGGCCGTCAGCCTAGAAGGGAGGATTAATTGCGCGAGTAGGTGTAGTGCGGACGTGGCTTGGAATGTATCTGGCGTTTTTTTTTCAATAAAAAAAAATCGGGTAGTGAGCTATGATTTATGTCGTCATGCATGGGCTGAGTTCTTTGGACCAGGAAAGCCACACCTGCGATGGCGAGAAGGCAGATGCCATGTTACGTAGCTATTTGCGGATGAGATATATCCCCATAAACCGCTCATCCTGTCAAGCAAGAATGTGTATTTCCCTACCCCTCAGGTCATCTCGACGGCGAGATTTATGTATTTCAAAACTAAGCACTTGCAGCGTGATTCGGCATTTATTCTCTAGATCTGAAGTTTCAGGATCAACAGCGAGAAATAACGTAGACTGTCGAATGTACCTACCGAGTCCTTACAATGTGATGGGGTTGAGGTTCGATAGGAATGTTTGCTATTAAATACCGAAAGCTGAATAAATAATCACGCAACCTCCCGTTGTCCAACTGTTTACTACAGCAACAATCCTTACGGGTTCCCAATTCCCATGCAGAATAAGTATTCAGCTTCTCCGTACGTGTTACGTCTCTTTGAAGTGCAGCATGTTGATGATCAAGTTTTACATAATTATCTCGACTCCCACTCGCGTAGCTCACAAGGTGGCAGTTGAATATTAAACCGTATCTGTTGGTTCACTTACTCGGCATCACTCGTGCTCTCGCTCGACACAGAATAAATGCACCGATCAATCACGAGCGAGAGGAATATTGTATTACAAGCCGGTAGCGGGCTACTAGAGTTCTGAAAATCGTCAAGCTACTACATCGAGTTCTTCGTGGAGCTAGGTGGGGCATGATTTCCCAGGTCGTGGTGACTCCTTCAACAGGCCACCCCTCATCTTCAATTAAAATCTCTTTGTCATGTGCACTCATCTTGTAGGTTCGATCTTATAATCGACCCTTGTCTCATGGAGTATGTATGCTAGTAGATTTCCTTCTGGAGGACGAGCTCGATGGCTTAGGATCGCGCTGTCGGACTGGGGTACGAGAAAAGCAGCCATAACGTCGTAGAAACGCATACCATGCAAACGGGGGGGAGCTGCCATGTTCACAAGGTCGTTCCTGCTGAAATGCTTCGTTGCACGATAGCTTCTACTCGTCGGTACTCGGGGTCAGGGGGGGTTGATTGAGCTATCATGATGTCGGGGTAGGCAGTTTTGTAGGCACTGTTGATGATCGGGACAGGTTTCAAGCTCAGCCGTCGTTCAACATAATTCGCAAAGAGGGAGATGGCCAGGTGCGAAGATGGACGCCGACGTACTGTTCTGTTGTTGGCCGTAGCTGTGAACCAGACGACGAAGGCCGAGGCCAGTGAAAGCATTCAAGGGAATATTTTGCGACTGTACTCCCGTCAGATTAGATTATCAAGAATCGAATGTCAAGCGAGTTTGGTAACATCTCTATGATCATGCGGACCATAATGTCATCCATCATTCGTTGAGTACAGAGCAGAGCGGGAGGATGATGATAAGTTGACGTATGAATGTACTAACATCCCTCAGCATATAAGCAGCTGGCATATGCTCTGCAGTTTCAGCCTCAGAGACCCACTTAGAGTTTGAGAGGATAGATTGCTTCGTATATTTAGCGAAAAGTCCGTGGTGGGCGGAAGTCAACTCAAAAACCGACCGATCGATGCGATCTATAAGTCAAATTATGAGGCCATTCGATGTTGTGGGAGTGACCAATCTCCTATGCTCAGGACATCCATCAAGTACGTAAGGTATCGGATCAGGTTGTTGCTGTAAACTCCAGCTAATGGGTCGTCACTGTACTCAAACTGGTGCCGATTGGGAACGAACATGAATGAGTACTTTTGTTTACTAGCACTTCTAGCTTGGTATTCCCCGTACCCAGTGCAGGAACACATTGAATTTTTGGGCTTCTTGCTGTTGCTAGACGACCCCAGCCGTCGCGTGCACAAAAGCCAGGGCTGTCCCTTTTGCCCATGAAAATAAATACCTGCGACTCCTCGGGCAAGCTGCATGGCATACAATGTTCTGCACTGAAGAGGCTCGGGCTGGGATATTGTAGTTGGTATGCTGCCTGGGAGACAGTTGTTTTTTCGCGAAACCCTCACCAAGTGTAGACTCCTGTTCCTTCATCCATCGTCCGCCCAACCAGCCCAAGGGCTGGTGGCTCTGATGGCATGCATGATGGTCTCATTCCTTCTTGACGCTATCATTCTCAATCTCGATTTCCAACAGGGTACGCACACTGAGCTCGGAGCATCGATTCGTCATACCTAGCATTTAAATGCCGTCGAGGCGAAACTTCGGAGGTGGAAGGATGACTGACAAGGCCAGCTGCAAAAGGAGATGATCGTGTAATGCAATTTTTATTGAAGATTCAGGTAGCTGCTTGTGCTTCGTAGGACGCAACATGCCACGACCAACGAAACCACAAGGCTCGAGATTGAAACAGAAGCAGCACATTGAGTTTGACATCGTGATACTTTGCCGTCCAGAAATTTTCTATACACCAATGTAAGTACATAGGCTCTTGACGGACTGACCTATTTGGCTCATCAGCATTCGCTGAATCTTAACGCGAAGCAGAAAGCGCAACCATTACTCTCCGACATCACTTTCAAAGTTCAGTAACGGGTTTTCCGGATACGGTCTGGCATTGGAATAGCTTTCAAGCGTCCGAATGGAGAGCGAGCTCTTGAGCTTCCAAGAGTTCTGCCAACACATATCATCCTGCTGATCTATTGGCTTGCACACCAAAAGAATACTCTAGCAAAGTCGGCGTTGGCATCGTCCCTTAGGGTATGTTGGACACTGATTCATGTTGCGTATGCTGAAAGTATGCTCAAAGAAAGTCAGTAGTCGAGGCAGTTAGTAAGATGCTGAGCCCGGCATTTCACCTGCCGAGTCCTAGTTGCCCAAGACAATGCTGTGTCACAGCGCGATAAGTGGTTAGGTACCTAGTGTTAGCAAAGACTGCCGAGCAAAGAAGATTGTCGGGTTGCCATGACCAATTTGGCAAGAGGTGAGATCTCAAATCATGGCAGTCCGTGCGGATACCTCGTACCGAACAAAGACCAAGCCCCAAGAGATGGCAATGTCTCTCTTTGATGGCAAGCGACGGCCTCGTCGACGTCGATGGATCAGCCAAAAACTTGGAGCTTGATGTCTGTGCTGGGTTCAGGCTTGACCAATTTAGGCCTAGTGCTTTCACCTAAGCTCCTGCCAAGCATTATCTGGAACTTTGTTGCGAGTTCACAAGCGGTTGTTGGGCACGTGACGAGGAATTCCCAGCAAAAAGTCGGCATCGCTTCCTTCCTTGAAACACTCGGGGCAGATTAGCTCCTTTTTCATGCCTGTTCATCCACCTCACCATTGTCCGGCTATATCAGCCTCCGGTCTGGACTCCACCAACCCCCCTTCTCAAGCCATTCGGAGACGGAGAAAGTCACTGAGAGACATTATTTGTCTCATCATCACAAAACTCGCACCCTGATCTGGTGGCAATGGACTGGATTGGGATATTTTGGGCAATATCTGACCCCATCGGCTGACTCAATATGGGAGTCCCCCAGAGCTCCTCAAGACAAAAACCCTACCCTACCCGGACGCTGCAAATTGGAGGTCCGTGAGAAGAAACCGTTCTGCGACCGTTAGCCGCAGGCCCTCTCCCATTTGGTATCTAGCCTCATCGGACAAACGAGAGCCTCGGCCATGTTGCAAGCGCAGATCCAGATCTCTCACAGATTTGTGCCCACTCATTGTACCCGCCCGCATCATGGCAACAATCAAGGCTCATTTCCTTCTCAAGGCTAGATCAGAGGAGGCTGAAGCTCCCAAGTGCCCAACGACCTTCCTTCCAAGCCTCGCCTAGCACGGATCCCATCATTCTCCGGTGTGATCTTTGACAAGGTCCCTTAGTTCTTGGCGTTCGTGGTTGATACACCACCATAAGGCAAGTTGAAACAGCATAGCTGACTATCCGGTATCACAATTTGCAGGCAGAAAGTTCGTGATCGACTTCGGAAGATACCACTTCCTTGATCTGGATCTTGGGATGTGTGTATGTTGATGAGTATATAGTCCCTTTGGATACTCACGTTCTATTCCAATCCTCTCCATCATCAACTCCAAAGCACTCGTCTTTCATTCCTTTCAAGGCTTTTGATAAGTCTCTTTCAATCTTTACGACTTTTGATAAGTCTGTTCACTTCTTTACTTGTGCCGGTCACTCTCATTCCACCTTTTCATCAATCTTTCCCCACTTTTACACCCAGGAAATCATTTCTAAACCCGATCAATCAAATCACTCAAGATGAAGGCATTCACTCTCTCTGCTTTGAGCACTCTTTTCGCTGGCTTGACGCTGGCCCACCCTGTCGATCTCAAGGCTCGCCAAGGCGGCTTCAGCGATGTCGATATTACTATTCTTCAGTTTGCTTTGACCCTCGAACATTTGGAGAACGAGTTCTACCGCAGCGCTTTCCGCACTTTCACTCTGCAGCACTTCCTTGACGCTGGATATGACCAGGATTTCTTCCTGAACTTGCAATTCATTGCTGCTGACGAAGCCGCCCACGTCGAGACACTCTTTGGCGCAATTCAGTCTGCTGGCGTCTTCCCTGTTCAGCCTTGCCAGTACAACTTCCCAGTCACTGATGTCCAATCCTTCGTCACTTTGTCCGCCATCCTCGAGTCCGTTGGCACATCGGCCTATCTTGGTGCCGCTCCCTTCGTCGGAAGCAAGGACATCCTCGGCATTGCTGCATCAATCATGGGTGTTGAGGCTTTCCACACCTCTCTCCAGCGAAACAGCCTTGGAGCAATTGGCGCTCCTGACCCATTCGCCACTCCTCTCGGAGCCAACGCTGTCTTCACTCTTGCTGCTCAATTCATTGTATCTTGCCCATCAAACAACCCTGCATTGCCATTCACTGCTTTCCCCGGTCTCGCAATTTCCGACAACAAGAACTGCTTCCGTGAGAACAGCTTTGATGGCCAGGCTCCTCAACGTGGTCACGCCATGTCCCCAAGCCGGCCACCTCCACCACCACCAGCTGGCGAGGCTCCTCCCCCACCTCCAGCTAACTTGGCTGCCGTCTCATCGGTCGTCAGTGAGACCAGCACCGAGAGCGCTACCGCTTCTGAGACCAGCTCCGCGATCGAGACTACCCTAAGTGCCGAGGCCTCTGCCGCTGCCACGACCACCACTGCTGCTGATGGCGCGGCTGCGACCACCACCAGCGAGACCACCACATCTGAGACTGCCGCCCCCACTGCCGCTCCAGAGCGACGAGGCCTATCCACCCGCCAGAACAGCCTTGGCTGCTCTGCTCCCTTTGGTGGCTCTTCCATCAACTTGATTCCGGATTTCGGTAAATCTCGACATGACTTCAGCCGCATCGTCCAGGTCTTTGTTACCTTCGTCTCTGGCTTCAACGTCATCTCCGTCGCTGCGCAATTCAACCGTGGAGGTATCAATGTCAACATCCCCACTGGAATTGGTGGCCAGGTTTTCGTTTTCATCACCATCGTCGACATCACAGGCCGTCGGCTTAGTGATTCGGACATCCTGTTTGGACCCGCCATCATGGAAGGTAGGTTCTACTTGCTATCAAATCTGTCTATCTGAATCTTTTACTAACTATCCTCCCTAGTTGCACCCAGAGTCCCTACACTTAGCTTTTAAGCGCTTTGCTCGATCAACGGTTGAATCATTTACTGTCTATTACGAGAAGGGAAGAGGTCAAAATGTTTCGAGCCAGCGATAACTAGGGGAGCGAGGAATCTCTCCTAACTAACTTTCATGTCTCTCGTTGACAGAGGTTTACGTCTTAAACATTTTTGATCTCATTTGCTTGTGGGAGTGTTGCCTTTGTGTTGCATGTCATTTTCTTAGCGAGGTCTGTCAAGACCCATGCTTACTCGGTATGCATGGGGAGGAGTTTTGTTGTGCTTTTATTTGATCTGCTCATCGAAACTGTGCGCGAAAAAAGCAGTTTCTGTTGAGGGCAGTGGAGAAAGCCCAGAATCCTTATGGGGACTGGGGTGTTTTGCGGATGTCAGTGAAAAGAAGAAAGAAGAGTGAATCATTTTTAGAGAATCATCTGGGAACAGAAATGTCCCTGGGTCCACGGGGAAAGCAAAAAGACAGAATCTAGAATCAGAAGGGTCGAGATTTTACTGTACGAAAATCGACCGAAAACTCCAGATAAGGTCCTTCAGACCAACATGCTTGAGGATTGCCAGCGCAATACCCAGCCTGAGGATCCAATGAATTAAGGGAGTTCCATATTTCAACCTTGAAAATTCGAGAATTGTGTTTCTTGATCTGGACATTGTTTTTCTATGCCCCTGTCTCCCTCCATGCCTGGTGACAATGAATTTGAGAGCTGTTCTGTCCTCTCTCTCTTTGCGGCAGTTATGCGACCCCAGGAAAGCTCAACTCTTAGCTCACCCGTCACGACCACCTCAGTACTAGTGGTAGTTGATGACCTCGAGACATGCATGCACGGGTCATGATATGGGGAAAAATTCCAAATGTCCCAACTCTAGACAAAACACAAACCGCGTCGTGCGGCATGCCCTGGTCCGCGCTAGCGGCAGATGAACTCTGCTAACGGTGTTTGGTAACTGGTGCAATGAGGCGTGTCCTTGCCTTCTTTTGCTATTTTCTGCACGGATGCTTTCTTTGCCGTGGTCGTTTGTCGTATTCGTTGAGTAACGGATTGAGTGAGAAGTAGTCATACATACATACATACATACAGAGGAAGGTCAGCTGGTGTAAGGCGGTGTGGTGACTACGTGGAATCGGTTCGGGAAAGTCGAATTGCCATTACCGTTGCCGTTGCCGACGTGGTGGCATGTGGGCGGCCACAAGGGTGTCGGAGTCGAAGTCCTACGAATGTGTTTGACAGCACCGTTAGAATATGGACGCCAGGTAACAAAATGCGCGGGTCTTCTCCGTACCACCAGCCTGATCTTCGACAGCACTGATGCAAATGGGACCGAGCATCATGTCATGTCATGTCATTTTTTCATGTTCGGGGGTTCTTGTTGTGAGACAAATATTATTCAAAGTCTGGCAGATATTTCCTTGAATGTAGAGTATGTCCTGTTTCTTTCCACATAGCTCACTCAGCTGCCCGAACGCTGCACTGAGCATGGTCGTGCGCCTTACCCAAGTACCCTTGCCGACAATTTGTTGACAAAGAGACTAGAGATCAAACCCAGGATCGTATACAGTGCTTTGACCAATGGTTTTTGGCTCGTTTGAACTATGCGACCTCGCTCACCCAAGGTGTTATGACCGAGTGTCGTCCGCACACAAAAGGCGTGGATCCTGGGGCTCGTGTGAAGAGGGGGGATCAACTAGGCACCTGATGAAGCCGAGAAACCTTCTGATACACAAAAGGAAAAATGTCGTTCGTCGAGCTATAATAGCTTCCAATTATGACGGCCACGATTCCAATTGAAACGCTTGTCATGTGACCAAGCATTTAGCCACGTCCGATGTTTTGTCGGCTTGATCTGCTCGATCGAGAGCAGAGTTTCATGTTGTTTGTGTCTGTCCACAGGGGTGAAGGCGATTACGTCACACCATTGCCTCAAATTGGGAATTCAGCCGTGATTTGAAGGCGAGCAGTACAGAATCTGGGAGATGCCCAAAACTGCTAAGATGTTATGGCATCTCACTCGTCGTTTTGATGAAGCTCTTGCTATTGAGAGAACACAATTTGTCATTGAGAGTGCTCCGCGCGAACCTGGTTCCGAATGGCCTGTTGCCTGGTGACCCACCCGAGATATTGCAATTTTTAACACATGGTGTTAATATAAATCACAGGGCTTTCTCACTTCACTTTGTCCGGCCAAATTGGTGGCTGTTGTCCGTTCTGGAAACTTTCAGTATGTGCAATGAATTTTCGTTCATGGTGTACTTGCCACTCGAGCATATATTTCGACTCCTTGGCGAATGGCGTCGAGGATATTGGTTAGCACCATGGCATGATTATCGACAGCTGGAGGTTGTTCGGCTTCTGATTCTGACAACGACCACTCATGCTGAGCAGCACCAGTACTAGGAATGGGCCTCCCATTGAGGAACGCTGCCACGGCATCGATAGGACTAGGGCTTGCAGGAGGAGGATCATGGATCGAGCCATTGTCAGAGGTTCGGCCGATGCCCCGAAGCTGACTTACGACCGGAATCTGCATGTACACAGGCGAGCGGGGAATATCTTCAGGGCGAAGGTTCGTGGTGACCTGAGGGATTGCAGGGATCGTTGAGGCATTGGGACGAGCAATACTCGTGCGTTCCCGAGCAGATCTTTTGTATTCAGGGTTGTTCCCAAGACTTGCACCAATAGAGTTGGCAAGCTGAATGACTTCATTGATACTAGGAGCCGTAGGTGCACGATTGCGCACTAGCTCATTCATCGCCATTAGGCGCGTTGCTTCTTGCCTCAAACGCGCTGGGACCTGCCAGGTTTAGCAACATCCGTGATAAAGAACTGGTGGTCAGTGGCTCTTACCAGGGCACATGGTCTGTGAGCATCTTTGCATCGACTACATCGAATCCCTGGGGTGTAATGGTGGTAGACACAAGCAATTACGCCGACCGATCTCGGGAAGCGTAGTGAACGGACACACCTATGGCAAGGAGGATGTGTAGATTGTTGGTAGCTTTGCGTGGCATCTTGTGCACCCATGCGATTCTGCGTTCTACTCAAGTTGCCCTCCAACGTGTCCTCGAAGCTCGCTTCTGTAGCATCGCTAGATTCTAGTCGCTCGCGTCAGATCTAATCTTCCATGGTAAGACCAAACTTGAAGTTCGTCACGCGTACCTTGCTTCATCGAAGACCGGTTGCTTTGACGACGCGTAACAACGCCTGTCGAGTTGATTGCCGCGAACGACATGGTTGTTCTGTTGCGAAGCTTGCGGGTGCGTCAATTGTCTTTCGTTATTGTTTTGAAGGCGCGACCACGTACACTCGCACACCAAGAGTCGAAGAACTCATCAAGACGGTCTGGTGAAAGGCGATGGAGATGGGTGTCAAGGTGTAGGAGTGAGAACGGGCTGATATTGGCTAAGCGCGCTAAGTTTTTAGTGAGATGCTAGCGCAGCTTTTAGAGCTGTTTGGCAACAGAGTTTCAACGTCAACCTTTGTTTCCATCCATAATGTTCGAACTCCCATAGAATCATATATCTGTTTCCCTTGTATTGGGAATGTATGAAGACCTTGGACTCTATGGAGGGTGTCGCAAAGGAATATATGCAGAATTCTCGATCAGTCACCAGAATGGCGAAAAAAGCCGAGGCACATTTTCCGAAACAGTATGCAGCGAGGAATCACACTCAAATAGTAGTCTACAGAATATGTCCTAATGCCATGCTAAAGCCCTTTACACCATTACGATATCTTGTGATTCCGGGCTATCGGCCCCCACGACCAGCCCAGCGATCTCATCCATCTCCCTCAAGGTGTATTCGATCAAATAACTTTCATCGACCAACTCCTCTATCCGCTTGTAGTGCCGTTCTGTATAGACTTCCAATGCTCGAAGGATCTCCTTCATTCCCTTATCGACACCTCCAAACCTCCTCTCTTTCGCCATTTCAATGAAGGTGTTTGCCGGGTAATTCTTGAATAAACAGTTCAGGGTTTGCTGGGCTGCTGTTGCTGTTCGAGCATTTGTGTTCCAATCTCGAATGTTCTGCAGCAATGAAAAGACCTGCTGGTGATCGAGAGTCGCAAGGACATCATCCACGGCTTGCAGGCCCATAATAGTTCCGGGATCTTTCTCGGATTCTGGTAAATTTACCACGTCCTGGAAAATTCGGAGGAGGCGGCCAGGATGATTCAGAGCAAGTGATAAGGTTATGGCTTCTCGATAGTTCTTGGTGAAGATGTGGTTTTGTAGAAGCTGATCTTGTTCAATCCGTTCGGTGGCTCGCTGCGATGCCAGGGTGGCGGTTTCAACAGTGGTGTCAGCCCAGAACGTCAGACTTGCATCAGCCGCGCCAGAGATCAGTGGGTACAAAACCGAGTTTGGAGAGCCGTTTCCTCCCGACTTGTTTCGTTGTATGCTAAAAGACGTGGAGGATGTCAGCGCCCAGACTCTGTCACTGTGGTTGTCGAGTGTCGCAAGTAGGTGATCTGAGTCTGTGGAAGAGTACGGAGACCATAGCTTGACGAGTGTATCAGAAGAGGCCGAAGCGATTAGAGGCTGTTTCGCGTCTGGCACGGCTTCATTGTCACGAGTCGATGTCCTTGGTGAAAGCCATATCACTTTTAACACAGAGTTGCTGTGACCCTCAAATGTTTGAAGACAGGTATATGTTGACAAGGACCATACTTTGACGGTTCTGTCACCCGAGCCACTGATCAGTAGTCCTCGGGAACCACTCGAACCACCTTCAGGTAAGTTCAAAGCTGGCGTTGCAGCTGGCGAGAATTGAATTGACCAGACACCTCGCTTATGGCCGCGCAGAATACCAGCAACGGACCCATCCTCAATTGACCAAATCTTGATAGTTCGGTCTTGTGAAGCAGACGCGAATAATGGAGCAATTGGACTTGAGTCAATTGCATTAATGTCCTTCTCGTGTGCTACTCGTGTGAACAAAGCTTTGACTCCACGATGTGGCTCAGTCACAGTGGGATCATACTTCAACCTCGCCGTGTCCCAGCGCTTGATCGTCTTATCTTGTGAGCCTGTCAGTAGAAACTCGGGCGCATATGCAGCCGGATTCTTTGCAGCAAGGGCGTCTGTGGGTTGGCTTCTCGGTAATGCAATTGCACCGAGGGATTCCGCGTGGCCAGCGAAAATAGCAAAGCAACTGTAAGTTGAAGATGCCGGGTCCAATCTCCATAGCCTGGCGGTGTTGTCTTTGGCGCCCGTAGCCAACCAGTGACCGGACCAGTCCACATCAAGACAGATTATTATGTCTTCATGTCCCTCAAGAACAGCAACATCACTGCCAAATGAAGGTGAAGTTGCTGAAGGATCCTGTTGGCCAGGACTGTCTGCAATTGAAATCAACTTGATGCTCTCCGTATTTGTAGCAAGGGCCAGCATAGTCCTAGCCGGTCCAACGCATGCCATGTCGATGATCTCGTCATAGTTGCCGGATATAGTGCGAACAATTGCGGGCACTTCAACTAAAGCACTGTCTCCCAAACTCTGGAGATGCGAGATATCGTGCAATCGCATGGTATGATCTTGATGGACTGATAAGAGCTGACTGTTGCTGGGGAGTTGTATGATGGTCGAAATTGAATCATTTTCCAACTTTGATTTTTGCTTTGGGGTCAATTCTCGTCCATTGCTAGTTTTCCAGAATCGCAAAACTCCGCTTTCGCCTGCAGCATAGCAAAACCTGCCATCTTCTAGTAAGCCGGCTGTTTCAAGCACTTCTAAGGCAGGAATGACTTTTTGCTGCTTCCAAGTATTGGAATTCCAGAGAATAATAGTTCTGTCTCGACTCGCGGATAACAACATCTCCTGAGTGGCTGAGAAACATATCGCTCGCACGACACTAACATGAGAGTCTAGCAGAGCTACTGACTTTCGAGAGGCCAAATCCCAGATTCGGACTTTGCCGTCTTCGTCGCCGGATGCAAGGTAAATTAAGCTCGATGTCGTTGATTGTAGTTCTGGCTGCTCGTCATTCCGGATCTTCCTCTTGCGACTTGACTCAATTATTGCCTGTGAGCCAGTTTTGCTTGACTCCTTTTTGAAAAAGGTCAACGCAGATATGACACCTCCATGTCCATGAAATGTGTGCGAGGCATATCCACCTCGGACGTCCCATACCTTTAAACTACCGTCCGCGCCACCTGTTGCGAGTAGGGAACTAGTGGCATCGATGGCAGAAGAGACAACCGGAGTGGTGTGAGGTTTCAGCGTTCTCACAAGTGAAAATGAGATGTCGTCGGTGTCAGCAGATCTCGAAAGGGTGTAAATGCGCAGGGATAGAGATCTCGAGGAAATCACAAGATGTGAACTGTCCGGCGACAGGCATACGTTCGTAATGGGTTCTCCATCCCCTTCAATCCGGCAGAGAACCGCCGTTGATATCGTGTCCACCACCAGCACATCTTCATCGACGCATGTAGCGATCAGTGAGCCGTCGGAATTGCCAGATATATCGCCGCCGGTGTAGATTGGCTGAATGGTCTTGGCAACTTCAAAAGTTGTCTTGAAATTGACCTTGGTCGCCATTTAAATGAAGTTTTAAAAACCTTCCAATGTCTTCTCAATACACACAACAAGCGGAGAAGTTTATTTCGCGCATGTTCTCTGGATTATGAAGCACCTGGAGAGGTTGGATTTCTCGGCTTCAAAGGTGGTGATCCTGTCCCAAATTTTTCCTCAGCACCACTCGCCTTCAAAAAATGTATGGGTTTAGAGTTTATGCGCTAGTACACTAGCTGCCGCCTCCCGCGTCACAGCCTTGGCATAGACAACGACCTCCGATATCATGAAGTACCACTGTTAACCGCTGCCACCAAACTCGACATAAACTCTCGAGTCTCTATCCAGTGGTAGCTCGCAATCCGTCCCCGGATACACCCGTCAAGATACCTCAATACTGTACATCAGCAATCAGCGATTCTCTCATAGTCATACAACATTGCGCGACTTATGCTGTTCGCACCTCCTTTATGGTGCCTTATTGTTCGCCAATGTTACGCGACATTAGCGACTTCGATTGATGAATGGCGAGTTCATCTTCACCCATACTAATGGTTCAATCTAGTATCATCAAAATAAATCTTATGAAATGGGTAGACAATCCTACCTGATAAGATTAGCTCTGGTAGGCCCGCAAACCTTTTTCGCTGTCTAAACTCACTAGGGACATGAGTTTCTCCCTTCTGCTCTATGGTCTATGTTGACATCTTTCGGATGAACTACCTTGCTCACTCATCAACTGTCTGACCAAGTGCTTCTAGGGTCGATCGCCTTTTGATCCCCCACTCAAAGATGATCATGATCAGTTCATCGTGGGGCCAAACGTACAACATGACACTGCTCGCAACTATGTTCAGCAATTTGACTCAACTGGCCACCCATACAATCTCGGGGCATTGTACTCCAAAACTCGGCTTGTTCGAGCGCAGAATGATGCTCTGGAGACTGTTGGAGTTGTCGTTCGCAAAGCCAAAATGACCCGAAGTAAATGGCAATCCCTGCGTAATCACAAACAGCAGAATTGCGTCGTGGACGAAGATCTCGCTGGTCATAATTACAATGAGATCCATGACTTGTTTCAAAGCTTGGCCCTGAGGTGGATCAAAGCATTTCGTAAGAGACTACTTGTGAGCATGAGATACTCTCGCTGTGCTTCTTCACTGATCAATTTAGATTTATAAGTCTTATCTTGGTCTCACGGTGTTCACCATAATGCAATCCGAATGGAGTATTGCCGGAACAGGAGCATTTCTACTGCCAGGATACTCCATGGCCGCTCTGGCAGGTCTCAGCAAAGATCTAAGGGATGATATACTAGAGCGACGCCCCAATCCAGTTCGGATTTTCCACCCTGTATTTCGATTCCAGGGGGTTTCTGGGATTCTGCTCAAGCAATTGTAGGTCATCTATGTACCATGCGATTGCATTCTAACATTTCTCAGCTTGAAGTTAACATGGTTCGCTTTGGAGTATCCAATCTATGCTACCTCTATCCTGCAGTCACTCTACCTGCTTCCTCAAAACACTATCCCATCTGTCTCGGATTTGGTGTCGTTCGACATTGGCCCGCCCCTGAGACCCTTTGACAATGATACCTTACTCTCATGGCCATCTTTTTTGCGTGCTGCTAGAAATTTCCTGCTGCATCCCTTTGTCTTAGCATATATTCGAGAGATATGTGGGCGACATGTTTATCTATCGACCCATGCACTTGTACGAAAAGCTATTCTCAAGCCTGATCGTCCGGATCGGGTCTCGTTGCAGACCATTGGATACACTGCTGTTCTCTTTGATCAACGCTTCGCGAGACCGGTTGCCGGGGAGGAGAATTATGCGTACCAAGATCACGGACCGCATAAATTTGTTAATTTCTTCAGAGACCTATTCGCGCGGGTCTTCCAAGTGTGGGAGGGAATACTGCAGAGTCGAGAAACTACGATGCTTGTGGATCTACCTCCAGCTCTGGAAGAGGAATTGATCAATCGAAGTTCCGAGTACTATGAAGCATTGCTTGAGGAAGAGCGCGGGCTGCTTCCAGAGCAGCGTCGCCCACGCCGGACGCTACGCATTCAAGCCGTGAGATCCGCTTTCAGCTACTATGGTTTGGTGGCTGATGGTATGCTTGGTGGCGATTGGGTAGACGAAGCAGTCAGGCGCTTTGACGACAGCAGCGCGTCCACGTCAACTCCTGATCCGCAGGACCTTTTCTCAGACGATCAACTGGTAGATCCACTACCAGATCACCCCTCAACAAATGTCCATAATGATGACGCTACTGAGTCCATTCAGATCCCGGATCATACAATCAGCGCCGAAGAGCAAGAAAGAGCCAACAGTGGACTGGCAGTTTTGACTGGGTTGTCTCTAGTAGAGAATACTGAACCATTGGATGCACCTGCGACATTGGCTTTCGCGCCCATCATGCCTCTTGAAGCTCTTCTTGGAGAGAGACCCTCAGGCACCCAAACAACCCCTGAACTACGTCCTTTGACCCCAGAATTTGGTTTCTCACGATCTGCTAGCTTGCCTCAAGTTACACCACGACCAGTCCGTCGACCTACCGACCTCGGAGAGGATAGCCGCCCATTACGAGAGGAGCTCAATCGACATCAAGCCATGCCACAAGTGACAGCAGATGGTGATGACACCCACTATCGTGTGACGACCCTATCAAACCATCCTGCAGATGCGCTCGCTCGTGATATTGCCTCAATTGTCACCCCAATCTTGATGTTACCGCTTGAGATACTGTTCTTGAGATCACTAACAAGGACCTTTCTGATCCTTAGGTTCAATGATGAGGCATTAGCAGGACGCAGTCCACCACTCGCTCACATCTGGCCTTTATCACCACGAACAAGCGTAGAAGAACTTGGTATTTTGAGATCTCGAAACTTCTGGGGCAATTGGTTTCTGAGTCTCGGGATTCAAGGCATGGTCAGTCTGCTCACATGGACTAGCAGTTCTTACTTGACCTTGCACCTTGGGCGAGAGTGGTATGGGTGGGGTAAATTCTAGCGCAAATTTCATTGGTTCAAGTGGCATAAATAGAGATTTCGCAGGGACTGGGATTGAAGCTGTACCCATTAGTCTGTATTTGAGTCTGTTGCATGTGATGGGATCAATAGATAATCCAGTGGGCGGTGGAAAAAGCACAGCCTTGCGAGATTGCTGAGTCAGCCATGCAAGGCTGTCCCCGCACCCACGCAACAAAATGTTTGTGTAGTTTGCTCAACTTCGCCTGCACAAACGAACCGCGTGACCTCGTAATTGCAGCGGACTCGACTTGTCCACAATGGCGAAAAGAAAGTCTGAAGAGCCTCTGGAGAGTCACGTTGAGGGCTTCTCTCCGCCTCCTCCCAGCAAGAAGGTGCGCATTGAAGACGTCCCAGAGGAAAGCACGATCACTGCCATTGGCACATCTGACGATGAGCCTAGGCCGCAGAGGACGAGATTGAACGGTGCTGATGGTGCGAATGCGCCGATGCGAGATGACCATGACCAAAATTCGGCAGATGACGATGACGATGCGCCACCAATAGCTCCTCTCAGGCAAAGCGCGCCCACCGAAGGCTACAACGACTTGTACCTAGACACAGTCAACCGTTCCCTCCTCGATTTCGATTTCGAAAAGCTGTGTTCCGTTACACTCTCAAACATCAATGTCTATGCATGTTTAGTGTGTGGAAAGTACTTTCAAGGACGAGGCCCAAAGTCCATTGCATACTTTCATGCACTCGAAGTTGATCACCACGTCTATATCAGCTTGGAAACACAAAAGGTTTATGTGCTGCCGGAAGGCTATGAGGTACACAACAAGAGCTTGGACGATATCAAATATGTGGCCGATCCAAGATTCACCGAAGATGATGTGAAGAAGCTGGACAAAGAAGTCAAGGAATGCACAGATCTAGGGAATAAGAGATACCGTCCAGGCTTCATGGGCATGAACAATATCAAGGCCAACGATTACCTTAATGTTGTGGTACAAACCCTTGCACATATCGCGCCTCTACGGAATTTCTTTCTCCTTCACAGATTTCCGCTGACAACGCCACAATTACCTGTCAGAACGAGCACATTGATACGCAAGCTGTGGAATTCAAGAGCCTTCCGATCTCATGTCTCACCGCATGAGCTACTGCAGGAGATCGCGCTGCGATCATCTAAGAGGTTCACATTAACCCACCAGTCGGACCCTGTGGAATTTCTCTCATGGTTTCTGAACAACTTGCATCTTGCTTTGGGGGGATCGAAGACGAAGCCTCTTTCATCCATCATTCAGAGGACTTTTCAAGGGAAGCTGAGAGTGGAATCGCAGGCAATTACCGCAAAATCAGACACCACTGGTGATCGTCTGAGATTTGAGGAGTCTTCAAACATCACAACCAATGTGTCGCCATATTTAATACTCACACTCGACCTACCCCCAGTTCCCCTATTCCGTGACGCCGTGGAATCGAAAAATATAATTCCTCAAGTACCCTTGACCTCATTACTGCAAAAGTACAATGGCATCAGTGCGTCTGAGAAACAAGCCCATCGAATTCGACACCGACTTTTGCATCCTTTGCCTCCATACCTTTTCTTCCACATCAAGCGATTCTCAGTCAACAAATTCGTCTCCGAACGAAACCCGACCATTGTAACATTCCCGTCGCCTCGAGGACTGGACATGTCGCCATATGTGGAGCCAAACCCAGCCCTCCATCCGCCAGGCGAGCCCATTCACTACGAAATGGTCGCAAATATCATTTTGGACACAACATCTGTCTCTACTGGTGGTGGCGAAGATTCGAATGCCGCAGATGCAGCAAACAAAGCTGTGGGAGGCGACGGGCAGAAATTCGCCTGGAAAGTCCAGCTTCGAGATAAAGCCGCGGCAGTTTCTCAGAAATCCAATGTGCCAGAGTGGCTGGAGATCCAAGATCTTTGGGTCGAACGCGCTGAAGCCGAGACACTCTTTACAAGGGAAGGTTATCTCATGGTATGGGAGCGTAAAAGAGAAAAGCCGAAGGCTACGAATGGTACGCAGAAGGGCAAGGCTAGGGCATGACATTAGCGAAGTATACCTATCAGGTGACGCGGCCGATCTAGTTCCTGGCTGATGAGTCGAATATCTTGCCACATCGTACTCTGAGCCTTAAAATCGTAAGCGAAACATAATGTATCTACAATTGGAAGCGGCGTACTCCGTACCGACCTTCTCGACTACACAAGGATTGAGATATGCTGTGTAGATCGCTAATTACTAGCTAGCGATTTAGCTATCGTGCAATGCGGATGATACGTTTTAGACCTCGAATGACGAATCCCCTCAGTACTGGCCGATCTCTAACTTAAAAAACATTTCTACGGGTGTTTTGTGCAGCAAGCATTCTTCGCTTCCACAATTTCTCTAAGCCGATATAATTGTGAAACCATGTTGATGCTAAAAGCTACACCGGCATTGCTCTTGCTAGCAGGCCAGGCATATACGTATGTTCTAAGCGATATCCAGGAGCCCATTCGCGCTCCATATGCGGGTCTTGCCAGCCACGACAAGTTGTCAGAAGTGATCTCATCATCGCCGTTGCTTTCGTTGCACAGGGCTATTTGTGAGATTGAATCTGTCTCGAACCACGAACTGCCCGTCGCAAAGCTCATCATCTCGTTCTTGGAGGCTCATAACTTCACAGTGCAGACACAAAGTGTGCCACTGCAAGACACCACAACGGATACCGATACTACCCGGGCACGATGGAATATCTACGCGTACCCGGATCCTTTAAAGTATGGTGGTAGCGAAAGTGAAACATCGCATCCGTCTCCAAAGGTGCTACTGACCTCGCACATCGACACTGTGCCTCCACACATCCCTTACTCCCTGTCACTACCCGGAAAGGCGGATAATGACATCTTGTTGGCGTCGAGGAAGGATATTCTGGTATCTGGCCGTGGAACGGTAGACGATAAAGCTTGCGTCGCGGTCCAGATCCAGACAATCTTGGACTTGCTCGCCGACCCATCTACAAAAGTTCATCCTTCTAATGTGGCGCTTCTGCTTGTTGTGGGCGAGGAGAACAGTGGGGATGGAATGAAACATTTCTCCGATTCGGAGCTCTTTCAGAAGACGAACACGAATTACAAGGCTGTTCTCTTTGGCGAACCAACTGAGGGAAAACTGGCTACGGGACACAAGGGTGTCTTTGGGCTCAGAGTCAATGCATATGGCAAGGCAGCGCACTCCGGATATCCCTGGCTTGGGCGGAGTGCAACCAGCATGATTCTACCTACCTTGTTGACTCTAGACGGACTGGGCGATCTCCCCGTGTCAGAGGGTGGTCTTCCACGCAGCGAGAAATTCGGAAAGAGCACTATCAACGTAGGATACATCCGTGGCGGTGTGGCTGGGAATGTCGTCCCGGAATTTGCAACCGCGGACGTGACTTTCAGAATTGCGGCTGGTGAGAAAGAAGAGATTGAGCAGATTGTCCGCAAGGCGATTCGGGCTACTGATCCAGAGGACCTACTGGACTTGAAGTTCTCCCTGGGGTATGGCCCCATTAGCTTGGATGCTGATGTCGAGGGCTTTGAGACGATTACTGTCAACTACGGAACTGATATACCAAATCTGGAGTTGGCACCTGAGGTCAAGAGGTATTTGTATGGTCCTGGAAGCATCCTCGTCGCACACGGCAGAGATGAAGGATTGACGGTTGGGGATTTGGAGGAGGCACTTGATGGCTATAAAAGGCTCGTTCATCACGCCTTGAAGCTTTGAGTCTACGAAAATAGCTGCACCAGAAAAGTTACTAGTGATAAAATATCGTGCTTTCGTAGTATTGTCCGCTTATGGAACTCCAGATAGTACTGGAGCTATCAAAAAGTATCATTCAACATGTATCTCATTTCTCCTACGAGTACCCAGGTAAGTTTAGGTAGGTTCCAGTTCCAAAATCTTGAGACTTGAATGGAATCACGCATCGAATACGGAGGAGTACTACTCGTGAGTGAGCTCAAGCGTTCGCCAAGGGATGGCTGGCGCTTTTCCCTTTTGGGCTGCCACATTCGCACTTTCCACATTTTCCTTGGCGCTGCCGAACTTTTGCAGTTGCACCTCCCGGTGAACATCAATTGAAGATTGATTTCCCACAACCAACGACGACATCTTGCACACCCTCAGTCTCCGTCGCCAATATCATCCAAGATGGCGAAGGAAGTTGCTGAGAAGACAGGTCTCACTGTCGGCTTGAACAAAGGCCATGTGAGTCTCCCATGCACCACCGACTCACCCTTCATTCGATCGAAATTACCACGAGATGATTTGGTCGACTGGACAATCTCATGATCACAAACCTATCATCGTCTCATGGACCTTCCGCTACTTATCTCTATACCGGTACTGCGTTCGAGGATAACATGCTAATCTACCTTCACTCGAATAGAAAGTCACAGTTATCACACCAAAGCCTCGCATTAGCCGTACCAAGGGTCACCTCAGCAAGCGCACCGCTTTCGTCCGAGAAATTGTCAAGGAGGTCGCCGGTCTTGCCCCCTATGAGCGTCGTGTCATCGAATTGTTGAGAAACTCCAAGGATAAGCGCGCAAGAAAGCTGGCAAAGAAGCGAGTATGTTCTACCCCTCACACCTTTGGTTTCTGTATGGTATTGGCATAAAGAGAAGGGTCACAGAATCAACGGCAGACTTCGATGTTTCAACTGATTGTGAAGGACGAAGAAGACTGTTCATTGCTGTGCTTGATGCACATTTATTGTTGGACAGAATTACTAACATAGTCTTCCCCAGCTTGGTACCTTCGGCCGCGCAAAGAGGAAGGTTGACGAACTGCAGCGAGTCATCGCCGAGGCGAGAAGAACCGGTGCTCATTAAACGTGGTCTTTTTTATGGCATTGGCGAACTACAAAAGATTCAATGGAATACTGAAATGGCATCCTTGATTGTCGTCGGACTGGAAGGCAGGCGCTTTAGGGACCGACCAAGAACCAATTCGACGGGATGAAACTTGAATGCTGCAAAGAAGATTTCTGCCTTGATGATAAACAAACCTCGTGAGGTGTGGTCATACTGATTCATATGCACCCAAAGAATACACCTTGGGAGAGACAATCAAGGTCCAAATCATGAATCAATGAAAACTTTCAAAACAGTGTATTATTTCAGATCATGCCTCATGATTCGTTCGAGCGTGAACAGATATTTCTTCAACAACTCCCCGGATCTGATATCTTCGATGGAGGTAAAAGGTGTCCGTCAACGGACATTAACTTCAATCTCGTCCTGATCCTCGAGTCCAATCTCCTCGACCGTTTTTTCGGGTTCCAATCTTTCACCGTCAAAAACCAACCATACGCTTTTCCCTTCATCTGGTTGCCTGGTCGCCGCGAACCCTTGAATCATTTTTCCAACCGATGTATGCGGCCGGACACGCAAATTCATCGGCTCAAAGGATTGGCTGACGAGGCGGATAATGATCGAACCCTTCAGCTTCTCCTCTTCTTCCCGTGCCGCCGCTTCTTGCTCCCTTTCGTCGTAATCGTCATCCTCGTCATCAGACATTTGGGCCTTGCGCTCCTTTTCGCGCTGTCGTTCGTCAAATATCTCTGGTGTCATTGCTTCTAGTTCAATGTGTCCATGACTCGGGTCTTCTACCTCTGAATTCGCGTCGCCGTCATCATCGTCATCGTCATCCATGTCCCCGTTCTCGAAGATATCCCGCTGCTTTGCTGCTTGATCATTCTTCAACTTCTGGATCGGCCCGCGCATGGTCGTCGAGTCGAATAGCCTCGTCCCTCTCCATGTGAAGAAGACTTTGGCCGTCACCTTCGGGTCGAGTTTGTTCCTGGTGCACCAGAACTCTCGCACTTGCTTGAGCGGCTGTGAGACTTTGCGTTTCACGATCAGTGCCTGCGCGTCTGGTATCGAGGATATGATCATGATTCGGACTTCTGGGTCATCGATCTTTACCCTTTCTTTGTCATTCTGTGCGGCGCTAGACTTGATGTCCTGTTCGGATCGCCTTTGCTTGAGCGAGGGCGGTAGTCCTATTGTGGGAGACAATCTCGCAGCGGACGCGGCTGGTAGTGCTGCTGCTCCTGCTGTTTTGACGACAGGGGCTAATGTTCTATCTGGGCTGGAGTCTGCTGGACCAAGTTTCTGCCGCCGTGCCTTCTCTCGTGCCTTTCGTTTGAGTTCTTGTAAGAATTCGTCATCCTCATCCGATTCGTCATCGTCCAACTGGGCTTTGGTCTTAGTTGAAGCCGAGGGTCCTGATTTCGGGTTAGGGGGTGTTAGCATAATCAAGTCGTCGTCTGCCGGTTCATCGTCATCAAGATTCACTGGTGTGCGCCTCGGGGATACAATACGCCATAGAGAGGGAGATATCTTCGTTTTATCATCTAGACCCATGTGCAGGTTCTTGCTCGACTTGGATGTACTTCGGGTGACTGGGCGTTCCTCCTCCACTAGTGGCGACTCTCGTTCTCTGCCGACGGGACTCGATGCATTGCTTTGCACGTCCGAGTCATCGAGGGTAACAGTATTTTCATCCTCGGCATCTAATGAGATCCGCCTCCTCTTTGTGTCCCTGCTTTCAATATCTTTGGCCTTCTCAGCGCGCTCTTTTGCTTTCGCCTGCTTCTTCTCTCGCTTCCTCTGCTCGGCTACGAGTAAATCCTCGTAGACTGCGTTTCGCCCGAAGATCGAGTCACCGCTGGCAGGCTTGGTCGAAGTGCCGGGCGCAGTAGCCGCCCAAGCGGGTTTGCTGAACAGGGATCGTTTGACACCGCTGGACATTGCATGGATCTATCGGTAATACTGCGTCATGTTGATGGTCGCAGTATAACGCATAGTGCTGTGAGACTGAGGAAATGCGACTTCCAAGTGCGGGAAGTGAAGACCGGGGCGGGCTCTTGCACCGGGGCCGCTAGTGGCAGCCTTGTTGCAAATTCGCCAAGACAAGAGACAAAATTCACGTGACTTCAGTGAGATCGTGTTAAGTCCTCTTTGCCGGATCATGAAATCACGTTTGGAGACCAACGAAAACCCAAATACGCAGAGTGATGATCTGGGGTGTACACTGAAGAGACCACAATGAACATCGTGCTAATGATTCGAGCTTTCCATCGTTGGTACTTGCTAAATATGGCGTCCATGAATCATACCCTGATTACACACGAATCATCGACTGGTGGATGTGAACCAGAGCAGCATCACAAACGTGGTGTTCACCTTCCAACATCACATCACAGTTATCTTAGTCGATGAAGAGGCCGACTGCATAGACTCATCTGAGGTTGCTACACGTCAAGATCAAAAGGTCAACTAACTAGAAGGGGCAGTAATCAACCCGCACGCCCCCACCTTACATTTCTGGCGTGGTAGGTAATCACCATATTTTGCCCCAAAGAAATACTCCTTCCTGATTCAAGTCCTGAATTCCAAAAATCCTCATCCTAGGAGAAGTCTGCATCGTGTTCGAGAGCCGACACTCCGACATAGCTCACCGCAGCATATAATTAGGTTCAACTAAGCATCAATGAAGAATGGCTGTGGATATCTTGACGTCACATAGCCTCGGTCGGCTGAAAGGCTGGCTTTGAGGGGTCACGCCTAAGAAGTATAAGTATAGGTATCTGTCAACGACGTCGTCAAGAACGCTTAATTGCGAAATGACAAACATTGGTACTGCAACATAGAAATATCTACTCTCAGTATTTCAAGGCCGTACCGGAAGCACTATACTACCATGTCAAAGGAGGTGAAATCACAGGCGGCCGCTAGCGATGGGATGTAAGTCCACAATCTCGATCCATCAGCTTGACCTAGTATGATCGCTTGTGTTGAACTTCCTCTAGCCAGAATACTTCCGGGGCTTTGGTCGCCGCCGCAAGCGGGCTATACGTGGCTGGGATCCCTCTCACCTCCTGGCTGGCGCAGCCTGGCGGAATGCTCGAAAAACTCACCAATGCAATTGTGCGTACGATCACTGGGAACACTACATCCGACCGCGCCGTACCAGCACTCGCAGCTCTCTACTTGTTCTGGACTTTCGGCGCAAGCGGTGCCTGCTCAGCCGCAGGCCAGGCTATGGCTCGACAGGAAGGTCTCGACAGCAGCACTCCTCGACAGTATCTTGGTCAGATGAGAGGTTTGCCACTGCGATTGTTTTCAGCCCACAGCAATTTGATGGAAACATTCCCGAGCTTTGCAGTCGCTGCTGCTTTGACGCAGGCATTGGCGCCAAACAACCAGTTACTAGTAAATCTTTTGGGATTTCATGTGATAGCCAAGGTGTTCGTGTTCTATCCCATGTATCTCTTGGACGTCCCGCCACCACGGACCTTCTCACACATTTTCGGGATCTCATCTGTCCTCAATGTCTGCTGGCAGCTGGCTAGAGGTGCAACGTGAGCTTCATTGCAAACAGCCTGACTTTGAGACCATCGCTTTATGAATATTTGCCAAGATTCACACAACGCCTTCGAGAACAGGTAGCCTGTGGTTGATTTGGATGATTTCGCGAGCAGTGGCAGCAGAATTTACTGTGTAATTTAATAGACTCCCTGACCTGATGTCTTGATAACTAGTGCTTTAGGCCAAACATTAAACACTTATGGGATAGAACAAGTCAGACCTCAGCTCGGTAAACCTCTACTCAAAGACGTGCTGCTCCATGCGCAGAAGGCCCGACTCCAGTTGGGTCCTCCCCAGATGTCCATTGAATTGTGAGTCGCACGTATTCAATCTGCCATCTGCCATTTGATTCCTTTCTGAGGACCCAGTTGTAGAAGCCTCCTGAAGTCTTCATCAACATACAACCAGATTGAGAGGAGATGAACGTAGTCACTAGAACGTACCTTCGTCGAAATGATCATGATGAATCTCTTTCTTCTTTACCCATTGTGCGATACAGTTGGTGCGTACATACGCCTTACTTTTGTCGGGGCTGAAAGTAATGTCGAAATTACTACTCAGCAATTGACACCTTTCGAAATACTGGACTGAAGAAAAGGCCCAGCTACCCTTTCCAGCACGACCTTTGTGCTGACCGAAAGGATACACTGCGACGCCGTCTTCTGCAAACAGGTTCTCCCATTCTTGTCGCTTGGATAGGTCGAAACACGCATCGTCATGGAGAGCCGTATAATGGTTAAGAAGCCATTGGACTGCTTGGATATCTTGGATCTCTGAGATTTGACGTTGTAGAAGACTAAGCTGAGCTCGAAGAGCTGTAATCTCTTCCGACTGGTTCGGTGATGGTGCCATTGGCGAGTAATAGATGTCGGAATAAAGTTGTTTATGCCAAGTCAACAAACACAAGTGGTAAACCATATGAAGGCTTTTTGGACTGGAGGCAGAGAGTTTGCTTCGAGATGAGCGGTATGAAGGACATAATAAGTATACTAAGATGCTCTAGCCAGTACTACTTACGGCCTCTCCCAAGATTCCAACTGGTCGAGCATACCACAGGAGTGAGAAAGGCTGATGGAACGCTGAGTCTCCGCCAACCCCACAAAGTCCTCCGTGGGGTTCAAGGCCTCGGATCATGCACATTGCAATGATGTTTTGCTCTATATCCGTTTTGGTGATCAAAAATCGGTTCCAGACGATCGGGTTGGGCTATGAGTTACAGCTATATCGCTCACTTCAGACTAGTCCGGGGTGCCAAGATTTGACATTGGCTTTAAACCAATTGGAATACCTGGAGGGTAAGCGAAGGCAGAATGATGTTCAATTGGATCGTCTGGAGCCAGTGCCTAAGCAAGGACACTCGCAGGGGTTCTGAGGGGCTTTGTAGGCTCGTATCCGACAGTCTGCATGGCTCTAAGTACTATAATACTCAGCATTCAGCTCGGTAGTCCAACGTAAAGCATGCTCCGTTCGCATTGCTTTGCTGATTGATAGCTGAGTCTTTGGTCTTTCAAATATAGGTTACAATGGGACAACGCAAACCTTTCCTAGGGCTTGAGGGGACTGCACTCTCATGGGCAATCAGCTTAACATCTGCGAGTGCGTTCCTGTTATTTGGTAAGACCGCCCGATGGAGCAATGGGGAGAGATACTGAAACCTGTTCCCAAGGCTATGATCAAGGTATCATGGGATCCATAATCGCAACACCGTATTTTTTGCAGGCTGTTAACATCGAAGTGAGTGTATACTTCATCCGACATCACAAGCTGCTAACAATGGTGCCAAGGCAAGCGATGCCGAAACCATCTCCACGGTTGTGTCCATTTATGACATTGGATGCATGGTCGGGTGCTTGGTAGCAGCTGTCTGGGGCGGTACCCTCGGGCGTAAACGGACGATCTTTTATGGAATGGGGATCATGGTTGTTGGTAGGCATGCAAGTTGCTCACTCGATGACATATTGCTAAACCAGAGAAGGTGCCATCCTTCAAACTGCATCTTACAGTGTAGCGCAGCTGATTGCAGGCCGAGTTGTATCCGTATGTTTTTCCATATCTGTGTGAACAGCCGCTGACTTGTTTGTTTAGGGAATAGGAAATGGCAGTGAGTTTATTCTGGTATGGGACGAAAACGTACGATATCCATACTGAGAACATCGACTAAAGTGAATACCGGGACGGTTCCTGCTTATATCTCAGAGGTGTCGCGTGCACGTAGTCGAGGCAAACTGGTCGCGACCCAATTATCCATAGCGGCTTTCGGCATAGTTATTGCCTACTGGATGAAGTAAGTCAGCCATAAAATTTGACGTGTGCAAGAAGTGTGCTGATAGATCCTTCCAGCTATGGCTTCTTTCATCTTTCCGGACAGATTGTTTGGCGCTTCCCTATCGGTACAATTTCTCCTTACAAGAGCATGTGTTCTGGTGAAGTTAACGGTTGTAGCATTTCAAATTGTCTTCGCACTTATCACTATGTGCGTTATCCCATCATTGCCAGAAAGCCCGCGTTTCCTGTACTCCAAAGGGCGCAACGAGGAAGCCGACATTGTCATGAGCGCCTTGAAAGCACTCCCACTGGAACATGAAATTGTTCAAGCGGAACGCGCCGAAATCCTAGCAGCTATTGCATTAGAAGACCATTTCGGGGAGTACAACATCAAAACAATCTTTTATGACAAATCTGGCCAGAAGATTCCTCTTCGCATCGGTCTCGTCTGCCTCATACAAGCCATTCAACAGCTCCCTGGAGTGAATGTAAGTATTCCCAATGTCTCTTCGATGCGCAACGACGCCCACTTCGGTGCCGTGTTGGTCGTCGGGGGTCGTCGTTATCATCCGTATGTCCATGACTGATGGCGCATACATCAGATGGTCATATACTACTCATCGAGTATCTTCTTGAATCTCGGAATTGCTGCGAACACCAGCTTGATACTAGGAGGGGTTGCATCCTTGTGTTTCTGGCTAGGATCCCTTGTGGGCATCGCTGCGGTCGAGAAGTTTGGGAGGAAGAAGCTTCTTCTCTCCGGTTCACTTCCAATGTTGATCGCAACATGTGTGTATTGTGCCATGGTTAAATCCGGAGGGGACACCCAGCTCTGGGTGGCATTTGGTTGCACTTGCTTGATATGTGTTTCGTTCGGATGGTCATGGCTCCCTGTGTGAGTCACCAGCATTCTGGAAGATAAAGAATCCGGTGCTAACGACCCTCCCAGACCATGGTTGATTGGCGCCGAACTCTGTCCAGTTCGATACAGGCATGTTGGCTCGGCAATGAATGCCTTCACAAACGTAAGTCGCCAAGAATCACACTGATGATGGTCATGATCGAACAACTACTAAAACTGCTTCTCTGAAAGTGGGCTTTCACTTTCATTATAGTCAAGACTGGTCCGATTGGCCTGGCTGACATTGGTTGGAGGCTGTACATTGTGAGTCAACTTCTGCAGTGATCGGTTTAGCGCTAAATCCTCTAGGTGTTCATTATTTTCATTGCATTCCAATTTCCAATAGGTGAGCGAACTCCTGGCTAGCTTCGTCTGGCCTTCTGACCGAGTGCAGTATGGTTCTTGTACCCTGAAACCAAGGGCCGATCGTTGGAAGACATCGATACCCTCTTTGTAAAGGACGAGACTTTCACACAGACTCTGGGTGAAAAATCGGAAATGGTGCGCCATCTAGAAGGGCATAAGACCTCCATTGCTGCGTAAGAGCGGCCTATCAACTGAGGCATATGATTCCATGGTGAACGGCGAACTGCGCTTACATGCAAGGATATCATGTTACACATGAATTGGTACAATCCTTTAGGGAGCTCAGCTCCAACCGCGAGCGATGTCCCGACACGAAGATGTAGAGTCTGATCGCCTTCGCGCGTAGATGATTCGAGATGTCACGGACTTTTCATGTCCATACTCTTTAGCGTTGGTGCTGTGGTAGGGCGGAAACAGGTTACTATTGAAAGAGAGCGATGCTTGAGAACTAGATTGTCCACGAAGGGACTAAATGTTGAGGCCCTGATCGCCAACAGAAACGCGTCGTTCAAATTGCAAATGCAAACGAGTGACTGACTCGGGGCTAGTGCTTAGTAATTCGGGTGTGATTTCCTTAAGAGTGCCATGTGGTTGGCATGGTACCTAGGGACTTCATAGCTATGACCAGTGACCACCATAAATTCTTCAGATCATTTGGCTATCGAAGGTTGGTTGGCTCCTGCATACAATTGTAGAACCTGACCTCTTTTCTCTCTGAGCCCTTGTGGCCCGAATTCATTTCCAAGCTCCTCGCCTCCGGTACGCAGCATGCCCTAATTCCTCGTGCCAGTGAGGATAACTCATCTACTCTTCAATACTGAAAGCAACAACATGGAACCTCTTCGGCCTATAGCTCCAGACCTGACACGAGGTGCTGTGGGAAATCTAGGGCCTATCCAAAAGCCCAAGATTGCCCCAAAAAGGAAAACTGAACAAGCATGTACTAATTGTCGTAAACTTCGGCGAAAGGTAAGAGGTATTATACCCATAGTCAGGCATCTCTAGCTGAGCTGAGACTGTCAAGTGCGATGGGGCAAGTCCTGCCTGCCAGACCTGCTTAGAAAATGGTCTAAAATGTGGTTATGAAGGCTATGTTCGACCACCAGAACGATTGACACTTGCCCGGGCAGTCAGGTGAATATTTCCCCGGGCAGGCATTCATTTTGGTAGACTGATGGCAGTCACGCAGGAGAATAGCTAAGCTTGAAGAGCGCCTTCGGCTCTATGAAGGGCTTGGACTGAACCGGACCTCTGCACATGTGATCCAGACTTTCGAAGGCGCTAGTCCACAAGATGTAGAGGAACAGAGTGCAACGCTACCTGAAGAAGACGATATGGATCAAGTACTTCGAGGTGTCAACCGTTTGACCATATCTAAAAATCCAGAGTTCTACGGGGGATCGTCTCTAAATGCCATCATAAACGACGTAGAGGCGTCCGAAGAAGCAGAACCATCACAAAACCCGGAAGACGCATTAGTGTCAGCCGATAACCACCTATGGTCGGCTGAGGCGGACGAATTGCGCTTCGCAGACATGACAGATTGGTTTCTGCCATTGAAGCAAACTGCCGATTGGTACGTAAAGACTTACTTCCGGACCTCACATAACATTTACCCTGTTGTGGAAAGACGGTCTTTCATGCGGCGTTATGATGACTTCTGGTTGGGTCTTTCCACTGAAGGACACATCTGGGTTGGAATTATGTACATGGTCCTTGCATTGGGCCATCAATCCAGTTTGGTCGACCCAGATTCTACTACCAGATATCAAGCTCTCCAACGCACAGATGGCGAGATGTGTTTTCTGATGGCAAGATCAACATTTGCCGACGTTCCCTTTCGTGGTGGCGACATTTCTGCAGCCGTTAGCATGTTCTTAGGCTTTGTATGGCTCTACAATCAACAGCGATTTCACGAATCGTACGCTATTTTAGGTGCCGCGACCCGTGTTGGTTATGCTATCGGGCTGCATCGAAAAACCATTCAGGAGAAGAATGAGGAACTTTCAGCTGTCAAGACGTTGTGGTGGAGTCTTTTCATCTATGAGACTGAGTTGGCAACGTGGTCAGGAAGACCCTGCGCTATCCAGCCACACGAAATGGACGTACAGCCATTTACTCTTGAAACGTCGCCTGCCAGCCTGCAGTACATTGAGGCCATGCGACAATTTTCCCACCTGACATGGGACGCTTACGAGAAGGTCTATGGTCTTCCCTTCAAATACGCCACCCCAGAACATCGAATCGAGGCCCTGCGAACCCATGATCAAGGATTTGAGACATGGTACGATATGTGGGTACGTTCAGATTTGTGGTCTCGAGAGCCATACGGTCTGATCCTCAGACTTCGTTACGGAAACATACGGATCCTGTTGTATCGCGCCTTCCTCAATTTGACCATACTGAGGGTGAAGAAGAGGAAAGAAGTTCGAGACGAATTGGTCTCGGTGGCGGCAACTTGCGTCCAGCTGGCGTTATCATTCGTCAAAACAACAACTGAATCTGTCCATGTTACAAGTAGCGGTATAATTCAAGCTGCCCTCTTTCATGTTATCGGGTACCTATGGAATGCTACGATAACACTGCTCTTGTATGCGAAGAACAAGTCAGCACATGCGATGCTTTCTGAGAAGGGGATTCACTATGAAGATACAATGAAGCACGTAAAGCTCGCGATGGATTTCTTCGACGTCCATAAGTATGGATCTTCTACTGCACAGTCTGCAGTCTTGAAGACCGCGCGTCTTATTGATAAAATTCAAGACAATCACCAGCGCCCTCAGAGTAGCTCTCCGGATTCATCCAATAACATCGATATGTCATTTGAGCCTTCAGATCAACCATTAGACTTCCTGTCACAAATGAGTGATCCTGGGCTCATCTTTGCGGACCACTCCCTCCCGAATATTTTCTCACTCAGTCCGGACTCCACTTTGACACCAGATGAGAATCAACCAGCACTCGCAGGCGAATGGAGGAATGAAAACGAACACCTAAATTTCTATGGTTCTTTCGGGTGAGGTGCAGTTGCAAGTCGTGAGATCACCTGTTCAGCCGTCGCTGATATCATGTGTCCTCACTTGTTCAACCAAGCCTCAAGATGTAGAGATTGCTGTTATTGTCGAGGCCATGCCACCAAGTTCATGTCTTCCTGCACCCAGATTCCATGTGCTATCGACTTGGCTCCATTGATGGGGTCTGCGACTGACCAGTCGAAGTTCCTCAAGAACTTTGACAATGTTAGCAAAAGGTCATACTTAACGAATAGATTAAACAAACCTCGACGATGGCCTTGTTGAGTTCCATTATGGCAATATCTTTGCCGAGGCAAACGAATCTCCCGCTGCCGAAGATTACTTCAATGTGTCTGAGATATCTCGCCCGAATGGACGGATCTGGATGAAGCCACCACTCAGGTCGGAAGATATCGGCATCATGGCCAAAAATGTCCTTCCGACGTCCGATACCTTCATCGCAAATAGCGATTTCTAATCCAGGAGGATAGAAAACTCCGTTTATAGTTTCACCTTCAAGGGGCGATCGTTTACTCTGGAGACCAAAAAGGGGTGGATACATCCTCAGGCCTTCCCAGATAACAGCCTGGAGATATTCCAATTCCAGCGCCTCGCTGTACTTGATGACTGGGTACGAGACGTTACCATTCACAATGGCACTGTCAATCTCATGGGCAAGTTTCCGATATGCCACAGGGTTCGCTACAAGCAGCATCATGGTGATTCGCAATGCGCTCGCTGTAGAATCCGACCCAGCAAGGATCTGTAAATGTGATTCCACTTCAGCCTGCTCCTGAGTCATACCTTTGGAAATGAAATGTCCCAACATATCTCGCTTCACCTTGGCATCGGGTCGATATCTTTCAGCGACAGCTTTCTGGGCAATCCCGATGATGGCTCCTTGACCAACTTTGTCCGTCCCTTTTGGGGCTATTAATTTCTGGATAAAACCGCTTTGGATGAAAGACCGTAGATTTTCATGATTGACGATCAATTCGAGGACACCGAAGAACTGGTTCGCAATCTTGTGAAAGTCGTACAGGTCCGCGTTTGCCTCGACAAAGCCAAATGAATCTCCAAATGCAATCAGGCTCAAAACATCCAGGGTGAAATAAGAGGCAATCCGTGACATATCTAGGACAGTTCCGTTATATTCGCGTCGAACGAGGTCGAGGACTTTGACGAGGACCCCATCGATATCGGATTCCAGGGTTTCGACCTCTCTTCCCGAATACTTGAACGAGAATTTAGTTATGCGAAGTTCGCAGCCGTGTTGTTCATAATGCACAGACTTACTGCGCCTATCATTTTTGATCTCATCTCAGCGTGTTTTTTCTCATCGCGCTCAGACAAGATATTATTCATCCTCGGATCCAGTCGCACACCATCGTACCAACCTCCACGAGTGAACTTAGATCGTGGCGCACTCATATGCCTCAGAAGCTCCGGGTCATCGGTGACAAGCAAATTTGGGGCGATACGAGCTGGCGAGCCTGGGACAACATTTTGTCAGAATGTTGGAAGTATTTACATGAGGATTGAATCTGCGACAAACCATAAATCCGCAAAGCTTCCTTCTGAGCCGTGGGCATATTGCCCGTAATAGCTTGCTTTGCCAACCAAAGGCTTGTCCAGCCGGCCAGTGGGGGACCCTTGAAGTGCGCGAGTTTACGATAGGTGCTATAAGCCTTGAGGCCGTGATATATCACGAAAGCAACTAAAGCCAGCGGCAGTATCGTCAACGCAGATGAAGGCATGGCGTCAAATTGTCAGTCGTTTTGATGAACTCGAAGCACCTCTCCGTGCGGCTCCTTGACCTAAATCCAAGAACAAATACTCCCAGTCTAGCAACTCTCCTATGTTAGTGAGGCGCACCTGGGAATGAATGTATGAATTTGAAGATCTCAGACGAAACGCTGAAGAAATTCACAGCCAGGGACTTCGGAGGGTGAGGTGACCGCTGATGTTGAGCAAAAGGGTAAGTGGTACAAGTGCTACTGGCGTTTCGTTTGTTGGCCACTATCTCTATTTCGCCTACTGTCCCGTATCAATGGAAGAATTCGATCCATTCACACGATGATATTCTGCGCACAGCAACCTGTTTTGAGTTGCAGTTGAGGACGAGCGGTGGAGGGGTATGCTGCTCGCATGTCTTAGCATCATCCAGCATGTCATTGGAGTTGAATTTGCCGATACCCTACAACTATGGAAAATTGAGATAAGTTGCAGTCTAGGTGCAGCCAGACATTACAACTCACTATTGTCGAGCACCACTACTCCGTACTTCGCCACGTCAGAAATCAACGACGTGGAGGGATACCCGTTTGGAAGCTCCACCCCTGGTTTCCAGCGGCTTGCAAGGCCCGTTAATCCCGAGTTTGGTGCTAACGTAGCCAGTCATTCTAGGCTCTGGACATCCTGACGCCTCCGATCGTGCGGCACATCTGTCAGTGGCCGGCAATACTCGATCCGTCGCCTCGACGATTGAGTTAAGGGCCAATCCAAGCCGAGCCACTGTCAAAAGTAAGTCGAAGTTAGTTAGCTAAGCCACCAGATGTACTTTGTACTTTTGGGCTCTCTTGGAAGGGGATAGCATTTCAGAGTGCTCATGAACACAACTCAATTGATATCTTGAGCCTTGAAAGCTCATTCAACTGAGTACCTTTCTACGACTTGCAATAGCGCTTGCCGGTCTTTGGCGTCATCAAATATCTCGGCATGATTCAATTCGGGGAACCACATCACCTCTAAGTTCTCGGTTCCAGTCCATTGGCATCTTTTCCAATCATCTTTGAGTGCGTCATCCTGTTCGTACCATGGTTGTTGATCGGTCTGTGATCGAGTGAGATAGCGTCCTAGAGTATTGGTCTCAGTGATGATGTCTTTGCCAGCTAAAGTGACAGTGCAGCTTCGACTCCTCCCGTCTTCGGTAGCTGCCCGTTTCTCGACGTCTTCACGCCAAAGCGAATTCTCGGACCAAATGAAGCGCCTGGTCAAAGTGTAGGCCACGTCGGGGTCTGTGGAAGCGAAGTAGTGTAGTTGAATCTCGCTTGCGGTAGTTGGTTTTCTCCTCAGAAAATTCCATGCTACCTCAGGAGGGTGGAAGGAAAAGGCAACAGGATCCACAAAGATCATTGGGCCGATCATGCTTTTTGTTGTTGGATCATGCAGCATATGCGCAGCCACCACTGAACCATAGCTGTGGCTAACGACTACGCATCGGGTCCAGCCGTGTTTGCTCAGGATCTTCCGAATCTCACATGCCATTTCTGCTTCTCGAAGGAAAGGTCCAGTGATGCGGGAGCTGATCGGAAGAATCTCGAGAGCAATCATACCCACACCTTGCGGTCTTACCTTGGTGAGAAAATCCTTGAAGAAGTTCAGATAGAAGTGCAAACCTACGCCAACACCGTGGATGAACAGGATTGGAATGCGCTCAGCAGAATCATGAGGTAGATACCAGTATGGGATTTGTGAAGACGGAGAACGGTGACGCGTCAAAATTGACCAAGGCCGAACGGGAAGAGATTTGAGCAGGTTCGAGAAGCCGGTGCTGTAGAAGGCAAAGCCGTAATATCGCATAAAGGCACACATCTCAAAGTCTGCACCACCGATGAAACACTTCCACGGATTTTCAGTATTGTGATGCCAAATTCTGGGAAGAGCTTTAGACTTACGACATACCACAGCAATGGCCGATGGATAATGCGCAATGGCTCAAACGTCACGGCCATCGACGTATGTTCAGATCGGCCATCAGGGAATTTCCATTTGAGAACTCCTTCCAGGTGTGCAAGGTACTCCTCTAAATCGTCCTCATTCGTAGGCCATCGTTCGATTGCATTCCACATCCTCCATGAAATCCAAGCCTTGACATCCTCACGGGCCAAGTCCTCGATCGGGACACCTTTGAACCAAAGGCTGAGATAGTTCCGAGGATTTGGTGTCGATTCCCATGTTCTGAGGAACAAAGCCTTGCGTTCGGTAGAAGAAAAGGGCAAGTTATGTTTTGGAGCAGGACGATTCAACCACCATTTCCTCAAACGGCAGAGTAGGTAGAAGCTCACTTCAATTGCAGCATAGGCATCTACTAGATGCAGAGTGGTAGACGATGCGAATGGTCGCCAACCAGCGACTCTGGCGACACAGTATGTCGTACTCAATGGAGCTACGGACCTCAATAGAAAGATGGAAATCCGAATAAAGGCCCGTGACGCAGGACTGTCTTTCAACATCCCTCTGTCGCTGCAATGCGAGCAAGGTTTTTGGTCCTTGGCGTATGAAAGTGGCCAACCTCATCCATCTGCTGGGCTAAAAATTTCTGGATTTGAGTAACTTCTCGTTTAAATAGCCAAGTGAGATTCAGGACGATGGTAAGACACCATTCATGTTCACAGTAGGGTCGTGTTGCTCTGACTGAAATTTGACCCAGTCACCCAGAATATACGAATTCAGATGACCTTTAGGACAGCCGGGCTCGCGTTGGCCGAGACCAAAAGGAGCAACCTCGAAAATACTTCCTTAGACGCCTAGATGGGGTCGCGAGATAAACCTCGTAATGCTATCTTTCTCCTGTCGTGGTAACGAGGAGATGAAGAGCACAACCGACGTACATCTCAAAACGCGAATGAAAAGTCAGCATCAGGCTTTCCGGGCATGTTGGTGGCGCTTTCCACAGGGCGTAGTGCCCTGGGTTATGCCGAGGCCTGGTGCTACCTCCCGTGATGAGTTAACTATACTAAATGCACCTCGTGATGGGAACCCGAGGGTTAGGGTAGTACTTAACTACGTTGACTGGTTACCCAGGTAAGCAGTTACTGTACCTCGTAACCCCTGTCCTTATGATACTGTAGTTAGTACGAAGTTGCACTCACAGGGCGTCGCGTTGGAGGGCGCGATCTGGGCCAGCCATTATTATGACCAAACAAGAGGCCGTATGACTACCATCGCTAGCACCCAAGGCAGTTCTTCAAGTAATGCAAACTGTATGATAAAAGGCACATTGTGTCTTCAAGAAGGAGTTGTGGTCCTTGTTGTGCTTCTTCATCATTCATTCTTACTTGGATCGACCTGAACATGATGGCTGGTCAAACGATGGAGATGCGCGACGCTTCAGAGGTTCGCGAAGAGGTAGAAATAATGATTCCTACTCCTTCTTCTGAAGAGGAATATCCTACCGGGCTTCGATTCATCTTGATCACCATCGCACTTATCTTGAGCATATTCCTCTCCGCCCTGGACTCGACCATCATTTCAACAGCGATACCAAAAATCACTGATCAATTTGGTGCTGTTCAAGATGTGGGCTGGTACGGCAGTGCCTATGCCATTACGAATGCTGCTTTCCAGTCATCCTGGGGCAAGGGTGTAAGTCTAACATATTTCGTTGGCCAGCTTTACTAGGAGGCTTCAGCTAATCCTTGCTTTACAGTATAAACACTTTCAAATGAAGCGGGTCTTTCTCTCTGCCATAACTGTCTTTGAACTGGGAAACATCATCAGTGCGACTGCTAATAGCAGTACTATGTTGATCATCGGTAGGATCGTGGCTGGTGCCGGCGGAGGTGGTGTCATGACAGGCTCTTTTATCATCATCGCTCTCACTGCCAAACCACAGTATCGTGCAGCATACATGGGAGTTCTCGGCGTCACATTCGGCTGCGCAAGTGTGGTTGGTCCCCTCCTCGGCGGAGTGCTAACTGATTCATATCTCACTTGGAGATGGTGCTTCTGGTATGTCCCTTGAAAATATGTAACTCTGAGAACTCACCCTCCCAGGGTAAATCTACCGATCGGAGCATGTGCTGCAATTCTCATGACCTTGTCACTGAAGGTACCAACTGCCGCTCAACCGAATCCGAATTCGTTGAAGGAGAAGGTTGTCTCCTTGGATTTGCCTGGGGCTTCTCTCGTGGCAGGTAAGCAACAAATGATGCCTAGGATTCAAGTCCAGAGGACTAACCAACATTGATGGTTTTTCTAGCGGCGATGTCATGCTTCGTTCTAGCATTGCAGCGCGGTGGAGTATCGACAAGCTGGCGCGACTGGCGTGTCATAACCTGCCTTGTCGGGGCTGCCTTACTCACTATCCTGTTCGTTGCAAATGAATGGCGCTTAGGCGACAAAGCCATGATCCAAGCACATCTGTTGCGGAAACGCGCAATCGTACTCAATCTTGTTTACATCTTCTTCCTTGCTGGCCTGTTCTTTCCTCTGAGCTTTGCCCTGCCTATCCAATTCCAGTCGGTGGGAAATACAACTGCATCTGAAAGTGGTATTCGCCTCATTCCGCTCATCTTGGGAGTATCGGTTGCTACCATGGTCGCAAATGGCATTCTCACTTTCTGGCGACACTATACCCCTTTCCTCGTGGTCGGAGCCATAAGCGCGACAGTGGGTTTGGCAATGGTGCACTCTTTGGATGCTGATGCTGGCATTCCGAGGTGGATTGGGTATGAGATTATTGTTGCTACTGGGGTAGGGCTCTCGCTACAAGTGCCCATGATCGCAAACCAAACGCAAGTCGGCGCCGAAGATATTGCTGCAGTCACATCATTGACATTGTTCATCGAGACAGTCGGCCAAGCCCTCTTCATTGCATCCACAGAAGCAGCCTTCACCAACAGCCTCATATCTAGCTTGTCTCGTCTCCTGCCAGCTTTGAACCCAAGAATTGTTCTAGAAACCGGTGTGACGGGCATTCGAACAACATTCAACCATCAACAAACGAATGACATATTGGAATCTTATCTCCAGGGCTGCAAGACAAGTCACTTCGTTCCACTCGCCGCCGGGGGTGCAGCAATTCTGGCTGCCTTGGTTGTTGCCGTCCCGTCTGGTTTCAAGGAGTATCAGGCTCGGGCCCGCAAAACCTCTTGAGCTCAAAGAGTTTACCCATCCATGTATACCTCACCACTTCCAGAGAGAAGAAGACAGAGCGAGACAGGTGTAGAAAACTCACATTCATTGGGCACTAGCTATCCGATCCGTTGAGATCCTCGAGAACAACTTGCCTCACTTGTCGCTCCCCCCCCCTTCTCGAGCAGCAGCCCTTGCTGGAATCCGGGCGCATCACGTACACAACACATATAAATCCGCGCCAACGAAACACATCGCAGGATCCCTGCCACAAACACCAGATTTTACACTTTGCCTCCATGTCAACAGTGGTGGCTTCTCTACCAACCTGTACCGTTATGCACGGAGTGATTTCTTATCGTGTGTGCGCGTGGCAGGCAGGCAGTCCTGGACAGATGAAACGCAATTTCTCACCAGCGAGCTACCTACCTTGCCCGCCTTGGAACCTGGGTTCAAGTATGAGTCTCTCTGTCCAGGCCGTGGCTGAAAGTCAAAACATAAGCAAGATGGAAAACAATGAGGTGCCCTTTCGTCGATCAGCAACAGCCAGTTCAACAGTTGATTAGTACTTATTCCCGTTCGTAAAGGCACCCGGCGCCCATCACGGATGACCTTGGTGCGACGTGTATGTCGTAATCTCATTTAATTCAAGACGCCTTCAGCCGTCATAAGTTTTGTATACAATGATTCTATACCCACTTTTACAGGATATCCCAAAACGAAACTGGCATATCTTGCCAACTCCCAAATTTAACTGGCCCAAATACGATATTGTACTCGTGACAGTCATTCTTCATTTACACAGGTCGCTTGAAGGGATGCGCTTCGGTATTCCTGTGGCGCAAGGTCAGTGAAAATCTTCCTCGGGGGTGTCGTTGGCTGGTTGGGGAAAATACTTACAAAACAAATTCGTCCAGGCTGATGAGACTGGGATCGCTGAACAAGAGGTAATAATACTTCAGAGTCTCCGCCAGCCAGAATGACTCCATCGTGTCATCTTGCTCCAAGAGCTGGCTTGTCACGTCTTTGACCGCTGCATGCGCAATGTCGGTTTTGGTGGCCCTGTCAACGGCATTAAACATGGTCCATCCTTTTTCACGCCATGACTCGTCACCGGTGAGTCGATACATGATGAAGACTGACTCGATTGCTTCGGGACGGAGCCGATAGTCTCGAGCCTTGATTTTCGTGTACCCTGCCGGCAATCGCTCCTCGGATATTCTTGCTGCTACATACTTTTCGTGGGAGAGTGGTACTTTAGGAACAAAAGGTTGCACCTTGACCAAATCATCATCGTCTTCCTCATCACGAGTGGCTGGAGATGTCTTTTCTGGTGCATCATCAGAGCTGGATTCCGTGTCACGCTTCCTTTTGGAGCTGGGATCGGTCAACACCAACGTAGTATCGTCATCTTCGTCAGCCCATGCCTTGTCAGCATTTGCAATTGCCTCTTCGTGCAAGACCTGTTGTTGCAAGTTATATAACTCGACAGCTTGAAACCGCTCTTTGAGTTGTGGATCCAAGGCTTTATGCCACTTGGCTTGATCCCATTCGCAGGAATTCAAACTGCCACATGGGACGAGTTCAAATTCTTCCGCCATAACCCCAACAGGCGTAGAAGCATATGCCCATACACAGCCATTGGTCAACTTCTCTGCAATCGACATATCACTAGGGATGTCAAACATTTTGGACCCCAGAGCAAACATGCCTCCAGCGAAACAACCAAGATGAGTTCCCTCGTACTTGGTGGTTCTTCGCTTGGACTCGTTCTTTTCTTTTGGGGAAATGATTTGTTTCGCTACGAAAAGAATGTCATGTTCCTCCTTGGTCATAGGTCTGTAAAGTAGTTTATCCCTTACGACCTCCATTGCCTCCAGGTACATGGCTTTGTACTGACCATTAAGTCCCCCTAACAAAGCGTGTTGTTTGGGAAAGTACTCATAGGTGGAGTCGGCCATAGCACCGATGCCATAAGTGTGACTTGTCGCATGTGGCTCTGTGTTGAGGCCTTGTGCCTCACAATCGATGTCATTGAACTCCTCCGCCCATTCAGGCACCACTGGCTTTTCTGGCTTTGTTTGCTCTCCTTCGCTCTGATCTTCGCCTGATCCTACTGCTTCCTCTGAATGGCTGATCAGATCTGGCACATCTCGTGATGGTCCACGTACTTGTCGTTTGGACAATGAAGAACCTTCGGAGAGGCCTTCGGAGCGACGACCCGCGGGAAGTGAAGGTTCGTCGAGCTCAGGGATATCCTTGTTTTCACCATTCACAAGCGACGATGATGCCGTCTCAGTCGAGGCCTCTCGAACGACCTCAGGTTTCTTGCAACCAGAAGCATCAAGCTTCAGAGGCCAAAGACCAGGAAGAGTGGTTTGCGGCTGCCATTTCTCGAGGGCATTCGTCACTCTCGCCACCGCATCATAATACTTTACCTCTTTGGTTATCTGCGCCAGTCGGGTGAATTCAACAGAGAGAGATCCAAGCTCTGCCAGCACCATATGTGTACTGGCACGGTGTGGCTGTGACGCATACGAGGGAGCCCAATTGTAGTACCCAATGGGCATTCTGTTTGGCGTATCAAACGCTCCCATGAGAACATCAGCCAGCTCAACAGCTTTGTCCAGCAAGACCTTATGTTTGGACTTGCTTAGATCATAGGCTGCAATGAGACCACCGAGATACCGAATAGTGGTCTCAAAAAGGGGAATATCCTTCCTGGTGGTCGTCTTGAAATCAATGTTCTTTACATGTCCAACAGCTTCTTCAAATTCGTCGTGAAGCCCCATGATCCATAATGTGTCCAGGGAGTCGACGAGTGTGGCGCCCCAACCGTTGAAGGGGTCTCCTGCTCCCTTTGATATGGGCTTCAATTCATCATGAGGCAATGAAACATTTTTATAGCCATGCCAAGCATGCTTAAATGACTCTCGCACGGCCGTTTGTCTTCGCAGCCTTTCGCTCTTTTTGGTTGACGACTCCTTACCAAAGGTATGTTGGACGCGGGGGAGAGCCTTTGGCTGTCCAGTTGGCATTTGTATCAGGCTTTGCGAAGGCACAGGGAAATTCTCCTTTTGCTGCTTCCAATATGCGCTATTCTGTCCTTGTGGCCGAGGCTCAACCTCCAATCGACCTTGCCCTCGTTCACCAAAGTCATCTCCTAGTGTGGGCTGTTTCACCAGGAACTCTTCGCCCGTCACAGTCGGCCGTGCATCTGGATGGGCGATGGCACGGGACGAACTCGATTGGGATTGTCCTACGTTGCGGGACTCGGTAGGCAGGGCTGCAGAAGAGACTGGACGGATCACAGGCTCAATAGAGAGCAGGGGTTCTTCCGGTCGAGGTACCGGAGTTGGGAGGGAGTCAAAAGTCGGCGGCGTAGGCTTTGCGCTCCCTGGGTGGAAGCCTATGGCAGCACCTAATGTCGAACCGTCCCATTTATTGACCCGACCGAGATGATATAGTGTAAAGATGGCCAGGGACGCCACGATAAGGAAGACTCGGTAACGACGAAGGCGTAGCATGACTGCGTCTCAACAATGGAGATGCTTCAATGCTTGGAGGTATGACTGTGAGAGAGATAAACTCATGAATTAAATCCCATTGATGGTTGGATACTGCAACCGGGCAAGCCAAATTATCAGGTGGTCTTGATTAGCACGAGCGAAGCCAGTTCACCCAGGTCAAGAGGAATCAGCTATACAAAGACAAGGAACAAGACAATAAGCAAATGTAACACAAAATCCGAAGTCTGTAGCCGCACGAGGGCATGAGGAGCATGGGGAGGATTCAACCATCGCACGCTGGCTGGGCGGGAACGAGGCTTACGACACCAGTCCGCGAATCAGGTTCCACAATTTTGTTCCTTCTCCGGGATACAGAATCACGTGACTGATGTCGGCGTACCTGCTGTATTCGACGGGGACCGGAGCGGCTCTATATATTATCCGATGCCGACACCTTATGTTTTCAAAGGGCACTTCAGTACAGTATCAACTCGTGGGAACATATACAGAAAATCATAGTATTAAGTTGTCTCGATCGTCCGTTATACTTTTCTCATCAGTCATTTGTTGTCACATCTGGTATCAAGTCTTTTACTGGGCGGTTATCCCCTGTTGATCCGCCGAACCCCATCCCCCATTTGTTCATGACGTGCTCTTGTTGCGCACTCCTTTCAATAATACAAAATTGCACAAGGCAGGGCTCTCATTGCAGCTGCATCGAAGCTTGCCGTAATCTTTGTTCTAATTCAAAGTGTAGGGTTTCATGCCTGCCCAGATATTGAAATCCTGGCATCGGCTTTTGCTTGAGCATCTCCCCAACGGCGGAAACGAATGTCATCACCTCCGAGACGAGGTGGACCAACTGGTCCTGTTCGGCCGTCACCATGGTAGAACACATGGCTGCATCAAAGAAGCCAGGCATCGCCTCGGCGAAATGCACTTGGTCTTGAAGAAACTGTGAATCCAGAGCTCGAGGCTCCTCCATTTTGCATACGCAAAGCCTCTCACATAACTGCACGAGATGAGTGATGATGCTTGATAGTACCAAATGGCAAGCGTAATCCGATCGAATCGTCTGACTTCTCAGAATTCTCTGCATCGCAGCATTGCACTTTCGAAGAAGATCGATCTGCAACTCCCGTGGCTGCATCTCATCACTCGCATGCTTCTTGATGTGGGCCAGAAGTTTGATGCAAACCATTTCTTCGTCTTCCTGCACGCTGTCCACTTGGCGGGTTGCCGCTGGGCTTCGCTGAGGTAGCTGTAATTGCGATGCATCGGCTTGCACAAAGGTATGCCTGGAAGTGGGACGAGTTTCCAGTTGGGCCGGTGATAGGTACCTTGTGAATTGCGGTGGGCTGAGAGCTGGCGTAGGCAGCCCACTATTATTGAAAAAGGTCATCTCGCTGGTCATGGAAAAACTTCGGTTGTCGGCCATGTCGATGGCATGAAGAGCATCCGCTGTCTCATCGAAGCTGAGAAATCCCGGTTCCTCCGGACCGGCGATGAAAGAGGTCCATGGGGTTACATTACAGTGCCTTTTCACTGGTTCGTCGGAGCCCTGAGTGTTGGCTGGTGAAGGTATTGATTGAACAGGGGCTGTGTTGACAATCCATGATTGGGAATTAATGTTGCCGATTGAGTCGTCTACGGGTCGTTTCCGTCGTTTACCCACAACTTTGCCGACTCTCGACTCGCTATAGACGCAAGATAGTCGTTTCTCGGAGCATCTCCGGCAGCCTTGCTTATTGCCATCACATCGAACCTGTCCCATGGCCGTCAGAAATGATTCGAGTTGGACAGACATGGTATCACTCTCACTCACCTTGGCCGAAAAGCAATGATTACACGCGGCTCTCAATTTAATGGGCTTTGCATCCGACTTGGATGGTGGCGTGGGGAGAGCTGATGGGGACGTCGACGACGTCGAGACGGTGGATGATTTTGTTAGGACTGGCGGAGAGCTCGCGGTTGATGTTGATGTTGATGTTGCTGTCACCCTAGCATCCTGTCAAAAGGGTGCGTCAGGTGGGAAATACAATGCACTCACTCAGCTTGGTCAACCATGGTGGCTAAGAACAACGGTCGAACGGGGTCAAAGAGTGTTGAAGTATAGTTCAATTCAATATGCGAATAGTACTCGTAGTCGAAGTGGCAGGTTGTTGTGAAGGTGGGTAGGTGGGTAGGTAGGTAGGTGGAGGATGGTTGCAGTGTTTTGGTGTTGAAGGATTAGATGAGTGTTAAGGTTGAGATTGATAGAGTGACAGGCTTCAGCTTGGTGGCACAGGGCACGTTGTTTGTATATGCATGACGGGCGTGGCTGTTGAAATATTAGAATAGAAAAGTATGGTGGATGAGCATTTACGAACTGGTTGTTTAATTCTTTGGACCAGGGGGGAGAGTGACAGGGGTTCCTAGAGCTGTGCCTAGGGGTGGGGCGGGCAGCTACTGTTCTTCGTACCCAGTATCGCCGTTCCACGGACCAAGGTTTAATCGCTTTCCCGCGTGGGATACGAGGGTCATAGGGTTTTGGTTAGCAGTCAGCGCCAGCCAGGCCCCAAGACTCTAGCAGCAACACAATCAGCAAAGCGAACAAGATTGGTGGGGCATTGACATTGGTGACCATGTCCATTTTGGACCCATCCACGCCCATCAGATTTCAACTCCTGTCAGACACAATCCTTGGATTACCCTGTCCACGCCAGTCCGACCAAGGGCCCCAAAGTGAGCCTGCTTACGGAGTGACTCGTGCATTACTCCCGAGTCCCAGCAAGATCTCCAAGCGTTCGATTTCAAACACTTGCTGGTCTGAGGCTACTCATGCACGCTGGCTATCAAATACTAATACTAGTCGATCGTGGAGCTGACTCGACGGCCCTTCGGCTCAGCATCAAACCAACTAGGGTCATGTGTGCTTGATCATCTATCGATACTAGATCGGGCAATTATGTGTACAGGAGATTTCAAGCATTCAGTACATCTCTGGGGGAACGACGTTGACCATTAATCTCTAATCACCAACGCCGCGCTGAGCCTCGGCACGCCTTTGGCTTGCTGAACCACATCGCGGCAAGGGCTATCACAAGGCTTCCACCACGAAGACCCTCTGTCGATACTCAACACGGCTTCCCGTGTCGATGTGGAGTATGGAGGATTACATGCTCGCTCTTCACAGCCATATACGAGCTTTGTATTTACTTCACGCCCAAAGTAAGAATGGCTGACTCTTGCCCACAAGTTGTTGCACTCAGCCGTACGGGCCGCAGTTCCCTAAGCCGCAAACAGCGACTTGTTGAGATTGGGACATGGCGGATTTGCCCAACTTAGTGTTTAGAGTGACAAGGCTTGAACTTGCTTGAAGCTTGGGGCAGGTTGGGCTCTTCATCCAATTCTCCTGAGACTCGATGATAATCCGCATACGAGGTACAGTATTTCGAACAAAGCCACCAGGTTACTCCATTTACCTTTTCGGTCATCAATTCGGATGGCGTTGCTCTTATATTGGTGCCACTGTCGTTAAATCGAGCCCCCAGGTTACCTTACTCGTACTCGAGTTAAACGGATTACTCCAGATGCGGCACGAACTGAAGCGCCACTACCCCCCTATCACAAAGACAATCCTATTGTATGGAGACTCTTGCTGGAGTGAGGATACGGAGCACTTTTATGACAGTTCTGACAATTCCCCAAAAGATACTGAAGCCAAAGTACTTATGGCTGTGCACTGAAAGCATTGAAAACATTAGGACTGTTGACTTCATACGCCGTACAAGGCTCAAGGCAATGCACTTCCTTGCGCGGTTTTGTGCTTTCATACGTAGTAGATATCCTTGTACCCTTGCTTTCTCGATTTATGGTGAAGCAGCTTCTTCTCGAAGAGGCGGCGACTGCTCGTAATGTACGACTCAGCAAGTAATCATTATTAGTTATGTGGGCGGGGATCTGCAAGTAGTCAGCGTGGAACACCTCAACTCCTGAAATTTGCCGGTCATGAAGTTATGACCGCAGCGTCTGTTCTCTGAACAAATACAACGGCAGGATGCAAAAATACGCATCCACCTTCTATGCAAGACATTTACCTTGTAGCATCTGACCATGTGTACGACGTAACCAGTAATGGAGATTGCTGTCTTGACTCTCAAGAACAAGTTTTTTTACCCCCGCCGCGGGTTAATGAAACCATCAATAATCAAGCGTCACCTATTTCACCTCCCTCGTACAACAAAGTACTTAGTACTGGCATCAAATTGATCACTTTTCCTCTTTGAGGTTTAGTCATAATACACCCGTTGTCTTATCGCTCCTTCTGCACTGACACGGATATTATCTTCCAGCCTGATATCACGCTCCACAAATTTGGTCGAGGAACTCCACATGTCAAGATCCGCAATCTCGGGAGCTTGACCAGGCCATCCATAGTCACAAACAGTGGCTTTTTCCACGCGCTTTGCCATGCAGATCGTCTCTCAAAACAGATCATTTGGTCTCCCTGAGCCCCTTTTCTCACTAGATTTCAGATAGCGACATAGTGATATGGAGAGATACCGGTAGGGCTGTAACACTGTTCCACACTAGCTTTGTGCCATGAACCATACTTTGATACGAGATATGGGTTTGCCTGCTGAAGAGAGAGTGCAACATCAAATTGGAAACACCCAGTTCGTAAGTCGCACGCAAAGCATAATCAGTATCATCACTAGACACAATTTTGCGAGTCCTAACGAAAACTGAGGACGCCGTGTCAGACATCACAATTTCCAAGAAACCTCAATATGCGAAAGTGCATATTGAATTCATCAGCACCAACCATCGTCAAACTCTTCCCTTCTTTGCAGACTTCCGAATCTCTAACAGCTTAGGTCTTACCAACAACGTAGCGTCCAAGAGGCTCTCAGCCTCAAGTCAGTGCCGATGCTAGTCGATCCAGGGGTAGGGCGGTGGAGCTTTAGTCCGTGCTAAATTGCTTACATGATAAATCACCCCAGTTTACTATTTAAAGCCCGAGGACAACTAACAACCTCAACCAACCTACACCACAGCCCTGCCGTTCTCAATTCAGCCGGCACATCACTATCTGGGTATCCTGCGGCATGAATTGGCCACTGGACAAAACGCATTGCGACCCTGGATCGAAGTAGTAGCGAGCTCTTCAAACCGAAAACGCGAACCCGAACTAGGAAACTCGAATCTTTGGACCTCCAGCTGCCAAGTCGCATCACGAGAGTTAAGACGATAGCCGCCAATTGTTCAAAACCGACTACTGCAATTCCCATTACCTCGTGATTGAAGATTGTCACTGCCGCTTGAATCCCAATCAAGTCTCAGCTAACCGAGCTGTTGGGCTGGCTGTGCTCAAGGGCAGCGGCACATTCGTCTAGGCTTCAGCATATGTCAAGTGCTACGGTAGCATATACCGAGCACAGCGTGAAGCACAGCATGGAACCGAACACACACCCTTGAGGATCCAGAACATGCACCCCGACATTATGCTTGCGTGATGACCACCCTAGCGGACTCCCTGTCCGTCACCTCCGAGGTCGCAATGTGCACTGCATTATTGTGTGCTTGTGCTCCAGAGCGAGGCGGTCGGATCTCCGCTGAAAGGTTGACCGTCCTTCCCAGTGCTCTTACCGGTGCCCCGTAGAAAAGATGCAGCCAGCCACGTTGCCAACTGCTCTACCAATCGCTATAGAACACAAGTGAGGGGTCGACATGATACCCAGTTTTTAATGGAGGCGAGCCAGGCCAAGCTACACGAACTTGCAGGCCTGTGCACGCTCACTCACCGCCCAAAGGATTTCTCTGCCCAGCTTCAGATTATCATTGTCGTTGATGAGTGTTAATCAGCAGTTTTCTATTTGGAGTCGACCTTGACCTCCTGATAATACGGCACATCTTTACCAAATTCACCAGGCGAGAATAGTTCACCAGGGTCTTGATGCTGATTGATCAACCCCTGGAGTGGTCTCACTCACCAGTATGATGGCCCTTCTCTTCGGTTTCTCGCCCCTGCCCCTTGTGCGACAAGATTGATCTTGTACATCTTTCGAAATCGCTTACACTTCGGGACCAAGGACCTGCTCGTCACTCATGGACCCATTAATTTCGAACGCAAGCTCTTGTGTCTGACACCTGAGCAACAGATTCTTTGGAAATGCCTATCTCCGGGTCCGCGGATCAGCAGCGCTGTATTGGGGCCGTGTGATACTACGGATTCAACCAAAAGTCCAGTACTGCTTCGCCCTCGAATTCGTGTGCATGACGTTCATGAAGACTATGTTGTGGTCCTCACGGGAGTATCACACAATAGAATGAAGCCGACAAGCTTGCTTGCCCAAAGGAGGCTGAGCGATGGGATTATACCATATTATTTATGCATAGTGCCCAAAACCGTGCAATGCAAGGCTCAGATGGCGTCCAGCTTGTCAGCGATCGGAAACTATTGGATGAGTAAATGGATGATTAGTATCGGGCTAGTTTGACCCCAGGTGAGCTTTTCCATATGAGAAGTCGATGGCGTTTTGTCATTACTGGGAACAAAACGCACTCTGCAACTTCAATGAAATGCAACAACCGAGTCTGGTATGGTTTTCGACTGTCATCCATCCATCTCCACTCCGCGGAATGATCCAGTATCCGCACCCACATATGCGAGTATGGTGGCATGCTGATCGGCGCTGGAATGATTTGTCGAGCCATCTCCATCTCGGCCTCTTTCGCCGCCAGTCAACACGAACAAATCAGATTCAACCTCGAGGGACGTTTCGTGGCATCCATCCAAATCATTTCACCGGTGCCGAAAAGTTAACTAAACATTTATTAAGTTGAGTGGACGCAGTGGAGCGATCAACTCCCTCGCCGGAGAAGTTTCAAGACGATGGCAATTGATTATTATTCACGGCTCAGGTCAAGCTAATGATCCTTAATAGTGGACTGAAACATGCGAGATATTCTGCCTAAGAAGTCGGCATGTCCTTGCGCGGGCTTGGGAGCGTAACGGCGGCTCGAGGCTAAGCTTTGCCAATTGCTCCCAGACGAACTCTACCATTGTGCCAGAAATGCCCAACAATCATAACTATGGTGTCCCACGGTGCACTGAAACCTCCCAATAACGAAGGATCATCATCTTAAACTCCATGGACGCCCAGTCTCTGAACCGCATTCGACCGATGTCCCTCCAATAGCCGGGCCTGGGAGGAAAAGGCCTCCCAGACCGACGTCAAGAATGTGCCACCTAGCTACTCTAGATTCCGCCCAATGCTTGATTGTGAACTGTATCGTGGTTCTGTCAGCACCGAGGCAAGTCTTACGACATCACCGAAATGAATAGTCAGGCATGAATGGCCAACCGCGGTAGGCGCAGAATCAAAAGGACTGCAAGGGTGGGCCTTATCAGTCTGCAGGGTCCAATACTATTGAATTTGAGGGAAGCATATTGATCACTCGTGCTAGGGAATAGAAATCCTCGGGTCATTAGGTCCACCCGGTTTCGGTTTCGCAACGCAATCACGGAATGGGACAGCAATCGGTGAGAGAGTCGAAGCATGTTAATAACGGGCAATAGTCGATTCTATTGGTCCATTCGGATATCAATATTCTCCTCCAGGCTTTCCGCTTGGTTATTGTTTGAAACGTGGGTTAGAATACGCGGAGCTTCGCGACAATATGGGCGGCCTTGCTGGCCTTATTTTCTATGATTTATCTTTCATGCTGTCTGACAGATCAATACCTGTCGTTGAATCAGGGGGCAGCAGGAACGATCATCATACATGATGCCCAGGGCCTGCTTTGAAACGACCTCCGTTCTCCGCAGACCTGCCACTTCGTAATCATAACCTGCATTGGGAGAACCTCGCGAGTTAAGTACCAGTTTTGTAGCTAAGAACTCTGTATTGATTGGCGAGCGTCCAGGGTGACTCGAGGCGGCCGAGTTGCTTTGGCTGGGCGATTCGGTTCGCGGCCCTAAGAACTTGAGCGGCTCAAAGTATCATATGTGTCGCTCTGGAAGCTCTTTCGATCTTCTTGCCACCCCAGTCCCTCCCGTCACGATTAAGTTGGCTGCATATACGAGCTATCAATATCAAGGCATCCAATCTTACACGTACTGTGAGCTTGGAAGACCTTAAGAGACCCTCCCAACAGAGTCTTACATCATGAAAGCCTCTTTTGCTGGATTCCAAGGATCACCCAGAACCAAGGGTAGCATGATTTCGGCCGAGACTGAAGATAGTGCACCAACAACTACTCAGCTACATGTTGGTATGTTCAATGCACAGGCCGCTTAATGCATAAGCGCCGCCGCAATCTCGTGACTTCATTCTTGAGGATGGAGCGCAACAATGCGATCTAACAACGGCTAGAGGGCGTAACTTACTCTCATCACCATGCGCCCTATCTCGGGCTTCATCCGAAACCTGTGGAGAAGTAGCCTAACATCGGCCGTATTCAAGCACACAGGATAAGGGCTAATTACGTCTCTCGACTGCAGATGCTTACCAACCACAGAGATCCATCTTCAACGGGCGCCAGCTTGGACTAAATCAGGAGTCTATTGAATTCCTCATGAAAGAATGTACCATCACAACAGGTAAGCTTATTAACAGGCCGAAGATAGGCATCAATCCATGGAGGTCCACCTCGCTACTCAGGAAGGATTTGACGTCCGGAGTCCAGATTCTCAATTTCAATTTTCTTTTCCAAATTGAAGTTGCAAATGAGAAGAGAGGCACATCCCACGCTCAGCTCCTCTTGCCCAAGGGACCGTCCGCACAGAGGTCGGCTCCTAGCTACGAGAATACTCGAGGCAGCTAGTTGTGCGACACGTGCTTCTTCACAATCCCAATGGTTGTGATGTACAGCTAGCAAGTTTCTCGTGTCGAGCATCTGCAGCCTCTAAATCCTTTATTTGACTTGGCTTACAGCCCTATGAGTCTTTGCCGGATTCGGCCACAAAGCAAAGCTGTCTTGTCCTTTTGCACGAATTTTCCTACATATCCAAGCGCAAGCACTCGTGTTTCCCAAACTCAATCCGAAAATTGACGAATCGAATATTTATCTTGAGCATGCAATGCCATGCAGGATGATTGGGTACATGGTGTGCGAAGAAGATCAACGTCTTGTACGGGCTCGAAATTGAAGGATAGGTACGCGTGATTCTTTGGTTTTCTGGCTTCTTCACAGATATTCTACATCCACTTAGAGAATTCTAATTCTCTCACCAATCTCTGCCTCCTGATCCAGCCCTTTTACGATCATGATGATCTCACATTCGCACTGATTATCATCTTGAACCAAGTACTCTCCCCGTATCGAATTCGAAGCTTCAAAGCGAGAGAAGCTTGATCTCGACCTCGTCGTATCCGGCACTCGGTTCTCGTCAGCTCTTCCCAATACAGCTAAGCACAGCCCAGTGTAGGCGAATACGAGTCTGCAGCAGGAACAAGAAAAATGGTAAGATAGAACCAAATTTCCTGTGAGTGGGAAAAGCCAAGCACACCTAAAAAGGTGCACCAGTTCTCGTGTCATCTACGCATTGGGATTTCCGCACGCCCTAGACCTTAATCTGATGGGGCGGGATGCTTTTTCCAGCCTGGCTTGGGCGAAAAGTCATATTCAGCCTTTCTCAGCCTCACCTTGGCAACCGAGCGGGCGAAGGAAAATACGCCCAGACGGTATAATCAGGAAGTATCCTCGTTTCTCTTCCTACCTACTCGTATACTCTGTACGGGTAGTACAATATACCTGCCCACTCACTTCTCGTATCCGTGTTTGCACCTGAGCGCCTCACTAATCAAACTATGTTTCGTGTCCAAGCTTAACCTACACTGAACCCCATGACACCACTATCACCGAGCGCTTCAGTATCTCGTACCTATCAGGTCTCGAGCTAATCCAAGTACCTACAGGTAGAGGTACTGGGTAGCCAACAGCGACAGACCCTCACTAGAGAAAGGAGAAGAGTGATATCTTTTTTGTCTGTCATCTCCCATTTTTGAAGGACCGAACCTATCGTATCCTTTGCGCTTCCACGATTCCACAAGCATGCATGGCACACGGATCGAAGCTTCTCCAGACGCAGCGGAAGGGAACGCGCTATGGAGCCATGGCGTGGTTTTCCGTCGACAAAGTCAAGTCAGAAGCCACAAGAGCATACACCACGTATGTTGAACCAGCACTGAAATCGCAGGAAGCAACTGAGAGAACTTGCACAAGCAACTCGCTCTCCTTGCCTGCCTGCCTAACTTAGCCAGCAAGCCAGCCACGCAAGGCGATGGCATCTCGTCAAGTCCGGCCGACTGCACAACGATTCCTCCTCGCGCACCTGTGTATGCATTACATGCATCTCGCCACCTAGTGATAAACCGTCACTAGATCTGTAGGTAACTCCACGGGCCTAGATACGTTATGGCGTGTATGTAGGTGTCGAAAAGCTGAAAGAGCTGAAAAATCCGCCTGCGACGCAGAATCGCAGTCGGTCATTCTCGACCTTCCCACGAACGAGTACGCCGCGCGTTGAGATGAGAATCACCGTCGGTGACCCCAGCGGGACCTTCACCAGGACGAGTACGCCTACGCCGCGTGCAGGTTTTCCGAAAGCTGGCTCTCTCCAGATTGCCATCCTTACCTCTCTTCCTCTCTAGGTACTGACTGTGTGATGACCGGACTGTACTTACCTTACCTTACCGCAAGAACCCCAAATCTCAAATCAGCCTTGTACTTGTAGAAATCGTCTGCCGCTTGCGTAGCTGGACAGGGTCGTGGTCCTTTGTGGCGAATGAGTATCTGTAATGATATTTCGCAAGCTCCATGCTCGTGGACTCATGCATGCATGCATGCATTTATGCATCGATTAGGTGGTTTCGAGAATCGTGGAACACAAGCACTTTCGATTGACTGCGTTGACTACACTATGTGTCTCTCGCGGTACCCAGGAATGGGGTTTTCTATTGATTAAAACGTCCTTGACAACACAGTGTGGCCTGGTCAAGCAGACCGTGTGTAGGAGTCATATACACCGTGCAATGGGCACAGCATGGCATGACATGGCATGACAAGATGCAATCGACCGCCAACAATGCAATAGAACCCGCCACAGATGAATGTTCCCACACACTCCGAGAAATGCGTACGCTAGAATACAGCTAGTCCGAATGTTCCAGCAGCGAGCAATTTTCACCCCGTTCCGTTGTAAGATGCAAGAACCAAGCTCAGATACAGTTCCCAAGCCCATATCAAGTTTCATCTCAAATACCCGTACCGCCAACACCACCGGCATTCCTGACCTCACCCTGATGAGCACGTTGGAACTGTCGTATCAGACCGAGGGGGCCACCGCTGGTCAGCTTCTCGACATTAGTATCGTCATCGTCGTCATCGCTGGCCCCCGTGTTCTCGTCATCTGACTCATTCTCATATTTCCACGATCCCAGCTCGCCTTCACTTTGATTTACGGTGCCGGTGTTTTGGAGTGGGAAGCCGAGGCCAGCGCTGCCGCTTGTGGCTTTGGAATTGGAGCTTTCAGCTCCGATACCTCTGCGTCCGAGTCTGCGTTCGGCTGAGGTCTGGGCATCTTTGCGACCTTGGACTTCGTTTGAGGATTCGGGTCCTTCTTCTTCAGCGACGTCGGTGGGTAGTGGGGCCCGACGGGGTCGGGCGAGTAAAGAGCCTTGACCGCCTCGAGGGAATCTCTGGGCTTGTGTCGAGGTAGCGAATCCGCTAGCCGAGGGCTGATGGTGTGGGTCGAGTAACATTGATTGAAGTGGTGAGCCAGCTGAATGTTGCTGGGCTTGAAAGCCAGGGGTTCCAGAGATTGCTCGATGTGGTGGTGAAAGCACAGTTGTTCGATGAGTGCCGCTGTTAAAAGTGCTCTCACGGTCGAGAGTTGGGAATGTTGGTGAAGGCAGTCCAGGAACGGGGGGTGGCATGTTGAACCGTCGCTTACTAGTATTGTAGTTAAAGCGGACATCTGTTTTAGGATTGCGAGCATAGTCGTTGATAAAGCCCCAATAGCTGTGTTCTAACTTGTTGTCTTTGGAAGCAAAGTACTCGTCTCGGGCATTTTTGGTTGGATCAGCTGAAGGTGGTTTTGTTCCAGGCTTGTAGAACCCAAACTCGGCGAAAGAGCAAACATATCCAATTCCATCGACGTGAATTGTGAATTCCCGGAAGAAGTCAATGATTCGCTCGCTGCAATTAGGGAGGGTGAAACATAACACAAATGGTGTGAATATCATGCTCAGAACCTCCTCGAGAAAAATGATGACCTTCATCTGATATAGCTGAGAGAATTCTTGCTTCACATCGGTAGTATGAAGCCGCCCTTTCCAGTGAGCCGGCTCATAATGAGTGAAATCGATTACCTCTTGCAAGGAATTGGAAGTGTCATAGACCATGTTATCATCCGGTAATAATCCACGAGCGATTGCCCAAATCGTACCAAACACACCGAGATAGAAGATCGTCGTCCGGCCGGAAGTGATCTCAAAATTGAGGAAGTTCTCTTGATCCAGGACTGTTGCCAAACCCAGGACGCTAACAACAGCTCCAGAGATCAGAGTCACAAGTTGTGCTGTTTGGACAGTTTTGTCTTTGGGAAACTGATTAACGTATCTGCTTGCGAACGGGTATGACATGAAAATCCGGCGTTGAAACAAATGGTACAACTCGTTAAATTCCCGGAACTTCCATTCAGCATACGGATTGTACTCTCTCGTACCGATTTGCGCTGGATTCTTCTGATACTCATTGAAGTTCAAGAATATGTGCTTGATGACGAAAAAAGCGGCCAGGAAAGGAGCAAAAATGAGACTTGCTACTCCAGTCATCAGGAACCGGTTGCGAAGAGCGATCGAGAGGTCCTTTCGATGGGTGTCTTTCAAGAACAGAGAACGAACTTGACCCTTGTCGTTGAAGATGAAGTCCATGATGCATAGATCGATGCTCCATTCCAGTGTACGTGTGAACAACCGCCTATTTCGCAAGAACGGAACCGGGATCGTCAAATCAAGAACATCCTTGTTGATCATGGCAATCATGTAGTTCTGCCTTCGCATCAGCCTGCTGGCAATATCATGTGCATCCATTCTTTGCTTGCTTTGTGTTCGAATCCAACCACCACGCTTCCTAGCAGCTGCTTCCGCAGTGTTCGGATTGGAGTCTCGCAATGCCATGAGACGGCTGACGACTTCTTGCCACGAAATTGACTGAATTTCATCCTCGGGAATACCGAGCAAATACAGGTAGAAATCATGCATATGCCTCAGACGTGGAATGTCAACGATATACCCCACGGATTTCCACAGCCAGATGAACGTGGTCAGCCACAGGAGAGATTTTGAGATGAAGCCCATGTTGCTGGCACATTGCGGGACGAGGATTTCTGTCATCTTGGTCTTTCCCTTGAAGTCACTGTAGTCTATACATTGCGTGAGGAACAGAGAGAAACCGACAATGAAGCCGATTGTGATAATGTTGAAGAAGCGCATGAGCACCGTGGACCAAAAGCCATGATAGATGTAGTAGGTGTATACATCAAGGAGGAAGTTATCCAAATTGAGTACATTGACCCAACGATACATCGCCTTCTCTTTTGGGTCTTGGTTGGCAAGGCTGCCCCAGAGATTGGTGAGGGTTGAAGGTCTCGGGGGGTTGGAATGGGAGGTTCGGTGGTCTGGAAGTTGGTTTGCAAATCCAGTATCTTCGAAGTTGGGTAGTCCATCTGGGATCGAGCTGGGCGGAGGTGGAAGTGCAATGGATCTGTGGACCCCAGTGGCATCCTCGATCAGTAGAGACGCGGGGACATCGTCGTCTGCCTCTTCGACTTCCATCAACCTATGAGATTTGGAGCTCTTCCATTTTGACCTGCTTATGCCTTTGCCCTTGTCTTTCCTCATAGATTGCCTGGATGACTGGTTGCGGGGATTCTGTAAACTGGCAATGACGGGCTCCTGTTCCTCAAAGCCATCACGATACGGTTGAGAGGGAGGCGCCAATCCGCCTCTTTCTTCAAGGTCCGACCCATCGGAGTCTTGATCGTGCTGTCGGATGGTCTCATAGATGGAGTTGGAGGGGTTGGTAGAACCTGTAAATCTGGAGATGAAGTTGGAGGTCATGGTGAAGCGAGAGTAGAGGGGTTGCCTGCGGATGAAGCAGGGCAAGACCGAGTCGTGAGGATGGAAGGATTTGAGTGAGACTCAGCAGGTCTAGATTTGACGATGGCGATTTGAGTCTCAAATCACGACATGATGAGGTAGTCGAGTTCGAGTTCGAGTCTGCCGCGATTGTGGCTGCAACTTGAACGCAGGCACAGGCACATGACAGGATTGCCCGCAGGCAGAAAGCAGGTGGGCGGTTGACAACAATGGTCGGCGGCGACAGTCAAAGTGTACCAGACCAGCAGACCTTACAGTGTGAATGTCTGGTTTACAGAACACCCAAAGAGCAACACAGACGGTGGTAATCGGCTTGTATTGTTCGGAGGTCAACCACTTGGGTCCAGTTCAAGTTGAATCATCAACAGATCAACGATGGAATGAGGAGAAACCTGGGGATGCAGTTGGGGATGTGAAGCCACCAGCCGAAGATTAACCGGCCACTGTGAAAGAGGTGCCTATGTTACATTTATTCCTTGATCGTTCTTCTATCCAAGAGTGTCCTTGAGGCCCATAGTCTCTATTAGTACCTGGGTAATTAAAGTGAACAATCGTGTCAAACCTCTTATGCAATCACAAGGATGACTCCAACGTGGGGTATCTCATGCCAATGCAACCTTTTCCACATCAATTATTCTTTGGTCGGGGAAATAACAACCCAAGCAGTCCCAGAAACGCAGAGAGCACTTCCGCTCAATCTATCTAGTCTTGGGAGAAAGAAAAAGAAACAGCTCAGAAAAGCAAAGCAACCAGAAACGAAACCCCAAAACACGCCACAATCAACTGCTTGTGTTCCGGCACCTTCGACCGATCCAGCTTCTCCAGACTGCCCAGTCCCGCCGTCAGAACGGCGACCAGGATGATCATGCGGTTCAGCACGCCCGTCGTGAGCTTGAAACACAGCAGTGGGAAAAGCGTCGTCGTCAGAATGCACAATGGCACCAGGTCTGTCGGTACCAAGTTTGACCTTGCGGTCCGTCCGGCTCTAGTACAGGGGTTTTCTCCGTCGTTGTTTAGTAGTGTCATCAAATCGTCGTCTTCGTCTAGAAACCGTGATTCCGGCCCTGATAGTGGTTTGTTGGTTTGTAGCCAACGGCGGAATTGCTCGATGTCGCTCGGTATCGCCGTGGAGCACATGCTCTGCACTTTTTGTGCTGATAGAAGTGCTTGATCTGCCATTTGTTAGCCACCTTTTGGGAAACCCCCTTTTGGTACCTTTGAACTCACAGTACTGCTCAATTTTGATGTACAATCTGCCTAGGATCTCAAGACGATGTGCATGCAGCTCGGAGTGGTTCCACTGCCAATTGAGCCGACGGGAAGCTGGTGAAGTGCTGCCATCCGGATTAAGGCGACTCCTTGTATCAGCCATGTCGATATTGGTCAGCTGGGCTTCCATCTCGATGATTTCATCCTGCAATTGTAATAGAACCCGATAGTTGATCCTCTTGAAACGTCGAAACACCGGAGGCACATGCCCATGAGCAAGTCTGTCTGCCACCAGATCATACCCGGATAAGGGAAGTTCTTTCGGAAGAGCAAAGTCTTGTTCAGAAGTTTCCGGGATGCTGGGGATACTGGCACGTCTTTGTTCTGGACTTGGTGTTCTCATATCTCCACCCATGTGGTGATGTCTATGCGTCGCTCGTGGGACCTCCGGCCATTTCAGTCGTAACCGGCGAGGGTATGTGGGTCGATCGATAAGTTGACCTTGGTGGTCATCATCTCCCTGGCTGTCTTCTGGCAATGAAGGTAACCGATCATCAAGTGCAGAGTCACCATTGGTCAAGAAGACACTGTTTGATCCCATAGAGATCCCTGAGTCGCTATGAAGGCTGCGGACATAGCTCTCATCATCGGACTCTTCGGCATGTGCAGGCTCGCATGGCTTGACAACGTCCTCGGATTTCTCTTCGTCACGAGGTACGGGCGTTTCCTGACCCTCATCCTCAACAAGAAACGCAAAGACATCGACCGACTCTTTGGACATGCTTTTCTCCTTGATCATCTTCTCGGGTTGGAACTTCGGTAGAGGCATGTTCTCTTTCGGCTTCTTGGCCTTCGAGGACCTTCGTCGCCTCACGGGACTGGACGAAGACCTCTTGTAAGACTCCTGGGTCACCGTATCATCGGAGCCATGGGACACGTTGGTAATTGCAGACAGGAGGGACAGTTTAGATGACCGGGCGGCCTTGCTAACGCCGTAAGAATGACTGCGGCGTCGGCGAGCGCCTTGATCGCGTCCCGAGATGAACATGCAGTGGAACAAGATGCAGTTGGGCTCAATGGCCTGTCAGATGAGGTCGACAGCCTCGTCAGGCAATTGGTAGGTCAAACAGGTAGTGAATGCTTGGTAGTAATGATAGACAGGGGAGAATGATAACACTCATTCTCCATGCTTCAAAAAAGACACTGGCATGGCATGGGATGAATCAGAAAGGCTGAAAGCAGGACCAAGGTGGTGAACGTCATGAGTGTATTGTGGTTACTCCTTGCTTGCAAGCAAGGTATGTTGAAACGCGGGATGGAAGAAGGGGGATGTGACAGAAATGGAGGGGCACCTCTGGAGTAACCACACCACCTTTGCCCAGATGGTCAGGTCTGCGAATGAAACAAGCACCTCCCTGTAACCTCTCAGAGATCAAGTCTCACGAGAAGGGTGGTACAGGTTTATTAAAAGGGGAAGGGAAAGGAGAGATTGGAACGCCGGGTCCAACAACCCAAGCCGCGTAGGAGCAGCAGAGGGACTGGGAAAACGTGCTCCAGTCAGAGGAATGCCCACAGCTTTATCTGAGCGAATCTGCTTGCTTGGGATGACATTTGTGCCCAACAATGCCTAACCGGATGAGCGCCAACGAACTGCGCAAGCCCGATTGACATCGCCACTTCCATGTAGTTCCCATCCAACGGCCCAGGGGATCCAGGCAATCGGGGACGACGGAAAAAGCCCAGAAGTAAAATGACACGGTAGAACTGACGGCTCGATAAGAAAGCAACAGCTTTCATTGAACGTGATTCACCGCTGGCAAGAAACCTGTGGGGGAAGAGCGTGTCCAGAGAGGGCCGGCTTGAATCAATCAATCAAGCTTTGGGTGAACACGGTGAGAAGGGGCTCCTCTCCTCGGCCTAGACCAAGCAAAAGAGCACGTATGATATATTGACGTGGACGCAAAAATTCGGAAAAGGACAGTCAAATCAGGATCCAGCAATTGACGACCTTGAACTGGCACGAAACCTGAGCGGGTTGATGCATGCAGAAAAAGTCGACATTTTCAAAAAGAAGGCAGCCATTCATGTTCGGCCAGCAAAGCCCGCTTAGGCAGGGGACCTGCAAGTCGGACGCAGCTCCCTGCTACGGACCTTTCCGAGGTCGAATGATGGATGAGTCGACCTTTCTTTTGGACTCTTATATAGATTCAATTATTGATGCCGATATTCTTTTCGAGTTCGGTTTTTGAAACCGTGTCAGACTCCGATTCCTGGTTCACATCGGAAAGGGAGTAAAGTCCCGGCTGACTCAAGCAAGAAATTGAAAAAGGTCACTCGAAAACTGTGGTCTTCCATGACTTCCCGTAAAAATGCAATTGTATTCCAGGTTCAGTTTCTCCTCAAAAGGGTGCCCTTTCTGATATCACACTATGCTACTCCTACAGCGCCAACATTGGCTCGTGTCTGCTTATTCCAGAAAACATAGTCAGGAGTCTTCACAGCTCCGACAACCAAGTCCGGATGATTCCTCTTCCAGATATCGTCTGCATCATCAGGAAATCTCTCACTCCCTCGGGGCACAAACCTGACTGCGACATGACCTCCACGCATCTGCAGTGAGATAATCACGCTGAGACCATTAAGCATCAAATCTCTGGCGTGGGCAGCGGCTTTCTGCCAGACATCTGCGCGAGCGTCCTCATCCATGGAGATGACCTCTTCATCACTGGCCCACTCGTCCACAGCTAGTTCCACGGAATAGTTTTGTAGGATCACGGCCAAAGCGGCCAGGACTTCGACCTGCGCAAAGCGTCGCCCGAGACACGCACGATAGCCTTCACTGAACGGGATATACGCTCCCTTCGGAGGTCGATACAGCTTATCCGAAGTATCAGCCGATTCATTAACTGCTAGACCATCCGAAGTGACGGTTTCGCCCGGCATTTCCTTCTTGCCATTTGCCAGTGTCTGAACTTCTCCGTCCTCGTCCACAAGCCACCGCTCCGGGCGGAATTCCTCGAGATCATTATCGGTATTGGCTACCGGATGTATCGGTCTGCCACCAGGTAATGTTGGTTTCCCGGATGGCCAGTACTTTGGATGTCGGTGGACCGCCACTGCACATAAGCTTATGTATATGTCGCTCGGGACAATGCAATCTTTCCCATCAATGTTGAGCCTTTGGTCACTAACGCCGAATGTTGACTTTGGAATACCAATGACGGGAGGAAGTAGACGAAGCTCTTCATTCAACACTGCACCAACCATGCCCCCAAACAATGCGGGCAGGTCTCGGTCATAATCCCATTCCGAAGGTGGTTTTCCTTGAAATATTCGGTCAAGGTCTTGTTGAACTGCTCGTTGACTTTTGTGGTTGAGTGCCAGGTAGAGCAAAGAAAAGTGGATCGAATTTGCAGCCGTCTCATGGCCGGCGAGAATCAGGACAAACATATTGCCCAAGATCTCAGAGTCTGTAAGATGCACGTCCTTGCTCGTTTCTGACTGAAGCTGACCCTTGACCAGTTGCCCCAGAATATCCATTGATTCGTTGTTTGTATTTTCTGCACCGAGAAGCTTCTTCTTGGATGCCACCGCTTCTTTCATGTAATTGCCCCATTCGACGTACGCCTCCCTGGCCTTTCGAAGTGCAGCAATAGGGAGTCGCTCCATGAGCCACGGAGGCAAGACAAAAAGAACAATTATGTTGTCCAATAAGCAATGAATGGCATAAGTGTAACTCATGGAATGGCCCGGATCTCTCTCATCTTTTGCGTTCTGGATTTTCGATGGGTCGGCATAGCTGGTGTCAACGTCCGCCTTGGAATCAGCAGCTGGCCACTGCAGCTTCCGGCCAAAGCCCGCTCTGCTGATGACATACAAGCTCAATCGCATCGTATCGTCCATGACGCGATCCACTGTCACATTACCCTTACCATCAGGGCCCAGCCAGGACGTCAGCATGTCAGAAGCTTGGTCAATGGTTTCGGAAAAGACCAGGTGATTGTTCTTCTCAGTAAAGGGTGGGCTTGTGGCTTTTCGATGTTGTCGCCAGTGAGCTCCCTCGGTGGAAACAACGTTCTTGCCATAAACATCGAGAGAGCGATAGATTTTGGTGGGTTTGGGGAAGTCATTCCTCCTTGTAGTGATTTGTGTAATCACGGCCGGGTCAATAGTGTTCAAAATGATACCACCAGGAGCGACGGTGAGAAAGGTGTCATGGCCGATCTTCTCAAAAGTCTCAACACTGTTGAGGAAGGGAAAATCTGGAATGCAGAAATCCACCCATGTGGTCCATTTGCGAGGGAGTCTGGCCAGTACAGGTAGGAATAGGCGGTGGAATATCAGCCAAAATCGATTGAGGAAGTAGACCGGGAGAACAACATAATGAATCCCGGATCGCTTTGCTTTGGCGATGTTCCGACTCAGTGCGAGATAGTAATTGGTTATATAGTAGATGATAAATGTCAGAACCCCAAGGGCCAGTAACGAAGGCATCTTGGTGGCCGAGCTGTGTGAAAACTGTCGGGCGGTCGATTGATTATCCGAATGTGGGTCACCTTGTTGAATGCTAGGAGGAAGAGGAAGCACAGCTGTCCAGGTTCCTAAGGTGCAAAGAGAGAAACAATATTCAGGGAACGTGATTATGAAAGAATAAGGGTAGAGAGAGGAGAGGTGGTCTCTTTGGACCTAAAGAGGATTCTGAGACGTTGGACGTTTGGGCAATCCCTATAATTTTCCCACACGAGAAAGGGATTGTGGTCTTAAGAGGACAGGGATTAAATAATGGAAGTCGAGACCACCACGATCAGCGGCGGAGCCTCTCAAGAATATCCAATCGATCGCTGGTATCAGGCGGTATAGAGACAACCTAGAGGCGCACAACCAGAAAAAGAGTTGTACTCCGTACTTACACTGCTAATTCTGAAGTCGACGGAATGAGCGTGGGCGGCAGTTTTCCGTGACAAGATGCCCCCTTATGTGGTTAGCACGGAATGGGGATGAACAGCAGGAGGAAGAGAGAAGAGAAAGAGGAAAGAAACACGAGGGCAGCTGTTCGTCATCGTGGCACTATTGTTGATCATCATGACCATCATGATTCTCGCAAGCATCATACAATTTTAGGTGGTGGTGGTGTTGATACAGGCACAGACGGGGGTACTCACACCAGGATCTAACTAGAGGAGACCGATTAACGATTGCTTGATCCAATAGGTGGTCGGTTGCGCAGTCCTGGGTTAGGGCACAGTTCAGTCGTTAGGGGCTCTTGAGGCAATCGACTGGGCAAGCATCTGGGTGTACCTCGGCGGTGTTGCAGGGATTCAATAATTGTCGATTGATGGTCGGCAAGCTGCTTTGATGATTCGTGTGCAATGGAACCGAACTGCGCTTAAGCACCTCTGATCCTTGGGCGCCTTCCAGCGTAATCGTAACGGGGTTTATTGGAGGAAGAATCGACTTCCAGCAGGGCGGCTTCCGTACTCGGTACCTAGGCCCGTTTCCACGGCGGGCACCCTTTGTTAATTAGGTACGGAGCCTCTAGGCACTTTGCCCTCTAACTACCTACGTAGATACCTAGGTACCCAAGCTAATACCCAGCGAGCTCATCCATGAGTTGCTACTACGATTCTTTGAACAATACGAGGTTTTTCCCTCCTGCAACTCCGTGTTTCTATTGTTTACTCGTACTCCGAAAACCAAGATTTCCGAACGAATTTCAAAAGGATAATTGATGGGAAACTAATACCAGTGATCAAATTCTTCGCGCCAGTCGAACACAACAATCCCAACACTGCTTGAGGAATTCAGACGACCTTGTACATACCCATGACCCGAGATATCTGCCGTCCCAGTCGCCGAGTTAGCGACTCTTTCGCATTTCTCTCACACTATTTCTGTGGTGCATAGCGTGGTCACAGATAGTATTATCGCTCTGACTGTGTCTCCAAGTTCTCGTTACTTCATCCTCCCCGTTCCATGCCTCCACTTTCTAGGCGGTTGCTTGTTCAAGTCGTGAACCTTGACCCTGAGGCTCCGCCGTTGGGGTCTCGGCCGTAGGGCTTGAGATTGAGGGTTCGGCAGTTCCAGCTTCAGATGTCGCTCGTGTGCTAGCCCTCTCCGTGGGCATCAAGTTCGAACCCAGGCCACCTGCATTGGAGTGAATTGGTTCCAAAGATGGTTGCCACGCTTGTAGATCGTGCTCTGCATCGGCAAGAACTTGTCTCGCCTCGTTGACCTGTGCAAAAGGCTGGCGCACATCACCGGGAACCACAGGTGTATCATCAAGCAAGTTCAAAAGTCGTCGTCCGTGTTTGGCGAGGATGATTTGCTTTTCTGCTCGTTCGATGGTCGCGGCGAAATTGACATCGTACGCTTCCTTGATCTTTTGACGAGTCTACCAAGCAGTTAGCATATCTGGCTTCTCCTGGACTGTATGTGTCAAGTGCTACTTACGATATTGGTCAACTGTGCTTCAGCAACCAGATTCTGTGCCTCGGCTCGAACGAGTTCTTGCTCAAGAGTAACCAGCTTGGGGCTTGATGGCTCCTTGTACTTGAGTTTTTGGATCTCATCACTGATCTTGGCCTTCTGGTCTCTGCTAGGTTGTACACTGGCCTCGATGTTTCTGATCTGTTTGAGAATGGCTCGGTAGTCCTCGAGGTTCTGAGCAAACAGATCCTCCTGTTCTCCTATCTCGGAAAGTATGACACCGACTTTGTCCGAGATATCAGAGACCGAATCATCGTTGGTCGACTCGCCCCAATCGGAGAGCTGGGAGGCAATGGACAAACGCTCGCGGCCCGCGGTCTCGTAGGCATTGATCGCGTGGTTCTCAGTCTTGATGATCTTGAACAGCTTCTTGGAGAGCTCGGCCTGGGTGGTTCCTCTCAGGGTAGATATGGAGAAGGTGTGCTTCGAGGCAGCTTTGGAATGGTCATCCTTCTTGCGGGAGCGAATGGATAGAGCGCGATTCATGGTGGGCAGGATTAGGGCTGACTGTACGGAAGTAATGCAAGTGGAGTATACTGGCAACAGGGTGAGGCTACTAGGGCAGACTGCTGGTGAACCGGGATGATGTTTTAGAATGAGCTATATAGAGGGAAGAAAGGTGAAATTTCTAGGCTATGAAGCTGGAACTGGGGATTAGAGCTTGGAGCTGGCCGTGCGTTTGAGCTGCAAGACCTAGAGTCAGTTAGTAGAAAGTAGTATTCCCCAAGCCTTTGAAAGACCAAGGACGATCGATGATGGAATGCGAGCTGGGCGATGAGATGAGAGGGCATGACGTATGTGGAATGTCACCAACGGGAAATGGCGGCGGGGTCCAGATCCAGATTCATTCCCCCCACCTCAAGCACCACACCACCCGTTCTTGACGTGGCATTTGAGGATTAAGCTGTTTGTCTGTAATAATAGTAATAGTCCTATGATTGACCGACAGTATTTCACAAGGGAACCAGGCTCTGGATAATATGCATATTGACATTCATTCGCTATGCAGCCTGGATTGCCAGTCACGCAATCCACCAGCACAAACAAAAACTCACAACGCTCATCATAACACGCGTCATTTCGTTTACACATTCATTAAAAAGAATCCAATGGGGGACATACACCAATCCCCCTCCAAAAAGAATTCACCTCACATCCTGTTCAACAAGGGAGATGATTGCTGCAAATCACACTGTCTCACGAACGATACTGTCGGCTCCTTCTCTCCTCGGTGATGACTCTGGTCCGGCTGCCACTGCGTCGAGGTGAGTCGCTGAAGCTATCATGATGGTGATGACGGTGATGGTCGTGGCTGTGACGATGGCCAGATGTCGAGCGTCGAGTCACCGTTTCTTTGCGGTAAGTGGCCACTTCGGGACGTGAGACGTACTCTCGTGAATAACGAGGCTTGTATTCGTGTCTTCTGATGATCACGCGATCTTCATTTTTGCTGCTGCCGCCGAAACACATTGTGGCTGCGAGGGTGGGATGTGGTTGTGTTGGGAATGTCTTGCTCGGAGGTATGATCGGCTGCTCTTTTAATGGTGGTTCTTGAGTGTTGTATAGTTGTACAGTGAGGCTAGTCTTGGTCGTCCACTATCAGATGATCCGAGCGAGGGTTTATGTATATGCCCAAGGCAGACGGAATATTAAACAATACAGAACTAATAGATGTGCGTTAGGAGACTCGAGATGGGGGTCAGCAAAACAACCCCCCTTGATATATACATTCGGACGTGATCAAATCTTCCATCACCAGGTTTCCTTGATTACGCCTTGTTTGCTTGTTCTCCGACTTGGACGATGTCATAGAGTGGCTGGGCAAGACATCCATGTTCTCAGAACTGTGGGTGGGTTTTTCGGCCTAGCTTCGTAGGCGAATCCTCGCCTTGAGGCAGGGATGCCTTTGTCCACCAAGCCATGGCTAACGATCTCGGTTACCGGTAAGCGTCAAACCATGTCTCGAATCTGCGATAAACAAGATATTCAGGAACTTGCCAACCGTTGAGTGATAGTGTCGTTGCATAAGAGTAGCCCCATATGTAGATCCATTGATAGACGCCCAATGTATGGATACTGATCTCTATAACATTTATTATACTTTTTCTTAGTGTAACATTGACCAGGCAAAACTTGGTGTATGATCACATTTTGCATAACTTCAACGGCTTTGCTTGGTTCGCTTATCTAACGTACCCAGTCAATACCTCTGGACGTGGATGATAGGATGTTTTCTTGATGTCCAAGTACAAGGTCTTCCCTTTCAGCAACATTCTAGAGATGAGGGCTGTAACCCCTGAAGAAATCTCTCACTCCATACTGTGAATTGTCGATAGAGCGAAAATGATGCTGAAGGCGAGTAAAAGTATTCATCTCCTCCGCACCGTAAAGTTGGAGACAGTATTCAGCATCAAAGTTAATGATATCGTCATTCAACCCGAACATAACAACCTTGCCATATTCCGTAGTACTATCAAGAGGTAGTTGCTGATAACAGCCATAGTATAGCGACGAGTAGCAGGAGCATCTCTATCTCCACGACCTCACCATGACGTTCGATCAACCACTGGCATCTCCAACAATAGTAGTGGAAGCTGAAATGGGAGAACCATTTACACACCGCCCGGAGCTACACCTTCTGACGCTGCCACTCGAGATCCGCATAACGCTGTTCCGGCACCTCTTCCAATGTCCGGACCCGATAAAAATCGAGTCGACACACGAAGAGCACGACCTCTTCTTCGACGACCCTCAAGAACAACAAGAACAAGACTCCCCTGATACCGCCACCACCGCCACAATATCATGGACGCTTCGCCGCCCCAAAACACCACAGAACGGGCTCTCAGCACAATTCCTGCGGGTGAGCCGTGAAATCCACGACACGGGCCTGCCCTACCTATACAGCCTGAACCGATTCGACTGCTCGTCGCGGTCCGCACTGCCGCTGCTCCTGACGCAGCTCCGGCCCAGCACGCGCACGAGCGCACACATCCGGCATGTGGTCCTGGACTGGGACCAGCTGCAGGACTTCGCGTGGTCGCTGGCCAAGCCGGCCCAGGTCGCCGCCACCAGCGGCATCCAGGAGCTGCACCTCGCCAACTGGCGCATGCGTGTCCTCGGCGGCTCCAGCTTCCTCTGGCGCGACTATAAGTCGTATGAGCGCCAACTGTGCCAGGCCGCCAAGGACATCTGTCTGAAGCATCCGCTCTTGCGCTGTGTCTTGCAGCGGCCCTTTCATCGTCCGACGACGACGCCGGCGGCGAGGTCCGAGTCCGTCAGGGCGACGCATCGTGTTAAATGGCGCTTTGTCACGGCGGCCGTGGGTGAGCGGGTTGCCGCTTTGGGGCCTGCTGGACGCGGTGGAGAGAGGGTCGTCGATTTGGACCAAGAACTGGCTTTACTGGCCCCGGCTGCTGGCAAGGATGTCAACATTTCGTCTTTACAAGGCGGCATTGATCCGGTCTAGAAGTGTGTTGAATTGTCTTCACAAGCAATATAATCAAAGGTATAATAGTATGAATTCCGAATGACTAGTCGAATCAATCCTTTTTTCTCTAGACTTATTCTGGTCGAGACGTAGACTATTCCTGTAAAGCAAGCATGACCTCGCCAATCGACCCAAAATACTGCAAGCAGGTTGGCGAATTAGTAAAATATTCCCCCACACTTAATATCTCTTTACATAGTAGTCATACAACCTTATTCATCCTTGACGGAAAACATAGTAGTGGTTTCTGAATTCATCACCGAGACACTTCCACGGTCTGGGACTGGCTCATCGCCGCTGCGGCTGCAACTGCTGGAGATTGTGGTTGCGAGTTTCCTGGCGCTTGCCCTCTTCCAGTACTGCCGAGATCCCCGTTTTTGGTATCTACTGCACCCTCGTACCTGACAGCCGCGACTTTTGCATACGTTGGCGTAGCAGGGGTTCCTGAATTGGGCCGTTGATAAGAGTACTGGGTTTGTGTAAGCCCCCGTGGGGTGTAAGTCTGTCCATTCATCAATGGTTTCTGGGGCGACCCAGACCCAGACCGACCCAAAAGTGCCATGGCGCTATCCTGGGCTCGTTGTTGATATCCTGGTTGTGTAGGTCTCTGCGCCAGGGTAGGTGTCTGCGCCTGTCCCGGAGTACCGGCATAACCTCCGACACCATTCGATAATGCCCGCTGATACTGTTGAATCGTCGCGCGATTAGCATTGTAAGACGTAGTCTGACTTTGATATGGTGTTTGCGTGTAAGGCGGCCGTGCGGATGCCGGTGTCTGGTAGTTTGTAGCTGGTCTCATACCATAAGGTGTTGCCGCAGGTATCGACGCATTGTAGCTCCGTGCCTGGACATTGAAGGTAGGAGTAGAGGCCTGAGGTGGTACATAACTGGGTCGCACCTGAGGTGGTACTGCTGGTCGACTAGGGGCCACTGCGGCTGCGGCTGCTGCACTGATTCGTTTCCTACTTGATGCATATTCATCAAGCTGTCCAGTGCCGGCATATTCGGGTGCGTTGACTAGGAGATTGGTGGAGATGTTCAATTCTTCAAGCTGATCACCATTTAGCTTGGCGATTGCGAAGGGAGGCAAAGCATCCACGAGGAGGCGGAGCTGGGTCCGGAGCAATGCAAAGACATCAAACTCGGCCTCAGATGGTTCCGGTATCCGTCCTGAACCGTCTAGGCTCCGGTTTCGTTGATATGAGCTCAATGTCTGGATAAGTTCAGACACTTCTTCCAGTAGATCATTGGCATCATTGATTTCTTTCACCTCCGTACTTGGAAATCCCTCGTTTTGGGCTGGAATCCAGTTCTCAAGGATGTTCTCAAAGTCCTGGATTTCTGGTGTGATCTCTTCTTTTCCATTCCCGTTGGTATCAGGTGTACTGAATGAGGTCGATAGTTTTCGAACTCCTGATTTCCGCCACCAGTATTGAGCCATATCTTCTGACGAAATGACAGCATCGGTATTGTCTGAAGTAGGTGCAAAGGAAGAATATGCGCTGCGAAATAGCGCTTCCTCGTCATCTGCTGAACGCGCCTGAGACGCTTTTTCTGACCTGTGAAGGGTTGTGGTAGATAGAGAGGGATTCCGAGAATTGCTAAAGCGGTTCGTAATCCATTTGCCGATAGACAATTCAGCATCCTTGTAATCAATCTTTGATTTTGAAGGATTCTTGCTGATACCGGCGACTGGTAAGAAGTTGAGTTCTTTGGATCTTGTAGAATTTCTCGATGGCTTGGGCTCGTCCAGTGGCGTAACATGGGCACTGGCATGTGAACCAAAGACTTCGCCAAAGGTTCGGGGGGCCAGCTTTTGCGGTTTGATGACAGCATTCAATGCAGCAAAGTCAGTCAACTCGAAGCCATTCGGTAAGGCCAGACCATCGTCCGCAGAACTTGTGTCTCCCTCATGGTTATTTTCCTCTCCTTTATTTTGTAAACCAGAGTACAAAAGTGGTGTCTGGCCATGTGTCTGGGTGCGAAGGGATAGGACCTGGCAACTGCGCGGATTTGACTGAATTGGACCGTCCAAGTCTTTGGCATCACCGCTTGATGTTCCACCATTGGGGAGCAGTGAAGGCGAGGGTTCTTTCAGGCAGTTGAGCACGAGTGTGACGAGATTGGACGCTTGCATTTTGAGATCGACATCGGGTACTGTGACGTGTTCCACTTGTCCATTGGGAGTGACACTTGAGAACTCGTTGAGAAGGGCGTTCTTAGCAGTGTTGACATCTTCCGACAAGGCATCTAGTGAGTGATAGCGTTCCGTAAGGATACGTTGCTCGATGGTGTCGTTCGTAACCTCGGACTCTGTGAGGCGTGCCTTTTTGACGCTGGGACTGTCTGAGGCAGATGGTGGTAGAGGGTATTTGAGGAGGGATGGCTTCGTGTCATGCCTGATCGAATACGTGAGCATTATTCCGCGCATTTGGAGATGTCAACTTACTTTCGAAATACATGTAAAACTTTCTGGAGTGTTTCGTGAAGTGAAGCATCGCGAGGTTTTTCGGAAGGAGTGGTTGGTTCAGGAGATACAGTTCGTTTCCTCTTTCCCAAGTGAGATGTTGCGATTGCGATGGTGTCATTATCATGGCTGGAAGAAATACCGTTAGTTTCGGGCATTATGGTTTCCATGGCGCGTCAATGTTTTCCTGAGGCGTCGGAGATGAATTATTGGACGATGTGAAGATATGCCAGTGTCTCCCCCCAAAATCAACGAGTGTCTGTTCCGGAACACTTGTGCCGGAGCATGAGCATTTGGAAAGGGAGAGGCTGCGACAAGTGAAGGACGAGTGAGCACCGTGCGGTTGTGTCGAGCTGATGGTTGACGATGTGTTGCGATGCGACGGCGTGGAGCAAGCGAAGAGTCAAAGAGGAAGATCTGCAGGATCGGGAATGGCAGGGGGGATTGGAAGGGTGGAGGTTCAAGATTGCAGGCTGAGGGGTGCAAAGAAACAATAATGGGGCCCGGACACGGTTTTTGTGATGGGCTAATAGGTAGTAGGCCCGAAATGGTGACGGATTATTATTTGAGCAATGCAGGTGACTGAGGAGACGAAACCAACTTGAAAAGAACGCGCATTTGCGGGAGTATTATTATTACTCGAGTTGAACTTCAAAGGTGAAGCCACGCAATAATCCAGTCTTTGAGAGTTTGACTGCAGGATCAACCTGGATTCTTGGCATTCCTCGGAGAATTGTTGTTCCTGTAGACGTCATGTAACTTTGGGTATGCTCTTTCCAAACTTCATCACACTCTACACCATTCCACGCCTGTTCAAGGAAGTAACACGATGAGTGATATCTTTCGCGGAGACCCGAGTGATACTGAAATTTGTCTTGGAATGTCGGGATGAAAGCCCCCCTCCTCAGCACAAGTAGACCTCGTCCATTCTCAAGTGGTGGTCGACGACTTTCTCGACAACTGGATATCACATCGAGGCGACACATGTCTGACCAAAGACGCGTCGCAGTGCTCCATCAAGCTTGCGAGCCTCCAGTCGTGAATGGTGTTCGAAAGCCACAGAAACCCGGTGGTTATCAGGACTCAGGGGCAGATATTGCTTATGTTCTCCAGTCAAAGAACATAAAGGTCGTTACACCAAAAAGAGAACCAAGCCCCAGTCGGGATCAAGGTTGGACCTTTCCTGATACCGAGGATGGTGTTTTAGAAGCCATCAGAAAAGGTGCGACTACTTTGTGGGCAAACACAATCTTATTTGCAGACCATCCTCTACAGAAGTCGACATTACTAGACAAGTTTTCGGACGCTGTGAAAATGGTTGGTCAGCCTCCCAAGCTCGTCGAACAATACGATGACAAGAACTATGTGAATGATCTATTTCGAGCTGAAGGCTCTTTTACCATGCCTAGATGCTGGGTCATCAATTCGAGCCAGCCGTCTCAAGTAGATTTATCCACATTGCCATTTCCGGTGGTTGCCAAACCTATCCGTGGTCGAGGAAGCCACGGAGTGAAGTTATGCAAGACAGAGGCCGAGCTGTCCCACCACGTGTCCCGACTTTTCGAAGAATCGCCTATCGTCATGGTGGAAGAATACCTTTCTGGGCAGGAAGGCACCATCACTGTCATGCCGCCCTCTGACGAACACCCCGAATATTGGTCGATGCCTATCGTTGTGCGATTCAATCACGAACACGGAATAGCGCCATACAATGGTGTGGTTGCAGTCACTGCAAACTCAAGACTACTTTCCCCGGAAGAATTATCTTGCGATTCCAACTATGCACGGATCAGTGAAGAGTGCGAGCGCATTGCTCGCCTGCTCCAAGTCACTGCCCCGATTCGAGTTGATGTAAGACGATTCAAGGACAGCAGTGAATCTGCATTTGCGGCATTTGACATCAATATGAAACCGGTAGGTCCTTCCGAGCTTTTACTACGATCACTGACCGCTGTAAAGAACATGACTGGTCCTGGCCGACCAGGACGTGAGAACCAAGCGAGTCTCACTGCCATTGGCGCAGCAGGTCTCGAGTGGGATTATCCAACACTGCTGACAGAGATACTGAGCCTTGCAAAACCCTTGTCTGATCTCCGCAAGATCTCAATAGCTGAGGAGGAAGTCAAGTAAGTATTCGTTGAGAAGAAGAATCTCTGGACGTAGCACAAAACTGTTCGAGGTATTGGACAGGGGATATTCTCCAAGGAAGTAAATAGTACCAAGTATCGTCAAGTTTGATATAATTTTGATCTCCACAGAAACTGTATTCTAGCTTCTCCGACTCCATATTTACACAAAATGCCATGCCATCACTATCCAGAGCAGGCCTCGACTCATCAAAATCATAAACCGTTGAACATGAGAACTCCAAACACAAGGGCAGACAAGCCGATGGTATTCATCCATCCGCTCCCAGCCCCAAGTAATCGTGGAGCGGCATTGCCACTTCCACTTCCACTGCCACTACTATTCCCGCTCTGACCGTCTCCTTGGTCATCGATACCGAACGGCAAGCCCTGGTACCCGAAAGTCAGGTTCTGCTTGACGCTGGCATTGTAGCATTGCCCATTGCTGATGTCCAAGCCGGTCAGATCGTCGGGAACGTTGAAGAACATGTAGCTCTGCTGGTTGAGGTTCTTGAAGCCCTTGGTGTCGTACGGGAATCTATCGGTCGGATCGGTGGACGAGGTGTTGCGGAGGAATATGCACTGGACCTGATTAGGAAAATCGGTCGCCATCGCGGGATAATCTCTCATGACGTCGCTATTGCTGGTGTCGGCGACCAGGATGAATTTGCGGTTGGGGAAGGTCAGGAAGATCTTGTCGAGCAGGAATTTGCGGATGCTCAGTGTCGCGGACAGGTCGCTGAAGTTGAGGGGCCGCGTGTCGAAGGAGCCTCCTGGGTAGGTGTTGTAGATGAATTCCATGTAGTTTCGAGTGATTTGTTCTGGGGTCGTGGTGAGGTAGTGGAAGTGCATGCTGGGCAGACTGACGGACCAGTTGCGGTAGATGTCTGGCATGTTCATCCATGGTGTGAATGGGCGAGCGAAGGAGTTGAGGAGACCTTCTTTTGGATCGTAGATCTTGGTGATGCGAAGAATGTCATCGATGTCGCTGATGACTGTGAGGCCCTGATCTGATACGAGATACGATGTTGCGTTCCCGGTATCTGTCCCTTGGGCATAGACATTCAATCTTTGCGGGGGGACGTCTCCAGTTCCAGCTTGTACGTTCAGGGTTGTGTTGTCGATTGGAACAAAGACATCGAAGTCTCCCTCGTCGGTCGTTGGATAAGGCAACGTGATGAGATTCTCACCCCCGGCAGGCGTTACTCCACCACTACCACCAGGTTGGCCACTGGCACCATTTGACGGCCCGGGGAGGATATCCACCGTAACGTTGACATCGCCTTGCTGCACGACATAAATCTCACGTGTCAAATTGCGCGCCTGCGCTTGCTGGGAAGCGGGCAAGTCTGCGACACTAGTGTCGATGAGGAAGAAATTTGCCAGGTCATCGATAGTGTCTTGAGAGATATTGGGTTGTTTAAAGACGTTGCCATGGACCCGGAGGTTCCAACCGTTGTTCGTCCAATTTCCATAACCCGGGATATTCAACACTTGTGTAGGAACAGCATCCATATCGGAACTGCTGAGTCCAGCAGAACTCAGGACCTGACTACCGGTTGGTAGATCCACCTCGTTCGGGAGGATGCCTTCGGTGACATAGGATGGAATGGCTGAGCCGAGCTCACTGAAGACGCTATTCACATAAGAGTCTAATTTTGAGGTGATATCGCCAACGATACCACGCTTGGCTCCGGCATGAGCGTAGACTGCAAGTGTTGCTGTTGGAGCTGGAGTAATGAGGGCGATCTCTTGAGGTGAGACGCGGGTTGGGGATGCCTGGGCTTCATTGAGGAGTAGGAAGGTCAACAGTAGTGGGAGAGCCATGGTGTTGGAACAACCCTGTGGATGGAAGAGGAAAGCATTCGGAGTATCAATGGGAACCCAACTGAGTGGAAGAGGAAAGTATATAAGTGAGACGTGATGGGTTTGAAAGTCGGGATAGAGACACTGGCATGTCACCTCCTGGTTGGAACTGCGACTTACCACTTACGAGTAGCACTACTGCAGAGACTAAAATTGAGTTGATGATCAAGCTGCAAGATGATCGAAAGCGTCAACATTGGGCGATCGAGTGCCGAGCAACGCAACGATACAAGGATTCATCCAAGTTGATCGCTTCCAAGGTTGTTCGGGGCGGCATGACGTCAATGTCACACGAGATGGGCCGAAGGGGGCCACTCTGGGCCACCACGGGCTTAATTCAAGCCCCAAGCTTAATCGAAATAGGCTCTAGAGGTCAAGACTCCAGTCCCAATTGGTTATAGCCCCGGGCAAAAGCTGGCCTAGGTTTCAAGTGGGTGTGGCCACTGATGACCTTCCCCCCGTCACCATGTGTCTGAGTTGAAGAGAACGCGTACGCTTCCAACGACATTCACGATCTTACCCCATAAACGTGATTTAGATGTTATATACCGTCTGCTCGATACTGAATATCTCCTCAGACACATATAAGGGTGCTTTAAGGTGGAATCACCTTCCTCAACCACATGGATGGACCTGCTTTCTTCTGAAGCTACACGTTTCAGGAGAAAGGGCAGGCTACAATGATCAATCAAGGTAAGAGCTCGAATCCAGATACACTGCGTGTGGAAGGCGTGATGTCTGGACAACAGCATATGTTGTTCAAGAGGTACCAATCCTCTTTAACTTCATAAGTCTCGATCGCTGCATTTGAGCTTCATTCGACTCATACCCGCGATGGACAACCACGTAAGGTCTTATCACCACCCCATCCGTCCTGAAGGGTCCAGACAACTGCCCTGGTGGACCTGGATTATCCCTTCTCAAAGATGGGCAAGATCAAGCTCATTCCAATTCATACGACCCCTGGGTCGATCGTTTCTGGTATGCTGAGGCACGAGGTCTGTGCCTCGTCGTCGAGATCTCCCGTTTGGAATGTGGCATTCTGATGATCCTTCTGTTGTCATGTTTTGGTCGCGCTTCATAAGGCAAAACTCGTCTTGGTTCCCTCTTCATCTCTTGTGCCTAGCAGTCACTCGTTTGTTGGAGTTCTGCAGTCCTCCTCTTTCTTGCTTTGGCATTCTGTCTTGCTTTTGTCCCAAAAAAGAACGGCCACCACCATGTGGCCGTCAATGTCATTCATTACTACTTCTCTGGCTCTGCATCTCGCGGCCGCTTACGCGCAATCCGCTCTATCTACCGTCACCTATGGGCCGAACGGGTTATGTCCACCACCCGAGACCACATCGGTAGTCGTGGTGGTTCCAGCCGTTTATAGTTCTTTTATCCAGTCAGCTTCGCAAATCATCAATGTCTTTGGTAATGGAGCCACAATTAATATTGGTAATGGCGGAACGACGTATATTACGAACACATATATCACGAGCACAATTATCACGACCATCACGAATCCTGTCAGTCCTGTGACAACCACCAGCATCACAGGAGTCATCTCTAACACGGCATCGACGACCAGCACATCAGGCTCGGTCTCCAGCGGGAGCTTGCCAACAACAACTGGCTCGAGTCGCCCTACAACCACTGGCCTGTCATTCACAACGACTGCTGGCATCCCTCCAACCTCGGGCGGAACGACTTCTTTTGGACCTCCACCCACAATCTTTACCCCCATTCTACCTCCAGTCGCTACGCCAACCCCTCCTGTGACCCTCGTGTACGTAACCGTGGACGGACAAGGCCATACTATCACTGTGACTTCAGAACAGCCCACTTTCACTATCGGTGAAGGCCTGGAAAGTGGTACTCAAACAGAGATTCCTGCAACTTCACCCGTCTTGATTGCAATGGCAATTCCGCAATTTGACAAGGTAAAGAGACAAGGAAGTCAGCCCCCTGATGATGCCCTTGCTGGCCCTCCAGCAAATGGGTTCTCATCGGAAACCGGAGGCTCTCTGAACAATTGTGGCTATGCAGCAAGATATTATATCTCGGGTGGCAAGCTGATGAGCGGCAACGACACCGTCGGACGCAACCGAACTGATTATGCTGTCAAGCTAGCTGCAGTCTCCAATAACAACGAAATCGCAACAAAATTTTTCTTCGTGGACGGTCTCTTGCAATGGGAGTCTCCAGATCGAGGTGGTGGTTCATTCTATCAATGTGATGGAGGACCATTATATGTTGGATTTCCGTATCCTCCTACTCCCAACTGCTACAGTGTCATTCTTGGAGGCATTGCTGCTGCAAGCTGTCCGGTTGATTTCACAGATAACATCCCAGACGAGGTTCAGCCTGATCCGACCCCGGTCGATACATCAACGTCGAGTTCCACTTCGCCGACAGCAACGCCAGACTCGACACCGCCATCAACACCGACACCTCTCAGCACTACTCCGGACGAGCCTCTACCGCCGGTGTCAACCCCTACCCCTATGACCACCTCACCAGGTGATATCGTTCCAACGCCATCAACAACAGGCATAGTTTCCCCGCCTGTCGCATCGACCAATTCCCCCGTTGTCACTCCGGTGTCCAGCAAGCCTTCAACAACGCTGCCAGTGCCCCCATCGTCCCCGGTAATGACCTCTACTGTCTCGCCGAGTGTAGCTGGCACATCGAGACCACTGACAAGCTCTATTGGAGTGCCATTCACATCGATCACATCGATTATTACACCGCTAGTGACGACGTCCCCAGTTGTGCCGTCTTCACCAACGACGTCCCCGGTTGCGCCGCCATCACCAACTACGTCCCCAGCCGTGCCGTCTTCACCAACCACAACAGTTGTTGTTCCTCCAGTGACTACATCCCCAGCTACGCCGCCTTCTCCAACTACTTCGGTTGTAGCACCGCCAGTGACTACATCCCCATCTGTGCCGCCTCAACCAACTACTCCAGTTGTTGCACCGTCATCATCAGCTACATCAGTTGTTGCACCACCAGCGACTACATTCCCTGTTGCACCGTCATCATCAGCTACATCGCTTGTGCCAACGTCAGCACCCACAACATCAAGATCTACGACTACATCTTCCATCGTGCCACTGGTGTCTACTTCGCCTCCAGTCGTGCCTCCTGCCACAAGCACTTCATCTCCAGGCCCATCATCATCGACAACAACGTCTGTTGCTACCCCGCCAGTCACAACCACATCGGTAGTATCACCAACGACGACGACAAGCCCTCTAGTTTCCTTAGGGACAACCACCAGCTCAATCAGCCCACCAGTGATGACCACCTCTTCAGTCGTTCTGCCAGTGACCACATCAAGCTCATCTGTTGTGCCTCCAGTCATAACAAGCACTTCTTCGAACGGACCTTCGGTCAGCACAACCACCAGCTCAACGAGTCGCCCCAATACCACAAGTACGACCAGCGTCTCGCAGGCAATGACCACAGCAAGTACGACTTCGATTACTACCCCTGTTGCGACATCCAGCGGAAACCCAACCACCGGCACGACGTCTTCAGGACTCAATAGTGGATCAAGCACCACTTCTGACGTGCTGCCAACTACGAGTAATACAGGTACAGTGGAACCCCCTTCTAGTTCATCAAGTCTACCCCCAAGTCCAAGCACAACCTCCTCTGTTCTTAGCAGCACAATTTCGCCTCTGGCTTCAACGACATCATCGCAGATCATCACTTCGGGATCCAGCACAACTACGTCGGCTGTTATAACTACCAGTACGACAACATCTTCTCCCTCAGGTACAAGTAGTACAACTACGTCGACGGAGGCAAGCACCACAATGGCTTCTGGGTCACACTCAATCAGCACAAGTGTTTCAACAAGAGGCTCGACAACGACTAGTGTATCAGAGGTCACGACTACATCTGGCCGTCTATCAACAACGATGACGGAGTCAACGACTGCATCTACTATGACAGTGTCTTCCCTGTCGAGCACTGATTTGATGACAAGCACCTCGTTGACGAGTTCGAATGGAGGTACGTCAACTTCAGTTATTAGCCCCTCGAGTTTAAGCACTTCCCATTCAACGACCACCACGGCTGAGAATGACCGACCCACGAGCTCTTCAATTGTGCCAACCGGGACGAGTTCTGCGAGCTTATCTACGTCGACGCAGGCTAGTACAGCTTCTAGTTTAACGAGTTTACTTGGAAGTACATTGTCCTCATCCACCAGTAATCCATCAAGTTCAATTGTCGCTTCTACAACGACAACGAGCGAAAATCATTCATCCACAAGCTCACAAACCTCATCTACAAATGTCGGGGGTTTTACAACAACGAGCACACCTACACCTACGACAAGTTCGTCAATCAACCCAGTTTCTACCACTTCAGTTGGAAATTCCATTTCGATGAGCTTCGATACATCAACAACGACGGCGATCAATAATCCGTCAACCAGCCTATCGACATCGACAATATTGAACACAGTGTTCTCGACATCTACAGGAGTTCCAACTTCCACGACTAGTGCTGCAGGATCCCTGACAAGTACAACTACAAGTACTGCATCGCTGAGAACTTCGACCTCTACATCTGCTGGGGATGCGAGCTCCTCATCTAGCACCTCGTCTTCTGTATCTATGACTAGTTCCGTTACGCTAACAAGCATAACCACTACTACAGAAGTGACAACAACAAGTCAGAGCTTGTCCATCTCGACCACGCCGAGCACCAGCACCACCATGGGAGGAACAACGACGAGCGGGAGCCTATCCACTTCAGTCTCTACTACCTCGAGTACTACTGCAATGGTAATGACAACAAGTGCGAGCACATCCACCTCCACGACCACGAGTATTCTACCCTCAACGCAGACTACAGTGACAAGTAGCGAGAGCTCTATGTCGTCGTTCACAGCAAGCACCTCCAGTATCACGACAAGTGTTGACACAGCGACCACTCAAACAACAAGTTCTTCTATGAGCACAGATACGACAACTTCATTTCCAGGTACGTCGATCACTCGCACTTCCGTCAGCTTATCGTTATCCTCTGCCCCATCTTCAACTTCGAGTGAAGCGTCAACGACTAGTGAAGCGAGCGACATGTCGACCAGCACCCCGAGCTCTATTACTCTTACTTCAACTACATCATCCAGCTTGAAGACCAGCACCACGGGGTCTAGTATAATCCCTAGTATAAGTTCAATGTCTTCGGGTTCGACGTCGACATCTGAATTTAGTACTACCAGATCGGACGCCACTGGCTCGAGCACCACAACAAGCGTCAGTACGTCGAGCACTGCTGATTCGAGTACCAGCGGATCTAGTACAACTATAACCGACTCTTCTTCCTCAAAGAGCAATACTGGGTCAACAAGCAGTGGTACATCGACGACTAGCTTAACGACCACAACTGGGTCTTCATCCTCAGGGAGTAACCCAAGCTTGACTAGCACGAATTATTCGACAGCTGCAACACTTTCTTCGTCCTCGGAAAGTAGTACTAGCTTGACCAGTAGTGCTGGGTCGACTACTCCTTCAGCAGGGACTACAACTGATTCTGCATCACCAGAAAGTACTCCTACTTCGATCAGTACAACTACTCAGTCAAGTACAGCCTCAACCACCTCAACTATGACTACAACTTCCTCTACATCGGCAAGCTACATTGTCTCAAGTAGCACAATTGTTTCAAGTCTTTCTTCGGTGATAACCACAACCTCCTCTTCGTCCTATGGAAGCCAAACTGGGTCCACCAGTACTACGCCCGCATCGAATATGGCCTCGACCACCACCTCGGCAATAGTAACATCAAGTTCACCATCTGGGACGTCCGCGAGCTTAAGCTCTTCGAGTATCTCGACATTACCGAGTTTGAGCTCTTCAATGCCCTCGACGTCCACGACTTCGAGTTCTCTAAGTTCTTCGATTATTTCGACGACTTCGACGTCAATAAGTTCGACGTCTTCTAATATCGAGACGACCTCGACGTTAACGAGTTCGAGCTCTTCCAATATCATGTCGACCTCGACATCAATGAGTCGCGCTACATCATCTACCACGTCTTTTGCAACTACTACATCGTCAGTCAATATTCAGGGCAGTACGAGCAGTTCTTCGTCGCAGTCTTTCTCGACAACCATTCAGGATACTACGAGCACTTCTTTGTCGACGTCTTCCTCGACAACTACAACAGCTACTTCATGGTAACGACAGCGAGCATCACGACAACAACGACAACGACAACGACAGTACGACCGACGACGACAACCTCGGGTATGTCGTTGACAGACATCCTCTACGTGAAACTTGTTCCACATTTCCTTTTTCCATTCATTCGAGTTCTTTCCGGTCAAGGATTGTACTAATTGCTTTTTGTATTTAGTGCCTACAACTACCACGTCAACGTCTCTTTCAACAGCGACATCAACGACGAGCTCAACCACGTCAGGAACAGCGGGCTCAACGACGACGTCAACAACCACAACCACAACATCACTCGTAGCAACAACGACTTCAGTAACTACAACATCACTCGCATCAACTACCACAACAAGCCCACTAGCAACGACGACAAGCTCGGGTATGTCGTCTGTGGGCATCATTTTCGTGAAACTGATTCTACAAATTTTTTCTGTTCCATTCACCCAAGGTACCGTTGTGTCAGCACTGTGCTAACTGCTTCATCTTATCTAGTATCTGCAACCACTCTGTCAACATCTACTACAGTGGACATGTCGACTTACAGAAACCCTCCGAACTACGCGAACTTGGCCTCTACTCGTTATGCTGCCGCCCCAAGTGCAACAAATTCTGGCGGTGGAATTCTCTGCGCCAATACGAATGTCAAACAGAATCAAGGTTCAGAAGGGATTAATCCAGGTGATTTCAATCTGCGAAAGGTCGCGCTGGACGACGCGCCAAACGTAGTATACGAGATTGAATGCTACCAGGCACCTGCAACAGGCTTTGTCGATCAAAGTGGTACATATTTTTCTTTTGAACACTGTATCCAAAAATGCACATCTGTTGCATGCCAAGCGGCACAATGGGTGCCTACCACCAAACTCTGCAGGCTTGCTACTACGCAGCGGGTAAACACACCCAATTCGATGGTATTCGGGGCTTATTCAGCTCGTTTGATCACAACGGCCAATCCAAAGGTTATTTCTGGCAGCTACCTACTTCCCAACAATACAAATCTTGGACTCTGCCTGGGTCCCTCACCAGGCAATTATGACAGGGCTGAAATCACCGTCTACAGCAGGACCAATACACTGCGAGACTCCGTCACTTTCCCTGTCACCGGAAGATATGACAGCTACCGGGTTGACTGCCTTGGTAAAGCCATCGGGATGGGTACCAACCCACAAGACGAGGTCGCTCTCTCCGCAACCTACGGATTTTACCCCCAGAATGCTGACGATTGTGCACGACTCTGTATCACACATAGTATCGCATCCGCTGACGGGAATACGAACTCGGCAGTAAACTGTCGAGCTTGGTATTGGTACGACAACAATTCCTGCAAGATGTACGCCACAAAACCAGGAAATGCAGCAACGGCTGCTTTCAGCTACTCCGGGCTGCTCGCTGCGGGATGGTCACGAGCAAACAGCGGCCATGAATTCACAGCGGCCAATGTCAACGCGTACAAGCGTTCGCTAGACCCCTTCCGAGACGACACCACTTCGAAGCGTGGAAGGCGCGCACTGAAGAGCAAAGCCTACCACCCAGTTCCAGTTGTCGATCGGAACCCAGATTCCATGGTTCCAGATGATATCATCCCTTTCATGTTCCGCGTACGGCATTAACCCACCAGGGAGTATGTCGCAGCAGTACCAACGTCGTCTCGTTCCTGCAAAGATGTCGTGCCTTCTCTCAGAGGCTTTACAGGCTCTGATGTTCTACACTACTCTGAGAACAGAAACCAAGCAGTTGAAAAGTGGTGATTTGCCAGAGCGAAGGATAGATCGGGTGGAATCATTGTCGCTTCGATATTAGTATACGAAGATATCTTCAACCAACATTGATGATTCTGAAGCTGTCTGTTGTATGATTGATTGTGGTTGAATTTATAGTTATGGTTCATTCATCTTCGGGTTTTCGTTTCAGGGGCATACAATTCGGCAGAAACATGGGTCGGCGCCTGTCGTGCTTGGGCTTCGATTCATCAGTAAAGGACCCGCAATGGGATCGTATTGCAGAAAGAGATAGCACACAACAGCAAATCCTGTCCGGATGGCTTGCCCCCTCGCACTGTTTTATTTTAATACATTCATTTATCTGACTGCAGAAAACCCCTATGCTCCGCACTGCTGTTCAAATCATGCCATTTCATATGTTACAGTTGGTTGAATTAACTAGTTTGTACTCGTCTCAAAACACCACCCGCTCTGGGAGATATTCGCCTCGTCCGCTCCGCTTTCATTGTGCTTCACAAGACTTGTGGTTATGTTCGTATCGGACCCTCATACGTGCCGGGGCGAAAGATTCGGTGGTGCGGAAGCAGTATTATTCATGTTTGTCAGCATACATTCTTTCCTTCCCAATAGTGAAATCTGCCGCTTGCGCCACCTTGAGAACGAAGTCGACGTTCCGAGCCAAAAAGTCGCGAACCTCCTCATCGCTCGGCCATCGCAAGGGTCGACATGAAATTTCCGCCTGTTCGATTTGCTCTCTGGAAACGGTCAAGGGTGTATCGAACCACATTTCGCCGCCCAGCCCTGCAGAATCGGGCGATTCGGGCGAGCTGCTTGAGTGGTCGACTCCCAATGCTTTGCCGCCCTCGAGGAACAGGCGGATCGCGCACAGAGTGCCCCTGAGGTGTGGTATTTCGAGATGCTCGTGTTGAGGTTCGGTAAGGGTCAAGTATGTTGTTCCCACATCGTTGTTGACCATTGGTTCGAAGAAGTTGGCGTGGTGTGCCAGCCATTGGATCACGCTCAGAATACCCTTGACGTCGTGGGATGCGATTAAGAGACGGACCAGTATTCGGATAGTGGGGGGGTCAGGTACCCTTAGCGGACGGTGGCGCATGGTGTTCCCACCCCACTCAGCACAATGCTCACCATATGAGGCGACCGCGAATAGTGATTTGGCCAAGTCGACGAGACGAGCACTGCCGAAGGATTGGAAATGTGCATCCCTGAGTAAACTGTGGACTAGCCAGGCGACATGCTGGAAAGTATCGTAGTCTGGATGGATTCCCTCTGACTCCAACCTCGAGATATTGAACATTTCTTCAACACGTCGCCAAATCTCGATCTTGATGTTGACTGCCTCGCTTTGTGTCAGTGATTGACCCAAGACGCGATCGAGAGTGTCGTTCACGCAGTCGAGCAAACCTTTGAGGAAGCCGTTCCAAACAGTAATGTCTTTCTCGCCAGATATGACGAGCAGCCGGGAAGCATAGTCCACTGGCTGAACGTCATATCTTGCGGTAGCCAGACCTGGTAAGCCCTGATCGCTCTCTTTGAGTATTTTGACCAACCTATGGCTTCGTGCTTCTTCGGTAAGGGATCCCGGCATCTGAAATTGCGGATACGATGCAAAGCCATACTTGCATAGGAGGCCGTAAAACGCAGCAAGAAAGTCAGCACGTAGCTGATTGAGATTCTGCTTCAACATAGCATGTGGATATTTCTCGGCATGGAACAACACGTCTCGAATCACCTCATGATACTTGCTCTCGGCGATATATTGAAACCCAATTTCAAGATTCATAGCAGATTTTAGAAGTGCACATAGTATTGCTCCGGCAGGCTGGAACCCGTCTTTAAGCATGAACTTGTAGAACTCATGCCTTGATGGAACCCTGGTCTCGACGTAGACCCTTTGATTGGGATCGTTGGGCTCTGGGAAAGTCGCTTTCACATCACCAGGGAGATATCTTGATCCGCGGACAGAGCCTGGTGTGATGATTGGGGCCAGTAGTCGATCAAGCATAGCATAGTATGGCGTATACTGACGTTGTGCTAAGGGCGTTGACTTTATGTAAGCACTGAAGGCAGCCCAGGCTTCAAGCTTTGTTCGTGTGGAACGTACACGCGCAGCCCACACTGTCGGGTCTATAGATTCCGTATCTTCTGTTTCGGGGAAGAATTTCACCCTCGGCCGTCGTAGAATGGCCCTTGTTTGAACAGTAGGACTGGAATCGACATCCCATCCCGCAAGAACGGACGCATTCTGTTCCCATATGCCATGCGAATAGCCTGCCTCTTTCATTCGTCGCAAGAGTCTCATTGCACGACTTTCTTTGCCACTGTACTCAAGATCCCTCTGAATACCCATAGTATCTTGTCTCCATGGTGGCCAGGATAAAGATTTCGCTTCCGCCCATGCTCGTTCATCGTCGGTCTTCTTGTGAATGAGCTGTACCTTGATAAGTGCACGAAAACCTTCACGAGTAACAGGCATTTGTGGTTTGAACTCGGCCATGATGCCAACAATTTTCAACTGTGCCTTTTGCTGTTCGAGAGACCATTTGAAAGGATGCGTCCGCGAGGCCAATGACATCAACCCCAGGAAGCGATTGAAGATGTGTGCGAGCTTTATCAGCTCGTCCTTGTTCGGCGTTGTGGGGATTGATTGACTTTCCGTGGTTTTAGGGATTCTCACATCAGTAAGGTTACGGTAGAAATCCAAAAACAAAATGCGAACAATCGAGGCAATCTCATTCAAGAGACTGGGATCGGTTTGATGAGCATGGCGCAGAAGTCGAACAACAAAAATGACCCTTGTAATCCAGGATCTCCACGAACCATATAGCCGTTGGTCACGACAGATATGTAATTCTCGCAACACACACTCGACGAGTCTTCTCAAGGCGTATAGGCCGATGGAGTCAGACCTCACGAGCTGTAACAGCACAAATTTTGGGATCGAGGTAGGCCGATGGTCAGGCGTCTTGTTTTCCATCAAAGCAACATATCTCAAGACTGCGAGATCAACTGATGGAGCGCTGAACACCCAAGACCAACAAGCGACATCTGAGACATCATAATGTGTTACTGCAAGGGTTCTGCGATTTACCAGATATTTGTCATCAAATACGCAGCGCAACGCTTCCTCGAGTAGTATATCACGAGTTTCCGGGTCAATAGAGGATGGCTGAGCATTGAGAACTGGTTCGACATCGTGCATAAAGGCGAGCAGAATTCGCCGCAGTCCTGTACCTTTGAACACAGAGGTCGCATCGTTCTTCCGCGATTCAAATGGCGCATTCTCGAATTCAATGACATTCATGTATGATAGATTGCTCCTGTTGCGGGTTATCTTCGAAGGCAAAAAGCGGCTCAAGCCATCGTAGTGGTCGTGGCCCAGTGCATCGTGTAATGCCGAAAAGGGTTGGGTGTCTTGATTTCCAGTTTCTAGCTCCGTAGCAGTGTATATGTCCACAGGATCAATGACATCGTCGCTTCGTTCGGAGGGCTTGTCGGACGGGACATGATCGTCTAGGGTGTCGCTCAAGGAATTGATGCGATCGATCAGATCTTGATTAGGGCTCGCGTCATGCTTGATTTCTTTGCCATTACCACTGGGATTTTGATGTTCCTTGCCCGATCGAGTTCTCGCAAAGTAGGAGATTGGAGAGCGTCGGCAGATCAGTCGTGGACTATCGAAAAGCGGCTTCACGAAGATCCATCCCACGACCTGCGCTGGTGCGTATCCTAGATTTGGCCTGGTGACTGAAGGATGTCGAGCGCTATGCCTGAGGCACAGAGAATATAGTTGAGACACCCTGACCATCCATTGAATCTTGTCAGACAGGGTGGAGGAAGTTGACCGAGATCAGCGAACGAAGCGATTGAACCAAAGTAGTGCTGGGACACACGTATGGGCGCAGGTTGGTAATTTGCAACTGGTTTGCCGTCTGAACATTTCTCGCGCCTCTTCCAGTAACCGGGTAAATCCCGGTTGATATCAGATCACGTGGAAAACTGAATCGCCGCTTTTAGAACGCGCCAGTGACGCGTTTAATGGACGGCAAAGTGATCGTATCTACAGTACCTAGGTATGCTTCATGATTTGATAATTCGCAATCTCATCTACAATGTTACCAGCAGGATCGACATTTCGATAGATCGCATCTTCTTAATAACTTTCAGCTGCACATTCCCATGTGGCTGGTTTGAAATCAAGGACCGATGAAGTGTGGCTGCCAACGAAGATTTAAATGCAATTCAACTCGTCAAAGACTACAGTTCGCGAGTTGCCTAGTCTCTTGCCATCATGCTCAAGGGTGTCGAATGAGTCGAGATCTTCTCAAACTGGCTACACGTCCCCAGCATGACACCTTTGCGTTGCCAAGTATTTGCATATTGAAGGACGTTGTCTTCATATTGGCTCCAGGTGATCTCTCCAGCAAACGCCCTCTCCAACATCAGAGCGTCAAATGCTGCTTGGCTGGTGCTTGCAGCCGTATGTGGACGAAATCCTGCGAGAGCATCCCCCAATAGCGCAGCTTTCCCTTCCAGCAATCTACCAACCGGGGCTCCCTGTTCTGGCGCTGTGACGTCTGTGATAGCTTGGACAAATGGCTTCTTGGTCTTCTTAACCAGCTCGGCAAATTGAGGGGGTAAGACTTCCTCTGCCCGTTGCTTTTGTCGTCTCCACACCTCTTCCCCAATATAACCACCAGTGGGCAGGGTGTATCGATGTCTATTACCCTTCGAGTCCGTCAAAACTTCTTTAAACTCCTCAGAGTCTTCTGGGAAATTCCAGTACCAAACCCAATTGACCAATCTTTTCCCAGGTTCCACGCTTCCGTTTGCTCCGGGAATGGCGTAGCCAAGAATTTGGGTTCCTTGTGTGTGGAAGAAGGTAAATTTCTCAACAAAGACATCTTGCGCAGCAGTCTCCAATTCGGTCTCTAGTACGGTCCCCCGGAAGGCAACATAACCCGCATATTTTCTCTGTGCGGCATGGTCGCGGAGTAGCATCTTTCGCATGCCGCTAGAAGGTCCGTCGGCACAGACCACAAAGTCCACGATGAGGGTGCCTTGTTCCCCTTTGTTGGGCGATCCCTCCCTTGTGTCTCTCCAAGTCACCTCGACCTTGTCGTTGACGACTTTGAGACTCTCGACAGATCTGCCGTATTCATACTTTGCTCTCCCCCAGGCGTCCCTTACCCTTTCGCCTTCTGGACTATCCTTCATTTGCGCCCACTGGCTAGCTACGTGCTCCGAAAGTTGCCCATCGAAATTGGCTCGACCAAGATGGTACAGCAGATCCCAACTTGTCATCCATTGGGTGAACTCTTCTTTCTCAACTGTCTCACCTTCACGATTGAGATATGTCCTTGCTTTTGAGGTAACCTAGCAATTCATATTGTCAGCCCTGTGGGGGAGGTCTATACGAAAGGTGATGGACCTACTTTTGCTTCCTTTCCAAAGACATCAAACTGCTCCACCCACTTTTGAACATTGCCCCCAGCTACAACGCCAGCTCCCTGATCATGCAGTAATGGAGTGCCGCTTCGCTCTAAAATAGTGACTCGGTGCTTTTGTGGCATCCTCAGGAGTGGCGTTGCAGCAAAGAGACCACCTAGAGATCCGCCAATAATGGCAATATCGAGAGATTTACTAGTAGAAGACATAATGGGATGATGCCCTAGTGTAACAAGCGGAGATGATGTGGTGAGTTGATTCTGATGGTGTTGTTGCTAAACGATTCCTTGCAGATGACCGCTATCGATATTAATATATTCGAGATCCTGTCAACTACCTCGTACACCAAGCAGCTCGCCATGCCGTTGTCTTTCTCTTTCGTATGTCGAGCATTCACGGCATGCGAACCGATGCTGTCCCCTTCCAGTGTGCCTGAAATTCGGTCCGAAATGATATCGGAGTCGGAGTCGGCAAGTGTTCGCCAATTGGACCTCAGGTCGCCACGGCAAACCTTCTTCCAACAACGTGATTCGGATCAGTGGAGAGACCATTCAATCTTGTTACCTCAAGCATTATTTTCCGGGATACTCTCCCACAATGGAATACCCATTCCACCTTACTAATATCAAACACTATTCTCATCAAAGTCCAATCAGAATCATGGTTGTCGTTTCCGTCTTCGGTCGACTTCTTTTCCAGGATATCCTGCTCCTGCACCGAATCTGTGCCTCTTTGCCCTCCAGCCAGCAACAAAAGGCTCCCTGCTCTTAGCACCATCTCATGCTAAGTGAATGCTAGCCTAATCGACCCCACGATCAAATAACCCGCCTGTTATACGATCGAGACTAGGCCACCACGTTTCCCCAATTCGAAACCACTTTCAAGCCTCAGCCACGCCCACAATCAGTATGAGTGCGCGCCGCTTGAGAACGAGCTGCAAATCATGTCGTAAGGCTCGCATCGGATGCGATGCGCTACTCCAGATGGGTAATAGATGTAGCAATTGTACTCGTCGCGGAAAAATCTGTGATGCGCCCGTGAGTTGCCCTTACTCGCCCTTCTCCTGGAAGATCCGCGCCCAATGTGTGGCTGACCATTGGCGTTTAGGATATTGTGTACGCATTGCAAAATCAGCAACACACTCGTGCTGCAGACCCCATAGGATCTGTTGCCCCGATCATGGCTCGACACCACTCTGATCCGCAGACCTCTCCATCACCTTCCATATCCATCCTCGATGCCGAGCTCACTCCATCTCGCCGTGTTCAGGTGTCGGCACTAAATGACATACTCTGGGAGATCTACAGCACCACATTTGAAGCCAGGTTTGCCATATGGTTTGGCGACAGCTGCTGTCCATTTTTGAAATTATCTCCTGTGAGTTTCTTCGTTCAGTATATGGATGAATTTGGTCGGGCATACTCGTACAATCTCTCCGGCTAATACATTGGACCGTTACAAGGGAACAAAGGTGTCCGCATGGAATCTTGTGCTTCAGCTTGATGCGCTCGAGGACGAGACTGCAGCCCTTAAAAGCTCCATATCCGGTAAGCCGGAGGTGACTGATCAAACTAGCAATAATCGCATCTTGAATAATGCTCTTCGAAACGCGATTTATGCGTATGCAGCTCGCTGGCTTCCTCTGCAGGATGCTTTTCTTAAGATGGGGGATGATTACGATTGCGCGGTGAAAAAGGAACAAGACTTCCGTGATCAATTATGGCACCGAGCACGAACAACTATCTCCGCTGCAATGTCCCGTCCAAGTTACAGGTCTATTCTAGCTCTATATTTGTTTTCACTTACTGAGATGCCTCTGACCAATGACCATCCGGGGACCGGCCAATTATGCACCCAGGTTCTGCTGACACATTTTGGCATCCTGCGCTCTCCACTAAGGTGGCGACAATTACGACCACTAGCCTTCAGCACTTCAGTCTTGCCAATCGCGCGAAAAACTCAGCATGACTTGGATTTGGTCTTGGAGGATCTCTCAGCCAACGAAAACCGCCAACGAATGAGAGATGCAATGTTCTGGATTGGCGTTGTCTGTGATACGAGTCGCTCTTTGGTGAACCAAGTTCCTATGGTGCTTCTGGGAGAGCATGGCGATGCCAAAGTATGGGAGTTCATTCTGCAGAGGGCTGTCATCTTTGATCAATCTTTTCGATCGCTTCATGGATCCCAAGATTCGCTGTCAGCCGATCTCATTGTCACAATTCTCGAGCATGCAACTTCCTGTAAGACGATGTTTTTAGGTATCATCAGCCAATTCTGTGATGCATTGCTCCACCACGACAAGGAAGCGATTGAGAAGGGGGCAGAACGTATACGGCTCGAGTCTCGCCGATACCGTGACATCTTCGATCCACTATTGTCAATGTGTGGGAGTGAGTATTTGATCTTGAGTGCTGCAAGTCAGCTGAACTACGGTAGGCGCACTTTGTCCCTGATACTGCAGGAAACCAAAAGCTGATGACATTAGTATTGCTGGTTGCACATTACCACCTGGGGTCTCTCATCCTCGCAGACGTCTTGAATGCCGTTGAATATGTCCCAGAACCACTGAAGGACCCCATATTTTCACGTTCAAGAGCTTGTCACTCGATTGTCAACGCCATAAACCTAGCGTTGAGCTGTGATAGATACTCATCCGAGGAGAATCATCGGGGAAGCCGGTTACTTTTTGATCCAACACCTGAATACATGGTCGAGGTGTTATCAAGATGTGGCAAGGCAATCTTCACATGCGTCGAAGATAACGAAATCCCATCTCACACTGCCCAAATCATGCTCTCCGTTGTTTGCACAGCTTTGAATGTTCTCTGTCACATTTCGCAGACAGCATCTTTTGTGCTCTCATCGTTCCAAACCATCGGAGCTTCTGCGGGGCTGAAGTTAAAGAGTGAGGAGTATTCTACAGCAATGAAGGCCAAAGATGAGCACATATCAACATTGTCTATGTGTAACGCCGCTTTTGCTGACGATTTGACACGAGAGATGCAGTTACACGCAAGCTTAGGTCCATGCGACTCAGGAAACGCCCCAGGATCTCATCACTATACTCCTGAGGATTTTGAATCTAGTATCGCGAGTTGATCAGCTACAACCCAAGAATCTATGACAATCAGATTGCTTTCTTCAAAAGTTCAGGCACCTTCCTCCAACCGGGAATAGGCCCTACTCCCGATGGCACAAACATATTCTTGGGTCGGCTGTATTCTCTTAGCGTTTGGATGCAGTGTTCTCTGCCATATCCACTTTGTTTTACTCCGCCGAATGGAGTGCCAAGTGCCAGCCGACTGAAGTTGTTGATGAACGCCATTCCAACATCAATCTGTCTAGCCGCTTTCATTGCTGTTGTCTGGTCACGAGAGAATATGGCGCACGTGAGCCCATACTCTGAGCTGTTTGTGATTGAAATCGCCTCATCATAAGTATCAAATCGAGTGATGGTCGCAACGGGTCCAAAGATCTCCTCCTTTGCTATCCTCATATCCTTTGTGACGTTGCTGAATAGAGTTGGCTGAACATAAAAGCCACCACTTAGTGCTGGATCTGTTGGTTTCGGAGCCTGTGCTATGACTGTCGCTCCTTCTTCAAGGCCAATTTTGATATAATCTTCGACCTTCTCTTTATGGGCTTGGGTGATCAATGGGCCAACATGCGTATCTTCATCGCTTCCATGGCCAACCTTGAGACAACTAACTGCAGCTGATAGCTTTTGGACAAACTCATCGTGGACGCCTGCTTGTACCAGTAATCTCGATGATGCTGTACAAGCTTCACCCTGATTGAAGAATGCCCCATCAATAGTGCAGCCAACAGCGAGGTCGACATCAGCATCATCAAAGACTATCAAAGCATTTTTGCCTCCGAGCTCGAGAGATAAAGGTGTAATCGTGTCTGCAGCTATTTTCGCGACAGCCGCCCCTCCACGCGTGGAACCAGTAAATGAAACCTTCTTTACATCAGGATGAGCGACCAGAGCTTGGGGAACATTGATTCCTGCCGCCGGGATCGCCTGTATCACTCCGGTCGGAAACACGCCTTGTAATATCTCGACAATACGCAAGACGGTCAAAGGCGCTTGTTCCCCAGGTTTTATGATGACGGTGTTTCCAGCAGCCAATGCTGGCGCCGATTTACCTCCGACGTGAATCGGTGGCCAGTTGAAAGGTAGTATGCCGACAACAACTCCATATGGCTCGTGGATAACTTGCGAGTAGATACCTCCATTGTCGTATAGTTCGTGCGGAAGCTTATCGGCTAGGGATGCGAAGTATCGGAATACTGACACAACGAAAGGCACATCTCCTTCACGAGCTTGAGATACTGGTTTGCCGTTCTCTAGCGACAATAATTGCGCAAGCTCTTCTGAGTGACTTTCTAATCGATCGGCAGCAGCGAATAGTAGTTGAGACCTCTCCCGAGGTGAAACCCATCGCCATTCATTGAAAGCATTCTGTGCAATGCTGACGGCCTTTTCGACTTCATCAACACCGCCGCCCTGGACGGTAGTGATTACTTCGCCAGTAGCTGGGTTGTGGACTTCGAAACGGTGAGAAGGCTCCTCGGAAGAGAGAGGGAACAGAGACAACTTTCCATACGAAGGTGCAGTGATCTTGGAAATCATTTTGGAAATTGAGGAATAGTTTACGTTACTTTGTGCAATGGGGATTGGGCGTCTTGCGCTTTTGAACTCAAGTTCTCGCGCCGATTCCTGAAACGACATCTGCTACCCCGTATCTCACTCATGTACGACGTTCCAGGGTCGATCGCTAGCTTCATCCCGGATATTGCAAAATGAATAACCGCGATTAACTCCACGAAATCACTCAGGAATCTGGAGTTACACTACAATATCACCGATTGAAAGTCCGTCCGAGGTGTGGTAGAACGTTCGGATTCGGGTGCGATCATGTGATCGTGATGTCCGGTGTCACACTTCGGATACCTTTCGTACCAACTCGTCTCTGGCTTTGAACCATTGCTTTGTCGAAAGATCAACCAGTACCACTCGGGCAATATCGGCCAGTCTCACTGTCTTGCATAGAGCCATGGCCATATATGTTCGATACACATCCAGGCCACGAAACAGGCAACATGGGATTGGCCTACAATTGAGATCTACAATCAAGCAGATCGACGTTTCCACAGAGCTAGTATCATAATGCGCGGCAAAATCATCCTCGAAGAGCACGTCTGTCTGCCGGAGGAAGCAGAAGTCGAAAGCAGCAAGTTTGCGTCAAGCAATGCGCAGGATCTCGGCCGCGCTCTTCTCGACCTGCACCAGGATCGTCTACAGGAGATGAACGCCAACGGAGTCGAATTCGCCATCATTTCACAGAACACGCCCGGTCCTCAAGGCCTCACAGATCCTAATGAAGCAGCCAGCTATGCGACTCGATCCAATGACTATGTGTCTGAGCTAGTCGATCAGGCTCCGGAGAGATTTGCAGCATTTGCCGTTGTATCGATGCACACCACCGAAGCCGCTGTTGTCGAATTGAAGAGGGCAGTCGAACGACTAGGAATGGTTGGTGTCCTGCTACATGATTCCCAACTCTACCTCGACGACAAAGGCCAGCTCAGAGAGTATCATTACGATGACCCTCGATATGATGAATTCTGGGCCGCGGTGGAACAATTATCCGTGCCTGTCTATCTTCATCCAAAGTCGCCCTTACCTGATGAGATCTCGAGGCTATACAGTGCTCGTCCATGGCTCCTCGGCCCAGTCTACAGTTATGCTAGAGACACGAGTTTCCATGCGCTAGCCATTATTACCAGTGGTATCTTCGATAAGTATCCAGGAGTGAAGCTTGTGCTAGGCCACCTCGGTAGGCGCTGGATATCTCAAACTATGCGATTTGTTCAGCTAATGCAATTACAGGTGAAATGCTTCTAGCACATCTTGGACGTATCGACCACTGGCTCGAGAAGAGAAATCGCGGCAAAGACCTCCCAAGCCAGAAAACTGTACGAGAATATCTAGAGAACAACGTATATGTGACGACAGCGGGTCACTTCTCTACCCCAGCGCTTGTTCACGCGATGACGGAAATTGGGATAGATAGGATTCTGTTCTCAGTAGATACACCGTTCGAGAATATCACAGAAGGGTCGACTTGGGTAGATACATTGCCCATCAGTCATGGAGATGTGACGAAGATTGGGCGGACAAATGCGCTTGCGCTTTTCCCTCGCCTGGCGAAGCGTTTGAGGTCCGATGAGGTTGAGAAGCTTCAACAGGATCGGCAGCGAGTGTTATTCACGAAGAATGCTGGGTTCTGGTGAACGCGTACGGTGTGGGATATGGGCTGTGTTCATAGAAGGGAATAGGGTAGAAACTCATTTGGTGCAAAATTTAGACTAAATCAGTATCATATTATCACTACTAGATACTTTGGTCATGTACTACTTGATGCGGAGCTTGATGGCTGAAATGCCTTCTCACGGTTAACGATTGTTCCATTCTCCCAAGCTCAGTGAACATATTGCATGCCTACTGGTACATGATCCCGTGCTCCGTCCAAGAAATATCAATAGTTCACTGTGTCGAAAGATTAAGCCAGAGTACGCGTTCAGAGGATCTGTTCCCATTTCTTTCGATACAAGAGCAATGCGATACCGTCACTCATCTTCAAAGGGAATGTCCAAGAGAAGTAAACAGTCCGCCCATTTTTCTACCTGATAAACTGATTTACAAAATCTGCACCAAGACCCACACTCTCATAATGCTTTCTCGCGGTGTCAATCTTGCTGAAAACATCTTCAACTCCGACGGGATTCCCATCAGGATCAACATAAATATACGCCCCAGTGACATGAAACATGGTGATCATCTCCTTGACCCCGTCCGGGACCTCTAATGTGTGGATATCACCAGGAGGTTCAAAGGCATAGCTCCCCTCTGTCGCCCACCAGGGATGCTCGAGGTAGTGCCATCGACCCCTCAACGTTGTGGCGTGGACTGGGCCGGCGTGTCGATGTCTTGAAAGGATGCCGGACTTACGCACGCGCAGCAGATTGACGAAGTAACCTTGCGACGTGCTGAAGAGTAATGGGCGAAACCAGACATCGGGCGCCTGCGGCACCCATAATTTCTCGTCATCGTCGAAATTGAGAACTCCCGGTACAACGAGGTCGTCAGGGACGTTGGATAGCGGTGGTCCTCGATAGGGGACGGCCTCGAAATCTGGTCTTTGTGCCATGGTTCTGCAGTTCAGTCTGGGGGGCTTGTGAGTTGTGCTAGGTTAAGACAAATTGTATGGATGTTCTTGTTGTTTCTTAGTGACAGCCTTAGTTTATTTTCAAACTTCCTTATGCCCTGATACAGCTGTATTTGTATATTCTTGAAATGAACATCATCGTCTTTCTCTGCGTCCAGAAAGAGGTGCCACTCCTTCCTTTCATGTCAGTAGGACGACTTAGGCACGAGGAGTTAGCAGTTTCTTTTCGGCTAGAAGTGCGTTGATGTTCTGTACAAAGAAACAATCAGGGAAAACATGTCATTCCGACATGATGGCAAGAGATTTATCCCCGCGGATGGCCCAACAGCCATTTTGAACCGTGTCGTTTCGGAGTGACTAATATTGGTCGCCTCCAATTCCACCGGAAGACGAAATTTGGCATAGCACCCATGCTTTCGGAGTTCACGGGAAATTTACCTCAAAGAAATTTATTCTGAGAGCTTCCGAATGGCTAGCTGTGGCCGAACGCTCTGTTCGGTGGTTACGGGCATGCATGAATGGCGGACCTCGTATTCTCTTTAAGTTACTGCGGGGTTGCGGGGCAGCGAAGCCGAATGCCCCTTCACGATCCCAGCCTTGCGCAATGCCTTTCGGGCTCAACACGTGAGCGCGACCTCCGCGCCTCCTCCGTGGCCACTTCTGCAAATCGCAATAAAGCAGGCTTCCCCAGAAGTTTGAACTTTGTCCCCACTAGTCTACTAGAGAGAGTCTATTCCCCCTAGCCCGCGCGGGCAAACACTCGGTTGGAAAATGCGGTCCACTGAACTTTCCTCCCTTCTAGGCGAGATCAGACCCAAGCGGGTGGACGCGGATGCCTGACTATTGTGCCGGGCGATGAGGAGCAGTAGGTCCGAAAATGTGGGTAGCGGAGTGGAATGCAGGTTTCGAAAACCGGGGTCTCCAGTTTCTATTGGTATGTTGTCTCCGGAATCAGGGGAAGCAGCAGTTCGGTTCGGAGTTCAGAGAATGAGGACGACTTGAACCATCAACATAGAATAGTGTATGCTGTTCGCAGGACTATATCTTGAGCCCAGGAGAACGGCACTTCTTGTTTAGCTTCATCCTGCAATCAGCCATCAAACAGTTACTTTTTGAGATATACGATCACGCCTTTCTGCTTGTAGCCTTCATCAGCTATGTTGAATATCTCAGATATGAAAGCCAATGTGGAGGAGTTCGACATTGTCGAGAACCCAACCGAAATTGAGGCGGATGTTGAGATGAAGCGCCGAGAGGCTCGTGTGGTTCGCAAAATTGACCTCTACCTCATGCCTACCCTATTGATATTGATGCTCTTGGGGTTCCTCGATCGAGGTAATATTGGTTTTGCGGCTTCACAAGGTATGATCAAGGACATTGGCTTGAAGGGAAAACAATTGAATGTGAGACTCCTTCTCGATGATAGGTCCTATTATCATGTGATGGTCATGAAGTTTACTTCTCATGCAGGTCGCTGTCTCGGTTTTCTACATCTTTTACATTCTCGCGGAATTGCCGTCGTCTCTCCTGGCAAAGAGGCTGCAATATAATCGAGTCATCCCTGGTGTTAGTCTGGCATGGGGCCTTGTATGTCTCGGGAATGGGTTCATCCATAACTTTGCCGGCCTCGTGGTCTGTCGGCTGCTTCTGGGCCTTTTCGAAGGCTTCTTGTTTCCCAGCATGGTGCTTATGATGGCAAACTATTATCGAAGAGAAGAACTAGGTTACCGCGTCAGCTGGGTGTACAGTAAGTTGCAACATGCCGTGTAAGATCATTGACAAAGCCAGCGTACTGAAATTGAGCCAGTCTGCATTGCCGTATCGAGTGCTTTTGGAGGACTTATCGCGTTTGCCATCCTCCATATGAATGGTCTCGCAGGGTATCCAGGGTGGAGATGGTAAGTCTGAGCCCGGCGTCTTCCCGGGGATATCACATCATATTTGCATGAAGACTCATAGACGTAATAGGCTGTACATTATCGAGGGTGCCTTTACTGTTATTTTCTCCTTTGGTTGTTTCTTTCTCATACCCAAGGATTATCAAAGTGCATGGTTTTTGAACCAGGAGGATAAGCAGATCATGAAGCATCGGGATGATGAGACTCGGGCATATAGTGGCGGAAGTGGGCACTATAAGAAAAAGGACGTGATGATGGCGATGGCTGATATCAAGACGTGGGTGTATGCATTTAACCACATGTTCTGTATGACGCTTGTCTATGGTAAGTCCCGAGTGTCGATCGTGACAGAGATCAAGACCAATAACTTGATCTTGCAGGATTTTCCGTCTTCCTTCCTATCATCCTGAAGAACGGATTCAGATATGATACCAAGCAGGCACAGTACCTTGCTGTACCAGGTAAGCCAAATGCTCTGGGGAATATGGAAGCATTTAGCTAACGTATGATCAGTTTTCCTCTGGGGTGCTATCGTCCTGACAGTGGTCGGTTACCTATCCAATCGGTATCAGAAGAAATTCCTGGCCACAGTGCCAACCACACCCTTTGGAATGGCCGGATATGCCATATTATTGGCACCAGCGGACAAAGTTCCCGTGGGAGTCCGCTACTTCGCATGCTTCCTCATCACGACCAGCATATTTTGCTGTGCAGCCGGCAACTTTGCATGGCTGTCCAGCAATACAGCGCCTGAGGGGAAACGAGCAGCCACTGTGGGCATCACTTTGACCCTCTGCAATATTGGAGGGGTCATATCGGGTCAGATATACATCCTCGACGAAGCCCCGCAATTTCTTACTGGGCATGCTTGCAGCTTGGCATGCATTGTTCTTGCCGCAATTGGATGGACATTCCTTCGCGTCTTGTTCTCTAGAAGAGAGGTGTGGAAGGCAACAGCTAGAAACGAAGGGCATGTGAGGGAAGGAACTGAGATCTCTGATCGCGATCCTTCCTACAAATACCAGATGTGATCATGAACAGCTGGGGATTTCTGCTGCGCATCGCCACCCAGGCAAGAAAAGGGGAAAGGGGCTCAAGTAGGACGAGGGCCTGGCATAAAGATCAACGGGAGTCCCTCGAAGCAGTGTTTTCTCTCAAGCCTCGTCTCGCATTCTGGGGGACCATTGGGCTTTCCTCTCCCTGCCACTCAATAGGTAGCAGTAAAGATGTCACGCACCCTCTCTATCCTTGTCCCGTACCCACCACGTCGCACCGTATTGTGCTCAACTGCCTGACGTGGTAGCTACTAGATTAAGAAATATCAAGCTCTTGTTAATGCCCATCGCTGGCTAAGCTTCGCTTAAGAGAAAGGGGGTTCCAGAACTAACAACCTTAGGATACGAGAAACACGTTGTGATTCGAGCGTTTCCTGCCTTAGGCTGATCGAGTTGTGCCACCGATATGGAATACTCACCGTGTTTGACGAGGTCATGTGCGGTATGGGCCGTGTTGGTAGTTATCGTGCCTGGCAGAGTTTGGGCGGCGTGCCTCCAGACCTAAAGAATCGGAAAAGGTCTTGGGTGCAGGATACCTAACACTTTCTGCTGTCCTAGTCAGCGATAAAGTCCAGCAGATTTTCCAGCAGCATAGCTCTGGGAAAGGAGCCTTTATTAGTGGTCACACCTTCCAAGACCACCCTCTAGTATGTGCTGGGGCTTTGCTCTCCTGCGGTCGATACAACTCTTCTGTGCCCTCCTTTCACAATCACCGAGCTTGAAATAGCAGAACTCGTTGGAACCTTGGTCGCAGCTTTGCGAAGCGTTCTTGAGAACCGGACTGGCATGCATTTCAAAGTATGAAACTCACCATGGGTTGTGTTGCCAGCGAACTAGCTAAATTTGTGAAAAAATCAAGGATTCCTTGGGCATAGAATATGCGCAAAAGAGTTGGACATTTTAAGCATAAATTATAGGAACTTCGTTTTCTATGCGACCTAAGGACTTTTCCTCATCATCCACTATGACGATACAGCCTCGTGCAGCTTCACAAGCGTGTTGACAGGTGACGTGGTCGCCGTAAAGCGGTGCTTTGTGACGGGCGATGGGTCCATGTTTTCCACCCGATCAAACCTCTGGACAATTCTGGCAATGACATAGCCTGCCTCGGTCAGAGCAAACTGTTGACCCAGGCAGATTCGTGGACCACCGTTGAAAGGGAGATACTCCCAGCCGGTCTTGAGATGGCTCCACCTTTCGGGCTTAAACTCGTTGGCATTAGGTCCCCAGATATCTGTACGTCGATGCATGATGTGTACGTTGTAGCCGACTTCGGAGCCTTTACGAACATAGATGGGCAAAGTACCGTCAGGCCCACCCCCTCGTGGAAGGGTCGTGTCTCTAACAGCACGTCGCCCGTTCTCTGGCACAATCGGGTGGAGACGGAGGACTTCAGACATGACGTTTTGTAGGTAAGTGCACGATTTGAGAGACTCGAATGAGATGGCGGCCGTGGAAGGGTATGCACCAAACTGGTCGACGATGGCTTCGCGAAGGGTCGAATAAACCTCTGGGTTGCGCGCAAGGAGGTAGAACGTCCAGCCCAGTAACCCTGCCGTCGTATCTCGACCGGCTGGAATTTGTCAACATCTCAGCGAGAAAACGGAACGAGTTCGAAGAGGGAACGGTCTTGCACCGAAGGCGAGGGAGAAGTCAAACGTACCAAGTAGAATGTTTAGAAGCTGACCCCGGAGTTCTTGAGGGTCTCTTGTCACTTTCACAAGCTCATCCAAGAAGACGTAGGTCTTCCTCTTCTCTCCACAGCTGCTCATCGGCTCATCCGTTTCCAGCGCACGTTTCACGTAGTATTCCGCAAATCGATGGACTGCTTGACAATCTCTGCGGAATGAAGAGGGCGAGTAGAGGTAGTAAAGGTCCATCAATCGTGAACGATAGCACACCGCCAAGTTCGCATTGTCAAAACTTTGCCCAAACGATGCCCATTCGAGTTCTCGTGGCGTGGTTTGATTCTCTGTCCGCATCATGGCAGCTTTCTGGGAGTGCACGCTCTGTCCAAAGAGGAATTCCGTGGCCGAATCAAGTGTCAAATGGAAAAACAGAGGGGCAAGATCGACCGTGCCAGTCCATGAATCCGCTCCCACGGCCAAACAGTCGAAGAGAGACTGGACGTGACTCTCCTCCAGAGCCAAGTCGGCAACCTGTGACCGGGTAAATTGAGGCCTTAAGAGCCCTCGAGAGTGCGACCTGGGTTTTGACATGAGCATAGTGCTCCTGACCGGGGTTAGGAGTTATAACCAACGTACCATTCTTTGCCGTCGCTCGTGAAGATACCCTTTCCGATCAATGGCCCGAATGCGCCAGATCGCAGGGGACCAAGTTCGAAATCATTGAACTGCGTTGCCAGGATCGCTTGCACGTTTTTCGGGTCGACGGTATAGTGGTGCCAATTTCCCATGATGTTCTGGTACCAGGTGGGCCGCCGACCAAGTTCATCGTAGAGAGCGAGATCGTCATTTTGCTGGTCTTGTGCCTCAGTGGCTCTCACGTAGCGAAGCATAATATCAATCCCGAAAGGTAATCGGCTGGGCCGCACAAAGGCCGGTTTGCAACCTAGTCGACGTGCTTTTCGTGAATGCTGAGCCTCGAGCCAGATGTAGCGTGTAACATAGGCCACACTCAATGCCACGACGACGGCAGGCCAGTTGACGGTGAACGAAGCCATGATTTGCAATGAGAGGAGAAGAAAGATGGAAAGTCGGATTCAACAACAGACTTGGTGTGAAGGGAAGTGTTACCTTTACTCTCCCGTCTCACATCATTAATATCTTTAGGGGTAACCAGCTGATCCAAATCGATGGTTGGGACCCCACCCAACTAATGTCGCATTTTGACTGGAAAACTCACCATAAACTACCCAATGTCGCGCTTCTCCCAGATGAGGAGAGAGGTTTGGAAATGGCGGTTAGATAACGAGCGTTACCCCGGATTCTTCGGGCTTGACTGACCAATAGAACACTAGTGCAGCTGTGGATCTTCCACGACAATGCTTTCGAGTGGCAACCCACAACCCTCGGCGAGAAAGTCCATTCAGGAGGGGAAGGGCACACAGACACTCTTCCCAACCTCATACCCTGGCTTGGTTAAACAACCGTTGGGCGCACAGCTAGATCTGATGGCCGATGCGGTACATTGTGGCGACTTTGCCTTTTTGCGGGGGAGAAGAATTGCCGATTGGTTCTTTGAACCGCTGATACGAAGCCTTCGTATCTTGATATCGAGCTCGGCCTGTACTCAGCAGATCAATATAAAGACTCGATGGGAGACCATGCGTGCCATAGGAAAGAGAGTCGCCACACTGGAACGGTTCGATTGTTACAGTTCACACCTACACCAACATGGACGACACCGGTATGAGTAAGAAAGATCTTGCCATGACTTCCACGGGGTATTCGGCTCGCAGCGGCGAGGGCGAAATGGTCGGCGAAGTCCAGCCAAAGGTCCATTTCAACCTCTGGCACTGTTTGGCCATGAATTTCTCCATCACATGCACTCCTCTCGCCGTCGGGGCCTATCTGTCTCTTGTCATAGGCCTCGGTGGGTCGCCATACTACATCTGGGCGTTCCTGTTCGGCGCCTCCTTCCAACTGGTTCTTGGGCTGGCCGTGGCAGAGATTGCTTCCGCGATCCCACATTCTTCTGGTGAGTGATCTGTGGCCTCAACACTTCATGCTTTACCCTATTTCTTTGCCTTTGCGGCACATGATACACCATCCTCCTGCGACATTGTTTTTTTCTATCGATACTCGTTCAACGAGACTGACAATCCGAACCTACAAGGCCCGGCATACTGGGTCCAGTACCTTGGACCCCCGAGATGCGCGAAATTCTTCGGGTTTCTCGTCGGCTGGACCACAACTGCGACATGGTGGTTCATCGGCGTTGCTTCCGACCTCTATCTGGCCCAGCTCACTCTCGGGCTCGCAATGGCACTGAACCCAGGATACGTGCCGCCTCAGTGGCAGTACTATCTCGTCTACTGTGCCTGGGCCGTGGCAGCCTTCGTGATCAATCTCCCACACATCTTCCACGTGCTGGGGCCGACCTTGATCGGCGCATTCGGCGTCATCAACATCACGGCAATCTTCATCCTTGTCAGCCTCCTCGTACGGGCCACGCCCAAACCATCACCCAGAGAGGTCTTTGTAGACGTGGTCAACGAATCCGGCTGGTCATCCAACGGCGTCGTCTTCTTCTTAGCCCTGTTGCCATCTGTCCTGTGCGTCAGCGGATTTGATGCCATCACGCACATCACGGACGAGCTCGATCGGCCATCGAAACAGGTCCCACAGGTCATCATCGGATCGTCGGTCATCAGTGCGGTAACCGGATTTGCCATGACCATCGTTTACTCGTTCTCTATAACCAAGCCGGAAAATCTACTGGCGCCCGTGGGTCACCAGCCGATCATCCAGCTCTTGTTCGATTCTTGTCGTTCCAATGCTCTCGCAACCATCGGCAGCGTCGGCGTCATCCTGAGTTTCTACATCGCCAACGTGTCGACGTTCACCAGCTGGAGCCGCCTCTATTGGTCCCTCTCGCGGGAGCGACAGTTCCCCTATTCGAGGTGGACGTCGAAATTGTCGGCCGCAGATAGCCTCCCGTGCAACGCCATGGTGGTCAACTTGGGCCTCGTCATTGCGCTGGGCGCGATCCAAATCGGCTCCCTAACGGCGCTGAATGCAATCTTGGGAGGAGCTGTGGTGCTCGGGACGGTCAGCTTCTCATTGACCTTTGGCTGTTCGCTGTACCGGGGCCGAGACTATCTCCCTGCTCAGAGGTGGCTCAACCTCCATCGTTTCGGGACCCCGATCGCCTGTATCGCCCTCATCTGGTGCCTTTTCATCAGTGTGTGGCTATGCTTCCCGCTGTACCTTCCCGTCACGCTCGAGTACATGAATTGGGCCTCTGTGGTCGTGGCTGGCGTTCTCGTAGCAGCGAGCGTGTACTGGTTCGTACGTCCGACTCGACATTTCACCGAGGAGAACCGAAACGAGGATTGAGGTTGAAGGCACCACACCGAGATTGTGGGCTCGGTGGTGACCAGCTGTGTTCCAGTGCCAGGCAAAAAGGTTGACTCGGATGGTCAAACAGAACTCACTTTAAATTCTAGCTATTGCCCGGAAGACGAAGAATATGGTACATTCATGAATTTCATAACCTGGGACTGTTTAGCCCACACATGCCACAAGCCACTTTTTAAGTCATGCATAACATAAATACGTCTTGTGTTGTCTAGCAACCTTTCCAAGACCCGTGATCCCGAACGTACCTTCGTCTCCACCTTCCCAGACCCAGTGGAGTAGCCGGACTATTTGATCTGCTAGCGCAGTGTGCGTATGATGTGTTCCCACGAGGCTGAGTAAACGCTGGCGTTGGTTTGATTCAAGCATCATCGAGCCCGTAATCATCATAGGCCATGCAAGGACGGAACTGACGGGAGATTGACTTATGGTTTCGAAGAGAGACATGGTCTCTTCAATGAGGGGTTGGATGTCTTGCATGACATGCTGGGGACCCTGGCCTTCATCAATGCGACATTCGTGAAGGAGCATGAGTAGCACGTTCTGCACAATCATGCCAGCCAATTTCTCGGCACAACTGCATACTCGGTCTTCCTCTGCTGACCACCCGGTGACGGCTCTTCTCATGTCCTCGTACAGAGCTTGGATTTTCGGGTTGTGGTTCCGAGAAATGCTTCGCTTCTCATACAGGACCAATCGAGCGATTGTCGGGATCAACTCGTAAAGTCGATATGCGCAGCCCATGTAGGAGCCGAATGTCTCACACTGTTTGATGCAGTCAAAGTTTGACAGAATCGGATCGTACTCGGGCGCCAACTCGAGGATCGGGCGTTGTTCCAGGTGGGAAAGGGCTGCAAAATAGGCGTAAGCTTCGAAGAGCATTCCGGCCAGTGGCGAACTCTGTACCACCGGCTCCTTCGCGATTAGGTGCGAGCAGAATTCACGGGCGGCTCGCACATGGTGTAACAATGCGCCATTGTCGTTACCTCCGAGAGCCTGTAACAGAACACAATCAGATCAATTCAAGTAGGTCACTTGGAGAAATGCAACGGTGCATCCTACCTCGTACATGCACATCAAAATAGCCACCAGAAGAAGATTGAGAGATTTTTCAGAGGAGGATCCCTCCACCCAATGTGTCAACTCATATTTGAGCCCTTTGAGAGCGGTCCCGTAGTGCTTGTACGTTGCCAGGAGCACCTCCGAATCCTTGGTGGAGTGCTGACAGTGAATGCCACTGACAGCCAACACAGCGTGCATGACCAAGTTATCTGATATTGCTAATTCCAGAGTTGGGGACAAGAAGGGATTGGCAAGATGCCCACGGCCAGTCAAGGCGTGGCTGGTGATCTTGACATAGTGTTCGAGGAGCATGTGGAAGTCAGGCGAAGCTTGCACACCGAGGGAAAATCCAGGCCAACCAAGGCTGCGAATGACCTCGTGCTGTTCAGGTGCATACTTTTGTGTACTCTGAGAGGTCGCATGCGACGAGAATTGATCAATATCAGGCCTGCTGATCGATGTGGCTGTTTTTGAAACTCTCCCTCCAGCCTTGAGGTTGATTTGCCATGCAAATCCGCGCGACAGTGGAATGGATTGCTCAGCACTCGGCCAGGAACATATCAGTCGCTGTTTCTTGCAGCTTTTGCAGGCTGGTTTCTGCTCGTCACACTTTTTACGTCGAATCCTGCAGCCGAGGCATCCCGACTTGCTTCGCGAAAAACGAGGTCGGATGGCCTTTGGTGGATATCGAACTCGGCTGGGTTGTTTACAGGGCTGGTGGTCGGCCATTGTTGAAGTTGAGTGGAGTCAAATCTATGGGAACAGTTTACCGAGTACAACGTTGCTTACGAGATAGAATAACAGGTTGTTTGTTCTGACAAGGCTTGAATGAGTGTTGAGGAAGTCGAAATGATAGTGTTCAATTTGAGCACCATCTGGTCTCATTCTAGGCGATCGCATGCATGAGCATTCGTGTCAAGTGCATCGCGAGCTTTCTAGTGTCTACAGAAGAATAACCACCCCTGGTGCAAGGAAGCGCAGGTGTTACTCGCAATAGGAGCTACCGACTACTGTAGGACAAGTCGAGAAAGGACAACTGCGGGGGTGGCAACTTCCTCCTGGTTGATATTACGCTAGACCTAGAGTAGCCAGATCGGCGGTTAGATAAGATAAGATAATGCACACTAAGGTAAGCTAAGATCAAACGTCTACTTAGGAAAGGAAAGTGGGTATTGATTAACATCTCTGCCACGTTCACTATATCCAAGTGCTGTGAAGCACTCATGTGATCGAGCATTCTTTGTCGTAAGATACTAAGTACCTATCATAATTCCAATACGGTCCATGAGGATAAGACCAGGTTCTTGACCTCTACCACGGATCAACGCGTACGAGCCTTGGGGACCGAACCAAGACCACATTTACAGTATGATCAATCCTCCATTGGCGCAAGTGACATTGGCAGTGATCCATCTCGCACTAGGATCACACAGGAAGGCTACAATGGGCGCAATGTCGTCTACCAGACCAATGCGTTTCGCCGCTAGGGTTCGTTGGATAATCGCCTTTTCAACCTCCTCAACCCCATCCGTTCCAGTCCACCTAGTGCATCGTTAGCATACATTCGCTCTCGCCCACGCCGTTGAATCCTTACATGTCAGTTTTAACTGGTCCAGGATTGACAGCGTTGACTGTAATCTCGTGTGATTCGCCTGCAACACCGAAGGTAGGAGGGTTAGAGATATGATGTGAATCAAGACTTGATATGTCGTCATATACGTACCGAGCTGTTGCGCCAATGTTCTTGTGATACTTTCCAGAGCAGCTTTGGTTGCCGAGTAGAGAATTGAGTATGGCATGGCTAGAGAGAAGTGGTTGGTTAGTTACCCGACCTCAAATAACTCGGCAAGATCGAGCATGAAACAACAACGTACGCGTTCGAGCTCCAGAAGAGGAGATGTTGACAATTCGTCCTCCTTTGCTAAAGTATGGAACACTCTCTTTGACCAGCAACAACGGGAAGAGGACGTTTGTGTGGAACATGGTGTCGAATATCTCGGCGTCGACTTGATCCAGTGTTTGATCGCTCCCGTTTGCGGCATTGTTGACTATAATGTCAATCTGATTGCCGAATTTCTTGACAACCTCTGCTACAAGTTTCGCGACCACCGTTGTCGGCTGACTGCAGTCCGCTTGTATAGCAATGGCCTGCACACTCCCACCAGACTCGGACTCGATTTGTGATACTGTCGCCTGCGCTCCTTCGGGCGATGAAACATAAGTCAGAGCCACAGAAGCACCTCTCCGCGCCAGCTCTTTCGAAATCTCGGCGCCGATGCCTAGGCGTGCAGAATTAGAAATGCCCCATTGATGTCTTGGGTTCGCCTTCACTCACCGCGCGACCCTCCCGTGACGATAGCCACCTTTCCTTGTAAAGGACGAGACATGACCAAAGAAAAAATATCTTCAAGATCTTTGTATGCGTCAAGTCGATCACTATCCACCGAAATAGACAGTGCCTACACCAACCAGAGAACTCTTGGAGACCTAGCGGTGCGATACAAGTACCAGCTTCGTGCGTCCCGGATGCCGGTATAGATACGTGATAACAACTATGGAGCCTCAGTTCTACAGCAGGGTCTGGGGTCTTGGACGGAACGATCGACGAAGTCAGGACGGCTATTGTTGCCCTTTCCTTGAGGTCAGACATAACCTTGAATGCCGCCCGGCTTTGTGGAATTCAAGGTTTGGTTTCGGCTGTCCCATCTTGGGCGTTCGACGGCACTCGGCAAAGAGTGTCGGCGGGGCATTCATTCGCTCCCAAGCCATATTCGGGTAACTGAGTTTGGTGGCGACCGTTCAAGGTGGTCAGGCATTCTTATCTATGTCATACGTATCGCTACCAAAACCAAAACCCTCAGCCGTCGAGACTACAAAGTTGAACCCCTTTCCGACTGATGTATCCTCTTTCTACAAGACCACAACTTTATAACAACACAGCCGAAGATGACAGACGCCACAATCCCGCGCGTGAAGCCGTCTGTGGGCGCAGTAAAGATTCATGAGTTGATGCTCGAGTATGGCGGAGTCATCATTGAAGGATTTCTCTCCCCTGCCGAGGTTACAGAGCTCAATAGCGACATCGACGCTCCATTCGAGGCAATCCAGCAAGGTTCTCTCAGCGACGTGCAAGCATTGAAGGAATTCCACGGGAACCAAACGAAACGATTGACCAATCTGGTCACCTACAGCAAGTTGTTCCGACATAATATATTGAACAAAGGACTCCTCCACAGCATTCTCGAAATTGTCTACGCCCAAGACAACTGCTCTTACTGGATGTCAGCGGCTCAGGCCATCGAGATCCACCCGGGGAACAAGGCACAGAGACTGCATCGCGATCAGAGTCAGTTTCGAGTCTTCAACTTACTCGGCCCTGAGGCCCCTGAGGCTGTGGTCAATTTCCTCATCGCACTCACCCCATTCACCGAAATCAATGGCGCAACGCGGGTCATTCCAAAGTCGAACAAGTGGACAGACTTCACTGACATGGGATGCCCCGAGAACACCATTCCTGCGGAGATGAACCGTGGTGACGCCTTGCTGATCACCGGCAAAACAGTGCATGGTGGAGGTGCCAATAGAACCAATGACGAAAAGCGCAGAGGCCTCGCGTTCACTTTTAGTCTCAGCTACCTCACCCCAGAAGAGGCTTACCCGTTCCAGATCAGTCGCGATGTCGCGAACACCATGACTAAGAAGGCTCAGCGGCTCATCGGGTACCGATCGCAGTATCCAGCCTCCTCGGGTGGCCTGTGGCAATGTGATTATGCAGAGTTGGCAGATTTCCTTCATTTGGACTCCGTGGACGAGCCGTCCCAGGTCCCCAAGACCAACGGGTACCACTAGCTAGCACCTGCCCCTTGGTGATACTATATAGTTTCCAAAGCCAGAAAAAAAAAGTTGATGACAGTGATTTCGGAGTCAATCCCAAGACGCACTGCTGAATTGAATAAAGATAATTCAAATTAAGGAGCCATTCCCCCCATTAATTGCTTCCACATAGTGTGACCCGTCTCAAAGCCCCAGTGCCAGTATAAGGGGGAATCATAGTCTCATCAGATTCTGTCATTGCTCAGAAAGCATCATCGCTTTTAGTGCCTTTGAGTTTTCGCGATTAGATAAGAAGAATGCCGGCCAAAACCTCCATTACGCCACATGCGGTGTGCGATTCAGCCTGAGAACATCGTGTAACATCCTCTCGGAAGTAGAGTGTCGTGCTCATGCTTGCACGGCCCCCTGCCTGACTTGGTGTCACACCTTGTCGTTTGTGCATCACACAAGATGCAGCGCCATTGATGCAACTAATACTCATTCCGGCCAGGCTTGAATTTCGACAATCACACTTGAAAGTCACCTCGTGACTCAAACGATTGCACCGTTGCGTCTTCGAAGGCCATATCGCCAAAAGCGTCGTTGCTGTCGAACAAGGTGTCCATGAATGCGGAGGGACCGCCCAGCTCATCGAGGATAGACCTCGGTTCACGAAGAAGCGTGTCCAGATTCCAGGAACCCATGTTAGGTGTCATTGAACCCTGCACGTTCTCGGCATCCATACCTGCAGCTATGGTCTCGAGGCCGGGGCACCAGTGACCTAATGACGGGAAAAGCGCCTCTAGCTCATCAATTTCGTGAGCGGCCAGCCTGCGGTTGGCTGGCTGGGGAGATGTGTCGATTGCAGGATGTTGAGGCTCAATGGCACATGCTCTGTCAGACTTCAATTGAGCGATCTTCCGACTAGCCGTAAATGCCACACCAAACTTGTTCTGCAAGTTGCTCACGACAGAGGAGATCACGTCTAAGCTGGCAACTCGTCGTGTCTCCCACTCTGGTGACGCCGCTCTGTATTGTAGTAACGGAATGGCTGCCACTGTGCAAAAGAAACCGTGTACCGCAGTGAGATACGGTGCTTGATCCCTGCAGAGGATGTCCTCGTAAAGATCTGCCATCGTGACAGCGGCGATGATCGATGTGATTGAGCATATCGGTTGTTTCCCGGACCCAGGCGTGAGGACCTGCAAGAGAATAATGGTCCCAAGGTATGCTATGTGAACCTCAATGCTGGCGAAGTGGTACGGCATCCTGGTCCCTTGTGTGTAGAGGCGGATTTCAGGGGGAAGATCACGCACCCATGTCTTGAGAGACTGGTTGAAATGGTACCGTTGTTGTGGGGTCAGACAACCCTTGGATGTCAATTCTGCGATCTGTCCCATGATCCGAGCCAGCAACATATCTGCCATGAAGACTTGCGCCCCTTTTGTGAGGACATTGTAGTCGTCTTTGGTCAAAACAGGAATGTCGAGGTCTTCTGATCGCAATAGCGGGGGTCGACCAAAGATCATGGATAGCACACAATCGCTGGCCTGGAAAGGTTTAGAGTTGTGTATGAGCAAATAGAAAGGGGCCTAGCTTACATGGAGCATCCAAATTATTTTCAGGCGACAACTTGTATCTGGTTTACCTAGTATGGTAGACTTGCAATGCATCCCCATCTGTATGGCGAGACGTAGAGCTGAGCCAGTCACATGCCAGGGCCCGACGAGACTGACTCGATTAGGAGACTTGGGACTCCAAAGAGTCATCAGACACATGGCCTTGAGAATTGTGATAGTATTTCTCTCGTAATTCAGTGAGATCAAAAGCATGACTTTATCGTACAGCGTCTTTGTGTCGACGAGAGACCATTGCGGGCTAGATGGCCGCGTAAGACTGCCGGCGAAGCAAACCGCTTGTTGGAGCAGAACCGATGCTCTGGGCGATTCAACTTCTTCTCGTTCAATCATGGGGAAACCGTCGGCCAGACATCCAAAGAAGGAGTCTATCAAAGCTCCACGAAGGGGCTGCGCAGGTAGAATGTCGGCCTCTGATACCTGAAGGATCATAGCCAGAGTTTTTGGGGTGTCTGGCAAGAATGATGGCTCTCCCATGGAGACATCTGGTTCTCGCCCACCACCAGCCGCCCCCTGCAAGATCGAGTGATCCGCAATGTACGCTGTGTCATTGGCAGAAGTTTCGAATGCCCTGAGCTGATGATTCTTCGCCGCCGCAGTCGTGCTCGCTGCTTGAGCGGCTGGCACAGTTGGTGGGTCCGATTCGGACTCTGCTAGTGACAGTCTTCCATGTCCACTAGTAGTGAGTTTGACTGGACTTGGAAAATTGGCTCCAGATATGTCCCCGCCATAAGGGAATATTTCTTTTGGCACCGTACTGGAATCAGCGTCACGATTGCGCCTGTGCTGGCGCAGTTTTCGTCTGCCTTCAAAGATTCTATAGAGTAGAGATCAGAAAGGTGACGGCGGAGCATCTCGTTTCTTACAGACCGACAAGCTGCTTGAGATTTGCGACAGTTGCCACAGCACCCATCACGGTCATCTTGGACATCGCATCGAATCTAAGGAGAATCAGTCCCATATCGCTACAAATATCGTCCTGGAAATGGCATGGCTCTGGTATTATACCTTCCGTTGGTGACACCGTACACATACGACTCTTGCACGCTCTTTGCTCGGTTGGTAGTCCATGTGCCGCAACATCAATGTACCAGGTGACTCTGCGCGTCAGCACCGAGGTCCAGAGCAGTGTGCCTCTCTGACTGAGCCAACGTCGAGGTGTCAATTACGTAAGGATGTGGATGAGATGAAGTGACTGCTAAGTATTATTATCTCCGAGCTCGCGGATCTTCCAAGGTCATCTTGCCTCGGGATAAAGTCTTGGCCGAGATATTATCGGTACCTAGGTATCTAAGCGCCAGCCATGGAGGCACCGCGAATCGCGAAGATAAGACATCAAAAGATGTCACCACAGCCAGTCCCTACAATATGCACACTATATGTTGTCCGCTCGAACGCAATCATTGTAACCCAAGTATCTGTGTCTGTCAACCTGTGCCCTCTATACAATTAGAGCTTCCCTTTCGAGCCCATGATGGAGATGACCTCGTCAGCTGCACGACTTCCCGCCCTCAATGCACCTTCAAGGTAGCCCTTCCACTCTCTCGCAGTTTCACCACCAGCGAAGTGAATATTTTTCCATGGAGCACGAAGCTCTTCGCCATATCGAGACAACAACCCTGGAGGCATTGCAGATGTTGGGGCTCCACCCATCCATTCCTCTTCGCACCATGTTCCTACGTTAAACTCGAGAACATTATCGACAAGATGTCTCTGTTCTGGCTCGAGGAACTGACGCAGATGATCGAAAACGGCTTGTTCACGGGCAATGGGGGTCAATTTGTACCAATCCTCAGCAGCTTTACCAGCAATGAACAATGCCAGCGTGTACGCCTCGAGATCAAAAACCGACAACTCCCAGGAAAAGCAGATCGGGCCATGATAGCTCCTGAACTTGCCCAAGAGACCTAATTCTCTCCACCACGGCTTCGCATATGTGATGCAAGCCTTGGCATAAAATCCTGGCTGAGTCTGGGTCACCAACGCACGTTTGGCGTGTGGAAGCGGAGGAGTGAACTTGATTTTGGTGTAGGTGTTGGTGGGATTCGCCATGATGACTTTCTTAGCCAGAAATCGAGACCCGCTGACAGTGGTAAGCAACACTTGATCCCCATGTTGATTGATCTCATCGACTGCGCTGTTCACCAAGACCGAACCAGGCTTCAGTTCGGCAGCAAGACCTTGGGCAATTGCAGAAGTCCCTTCTTTGATGAACAGGTTTTGAGCTCCTGCTTCATCATCTGAGATCAGCGAGAGCAGGCCTCCCACAGACTTCACATAGTCGACCCAGTAATGAATCCCCACCTCGTAGGCCTCTCTACCCACGTTGGCACGGCACAACGCAGCAGCAGCCTGCTCGCCCATCTGGCCCAGTTGGCGCGTTTTCGCCCACTCTTCCACAGTGAGATCTTCCCCCGTGGGATAGCTGCTGCTATTATTGATATCAATGTCTGGATTCTCGCTCAGTTCCCATTGGAACGCTTCCAGGAATTTATTGACCGACTCTGTCTCCTCTTTGGAAAACTATATCGGAAATGCAGTCAGCTACCGTGTGCCAGCCTCAAGGGACGAATTGTCTCACCTCTGGACCTGAATAAGCTGGATCCGATACCTTTGCACGTGCCACAACGCCATCCCTCTTCTGAAAGACTCCAAGGGCATTCGGCGGATTGTATTGTTCGATCAACGTCAGTCCAAGCCGTAGGGTATGAGCGTATATCTTGGGCTGTGTAGTCTTGTTGATCCACGTCGCTCCGAGCTCAGTGTAGCCCGGGCCGCTTGCGAGCTTGATGGTTTTGCTCCGTCCACCGATACGATGAGTCGCTTCCAGGATAATGACTCCCAAGCCACTCTTGTGCAAGTCATAGGCGGCCTGGACGCCACTGAATCCGCCACCGACAACGATAACGTCTATTTTGGTTGGTGGTGCCTGAAGGCCCAAGTCGGAAGGCCCGGGCTTACTCCACGTCTTCTGGCAGCCTCCAATGGCTGCCACGGCCTCCATTTCTAAGAATACCCCGTCTTCAAACAGTTTGGGGACCGGCACCAGGGCCGTGGGAGGTTTATGTCCTACGAGATCCATCCATTCCTTGACAAGAGTTTCCGTCTCGGTCCATCGCCAGTTGACCACGTAGAATCTCAGATGGAGGACGTCGACCAGTCGCGCACCTGAAGCGGCTAGAGTGGAGGCCAGATTCTCGAAAGCCTGCTTGACTTGCGGTCCGAGTTCTTTGACAATTTGACCATCTTTGGCTCCGACAACGCCAGAGGTAAAGACCAGGCGCCCTGCTGCTGTGGCCGTTGCAGAATGATGGTAAAGGGGCGACGCATCCCACCCTGGAACATTGATAAACTCGACAGAAGGTCTCAAATCTCTAGGTGCCATTCTATCAACCAAGATTTAAAACGACAATTCACACAACGGGACATTTGGAATGAGAAAAGTGCCTGGGTAGAAATAGATAGAGGTCTTTAAGAGTCACTGAAATCTTTCCGCTGCTCGAAGTGAGAACGCGTTTCGGCTCGGCTAACATCTGTGTACTCGTGCTCAAGTGCTGCCATGATCTACGCGCCGCATCAACCTTGACAATGGTAAACGGCAGCTTGAGACATCTAGATATCTTATTAGATCAGTTGCGGGAATGAGGCTGTTTGGGTTCTAGACCGCTTCGGGTGGATTGGCCGTTCCGAGTCGAGGTCGACAGCCGACAGCCGACAACTTACGGTTAAGACGGTTTGTTCAGCATACGGCTGTTGGCGTCCTCAGAGCGATCAGGCAAAGGCAATCAGATTGCGCGTGATCTACCCGTCGAAGTTCAGAGGCCTAGATGAGATAGTCGTCAGGTTGTCCGATCTCAATCAAATCTCTGGAATGACACAAGGTCGATATTCCACTCCTTATTTGTGATATCAGGGAGTTTTCCAGACTGGACAACGTCACAAACAAAGCTGATCCTCCAGTATTGTCCTCGACACACCTTCTTATCTCTGACAAGCCGACCTATCAAGCTTAACCGTAACCATGAAGTATTTGAAAATCTTGTTCTAGGTTAATTATCGACTAGCATTAGAGCACGAAATCCTAGTTAAAATGGCTAGTAGTAATTGTAATTAATAAAATTCTGGAGTCCTAGATAACAGCGACTCCACGAACTTGAGGAGTAAGAGGGAAGTATGTGTATAGCGTGCTTCCCTTACTCTAATACCTTTGCTACCTAACTCTCGGTAGCTAACGCGGCCTTACTCGTAGTATATAACCGTCGGCTATCTAGGCAGTAATCAGTACGGCGTCCCGTGATATTATACTAGCTATAGTAATTATTAGTAGATAAGTATAAGTTAGTAGTTAAGAAGTTACTATATTTCTAAGTTAAGACGTCGGAAAATTGTCGAAATTCGAAGTCAATAAGTCACTACTCGACGACTCATACGATAGCCTCGTGACCCTTTATACCAAAGTATTGGCAAAGACCGCCATTTACACACCGCCAGATGCCAATGGCTAATCCGAGGAGCCAGTCCTTTATAACAGTACGACATTCTCGTAGCGTTGGCACTTCTGGCATATTGTGCATATCTCGGCAATGAGATGGCCAGCTGCTTTGCTGCCAATGACTACTTACAGGCCTACTGTCGGAGCATCATGAACGTCTCATTCCACAGTCTTGAGGCGACTTTTCACAGATTTCGATGGACCAGATGAATATGAGATATGGAAACAAAGGTGACTTAGGCTACCCAGGAGATTCCACTCCACTGATGGCCACAAGAGCATTGCCGCCTAGAGAGTTAGGGGATGGCGCATACAAGGCAGAGCCGACCACTATGTTTAGCAAAGCTTACCTCGATTCTTGTAACCTCTAGCGACAGGCATATATTCTGCACAACATTATAAGTGCCATCCATGCATTGAGTGAGTCAACGTGAATGCTAGGGAGCCTTAGCCGTTAGCCGATGTACTCGTAGTCACATTGAATAAAGTTCACATCACCGTTGTTAGAGCAGCATGCTTTTTGACTTTATGGGCCGTATATAATTTCTTGGCACCTCTCAAGTTCAAGTTGTTCGTCACTGGCAGTTCAGTCCGCTCGCTTCTGGTTTCATTCCAATATTATAAACATCGGCACTCATAAACCGTACTCGCCGTGGTCCCCTCCTAATCCTCATCTCTACTTCATACGCGCCTCCCGAACAACAAATGTCTGCAACCTCGCCGGCGAGGAAGATTCCATACCACCATCATCATGTGCTCCGACACAAGCCTCCGACTGTGCCCACGAGAGAACCCGCCCTGCTCGATCGCGAGCTTGTCGACAAACTACTGATCGGCAGCATCAAGACAATATGCGAAGAGGTGGCTGTTAAAGAAAAGATAGAATGCCCCGTCATTGAATCTGTGGCTTTGGAGTCACTTTCGGCTGCGGTGGATGAATGTACTATGAGATCTGTTCAATTGAGTTGAAGTGATTGACTTTGTCAACTCTATACTGACAACTTGGTCCCACCCTATAGTCATCCTCAAATTCCTCTCCAAAGTCCGGCGGTCGATGCTCGTGGCTCGCCGAACTGCTCCGATCGCGACCGACTTCGAGACTGCCATCCACGTTCTTGATATCCCGAGACCTGACGATCAGTTGAAGCCGTACACGACGAAGCCTCCCATAAACCCGCAGCTGTTGCCCACTCCTCCTCCCGATGACACGTTCCACAATACGGTGAAACTACCCCCGGACTTTTTGGGTCCTGAGCTCGACGGGCATGGAGAATTGCAGCGATTCGGCTTCAACACATCCATTTTCCCCGCTCTGCCCTCTGCACACACATTCCGAGAGACCCCCCTCTACCCGACATTGGAGAAAGACACGCGAAAGATCCGAGAATTGGCAACTCAGGAAGGCAAATTGGGCGAGCAGGCGCTGCGTAAATTGGCCGGAGCGGTCAAGTTGGACGCGACACATCCGCTGGAGTCCGACGTTGTCAGGCAAAAGAAAACAGTAGTGACGCAGCCGGAGCCAGTGCGCAGAAAACGATGGAAGAATACTGTCACGCTTTCCGAGGAAGCTGTCTTTGAAGAGACGCTGAGAGACCTTCTGGCGAAAGAGCCAGGAGGGTTTGAGCTGGGTCCTATAGTGACGTGTGAAAAGGCGTACCGCATGCCAGATGATATACAGGTGAAAAGGCGGGCACCGGTCGAGACCACAGCTGGATCTGGGTCTCGTGGGTCGGCCGCGGCGGATGCGGATGTGATGGAGCTGTGATTTCAGCTTTCAAGACTGTATTGCCGAGCGATGGCGTTGGCCGACCGAGGAATTGAAAGTATAACATTTCACAAGTGATATCCCCAGGGTACAGAAATTGCTCAAGTCGAGGACCAGAACCAACTCTTGGATTCATTGGCATTCTTTGAGTTCTTCTCTACTGTTAGTGCCGCAGAACGGGACTCTTTTGGCGGAGGAGACCAGGCGTGCTCGCCCTCCCATGCAGTCGTTTCGACATGGAACGATTGATTCCCTTTCTTGCACCTAAACCAACCAAGTTCTGTCAATGCTCTGCCCTGTAATGTAGAACCAGATGGAAGGAGTGCCATACTTCCTGAACAACCTTACAAACGGGAAACACTCCATCTGCGCCGTACCCGTCGGGCTTCTCAAGGCCCGCTCATACTGTTGATCCGGTGTGGTGCAACTATATTGCACTAGCTCAAGTAATTCGCAGTCGCGTTGAAGATCGAAATCGCCCAACTTACGAGACTTAACCTTTTGATTGACACTGTGGTAGTGAATCTGTTGCTCGAGCTGGCTGACCGGGAACGTGTGCTCGGGTGGAGCCATGGTTGGGGTGATCGATGGCTTTTGGTTTCTACCACTCTTCCTGCACTTTCTTCTTGATTTTCTGTTTTCAAGAAAATCTTACAAAGCGCTCGGCTGGCAAGTAAAAACTCAGGCTGGTCATGGCGCGATCATGTCGGCTGAACAATATGGATCTAGTCTCCTGGATGGCGTGCATGAGGAAAGTCTAGAACAGGTGAGTCTGGTGAGAATCTGAGTGGTGAGGTTTGGGGGTTCTCCGCTACACCTTCCCTCAGACAACCCCTCCATCCCCATCCACCTCAGCCTCGTCAAGGTCACTGTCATCGATATCGGGTCTGATTTAGCATGATCAGCTTCTGGCAGATGTTAGACGCCTACTATATCCACGGCAACAGTCCGTCCTAGGGTTGGAACAACTAGATGACCTGTTGGAAGGTGTTAGGCATTTGGATGAACCACCATCAGCTCAGTACCCGGAATGGACATCTTCCAGAGCACCAAGTCCAGAACATGCCATCAACGATGAAGGAGCTAGCTATGAAGATAATGCTGCCAATATTGAGACAGAGAGACCGGCCATAGCAAAGACGAAAACGAAGCCTGTCATCATCGAGCTCACAAGCCAACACTCGGCATCTGGCAAGACAAGCATACTGTACTATCTGGCTGGACTCGCGACACTCCCATACGAGTCTAGTGGCAAGCAATCAGCCGTTGTGTGGATCGACAGCGATGGACGTGTCTCCGCCTCTCGGTTGGCACAGGTGATTGAGTATCACCTCTCTATGGCAAGGACCGACTCAACAGAGAGCAACACACAACAACCCGGCGGTGCGAGCATCACGAGCCCAACAGCCCTCGAAGCTCTAAACCACATCCATATCTTCCGCCCACAATCTTCAACACAAGTCCTCAACATCCTGGACTCCCTTCCACGCTACCTCCTGGATCCAACACGACATAAATCCTCCCACCGCCAATTAGGCCTACTGATACTCGACTCCGCCACGGCCTTCCACGCACAAGACCGCTTCGACGCCGAAATGGCGCGTCTCGATCTGCCTCTCCAACAGCGCGAGCCATCCGGCAAACCCAATCCAACATCCAAAGCATCCGTAATCATCACACGCCTGAGTGCTCTTCAAGCACGCTTCGAATGCACCATACTCTTCACCACCAACACGAGCACCATGACCGCCAACACCTCCAACCAAGCCGCCACACCGAATGACCCCAGCAGGGTCGCCATCAACGACTCGCCCATCATCAGTCCTTGGACACGCTTCGCGACCCTGACGCTGCAGGTCGAGCGAGTGCGTGTCGCGCAGTTCGCGCCGTACATGGATCTCGAGCAGTGTTTGCACGATGCCGAGAGGAGGCTGGAGGTGGTGAGGAGAGGGAGATTTACTGTTGAGGTATTGGGGCAACGGAGGGATTCTAGCAGGGGTAAGGCTAGGGGCACGGGGAATGTTACTTTGAGTGTTACTGAGGCTGGAGTCCGGATTGAATCTTAAATGGCTATAAATGCACTGTACAATTAGGCAGAGTCGGGAAGCCATCATGATGTTCAGGTGATGTATCTTGAAATGGAGGAGGGTTGCTTTTCTATGACCTGTGTTATATGGCCTAGGAATGGTACCTACCTACCTATTAAGTCATACAGATTTCGCCAATGTATGGGCAAATGAGGCGCCTGCCGTTAAAGCCATTCCATTCTATGTGGTCTGATCTGCTTCGTCTACGGTTAAATTCTGTCTAGCTCTAGTGATTTATGTTCCTTATGTTATCGTCAATCATTATGTAGCCACATCAACTGCTAGGGTAAGGAAACTCAATGTCCGAACCCGTGGCCCTCGACCATTTCCTTGACGCATGTCTTCCGGCATTCTTCGTACACCTTGACTTGCTTGGCCACTTCACCGAGTCTACTGATGACTTCTTTGTTGCCCTGGCCAAACCCGTAGATGACATAGGGGATCTTGGTCTCTGCACAGAACTCCTTGACGTATTTTTGCGCCGCGCGGAGATTATGGCGCGGGATACGCGGGTACAGATGGTGGACTGCTTGGAACTGGAGTCCGCCGTGGAAAAAATCGAGCCATGTGGGACAATCCACATCCATCGTCGTTCGAAGCATTTTCTGTGGGAATGACTCGTGTGTTCCCATGTCGGCTGTTGACATGGCGAAGTGCGACAAAGTAATTTGAACATGGAGAGGCGCGGTGATGACGTGGGAGACCATGACGAATACAAAGCGATCCCATGCCGTAGGAATGGACTTGTAGAGCAGAAAGTACCCGAACCATGTCCAGAAGAATACATGTCCGGTCATTTCCAGGTAACGATGCCACCACGCTATTCCTTTTTTCGGGGCTTGACCGAGGAGGAGATATTCCCAAGAAAGTCTGTAGAGGTTGAAGCGCCCAAAGGCCATGATGGGATAGTACAGCCAATCTTGTTTTGCAATGAGCCATTTGGCAAAAGCATCGAATTTCATGACGCGCTCATAATAGCTAGATCGAAGAGAGGTGAAGAAGCGGGTGCTGATGGCAAAGAAAGGTAGATGCTCAATGTCAGGATCGTGCTCTGGTGAGTTCGTGACGATATGATGGACATTGTGATTCCGTTTCCACCAGCCGATTGAGAGGCCCCCAATGAAATCAGCAATCAAAATGCCGATACAAGTGTCGACGTGAAATTTATGGGTAATGCCCATGTGGCCAGCGTCGTGGACCGTGAAGACCAGTTGATGCCACAGCATACCGAGGAACAGACCTGACAACGCGAAATACGAGTAATGGAGCGTAGTGAGAAATGCCGAGAAGAGGATGAAGTATCGAATGCATTCAATGCCGTAGGATCCGTAAGGACAATCGTACAGACCTGCAGCACGAATTCGGCTTTCGGTCTCCCGATATTTTTGAACGATCCAGTCCTGGCTAGCAGCATCCAAGGAAGGATATTTAAGTAAATCTGAGGATTTCTCTGCCGCAAGACGACTCTCTATAGGACTGGATATGGACACTGAGCTTTCATGACCAGAAATAGAAGATGCCGAAGACAGAGAGGTAGTAGTTGAAGTTGCAGCATCGATCGCATCAAAGACAGGCGATGGAGGTATGCTGCTGTTGCTGGATGAGCTTGAGTTCTGCTCGAAGTGGACCTCTGTACCATCAACATCATCTTGTTCGTCCTCTGTACCTTGTTTCAATGGTCGGAAAACCCCTCCCTGGATGGGCGGCAAGAAATTGGACCATCTTCCTTGAATCTTCCCTATTGCAAACTTTTGCATTTGTGCCTGAGCCTCGAGCGAGTGAAGCGCCCTGATCTCGTCGGTACCATCTCTTCCAACCATGTGCAAAATGGCCTTTTCACCTCCAGGGTGGTATGGTAGCCATGCGTCGGCTTTGATCACTCGTCCATCGAGGATAATGATCTTTCTCCCCTCAGCTATGAGCCCCTCGATCTGCCGTCGAGACCACAGGCGATCTTTTGCGTTACTACTGGTGGTAGTGTTCATTTTGCTTTCATGGTGATTCACAAGGAGGGGCAGAGGCTTGCAAAAGCGAGGAAAATCAGGGGTTATGCAAGAAATACTCGGTGAAGAAGTGCTGTCAGTTGTTTGACTTTAGAGGGCCTCAGGCCACAGGCAGGCTGCAGTATGGTGGGGATTTCAACTAGATTTATGCATCTTAGGCATCGGAGACGGATTTCCAGGCTCCATCCAAGTCGGCGAGAATTATCAGTCCAGAACGGGAGGCAGTACGTGCCAATTTCAGCATCGCCCTGAGCACTAACGTAATTAGTTTAGCTGATTCTCAAGTTTGGTAAGCGGCGGCCCTGATGCCAAGATCAGTTGAACCTCACCTGATCCTGTGGAACTGATCCTTGCACCAGCTTCTACAGCTCCCACTCACCACCCTCTCCTCTCAACTCTCCTCTACACACGTCCAGATCGCTACTGGACGTCTATTGAAGCTATACGCAACTTCGATTGAGCTTGTTCCTTCTACTCTCCAAGCTCTACGCGAGCTAAACCGGCACCATGCCTATCAAACCGATTGAAGGAGTACGTTCATCCGTTCCAATCGCGACCATCTCTGCAACAGACTCGAACTCCTCATATTGCTCGCTATGGATATGAGCCGAAGACTGACACACAGTTCTACAGATGCTCCGACGAGGGCTTGTCCTTGATTTAAGTATTGCTGGGGGTAAGCCGACACTTCCATCCCCTGTTGAAGGAAAATTGGATACATGAAGGGAAAAAGAGAAAGTGGACAAGAGCGGTCGTGTTTAGACAGCAAGAAATCTACATTGAACCTTGAAAAGGAGGAATTCGAATGGTCGTTGGAAGGAAGAGGCGAGCTAACGCGAAGTTTCATTACAGGTTTGGGAACAACCTTCGGATATCTGTGGTGGTACGGTACGTGAAACGAATCTCTCCAGGTCATGATAGCAACATTCACCTGGCAACCGATACGAATCTGCAGCGGATCCGGAAGTACTGACTTTTGCATCAAGGATATCACCTGCCCCGCGTTCGGGCACGAGACAACTACTACGCGAAGCTGGAGGATCAGAGAGCCAGAGATGCAGGATTCAAATAAATCAGCCGACCAGCCAGCAAAGTTTTAAAATCACATCCATCACTCCATAAGACGACCCAATATCGCCATCGCCTTCCCACCTTTGCCGCGGTCAGCACTGATCAGACAAGATATCCAGCCCTCGACGCTTGGTTGACATTAGACCTTGGGAAAGAGCGACAAATGAACGAAAGGGAAACAATACCTGTACATATTTCCAAAGAAAATGGCACTGTGAGATAAGAGATATCCATGAAAGACCGCTTTATCGTGACTACACTTATGATGCCATGGATCCCATTGTCATCTGCTTGCCCCATACGCCGAGTATGGTCAAGAGCGCCGTACTGTGTTCCCTTCCGCCGTATTTTTCTGATGGACTGCCAAGCATTTCAAGAGTGAGGTAAGATGTCAGGGTTCAGTTCTACGAACAGCTCTGAATATTATTGACAGTGGACGCGAAGCCAGGAAATAAGTGGCACTGACTCTCTCATGATCGTCCTGCCATGTCCAGGTTTCCGCACCCGTGACCACCAATACCAGGCACAACTATACCTCCACCCAATCGCCGATCTTTTCCAACGAAATCACTGAATACATGGAACTTCACTATTCAAAGCCGTTCTGCTCAGTTTGGCTGAGTCGACGTAGCCAGTTTTATCGAGTTCCATCCGATCGTCAATTCGACCTGAGGCGAGCATCTGGACAGAACAGAACAGGTCAGTGATAGGTTGACTGATCATCTGGACTTTGTTCACTTGGCCTAGTGCTGTGAGAACGCAAGGAGAGGCAGGCAGTCAGGCAGTCAGGCAGTCAGGCAGTCAGGCAGTCAGGCAGTCAGGCAGTCAAGCGATGTCGGGTCTTGTATTCTTGGCTGGACTTCGGGCGTTGCGAGTGCTGCAAGATTGCCGCCTGCTGCTCGCAGCACGCCGTGGCTTTCGCCTGTGGCGGCGCCTTCAACTCAGGTCTATTTAAGCTCCTGCACAAAAGGATCCCTTTCGATCCTGATATGTGGCTTCCCATCCTTCCCAACATATTTGCCATACCCGAATCGATACCCCTTGAACTGCTTCTGTAAATCAGATGAAGTGCTGTAGTTGCCTGCCCTGTTCACAGCAGCAGCTACATCGTCGATGACATGAGATGCGGCCGCATACGCAATCTGAGATGCACTTGTGAAAGGCTGCCGAGGAAGGAACGGCCTTGGGAGTGTCATCCTGAATATCAAAAGGACGAAGACGTCCAGTATCAGGATTGTCTGGGTTATTATGAACATCGGGCGGGAAAGGCGGAACCGGCGGACGGTTTGATAAAGGGTTGCACTATGAGAAACATTCGACGACGCACTTGTGGGTTGGAGATATTCCCTGTCGAGAGAAAGCTGCGCAGCGAAGAGTCGACTGAAAGCTTGCGAGGCTGCTGTGCCTGCGAGCTCCACGGATGGAACTGGCTTTGCTGGATTGATCATATTAGTGGTGTTGAGAATGATCTTGTACATGTAGTTTGGCCAACCCTGAGCGATGATATTTGTATGCCACCCAACGGTCGTCTCTGGCTCTTTGTACGCAACCGCTTGAATAGTAGCCCGGAGTGTATTCCGTTAGATTTAGTCGATGTTCGGTGTTATAATCAGGATCTCCCTGAAGGAGTTCTGATAGCACATTCCCTTCGATATCTGTGCGCAAGATCGACTTCTCGGTCTTGAGACGAGGGCGGCAGGCTATAACCGTCGCATTATACTCAAAGTAAGGATTCATACTCGACGTCGGATTGAAACCGAAAGGGAATGAGGCCATCTTGTTCTTCCATCGACCACCAAGCCAAGCGAGGACAATTTGCTGTTCATTGGTCTGGGAATTCCGGAATGGTATTTCACTTGGGCTGTTTGGTCTTGACACAGAAGCTTGAACTTCATACGCAGCGATCTCATCATTCGGCACTTGATCAAGATACAAAAATACACCCCAATGGAAAGTGTTGTCCGGATCACCACAAGGGACGGAATCGCCCTGGGGTAGCCATAGCAGAACTGAATATACAGGGTTCATTCGTTGTTGAAGTTGGAAAGTTCAAAGTGTGCCCCCTGGTCAGGATTAGTTTGCAGGAAGTCCACACAGTCCAAGTCAGCCCCATAGCCAATACTTCCATGTTCAAGCTCTGGACTGCGAATATTGGGTGCTGTGTCGACCACACTTAGAGGCATCTGCAGAAGCTTCCGCCTCAGCCTTGTTTGCGCCCGGCAAACAGGTATCCGCTGTCTAAATTTGGTGTGGGTCTGCCTCAAATTTATTGGAGTAGATCACTCAGTCGAAAGAGAGCACCTGTATCGTCAAAGCCAAGATTGTAGTTTGTATCTTGGTCATTGTGATTTGAACCATAAGTCGTGATCTCGAGTCTTCGTAGTTCCTGCCTCACGCAAATCTCAGCACTCAAATTTTGGAAGGGGTCATCGACAGTGAACGGGAATGACCATGATCTTGGGTTTGTGAATGGAAAAAAGAAAATTAGTCCTGTTTGGGGAGCCAAACTTCGAAATAGCCAAGTTGCAGCATAATTTCTTTATTTTGCCAGGAAGGCCTGGAACGCAGAGTGTTCAATAACTACATTCCCCACTGCCTTTAATTTCTTGCGGCCCTCTTTCTGTTTCTCGAGCAGTTTCTTCCGTCTGGTGATATCGCTAGCATGCAGCTTCGCCAAAACATCCTTTCGGAATGGTTTCAGCGTTTCCCGTGCGATAATTTCTCTGCCAACAGCAGCTTGAATGATGATCTCAAACATCTGTCGGTCGACGTGCTCTTTGAACTTTTCAACCCAGCGCTTTCCGACTTGCCTGACTTGAGACCGATGCAAGACTCGAGAAACAGCATCAACTGGTTCTTTGTTTACTAGAAGCTGGAGCTTGACGATATTACTGACGCGCCATGCAGATTCCTCATAGTCAAGTGTGGCATAACCCTTGGTTCCAGATTTCAATTTTCCAAAGAAGTCGTCCACCAGTTGAGCCAAGGGCATTTCGTATTTGAGAATGACTTGGGTAGAGTTGAAGTACTCGAGAGACTGTTGTTCACCACGGTTTGCCTCGCATAGCTCGATAACCGTTCCGAGATATTCTTGTGGCAGAATCAAAGTGCACAGCACATAAGGCTCCAGTAAGTCGGTGATATGTCGACGACTAGAATCATCTTCGGGGAATTCGGCGGGGTTTGTGATTGTCACTTCCTTGCCATCCTTGTACCTAATCTGGAAAGGCACGGTGGGAGGAGTGATGATAATGCTGGCACCATGCTCTTGTCGAAGCCGGTCTTCAAACACAGAGCAATGCAAGGTTCCCAAGAAACCAAGCCGGAAGCCTGCTCCAAGGGCATTTGATGATTCTTTTTGCACGGTGACACTTCGATCATTCAAGGTAAGTTGGTTGATACTGTCCTCAAGATGTTCGAAATCTCCCTGGTCCACAGGAAAAGCTGCAACGAAAACCATCGGCTTCGGTTCCTCGAAGCCAGGTAGCGGTTGGACTAGCTTCTCAAAGCCGACTTTGGTGTAAGTGTCACCAATCTTTGCCTCTTTGCTGTTCCTCATACTAGGGTTGAAGTAAACATAGCCAACTTGACCTGCCCGAAGAACCCTCTGAGGTGTTTCGTCAGGGTACATAATGCCGACCTCGCCAACAGTATATTTGTTGCCGGTGGCAAAGGATATAAGCTGATCGCCTGCACTTACAGATCCTTCGAAGATGCGGACAAGCAGGATAACACCCTTGTATGCTGAATACCAGGAATCAACCAAGAAAAGCTTCAAAGAGGCTTGATGGTCTCCAGTAGGTCTATGCATAATTAGTGGAATGACTCGAGACAATGCATGGGTACGCAGACTCACGCAGGAATATTCTCTATCACTGCAGGCAAGACACTCTCAATATTGAGCCCGGTTTTGGCAGACACAAGAACAGCAGTGTTCGGATCCAGCTCGAAGTTGTCCTTCATTTGCTCGAGAGCACGAGGCGGGTCTGCATGAGGCAGATCGACTTTGTTGATCACAGGGATGAGCGTCAAGCCTTGAGCAAAAGCCTGGTAAAAATTCGCGACCGTTTGTGCTTGGATTCCCTGACTTGCATCGACAAGGAGAAGGGCACCTCCACAGCTAGCATAACTTCGAGCCACTTCGGCTCTGAAGTCGACATGTCCAGGTGTGTCAACAAGATGAAGCAAGTAGCCTTGTCCCTTGTAGTTGTATATCATCGAACATGTTTGGGCTTTGACCGTAATTCCACGTTCTCTTTCGACATCTAACTTATCCAAAACTTGCTTGTTTGAACCAGCTTGGATGGTGCCGGTGAGCTCCAGCAATCGATCGCTGAGGGTGCTTTTGCCATGATCGACATGAGCAACAATGCAGAAATTCCGATAGCGGTCGATGGGAATGGCTGCCAATCGTAATTCAAGATCGGTAATGGGTTTGATGGCCACAGCGAGTCGCAAAGACGAGGAGGCAAAGAACTTCGAATGGAGGAAGTTGCTAGGACGGGAGCATGATGAGGCGAATGGGGTCCCTGTAGCAGCTCCTCGCCGTGCAAAGAGCTGCAGCCATTGTCGCATGGGTAGAATCTACAGAGATGGCGAACGCATGTCGTTGACCCTCTGTGGTCCTTCCTTGACAAAATTAAAAGACATTTATTCGAGTTCCGCAGAGTTTCTCCGAATCGACAACGCAGGCACGTGTCGCGCCCGGAATTGGCAGGTTCCCCTGCCAACTCGCCATGTCAACATCGCGGCTTCCCATTTTCCCATCCTTCCCCTCACCGCCGCAGCCCACGCAAAATCTTGAATTAAGACACCAACAAGATGGCCGCTGAAAAGAAAGACAAATCGCAAGTCCATAAGCTTGCTCTGCGTGGTGAGTACCGAACATGGGGATAGCTACGAAATCAATTTGTTGTTCTAACGGGAAGATAGGCTCGTCAAAGACGGTTGCGGAATTTGTGAGTCCTTGCACGCCTAGAGAGCCTCTGGTGCAAGACACGAACTTACAAGACTTAGTTTGAATACTCCATCAACACAATTCTGTATGGATCGATCTCCTACTATAGAAAAAGAAGCATCTAGTAACAGGCAACAGGTTTCAGAGAGGAGTATACCCCGCAGAAGACTTTACGCCGGTGAAGAAATATGGACTCAATATGCTCGGTATGGGAAATGAAGATGGTGGCCAACCTCTCACTAATACATCTCAAGTTTCGTCCGACGACCAAGTCAAAGCATATATCAAAAAGATCATGTCACAACTCAACAAATGGATGATTGGCGGCAAAATCTCCAGATTAGTGGTGGTCATAACGAGTAAAGAGACGGGCGAACACGTTGAGAGATGGCAATTCAATGTTCAGATGACTAGCAAGTCAGCCAAACATCGATCATCTAAAAAGACTTCAGACAAGGAGAATACAGCACCCGAGTATGTGACTACGAGGAAGAATCCTGTATGGTGCTATGCCAGAAGCAATACTGACTGCATACAGAGACTCTACACCAGCAGAAGCAGAGCCTGAAAAGACCGAGGCTCAGATTCAGGAGGAAATCCAGGCCATTTTTCGCCAAATTACTGCATCTGTGACTTTTCTTCCGATCCTAGATGGCAATTGCACTTTCAACGTATTGGTGTATGCAGATGCAGATTCTGATGTACCCGTTGAATGGGGAGATAGTGACGCGAAGGACATCAAAAATGGAGAAAAGGTCCAGCTTCGGTCTTTCAGTACGAGTAACCACAAGGTCGATACCATGGTCAGTTATCGGTTGGCAGAATGAATTTGAAGTCCCATACTATCAGCGTGGAGTTCAAGTATGGGTCGAATGGGATTCTTGTGGTTATAGCATCATGACATGAAGAAATGTGAAGCATGATTAATTCCAATGTGTGTTATTTGAGGCTCTTACTTGCAGCCTGAAGTTAGGAGGGCGGAGGCTCAGACCACGTGACAAGGCTGAGTTCATCTCGAACTTTTTGGAGACAATTTTTCAAGCGGGGAGAGCGACACCCACCACACTACCAACTATCACACGAGTCAGTGACTCTCACTTGTTCCACTCATCTCTCACAATAACCTCACAGGCATAAACCTTTGCTTGGTTGATCAAGTATCTGCTATCATCTCCTCTACTGCCTCACATCCCGATAAAACCCATCGTACCACACTCCATGTCCTCTACAACATCTCGACTCTGTTCAAACAACCCAATTCACCGTCCAAGTCGGTGACCGCACCATGCCCGTGGCAACTGAACTGCAAAAGCCTGGCCCGGGCAAAGAGCAGGTAATACACAATGTCCCTAAGGCTATCAAGGAACTCAGTTTCGGAGTCTTGTCCGATCAAGATATCCTCAACCAGTCCCAAGTCGAGCTCGTCGACCGTCGCATGTTCGAAGTCCCTCCACAGACCGGCCGCCGTACTCTATGCGAGTTTGGCCCTCTGGATAGGCGCATGGGAATTTCCGGCAAAAGAGACTCATGTGCGACTTGTGGAGAACCCCTGCAAACTTGCAATGGCCACTTCGGTCATGTGAAACTAGTCCTGCCAGTCTTTCACGTTGGCTACTTCAAAAAAGTCATTCAGATCCTTCAGAGCATTTGCAAAGACTGTTCCTGCATATTGTTATCCGAAACCGACCGACGAAAGTTCATAGGCGCCCTTCGGCGTGCGGGAGAAGACAGTCTTAGACAAGCCGCCATCATCAGAAAAGTCGCAGATCAAGCTCGAAAAACAAAGACTTGCTATGAGTGCGGTGCCATCAACGGCCTCGTGCGCAAGGCGGGTACACACTCCATGAAAATCGCCCACGACAAATTCAAATCCTTCAACTCCTCGACTTCCGCCAAAAAGATTGCTCCGCCCGAGAAAGTTGCGTTTGACAGCTCTTTTGAAAGTGCCAAATCAAATAACACCGAGTTGGAGAAGCATATGAAGAAGGCTATGGACGACCTGAATCCGCTTCGTACTTTGAAGCTTTTCAAACGTGTCAAACGTTCAGATCGCGAGCTCCTTGGACTCCGCTCTGCCAGCCCTGAATCGTTCTTATGGCTTTACATGCCTGCTCCACCCGTCTGCATCCGTCCATCGGTAGGGCAAGAAGCTGCCAGTACCGAGGATGATATCACTGCCAAACTTGGTGATATTGTCGCCGCCAACGCTGCCCTGGATGAGGCTTTGCAGAAGGGTGCTCCTGTTCAGTCCATCATCGAACACTGGGACTATCTTTCTTTGCAACTGGCCATGTACATTAATAGTGACGTCCCAGGTCTCGCAAAAGGAGAGTTTGGAAAATCTATCAGAGGCTTTGTCCAGCGCCTTAAGGGCAAACAAGGTCGCTTCAGAGGAAATTTGTCAGGGAAACGAGTTGATTTCTCCGGTCGTACTGTCATCTCACCTGATCCCAATCTCCGAATTGATGAAGTTGCTGTCCCAATCTTGGTGGCCAAGAACATGACATATCCAGAAGTGGTCAATGAGATCAATATCGAAAAGCTACGGCAAAGAGTTCGAAATGGAGCGAATCGATGGCCCGGTGCTAATTATGTCCAGAAGGTAGATGGTGACTTCAAGATTTTCTTAAAATTCGGAAATCCAAAGAACGTGGCGAAAGACCTGAAGGAAGGCGATATTGTCGAGCGCCATCTAGAAGACGGTGACATCGTTCTCTTCAATCGTCAACCATCTCTACACAAACTCAGTATCCTGAGCCATTTCGTCAAGGTCCGTCCCCATCGAACATTTCGACTCAACGAATGTGTTTGCAATCCTTATAACGCAGACTTTGATGGTGATGAGATGAATCTTCATGTTCCACAAACCGAAGAAGCACGAACTGAGGCCACCTTGCTCATGGGTGTGAAACACAACATTGTGACTCCAAAGAACGGTGAACCTATTATCTCGGCCATCCAGGATTTCATAACTGCATCTTTCCTTCTCAGCAGTCTCGAAGAATTTTATGACAGAAAAACATTTGTTACGCTATGTGTTGGGATGTTGGAACCAGAGACTGCATTCGACCTTCCACCCCCTTCGATCATCAAGCCAGAGCTTCTATGGACTGGCAAGCAAGTTTTCAACGTGTTGATGCGACCGAACAAACGATCTCCTGTCACCGTCAATCTTGATGCTACTTGTCGTGACCATAAGCAATATCACCCAGACCTTCACCGAGATCTTCAAAACGACAGCTTCTTATGTATTCGAAACTCCGAGGTCATGTGTGGTCGTATGGACAAGTCTACTGTTGGCTCAGGCAAGAAGAACTCGTTATTCTACATTTTGTATCGTGACTTCGGTCCAGATGCAGCCGCCCAAGGCATGAATAGACTATCAAAACTCTGTGCAAGATGGCTTGGGAACCAAGGTTTTACTGTTGGCATCAGCGACGTTACTCCTACAGAGATGTTGGTGGGAGTCAAGGCCGACATGATCTCAAGGGTATTCGAGGAATGCAATACGTTCGCTCGTGACTCTAAAGCTGGCAAACTCAAGCGGAAGGCCGGGTTGGACGATGCTGGAACTCTCGAACAAGAACAGGTTCGAGTGCTGAGTACTGTCCGAACCAATATTGCAGGAGTTCTGACTACCCAGCTCAGCAAGCGGAACACCCCAATGATTATGGCTACATCAGGGTCTAAAGGCTCAAATATCAACGTCACACAGATGGCTGCACTCCTGGGTCAACAGGATATTGAGGGTAAACGTGTTCAAGATGGATTTCAAGACCGTACGCTACCGCACTTCAACAAGCATGAGCGTTCTCCCCCTTCAAAAGGATTTGTTTCCAACAGCTTCTTTAGCGGATTGTTGCCCTACGAATTTTTGTTCCACGCCGTGGGTGGGCGAGTTGGCTTGGTCGATACTGCCGTGAAGACTGCAGAAACAGGTTATATGTCGCGACGATTGATGAAATCGCTGGAAGATCTATCGACTCAATATGACCGTACCGTGCGGAATTCAGCCTCAAACATTGTTCAATTTCGATTTGGTGACGATGAACTCGATCCTGTCGATATGGAAGCGAGCGCTAAGCCTGTCGACTTCGAGCGTACATATGCTCATGTTGAGGCAACAACCTATGATACAACTGAAGCTGGGCTCAAGGACACCGAGATATATACTGTCATGGAAGATATTCTGTCCACCAAGCGCAGTCTATTGAACAGAGTTGATCTGAATGGGGTTGAATTACCTTATGAGACTGATGATGACCGCCTGGCCGATGGCCATGAAAGTCATAGAGCATTCTTAAGATCGATTCACGATTTCGTGATGGCAAAAGCACAATCGTTCACCAAAGCAAGAGCTGAGAAAAAGAATTTTGCTTTGCCCCCATCCTTGCCTCCATCCTCGTCTGGCCCATCATCTTCCACACCAAAACGTAAAGCAGATGCAGACCCTGAGGAAGAAGAGGCTGCTGAATCAGCTTCAGCGAGACGTTCTGGTAGGAAGCCAGCTGCACCACGCAAGCCTGCCGCAAAGACAGCCAAGAAACAGAAGCAGGCGTCCGTTCATCCAGATAAATACGTCAAAATCTTTGCTGGACCTTCAACAAAAGATCGCTTCGAACTGACGTCGAAATTGTCCGAGAGAACGTTGAAAGCGTTCGTCAACCTCTGTCTTGAGAAGTATGAACGAGCACGTGTCGAACCAGGACACGCTGTCGGAGCTGTCGGTGCTCAATCGATCGGAGAGCCCGGTACTCAAATGACACTGAAGACTTTCCATTTTGCTGGTGTTGCTGGTATGAGTTTGACTGCAGGTGTACCACGTATCAAAGAAATCATCAATGCTTCAAAGGATATCAGCACACCCGTCATCACATGTCGGTTGGAGCGTCGCCGCGATATGACCATTCCCGAGTCTTTGGCAAGAATCGTCAAGGGTAGAATTGAAAGTTTGAATCTGGAAGACATCACCACCTACATCCAGCTCAGCCACTCTCGCGACCGCCCCAGCTGCATTCATCTAAAGATTGCTATGGACACGATCGACGATCTCGGCCTGGATATCACCGTCCCGGAGATCATCAACTCAATTTTGAAACACAGACAGCTCAAAGCCGCCAAGTTAAGAATCCAACTCAAGGGCAGAGACGAACTCAAGATCACCGCCGGATTTGCGATCAAATCCGCGAAGCGAGGCTCCGCCGCCAAGATCGATGAGGAAGGCCAACAACATGAAGGATTACTCCGCTTGCAGGCCTTGCGTCGAATCTTGCCCGCCGTCCACGTCTTGGGCCATCCTTCTGCCACACGAGCCGTGGTAATGGCAGAGGACGACCCGCTCTCAGACGATATCCTGGCGCTACGCAACGCCGCGAAACGCGCCAAAGCCGAAGCCGAAACCCAGACCGTGAACTCGGAGACATCGACGGCAGAGCCAGAAATCAAGCAGGAGAGCACGACAAAGCCCGCGGATGGCGCGGCGCCATTAGTCAAAGTCGAACCCCCATCGCAAGCAGGCAATAGCAAATCGACCCTCGCTACCGCTGCCCCGGCCGCGCCGTCCAAACCGGTGCAAATGCACAAAGTGATGGTCGAAGGCTACGGTTTCCGCTACTGCATGAACACCGACGGGGTGGACTCGAACACGACACAAACCAACTCGATAGTCGAAACGCTCCAAGTGCTGGGCATCGAAGCGGCGCGCTCCAAAATCATCACCGAGATCCAAGAAGTCACCAAAGACCTGTCGATCGACCCGCGGCACATGGCGCTACTCGCCGACGTCATGACGTACAAAGGCGAAGTCCTGGGGATCACGCGGTTCGGCCTCGCCAAGATGCGCGACAGTGTGCTGCAACTGGCCAGTTTCGAGAAGACGGCCGACCATGTCTTCGAGGCCGGGCAGGTTGGCAAGGTCGATAAGATCGAGGGTGTGAGTGAGAGTGTGATTGTGGGCAAAACGATGCGTGTCGGCACCGGCAGTGTCGAGGTGGTGAGGTATTTGAATCTCGATCATCGGGAGTTGAAGAAGCGGAGGCCCTGTCTTTTTGAGGATGCTTGGTCATCCGCCGGTCCTGCTAGGAGGGGTGCGAGGTGAATAATGATGAGTGAATTAGTATTTCATCGGACCTGCATATATGCATGTTTGTTCCATATCTACTCTGTAGACAACTAGTCATCAGAGGTAGGTAGATCACCGAGACAGCTCCAGTGGCAACCTCCATGACCCCGTCAAATGACAGCAAGTGCAATCAATTTGTCTGTCTAGCCTGGCCAAAGAAGCTCTCGTCGTGCTTCCATTCGTGTTCAACAATCATGAACGCTGGAGTTACCCGTGCGCGTGCCCGCGGTGGCGTCCTGTCCGCAGTGTAAGTGTGCAACCACTTACTGCATGCATGACACAGAAAGAAAGCACATCGCCCTGGCCCTTCCCTGCCGGGTGACAGGCCGAGGAGGGAGGTCTGACTATATACATATGTATATAGCGCCCATAGCGCCCGCCGCGACAATTACTAGGAGCTCCTCAAAACCTCTGGGGATAATAGCCGTACATACATGGTATGGCCGACAGACGAGCACAACAACAGTTGCAGGGGGGGGGGGTATTTAAAGGGTTCCAACGAACGAATCGGTTTCGAGTCGGCGCCTGCCCAGGTATCGATACCTAGTTACTGCTGGGACTTCTGATTTGAAAAGGATCTCGGTGCTTTTGAAGGGAGTAAAAGAAAGGCTAAGGAATGGACAGCTGACAGCGACAGGGAGAAAAAGGAAAGTGAAAAGAGAGAGAGAAAGGCCGTAATTGTTAAACTATCCCCAGTTCTCTAACAGTAGATAACCACCTTTGAGCAGTCAAATCCCCTCGATATAGCTATGTAGCCAAGTCAAGCTCAGATCGGGAGGGCGGGCTAGCCAAGTGACAGCCCACTCCTCTCATCGGTCCATGGGTACGATATCGAGTACTAATCTGATTGAGATAATAAACCCGTTCCGTGGCCACTTAATTCATCTCCTCATATAAGCACATCTCCAAGCATCATGTATGCGCAAGTCTCGTCGAAAGAAACTCCCTTGTATCCCACATATAGTACACGTGTATCATTAGTCATAAAATTTAATTAAATATCCTCCGCTTCACGTCAGACGGGTTCAACGAGGGTCAGATAAGATCAACTCAGCTCATCTGACTGCGATATTTTGTCCTCCAACACCGACGTGGACCTGGCGTTGTGCAGTTTCTACCACCGCCAGGGGCGCACATTGAGGATTTCGTTTGAACGCCTTGTTTGCTCGTTTCTTGGCGACCTCGAGGTCGTCTTTCGGGGGTGGTGCCGACAGGGGCTTTGTAGGCACACTTTGTCCCTTGGTTGGTGGTTTTGGTGTAGGTGTGGCATCGTCATCACGTAGACTTTCAAGGTGGCGGACGTCGATGTCGAGCTTGTCTTCTGTCTTCTGTCGCCTTCTATTTCGATGTTCCGCGCTCACAGGGCTGCTTTTGGCGAAGCGAGACGTCTCCTCACCAAGTGATTGATATACTGATGGCTTCTCGACCAGAGGCAAGCCACCAAACTCGTCTCCGAGACATCGAAGTAAAGCAACAAAATACTGATGAAGGATCGTGAATATATTTTCGTCCCCTACAATTTCAGCTAGAGAACGAGGAGGGGCGTGTCCAGCTCGTCGAGGATTTCCATCGGGATTAGCACTCCGAGAGGTGAGGAATGACGACACGGGTGTGTAATTTCGAGTTTTGGGTTCGGGTGAAGTTGCATCGATCTCCTCTTTTCTTCTTTGAGATTCTTGATGGCGCTGTGCGGCAGATTCAATCCCCTTAGCCATGCTTGCGAAAGCTTCCCAAAGCATCGGGCATGCTTGGAACGCACGACTTGCATCTTTTCCGGCGAGGGCAACAAAAGCATATAAGCGCCGCCTGCCACGTGCTTTAGGATCTGTAAGACGGAAAACGTAGGCAATCGTATAGCCCGTATTTGAGTCGCCAAAGCAGAAGGGACCGTCAGATATACCGCGTGGAAGAAGTTCACACGACAAAGTTCGAATGACGGAAGCCCGGAGTTGAGCAAAGTTGTCTGGATCGTCAGGAGATTTGGCGGTCAGATATGTGAGGGTATGGTCGTGGCAATCCTCGGGGTGAGAATGCATATGGGAAGGTGTATTTGAATTTGAAGAACCCAAGGAGGAGCCTAACGAAGAAGGCTGTGTGCCGCTACTGCTATTAGTCCGTCGTCGCTCGCGCTCACGTAGACACACAAATTCTCTAGATCTGAGGACGGGTGCTCCTGATGAGGCGGTGGTCTGTTTACCATCGGTTCTTCTGCTTCCTGGAGCTCCAGCTGGGAGTTTCTCGGCGATTCGATTAGGCACAGAGAGGCTACAGCTTGCACAAGTATCACCCTGTGCACGACCATAGCGATATTGAGAGTGAATGTCAAGCTTGCGGTTAACAGGGTTGAATAAGGGATGTTTTTCGATGGTGGGGCTATCTGGTTCGGTCTCTGAGTCGACCGTGGTTGAGGCACCGGAGAAATCGGTAGGGAGAGTGAAATTTGTATCGGTCTTTCGTAAGGGCGGCGGAGTGCTCATATGAGGATGGGTATCGAAGGGATCATCGTGAATTTGGGTGCTAAGAGAGTCTGCGGAATGCTGTGCCCGCAGAGGTGGTGAAGGTGGGAGGCATGAAGCGCATCTCACTGGGAGGACTTGTGTACAGAGAACGGATTTGGGACCGTGGGTTTCGCAGAAATGGGTCAAAGCAAGCTGTGAGTACTGTTAGTTTTCCAAGGCTGATTGTTGTTGGTCATGCGTAGGGTCATGAGCCCAATACAAGGGATTGCGCAATCTCGAGGAGTGATGACTTTATCTGGGTGGAAACATACCGTGAAATCCATGACTGCGATAGGTTCCAAGGTTGTCTTTGAGATTAAAATTGGTTTGTACCCTTGCTGTTATGACTTGTTGTCGCACTCATATTCATTCGAAGGTCTTGGAAGATGTGCGATACGTATAGCGGAAGTCCCAGAGCCGGCCATGAGGGAAGTATCAACGGATTAGAGGTCGTTATTGTGGGCGCAGTTCACGACAGAGCAGATGGAGCTTGTTGGGAGAAAATGTCTTTGATCTAGTGAAGTCGTCGTGTCGCGGCTGTTGCCGAAGGGGACGCTGTAAATCGGGATTCGGGATGGTGGATCGAGTAAATCAACTAGGTAAGCCGGCATGCGACTCTGGAGAGGTGATGAACTCGGAGGCAAATATGTAGATGGGATGAGGGTGTAAAGTGAAGATGACGATGACGACGACTATGAGTAGGTATGTGTATGTATCTAGGAGACCAAGTCATCGTCGCCTCAGTTTGTCACCGCACCGCCCCCAGTAGGAAGTTCAAGGCGGCCGTGGGTGGCACACCGCCTATTCAACTTGAAGCCGGAAGCATGTCATTCCAAGTTGCTTAGAAGCAGGCTAGAGTCAGCGAACGCAGGGCTAAGGGGGCTATTCCCAGGCAGGTCATGGCAGGCTGCAGAGGAGCCCTTGGGCGTTGTTTAGTGGCGATGGGTGGACCGGGGGGGCAAAGGAACTTGCACAGGGCACACATGGCCAGAACTTAGAAGGGAAGGAACAAGGAACAACTGCCTCGCCAAGAAACTAAATTGCTAATGCATCCGATATCCTCCAATCAACAGACACTGATTAACTAAACTCCGAACGGAAGACCGGGCTGTACACGTCTCAACAAATCATACACACACATTTCCAACTGGCTTTACGGGGAAGACAGCGCCTTTCAAAAGTTGGCAACAACGGCACATCGGCTATGAACTACCTACTCGTACGAACAACTTTTCTTCTTCTCTTTTCGACTTCGGTAAAAGCCTACCGCATCCGCGCTTCAAAGTCAACCTGCCCTGCATTGCATCAATTGTCCGTCCTAGTACTAGCATACCAATAGCAGTGCTGGAGGACCAGCGTCCGTACAGACAATCAGAATGCCTGGGCCACCCTTGTGCGGGTCGTGATTCGTGACAGACCGGATGATAACCCTGACTACTCTCTTGAAACTACCTCAATTCAGCACCAATCGTCCCTTGGCTGTCCAACATCTCTTTCCCGGGCTTTTCAATCTCTCTCCTCGCCCAATCCGGCTTGTAACGTCCATCCGATGTAGCCTTCTGCAACACCAGTACTACCTGTTGCCCCTGCATTCGCTCCTGAATAATCACCTGCAATGTACCACCGGCTTGGAGTCTGATCTGTTGTTGTGCGATGTCGATCCTCGTAACGAGTCCGAAGCCCATGCACTCAGACCTCTTTGCCGGTACGCCATAACCTTCCTCGCCGGTCATTAACCGGGGAAGCCCCTCCTCGGTCCGCGCCACACCGGGTAAGATATCCCTATCTTCTGCATCGAGGCTGCCACTCTCAAGATCCTGGACATGATTCTGCTCACTATCTGACTGGTGACTCCTTCTGGCTTTCACCGCCACGATAGCAACAACACTACCTTCAAGAGCATCGTACGTGTCTTCCAGCCCAACATACCCACCAACGAGGGCAATAGCTTTGACTTGCGCGTGTCTGCCTCGATAAGTGAGTGTTATCTGTGCTCCGGTGTCTGCCAGAATTGGCCTGTCATCCCACCACATGCGTCCTGCTCGAGTGGCCTTGGAGTGAAAATATGATTGCATCTGAAGGTCGTGTTCCCGTAACAAGGGTAGCTTATCAAAGGTTTGTACTGGCAAAAATCGGATCGAGCAATCCGCAGCCTCTGCCAATGATCTCCAAGGTCGCAGATGCGGTGAAGTTGTGTTGTTGTCAAGACAGACAACTTCCGTCGGTGCCATCTTAGCCCATAGCTTGCCAGCTGTGACCGCATCTGTCTCATTCAGCCATTTCGGTGCTAAAATCACCATGATAGCTCCCCCGAGATTGTCTCGAGCGTGTTTCTCAACCTCGAGTAGGTCCAAGATACACTCGATTTGAGACTCGGAGACATTGGCAGCCTCAACGTCGCCTACGAAATGTAGCTTTAGTATCCGACTTGAAGTACCCTGAGTCGGAAGCATATGGGTAAGAGCCGGACCTAAGATAGGGGTCCTCAAATGAACAAGGCTGATGGTGCCGGGTGGAGAGAACTCGGGCATGGTTGAATCAAGGTCCAGTACCGTCACTTGTTGTGGTCGTCTATTGCTGCGGCCCGGACCACCTGCACTTGTTTCCAGAACATGGTTGACATAACACCGGAAGAAGGTTGAAAGGCCCGATGACCGTCGGCCGCAAAGTAGGAGGCGTGGTGGAACAGATGCGGGATTGCTGCCACCTCGATCAAGTGGACCCAAGAATGACTTCCAAGGATCAATATTGAGCTCTTTAAACCGCTTCGGCGCCTTTGCATCGTGGTCAAATGTGTGACCAAGGACATAGAAGGTCAATGCAGACTGTTCCACTCCTGGTGGCGCCCATATGTTCCTTGTGCCCACATAAGGTAGCTCTCCGAGACCAATACCGACCGAGTCGAGCTGAAATTCTGTTTGCTTCTCACATGCCTCTATTGAGGGCAGGGCATGACTGCTTGGGGCATAGATGCGATAAACTGCGGGCGATGCTCGTATGGTGGTGCCGTACACAAGTATAGATCCATTCTTGACCCAGAGATCACATATACCCAGGACGAAGCATTTCTACACCCGTCAATAAGCAGTATATATGCTAGAAATGAAAGCATACCTGTGATCGAGAAAGTTTGATTTTGATGGACGCCTTGTTGACTTGCTCAATTTCTCGAGTAGAACTGAAATGAACTGCCGATGCTTCCACCAGAGGTGTAAATTGATTTTGAGAAATGGCTTCCTCTGTAGGCTTTACATCATCGGTTTTTTGTAAAGAATTTGAAGTCAAGTCTCTCGAGGGTGACTGGGTTTGGCTCTTCTCCAATTCAGGTGCTGCTGATGGTCCTACTGGAGTTGAGCTGCCAGACCGTACCTGCTGCAGCCGGCGCCTGGCAACTGCGCTTAACCTAGTCCCATCTGTGAATTGATCAGCGGCTTGTGGCCTGTGGCCTGGATTTCAGGTAGGTCTTTCACTTACTAGACGTCATGCATGATACTTGGGTGAACTGTTCATGTCAATAATCCTAGTTCATGAATAAATTCACGTTTTTCTTAATGTCAACACTAAGACACTAGTGGCGGGCGGTTCCGTGCTCTTGACCCACTTCTTTTCATTCTCGATAATTCGCAGAACAGCTTCTTGGGGGAAAAAATTTGTGGAAGACCAGGAAGTGAGCCAAAAGTTATCTGAGTGTGTCAGCCAGATACCTGACACGCCGAACATTGACTTCCAGCTTGTAGACTACGCACGATGGCTAAATCAAAGCAAACTCCCCAACCGAGTCATCTGAGTGAGGAAAGAATTTATGATTCGAGTGGCAGTGGGAACAGTCAAGACTCAGATGTTGAGTCAGGTCTAACTTCCAAGGCTAAGAAGCTACCACTGAGGGAGACAAACAAGCCAAAATCGTCATCCAAGCTACCTTCAAAACAAAAGAAATCTGTGCCTCCACCCTCTGATACAACGTCGTCTGGTGAAGACGAATCAAGCGAGAGCCAAGGTGATGCCGATGAACATGAAGATGAGGAGACCGGGAGTCAGGAGTCGAGCTCTGAATCGAGTAAGCGAAGGTCCCCTGCAAGAGAAGCCGAACAACCAGCACGGAAGAAAAGCAAATCAACAGCAACAGCAACAGCAACAGCAACCACTTCAACAGTACAAATAGCTCCCAGGGCTTTCAAAGCACCCCAAGGCTACGAGCCCGTCATTTTGTCAACCTCGGATTTCGCATCACAAAGTGCGTCACTATTTGAAAATCTACAGGGCAAGCAGGTCTGGCACATCTCTGCCCCAGACTCGGTCCCCCTAGATGTGATCAAAGAGCTCGATATCCAAGCAGCATTACAAGGCAAAGCCATCCTGACCAAAGATGGCATCGACTATAACATGCATCCAACGCATCTGTCCAACGATGTGCTACTACTACCGGGAGGAAAGCATTCGACATACGAGCAGAGCGAATTGAGGATAGCGAAGAGCTTTCATCTTCGGCAGATGAACAGCAAGCCCACGCACGAGACGCAAGACGACATAGAGACACCCCTCATTTTCACAGCGATGGAAGAAGGAAAGGCGAGAAAACCCCGAGAGCAGCCAGAAGGCCTCAAGATGCGATACACCCCATTCGGCGCCCCTCCTGCACCCCAGAATGCTACTGGCCAGGATGACGAGGACGTCGAGATGACCACGGAAACCACAGCGTTCAAAGTACCCGAAGAGATAGTGGGTGAACGATCAAGCGGGAAGAAATCGACAAATGAGGCAGCCGAAACGCCGCGTGGAGAAAAACGGGGAAAGAAAGACAGGGATGAAGATAGAGGCACGGATTCGAACATCAAAAAGAAGAAGAAGAATCGGAGACTGGTGGATGAATGAGAGTGGACGGTTAGCACACCACGCAAATGCGTGAAAGGTATCGCATTTCCTAGCATTGAATATGTATCCGTGGTGGATAGTGGGAGTGGTATTGGTTTCACCCCACAATTTAATTGAATAGGTGTCGACCTCGATATGGCATGGATTCGACTACTGGTTTAGGACAATTCGTACATGGAAGCTCAAGTTGAGGGGCGAAGAGACCAGCAGAGCTGGAGGTTGAAGGGGGTTCAGGCACTCGAATGGGTGGCTGAACCCTAGAAACTGCTGCTTTAATTAGAGGCCCTCGTCGCCAATAGTCTAGTCCATTTGGGCTAGGAAGTGACCTAACCAGAGGAACAGATCCAACCAAGAATAGTTAAAAGCAAACCAAGCCCAGCCCAAAAATTACCCCTCGCACGCCGCGGGGAAGGGACACGAGAACAAACCACTTGACTGACGACTTGACTCACTGCACGAAAAAAAGTTGCGAAGAAAAAGACACGGGCATTGAGAAAAAGCCACACATAGACTGCACATCCCGTTCTGCTCAAAAGCTTACCCGCAGTCCTCTATTTTCTTTTCCATTTCCTTTCCCTTCACCACCTGGTACATTACAAGTGTACACATACTCTGTATCTACCAATTCAAACTTCCCAACAACAAGTCATCCCAAACCACCATCAACCATGGGTTCCGTCACCGTCCCTACCACTAGCAGCAGCTATGCTCTGTCCGAAGAACACAAGAACGTGAGTTCTCTCTACTGCGAAGCCCGCAGAACCAACGGCAAGATAGAAAAAGACTGTGAACTGACGATTCAACAGATGCTCGAGAAGTCCCTCATCGAGTCCGACCCCGAAGTCGCAGAGATAATGGTATGTACCAATCCTCTTTTCCCATGCCATTGAGTCCCCAATCTAACTCGAGCCTCTCTCTCTCCTCCAGAAAAAAGAAATCAAACGTCAACGCGAGTCCATCATCCTGATCGCTTCCGAGAACGTGACGTCCCGCGCGGTCTTCGACGCCCTGGGCTCGCCCATGTCCAACAAATACTCCGAGGGCTACCCGGGCGCCCGCTACTACGGCGGGAACCAGCACATCGATGCCGTCGAGCTGTTGTGCCAGGCCAGAGCATTGAAGGCATTCCGCCTCGATCCTGAGCAGTGGGGCGTCAATGTTCAGTGTTTGAGCGGTTCGCCTGCGAATCTGCAGGTCTACCAGGCTATCATGAGGCCGCATGATCGGTTGATGGGTTTGGACTTGCCACATGGTGGACATTTGAGCCATGGTTATCAGACACCACAGAAGAAGTAAGCTTTTGAGATTTGATTTCTGCTACCAAAGGAGTGATGATGGTATTGACATGTCTGGCCAAACAGGATCTCAGCGGTATCTACCTATTTCGAGACCTTCCCCTACCGAGTCAACCTTGAGACCGGCATAATCGACTATGACCGACTTGAGGAGAACGCTCTCATGTACCGACCCAAGACCCTGGTGGCCGGAACCTCCGCATACTGCCGTTTGATCGACTACAAGCGCATGCGAGAGATCGCAGACAAGGTCGGAGCATATCTGGTTGTGGATATGGCACACATTTCCGGCTTGATTGCCGCCGGTGTCATCCCCTCTCCCTTTGAATATGCCGATGTTGTCACAACCACCACCCACAAATCTCTGCGTGGACCTCGAGGAGCCATGATTTTCTTCCGCAAGGGTGTCCGAAGCACCGATGCTAAGACCGGCAAGCAGGTCCTATACGATCTTGAAGGACCCATCAACTTCTCCGTCTTCCCTGGCCATCAAGGTGGCCCCCACAACCACACCATCACTGCTTTGACAGTGGCACTGAAGCAGGCCTCTTCCCCAGAGTTCCGCCAATACCAAGAACAAGTCATCAAGAATGCAAAGGCCCTGGAAGTCGAATTCAAGGAGCTCGGCTACAAGCTGGTCTCTGACGGAACCGATTCACACATGGTGCTCCTCGACCTCCGCCCGCAAGCCGTCGACGGTGCCCGCCTCGAGACCGTGCTCGAGCAGATCAACATCGCATGCAACAAGAACAGCATCCCCGGTGACAAGTCGGCATTGACACCATTCGGCATCCGGATCGGTGCGCCCGCCATGTCATCGCGTGGGCTCGGCGAGGAGGACTTCAAGCGCATTGCCCGCTACATCGACACCAGCATTAAGCTCTGCAAGAAGATCCAGGGTGACCTGCCCAAGGAAGCCAACAAGCTCAAGGACTTCAAGGCCAAGGCCTCTGACGACTCGGTCCCCGAGATCCTCAAGCTCAGACAAGAGATCTCCGAGTGGGCTTCCAGCTTCCCTCTCCCCGTCTAGAGGAGACGCAAGTTGTGTGGGTACATACATGATCTTGGACGATGGATATGAACCAGGGTTGGCGTTTTCGGGCTGGTGGAGAGATTGCGGTGCAGTCGGAGGGGTAATTTGGCTTGTCGTTGTCTTTTTCAACGGACTTTGATATGAATGAGGGTTCCAGGCCGAGACCACAAAAACTAGGGTATTAGGCGTATCTTCAACGATACTTTTTGGCAAGCATTTCAACTCCGCATGAATCAGTTTCCCCTTCATCGTTTTCACGTAAAGGTTCTTGATAGCATAGCGCTGGACGTTTGCCAGTTCGTCGCCATACCTTTCGTAGACCATGCTCGTCCAGCGAGCGAGCGAGCCATAACGTTGATGAAATAAACCCCATCCTCTCTTTGCTCCTCTCAGCGATCGACAGCCAGCATGTCCGTATCTTCTGCAGCGGCGTTAGCAGACCTCCCAGCAATGCCGCCCAACTTGGCAAGGCGGCCGTTCAGCAGCGCGACCTCTCGCTCCAACTGGCGGATCTCGATCTCCTGCTCCTCTACGCTGCGGTCGAGGTCCGGCAGCGCCGACACGGCCGCGCGTGCCTTGACCAGCTTCTGCTTGATCGGGTACACGTGCGCAGGTAGCTCCTTCACGTCGATGGGCGGGCCGCTCGTCTGAATGTGTCGCGTCGTCGTGGACTGTGTGGACGGGGGCGCGGCTTGGGTGTTTGAGCCGCCTGCGAGTGTGCCGGTGGGGGTAGCTTGGCTCAGAGCCGGGGTTGGAGTCGAGAGGAGTTGTTGAGACTGGAACTGAGATTGGGATTGTGTGTGGGTTGGAGCTTGGGTGTGCGTTTGGTGTGAATTGGGTTGGCCGGGGTTTTGGAGGATGTTGAGCCGTGCGATGAGCAGGTAGATGTCTGGGAGGATGGAGAAGGTCGAGGGCGATGGGAAGGGTGGTATGTCCGGGTGAGAGGGGATTTGCGAAGGTGAAGTTGAGGACGGCATCTTGAGAGCTCGACAACGAGGCGAGAGTATCGCGAAATGACGATGCTCTACCTTTCTCAGTGCTTTGCTTGCCAGGATGGGAATTGAATTTGGAGATGCTCAGAGAGGTCGTCCGGAATTGACTCGCAGAGTTCAACAAAGCCGGGGACACCTGACTCGCGTGACACCTCTTGTAGGGACGAAGTCGTAGATAAGGCCCTTCTGAGTTTGAAGTCTTGAAAGCATTGTATGACTTTTCGTGATATGCACGTGTGGACTGGCGCTGTTCGAGGACGCAGTTTATTCTCGCTTCGGCCCTAACATCGCCACAAACTTATGTATGGAGAACCCGCTTATTGATTCAGCACATGTCGAGTATCACTGTGCTCACTACCAGGCTCAACTAATAGGGATCAATTATGATATCAATCGAAGTACGGAGAGTTCTATGAATGATCCGCCAATTCTACCTAGGCTGCGAGTGCGTGACATAAAGCCCTACGACTGCAGATTGGATCGATCGGTTCTGTTTGCACCCCCACATTCGTAAGATGAGACAGTGTGTTGAAGTAGTATTCTAATGCCTGTTGCACTGATCCTCCGGCTCGTGTAATACCTTCGCTTTACTATTTCCGCTGCCTCCGAGATGCGGTCGGGCAAGCTGAATGTTGACCTGCCTGGAAAGCGTCAGCGATTAGCATACCATACCAAGATCGTCCCTTTGCAAGAAGAAGACTTACTTTGTGAGTCTCTTGTCCACGTCCGCAACAAACAGCGCAGCAATGATTGCAAGACCTAGTAGCAGAGTTAGATTTCCTCCTGGAAGGGCCGGCAATTATACTCGCCTCCGAAGGCCACAGTGACGCAGTAGACCAATTGAAACGCATTGCTGTAGACACTCTTCTGGGCACCCAATGCTGCTGCGACAATGCTCGGAGTTACACCTGGAATATTTTCAAATACCCCCGCCGGTAAAGCCGCTATCAAATGTGAGCCGGGGCCAGAACAGATAGCACAATATAGAACTCACTGAGAAATGGTGTTAGGGAAGCAGCAGGTAAGCCAGCCTGGGTTAGTGCTCTGCCGATGTCTTTGGCCCATGTACTGCTCACCCGGTTCGTAAGCAAGCTTGAGTAGATGGCTACGCCGATAGCGCCCCCCGTGGCTCGCACGGAGTTGACCAGGCCAGTGGCGAGTCCAATGTCCTCGTCGCGCGCCCCGAGTTGCACAATGAGGATACTCATGCAGTTGGTGGCGCCAATCATTAAAGATGCGAGACCAACGAGCACAATCGCGCGAGCGGGAGTGTGCTCGTTGCTCGTTGCATTTACTCCCAGGAATATCGTCATCATTATGACGATAGATATATACTGATATCTAGTCTTCGGAACTGTCGAGAATAACTGACCTCCTAGGATAACACCGGCTTTAAGCTAGGGTGTTAGCCATAATCTATTAGATAAAGCGAATGATGTTCTCTTACCAGTTGCGCTGGCATTAGTGGCCATATTGTACCAACCTATAGTTCTTGGAACTGTCGTAAATAGGCGTTGTACTTGCTGAGGCCACAAGATACCCGTACTGATTAAGGCCATGCCACCTGTAAATGAAACTACTAGTGGGACGACGACTGCTCTTATATCTTGCCATATTCGAGGTGGACAGAGTTTTGCAATATTGTTAGGACCGTACACCTCCCAAAGAGGAAAGGCCACGAAGACGAATAGACCACCGATGATTGTCGGAGCGAGGACAACGGCACTCGTCCAAGGATATGGATTACCTCCAAACCCGATGCCGACGAGAAACACGGTCAAGCCGCCACCAAAGAGGAGTAGTCCGACGAAATCTAGCTCGAAGAATTGTTGGCGTCGCGTCTTGCCGTCTGGATGCAATCCGAGAAAATCAGGGGGCCAGTAGAAGACCAATATGAGAATGAAAGCCACGACGTTGACAATCAGGCATACGTAGTAGGCCCACTTCCACGACCCTTGGGCGACCAGTTGGTTCGCTAAGAGACATGATGTATCAGTCCTTGAGCGAAATAGAACAAAAAAATTAGAGGGAGAACCTCGCTTACCTATTGGGCCTCCAAAGGACGAACCGGGTATCGATACAAGACTCATGAAAGCAAAAGACTGCCCACGGTTCTTCTTTGGTACGATCTCACTTGCCGCTGCAAATGCGAGTTGTTGAAGCCCTGCCGAAAGGCCCTCAAAAGAATGTCAGTCAAGGGATGACCAGAAAGGTTACCTCCAGCTTACTAAAAATGCGCCTCCGAGTATGATCAATGATGCGGTTGTCGCCCTGCATTGACAGTTAGTTATTTGATTGAGAACTTAGCTGTGTAGTTTTCTAAGGAGACAAACCTGGAAGCAATTGCGCATCCTACGGCACCCAACAGATTCCCTACAAGGAAGAAGTTTTTGCGTCCAAAGATGTCGCCACATCTACCGGCGATAGTCATGACGACCGCACTCGCAAGTGCCCATGAGGTTACTGCCCATGCAATGTTGTTGGACGGCCCGACCCCTTCGTTGATGGTGAGGAGGATGGCCGCAGGCAAAGTAAGCGAAAACACGCACGCTTCATAGGTGACGCCGAGGGCCTAGAGCAGAATTAGTCCTGCAATTGTCCAAACGGCGGGGATTATCACCAATAGACCCAGGATTGTGCGCAAGTCGATTGACCGTGACTCATAGTCCTGAACCTCGTTATAGGAGCCACCATTATCCTGGGGAACGCCTTCAATCGTCTCCGTATGCACCATTGAAATATCTGGCAGTCGGGCCTTTTGCTCCATTGCAACAGCCATATCGAGGTATCTGTCACTGGGGGTATAGAATAAAAAGAACAGACGCAGATGGGCAGAACCCTTTTCCTTTATAGGAACTTCCTAACCCGCCTACAGCCGCTAAGAGGGTTTGAGTGTTGTAAGCCATAGAATACCCCATGGGGAGAGGACAGGCCTGCAGTACTGCTCCAGTGGCTAAGCCATGGGATATTGCCTTGATGGAGCCTATACAGACTGAGACTACCCTCGGCGAACTAGAATTGATCGGTTATAAACATATCAGGCTACCGATGCCGAAACTTAATGAGGCAAGTTGACGGTCCACAATTTCGGATTTGCCTATTCGGACGTGCTACTGACGTGTCGTTCAATCACCATACGGAAAGCGACCCTCCATCCGTTTTCTCACACAAAGATCCAGACCTGTCATGATGTCTGGAGTTATTAGAGGCCGTAGCCGCACGCGCTGAGAGTAAAAATGAGGAAAAGCGTTCAACACTTCTCATCTCGTCGCCCTCCTTCTCCCCCCACCAACATCTAAGCCATGGCCTCGAAACCCGTCATCCTCCTGATCCCCGGATCCTTTGCCCATTCAGCCATGTATTTCCCTCTTCAGGACATCCTGATCAAAGCAGGGCACGAGGTGTACGTGAACAACCTGCCATCAGGGAGTCGGAATGGTCCAGAAGCTCCCGCAAGTTTGAGTGATGATGCAAAGTTCATCAGTAATATCATTGGAACGATCGCAGACCAGGGAAAGGATGTTGTTGTTCTCGGCCATTCATATGGTGGGCTAGTTGCCTCTGAATCAGCCAAAGGCCATCGCAAAGCGGAGCGGGGCGCCAGAGGTCTGAAAGGCGGTATCATCAGGTTAATCTTCTTAGCTGCCATTGTCCTGCCGGAAGGACAATCATTAGTGGGCCATCAAGGCAAGCCTCCATCGTCGATCATAAAGACAGATGAGGTTCGAGCCACTCCCTCGATCACTGAATCTCAAGAAGCTAACTCTCGCAGTACGGCTTCATGAGGCTAGCCGATCCCGCCTTGTCAGGTACCCGCATGTATGATGTTTGGCCAGAAGACCGAGCGGTCGCGTGGGCAAGCGCTGCGCCAATGCAATCCGCTCTCAGCTTTGCTAGCCCGGTGACCTATACCGCTTTCAAGGACATACCTTCTTCATACATATTTTGTGAGCAGGACAAGGTTGTGCCACCAGCAATGCAAGAACAATATATCGAGACCATGAAAGCTGTGGCTGGCAAGGCAGTGGACGTGCATAAGCTGGACTCGAATCATGTACCCAATCTGACTTCGCCTCAGGCTGTGGCGGAGGTCATCTTGAAGATCGCTGCTGCCTCATAGATGCTACATGAGCAATGCAGACCACAACGGCGGTCATTCGGCCATGAATTCGGACATTTGGCGTCATAAGTAGGTGAAGCGGTCAGATTGAGGCTAACCAGGGCATCAACCTCATCCTAAATATATGAATGATCCAACCAATGCTTCATGTTCAGCACCTTCTCAGGGTCCTCGACTGTCAGTCAATCACAATCAACTGAGAACTGTGCTTGCTTGGGAAAAGCATACTTTACTTCTACATATGTTATAGGTGTAGACACATATCGTGGCAGTGCCGACTAGTAAGCTCTGACGTTCGACGAATACGGTTTTCACAGCTCAAATCTCTGTGCTTCCGACATCATACCAGTCCATCCTTGCCCAGTCAATGTTGTTGGCATCAAATGGGGCCGAGAGTAGCAACTCGGAAATAGCGTTAAAATTTGGTGATCGAAAGTCGGGTACATTGAAGTCCACCTCGCTTTCGAATGAGCTTCCGAACATGTCCATGGGATGATGTCTGACGCCATTCTGCAACTCAACGTTGGCGCCTTGTGAAATGAACGGCGAGGTAATGCTGCTTGTGTCTGTCTGTGCGATGGTGACGGAGTTTGACTCTCTGCCCGTGCTCATCACTGTATGTTCATCATCAGGTGCCCGAGGGTTAGCTCGATCCTCCCACTCGAAAGTCCGATATACGCTTTTGCCGCTCCTGACGCTCTCGATGAAACCGATTGCACAATCTGCGGAATTGTACTTGTGTCTTAATGCTGCGAATGCTTGGAGAGTCTGCCCTAGGTACAGGTCTCCAATCCCACGAAGCTCTGCCTCACTAGATAGGGCATCTTTCAAGTGTTGAACAGAAGCCACAATAAGGGCTCCCACAACTAGTGGTGGCATGAACCGTAGGAGATGACTCTCATCCAATTCCCTCGCAATTTCCGAGATTCGACGTGCGGCAGATCGAAGAGTATTCCGGGAGAAGCTTTGTAAAGCTTCGTTGGCAGAGCCTTTGAGTGGGTCAAGGAGGAGAAACGGGCGATGAACGGTGCAGAGTGCAGTCAAATACAACATTTCGAGGGTTGCAGAATGTAAGCCTAGCAAGCTTCCATTCTGGCTATGATTCTGACCTAAGGCTGCCTCTTTAATAGAAGCAGTCTCCCTCCACCAATTGCGAAGGTCTTGGTCCCGAGCAGCACTTTCGGTGCTGAGAACTTTTGCTTTTGGGATCAAGACCATGAAAGGATCACTCGAATCCACGAGCCGTACGCCACTCAACTCATATTGTGAATTGAAGATATGTCCAATAATAAGGCATAATTTGACCTTTTGTGCGCATAACCGACTCAGGCTGGGTGTTCCAATCCCGTGACCAGGCACATTGTATTTTATGAATACCTGAGTAAGAGCCGCGTCCTCGAAGTCTTTTGGGTCGATGTCCTCGATGTCCTCAGTCTTGCAACAGTGCGCACTCTGCCGCCGTTCCGTTATAGACAGAAGCTTGTCCCTCATCAGACAGCAATACCACAACTTACGCCTCATTCGCTGCCGGGTCGACGGATTTGGAGAATTTGGCCACCTGTCCAAGCCAATATCAGTGGCCAAAGAGAAAGCGGTCCGTAGCCAGTAAAACCGACCCTTTGTATCATTCTGCCGACCATACCAGTATGTCATAAGAAGCAGTACCTGTATCATCGTCGTGGGATTTGACTCGACATCCATTTCGTACAGCAGCTTCACCCGGTCGAAAAAGATTTTTCGAGCATTGTCATAAGTTCGAAGCCCCTCTTGTTGCAAATGTGACAGATCTGCAAAAGTGACTCCTGCAAACATCACGGCCTGAAACAACAGCAGGCTGATACGGTCGCTGTTGGTACCTTTTACTGCACCGAGGAAATTTCCCAAATCCAAGACCGGCAGAAAGGGATATACGTGACAGACAAATACTCTCAGTAACTCATCGATCGTCGTTTTGCTGGGAACTGTAAGAGCTCCCTTGTGCAATAGCAACTGCACGACGTGATCGTCAAGCCCCACTGGCAGACGTGCGATGTAGCTGGGAAGCTGGTCGGATTGATCTGATGATGGAGCCGCATCTGCTTTTGCGCCATCGTTGCAACATTCCACTGGCGTAGCATTGTCCAAAAGAGATGCCAACGAGGCTTGCCCACCAGGGGTTAGTTCAGTAGAGACACTGTTGTCCTTTTCTCTGTTACAACCCGAAGGCTCACCAATCCTGAATGTATGGACGTAGGCATGAGGCAGATTCGTCTTGCCAGGATGTTGCATGGTTCTTTCTCTCACCCCGTTGTCGATGGAGCAGACAGCCAAAGTTCTCGAGCAATTCGAACACGGAGTGCCCTTACTCGAGACATCGCACCTTACTTTGCGATTGTGACAGGTTATGCACGCTCTAGGCGCCCTTCGTCTCTGCATAGGCATTACAATTCTGTAAGGTATGAAGGTGGGACCCATGGAAGGACAGTCCGGGTCGAACATAATGCCATCTCGGCTGGTAGTTGGGCAGAACACCAAAACCTTGGCCAAGCGCGGTCACGCGATTTGCCGAATATTCTTTTTTGGGATCGGCCGAATCTCGTGGTAACGGCAAGATAATTGTCGCCGCTTCAATACCCAGCCAATACCTTCGCATTCGTCAACGGTCCAGAATGCAACATCTTGGTCCAGAAGGGGCTTTGCAAGAAGTGTAGCCGACTAGACACGGGTTGGGATGCGTTACCGAGGTATTCGTATATGGAAAATTGGAACCCAGGGACTGGCTCCGCCCCTGCTATCCAGGCACGCTTCAGGCTGCGCGTATGCGGGTTAGTGCGCCTGAGGTGAGCACAGGGCGGCGTCACTCTAGTTCTCAAACCGGATGAGTTGAGAGCAGAGTTCCCAAACCTTGGCATAATGTCCCCTCCCTGGCATCATGGCCCATGTCTCCAAGAGTGTAGACCCTGCCTGGCCAGGCAGATTTAGCGAGAAGAAGTCATGGCCGCTCATCAAAACGCTGGTGCAGTCCAGCAGGGTTCTCGCACCAAAGTCGCTTGCAAGAACTGCAATGCGAGGCGCGTGAGGTGCCATCGCCCGTTCTCCGGGCAAACGTGTACCAGCTGTCAACAACTCAACCTGGAATGCGAGTTGATCGAGTCGAAGCGCGGGAAGTACGAGTTTCTCCACCGTCTCTCCTTGAGTCCACAAGATAGGCGCTGACCCCGCACAATCTAGATATCAAAGAAGAACGCCTAGAAGGCAAAGGCACCAGAGACAGGACGTAGCTGATGGTTCTGAGTCTCGAAATCCGGCCTTGTCATTTTCGCCAGATGCATCAAGCCACAGACTATCCCCAGGCCAAGGACCGGAAGCGAATCGCTTCGCTAGCCCGTCTCTCCCAGATCTAGTGTTCGACCGCAGCTCAGGGAATGGCGATCGTGTCGTCTACATGGGAGACTCTGGCAACATGAAGTACCTCATTTACGAGGTTGGCGATCCTTTCAAGAACTTTAGACGTAGTAGACTCTGGGGCGATCATTTGCAACAAAGCCTTATGGATCGACTCTCCCCGTCAACTCAATGCAAGCTTGCAGCTCTGCGGACAACGGATGAAGAGCACTTGCGACGTATTGGGGCCTTGGACTTCCCCGAAGCCTCGCTTATTGACGAGTTAATCAAGGTCTTCTTCGACCATGTGTACCCCTTCTTTCCAATTTTTGACAGAGCGGGATTCTCCGCTGCGTACAAACGGGGTCAAATATCACCGCTGGTACTAAATGCGTTGTTCTGTGTCTCAGCTATCCACTGTCCTGACGAACTGACGAGAAGACTCGGCTACGGCTCTCGCTACATTACTTGCTCGACGTTCTATCGTCGTGCCAAGGCCCTCCACGACGCCAATTACGAGACCGATGGTATAGCTAGTATTCAAGCATACATCTTACTAATGAACTGGTGGCAAGGTCCAATGGAGCAGAAAGACACCTGGTACTGGTTGGGAGTGGGCTCCAACCTGGCTCAGGCACTTGGTATGCACAGAGCGTAAGTGCCACTGACTCTTTTGATCTGCATCCGCTCATTCAGGCCGTCAGGAAATCTTACCAGATTCTTGACGACAAGCGTCAGAAGCTCTGGCGCAGAATTTGGTGGGTGCTGTTTATCAACGACATTCACCATGCCGCTGTTTTTGGTCGTCCACCACATATTCACTCCCAGTATACCGATGTTCAGGCTCTTCTTCCTGAAGACATGGAGATATCGGAGCCTGCCAACAACAATTCTGAGGAGTCCAACTCCTTCCTGACTCAGTACTGTCAACTTGCAATTTTGGTCGACAAATGTCTCATCGCGAAGTACTCTGCAGCTTCAAGCCCGGACATGAAAAGCGAAGCTCGGCTGGCACTGAAGGATTTTTGTGAAACACTCTCCGCCAACAACACTAATACCACCGGATCTTTGACCACCGAGCGAGGCTTCTATCCTGCCTTACTTAATCTAATCTATCTCGACTACTCAATCGTAGTCGAGCGAATGTTGTTGTCCGACACGAACGTTCCAGCTTCTACAGGAATGCAATCGTATTTCAAGTCTGCAGGTTCGATCTGCCATTTGCTGGAAGATCTGTTATCGAGTCCTTCGGTCTTGGTGGCTCGACTCCCGTACGTCGCGTTTCCGGCAATTTTTTGTTCGATACTCGTCCATATCATCTTTCTGCGGAAGCAATCGGGTAACATCCGCCTGGTAGCAGAGAGCCGAGCTCGACTAGCAATGCTTGTTCTGGATCAGTTGCAAGATAGGTGGCCGTTTGTTGTATGGACGCGCTATCTGCTTGATGTGCTTCTAAAGAATACTGAGCCGCCAGCACTATCATCCTCGGAACATGGCCAACATGACGAGATCCATCGATCATCAGAACTCACCAATCATTCAGGGACAGAAGATGATGCACTAGGGCTTGCTTCGTTGCCTCCGTATCTTCCAAATGTTGCCGACCCTACTAGGAGCACAAATCTAAGTGCAACTCCACAGGATACGCATTCTGACCAACACGATCACTTGAGATTCGACACTGGCATGGACGGAACTTTCTCTCCAATCCCTTTCATGTATCCTTGGAATAGCTTGCTCGAGGATGTTACAGAGCTTGATCAATGGCTCGTATGAGGTGTAGTCACGATTCCAAGGCAAAACACGTGTCAATTATCTCAAACTCAGGCATGTATTTCAGGTTTCACTGCCACCTCTATTGACTACAGCCGGCCTCGGTATCTGATCTCGGTTGCTCGCAAGGGAATGTATATCAAGATTGACGATGCTGCGCCGAGCAAATATGCCAAATCTCCGGACTGCTTGGCTATGGGTCCCACGTACCACGTTGTTGCCATGGAGAGAACAATCAACACCCATGGCACAGTACATGCAACCAGTGCCGAGAATCCAGATGGCAGGGCTTTGCGGTTGTTCCAGATTGCCGGATCCATACTGTTGGGATCGCTTTTCCGGAACAAAAACCACTCGACCAGAAAGATGCTAATTGTTGGCCCAGTGATATAGCCCGCAATGCTGACCAGAGCAGTGAGACTGGGCAAGAAGGACCGCGAGGCTGCAATACCGATCCCGATCATGGCACCCGCAACTAAGAACAACAGAAGGATGCGTGGAACCCTGTGCAACCACGGAACGATGCCAACAACGAAGATGGAAATACTGTACATGTCTCGCGCCGAGGTGGTGACGATGGAGAAGCCAAGAACAACCAGGAGGAAGCGTCCAAAGTTTCCAACTCGGGAGATTAGTATTTCAGCACAAACTCCACCGAAACTGCCTGTGCCATATGCCGCGAGCCAGGTTTCGTTGGTCGGGATCGCACCACCAATGGCAGCACCAAGCAACATCATCAAGGTGAAAGGGACGTACAGGCCCAGGAAACAGTACAGCGCCAGTCGCTTTCTTGGAGCCGTGGGAGGCATATAGCATGAATAGTCACCAACAATGGTTCCCCAGGTAGCCATATTGGCAGCACAGATTGCCAGAGTCGATAAATATGGACCCGCACTACCGGTCGATACCGGAACGACCTGATTTTGCAGGCCTTTGCCAGCACAGCCGACCAGGATTAAGATGCAAATGGTATTTGGGATCCAAATGTACTGACAGACCATATGGAGACATTTGTACCCGAAGAAGCTGATGAGGATTGCAGTAGCCATGATGATGGCTATGGCTCCTTCCACGGGAAGAGTGCCCTGTCTGACTGCGGCCAAACATTCAGCACCTCCAACTGCAGCCAGGATACCGAATATACCGATTTCAACGACGACAATCAGACAGAAGAATATATTTGGATATTTTCTGGTCATAGTACACGAGTCAGTAAACCGTAAGGCCAGGAGATCTATCTCTCACTCGGTTTGGAGGTTGAATCAACGTACCCAAAGACATAACGAAACTGGACAGACTGTCTCATGCCAAGTAGCGGACCAAGGGTGATGATATAAAGGGTGGGCATAATGAATATGAATTGCATTGTCACAATCATGGCTGCTGCATGGCTGAACGATAGACCAAAGACCAAGGTTGGCGTTGTCCCGATCGAAATCCTGCACAGCAAGGCGGTCAGTGATGAGGCATGCCAAAGACTGAAGGAGCTCGAACTTACGGTAACAATGAAATAAAGCTACCACCAAAAAGCGTGAAGATGTTGTAGTATCTGGTATGCGTTCTCTCGTGAAGCGGGACTGGCTCGAGTCCACGTAATTCAACTCCAGCAGTCGCCAGACTTTTGAGGAAGCTCTTGAGTGATTGGGGCGCGACATAGTTGTCGATGATGGTGCCTTCTTCCGGAACCTCGATGCTCGAACCCATCTCGAGCTTGGACTCTGGTTGCATGGCGCATTCAACGTCACTGGTGGCCATCTTGCCGTGCTGTGAAGTGGGTTCGGTGGTATTGGTCTCGTGGCGAGTAACCGGGGCGGAGGTGGACATGTTTAAGCTGGTGATCAGGTATTCCAATGTCATCCTATGGTGACAGGGAGGGGACAATCACACCACGTGGGGCGAGAGCCGTTGATATAGGCACATAGCATGCGACACAGTAGCTTGATTGTGAGTACAAGTCGAAGAACCTCGAGTTGGTCGAGTGGTTGTTCTGGTCGTCGGCTGGGCTGGTAAGCAGCATATCGGCGACTTGGGGATGGTCACTTGTGTGGAGTCCAGGCAGAGAAAGGTTAACCTGAATCATTGACTTTCGAGGTGCTGATAAGAGTCCATCTCAGAGTCATTCCCCAATGCCATTCCTTATCTCTCACTAGCTAGTCGCAATAGGATAGGGGCCTGCACCCCAATTTCCCCACTGATAAGTTGAAATGTGGAGAAGGCCACAAATTGAAGGCTCGGGATGTAGACTCTACGGTCCATGATCCAGGGCCAACAAAGACCCGTGTGATATCCGCCACAAAGATACACAAACCCGCGATTATGTTCCAAACGAGACACGGTCCGTGCACTATGACTTCTGGTAAATCAGCTTCGCTTTGATATGGTCCAGGTCGATGATATCCCGTTGGATCACGGTCCGGGACTGAGCAGAAGCAGAAGCTACAGCTTGAGCTTGGTGTTTGAAGTATGAGTGGATGACGAGATTATAATTACAATTGCAGTTATATCAGTTACTAGGTAACATTGGAGAAAAGGGATTTCATAAATCACGACCACAATCAAAGTATGATAAATCGAGAAGTGGTGATATAATGGTTGACTACACACTGGATCAATGGGCCTGCATTTTGAATTATCTTCCACTAACTGGTGCCATTCACCTTGACTGCACCATCATTAATACTCTGAATCAGATCCTCAATCTGCTCAACCGTCTTCTCCGGAATCTCTAGGTCTGGAAAATGTGTTTCTCCCTCCAGATCGGCATGTGAAAAAAAAGGATGTTTTGATGCAAAATTCTCGTGTAGTGATCGATACTCAGTATTTTGGCGTGGATGCGAAAAGATATGCCGGATCGGCGGTGGGTTCTTGATCTTGCTCATTCTGTCCATTGGACTCCCGTGTGCCTTGTATGCCGTAGCGATGACCCGACACGAAAGGGACCACATCGGATATCCAAAGCTTCCCATATTGTAGTAGAAATGGTCGTATACGGCCTTATTCGTGCTGCCGGAAAGCCAGTGCTCGAACAACTCCTGGCGAGCCCTGAGCCAGGTGTCTTTGCCCTGCATGGCCTGCAGACCTTCTGCAAATGCTGGGGGAGGTGGTGTCATAATTTGATCGATCATTAAGAGGCATAAGACTTTGTCCTTGCCTAATCGATCGGCAAGTTCGAGAGCTGGCCAGCCACCGTGCGAGTGAGAGACCAAGTAGAATTCATTAACTTCCAATGCTGAAAGGAGGCCAATAACGTCCTGTACTTGTTCCTCAACTCCAAAGTCGGGTATATCGTTGCGGTTTGGACCATGCCCACGCCAGCACATCCGGATCACACGGTATGTCGGGACAAGTAGTGGCAGCATTTCATCGTAGAGGCCCATATCGTGTGCCCATCCTGTTAGAAGTACAATAGGCGGTCCTGATGTATAGCCAGACTCATCGTAGGCTATCTCGATGCCGTTAATGGTTTTGGTGAGCATTATTTTTGACTTCTTGATAGTCTCTAGTGAATCGTGATAAGGCGGAAGAGATAGAGGTCCACCGTACCTGCGTCTGTATTGAGTCCTTACATAGGTAGGCTTAGGCAGTCCTACTTATCTGTACTCCCGCCATCTTGCACAACTTGTTTGTCGGGCCGGTGGTGACTGTTTGGCAGCAAGTAGCGCATTGGCGGTGGCGCCAAATTATCGTTGAAGCTAAGCGAGAACTCTGAATGCCATACAGTTCAGTCGGCTACTTACCTCCAAGGTTTGGTTTTAAGTCGGCGACTTGCTGCTTCCCACGGTTGCCATGCCCCCTAAGGATGGGACCCCTCATTTCTAGGCAGTCTTGTCACAAAATGGAAATCTATATCAAAGATGTTGAGTCTACTGTATAGAGTAAGCCAATAAATGCCTAGAAGCTCATTTGAGTCTTGTCTGAAGTCCCTTGTCACACGTCCGTAAAGGTGACTGCTTATCAGTTGTCAGTTGTGCTGCCTAACAATATGGCTTCAACTCCCTCAAAACCTATCATTGTGATTGGTGCTGGTCTTGTCGGGCTCACACTCGCGCAGGGTTTGAAGAAGGCTGGCTTTCCTTTTGAGATATACGATAGAGACACATCACTCAATGCAAGACCGGCCGGATGGGGCATAACAGTTCATTGGAGCTTACCCTCATTACAGGCATGTCTGCCTCAGGAGCTATATGATAAGATACCTTCTATTCAGGTTGATCCTGCTGCGGGTGATCGAGGTGAGCCATCCTCGTTGCATTTGATAGAAAAGTGGCCTAACAACACGCCCATTAGCACACGACTACTACCGATTTCTAGATCTTGAGACTGGCAAAGATAAATATGCCATGCCATCGGGTCATCACTATCGTCTCAATCGACAGAAGTTGCGCCAGCTGCTGTGCATAGATATTCCCGTGAAATGGGGACAATATTTCAAGTCTGTCGAGCTGAGAGAGGATGGAGTAGTCGTCCATTTTAATGATGGCCACTCTGTCGAAGGCTCCATGCTGCTAGGTGTTGATGGCAAGAACAGCAGGATAAAACGCCAGCTGTTAGGAGAGGAGAAATCACGACTCAATCCCTTACCTGTCGCCTTCATGGGCTTGACTTTGCAACTCCCACCGAAGAAAATGCAGCCTTACAGGGATATCCATCCTGTATTGTGGCAGGGTTGCCATCCAGGCTCTGGCTATTTTGTCTTCTTCTCCATGTTGTCAACGCCCGAGAGCAATGGTAGCGCCAAAACTGAGAACCCCTACTACGAAGGTCAATTCAACATGAGTTGGTTGACGAAGAAGCACGGGCAAACGCCCAAAACACCAAAAGAACAATTAGCAAAAGCGAAAGAAGCTGCTTGTGCGTCAAGTGGAATGTTCCCACTACTTCGGCAGGCGATTCTCGACATTCCTGAAGACACCCCTGCTCTGGAGATAGTACTGGAAGACTGGCCTACCCAAGCTTGGCCGTTGAGTGAGGGTAGAGTGACACTTCTTGGGGATGCAGCGCATACCATGACAATGTGTGAGTCTATCCGTTTCCAAGTGTTTTCTTGTCTTAAGCAATCCACTGAATCAAATTACACAGATCGTGGGGAAGCAGCCAACCACGGAATGTATGATGCGGCTGCACTCGTGCACCAGCTCAACCAGTGGCGGAGGGGACTCAAATCTCGTCAGGAAGCTCTCAAGGATTTCCAGACCGAAGTCGTTGAGCGGACACATGAAGCAGTACTTCTGAGTAGATTTGCGTGCCTGGAGTGCCATGATCTTGAAAATCTCCGTGATGACAGCCAGGTCTTCCAAGTCTCAGGATTCAATGCAAGGGTTAAGGAAGAGAGGGCGGTATTCGACTTGACTCCAGGTCCTACACCAATGCCAGCAGAAATTGTAGCATGACTGTAGCTGTAATTTAGGTTTTGACTGTAGAGATAGGAGAGCTGATGGATGGAAGTGGGCATCCACAGCAGAGTCAACATCAAGTTAATTGTCTAGCCTAACAAGAGAGCAAGACGGGGAGTCCGAAGTTGCAGTGCTTGTCATGTCACGTGAAGATGCTTCCTAGTTATTTTGTCTCACTGATGCAAGCAAAAAACGTAAACTACGTTAGTCGCCCCTGGACACTCTACTCCGGTTATTTGGGATGCAGGCGTGGAAGGATGCTGAATGAGATAGGGCATGTGAAGTCTAGAAATTGCCATTGCCGAAACGCCGACTCATCGTAGTGTGAATAACATGACCCAAAGCACTTCACTAGCAGATTTCGGATGCAGTCCTTAACATCATCACAAAATCTCGGCCCTTACCCTTGTTCTATCGCGTGGATTTCTGAACATTTTGCCAAAGATTTACGAATTGTGCCGCTCTAGAATTTAATTGTGCAAGAGAGTCCAAAATGGAGCAGTCTAAGTCAACAATTATCAGAACACCGTCCGGACCATGTGTTGTCAACAAGGATGAAAATCTCATAGCTGCACATGGCATCCCATACGCTGGTGCATCGCGCTTTGAGCATCCAAGACATCTGCCAGCGTGGACAGAACCGAAGGACTGCACAGAACTCCCGCCGATGTGCCCACAGCTGCCATCACGCCTAGAGTCTGTTCTAGGGCCTATCTCCGCAGGTAGACGTATGGACGAGGACTGCCTACACCTTAGCATCTTCGCTTCTGCAAGCACCAGCCAAGCTCCCGTGATGGTATGGTTACACGGAGGTGCATTTATTAGTGGCAGTGGTGACCTTGATTGTTACGCGCCGATCAGTCTTGCCAGAGACCATGGGATTGTTTGCGTCAATATCTCATACCGCCTCGGTGTATTTGGATACCTCATGATTGACGGTATTTCACCCGCCAACTTGGGCTTGCTTGATCAACGATCGGCCTTACAATGGATCAAAGCCAACATTTCGAGTTTTGGCGGCGACCCGGGCAAAGTCACTATCGTGGGACAATCTGCAGGGGCAGACTCTATCATATGCTTACTCGCTGCAGACGACGCGGAAGGTCTTTTTCACCAAGCTGTTCTGATGAGTCCTCCATTGCGAGAGATCCGTGAACGAACTGCCACGATTGACTTGCTTGCACGTCAGGCAACAAACCTGTTGACCGTCGATCCACGCAAAATGTCTACATCTGAGCTATTAGGTCTTCAGAAAAATATCTTGTTGAACCCAGTCCGGCTACAGATTATGCCTTTTGGGCCTGCAATCGGCCACTATCCTCTGCCGGAGGAAAAAGACCTGGATACTCGGCTCAACCGCCGTCTCAAGAACATCCCAATCATGATTGGATGGACTAAGCACGATGGACGTCCGTTCGCCAGCTGGATGGGCCCCCTCAGGTCCCTGTACAATCTGCCTGTGTTCGGTCAGATTCTGGAGTCACTAGGTACTTGGTGGGTGACCAAAAGCTACTTTGCCTGGCCATCGGCGGAATTTCGCAGGCAGGCCGAGGATCACGCTGGTGGCAGGGCCACAAGTTATGAGTTCCGGTGGCATCCGAATGGGAGTCAACTCCAGGCAAATCATTGCATCGATATCCCTTTTGTCTTGGGCCAGTTGGGCGCGTGGGAAGATGCACCTATGTTAAAGGGTCCTGGGTCGAAGGAGGAATTAGACAGATTGGGTCAGCAAATGCAGAATTTGTATGCCGGGTTCATCCAAGGACGCAGCTTGAAACCAGGGCATCTTGTCATTGATAAGGGTTTTGAATGCTCAGACAGTCTCTGGCAATGACAGTACTCGTTATCGAAGCAGAGTCCGCACTTCATTCCACAAAATAGCGCACTCCATCTGATACCATGGTAGGGGAAAATGCGATTCAATACAGATAAATAAGTATTGCTCGGACCATCGCCTTCCAATTTTCCCGGATGCAAAATCCAGACATACCCACATATCGCCAAGGTATGATATGTGGAAGAGCAGACATAGACTTTCTCACGTATGTGAGAAGAGAAACGAAACAAAGGGGCTCGCTGACGTAGTTACTGCTCATAACTTTTGTAAGACCAGCACCAAAACAAAAACCCCTCACGCGCACGAATAAAACATTATCATTGCGGCCAGCTCTCTCGGGACGCGTGGATGCAAAAGCGGCGTCTGGGATAGTCATTCAAAAAGCTGTGAGCGTGAGCAGTATTCACAACAGCTTTTCCATGAGACAAGGACCGAGCCTTCAGACCTTAGGATTGGGGAGCCTGCTGTCGACACGTACAGTACTTACCTAACCTTAGGCACGGGGTAGCTAAGTAGCTGGAGCCTTCAGGTGGCAGGTTGGGGTGGCTGGGCACTCCGGGGGTGGCGCTGGGCGGTGCACCCCAATGATGCTGTAAGCCTGTAACATTTTCTTGACAGGCACCCATGGAGGTTCGGGATCGCAGGGAAATATCTCGCGCGCGTCACTTAGGCAAGACGCATCTGACTCATGGACGCCTGTGGTTAACGAATCTTCAACTCGTCCTCTCGAAGTCTGATGGAAACATGTAGGTGCGTAACAACAAAGGCTTATTGTTATTTTACTTGGGAGGGACGTGAAAAGCCGAGACATATGTTTATGGAGAAATCGCCCGGCTATCGACTGAGAACCGCTGCTCATCACCTCCATGCTGTATCAAGCAGGTAGGCGTCTGCAGGCGAGGCCGCCTCATGGGCGCCACGTCGAATGAGATTCCGTCGCATCAACAGACCTCCAATCATGTTTCAGCGACTGGCGAGGTCAGCCAGACTGGCCTGGACCTTCACGACATGAGGTCTACTTGACCTGGCCAATCGCTTGTATATGTTCGCAAGACCTTCGCAAGGCCAAGCCTGCAACTTCGACTCTCTTTGTTGGAAATTCCAATCTTGAATCTTCTCAGCCTTGTCCATGCTCCAGTGCTCTCTTCCTCAGCAATTGACCTAGACATCCTTACCCATGACATCTACAAGCCCTGCAACGTCCGCAGTGGCACTGCAGTGGTCGCTTAATCAAACAACAGATTCTGCGTTCTCGATCGCAAAAGGAGTCCTTCAAGCTGCTACCACTGATGATGTCCAACCAGTAGCTATCATGGCGGCTGAGGCATTTGGTGCGACTCTTGCCATGTGTCAGGAGACTCAAATGAAAGTTGAGATTGCCGCAAAACAAAGCCATACAAGATTTGTTAGGTTTCTGAAAAGCAGTATTGGATACTCCAAGGACGACTCGGCTTATCATCTTGCATCCTCATCGGCTGGTGTGCGCTTCCTCGGTCTCGCTGCAGCCTTACTGTGCTTTGGGGACACCTTCAGAGCAGCTCAATCACTTGAGATGATGATCAGATCATCTGCTGGAGCTGATCAGTTTCTGCCCACCGCGAAACAGCTCAAGAAGCTGCTTCTCGTGCTAGAATACAAATTGAATAGAGTCGGGTTTGGCGACAGCATTTTGGGTTGGGGTACATTTCTCATGAATCACCCACTAGTCGATCTCGAGTACAAGGAAATCCTCGGACAAGCCGAACACAGTCCTTCTCTCGAGTTCCTTGAGAGATTGGTCGACGCCTTGAGGAGTCTTGATCGTCTAGGAGATGTCTGGCAAGTGAGGATCAAGACTTGTCCCGACTGTCAATGGGTAGTCGCGTTTATCAAATGGTGTATGGGAGAACCACCCATGATAATCCTCGAAAACGGATCTGTTCTGGTTGACCAAAAAAATCTCCGAGTCGCCCTGCTTATTTCGAAAACTGTGCGCCCAGGTCGATCCGAAATCGAGGTGTTCCACAACCTCGGGCGCCCAAGCCAACTCTGGTGTACCGCTTCAAAGGATTTTCCAATACGATGGAGTGGTTTGGTAACCATTGAGCATGTATACGAGTGGCTACTTGCCTATGCTCACTGGCAAAGTGGCGACAGTACACTATACCAGGCTGTCTGCTGCTTAGTCAACACTGTAACACATGCCGTACGCATGGCCCCAGAGTCTACGTCCGAGGTGAATGGGATAGAAATTGCACACGGCAGCTCTAAGCCTTCATATCAGCGGACTAGCATGTACCCGGATGATGCATCGCTTCATGCAAGCCTTGCAAAACTTCATCAGAACTTCGAGGCTGATGTCGATATCTGTAGTTTCCAAAAGCTGAACGCTGGTCAGAATCTTCAAGGCTTGACCTTTGTGACAGAGTATGTCAAAGAACTCAATTGTTGCTGCTCAGATTGCGGTGGTCCTCATAATGAGCAGAATAGCGCTTTGCAATGTCGGGTGCAACGCTTTGAAGAATCAGTCGTAAAAATCGCGACACTGGTGATAGTGCATGCACTGTTTGAATACACAGAGCCCATGTTTGTTGTCAAACGATTAATCAACCACAAGCTTTCGATATTCGAGTTGCTTGAAATCATCATCTATAATGGCGACTTCGACTTCAGCCCTCTTTTCAAGACAGGAACATTGCTCGCCGATGCGCTAGTGATGATGGGCGGTCGACGTTTGGAATTCGAAAAAGAACCCTCTGGGTGGATTGCCACAGAAATTCATGGTCAAGTCGCATACTTTGCGGCTTTTGAAACCATGCAGATTCAAGATGATGGGGTTTTCCACCTCAGTGTAAGCCCCGGCAAAATACTCTACAAAGGCAACAATTATGACAGTGTCTATAGCCCGGACAAAGTGCGATTGTTCCGGACGGAAGGCTTCATTAATTCGCCGGTCGACAAAGTATTAAAGTGCAGCCATAAAATGAAACTCAGTTGGCATGTTGCTGAAATGGAACACTTGTTGTCACTCGCTTGGAGTGTCAAAGAAAACGACACGGTGCAGTATGCCGCCTCTAGGTTGCCCGAGCTTCTTGACGGTTCCATCATAGTTGCCGGCTGTCCACATCCAGAGACAAGTGTACTACCCGAACCAGATGCCAAATGTCAATTTGTCGAGCCCTCATGGCCCGCCCTTGACTGCAGACGAGACGAGCATATCTGGATCGTGCCAGTGGCTGGGGATGAGGAACTTCGCTTATTCAGCTTCTTCAGTTTGGGAGAAGCCTGTGTTGTTCGTGGGCGCGGAGTCTGCCTTGCATGCTGTTTGGCTGCTTGTCGCCGATTTGATCTGCCGTATCTTGTCCTCTAATTGATATGGCTTCCAGCGAAGGTGATGACAGAAGCCGTGGAGCCGGGTTTCATAGCGGCGTGATTCTCCTCCACTGGTTGAACAGACAATTGGCTAGTGTCTAAGTGAAACTCCAGGGGGTTTCCCAGCAGTATATTGTAATGGTTGTGCTTGTGCGCTGATTGACACTTGATAAGAATAGCATGTCTTCATATATCGTTAAATCCAATGCATGCCCTCTTCAGTCCCTTCTCTGCTACCGCACAAGCCCACGCTCTACCCGCTTCTCCTGTGAACAAGCCCACAAACCCATCACTCCTACCAGCCTCTTCCAACCACCCCTGGCTCTCAAGAACCTCACTCGCTGACAACGCCATGAAATGCTGGAATCGTTCATCGTCATCGAAAGCCAACGCATTCCCGGGAGTCCCATGGCAAAGACATGGTTCTTTCGCCAAAATTCCACGCCTCCACACATCACTTTGTGCTTCAGCGATGGCAGTATTGACCTGGCCTTCTAATGATGGGAAGTGCGGTCGGATGGATCTCAATGCCATGATTGCTCCAGGTCCGCCATGGCAGAACTGTACGAGCTTGTCGGAACCCACTGGTGTGGAAGAGGGAAAGTTTCCGCTGGTAAGTTGTGTCTTGAGGAGCTGGCAGAGAATAGGTTCGAGAGATGAGGCAGAACTTGGAGCCGACAGTGCAATCTGGCAGATTGTCCCAAATGTCCCATGTGCGGCGCCGAGATAGTGCTTGCCATGCCACATCCAAGGTTGCTTCGAAGCCAGAATACGCTGAACGGTCGCTTGTACGGTCTTCTCGATCATCGTCAGTGTCTTCGAGTCATTCTCAAACCCGCTACGCGCCAGGCGTAGTAAGTAGAGATACCCAGCGCGCCCATGCAGCCATTCATTCGAGCCCTCAGCATCACTGCTATTCACAATACCTTCATAGGAGCAAAGCTTCTGCACCAGGCTCGGATCCTCCTCCATGACAGCACGCAGTGCAAGCTGAGCCAGAACCTCTGCCGCAATACCACAGTGATTCGCGTCCACGCTATGCTGCTTACCAAAGATCCCCAGGTCGAGGTACGCTTGAGCCCAGTCTAGCAGTGACTGGCCTTTGAAGTTGAACTCCGGTCCATAGATCTGTCCGAGTCGGTAGAATAGGTATGCCACGGATGTGGGACCTTGGTAGAATCCACCAAAGTTCCAGCCTGTCGAGCACGTTTGCACTGGTGGGTTGTAGGCATTGATTCGTGTTAGGGATGCTAGAAGCTCTGCATGTGCATCTGCTTGTTTGAACGGCGGGGCGGAGTTTTTGATATATCTTGTTGCAGAAGTACCCATTCCTTTAACGAGTGCTCTGCATCCAAGTTATTATAAGACAGTGAATTTGGAACAAGTGTATCTGGAGATTTTGACAATTATTTTAAAATTCATACAGCAATGCTTGATGATGTTGTCGTTGTTTTTTTTAGCACGCGAATGTAGCTAAATCGTTCCAGTGCTGATGAACTTACTCATCGACTGAATATCCGGCTGCCGAGGTGACTAGATCAATGCACAGTAGATAACGGTTTGAGTGTCAGCTCTTGTGATCATGTTGAGAATCCTACTCTCCGTTCTGGCTGCCTACGCGGATGACTGATTTCATTCACCGCCGACGATGCAAGAGCCCGGTTTTCAGTATCTCATCTGGAATAGCTGGTGATATGGAATTTAGAACAACTTGGTGTGCAGTCAACTGAGGTTTGAAGGTGAGGAAGAATGAGAACGAGAAAGAAAGCGGGAAAGTTACCACGCGCAGGATGTTATCGATAACGCCGAAAGCGTGTCAGCCCTAACGGGACGTATATCCGGAGGCTCTCAGCGGCATGCCCCCCCACCGACGCAGCATTAGGCTACCAATATTCCATATCATCCTATGAAATTTGAGTTAAGGGCACATTTACAAAAGCAGAGTAGTTAGCTGGATAGCTGATATAGATTCGCTTCTGGTAACAGCCGCACCTTAAATAAATGCAGATCCCCGCTCAAATTCTGTGTAGGGCAAAGGGTCTGCTGTGCCACCCACTTCTCTAGGATCTCTCCGATCGCGCTGCATCCGCCTTGCGAGGTTAATTATGCCTGGTATTACAAAAAGCAAACGGTTGATGAAATTAGAACATTCTCACTGAGTTCAGAGTTGCCCCACTGAGGACGCACTTCGGCTCGTCAAAGGCGGCAACAACGGTGCTCGCACGAGGCTGACAAAATAGGGGTAAGGACAGGTGATTATGCTAAGACCACATTCACCTCATCTTACGAGTGGAAAATTGCAGTTCCAATCATAGCCACCATAAGCATAGAGTGTGATAACTTAGTTCATTGGCAAATATCAAAGGAACTCAGAGGCACCAAGCGCCCTGCACCCAGAGCTACCGGCTACTCAGCGGTTCTCAAATTCTTAGATGCTTTATGCTGCATCTTGTTGAAATAATACTGACCACCGACTTTTAGACAGGACACCAAAACATACCAAGAGGGTCCCAAGTGTATTTGATCTCTTTGATTTCTGCAATCTTGCCTCGGCTGTAAAGCTCCTCAAGATCCATATCTGGACGCTGGTTGTTTGGAATGGATTTGGGTGGTCCAGCCGAACCACTCCTCACAATCCTCAAGAAATTATCACCAAACTGTTCCACCGCTTGCACACTTTCTTTCTTGATGGACCATCGCATAACATTGGCCACCATACTTTGAGTACGATGCTCGAAGAATTTGCCACGACCGGGTTCTGCCTGTCCATTTCGGATGATTGCTTCGGTGTTCCATCTGTTGAACACCAAGGAAGTTGGGTATGCATCGAGATGTCGGTCACCTAGTTGAAGCCACAGATCAAAGGCTTCCTGGATGGCCTTTGCATCGATCGATTCCAAAAACGTACTGGAGAAACCTTTATGCCCGCCATTTATACTCAACGGTTTTAGTGGGAGGTTGATATCTGCGAGAGAGACCAGTTCTGTAACTGACTCGAGAGCACTTGTGATGAGCTCCTCGTCAAAGAGGCTGGCGGCCGCTACTTCCCCTTCCTTGCTAGGTCCAAAATAAGTACCAGTTATCATGGTAATTGGAATACCTGGGGCCTCCGATGTCGGTGGGCTCCTCGTGCACACCATAGTCATTGTCAGAGCTGGTGGCACCTGGTGCATCACAGCGAATGTTCTAGCAGCAATCTCAATTGCATTCGCAGGCAATATGACGCGCCGTGTCCAGATATTGTTGTTGTTGTCTAAGTGCAGGTTGGAAATGCGGAATGCTTTCATGACCACGGATGTTATCACTCCAAAGCCAAAGCCAGCACCACAAAGCACGTTGAAGAGGTCCCTTTCTTTCCCGGTTGAGAACGGACCAACCTCGAGCTTACTGCCATCGGCCGTGATTAACTGTATCGACACGACTGCGTCAACCATATATCCGTGCAAACCGTTCATGGTGCTGGAACCTCCGCCAAGGAGACATCCCACATATCCCACGGCATCAGAATTCGGCCACAATGTATAGTATCCAGCTTTCGTGATCGCCTTCATGACTGCTGCTGTTGTGGCACCTCCTCCGATTCGAACCGTCTCGGACGACATGTCAAGATCGACATGGTTGAATCGACTCATTTTCATGTACAGGGTTTTGGAAGTAATAGGAACAAAAGGTCCGCAGGTGCCGTTCGCGACTACCAGAATAAGTCCATTTGTCTTTGCGAATTTGATTGCGTCAACAATGTCTTCGTCAATTTCTGGCTCTAAAATCAACGCGGGAAGCTCGACTGAGGTTTCTGACCATCGAGGTACAATATCAAGCAGAGCTTGATCAGACCTTGGGACAACCGCCTTGCACTTGAAAGCAGCAGCCATTGAAACCTGAACTCCCAGGCAGTTACTGTTATATCCTCTAAATAGTGATTTCAATAACGGGATCAAGACAGTTCTTGAGCTGTAGGTGTATATGTTGGCTCAGTCCACTCGGCGTCCTGCTTATATCATATACAGCAGGTAGGCAGGCTAATAGGAAAGCCCTTAAAAGCCATATCTTGCCGCCATGCTTCAAAAGTGACGAAAGGAGTCCTCTAGCATCACGTTTTCTCTAGCTAATACTGGTTCACTCAAACTTATTGGTGGAGCATATACCATTTACTGCGAGATAAACTCGGTGACATCAGGTAATCAGGATTTTTTTCCATCGGGGGCTCTTTCGCCCATAGGGCTGCAAGCTTAATAATTGCAATAGTTTTGACCAATATGAGGGTGTTGTCTAAGACACAATGCATTTGACGTTCTGGATATCCGGCCATTTACTCCTATAAGGCGCTCGGAAGCTGGATTTCAAGTCGGCATTCTCCACTCTATTACAAATCTTTACCGCGACGGGTGTAATCCAATTATGCGGCGGGCATTGAGCCACCAGGAACCCTCAATCGATATACATGTGGGGGTTGTTCGGCTTTTCCCCATCCTACACACTACAAGGTGTAGTAACCTTTTCCAATGGCTCAGAACAGACTATTGCGATCGGCCCCTAATACAGCGCTGTGTTCGAGCAGGCTGGCGATAGCGCCGAGGTCAGTGTCAAAGATGGTGTTAACGAGGGCGCAAGCTTCATTCTATTTGCAGGCGCACCGTTGGATCAGAAGATCGTACAGTAAGGACCCTTTGTCACTACGAGCGATGAGGCTAGTCACCAAGCTTTAATGGACTTCCAGACTGCGAAAAACGGGTTTGAGAGCGCCAAGAACCGGAAGAGTCGAATAGGAAAGAGTATGGATCGTACTTGATTTTGTTCACTTCGTACCAGCGCAAATTGATGATTTCTTCTTATTTGTGAGGGCCAATTAGAAAGTGCTGGCAGGCTTCGACCAGCTTATCTAGCCTCTCTTCCCCCACTAACTCAACTAGGTCGTTCTTACGACCTGTTGATGCGGGATTGCCGTCCACGACATATTTAGATTGGTCAAGGTCACCTTCCATGGGTGCATAGTAGACCATTGCGTTTGATTGCCCACCAGGCTCACATGCGGGCCACGGATCATTGCCGTTGACGAATGAGATCAAGTCCTTAGAGAATCGTAGTGCACATTCCTCCTGACCCTTATCAAGATATTGTGCATAGTTCTGTAGCACAAACATAATGTCCAAGGCATGAGTAGCGTGACCCTGCCATGGCCCTTCCCACGGATTCGGGCAATTGAAATGATAAAGGTACGCTTTAACCCCAGGGCGGGGAGAGGTAGCCCATGCTTGTGCTAAATAGCGTGATGGAAGGGAGAATAACACGTCCGCGAGAAGTTGGACAACCGACCTTGTTGTTTCTTGGGTGTTGCATGAGGCATCAGCGTCCAGTCCATAAGCCGCCAGCATTCCAAGAGTTATGCTGGGGTCAGTACGGTCAAATTCCATGCCTAGGGATTCAGCTAATGCCTGCGGTAGCACATCGGTCCTTGTCTTGACTCGAGTGTAGAATCCCATGCCCTGGAAAGGGGAATTTAGTGATATTCTTTGGGTTAGAGCACAACTTACGTCCATCTGACAGTCACCCATCACAAGTTTCTTGCAATGCAGCATGGCCGGAAAAGAATCTTCAAAATCATGGGGTTCAAGCAATTCATTGAACCTCGTTATCTTGCGAATGAGATCGCCATCGAACAATGGCCCCACAGGTAGTACTTGGGCAGCCAAGTCACTCTGTGGTGCTTCTAGCAACTTCTGGAGCTTAGCATCGGGTGAGACGTCCTCAGCACCAAAAGCTGCAGCGGCCAATGAGAATGACTTTTCGAGCATCACCATAGGTCTCGGTTGTATGAATGATGATCCACTCATGGAAACCATCTGAGAAAAGAGCGACTCGGATGATTGCAAATGAAGCCAGCCAGCCACTTTTGGCGTCAGCCTCAAATATCAGATAATGCTAAAGGAGTTCGTACCAGCTCCCGCGCTTTCCCCAACGAATGTCACACGGTTTGGATCGCCACCGAAGCCAGAGATGTGCTGCTTGATCCAGCGGAATGCAAGTCTTTGGTCATCAAGACCATTGTTCGGCAAGTAGCCGTGCTGTGCCATCACTGATGAGTGCATGAAACCCGCGGCGCCAGTACGATAACTTTTCAAGCATCAAATTTAGCAGGAGTATTCTGGCTGCAATAACAGGACCTAGATGGACCAAGAACAAACCTGATTCCCACGGAGATCATGGGCATACCCGCTTCAACGCTCAGTCTTGTAATTGCAGCCAAGTCATATTGGGGATAAACTGTGCTGCCTGTCACCCAACCACCACCATGCACGAAGGTGAAGACCGGTAGGCCATTGGAGTTACGGACGACTGCTGGTACACTGATATTGAGCGTCAACCCTTCCGTATCCGACTGTTCGCACGGTGTAAAAGGAATGCTTTTCTGAACGAAAATAGATTGCTCCAGTGCACACGCATTTGGAGGATTCAGTGGGATAGGTCTGGGAGCAGAGATCAGTGACTACATTTGTACCCTGCAGCCGTGCTTTACCTACCCACTCTTCGTTGCGTCAAAAACACTTGCAACGTTATTACCAGGCATGCGTGTCAAGGAGCGGAGTAGAACTCCACGAGAGAACCTGTCTTTCAGAGTGGCATATTGGATACCTAGAAACTGGACAACCTCCTCTGATTTCTTGACACCAAGAATACTACCCAGTAAAGGATGCTCGATCGTAGGATCAGCCATTCTTGATTTTCTAGCGGTCATAGGTATTTTCTGTCGTTTGAAGTTACGATCCCAGCACACATTTATCCATCGAAGCATCCTACGTGCTTCTACTAGCGTGGTTGTAACATCACGGGCCTGCAGCAGGCTTTCTGCGTGGCATATCCATTGCCTATGTTTTTTCCACATATCAGCCTTCACACTAAGCCTTGAGGTGCGTACGACGTTCTCAGCAGAAGGGTAATTCCGCAATAAATCCGCTCTACCCATTCAGAGCTTTTCTGCCACTAGTGCCTTGGCTAATGTTGCGGCTTTGTATTGAATCTAACCCGACCGACCGTTACCTCTCGAAAGTGTTTGCACCAATCGAACAGCCAATTCATCAATTCTTATGACGCCGAACTCGGAGTTGACATCTCTATCAGGCGGCTCTCAAATGATTGAATGGGTGGCAGATTTACCGTCTAGAAAGATCTATGGGAGCTAAGCAAGACGTTATGAGCGGTTGATAGTACTCTTCGAGCAGTATTTCCATCTAGTTGGTGCGGCAATCCCGCCTAGACGGAAGATTGCTTTACACGCCACCACTCTAGAGCATTTCTACCTCTGCTTGAGCTTTAATTAGCTGACACTTTTGATATAAGAGTATTTGCATGGAGAAGTAGTCGAGTCTGGTAACAGGAACTATCCACAACCACCTTAGGAAATATTATAGGCCTCAAGAAGAGGATAGAATGGCAATGATTTCTCCAGAAGCCACAGTCAATGGTATCAACAGCAGCAACGGCAAGCTGATTGCGCCAGAGAAGATAGCACATTTTGGCCTGCGAACAACGCCTGAGAATTTCGAAAAGATGGTTGACTGGCATCTCAAATTCTTCGCTGGAAAGGTAGTCCTCAAAACGGACCATGCTGCGTTCATCAGGTTTGACGATGAGCATCATCGGATCGTGATTATTGCGGATCAAGGGCATCAGCAGCCCCCAGATAAGCGAGCGGCATGTGGCATCTATCACATTTCTTTTGCTCTTAATACGCTTGAGCAGCTGGCCACGAGCTACGAGCAGAAGAAGAATCAGGGAATTGTGCCTCACTGGCCTGTCAACCACGGAATCTCTACTTCAATGTACTATTTCGACCCAGATAGGAACGAATTCGAGTTTCAGGTCGATAATTTTGACACCGCGGAGGAGGCTCATGCCTTTATGGCCACAGATGAATTCGCCTTGAACCCTATTGGAGTGGATTTTGTGCCTGAGGACTTTGTTCAGCGAGTAAGGAGTGGAAGTGAAACAGATCAAGAGCTCAAGAGAAGGCCCATCATTGGCAAGAGAGGAACTCGATGGGAAAATTCACTATTCTTCAAGGAGGAGAATAAGTGGGATAACTAGGCATGGTAACTAGCACTTAGCTGAGCCTGATGTGAAAGTCAGGCTCAATGAGGCACATAAACCCTCACTATTAGTGGATCATTGATGCTCATTTTTAATTGCTGTGCAAGACGGGAGTGCTTCAATATCAAATAGCCCACGAACAAGTTAATCTCCGACAGGTTGAGGTGGACAGTGTTGACAATGCACAAACCAGTATCAAACATTGCATATTCTTATTGTTTCCAATCAGCAGAAAAGCCACTCAAGGAATGATCGTGACCATGACCACCTAGAGATACTAAGCAAGACAGTGCCCTTCGTTGCAGATTTTATATAATTCTGTGTTCCACGCCCTTCTTAAAAGTTATGCGATTGCGTCGCTTGCTTTCAGATTGAAGAGCCTCTCTGCATTCTTCCATCCCACTGTCGCCCTAGTGTGCTCACTAATCTCTAAGGTGTCAAACCAATGAGAAACTTCATCATAATCCTCGTATGGGTAGTCGGCACTCCATAACACACGGTCTTCACCACAATGTTTCAAAGTCTGCGCGAATGCTCCATCACTAAAAACACCCGATGTCGTTACCCAGAAGTTCCTTTCCCAGTAGTCCTGCATCCGCAACTTGCAGTGAAGCAGGCCATCTTGAAAATGACGGATTCGATGATCAATCCGATAAAGTGAGAATGGAAGACCTTCGCCACAGTGACCGAGGATGACTTTTAGGCGAGGATGACGGTCAAACAGCCCGGAAGCTATTAGTCGAAGAGCATGTGTAGCTGTTTCTAAACCAAAGCCCCAGGGACTACCTGCGAGGAACTCATATCCTTTATAGATGCGCATCTGGTCGGGTGGTGGAATACGTGGATGAAGGTAAAGAGGAACATCTAGTTCTTCGAGCTTAGCCCAGAAGGGCGCACAAGCTGGTTCATCAAGATACTGAATCATACTTTCCCCACCTACATTAGAATATCCGTTCACCAAAACCCCCACAAAGCCTAGCTCTTTGATGCATCGCTCAAGCTCAACAGTCGCAGCCTCAGGGTCCTGCATTGGGACGACTCCAAATGCACGAAATCTTTTCGCGTGGATTCCAGTTGTATACAAGTTGTGGATCTCGTCATTCACTTTCTTTGCCATCGATACGGCGATGGCAGGATCGAAAATGCCCTCGATTCCGGGCATCGTCAGCGAAATGATAGTCAGAGCGATGCCGGCCCGATCCATCGCCTGAACCCGAACATCAATGTTTGTGAGACGATCCTTCGTATCCGCCACAAAGTCGGGGTTCATGTAGGGGAGTTCTGCTGTGAGACTTTGCGGCGGAAGCGTTTCGGTGGGATTGAATATATTGGTGCTGATGTGCTCTTCTAGAGCTATTTTCAAGGGGGATTTGAAATGGCGTGAGTCAAAAGTTGCCCTTTGCGAGATGGTTGGGTAAGCAATCTTCGCCATAATGACTGGATATGGAAGCAACTTTGAAGCCTTTTGTAATTGGTATGGAGGAGAGAAATGGAGAAAAGCAATGATGGCCTTCACAATCCTGCTAACCCGGTTCACTGCAACCCCGAAATTCAATCTAATCACCTGAGAGTATATGTACTAGAATAGGCTCATGTTTCTCAAACGATTATGCGATCATACTTGCAGATAAACTATATCTGTGAAGTGATGGCATTCCCGCGTTCATACTGCTCACCCATCCCCAGTAGAGCACACCGCAATTAATCAGTGCGGCAAGTCCGCACACTTCAGCCGTCAATCATGGCAGATGCCGCGGTTTCAACTACAATTTTCCATCAATACGTGTATGAATTTTTTCTTGTATACATGCTATCGGTGCTGTATAGTGAAGGCTAGAGACATTTTTCGCTGTAGGAGAGGGTCCGCCTATCAATGACGAAAAGACAATCACCACCGTTGGTGTTATCGAGGTTTCAAGCTACCGGTCGTGAAGCTTGACATTAAGTCTAGTCTTCGTTTGTTTGATAGTGGAATTCGAAGCTATTAAGAGCGAAATATGAGTCACCTCAACGCTGGACAGAATTATGTTGGTATCAAGCAGTATCATGTGCTAACATGTCCGGCTGGATGTGACGCGGATGAGCTTCGCACGAAGTTCAGACGAGCTACAAAACTCTGGAGGAGAACATACTCTTCGACAGAGTTTATCCGAACTAAGTTCACAACAAGGGAACACACACTGCACGGTTCGGAGAGGTTGAGCAATGAGGCGCGGCTGTGACACGCTGGGGGCGGAGCTTGTATAATCAACTGCTTGAAGTCTGCGCTCAGGGAAGCAAAGCAGAGCACACAGACTTTGTTTCTGATCTCGCGCAGATGTTTGCAGCTCATTTTCCCGACTCGTGGGCAGAGCTCCTAATTCAAGGATTGGTGCTCTTCCAGTATCACCCCACCTCTGCCGGTCGGAGATTCGTCAGAAGAAGCAAGGCCGCACCATCGTAGGGACAGCATACGGATATTGAGCAGCTGATAATCGTACGCTCATAGAATACGAGCCAGTCGCTTACGAGGATTTCTTAACTATCTCCGCTGTCGGGATATTCAATTTCAACGTTATAGGAGATCCAGCGGAGGAAAATTTGAAACCGAAGAGTTTTTGCGAGGCACTACTATGGGAGAAAGCAACAGATCAGACTTGAAGGCAGTTGAGAGTTCGCTGGCTTGTAAGATCTACGATGAGTTCTTCTTGTATTGGGCGATCCAGTGTAAAATCATTCAAGATTGTGAGGAGCAATTAGGACTGAAAGACGTAGTTTTACCACAGGCTGGGTCAGAGACGACTTGGACTAGATCCAGTAGCAGTTATCTCAATACCTCACTGACCCCGTTACCAAGCCTCGCGTTCCTCTTATGACTGCCCCAAAGGCTCTGTGGGAAAAGCGGCCCCAGTCTTGGCATCAACTATGGCTTCAACAACAACTTGCCAATGGTCTTCCTGCTCTCAACGTCCTTTGGAGTGAACCAAATCCACTGGTCAGTATTTGATCATTGATGTTTCAAACTTTGAGCGGAAAGGAGTTCTCACGATATGGGCCTGCTGCACTTCTGAAAGCGGATAGATCTTGTGAATCCTCGCTTTCAGCTTTCCTGAGGTCAGATAACTAAGCAGCCGGCTTCCGTAGTAGTCGAACTCCTCTCGCGTCTCTAAGTAGCCAAGCAAGGTTGGCCTTACAATTTTGATGCATTTGAGTGCGAGTCGACTGCGGTTGGTGACAAACCGATTAGTGGAGAACACCTCAAACCGATTGTATCTTCACTTACTGCAATGTCAAGGGAGGCACGGGGCCACTAGCATTGCCATACCAGACAACTGTGCCTTTCCGCCTGACCACATCCAAGCTACCTTCCCAGGTATCCTTTGCCACCGAGTCATATACCACGTCTACTCCCCTACCACCCGTTATCTCTTTGACCAACTTAGGCCAATCCTTGCCTTCCTCGCTGCGATAATCAATGACATGGTCTGCTCCCAGCGCTTTGACCAGCGCGACTTTCTCTGGTCCACCCGCCGTGGCAATTATCTTTGCCCCAATGTCCTTGAGGATCTGCGTCAAAAGAATGCCCACACCGCCAGCACCGGCATGCAGCATCACCCAGTGGTTCGCTTCAACTTTATATGACTCTTCGACGAGAGTAAGTGCTGTCAGGCCCGCAAGACCGCAAGAAGCAGCAACTTCTTCCGAAACCGCATCTGGCAGCTTCAACGTCTTCAGTGCCGGTACCGCCGTGTACTGCGCGTATCCTGATGTTCCTAGCCAAAGCACACGATCGCCAACGTGGATGTCATATTGTTCGGTGTTTGGACCTAGAGCCATCACCACACCAGCGCCTTCTCGACCAAGAATTTCAGGCTTTGTAGAGGGATAGAAGCCTGTTCTGAAGTATGTATCAACGTAATTGATGCTCGAAACAGTATTCTTGATCAAGACCTCGCCAGATTTAGGTTCGGGAACTGGTGCATGAGTCTTGTATTGCATGACTTCGGGTCCTCCTGTCTCTGAGGCAAGTACGGCAGCTTGGACCCTTGGAATCGCCATATCTCGAGTTTGCATATGGCGGCCGTCGTTATGCACGACGAATTAGCTGTTGGAAAAGACGCACAAGATACAGTTGTGGAACCGTCGACAGTGTTTGTCGTCGAATTGGTAAAAAGTTATCCTGGCTGACCAGATCTGAGTATCGCGTGATTATCGAGCATGGGATCATAAGACACATGTCGTCCCACCTGATGCCCAATATGCTTCTAAGCATCTGATGCTACATGGGCACCTTACCAAGTCCCATGGACGGTATGGACACGAGGAGCCATTCTTGGTAGATGCTTTGGTCCTCACGGGACATACCACGGAATTACCGCAGAGGAGCCGCTTACCATAGGAGACTCGTTAGCTTCTGGACTTGTCAACGGTTTTGAGCGGGAGGTCCGGCTAGTTCCCAATTAGGCTCTCCTACTCCGCTCCATTTTCCAATCCCGTTGAATCCCAACATACAAGGACATGGCTGAGTAAATTCGTAGCGCAGGAGATTGGAGTTCCTGACTTGACTATTGAAAATGATTCAGCATTTAAGTCTCCTCGACTCACGCTGCCATAGATGAAACGATGACGCAGACGTCTGGAGAAGCCTTGAGTGTTGTGGCCTGTGTTGTGGAGGATGACGTAGTGGCCTATGTACCAGTCTTTCAAGTCTTTCTTCTCTAGTCCACGATACATCGATTATATGCTCATGGTGCGGTGCAAACCCACCTCCAATGTGTCATAGCTCTTGGATCTGCTCGAAGTCCATGGCTGAGTTGAACACTATCAGCAGCCAGACAGCCGCGACTGTAGGGGCTTTCATAAGTCCAACATGTGTCTTGGTGGAGGTGAACCATTCGATCTACGAGCGCCTAAGGTTGGGAAAACCACAGATAGAAATGCCCAGAACGGCCAAACTTGTTCAATATTGGCTCTATACATCATTGAAAGATAGTTGAAACGTGGAGCAAGGGAGACCTCGATCGATTAATAGAACCAAGAGAGTGGTAAGTTACAGTTACGTTACAAAAAGCTATCTGGCCCATCGAACTGTAGTGGAAGCGTCTCCAATTGAGATATTGGCGGCACTAGAGGCCATGACGAGTATCCATCGAGTCTACAATCCCACAAGTCATGATCTATGAGATCCGAAAATGGATCTCCCATCACGTCCTGGCCAAACGTAAAGCTGGGTGCGGACGTATTAACTGAGTCTTTTATCGTCTGTGGGGATACGTTCTTTGCGACGGCCGTGGTCGTGTCGAGTTGATTTGCCAGGGTTACTGGGTATGAGGATTGTTCAAAGCCCAACAAGCTCGTTGGCACGTAGGGTCTAACGGGTTCTGTGAACTCTTGATGGAATGGCTCCCTCAGGAGAGCCCTATCGTCACCTTCTGCTGCCTGCAAATCTTGGGTTTTTATGAGGCGCGATGCACTTTCGTGAAGCAGATATGAGGATTTTCTTGCAATCTTGCTTAACTTTTCATATCTGGAAAGGTGTTGCAGGCACAGCGTCCAACTGCGACATAAAGAGCCCGGGGGGATCTCGCCCTTCTCAAATGTGCAGAGGCGGCCCATTAAGAGTGCACTACCGCAAACATGAAGGACTGTTCGGACGCATAATGATATTAGTAACACTCTAGAGATCAATCAGAGATTATTCAACCACTTACAACTAATGTTATACCACCAACATAGAAAGGTTTCGGTGCGGATCTGAGTTGCCAGATAATTTACCAGGTCGATGGCGAGAAGCACGCATTGTGCTGCAGTACTGCGCACCAGAGAATCCTGGATGATTCCCTTCTTGGAAAGTCCGAAAACAACATCTGGTTTCTGGCGCTGCTGTTTCTGGAATAACAACTCCAGTGCAGGTTTCAAGATGAGTATTCGAGTGTGAAGGAATCTAAGCAGATACTAGTCAATATGGTATCCTAGCAACATTTAAAGACAAGTATCTGACCTGCAGTGTAACCTCCTTGCTAAGGCTGGGAAATCAAGCATGCCGAGGGACTCTGGAAGAAGGAATTCTGAGATATGGTCGCCACAGAAGTCCATGGCTGCTGGCAAAGGCTCCTGCTTTAAGTATGGGGGCAAATTACTTTGCCACTCCATTATCTTTGCATCAAGTCCCAAGATGGATTGTGTAGTCGAAGATGAATCGGAAATTAGTTCTTGCTCCTGTTCCTCTAAGACCCTGCCTAGAATTCTGTAGAGCTTTATCGTTTCCGTGTAATACTCCATGAAACTATGGAGGTCTTTCGGTTGGGCATTCGGTTTGCCCACCTTGTCGCTAAGAAGTTGATCGTCAATGGGCTCGGGCAATTTGAAGAGCTTCCTACTAGTCGAAACCAGTAATGGCTGACCAAAAGAGATAGAGATGTCCCTATATTAGAATGTTCATTAGTCCATGTCAGAGAGGAGGAGACCACCAAAAAATTGCACTGCAAATTCGATTGGTCTGATGCTGAGGTAGCATAAAGCTCGGGGATTGAGCACAGAAGGTGGGGGATACGGGGGAACTTACGTTTCCAGTATAACACAGCCATACCACACTCGTACACGCATCTCACAGTCCAACTGAGTTGAGAAGGATGGGAGAAGTCCCCTCCTGCGAGCCTCGGGGATGCTGAAATGCAAACCCATATTTTGAGCCATTCGAATGGCCAAACCCCCAATATTCCAGCACTTCGAGAATCTTTCGGTGCTTTGTAAGTAGAAGCCCATCAGTAATGCCAGTTGAACTAGCTCAATTCCCACCTCTTCATCTAGAATTCGAAATATATCTATGCTCTCAGCCAAGCGAAAATATTCTTGGGCTTGCTCAGCGTTGTGTTGCGAATCTCGAGATGCGAAAAGGGAAGCTAGAGAAAGCACGACGTTTAACGTCGAAGGAAATAGCGTGCCCTTACTCTTCTGCTTGCACAATCCTAGACACGAGGGTAGCTTTCGTGTGTTCTTCAGGGAAGTGGTATACGTTGACTCCCACAACGCATGATACTGCTTCATAAATGTCGGTTCATGTAACACAGGAAGCATACGCTGGTGTCTGGAGAAGAAGATGGCCACGAGGCTATCAGCGTGTCTTCGCAGCGGCAAGCGGCATTGCATCGCATCGAGCGCACGATCGCATTTGCAGTCAGCGTTATCATCGTTGTTGTTATCGTCAGGAGGTGTGCCGACTTGAGGTGAACCGATCGAGTCAAACAGCAGAGCTGATCTCACGCACGTGTCGGCTCTCTGGTCGATAGGAAGGTCGATCGGAGGTATGAGCTGTTCGAAGCCATATGGTTCTATACATCGCGAAGAAGCTCCGTGTCCACTTGGGTCAGACAATTGAGCTTGAGAATGGATTACGGTGGGAGTGGCATCTGAGCAATTATCATCAAGTTGAGTAAGCCTCAGGGGCTGTTGTGAGGGTTGCTGTGGTCGAGGGACATTCCTTATATGTGACACATCCTTTTCCTGTCCGTTTGGCAGTATCTCTGCTTCTTTTTCGAGTTCTTCAAGATGGGCACGCAGCGATCGGATCATACTACAGCATCACCTATCAGTGAATGAGGCATCTGGGCAAGTGCTCCTCAAGTAATTAGCCAACCTAAAGTTCCATTGCTTTGCTTCAATCTCTGCAGAGTAGACACAATCTGACTTGCGTTTCTTGCAGCCACCACAGGCAGGGAAAGCAGAATCACAACGTCTCTTTCTCGTTCTACACTCTTCACACGCCAATGTTGCCCGCTTGCGGACCATGGTCCTTTTAGAAGGCGGTGGCTCAGCCTTGTTCGGCGCATCGCCTCTGCGCTTCTGGGATGGCTGATTCATATTCGGGAGAGGAGCCAAACTTGCTACTCTATCACTATCAGAGCAGTGATGTTGAAAGAGTCTTATCCTTCCTCAATGACGCGGAAGGAAGCAGAACCCCTCAATTGCATGCGCGGGGTCCGGGGAGAAAACGAATCATGTTAGGTAATCCCATAAAAAACCGTCGCCACAAATACTCCGAGTAAGTTATGGATAAGTAATTAATCAGCCAACATGGTGATGGACCTCTCTTTGACCGATTTACCCGCCTTAACCCCGCAAATTCCTGCCAAGCAACGTGTTAGTCAAACGATCGTGCGGCACGCCCTCTTCATGTAGTAAGAAATCAGAAGCTCAGAGATTGATGTCCACTTGAAGTGCTCTTGAAGATGGGAGATGGATCAATTCAGTTTTCCCCCTCCCGATGCGCATTGTGGCCGTGGAAAGGGGTTTGTGTAATATGTCGTATACTTATTTACGAGCAGCCAGGCCGTTGGTTCGAATTTTCCGTGGTCACATACGTCAACATTGTCTGAGAAACAAGTCCAGGAAAAGATGTGGAATACATTTGCGCACAAAAAGGCTTTTCCATGTATTAACTGGATCTCAATATCGTTTTCAAACATTGTCTGTAGTACCAATCAGTGGCTTCTTCGCCAATGTCTCGAAAAAAACACCTGGCGCATTCCAATCAAAGAACAGATCTCCGCATTCTAAACTTCGTTCAATGAGGTCGGTCGCCCAGCCAAACATCTCCTTTTCATACGCCGCTACAGCATCTTTCGTAATCCCAAATTCTTTGAGTTTCTGTGACAATATGATGGAATCTCTCATTGCGCAATTAACCCCATCGCCGACGAAGGGAGGTGTCACATGTGCCGCATCCCCGATGACTGTAACATCCGCGTTCGGTGCCCAGTTGAATCTATCGGTAGGCATGTGCCACAGAGGCCATGCGAAGAGCGGACCTTCACATGCGCTGATCAAATCCTGGAAATATTGGCTGTACTGACCGAAAAACTCTTCCGTAAGAAGAAGCTTCTTGACGGCTTCAGTGTCTGAAAGATCAAAGGTTCCAGTTCTCGTAAAGTCAACCGGTCTTTCAAATCCCAGGTCAACTCGATAGTGGCCATCACCTTGCATTTGGTTCCATATCTTGAGCTTTTTGCCCATCACAACTTGAGGGCCGACTCCGGCGCTCTTGAGCACCGTTGGATAGAACGGGTTATCCGGGTGAATAGTACCGTTGATGAACGTTCTTTTGGCATATTGTGGCGTCGCTGTTGTTACCTGTAGCGTTATCAGTGAACCCACGTTCCGAAGCAGATTCGAGGAAAAGATAGCATTCCATACCAGATGCCGAACTTTACTGAACGCTCCATCTGCACCTACAACAAGCTTAAAGCCAGTGGCCTTCTCTCCACCCTCAAATTGTAGCACTATATTCCCTTGTTCGTCTCTGACGACCTCCTTCACGCGGGAGCCCCACTTGATCTTGCTATCAGGGATGGTCGTCAGCAAAGCGGCTTTGATCTGACCGCGATCCAGCTCTGGCTTGTCGTGTCCCTCACCCCAGGTAGCCACTTTTGTCCCAGCTGGGTCAAACACAGTATGGATCGTGGCGTCTCCGCGTCTGCCATATTTGTTCATCTTGTCAAAACACCCCGCCTCCTTCATGGCGCGCTGACCACTGCCAAGGTGGAGGTCCAGACAGCCACCTCTAGGAAGAGACTCCTTCGATTCTCGTTCGTAGACAACATAGTCGAAGCCTGCACGTTCGAGCATACCTGCGAGCGCCAGCCCTGAGGGCCCACCACCCACGATCGCGATCTCCGGTGCCGTTACTTTGCTGATCATCTTCGTGGTCTCAAAGTTATCAACTCTGAGCAACTAATGACAAAGTTCGAGATATTGGACTTCCACACTGTCAACCGACCCGAGAGCTCCACTTTATAAATCCGAGTCATTCTGGACTAGCTTTGGGCCAGGCCTGATGGACCTAATCTGTGCCGTCACTCGGTCGAGAATTATGTTTGTTTTCAACTATATTGCGGAGTTAACGCGGACAGGAAAGTGTGGGGAAGCTGATTGTGGGGGATCGTCTTTCAAGGTTCTGACAACCACCCTTATGTCTGCGCAATCCGGCGCCGCCGCAGAACGGCTTCTGCTAAGATGTAAAGGCTCAAAATCCGAGCAAGAGCCCTGCATCACAAGGAGACTGAAGAACTGTTGGCAACAGAGGTGTTCTGAACTTGTCAACTTATCTGATAGAAGGATCGGAGGTACTTTTGTTTAACGCATGTGGACTCGGGTGCTAATTCCATGAAACTAAGCACAGGTAATGGGTGGTATCTTTGCGAGTGCCAGGACATCTCACTGCGAACCTTACTACCTAAGAAATAGATAGGGAAGTAAGGAGGCAGTAATGGTATTATTTCGTGTAGATTCATTAAGCTGTATCTACTGGACAGCCATATAAGGATGCTAGTTTCGATGCCAGATTGCAGAGCTAGTTCGTTCTCATAGAGCTTCTCAGGGGTCGCCAGGATGGAATTTCCTCGCCTTCACCAGAGCACATGTTTCACATCGGTACAGATAATAACTATTCATGCGGCTTCCGGGGGAAATGCTTCATCAATCTGAGATATCTGGCTCAAAATGTCTTGACGCAATCGCCGAACCCGAGCCAATCGTCGACCGGACGGTTCAAAAAATAATTCAGCTTCTGTCGCAGCCTGTTCCAGGAAGGCCACCGCTTCGTTGAGTCTTTGACGTTTGGCCATGGGGCCCAGCGAGTGCCCTAGCAACATCCCCGTACGACTACGAGCCCACGTCTGTGTCGCTTCCTCCAGGTGAAGCCTCACGAGAGCAACTTTGGCCAGGCCCTCGAGCGCCGCAAACCGATTTTTTGCTTTGGCGAAGCCACCGAGTCTATCAGCTCGGCTAATTGCCTCCATGAAATAAGCCTCAGCCCGCTGAACCTGATGGCTCTCCAAGAAGTCGTCAGCAACGTTGGTGAGAGTCCACACGACGTTGCTTTTGTTCTTCCCGTAGAGAGCTTCTTGATCAACGAGTAAGTCTTGGCGGATGCTCTGTCGCTCTCCAGTGATGTTGGCATAAAACAGGCAATCGCAATATCGTTCTCTGAGATATAACTGTTTCCAAGATGGTTCCACATATGCCTGTGTGAAACAGCCTATCATCTTGTGCATGATACGCACAAGGTCGTCTGTGCAGGAATCTGCGCTGCGAAGCTCACGCAATATCATTGTGAGTGGATGTATATGACCCAATTTGACCATTGAGAGCTGCGAAAGGTGTCTTAGAAGTATTCTATGCAAGTCCCGTAATGGAGCTATCTCCTGGCTTGGATGTCGCGATGCTGATGCTTGTGCAGCAACTTCCAATTCGCAAATCACCGCGAAACCTTGAGCAATTGCTGGTGGACTGACTTCCTCGAGAAAACCAGATAACAGGCTGAGTGCTGTATCGAAGCTAGTGAACCCTGAACGAGTATCTCCATACTGGATATGAAAGATGGTGTCCTGAATTTTGCTGGCAAATCTTCCATGAGTTGTCAGCATATGGACTTGTGGTTCATCATTTACAGGCTCTTGTGTCGCTTCTAGGTAGTTGAGGCAGTATGAGTCGATGTGCCTCAGCATATCCTCGAGTCTAGCAAATTGTGTTGGGGGTGAGGGACTCCGTGGAAGTTTATTCATAACTTGCGCTATCTTGAAGTCTGGTAGCGGTCTCGAGATGATTTCAAGACCTGGACTTCGTTTGTCGCCTTCAATTTTGTCTGGAAGCTTGGTAGCGGTAGAGCCCGGGAATTCATCATTCAGGTCAACAACATTGTTTTGATGTACGAGCATCACATTGGGTGAGGGTTGATAGTTCTCAAACGTAGGGCCTTTTATCATCTCACCCAGATCGTGGATATGTTTGCGATGAAAATATCGCCTGACTTCAGAGAAGGGCACGAGGCGACCCCGTATGCGGAGTTGCGGATCGGTGGAGAAGGAATGCAAAAGCCCGGCGTCTGCCACAATCTTAACTGCAGTGATCATCTCAGGATGAGTGTTCTTCTTTCCAAGTCCCCATTCTTGGATTTTGCCCCTTAACATGCGGTCACTTCGTTGTCACTGCGTCAGTGTCAAGTTAGCCATGCGACTAAATGACTTACCTGACGACGAACCCTTGCGCGGCCAAGATTGCGGCTACTTCCTTGCATGATTTGCGTTGAATGTTGTAGAGATGAGTTATGAGGCGTTGATGGCACTTCCATTCAGCTGCAGTACACTGGGGCATGCTAGGCAGGCCTAGCTCACAGACAGATGTTAAGAGCTCAAGAGAACGACGAAGGGTGTATCAATGAACACAGGCCATGAACGGGTATCATAGCATGAAACATCCCGTCTTACGATAGCTGTGGCCCGAGTTCATCTTAGTACCCGCGTAGAGTCGGAGGTCGATAGTGGCACAATGAAGATGACATTTTGAGAAGTGGCTTAGGAGCTTCAGTGGAAGGATGTTTCAGAAACAACCAGGTACATCCGGGGAATACTTACCATGGGCAAAGATCCTCTGGCCAGAGCCGCAGTACTTGTCGAGGAAATGATCAAGTATCGGGTAGAGGACAGGCTTCAACGTTCCTGAATTGGGGCTAAAAAGACAGGCGCAGCGCTAGGCCCATTTTGAGATAGTAAGACCAGAGTTTATTCGGCCGGAAGACCGTTGGAAATAGTCGTAGGACTGGACATAAAGGTGACCAAAGAAAGCATCTCGATCACCAACGGCTTGAGATCGAGGACGGGTAGAGGACTACATCCTCCTGCTCGCTCCTGAAACATCCAAACGACAGGTCATAATGGTCGACGTCTCAGAGCCTGAGAAATCCAACTCGCATGGGCCATCCGCGCTCAGCCGGCACAATACCGCCGTGACACGAATCTCAGCACGAGTCGCCCAATTCCACAAGGCTGGAACTCCCTTTCGGATTTTTCATGGGAACACCAATTCAACCAGACCGAGCATTAGAACTCTCTCGGAAACAGTCGACATCTCGGATCTCAACCACGTCATCTCTGTCGACACAGAGAAGCGAACGTGTCTCGTCGAGCCGAATGTGCCAATGGACTTGCTGGTCGCCAGCACCCTACCGTTAGGACTAGTATGTCCCGTCGTGCCTGAATTTCCGGGCATTACGGTCGGCGGCGGCCATGCCGGCACAGCGGGCGAGAGCTCGAGTTTCCGGCATGGGTTCTTCGACCGATGCATCAATTGGTTTGAGATGGTGTTGGCCGACGGACAGGTGGTGGTTGCTTCTTCTGAAGAAGGATCCGAGAGGAAGGATTTGTTTGACGGTGCGGCGGGCACGTTTGGCACGCTGGGTGTGGCGACTTTGTTTGAGATTAGACTTGTGCCGGCCAAAACCTATGTCGAGTTGACGTATCTTGCGGTCAGGAGCATTGAGGACGCTCAGAGAGAGATTGCCGAACAGGCAGAGGATGAGAGTGTGGATTTCTTGGATGGGATCATGTTCGCTCCGGACGGCGGTGTCGTTATGGCAGGACGATTTGCGGAGCAAAAGGACAAAGATCAACATCTTCCAGTCGCAACTTTCACCGGACCGTGGGATGACTGGTTTTATCTGCACGCCGAATCTCAATTGAAGAGTATCAGGGCCACCACTTCCTCTTCTGTACAACCACCACCAAGAGAACTGGTCCCTTTGACAGACTATCTATTCCGCTACGACCGCGGCGCCTTCTGGACCGGCAGATGGGCTTTCGAATACTTCTACACGCCTTTCACACGCCTGATGCGGTACGCCTTCGACTACTGCTTCCACACACGCGTCATGTACCATGCCTTGCATCGGTCGGGCCTGATGCAACGCTTCATCATCCAAGACATGGCGATTCCAAATCGCAACATCCCGGCGTTCTCCCACTGGCTCGATGCGGAACTCCCCGACATCTATCCACGCTGGCTGTGCCCGTTGAAACTCAACGAGAGCGTGAGCATGCATCCGCACAGCGCTCCCGCCGCAAACACCCGCGACGACATCCTGCTCAACATCGGCGTTTGGGGCCCCACTCCATCCCGATACACCCAAATTGGCATTAATCGCAAGATCGAGTCGAAGTTGTCATCGCTTGGCGGCATGAAGTGGTTGTACGCTCAGACTTTCTACACCGAGGATGAGTTCTGGGGTATCTATGACCGCAGGTGGTATGAGGCATTACGGAAGAAATACCACGCTGAAGGACTGCCGACGGTGTATGAGAAGGTGAGGACGAAAGTCGATGAGAAGGACCTATTGTTTGGTGATGGGAGGGGAGCCAAGATTGGTGTTGAGAAGGGCTTTTGGAGCATTTGGCCCTTTGCAGGGGTCTACGGGGTGCTGAGTGTTTTCAAAGGTGGGAAAGACTATTTGCGGAAGGGGTGAGTGTGTGAGATGTGGTTGAAAAAAATGGGGGTTTGATAGGTTGAACCTTTGATTAGAGGTAAAAGGGGTGGCATTTCATAGAGATTTGTGGCATGGCCAACATGATCGAGCACTAGAGGACTGAAGGCTAGATATGGTTGGGTGATCTACAAGATAGGATAACAACACCAACGGGCGGTAGATATATATACAAATTCTTCATGGCATTATAACTAGTTTAATCTGAGGTTTCATTAGCACGAAGGTGCGAATGCCCATGTTGGGGGACATGTCAATTCATCCCGTCTCGGCAGAAGACCACCGTTCCGACCGATTTATCGAACAAATTTTTACAACGCCAATGCTAAGACATGCAATAAAAAGCACAAGGAAGAAAACTTCACCCCTTTTGACTTCCTGCCGCGACGACTTCATCCAAGCTGGAAATTGTATGCGTGCCAAGTACAAATAAGTGTAGAAGTGGTAGAGCAACAAACTGTTATGCGAGCCGACGTAGTGTAGTCATCAAATGAATCATTCTCTGTTTATAAAATGTCGATTATCGGTTGGCAGACATTTCGAAAGGTCCAGATGCTGAAGTCTGTCGTTGGTGACTCATCAGACTGGAGAGGAGAAAATTAGTCATATATCCCAGGCATGATGGCGTCAATGAGTGACTTACGGTGTTGTTTGCTGATTATGAAGCTCATGCTCAGGTGCAGGGCTCATTCTGTTCTGTCGTTGTAGGAATCCTTCAATACCTCCACTCTGCGGTTGAGGAGCAACACCAGTAGATCCTGGACTGCTGGCTCGCTGAGAGTGTAATTCACTACCTGCAACTAGAGGTTGATTTTCATGCGCAAGTGGTGTTGATACTTGACCGAAAATATCCTGCGCGGGGGAGCCTGGCCAGCCATATGGCTGTTGAGGGGTCATATGTGGTGGGTAGCCTGGCTGCTGATAAGCAGCAGGGTACTGTGGCTGAGCATACTGCCCGGTAGGATTTCCAAAGGCGTCGGTGATAGGCACAGGAGCGGCTGAAACACCAGACATATGCTTGTTCATCACAGGCGACATGACTGACGGTTGCATTGAACTGCGATAGTCGAAACCTCCAGGCGGCACATATGCAGGGGGAGCTGGGGCCATGGCTGGTTGCGATGGGGCGGGACCGTTCTTGTCGCTGCGACGGGATTTGCGGCCGCAAAAGAATAGAAATGCCGCTCCAGCGATTGCAACTGCAGCAGCACCTAAGAGAGAGATCAGTCAACACAGGCAAGATGAGAAGAGATGGATCGAACATACCGATGGCGATACCAGCAATAGCACCGGTAGAGAGACCATGGCTATGGCTTTCAGTTGCTCCTGATGTCGAAGTTGAACCAGCAGATGAGCCTGTCGTCGAGCTTCCGGTTGGTGCAGAAGTCGTACTCGAGGTAGTGAAGGGGTCTGTTGACTCGTCGGGCCAGTCCTGGCCGGGAAGGAGCATGAACGATGAATTCGCTGCATATTGCTTCTGTACTTCCAGACTGACGCTTGCGTTTGGATTTATCACACCAACCATTTGCCAGTCTATACAAGATCCCGGAGCTCCACAGTAGAAGAAGATTGGGTCAGTATCATTTATTTGCAATGTGAACTTTGGCGGATCGGGCAGAATGGCGTCGACGATCTTGAAGCCCGAGTCGAACCCAACCTTGTCCACACCTAGGGGAGGAGGAAGAGGTTAGCGGCGTCAATCAAAGAGGGCAACAACAACATCAATCTTGGTAGATTCGAGTTTGCCTGTGGCTGTACTTACCCGTCATCTCATAGGGTATGCATGGAAATTTGTACTCAGCCCGGATAACTGAGTGGTTTGTCGGATAGAATTGGAATTCAACAAAGTTTGATGGAGAAAGCTGTACGACGTTTGGACTGAAGACATGACCGCCCAAACCAACAGCGATGGTCTTGGTAATTGGGTCTGCAGTTGTGGTGTTCGCTGATTGAGTGGCGGCAGCACCAGTTGCAGTGGTACCACTCGCGCTGTTGGTGGAGGTGGTGGCCGCGGCAGAGTCTACTGTGGACGTTGGGCCAGTATCTTGCCCCGAGGCAAGCTGGAGCAATGCCACCAGTGCAAGAGCAGCCAACCTCATAGTTGCGATATGGGTAGCCGGAATAAGCAAGATCGAGCAGGCCCAGGTGGATTGAGATGCAATCGATGTTGAGATTGAAAATTGAGAGCTCGCTCACGATGTTCCCCGAAGTTGAGAAATGCTCTAGTAGAGAACGAGAAAACGGTGGGCTCCAGCTGGGCTAAGACGAGGGTTCTTAGGGTCTCCAAGGTGCGGCTGAGTCGCGGTCTCGAGGGTCTGGGTCAACAACCGAGACTCTTGAGGCAGAGGATTCGGATTGCTCACCAGTACGAGTACGAATGAAGAGACAGGACGGAGCACGGAATGGAAGATTCTGGGCCGACAGCTAAGGGATAAATCGAGAGAAGGATGGCCTCACAGAATCTTCATAGACTTGAACTCAGCCATTCTCAGGGCAAGAATTCTAATACGGGTAATGGCAGAAGATCGGTCGGGGACCGCGCAGCTCTGCAATCTTTGGCCATCAACTCTTGGTCCTTGGATCCTGTTCTCACTAGGGCGTAGGCGAACAGCCGAACGCTACCTCGTTCTTTCAGGCCCAGGTGCATGCTTTCTTCGCGGGAGGCTTGCTGAACCAAAATACGAGAAGCGGGCAAGGATGAGAGGCCTGGACAAGGCTCTGCTGTGTCAAAAGAGGTGCTCAAGACCAATTAGAAAGGTGGAGTGGAAGCCGAGATTGAAGGGCACATCGCAAAATAGGAAGCCCCTTGCTGAGTTTTGGTGTCTGCTGGCGCGCCAAGTGAAGCTAGTGGGTTAAGGCCAATTATAACTTCTGTTATAGGGGGCTGAAAGGTGGCGTCCCAAAGCTAAAGATGTCGGGCTGCCAGCTGGCGACCTGAACAAAAAACACACCTAGCTTCGTACCGAGTAGATGCCATCTAACGATCCTTGGGCCTTGGCCACGGCAGATGGGAACGAATGTAGAAAAGAAAAAGCAACTGATGTCGGGTCTATCACTATATCGATACGGAGCATTCAAAATCCCAAACACCTGAGGTTGATTTCGTCAGCGTTACCGAGAGGTCAGAGATCTGAAACCAACAACTACGAGGTTATACCTATTCGTACCTAACCTACTTGATACGCTGACATGGGACAGTCCTGGATGGAGCATTGCGATCCTTCCCGCGAAACTTCCATGCCAAGGCTGTTCATGTCAGCAGTAGCAAACACTGATCAGAGTCATGGTCTAAAATTGTCCACCCTAATTCTAGTCGACGCAGATCTTCGTGCTTTAGACTCGATGATTCCGTGGCCCACAGCCTCCAGGTATCGGGACTTCACTGTGAGAGTCGGCGATAAGTGGATGCTTACTAGAGTACCTCGTGCTGCTTGTCCGAATACCGACACGGCCAGCAAGATCTCACTGATATATACCCTATATACTGCATGCTACTGTCCGATGTCCCTGGACTCGGCGTGAAATCTCACCCAATCTGGAACTTCGCGGACACTTCAGTGGTCGCCAGTTTAGCTATCATGACTTGGTCTCCTGAAAAGGCCAGCCACCCAACACAATCTTGAATAGCAAAGGATCCTTTTCGATCTCTTGCCTCCGCGATGTCAATTCCTCCACATCCCAATTGACCCAAATATATCGCCCTCGGAGAAAGTCCGCCTCGGCGCTCGCCAGCCAGACGGTAAAATGTGCTGGGAGAGCGACTTGAGACAGAACAGCACTGATACCCTTCGGCAGTTCCTTCCCTCCAGTATTCCCGAACACTTGCTTCAACATAGAAGTGTCAATAACCCCAGGATGAACGGTGAATACCCGAAGGTTGGGATTCTCGACTGCTAAGTAGTCGTCGAGCTTCGCCGCTGCAAGCTTGGCGGCACCTGTCTGTAAATCAATAGGCTGCTATCAAGAGATGTCTTGGATCCGGATTGAACACGCCGACTTGGAGACTTACAATATGCAGAACACTTTGGCAGTTGCGCGGCTGGCAGATGACTGGCACCTGCGTTGGCGTTGATGAAGGTTGCATTCGGCCTGGCCTTGGGTGCAAAGTGCTTCGCAAAATGGAAAGGAAACCGGGCGATGGCCTCGAAGGCGTCCCATGAAGTATCCTCATCTGCACCAGCAATTGTTGACAAAGGAGGTAGTGCTGCGGCATAGTTGGCGAAGATATCCCATGCCCCGATGGCCACTCGAATGTCATGCGCAGCACAACCCATGCTCTCTGCTTTGCCCACATCAGCTACCGCTATAAAAACATTCGTTTTTGGGTAAGCATTGCCGATGGCGGTCTTTGTCCCTTGAAGTGTCTTTTCTGTTCTGCCTACAATGGCAATCTTTGTCGCCCCTGCCTTGGCGAAAGACAGGGCAACTTCAGAACCAATACCCCCTATCCCGGCGCCTGTGACGATTACAGTCTTATCCTTTACCGAATTCTCAGGTCGGCTTGGATCAATGGCGGGGTAAGTGTCCTGTCGGTAAATCTTTGTGAATGAAGGACTAGACATTTCGGGCTAGGGGATGGTTGTAGAATATAGGGATTATGATATAACTTGGAAGTTGTACTCAGGCAGGATGATTCTGGGGATTTGTTGGAAATATGACCGTTAAGAGGGGTACCACTTGGAATACAGTTTGACTACAGTGGTACTCGTTCAACCCAGACACAGATGGATCTTTGGTGTCGTACGGATACCTTATATACTGGGTAGGTCGGGAGTAAGACCTTGAACAGAGCATGTGTGGAGATCGGGGTACTCCTCAGCATCTACCTCGTACTTACGTATGCAATACAGAGAAATCCTTGTGCTCTTGGCAATTGGTGGCCGTTAATCTCGAGAATCAGACAATCACAAACTCTCAACTCATGTATATGAGCAGCTGGCCTGACAATGAAGTCCTCGTTAAGCAGGAGTACTCCGACAGCTGCCCTGCCCGCCTGAGGGCTGGATGCTTCGATGATTTTTGGAGAGGGGTCAGGATCACGTGTTGTGCCCCACGACCGCAAGAAGGGTTTTTGACGCGTTTTCCCCTCCAAGCGCCGCTTAGCCACGGCTACCACCATTCAGTTGACTGCGACGACAAAAGTTTCTCTCGAACATTTTGAAATCTTATGCATTGGTGGCGCGACTGTTAGTTAGGACACGGATATTCCCTTTGTATACATCTTTCATTGAATCCATACCATCGACGACCCTCAACTGGTGGCTTCAATTCCCTATCTTGACGTTCACTCATCTGACCCTTGTCTTGCAATCATGGCACAACCGACATCTCGATTCCACGCCAAAGGCACCCACGCCAGCGTGACCGAGCTCATCGGCCAGACTCCTCTCGTCAAACTCCAGAAGATTCCTCAATCCTTAGGTATCGAAGCCACTGTCTATGCGAAATGCGAGTTCTTCAATGCCGGTGGGAGTGTCAAGGATCGAATTGCTCTACGCATGATTGAACAAGCCGAGAAGTCTGGCCGCATAAAGCCCGGCGATACTCTGATCGAGCCCACAAGTGGAAATACGTGAGTACACAAAGAGAACAACCGAAGACATCGACTTTTATTGATTCGATGACAGCGGAATCGGTCTTGCTCTCGTGGCATCTGTCAAGGGCTACAAAACCATCATCACCCTCCCAGAAAAGATGTCCGCCGAGAAAGTTGCTGTCCTCAAAGCCTTGAATGCAACCATCATTCGTACGCCGACACAAGCCGCCTTCGATAGTCCCGAATCGCACATCGGCGTTGCAAAACGTCTGGAGAAGGAAATTCCCAACGCACATATTCTCGATCAATACGGAAATCCAGATAATCCGTTGGCCCACGAACTCGGAACCGCCCAAGAAATATGGGAACAGACCGAAGGACACATTACAGCGATCGTTGCAGGCGCGGGGACAGGCGGCACAATAACCGGACTGGCTCGAGGGCTGCACAAGCACAACAAGGCCATCAAGGTCATTGCTGCTGACCCGCAAGGCTCAATTCTCGCCCTTCCCTCCCAACTCAACGATGAATTCAAGGATCAACCATACAAAGTGGAGGGGATCGGGTACGACTTCATTCCCGATGTACTGGACCAAAAAGCTGTCGACAAATGGTACAAGACCGACGATCGGGACTCCTTCCACTATGCCCGCCGTCTGATTGCCGAGGAAGGCTTGCTGGCTGGAGGTAGCAGTGGCTCTGCGATGGCCGGCCTGGTTGCAGCACATCGAGAAACCCCCTTCACCAAGGACGATGTCGTGGTAGTGGTCCTCCCCGACAGCATCCGCTCCTACCTCAGCAAATTCATCGACGACGACTGGCTGGCAGCCAACGACCTCCTCCCACCAACACCACCCTCCGAGTCCGTGGAAAGTCCCCGCCTCTCCCGCAGCCGTACCGACTCATTGCGACAGAATGACCAGTTCCGCGGTGCCCGCGTCAAGGACCTCCGCCTCAAACCGGTCTCCACCGTGACAAGCGACTCGACCTGCAGCTCCGCCATCGAAGTGATGCGCGAGAAGGGCTTCGACCAGCTGCCCGTGCTGGCACCCCGCGGCCGACGCCTCGTCGGGCTCGTCACGCTCGGCAATCTTCTCAGCCGGATCTCGCACGGCCGCGCCACAGGCAAGTCGCCTGTTGCGGACGTCATGTTCGACTTCACGCAGATCAGCGAGGTCATCACCGACCCGCGCCACATCGGCGATATTACCGGCGCGGCGAAGCTGTCTGACCGCACCAACGGCAATACCGGCGACGAAGACCACCAGCATGCCAAAGCCCGCCAGTTCGTCGAGATTACCGTCGACACGCCACTTAGTGCTCTGAACCGCTTCTTCGAGTGGCAGAGCGCCGCCATCGTCACGGAACGTGACTTGAGTTCGAGTGAGAGCTCTGGAAAAGGCGGTGCGCTGAAACCCGTCGGCGTTGTTACCAAGGTCGATCTGCTTACTTGGTTGCTTACCGAGCACAAGATACGTTAGTTAGCATGATGGGTGCCGGTCTCGATGGATGATTCATTGGCATGACTGGTGCACTGGGATCTGTGCCCTAGTCGATTTCAAAGTCTTCGTGTAGAAAGACAGCCATTCGGAGTTGTGGGAGGGGAAAGGGGGTTCATGGAATTGTCGTCGATTTTTAGGCACAAAGTGCTGGTCCTTGATCTGTCGCAGTCGTGTGGCAAACCATTCAACATGACCATTGGAGATTGGGAAATTCAACTTTGTTAGAGTACGAGGATATTAGATCTGATAAGACTATAGTCTAGCTCAACCAGGTGAATACTGGCGCAGAGCGCATTAATACACTCCAAACATGACTAAATGATGTGTAGTGATACACTTGCTACTGCCTACCGTCATAAACCACGTCAACTTGCGATGTGGATTCAGTTGCAATGGACATCATCACGCCTTGCAACTGTCCAACCATCATAGTGGCAGTTTTTCAAGCTCGAAAAGAGGGAAGCCCGGTCTGGGGGAGAAATTTGTTGCTGTGGACGAAATCAGGCGAAACGGGAAGGGAGCTAGGATTTATTGCGGAAGATTTGGACGGGGACCAGGCATAGGATGCTGTAGCACTCAGTGGTGATAAGTATCGGCGCACATCGGGAATCGAGAAAAGGACGGAAGAGGGGCCGGCGCGGAGGGAGGGGGCGTTTCGGATGGAGGTGTGGTCAAGAACGGGTGGCGGGATGAACTCGAGATGAATGTTTAACGGCGACGTGGATGACGGGGGAACGCTGCTTGGATATCGGGCGGATCGCGGGACGGGGCATTTGGGGGGAAGATGGCGATCAACACGTTTGGTTTGGTGATAATCTATCGTTCGATATTTTCGAATCGAGGCCTCGACGGAATATGCTATCGCTATCGAAGAGATTGGATTGATCGGGGAGATGTCTGCTGATGCTTCTGTCGGTTCTGATTTGTGTCTGTCACCGTTCGCTCGGAAGATCGTTCTATCTCATGTCAAGTCAATCTGTCACTATTGAAAACCCGCCCGAAAAGTTCAAGCCTCTCATGCTGTTCTGTTAGACTTTAGACAGCGCCGCTTTTGATGAGGAAAAACCTAGCACTCCCTTCGCCAATAGCAATTTCATACTCGAGCCTGCACACCGAAATTGCAACCTTGATATCGGGAAAGAAAATAAATGTAGGGCCGAAATTCAATGTGATCGATCATTCTGCGGTGTCCAGTTCATCATGTGCAGCGGGAGGGGAGTCCGGGACTGATACGGGTGTCAGCTTCATATCCACCTGGCCTGTTTGAAGACATCAATGTCCATCATGTTCGTACCTTTACGATCTTCACCATTGGCATTGTCTCGATCGTCATCACGGCGGTCTCGGTCATCCTTCATGTCGCGATCCCGGTCACGATCCCGGTCGGCAGGGCTTCGTGATCGGCGGCGATCATCATAGTCTCGATCTCGATCACGTTCTCGGTCGCGATCACCACGGTCACGTCGGTCGTCCTTGCGTGGGGAATAGTCACGACGGCGAGGCGAAGGTGAACGGCCACCACGTCGCGCCGGGGAGCGGTCGCGATCGCGACGATCACGGCTGTCTCGGCTATCACGACCACCTTCGCGACGCTCACGAGTTTCGCCATCGCGACCTCGTCCGGCTTCATATCGCCATGTTGCAGAAGGAGGAGTACGGGCCCACTGGAGGGAGTTGTCAATAATAGGTGATGCATTTTATAAGATGATTCGTACCTCGATCTTTAGAAGATCATCCCGACCGATTCGCTTGTTATGCATCTCATGGTAGGCATCGTCTGCATCGCGGCGACTTTCGTACTCGACAAAGGCAAAACTGGTTCAGGATAATTAGTCGATGAATTCTGGAGTAGAGTATGTCATAGGGAAGGATGGGTACTTACAGTCGGCTGGAAGCAGTTCGTGGAGCAGGGATGTCGCATCTAACGAGGCGGCCGTAGTGTTCGAACTCATAGGCCAGATCACGAGCTCGTGTGCCATGACCAAAGCCAGTGACATAGAGAGTAGTTCCGGACCGATTGGACATGATGGCAAGCTTGTGGTGCGATTGGGAGGTGCGTGATATCAGAAGACAAGGAAGCTGTGATCAAATGCCCGACAAGAGAGATCACAAGGCGACGATGATTTTTTCAGGACAGTAGATCTTGTGAGTGAAATGTGATTTAGCTGTCACAGCATTTGTAGTGAAAGGATGGTTTGAATGTCAGGCAAAGGCTCAGGTTGTCACACAAGTTGCCAGACGTTGAGGTCAGCTGACCTTTGATCCTGATGCCAAGACCATAGCACGTGAACCTTTCACTAACCTTGTCAGAGGCAGGCGCAGCGCGTGAGCCGGCGGGAGAAAGAGAAAAATAGCCCTGGGACGGCCTGCGCCTATGCCTGCGCTTATGCCCACGCTACCTAAAGGAGCAGCTTTGCGGGTAGTAGAAACCCCTAACTAGGTAGCTAGGTAGGTACCAAGTCAGGATACCTATCCGAGTACCTATCCGTCAAGGCAGAATCTTCTCACTTCGACTACTGACGACCGACTCGCGACTTTGCAGGACAAAATTGGCCTCAGCATTATGGTTAGGACCGTTCTCTAACAATCTACACATTCCTCTGTGAATATCACACGCAGCATTGTACTCAGGTCCTGTCATATCAATAACTCGACAGCTGAACGTTCATCTCCTATTCTTATCTACCAATATCAAGCTCATTCACCCCAAATCAACCGCAGCACCGCCATCCTCTCGTCCGGGTCAACCCGCACTCATTCCTTGAGCTCTCCCGACCACCTGATCACCTCTTCCAATTGTTATTGCAAACAGTTCACCTCGATTATACACCATCGTGCATGGTATAGGTCGTTGACTCACCGAGAAAGAGGCTGTACTGTTGACAATGCTCTTTTGCAAGCGCCCGTCATAAAAATTTCCATGGACGGCGAAGTTCTGGCCAGCGCTCACAAATCTCTCTTGCCGTTACACTCTTCCATTCTCTATCGGCTGGCCCCATATCGTTATTCTTTATCATCTTAGTGTCTAGATACCCTGCTATTACCTTTGCTTCACTGCTACAGTGCTCATCAAGATGCGGTTGGGTGAAAAGGAACCGGCTACCGTAAATGGTAGCATAGGACAGAGCTCGACTACCCTAGCTGATCTGTCCAATGTTCCAGAGGTCAGTATTGATTGAACTATACACCACTGGCAAATTTTTGATCTATGCTGATATACTTAGAATCCCGCCACGGTATCTCCCCAGTCTCTCGCCACGCGATGTGCCGAATTCTTTTCAACTCCTTTCACGGCCGCATTCTGCGCTGGGGGCGTGGCTGGTGCTGTATCTCGGACGGTCGTTTCGCCGCTGGAGCGCTTGAAGATCCTGTATCAAATCCAAGACGCTGGCCGCAGTGAATATAAAATGTCGATCGCCAAGGCTCTGAGAAAAATGTACCGAGACGAGGGTTGGCGAGGGTTTATGAGGGGGAATGGCACCAACTGCGTTCGAATTGTCCCTTACTCGGCTGTACAGTTTGGAGCTTATAACATTTACAAACGCTTTGCGGAGAGTTCACCTGGTGCAGACCTCGATCCTTTACGGAGATTAGTATGTGGCGGTCTAGCTGGCATCACATCCGTGACCTGCACTTATCCCCTCGATATCGTCCGAACACGCTTGTCCATACAGTCAGCCTCATTTGCATCATTAGGAAAACATGAAGGCAAGCTTCCGGGCATGTGGCAAACCATGGTCACCATGTACAAAACAGAAGGTGGCGTACTCGGTCTTTATCGTGGCATCATACCCACGGTGGCCGGGGTTGCTCCCTACGTCGGACTCAATTTCATGGTCTATGAGTCTGTCAGGGATTATTTTACCGAGCCTGGAGAGAAAAATCCTGTTTGGTACCGAAAGCTGGCAGCTGGTGCCATTTCAGGAGCCGTTGCGCAAACATGCACATATCCTTTTGATGTATTACGACGTCGATTCCAGATCAATACCATGTCCGGCATGGGTTACCAGTACAAATCGATAGGGGACGCCATCGCCACCATTGTCCGTCAAGAAGGCATCGCAGGTCTCTACAAGGGTCTTGTACCCAATCTTCTCAAAGTCGCTCCAAGCATGGCAAGCAGTTGGTTGAGCTTCGAGATGGCTAGAGATTTCCTTGTCAGCTTGAATCCTCAGGAGCCCGACCCTATTTAAGAACATTGATATCCCGGAACAGGACACCCGATTTTATTATTCATATTATTCCTATAGACCACGGTTTCATGGTGGGGACAAGGATTACGGAGCAGCTGCAGAGGGAGCAAGCTTGGCATTGACGATAACGACAACGGCGATCAGTCTTAGCAAAGTCTTCCAGAAGAACTGCATCCACATTTTCAATAGTGCTTATGTACATTTCGAGCACGTCGCATTTACGGCGTGTTGACATCTAGAAGGAGTCGAGGGTACCAGGGTACTTGGTAGACAAGACGAGTGGGATTGGAGGCATTTTCAGGAGTATCACAAAATGTGCCGGACGAATAGCTAGGTAGCTGAGCACGCGCAATTGATTTCGAGCTTAGAGCACCCCACCTTGAGTCTTTCTCTTCAAGTTGCTTGATGATCGTGTTCCTGGCCATCTGGAGCTCAAATTGTAACATCTTGCCAAGCACTGATGGAATTCAGCACGTGACTTGATCCGGCTCTTCAGTTTCTAATTTTGCACTAGTCTATTTCAGTCTCTAGCGCAGAGTCACTCTTGGCAATCGCACTCAACCTGCACTTTCCGCAATTTAGATCTTTTTGTAGTGAGAAAGAGGACGTTGTCGACCAATTCTATATCCCACCACCACTCCGACAATACAGCGATCATGGGTATGTTGAATCTGAAATCCTTGATGAGGACAGTTTCGCCAGGATTCGGTGTGGCTAACACTACTGTCATTTAGGTATCGATCTCGATCGCCATCACGTCCGAAACACCCATCGGAAGGCTCCCAAGAGCGACAATGTCTATCTCAAGCTCTTGGTGAAGCTCTACCGCTTCCTTGCCCGTACGTATCCAGATACCACTCTTCTTGTCGTCCCGGGGAATCATTTGATCTGTTAGATACGATGCTGGGGTCATTTAAGCAACAAACAAGAAACTAACAATTTTGCCCATGCACAGGTCGCACTGACGCCAACTTCAACAAAGTCGTTCTCAAGCGCCTGTTCCAATCCCGCATCAACCGCCCTCCAGTTTCCATCTCGCGCATCGTTGGCAAGACCCAAACCGAGTCCGCTCAAAAGGCCTACAAGGGCAAGACAGTTGCTATCATTGGCACCGTTACCGACGACAACCGTCTTACCACAGTCCCCGAATTGCATGTCGCCGCGCTACGATTTACTGCTACTGCCCGTGCCAGAATCGAGAAGGCTGGCGGTGAAGCTATCACTCTGGATCAATTGGCTCTGAGACACCCCACCGGAAGCAATGTTGTTCTGCTTAGAGGTCCCAAGAACGCTCGTGAGGCCGTCAAGCACTTTGGCATGGGACCCCACAAGCACAAGAAGCCCTACATCGAGAGCAAGGGACGCAAATTCGAGAAGGGCAGAGGCCGAAGACGAAGCAAGGGTTTCAAGGTCTAAATCATCAGGATCAATAGGTGAAGCATGCGAAACTTGTTACTGTGATCATGTGGTGGATGATCATGGAAACCACTACAGCACACTGCTCGGTCGACATCAATGGCGCACGAGAAAATCCAACGCCAGTGTGACAAATCCTTTTTATGATTGTGGGGATGGGAAAAGAATTGAGCTCATTATGCTGCAAAGTTACCAGGTGTTGAGCCAGAGCATCAGAGTCTTCGGACTCCTCGTTATCGGGCAGATACTGAAATGAAGACAAAAGATTTTCAAAATTCATTCGTGGGCATTGAAATTCATGACTGTGTTATTATGTCCTCGAAATTCTTCGATCGAGTACTAGATTTTCGGCTCGCTGTCATTATTCCAACTTTTGAACAACATTGACGACCCCGCCATTCCTGAGGAATTGCAATTGAGCGCCCTCCCTGCAGATACAGTGACATACCCTTACACCAGCTAGTCTTCCCATTTAGTCCCACGAGGAATGTATGCACAAGGTCAACTAATCCAACCTCTCATGCTTGAACTCCCTCCTCCCCTCTCCCACTCCGTAGTCGCTCGCGCCCTGGCCGCGACCCCGAATCTTGTATTTGTAGATGGTCAATCCTTCCAACCCGACGGGTCCGCGGGAATGGATTTTATTCGTGCTGATGCCGACCTCGGTGCCGAAGCCGTACCGCATGCCATCCGCGAAACGTGTGGATGCGTTCCAGTATACGCCGGCGGCGTCCACTGCGGACATGAATTTCTCGGCAGCTTGGGATGAGGCCGTGACGATCGAGTCGGTGTGTTTGGATGAGTGGGCGTTGATGTGCGCGATGGCGAGGTTGAGGGACGGGTCTTCTTCGTCCGTGGTGGTGGGATCGGAGCTTGTGTTGCCGTTTGTAGTGGAGGAGGGCGAAGAGAATGCTGTGGCAGGGACTGTTTTGATGGCAAGGATCAGATCGAGGAACTCGGTGTTGTAGTCCTCTTCCGTGGCGTCTTGCAGCAGTACTGCGTTCTCTGGACGTAGAACCTCCTTCAGTGCCGCTTTGCTGGTCTCATCACATCGTAGGCTCACGCCTTTCTGTAGCAATGCAGTTGCTACGTCAGGCAGGACGGTCTTCAGCACATCTTGATGAACCAGCAGTGTTTCTGCCGCATTGCATGCAGCAGGATAGTCGGTTTTGCTGTCGATGACAACCTTGACGGCAATGTCCTTATCGGCGTCCTTGTGCAGGTATACACTACACAGACCATCTGCATGTCCCAGTACAGGGATCTTGGTGTGGTCCTTGACATATCGAACCAACTCGTTGCCACCGCGTGGGATCACCAGATCAATATATCGATCCAAGTCCAGCAGCTGATCAATGACATCGCGAGTCTTGACGAGCTGGATTGCCGCAATGGGGACCTCTGTATTCTGCAAGGCACTCCCAATGACAGTGGCAATAGCTTCGAATGAATGTGTAGACTCCTTGCCACCCTTGAGAATGGCAGCATTGCCGGACTTGATAGCCAGACTGGCAATGTTGGCAATGACCTCGGGACGAGCCTCGAAGATGATGAGTAGTACGCCAATCGGACAGGAAACACGCTCCAGCTCGAGACCTTCATCCAGCCGTGTCTTCAGAGTGACTTGGCCAATTGGATCTTCGAGTTTCCGCACATCCAGGATCCCACTGAGCATGTCGTCGTATTTTCCTGGTCGGGATAGGTCCAGCCGTTTCAGCACGCTTTGGGATAGCTGGCCGGACTGTGATGCCTGTGTTGCTAGTTCCATATCCCGCGCATTGGCCTTGAGGATAGTGTCCTTGCTGGCCGAGAGAGCATCATGGATGGATGTAAGTGCTGCATTGCGTGCTGATACTGGGAGTACTGCCAATGATTGGGCGGAGAAAGACGCTGCCTTCGCTGCCGATTCCGGCGTCGACTCTGTCAGGGACATTCTGGGTCCGGACTTGTTGTCCTGAGCTTTATGTTGCAGACTCGTTGAATGAATGCTTTATTTCAGGGAATACTGAGTCCGACACCGAGGAGACAAATTTACAGCCGGGGAAGTACCAAACAAAGAAGATACTGTAGAAGGCTTACGGCGGCTCGTTCGCGAGTGAGACGTCCTTGGATTCACTGACTGACGAGTTGTCTATGTATAAAGCGCTAGAATACGACGAGAAGTTGGATTTGATTAATTCTTTGCCCAAGGAACTCGAAGGGCGGGAGTCATATGTCTGGCGCTCTGGAAGTCTTTAAAAGCGGCGTGTGGCTGTTTTCGGATAGGGTTCCTCGAAGGTGAGCCATAGCCATTCCTCTTTGAGAGGCAACAACAGGAATTGTTTCGCTCAAAAAACATAGGACTTGCTCTCTAATTGACAATAGTTACTCAGTAGTATGCTGTGCCAACTTAGGATACTATGTCAGGTCCCAAGGCATATTGGCAAACCCCGAGTCGTTGGATGACACGAATAGCTGATTCCGAACTGGAGATATCTCTTGCTGCTTTCGGTGTCTGTCACCCACAGTTTAGCCGACCCATGGACTTTTTTTTGTGCGGAGAAGGAATCGAACCATCTTTGCCCGCCAGCAACAAGAATCTTCAGCCTGCAGCCCTTCTCGAAAGAAGTCAGACCCCACGCTCTATTCTTCAAATATCTGGATCACTGCAACCAAGAATAACACGATGCCTGCTCCAACTGCGCTGCAACGCGCACCTGATGCTCTCGCTGAAGATGTCCACAATGCACACGAAATCCCCCTCCCACCTTCAACAGTGGACGAGAATATCGACCTCGAAATCATAACCGCCGAACCAGAAATACCTTTCCAACCAGATCACATGTTAGAAGACACCTCGATGCAAATAGACGAAGAGGGCCGACCACGGTTTGCACCCGTCTCCTCCACCGCCGCTGCCACCACATCTTCATCACCCTCACAGCCCAACTCACCCAACTCAATACGGATACAATCTCGCAAAGTACCGATCCCACCACACCGGATGACGCCTCTAAAGACCAGCTGGCCCAAGATCTACCCACCTCTGGTGGAGCACCTGAAACTGCAAGTGCGGATGAACATCAAGTCGAAAGCGGTAGAACTGCGCACCTCGAAATTCACAACCGACACGGGCGCGCTACAGAAGGGCGAAGACTTCGTCAAGGCCTTCACGCTAGGCTTCGACGTCGACGACGCCATCGCCCTGCTGCGGCTCGACGACCTCTACATCGAGACGTTCGAGATCAAGGACGTCAAGACCCTGCAAGGCGAGCATCTGGGGCGTGCGATTGGCCGAATTGCCGGCAAGGATGGGAAGACCAAGTTCGCGATTGAGAACACGAGTAAGACGAGGGTGGTGTTGGCCGACAGTAAGATTCATATTCTCGGTGGGTTCCAGAATATCCGCATCGCTCGTGAAGCGGTGGTTAGTTTGATTCTCGGTGCGCCGCCCGGGAAGGTCTATGGGAATTTGAGGACGGTGGCGAGTCGGATGAAGGAGAGGTTTTAGATATTGAGAGCCATTTCTTGTCTGCGCCTCTCTTTCCTCTTATGACACGATTTATGAATGGTTGCATGCACCGGACAGGGGGAGTTCATGTTATGCAATTGTTATAGAGATCAGCCGTCGAGATTTCTCATCGTTCGGCATTGTCCAACAGTTTTGGTCACTTTTCACACGACCAAAATACACAATTCAAACACGTTTGACAGACTGAAAGGTCACAAGTAGCACTTGAATTTTATGATTGAATCTTGGGCTCCTCTAGCCAGCCTCTTCAAAAGTACACTTTCTTGGTGATTTGAATACCCGTTCGCCGAGCTACTATGCATACATTCAATATCCCACGACGCCAGCCATTACCCATCACTACCGTGGGGAAAAGGATGTCGTGCCGAGTCGGACCATCTTTCGTATTGAGATCTTTTGCACAAATCAGAAACTTAATCGCGCTTCAAAGGCACAATCTGCTCCTCGATTCCCTCCTTGGTAATGATGAAGATCTGTAAACCGTCACCGACTTCAATATGTCTCTCGGTGGCACTGGTGAATGCATCCTTGACCAGACCTAGCACGATATCTCTCGGCAAGCTCTCCTTGGGCTTTTCCGCCAACGCCAGTCCTTCACCTGATCCGGGAATATATTGATTCTTGTAGTTGACCTGATTGTCAAGGAACGGCATGATCAGACTTGCAGCAGCGCCTGCCGCTCTGCACTGCTCACGCTCGTAGCTGCCCACAGGGTCGTAGCTGTATAGCGCACCTTGACCGTCCTCGTCGATTCCACCCAGGATGGCATGTACGTAGTACGGGAAGAAACGCTTCTGGTAAAGGATGGTGGAGAGGCGCTGGGCGCAGGCTTTGACACTCATGGGCTTGCCGTGCTGGTACTTGTAGATCTTGACGATGGCATCCAGGCGCTCCTTGAGCGCGTTGCCGTCGGCGGCGAACCCAACGACCGACAGAACGATCCGCGAGCTTTGCTCTCCGTCATCCCCGATCTTGAACAGTTTCGGCACGAACCGTGAGTTGATGCTGTATCCGGACGTTGAACGTGTGTCGCCTGCGAGAATCGCGAAGTCTTTGCCGGTAATGCCTAGCGTTGAGCCGCCGTTGTCTGTGTATCTGATAATTGGGGTCAGTTGGGTCTGGTAGGGGGAGATGTGAAGGTGAACTTACGGATAGAAGCCATGTTGTCGGTGTCCTGAGGCCTCGTTGGGTGCTGATGTGTTTGCGAAGGAGTAACTGGGTTGGTCTGATGCTATAGGTCCGACGTTCATGAGGGACGCCATTTTGAAAGGAGATCTGAAAGGTGCAGAAGACTGTGAGAGTGCGAGGAACTGTATTGTCTTAGTATAGGGTGGTTGTAGAATGACCTTTGAACTTCAGATATTGGACGATGAGTACGCAACTGATGCGGCCTGCACGCTACGGCGGAGTACTATTGGCGCCACCCCCATTTCAATTGATCTGCCGTATTCGTCGGATTATTTGGGATCTTAGCGCAATCTCACTTTCATCCACTGCATGATTTCGCCTTCAGGATTGAATTGGCAAACTCTCGATCAGCTAGAACTTGGATCCATGGTAATCCAAAATCATTGCCCGAAATGAGTGGACTGGTTGGGTACAACAGCAGCAGTGACGAGGATGATGCAGTTGAACAACCTGTGCCTAGCACTGCTACGAGTAGTGCAAAAATCGTGTCCAGCAGTTCGACTCATAGCACAAACGGGCATGGGCATGATCATGGGCACCATGCACCTCTTTTAAACAGTGACCCGCAGGGCAACTCTGAGGTCGAGGTCGGGCCCTTGGTTGGTCCCGCGATGCCCACGACAACAGATACCCAGCTAGAGCAAGACTCTTCCCGGGACCAACTTGACTCACTATCCCAACGGGATACTGTCCGCTATCTGACACAGCCTTCTCACCCTATGACTTCCATACCACCATCTCCACCTGGATCACCAGACCCAGCGTTGAATACGAAATTCAAGCGATTCCTGGAACTCAAAGCAAAGGGAGTCCATTTCAACGAAGACCTCGGCAAGAAATCGACATTTCGAAATCCAAGCTTTCTTGCCACTTTGATGGATCGGGCAGGGCTAGAGAGTGATGATCAGTATAAGACTTCTCTTCCTCCATCGATATGGGATCCCTTAGACTTCCCGCCTCATGCTTTCAGGGAAGAGTTATTGCGTAGCCAGCATGCACTTCGAGAGCAGCAACAGGCTGTTAAGAAAAGTCAATCAGCAGCTGGAAAACGATCTATTGAATTCACGTCAGGTGGTACATCCGGCCACAACAGCAGGGATTCAACACCAGGGCTACCGAGTAAGCGGAAACGAGGCTGAGAGGAACGGGATGCCAAACAAATCATTTTGTTCAAGTAATCCACTCGCTTCGTGAGAATCCGAAGTCCCAGCGGAGTAGAGACGCGCTCCGAATTGTTAAGCGAGCCTGTCACAGGATGCATCCCAATATATTAGACCGGCGACGATGTGTCATAGTCTGAGTCGTCGACGAAGATGGTGGCCTCAATCGCGGTGTTCATCGGTAGATGAGAGAGAGGTATACGAGTACCTCGTACAGCGGTCGGAAGTGGGCAATGATTTGTGGCGTTCGTATGGCCAAGTCCAGGTCACGCAGAACCCGAAAATGGAGTAGACCATGTCATGGAGAGAAGCACTCGGTCTGGATACTACACAGTGACTGGTCGCCCAAGGATCTGGTAGGTGTGAAAACAGTTCGTGCAACACCGAACACCATGAAATGGCGCTGGTGATTGGATTGAGGGGGACACCAATCACACGGAAGGACGTGGTGATGTTTGGGCCAAGCGGGTTCCTGCAGCTGAAACGGCCAGAGCATCGATTTGCATGATGATCAGCAGTGATTGAAGAATGGAAAATGGCGCGGGGGGGGTTGGTATGGTCTCGTCACCAGCAGGGCAATGCGGAGGGGAAGTCCTTGATATCTGGCTCTTCCTTCTGGACATTGTCAAGTTGCAACTTGCAAGATCCCAACCCGATCTGAAAGGCAGAGAGTGATGATCAAACATTAATGGGGCATGTTTCAATCAAAAAAGAAATGTGAAGGGGGCTTGAGTCAGTAAGCGGCCCTTTGCAGCTTACCCACACTTTAGGCTTGCAGTAGTCAGGGCTCTAAGCGCAAGCGTTAAGTGCCAGAGGTCGCTAAGGCTGAGGGGTTGCATGTTTCATGAGAATCATCTGTCGGAGCGAGCATCTCATTTCAGAGATTCGATTTCATGAAGCACAATCGGAATCCATCGACCGCCTCGTATGGGGTACCCGTTCTTGTTATAGTGGTTCAACAGCATCAATCTTGCGCCTGCCGTTTACTGAATTGCTGTCCCGCGTCAGAGGGAATCTCGGTTCGTGTCGAGGCAGGGGAAAGGGGCACGCATTTGGATAGGATAGTATTCCTCGGACAGCGTTCCAGGCTGTCTTCAACCATCGCTCTTGCCTCCTTGTCGACGCGTATCCGTATGATCATGACTGCGACCTGAGCTGATATCCGTGACCCGAGTTGGCCAGTAGTAGTGCAGACGAGTGCTTTGATCAAAGTATTGTCAGAAGATGGTGTGGCGGATTCAATCTTGGGGGGTGCAATTCCTTCTCGACCATGTCAATATCTGGCAGTGGCTTGGGATGATTGGTGTGTCCATCCCAACAGTGCTCAGATGTGATTCAGCCTCTCATCTCAGTCTTGAATAATGACAGCTGGCAGAACTCCACACTCCAAGCTGGAGGGTTAATTAGTGTAGTTAGGTAGCTGCTCGAGCGTCCAAGTGCCCGTAGTTAGTAGCCTCTAGGGAGGGACCACCCCCGAAGCCTCCAGAGTCCAGGGCTCCACTTCCACCCATGGCCAACACACAATGCCTGTCGCGTGTCCAATCATCACCATAATCATCCTTCCCGGCGCTTACAGGCATATCGAAGCTTGCTCACAACTCTCGACTGGACCACTCACTACTATCCATCTCCATCTCCATCTCCAGCATCGTCTCCCACTCGTTCTTTTGCACGGCTTCCTCCATCCAACTTTTCGACACGCCTCCGTCCTTACCTTAGACGGCCTGTGAAACTCCCTCTTCTCTACTCCTCGGTTTCATGCTGCTCATCGCCGCTGGCCTGTCAGCGTCCTCCATGTGTTTGCCCCTGTTCCCAATGGCTTAATGCTTGGTTCCTGTGCTGATGCAGCCTACTTCGTAATCGTCGCCCAAAATGCTGCATCCGACCAGCAATTCCATAGCCCCTCGATCTCCCCAGACTCGTCTGACTCCAACAACCGCTGATGTTTCGAATGAATCGCCGGTCGATCCTCATTCGCAAGCCTCTGCTTCTCGAAAACCCGCCCACCAACTTCTGAGCAATAATCTTATTCCCAGGGACTATCTATCTTCACTGGCAGGCTCAAGATCCCCTGGCTTTCCGCCGCGACGGAACCTTGACGACGCTCCCTCCTCTACCACAAGCCCTGCTTTTAATAGTACACATGAGCTCGGCAGAAGTGGTTCAGCACAGGCACATCCCGGCGAAGCGCTGCTGACGGGGAGGACGAAACACAACCCTCCATCTGGATCCGAGTTGCGACCGTCTCCAGACCAAAGATCTGTCAAGTCCAGCAGTACCAATACCACAACCGCGCCGGCAGATTCCTTATCTGGGCCGGGACCATCCCTGATCTCAGAATCACCCAAATCTTTCGTCTCGTCCTTGACGAGCGTCCAGCACGAGGCTACCATGCCGCGCACTTCGTCCATCGACTCGGCCATCTCGAATATTTCCAATCCATCAGCGCCGCAGAAACTGCCCGGCGACACAAAGGACCCCAGTCCGCAAGAAGTTCGCAATTTGATTGCCACGGCGGGATCGGCGGAGAATCTCGTACAGCATCTCCTCAGGGACAAAGGCCATGCCGCTGCACAGAATGCACAGTTATGGAAACTGGTGGACAAACAGCGAGCGTTGTTGCTCGGTCTGAACAAAGATCTCGAAAGGGCGAGCAAGGAGAGAGACAGGTATAGAAAGAAACTGAAGGAACTGCAAGACAAAGCCCCATCGATACCCACAATCCACATGGAGGGTCATTCACCTCAGTCCGAAGGAGGTGCGTCTGTGTCATCGAATGAGGCTGTCATCGGGAGAGATACCAGGCCCAACCTGCATGAGGACCATCAGACCCCTCAAAAGCATTCAAGTCCGCCCATCCACAGTTCTCCCGTGGACTCTTCCATGATGCCATCCCCACTCCACATGCAGCAGCCACATAAGTTTCAAAGTATCTCGACACAGTTGGCAAACCCGATGGCCACAGTCACCGAGTCAAGTCCCCTCAGTGAAAAGGCTCCAAAATCTTTCCAGGCCTCGCGAAAGACTGCTCCGCGCCCTTTGAAGCTCAGTTCGGCCAAGGAAAATCTTCCCGTCGCACAGCAATACCCCCTTGGCGAGGCAATTGTTAGCGATGCAGAGGAAGAAATGCGACAGCCAGTCCCACGCGGACGACGCAAGACACGTGAAGAAGACGATCGTGAGCGTGAAATCATTGCATTTAAAGAGCAAGAAGCACGGAGTCGATCAAAGAAAGACAAACAACAAAATAGTGACATCGTCGACATTCAGGGCCAGGCACCGCAACCTCTATCAACTGTTGCACTGGACCAGATGCACACAAGAATGCAAGCTCAACTGTCACCTCAGTCGATCACGTCGGCAGGGTCGTCAGCACAATTGTCAATTCCTTTACGCAGTCCTGGTCTTCCTTTGAGCCCACGCCCTATTGGCCAGGCACTTCTCGGCGCTACACTACCCATGTCGCCTCGCAGTGTCGGTGGTGGAAGCAACTTCCCTCTCTCACCACGAGCACCAAAACAAGCACTTCCAAATCCTACCACACCTGGTACACATGCTCCTGCTCCGCATACTCTCGACGCTCAGAAGAGGCCGGCTCCATCCTTGGGTCCGTCTCCTCTAGCGAAGATGAATTCCAACAGTTCCTCAGATCAGCCTCCCATCCACGATTCACTTCTGAGTCCAGGTGAGATTCCCTTGGTGAATCGCAGTCTGGTTAGTCCAACCTGGCCTGATCTACTACTTCCTCCGAACGCTCTCCCCTCCATCCAAGTCAGAGTCGCATCGTCTCGCTTGAAGCCTTCCCGCAACAGTGTCATCGGCGTCAAGCCCCAAGAGGAATTATCAGTCTTCAGTTTGTCGATCTACGAGCGCGCAAGCGCCTCTGAGCTCTGGCGACTTGAAAAACTCCCCATGTCACTCCCTACCCTTGAACAGCAACTCAGAACCAAGTGCACTGAGTTACCCAAGTTGCCAGAGAGAAAGCTATTTTCGGGCCATTCTCCAGTCATTGTTGATGCTCGGCGACAAGCTATCGATAATTATTTCGACGAACTTCTAGACACACCGATGGATGAACAGGCAGCAGCATTCATTTGTAAATACCTATCCACTGATGTCTTGGATCATCATGTCCGCCCACCAGCCCAACAATCTGTCGACGAGACACAAGCGAAGTCGATCCCCACTCCACAGTCATCAGGAATCCCCACCAAGTCAGGGTATCTCACCAAGAAGGGCAAAAATTTCGGAGGATGGAAGTCGAGATATTTTGTGCTGGATAGTCCCGAGTTGAGATACTTTGAAGCTCCTGGCGGAGCACATCTAGGCACCATCAAACTGCTCAATGCTCGCATTGGACGCCAGACACAGTCCGATCCTCCAGGACGTCCCGAAGGAGATGCAGAAAATCAGTATCGCCATGCTTTCCTCATTTTGGAGCCGAAACGTAAGGACATGAACAGCCACCTGCGGCATGTTCTCTGTGCTGAGAGTGATGAAGAACGAGATGAGTGGGTTGAGACTCTTCTGCATTACATTGATGAGCGACCAACCGAAATGAAGGCTCAATATGGAGCAGGTGTGCAGAACGCTCAAGGAAAAGAATCCAAGTCGACTCACAAAAGTGGAAGCACTCATACCCATGACGATACGGAGTCCAAGCCAGCTAGTAGCCCGTTGCTAGGACACCCTTACAGCGACACACCATCGCCATCGAACGCGTCCAGTCACACTCCCGATCCTTCTCTTCCCGAGACGATACCAGCATCGAAATCGATGATTTCAGGTCCGATCAACGGCTCCAAAATCTCAGATGCTGGACTTTGGGGTAACAGATCAGCTGCCCCTGGTGGTAGCAAAGACCGTGACCGAGGAGATCGTGGCATGCGTAATCTTTTCCACTTCAGAAAATCATCGTCAGAGCAACTGGCCCAACATCAAGCCCAATCTCAACACCATCCCGCTCCTCCAAAAAAGACAGAGTTCCAAGTTCGGAGACAAGGCCCCATCCGACCCGTTTTTGGCATGCAACTCTCTGAAGCAACTACACACTATTCCCCGATGGATGTGGACGTATACTTACCCGCCGTGGTATACCGTTGCATTAGATACTTGGAAGCCAAGGACGCTGCCAACGAGGAAGGTCTCTTCAGGCTCAGTGGATCTAACATTGTGATCCGGTCGCTGAAAGATCGATTCAACAGTGAAGGAGACATCGATCTGCTTGCAGAGGATGAGGATTATGATGTTCACGCCGTGGCCTCTCTGTTCAAGATGTATCTCCGCGAATTGCCCGCAACGATTCTCACCCGAGAGTTACATCTGGAGTTTCTCAAAGTTTTAGAAGTTCCAGACAAGCAAAGGAAGATTCAGGCTTTCAATGGACTTGTACACGACCTACCCACCTGTAACTTCGCCTTACTGCGAAGCCTGTCTCAATATCTTCTTCAAGTGGTCTCAAATTCAGAAAGAAACAAAATGAGCGTTAAGAACGTTGGCATCGTTTTTTCCCCGACTTTGAACATACCGGCACCTGTGTTCTCGATGTTCCTGACAGAATTCGAAGCAATCTTTGACGCACCCATACAAAGAGATTCAATTCGGTCGACGGAAATCGAGCGCGAGGCTGGTGGTGCTCTGACCCCAGAAGACATCCGATCACCTCGGCGACAGATGTTCACCGACCTTCCAACCCCTGCTTATAACCAGCACAGCTTCGCAAATAATGCCATCAACGCGAATTCTAATGCTAGCGCTAGTCATGGAGCTTCACATCCTCATTCTCATGCACCACCCCCCGAGCACCATCGAGATCCGAGCGATGATCTTGGCTTTGCGCCCTTGCAACCAAGCTACGAATCACGCAATTATGTCTCTCATCCTCAAGATATGCCTGCACCACCACGATATCCGCCACCACAGCCACCTTATGGAGGCCAGGTCGACTACTCCGGATCGACCTTATTAATGACGCCTGAGAACGCTGCCACAGTCAAGGCCAAGAGACGCGAGAGCAGTATGCTATTTTTGTAGTTGAAAAAAGGCATCGAAACTCGAAACTCAGGTCTGTGACATGATACTCTATTTCGACCGGCCACTTTTTACGTTGTACGCGCCACCATAAACCAGACTTCTCATCTTCACTCTTTGTTTACCAAAATACCCCAATGATGCAGCAGAGGATAGCTTGATTGAGCTTCCGCTTATTTTCTGTCTAAAGATTACTACCTTTTTCTTTTCCTGCTACAGCTACCGCATCATGTACTTCTCCAGACTGGAGTAGCATTTCAGCGAACGGCATAGACGCGACACGGATCCTTTCAGGACCCCCCGCTTACCATTATTGTGTACTTTCTTTCTCCTCACCTGCTATGTTGCTGTCGAAACTTATGGAGAGGGTGAGAGAGGGCAGGATATCCTCTTTTCCCTCTCCTCGATACCAAATGTCAAATCGATCAAATCGTTTAATGAGGGCTTGAACTGGGTTGGATGAAGGATGATGAACCATGGTTGAAGGAGGGGAAAGGAGACTTTGGGCACGGAGAATGAAATGCATGAAACCCTTGTTCATGCTGTCCCTTAGCCTTCTCAGGTCGAGCTTAGGTACTTCACATAGGTAGAACTGGGGACGATGAAATGATATGAATTGTGACGAAGTGAAGACACAGTTGAACCACTCCTACCCGCCAGATTTACCTACACTCCTTGTCCTTCGATACCAAGTAGTTCTCTTCCAATATTTGTGCACACTTAAAGGTATGCCACCCACAGACCATCATACATTTGTCAGGAAGGAGGATCTGTCAGGTCACGGGAAACAAACGCAGAAGACGAACCTAATTACATGGACGAAGGCGCGTGCTTAGATTGAGTGCAACTGGATTGTTTTTGTCTTCAATTCCTCGCTTTTTTGCATCTTTCATTTTCAATTTTCAATTTTCAAGTCCTTTTGGGCTCTCAATCTTTGAAGTTCTTGTTGTTTTCTCGTTCCCAATGAATGCAACGCCGAAGTCCAGATTCAAGAATCTCGAAAGTGAGCCACTGGCATCGCAACTTGCATTCGAGGCCTTCGGTATCCAGCTCCTGCTGATCCAAAATTCAACCACCGAAGCTCAAGGTGCCGCACAACTTTTGTCCTCCCGCCGTCCAGATGATCTTTCCTGTGCTCCAGTTTCTCATAAGTTAGAACAGGCGACGACGAAAAGTCAGCATCCGATTCAACCCAACCCAAGTCCAGAGAAAGAAAATGATCCCAAAATTTCGTCAATTCTCCTCTGGCCAGTCCATGCATGCATTCTGGTCGCACGACTCATGCCTCCACAGCCATGTCAATGTGAGTGATCTTCAACAGGCGTAAATACCGGAAGTACACTCCCTTGCTGAAACCCCCTCAAAAACTCAACCACCTTCCTTCTCCAAGCTGGTGCTGGCGACTCTCTTCTTGCGACCCTTCTTGGCCTTGGGCGTCTCAATCGTCTCGTTCAATTTGGCGAACTGGTCTTTGGTGTCGTGCAGTTCGGCGGCCACGCGCTTGAGGACCTCGAGGGCGAAATCCGAATTCTCCCGGAACACCTTCTGGAAGATCGGGTCGGCCAGATAAGTCTGGTGCAGCCGGGATGCATCGCTTGAGGTATTGTTGACCAGCAGCTCAAACATGTTGGAGCCTTTCGCGGGGTTCTTCCAGATGGTGGATTTGTCGTCGTTCGTGCTGTTCGTACCTTTCGTGCCATTCGTGGTTGGGTTTGATGGGTCGCCACCGTTGGTGATTTGTTTTGGGGTTGCGAACAAATACTCAATGGATGGGAGGAAGACGGTGTCATTCCAGCTGAGCTCGTTGGTGAGTTCTTCGACGGTCATGATGGAAAGCTCGCTGATACCGTATCTCTCTGCCAGGACGTACATCTTGGCGTGAATTGCAACCGGGATCGGCCAAGTCTCCTCTTCCTTTGTGAATGGAAAGGGTGCTCCGGCCAATCCAAGTTCTGGAGATGAGTGAGATTGTTGAGCAATTTTGTTGGCTTTTCCGTTGCGCATGATAATGTTGATGTCGATGCCGGCCTTGTTGGACACGACGTCGCTATCATCGTCCGTACCGTTTCCATCGACGTAGTCTCCTGTATAAAGCCATAGGATCAAATGGCCGATCAGGACTGGTTCGACATTGCTAAGAGTGATGTTACGCTGGATACTAGCGCCGTTGCCAGTGCAGAGCATCTTGAAGAAGGTAGACTTCAGGAGCTTCTTGGTATGAACAGTCCAACTGAAGTCGCCGATGATCAATGTGAAGTCAGGTTGGGCTTCTTGTCTGAGACTCGACCTAAAGGTACGGAGGTCACTGTCTTCTGGAGGCATCATGTTGGTGGCCTCGGTGGATTGGCAGGTTTATCGTTGAAGAGAAGAAAATGGGTGGTTCAGAGATGGGTTGGAGCTCGGGATTGATGACTTGGCTCTCGATGAAGATATGACTTGCGTCTTTGCGACAGTGTGCAGATCAGCTGAGGAAGTACCTAATAGGACTCACTGGTATTTGATGGCAAGCAGTGTCTACCCTGCATGGTGGTGGCAGAGAGGATCGCAGGGCAACAACTGAACAGAAGAAGAGGTGTTGTTAGTGGATGAGAAGGTTTTGAGATCCACGACGAGGAGATCAAGAGGAGAGAGGAGAAGGAATGGTGGGAAAAGAAAGAAAGATAGAAATAGAAAGGGAGGGGATTAGCTCAGGTTGATGGACTTCACTGCCTGAAGGTGAATAAAGACGAAAGTGAAATGAACTAGTGATGCACGTAGGTGTCGTGGAGAACATCCTCTTTTCTCAAGTATCCTGATGAACGGACATGGAACAGAACTTGATAAATCATGAGTGCTCTTAAGAGCTATCTTCATAGGAGGGAAAGGATGCGGTCGATCGCACAAAATTTAAATGTTATTCAAGACCTGGGTATGTTGACAAACAACTAGTCTGCAGTTCGTAAATCTCATCGAACGGGCAGGTCTGAAATAAGTCTGTCATATTGAATACTAGTCACCTCTTCAGAACAACTGAAACACTGAGCTTCTTTTCTAGTGAACATCATTGCAATTTCTCGGAAGAAAGAGCAAGAGTCTACTGGAGATCAGAAAGACTCAGGGCATCAAATGACTTCCGAGATAACAGGATTCAACTTCGCTCTTGCGCGTAGGGAGAAATGTGAAAGATTGCTCCTTCACATTCCTCTGTACTTGTGATCTTCGACCATGGTAGTGGTTTGCGGTCGGAGACGTATTTTGCTCTGTTCTGAGTCGCGCGTATTTTGAAGGGGCGGCTAAGGGAAAACGAACAATTGAATATGGTTGAAAGATTTTGTACATATGTATATACAACGGCCATCGGGGTATCTTCGTGAAGTGGGGATTATAATGAAAACAGTATCAGATGACATGCAACACTTACTCTAGGCATATGATCCTTATGCTGCTGTCACCTTTAGGCTCTTGATCTGCCACGACTCCTGCTCGGCCCATTCCTTCTTTTCTCCGAGAATGCAGGTCGACTTGAGCTCCGGAGCGAGATCGACCAGATATTTCTGTGCGACCCTCTGAACATCGTCCTTGATGACGTCTAGGAGGTTTTCACGCATTCGCTGGTCCATCTCCTCGGTGATGCCATAAAGGAATTCTTTACTAGCTTCGCCAACCACGCTTGTTGGAGCGTCAATGCCCTGGAAAATACTGAGCTTGCTTTCCTCTATTTCTCGACTGCTCCATGCTTTATCATGTGCATAGGCACCTGCGCGCTGGAAGATGTTCAAAGAGTTCTTGGGGTTGGGGTCGCGGTATGAGGACATTGTGAACAGGCCGCTGACGGGGCTTGCGCTGGCCGATGCACCATAGGCACCGCCCTTTTCTCTGACTTCTGGATGAAGAAAATTGTGTACCAAGAGTTGGCTGAGGACAGTAAGCGGAGCTTTGTCAGGAGAAGCATATGGAGCAGTCTGGAGACAAGTTCCGGTATATGAAACTTGGAAGGGCAAGTCGAAATAAGCACGTCTAGAAAGAGCTGACCCAGGGACAAATTCGGCAAATTTTGAACCAGAGAGAGTTTTCTGGCTTCCTTTGGGTAGTTTAGCGAGGAAATTCGCAAGTGCAGAATGATTAGTGGTTGTCGAGGAAGGCTCACAAACAATTCGGACTGAAAGGTCAGCAGAGTTGCTAATGGCGAAGGACTGGATCTTTTGGAGCTTCTGGACGACCTCTTGTAAGGTTCCGGGGTTTCGCCGAGCAGCATCCAGTAAGGTGGCAGTAGCTTCGATCTGTGCTAGGCCCGACAGTTGGTCTTGTATCAGGCCACGTTGTGTGAGAGCAGCAGATGCACTGGTAATCGCGAAGTGATGACCAGTTTCTGCAACGGAATCCAAAGCGCCTGATGCTTTGGATTCCAACAACTCTTGTATTGCCGCAATTGCTTTAGGATCAGAGAAGTCTATCTCAAGAAGGAAGGTGTGAATTAAGTCGTACATGGCTGGGATGTTCCGATCCAAGGCGTAGCCACTTAGCATCAAGCCTTCTGTGTAGTTGTCGAGGCTCCAGGGTTCTGGAGCCGCATATGGAGAAATCGATATGCCGCCAGTTTTCAGGAGCATCTCGGCCTCAAGGTCTCCAACGGACTTTGTTTTGGTACCAAGTCTCATCAAAGACTCAGTGAACAGGGGAAGTAATAGCCGGAGTTCAGTTGGTAGATCATGCAAAACATGCTTGGCCTGGAAATAAGTGATGCCATTTGTGGATGTCTCACGCCAAAGACATTTCACATCACCAATTTGGTCCCAGTGGCGTGGTTTACTCTCTTTGGTGCGAGAAATATCATCCACGCGTAATGTTGGTAGGGTGTCGAGATTCTTTTGTTGGGCAGATTCTTGTTCTTCAAGAAGTTCGAGTTCCTGTTTTCCAAGTCCGGATATGGCAACTTCCGGGGACTTGGAGGATTTTTTGAGTTCCTCGAGGATCGATAGTCTTCGTTCTTCCTCTTGAGTTTCTAGATTTTTGGCGTACATGTCAGAGGGATGCATGACAAATTGCATGGTATGGTCGTTCATGAAATACTTCTGTACAAGGTTTTCAAGATATTTCTCTTGTTTCAGGCGACTTTTGAACGCATCTACTATGTCGTTCCAAGCCAGACTTTGCATAGGACTGACGCCATTGAACCAACCCGGCAAAGTCTTTTCTAGTAACCCCATTCCAAAAGAAGGAGTTTTGTGCTTTAAGCTAAGTTCGAGTTGATGCATATAGCCTTCTATCTTGTGAGGTTGGAATGCTTCGTGGGCGTTTTCTCGTAAAATTGTTTGAATGGTATCCTTTAATCCAGACACATCGTCGGACTTCATGCCATCGAGGCCGATTGAGAAGACCCCAACTCGACCAGAAGCATCATAGCCTGAGTTAGGACTAAAGTTGGTACCCAAGCCGGACTCGATCAAGCCCTGGTAGAGGGGAGACCCATAACCACTCATCAGAAGAGACATCATGATGCTGATGCAGAATGACTCAACAACGTCGGAAGATGAACAGCCCATCCAGGTGATGGATGATTTTGTCTGCCTGTCTGGTGGCTGCATGGTATCTAAAGGACCCGAGACTTCGAAAAGGTGTGGCCCAGTGGAGAGGTCGATTGGCAGTTTGACCTCTGAATCCGAAGTGGATTTCTCAAATTTTGAGATGGTTTCATTGACGTATTTCAGATGCTCAGCCAGGCTTAGACTGCCATAAGAGAATATCTTTGCGTTACTGGGGTGGTAGTGCTCGCGGGAGAACTTGACCAATTGGTCATGAGTGAGATTGGTCATGACTTCGGGATCGCCTCCAGAGTTGTATAGAGAAGGAAATAAATGTTCTCGAAACCTGATGTAGAACAAATAGCTGGCATCGGACATTTGGCCCTTCATCTCATTGTAGACGACACCTTTGAATTGGACGTTGTCCTCGGTGGCGACATCACGGGGATCCTGCGGACCTAGACGCCATCCTTCTTGCAAGAAGTCGGAATGTGTGAGCAAAGGGTGCAGGGTGGCATCGAGATAGACTTCCGACAGGTTGCGAAAATCCTGTAGATTTGTGGTGGCAAAGGGATAAGAAGTATAGTCGGAGGAGGTGAAGGCATTCATGAAATTTGCCAGAGATCTGGGCATCATTTTGAAGAATGGATCACGGACCGGGTATTTCTCACTGCCACAGAGGGTGACATGCTCGAGGATATGGGGCAGGCCTGTTCTATCGGTGGGATTTGTCTTGAAATTGATTGCGAAGACATTGTTCTTGTCATCTCGAGCGACATGTAGATATTCGGCACCAGTCTTCTCATGTTGCAGACTCAAGGCAGTCAGATGGAGTTCGGGCACATGCTTGATCTCTTTCAAGGTGAAGCCATGGAGAGTTTCTCCAGGCTTAGGATAGGCATTGAGGTCTGTTACCGACGCATAGCCTCTTTTGTTGGAGAAATGGAGTTTGGCGGATGGAGACAAGAGTCGGGAGTGGTGTGGCTTCAGACCATGGCGAGCGAGGCCACGCCTTAGCATCGCCGGCAGAGGGGATGTGAGAGAGGAGCGACAATCTCGGTATGTTTGGAAGTGTTTGATTGTCGATATTGATGGCTTGAAAGGGGAGTGCAGTGGGAGACGCAGTGGGAGATGAAGGAATTAAATGTCGTAAGTGTTTACAGGTAAGTAGTAAATTATGGATATTAGGGAAGGTGCAGTTGTAATAATTCTCATCGGGGAAGTCGCCTTGCAGATCTGGCAGGCCCTGTGTCTGCAGGTGCAACTTGCAACTCGCGGGTGGCAGGCGCGGATCACCCAAGATTAGACTTTTGAGTTGCACCTGCCAGTGCTGCACTTCCTCTTCGGCTTCGACTGCACTTCCAGTTCGAACTGACACTTGGATTTCGACACTCAAGACTCACATCCGCATCCACGTCCAACTTAACTTCTCACCAACACTTTGACCTCTCATGGTCTTCATCACCCCAGTGTTTCTTCACCAAATCTATCGTCACTTCAATACGCTTGATTTCAGGAGCCATTACAAGCCACTCCAACCGCGGATCCCATGGTGCAAGGCGCAATCTTCGTCGTTCTAGGGCTCTACAACTCATGCTACGCCACTCATTGGTAACACCTCCACCCACATTGCAAGGCCCTCATAATCTGTCGCTCCCCGACGGACCATGGCCACTGCACTCCCCATTCACCAAACCCCCGTCCTGCAACACTCCGGCTCCAATGGCGATGTCCAAGATTTGCCTCCCCCTGCTCCTATCGCGAAGAAGGGCAAAGCGAAGAAAGAGAAGCACTTGAGCGCCGAGGAAAATGCAAAACTCGTTCAAGCCAGACTATCTCAGTTGGAGCAGGAGAAAGCCGGCGAGAAAAATCAGCAGGCAGAGGTCGACCGTGAGGTGAAAAAAGCAACCAGAGATCTCAACGACCTAATAAGCAGCGTCGAAGGCCCCATGAATCGTCTTGATGTCGTCCAGAGAAAGTATGAGGAACTTCTATCCGACATGAAAAAGCTGGAACGTGACCATGCCAAAAGCAAGAAGCGTGCAGATCAGTTACAAAAGGACTCGGAAAAGGCAAAAACTGAACACAACAAGACCGCCACCATGAAAGATAAGCTGGAAAAACTATGCAGAGAGTTGACAAAGGAAAACAAAAAGCTCAAGGATGAGAACAAAAAGTTGGATGAAAACGAGAAGCAGGCACGTGAGATGATGAATGAAAAGCTCGATCAGATGCTCTATGATGTCCAGGATGCCATGAATTCAAAGACCACCACCCATGCCGAAAATTTACACCTCGAACTCGACGAATTGTACGTATCTCCCTCCATGTCATGTCGTCCAGTATCTTTTTTCCCCTTTCCATACTAACCCAATTATAGATTCAAGACGAGGTGCAAAGTCTTGTCCGATCAGGCCGATATCCGTGAAACCCACTTCAAGGCCATCCTTCGCCACAAGGACGCCGAGATAGCTCATCTGCAGGCAAAACATGAGGTGGAACGAAGACGAGCCGATGCTGAGGCCGCCCGCTGTCGTACTCTGACCAATCAAGTATCCACCTTCTCCCACACCGAAGCAGAGTTGAGAAGCCAGCTCAATATCTACGTCGAGAAATTCAAACAGGTAAGAATCACTCTTGTCACCACTTCCGACTTTATTCTTCCAAGACATTAGCTGAAATATTCTTGCTCACAATGCAGCAGGTGGAAGATACTCTCAACAACAGCAATGAGCTGTTCCTCACCTTTCGCAAGGAGATGGAAGAGATGTCGAAAAAGACCAAACGACTAGAGAAGGAGAATCTCACTCTGACTCGCAAACACGACCAGACCAACCGGAATATTCTGGAAATGGCCGAGGAGCGAACCCGAGACAAGGAAGACCTCGAAAGACTTCGCAAGCAGGAACAACAGATGCGGAACATCATCAAATCCATGCAAGAACAAGGTCGAGGAGGTCCGATCCAGCAAGACTTGGTCGATGAAGAAGGCACCGAAAGCGAATACGACGAAGAGTATGACGATGAGGAAGATGAGGACGACGAAGGCAGCTATGAAGGGGAGGAAGAATTGGCCGCCGAAATCGCCAAACCTGTCTTCGGACCTGTACCACCACCGGAGATGCTGGCGGGTAAAGCCAACGGCCAGCGTGCGACATCTGCTTCGGCCAGTGGCGTGGTTAATGGCGTTAAGCATTGACATTGTCATTGTCATTAAGATGGGTTTAAGTCTTGATTTTCAAATCGATCCTCCACATCCGTACAGAAAATATGACATTCTTATCCATGTGCATCTGCATACCTCGCGCTGTTTCAGTAGAGAGCAGAGTTGAATGGATCCTCAAGAACTGGTGCATCTATTATTCAAAGGAACGATTTTCTATTGTCGTACATGTAAACCCGCAACTCCATCGACTTGGAATCGTTGACATGGGTAAGATTACTAGTATCCATCTGCACGCACAGCGAATTATAGCTTACTACTCCTCGCACCCTCGATATACGTAGCGCCGAGGCGCAACTGCTCAACGGCCAGCCGGACCATATCCTCCAAAATATCCTTGGCGGGTTTGATGTCCGTGATGATGGCGGCGACCTGACCCATCAGGAACGGCATATCAATCTCATTCTCCTGCTCAATATCATACATCATGGGCACGATACCCTTGTCAGTGAGCTCCTTGATGCGCTCTGGCTGCGCCTCCCAGTTGCGCACGTAGTCGTTGAGCTTCATGCGGAGGGGGCGGCCCGACACGACGAGCGTGCGCTGCGTGTCGAGGAAGTCGGCGCTGACGACCGCTTCTTTGTGCAGTCTGCTGGCACCGGACTCGTCAGCCGCCACGAACCGCGTGCCCACCCATACGCCCACTGCGCCCTGCATCAGCGAGCTGGCCAGGCTGCGTCCGTCGTAGATGCCGCCGGCGGCGACGACGAGAGCAGGTTCGCCCGTCAACGGGGACTTGTATTTCTTCGCCACGTCCACGACCGCAGGGATCAGGATGCTGTTCGCGATGTCACCCGTGTGGCCACCGCCTTCGGTACCCTGGGCGCAGACGATGTCGACGCCTGCTTGCAGGGCTTTCTCGGCGTGTTTGGGGGCGCCGACCATGTTCATCACGAGGATGCCGGCTTCGTGCAGGCGTTTGATCGTGCGCGCCGGAGGGACGCCCACGGCCGACACGAAGATCTTGGCCCCGTTGCGGATCGTGACTTCGATCAGCTCGTCTAGCTGGCCGTGCGTGTAGTCGTGGTTTGTCTTACGAGCGCTGCCGCCAACTTGTGGGAGGGCTAGGTCGACGCCGAAGGGGAGGGATTTGTCTGTGAGGTTTTCTTTGAGCTCATCGATGATCTGAGTGTGGAATTAGTGGATTGTACTGATAGATTTGGTGAATGTTTACCTCTTGGAGTTGCTTGGGAGTATAGCCCAGGCCACCTATCGTTCCAATACCTCCTGCATTGGACACTGCAGCGGCGAGAGGGCCGCCCGATGTTCGAGCCATTCCCGCCAACATAACTGGGTATTTGATACCCAGCAGCTTGGTTAGCGGTGTGTTGAGGGCTGGTGGTGATGCCATGATGATGTGCTGTACGAGAAGTTGATATAACTTCAGTTAGTGATGGGGCTTCGATATCACAGTGGGAGACACAATGTTAGGGAAGAGCGTTGTTCGAGCAAGAAGTGATAATTGAATTAATAGAATTTGTATCTGGGACTGGAGACTTTCCAAAAACCATCCATGGATGCTGGAGATAAGTTGGTAGGGACTCAAGTGTGGGGTCGGCTGTGGTTGAGAACAAGCCGAGGCTGCTAGAGCGTGAGCCGGAGTGCGCAAACACAGTTACAGCCAGCGTGTTCCTCGCTACTTTACCCATGTTATGTGACGAGGTACGAGGTATCTCATAAACACTGGAAATCGCCGTGAGGGATATAGAACTGACCTACCTAGGGTGCTTCCCAGGTACGTACTCGTAGTATGAGTTGCAAGTTCAACTGGAATAGTTGGACATGAAATGGAGCGAAGCAAACTTAACTACGCTCGGCAAACATTCCTCTTGCAAAAATCAATTAGCCATGCACGCGACCTCCAACGCGTCGTATCTCCGACTTCGCGTCATGGGATTTTGGTGTGGACGAGTGACCAGTAAAAGTAATTGCGTTTTTGTAACAACTTTCAGTGTGTTTTCCTGGTCGATACTTGACAAGCCTTCACAGGATTATCAAGCGCTCCCTCTTCTCAACTCTTGCCACCATGGCGCCAACACAAGGTCTTCTCCGGCCTCACGACAAGAACGAGAAATTTGGCACCAAAACCCGTTTACCAGACACTTACAACCCTCTCTATTCCTACCGGTTACCGCGCGGGGAGACCAAGCAATACCTTCAACAATATGGCGACATGTACTTCTTGCGGCTAGCCAAGTTGAAGCCCGTGGTGGAAAAGATTGCCGAAGCAGATTGGGAAGACTTTGAGATCGCCGGGGAGCATGCGCAGAGGGTCGATAGAGTCTTGGATGTGCGACAAGGCCAGCTATGTTGGGTCGTGGGAACAGTCTACCTCGACATGGCTCTAAAACCCAACATCCTCGAAGACATATCCAGAGAGCACTGGATCGCTGGCCCACCTCCGAGGAAATCCTACTTCTCTCAAGATGGCGAGACACAGATCATGTTGGAGGATGAATCTGGGAGATTACGACTGTCGGGCGCAATGCTTAAAAACACATTACTCGTCACCGGTGTCATTATAGCCGTCCTCGGAACAGAGAATGCCAACGGTGACTTCGATGTCCTTGACATCCACATCCCAGAACTACCTCGCCAGCCCAACCGTGGCGAGCGAGACGAAGAAGAGGATGAGGAATCCAAGATGGACCTCGACAACCAACCCCGGAAGAAAATTGCGCTGGTCAGCGGCCTCAACATCTCCGGCACCTCGGCCGACACACTACAACTCTCACTGCTCTCCGAATTCCTCCTGGGAGAATCCCTCGACACAATCGACCAAGAATCCTCGGCACAAATCACACGGCTCGTCATCGCGGGCAACTCCATCGCCGCAGACGCCATCATCAGCAACGCATCCAACCAGCAAAGCGACAAAGCCACATCGACGCACCACGCCAACAAGAAATACGGCTACGACGCGTCCTCGTACAATCCCATCCCAACACAACTCCTGGACGCCTTCCTATCCGAACTCCTCCCCACCGTCCCGATAACCATCATGTCCGGAGAACAAGACCCGGCCAACACGTCTCTCCCACAACAACCCATCCACCCCGCCATCTTCCCGCATTCCCGTGCCTACAGTTCCACGACCACCATCACCTCCCTCGACACGATCCCCACATCAAACACCCAACCAGGCTGGTTTGACTCGGTGACGAACCCCTGGGACGGCGACATCAGCGGCTGGCGGTTCATGGGCAACTCCGGACAGCCGGTCGACGACATCCTGAAGTACGTGGACCTGGGGGGCCCGGACGGCAGCGGCGCCGACGGCCGCCTCGAGGTCATGGAGAGCATGCTGCGCTGGCGGTGCGGCGCCCCAACCGCCCCGGACACGCTGCACTGCTACCCGTTCCAGGAGCGCGACCAGTTCGTCATCGATGCGTGCCCGCACGTTTTCTTCGTCGGCAATCAGCCCCGGTTTGACACGGCCGTCATCGATGGGCCCGGTGGGCAGACGGTGAGACTCGTCGCCGTGCCGAGTTTTAGCGTCACGGGCGAGTTGGTGTTGGTGGATGCCGAGACGTTGGAGGTCGAGGTCGTGAGGTTTGATGTTGATGATGGGTAGATACCCAGGGGGTCGTGGAGAAGGAAATGGATGCTGTTGCATGAATTTTGGTAGAATAGATAGATACAGATTACATGGGCTTCATGAATGTGATGAGAGCATGACCAGCAAGTTTAGTGTGGAGGCAGGATTGTCGGACTATGTTTTTCTTTTCCAATCCCATTGACTACCTAGCTACCTATGTGCAATCAAACTACGGCTTGTTTTGAGTATGGACACATATACGCCTATAAGTCATGTATGTATAATACATGCAGGTCCAGTCCGAAAGTCTGATGGCTTTTGATAACAAAAACATACCCCTCCTATCCATGATCGCAGTCCCTTCCTTCCGCATTCAACATCCAACCATCTTCCACGCCAGAACTGACTGCCAACTCCAACTTGCAACGAAAGTATTACTCCTGGCGCACGTATAGGCATGTACAGTATTCCATGTGACGATCGTTCACTTCTTCTTCCCAGCGGTCTTTGGGACTTCCTCAGGTAGATATCTGGACGAGACATCATCACCAAAGAGTTGCATGTCACCCTTTCCACCCATGCCCATAAACTCCATCTCCTGCCGATTCGCAGCAGGATGTTCTTCCTTGGCGTTGGCCGCTGCCTTCTTCCCCTTGCCTTGAGAGACCATGCGGTTCTTGCCTGCGGGGTTCTTGTCCCACACCTTGACATGGGCAGGCGTTGTGTCGGGAGGTGGGCAGGAGCCATTCTCACCTTTTGATCGATTCGCTGTGATATCCACAACTTTGCTCACCTTGATATCGTTGATGTTGGCCAGCAGAGTACGCTCACGCTCAACTTTACGCTTAGAGAAGTCGAGCGAGTTCATCACACCAGTAAGGCCGTCAATCGAGTCTGCTGGATTGATGTAACTAATATCGCGAGTCCAAGGGTGGTCGAGGCATTCGTCAATCGTGATGCGCTTGCTGACATCGACTGTCAACATTCGATCAATCAAATCTAATGCCGGATCGCCGACGGGGTCCCAGTACGGTGAAGGGTAATCGAAACGTCCCATTTTGATCTGCTGGGCGAGTGTATATGGATTTTCTCGAGAGTAGAGCTCGTCAGAAAAGGGTGGAAAGCCGCACAGACAGATGTACAGGACAACTCCGAGAGACCACACATCGACCGCTTTGGAGTACTTTCGATGTCGGGTATTTTCTAGGATTTCAGGCGCAACATCTGAACAATAGTTAGCTGGGGATGATCAACAGTAATTGTGATCGTCCACCTACAACTAGGGGTTCCACACAAAGTAGTGGTGAACGACTCTTCGCCAATGATTTTAGCCAAACCAAAATCTGCCAGCTTGATCGACAAATTCTTGTCTGTCAGTAAAATGTTTTCCGGTTTGATATCACGATGTACAATGTTTCTCTCATGGAGATATTTTGTGCCTTGGAATAGCTGGATGAAGACCTTCCGAGTCTCCGCCTCTGTGAGTTTTTGTTTCGTTACAATCCAGTTAAAGAGCTCGCCCTCTGCGGCGAGTTCCAAAACGAGGAAGACGCCATCAGGCTCATCGAAAGTCTCCTTGAGGCACAGAACATTTGGGTGACTGACACTCATGAGGACGGCGATCTCCTGCTGAAGACCTTCGGTTTGTGAGCGTTGCGAGTCACCCATACGCCTCTCGAATTTCTTGACCGCGAATTTGAAGCCGGTGGATCGCTCGACACATAGATAGACTGTAGCGAAATGACCTTTACCGAGCTGCTGAAGGACACGGTATCGCGAGTTGAAGGCACTGGAATCCCGGCTGCGGGGATAACGGAACACGAAGCGAGCCTCATCCAATATTGCAATCTCATCGCCGTCTTCCAATTCCCGTCGCTTATTCCGACCGACCAATTGCTCTTGTACAAACGTGCCATTGATGGACAGGTCTTCCAGGACAGCAATGACATCGCCGTTTCGGGTTTCGTTGAAGAGTAAACAGTGACGGTTGGAGATGGTGGGAATATCAAGGACCATGTCGCATTCGGGATGTCTACCTATCAGATACCCTCCGGCGGGAAAACCTTGGACGGTTTTCTCGGCTTCATATTGATCTTCGTCGCCTGCGAGCTCCTTTTTCCCGCGCTTCTTGCTCTTGACTGTTTGTCTAGAAACTTCGAGAGGTTTGATTGGGGCGGGACAAAAAGCTCTTCTCTTCATGGTCAAGCGATGTCCAACCTCGGCGGAGGGAAATAGGTAGCCCCAAGTACCGTCGTCATCGTCCAAATCAGCTTGGAGGTCTTGGGGCGGGTATATAAATTGTGACAATGGCTGTGTGTCTTGTGGAGGAGAAGAGAGGGCGTAGAGCTGGGGGGGAGATGGGGGAGTAACATGACGCAGCTGACTGGGACGGCCTTCGGGCGGACTTGCGGTTCGCTCTTTGAAAGGCTCTGTAGCGGTGGATTCTTGTGCCGTCAAAGGCGATGGGAGGTAATGCGCCTTTAGAGGTGTGTTGTGAGGTTGGTTCGGGTCTTTTTGAGACTGTGAGGACAACCTCTCGGACCGTCGCACCTTCTTGGTATCATGTTCGTCGTTGGTACTATACTATAAGTGGACCGGTTAGGGTTGAGGCTTTCAAAGGCAGGCACAGCTGAGTAAAATACCCTATTCCGCTTGAGGCTGCTTTTCTCCTTCTTGGGACCCATTCAACCAGGAATGGCGTAAAGTTCTCTCCACACGCCGTACTGGTAGGCAAAGATCTCCGGTTGCAAGTACCGGGTTAAGAACTGATGATCAGACCTTGGTAGCCTCTGTCGCTGTAAAGAAGAATAAATAAGGCAAGATGAATCCCCAGAGGAGAAGAAATCAGATGGGCCGATGAAAGGTTGTGTGCGCGAAAGTGAAGAGAGGAAGAATCAGAGCATAAAATGAATTGACATGGATGGACGACGTGCGGATTGGGGCACAAGTAATTGGCGAGGCGTGCAGTGGTTCAGCTCCGGGGTTCGGGTTCAGGTTCAGGTTCAGGTTCAGAATCAAAGTGTTTGGTAAGCTGCCATGAACCAGTGACCAGTCCGTCGCCTGTCATCCAGCAATGCCGAGTTGTGGAGATTCCAGGTTCCGAGGAATTGGGGAAACTTGAATGACTCTCGAGATGCGTCAATTTCTATCAACTGCCAGTGTCAGTGACGCCGAGGAGAGGATAATTCAATTCTTCCCTTTGTGTTCCAGAACGATGAACACTGATTAGTACTCTGCGATAAAGTGGTCTGGATCATTAACCCCCACCAGCAAGGCACCATTGATCCCTGGTCCAGCAATGTTGTTGTTTGTTGGCCAGGCATCCATCGCGTCGAGCATTAGTTAGTCGCGCCATTATTGGCCACAAGGGCTCTTTGAGGATGTTCTTATCCACGTCAGGTCAGTCACAGATATCTGATGCAAAGACTCTGATGGCCATGGATGAATTCAAAGCAGCGACGAGTATGTACCCTCCTCTGTCTGCAAGGAAACATATGTCTAGATGACTTCGGGCACATAGCCCTTCAGGGATAATATTAAACTCCCATCTCCCTAGGACTTGAGCAATGACAATTCAGTTGAGCACTCATGCACGAGAGCAACTAGCCCTCCTCCTCTTCTTCTTTAAACAGTCAGGTCTATCCCCACTCTTGTTCGAAGTTGTTTTCAACCTCCTTGTCTCCGATTATAGTATAGGTTCAAGGTGAGGTGCAATGACAATTATCACAGCCAGCCTTGTCTTGCTTCTATTTCTCATGCGCACAGAATCTGCTACTAAAGTGATCAGATGTCGTTGGACAAAGCTAACAAATCAGCATCCTTCAACAATGTGAGTACAAAGAGCAATGGTGACGGTGGTGGTGAAACAAACGGGCAACCACATCGCTGACTTCATGCCGGTACCAATGTCCAACTCCATTCTCATTGCAGTGCCGTGCACAATAAATTCACCACTAACTCACAAGACAACGTGCGCCTAACAGCACTGCTGTCATGAAATGACATGCTAACTGAGTTCTGCTTTTACAACCTTGCCCAAAGACGGATTCCTTGAGCCTAGACAGAACGCAGAATTGCTGCATGTCGTGCAATCCACCTCCGACCAATCCTTCATGCCGTTCAAAAACCACCATCATGAGCAGGTAACTACAGCAACTCATATCCCTCCAAATCTCTGATTCCAATGAATTAGCTTTATCAACTCGAAGATCGTGACCGTCCTTGTGGGTCCAGATGAGGTCGAGTATTACTTCCATAAAGACATACTGGTCGACTCGTGCCCATTCTTCGCAAAGTGTCTCTCAGTGAATATGGAAGAACATCTAGCGAACATCGTCAGAATGCCGGAAGATACAACCCGCGCCTTTCACCTCCTCACCTTGCACCTCTACGGAAAAACAATTCCCGCTCTCACTCACATGTTGAATGTCCTCGACAACATCGAGGCCTGGATTCTTGCGGATAAGCTATGCATGCCTCACTTCCAGGATATCCTCATGGCCAGAATGATGAGATATACCGAGTACAATTACATTTTCCCGGGCTACCTTGCCGACCCCAGTATCGTACTCAACCCGGACTCCATTCTCGGCAAATTTCTGCGAGATCAAGTTATCCACGATATGGCCAGAGCGGCTGGAACCCTATCGGGAGCAGTATATTCGGGAATGAGCGAAGAAACTTGGGATGGTTTGCTCGGTAACGGTGTCGTCGATAGCAGGATGATTCTAGATCTGGTCACTGCTGCCAAAAGCACTCCTGTCAATCCATCGAAGCAAGGTTGCAAATACCATGTCCATGGAACCACCGGGGTGTGCATGGTCCCAAATTAAGTGGCTCACCCAGCACCATCAACGCTACGATTCTTCTCTTACAAACATCACGATACGTTGGGCGACTCTTGGACAATCGTCATCACATTACCACATGCAATGACCTCCTGTCTTGCCCATGGCCATCGAGCAAGCTACATTCCCATGGCTTGAACAGCGCATTTGTCTCCCGTAATAACCATCCCGGGACCCATGAGAACACAATTCATAAATTCAATGTTTCTCTCTTGCAATCAATGCTGTACATTCTATGCCTCTGACCAATCCTGGTCCAGAAAGTGTCCAGTTCCCCTTCATTGTCTTGCTTTTTTGGTCCATCGTTCTGCCCTTCCGGTCCTCCAATACACAATCGCTGCGGACAATAGCTACACCTCTCGTTCTACACATGCCAAGCAAAGGTCAAAGGTAATGCATGGGTTTGGGAGAGGGATCACTGGCCTAAGGAACAATTGGATGAGTGCCCTCACTCATGAATCAAATTGCACAACCTTGGGAGATTGTGGTAAACGGAAGCAAAGTTGTAGACCAAGCTAGGAGGGTCATGGTCTGAATGTGAAGACCATCGACTGGTTCAGGGGACTGGAATTCGAGCGCTCATGAGGCAAGTCAAATTAAGTTGCAAGGATGACTGATCAGCTGTTCTGCTATCCCATTCCAGGAGCCTCTTGCGCTTTTCTTGTTTTTTGTGAACTGGCTTTGGTCGTGGTTTGTCATGCCATTCACCTCCACGAATTGAATCCTTTCGCTGACCGAGCCTCCACTACCTTGCCCATCCCATAAGCCCATCAAGTCACCATGAGAGATCTCGCTCACGACGATCGATTCATGCTATCAGCCTTCTTGGTTGATCGTCAAACCTTGCTTCAAATCAAACGCAGCCAGCAAATTCTCACTGCCTAATTAATGAAAATTCATGTTCACCAGCACTCCATTTCGACTTCTGCCGATGTTCGCAGCGCCTCCTGTGTGCTTTCGCTTCCTGGTCGTGCCGAGGAAGCCTATTCAACGGTATCGGCGACCACGAGCCAGGAAGTATTGACATCACCACTCGGTATCTTCAATCCGTCCTGCTTGATGAGGCTCGTTCGCGCGGACGTGATATTTCTCAGGCCGCGTCGCAGGTTCTTTTGCTATATCTTTCGCGTTCACGACTGCAAAGAGGATAGGGACAGGAAGATATTCTTGCTTTGCCAACAGAACCTCAAGCTCTTTTGCATAGTCGTCCTGGTGTCTCCCAGGGTCACTCGACAAGTCCCACGCTAATTGCCTGAAGCCCAGTAGGAAGAGAGGCAATGATTGATCAACGTTATCAAACAGCCAGATCAGGTGCTGAGGTTGAAAAACACACCGGCGCCAGAAATCCGCCAAGCCATCCACGAACTTGTTCTGCCATTCAGGCATACAAAGCTTGTCTGCGAGCACCCACGCCTTCATCATTCCGGCCACTTCTGTTTGGGTCGCTGCACTTGGAACATTCCGGCTGTAGATCCAAAGGAAGAAGCTGTCAAATGACACACAGCTATCTTCGGGGAATTCGACTTCATTGGCTTGTCCTTCTTTCATTTGAGGATTCAGGCACAGTCTGAAGAATGGGCTTTCCTCGATCAACTTCTCTTTGTGCGCTGCATAGCAGTGACGTTTGGCTCCAACGATGATTGTGACAATCGGAGAGGCTGCGAAACTGAGAATTTGTTAGCACAGCCCGATTACTCTTAGCAGATTGACGCACTGTTTTGGAACAGGCTCATCTGCCACTTCAGCCTCATCCACGGTATCACTAGCCGCAGCTGAAACAAGATTGACTGTGCTGTCCGAAGCCATCGTGCAGATGGTTCAAGAAGATTGGATGGGGAGAATGAAGATGTGGATCTGAATTTCGAGAATTCTGGGAGAAGGAGCTCAAAAGAAAGTCAAATCTAGCGAAAAGTTGAGAGATGACAGAAAGATGAAGGCTCATTATTTTCAATTTCCCTTGCCGCCGTCTTTGTATACCGCGTCGCAAAGTCATTTCCTAGAGGCAAGATGATTGAGTTAAAATACCGTTGCCTGCGAAGAGCGCCAACTTGCCACGGATCAAGCGACTCCGCAATTGCTCAAGTAGACCCATAGAGCAAAACCATTATCGGTGCCAACAATGCCAGGAAGCAAACTCTAGACACATAATCTATGAGAGCGTTGACTTATGAGGAAATAGCAGCGGCAAAGCATGCCTGTCTATTCTCATGGACCTGATAAGCGCGTGGAAGCTCGTTGTGACCAGCAAAAAATTGTGCCCCAAGCTCGATCCTTTCTATGGAGCTATTTGGCTACTCTGCTCGCTGGTTGCTCAAATCTTCTGTATCCAGCTACAAACCACCTTCATATCTCCGCCAAAATCTGACAGTACCACTTTGCCCCATGTCGTTAAGTGATGTTGAGCATGCTTTCGTGAGGGTTCCGCTTCCTTCCTGGACCCCTAAGCTCAACAGCAAAGTCGGCAGCCATTTCAGGGATCGAGCATCTTCCAGTGACCTGCCACTGTTGTCATTGGACTCCTCACGATTTCATTGCCTGTTCACATGGCTGGTCAGCAGGATGTAGGTGGTATTTGCATCCCATAGTTGCTGGTCGCGGGGATTCCAAGGATTTCGCCTCGACAACAACGTCGTGGAGGAATTCTGTCACGCAAATGTCACATTCTGACCACGATGACACTAGTTTCCGAAGTCCATTGGCCCCCGTGCCATGCTCTGCTTCGTCCTTCTTACGGTAGTGCTTGGGATAGCGAGCCAGAGTCCATACCAATTGATCCCAGACAAATCTGAAAATCATGGACTTCTGCGAACCATTCTCAAGCAACCAAAGGAGTTTACTCGCTTGTATCAACTTGGTGCGTTTTCCAATTTCTGTCATGATCCGATCCTGCCATTCTAGCATGCATAACTTGTCGGCCAACACCCAGGTTTTGACGTCCAAACTCAGCCCCCGCGCACCTTTGTCTGCTTCATAGAGGTCCGGGACGGCCTCATGATATATCCATTGGAAAAAATGAAGAAAGCATCTGCTGTCATCATCATCCGGGAAAGTTACTGTGTTGCTCACGCTTTCTTCGAGGCCAGAAGCAAGGCAATTAGCGAAGAAGGGGCACTTTGCGGTCAGCACATCCTTATGTGCTGAGAAACTATGTTTCTTCGAGCCAACGATGATCGTAATGATGGTGGATGAGGGAAAGGCACTAGATTTTGGTAAGCGAGGATGGATGTGGGACTCAGAGTGCCACACCTACGTTGGAAGCCACTTAGTAGAAGATGTAGCCGCAGCTTGGTTCTCTTCTACTCTATCGGCCGTCGCAACGACTTTTGACTGGGGTTTCATTGGAATGCGCCAATGAAAGTGTAATTTTGTGGTGTTTTGGGATGGTCCGCGTGGGTTGGAAGAAAGTGATCGAGGAGAGATTGAGGAAGAGAATCTTCCTGAAGTGGGTTGAATGCAGACTTGCAACAGAGAACTTCACTCGAGAGCAAATTCACTTCCATATCACTTGACTCTGTGACACGTCACTGCTCAAGGATCGTGAAGATATTGCATGGTATGGGCGACGGAATGTCACTAAATGTGTGATCTCGCTCGAACTGCCCGGCCTTTGAATCTGGGATGTGATATAAAACTACGAAAGTACTAGTAAGAGAGAGGTGGGCAATCGCATTGACTACGAGAATATCTCAGCTCGGTATTTTCTATCTATGGACGAAAGCTGAAGAAAGGAAGGCATTGAGCTCGCGGTGACAGTCATAAACCTATGATTTGAAGAGGGCGATTTGAACGGTGCAAAGCTGAAGACATGGAATGACACGTAGTCTGGTATCTCTGCCGCAACGTAAGGCTCACTTCTTTTGGGCACAAGGCTCGTACTTCGGGTGCACATGGTATTGACATCCTCTCTTCCTTGCCGGCTCTGTGGATTGCTTCTTGGAGACCACACCAATATCATAAACGAGCTGTACAATACTGACCTTGCAGTCTGGCCACCATTTTGTCAGCTCGTTGAGTTTCTGGACAAATTCACATCGTGAGGATTCATCCTCATTGGGGTGGTTGTCGTAAATTTGAAAGTTCCAGACCAGTTCATCATAAAACAGTTTGAATAATGGGCATTCCTTCAGCTCATCATATTCCAAGTCAATATTGTCGGGATCCAGCAACCACAAAATCAGGTTTTTTGGGACTTTAGAGCTCTGAAGCCATACCATCATGCAATCAATGAGCCAGTCCTGGCAATCCGGCATGCACAGTCTCTGCGCCAATAGCCACGCTTTTGGGAATGTTTCGATGTACTTTTGGGAATTAGCTTCGGTAAATTTCAGGTCCGTATCACCATAAATCCAAGACAGTATCAAGCTGAACTCTGCAGACTCATCTGTTGGGAGGTGAATCATATTGGTCATGCTTTCTTTCATTCCCGAGGAAAGACATTTTTCAAAGAAGGGAGATTTTCGCATCAAGATCTCCTTGTGAGCCGTGAAGACGTGCTTTTCTGCGCCGACGACGAGCGTGATGATTGCGAATGTGGCCAATGTACTGCGTCCATGTTAACTTCAATTCACTTTGACCAGTTTTCCTGGGACGGGGTACTTACATTGGGAGAGATGAGGGACTAACTTTTGCCTTCGCGGCATTGAGTTTCGCGCTCAGTCCTGAGCTAGACGCCATTTTGAGTGTTGCACTTGAATGTTGCTCGGGGAAATAGCTAACCTGGCTTGAAAAGGTTGAGGTAGATATATTGTATGAGGATGGGAAGGCTAGAATTTTGTGCGAGAGTTTAGAAGAATATATTGTGGTTGAGGCAGATGCATATGCTGAGGCACTTTCAGCTTAGAGCTGCCTCAATAACCCCCAGACTGCCTGTAAAGAACAACTTCACAAAACAATTCACAGGCAGGCGGTGTCGTCAAGTGAATCCATCTCCATTCATTTGATATGGGTATATGGTATGCTGACTGACAGTATGGGTAGATGGAGTCCACCTCGATTGACTTCAAGACCACGGACAAGAGGAGGGACTTATTGCCACTCCAATCTGTAAAGACAGATTATGCTGTCACTCCAAGGCCGTTTCAAGCGTCATCATCTCGAAAAGCCCATCCGTCACAGTGGCTTGAGTCTTATGCACAGAACGCACCACTTAACATTCTCCGATGATATTTTGAACCTCACGAGGCTGCAAAGCTGAAAGTAGCTCTGGTGGGCATTTTAGCTGTATCAAGCAAAAGATATCGGACTGATCCACCCGGATTCTAATGTCTTTGTGACCCATGTCAAGCTGCAAACGTTAGACAAAGGTAGTTCTGGTTGTGTGTCTGGAGTTCTTTAGTCTGGAACTATGCGGATGGGCCGGGGTTGCCCGTTATGTTCATTGAGTAAAATTGTGTGAGAAAGACACGTTGGGATGTCATTTCTCCGTCGTAGATATCAAGCTATGACTAGTAGCCAAAGGCAGTCTGGATTGTGTTCCCGGCGTTCCTTGCTTTCAAAGAATTCCATTGTGGAGGGCATGCACTGTTTTGACCCTGCAAGATGCATTGGAGGAACCCGATTTAGGGGGTTGCAGCCTCGCGCGAGCCGCTCAACTCCGACATCACAGATTTGGCGCGGACACACCTCACCACAGCAAGAAATATCGGGTTCGCGCGGCAAAGATAGATTTTTGTGGTTTGTAGGCATGGGAATGGAGTATCCGGCTGGCAAAAGAGTATATGGCTTGCTTATAGGTCATCATAAAGCACAGGTGAAGCATAAAGAGCAGTTCAGGAGGCAGCTTGCCTGCATTTTGGCCATTAATTGCTATCATTGCTGGCTATTGTTTGAGAATACAGGTTTTTAGGCTGTGTGGACGGTCTTGAAGCAGTAGATTATCTGGCTGCTGGCTGCCTCGTACCATCTCTTATGTAGTAGTCCTCAGGGCGATAGCCTGGTTTCTTAGAACCCCGTTTAGCTTGTGAAACATTCAATACTGTTAATGATGTGTTGGCCATCTCTTCCACCGGCAAATCAGATCTGGAGACGATTGCTTTCATCTGAGGGCCCCAAGCCTGTATGCTACCGTCATTGTTGCCGTAATGCCTCGGCTTGAGAGTGCTGTCGTGCACGAAGCATTCTGTTGCCAGGCGGTAGAGTTGATGATGGGGTGTGAGGTGATCTAAGACCAGGGTAAATTCTCGAGGAGACACCAGGTTCTTTTGCCAATACTTTGCTATCTCATCGATCAGATCGTTTGGAAAGAAGCGGAGCATCATAAGCTGGTCTACTCGTATCCACGCCATCATCATGATGAGATTCTGGTCTTCATTTCGAACCGATGGCAAGCGTCTGGTATACAACCAGTGAATCAAAATTCTAAAGACCATCGGATCGTCTGTAGGGAATTCTATCTTATTTTCCAAGCTCTCTCGCATGCCTGCAGCCAGACATGTGGTGAAAAATGCCGACTGGACGACCAGTAGGTCTTTGTGGGCCTTCAACTGCACCTCTTCTCCGCCTACAACAAGGGTGATGATGGGAGAGCAATCATAACTATACCACTGTCAGAAGGATAGCTCTTGAGGAATTCCGCGATATCATTACCACTTAGGATCGATTTTCTTGTGGCTTCTTCTGGAGAAGGCTGTTAAGGTTTTGATTGCACGAAGAGCATTTGGGACCGGGTTCTGGATCCTTCGGATCTCTTGAGTCTTTCGGGTTGTTCTGGGTTTTAGAGTCTTTCGGGGTTCTAGAAGCCCGTCAGAATACAGCACACCACCAGGTAGAAATTTGACATTACTAGGAGCCATGGTGAGCGTGGAATATGCTGTCTCAATGTCTCAGGTGAATGATAAGCTTTAAGTGCATGAGTGTAGTGGTGCTTTTCATACTCAGTGTGGAAGCTCAGCAAAATGCACAGTCAGAGGCGTATGCATGGTCTCACGAGAAGAATCGGAGTAGCAAGCTGTTTAACAAAGAGCCGGGTGTCTGGATAAAAGCAGCCAAGCCCAAACCGTGATTGAGGGGCGGTAGAGGTCATCAGCGTGCCTGGAGATCTCAGGAGGGCGCGGCTGCAATTGCTGGAGCATTGGATTGGAAAACATTCTCATGAACATCTACACTAGCATTATCCGGCGCTCAATACCATCCTTCCAGCTACACGACGTTATTTGATGGCCTTCGTGGCTGCTACAAGGTGTTGGAAGATGAGAAAGTATATTCATTCTTTTGGACCAATAGAAGAAGAACCACTTAGCAAATGGACGACGGAGCTTTTCGCTATGTACGCATAAGCCTGCAAGGAGCGATCAGAGACAGCGCTGCGGGCTAATGTCCAATGAAGGACATATACATGTCTATTTTTCACAGAAACATTAACCAGTCCAATGGACGCTGAGAGATAGGGATCAATCCCTGGAATTCGACATCTATTCAGCACGCAAAGAGTCCTGCTCGGCCCCAAATATATAGCATTCGGGAAAAGGGAATAGTTCCAACATGTGAATTCGGTCGTACAGATGCCATCTCCATGGAGCAAGCTGAACAAAGGACTTCAAGGCTGAACACCCCTGAGCAGAGTCATGTTGGTCACCAGGTATCAGAAACATGGAATACAATATGTGTGTTTCTGTGGGCATATTCACTAGCATCAGACTTAAGATTTAATCTACCCTACGTTCAACTGAAAATAGACGTGACAGATCTCCTCCTCAGAAAGACATAACCAGCTCGAAGAGACAGATGTGGCCGACGGTGGACTATGGCGAGATCAACACGAAACAGAAGTATAGCCTGGTGCAGTAGGGAGCCTCACGGACATCGAGATACCCGAAACCCAAGTATGGAAATCTGTCGCCGCATGTAAGTAGACAACGATATAGAGCGATGGTCTCAAAACAAAAACATCTGTGGCGTGCATTGAGCTGGATTGAATAGCGAGAGATCTCCAAACTGGAATCAACCAGCAGTTGGTTTAGCAGATAAAGGGGGATTCAGCCGTGCAGTGGCACCCAGACTGGGTAAGAAACGCAAAGCACCTCCTTCCTGCGTCCTTTAGTGACAGTAATTGCCTCACCTTCATTCCAGGGACGGCATGCCCCTAAATCACACGTTTGCGTCAATAGCAGATAAGTCTAAATCCTGGAAATACTGTCATAGTACAATCAAGAAGACAACAGTGCATCCGCTTCTTGGTCTAGTCTGGAGGCAGACAACAATAGATTCTAGAGTTAATGGGCGCTTCTGAAGCAATATCCTGAATTGGAAAAAAAGAAAAAGGGTTGGGGGTATAGTGACGGTGCGGGAACATCCCTTTAAAAAGGCTTTTCATTCCACCGGATGTGCTGTTTGTACTTTCCTTTTCGGGGCTTTTTGGTTCGTGAGGACAGCGTGTGAAGGCAAGGCTCGGCACGGCATACAAGGAAGACAAGGAAAGCTTTCACTCTTATACATAATAGACACACAACATTTTCCAAGCCTGTGCCAGAGGAGGGTCTGCGCGAGTTCATCGGTTAATCCTGATGCTGAGCAGTGGATTACAAGGGGATAGTCAATGCTTACTCGCAGATAATATCGTATATCGAATATACGGATGCGAGTGGCTGCAATTTGTAGAAGAAAATGGGAAGTCGGACACACGGTAAGATATCCCGCATCTTTTTCCCATGGCAAGAAAATAGTTGGCAGTGGAATAGTTATACATGAACAGATCGTAAGTGTACTTTTGGTCCTCTATCGAGACATGGATTCGTGTCCTGCGAAAGCTATGCTTTGATGAGTGTATGTGCTTGACGATGCCGAAAGAACGGCCACTAGATCAGATGCTTCGACCTAAGTGAAACAAAACATTAGCAAGCAGTCCAAATGCCACACATATACAGAGATGCTGGAGATGGGGAGGTTCAAAATATCATACCTGAAATACGACCTCAAATATACAATCTGCCACGCTCCCAAACCGACCAACATACCCATTGTTCCAAATGCAAACCATTTGACTCGTTCATTCGTACTCTCATTCGTATCACGTAGCTTCTGTTCGCGCGTTCTCAAATACTCCAACTCTTGAACGATCTCATTGACCGTCTCTTCTATCCGCCGCAGTTCGGTCTCTACAGGCTTCAATTTCTCAGAGGCCTGGATGCTGGACCAATCTCGTGCGTCGGCACCAATGTCGATGTCTAGTTCGACATGCCGAGTTGGGTTGGGAGTGTTTGCTACAGCATGGGTCAGTTGAGAGTCCGTAGCTAGCGAATGGAAGTCGAAATCATACATCTTCCGGTCAAGGTGTTCTCGAAGCAGACATCGATAGGGGAATCAGCTAGGGTTGTAAATGCCGTCCTCTGCTCGCCTGCAACGTCCTTGGGTCGGCCGAAATCGTTGCCAACTGTGTCTTTGATCTGGAAACATATAGATTAGCACCTCATGTAATGCACAACGCTCGTTCATCGCAGTCATGTCTGGCGACATACATGCATATTGACCATCTGTCCATCGCCCCGATGGCCGCTAACGATGGCAGTTATGACGACGAGGGTATCTCTGTTGACAAAGTTCCGCACGCAGCGCTCATTCTTACTGCTGTGACCCGCCTGGGCCACAAGATCGAATTTCAATGCATCGGAGAAGGGGAGCAGGAGGAGGACAGCGGCGAAGTTGAGAAAGGATCTCATGTTGAGGTCTCGTCGTGGACTTTAAATCCCGATAAAACGGCTGGAGATGAATGAATCGGCCGACAAGCGGCTATGGGGGGTTTGTATTTCTTGAAGAACAGCGCACCGCTGTCAGAGTTGTCTCCCGAACTTTTGGGCGTTTTGATGTTCAGGAGTTTTGGGCGCGGTGGGCATTTTGGCAGAAACCACGGTCGACAGATGGTTGGTCACGTGGCAAAGGCGGTGAGAGCTTGCGGCCCCTTTTCGACCTCCTATGTTGAACTCAGACATGTGCTCGACTCCTCTCTCAGTAAATATTCAGATCCAAAACTAGCGGCGATATACGAGTGCTAGAGATCCTGTCCTCCATACCGTGTTGATTTAAGTGTGCATTCAATCGTTACATGGCGGCCAAACTATTCATGCCTCGCAACAGGATGGACTCTTTCCTTTCCCTCCTCCGGTCGTTGTCATCTCACACATGAGACTCGATCGAAATAATTTGACCCAAATCTCTCCTTACTTGCCTCCTAGCCACGTTATAAAACAGAGCTACCTTCACAACCGGATGGTTGAACTTCTTTGAGGCTCAATATACTTCGGTACCGCTGATCACGCTTGCTCTTCGCTCTTTCGCCGCCTTTTCCTTTGCCAAGAATATCTCCTGCTCAGCTCTACTCTTCTTCAGGTCCACGAAGAAGCAAAGGAGACAAAAACTGAGCAGACTCAATCCAAACAAAAAGTAGAAGGGAAGGCTGTTGTTCCCATTGGGCGAGGCCGTAATGATTGCGCTGCTCACGATGGGCCCAATGAATGCGCTAGTCTTGCCCATGATACTGAATAAAGCGAAGAATAGGAACTCTTTTCCTCTGGGCGTGACTTCGCTAATCATCGTTTGGCTGTATGCATACCACGGACAGACCTATGTGGGTAAGTACAGACATCTTGTTGCAGAAGAACCAATGGGGCTTACCACGAGACCGTACACCACTTGGTACAGCCAGAACTCCCATTCGTTATGGAAGCCAAATTTCTGGGTCCAAATACCTACCATACCCCAACCATCGAGCAAGAGGATACCAATCATGACTACATCAAACATGACTTTGGTGCTAAGTCCAAACTTTTTCTGGACTATCCAAAACCCATAAATGCCGATCAGCTGCGCTGCGATTCCGACAATGAGGAGATATGTCAACTTTAAGGTATTGTAAGACACTACCGTATTCTGTAGAGTCGCGATGACGGTCACGGTCGTGTTCAAGGAGTCTCCGAGTAAGAAGTAGCCTATCTTGATGTCAGGTTTGATATCGCGGAGGACCCGATCCGACACACTCACCAATGAGATAAAGAAGAGTTTGCTTCAACTCCCAAATCTGAACGATTGCGCGATAGATATTCCAAAATCCAACGCTGACAATGTTCATACCCACTGGGAGTTGTTGGCCTGGTCGACGCTTCTCAAGAATGAACCATGGAATTGCGAGGAGAATCCAAACCCCAGTCGCATAGGCAATCAGCACACTTAAACCCCATAGATTGTTGGCAGCGCTCGCGTTCACATCCAAGGCGAATAGGATTCCAACCAGGATTGCCAGAATGACAATCTCTCCAGCGGATTGCCAGATAAAGGCCACATTGTAAATGCGGTTGCGCTGCATCATGTCGGCGAAATCATAGTCGTCACGAGTAATCTCTCGGTTTTCAAACTTCTGGGCCTGTTCACGCATCTCGGGAGTATTTCTTGCTAAGCCTGGGAATGCTGCAGTCCAGAATGTGACACACATCTGGTAGGCGATCAAACCCACCATATACAAACCTGTGGCAATGGGCCATTTTTCCTCTGTGTGTACACCGAGCCAGCCAAACCCGAGAGCGAATGCAACAATGGACCAGAATATCAGGATCCAGGGCCTCCAGGTGCCGTAGTCAGCCATACTTCCTAGAATGAGGAACAATACCACCTGGATTGCGAAAGAGATGCCATTGGCGAGAAGAACTATGCTGTTGATGGTTCGATTGGCGCCCAGAAACACCAAGCGTTCACTTTCTCCGGCAGCTTCGTACAGCAAGTCCTGAAACAAGGTTGGGCCAAAGTTGAAGAGAGTCAAGCCATTGTTGCCGACATAATAGGAATAGTATGCCCAGCGCTCCCACCTGGATGTCTGATACTTGGTGATGAACTGATCGGGGGCTACAGGATGGTCTTCATCCTCGAGGCCGGTGGGGTTATCGAGCTTATCGTCCTTAAACGGGTCTTCGGCCAGAGCTGAGGTTGCCGCGGCGGCAATGCCAGCGTTTGCGACTGACATGATGTACTTTTCTCGGAAGACCTGCGTAGTGCAATCTGACAATTGAGAATACGGAGCGAGCTATAAGCTATTTAAGTCGGCCATCTACGTACGACACAGAGGTGTTTTAGGTGCCGATCCCCTTGAAATCTTCAGCTCTAGTACTAGGGAAGCTCGTGGTACGGGAAGCCCGCAGGGGAGTGTCACAGTTCTACCCAGTAATGAAGGTGGATTGACAACATTTACCCCGTAGGTGACGACGGTTGCAGAGTTTTGACTGGCGGATCGCCACAGGTATCTATCTAGAGTTAGACCCACCAGGATTGATTCCCAGTGTAATGGTGCAGAGTCGCAGTGGGCAAAATGATGCGATCGCACTTCTCCAGTAATAAATGCTTAGATCTCAAATCAGTAGCGATTATTCCTGTCGTAGATATCCGTACTGCTGAATTGATCAGCTCAAGGCCTGAGGCCTATCTCGCTTCACAATAGTAGCTGGGCTATCAGCTAAGCTTTCGGGACACCTGAGCTTGATAGAGCTTGGGTACGCCTCACGCCTATTTCTCTTCCCTAAGGCATGAATTCAGTGACGCTTACCCCTCCCCCCAAGATCCAACTTCGAAGCCGCCGAAAGCATCATCTTTGAGTACCGATACCACAGATTTAGTCGCATGGACACAATCCTTGCTTCATCTGGCCGTGCCTCGGCATTGAGGACTTGTATAAACTTGAAATGCCTGTGTATAGACACCGAAGTGACCATGCCAGTTAGGCCGCTTTGGAAGTTCTTTGAACTAGAAGTATCCTTGATTCATCCCGTTGACGAGAAGTGTTGAAAGTTTCCCTCCAAACGATACCGAATGCGACGCATTAGATCAACCAACAAGGTCAGCACTTCATCGATCCAGGTACGGTGGAGTACTCTGGCGCTTGAGACGAAATTTGGTCTTGCAGCAGAGGTGCCCTATGCTTGCCCGTATCTACTTATTGAATAAGGTCACGTGTCAGAGCTGGAGTGCTGGATGATGTCATGGGGAAGAGGAAGCTTTGTTGGATCTCGTGATCTTTACCGAGCACCGCGTGGAGGATTGTATGATGGTGAGAAACGCCGGCACATGTGACACTGCCATCGAAGATTCGCATCGAGATCGAAGACACACTTTGGGATTTGCTAACAAGAATCCTGGCGTAGCGGAAAAAGAGTTCCACCGTATGGACCACAACAGCACCCCTCGTGAACAATAAACCCCTGACCCAAGCTTCATCAGATCATTCAAATCATGATGATTGTAGGACGCACAAACGGGGCATGTTTGGTAGAAAAGTTTGTTCTGGACTAAAGGACAACATTTCCGGTGAGTCCAGACCTTCAGATCATCACACGAATTGAGATTTGGGTTCAATCCACGGCCCGGAACAATGACGCAAACAAGGTGCATCCAGTTCGCTTTGGAGGCTGTGAGATCGTCGATGAGTCTGTTTTGAGGTTTCCGGTTCAGGGTCCAGAGTGACTGGGAATCGGGAATTGTCCTTTTAGGACGGATTGTGGGAACGATCGCTTGGCGTTGTCAAGCCCGGATCGCAGATCCATGCTGCCAGTTCTCGATCGTGAACCCTCGTTTTCCAGACCATCACAAGGCTCTCAAGATCGGGCCAAACATCGTGAAGAATTGCCATGCTCGACTCTCACTCCACGTTCCAGCTGCCACGAACCCAGCAGGTGCCCACAATGGCTTTCTTGGGGACTTCTCCTGCCTCTGGCTGCATCAGTATGCCTTTGACTCGTTTTATCATTCATCCAACTGCGACGACCACAAACTATCATCCATCACCCTACGCCTACATCGATCCAAGACTGCATCGACGCTTCTTCGACCACGACACCACCTCATACTTTTGAGTATTTACTCATAGTGCTAAGTCACAAAGTACACGTTGAGTCGCCCTCCTGACCTCTTTACAACACTGCCTTTCGATAAATTGCTGCAGTACTACCTTCTGCAATAACGCGACTGCCATGTCTCAATATGGATAGTGCTGACCCCGATTCGATGGCGAATGCATCAAAACGACCCTTCTCCGCGCTATCGAAGGCTCTCCGCCGCCCAGGCCCGACCGCCTCTGTGTCGCTGCGACACAGGAAAAGAGTAAAGTTAGATAATTGTTCCAGGGCCTCAAAAGACCCGACAGACGACCAGATCAGTTCCGAACAATCTTTACCGTCAGCGAATACTCCAAGTCCTTTAGCACCCCATGAGTCAAGTAGTGACCAAAGTGCAACAAAATGGTTTGATGGGGTGAATGAAAATGTCGCAAAACCAGGGCAAAGGATAGCCGCACCTGAAGGTCCCTAATTTGACACTTCCTCCTCGCAGTTGAGACAGCTAACGCTATTGCAGATGAAGAACCATTTTTCCTCACCCAACAGAACACTGCCCGCCCGCTCGCTCAAGTTCGATCGGCCAACGGTGAGAGCTTTGGACTCCTTCACCGGAACGACACCGAAAATGAGGATCTGAGGGGAGTGATTGACGATCTTACCATTGAGAACAAGAGGTTGAAACATCTGCTGAAAAATGCGCCTGGCAATAAGAAAACCTTTACATCCAGCCCAGATAAAATTCTCGAGATTCGTACGCATGGGCTGCCACCGGACAAGAAGCGAGAACTGGAACAACTCTTGAAGAAATTTACCCTTGGAATCACCGAGGCTAGCCCTTCGTTCGCAACCGATTTCATCGATCCTGCAAGCAACCATGCAGGTTCGAAAGCGACGCTTCCCACTACGACTACATCCGCAATTGATTCGGGGTATGCCTCCAACACTACGTCAGCAGTCAAACCAGCGTCGAATGCTACGGATCCCGTCACCCATGGTAATAGAGACAGAGAAATAAAGGATTACCTTCACGATATTCCCAACTCTCTTCTTCCAAAGAGCACTCTTGCTATCAATGAAGATGCGAGAATGGCATTGGTGGTGCAGCGGCTCGAACAACTCTTTTTGGGCAAATCTGCAGTCCCGGGCGAACACAGCTTTTCGGTTCAACAGCAAAAAATCTCTCGATCAGCCGCACGAGCGGACCGTCGAGAAGACATGAAACAAAACAGGGCTATCAGTGGCAAAGGTTTACGTGAAGCGATGATGCTACCCCATGACACCAAAGCGGTTCTTGAACTTGGTGGGGATGAATGCAATAGCGGACCAGCTGATGTTAAGCCCAAACACGACCCAGGATCTGAATCGACATCAGATGCTGCCGGTGCTTCTGAAGATAGCTCTCCTAGCCAGCGACCTACTCGACCACTTGATCTCGATATCGAACGTGCCCAAATCGTGGAGGATAATATCAATTATATTCGGCATCTCGGATTTACGACACCTCCCGAAAGCCACTCAGGTGATAAGAAGGAGCAGCCATGGATCTTTCTGAATCTCTTGGTCGGTATGGCGCAGTTACATACACTGAACGTTACGCCCGCTTTCATTCGCAAAGCTCTGAAGAAGCTAAGTTCTCGGTTCGAGATCTCGGAGGATCAGCAGAAAATCCGTTGGAAGGGAAGCTACGGTGAGAATTCTGACGCGCCTCTACAACAAAGTCCAAGCTTAGGGACACAATCGATGTCAGACCATCCAGGGGACGAGACTGGTGGAAGAAGTCGCAGGAGTGCTACGAGTACTCTTAATGGGCAGAATTCAATGTCGACCGTGGAGGGAAGAGTCGCGCGGAACGGCAATTCCAAGAGCATGCACTCGTCCAACTCCACTCTGCCTAAGTCTGGACTTTCATCTCACCCCTCAAGATCGTCGGCCTTCGGTTACAAGCCAATTGTGTACAAAGGCAAACGAAGTCATGTGACACGATCCTACCTTGATTCTCCCAGTTTGAGCGAGAGTGATACGCCACGTTCAAAGAGGGCAGGAAATGGCGCAAGCCCACGAGTCGCAAGATCTAACAAAGACGACCATGAAGGAGTCGTAACATTCTTCAATCACTCTTTCTTTTGTGAGGATTTGAGTGGCGATGGAGATCTCAGTAATGGGGACTCCGAGCCATTTGTGGCTTCAAAGAATGTTTTGGGACTAGGTGATGCGTTCTTTTTGGAAAACGACAACCTTCGAGACCCTCAAGCCTGCTATTTCAACCACGGCGACGGATCACAAGATCAGGTTGAAGACTTTCCTGAGGGGTATTATTCTGAACTTAACATATCCTTGGGTACTATCACCAGTGCCGGAGAGGACGAAACTCAGCCGCCAGAACTTCCTGCGTCGGGCATAGGAGGTGTGAAGCCTGAAGAGAACTTTGCGATCGACGTCAAGATCCTTAGGACGAGAGAGCAGCTTTTGCCGCAGTCGAAGGCCCCGCTGTGGAGAGGATGCGGTATCACAAAAAGACCACGATCTTCTTTCCGTTACCAAATCATTGGGTATCAAAAATTGGATTTGCGGCCATCCCGACTACCACCGCCGAGTTACATTTTCTTCACGTCGAGCTCTACTTCTGGTGCTGATGGAGGAATCGGTTCCAGCAGCTCGAGTGACACGTCCTCTGAAGCCGACGAGTCTGCGGCACCAGCAGGCTATATGTGGCAGTGGACTTCGAGTTCACAGGAAGTTTTAGGCGAGGAAGAAGATTCGGATTCCATCTCGGGTGACAGCTTGATGTCTGATGTTATACAGACGGGTCAAGAAATACAACGGAATTCCGCGCAAGAACAAGAAGACATGGTTTTTCAACCTCAAAGAATAGTCAGCGGCAGTTTGGTAGCGACTGTTGGAGCCAGTTGCAGCGCGGCCTCGATGGGAGACCGTCAATAAGAAAGATGAAAGGCGCGACAGAACACGAATATGGGATTTTATGACGGATAAATGTTACAACATAGGGATTATGTGGACGAGCGACGATACAGAGATCAGCTTGGCATTAGAGGTATCTCAAATCGCAGTGGTTATGATGAGATACCTTGGTTTGTGATTCTTGGGCATCGATTGAAGGAGTGTACATTGCTCACTTCTGTGTGACTTCTATACATTCACCTACCTACCTGACCTACTAAGCAGGTATTCCTAATAATGTATCATAATTTTTGAGTCTCTCGGAAAAGATCATGTTGGCGGATGGGTATGTATTCAACCGCCACGCCACTGGTTGCTCGGGTATCCCCGGGCCCCAGGCCCCTATCGGCCGCCCGGGGAGTCAGCCAACGCTGCCGTTGCCGCCCCCGGGGCTCCTGTGCTTGCTTTGGGTAGGTATCACTTTGGCTGCTCTGCCAGTGTAGGGTGTCTATCAGCTCGCTACAAGATGTGAGTGAACTGTACACTGATGCTACCTGACACTTGCTACTACTATCCCGGGGTTGACCAGTATTGGTTACAGAGTCATCGATCTCTGCTTACACCGTGGAATTGTACAGCAATTTTTTTACCAAGGCTTAGGCGCCACGAGTAATTTATTTGTGAGTCTGTTAGATCGAGTTCTAGCTAGCTGTTCAAGTCTTGACTCTTGCAGTCCGCTTCCGAAACCACCCCCCTTCACCTGGTGGTCCAAAAACGCACATCATTCCGCGCTCGTCGACCGAGCACCTCCCCACATTTTCGGATCCGTACTATCCTTGTCATCGGCTGCCGTCCCATTTTCTCCTGCCCATCACCAAGAACCTGAACCACGGTTGGATTCCGGGGTGCCTGCCGATGGGACCTTCACTTCATGTCCCTCACCCAGCCAACTAACTAGAGTAGCCAGCACCCAGCACCATCGTAACAGTTAGATCTCCGTGTTTTCACCTTGGACAGAACGCCGACTTAAATCTCTTCCTAAAGCCTGGGAACATCTTCTGTCTCTTTCTTGTTACTCTTACTCACAAATTCTCTATACCACTTCCCCTCCCCCCTCTACCCCAGTGACTAAAAGAACCTGCTTGGAGCTTGTCTTCCAAAATGTCGTCCTTTCTCGAGTCTTCATTCCGAGCATCCTCCAGGGGATTGCGAACAGCTAGATATATAACTCGCGACCAGCGACAGGTATGTGGACCTTGCATTCTCAATTAAACTGCAGACCATACTGATCCACGGCTTCCCTCACAGCGGAATCTCCTCCTCGCCCGCTCGTTTTCTTCCACGCTTCGACGCAATGAGATCAACAAGATCGTTCCTTCCGCCGCAGAGGCCATCAAGGACATGAAATCAGACTCGATCGTCCTATGCGGCGGTTTCGGTCTCTGCGGTGTCCCTGACACCCTGATCAACGAAGTTGCAAGGACTCCCTCCATAACCGGCCTGACTGCTGTTTCCAACAACGCTGGTATTCCAGGAGCCGGGCTTGGACAGCTCCTTGAGTCCAAGCAGGTCAATAAAATGATTGCCAGTTACGTGGGCGAAAACAAGGTCCTCGAGCAGATGTATCTGACTGGAGAAATCCAGCTAGAGCTTACCCCTCAGGGTACTTTGGCCGAGAGATGTGCTGCTGGTGGAAAAGGTATCCCAGCTTTCTACACCCCTGCCGCCACCGGAACTGTGGTTCAGACGGGCGAAATCCCTCTGCAACACAACGCAGACGGCAGTGTCAAGCACTACGGCAAGCCTCGAGATGTCAAGGTCTTTAACGGCAAGATCTATGTCATGGAGGAAGCCATTCCTGGAGACTATGCTTTCGTCAAGGCCTACAAGGCCGACAAGCTCGGTAATTGCCAATTCAGACTCGCAGCCAATAACTTCAACGGAGCTATGGGCCGAAATGCAAAGGTCACCATTGTTGAAGCCGAACACATTGTCGAAGTTGGCGAGCTTGACCCAGTCGCCATCCATCTACCAGGTATCTACGTCAGCAAGGTCATCCAATCTACAGCTGAGAAGAAGATCGAGAAGTACGTGAACCGCAAAGAAGAGGGTGCTTCCGTCAAGGACAGCCTGGGCAAAGGGGACGCTGCATCCAAGCGTGAACGCATCGTCAAGCGTGCCGCCAAAGAGTTCAAGAACGGCATGTACGCCAACCTCGGAATCGGCATGCCTATGCTCGCACCATCTTTTGTTGACGCATCAGTCGAAGTCCAACTTCAATCCGAGAACGGCATCCTCGGCCTCGGTCCCTACCCAGTCAAGGGCGAAGAAGACCCGGACCTGATCAACGCAGGCAAGGAAACCGTGACACTCAACCCAGGCGCATCGTGCTTTGGCTCAGAAGAATCCTTCGGCATGATCCGCTCCGGCCGCATCAATATGAGCATGTTGGGCGCCATGCAGGTCTCGGCACGTGGTGATCTCGCCAACTGGATGTTGCCTGGCAAGGTCAAGGGCTTCGGCGGCGCCATGGATCTCGTCAGCAACCCCGAGAAAACCAAGGTCGTCGCGCTCATGGAACACACCGACAAGAAAGGAAACGCCAAGATCCTGAAACAGTGCGAGTTCCCACTGACCGGCCGAGCCTGCGTGAGCAGAATCATCACCGAATTGGTAAGTTATATGGAAAACCCATCCGACTGCGCTCATATTTTCCAAAACCACAAAAAGCTAACCAATCTTTTTTCTTCAGGCTGTCTTCGACGTCGATTTCTCCTCCGGCCTCACCCTCATCGAAGTTGCTGACGGCGTCACCGTCGATGAAGTCAAGAGCAAGACCGACGCCCCATTCAAGGTTGCAGACGATTTGAAGACATTTTAAAAAAAGAATCAACCACCAAAATCCCAGCATATATGATATAACTCAGCTTCGCATGGTCGTTCGATCGACGAGCCCGGGAGTTCCCTACGACTTTCTCCCCTATGTTCCATCTCTTTCCATCATGTCGTGTTATGTTTCCCGGGACGGTTTAAAAGCATTGGAGTTGGAGTATTTGCCACCACAGGATAATGGCAGGTAGGTGTGCGGGCGGGCGTCATAGTTCATACTTCCCTGGGGTATGTTCGAGTTGTCATGCATTTTTCATAGTTGAAAATACCAGGTATCCTAGTCTATTTCAGTTCGCGAGATCAGTCGGACATGTCACGAACAGGCCTCTTGCTCCTGCAAGGGTCCTTGGAAAATGTGTTTAATATTCGGTCTATTTCCACGTCTTCTTTATTTTTCTCAATTCATAAGGCATCGATCGAGTGTCCTCTGTTTCGCCGAAGGACATTGATTCGTATGCACCTGGTCGACTCGTAAATCAATCCAGAGAGGGGGGGCGGGGGGAGAAGGCGGACAAATTTAAAGAGACCTGGACATGGGAGAACCGATCGTCGTCGATTGATTTGCGAAAAGAATCCAGCACATTTAGTTCAAAGACTTTACTTTAGTCTCTAAATGACATTTTCCCCCTGCCATGTCGAGAAAACTGTCTGGTGATGGAATAAACAGCAAGCAAATCATATCATCAGCACCCCTATCACTATCGCCAGCAAACTCCATGTCCCGCCGTCCCACTAGTTAGATCCTAATCTATACTCCCAAGCGCCGTTCGTTGCTCGTATGCGGGGGTGACAATATTTTCATGCTCAAAGCCGTGGATTCCCATTCATACCTCCATGTCCCTGATCTGCTCCAGGTTTTTGCTGTCGTCTAGCTCCTTGACGGCCTCACGATCCTCTTCGATCATCTCAATGGCGTCCTCGATGTTTCCAGCGGCGGCTCCCGCATAGACATTCAGGCGTGCCAGTTCATGAGCGTCATTTCCGTAGCCCATCGATCGCAGGGTGTGGATGCACTCCTTCACAGCTGTGGTGGCAGATGCCATTTGTTCAACTGGAGGTGCTCGGAAGTATGGAGAGCGTGTGGTCGGCATGGTGACATTGGTAGGAGGCGGTCTTGCGATAAAGTCTGACAAGTTTGGTTCACTTCTTTCTGCCACCAGAGGTTGTGGCTGTGTGTCGGACCGCGTGGGTCGTTGAAGGGCTGGGTTGAACATGTGATTATTGGCCACGTCAGAGGTGGTTTGCGGCGGTGTTTGTCGATGGAAGTCGGGTCGAGTGGTATCAAGCCTCGGGAGGGGTGAAAGAGATGGTGCAACATTGCTTGCATAGCTTCGATAGTTGGGGCCATACACGAGTGGACTCGGATAGTTGTTGGGGTAGTTGAATCCCGGGTGCGGCTTGTATCTTTCTGTGTGATGAACAGTGCGGCTACGCTGTGGAAAGGCACCTGGGATGTGGATTTGTCCTGGTTCAAATGTCGGTCTGTTATTGCCGATATTGTGTGGGAGTTTCAAGTCAGGCTGTGATCGCTGGGGTCGAGGTTGAAGGGCGGGAAAATTAGCGAGAGGATCGAAAGGGCCGTTGAGTCTTGCAGCGGGATTTGCACTCGAGACAGTCTGGTGTCTTCTGGGAAATATGGGTGCTCTCGAGTATGTCTCGCTGACTGGACTGCTAAGTCGACCAGGCAACGGGTGTACGAATGCATCGTCGTTGGTTTCGGCGATTTGAATGTGGCGACTTGGCAATGACATGGGTTTGGTTGATATATGGCACTGAGATGATTGAGCATCACCGCCCTTTGGTTCGGGCCAGGACCCAGGAAGTGATTTTGGGGACCAAGATGGACGTGGGAGATTTAGCTGCTTCACAGAAATTTCCCTTGGAGACGCATCCAAAGGGTCAGCTGTGCGTGTATCTTCGACGGCGGGTTTCTTGTAAGTGGTTGACTTAGGAGTTGAGCCGGTTGACCCAGAGGAAGAAGCATTCCCCTGCTTCAATGACGCATCTTGAGGCTTGCCTTGCGACCTACTCTGCTGCTCCAACTGATTAATGCTGGGGAATCGACTCAAAGCGGAGCCTGCGGGAAGGCTATCGCCGGAGGATGAAGGAAACTGGCCTCTCCCATGGATTCCACTAACACTCTTAGCTTTACGCAATGAAAGTAGAGGAGGGTATCGAGTGGAAAAGTCGGGGTCTGATGTTTCCCAGTCGAGGATAGAGTGCTTTGTGGAATTGCCAGAGAGACTCTGTCTGAAAGGTGCCTTTTCGAAGGGTGGCTTCGTGGGTAGAAGCATAGGCTTCTGTACAACTGCATTGTAAGAGGGTAATGGACCAAGAGTGCTCTTCGCATCATGATGGGTAGGTGGAGCTGTGTAGGAATGGCACCCAACAGGGATCGCTGGCGACTCTGTGAAGCTCACCCTCTTTGAGGCTGTTTCCGTTCTTGGGGACGCATTCGATTCCTGTTGGGGAGGAAACTGGGTAGCGTCGGCACTTTTTGGGATTATGGATGTATTATCCTTTGTTTCGTTCTCTTTTGGGATTTGCTCATCGATGGATTCGAGAAACTCGCGGCCCATTTGTCCTAATTCCGACCAGATGCCCATGAATCCAGTCAAGACATTTTCAACGGCAGTTGTGTCAGATTCAGCAGTCTTTTCTGCTGCCTTTCGCAAACCATCGGCAGCTGTGTCGAGGAAATCGGCAAGGGGCCCGAGTTGAGTCTGAATACCTCCGAAGACATCATCAAGAACTTTATCGAGCTGAACGGTTAAATGTTCATGAGGCAGGGAAACATGGCCGGCGGCTTTTCTCCCGGCAGGAGGCGGCTGTTGCTCGCTGTCATCAAGGACGCTTGCCTCAGACTTCAAGTGGCTAGGAATTGGTGGCGGACAAAACTCCAAAGAGATAGGCGAGACAGGTGCAGACACAGAGGAAACAGTAGTGTCATCCTTGGATGCAGAGTCCTCTCGCAGGCTCTTGCTTGAGTATGCCTCATGGTCTCTCCAGACAGCCAGACTCCCTGCAGATTTCTGAATGTCGAATATGTGCATCATTTGATTTTCGGAAAGGGTAGAACGAAAGGAGCGCGAAGATCGTCTCACAGGATCATCAAGGCGTTCCCGAAGTTCGAGTGAACTTCCAACGGTGATGACATCGCCGTCGTCGTCGTCGAAGTATCGCAAGGTGGCATCAGGCTGGGATTTGATGGTGGTCTTGTACTGGCCTCCCGTGATTTGAATGAGGCCTGGAGGAGCCTCGGGCCCGTTGAGATTGCGGATGCCAAAGGCAGGGAGGAGAGGAGAAGAAGGACGCTTAGGACTATTACAGTCAGCCATGACTGGCCCGTAGTTGCAGTGGTTGAGTTGAAGTCAGGTTCTCTCGAGGAGGAGAAGTAGAGATGAGTGAGGATGAAATAGAAGTGAGGGTGAGTGGTACGGCAGAGGAGGTGCCAGTGTAACAAGGCTGCAGTTTGAGTTGAAGTTGTAAGTTGTAACTCAGGTGCCATGTGGACGTCTGGCTGCGGGCACTGGCAGTTGAAACTCCAGGCAGCAGGGTGGGACTAATTAGGACTAGTTTGGCCGGAGTTCCAAGGTTAGGGGCAAGCCCTTTGGTGCCTATTCGCCCTGTCCGGGGGACTAGCACGGATAGTGCCGTTAGCTCAGAGGTGGCAACAAGGACCCCGCATTACGCAAAGTTACGGAGCACCTCCACACTACCAAGTACAATGTGCAGAGCATCGGGAGGAATAGGTATGTAATACTAGGTACGGATGCCACAACCTTGGAAGACATCGCCTTATCCAAATGCTATCATAAAAACAAGCCTCAAAGTTTCAATTATTACTGATACTAATCCAGTATTCAACGCCTGCCTTGGCATAATCTGTGAGAAATATGCTTCAACCCTGCTATTGTTACAACAAAATCCATCCATCCACCTACCCCTCACTCAGGTGTGTTCTTCCACCACTTCCACACACGAAAAGCCTGCTAGACCTATGGCGAACGAGATGAGCTTGAAAGAGTCACACGTCCCTGCCACCCTGAACCCTTCTCCACCACGTACTATATATTACACTATAAGGGGAACCTGGATTGTACTAACACATGCATCAAGAAGGCAATCGTCTCGGAATTCCGCAATCTTCTCGTAAATCTGCAACTTCTTCATGCCCAGGTAGTTATTGTTCGTATGCCCATCGTCGTCGTCGTCGAAATCTCGGTGATGCTTGGCTGCTGCACATCAAATAGCATCCATGTTGTTACAAAGTCGCTTGCATCAGTTTCACTTCTTTCTTGCGAAGCGTTTGTTGAGCAAGGCAAGTACTTTCGAAACATCAAACTGGACATATTCGAGGTCGAGGTCGTCTTGCCCGTCTTTCTGCATCTCGAGCAAGTCATCAAGCTTGAGATCCAATTCCAACAGACCACGAGCACGCCCTGAGTTAAATGTCAGCATTCCACTTTCTCCACGTACCAGGCATACCGAGAACAAACCTTTGTAGTGCAAGCTGATGACGAAGGTGCCCGCTAATGGGCTTCGGAACATGAAGAAAATATTGCCACGTCGATTCTCCGGTACATTGCTCCTCGTGATGACACCATCTTTCTCCAGTTGTCCATGGGTAAATTTGTACGGGCCCAGCTCTCTCACCTTCTCCGTCTTGCCCCTTCGAGTGCCTTCCGATTGACTCCGGACATTGTGCAAGTAATTCTTGTATGTATCAAGTTGTGATAGTAGATAGGCGTTGTGGTCTCGAATGGTCTTGTAAACATCCTCCAGTTTGCCTGTCTCCTCAACCACCTTCTCTCGAAGGGAGCCCAGGTGAGCGAGTTCTTGCTCGACCTCATCCCGAAGGACAGCATAATCATCGCCTCGATCAATCGCTCCCATTTCCGACAGTTGAGTCAGGAGTTCCATGCATCGGATGCCTTTGCGTACCATAACTGCATCGTTCTTGAGAGTCCCCGCGGCCTCTGCAATACGATCAAGTCGTAGGGGTCGACGCATCACGTGGGCGTTTTGTGGCAAGCTCCGCATGATTTGGACAAAAGTACTCTTTGCCTCCATGAAGAAGATCTCTTCTTGTGTGATGTCCAGTGCATGGGTGAGGTCATCGAAAGACGTCTCCCACTTGCTAAAGAGGGGTAGATTGATCGCTCTGTTCTCCTTTCGTGGTACTTGTGGCGGTGCAGGTCCAAGTTCCTGTAGTAGGATACCTAGGTGTGAGGAAGGATCGCTGGCGAGTTCGATGGCGTGCTTTTCGAGCAGAGCATGTGTCGCATAAACTTCATTCAAGCTGATTTGTAGCTCAAGGTCACGCTTGGACAACGCCACATAGTTGTCCATTTCTAGGCTCTCGTAGAAATCCTGTACTTCACACAGATCAAGCATGAATTTGTTGCATCGGTCCTTGTTCCTCTGAATAAAAGGTTGAAGCTTAGCCATGTATGGCTCTTTGGCGTAGGATGGTTTGTTGGCCAAGTTTTGGAGCATTTTGGCAATGTATGTCAGTGTCCGTTTGGGTTTGTCCTCAGGCACCCTCTCGATAAGCATGTAAGATTTTGGTGTGACGATAGCGGGATTGATAAATCGCAGGAAGAAGAAACCACCTATCAGGGTACAGATCGATTGATCCTGGGCGTCAGGGTACTTCCGGCGTGACAAGTTCCGAATTTGTTTGCATATCCATCGTATGCCGTATGGTGTTTCCTCCAAGCATTCGATTATGGCGGAAAGAAATCCCTCGGCGATCTCAGTCAGCATTTTCAGACGCGGAGCGATAATGGCCTGGACTTGAATGTTCTCTGCCGCGAATTCGGCCGTGACAGACCGGGGCAAGTCCTCAGGAAGGACGCCCCCATCATCTTCAATCTGCTTGACCATTGCCTCATAGACCTTGAGAGGATTGATCTCGAGGTCCACATCGTTCAGTTCTGTGAGTGAATTGATTTTTTCCGCCAGGACTTCTTTGAGGAAGCTCTGGCCAGGCCCTCTTCTGGTGTAAGTAGTCATCATCCTTGAGACCGGCGTATTTTGTCTCAATAGAGACGAATACTCAGGCGTGGTCTCGAACTGATGGGTCAGGACCGACTGAAACATGGTTAGGAGAAGATGTTCTTCCCGGCTCTCGTATTGATTTCCATAAATGGTAAACATGACAGTCTGCAAAAGAGAATCGATTTCAGCCATCGTGACCAGTCGACAAAGGTGGGCGATGTGGCGGGGTTCCGATTGAAGCATAAACAGAAGATTGCCATATTTTTGGGTTTTCTCATCGTTGGGAAATGAGCCTTCCTGCAGGTCTGCAGCTTCGTCGAGGTGACTGGCCACTTCATTTTGCTGTCCATAGGTTAGAGAATACGGTTATCATTTGCCCTGTAGTTCACACTTACCTCTTCCAGAGCCATTCGATTCTGGATTAATAGCGCAATTCTGGAGTCTAGATATCGAACATCCTTTTCCAGGACGAAATTCTTCTTTGATTGATTGGAAATCTTTCCTTTTAGATCTCGCAATGTTCGTTGTGCTCTTGCCAACTCGTCGCTGATTTCCAAATCCTTATCTTTTGCGCTCATGCTCACATACAAGGCGGTCATACTGACACGCTTGCTTTGTCGGAGGGATCGGGCGCCATCGTGACTCGAATAAGTATTCTGACGACTGACAGGCTCAAAAGAGGAATTGGTCGAGGTCGAGCCTCGTGAGGAAGGCTGAAGCATTGTTGCGACCGACATCTCGCTATTCTTATTGCGTTGAGTTTTGGAGCGTTCCTTGGCGCTAGAGATACGTCTAGGGACGTCGGTACGGCGTGAGGAGCTCATCGAGGAATAAACTAGCGGTCGACAATATATATGTTGAAAGCTCGAGGATTGTGCTGCAGGTTGTGTTTCAGAAGTGACCGCAGAACAGTGGCATACAACACATCCCACGCTGGTCTAGACAGGCGGTATTGGGTTCATGTGCCTACAACGGGGCGACTTCCAGGATTGGATCCGAGGGTGTTTGTAGATGATTGTTCCAAAAAGCGATGCGCGTGCAAGGGACCGGGGCCGGAATTCCCAAAGGTGAGCAGAGACAGCAAAGCCAGCAACGACTCCACCTCAAGGCTATCGCAGGGGATGTGGGGGTAGGCGTGAGGACGGGTGAAAGGTTTGCAAGAACCGGAGGGGCGATGGTGATATCTTGGAGGCAGTATAGGAGCGTATTGGTGGGCAACAGAATATGAATTTGCAGAGTCAACCGGCAGGGTTGTCGAGGAATTGAAGGATTCTGGTTTGGTTGGGCAGCAGCAGAATGCAGTCGAGTGGTTGGATGCGTCAGGCGTGGACGCGGGTTGTCAGAGAGATATAGGGATCCTGGTGGTTGGATCGTAGACCCAAGGAAATGGGCGAACGGTATTGCAAGAAGAGATGTTATCAAAGGAGTCAAACAGTCAGGAACCAGGAACGGCGGAGGATGTTGTGGGCGAATAGGGATGAGGAGGGCAGCGACTGGCTGCGGGTTGGACTGCTAGCGACAGGGAGAATGGAGAGAGTTGACAAGGCGTTGGACAATGAGGAGCATGGAGCGCCAGGGTGTGATGCAGCTGCAGGCCAGAGTTGAGTGTGTCGGCGTCTTTTGACAGCAGCAGCAGCAGCAGCAGTCATGCAGCGAAAACAGGACACAGAAAAGAGAGGGGAGAAGCCTGAGCCTGAGCCTGAGCCTCAGATGGTGGTGGGTAGTGGATGGATGATGGAGGTGGTGGTGCGGCGCGGTGGTGATGGTTGGTGTGGTGGACGATGGTGCTAACTCGAGGGTGAAGATGAGGTACCGCGTCCGGAGCACACCTCAGGCTTCAAGCATGATTGTGGATGGTCGGAAGGGAGACACATCTGAGGAGAGGACGAGTTAGAGGAGAAACAGAGAAACAGGGACCTGCCAAGGGGACAACTAGGCTTGCCATGACAGCCCTGAACACCCACGGACCCATTCTTATTCAGCGGTTCTATGCCACTGCAGCCGAGGCAGTCACATTCAGGGGGCATCAAACTCAATTCTAGGCCACCAAAGGAACGATAAGCCCGAAGCCCAGGGAGGGCGTTCAGCGCCATCCCTGGCAGGCTGGCACCCGCAACTTACGAGGCCATCCATCTCGGGAAAGGAGTGCCCAGCACCCACCAACACGGCAACAGCTAACCAACCTAGCCGCCGCTCTCCAGATAGACTAACTGGAAGGATGAGATTTCCTGGGAGGTCATGGCTCGATCAGGACTACTCCCCGTACGAGGGGGAGGCTTTGTGGTTCCCAGTTGCCCTGCATTGGAAGGGTGACTGAGACCACTCTGAGGAACGCAATTTACGATAGAGGTCCGTTTCCAGATTTCTTCATTATGGAGTCCAGTACTCCGTACCGAGTACTGGAACGTCATCAAAGCATAAACTTGAGCCTTGAGTTCAACCCACGGCATCCACGATCGACACAATCTCGAACGGCACTCCCGTTCTTCTGGCGAACTCAGTGGTCCACTACTTTGCTCAGTAACACTCAGTTGCGATATGCCCAATGTGAATCTACACATTCCAGTCTGGCCGGCAAGCAATCTGTCTGTCTGTACGGATATATAAATACTCTAGAAGCTGTGAGAGGTCAAGCGATCTCAGAACTCCTCGTGGCAGCTGTCATCGACTCAACACCAATAAACTCGTCAGATGCCATTTCGTTTATCCAAGCTCGGACCTTCGCTAACGTTGATCTTCCAACCGAAGATAACAAAACCGCTTTAATCTGCACCTTGCCTGAAGTGAGCATTCGAGAGTTTTCGTCCTTGTCGGTTAGACCACAAACTCCAAGCAATTTGTACCAAGTAAGATGGTTCAGGTCACCGGACGACGATAGTCATGGCTTCTTCAATAGTCAGATGAGCCGCCCTGTCCAAGTGCAGCCACCTCGCGAGTCCCGCGTGGAGTTGGGACAGAGCCACCCGCCAGGCTTACCTTGTCATTGGCTCAAGCTGTTGAGTTTCACACATGAACAAAAACTTGTGGAGGCAGGACGGTGCAGCCTAGCGCTTGACCTCTACGAGGAAAGCCCCTGCATTCCTCGCCAGCCTGTTGGTCCCTGATCTTCTTCGCAACAACTTTGCTGCATATCTAAAACACTTGAGTCGGATTCAGATCCGAGAGGGGGGTTTTCAACATTCGCTGGTCTCTTGATGTCCACGTCAATTCCTGTGTTTCTTCGGCATCAAGTCACGAGATCTGCGGATGAGCATCCTAATCAGTCAGATGGCTGACCCTATTGTCTTTCGATTCGGCGCAAGTGGCGGAGAACTCATCGTGGATGAAGAACCTTACTCGTAGAAGTGGTCAAAGTGACGACAGGGCACGTTTTTGACACTCGGCTGACTGCAGGAGGAACCTGGAGCGGCGAGTTCCGTAGGCATATGCATACGCCGTGCAAGGTACCTCATACAGACATCGCCAGTGAAGGAATGGCAGTTATGTTCTTATGCTTGACCAAAAGTATTGATCTTTGGGGAGTCTGTTCTGGTCTGAGCACGAATAACGCCAGATGTAAATGGCGGCCGCCCATCCACGAAATACCTAAGTCGAACGGTGAGAACCCTTACTCGAATTCTCGAACTTTTATGTGCCTATTTCTCTAGGAATCATTTATTTATATTCTTCTAAATTTATAAGATCTATCCTTTATACTCTAGTTATCCTATGTAGAGTAGCCTTTTTCAAGAATACGTAGTTAGTGGGTAGATATAGAAGCTAGCTAATAAATCTATACCAAATTACCACGCCATTCACTGATACTGTATATTCTTGCTCAGACCAGAATAACAGGTCGCGCGCAAATACTTCACAGATGTCCTCGACACGAGTAAACTGGTCTGACTTCCTTCTTGATCAGATTGTGTCTCAGCCCTCCAATCGAGCACTGCAGCATTAGTGCTGCAGATCAAAAGAACATCTGTCCAGCTTTCGCAGATCTTCTAGCCTGAGGCGACATGCATAGACTCTCCACAAAGATGCGGAGCAGCCGCAAGATCGAGTATTTGTCAATCATGGCATCAAGTTTGTATGCTCCTGACGAGGGTCTCTTCCTCGAGCACGGACGACGCTTTCGGTGCTTAATCTACTTACGAATATCTGATCGGCGATCACTGACAGGCAAATACCTATGTACCATATTCCATATTATTGTAGTTTCAACTAGGATACCTAACCAAGTTGCAAGGGAGTGGCACACAAGTAGTCCAGTTGCCCTACGAATACATATCGAGTCTGATAACTTCACGGATCTTGCCAGTAGTAACTAGTGTCAGCAGCTACCATCCCGTGCTCCAAACTGGCCACCAAGTGGCAAGCACCACTCGATGCATGGCGGGGCTTTCAAAAACGTGTCGCCCCGTCGAGAGTCCTGACCCTCCCCCAAGGCGCCAAACTTCCGACGGTCAGATCCGCTCGCCGTCGTTAAAGCTCAAACCCCTGGGGCACTCCTTGGCAGGTACCAGGAACACTGGATGCAGCCCGGGGGCAAAACTTACACCTTTAGGAACCTTGAACCGAACCTTGAAGGATAGACCAGAGGGGTTCCTAAATCCTTCGATGTTTAGATATCGCCACATTCCGTGTCGCCGTAAGACACCATCGGATGACCTGTGCATCATGAGACTGTTGTGTGCCTCGCAGTTTCTGTTGCCGGAACTGGATGTCCGAGATTCCAGGGGAGTGACACAGCTTTCATGGTTTTACAATGAACTCGAGCTGTCAAAGAGAAAGTGCATTGGCTATTGTATTCAGCCAGCTTGACTAAAAGGGTAACTCATTGCTCCAGTCTGTCTGCTGTCATCGCGTATTACATGTGCATCTAGGCCGAGTGAACGTGACCTGTGCTCAGCGAATCTCCGACCTTCAGCTTTTCAATGAACCCCACCATGCCAGCGCATGAGTCGTTCATTTCTATCATTAAAACTCCAGTGTCAGGTCGCTTCTTCAGACCAGAATCCAATAGACAAGAAATGGTTCAATGGCCCATGTGACCCAGATGTGTGCGAGAGGATTCCGATTCACACTCCCTATTCAAACTTATTCCTCAGGTTGTCGTATTTACTCTCCGGATAATCCAGACAATTCTTGACGTCTTCCAACCGCGTGCAGCCGCCACTGTGAGTCAAGAACGCTTCGATCAAACTTCCCGCACCAGCGGGCTTGTCACCTGATGATTCCCAGAACATCGACCCCGAGAGGCCATGGTCTCGCACGAACGCAGCCTTCTGAGCTACCATTTGTGGAGTGTCGTAGCTGACCATCGTCTTCGATGAAGGGTCGTAACTCCAGCTGGCGCCGATATGGGGGTCGTGGTGCTCGGAGCTCCCTGGTTTGGGCAGTGCTTTGTAGTCCCAGACCCCTTGCTCCCAGCTGCCTTCACCCACGCCGTTGTATGATTGTCCTGGTCCTGCGGTCGATGTGAAAGTTCGGCCATACAGTGGCATGCCCAACACTATCTTGGAAGGGTGTACCCCATGTCTGGTGTAGTGCTCGAGGGCAGCAATGGTACTGAAAGGAGTCGTCTCCGGATGTGATCTTGAGGGGAATAGATTTGCCTGATGTCCCGATCGTTGATCCCAGGAACCCGCGTAGTCGTATGCCATCAAATTCCAAAAGTCAAGTAGACGATCCATTTCGGGGATTTTCAACTTTTCAAAATTCGTGGCCCCAGCAGGACAAGCCACGGTCAAGAAAAAGCGGGTGTGGTGATGATGGCGTTTAGCAGCAGCATGATCGAGAGCCTGCCTGGTCTCATGCAGTAGCTTTACAAAGTCCTCAGCTTCAGCCGCCGATTTGGGATACTCCCAGTCGACGTCCAACCCATCGAAGCCGAGGTCTTCCATCAAGTGGACAGCGGATTCCGCGAATTTCTTGCGACCAGCATCCGTACTGGCAGGTTGTGCGAAATTGGCCGAATACGTCCACCCTCCGATACTCAAGAGTACCTTGAGGTTGCGGTTCTTTTTCTTCTGAAGGAACAGTTGCTTCACACAGCCGTAAACATTGGTGCCGACGTCGTTCCAGCTGTCGCCGTCGTAGTGTTTGTCGGTGTCGGACCACGGATCTGTGAGGTACACCTCGCCACTCTCAGGACGCACGTTGGCGAAAGCATAGAGAACATGTGTCAGATTTTCAGCGGGAAGATCTTGGGGATGATGATTGCGTCCATATGGCGCCCAGTTGACATAATATACCACCGAGCGAAGACCGTGTCCTCCGCCCATACTGAAGTCGATTAGTCGTTCAGAAGGGGAGTATGGGATGAAATCTGGAACGCAGATGCAGATATTGAGGAACAGGAGAAATACAGACGTGAGAAAAGCAAATAGACGCATGCCAGGTTAATAAGGGAAATGGGAGAATTAATAACGACCTGTGTCTGGTTTCTTCTTCACCAGACACGTTTAAGATGGGGACAAGCAAAGCAAACTTTACCGGTTCAAGCATAGGGAGGCGGAGTAAAGCCAGGTCTTCTCATGTCGAAGTTCAGCTGACTCCTGATGTTTATTTCAATCCTGAGAATTCGTCTGCCTGTGAGCGCTGACCATGGGCTGATCACGCCGAATTGACTGGATCCCGGGAGTCTTGGGAGCTGAGCAGGACACGTCATATCACAGTGGGAAGAATCCAAAGAAGATCATATCATGGGGCTGGTGCGCAACGGTGGCTGAAGCCTCGAAGCGTCAACTGTGGCTCGGCCGACTAACGCTTAATGGAAAGGTCGAATGGGGAAAAACGATTAGGCGAGTTCGCCTCGGCATTGGCAATATGGATTGTCTCAAAGTGCTATCAAGATCCATTCATCAACAGCTCGGAAACCCTCGATCTGAAAACTCCCAAGTCTCAATCACAAGCATTATATTAATGCCTGGGATCCAGAACTGCTAGACATGGCCTTGGAAGTCTTGTTCTTCGGCGCCGGCGCCATCGGTGCCTTCTACGGCTCTCGACTGGCTCTGGTACCCAACACCAACGTGTCGGTTATCTGTCGATCGAATTACGCTGCCGTCAAGGCCAACGGCTTCAAAGTCACATCTCCGCAGTATGGAGAGTATAAATGGACTCCTACGAGGACGTTCAACTCGCCTGACGCTGCTCGTCAGAGTGGTGTATCCTGGGATTATGTGGTTGTAACCACGAAAGCACTGCCCAATGTGTCAGACGACTCAAAACTGCTCGAAGGCCTGATCACGCCCAAAACGGCTGTCGTTCTGATCCAGAATGGCTTGGGTGTTGAAGAACCATATGCCCAACGGTTCTCAAAATCGTCGATATTAAGTGCTGTGACGATTGCGTCCGCGGCTCAGCCAACCAACGGTCATATCGAACACAACCGCTGGACGAGGATCAACATCGGGCCATATTACTCTGAGCCAACCTCGACCGCCGCCAGGTCGCAAGCAACAGAACAAAATCGAGTGCTCGTCGACCTCTTACAGCGAGGAGGCATCAAAGACGCCAAAGCCGACACACACGAGAAACTCCAATGGGTGCGGTGGCACAAAATCGCCATCAACGCCGCCATGAACCCGTCATCTGTGCTATCAGGCGGCACGGCGAGCCAGGCGATGTCTCTGGACTCCGAACTTTATAGACACCTGAAGGGCGTCATGGATGAGGTTCTGGAGACAGCCCCGAAAGTGATCGGGACACCGCTGCCGTCCGAATTCGCCACCTCCGAGGCTCTCTTACGCTCGACACAGAAGAACAACAGCGGGAGTAAACCCAGCATGGCTTCTGATTGGGAAGGCGGGAAGCCGATGGAGCTGGAAGTCATCCTGGGCAACCCGATCCGACTGGCGAGGGCCAAGGGCATCGAGATGCCCCGGTTGCAGACTTTGTATGCGCTGTTGAAGAAGAAAGAGGCCAATCGGAGTGAAAAGGCCCAGAAGAAGAAGAAGGAGAGCTCGAGTAAACTCTAGTGAACTGATTACTAAAGTCGAGATGCAAGTGGGCGTGCAATGCAGCGAATGCCGATGCCCCTGGTGCTGTTGAACCAGCTTTTCTTGATCGACAGTTTTCTATTCACTTGGGGGCCTAGTAAGACTTTTAGATGCTCACTTGTTTCCTGTAGATAGGCTTTCGATTGAGACGGAATATGGCGCGCATAAGATATATTCCGATTCTGAAACTTGCATCTACTTTTTTTCGATCGTTATGCAAACGCTTTACCGACAACGACAAGTCTGAACATTTCTTTCCCTCAGAGAATCTCTGTCTCATATTTCCCACTCCTTCTCCGGCCTTCCGCTCGGTTTCCTGACACCAGTCCTCCCTCTCTGGTAATCGCCTACCCAGATAGCTAGCTACATCTTACCTCTCCCCTTCCCATCCCGCATCCCATGGCCCTCCCGGACTTCCTCTCCAAAAGGGCCCTTCACAAACCTCTGAGCGACGAGATCTCTCGCAAACTCCGGCACCCAGGCGGCCTTTGAGGTGCAGAACTGTTCCTTCTGCGGAACCCATTCCAGGCCCGCCTCGTCGAGAATCCCCGCCGGCACACTGATGATGTCTTCGTTTAGGGGTGTGGTCGCGGAGATCTTGGAGCCGCAAATCTTGCAGAACGCGCGGTACAAAGGTTGGCCTGATTGCGTCGCGCGGTCCGTGTAGCTGGTCAGGCTAGAGGCGCCGGTGTGGAGCGTATATTGCTAGATTGGGGAATTGGGTGAGAAGATGAGGAGGCAGGTAGATGAGATGCATGCGGTTGAGCCTTGGCGATCCGAATATGGGCATGGGGGGACATCAACTCACGTTCTTAAGGAAGATACTGGCCGTGTGGAATGTACTCCCGCCCTGTCGTCTACCTCACGTAGATGACACCAAGTTAGCGAGCTACTACATTGCCACGATCTCGATCGTTTCCAGTTGACCTGGGCAGAGACGACATTGGCTTCCTCGAAGGTTACGATGATTCCATCGTTCACCAGCATTCAGTGGAGCAGGGGTCAACATGAACAAACACAGTACTCACTTGCAATTGACACAATGACAGATGACGTTATAAATGGGCTCGCCGGTGACTGTAAAGGTAATTGCGCCACAGAGACATCGGCCGCTGTCGCTCCTGCTGGAGTGCACTGCTGTATTTGCCGCCATTTCGATCGGGGAGGGGTTGGCAGTGTGGTCAAAACGGAATGTATATGAAATGCGAGGTATGATCAGAATGCCACCTGAAATGCCATGTATATTGTTCAGTTCATGCTGTATCCCTTGGGGGCTCAAGGACAGTGGAGTTGCATATGTATTTGCCGAGGGAATTCAACTCCACATTTCAGACACCCCTCGGCCAGAGTCAAAATTGTGTCGAATTAATTCATTCAACAGTATCACGTACAGTTTCCGATGGCTTTTAGGTTTCTCGTCGGAGAACTGTCGCTGTGCGCCTTTAGCAGTAAATACGGACCAACACTATCGACTATCGTCCATTCGCACATTCAAGTTCTCTTCGAGCACAATACGCAGGTATCGCAGCAAGATTTTCCACAGAACTCCACTGCGCCTGGGTTATGTTTGCCTGATCAAAGCGATACTCGTCACAATTCCGATTCCACAGTGTTCAGCACTACTGAACTCGCAAGGTTTTTCTCAAGCTGCTCGCAGCATCTCACGTTTCCCTGAAAGTTTGTTGATCTCAATTCCGAGGGGTGCGACTGCATATCGACCCAGGCTTCTCGCTTCTGCCTCCTTCTTCGAGCACACAGCGACCTTTCTAGCTGGGTGGGGAGCGGCTCCCTGGTGCATAGAGTCCGGCCCTTGCCGAAGATCAAGAGATGTTGAGGAATCTCTCAAGCCGCAGCTGCTCCTTGTCCCCGAAAGCTAGATTTCCCATTAAAGATAGCCATCAGGGCTGATCAAGCTGATTATTGTTTTCGGCATGGGCAAATGCTTGGCCGTGCTTCGCATAGAGAACAGTGTCAGTAACAACATACTTGTCACTAGTGACCATTGATGTTGGTATTTTGAAAGGTTGATGCTTGAAGCTGGGACTCTAGGGCGTCTTTGGCACTCTCAAAACAGATTCATGTTCGGCCTTGAACCAAGTGCTCGCAACCACCGTCGCTCCGACAACCCACGCTGGAAGCCAAATGCATAGCACACCGACTGGAACGCCCCAACTACCCCAGATATTCCAACCAAAGGCAAGTCGTGTAAGCCATTGAATCTGGTCATTTCCCAGAAGAAATGAGGCAGCGAAAAATAGTGCAGACGGACTTAAGATGGTGAGAAGTGCGTATTGAAGGACTGCTAGAACTGGTTTCCCTGGGGTCCTGTTCACCATGGCGAGTGGAGTAGCAATAATACCCAAACACATACTCAGGCTGAAGTTCAGTGTCGCGAGAACCGTTAAGAACAGGCCTAGCACTAAAAGGCTCAAAGATTTGAGAAGGGTGTATTGGAAGTGTGTAGAGGAAGGAGTGGCTGATTTCGACGGATCTTGTGAGCCGTTTGGCAAGCTCGAAGCTAGAAATACCGGCAAAAGTGGAAGAACGACGGAGAATAGGGTAAATGCTGAAGGTAAAGACGTGGAGCCGAGCGTGGTCAGGAGGTATAACGGGCCGAGCGAGGCAAGATGAATTCCAGTCAGAAGAGCAATTGGAAGGACGAGTTGCCTGTCGACTGGCTCGAAAGTAGTTGAAGCCTTGTCGTTGGTATCAGGCACCGAAGTCCCCTTAGTTGAAGAATCTTTCCCATTTAAACGTGTCTCCAATTTGCCTTCAGGCTTTGACGAGATCGTTTCAACCCGCTGGTAGCCACTTTCCACCCAAAGGTAGATCGCCATAAGAGTATATGAAGCAGCGATGGCCATGGCGCTCGGAAGATATGTTCCAATGCTGACAAAACGGTTGCATTGCATGAGCAGGTAGAAGAAAAAGCTTTGGTGTAACTTTTCAAGTAAGTTATTCAGACTTCGGCAAATGCTTTCAATAGTTCTCCCAAAAGCCATCTCATCTTGCCAGCCTTGTCCAATCGCAGTCAAGGTGATGGCATCGATGTGATAACTCATGAAGCTAGAATGTGGACCAGTCGCATGTCCCAAAGCTTGAGATGACATGCCTCGCATCAAGGTCTGAACGCGCGAAGGGTAGGCGCCCTGCTTGTCTTGCTGGGTAAAGGTTTGCTGGAACTGGATAGTGGTGCCAATTCCCATCTGACCCGTTGAGATTGATACCGCGGTGTTGAACAGATCGAGATTTGGAAGTGCACCGTTGATACCATCGTATGCAATGTGGAAATTCTCAAATCGATGTTCAAATGGATAGTCGATACAAACGGCGCCTTGAAGAGCACCGGACTTTAGAGATAGGTCCTGGACGTATTTTGGATTGTGAGCGGAGTGGTAAGCATCGATCCATGCCTGCGGACCAACCGAGGAGTCCGGAGTGACCAGGAATATGATGTCTTTCGACCACAGTGACCAACGTTTGAAATAGCGGGCCAGAGAGATCAGCAGCGTCACACCATTCAAGTTGGAGACGTCATCAATGTTCCTGAGGGCGGCGAGTACAACAATGGCTTCTGTACCATCTCCACGTGGTGCATGGAGGACTGCATGGACATTCTCGCCCTCGTGGACTTGACCCGATGAAGTGAAAGAGTAGCGCTGTCGCGCGCTTTTCAGACCAGCACTGCGGAACAGATCCTGGATCTTGGTATTTCTCTTGTCCTCTGCTGCTCTAATCTCATCCTGCGTCAACGTCTGGTTTGCCCCCAGGGCTGGGTCCAGGGCGGACTCTAATTCATGTCTGTATGCTCGGAAGACATTCTGTTCACTTCCACCAAAATAGGTGTGGACTTGTCCGGGCAACAAGGCGTTCTCGGATATATATGTTTGACGAGAATACTCGTTCAGTGGCAGGAGGAGGACCCAAGCAATGCCCCCAAGGACGCAGAGGAAGGACAAGAAAGGAGGGAGGCGCCGCAGTCGAGGATCGTCTTTGCGGAGGTTAGAGAGGGCGTTTCCTGGAGACCACGTTAATGATTGAGTAGACCTCAGAGAGATATCCGAGATACGTACGCAAAAGGCCCATTCTGTACTCGCATAAGAAGCTCCTGCTTTACTCCGCGCTCCTAATGACGGGCGTGCAAGAATGGGTGTTTCTGGCTACTTGGTAAAGGACATGTGTACGGAGAAATCCATAATGGAAACACTCAATAATTTCTCCGAATATTATCCGCCTGTTGGCCTGCATTCAGATTTGGTACTGCTGAGCGCAATTCACATTTACGAAAGGGCTCTTTGTTTATACTTGGACATTATTCATGGATTCATGGCGAATATTGTATACATGCAGGCTTTCAATCAATGGGTGCGCGCCTCAAGAGAGGGCATATTCAAAACATTGAATTCCAAAATTCACGGTCCAAGTCTCTGACCAGGCCCTGAACTTGAGCCATTTCCAATCCAGCCCAGTCCAATTGGGCTCATGTGTTCGTTGGGTCCACTTGTCGAGCTTGACGGGAGTACACCATATCTGCCGTATGTCTTTTGGTCAACAGAGACATAGTAAGGCAGCCGTCCGAGTAGATTCAATTTGCCCTCAATCCACCGTAGAGCTTTCTCCGGTGGTGCCAGGAATCGTATGTAACCAAGACCCCCTATCAAATGTTAGAAGACATTTCTCGCCAGCGGAGGCAGTGGATCCCAAGACTCACATAGATAGCCTGTTATGCAGCCACTAAGATGGCCCAGGAAGGACGTGTTAGGGATCAATATCCAAATGACCACAAGCAAGACTAGAGGTGTTATCCAGGTTGGTATTTTTTGCCCGGCGATGCTATCATGATTAGCTTGGTCCAGTACATGTATCCAATTGACTCGGAAACTTACTCGAAGTGAGGGTTCGCTCGGTACGTCTTGATGGCTTCGGATGCAAGCAGGAGGAAAACCCAGATACTGCAATGACTATCAGCGTATGACCTCCCTCTGAATTACATATCACATACCTTGCGCCCAAGACAGGCGTGTTATCTCGTAGAATCACATAGTCCAAAAGCAGATACAGAGCGGCCGGTATTTGACCCAAGGCTATCACGCGATCAGTATCTTTATTCATCTTTTGGGCATATAGATCAGGGCAACTCACGTCCCATGAACAGAGCAACACTTGTCAAAGTACCCCATTCCGCTTCGAATCTTTCCAATAGGGGAACCAAGCATATCGTGTCCATTAACATGTGGAAGAATCCCAGATGGATCAGTGGAAATGTATTCAATCTATACATGCTGCTGAATCCGATTTCTTTGGGGATCAATGCGCCCCATTGTATCACGCTCCAGACAGTTTGAAGCTCGAGAATCCAAAAGGCAATGATTGCGAGGAGGATGAGACGGGTGAAGAGAGGTAATCGAAGGATATATGTTCGTAGGCGCACGGGATTGAAGGAGGGTGGTCGGATGGGCAGATTTCCTATGCTTATCCTCGCAGGAGGTGCCATATTATATATAAGCTGCTTGCTCGCAGTCGTTATGCTCTAGGAGAGCAGGGGACTTGTTGAATCAAATCGCCAGTCGTAGGGTGCTGTTGATTGCTGTTGGATCGAGATGGGTGAATGCGGTAAGCGTGAAGGTGTTCTGGTTTAAAGCATGTGTGCAAACCACATATGCCTAACAGTCATGGTCAATCGTGGAGTACGAGTGATGGTTGTCGATGCTGCGACTTTGGAACAGTCGAAAGAGTTGGCTACTCGTATATTGTTAGGTTAGTCCACCTGTTTTTTAGAGTTGTGGAGAAAATAAGATTCCCCTTGGTGGATGTTAGCCCCCCCTGATTTCCGCCTCTGCCGGCCTTAACCACCTGCCTGTTCAGCCCGAGGCGCCCAAAGTGCCGCCTAGCTAAGCTTGTTACCTCGCCATGCGGCACCTACGAAGTGAGTACTATGATCTTTGTCCATCCAACATACCTATCAATGTAACTAGTTATCTCAGACTCCCAGCAGAGTCACAAATTACATACTCCGGCTTTTCAGTTCTGTCATGAAACTGCATCCAACTCTATCATTATGATTACTAGGTATGTACCTCTGGTAAGTAGGTAGATAATGGGTAGAAATATCTTGCAACACCAGTTGAAAAATCCCATGAAACACCAGGGTATCGTGCCAAAAAAACCAAATCTGCGATTCCTTGTTCAAGTCAGAAGACAATCAAGCTCTTCCAGACGGAATCGACAATGGGGTATCGCTCGCAGGCTATGCAACAGTTGCTCCAGCCAGTACAGCAGAATGATCGTGAGAACGTTAATCCTGGGTACGCATTACTTCCTCCTCACCTTCCTCTTTTCAATGTCGTTGCTAAAACAAAAGTTCAGGAGAGACGTCAATATCGACCTGGCGTTGAAGCCCGCTTGAGCTCTTTTTGTGTGGCCCATCCCTTGAGGGAGAGAACAATGATCTCATAAGCCATGATGAAGGCAGTCAAGCCCATCACAACAGTGAAGACAAACATGGCCATCAAATCGGCTGATTCCATGTAGTGGATGATGTCTTTGGTGCTGGCCATGAAGACAAGACCACCTGAGATGAGACAGAATCCCGAAACCAGCTCGGTAGGTGGCCGCGATGGGAAGATGGACGTGGGTGGTGAGATGTAGGTGAGGATGTATGTTCCAATCCGAGCAAATGCAAAACCGACAAGCAAATTACCCCATTGCTTGTGGACCATGGTCGACACCATTGATGCTTGGTGATGAGAAGACATCATGACTCCGAGTAGCAGAATGATCAAGGCTGGCATCGGGTTGAGGGATGCCTCATAGGCCTTTGGACCATCGCGCACTTTGTGTCCATCCCCGGAATGTTTTTCTGTTCGACCCGACATGTTTTCCACATTCACATTGAGGCATCGGCGAATGGTTTGGGACTCGATGAGCATACCGCACTGACCGAAGATGTTAGTATGTTGAGTCTCAGACTTGATCAAATTCTGTCAACTCACCAGTCCACCACCAAAGAACATGATGGAAATGGACACATGCTCAAGATCCTGCGCAGTCCATACATCCCCCCAAGCAGCCAAATGCTCCAGGAACACATTGGTACAGCCGTATAGCCAAATCACGAAAGACTCGACGAATTCAGCCGAGGGCATGCTGGCTTTCCATTGGCCAACCTCGCTACGATCCGGTTTAATGTTCCAGCTCCACCCCATGTCGGCAAAGCACCCCATCCAACGTCCAAGGGTGAGCAATCCGTACCAGAAGAAGATTCCTCCCTTGACGAAATGTGCCAGGCCGTTCAAGACATTTTCACCTCTCTGCAAATCATTAGTTCTAGGTCCGTCTCCCGGGAAAAGACCTTGCGACGGTTCAAGCGTGACTTACGAATATGCCTGCGTACGTTACCCCGCCAGTCACCAACGCGATGAATCCCAGGATCAGGATGGTCCTGTCGACAACATCGTACACTACCTCAATCAAGCGCAAAATCTTGGCCGAGAGCAGGTTCGGAACTCGTGCGGAAAGAAAGGCGTCGACACGACGGATGCGAAACCAACGAGATCCTGGCGACTGAGGCACCTCATGCGACTCTGCGGGGAGGTCATCCTGTTCATCGTCATCGTCATCGTCATCCGCAGGCAGTGGCTCGGGCTTCTCAAAGTCATCAAAAGTGTCTCGTCGATGTGGACCGGTGGGAGAAATGTCTCTGCTGTTCGACACCGAAGACCGCTCGGTCCCCTGACCACTGTCACCCGACCATCGATAGTCTGAATATGGTCGCATGGTGTGTTCTCGCAAGTCCGCTGCGGGCAGATGCAAGAATGCAGCGCGCTCGTAATTTGTTTCGTTGGCTCTCTTGCCGCGCCCGGAATAGGTGAACAGCAAGCTCATGATCAACTGCGCGGTCATGACCCACGTCGCGATCCATCCGATTTTGTGGTGAGCGTTGTTTTCATAAAGATCCGGAGTGTCGACGTTGTATACTGTTCCAAACACGACGCCGGCTCCATTCAACACCAAGAACAAGAATTGGATCGGTAGGGCGAACCTCGATTTGGCGACGCTCAACATTACACCTGTTCGTGTTAGAGAACCTTTATTCATACCCTGTCGCTTGACTTACCTAAGGGGAGGACAAAGAACCACGCTGCGACCATGAGGACGATGTGAGCCAGCATCATATTTGCATGCAAGTCGAGGCCATAATAACTCGGGGCGTCATAGTTGTTGATCTCCTTGGTGCCGGGTTGCCTGTCAGGCACTTCAGAGTTGCTCACGTTTCCCATGTCCATGCCATCATGCTCGTCATCGCCGTGAGCTAGGACGACTACAGCAAGATTCAGCAGCACTGCTGCTATGTTGTGTCGGGAGAACCCCATCCGGTCTCTGAAGACCGAGAGCAATCGAAGCTGACTTATTGTACCGACCAGGTCGCACAGACAGCGCGCGGTTGTAAAATAGCCTATCGTTTACGGTGGAACGATGAAAAAGAGATGGAAACCCGATGCGATGCGGGTATGGAGACAGGGTATGAATGCAAGACACTACCGATCTGTGTTACAAGTGACCACAGATGTCTATGATGGATGCGAACGCAAACAATACGTGCAACTTGGAGACGACAGAGAAGAGCAAAGACACGCCAGGCATGGCGCTTCCGGTGATTAATAAAAAAACAGAAAAGCGACGGGTCAAACACGAGTCATCGGCCATGGTCTGCGCGAGTACGCGATGGGGGAGTCCGTGGGTCATAGGTCAGCAATGCAGCAATGGCGCATGCTGGCAATAGTGGTATGGTTTACTGCATTTGGAGGACCGGATTTCTCGGATGTGCATGTGCTGGTATCGCCGTGCCGGACGTACGAGGAACCTGAGCAGCGACGTGGTGGTCCTGAGCGGTCGCGGGTTTGATTGGCGGAATGTTGCGGCGAAAACCGCCAAGCCGTTGCCAGTTTCTTCCCCTCGGAGCGTCCTGCGTCAGACTAAACTTTTTTCCACTGCCAACTGGAAAATGGAATAGGCACATCATCATACGAGCAATAGACTACAAGGTACCTATCTATGGTACCTATCCTCTCCTGGGCCGTTCTTCCGCTCTTCTACTCTTCCGCTCTTCTGGTGGAGTCCTCCAGTTATCCTTCTCTACGAAGCCAGACAGCAGCCTCGGGGGTTTACGCAGACTCATTAGCCCTTCCAAAGGGTTTCCTAAACTAAGGTTCTATTTAATCGTGGGATGACTATCTAGGTACCTAGTATAGTAGTCTACGTATGTGTACGTGTAAGCTCTTGGTACCATCAGGCTGCGAAGTAAACGTAGTCACTATTGGTGAGAGGGAGGTCGCTTCCTTGGAGCCTGATCAATCCTTTTCATCCTCGTTTGAGCTACCCGATTGAATTCGGTCTTTACCAGATCCCTTACCTTGATTGCCTCAACATAAAGCCGAGTCTAACAAGACTGACGTTTCTAACAAGGGCTACTAGATGTATCGATATGATCATCTCTATCAAGATTGAGTCGCGGACTCTTCGGAGGAGCGCTATCCAAGATGGCCCCGGAATGATGTCATTTGCGGCTGCGTTACTCATCCAAGGTCGGGTATCAACGCGGTATCGATGATCTACCTGAGAAGGCTGAACTTTTTTTCCTTGACGAGGACTTTTTTAACGCATCCTGGACCGTCGCTTCGTCCGTTGTTCTCGTGACACCACAACATGCACCGCCAATTCACATACCTACCCTGGCCAGCCCAAGTTCAGGCAACAGCACCTCAATCACCATTTTTGCTATACACCCGCTAGATTTCGTCTGAGATGCCTCGGACTGATGAGATCTGGTATGAACCAGCTGACAGAGGGCATCGACATCGACATCGATCTCGCAGATTTGAGTGCCTGCCAGTATCTCCATGAGCTTACACATCGCAATGACTCCATCAACCCCGTCAGGCCACTGACTAACATCAGTCGACGTGACAACTTTATGGTCGATAAGGATTGAACTTGTTGGCCTTAAAAACCTTGACAGTAATCCATTATCCGAGTTCCAGTCCTGGATTAGGTCAATTCAGTTGGTTTTAGTCGGTGAAGACGTGTTGGTGCCAGTGTGGTTTGTTCGATAATCCTTGGTGACTCAGCGCTCATGCCCACCGAGCCCCTGGGCAATGAGAGATGGTCAGCTGTACACTGATATGGGACACTAAAAAGTGGAAGCTGGCACTGACTGCCTGATCCCTGTGCACTGTACTCGTACGCTGCTTCCATTTGCGTGCTACTCGTTCGCTTACAAACTGACATCGACGCCCGCATTCTTCGCTTGACCAGGAAGCCCAGGAGTCTATCGTGTTAACAAGTGATGGTGTTCTCCAACTACTTCGGACTGGCGTACTCGCATTGAGCTTGTGGGACCCGCCTGTTCTCCTAAGCATCAGTTGGATCACTCCTCCTTCCAAGTGGCCGGCCTAAGAACATGATGGCTATGATGTGCTACATTCAGATCCTTCAGCAGTAATCGTGATCCGTGGAAGACTTGGATCATCAAACTTCAGGCCAGAATCCCAGCCATCGATTTCGCTTCGGCCAAAAGTCGTACCTTTTACTCGAAACAGTTCCCCTCGTTTGGTCACGAAGTATTCGGGCGGACCACACTCCCGAGTCGTGTCTGCCTCAATTTCCGCCCTTTCATTGTCTTGTCCTCCAATCATCTCCTGCTCACAACTTCCCAGATGGGTGACTTACCTCAACCGAGCGTCCATGGAATCAGATCACTTGACACGGGTGCTTTGCGACTTTCCACCCTATTTGCTCTACGATATCGGTGTTCGTACTAAAAAGTCCCTCGCCTATCCGTCAATGCGTTTCAGCCTTTGCCTATCATGTCCTGCAGAGCCCTCATCATTTCAATCTGCAGATCACTGCACCAACTACATGAAAAAGCCGCACGCTTGAGCATGACAGTGGAGGTGGTGTCTGGTGGAAAGACCAATTCGCAATCACACGCTAACGCCGACTTGGTCTGACGAAAGCTTGAACAATAGAATCCTGTCTGCCTCCCCGCCTCATGAAGCGACGAATGTTCGCACCCAAGCCTTACCCCTACCAAGTACCTCGTAATACTTCAATAATTATGCCTACCACGTCGTGCTACTTATGCATTGCTTGGGAGCGCCCTTTGCTTCGACACCCACACTGGGCGTGTGCAATCAACGGCCACAATTGAGGCAAGCGTACTCTCAGAGCGATAATGACAGTACCATCTCACCTCTCTGCCTGATACACTTGACTAAAATTCTGTGGCTACTCAGCAATCAAGTTAGCAACATCCACCTAGTGCGGCTTATTCCATGACTCTATCAAATACATTACTAATGACTAGAACGTTCTTCGCATTCAGGAGGAAAATTTTCCACATCACATGTGAAATGTCTTGTACTCCAAGCCCGGAATGAAGCCACCGTAAGAGCGAACCCGATGCTTGGTGCCGTTCAACCCGTTCCATCCACGAGAGCCTGAGAGAAACGCGAGTCAAGCGACAGGAGACTCCATGGAGCCAAGTAACTAGCCCTTCACCTATACTTGATGCTCGCACACCATACCTCCCGAGTAAGTACTCCATTCATGCTCCTAGAGTAATACAGCAATGGGGCATGCATACCGCATACTCCTGCCATGACAATGCAAGTCCCCACCCTACATGACGAACGGCGGGCTTGTCAAGTAGTCCGGGTCTCCTGTCCGATCCCTCGGCTTATTCAAGTGACTTATTGCACCAATAGACTCGTCAACGTACTGATAGTCCACACTGCAAGCTCGTCTGACGAGGTCACCAGGACACCCGACCCGTCGCCGAGTGATCAGATCGACCACTATTCCCGGCATTATTCATCACCGCCTGTCGGCTCTCTGTCGGTCCTCTGTACTCGGCACGCAGAACATAAAAATAAGCGGCCAGCCTTGCAGCGGCATCAATATCCTTCCGAAAGGCGTGCATAAAATGCGCCACAGGGCCGTAATTTTTTGGCTAGGTCCATCATCCCATGTATGGCTTTCAAGTTATGCTCGATAGGTAGGTACGTTTTAACTACCCTCCTGCCGTTTTTCAGATCGTTTTATGCACAATGAAAGATTCAACATCCATCTTAGCTGTACGACCGGTCCATTACACTTGCGTCAAGGCAGTCTGTAGCACACCAAAGGCATGACCAGACAGGCTACCTATTCATTGTTGGACTGCGATTGAATCCTCCAACATTTGATCTCCTGATCGTTCGAGTGCGTGCCCATCGACCAAGATACCTGCTAAACATGACGATAACTATTCCCAGTATTTGAGATGACCACGGCGTCCCTGCCATCGGTGCTTTCCGCCGATGCATCGAATTTGAGGCCTGTGCCTCGAACACCATTTCACGGGATCGGTATTCGAAAAACAGCAAGTACAAGTCGTGATATTCAAGTGCATTTGCAGAACTCGTGGAGCATGTGGAGTTTTCATCACCCCGGGCCATCGTTGCCGGACTGATTTTCTTTTTTCTCACGGCGTTCTGAGATTGTCTCATCATATCGCCCTCCTCTCCTCTCCTTGCATAAGGTAGGTGATTCACGACTAACTGCAGTGCATCATCTGCACCAACTTCTGACCAGCATCTCTTGCCCCACGACGGAATCCCAGAGCCTTCGTGGCTGGCGAGCTCGCTAGAGAGGTCATCCAGCCTCGGATCAATGCCACCGCCATCACGGCGATCGATCTTGTTGGCATCAAGGTCAACTGAAAAGGAAAAAGTGAATAGAAGACGGTTTCCGAAAGGTAACGTTATCATTCATTGATCTGAAGGAGGGCCGTCCTCCACCATACCGAAGAAACAGACCTCATTGGTATCTCATCTACCTTATAAAACCAGTGAGATGAGTATAGCACCCGACACCCGAAACTCGCGATACAGTACATGATTAAACACGATCCAGATTCCTCAGGGAGTAGAACAACAGGTACGCCTCTTGCCGCATGACATCTTCGGTCGTGGTGGCGCTCACGATCTCATCGTCGAAGCGAAACCATTTGTTGTCCTGTCGGCAGAACGCAAAGTAGTGGCCGTTCTGCGCGTGCTCGCCCTGATGCACCACCACACAATCAAGGTCGTACATGTAGTCGTTTCTCGGCTTCTTATCCTTGTCCTTATCTTTGCCGTTATGTTTACCGTTGGTGGCTGGTGCTGAGCCCGGTGGAGCGGGAGGTTTGGTCGACCAAGGCGCCATGTCGAGATGCAGTGGGAAGTCGAGCTTTCCTTCATATTTCTCAGGGATGAAGGTACCGGTGCCGAGTTGTTTCATGCCGAAGCGCTTGACGTGCACACAGAGGATGGCGGGTAGTTTGCGGATCCGTGTGTGTTTGCTGGCAGATCTTCGCTCGTTGCACTCCTGACAGCTATATTGTTCGGGACTTAATGGTTCAGGAGTGGTGAAGGACTTCAAACACTCGTAGAGGGTAGGAATGGCGATTTTGAGGTTCTCGGCGGCCGCGGCCTTCTTCTTCTTTTTGAGCTGTTTCTTAAAATCGAGGCCAATGCTCGAGAATTCATCCTCCCGACTTGAGACTGTATGGCACGTGTCGCAAGTGATCTGACTGTTGTACCGACCATAGAACACCTTGTGGAAGAAGCATACACACTGTTTGTCTGAAGAGCCATTGATGATCGTGGAGCCTTTATCGGTGGTGGTACCTGGTGCTGGATATTGCTGGACCGCTTCATGGAGACGATCAATAATACACATGAACCATTCTTGCGCATCTTGCTGGCCTTTACCGGACATTTCCTATCGTCTTTTGTTAGCAATCCAGCAAACCAAGTAAGAATGAATGAAGCAAGCTTACCGGGATGTTCTTCCAGGAGGCAAATAAGAGATTCACAGCGTGTGCAGGAAGTGGTTGATCGACCATGGTGACATCCGAGAACAATTCAGTCATGCCGCAAGCAACACAAGTTTGTTGCTCTTTCTTTTCTTCCGAATCATCGTCTTCCGAGTCTGATTCGTTCTTTTTCTCGGGTTCTTTGGATATTGAACAAGTGTGGGTGGGATGGCCCATGCCGAGGAAGTAGCTGGCGAGAAGCGGGTTGTGCACCATCATCTGCAACACAGCATTCATGTAGCACGTTTCTCCCAGATTGAAGAGACCTCGTACTCCACTCCGGCCACATGGCCGCTGAGAGGTGTTGGCCGTCAGGTAAGAGTCATCCTCCTCGCCAATGGACTCTGCAAGTTTCCGTTTCTTGCTGGAGGGAAAGAAGCTAGGGTCGTAAACAAGATCGTTGCAACGCCCACAGTAGACCGATTTCTGACCAATGGCAAAGTCATGTTTTGTTTTGGAGAAGTGTTTGTCGAGGGCTAGAAAACTGCCAGTGGTGGAGCATGAGATACATGAATACTGAGCAAAGTTTGGGTCGAGGTTGTTTGGTGATTGCCGAAATTGCTTGATCTTCTCAATACTGTCGTTGTCCAGATGCTCGCATCCGGCGATTGGCATATGCAAGGCAAGAGCCATGATTACGATGGTGAGCTTTAAGAGAAAGTTGAAGCTCTAGTAGTCCAGAAGGAATCTAGCATCTGTCAGGAGTGAAAGATTGAGGTCCGCCACCCTGGCAAGATGACCTCGACGAGTGAAGACCGGGGCAGAGTGCTGGCCTTTTACTCAATAGCACAATAGCAAGGCAGCGGGGACAATAGGATTCACTCTGCAGAAGGTGAATGTCAACAGGTTGAATAGCACAGTTGAAGTGAATGATGGATGTCGGGATACTGGTTTCAAAAGTTCTGATGACCTGATGGAGGTCAGAGGCTAAACTTGAGCCGCCCAGCCGCTAAATTTTAAGCTCCACGCGATCGGCAGTACCTGCCTTAAGACTCGCATTATTCTTGATCTTCCAGCCTTGCATACCAGCATGTCTTCACTATATCTTCATCCTGATCTTTGATATTTGTGACTGGACACTCCGTTGTAGTTTAAAATCCAATAAGTGTCCCAAGTCAAGTTTAATCCCCGTAGAAAATAACTCAACGAGTCATACGCCAGGGCTGGGACCAGGTCAGGACTATCAACTTGTAGATTCTCTTTTCCGGGCAATATCACATAGAAAGTAGGTTCATCATCAATACCATGATTGAAAACATAGAGCATGCCGATACATTCCCAGTTCATCTCCACAAAGGCTGTTCAACTCCCTCCGACGCAAGGCCAAGAGGCTGAGATGTACCTGTGAAAGTCAACCAACCGGCTTGAGCCGATGTTTACCCATACGCGCGTTCTCCATACCAAGATACCACGACAATTGCACACTGGACGATGAATCATACAAAGAGATATAAGACGACGCATAAACGCATCTAACACTCCTCAACAAAAATAAAATCAACCAACATGTCACAAAACCGCGCCCCTTCGCAAACGCGTCTCCCGTCAAGGGCTCGATCACGCTCTCCCGTAGCCTCCAGACCAACAACACCACTTCGACCATCATCGCGCTCCTCGTTCCGAACATCACAGAACAACACCTTCAGCGGGCCATCGCCGCTCGACGCCTTCGAGCCCCAATTTGCCGAACTCAGCGACTCGATGGCCGACCTCGAAGCGAACCTGATGCATCTCCAGCTCATGCACGAGAGCCTCAGCCGGTTCGGAGAGAGTTTTGCGAGTTTCCTCTACGGACTGAACATGAATGCATTCGTCGTGGACTTCCCCGAGGTAAGTGAATGGATTGCTCCCGTCTTGATACATCTACAGTACTCGTCCAATCCATGCTCTATTCAACCCGACATTCTGACCCAAGCGCATGTTTTGTTCTTTCAGGCACCACTCCCAGAATCCATCAAGCGATACCAGAAGCGACAGCGAGCTCAAGAGGGTGGAGCGGTGGACGACACGACGATCTTGACCGGCGGCGGCGATGGTAAGACCGGCGACGCGGAGACGACATTCATGGGGGCCGATGCCAGCTTTGCGAGTCTCAAGGCCACGCCACGTCGGAGGACCATCGGGTCGACAGTGACGCCCAGCACGGCTTCAACCGCCAAACAGAGTACGACATCCTCCTCCTCAACGCGTGGCGGCATTCCGAGTAGGGCTGTCAGAGGTGTCAACCGTGGTGGGAGAGGGAGTGGCCTGCCGCGTGGGAGAGGTCGAGGTGTGAAGTAGTGCTAGGTGGCTAATGGGATTCTATGTGGTGTTCTCGGAGTTGAAGCACGTCTAGACCTGATTCGAATCGAACTTCTGAGCTTCGATCGTGAGCAGAGCTCCATCAAATTCTGGCATGCCACTCCCAGTTACCGCATCGAGAGGAAGCTGGCTACAGATTTACCAAGGCTTGGTCGTCAAGCGAAACACGGGAGTGAGCACAGTCAATTGATAACCAATTCGGCCCGCAATAGCTTGATCATGATCACAATGACCTCTAAGATTCTGATAACCAGTGATCATGTTCTAAGGGCAGAAGGATGCAGTGTTATGATCCCACTCCTAGTCGACCCTACCGACTCCAGACGGACCAGACCGATGCTGTATCAATGCAACATCCTCAAAAAGCCGTGTCACTTTCTACTGGTACATCAGGCCCGAATTACACAAGCCCTTATTGAGAACAGCGAATCACAACCCGTCAAAGTCACCACCTGGGCCATCATCCTCATCCAGTTCACCTTCCACGATTTCCTTTGCCAACTCACGCTCCCGCTCACGAGCCTCTTGGGCGTTCTTGAGTTCCAATCGGTGCTGGTTCATGGGAAATCGCATAGCCTGTGGACATGTAAGTCGCTGAATAAACAAAGCAGAAGTAGAATGTTAGACATACCTTGACACTTTCATCGTGTAGAGCCAAACAGGCTTGAATGCGTTCGTGGAAGACATCACCTGGTTCTCTTGTGGCATACACATCGCCAACTTCCTTGCTCTTCATATAGCCTCGCTCGTGGTCAAGGCTTGCTTCGATAACCCCATCTCTGATTGCCTTGGCCACAATATATTCCGCGGACTCCTCGCTGTCCAGTCCGAGACGTAAACACATATCACGCAGTGATATTCTGGCATAGGATAGCGACATCATGCGAATACCTGTTCTGATAACATTCTGTCGGAGTCTTAGAATCAATGTGTATGTATCATCCTTCCGGAAAGTCGAGTTGTACTTTTGAACCAGATTTTGAAAGCCGCTGACATCACCAGAGCTGACGGCCAGGACCAATTGGAGGTATGGCTGCAGGGATTTCTCTAGGCTGGGTTGACGGAAAACGGCGCGATCTGGGATGTCTCCCATCAACAACTCAACCACGATGAGCAGTTTGGTTGATGCTTGATAGAATCCGCTGGCCTTGTATGATGTTGGGGACTTGCGACTGGCACCCGTGAGGTGCTCATGAGCCTCAGTATACCTCAATTGAATGGCGCGGATACGTCCCAGATAGTACAGGTATCGTGCATATTGATTGTTTGCAGCAGCAGTTGGGAATTTAGTATGGGAGATCAACAAGTCGGCCTGTGTGATGTGTGACGTGAGGAGGTAATTCCGCAGGAGTAAGGTAGTGACTGCAGCCTGAATGTCTTGGTCTTTGCGCAAAGTAGCTGTCCTCAGTGCATCTAAGAGATTTTTTCGGATTGAGATAACCGCTGCTGATGGAGATGGTGGTAGAGGCGCCGATTCCTCGAAGAAAAGGGCATAATAGAAGTACACGCGTGCAGATAGTGAATCAAGAGTTCTTCTGTTCAGCGTGCGAAGGTGCTCGACAAGGGCGCCCGAAAATTGAGACCCGGCATTGATTGACTTCTTGTCGTAGAGATGGACCTGAACAAGAATAGACAGGTAAACATCAACCTCGGGTAAAACGTCTTTCTGAGCAGTCTTGGTTGGAGGAGCGTCCTTCTTGCTATGCCAATCCCCGACCTTATCCCTGGGAAATGACGGGTCATCCTTTACTGCGCTGAGAAGCGAAATGGCTGTCGCGGTAGGAATGGGATATGTCTCGGTGATGACAGAGGCCAATACGTCTGCAGTAAGTTGCTTCCGCACCGAAGGTATAGACCGGAGAACTCTCAGGCTGAAGCGAGGGTCAAATTGACTGACAGCTCGCTCAAGCAGCGGAAGATTGGCCTTGATATCTGCAACGGGTAGTCAGTAACATATCTAGGTGAAGACACCACCCACATACCAGTGATTGCTTTCTCTTTGGGATCAACCGGAATTTCTTTGGCATTCGCGGCATCGGCTTCGTCGGCTCCATTCGCAACATCGGCTTCGGTTGCTTTAGTAGGAGCGGTGGGTTTGTTAGATCCTTTGGAAGGCGGAACAACTACTGTCATCTCATCGTCGCCATCCTTGTCTTTTGAGCCTTTTGAATCCTTTGTGTTGTTTTGACTGCTTCCTGAACCATTGACGCCATTTGAACTGGAGCCATTCAGGCGAGATTTATCGCCGCTCATCTTTACGGAGAGAGGTATGGATTTCTCCTATGGTCTCGATGGCGAAGAGGAGGGGGAATGGTCGGCAGCCAAGATGTTCGGGACACTGAGGGAGTTATCTCGCGGAGTTTGTGACTATCTTGTCAATTGGAAGGTTGAATGTCAGTTTGTCGCTGCCAGATAACAGATCGAATGAGCAAGAGCTCTTTATCTACCAGAAAAACAGGTTGACCTCCGAGAGTGAGATAGTCACAGTGACCTTAGTGAAGTAGAGGAGACACTAACGAGTAACAGGAATGTGAAGTTGTTCTTGATTAGAGTGATGAGGCAAGGTGGAAATGTGTCTGGGGAGACTGGAGTGCAAGTTGGAGGTTGGATGTGATGTGATTTCCGGATAAATGTGTTAATCCGAGGATGTCAAGCGCAGGCAGAGCCTAACACGCGTTTGACCGTGGCTACCCCCAAACTACGATAACCACAACATACTCTTACATTGTCCTTCAGAAATGATGCGCGACTAGTTAGGAGTGCGATCCTCCACAATCTAGAATTGTCGTGTCGATTGCTCTGCACACCTGTTTTCAATCTAGGCTCTGGCTTACCACCTAGCATAGGTTCATGCTGCACATTTGTAAACGATAGCAACCCAATCAGCCAATTGACCTCACGATGGCATTGCTCGCAAGTCACCTCGAGCAGATAGCTCTATCCTCAAAGTCCATTGCGCAATTGGAGTAAGTTCAGAAACCGGAGCCCGCCGCTTCATACTGAAGTGCTCTTCACAGGTTTCCTCCTCCCAAGAGCTTCACCAATGCGCTACTTGGACAACATGAAATTACCACTTTAATTCGTGACACTGAACCACATGAGCGGGCGTTGTTTTCCATCGATCCTAGCGCCATCAGTAGGTCTACTCAGAGTGGTTCCGCCCGACATCCTCTTGCTGAAAATGCCACTCATGGTCGAAAGAGCATGCTCCCATCAGCCCAGCCAGTGAAACAATCTGCGGTGACCAGGTTGTTAGGAAGTGAAATGCTACGAGAGATCAGACAGTCAACTAGCAATAGTGCACGATCACAAGAGCGTGTCAATATCGAAGTCTTGCTTCGAGGAGCAGAAAAACTATGTCAGGTCTACACTGTTCCAGGTATGGCCGACAAAATCCAACCGCTACGAAAGAGACATCGAGATATCTCAGCATCCGTGCTCTTGCTTGAAGAGAAGGTTCGACAACAGCAATCTTTGTCGGATCGTCGAAACAAAGGCTTAAGTGAGGACGAGACAACTGATGGATTTGCGGACGAGGAGTTCAACGCGGACTCGCAAGATACTGCTACGTTCACTATGGAAGATCTTCAAGCCGAAGAAGCCGAAATTCGAGAGCTCGAAGCCCGAAAGAAGCTCTTAGAAGACCGAATTTCTGGTATTGAACGAGATCTTGGTGGTCTAAGGTAGTACCGCTGATCTGAAGATTTATATTCGGTTTCTTGGATACATGGAATTCTACCCGCACAAGAACCATGGACCATGATCTTTTGCCTGGTGATAAGCTCAATGCATCAACATGTCTCGAAATCAAGACAATATGCGCCATGTCCGCATCCTTGGGCCTATATGAATGTCCATATTGTGAATCCCTAGGTATGGCGCGATTGATAAGTGTGAAGAACACAGATTCTATGCGGCTATTGGACAAAAGCGGATGGGAGACACCGTGCCAGTCGTCGCTGGTGCAATAAGCAACCAAGTCTTCTGCACTGACGGATATGCATCAAGCTGACTATGGTGTAGCCCTCGGGGGATACCATGGACTGCAGGCAGTCACCTCAAAGGCTGCGATGTCATGATGGTAGGTATGGAGGTTGCCTATCGCTCGTCGATGGTGTGGATCAAGAAGTGACAGCTGTCTGTGCTTGATGTCCCTCGATAAGGGACCTGTCAAAAGTGAAGAGCAGTTGTGATCTGACTTGATGATCCATCTGTGATCGGTCCCACACTAGATATGGACAGAGGGGAGGCCTGGAGAAGTATAACGCCGAGCCCAGTTAGTGCAAGGGAGATAGAGCTTCACTATGACGAGTTATTGTTCTGCTACTTTGGGACGGCCCACTGTAGAAATTGGAGTCAGCTAAACTACCCGGGGTGTCCTAACAATGCATATGCCGGTATGTAGAAAGCAACGGCTGCAATTGATGACAGTTTGCATTGATCAGTACGGAAAATATACCAGTTGATGCCACACCTTGCAGGAGGAGTATTCGGCCTGGGTCAGATTCATTTGAAGATGGATTATGACTATGGAGTCGAAAGTGTGTGGCCCTGAAGATGACGCACAACCACATGTTTGAGAGACGACTGGGACCTGAATCGTAGGATCTGTCATCCATGGATTATTAGATTATTAGGTTAGCGTTCAACCGTTACTGTTTCAAGGTTTACCTTGAGTTTGCGACAGCCATTTTGTTCTTCAAGTGGTAGACGATTGTCGATCCCATCTTGTTCGAAGCCTGAAAAAGGCTTGCATTGTGAAATGGTACCTCGTACCCTCGTACGGAGTCAGGATGATCAGCCATATCGGCAGATCAATTCACAGCTAGCATCAGAATGGATCATTCAAGAAGTCTAAGGCACTAAGCGAGGAATCTGTGCATCTCAGGGGTACCCGTATGATATCTGCAGGCTTGGGGAAGAGCCTAAGAGGAAGGCCACGATTTTCCAGCCACGCTTCTAGGTGCAGAAGAGCTGTGCTAGGCCAGGACCAACCCCGAGACGACCCAGGTTTGATTGGTAGTGGGCGCCGGATCCCACGCCAGTTCAGCGGACGGGCTTAACCTGGTCGCTAAAGGCCCCAAGTCTGAACAAGAACCCACCCCTTCCAGGTCTATCCGCTCCATCCAGCTCCCAGGACGCAGTACCACCAAGTGACACTCCACCATCCACGATTCCGCACGGCTGCATTGGCGTTCTGGTCTATGGTCCGCCACCGTCGTTGACTTTTAGCCTCTGCCGTCGACCCTGTTCAAACTGCCTCCCATGTTCCATTGAAACACCAGCCTCATCACTTACGGGGTAGGTCAAGACTCCCAGACTCCAGACGCAGAGCTGGCCATCTCGGTTCTCAAAATCGTTGCAAACTCACTTGTTATGCGTCCATGACGGCGTCTCATTAGTCTGAGACCATTACCTTCTCTCTTTCATTTTATCCTCTCCATTATCGGCATCTTAACCTCATTGTCCTTTGCCTGTGCCTTCCTCTCTCACTTTCGGAGCATCGCAAAACCACCGGACCAACATTGGCTATCACCTGCTGTCCTCAAACGATCCCAATCGCTTCCCTTCGCTCGGCATCATCCTCGACCGAAACCAAAATCAAAATCGCTTCCTCTATAGCCGTTGACATCATCAATCACAGCTGCGTCCTCCCTCGTGGGACATCTGCCTCGCCTCCTGAACGATCTTCTCCCACAACTCACTATCGACGAAAGTCCTTTCCAATGGATTGTTGATTGCCTTTGAAGACAGCCAGTATCAAGTCTTGTCGCTTTACCACACACGAGACATGGCGCAACGTACACCACGGAGCGATGGACCGGACACCGCGCCCGTCAGAGGTCTGCGGAGCATGGGTTCTTCGAGCGATGTATTATCCTTGTCTGCAAGATCAACGCGAGCAAGCCTACCTCATGCAAGCCCTGCTCCCGCTTACGTCGCAGTACCCGCTGCGGAGAGCCTGCTCTATGCAGAGATCGAAGTTCCTGTCAAGGTCTCGTCGAGTGCTTTGGCGTCCGTGAATGGTTTTCTCGATCAAATTCTATATGACATACTGGCAAAAGCACACTCCACTTCACTCGGAGCCTTGAGGGCTGCGATTCCCGTGGTATTGAAGCAGAGACTGGGCCAATCGGCTATAAAGGCTGCCGACGAGGAATTGCAAGACTATCTCGATGAACAGGAACTTGCTGAGCTGCAATTGTCTGCGGGAGCCTTGGATCCGAAGATAGAATTTGATGTTGAACTGGCTTGGATGCTGACAAGATTGCGATGCATGGTTTACGCCAAGCTGGGAGACCTGGAAGAGGAGGATGAAGAGGATCTCCTCGAAGATGATGAGTTGAGATACCACGTCACTCGAGTCAAGGAGTCTTTGAGAGCCGCTGCGACCATAATGCCTGCTTCAGCAATATTCCTAACAACGATATTGGAGTTTCTAGCCGAACAGGCATTGTGTATCGCCGCCCAACACTCGAGAAGGCGACATAACAGTACAAAGGGTCAAGCAGCTCACCAGTCCGCAAACTCTGTCATCTTTCTGGACGACATTGACATGTCGGGAATTGGGAAAGAAGGCCCTCTCATTCGACTATGGCGATCGTGGAAGGGCAGCGTTCGAACTACTGGGAGCATATCATCTCGACCTACAACACCTAACATAATGACCCCCATCAGTCCCGATTCGCCCACTTTCGAATGGAAGACCCCGACTGCACCAGCTTTCTCCACTATTCAAGAGGAGCACAGTCCATCCATCCAACCCGTAACATTCCCCTTGCCAGCTGATATACCTTTACCAATGTCTGACAATGATGTGAGGGAGATTGAGGTTCCTGGAGTGGCACACGACCCTGACAACCCGGATGAGGGAGAATTGACAGCGCGACCCACCCTCGAAAAACGTCGACCATCAAGCATGCTGGTGATGCCTGGGAATTTTCCCAGTCCTCCAACGCCCACGACCACCGACCAAGACGGTAATAGACCTTCTTGGGGCCGGACTCGATCGCACTCTCTTCCCACGCCCGCCCAGTCTCCATCCGTTCTACAGTTTGACAAAAGTGTTGATGAGATCGCTTCGTCGAAGATTGCTGTACCTTCCAACGTCACTGAGGTCGCACGTCCCAACAATCCTGATCAAGTGACGGAAGGGCACGATGAAGCTGAGGCGGCTACACATGCGGAAACGGAGCGCGTGGCCACACCCTCTCGTTCCGACGTTGACAGTGCGACCGTCGCAACTATCGCGGGAGCGTTGAGCGTGGAGGCCTCCAGAGCTCTGCGTAGAAATAGGGCCAGCCAAAATGACCTTGGACCCCGTGCTTCCGGAGTCGAAATGAATCCACAAGCCTCAACAACGACCGTCGACGACTTCCAACAACCTCACATACCGGTTAGATCGCAAACCACAGATACCTCGAATTTTATCGCAGGCCCAGTTGAAAGCACGAACGAGGAAGTTGTAGCTGAAACTACAATTGCCGACGCGGAGGAGGCTCAGCCCGCCGACAGAGCAAACCCTCGTGATTCTGGCTTCGGGGTCGATGTGCCAGACAACGTACAACATGGCCATCACGGTGATTTCCCAGATGCCCTTGTTCCCCCTCAGGATCAGACATTACCTGCAACAAACGACTCTGTACTGAGCAATCCCGACGATACCGACATGGCAAGCAGGCCAGTCGGTAGGGTTCCCTATCAGGGGCACGTGGCAAATTATCGCAATCTTGAAGCAGGCAATGATCATGGAGTGGCAATTATTCAGGGCACGGGCCGCCCCAGCAGACACCCCACCACCGATCAAAACACATCTCGAACTGCAACAACTTCCGCCTGGCCTGCGGTGGTTCCTGACAGACGATCATCTTTGGAGAGACAAGCAGGTAGGCAATCTCCGACGGAAACCAGGTTTCCTCAACATATACCCACGTACCAGCGAGCCGAGGGTGTCGAGAAAGACACAGTATCTCATTACGCCACTTCAGCGTTGGCAGGCCCGTCAACCTCGCATTCCAGAACATCGAGCGCAAAAGAAAGTAGGCCTGGGACATCTGGATCTGCCACTGCGAAACGCCAGCATCTACGCCTGCGGTCTAGCACGGATGATGGACACAAGAGGATAACGCCACCAGAAGAGGCAGATCGAGCCAAGAAAAGCCTTGACGTACTTATTGATAGCGACGAGACACTTCACTACACACTGACTCCAGAATCAGCAAGAGCTGATGCAGAGGTAAGATATCGTCAACCCTTGAATAACTCTATCTAACCTTGCATAGCTGTCCCGACCCAAACCTAGGACTCAAGCGCAAGAATTGGCGGATTTCTTCCGAACTACAGCGCCTCCAGGTCAAGCGGTCGCTCGTCCAAGATCGTCTGGAGCCAACAAAGATAACATGAACGGGCTGCGAGCAAATCCGCCTGGATCTCCACAACTTCCAGTGCCGGTCATTCCTTCACAGTCAGGGGTGCAACAGTCCACAAACTCGCCGTCCAAGGTCAGAAATCCGCTCGGTGAGCCGCGTGATGCAAGAATGGCACGTGGAACTACACGGGACCTCGCTGATTATGCTCGATCGACTGGACCTGAGAATGACAGGCAGCTTCCAAAGTTTCTCAATGCCCGGCCTGGTACCTCGCAAACAGGATATGATGGGCATTCATATGAGAACAATTCGGGAACGTCGGCGGAGACTGTCACTCGCCCATCGACGACATCAAGCAAAACGACCAATAGGCTCAAGTACCAGGCGAGAGATGCACGTGCCCCACGAACTGCTGAGAGCTCCGATCTCATCGACTTTATCCGAGAGGGCCCTCCGCGTGCAACTGGTGATCACCGTATCGACAGAAATGTGGCGCCTTTCCGGACTACCATGGACTCGGATGACCTGAACGCGCTTGCACCTCCACCAGATATTGACACTAATGGACGCTATTCTGACGGTAGTGCGCAAGAAAGTGCGATGACCATCAAGTCGATGCCATCGTCGATGAACTCGCGTACTGGGCTACTGGATTCTTCGAACCGTGGATCTAGCAAGCTTGGCAACGGATATGGTGCAGGGGTTGCAGCCGTGTCACGACAACCTGTGATCCCGGAATCTGATGGCATGCCTCCTCGCACGCGACGGAGGATACGTGATCCTTACGCCATTGACTTCAGTGACGAAGAAGAAGAAGCTGAGGAGGAACTTCCAAGGCCACAACGGAGAGGAGACGAAGAATCATTAGTTGATTTCTTGAGAAATACGGCTCCACCCCCGGGGAGCACCACTCTTCCCATTCTCGGGCTGAATCCTAATCCGACCCAACCAGATCCCTCGTCCATGTTGAAGCGAACGGGGAGTAGCTCGAAATTGAGGGACTACCTTCAAGGTGCAACGGGTGCCAAAGCCGGACCCAATGCCGTCAAAAGCACCAACGGTGCTCGAGCAGACTCTCCACACCTTACCCAAGTCGGGTCCAAAATGGACAAATACCGACCCACTCAACCAACACACGCAGCTCACGTTGATCGCAACCGACAAAAGACCCGGGCAGAACCGAGAGATGCCATGGCGTCAGGTGGAGGTGGCACGGCTGATCTTGCTGCATATTTGAAGAGCTCTGGTCCTCCGCCTGGGAGTGAAGCTCCACCGCAGCGATTTGTTACCTCAGCTGGTGGTGGAAAGGACCAGGCAGGCTTCATGAAATTTTTCTCCCGACGTGGAAGCGTGCGGAAATAAACATTAACCCCCCATATATGTATCTACTATTATCTGCCAAATTCCGCCGCAAGTTTTGGATATCCACAAAATCGAGAGACCAAGAATCTTTGAACATTCTACGGCAGATGGGAAGGAGAGTGTCTTTTTTGACTTTTGAATTAGATATAGGTGATGACTGAACATGGCTGAATTACGGGCCAGTGATGCCGCCATCGATCATACGTCTCAATGATAAATACCCAAGCATGCGTACAGAGACAATGGAAATCATCTGTGGTCCCCAGAATTCAATAATCAGACGTCTGTTCGAGTCTGTTGGTGAAGTCTATTACTTATTAACCCATCGCAAATCACGAGTTGTAGCCTGTAGGTTGTGAGTATGGAGTTCACAGATCGTTTGCGCAGTGCAGTACGAGAACTCGCCACACGGTCTGTCATTTGATGTCGTACAACGACTGTCGACTCTCTGAGGCAGATGGTCAAGCGGGTATGCTGGCTGATAAATACAAAGGTCTATTGGCGCCCAGCCGGAAGCATCATCGACGGAGTCATGATGTGCAGTGGATGATGGATGCATGATCTAGTTCGGGGATGGAATGCGGAGAAGCGATCATCGTTGGTAGGAGGAGTATTAATAATGGGACTTTTTTCTTTGATGTTTGGTAAGCAGGACGGAGCTTGGGGACACACCACACCCTTGCAGATGAACTCTGTTCTGTAAGCCAAGGTGGTACGGATACACTGCCTAGGAAGGTAGTTTGCTTGTTTCCATGATTCACGGGGCCATTCTCCCGTGTGTTCTAAGTCAAGCTGATCGGTGCTCTATCTTTTGAGCAGCAGGGCGTTGATGCTGTTTTTGGTTTCCGGCTGAACTTTGAAGACTGGGATAAATGATCCGAAAGGGGAAGGTACAAGGAATGTTCTGGAAGGGGATGAAAGTTGAGGAAGTTTCGGTGGTGCAACCAAGAAAGAAGAGTCGTACTCAGTCGTATTTTCCCACTTTCCTTGGCGCCGCGGAGTTGGAGCCTTGGAGGGTCTTGTCGAAAAACGCACTCACGATCATCTCGTATTTCGTATGTACCTGGGTAGTTCTTTGCTGCTTGCTGCGCATCGTCTGACTGACGCGTATAATCATTCAAATCAACCCCGAGGCCCCTGAAAAGGATTACCTTGCTGCCTGCCTGTGAAATCAGACTTTTGCCATCCGGGTCATCCACGTCTTACGCCAGGCTATAAGCCACTTTGAAACTGGTGATAACACTTCGTATTATGGATGATGGAATCCTCGGAGAGTGTATTCACCCGTCGCAAACGGGCAGTAGTTGTTGTACGAGCACATCACTTTGTATGTGACTCGTGACCGCGCCTCGCGGACGGGAGCTCGGGTCCTTCAGGGTGCCTCGTGCCCCGAGTCTGGGACTTTCTTGGCGTATTTCCGGATGCTTGGGTATGAGGATAATTCACATCATTCATAACGACATTGTCCTCAGAGTGCATGTTTCATGTGCTCATGAATTACACGGAGTCGAGGTCTCGTTGCCAGGCGGACAGTTTGGTTGTAAATACTACGGACAGATTGAAGCAGATATCTCCGTCTAAAGGATGAGTCAGGTAGTCATGGTGATTAGCGGAGGTCTCCATGGGTTGGGCCGTTGATGAAACACACCAAGATAAGTCCGTCTCGCCCAGTGGACTTCCCATTGTCTTGCGAACTCGAGCCCGGACGAGCTCTTGTATCCGTATCTCCGTAAACGACTCTCGGACCATTCACCGGCCGGTTCTCTTGACAATTGCGGTAAAGGAGCCCTCGGGCTCCCAGGCAGCCAATGTGGGAAACTCTATGCATTTTTTGGCATTTCACACGGCATTCTTGACCCGAGTCGTGCATTACGCCATCCCCATCAACCAATCTCATGCACTGCCCTCGCTGGCTTTCTAGGCGTGAGTCAAAGGCTGACGATGATTTGATTGTTCTTGTCAAACTGGCTGACTGCCAAACGCCCTGTGTCCACGGTGCCGCAAAGGTCTCTTTCTAAGCCCCCGTTCTTCGGCTCACGGGCTTTACGCCCTGCAACTTAACGGGCGAATACGACGGTGATAGGAAATCAGTGACTCAGGCATCCATGAACCTAATCCGTGTCAATTCTTCGATTGATAATATATCATACCGCTACTTCTCCTCCATCAAGTCGATTCGTGTCTTGGACTCTCTTCACACAAACACAAACACCTGAACATTCCCTTCTGTGGTACTGATCCTTCCGGAAAAGTTTTGCCGCCTCCCATATTGGAAATTACTCACGGACAACGTTTAAAGTTCATCCGGCTATCGTCATCACCCACTCACTGCATGTGAAAAAGACAAGGCTACCCGAAATCTACAATACTACGTTAAATCCTCCGGGCACCACACTGGGACCCAAGAAAATTTACCAACGATCCACATCACCGGGACTCTTTAATATACCATTGTCCCCTTGTATATCTCTTACAAACCCGATCAATCAATCGTCAAAAACTCAACCATGCCTCTCTCAATGATGCAGCCGCTCAGTCGACCACCTTCACGTGATCTGACACCACCATCACCCACACGCCGACTATCTCGCGAGGAAACATATCATCTGGCCGAGACGGCAAGGAGAAAGTCGTCCAACAAAATCGTCCATGACGATCTCAGACTCAAACTCAGCCACGAGCACCTGTTGGAACTTCTACTACAAGACATTGCTCAAACCGAGCGAGAACGCCAAACATCACCCACCGAAGACAAGTACCTGATGGAGGAGGAACGCCAACAACGGAAGCGACCGGAGCAGGAAAGGAGGATATCGGAACCACCCAAATTGGACGAGTACGGATTCCCTCTCGACCAAGACGACGGAGAGGAAGACTTGGGCGGATTGTCGTTAATGCGGACTCACTCGCGGAGACCCACGAGATGAACTCTGAAGAAACCAGCGCCTTTTGTTTTGGTTTTAGACGACTGCATTGTTTCCAAAAGAACGACTTTTACGACCATTTTTAATCTATTCGACTCGATGATACCCCAAATTGCTACCAGATCCAAATTATGGATCGACCTCCCGGCGGATTTGCCCACGCAAATCCAGCCCGCTCGGTGGAAGCTCCCACCCGATCTTCTGAGAAGTCCCGATATTATAAGAGGACGATGAGCTCGTTGATCAAGGCAACTGTTGTGTTGCAGAGACTAGGAAAATCTGGCGATGCGGTCAGCTCGCACAGAAAGGAAGGACCGGTGATAGCTCCTGGTTCCAATGATGGCTACAGACTCAAAGTACGATGTCAGATCAAAAGGATAATGCAGTTGGCAAGGGCTATTGGATGAGGCTTATGCACTCTACACCCTTGTTTGCACTGTTCGACTGATCTTGCAGCTACTGCAATCTGCTTGCGTCGAGGAATCCAGTTGTAGCGAACTGAGAGATTGAAACTGAACAGTTCCCTCTCTCATAGATTAGGAATACCTCATATAATAAAATATAAAATATCTACTCTCGATCTCTCGATTCTTCATTCTACTTCATAGTCCCTCTCTCATTCACCGTAGCCATACCTTCTTGCATCCCAATTTGCGTGCACCTTCGCACCCGATAAGGAACCACCATCTCATTTCCCTTCTCAACAAGGCTGACCGACTCCTTCACGCACACAAATTCCGTCCCACTTTTCCCATCCGTCAGTTAGCAGAGCCTTACTCCGACCAAAGACTATGACTCTTAATAGAAAATTTTTCTAGGCATGCTAGCTCGAAAAGGGCACCATTCAAATCCCTATCCCCTATCCACATCAACATCCACCGAGACCCAACCCGCCGGAAACCTCCTGCCACAAATAATAATCGCGCGGCCCGTGCCAACGAGAACATGAAGAAATTACCACGTGGGTGGACCACCGGGACCGGCAATGAAACCTTTTTGGGTCTTTTGATTTGGTTGACCTCGGTGGTGGATCTCAGCAGCCATTTGACATTGTTGTGACAATGAGGTGGCATTGTTGTTAGTAGTATTGAACATTACGAATTCGTGCGTCTCAACACCGCCTCCCCCTGGAATGAATCAGGAACGAGAACCTTGAGCGTGGCGTGGCGTGGCGTGTCGGCCTTTGAACGACGCTGAGACCTGGCATGTGTTGAGAACCCCCCAAGACCGCGAACACGCAAGGCAAGGCTTCGCCGCCCGTGCGGCGGTTGCATTACCTAAAAGGGTCATCATATCAACTGGTGGTCTCACCCCAAAAAATTTGGACCTTTTCTGGGATCAAGGTTCCGCTTCAATCGATAGCGGATCCCTTTCGTCTGTTCGCTGAAGATGCCGACACAGATCCGTGCGAGCCTGTGACGGGAGATGGACCCTGCAGGTGCAGTTTTTCAGTTTTCTTTGCAATCAGCTGTGCCCCACCCTGAGACTTCTTGAGGGATCCATTACTTAGTGTTCTTTTTTATTATCGTCGTGATCCAGGAACAGGGATCCGCTGCCCTTTTCCTCTTATCCTATGTTTTGCGATGGCGGTCTGTGAAAATCTGTCGAGACGAGTACGACTAACTGGATGGGAAATGTTCTTCTGCAACTTGTGTTTGATGGGGACGCTATAGGTTTGTCGGTCAGGAAGGATTCGTGGGATGGTTGAAGACAATGTTCGGTTGGTAGTGTCGCATGTGTTTCGTACAACGACTACTGCCCCGTACCTGCTCAAAAAGACCGGTATTCGTACAAGAAGATCATTCAGCTTGTCATATCAATTCTCCCTTTGCCCATCGTAATTTGCTGACCTCGTGATTCTCTACAACCGTACGAGGACAAGATCACTACCAAGTAACTTGCGAACTTTAAGAATCCGAGTTGGGGACTCGAGGACAGCGAAAATCATATTAGAGCTGCGAGTTCCCGACTTGGCGAGAATCTGGCGAGCAAGCCCTCCGCGGGCCTCGATGCCTTTTCCCTCGTATGCTTTTCCATGTTTGTCCACTAGTTGGGTTGATTTTCGTCCCTAGTAAGAGCACATACGGTTTCCGGGATGCACGAATAACTCCTACAGGCCATCGCGAGCTTCCAGAGTTACCTAAGTATCATTGATGGTTGGCAAGGAAATCACTCTTACTTCCTCGGCGAAAGGCAACCCGAGTTGCGCCTTGGCCGAGGGTTACGAGTCTGTCTATCTATCGTGTAGAAAGTTACTGGGCCTGGGCCCGGGCGAGAATCATCAGCGCTCTAAACCATCACACGGTGGTGAGATTCTTGCACAGGTGCGATGTCTTTGGTTGAGTAGGGAGCTCTCTAAGCATTCATGGCAGTCTTCACGATGGATGTACATAAGTTGACATGGAAAGATTTGGTGGGGTGTTGAAACCCCCACCATCATTGTTGATATCACCTGGCCTCACCGTTCGGACACTTTTCCTTGCAATCTACTGAGTACTCCAATAGGATGGTCACGACGAGTGGGGTCTACGAAGTAAAGATACTCCCTCAGAACTCGAACACGAGGTTCTCACTCCTCGTCCCCTTCGCTGGTTGTCCCCTTACACCGGTCTGTCTCTTAAGGTGACAATGCAAGCACTTTCACAGTTGGGCATCTCTGCGCCTGCCAACGAGGACACACTGCATTCCCCTATCTAACGTGCCATGGCACACTTTCAGAAGAACGAAGACGATTCGGCACATCCGCCGTCCTCTGCATACTTCGTACTGTAGCTTGAATCGGCGGTCAGTTTCATCAGCAATCAGGAATGATGCAGCACTCAGAGGCACCTGGGCACTTCCATGCACAGTCACTTCTGCTGCGAGCCGTCCTGCAGCACTCGGTGCATGAGTCACACTCGCTTGCTGAACTAATTGGACAGATGCAGTGTCGATCTGGCGCACCGCTATTGGAGAGTTTGAGTGCACTTCCCTTCCTTTCCTCGCACTTTTAGTAAAGGCAATAAGAACGAACTCCGAGTCCTCCGGTGTCTTGGCCGTAAAATCCGAGCCGATGATATACCGAGGTATCGATGTTCCTCTGTCATCCTGTTCGAGCCAAATCGTCTTATTATTGTTTCTCCAAAAAGCGATTCGACTTCGGAGAACACAGCGGTAGACTCCTTTGAGACACTATTGCGTCTGGGAGCCAATCGTATTCTCCGTCAACTCTGGCGGTGTTTTAGGGGGCCGATACGGGAATGAGGTCCAACCCACGTATATTCACCGGGTCCAGTTGCATCGACATGAACCTGAAACGTAGTTCAAGTGTTTGATATGGAAGTGGTTGAAATTCGACCCTCGTCAGGCTCTGCCTAGGAGCGCTTGACTAGTCAATGAGGGAAACCATGTCGAGATATTATTGATGTTATCAGCGCCTCCGGTTGAACATCGGAGCTTGAGGCCACGAACGAAGACAAGCTTCCTCAAGATGTGAACGTGACATCTGGGCAGCTCTGATCGTCAACACCATCTGACACATGAAGCAACTTTTATTAGAAGATCTGGCGTTCCATCCTTTGTCATCAATGGGGTTCAGGTTCACCAAAGTACTTTGGCTTCGAGACAAGAATTGACCAAAATGCCTTTCATCCGGCAGTATCAAGCCACAGATCTGAATGAGGTGGTACACATCGTGGGCATACCCAGTCTGATTTGGCGAGTGACCTGCTTCTGACCTCTCCAAGTTCAACGAGACTGCAGCACCTGACTTGCGTGCAGGAGGCGAGATTATTCTTGACTTGGCTTGCCATATCTGGTGTCGCCCATACTTGATGCTACGACCGGAAACGTGCTTCGTCTTGGACGACGACCATGGACGTGCCGTCGGTTACATCCTAGCAGCGCTAGATACTCGTGCCTATGTTCAGTCATACAAAGAAGTATATATACCACATCTGATCTCGGAAGGTTACCTCGAGCCTGGAGTAGGTGAACCATCAGACTGGGACACGAACTTGCCCAGCGCCTTGAAGAAGATAATGCACACTCCCGAGGGAGCCTTACACCGGGAAGCACCCGACTTGATTGACAGCTACCCAGGCCATTTGCATATCGATGTTCTAGCTCCTTACCAAAGGCATGGTTGGGGTCGTCGGCTGATTGAACGAATCTTGGAAATTGCAAAGCGATTCCAAACACCTGGCATTCATCTGATCATGGCAGCATCGAATCAAGAGGCTAAGATTTTCTACCCCAAGGTCGGGTTTTCCAGATTCCCACAGATCCTTGACAATGGCGAGAGTGGTGAGGAGGGGAGAGATAAGACGACGATTTGGTTCGTCAAGTCACTGTAGAGGAACAGTTGGGGGATGGATAGGTAGTGAGGTGCAGCAGTCATGATTACATTCTCCAGTATTAAAAGTTTTGTTTGTGTAATGACAGGCCATCGAGTGAATTCCAGAATCAACATCTACGAAAGGCTGAATTCCTGCCTACAGATATCAGACCGATGCTCCCGTCCATCCCAGCTGGTTGCGGATTGATCCACCAATGAATGATGACTGGCTTCTGTTGTTGTCCCGGCATCCCATTTTCAAGAGGCAGTAGAATCATCATCGGGACTCATCAATAAGCTCGCTGCATTGCTTCGAAGCATCGATCGAACGTCTTCGCCCTATGAGACGTACACCGTGACAGCACCTTGATGCCCCCGGCGCATTGGTCTTTGGCGATGATACCAATGGTGATTGCATCTCAGGGATTTTTAGAGTCAGCCCATTCTTGCTGCAAGCCAAAGATACTAGATTGATTCCGATTGGCGCGATGAACCATCCCCGAAAATTGTGCCATTGCTGTTGTGAGGCCTCCTTGTAAATGTCCTGGCGGACTTGGATATCCTCGACCTCCGTTCATGGCAACTGAGGTAGAGCCATGGAAGGGACTGTACCCAGAGGTTGTCGCTGTATTCTCATCGTCGTATGGAAAGGCGCCGGGAACAGGATCTAGGCGCTCTTGTGCGGTTTGCACAGCGGGTGCCTCAGGCCGGCCCGCACGAGCGTTGCGTGCAACTCGCCGCAATATCTCCCATGTTGACAACCCACTCTGCTGCTCATCAACCGACACAGTATCCGACTCCACGGCTGGGGGGAGCGAACCCCGGTAGACTTGCATTTACAGTCGTCGTTGGCGTCATCATCCGCGTCGTCGTAAACGTGTGCAATTGTTGAGGATGGATTCCCATTCTCGCTCCTGTCTGAAAGAGGGTTCTGGCTATCTTTTCGCAAATCTGAGCTAAATATATCACCTCTCTTCTCTGCTTCCCGATCGATAACTGGGGGAACAAGAAGTCGGACTCGAGAATACTCGCTGATTTTATCTCCGCCGCCGTCGTCGTCATCATTGTCAGTTGGTGTAGCTTCCAAGGTGGAGGTGTCAGTCTCGCTTCCCCTCGAAATGCGATCATTAGCATCGCTCTGGGACTCGGGATTCCGCGTATATCCATTTCCTTGATCGTAAGGTGGAGTTAATGGATCTGGTGAGTCTATCACCGTGATCCTCTGGTATGTCATATCGCAGTTGTCACTTGGGGGAGTTTTTAGGTTATCCTGAATTTCACCATTCCACGGATGGATGAACTTACCACTTTGTCTCTTCGTCTTCCTTGCCTTGGCTTGGAGTTCCACAGCCAGGACAGGAGGATTTTGCCCCGACATTGCCAAATATCATACTCATGTTCACTACTTGCCCAGGACGGAAGCATTTTTCCCACTTCTGTATGAGATTGATGTCACGATTTGCATGCACATCGGTGACGGCGAATTGATGCCTGTCAACTTTCCGGGCTCCGTTGCTGTTGAATCTCTGCTTCAAAGCGAACAAAAATACCTAAGACTCGTTTAGCAAGAGTGATTGACCTATGAGAATATACGCAGACCTCCATGGAAGTGATAAATTCGAGATAGAATGGAGCTGGTGCCCCCTTGGCGTACCATAAATAAACAGGCTATTGGCGGAGAACTTGAGGAGGTATTGCATATCGTAATCGCGAGAGCGATTGAGCTTGGGTATTACTATATCTGGAAGTCAGCTTGCCGGGATAAATAAAAGACTCAACCGTCAGATCATGGTTCCTAACACCGTGTCTATCACAAAAAGCGACGCATGTCTTGTTGTTGCTGGCTCATAGCTCTGCTTCGAAGTTAGCATTCGCCGAAGTGATTAGCAGTGAAAAAGCTTTACTCCGCCAACTCGGATACGAAGGATTTGAGGGCATCATGAATTCCAGTGGTAGATGCACTGTCTGCACTCTGCGGTGTTGCTTCTGCTTGCTGCCTGGGGTCAGTCAAAGGCTGCTGTAGCGCAGCACCACAAGCTACTTACTGACAATGCTGGTATGATGTGAAGAAGCTCTCGCGCATAGGCGGCAGCGGCAGCTGCAGCGTAGCCCTGCCATATGTCATTCTTATGGGTATCTGAATAGTCACAAATTCCCCGAATAACCAAACATGGGAATGCATTCAAAAGACCTGCAGCCTCCATTTCAAAGCACAAGACTTTTTCGGTCTCAGCCAACTGGTCGCGGACTGTAGCATCTTTCATCAACTTATCCGCGGAAGCAATTAGCCCATAGTGCACCATTGGCTCATTCTCCGGAGATTCACGTTGAGGTCGAGGTACCTGATGGCCAAGGTCACCATCGCAGAGCCCTAGGCATGGCTTATTTGCGATGGAATGCACGAAGTTGGACACATACAAAATGTCCGTCGTTGGGGGAGGGCGTTCATACTTCTGTTTGAGCCTGTGGTTACTTGTAAAGGTTGAATTAATGCTTTCAGAAAGATTATGCCCTCGTCGCTCGTGAACAGAGCTCAGATGTTGGACAGCCGTCAGAAGACTGAATGGCGGTGTATTGAGCACTCCAGTCCGCTGAAACTCCTTGTTTTGCATGGCTACACCGAAATCGTAGTGTACAACTCCACCAGATTTACCAGTTGGGCAACTGACCACGACATCTCCCAGTCGGACATCATTCTCTTCCGAAGGTGCTCCGCCGCCAATTCCGACCATGAGCAAATACCTGAGCGGAAAGCTACGGCACATGTCCTTTGCTACTGCGGTGGCTGGAGAGAGTCCATAGCTGCCCTTTGGAAGACAGGCTAAGACCACATTGTGATCACCTATACGGCCAAAAGAGTATGTATTGCTGTCGGAACATAGGCGAGGTTGAGGAGGGCTGTGATACTCCACGTCCAAGAGCTCACAGGCAATAACATACTCTGTTTGGACAGCTGATATCCAGCCCACCTGATAAGAGCGTGGATCAAAAGGGCTGGCTGTCATTTTGCGCTGAAGGCGTTGATGGATGTTAGTTTCGTACCCAGAACAAGGTGCAGCGGGTACATAGCGACGACATCCTGTTGAGTTTATACGACATCCGATGATCAGGGGTCGAATCGTGTTCGGGGGGTGGTAACTTGACTGAGCCTTCAGCAGAAGATCAGATCCGCCTCATCTTCTAGCACTCACACGAAAAAGGGCAGGCGCGATCTAAAGTTTGATATCTGAGAGTTAAGCTCCATACATCTCTCGACAGATTTGATGAAGCCCTTTGATCAGATTGCCGATGTTCGACGAGAAGTTCAGATACGAACATTGGGCATGACTTGGCACCCTCAGCCCGAGGAGGAGGATGCATTCCTTAGTGCCAGGCTAATGAGCTAAGCCGCCACCAAACACTCTAAAATAAGAACCCTTGCCGCTTCAACAGCCTTTTGACATTTTCTCGCCGCCTTAATCTACTGCAGTTAGTATTGGCAGCTGCACCTGCATGTCACACGTGCCGTGCCACTGCCACTGCCACTCCACTACCGTATCACCGGCATCGTCATTCTTCAACTACGGAGGAGTCAAGCCAAACTGCGTTGACTCGGTCTCTCCACTCTATTTCCCTCCCACTTCAACTTGGTCACAAGTCAACTGCTCATCATGAAATGAATGCCGATGCGCTGCACCCACCTCTGCCTCTTCCTGCAACGCCGCATTTCAAGAGCCCTTCCTCTGTAGGCCGGAATCTCTTTCTGCTCCGGTCTGTTCCCAGGGCGATATGAAGCTGCTCATAGCATGGAACACGAGGTTAACTATGACTTCGACCACGAAGATCACTTCTGGCAAGGTAAATTTGGTTCAAGTTCATTGCGATATACGTTGGCAAGACATCCGGCTAATGCATCTGTCCCTCTAATTCAGCGCTGGACGACATCATTGCCCGCGAATGCCAAAACCATACCTTTATCGACGATTCGTTGCGCTCCTACTTAGCCATAATCAGCTCTTGTCGTGGTAAGCCTAGAGTATACTTTAAGAGGGGAGAAGAACATATTGGAGACTAATACACCACTCGCCAGAGCGCTTTCTTCCCAGCGACCATGATCTTGGTCGATGCGCATTTAAGCTGCAAGACTCGCCGCTCTTCAATACACATTCTGACTATATCCGGCGCCAATTCGTTCAGTGCTTGATAGAGGTATGTGAATTGGTCGTTATGCTCCTCCGGCACTAACTAGTCGTGTAGGATGACGAGCCCGATGTCATCCTCATATCGACCATCTTTCTGCTTACCGATGCACAAAGTCACGATCAGACATATGAGTTGTTGAATGACCAAGGCGCATTTCCTAGATTGGTGGACCTCATATTAAGTCCCCGACAGCATGGGCACGAAGGAATACACCGACTCCTCATGGAGTTACTTTATGAAATGTCGCGCATTCAAAAGATCAAGTTCACTGATCTCGGTACGTCGGCTACCTGTATCGATTCTACCCACCTCGTTAGACTGACTATCCGTCTAAAAACTAGCCCATATTGGTGACGACTTCATTAAAATGCTGTTCGAAATCATAGAACAAGTTTCTGACGATGTCAACGATCCTTATCATTATCCGACCATCCGTGTCTTAGTAAGCCTCTGACGCCCTAACTAAGGAGGTCGCTTCTAACGCCTTCTCCAGTTGGTCCTGAATGAACAGTTCATGGTCGCTGCACATGATCCTTCCAATACTCAGAAAGCTGTCCCATTGACCAACAAGGTCATCAAAGTGCTCTCTTCACACGGCAGTGCATACAAAACGTTTGGGGAGAATATCATTCTTCTTTTAAATCGAGAGGGTAGTGCTACTCCTTTTACTCCCAAGTCACACGGTCCGCATACTGATCAACTGTAGACGAAACATCGTTACAACTCCTAACCTTGAAGTTACTATATTTACTTTTCACCACTCCTCCAACTTATGAGTACTTCTACACCAACGATCTTCATGTGTTGGTTGACATTCTTGTCCGCAATCTTTTGGATCTACCCGAGGAGGCTTCCTCTCTGCGGCACACCTACTTGCGCGTCCTATATCCCCTGCTCGAACACACTCAGCTACAATACCCTCCGCATTATAAACGAGACGCCATTCGAAAGCTTCTACTTGTATTGGGTGGAGGCCATCTTGCCGACGCACCGTGGGGTCACTTTGAAGCCGTCGATGAGACGACAAAACGCTTGGTAAAGCGATGCGAAGGGGTCAGTTGGCTGATCGATCCCGAAATCGATCCACCTGAGCGTGTAGATTCCCCTACCCCCGAGACAGATTCAAACCCGGCATCTCCAATCTCACCCGTGAGATCAATTCCTCCAGCACTACCAGCCCCTCGGAAACTAAAAAAGCGCAACTCCTCAAAAGGTTCGACCCTTACAATTGGACAGTATCTAACACCGCAGTTAGAAGGTGCCCGACATTCCAGTCTCAGCATGATGGAGGTTGCTGCCCAAAGGGAAAAACCAGGAGTAATCACTCCCAGTCGAAATCCGAGTCTCAGGCACAATCTCCGCGCAGCAATTATGCACAATAAAAAGGAACGGCCGCCACCACCACAAGCTAGACGCTCCGGTTGGAGTAGGCCGAAAACGCAAGTTAGTTTGAACGAGTCGGAGGCTGCAAGTGTTCGAGCTTCAAATATGGATCTGAAGAACGATGCCACAGATCAACCTCCAATTGCTGAGGAAAATACACATTCCCATGGCGATCTCGTAAAGGGAGCAGAGCAACAGGCCAAACAAAATCCATCTTCCATTTCCCACATAGAATCTCCGGCGCTCTCTGTCAGTCATCATCAACATCACATGCCACATTTTAGGAAGCCGCCACCGATGCCTAAAGCTCGTCGATGGCGTGGTAGGAGGGGAAAGGATGAGGACGAAGGCGGCAGCGCCAGTACTCCTAGAGAACCTGGAAGATTCAACCCCAAATTACCCTCAATTGTTACAACTACATCCTCTGGACAACAAGCTCCTGCTCAATCCCCCTTTTCACCCCTGGAAAAAACTCTCTCCCCACCAGACCCAGGTTCAGCCGACACAAATCCAGAAAAGGCGAGTGTAAGTCAGGCTTTGGAAAAGGCACAAGCTATTGCACTTGAAAACATCACAGAAACCATGGAACAAGTTAATCTTGCTGTGGAGGCTGTAGTAGGACAAAAGAATACCACAAAAGAGGATGGCAAGGGAATTATTGATGGTGATCAAAACGAAAGATCTTCTACAGAGACGAATTCTCCATTGGGAGAAGAGTCAGGCCAATTCCACGATGCCCTTCTCACACAACCTGAGTTAGGGTCGCAATCGCAAACCCTCCCACCCCCACCGCCTCGACCACCAATGTCCCGCCGGCACACCGAGACGAAAGAAGTCGTCAGTGATGCTCCAGAAGTGGTGATCCCTGAACCACAACCTCAACCTCGACTTGTTCTCACACCACCGGGTCAGGAGCCCTCTCGCGGCGTCCCCGGTCCGCAGATCGAATTGGAACGAAGTCCCTTTTTGACCGATGAGGAAGAAGCTGAGAGTGATTAATGAAGAGCAAGTTGTTCGTCAGGAGAGTCACAGTCATACTGTGGGATGTCTTATTACCCTGTGTGCAGGAAATGGGAAGCCATGCCACCCCAGCAACTTCTCAAGTCGAGGTCTCTGAATAGCCAGCTCTTTACGAAGACACGAATGCCCTCGAGCACGCAGGTATATGGTTACGGAGCAAACATGAAGGTCATGTGCTGAGATCAGAGAACTGATTCGACACGAACATTACTGCGTCTATCGCGTGCTGACCACTGGGTTCCAATCTCGCATGAACGAGTAACGAGAGCAGCAGTCGGAAGACCAAAGCCAAAAAAATGCAATGCATTGCAACGATGGATGATGATCACTCAAGAAGGAACGATTTTAGTCTAGTTTAGAATGCGGAATGAAATGAGACGAGACGCGCGTAATCGCCCAACCATCCCATACCGGCTTTAGATCGTACAGTTCCCAACCTTGCGTCCGCTAGCCGATGCGCCTGGAAAGCCCTGTCCACTTCCGTCTACTACATACAGTGACGCGCTAGAATCGATGTGCGTAACATCGTAAAGATAGAGAAAGGAGCACAAGAGAAGTAGAGAAGGAGAGAAGGAGAGAGGAAAAGAGGAGGATTTCATAGGAATCTTTTGATTTGCATTGCTCGAAGGGTAATTGTCATCTGAATGGTCATATCTGTTCTTCGTTGTGTTCAGTCCAATCCAATCGAGCCAACCCAATGCGAGAAACAGTCTGTCTGATATCCCTCGTTGTCCCTATCGAAGGGAGACAACTCGGATGAAGAAAGACGACATTTGTGTGTGAAGGAAAAAAACGAACGAACGCCTGCGCTATGATGCCACTGTCTGCCCCTTAGCTCGCTTCCTGCGACTGTAAGCAGGGAGATGTTTCGGCATATGCCTAGTTTTCGAGTTATTGTACATGAGCATTCTCGGCATGCATACTGAGTTTATCACCACCTAGCCAGTAGTGAATTTTGATCCCAAAGTGCTCCAAATGCCAGGTGCCGTGCTTTGGTATCGCCGCACTCCTGAGACACTCTTGTAACCCACGGTTTCCGTGTTGTCTGCTAATGCTCAAGAAGTAGTGTCGCGCTGAGAGTGATATCCAGGGAGATGACAAAGAAGAATACCCAAAAGGTCGGGAGGTGGTTATACTCAGTCGTAGATACCGAAGAACTGCTCTACGCCTAAACCACCAGGCTGCTTGTAGAGTGCATCGTACGCCTGAAAGAGGAAAAGCCCATATCCGCTGCCAAAAACTTTGGCCTTGAGAGAACCGATCGCGTCTTGTTGATTCTGTCGAGAGGGTACAGCCTGGCCGTTGGTTGATCCTGCGTGTGGCCAACCGGATTCAGTAATCACAATAGGCTTTCCATTAGCGACTGCTTTCACCATGCCGATGGCAGTGTTAAGGACAAAGTCGCCTGCCCCAATAGCAACAGTGTTCGGGTCGAAGAAAGCATGGGCATTGACGGCACAATAATCTGAGGCGGCACAAAGTTGAGCATGGTTCGAATGAGCGATGAATGTATCCACGGTAACGACGTGACCTTTGTATCCGACTGCTGAGAGCAATTGACGTGCAATTCCAATGCCGTCAACAACTGCTTGAACCAGACCAGGGTTGCTATTAACGACTTCGTTACCAACAACGATAGTGTCAACCGCGCCCAGATTTCCTCCGAAAAGACTGATCAGTTTCCCAATGTCACCTGCAACATTACTGACAGTATTAATACCAGCGATCAGAGCCAAGCCCTGTGCACTAGCTGCTCCTGCAACATCGTCAAGAGGACAGCCGATGTCGTAAACACGAACTTTGGTGAAGCCTTGACTTTTCAAGAAGCCGAATTCCGAGTCCATGGTCGCTCTGGATTTGCATTTGGAACCATTGTCAATCAATTCGTAACAAATGCCGAGTCCACCCATATCTGAAAAGAATTTATTCTCGCCAGATGTTGATGGTGCACCATTACTAGCAGCCGCACTGGATTGCTGCGCTGCGGGTGGGGCACTAGAAGCGGGCGGAGCCAATTGAGTAGTTGAAACTGGTCGAGTGCCTTGTTGAGGGTTGAATTGCATAGCATCGCCTGCTGCTTGGTTGACAGGTGGTTGAGGTGTTGAGATGGAGACGGGTGTGCTGGAAGAAGCTGACGGGACTGGGAGAGACGGTGTTGCAGATTTCTGAGAAGGTGGTGGATTGGTGGTGGAAGCACTGGGTCGACCACCATGATAGTCGGTAGAGATAATAGTTCCGTACTGATCGACCCAGACGACGGCGTTCGAAGCTGTGACTGTCACCACGCTGACCACGGTGTTGGTTTGAGTGACTTGGGCACGCGCGGCATGAAGATGCTGATGTTGGTGATGATCTTGTGATGGTGAGTTCGCGGATCGACGCAGAAGCGCATTGAACCTACCATGAGGAATAGCTAATCCAGCCTGCACGCACAAGGCGACAAGGCTGAGACAGATCGCCTTCATGGTCGTAGGAGTGGGTGTATGATTGTGATAGAAAGAACAACGACTGTGTGAGGACCTATATTCGAAGAAAGGTCTGATAAGAAGCGAGAGCTTTTTCACCGGCCGGCGGTCAGTCAAGAAAGGCAGAGAAAGTTCAAGTGGTGTGCACGAAAGCAGGGTTCAAGGGCAAGCAAAAGCACAGTGTCCAAGACATCAGCCCATACGGTCGACGGGGGGATGCAGATGTAAACGGCTTGGGTATAGTATATAGCAGGACAAAGAGATTGCGAGTGGATGCGGAAGGGGTCCATGCGCGGTGGTTGTAGGCTTGAGTAGCGGCACTGCCTCTTTGTTGACATGGAGACAGACGACAAAGCACAGACAACAGGATGGAAGATCTCGAACCCGCTTCCAGAGAAACGAAGAAATGAAAGACAGATTGTCTGTCCACAGTCTCTGCAGTCTCTCGAGTCCTGCTGCGCGCAGGCCGCCACGGTACCCGCAAACGGAGAACTCGGGGAAGAGTGAAGACACACGGAATGAACACCAGCACTTACCTTTTGGAATATCCCGAGGCTGATTGATACCTAGGTGATCGTTTCGAACGATGAGGAATGGATAGGACAGAAGTGGAGGATATCCAGTGCAAGGAATGACAATGTTGTGGTCCTGCCAGTAAGGAATGTAGAGGTAAAGTAGGTTGGGTGAGTGGTTGGAATGCGCGAAGTCCAGTCGCGACAGGTTATATAGGGTGCGCTTCTCACGTGCAGTCGCGACGACCTTCACGCAACTCATGTCACCACATCTTGGCAGTCACGATCGTGAAGGTGTTGACTACTTACCTCAATCACAAGACTTCCAGGGTTCTTTGTCCTCTTATACAAGGTGATATTGCGAACAAGTGAGAGTCATCTACCAGTCTGGGGGTCTCCACGATTCGGATGACAACCTCCCCCAGGTAACCCTGTATACGGCAAGCATCACTCAGCCTGCCCTGTTCTTATCGTTGATAACGGGAACGGGTGGCAGTCACAGTGATATGTACCATCTCCTGTGCAATAGTGTCAACATGACCGTCAACGTCGTGGTCCCATCAAGACCACTGTCAGAAGATAACAGATTCACAGGGGTAAATGACCAAAGCACAAAGCATAAGGTCGTGTTGGGTATCCCAAGGACGAACTCCCTACCATGACGAGATGGTGACAGCATCTTGTCCAACCAATATCGTGTTCCCATTTTCTCACCGTCCACATAGCACCTGTGGTGCCGCATAGCTTCAGGCAGCGTAACAGAGGTTGGGTCTCATACCAAGAATACTAGAAGCTCAAGATACAGAGAATCTGATGAAGCACTCTCCTGTAGCAAAGACATAGAGGGATGGGAAATTGACTACGCAGATTCATCGTTAAGAAGGCGGAAGAACGACTTGACTGGCAGTTGACAGACAGCCTTCACAAGATAGGAGGTGTCGATAGCTTTCCGGGAGCGAGCTTGCAGCCGGAGGCGCTAACCCACGATAGGCTAGTGTATGGCAACCGGGTGGCTGACGTGGCTGAAGTGGCTGCATCGTGCGAGTTCATCCTAATCGATGTGGTACGAGGCTATGAGGCTACAATTCCATATAGCAGTCTCCGAATTCGTGATGAAGACTCATGTTCTGCAGCCCTCTATAGGGTGTCGTGCTTTACGAATCTCATTATCAAACCACCCGTGTCCTGCATCGTAAGCCTCGGTTTCATTTCTGTGCTTAAGTGATCATGATAATCCGTCAATCGCCTGGTATCCTGAAGTTCCAATCATGTATGCCGTAATCCCATCAATTGTCCTCGCCTACCCGCCTCTCTCACCGAAGTCTCGTGCCCACTCCTCGAACTCTTCCAGGCCTTTCTTGCTCACACTGGGTCGGATGCTTTCCAAGCTGGCTTCGAAATCGACCATGTGGATGGGTCGGATCTGATCCATAGGCGTAAAGAGCAGCGCCTCGCCCAGGTGCCTCAGGGGGCCCATTGCTGCATCTTTCGCCAATGCAGTGATATCTGATCCCGAGTACCCTGTTCATGGCAGTTAGCAATATGTTCTCAACGTTAATCCGTGCTCACGAACCTTCTGTCAGCTCCACTAGCCTCTCGATATCTTCACCACTCAATTCATGCTTCTGATGGCCAATGAGTGTCCGGATCTGGACCTCCCGTGTCTCCTTCTCGGGTAAGGGAATGTACTGTCTCCGCACGAAACGCCGTCGTGCAGCTTCGTCGATATCCCAAGGGCAATTTGTCGCGGCAAGTACCAAAACCCGGCTGGCATCACCCACCGTCGTGTCCTTGCCTGCTGCGGCTCTCTGAAGATCCGACCACTGAATCAAGAACTCGGTCTTACTGCGCCTGGACGCCTCGTGCTCGCTCGACCCACTTCGCGAACTCAGCAATGAGTCGATTTCATCCACGAAGATAATACTGGGTGCCAATGCCTTTGCCATGGCGAACAATGCTCGGACTAATTTCTCCGATTCACCATGCCATTTGCTCGTAAGACTGCTTGCGCTGATAGCGAAAAATGTGCTCTTGCTCTCGGTCGCCACCGCACGTGCGAGCATTGTCTTACCAGTTCCCGGTGGGCCAAACAATAACATTCCCCTCGCGGGTTCGCGCAGTCCCATAAACAGATCAGGCCTCAAGAATGGATACACAACTGCTTCCTTCAGTGCTTTCTTGGCGGCATCCAGACCTGCCACGTCTTCCCAGTGGACCTCATCGCCTTTGACCACGATCTCGTTCAGAATCTGCTTTGCAGAACCCTCATCCAAGCCCTTGGGTAGATTTTTGAGCACGTGTGCCATCTTCTTCTCTGACGAGGAGACTGAACCTTCATCTTCGAGAGACTCGGCATCTGTCGATGGTGGGGTAATCGTCTTTGCGCTTTCGGTCCGACCTGCTCGAGGCCGTCTTGGCTTGTTGATCGTAGATTTCGGAGGCTCTTCCTCACTCTCTGATAACTGCTCACGCCGACCGGGTGACCGACCTCGAATTTCCAGAGTGGCACCACTGTTCGCAACCGGTTTCCGCGTGATAGAAGGAGACAGCTTGTCGTCTCGTTGGTATGCTTTATCAAGTATGTTGTTTGCAATCGTCGGTGGGACTTTATGTTGGCGGGCAGGGTATTCTTTTCGATAGACGATGTCAGGTGCTTTGGGGATAGATGCGGGAGACCTCGGTCTCGTCCTGGACAGACCTGGGCCTGGCAGCAGTGCGTGAGCTGGTACTGGAGGTGGTCGTTCAGGTTCAGGATCAAAATCAATCAGATTCGGGACCGACGGCGCGAGTTGCGTCTCTCCCAGCTGGAGGCTCTCCATGGATTTCTGCATCGAAGACCTTGATGACGTTGCATATAAGTAATCTCGAGGGTTAGTCTGTGATGATTGCTCTAATGTAGGTGATGTGGGGTTAGGGTTAGATCGTCGGCGATCGCTAGGTCTTGAAGCGGCATCCTGGTCAATGCTGCGTCTAGCGGCGGTGGCACTGAGCCTTGCTTCTATCGATGGGTCTGATTCTGGTCGGGGATGACTTTGTGCACTCAGGCGAGGCTGCGATTCCCACGCCAGTCCGGCAGCCCTCATAGTATCAGGTAGCCTGTCTTTATTTGGAGCCGATCGATACTTCCTGAAGCCCTTCTTCTCCGGGCGAAGTGTGGTTCGCATTGTCTTCCTACCATGTTCTGGACTCGGACTTCTGGAGACTTTGGTCGCAGGTACGGGCAAGCTAGGCACTCTACTAGATGATGACTGGCTGCGGGAGTCGGACGTCGTGGCCTCTTTCTTCAGTGTCCTTTCGCTCGATCGACTGGTGAGGATTGAGGGTCGTGGAGGAAGTGCGGGAGTAGGAGCTGGAAGTTCCGACATCTGCATGGGTCTTACGGTCTCGTCTCCTAGCCATGATGACGCCGACGACCTTTCCGGAGTAGGTGTGACATCGTGCCCTCCTCTTGACTTCTCCAACCGTCTTCTGCCCGATTCCGACTTTCTGTCATCTGGAGAGTCTTTAACGATATCTTGACGGCTAAGCCTGAGGGCTTCAAAAAGGTCAACTCTTTCTTTGCATTGATTCTCCAGTTGACGAAGAGAATCGTACAGTGCCTTCTCGGTCTCGGACTTGGGTTGATAGTTGAAGGGCAGTTTGTAGGCTTTAAAGTAGGTGATGCCGTCCAAGGCAGATTTCCACGATCGGAGAGCCTCTGCTTCATTTGCCTATGGGCACGAGTTAAGTCAGCATTTCCGGTCTTCTCTGTGCGTAGATAGGCGATCAGAAGTGCCTACCTGACCCTCGAAGAAGACTGCGGTCGAGCAATGCAGATAAGATTCATCGTAGATCTTTTGCATCAAAGAAGAGGGCTTGTTCCGCATCATGATTGCAGTCGTTGGCTCGGAATGACACAATCATCTCATGAAGATGAGTAGTCAGTCAAAAGGACATTTCCTGGTTAATTCTGGCAGATCGAGAGAACTTGAAGTCTGAGCCTCATTCTGATGTGGATTGGAATAACTTGCGGACTCCAAGAGGCAGGACATTGACGAGTTGACCCGCACACAAGGGACAAGCACAAGTCACCAGTCTTCCAACTCCACCAACTTACGTCACATGAGCCCGACCAGCCCGTGACTCTTCTCCAGCCACAGTGATACAGGAGTACGCCGTGTACGCCATATACGATGTGCCTCAAACTTATTGAGGCTTCCGACGTTCAAGGTGGTATTCTGGGAGGATAGAAAGAATTCAGATAAACAACACAAAAGACATTCTGGTTCTTGACTATCCTTCCGGACACGTGTCCGGGCGGTCCTAGAAGTACAACCACAATCGACTAAGCACCGGCAAAATCATCAATCAATAGCAGCAAATACTTTATTATGTGGCATAATTTTCATTCTCATTGCTGGTGCACCCGGGTCTATGAAAATGGCGAGAGCTGACGAGCCCTCCAACCGTCCCCGTTCTTTTTTCCGGTAGATATACAAGATTATCCAGAGAAGCCCTTGGACCCAGCGCCAACCGATACATCCATCATGCATCTGATCAGGTTATAGCGAAAACCCGCCCAGCAGGGACTCACTCGTAAACGCCCATTACCATGCAGTTCGCAATTCGCATTCCGCTCTCCGAATAAAAACATCAAGCTGGCCTGTGGGTTCCTCAATCAACCACCGGGTCATGCTAGAAAGAAAACCGCTCATCACGACCATGATGCTGCTTGGGGGAAAGCTCATCATCCTGGTGGTGGGTATCACTTTTTAGATAGGAGTCTCGTGTGCATCGCGCTGTTTTGAGCGCGGCCGGAAATCACTCCTAGGGCCGACCGTGGGAACAATCGTGCAAGGTTAGTTAGTACTGTGAAGGACAGAGCAGGTGGGGTCACAATTTGCTCGTTTGTTGTGCATTGTGCTCGTCGCGTAATGTTCGCTTGAAGTATGCTTTGGCCATCTCGTATGAAGACCTGGATGCGAGTCAGCTCGTTGAACTGGACTTTCCATGGAGGGGCGGGGAGATTCTGGGGGCTAGGAGAGGCCTGAAATTCCGAGAGAGGCCCGAAGGGCTTATAGGGGCGCAGTGCTACGACTTACCAGCAAATGGCGGTGCTTGGCATGGTTGTGATGATTCTGGGTCGCCAACCTCTCATGAAGCCACTCCATCCGAATTCTTTTTTGATGATAGATGCGGCATGAAACAACCCTCGCACGTTTCGAATTTCATCCTGTTGACTCAATCCTCTTGTCTGGAGCAGTGTTTTGATCACGTCCAGAGGCGTGGTGAGGCCGGCAGCAAACGCACCAGCCAAGCCACCAGCCACGCAATGTGTAATAGGGTCGTAATCTTTCCGAGGATTCATCACCTTGGACAAGGACTCGTAGGCCATGAATTGAGTAGCTGTAAACGGTACCGTCATGCATAATGTCGTCGGGTACGAAACATAGAAAGCTGCAAGTCCCTCAGCGCGAAATACTGATCTTGCACAGTCGCCCAGGGATCGATACGTAGAGCCATGCACCTGCATCCGCTGTTTAATGACTGCTTCGTTGTCAGTAGGTGCATTCCAGATCGTCGGCCAGAATGTGCTGTTCATACCGTCAAAAGGATTCATCAGAGCATCGCTTGCGATTGTTGCACATGCTCCGCTCGTTGCTATACAACATTAGTGTCGGATCTTTTGCTGTCCTTGCAGAGTCAAGGACACCATACCGGCCGCCAACGGGTGATGTTTGCCATCTTGTTTGTTTCCACCCGCAAACTCTTTCACAACCTCGTATGTTCCAAAGTACACGGCATGAGCAGGACCTGGTTTCGTGTCAGAGCTTGTGGCTTGGGTTTTATATCTCTTCCGGGGCAAAACGCACCTGCGCCGACTATCACGCTGGTCATGCCTCGCCACAGTGTTCGTATTCCTTCTAACCGATAGATTGTGGAGACCGCATGTGAAAGACCATTGTAGAGACCGCCCGCCGACGGGTTTATGATTTGCATCCGGGTCTAATTGTCCGATATCTCTTAGCTGAAATGCTTCTTAAATCGGCGGAAAATTTGGCGAATACCTACCTTCATTAAATCCACCGGGTACATCACCGTGTGTTCCTAGTCATACGGTCAGCTTCGGTTTCTTGCTCCATTGATTGTGGTTCCCATACAGCGATGCCTGCGAATGCGCCGGCCAACATGTTGTGTCCGAGCCCATAATTTGGTGGGAGAGCTTCGTAGCTACAACCAAACTTGATCAGCACTCCAACCACAGCAATTCAGCAGTGGACTCACTCGAAATCATCATCAGCAACGACATCAGGACTGCTTGATATTGTCATATTCTCCGCGGTCAGGGCCGCCGGGAACTTTGCTGACGTCGCCACGTTTGCAGATGGTAGATGGTGCTCGGAGTAGAAACAGCTGGGATGCTCCCAAAAGAGCACGATCAGGACGGGATGGAGGGGTCGGTTGGATGTCTAAGGATCAGTGGGAGAGTGACGGGTGCACATGAAGAAGAAGGATGCCAGAGAAGGATAGGGTGGCTGATACCGCAAGAGAGACGGCAATAATCGAGCAGAGTTGAAATGAATTTGTTAAACTTTTGGGCCTGGGATAGTCATTTGGCTAATGATTGACGGAATGGGGATGGGCCACCGCCTATGGGCGTTGCTTTTACGGCGCCTTTGGGCTTTTCTGCAATCAATGACGCTCCAGCCTTCCAGTCTGGTCCCCGTCTCCGCGGCAGTACTGCCACTGCTGTCACCCAGGGAGCTTTTAGCCTCTTGCAGGGCAGTAAACCCCGGCTGCCCGGCCTTGAGTTAACTAGCACCTCCGATCATCGCTCCCTCCCTCGCTGTTCACTACCGAAATCGTGCAAGTCGACTTTGTTCTAGGCAGCCCTCCGTTTTCCTTTACTTAGTCACGACCCCATCGTCTTACTCGTAGATTTTCGACATCTTCTTTCTATCTCCGGTCATCTTCGGCCTCGCACCTCGGTCTCGATGAGATAGATGCGAGAGTCATCTTCACACGTGGGGAGCTTCCATGGCATGCCGGAGTGGGAGCCATGACCGTGCTTCATTTTGAGCCTCGGGTTCTGTGGCTGCTCATCGTCGGGATCAACCTGCATCAACAACGGCTTTTGTATCCGAAAGCGCACGATTGCCATTCGGCAACATGAACACGGTGAGTTACTCTAGAATCAGCAGAGGCAATTCTCAATATTCTCACTTTGACTATATCCCGAAGTCTAGCGCTTGACTTAAAACACAAACGAGGCTGTTACGTCCTTCACGACGCTGTGTCTGCTGTGTCTTGCTACTGCCAAGGAAGCGATTCTCTCAGTGTATACTCTACAATGCACCCCTTAACTAGAGCCAGCCTTATACCCATCAAATGCAAACGCCGCGCTCCCATCATACATCGTGGCAAAAGTGAATGTCGTTTCTGTGTGCATACCGATTGTGCTAGTTCCCAGCCATTATAAATCAACGTTGAATTTCCACTGGTCTATTGAGACTGACAGTTAGCATGATTTCAACCTTTGGCGGATCAACCCTGTATCAAAACTCACCCTTCTTGAGGTTTTCTGCAGTATCGCTTAGCAGAATCTCTCTTCTTCGATTGCAGTAGGTCGTCTTGTCAAGAATCTCCACTTTGAGGCCTCCCAGCTCGTTCACAGGCTTTTCAAACATCTGGCTGAGGTTCTCCACTGCCATCTCAAGATCCTTTTGGTTGTCCTCGAATATCTCGGTCATGTTGTTCCGCGCAAGATAAAAGGCGAATGCATATGTCCACTTGAGGGTTTGTCGGCAAGCCTGCAGTGCTTTTGACGCCGTGTCAAGAAATTGAACTTCGATCCACGACATATTCGACTGCGACTGCAGGCTCGTCATCTTCTTTTCAGTCTTCAGCCAAAGGTCCTTATCCAACTTGGCCGATTGTTCATGATTGGCATATCGATTGTAGTAGTGGAGGTAGCGCTCCAATGAATGTCTAGAGCGAGCTTGAGCGTCTCGAGCATCGCTCCCAGACTTCTCTTCGAATCGATTGCAGTTGTACCAGCTAGTTCCATGTTCGACCCATGGTCCCATACACATCCAGCAAAATTCGTGTTTGCACTTTCGACAAGTCATGTGATTGCAGCCTCCGTTCTTCTCAATCGTTGAATTACATTTGGGACACTCCTTGGTATTGGCTGATATCCAATTTGAGGTCTCACTGTCGTCCTCACACTTCTTCATCCACTTCTTCACCAGCGCACATGGCGCTGGTCGATGGTCTGACAAGGTACAGCCAAAGCAAAAGCTGTGGTCGTTCGAGCATCGGACTGTGGGCACAATGCGACTGAGATCTCGTTTCTTCACAGCGCAATCCACAGCGTATTCACACTCCGGTGCCGGGCACCACTTCAAATTGTCCTTATCGTCTACGTATGTTCGGTTGAGCAGAACTTCGTATCGATCTTGGACGGCTTGCTCTACCAGTAGTCTGAGTGACTTGGAGTCGACAATCCGGTGACAACCATCAAAAGCACATTCGATCCTTGCTGCCTCTCCCTCCTTAACTTTCTGGGTGAGGTAATGGGTGTAGCAGTCCACACAGTATCGATGACCACATTTCATTGCGAATGTTTGTAATGAAGGATCATCTTCATAGCAAATGTCGCAGGTGAAGCCCATCACAGTTTGCAACTTGGGGGTGTTACCAAAGATCGACCCTAGTCCTGCAGACTCAAGAACTTTATCTTGGTTATCCATATAAGATTCAATGAGCCTCTCCTTGTTCCAACGCATGAATCGTAGTAGGATCGCCGCCTGTTCGGCCGGTAATTCAATGATCGACGATACTTCTTCGAACTGACGAGTTTGCTGGATTTGTATATCTTTGGGACTTAGGACTTTGTAATCGACTTCGTATGGCTTTTGAGGGTGTGTGAGGATGTCCTTCTCGTAGCCAAAACTTCCGTCTTGGTCTTGGTCAAAGTCTACCACCATTAGTCAGTGAACGTCAAGTACGAGCAAATGATGGACCCACCTCCTCCTAGGCTTCCTACATCACTATCCTGGGTTCCTTCATCAAAATCCAGCTCATCTCCACTGGGGGGGTCTGACATGAAGTCATCTTCGGAATCCATGGCTTGCAAGGCCGGCGAACCGTGTTCAGTTATTGGAGTGGTAGGACCCTGCTGCAGTTGAGGGATGGAAGTCTTTCGAGACTTGGAAGAGTATGGAATCGACGCGTCTGTGACGCACTCTTCAGCCTTTCGTTTCTTGAGTTGAGGTGGCGTGGTGGCTTTGAGACGAGCAGCTGTGTCTCCGGACGAGACGACAGACTGCTAGTGGGGGATGATGGGGGGACTCTTGATCGACTTTGAAACGATTCGTTGTATGCGGCAATGAGTTGAATGGGAGATCAAGCAATGAATGAGTGACTGGAGGAATGTTGAAAGAAGATACAGACAATGTGCCTGAATTTGCAAAGAGCTGGGTACGAAGTTTAAAGAACCACGAGACGGGCAAGTTGCAGGTGGTGATGATGGCGTTGGAGGGTTGACTGACGGAGGGTTCGAACGGTGATAGGAAGTTGGCATCTGCGGAACTCGCCATACTTGCCGCAATAGAGCCGGTGGCGGCTGCCTCGCAGGTTGCAGGGCATCGGATTCGGACATGGCCAAAATGACGCTCGGAGGTGAATGGAACACGAGAAGATCAACGACTAAAAACGATGGTTTAATGATGATGCAGTGGCGGTAAAGTGATGATTGATAAGACACTGGAGATGGTCCAGAATTTTATCAGTACAGCCTCGTGCGACGGCCCTGGAAGCACGATAATCTACGTGTTACTATGATGAAACCTTCCCAGGGAGTCTCATTCGTCTTCGTCGTCGTCATCATCATCATCATCCTCGTCCTCTTCACTCTCACTTTCGCTCTCTGCATTCTCAAGCCATTCAATAAATTGAGCGCTTTGCTGTCTGACTGCATTCATGTCTGCATCACTGCTAGACCTCTCATCCGCCCACCAAGACACAAATGCATCCTCCGAAAAGACTTCAAGGTCATAAAGATCTTTGACGACAAAGAGCAGTGTCTTTCCACCTTCCTTGCGTCGTGTAAGATCTTTCTGAGCATCTAACAGGAATGACACTTGTTCGTGGACAGCTTGAGTGGCTCCTGTCCGTCGTATCAAGGTGTTGTATGCCTGGAGAGTTTTCCTTGTGGCTTCTGCGGGTGACAGATTTTCTTCTATGCATCCATGAATATGCTTCATCAGTGCAACAGCGACTGCATGGCGGACCTGGGTTTCATCTGCCCCACCACTAAAGCGCAGTCCCATGAGTTCACTCAACATGTCGTCAGCCTTCTGCCCTTCTTTCATTCTTTGGAAGAGAATGGCGACCGTGTCGTGTTGGAAACGGTCCCCTTGATCATCATCCGACATAGATGTAGCAAAGCTGTGACTTCTTGAGCCTTCGAAGGATGATGCTTCATCCTCGGACAAATCAGACCCCTGGCTAGATATTGATTCGGCATAATCGAGTTTGTCGAAGACCAGCCGGGATGCACTTGACCCGAAATAATCGTCTTCTTCTTCCAAGTACGCATGGCCATCACCGCCCAAGCCGCCCACAAGCCCATCATTTCGTGCTCCTCCGTCTGATACACCTTGACCCTTGCATACTCTTGATCCTGCGGGAACTGTAGTGCCAGGCGCTATCCTTACGCCGAAAGAGATGAGGACGCCCTCCTCAATGATGCAGTCGTCTCCAATAAAAACCTCGTTACCCACAATTGCACGGGTAATCTTGACATTATTGCCAATTGCAACATCATCCCAGACATAAGTAGAATTCAATTGAGTGTCCTTCCCAATGTGGCAGCGTTGACCCACGACACTACTCGTCAAGGAGCACCCTCGGCCGAGACTGGTATTACCACCAATGATGGACCCACCGTCAATCTTTGCCGGTCGGTGGACAATAATTGCGCGGTCTTTGATATAGCCAGATTGTGACCGATCGTACTTAGTCTCACCAAAAACATTGTTCTCGACTGCGATGGAGCTGACAATATCTTGCTGGAAGTGTTGGGAGACAGTATTATACGACCAAAAATCTGCAACCCGGGAAGCGTAATGGTCCTTGACGATGAAGGTATGAATGGTCTTTCCGTTGAGTTCCCAGTCCTTCAAGACACCAAAAAGGAAGTCCTTGCGGGGTGATTGATTGTCGAAATTGTCCGACCACAGGCTGAGCACATCGGGGGTGCATATATCGATGCGGCAGTCAATAAGGTCCTGCCTGATTTCAATCTCTGGCGTTTTCAGAATCTCTGGGTCAATCTGAGCCGTAAATTGTTCACCAGGCAGTGATTCTTCGTAGTGCAAACATCTGTTTTTTGAAGGGTCCAGTACGAAGGTAGAGACCACTCCTTCGCCGTGCTCGTGCACGCCAGGTTCTGATTCACGAAGCACCATCGTCATGATGGCATTCTTGTCTTTCTCTCGGCGACTTTTGTGCTGTGACAGAGCCTTCTCAAGAGGAAAATTGGAGACAATATCACCCCCGACGACCAGGAAATCCCCTGACATCAAGTGCTTCTGGTCTAGATCACGCATGACATCGCCGACACAAGTTGCTATACACCTGAGAAAGAGCAGCTCTGTAAAAGGTGATGTTGATGCCCGCCATCGTGATGCGTTGATGTAGGCTTCCAGTTGGTCGATATGGGGCCCAGCGTAGATGTAGACAATTTCAACGCCAGCACTAGCCAGGTATTCGAGTGTGTATTCGATCAAAGGGGTGTTGGCCAAGGGCAATAAACATCGAGGTTTCTCCAGAGTAAAAGGCCGGAATCTTGTCTCGAAACTGTCGGCGACAACAACTGCTGAAAGGGGGTCTTCTTTGGCTTCTTCTGCTGCCCGACCCTTCCCACCAGAAGACTTCTGATTTTTCGGTGGCATTTTGGGCTAAACCTGAATATTACGTGTCTGAGATTTCTTGCAATTGTAATAATTGAATCGAATCTCTTTGCATGGTCAATATCACTTAGTAGCAGTAATTTTGAGTTGTTTGGGACAGGCTTCAGATCTGAACGGAATAGGGAATAAAGCAAGAGCAAGGCTGGCACTCTGCAAGAAAACGACTTGATTGCCTCCGTATGGGTTGAGTGACTCAGAAATGTGGTTAGAGTGCCAGTGCCTCCGGAGAAATCGTCAGGCCCTGTAATCACGTGACTGTTGATAAGATAAGATCTCGTAGTGCCAAGTCTTCCAGCACACTAACATTTCTTTACGCCATCCTCCTCTTTCTGCTTCTCCCTCTTACCAAGCCGCTTCTGTATAGAAGATTGAGGAAGACACATTTTGTCGAGGTAAGTCTACCCTTTGCACTCGTACTCACACATCTCGGGCAGTTGCCACATACATGCTTGCAACATTTCCCTCCTCAAGAGCAAGGAACTGACTGCCTTTACTCTAGATCTTCATCATGCAGATCTTCGTCAAAACCCTCACGGGTAAGACTATCACCCTCGAGGTGGAGTCGTCCGATACTATCGACAATGTCAAATCCAAGATTCAAGGTGAATAAGATGCGCACCCCTCTTGTTCATGGCAGCATAGTCTGACGATTTTTCCTTAGACAAGGAAGGAATTCCACCCGACCAGCAGCGATTGATTTTCGCCGGCAAGCAACTCGAGGATGGCCGAACACTCTCCGACTACAACATCCAGAAGGAGTCCACTCTTCACTTGGTCCTCCGCCTACGTGGTGGTGCCAAGAAGCGCAAGAAGAAGGTGTACACCACCCCCAAGAAGATCAAGCACAAGCGCAAGAAGACCAAGTTGGCTGTTCTCAAGTACTACAAGGTCGATGGTGATGGCAAGATCGAGCGTCTGCGCCGCGAATGTCCTACCAAGGAGTGCGGTGCCGGCGTCTTCATGGCCGCGATGCATAACCGACAATACTGCGGTCGCTGCCATTTGACCTATGTCTTCGATGATTCCAAATAAGCTTGCGGCGCCAACGATGACTCCCTCCTGACCACCACATTGAACGATGCAAGTATTGTTTATTGAGGGTTCATCTAGGCACTCAAATATTTCTTGATGATATTCTGAACAAGAAAAAGGATGCCACGGGTTTCGATCACGGGCAAGTTGTATCCGACACAAGGTCTCGAATACCACTCAGATAGTTTCAATATCAGCCAGCGAATTGTGGAACCATACAATCTTCTTTCATCTGTAGAGTAAATGATCGATGTAGGTCTAAAGAGATAGTATCAGAGTCAAGTCTTCAGCCCTGACAACAACATCACCATACGCGACCGAATTTTATCATTGCAGACACAGACTGAACAGATTGAAGGTGAAGGGGTGCTTGTGAAGCCAATCCCCCCTCTGTGGTTCGAGGTTCTTTATCGATTAAAGAGCCGAGGATTTCCCATTTGTTTACCTGAACCACGCCCCGCCAGAAACTCTCAGGTCTTGAAGGAAATCTGCAACAAACGACTCTACTCCTGTCACTCTACATCCAAAACCTCTCAGAGGAGAAGCGAATAATCATGGAAGTCGAAATTGATCAACAAGCTAATCCAGTCGCCAACTCTCATCATCGCAAGATCGAACTACAATCACCACTCGACCTTGCATACCTCCAAGCCAATCTCTCCAAATCCGCGCGCCAGAAACTTGACCTTCATTTCCCACCGTCCGCCTACATTGACAGTCAAGTTGCATCTGCACCGCCCGCCACGGTCATCTCTCTCGATGGCATCAAAGGTGCCGACCTTGTTAACGCGCAAGACACCTCAACCGCGGCTACTGGCCCCGGCGATGAAGCGGACAAAGACCCTTTGCGCGCGCGCGTGAGAGAACTCGTCGACGCGTTTATGGCTCGCACCTGGGAGGGCGCCGCGAAGAATATCACTGTGAACGGATTGGACGTGACGTTACCACAGCCTGCGACAAGTCAGTTGAATCAGGCGGACTCGGAGCCCAAAGCACCCGAGGAGGAGAAAGAAGGCGTGGATTTTGTCTACGAAGCCTACGACAGTCATCTACAATTCAAACTTGCCGGTCTCTACGGGGAGCTCGAGGGTTTGACCGCACAGGTCAGCCGACTAAGGAGGACGACGCCGAAACAGGGTGCCGGCGCGTTTCAGGAAGCGTTGGCTGCGGATATCGCGAGTGACGACGCAGCGTTCGAAGCACAGATGTCTGCGATCCGTGAGAGGGCAGCAACGGCTGATCAGAACCCACTGGGACTGAGGGCGCAGAGAGATGGTTGGGACGACGATGTCAAGGTGATGTATGAACGAGGCACGAATGGACTGGCTGGTCTTGCCGGGCTAGGAACAGCCAGTACCAATGATACTTCGGCCGGGACTTCGATTGCAAATGGTGCCAGTCTCACCGAGACCGTGGGCAAAGTCCAACGTGCCAGGAATGTGGCCATGGAATTCGAATGAATGGGCCGCTAAGGTTACAGAGCCAAAAAAACAAAACACCAAGACTGCCGCCTGTTCAAAATGTCTCATGCAATTGCCAGCAGACCGATGAGCATTGATAGCTGTACACGCCTACCACCGCGAGAACCTTCTCATGTTTCAGGCACTGGACTTGGTGCGATCAACCTCCACGAGATCAACAGTCGACGTACCCGGGCATGGGCTACAGTAACTTAATTGTTCTCAAGCATAATTACCGAAAAGCCTACTGCGGAATAAATCTTCGTCGCACAGCTCCAGAAAAAGTCCACATGAAACGATGAGCGTCGTTGGCCAACACCTTACCCTTGTCGCTTCCAGGAAGCAAGTGGGAATTCAGATGTCGGTGATCTGATGCGAGTGTGGCTGTATTTATTCAGTATCGATAACTTACGAGGCATTGCACGGTTCCATATGGGGTGCCGAGAAGAAGACAAGCCTGCAAAATCACTGGCGGTGTCGACTCCGTCGTGCAAGCTCTAGACCAGTGTCAAACTGGGGGAGTGGGGATGTCGGGCCAGTCGACAGAGAGATACACGTTGCGCTCCAACGCAACTCAGTAAGCACCTCAAACAAGCAAGGGAAGATATGGAGCGGAAGGGTCACACTGGGGTCGCGTGTCACTATGATTCTTTTACGAGGGTTGTTGTGGGAGAGTATTGGATGTATGTAGTAACAAAGGAAGAAAGCAACAAAAAGATCTTGTGTATGCTTGCATTCGAGACATACCCAAATTGGGCGCAGCATCCATATGAAAAGGACGCAGATGTGGTAGCCCACGCACTGTAGTCCACGCACTGGAACTCAAGTATCAATTGGAAATACAACTGGAGTCATTATGGAGCACCAAATGTATCCATCTAGCTCAACATATTCTCCGTTGCAAATACAAATAATCGACCTCTAGGTAGAGATTTAATAGCCTCTGATAATGTGTCGGTCGATAACTCATCAGAAACTTTCGAGGCTTGAGTCTAATCTTGTTGCTTCTTTACTCAACAAAAGCCGCCAAGCGTTCTCGCATCTGGCCATTTTCCTTGTCCTGAGTGCTTTTTCTCACTGATTCTGTAGTGGGATCTTTGGTCCGTCGGTTGGCGCATTCTCTACCACTGTGGGAGCTGAGGCCGGAGCCGCATCTTCCTTCTGTTCCAAAGGATCCTGTGCGCCGTCGGTAGGGGCAGGTTGAACCACGTTTCCGCTTGTCTGACCCGGAGTTGAATCTTGCTGTTGCCATTTCGGAGGCTTAGCCCACTGAGGGTCATGCCATGGCCCATCATCACTGTATTCACACCCGCCCTCGCACTCACATGTGCCACCAAACTGCTTTGGAAGGTTCTCAGCGGGGATCTGGTTGAGGAGTTCAGTCTGGTAGCCCGATCCGAGAACATGAATTTTGGCGACAGTGACAGGGTCAAGGAAACCTTTGACGAAGCTGAAAGCACTGCTGAAGCCCCATGGAGCATTGATGATATACAACTTGCCCAGTCGCTCAGGGTAGTAGTCTTGTGAGATGGCGCTGACCGACTTGAGATAGCCATAAACAGAAGATATCTTTCCCACGCCCACACCTTTCATGTCCATGATTGTACACGAAGTTTCAAGTAACTTTCCTGATTTGCGAGAACAGGCGGGCAGTCGTGGATCGGCCATTTTTTCGTATTCGACCACCAAGTTCTGGACCATGCGATCTGATGTGGTGATTTTGTACATGGCGTTCAAATCAATTTTTCCGTACGATTCGATGTAGACTGGTCGGCCATCCTAAGATGTACATATCAGTAGGATTGCAAGGACAAATATATGGTCCAAATTGGATACGCACCTTGTCAGTCTTGTGGTAGTACTGGGGATAATATTGAAACACTTGAGGTTTCTCTTTGTATTCAAAGTTGCGCACGAGGTCCTCGACACCAAATTCCTTGCGCCATTTCTCATTATTAAGGAACCTGCATGTTGTGTCAGTGCCTAACAGGACTAAAGAGGGCAGGCACACTCACATTTGTTTACTTAGCTCAACATTGAACTTCCGTGCTCTTAGAAACCGCAACAGAGTCAGGGTGTCCAAGTTAGTGCAACCGGCCTGTTCTAACATGGCACGCAGCTGGAAGACCTGAGCATCCTGCTCTTTGGTTGTGTGGCCAGGATGACCGGGCTGATTCCCGGGAGCGACGGTAGGAAACTCGTAGTGATCGTATTTGGGATCCAGCTCGATCTGAGTGACCTCTCGAGTTGATTCTTTCGAGTGCCTCGACATGGTAGACGAACGTTGGTGGGGTGGTGAGCAAGGAAGGGGGTGGCGGAGGACACAGCACGGTGAAGCAGCGAAGAGTGATTGCAGATAACGAGGAGAGTGCCGCGATCGTTGTCAAAAATAGTGTTAGAGAGTAGGATGGGAGAAAAGCAAGGAAGTCTAGAAGTAGAGACAGTAGCAAAGGGAATGAGTATGGATAGTGGTAATTATTGAGATTATTTGGAGTCAGGACAGTTGTAGTTGAATAATAGTATGGACTTTCGAGTCTAGGGCCGCTCGCACTGGCACGGGCAGGAGGGAGGGTCTCAGATTGGGAGCCCTTGTAGGAGCATTTTGCCGGCCCCGCGACTGTCCCCCATCAATTACGAAGTCCTACTCCTCTCAAGCACCTTCAGGCTGCTAAAGGTTGCCCAGTACCTATTAACTTTGCCAATGACGCACTGATCATTATTATTCAAGTTGTGACGTTAGAAGCAAGGAGCCCATGGGAACCCTGCCAAATTTTGGATGGTTCGTCAGGTCGGAGGTTCGGCGGTTGTGTTTTTCCAGGGACTCTTGGCATATATATATAATCACGTGATACACGATGAAGCGACTAGCACGTGCGAGTTCAAGTTTCCGTAGTAGCGGTTGCCTTTGACGACGGGCCTTTGTTGACGCGGCAGGGATGCGATGCCTCCACGCAGCACCAGTCCACACTTTGGTGACGTCCATCAATTCAATTACTTGATAGCTTCTACATACACCACTCCAACATCCACTCCATCTCAATCCTCCTGTCCATACCAATCCCACTCCTCTACAACACTACTCAGACCTAGACCAAAAGACACAAGAAACTACATCCACATCAATCGAGAAGCCTCTCGGGAGTCAGTCCTGAACATCAATACTTCCTGCCCTGAGAGGGCCCCTTCTCATTTCTAAATAGTCGACAGCACACTCTGCTGCGACTGGTGAAGCTGAAATAACCAGACCGCTGCCCGGTCCGCAGCCATAGCGCTGCGTGAGGTTCGTTCTCTCCCAACCTTGAAGAATATGGCGACCGTGAAAACTAACCCCATATGCTTCGCAGTCTCGAACAAGAAGGTCAACTTTCAACCAATCGACAACTTTATATCCTTCGACAAGAACCATTTTCGAACTCATCTCGCCCAAGATGATGTCCAACCCACCCTCGTCTCTTCAACAACGACAAAGGATGCATCGGAGGCAGAATTCGACGCCCGTTGCATCTTTTGAAGCCATGAGGGTGAACACTAGCTTGCCACAACAACGACAGAACTTCCACCGACGAGGCCAATCGTTTGATCAACAACGAAGCCCCATCCGGAAGCACCACCATGGCAGCACAGTAAGTATAACTGACATAGGACAATTCCACGGACAACAAATTTTGCGAGAAGCGCAGCAGCAAAGAATACCACGACCGGGCCAGCAACACCAACAGCAACACCCACAACATCAACAATTCCAACAAAACCAAATGAACATGAGCATTGATATGCCCATCTCGCCGGCGTGCGGCATGTTCCAAATGCCAAATTCTCTACCTGGAACCCCGTACGAAAACATGACAATGAACGAGATCATGCACCAGAATTCCCAGAGCTTAGATTTCTCACAGACTCAACCCTATTACTCCGACATGAACATGCCAGTCTCCAACATTCAAAATATGGGAATTATGGACGAGAATAATGCCCAGTATTTCCAAGACAATCATGTACTGCAAATACATCCCACCACTGGCATTTCCTTCGATAATCGGAGGATGTCGCAACCAGATCTGCGGGTTCAGACACAGTTGCGACCCCATACACCTTCCAATCAAATTCAGACTGGTGAGTTCGACTCTGCACAATCCTTGTCCTGTCATGGCTCTTGTACTCACTCTGTCTCAGCACAATTTCCTCTCACCCCTCCAGTCAGCCATCACAATTCGCATGTCCAGTATTCCAGATCCTTGCAAGCCTCTCCCGCTTTGCAATCACCCTACCCCATTCCGATGGCCAGAGGTAGATCTCTGCAAGGCATCATCGAACACGACGAATCACGACAAGACTTCTTGGCCACTCCTGCTGGTACCTCTTTTGAGCTGGCCGAGATGCCCGTCCCTGAACCTCGTGGGCGACGACAGACCCCTCCCCCGCATAGACAACTGGAACCAGCCAAGGTAAAGACTGAGCAGGCCGTGTTTAATGAAGCTCTGGACTTCTCCAATGACGATAGCCCAGCTAATTTACCGAATCTGGACATCAACTCTGTTCCTGTCTTGACCTCGGATCAAATCAAGTCTGGAAGTAGTTCTCCCACGAGGCTTGCCTTGTCACCACGCCGCATGTCAATCTCAGACCTCAATCTCGAACCGGGCATTGAGGCCTCAATCGAGGAAACCAACGTTACGCTGGACGACATTGCCCAGTATATTGAAGGACCAGATGGCGCAGATAACAAATGGATCTGCAAATTCGAAGGTTGCAACAAGAAGTTTGGCCGAAAGGAGAACATCAAGTCACATGTTCAGACTCATCTTGGTGACCGTCAATTCCGTTGCGATCATTGTAAGAAGTGCTTCGTTCGAGGTCACGATCTAAAACGCCATGCAAAAATCCATACCGGCACAAAACCATACCCTTGTTTGTGTGGTAACTCTTTCGCTCGTCACGATGCCTTGACAAGACATCGGCAAAGAGGAATGTGCATTGGAGCTTTCGATGGTGTTGTCAAGAAAGTTATCAAACGAGGAAGACCGAAGAAGCATAGACCAGAAATGGATGAACGTCTCGACAAGGCTGACCGCACTCGCCAAAAGATCGCAGACTTCCAGGACAATTATACTTCGTCCGCTTCAAGTTGTTCAATCTCCAGCTGGGGCTCACCTCCAACAGAAAATTTCGAGAGCTTAAGCATCAGAGGATCTTCACCATATGAAAGCATGCCATTGTTTGCCGTTGCCCCCAATGATGGGACTCTCGATCCCATGATGAGCTTCCCTCCCGACAATTTCTCATTTACGCCACCTGCAAGTCCCGGCTTCTCAACAGGAAACAAACCAAGCCCGAATTATCGCGAGCTGACCCCTGCAGAGCTCGGGGATTTGACAAGCTTCCAAACCAGTACTTCGTCACAGATGCTTCCAGAGCTACCTGCCATGGATCAAGGTCTACCCATGATGACTATGGTCGGCGGTTTGTCTCTGCCAACTTCTGGACAAAGCCTACCAAGCCTCTCACATTCGAGCTCATCACCTGCCGCCGACGTGGTAGTCTTTGATTTCTCCGACCAATTCCAAAGTGGTCTTCCTTCTTCAGCAAACACTTCGCAGCTGCCCATGAAGCTTGAGGAAAGAAATGAATTCGATACATTCCTCGACTATGGATCCTTAGACATGGGCCTCGATGCTTCATCCCAAGATTTCTTCGCCAATCTCTCATGATGAAATAGAAAGAAATGACAAGAATGAGGGGTACCGGTCTCGTCATAGTATGCTACGTTGCTTGTACACTAATCAATGACTTGAGTGGTGTTATTTTACGACAGGAATGGGATTTGTCCACATGTTTTAACGACTGGTATTGGATCGCATTGAGTTCAAGACCTGTGATATGCTTGTGATGTGTATGGGAATGGGAGGAATTCACAACTTTTCTTGCGATGAAAAATTTTCTTGGGACTGTACATTCCATTCATTTGCGTGATGATTTTTTGACCTTCAGCGTTGGCGCCAGGGCGGGTCCTTTGGTTCGATCGATCCATTCGCTCCGGCTTCCAGCAACGCGAAGCAATGGAGCGGATACCAATAAAGGCCAAAGAGAAGCGATGGCGCTGGCACTACACTTACATTCACTATTATCGTTTTATCTTGGGAAGACCAGATTTCTTCTATGCACGCCTGTGCCTGTTATTTGAAGAACATGCAGTTTGGAATATGATGTGGAAATGGGTGGAGATTGGTCCAGTTGACATCTGATGAAATTGATCCATTGGCGTTGATGAGATTTTTGGTCCCACGTTGACTGAACACGGTGGCAGTCGTGGACATCATCATGGTCGGTCAATCACGCTCGCAACCGCTGACATGCCATACCTACCATTCCAGAATAGAATAGTTCAATCTCAAGACTAAAAAGTTCGGTCCTAAACACGTTTCATGATTTGTTATACTGCACCAGACACAAGTTCCACTTTTTGAGGCCATAGCTTGCTGCACAGCACGATAAAAATGTACGGAGACGGGTCTAATACATCCCTCAAAATGGAACATATCTCACCTCCAGATAAGGGGCGAGTCTGGCGGCGAAAGAAGGAGGCATGCTGTGAAGAGATATTGTCTGTCGAGGAATACTGCTTCCCCCAGCAAGTCCACTTCGGCATGAAGAGCATGATTCTGTCGGGCCCGAACAGGGACGGACCACTGGTTTCCGAGGGATGGCAGACAGGGACAGACTCGTCTATGGGGGAAAGATTGAATGATTGATGGGTGACGTAAAATAGGGTAGTTTAGGAGTAAAGCCTCACTTCCATTGGCACCAATCATTGATTTGCAAAAGGCTTCGCTCTTTCCAAGGCTGTCAAGATGACTCTGGAGCTTCGTGCCCTGAATAGGGACCATCGAGACAGCCGCTGTGATGTGTGGTGACGTGGAACTCTCGCCCTTTCCCTTTTTGAGATTGAGGTGTCGACCACATGGGAGGGTCTGAAATTTGCGTTGAATCCGTCGGGCCGGTAGGCGTATACAAACGTGTCACTTAGTTTATTGGCATTCGGGGGATTCATCGTCACCATGAGCTGCGGGAGGGGACCAGCAGCTGAGGAAAGGGGTCCTGCCCAAATGTTTGACCACGGGAAGCAGTGTGCAGATGGTATCGGAAGTCAATCTCCCATGAGACAGGAAAGTGAGGCATGCTAAGCACCCATCTGATCTGGACTTTCTGGCTGACCACCTCTGGGTCGACAGGGTCAAAAAGCATCCAGGGTTGGCAAGAACGTGGAGCTCGAACTTGAGTGTGCGTTCCTGTGGGAGCTGACTGTCATCGGTAGTTTAAATAGCTTTGCGTTGAGTTTATATGCAGATCTATACCTTGCTCACAATGCGGCGCTAGTTAAAAAGGAGCCCGAAGGCTGATAGACAGCAACAAAGTTGACAGGCAGCGTTAGAACGGCAATGCGCCCGGACAGAGATGTTAGGCTTCCGCCATAATATAAAGTGATCTTGTCCGTTATATGAAAGTGGCGAACAAGGCAGGTTTAGGCTTCACGTTAGGCATTCACCTGGCTCAGAGGGCGACGATGAACCGAGACAGAGTTTATGGAGTGCAAAGTTTCGTCACGGTCCTAACCACGGACCTCTGAAACCCCTGGCCGAGTTTTATCGGTACGGGTCGTAAGCCAAATCATAGAAGCGCCACACTTGCACCAAGTACCGGTTGGCCGCGAGAGATGTTGGTCAGGCAAGAATGGTGAGGACGAAGTAACGGATAAATGGAAAGAAGTTACTCGACAAGTATAGAGCTCACCAATCACGATGGCGCTAGTGTTCGAACTACTGTTGATCAGTTGAGAGTGAGGCTGGGCCCAAGTGGGCCTGCTTCGAACTGGTGGACTCAAGGACATCATCAAGCGAGCATGACTGCACCGAAGGTAGAGCGGGTCGGATTGTCTTAGTGACTCCAGCTGGGTGCCGACACAATGGTCCAGGTGTGGATGCAGGCGATGGAACCGAGAATTATGGACTGAAAGCCCATCCATACCGATCACATCTGACGAACAGGAGAAGATCCGAAGTTAAGGGCTCTGATAATCGGTGTCCCCCACGGCCTTGGCACATGTCGTGCAGACTGATTCACGATGATATGTTCCTCAATCATATGGCTCAGGTGACAGCACGAAGTGCCGGGAGAATGATATGCATTGATCGTCAAGCGCAGATCAGCGGAGAGCTACTGTGGCAGTATTCAAAGGTGATGCTCATCTCTTCCTCGAGATGAAGTCAACTGGGAGCTCGAAACCTGAGTGACACTCATCGACTCACTCGCATAGGCCGCTGTTGCCAGACTTGGCCATTGAGCGATGATCAGCAGCATGGTGCCATCGGATTCTCACTGATCTGCAATGCCAAACTCAGAGCCTTGTCCCTTGCCATTTGTCGCACCATTGCAGAACCTCACTAGCTCTGGTTCTCTTGGCGGGATCTTCATGTTCGACAGGCGCCACTCGATTTCGAGCACTCTTTCCTTAAGCCACTCCAGAGGTGGTTGCCAGATAACTGGGCGATTCTGCATTTCATGACGTAGTGTCGCAAGATCGAGAGACTCTTTCGGGACAATGGCATTGAATTCAATGTTTCAATCTGTGATGATAGAGAGATTGAGGGCGTTCCGAAATTGTGTGTCGACCATCAAGTACCGACCCAAGCAGGGATGGCAATAGGTAGGAGTGATGCAAAAACCACAACCAATAATGTACTTGGGTGCGACGGAACAGTAGGTCGATGGGCTTGGTTTTCCCACGGAAAGTGAGTCTAGCACTGTGAATAACCGATCTGTGACTCGGAAGAAAAGGACTTCAGCCACTTAGGAGCTCGTTTCGAAGTAACTGGTCATGGTGGACGTGTTTCATCGCCACCGAATGCTAACAATTCGCAACTGAGCGAGAGCTGCAGAGTGCCATGCTCCAGTATTATTACCACTAGTCAGCGGCTTCCGTACGATTGCAGATGTAGTTGGTAGATACCAAGTTCTGAGGAACTGGCCATAGGCCCACAACAAGGTGGAAGCATCAACACTTCGCCGACACTCTTTGCCCGTTCAAAGCTCCGGTCAAAGGTACCACGTGTGAAGGCCGTATTTGCGAGATGCAGCGAGCAGGTGAATTAAGAGGAGGCGGTGCCTTCGTTGCCGTGCTGCTTGATGGCGGTGAACCCACTGCATAATCCATGCAGGACAATTGCATGTCTGCACTCGATCTGATAAGACGATGTGTTTTGCAAGTCATTAGTTAGTCTTACTTACAGGAGATAGGATAGCCTGCGGACAGTATTGAGTTAGTGTTGCCCCGTGTTTGGAGTGGTGATGAATTCTAAGCAATTGATGCCCTTCTGAGAAGCTCGGTCATGTCTATGATGCCAAAACTGACAGATGGACCTTGTTGGCACCTATACAGGCATTGATCATGAATATCGTCTCCGAATATACGCGATATTCATGGTCTGACTCCTTGACTCGCAGGGCAAAAAGTGTGGTTCATGGTCGCCACGTGTAGAGCTCAGGACTGCCGCCTACGGACAGCGGAGACCAGAGGAGGTTTGGCAGAAGATGGTGCAGGTCTCAGTGGAGCACGCTGGCGTAAGGGAACAGGGAGGCGCACAGCAGTCAGGTGTTACGGGTGTGTTGAGAATGAGTGTTGAGGAATGGAGATGACGGATGATTCGTGTACAAGGTCTCGGTTTTCCGCCTCACTTTGTCAACGTCGCCCGGGTGCATCTCTGGTGTTTGATTGGTTGATATCGGAATTGTCCAGGATAACCGACACCTCTCCGCTCAGATCAAGGCAACCATTTGCATGGGCTTGCTCGACAACTTGACACTGTTTCTTCGCTTGCCTATGGGCGGAGGGTGCTTGTCCCCGAGGAGCCGACACATATTGATCGTACCTCAGGAGAGACGCCGGAGGGCCTGGGTTCAGTGGTGGGATGCAGCGTTTCCCAGCCTTATAATATCCCTCAAGGCTTCTCTTGAGGGAATTTACTTCTCTATCATGGCAATACTAAAACATGAAATGCAGTTCAAGAGGTAACTCAGCAATCAAATCACTTTGAGTTCTATCATCTCAAATACGTTTGAGCCCGCTTCAAGGCCCTCTATTTACAATCATGCCTCAATCGGCAGGCGCCCAGGGCGAATACTGGCTTCCTGGATACCAGCTTTCTCGACATATCGTCCTACGACAATTGCAATACTTCTTGGGCCCGTCGGCAACCGTAAGGCCTTACTCTTTACATGTATGAATCATAAGATCCCGCCCCAAAGTACTCAAGCTCATTCCTACTAGGGCCGGGAAGGTTACTTGATCAATGGAACACCCCTTACCAAGGTAAGCTGTGACAGCAATCTCTTCGAGTTAAGCACTAAGAAATCTGTAAGGAACAAATTGAAGATCTCCGACGTCAATCCCACGAATATGAACGGCAGCAGACCATTCGCATGAACGGCAAAGCAGTAGCGGATGCTACAGAGACTGATATCAACGAACCCGTGGTTGTCAAAATCAGCAGACGCAATAGCCCGACATACCGAGACAGGGACCGCAATGGAGGTTCGATGGAAAGGGACAGAGAAAGGGAGCGAGATAGAGATAGAGATTCGTCATATTCATGGAGCAGGAGGCACCGGTGACAGAAGTTATCTGGAGCTGCATCTGACGTCTCTGAGTTTGCATCTTTACTTGAGGACGGAACGAGCTTTTATGAACCAAGTTGAATCCCGCTAGGTAACTCTTGTGCATAATCGACTCAGAATGCCGGGAAGTCTACCTTGGGGACAATATTGTCGCGTGCTCCCAAGCCATATTTCCATGGTGTTGGATTTGTCGACGTTGAAATTTGGCATCCGAGGCATGTTGAAAAAGCACAAAATATTGTACTGTAAGCGACAATGCATTGGCGTTGTGGATACTTGTCAGGCATTGCCGGCGATACTGTTGTTGGTTTCCCCTGGTTCAGGCTATGGCGGCGTTTCCTAGGACTTTTGATATCATAGCAATCTTCGCGGCTGAGTGAATAAAATGCCTACATGACCAACTACAGCTTAGATTCTTGCTTGGACTTTAGTTGGTTGCCTTAGACGTCTAAGATCTCAGGACCCTCTGTACGTTGTGTACGTCCAAGGCCCGACCAGCACAGGTACGTGGTAATGCCGCTCTCCCTTCTTGACGTAGAATTTGACTTCGATCTCTGGCCAGAAGCTCTCCACTCCCCGTTCTTCGTACCAAGGCCCAATGGCGAATTTGATGCTCCACGGAATTCGTTCGCCAGCTGCGAACTGTTCCATCACCTCAAGCAGTGTGTTGCCTGACGATGCCTCCCATTCCTTCACGCGTCCGTCCTCATTTGTGGTTGCAGCGAAGCTCTCGCCACTTTTACCCAAGGCTGGATCGGTGGGAAGCAGGGTAAGAGTGGCCTTCAAATTGTTGGCTGGAGTGCCCGAGAGTGTGTTCAGAACGTGGCAGGTGATAGGAGAAGCCATGCTGGTTAAGTAAATAGTTCAGAAGAAGCAAAAAAAGAAAGGCTCAGAGGTAGAGCGATGCCTTTGTATGTTATAGATAGTCAATTTGCGAACTGGTTTGAGGCGGCCGGAGGTGACCGACATCGTACGACGCCCCAGAGCTCTCGGCATAAAAGACGAGCTTGGGAAGTGCTTATCGTTGCCCTGCGTCAGATCCTGGGACGGGTTGAGCCTAACCTTTCGGTCTGGACCTTTTGAGGCGTGATCGATGACGTAGTGTTAATTACTAGCAGGTGCCCTTCTGGGTGCCTCCTACCTCGAGAGCCAGGTCAGCAAGTGAAGCCATGATATCAAAAGGCGCAACACTAATTGATTTTCAATGATTATCAGGCAAAGAAGAAGGCGGAATACTTGCTCTGCATTGATTGCTGCATGTCCCCTTTGGATCAGCGCACGATCAAAAGACATGTACCAGCCGCCGGTAAGCACGATGCCACAATACCTGAATTCAGACACTTGGCTTGACTAGATATCCTCCGTGTGGTCTTCCTCCTGATCAAGCTCGTGGTATTCTCGTTCAAGTGTCAGCTCTTTCAAACTAGTCCCTTCCTTCCTCAGTACATATCGCCTGACTATGTAGGGGAGATATTCTGTCAGCTGATACTGCATGAATACCCGCGAGGGAACTGAAAAGACTTCATCTAATTCGTCCAGTGTCTTCAGCCGAGTCTCAGGGAGGAAAAGAAAGACTAGCACCACAGCCAAGACATTCAACATTGCATAGAGAGTGAATGCCCCCTCAGACTTGAGTGCAGTCAAGATGCGTGGGAATGTCAAGGAAAGAATGGTGGCCCAGAAATTCGCCGTTGCGACGGCAAAAGACATTCCCACCACTCGATGGGAAAGCGGAAAGACTTCTGCGCAATATGTGCTCGGAACGGGCCTTCACGAGGAACTCTGGTCAGTTTGGATTATGGCATCGGGGGAATAGTAACATACCCCATCCCTGGCGAATAGAGGGCGCAGAACAAGTAGATTAATGTGGCAAGAACCCCGAGATGAGCCGGACTCTCTGAAGGAATACGAAAGCTGAGTCCAGCGGCAAACATTGTGATGGCCATCAGTGGGAGAGTCATCAATAACAAAGATCGTCGACCCCAGGTGTCCATGGTCCATATAGCAGGAAAAGCTCCGAGACAATTGACAAAGCCAAAGACACAGGAAGCCAGGAGAGCTCCATATGTTGAAAAGCCAGCGTCAGAGAAAATCTGCGGAGTAAAGGCACAAATGGTGTCAGAACATCTTAGTGAATCAACCTTAGGACCGATAGAGCCTCGCAAGCAATAGGTCATACGTACAGTAGAAGAATAGAATGAGATAATATTGATGCCACATAACTGTTGTGAAAGCTGGACAACATATGCTGCGGCTGTCGCTCGTCGAATGCGCGGGATGGTGAAGAGCTCTAGCACCTTTGTGAGGAGAGACACTTCAGTGGGTGGCAGTTTAAATCTGGCTCGTCGTTGGAGGAAAGCAGAATACACTTCCTTTGCTGCCTGCAACTCGGTGTTCCTCAGCTTGCAGAGTGAGTGAAATGCGCGATCATAACGGCTGCTATGCTTTATCATAAATGGTGGAGATTCTGGACATAGGTAGACCGTCAAAAGCAGGGGAATTGTGGGAATGGCAGGACCACCAAGCTGCCATCTCCAAGCTTCGCTTTTCAACTAATGGAAAATATCAGCATCTTTCACCAGCAGAGGGATCCACATTTACATTGTAGGCTGCAGCGTTGGCTACAAAGCCCACGAATATTCCAAAAGCTGTCCACAATTGCCACGAAACTGCGAGGCCACCTCGAATCCTCTCCGGAGCACATTCAGCGGCAAAAACTGATACTGTGCTTGCATTGATGCCCAGTCCTATACCGAGAGCAATACGAAACAGTAAAAGCTGTACCCAGTTTGCACTGAGAGCAGCTCCGAAATTTGCCAACAGACAGAACATCGCTCCGACAAATATAGCTCCGCGACGGCCAAGTCGATTGTTGATCGGGTCGGACAACCATGCACCCCTGCAAATGTGAGTATCAGATACCATGGTAGAAGTTGGAAAGGACAGTAGTTACAGTAAGCCGGCGCTGAGGTAGTTACCGCTGTTGATGAGACCAACGAGAAAGTTGTCATGGCTGCTATTGGAGCCGATACCAAAGGCTTTGGGAAATGTCAGATTGGCTCCATTCATCCCTGTTTGCGCCCATCCCTGCTCGATGGCGGCGATCGAGCAGACGAGGATGGTGAAGTACAGTGCCTTTGGCTGGTGCCATTTCCGTTGAACCTCGTTATGCAATGCCTGCAGTTCGTCATGGGTAATGTTCTCGATCTCTTCTGGTGGCGAATCACCCTGCAAAATGAGAGATGCCTTGTAGAATATCGCAGACCATGGCACTAGGTCGTGTTGACCAAGAAATAGTCGAACAGCTTCATGGGTACTTTCTCTGGTCTCATCGTCCAGCATGCTCGTCACTGAGCTATGCCGAGATGACGAACTCGTGATATCCGGTTCATAGGACTCTTGCTGATGAGACAGGGGCTTAGACATCTTGGAAAACGAGAATCAGCGATTCAGGCATTTGTGATGATGGCTGGGAAAGTATTATGTATCTGTGCGGGTCAGTTACACGCTTGTAGCTCCCTCAATGTGGTGTAGTGCAAGATACCAAAGGTGACTTGCAGGTGTTTTGGAATCGTGTCACATGAAAGGCTGTGGAGGGAGCGCCTTCCTGAGGCTCAACTCCCTGAGCCAAGGCCGAGTTCGTTGAAAAAGGAGTACTTAGGTAGTCATCTTGTACCGCCAGGTATTATGCCGGGTGCCCGGACTGCCCCAGAAGCCCGGGCGAGGTACCACCACTACCCAAACTCTTAGATGCTAAATATTACTTCTTAGCCAGGCTTATCGAGGCGTACTCGTTTGCATTTGAAGTTGCATAAATATTTAACTAGGTCTGCTACCTGCACACATGGCGATGCTTTTCGGTTTCAGGAAATCCTTTCGAGGATCGACCCCCTTCCTCGAACTAGTTAAATTCACAGAGTTCTACTAAGAGCTAACCTGGACCGTATGACGTGGCGGACGTGGCCTCGTTATAGATGACGGACCTCCCACTTCATGTTGCGGCTCCATGACGGTCAGCAATCCTTCCTGCACTACTGAAAGCTACTTTTGAAGGATGGCCAAGGACATCCCAAAAACCACTCCGATCTCCATCCATTGTCAGCGTTTGGGTTTTAAGTACGCGTCAAGGTTGGTGGCCTGACCTGCCAGACTGTGCTTGCATATATGAACGGCGAGACTCGGCCAATCCTCACCATGAGATTGTACTCATACACAAGTTTTGCTCCTATCGCTTTTGTCGGACTTCATGCGTTTGAGAGAAGCTATTCTGGTCAGTCAAAATGTCTAAACTCTCAGCCGCGACCCCCTCAAACCCAACCAATTTGCCGTCGAGGTATGAGATCCGGAAATTGACCACTGAGGACTTACCATGGGTGTTGGCCATCATGCTTCATTCCAACATCTTTTGCTCAACGGTCTGGTCACTCACGTATCCCAACAATAAGACGGAACGACTATACCGCTGCTTCGGAAAGGGGGAATATTTCGCAAAGCATCAGGTGGAGTCTGGCCATAGCTTTGGGGTCTTTGATCTCGAGTATAAATTCAGAAGGGAGGAGAGCAGAGCCACCGGTGGTAAGCTTTATTGGGATTTCAAGACGTTGGACATCGGAGCGGACGAATTGCTTGAGCAAATGGACTTTCCACTTCTCGGTATCGCGCTCTCTTACGACCAAATCAACCCATTGGATTATCCGCAAATGGCCGATTTTGTTGGTGAGCTGCCCCTGTTTGGAACGGCTTATCATGTGCTCGAGGAGCTCGACCCGCGCGATGAATCGTGGCGTGCGACTGGGCCGAACCAGGTCCTCATGCGCAACGGCACAAGCACTCGACATGATGGCGAAGGAGCGCAACTCATGTCGAATCTGGCTCGTTTCGTCATGCGATATGCCGCCGACCAAGGATTTCGTGGCGTTCAGATCGAAACCTTTGATGATCGCGTTGAGAAAGTCTGGTCTGAGCCACCGCCACCCTTCAAAGCAAAGCGGATCTCGTCATTCAATAACTGGGAATATACTGAAGACGAAGAGGTCGATGGAACAGTTGGGAAGATCTATCCGTATGGGGCCTCTCATCAGACCATCAGCAAAATCTACGTCGACTTGATACCTCATGGTCAGTAGGGATTGGCGTGGGCTCTGTGGTCGCTAACGAATGGCACGAAAGTATACGACTTTGTATCACGGACAATGGATCAACGCAATGGCCGTGGCAGAGTTGAAACGAAAGAGTTATCAATTTGATCACGGCATCGGTCCTTGCAAGCCCAGCAGGCTTACCTATCCCTTTCAGATATTGTCCAACATTCCTATTTGACTTTCTCGAACCCGTCAAAAGCCGGCAGAGCCTTTCTGATTTCTTCCCCGTAGTGAGCAAGACCACCTGCGTAGTTCACCTGCTCGAACGCTTTATCTGGCTTACTACCTCCCATGTAGGTAGACTTTGTCGTGGGAAACAGACTGATGTCTGATAGCTCATTGATATGTTTCTTCCACTGCTCCGATGCCTCCTTGGTGGGATTGATGTATTTCAAGCCTTGTCGTTCGATCTGCTTGATGGCATCGACAATCCACCGTCCTTGAACTTCAACACTTGTGGGTCCATTGGAGAGAAGAGTCGGTCCATGAGGGCCGTACAGGTGAAACATGTTGGGGTAGCCACTGATTGTGGTTCCCAAGTATGTATAGGCAGCTTTCTTCCACTGATCCGCGAGATATTCCCCGTCGATGTTGCGAAGCCCCATTGCAGTCATACCACCTGAGATTTTGTCTTAGCAAATGGCGCGCTCATAATGACAATGCTTTCAATGTAGGTGGACTTACCAGTAACAACGTCGAATCCGGTAGCGATACAAATGACATCAAGCTCGTGCACAGTCCCATCCTTCAATTTGATGCCCTTCTCAGTGAACTCAACAATTGGGTTGTTCTTGATATCAACAAGCTCGACATTCGGACGATTGAATTGCTCATAATAAGAATACTCGAGGCAAGGACGTTTGACACCAAATGGATGTGGAGGCTCCAAGGGCGCAAGCAAGTCTCTTGTCTTCGCATCCCCAATACGATTGCGAACGTTTCGTGCCCAGAAATTATAAGCCTCACGATTTGCCTTGGGATCATAAAGATAATCCTTGTAGTTGCCAAGCCAGAACCGAAAGCCGCCATCATCTATGTTGCAATGTGAGTTTATTTGAACAGTGAGCTGGATACAGTCGTATTAACACTTACCCCACAGTTTTTGGTAAAACGCCTCTCGCTCCTCAGGGGTATCCTCCCAAGTACTGCGCTCGGAGAAGGTATAGAGAAACCCACCGAAGCATTGTTCTCTGAGTTTAAACAATTCCGGATAATACGGCTTTGTCTTGTTTTGCTCTTCGGCAGTTAGATCTCGCTTTCGCATTGGGACTGCCAGATTCGGTGTTCGTTGGAAAACTTCAAGGTGGCCCGCCTATGAATTTTTAGCGGCATATACAACAACGGCTCTCATAGGAACATAATCACCTTGGGACCCCAGGCTTGAGTAATTTGGACCCCGGAAGCGCCAGTGCCAATGACACCACATCTCTTGCCGGTAACGTCGATGTTAAGGTCCGGCCAGAAAGAGGAGTGGTGAATGACCCCTTTGAAAGAATCTATTCCAACAAACTCGTCCGGGACATATCTTTTCGCAGCAAAGCCAGCCGCAACAACGAGATACTTTGCCCTGGCGATTCTGCCGTCCGCCGTTTTGACGTGCCAACGACCTTCCTTCGTGTCGAATTGAGCATCAACGACAACACTGTCAAATGCAGTGTGGCTTTTGATGTCGAGGACCTTGTCCACGTGGTCAAAGTAGGCCCTGAGATCCTTGTAGGTAGGGTAGTTCGAAGGCCAAGTCCAATCCTTGTAGGTCTCTGGAATTGACAGCTGATATTCTGGGATCTCTGAATCCACCATCGCTCCCGGATAACAGTTCCACCTCCAGGTACCGCCGAGATCATTACCAGCTTCATATATTACAGTCTTGAAACCGGCCTTGCGCAACGAATAAAAGCAAAAGACACCACCAAACCCGCCACCAACAACCAAAGCATCCACTTCTAGGTTGTCAGCATATGGGCCGGTCTTGCTCCTCCTCTGTGCATACTCCCGAAGCTCAGTCTTGATAGGCATATTGATGGACAATGACGTTATACGACAACTTCAAGAAGCTTTGTGCACGAAGACGGTATGCTCATGAACAGTCACAGACAGAGGATGAACATATATAGATACCTTGAAGTGATGAGTCCCATCATCTCTCGCGACAAAGACTTCAACGGCCGCGCTCTGCTCCGCGGAGTTCCCTGAATGCGGATCCGCATCGCTGAAGCACAAAAAACCGTGTGTACAACGGCAAAGTACTAAGGCGTACTGCTCACTGATCTTTCATACCATTGAATTCAAGTTGGAGAGACGTTGTTTGATACACTGCCGCAAGGGGAAAGGCTTAGGCAGTAACAATGAACAAGGATGACCCCCTCTTCCCCAGACTCCGCGTGAATTGCGGAACCGCCGCCTTTTTGTGAAAAAGGTGTTATGGCATAACTCATACCTAACTATGTAGCCATAGATGTACACGTAGGGATTTGACTTACCAGTGGATCACCATTGGCAGCGTAGGTCAATTTGGATGGGGGGAAGTTGGCTGGTCGGAAGAGGACAGAGGCATCCGTCGCCCAAGTAAGGCTAGGTCAAGAAAGGCTTCGACAGAGTACGTATGCTCGAGTTCCGCATGTAGACTCGTCTCTTGCGGAATCCGATGGCTTCCATGTTTCAGTCATTGACCAAGTATCGTGACTGGGAGAAAGACATGAAGATGGGAAGTCGTGGAAGCCACAAGAGTAGCGTCAAAGACTAGCTTTGCTTCACCGTACATCTAGCATGCACTTTCGAGCATTCATGCTAGAAAGTTGGGACAAACAAACACTGCTTGCTAAAGCTGTTATTTAGTGAAGATCATAGAGTATTCGAAAGTGATAAAATTTTGCATCTCGACAGAGCTCTAGAGGCGGTACTAGAGCATATCTACTTTCTCGTGCTTAGCTAAACTATATCCTAACTATGAAATATGCAGAGACTGCAGAGCATCTGTCAGCAGCTTCGCGGCCAAGTACGCCATGTCAGATTTATTCCCAATATTCGATAAACCATCAATGCAATGTTCACAACGGCTCCTCGTCATGCTGCGCTCATCTACTAGACTCACTCGCGTATTAGTTCTCGGAGCTGGAGGCCGGCTGAGTTGATCGAGGAAAATATATCCTGCTCTACTAAAAGCCTGGACGAGCACGACCGTCCACGGCTCCGAGAGTAGTGCAAATTGATTGATGGGATATGCAAATTCTCGTGAATTGGAAAACGACAACGATGACCCACTCAATGAGCACCGGCATAGATCCGAGATGGCAATCGCGTTCTTCCGTCTCAAGTCAGTTGACAGGGTGGCAATCCGCCGCTTTTGTCGATGTTCCACGCCCCCCAGGCCAGCGTTGTCCAGCTCATCGATGACATCTGCAAGCAGCAAGGCTCCAAGATGCCAATGGCCCGCGAGAACAACATACCAGGATTGTATCCGTGCAGGCAAATCGTGATGGTTCTTCATACAATATTCGATAAATCGTCCGTATGATTTATTCCAAAATCTGTACACCTTGATGGCATCCTCCAGCGCAGCCTCAAGTACCAAACTCCCGCACTTTCTCGACATGAGCTTTTGAACACGACCAATCTTGCGGAAGAGGAGAACCTTGACGGGAGCTGCATCGCAAAGGATAGCGGCACCTTCATCAAACGTACACGACCAATCTCCTCGTTCAAGGGTCTGTACATTGAGCAGGTCTTCTTCATGAGTGAAAAACGTGCCCCAGATATCACCAGAAGCGGCCTCGACATCAATCTCCGGCTGCCCGGCTGGCGGCTGCCATCCGTCAAGGTCGACATTGAGGGCATCGACGTCCGTTCCGTCTTCACCCATGCCCGTCGGCTTGGAATCTGTGCCTTCTTTCCAGGGGTCCGATGCCGCAACAGCCGTATCTTCATCGGAGATGACAAGAGGGCGTTGCAGGACGGTTGCAGAGAGCGTGTCGAACATTATCGCCAACCATGAGAGAAGTTTGAAGGTTTCTTGGTGTTCCGCTGTCAGTGTGGGTGCTGCTGATGTTTGAAAAGGGCTCGTCGTTTTATCTGGACCCTCTGATCTTGATTTGAGTTTCTTCCTAGCCTGTTCGTCCCATTTCCAGCGTGAAGATGCCAACTCACGTAGCGCTGTTTCGAGGAAGATTGGCGGTCCATCAGCCTCGAGGAGCTCCTGCAGAGTCCTCCAACTCGATTCGAGATCATTGTTTTCGGCGCCCGTATTTCCGAAAATCCCAGCTGGTGACTTTCTCTCTCTACTTTCGAGCCACTGATTGATCTCGAGCGGCCTTTGTGTCAAACTGAAGATGAGATTGGCAAAGACGACCTTATACGAGTGAACGCCAGATGCACTCAGTAAGGCTTGTCGAGCTTGATTCCACAGGGTCTCTTGCATAGATCGGCCAAATGCGTCGGCTGCAGGCAGATCTTGGTCCTGCTGAAGATTGAAATCATCTTGTAAGAAAGAACGCGGTGATTTGATCTTGCCACGAGCGCCGGACTGCGCCCACTGCACCCCAAACGCCATGATAGCTAGGTTTAAGGCCTTGCCTGCTTGGTCTTGCTCAAATCTTGACAGTTGCTTCCCAGGCAGACTCGAGGAGGCTTGGTCAAGTCGGCAAACTCTCGCATAAATACGATTCGACCATTTTGGTCCCCACTCTCCCTGGGCGCTATCCATCGCGAAAGACTTGGGCCTGGTCCTGATGACAAGACGATCCGAGTTCTTTTCACTGTATGGACAGTTTCGTTCTGTGAGCCAGCATGACAATGCATTCTCTAGACTATCATGGTACACATGAAGCCAATTCTGGCTCAAAGCCAATCGATTTGTTGCAGATGAAACCTGATCAGACAGGAAAAGTGAGGGCGAGAACACACTGAGAGGGTCGTCCTGTTCCGAGTTCTCTCGTGAGATAGGTTGTCGGTCAGTCGGGTCGAGACATGTTGTCCAGCTAGGTCCCGAGGCTGAAGCAGAAGCAGACTCTCCAGATGATTGTAACATATTGAGCTCCATTTCCGTCAAGCAATCTGGATCAAAGGAGAACCAGGAATTCTCGGGTCGCTCCTCACTGAGGGCTTCTGTGGTTCCCTGCGCGATGCGACTAGGAAGCTGAAAGGAAGCACCCACCAAGCAGCCCGAGTTTTCGTGAGATATCGTCCTCGAATCTGAAGAAAAGGATATAGATGGCGAGAACTTCTGCAGTTGTCCTGGAAGGTCTTTGGTGTTGTTGAACGGCCTCCAGGTGTCAAGGGAATCAATGTCGAATTGCTCCCAGTCCTGGTTCAGCGAAGAGATAACGGTGGGCTCCTTCTGCACCGGTGACCATTGTGGGAGGATGTGCTCTACACCAAGGGATGTTTTGCGTCTCGCTACGTTCCGAGTGCCTTTAGAACGACCCTGATGTTGTTTGTTGCTTCCTGCGGTAGACTTGTGCAGTGACAACTTCAGCCATTCGAAGGTGCATGTTTTGCCACTTCTATGGCAGTTGGAACAACTTGCTACTGGCACCTGTACACTGGCGGATAAATGCTGTGTACTACTCTCGTCAGAAGACTCTGCCCGTAAAGCAGCGTCGCAAGCACGCTTCGCTTTTCTGCATTGATCACAGCTGCTGTGTTGTTTCCTTCGGACCCGCTTGATAACGACGTTTCTTTGCTCCATAATTGATGGCAAAAGCGGAGATGGGCAAGGGACACAGATGTCTAACTTGAATACATGCTGCAAATTTGAAGCGAGAGCACTGTCGAAGTGACATTCTTGTCCGCAGGCTCGGCCGGCCGGGCCTGATATCGGAGCCTGCAACCAATCCCCAGTCCTTGACCCCGCATCAACGGAAGGCGGGGAAATACCCCATGAACACCCTCCAGTTCCCCTCGCTAACCCACGAGTCAATCTCTCCTACCTGGGGTCTGCTTGCAAAATTCCATTCACATGTTGTTAAGATGTGGAGCAATCCGACGTCCCAAGTAACAGCATAGATAGTGGTCAGGGCTGACGAGAGTGGAAATCAGGTTTCACTGGGCTCGAATGCGAATGCAAGATACTACAACCATCTTTTATGAGCCACGAGTAGGTCTAGCCACGAGTGCCTCGCCCCGGTATATATGTGTTACCAAGAGATCTCAAACTGTCCCGTTTCACCCTCATGAGGCTGGAGCCTTTCAGAAGATTCCGGAGGTACGGAAAATGTTGCGATGGGTGATCGCCCAAGCGACCGACCCACCTTCTGTCTTGATGGTTTTTGCTGCTTCTGAAGGAGAAAGGCCTCGGGGATTCGCCGGCAGAATGCATTCCTGTCTTACGAGTACTTCTGACAGCGACACTACCAACGACACGTGTCGTCGGTATTGAAAGTTAGCGCTCGTGGACCTAGGCTTCGAGAATCGCAAGTCTTCCAACAGTGAGTTGTCAGCTGCCAACTGACTTGTTCAGAGCGCGAAAGCTCATCAAGCGGGAACGCTGTCTTCGAAATGTACTTTTTTCGGGGTAATCGTTGTTCATCTGCTGTGTCAGAGTGTATCGACAAATGGATTCACAATGAGGCCTTGAAAAAGAACATCATGAGCGCTTGATCATTATGAACCAAGGTGGGTTCGTCATGAGAGGAAAAGTGTCATCACATATGATGCTTAAGAGCTGGTGATCTTCGCTAGAAGCCGATTGTGTCAAAGGCTGACTGGTCTCTGTTGTATGCGCCGCTGTGTAGTGAAGATCATCCATGCTTAGCCCAAGCATTGGTACTGGACCGCAAACAGTTGCATTGGGAAGGAGTGTCGAAGTGCACTCCCCATTCCGACAAGGGCTTGCCTTTGTATGTGACAGTGGAAGATCGACCACCGGTTCAAACATCTGGCCCTATTGAACTCTTCGTCTGGAGCCCATGCAGCTGGCGATGAAAAGCGAGTGGACACTCGGTCAGCCTTACCGCCGAGCCCTATTCACAAGTTTATTCTCTAGAAGGAAGACCCTTCCTCGAATCTGGGCGACGTACAAGGGTCAAAAGAAAATACTGCCACTCAGATTGCGCTTTCTCTATCTAGATACAGTGAGTAAAAAGGTGAGCCAAGCGCCTCGTGTTCGGCAGAACCCTATTCGGACCCGGTCAAGCGCGTCAGCCCTGTGCGACATGGCAAAGGTTTGAAAAACTTTTTGTTGGAACACCTCCCACCCCCAGGGATCAGGGCCAGTCAGAGACTCAAAGTCTAGATGGTGGCCATACGAGCGTGCGAGTTCTAGGCCCTCTAGAAGAGGAAGAACAAGAATGTTTTACTTATGTCAAACAGGAGAATGGCGGTGTGCACGAATTGCTATGAATAGCAGACTTTGAACGAGGATAAGTTTTGGCACTAGTCCCCGAGTCGACCCAAGCGAGAGAAGCACTGAGAAGGACAGGGTGATTGTTCCCTGTCTGCAGGAGTCTTCCGTATTCTGTGCATGGTCGACCAGGTCAACACATTCGTCTGATGCTGATAGAGAACTGGAATGGTTGCCAGAATAGGTTGGTCTTTTCATACGCACAGCCAGATTGGTGCACATCACTTCCATCACCGAACGTCGAGAGAAGCATATGGGCTTCCTACGATGGGCTGCCGCAGTCCGGTCAATTCCATAACCATCCCCACTGCAATACACATGATATCGCAGACGTATCATTCATGTGGGTCCCCAAGCCAGTTCTTCAACACAAGCGTGTCCCTGCACAAGTATGCGGATGGAGTACCTGCATTATCTAGCTACCTTAGATATCCGTAACAAGGTGACTGAGAGGTCTCCGCGGGCCCTCTCAGCATTCTAAGTGATCCGTCTGGAGAAATCTACTCAATTCAAATGGACCAAGTAAAACTCCGTACCCAAGTCCGGATGGAGACAAATATGGGAATTCTCCGCGAGGGCGCGAGAGCAGACTAAATACTACGCACTGACAGCCATGTCCCGCTTCCGTTCTCCTTCCGAGTGGTCCAGTGAATATATGCAAACTAATCACAGTGGATACGTGCATACTACACACATGGGTTCAAGTTTCCTACTCGGTCTGGAAAGATCCCTCTATTGCTCGCTCGTACTACTACCTAAACGAATAAAGCACAGTAGAGCGCAGAAGCCTTACGTTGGTTGGTTGAGGACATTAGATCAATGCGTGCCGGACATAGTCCATGAGATATCCGTAAAAGGTTTCCAATGATCGCAATCACTAGGACAATCACCGGTTTGGGACCTGGCTCTGGAGGGAGCCACAACTCGACGCTGCTTCTAGCGAGGCAAAGATAAAATATCGATGGGCTGTGATACTTGATTCACAAGCAGGAGAAAGAAGCAGGGCAAAAAAACGTCAATAATAATACTTGTTCAGGGATCATGTAGAATTGATTGATCTGCGAAAACCAATGCCATCGTGCTCACACATCGAGCAGTGTACTCATACAACCTTCATTCCGTGCGCGTCCTGACAGGGATGTCTGCAAATCGCCATAGCCATAAGCCCTTGACCCAGAGGCTATTTTGTAGTCCTGAGTACATCAGTTAGGTTGAGGCCTGATCAGTACGCAGTCAGCCCCGGTGTGGCACATCGAAAGAGCCAGCCATGATCAGATCCACGTGTTTCGCCCAGGATTATGGTTTTCATTTACTCAATTATTGCTTTTCACCAACTCTCGATTGCATCCAGCTCTCCAGCTATGTAGAAATGGCCCCTCATGGGCCTCTCATGATCGCGCATTCATTACGCATTCACTGATCCACCTCCCAAGCTGGCAGGCTACCTTGCTCTAAACACAAACTTTTTCTGGAGAACTGGTGGAATTGGTGAATATGGGTTCAACATTGTAGTTGTAACCTCGAGACATAGGAAAGGAAATAGAGGCTGTGTAGGACGACCAGTAAAAGGGCCGAGCATCTGCACCAGTTTGTGTGCTGAGCATCAAAAGAAAAGTCGTAGAATACAATCTGAATGTCGTCACGTCGAGCCTGGTTTGGGCTTTGTCGAGGAGTCGCGCGAAGGTAAAGTGAATGAAATCACTAGGCAAGAGATGCCGGTGCAAGATTCGGTGCTGCTGATCACATCATCTGATCTTGTGTCATTCCGCCTGCCGCCTCTTGCCCTTCCATTGCGTCTTGACCATTGGCATTCGTGTACTTGACGTATGTCAGGCCAAGAGGGCGACCGCCATACATATAGCCGGTGAATTTTGCTTGAACACTGTTAATCGCAACATCTCACCAAAGGCCGATAGACTTACAGATTGCAGTTTCAGCGTTCTCAGTGCTGTCGAATTCAACCACTCCGGTTCCTCGGGAACGTCCGTTAGGCTCGTACTGGATCTCTGCTCGTTCGACTTTGCCAATGGTGGTAAACAACTCGATCAAGTCATCATTGCTGGTTGACCAAGGAAGCTAGAAAGTGTCAGTCTTCTGCTTGACTAGTGGGTGTCAAGGTCCTCTCACGTTTCGGGCATAGATGATCGTGCTCCTCTCTCCTCCGGAAGTGGCGAAGTCGGTGAAAGGGTTCGGTGCAGCTTGCTCCTGGGGATTGCCACCATACCCACCGGTACTGCCAGGGCCACCGCCGCCGCCGCCATATCCGCCGCCTCCGTAACCACCCCGAGAGTAACCACCACCAAAGCCCCCACGACCTCCTCCGTAGCCTCCACGGCCACCCCCGAATCCACCACGTGCTCCAAAGCCGCCTTGAAAGCCACCCCTTCCGCCGTAGCCTCCGCCCATCGGACCACTGCTCGCATAGCGGTCTTCTCGGACTTCGAGGGCTCGGCCGTGCCAATCGTAACCATTGAACTGCTGGATAGCGTTGCGTGCATCGTTTGGTGATTCGTAGGCGACGATGCCGGTGCCTTTGGGTCGACCAGTAGGGTCCATATGGACGTCTGCGCGAATAACACCTCCTTCCTGGGCTATAACATTGTGAGATAGGGGTCAGTAGATCGAATGAGATGCAGAGAACCATACCAGCGCCGCGGAAAAGATCCTTCAAATCTTGCCAACCGACATTGAAAGGAAGCTGCAAATTGATTGTCAACATGCTTGATTTCTTCAAAAGGACCGCAGAAATGGGAGGCACAGACATTGGAAACATAGAGTTGACGGCCACCTCCACCGCCGCCACCACCCATGCCGTAGGCATTATAGCCTCCGCCGCCACCACCACCTCTAGGACCACCACCAAAATCTCCACGATTTGATGGTCCAGTGAATCGAGGTTCAGTCTCGCGATCCTGATAGTGAGGGATACGTGTCAGTAACCAAAGGAAACATGGAAGTGAGGGACCAGTACTTCTCGGACGTAGACCAGACGGCCCATGAGACTCTGATTGCTGAGTGTTTGGATAGCTTGCTGGGCTTGTTCCCTAGTTGCGTATTCCACAATCCTTTAAAACGTTAGATGAGAAGGATTGTGGGAGCTCAAGGTTGACTCTTACCCGCATCCCTACATAAACCCGTGGACCAGGTCCAACCCGTCAATCCAACGTCCAACAAGAAGAACAAAACCAGGAAAAGGAAGACCAGTGAAACCAGCCGCATCACACAATGGCGCCCACCTTCGACATTCCATTCGGAAGTAATAAGACATCAGCAAAGAGAACTTCTCCAGCTGTGGGGAGCGTTAGCTACTGAGATTGATGTAGGGGGTCGACAACACGAACCCTGTCTCATGAAATCTTTCAAGTGATGCCATTTGACATCATAGGCCAAATTGCCAACATAGACACGACGGTCTTGTTGAGATGAATCGCGCACGGACTGCATCATTTGTTCCTTTGCGGCGGCACGATCTTCGAAAGATCTTGGTGGACCTCCGCCTCTACTACCAGCGTAGCCTGACCCCGCGTATCCCCCAGATGCGTTGGGTGCACCGCTCATGGGACTTCGAGATCGGCGATCACTTCGGTGGTAGTCGTCGCCACGGCTCCGGGAGCGGCTTCTGGGCGAGTAAGAGCGTCGAGTACGTCGAGGACTGCGCGAACGGCGTCGAGGAGAACGAGATCGGTCCCGCTGTGCAGGGTCAGCAAAGGAAGGCGTGGTGGCAATCATGATTTTGAAGATGAAGTCAGGAAAGATCAAGGGTGCAGGGAGTCACTAGCGTGGTTTGTAGCGTGGTTTGTTTCACGCGCAGTGAATGTGTGTGTGATAGATGAGGACAAAGGAAGATGGTGAATCTCGCCAACCAGTTTCGAGTCATCCGAGTGAAGGACGCCAGGCAAAAGAAGTGGACCCAGGCCAAATGGGAATGGACCCAGGTAAGTTCGGGGCCAGCTTCATAAATAGGATCGGAGAGGTTGAGGTCTGGCAATGGCGCGAAGGAGGAATCGTGTCACTTACTATATCACAAGAATTAGCCAACGATAAGGTTTCAATCAGGGAAGAGGAAAGACTGGGAGAAAAGGTGAAGGTGAGAAGAGAAGAGCAGGAAAGAAGTTGATGCAATGAAGGTGAAGAAGCACATGTAGGGCAGGACGAGGTGATGACAGGGTGAGCATGCAAAGGACGGCGTCTGCCAGAATGGCTAGGCCGGGGCAGCAGAACTGATGAACAGAGAGACCTTACCCATGATTATCGATTGCCGAGAGGACGTGCGGCTGGTTTCAACTGTTGAGTCTACGAGATCAGGATGGCATGCACGAAAATGCAGGAGGGGAGGGGGAATAGGTCAGCTAACAAGGTTTTCCGAGTAGTACAAGGGGCCTTTGCGGACAGTTCGCAGGACGCGGGTAGCTCGATTTGTGTGCAAGTGGAGCGACAGATCAGAGCAGGGCCTCGCAGGTTCGCGGAAACTGAGGAACGGACAGGCAAGCAGACAGGACCTCTTGTGGCCCGAAATCTGAAAGAGCCTCAAGCGGAGAGTCTTGAAGCCGAGCGTTGAGCGCTTGTCGCAAATGCTTGTGCACGAGGAACAGTTGGTCGGATTGAACTTTTTCCGGCAGGAGAAAGTGCAGCGATTAGGCGGGGGTCGAGTCAAGCAGCAGCGGGCGAGCGCAGAGTTGAGTAAAGGTGGTGGCAGTTACAGTTGGTCCAGCGAGGTCTGGTGGAGACTGAAGAAAGGCCCTTGGCAAGCCCGACAGAAGTCCTTTGCGGAACTGATCGCAGGGACTCAATGAGGCGTTATGGTTGGAGCGCGAATTGTGGTGTGGCTTTACTCGGTAGCTATGGTGAGTGTGGTGGTGCGCTTGTTGTGGCGACAGTGCTGTCTTGCTTAACCTATGCAAAATCGTTCAGTCGGGTGTCCTCTTGCGATGAGACCAAGTTGAGCACCACGCACGCTTGATTTGATGACTTTCTCTTGATCCACAGCCTGTTGGTCTTGTCACTCACCAATGATGAAAAGGCAGAAGTGCCCGAGGGAGGGAAGGAGGGCGCAGGCAGGCCTTGCTCTCGTGTCAATGTCCAATGAGGAAGCCAAGAGTGAGGAGAGTGGAGGTGCGGAAGACCTGGGAGGCGATCGAGTTAGCTGGACGAGGACGGAGGAGGTAACGAGGCAGTGTCTGGCAAGAGCAGGGGGCTAACAACGAATGGGAGCCAAGTAAGGTGAGATCAGAGATGGTGAGAAGAAGAATTAAGGTGCAGGTACGAGGAGGGAGAGTACCGACTACCTGCGGCAGGAGTGGTGCCAGGCGGAGGCACTACAGACGCGGGTGTGTGTTCTGTGTTTTGGTCTACTGCCAGTGTGTGCAGTAGTAGGAGATGACAGGTGTGTGACGAAAATCAGGCGAACGGCGAACGGCGAACGGCTACCGCAACTGAACCTGAATCTGGAGATTCACGAGTTGAGGAGGACGGGGATCGTTGATGCCTTGACGGGATCCGTAGGTACGAGTTTGGATTGATTTGGGATAGAAGGAGGAGCAGGACTGCATTGGAGTGGGTGAGAGTGCCACTGGCAGTGTGTGACTGAGGGAGGTGTTGTCAGAGTCAGGCAGCGTGAGTGGACAAGGCGGCTTGGCGCTAGTCAAGTCATGCAGTTGCACCAAGTGCTTGATCTTGATGGATCACACCTTCTCCATTCAAGTTTCTGTGACTGCCGCACCGCACCGAGTTGCATCATCCGCGCCTACCTTAGATGCCACCTAGATGCCCACTGCACACACTACTACTTGGCTTAGGTAGGTCCCTCAGGTAAGTCTCCAGCTAGGTCCTCCGAATCATCTTCAAGTTGCAGGTTCAATTGGTACTATTTATCACCCCTGAAGGAGGGTAATAGAGATACGGGACGAGAATATTGCAGCAGGTACCAGACACCTCTTCCAAGTACCCGATACTTCTCAGAGTCCGGGTTCTCCTTCCACGTCCTCTGGTATCCGTAATTAAAGCTGCAAGTCGAAGGACCAAGGCCAACGAAACACCCTGGTCCCTGATACTTTTTCGCAACGAGAATCCGTCCTCCAAACTGGTGCGAGAAGTGGGTGCCGGTGTTATTATTCCAGTTACACTTGCATGATCACCCACGGCTTGACCTCCGGACGCCCGATTGCGCAAGCCAAACCGATCTCCTTTGCAGCTTACTCCGTACTTCGTAGTCGTGACTTCTACCAGAGGGAGGAATAAGCAGCAATGATAGGGATTGAATCACTTGCCAGTGCCTGAGAGATCAGGACACGACATGTGGCATTGAATTTACCCATTACGGTGTACTACTTCATAGGATCACACTCGTACCCTTTAGGCTCGGGGTGAGTCAAAGAGACATACTGAGGGCCAGTGGCGCATTTACTTGTGCGGATACTGATCTTCAAACGTCCTCGAACTAACAGCGTCAGGTTACAACGTACCGAGTAGTGCATGTCCTGCATAATTGACCACATCCCCATCGTTACTCTCAAACCGCTCTGCGGTTCACATAACGAGATGTTAGACTGAACGAGCAATCAAATAGCTTTACGTGTCTTTGAGCATCCCTCCATGTACAACGGTAAACAGACTGACTAAAGCCTCTCTCACAGCAGGTTTGAGTTTCAGAGACAATACAAGGGATAATTTAGTGTGCTTTTTCAGCAAGCCACAAAATAACTTTTGTTGTCGTGGCGGCAAAAAAGATGTCGAAACTTCGTGCATGAGACCGAGGGGCTTGAATGAGTTCGGAAGACGGATAATCAGGGCGAGCAGGAGAGGCTTAAGGACCAAAAAGCCTCGGCAGGCATAAGCGCGTCCCTAGCTGTGTTTAGGCGTGTTTAGGTCGGCATGGTTTGAGCGGAACAGCCCATCCCCGCTGCCCAGCACCTTTTTTTCAACATCGTAACTACGAGTACGTCGGTCCTCCTGTACCTAGGTATGCTTTTCTGCAGGTCTTGTCTGCCCGCCTGCTTCCGTGATCTTCGAAAGCTCCATTTTCCTAGATGAGCCTGGAGTTGTGTAGATATTCTACCTGGGGTGACACTGTTTTAAAGGACCATGGACGAAGTTGCCCATCATTCTTGGTCTTGGGTGACCTTCTTGGAGCAACCTCTTTGAATAAGACTTCTTCGAATACACATCAGTAAGAATAGTAGCAGATCATCTGTTGAGCAGAAGAAGGCATATTTGCTTAAGAGACCGAGACACATTCCCCCATCACCAGTGTCCTGCTATCACACACCGGAAATATATTGCCGCGGCCTCCGCCAAGCACAGGATCACGGCGAACTTGCAGTGTGGCTCTCTTGAACTGCACCTATGGATAGATGAATAGGTATTCGGACTCTAGGATAACATGTATCAACCTTGATTGAGTTCACCATGAAAATCAGCATCTTTTGTTTTTACTCCAGTTAGTTGTAATTCATTGCCAGACGTAAACTGTGATGTAGACACTACAGCCTTGGGTTAAGTCCGTCAGGCTCCGTCCGTTTTAGTTACATCACCTGTCGCGTAACCCAATTTTCTTTGCAACCGACCACCGCAGACACTTACCTCACACTCTCTTGTGCAAGTACAATCGATCCCACAAACCAACCAAACCTGTTCGAGATACCTAGTACCTACAGGTACATCGCCTTTATCAATGTCATTCATCAAACCCCTCCGTCTCGCCCATACACTTTCCAAACAGACGCATTCTCCTGTACGCACCTATTTTTCCATCCACCATCCAGATCCACGCCCTTTCCCACCGACTCAAGAACGCATCCTGTCGGCCGCCCTTGCTAGGGTGCCACAATATGGATTCACAGAAGACGCAATCATCCTCGGTGCCAAAGATGCCGGCTACCTGGATGTCACCGTTCAGCTTTTCCCACGTGGAGTCTTCGACCTGATTAATTATCATCTGATCACCAAAAGACTTGCACTGAAAGACACGGTGCAATTCTCCACAGCTGCCAATCTAGGCTTGACCTCAAAAGTCAAGGCGTTGGCCATGGCTCGACTACGCGCGAACACAGACATCGTTCATCAATGGCAAGGAGTATGAGTTCCACCTTCCCGTACAAATCGCAGTTCTGACTTCTTCTCCCCAGGCTCTTGGCCACATGTCACTTCTCGGCAACATCCCTGCCTCATTGAAAGAGTTAAACGCGCTCTCGGACGAGATCTGGTACCTCGCTGGCGACACTGCCGTGGACTTCTCGTGGTATACAAAGAGGGCTTCTTTGGCAGCGGTTTATGCAAGCTCAGAAATGTTCATGACCACGGACTCTTCAGCAAACTTCAGTGCCACTGAGGAATTTCTCCAACGAAGATTGAAAGATGCGCAGAGCCTAGGAAGCACAGCAGGAGGCATTGGACAATACGTGGGATTTTGGGCAGGCAATAGCCTCAATTTAGCCCGATCCTGGGGCATGAAGGTGTGAACTTGGTCAAAAATTTGTCACACCCAAAAGCACGACCATCAACAATGTGGATTCGCGAGCCTGGTTCATGGATGCTCAAGCACAATCCGTGGACCGCGTTTTTGCCAGCGGATTTCGGAATAGACGACAAATACACCGTATTTGGAGAAGCCTTGTTTGTTGATTTCTACAACCGAGCTGCAGACCCAGGATAAGCTTCATCTCAGGCGGTAGTAGATGACTTACTCAACCTCCAGTTCGTGATCACACCATTTCGGCGGTGACGATGATCAATGCGGCCGACCTCGAAATGTCAAACGACGCATTTTCCAGACACTTCAACGACTACAAATGTCCCAGTGCGTTGACAAATCAATGTGTGACCGCAAGGTCCACTCATCCAGCAACGACTTTCTAAACACAAACCTATTATAATCAGATCATGACAAGCGAGGCTTATTGATTTTTAGCTGTGTCCTAGCAGGCTTTTGACCAGCCTAAGATATTTCAGCTCGAGCGAATTTCTTGGTGAGAGAACCACCCCAATGCCACGTGACTCTCTGGAACTCGTCGAGCAACATGCAGCTCTGCTTAAGAGTCGCGAAAAAAGCAAGAAACGCACGCGCCTCCGGAGCCGAGTCCTGGATGAATGGAAAGCCGACAAGGTCTACCCGCAAGACAAACCGGCATCATACAACCCAACGTCACCGGGAAGGGATGTGTTGAGTGGTGGATATCGCCGTTCAGAGTACCAGATTGAAGTTCACAGCAGAGACTATGCCAGGCTTGTGGTCAGGCGCAAGGAGAACCATGAGGCCAAAGATGACGTCGATAGACTAGGTTCGAAGGGCGACAAGGACTCTAGTCGACCAGAAAAAGACGAGCTGCTGCCCCGGATGACAACTGTGTCCAGACAAACGATTCAGAGGCGGAAAGACAGCAGGGGGAACGAAACTCCGCCACCGAAACAAAACAACGGATCCAAGCAACAAAGGCGTGAGTGGTTGGTCACGACAAACGACGAAGTCTCCGATCTCATCGTGAGATTCTCCCCATTGAAGTACAAACAGTGGGCTTCACACCGAGACCTCGAGGAGCTGAGCACCAAGGACGAAGCAGAAAGAAGTTCTTGAAACGAAACCATGAAGAGGATTCAGAGTGTGTTGGAGAAGCAGCACAGAAGGCGGAAAATTGCAAAATGCAGATGGCAGACACCATCGTATTCGGGATTGATTACCTAGGTAGTGTATGACTTGATTAGTAGTTTAGACTCTGTATTAATAGCACCTTGTTCTGAAAGCACCGAGCCCCTGCATTAGTCGGCTCCCTATCACTGATAAGTGGTATTCGATCATAGAGTCTGTGGTCTCCGTCCCATCACCACAGTTCAACCAGCCACAGACAGATGAGCGTAAGGAGATTCATCCGACAGCAAACAATAGTCCCTCCCCACAGCCTAGATAGCCCTTTCCAGACCCGAGTCATCCCACGCCTATCCTATGAGAGAACACGCAATATGATGCAAGAGCACAAAAGCAAGCGAGCGATCTGTAAAACTTCGACAGAAATTGAAGAATGGAAGTCGTAAAGCATTGCATTTTTGAAATGGTGCGAAGAAGGATTTCGCATCCATCGCTGGAATGTGCAATTTTTTGACAACCCGACTAGACAGAGATGTATGATCCTCCTGCCAGCCATGATTTTCCTGTGATGATGACCGACCCATCCGCCGGGATGGCTGGTGATAAATCATGACCCATCACACGGAATGGAATGGAAGGGCTTCCATCGTCCGAGCACGTCTGGTGGATGTGATGTAAGCACTGAGCCTTTGCCTCCTTCGTGTCTCGGTAAGCGGACCAGATTTCTACAAGACCTGGCTGTAGGAGGATGGACTCAAGCCGTCGAGAGGGTTGACATGTGATGGTCGAAAATTGGTGTGTCTACCGCTTGGTCCCACTGCTGCATCGGGTGGATCCAAGGTGGACAAGCCAGTGACAGGCATGGATCCCACAGGCTCAATGGAAATGCTAAAATGCTCTGGACACTTGAATCCGGGGTTTCGACTTTCAGCGACATGGCCCAGGCGACTCTCCCGGGAGTTCTCGTTGGCTTTGCACTATTCCATGCCGCCGTATGAGCTGTGGATCCGGTCAACGACCAGGTTATGCTGCGCCTTAGAGTCGTGAGGTGAAGTGGGGATAGCACACACTGAATAGCGAGTGCGTTGCATATTCGAGTGGAACTGATCTGAGGTCTGAAGTTCGAAGCCAAACTGTTTGGTTTTGGGTCGTCTATCCATGCGAGAAATCGTGAAGAATCAATTTCACTTTCGTGCAGATTCCCATAACACAAAAGATTTCGGTTGGTCCTCAGGGAACAGATATGGAGGAATGAAGCCGTTGGGCAAGGCAACCATTTCTATTTCGAGCCTAACACCTGCCTTTTTGAAGATGGGTTGAAGTTCTTTGCATTTGTCGGTCATCCGACGTTGAGCGATCAGAACCTGACTAACCTCCTCCACAGTATCTTCATCGTCCGAGATACTCAAGTGTGGCACCTCGTCGTCGTCGCGGTAATATTCATAAGAGCAGACCAGGTTCTTCAGCAGTCTCACTCCATGCTTAGCCTTTTCGGTGACGAAGCATGACTCGAAAGGAAACCAAGCTCTTCTGCGGGCTTGAAATGGTGGTCTTTCGCCGAGGGGAATGCCAAAAACCTTTAGAGTCTCCAAGTTCGGGGGAAGTCTTCGCCACGTGGCATGATCGCATTGTCTTCTCATCCGAATTAGATGGACGGTTCGGTTATCTAGATCGAGTCGTTTCATTGCGTGGAAAGGCGTCAAGTCCAAGAACTGACCACGATGGTCAATTTCCTGATGGCCTGGTCTCTGGAAACCAAGGCTCAAAGACAGATGCTCGAGCGAGTCGACACAGTTCTGAGCGACAGCATCGACAAAAGGACCCGGTGACACATTTCCATGCAGGCGGCTGCTCCTGGCATTGAAGACACCGTCATAACGTATTCCCTCACTAATTTTGAGAGACTTTAGAGCTTTCGGGAAGCTTAGGAGGACTGCGAGAGAGGGCTCGAAGATGTCACACTCTTCAAGATGGAGATGTTCCAGGTTGGTTGATTTCATCAGTGCCTCATCGTCCTGGAAGTCGACAAGTAATCGATGTGGATAATCAGTGCTTGCACATGACACGGTTAGAGATTTAAGATTCGGATGCAAAAAGATCATGGGGTATTTCGTCATTGAATGGATCTCCTTCTGACTGTCGACGAAATGTAAAGTACCTGGATTAAAGGTCAATAACACGACCAGTCGGGGTGAAAAGAAGGCTCACATTTCCTCAAGTTTGGAAGCAACCTCCCAAAAGATGCTGGTACAACTGCAGAGGCGCTCTCAAAGATACGTTCGTATCGATCCTGCAAGTTGACCCATGAAACCCGTTCTTCCGGGAACTTGGCATTGCAATCTGGAGTTTCGAGGCAAAGGTCCTGAAGATTACACATGCGACTGATATATGGTGGCAGGGTATGCAAGCCCATATCGTCACCAAACTTGACTGATACCATCAAGGAACGGACCCATGTGGCTCGCCGATCATTGGCGTGAAGACTGGCGGCTAAGACGGAGGCCTGATACCCATTGAGGATCTCGATAGAGTGGTACAAAAACGGTTCAACAAGATCATTGAAATGCTTGCAAACCAGACTGGCATCACTCAGAGTATTGAAATCGAGATAGCCGAATATAGTGATAAGTACCTCGTCTGGCAGGTGCAGCAGAAGGAGTGATAGTGGAGTTGATGCGATCATATTCAAGGTGGGCGGGCTCGAAGAGGAGGACCTGATCACTTCGAAGCTAACCAACCGTGCTAATTCAGGGTGATGTCATGGAGATGTCCTGTGCCTGGTGTTTGACGCACCCAGAATAGAACTTGCAATAAGTGAGGATGATATAGAAATCGGATATTCTAATTGAACTTGAAAGGAAGAAGTTGAAGAGTTAACGCGTATGGGTGTTGATGGATGTTGGATGAGAATCAAGTGTGGAGGAAGATGTCATTATTGCCATCTCGCCTGGACCCTGTCACTCTGGTACGTTAGGTCACGGGTGTCCGGATAGCCAGCAACACTTCACCAGTTAGGGATGTTCAGGTATCTAGTTAGGCGCGTGGCAGCGGTGTAATAAGCCTTGACCCCAACCTGCGCCATACCATAAACACGGTTTAGTTAAAACCTTAGGGGCAACGCTGCTGAATCGCTTCCAATCCCCCATGAATGCCAAGCAGGCCTTTGCCCCCCGGCATGTGTCCCCCGGCATCGTAGGGCAACTTGTCCAGGTGCGGCAGTGTGCCAAAGGCATCCTGTTCAAAGCCTGTGCCTCTTCGTCTCACATAATAAGTCCACGCCACAAGCGAGATCATCCACCCAATTTCTTCTCACGGCTCGGCAGTCACAAAACACAGCCTTGTGTCAATTCAATGATAGTATCATGTTCTCCTTGCTTCGTACAAAGACTTCCTAAGTCCTTTACCAAGGGATCAAGAAAACGGGGCCAACATCATAAGTGTTTATTTGTTTTGAAGTACCATCGAGGCAGGTGCGCATGGCCCGCGCTCCTCAGTCATGGCATTGCATCGGCCATATGGGACATGCCTTGCGTAGAGTGGCCAAGCTAATAGTGCTGCTTTACGGCACGTTCTTGTTTGGACGCTTGATTTCCCCTGGAGGGGGCCAAGAGTCATGAGCATACTCACATTCATTTCAGTCGTAGAACTGGTGCCAAATCCGAGCCATAACATGTGACTTCGACCCAGCCCATCTCAACCCAGCCCAGTTGATGTCTCATAATCCTCATAACATTTCATCCGCACATATCCGTAGTTTGCAGCACCCCTAGGCAGGAGCCTCATAGCCGCGTCTGAACACCCTACCGAACATGTCGACACCGACTCTCTCACCCTTGATCTCACTCTTGGCCTCGTTCTCTGCGTTTGCTGGAATGTCGACTTGAGAGCCGTTAACTTTCCAGCCACAAGCCGTTTGCGCGAACTTGGTCAAACTGTCTCCTCGAAGGTCCAGCCATCCACTCAGCACACCCAGGTCAATTTGCCGGAAGGTCTTGCCAACCTCGCCTGCGATTCTGATTCTCACTAGATCTTCAAATCCTGCCACATCAGCATACAAATCTGCGTAGAGGTCGTCTGATTCCAGTGTCGACCAAAATGCATCGTACTGCGCGGATTCAAGGAGGGTGTTGAGATTCGTAAGTTTTTGTATCGACTCTGTGAGGTCTGTGGTGGGTATTGAAGTATTGCCAGGCTGGTAGGGGATGGTTGAAGGTGGGAGTAAGGCCAGCGCCAGAGAGAATGATGGAGATGGGAAGACTGTCAGTGCTTTCACCAGGATGTTGGTGACAGTTTCTGGGTGCAATAATTGAGGGTTGAATTGGTATCTAGTGTGGACGACGTCAGCTCCGTTTGTTAAAGGCTTCGTAGAGCAAAGAAACATCATGATGGCTGGCTCTTAATTTCAGATAGAGCTAATATTTCAAGTCTTCATAATTCCCGAGAGATTGTCAGGTAATAGGAAACGTGATAGAAATTCTCTTCATCACAGTATAGTAGAGCATAGGCCGTGTTTTCTCGGGGCTGATTCTTACAATTTCAACAGCGCAAGGCATGCGTACGTGTCGAAGAATTTCTCTTCACACTGCTGGGTAACATATTCTTGAAATATCGTCGTCGTCTCGGGATTGTAGCGATTCAGGCCGTTTAGGATCTCATCGATATGCGCCGACCGCTCTTTACACTTGTCGAAGCCTTGAGGCATCTTGCCGAATTGCTGGAGAAGGGAAGATTGAGAATGGGATGCACTGATGAACCAAAGATCGCAGCCTCCGCGCAGCGAAATGAATTTCGCTGCAACGACTCGGATGTGCACGATTTTCCCCAAAGGGCAGTTTGTGGCGAGATTGCCAAGGCTTTCCGGCTGCAATAGCACTGGCGTGAGATTCGAGCCAAAGGGGAGGTTGCCATGTATTCCACTACTATACTACTGTATATCCCGCTTAGAAGTACCGGAATTCAGTATTCACCTACCTGGTGTCCGCTTGCATGACTATGTGATTGAACTCAGCTCGGATACAACGTGGCGAACATGAACATGATCGCGCTTCACGTAGTGACAGCAAAGCTACGTCATGGCTTCTAATGGGACAAGCTGGTGGGAACAATGATTTCAGAGGTGCCAGCCTCAAAGACCTATGGATATTACATTTCAGACTTGTAATCAATCACCTTCGCGGGTTCTAGGTAAGGAGGGTACGCCAGTTTCAACACTCCAATGATGCCGACAACAGCACAAATTGAACTTCAAGGATCTATGATAATACCTCCGAGAAGGAATCCCATGTTAGGACTCTCAATCAAGTAGCCTTTTCCGCTCTCAACATATTCATTTCTTGTGCACGAACAGCTCCCTCCCCACGTGCAACTTGTCCTTCTTCTTGGAACTGGATGTCCCATGGATGGGACCCGAGGATCGCGGTGTTCTGGTGTCTCTAAGGTAAACCGGACTTGGAGACCGTGGTGTTCTTGCCTCTGGTGTTCGGGACTGAGGAGTATGGCTTTGGGATTTGGTCGGTGTGGATGATTGTCTCATGTCTTGCGCGGTCTGGCACTACATACCCAAAACCGAGCCAACAACACCAGAATGAGCTTGTCCAGCGAGATGCTTAACGTGCTCAGCCAATTCCTGAGGCTTTTCAAACACCCTCCAACAATGATCAGGCACATCCTTGAAACAGTCGATGAATCTCTGATTTCTGTTTTTGGCCTCCATGTGAGGAATATCGGTTACCTTCCTGATGTAAATAGCCTTGATCCAGTCAGGGTACTTGGCGTAAATCTCCGCGTATGATTCAGGATCAGACTGTGTGGAGTCCCCAATGCAGATGAATTGACGTTGAGGTAGCCATGAGTGAATTTTTTCAATCCGGTCGGTCTTGTACTCCTTGACACCTTCAGTGAAGGATTGCAGAAGGCCCCCAAGATACATCCATGAGGAATCACGAAGGATCATTGTGCCTTCAGGGTAGTGTTCAGAGATGAACTTGTGGAGGAAAGGATAAAGATTGTACGGGGAAGCAGATAGATAAAACCATGGCGGGTGTCCAAACGCTTCCTCTAGCACCTTGTAGAACTCTGGCATGCCTTCAGTGGTTTTTGGGATGTCGGCAAATGTAGATTTCAAGAGGCCAGTAGGACTGGATGTTTGCGTGACTTTGATTGTGTCGTCCACATCGGTGATGATTCCCCAACCGTGGGGCTCCACGAAACGGGTCTTGAATGTCAAGGCTGGAAATTGACCATCCGCACTTTCACCCGTGATGGTTTTCCCATCCATGTCGGCGGAGCCTCCAGTCGGCAAGATCTGACTGCTGATTCCATTTTGATTTGATGGACCCAGGTGTCGTTTATGAGGAGGACTGGATCCATCTGAACAGGGAAGCACAACCTCCACAGTGCGAGCAGGTGCAATGGCTTGAACGAAAGGTCTGAGACGTTCTTCCATTCGCTTACTGGTTTCCGGGTCCAATCCTGCCTTACCGTCCAGGCCAATTAGATCAGCAATAGTGCTGACTGTCTTTGTGATGTCCTTCCGACCAGTTCGGAAGAAGCAAGCAACGAATTCTGCCTCCCAAGGCTGAAGGGTATCATTGCCAGGCTTCTGGGGTCTGTATGCAGTATTGTTTAAGACCCAGACTTCATTGTCTTTAGGATTCGCTTTCTTGCCAAAAGGGTTATGAGTCCCAAGCAAGCCTGCCATCGTAGATATTAGTAAAGTGTTGCGGTGTGCAGGAGCTTGGCCTTCTTACTTGTGCCTTTATCAATGAAGCTCATGTCTGATTTTGAAAAGCGCTCAGGCAGTTTGGATTCGATCTCAGCAAAGTTGGCGTCTTTGCGAGATTGCTCTTCGAGAGGGGATGCATTGACCTTTTGATCGAGACGATCAACATCTGCTGACTTGTCCTTTGATTTGGTCATTGTGGAAGCAGGTTTTGAACTCAGGGATGGTTTGATGTAGTTATGGGTGATGAGAGCTTGTGATGGGGAGAAAAGATAACGATAGGACGCAGAAGAGAGAATGGAAAAGCTGCTGACTTGGGTATATGGATGGATAATAAATGGTAGAATGTACGAAGTGGAAGAGGCTGTGGACCAAGAGAGGGAAGATCTCATGGCAGCTGACTACCTAAGTAAGCACGAGGCCAATTCTTTGGAAGCCACGAGGCTTGACGGCAACTTGAGGAGCGTGAAAGAAGCAAAGGCGAGGTAGGCACGCCACATGCATATGACGATTGAGACTCTTGGAAGGCAGTAGCGCCTTGCCATGGCTGTTGAAACAGAAGTGACCACATTGGATTGTTCCTAAGGAACGAATGATCATGTTGGAGAAGAAGGTCACAACAAGAAATCCAGATACAGGTCCACAACGCAACAGCATCCGAATTGGTAGGCCGACTCTTTTCATTAGCTACCTAGGTACTCCGGGAACCGCCTAAAGAAGCAAGGCCGTGAATGATCTCCAGGCTAGTAGTAGAGGCTTTGACCAAAAACTTGCATGAGTCTTGTGCTCTTCCCGAATCCCCCTCCACTCCACACCGACCCTGCACTTTCCCGTTTTCTGGTTTTCGTGGGGAAGTGACAACTGTGCCAAGACAATTTTTCCCAGCGCGAACCACTTTACGCGTCGAGCACGCGTCCCAGGGCTGGCAACATCTCTTGCAGTGTTGAGAATTCTGGGTGAGATTCCGAGAAGGTCTAGATACCGCTGAAGTGTACTCTAGCCCTAAGACTCAAGACATGGCTTCAAGACCAGACCTCAAGGTAAGTGTTATTTTCAACGGTCCAATTCAGTGCTGACCCTCACGATTAGGTCGATGATGAGGGTGGGTTCATCCGCACCTTTCGATCACTTCCTACCAAATCAGATGGCACTGGCACCATCAGAGTCTTCGATCGCGGTGACTACTATTCAGCACATGGCGACGACGCCGAATTCATCGCAACGTCAGTCTACAAGACTACTGCCGTAATCAGGAATCTGGGGAAAAGTGACAATGCTCTACCTAGTGTAACCTTGTCAACGACTGTCTTCCGCAACCTCCTTCGCGAAGCTCTTTTCAAGTTGGGGAAAAGGGTGGAAATCTGGGAAAGTGGTGGAAGGGGAAGTTGGAAACTTGCTCGACAGGCAAGCCCTGGAAATCTGCAGGCGGTCGAAGAAGAGCTTGGAACCGGCTTAGACAGTCAGGGAGAAAGTGCACCAACCATACTGGCAGTGAAGATCAGCGCTAAAAACGGCGAGGCTAGAAATGTGGGTGTATGCTTTGCAGATGCCAGTGTCAGGGAGCTCGGAGTGAGCGAGTTCCTCGACAACGACTTGTACTCAAACTTCGAAAGCCTGCTTATTCAGCTTGGCGTGAAGGAATGCGTGATCACGACCGATGGCCAGAAAAAAGATCCCGAACTGGCGAAGCTGCGACAAATCGCCGACGCTTGCAACATTGCTGTCACCGAGAAACCTGCCTCCGACTATATGGTTACAGACATCGAGCAGGATCTTGCTCGGCTATTGAAAGGCGAGAATGCTATGGGGTTGCTACCGCAGACTGACCTCAAACTTGCCATGGGCAGCGCCGCAGCACTCATCAAATACTTGGGTGTCTTGACAGATCCAAGCAACTTTGGTCAATATCGATTATACCAACACGATCTCAGTCAATACATGAAACTAGATGCAGCCGCACTTAGGGCCCTCAATCTGATGCCGGGACCGAGAGATGGATCCAAAAATATGAGTCTTTTTGGTCTCTTGAATCACTGCAAAACACCAATTGGTGGTCGACTGCTAGCACAGTGGCTTAAACAACCACTCATGAGCCTTCTCGCAATCGAAAAACGCCACCAACTAGTGGAAGCATTCTTTAACGACACAGAGCTCCGACAAACCATGCAAGAAGAGCATCTTCGCTCCATACCTGACCTATATCGTCTCGCCAAAAAGTTTCAACGAAAACAGGCAAATTTAGAAGACGTCGTGCGTACTTATCAAGTGGTGATCAGGCTCCCAGGATTTATCGAAGCCTTGGAGACAGTTGTTGATGAACAATATCAAGTACCTCTTGAAGAAGAATACACCTCGAAACTCAAGGATCTCTCCAACTTTTTGGGCAAACTTGCAGAGATGGTAGAGACCACGGTTGATCTTGATGCCCTTGATCGCCACGAGTTCATCATCAAGCCAGAATTTGATGATGATCTTCGCATAATTAGGGCAAAGCTTGACAAGGTGAGAAACGCAATGGACGCCGAACATCGTCGAGCCGGGAAAGATCTCAACCAAGACCTGGATAAGAAACTCTTTCTCGAAAATCACCGAGTACATGGCTACTGCTTCAGACTTACAAGAACCGAGGCAGGATGCATTCGCAACAAATCGAATTATCAGGAAATTTCCACCCAGAAAAATGGTGTCTACTTCACGACAAAGGCGCTACAAGAATTTCGTCGAGAACACGATCAGCTTTCCGACACATACAACCGCAAACAAACAGGTCTCGTGACCGAGGTCGTGTCAGTCGCAGCATCATATACTCCAGTAATTGAGCAACTCGCTGCCATTATTGCTCACCTCGACGTCGTGGTCAGCCTGGCTCATGTATCCGTTCATGCTCCAACAGCATATGTTCGTCCGAAAATGCACCAGCGAGGAACGGGTGATACCATATTAAGAGAAGCACGTCACCCCTGTATGGAAGCTCAGGATGACATCAGTTTCATCACCAATGATGTCGAGCTGAAACGCAATGAGTCCAGTTTCCTCATCATAACAGGTCCGAACATGGGTGGTAAATCAACATACATCCGTACGATTGGTTGTGTTGCACTCATGGCTCAGATTGGTTGTTTTGTTCCTTGCTCGGAAGCGGAGTTGACCATCTTCGATTGTGTTCTTGCACGTGTTGGAGCTTCAGATTCACAGTTGAAAGGCGTCTCAACTTTCATGGCGGAGATGCTAGAAACGGCAAATATATTGAAGAGTGCCACCAGGGACTCATTGATCATAATTGACGAGCTTGGTCGGGGTACAAGCACTTACGACGGGTTTGGACTTGCCTGGGCCATCAGTGAAGAGATCGTTGCGAAGATCGGGGCATTCGGATGCTTCGCCACCCACTTTCATGAACTTACGGCTCTGGCTGACAAATTTCCCAAAGCCGTAAAGAACCTACACGTTGTGGCTTTCGTGGGTGATCAACAAGACGTCGCTATGACTGAGGGCCCAGAGAATTCCACGAAACGGAGAGAGGTCACATTATTGTACCGCGTCGAACCAGGCATCAGTGACCAAAGTTTTGGTATACATGTTGCCGAATTGGTGAGATTTCCAGACAAGGTTGTCAACATGGCGCGACGGAAGGCCGAGGAGCTTGAAGACTTTACCAGCACCGATGAACCGCAGAAGAAAGAAAAATACACGAAGGAGGAAGCAGAAGAAGGTAGCAGACTTCTAAAAGATATGCTCAAGAAGTGGAAAGAACAAGTCGAAGGACAAGAAATAAGCAAGGACGAGAAATTGAAGCTTATGAGATCAATGGTGAAGAACGACGAAAAGTTAATGGCCAACCGGTTTTTCCAATCGATCCAAAGCCTGTGAGGATAATTCTTCGGTTACATGATGGACTTAGCGTGGTGTTACTGGTTCCAGAGCTTTGGAGGATTCGGCTATATGTACACTATCAAAGAGCGCAAAATCATGTCCAAGTACAGAACTCGTGTAATCTACGGTTCTGGTTCCGTGATCTCAAACTCATGTGGATTAGATGTCATGAGCTTGAGAAGGAGCTGACACAAGATTCTTCCTGTGCGCTCACTGCCTGATATTGCTCCTCACATCATCATTTCCACCCTGGTCCTGCGCATACCTGGCAGCGACATGTTCTGGTCCTTCACCAGCTTCACCCTGGTCGAAGTCACCTGCCTTGGTCGGTCGACCTGTGCCTTTTTGAATATCGCCACCTTCTTCTATGGGGATTTCTCGATTATTTCCAGCACCAGAAACCTTGCTTCCGTACTCAGCAGTGCTGCCTGGGAATTTGTTGGTCACAGATGTGTCGATACCGGATTCATCGGCTGTTCGGAGAAGGATAAGGTGAGTAGGAGTTCCTAGCTTTTTGAAGAGATTTCTGCTTACTGCTCGTACTTCCACCTTTGTCCGTCTTCCCTCCAAATCCGCCGTCTTGTGCGCCACGCTTGAGGTGGTTTGAGGCAAGGTCTTGCTCAGCCTTTTTGGCGATGTCCCGAAGGTCTTGACCTTCGTATTCTTTCGACATTGTATCCAGTGTGTTGTCTTTGGCTATTTCAAGGGAGTATCTTTATTGTCGTCTGTAGTGATAATGGCTGAGGGCTGTTCGTAGAATTCTGGGGCGGTAAATGCTACTACAGTTCTTGACTTATTGTGCAGTTGCAGTTCTGAAGAACCACCACCTTTATGACGTCCGTTACATCACCCTTCTGAAATTGACACATACTAACACCGCGAAGCCCGTATGTCGGTAGTACATCACCGTGATGTAATTGGTTAACGTCATTGCATAACTAGTAGCGGAAGCCAACTCCGTTTCAACCACATCCTCAATGGCCCCTTTAAGAAAAGCAAGGCTGAAATGGGTGTAATCTTCCCAAGCACATTGAAGTCAAAGCTCTTCACCTAGCCTTGTGCTTTGAGTTGGTCATTCTGTAAGATGATTCAGCCATTTCATCCCAGATTGTAGGTAAGGTTCAGTTTCCGAGAATTAAAGCGCTAGATTTGGTTGCCAAGACGAGGCTGAAGCTGGAGGCATTCGTACCTACTCGGTAGAAGGACTACCAGTGGTACCTGGGCAGTATAGGAGTGAGTAAGCAGAGGTGGTCGAGCACGATACCATGACTGTCTAACCGACAGCTTTACTCTGCCTCCCGGCACAATATTTCAGGAATGGCCCTGCCATGCCGACACCAAGGTCAAGTCGGTCTACTGGTGGCGGCGAGTAATCTAAACAAAAGGCCACTGGCAGATCTCACAGCAAGTAATAATGGAAGTCGAATCGAACTTAAAAGAAGGTGCAGATGGTTCCAGGGCTGTAACATGATATATTCTGGGGAAGGAGGGTCGTTCTTGCCTAAATTCTTCGGGTCTGTGGCATTTGAATGTGAAGATAACGGGGTGGGTTGTTTGACTCCTTCACCACCACCAAAAGTCATATCTATCCTCAACTTTATCCTCATCAAATAGCAACGGTGTTCTAAGCAAGCAGTATCGCTCTGCCCTGAACGCCGTCCGTCATGGACTCTGCTCCCTATCATGTACTCAGGAATCGATCCTCTGCTTCGGCCATTCCACGGCCAACATCAGGCACTTCACGTCGGGCCACCCCCACAGGGTCCCGTATTTGGAAATCAGGTTCCATTTCCTATGTTCAGTATCAAAAGAAAATCCCCAACCTACACCGCAAGTCATGGCATCAAAGTGACACTGCACACTTCTCCTCAATCTCTTTGCCGTCCACGGAGCATTCTGACCTGTCGTCTCCACCGACGAAAAGCTCACCACCAAACGCAAAGTTACCAAAGTCCAGGACTTTCGGTAGTCTTCTTGCTTCATCTCGTGAAGTAACTCCTAGTGGAAGACTCATGCAGCCCATTCAACCACCACTGCCTCGGAGCCAGACACTTGGGAATATCTCATGCTTCAGCCAGCCAGGGTTGACCCCATCATCCAGAAAACCGACACAACTCCACCCATACACTCCAAGACCATCTAAGCACGCCCAAAGTCAACTGGATATCTCCAAAGTATCAAAGGAGAGGATGGCACAGGAAGAGATGAAGTTAATGAAGAGTGTCCAGAGAGAGGCTGCTGCAACGCGTACGCGAATGAGGAATTCCCTGGGGAAGGGCCCCACGATGCTAAGAACAGCTACCGACGTGAGAGCAAGCATTTCGAGCGACTTTACTAGCGATGTTCACTCACCAAAGTGCATCTCGGGAGTGGGAAGGCCACTTGATGACCAGCCTTCGACCGAACGGCTGTCAAGGAGAACCATCAGGAATCGATCATTGTTGGCCACGTCTGCCCATGGTACATTGGAGAGCGCGGATCCTGTAGATCTGGCTCCTTTGTCCCCCTTGCCAACGAGTAGCTCGTCGGTACAGGAATCTTTGAACCCCAAAGAGGTAAAACTCCAACTCCACTGGCATATGTTCCTTTCCAACTAATGCTAACAACTTATTGTCAGGTGTACTGTGCTGAAAATTCTGCGTATTGGACAGGCCGTTATGTGAGTGTTTGTGATCGTCTAAGAATGGAAGAACTCGATGGCATGGATTTTGCCGACAACCAATCGGATGAGCGGCTCTGGGAGTCCAAGGATAGATTGAGGGTTGAAAATGCTATCAACGAGCTCAGAGGTTTCTGCAGGACGACGCAAGCCCAGGACAGCTTTGCACGTTTTGAAACACAACTATTCCAAGAACTCAAAACCAATGTCTTTGTTCTAACTCCAAAAGCTTTGAGGTCGAAGACAGAAGTCCAGGACGAAGTGTCGAAATTTGCTGGTCCAGAGCTCAAGTCCAAAAGCATCTGGACATCGCCATCGTCTATTGAGACCGCCTCAATCTCGACGAGTCGGGTGTCAAGTGTCAACGCAGAAGCAACTTTGGCTGTTGGTCCTAAGCTGTTCTATGGACGTGCAGGAATTACAAAGAGTAAGACAACTGGCCATTTGGCCTCTCTCCTTCCAATGATTCAAACGAGGTCAACAACCACTACCAGCAATACCCCGAGGCAAGGGTCCACGGAACCTCTGTCTCATCGACGCAGAACTTCATTTTTCGACTGTTCCCCACAAACTCGGGCTCGGGCTATGAAAGAAAGAGAAGATCGTGCTGCTCGCAGAGTCGCCGAAGTAAGGCGGAGACTGGAGGCGCAGTCGCTGACAACCAGCAAGACTTCAGACAACCAGCCACGACCATGTACGACCATAACAACACCGCAGTCTCCGCAGTCGCATCGTGCCTATCCCCTTGCAATGCCCGCCACTGGCAGAAATGGCGGAGCATTTAGCGGGAGCACTTTAGCTGGAGGAAGAAATGATACAAAATCATCGGCTCGGTCAGCTCGTATTGTGTGCACCAGAGTCGATATGCATGCTCAAACAGCAGGTGCGGAGAAGCTCGAAAGAGGGCGTCGCAAGGCAGAACGACAGTTTAGCGGTGAGATAGTGAAGAGTCTGTTTGGGGCTGGAATGAGAGGGATGAAGAAGATGCGGAAACGGGTGGGTGGAGGCATGGTGTGGTCAGGAAGTCATGAAGACCTATCCTCGTCCAGCGATAGATAAGTCCTGGGTCGAAGACCACGGAAGAGCGGCGGTGGCTGGACGCACATGCCTGTTAAGAGGTCATAATGTTCTCCTCCCACCTCATCCTATTTCGAGCGGCCTTGTCAGTGAATCTCGAACTTGAAACTACCGAAATAGACCAGCGAGTGTATACTATCAAGTTTCTGCCCCAGATTCGTCTGAACTCGCTCTGGAAACCCCCCCTGCCAGAGTGACTGGTAGGTGCGCTAGAGACGAATGCGACGCCCTTCGCCCTACGAACAGCCACGCCGCATGTCTCTAGCAACCATGCATGGCCACTCCATTTCTTGCAGCACGGTATCGTGATTGCCTTGAAGTGTCTGTGATATAGCATTGATCGCCTTTATAGGCGCATCCCCCATCCACCACGGCGGGTCCTTCACCAGTGCAACCTGGGCAAAGAAATGTGCAAGCACGACCAAGGCAAGCGAACGACCTTCCTCGACGAATTCGACGAACGCTTTCGGAACCAACAGCGAAAATCCCTGCGTCTGTCGGGCCGCGTAGAAACTCGGCTTTCCCTCCTCGTTGGAGTGGTGGATCGTGCCCAGGAATCGTAAGGTCCTTTCGTAGATCTCTCTGGAGCTGGGGGTCAGATTCTCGAGTTGGGCTAGGTGGCCATCCAGGAGAGGTCGCGATTGTGGAGGGATGGCATGCCGGAAGTGGTAGTCGATGTTGGGGGCGTATGCGGGTGGTGCGTCCATAATGATCTTGAACTTGCTGGATGGGTTCTGCCGGGCCATTGCGACGGTGATGGCGACGATTTGGCCGAGACCAGGCCCCGTCTTCAGCCATTCTGTGATGGCTTCGTGGCCGCAGATGGGGTTGATTCGTTCATGGAGCATTGCGAAAGAATTCATCTGGATCAGCAATGCCGTAAATGAAATGGCGTCCGCGTTCCGTTGGCTCAGTTCGTCGACGGCGTTGCGTTGACATTGGAGGGTCAAAGCTAGGTATCTGTCACGACGGATCTGCAGCTCCGTGTTGAGCGGCTGTGCGCGAAGCATGAAGGTTGCAGAGATGGTGAAGATAGCGTAAAGAAGATTATCGTTCTCGAACGCGATCGTCGGTACGTCGTTCTGCCATGTAGCTTCCACGATTGGGCTTTGTGCGACCTTGAATGGTGTGCAGATGTACATGTGGTAATGGTGCAAAAGCTCGAGTTGCATCATTCGCTCGTCCTTGCTTTCGCTTATTTCCCAGATGTCAGGTCTCTGTCGGGTTTCAACCAGGCAACAGTCGCTTTGGTCTTGCGTCTGATGGATAGATTCAGAATCAGGCATTGGCTCATCGAAGTTCCGCTCTTCAGTCGCCCCAGGAATGCTCATGACCGGTTCTTTGAAAATGTTATATACACATGGTTCCCCGTGACGTTGACATGAACGGCAAGCCGGTTTTGCCTCATCGCACTGTTAAAGACTTTCAGAACCGCTCTTAGACATATGGGATTCCTTCGAGATGAACACACTTTGACCTTCCGGACCTTGCATCGCTCGCATCCTGTTCTCGACTTTCGGTGATTCAGACGAGTCTGGGGCTGCGATTTCTGAGGCGACATAATGCTAAGTGAAAGCTGGATGAGCATATCCAATCTGTCGAGGAGAACAGTTCTATTGGCAAAATAAGGTTGGGATGAGGCATTTTCAGTGCTCCACCGTAGAATCCGTACGATTAGGCGTCCAAAAGCGATGAAGTGTCAAAGCTTCGGATGATGTCAAGCTTGGTAGTATCTGGCGGTGAGATAGAATCACGGACTTGCTTCGAAGCCCCATTGGAGCTACACTGGTACCCAGCGGATCTCCAACTCAATTTCTCTGTTTCCACCATCATTATTTGCAAAGATGTCGGCCTTTCCAAACCTAGCTGGCAAGGCATTAGCAAAGAATTTGCTGCTGTTCCTATAACTCAACAAAGTGCTATCACCAAGGTCAGAGGAGAAAATTCCCTGTATAACGGATGCCTTGGTGCACTCAAATACGTCTGTCGATGGATTGATCGAACATGGTGAGAAGGAGGATGATAAAGAAAACAAAGGCTGATGGCCAGGATCAATTACATCTGGCTGTGCAAGGTAGGTCGCGCATGAACCCGAGGTATACCATTGCCCATTGCGAATCAGGCAACCTTTTCTTTCGGATACGCCTGGAGTGGCAGAGTCATCTACCAAATGGATCTCGAGATGCCCCTTGCCTTTGAACGGAGTACTCGTGGCGGAAGGGTCCGAGGAGGTAGTGGTTGGGGTTGGTTTGATAGGCGGGTGTTGAGGTCCTTTAGAGGAATGCTTGGGCAGATATTTGATGTTGTGAGCAGGACAGTTTGACTTGGCGCCATCGGGGTTGGCAGGAACGAAATGCTCTCGTATTGTGTCTGCACTCAGAAACGGGAAAGCTGGTGACGAGGACTCCGCTGAAGAAGGGACCTTGTTGGAAATTCGCAGTGAGCCTCGAACGGAGAAGTGGTACCAAATCTCATTTAGTTCCCCAGAACGACAGCGTAGTGTCACTGGAAAGCCATGAGAAGAGCTCTCGATAGCTTCCTCCAGTTCCGCGAGATCGTATGTTCGTTCAGAAGACGGTAGTATACCAGCTTCTGAGAGGATGGAGAATGTATCAAGCGTCCTGAATAGGGAAGTTGTTTGCACGAAATAGTCATACAAGTCCGCATGAGGAATGGTGTCCTTCCCATAACAGCTAGGTTCGATGGTTGAGATACAAGTGCCGTGCTTATTCCACTCATGAGCCCAAAGGTGCTCATTATTACCGTCGGCTGAGAGCCAGTACAAATCCATGAACTCCAATAATTCGGAATCCTTGCCTGCGATTGAGGCAAGAATGGATCGAATTCCATGCTCCGAACGAGCAGAGTCACAGAATTGATCAAAGCCGCCCTCACACCGGTCAGGCCACAACCCATGGATCGAGAACGATGTATTCGGACCTAGAGGGGGCGAGGTATCCCAGAATTGTGTCTGTAGAAAGTGTCCGGAAGGGTAATTGACACAGCAGGCATCGGGTGTTGTTTTCGGTGGTGGAAATGGACATGAGATACCACCGGGGTTGGGGCAATGCTGGTTGATATGGATCGATTTTCCAGTGTCAGGGGTTGATTGCAGAACTGAGCCCAGGATCGGCACTTGCGCGAGAAGATAAGATAGAGACGGCATTTGAATGTATATAGAGAACAAGATTTGATAACACAGATGTTTTGTTTGGCTCTTTAGGACTATTGGTCAAGTCAATGATAGCTCTTTCAGCAACGCGTGGACGGTGTCAAGGTTGTCAGAAGCGCGGGCGCCTCGGCGCGTGCGGTGTGACGTCAACAAGGCTGAGTTGGTGAGCCACCCATGAGCTTCAGCCACACGTGTGGCGTACAATATTGGAAACATGCACAGCTGTAGAAAGCTGAATTGCTGTTTCGAGAACTCTACGTTGACAGAAATTACCTTCACGGTCACTGCACGGTGTACTCCACGCGTGGACTGGGATTTATCTGTCCATTGCGTTAGGTAATGGTTAGGCATAAGACTTTGGAAATGGTGGAGTGGATCTCATACGCCTTGTCACATCCAGCTTTGACTCAAAGCCTTGATTCTTCAATATAGGGCTAGTAACTCTGCTAGTCACTTCTTAAAAACCAGATTGATCTAAGGTGATAGACTAGCCACACCACGCAATCATGTCAGATGTATATATCAACCCATCTGCAAAGGTGTGGTTACATACTTACGAAGCCGGAGTAACCCAGGCCCAGGAATTCCACCGTCGACTTCCAGGGTATCAAGAGAGCCCACTCATATCTCTGTCCGGTATAGCAGAGGAATTTGGGGTGAAAGCAGTGTTTGTGAAGGACGAGAGTAGCCGCTTGGGGCTGCCAGCCTTCAAAATTCTCGGAGCATCGTGGGGCACGTTTCGGGCCATCGCGGCTCAGACTGGTTTGCCCCTGGACACCGAGCTTGAAGAGATGTCAAAAACTGCGCGGAGCAAAGGCATCACTCTGTTTGCTGCCACAGAAGGAAACCACGGGCGTGCAGTCGCTCGTATGGGAAAGATCCTCAATATTCCCACGCGGATATTCATGTCTAAATTTTCGGATGACGAGACAGTCCAGAAAATTGAAGGCGAAGGCGCGCACGTTACTGTCACTACTGGAGACTACGATGAAGCCGTCGCTACGGCGTCAAATGAGTCGATTGCCACACCTAACGGGCTCTTGATCCAAGACAATGCGTTCGAGGGTTATGAGGAAATTCCTGGATGGATTGTCGAGGGATATTCGACACTACTTTTCGAAACGGAACGTCAGCTTGCTGCTCAAGGATTACAAGCAACAGTGCTGGTGACACCCATAGGAGTGGGCTCTCTTGGTCATGCAGTCGTTGCATATTCCAAGTCTGAAGGAAGAAAAATAGCAGTTTTGACCGTCGAGCCTGAAACGGCAGCCTGCCTGAATCAAAACCTACAAGCAGACAAGTGGACGACTATCGAAACTACTGCAACAATAATGAACGGAATGAATTGTGGAACGGTATCCCCAATATCATGGCCAATACTGAAGCAAGGAGTGGATGCAAGTGTCACAATTTCAGATTTGGAATGCCATGATGCTATCATCTATCTCAGAGCCCTGGGAATAAATGCTGGACCATGTGGAGCTGCAAGCCTATGTGCTCTGAAAAAAATGGCTCTCTCGAAATCAAGCTCAGTGTTGCTTGATGCGAATGCAGTTGTGGTTCTTCTAAGCACTGAAGGTGCAAGGGGGTACGGAATTCCTGTTGCGTTTCCGACTTCATGAGTTTGGTTCTGCTCAAGCACTGCAAAACTGTCGTTTCAAATTGTATATGTTCAAGATGCATGGCATTCGCTCTGTCGACCATATCAAGGAAGCCCATGTTGCTGCCTTACACACATACTTTCAGCCATGTTGAGCCCGTTCCCAAGCACCGCGATCGAGAAGATCCAAAATCAATTCCCTTTAGAAGCGGTTCGTATTGCCATCAATCCCAGCCTGCGTTCTGGGCAGCTATTGGGGGCAGCCAGTCAGAAGTGGTTTCTTGGTATGGTCCAGCACATGGTCGACCCCATTCGGTATTTGGCCAGGCGGATTGAACAAATGATTTGCTGTGGTCCGGCTGAGCCGTAGGATTACTGTTCTGGTGAGGCTCGTAGCCGATCGAGCTCGTATAATTTCCATTGTCGTTCCGGCTCCCGTCAGATGCTTTGTTGTCATATTTTGGAACTTCAGGTCGAGCTGTGACGTGAGACACTAATGAGGCTGATCCAAATCCCCAACGATTGAAAATTGTACGTAGCAAGTCCATGGCAACGCCAGTCTCGAACTCCAGATAGTCCTGAGGAAGGCTCACAATATCCATTAAACCTTTGTCAAGGAACTGGGTGCATAAACACCCCAGAAGTTCCCGCCACATCTTCCCACCTCGCAGCCCCGCTTCCTCCAACTGCCTGAAATGAGACCACTGGATATACCCAGTGCCTGCATCAATACCCAACGAGCTCTTTGCACGATCGGTGGCACAGTCGGCCATCTTGCTCACAGAGTACTTGACTGCAAGGACGTGGCAGTCGATGATTTCTTCAAGGGTTGGTCGCCCCGTGGGAAACACCAACACGCCAGCGTACAGATATGAGAGAAGCATCTGAACGTCTTGGGGTTTCTCATCTGGTACTGTGAGCCTGTTTTCCTCATGAGAAAGGCGCCGGGTTTCCGTGAGAAGCTTTGCAAAGCAGTTTGGGTGCTTGGTCAACACGGCTTCATGAACCATCATGCGGACTCGTTCTGGGCCAACGATCAGCGCGATACCCTGGGAGGCGTATTCATTCACCGGCGCTTTGTTCATCTTGTTGTTCGGCCTTGCCTCGGAGAAGTTTGGATCATGGGCGATGGTAGTGCTGAACTCTTTAAGCGCCGCCGCCAGACCTTGCTGTTGGTAGCGCTGTAAGAATGCAGTCATGTCGTCCGATGAGGGGACTATACCCGCCATGGTTGGATCGGCTTTCTAAGAGGTGTAATATCGGAAGTAGAAGAGGTATGAGAAGGAGTGGAATCGAAAGAAGGTAAAAAAAAGAGACGAAGACTAAAAATGAGTTCGAAAGTCGAAGGTTTGGAGTTAATGAATGGGCAATAGTTATCGGTCTCGATACCCGAAGAGAATCCAGGGTCCTGTTGAGGGTGACGTTAGGAGAACAGTTGAATGGAAGGGAGACAGATTGCATCGAGAAGAATAAGTGAAGGCAAGATACGATGAAGCGACACAAGGTGGTTATTGAGAGTGAAGGATGCATTGAGAGCGTGTGGTGACTAGGTTTCTACTCCGGTTTCAAGTAGTTGAAGATGTGAAATTTATCCCAAGTATTAAGTTGAATCTAAGTAGTCCATCCTAATCAATAAGCTGGTGAAGGCAGACTATCAAAGTCGCCTTCATTTTCCCAAAGGACAGAAGAACACAATATTCAAGCGAGAAACCAGGGCTCGGAACACAGCATACACCTCTCCAAGGATTGGCCATGCTCCGCCATCTCGCTTAGACAGATAACCCCGAAATTCCACACGAGAGACAGCAAAAAAGGACGGTGGAAGGTAGTAGCGCGATTCGCAAGGATTTGGCTATTGTGACCGTTCTTCAGCTTTGTAAGAGGTCGTGTCGTCCCATTGAGAGGTACCATCGCGTCCCTGCTGCGATTTGATTCATTTCAACCCAGGTAGTCGCCTACTCAGAGCATTTTGGAATTGTACACCGGTGAGGGCACACTCAGCGAGGTATGCCCTCAATTCCCAAGTGGCATCGTTGCCGCCATTGTGCAGTCCCTCGATATCGCAGTCCAGGCCTAAGAACCGAAATAAAACTGGCGCACCGATCTGTGGTTTGCCAGTTCGATGTGCAATCCTCCGTGCCAGGTTATTCGGCCCGTTATTCTGTATGTCCTGTCTCCGAGAGTTTGGAAACTCGTCTTCTAGGGAAATACCAAGTTCTTCAAGCCATGTTCGGTCGTTCGCATCTGCGAAGAACACCCATACGATCGGACGACTATTGACATGAGGCTTGGACTTCGGTGCAGACCTAAGTTCCGTGCTCTCGCCAATCCATGTTTTGACCTGCTTGATGAACTGGTCCTTGACAATGGCCTTCCGCACCCAGCGAGTCTTGCCAAACTGGAAGTTGTTCGCGTCCCGCACTTTACACCAGTAAGGATGCTTCTTACAGAAAACGTGTTTATTCTCAATTATAGCCAGATTTTCTGACTTGATCCTGGGCCACGCTTTGTGGGCACGATCACCGGCTTCTTCCATAGTTATTTCTCGACTGTCAAATGATGCCATGCCGATTTCGCAAACTCTTCTTTCCGAGCGTTTGATACCCTTAGAGAATTCTGCGAACGTCTGGTTGCGACAATGACACTTGATGTCTATACATATTAGCACTGCATCGTCGATGTCAAAAGCCCAGTCGCCAGCGCTTACGGGGGACTCCACATCCGGGCTTGAGGAGGTAATTGGGCTTTGAATAGACGCTGGAGGACTGGGCTCAGTGCATAGGCTTTCCTGTGATGGTGAAACGCCCTGTCGTGAGGATCTTGACAATACATCTGGAGTACCTGCCAAACTTTTCACTACAGCAGCCCACGTGCGGACTGGAGCCTTTTTGGGGATCGACATGCCACCGAACTTCGTTGTGCGATTGTGTACTCCTTGTCGAATACAAGAATCGAGTATGAGTTCGGAGGATTTAACCTTCGTTTGTGGCTGAATTTCACCCTTCAAGAAGTCGAAATAACATTTTGGTAAAACAAAATAGGTAGTCTTATACCGCTGCGGGCTTAAATACTTCAGAGTATCGCTCGAGCAAGTCATCTCCCAGAGGCCCATTGTATCCGTGTCACAAAAAGAGATATGTGGCGCACAAAGCCCGGGTTATCGTGTCAAGCGAGGCAATAATGGGAACGAACCCAACGGCACGGAGAGTCCACGCCTTGGGGAAGAGTCATTTTGTACATGAATCGCGGGATAGGGACTGATGCTGTTGACCAACCATTGTCACGAAAATACCGTGAAATGGTCGTTGAGATGTGGTAGCTAGTGATAAATGCGAACCAGGACAGAGAAAGGTATCTAGCCCGCTCTCGAGCAATTGGGACAACGAGGAACAAAGAGTAAAACAGTCCCAGGTGACGCAACATAACAGCAGGTGCGAGCAAACGGAACTGATTCTTTGATCGGAGCTCGTAGGTGACGTTGCGGCACCAGTCTTTCGGTGCTGCACATCTGCGATGTTGAACCTCGGGTCAAACGAACAGGTGTTTGCGGCAGTTCAACTCTCAGGACTCTGGTAGCCCTTCATGACACTGCTGCGAACGTAGCGAACATGACAGAGCGTTTGTCGTTGAAATGCATGGGTAGTGGATCGTTTTGATGGATTAGGATCATGGAGCGTCGATGTTAGTTCAATTGGGAGAGAGAGATATTTGTAGAATCCGTCGGAAAGAGTCGAAGCGCGTCAAGCATAATGCTTTGTGCAAATTTTTCAGATTCAAATATATCTGGGCGTGATGACTTGATGAAGGGATCATGCCCCATTAGACGCTTTCTGAACCTCGCCTTCGATCTGAGTTTCACCACGTTGAGAGATCTCCCCTGCTTTCTTCGTCTCCCAATCGAAACCAGTCCAAACATCACTCCTTGATTGCTCCTCTTCTTCATCGAAGTCTTCACCAACTCCAAGCAAATCCGACATTCTTTTCACACTCTGCTGCACCATATCATCGATACACTGCGGTCGTGTGTAGAACGCCATGACCGGTGGCATCACCACGGCCCCAGCTTCGCTGACCCTAAGCATGTTTTCAAGATGTATGGAGCTGAGGGGGGTCTCTCTGGCGACAAGGATAAGTCTTCGTCTCTCCTTCAGTGTCACGCTCGCCGCTCGTGTGATCAGATCGGTATCGTAACCAATACGGATGGACGCAAGAGTCTTCATGCTGCATGGAACGATGATCATGCCGTCGGTTCGGAATGACCCGGAAGAAAGTGAGGCCGAGACGTCCCTCGGTGAATAACTGTAGTCGGCTAGTGACGCAAAGTATGATGATCGGTCATCAGGAGCATCAAGCTCATACTTCAGCGTGGCCACTGCCCACGTCGAGAGAATGAGATGCGTCTCCACGTTTAGTCGGCGAAGACGTTGTAAAAGGGCCACCGCCAGTGGTGAACCTGTGGCACCAGTGACAGCGACGACAACGCGTTTCTTACGCCGTGGTAGTGGGATGGTCGTGTTTGGACATTGTTGCCAACATGATCGTGAAGTAGCCACGCTCCTCTTTTGGGACGCTATAAATGTATTGCGTAAGCCACAGGTTTTGCTCCAGGATAGCCGACCTTGGCCGCACCCTGACCTTGCAAAACCATTGAATGTCTGGTTGAAGAGACGACTTAATCGTTGGGACATTGGTGCAAGGCAACTTTGTAACAGCTTGTTGGGTGTTTCTAGAAAATGGGATGGTGGCGAGGCAGAAGCGTCGACGGTCTGCCTTTTCACCGTCTCCTCCATCGAATCACTAGGGCGCCATCGCTGCGATCTGCACTGCAGATCCCCCAATATCATTTATCTCAATCATCGTTTTGCCCGATTGATGCAAGTTGAAGTTGAAACTCAAGGACCCTGGCTTAGTACAAGGCTGCGAGATGACTCAGCTTGGCATTCCCAATCAGGATGCATAACCAGTTAAGAGATCGACAACAGGGGAAACTAATCGTAGTACAAGATGACGATGCATGCCTTGTAACGTCGATGTAGAAGCAGAAGTAGATACTGTCATTCACGTTGCCATGGCCGGCTGTTCACTGGTTTTTACAAAGCAGTTCTCCAGGCAAATCCGCAAGGAGGGTCTGTCGTCGATATCTGTCATTTATGGAGGAGAGCGGCATGTAAGGTTGGCTCACAATGTTGCAAACCAAGCTCCCCATCTCGACTTCCGCTCATTCGTCGACGAGCTTCGTTCAGATGATGACCTAGCAGACATCAACGCAGAGGTTGACCCTCATCTGGAAGTTGCCGCCATCATTCGACGCGCATATGAAGTGCGATCCAAAGCACCCCTCTTTAATAACGTCAAAGGGGCCAAGGATGGACTCTTCCGCATCATCGGTGCACCAGGAGGCTTGTCGAGTGACTCGAGATATCCATACAAGCGCTTGGCGCGTCATCTTGCCCTTCCACCAACAGCTGGTTTGAACGATGTGATTGACAAAATGCTCGCCGCAAAAGGCACTCCACCCATCCCACCGGTTCATATCTCCAGCGGGCCTTGCAAAGAGATCAAGATCTTCGGTGATGATATTGATCTGACAAAGCTTCCGGTGCCGCTCCTCAACAAAGCCGATGGCGGAAATTACATCCAGACTCTGGGCATCAATATCGTCCCTCATCCGGCAGGAAAATGGACGAATTGGTCAATTGCCCGAGCTATGATTCACGACAAGAATCGCATGAGCGGTTTGATCATGAAACCCCAGCACATTGCGCGAATTTATGAGCAGTGGCAAAACAAAGGCGAGGACGTTCCATACGCCATAGCCCTTGGTGCACCACCGATTGCTGTAATGGCAGCCAGCATGCCCTTACCTCAAGGTGTTTCGGAAGCAGAGTACGTAGGCTCACTTTGCGGATCTCCTCTTGAACTCGTCAAATGTGAGACGAATGACATGTACGTTCCTGCAAACAGTGAGATTGTGTTGGAGGGTACCATTTCAGTGAAAGACAGAGGCCGAGAAGGCCCGTTCGGTGAAATGCACGGGTACAGCTTCTTGGATGAGAACTCTTCACAGCCACTGTACAAGGTGTCGGCGATCACACACCGGAAAGATCCAATCCTGCCTGTTTGTGTACCGGGACGAGCGACAGGGCCAGACGAGACGCACACGATGATTGGCACACTGGCTGCAGCAGAGATCAAGCAACTATTGCAGGATAGTGGACTTCCAGTGATGAACGTCTTCACTCCTTTCGAATCACAGGTAATATGGGCGGCAGTTCAGGTCGACCGACTAAAACTGGCAAAGCTCAACACAAATGCCAACGAGTTTTGCAACAAGATTGGAAATCTGGTATTCCGCCATAAATGTGGCATGCAGATCCACCGTCTCCTGATTGTCAGTGATGATATCGATCCGTTCAAGTTCGAAGACGTGACTTGGGCCTTTGCTTCGCGATGTCGGCCTAGTGTGGATGAATTCCATTTCGAGGACGTGCCTGCTTACCCATTGGTACCGTATATGTCTCATGGGATAGGCACAAAGTTGACGGGCGGGAAAGTGGTTGGGAATTGTCTCTTGCCAAGCGAATACAAAGGCGAGCAGGGTTGGGTCACTTGTGACTTTGAAAATGGATATCCCGAGGAGATCAAGAAGAAGGTACTCTCGAGATGGAGCGGTTTTGGTTTGTAATGAGGCCCTGGGCCGGCCCCATCTCTTGGATGCTTTCGGAAGGAGAGCTTGTAGTTATTCTGTAGCAGAAATCAAGCACATCGATTTCAGACAAAAGCTAGTTTTGGCATTGAAACTTGGGACTTAATTCTCGGTCCGATGGTTATTTGCCAGTCCTGAAGGGATTTCTAGATTCTAGTTTTATACACAGCTCTAGCCCTGAGCGTGAGTCCAGGCTTGAGGTGGGCAAACATTGTAACCCCTTATATATTCGTGGACGGGGCCGTCATCTGCACCCTCGTGTCTGCGTGTTCAATGGTAGATGTGGGAGCAAGGAGGAGCAGGAGTGCTCATTTCGTAGTTGGTCATTTTTCGTGATAGTCGTGAGGGAGAGATAGATGAGGTCGTACTTCATACAGAAAGTCATCGGTTCGAAGTATTTCTTTCACCAAGTGTGTTTGTTGGTCGAGGTGCATTCGCTCGCCTTATTGCATGGTTCTGAAGGACCTCGAGCCAATTATTTTGCATTACAGGATGCAACCAGACTTCGTCTCCTGTCTCATCTTCAGTAGAGATTGCGGGGCTTGGTGTCCGCCTGGGGGTGTTGTAATATGACGGTGGGCGCGTGCTTCGACTGGGATATCTGTCTAGGCTGAGTCTACCGTGTATAGAAACGGTATCGCCAGTCGGCAGGGACGTGAGATCGGTCAGCCGCGTGCTCGGTATTGAGACGACGGAGGAATGTGGTGAGACAGGTGGTGGGGGACTGTCGCTCTCAGTTGGAACTTCTCTTTCCTCTGTACTGTTGTCATACTCGATTTCCTCGAAATCGGCTGGATTCTTCTCATCGATTGTGATAAGAGGATTTTGAGCTATATCTCCGTACTTTGGAGGCGCATCGTAATATCGAGGAGACTGGGGCCGGGAGCGAGGCCGGGTTTGGATGTCATCATGCTGTCGAACTGCGGAAACAATGCGAGCGTGTCGAGTCTCTTGTTCAGTCTTTTCAGAGAGAGATTGTGATGTACAACAAGAAAACACAGAAGATAGGAATGTCATCTTTCCATCTGGCAACGTTGTGGGTAGGAATGTTGATGATGTGAGGATACCTGAGTCTCTAGGTGGTAAGGATGTCTACTTAAAAGAATCAGGCTTCCGGGTGCTCCCCAGGCCATTGCCCGCCCAGCCCCGCAAGGCAGACACCAAACCAACCACTACGGAGTCCTTGGCCCCTGCCGAACCCTCCGCACTACATCCCAAAGAGGTCTTACGAGTACGGACTTGACTAGTCAAAACCCCTGGTTATCTACCGATCGAGGTCGCCGGGGGAATAGGCAGACAAGTACAGAGTACCCAGGTAGTCAGTGATGATACTATAATTGCTGATGAGGTGAGCGTCTTCCTCGTTCCATCAGCTGGACCATCATTGTGCCGGTCGTGGTCTCTACACTCGTAGGTAAGAATGGGTTATTTGGTACAATTCTCACTTCACACGGCAGGATCAGAATGCCATCCAACATCGAATCCAGGCATTGTCTCGACACATCTCATGGATCCTCCTTCAAAAGTGCAAAAGGCGTGAGCACTTAAAATGGACACCAAGAATGATATGCACATTAAGCATGTGAAACTGGTCTCATGCACGACAGCCCTGAGGTCCACTCGGCTACCACCTCCATCATGCCAATAATACGTCAAACGAGTCGTAAGTGGCATAGGCGGGTTTGTGCCTACAAGGTCCCTTTTCACAAAGTGTCTACTTACTTTCCATTCCTCTGCTATTCATCGTTTTGGTTTTTATCTGTTGTCGAATCAAATTCACCTTTTCTATTTTGTATAAAGTTCAACACCAATTGGATTTTCTTTTTGGCCCCATCATTGCTATTCACACACTCGTCGTAATTTCCTGCCCGGTGTGAATACAGCCCCTGAAGATTCTGCTGAGATTTGCCCCAGCCTTATCCCCCGCCAAATTCCACTATCCTCGACGGACCAGAGATGCTGGCTTGGGACTTCCCACCTATAACGACTTTTCAGTGTATTTATATACTATGCTTCTCTTCCGGCGGTCTTCGTTCTTCGCATTAACACTTGGGCTCTTAACAATCGTTCTATTAATACACAAACTCGACCTAAACCCCTTTGGGAGCCGTTACTATGGCCAGAAAGGTCTGTTATACAACCCCACGGTCTTCAAGCCGGGGGTTCTCAAGCCGACGGGAGAGAATTATACTCGAATCCTCGTGATGGGACGACTAGCGACGGAGGATATTTCATGGGTGGGCCGAGAATTACCTGACCTCCCGACCAAGATCTACACGGTGGATGATATCCCGAGTAGAAATGCTTCATCTGTGGGGGATGACAGCGCCATCCCGGCCAACAAAGGACACGAGGCAATGGTGTACCTGACCTACATCATCGACCACTACGCATCATTACCCGATGTCGTCCTCTTCTTCCATCCGCACCAACACGCCTGGCACAACAACATCCTCCTGGACATCGACACGGCCAAAACCATCAAACTCATGAGTTCGGCGCACGTCGTGCGGCAGGGCTACTTCAATTCACGCTGCCACCTGGATCCGGGATGCCCGAACTGGCTCCACGTGGACCGGCCCCAATGGCGGTGGGACCTGAAGCACAAACCGGAGGAGCCGAAGCTGACCTCACAGCTCTTCCATGAGCTGCACGGCGCCGACGTCGCCATCCCCGCCGCCATCTCCCAGCCCTGCTGTGCACAGTTTGCCGTGTCGCGGGACCGCATCACCCAACGTCCCCGCGACTTCTACGTGCACTACCGCGACTGGATCCTGCAGACCGACCTGGACGATAAAGACTCGGGCCGCCTGCTGGAATACAGCTGGCAGTACATCTTCACGGGCAACTTCGAGTTCTGCCCGAACATGCACCGGTGCTACTGTGACGGGTATGGCATCTGCTTCGAGGGCGACGGCGGCCTGGACGAGTGGCTGCGCGTGCTCAAGCAGCGTGAGAGGGTCGACGAGAAGCGCCTTGCCGCTTGGGACAAAGCCGGCAGTGATTCCCCAAAGTACAAGCAGCTACTCGGCCAGAGCAACCTCTACACTGAGCAGCTCGACTGGATGAGGGAACAGGCTCTGCGGCGTGGCGCAGATCCCAAAATCAGGGCCCAAGAGTGCGGCAGGCAGTGGAAGGACGGTGATGGCTATTGAGGTCCACTTAGGGGTGGGTCTGTGCTGTGCTGTGCGTGCGTGCGTGCGTGCCTGGTGCACATAGTCTCCTGTGGGAGTCATGCATCTATTCTTGAGACGGAAGTGAGCGCTACTGTGGATATTGGGATTGTGCTATGTACAATTTTGGATAAAAAGGACCCTGGGATGTACATAGGAAACTTGTTTGTAGAATTGAGGCGCCATTCATAGACTTGAACTTTGATGGAATTCGTGCAATCGAAGAAAATAGAGCAGAGAGAGTTTACAGTCAGAAATTGTACTTTGTATGCTTTGAATTAGGGAACAACCATTTTGGAAAATGTAGAGGCGATGCCGATATACTTAATACCTAGGTACTTAGGTACCCGTCGAACAAGGTGTCTGCATATCTAGGTGGACAAGTCTTATTTAAGATACTGATAGCACAAGTAAAGTTGGGCCTGAAGCACTCCTTCTGATTAGAGTCATCCATCTGTGGATACACAGTTTGTAACGATTCCATACCCAATCCAGCACCTTGCAGGATTCATGTCGATGCATTGTTCAACGCCATACTTTGCAGTCCCACAGCCATCTGGCATCATGTGTGCAACTAGAGGCGCCTGATGTAAACGAGAAGAGTCCCAACAACATGAAATCATACTGAACCGCCGCACCCTTCTGAGACAATATCGTTATAACCCTAATAATTCATAACCATTTCCACATTGGTACCACCGGCTTTCGACTCATTGGCACCGTCAAAATTGCCCGGACCATAGTCATCAAGACTCTTGTAGGCTGGAGGACCGCGTGGAGCTGCATGGCCACCTCTGCCACCTCTATTACCGCCTTGACCAGATCCGTGGCCACGTGTCCGAGAGGGGTTGCCCGGTGCACCTTGGTGCATGTTTCTCGCGCCACCTGATGCCTGGTTGTTTTTGTTGTTGAACTGCGCCTTACTCGTGTATCGCATATTAGATCGTGAATTTCCACCACCTTGCTCTTTGGGGACCCATGAGCGATCATCTCTTTCACCGCCGTAGTTCTCTTTGCCACGATAGTCTTGTTCATCGAACTTCCGCTTATGAGGCGTGTCCGCCAAGCCGCGATCGTGCTGAGAACGACCTTTTCCATGGCCTCTAGACATGTTATCGGGTTCAATTTTGAGCAGAACCTTGTCTCCCACAGTGGTTTCAAACATAAATGCCTTCTCGGGGGCTACCGGTTCCCACTTTACAATCTTTGCCGCATCGACTTGCCTAGAGCCTTTCCGAATAGCAAGAACAACAAGTGGTGTTGGATCTTGAGTTGAAATTTGTGTATCCGTGATAGGCGCCACGCGAGCAGCCCAGATCCGATCTTCATATTTGGCGAAACCGGTGACTTGCCATGTCACTTTCTTGCCTCGCCCTCCAACCTTTCTGACGAGGTCCTTTTTGGGAAAGTACGGGGCGATGAGGATGCTGGAAGCAAGCAGACGAACTTCACCTGAGTCGATCAGGTGCGGTGTAGTATTGACAAGGGAAATCAAGCGTGAGGAATCTGTCTGGCTGATCAAATAGCCAAAGTAGAGGAAATGATCCACGATCTTCATTCGCTTGTTGACCGAGCGTGAGGGGTTTGGGCCACCAGTTTCGACCGCGTGGTTATGACGATTCACCGCTCGTTGCACGACCTCCACTTCCATCTCGGGGTTCAAGGTCGCTTTCAATTCGCAGACATGAATGACCTCGGCCGTGATCGGCTTTCGAGGTGGTGGGGGCTGGTCTGCAGGATGTGAAATCAGACTCTTGTTGACTCTTTCGAAGAATTCGCGGAAGCCTTTGACGTGTTTGGGTCTGTCCTCATAGATGCGAATCTCATCCGCATTCTTGTACGTGAACGCGACTTCCTTGAGAAACTCTTGCTTGAAGGACATGGTTGATTCAAATCGCTGGCCTGCCGGACCCACTTCAGGTTTCAGCACGACCAGATCGAAGTTGAGCTTTTTGGCATTCAAAATCCGGTTGACCAGTTCTGCAAAATTTGTCTCCCCTCTTCCGGTCAATAGCACGGTCAAAACATCTTTTGATTGCATGCTTAGTTCCACAAGTTGAACCACGGTCTCATTCCAACAACCTTCCCAAGCTCGGGGCTCCTCTTTCTCTATCCCTTGCCCAGTGGCAGCCAAGATAGTCGAATCGTGCCACCAGCCTCCATATGCGAGGACTTCATACGCTTGTAACATGCCTATGGCTTGCGACTGCCATACTTGAGGGTTCGGCAGGGGACTGGAGAAGAGGGTATTGTCAAAGTCGTAGATATGAATGCCCTTGATCGATGCGATGTCTGCAGTGTTACCGCTCTTGCAAGACCACCGATTGAGGCTGTTGAGCGAATAAGTGGTCCTCATGGTCGATGTTGACAAAGAGAAGTCAATCGGCAATGACTAGGGCTGGATGGAGTGGGAGGGAAGGGACGATGTCATTGTCATCTGGTGGAAGACGTGTCCTAGGGGAAATCCGGTGCGAATTGCTATTGCTGAAATTCCACCGAACACGAAGAGAGGTTTCATAGACGCAGCCTTATGAATTGAAGAACCGCCAATAGTCCAGGTAAGAATGGACAATGCGACATTTAGTGGCTGCCGAAGTTGGAGCATGTGCTAGTCCCAATATGAATTAGTGCAAAGCTCACCCTTTAAGTTTTTGCGGTGCGCCGGAGTGACTCCATGAGGCCTCAAGTCATGGCTGCATACGAATATAACACCAAGTATAATCTACGAGTCAAATTTCCGAGTTTCCATTCTTCCATAGTCCAAAATATATGTAATTGCGCTAGGTGTCTTTGTTTAGGGTATGTATATGTAGCATTCGTGCGAGGGAAATGCTCCGGATCGAACGCCTAAGCAGATCAGCTCATGTTATATAAGGAAGTTCTCTAGCGTCGTCGTCCTCTTCAATCCACCCAGTAGGCTGCCGAGCCTCTTGCGGGATATCTTCGACGTAAAGATCATCATATCTCTCTGTAACGTCAGTCAGCAGCTTTCTGAGTATCCTCCAGGCTCGGTATGCCGAGAAGGAATTCTCGGTCATACACCAAAGATACGCCATTGCCTTGCGCAAATAATTGACCACCTCGTTGCTTTCATTGGGGAAATGCTGACTATCAAGTGAGAGTTCCAGCAGCAACACCCCGGCAGCCTGTGCTATGTAATGAAGGAGAGCCCAGAAAGGGAGTAGTTGATATGCCTCGTGCGCGCTCGGATTGTCTGGCATTACGGCCAACATGGACATGGCGGCATGGACGCATGCTCGAGCGCAGCTGCGATTAAACTCCTGAGATCGTACAGATTCATTTTCGATGACGATTTCGCATAGACAATGTCTATGCAGTATCATCTGAACACTGTGATAATACATCGACAGTTCAATTTTAACCCTTGGGTCCGAATCTGTTGGAGTCTTGCTTTGAATGGCAAGATCATCAGGCAGATTCTCAACCCAATGTCGAAGCTCAGTTTGGAGTTCACCAATCTTTCGCTGAATCTCCGCCCATGACATCTCCGAATGTCCAGAATATAGCTCCGATGCGATTTTGTCACTCAGCCGACACAGAAGAAGTCTTTGCGGAAAATGTGAGACCGGTGAGTTTCGTCCCACGGTGGCGAAATTTTTCCACGGAATCACACCGCCAGTCATCCCTTGTGGAATGTCTCTATCTGTGTTCAAGAAATCCAACCAGAACTTCCGGGAATTCGACGAAGATTCCGAACTGCTCAGCCTTCTCGAGGGCGTGACGCTTGGATCATCGAGGTTGCGGAAAGCATCCATTGGTATTGTCGCATCTGACAGCGAGACTGACTTCGGACGTCCTGTTACTTCAGCGATGAGGACTTCCAGACTGTACAAAGAATACCAGGTACGTGCCCGCCTATCCTTCTCGTCATCTCTGGTGCTAGGGTCACCTATTCTGAGATGCATTCCAAGTGCGGTGGCGTGGCGTGTAGCCTGTCCCAGGGTGTTCCATGATCTGATGGGTTAGTTTGTGGCACTTGAACACGAAATCGATCTGAACTCACCTGGCGATTGATCCATTGATGAACAGGTAGAAGGCAAGAATACCCATCGCCTGGACGCGTTCAATGTCCGGATGATCAAACATAATCCGGTGGTCGAGTCCCAGTCTCCTGGCTCTGGCATAGTAGACCAGGTGGGAGTCAGAACGGTAAATGTGGTCCAGCTTTGACATTTGCAGCCACTTTGAGCCAATAGCCCACACAAGATTCGCTAGCGCAAGCCAGCGGCGCTGACTCCATTCGAGTGGTACATCCTGTTGTGGGAAAGAGTGAAGTGTAGTCAGGAAATGATCCCGGCCCACGAAATGAAAGGCACCTTGCAAAGCATGGAAGAATGCTTCGGATAGTATTACGGCGGTTTCGAGGGGTGGCCGATCGATCTCACCGATATGATCTTCATCGATAGCTAAAACATTGTGATCGTCCATAAAATAGTTACAATCCTGCGTCGTTGAGAATGGGTGGTCAATTTCTGGGCGGACTGCGCGGTCGCCTCCACGCGGTGGATCGGATAAGTGCTCCCATGCCCGCTGGATCCAAGTGATCTCTGACATTTTACCTACATATCCCGAGGCACCTTTCCCAGAGTCCAGATTCACGACCATGGCCAGCTCATCTTGCCTACCAGGGGATCCAACCTTTGACGAGACGCCATGCTCTCCGGAGATTTGATCTTTGCGGGACCCCTGTAGATGTACGGTCGTATCATCCGTGCCAGTGGTCGGTCGAACGCTCTCCCTCGTCGGGCTAGGCCTGCTTTGCGCCCAACTGCTTGAGCTTCCCTGGCTTTCCTGTTGTTGCTCTTGTGACGAGTACTAGTTCCTGAGCATTAGCGGAAGGCATTGCTACTGAAGGAGATTGCCAAGACAAACCTTTGATAGAATCTGAACGATATTGTCGTGCTCCGATGGCTGAAAGCTTGGACTTGTGGCCAGCGCTCGGAGTGCACTCAACAATTGTTGATTTTCCCCTTCTAACACATCTATTCGCTCGAGGCTCTCGACCAGATCTCTGTAAAAGGTCAGATCTCTGGGGCATATTCCGACAGGTCGGCTACACAGACTTCTTATTTCTCTCTCTCTTACGGTCTCCGTATGAGCAGTCGGCATCGTCCTTGGTGCACTTGACACAACGATCGCCTCCCGTGCACTTGGTGCGCATCAAGCGGCACCGATCACAGGCATGGGAAGTGCGAGACTTGGAAGACAGTGAAGGAGTACTCATAGACAATTGAGGCAATATCGGCCCTTGCAGTCTGCGTTCTGCATAACTTGAGCCAGGAGGTCGAGGGCCGAGGTCGGGTAATTGCGAGGACGACATGCTAGCAGGAGCTATATCAAACTACCGTACACAACGTGTCCTGCTTGATCATCGGGGCACGGATGGTGGTTCTTGTATGCGACCCAGACAGACGAAGACTATGGCAATGATTCCTTTGCTGGACGAGCCACGGCGGAGGGTTGACGTTATAGGATTCGAGAATAGGAGTGAACTTGTCGTTGACGAAATAAAATCCGGAAGTGCAATATTCATGTCTGTCCCAGGAGGCGGCATTGGGAGAAGGGAAAAGTGGGATATGGTATGTCGGTTAGTGCCAATACACAACCTAATGGGAGACAAGATGACGACCTATTGTACGGGGAATTGGCACGCTCCAACGGTCTGAGTAGTGTCAACCCATCAGAAGAATTCTGATTCGGTCAGACTCGCGTGGACAACGAAACGCGCGTGGCGGTAGGAAATTAGACTTTGGGATAGCCGGAAGATGTTTCCGGAGTAAAATAGTGTCATGACCACGTCGACCAGGGATCGGAGCGGTGGATTGGAGTGCAAGAACATGATGATCGAGGGATTTTGAATCCACATGGCAATTTCTGAAGATTCGACGGAATTCCATGTCAAGAATCGAATCCTGATGCCTTCGGTCGAGGATCGTCCAATGGAAATGTGATACAGGAAGGTAGAGACACGCAAAATGAGGGAGCACGGTAAAATCTGTAGCGGTCCTCGGCACTGGGATCGTCGGTTTTCTGCAGAAGTCTTATTGTGGAGACCGTGAGTGACCATCTAGCTGATACTTTGTACTTCATATCTGGGCACGAGCGTGTCGATCGGCCCCTTTTTTCCTTCCAACGACGAGAAGCTAGGGATCAAATTCCAGACGTTTTAATTGGTACGATAGATGGTGGGATCCTAAAAAGAGCCATAGCCCCAGCAGGAAGGGCCTACCAGAAGAGCTGGAGTTGCATCCGAGGGCAAAATACTATTGGTACGGACGAGGTGAGGTGTGGAAGTAGTAGTGCTGGATATGTAGGTAATGATAGTAGGTAAGCAAGCTTCTGGTGAGGAGGAGCTACGGTGAGTCGTAGCTTTTGACAGGCAAGAGTGACGTGGGTCACATGAAGTGCACCCCAACGTCATCACGTGCTCTAGAGGGGCACTCCCTCATGTTCCTGACTGCGGGGGACCTGCTCGCCAAATGAAGCTCCACTCCGTCAACAAAAAGAAATCCCATCACAGAAGCCTCACGCACTTTGCCCCTGTAACATACACATAGCATAAGGACAACTCTCCTTAGCTACCACTTCGTTATTTCCCTGCTCCGGAGATCTCAACATCTCTGTTTTAGACGTACTCTAGCAAGCGGCTCCAGTTATCCCCAGGACCGACCCAATGGCAAAGGTCGATCAGAAAGCCGTCCTCAGTATGCTGCCAATACCGGACCTTCTCGCTGTGAAGAATGATTTCTAACGGCACATCTAGTTGTCATCGATGGCTGGGGTATACCATCAGAGAAATCCCCACCAGAGGGAGATGCCATTGCTGCAGCAGAAACTCCTTACATGGACGGTTTCGCAAAAGAAGGATCCGATACTGCACAGGGTTACACCGAGCTCGAAGCTTCGTCTCTAGCAGTCGGGCTTCCGGAAGGGCTTATGGGCAACTCTGAAGTCGGTCACCTAAACATCGGGGCTGGAAGAGTCGTGTGGCAGGATGTTGTTCGGATTGATCAAACCATTAAAAAAGGCGATTTGAATAAAATCAAGAACGTGACAAGTACCTTTCAACGAGCCATCGATGGTAATGGAAGACTTCACTTTCTCGGCCTTGTCAGTGACGGTGGTGTGCACAGCCACATTAACCACCTGTACGCCCTTCTCCAAGTTGCAAAAGAGTACAAGGTACCCCAGATCTTCATCCATTTCTTCGGTGATGGGAGAGATACCGATCCCAAGAGTGCTGCGGGATACCTGCAGCAACTGCTCGACAAGCTTCAAGAGCTCGGGGTGGGAGAGCTCGCTACCATTGTTGGCCGCTACTACATCATGGACCGGGATAAGAGATGGGACCGTGTCGAGATTGGCATGAAAGGTATTGTCGTGGGAGAAGGAGAAGACTCGAGTGATCCTGTGGCCACGATCAAGGCTAGGTACGAAAAAGGTGAGAACGATGAGTTCTTAAAGCCCATCATTATTGGCGGCGATGACCGCAGGGTCAAGGACGGTGACACTTTATTCTTCTTCAACTATCGATCCGATCGCGTTCGAGAGGTAACTCAGCTTCTCGGGGACTATGACCGATCTCCAAAGCCTGAATTCCCCTATCCTAAGGATATCTCCATCACGACCATGACCCAATACAAGACCGACTATCCCTTCCCCATCGCATTCCCTCCACAGCACATGGGTAACGTCCTTGCAGAGTGGCTGGCCAAGAAGGGCGTCAAGCAATGCCACGTCGCGGAAACCGAGAAGTATGCACATGTGACCTTCTTTTTCAATGGTGGAGTGGAAAAGCAGTTTGACCACGAGGAAAGAGAACTGATCCCATCCCCCAAGGTCGCAACATACGATCTCGAGCCTCCAATGAGCGCCCAAAAGGTGGCTGACAAGCTCAGCGAAAGAATTTCGGACAACAAGTTCGAGTTTTTGATGAACAACTTTGCCCCTCCAGACATGGTCGGCCATACAGGCGTGTATGAAGCTGCGATCAAGGGCGTGGCTGCCACAGATGCCGCCATTGGATCCGTGTATGAGACTTGCAAGAAAGAAGGTTATATACTATTTGTTACGTCCGATCACGGCAACGCAGAAGAGATGCTGAACGAGGAAGGTAAACCAAAGACCTCTCACACCACCAATAAGGTGCCCTTTGTCATGGCAAACGCGCCTGAAGGATGGAGTCTGAAGAAGCAGGACGGAGTCCTCGGGGATGTTGCACCTACCATTTTGGAAGCGATGGGGCTGGACCAACCTGAAGAGATGGGCGGCACGAGTCTCTTGATCAAGAAGTAAGTGGACGCTGTCGAACCATGCACTTACTCATCAACTATTGCTTTGAAACCAACTGAAAGCCTTTCGGGGAATGAATGTTTTGGAATTGCTTGCTTGTAGAACTAGAGACGTGAGCTGATGACATGACTAGACGAAAGGCAAGCACACTGGACCTGGAAGCAGAGAATTAGAGATGTCTTCAAATGACAGACCGCAATAAGAATACATTGAACGAAACATGGAACCCCTATCGGCCACACTTTAAAAGTTTGGTTGAAATGCCTACATTGAAATCTAGACTAGTCACACAACCTCTCGAATGGTCAATCGTTCTCAGTCAACCAAGTCAGTGGCAACTTGCAAGGGTCTTAAACAAAAGCGTGAGAGCACCAGCCAGACAAATACTCTGCCTTGGACAGACGTCGGTCAAGAAGCGAGATTGCATGCTGGGTATTCTCAAAGAACATCCGACGAGGCTTTTGAGGGGGAATAAGCAGGTGATGTGAGGTGGTTGGCACGTGACTTCGCTTAACCTGCCCAGCTATGTCGGCTCACTTACCCAAGCTTGTTGCATCATCGATTTCCTCTTAATTATTGCTCCCTTCACATGCGCTTCTGTCTCCGGAATTAAAGGGCTTGCCTGTTTTCCAACCTCCAACTTTCAAGGTGACCTGGCGCTTTACCAACTCCGCGAAGATTCCATCTCCTCCACTCCTGCCCGATTGTTTCATTTACCCAGGTAGAGGGTTCACATCCAGCATGAGTCGGATGCAATGAAGGACGCCTTTGTCCGAGGCATCAGCAATGTCTCCAAATTCTCTGCGTCTGCACAGATGTCTACCATCATGCAGAGACTGCATATCTCTGTCGACCAGACCTTCCGATACCACCTTCCCAACCGGTTACCAACCTTATGTCGCTCAATACACACGGTGACCAGGCTGCGGTTACCCCGGGAGCCAATTCCATATTTACATATGCCAATACCATCCGAAACTCCATCGTTCTCTAGAAATTGGTCCACTTGGTCGACGGGGCCCAACTCCTCGCGACCTACAACACAACAAATATTGGCAAGCACTCGGAGAGATGGCGCACTTCTGTCCAAGTGTGTCGATGTCGCTCTTCGGCGACCAATACCTTCATTCCTGCCATCTCGCGCATTCCATTCGTGTGGTAGGCACTCCGATAAGACCTTGGACGGGCAGAAAGGAGAAGGACCAAACCAACAGCCGGAAAAACCTGGCATTGTGGATCCATCCAACTCACATAAACCTCCTCCCGACCAAGCTGGGGCTCAACAGCCGTCCCACCAGGAGCACTTCTACGACCGCATTCATCTGCCGCAATTTCACCGTCCGACCAAGGAAGAGCTACTCGCAGCCGCAACGGGATTCTGGTCGAGAATGAAAGTCCGATTCAAGTGGCTGACTATCAAAAGCAGTCGGCCGTTCAATGTGGACGAAATCGTGGGGTTCATCTCCTGGATCGCGCTGGGCCATGTCATCTGGATCGTGATCGGGACCACGACCTTTGTTTCACTCGCTATCCTGGCTATCAACACTGTGTTTGCACAAGAGACTCTAGCCGGTTGGATTGGTAATTATCTCACCAAGTCCTCCGGGCTCCAAGTGGTGTTCGAGTCCGCCATCGTACCCAAATGGGGCGATGGCGTCATCACTTTTCGAAACGTCTTCGTGTCGAGGAGGCCAGGACAACAAAAGTCAAAGATGAAGAAAGGGTCACCTGAAGCCGCAGCGCAAGCTCCTTCTCGTGAAGACCCAATACCTCCCGAAGAGCAAAACTACACTCAGTTCGATATAACTATCGGAGAGATTAATGTGACTCTGTCTTTCAACAAATGGTGGAATTCCAAAGGTCCCTTGCAGAATGTTGAAGTTAAACATGTCCGAGGAGTCGTCGACCGGACTCATGTGTTCTGGACCGGTGAAGAGCTCGATCCGAAATCTTATCGACATGAGCATAACCCTGGAGACTTCGAAATCGAGTCGTTCAAGATCGAGGACCTACTTGTCACAGTCCTCCAACCGCAAGATTTCAGACCATTTCCCATCAGCATCTACCATGCAGACCTGCCACGCTTGCGAAAACAGTGGCTCTTCTACGATTTCCTGTCTGCCAACAGCATGACTGGAGAGTTTGACCGTTCTCTCTTCACAATTCATCCTCGCCAGACACATTCCTATACTGGCGCGCAGCTCAATGACCCTGATGACCCGTCCAATGAGCCGTGGAAAAAACAGTCTCGTGTTCGTGTCGATGCATTAAACATTGATCATCTCAATAGAGGTGCAGAAGGCCCTCTTTCCTGGATTACTGAAGGCAATGTCGATATTGTGGCTGACATCATGATTCCCAATGACAGCGATGACTCCGTGATCAAAGTTATGACAGATTTTTATGAACGATTAGAAGAGACCTTGACTTCGAAAAAGCATCTAGAGGAACTACGCCATGACATGTCCCTTGTGACACCTTCTGTGGATGACGATCCAACTACACCACAAGCTCAAGGCATTCTTCGATCATTGGGACCAAAAGACGAGGACAAACGATTTCTTGTGATGGATCTTCGAATTCATCTGAATGATGTTCGCGCAGTTGTCCCTCTATTCACCCGTGATCTGAGTTACATCAATAACGCACTCATTCGTCCCATCGTTGCGTACATCAACTCCCGACGGACATTCATCCCAATTAACTGCCGTGTGGTGAAACGACAATCAGACTTTGATGGGAGCTGGACACTCTTCGACTCGGCTCTTCTTGACGATTTGTCGGCCGAGGTGTACGATGCTTTCGCAAGAGACGTTACAGATGAGCAAGCACGGTTGCGACGCTTCAAGAAAGTCGGTTTGTGGAGTCTGCAATTAGCGGCGCAGGCCATCTTCTTAGTGAGTACCACCTTCTCAAGTCCTCGTCTTGATGGAGAGGGTCTAACCGGATTTCTCTTGCAGGGAATGGCAGGCAACATGGCTTGATCTGTCACCTACTAACGCCGATAAATGATTTGACGTACACCAAAAAGAATCTTCGCTCAAAAAAGTCTATGTCTCTGCTTAATATATCACGGTATTGTAATATTCTCCGGCGGGAAACGGGTTGTACAAAAAAGTAATACAGCGTTATTGTGCTTTTAGATTCGATGATCTTGTGGCAGGCAGTGTGGCACGAGCGTTTTGGTGTATACCCTGTACGGTGTAGGGAGCTTGCATTCGGGTCGGACTATGGATTGGGATGGATGGGTGTTTGTCTAAGTCGGCCCTCTCTCCCCTTTTAAGGAGAAGGGCGCATGTTCCTGGCCTCTTGATGAGCCAGCGCTTGATCTGTATAGATCAGCGTGCATGAATATCAATTCATATTCGATATCCAGTGTGTCACATCCCGTCATGGTGCGTTCGTTGTTCCCGACAACTTGATTCGTGAATCAGCCACACAGCAAGACGACCATCCATCCCTTCGGAATCTACGCCCAGCACGAAGAACATTCCATCCATCCACAGTATACAGCTGAACCATGTCCAGCCACACCCATGTCAATTACATAGTATGTTCGCATCGTTTACCTGAACTGGACGGATTTGAAGTGGAGGCAAGACAGTCCATGCTTCTCACTTTCACTCGCCGCATAATTTGAACAGCCAGTGGAAAGCTCATGATCATGTCAAGAGCAAGGCTCGTTTTGTACAGTTTCTTTCATTATTGGATTCTGGTATCAGCGCTAACTTGACAAGCTAGAAATATCTGTGGTATATAGTGGTTGATGACGGGTGGGCCAGGCATGCTATGCTGTAGGCAGTTCCTCTCGTCCATGATTTTTTTCGCAAGTCTCGTCCGTCCGCAACGTAACATAGTAGTAATGGCTAGATCTGAAAGGCAGATCTGAGTCAGATTTGCCATGATCTGCGTTCCTAGGATCTTCGCCTCGGGTTCAATCCCCCCTTTTCCGCAGAGCCATCGCTCTCGAAAAAAGCAATAAGTATATTCCTCTCATTCGTTATCCTGTCCTACCTCCACCACTCAATCCACAATACGCGACCTAATTCGTTCGGAAATTCAGCGGACCTTGAGCGTGTCTCAGCTTTGCGCCGAAGAACTGCAGGAAAATTACAATCAGGAATGCGGCGCCCATGATGCCGGTCTGGATGCCGTATTCTGTCTGTGTGCCGGCTTTGGCGGCCCAATTGAGTTGGATGTATCCGACGATGAAGCCACCTGGTTTATTGGTGGTGTACATGTTAGCATTGGTAACGTTTGGGAACAATAAGATGGATATCGGGGTCTCCAATCTGCGAGATTGACGAGCTAACTTACCGAGTGTACGTGAAAAGTTGATCCAGGCTGCGCATTCGCCACCAGCTTCGGGATATGAATCGAGGAGGTAGGCGCCGACGGCTGTGGTGGTTACAATGGTCGCAAAGTTGTGCATGGCCCAGCCGATGGCAAGAACCCACCAGGACCAGGTTTGCGCATTGTGAAGTGTCACCCCGATGAGGTTGTATCCGATGATCTTCAATGGGAGAATCAGGTACAAGATGATTAGACGGTTCTCGGGCTCGAGTCTTCCGTTGTGGTATCTGGCATATAGTCTCCCAATGAGATCGAACAGGAAGTGCCCTACCACAAGGCCAAGGACTGCACCCACCACTGGAGCAGTGTAGATGGCCGCCAGGTTGCGGAAGTTGAAGTTATATGCTGGCACGATCAAGACGGAAATGGTCGTGTTGTTCGCGATGGTCCATGGGACTATCAAGGAGTCAGCAGTATTCAGAATGAGTTCCACCTTTGATGGAACTTACAATCAAAAAAGTAGAAGAGGCAGATCAAGAACACTGGTAACTTGGTGGCGGTATATGCCAAACGACTTCCGGCTTCCAAAAAAGTGTTAGTGGTATAGTGAGTTCGAGCCTGTTCGACGCCCACAACTCTGAGCAGTCGGTTTTTGCGAGGTGGGACCTGTTCCTTGGGAAGATGACGTGGGTAGAAGGTCTCGTCTCCAAAGGCCACAATCAACGCGACTCCTAGCATGATGATACCGAAATTCAACCACATGCCAGTTCTCCAGCTGTCCACACTGATGATTGCAGCCATAAACTGCGGCCCCAGGAAAGGTGACAAGATGATCGCGGTAGACCAGATATTGATCTTTCGTGGACGTTGATGGAAAAAGAAGACATCATTTATCCACGATAGTCCACTCGCGGCACCAGCGACGCAGAAGGTTCCGTTCAGAATTCGGGAAGCCATATAGGACTCAAAGCTTTTGGCCGCCGCTGACCAGGCGGCAGTTCCTGCGGACAAGCAGCTGAACCAAAACAGAACTGGCAACCGTCCGAAGTAGGCCCCAAGCCATACGGTTGCGAGGCCTCCAATCCCGAGCATGAAAGTATTTCTATTCTTCTGTGAGCACCTGTAGGCTAGAACAATTGTAGGCAACTTACCCAGCGGTAGCATGGTTGACTTCATCGGGCGAAATGTGCCACTCTTGGGCTTGAGGAAGCAGTGCGCTGGCACCTGTAGCAGCAGAGTAATCTGCAGTACAGGCATTGACGGCAAGGACCACCAGAATAAGACCCTTCTTCAAGGGGATCCAATTGTATGGGTCTGCCGGGTCATCTGTTGGCTGAGGGATCAAGACGACACCTTTCTTTGACTTCTTCAAGGACACATCTGCCCCGAGACCAAGTTGGTCTCTAAGTTGAGCTTCATCGAGTACGTAGCCTTCGGTCTCACCCACACGCTCAAGATCTACGGTGGTTGGATGGGTGACCGGCTTTTCGCCTTCCACTGGCTCTGCACTAGAGACTGAATGAGCAGATGGGGTAGGTGGCTTGAGGTTGGAGTTGTCCTCTCCTGAGGTTTTGGTCGCCATTGTGTTGTTTGTTTCACAGGAACAAATGAAGAAGACAAGAAAGACAGAGGAATGATGGGGATATGAGCAAAGAATGCTCAAGAAGAAGTGACAGTCGAAGGGAGAAGGGGGAGACCATTAAAATAAGAGTGACTCAACTTGTGGCTCACCTTGCATGCATGGTCGAGAGTGTTCTGTCTGAGTAGGTTCGTGTTCCAACTTCCAATGTCAACGCTTACCTCAATGTAAGAAATCCTAGAATACTCGTAAGTGGGTCGGGAAATTGTTGAATCGACAACGAATGACAATCGGGTTTATGGTTACTCGACTTCTCCAACGAGCGTGCTCGTTCTCAATTTGGTACCCAACCTCCAGGGATGGCCCACTAGATCAGCAGCAACCAGACCAGGTGCGATATCCGTACGAGTTAGGGTCTCAATCAGAAAGTTACGATGCCACTGGGACATCTTGAGTCCGGGAAGGGCAATTAAGGACACTTCACTCAAGGTAGGTTCAGGAGCCTTGTAAAAATTGACAAACCCGGGGTGATGCTAGCATCGTCTGGTTGATGGGGGCGTTCCCTATGATGGCCAGGGATTCAGGGGCATTTGGGTGGCGAAAATAATGGGTACTGATTTGACAGAAAGGACGTGCCAGGTGTAGAATAGAGGAAGCAAGGAGGGCCTCAACTACCCTCATTGGCCTAGTTTGGCGGACATCGGACAAGGTTAAAATGTTGCTAATCCTAGACAACGCGAGCTGGACCCATCAGGCTGACCTAACTTCGCGTCTTACGAAGTACAAGTCCAGTCTCGTAATGTCCGTTCCACAGAAGCTTGTCGGACAGAAGAATGGGCAATTGCGGTGTGGAAGAGACCAGTGGCAATGGCAGGACTGAAAGCTGAGCGTAAGTTTCCCGTCGAGGGGACAACAGGGACTTTGTGAGATCATGATGCAGTGAGCGAAGGTTCATCTGACACGTTGCGTTCTTCCTTCAGCAAATACGGCTGCCAACGAAACTTTGGAAGTCATGTAGTGCTCCAGACGTGTATCCATAGTGTTCTCGCAGGTCCGAATTACTGAGGGGACCGATAGGAAACTTGCCGGTTTCGCGCTACGGGAAATTCATCGAATTGATCGGCGAGGTACTGAGTAAGCACAGTCATTTACCTAGGTAGTAGGTATTTGTTGTTGAATTCTACTTGCACAACGTAACCACCTGCTTGTAGTCATAAATATCACTTGCTGGATTATCAAAATGAGACATATCCCGAGGTATTAGGGTGGTCATTTAAACAAGCTCTAGAGCTTAACGAAGATCGACTCTAGTTAAGTCTAGGCAACAACCATGCCCGGAAGGGTAGCTCGCAGCTCCACACCCCGGTTTATCTCCCGTAAAAAGTCTTGTTTCATCTAAAATCTGGTCGCTGAACATCCTTCTACTTGGTCGAGACTCGATGCAAGATCAGATTCAATCCTGCCTCAGGTTCAGATACACCTCGCAGAGAGCACCAATCCATCCAACAAGGAGAGCTGCACGCCCCAGACTTTCATCCCCGGGGTTATGACTCCTCTTTCCCCAGATTTCATGCGTCTAAGCGAGCGCTTGCAGCGACCGGATGTAGGTAACTTGGTACTGTCCGTCGTCTTTGCATACATTCCCCTCAGATATACAGCCAAGTCTTCTTGCTGGCTTCGTCAACTACCAGAAACGGCAATATCCAGTGAGTCGATATGAACGTGCATCGGACAGGTACCCAAGCACACCAGGGCCGCAACCCGATTGTTTGTCTTGGAATTCGGATCTAGGCTCTCTTCGCCATTAACTACTGTCGTTGCCAGCAGCACAGTAACCAGTTTGAGTACTGTAGAATGAGAAGCCGTTGCCGCTGGTCACGTCGCACATTAGTACCCAGGCACGCCTCGCTCCGAATCCATCAATTCGGAGCTTTTGATCACATGGCTCTCCTAGATCTCGTGTGCACAACATCTGGCGCACTGTGCTTCAATGGCTGCGGCCAACAGGCTATGTAGAAGTGGCGACTAAATTCTACTTGGGCCAGTGGCTGCATGGTGCACTTTCCTCTCACCACGATGCACCATCGCAACTTGACTAACAACGTGTCACAAGCGACAGTCCATTTTTGGCAACACATTGGCACAAGCCCTGTGATCGACTCAGGCCTATCTAGCTGGAGCACAGACTTGTCCGCCTCCCCCTCGAAGTCATTTTGACCAACACACCGTGTTCTGGCAAGTACGGCATACTTCAGAATCAAGTGGAATACCACTGTGTGATGACTTACCAGACGACTTGCTCAGCTTCTCACAGAGTGCTTACGTTCGCCGGGGCTCTCGTTCGATCGGGAGCTCAGCGGATAAGGCTTCAAAGGATGTACTAACTAAGTCGTCCCGTTGACATGCTACCACCATTGCTGGCACATGGTATTGGCGAAGTCAGCTGGATGTCCTATTATTGTACCGTGTGTTTAGGGCCATCTTTTGATGGTGGTCCTACAGTTTCGTCTCTCAAATTGCGAGTGGTTCGGCCGTTTCCAGACCCTTACCAACATCATCATAGGTTACGCATTGATGTGTACACATTGATTATGACCATTAAGAAAGCTCACACTATGTCAGGCCCGACTCGCGAATCAGCACAAACCCAGAGACCCACAGACGATTCAACATTCTCATATCCTAAATACCAAAAGCATCGCCCACGGTGCGCTTCATCCGTTCTCTGATTTCTTCCTCCGTGTACTTATCTGCCCCTTTACCTGTTAGATTTCTGAACGACCACATTCGTCTCGCAGTCTGCTTGGCCGCTCCAGCGCTATGGCGCTGTTGTACCGATGCCGCTGAGCTGCTATCGAAGCTAGTCATGGACGTGGAGCTGCTGTTCGTGATTGCGCCGGAACTGTCCGAAGATGACTGCCGTGAGTGCAGGCTGGGAATGACGATGAATTTATGGTCATCGTGCTCGCTTGGAGAAAATCCGGACTGCGCAGACAATACTCCTTCCCCCGGCATTGATTTTTGAAACAATGGAACTGAGCTGGTTGCATCGGCGGCTTGCTGCGCCTCACCTGACAAGTATATCTTGGGAATCGGTGGCACGGGTGGAGTGGCGTTGAAGCGTCGGGAGTGATGGATAGGAGATGTTGAAGCCTGCTCATCGAGTGGACTCAGTGCTCCCGACATTGTGAAGTCTCCTTGATATGCTGGGGCTTTTGTGACGGGAAACGATGGGCAATCGAGGCCCAATTGCGGATGGCTGCCGCCTGCTGTCCATCTCTGAACGGGCCCCGTACTTGCTAGAGCGCTTCCCAATGTCATAAATTCCCAAGCCTGGTTCTTCTCGGTTTGATTGGCCCTCTTTCCACGGTTGCCTGCACTGATAACCTCACCAGGAGCCAAACTCTGCAGTAGGGTCTGTGATTGCTCAGCTAGCTCCACGAAGGACCGAGAAGGCGACTCCGTGACACTGGATGCTGGCGATGGCTCTGAAACAGCGAAAGGCCCGATGGTCATTGCAATATCCTCAGTCAAACCAACGACTTCCTGATGGTTGTCAATGGCCTCCAACATCAATCGGCTATTCTCCAAGAGCATGTTCTGACGTCGCTCCAGAAGATAGTCGTACCAGGCGCGGTCAGTGGTCACATTGGCCAGCATATCTCGAAACTCATGTTCGTATCTGGCTTTGATCTCTGCAAGTCTGCTTTCGGCAGTCCGCTCAAGTATCCCAATCTCCATCGTGGCATTTTGGTTCAATGCCGCAATCTCGGACACGAACCGCTTGTCGATTGCCTCAAGTTTTTGGTCTCGCTGCTTCACAAGTTCATCGCGTAGTCGTTGCTCTCGGGCGTCCTTGTTCGGCTTGCCCTGGAGATGAAGCTGGATCTGAAGAAACATGTCGTCTTCTGTTTGCTCCGACTCTTTCTCGAATGCCGTTAATATTGACTGGCGTTTTTCTCCAATGCTGGCGGTTCGTCTCTCAATGTTCGCCTCCATTTTGGTGACAAGATCCTTGCTCCTCTGCTTCTGTCTTGTGGTTTCCACTTCACAGGCTTCTGCGTGGGTTTGCTCCGCGAGAAGGTGTCTGCTATCGAGTGTGTGTTGCTGCGACTGCCGGAGTTCTGCAAATGCTGTCCGTAATAATTCTATCTGCTCGTCAACCGAGATTCGAAGGACACGACGGCATTCTATCTCCTCTTTTTCTTTCTCGAGTCTCTTCCGCTCCTCTTCTTCCAGTCTCTCCTGTTCCAATCGTCGCAGTTCTTCTTCTTCTTTCAATTTCTCAGCCTTGAGCCTTTCTTCCTCCTTAAATCGTTCTCGTCGAAGCGTCTCTGCTTCTCTTAGTCGCTCCTCTTCCTCACGCTGCTCCAGGGCCTCGACCTCTGCGATGGCACGAGCAATTTCCTCAGCTTCCATGGTTGCGATCGCTTCTTCCATTTCGGTCTGATGTCTTCGTTGTGCAATGTGCTGCATTCCTTCCATATCCGTGCATTTACACGTCTTCCATTTCTTGCCACAATAATAGCAGAATTGAGAACCACATCGACACGCCATGTGTCGACAGCCTTCAGTACGCTGCAAAAACATTAGCCCAGGATAAAGTGGATTAGGGTTCGTGGTGAATACCTCGACCATAGCACGACATTTGAAACAACGTCGCCAGCCCTCCGCCTCAGCAAGAGACAAGGTGGCTTCAAGACCATAGTCCTGTGGACATTCTTGCGATCGCCGATGTGATAGACCACGACACGTGACACAGATTCTCGTGGAGCAATGGCCGCATCTCACGGCGGAACTCATGAAACGTGAAGCTTTTCTCGGAGGTATCCACTTCAAGCACTTGCTGTTGGGACAATACCATCTCTCCTCAACTGGCACGGCGTACTCCGCAGCCTTGTCTTTGTAGGTCTCTCTTTGTTTCCTATCAAGCGATAGCAAGACAGTCTGCAGCGGTATCTCTGTGAGACAGCATTTTGGTGGGAAGCTGGACTCGTTTCGAAGGGCTGTCAGCACCACTTCCTTCAAGCACTTCCGACAGTATGAGTGACTACAAGGAAGAACCGGTGTCTCACTGAGAGGAAATTCTTCAAAGCAACTGACACATTCGACCTGGGGTGCCTTCTTCGTCGAGGTTTGTGTTCTGTCATCCTTTTCAGCCGTCGGGTTGAAGGTGATGATCAAGTCTAATGTTGATGTAAACAACCCTTGTCCTATACTGTTGTGATGCGCGTGTAGTCGTCGTTTATGGGGTCCAGATGGCTTTCCCACGGCCGCCAAGGGGCCGAGCGAATTTAAATCATATTTATTGTCGCTAATGGTTGACTCCGTTGGCAAGCGTTCACTGGCAGCCTCAGCATGTTCCGCGCCGTGCTGAGTGATAATCAGATCTTTGACTTCGTCATCAGCCTTTTGTTGGGGCCTGGTGGGTGATGATGGTAGAGGCTGTATCAAAGACCAGGTGAGAATTTCCTTGAGTTTAACTGGGAGTACGATCTCGTCCGGGACGATTTGTAGCTCAGCAGGTACTTTTGATTTATGCCAGTCATATCTTGGTTGCAACTTGTTTTGTGCTTTAAAGGCTCTCCAGGGCTGTAGATGGATACAGTCTTTAGGCTCTGAAACTTCAGTGTTCATTTCAGCCATTTGCAACTGAATTCGGACGCTTGAGACGAGCAGGAGCAAAGACGCTATGCAGAGTAAAAGCTCTTGTAACATCGAAGGAGGAATAACATTGAGGAAAAGGCAGTCGGGCCATGGAAATATTGGGTATTGGGGTAAGGCTGGGCGGACTGATGGACGTGACACTGCCTCGAGCCAGCAAACGCACAGCGGGGAGTTGACCAAAGCATCTGGACGCCAAACAACTTTTCGTTTCTGAGTCAAAGTTGTACAGACCCTACACACATAGCACTGATCTGCAAATATGCCTGGCGCGGCAGAGTCAGGGCATTTCAATAGTCAATTTGTGAATCCACGGCAACCTAGGCACTCAAGTGGAGGAGTATAAGAGTTGGTGTAAGTCCACGGCTGTTCTTCCTGGTTTCCCCGTTAACGGTCAGTCCCAGAAGATCAGCCGTCCATCTCGTGATCGACGCCTTGCATGGCTGTGCAAGAGGGAAACACTTAGGCATCGAGCTTAGCAAGCGAGCAAGTGCCTACGTATTAAAGAAACACGATAGCCTATGCCGAAGGCTTAAAACGCCAGTCTTCACTAGATACTGGGACTGGCTCCTTGCGCCATCACAAGGCTGATACACAGTGGAACAGCGAGTCAAGTTGAACCCTAGACGTATGTACCTTGCAACAAACAGGCGGCGAAGTTCTCCTGGCAGTTGGTAAGGCAGACTCGCCAAGCCTCAAGGAATCGGTCCACCGAGCAGTTTGTCCCAGCCGACCAAATCCCCAGTCACGTGGTCACGTGGAAGTTGTGATCGATACTCACTGATGGCCGTACCACAACACATCGTCATGCATGTTCTGTCTGCTCTGAGTTCATGAAGTACCTCGGTATTTCCATTGTTATGTAACTGAGTTGGAGTTGTGAAACTTTCTAGGCACCTCAGCATCGGAAAAATGGGCAAGCAGGGAGAGGGGCTTCCCGTGAGCAAGGATAGAAAAGAAGAAGTAGAATCGAATTTTGAAATGGTTTCATTGAGTCCTCTGCCTAGACTGCGCAAAAGAACTCCATTTTTTGGCACGCCTTCTGGAATAGCCGTCTGACTCGGGCTGCCTCCCCATAATGCAAATGCTTTCGGGGGGAATCTCCTTTTTGGAGACTGACCTTCGCCTGCCGTGGTCGTTGGTTTTCACATCTTGAACACATAACACGCAACGTGGAGGGGAAATCTATTCGTCATCCGACTCTTCGTCACCCTCAACAGCTGTCTGGGCGATTCGGTCCAAATCCCGCTGGCCGGCCTGTGTAATTCTTCGTCCGCCCTTTCCACTGCCAGCTTCCTCATCATCCTCAAGCTTCTCAACGATTCCCAACTTCTCTAGTGCTTGCACGACTTTGCGGTCAACTGAGCCGGAGGCATCAACATGATGCGATGGCCTTGATCCACGGTTCTTGGTGCTTCCATGGACTTTTCGGAGACGGCCAATACCAACAGACTTTCGTAGGTAGATATGTCGGGCAACGGCAGCCGCTCGTACGTAGAACCAGTCGGGAGATTGTGGGGGTAGTTCGTTGGAGTGGGAGGTCTTGACGGTATCAACCCAACCTGGAAAGCTAGTCAGCAAGCCGTTCTACAAAGGTTGCGTCGACGATCCAAAACGTCGATGTTCGATTACACATGGAAGTCAAGGGCGTTCGGAAGGAGGTCGAAAGAGGCGTGCATTTCGAGGGTTCAAGGAGATCTGACCTGGGATTTGAAGTTTGCCTTGTCTCTTCAGGAAATCTGCATATGCTATGATGAATTTTTGCGCCTAGATAATACCAACATGTCAGTAAGGTCCTCCTGTTGCAAAATTCGGTCTCAAAGCCTCAGTCTGCCCGCAGCTGGACACAAGTGTGATAGGCAAATTTCGAGGGTTTCTGTGGGAAGTTCGGTTCGTGGTTCGCACTCACATCGACATCTCGAACGGTAACACCACCCATGATTGCGACGATAGAGACTATACGGTCTCGCAATCAGATATGTGGTCGGAAAGAGAGGTTGTGGGGAGTTCGTGAAAGTGTCGTCGTTGTCTCAATCTCGAAGAGATTCGCAGTGTGGGCAAAAAATGCCTAGAGAATAATCCGTTCGGGGTTAGTGCATCAATATCTTGGCACATACAGATAGGGTCTAGCGCCTTTTGTCAGGCGAGTCTCAGCATTTTGAACATGAATGTTCCCAACTACTGGCGTTAGCTGCCTACGAGTACCTAGGTACGAAGTAGGGAGACTTCCTACATGATTATTAGCGCTATCTATATAGCAGCAAGCTATGCAATTGTCCAAGATTCTAGGAGTACCACGCTCTGGTGCAGCATTTCTACTGGAAACATAGAGCACCCAAACAGCATTTTCCTAGGAACGCCATTTTTCAGTCATTCTGATGGGAGATGTTAGCTATCGAGTTCGCAAACCAGTAATATTCATTGGCAATTGACCAGGAATCAACGAATTTGCGCTCTGATCGAAACGCAGTCGTTACCCAGTATCTCTGGTGCATCTTCAATGTCAACCACTAATATGTATACAGCGGCGCGCTTCCTGAGTCGCAACTTAGGTTTTGATGTCGAGGATGAGTCTGCGCCGATCCGTCGACAATACGGTCGCCTTTGCATTGATTACGACAGACATTTTGGGAGGCGAAGATGCACTAACAACTAGAGAGCGAGTATGGTCTTGTGGTGGAACTATCGGTGGGACCGGCACATGTGATGAGCTCCCTTGAAGATAGCAAAACACACAACCGCGCTGTTACTCGCCAATCTGGCGTCGAGGTTCGAAAGGACAAGACTGGTTGCCTCAAACCCCGCAGATAGTCACTCCAGGAGCACTGACCACACCGAACTTAGTTGGACGTGTCTCCTGCCGTGGTTCATCTTAGTTGTGCAATGACTATCATGTTGATCCAGCAACTTCCTCTCGAAAAGTTGACGAGCCCTGCCTTTTCGATGACAAGGCGCTTTCTGGTGGTGAACAAACCCTCTGGCCGCAGTACTGGAATGCATCGTCCGCATGATACTGGAGATGTTGATCCTGCCAAGCTCCTGAATTATAGATCGTCAGTGCTTTTTATAGTTTGTAAAAGTTGCTGGGTTTTATAAGAAGATGATTTCCAATTAGAACAGAAAGCCTCATGTTAAGCTTTCATTTTACTCCATTTCCATTAAGCCATTTCTTTCTGTTCCGTTCGGGCATGCCAATCTTTCACTCGAGATCAGGGTAGGGATGGTAAAAGGATGCTAATCTCATGACCTGACCAAGTTCTTGAAGACTCTAAATTTGGGTACGAAACATGAGCTGCGAAAGAACAAGTAAATAGAGTCTTCAGGTTGTGAGGTACACTGGAGATTTCGGTTGTGACATACTGTTTAGCATGTAGTGATCAAGACAAGACATCGCCATTCTCGTGTTGGGAGTTCTCGAAGGTAGTAAGTAGGAAGGCCTCGTCGAAAGACCCCAAAGCGGAAGCCTCTACCTTAGCACGAAACTTTATTTCTTAGCCATGCGAGGGAATATTGGATCAATCCGTAGCAGCACACACCTTTGCTCAGCCGCATGCGACGCAACCAGAAGTCAATCCTTGGTAAGAATGCGACTGAACAGACCTTGAGTCCAAGTTGGTCCTTTTGGTCCATGCCCTCGTCACTAAATGCATTGAGCACCATGGTAAAGGCTCCGGTTGAGAAAAATGGACATATATATGGTAAGACTTTCTGTCCAGCTGGCACTCACTTTCTTCATCTCAAGCACACTACTACCGAAGCCCTTGAACAAAAACATTCCCTTTGCTATAACCTCTCTCTACTACCAAACTACGATTCGCCATGACTCTCTCAGGCTTTGAAATTCTGGATATTCTCGAGCTGATCTTCTTCACTCCTGGACTGGTTGCATCAATTTATGTTGTGTATAAACATGGCCATCGCAAGCAGCTGGGTTGGCGGTTTCTGGTGATGATCTGTCTCTTTCGTCTCATTGGAGCCTCGACCTCTCTCGCATCCGTCCACCACCCATCGACAGGCTTAACCGTCACATACGACATCATGAATAGCTTTGGCCTATCCGCTGTCATCTATACTGCATTGGGCCTCTTGGCGCGAGTTCAAAGTGGCATGGATGTTCATGGCCTTCCTCCTCGAATTTTCAGACTTCTCGGATTGCCCGGTATTGCTGGACTCGTGCTCTGCATCCTCGGTAGCATCAACATATTCAGTGACGACACATCGGATCAGAAAAATGGCTTGACATATTTCAGGGTAGCCATGATCTTGTTCCTGGTGGTCTTCGTTGCCGATATCTTGATCACCATTCACAGCTACTTCCACATTTCACATGTTCAAAAGAGTGACCGACGACTGCTCTTTGCAGTGACAGCGGCAATCTTCTTCATGGCAACGAGAACATGCTTCAGTCTTCTTTGCGCTTTCGCGAACAATCCAAGATACTTCAGTTCCTGGAGTTTGGAATGGGAGGCAATCCTGGTCCACGCATGCCTGGGTGTTTTAATGGAGGCCATCATTGTTGGAATCTTCCTCTGGGCCGGCTTCACCACAGTACCGGCTCCCAGGGCCACATCACCTCGTCGGAAAGTCGGGCCAGCCGTCTATCAGATAGACTCGGAAAGTTCTAAGCCACAGGTCTAACGGGAATGAGCGTTTGTCAAACATCGGTGATCAACTGTGCAATACATTTCATTAGCGTCTTGATATTTATAGAACATTTCGAATAGGAATTGATTTGGGTGTATGAAGTTTTAATGAGCGTTCAAAATTGCGAATCAAGATATTTAGAAGTCAATTGTCAAAATTGTGATGACAACTACGGTTGAGTGTAATTGAGCTTACGTGACTTGACTAAGAGTTCCACCGTAGAAATACCGCTTGCTGATTGGGTCCCACGGCACAGGACAGAGTGCTTTGAATCCCTCCAAATTGTTCCTTGCTGGTGGTCACCAAGTAAAGACCACTTGTCACCAGAGCAGCATCACAAAACAACAAAAGCTGCCTGTCACCCGACTGTCTCAAAGGGAGGAATTGTGTTTTCAAGTCTCTACAGCACTCGGCATGGACGTTGTTTGTCCCACAGTCCAGCTGTAGCCTCACCCACACAAACGACTCTTCCATCCCTCCTCCGCACTTCTCTATTCCTTAAATCGCTTTCCTTCCGCGCACACATCTCACAAATAGTCTACCAGATTCGTCAATCATGTCGCAACAGTATCCGACTTCCGGACAGGATGGATATGGTCAACAACCTCCTGCACAGCAATACGAGAATTATGACCATTCTCCTCCTCCAGTAGCCCCTCCACCCGGTGGCGCTGCTTCTCAAGCCGGCCGAAAGAAGCGTGCTTATGCTGGCCAGGCATATGAGTTTGGGGCCGGAGCCAACGCCGGTCTAGGTGGTCAACAACAAGCTGGAGGCGCTGCACCCTATCCCGGGTTTTCCAGCCAACAAGATGCTGCCGGATATCCCCAAGGAGGCTATCAACAAAATCCCGCAGCCGTGCAGGAGAATGCCACCCCCATGTATCCGGGTCAAGAGCCTGCAGTAGGAGGCTACCAGCCCCCTGGAGCAAGTTATCCTGCCCCTGGAGGAGTGAGCGGGTTGGGAGGACTCACTCAGCAGTTTGGTCAAATGGACCTTGGTCAAAAACCGGTGCCTGCCGCGGCACCTCCACAACAACAACAACAACGGGCACCCGTCCTAAACCAACTATACCCAACAGACCTATCGAATCAGCCCTTGAACGTGGCCGAATTGGATTACCCTCCTCCACCAGCTATTCTGCCAGCCAATGTAAGTCCTGTTGGTCCAGATCCATGAAAGCGATGTTAACTCCCTCATAGACAAGTGTGACTCCTTCGCCATATGCCAATTGCCCCCCGAAATACGTTCGCTCTACTTTGAACGCTGTGCCAACCACTCATTCTCTTCTCAAGAAATCCAAGCTTCCGTTCGCGTTGGTAATTCAACCTTATACATCATTACACGACGTTGAGGATCCAGTGCCTGTGGTACCAGATCAAGTAATCTCTCGCTGCAGAAGATGTCGATCTTATATCAATCCTTTTGTCACCTTCCTTGACCATGGTCACCGATGGCGGTGTAACATGTGCAATCTCACGAATGACGTACCGCAGGCATTTGACTGGGATGCTACAACCCAGAAGAGTCTCGATCGATGGCAAAGACCTGATCTCAACCACGCTGTGGTAGAGTTTATTGCTCCACAAGAATACATGGTCCGACCTCCACAGCCATTGGTGTACTTGTTTCTTTTCGACGTGAGCTACGCCGCGGTCACGAGTGGACTACTTGCGACTACCGCCAGATGTATCAGGGAAAGTTTGGATCGGATACCAAACGCAGACCGCCGCACGCGACTCGGATTCATCGCTGTTGACTCAAGCCTACATTTCTTTAACATTCCTCGTGATGGCACCGAGAATGTGCAGACTAGCATGCTGGTAGTCAGTGACTTGGAAGAGGCCTTCTTACCCACCCCTGCTGACTTGCTTGTGACCCTTTCTGAATGCCGCGAGAACATTGAGAGCTTCCTTGACAAGTTGCAAGAAATGTTTCAGAATACCCAAAATGGAGCATCGGCAATGGGATCGGCCCTTCGAGCTGGTCACAAATTAATCGGACCGGTTGGTGGGAAGATGACTGTGGTAACGGCGTCACTTCCTAACATTGGCCACGGTAAATTGGATATGCGCGAGGACAAGAAGCTCTTAGGAACCAGCAAAGAAAGCAGTCTTCTCCAAACTGGCAACAGCTTCTATAAGAGCTTCGCCGTTGAATGTTCTAAGCAGCAAATCTCGGTTGACATGTTTTTGTTTTCATCACAATATCAAGATGTGGCATCTCTGAGCAACCTTCCAAGGTACACTGGTGGACAAACGTACTTTTACCCTGGATGGAACGCGGCAAGAGAGGATGATGCTATGAAATTTGCCAAAGAATTTTCCGACTACCTATCTTCGGAAATTGGGCTGGAAGCAGTCCTCCGGGTTCGAGCCACAACAGGTTTGAGGATGAGCACGTTCTATGGCAACTTTTTCAACCGCAGCTCTGACCTATGCGCATTCCCCGCATTCCCCAGGGATCAGGCGTACGTGGTTGAGGTGGCTATCGATGAAACCATTACCAAGCCAGTGGTGTGTATGCAGACCGCGGTTTTACACACCACCTGCAATGGCGAGCGACGAATCCGTGTCATGACGCTAGCCTTGCCAACCACCCAGCAATTGGCCGACGTATATGCATCGGCTGATCAACAAGCCATCACCACATACTATAGTCACAAAGCTGTTGAGCGTACTCTCAATGGCGGGCTCGAAAGTGCGCGTGATCTTATACAGGGCAAGTTGATCGAGCTTCTTGCAACATACAAGAAAGAACTCGCAGGTGGCAGCATGGGTGGAGGAGGTCTGCAGTTCCCTGCCAATCTTCGAGCTCTGCCGGTATTGTTCCTTGCGCTCACCAAGAACTTGGGATTGCGAAAATCCTCCCAGATTCCAAGCGACATGAGATCTGCGGCTTTGTGCCTCCTCTCAACTTTGCCACTTCCATTACTGATCCAGTACATGTATCCCAAGTTGTTCTCCCTTCATGACATGCCCGACGATGCCGGCACCGTGGATGAAAAGACAGGCGAGATAATTCTCCCGCCGCCACAGAACCTGTCCTCGGAAAGAGTTGCACCTTATGGACTATATCTGATCGACGATGGACAGACACAATTTCTATGGGTTGGTCGCGATGCCGTACCACAGCTGATCATGGACGTCTTTGGTCTTCCAGACAAGAGTCAACTGAAAGTGGGAAAGCAACGCTTGCCCGAGTTGGACAATGATTTCAACGAACGAGTACGAGCAGTCATCTCCAAAAGCCGCGACCATCGGGCGAAAGGTGTTGGCAGCATTATAGTACCTCATTTATATGTGGTCAAGGAAGATGGTGAACCAGGACTGAGACTGTGGGCGCAAACATTACTTGTGGAAGACCGTGCGGATCAGGGAGTCAGTCTTCAACAGTGGATGGGAATGCTCCGTGAGAAGGTACAGTGATGACGATACATTAAGATGCCAGGGCACGAGCAGCGAACGAGTACGACCAGGTCATGCAATAGTCCATAGACAAATACAAGAAGAGATACTCCATTTGTTTACTATCATCATAGAGTGATAAAGCTGGCTGATGTACCTAGGTATCAATGCTGGTATTGGTACTCCATGTCGAGAGCTCTGTCCTAACGAGTGGTGACAATGAATGGACGTACTCGGGACTCGTACAAGAGTACACGTACCCCGTGCGAGTGTTTGGTCTGGGCATTATGGCAAAGACGGGCAAAGGCAGGTTGAGCCGCTGAGTCGAGACTCCAGATTAAGTTCGATCATGGTACCTTATCCGTATTGGTATCTTGGTAGACGGTCCTGAGCTATTTCGGAGTTGAGGTCTGCGACACGAGCAGATGAAACACTGATCCGACCTCTGGAAGGGTGTTCTGGAGTTTGAGACAATCGTCCCAGGGATGTCAGGCCAGACTGAATAGGGCCAAGGGGCCGCAAGAGTACCCATTTAGCGTGACCTTGGGCTGGTATGAGGGTGGATAGGCCATGGATAGGCTTCCTCTAGCCCTGCTAGCTCCATCCCGAGAGCGCCTATCCAGCCAAACGCCCTCGTCAAGCAGCTCCATATCACCTCTTGCACACTGTGAAGTTCTGATAATTGGCATACCACCCTCCAAGGCTCGAACGAGGCTTCTGCTGGTTCAAGTTGAACTTGGTATCCTTTCAATCTCTCGCGTTCTCGCCTCTACCCTCATTCCTTCCATTCCTTTGTCCTTGACTCGTCACTCGGACTGGCAACTCTCCCGACCAGAGCACCAGTACATACTTAGTGGTCGTCCCTTGACCGATCTCGCCGTTGATCTGCACATACTACACATCCAGCATCAACTCTACCTTCTCCAATATTCAGGAACGTACGTCTCCAGTTCAGCTGCCGCTGCCACTTGGCTCTAGCCTACACCCGTCCGCAGTCACCGCACTATTCAGTGATATTACCCCACCATCACTACCTCTACACTGTCTCTGCACCTTACATCTTCACCGGCATCCGCACCACATTCCCCTCCAGACGAACGGTTCTTTGTTCGCCATTCTTCCCTCTTACCGCCTCTCATATTCATTACCTCTCGCAGGCGAGCTAAAGACTGCTTTATTCATGTAAGGCTGTTCTAGTTCCATGTCACATTCAGACAAAGAATGTCAACGTCTGCAAACATCTTGACACTAACCTTAATCTCAGTCATTGGATCGAGTCCAATCCCTGATTGCGTTTCCCACTCTCCATCCAAATTCTCAACACGCCTGGTCCTTTCACTATTAGCGAAGTCCGTCCGACCCTAGGCATTCCTCGAATATTACCCGCTGCCGCCAATCCAAGCGCACATAACAGTCGTTCCAAGATTGCACAATTTCTCTGCAGACACATTCACTTTACCCAATCTTTGACTGTCCTCGACCTTTTCTCGTCGCGACTACACTGTGCTGAATATTGAGCGATCTCTTGGATAATCCAAGGCTTCTTCAACTCACCGACATCCTCGTCAGTGATCAGTACTTCGAAAGTTCGAGTCGCACAATCATTCTATACACAACACCATGGCTCAACAAGCAGGACAGGCTTCCCAAGCCGGAGGTTCCAGGAAAATCTCGTTCAACGTCTCGGATCAGTATGATATTCAGGATGTCATTGGCGAAGGAGCTTATGGGGTTGTTTGGTAAGTGATATCTCTTCAACGAGGACAAGAGCAACACTGAACCCCTTCCTTTGCACAGTTCTGCACTACATAAACCCTCAGGTCAGAAGGTTGCCATCAAGAAGATCACTCCATTCGATCATTCCATGTTCTGTTTGCGCACATTACGAGAAATGAAGCTGCTACGCTATTTCAATCATGAGAATATAATCTCCATTCTCGACATTCAAAAGCCACGAAATTACGAAACATTCACAGAAGTCTATCTCATCCAAGTAGGTCGATCTATACAAGAACCGAGGATGAAAACTAATCTGGTCCTGTCAGGAATTGATGGAAACCGACATGCATCGAGTCATCAGAACACAGGATCTTTCCGATGACCATTGCCAATACTTTATCTACCAAACTCTCCGAGCTCTCAAAGCCATGCATTCAGCAAATGTCCTTCACCGAGATCTGAAGCCTTCGAATCTGCTCCTGAATGCCAACTGTGATCTCAAAGTGTGCGATTTTGGTCTTGCTCGATCTGCCGCCTCCACAGATGATAACTCGGGTTTCATGACCGAATATGTTGCTACGAGATGGTATCGTGCTCCAGAGATCATGTTGACATTCAAGGAATACACCAAAGCCATTGACGTGTGGAGTGTTGGTTGCATTCTCGCAGAGATGTTGAGCGGCAAGCCTTTGTTCCCTGGAAAGGACTGTAAGTAAAACCTGGCTGGTTTTGCGATCATGTGCTGACTTGACCCCAGATCATCATCAGCTCACCCTGATCCTTGACGTCCTTGGAACGCCAACCATGGAGGATTATTATGGCATCAAGTCTCGGCGTGCCCGGGAGTATATTCGATCGCTGCCTTTCAAGAAGAAGATTCCATTGAAAGCATTGTTCCCCAAGACCTCCGACCTTGCTTTGGACCTTCTGGAGAAACTTCTTGCATTTAATCCTGTCAAGCGGATTACGGTGGAAGAAGCATTGAAACACCCATATCTCGAACCTTATCATGACCCGGATGATGAGCCAACTGCAGACCCCATTCCAGAGGAATTTTTCGACTTTGACCGAAACAAGGATCAACTGAGCAAAGAGGAACTCAAGGCACTGATATGGAACGAGATCATGAGATGAAGGAGGCGGTTCAAAGCGCGTAACTCGGTACCGATGTATGATGCATTGAGTGAAACGGAGGTCTTGACGGCCATGATCTTTTGTGGGTTGGCATGCTCCCGTGACCAAAGAAAGTCACATCAGTGATGTGCGAATTATGCAGATTCGTGTCTCCGTCCCATCTTCTAATGATACTGTGCCTGGACTCATCTCATGGATTGTCGAAATGAAGTGGAGTTGGCCAAAGGCAAGGGAGAGACAAAGGAGAGGCAGATTCGATTACAATGCTCCATGAATGGACGAGCATAAGGCAGAAGACTCATCCATGGATATAGAAGAACAATTCACCCTAAAAACAGATTGCGAGAGAGCAATGACTGGATCTTTGTCATCTGACTGAATATTGTATCTCGTCTCACTTTCCAGGCATCTGACTGAATATTGTGTCTCTGCTCACTTTTCCAGGGTTTAGACTCGCTCGAATGTAAAATGACAATTCTGATTCTCACAATTATAAGCCGAAGCAATATATATCATGGCGGGACTTGATTTCTTAGATCCATATATACGCGACCTCTTCGTTTATAGTGGAAAGAATTTCGTATACTCTCTAAATCGGGCGTGTCTATATAGAACTCATCATCAAAAAGGTAAAAAGAAGAGAGACGACAGCAGCAGGGTTTGAACCTGCGCCTGAAACACAAATTAGGATACATTTCGACAGAAAACACGTATTTGCATAACTAACCTCCGAAGAGACATGATATCGTGGATTTGGACCCCGAAGGGCCCAGTTTCAAGTCATGCGCCTTAGACCACTCGGCCATGCTGTCACTAACATTCTGTGCCTTCTAGAACACATTTTAGTCCAAAAAGTGAAGAATTTGGACATCTATACGTCGAGATACATGTGCCGGAGTTTTGCCGACTCGGCACCTGATCGTGAGCATTATAGGCGGTATCGAAAGCCGGGGATCTCGCGATGGGCCCTGTAGAAGATGTTGAAAGCCGTAGAGCTCGCTCGGGAAGACCGAGTATCACGTTTTGGGGTTATTGATATGTTCTTAATACGTCTTGTCATCGGGGAAGCCATGTGACCTAGTAAGGTAACTACTAGCAAAGATGGCACAAGAATACAGCTTGACATACCTAGACACCGAAGCCATCGGCCAAGCACCTATTTGTACTCGTTTCAAACAGGTTGGAAACCAGGCTTACGTTTCAATGGCTTGATGGGGAGAGACTATGATTTGGATTTCCTGCTCAGGGGAGATGAAATGGATTCGACGTCCGCTCGAAGCATTTCCACATCCTGGTATGGAGCATTGATAGCCTGGCCATATGCTTGATTCATGCTTCCTGGAGAACAAATTGCAGGAACGGCTTCAGGTCACGATGTCAAATAATGGTCACCTGGTAAGCCCAACCATGCGAGATACAGGCAAAACAAAGAGAAAAATAGATTTCCTAGTCTTGTGATTTTGTGAGAAGCAACCTTTGGCTCTCAGTCTCTGGAAAAGTGTTTCACCATTTCCGCCTATGTACAATCCCGAAGCCAGTTTCAACTAAATCAAAACACAAACTATTGATCATCGATAACATGCAAGTACTTCTTCGAGTCTCGCTTCTCCCTTGCTGTAGCCGGAGGTAAGTCGTAGTAACTGCTGCTTCTGTAATCTTGTAGATAGTGATATGTCAGCTCGCTGAGCTCTGCTGGTTGCATACCAAGATCCTTGAAGGTCTTGGCCGATTTGTCAACGTATTGATCGAGAGATTCGCGCTCGAGTTGATCTGCGGATATGATTGGCCACCAGATGACTTTGTTTAGATAGTGAAGAACCGGCTTCAACAGGGTCTTGGGGAGGTTGATGTGGCGACGATGCTTTATAATTTCTTTATCGACAAGCTGGGCAATCTCGGCCATGCTGTAATTGGTGGGGCCGTAAAGCTCAAATGTCTCGCCAGCGGTAGAGTCGTCATAACCAATTTTCTCCAAGGCTTCACCTACATCAATAGCCTAAGGAAACGTCAGGGAATGAAGAGAGCCGACCTTGCAAGGGACTCACATGGACAGGGTTGAAGCGTTCTTGCATGTTATTGCAGGTCAAGAAGTTGGTGACACCAGCCAATCGATGTAACAAGTTGTCTTCGAAGCCAAATAAGGGAGCTGGGCGGACAATTGTGGTTTCGGGGAATAATTGTCTTGCAACTTGTTCTCCTTGTGCCTAACAGCAGGTCAAAAAGGTTGTCGATGTGAGTTTGGGATTCGAGCATACCTTTGTCCTGAAGAACTCAGACGGGGAATTAATGTCGGCATTATATGAGGAGAGATGGATAAAACGGTCGACATCGTACTTGGCAACAGCTTCCGCGATGCGCTCAACACCCTCAACGTTGACATCAAAGAGACTGAAGTTCTTGGTTGGATAGTCGCGACCAATCAAGTTGAAGACAATGTCAGAATGTCGAACACTCTCCTCTATTGACTGGGTATTGCGAAGATCGAATTCCATAAAAGAGACCCTTCCCAAATCACCCGAGACCTTGAGATGTCTTTTGCCCATGTCATCTCTGTATGGAATGACAACCTGTACCCCCCTCTTTGCAAGTCGATTGACGATATATCGGCCAAGGAAGCCATTGGCGCCGAAGACAGTAGCTGTATGACCTCCTAGTGATGATCTTCCACCCTGCGAACGAATGATAGGTTTGCCTGTTCTTGTGATTGCAATGTCTTGGAGATTTCGGCGTTGAATGGTTCTAGGTCGAGAGGATCTGGCGGCGGCCCGGAGAGCGAGAGTAGTTGGTCGACAGGACTGCATCTTGAATGCAATTCCCTGGGAACTCCCACAGGCGACAGGAGAGTATTCGAAATGCTCTGTGGGATTTGGACAACCTCAGAGTGAGCTGTTGTGGCGACTGGGGACAGTAGTCACGAAACTCGACGTTGCTGTCGCAGAACAGTCGAGGACCGAGAGCTCCCCAGGTTAATGGCTTGGCATTGTTGAAAGTCGCAGGTACGGAAGAAGTACCACCATCGGCCAGGCTGAGCGCAGGCGCGTCACTTCCCCAATTCTATGGTTTCTGAATCAATCACTTTTTACAACAGTGTGACCACGACCGCATTCTCCCTCTCCCTCTCTCCACTCTCTCTTCACCTTCTACCCCAATCTAAATAAACGCCATCCATCTCGACGACCCCGTAACTCTTCAACTCTTGTGGCTCTGATCTTCCACCATGTCAAAACACCAAGACCCAGACACCATCCTCAACTTCCTGACAGAGCAACGAGATGAAGCGCCCGCAGACCTCCAACACATCTTTCTCTCATTAGAAGAGCTATGGGAACGAAAGTTGTGGCATCAACTGACCGTGGAATTGCTCGACTACTTCCAGAACCCCGAAAGCACTGCTCAAAGATTACCCATTTACAACACTTTCATCATCAGTTTCGCCGACAAGATCAACCAGTTACAGTTGGTCAAACTTGCTTTGAGTGCTTCTGCGCAAATCAAAGGTAAGACATGTGTGCCTCTAGAATGCCGCACCATCTGACAAAAGTCCAGATGATGATGAGCGAAGTCAATTTCTCAAGACCCTTTCTGGGCGAGTCGAGCAGCCTGATTCTGAAGACGCCTATGTTTATGCGATCACGGAACTTGCCAGTGTGTATCTGAGACTGGACCAGGCATCAAAAGCAAAGGAGCAACTGGATAAAGCGCAGAAGATATTGGACCAGTTTGATTTTGTGGAGAATGTCGTCCATGCCGCCTTCTACCGGGTCAATGCCGATTACTTCCAAGCCAAGGGCGACTACACTGCATATTACCGAAATTCTCTTCTCTACCTGGCCTGTATTGAAGAATCAGAATTGTCCCCAATCGAACAACAACATCGAGCCTACGATCTAGCCATTGCCGCCTTGGTGTCCGATTCAATCTACAACTTTGGTGAATTGCTTTTACACCCAATCCTCGATGTTCTGAAGCCTCCTCATTCTCAGTCTTGGTTGCGAGAGCTTCTCTTTGCCTTCAATCGAGGAGACCTAGCTGCTTTTGATCGCATGTCAAACAGTCTCAACAAGGATGAAACCCTGAGCTCACACCGCAATTTCCTTTGGCAAAAGATCAACCTCTCTGCATTGACAGAATTGGTCTTCAAGCGACCACCTCATGACCGGGCCATGACTTTCAAGACCATCAGTCAAGAAACCAATGTCAAGCCGGATGAGATTGAGCACTTGATCATGAAGGCACTCAGCCTTGGGCTACTACGAGGAAAGATTGACCAGGTGGCGGGCATCGCAAGGATCAATTGGGTTCAGCCCAAGGTTCTGGAACGCAGTCAAATCGAGGGAATGCGACTTCGACTCAAAGAATGGGACAGCAATGTGAATGATCTTGGTCATTGGATAGAAGGAGTGGGCAAGGATGTTTGGGCATCATGAGAACCATTCTAGCAAAGTAACATGGCATGGCATCTCATACATGGATTTGCGATGGCGTTCTGAGACCCCGGCGGCTCAGCTTGGATGGTGGTGAGAACTGCAAGAGTTCCAGTATCCAAAACCTACTTGTAGAACTAGATCGATAATCAGGTCTCCAATACAACTTGAACGGCCTAGAACGAATAGCTTCGGAACTAAAAGTCCATCTGGTATGCGAGGCGACTTATGACTGACCAAGGGGACTGCGTCGTGTGGGCTTCCGCAAGTGCCTCCAAATTCAATAATTTTTGGAGATGGGTCGCATCCGCACCAGCACTTTCAACCTCACCCAACTTCGAGCCTCGAACTTTCCTCCGAGTTTCGTAGTCATCTATTCCATCACCGCCAACTCCTGCCAATCTTCACCAGAAGATGTATCCTATCAACTAGGCACGCCCCCAATCATCCCGTCCTTCTAAAGTGCAGTCAAAATGAACACCTCATCGGCGCAAGTTTTGCTCCGTGCTTGTCGACCATCCTCGTCGCGCACTCTCGTCCATCTACCGCCTTCATCTTCATCCTCATGCACCGCTCGAGCTCATTTCAAGACAAAATGGCAGCTTTCTCAACGCCAGCAGCAAAACAGACTCGGGCGACCGCACCACTTCTCCACAAGTCGAGCCACCTGGAATGTCCAAGCAGAGACGAGTACTTCCACAGTCACTACCACTACTGCTGCTACACCGAACCCTCCCGCGCCCGACACCGAGAAATCCTCAACGGTGTTCCACGAGCAATCCAAACCGCGAGGATATGAGCCCGACAGCTACCGGGTATGGCGAGGGGAAGACGAGGACTTTGTCAAGACGAGCGAGAGCTTCATCGGCCGGGTGTCGCGGACAGGGACGATGCGCAAGACGGTGCGGGTGAGCCGCAACGTCCAGGTCTGGGATGCACACCTGCAGAAATACTATACACGGGAGAAGCACGCTCTGGTGCACGACCCGGACGACCTGTTGGTCGAGGGCGACCTGGTCAGCTACGGTGGCTTCCCACCCAGCATTGCTAAGGCCCGCCTCGAGAAGGGCAGACCTGTCGACACCAAGGGCAGGGTCAGCTGCTGTGTCTTCGATGTCTTGACCCCCTTTGGCTCCACTGTTGCGCAACGCGTTCAGGCGAGGTCGTCAGTCGATGGTGCAGCGTCCGTGAAGCTGGCGTCTTGACCTTTTCGTCGAACGCGACCGCTTTCTCGCAGCGCTGTCTACCGGGTCAGCAATCGTCACAGCTCATGAGTTGACCAAACACCCGTCGTGTGAGCGAGCATATCTTGAACACCACACGAGGTTTCCTGCCGAGTCTGACTATCGAAAGCAAAAGGATGATTATCTTCGTCAGCGTCTGTCCCGTCCAAAGATGTATCTTTTCAGCGGACGGCTTCAGGCCTTACACCACCACCTTTTCATTGGCGAAAGGGGACGAGAAGGCGCAATACTTATGACCGCATTGGAGACAAGAAGCATCCGCTGGAGAAATCCAGCTGATTGAAGAACCAAGAAGGCAAAGTAGATATGTATATATCACTGTACCAATACCTAGAACAGATCATCACATCTTGGCTGTCGGCTCTGTTTACAATGCTCGCAGTCTTCCATGATCCTCTCGCTTAGTTGCATAATCCTCCGGCTTCCATCTTTCATATCAATAGAGTGCTCTCCCACCTGCTTAATGTGAAACCAGGATAAGGCCTCGTAGATAGATCGCGCAACTAGGGATGAAGAAGATGTGAGAAAGTGGCCCACTGCAAGCTTGATATAGATTTAGATAAGCGCAAACTACATGTTGGAAGGAAGTCTACTTAATTTGTTTGAAAGACACTTTGGATTAGATGTTTGCGGGCTTCCTAGGGTGGCTGAATTGAATCATTTTCATCTCGATTCGGCAGTGAAGTACCGAATGCCTCTATTCTACTCAAAATCTATTTCCGTGGCCATGTCCACGCCAGATACGCCACGACCAACACAGACATTGCCCCATTCTCGATGGCATCCTGCATCTGGAATCCGGGTAAATTTGAAGACGAGGTGGGGCGTCGCAAGATCATCAATGCGATGGACATCTAAGGTTCTGCTATGGAGCAGATGAAATGGGTCGACAGCCCCAGGGCGGCAAAGCTCCACTGGTATAAGCATCCGATGAGATCCAGGGCTTGCTCAGATGCATCGAGAATGGACATCACAAAGATTCGAAAGGGCCGAATAACCGACATACTCATCATGTAATGAAGAACGAGTTCATAGTGTTTGTGATCGGCTTTGGACCTTTTCCAATTCTGGTGCTTCTCCGGCCTCCTTGTCTTCATCTGCCTTGAGGTTGTCCAACTTGGGCTCTTGAGTTTCTGAAATTGTGGGCTGAGGCTTGATCAGAGAAGCACGGCGGAGTTTTAGCTTTCGCTCGCCTTGAGCAGATATCCTCGTCAATTCTGCAACGAATGATTGACCCCAAAAGGCACTGTTCGCTGGATTAGTTTGTGGTCAATCAACAACTACGACCTAGAAATCACTCACCTAGTATATTTCGAGACATATTTGTGCAACTTGGCATAATTTATGGCACGATGCTCAGGGCTCATAGTGACGGCTTCTTGGATTGCGCCTGCCAATTCTTCGGTGTTCCATGGGTTGACGAGGATGCTACCGTTGAGACTCTGTGCAGCACCAGCAAACTCGGACAGAATAAGGACTCCGTTGCGTTTCTCTTGGCTGGCAATGTATTCGAATGAAACTAGATTCATGCCGTCACGTGTTGAAGAGACCAAGCAGACATCTGAAACTGCATAGAGGGCAATCAGCTCGTCAAAATTGACTGACTGATGCATGAAATGGATTGGCATGAATTCAATGGTACCTGGAATGCGTCAGTGTGGTCAACAACAGGTGATGAGGCTTTCGGTGAGGAGACTTACCGAATTTGCCGTTGATCCGTCCAACAAGTTCATTGACACCGGCACGAAGATTCTGATACTCCTCGACATCCTGTCTACTTGGAACCGCCACTTGCACGAGTACAACCTTACCAATCCATTCGGGGTGGTCGGTCAGGAACACCTCCAATGCATGTAGCTTCTGTGGCACTCCTTTGATGTAGTCGAGACGATCGACACCAACGATCAATTTGACCCCTTTGAACTTTTCTTCCAGCACTGCTATTCGTTTCTGGACCTTTTCCTTCTTCAGGCCTTCGGTGAACTTCTCAGGATCAATACCAATCGGAAAGGCGCCAACTGTAACAATCTTGCCTCCAAACTCGACGCCGTTTGGGGTTGTTGAATAGCCGAGGATTCGAGAACAGCTGCTCAAGAAGTGTCGAGCATAATCATAAGTGTGGAACCCAATCAGGTCACAATGCAGAACACCAAGGAGAATCTCATTGCGAACGGGTAATATGCGGTAGATTTCGCTTGAGGGAAAGGGTGTGTGCAAGAAGAAACCGATCTTGACATTGGATTTGGAGGTGCCTATTTCTTGTCGAAGCATCTGAGGAAGAAGCATGAGATGATAGTCGTGAACCCATACGAGGTCACCATCTTGCACTTCTTCGGCGATCGCACGAGCAAAGAGTCGGTTCGCTTCTTCATAGGCTTTCCACGCTGATTCATCAAAGGTGATCTCGCCTGGGTGATAATGAAACAAGGGCCACATGATGGAATCTGTAACGTGTCAGAATATGTCGTCCACACTGAAGCGATGGCTGTTAACTCACTTGAGAACCCGTTGTAATGCCGATCGGCCAATTCGTCAGCCATGAAGACTGGAACGGCATTGAATTCGTCCTTCAGTTTCGTTGTAACATCCTCGATCTCAGCTTCTGGAATTTCTAAACCGGGCCAGCCATACCACTGAAATGTCGTGGTCTTTGATAAGCCACTGAGACCAGTCACCAGCCCACCAGATGACATGGAATAGTCGTATTTTCCGTCTGGAGATCGTTTGATAGTGATGGGAAGACGATTTGACACGAGCAGTAAACGGGATTCCACCTTGGGTGGCTCAGAAGTGACAGAAGGCATGTTGAGAGACTGTCGCGATTGATTGAAAGCTTCAAAATTTGTGTGTACCACGATCTTGTCTGGAGATTACCGATCTCTGTGTCAAGTGAACAAGTGCGCGATATTGGTTTGATGTTGTGTAAAAGTGATGGATACCAAGAATGTGAAGAAACGAGAACAAACAGACAGTTGCCGGCTCACAGTGACAACTTCCGGACCAATCACCAAAGGTTACGACCAGTTGGTGAAGTATTGGCTTGGAGAGGACACCAGTATCAATAAGTGATATCCTCGGCGGTGAATGGTTGCAGAGGTGTAACAAGGAATCCAGTTGGTTCGAGAAGAAGAATAGAAGGAAGTTGCAGAGGCTGGTGACGGTCGTGTATTACCTGGGGGGAGGAGGTTAATGAACCACCCGGGAGTGGAAAGTGCTTCCGTCGAGGAAGTTACGATCCTTCAGTCAATGTTGTTGTAACGTGTAACTGCACTGCAGCTGCAGGCCCTGGTCGTGATGGAACGAAGTAGTCAAGTTCCTGCCCAATGGATCCTCAAACGCTGCAGTGGTAGACTCGAGATCCCAGTGGAGCCACCACGTTGGAAGTTGAGATCTGGGTGCCTCCGTTTGTTGAGTTTTGGTATTGGGAGTAGATTGGGTTAATGTGCACCTTGATTTCTGAACAAAGAAAACTGCACCGAAACTGTGTTCGATTGTCCTTCATAAAGAGTTTCTAGGTTGGGGTACGATGGTTAGAAGAGCAGCCAGAGTGACCAAAATCCAAGGGTCAAAGTTGGAAGTTGGAACCAGCTCAAGGCTGTTGTTGCAGGGTTTGATAATTCGGAAAGTTCCACTGCCCAACCAGTTTCCCAATTGCAGTGCTACCAGTGCAGCCATTCTGTCGGGGGCAGGCGTACGTCAGAGTCAACCGGCAATACCAAGCGAACTTGAAATTCCAAACACGATGAACGATAAACGGATGAGAGTTCCGGAGCTGCACATGCACATCCCGCCAGGCACAGACAGAGCATGTCCAACACGACAATCATGACACCAAGGGCAAGAATCTCGCTCATGGTGCCCCAAAACGAACAACTCAAAGCAAAATGCCTCGCCCGGCACATATTCGGATGGCACTTTTCTGGGAGCAAAACAAAGCCGGGTTGCATTTTTATTGCTAGCCATTTAGGAAGACTGAGTGCAGAATAGTCTCCGACTCGTACCGACCACGTTGTAACCACGCCTGGGATGATACACATCCTCCCATCACATCAGACGACGTGCTAATATCGAGTACACAGTTCATTCAACGATAACCCGCGGTGTGGACCACATGGCTACCTGAGAAAATGGCCTTAACACAGTCCTTCCTCTTTCCATGTCATCTATATGTCCCCATTGCTTGCTTGAGTTGAAGTTCGATCAATTCAATCGCTTAGAGCCACCCAGTTCGCACATGGTAGAATGAATGGCCAATTCTCCGATGCCACGCTCGAATGCGAAATGCTCCTTTGTCACCTGCTTCCGAAGCGCCGCGCTCGCACATGCCCACCCCAATCCGTGCCCATCCATTCCGTTCCCTTCTCCTCAACCTCCCATATAATGCACTTCCATGCTTTCTGCATTCTTTGGACATAAGAAAAACGTAAAAAATCGGTCACCACTAGGTTCATGCAATAAACCATGTATAGTCGTAAAGCGTAGAGATTCATCATTCATCCATTCGGATCTCGTCAAGAATCAAAAGCAGGGGCGTGTTATCGTCACAACGTCAAAGGAACGTTAAATCTGCTGTCAAAGTTCTCGTCAAATATGTTTAAATGCATTCGCTTGCTCAATTGGCTCGGATCACCAACTTGGCCAAAAACTTGTTCGACAAGGAGTCAAAATCCTTTCGTTCAAATTTGGCATTGGGTCGTCCACGCAGGTAGTTTTCTGGAATTTTGGTTAGTCTGGATATCTCTATAATGCATCAACTACACTCACCATATCTCGTAACATGTTCGCGCACTTCGGTCATCGCACTGCATACATCGGCATTGGAACCGAGCAAAGTGTGGTGTTTGCTCGTGTCCCATTCGAGGAACGATGGTAGCTTCTGTGAAATGGCTTGGAACAAGCCAACGACAACTCCGACAGGAGTGGTCTCCATATCATTGCAGAATTTGTCCACGGCAACGGCATCGGGTACACGGTAATGGCAGTCGAATTGCATGCACTCCCACACAGCCAACAAGACAGATGCCAATATGAAGATGGTAGGCCAATTCTTGAGTTTGTCGCCGCTGTACACACTTGAGTACAGGCTCGATAATTCTTCGAGCACGTCTTTGTGTAGCTCACGCCACATATCCGCCATGGCGCACTTGATCTGGAAGTTGATCATGACGGGAGCCATGGTCTTGCCGAAGAACTTGGAGGTTTCTTCTTCGATTCTTCCTGCAAGATTCTTTTCGACAGGTACGCCTTCAACCATAGTCACATGCAGCGTGAGGTTATAGGCAAGCATGAGCTTCAACGCCTTCTTGATGATCTTGGATCCAGTCCGGAAGTAGAATCGATATGCAGTCTTGAGCATTTGTGAGAGGAATGGTGTACCCTCAAAGTAGTCGTCGACAAACTTCTCAAATGTTCCACTTCCATCAATGTGTCGGTCCAGATAATCACTCAACATGGTGGTCGAGATGCCTTCCATACCGGCGGACAGCCTGGCGGTGGAGATTTCGTATCCTTCAGGAGACTGGTCGTTGGCTTCAATCCAATCCATCTTGAGGCAGGAATCATCACGGACATATACTTCACGGGCAGTAACAGGAAGCATGTGGCCATATCCATGGGTAATGAAAAGTGTCTCTTCAGTGTCGGCGAATCCCTTGATATTTCCAACCGAGAAGCCAAGGGAGACATGTCTCTCATAATCAAACTTCCAATCTTTTAGGAAATACCCGATCTCCTTGATGTCAATGCGGGTACATGGGACTTGCCACAATCGTGCATGAGAAGGTTGGCAACCAGCACATGGTTCACCCTTGTCGCATGTTTTCTTCAAGAACTTGCAACGTAAGCATGCTCTGAGCTTCCGGATTTCACTCGCTTGTTTGCGCTGTTCTGGTCGTAGAGGACCCTTCCTCCGGCCGACCCGCTTTTCTCCTTCAACTTTAGCTGCAGGCGGGGTCTTCTTCATCACTTTGTCGGTCGACTTCGCTGCGATGGGGCTCTTTCGCGACGATTTCCGGCCCGGTGATCCTGCAGAACCTTGAGAGCCAGGAGATCGAATGGATGGAGCCGACGACCTGGCTGGAGGAATAGGGATAGGTCTGACTAGAGCGGAAGGGTTGACACTGATGGAGGTGGTACCTAAGTCGATAGATAGTCGGTGGCCATGGTTATGGCCTGAGCATTCGTAGTCACTATCTGACAAACTTGTTGGGGAATAGACGGCTTGAGTGTTTGTCATATCGAGATTACCCATGAATACACCATTGCCATGAGGTTCAAGGTCCGAGTAGGAGGACTCTGAGAGTGTTCGGTTGTGTATCGTGTGGGTGGGATCGACAAAGAAGTGGGCCTCATAGGACTCGAATGAGGTTCGATGATCTACCATGGTCCAGGCATTTTCATCGCAGGAGCTGGGCTGTGACAAAACCTCGAGGTGAGACCCTGTGGGTGAGTTTGTCAATTGTTGGTATGGAGACACGGCAGGACCAAAGTCGGTTGTCGTGTAGTTGATCAATTCGGTCTGGAAATCTTGCCAATTCTGAGGCATGCCATCGATGCCCTGGTCCATGTGTAGGTAGGATGGCTCCATAGGAAGACCAGAGGAGATGGGAGCTTGTGATACAGGCATCATGGCCAACTGTGAGTGATGCAACTGGAGGTTGTGGAACCGAGGATCGTATTGCATATCGAACGCGGTCTGCTGAGCCTGGAAATCGATGGTCTGTTGTTGCTGGTCGAACCGCCAGGTACCCATCATGGGATGTTCGGCCATGGTTGTTTGTCGAAGGCCATGTGTGGTGGTCTCGATGGGAGAGATGTTTCTTCTCGGGTCTTGCCGTTGGGGAGGCATCTGATCGATTGACCACGCCTGATGTCGGAAATAGGCTGGATTTCTAGAGTCGAGGTCGTAGGTCAGATCAGGGCCTGTCAGGGCCATGTTTCCGTCCATGTTGAAATCACACAGTCAGATAGGTAGCCTTATGGGATGGAATGGTCCTGTCAGAAGGCAGCAGACTCGAGGGAAGAGTTCGAGCTGGCCTCGTGAAGCAGGAAGAGGAAGCTGAAGGACGAGGAGACGGCGAGGAGGACTAGAGTTTACAGAGAGTGACCGCCTCTCTGTAGGCGGTGGTGAGGGAGCGGGCCTCTGAAGTGAGGTGGAGTGAGGGTGAGAAGAAGCGGTGAGCAGCGCACGCAAGTTTTGGGGATCGTCGAATTGGCGGGGGACAAAAGTGGGCAGCGATGGCGACTTCAATGGGACGGGCACCCGTGACCCGTGGGCTGGTCACGTCGGTCGGAGATTCGGAGATCAAGGATGAGGGCTGCTTGGAAGTTGAAGGGCCTTTGCAGCTTTTTGTGTGGTTCGAAATCACCGCCCAGCCAGTGAAGAGTGCATTAGGCCTGGTACTGTTTCCAAGTGGATGGCCAGCTGCAGAGGGCTAAAGGTGTTTTGGTGGTAGTCTGCTGCTCGCTTGCTCTGAAAATCTGGATCTCAGACTTCTCAACCACCCTGACTGGGTCGAATGTGTGCTGATAGTAAGAACTTCAAGCCTCATTCCAGCTAGACACGGTCCCCACGGTCCCTAGAACAGCTGGCCTGCAACCGGGTTTGGTTGTGCTGAAGGCCGGAGGGGCGATGCTCACTCGGCAAACCTCGGGATCTCTCAAAGGCGCTTCAGCGGTGGCAGGAACTTTTCCTCTTGGGTCTTGAGTCTTGACTTCACACAAAGTTGGGTCCCAGATGGACCTTGGTTCTGGAGACTAGGCCGTTCAGCTTGGCAATTGATCGTCCTGTGTTTAGAAAGATTCTCTCGGAGTCCGTCTTGCAGCGTTGATTCAGGCAGAACCCGAAATTGATAAGAATGGGCATTCAGCGAATTTCTCAAAGGCGTCAATACAGCATGGAAAGTACGAGAGGGTTTAGGAAACGAGCCTGAGGGAAGTCATGCTCTTGTTAAGCCATTGTAGAATCAAATGTGACTCCGCCTACAACAATACAGACACGAATTGACAAACACTTCTGAGCCGTCGGGGTCGCCTTTCGATTCCCTTGACTGCTCATCGTGCTCAGCCATTGCGGCGAGAATGCGACGGGGCGGTAGGACCATTGCCGGTTCTGTGCCACAGCATTGAGCAGCCGTTTTCTGGCTCCATTCCCGTGGCACAGCAGGTCAAATCATTGATTACTGTATGAGCCCTCTCTCACGAATTCAAGCGAGTCACAAACACACCTGAGTCCAGGGTTTTCTCGCCCAGGGTCTTGAACCATTCATCGCCACCACTAACCAGCCGTGAACAATTAACAAGCTCACGCTTATGCAGGTAATCCTCTTGGTGCTTACGACTAGTCCTACCTAAGTAAGTCCTTGACTTCGTATCTGCTGTCTATCCCAACCAGATAACAATGTCGCTGCGCCCCGCATTGGAATCTTCTGTTGTAGGGTGTTCAGACAATCCAAACATCGAAATCTCTTGCAGAAGTCATCAAAAATACTCTGTCCGTTATGCAAGGCTGCAATGGGGTCATGTTGATGTACCTTGGACTTTCTCATCCAGCTGGAGAAGTCGAGACGAGTACCTGATACGCGTCTCGATCCAGAGGCGCCATGGTGAAGAGCGGTGTGGAAATCGGTCAAGAAAATATGGACCGGCAAAAGCTTCGGGCCCTTACTGAACGGCAAGGGAATGATAATTTAAGATCCAGATCTCAGGAGTGCATTAATGTGCATATTCTCTCACGAGAATAGCCTTGAAGAGAGATCATTCACAACCTACTGTTTCATGGGAGCTGCCCGTAACACTCTGGCGGTAAGGAATACTTACGAGTCAAGTCTTGTCATTCTCGGACCTTGAAGCCTGCCACCTGCACGTTCGTGTGTCTCAGCAATAGCTCGAAACTAGTAGCACTTTCCAACGTAACAATGATGATGAACCTGGACGAAGAATGTACTGAGATCGTAGAATTCTATTTCAGGGATATTGCAGACTTGAGCTCAAGGGAACACGAATCAACATATCGTGTCCAAGTGCCAAGAACTCTCGTACCTGACTCGAGCTCAACATCACCGCTTCATTTTTCGACCTAGATAATGCCAAAATGGATCGTGCACCACAACTTTACCACATTCTGGAAAAACTTCATCGCCGCTTTGACTACAGCGGCCTCCATCGCTCCAACAGGAATTACTGATACAGCAACTTGCAGGAAGATGGGGAGTGCTTCGTCAAATGTGTTCTTCGGCGGACTAATGTCATTACGCATGAATTCAATGAACTTCTTGTCGTACCGTTCAGTTGATATGTGTGGCAAATCTCAGGCATGAGAGGCTTACGAGTTCAAGATCTCTGATTGTGCCTGATCCGATGGCCGCCGCACTGTTTTTCAGGAAGTTATACATGCTGACATAAGAATTGATGACGAAAACGACTATCTAGACTGTCAGAGTCTCGTGGGTGTTGATGCACATAGATGTGGACTTACCGTCTTCGTATTTGGCGAAGTTATTGGCTTCGAAAGCTGTTGAGGTTTGAACAGTCAAACCCGCCAGAGGTATCGCCGTCTAGAGACTCGATGAGTTGCTGAAGGCGTTGGGCGTAACGCGTGCTCCTGAACGCACTCGTCCCGCATGCCTAGCGTTACTGAACATACTATGCTACTCGTACACAGACAGATCATACAATGTTGCAGTTGAGCCTTATCACTAGGCAAAGGAGGCCAGTTTGCTATCGTCGACTTGTTTTCAGCAACAAGAGATCCTCTACCCAACCCGCCCGAATTATTATCCAAGCTTCCTCGGCAATAAACTCAACATCTCTCATCAGTGTGTCGGCACGAGTCTCATGAACGTCGTGGAAAGTATTGATGGTGACTATACAGATGTAGCATTGAGACTAAAGTCTCATAGCACAAGCAAGAATGATCAAGTATTGTCTAAGCCCAAAGTGGCTGCTCTATAATGCTGCTTTTAGACCGTCCGCCTCAGAACAGCGTCATGCAATTCCGTAAACGGTACTACATGAACCACTCTCCCGACCCTTGGCATTGTGATGAAGTTCAAGTACACGCCCGAATTGAAGAGAGTAGGTCTGCAAGCAACCTTGATTGAATGAGGAAGACCTTCACCAGCATTGGTTATCTGCCCTCCCAAGTCAGTAAAGAACCGTCAACGATAAGTCCAAAATACACTGATGACGAAAGGGGATCCAACCACTGCCAACTTACCAGGAATTTGTGAACAATACTAAATCAACATCCACTCTATTTCACATTCCTGCCTTTTGATGGTGAGCAACATGAGTATCACATGAATTGAAGTTCGTCGTCTGCTCTATACTCCGAGCGTGGTTGTCGCACCTAGCTCTAGCTCTCAAAACAACATGGCTGACTCCGAGAGCCCTTTGTCCTCAATACCTTCATATTTCCGCGAAAAGCCTAGTATCGTGGATAGCCTTGAGACGGAAACCTCAAAGCTCCAAGACGCCACTCTGAAAGAATGCCTGCCGCTCTTGAGAGCACTAGCTGATCCCAATCGCAACCCTTTTGACTTCAATGCCTTTGGCATTCCAGCCTTGGAACGCGAAGATCATGTTAGCTTTCTTCACGACAATCTTGAGGAATTCCCTGCACCATTTGTCGGCATAGATGCTAGTCGGCCATGGATGGTCTATTGGGCTTTAGCAGCGCTTTACATGCTAGGAGAAGATATAACATCTTTCCGGTCGAGGTACTATATCCCTTCTCTGACACGAGTGACCTTGAGACACTCAGGATTAGAAACAATTGAATACCTAACCAAGGACCAAACTTGCTAATATGATTCTAGAGTCGTCAAAACATTCTACCCCGCTCAAAATAAGACCGGAGGTTTCGGTGGAGGCTACGGCCATTACTCACATCTTGCTGGAACCTATGCCGCTCTACTCAGTCTTGCCTTGGTGGGAGGTGAAGAGGCCTATAGTCTTGTCGACCGTAGTGCCATGTGGCATTGGCTGGGGAGGCTTAAGCAACCGGATGGTGGATTTCGAGTGACAGAGGGGGGTGAAGAAGACGTGCGTGGCGCGTACTGTGCCTTGGTTGCCATATCCCTTCTCGATCTCCCACTTACTCTCCCACCTGAGTCGCCTGCTCGGGAAGCTGGATTGGAAACGTTCTTCGATGGCCTCGGCGAATACCTCTCAAGATGCCAAACGTATGAAGGGGGGATAGGAAGTTCGCCGGGGAGTGAAGCACATGGAGCATATGCATTCTGTGTTGTCGCATGCTTATGCCTCTATGATGCACCCCATAGAGCAATATCAAAGTACCTTGACATGGACACCCTTCTATGGTGGCTTTCCACACGGCAATACGGGCCTGAAGGAGGACTTGCAGGACGGACCAATAAACTCGTGGATGGCTGCTACAGTGGCTGGCTTGGAGGATGTTGGCCTCTGGTCCAGGCCGCTTTGAGCGGTCCAAAACAATCTAACCTGGCATCTGATGCTGTTATCAAGCAGAATCTCTACAGCAGCGAAGGCCTGGCCAGATACATTTTGTCGTGTTGTCAGGGTCAACATGGCGGGCTTCGTGACAAGCCATCCAAGTGAGCTAGCTCTCCTACGACCTGGCTATGATTTTCACTAACATCAAAAGACGCCCAGACTCATACCACACATGCTACACCCTGATTGGTGTCAGTACGGTTGAGCATCAACATACATTTACGGACGAAGGCCTCACGGATCCATTCTCATCTGCCTTCTCCTGGGTATCTGAGGAGGCACAAATTCCGAGCGAGAAAGACGGGAGCACAATATTCGAGACTGGGGCAAACCTCCGTGCTATCCATCCGGTATTTATGATTCCATATGAGGCTGCTCATCGGATGAGCCAATGGAGTCGCTCTCACTCTCTTGATCATGAGCATCTCGTCCAAATCCCCAATGAGTCGTAGCCACCAGAGGGTAGTTAATGCCTAGCTAGGCGTTGTCCAGACATGCATTCTTGGATCACCACAGGCTCTAGCTCACCTCGGGTGATTAAAATGGAACTACAAGATGCCTGCGTCAACCTGATAGATACGTAAGGAACGTGTCGTGCAGATTCAGCTTACGACATGATATGCCGTCAAATTCGAGAACTGCAAGGTCATGGAACAGTTTCCGCGAGGTATCGCTTGATCAACCATACAAGTTGTAGACCACAGTTGGTTGGACTATGAGGATGCTGTTGAGCCCAAGTTCATGACGAAATCATTCTGCTTCATAAACGCCCATGGCCTCTTCATCAACCTATAAATGTGAGGGTTGAGGCAAGTGGGGAATCCATGCTCGCTGGTCCGTGGCTTCCAAGATATATTTTTGTGCGGTTGGCAGGAATGCACTTTGCAGCAACAGATAAAGCCTGAATAACTTAGACGTCGTCCAGTGTCCGTGCCTCTGTGTTGCAGCATATTCGTGCAGGCTATCATAGAAAGCTTGTGGGGAAGCGATGACCTTCCCATATGCTGAGGCGGATTAAGCACATGCCAGTGCTTCTCTTGCCTTGAAAGATCAACGCTTTCTGACCCAGCCTATTAGGCATCTACTTATCGACTCGATCATCACCAACGATCAACATCAATGAACTCTCCAGACTTGGGTTTTAGTTGCCATCTTTGGATACGAAACACCGAATTATAATGCGTAGCTTGCAAGAAGCCGCGGTTTGGACTTGCTTCGAGACCTTCAGCATTGACAACGCATACATCGGAAAGTCTGGAAAGTCGACGAGCAGAGAACGGGACCCAGTCTTTTGCCTCCGCTCACTTGGTCTGCCTCCGAGTTCTGCCAGTCAACTATGCATGCAGGCCCCGGTCTTCGCTGTCGCATCGAAGCTGCCCGCAAAGACTGACTACCAACCTGGTTACTAGGCCTTGGGCAGTTAGCTGATGCCTGTAAGCGCTTCCAGAAAGCGTTTTTGCGCTCCAGTCGATCTAGATTACGGACGCCAAAAACTGCTTCCTGGCACTGCTAGCAAATGGCACGGCGGACCACTATTGACACCATGACTTAGAGTTGCACCCATCCCTCGCGTTTAGCCACCTATCAAGATGACATCCTCCACCAACAGCAAATATTGTCGGGATGGTCGTACTTGGCCAGTACCTAGCCAAAACCACCCTTACATCCTCCGCCCGACCAGAAAAAGCATTGTGCTCCAATGACTTTCAACACATCTTTCCATTCCCCACCTGCCAGGTGTTTCTGCAGCCGTACTGATTGCGTCAACTCAAATTCTTTGGGCAATGCCGATTGATCGTCTCCCCGGATCCAGGTCAATCACCCAAGCCTGTCACCACTCTGCAAGACTCACCGGTCGTGCACGTCAGTGGAGGTGCTAGTCCATAACGAACGATCTAGAGGCCTGAGCATTCAGTGAGCTGTGTCTAATCGCAGGACTCTGGCGGGCTCGAGTCTGCGGGGGAGAGACAGAAGATTGTCTGCTGCCAACCATGACCCGCGTCAAGATCTGCATAAGCCTCTCGACAGCGATGGGTGCTAAGAATGGTCCCGACATCATTCTTCCCGTACTGGCTAGAAAGCATGCCAACACATCAGAGACATTACGATGCCAAAAGAGCAGAGTATTCTCTCCTCCGCGATCAACCAATACCTAACCGCTGACCAGCGCGGCTTTTTGGCCACAGTGGAAATCCTTCCTTTGCCCCACGTACAGTGCCGCATGCTTCGCTGTCAGTGCAGGGTCTCTTTCCCATCGAGCTTTAAACTATGTGGAAGTGCCACTACAATTCACCTGTAAAAAGGGCTAGGTATACTGACAAAATTTGGTTTTTTGCTACCTGACATCTGTTTTGCCTGGAGAGATCCTCTCCACGTCTTCGATTCAGGCGAGAAAAGCTCCAAGCGGAAACCCGTCGGTTGATAAGACTCATCTGTCGTCGACAACTTGACGGCATCGAATTGGTTTTTTTGCTTTTCTCTTCTTTACGGTTGGATGCACAACTTTTTGGGCTCGAATTTTCTCGGTCAGTCGAGGCAAACATGCTGCATACCGTTTATTTGGCCAGTACGTTTTCTCCAACGCCTTTCTACCTCTATTTTGGCGTCGATGCGTGTCTTACATTTTTTAATGGCTGTAAACCAATATTATCTGTGTTGGCAACGTCGAATGTGTGAACGAGTTCCATGGATGCCAGGGGCTAGCCACGCCAATCAGCCTCGTGGTTTTGCCCTGTCATGGCCAATGCATTCTTTTGGGCGCCTATCTCTCTCCAGACTTGGCTCCACGCGCTTGTCATCCCCAAAATACTGATGAAGAAAAATCCAGGTCTTTGCCAGCGTCGTCGATGGCCCGAACCATCATATCAGACATCCTATACCCCTGCAGGATTTCGATGCATTGTCCGAGTCAACAATCGTGAATACCAGACCTCGACCTACCATACCTCGGAGTCATCGGCCAAAGAAGGGGCTGCCTTGATCGCTTTCAATATCTGTCGAAATTTCTCTGCCAACGATGGCATGTATCCCACAGGTTTTGCGCACGGCGGAGTGATTCAGGGAAATCCAGTTCCCGTAGGTTCCGGCCGGCATAGCCGTGGTAGTGGGAATGACCACAGAGCAGACTATCGATACGGTGATACGGACAGTTCTGGGAGTCGAAGTGGAGGTAGTTCTCCAGACTGGGCAGATGGCCGTCGCTCTGATCCACACCGTATATCAGGAGGACGTCGACTTGTCTACTCTTCAGCATCATCTCACGAATCAAATTACTCTAGCGGCCGACGCGCTGGCACGCGTTATTAAAGGCATATTTGCCTCTTGGTGGTCCAAGTCGACGGCAAAGCAGCAACTTCTGGAGTTCCATGTCTCTGCCCGCGCACGCCTTTTCCTTCTCAGGCGATTCATTGTATGAACCATTTACGACTTAACGATATCATGACTGAATAAACGAAACCGAACCTGGGTTACGGATTAATGACCAATGACGACGCATCTCCTTCTCCTTCACGACAAAACGTACTAGAAAAGAGTCAAGCAGGCAACTGTACAGTTGTGGTTTGTGTCCTGTTTTTTCTTCTGATTTACAAGCATAGCGAATCTACATACGATTCGTAAGTATTAGGAGGTTGGCCCTCGAGCTTTATTCTTTGATCCAGCTTGGAGGAATGTTTCAACCATTTTCATTTTAGATATTTAGATTGACGAGAAAAAAAGATCCGAAGTGAGCCTCAATAATGATGAACATTGCAATTCCAAATTCTATGGCACGAGTCAAGATTCGTGCGCAGAGTGATAACGATTACATGCTTTTTTTCTTGAAACAGCAATCAGCCACCCACTTCATTGTTCCTTGGCCTAACTTGAGATTGCCAGCAGGGGTCAATAATGATGCCCGTCACGCCCCATTGACAGCTCACAGGTGTCCCCACGGCTTCCTAACCATCTCTGGCTGACGCCTCAGATACCGAGTTTTGAGCACGGAGTGACAGCATGAGTGGCGCAGTCGACCGCCTAGGCCTAACCAAAAACTCCAGCAGCCTTGCTAACTTCGGAGTAGTTGTAAACCACGCTGAGCTGTGACGTCGTCCTCCTTTTATTTGACGATGAGCGCACCGGCACGTCCAAACATCAAGTTTTTGGAGCTTTCTACTTCTCGATGTCTGCAGTAGACAGTTGACATTGAACAGAAGGGCAATGAATGTACTGCTTCCACGCGCTCTGCAGGGCCATTCAGGACTATGAACTGTTTTGCCTCGACGGAACTTTAAGCAGACTCGGGCTAGCACAGACTCGGATTCAACAAGATGCGGCTCGCTCCTACCACCCGATACCTAATAACGACACTCAACCGCGCTCACCAGACGCCAAACGTTTTATCAATTAGTCAAGGGCAACAATTGAGTCGACGTATCTATCAACCTTTAATCCCGAGTTCTGCAACTCGTGGGAACGCTGTCGGCTCCGTCACTTTTGGCGTACGATTCATCTCACACGAGCAGACTGCACGAGACCTCAATCAACAAGGAGTTGATGAAGCTCTTTCGGACTTTGATACTGCCGTCGAAGAGGAGAAGGACAAACAAACCCGAGCACCATGGCATCGTCAAGGGGCAGACACCCCTCCAGTCCGCCGTCAACGATCTGCCGGCGCGATGACCAAAGGCAGGTTATCCTGTGCCCTGGACCATGCAGACATTTACTGACCAAAATCCCAGGAAAGCTGCTGACGACGCCGGCAAGACTCCTCAAACTTGTTCTTCCATTGACCACAGTCGATGTGAATAGTGATCGAAAAGATGTTGCGCCTCTGGCCTTACTGGTCCATCCCCAACAGCCTCTCTCTTACCTTGAGAGACTTATACAATCTGAATTACCCACTATCACCAACGACAAGGGCGAGAATCGGGTTCCTGCAGTAACATTCCGGGCTAAAGAAGCCAAAGATGATGGAATCAGACCCAAGAAACGCAAGGCAGAGGAGGACGACGTCGAAGAAGATTCATCGGATAAAACACTGGGGGAAGGCTCTGTGCAGAGCTATAGTGGTGAAGGTAGGGAGGGTTCTGGAAAGAATGAAGGCGAATTTGTGAAATGGAGTGCATCGACTGATATTGGCGACTTCATTCGGGATGCTGCGAGAGCCAAAGAGTTTGAAGTCGAGATTGAAGGGAGGCCAGACACTATCAAAGTCGGCGTTCCCTCGTTCAATGATCGAACTTTTTATCTGCGACAAAAACTACGCAGGACATCAAGCAAGATCTCAGACATGGCAAAGCTCAAGAAGGAGTGTGATGCCGCTGCCCACAAAACTGGCCAACGAATAGCACTCTCCGGTTGTGGCATTCTGGTCGGGTATGTTCCTCAGCATTGTTCAATCTCCCCTTTCCATTCCTCCCCTGTTCATGTCTCACCTGTCAGTCCTTCAAGTATTCGTTCGTTTGTTGACTATCTGCTAGCTATTGGTATCTCGTCTATCGATTGACGTTTGAAACCGACCTTGGCTGGGACGTTATGGAGCCTGTAACGTATTTGGTGGGCTTGAGTGGAATTATTTGTGGCTATTTGTGGTTTCTATACCATAATCGCGAAGTCTCTTACCGCTCAGCTCTTAACCTCACAATCAGTCGCCGCCAGAGCCGACTGTATGAGTTGAAGGGGTTCGATCTTCAGCTGTGGGAAAATCTAATTGAAGAAGGCAATGCCATTAGAAAAGAAATTAAGGCGGTGGCCAGTGAGTATGATGTTGAATGGGACGAACGTGCGGAGGAAAAGGACCCGGCCGTCACCAAGGCGTTGAAGGACGAACGAAAAAATTCGAACGGCAAGGAAAAATCGAAGAAGGATGATAAGGATGACGACGACGACAAGAATGACGATTAAGCACTATGAATAAATAGTCAACAACAGCCTGGATTTGCGTTTCTGGACCCGCTTCGAACCATCGCATACATGAGGACCTTTCTTCTCGTGCACCTCATCGCCGGACATGTTTGTTTCTTGCAGGATCGAAGATTGTGGTGTCTGCGGCTGTGTGATTCTGACCTGCTCCTGCCACGATTGATTAGCACTGGGGATGAAGACCAAATGAGAGGAAAGCGAGAAGAATACACACCTCCACTACCTTCTCCAGTTCGACGATTACGGTTGTTTCGAATGTCGCGTGACCGAAAGACGCTGTAGAGCAACCACAAGGTCACCCAATTGGGAGCATGTTCGCCATTTGTTGCACCCGCATCGAAAAGGGTTCGTTGAATAGTGCCGGGCTTAGCTTGCTGCCATGTGTCGATGACGGCTTGACGACGACGTTCTTGCCGAATGTGATGCCAGAAGAAAGGAGGGGTGATGGATTGGTCATTGCGCTTGTCGTCTAACAGATTCGAGCGGTCCGAGTTCAATTTGTTGTACACAGCAATTGCTTCCTCCTGCACTTGTCAGTCTTTGTGAACCATAGCATGCCATTGCCTGACTGATCGTCTTTCCGTACGCGCATGGCTCGATAGTGCCCCTCGTGCTTTGGATCAGATGTGCTTAAACCCAAGGCCCTCATGAAATCGTCTTTGGGGGCTCGGGGTCCTACAGGATGCGTTGGAGGCATGGTTGATACTGGGGGGATTGGATACGGGATTGGATATGGATTGAAGAGAGGATGTAAGGAAACAAGCCCGAAAAGTATGTGCAAAAGGGTGAAGAGGGTGGGACCGAAGGTGTGAAGTTCGTGAGCACAGCGAGTGAGTGTCACGGAACGTTGACAAAGGGCGAGTGTTCGCCATTGCAGCGCAATCTATATATCACAAGCGAGGCCAGAAAGCACCCCCTCCCCTCCGAATCTGGGCAGCGGAACTGGAGAGTGGGAGGCGCGAGGGAGAACAGCAGAGCAAACACTTGCACACTGCACTGCACTGCACTGCAAGCATTACGTCGATCCACTATCCACATGGCAAATGCATTTTCATTCCATGATGCAGCAGACAAGCGCTGCCCAATCCCAAGCCCTTTTCCCCATGTCCACGCAGGGCCGGCCAGGAAGAAGCACGCTCCTGAGCCTCATTTGGGCATCTACCTTAGTCTAGCCAGGGCGGTTTTCAAATCGTCGAACCTTTTGGCCTGCGGGAACTAATCAGGCTACGAGGCGAGGCGAGAGAGCGCGACAAAAGCCCTGCGGCGTGAGAGTGTGTGCCAATGCGGGCCCTGCGTGTGGTGCTGAAGTGGTCTGGCGTCTGCACAAACACCCGTAATCGTGTGAAGTGTGAGCTCTTTTAGCAAGTTTGACATATCTGCGAGTATCCGATATGCCACTTGGTGTGTGCAAGGGCACCTCGTGGCGAGTTAAAATGTGGAACAAGGACCGGCCAGGGCAAGGGCAAGGGCGTGCTCTGAACACGACCAGCTTCAAACCGGACAACGGCTATGGAAAGCCGCCCGGCACGCCGTTGATGATGTGATTGTACTGATTGTGAGTATGGTGTTTTTGATTCCCAACCTTTGCATGGGACGGACAAGGGATGGAGTTTGGCATGCGAGGGGGAGTCTTGAATCTGGAGACCTCGGACCAAGGACGAGAAGGTCGTAAGGGCCAGGTACAGCAGTGTACGAGAGTTACGATGTCAGTATTCGTTACTCTAACCAAGGCCCAGGGGGTCAGCCTCGAGTGGCCTCTGTCCTGGATATCTTAAATCCCTGACCCCCACCGTCCGTATCCGTATGTACCGAAATTCCACGTTCCAGAACAAACAGGTAGGTACCTCAGGTAGACTGGTACGAGGTACAGTGGTACCCAAGGCTACACGTCAAGGTTTGGCCCAGCCCTACAATCATACTGTCTGTATCTACCTAGGCGCTAAGGGACGTTGATCATCGTGTTTCTAACTCGCCGAGACAGAGGTCAAGGTCCCTCGTTCCCCTTGGTTATCAGACATCTGACACGCCGAGCTGCAGCAAACAAGTCCATATTACTCAGGTATCTATCTTGTTTCATAATTGGCCTTGCCGATCTTAGTGGCTTTTCGACTTGTAACTCCGAGTGCTTGTTTTTTGGTTTTTTTGGTTTTTGACCTTTCCGTTTCTCATTTCCCGTCGACACATCGGGTCCCACGATCAAGCAACTTTAGAAGATCGAGAGATGATGGTTCCCTCTAGGGAAATGTGCCTTTTACGGAGCCCATTTTATCATCAATCGACCAGGTTTGGCTTTGCTGCCAGTGGTCTTTGTACCTGCCTAAACCGATCACGACCTCTCCTTCGGTTGCTCAAGGTCAATATGACAGCTGTCGTGCCACAACACTCTACACAGCCTCTCGTCAGGTTTTTCCCTCCTCATCAACAAAAGCTGCAGCCAAGTCGAATAGAATGAGCTGTTGTTCTATTCTCTCTATTTTTCGCGGAATCGCGGAAGTGTTCACCATTCTGGTTGGTTGTTTGCTACGTGGAGAGCAGAACCAAGACCTGCATAATGAACAAACAACACCTCGTAGTGGATCCAGAAAGCTTTTGGCGTTCGTCATTTCTTCTATTTACCCATTGGAGAATAGGTTCAACGCAATCAGATTCCCTTCCCAGTTTCACTTATCACGACGCAGCCTCCCTCTAGCAGCGAGCATATTGACACAGGTGAGCCCCGTTGTGAGGCTGTATGTATTTGCCTTTGGACCAGTGGGAAAGGAAGGGGAATCACCTGACGAACCTGAAATACAGTCTGGGCCTCCACAACGGTTTCCCAAGGTTGGTCTGACAAACAACATCTGGAATTCTTGACTGCATTTCCTCTGCTGCCTGGCGGTTGTTGAATGTGCAACTGTATTCCCTGGCCGAAGTGGGTTGTGGTGCGCCAGGGAGGAGAAGGAAACGACCAGTACAGGACTCGCTTGACGACATGTCCTTCGGCCTAGAACGCACTCGGACCGTTAGCTGTGGTGTGACCTGTCAAAATGTCAGCCGGGAGTACGAGTGTAGCCGCTGACGGCCCAAGCATTGAGCTTCAGGTAACCGCGTGTCTGTGACACCTGAGATGTATCTGTCCTTGGAGGGTTAAAGAACAGGCGTCACCGAAACAGAGAATGAGGTCCTCAAGCAAGAAACTATTTCGGCAAAGGACTTCCTTCTCCCTTGGTGGAGAGTGGCAGAGAATGATTTGCACACGATGTCGAAACCCCTTTTGGCAACCACATGGCATTCACAGGATGCTGGAGAACGTCCGGCGGCAAAAGGACTCAATGACTGTCCTCATGATGGTCTTGTTGAGACGATGGGAGTATGATGGGAGATTGTGTCTTGATCAAAAGCATGCAATTTTGACGTCAAACCCATGAGAAAGGTCAGGCTGGAAGAGATTGATGTCGATATTCAACGGGAAGGGGCTGTATCATTAAACGATCGAGCCAGCTTGTGCAAGCGTTGAACAGGGCAAGAAAACAAATTTATGGGGTTACCAGGCTCGGATTGAGATCGAGGTTGATTGCAGGCTCAGCGGGCGGTTGTATGAGTCGTTTGTGAGATTCTTGCGCAATTCGTATTCGCAGCTTTTTCTCGGCTTCTTTGAGATGAATCGTTGGAAGGTCAGATGATTAAACTCTACTCCCCCCAGAGGCTTGTTATGATTCATGGAGAACAGTGCGAGATTATAAGGATGGATCAAGCAGTCAGCAGTCGTGGTGGGCTTTGTCGGCTGGGGCGGGGCTGATACATATATCGTCAGAGCTCCCATCATGCCGGATGATCCGTCGACCTTTTGAAAGTGAAAGCCAAAGCCAAAGCCAAAGCCTCGTCTGCAGACGCCGTGGTGGGTACCGACCAGCGAGGGAGTAGCTTTGCAGGTACCTTGGTACATGCGACAGAGTCCCGGTCCAGGAGCTCTAGGATGCATTTACTCGAAAGAGTAGACCCCAGTCACGAGATGACGTTGAAATTACCACTTTGGATATTGCAAAAGCAGTGACCACTGACCACCGTCCGTGCTCGACGACCCTGGTTTAATCGAGGTCAACATCCTCGGTTGACTGCCACACTGACATCTTTTCTGTCGCAGGATTGCTCTGCCTGCATTTTTCATGTCGTCGCGTATCAACCGTGGCTTTTTTTCATCTGATCATCGAGTCCTCCAGAGTCCAGAAGTCCAGAAGTCCAGGGCAGCCAGCGACCTGACCATTTCCGATCTTGAAATCTCAAATCGAAGATCTCAAACTCCAAAGTTGTCGAGCTTTGATCCTGCACATCATAATCCGTCACCAATCCTTGTAGGTCATTATTGATGATGATATTATTCGGACCTTTTCCCACAAGTTCCGGCATCCGTGCCAGTCGTGCAAGGTATGAGTAGTGGTTCACGCATACTTTTCTCCCCACTGCAGATTATAAGCTTCCATCCGGACACCAACTAGTCAGCCTTCCGGCCGTTTCAATTCAAACTTCTCCCTCCAGTTCCTCCACCAACCCACACCACCGTCTCCACGCCTGATATTGCCCAGTCTGAAATTCGTCCCTAGAATGGAAGTTTCCCTGGGGATGTCTTACACTGATGCACACCATCCAATGAAGAAATAATCCATTATCGCCTAAACGGGACAATTTTGTTGTCGTCGCTGCGCTTGTCGACTTACGCGCCTGCCTCAGAGCCTTGTCGTTTTCTTCCAACTCTGTTACACGCGTTTCGACTATCGAAACGGCTCGCAGGCGAGGTCAAAAGACAATAAAATTAAGCCACAAGATCTCCTCCAGGGGTCCCGCCGGAATTGCACGCCATCCAAATGTCCACGCCACTGCTGTCATCGTCGTCAGCTCCAACCCTTCCTCCTTTGGCTTCCGTTCCTCTTTTCCTACTCAAGACTGAATCTCAACCGCACGATTCCTACCTTGATCATTTCTCCGCGTTACAGCTGCCAAAAACGCCAGGCCACCCAAGCCATGCTCATACTCAGGATGCCTCCTTCTCGTCGGATACCGCTGCTTCCTCTGCTACCCCTAGCTTCCACCCCTTGTTTGTCCCTGTCTTAGAACATCACCCCAATATCCGGAACCTCGATTGGCTGCAGGATCGTCTGCGTAGCGAAGAATTGGGTCAGAAATATGGGGGGATGATCTTCACCAGTCAGCGGGCCGTTGAAGCATGGACCGAGGTTGTCAAGAGAATGAAGGGTCAATCTGAGACAAGCGAGGTTGATACGGATACTTTTTCGAAGCATGGTAAGGTTTGTTCCCTTTTTTTTGCTTCCTTTGCCCTCCTCCGTATGGATATTTCTTCTTGCGTTCGGCGCCTTCTCAACCAGCTCCACTTCGCCCGCTTCCGCCTTCAAATGGGATTTGCCAGACCCTAAAAGAGAGTGGTAATTACTGACATGGGAGCTCTGTTCCCTCAAAGTGACAGGGGTGAGTCGACCCATCCAAGATCATGAGACACCGACCAAAAGTCATCCGACGACGACTCAGCAGCTTTCCTTCGATGATCCTCAAGGTCTCGTGGATGGTGACTTTGTCTTTCCACTTTACTCTGTAGGACCAGCGACATCGCGTGCACTGAACACGCTTGTGGTTGAGATCTCTGGCCAGGATCCTTCATCTCCATTCTCCCGCCTGCGCCCGAGTGTTCTCGGGGAACATACAGGTAACGGCGCGAACCTGGCGCAATACATCCTTTCCCATTATAACAGCTTGCACTCGCGAAGGCTTTATACCTTTTACGATGCTCCTCGACTACCCATCACACCTCTAATCGGTCCTCCAGGTGGAGAGCGTTTCGATAAGGAGGATAAGAAACTTCGGAAGAAGGCTCTTCTTTTCCTGGTGGGCGAGCAGAGGAGAGATATCATTCCCAGAACGCTGACAGACCAGGAAGGTAAGCTAGCACCCAATGAAAGAATCGATGTCGACGAGGTAGAAGTCTATGTCACAGGGATTATGGAGTCGTTCCAGGACGACTTCAGCTCCCACATCGATCAAGTCAGGCAAGCAGGACATAGCCTCGCCGTTGTCGTGGTCTTTTCACCGCAAGGCTGCGAGGCAATGCTTCGGGCTTTACGCTACATTAATGAAGAGGGTCATCTGACAGCATTGGGTAAAGGGAGATGGCAAAACACATCTCCGAGCATGAGTGGCAGCGATGGCAAAAGGCAGTTGTCTGTCGTCATCGCAACTATCGGCCCAACTACCAGAGATCATCTAAAGGATCAATTCGGGTTTGATGCAGATGTCTGCGCATCAAAGCCAACTCCACAAGGTGTGAGCGATGGTGTCCTAGCATTTCTACATGAGAAAAACTTGATCTAGCCAGAACGGATAGAATCATCATGGTATCTTTTCAGTGATGTGGCTTTTCTCTTGTCCTGAGAAAAGCATCTTCTGAAACGATCTAGCATCGTCATCATTATCATGGAGAGAATACTGTCACCCAGGCGGGCTTCAGGCTAACACTCCGCCCTTTGATCGTTGAGCACGCCGTGCAACAGGATAGGAAATAGGGTTCGCGATTTACGAAATTTGTATTCCCCCTGTAAGCAGAGAGAGAGAGAGAGAGAGAGAGAGAGAGAGAGAGAGAGAGAGAGAGAGAGAGAGA